ATGATGGACCATATCTTACTTATAGATGTATCTTATACCATAATAAATCAAACGCGGTGACCGATATCTGCTTGTGCTGTAAATACCGTGAAGGACACCGTGGCGGTAAAACTTTTACCAGAATAAAGAATAGATAATAGACGATATATTACTTATAGATATATCTTATACCGTAATTAAGCAAATGCGGTGACCGATATCTGCTTGAGCTCTAGATTCTTTAAAGGAAATTGTGGTAGTAAAACTTATATTAGAGTAAAGAATAGATGATAGACGGTATAAAGGTTAAGAATGTACTTTATGCTATAGATGATAATTAGAAAGGTATGTGTTCCACGATTCTGTCTTCGCACATCCGCTCATTCGTCCTCGATCAATTATACAAGTCTACGTGTAACTTCAGGTTCCGTTCGATCCGTACGAGAAGCTTTGGTATTAATATTGCTCATCAAACATGCCCGCTCAACACTTGTAAATATATACCATTAGAAAATTTTTTATTCTTGAAAAGCGAAATCTTGGCTTAAAAAAGAATGTTATACGTTCTATATGCTAGTAAGAATTAAATCATCTCTCTACTATTTCTACATCGAATTTACGACCAGCTTACCTCATTACAGACTAATCCAGGATCATTTACGGCAGAACACTTTGAAAGATTACATCCATACACCCGTAAATTCTCGTATGAATCTTTTACCCGAAATGCAATATAACGTTGTGTTCGTCTTCTTGAAGGAGACGAGGAGACGTTTCTGAAATGAGATCCTATTAAGAAATTTTGCGTTGCAGACGCCTGCCTATGAACAAAAATATTCCGACGAGAATAAGATTGCATCTCAAAAGCCCCACGCATCATCAATTATCTCGTGCTGATCTTTGGCTCTAAACAAAGCATAGCTTATCAAAGTCAGAATTTATCATTCATCAAGGTAAAGTAACAGAAATGGGAACAGGTTCTGGGGTAGTGACTGTAATTTAGTGTGATTTCATTAATGACTCTAGCCAGCAGTCATAACGTTGGTTTGTGCCCTGGTGTCTTCTTTCTACCTGAATTTGGGTCTCTTTTACCAGCCTGAACATGTTCTGATTGACCATTGTTGAATTCCTTTGGCATTTTTACCATCTCTGGGCTTCGCTTGAGATTCGTTTCTGGAATTTTCTTTGTACCGCGTTTTAAAGGAACTGTTAATTTGACCCGAGTATGACGTCTTTGTTGGCTTGGACTGTTTTCTGATTGACCATCTTTGAGTTCCTTTGGCATGTTGACCATCTCCGGGCTTCTTGGATCAAGCTTGACGTTCGTTTCTGGAATTGCTTCGCGTTTCCATTGAACTGGTACTTTGACCTGAGTATGGCGTTTTTGTTGGCTTGGACTGTTTTCTGATTTACCATCTTTGAGTTCCTTTGGCATATTGACCATCTCTGGGCTTCTTGGATCAAGCTTGACATTCATTTCTGGGAACGTTTCGCGTTTCCATTGAATTGGTACTTTGGCCGGAGAATTGCGTTTATCTTGGTTTGGGCTCTGTTGGGCACTCTGAGGTTCTGCGGTGTTCATCGAAGTTGGGTCCTAAATATGAGAACAGAAACAAAGATGAGTGTATCAGCTTAAAACATTTTTGAGATTTTAACTCACCTTTGAGAAAGCCAAAAGGGCATTCATCAAAATGACTGCAATGAGAAGAAGAGAAAAGGTAGAATTTGAGAATGACTTCATGTTGACAATTGAAGAAAGTTAGAGAAGAGGTTGAGTGATGATGTTTGAGGTCTGTAAAAGCAGTAGTGGCCGGCTTTTATCACTTTTCACCATTGTGTTCAATTAACAAATAATCTTAACAAATTTCCGAATAAAACTTAGTCTTGAACCGCTATGAAGCGAACGCGGTGACCGATATCTGCTTATGCTGTAAATACCGTGAAGGAGACCGCGGTGGTAAAACTTTTACCAGAATAAAGAGTAGACTATGGACGATATCTTATAGATGGATCTTATACCGCAATTAAGCAAACACGGTGACCGATATCTGCTTGATCTATAGATTCTTTGAAGGAAACCGCGGTAGTAAAACTTATATCAGAGTAAAAAATGGATGATAGATGGTATAAAGGTTAAGAATGTAATTTATGCTACAGATGATAATTATAGAGGTATGTGTTTCACGACTCCGTCTTCGCACATCCGCTCATTCGTCCTCGATCAACTGCGCAAATCTACGGGCAATTTCAGCATCCTTTCGATCCGTACGAGAAGCCATGGTATTGGTATTGCTCATCAGACATGCCCGCTCAGCACTTGTAAGAGTGTTCCGTTAGAAAATCATTCTAGAAACTCGAAATATTAGCTTCCAGAAGAACATCATACTTTTTATGTGCTACTAAAAAATTAGATCATTTGTCTGCTATCACTACCTTAGATTTACCACCAGCTTACCTCATTACGGACTAATCCGGGATTAACAACGGCAGAAGAGTTTGAAAGAATGCATCCATACACCCGCAACTTCTCGCATGAATCTTTTACCTGAAATGCAACATGACGTTGTATTCGTCTTCTTGAAGGATGATGAGGAGATGTTTCTAAATGAGATCCCATTAAGAACTTTTGCGTTGCAGACGCCTTCCTATAGACAATAATATTCCGACGAGAATAAGATTGCATCTCAAAAGCCCCACGCATCATCAATTATCTCGTGCTGATCTTCGGCTCTTTAAATAAGGCATGGCTTATCAAGGTCAGAATTTATCATTCATCAAGGTAAAGTAAAAGAAATGGGAACAGGTTCTGGAGTAGTGACTGTAAATTAGTGTGATTTCATTAATGACTCTAGCCAGCAGTCATTACGTTTATTGTGCCCTGATGTCTTCTTTTACCTGAACTTAGGTCTCTTGTACCAACCTAGACTTATTCTGAATGACCATCTTTGACTTCCTTTGGGGCTTTGAACATCTCTGGGCTTCGCTTGAGATTCGTTTCTGGAATTTTCTTTGTATTGCGTTTCAAAGGAACTGCATTTGGCATTTTGACCATTTCTGGGCTTCTTGGGTCAAGCTTGACATTCGTTTCTGGAATTGCTTCGCGTTTCCATTGAACTGGTGCTTTGACCTGAGTATGGCGTTTTTGTTGGCTTGAGCTGTTTTCTGATTGACCATCTTTGACTTCCTTTGGGGTTTTGAACATCTCTGGGCTTCGTTTCCATTGAATTGGTACTTTGGCCGGAGAATTGCGTTTTTGTTGGCTTGAGCTTCTTGGAACATCCTCACGTTTTTCGATGTTCCTCAAATTTGGCACCTAAACATGAGAACAGAAATAAGGATGAGTGTATTAGCTTCAAAATGTTTGAGATTTTAACTCACCTTTGAGAAAGCCACAATGGCATTCATCAAAATGACTACGAGGAGAAAAAGAGGCAAGGCAGTGCTTGAGAATGATTTCATGTTGGCAGCTTGAAGAGAATGCTCTAAAGGGGAGGTTGAGTTATGATTTTTGGAGGTTCTGAAAAGCAGTAATGGCCGGCTTTTATCCTTTTTTTCCCTTCAAGCTACTGTCTTGCGACCAGAGGAAACCGCAACGTAAAAGTATCAAGTAGCCCTCGAATCCTCCAAATAAACCCTTGGCTTCTTGACCGCGGTTGATCGGATGCGGCGGCCGCCATCTCTTCTGAAACCATAACAATACTGAAGAAGCCCGCGGTAGAACACGCCCGTTGAACAAACAAGATGATGAAATACTGATTGGATATGAATAGAAACTTTATAGTACAAATGATAATCATAATGGTATATGTCTAACATTCCACCTTCGCACATCCGCTCAATCGTCCCCGATCGCTTGTGCAAGTCTACGTACAACTTCGGAATCCGTTCGATCATGCGAAATAGGCGGAGGAGACGCTACAATACTGCGGCTACTCATCACGGACGCCCTTCTGCCCGCGCTTGCGGGACTACCGACACTTTCTTCCATATGCGGTCGATGGTCTTCCGCTGTTTGCGAATGAATCTTATCCTTGAAAACTGAACTTCTGGTTTGGACAAGAACGTCGTGTTGTTTATGTGCTGGCAATTGCAAGAATTGAATCATTTCCCTGCTATTGCTACTTGAAAGTTTACCGCCAGCCTGTGATGTTGCGGAACCCGACCCTACTAAACCACGGGCACAATCGATCAAGTCAGACCAAAATTCTAACCGTGGAACACGAGCGACCCTCCATTCATCGCCCGCCACACTCGCTCCTCCTGTAGGCGATAATACAGCTGGTGCATCAGGTTCGACGGCAGCTTCACTTCCCGGAACAGCACTTCCTCCAACCTTGACTTGACCAGGCTTGAATCGATGATTTGGATGAGAAGTTGCATGAATGGTGAGTAACATGCGTAAGAACTGTGCTCTTCCATGTTGATACTCAAACGTAAGTAGGAGTCGATCTAGTCTACGCTCGATCACATCCCAAACATCAATCGCATCTGCAGGCGTAAATGCAGCTCTCCATCGAGTCTTGGCTAGCTTTGCTAATTCTTCTTTTGCCCGAATCAAACTTTCACTTGCTGCTGCCGAACTTGCTGCTAATCCTAATTCGATCAAATCTTCATTTCTGCTTGGTTCAATTTGCGCATTCAAAGGATCAACATTCAACCATACTTTCCATAGTTGAATCTTTTGTCTGTCCAATTTGCACGCTTTCAGAACACGACAAACTCTACGATAATTAATCTCGATCAGTGCATCCCTTGTCAATTCAAATTGTTCCCAAACAGGTCCAGATGCAATACTGATCGTTGAAGATTTCCTCTTTTCACTACGAGCTCGCTTTTCCAACTGTCGTTGTGCATATCTTCGTTCACGTGCACGTATGGATGTTGATGCAAATGCTAAATCGTCATCTTCCAACCTTCTCTTCACAAATGACCAGCTGATGAAAGGATTACGCGCGTCGATTTCCATTAACCACAGCGATTTCTGTCGATCATTTGCCGTTTTGCCTGATGTGGTGGTAGAGCGATGTGATCTGCCTCCTCTTCGATCCAAAATTGATGGCAATAAACTCTTCAACTCTCTGATTGAACCGGTGAATTCTTTTGCATGTCGCTTGCGACGTAATTGTTCTTTTGTTGCACGACTTTCTGTTGGATCTCGGCCACTTTTCAGGTCTCCCGTCGTGCGTCTAGCCATAAACGCAGATTCCCCTTGCAAATTTGCATCTTCCATCTCTGACGAACTTGCTGAAGAGGAAGATGAACCACTTGACCCTTCTTCAAAGTTGGACAGCGAATCATCTTCGTCATCTCCTTTGATGACAGGTGATGCACCGTTTTCAACCTTTGCCTTCTTATCCAATCCTTGACTGCTCGTCGTGTCCGATTTGATCAATTGAGACCAATCGTTTGATGCTCTAGACATACCCATCGGTGTATCAGCTTTAGGTGTCTGAGAAATGTGTTGTGCAACATCAAGCGGTCTGCGTCTTCGCAAACGTATCCAACGTCTTCTACGAACGTACGTATTTTGCGTTGGAATTCCACTCCATTTCGCTTGGCGTGTGATAGCAGATCTTTTCAGCGCTTCAAATCCATCATCTTCGCGATTTCGCTCAGCACTTTTTTCCATATCTTGAACGGTTTTATTAAAACGTTCATTTGTGATCGCATTGCCTTCTGCATTGGCTCTTGGAATGATTTGTGTAGGTCGATTGAATACATTGAAATTAAATCTGCCAAAATTGTAACTGTATTGCCAGCCCGATTCATCCACATCTCCGCTCATGTCGATCATCCATTCAGGATGAACCCATTCCCAAGATGGGTTTGGCAGTTGAGCATTGACGACATTGTAGGCGGAATCCTTGTTGCGTGAATTTGTCCAAGGTGCCGGATCCCATTGAAAGAGCGTTTTCGAGCTGAATTTTGGAATGCCAAAGAACAACATTCCACGTTGATTTTCATACAAGACATCGTATTCGAAATGTTCTCCTAATTCTTCTGGTGCCTCTTCTGCTACCAGCTTTCCCAACGCTCTATCTAATTCTTTCTCTGCATCTTCTTGTTGCGGTGTGTGATCAGGATCTTCTTCCATCACATCAGAAGGTTGTTGACGTGCACCACGTCGAAGAGATAATAATCGATTCTTGAACGAAGGTCCTTTGATGGATCCAGAAGGCATCAAAGTGGATGTTGTAGAATTGTTTGTCGCCCATCGCTTCAATAAGTTGCGTGAGACATCAAACGACCTTTGAACATCATCTTCCGTACTTTCTTCCGGTGATTGTACACCTCCATTCAACATTCCATTACGAACGCTCGTAGGCCTGCTGTCCAAACCGGTAGCATCCTTGTTCCCATCATCATTACTCATAGAGCTTCTCTCGCTTCCAAGAGCATTGGCAGGCGTAGACGATCTTGAGATACTGCCATTCATTTGTGTAGGTCCAAAAGGAGGTGTACCCATTTGACTCATCGATAGAGCTGGATTGTTCGAGAATGGTTTCGCAGATGCAGGTCTAGATGGATGAGGTGAATATTTTTCCATAGCTCTTCGATTTCTACTTTGACTGGAAGCGTAATGCAATCCGGTCGAGATATGATTTGTCAGAGAAGCAGTTCGCTTATGTCTCTTTGAGATGATCGCTGCAGGACCTAATTCACCCTCTCCAATAACCGTCTCTTCTCCCATACCACCTCCTTTTGCGATTTGTTTGCGTCTCGCTCTTTTGAGATTGCGTAAAAGCTTCTTCTTTTGCTTTCTCGTTAATTCTTCTCCGTGTTCTAAATTGAGAGATCGAATTTGATCTTCCGTTTCTTCTTCTGACGAAAGATCCGATTCATCACTTCCTGATCCTGATCCGATACTCGAAGGTGAACCAATACTGGCTGCCAAATCATCCAAAACTGCTTCATCAAACATTGATGGTCTGGAAAGGTCTTTGCGTGCTTGTTCAGCAGCTTTTACTGCATCTGCATCACATGGTCCAGGCGATGGAGTCTGATTGATGCTTGTAGGAGTAACACTTCTGAGAGGAGAACCTGAATGTCGTTCACGTTCTTTCTGCAAGAAGTCTATCAATGCATTTTGTTGCGGAGTGATATTCTCGGGTGATTGCATCACTTCTGTGCCTGTTACAGTTGGTGATTGTATCATCAATCTTGGCCGTTCTGGTTTCGGTTTGACGAGTTGCAGAGTAGGTTTGATCGTTGGAACGGAATCAGCTGTGAGAACGTCAGTCGCTTCTTCAATTTTTCGCTCCTCTTTCAAAGGCATTAAATCCGTACTTGCACCAACGCCTGACTTTGGCGAAGATATACCCGGATTTGCTGGTACAGTGGGGACAACATCCGTTTGAGCTTTGACCAAATTATGATCAACAGTACTTTGTAATGAATCCGGTCCAGGCGAAGGTGCTGTTGATCTCCTTCGCTGTGATCCAAATCGAAAAGGTAGATTACCACGATCGGAATTAACAGACTCATCGTTTGTTATCCCTCCAGCGTGTGTCGAATCAGGACGATCAGATGAATCAAACGCTTGACGGGATTTTGTGAATCCGGTAAAGCCAGGCATGCTACTGATTGCCATGCGTACTTCTTCATACAAATTGAGAGAAGAAGTGATGGAATCATCATCATCTTCTTTCTTCGGGTGTGGTGCTTGTCCCACTTTATTTCCGCTTTTCAACTTTGGCCATTTGCGTTTTTGTGCGTTAATCTTTGCTAGCCTATCCAGCTTATCCAAAGCAGCTTGTGCATCTTGACTTTTTCCAAGCTTAGGCAGAACGTCCGAATAATCTTGGAAGTCCAATTGCTTGGATGTGGAAGGTGGTCTCATAGCAAGGAGTTGCTGTTGTTGCTGTTGCTCTTCTAGCCTTTGTTCGATTCCTCCCGACTGCATAGATCGATTAGTCGTATACAGCGTTAACGGTTTCGATGAAGGTGATCCTGATGGAGTTGCATATTGTGGAACAGGTGCAACTATAGTAGACAAAGGATCTACTTCTTCTTCTTGTAATGGAGTCCAAGGTTGCCCTAATGGACTGGTAGCCCTGGGTATATAATTTGATGATGTTGAGCCAGACATCTTGGGCTAAAGGCTGATGCTGATGTTTATAATCACCGCCTCCTGTTCCTGTTGATCATTTCGTTTCATGCGGCGTGAACGCCTAAATGCTGTCAAAGTAAAAGCGCCGACAGACGGGCTGTGAGCGAAGTACGGCGGTAAGAGGCGGAAGTAATGATGGCAAGTTGAGTCGCCTCTATTGAAGCGAAGTGATATGATGATGTCCTTCCGTAATCATCAGGTCTAATAAAGTGAATGATGAACATAAAGCAACTTCCTCATTCCCCGTATTTTCTCACTTGAACTCCACTAGAATGTGCGTGTTTGTTAGACCCCTGTTGGAATTGGATGTTATTTTTACACTCTTAATGCATTCAAGATTCACTTACGCACCCAGGTCATTCATCCAGGCGGGCAAAATATTGGGCGTAGGCTTAAGTTAGCGTCCATTGCGTTCGATTGCTGAACGATCAAGCATTCGTTGTGCCATCATCTTATGGGCCTCTAGAACATTGAGATTTCGTAGATTAGTATATCACTCGTCATGTCAGCTGCTTTTGAGGATGATGTAGAACCTCTAGACGAACCTTTGTCAAGGGGCAGAGTTGGTCAAAATCAAAGTGGAAATGCAACTGCAAGTGGATCTAGAATTCCAACTCCGGAACCAGATGAAGACTTAGACGTAACTGATGGAAAGCAAAATATGTGGTTAGTCAAAGTACCAAGATTCTTGATCGAAGGTTGGACAAAGGTTGATGAAGTGGACAAAAGACTGGGTACCGTACGGGTGTACGATGCAGATCATAAAGGCTATCAGAGAATGGAATTGCATCTACCACAAGAACCTGAACCTGCATTCCCTTTACCGCCATCGCATCCATATCTGCAAACCCACTACCCTAGAACGTTCGATATGCGCTTGACAAGCGAACAGAATGGTGTTCGTGTGAGAAACTTGTACGCATTCAAAGAACGTCTGGAGGGAGGTGATGAAGATGACGATGACGACGATGATGATCTAGATTCAGGAGCAGAGGATAGCAAGGGTAAAGGTAGAGCTGGCAGTGCATCTCTGCAAGGTAGAAGAAAAGGCAGAAGGTTGGTTGCAATGGTAGGCAAGATTGCCAATGAAGCATCAGTCAAGCCACAAGTTGCAACACCTATCATGCGTATCGGTGGAGGAGCGGCTGCGGGGATCACGCCTGAGTATCGTGCAGTGTTGCGTAAAAGAAGGATGGAAGCACAAAAGCCGAAACGAAGTGTTAAAACTTTGGACGAAAGCGACAAAGCACGAACGAATATGTTGGCAAGTGGTGTATCAGCACACACGAGCAAGAACCCAAAGACATCTTTTATTGCTGGCGTTGGAGCACCGGTAAACACTGGTAGAAAACAACCTGGGACTACAACAGAACGATTTGCACGTTTGCCGAGGAACGAATTGTTGGATATGTTGTTCGAGTTGTATGACCAATTTCCGTATTGGTCTATCAAAGGCTTACGATCCAGAGTTCAACAACCCGAGGTGTATTTGCGAGAAGTTTTACAGTCGATCGCTAATTTACACAGTCGAGGACCTTATGCGGGCAATTGGAGTTTGAAACCAGAATATCTAGAAATGCGTAAACAGCAAGAACGTGAAAACCAATCCAATGCTGCTGCTAGTGCTGCACTTGCAGGTCCGATTGGTACTGCATCGACGGAGCCATCGTCTTCCATCGGTGGACCTAGCCAACAAAATGCTGCTGGTGACGGAGATGCAAAGGTCAAGGAAGAGGAAGGAGACGACGAGGATGACGAGGAAGATATGGAGATGGAAGATGTAGAATGAAGAGACTCTGACCGAAACTGATAGCACATATTCTTTGTACAAAAAGTCTTTGTAACAGTCACACAATATAATCCCTAAGAGAATTTTGAGTATAGAAAAGAAAGAGTAAAGAATGAATCGGTTTCTCACAGTGACAGTTTCGTCCGTCTTCGTTGCGGGCAAAGCCTCCTCGCAGATAATGAGAAGATTATATTGCTAATAAATGTTGTACGTAAAGCTACATGATACAGTAATGCTGATAAATGATTTAAATACTATCTGAGTTTGTTTATGCACTTTCTTCAATAGGTCGGAACGAAATCACGTCCATAGCAGTCTTTCCATTTCGTTTACACAAAACGACGCATTTGTCGTCTCTGAACGAAACTTTCCACACTTGATCGCTTGCTTCACACAATTCACGAACAAACTCGCCCGTTCTGAAGTTCCAAAGCTTCACTTTTCCATCATTTCCACCCGTTACGATGAATCGATCGTCGAATTGAAGGGATGTGACCGTATTCTCGTCATGTGCTAATAATTGGTACAGCGTTTTCATCGTTTTGAGAGAGTAGACAATCACCTTTCCATCACTTCCTCCTGTGATCAAAGTTGAATCGGTCAATTGCAATTGACCTACCAACGAACTATGCGCTTGCATGATTGCTAAACATTCTCCCGTCTTGGCGTCCCATATACGTACGGTAGTGTCCAAGCTGCCCGTTGCAACATGAACACCATCGAATGCAATAGCATACAATTGATGATAATGTCCCCGCAAGACGTGCAGACATTTACCCGTGTCCACATTCCAGATTCGTGCTGTACAATCATAACTTGCACTTGCGACCAAATTGCCCGCCAAATCCAAACAACGAACGCTATGTTGATGTCCAGGTAACAAGTGTTGTAATTGTCCAGTCTCAACATTCCAAACTCTCATCGTTCCATCACGCGAACCAGAAATGGCGATCGGTCTACCCTCAAAGACACGCAAGCAACGTACGGTTGAACGATGTCCCGTCAAGACAAACTTGCATTCTCCCGTAGAAAGATCCCAAACACGAACGTCACGATCACAACCGCTGCTCACCACAATCGCATGCTCATTTCCATATCCTGCCACGCTTCCGCAAGGACTACCAAAGTTGCTGCCCAAACCAGCACCGCGGCTTGTGTGATTGCTGGCATTTCGTGGTGCACCTTCTTCCTCTTCTTCAAATCCGGCCATTCGTGCGGCTCTGGCTGTAGCTGCGGCTTCTGCTGCTGCTTCGAATGCAGATCCGGATTGAGCAGATGGCAAAGATGAAGAAAAGTGGTCCTCGTTAGAAGGAGTAGTACGACTAGAATGCAAAGATTCATGAATGGACCTAGTACTTCTTTCTTGGTTCCAAAGGGTATTTTGGTGTGGCATAGGTAAAGACGGTTGAGATCGTTGATATTCCGAAAATTCTGCATCCAATTGTGCAGCTCGCATTTCTGGTGAGAATACACTTGCGGCTGGTCTAGGGTCGTGATGGATCAAGTTCAAATCTGGCGTTGGGGTAGAGAAGTCTCTCATGCCCATGAATGGCGCATAACGTTGGACAGGAATGTACACCGTATCAAGGTCTTCTTCCATATTTTGAGGATTGCGTGATTTGCCTTTTTCTGAATTTGTTTTGGTCGACGCATTAGAGCGATTTCCCGAAGCACTAATTAATGCCATACACCATACACCCGCAGTATGTCCACTCAATGTTTGAACAAAGAGGCCAGTCTTGGCATCGAAAACGTGAATTCTCGCATTGGCCATTCCGACAATGATCCAATCATCATCAATAGAAAGTGATGTAACGGTAGCCCCTTCACCGGAAGCATCATCAGAGGAAACATGCTGTGTCAAAAGACGACCGCCACGGAGCCAATTGGATTCCGTCTGATAAGCAAGCTTAAAGTGCGTCTTATAACTGAATGGTTTATTCTTTCGTCCGGCTCGCATGCCGAATTGCCCAGTAGAAATAGATCGCTTTGGCGGTGGCAACAATGCCGATTGGAATGGTTCTGCTGTATTGTCATTTGCATTTGCATCAAGACCCAAAGCACCAAGGCTGCGACCTGCTTCGGAAGTTGAGGTTGCGGCAGAAGCCGATCGGAGTAATGCCTTTTTGTGTGCTTGGGAAGCATAAGCTGGTTTTCCCATTCCAATCGAAAGATTTTGGCTGGCGTCTGCCGACGCATGCCCTTCTTCGCTTCCTGGTCTGGCAAAAGGTGCGAAACGAGGTTTACGTCTAGATGTTGATGCTCCTGCGACTTTCGAGGATGAAGATCCAGAACGTTGTGGTATACTTGTGGAGTCGGATCGAGTGTGCGTGAGGGTTTCTGAATCTTCTCTTGCAGACGAAGATGGTTCTTCGGCCATATCGACATCCTCATCTTCCGGATCATGATGACCTTCAGTGGAATGGCCATGATCTCCAACACTTGGCGGTTGATTGGATTCATTCTCTGCTGCATTTCCACCGATCGTACTCGAGCCCGCTCTATCCCAAAGACTTGTTAGCAATCCGCTAGTCATGCTTCCCAACCGACTTGTGGGCGAAACAAGATTCCTTCCCATCTCGCGAAGAGGTATGGCAGATGTAGGATTAAAGTATCGACTACTGGTTGATGTAACAGGTGTACGAGGATCACCATTGATTTCGCCGCTCATAGTGCGGGTAGAGGGAGGTCCAGTACTTAGCCATCCTACTGCACTGGAGTCCGTTTGTGATCCTTCATGAGAACGGGTTCTGGACGGTCCTGCAATATCATCTGTTTGACTCTCCGTGCTTGCTTCTTGGACAAATAGCTCCAACTGCTCATAGAATCTTCGATCTTCTTCACTGATGGTGTTATCAGACATACGTGTAACAAATGCCTTGTCTTGCAACATATCCACGAATACGTTGTCATGTTGAAGTGAGTGTAATTGGCGTCTTCTTTCTTCCATTCCCATCTCGCGTGCTCGCTTCGATAAGAAGAGACTGTGAAGCGTCTTCAGTTCAGCCAATGCAGTTGTAGGGTCCAATCCACGGGCACGATAGGCCTCATAGAGACTGCCGAGAACACGACTTGATTCTACTGGAGAGTTATTTTCGGTAGGCAAGTCTGCATATTCATCTTCTGTCAAAGCCGGTTCCATTGTTTGATCAGGAGTTTCAACGCCCAACATTTGCGATCGGCTAGGGTTTAGAGGTACCTGTCTAAACCTGTATCTTTTACACATCACTTTCCACGTTTGTTCATCATTGACCAAACTACGCCAGAACCGCGACACACCACTTGCACGAGCCAATGTTCTTGGGTCATCCAAGAATGACAAGATATGTAACGATACTTCGATGGGTAATGCTGATAAAAAGTCAACCTTGAGTCGGGGTGAGATCAATGTAGAAAGATGTGCCAATTCGCGCGAATTGCATAGATCCACAAATGAAGCCAAAAATGCATGACGCTCTTTAGGCTCCAAGGTGGGGAATTCTTGGAGAAAGAGCTTGAGCAATGGAGATTCATTTGCAGGTGCGACTTGTGAGTCTATAACGTTTGCATTGTCTGTAGTGATGATAGATTGTCGTAACGTCCTCGTCTCTGGTTGCGGAGAAGGAGCAGGTGTTGGAGGTGATATAGCTCTCTGTATTAACCCTGCCGCTGCTCTTTGCTGTGCTATTGTCGATCCTACAGACATGGTCATTGCATTGGCTGTATCGGCAGCGTTGGGTGCTAGAACAGGTCCGGAGCTCGTTGAAGCAATCGCGGGCATGGAACGTGATGGAGAAGTGATGGAAAATGCTGCTCCCGGTGGCGGTGTGACCACTCTACGCGGAGAATGTGCGGCATTCTCGATCGAATCCATTGTTGTTATTAGGACAAAGTGTGAAGGTGATCTCTGACAGTGCTGCTAAGTCAGATACGTGCTCAAAGCACTTTGTATGCTGCTTAACGTCAAGAGGAGGTAATTGTAATCGCCTATTCCATAAAGCCTCTTCACGCTTTGTACGACCTCCTCTGCTTCTTTAAGCAGATCACTGCTTTATGATGATGATGATGATGATGATATTTGCTTGTCAGAAAATAAAAAAGTGACAGAGAAGCGGAATATGCAAGGGCTTTTAACAGTTGAGGAATTGATTATCATTACCAGCCCGGAGCGAAAGGGAAACGTTTTTGGTGCTCAGTCTCACAGGCGCGGTGCCGTTATGGTTTGCATACGGTAAGATTGCACTCCAAATGTGGCTTTAATGCGTGCCTTTTGGATTGACTGAATATGATGCAAAAATGTCAAAACGCGAGGAAACGCGTTGGTCTGGATTACATAATATCAATGTCATCGGCCGGCAAGTTTAATACTAAAACACAGCCAACCCAACCAAAAATAAAAAAGAAGCGAAAAAAAGATAAAAAAAAATCTAATCAGTGCATGCACACTCTTCACTCTAGCGCAGGCCGTGCACTTCCGAAGTGGGACATTTTCATACCGTAAATAAAGATTTAAGAAGATTTGAAAAATGAATTAATTCTCGATAAGTTGTATGCTCCTCAGCTTATCCATCATTTCGTCTCGCCAAAAAGGCCAGGAACACCATCTCCTCCATTGCCAACAATGTCTCCTCCTATCGCCGGCGGTAAGCACCGCGAATCTGCACAAGCCCGTTTGTTGGGATCAGGTCTTTCTGGCGTTGCGGAATTGATCGTTTTCCATCCTGTGGACACTGTTGCGAAGAGATTGATGAGTAACAAGGACAAATCAGCAAAGATGGCTCAAGTGATCTTCAAGGATAAAGCATCTGCTCCTCTTGGTACAAAGGCTTTATCATTATTCCCTGGTCTTGGATATGCTGCAGGTTACAAAATTCTACAAAGAATCTACAAGTTTGGAGGGCAACCTTACTTTAACGATTACCTCACAAACAACCACAGAAAGTTCTTCGTCGACACATTCGGAGAGAGAAATGGAAAGAGTATGATGTCTGCAACAGCTGGAAGGTGAGTTATTGGAGGGATATTGACAATCTCTATAGCATATACTGACCTTCTCTTTCTCCATCACACTCTACAGTCTAACCGGTATCGGTGAAATCGTTCTTCTACCGCTTGATGTGTTGAAGATCAAGAGACAAACAAACCCTGAAGCATTCCGATCACGTGGATTTTTGAAAATTGTTGGAGATGAAGGTTTCTCTTTGTACAGAGGATGGGGATGGACAGCAGCACGTAATGCACCAGGATCGTTTGCATTATTCGGAGGAAGTGCATTCACGAAAGAATACCTTTTCGGACTTGAAGATTTCGGTAAAGCAACATGGTCTCAAAACTTTGTTGCCAGTATTGGAGGAGCAGTTGCTTCAATTACCGTTTCTGCACCTTTGGATGTGGTCAAAACCCGTATTCAAAATGCAAACTTTGAAACAAACACAGGTGGTGTAACAATTATGAAGGAGATGATCAAGCATGAAGGATTTTCGGCATTCTTTAAAGGATTAACACCAAAGATTCTGGTCGTTGGACCTAAGCTTGTCTTTTCCTTCACCGTTGCACAATCATTAATTCCTTTGTTCGGCAAATATATGTAAAAGTGGTAGAAGGTGGACACGGGATTCTATACAATAATGGCTAAAACATCAGTTTGCCATCAAAACCACTACTCACCATTGCCCGTTTGCTTCCATTGATAGGCTTCACAATTATTTGTGTTATATAATATGATTCTATTATAAAAGGGTGTGTTTCTGTTGTTCAATACAACATAATCAGATCTTGTATACACTTTGTATAGCATTCAGGAGATCAGATGCATTAATTAGTGTTGTGCAAATATTCAACCCAAATGCATCTTTAATACAAAACGCCGCTTACGATAAGATGGCTTGGATGTACGCATCCGCGCTTGCCGGTTGTTTATTGCCCCCGTGGATGAGTCAAGCACAACCTAATTTGGCATCTGTTTTGCGTGATGGAATACAACAAACAGCACGCGGTTGTAATGTATTTCTTGTCCCCTATCTTACAGTAACTAATGTACTTTGAGCTGGGGCGTATCCTGCCTGCCTTTGTGCGGGGGAACAAAGCGCGTAACGAGCGAGGTCTGCTGAGCATGCGCCCATAAAGAGCCATTGGATAATGAACGCGCGGCAAAGGATAATGACTGTCTTTTTTTATCTCTCTCTCAACACACACTGAGTGGAGCTAAACTGCATTATTATGCATGATCTGACCATGCAAACACTGATGAGGTGCTCAATATACGTCCGAGACGCCCAAAATGATAACTAACCCTTGATTGATATCAATCCCCCCCTCCAATCCTCTTTCTCTTTCTCTCTCCCGTCATCCATTCAGGGTACAAGGTTTATCTCTCATTAACCTGCCCTTCTCGATCATATTCATCAACTCCCCTCTTTCTTTCTCACATACATATACATCATGCAGATCAGAACAGCTCTTGTAAGCTTGGCTTTGAGCGTTTCAGCTTCAATGGCTATGCCATTAAGCAAATCAGGTATCCCACTCGCTTTTGTTCCTCAACAATTGCATTATGATACACCACATGCACCCGCAACATTCCATGCTCAAGAAAGCCGTAAGCATATCCAAGGTCACTACATGGTCATCTTGAAGAATGGTGTGGACGCCACTACATTCTTGGCCCATCGTGAAGCAGTTGCCAGTGCTCAAGATTCAACAACTGCACGTTTGGCTCAAGGTGAAGCAAAGGGTATCCGTCACATCTTTGACTCTCAAGGTGTGATGCAAGGTTATTCAGGATCTTTCACTCCTGATGTCTTGGCATACATCCGTGCTCACCCTGAAGTCGAATACGTTGAACAAGACTCCATCGTAACAACTCAAGAAATGGAAGATGACGGTCGCAACGTTTGGCAAGAGGACTACCCACCATCCATCAAAGCTTCCTCGGATGGTATCTCCGCCCAACAAATCGAACGTTTGTCCCCTTGGGGACTGGTGCGCATCTCTCATCGTGAAGGTGTTTCATTCAAAAACTTTGGTCAATATTTGTACAACGTACATGGCGGTGAAGGTGTTACCGCTTATGTTATTGACACGGGTATCAACATTTACCATGATGAATTCGAAGGACGTGCTCGTTGGGGTAAGACTATGCCCGACGACGCAGATGTAGATGGAAATGGTCACGGTACCCACTGTGCTGGTACAATCGGTTCTAACAAATATGGTGTTGCAAAGAAGGCAGAATTGGTTGCCGTCAAGGTTCTTGGCTCTGGTGGTAGCGGAAGTATGTCTGATGTCACTGGTGGTGTTCTTTGGGCTGTCGAAGATGCCAAAGCAAAGACAAAAGCAATGGCAGCTAACCCAAGCAGTGCTGCAGCCAAGAAACATCGTGGATTTGTGGCCAACATGAGTCTCGGTGGTGGTCGTAGCCCAAGTTTGGACAAAGCAGTCAACGGTGCCGTTACCAGCGGTTTACACTTTGCTGTTGCTGCCGGAAACGAAAACCAAGATGCCTGCAACGTTTCACCTGCCGGAGCTGAAAACCCAGTCACAGTTGGTGCATCTACTTTGGATGACTTGCGTGCCAGTTTCAGTAACGTTGGTAAATGTGTTGACGTCTTTGCACCTGGTTTGAACATCAAATCTACATGGAACACCGGTAACACTAGCACAAACATTATCAGTGGTACAAGTATGGCTACTCCTCACGTTGTTGGTATGTTGGCATACTTGTTGTCCATCTATGGATCAGATGAGTTCACGAAGATCAATGATGTTTTGCCATCTGGTCATCCACTTGATATTGCTGCTGCAAACTCCTTTGACATCAGTGACTTCTCCACCTCCATTGCTGGTAAATTGACCAACTTGTTGCCAATTCCAGCTTTGGCTTTGGAATTTGTCGGTGGATTGTTCGGTGGTAACAAGCATCAACAAGTTCAATTGCTCGCTCCTACACCTAAGCCACCAGGTGTTGGTAGTGTCTTGCATCCATTTGATTTGAAGAAGGCCATGGCCAAGCTAAGCACACCAGGTGTCTTGAAGGATGTCAATGGTAGCCCCAACTTGTTGATCTTCAACAATGCTACCAAGGACAGCCCATAAGCACTATTTTCTTGATCCGGAACCCCATCTTGCACATTCATAAACAACCCCAATTGTTTCGTTTCTCTGTTCCCTCTGCTCAATATAGTCTTATGCTGTACGCAACACTTCAACCATCAATGATCTTTCATCATGTATCGATGTACATCTTTTCTGAATGAATATTTACAATACGCAATCGGAAGTGGGGTATTGTTGAATGAGACATGCTAATCCTTACCGTCTAGTTCATTTGTAGTTTCGGAGACTTCTTCTAGGGTAGGAACTTTGTTTGTCCGTATATCTGCATCTTTTGCGATTCTGAGACAAACTTGATGTACATTTTGAACGATATCCCGACTTACTCCCGATCGAAGAGCGCCACGCAAGTGCCATAAAACTTCCATACGTAAGTTTTGCAAGATAAGAGCAGCAACGAGACAAAGTTCAGTTGAAGAAAAATCAAGGATATCAGTATAAGACAAATTCCAACCATAGCCAAAATGAATCGTTTGACGAAAGATATCGTTTGCATCTTGACCAAAACGTTCAAAAATATCATCAAGATTATGTTGATAAATTATACGTAAATGATTCATTGCTGCACTTTCATATTCGGCCATTGTTTTGGTTTCACGATCTTTTCTGAAAAGTGTTCCAGAATCGTTTCTGCCCGGTTCAGCTGTATATTCTTTTCGTAAGATTGGAATCCAAGTTACTATCGCATCTAATGCGCTTGGAATACCATAAATAATTGCACCTTTCAACAGAGATTCTTTTATACGTCTTTGTATTTTAATTGCTTCTTTATCACATTGTGGTTGATTATGTGGTGCATAAAGACTTAAAGCTTCTTCGTATATTAATGGTACTGCTTCTACGGCCAAATGAGCAGAAGCAAAAGCTGAAGTTAAAACGACGTACCAATCGTCTTTTGATAAATCAGCATGGAAGGATTGACGAAGTTCTTGAATATATTGGCGTGTTATATGTGACATCTTGTCTGATAGTTTAGGGGAATGGTAGCAATGACCATCGTATATGCTTTATTCATATTAAAGGCATTTTAAATCTGAAATGGTATAAAAGTTCAACGGCTATTGTGCATATGCGGGGAAAGGGTTGGTTCAGTCAGCTTAAATTACACTCTTAGCGTTTCCATGAAGCCAAGCCATTCAAACGGATCGCATTAATGCTTCAGGAGCGGCTCACTGTACAGGGCGTGAAGGGGGGAAGAGAGAAGCTCAACAACATAAACGCGACTTTTTGTAATTCACGCGTAGCAACAAATCAACTTTTAATGGGAAGAACTCCACCTGCATACAACAACCAACAACATAACGATCAAGGGGATGATGGATGAATGGGAAGTAGAAGATAGAGAATAAAGAAGGGATCATATCACAGGGTAACCAAGGGTAACATCTTATCACAATCTAAAAGCCGACATGGCAAGGATGGGAGCAGCCTCTACATCAAAACAAAACGGTCACTCTTCTACAATTGGACACACTTCAATAATGAGACGACCGGCTGGAAGACCACGAAGAGAAGAAACATTTCTGGAAGAAGGAGAGAGAGCATCTTCCTCTGTAACACCTTCTGAACAAGCAGGACCATCGTCGCGTTCGACAACTGCAACTGCTGATGCAAACGGCTCAGAACCTGGCATGCGAAGATCAAGAAGTGGAAGAAGAATAATGCCCGTTACAAGAAAGAATGACCTTGGATCAGTGGAAGAAAGTGATGCAGATAAGATCAGATCAAACTCTCGAAGGTCCACTCAAGCATCCACTTCTACCAGCACAACAGCAGCAAAGAGAGGAAGGCGAAGTACAACTGCTGCAAAGCGAGGCAGGAAGAGCAAAACAGAGCCAATACTCGAAGAAGAAGCTGAACCTGACAATATTCCAGCTCAACCAGCTCGAGAGGAAAGCGAAGAGGAGAGGGCAAAACGAGAACGCGAAGAAATTGAATTGATGGAAAGATGGCATGAAGAGTATTTTGAGATCGTTGAACAGTTACCATTAGAGCTACAAAGATCATATGCGTTGATGCGAGAGATGGAGACAAAGTTTCATGATCGTATTCAACTAGTGGCATCGCATACAAAGGCATACAGGGATGCAAGGATCGCTCATGCAAATTTAACTCCAGAACAAAAAGCAGCTGAGACGGCACGCGAAAAAAAGGCAATCGAAGATGCTATCGTCAATCTTGCTTTTCAATCTGAGGATGTAGGTTCAAGTGATGCAGACGCAGAAGGAGAAGACGATGCAGAGGTGTTTCATGAATTGGCAGGTGACTTGCCTCCCAAGCCAGATGTGGATGAACAGCAACAAGAAAGAGATGACCAAAAGCAAGGTGCAACGACCGATCAGACATCCAGCTCAGTTAGCACAAAGGAAACGCCTGCAGACGACATCTCACCTCCGATCAATCCAACCGCACACTTGGCTCCAACTCGAACTGCACGACTTTCATTGTTGGCCGGAATTGCGCAAGCGTCTTCCGATTCTATCAAAATAGCAGAAGAAAAAGTTGGATTAGCAGTGACAGCATATGATTGGATTGATAGACAAATTCGAAGGTTAGATGCAGATTTGCAAAAGAGTGAAAATACGCTTTTACTCGGTTTACGAGCAGGAACAGAAGCCAGTCGTGGTTTACAAGATGCGTTAGGGATCGATTATACAAAAGGTCAAGGTGCACATAGATGGGATGATGTTGAAAATTTGTTGATGGGTAGGCCGAGCGGAAACAAATCCCAAGCGAACAAAACGACAAATGCGATTGAAGATCGTGAATCCAGCTCAGAAGGCGTTGGAAAGAAGAGAGGTCTTGGAAACAGCAGCGCAAAAGAACAAATCCAAGATCATACAGCAGGTGGAGATATGGCTGTTGATCCGAATGAACCAACGTATTGCTATTGCGATGAAGTATCTTCAGGAGAGATGGTCGCCTGTGATAATGAAGATTGTCCGCGTGAATGGTTTCATTTGCCCTGTGTTGGTTTCAATCAACCACCAAAAGGTCGTTGGTTCTGTTTGTTCTGTGCGCCTCCTGGCTACAAAGGCAGTGGAACATATCCTCCTGACGCACCTTGTTTACCGTCGCATCTTTTGGCATTCAACCCAAATGCCAACGGAAAGAGAAGATCAAAAGCAGCAAGCGGTGCTAGAAGGAACAACAAGCGTAGAAGATGAGAGATTGTATATTATAATCAATGTCATTGATGAGATATGCTACATGAAGAAACTCGATAGAAACGATCAGACCATTGCAGGTTGCACAGCAGTATAACTCTTGACCGTGCGTAAGAGGCTTTTGAATGGAATAATCTTGGGCGCTTTTGAACTTTGTTCTTGGATTGATTGATGAGAGCCGAGAGAACGGTCATCTAAATCGCTGTCATAGGAAAAATAACTTCCCGTTGGATATCCATGTTCCAGATCGATCGATTCCGGTCGATTTTTTTGCCATTTTTCTGAACTTGACTTTGTAGAAGATGCAGTCGACGATAATACGCCTTTGTTTGAAGATGCACTTTGCAACGATGTCCTTCGATCACCGCTTTGTGAAGAAGAAGAAATGGAGGGTGTGGTAGAATTCGTTGAACCTTTTCTACTATGGCTGTGGTAACCACTAGAAGCTCTTTTATTTGAAAGATTTGTACCCCAAAATGAGAATGTTGAACCTCTTTGTCGACCTCTAAGACGTTTTTCAAGTGCCACATCTTTCTCTTCCATAGGAGTAGCAATCGTTTCGGTTATCGAGGGAATATCTAATAATCTACATAAATCCATGTTGTATATATCCGTTTTTGTTGTCTTTTGTGGCAGTTTGGCCTTATTGTTAGAGAGTACCTCTTTATCGGATCCATCATACGTTCCTGATCGATTTAATGTTTGTTGACCGTCCATTGATTCACTTTGCAAAGTTGCTTTAAATTCCACTACTTCAGGATTATTCATTTCCGCTTTTGTGGATTTATCACCACCATCTTCCGCTGCAGAAGTCACGTTTTGTCTGCCTTGAATAACCAGCTGTGGACGATCGATTCCACTGATCTGAATGAACTTCTTACTCAATATCGCAAGTGAATTATCACGTGAGTGCTCGATAGCACGACCAACATTGCTGGCAGTGTCATCAGATAGTAAACTGACTTGACTGACTGATTTGGATATTGTACCGGATTTTTTACCCACTCCATCGGTAATTGCATTCTCTAAATCGTCTATCAAGTTGTTTAACTGTTCCATCGAGCTAGATTTTTGGTTGAATGATTTATCTTTTGCTCTTTCTTCGGAATTGACAGTGGTTGAAAGATCTGACATGCTATTAGAGGCATGTAATGAAATTTGACCAGTACTGTTCCTCGTAGGCGGCATTGGGAAAAATGAAGACAATCGTTCCGAGTCAAGTACAGAGTGAGCTTCTGAGATAGTATCGAAAATACTATCGTTATCGATTGGACTTCCGGGAAATTGATCCAACGGAGTGTCACCGTGAGTCAAAAGTTCCATGTCATCAGTTGGATATGTTTCTTGAACTTCCACTTGTGGCTCTTTTACATCGTTGGAAGCTTTTCTGAACTGTTCAAATATGTTCCTTCGTGTTCTTTGTGCGAGTAAAGATGGCTTTTGCGCGTCTGGTGTTGTTGGTGGAGCGGGAGATGCTTTCAAATATGGCAATGTTGAATCTGGACTTTTAGGATCAGGCAAGATTGGTGAATCAGGCAAGACTTGCTCTTCCATCACATCTGGCTTTGAAGAGGTTCTTTTAGGCACAGGAGGTTGTTTCATTGCCGTATTCATGGCCTGATTAGAGATATTACTCAAATCACCTAGCTCTAACGGTGGAGGAGCGCAGATTGGACGCTCCCACGGCTTCCTTTGAGTTCTCTTGAACTGTTTGAAAGGCATTTGATCTTTTGAGCATGGAGAGGGAACCGTCGGACTATCGTTTACGGTGGTGTTTTCCGTCATTGGTTGAAGTGGTGATTCGGCAGTTGTGGCTGACATGTCATAATCGAAACAAGCAGGTGATTCGGCAAGCTTTTGAAGGTAAAAAGGATCCATTTCCGAGGGATTTGAGCCAGGAGAGTGAGACTCATGACGACTTTGATAGGTGGTATCAATCGCCTCAAGGAAGCTCATTTGAGAAGGTGCTTTGGAATTGCGATAATGGGTTGGAATTGGTGGTAGCTCAGGTGCGTCATCTTGTACTGTAAATTCGGATCTTTGTGTTGAAGGCGTTGAAAAGGTTGCATGCCTCGACCGATTAGGCGATGGAATGAGGATCTTTGAACCTGTTGCTGTTATTTTTTCCATTAAACTCATATCACCACCTTGAATGGTATTTTTCCGTTTAGGTTTTGGAGGTAATGATTTGGTGGATTTGCCTGAGAGCATATTCTCACGGAAGTTTGTTATTAGAGTAGGCGATACACCTTTCGAGGGCGGATCGTCCCTTCCTTTCTCTCCAAACAATGAGCTACGTCTGGAAGCCCTATTTGAATAATGTGATGATCTATTTGGCTTATAAGTAGGCGTTTGAGGCCACATCGTTGCAGGAGCATGAACACTGTTTGCCGTTGAAGGTGTTTGCATGTTTGACGTTCCCCATGAATCTCTTGAGGGAGTCGTTGGAGATTTCAATGATAACGCTCCACTTGAAGAAACATTTGATTCCGTCCTCTTCGGTCGTCTGAACGATTTGCTCATGGTTGAACGAAATGCTTGTTTGAAAGCACTGGAGGAAGATGGTCTATTGTTGAATTCAGTCTCGGTTGGTGAAGCAAGAGAACTGTGCATCGAGTTACGGTTGTTACTACCTTCCGGTCCCGTATGGCCTAGTAGCAACCTCTGTGCTTTGGTCGGCATAGCGCCGAGGTTATCGTCGAACTCGTCATAAAACTCCATCTGGTTTGGGTGTTTGCGTTAGTGATGATTGGGAAGATGATAATGGTCACCAGGTATGAAACGGGGTAAACAGGATATTGCGATATATTTAGGATTGATCACATTATTTAAAATCTTTATTGGGTACTGCTAAGAAGGGGGTAAAAGTAGGGATAAACGCAATAAAGGCGTTCAAGAATCCCAATAATTCGATCTTTGCCGAGATCGAGGAGATGAAAATATATCATGCCAATGACGATTCCCGACCCCTTTTCTGCTCATTTGATATTCAGGAGTAAAAAGCTCCCGTGAGTTGAACATCGAATTCCATAAAAGCATGCTTCGGGGAAGGTATGAATCTAATTAAAGATGTCTGATCGTGTTTAGGAGTACACATCTTGGCGTCATACATCGTCATTTTCGTTCCTAAAAACAAATGCCGATGGACGTGTCCAAAGTATTGTGTGCCTGACTATTTACACAAGTCTTGCCGGAACTCCTTATATAATCTCCTCCTGCAATTGGAATAGAAAACGTGATGGCGGTGTTTAGGGCTACATTCCTATCCCGACCGTTAAGCGCATGCAAACAAGGGGATGTACACCTCCTCCTCCTCTTCAGCCGAGAATAAATGCACATTTATATTTTCAAGGTATATGGAAATCCCAGTATAATTATTACATACAGAACTAAGTGCAAAAACAAAACAGAAAAAGAGAGCAAAGGAGGCAAAAGCTTAAGCGGTGATGAGCATCTCCTTTAACGAGCGTCTAGACTGCAGTGCTTGGATGGAAAACGCCAACATCGTTCAAAGCTCTTGTACCATCATCTTTTTCGCGATTTTGTTGTGATTCTTCATCTGTTCCAGAAACAGGACCTTGTCGTGAGCCTAAATGACCGGCAGTCATTTCATCAGAGATTGCATTTTGACCATCTCCAAGCTTACGATCGCTGATGAATAAAGAAGCAATGATTGGAACTGCACTTACACCTGCTGCAATAATCAAAGCAACGTGCATATACACATTCCATGCATCATTGAATGCTGTTCTTTCAGGTGATCCTAAAGGCCATGCAGCAGTTGCGGAGAATGGAGAACCATAAACGGTTGTGATCATTTCTGCGCTTACGCCAACTGCACTTAATTTGGATTGCAAGTTGGGTAATAAGTACGTATCTTGTAAAGAACCCAAAATTGCCGTTCCACATGCACCACCGATCTCTGTCATGAGTAAGACGAAGGCAGTAACCATGGCAACGTATTGATGACGAACGCTAACTTGAGCGGCTACCTGAAGGGTGACACCCATGAAACCACCTCCCATTCCTTGTAAAATTTGAGGGAAAACGACTTGAACGGTAGTCGAGGACGTTTCACGATAACGAATCATCAAGCCGATACCCAACAAACGGATGCAGCATCCGGCAAACAAGATCCACTTGTAACGTTTCAGTCCCAAACTTGCTGCACCTGCAATGATACCAAAGACGGTCAAACAGAGTGATTGTGTGTTACTGTAATATGTGGCATCCTTGTTGCTGAAATCTTTGACGATCAAAGACCAGTAGTAGGCAGGAGACCAACTGATATAAAATGCCATAAAGTCAAAGAAACCGATGAAGAAAGCAGGTAGGATGATATCCTTGTTAAGGAAGTACTCCAAGCGCATGATTGGTCGAGAGGCAACTAGCCATTCCCATAAACCGATGCAAATGATCGAAACACCGCCCAAAACGAACATTGCGATAATGTATCCTGAATTGTATCCGTCGGGTGCGTTTGCCTTCAAACCCAAGGCCAACAAAACCAAAACAAAACCTGCGGTGATGAAGAATAAGCATCCTAGATCCATATCAGCACAAAATTGACGTAAAGCTTGCATGAATGGCATTTTGAAGTAAGGATGACGAGGGATCAAGCCAGACTTCTTTGAACGATTTTGAGCGATAGCCAAACAAAGGATGATTGGACCGATTGCGACTGGAGCAACGATTGCGAATGAGCCTGGACCCCATCTCCATGTATTTGTGGTCAAGATTGTCAATGGGTTTGCCAATTGTTCAACGATGAGAGGGGCACATGCAAAGTTGATCAAGTAAGGAAAGCTCAAAAAACCGATTGCCAATCCACGCCATTTTGATGGGAAGTAATCTGCCAAGATGATTTGTTGCATAATTTGTGTTCCTGTGTTTCCGATTGCATAGAATACAGTTCCAGCTGTTAATGCACCGAAACTTTTGCAAGCTGCAATGATGATGAAACCCAAAACGTAAAAGAACAAAGAGATTGAATAACCTTGAGCACGACCAAACACATCGGACAATTTTGCGATGGGGAATTTGCCCACAGCAACGATGACTTGTTGCAAAACTTGAATGACTGAAAGGTAAAGGGGGTATTGCACAAAAGTTTGCGCGGCAGCCCCTTGATACGCATACATTGTGTTGTTGTCCAGCCCATTGACGTAAGAAGTCAAAAAGACGGCAACGATGATCACAACGATGAGATAACCACCGATTTGCATCGTTGCTTCTGCTGCTGCCACACCGACTTGCTTTCCCTTTAAATCAGAGTTGAGGGAAGATACATCATCGCTATGACGTTCTTCTTTTGTGTCTTCCATCATGATGTCGGGTGTTGTTGATGAAGAGGAGGTAGGATGTAGGAGATGATGAAAAGGATGGTGAGAAGGAAGGATGTTTATATATCTTCAACTTTTTCACTTGAGAAGAAAATCTTTTTCTTGATGTCCACTCTAGTTTTACCTGCTTGTGGCGTTTCTTGGCCAAGAACTGAAAACAGCTGCAGGTACCACAAATGCCGAGTGGATGGGAGTGAGTTGTTTGGATATCAGATCAAAAAAGGGAATGATTGCCGTCAATGCATTGCCCTCCTCCGTACTGCCTTTTAGCCCCGTTTGATGAGTCTAAAGCGATGCAAATTGTTTGAATACTGCATGTATGCAATAGCCTCGGCATAACCAAAATCAAGCAAAAATAAGAGGAAGAAGGAGTTACATACTTTTGATCTTAACAGATAATGCAAGGTGCATAAAATCAGTGTGATCCTTTATCAGATCAAATTTTAAAAAGTAAAGTTTTAGTGCAAGAAGAAATTTAATAAAAAGGAAAGAGTCTTTGTCGGCTTGCATACTAACAAAGCGTGGAAAATAATCAACTAAGCGTACCCACTCTTACACGCTTCCGGGATTTTGGACTCAGGGCGGGCGCGGCGCCAAGGACATCCATCTTCTCGCCCGAAAAAAATGACAAAGCGAGAAAAGCCGTTAACAGTGGCATGATTTGATACCGCTTGCCGAGAGTTGTCCTAATCGATTGCCAAAATAAATCAATCGCACTTAGCATGAATAATTCAGGTACAAGCCACATCTGCCATATGCACAGTTGTAATCACCATCCATCTATAAACTCAGACCGCCTTGGCATGTCAATAGATGTCTATCAGATCAATATATACTTCCTTTTAACCCTTTGAGTGATGAGCGTAATTCATACTTTGATAGTGCTGCCGAAGCGTTCGCATCCAACTCGGCCGTTCGCAACGTTGAGAAGCTTTACCGCAATTCAAAGATCCTACCACACTACCATCTGTTTGATTTTGTCTATAGAATGATATTAGGATGCAACCAAAAATTGTCAAGTAGTACAGGTAAATATGAATAAATATTATCAAATTATGGCTTAAAACGTTCTTCAACAAATCGAGAGATGATCAATTTCTGAATTTGAGAAGGACCTTCATAAATTTCAAAGATCTTTGAATCACGGTAAAGCTTCTCAACAGGGGCTTCAGTATTGAATCCCACACCTCCTGGCACCTGAACTGCATCGTTGTGACTGCAATAGGCGTTCTGACGCGTAATAGTTGTGACTACAATATAATCATCTCTAAGCCAGTATTACGCGCGCGAATACCTTGACTGCGGGAGGGAATACTTAGATATTGCTAAGATACTCGAAGATTACAAAACTTTTGCAATCTTTAAGCACACCACGGTCGTTGACGTGTAATACCCTGTGGCGGTAGTAGGCTTTATAGAAATTGCAAAATTCTTATAGTCTTATAGTCGTACGCTTAGCCGTTTAATGAAATTCGTCACCATGAAGTATGAACAAGCCCTGACAGCTGTATATTAATAAAACTACTAGATAGACACTTTCTTTATTATTCTGAACTTCTTTTTTCTTAGAGAGAGGTGTTGGCCTGAGCGGGTTGGATAAAACGTCTTTACGTCATATACCGCACATACGCCGACGACGACGAAACATTCATTTCATTCCGTAGCAAAAACGCGCTCGTTCTTCCGGTTTCCTTTACTGTATTCAGTTTTTTGCGTTGTCTGCTGAGCAGAAATCCGTAAAGACTATACTGCATCATCTTGAACTTCCCTTTCTTTTTTTTTTTTTCTTTTTTTCTTCAAACCTTCAATCATCTCGATTCATGTCATCCGATCGAAATCATGGCTCCAACAGTAGAAGAGATGTTAACTCGCTTCTCTGAAGATGATAGTGTATCAGACATTAACATTGACTCTAATGATATACAACGTATATTTGATTGGGTTAGAAACACCTTTCCTGACCAATCAGTACCTGTTGATCAACCACCACCACCGCCGCCGCCTCGCCATTCTGAGCCCGTACAGTACACGCAAGAAGAGAAGCAGCAAATAAATGATTGGTGGTGAGTAATGGAGATCTAATTGCAAACGATAATCATCCGTACTGACATAGGAGCTATTATTCGCAGTAAAATTGCAAACATTCTTTTCAATTTGATCAAACAGGCACCAGATTGTCCAATTGCTCTACTTCGCCTCATTCATTCGATTGGGGTCGAGAACGCTGTCCATGTCACAGATCAAAGAGGAGACCTTTTCCTGCCTATCCAAGACTTAGCAGAAGGTACAAATATGCAGCTTTGTGGGCTTCTCAATGCGTTAAATGCGCCAAAGCATAAACCTAGAGACTTCGGTATAGCATGGATGGTTGGCCTTGCTTTAGGTATTCGTACTTTCGACCTTCACAAGCGTGGCCTTCGGCTCAATTCGAGCCAATCTGAAGCCAGAGAGGTCCAGGCATTCAACGAAGCGTCTGGTAATGCTTTGGACAGTAAGTTAAGAGAAAAATCAAGCAGGCAATTGATAACCCTGGTGAATCGTGCTTTACACTGTCTATGTGCTATTACTCCAAACGATTTTTTTGGTGTACCTTTGTTGGCCTACATGGGATTTAATCGTAAGATGCTATCGAGTATGACAGAAGGGGCAATGTCAATCTTTATGGACGTTTTCACCAAGCCGATCAAGTCTCTCGAAGAAATCCTCCCGTCTATCTTGGTGAACCAACGTGTATGGCGATCAGTATACATTCCGATTTTAGATTTTATTGTGATGACCTTGATTCCATTATTGAGGTGAGTATCAGGTTAATGTAATCTTCATCGGGCTACTGATTAGCTTAGCAAACGCGAATTCTTTTCCCTCTATTCTATCAGAGACATCCATAACCGATCTGTTCTGACTGGTTTCGACACCTTACCATCTGCACTCAAACAGCTTTTACCTCTAGCTTCTGGCGGTCAGACTTTTTCAACTCGTTTACAGTTACCCCAACTTTCCTTTAGTGGAAATTTGCAGTCATCAACTGCTCCACCGTTCCAAATGCCAAGTGACGAGTTGATAGACGACCGGTACATCGCCTTGCATAATCAAAAAGGTCAATCTGCTTCAGTAGCAGATTTTGCAGGAGAAATTCGTCTTCGTAACGGAAAGAGCAGGCTTTCGGTCGATTGGAATGAGCAACGTAACCAGCTTTGGCAGGACGTTTCGCATGCTCGTAACTACCATCATTTTGCTGTGCTTCTCAAAATTTTCAATGAAATCGCAAAAGAAAATGCTATTGAAGACTTTCTTCATACATCAGGAGAATTTATTACCCGGGAAATTCTTGAAGAAGCTGAGTACGATATTCGTGAACGAAAGACACGACATCTACTTGTATCTGAAGGTGAAGGAGAAATCGCATTCGGCCACGACCATGTTCCGATTCCCCCTGTCAAATTATGGCCGTTCGATCATACTGCTTGGCAAGAGCTCCTTCCAAGATACCAAGCTTGTTTTCGTATGTTTACTCCTGGTGTTGAACCTACAGATGATGATACGAAGCGTATCGATCAAGGAATTAATCTTCTTCAAGAGCAGAATTCCATACTCTCTGCAGAAGACGATCGCGATCTATTACTGAAAGTCTTAATTCAAGTGGCAGTAGAGCATATTACGATTCACGCAGGTATTCTAGATGGAACGAAGACTATTAGTGAATTATGGTGCTCTCAAAATCCGCCTTTACCTCGTCAAGAAGATGCTAGCGAAATTTATGAATGAGAGGGAGCAAAAAGACTTCTTATGATTAGCTTTCTTCTCTTTATATGACTTCTGTTAGAAATATGATCAGTATCAAGATAAATAAATCCGTTTTCAATCTATTAGCATCATTCGCCTATTACGATAACTATTTATGTGTGAGTAAGAGAGACATAAACTCGCAGTATATGGCGGAAGAAAGATTGAAAAACTTTTCAAAATCTTGCAATATCTAAATTAGAAGTCTCACGTAGACTTGCCTAACACTTTAGGTCACTTGTAATTATAACAGACATTACAAAAATATTGCAATTTCTCCATGTGCACGGCCTTGCAGATGACAGAGGTATGACGTAGCTCAAGTGGCTGTTACACTGCTCAGTAAGAATAATTCTCTTTCTTATTTTCAACTTCACCACCATCTCCATCATCTCATACCACTTATCTCTACTACCTTCTAACGAAATTTTCTTTGCTTTGACTCTCCATCATAGCCTCCTCTTCAAGATCCTCAAAGCGAGCAAGTAGGAGAGCATCTGCAAGTTCGACGACACAGACGAGTCGGAGATCATCTGGAGGCGCGGTATCACTACCTACACCAACATTTTCTCAAGAGGAACTTGATCGTGTTTTCTGGGTTAAATCTGAGAACCTCGAAGGTAGACCGTCCCGTCGTATGATGATTGATTTGGCAAATGATGATGACTTGTCTATCGTTCCTCCGATGACACAAGAGACTAGAAATCGTTTGGTGCGTGCGGTACAATTGAAACATGATAGAGAACGAGACAAAACCCCAAGCACAGATGAAGAATTCGTGAAATTGTCTGTCACATATCAATTTATCGATAATCGTGGCCAGGTCAATATTCGTAATAAAGCTGGTGATCATTCATCGGTCGCCGTACACCACGGCTCAGCAGCAGCATCAAACACAGAGGTCTCCTCTATTTTTCACAATGGTGAAAGCTTCACGTCGGGTGCTTTGAACACTCAATTACTCTTTCAGTCACACAAGAAGCGGTGGGAGGTGATCCGATTCATTGCTTTGAAAAATCTCCAAGTGTTCTGTACCCATAAGTTCGATGTATCTGACAAAGATCATATGAACAAGTGGATGAAGGTTTTAGGACTCCGCTTCGACCGACAAGAAAATTACGAGCCTTGTCTTGATTATCTCAATCTTCTCTCGAAGCACGATAACTTTGAATTCACACGACCTACCGTTCTTCGAAACAGCTTTGAGATAGTTGTAAAATGGGAGAAGGAGGGTGGTAACAAAGAACGTATCAAAGCCTATCTTCAACGTCGACTTCTAACGTACTATCACTCTGTCTATCTGAAGCATTGCAAAAACAATGGCGAGGCTGCGGACCTGGCTCCATATCTTTGTATCCCTGAGGAAGAACGATTACGGAAAAAATTCGAACTTCAAACTTTACAACAGACTTTTACGGATGCAGGATTCAATCATGGTCTACCGTTTACATGTGTACCATTCAAAGAACCCAATTCAGACATGGAATTAGATGGGCGATGCTTTTATGTTCATTCAAACGCAGTTCTCAGAGACACAAACAAAACAAACCTTTACACAAAGAATACGATTGATACTCTTAAAACAGTCATGGATATAGAAAAGGCTTGGAGAGAACAACGAAATAGGAACTCGCATCATGTTGACGGAAAGGAGGCTAAATCATTCGTTCGGATGCTAGAAACACAAGAATTCAAAAAAGCCGTGCAATTACGAGGACCTGATGCAGAAATGATCCGATTAATAAAGTCACAGTTCCGTCATCTTTTTGGCTCAGGATACGGAAGCTTTGATGATAGTGACGATCTACTACAAACTTACATTTTGCCAAACGTGATTGATGGCGAACTTACTGATTATGAGAGTGTTCCCTCCTCTTCGCAATCGTAAATTGAATCGATTTTCAACTGTCTCTACTCTTTTCTATTGTATACGATCTGTTTTTCACATTCAATTCATAACCATTTTAACGAGAAATTGTGCAGTTAGCTATCGGAACACCGTTTGAGACATGTTCTTGACACTTTCAGGTCATAATGCGTGTGTTGAAACCATTTTTTGGTGGTTAATTTATTGCAATGGCGACCCGTGCGCCTTGAAAAATTGCAATTTTTTTGCAATTCTGATATAGTCACCCATGACAAAGTACACAGAAAAAGCATTTTTCCATGCGCCCAAGCCATAAGCACACGCATACGCATAAACCCACACGCACCTCTTCTAAAGAACCGCAGCGCATATATTCATCTCTTCCCGCCGCCATCGTAAAGAATAGCAACCCGTGCTAGCTTTCCTCGCTCTGTACCTGAGCAAGGAAAAGATCTCGAGAAAGTCTTTCAAGATAGACAAACTTCACAAATTGAACAGCTCCACGGATTTTTTGATGATTTTGATGCATTTGAAGAATTGGCTGAGCATGCAGAGGTTTTGCAAGTAGCTCCTAGAACCAAGCTTCGCTGGGAATCTCGTAAAGCTTTTTTGGTTTCTTTCATCCGTCTATAGCTTCAAAAGAAGCATCCTGAATCAATCGATTATATTGATCAGTTTTTCACAAAACCACCAAAGCGACAAATTCCTGATGGTCTTTGGCGTATCATTGCAAGGGCATGTTGTAAGAGACAGAATGAGAATCGAATCACTGCAGGCAGGCCGCTCTCCTTCAAAACATCACTGTCTAATCTTGTTGGAGTTTTCAAAGCATACAAGCTTCTCACTGGAGTATAGATCCATTCGGATATTCAGCAAGATTGCTTATCGTACATACGATTTACTCTTCAAACTGAATTGTCTCTTCTCGGGCCTCAGAAGATGATTTGGGCTGTATAGGAGAATATCAAAGACTTCGTTTGTAAAGAGATTTTCGGTGGAAAGTTCACTTCTTTCAAGACGCCTCGTGAACGGATCACAATCGCAACCGTCATTTCTTTACTCACCTTTACCGCTGCGAGGCCAGGTGAATTGGTTGTTTCGTCAGGATACGAAATTGATAATGAAGGTCTTCGCTGGGGGGATGTCGAGTTCTTTTTATCCTTGAACCTGGAAAAAGGTCAAAGCACTTCGACTCGCTTACAGTATCGTGCTAATATCACTATTCGAAATCTGAAAGGCAAACGTAAACAAGGCCAGTATCGTACACAGTCGATATACGAAGATGATTCGATCCTAATTATACTCGATGCAACTATACTCTTACTTATTCTTGCAGTAATAGATAATGCGATTGATTGCACTATCTTTGGAGAAGGGGCAGTCGATCCAATACAGTTTCTCACTTCTCCAAATCCGAAACTTCTTCCTCCTAGAAAGGATTACATTCAGATTGAGATCCTTGCAGACAAAGCGGATCTAATGGTTTTTCGGGAGTCTGAACGGGACACACAGACTAGAGAATGGTGTACCAACCCTCTTGTTGGATTACGTTATTATTCACTGAACAATTTGATGCGCTCGATCCTTCAACGTTCGGACTATACTGTGTTCCTACTCTATGCTATCCGCCGTTGTGTCTGTACGGCTATCAACAAGCCTGAGGTGTCTTCTACGGATGCACGTTTAGCGATTGGTCATTTAAAGGGTTCTTCGATCTATGAGAAACATTATGTCTCTAAGTATTCTGAAATCGATTTTCAAGGGCTTGTTACCAAAGGTATACAAGATCATGCATCTATCTTAAAGCAAGGTATCGCGCAGGAGCCAAAATTTCTATTGACAAGTCAAGAATTACTTCAGATCGAGGAGAATACAGAGCTGAAAGAACTTCGTCAGAAAATTTCTCAAATGAAGAGACAGATACTTGAAGAGTGTCTATCGCTCACAGCTGTAAAAGTTATGATGAGTCAAACATACTATGCATTCGAGTAGATCACAACAAAATACTCTTATTTACAAACCGTTCTCCGTGTTACTGTAAAGATTCAAAAAGGGAGGACGATAATAAAGGATAAACAGCGAAGTTTATTCTAAGGAGCGCAAGAAGCTTTGCTTGAAATTCAAGCCGAGGAAGAAGATCTCACAGCCTTATTCAATGAAGAGCAAACAGCTAGAGATCAGAGCACAACAAACATAGCTGAGGGAAGTAGTAGCAGGATTGCAAGAATTGAGCAATCTACGGAAGAATACCTGGACTCACGCTCAATCGTGATCAGACAAAATCTGGCGGGACTTGTTGAGCGTTATACCGCTCATACATCATCTCAGTTTAAGCAGCAAGAAATCAGTCGTCTGACTTCGATTTCGTCGGTAGAAGGACGTCCTTCTCTTAAAGAAGTATACAGCCTGTTTATTCGCCCCTATGGTACCCTTTTGGCCTTAGTAAGCTGTCCTTGTTGCAATCTGGATTTAGCTACTTTCACTCAACAAAAGCGTCAATCTCACATCTCGGCATGCGTACAGAAGGCTCTACTCAATGAAGTTCCTATGGTTATCGCTTCTGCCTTCTCTCTTACCCGCCATTCAATACAAAGAGGATCGGACAAGTAGACTTTATGTCCTTACAGTAAATGTGTACCCAGAACCAAGGAAATACCCGAAACCATTCAGACAGAGCAAGATGCGATCTCTTTATTGGAACATTTCCGTCATCATCAAGATATGAAAGTACCTTCCAGGAACCCGGATACGATTCTGAAATGTCTATTTTATCGGGATGACGGACAGCTTTGTGATTTCGCTGTTATTGATGACGAGACAAATGAAGCGGTGACATGTCTACGTGCTAGCGATTACAATATCGTTCAATTGCGTGTTCATCAAGAAAAGGCTCATGGGATCTATGCATTACGGGCGAGTGAGATTGTTCGGCGTTGCGATTCACATGACGAATGGCTAGTAGGGTATGATCAGATTGAGCAACATTATCAACGACATTATGAAGATTTGGTAGGAAGCGGTGCTGTACCAATTGATCATACTAAACATTGTCTATTCTGCCTCCATGATGAACAACTTCGATTTTCATTACGGATGAAAGAGTATCAGTATTCTTCAGATCTAGCAAAGCATTGTAATTCAACACATTTGCTTCGCCATCGCTCTCCAACCAAGACGTGTCCAGAATGTTGGGATGAAGTCGGTATACGTCAAATCTTCGACCATCTCATTGACCATGGCTGGCATTTGGCTGGCAAGGCTGGTTTACGTACTGTACGACCGACTCACATTAATGGAGATTTTTCGCAGCTGGTTCTTCAAGGTAAGCGTGAAGAGCGAGCATCAATATTACAAGGATTCGAGGATTACATTGCTTCTTTAGATGGTAGCATGGAGTATCAAGATAAGCAAATTCGGAAGCGTAGATCTTCGGAGAAACGAAAAGTTTCTGTGAGCGACGCCCGAGATAAGATTGCGCAGACAAGAATCAAAAAGCACCAATACTACCTTAATGGAGAAGGCAGCAACCGACCAACAAGACGTCCTAAAAGCCGGGGGTATCTTCTGACGAATTCAATTCAAGATGAAAATACGGACGATAGAGAAAATGATGTGCTAGAAGGTCAACAATCGATGAAAGAAGGCAGTTTAGGAATGGATGCTAGTTCAAGCCGTAACACTCTCGACAGGCCAGCGCTTTCTGACTCAACAAATCTCTTTGAACGACATCCTGACTTAGCATGAAGGAATGAAATTTGACATTACATACATAGAGATCGTGTACCCTATCCAAAAAAAATGTGAATCTATGGTTTGAAGCGTTGTTCAATGAAACGAGAAATGATCAGCTTTTGTATCTGGGTAGGGCCTTCGTAGATTTCGAAGATTTTTGAATCACGATATAATTTCTCTAATGGATACTCTGTGTTATAACCTGCTCCTCCTAGAATGCTCAACCCTTCGTCAGCGTTGCGAACGGCCGAGTTGGATGCGAAAACTTTGGCGACACTGGCAAAGTATGAATTACGCTCTCCAGCATCCTTTGTAGCAGCTGCTCTCCACGTCAAATTTCTACTTGCTTCAACACGAACAGCCATATCTGCCAATGTGAAAGCGATTGCTTGATGTTGAATGATTGGTCTTCCCATCGTCTTACGTTCGTGTGCGTATGTAGCAGCTTCGGACAATGCACGAGATGCAACACCAGTTGCACCTGCAGCAATCAAAGGACGGGTAATATCAAATGCTCCCATGGCAATCTTGAATCCATCTCCAGGTTTACCAATCACGTTTTCTTCTGGAACTTCGACGTTTTCAAATGTGATCATACGTGTATCCGAACATCTCTGTCCCATGTTAATCTCTTTCCTTCCACGAATGATACCAGCAGAATCTCCATCGACAATGAAGCCAGTCATTGATTTGTTTGCTTTTTGTGTTGGATCAGTCTTTGCTAAAACGAAGAACCAGTTTGCGTGTCCACCATTTGTGATCCACATCTTTGTTCCGTTTAAGATCCATTTGTCTCCCTTCTTTTCTGCTTTTGTGGTAATGTTTGCGACATCGGATCCAGCTCCAGGTTCAGTAACACAATAAGAAGCAACTAATGGCTCTTCGGTCATTCTTCCCAAATACTTCTGCTTAAGTTCGTGTGATCCAGCAACAAGAAGAGGTGCTTCTGCCAAACCGTTTGCTTCGATTGCAGTTTGAATACCTGAACAACCATATGCGAGTTCTTCAGTCACGAGAGCACCTTCTAATAAACTCAAACCGGCACCACCATACTCTTCTGGAATGTGTGTGTTTACCAATCCAGCAGCATGTGCATCTTTGATGATTTTCCAAGGATATTCCATCGTTTCATCATGATGACGTGCGGCAGGAATGATGTTTTCTGCTGTGAAACGACGTGCAAGTTCTTGATATGCTTCTTGATCTTCACTTAGTTTGAATGATGGACCCAAACCAGCTGCAGCTGCTTCTGATGCGAATCCACGTTGACCAGTCAAAGCTGTACGTTTGACTGCCAATGAAGAAGCAGCGCGTGCGGTTGTAGAACGAGCCAAGAAAGACATCTTTGTGAGTGTACTTTGAGCTGTGATGGCGGTAAAGAGAAGGAAGGGTATGTTCGCTTAATTGGTTCATACAATCGGGCGAATAAGATTTAATAATAGAAGGGGTTTGAGTGTTGTTTTGAATGAGGAATGGGGGAATGCACTTCAGCACTTCCTTTAGTGGGGTGACTTATGCAACTCAAAGGCTTTCATCAATAATGCTTATTCAATATTTACCCATTTCACTGCTCTCACGCCTACAGTACACTCCTTCGGCCATAGCGGGGAACCGTTTGACCGGGCTCGCGTACTTTTCTCTCGTGCATACAATAAACGTGAAAGCAGCGTCAGGCTGTTCAATAATAAATATTACGTAATACTAGTAGCTCATGACCATCAATCTATTGCCTGGGGGCTGGGGGTGAGCTTGACTGCAGTGCCATACGCACAATAATGATAGGTACCCGAATTAACGGTCGAGTCATAGCGAACAGCAACAATCTAAAAAGAATCATTAAAGGTGGTAAGAATATTGCTGTGGAGAAACGTCGCAAATGGCACTACTCACGGCATCTGCACCGAATCGACTTGCGTCCTTTTCCATCTCGGTAATAGCTCGACGTCGAGCTCTTGTAAACTCTTGCAAAGGGTTTCCTGGCCACAAGACGCAAACGCCGAGCACATGATTCATGTTGCTTGATTGGTAGCCTGTCAAGAATGTCAGTGAGTATTCCAGATCGTGATCTTGCATTCTCATTTAATATCTACCAGGCACGCTTTCAGCCGTTGTCACGATCATTCTGTTGAGGGTTTGCGATGTCTAAAGATGCTAAATGGTAGTCAATGCGGAAAATAGAAGAAAGAATATGTGAACTTGTTAATATCTATATTCTTCATCAGACATCATTGACGTATTTGACAGCGGTACCGTAAGCACAAACTTCTGAGAATTGCTGTTGTCCCGTCGAGTCAAAGCGCATGGCTACGATCTAAGAAGGAGGAATAATGAAATGAGAGAGTAGCACGCAATATCATATAAATCAGATTCACTCACCGCATCGGCACCTCGCGAATGTGCCATACCAATCATTCTATCCAATGCTTGTCTTCTGCTTTGTTCGAAATTCTTAGTGAATGCAGCCACTTCACCACCAGCTAATGATCTCAATCCGGCACCGAGACTAACGCCAATGTTTCTTGCACGAACCGTTATACCGAATACATGTCCTAAATGAACAATTTTTTTACCTGGAACAGAACGGAAGATGAGTCACAGGCCGCTCTTTGTAAGAATAGCTTTGTGCTGCACTCACCTGGAATTTCATCAGCGGTTGTGATGAGCATCAGAGAATCAACGGCGTCCATATTGAAATGAAATGAGATTTTCGGAAGGGAAAAAGTGGTAGGAATGAAATGAAAGAATGCTAAGACTGAAAGGGTAAACCGGGCTACCTTTTATACCTTCAACATCACACCATCAATCCTTTGCCGGCCGGCCAAAGTGGATTGTCCGCATGGCTTATGTTGCATTGATTGTTTGTTTTGACATGAGCTAAATTTCCACGCTATTCATTCCGACAATCTTCCGTCAAAAAGCGATCATCTGCTTAAACAAGTTTCCCGTGTAGAACGCGTCAATTTACGCGTCGCGATAATAGACAACATCGTGTTTCAGTGTTCGGATAGATCCCTCAATCATTTGTCAAATTCATAAGACGTAAATGATGCTATAGATATGACTGAAGTTTGCTAGAAAAGTACATGATACAAAGAAGAGTTCAGTGAAAGATTGAGATGCTTAGAGTACATAGTGCTTGGTATTGTTTCCGTACGTAAAGAGAGAAGAATTGGAACTTGAAGAGAGAGGGAAAAAGCGAGCGAACAGGTCACTCCCTTGGTGAGCTTGCTATTCCATTCGAACGGAAGGGAAGTGTTGAGACTTGAGATATCGGATGCATGCAAGTGTGATGCCGAGGTCACTTGCTCTACCCCTCTATCCTAGCCCTCCCCAAACACCTCGTATCCGTCTGGCCAGCTGGATATCCCGTTGCATAAGTGTGACTCTTTTGGCATGGATTGCACAAAGATTTGCATCCTCAAACAGATGAATCAGATATGCCTCTGTCGCTTCTTGCAATGCCATAATAGCGGTACTCTTCCAACGTAATCCGCTATTCCCTATTCCACCATATGCGCTCGTAATGAATTCATTAGCAACCTCTCTTACCAATCGAGCAAACGGTAGTTTTGGTATGAGTAATTCCGTAGTCTTTTGATATTTTCGAATCTCTTGTAGTGCTTTCGTCCCTGGTCTCAATCTCCTCTTCTTTCTCGTTGGTGTATCTGGTTCTCGAGCTCCTGACGATCTTCCTGGCGGTCCGGATACTGAATGAAGAAACAAAAAAGTGGGCGCATATAGTCAGTCAAAATGTGATCAAATGAAGCAAAAGCTCGCATACTTACAGCTACTTAGAGATTTTTGCGATCGCTGTGGCCCTTTTGCTCCAGTGGATGCCCTATTACCACCTTGTATCTTTGCCATTTTATGCAAAGGTGTCCGTTTTGCTGATCAGAGAAAGCTGAATCTTGGGTTGAGGGTATAAAGGAATTCGACTGTGAGTGGGCGATGGATCAAGACAGTTTCTTTGTGCACAGAATGACGTTTGAAGAACAGTCTAGGATGTCATGTCAATGATGTGATGGTCGAGTAGTGGTGCACAGAGTGAGAGCAGGAATAGCATTCATTCCCACTAGTGCTTGTGCCTTACGGACCTTTTCTGTGATTTATCGCGTCTGATTAGATAATCTCGACCTAATACCTTCTTCCGCTCGTGCTTTTTATTTCTTTGACTTTTCCTCTGAAAAAATGCATTCGGGCTAGGTCGTATGCCCTGTTCTACCTGCGCAGCGCGCGCCTTGCCTGACAAATTAAGAAGAAAAGCCGGGAAAGACTAAAAAAATTGCATGTATCGACAAAGTTCTCATCGTCATCTCAGTCATCATCACCTCAACACATCCATCAAAATGGCTTTCCCTGTTGCAAGAACGAGCGGATACAATGCTCTTCGATCTATAAGCAGAAGCGCATCTGCTCAAACTTCTCAAAGAAGACTATTCTCAAACACAAGAAGAATGTGTGTCGAAATGGAAAAAGCACCTGCTGCAGCAACACCAGAAGCACCTTCAGCCGGACCATCCTCCTCAAAATCCTCATCAAACAGTAATGCATCTCCAAAATTGACATCAATCGTTGATCAAATCGAAAAGCTAACCTTATTGGAAGCAGCAGAATTAGTCGCTCAATTAAAGGAAAGACTGAATATTCAAGATATCGCAATGCCTTCCGCCAGTGCTGGTCCTGTTGCTGCCGCTCCAGCTGCTGAAGCCGCACCTGTAGAAGAAGAGAAGCCAAAGGAAAAATCTTTGTTTACTGTGAAATTAAAGGGATTGAAAGATGCAACTGCAAAGGCTAAAGTGATCAAAGAGATTAAAGCATTAAACTCAAATATGAACCTTGTCGAAGCAAAGAAGTTTGTCGAAAGTGCTCCTCAAGTTCTCAAAGAAGGATTGACAAAGGAAGAAGCTGAGAAACTACAAAAAGCAATCGAAGCAGCTGGTGGTCTCACAGAGACAGAGTAAAGGATGCAATAAAGAACTGCATCCTTCAACCCCATTCAACCTTCTATTGAACAACATCTGTATTGCTATCTCATCATCATCCGCTCTCGCCTTTGTTGTCAATAATATCTCGTTTGTCTATCTCTTTTACAGCAAAACTAAATTTCATGTGTAGTGTACATTGTGTGGTATGCGGATAAGCTTACAGACCTGGCGGTCTAACTGGAGGTGGTCCAGGAGGAGGGCCAGGTGGCTTTGGTCTTTGTCCTCCTTCCGTGTGGGGAGGAGGGGAGTAGCTTTTTGATTCTTCACGCTCTCGTCGAGCGACTGGTGAACGCGAAGGCGATCGAGACATCGACCTTGATCGTGAGCGTGAACTTTGAGATCGTGAAGATGGGGTCAAACTGCGAGTAGCTTGCCTTCCTCTTGTACGCTGATCTGGTGTGTGTGATTTGCGGGTATTACGTTGAATGGGCGATCTACTAATACTTCGAGAATCTTCTCGCCTCCTTTTCATTGATCGACGGGGAGGTGAGCGAGAGCGTGAGTCATAGCTGCTAGATCTGCTTCTCGAACGCCTTCGTGGTCGTGGACTTCGTGAACGACTGCGTGAGTCTATACTGCTACTACTCTGTCTTCTTGCTTTTCGTCTGGGACGAGGCGAAGGAGAACGAGAATCATAGCTTGAACTGCGAGCCCTTCGTCTTGGAGCAGGTGAACGGGAACGAGAATAAGATCGGTCTCTACGCCGTCTAGGAGAGGGTGAACGAGATCTCGAGGAGGATGAAGAACGTGATAATGATCGATATCGACGTCTTCTAGGTGCTGATGACTGAGATAGCGATCTAGATGATGATGGAGACCGCCTCATTCTTCGTGAAGGCGGCGATGGTGATCTGGACAACTTTCTCTGATCTCGATCCCTTTCACGTTTGTGTCTCTCCTCTTCACGTCTCATCCTTCGCTCTTCATCATCTCGCCTCTGACGTACAGCACGTTCGCGCTCTTCAGCTGCTCGAACACGCTCTTCGTCCCTCCTCTTCCTCTCTTCAATCCTTTCCTGCTTCATCTTTTCTTGTAAGTCACGATCAAATGCATCTCCTTCTTTGTAATCTTGCCGAACGCCCAAAGCTCTTGACAGGTTTCTAGTCTCATCCGCTTTTGCAGCTCCCCAAGCATGTGTATCAGAAGGTCGGAGTGCTTTCGTTTCTTGTCTTGTGAATCCACCATATTGGTTGCTAGCAGCTGACTGAGCTTTCTGTTGTTGTTCAGCCATTTGCTCCAACAACTTCTTTCTCAACTCAGCTACCTGCTCTTCAATCTTTGTCTCCTCAACCCCATCTTCCTCTAGTTGTAGCTGCAGCTCCAAGCATCGAACTTCAATCTTGCGTTTACGTTCATGCTCTAGAATCCCTTCGTCCGGTTGACGATGCTGAACCCTTTGTTCTTCTCGTTTTCGATAATCTGCCGTACTTCCTGTACCTTTACGGAAATCATCCCTTGGCGGTCGTACGTTGGATAGATTCTTTTGAACGTATCCATTCGTCGCACTTCCCCGAGTAGTGGATAGACCTATGCCGTTGTATGACATGTTTCCCTATTTGATGGAGGGATGAATGAGGATGTATGGATGCTTTGATATTTGTTCATTATTATTTTTTTGGCGGTGGAGTTTGCCTTTATAATTTACGCGTATAAAATTACGCCTGCTTGGTGTGCAGGGTTACATACACCTTTCCGCTCTCTCTCGATCATTACGATTCAAATTGGAAATTGTATTGACGCATCACAAGGGGAAAACCTCTACAAAAAGATAAAAAGTGAAAGAGTTTGATTACAGAAATAGAAAGAAATCGAGCGTCTAGCAAGCAACAAGAGATAGAATTCTCGTGCACGAGCAGAAGGTATTGCAAAAGAAATAAAATTAAAGCAAACGGGTTAGAAAACGAAAGTGGTTGATCGATTTTGTTGGAGTGAGATCCTGTTTAAAAGAATTGTCCCCATGAATGTATAGTTTGCAAGAAATGATCGAAAGAGTGAATGTTTGTTTGCGTGTGCGTGCTTGTGAGAAAATTGATGACGTTCTGGCTCCATCAAGGGAATGCCGGACGATTAGCAAGAAAGATAAAAATACGAATTTTTGAAGAGAGGGTGATGGTCAAGAGACAGTGCTCTTTTTTAGTGCATCATCATATTGTTAGCAATGGAGTAGCACTTCCCGTACTTGATGCGTTTCCTGTATTCGCTGCTGGGGTTGTAGTTCCTGAAGAAGCTGGAGTGGTTCCTGAAGAAGCTGGAGTAGTTCCTGGAGTCGATACAGAAGGAATCAATGAGGTGATGCCGGTCAAAGGTAGAGATGTAGCCGCACTAGAAGCACTTGTGCTTGACATCGAAGAGGTAGACGAACTTGAAACAGAGCATGCTGCACCGCCCAAGAACGTTCCCAAATTGACAGGACCTGCACATAATGTGTTTTGAAGTGATTGACTAACTCCACCAAGTAAGCCTGGCAATCCTCCAGCATTTGCTCCATCCAAGATGGGGTTGAGAATACTTCCCAACTTTCCTCCGAATCCAAGTTGATTCAATAGACCAAGAAGTTGTCCGACATCGTTCAACAAAGCAGTAGGGAAGCCACCACCACCATTACAACTATCACCCAAAGGCAAAACACCCTTGTCATCCTGTGGGTCATCTTCAATGGTGATATAGTATTGTGTGCACACTTGATCTTGGGTGTAATGCAAACCTGGAACAAAGTATTGCTGCGATTGATCTGCTGCTTGGAATAGATCCAATTGAATCACGTTCTCCAATTTGAGCGATTTACCGATCAATGGCAGAGAGCCAAGAACACCTTTTGTCAAGAGAATATCCTTCACTCTTCCAGTGGTCTTTGGTGTCTTGGGATTGATTACAACCGTTCCTGAATTGGCTGCATCGCCATCACTGAAGCCGTTGTAGACGTTGGTAAAGGTTGCATATTGATCATTTGTTCCTGCACTGAAAATGTTTGAATAAATTTCCTTGAACAGCAATCCGGATGGTAAGTCGTTGTTGAAATCAACATAGGCATCCGCGTAGGCTGGGATTGCGGTATTTGTCTTATTACCCAACAATAAGCCTCCCAGTACTTGACCAAGCAAAGAAGCAATAACAGACGGACCCAAGTATACACGAACATCGGAAATGACCAAAGATCCGATACCTTCCAAAGCAGTATCTGCTGTCACGCCAGCCAAACCAGTATTCAAAGAACCATACGGTGACAATGGAGCGGGATCTGTAATGCTAGGGTTACCTCCTCCGTTGATCGTCAATGGAATCGTGTCCTTCTTTGCACCGCCTCCTGTAGTGTCATCAGTAGGCGAAACATAACGACGAATCACTTCTTGAGTGTCACTGTTGTTGTTAATGATCATGAGTTCAAACAAGACTGGGATTGCATTCGTACCGGGAACCAAGTTAAGGACTGGAATGAAAGCACGACCAATGTTTGTGTTTGCAGTTCCTTGATAGAATGTTGGCAGACTAATTTGGTTGGAGTGCACAGTCAAATTACTTGGGTTCTCGAGCGAAGTGTTCAAATGGACACCGAGATAAGCAGCAACAGGGTCATCGACGGAACTGCTGACGAGATCGATCTTATGGTTGAACGAATTAATACCGGCCAAAGAAGTTGTAACGTTGAAGGGAATGTGTTGAATTGGAATTCTTCCGATCACAGTTTGCGCCAACACATCCGTACTACCCTTTAGACCAAACGTTGCACTTGATGTATCAGTCAAAGCGCCAAAGAAGGATGCAAACGAAGGATCATTGAGCGAATTGATGGTTTGGTTTGTGAAACCGAAACTCAAATCAACCTTTTCGCTTGGGTTGTGTGAAACTGCTGAATTAGCTTCGATAGTGGGCAAATTGAGTGAGGCTGTGTCGGCACCCATGTATGTGATCGTGATGGATGGCTTCAAGTTGACAACGCTCAAACTGAACACCAATGGGTTGGCAAACGTGGCTGTTGTGTGTTGGTTGGTAGCAGGAACGTGGAAGTCTTCTGATTGATTTACCAAGTACACTTCCAAATCTGATAATGTGATTGCGAAAATGATTTGGTAAATGTGACCTGGCAAGATAACTTGGGTACTGAAACGTTTGAAAGCGGTTGTGAGCCAATTGATTGGTTGACCACCAGATGCAGGTCCAATAACATCATATCCACGAATGGTCAAAGTACTGTTTTGACCTGCGAGGTATTGTGTAAACAAGACACCCAAATCAGCCAAACCTTGAGGATTGTTGGATTGATCGCTCAAGTAACCCTTCAAAATTGCATCAGTTGTAGTTTTGTAAGCCAAAAATAATCCTGAAGACGAAGCACGACCAATGTTCGTCTGTTGGAAAATCAAATCAAACGTTGCTTGACCCAATTCGACACCCAAACCAGCTTGTGATGGAATAGCAACACCAGTTGTGATCAAGATTTCTTTGTCTCCATCACCATTCGTCTCAAAGCTTGTAATGACAATACCAGGTAACCCATTGAAAGCATCCAATTGAATCGTCTTGGACAATTGAACCTTGCTGAATTTGATACCCAAAGTTCGCACAGTGACTGTGTCTGAGTGTAAAGTCCATTGGAAGTTTGGCTCGGTCAACAAGTAGTATGCGAAATCAGCGAATGCGTCAGTCTTGCCGGGCAAGATTGTCAATTGAGCAGTGATTTGCAAGTTGGGAATACCATCTGGAACATTTGTGCACAAAGGTGGAATTGCCAAAGTTGCAATATCTTGCCCTTGGAAGTTAACGGTCAGTCCATCAGGTGCTTCGATATAGGCATCAGCAGGTGCATTTGTCAACAATTGACCCAAGATGGCAACCGTGAATCCTTCATTTGTCAAAGAGGTGGCATTTGCACGTGATGTTGACAATGTTGCTTGATCGACGATCAATTGAATCAAAGGTGCAGCTGCAGGACCAACGAGGTACAAGATTGAATCGTCGGTACCGACTGGGACAGGTTGTTGGATGAAGTTCAAATTGGTTTGATAATCGTCCAATTTTGTGACCGATTGAATGGGAATGCTGACAGCCAATGGAGCAACTAGCTTCTTGATGGCGCCCAAGGTATCAAATGGATCTCCACCGCTGCATGGAGGAGGTGAATCATCAGGGTAAGGACTGACTTGTGTAGCTGCATCATTTGGCAAATTCAACACTTCTTGGAAGAATGGTGGCAATGGACCAAGAGAGACACCATAAGCTTGAGCAGCAGCCAGAATGAATCTAAGCAAATTCTTTGGATTGATATTAATGTTGAATGGGACTGGTTGTGAAGTAGAAACTTCATGTCCAGGTGCGTTGATGATATTATTGCTTGCAGCCAAGTTTTGATCAATTCTACCAACTGTGATATCTTCAAAGTTTGCAGCAGCATGTAATTCCAACAAGTGAATACCAGCAGTGAAAGGATTGTTGATCGTAACCGTGACAGATGCAACACCTCCATTCTGAGCAATATCCTTTGGAACGGTCAAGAAAGTACGTTGAACCAGCAATTGGTTCAAAGCTGGAATTTGGGTGGACAACTGAATTTGTGCCAAAGCTTGCTTCAATGATTCAATTGGTGTGGTCTGAGAAGTACCCAGAACAATTGCCGTTGAAGTGATATTTTGCACGTAGTTTTCCAATAATTGTTGACCTGCTGCCACGTTATCAGCACCGATTGGCATATATTGAATCTCTGTTGGTACGCTGATATCTCCAGGTGGCAAGAGAATGTTCTTGATCATTGCGTTACCGATGATCTTGTTCATGAATTCAACAGCGAATGAAACATCACCTGCTCCAACGGTAGTATCGGATGGGTTGAACAGTGCAGTATCGACATTGATTTGCAAGTAGGTTGGGTAACCGTGATAAACATCCAAATTGCTGACCACAGCGGGTTTGGCGTTCAATCCTTGCAAACCAAGCAAGTTGGTGTTCAAATTGAATGGAATTTGTGAGATGCTCAATTGTCCAGCTGCAGTGTTCAAGCTGGCATCAGTTGTTCCATGCAAGTTGAATGTGATTTGCTCACGTGCAACGAAGTCGGCAGCAAATTGAGAGAAGGTTTGATGTGCGTTACCGAATACAGCAAACGGAACGTTCGAGAAAGCCAATGTTAAGATACGTGCTTCCACATCAGTTGTTGTTGGTGATGTCGGAATGTTCAAAACGGCCATGTCTTGATTGTTGTAGTTTGCTGTGAAAGGACCGGAAACTTGGGTGATATCAACTGGGAAAGCGAATGGCAAGAAGAAGTTTGCGGTTGTGTTGCTGGAATCTGTTTGTGGGTTCCATGCAGTTGGCACGGTGAAGAACAAAGACAATTGGTTCAAAGAGATCAAACGAATAACTTGGAAGTCTTGAGCAGGCAAAGCAACAGTAACGCGCAATGCTTTGATACCATTGTTCAACCATGCAACATCTGAAGGTCCAGCATAAACACCTTGAACAACCAAATCAGTGTTTTGGTTATGAACGAAACGTGTAAAGATTGTTGATAGATCTGCCAAACCTTGTTGAGAATCTTGTCTTTGAATTCTACCTGCCAATGGAACTTCAGTAACTGCCAATGCTTGCAAAGTGAACGGAACTGCAGCAGCAGAAGGTCCAACATCTGTAGAGCCCATTGAAATATCAACTCCGAATGAAGAGAGCGCAACACCAACTTGAGCAGGATTGTTGATCGTACTGATTGCGGTCAAGTGAATACCGCCAGCAGGGTCATTGTATGGCAAATCGAAAGAGTTGATGATGACTTGTCCCTTCAAACCGTTCAAACCGGTCAATTGAACAGATTTTGTCAAGCTAATTCCTGGAACCTCAATACCAATAGCAGAAACAGAAATACCTGTACCGCGAATATCCCAAACGAAAGAAGGATCCGTGATGGCTGATGACAAGAACTTGGTAAAGTAATCGACATCAGGAATATTACCTTCCAATTGCACGTTCAACGATGAGCCAAGATCTCCGACTAAGGTGATATTGGGGAATGCAGTTTGAGTCAACAATTGATTTTGCCAGTAAATGCTCAAGCCTTCAGGGAAAGTGACGATGCCGTCGAATGGACCTGCATTTGTCAATGCACCTGACAATTGAGCCGTGAATCCGGTAGGACGTGCCTCAGTAATTGTGACACGGTCAATGTTCAAAATAGCACCATCGACAATGCGTTGTACGATTGGCTTGGCTAAAACGGGCAAGAGCTTGAACAATGTTGCATCGGTACCCAAAGGAACTTGGGATTGTGAGAACGTCAAAGTAGTACCATATTCTCCAATTGTAGCATCAGAAACGATTTGCAGATCAGCCTTTGCTACGGAGAATGCTTTTCCGACATATGTTTCCAAGTTGAAACCGGTGTACAAATTGTCACGTTTCTTCATTCCGGCCGTAGCCAAAGGTAAGGCACGTTTTGTGGCTCTTTCTTCACCTTCCATTGAGATACCTTCATCTTCTTCTTCTGCAACATCGTAGTAGATTCCTGGATTGGACATTGCTGATAATTGAGCATCAACAGCAGCATTCTCGTCAACGAATGTGAAAGAATCATCTTCGCTGTAGTACTCTGCATCTCCTGCAATGGAACGCTTGCTGTTTGTCTGAACGGCAGGTGGTGTCAAAGTGAAACCACCCAATTGAACGATACCATCAACATAAGCAGGGTTCTGTCCAGAGTCAATTGCAAATTCACGCAAGACGGAGAACAAGTCTGGTGGGTACAAGTTCAAAGAGAGAGGCACGTTAGGTGAAGGTGAAGTTGTTTTTCCAACAGCGTTGAATTGCAGATCGGTGTTGATGTTTGCCAAAAAGATACCTTTTGCAGAAGCATTTGCAGCAATTCTTGTGATTTCCAACGAAGAAGTGAATGGATTGGCCAATTGAACGACCGAGTTGGCGATATCATTTTCAATACCTGTGGTATCCAAAACGGTCAAATTTGCAGCTTGAACCAAAGTTCTTTGCAAAGCTGGCAAAGTGGTGTTCAATCGCAAACCTTCCAAAACAGGCGCCAAAGAAACAATCTGAGAAGATGCTCCGAAACCTGATGCGTTGAGGTTAGTGTCCAAACCTGAAATGAAACGGTTCAAAGTATCCAGACCGTAAGGGCTGACATTCGGATCGAAAGTGGCAGTAGCGTTGATATCATTACGGCCAGGCAACAGCTTCAAGTTGGGCAAGGTAGTGATACCTAATGGAACTTGATTGAGCAATTCAAGTTTAACGTCTCCGGTTGATAAGTTCAAGTTGGAAGGATTGACGACTGTCAAAGCGACGGCGAGATCAACAGCCTCCTGTGTACCACCCGTGACATCGACAGAGTTGATGATTGTAGGGTAGCGTGTCAAACCTGCTAGACCTTTCAAACCGGTTGAAACATTGAATTTGATACCATCCAAGAGAATCAAACCAACGGGTGTATCTGTCAATGCCTTTGCTGCACCGGAGATATCGAACCCTGTACCATCCGTGTACACAAATGCGTTTTGGAAAGCGATCAATTGTTTCTTTGCTGCGTCGGTGCTGTTTGGTAGCAATAATTGGGATGCCGGAAGTGACAAGTCGATATCACCTGCCGTTTGTCCTTCACTCAAAACATTGATGATCGTATTGGAATCAGCATAAGGACCTGTTGCCGAACCAATGTTTGCACCTTGCATCGCAATGTTCAATTGTGTGGCCAATTGAGTAATGTTCAATGGGAATCCGAAAGGCAATTGGAAAACACCCTTGAGAGCTGAGGAAGACAGGATAGGATTGTACGGTAGATCTTGAGAGTATTCTAAATTGATGGTCTCAATGGTGATACCTTTGATAGGGTCGATAGGTTGTGGTGGTACAAAGTTTACGTGTGCGTTCAATTGAGAAACACCATCGGATAGCCATTTGACAACATCACCGTTTGCTTGTTGAACCCTCTTTCCGGTTGCGACGACATCGGATGGGACACTGTTGATGTAATTTGTGAAAAGATCACCGAGAATGTTAAGAGCAGTTTGGTTATTTGGGTAAGGCAGAACACGTCCACTTAAGGTAACAATGTTTGGACCGGCAGTGATGTTCAAACCTTCAACAGAGACTGGACCGACATAGTGACCTTTGTAGTACAAGTCCAAGTCCAACGTTCCAACTTGAATACCGAATGGCGAAGGGTTGACCAAATTTGTAGTTGTGATGACCGAAATACCACCTTGAGGATCGGCACCAGGCAATTGCAAATCAAGAATTTCAACTTTTCCGAAATTGTTGATACCCTTGATGATGATATCCTTTGTGATACTCAAGCTCTTGTACGTTGGGAAAAAGCTGAAAGCCTCGACGTGCAAATTGTTACTCTTAATTCTCCAAGTGAATTCTTCTTGGGAGATTAGATATCCAGCAAAGATGCTAAATGCATCTTGATCTGCGATGGTGAAGAACGTTGCTTGGTTCACGGTACCATGACCTGCTGCTGCGTTCACTCTTGCAAGAGGAAAGCTACCAAGGTGTACTTCTCGCATATCAGGTTTAGGAGTGTTCCAATACACGTCGATAGGTTCACGGAATGCAATTGAAGCAGGGAAAATACCGACCTTTTTCACCTGAGCGTTCAACGTTAGGGGAAAAGAACCGTTTTGTGGATCGGTAATGTTGGAACCGTAAACGTGAAAGACGGAGGTATGTAGAGCATGATCGGCGATGGCGTACAAGACTGGAACCAATGCGATGGCAAGAACTACGAGTAGGATTGGAGGTGCAAGGAATAAACAGCAGAAACCAAGCTTTCTAGTGAAATATTTCCGTTCGTATGGCGTTCCACGGGCTGCTAAATAACCGATTGGCTGTCCGGGTTGATACATATGCTTTTGTTCATCCTGATTCCGACTAGAGGAGATCGAACCGCCACGGCGGTTGACGAGACCCTCTTGTGATCCTACAGAATGTTGATCGGCCATTGTGAAATGCGTGACCGAACGCTGTTCCTGAAAGAAAAGGTGGGGTATATAGACTCCTTATCTAGAAAGGAATGGATGGCGGGTCAAACTGACTCGGTTTGTCTCCTGATAATGTAGGACGATGATGCCACCTGAAACCCAACTTTTGAAGCGGCGCGCTGAATTTCCCTTATGACCAAAGTCAGCTTACGCAAATTGACGCGTTTGGAGGGAAACGTTCTTCCCAGGAAAAGCGACTGGGTATCGGTGGTTGTGAAGGGGGGACGGAGATGATGATGGAGTGGATAGAGGATAGGGTATAAAGGAATGTATGGCAATGAACATACAAGATGTCTTACACAGTGTATCCTGTCATAGGCACAGAAATGGGGAAAAAACAGTTTTTTCGCAATTGGAAGGCGCCGCTAGGCTGCTTGCATGTATGAACTTGAATTAGGAAGTTGTCTATGATTTATAACGGAGTACACGCGCAGAGCATTAAAAGAGGGGAAAAAACTGTGGAGAATGAAAATGGCACTGTTTCAGTGTGTAAGGATTTAATTGATTAGGGAGGAGAATTTTTTAATTTTTTATTCTCTTTGCTTATGAGAGGCGCAATGCCCGACATGAGAATATTCCTAATCAATCACTCTTCGTGCGCGCGCATGAGAAACATGAATCGGTACGCCGCATACATTCAAACAATCTTGATCATCTTCATCATGAGGGGTCATCTGAACAGAATAATCAGAATCAATTGTCAAGCTTGTGACCACATCAATCAAAAGATGCGGGGCGTATATTGCCTCATATTGGGGAAAAGAAGCGATTCCATTGGTTATTAATTGACCATAAGCGAGTAGGAGTTCGATTATTGATTTGTGAACAATGAAAGGGGGGTAACAGATGTGGGGAACGATTGCATGAGGACAAGGATAATGCTTACAAGGTGAGCTTACCATTGTTTAAAGTTCGAGTGGGGTTAAAGACGGCATCCCATCTGTGCGGTGAAGGTGAATGGGTGGATCCGATACATGTATGTTACGGATGCCGAACAAGGAGAGCGGCGTGATGAAGAGGGACATCATGTATCAATATGTTTTACATCAACAAACAATACAGTAATGCACAATACCATTCTATTCGCCTTGAAACCTTGTTTGCGGAGAGTTTTTTATTTTCCTAAAAGACAGAAATCGTTCGATTCGATTGCATAAACTCAGTCTATCGGAGTAATAATATTTTAGTGTGAATAACAAATAGAATGGACTTTAGCTGACAAATTTGCATTGAAAAGGTGTCAAATTCGGGCACCGCATTTGTAAGAGAGAGAGAGGTATTTGGCCGTTGAGAAAAGAAAAAGATTCTAGAACGCGTGTTTTTAGCCGTTTTAGCGTTTATGAACCCTCATAAGCTTAGCTGACTTTTACACTAAATAATCCGGTAATGCCAAGCCAAACCACGCGTTCCAACCGGCACACAGACTCTAAAAGACAGAGAGAAAGTCTTTTTCACGCAGACGGAAATTATTACGCCACACTATATTAATAAGAAGCGAGCTAAATGAACCACGCACAAACATGCATCGGGACACGGACGCAACAAATACCGCAACAGGCACAACGGATTGTATGTGTGCCTGAAGAAAGTCATTTCATTCTAATAAGAAATTGAACAAATGCATCCCCGCATTGCTTATTGCAATTGCATAACTTTGGCTCGTTCCCAAATTGAATCTTTGTCAGAATAAAAGTCACGTTTGGACTTATTACCATATACCAATTCAGCTTGACGACCAACGCCACGTAAATCCAAAATTTGATCTTTTTTCAAAGTCAAAAGTTGATCAGATCTTTTCCACCAATAATGTTTACGATATTTGTACCATTTACGACCCCAAGGTCTTCTGACTAAATGAACGATCAATGCAATCACCAATGCTAATGCCAAAAATGAAAAGAAACAAATGATCAACACTTTGAATCGAAATTTGCGCGTTGCTTGCGGATCAGACATTGTTTGTTGTTGCTCCATGACCAGCACGGAGGAAGCAATTAGAGAATGAGTGTTAAAGAGAGAGAATCGTATGTGCATTAGACAGATCCTAAGGATCTTTTATACCCTTCTGTGATACAAATTTGCAACGTAGTGGCACACAGTAGGGGCGTAAATGATTACATCTGGCTTGCGTGCTTTGACGCCGATGCTGTACAAAAGAAAAGCCTCGCAAGGGTCTCATTGTCAAGACTTTTACGGTAAAATGACTACAAAATGATGATCGCATAAATTGACCGGGGGCTGTCAAGGTGTTTTGTGCAATGCTGTACTTCTTGGCAGTACCGCGGCATAAGTTTGTCGACGTGAAAGCACAATGTAGTATCATTCACGACTAGGCGAAAAGACAGGTCTACGAAAATCGCTAGACCCGGCAACCGTTGAACTTCTTGTTAGTTGAGGGCCTCTACCGATTCGATTTGAAGGTCGTCTTTGTTCTTTGAATCTCGTTTTCAAATCTTGTGCTGATATTTTCAATTTGTTAATTTCATCTCTTTGTAAACTTGCTTTTTGTTTATCTACCACATCAATTGCTCCGACTAATTTGTGCATTTTACCATCAGCTAGATAACCAATTCGCTTTACTTGATGATGAGTACGTTGCAAAAAATTACCAATTCGCGCTTTACCATATGAAAACCTGCTTAACTTCTTTGCTGGCTCTGTATTTTCCTCAGCAACTACCGGAGCGGGCCTTTGCATGGAACAAGTATCACCGGTACAAGCGACTGAACTTTGTGTTTTTGACAATCTAGGAGTGATTGATGCTGATACGGTGAGGACCAGGCATAAAAGAGTGAAAGATGTGTAAAAGATACGTTTGAACATGACGATAATGTAGTAGAGATGAGGGTAAATGAGAGAAGTTCTTTGGAAACGGCAGTATTTAAAAGTATAAATTGAGATAAAAAGAGATAAGATTGTATACACAATGTCACAAGAGTTCTATTCAGCTTGGCATGGCGTTCGATAGCATCGCTTTGCATGTAAACGTTTTGTGTAGTGGCTATGAATCAATATACAATTGTGCCGTGGCAAAAGTGCACTTGTCATTAATGTTGACCTATGTATGAACTGCTTTAGCTTTGACTCTTTGTCTTCTTGCTTCAACATTTTGCTGAACTCTTGCTCGTGCATCTTCTGGAGAGGGAAATTGGATATTCTTGAGTTCTTTGTGTTTTTCACCTAGAGTATGCGATTCGTTTCGCAATTCTTTGGCTTTATCAAAATGACCTTTTGCCTTTTCACGATCTTGCGTGTCTGATTTGTGCACAATACTACGACAAACCCCTTTGATAGTACAGCCTGTACCTTTTACAAACTCTGCACCTGCTTTCAAGTTTGTCGTCACACGTTTCTTACGATATTCTAAACCATGTGCTCCAGCGTACTCATTTTCAACCGTTGTACGAATGCGAGGTGGGCTTGGCGTTCTGCTAGACGAAGTACTACCGGTATCATTATGAGTTTCAGCTCCGAGAACGCTGGCAATGCAAATTAATGCGAGTACAGAGTAGAGATATAATTTGAACATTTTTGTTCCTATGAAAGTAGTACAATCTTTCATCCAACAGCGCTATTTATGCACATTCCAACCAAAGCTCTCTAACTCACTTGACGAAATTTAGGCATCGCCTTGCATACGTGACTGATGGCGCTGATCAGGGGCGCTCGAGAAAAGGCATGCAGAAATCACGGCTCCTTAATTGGTCTCCCCAACAAGTTCTCATCCCGTTCTGAGGCTAGACGGAGCCGGTATGCAGAAGCGAGGGGCTAGCACATAAAATTCGTCTGGGGCTTTATCTTAAAGATTCGGCTTATCACCACAATGGTCTCTATCATGTATACATTCAAATTTGCTTTGGCTGTGTTGAGTTTACTCTCATTATGCAGTGCAAACAACGTAATCAATCCATTGGGTCATCAAGCTGACCCGCAACCTATTTCACGTATTGAATCGGATGGTAAGCGATGGTATTATTTCCCAAGTGCAAACCGTACAGAAGCAAAAGTGTATATGTTTGCCTCAACCAACTTAAGTCAAGTTTACCTTGGAACTGAACCAGATACCCAAAATGGTCGTTATTGGGAACATTTACCCAATACTGGACATGTGATTTTCAATTTCACAAAGAATGTTCATCAATTACCCGAGGCACCCGCGGCCTTCAAGTGGAATGAATCGCATTATGTCATGTATGTAAGCAGTGATGGTCCTACCGGCAATCGATTGTACGCATTGCATAACGATGGCAAAGATTTAAAGAAAGATTGGACATTTTCAGGGGTAGTGCAATATACCGATGGATCCCCTTTGGTGGGCTATGATGCATTCGCCTTCAATCATCCAAATGGGAACAAATATCTCATGTACACAAATGTGACAACGATTTATATCAACAAGTTTGCTCCTGAATATGGTTTTGCAACAATCGAACATGTTAAAGATGGTGGTAATGGAACAGTTGTAGCCTCACGCTATGAAGATCCATTTACCGAAGCACCTGATGTGCTCATTCAAGGCAAAAAGTTGAACCTTCTTTACACACAGAATGATTTCTTTAGTCCGAATTACACAACATTCAATCATGCTGTTTCAACGGAATTAGATCCTTTAGATCCGGAAACGTGGAAAACCGGACAACCAGTACAAGTGTTGGCTTCTAGCAATACGACAGGTGTATATGGAACTGGATCTGTAGGTACATTCATCGGACCAGACAATAAGCCATGGATTGCATATACCTGCTTTTATAGTGACGAGCCATTCAATCGAGCAGATGAAAACTTATACGATCCACGTCAAATTCAAGCGCAACCACTTGTGTTTAAAGATGATGAGATTCAGCCAATGATTCCGGTCAAGCCTACTCGTCACTTTTGATAGCTAATAGTGCAATTTGATATGTTTAAGAGTGTGAGAGTATGTTTGATGGAAGCTAAGAGAGAGACTAGCGTCGGCATATGAATGCTTCTACAAAGAACAAAGGTGGGGAGAATATGTGGATCCGTGCGAGAAATATAAGAATGGTCCCGCATTCTGACTTCTTTCTTTTCTTTTCTTTAGAACTACCATATACCCCTAGTCATCTTTCGGAATGCATTGCTATCGCCCCACTCAAAGTTTCTGTCAAGCAATCTTGTTATGCATTGCGTTTATAAGACTTGCAAATTGTTATGGACGTATCATTAATCCCATAGGTCATCACGCCGATCCTCAACCTATATCCCGCATCCAAGACGATGGCAAAAGATGGTACTACTTCCCTAGTGCAAATGGAAGTGAAGCAGAAGTGAACATGTTTGCTTCTACAAATCTCAACGACGTCTATTCTACCAACGCACCTTGGAATAGACATTCAATCTTCAATTTTACCAAAAATGATCAGCAAAATCCAGAAGCACCTGCAATGTTCAAATGGAACGAAACAAATTATGTCATGTACGTCAGTAGCAATGGGCCAACGGGAAATAGAATCTATGCGTTGCATAATGATGGCAGGGATCTAACCTCAGGATGGACGTTTGCGGGAGTAGTGTCATACTCGGACGGAACAACTTTGATCGGATATGACGCATTTGCCTTAAGCCATCCAAACGGGAACAAATACCTATTCTATACAAATACAACTACGATCTTTGTCAATAAACTCTTACCCGATTATGGATTTGCTACCCTTCAACCGAAACAAGGTGGAAACGGCACAATTGTTGCATCTCGTGTAGAGCTACCATTTACCGAAGCGCCTGCGGTGTTGATTAGTGGGGACAAATTAAACTTTCTCTACAGCCAAAATAGTTTCTTCAGTCCAAATTATACCACGTACAACATCCCTGTCTCAACAGACGCAGATCCATTAGATCCTGACACATGGTCGAAGCCTAAGCCGGTACAAGTGTTGGCTTCTAGTGAGAAGAATGGTGTATACGGAACAGGATCGGTTGGTGCGTTCACAGGGCCGGATGGAAAGCCATGGCTTGCATATACATGCTTTTACCAACAAAAGGCATTTGATCGGTATACGTCTGATCCTCGATACGTGCAGGTTCAGCCACTTCATCTTATGAATGACGAAATTCAACCACTCATTCCCGTCAAGCCTGGCCACAAAATGCAAAAGGCCCAAAATGATGCCTACATTCCAAGGTATACAAATCTGGATCTACGCTTCTTCAAAAAACCTCCTGTACGGGAAGGAAAATGAGCAATACCTTCTCCTGCTCAATACGCTCGATCGCAAGCAGATCGAAAGGTGTATTGCTTTTACCTAAAGCGATGCTCAACAGTACATAGCATTCGATTTGCTTTTGTCATCGTTATGACCGATTCGACAAATTAACCGCTTCAACATTTTAGCGGCCAATCGAGCAGATATTGTCATACTCAATCACCAGGAAGATCAAGGGGCGATGATGGTGATCAAATGCGTAAGAAAGTGATGCAGTGTTCTTTGGCGTGTGATTGGCGTCCATTGCCCCGCCTTCTCCTGCTTGTTTGTCTTCAGCTGCTTTTCATTTTGAAACCGTATTTCTTGGCAAAAGCGGGGTCCTCCTATCATTGTGAGATTTCACAGCCTCTGAGGCTCAAGCTTTCAAGCACCACATCGCCCCGTCAGCCCATTTTCTTCCACTATAAAGTCTCACCTCTTGATGTAGACAAGATCGAATTGCATACAAACATTTCTGCATTTGTTTCTCTCTTTCTTCACGTTGTATCGCATCAAAAATGAGTCGATTCACAGAGATGTTTGATGACGAGAAGCATAAAGCAGTCATTTCTAATGATTTGAAAACGGAGGAAAATGCACAACCTACGATTGATCAAGTACAACAACAACAACAACAACAAAAAGATCCTGAAGAAGAGGAAATGACGTGGTTAAAATTTTGCGGGGTTGTCTTCGCCATTGCACTTTCGTTGTTTATCTTTTCATTGGACCAGTGCATCATGGCAACAGCCTTTCCAGCCATTGCAGATAATTTTAATGCGTTGGATAAGATGGCTTGGTTGGTGAATTCTGTCTTTTTGACGCTGATCGGATTCAGTTTAGCATATTTGCAGTGGTGTCAATTCGTGCCGGCAAAGCATATTTCCATGTTTGCCATCCTGGTCTTTGAGATTGGTGTACTGGTATCAAGCATTGCGAACTCCGTTCCGGTATTATTGGCAGGAAGAATGATTTCCGGTGTAGGAGCAGCAGGATTATATAATGGAGCAATGTTGATCGTTACCGAAACATTTGAGCTTCACACAAGAGCAAAAGTCTTGAGCTTCTTTGGAATAACTTTTGGCGTAGCTGCGGTCGTTGGACCTTCGGTTGGTGGAACGCTTGTTCAACATTTAAGTTGGAGATGGTGTTTCTTTATCAGTCTACCGTTTGGTATGATCAGCTTTATCATGATCGTCGTTTTGATCAAAGCTAGGCCGCCGCTTGGCTTTGAAGCAATTTATACAGGCTACGATTGGACAATGTTGGATCGATTGCTGCATTGCGATTGGTTGGGAATTGCTATGACACTTGCTTGGGGTGTTTGTTTGATTATGGCGATGTCTGAAGGTGGTCGTTCATTGCCTTGGGATAGCGCTGCTCAAATCTTCTTGCTCGTAATGCTTGGCGTTCTTCCGATACTCTTTGCATTATGGGAGTACTATCTCGGCAAGCATGCAATGTTACAACTCAAAATCTTGCGAAGTCGTAATATGCGTTCTGCATTGGCAGTTGGAATGTGCACTTATGCATCTTGTTCTGTGGTCTTATTCTTTTTAGCAGAAATGCTTCGAGCATTATACAACGTTGAAGGCACGATTGGAGGACTGATGATTTTACCATTAATTGCGGCTCAAACTGTCTCAATAATGATTGCAGGTGAAATTGTCATTCGTACAAATCTTGCTTGGCCGTTGTTAGTCTTGGGTCCTTTTTTAGCAACGATTGCAAGTTTCATGATGAGCACATCCACTGCAAAAACGCCAGTTTCATTTACCGTTGGACTTTCTGTACTTACTGGGATTGGAGCTGGTATCATTTCACAGTCGGTCGTCATTCTTGCTCAGCTTCAATATAGGGATGATTCGGAATTAATAGGTGCGGCAACGGGTTTGGTCATCTTTTCGAACAATCTGGGTAGATTTATTGGAGCATCGATTGGCTCTTGTATCTTTGGAAATGTAATGATTCATCAACTTTCAGCACAAGTTCCGAATTTGGACAAAGATTTACTCGTTCTCGTTACCCACAACGCACATTCCATTTGGACACAAGTGCCAGAGGTCATTCGTCCGTTGGTGGTACAAGCGTATCGAGTAACATTGAACGATGTTTTCATTGCTTCTGCCTGTTTTGGCGCTTTAGGTGTCATTTCTGCATTTTTTGCTGAATGGTATCGTTTGTAGATTATTTTTTAGGCTTCTTTATTTCTTGCTGGCAAGAAAGAAGAAAGAGTTTTACTGTAGCATAAATATATATATTCAAATTCAGGCATGTTCAAATCATATCATTCAGCATGGAAGCGAGCACAAGAGAGTAGCATAACCAGTCATTCCATTCCTTCGTCGTTATAATCCGTCTCGAAAACACATCCCAGTCATTCAAGCAACAGTTGAAGTGATCAACTTTTCCCATTCATATCGTGCTTGAATCATTTGAGAATCATAGAATGGTAAAAGTTGTGTTCCAAACACACCTCCAACACCTTTGACGGGGTCAATGAAATAATACGTATTTCCTAAACCTGCCCAGCTGAACGAACCAACAGATAATCCTGAATTGGTTTCAACTCTTGCGACATAGGTTTGTAGCATATTTTGACCTGCAGACACATCTGCGCCATCTTTAATATGCTTGCCTTGATCGACATCAAAGAATCGTTCGATTTTATTCGAGAGGTTCAACATGTATGTTGACATATTTTCTTCTTTAACAATCACTCCACGTGGTGTGGTGTCATCTTTTTGTATTAAGTCCCATGTTTGTTTGGATAACAATCTTTCATCTTTCGCTAAAGTTGCTTGTAAAATTTTTGCATATGTTTCCAAATTGGCATGAATAGGTGCACTGGCAAAATGTGCAAATCCGGCTGGAGCTTCTTCTTCAGCCGGCTCGTAAAGTGGTAAATCAACTTGTAAGAATGCACCTTTTGGTGGTTCTACTTTTGCAGCTCCACTGTTTGAGCCGTTGTCAGCAGTTGCATTGGGATCGGCAGGTAAACGTACAACAGGCATTGCATGTTCAAACTTGTCACCGTTTGATTGCAAGAGCTTTGAGATCATGACGTCCATCGTTTCGTTTGAGATTTGAAGAGGTTTTGTGATCAACTCGATAAAAGCAGCACGTAGATTCTTGCCTGTCAAACGTTCAATGAATTGACCTAGCCAATCGGTATTCGGTCCGTATTCGTAATGTTGATTTCCTTCGCATACAAGTGGAACTTCAAAGTCTGCAATTCTTCCAGAAGCAAAGGCTAAGATACCATTTGCCGTGCTTCCATCCGATGGCTCGTACCATTCTTTCATTAAAGGATGATTCCAATAATATGCCAAACCAGAAGAATGGGTGAGTAATTGACGCAAGGTAACTTTGTTCTTACTCTGTTTCAAGATTGGCTTTCGTTTACCATCTGCGTCCTTTTCGTCACTGAAACCAGTAATGATTTGTGTTACGTTGCTACCACTTCCATGTTTGAATTCAGGTAAGATTTTGATTAAAGCTTCATGATCATCGAGGGAGTTTAGGGTGATCCCTTTTTCCTTTCCATAACCTTGTTCTAAGGCACGAAAGACCATGATTGAAATAACGAGTTTTGAGCAAGATGCAACCCAATGAAGTGTTCTTTGAGTCATTGGTTGAGGTGCTTCACCTTCCTTTCCAACGGATCGTAAACCACTAAATCCGCTGAAAATGATTCCGTCACGATTAAACACTACACCTTGCAAACCAGGAGCGGTTCCTTGTTTGACATGTTTATCGAGAAAGGCTTGAAATTGTTCTGTTTTAGCCATCTTTTTGGATGATTTGATGATGATAGAGACAAAGGTAGATGTGATTTTAATGGGTCACACTACTTAACTTCATTTTCCCCACAATTTATTCCTTCGGAAGTCATCAAAACTCAGGATGTACCAATTTTGTGGGGAACCGTTGAGCTAATTTATTTTTGGCACTTAGCCAGTGTGTTTTTCAATCGTGCACGGTTAACGTGTTTCCGCCGGATCTTCCTATAATCAAACACACACGCATACACTCTCGTTCCGACTTTTACATCGGAGCGGGGAAAGGTCATACTTTTTTAATTTATGCAGCATACATTCACCATCACCATCTTGAAGAAGATCACTTTGTACTCCTTCACGTGAGTATAACATCAAGACAGGATGGCTTCTCAGGATAATGACGATAGAAAGGCACAATTCCAAGAATCCGTCAAGGAGATGAGAGGATTGTTGGGTCAACATGGTAATCAACCTGGTTGGGACCTCGCATGGAAACAAGGTCTGACACCTTGGGAAACCATGTTGGGCGTTCAAGTTCAACCCGGATTACGATGGGCATGTGAACAAGATAATTCCCTAAGCAAGCTTATACCAAAAGATAAAGGAAAAGTTCTTATCCCAGGTTGTGGACGTGGTCAAGATGTGGTGTACTTTGCTACACAAAGAGGGTTAGATGCGATCGGGATCGATATCAGTACGACTGCCGTTCAAAGAGCACGAGAGCATATTCAACAAACACAAGAACAAGCGCAAGAATCAGAGAAAGAAGCTATTCAGAAACATGCTCAAATCGTTGTAGCTGATTATCTTGATCCAGAAGCAGAGTCAGGTCCACACAAAAATGCATTATTGCAAGGAGCGGATTTAGTGTATGATTATACGTGAGTGACCTAGTTCAAGGAAATGCTTGTTCTGAGTGATACTAACGCTCGCCCCTCTCCAGCTTCTTCTGTGCATTGCCACACTCTTTGCATACCCAATGGGCACAATCCCATGCTGCTGCACTTAAGCAAGGTGGTTTATTGTTCTGTGTGGTTTATCCGTTATGGCCTGCCGATTCTCAGGAACCTGCACCTGGACCGAATGTAGGACCGCCTTTTATCGTGAGTAAGGAAAAGTATACAGAACTACTTCAACCTCAATTCACTCTTGAATTCGAAGGTGTGCCGCCTAATCTGGCCGAACATGCTAAAGGCCGTCAAGAAATAATGATTTGGCGTAAAAAGTGAACAAGAACAAGGATGTACTATATTGATATAATTTTAAGTTTAATCTTTTGCGTCATTTGTGTATCTTTAAGTGGCTTTTGAGTATGTGATCGGGTTTGTAGGGTTAAGAAGCAATGCACCGAAAATGATCTCCGCCGTAAGAAGGACTGTCAATCCCCGCCGGGAAGCACGTCAAACATAAATGGTAAGAGTGAACTTCATCTTTGCCGGTGATTGATAGGATTGCGCATTATTCGCACGTAAGACGGCCTTCTATGCATGATCAATACTGCATGCATCCGTGCGGCACTCCACTACAATTCACTCCAACTGCCGCCGCGCTACGCCCCTTTGGTCCCTCCCTTTCTCTTTCTCGATTGTTTGTGGAGTAAACTTTTTATTTTTATTTTGTGTAATTCCGAATTTGTACAAAGACTGATCAATTGGCAAAAGGAAGATAAATCCGAACAAGAAAGCATGAAAATAGCAAAGCAAGAGGAGGGATACAAAGCAGTATCATATATAAAAGTCATTATAGAGCAACATTCTCAATCTAAATCCACCATCCCCATCCCCCCTCACATAACTAAGATGCGTCTCTTACCAACTACAATTCTAGTAGCTTTGGCTCTGAGTGTGGTTGCCAACTCAATCGTTGTACCGATCAATAAGGCACCTTATGCAAAACGTGCAATTTTGGAACCTGAACAAAATGTTCCAATTCCCGATAAAGAAGCACAAGAAAGTGCAATTCATAAACGTATTGCAAAACATTTACGTCAAACAGGATTTGAAAAAAAGGATATGATGAGAGTATTCTCGACAACTAGCTCAACGGGAACAAATCCAAGTAAAGGAAACACAGTCGTTGAACCAATTCGAGGTGATAAAGGATATCATTTCTTACACGAATCAAACACTCCTATCGATAAACAAAATTTGGATTATCTTCATCCACCTTCAACCGATCAAGGTAACCTTCCAAACACAAAATGGTCATTCTCACTCTCACATACACGATTACTCAAAGGTGGTTGGGTACGTGAACAAACTGTGACCGATCTTCCTGCAAGCAAACAAGTTTCAGCGGCTGAATTGGTACTTGCTCCTTATGCATTTAGAGAACTTCATTGGCATCGTGTGTCAGAGTGGGCGTTCATGTTTAATGGAACAGTTCGTTTGACAGGTATTGATCAAGATGGCGGAAATTATATTGATGATGTTAACGCAGGCGATTTGTGGGCGTTCCCGGGAGGCGTGCCGCACACTCTTCAAGCGGGACCTGAGGGAGCTTCCTTTTTACTCGTCTTCGATGATGGTGACTTTGATGCTGATGGAACAACGTTTATGGTAGATGATTGGATTGCGCATACACCTAAAGAAGTCCTCGCCGAAAATCTTGGTTGGAATCAATCCGTATTTGAACAAATTCCCACGCCTGATCCCTACATGGTTCCAGGAACGGAAGAATCTTGGACTTCCCTCGCAGATGCACGGGAATCGATCGGTGAGAACCCAGCCGGTGGTACATCAACACCGTTTGCATATCATTTGAGTAAGGTTGAACCGACAAAAGCGCCCGGAGGAGGCGGTTGGGTGAAAATTACCGATTACAAATCTTTCAATGCAAGTCGTACTTTGGCTTCCGCCATCGTTCATGTCGAACCTGGAGCATTAAGAGAATTACATTGGCATAAAGATGTTGAATGGGGATACGTAATTCAAGGTCAGGGACGAGCAACGGCATTCTCAGGTAACGCAAAAGCTCGTACATTTGATGTACAGGCTGGAGATTCCTGGGTGTTCACTACAAACTTTGGTCATTATATCCAAAATACTGGATCGGAGCCGTTGGAATTCATTGAAATTCTCCGAGGTCACAATTTCGATGACACTGTTCTTTTCAACGAGTTCACATTGAATCAATGGTTAGCATTGAATCCTCCAAGTTATGTTGCTCAACAATTGAACGTTAGCGTTGATCTCGTTAAGCAACTACGCAAGGAAAAGCAACAAGTTATTGCAGCCCGTAATTAAGGAACAACAGATCAATGTTCCCTCTTTAAGATCGTAAAAAGAACAATGTAAACAAACAATCTTCTCACGGACGTATTATTGAATAAACAAATTAAATCTTTATCCTTTCTGTTAATCCGAGTGAAGCTGATTATTTAAGCGCGCTAAATGTATCCTTACACGTGAGTGCGCGTAAGCGTATGGCCAGCCAATGGGCGTTGTGCGATTCTTAGTGTGGCAGCAATAGATCGCAATTGCATGTATGCGCCATTTGATCCTGATCACCATCACATAATAGATCAAAAAGATGTCGATGTTCGCTCGCACATCACTCAGAAGCCTTGTTAGGTCGCCAATCAGTGGCAGTAGTTCAAGAACACTTTCAACGTCCGCCATCTTACGCGACCAACAAGCACCCGCACAAGTGGGAACAGGCGAACGTAACTTGATCAAGGAACAAGAAGAACGGGATGTACAAGCAGTCGAAGCAGAGATCGTCAATGATGCACCCGGTGGGTAGTCCGAGTATTTCGTTAGCTTGATCGACCATCTAACTAACTCACCTCCTTCCCCCTTCTCAGCCGAATTGCAACAACGCACAGTACGAATCTATAAACCGGCCAAGACAGCAAACTCTTCCGGTAAAGCGGGAACAAGCTTTTGGCGAGTAGATTTCGACATTCTATCGGGAAGTGCACGATGGGAAAATCCATTGATGGGATGGGCATCTTCGGGAGATTATATGCAAGGAACGTTTTTGAAATTTAGAACGAGAGAAGATGCTATTCATTTTTGTGAAAAGCAAAATTGGCCTTATTATATTCAAACACCTCATAAAGCAAGAATTGGTCCAAAATCATATGCGGCCAACTATAGTTACTCGCCGGGTAAATTACGTGTTCATCACACGAAATAATTATACGACACCTTGTACGTTTTCTAGAATGAGACGAGTAGAATATTGACTCTTTGGCCGTAAGAGGAAGTGTGACTTATTCCTGAAAGCCTTTTATAGGTATGCAAAAATGGGCCTTAGCACATACTTCAGTCTTCTTCTGAATCAGACAAAGGCGCGGCGCAATAAAGTGTTTGGTATACATCCTTTGTCTTCCCTTTGTCACCGTGGGTAAGCATGTGTCAAAGTGTAATCGATGAGAATACATCGGGAATCAATCATGAATTGGATAAATGTGTTCGCATGTTTCAAAACTGACTTCCCATCACCATATTCACTTTTATAGAATTCCGATCATGTCTTTGAGCAAACGTAGTGCTTCTTTACTACTTCGCATCTCACCATCTTTCCTTAACTTGGCCACAATCACAGTCCTATCAATCACACTAGTCCAAGCTTTCGAAAAGACAGATCCAGGTAGAAGATGGAAAGAATGGTTGACTGCTCTAAGCGAGCAACCAACGAAATTAGACAAATGGGAAGATGATTATATCATGGAGCGTTTAAAGAATCATCAAACTTATTTTTCCGATTTAGACTTTCAAACGGAATCGGAGTCATCGGATGAAGGAGATACCGTTAGCGAACCAAGTCCGAGTAGCAGTCAAGAACTAGCTGCAGGTCGCTATAAGCTCAAGCTGTCTCTACAACGTAGTGTATCTTTACCAAATATTCCCCATTCTCCTGCTAAAGATGTCGAAAATAATAAACGGGCAAGAGTACGAATTAAGACAAGCTCACACGTTCAGCCATCTGTCGTTCCGGATAATTTGAAAGAACCTTCTTCTTCTGTTCCGGCTGAATCAAGCGCTGATCCTATTTCAGCAGAGAATTCATTTTCTGATATAAGCATGTTACAACTTTCATATATAGAAGCACAAAACCCATGGACTATTGTAGACCGCAGACCCAAGCAATGATACCCCGGATAAGTTTGATCTTTGTTCATATTTCATTACATCGTTTATCCGTATAATGAAAATGTTTCCTATTTTCGAAAAAAGTGTGTCGGTAACTTTGATTTGAAGTATGATTTAGCTTTTTTGAAGGTTTTCTGGTAAACGATAGAACAAAGGAATACAAATAAAATTATAGCAAGCAAATCTTAAGGCAAACGACCACTGATCAAATATTGAACGTGTCAAATCTGTCATCACCAGAATCCATCACACCTGTAATCAATTCTGATGTAGGATATTTGGATCGTTAAAAAGTATAAATACCCCTCTTTGCTGTGACGAAGTTGTAGAATGCTAGCAAACCACCTCTATTCGTTTACAACCTGATCTTTGCTACAATGCACTCTTCTTCAATCGGGCTTCGTACGTATTTCGAGCTTATCGAGCTTGGACTAGGAAATGAATTCCCTAATTTGATGCGGGGAATTGACTTTAATCCTATAAAAGGGTCCAACGGACTTTCTACCGGTTCAGTCATTTTGATGACATACTATACAATTTTCACGGCTATTCGCCAATACACTTTAAAAGGTAAAATAGAAAAAGCAAAACTCAAGCATCGTGCAAAATTTGAGCCTCCTGTAAACGCTCAACCTCACTCACAAAATTGTTTTTGCTCAAAAGCTTGTATTCATCGCTACGACAAAATAATTTCTTCGCTGCAACGTAAACTTTATACGTCTGGAAGTATTATTCGGCAACTGAAGACCGATTTGGCCGAAGCTAATCAGAGAGAGGCTCCCAACAATGATTCCGGTCCTTCTTCATTGGGTTCCAGTAGTGCATCAATAGATTGATATTGTCCCTCATATTTATACCTGCTTCATGGAAATTACGTTTCATTGTAAAAAAGTAGCTCATTTTTTTGACCCATTACCCATTCTATATATTTTCTTAAAACAGTACAACAAAGGGACGTTTTGATCTTTGTGTGTCCGAGCGTTATTCACAGTCTTACTTATGCGCAGAGCTTCATGAAATAGAACAATATGCAGGAACACACATCACACCCCTAATCACCGATCTATTCCGAACCTATCACGGATGCAATCATTGTGTTCTAAGTTTAAATAAGAGATATAAAACTAGAAATATAGTCTTCCCTTACTACATCAATCATAATTATGCTTTCTCCTTCTATTTGATCTTTTACATGCCATGAAGTGGTTGCAATCTCAGTCCCAAAGGGCTATTCAGATCGCACTCCAATCCAAGGCTCTCTTAAAAACGCCATCCAAACCACTTCTTTTAGGCTCAGCAGCTTTTTTGGGCTTTTATACTTTATTCGAAACTATACAAAGGCCAATCTTATATCGAAGAAATCTATTCTCACAAAGCGGAATTTCTCCTTTCGGTCAAGATGGTAGAAAGCTATTCGAGAGAAATAATGGCTCACAAAGTTCACTAAGTTGGCGAAAGTATGCAAATATCCGATTTTATTGTCCAAAACCACATGGTTTGCATTGGTCAGATTTCAAGAGAGACAATAAAGGAGCGCTCTTCGGACCGAGGCAATGCGACTTTTGTGGATCTGAACGCTTCCTGCACCCTTCTCTGCGGAAAGAAGCAAGGCCAAGTCCTTCTCCATCAGTTTTGAAAATGACAAAGGGTACGGCAAGTCGCAAGATTGTACCCGCCTTGTTTAAAAGTAGATCCGCATTGAATTACCATTTTCAACAATTTCTCACCCTCCTTCCAGATGCTAAAAATGGCCGATCTCCCTTCCACTTCGTCGGGATCGGCAAGACGTCAAACTTTTACCCAACGAAATCAGTTCGATTCTCTAAAGCGCAATATCTTTTCTATAACGCTTCCGTATGACAAAAGTACGCGAATTAAATGTCATTTCTCTCATACAAATTTGATTCATATTTTGCATGCTTTTGAAACGTTCAGAAACCCATTCTTCCATCTCTTACCTTTCTCACCATCCTTTAATTGTAAGATCAATAACGACGTGGAGGCGGTTCATCATATCGACTTCGAGGTGGCGGAGGTAAATCATCGTATGGACCGCGGCGAGGTGGAGGTGGCATATCATCATAGCGTCCACGAGGCGGAGGTGGTATATCGTCATAACGTGGCATACGAGGTGGTGGTGAATAACCGCGACCGCCGCCGCCTCCACCGTATCCCATCGGTGGACCGCGTGGTGGAGGAGGATAATCGCGTGGTGGCGGATAATCTCTTGGTGGTGGTGGACCATAACGATCGTAAGGATCACGCGGTGGAGGAGGTCCGTAACGGTCATAAGGATCACGCGGAGGTGGTGGACCATATCGATAGTCCATTGGTGGGAGACCATAACCTCCTCGACCTGGAGGACCAGGACCGTAGCGATCGTTCTTTGGAGGTCCATGATAACGGCCTGGCGTAGGAGTACGAGCACGTCCACGTTTGGCCTGATGTGGGAAAGAGATAATGATGTCAGTAAAGATTTGTCAAGCTTGATCGAAATATATTCCATTCAACTTACCCGTTGTACGCTCAAAGGACGACCCATCACTTCCACACCCGTTAGACCAGCAATAGCAGCATCTGCTGCTTCTGCACTGTCCATTGTAACAAAAGCAAAGCCACGGGGCTCACGGGTATGAGGATCAAGCATGACTTGACAGCGTACGACCTGAGAAGTGGGGATGGAAACGGGTCAGTATGATCAATATGACATGTATGCAAGCATTGTACACTTACGCGGCCAAACTTGGCGAAAGCTTCTTCGATATCGCTCTCTTTTGCCTGTTTGCTAACACCTGAAACGTGTAAATTGTTACCAGGGTTCACACTTCCGTTATCTTGACCTCCTCCGGGTGCACGACCACGTTCAGGTCCTGGGCCTCCATCTGCCGGTCCTCTTGGTGCGGGCGAACGGTCATGTTCGATGTCCCTTCTGGGCGATGCGGATCGTTCGCGAGGTGCGCTGCCCCAATCTGTGCAAGGAGAAAGAAGAAAGAATGAAGAGTGTATGCGGGATTGTTGGCAATGTCAGTTTAGTCGAATCGATGAGTGTGAAAATTGCGGGAGTGAAAGGTGATTATGATAGCCGTTCTATGAGGTGATATAGCGGCGACATCGTAGTGTGAATAATAGTGTACGAATAAGGCAGATGCGAAGAATGAAGGACATCATGGCGATTCAAGGATGAAGGGTTGATAAATGCTGAACTCGCGTGAATGTAGATGCATTCCAACATAGAACGTGCAGGCGTGCTGATCATATCGGCTTGTCGTCAAGACGTTCTGAAGGCTGAGGTAGCATAATCGAAGCTGATCAAAAGAGCGCTGAGAGCTGATGATCGGTGCGGTAGATTGATACTATAGAAAAGCTGTTGTCTTTCTTTTTCGAGAAGAAATGATTATCCATCAAAGATCAATCACGATCGGGCGAACAGAAGGTGAAAAGCTGCGAGCAAGGAGAAAAGGTCGAACACATACCGTCGTTGTCAGCCATGTTGTTAGTGGATGTTGACGATCAATGTATCGAATCGGATTGAGATCAACTTCAAAATCTCAAAACCACAATCGAAAAAGATGATGTCGAGAAGGAAAGCATACGCGCCTTCTTTAGCGCGAAAGTACACCTTGAGTTTTCTCCACGCACACATCTTCCGCTAACATAACATGTCCACGTATCCCGAGAGCAGTGCGTTCAACCGCCGGAATGCAAACACACAATTCATCCTCATCAGCCGACATTGCAAGAATTCAGAGAATATTTTCGATTTTGCCTAATTATTAGCAGTATAATATGAACTAACCAAAGTGGGCGGAAAAGAGGGGATGTAATGAAGTTAAGGGTAACATGAAAGTAAGGCAAAAAGCCTTGCTATTAACCTCTAATAGCCAGCGACACAAATATCAGACCGATTCAAACACATTTCAAACCTTGAAAAAGGGATTATTACCAGCTTGTCCTGTTGCCTGTGGACCAACAGCTTGACCTCGTGCTTGAGAGTGACCGAATCGAAGATCTCCCGTATTACCAAACGTATCAATTCCATCACCCGAAGCCAACATTCTGTCCAAATCTTTGAATCTTGGATCATTTGTGAACTTGTTCGTAGCAGGAGCAACTGGTTGAGCAGGTTGTGCGGCTACAGGAGCTTCATTTGCATCACCCAGAAGATCACCAATAGGAACACTTGAAGAAGCTGCAGGCATAGGTGGTGGCATATCCAGAGCAGGTTGACGAGGTGGTTGCTGCTGTTGTTGTTGTTGGTTGTTGTTCTGTGCAAATGCGAACGGATTGTTCGATCCAAACGCAGTCGGTTGAGGTTGGATCGGTTGTTGAGGCGGCATTTGTTGTTGGGTCATCATATGTTGATATTGTTGAGCAGCCATTTGTAGTTCCATTTGTCTTTGATATTCAGCCTCTTGTTGTGCTTGCAATTGCATCTGTTGTTGGAAGAATGGGTTGTATGACGTTTGTTGTTGTTGCAAGTACGGGTTCACAGAGGTATATTGTGCTTGCATACCATAGATTGGGTTACCCCACATATCATATTGTTGTTGTTGGGCATATTGATGAGAAGGTCCATCGAGCATATTGAAATCATCATCGAACAGAGCAGTCTCATTCTTCTTTTCCAATTCGCGAATCCGTTTCTCCTCCTCTTCTTTCGACAATGCCAAAGCACGTTGCAACTCTTCTTCATCCGTTGCTTCACGTCGAATACGGGCTTGTTCTTCTGCTGCCATACGTTTACTCTCTTCGATTGCTCGTTTTAGCTCATCGTCTTCACGATTTTGGCCTGCACGCCTTCTATCTTCTGCTGCTCTTCTGCGTCTCTTTCCTTCTTCATCCTCGAAATCAAGTCCGTTTGAGGGAGGTGGAGGGCCATCACTCAACCGATCACGCATATGTGCACGCGATCTCCTCTCTTCTCGTAGTCGAGCTTCGTCTTGCAGTAGATTCGTTATATCTTTTGCTTTCTGTCGAACATTTGCTCCTTGATCTTTTCCAAAGTCATCTACGTATTGGAACTCCTTCAAAGTTTTGATAATGTAGATATTGTCGCGGAAATAAATGACTACGTTTTCACTTCCAGCATGAAGTAGGTAATCCAGCAAAGTCAAAGTTTTGAAAACGTGTCTCCAGTTCTTTCCTTTGTCATTCAAGCGTTTGTCCATGATTTCCATCATTTCAATAAAGTCATTCTGATTGAAGCTCAATTGCGCCAATTCGTTCATTTGTGTCCCACTGGGGCCCCAAGGATCATTGCTTGTGGCATCACGCACTTTGATTTGCGTTCCAGTGAATCCCTTTAAATAATTCTTGCCCGTCCGAACGACGGACTTTGACATGTTACTCATTGCCATCCTGTAGAATGTGTATGAGGAGTCAACGGCTCAGAGCCGATCAGTGATTTCTCGAATGCGCGTGGAGGTGAGTTTGGAATGGCGTACAGTATCCAATAAGATTGCAATGGAGATGATGACCAACAGCTCCGTTTTATTGTATCGAATCCAAACTGAAGTAGTTGATGTGGTTGTGATAGAAGTTGGTTCGCGCCACTTTATCTTGAAGATTGTGCGTGCACAATGGATGAGAGCGGCCAGTGCGGTGCATGTGCAGTGCATCTATGTGAGAGAGAGCAATCTTGACATGCCTCGAATACTGACAGCAAGCCTGGCATTCTTTTCTCACTCAGAGGGAACACGGCATCTTTGTACGGCTGTGCAAACGCGTCCGTTATACATTATATTAATACAAAAGTGTATTGAAGGAAGGATACAAACGTAAAATGAACTTGTAACCCGTTCCTGTAATGAATTTAACGCCTGCTCGCACGCCATTACTCGTGCAGTAATTACTATTAACGGAAAGTACCCCTGTGATGTTCTCTCCCCACAGAGGTGTTGTTGATTAGGAAACGCCTTGAATTTAGGCACCGAACATGTTCTCACTACCATCACGGTCCGCTGACTGTCGTCAACGATCTTATACAAACAAGTCACGACCTTGACGATTGCAACGATACAACTTATTATAGACAACTCTTCTAATATGGCTATGCCTAGATACAAGTACGCGATCGGAAATGCACCGGTTCGCTTTCCGTCTTTGTCTTCACAGAATACTGAAGGGCAAGAAGGCGGATCAAAGGTAGCTGAGGAAGCTGTTCAACAAGAAGATACAAAGACAGATCCAATCACCACTACAACAGAAGCCCGGCCAAAGAGATGGAGCTTCTTGTTTGGCGGAAGTAGTGAGCCAGAGCCAACTTCTATCAAAAAGACACTTTCTCATCAAGATCTTCGAAAAGGAAGTGACAGTAGCACAATGAGCAGTAAAGATGATTCAACCGTGACCAGCATGCAACGTACTTCTACCTCACAATCTGATACTTTGACCAACGATCGTCAAAGAAGTAAGAGTATGCATGCACCGGGATCCACACTTGCTCCTGTACCCACTGTACCAGACCATGCAAGACCACAACGTCAAGTACGATCTTCACTATATTCTCCAAGAATTGATGGAGAGACTCGTAGATCAAAGCGTGTTTCTTGGGTTGTGCCATCAACCAGCACAAGCAGAGAAAGCAGTCGAGCAAATAGTGTCAGAAGTGGAGTTGAAGCAAATGAACAAACAGGTCTCTTGGGAGATATGTCACAACGTCAAGCTAGTCAACGTCCTTTATCTGCCACCTTTCGACCAAGCTCGCTGTTTTGGACAGATATCGAACGTAGAGGAAGTGATGGTGGCCAGGCCGGCAATGAAAGCGGAACAAGTACTCCACGTATACCTAGCAGATCTGCTTCACCAGCTCCCAGGAGGTATGGTGCAACAGAAGATCAATCTGTGGAAACACCTGATGAAGATGATCCGTATGGCTATCGTGCTTTAGCTGGCCCTGCCTTATTGCCAACGTTCCATGAAAGGCAAAAGAGTAAACAAGCAGCTGCTTCACGATCTTCTTCAACTCTTTCTGCTTTTACGCCTACTTGCTCTTCGACCAGTTGGATCTCTTTACTGGGATTATCGATCATTGTCACAGGTCTTTTGTACCTTCTTCTATAAGCAAATTTTTCTCTGCACCCTGCTTTCAACAAAGCATTCTCAATTCGTTGTATAATTCTTTGAAACTATACCCACTAAGACTCAACTTTATGCGATACCATACCGATGTAATGATATTTGACCTGCAATACATGAGTAGTATACACTTTTTAACAAAGGAAAGGATACAATAATGAATAGAATCAGACATAAGCAATGAATGCATGCTCTCCTCTTCTTCCTCGATCACATATCCATCTCACTTGCAGAAGCACGGGCTGAAACACGTACATCGTGACCTTGACGTGGTTGAGGAAGTTGAACACGTTGTTCGATCGATGCAACGCCCCAAGCATAACTTCCCACCTTTCCACCTCCCAAAATGGGACCTTTCTTCTCTGCTTTGATTGTCGTCTTTCCATTTTGAACGCCATGCGGTGCATCTTCACTATCTGCACTTACATCTGCCATACTTGTATCACCTTCAATCTCACTCTTGACGTTGTTGATTCCATTTGTGAACGGTTTATCATCATGAGACCCGTTCAAAACGGGCCTACTGCCAATTATTGGACGCTCGTGAATACGTTCAAAGTTGGCCCAACGCGATTGTGTAGTGATTGGATAATGAGGCAAGTTGGTTAAAGGTTCATAAAGACCGATTGGTAGATGTGCACTTGAAGCTGATTTACGTTTCTTGTTGGCCGGTGCAGTTGTACTGCTCGTATCTGCAACTATTTCCTCTTCTTCTGCGCCAGATTTGACATCGCCACTCTCGTCCGCCTCTCCTTCTGCCTCATTTTGCTTCTGTTTGATTTCTGCTTCTTCCTCTTCCTCATCTTCCGGAAGACCTTCAATAGCTTCAAATGGACGACCAAACGCACGTAATCTCTCTGCATGACTCATGAGTAACTCTCGATTCATTCCACGTACACTTCTTGCCATTTCGATCATCCAATTTCCTTCGTTCAGTTCTGCCCTTTGCGTATTTTGCCTTCTTGCAGGCCAAGCTTTTGCACGTTCAAAGGGCGCTTCGCCCGAATCGCCAAAGCTAGTAAACCAAGGGTTTCCATGTAGATCCGTTGTAGCATGAGTGAAAGCGTCTGGCCTTCTTCTCTTATTATCTCGTTCAGCCGGTCTTGACTTTTCCATAGGACGAATAGGTTGCAATCCAACATTGGTATTAGCGATCGAATTACCCAATCCACCACCACTTGAAAATTCTTCTTCCTGTGCGTCAGTTGCCGGCTCACCTTCAATCTTTCCTGCTTCCCGTGCTGCTTTTTCATAATAATCATCCGTTACATGCTTTCCACCAGAGATGATATAAGCACCATGCAACTTATAAATATTGCGAGCAGCGACCATATTCACACTTCGGGAACGTAAATGTGCTGGCAAACGTTTGTTTTCAATCAACCAAGCCTTTTCTTGATCTGTGCATGCAAGCTTGACCAAAAGTGGATTCTTGCGATAGAAGAAGAACGAATCTCGATGTCCTGCTGCACGAGCTGCGTCAATACTGAGAGCATACCATTTGAGTGGATCAGGTCGCTCTGGAGATTGAAAGACGGGAAAAGTGAATTTACGTCCTCCAAGTAATTGACCACGAGCGTCAATCTTTGTGTTTCCTGCCTCATCTTCATCAATTTGCAGTTCATCATCCACACATGCATATTGGCGTCCTTCAATATACACACTTTGTCGGGTCGCGAAGTCTGCATCCACTCCGCCCTCTGCATCTTCATCGCCTTCGGCTGCAGGTGTGTTTGCCTCTGTGTCGTCAGGTGCAACACTGCCATTTTCATTTGGTGTGTTTACGCCATCATCACCTTCGGGCTCCTCTGATTCTTCCACTATTCTACCGCGTGGACGTATCTTTGGAGGTCTTCCACGACCTCTTTTGAGTGGGATCTTGATCAAATTCTTCTTTTTCTGTTGTAGATTTGGCGTACTCGTTCCGCTCTCGTCATCTACTGGCATTGGTGTTTGTGCAGCAGAGTCATCTTCTTCATCAGCTGTGCCTACTCCATCCACCTCCAAACCTTCTTCTCGTTGTGGTTTCTGTTGTGGAAGTGTTCTGTAGCTGGATGCTCTACTGGCTGGAGCGAGGAATGTCTGTCCATGATCAGAAACAAGGACGTATTTAGAGGTACGCGTAGGTTGTGTACGCGAAGAGGATGGAATGGGTTTCACATCTTCCTCTTCCCTTTGTTCAGAATCTGCTACAATATCGTCATCCTCCTCGTCATCATCATCTCGTGCTTTTTGAGATCGCTGCATTGTGACTGAATGATCGTCGTCTTGATCTTCAAAAGTTTCTTCTTCCTCCTCACCCTCTTCAAACTTTTCCAATCCTCCACGTCTTGATCGACCTCCTCCTTGTGGAACGCGCTTTGATTGTCTTTGAACGGCATTTGCCGCCCTGGTCGCTGCCGCTCGTACTGGCATTTATGCGAATATAAAATAAAGAGAGACGAGATCTAGCTTAAATATATGCTCTTGTACGATAAGCAATTCATCAATCGGAGGAGAGGTTGGATGTTGTGGTTGAGAAATTGTTGCGTGCTTTTTGGACTTCGATGGCGTAAGGATATCAAACTCTCTGTCGAATTTGACGTTTGAAATAGCAGCCGGTATATCTGTTGAGGTGCGGATGCGATCGTCAGGCACAACTTAAAATTCTCGGTTCACCATAAAAAAATAAAATGATGGAGAGAGCAACGTACAAGTGTTTTATGCACAAGAACTGAAAATGGCCGCTCGTTCAAATTTGACGCGTTGATCGCATTCGCGTAGGCAGGGCAGCAGTTACTACAGTTTATATCTTCTTACGCCAATGGGAATCGGAAGATGCAATCAATCCAATAACCCTACGCAGAACAGAGCTCCTAATGACTTTTCGCTGGCTTGCGTGTACGCCTAATTAAGTTAGCGCCGCCCTGCAGCCCATCCAAAATTCAGGAAAGGGCTGATGCTAGTGTTGTTTGGCTTTACATCTTCTTGAAAGCATACATTTCTGTTCCATCTTCAGATCCTTACCAAGAAATTGAATTGCCGCAAAGATGGTGACGGAAACGGCAAGATGGGCTATGCTACATCGTATGCTGTTTGTAGTCACTCTAATCACGATTGCCATTCCATCAGCATCAGCATGGTATTTGCCTGGATCAGCACCTCGAACATACACAAAAGGACAAGCTGTTCCTTTCAGCGTTAATGCTCTTGAGCCAATGGCAATGGCACCCGGTAATCCGAACACACGGTTACCTGCACCTTCAGGAGCGGGAACTGGATCAAATGCACACATTAAATCTATCATCAATCTAGATTACTATAATGAACATTTACACTTTTGTCAACCAAAAGGCGGTCCACAAGCCAAAAGCGAAGGTTTGGGATCAGTCTTGTTTGGAGATCGGATATACAATAGCCCAATTGAGCCAAGAATGCTGGTAAATGAAACTTGTGTTCAAGTATGCACAACGGATGTTCCTTCAGAAGATGCAAAGTACATCAATGAAAAGATCGAAGATCAATATGCTGTCAGATGGCTAGTCGATGGTCTGCCAGTGGCCACAAAGAAGATCGCCGATCGGACACACGAGTTCTTCTATGCTATTGGTTTCCCCCTTGGACAGCTATACGATGAAGCAAATATGGGACTCAACCCACCAGCATTAAACAATCATCATGATATCTACATCGAGTATCACAAAAAGGGAGAAAACGAATTCAGAGTGGTAGGAGCAACAGTAATTCCCTCATCCATTGACTCTTTGGGAGGAGGACGAGACACTAATGCAGATTGCTCACGCACGGGTATCCTGCAATTGAATCAGAACTTGCAAACACAAAAGATTGCATACACCTACTCTGCACGCTGGATCGAAAGTTCAACACCTTGGGCTACGAGATGGGATAATTACTTGAGGGTATTTGATCCCAGAATTCACTGGTTTGCTCTGATCAACTCAATTATCATCGTCGCCTTCCTGGTTTTGATGGTAGGAATGATTCTAGCACGATCAGTCTCGAGAGATATCAGTCGATACAATGCAATCGATCTTGATGAAGATGTGCAAGAGGAATACGGATGGAAACTCGTTCATGCAGATGTCAACCGAACACCACCAAGGCCCACGCTTCTGTCAACCATGATCGGAACAGGTACACAGCTGGTCGCCATGTCACTCGTCACACTCGTTTTTGCGCTCCTTGGATTCCTGTCACCCTCTAATAGAGGTAGCCTGGGAACTGTGATGGTGGTCACTTGGTGTTTCTTTGGAGGAGTAGCAGGCTACTTTTCTTCTCGTATCTACATCTCACTCGGAGGTGACAATTGGAAGCAGACTGCATTCTTGACTGCGATCTTGTTCCCTATGATCATCTTTACCAACATTTTGAGTCTAAACTTCTTCTTGTTGGTATCAAATAGCTCCGGGGCAGTACCATTCGGAACATTGCTTGCATTGATTGCACTGTGGTTCTTGATCAATGTGCCTTTGGTCTTGATCGGTAGTGTGATCGGTATCCGACAAGGAGGATGGAAGAATCCCACAAAGGTGAACACGATCCCACGTCAAATTCCTCCAACGATTTGGTACCTGCGTCCGTTCACAAGTGCGATAATGGCTGGTATCTTACCATTTGGAGCAGCATTTCTGGAACTATTCTTTGTGATGAACAGTCTGTTCGGTACAAAGGTGTATTATGCATTTGGATTTTTGACCTTAACGTTTGTCGTTACGGCATTGACTACGGCAACAGTGACAGTACTGTATGTCTACTTTGCCCTTTGCGCAGAAGATTACAGATGGCAATGGAGAGCATTTTTAACAGGAGGAGGATCTGCGTTTTGGTTGTTCTTGTACGGTCTATTTTATTGGATGACAAGATTGGATTTGGATGGATTCAGTAATCGAGTTCTTTATCTAGGTTATCTTTCCAGTCTAACACTTTTGGCATTTTTACTTTTCGGTACGATTGGATGGTTAGCAAGCTTTATCGCCATTCGAGCAATGTACAAGAGCGTTCGAGTTGATTAGAGATAGATCTATGCAGGAAAAGACCTTGTAAAAAGAGATGAAAATGTATAGAAGTTGTTATTTACAAGATAAGATTGAACAAAGGCGTGAAAAAGACTGATTCAGTGATTGGACACATGATCCCATGGGCTGACCAAACGTCCACCATTGCGATGCCTGGCCAAGTGATCCAGAAAGCACACCAGATCCAACCTAACACACTTCGCAATCTGCCTTCGACTAATCTTGTTTGACCTTTGCCGAGTATGGTATTTGCCAAGAATGGCTCTACTTGATCAGACCAGATTTGCTCAAAGATGATGATGATCGCTTGGCTGAGGAAAAAGCGAGTTGAAACGTATCGACCGGCACCAAAACCATAACCCATCGACCGTAATTGGGTTTCACTTACACCTTGACGACATTTCGGTGCAATGTGTTGAATATGGCCCAATAAACCTTCTAAGCTCAATTCATGGCTGATTCCACTCAAAAAGAAGGCAAACAATAAACCAGCCGCACGACCAACCGAAGCGGGAAGGTTGAACTTCTTGGCTAGACGTGCACTTGGTCGCATTGCGATTACCGTATATTGTCGCCTTGGTAATTGATGCCAACCTTCTGACCAGAGTGATCTGAGGGATGTGCAAGAGGAGAATCTTGGACACAACAGCGGTTCGTACCTTGATACTGTGATTGGTACTTCATGAGGTGCGCTGAATAGGAGTGTGAAGAGGTACACGAACAAGTGGATCATATGCATACGCAAAGGAATAGAAGCTCCAATGAGGAAAGCGGTGATCCAAGGTGTAAGGATTGGCCCAAATGTACTTGCTTGCGTTGCTTCAGATATCTTCACGAATCCACCGGTGTCTTTAATGGAATCTTTCACGCCCAACAAAGAAGGGTGGAGAATGATAGCCATCATAAGATCAGAAATAAGTACCGATTGCACAAAGCTCCATCCGACAAACAAGAGATTGTCCATTTTGAGTAAAGATGCTTCACGTTTATCAATCTTGCTCCTCATCTCTAATCTTTCACTTGCGATCAGTGCTTTATAGCCAGCTTGGAATGGTGCACCACGTTGAGATTGACCACGACCATTATATCCAAACGCACGAGGACTCATGGAGATATCAAACGGTAACCATGCCTTTGTACCTGGAAAGTATTTCGGTCTTTCAAGCGTATATCCTGGTCCTCCTGCAACTTTTTCTTCTGCTTCTTTGATCGCTTGAGGAGATTTTGCTTTATCGCACGAATTTTCTTCTAACCATTGTCGATATTCTTCTGCATCTTTAATTTCTTGTTCATCATCCCTTGCCAAAAATAGGAAATCAAGCGTATATATCAATATGGAAAGTGCACATGCACCCATATATGCATCACCGTTTCCCCATATGATTGAAGGCTTATCTGGCGCATTCCAATGGGTGTAGTGCAATAAACAACTACGAAAGACGATCGGGATGAGGGTTAATGTGTACAACACACGCCACCGAAGTGATAAGGAAGGGTGATAAAGTCGAATGTAAGCCGCAACCGTTGGAAGGCATAAGGTTAAGAGTAAGAGAGACAGCGAAAAGATTGTGTGTGGCTTGCGCTCCGATAATGGTGGAACGCTCCATAGCCAGAATGCTTGCAGTGCTTGGTGAATCATTGTTATACTCTATAGTGATGGTGGGGAGGATGACGTTTTATCGAACTGATCCGTTACCTATCTTTTGATAGTATTTACGCCCAAACTCGGATTTCTACGGACCGTCAATTCATCTGATAAATTCCACATCCGCGGCATTTGAACGGTAGCGGGTCAGTTTCGTATTCTGCGACGTTCATATGATCTACCATTTCCCCCTGAGCGACATTGATATGTTCGAATGCATTTTCAGACAGAGGGGCTATATGATCGACATTTGAACATTGGTATGTACATAGCAGTTTTATGATCAGTACATTAGGCTATTCACAGATCAAAAGGATGGAAAGAAGCGAAAGATGATGGAAGTGTTGGTGGCTTGAATCATACCATGTCGACACCAAGTCTGGAAAAAAGAAAATGGGAAGAAGGTCAGTCATGAGATCAAAATCTTCCCTTTTACAGTTGCTGCACTTACTTCAACAAGATCAACGGCGATTACCACCATGCATGACATACACCACAACCAACCCAATACGCTCCTTGCTTTACCACTGATGATTTGTTCTCTTCCCTTTCCAAATAGTATCACGGCAAGCTTTGGCTCAATGAAAGAGCAAAAGATATCCTCTAATACTACCACTAAACCACAGTTAATAAAGAAACGAGTTGAAGCGAATCTATTCGAGCCCCAACCATAACCCATTTGACGCAAAGTAGCTTCATCATATTGGGTAAAGCGCTTGAGATGTCGAATGTGTGGTAAGATTGCTTCCATGATCACTTCATGCATCAAGCCACTGTAGGCAAAACTGAGCAAGACACCGACTGCTCTACCAATATTGAGCGGCAAACCTAACTTTTTGACCAATGTTTTGCACGGACGCATGAATAAAACCGTCACCGGTCTTCTGATTAAACCATGCCAATGCGTTCCCCACATATCACCCATAGATGTTGATAGATGTGGTTTATAGAACAACAGTGGCTCCCATCGTCCGATTGTGATGGGAATATGAGTCGGCTTGGTGAAGACTAACGCAATCAGATAGATAAAAGCTGAGAACGCTTGTAATCTAGCCACGATTGCACAACCGAACAAACAAACAACAAAATACTTTGCAAATGGTTGTGGTAAGCTTGTCTGATGTAAAGCGGCTTGTAACCCGGATAAACTGTCATTCGTATTTGGGTCCAAGACTTTTTTGTTGGAAATTACCCATTCCAAGAAATCGTAGCAGAGAAAACAAGTGACAAACGTTTTAAGAGTTCGAAATACGGTGACTTGTTTAACAGCTTGTGCAATTTGAGGATCAGAATTTTCTAGCTTTTCAGCACCAATCAAGGCCGAATAACCACCTTCATACGCAGCAATGCCTTTTTGATTCAGTCCTTTCTTGTAGCCAAGTCCACGTGTGGCATCAGCAAGATCTCTGATGTAATAATTTTTCGTTCCAGGGTAATAGAGTGGTCTTTCAAAAGTGCCACCATCACAAAGTTCTTTCTCTAGCGTCTTCAATTGCTCGACTGAAAGATTGGGGTACTTGTCCACCAAATACTTTCTATATTCATCTGCTCCATTCACGTCTAATTCATCTTCTCTTGCCAGGAAAAGGTAATCGATCACCATTGATAAAACTCCAAAAATACCGCCTCCAGTAATCACGTCAATCATAACATAGTAGCCCAACGTATCATCTTCACCTTTCTTTTGCCATGGGAAACGTGTATATCTTGAAAGATTATTCTGAATAACGAAGAATGTACAAAGCATCAAGAATAGCATTCTCCAATGGAATGCTAGGTTTGGATATTTGATTCGAATGTAGACTGACAAGAGGATTGTAGCAGATGATCCCAAGATTCCCAATGGTGCAAGTGCCGTTCCATGTCGTTGATCTAGAGGCGGTACACATAAGTGCCATAGCTTGAGCAATGGATTCGTCATCTTGTTCAGATCTTCTCAAAGACTGAAGGACGAGAAGAAGGAGGTGCAATGGATGCAAACTTTGATTATATTTGAGCAAGTCAGGCGCTGGCGCAAATTAAGGAATATCTCATCCGAGGGACAAACCTGACGGGCCGAACATTTTTATCATCCCGTCTGTCAGAGACGGAATGTTTATGGTAAATGCTCGTTCACCGCTCAAAGGGGTTAGGAGGCGTTCGGCGTTTATTTCCCAACGCCATTTACACGAGGAGGAGATCACCCCTGATGAAAAATTTTAAAGAAGGCTTTCACAGGGCTGTTTGTACAGTGCTTGAATATGCTGTCTAGATAAAAGTCTGGCCAAATAGTGGAAGGGAGGGAATAAATCGAAAAAGGATAGGAGCGATGATTCCTTGCAAAAGACCATGTTGGTGCCATACCTAATAAAGAAGCGCAGAAGGGCGTCAGAGATGATGTCATCTGGAAAATGCAATACACTTACATCAACAAGTTCAACCGCAAATACCACCATCCAGCTCATACACCATAACCAGCCTAAAACATTTCTAGCCTTGCCAATGATCAGTTGTTCTTTAGACTTGCTTGTAAACACTTTGGCTAATTTTGGCTCGATATATGAGCACCAAATATCCTCCAGAAGGATTACTAAGCCACAATTGACAAAGAATCTTGTCGTTGCATATTTCTTCGCTCCCCAACCATATCCCATTGTACGTAAGGTGGATTCACCATATGGCAGCTGTTTCAGATGAGCGATATGAGGAAGGGAAGTCTCCAAGATTGCTTCATGCATTAGACCGCTAAACAGAAAGCTTAAAATGATTCCAATTGCTCTTCCAATTTTGGTCGGAACGTTGAGATGTTCACAAAACTGCTTGGCAGGACGCATGAAAAGTACGGTCATCGGTCTACGAATGATGCTGTGCCAATGTTTTCCCCACATCTGTTGCATGGAAGTGCTCAGATGTGGTTGAGCGAATAGCAGAGGTTCCCATCGGCTGACTGTGATTGGAATTCGAGTTGGTTCTGTATAGAGAAGAGCCAATAGATAGAAAAGTGCGTAGAGTGCTTGCAATCTTGCCACGACTGAGCAGCCAACCAAAGCAACGACGTAATATGTTGCAATAGTTGGCTTTAGCAGCAAGTCGCCTCTTGCTAAATAGCCGCTGAAAACCCAAGCAAGAAAGTCTCCTGCCAAAAAACACATAAGGAACACTTTTAAGATCTTAAACAGGATATCTTTTTTGATCACTTGTGCAACTTCGAGCTGGGAACTTTCTAATTTTTCGACGGCAATCAAAGCCGCATAGCCACCTTCATATTGAACAATGCCTTTTTGATTGAGACCTTTGTGGAAGCCCAAACCTCGAGGAGATACCGCAAGCTCTTTGATGCAAGGATTGCTTGTGCCGGGAAAGTAATCGGGTCTTTCAAGCAAATTTTCATTTGATGTCTCCTTTTTCAAGTGTTTATCTGCCTGATACTTTCTATATTCGTCAGCTCCTCGGACATCCAAGTCTTCTTCGGTTGCCAAGAAAAGGTAATCCAAGATTAGAGCCGGGAGATGAACGGCACTTCCGCCTGACATTGCGTCAAAGATCATAAACCACTTTAAACTTTCATCTTCTCCATCTTTTTGCCATGGAAATCGTAGATAAATTCCGAACGATATGTAGATTGTGAATGAAATACCAATGATTGCCAATAATACCTTCCAATGAAATGAAAGTTTTGGATGTTTGATACGAACGTAAACAGCCAGTAAGAGAGTCGTGAAAACTGAAATCGTTTTCAGTAGCGCAAATGCAATTCCAATACGATTTTCCAATGGTGGCAAGACCATTTGCCAAACATTGACAATAATTTCTTCCATGATTTCAACAGGAAAGGATAGTTGTGAGGATTATGAGCTGAGAATCGTCAAGAAAAACGTGTGTCATAAACCATTCAAACTCAAGCGGCCTACCTTCGGCGAACCGTTGGCCGCAATTATCGTTATCTTCATTTCACCATTCGGATCAGATAGGAATGGTAGAGGCTGCGCTATTAGGTACCCATTTCTCGTAATGACGTAAGAATGAGCCAACGCCACGGACTAAGCACTGACCATCTGATCATTTGCTGACCAGAACAATCAAGAAGGAAGCCGGCAGGATGGATCTCGCAATGATATTTATGATACATAGAGAATACATACTTCAGATGTCAAGCAGTTTATGTGATAGAGGGCAAATGATCGATGATGATCTGAGTAAGGGGTCGTGTAACTTGGAAGGTGACAGCAGCACTTGCAATGCCATGACGAAGCCAGACATCAAGCAGCATATGTCCTGTATACAGCATCACTGTCATACACCATATCCAACCAAAAATCTTTCGTGGGGCACCGTTAATAAGTCGCGCTTTACCAACCTTGGGCACATCAACAAGAAGAGCGGCAATTTGTGGCTCGATAAAGTTTGTAAAGATGTCTTCAAAAATTATTCCAATTCCTTGAAGTAAGAAGAATCGTGTTGATTGGAAGTTTTGTGCACCGAATCCACGTTCTGGCGTACGAACACGACCAAGCTTTGCACCATCGAGATCCCATTCTTTAAATCGTGGCAGGATAGCTTCTAAGCACATCTCATGCATAAAGCCGCTGATCAAGAATGTTGCCATAATGCCAAGTGTAGTTCCCACCTTTCGAGGCAACCCCAATTTTCCGGCTAAATTCTTGGCTGGATAATATCCGAAGATCAAAAAGAAACGTCGAAAGAATGCGTGCCAGTGAACACCCCACATTGCACGTAGAGAGTCACTCAGATGAGGATGAGCAAACGGTAAAGGCTCATATCTTGAAATCGTGATTGGTATCTCGGATGGTTTTGTTGGCAATAATGCACAAAGGTACACCAAGGAGCTGACTGTTTGCATTACACAAATGACGTAAGTGCCTAGCAAAGCCGTCAAGACCATAGGACCGGCTGATCCCAATCTTCCGTGTTTTGCATCGTCAATTGAGCAAGGACCATGCTTGCAAGCATCCGTCAAAATTTCTGGTTGTCGATAGAAAGACTCGATCAAGTCTAACATCAAATAACACACAACAAAAATTCGAGCCGTTTTCTTGCAAGCATCCCATTTGATCTTGTTCGCTTTGTCTGCCGGCTCTTTTGCCAGTAGTTGCGACTTTTCAAGCGCGTCATAACCAGCCTTGTACGGTGAACTTTCCGGAACGATGCCTCTTCCATACCCTAATCCACGCAGGCTAGCGAGGATATCCCAGACCAGTGGAACATTTGTGCCAGGAAAGCATCGAGGACGTTGCAGCGTATATCCATCTCCGATGAGAGAAGCCGTTTCAGACTTCGAATGATTGAGCTTGTATTCTTCTGCCCCGTTCACGTTATAATCCCCTTCTTTTCCCATCAAACACAATTCCAAGAAAAGCATTACCCAGACGTACGCTCCAACGCCCAAACCGAAACAAAACATCTCACTTGAAAAGTTGAGTGTTTTGTATGGTAGACTTGAGTCAACATAGTGAGACAAACATGATCGCAAGATCACTGGTACGCCCACAATAGCAAATGCAGCTCTCCAGTATAGTGGCAAAGTAGGATGCCTCAATCGAATGTAGCATGCTATGAGAAGCAAAAGTGGTGGAAGTAAGAGGACAGGCGCCGATTTCGCTGTAAATGGCTGTCGGTCGTATGCCGTCGGCAAAAATGCCGAAAAGAATGATTCGATTACGTCGGTCATTGTCATCATGTTGATCGTAGATGCAAACGATTTGTGGAGGTAATCGAAAGGAGAAGAAAAATGCGAAGAAAGGGGTACGACAACAAATTGCGATACAATACAAGTATGTTACAACGGAGAAGCGAAATTAAGGATTCCGATGGCTAATCTTCGCTCATTTTGAATAATTACGGCCCGTTGAAATCCGTTTGAAGGTGGTCGTGATGAAATCAAAAACACGAGAACAACAAAATCACAACACTTTTAGCGTCCCAATCCGTGTTAGGCTTACCTTAGAGCACGCGTATATGCACATGACAAAAGCCACTGACTGCATCCAACTCAACAACGTCACCGATCAAGAATCTATTGTACACAAATTGATACAAGGAATGATAAAAGTACACAGATGAATAAGCCTTTAATCGCTATCTTCAGTCTTTGCAGTACGTCTCTTCTTTGCTTTCGGTTCAGATGAGCCAGCTTCAGCTCCTTCATCTTTTACCTCTTCGACGATATCCTTTAAGAAATCAAATGTTTCGTTGTTGTGAATCGCACGTTTGCTGTGAGGGGAAAAGGAGCGAGTAAGTCAGCAATGGATCAAGGTATTGATTTGGTGCGCTACTTGATACATACAAATGTGCTGGTGTGAGCTTTCTCTGTCCGGTAGCTCTGGCTTCTTTGACAGTGGCTTCCAAGATGCTTGCCATGAACAATTCGAGTGATTTGGCTAGAAGAGGGTGATGAAGGGCATATCAATCTGTCAGCAATGCATCACAAGAAGTACGAATAGTTCAATCCTTCTACTTACAAACAACAACAGGAGTAGCTTGTGCGACTTTTCCTACATCCTCATCAGCTTGCATGATCTTCTTGATCCGTGCGACTGGGAACTTGCAAACGTTAGATTTTCGGCCCATCTTGATATAGAAGATCTCTAGTTACCTGAATAGGAGAGAGATACGATGATGGTGGCAAGCTGTAAGATGACAATGGGAATGGATTGCAAGTGTTGATTGTGTTTGAATTGTTTTTGCACGTGTACAGGGTGAGATGAAAGCAATACATTTGAGCGCGTCAAATGAAGCTAACAGCACTGCTTCCTATCCCCGGCGTGTGTGTTAGGGTACGCCCTTTAGTAAGACGTAGGCCAGCAAATGCCAACAACGAATTGATGCATGTACCACATTTAAGAATAACTTCCATTTAACCTTTAGCCAAACGACATCACGACAATCTGCCTTTTGAGCATCACCATTGAACGATATAGGCAATTGCACCTTTCGATCATAACTCGAACAAAACGGCATCATAGACGGACGCAGGTCGACGTTTAAAGAGGCCGATACACAATCATGAGGAGCATAACAACCCTTTTGGTGCTGTTTCTAACAGCTCTGCTTTCAATCCTACCCTCTTCCGTTCAAGGTGCAGCTCTAACAACATCAGTCGATCCTCATACAAGAGCATGCTTCTATGCATGGGTGGACAAAGCAGGTGAAAAAGTTGGTTTCTATTTTGCCGTTCAATCTGGAGGTTCGTTCGATATCGAATATTCGGTCTTGGATCCTCATGAGAAAATCGTCGTTACCGGCGTAAAGGAAAGACAAGCAGATCTTGTCTTCACAGGAAACTCAGTTGGAGAGTATAGCTTTTGCTTTGAAAATTCGATGAGCTCATTCGCTGTCAAGATTGTAGGTATCACTGTGCACTCGCCGCCGCTTTCATCTTCTAGGTCTGCATTACTGACAACCTCTTACCCTCCTCTTCAGATTGATTTCGATATCACTGTCGAATCCGAACCACGTCTCACACTTCCAGTCTCGGCAGCCGCTTTGCTTTCCGAACATTCTGCTCCATTGGAAGAATCAATTTCAAAAGTTGATTCACAACTTACACAAATCACACGTATGCAAAGATATTTCCGTACATGGGAAAATAGAGGATTTGCAACCGTTCGACAAACACTTTCAAAAATTACTTGGTATTCGATTATTGATATGTTGGTCATGATCGGTGTTGCAGTTGCGCAAGTGTACATTGTACGGTATTTGTTCGATAAAGGAAGTACGAAGCGTTATCGGGTTTAAACTCTTAAGCTTCTCAAATTTCTTTATACTCAAAATCATTGTTCGTCTCTCTAATAGAAGCTGAACTCATGTATACTATATCACCATGTCATTTATGACCCCGAATGAAGTAACCATCAAAGATTTGTCGAAAGAATGAACACACCCTTCATCCTTTGAGTCGTAGGCAGCTCTTTCATCAAGCCGTTTATTCGTATCTTTGGTCCAATTATCTCATTTCATCTCATCTACAAGGTGAACCTACGAGTCTGTCAGTGGAACAGCCATTACTCGCTCGATTCTCCGCCCTCTTTCTGTACTCCTTGACCATGGTGTGGATGGTTTGTCAAGTTGAACCATGGTAGTGTGCCTAGAAAGGGAAAAAAGTGATATGGTCAGCTTTGTTCAACGACTTGCATGCAGTGTATGTACTCACTGAACTTCAATTGTGAAAAGACGGAGTTACGATGAGAAACACCTTGCATGTATGGGCTCATATCGGAAGCGCTTGTGTCCAGACCGGGTGCAGAATCTCCTTGTTCTTCTGCCCGTTTCACTTCAATTGCATTCTCTTGCCATCCCCATAGTCGGACTAAGCAGTCACAACAAGTGATATAAAGTATGTGTCAGTACCATCTCCATTTCAAAAGTACGTTTAGATTCGTTTCATACGCACAACTACTTCTCTGATATGCCAACAAGAATCCACCACAAGCGCCCAAAAAGGTACCCAAACGCAAAGCAGATCGTAAACCACCTCTAGGCGGTCTTGTTGGATCGATTTGTTCCATAAAGTATAATGCTCCTGGGAAAACGGCAGTTGCAGCACCCCATGCTAAATAATCTGATTGTCTGAAATTTTGCACAACCCGTCTGAAGTGTGGATCGACATCGATTTGAGGGTAAGGAGAGTTTTCTTGTGGAACAGGCATGTTGTGTTGATGTACTCTTTCTTGTTGCCGGTTGTAGGAAGGAGTATCGTTGATCGTGTGTATGCGATGAACACTATTGTCACCTTCTGATACGAAAGCCAATCGCAAGCGTTCTAGCGCAAAGCACGCCAAAACCATACACAGAGAGACAGACAGTCCTTCCTCTGTGTGTGTGTGTGTGCTTTCTTCTTAATGGCGCGTTTATTCATAGCCTGCCTTCACGTGGAATTCGCGCTTTAACAGCCGCTCTTTAAAATATAGGGCCAGAAGATAAAGTGTGCTTTAAAGTGTTTAATGATTACATTCCAAAGTGTATTCATTCATTATAATAATATTCATCATTCTTTGATTGACTACCAACTCGGAAGCAGGGCGAAACTGCTACCTGGTCAATCACAGTCAACATCATGGTTCGGGAGGTGGTACGGAAAAGGCGTCAAAATGACGGTGCCGGTTCTAAGAAAGCGGCGACCGCTTCTGCTACCGATGACGCAATTCAGAGCGAAGGAGTCGGTACAAGTAATGATGCAAATAACGGCCAACATGAAGAAGATAAAATTCAATCTTCTACAGGAAAAGCACCTTCAGCTAGACAAACACGAAAATTACAGTCTCGAGCATCACTGCAAGCACCTTATGCAAATTTATTAACAACAACACCCGGTAAGAATAACTCTACTTTCAATTCTCCCCGAACACCATTACGAACACCAAGATCAGCAACTACAAAACGACAAGACCTTTGGGGTATCGCATCACCTACATCGCCTAATTCACCAAGTATGCGTGCTTTGAATGCGATTGTGAGTTTCATTTCACCTTATGCAAGTGCAAGAAGGAGCGCTGCTTTTGGTGATCCAGAAGAAGACCAAGACCGTAGCGAGGTATGGAAGGGTAAGCAGAAGCAAAACTCAATGGCTCTGGTAGAAGAAGATGACGATGAGAATGACGAAGAGGATATCGCTAGTTCATTATACCCTCCACTTCCTAGCGATCCAAACTCTTCACTTCAAGCGATCACAAAGGATAATATGGAAAATGATACTACAATTATTGAGCAAACAATTGATCAAATCGAAGAGGATGACGAAGATGAAAGCGAAGAAGAAGAGGATGAAGAAGGAGCAGACGAACACGAACAAGTCCCCGCGCATTCGCAGATAGAGGACGACGAGCAAAGCCAGCCCAGCGAAGCTGACGTGGTCATTATTGAAGAAGACGTCGAAATCATTCCTCCTTCAGAAATAGATGGCCCGCAAGCCAAGACAACGTCTCGCACATTCAGTCTTTCATCTAATTCTAGACCTGAACCTACTTTTGGCGCTCCCTCTGCAATCGGTCTGGCCGTGTCAGAAGGTCAATCAATACAGAATCTTGGCGAAAGCACGAGTGCATCAAATGCATTGCCTCTCCCAGCAGCTCGTTCGCCTTTTCAAACGAATGGCTTCATCGCACCTCGAGAATCTACTCCGTCAAAGATGGGTTTCGGTGCGATTGCAACTGAGCCAGTAAATTCGGCTTTCAAACCTGTGCGACAGCCAGAACATCAACAACCAAGCGTTGTTCCGCCTTCATCTGCTTTTACATTCGGTGTAAATCAAGAGGCCAGCACATCGAGATTACCGCAATATCCACGAGTTACACGTCCAGCCAAGACCATCTCACCTTTGGCAAAGAATTACGAATTGCTCGCTCGATTCTTTGCTGAAAAAGCCGAGAAAGAAGCTAGAGCTGAAGCATCTGCATCGATTTCAAGTATGGACGAAGATGGAAATGAACAATCGGGAGCATTGACGGAGATTGAATTGGCTGGTTGTATGCGATTGATCGAACAAAGTTATGCACAAGGACAAGGCGAAGAAGTCGAACGATTGCGACATGAAGCTCTTCGACGTGCACAAGCTCCGCAGATTCAAGGGGATGATTCGATGGACAATCACATGGATGAGGATGAGGTGCACTTTGCCAAATCGCACATTGGAAATAGTAGAAAACAGTTTATCAGTCGCAGTCCAAGCTTGCCTCTTGGCGCTGCTGCTGGTGAAGCACCTGTTCCAGGTCTTTATGGATATCGTTCACGCCCTAGTAGCTCTTTCTTGGCTCCAACATATCGTGATCCACAAGATGTTCGAGTCAATCAGTCTCTTACAAACATTTTCGGCAATTCTGCCACTGTTCCACCCAAACGCAAACATCGTCCTCTGTACCTAGGACCTGGTGTTGGAGCGACGGCCACTTCTGCGATCTTGAAAAGAACTCAACAAATGCAAGCACGCAAATCAGCACTCACGACGCAGAGGGCATCGCTACGTGAACAATTACGACCTTTACCAATGCGTGCGTTAGGTCGAAGTGAAGTTGCAGAGGAGGCCGAAGATAGCGAAGGACCGAGAAAGCGACGAAAGCTGCCAGACGAGCCTTTGCAGAGCAAACAGACGACTGCGCCGGTATCAAATGGCAAATTTGTCAACCAAAAAACTCCTGAACAAGCTACTGTCCAACCTACAAATAAGACGACACCCCCTTCGCTCACGGCCACAGCAGATGCCATGCTCAGCATTTTGAGCTCAGGTCCTTCTATCCCATCTCGCTCTCCAGCTGGAACGAGTACCATCAGAGCATCAACCGGTGGAGCGTCCGAAGCTGAGTCCTCTTCCAATCCTGAATTGGTCAATCCGTATGAAACCAGATCACGTCTTAGAACACGTTCTGCTGCTCCTACTTCAACCAATTCCTCATCAACAGCAGCGGCAAAGGAGAAGGAACGATTGAAGGAAGAAAGAGAGAAACGTCTTAAGGCTCAGAAGGAGAGAGAAGCAAGAAAGGAGAGTACGTTAGACTTCATCAAAAGAACTGCACCTACGCCACCTGTAAGGCGTGGTCGACAGATCCGTCTAGAGGAGGAGGATGACGACGACGAAGAGGAAGATGAGGAAGAAGCAGAACGAGAAAGTGAAAAGGCAGCCGCGGCAGAAGCTGAAGAAAAGGAGAGAGCCAAAGCAGCGGAGGAGAATAAGAAACGCAAGAACGAGGAATTGAAGAGAAGAATGGACAAATTGAACAAGGATGCTAAGAGCAGAGACACTACTTCTGATGGTGCCGAGCCAAAGTCCTCTACGCAGCCAACCAGCAGCAGCATCCCAATCTCAAAGTCATTCTCTTTCAATTCAGGTTTTGCTCCCAAAAAGCCAAGTCCATTATCACAAGCTGCTTCGAATCATGTTCCTGATTCGCCCAGTGCATCTTCTGAATCATCAGAACGTTCGATTGCCAGAACGATTGCATCTCCACAGAAAGGCACTGCAGGTCCACCTACTTCATCCACGATTGTGATCGAAGATGACGAAGAGGAGGCCGAAGCCGAAGCACCAAAGCCAAAGGCTCCCCTGTTCAACTTTGGAAGTGCCAACAGCAGTGCCGCGAGCAAGACTGTTTCTGCTCCGACACCTACGTTGAGCTTCTCAGCAAAGGCTCCAGAACCCACAGCTGCAAGCACCTCGCAACCAGCCACTTCTGCACCATTCTCTTTTGGCAAGACGGTCAATGCAGAAGCACCGACAGCACCCACAAGTACTACTTCTGCCTCTGTGGAACCCACTACGGATCGCGATCAAGCTGCAAATGCTCCAGTTTCAAGTCTTCCTAAGTTTGATTTCACATTGGATGTGGTTTTACCCGAGTCCTCCGACAAGAAAGATGAAGCTGCACGCAAGAGTGTCACTTCTGAGAGTGTCGAGTCACTGCCGAAGTTTGACTTTGGTGGATCGTCTATTGCTGAAACATCAGCATCGACCGAAACGGCCAAGACTTTCAGCTTTTCTGCCCCAAAGCCTGCTGCAACAGGCAGTGGTGCATCTACACCAACTTTTGCGTTCAAACCCACACCTTCAGTTGCTGCTGCTGCACCGGCTATTGGTAAGGATGCCAGTGAAACGTCTGGTGAACCAGGATCTGGAGCAACAAGTGGTGATGACAGTGCAGGCGCATCAGATAAGACCAAGTCAGCTCTTCTCGCCGGAACAGGTGAAGGAGAGGAAGATGAGAATAGCTTGCACGAAGTTCGTTGTAAGATTTGGAATTTGTCAGATGGAAAGTGGAACGATCTGGGCATTGGAGCTTTGAAGATCAAGAAGCACAAGACCACTTCCAAAAAACGTGTCTTGGTCAGAAATGAAGGAAATGGAAAAGTGACTGTGAACTTCAATATCATGTCAACTTTCAAACCTACCCAAGACAAGAATGTTGTCACCTTTTTGGGCTTCGATCAAACGGGTAAACCGACGAATTACAGATGCAAGATCAAGACCGAAGGAGATGCAAAAGATCTCAAAGAGGCGCTCGAGAATAGCGCAAAGGAGGCGGCTTGAGAGTCATCTTGCATATCGCATCGCATTGCTTCACATCAGCACATACATGACTATAATTGCATATTTATACACACGCAAGAACTTTGTGAGATCAATGAATCTCAGCATGCCAGCAAGGAGGGTACAGTATATAAGAGATAGCATTGGAGATTCCACCACCCTCATTTCCCCATCACCACCACTACCCTCGTCATTTGGCGGGCGAGCCTTTTCTCCCATGGCTCGTCAACGTTGAAAAGACAGAGGAAGATTATTCTTTTTTGCCACACTGGGATTTTGGTCCGCTTGCTTTAATTTCCTCTATGCAGCGATTGGCCTATTGATGTCGTTGGCGACATCTTTTATATTCATATTTTCAATCCAAGTATTTTTAGCATCTTTCAGCAACTGCAATCGACATTTTATCATTCTACCTCACTACTGACTTCCTTTGACACCGGTTAAATTTCGTTTCTTCTCCACCCCTTACACACCACACGGATTTTCAAAAGACGGACGTGAAGCGCTCATCTTCCACGCTTCAGATTCTCGGTGAGGGTGAATCGAGATGCATTGTTCACGATCTCCTGTTTGCTTTTCAAGCTTGGCACGATATACACTGCTCCGCAGATGTATTGTGCTTTAAGGAGGGAAGAATGAACATTTGTGTATTGATCATATACCTCGTCGAGAGTCCGTAAAGGCAAAATCCAACATTTACTCATGGTAAAGGAGATGGATCATTTTTTGACTTTCTCTTCGCCATTCCCGTACAGGCCTGGCTCGCTCCGTAGAAGTTTCACACGCGCGGCCGCAAAGGTAGACGGGGGAACATTCGATAGCAATCAATTCATATAAAATACTGTAATGTACATGAGATCCAGTCAAATTTTAATCATCACCTTACATTCTATTACCAATCTTAGAACGCCAGCCGGGAGCACGTTCGAAACCATTCTTGCCGGATTGGAAGTCCATCATTGTTTGCATAATTTCTTCGCGACTTGTCATGACGAATGGACCGTGTTGGAAAACAGTTTGATCCAAAGGTTCACCTGCAATGACGACAAATCTTGCTTCTTGACCTTCTTCACCTGCATGTTCAATCCAAACACCGTTCTCTTGCGGAACAGTGGAAGGATCTACCTTTGGATCAGTCACCTGAGCTTTGTTGGACAAGACAAGAGTATTGTATTGTTCATATTCTTTCTGTCCACTCGGCGTACTTTGATCTCCGACCCGAACTTTGGCGGAACCGAAAGTGTAAATGAAGGCGTTGTAACCCGTGGGAATTTCTTGGAATATACGTGCTCCGGGATAGTCAAGAGTCACATCAAAGTACCAACATCCTCCACGATCTGGAGTACGAACGGGTGATTCAACTCCATGACTCTTTCCAGAAATCACCTTTACTTTCCAACCTTTACCTTCAGTTTCTTCGGGTTGATCGGCACGTGGCAATGCAAGAGGTACTTTGTCCTTTGAGTATTCTTGGTAAGATGCTTCGTCCATCTTGTGTTTCTCGGGCAAGTCTACCCAAAGTTGCAATCCATCAGGTGCAGGTAGTTTATTCCCGTTCTCATCTTTTCGCAAAGGCATCTCTGCATGCATCACACCTCTTCCTGCAATCATCCATTGAAGATCTCCAGGTCCGATTTTACCGCTGTGTCCCATGAAATCTTCATGTTGAAAGTATCCATCAAGCATATAAGTCACTGTTGTCTGTCCTCGGTGTGGATGATCTGGAAAGCCAGCTGAAGAGTCGCCTTCCGATAGATGAAAATGATCGAGCATAAGGAAAGGAGAGAAGTTACGAAGTTGTGGTGTTCCAATGCTTCTCCTGACCTTCGCGCCAACACCTTCCGCGGTTTCGATGGCGTAGACCTTTTTTACGACTTCCCGCGAGTATGGAACAACTGAACTGTGCACCGAGGTATTTCTGGTAGCATTTATTGCTGGATTTGAGATTGTTTGAGAAGCCATTTTTCGAGAAAGGCTCCTGAGCATAGAGTGAGTTTGATCGTATGTGTTGTAGAATAAGGTTTGTGTTTGATCCAATGTATGTTTGATCAAGGGATGATTTTGATTGATTGTCAGAATGAGTGAGAGCAAGACAACAAGGATCGAAATAAGGCCTCTTTTATACCCCATCACCTGTTTGATAGAAGGTTTGATGAAAGTAAGAAGGAAGGATGTAGAATGTCATGCTGAACTACTTCTTTATGCGGAGGAGATAGTTAATTGCAATCAGCCAACACTGGTGTGGTGCCTGATCTGTAAACAACACTTTTCGTGCGTATATCCGAAAAATCCACAAAAAATCCACTTAGCGCCAAAGACTGAATGCGATGTTACGCGCGTAGCAAAAGTAAGATCTCTCGCGCCCCTCTCAACAAACAATTATATCCACATCAATTCGGTGACACGAGAATGAACAACCGTCAAGCATCACCTTGACTTATCTGCTATTATAATTTTCGAGCAATGTCTAGAATATTGTAGATCGTACACTCACCCCTCATACTTTCAATACAGAGCACAGATGAATCAAGCTTTTCACCAGTCGAGCAACTTGATGAAACATTCAGCATCGACCTAAAGTTGTTGGCAAGTCGTCAGACTATGATCAGATTATGTCAAATTGACAGTGAACATCAGTTCAAAGAGGGAAGGGTTCGAGAAATCTGGAGAACCGGGCCTCGCAATTAAGAGCCAGAGATTTTCTTGACTAAAGATATAAAGACAAAAGTGAGAATACTCTTATTCGAGCAAGTGCCATGGCGATCACCGCCAAGTAGCCACACCTCTAAACACCGCTGATGATACTGTCACATTCATGACAGGTGTCATAACGGTAAAAATGCAAGGAAGCATCCTCCTTAACAAAGATCAATAAGCTATCATACCTTACGTGCACGCTAGCTGGCGAGACATAAAGTCATAGATTGAAGGTTTTGAATGTATATGTATGAATGATATGCCTGACGTAGAATAATCAGGCGATACTACAATCTACTGTCGAGCTTGAACGATCAATAATTGCAATGCTGGTGAAAGATCAATGTACATAAGCAAATGGATGCTTGAACAACCATACGCTCTTTTTTGGTGAGAATGTCGTAACCATAGAAGCGTTCCAAATTTCTCATCGAATCAGCAAAGAGCTGTTTACTTGAGTGGGATGAAACGACCAGAGGTGGCACCGAGACCGGCACGTCCGTGGCTGGTTGGGCGGTATGACATGGAGAATTCACCTGTGAAGAGAAAGATTTAACTGTCAGCATTTCTGTTTTTTGTGATATCACGCAAGTCTCTTCTTCATTCATCCCGTTTCTAGTAGTATTTCGTTTGAATCGTCCCAAGCAAACTTCCGTCTCTTTCCCCATTTCGAATGCAATACATACCCAAGTAGTGACCGATCATTTCAGGGCGGATATCGACGTTGTTGAAAACTTTACCGGAGTAAACACCGATTTGAGAACCGCACATTTCTGGAACGACCAACATATCACGCAAGTGTGTTCTGACAACGGCTGGCTTTTCGTTGGCAGGTGCTTCCTTCTTGGCCTTACGCAATTTCTTGATCAAACCCATAGGCTTACGTTTCAAACCACGAGAGAAACGTCTACGGGCACGAGCATGGACGACTTTCATGAAGTCCTCGGTGGACATGTCCAACAAAGAGTCCAATTCATATCCACGGTAGGAGAACTTGCGGAAAGCTCTCTTTCTCTTGAGCTCAGCAGCTGCTTCGGCGTCGTAAGAATCCATATTGGGCTGTTGTGATGGTGACAAGTGAAAGGTTTCAAAGGTTGAATTGATTCAATTCACCAATTGCAACTTCGCGCCTTTACTGCACTTGCACTGTCCTAAGTCAGCCTTTCCTTCTTAATCACTGTACGCAGGCTTTTATTATCAAAGGCTCTTCGCGCGCATGTGCAGCCGCCGCTGCAGTTACAGTAAAGCCATAGGCGAATGACCCAGCACGCGTACAATTTCGACCAACAGTGGTATTGTGCCATGAATTTATTGTTCAACGCTGCGGATGAGCTCTGGTACACGTGATGAAGATGCATTTTGTGAGCGTAGGCAGGGATGGGAAGCGCAAGAAGCTTTTAGGATGCAACCCTAGTGTCAAGGCTGTGAGAATTTGGTCAATTAACAATTCGTGCTTTGTCAAAGCCTGTCTCGTAACCATCAGCCCGTAAGTCTTCCATTTCAGGACCAAAGCTCTCATAGCGGATTTACGGCTTCGGCACACTTTCTCTTTACACCAAAACAACAAATTTATCAATCAAAATGAAGCACATTGCTGCCTACCTTCTTTTGCAATTGGGTGGTAAGGAATCCCCTTCCGCCGCTGACATCAAGACTTTGTTGGACTCCGTTAGCATCAGCGCTGATGATGAACGCCTCGACAAACTCATCTCTGAATTGGAAGGCAAGAACATCAACGACGTACGTATTATATTTGCGGTGATTGATTATATTGACATTGATGCTGACTATACTATTCTTTCCACTCTTTACAGTTGATCACTGAAGGTTCCGAAAAACTTGCTTCCGTCCCATCCGGTGGTGGTGCTGCAGCTCCTGCTGCCGCTGCCGCTGCTGGTGGTGCCGCCCCTGCTGCCGAAGAGAAGAAGGAGGAGAAGAAGGAAGAAGAGAAGGAAGAATCCGACGATGACATGGGTTTCGGTCTTTTCGACTAAACGTATTATCGAATTGCACTTTGACACTCTACGATATTTACCGACAAAGACCATTAAATTTGTCGAGCATTCGTTCAAAAATGCATTCGGTTCAAAATCATCTTTTGCTTTCTCAACATGTACTTCAACTCATATGCTGTTATAGTAGTATGCTTCTCACCTCGGGCAAAGTTTCATGTCGATGTAGTTCAATGACATAATCTCTGTTCGACTAAACGATGTCTGCGATTGCTGAAGTTGAGGTATACCCCGATTGTAAGATTGGATTTCAGAGAGATGCTGTTCTAGTATACATGTGCACATTTTGCATAAGGGAGTAAAAATACATGTTGGAATTTTATGCAGCTATCTTCAGTCCTTCAATTGCTCTGTTTCTATCTCCTCAAATTGACTCCAAAGTGCGTCCTCGTCATCTAGATCTTCTCTAAAGATCTTTTGAGGAAGTGGATGAGTAGGCTGGGTTGAAGACTGCGACTCATTATCTTGAACGATTTGTTGTTCTCTAAGCTGTTCTTCATCATTGCTATTTGTTCCGTCAGAATCACTAGCACCGATAGGTTGTTGATCGATTTGTAGCGCAGCTTGGTCTAATCTTCTTTGCATTGCTTTATCTAATTCTTCTTGCCCTTTCTCTTGACGCCATTCACAATCTTGTCGAAATTCACATTTATGACAGCGCCACGACTGTTCAATCGTGACTCCTCGCATTGAACGTTCGCCTTTCCACAATAACATCATATCGTGCAAGTGATTGTCTAGTTGGATCGGATTATGATAGAAATCTACCGTACCCAGAATATTTTTGTCCGATGGTGTAGCTTCAGGCTCGGTGTCATCTGTTTCCCTTCGTTGTGAAAGGGGAACGCTAGGTGAAGAATCTGGAATAACAACACCATTATCACGTAAAACTTCGTCTTCAATTTCGGCTTGACGAACGTCATCGTCCACACCAAGTTCTAGGGCGATCGCTACCACTCGATCTTCTGCGTTTTCTGACTTGCTTTCCGTCTCTGCAGGGGCGGCTTCCTGCTCACCATTCGAGCCATTTAGCCTTTTTGAAGAGCGAGATGGTTGCTTTCTGCGCGCCTCTGACGCATACTTACTCTTGGGATGAAATTTTCCTTTTCTCTTACGGTATGTTAAACGAAGATGATGCTGAATGACTCCAGAAGCAGTGAAATCCGCAGCTTTCCATCTCATTCCTTCTTGTGCAGACTTTGCTAATTCTGACAAAGTCTCGCTCAGCAAAGCAGCGATAGTTTTCAGTGTGCATACTTGATCTGATGCCAAAATTGACAGGTTGAACTCGTTCAAAAGTCCTTCTGCATCCAGGATAAATGCATCCGAAAGAGGTAATTGTGCATCGAGCGATTGATGTGCGAACAAATGGGCAAGATCAAAAGGTGTTGCATATTCGTCTAGCTCCAGGATTTCACCTTCTTTCGTTGAAGGTTGGGCAGGTCTACCGCCTATCATGCCGGAGAGCAATCCGTCAAAAAGACGCTTGTAGAGCATACACTGTAGCCTTGCAGGTTTTTGATCCTGCACAGGTGGTAGAAGCCTGGCCAATCGAGTTTTGCTATCTTCAAGGAAGTATCCATACCTCTCTTTTGGTTGTTCAGCTTCATCAGCATTGATTGTAGTATCGGCGTGTGCATCTTTCTTGCCACCAAAAAATGCCATCAAATTTCCCTGCCCTGTCTCCGTCCCCTTCTTGTGGGTTCCTAGGGACTTTTTTGGTGACTTCTTAGGGCCTTTTGATAGTGCTTCTTTTCGACGCATCTCCTTCTTCCACTCCTCCTGTGATGAATATTTCTTTGTTCCATCCGAGACGGTTATTTGAGAGCTTGGGCCATCTTGCTGCTGCAGAGGTGTGAAGAAGTCTGAAAGCGTTTTGGAAGCCGGAGCTTGAGCTTCTTTCTGAGCCTCGTCCAGATATTTGTTCAGCCGCTTTGTCAGAGGTCTCCGATTAATTTCATCAACTACACCCATCACCAATTCACCATGTACAAAACCGAAGATTGGAACTTCTCTGCAACATCCACTGTCGAGCAAGGTCTTCAACCCCGTGATTAAACGCAAGATTCGCAATGCCCATTCATCCTCTCTGGTCGTTGTTTGGACACGAACTTTGACAGGATGTATTTCCTTCTCCAGCTTTTCGTGTACTTTTCTACCTCCTACAAGGACCTTTTCGCGTTGCTGTGCGACTTGTTTATCAGGTCTGAGGATATGACCACTTGGCGTTTCGATCTCTTTTGGTCTTTGTGAGACGGGTAGGTGCCGTAAACCCAGGATCCCATAATGGAATGCATATTCGCACCACAATGGAGAAACGAAGTCTGTTACAGAGAGGTACTTCTTTGCGTCTCTGTATTGTGGAAGCGTGCCAGGCGTCTGAATTTCGATGTGAGCTCTTCTTGCTCGTTTTCTTGACGGTTGTGCTTCCTCTTTGGCCATCTCTGCTGCTTTTTCGCTCACGTCTTTCCCTTCTTGTGATTCGACCATACTAGCCATTCCTCTTCGAATCACGAATGTATGCCATACATTTTCTGTTGATTTATTGCTCTTTGTTAGGCTATGTATTATGCTCCAAGCTGATAGCCGTGAAAGAAGAGTTGGTGGCATAAGATGAATGTGAGTGTATGCTAACTTCTGGGGGTGTACAACTTTATATCTTCTCTGACATGCTCAGCCTTTATATACTGTGTTGTTCTCCACCAAACGCGTCTCGATTGCATAATCAATCAATCCGAATATCCGGGGCGTGTCTTACTGAAATTGTCGATTGCATTTAAGAAAGTCGCCTATCACTTTATAGTCTTTGTACTTTATTCTCGTTGTAGTGAATCGAATCAAATGTATCTCTATCCCAGAAATATCTTTAATTGCTCTAAGTGACTTTTAGAGATAGACTTGCAAAAGACTTCTTTTTGAGTCAACAGACGTCCGTGCCAATTTCCGGACTAGCGTACTTCTCTCTACTTTCTTCTCAGAACCACCATCATTGGAAGTGTTGCAATGATGCCATGACATCAAATGAAGGAAATGTTCAAGGGAAGAGATACGATGCATCCTCTGAACTCTTGATTGGACCCGAGTCTGAAAGGATCAAATTATCCGAAATTGCAAATGATCCCATCTTCGCACAGTGTCAGAAAGTGCCAACTTATTCAAAGGCTTTGACATCAACAGAAGAAGAAGCTTTGGCGAGGAGATGTTCTGTATACGAGCTTCAGAAAAAGGTCAAGGAGACTGTAGATGATAGAAAACTAGCATCTGAACTTCGAACTCGACTTCTCACTTGGGTAGTAGAAGGTGTACCTGAACACGCAGATACATTTCGACGGAAGCGCAAGCGAAAGCAAAATGAACAAACGTCAGATGTGACGGAGAATGAATCGGATGATACCCTTGAGAATGCCACCTCGCACGAGGTAGAGCCAATAAGAGGATTGCAATCGCTGCAGAAAGTCCAAGACTCCGTTCCGAATGCGTTCAAGTTTATGGCCAATCCTGCTCTCGCCAGTGCATATCATCAACAAGGAGGTCGTTCAGATGGATCCGCAATTGTAGCACCGACTCCGACTCATCTGCTGAAAAATATCGAATATCCTTCCTCTGTGATTGAAGCTGTAAGTGAAAGACAGACCAGCGATGGCAAAGAAAGCCGGCCTTTTATCCTTGAGATCTCAATCTACAGCAGACCACCTCGCGGTATGTGGGCAAAGGAAAAGTTTGATAGGATCGTACGTTCTGTGCCTGATTCAGGATACCATCTAGAAGAAGAAAAAGAGTTTGAGGACAATTCTCATTGGCAAGATGGCGAGAGATTTGAGATTCCCGAAAGGACAAAGCGAGGACCTCAATCTATGTTTGGCAGATCAGGCCCGTATGAATCATTGCAACTTGCACAAAAGATCGAGATTCGTAGTGATGCCACTTTGAAAGACCTTCGAGATGGGTTCTATTGTAGGATGGACGATATTCCAGAATCTGTCAATGAGTCAGAAAAGTTCAAAGCATGGAACAAGCAAGTCGCCGTGGGAGATTTGAGCAGTGCCGCTCCACAAATGCACCAGTATACCGGTCAAAAGCGCAGGACGGATAGCTGTTTCTTGATAGAAGATGTCTTATACAGCGAGTATGCTGGCCAAGACGCATACGCTTTGCTACTTTCAACACACTTTTCGAAACCAAATGAGGACGGAGCACCTCCCCGAGCAAGTGCAAGTGGACAGAGGATGGAGGATGTAAAGATGGACTCATTGGAGCTTTGTACTGGCAAATTGTATTGGCTCTTACATCAAGGCAGCTGTGAGCATGTTTGGGTCATTGATGTGATGAGATTAGCCCGAGAAGAAGAATGCAAGCGACCAAATTCCGAGTCTGTCACGACCTTTCTTAGGAATGATTCTGCAGTCAATCCGATCGTTCGATGGTCACGACCAGTCAAGAGGGAGGAAGCTTTCTTGTTTGGTCCATGTCAGATTTGTGATAAACGACCGTCAGATATGATTGTTGCTGGGGGTGGACGATTTCGTCCTTTGAATGGAAAAGAGACATGTAAGGGTTTAGGAGATGACAATGTTGGTGTATGCGAGTATTGTTGGTATACCTTGAATGGTGACAAGGTGGAAATTGCAGGGGCCGGTGGAGAAGGATGGTCAGTTATACCACTGACGTAAGAACATCGCTCTTTTTCTGTATAGTATGAAATTGTATCTAATACAAAAGCCAGCTCGAGAAAAGAAGCAACCATGACAACAATCAAGATTCCTTTGTTTTTAGCCCTGTCTGCATTGCGCGAATTCTTTACCCGCATTGAACGGCGCCATGCAGGCTGTACGGTTACAGTGTGTGCATGCAGAATTACAACACAGTTTCACTTTTAGCTGCATTTCTAGTATGAATTAAACTTCATTTGGTTTGATGACGATTTGGAAATTTGATGGCTGCTCAAATTTGACTTCTCACTTCCATTATTCAAGATTGTCATATACCAGACTTTCTACATATCAAGCTAGGAAAGTATATGTCGAGGAATTCATGCGGAAATGTGGTATTGAATAGATGTCGGTTACGCAGTACATTCACATCATGCAAGATTAAAGTATACATCAAGCACCTTTGCAGCGATGAGCTCTGTTTCGTTGACATCGGCAATGGCTAGAGAAGGCAATCCTAGTCAAGCAGATAGCTCAGGTGTTTCCTTTGGTGCTACATCTCCTACATCATCGACAGGATCATCAGCATCAACAATAAATGCAGCAGGGGAAAATACAAACATACGTGATCAAGAATCTCAAAACGATTTGAGTAATGATCCAGCATCATCGCTTTCTACATCTCCCATTTTCGATTGGCGATCACGATCTGTCTCTGCTCCTGCTTCTAGATCTTCATCGTTCGCCAAAAATCTCGATCAGCTTGCCTTTCTCAATCAATCGGCACACAGGTTTCCCGTCACCCTACCTTCTGTGCCTAGCAGCAATGGATCGCATGGAACAGAAAATACCGAGCGGGGTGGTCCATCGCCTCAAAATAACATGTCAAGCCCTACCGTAAATCCACAACCCATCGCAAGTAGTTCAAGAGCAAGAACGATTGCTAGTCGATCTACGCCTACTTCGCCTCATCTATCTCCTGCTCTGTCTTCTGCGTCAGCGTTTAGCAGATCAGCTGGAAATCCATCTCTTATGAGCGAAGGAATACCGACCCGGCAAACTTTTGCTGACTCACGCCATTCACCCGCAGCAAGAGCAAGAGCTGCTCTTTTCTCGCCCGGATCAGGATTCACTCCGGCTCATGATCAGAGCATGACCAGACCACAAAATCCAACACAGCGAGCTAGAACGAGTGCTGCCGAGAGCAGTAATGAAGCCACACACTCTGACCATGTCACACCCTCGAATGGAAGAGCAAGAAGGCAGCGGGCTAGATCAACTTCGGCAACAGAAGCTGTGAACGATCAAGCGGAAGGTCGATCACGAGCAAGCTCTGCGAGTGCAGGATCAACTTCCTCACCACATACGAGACCACAAAGGGCAAGAGCACAATCTGCTCGTACATCTCCAACCCTTACGAGTACACACTTGTCACCTAATACAGCATCCTATAACCCAAATCTACAAATTTCAACTGCATTTGATCAAGGCCCTCACCGAACGAATTCCGTTCCTCATTTTGCACAATATTCGCCGGTGATATATAGTTATGGATATCGACATTGCGATTCACAGGGTGGACTGGCACCAACAGCGACTGCTTTTGTGCCAGCTACACCTGCTGATTTGAGCACGATCGGTGGATATTTTGCTCTTCCTCCGGCAATGTCTGCTTTCCCAGATCCGATGAGCCTTTCGCCTAGGGAAGCGGACGAATCCCCACCGCCATACACGCCAAGCGAAACAAATTTGAGAGCAATGAATGTTCAAATGCATCCTCAAAATGCTGCTATGATTACCAATAGATCGGAACATTCTTCAGCACTCAGTCGTTCAGCTAGCGGGAGACGTCAACCTGCTGCACAAAGACCAGTTCAAGATCCAGAAGATGAAGAAGAGGATGACAATGCTCTGTCTTTCTCGACAAATGCAAGAAGGAATCGATCGATGCATCAAGGTGCGTCACAACTTGCAACTTCGACAAGCAATGCTCGTAGTGGTCAACCAGTCTCTGTACGAAGTGATGACGAAACAGAAACGGAAGTAGAACGAGGACCAGAAAGTCCATCGATGCGGAGCAATGAAAGCTTATCATCTCCTGTAGCCCGTCACAGAGTATTGGAGGGTGAGCCCTTAGCCAAAGAAGAATGGAATTATATCGAAAGGTTGGAGCGGCCGTCTAAATTACGTCAATTCGTATTGATGTATTTGGTTTTACCTTTGCGTTTGCTTGCCACTGTGCCTGGATTAATTGGAACGTTTTGGTTGATGCGAAATGCATTTGTTGTTGGTTGGAGTAGTTCGATGTTATGGAGAAAGCCGATCGAAGGAATGCAAGCACAACCTAGCTCATTGGAATTTGCTCTCTCGGCTTTGTACAGTATGACAACTGCTTATCACGCTTATTCTTTCACCACTTTGCTGTTACGACGTTGGTTGCATTATTACTCCCTTTTACCATCGCTCATCAGATTGATCGCATTGCAGGCTCTCTGTTGGCCTCTGGTACGATTGACGCTGTATACTATGGGACCAAGAAATCCCTTACCAGCTTGGATCGTGATCTCTACAACGACGGCCTGTAGCGATACGATCGCGCGTTGGGTGGTGAGCAATATTACCGATGAAAGTGACGGACTTTCGAATGCTGCTATGGGCATTGGTGAGGGCACAGGAGCAAATGGAGATCTCTCGGCGTACAATAAAGGGAGGTATGGCAGGTACGGCAGCGGTAGCAGGATTGGACGATCATCAATACGCTCGCAATCGTCTACAATTCGAACAAAATCTCGTGGTGGGATCGGAATGGCATTTTGGCGTGCAATCATGGGAGCGCCACCACGGCAAAGATCTGGAAGGTTAAGTGCAACTTTAGCAGCGGCAGAACATGGAAGACCACATGGACTAGTAACTGAAAGTGAAGCAGAAAGTGATGCGGAATCATTCATGTCTCCAACTCTTTCACGTACACGATATATAAACACTTCTTCATCCTCTATCAATGCTACCAGACGATTGGCAGAGTTGCGCAGACGCCGGAATGGAGGAGAGGCTCTGTCTCCCCAGATGGATCCAGCTTCTGAAGGTTTGACAAGTGCAGGAGAAGGTGAAGAAGATGATGAATTGGGCGATTTACCCTCTACACTAGATCGAACATTGGCCGCCAATGCACAACACAAGAATATTGAAAGAGTTGGAAGGATTTTCCATTGGGACGTTGCTATTCGAAGGAATGTCTTGCCAATCGGCATTTTGGCTTATATGACCATGTGGGTTCTGTTGATCGAAGATGTACGATTACGGCTGTGAATGAATATACCCATTAATGATTGAGGCTCACGAGCATTGTATACAAGGTGCACAGATGCATTGGGTAATTATAGTACATTAGAAAGTCTAGAGTATAGATGGATTCCTCACTTTTTCGTTTGAGCAGATTTACTAGCTGATGATGCATTTGGAGTTGAAGGACTTGCAGTTTGAGAATTCGCATTGGCATTGGTATTTCCACTGGCTTTTTGACCTGCCGCAGTTGCTGCTTTTACAGCAGCTGCAATCGCTGCCGTATTCACTGGTGCAGCATTTGTTGCACTACCACCTGGAGTTGTCGAACCTGCTTTGGACGTATTGGGTGCAGGTCGAACGTTTGGCTGAGATTTGTTCGCACCGCTCGTCTGAGCTTTGGCTGGCGTTGACGCTTTTCCCTGTTTGTTTGCCGCCGTACCAGTTTGAGCTTTGTTGCCACCGTTGGTATTCGCAGCAGGTCTGGCTTGTGTGGTTTGTCCTTGTGCTTGTTGCCCAGCAGGTGGTCTTTGTTGACCTTGCCCTGCACCGGCGGCGGGTCTTGCCTGTTGTTGACCAGCAGCGCCAGCAGCATTATTGTTCGCATTCACACCTCCTCCAAGATTGATATTATTCAGACCACCTTGTTGTTGTGCTTGACGGAACAATTGTAATGCAAGAGTGTTGATCTGTTCAGGTGTGAAAGCAGGATTGTTAGCCAACGTTTGCGTGAGCGTTGCCTGCAAAGCAGCCAATTGAGGAGGAATTGAAGTTCCCCCTGTTGCATTTGCAGGCCTCTGAGCTCCACCTTGTGCATTCGCCGTTGCAGCAGCATTGGCCGGCATTCGTCCTGCTTGATTGGTAGGAGGACGTGCCGCAAAGTTGATCGCTTGTTGACCGGGCTGTTGTTGTGCCGTTTGGCTTTGCTGTTGTGTTTGACTAGCAGTTGCTTGTTGAGCAAATCTCTGTTGAGCTTGCTGTTGTTGCTGTTGCGTAGGCTGACTTTGCTGTTGTCCTGTTTGAGCTTGTTGTGGCATTTGTGGTCTTCCTTGCTGTTGTTGTGCTTGCAATTGTTGCATCAATCTTTGCTGCTGGGCATGCAATTGTTGTTGATGTTGTTGCTGAGCACTCAATTGCTGCTGTGGCGTCGGAGCAGATACGGGCACCTGTGCTTGCGTTTGCGGTTGCGATGGTGCCTGGCTTTGAGATCCTTGTTGCTGTTGCGCTGCCTGCTGTTGCTGTTGTTGTGCGGCTTGCTGAGCAGCTTGTTGAGCTTGAGCGGCAGCTTGCTGTTGTGCTTGTCTTTGTTGCTGTTGCATAAGTGCGAATTGGCGTGCATTTGCTTCATCACGATCTGCTTTCATCAAACTCAATTGTTGTGGAGACGGTGTCAAGCCAATCTTGATCTGATTGTGGGTCTCATGACTTTGCAGGTTCACTTGCTTCGGTTGTGCAAAACTTCTTTGTTGCGTTTCTGCTCTTCGCTTTGCACACTTTTTCATCACCTCTGTGATGTTGGACTTTCGAAGCTTTTTGCGTGATCCGTCATACTTTAGGCCAACCTTCTTCGTCAACTTTTCTCGTTTCATAGCCAATGAGTTAGTAGATTGTCCGTTCTGGGATCCATTTGCTTTTGACTCATCAGCCTTTTCAGTCAAGAAAGATGGCGGTGGTGGAGCTTTACCCTCAGAAGCTGCTTGTTGAATCCTTTGATAACGATCATAACAATCCCATGCTTCACGATAATCGGTCGGCACACTCAAGCGAGTTGCATTGAACAGATCCGAGATTAATTGCCAATGTTGTCCATACTGCTTGATAAGCGACAAAAGATAATCATCTTCCTCAGAAGTCCACAAAAATTGCGTAGCCCGTGCTTCTGCATTGGCAGGTGCAGCTGGAAGTGGCACGGTAGCGGCAGCATGACTTGTATCACGAGAAGGTTTATTGGATTTGCGGGTAAACAAGACCGAACCTGGAACGGGCGGTGCATCTAAGACCTCAGGTGCAACACCTTTAGATGGATCGGCCATTTGCGCAGCAAGATTCCATTCTCCTTCTTCTCTCCATCGTTCATGTGCACGATTGCGAGCAGGTTGAAGTGTTGATACGAGCACCGGTTTCGAGTCCATCAATCGGCTCACATGTGTTAGACGTGGAGCCTGATTGAGGCTTCCGTCATCCCATCTACGATCACCTTTGCCAAATTGAGGCGCGGCGGGAGCATCGAATAGCGGCAGCTCTGGGAACAGGGACGACAGGTTCAACTGATCCAAAGTGATACGTTCACCTAATTCATCGGTAGATATACCCAGCATCTCTGCTAGAGCATTGCTATCCGTATGCTCCAGAAGTGTGACAGGTGAAACTGTGGTCGCGACCACACCCAACGAGAAGATAGGCGCCCTAATGCTTGCAGCAACATTAATTGGAATGTCCTCAGACGTAAGCGTAGCATTTTTGTTGTTAGACTCAGCTTTGATACCACTTACACCTTGTTTTGCAGGGTCAGACACGTTGGAAGGGATTTGATCTTTCTGATGTGCATCATTAGTCAAAGCCGGCATATGAGCAGGAGGCAGATCTTTATGGACAACCTCCACAGGCTCATCTGGCTTGTCGCTATCGACCAATAATCCAGTTGCTGCTTCCACTTCACCATCATCGTCTTCACCTTCAGCGTCCATGTCGTCCTCACCCGGAGCGTCTTCTTCTCCGTCAGCATCAGCATCTGCGTCGATATCTGCGACAGCATCGTCAACAGCTTCCGCAACAGCATCTTGATCCTCTTCTGTAATAGCTGCATCTTTTCCTTTTGGATCTTCTTCCATCGCAACATCCTCCTCTGCATCATCCTTTTCTGCCGAAGCATCCTCTTTCTCAGCTATGGCGATGTCATCATCCACCTGCTCCTCTTTTGCATCTATGTCCATCTCCCTTTCGTCCAGATGTCTGATCGGTTTTGCTTTAATGGTCATTCGTGCTCTAGCTTGAGGCGATTTAGCACGAACATAATCTCGAGCAGCATTTGCCAACTTAAAAGCAACAGCAATCTTCCACCTCCTCTCTTCTTTGAAATCTGTCTGCATCCATTTCAATTCTTCCAATAAGTGATCCCAATGTGCTTTTCGTACTACTGGTCCTTTTTGTTTCTTGGGTTGTCGGAAACTCCATAATCCTTCAGACTTCAATTTCTCGATCTTATTCATCGTCCGGATAAATCTTTGTTCGGTAAATGCAACTTTCCAATCATTTGTTAACAAACACTTGTCTGCTTTTCCAACCAAACCTGCACCCGGACTTGCCCTTGCTCGTACTGCCCATTTGTACAGATCCACACCACCCGCTCCAGCAGGTCCAGCAGCTGGCGGAACGCCATTCTTTGCCGGCAGTTGTGGTGCTTTACGATGGCCCCTATGATGAATCGCTCCACCGCCAACACCCACACCTGTGAATCGTCTGAACGGATCTGGCGGTAATGGTCTTAGTGAGGATGCATATGTGACCGAAAGAGGATTAGGCGAAAGTACTTGCAATGTAGGATGAAGCGGTGATTCGCGTGGTCCAGATGGTGGAGAACCATGTAAGCCCGACTGCGATGCATTCAAATTCGGTACGGTAAGAGCGGTAGATTGAGATACTATCAACTGTGAATCTGCTTGAGAACCTGCATCAGCTTGAGTGGACTGTGTCTGATTTTCAGCAGGCGATCCTGATGCTTGTGTTGCTGCAGGGACATTAAGCGAAGCGGAAGGTGGCGAAATGAGTGGTGAAGTAGGAGAAGCGGTAGCCAACGGTAGCGGATCTGTCGGAATCGGTAATTTTGGCACAACATTTACTGCTGGCATCTTTGGAACAGCAGAGAGAGGTAGAGATACCGGTATTGCCGGACTTGCTAGAGGTGTTATCTTCTTTTGTCGATCCAAAGGTTCTCCCTTGATGGGCGTATTTGCTGGAGGTGGCATGATCTTGTTCTCTCCTAGACTTGTAGCTTGAGCAGCACTCGCAGGAGCTGCTGCATTTGAGCTGGACGATGAAGAAATTGATGTCCTTCCATGTCCGATCGAAAGATCTCGCGCTCTAATTGGTAGCTTCAATGTTCGGTTTCTGGCGATATCCTTCAAGATTGCCTCTCTTGCTTCGTCTAATGTCGGTATATCAAGATCTTTGATCGTTTTTCCGTCTCGTATGTTATAGGTTTGTAGCATGTCTCGGAACTTTGCTGACTCCGGATCTGTCAATTCAAATTGATCATCTGCCGCTGGGATAGCAGGACTACCGTCCATTTCAAACTTGTCATTTCTATGAAGGGCAAAGCATAGTTCTTGTAGATCCCTTTCGTGTGCTTTCACCAAAAGATCGATTCGATTGTGTGCTTCTTCTAGTTTTCGCTTTTTGAGTTCGTCCAGTGTCAATTTACTTGAGCTTGCTTGACCGAAATATCCATCACCAATCACTGAAACGTTTCCATCAGATCCAATAATGTCATTTGAAGTGATCGTCGCTGCTGTCATACTTGCTAAGCCTCCTCCACTGTTTGTCTTCTCATTTCCTCCCCCAGCCGCACTTGTGCCACCTTTTTCTCCACCGCTAGCACCACCACCACCTCCAGGCCCTCCTCTAGCCGAAGTCGTAGGCGTCTGAGGTCGCGATGAGGGTGTAGAACTGGCGGATGGCATATCGACAAATGAAAGGGAGAGAGATGATCGAGAATATCCTTTCCTTTATATCGCGAATCCTTAGTTCATCGATATACTTTGAAAGCGGCTACCCGTGGGTATGCAAATGAGTTTAAATGACCACAATCACCGTTATCAACTCTAAAGCGGATCCGATGGCGATGGAACGAGAAGTTTTTTTTTGGCGCGGTCGTATGATTGAGTGTATGCTCTCTTCTACGCGTATGTATATCCGACAAACACCTTTACGCTATACTCAACAGCCAAAAAGGTTGAAATTTGAAATCGATCGACAATCCAATCAATCCTCTAGGGCTGGAAGGCTGTAAAGCGTGCCGGTGTGTGGATGGCAGGCTGAATTGGTGCTGTGTATGATGATGTCGAGCCGGATTGATACAGGAAGACGTCTTTTAATTTGATTCTATCGACGTATCCAATCTCTAATCAAGAAAACAAGGAATGAAGATGTGATGATGGAAAAACGCGTCTGAGAAAAATCATAATTCAATAAAAATCAAATCAAATCAAAATTCCCTTAGCGTCCGTCAGTCTATTTGAGTAGATTTGATAATCCACATTTTGTATTTAACCTGCGTATACTAATTCACACACTCTAAGTGATGATGATCAGACAAAATCAAAAGCCTTTTATTAGGATCACCTGTGTCAAAATTCAACACCACTTCCCTTCGTATCTTTGAACCATTCTTGTATCGCGAATCAAGAAGCTCAGGAATAAGCTTTGGTACTATTTTTCGCTCTTCTTTCCCTGCCACCTTATGATTACTGGGAAGCAGTATCGAAGCATCCTTGTCGCTGGCTATGTTTCGTGTGATATGTAAAGGAAAACATGTCTTTAAGGAACGCTTATCCGGAACTAGTAGTTGAGTGTATCGCGAATGCCTTTGATAAGTTGCGGAACGATGATTCGAGCAGATATTTGCATCATTATGAGCTCCAATTTTGTCACATCGGAAAGCTCAGTATCATCTTTCCACAAAGGATGTTTAAGGATCGGACAACGATGCAATTAAAGGAGGAAAAAACAGTACAGTATATTCTCAATAAGCAGCAGCAATACCTCCCTTTCTAGAATCACTTGCAGCAACAATAGAACGATGCTTTCCGGGTGTATTCTTAGCCATAACAGCTTGTACTTCCGCATAAGCCATATCAATGTCGAACATGGAAATCAAATGACCACGTTTACGCAATTCTTCAATAAGTTCCTCTTCTGCCGTACTTTCGATACTGACTTCAACAGGTAAAAGTTGATGATGAAACCTTGGCCTTTCAATCGCAGCAGAAAGGTCCATACCCCAATCTAAATTAAACAAAACTTGTGCAACCGAACCATGAATACGTGAACCACCTGATCCTCCGATTGCCATCAAAAATCTTCCATTCTTTTCCTCAACAATCGCTGGCGAAGTACTACTCAAAGGTCTCTTGCCAGGTTCGGGATAATTGTAAGGGGATGGGTATAAGCCAAAAGCGTTTGGAACGCCAGGCGTAGAAGAATCGTCCATTTCATCGTTGAGAATCACACCTGTGATTGGATCCAAAACTCCACTTCCAAACGGTAGATTTACCGTGCTCGTCAATGCAACTGCCATTCCGTCTTCATCAACTGTGCTCAAGTGCATCGTCCCATGTGGTGATTGAATATCGTAAAGCGGGTCGTAGTATTCGATTGGGTGGGTATGGTTGTCATCGATTCTAGATCGAACCCGATCAGCCTCTTCCAAGGTTGGGATCTTATCAATCACTTTCAAAGCTTTCTTCTTCAAGAATGCTGGATCTCCCAACCGTGTACGTTGAGCTGCTCCAAACTTCATTGCTTCGATCATTCGATGGACATTTAAGCCATCATGCGCTCCTCTAGAGATCCAATCCTTAAATCCGCTCGTCACTTGTAACAAAGAGAGTAGGATTGGACCTGAAGTAGGGGCAGGTGTGGTAAATACCCTTCTATCGTACCATTGACCCTCTACTACATCACGAACTTCTACTTGATAGTTTGCTAAGTCTTCAGTGGTAAGAACACCACCCATAGATTGCGCCTTGTTCACCATAGATTCTGCAATCGGACCATGATAGAATACGTCCGACCCGTTGCGAGCAACAGCTTTCAGTGTTTTTGCTAATGCAGTTCTTTTGATCTTTTCACCTTCTCGTAGGAGGGTACCGCGGTCTTGGTTCACAAACACTTCTGACCAATCAGGGTCGTCTAGCATCTTTCCACCAAATAGTTTCAACCGTTTGTCCAATTCGGGTGATACCCATGTGCCTTCAGCCAGTTTGATACTTGGCTCAACAAGCTTGTGCCATGGTAGTCTACCCCATCGCTTGTGGGCTTCCTCCAACCCTTTCAATTCACCTGGTACACCTACTGCCAATCCCCCCCATCTGGCCGCATTTGGACGACCTTCATACATGGTTGGATATGCCCCTGCAGGTGCTGTTTCCCGGAAGTCTATTGTAGTCTTTGTACTGCAGTGTTTGAGACCATCCTTCTTTTCTGATTTCGAGCAAGATCTTGGAACACGTACGATCATGAAACCACCACCTCCGATACCCGAACTGAACATATCAATCACACCGGTACACAAAGTTGAAGCGATTGCAGCATCAACGGCGTTACCTTTTTGCTTGAGGATGTCCACTCCGATGACACTACATCTTTCCACTTCTGCTGCAACTGCACCTCGCTTTCCGGTAACGAGTTTTGCACGGTATCGTCTTCCAGAACCGAATCTAGGATCTTGTCTATCTATATATTCTTGTATTATGATTGCAAGTAGCATTGCAAGCGTGAACAAAGCAAGTAGGGATGCGAGCAACTTGACCATCAGCTTGGGTAATCCGTTCCCTCCTTCTCCATCATGATCAAACGATAGCCAACTTGTTCCATTTCTTTGTCGATTATCCCGTCTTTGATTGGGTGAAAGTAGGGGAGCACGTTCGCTGCTGGATTCCATTGTAGAGTTTCCGGGCAAGTTTGTATTCGTACGCCCTTGTGATTGAGCTCTCGTCATAACGACTGCTTTTCAAATGAATGACATCCACTTAGATAGAGAAGATGAAAGTAGCTGAGAAGGATGAATGCGTCCCGCTTTTCATTCCCTTCAGGGGAAGACTTCTCTCCCTTCTGGGTCTATACGCCTGGAGGGTTTTTCCGCATTTATCTCCATGCTTAGCTTACCGATGCATACAAATGAAAGCACGCTTAAAGGCAGGCACTGACGGAGATTAGGAATTATTTATTGCCTAGTAAAAAGTGTTGCTCTTCCAATCCATCCCGTACCTCATAGGTGGGTTGACAGCATGAATGGTTGAACAAGTACACTGTAAGAGGATATGGAGATCGATCATGCAGAATCACCATCATCGTTGAAAGAGCTGGTGGAGGTGGCAGCAATATTGTGTGGTCAAAGAGATGAGAAGAAAATTGGAAAAAGAACTGAAGAGAAGAGCGAGAGAGAGAGTGTGAAGGAAGTGCTCAAAAGGCGATTGGATCTATATAACGAACGCATTGGGGAAGGCTCACAGATTCTAGGAGAGAACATTGATAATCTTCAACGAATCACAGGTGAAGAGTGTCTACTTGTACTCGGAAAGATCAGCGGAGCACTCAACCAACAAAAGCACGCTTCTGCCACTTCTTCCTCATCTGCAAGCAGTGCTTCCATACTTGGCTCGCGTGATAGACAAACGCTCAAAATATTGATTGATATCATCAACAACTGGAACTTGACTCTTCTTATCGCTTCATACGACCAAGCTTTAAGTTGCTCTCGTCCAAAGTCTTTGCCAAAGCTGCAAGAGATCGAAGCGGAAGAGGAAGCAACGAAACAATCTGCAGACAAATTGAACAATGCCAGAACGTCATTATGGGAATCGATCTCGAGGCTTGATCATATATTCAACGCATTTAGCATAGCAGAAGATCTATATGTAATGCGTACTCTACTTTACGAATCATGTTCTGTCAACACGCTAGCAGGAGCAATTCGAATCGGATGGGGACCCGTACAGCTTCCTATTGCTAGCCGACAACAAGAAGATGCCATAAAAAAGCAAGGTAGAACGATTGTGGCCCACCTCTTGAAGGGTATGACAACTTCGACGGCTTTGAAGATACTACCCGCTGCTGCGAATATTGGTGGATCGGGTGCAAGATCACCAACTGCCTACTTTGTCAAGCCAATCACAGAGATGCTTTTCTCAGCACAACTACTACGACCGGACGGAGTAAGGGCACTTCTTCGAAATACGTTTCCCAGCGAAGAACGTGGAGTGACCAAAAGGCTGGTCAGTGTTCGTCATCTGCTAACTAATCCTCCTGCTCAAATGCCTCTGCCCGTATTTGCTTTGCAAATCATTCCTCGATTGTTGGAGATCGTGGGTGAACTACCTGGCGATCAAAAGGAAATTGGTCAAGAAGCCCCAAGCGTGCAGTCGTCTTCAGCTCAGAAAAATGCAGCTTGTTTCGCACTTTCAAGATTTTACGAATTGATCCCAACGGACACCTTTCAGCTATTGTGCTCACATGTGCTCGAATACATCAATCCGAAGATATCAAGTCAGACATCGCTAACGGAAGGCAAAGTCGCTGCCACGGAATCACAGATAGTAAAGGCTATCACATTGATCAGTATGATTGTAGAAGAATCGGGACCTTCTTCTGGCCTTATCTCTGCGATTCTCAAGCATCTTTCTATCCCGCTTTTTGTCTTTTATTCTTTCCTCAAAGAACAAGCCACGCCAAGCATTCAGACCATTGGGCAAAAGGGTAAACAGAGACAGATGGATCAAGTGACAGATACTATTTATGAACTTCTGATCACGTATATGCGCCTCGCCGATGTGGACCAAGCTATAAGAACCTTTTCGCCAATGCACAAGGGTGTCTTTGCACTGACCGGTAAACGACTAGGAGTGCTTTCGACTGAGGGGGGTGGGGACGACTATCTAGTACCACAACTACGGCGGGACAGTGATCAACAATTGGAGATAGTGTGGCACAGTGGCGACAAAGACGATATGAATGACGATGATGCCCTGGAGGCTCTCAATAAGCTCAATCTTCAAGACATGAACATTGACATTCAGCATGATCAAAAGGAGAAAGAAGAACTGCCGCAAATTCCACATGCATTTATGGATGCTTTGAAGCTGATCCCATCGCCCGCTATCCTTTCCGATCTATTGAAACGCTCTGAACGTAAATCTATTGCCGCTGCCATCTTTGTCGATCTGCTAGATGCATGCGCTTTGTCAAAACAGCGCACACAAACGATCATAGGATCTAATGGTCTTTCCTCACATTTGCTCTACGTTCAGTGTATGCTGCAATTGATCGATACCTTTGGATCGCAAATTTTACAAGATCAACCTGATAAAGTTTTGGAATGGATCGCTTTTATGTTAGATAGAAGAGAAGGACAGGCTAAAAGTGTGAGATCCGAGCAAAAACAAGAACCCGAACAAGGTATCGAGGAAATTCCGTTCATACGCCCAAGTCAGGCGTCGTCCTCAGCAATTTCAGATTTGCTGAACGTCAACAAGTCTGATGATGGCGCGCAGAATGAACTATTTACGGATGCAACACCAAATGAAGAGGATGTAGAGATGATTGAAACGGCGTTAAACTTGCTCTTGTCATTGCTTGAAGGAGATCCAAAGATGACCTTAGAGTCGTATTCGATGCTAAAAGTGATAAGCGCAAAAGTCGATGCATTGACATCTCACACGAACGATGACATTCGACCGATAGCAAAGGAAGCTTCACTGGTACTGAAAGCAAGACAATCATCGACGAAAGTCAATCCTGCAGCGCAAAATCACGATCTCCTATCCGATCATGAAAATGCGATAGTTAGAGGAAATGAGATGTACCAAGAAGCATTGAAGATGTTACAGGATCCAATCTTACCTGTACGTGCACACGGTCTGGTTGTATTGAAAGACCTGGCCTCACACGGTTCTGCGAAAGATGATACAAAACAAATATTGATGGATCCAGCTTTGATTCCGGCAATCTTGGATATCTTTGTTCAAGCAATTTGCGATGATGAGAGTTTCTTGTACCTTAATGCAGTCAAGGGACTATCGGAAATGGCAAACGCAGGCGGACGGTCGATGATTCGTAGATTGATGTTAGTCTATTTGGGCGAGCGAGAAGCAAAGGAGACTCTCACACAAGCAGAAGTAGATAAAAGATTGCGTATCGGTGAAGCATTATTGCAAGTAGTACAAAGGTTGAAATTAGCGCTTACGGCATACACAAGCGAGATTGTTGATCCTTTGCTAAGTGCAATCCGAAATAGCAAACTGTCGACAACATTGCGATCGTCTATGTTGTCCATTCTAGGATCTTGCATCGAAGCTTGTCCTCAAGCGATGGCGCTTCAAGGTCATGCCAGATCAATTGGTGATAGTATGATGGATCTTCTAAGCATCGAACTGGATACCAAAGGTCAAACAACGCAAGAGCAGATGGATGATGCAACTTTGACTGAAACAAGGCTGCCACAGTTCCGCAGAGCAGCTCTTATCTTGCTTTCTTTGCTGATCCGTGGAGCTGCTTTGCAATTGGAAGCATCAAACGAAGATCAACAAGCATCTGCATGGCAAGAAGATATTCCGCAGCTAACCTCTCTTCGTATGCCTGGCGGAGGAACACTTTCTTCAATAAAATCGAAAATTGAGAAGGGTAAGTCTAGTGAATCTAAGGAAACGACACTCTTATTCGAACCGAATCAGATCAAACGATGTGAACAGATCGTTGGGTACGTTGCCCAATTTGACCGTGATGCGTTGGCCCAACAACAAGCAGGCGTAGTGATGCAAGATTTAGAAACGTTTAAATTGTACATTATTCATACTTCAGCATCAACACTATAAAGAAAACGTTGTATTAAAGTGCAATCGCAAATCGTGTATGGTATTCGCGAATGTCATTAGTAAAAGAAAGAATGGGAGAGTAAAGACAGTTCTTTGATGAAAGAAGGGGAAGGGTGCAAAAATGTGTGTTTGCGCTTCCTTCCACAAAACAAAACAAAACAAAACAGGAAAAGGAAAGGGAAAAAAGAAATCGAAAAAAATGCTATAAAAGACGAGAATACACGGGAAAAAAAAGCAAGAAACAAAGGCGAATCAATCAGCCACGAGATTGATGATCGGTCTTCTTTGTTTTGGATTTCTTGACATCTAAGCCTGTTCCATGACCTCCGCCAGTCTGCAAGCCAACGTCGCTTTTCCTGTCTTTGGTTCCTTCTACATGGCCAGTCATTTTTTCTTTATTCTTGTGTTCGAGGTTAAGTTTGGTTGGCTTATGACCACCGCCGACGCTGCTTGATAATTCACTTTTATCTTTATCAGAACCGTGATTATTTGTTGCATCTTTTGAGGTTTCCTCCATCTTTAACTTTGCCGCATCACCATCACCTCCCAACAAATGAACTCCTGTGTCTGAACTATCTTTCTGTGTACGTCCGTTTGGCAAATCGCTGGGTGCTTCTGATTCACTGTTACGCTTCTCGATAAGTGAAGCAGAACGCTTCCTTCGTTTCATTCCTTTGAGATCACCTCCAAATTGTTTAGAGAGTTGATTCATCAAACTATTGACCTGGCCATCAACTTGCTTACTATCTTTTGAAAAGTCATTTGTTGCTTGTTTCATTGACTGTTCAGCCTCTTTACCCATCTTGTCACCTTTGCCTCCGATAGGTAATTGCTTCATCTCCGAACCAATCTGGGACTCCTCCTTCTGCAATGCCTGAGTGATCCCATTGGTAAGACCACTAATATCCAAACCATCACTACCACCTCCACGTTTGATTGGGAGTGGTAAAGAAGATGTTAGGCCAGACAAAGGACCACCTTGTCCCAAAAGCGGAAGACCCTCTGTCAATCCGCCCAAGCCTCCAGAAGCTCCAGCATCAGCATCAGCATCAGCGTCGCCTTCGGAATGCTCATGCTCTTCAGTATGCTCATGTTCGTCAGAATGCTCACTTCCATCTTCATGCTTATGTTTACGTTTGATTGGTAAAGAGCTTGTTAAACCAGACAAAGGGCCGCCTTGTCCCAAAAGCGGAAGTCCCTCTGTCAATCCATCCAAGCCTAAAAGTCCTCCTCCAGATGCACTACCTTGCTCTTGTTCATCAGCATGGTCATGCTCTCTATGATGCTCACGTTTAAGACCTAATGGCAAGTCAGATGTCAAGCTGCCCAAACCACCGCCACCTTGTCCGTCTCCGCCCAAGAGTCCGCCGACCAAACGTTTGATTGGCAAGTCTTTTGTTAAGCTTTGTAAAGGATTGCCATCTTTGCCTCCTTTGCCTCCAAGGAATGGGATGTCTTTCAAAATATCGCCACCGCCATCTTTTCCACCTCCAAGGAAAGGAATATCTTTCATGATGTTGTCGCCACCCTTTCCACCTCCAAGGAAAGGAATATCGTTAAGAAGGTCACCGCCACCTTTATCACGTTTAAGACCTAATGGCAAGTCAGATGTCAAGCCGCCCAAACCACCGCCACCTTGTCCGTCTCCGCCCAAGAGTCCGCCGACCAAACGTTTGATTGGCAAGTCTTTTGTTAAGCTTTGTAAAGGATTGCCATCTTTGCCTCCCTTGCCTCCAAGGAATGGGATGTCTTTCAAAATATCACCACCTCCATCTTTTCCACCTCCAAGGAAAGGAATATCTTTCATGATGTTGTCGCCACCCTTTCCACCTCCAAGGAAAGGAATATCGTTCAAAAGGTCTCCACCACCGCCGCCTTTATCACGTTTAAGTAGTCCTCCTAGACCGCCTAAGCCGCCGCTTAAGCCGCCAGTTTGCGCTGCTGGTGCGCTTTCACTGTCACCTCCTACAGAGACTGGGCTATTCGTCAATAAAGGTGACCGTTTTTTTTCATTGCTACTGTCTTGGATGTTGACATCAGTACTATCATGACGCTCTGTACCGACTCCATCTCCTGAGTCGTCATCAGAACTCTCTCTGCCGCCATCAGTACTTTTTCTGCCACTATCAGTGCTGTCCTTGTTGCCGCCGTCGCCTCCGACTCCACCGGTTTGAAGGCCAGAACCGGATTTACTATCACCTCCAATCGAGATTGGGCTATTTCCCACTAAAGGAGACCTTTTTCGTGAATCGCTGCCATGATAATTGCCGTTATTTCCGACAGTGCCAGTTTGCAGACCAGAACCGGATTTGCTACTACCGCCAAGCGAGACTGGACTATTCCAAACCAAAGGTGAACGTTTTTTACTGCCAATACCACCAGTACTTGTACCAGGAGCAGATTTACTACTACCGCCAACAGCGACTGGGCTATCAAAAAGCAAAGGTGAACGCTTTTTGCTGCCAATACCACCAGTTTTTGCACCAGGAGCAGATTGACTACTACCGCCGACTGAGACCGGGCTATCAAAAACCAAAGGTGAACGTTTGCGAGTGTCTGTTAAACCATCGTAAAGACCGTTGGTATCAAGAAGATTTGATAAACCATCTACAGTATCACGACGTTTTAAGCCTACTATACCTAAATCTCCACTTAGTACGCCACTTGTTGGTCCAAGATCTTGATTTACATCTTTGCGTTGCAATGAAGTTGCCGGTACAGCATTTGCTCTTGACAATGTTAATGTGATCAATGTCACAGCCACCAAGAACCTCCAATGTGTTGTCATTGTACGTGTGTATGTCTATGTGTGGATGTGGATGAAGGAATGTTTGTTGTTGTTGTTGTTGCTTGATGAACCAAGCAACTTTTGTCTAGAGAGGGAAAAGAATGACAAAAATATGGGTGGGAGGGAGAGATTACTTTTCAAAAAATACATCGGCCTTTTTATACATTTTCATGTCTTCTAAAAATGTTGATAGGAACATGACGGTGGCGATAAACTCCTTTACCATTTTGTCCTATCGCTCCTGATGTCGGCTAAAGAGAAATAGAATCATCCTAAGGAAGGGTCTTTACGGTGACTTTTTGTTCCCAAATGAAAGGAGAGAAGCGGTTTCAGATTTTGCTTTCAAGTTATATTGAGAGGGAACTTGGACCGCGCTGTTGACACATGGATCGCCTATGACATCGTTGGCGCTCAATCTCCTATGGTTGGCGTGATAGTTTATTTTTACGCCGTTACCAGAAAATCTTATGGCTAAAAGGAGATATAAAAGATATAATAGGGATGGTGGTTAGAGATAAATAGATCATTCGACCTCCCTATCTGAAACCAGAAATAGCTTATAGAAAGGAGACATCCTTTGTGAACATGATGAAGGGCGTAAAAGATGTCCAACAGGGGTCACGGTAAATTCATTTTTGACAAAAGAACATCGCATGTAGAATTTGATTTTCTCTATTCCGTCTTTCCTTAGCGTCGATCCAGATCTCCAATCATCTTTGATCGAGTTTTCTTGTTTGTAGTAGGGAGTAGTAAACAACTATTTGAGTCCCCTTTGAATAATCATTTCTGCTCGCTTCTTTAGTGGTATGCTTAGTAAGTTTTACTACGCCCAAGCATGACAAGGTTTTAAGCAGCAGCGGAATTCCATGTGTAGTGCAGCGCGTGATTGCTTACACTCGGGAGGTGCATTAGTTGTTACTCACATGTGTCCCATGTTTATCCTTTGATCGACACAAGTAAAGTCCGACGGTTAAACAGTCATGCATGCAATCAATCAATTTAAACTGTCTAATTTAATGAATGAAAGTGTCTGGACAACTTTATTCCCAAGGCCCGGATTCTTTGGTGAAGTAAGACTGACGTATGTTTGTTTCTCTTTCCCCCACCCCGTCTTAACGTCGGAATTGCATGGATTGTAAGATAGAATGCGTGTGGCTTACGCATATATTCATGCTCCTTAGATAGATTAAGGTATATAAACCAGCATACATTCAAATATATCCCTCTTCTTTCACTCAACACAATACACCATCCATTTCTACAATGGCTCGCTTTACTCTCTTGATCTCTGCTTTGGCTTTGATGGCCATGACGAGCGTATCAGAAGCAGCGGTGATCGAACGTGATACAGCATCAACGGTGAAATGTACGCCATTGGGTGTTTCAGATGAAGTTTATTTTAAGCAAAGTGCACATAGTGATCCACTGTATGGTGTAAAAATCAGTACAAATTCCAACAAATTGATCGCAACAAAGAATCGTGATACAGGAGAAAAGTTTCAATTCTTACGTTGTGATGCACCTTCAACCGGATACGTTCAAGGTCAACCAATCAATGCAGGTTATGCAGGCGTTTATTTCGGTCATGTTCAGCATGTTTCAACGGGTAAATGCTTAAAACATGATCAATCCTCTTTGGATTTCACATTGGGAGATTGTCCAACAAAGGATACAGCAAAAACACAATTACCCTACTGGTTCGAATCAGTTGATGGAAATAATATTCGTTTTACAGGATACAAAAACACAACTGCTTATCCACAACCTGAATGGTTTGCAATCCCTTCAGGAGAAACACCATTTGAAATTAAAACACAGCAACAAGGTCATAACGGCAAGCCTAATCAATACGTCTTTGCTAGGCCTATTCGTACCTAAACCTGATGTATGATTGCTCTTATAATTGATCCTTATGAATTGAACTTGAAATATCTTATATCATCTTAAATGTTATCGTGGATGCCATATGATGTGTTTATCCGCCGGTCCGTTCGGATCTCATTGTCCGGGAGTAAGTTTGTGTTCATCTTACCATTTCATCATTTGATTCTCTTGGCAAAAGAAACAAAACTTTTTCCAACCGAAAAAGCAAAATTGGAGTCTTTAGACAGTGCCAGAATACGCGTTGTTACACACACACATTACAAGAGCAAGGCACACACTGCATTTTGCCGAATAGAGAACATAAGCGGGTCTCTCTCAAATCCAACACGTCCATGGAACAGACAAGGCAAGGCCAGACCAGGCGATCTGCCAGAATAGTTGAGTATGAATTTAAAGTCGCCGTACAGCCTCTCGGTTGGGTGTGTAGAATGAATGCAACACACACACTTGAGAAGTCATGGTATGCAGCATGAGCACACCTTATTGGATGCATGCAGTCTTAAAAGAATAAAGCATATGTTTGCAATTTAACTTTTTCCATCTTTACCATCGTCATCCTCACCTCTTTTCGCAATCTCATCGTCATCCTCTGACTATCGACATAATGCAATTCACAAATATTTTCCGTCTTTCGCTGCTTTTGACTTTGTCAACTTTGATGGTTGTCTTCAATGTCGCAGCTCAATCCTCTTCATCTTCACTATCAAGTTCTGCCAATCCTACACTATCTGCCATCACATTCAGCTTTTCAAGGTAATTATCTGAAGGTCGCAGTCTATCCGTTATCTTCTAAGCTGACCAACATGCATCTCTCCCCCTCTTCCAGTATCGTGACTAGCACATCAAGCAACGCATCAGGCACTTCAACAATCACTTCAACCAACGTAACCGAATCCACTTCAAGTCAAACATCATCTTCCACTTCCTCTTCTACAAGCTCTTCGTCCAGTAGCATGACAAGCAGCAGCAGCAGTAGTAGCAGCAGTAGCAGTAGCACAACTATGCCCCTCTCAACATCTCGAATTCCAGATGGCGCGTTCTCACTCGTACACGGATCATCATTCGATCTCCAAAATACTATCTTTGCCTCTCTTGCCTCTTTGGCAGTATTGGCCGTTGCTGGAGTCGCAATTTTCTAAACAATGCCTTTCTCGCAACTATACACCTCCATTAAGTTTACCCACATCCATCATCTCTATACTTTATAAAAGAGCAATGACCAAACTCCCGCGAGTATGGTTTTATATCCTGTATAACATCTTCTCTCTCTTCCTCTCCATGCTTTCGACGCAAATACTTCACAAAGCAAATAGAATTGCATTTTTCTGCTTGTATGTGTGTTTGTATATATATGATCTGAAGTGATTTTATATGCCATTAGAGAAAGTCAATGCTAGAGAGAAAAAACGAAACCTGGGAATCAAAAGGACAAAAAAGAGAGTAAAAAGATATAGTGTGGATGGCCACTGCAAGCTATTGTCGCTTTCATGTAAGACATACTTGCACTTGCATGTACAATGAGTAAGGACGTTAACCTAACAGTTGCATCCGCCTTGGTTGGTATCGCTATCGATTCTGATCGGGTCAGGGTAATCGGCATACAACTCCGCTTCAGCTTCCTGTTGCAAGGCATTCTTAGCGATTGTCTGGAAAGCCTGTTCGACGTTGATTGCTTCTTTCGAAGATGTTTCAAAGTAAGGAATATTTCCCTTAGATTGACACCATTGCATAGCACGTTTTTGCGAAACCATTCGTTTTGATTCTTCAACGTCAATCTTGTTTCCCAAAACGACAAAAGGGAAATTTTCCGGATCATGCGGAGAAGCTTGAATTAAAAATTCATCTCTCCAACTATCCAAAGTTTCAAAAGATTTTGCCGAATTAACATCATACACTAAAACACAACAATCCGCTCCACGATAAAAAGCAACACCTAAAGATTGAAATCTTTCTTGACCTGCCGTATCCCATAATTGCATCGTTACTAAACGATCATCAACCATTACTTCTCTCGTTAGGAAATCTGCTCCGATTGTTGCTTTGTATGCTGCTGAGAATCTTTTGTTGACATATTGATTCATCAATGAAGTCTTTCCAACACCTGAATCTCCCAAGATGATCACTTTTAATAAAACCTTTTTCTGCATGATTGGTGGTTGTGGTGTAAGTGTGTGTGGGGGTTGTGATCAAAAGTATGACTCCTTTTCCCTTTTAGTTTGTGTGGTAGTGGAGATGATGATCAAATGATGATGGATAGGGTGTTGGATGTAAGAGAGAGCGGTTAAATTGAGAGAGGGATTATGAGCCAAACTGTGCGCAGAGCGCGCCGCTAAGGAAAGGCGTGTCATCCCTGTGTTATTTTACGTGCATACTGCATAATCAAAGAACACACACACACACACAAACACAAAACAGTGATCGATTCGACTTTTGATATAAGGAGTTTGGAAGGGTAGGTCAAAGTGATTCATAAATTAAACATTCAGGGACAATGAAGATCTTATAACATATATCACTTCGACGCCTATAGAGATCCTATTCTATAAAGCATCATCTCAGATCTGCCGCCAAAGTGGAGCAGAACGGCTATCTACGCGGACAATTTGCACAGCTTGGGCTGACTAGTCAGACTTTTGTTAGAGGTGTTGACCGCGTGTGTGATTAATCATAATGCCAACACACGTGATCATGCATGTGTAAAAAAGCGGACTGCCGGTTCAAGAAGATTATCATTCAATTCATCATCATCTCTACACACCATCACTACCCGAAAAATACATCATGGCGGCCACTAGTGCATACGTTTCAGCAGCTCATATGAGCGGAAAACAACTACGGAAATCGTTTCCTTTGGTAGACAGATTTCTCATACGTGAACATCGATTACAAGCAGAAATTGCACAACAAATGGGAGAAGCAAACAATCTATCTGAAAAGAAGGGAAATGCGCAAAAATACAGTTATTACAACCAACGTGCAATAAATCCTCATCCGTTCAAATTGTTTCATAATAGAACTACTGGAAAATATATCAATCCTCGTTTAAGTTTACGTAGACAAGCGCAATTAGGAAAACAAGCTTTTGCAGAAGGAAGATTTGATGAATTAATTCAACAGATCGATCGATTAAACTTTGGAAATGAATATTATGCTGGAGAAAAGCTGAACAAGATGCGAAGCAGAATCGCAGAAATAAAAGCCGAGGAACAAGACTTGCAACAAAAAGCAATGTCAGGAGAATTAGAACAAATGAGTGTAATTCAAGCAGTTGATCAACAAATTCCAAAACAAACACCCGATCAAGTAAAACGATTGGCAAAAGCATTGGCTGCCACACGTGGTCCATACAAGGGAAGATCAAAGAATAACATCTTCAAAGGAACACTGCATGCCAGAGAAGGACCCAAAAGGAGACAAAATATCACCGATCGCCTTTCAAAGATGGATCAAACAATCGTGGATTGGAGAAAACAAAGAAAGGATGTCAAGACAAAAGCAAAACCAAAGCTACCATTCTAGTGTGTAAAAATAAGACATTTCTTTTTGGCTTTCATGATAATACCATACTTGTACAATTATGATGATTGAATGCGCTCAATCAAACGTGAACGTTTAGACGTATCCGAAAAGAGAGCACGGATAAGACTGATAAGTTCTTCCCTCGTATAATCCACCAAAGCGCCTGCTTCAAAGTATAAGAACTCGATATCGACCAACGAACCGGTAAGGATATCACTGAGATAAGATGCTTTGAACCAACTTGGAACGTGAATTGCAACATCGGAGTTCGGCTGTTCTTCTTGCTTGTGTTTCTCAGTTCGAAAAATGTCCTCCAATTCTGCTAAAGCTTTCACCAAAGCGCTCAACTTTTCACCTTCTACTTCACTGATATCTTCCAATGCAATGACATCACGTAGAACCCTTTGTAAAACACTGTCGATCAATCTGCCCATTGCGGCTTGATGGGACGATGTTGTTAGAACTGGTTTCCAAGCAGAATGCAATTGTTGCAAAACAACAATCACTTGACGAATAGATCGCATACATGCTTGAAATCGTGGCTCATCGTACGTTGCCGCAAATCCATGTGTATCAGCAAGGCATTCCGCTAAGATACGTTGTTGCACCAGAATCTGTGCATCAAAAGATCTCTGACCCAGCAAAACGGTCAATTCGGCATGTTTTGCCAAAGATAAAGCTCCTGAATTTTTAGTGTTTGCTGTCCCTTGCCATCTTTCATCCAGCTTGACCAACTCCTTCGCAATGTAAGTACAATCGTTTACAAACTGTGCTGCCAGAGTCGGTACATTATTCAGCGTTTCAGCATGTCCAACGGGCATTAATGCTCGATGTAAGTCGAGGATATCATCCAAAGCATCAGCAAGATATTTATTATCCAATCCTAATGCCGTATCATCATTCTCCTCTTCAATTGCAATAATGTCATCAAGCATTGAACTCGCCAACTTGACGAAAGCAATAGAGCGCTGCGAGATGATGCAAGTCTCTTTCTGTATAGATGGCTCATTGACGTGTGAAAGTGGGGTCGAGATCGCATCAAAAGTCGATTCGTTGAGTGGCTCTTGCGTATCTTCCTTTACTATGACTGAATTGTCTGGCTCATCCTCTTCCGTTAGATCGATCAGCGGGGCAGTTCGTTCTTTTGAAGTTGCTGCTTTCTCTTTCTCAGCAAAAGCTTTGAATGCGCTTGCCAAATCCGGACCTCCACGAGATGCTCGAATACTTGCACGTTTTGCTTTTTCCTCTTCTGTTAGTCCCCAAGCATCTTCATCGATATCCTCATCGTCCAAGTCATGATGATCGATAATCGCAGGGGAACTTAACGAAGAAGACTGTGAAATTGTTTCAACAGGTGTTGCTTTTTTGACCACAGGCTCACTTTGAACCCATGCATCTCCATCATCTTCATCTGCTAAGGGAGGAGGTGCTGAGATATTAGAATGATTTGCAGATGCTGACGTTTGTGCAGCCGAAGCAATGGATTGTTCGGCTGGCTCTTCTTGAAACCAAGCGTCTCCATCGTCCTCGCCATGTAATGGCGGCGGTGCTGCGATGTTAGAATTGTTGGCAGATGTGGACGTATGCGCTGCGGAAACATTTGATTGCTCAGCTGGCTCTTCTTGAAACCATGCATCTCCATCATCCTCATCAGCTGAGAGCTGCGGCGCTGAGACACTGGAGTCGTTGGCAGATGTGGACGCATGCACAGCGGAAATATTCGATTGCTCAGCTGGCTCTTCTTGAAACCAAGCGTCTCCATCATCCTCACCATTTAATGGCGGCGGTGCTGAAAGATTAGAGTGATTGATAGATGTAGACGTATGCGCAGCGGAGGTAATTGATTGTTCAGCTGGCTCTTCCTGGAACCATGCATCTCCTTCCTCCTCACCATCCAATGGCGGCGGTGCTGAGATATTGGAATTGCTGGTAGATGTGGATGTATGCACAGCGGAAACATTCGATTGCTCAGCTGCCTTTCCTTGTAACCATTCATCTCCATCGTCCTCATCAGCTAGGGGCTGCGGCGCTGAAATGATGGAATTGTTGGCAGATGCAGGCGCACGCACAGCGGAAATATTCGATTGTTCAGCCGGCTCTTCTTGAAACCAAGCGTCTCCATCATCCTCATCGTCTAATGGTGGAGGTGCTGAAACACTGGAATTATTGGCAGAGGTAGATGTATGCGCAGCCGAAGCAATAGATTGTTCAGCTGGCTCCTCTTGAAACCAAGCATCTTCCTCATCGTCAGGGACCGACATCGAAGCATGTGCAGAATTTGGAATCTTGCTAGAAGAGGATTGCGTTGCATGAGACTGTTCACCTTCATCGAATCCCCAGCTACTTTCATCTAGGTTCTCATCTGGAAAAGGTCCGCTGCCCAATTGGTCTTGTGGTTTGACTACACGAACTCCGCCCAAGGCAGACTTTTTCTGCCTGGCTCGATTTGAGGTAATGGAAGCAGGAGATGCAGAACGTTGACTTAAGCCTGAAGCCACTCTTGTTGGCCTGACATCAAGTCCTGCTGCCTTCTTTACATTCGCCACGCTTAGATGACTTTCCCCTTGCGCACCTGCATCATCCCATGCTGACCAATCCTCATCCTCTGCTTCCTCGTTCGTTGTCGAGACCCGCACTTGCTCTGGCTGTACTTTTGCAATAGGTTGTGGCGGTTCCGTTACCTCAACTTCCATTTCCACCTTGACACCTTCCCATCCTCCATTCATTTCCTTCAGTAGCATATCACGAGCCTGTGATCGTGATATCGTTGCAAGGTGACGTAGAAAGTATCGTCCTGTGTTGTGGGCAAAATCAAGCAACTCCTCTCCTTCTTCTTCTAGACCACCTATCAGATACTTATTGTCCTTCAATGAAGCATGTACAGTGACTGCGATCTCTGAAACAGCAGAAAGTGACCCCAAGGTCTCTTGCTTGATGGGCTTCTGCAGAGATTTCGGTAGTAGGCCCTTCAGATATTTAATGACGAGCGGAACAGTTGCAGGAACGACGATCCTAGAGAATTCGAACTGGAGCTTTCCCAGTGATCCTACTTTGTCTGCCACCTTAAAAAGGTGTTCGTTCATGTATACTAGCAGTGCACTTATTGCTTGCAGAGCTGATTCCTGCTTCGCTTCTCCGCTACGCAGCGCAGCTTGCCATGATCCACTGGAGCTCACGTCCTGCCAATGGCTTGTTGTTGCACTCTGAGGTATCGCGAGTAATGGCGTGATAATGTTCCGGAGCAAATCGTTGCTGAATTTGTTCAAGAGTGGTATCAATTCTGCCCGATCCTGTAGCAAAGCAAGCAAGTTGTCAAGGCTGAGCTGCGTTTGTTGCCCTCCCACTTCGACATTGCTCTGACGAGCCACTGTGACACTTGCTTGGCCTTCATTCTCCGAGACTCCTATCCTCAAGCAGTCATGCCAAGACTCATGAATGATCTGTTCCACTTGCTTGATGAGCAGATTGAGTCGTTGCCCGAGTTGCTGTATTGCCGGAGGAGCGGAAGGACCTGTACCCAGCCATCCGAATTGCACGTCACTCTCCATATCTTGTTTTCCAGACTGTATACCCAATCTAGCACATTGCTTTTGAGCTTTAGCAATCTCTTCTCGTAGTCCCTTTGGATCAAATTCACCTGCTTGTACCCTGACCTCTAATTCTTCAACAGCAGCGACAGCTTCCCGCAAAGCAGTAGCAAGGATCGTAGTATGTCGTCTATTCTCGTGATCCTGTTTTGATTTGACATATTCTGCTACCGATCTAGAAACATTCAATTGCAGAATGTCCACCTCTGTTCCATCCGTCGTACTACGTTTATCCTCACTTAATCGTTTGATCTTGCTTTCGATTTCTTCAAGTCTGCTTTGTATTTTTGATCCTGATCGTTCATGTTTTTCGATTTGTGCTATACTTTCTGCTTTTGTTACCGTTTCTGCAATCGTCTTTCGATAAGAATCAATATGTGCCGAAAGAAGTCTTAATTGATCGATCAAAGGTAGAGCAGGTGGAGCATTTGGATCTTTGTTTTGTGTTTGTGCTCCTTCCACATCTATTATTAGACCTTCCAATAGCTTCTTTAGCTTTTCATCACTATCCCGTACTTCCATCTTGTCTGTCGCCAAGAAGGTGAGCCAGCACCGGAGAGATGGGGGATATGATGTGAACGAGTTGAAGGAACAGACAACATGTCAATCACTCCCGCGTCAACGCACACTAAAATTAGAAGAACAACGCATTAAACGCGCGGGCCACACTCACTTCTCACAAACATGCTCTCTCTGTGTGGATACGATTCATTATTACAGAAATACATGCGTGTGCTACTTCTATGCAGTGATAAACAATTCAGGCGTTTGACCTTTAACGAATTGTGCAACTTCTTCTACTCTTCCAACCCAAGCATTCAATCTTTGTTGTAATGCGTTCAATTGTGGCTTATCCAAAACACGAGGTTGTACCCATGTAATCTTTGCCAATTGTGCATGTTGATCTAGTGATCCTTTAATTAATTTGAGACTGAGTGCTTTCATCACCAAATGTTCCACTTCATCAATCGGTAATCTTGTCTCAACAGCGATTGTCTCGAATGAAAGTGTTCGGTCTGTACTTGCCCTTCTAAACACACTTTCAATCAATGCCATCAAACAAATCTTTTGACGTAGGAAGGCTTGATTTTCAGCGAGGATCGGCTCAGATTGTAGATGCGGCAATAGACTTTCAAACTTGCCAATATCTCCTGAGTTGAAGGAGAACAGCATCGTTGAAAGCCATGCGTATGGAGACGATTGTAGAGATGTCAAAATTGGATGTAATAGCAACTCTCCAAAGTTGTAAATCGTATCGCCCAACAATGCGGAAAGCGCCAAATCTCTCGCTCTCTGAATACGATCCTCTTCAGTCAAATCAACGTCAAGATCAACGCATGCTAGATACAGGAGAGAGTTCTTGTAGTATGAAGCATACTCTGCCTTTGTTTTATGGTAATCTCCAGACACTCTGTAAAAACTTGCATGGACGCCACGCTCGACTGTGTTGAAAGAATCGAGAATCTTGGCACATTTATCCATTGCCTCCTTTGTTCCATCAACGTCCCCAAGGATCAATTTGAAATGAGCTGCTTCCATAGTAGCAAACACAAATGCTTCTTGCGACTCATCTGTGTCGATGCTAGTGGCAAGGTTATCCAAGAAAGTCAAAGCTGAAGAGGGTTCAGTGAACTGTTTCGATGCAATCACTGCCAATGCTACCAAACGCAAACGATTGATTCTAGTGGCGAATGTGCTGATGAACTTTTGATATAGATCCAATCGTAATGTAGGCGTTGATGATGAGGGATGTGCCATATATTGTTCCACAGCTTGTGTCAATTGAAACCAGAGTTTCTTTTCGTGTAATTGTTTGAATCGTTCATATAGTGGTCTTAGATCTGCAGGAGCAGCCAAGGTGGCTTTCTCTAGCCATGAGCTGTCGAAATCGACATCCATTGTGCCAGAATTATTTTCTTTAGATGCCATCTTGTTTTCTCTGTCGATCGTGTGATGATGGTGAATAAGTAGTCTAGGAAGATTACCTTGGAAGCAAAGGACGCGTAAACAACTTAGTGGGCGCTCCTGCCCTTTTGCTTGGCTCACTGTTAATGACGCGGATGGCCCAAACGCAAGAGAAAGCGGAGATACTGTACTGCATAAAGACGGGATAAACTCTTTGAATGATAACTACCACCTACAACTTTCGACTGTTGCCTTATAATACATGGATCTGGACGTCGCAATTTACTGGAGGAGGTGGCTGGAATGAGTGCAAACGAGGGCAGCAAAAGCGATGGTCGGACAGACCACATCATAATCAAATGGAGCCAAAAGCTTGAAGAAGCTCAAAAACTCACAAATGAGGCCACCAGGTTAGAATTCGCAAAAGATTATTCGTCAGCATTTGCGAAATATGTCCGGGCAGGTGAACTATACCTGAGTCTCGCTAGAACCTATGATGACCGGCCTAAGACAGCAGTCTCTGTTGCAGGAGAAAGTGGAACAGACTTGAAAACACGTATCAAGAAGGCAGCAGAAAAGGTCTTGAATCGTGCAGAGAAGATTAAATCTCTTCGCAAAGACATCAAACCAGTACAGAAGAAAGTATTGAGTGTAGAAGAACAATCTAGAATACTTGACCTGGCGTCCAAAATTGGTACCATAGATGCTCCTGTTTGGAAGCAAGAAGGGCCTTCTACCAGTACCATCGAGCAACCCGCACTGGCTCCTCTTCACTTAAAGAAAAATGCGACATACAGGAGCCGCAAAGATGGCTTATTTTGGTCAAAGAAATCACTATATAGTCTGGAGCTTCAGGGGAGCGAAATTGTTCAAGACATCGTAAATGATTGTAGCTTCATTGCGGCTTTAGAAGTTGCCGCTCAATATGATGCAAAATGGGGAACAAATCTGGCAACAGGACCTTTGTTTCCAAAGGGAACCGATCAAACGCCAAAGTGGGATGATGCTGGTCGCCATCAAGTACGCTTTCACATGAACGGTACAAAGCGCAAAATTGAGATAGACGATGCGATTCCGTGCGATGATCAAGGCACGCCCATGTGCGCATTGGGAATCCCGTCCAGCGACCCAAAGAATCTGCAGCTATGGCCTGCATTACTGGAAAAGGCATACCTTTTGATTCGAGGAGGATACGATTTTAAAGGCTCTAATGCAGCCATGGATTTGCATGTATTGACAGGTTGGATACCTGAACAACTCGGTCTCCATCGGGATGACTTCCACCGCGAGAAAGTATGGGAGAGGCTTGTAAAGGCAATGAAAGAAGGCAACGCCATGCTGACAGCAGGGACAAGTAAAAATACACAGGAGGAATACGGCCAAATTCGTCTGATCCGGTCGCACAACTATGCTGTTCTGGACTTGATCGAGGATCATGCCGAACGAAAAGTCGTTCTTATGAATCCGTGGCGTCAACCCGTTTCCAGCGGCGCAAGTGGTGGTGGTCTTGCTACTATGCAGACTCTCAATGAAGCTCTCCCGGTATGCTACGCGAAAGAACAGTTCACGATAACCTGGGACGAGCTGTGTGCTCGGTTCGACTCGCTATACATTAGCTGGAATCCGAAGATGTTTAAGATGTCGAGCGAGTTTCACGGCATTTGGAGATCTTCCAGAAAAAATGGTCATGTACAAGTCCAGCTCAATGTTGAGCCATCGACGGCCAATCCGGTACCAACCACATGGGTTCATTTGGTCAAGCACTTTCCTCCTGACGACAAAGAGCGTGCTGCCTCCTCTACAGTTTCTGAATGGATAAGCGCTCATGCCTTTGATAATGAGAATGAAGGTGTTTTGCATCATTCCGAATACGCTGGAGAGTATGTCGACGGTCTGCATGCTTTGACGAGATTTAAAACGGACAAGAAGAAGTACACTCTTGTAGCATCACGACAGATTGAGGAGAACAGTGCAGATGGTGCCATTGACAGGTGCCAAGACAGCACATTCACGATGACAGTGTATTCGAATGCAAGTCACATCTCACTCGAAGAAGTAGAGAACAAATATCCATTTGAGATTGCAATTCCTGGACAGTGGACACTAGGCACAGCAGGTGGAAATCCACTCGAGCCAACATTCATGCATAATCCCCAGTATGCAATCACGGTGCCAGCATCAGGTGCAATGCAGACAACTTCTGTGCGCATTTCAGCAGAAGCCAGCAAGGATGTTTCGATTCTGATTTTACTGCTTTGGCCAAAAATAGATCAAGGCTCTGTTCAACGAACTGATCATTTTGCACCGGGAGATATCGTTTGCAGCAGTGAAACGTATAATTATGGTTTAGCCATTGCTCAATCTACGAAACTTAAGCCTGGAATACCCTACACGTTGATCATCAGTACATATTCACCTGGTCACCTAGGCCCTTTCAATATCACCGTGCAAACGCAAACAGGACAGGCTGAAGTGAAGCCAATTCCGATGGAAGGTGCGGGTATGTATCAACAACGTTTGCGTGATCGTTGGAGTATTGCGAAAGGTACGGCAGCTGGTGCTCCGAGATTTGGGAGGTGGCAAAGTAATCCTTCTTGGACATTTAGCATTGACAGGAAAATGCAATTGACTGCGAGGCTTACGATTGATTCGAAAGCCAGAACGGAATCCACGGCTTCAGAATCAAGTATTAATAAACGACCTCATCTGAATGTCACGGTCATCGGTCAAGAGTCAGGCAAAGAGATTGCCTCTTCCGGACCGTACGCAAATATTCCATGTGGGGTAGCAATACGTAATGTGATGCTAGAGCCGGGCAATTACACGATCATAGCGTCAACATTTGATATGTACGTTGAAGCTGCTTTTACTCTTCAGCTTTTTACAGGCAGAAATCTCACTCTCACACCTGTCGAACAGTAATTATCATAATCATTATCTCGTGCTGTTTCTGGTGCTATATGTTGTCAATGTATACTACAATGTAATTTCTGAAACGATGTCATCTAAAAGGGGGAAGGAGGTGCAATACTTGCTTTGTGATTCGTTAAGAGGATGGTGAGTGCTGTTGCAAAGATAACAAATGCAACGATCACTTCAGTGATATAAACAACTTTTGTACTGTGTGCTTGTCTTGCATGTCTAGCATCGTGATACCGTTGTGCGACTGCTCTTCTCTCTAGATTGCTGGGATGATCGTCATCTGTATTGTTTGCAGTACGATTAGCCATAACAGGAACGACTTCATCAGCGTGTTCTAAAGCTCGTACGCAGCGCATATAATCTATCCATCCTATAATGAGCGAAAAGATTGACAATGCGAAGAACAGAATGCCTAATGCTTCCGATAAAGCGACGCTTGTGTCCAATAGATTGCGTTCTGGATCAGACACAAGAATAGAAGCACTTGGTCCGATTTTGGCAACGGAAGTTGAAGATACCAAGACGCTTTGCTGTCGAAGTAAATTTTTTCTCATTGCTTGCATTCTCAAGGCTTGGATTATCGCATCCCCTTCTCCTGCTGTATACATCCCCTTGCCCACACGTACTTTGTGATGACCATGCCCAATTACTTGACTTAGATCACGCAATTGCAATCGCAGGAACAAAGCAGCTGATCCAATTGCAAGCATAGAGGATAAACGTAACCAGCTAAAAAATGTTCTCTCTCTTGCTAGGAAGTCTCTAGCACTTTCTGCTGTAGTTTGCCTGATATTGAAGAATGCCATTAGAGAAGCCCATCCATCGGGTATTCTTGTGTGATTGTTTGGTTGGGTATCATTCTCTGCAAAAGCAGGTAGTAATGCACCATCTGATGTACCGGCTAGTGCACCAGGTGCAGAAGTGGAAGATGCTAGTCGATGATTTGAAGGTGGAACAACAAGCATGTCATCCTTTTTGGGCGAGTCTGCTTCTACGGGTATATTGACAGAGCGTGCAGAAGGACTGCCACTATTTGGAGAACCACGAGGTGAAAAGTTACGTGGATAACTGTTGGGTATATGAAGCGTTAATCTTGGACTTGCAAATCCCCCTTCCTCCCCACCTCCCATTGCTTTAGGCGAGGAGGTCATGATGGCCACTGCCAAGACCAAAGAAAGATACAAGATGGTGGAGCTAATGGAGTATTTTTTCAACGAAGAAGCAATTATATGCACACATGCATGCATGGATCGCTTTATCTTTTAACTTTGACAGCTTCAACTCGCATATAAAAAACGCAATTAGCGCGGCGTTGAGCAGCGCTTAGATCCTCTTTGCAATTACACTTTTTAGTGTGGCATTTTTGTTCCATCATTTGGTCATTTTTCTGTCTGTGTGTGGTCGACTTTGCATGGGTAATTTCCCATGTCTACTACATTGGCCGTTTTGCCGAATGGAGGGGGCCCATGATTTGAATGCGTCATTGGAAGATAATCCCCATTTATTGACCAAATATGTAATGCATGAATCCGATCCCTACTTACTCTTCTGCATTGTGCATATATTCACAGACTATCAAGCGGTCAGCGGCAGACATATCATGTATACTTGATGATGACGGAAGCTAAGCTTATGGCCAAGAATAGCGAAACTATCTAGATGCGCTTAATAACGGATCACGTTATCAATAATGGTACATCGGATAGATTCGAGTTATGGATTGTGATGGAGTTGTTTCACTGCCAGTTGCCGCTTTAGCGTCATTCGGACCGGGTAAAAATGGAAGACGATCTATCACGTCGGACGTTCAATGTCAAAGAGACAAAACACTTTTGTATGTCTGTAGAAGCTATAGAATTTATTGAATAGGATATCATTCTAAAGGCTAACTTTTCCCTCCAAACATCGTCTCAGAAAACATACAAATAGGGTTAAAGTTTGCCATTGAATCTTATCCAAAACATCCGCGCATCCTTTTTTCTCCGCCACACCCCACTTTCTCTTTTCTATTTCTCTCACTCTTTTCTCTCATACTTTCACCACCATCTCACCCCCTCAACCATTTACACAATGAGTGCCCTCGATTTGAGGTAAGATGAAGTGAAAATGGATTCTATGTCCCACGTGTTGATCCCATCCTCCCTTTTTTTCACAGCCTCGGTTGCATTTTAATCGGTGTCCTCCTGAACGTATGGTTGTACGGATTTTCATGCGTACAAGCATATATCTAGTGAGTACGACATACCTCTTCACAATCATACCCACCACTTTACTAACGCATTCATTCACAGTTTCGCTCGTTTCAAGTCTGATCGTACATCTTTGCGTGTCTTTGTCGCTTTCCTCTTTTGCGCGGATACAATCAACAGTGTGCTAGACACCGTCTTCCTTTACAAATACTTAGTCACAAACTTTGGTAATTTGGCCTACGCAGAGATCAGTAACAATGAGTTTGCCACAGATCCACTTTGCGTGCAAATTGTTGGTTTTGCAACTCAACTCTTCTTTGCATGGCGTATTTGGAAATTGGTTCCAGGCAGATTCAATTGGGTACCCGCATTAATCATTTGTATCTTGGGCTTCTTGAGTTTCTTGGGCGCTCTTGGTACAACCATTGGGGTTGTCATCGTTCGTCACTACACGCAATTCCAAAAGTTTGAAGTCACCGTAGCTTTGTGGCTTTCTTGCACAGCTGCTGCGGATATCATGGTCACCATTTCACTCATCACCACTTTGCATCGTTCAAGAACTGGATTCACACATACAGATGACTTGTTGACCAAATTGATTCGTGCAACGTTGCAAACTGGTTTACTCACCACATCGTTTGCCGTCACTGACTTGATTTGTGAGTGCTATCTTTGATTGTATGTTTTGGACACAGAAAAACTGACCCAATCTTCTTGCACACAGTGTTTGTTTCCAGCACTAGCACCTTGCACTTGGTATTCAATCTACCCTTGTCTAAGCTATACATCAACTCTCTGCTTTCCACGTTGAATGCCCGTGCATTCATCTCAAAGGGTGGCCATTCAATGAGAGCGGTCAATTCATCTAACCTGCAAATTCACGGGGTTAGTGATATGAGCAACCTCAAGTTGGCCGAAGCAGGATTGTCATCTGGTCTCAGTAGTGCACTCAGTGGCAAGAAAGAAGATAGCGATGGGACCTTGTCTCGTACAACTGAATTAACGAGTGCTATCGAAACCGAAAGCATGCCATCTCCTGATCCTCGCTCACCTGCTGGTCGCCCGTCTCATGATGGATCCAGAAAGAAATCGACAAAGTTCAAGGCTGCGTGGAAGCGTACAACGGATCCCAAATCATTCGCTAACATGAAAGAGACGGAGACCGAACATGACATCAGCCAATACAATGACGGCGAAGATGGTGTCCATGTGGTGACCATTCAAGAGCGCTTTGAAAGTGATTTGCCACGTTCGCGTGATAGCATTGCACCGGCGTTATCGTTCAGTAATCTCAACAACAAGAGCATGGCTTCTTTTACCGAAAGTCAACGCTCAATGGGCAACAGCAGTCATGGTAAAGGTGGCGAGGAGGGCATCAATCAGATTGCCTATCATCACAATCAACATCAAGACGATTCAGTCGAAGGCGGTGAAGGTAATGATCTGACCAACTCAGTTCCTTTGCAAAAAATTCAAAGCCGTCAAGGATCACCAAATGAGGCTACTTTGAGCCCAATCGCAGCGGCTAGCAATCGTCAATCCATGACTGCCCGTCATCCATACAGCCAATGTTAGGCGGCCCTTGTTTAGGGGATTTTTTCCTGTGCTCGATTTACCTTTCTGTGTCTTTGTCATATTAAAGGAACTCAAATAGCTATTCATACCCTTCCCCGCTTCGCTGTAACCTAACACCAAAAGACGCATTTATCGTCACAACGTCCTCCGCATTAATCGATGATATTCGTTTATTAATATACATTCACAAGTGTGGCTCTTGACCTGCTTTGACGAGAATGTTTGGATTGAGTTGAGTGGTTGATTGTATGCCGGCCAGTGTCATATTCAGCTCAAGATCGGCAGCCAATCCCTTGAAAACTGTTTCAACACCTTCTTGTCCGTTTACAGATAATCCCCATAGCCATGGTCGCCCGATCGCGACTGCATCTGCTCCCAATGCGAGAGCTTTCATTGCATCTGCACCACATCGAACGCCCGAATCAAAGATGAGGTAAGGTCTCCTTCTTTGCTTGGAGGCGCGATCTTCATCACCTTCTCGGCCAACGCCATATACCAATCCCAGATCAGTAGGCTGAGAAGCCTTGTTACGATCTGTGATGATACCAGGAGTGAGGTATAATGGCAAGCCGCGGATAGAACGACCGATTGCTGACAAGCAATGCAAGCTACTGATCGCACCGTCAACTTGTCTACCACCATGATTGCTTACCCAAATTCCATCTGCGCCAGCTTCGACGGCTCGATTTGCGTCCAACAAAGATTGAATGCCTTTCAAGATGATCGGGCCATCACCCCAAAATTTACGCAAGGTTGCTAATTCTGACCACTTACGTGAGATTCCCGGATTGACAAGGTTAACCGCTTGAACACATGCTCCAAAGAGATCCTCTTTTGTTGCTTCTTTACCACGTGGATCTTTGCCTTCACAGTATTGTTCGATAAAATAAGGATCTGAAAGCATATTTGCAACACCTTTTCCTGATAAGAATGGATTAAAGGCGTCATTGAGATCTCTTGGTCTCCATCCCAATGCGAATGTGTCGAGTGTGACGACTAAAGCTTTGAAGCCTGCCTTCTTTGCTCTTTTTATCAAAGATTCTGTCAGCTTTTCATCCGAAGGCCAATAGAGTTGATACCAGCCATGATTTTCTTCTTTGTCCAAATCAGCCGCTGAAGCAACATCTTCGATTGAAGTAGAAGCGGCAGTAGAATGCGTATATGGAATACCCAATGCCACACCAGCTTGAGCCGTTGCCTTGTCTGCATCTTCATGATACAATTCCTGTACGCCGATTGGTGAAATCACAAAAGGTGTTTGAAATGTAGTTCCAAACAACTCCGTTTTCATATTTGCATCTGTGATATCTGTATCTGCCAACATTCTCGGAACGATTTGCCATTGATCAAACGCATTTAAGTTTGTTTGATAAGTCTTTTCTGTACTTGCACTTCCATCAGCATAATTGAAACCTTCTTTGGAAATACGCTTTTGTGCCTCTAATCGTAATTCGGCATACTTTGTAGTTTGTGGTTTATTACCTGTTTGATAACCTTCCAAATAAATCTGTCGCATATACTGTACCTTTGGGCCTTCCATCTTGTCTATCAAACTGCAAGATTAGTGTTGTGATTGTTACGAAGTGATGCAGTTATGTGCAATCAATGCGAAGTAATAACCCTGCTTCCCCACAAAGTTTCCGGTCCGGCCATAAGAATCAAAGTGTTGGCCGGGTTATTGTGTAAGCCCGAGTTGATTGGCCTGCTTAGTCAAAAAGTAACCCTTGCTTCTTCTCCAATCGGCCGAGTTGTGTCGAACGCGTGTTGGACGCGCTCTTCTGTTTCAAGAAAAGATGCACACAAACAGCACACTGACAATTTGGCGTAAAACGCGAAAATTGCATCCCTTTACGCTTTGCCGCGCCGCGCAACACAAAACGAAGGCGTGGCGCGGCGCGTCTCAGAACAACAGAAAGAGGAAAGTTTTAATTTACACACAGTGAGTGTAACACACACGCACACACTACCACTATACGGAAAATTGAATCTTTCGTCGAGCAGGAAGGGAATTGGGGAGCGTTTGGTTTACATGCACATCTGAAGTTGTCATTCGAAAGTATCAAAAGGAAGATAAAGTGCCATCCTTACGCGCAATTCTCAAAGTAAAGCTATATCATCTTGTCTAACACTCACTTCACATCACAATCAATCACTTGGGAAGAAAGGATGGAAAAAATTTGATCGGTGAAGCAAGTCATTCATTCCATACAATTGAGCATACATAATCGAAAGGCTTGGTCGTTTACCCGATCTAATAGCAAGCACAGCAGCAGGCATGACCGACATTCATTCAGCTACTTCTGCTCTAACAGCCCCAACGGGCGATACCACCAGATCTACATTCACTGACATCGCTACCGAAGCAACCCAAGACGATCTAAGAACGGCTGATACCACCTTGGCAGACGATTCACAAATGGAAACAGGAGAGAACGTCGCTGAAGGTACATCTGGCGGTGCAGCCAAAAGCATCTATCTGGCAACATACTCTTCCGTAGCAGTTTTTGAGCTCATGGTACGTGGAATTGCATGTATGCGTAGACGAACAGATGGATATATCAATGCAACACAAATCTTAAAGATTGCAGGAATCGATAAAGCAAAACGAACAAAAATTCTAGAAAAGGAAATCCTAACAGGTGAACATGAAAAGGTACAAGGTGGATACGGTAAATATCAAGGAACTTGGATCCCTCTCAAACGTGCTCAAGAATTATCTGCTACCTATCTTGTCGCCCATCTCTTGCAGCCTCTTTTGGAATTCGATCCCTCCAAAGCAGGAAGCGTTCCTGTTGCTGGTAAACGCAAACGTCCAAACCCAAACGCTCCAGCTGCAAGTGCTTTCCATCGTCAATCATCCGGAGCTCCACCTGCAAAGGGTACTGGGGCCAAAGCATCACCTGCCCCTGTTTCAGCATCAGCCTCTACAACTACACTCGATCCTTCTGCTCCCGGACCAAGTCTGCAACCTCGATTCATCTCTTTGCGCCCACCACCGGGTGTTTCCCCTTCCGACTCCTTGAACGGATTGTTGGATTCTGGCAATCTGGTCTTCCCTCGCGGAACCACTGCCGAACAAAAGGAGACTTTGAGCAAGTATTCTTCTCATGGCTACACACCTCAAGGTGTTCCACTACCGAATGGAAAGAGTGCACAAGCAGAAGAAGTTGGCTCTAAAGGAAAGAGAGGAGCTGACTCTGCTTTCGGTGATGAAGAGGAAATTGGTGAGGTGAAAAGGCAGCGTGCCAATGGAGCGGCAGATGAGAGTATGGCGGATTCATCTTTCATCTTGGGTCCATCACCAGTAAAAGATTTGAATGCTTTGGGAAGAATCTCATCTCCCACATCTGCATTACGTGGAGCAAGAGCGCCTACGAGACTACATCGAGTCGCTTTAGGCCCACCTGATGCGTTCAGACAACTTCAATTGGACGGAACAAGATTCGCTGATCGTCCACAAATCATACAAGAAGGTGATGAAATAGGAAGACGGATGCGATCAAAACTCTTGCAATTGTTTGTTGATGAACGCCTCTCGCAGGCCGACGCGGAAGATCAATCAGAACAAGTTACTGTACATGATGAGAGGAAGTTGGACGAGTTATTGAATGAGCTACGGGTAGCTGCTCAATCTGTCGAGGAAGGGCAAACAGATGAAGCAACCGGTGTTGCACAAATGAACGGTCACGCTTTGGATGCCAGTACACCTCCTCCATGTGTGGATTTGGTGATTGATGAACATGGACATTCTGCTTTGCATTGGTCAGCTGCATTAGCAAAGATCAATTATGTTCGTTTCTTGTGCGCTCGTGCTCCTTCATCTGGTGGTGCAAACACTCATTCCGGTAACCATGCAGGTGAGACACCACTTCACAGGACAGTTCTTGTGTCGAATGCATACGAATCAAGCAGTTTCCCCGCATTGCTTCACCTACTATCACCAAGTTTGCACACGAGAGATTATCGTAAACGGACAGTTGTCCATCATATTGCATTAATCTCATCAGTCAAGGGCAGAGCAACGTCAGCACGCTATTATTTGGCTTGCTTGTTAGAGTACATTGCCAAATATCAAGGTGGTCGATATGCGGCCTTGATTGATGCACAAGACGATGAAGGAGAAACAGCATTAAGCATCGTTGCGAGGATTGGAAATGTAAGCATGATTAAGATGCTTTTGGACGTAGGTGCAAGAAAGGATATTGCCAATGAGCTTGGACTTAGAGCATCCGATTGGGGCATTGATGCAGTTGATAATGCTGAAAGTGCCGAAGCAGGTGCTCCTGGCGATGGTCTAGCAGATGCGACAAAAGACAAGCCTACTGAAGCAGTGACTGCACTAACGCGACCTCCTCGTGCACCTGTTCAAAAGAGCAAGGATGTCTTGGAGCAAATGGGAACAGTATTGCAAGATTTAGCAGACGTTTTCCAGAAAGAACTCACCGATAAAGGAGAAGCACTTACCATCGCACAAGCCCACCTACAAAGCGCAACAAGAGAATTAGCTTTGCGTAGAAGAAGAATTGCAGAAAGTCAATCTCACGTTGCTGAACGAGATGAGGCACGAATGAGAAGAAGAAATATTGGCAAAGTGATTCGAGAGCAATTATTGATGTTGGGTGAAAGTGCAGCATCTACAATAGAGAGTATCGATGAAGAAGGGCTGATTGCCGAATTTGTCGCTACACACGGTCAAGATATCATGGAACTCGATGAAGACGAAGATGCCCCATTCAAAGATGGTGAAAAGGGTGACGAGCTGGTACGATGGAGATGGTTAGAGGGATGGTACAAGGAACTCCTACTTTCATTAGAATCAAAGATTGATGCTTTGGAAGTGAGTGGAGCGGAAAAGATGAGTCAATGTAGAAAAGTTGTAGCAATGTGCTGTGGCGTTCAAGAAGAGAAAGTGGAAGGAATTTTGGATGATTTAATGGTTGCTACCGAATCAATCGGTACAGAAGGCGTTAATCTTCAACGATTGGCAGGATTCCTCTCAAAGGTAAAAGAGACAAGGTCGTAAGATACACAACCGTTGTATGCAAACCAGTTTGCTTTTCATGTCGTCTCTTTCGTTGATTTCTAGTATGTAGTGTTACAATGTATTCTGTTTATTAATGTTACTTGCTTAGTATACAATTATGTTGAGTGTGTATGAGATGTGCTTGTGGTAGTATCCGTTGCTTCTTTCTTTGTCCGTTCTTCCTGCTTCTTCCTGCTCCATTCGTGTGCTAATTGTAGTCTTCTTTTCCGTTTGGTCTCGGCGTCTTCTTCCGGGATAGGAATGGAGTCCTCGCTCTTGCTTGTAGGATAGCTCGTTTGTTCCTCTGATTTAGGGTCCTCCTCTTCCTCGCTACTTCCATATGCTACAAGGGTTTTCAGAGGGGTATTTGTGTCCGAGTTGGCTGCTTCCAACGTGAAATGCTTTCCCTCTTTCAAGGCTTGCCAGGTGCGATCAAGTCTACTTGGTGCGTCATTATCTGATGTCTTTCTCAAGAATGCAAACCTTGCATCATTTCCATGGTTGGCATAAATGCGTGCTTCCAATATAGATCGATTTGCTGCTCCTCGTAGCGCTTGAGCCGTTTTTTGCATCAGACTGAATTGTTCTGATGTTATAAATTCTTCTTCTGGGTCTGGGGCGTCTTTCACATCCTCTTCTTCTTCATCTTGTTGCTGAGATTGCAATGCCTCCATTCGTGATGTACGCAGCTTCTCGAGATATTCCTGATGTTTTGCGAAACGCTCCGCTTGATCTTCCTTTGAAGGATTTTCGGGTTCCGTTTCATTCTTGACAGGATGGCTCTTTAGATGAAATACATCTTCCTCCTCACTCTCGACGTAATTGCTCTTTGCCCGTTTGACTTGGTCATTCTTTACACGGTTAGCTCTTCGATCACCGTATGGATCTATTTCTTCGTCAGATGATTCAACAAACTTCTTCCCTTCGCCTTTTGCTCCTCTCTTCCTCACACGTGAGACTTCGCCATTCATCAAGAAAGCATTTTATCGCTAGATGATGGCATTCTCCAGAAAGTATGACCGTGCATGAATGCATTCCAAAATGTCATGGTGGAGTTGATACACGTGAACAAAGTTGATTACGCGCTTAAAAGAGAGAAGGAGATTTTTCTAATTCCGGCTTAATTTTAAACAATTCTATACACACAGGCTCAGCACTGTACACCATGGTATTCGGACATGCAAGAAGAAAAAGTTAATGCATGTAGGATAAATTGACATTTCACTCTTCTTCACTCATCATCATAATACAAAAAGCAGAGATGACTGCAGAAACAGAGAAAAAGGTAGAGGCTGATACAGCACCTGCTACAGAGCTAAAAAGAAGTGCTGAGCAAGATGCAACAAAACAAGAAGGAAATGCTGCTCAAGAACATGACTCTAAAAGGGTAAAGATGGTCGATGATGCAAAGAAGAATGACGGTACAAATGCAAAACAAGGCGGTCGTCGTCATCATGATGGACGTAGAGGTGTACCTCATTACAAGGCCAGAAATGGTCCAAATGGCGGCAGAGGTACCGACAGACAAACAGCAGAAGGAGAAGATGGTGAGGAAGGTGATGATGGACCAAGATTGCCTAAGAAGAAGTGTGCGATTGCATTTGGTTATTGCGGTATTGGCTATTCAGGCCTGCAAATCAACCATGGCGTCAAAACAATCGAAGGTGATATCTTTGAGGCATTTTGCAAACTTGCTGCAGTCAGTAAAGAGAATGCTATCAACCCAAACAAAGTTGGACTGCAACGTGCTGCCCGAACAGATAGAGGAGTACATGCAGCAGGGAATCTATTAACGATGAAATTGATCCTCGAACCTCCAGGAATAGGACCAAATGATCTTGTCAAGAGCATGAACGAAATTCTGCCCGAGTTCATTCGTATTTGGGGCTTTACCCGCGTTCAGAATAGCTTCAATGCACGTACAAGCTGTGATAGTCGTCAATACGAGTATCTACTACCCACATACGTCTTTCTACCGCCAAAGCCAAGATCGCATATGTACAACACCCTACAGCAATGGGCCGAAAAGAGTGAAGGGGAAGAGGCCGGTAAAGCAGATGCAGACGATGATGAAGAGTACAGGCCGACGATTGACTATTTGCTAAATCACCCTTTCTGGAAAAAGCAAGGTAGCGATAAAGACTTCAAATCAGACACAGCAGCCAAAAAACAGTGGCGCATCTCGATGAAACAGCTTAATAGAGTTCGAGAAATCTTTTCAAAATACGAAGGATCGCACAACTTTCACAACTTTACCGTCGGGAAACCATTCAGAGATCGTAGTGCACATCGTCATATGATCAAGCTGACAATTTCCGATCCAAAGATCATCAATGAAACTGAATGGGTTTCGATCAAATTCCATGGACAATCCTTTATGTTACATCAGATTCGTAAAATGATCGGATTGTTGGTTCTTGTGGGAAGAACAACTGCACCTGCTTCTTTGATTCCCGAAACTTTTGGACCTGCACGTATTCACGTTCCCAAAGCACCTGGACTTGGACTTCTACTGGAAGAACCAATTTTTGGAGGTTACAATCGACGCTTGGAAGAGACGATGAAACGACAGAATGAAGATCCGATCAGTGGAAACAGTGGAGAAGGTGGAATCCGTAAAGAATCTGTCATCTTTTCTGCACGATATGGCGATCAAATGGAACAATTCAAACAGAAATGGATTTACGACCGAATCCATCAAGAAGAAGAAGAAAAACATGAATACGTAAAATTCTTGCAATATCTAGATGTTTTGTCCGGAAGTGATTTTGAATACCTAAATCCAAAAGGTGTTATCCCACAAAGTGCAATTCTCAAGGTCGGGGAACAACAACGCGAAAAGCCTTCTGCTGAAAGCAAGGAGAAGGAGAACGGCGAGAACAACGAGGATGGCGAAGGATACAAGAGTGAAGAAGAAGACGATGAGGCTCTTCAAGGCAATCAAGCTGAGATGGAAGGTTAAAGTTACAGCTATAGCACATCTTCATTCGTTGCATAATCATGTATGTACAATATATTGTTCACATTCAGCAGCGTGTAAATGAGTGATAAGTGCGACTACTGAGATCATGTCAATGCAGAATCTCGTAAATGTTGGCGGAGAATAATATCCTGACATGAAGTAAGAATTGATCGGATTTCCGTTGTACTGGTTGCTGTAGTTCGATGAACGTATAAGCTACGGGTTGGAGCTTTTCCCTCCTGATCACGGGCAACGAGCAAGAACAATGAACGGAAGTACCTCCATACATCTTCAAACTCATTTGGTCCTTTATATCGCTTGAAGTGATCTCTAACTCGAATGCCCTTCAGCAGCTTGAGTTCGAGTATGTCCATCTTGTTCAAGAATAAAATCAAAGACACTTTTAGCAACAGCGGACTGCTGACGATCTGTTTCCAAATTTCCAAACTGTCAACAACCTTGTTTGTCTCAACATCCTCGCTGAGCATTTCATCGAATGCAGAAATGGGCGCCAAGAAGATAATTGCGGTTGCATTGTAGAAGAATTGTGCCCAGACATTTCTTTGTGATCGACTACCGCCAACGTCAACGATCCGATAAGACATATGACGATTGACGTAAAATCGTTCTTCAAATACGCCCAGCGTACGAACACGAGCTCGCAAGATGTCATCATCAGTCGGCTTGAAATCAGGTGAAGCAAATCGTTCGATGTTACTGAGAAAGTAGGCTGTTGAATCGTTGGAGAAATCTTTGACCAAGTCACCCTTGCAAAACTTTCTCCAAAGATCTATGATATCCTTCTTCGTCGCATCCAACAAACAGTACATCTTTTTGCGCATCGGTTGAGTTGTCTCATCTTGAAGACCACCACTATGATAAGTTGTGTCTGTACTTGCATTCGATAGCGAACGGCCAGCAGCTTTTCGTGCAAATCGACTGGAAAGGCTCTTGCGTGCTGTTGACTCGGTCAAAGTGTGTTGCTCCGTTTCGTCTTGATAATAGTCTGTTAGCATTTTATCCTGCCAATTGGCCTTGAGGACCAAAGGAGATAGTTTCGAGGATAGGGTTAAGCTTTCATGAGAGAAGCTGGACGATCGACGAACTTCTTGTTGCGGTCTTCTCTGTTGAATCACGGTTTCATCCAGCGTTCCAAGCTTTCCGCGTAGTTCAGCTTCCATTGATAAAAGTGGTGCAAAGCGCAACTTAAGCAAAAGCATCTTGGAGTTTTGAGAATGACTCTTTTTCGCTTCTTCAAATGTTTGATGTGTTGGTGATGTAGCTCGACTCGGACTCAGGCTTGAGAGAACGGGAGATGATATGCTTTGCGTGCTATCCATCCTCCTAATAGCGCTCTTACCATTTTGCATCGTTTGTACTTCCACCAGTCTTTTCACGGCTAACACTATATTGAGATAAATCACATCCGTCCATGCATTACGAAGCCTCTCTTGCCTTTCGGGCGCATACATCATACGCATCTGTTTCATGATTGTCGTCTTCCCTGCTTCTGCTTGACCAAGTAAGAGAATCGTTTTTTCTGCCGTTCGATCATCTTTTGCCCGACTTGCTTCTTCTCGAATTGTTTTATCGATATCATCACTTCTCTTTTTTGCAGCCACTTCAGCCTGTATGCGTTCTTGTTTTTCTTCTTCGGTTTCATTATTGGGAGGCCTTAGAGCAATACTCAGTGGATCTTCATCATTTCCTGTCCCTCTCAAATTGTCTTTGCTTCTCCTTCCGCTTTTCAACGTCAAACTTTTCACCCTGCCCGTAACGCCATTTGAACCAAATGCACTGGAAAGATTTCGAACTTTTCGATTTTGCACGGCATTGGATAGCATCTTTTTCTGGAATTCCAAGAATGAAAAACGCTCTTTGATAGGTGTGGGAGGAAGTCGAGAGATGGAAAATGATCTTGAATGCTGCTGTAGCTGTAGTTGTTCTTGAGGGGAAGGAGGAAGAGGTTTTGACTGTGGAAGACCGAAAACCGGTGATTCAAAAGAAGTAGAATGATGATTTAAAGTAGTAGAAGTACTGTTGGCGACGGAATATCCGATGGTCGTATGAATGGATTGATGGATGTTCAAAAGTGATTGCCTTTTATAATTCGTTCTTTGCCTTGAATTGCTCATATGTTGCGGCTGAAGCGGCAAGATTTCCATTCTGCAAGACATTTCAACGATGGTTTTGAGTGAAATGAGGCAATCTACGGAAGATGTTTACGTCAGTATTAGTTGTGTATCGTATCATGCATGAACGAAGAAATTACTTACTCTTGAGTGAAGCAATATGTAACAAATGAATCCTTCTCTTCAACCGATTTGTAGAGGGCAAGAAAAGATTTGTTCCATGCTTGATCGGAAGGATGTGTTCCTTTTATAGCTCTTCTCTCCTTTGATTGCATTCATGCGCAAAGCGCCGGACGAACAAAGTGACGTAGCCCACCTGAAAAAGACATTTGTTGTGTGTGTGTGTGTTATTGCTGCGACTCAGCCCGGTTGGATGGGGAGTATTGTATAAAATTGAAAGGCCTTTATCTTCTTTCTCACATTTCTCCTCTTTTAACTACCAACTTCATTATAAAAACACAAATTAAAAACTACTCATGTGAGCTCCGACTCAAATAGCGCCCGATGAAAATAACTTGTACAGCAAAAGTGGCGTTCAGTATGGGGGGCGACTCGGCTGATTTTGGATCAGAATGGGGAGCGGATAGTCGGAATGCTAATTTCAATTCGTCATGATGAAAATTGCAAATGGACATCGACTGACCTTGATGGGATTGCACATTATTAAATAATGTATTTTGAGCAAATCAATTTCGGACCTGCTTCGGTGTCATGAATAACATGAAAGTATCTTTCACATATTCTTTCTCTCTGACTTACCAATCGTGGGCAAAAGGAAGGGCGTTTGGTAGCACTGCTTTTAGCTTCAAATCAAACTTCGGCGCCGTTTATCTTCACGCATGTAATTTCATCAACCTTGTCAAGCCATGACCCGGATCCGCATCAAGCCGAAGTTTAACTTTATAAGAATGGTGATGAATTATGTGTGCAAAGACGAGATTTTGTTGTTGATCAAAAAGACGATCATGAATGTTGATACAAATTACACAAATTGTTTGCTAACCTTAGATGCCCATATCAGCAGGGACAGTCGTACCACGTTGTTCGGCAACACGTTTGACATATGCTCCGCTAATTAGATTAATGAGAGAGGGTGGTGCGGATTAGTTTATCAATCTTCTGACTAGCTTTGTTTTGCGATGTACTGTAAATCATACTCACCTGACCACATTGAAAGCTTCAAAATACCGTTCAAGGCATTGTCCCAAGCATTTCTCTTCTTTTCCTGATAAAGAAGTTGAAGGAGAAGTAACGCATTTTGCATAACATTTTTCCGTTGCTTTTGTGATCAATTGTTGTGCATTTTGCATTGCGATCTCTGATGTGATTTGCTGTTTAAGAGCTTCTTTGCGCTCTTGTGGTGAGCCACTCTTCAGATTTGAGAATGATGAAAGATCCATTTTGTCTTGTGTGTGTATATGCGGTGATGGTGATCAGAAGAAGCTCTTTTGCCTCTTCGAATGAATGCAAGTCAAATTATTTTTCGTGCTTTCTTGCTTATGTCAGCCTCCATTCTGTTTGTTCGCGTCCTTGTTTGATAAAAGTGGGGGCGTATCTTTAGCTAAGGCACACGCACGCATACACTCAACACATGGGATTTTGACAGTTTAAATGTTATTGCGGAAAGAAGAGAAGAAATGTCATGTTCAAGCAATTATCACCTATAAGGAGATATAGATCATATCTTCTTTTCAAGAGAATGGCTGATAAGGCTGAACAGGGACCATCTCAACAGCCAAGCAATGGTGATGCACAAAAGAAACAGTCGGCACGCAAAGCAAATAGACCTTCAGAAGCAGAGATAGAAGCAAAACGAAAAGAACGAGCAGAAAAGAAAGAACGTGAAGCAAAAGAAAAAGAACGTCAAGAAAAGTTGGGAATTAATGGAATAGGAAAAGATGGAAAGATTCCTTTTGCTGTTCGAGAATGGTCAAAAGTAAAAGATGTAGCACAGGATAGAATACAGGGCAGACAACGGGTAAGGATTCTAAGTTGGAATATCTTAGCACAAGGTTTGGTCAGAAGGAAATTGTTTCCCAATAGCGACTGTCTGAAATGGAAGGATCGTCAGGCGGGCTTGACATCTGAAATGATTTCTCATAATTGGGACCTTGGCGCATTCCAAGAAGTGGACCGGATAGACGTACATGGTCCCAATCTACAGCAAAGTGGACGTAATTATGTATATGCAAAAGGTTACAATGACAAACAGCATGGCTTGATGATCGCTTGGAGGACGAAAGAGCAAAATGCAGACTCAGATGCTGCCATTTTCGAACAAGAACCAGTTGCTAGCAAGCTAGTATTCTTCGATCGGGAAAGCGTGGATACAGATTCAGATGCTCAAAAAGACGGAAAAAGGCTCGCATTGAGTAGGGTGACTAGGAATATAGCACTCTTTGTCGCTTTGAGGTTCAAAGATCAGTCCAGAAAGGGACCGAAGGGGATTATCATCTCCACTACGCATTTGTTCTGGCACCCAATGCATGCTTATGAACGTGTTCGTCAGATGGGCATCATGAAACGTCGTTTGGTCACTTGGCGTAAGGAGAACGGGCAGGAGTGGGCAGATTGGCCCTTATTCTTGAGCGGAGATTTCAATGATCAACCTCATTCAGCAACATATAGACTGGTCACCGGAAAGCCAATCACGCAACATTGCTTGGATGAAATAGTGAAAAGCACAGTCGTACACCAAAGTGTTGATGAATTGAAGGAAAAGGTGGACAACGATGATCTTGCTAAAGTAAGCGGTCAGGAGATTATTGCGAATGGTAATGCAGCGCAACAAGATGCATCAGGACCTGGGAATGAAGAAGAAGAGGATGAAGAGGAGGAACCCAATGAAGAAGAAGAGGGTGAAGATGATCAGATCCTGAAAAATTGCAGAACAGCAAAGCGTGAAGATGCTTTGTTGACAATTGATGAGTTTGTACAGTTACACGATCTATCTCAGCCACCACCTAAATCAGAGCCACCGTCTTTGAACGGTAACAAAGACAAGTCTACCGATTGGATCAATCATACAGTCAATCTTGGCTTGCAATCTGCCTATGGAGACCATTACGGCAATCTAGAAGTGGATCAAAAAGACAACTACTTTTCCTCTTCCGACCGGAACAGGGAACGACATGACGATGCAGATTGGACACCCGAAATGGCCAATCCTCATCTGAAATTGCAATCATTTGAGCCAATGTATACGCTCTATTCTCCTTTGTTTTCTCTAACGTTGGATTATATTTTCTTATACCCCGATCAAAATACGCAAAATGCTCCAATCGTTTCTGGATTATTACCTACCCATAAAACTGACGTCCTTCGACCTGGAATCCCACGTAAATATGCATGTGCTTCGGATCATATGCCTATTGGAGCGGAAATGATGATTTAAAGGTGCAGATTATAGCATACAATATTGTATTCATGTACATTATAATGATATCCATTCTTGCAGTTTTGTGTTCGTTGAAGTGTGTGTTGACTATGGCGTTTGACGCTAGCATAGCAATCGTTGGCGTAATACCATTCCGCCCACCGCCGGCACATTCTTTTGGGCACTGCGCGACTGTCGTATGTGATATGGCGTAGCGCCGACAACTGGTTTACTGTGCTACCGATCATAAGTTGCCGGATTCATGAGAATGAATATATCGTTGGATCACATTAGCAAGAGCATATAAGTACAACATCTGCTACTCATGAATTCTGTGGATGCATCTCTATCTACTCTCTCACGTCATTCTCAATTCACTTTGAGCTGGACTCATCGTATTTCTTTATTAAAACAAATTGTATTTTATCAACATTTCACATTCTTTCAAAATGCGTTTCAACATTTATGCCTCCGTGCTGGTCATCGGAGTAGCAACAAGCTGCATTTTAGCAGCTCCAGTTCCTGATGATGGCAGTCAATCTTCGTCAAGTACGAGCTCATCAGTTGTGCCTACAAACACACCAAATTCATTTTCCAATAGTAACAATATCATCGGACCCGTGAATAACAATCAGAATAGCAATAAAAACAATAATCAAAATAACATGTATGGGGATGAAGGAAGAGTCATTACTATTCCTGTTCAAATCGATACATCTATGCTGCAAGGGTTAATGGCAGGTGGTACAAGCACAGATGCAAATATTGTTCACAAAAATATTGTTAGTACTAATCAATTACCGCCTGGAGCAATCCCATTCAGTCAATTTGTTCAAGATAATGGAGGTAATATTCCACCCCCTGACTCAAAAAACGTCCGTGTGGTCAAGGTTACTGGCTTGCCTCCCCAAGAAGCTAAGGTCGACACCGGAAATCACGTTGACAATAATAACGACGATCCGAATGCTACACCAACGCCCGCTTCAAATACCACTAGTAGCTCGACTTCCACAAATGCAAGTAGCACTGCGCCACCACCTCCCTCACCCACTGACAATTCTAACAGTAGCGGCGATGATGACGCAAAACCACAGAAGCGACAACAGGAATGGCAAATCAGAAATTATGGTGATCATGATACACGATACCGAGCAGCCATCTTACCGATGATGAATGAAAAGAGAAACTATCCAACCAAACCTAATGGTCGTTTCAGTACGGTGTGTGCCAAAAGAGATGGTTGTGGTGAAGTAACTGAATCTATTATTCCTCACGGTCAATCTCGGTTACCAGAAGAAATACTTTCAAAGCCCTAGGAACCTAAACGTTAAAACACAAGCGATTGATCATCTTACTGGTAGACTCGGAATCTTTGCCCGCTTTGATTATTTTCAAAGAGATATCTTAATGACATTCACACAATTTTCTATTTTTTCATATCCTTAATTTCATTTCATAATTTCACAAATACATACAAATGGTTTTCTTATTTTTTACCAGTCTTCACGTTCGTAAAGAGTCTCGAAATCGTCCATATCACGACGGCCAAGCTTGTTCGACATCCATTGCCAGACAGAGCGTTGTTCCATTGCTGCTTCTTTACTTGCTTTGTGAACTGAACGTTTTGCTGCTTTTAGTGCTCTACGTGCTTTCTTTGCTTCATTGCAATCACTGCTGATCAAAGGAGGTTGATCACCTTGTTCGGTTGAAGTTGGGGTATTTGTTGTTGTGGCTGCAGCACTTTGAACGTTTGCTGAAGTTGGGGTTGGAGAAGCAGCAGCAGCTGAAGTTGATGTTGCAACTGCACGGTTTCCTTCTAAATTTGAAACTGCGGAAAACATTGCTTCAGGCACCATGATTGTCATTGGCAACCATCCATCTTCATCATCGTCGGTTGAACCGGTTGCATTAACAGCAACGGAACGTTGTGGTGGTGGAAGTGCGGTTGTACTTGCACTTTGTGAAACACTTGAAGATGCAGAAGGAATCAAGTTAGCAGCCGAAACTGAAGAGGATGCTGAACTTGCAGAAGATTGAGTTTGAGTAGGTGCTGCAGCGTTGGATGTTGGTGAAGCGATTGTGGCGGTTGATTGTCCCATATCTGTTGCACCTAAAGTGAAAGCGGTCGATTGAGCGCTTGCACTGCTTGATGTGACTGCTGCATCTTGAACGGCAGATGAAGAACTTGCAACTTGTTGAGCAGCCGAAGATGAGCTTGCAGGGGCAGCAGAGGAAGATGAAGCATCAGCAGCTCCCACGGTTGGGAAAGCATCAGAAGCACTTGTACTTGCACTTGCGCTCGTTGCAGCTGCCACATTGGCAGAAGAAGCAGAGCTTACAGATGCAGTTTCAGTGGATGCGACTGAAGCAGCAGATGAGCTACTTGCTGCTGCTGGTGCACTTGTACTTTGTGCGACGACATTAGCATCTGCACTTGCGGCAGTGGTAGTAGCAGCAGGTGCAGAAGCAGCAGAAGAACTACTTGCTGCAACATCCGCGACTGCACTTGAGCCAGTAGCTTGAGCAGCATCACTGGTAGCCGCAGGACTTGAAGTAGGGGCAGCAGAAGATGCAGCACTGTCTGTTGCTGCTGCTGAATTTTGAGCGGGGGAGACAGTAGCAGCGGTGTTGGTAGCGGCAGCAGAAGCAGCGGTGTTTGTAGCAGCAGGATCAGCTGGAGAAGCAGCGGTACTTGTGGCAGCTACATCAGCAGCAGTGCTTGTGGCAGCAGGATCAGCTGAAGTAGCTGCGGTACTTGTGGCAGCTACATCAGCAGCAGTGCTTGTGGCAGCAGGATCAGCTGAAGTAGCAGCAGTGTTGGTAGCAGCAGGATCAGCAGAAGAAGCTGCAGTATTTGTTGCGGCAGGTTGAGTTGCAGCAGGAGCAGAGGAAGCAGCAGTGTCTGTTGCTTGTGCACTTGAAGCAGCTGTATCTTGACGACGCCAAACAGCATCGCGACGACGGAAAGCAGGAGCTTTTGCATTTGTATCCGTCACATAATCAGACGAGGCTGGTGTTTGTTGAGCTGAAGCAGGAGCAAACTCTGCAATTTGTTGAGCAACACCTTCAGCTTGAGCCCATTGTTCACCCATACCTTGACCTGCAGCAGCGGAAGCAGTAGAAGCAGCGGCTGTTGTTGAAAGAGGAGAAGCGTCTAATTGTTGAACATCAGCAGAAGCACTTGCAGAAGCGGAAGGATCAAATTCTGCAATTTGTTCAGCAACACCTTCAGCTTGAGCCCATTGTTGACCCATACCTTGACTTGCAACAGCAGCAACAGAAGCTGTTGTTGTTGGAAGAGGAGAAGCGTCTAATTGTTGAACAATGGCGGAAGGAGTAGCAGCTGATGTAACGGAAGCACTTGCTTTTTCGGATGCAACGGCGGAAGAGTACCATCCTTGATCACCTGATGGAACACCTGCATTGTAAGCTGCCATTGCATCTTGTAAACCTGCAGGAGCAGCATTGACATTTTGTGTAGCTGAAGCCAAAAGAACGGCAACAACTACGGCCGAACTTAAAGTTGCAAAAGACTTCTTGGAACGTAAAGATGAACGAGAAACCATGATTGAAGAGTATTTGTGTTGAAAGAAAAGATTAAAATGAAAGATCGTTAAAAAAGAAAGTTGAGTATAAAAAAGTGATTCAAAGATCGATGCGTAAAATAGTTAAAATTGAAAGAGCTACCAGAGCTTTTCCTTGATGATTGACGATTTAAAACGCAAAAGAGCGATTTTGAATAAGACGAAGAAGAAAATAAGAAAGCCGAAACGAGAAAGTGGGAAAAGTGGTCACCAGTCTAGGTGAGGAAAAGGAACAAGAAAGATTGAGTAATATCTGGACCTTTTATACATTTTTAATGTACGGCAACTTTTCCACTCTCTTCACGGAGAGATTCTACCTCCATCTGCATAATTTTCAGGCACACAAGGTAGAAAGGAGAAAGCCGCAAGGTGAGTTCTACGATGCATACAATGATTGACCTTCCAAAAGAGAAATAATGGTCATTGTGCTGAAGTGAGAGGCAGTGATCCAGACTCAGCAATTCTAGAATTAATTCGCCTTTATAAAATTACTTGATTTGGAAGTCAGTGTTCTTTGTTTGCCATATTGCCGGATAATTGTATTATGCCACGATTGTGTCTCGATAGAATGGTCAAACCAACAACAATCTTACCCGATTGATCGTAGAAGTTGGAAGTAGAATCCATCATTTTACCTTTTATTTGTATGCAGCTGAATTAACACAACGGATAGGTTGATAAAATAAAAAACAAACACACACTCAACACACGCGCAGCGCAGTGTACATTATAATAATACAACACGCGTTGCAACAAACACCAACGCAACACTCTCGAATATATGCACAGCTTTCACAATCCTTTCCGGCAAATAGATGATTGTTCATCCTTTACTTGCCGGTCTAGCCGTCTTGGCCATCAATTCAAAAAACAGTGAATGCGATCGAAGTCATTCATATACCAAGATTCTCGGCTCTCTACAATAGGGTCGATTCTTTTTCGTGCGTATAGAGTTCGATTTGATTGTTCCTGGATACGTCAAAAAGTGCGTCATGGCAATTGATCTGGACAACAGAGCAGTAATGAGCCCTGGGTAAATAGCTTTTTCTTAAAATAAATCCTTTAAATAGAAATCCATGACTCAGCTTGTCATTGTCATCAATGATGAGTATCAACATGATTTCCGAAAGTCACGTGCGCAAAACCCAAAGTTCAATCGGCCACAACATCGGGAACGTTTTGCATGGGGCGGCATCTATATGCCGTGGCTATGCTGTGGAATTGCGCCGTTTGTAAGAGAATGTGTAAAAGGTGAAATTGGAGAACACACACTGGGTTTGTGCTCATATATTCAAACCGTAGGAATGTAATTTATTCCTTCTTCCGTGGGTGTATGCTTTCCCGCAATTATTCATGAAAAAGTGCATTTAAGCCCTCTTACCGCCCCGACCCTAGGTTGTGCATAAATAGACCCGCTATTCCGACGTTTTGGGATTCCAAATTGCATGACTGGTCTTTTGGCCGAGTTGGTGGTAGCCCGTTGCATGATAAGCTAATAGAAGTGCACAATTGCATTTAAATACAAACTGTAGAATATCACTTTGTTAGTGTATCCTGTCATCTTTGCATAACCTATACTGATCTTGGGGCTGTTCTCCAGACTTTGTAACTTTAAAAGTGCATGTTGCATATAGGATCTTGCGTGTAATTACAGTATTGCACTCAAACACTTGCACCCCTTCAAATGTATGCACAAACGCAGGCACAAAAGAAAGTACATACACTGCTGCTACACTCAATCTCTCACACGAAAAACATATGATTTCCCTCTAACATACTTTACGATTCCATGGAAACCCCTTTTGCCGATTGCCAAGACAAGCTGGCCACTGTATGTATGTAAATACATGTGCCTAATCAAAAAGCCATTTTATTGTTTGTGTGAATGTGTGTTATACTTTGCTTTCCTTCTTTCAACATCAACAAACAAGAGTCAAGGTCAACTACATATAACTTCTCACGGAACAAGTTAGCATTCCGACAAACGAAGTCAAACATCCCGTGAAGGGAGGCAGAACTTGCTTAATTTGATTCCCTCATCACCCCATCTCAATCTCAATCATGAGCGGCCAACAACCTAGATATCATATGGTTCCCGGAGCAGAAGCAGGTAGTCAAAGGGCAGGCTTGCCAGCTCAACAACGTGTCACATCTCCTTTATCATCAAGCAGTCACAATCATAGCAGTGAATCAGCTCGTAATCGTGCTAGACAATCCACCGAAGATGGCGGTCAAGATTTAGGACCTTATGCCCACATTCGTAAAGGTAGCGCAAAAGGAATGAGCAACTTTACACATCAATATAGATCCACTCCTCCAAACGTTCCTGCCGTTGTTGCTGCCGCTCCGGTCGGATATGGTCAACGTGGCTATAATGGCAATAATGGATCTCCAGGACCACAATTGACAAGCACAGACGCATCAATATCCGATCGAAGTGCTTCAACAAAGTTCAACAGTAACGGAAGTCAATCAGATCGAAAGATGTTGTTCGATCAAACACCAACGGTTGGTTATTTGTCTGCCAAAGATGATCCTGAGCCTGATGACTATCTGCATAACGATGACGGAAGGAAACGCGATAAAAAATTCATTTGCTTTTCAGGCCGTGGTATTTTAAATGTATTGGTATTGGTGATTCTTATTACCGGATTACTCACCTTGTTCGCCGGATATCCAATCATTTCTCATTTTACCGGTAAAAAAGAATCTACCCTTGGTGCATACAATCTCGGTGGCACAAACGGAACCGGTCAAGTCCCAATCATCGTTTCGCAGATCCATCTGAAAGATCCAGATACCCCACAAAGTGCGCAAACATGGACAAGCCCTGTGACAAACAATCCGTACCATCTCGTCTTCTCTGACGAATTCAATACACCAGGTCGTACTTTCTGGCCAAACGATGATCCTTTCTGGGAAGCGCAAAATATTTGGTACGGTGCAACAGGTGATTATGAATGGTACACGCCTGAACAAATTAATACGACAAACGGTCACTTGCTCATCACTTTGACGGATGAACCTATTCATAATTTGAATTTCCGTTCTGGAATGTTGCAATCTTGGAACAAATTTTGCTTCCAAGGAGGTTATATTGAATTCTCTGCCATTCTTCCCGGAAGTCAAACTCAAGTCGGTTGGTGGCCAGGTCTTTGGTTGATGGGCAACCTCGCCAGACCGGGTTATTTGGGCACAACAGATGGAATGTGGCCTTACTCTTACGATTCTTGCGATTCAGGTATTTTGAAAAATCAAACTTCTCCAACTAGCAAAGGTTACAATCAGGTATCAGGGTACGACAAGAACAACAAAATCGGCTTGAATTGGCTTAGTGGTCAACGTACACCAGCATGTACATGTGAGGGATATGATCATCCAGGACCGAACAACAATGTAGGCAGAAGTGCACCCGAATTAGATATCTTGGAAGCACAAATCAAAAATCAAGATCAAGGTGAAGCATCTCAATCTCTTCAAGTTGCACCATTTGATATGCAATATGATTGGGATGAGAGTCTAGCTACAATTTACAACAACTCTCAAACCACATTCAACACATACAATGGTGGTGTTTACCAAGAAGCAGGTTCAGCTCTATCTAATATTCCAGCAAAAGCATATACTTTAACAGGCAATACGTTTACAAAATTCGGTGTTGATTACACACCTGATTGGGATGGAAACGGAAAAGGTTCGGTTACGTGGTATGTTGATGGACAGGCAACCTGGACGGTTACAGGTGCTTCTTTCCCTGCACGTCCAGATATCGATATCAGTCAACGATTGATTCCTGTCGAACCAATGACGATCATTATGAACTTGGGTATCTCTCGTGGTTTCCAAGCCGATTTAGATTTCACAACGCTTACTTATCCTGCCACAATGAAGATCGATTACGTTCGTGTTTATCAACCTAATTCGTATTCTAAAGATTTGGTCTCTTGCGATCCACCAGATCATCCAACGAGCCAATATATCAGCGATAATATGGAAGTTTATACGAACCCCAACTATACAACATGGCCAAAGACTGTTCCAAAGAACAAGCTGACGGGCTGTTAGGTATGGATTCCCGCTTGATCAGTCTTCATTATAAGTGTACTTCTATCTGTAAATCACTTGTGGCAACCTTGCTATTCGTTGCTCACCTCTTGCTTTCCTTTTCGCTTTCAATCTTACTTTCTTCCGTGTCACCTGCTTGACATCGATGGACTCTTCTGTTCAGATGCTTCTTTCTTCTATTTGTATCACAACACTTTTTCTTTTCTCACGCCCCTTATGAGGATCGTACATAAATGGATTATATTGATCTCGAAAGATGTCTAAACATCGTCATGAATCGGAATGATGTACAATGGTATGTGAAATTGGAGCATTTTTCTTTTGAGAGAATTAGAGAAGAGTTTCGAGAACGGCCAAAATCTTGGAAGCAACTTCGTTTGTAGAAGCTTCACCGCCCAAATCTTTTGTACGGATGCCGAAACCACCCATATCTTCAGTATCCAACACTTTACGAACGGCATCTTCGATTGCTTGAGCTTCACGAGGCAAGCCCAAAGACCAACGCAACATCAAAGCGGCCGAGAGAATTGTTCCGATTGGGTTTGCAATTCCTTGTCCAGCAATATCAGGGGCAGAACCATGAATGGGTTCGTACAAACCGAAACATTTCGATTTTCCATCTGGCAAACCGGCCAAAGAAGCAGAAGGCAACAAGCCCAAAGAACCTGGAATAACGGAAGATTCATCGGACAAGATATCACCAAACATATTTTCTGTCAAGATGACACCGTTCAATTTACGTGGATTAGAAACCATTACCATTGCTGCTGAATCGACGAGCATGTGATCAACTTCAATACCGTCCTTCTTGAATTCTTTGTCAACCGTTTCAGTCACAACACGACGCCATAAACGACTGGTTGCCAAAACGTTTGCTTTGTCGATAGAGTGCAACTTCTTTGGTGGGTCGCTTTGCATGGCCAAATAAGCTGCCAAACGGGTGATGCGTTCAACGTCTGATTTGTTGTAGACCAATGTATCGAATGACTCTCCTGTACTGTTAGGGGTGTCCAAATCAGCTTCTTGACGTTTTCCATAATACAAGCCTTTGACCAATTCACGAACGACGATGATGTCAGTTCCCGTTGCAATTTCTGGCTTGAGAGGAGAATGAGCGACCAAAGATTGAGAAGGGAACAAAGCAGGACGAACGTTTGCATATAAATCAAAATGAACACGTAAGTCCAATAAACCTTGTTCAGGACGAATTTTTGCGACTCCCCATTTTGGTCCACCAACTGCACCCAAAAGCATTGCATCTGCTTCTTCACATGCTTTCAAAGTTTGTTCAGGAAGTGGTTTACCATGAACGTCAATTGCTGAACCACCGAATAATTCTGGTTGAAGTTTGAATTCGAAATCTTTTGATTTTTGAGAGATTAACATTAACACCCTAACAGCTTCATTTGTGATTTCTGGTCCGATACCATCACCGGCCAAGACGACGATTTTGTATTCTTTTTTGCCAACCATGTTGTGAGGGTAGAATGAGGGCTAGGTGATGAAGTTGAAAGAGAGAAAGCAACGCACACCCTTCTTTTTATATTTCTTCTCGTTGAAATGAGCTAGTGCGGGCCGAAAGAAAGTCTGACTCGCGTACAGTCTAAATGCACGGCTTACTTCAATCCGATTTCAATTCGGCGCTTTTCGCAAATGCACACTCAACAAGCGCGCCGCCCATTTCATACTTCTTGACCTCACGGGCTCCTCTATCCGCTTCTTGGAACGTCAAGTTGGATTATTGTACCATTGTGGTGCCGTATATTCTTGAGGCTCCGAACTGAGTTTGATGTCATTGTCAAAAAGGAATTCTTTGGTGCTATAGACTCAGACTGTATCAACGGGTGGTGTCCACGGCTCCTATGTCTGAAGGCGTTTAGCACAGCCGCCTCTTTACTGACAAGGCAAATGTGCTTGAAAGGGAACCACCAATACATGCGGTGCAGCCAAAGCGCACTCAGCGCACGCACTGCACTATGTACTTAACACCTGGGCGCAGCTTGTCAAGTTCTCAGCCTAAAAGGTCATCGATGATGCATGTGTGTTAAATTTCAAGAAAAAAGGGAACATTGGGGACTTGGCAAAGCTCCACACCCCTTTTTCTTTCTCTAGTCTTCTCACCATCATTATTCCATTTTCAAACCAATCAAAAAGATGGCAGACGTTCAACAACCAGAAGGCGATGCGCCACCTGCTTATGGACTTCCAAACATTTCCAGAGATGGCGAAAAAGTGGCAGATATGGAATATTACGATCTTCTTGGCGTTTCTGCAAATTCGACAGAATTAGAACTTAAAAAAGCATATCGTAGAGCAGCAATCAAAAGTCATCCAGATAAAGGTGGAGATGAAGAAACATTTAAGATGATTGGGGAAGCTTATCGTGTTTTAAGTGATAATCATTTACGCGCTGATTATGACAAACATGGAAAGAAGAAGCCAACAGACGAAGTTGGTTTGAAAGAAGCAACGGAAATGTTTGGTAACTTGTTTGGCGGTGAACGATTCATTGATTTAATCGGAGAAATCTCACTCTTGCGTGATTTCGGAAAAGCATCTGAAATCATGATGACAGAAGAAGAACGGGAAGAGATTGAAAAGAATATGCGGGAAGAACAAAAGAAGAACAACCCCGAAGCTGCAGCTCCAGCTGAAAAAGCAACAGCATCTGCAGGAGAGCCTACTACCACATCAACGACTTCAACAAGTGGTGCACCTGCGGGTGCTGAAAAAGGAAAAGCAGGCGCAACCGTTGGAACAGATGCAACAACGGCTACTGGAACAAATGCAACACCTGCAGCCGATTCATCCGAAGAAGCAGCTGTTGCCGCTGGTAAAAAACCTGCCAAGCCAAAGCTCACGCCTGAACAACGACAAAAGCTTGAAGCTTTAGAAAAGGAAAAGCGAGAAGCAGAAGAAAAACGAATCATTGATCTTACACAAAAGCTCAAAGATCGTATCAGACCATTCGTTGAAGCACGTAATCCGGGCGATAAGGATGATTCTGAAACGCAAATTTGGAGCAAAAAGATGCATCACGAAGCGGAAGATTTGAAATTGGAATCGTTTGGAATTGAACTTTTACATACGATCGGAAATATTTACCTTACAAAATCTGCAACTTGGGTCAAATCACAAAGACAGAATTTCTTAGGCGTACCTGGATTCTTTAGCCGATTAAAGGAAAAAGGAAGTATGGTCAAAGAAACTTGGGGTTTGATGGGTAGTGCAATGAGCGTTTTGGTCAGTATGGAAGATATTGCCAGACGACAAGAAAAGGGAGATGTGGACGAAGAAGAAATGCGTAAATTGGAACAAGATATGAGCAGCAAGATGCTACTCGCGACATGGAGAGGTGCACGTTCAGAAGTAAATGGTGTTCTGCGAAAAGTGTGCGATAATGTCTTGCACGAGAAGGGTGTAGACAACAAGACCCTACTCTATCGTGCTCGTGCACTTGCTTTCCTTGGCGCAATCTACAAGAATGTTCAACCTGAGGAAGGCGATGAAGAACGAAGAGAATTGGAAAGGTTGGTGGCTGAAGCAGCAGGAAAGAATAAGAAAAAGAAGGAAAAGAGAAGCAGGTTGGGCACACCGGCAGCAACCGCCTCTCCTGCTGAAACCGGTACACCTGTACCTGAAAGCGCAGCCAAAGCATGAGAAAATCCTCTAAATTAAACAACAACATACCCAGCAACGATCTCATCGCTTCGAATAACATAATTTGTACCTTTTCTATCTAAACTTTTCTCAGGACTGAAATCTTACCGCATCCAATAGATTACATTAATGATTAATTTACAGTGTGAAATGTGACGTCTCTTGAACCGCCTAGATTGTAACCTTTGTCCCACCGCATAATGCGCATCGAAAGCATGCTTCCAAGGCTTTCTTTTGCAAATCACTTGTTGCATCGTCAGGCAAGATAGTTTGATGACAACAAACGATACATGCTGAAGCTCGTATATTGCAGAGAAGACCAAACGATGTTGAGCATCGATTCCATTTATGACCATCTCTGCAACTCGCTTCAAAAGGTGAACGTAGACCAACGAGAACAGGTGTATCGCAAATCGGACAACGTTCTCCTGCATCGATTCCCGTTTGAGGACTTGCATCGAGCTTCTTTCCCCATTCACGTATAAATTTTCGACCCATACTGGCTCCTTTCAAGCCTGTCAAAAGGTATTCAATCGTTTCTTGGTCCTCTTTCGTCCCGTGCGATAGACTGAACGCCATCGCGGCAATACGCATACAGTGCATCTCGGAAAAATCATCAAAGCCTTCTCTATTAGGAGCATCCAAAAGGCTAATGATGTAATTCATTCGATCTCGTGCTACTTCTTGTGCCAATCGAAACTCATAATGTCTAAGAAGCTTGTCTACTTGTGCGAATACGGCTTTCTCCATGTCCAGACCGTTAAAACTCTTCAGCCAATAAATCAATTGAAGACCACTTGCAAGTCGGAAAGGTTCTTCTCCTCCACACTTCCCAATGGCAACGCCACAATATATGAATATTGGAGCTTTATCAATCGCTCTTTCCGTAAGGAAAGAAAGAAATCGTTTTAACTTTGACCTCCTAGCTATACTTTGTAATGACATTTCGGCCGCATTACCATGTTCTTCCAATTGAACAAATTCATCTATGATCGCCTGAGCTTTCGAAAGCGGTCCTACAGCTTCATTTTGATTTATCCCTGTAACTTGTGCTTCGGAAAAAGCTACTTCCAAGGTAGAAGTTGGATGTTGTATAAATGACCATGCATTGAGATCATTGTTATCGAAATTCATGAATGCCATTCCACAGTCGTCTGATTGGAACGCATACATTCCTCTTTTCTTCTCAACATCTCGCTGAAGCTCTTGGAGTTCCGGATTGGGTGCTTCTATTTCTCCAGTAGGTAGAATAGCTTGCTTTTTTCGGGTAAATCTTTCTTTACATCGATATATTGTGCCGTCCTTCAAGGTGATTGTCATTTCATGCTGGGTGCCTTCGTCGAGCTGCAAGCCTATGACCGGGTTCAAACTTGGAACTTGTTCACCATTGTTATCTAGCGTCGTGAAGATCACTCTTGCATACGATGGAAAGGCTCCTCCTTTGTCAAAGAAGTGGAAGTCTACTTCGAACAATTGTCCTGCTGCACAAAGGTACAAGCAAAGAGTACGCGCAGACCATTGGGCATGGTAGATGTACATGTTTGCAAATATAGACGAATATGATCCTTCTTCCCTTTCGTTTTGCCATAATGATTTGTGAAGTTGAGAGCTATTCGAATCAAAGCGAGATACGACGAGTCCTTTAGGCACCACTGCAGCAATCAGGTGATGCGAGTTCTGTTCAGTAGGTTGAAGCTGTTCAAGGTGGATCGATTGTAAGATGTATGTCTCCTTGAAATCATATCCATCAAGAATGCCATCATGTACCACTGTAATTTCCAGATCACCTCCAACCCATTCCCTCGGCCTTATCCGCCAAATCATTACCCTATTCTCATCTTGACATGTTGCCATCAGATAAACAGTCTCTTCTTGTATGTTAATTGATGTAGGTTCAAGGAAGGTGAACGAGCTGACTGCAACATTTGAGCCATTTGCAGAATCGGACAAGCTTGCCAAACATTGCCAAGGTCCAGTGAATTGATTATCTGGAGCGGACCAAAGATGCAAATCTCTTCGTGTTGTCAAAGTTGCAAAGAATGGACTTGCATTAGGACCAATTTCCAGAGGTGCCCATTGAGCATGCATGAAACGTTTTTCGTACGACATCAAATCTATCTTGCCATCTTTGCCTACCCTTCCATTAATGCCCACAGTGGGAACGTCTCCAATAAAGATAGATGAATGAAATATCTCCGTACGCTTTCCTGCATCTCTATGATGAACGAAATGATCGTCACTATTCAAGAAAGGTGCAAGTCCTCCATGTCGTATATGCACAATATCCACTGCTTCATCACATCTAGTCAAAACTGCACCAGAAGGAGAAATGTCGATATTATTTGGCTTGGAAGGGCATGATGATAGTTGCGTTGATCCGATTCTCCAAGGTGAGAATTTAGCTGGAAATCCTTCATCAGTCATTGTGTTTTTGCTTACACCAAAGGCATGATCGGAGATAGTGTTGTGAAGAAAAGGAAAATCAACACCAACAATTTAAGGTTAGCGTATTTGGCTGAACACTTTCTTCCCCGCGTTTGTTCATGCATCAAAGCTTTCATTCTGCTTTCTTCGTTCATTCTCATTCACAAACACTCTAGCTCACACATAGCCATCATCTGAATCAATTGAATTACAAGAGTATAATCTGAAAGCTCTTTTGGACAAAGTGTTGGTATTATAGTCTCACCAAATCATCCCATATGGGCAGGTGTGTGTATGTGCAAAGAAGAAACGCAGAGCGACAAAAGCGAAAGAGAGAGGGCCATCGAAATGAGAGTGATTTGGATGTATGATGAAAGAAGAGACAAAAATTAGATGGAAAGAATATAGAGAGAATGAAAATTAATAATGCCAAATAGAAATACGAAATGAAAAGGAAAAAGTGTTCTGCATAGCAATAGAAAAGGCAAATGCATGAATAGCAAGCAAGAGAGAATGTCACATCAATCCCACCTTTAGCGACGTTCAGCCATTTCAGGCGAACGTTCTTCTTCCGAGATGGAACTTTCGATGGTATCCTTGATTCCAGTATAAACAACTCTGTGAGCGTCCATTCCCATGATAAAGTCCAAATGTTCATATCCTTCCAATTCGACTGCATGAACAATATCAACATTCTTTTCATGCCTTTCCATGCGTTGTGCCAATGGTTTACCCAATACCAACATGTCCAAGTTTCCATAATAGATCGAATGACGAGGGAATGTACGTGGGAACCATGGTTCTTGTACACGTGGGTCAAAGATGCATCCACGATGCGAGAAACCACTCATGTAGTAGTATAACAATTCGGAAGAAGTGGGAACGGGCAATGTGCGGAAGATCTTTGGCTTTTGACGCATTACCCAATTGTGATCGTGGAAACCAAACAAGTAAGAGAAGATAACGTAACCAAGATGTCCGAAAATGTATGCAGGTAGATACTGTTGGAACAGACCGATAGCTGGGATGAATTCCTTGACACCGAAGATCGTTGACCACCATTTACGGGAACGGAATTGACGCAGCAAGCTGAAGGGGAATTTACGCAGAACGGGACCAGAGTAGACAGCGGGACCAACAGATGTGAAAGAAGAGATCTTTCTGCCAAGCTCAGGGCAGATACCTGGCGAAAGGGCGATGTACATTGATCCACTTCCTTGCGAGTGACCGACGTATGCCACGCGTGGACGTCCAGTTGCACCTGTGATAAATTCGATAACGTCACGCAAATCGAATGCCAACTCTTTGAGACCGAAAGCCCAGAATCTTGGATCGTTACGGGTATATTCAGTGTGTCCTGCACCAAAGTTGGCACGAATGTTGGTCACCCAAACGTCGTAACCTTGATCGACCATCCAGAATGCCATACTTCTTTCTTCGCAAACGAAAAAGTGGGATGAGTTACACAAGATACCGTGTTGCAAAACGACAGGGTATCCGGCTGCAGTACCACGACGAGGATCAGAGACACGATGTGCCTTCAAAATCCAACCTCCTTCGGTGATGATTTCGTGTTCATCACATCGGTAACCCCAGTAGTTTGCGTAGTATTGTGGCTTTCCACTGAAACGTTCACCAGTCATTCTGCGCTCGTATTCACGGTCACCACGAGCACGTGGAGGAGCTTTCTTCATCGGGTTCAAGTAAGCTGCAAATGCTGCCACAAGAACGACACCCAAACCACCGAGGGTCAAAAAGAAAGAAGCGGATTGACGGATGAACAATCTTGTTTTGTTGAATAGGTTCATTTCACCGTAATTTTGCACAACATGGTCAAAGAATACCATCTCAAGCGGTGGCTCATCTTCGTAATCTCCAAAAGTGGGATCAAAGAACTCTTGTGCATCTGGTGTACGTGCTGTATCACCTGTTGTATGAATATGTTCAACGTCGAAGTGATGACCACGTCCGGTAGTGGTATTTTGTTGTCTGTATTGCTCTTGTTCGTCGTGAGCATTGCCTGCTTGAACGTCAGAAGTGACATCTGGCTCCTGACTGCGTTGTCCTTGTTGATCGTTGAATGGATCTTGATGATTTTCCTCTTCCGGGCTATTACGCTGACCGCGCATACGGCGACTATAATCGATAAAGGCCGACATGGTTATCTAGTGATTGACGATCGGAACAAAGGGTGAGGATGGTAGAATGTTGATGTGGAAGGGAATTGGCTTTGTGATTCCAGATCAAATCACTTTATCCAGCTTCGATTCGGCTTTGGTGGGATGCTAGGTCTAGATCGAAATGGATGCCAGTCTTGTTTGGTCGAAAAGACTGTTGCACCTGTCGGGGGATGTTGAGGTCGGATGTAGGGGGAAAGGAAAGAGGATGGAGATGAGAAGAAGGAAAGATGATGATGTCAATCAACTATCAATTGTCCCGCTGCGCGCATAGAGGAACGAGGAGAGGGTTGAATGACCGCTGCCGCTTTTTTTTTCAAAGCTTGAAGAGGTCAACTTTTCGCCTAATGAAATTTCGCGGGGATGGCGCAGAACGAGTGTGAATTAGATCTTTACCCGCTTTAACTTAACGCATACAAAAAAGTTGGAACACTGTGTAATAAAAGTGGTGTCAGATGTGCTGCACTGCACACAAGCGCACAATTATAAAAATCCGCATAAAGCACTTTCCGCCTACCGCTTATAAGAAGCAAGACTGGTATTGTAATGTATTTTGATTCATTAGCTTCAAAGAGTTGTACAGTATAGTGCGTTGATGCCTTGACATTCAATACAAACAAATATGAAAAGAATCTTGAATGTACGCAAACAGACAATGTGTGCGGGTACAATGCTTGAAATGCGCGAGTATCGTGTGGGGCTATAAAATGGGAGAGACACAATATTCATTCATTTAAACCAGGGGAGTAAATCTCTGCCTGCCGAGTCAAAAGTGGGTTTGATCGGTTGCATAGCTCTTAAGCAGAAGGGATGCCGTCTATTCATATCCCTTGTACCTTGCTAAAGTCTCCGAACTGATCTTCTGGCGTAAGATGCGTCTTGTGCTCTTTTGATCCAACCAGAGATCGGTGTGACTTGTAGGCATATATGAATACAAGAGAAAAGTGAATATGATCTGCTGCCAAACAGGATCACCTTACAAGCTTCTCACGTGCAATGTCACGTCAATTCAATACTTCTGTTCCTAATCTGGAAGATCGACTATCCTTAGATGGTCATGTAGAGGAACATAGGTAGAATCTTTCACTACTTCAAGAGCAGAAGTAAGTATGGGACAACACTCTTTCCGACGTCAGTATTGTTCTACCCCGTCTGCTTTCTCTGTACCGCCTCCCCAAGCTGTACTAGCAGTTTCTTCATTTATTTGCAAATTATATACGTACATCATCCTCTATGGACATCGTATCAAGATTGAGACAAATGTTAGTCAATCTTGATTCCATCAAGCGAGAACGATTGTATGCATGAGATGTTATATATGTAGGTTTATAGTATGACAACGGATAAAAAGGTTGAACGAAATTTTGAAAGCATTGAATGTCATGAGACATTGTCAAGAGGATTCAAGCTATCAATATAGCTCACAAAACATCTTCTATCTCCACCTTAAGCTAATGATTTTTGTTCGTATCCTTTTCCTTTGTATCCTTCTGAAGAAATACCGGAGATTGGGTTCAATTTCTCTTCTCTTGCCTTTTCGGTCATTGCATCTTGGTATTCCTTGGTCATTGTCTTTGGTGGTGGAGCAGCGAAGTGTCTGATTCCGAAGAAGACTGCAACAGTAGCACCAACGATGGCGGAAACACCGACCATTGTACGCATTGCTTGTCCGGGTTGGGTGATTGCTTTACGGGGACCATGAGGACCGAAAGAGATAAAGTATGCTGAAGGTTAGAAAAAGATGGATGTGTTAGCTTTCAGTTGCAAGTAGAGCTTTATTGTCGGATAACAAGAGCAGATATATCTCCACAAATGCGCTCATTCGGACGATGCGGATGCTCTTATGTTGCTTCCACTACTTCCAATACCTTCATTCCATCAAACACCATTGCAAGATAAACCACCAAACCTGCCCCTGTTTTTACCCTCCCCTCCTGTATCCCCTGAAATCAAGCATATCGATACATACCTGCTTTCTTTTGGTCTACCGATAGTTCTTTCCAATCCTTACGTTGCAATTCTTCCAAATGACGAAAGATGCCGTATTGTTCCTCTTTTGATAATTGTGCCCATCTTGCTTCCAAACTTGGAATGGAAGAAGTTAAATCAGATCCACCTTTTCCACTTTCATCAGGAATTAAATTTTGTTCGTTTGCCTGTTTGATTGTGTTTAAATCCCATCTTTCTTCTTTGGTAACCAAAGTACGACGAGCACCAATTCCAGCTGATAAACGACCAACAGAAGACGAAGAAGATCGAGCAACAGTGCGGCTCACACTGGTACGAATTGGCGCCAACATGATTCTTCTTTTTTTTTGTGTTTTGTGGAAGTGAAAGAAAAGTGATCGATGATGAACAGAAAGGTAAAAAACGCACACACACGAAGAAACAGCTCAAGCTTTCCGTCTGGCAATCCCTCCAACCAGAATCCAATCAAACGAAAGCAAAGCAGCCTCCCTTTTCTGCATACAAGCCAGCCAGCCAGCCTGAGCGCGCGCGTAAGAGGGCGAGAAGTTCTTGAAAAAAATAAATCAAGCCCTGGGCGCGAACTTAATAACTCAACAACGCCTTACAAGAAGACGGACGGTTGAGCGAATTTTGCTCGGATTTGGCCCTAAAAGCAGCTAATCACAAGCTAAAGCCCTCACTCACTGTACGTACAGTGGAGTTATTTTCAAGAACCGTACGCGTGTTTGATTTTATTAAAGGCTGGCAAGCCTTACGCCCTCTTCCTCCTTTCCTTCCGAGATTGCCCTTTAGCCCTGTGCATGTGTGTAGAAATAATGCCTCAGCTCTTATAGGCCCGGTTTGGCTGTCAACTTCCCGTGCGGGCCAGGGAGATCTTAGCACGTGCCGGCATACTCCACCTTCTCAGGTCTGTGCGTTTGTTCTCATCTTTCATTCTTTTGAAAACCTGATGTAGCATTGATGCACATTCTTCGATCGACCGAGTAAGAATAAGATCGTGGAGATATCATGTGTGAAATGCCGATCTGAGCTCCATTGATTAGGTAGGGAAGCGGTTCGAACAGTGGGAAAGAGAATGAATCACAAACTTATACTTCTCCTGTGTGCTGTACCCTCATTGAATATTTATCGAAATGAAACCAAACATTGATCCATTTCTAGAAGCAGATTTAAATTCACCGTGATTATATTTGCCTTTTGTCGTATGGTGTTCGGCAACTTGATCCCAACGCAAGTTGGCGTAAGAACGGCAATTCAGTCCACACACACTAATAAATACAGCGCGATCTGTAGAAGGCGTAGAAGCCAAATAGCAAGACTGGTTTTATGCGAAAAGGAGAATTAAGTTAAGTTGCTTGCGTGCATTTCTTGTATTTACGCAAAATATGACTATGTGCCTGACGACGTATGCATTTTATTATTATTTTAGTGTGTGTTGCTGGTAAGCTGCTGCTGCTGCACTTGGCAATGGGACAATAAAAGCGGTGTGCTGTGTATGTAGTCACTCAACTCGATACTCGGACGTAAGGAATAGCAAGCAAAGTACATTGATCACCACCATTATTGTGTCAAGGTTGACAGGGAGATCATTCAAGCTTGTCTCTGAAACTCTTGTAGCGATCGCCTGATTCGATTACAAGACATCATACAAATCATATCGCACCTCTTCGTGCAACTTGCCACAACGATCAAAGTGACAGCGGATCATCAATACCCCGCGATCAGAATTAACCATTACGCCTTCACTCGGACGGAACAGACATCAACTTCTTCGACAAAGCCCATCCCTGACTTGCGCCTTGTCCTCCAGCGCTCAACAGAGCTGCGCCAGATTCGAGCTGGTACGCTATCCTCCATTAAAAGTTGCTTTTTAATCGCAAGAATATCTTGACCGATTACCTTGTTCTTATTCGCACAAATTCCAACTCCTGCCAAGAGTAGATACGCCCTTCCTTTCATTAGGGGTACCACGCGGTTCCGTGGAAGTACAGGATAGAGAGACGCAATCCATAGCTTTGCAACATCAAGCCTATGAACGCCCATCCGCAATAAAACGACAAAATTGACTCCTAATCAAACAAGCATATACTCGGTAAAAATGTCAAATGTGCTTAAAGGCTTTTGGCCACAAGGTCCATCCGATCAAGAAACTCCAAGGGCCAGTTCACGCAACGATGATCAAAATCCGTTCGATTCTTTCGCTCCTTCTGTGCCCCGAATGAGTAGTGTAAACGGAGGAGGGGGAGAAGAAAGCAATAGCTCGACCTCATCCCAAAGTAAAGGTCAGCTTGCCACTTCTTTCAGTACCGATCAATCAGGCTTGCGGACTCCAGGAGCGGTTCACAGTCATGCAAGTGTACCTACAACCAGTATCTCAACAACTGCGCCTGACTTTTCCATGACCCTGCCACCGCCAAAAGCAAAGCAGAACACATCTACAGATTCTTCTTCGGCAACGTCATCAACACCCGCTTCGACATCATCAGGTCAAAGTAGTGGAGCAACGAGAAATACATCTGCACCTAGAGGTAGATTGGTGGTCAAATTGATTGAAGGACGTAACTTGCACAAGAGTGTTGCACTGCCATATGCGGTTATCTCTTTTGAACAGAATGAATTCATTGCACGCAATCCAATCGCCGAAAAGTCCAATGGACCTCATAATCCAGTGTGGGAACATGAAGCATTCTTTGATGTGGTTCAGGCAGACAAAGCACTACATATCAGCGTGTATGATCGTGATGCGGAGGAAGAAGGATTCTTGGGAATGCGGCAAATACGTCCACGTTTGATCCATGGAGCATCATCCGATCAATGGTACCCACTCTTGGCACGGGAAGATACAGAAGCAGATACACCCCAAGTAAGAGGTGAAATTCGTGTCAAGGTAAGCTACGAGAAGACGTTGAACAAGAAGCATTTGAATCCTTCCGATTTCGAATTCTTGAAACTGATCGGTAGAGGAACGTTTGGAAGAGTGTTCCAAGTGCGAAAGAAGGATACAAAGCGCATTTATGCAATGAAAGTATTGTCGAAGCGGGAAATCGCAATCAAGAAGGAAGTGTCACACACGATGGGAGAGCGTAAAATTCTGGAAAAGTCACTCGATTGTCCTTTCTTGGTCGGACTGAAATTTTCGTTCCAAAGTGCTCATGAACTGTACTTTGTTACAGATTACAAGTCTGGAGGAGAATTGTTCTGGCATTTGCAACGAGAAGGAAGGTTTACGGAAGAACGTGCACGGTTCTATATCGCAGAATTGGTGCTTGCACTTGAACATTTGCACAAGTATGATATCGTTTATCGGGATCTTAAGCCTGAGAATATCTTACTTGATGCAACCGGACATGTGGCACTCTGTGATTTCGGATTGAGTAAACCTGATTTAGGCGCAGGCCAACTTACGACAACATTCTGTGGAACGACCGAGTACCTGGCACCGGAAGTATTACTGGACGAATCTGGATACTCCAAATTGGTCGACTTTTGGTCATTGGGAGTATTGTTGTTCGAGATGTGTTGTGGTTGGAGTCCTTTCTACGCCGAAGATACACAACAGATGTATAGAAATATCTGTTTCGGTAAGATTAAATTCCCACGTGGAGCGATTGGAGATGATGGCAAACAATTTGTCAAAGGTCTGCTCAACCGTAATCCGAAACACAGATTGGGTGCAGCAAATGATGCAAAAGATCTTAAAGATCATGCGTTCTTCAAAGATATCGATTTTGATGCATTATCGCAAAAGCAACTTACGCCTCCTTTCAAACCATCTGTCGAATCGGATGAATCAGTTGCCAACTTTGACCCGGAGTTCACAGAAACGGATTTGAAACAGATGACATTCATTCCAGGATTTGATGGAGATGTGAATGGTGCAGGAGAAAAGGCAATTGGAGGTGTACAAGGGGGAGATAATGGAAGTGGAAATGGAGCGATGGATATTCAAGGCCGGACAGGCGAACCTGAAGAAGAGGAAGATGAACTTACACGATCGATTCAAGATAAATTTAGAGGATTCAGTTATAGTGGAACGTATGACGGAAGTGTGGCAGGCAGCTTTGGCGGAAGGAGAGGAAGTGGAGGATTCGGTGGATTGGCAGGAGCAAGTTTAGGAATGAGTAGAATGAACGTTGATGATGATGATCAACAAGATCATTTCCCTCATCATTCTTCAAACAGTCGTACTGCCACTGCTGCTCCGCGTGATCCTTATGATGTAGAAATGGATGCCTGATTTCTTTCTTCTAGCGTACCCTGTACTATCATTACTATACTCTCTTTCTCTTGTGTGTCAATATTCTCTCATCTGTGCTTGCTTCATACTATCATATTAGCGTACACCTACAACAATACATCCGTTCTAGAAATTGATGATAGGTACGGGAAATGCTCCTGATGATGAGTTCTATTTTTGTTGAGGAGAAAACTACGTAATGCGGAGAAAGACTTTTGCTTTGGTAAGCAGTGCATCATTGGACCTAGAAGCGGCACATTGTCAGTCTCCGTTAAATCAGGCGATTGATTCTGCAAGCTGCACGAATATTTTTTAAGCTCGTACATAGGCCTGTCAGTGGCGGCAAAGGCTTTGTTAGCGTGTTGAGCGTAAAACGCGGTGCAAAACAGAAGCTCAGGCAGGCAAACAGGCGTAGAAAGACCGGTAGGAAGCCTATGCGGGAGGACGGCCGACCGATTGTTTGCCCGAATGGCATTCTTAAGCGGAACATTCGAAAGCTCTCAAGCAGGGGGGACAGGCGCGGTGAATTTTTGAAGTTGGAGGAAAGATTCGTTTATACATGCACGCAGTACTAGCTATTCACAGTCAGTTGTCATTTCTTCCCGACTATTAACCATCATCTTTGTGGACAACTTTGACCCAAAGTATAGATTTACAATCATTCAATTCGCATAGAACAAATCGACAACATGACGGCAATCGCATCGGCAAGCAAACAGCGTGAATTCGATGTAGCCATCGTAGGAGCCGGAATTGTCGGATCAGCATTGGCATACGGTCTTGGACGATCAGGCAGAAAGGTTGCTCTGTTTGAACGTGATATGACAGAACCAGATCGAATCGTTGGAGAATTACTACAACCCGGTGGTGTACGTGCATTATATAAACTCGACTTGATCGATTGTTTACGCGATATTGATGCCGTACCCGTAGAAGGTTATCATGTCTTCTATGGACCGAAAAGTGTCCCGATCCCATATCCACAAGAACAATCTGATGGAAGATGGGGAAAAGGAATCGAAGGAAAAAGTGGAAAGGTCGAAGGCAGAAGTTTCCATCATGGAAGATTTGTACAGAAGTTGCGTAACGCAGCCATCGCCCAACCAAATGTCACCATACTCGAATCAACGGTACGTGAATTGATCGAAGACAAGCAGGGAAACAATGTCGGAGTAATCGCAACTGCAAAAGACACAAACGAAGAGCTGCACATTCGTGCACCTTTGACAATCGTTGCAGATGGTTGTTTCTCCAAATTCAGAAGGACACATGGTTCAACAATTGCTCCGACCGTTCGATCCAACTTTGTGGCGCTCGAGCTAGAGCATGCCCCTCTACCTTCTCCACATCATGGACATGTTGTCTTGGGGCCATCAGGACCTACGCTTCTCTACCAGATCTCAACGGAACATACTCGTATCCTGATGGACATTTCCGGTGAAAAGCTCCCCTCTGCAGGTAAAGGAGATCTTCAACGCCATATCCAAAACCGCGTTATTCCCTACTTGCCCGAAGCTTTGCAGCCTTGCGTATCGAAAGAACTCAACAAAGGGCAACGACTACGAAGTATGCCTAATTCCTTCTTGCCACCAAGCATGCAAGGTCAAAACAAACATAGACGTGGGATCGTATTGGTGGGAGATGCGATGAACATGAGACATCCATTGACCGGAGGAGGAATGACAGTTGGTCTATGGGATGCAGTGCATCTGACAAACGAACTTGGAGGTGCTGCATGGAAACCTGAAGACGAGTATTACGGTCAAACGGTTAAGGATTTGCATGATTGGAACTCTCTCAAACCTGCATTGCGCGAATGGCACTGGCGTAGGAAAGGGCTTGCAAGTGTGATCAACATCTTGGCACAAGCACTGTACAGTCTCTTTGGCGCCGATGATGAAAACTTGGAAGTGTTACGAGAAGGATGTTTCAAGTACTTTGAGCTTGGAGGTGAATGCGTTGGTGGACCGGTCAGTTTGTTGTCAGGTTTGGCGCCACAACCATTTTTGCTCTTTTATCACTTTTTCTCCGTTGCACTTTACAGTATCTATGCCTTGTTCATGCATCCACGTAAAGATCCAAAAACGGGCAAAATGCATACACCAGGCTTTTTGGAATATCCTGGCTTGGTATTGAGATCGATTGCGGTCTTTTACACAGCCTGCGTTGTTCTACTGCCGGTCGTCTTCACCGAAATGAGAAGTAATATCCCCGCTTTTGCCGGTCGAGCAAAAGAGATGCCTGCTGCTACAGCTGGAAAGGACGGCAAGAATAGTGCAGCTTCTTGGCTGAACTCGATACCGATCATTGGACCGCACATCAATTCAACTACTATCGTTGTTGTATTGGCAGCCATTATGGCATATGTATACAGCGGGCAAGCAGGCAGACCTGGTTCTGGAATCCGGGAGATCGTATTTCCAGGTAGATTCACATGATTACACTTCTTTTCCCCATTTATTCTGCACGCATTCAAAGATACCACTCTATCATCTACATTGTTATGGACATCATATTTGTACTAAATATTTAGAATATATAATCGCTAATCACTACAATACGGAGGTAGCCAGGATGTGAGCTTGTGTACATTTAAATAAGACGATGCGGATGCCAAAAGCCTTCAAGATCATCTTCGTTCAAATCTTGATGCTTGTTTGTATAATTTGAATAATCAACGATTGGTGAATATTCAGTAGAATAAATTGTGTCTGCATATTGCTGTTCATAGGAATCGTCGTTCGTATATTCGTCAGGGGTGTAGACGTACTGATCTTCTTCAAGAACCGGTTCTTGGTACGTATAATTAATAACGGCAACTCTATCTTTCACGTAATCGCCTAGAGGATCCGGATCCTGTCTCGATGGTGCTCCATGAGGATCAGCCTGCGCTAAAGCTTCACCATAATTTAATTCCACATCACTGATCTGCTGTGGAAATCTATCCACGTGGCCATCGTATGTTCCTTCATCTTGCAAATTTGCATTTCCTGCAAATCCACCGTGATCAAAATGCTTGTCAAAATCATAGGCGGGCGCTCCGCGAAATCTGTTCGCATATTCCACTTTTTCGTTTGTGGTGTCGGGTAACGAATACGCATTGTGTCTAAAAGCTGCTTGAGGACGAATACGTACACTACGCTCCACAGCATAATCATTTCCTGGGACATCATAGCTAAAAAGATCAAATTGATCCCTAAGGTGATATTCATCACGATTGCTGTAATGATCTTCCATTTCATCTTCTGCTCCGAGAATCTCGTAAGTGGCTCGAGCTTGCCTTTGTATAGGATGCACAGATCTATCAGCTTGACATGGTCCTGCTGCAATTTGCCGTTGCGCCGCCTCCTCAGAATTCTCCAGCTCTTGATTCATATTCTTTTGTTGATCGGCCCTCGGTACCGAGGTTGACGCTGCAGGAACGAAATTTGCTCCTCCTGCATCAACAAATCGTTTCTGAATTGCTTGCAAGCCAGGATCATGCAATTTATGTTGGGCTCGCCAACCATTAGGATGCACATCAGGCTTATCACCATTGAACGCCAGGACTGGCGGCGGGTCGTCTTGAATGACTGATTCAGCTTGTTTTTGCTGGACAGGGTCACGAGACCAAGGCATATGATCAAGGTTAACAACGGTATGGTTGTTGTGTGTTGGAGGAGACTGACGGGAGGCTCTGGCGCTTTCGTGATGCAGTTCCATATCCTTGTTTCTAGTATTGATCTCGTTCGCTTGTACGTTGTGCTTCTTTGATGAGTTGAGACTTTTCACAGTAGTTTGCAGCTCTTTGATCTGCTCCTCCAAAGCCCGAATGCGACTTGGATCTCCCTCATCGATTTCAAAAGATGGAGGCCCAGACATCGAAGCTGCCATCGAAGACTCATAATATTCGTCATCTGTTGACCATGAGGGGCTCCTCTTCCTCTTCTTGTCCTTCACTCTAGCCTTGTCAACAGAGTAAGGGTTTGCCGTGCCTCTACTAAAAATGCCTAGCTTAGGCTGTGGAATGGTAATTCTTTCCCTTTTCAAAGTAGAGGCGCCATTGAATTGGAAGAGATCCAAATATTTATTCCTTGTTGATTTCTCTTTTTCTTTGGATCTTGATTCTTTGCGAATCCTGTCGGCCTTGGAGCGACTACGATCCTGAATGACTGGCGGGCTGCTCTTCCTGGCTCGCTTTCTGGCTTTCTTTTCTTCAATTTTTCGACCGAAATGTCTGCGACGAGAAGAAGATGGAGAGGAATGACGATGAGGCGGCGATCTTCGCATTTCAGCCAAATGCCTCCTTCGCCTCTTTCGATCTCTCAAACGCTTCTTTACAGCTCGCTTTCCGTCCAAAATGTCAGTAGATGGATCTGAAAGCTGTAATGCCATAGAGTTTGCATCGCTTACTGTGTTTGATTCCAAGTCATACTCCCTTGCCTTTCTTTCGAGCTTGTGTGACTTTTGTGGCTTGGACAGCATCAGAGCAGATTGATTGATGAACTTTTGCACATTCTCGCGCTTGTCTTGATGTGGAACTTGGCTTAGGGTGTAATGACGAAGTATACTTCGACTCATAATAATTATGGATTCATAGAAAAAAAAAGGTGGTGGTGGCAAAGAAGAACGATTCGGATCTTAATGGCTCAGCATTAAAGGATGATAGCATTTTTCTGAGCAATGACCTCTCCACTCAAACGGTCAAAAACGCTTTGATTGCATTTAATTTGACATAGGTCAAACCGGAAAACACTCGCGCAGTGCCTAAAATGAAGAATTGTTTGATTGCATGTGTACATGGATAGAGCACGGTCTACTTGTCTTCTCTCTCAGTTCAAATCAAGTCCAAATCCATCTTCTTCCTCTTCAACTGGTTGTGCTTTCCTGGGCTGTGATTTAGATGTAGGGGCAGAAGGACGAGTGTATTGCGCTTCTTGTTCTTGCAATTGACCATTTGTTTCTGGATTACCATCAACATCTTCTTGATCCATTTGAAGGATACCCTTTTGGAACATATCCCATGTTGGCGGTCGAATGACACTCGCACCTCTTCGAATCGCATCAATTGATGGGAAAGGTAGCTTGTCTTGCAAATGTGAGGGGATTTGCCCATTCTTACCTGCTTCTGCCTCATCGTCATCATCACCGGCTAACTGGAATAACTTTCTCTTCTTGGCCGGCTGATCACCGGCTGGATCTGCATCATGTGATCTTTCACCTTCTTCATCAAGTTGCAACTTAAAGCCAGGAGGAGCAGTAGTAGTTTGTGACAATGTTCTAGCATAATGTAGAATATCATCATATGCCAACGGTTTGCTCTCTGCACGTTTGATCGAATCTTCTTCTTCTTTACCAAGCTTGACAAGCCTATGGCAGCTTTCACGTAGGCTTGCTAGCTTTCTTATTGATTGTACCATAGTTGTATCTCGTTGTTCGATCTCGGCCACCAATGTTCGAATACGAGCTTGATTGGCTGCATGCACATTTGCGCGTTCCATCAACTCGTTCAGTATCTCATTGATGACTTCGATGGCCTGAATGGCTTGCTTTAAAGATGGCATGAAAGAATTCTGAGTAGAAGTGGATGCCATTGATCCTTTCACACCTACATTGGGACGCAATAAAGCCTCAAAGAGGTGAATATCCTTGACTCGTTTACTGTGTTCTGGGCGCAAATCCGATAATCCACCAGAAGTTGATTTGGACCGCAATCCGGAAGGTGTTTGAGATCGTGATGAAGAAGCATTGTCAATCAAATCTCCTCTAACTTGAGCTTTCAAGCTGTTCATTTGTATCGTCAATGCATTCTTTGTCGAGGCAATCGAGGTGGAGGCGCCTTGTTCGATCAAGAGGAAGTAGACATTTGTTAAGTTTTGATAGATTGTTTTGATAAATCTAAGTTGTAGTCTCAAGCTCGGCGGGCTTGTATTGGATCGATTTATCTTGCCATCGTTCAATGTTGCAGTCGTCATTGCCATTTCTTCCCCTCACTTCTATCTTTTGAGTTGGATGTTAGTAGCATCAATTCTTTTTGGCTTCTTCTCAAAGTGGTAACCTTAAAAACGCGCTACACAGATACACCCACGAACCTCTTTACCATAATCATTGGCCCTACTCGCCCACACACGCTTGCATATGGTAAAGCTCTCTAGGATATATAAGATTATGAATATAATAGTACACTGATGATGATGATGATTATAGAATGCGAAAAGAAAAGAAGGAATCGAAAAAATTATAGAAGTTGAAAAGCCTCAAGCGACACCATTCTGTTTGGAAGGGGTATCAAACCTTTCCATTCGAACAGCATCCGATCCTCCAACACGTAAACGAATGCTTGAAGGAATACGTTGATCACCACGGAAAAAGTGTTTAACCGTTCCTTTGTTACCGGCAACTTGATTGAAATTTCGTTTTTTGTATAATTGCATTGCTGCTTGATTACTTGGATGCATTTCCAACACAGTTCGCATCGGTGCATCTTGATGTGCTCTTGGTGGTGCACTTGTGATCGCTTCTTCGGAAAAGGTATTTGATCCCGTTGCCAGATGAATTCTTGGTCCTGCTGTTCTACGTTTGCATTCTTCCAACAACAAATCCAAAAGTCGTGCTCCTAATCCTTGACCACGTTCTCCAGGCAAAACGCTCAATGTCATAATATGAGCTTCACGTGTGATGATCGATCGTTCTCCTTTAGGATCTAAACCTGGCCAAGAAGCATCTTTGCCACCTATCCAACCATTTCCGCTACCAAAGTCATCAGCCGCACGTTGAATCACCTTGATACGCGCAGATACAACACCTAAAATCGTTTCTGATTCTAGTGGCATTCCTCCCAACGGTGGTGCACCCATCACACGAATAGCACGAGGTGGCGCAACATCAAACGTTGGCCCAGCCAAAACGCTTGCTTTTGTGGTAGATGAAGATGACTTCCTGCGCGATCCAGTAGCTGCAGCAGCAATTTCTGTACGAGGTGAAGATACACCGTGTGATTCCGGTTTTCTCTTACCATGACCTTCTGTTTCAGAAATTGCAATATCTTCATCCATTCGATGATCATGATCTTCTTCTTCCACGACAGCCTCCATTCTACCGCTTGCACTGTCATCAATTGGAGGAGAAGTTTTACCGGTGGTGTAGGTACTTGCAACGTGTGCTTGCTCAAACAGGCCATCCTGTTGTGTCTGATCCTCATCTCCTTCTGAGGATGAAGGATTGGTTTCACTGTCGGGACCTAATCCAAAGCTTCTTGGCGCAGGTGTACCATCATTTACTCCGCCATGATGAGTATTTGTGACCAGCCTTTGACCTGGTACGATTGGTAGTCGATTGTGTCGTGTATTTGTAGCAGTACGTCCTGCCAATAGTACTGGAGCTCGCGTTGCTGGCATATCCAGAGATGGCGGAGGCGGTCGAGGAGACATTGTCCTCGGTAACGCTGGTGGCTCTGGTAAGGGTTTAGCCACTGCAACGAGGCAAACATAATGCTCATCAACAAGTAGACGTAGTAAGAATGCGGCGCTTGTGGTGTATGTGTCTGTATCAACCTGTTGAAATGAGGAGAGAAGGAGGAGAGGAAGATTTGATGGTGGGAATGTAAGAGATGTGTCGAAAAGGAGCACCAAAAGGAATGCCAAAGATGTCAAAGGTAGTCGTAAAAAGTATATAGAAATCCAGCTCCATCTCTACACGTCGAACAAGCGGTTCCTCATAATGGTAAAGTTGTAATTGTGCTCCATTGCTTCTCTGTCCTCCTCTTGACGCTCTTGTACTTCTTCTGCACTTGTGCTTGTTCTCCTTGATGACTCTTTCGATCGCACAACAGCTGGCGTATTTGTAGGAGTAGTAAAGATTGCAGCCAGCGGCACATGATGTGTTTGCAAATCGACAAAGATATCCTACCAAGGGTATTCAAGAACAATCGAAACTTCGTAAGGAAACCAATACCCAGTAGTCTTGATGATATGAAGAAAAAGAAGAAAACAAGGAAAAAGGGGAAAAGAAAACACAAACGAATTACTCACCTTATCTCCATCGCCATGATAACAATGCAATTCCCGAACTTGTTCCAAATCCGGTCTACGCAGAGTACGAATCTCTACTCGTGCATCAAGGGCGGCCTCCTTTGCTGCTCTATCTACGTCGCCTGCAGCAGTATGTGATGGTCCGGCTTGTGCAATATCTTGACCATATTGAACTGAAGAAGTTGACATTGGATCGGCAGGAACCTCTTGTACTGGACTGAGAATTGATGAGCTGAGAAGAGCAGATCTTGCAGGTGAGGCGTGGTATGACGCTTGCGCCGAAGAATGACGCAGAGCATTGACGGACTGAGACTCAACTTCTTGTGATAATTTCTTTGCAGCCGAAGCAATGACAACATCTGTTCCCTCCATTTCATGATCTCCGTCAATGTCCCCATGTGCTTCAATCTGGTCATAGTCTTCCCATGCCCAGCGTCTGAATCGGTCTCCTCCAGCTTCCAGATTCCTACGTAATCCTTCCAACCTGCTGGCAAGGTATACTGCATCCGGTGCATAACTCATCACAGTTCTATCCCCTAATGCTTCCATCTCTTGTTCGATTGCATTCGCCGTCTTTCCTCTCCATTTCCTACCTGCATATTCTACCCGTTCACCATCAGACTCGTCGTCGTGATCCTCTACGATCACATCAGCTTTGTGCTTGGCTACCATTCCAGTCCGTTGTCCCTGCTGCAGACGATTTCCTGACTTACCTTCCCCATCAGTCTGTGATGTCCTCCTAGAAGAGGATGGAACAGTAGAACCAACAGCTTTACTCCATTGCATAGGGGCAAAGCTATCCCGAACATCAAAAGCTGCAGGCGATTGATCACCATCTCCAGAACCAGGAGAGAGTGGTGGACTTGAAGGAGCAGGAGAAGCTGGTGTAGCAGGCTGGGAGGTAGAATCCCCCACACTGAACCTAGCATTCGTCCGAGGAATCAATCTGCGTGGAAGTGCAGATGGTCCTGTGGATTGTGATTGAGGTGATACGAGCTCTTGTTTTGCGTGTACACTTTCTGCTTTAATAGCGTGAGACGAAGAGGATGAAGATGGCTGAGGCTGTAATCCTCCATGTTTAGAACGATGAGGTGGAATGACGGGAGAATTTTGATCAGACGAAGGTCCGGATGGAGGTTGTTGATTGGTTTCCCTCTGTTCGTCCACAATGGCTACAGGCTGAGGCCTATAAGGTGTATTATCAGTTTGCGGTGCCATTGAAAGCCAACCGCCTCCCAATCCGAGCCCTCTTGATGGTTTCATTGTTGCAGCTTTCGACATGTTCCAGGCATCCAAATTTGATAGTTACGTGTGGGTGTTGCCGTTGAACCAAAAGTATGACGTTTCAGACCTCAGATAGCCAAAGTTAGGCTAACAGACCAACCTGAGAAACGAGGGACATATTTATCCAGTATCGTGCTCCACGATTTAAACTTTCTTCTGAGTAACTTTAGCAACTGACACTTGCTCCAAACCAATAAATTGTCAAATTAGCTTGCCAACGATCTTTGCGTTTTCTCGGAATCCGCTTTGAGCGGCGTAAATGATTTGAGAGGAAGCCGGAAGATGAAAATGCGAAAAAGTGTCTGTGCAGACTGTCAAGAAATAACGGAATGGGCTGAAGATGAAGGTAGAGAGAAGTAATAAATCGGAGATTTTATTCTTGATGTGATCACCTTCTCCGCAATTTGGGTTGATCGTCAAGTAAAGGGGAGAGACAAAGATGTGCGTGAATGAGAAAAGCAAGTTAATCATCACAATCACTCGTATTTCATGCATTCATTCCAGATTCATTTCCATCAGGCACTGTCTTTGTGCACGGATACAGCTTGTGCCTTTTTTATTTTTACCGCATGCAGAATTGCAATACAAGCACTTCCCATCTAGGGGGTCTTGTGTCCTTATAGCGTGCGCTGCGCAACTCTTTTATTTTCGCAAACCTACTTTGCCGGCAAATGCATTGCAACGCGCTGAGCTTTGGCATTGGAACGAGGAACGAGATAACCGGACACCTATCCCGGCTTAATTCACGCGTGAACGTGTGCTTGCCCCAATTGTCCGTGAAAGAAAAGAAAAAGATAAAAAAGCCGGGCGGCCAATTGGGGTAGGCGTGTATTAATCTCTAAAGGGATTCTTTAGTGAAAAAAAATAAAAAATCGCCGAAGGAAGGAACATTTACAGAATCAACACTTGCACTTCTTCCCATATCTGCTTATCATTTTAAGCAAAACGTTAGCATTCACATGACAGACGATATTCAACCCGGTGTGGAGGATATCAGCCTTAGTAGAAAGCACTCAATTGAACATAACAATGGTAACGAAGAGCAACATCGAGCAAAGAGGGTAAATGTATCCAATCCTGCAACAGAACAAGATGAACAGATAGCTGTAGTATCAGAAAGGGATGTTGGTATCATTGCTTATGTCAATCCAGATCTCAAACCGATAGAAGGAGGAATCATCAAACAGAGATACTCTGACTTTCATGTTAGAGAAGTTGCAAGAGGTGGACAAGTATGTAGAATCACTTCATTACAACCACCAAAGGAAGAAGAAGGAGGTGGCACGCTATATGCACTTTATAAGGAACAAGAAGCAGAGAAGAATGACCAAAGTGGACAACTAAAACAATCAAGATTGGCCAAAGAAGAGGAAGAGAAAAAGGCAAGACAATCACAGTACCAACAAGAAAAGCAGCAAGCATCTGAGCAAACATCTGGGTGGAATGTAAATGAAGAACAGAATACGAAATTGTTGGCACTACTAGGTGCTGATGGTCTCGAAACCCTGAAAACACTCTGGACTCAAGGTGCAAAGCCCAAACAGGAAGGAAGGGATGATCGATTCGTAAACATGTTACCCTTAACGGACAAGCAGCAAAGAACAGAAGCACACCAGCTTGTACGAGAGGCTTTCAACAGTCTTCTTTTGACAGAGCACACAGATGTAAAAGCAGAAGATGGCACAAGTCAAAGTGCTATTCGGATACGATGGGGATCAGGTAGACCAGAACAGCGAAGAGCAGCAAAACAAGACAAACGAGATAAACCCGACAATGACAGGCTACCGCCTTACATTCACTTTCTAATGCAAAAGACAAATAGAGATAGTCAAGATGCTCTCAATATTTTGGCTCGCTCTTTAGGCCTCATGCATGGTGGAGGTGGTGGTGGTAAGCCAGTTAAAGACATCAGTGTTGCTGGTACAAAGGACAAACGTGGAGTAACAGTACAACAAGTTGCACTAAAAAGAGGACGCAGGACATTGGATGATCTTTGGAGGATGGCTAACGGATTGCACAGAAACGTCGGAAGGGCAGACTTTCGAGGCAAAGGACAAGAATTGATCAATGCTGTTTCTCGCAGAGGAGATCGCGGAATTCGTATTGCCCATCTTCGATATGCAGACGATCAACTTCATCTCGGGCAATTGGAAGGAAATGAATTCGAAATCGTCTTGCGCAATGTCAAAGTGAATGAACGATCAACTGTTGATGCTGCGATGGAAGTGCTCAAGACGAGAGGTTTCATCAATTATTATGGAATGCAAAGATTCGGAACATCTACAATCTCCACACATAAGATCGGTATAGCATTGTTGAAAGGTGATTACAAAGGCGCTGTTGAATTGATCATGTCGCCAAGACAAGGTGATCCAGAGAATGCTCAACAAGCACGAGAGGCCTATCAGCAAGGCAAGTTTGACGAATTCCTCTCGCTGATTCCTAACTTTTACGTTGGAGAACGCAGTATCGTATCACGTATGAAAGCTGATCGATATGCGTTTCCACAAGGTCAAAATCCTTCCTCCTTGAGCAATATTGATTGGAAAAAATACTTTAGCGCTTTGCCACGCTCTCTTCGTACGATGTACGTTCATGCATTCCAATCGTATATCTGGAATAGCCTTGCATCAAAACGAGCACAAGACTTTGGTCTTCAAGCACCCATTGTAGGCGACTATGTCTGGCTGAAGGGAGAAGAGAGCTATGTGGAAGTAGGCGCCGGCGATGAAGATGAGGATGAAGATGCCCGATTGAATGCAGTCGTAAACGGAACAGCAACTAGTAATAGCTTTGGAAAGAAGCAAGTCAAAATTATAGAAGATGAAGCGGAATTGAGCAAATATACGATTCATGATGTCATGATTCCATCGCCAGGTAGTCAAGTACAAATCCCACAAACGAGTTGGATGTTTGAACCTTATCAAAGGATCTTACAAGAGGAAGGACTACGGGTTGAAGATCTTGAGAATGCGGGTAAACAATCACCTGAACTTGCTTTGACGGGAGATTATAGAGCTCTGTTGCATTTGCCAAAGAATGTTTCTTATGACCTGGTACGGTATACGGACGCAAATGTGAATCTGGTTCAATCGGATGAAGATAAAATTTTGGGATTGGAAGCGCCTCCAAAACCTGTCGGATTTGATGAACCAGTGGATCCTGCCACACCTTCTTTTGTTGCCCTCATCTTGCGTTTTACCCTCGGTGTTTCTGCATATGCCACCATGGCCATTCGTGAGATTCTCAAACAGGAAACCAGCTCAAATCATCAACGTGAGTTGACTATGCGTGGCGAAGATCAAATACGGAAATAGACAGAACATTTATGTATAAGATATGCGTTTGTGTATTAGTAGTACAATGTATTAATTCACCATCAATTTGCATCCAGAAACCTTGCTGTCCGAATTGATCCTTTCGTGGTTGTGTAACCGTTTATCCATTGATCTGCAGGCACCTCTTTCTTGCCTGCTGTTTGCACCGATTTTAGTTGGAGGAAGATATGCTCATTTCCATCAGCTTCAGGAGCGCAGCGGCAAAGAACACGATTGCTCTCCTTATCATGCACAAGCTCACCAGGCTCTGCATTTTTGATTAGTTGGAACGCTTGTTCCGAAAGAGGCTTGCCGGGTGAGTCAAGGTCATGATGGTATAAGTCTACATCCCTCAGTAGAACCGCTGCCCGTTCTCCTGTTTGCGTGATGATTTCAGTTCTTAATGAGAATAGATATCCCATCGCCCTATGTCTCGCTTCGATTTTACTGGCACTCCATGTGCTCCAGCGGATAGAGGTCATTCGTGGTTTGATCATAGGTGCATGAGATTGTTCGATTTCATTTGGCCTGTCTTTATTCTTCCATGCAGTATCTGCACATTCTTGTAAGTTTGAAAGCGTAAACAGCAGTCTTTCAGCAGCGATCGGTTTGATAATCTCTCGCAAAGATTTATAGCTGGAACTTGGTGGGATAGCCTGAGGCAAGAAAGGTGTGAAGGTTAGTTCTCTGACCAGCCTATCCAAGCTTATGTGCTTGTTAACTACTTACGACTTCTTCTCGGCTCAACACCTCGCCCGAATCGAATGACGTGCCCAACGTCTGAATGCTTACCCCGGTAGCTTGTAAGCCCCTTGCTATAGCCCATTGAATCGGAGCAGCACCCTTCAATGCGGGTAGAAGACTCGGATGAACGTTCAATCGTCTAGACCATAAAAAGTGATCCAGCATCTTTGGCGGGATAAGATGACCGAAAGAAACAGTCAAAAGGATACTACTCTCTGCTTCTTTGATGAATTCTTTCGGGATCTCGAATTCATCCAAACCCCCTTCCGGGATCGTATGTTGTGCCAAGCCATTGACAAGAGCGAATGATTTTACGGGTGGAATCGTTACCACCTTCTTTGAACGTTCCCATCGATTGGGTGCATCTGCCGGGGTCAAGACTTGAATGTGATCGCATATATCGGGATTTGCATGTAGCTTTTCGAGACACTCCAATGCAAAATCATCTGTACCACAAAACAGCACCTTGAACGGTCTGCCGCGATTTGATCGCTTGACGTCATATGCTCCTCCTGCCGATGTGGAATAGGACGATAAAAATAAAGGTCTTCTATCCACTTTGCGTATTTTGAACCATGCTTGTGACGAAGGAACATAGGCAGACGTACCCAGCCTACCGATCCGTTTTGGTACTATGTTCATCGAAGCCCTTCTTACGCCATGTCAAGCTTTCAGTGTTGCAAGGATGATCACTGTCGTACTTTGGAAGAAGAAGTGAAAGTTTAAAAGATCAACTTTTGGCAAAAGTGGAGAACGAGTCTTTCGCGGGCACTTGCACAGTGTACTTCTTTTTACGCGTATCCAACACCACCTTCAAAAATCATCATACAGTAATCATTTCAAGCAAAGTTCATTGAAGATGTGTAATACATTACTTCAGTCAAGCTCAATACTCATTATTCTCATCTCTGATCTCATACAGCTCAACATGGTTTTCTCCTTTGGTGAGGCACACAGTGCCATTCCGCCGCATATATTTACCTGACATACTCCACCACCGCTTGCTTCACTTGAAGATGTCAAAACAAAACCTGTTCATCAGGTGGTCATTCTGAAATCTGTTGTTCATCAACATCTGTATCTTTCGCGATCACAGCGGATGAAACATTATTTGAACACCTAAACAAGCTCCAAAAGCTTCGAAATGAACAGACGTAAGGATTAAAGGGTCGGTTTTTTGTCATAAGAATATCATCATTAAGAAAAGGAAATAGCAAGACATTCTCGAGTATTATTTGCAGATTTGAGTTTGTGTGAAGCTACTGGAAGATGCCAAATCCTTGGACTGCATACTGGACTTCATTTCTTTACTTCACCAGTTTTAGCCGAATTGACTACGAGTGGATCGATTATACTTCTATTTCTGCAGTGGTTTCAATGGGAGCATTTGGATATTATTGACAAAGCCTTTGCCGCTCATAGTGGGCTTGGAATGGCGTGTGTTACGTTTGATGAAAGACAAGTTTGATCGTATCATTTTTGGCTTTACTTGATTGACTGATGATTTGTGTGCATCACAAGCATTGCATACATGGCTTAAAGCTGTCATGAATGCCAATGAAAGTAGTAATGAGGAGATTTGAAGACGCATTTTCTCGTTCAAAGAGTTGAAATGGATGAAATGGGAAAATAGAGACAGAAATTAAACCGTCAATTGCTGTCTTTATGTATGTTTCTCTCGATTTCCAATAACACAAAAACTGAACTTTGAGTCTTGAGATATGATACAATGTGGAATCTTTGAAAGGGATTCAGCGAACATTAACACGAGAATAAGGAGTATGAGATATGCATCTTACAGCGAAAAGGGCAACGAGCAATGCAATCAGTAATACCAACCTCCCTTTTTTGTGAAAATATCCGTTCGCTTTTCGTAGAGCATGTTTGACATAACGGGAAGAAAGGGAAACACAGCTAAATTAATAGAGAAGGGAGACTTTCAAAACAATTAAAACGTTTCTCTTGATTAACCCTCATCATTCAGGAGACCTTACGAAATTCAATATTAGATTCCTCCCGAGATGACTAGATGCTATACAAACTATAAAAATACTGTAACTTCTTCGAAACCACTTTCAATAAGATCATAGTCAATGGTGAATCAAAAGGTAGGTAGTCAGTGATGTTAACGTTGAGCGCGTACAATTGGTCCTCTTTCTTAAATTGAAGCTGTTTTAGAATTGAATGATGTCTCACCAAAAACACTAATAGAGGGAAAATACGGTAGGAATACATTTTTGGCGAATTTTATTTAAGTAAAGAAAGAAAGAAGCTCAGTGTCGAATATAAAGTTTGTTGGATGGCATTAGATCACAAAATAGAAAATTGAATAGATGCAAGCAAATTTTACAAGTGAGAGAATGAAGATGACAATCTCCCTTACTTGCTCTTGTTTGCATTGGAATAAGAGGCACCGCCAATCTTTTTCTTTGTTATACCCTCTACTAGATCAGCCGGACCAAATTTCTTTTGTCAGGAGGATTGTACTTGCCAGCTTCAGGGCCTGGTGGTCCAGCACCAGGATTAAGTTGACGACCTTTGAGTCCGTCTGGGCCTGTATTGGTTCGCTTGATCAATGCTTCATATGGCCCAGATGAACTACATACTTGGCCAAAAATTACCATAAGAGCCAGTGGAAGGAGTATTGAAGAAATTTGAGGGCGCATGTTTTGTATTGTCAATAAGTTTGAGAGGTAAGAAGAGGGAATAAAGTTGGTGTATTGAATTGTCAACAAGTGTCTTTATGTATGATTACCATTTCAATGTAGTGTTTCAATACTTATTTCGCGGACTACACAAGAATCCAGGAGTGAGGAGTTACATATAACATGTCGAATAGGGAGATAAGCAATGTAAAATTAGTTTACACTGGTTGGAGAAAGTTATTCAAGGATGAATTGGTGAGAAGACGTATGATCCAGCATAGATTTGACTACATTGGATAACAAGTATAGTAAAGAAATTGAGTTGACCTGTAGACTGGTCTGACTGGGATTGATAAAAGATAAAAATAACATTTGCTCTTTATTTGCTCTTATTTGCTCTTATTTGCTCTCGGTCGCATTGAAGTAAGGGCTACATCAATTCTTGATATGTTCTCTACTAGATCAACAGTATCGTCCTTCAGGGAGGAGGTTGGTCATCATGGGGGTCATGACCCCCATTATTAGGCGCTCCTTGATTTTGATCTAGTTGACGTCGTTTGATTCCGGAGAAATGATAATATTCTCTTTTCGGTTCCTTTCGCTCGACTAACGCTTCATTCGGCCTAGACGCATTACAAAGTTGGCCACAAATTGCTATTGCAGCCAATGAAAGAAGTAATGACGAGAAATGAAGACGCATCGTTTGTTTCGTCGGTAAGGCTGAAAGGTAATTGTGTGAAATGAGAGTGAAGTATGAAGCCGTCAGTAAGTGTCTTCACGTATGACTTTCTTATTTCTTTGCTCTAGTTAGAGTGGAAGGTACGCTCTTGATCTTTGAACATAATACAATTCGGTATGCAGACTACAACAGCAAATTAAAGGGGATCAAATATATAAATCAATTTCAACATTCTTCAAAAAGAGAGACTTTCATCCTCAATACTTTCATTTCTTGACTTCTACCCATCAGGGGTATTGGGAGGTATACAAACGATGAAACTCTGGATTTTCCTTTAATTGTATCTCAAGAAAATCAGACACACTTAAACGTCAATCAATAGCCAATTCATAAGCGGTGTCTTCTATCCGCTTATTAAGTTTTAAAACTCGTTAAGTATTTGTTGGGAGAAACTCAATCATATAGTCATGGCTCATTAGGTTATCTAAAGAAAAATCAAAGTAAAAGATTTTATTATCGAGATATTAAGAAAGAATGAGTGGAGTATGATCGAGCGTAAACTTGATTGGATAGAAGAATGAAATTTGCACTGGAATCGTGTGGGCTTGTAGATTGTATTGACATTATTGATGAAAGATGGAAATTACTGATCACTTTTATTACATCAACGTAAGAGCTGGCTCGTTTCTCGATATGCTCTCTACTAGATCAATAGGATTGTCCTTCAGGGAGGATTATCTCCACCGTCATCATCGGGGTCATGACCACCCCCAATACTAGGCGCTTGATCTTGATCTCTCGGACGACGTTTGATTACGGAGAGATGATTATACACCTCTTTCGGTTCGTTTCGCTCGACTACTGAAATTGCATTCGGTCCAGATGCATCGCATAATTGGCTAAAGATTATCGTTAAAGCCAATGTAAGAAAGATTGAAGAAGTCCGAATTCGCATTTTTGCAGTAAGGTTGAGAGGTAAAAAATGTGAAAAATTTCTGTCGGCTGTCTGTTTATAAGGTGAGAGAATCGTCTACTTCTTTTTTTTTTTTGCAAAGTTATCAAATCTCCACTGAACTTAGTTGGCATATCATTTTTACTGGGAAGTGTAGTGATCAATTCAGAAATCCGAAATAGGAGCATCGCTAGGTAAAATTCGAACATTCTTCTCACCAGGAGACCTTTAAAATTCGATATTTCCATGCCTTGAGCCAATAGGGGAACTTTGAAGTATACAAAATATGAATTTTATAAACCTCTTTGAACCCTGTTTTGAGAAGGTCACAGTACAAACAAGCAAACTTACCAGAATGTTTACATGTCGTTATTGCGTAAACCCCTTTTTACCACTGTATGATATATGTCTTAATTATTGTACTTGAGGTTCTGTTAGGTTCACGGATCAATTGGAGCAGCAGGTCTATGACGATAATATACGCACTTAAAAGTCCGACAATTCACTCACATTTGTGTGTTTCTCTGAAGAAAGCACTGTGGTACACCGCTTTAATGTGAAACGCGTACGGTGCACCGCGACCCTGAACAAAGAGAGAAATGTTGCATGAATAAATTCCCATCTTTATAGAATAATTCATACGCGGGTGCTGTGCTCTTCCTCTTGTTATTTTCGCCTTTTACGCCGAGGATGAAGCGTGTGCAAGCAATTAATCAGTCTATTTTAGATATATGCATATGCATTGCTCTCCGCTTATAATCACACACTTGAAAGAGACTAAGTTGAATTGAAATGACATCAGTGAAAACAGGTGTGTTAGATCGGTTGTTTATTGTTAGTCTTGCAAGATCTTGCATTGCAGTTCGGCGTCTTATCCAATCCAATCTTATCTCTTGTTCGCCATCATAGAGCTGATCGTCATCGTCATCATCAGCATTTACCTTGCCTTATCATCATCATCATCAAGAACACAACAAATGCTCACTAGCCGCCACTAAAAAACAATCGACAAAATGTCTATCCAACAACAACAACAACAACCACAACTAACAGCTGGAATACGGCCAAGTGGAAAATTGGTAGATGTGGATACAGCAGAAGCAAGTGCATTACCCGAAGGACTCTCAAACGGAAAACAAAGGTTAAGCACATCCAGCGATGGAATAATAAGTAGACCAACATCTGCTCAAAGTATGCGTATTCGAATCGATAAGCCAAGTTTAGATGCTATCAAAAGTAGAAATGTTTATACAAAACCAATCAATGCTTTTGATGACCCTTCGATTCCCACTTCTCCTACGAGAGGACTTGCACCTATTTTCACTAGAAGAGATGGCGCTCCACCATACAAACAACCGACTATCATCTCTTGGGCTAGACTACAGTGGTCACAATTCCTAGCAAATGCTCTATCATCTGCATTCCTGATAGGTGTTGTCATTTGGGCTCTTACTGTTCGTCTATTGGCAGCCATACCAAAGATGTTTGTGCCAAAGGTGATCCAACCGAAGGATTGGGATGAACCACAGAGGTGGAGAAAAGAAGATCTGATCAAAGATGTGCGATACTATGCTGAATCATGTGGTTTCAAGATTATCAACGAGACGGCAGAAACTCAAGATGGATACCTACTGCGTGTAAACAGAATCGTTGATCCCACAAGAGAACACGAAAAACACAGCGATGGCAGAGGAGGTTTCCCAGTCTTGATCATGCATGGTCTTTTCCAATCTTCGGGATCATTCGTTACTTCAGAGGAAAGAAGTTTGGCATTCTGGCTTGCAAGACAAGGAGGATATCAAGTCTTCTTAGGTAACAATCGTGGTGTGTTTGATATGGGTCATAAAACTCTCAGCAGAAGCGATCCAAGATTTTGGGATTACAACATTCGTGAGCTAGCAATCTATGATTTACCAGCACTTGTGGATCACGTACGTAAACAGACTGGATACGACAAGGTTGCTTTCATTGGACACTCTCAAGGAAATGGAACGATGTTCATCTCCCTGTCACAAAGCATGGTACCGGAACTAGGTGCAAAGCTTTCATACTTTGGAGCATTGGCACCAGCTGTATTTGCAGGTCCATTGACCAGTTGTTTCCCTTTCACAGCATTGCGCAATTTGCAGTGGAAGACTTGGCAAAGGTTCTTTGGCGTGCTTGACTTCATTCCGTTGATGAAGATTGCATACGACTATACTCCCGCTTATCCTTTTGCTGCGCTAGGATACCAGATGTTCGCCTTCTTATTCGCTTGGACTGATGCAAATTGGCTAGGAAGGAGAAAAGCAAAGATGTTCCGATTCACCCCTCAACCTGTTTCTTCAGCTTCGATTTATTGGTGGGCAGGCTCAGGTGGATTTTCAACAAGAGGATGTACTTTGGATCAAACTGCTGAGAAATGGTGGGATGGTAACACTTTCCCACCTCTATCAATCTTTAGTGGTGGAATGGATTTCTTGGTCTTGACAGAACCTCTGTTGGACAGACTAGAGAATGAAGAATCGGACGTTAGACTGCTGCGATACAAACGTCAAGAAGAAGCGGAACATTGTGATCATTTCTGGGCATGTGATGCTGTAGAATGGTGCTTCTATGATATCTTGGAGGATATTGAAGCAACACGAACGCCTTACCCGGAAGAAATGGCATCCAAAGGAACTGAATCTAGTACAGAAACCAATGATTCCGAATCCACCAAGGTGAACGCTAAATCAGACACACCAATCATCGTCACTGCACCTGATGCAATGTTCAACAGTGCAGAGAATGCTGCAAGGGAAGGTAAACTGATCGATGATTCAATATGACGCCTTTTTTTATTTTTTTAAATACATATATCATCATATACATCTACTTTCCTATCTTTTTTTATCTTGTTTCAATTGCAAATGCATGCTGCATTGAGATACCGTGCAACTGGAAAACCTTTCATACAATTCAATACATTTTTGAAACATGATTTCAGGAGCTACAAAATGTTGAAATCGTAAATAGAGACTGCTCACCACGGCCATGGATCTATACAGACCAAAAGCAGTCGTACTTTTCTGCGTTCATCTCCGCCGACTCTAGTGTACTTCCCAATAGGTGAGCCAATCCTCTATTTCATTCATTTTTTCGCTGCTTCCTACTTTTCCGCTCCCCATTTCTCTTTCGCTACTTGAAACTTGTTGACTGTTTTCAACTCCGCTAGAATGGTAGATCGATTTGATAGTTGAGCATCACAGGCTGTTGAAGATATTATGATGTATTCAACTCACCTACACAATCAATTGTTCTTTTCTCCAACTCTGCGCTTGATTTCCTTGACCGGTGAACTGGATCATCTAAGTAAAGATTATTCGATACTTTCGATACTTGCCACTTCTTCCCTACTTGCTCCTTCTTCTCTGCTCGCTCCTTTTTTTCCGCTTCCCATTCCTTTTTCGCTGCTTGTAATTTCTTGTTGACTGCTTCCAATTCCGCTAAAATGGCTAAAATGGTAGATCGATTTGGTAGTTTGAGCATCACCGGCTCTTGAAGATATAATGATGTATTCAACTCACCTTAACATTCCTGTGTGTGTTTCTTCTTCAACTCTTCCATCTCTTTCTTCAAACCGTTGATTACATCACTTGAATAGAGATCTGGCTCTTGAATTAAGATGCGACTTAATTCTGACTGGAGAGTCATAAATTTTGTATCGAAAGGTGTAGACATCTTGATAAGTTTTGTGGGAAAAGATTTCTTTGTTTCTTTTTTGTTTGTAGTTGATTGGGGAAAAATTTATTTGAATCAAAAGGCCATTTTTATAGCCTGCAATGAACTTTTCTCATTTTTTGAACTGTTTTGACATGATGTCAGTAGTTGATAGAGCGAAACGTATTGCATGATGACGAACCCTTTTGAAGGCCCGTCACACTCATGCATGATCTCAGGCGGTGCAAAATTGTGTACGCATTAAAATCACAAATGTTATCATTCATAACCCAAGAGTTCCCTTTTTGGAAGATATCATTGTAGATTTGATGGAGATACACACATTGGCGAAACGGATCACGAAGCGAACTCGGGACATTTGTTTATCAAAGAAAGATTTGAAAAACGTCAACAAAAGCTCATTAACACTTGCTTAAGCGGGGCACAGTGGCTGCTTATTCCTCTCCGGATTAGTTTGCTTTCTCCTTTACCTTCTTTTCGGGATTTGTCTCGTCTAGCTCTATCGAAGTGAAGTGATAAGTGAATCAAAAGTCAATCAAATGAACTCTTCGACTTCAACAAAACCTCTACTCACTTCTGAGTTCCTTGACTCTTTCTTCCAACTCTTCCACATTCCAAAGAAGTGTATTGTATTTTCGTAAAAAGTGATCTTTTTCTTCTCGACTGATTCTTGCTGAATCGATATGATTACCAAGCTCTGTCATTTGACGATAGAAACTTGCGATCATGGCTTCGAAATCGGGAGACATTTTTGTAAAAGTGTGTGGTTGTGATTTGGTTCGGTATCAAAAGGTAAAGAGTACGGTGGGAGGGGGATCTTAAGTACCCGAGAACAACGCTCAAAACTAATCAAGATGATGTCATTGGTGAGCGAAAAAGCAAAAAATCGATTGCATGATGACCACCTCGCCGCTCCGTTCAGGACATCGAATGCTAGCAATTCTGTACTAGCATTGGGATCGAAGATTCATGCAACACGCAAGATTTACCGAATTGAAACATAATATACATTGCACGATAAAAGGGATCACGAAGCGATCTTGAGGCATTTGTCTGTGTAAATGAAAGACGAGTCAATAAGCATTCATCCCTATTCAACCTTCTAAATGCAAACTTACCTCCAGCACGACATCTGTACAAGAATTGAACGACAATTTCTCCTTCTTTAGGCTGAGGCTGAGCAGCAAAGTGTTTACTTGCAACTTGTGCCAAATATTCATCCGCTTCTTGTACATCAAAGAAATGACTTGGAGCAGGAATATCATCCGGTCTCTGTCCGTTTATATCCATTCCATTTTCATCTAATCCAGCCGCACTTGCATTTCGTTTTCCCAAACCTGTACTGCCGGGGAATAGATGTGCGACGGAAGATGATGGTGACCTTGGACGAAGTCTAGAGGATGTTGTTGCAAGGTTTGCATCTTCAACGTTTCGTGCTGAGACTCGACTACCTCTACGAGATGTTAGCGATCCATTAAGTGCACTTTCGCTTTCGTCTATAACGTCAGCGTCTGCGGAAGGCGGCGAAGGTGAACGACGGGAAGGTGGAGGAGGATAGCTTTTGGCCAGGTCGTAATGGGCTATATAGCTGTCGAGTGCATCTGCCGGTAAGCTGGCAAAATCTAGTAAACTTTCTCCAGCATTGGATGGACCTGGGAGAAGAGAGAAGGAATGCGAGGGCTTGTGTCAATTGCCAGTCACTGCATCGATGGCTTCTCCCAAATACATACCTGCTTTATCTTTGTCTGCCATTGTTCAATCGTAGTTTCTCTGTGGTTGGGCGATGCTATCTTTTATGGACGTTCATCTGAAGGATAAGATGATTGCAAGACCTACAAAAGTGTGTCTGATAAGCATGTATGCATACCCGCGTATACTATTAGTACACACCCTGCATCTGCAATTCAAAAAATCGCACAGACGATTCGCCTTTTAAGCCGGAGGAGAGAGAGCCATTGAATAAAATGCTCCGCTTAAAGCACGTAATCTTATTTCTTCTCAATTGATATCTTGCTACAACATCGAGTAATTTCACTGCCATCATATTTGAAGTCATGTTTGCTAGAAATACAGCTCGGATACTGCTCAGGCGTGGGCAGATAAGCAGATCTATTCATACGACTGCGTCAATTTCACCTCTTTTAAGAATATCCGCCGTTCATACGACAATCCGATCTGAAGAAACAACAGCTCTCAACTCAAGAGGACGTCTATCGAACAGCATCTCATCAATATATAGAAGCTATGCGACATCCACTAAAAAGTTCCAGCAAGCAAGCATTTCCGAAGATGAATATCATGAAGTGGCCGATACATGCTTGGACTCTTTGACGGATTCATTGGAACAATTGGTGGAGGCATACGATGGACCTGATGCAGATGATTATGAAGCGGAATATTCGGTGGGTACACTATGTGCTGTTTGCCTGCATTTCTTGCTTCATCGATGCTTACTGTTCTATTTCCTCTTCCTCCAGTCTGGCGTGCTCACTCTACGTCTTGGATCACATGGTACATACGTGATCAACAAACAGCCTCCAAACAAACAGATATGGTTCTCAAGTCCGACCAGGTGAGTGTCCAAATGACGCATATATCTGGAATATCGCCTCTGACACTTTTTCATCCCTCTCAATCCAGTGGCCCAAAACGCTTCGACTACGATTCAGAACATAATGAATGGTTCATGCACAAAGATGGAGAAGAATGGAATTTCCGAAACATTCTCAATAGAGAATTAAGCGAAATCTTCAATAAACCAATCACAGTCGATATGGGCGACTCATAATCTCACACAAGTGAAGTGGGTGTGTGTAATACATTGTACAATTGAGCAATAAAAGAAGACTTTTTCTAATCTTTACATGACTTCGGAATGAGGTATTAAAACAGCTGGTCCTTGGGTGGATGAGAGGTGAATTTGTTTAATGATCGTTGTTGCACGTTTCAAATCCTGCGAGGTGAGAGCGCCAACTACACTGCTAGGTGTTGCGACACCGGTTTGCGATTGACCACTTGTAAGACCGGCTTGAATTTTATCGACGATACCGTGCAAAAAGGCAGCAATATTGGATCGAAGTTCAGATTCGGTAAAGTGAATCCTTCCGACAGCTCCTCTAACCACACCATTACGATCTCCACGCCAATCAAGAGCACCTTGTGCTTCACGAATGGCCACTCGCATCTCATCACCATTTGTCACAACTGTACCTCTTTTCAAACTTGGCATCAAACCACGAGGACCTAAACTTCTTGCCATGGCTTTGGCCAATTGAGGTAGTAAGGCTTGTGTACATAGAACTTTTGTGAATTGCAAACCACTTGCGGCACCCGTTCCAGCAGCAACATCATTTATGAGTTCTGCTCCTCCGACGGTGATAACATTTTTGAGATTAGGATCATTTTCGAACATAGTTTGAACAACACTGACTGAGTCTGAACCATCCTCCGCAAAGATCAACAACTTTTCAGCTTTTGTACGTGCTTCTTTTGGTAGTGCCAATCTTCCACGTAAAGCATTCGTCAAATGCGAATCGATATTTGTACAAACATGTAACTCGTACGCATTTGAAGGTCTTGCAACTTCTACTGCTCGAAACAGCTTGACTGCTTCGCTCAAGTTCATCGTTTGATCATCTATTTTGCTTGTTTTCTTTTCTTCTTTTGCCTTTCCTCCCATTCGTGCTTCTCTTCGTGCTTTCAAGATTGCATTCTTTCCTTTACCTGGAGGTGATTTTCCCAATACGATAGGTGATGTTGAAAGCAGTCTCCGAGACGTCGATGCGAAACATTGCGCTCCTTGGCCTGCCGCAGAGAGGATAGAGGATGAAGCCAAAGGCAATGCCATGATTGCAGGTGAGTTATAGTGATGACGGTAAGCCTTGAAATGCAGAATGAGAAGATTGCAAGATGCTGCTACGCCTAAGCTACCAATTTTTCTTCCCTCTTTCTCTTGTCACGCGCGCTAAAGGATTGAGATTTAATCTTGCCTACGTAAGCAGCACCTTGAATAAGAAAAGCTAAATTATCCGAAGCACACTTTCTTCTTTTACTACGTTCTAATCGTCATCAAATAACACAAAATGGTGGCAAGGATAGCGATATCAAGGATACCTATAGCAGGTATAAGGCTGTCCGAGCCTTACTTTGCAAAAACACAATGCTTCATACTCGCCCGATCACATCAACAACGATTCTCCACCTTGCAACCTCTTCGGAACAATGCTCCACCAAAACCTTCTTTGAGCACAAGACAAAGCCTACAAGCACAAATGGAAGCACAGCGGGCTGAAACATACAAGAAGAGAAATCAATCACTGCTAATGTATACAGCAGCTGCATTTATCGTCGGAGTAGGAGTTACATATGCTGCCGTTCCACTCTATCGAGCTTTCTGTTCGGCAACCGGATTTAGTGGAACACCGATGGTAGGATTAGGACGATTCAGTCCGGATAAGCTGTTCCCGCAATATTTTGATCCTGCAACAAGGAGTGCTACTAAACGAATCCGAGTCACTTTCAATGCCGATCATAGCGACGCATTGCCCTGGACGTTCAAGCCAAGTCAAGATGAAATTTTCATTTTACCAGGAGAAACTGCATTAGCATTCTATAAAGCAAAGAACAAAGGTGATAAAGATATCACTGGGATTGCAACCTACAACGTAGCTCCTGATCGAATCGCACCTTATTTCGCAAAGATTGAATGTTTTTGTTTTGAAGAACAAAGATTATTGGCAAATGAGGATGTCGATCTACCAGTCTTTTTCTTCATCGATAAAGATGTCCTTGATGATCCAGCCGTACGTGATGTCAAGGATGTGGTCTTGTCTTATAGCTTCTTTGGTGCAAGAAGGAACGATGTCACCGGACAACTTGAGCCTGACACAGATCTAGAGAAATATACTGTCGGAAAGGATCTTTAATGTATGCAACAGCAAAAACGCATGTTTCACCCCTCATCTGTACTATCTCCCCCGCAACAATTGTATATTAGCACATCATCCGATAAGAATATCACGATCATATTGTGTAAACAGAGAAAAGAGACGACGAAGCATGAGTAAGGTACATGATAGATACAAAAGATTGAAATTGAAACTAGGCAAGGCTTGAGTTGTGTTTGCGAAAAGATGACGAGTATTGCAGAGTGGTGCGGGTTATTGCTGAGTGAATGGTTGTGTTGTATGTCGAAAAGGGTATCGCTGTTGGACTGGCTCGGTGGCGCTGTAATTGGGCGTTTCTGATCGTCCTCTCTACGTTGCACTATCTGTTGCCATAGCTGTATCTCCTTCATTCGCTCCTGATCCAGTTGCTGTTTCTCCTTCTCCATCATCAAGCCAAGATTGTTCAACTGTTGCTTTAACTCTTCGTACGTATTCTTTCATGTTTTCGCGATAGAGCGAAGCAGCTTCTGCATTAGCAGGACTGTTCGGGTTTGGATCGTGCAACAGACTCTGGACACTAGTCAAGATTGCAGCAACATCATAAGTGGGAGACCATCTGTTTTGCAAGATGTCCAAACACAATTCTCCATTTGCATAAACGTTTGGATGAAACATTTTTGATAAAAATTTGACTGTTGGCGGTTTATTGGGATATGATTCGTCAAACGTTAGGACTAGCTTAAACGTTCCATCTTCGAATGGAGTATCTGCCGGACCAAAGATTACCGCATTCCAAATCATAAGGTTGTCCGCACATGGTGCACCGGAAATGCCACCTGGAGGATCGGTTGACAACCTTTTGAAATCTCGAATCAGACGGCGCTTAGATGGCGTGGACTGGGAGGCACACGTGAAAAGAGAGAGTCAGATTAAGTCTTTCAAATGATCTCTTGTAACTTTTGTCATCTTACTCACCATGCTGCTGTGTAGTATAAAAGGTAAATGGTGGTCAAAATGAAACCTGTGACTTTAGTCAATATTTGCAAAACGCCAATTATTGCTAGAGACAAGAATTAGCCGGCTTTAACATTTATGTATTATGACTTGTACGGTACACTCCCCTTCTTCACTCAATTGCGCGTTTAGGCAATAAGGCGGCCAACCGCCGTTCATGTCACTCCACAGTCGTGTGCGTATGTGCAAGTTTAATGCATACGTCACATTAAAGCGGCCATCATGCAACCAACAACAACACCACGCACGCGATCAAGAGAACAGCCATCAGCGGGTAGAATAAATGCGGATAGATTGGAGGAAAACATGTTTGTATTTATGACTATAAGAGCTTATTGTGGCTTGCACTAAGCAATCACGAGCAATAGCTACCAATGCACGAAGGACATTCCGGGCCGTCAGGACAGTGAGAATCCAGGTCGCATTTTAGATTACAAGCGTTCTTTTTACCTTTCTTTGGCTGTTTTGATGACCAACCTGAATGCATACCCTATAGGCCATGATGTATCTATAAGCTTACCAAGTCTCTTGTCGAAGTCGAAGAAAGTCTACTCACCATCTTATGTGCAAGAACATCGCGTTTCTCCATGATACTGAATGATTGCTTGACCATCTGCGTCAATGATGAATTAACAAATAAAAGCAAGAGTAACATTGAGACAATGACCTTGAGAGAAGACATTTTCATATCACATCAAAGATCGTGAAGGAGATAGGAAAGATTAAGAATAAGATAAGACCGCAATTTATGGGTTTCACACTTCAAAGACAGATAGAGTAAATCGGCCAAGCTTCGGAGCGTTTGGCTACATAGCTTTCATAGCCATGGCATCAGGCTGTCAAGATGTTTGCGTTCTACCACGATTGGCTGTTCAGCTTTCATACCCATGCGTATAAGAAAGACAACGACAAGCAAACGCACAAATTGACTGAATGATAGCATTATGGTATATAAATAAAAGAATACAAGAAAGAGAGAGAGAGAGAGAGGTAAAATGCAATCATACAAAGTTGCCCGCAATCAGACCGCCTAATCCGACAGCACCAACAAAGATGCCTCGATTGGCTAAATGAACAAGAGCGTTTGAATCTTGCGGTGCAGGTAAAGTTGAAGCTCCAAATCCAACGAGAGCAGGACCGGGACATAATCCTGTAACGCCCCATCCTATTCCGAACAAGACCGAGCCAAAGATTAATTTGATATCGATACTTTTTCGATTTGGCAATCTCCATTTAGGTGAACTACGCCAATACAAAGGCTTGTCTTCTGTCGTGGCTGATTTCGTTTTGCTTCTCTCTACCCTCGGCTTCACATCTGCGAACCAGCCTATACTGCTTGCAACGATTCCACCCAAAGCAACAAAGGCCAGCGATGGATCCCAGTGACCTGATCTGATACGATCAGGCGAAAGGTTCAAAAATCCCAATACTTTTGACGGTCTCAACATTCCAGTCATTGCCAGTCCTAGTGCAAAGTGTAATCCGATCAAAAAGGAGGATGCCTTGCCTGCTTGTTCGTGCGTAGCCTTGAGCTCATCCTCCGTTACGCCTTTCTTTTCTGCTTTCGCTTTCACGAAATACGGTATGATGAACAGATAAAATACAGCCGGTATTTGCATCAATAGGACAGCCCATAAGCTTGGCAGGTCAGTCTGAGCAGCCAAGATAGCTTTTCTGGTAAACGGTTTGACTGGATTGACGAGCACGTTTGTAAGGACAGCAATACTAAAGAATGTCGCTGTGGCTGCTATAGATCGGAATGATAATCGAGAAAGACCACATAAGAAGTGCCCTGAAGTACATCCATTTCCGATCTTTGTCCCTAATCCAACCAAAAGGCCCCAAAGTGCGACAGGCACGAATCTTTCTACTGCTTGTTGGCTAAGGATTCCTGCTGAGAGTCCTTTGCCGATTTGGAATTTGATATCATGAGCATCAAAGATGGGCATCCCCAAGCCTATTTCTAGTGGCGTCCTTGATGCTGCCAACAAAGCGCCTCCTGCAATTAAGCCATGAATGAATAACCTTGACGATGATGCGTTTGCATTGTCTGATTGTTGGATTGCGTCATCTTCGGGTGAAATGCTGTGATGAATCTTTTGTGGGTCTTGTTTGTGATTTGATTGCTCCTCTTTTGCTTCTGTGTCAATACACATGTTTCTGACATTCGTATGAAAGAATCCACTTATCCCTAATACCATTCCTAGTTCACGCAACATAGCATGAACACCACTTGCTAACATCAATCCACCAAGAAAAGAGTGAAGAGGCGTGAAACCCGGAGCGATTTGCAATGCCATCTTGGATGATATCTGATTGGATGGTGGGACAAAAGGAGGTACTTGCTTGTTTTAATCTGTCATTTGTTTAATCCATAAAAGAAAGGGTGAGGCTCGTGCACTTTTGCTCCTATGTCATAGTTTGTGACTACAACAAACATTTGAGCAAGCAAGAAATGTTGATCACCTTTAAGCTTTAATTTTACCCAAAGCCGTGTGTTTGTGAAAAAATAAAAAACACGCCAAATTATAGTGCGTGTGAATGTTATTGTTTGATTTATTAATTTTTGTGGCTGGGCACTATCTCGTCGGAAACTTGGATTGGGGGGAAACCGCGATTACTTAATCGGCACTCTCTCTTTGGGTTCAAATTTGTCACGCGCCAAGTGAACAACGTACGCCCTGCCGCTAAGACTGCATTTCTTCTATTTTTTACACAACCTTTACTAAAATATCTTCCAGATCACCATCGTATTCCATCGCGGCCAGCCTGTATTGACGATGAGGAATACAAACAAAGCGCTAATAGCGCAAGCACAAGCGTGCATGCCAGGTAGCAGTAACGGCATGAGAATACTGACTGCACGTATGGCAACCGCTTCATTGCGTCCTTCCACTTCCATCGCAAAACCGAACAGCATTCGACTGATTCATACAACACAATCAGCCAATGCAACCCCGTCAACCTCTTCTGCCGCTACAAATGAATCACCTGTTGTAGATCCAACCACGCCAACACCAAGTCCAAGATGGACACCCGCTTCAAGACGGGTTGGTTTAATTGCCAAAAAAGTGGGAATGACGACATATTTTGCACCTGATGGAAGAAGGCTAGCGGCAACCGTTTTACAAGTATCTTCTAACCAAATTTCTGCACAAATCGGTTTTAGTGCACCTGCCACAACGCCAAACGGACAACCGATCAGTCCAACCAAACTTGCCGCTCGAATGGCATATACTGCTTTACAAGTTGCCGCAACGGATTCATACAGCAATCGTGGAATTTCTAAAGCAGAACGTGGTCATTTACAAAGAGCGGGTATCACAAGCGATAAAAAGATCTTGCACGAATTCAAAGTGACAAAAGATGCAATCGTACCCTTGGGCACAAAGCTTTCTGCAGTACACTTTGTACCCGGTCAAAAGGTTGATGCACAATCCAAAACGAGAGGAAAAGGATTCCAAGGTGTGATGAAACGTCATGGTTTCCGCGGTTTACGTGCATCGCACGGTACATCTTTGGCACACAGATCACACGGTTCTACCGGTCAAAATCAAGACCCTGGTCGTGTTTTCCCCGGAAAGAAGATGGCAGGTAGAAAGGGTGGAAGATTGAGTACGATGCAAAATTTGGAAGTTTTACGAATTGATACAGTGAACGATTTGGTGATCGTACAAGGCAATCTTCCTGGACCAGAAGGCGGACATGTTTTCTTGAGCGATGCAAAGAAGGCTTTAGTTGCTCGTGCTTCTAATGCTTTCCGTTCAGGAAAATTACCCGATCATCAAGGTATGGCCACAGGTGAAGAAGCAGCAACTGCTTACCTTCCTCAAGGTGTCGTGGATTTGCCATTCCCTGCAGGCACTGACCAAATGGCCAAGGGCCTTCCTCAGGTCATCGAAGTAGGTCCCAAAGAAAGCTCTTGACCTGTTCGTTTAGAGATTCAATTCATGTGTAAAAGTAGTATACAATGTATGTCTGTTATCTAGTTGATGCGTGTTCAATCACTTTTTTTGTACGCGATATAGATGCGTGCCTTGTCTATTGTATTGTTTAGCTCGTTCTGGGTCATCATCTTCAATGTCGGTAAAGGTAAAATGCTTTCGCAGCATTTTGAAGAATCTCTTGTCGGCTTTCCTGCGTTGTTGATAGCAGAATAGGATCTCCGTTTGAGGTGTGCTCATTTCCACCATTGTGTCTACCAGAGGTTGGAAAGCGATTTCTAGGTAAACGCAATCTGCCAGCAGAAGAACATCGGGATGTGTGGTTACATCTTCCGGAACAGCTTCTCCCCAATTAAGCTCTGCAACGATACATCGCTCTCTTAAATCTGGATTCAAGTCCAAATTCTGCGCCATCAATTTCATCATGGGGATTTGATCAGTTATCCAAACTTTTTCCAAATCTCCCAACTGTGCTGCCAATAATCCTACCAATCCTGTTCCTGCACCTAGTTCGACTGCTTGCTTGCCTTTCCATTCGCCACCAGTACGCTTCGAGGCGATATACTGTCCCAACACTTCAGCTGCTGGCCAAATCTTTCCACCACAACCCGTAGTTACGTCCAATGCCAAAGCAACATCAAAGAAGTCTTCCCAAGTACCTTGTCGGGCTTGTTCTGTATCATTTTGTTTGGTGGTACCTTGATGTCCACTCGAGATGATTATCGGAGTTTTGTAGGGATCCTTGTAATATCGTACAATGGCACGTTCATCAATGATACTGGGTAATTGTTGTGGTACTAAACCATTACGTTGTAAACCATCTTGTTCTCCAACGTCGCTTTGATCATCGCCTTGACCGATAAATGCATCGAATGGATTCAGATCCGGTGTGAGAGATCGCCGTCCGTTTGCATCTGGCATATTGCTTCTCTCTTTGTGAAGGTCAAGAAGAAAGTGACACGAAGAAATGACACAAGCGGGGCTTACGCAGCGGAGATAAAGCGCGACATTATTTGGTCAATGCATCAAAAATACAATCAAGACCTTCTTCATTCACTACCATCAGCGTGTGTGGGATTAGAGAAGGGGGTCATTTGTGATCATGTCTGACAGGAAGAGGTCGTCTTCGGATATGGCAGAAGGAGGGTCTGCGTCCACATCAAAAGACGTACGAAGTGATGCTACCAATCCATCTTCTTCTTCACAAGGTCAACAAGCAAGGCGGACAAGACGCTTAGACATAGACCCATCAAAACGTGGAAATCGAATGTTTGGCTTGCTGAATTCAACTCTAGCAAAAGCAAAAGAAGACAACGAAAAGAGAGTAGAAGCCGCACGTAAGCGAGCAGAAATTGAAGCTCGTCTCCAGCAAAAGTTGCAAAATGAAACAGTACGACAAAAACAGTTGGAAGAGCTGAGCAAGAAATTGAAACCATTGGTGCGACAACTGCATGAGATCGCGATCGAGATCGAATCGAAAGAAGCGGCTATTCGTTTACGAAAAGCACAGAAGCGAAGATTGGCAAGCTTTTTGATCACGACGAGCGAATTGAGTACGTATGACGGAAAGATTGCAAGACAAACTTCGGTTGATGAAAAAGTTCTTGCGCCAGATGTTACTCTGACATTGGCACCAATCGGACCAAGACATCCAAAGTTGGTCATGAGACCAGATTCTCATCCGATCTACTTTTTGCCAAAGAAGAATTTGAACACTCAAGATGATCGCCTAGACGAACAGGAGGATCGAGTAGATGACGAGATCGATGATGCTGATAAGGCCTGGGGAACAGAAAAAGCGCATTTGCAGGATAAGATGAATGCTTTGAAGGATACCATACTTGACATCAAATCAGAAATGGACAAAATTGAGGCAGGGCAAGGAGAAAGATCTATAAAAAGCGGGAAAGACAAGGCAGACACGGAGATGCAAGAGGTAAAAGCAGAAGACCACAATGATGACAAGATGATGGAGACGGGCGCTTAATAGCACCGAGAGCATTGTATTTATAGCACGAAAGAATTTTGTACATCATGTAATATATCAAACGAATCCGAATTTGGCTCGTTCGACGATTTTCTCTGGCGTCATTGCAGCCAATTCGTCAATCAAAGCAGGAATGAATGTACCGGAACCTTTAACATCTGATCTTTCTGCTGCAAGTTCGGAAGCGATGTTCATTGAAAGTACTCCCATAAGGGCACCAATGAAAAGCCAATTGGTATCTGAATGAACCATAAAGCTGCCCAAGTGTGTTGTCGGTAATTTGTTGTGCTTTGTGAAGTTACAAGCGGCTGCCATACTTGCCGCAACCACGACACCCAACGCACATCCGCTACCTGTGATACGACCTAGAAGTTCATGACCGTTTGAGACCTTTACAGCATGTTGTCCGTTACTCAAATAGTCTTCTTTTCCTGTCAACAAGACCAGACACTTTTCTTTGCATGCCATAGAAACGACAAGATTTACTGGATCTTTCAAGGTTCCACTTCCACTGTCCACTCCCCTTGATTGAATGTCTTCCAGACCTGAGATAGCACTCAATTCGGCGGCATTTCCTTTGAGTAATGTGATTTGTGTATGATTCATTATTTCTTCCACCACACCTTTACGGAACGAAGATGCTCCAACACCGACAGGATCCAACACCACTGGCTTTCCACCTCGGTTAGCTGCACCACCGACCGCACGCATTCCTCTTCTTGCTTCGTCACCGATCGTTCCAATGTTTAGCACAACTGCTCCGGTGACCTTGCCTAAATCTTCCGCCTCAGCTTCTTGATGGCTCATAATCGGACTTGAGCTAAATGCCAAAGCAATGTTAGCTGAAAGTGTTGATGAGACGTGCGAAGTGAGCGTTTGAATGAGTGGCGGTCCATATTGGCTTGCTCTGTGGAAACGCAAAAGTTCAGCAATCTTGTTGATCGTGTTTTTTTCAATGTCATAAGAAGTAAAAGGTGGTTCGCCGGCACCGAATTCTTTGGCATGGGAATCAAAAGCTTTCTTGAATGATTTGACAATTTTGGCTAAATTTGCGGCAGGCACTGAAGGTGTTGGATGAGCGACGATTGCACTGATTACCGCAATTCCATCAGGCCAATTACTATCACATACTGCGCCGAACAGCGTACCAGCAGCAGTCTTTTCGTTCAAACCTCCAATCAAAACGCACGGTAGCCTCTTTGGTACTTTTTCGAGTGCTTGCAATATGCGACTTGCACCTCTTGGACCGAGAACGTCTTTTTCTTCAATTCCTGCTTTGCTCTTTGTTCCGTATACGGGTCCAACACCGACGTAGTCCACTATATCAAGGTCAACTGCAGCTTCTGCTTGTTCAACGTTGTGAACAGATAATCCCAAATGCCTGTTCGGTCCAAGTATCTTTCTTGCTTGTTGAACGGGTATGTCCGTTTGTCCGATATGTAAACCAACTCTTTCCGGTAAAGCCAAAGCGACTGAAAGGTTATCATTGATCAGCATTGGAACTCGGTACTTGTCACAAATCTTCAAGCTTTTTTCTGCAATTTCTAGAAATTCTCCCGAGTCGATATTCTTTTCTCGTAATTGCACAACGGTAACATGTCCGTCTTTGAGACTTTCTTCTAGGGATTCATAGTAATCTTTGCCTGGCGGTAAGAGTTCTCTTCCTGTTACCAGGTAAAGAGAATAGTCGATGACCAGCTTTCTTCCTAACATTTTTTGAGATTGTGGAAGAGTGGAAGGAAGGTTAAAGGGATTACTAACTATGCAGGAAGAATGTCTAATTTCTCGGAAATGCACTGACGTTTTAGCGGAAATCTTATCATTGTTCATTCATTGGTCCCCTTCAGCTTTTGATTGCTACGCGTTCTAAAATTAATAAGACTTTTTCGCAAACAGTTGCTTAAATCGGTATTTTAATTGGTTGTATTGCAATCACTCCACCCTTCAAAACCAACATTCATCGTCATCAAGTCATCATCATGAAGATCACATCCAAACACATAGAAAGGGATGGATCAGGGAGTGTATCACTTATACCAGAAGAAGATGAAGATTTGTACCACATTTACAATTTACTCAATATTGGTGATCAAGTAAGAGCACCAGCAGTACGAAATGTGAAATCTGAATCAAGTACAGGATCAATAGAATCACATAGAGTAAGAGTCACTCTCACAATTCAAGTAACAAAAACTTATTTTGATGCTACGGGATCTAGTGCTCCTCCAGACCCAACAGCAGCAGGAGGTGCAAATGCAGTAGCAGAAGGAGAAGGATCCATAACAGGTGCACTTGGAGGGGGAAGTGGCGGCGAAGGGGCAACGATGCAGGTCTCAGGAAGGGTGGTAGCAGAGAATAAACATGTCAAGATGGGAGCTTTCCATACATTGGATTTAGAGGTTCATCGTCAACTGACAATCATCAAAGATAGCTGGGATAGCATACACTTGGAAAGGTTGAGCGATAGTAGCGATGTTGGACAGAGAGCGGAAGTCGGAGCTGTTGTTCTGGGAGAAGGTACAGCTGTTGTTTGTCTGCTAACAGAGCACATGACAGTCATACGACAACGGATAGAGGTGCCCATGCCTAGGAAGCACAAATCGCTTCCCTCATCTTCAAGTGGCGATAAAGCACATCTTCGATTCCTTTCGTTGGTATATGAAGCAGTACTCAAATTGCTAGGGTTGCCAGCTTTGCGTCTCATCATTCTAGCAAGTGCCGGTTTCACAAGGGATACAGTATACGAATACCTATTCTCAGAAGGGATAAAGCGAGGCGAAAAGCTTCTGACAGGTAGCGAAGCAAAGCGAAAGTTCTTACGGATACACGTCAGCAGTCCACATGTTCATAGCTTGATGGAAGTTCTCAAAAGTCCAGAAGTGAGTTCACAACTGAAAGATACCAAATTTGCAAGAGAAGGTCAAATGTTAGACAAATTTCAGCGGATGTTGGCTTCTGATGAATTACGAGCGTGGTATGGCGAATTTCATGTGATGATGGCTGCCGCTCGTGGTGCGATCGGATCTTTGCTCATATCTGATGGCTTATTCCGAGCAAGTGATCCTGCACGCAGAAAGCATTTTGTTCAATTAGTCGAAGATGTTCGAGCGCAAGGAGGTGATGTGAGCATATTCAGTGGAATGCATGAAACAGGTCGTCAATTGAATGGGCTGACGGGTATTGCGGCTATTCTACGATACCCGTTGGACATCGAAACAGCCGAAGAAGAGGACCGAGAGGAACAAGAACGATTGAAAGCACAGGCTGATGCGAATAAGCAAGCCGCATAGATACGATTTATAGTCGCTCCATATTCATATCCGACAACCATAGAATGCTGTATACCATGCTTCAAATACCAAAAGATGTGCAAATGTCGTCTATGCCGTGTGTGAGAGAGAGATGATGTATTCCATCTACTTGATACAATTATGTCTGTCTGAGTTTATTGCTAATCATCGTATCCGGTCACTTGTTCTCTTGGTCGGTCTGGTACTGCATAGAGAAGTAGCGAATGATCAACAATTGTTCTAGCTGCATTCTTACGTCTGCATCACTTACGAGGAAACGTAGAAGGGATTCTCTCTGTTGGTACCCATCCAAAGCTGCGACGAATTGGTGGTACTGTGACGACGGCGACAGGTCCTGTTTCGAGGTGAAGATATAGATAATTAGGATCTAGTCGGTCATGTTTACCACACAGATGTACATACCAACTGCTCCGATTATAATGGCGAAGAAGATTGTTGGGTTCTCGTGAGCTTGACGTTGCTGTGAGACGTAAGAAAAGGAAGGTGAGATGTCAGTCAGGATGTCGTACTGTTTGGCTCGATAGCCGCATTGTGAAACGCACCAAGTATTTGAACGTCGATCTGAACGGGTTTCCTATTGACGACATGATGTATGTTGATCTAAGGTCGATCCCGAATAAGAAATATGTAAAAGGATGATGGCAATGAAGCGCGATAGAGACAGAGAACACTGACTAGCTTGTCTTGTTGCGCCAATCAGCATGCAAGCTTCTCAAATACGAATTAGCCTTGCTTAAGGCGCGTATGCCCAGGATAGCACTCACTCACTCAACCCCAGAACACGTGAAGATAAGATTTTGGAAAAAGTGGCTAACGAACAAGAAGAATGTATGCTCAACATGACTTCCATCTTATTCAAGTGTAGACTGTATACTAGAGACCTTGCATGCTTTGTCGCATTGGCATATTCAGAAGCAGAGCAGGACCGGCAGTTCGAATGATGAGCTCAAGCGGGATGACTAGCTCCTCTACAGCAGAAGGAAGTGGAACATCAGCTCGAGCGCCAAGACCATTACGAAGGATACCTACGTCACCATACCCATTGAAACAACTTCATCCATCTAGCTCAATACCCAGATTTCCACTCATTGCACCTGAAACGGAAGAGGCAAAACAATACGCCGAAAGCAGTATCGATGGAAGCATATTACAGCAAGCCAAGAAAGCATTTGAGCAGGTCCGACCGGTTCTAGCAATCAATGTTCCGGCCAAGCAGACATCGCTTTTCCAAAATCATCAACATCTGAAACAGAATGTATTGAGAGTACCAAGATTGCGGCCGCTAAAATCTGATCCGAATGATCCAGATCGAAGGATACTGCTTTTCAATGTGGAGAAACTGGAAGATTTGTCTACAGAGGGACAAGAAGTGCTGCGATCTGCGGAAGCGGAAGGAACATTGAATATCACATCTGACGAAGTACGGGCCGAATACGATCACTGGAATGCAGATGATGTACTTTCTGCTTTACTTCCTGAAGGATTACCAGAAGGCACACCAACAGCATTTACGACAACAGGTCATATCGCACACGTCAATCTACGTGACGAATATGCTCCCTATCGATTCATTATCGGACAGGTGATCTTGGACAAAAATACAGCGATTCGAACTGTTGTCAATAAACTCGATACGATCGATAATGAGTTCAGGTTCTTCAAGATGGAGAGATTGGCAGGCGATGATGATTACATGGTAACGCTTTCGGAGAGTGGCTGCTCGTTTACCTTCGACTTCCGAACGGTATACTGGAATTCAAGACTGCATACTGAGCATGCGAGACTTTTAGATATCTTCAAGCCGTTTGAAGTGATTAGCGATGTAATGGCTGGCGTTGGACCGTTTGCTGTACCCGCAGCAAAGCGGGGCTGCCATGTATTGGCAAACGACTTGAATCCTGCAAGTTATGAATCCATGTTGGTCAATCAGGTGAAGAACAGAGTAGAAGATCGTTTAAAGCCATTCTGTGAGGATGGACGTGCATTTATACGAAACAGTATCAAGCTTTGTTGGGAAAAGCCTTCTGATGGAACGCCTGTATCAGAATTGGATCGAAAGACTGTTTTGAGCAGCAATACGTCCAAACAACGAGCGAAGAAAGAGCATGCACGAATGAACCTTATTCAGGCTGTTCCTGGTGCAGCTTCTATGGAATGCGGTCCACCAAGACGATTGATCGATCATTTCGTCATGAATTTGCCTGCGACAGCTATTGAATTCTTAGACGCTTTCCGGGGGGCATACAAGGACATTGCTGGAGAGGAGTTGGAGAAGGAACTTGAAAGGCGTTCAAACACAGAAGGAAAAGAGACAGTATTTCCAATGGTGCACGTACACTGCTTCACAAAAGATCTCGAAGAACCTTATCGAGACATATGCCAACGTGCAAACAAGGCTATGGGCATACCTGAGGATTCACCTCATCGTCTCATTCCACCTACCGAACAAGAGAATGGCGATGCAAGCACTGCCATGCAAAACCTCTCATTAGCCCCTTCTGAAACAAGCCTCCATCTGGTCCGCTCCGTTGCACCCAACAAGGACATGTATTGCTTATCATTCCGACTCACTCGTGCAATTCTTTTTGATACCATCTGATAGAATGTAATAATATCTGTATTATCCGCATTAATAATAGCAATGTACTGTATGTTACTCGAATCTGTGAAAGAGGTTGTGCGCTCAACTTCTCTTGGTTCCTTGACCCAAAAGGAAGGGGAAAGGTTCAGCTTTCCCATCGACAGTCTTGTCCAATGAGAAACTATTCTCTACCACGATATCTTTCAGATCTGCTTGTTGTATTATACTTTGCATCTCTTCTTTTGTCACACCATGTCGTTCGACATCATGATGTTTGCTTGCTGGGTGGAATCTGAGTGCATGTTGGCCATCATTCTCAAAATCCGAAAGAACAACTTTGCCTCCTGGTTTCAGCGTGCCAGCCAAAGTCTTCACAACGCTTGCCATATTGGGAATATGATGAAGTGCCAGGTGCACAACAGCAAAATCAAATTTCTCTCCCTCCAAAACGGAATCATTTGGATCTTCAAGTAACTTGACAAATCCTTTCATCTTTTGACCACCTGGAACGGTATCTTGCTTTGCATTAAACATGCTAATCATTCCATCAGACGTATCCACTCCGACCACTTTTGCAACACCTTCACAGCCCGCTAAACGTTGTGAAAGCAATCCTGTTCCACAACCTAAATCCAAAAATGTCAGCTTGGCATCGGATTTGGACAGCTCAGGTATACGTTTAACTAATGCTTCAAAGAACGCTTGAGAAGATTGAACGGTTTCGGGTTTGCTGTCCCATTTCAATGCTTCGCTATCGAATCGATTTTCCACAGACATCTTGTATCGGTATGAGTTGGAAGTGTAGAGAGAAAAGGTATTACCAAGTGATTTCTTGAGTAATATGTCACTTCTTTGCAGAACCTTTTGGTACGGGATCAATGCACCTGATGAAGGTGGGAAGAGGAGCCATCATTACCAATTCACATCACAAACGCACACCCCCCCCCCCGCGTTGAATTTAAGCTGCAGGCATGCATACAATAATACAATTATACAGTACCGTTCCTGTGGGGAAATTCAAGCCACGCTAAAAGTGTCACAAGATCAAACATTATTCATTACAATTTCAACAACGTCTTTGCATTCTTGTATGCTATTCCTTCCCACTGTTCTTCATTCACCAATCCGCTCGATTTCAGCTTCTCCATGAATTCTTGACCACTTTGAGTTGTTGAAAATGGATAATCGATACTATACATTATTCTTGAAGGATGAATCACTTGAAGCATACATGCGATCGGACCAAGTCCAAACATTCCACTGGTCGTAAACCAAAGGTTTTCCTTCCAAACGGTTTCGAACGTTCTGGTTTGTTTTGCGCCTTCAGGTCCGATCGAGAACCATCTCAAACCCTTTACGATTCGATCATAAAAGAATGGTAAACCTTCTCCGTCATGTCCCAGAACGATCTTCAACTTGGGAAAGCGTTCAAACAATCCTGATGAGAATAAACGCAGAATATGAATCGCAGTCTCTGAATGCCAACTCAAAGCAGCACTAGAAAGCATGCCTGCAACAACTGGAGGATAATGACCTGCATGCTTGCTCGATGATCCAAGTTGGGCTTTTTCACTGTGTGGAGAAGGTGCAAACGTTGGATGAAGATAGATGGGTACGTCCAATTCCTCTGCAGCTTCAAAGACCGGCCAAAAAGAGGGATTGTCATATCGCTCACCATCAGCCGTATGATCATCTAAAAACACACCCAAAAATCCTTGAGAGATGCGTAAACGTAATTCTTTGATGGCCGCATCTTGATCACGCATATTGAGCCAAGCAAATCCTTTGAATCGGCTTGGATTTTGTTGAATTGCTTTGAATGCAGTCTCATTTGCTTGCTTGCAGGTTTCTGTGGAAGGTTCATTTGGCAGACAAACGGGAGCATGAGATAAGATTTGCAATTGCACATTACCGGCATCCATATCTTTTATTCTTTGTTCACCTACGTCCACCAACTTTTCTGTTAGTGAAGGAAGTACAACAAATGAAAGATCTACACCCGGATGCCAGTCCTTGATCGCATTTACATCTTGATGAGCTGCAATCGTTTCTGGCGTCATGAAATGCTCTTCGAGCGTGATGAAGCCATGTTCTAAAGTCATTGTGTTGATGGTTTGGAACAATGCAATAAATAGGAAGCAAGCACACCTCTTATCTATATGCACGCTGAGCCAAAAATGCTGAGCGGTAAGTTGGTGCCGATTGCCATTCTTGCATGGTTGCTTTGATGGTTTGTACCCGCTTCTTCGGTTTTAATTGTACGCTAGCGTGTAGGGCCGGCGGCTTTGATTGTGTGCAGCAACATTAGTTTGTGGTTATGTTTATCGAAAATGTGGCTGAGAAATCAGGATCAATTGCCAAGCTCTTTGCTATTTACTGAGCGCCACAGCAAAGACAAAGCCGTACGGAGCCGTAATTAAGTAAAAGGAAATGACCAGAAACTTGGGGGATCATGTGATTCCACTCTCTCCTTTTTCACCATCACTTCAATGTACAAGATCCAGCAAAGCGATTTTCTGAACAGGATGATAGCACCTTTCTCAATCATTGCACTTGTTGTCGCCTTTCCCTTTCATGTGCAATCAGCCGGAACGGGCTACCAACCAACTCCCCAACATGATCCTTATCCACCTGGTTCGCCTCAGCCATTGCCAAAATGCACCGGATCAGTAGTGTGAGTATTTGGTTACAGAAGCAGTGTGAAATCGGACTTTATTTTTATTTTCTGTTCTGTCAGACTCAACTGTTTGAGCGCAACGAATTGCCAACACAGCAGTCAAACAATCGTTGCTACAAGTAACTGCAACCATCTTGTTTCAGGAGCATGTGGATTGCACACATTCTGCTGTGCATCTTGCCCTTAATATAGTCGCTTTTAGAGGCAGAATTATGATAATATATCTTTTTTGTCGTATATCTAGTACTCAGGCTCTTAAGGAGGAAATCAACGAGGCAGCGCAAAGTGGAGAAGATTTTGTATTGAGAAGAAAAAAAAACATAAGTTGAGGTAAATGCTACCAGAATATCGTCTCGAAGCTACCAGAGCTCGAAAACTATCTTGCAAGGAATAAAGACATCCCTTTTAACTCTTACTGCCTTTTTGATGAGAGTACGGAGGCGATTGCCAAGGTTGAGGTCGTTCTTTGCTGCCACCCCAAATTTTGTTTTGATCAGCTTTTTGACTAGCAATATAATCATGTACTTCTTTTTGCGTTTTATCCTTTTCTGCTTGAGTTTTGTCCTTTACTGAAGCAGTTTGGTCATCTTTGCCTTTCTTGTTTGAGCTACTACTGCTGCCATTGCCATCCTTCGTAGACGGTACAGGAGAACCAACTACAGGCTCGGCTGCCATGATTAAAGCTAACAAAAATGTAGCCGTAGCGAAAAGAGAAATAGCCAAGGAACTTCGCATATCGTAAGTGAAGGATTCAGTCAATTGCTGATGGTGGTTTTTCTTTACATGTGGATTGAAAGAGAGAGTATAGATATATACTTTGAAAGCTCCTCAACATACACAGCTCTCTTAGCTGTATACGTTTCATGCACCGAACAAATTCTATCTTACGGAGCTTCATTCACCGCCTCTATTTCAAGTCGAACGCACTACGAAGGTTTTAATAATACAGGTGCAAAGAATTGATGGAAATGGTATTTGAATGAGGCGTTGCAGTGTATGCAGTGGCACTGCCATATATATATATATAAACGAACGCTACAACAAGCTATATTCCTCTACTAGAGGCAGTGTCACATAAGAGTCAACTTCATAATACAGCATACGCAATGTACAAACAAAAAGGCGTCATTTGTCGCAGTTATTACCTTCGTACTTCCTTAATACATTCAGTGATCCTTTCTGCTAACGGTAATCACATAAAAGGGCTGTGTGTCACAGCTTGATCATGGATATTAGATGACAATTTGTTTTCAGGCAGTGCAAAATGATCATGAAGATTAGATAACAATCTCATTTCAGGCAGTGCAAAATGATCATGGATGTGGGTATAGGGTGAATTTAGAACACGATAATGTTCATTGTTTCTGACTGTAGCGTCTCTCTTTCCGTCCTGTTCCTAAACGTAAATTGTTGCCAACACAGCAATTCAATGATCGTTGCTACATTCAATTTAGAGTATATTCTGTCGAAGGTACTTAGGGATACCAATTATGGCTTGGTCTTATCATAAGGTCAACCTACCTGCTGTCCTTCTGCTTTTAATCGTGCGCGATAAGCTCTTGTTCGATCTCTTTTTTTCCGCTTCCTTATCTCATCTAATTTTGGATCAGCCTTGATCATCGATTCACGTTTGATTCTACTGGCAACTCTCAGTTTATTTAGTCTAGCGTGCTTTTCAGGATCTGATTTGATTTGTTTCCAATATCTTTCTTTTTGAACTCTGATGGCTTCTTTTTGAGAAGGTGTCAGACCAATGCCCTTTCGATTAAAGTATGTAAGAAAGAAGACTGCTTTTTAGTAAATTCATCATAGCAACTTCTGCTTAATAATCTTACCAGTTCTTTGTTTCTTTGCCGATCGATCCTACGTTGAAGTGCATACCGTCGCTTAGCCTCTTCGCTACGCTTTTTGCTACCGGTATTACCACCTCTTTCGCTTTTATGTTTCAAATTAGTCAACGATGGCGTCTCACCATTTATATAAGAGCCTTGGGCTTTGATATGTGCGACATCTTCTGCGATAATTGTTCTTGCTTGAGAAACATGATTGCCAACCACTTTTTCTGTTACCGCTTGAGGCTGGTTACTGGCCTGATCGCACCCTGTAACTAGCTGCTGAGACGAAGTGACCATTCTGTCTGAATTACTCCCACTAGGGCTGGTTGTGGGGCTGTGCTGCGAAAGATTCAGCCATTGATCCACATCAATATTGCTCTCTTCTGATGAAGACGTAGCTGTCGAATAACAGAAGAAGAATCTCAAGCCAAATATCAAGGCGATATAGGCATTCATTGAATAGAAAGTCCAACTGGACAATGTATCCAACGAAGTTTAGTAGAAATGATTCTGAAGAGATAAACTATGGTCAAGCTTACGCATTTGGTTTATGCCCCGTGCATGCGTCCATTTTCCAGTCACTTCTACACAGAGCTCCAACCATCTTGATTCGAAGTGATGGATCAGAGCCACAATCACACAATTTCGTCACCAAAAGGGGCCATAAATGTTTTGCAAATTTATGTCATAGGCCCGACAAATGAATTGTTATACGACCATCAAGATAAAAAACATATGTCAACTTTCTTCCGCTTATTTCCGAATAGTTGATTTCTATTGATTTATATTATATCTGTAAACAATTTCAAAATTTAATCCTAGCCAAGGACTTCAGTGAGATTCGTATATCTGCAAGCTGAGAAATAAAGTATGTATCGATCACATCTCAACCTAGAATAATTATCTATCACGTGGTTAGATAGCTGTTTGAGAAGATCATATAGGTGTACGAGCATGCTTATAGATCAAGTGAGCATATATAAAGCCCTTAGAAAGGATGCACTGCTGGTAAAAGTAATTTGATATGCGGTATTGGAATGGTAGATACGCCTTTTATTCTTTCCGGGTTTGTCCCTCTCTGGGACAGGATGTAATCACAGGAGAGATTAAGAGGGTCAAGAGGAAAATTAGAGACAAATTAAATATATCCTATCCATCATTCCGATTCCGCCATCTTCAAGGGGTAGTTAATATACATCTATCCTTCATCAAAATTTTCAGCCCTTTTTTACACCTCAAATAAACCCTACCCTTTTAAATGTTTCTTTGTTTCATACTCCCACCCCTCATTATCTTTATCAAGATATCAATCAAATAAGTAAAACATGTAAGAATCTGTAGATACAGATCAATTTATTGACTTTTTCTGTTCTCCTTTGAAGTAGAATCATGAAGGGAAATACGATTCTATTCTTTGCTATGGCTTGCGTACTGTGCGCTTTTGCTGTCACAGTCAATGGTTTGCCAACAGAAAACTTTGCTATCGAACGCGATGTAGCAGAACCATCACACAATTCAGTTAATAAAAGGGGCCATGCATGTTCTCCAAATTTATGTCATAAGCCCGACAAATAAATTGTTAAACGACCATCAAGATCCAAATATATATGTCAACTTTCTTCCGCTTATTTCCGAATAATTGATTTCTATTGATTTATATTATATCTGTAAACAATTTTAAAATTTAATCCTAGCCAAGGACTTCAGTGAAATTTGTATATCTAGAAGGTAAGAAATAAGCTATGTATCGATCACATCATAACCTAAGTATTTTGTTTGATAGATGATAAAGATGTACTAAGGTGGCCTATAGATCAAGTGAGTATATATAAAGCCCTTAGAAATAATGCATTGCTGGTAGCAGCAATCTGATGTACGGTATTGGAATAGTAGATACACCTTTTGCTCTTTCAGATTTTCCCCCCTTATCTCGGACAGGACTTAATCACAGGAGAGATTGAGAGGAGGGTCAAGGGGAAAATTGGAGATAAATTGAATATGTCCTATCTATCATTTCGATTCTGCCATCTTTCAAGGGGCAATTAATATATATCTAAATTAATCGAAATTTTCAGCTTTTTTATACCTTAAATAAGACCTGCTCTTTTAAACGTTCCTCTGTTTTATACTCCCACCTCTCATTATCTTTTTTAAGATTTTAATCAAGTAAAACATGTAAGTGATCAATGAATCTGTAGTTATTGAACAGTTTGTTGACTTATTCTGTTCTCTTTGAAAGTATAATCATGAAGGGAAACACAATTCTATTCTTTGCTATGGCATGCGTACTGTGCGCTTTTGCTGTCACCGTCAATGGTTTGCCAACAGAAAACTTTGCTATCGAACGCGATGTAGCAGAACCACAATCACACGAACTTGCTAAACGAATCAAAGTAAGATGCCAAGGCAGTAAGTGTGCTTATCCGTAATGATTACATAGTAGCATTGGTTTTATCAGAATATATTTGTCAACCTTATTTGATAAGAAATTACACATGTCTACTTTATTTTCAATATCATTCGAATCACCACTAAGCAATAGGTGTAACTGCTGATTGAACAAGATGAAAAATGCAAGGTAAGCTATGTTAAGATTACCTTTCAAACTGAGCAAAACCTCTCATAAATTGGCTAAATACCTGTCAAAAATGAACATACATACAAATAAAGTGTGCCTGCGATTATATACGCAAAACCAAACCTCATGTAATTTGTGGCTTGCCCGGCACAAGCAGTCTTACAAGAGATATAGTACGGAAAATACGTCATTCCTTCTATCGGATTCTTTTCCCCTATAAGTCAATTGCTTTTAATTACATCATTCGAGGTACTCTTAGGGGTCAACGGTTTAGTACGGGAGGGAAAACAGCCGTTCCTTTTTCATCATTCCAGCTTCTAGGTCTTCCGAAGAATTTTATTGCTGGCGACGAATATGAGAAGTTGCATACCACATCCATTCATTCCGTAGCCGTCTTCCATTCGAGGGGTCAATAACATATCTCTTTAATATGAAGTTGAGGGCTATAAATACTGCCCCATATCAACCGTTTTTTTTGTCCCCCTCACAAACACTCCTCAATATTTCAATTTCATCGTCCTCGTCAACGTAAAACTCTAACAAACATAGTAAGTTGTCAAGAAGAGCTTCGATACAGATCAATTGGTTGACAGTGATTAATCTTTCTTAAAATAGAATCATGAAGGGAAGCAAGATTTTGATCTGTGTCATGGTAAGCGCACTTTGCGTGTTTGCTATCTCAACTCAAGCTTCTGCAATCAAGCGTGACGAAGAAGAAGTACAATTGTACGATTTCGTCAAAAGAATTATTCCTGCGGTCGATACTAACCCAAAATGTGACACCAGTAAAACGTGCAAAGTTCTTTCGGATTGTCCACAGCCGGAATGTACAGCATGCTCGAGCGGTAAATGTGCTGGTCCCAAATGATCGCAATGCTACGTAAGCTCGAACATGATTAATCTCTCTGACTCTTTCAAAGCTACGTTTTCCTCCCCACTGAATTGTTAATCCTTCATTTTATTTAATCCTAATCAATATTACCCTTACTATCTTGCTTGATCTAAAATGCCTGATTGATTATATAATCACTTGCTTGCCCCACTTTACAACGGCTATAAGCGTGTCCGGTGTATATTAAGAGCGATGTTTTGAAAGTCTGAGTTGTGCATAATCCAACACTTAAACTAACACTTCAATCGACACAACGATCATTTCAAAACCCCTATCGATTTGGAAGCATGTCACAAATAAGGCAAGTCGGTCAACAAAGGGACAATCAACAAACAAGTATACCACAACAAGTACTTGAGTGTATTTCATATCCATTCACAGCATGTATGCCCTCCTCTTCATCATTCAGAGATGCAAATCACGATGAACAAAGACAATCACTATTGAGAGATACGACATACGAAGATAGTGATGCAATCTCACTTTTATCAAACATTGCAGACCGATCGCATAGAAGAAACAGAGCATCACGTAGACGTGAAAGATGGAATAATAGTGCTGCTGTTTTAGGTTGTGGATTGTTTGGAAGACCAAAAGGACAAATTCAAGCAAGACAACAAACTACAGGAGATGCAAATCGAGCGGAAAGACAGGCAACAAATCATGCTCGATCTGCTAGCGTAGACAGTGCAGCAAGTACAGATGATGAAAGCGGAAGAGCAAATAGCTTCGCTGCAGCACAAGAAAGCGGGGATGAAGATGCAGGTATGCTAGCAGATGAAGCGATTGCAAATTTAAGTGTTTCAAGGGATGAGGAACTTGAACAGCAGCAAGGAAAAGATGCTACAGACAAAACTAAGAAGGAAGAGGAAGAAGCAGTGGAAGTCGCCAAACGTAAAGAAGAACTTCAAAGACAAGTAGAAGAAACAGCACGGATAGAAGCGGAAGATGCAGCAAAACGGAAAGCAGAAGAAGAAGCTCTAGCAGCGGAAGAAGAAGCGGCGATCGCAAAAGCAAAAAGACGAGCAGAGCGGAAAGCGATCAAACAGGGCTTGTTAGAAGCAAAAGCACATGGTCAGAGAAGTGCTCGAAGAATGACGGAAGCAGAAGCGGAAGCAGCCGCTGGAGGTTTCGACTTTGCTGAAGAATCTCAGATGCAAGGTGGAGAGGATGCTGACTATGGTTCACATTACGACCAGCAGAGGTATCATGCAAATCAGGGAGAATACGGCTTGGCGCATGGCCCAGAAGGATACGGTTACGATGAATATGAACAACAGAATCAACCTGAAGTCGTCCACCACCATCATTACTACCATGAACCAGAACAAGAAGAATCTGAACAGCCATATACTCTTTCTCAGCCTCCGATTACTTACGTATCAGAACACAACGATGGACAAAAGTCTGAAGAAGCTGTTGATGAAGATGAGGAAGACGCTGATATCGCTGGAATAGCTTTTAGCAAGAATCGAAAGAAGCGTCTGGACCGCGGAGGAAGTTATGGCAGCAGAAGCAATGGAAGTGGTTCAGGAAGTCGTCAAAGTGGATCACAGCCAGGTCGATATGAAAGAAATGGTGTCAGGGCTGGTGGAAGCAATAGTAGTGCCGGAAGGAGAGAATCGCATGATGCTGGCAGCAGCAATGGCGGTGGAAGTAGCAGTGGAAAATTCACATATCGAGACCGACCAAGACGACATGAAAGAACAGGTTCACGTAGTGCAGGATCAGGCAATGGTCGTGCGCTACGTGAAGGACCAGGAGGGAAAGTGATCACAAGTCCAACGATTCCAGAATCTGATCAGTCCAACGATCTTTCTTTCGCAACAATCACACAGTCGGATGATCGTGCAGATGCTGCTGCTGGAGGATTTGATGACTTCTTATCTCCTCCAACCTCTTCGAATAATACCACCTGGACATCAGATTGGCGACAAGATTCAAACGATCAATCCATTCACATTGGCGGAGGAGGACAGAAGCCATCGCTCTCTCCTAATTCATCCACTTCGGGAAAAGCAGGACGAAGACGTGAAATGCCAAGGAAGCAATTCAGTGGCGCACAAAGTGGAATGGGTGGCTTGAATGCTCCTAGGAATCCAGCAGTGGGAAACATCTTTGGACAACGACAGAGTGATGAAGACGAAGATGCACATCTGGAAGGCCTGTAATGACAATGATTTTTAATGACTAATGACATTCAAACAACATAAAAGCAGAAAGGGATGACGAGGAATAATATTTAGAAGCATATATAGACATGATACGACGGGAATAAAAGAGTGTGGGCTTACAATTCGTGTATAGATCGCATTAAAGCTGAATGGTGAGCAGACCAGATGAACATGTACAAAGGGAGAACCGAACATTTAAGAAGACAAGATTTTGATTGTATCACAGTTCAAAGCTTGAACGTTGAGTAAAGTACCATCAGCGCCGTTGATTTCGCAATTTTGGTAATTGTCACAACCCGTTGATAAGATGCAAAGAGCAGTGCAATCCAAAGCTTGAAGGTTCAACAAATTTCCCAAATTTCCCAAAGGTCCAATCAAACGTTTCTTTGGTCCTGAAATATTGCAGCCTTTGTCACCTTTTCCGGGTGGCGCAATCGTGAGTGGACAACCATCACCGGCTGCTTTGATTAATTGACCATCTTTATTGTACAAGCAATCGTCTGGCATATCAGGGCATTTTTGTGGCACTGGTGCTGGAGGAGGTGATGGGTTGGGGTTTGGATTTGGACTTGGATCTGGCGATGGGCTTGGGTTTGGACCTGGCGTTGGGTCTGGTGTTGTACCTGGCGTTGGATCTGGTGTTGTACCTGGCGTTGGATCTGGGTTTGTACCTGGCGTTGGGTTTGGATCGGTACCTGTACCTGGCGTTGGGGGATTCGGGTTTGGATCTGGGTTTGGGTTTGGATTTGGGTTTGGATGAGCTTTAGGATGGGGATGTTTACTTGTCGGAGGAGGTGTGGATGGAGGAGGTTCAGTTGATGGAGGAGGTGTGGATGGAGGAGGTTCAGTTGATGGTGGAGGTGTGGATGGAGGCGGTTCAGTTGATGGTGGAGTGTCATAATCGGAACCATCGCCGGAGCCACCGCCTGAGGAACCATCACCGGAGCCACCATCAGCAGGTTGATCGTAATCAGATCCACTGCCTGAGGTACCATCACCAGTTCCATCACCAGTACCATCACCAGTACCGTCACCACTTCCACTATCAGCAGGTTGATCATAAGTTTCATAATCCGATCCATCATCAGTTGTTCCGGTAGAAGGAGTTGAATAATCACTACTGGTATCATCCGTTGACGGTGCAGCGCTAGTATCATCTTGTCTGCGCACCATCATCATCTTGTTTGATCCGTGAAGATTTGGATGAGCCATGGAAGTGGTGATTGTGAGCACCAAAAAGGCAAAAAGTACTTTGTTGAAACGCATCTTGATTGTTCTTGAGATTGAAAGAGAATGTGAATTTTGAATGACTGACAAAGAGAAACAAGACAAAGTGGGAAAAGAGGGTACCGATCGCTCAAAAGAATCATTCTTTTTATACCTCCGAGATCCTGTTTCTCTTTAAGACTACAGAATATTATTGACGAAGCAAGGCACAGCATCACTACAAGATTTTTACCACGGTTACTATTTGTAGAACATTACAAACGTTCCTTTACCGATTCCACGGATGTACAATGTCGACACGGCATCCTAACAGTACAAGAACATGACCATGAGAATACCGGCACCGTTCTATCCGATTGTTGTATGATGTATAATTCGGAACAAAATGCCTTTCGGCGTAAAATGGCTTGTTTTGAAATCTCCTTAAATTGTAATGGCGTGCTTCATATACTCCTTGTGAGTATAATTCCAATCCTTTCCTCTCCGAAATCGTGAGAATGTAGATTAATGAGGAGCAATTCCGTAAATTTATTCTTAGAAAGGTGTATTTTTAATGAAAAGAAGGTCGGCGCAACTCCTTTACTTCGTTGGAAAGTACTGTACGGAGCATTTATTCACACCAATGCGAGATTGAAATCTAGCATTAGCTCTGTGTACTCAGCAAAATGAGGTAGGGTCATGTTTCGCATTCTGAGGAAAGAAATGGGGTGCAGTAATTTCAATTCAATCCATCAAAGCATGGTGTCTCCAACTGGTGTGCTGCCTGGTTCATTCACCCGTACTTCTCAGAGTAATCCCTAACTTAGATATTTCTTGTCACACTTTCAGACAGATGAAGATGAACTGGCTAAACGAGTGTGGTGATTAAAGAAGTAGGAGATATACATGATGATTAAACTAGTGTCTATTCTCCTAAAAAGGAATAAAAACGTTCATTGATCGTTGAATGCATTACTTGCTTGCACTGCTCAAGATGTAAAGGTTGTCACAGTTCAAAGCTTGAACATTGATGAATGAACCATCTGATGACTGAACTGAGCAGCTTTGTTGAGCTGGGCAATCACTGAGAATGCAAAGTGTGTCACAGTTGAGAATGTCAAGATTGAGCAATTGATTTGGGAAACTGAAAAGACGTTTGCGGTTGTTACCGCCGCCAGTTGAGCATGTCGTTCCTTTACCATTTGATGGAGGTTGAATTTGAATTGGGCATCCATGAGCGGAAGCTTGGGTAAGGCAACCGTCACTGTTGTAAGTGCAATCAGCACTTGCACTCGGGTTCCATTTTGGTGTTGGAGGAGCGGCAGCAGCTGCATCACCAGCGGCAGAAGAAGCGGCACTGCTGGCAGCGGAAGTTGCATCACTTGCGGCACCGGAAGCAGCATCAGTAGCACCATCAGTTGCAGAAGTTGCAGGGGCAGCTGTTGATGAAGTACTTGGATCATCTTGTCGAGGAAGTAAATTGCTTCGTTGACTACCTAAGTCAGAGCGACGGGCAATTCTGACACGGTTGATGTCATTCTTTGCATTGATTGCGACCACGAAGGAGGCTAAAAGGACGAATGAAGCAATGTTGAAACGCATTTCGACTGCAGAAAGGAGAATAGACTGATTAAGTTGATGTTCAATCTATGTATATCGAATGAAATACTCACAAGTTTGAACGTTAAAAGATTGTTGTGTTAAAGAGCGTGTGGGAATAAGAGGAAGTTGTGAAGATTGGTAGGGATGGAGATCTTTTGGGAGAAGTGGGCATCTGAAAGTTCATTTCGCACATCTTTTTATACTTTTCAAAATATATTCATCTTTTAAAGCAACGGACCCACATTTGAATTGTGTTTCAAGGCACAATTTCAGAGATCCACAAGAATGAATTGCAGTAATTTAATGCGGTCTTTTCCAAGGCGATCAAAATGACCTTTGTAGAACTTTCCGTACGTAGGATTTCATTACAAATAGATTCAAATTCTTCAAGTCAAAGCAAGCCACTTTGATCGAAATATTCTTCAAAGAATCGGCTAGTTTGCGAACGGTCAATAAAATAAGTCTGTTACGTCAATGGCTGAGCAGTTTTGACGGCCATTTCTCTGTCCCAAAAGCAAGGATCGGAACCGTGATTCGGCGCCGAAGGGAGAAAAGAAGTATTGATACTTCAACAGAGAAAATGCATCGATTGCTTAGCCAAGACTTTCCAGATTTCACCAATTGAAGCTCAGGAAAGTTTCTGCCGAAACATAAAAGTACTTCTGTTCTTAAATTCAGCTCAAATTCAAATAAGTTGTGGGTCATCTGTCGGAACAAACACACTTGCATATTCTTCGGATAAAAGGAACATAAATTAGGGGGTCTAAAGGCAGAGCAATTGGAAAAAGAAGAGTTTGAAACGAACTATGAGGAGAAAAGGGGGAGAAGATATAATTTCGGAGTGGTAAAAACAACATAAAGTACGATGCGGAGTCTAAATGCCGAACGACGGTAAAAGAATGGTCCGAATTCCAGAATGAATGCGACGATTTTCAAATAACGATGGTTTGCGTTGTGGAAATTTAGCTTTGTTTCATATTGACAATGCTCAAAACGTCCACTTCTGAGCATTGCAAAGCTTGAACGCCAATAACACCTCCATTCGATGCTTGGACGTTGCAGTTCTGTGGCTGTGCATTATTATTATAGCCGCTTAAGATATGAACAGCAGAACATTGTAGAACGTTTGCGCTGATAGGGTCATTTGAGCTACCTACCGAACAGCCTGTGTTGCCTGGTTGAATTTGGGAAGGGCAACCATCTTGTGATGCTCCAGTTAACATTCCACTGTTCTGATCGTACATGCAAGATGGTTGTTGTTGGCCTCCGTCTGAATCGCTTGATCCATCTCCTCCGTTACCACCGTTACCACCGTTGCTTGAAGGCATTGGATGGGGATGAGGATGTGGATGGGGATGTGGGTGCGGGTGCGGGTGAGGATGTGGGTGAGGATGCTCATTGTCATCACCATCTGACGCGCGACGCGACAATCGACGCTTCTCCATACGAACAACGGCCTGAGGCGATGAGGGTGTTGCGGGAGTTGAAGCAAAGCCAGGAAATTCAGGAATTGCATCAATGCTAAATGGTTCAACCGCTTGATCGTTCAACAACTCGATACCATCAGCTTTGACAAAGGTTGACGCGGCAATGACTGCCACAAAGGCAGGAACGAATGTGTTGATACGCATTATGGAAACTGTGGAAAGAAGAAGTGGGGATTGATATGGTCGAGTGGATCAATGTTTTGCAAAAATGGTGCTACTTATATAGCAAATAATCCATCCTTTCCTTGTCAGATTTGCGTTTTGTGAATTATCCGTCTTACTGTCATTATGTTCCCGAAAACATAATTTTCCGCATGTCAATCATATTCTTGACGCCTTTATCCCCTATATTTCTCATGAGATGATGTTATTGAAGTTGCTCAAGTCTTCAACAATATTCCGTAAAGAACCATAATTTGTATAATTTACAGCAACAAGATAATAATCTGCATATCCTACAGTAGGGCACGGCTTCCTAATAAAATAAACCCCTGCATATCGTGATGAAAGGTATGCCTGGGCCTCTCTCTCTACCGCATGGTATTATGATTTTGTAGGACATTGCGTCAATCTGAAGCTTATTGGCGTTGACAGGTCAGATCTTCCACGATGCATAGAATATTCCCAAAGCACGGACACCAAATCTTAGGTTTGACTTCATATCATGACAGGGGTGTATATGACTTCCATCTTCTTTTGAGAATTATCAAAGAGGTAGAGGACGATAATATATAACATTTCAGAGAGGAAGGTACTTTTAAAACTCAAGAAAAATCCTATAAAATAAAAATCACAATTCATATAAGGTGAAAAATTGATAAATTGAATCGAAAGAAGAATTAACGAGAAAAAAGGATTACTGAAGAATGTGAAAAGAATTATCGAAGGAAGAAGGGGTAAGAGTGGAAAACATTTGTGTCCATGAAGCAAAAAAAGGGGCAAAGTATAAAGCTGAAAGCGTATGATTGGATACAGATTTACGCATTGTTAGCACTTTGTCCAAAGATACTAGCAAGGCCGGTTTGAGAGCAATCAAGAGCCAAAATGTTGATGAAGGATTGAGAGTTGCTTGGTTGGACACTGCAGCTGTTCAAGTTAGATTGATTCTCTGAACTCAAATAGATATTACTGCAACTGATGATGTTACCGTTGACTGTTGTTGAGCCAGTTACACCTGTGTTGCATTGCGTATAACCAGGTTGAACTTGAGCGGGACATCCGTTTGTGCTTACTTCACTCAAGATACCAGCGTTTGCATTAAAGATGCAAGGTGCACCACAGTCAGCATCTGCGACCACAGGTACTTCAGGATAAACATTGTTGACTTGATTGTGGTTGTCGGTGCTTGAAGCAGTGTTTGATGCACTGTAAGAAGCATTATTGCCCACATTTCCAAAGTAGTTGTTGCCGGTATTGCTACCTGAGTTGTTCACATTATTGTTCGGGTAATTGGTGTTTGTTGTTGAGCCTGAATCGTTGTAATCAGTGCTGCCATCGGTTCCACAAGTTGAGCATTCTTCTGTACGTTTGATGAATTGAGAAGCAGCGCCCACTGCGTTATCAATGCTATCAACTTGTGACAATGCGTCAAGGTCTTGACGTTTTCGCACTGGTTCAACGTTTTCAAGGTCATTCAGATTAGCAAGGTCTCCGAGATCTTCCAAACTAGCAACATCACCGATTTGACGGGCTGACAATCCCTCAATGTTTTGAAGTTGTTGCAAACTTTCAAGGGCGCTAGGATCTACATTGACTGCTGCACCAAGAGCCGAAGAGACCGTGATGGCTAACAAGACGATTGAATAAATGTTGGAACGCATTGTAAGGAATGTGTGATAAAAGATTAGTGAGTGATGTCGGGGAGTTTTCGATGAGGGAAAAACAAGCACCAGATTTGAAGAGATGGTCCTATTTAAGCCTTTTGTTCCATCATTTTGTAATTGTCACAGATTAGCATGCGCCATCATAATAGAACGATAAAAGAATTATGGTACGTTCGATAGGAGTGCATGAATTAATCTCGTCTTCACTATCGTGGCTCAAGCTAATATCCCAGCGCAAGATGAGGTCCTTTTTTCTCGTTCAGGCCTTTCTCAACCTTCTCGCCAGACCCAATCAAGCAGTCTGAGCGCTTTCCAAAGTGATGTCAAAATATTTGACAGGCGAGGCACGAGCAACAAAAGACCACCAGATGAACCCTTCTGTGCCGCTTTGGCCGAACAGGTCTGTGTGCATGTAATGTCGATCATGGAATATTTTTGAGACTTGACAGAAATGACATACACTAAGATCTCATGATCAATACGCCTTCGATGCAAAGTGGTTTATGACATTCGCGCGGTCCTTAACGATACAAGTAATGAGCCGCTCTTTATTACACATTTATCAGAATAGTCTGAGAGGCAGCTTTATTCAATCTGTTCATGATTGCTAATCCAACGCCAAAATTATCGGCAACAGCTTCGACAAAGATCAGATCGCAAGAAGGTCTGTTTGCATTTGCATCACCTTGATCCAATGTTCGTAAACCGTCAAAAAGTCGATGTGCAGCTTCATTGGGAGAATTGCTAGCGCCCAAAGAAAATCTATAAACCGTATGATCTTCGAAAGATTTAGAAGATCTCATAAAGGACTCGGCAGCCTCGGAATCATTCTTGACAACCGAAGACGTTAATTTGGAATCATCCATACTCATCAATCCAACATGAACGTGCTCCTTCCCTGTTTGCAATTTGAATTGTTTCACTTCATCTGCAATCACTGTATTTGCGTTTTTGGTAAGAAGTGTTCTTGCAGCAGATTCACCGACTGTTTTGGCGGCTAGAACGCGGGATGCACTTTGTTGCGAAGAAGGTTCAGTGGAAGATGTAAGAAGAACCACAACTTTTGCTTCTGGACTGTAATGTCGATATTTCATTCCAGGTGTGGTCGGGTTCTCTTCCGCTTTGGAATCTTTTGCCATATCCCGTCCATATACCCGAACCTTCACTTTTGATTGAGTGACTGTATGTCCATTTGCTTCTTCCTGTAACAGATTAGCCTGTCGTAGTGCATCTTCAATTGCCTCCACAGTCACACCTCCAGGTCTCAAGACCCGTAGTTCGGTTGGTTCAGTTATTCCGTCGACCACAGTGGATTCCAACCCTACATCACTCGAGCCTCCATCGACAATGTAGGGTATCCTTCCTGTTACAACTTCATTTCCCTGCTCATCTTTCGTGGATGAGGTCATATCGTGATATACATGTTGCGCTGTTGTGGGGCTAGGCTTTCCACTCACATTTGCTGATGGAGCGGCAAGAGGTAGATTAGACGTTGCAATCAAAGCTCGAGCCACTTTATGAGATGGCATTCGTATTCCAACAGAATTTAGGCCGCATCGAACCACAGAAGGTACTTTTTCTTCATCAGCCGGAAACAGCAATGTAAGCGGACCGGGCCAAAATGCATCGAGGAGTGTTTTGTAGACCGGCGATAGTTCATATGAGTCTGGAACGAGACGGTTCAGCATTGAAAGTGAGCTGATGTGCACAATGAGCGGATTATCGACAGGCCTTCCTTTCGCCCGAAATATCTTTGTTGCTGCTTCTGCGTCTAATGCATTCCCTGCCAAGCCATACACAGTTTCCGTAGGGAAGGCTACTAGATGACCTTTTCGTAATGCTTCACTTGCTTTAATTAGAGATATTCTTTCTTCACTTCCTGTATCATCGATTGTCACCAAAACATCCCTTAGTGGTTCCTTTCCTTTTCCTGTGAATTTAATCTTCTCTCCATCGATCTTAAGTACTCGGGTTGTAAATGTTCGATCAGGATATCCTTTTCCATCTTGCAGCTGACCGTTGCTGGTACTCATAGCGGCTAGAGAAGAGGAAGCTATCGAGCTTACCTCCGCATGTATGCTAGCCATTGTAAGATGCTTATATGAGTGTAGCCGATGACTTGATGACAAGCCAGAGAAGAGTGACTTGGTGATTTTCATTCAAATCCAAAGTCCATTAATGATGTATGCATCAGCTTGACAGAATGTTTTCTATAAATGACAAATGATCAATCTTAGAAGAAACCTTAAAAAAGTAAGTCGGACAATAATTGTCTCTCTGCGTGGAGGTAGTAATCACGTGCAAGTGTGAATGTCATTCAAGCATACCTTGACTCCACGCGCTTCTCCCCTTTCCCCACAACCGCATAGAATTGTCTAGAAGCGAGAGCAGCTGCTGCAAGATAACACCGAGTCTAACAAGCGTGTAACATCATCCGGGCATTTAAACGCAGCTTATGCACCCCGGTTATAAAACAGAGCACGTCAGCCGACAGCTTATCAAAGACGATAATAGCAGCATATATAGCAACCTCCTCCTCCTCTTGAACATCATCTCACTAACAACATCCTTGACTCTATACAAATTACAACATACCATACAACAACTCTATTCGGGCCAGCAAAGGGCCTAATCAACCTAACTGATAACCACAACTTCACTCAAACAACTCCACAATAATGTCATCCGATTCAATCTTTGTGCCAAACAGGCTACCGGTCTTGCCATTACCTTATCCACTCATACTACATCCCTCACTTCTGTTGAGCATTCCACTCTCCTATGCTCATTCATTAAGCCTTCTCAAAGCAGCTCTACAAGTTTCACAACCAAATTCATCACAATCCAATGGTGGCAACGGTCGTCGTGATCAAATTGATGCTCATAAACCAATCATCGTAGCATGTGTTCCAACACTACGACCGGATCTATCAAACGCAACTTCTCAAGCGCCACCTGCAAATGCAATCAAGATTGACGATGATGTAGAGGAATTGGGAACGGGAAGCAAAGAAGAAGCGGATCTTCGCGTAAAGATCAATGACCTATATGATTGGGGATGTGCTGCTCGATTGATCAGACTTACTCGTCATCCTGCCAGTCAAACATGCACTCTAGTCGTTACAGGTATTGCTCGTGTTCGTGTGGATCGTTGGTTATCCGTTCGTGCACCTTTGACATCAACCACTCTTGATTCGGCACGCAATTTGACCGTTCCAGACGTTCCTGTTCCATTGGCAAGCATGACAACTTTCCCCGAAACGCCTTTCCCAGGTCGTAATCCATCAACGCAAGATCAAGAAGCTGTCAAAAAGCTACGTATTGCCGCCACTGAGCTCATTGAAGCATTGATGAACGATCCTACAAGCAGACGTTTGGACGCTGCAGATCCTCGTGCCACCGCTCTTTCTTTGCCACTATTGCCAAACGCATTGCTTAAAAGACTCATGTCCTTTGTTCGTGAAGCTCGGGATAGTCAATCTGGACTCCTGGCTGACGTTTTGGTTGGTACCTTGGGTGGAGCATGTGCATGGAACGATCGTGTAGGCGTTTTGGGCGAGTATGATCCGCGTGAAAGAGTTGCACGCACGATCACCCTGCTAGGAGAAGGTGTCTATCGTGTTCGTACTGCAAGAGAGTTGATCGCTGCTTTGGGTGCACCTTTAAGTAGCGGAAGCAAGGAAAGTTTGGCAAAGAATCAATTGGAAGGATTGCTTGCTCAATTGGCCGCTCTAAACCCAAACATCTCCGCACGAATCTCGACTGGTAATACCACATTTTCCATTGGATCAGTCAAGAAAGGATCGGAAGATGATGGAAAAGTGGGCGGAATTATTGCCATTCGTGGAAACAACAACACGAAGAATGACGATGCAAGTCAATCTGCCGTTATCCGACCAGTAAATGCACCACTCAAGCCATTCCGTGCAAACCCTTTCGGTTCGTCGAGAGGAATGGGTGGCGGTGGTGCAGGAGGAGCAGAAGGTGCGAATGAAGAAGATGAAGATGAAGTAGCTGAACTCACACGCAAACTGGATGAGGCCAAGCTTACACCTGAAGCACGCAAGGTTTGCGATAGAGAATTGAAACGGTTGGGCAGAATACCTGCTCAAAGTGTTGAGCGTGGAGTTGTGATTACGTATCTCGAGACGATGGCCGAATTACCTTGGGATAAGACTTCGACTGATATGGACACAAAGGCAATCACAACTGGCGAAGTGGATGAGGGAATCGTTTCTAGAGCTCGCAGAATCTTAGACGAGGATCATTATGGATTAGACAAAATCAAGAGACGTTTGGTGGAATACTTGGCTGTTCTTGAACTCAAGACAGAGCAAGCAAAGGAAAGAATGTCACAAGAAGAGCGTGATTCACGAGAAACTGCCAAGGCTGGAGGACGCAAAGGTGATGCTGGCAATGGTGCTCCAGAAAGTCAGTCAAAGGAAGTCGTGCCTTGGGTACCTGGCCTAGGCGAGGATGGACCTGGAATTGATCGTTTGGATGAACAAGCAGAAGATGAGGCAGAACGCAAACGTCAACGGGATGAACAAGTGAGAAGGAGAAAGAATGCATTCGTTGCAGACAAAGGACCAATTCTACTGCTTGTTGGTCCACCAGGAACGGGTAAGACATCCATTGCAAAGTCCCTGGCTGCAGCTCTCAAACGACCCTTCACACGTCTATCCCTCGGTGGTGTTCGTGATGAATCAGAGATTCGCGGTCATAGACGTACATACGTGGGTGCTATGCCTGGTAACATTGCTTCCAGCTTGCGCAAGGTGGGTGTAAGTGACCCTGTTATCCTTTTGGATGAAATCGACAAGCTTAGCAGTGGTAACGGCTTGCACGGTGATCCAATGGCAGCCATGTTGGAAGTGCTAGATCCTGAACAAAACAACCAATTCTCGGATCACTACATCAATTGCCCAATGGATTTGAGTAGAGTGTTATTCATTGCCACAGCCAACACTTTGGAGACCATCTCACCTCCTTTGCTCGATCGTACAGAAGTCATTCAAGTATCCGGTTACACACACGACGAAAAGGTCGCTATTGCCAAGCAATATTTGTTGCCCAAACAAGCAAAGGCACAAGGTTTGTCGTTCGGTAAGGATCTCATTGTTGGAGATGATGTCTTGCTCAAGATCGCAATGAGCTATACTCGAGAAGCAGGTGTACGTAGTCTGGAACGTGAGATTGGAGCTGTTGCACGAGCAAAAGCAGTTCAATTTGCTGAAGATAGAAAAGGTACTTTGAAAGACAGCAAAGGTAACAAATGTGCATACGATCCAAAGGTTCGTGTGGAAGATTTGCTAGATATTTTGGGTATCGAGTCATACGAGCCTGAAGTAGCTGATATTCAGTCGCGATCAGGTGTTTCTACCGGTTTGGCTTATCAAGGATCAGGCAGTGGAGGCATTCTGCATATCGAAACATTGATGCTACCGCCTGGAACGGGCAACATGAAGTTGACAGGAAAGCTCGGAGATGTGATTCAAGAGTCTGCCAACTTGGCATTCAGTTGGGTCAAAGCACATGCATTCCAATTGGGCATCGTACCTAATCGGGAAAGCGAATTCCCCAAGAACGACGTGCATTTGCACATGCCCAGTGGTGCAATTCCCAAAGATGGCCCAAGTGCAGGTGTAGCAATGGTTTGCGCACTTGTCAGTTTATGGACTGATACAGTCATCCCTAAAGAATTGGCAATGACTGGTGAAATCACATTGCGTGGTTTGGTGACGCCCGTTGGCGGAATCAAAGAGAAATGTCTCGGTGCTCATCGAGCCGGTATCAAAAGATTGATTTTGCCTATGCGAAACCGCAAGGATGTCGAGTCGGACTTACCACAAAACGTTCGTTCTGATCTGGACATCCAATACGTTCGTACAATCTGGCAAGCGATCGATATCGCCTTCGGAAATGCATTGTATGAAAATGCATTGATGAGAAATGGTTCTTTGGAAGGTATCGATGAAGGAAGACGGTTGATGACGTCTGAATTTGAGTCGAGCCGTCTATAAGGGTGGCAGCTCTTCCCTTTTGTACTCTGATCGCTGTTTGTTTTGTCATAAAGGATGCTAATACTATATACATTATAATAAGATGATCGTCTGATGGTGTCTTGCCTTGTATTATTGCCTTTGTGTTGGTCTCCTTAATGAACGCGCTTAGAGACGCGCTGAGCAATCGGACTTCCATGCATTTCATCTGTGGGTAAATGATTCAAGTGAGATTTACGCGTGTTCGCAATGCATCAACGCGAGCCCTCCAGAGCCCAATTTTACCACGCATTCATGATGGTATTGTAGTTCTTCTTTTTCTTGCCATCACAAGTCCAATCATCAAACTTCTTCCTTGAGCCAACACAAGGCATACATCATGCCAAGAGCATCTCAATCAGGGCCTTCGGGCACTGCATCTGTACGACAAGGTAGATCGAGTGCAATTCAATCTTTTCGACCTAGCAATGCCGATTCGCAAACCCATCAATATGATCCACACGGAAATTCAAACGAGAAACGACAAGTACGAGCACGTTATCGTAATATAATTTCAGAGAATCAAACTAAGCGTGGAAATTTAGCTGATATTAAGCCGAAAGATCTTAACAAGACTATAGAAGAAAGCAATCAGCTATTCGAAAAAGTCAAAGCACCGGCAGAAAGTGTTTTGGATTCCAGAGCTCTAGTCAGCACTTCGGAAATGGGTGCGCAATTGGCCAAGAGTATGAAAGTTGGCAGTGAATTTGAGATTGAATCATTTTTGGGATTGGCATGTAGATTGATGGGAGGTAAATTGCAATCTGCAGGCTTGGAAGATGATGACGATGATGATGATGATATGGAGGGTGATCCCTCGACGTGGAAATGGGAATTGTTGGGATTCGAAGCGGCAAAATATTCTCGAAGGGCAGCAATCGCAGATCACCTTTTAGGACCCCTCGATGTCAAATTCACAAAACGAAATGTGTCCAAAAGAACGGTCGCTGAAAAGAAAGGTCCAGAAGTGCGACCGGAACAACTTCAAGCTCAAGAGATCGCAAACAACAATAATGAAACCTCGGATGTTGTTAAAGCGATTGCTAAGCAATTGGAAAAGGTCGGCAAAGGTAAAGGTGTCAATTTATTCGAATTCGCCATCGACCCGGACAGCTTTAGCAACACTGTCGAAAATTTATTCCATATCAGTTTCTTGATCCGAGATGGAATAGCTTCCATTGACACAGAAACTGAGGATGAAGAGCCAATTTTACTAGGATGTTCGCCACCACTAGAGGAAGATTACCAAAATGGTCTGACCAAACGTCAAATCGTGATGGAATTGGATGTGAAAACATGGCGAGGCTTGGTGGAAGCGTACAACATCAAAGAAGCTATGATCAGGCACGTCAATACAGACACTTCGCATACTGCCGATACATGGGCTGCAAGACCCAATCGAAGGACGCCAAGTCGTTCTCAAAGTCGTTCCCAAAGTCGTTCCCAGAGATGAAGAGATTGCTTTACCATGATTGTACATTAACTAAACACACAATACCCTTCATGCTTCTTGTAAAATATTGTACATTGTTCGAACCTAATCAAACGAAATGCTTTAAACATGCTATTCTATGCGTACCAAAGATGAGTTTCCGTGTCCCATGCAGCGCTGGCTACCAATCCAGGCGTAAACAAGCTCCAACCGATCGAAACAACAAATTCTGTATGACCATCGTGTATCCTTCTCAGAGATGATCCTGCACCTGCTGCACCTATACGTGGACCAGCAGACATTGCTTGTCCGGCATCAATGTCCCAAACACGAGCGGTCATATCGTACGAAGCACTTGCCAAAGATCTTGCATCGTGAGGGCTGAAAGCTACTTTTCTGACCGCATATTCATGTCCTAACAAAGCTGCCGTATTCTCTCCACCTCGTAGTCCGCCTGGACCCATTCCAGGTCCTGCCTTTCCTGCTCCACGCAAATCCCATACTTTCACACCTCGATCCGTACTTCCGGTTGCCAGTGTCATTGGCCTATATTTGTTCCAGTCCACACTCAAAACTTCTCCACCCACAGGCACGACAGCAACGGGTGTTTGTGTGGGGGAGCCTGCTGCTCCTGTTCCTAGACTAGAAGCTCGAACGTCATAAAGCCGTAGATGACCATCACCGCATGCTGTTGCTATTAGATCTCCATTATGCGGTGACCAAGCACAAGCATATACACAAGCCGTATGTGAAGTGATTGCAAGCAAAGCAGTTGGTCTTTCCGGGTTCCAAATACGAACACTCGCATCCCAACTTGAAGATGCAAAGACGTCTTTTCTAATATTATTCCAATCAACACTGAAGACCTCTCTCGCATGTTCTTGCCAATGTCTGATCGGATGATCGTTCAATGTAACATCCCACAACTTTATACTTCCATCTCCGCTTGCTGTGACTAATTGATTTTCATGTACTTCTGACCATGCCGCATCATACAGACCATCTTGTGTTTCGAAAAACTTTTCCGTTTGTAGCGTCGGTGGTGGTTGACCAGGATTAGAGGGAGCATGAGAAGCAATGCTAAGTCTTCCATTTCCTACCAATCCATAATTCGCAGAAGAGGCGATCGCTAGTCTATTAGGGAAGAAAGGTGACCAGGCTACATTGTATGCTGCCAAGCCTGGCGTCCTTAGTCGGGTAAATGGTCCCGGTTGAGCAACTGCCATTGTTTTGTTGTAGAGGTGATGATGAATAAAAAGGTCTCGTTGTTTAAAGCGTGGGGTAATGAATGGGACCGGTTTACGCGGTTGCTCGATGTGCTTTCAAAAGGTGGCAGGCAGGCTCTCTCTCGTTTAGCACATCATGCAGGCAGGTAAGCTAACGCCGTTTTTGAAAGAAAGAGTCCGAGTCGGATTTATGAGTGTGCAGTGCACAAACGCTTTAGCCTGGAAGGAAGGAAATAAAATTTAAGCTTTCTTCTTCTTTCTCTTACCTGTCATTCAAATGAAGGTGGCTCTTTATGCTACTACTGCTTAGATTCACAGGTATTCGATCTCTGAGAAGACTGTCAACATACACATCTTACAAGATGAGCACCTCAGCTCCACTCTCCAAAGCAGGAGGGAATTACTCTGACGCAATTGCAGCTTTGAACACATTGCAATCCAATGCAGCAATCATTGAAGCAATTCGCAAAAGTGGAGGAAAGCTGAACGATTTCGCCATTCCAGAGATGCTTGAATATCTTGAAAGGATAGGATGGAAACAATCTGATTTGGACAGATTGAATGTCATCCACATCACAGGCACAAAAGGAAAAGGATCAACTTCTGCTTTTGTTGATTCACTCATACGGCGTACACCCGCACGAAATGAACAAGATGGAAGGCCAAAAGTTGGCTTGTATACCTCGCCGCATTTGGTACAAGTACGAGAAAGGATACGACTTGACGGAAAGCCGATCGATGAAAACTTGTTCACCCAATACTTCTGGGAAGTCTGGAATAAGCTCGAAGAGAATCCCAAACGAGCAAATCCAGACATCACACCTTTGCGACCTGTGTATTTTCGCTACCTTACCATCTTGGCATACCACGTCTTCTTAAAGCTTGGCGTCAAGTCCACAATTCTGGAAGTAGGAATTGGAGGACGATATGATTCAACAAATATTGTTCAACGTCCATTGGCAACCGGTATTACGACTTTAGGCTTGGACCATACGGCTTTGTTGGGTAACACAATTGAAGAGATTGCCTACCAAAAAGCAGGTATTTTCAAGAAAGATGCACCAGCCGCATCTGTCTGGCAACAGAGTGCAGGAGCAAGGGAAGTTGTAGCAAAAGAAGCCGAAAAGGTGGGAACATCTTCTTTCAAACAGTTACCACAGCTTACCGCTTCATCACCTGTACAACGAGCAAAGCGCGGTATTCCTGGTGAGCATCAAGCCTCCAATGCACAGCTTGCTGTTGAGCTGTACCGCACTTTCCTACGATCAGAGGCTGGAAAGCGGAAATTCCAGGCTGCGGAAAGTGAGCTAAGCTCAGACGAGTTGAGCAAGATTGAAATTGCAGCAATCGCGAATGCTCGTTGGCCAGGAAGATGCCAAGTGGTGCGTGGAAAGTCTCCTAGCGATCCTGTTTGGGGACTAGATGGTGCTCATACCGCCGAATCTCTCGAAGCATGTGCTGCCTGGTTCGTTGAATTAAGCAGTCAATCTTCTGGAACCGCAACACAGTCACGCAAAACCTTAATCTTCAATACAACCCATGACCGCAAGTCCGAGGAGTTGTTGAGTGGGATGCTGAAAGCGATTGCAGACAAGAGAAAAGATGTTAATGCACAAGGAAATGAACTCTTCTTTGACCATGTGATCTTTTGTACAAATATCACCTACAGAGAAGGTAAATCAGCTGGAGATTTGACTTCTGTTGCTGGACCTGTTTCACTAGAAGCACAAGAAACGATTCAAAAAGCATGGCAAGTGTTGGACAAACATGGAAAGACAAGGTCCGATGTTCTGCCTTCGATAGAAGAGGCTATACAAGCGGTCAACCAGCAAGATGGGGATAACCACTTTGTGTTGGTTTGCGGTAGCTTGCATTTGGTCGGGGGCGTGATGAGCCATTTGAAAGACATGAAGCTGTTGGACGAATCATTGAATGGTGTGTATACCTAGACAGAAAGTGTAAGGGGATCAATTTATCATAATCTTGGCCAACAATGCTAAAAGCCAGCGTTCGCTTTACCTCGGTCAATAATTGCATCGCCCCTTCTCTCACTGCGCTTGCAGTGTGGCCGGCTGTGCTGCTGATGGTTGTTCAGGGGCATTGACGAATGCTATCATATTTGCGTTGCTGCATAAACAAGCTTTGCGAGTAGAAGCCTTTTTTAATAGCGATGCAGATTTTTGGATGGCGCAAACACATATACGCCGAAACGTAAAGCAATCAACATAAAGAATTCGTCTGACCAGGAATGCTATTTATCAGCGCTCGCATTGCCTCTCGCCCCATCTCTCATTCTGCATTCGCCCCATCTCAGCTGCCAGAATTCGCTTCTATTCTGTTGTCATTCGGTCCTTGATGCTATTCAGCATCGCTTTTTGCTCGACCGAATCAAATGAAAATGAATTGTGATTATACACAATTAGTGTAGGCTTTTAACAGTCTATAACCTTATAGCAGAACCATAGACAGGACTCAAAGGTATATAAAGAAGCTCACTTCATTACAAAAAAAAGTTCTCCTTCATCACAACAATACTTCTTCAAGTCATCTCAACGCTGGTCGTCGACTTTGATACAAATTCAATTTCGCTTATATTTAAATTTATTCTAGACATTTGTCATCTTTGCAAGAATGTTGTTCACTCAAGTCATTTCATTGTCAGCTTTCTTGCTCGCCGTTATGGTTCTTGCTACCAATAGCGCCCAAGTAAAAGTTTTGAGCAAGAACGAGCTCTTCAGACGTAATGTGGAAATCAACATGCGTGAATTTGTCAAACGTGCTAATCATCACCCGTCTCATCAACGCTCACATGCGTATCCAACGGGAAGTTGTCAACATACCAGTTGTCCGCGTGGCGTTGGTGATTGTAGCCATCCGTGCCAAAGCTGCGTAAATAAAGTTTGCGAGTAGATAAGTATTTCAGCCGCGGTTGAAGTTGGCAAGTTATTATTTATGTTGGCATTCAAAGGTCAAAAATAATGCTCGCCACCTTTCATATTGATTTGTTGTATTTGATTCTGCAGTTCAACATCCTACATACTGACCCACTCATTAATGCAAAGAATGTTTTCTTTTATTTGTTTCATTATGGGACTTATTCAATGAGTGTTAGCAAAAAGTTATCTCAATGTCCTATCCCTCTCATTGCACCCCAACCGTGTCTTTTAAGTTGCAACCGCCTCGAAACCATAATTCATCTTAAACAATTCAATATTGTCACTTTTTCCACTCCCGCTTCCACTACTGCTTGGTTTCTTGAGTCTTTTGTTCGTTGTTGTTGATCTTGATGCGCTTGGTGGATATTGTGAATCTTTATGACGACCTTTTGTTGATATTGGAGAGCTGAGAGAGTTCGAATCACCCATCTTTAATGATGAGACGCTATTCCGTATTGCCAATGCTCCCGCCCTTCTTAGAGATTCTGTACTGCATTCGCTGTCCGAAACAACGGATGAAACCGTCCGAAGATGTTGAGGTCGTGTAGTTTCAAATGTGGTTGACAGAACTCCAGCACTTGAAGGTCTCTGTCTTGACATGACTACAAAGTTTCTTGAATGAGAAGGGTCTGAAGCTTTGTTTGTGGCATGTCTCGAAAGAGTGGCAGAGCGAGGTGAATACGGCACAATTACCAGACTAGGACTTCTGGCAAAATGAGTAGAAGTTGCAGAAGTGGGCGTCGATGATGCCAATTGCTCAAGAGTTGTTTTTGGACTGATGGGTGAGTTTGTATCGTTAGAATCTCCTCTTCTGTCGGCAGCAATACCGATTTGGGCTGGTTCAGATATTGTTCGATTATGGTATGACACTTGAGAGAACTCAGTTTTTAGTTCGGGTAACCACATTGCCGCTTCTTCTTCTTTTTCAAATTCGCATTGTGTCCAATCAAATGATCGTTCGCCCTCTTTTTGCTTACCATTCTTGCGTACTGCCTGGGTATCAAATGATTCATATAATAATGCGCTCACCACGGGTGAACTTTGTAATGCTCTACTGAGCCTATACGCATTTTCATCATAATTTGGTGATGTCATTGGGGTTGAACATGTATCGTGTCGTTCTGATCCTGTTAACATGGATGCTGTTGTGTTCAAGCTCAAGCCGGATGGCCGCGATTGTACTTGATTGCGAGCTGCACGAAACGAAGAGCTAGAAGAACTTTCGTTCAAATGAGAAAAGGGCACCGAATGTGGCTTGCTGATAGGACTTGTTTCGTGCAAAGTAGACATTGAAGGACCATGCGAACTGTTCAATGTTGCTTTGGATATACTTGAATCACTCTCGATCCGAACTGTGAGGACAGGAGGTGGTGGCTGAATAACATGTCGACCTGGTTCTGAGCCATTTGCTTCTTCTATCAATTCTTTGCGTTTCTTTTCTCTCCTTTTGCGTTTATACGTTCTCCAGAACAGATAAAGAATAAAAAGCACCAAAAGGATTGAAACAACTACCAAGCAAGCGGTTACTATGGCTTTCATATTTTTGTTATTGAGTCTTTGTGCTTCTTGATCGTTTTGTGTATCGGTAATTACTGTTGCAGGAGAGGTTGCATTATTTGGATTATAGGAGGGGTATTGCTGAGCAATAATTTGAGTTACAGCTCCTTGTCCACCTCCTTCATCTCTTCCCCTGTTTTGAGGTGTATCGGCGGTTGATGAAATTTGACGTTTCCAAAAAGAGTGTTTTTCTTTCATCGTTGGAGAAGGCATCTTGATCGTAAAGAAGGAATGCAAGATGTGAAAGATCGCTTTTCTGTTGAAATGTGATTGATGATTTATATAAAATTTAGTCACCCGCGGCTCGGCGTTCTTATAAAAGCTTTGCTGATCGATTGTTCGATGTGATTAAGTCCTCTTCTTTGCCAAAACAGTTGGCGTAATCTGCGTGACTTCAACGTGAATTTGAAGAATCTCTTTGTTTCGCACAAAGGTACTAAATAGAAGATTGAATGTATTCTTTGAATTCCTTTTTCATGCAAAAGAAGCTTATTTTCTTGATGATGGTCGCATGTACTTTGCATAAAAGGAAGGAGGTATCCGAAACATATGCCTCAATGGATTGAAGGATAAGCCGCAACCGAATGCTGTTTTCGCGTAACGCTTTTTGGCAGGCGTAATCAAACGGATGAAAACCTCTTGTTGTTTTTCTTTGTCTTACTTTGCCGAAATCAACCTCAACCAATCCTTGGGTAGAATATCCGTTCAAAAAGTGAATGCTACTAGCCTCGGAAAATTGAACTCCGCGATCGAATGTTTTGTATGTGTGGAAAGAACGAAAGATGGAGTTTAGAGATAGAGAGTAGATTTGATGTTCAAAAAAAGATCACTTTGACACTCTCTCTCCTCGAAATGAACAAAACATGCGCAAACTCAAACTCAGGAACATTCATTACATCATTTCCAACAGTAGGAGAAAGGTTTTGATTTATTCGTAATGACATTCCACAAAAGAATGAAAAAAGCACGGTTACCGTTCCTGCTTATTACGCTTTCTTTTTGCAATTCAGCGCTTTGACCTCAAAAGTGTTTGGCAAAAGAGTAATAAATACATCCCTTAACCTTCCCTGTTTTTGCGCTCTCCTAAATTGCGTTTGAGTTACGTTGAAATGAACAAAAAAGACAGGGTACGGTTCCGTAATTCAGTGCCTCCTCTAACTTGGAAAAATAAAGGGCACCAAATCATTTGAGTATATTTGACTAATCAGCCGCCAAGAAAAGGCGGATCATGTCACTCCAGAGTGTAAAGCACATCCATTCGAACTTTATAAACCAAATCACGGATCCGCAATTGAACGCATGGTGTGCATGGAAATCGACATGTCCGTACTTTTGTTTCAGGTATGATAACAGTGTGTGTGTGTGTATATGTGTCTAGACCTTCATACGCAGCAAACAACTACTCTTCCTCATTTTGTCGGCCCGACTTTTGACCTTCACCTGACAAGCCGTCATAAGCGGTTGATCCACTGTCCGCTTAAATGGATTAGAAGATTCCGCAACGGCTGTCAGCAAGTTTCATGCGAATCGATCTTTAATGCGGCAATCATCATTAGTGATATGCCGTAATGTAGCATGAATCGCAAACTCTAAATTGTGGGAAAGAAATGCATCTCCATGGGATAACGCCTGACTCTAGCGCGGAAAGAAAAGATTATTCATCATTCTTTATGAGAAGAACTCTATGTCATTGTCGTAAAAAGTCATAATATGTGTTTGAAAAAAGAAATAAAAACGTAAAATTTGCAACCCTTCACTTTCTACCAATCCTCTCCAGCTTTTGCGTTCCAGCAAAGATACGAGTGTCCAAATTTGTTGATTTATCGCCCAATCTTTGAATTCTTTGATTTTGTTCATTGATCTCTGTTCCCATTGCTTTACCCAATCTGTTCAGTTTGGAACTCAATTGACCGATCTCATCCATATTATTGTCCAATTCGTCTTCCAATTCATCATCACTTTCCGTTGCTTCAAATTGAAATCGACTTCTTTGTTGCATCTTTGCCTTTGCTGGATCTTCCTTCTTTGCATTTCCACCTCCAAATCGATCCATTCCAAATCTACCACTTCCAAATCGACCTGCTCCGACTCCGCTCAATTCTTGATCCATACGGTTTTGAGCACGTAATGCTTGTTCTCGTACTGCTTCACGTTCTTCACGTTCCTCAATGTGACGGTTCATAATTCTTGCTTCTTCAGCATCACGTTTGGCTTTCTTATTAAATCCAATATTGGGTCGGAAGATTGATCTGTTCAATCTGTTGATTTCTGCAGTGTTATCATCTGCTCTGCTAGAGTGTGCTTTTGCCATATCAAGATGACGTTCTGTATTGGCGAGCTTATCACTTTGCTCTCCCAATTTGAGCAAAGTACCGGAAGCAGTTTCTTCCGTTTCACGAGCAATACGTAAAGCATTTCGTGTGCTTGCCAATGATTCTTGTTTGGTGAATCGCATCTGTTGCTTTACTGCTTCCACCTCATCCTCCTCTTCCTCTTCGGCAGTTCGCTGTTGTTGAGGTGCGTCATAGCTATGAGCTTGCTGTTGAAGACCACGACCGTATTCTGCTTCTAGATCATCTTCAGCTCCTTGGTTTTGTGTATTGTATGCCAAATTACGATTCTTACTGCCAGTGCCAACCATTGCATCATAACTTGAGCCTAGATTAGCAGATGGTGCTCTTGCATTGGCAAAGCGTTCTTGACCACCGTAGCCTCCGCCTCCATAGCCACCACCGTAAGGATTGGGTTGTTGACCTGGAGGTGGTCGTCCATATGCGTTATTTGGCCCTCCGTATCCAGCCTGACCGTATTGACCTGGACCATTGGCAGAGCGCATACGTGATCCAGGATCGTTCATACCGCCATGGAAAGCAGGTTGACCTTGACTATATTCATCGCCAACTGGAGGGATCTTACCACCTGATGACTTTTTGTTGAAGATTCCCATCTTTGTTATATCTTTGTGTGTTTGTGTGTGTGTATGATGGTTGAGAAACAGAGAGTGAACTTCCCCTTAAGTGTTGCACTTCCCTTCCCTTGCACCGCTTTATTTAGCTTTTTCCAATCCAAGCGCGGGGGATTTGGCGGCGTAAACCAACACACGGGCTGTATACAGGCTGGTATGCTGTAATTATATCTGCATTTTTTGTCCGCCTGCAGGCGTGTTGTTTGAATGGACGATCAATCTGTACGCCTAATGTGGCGCAAGGCAGGCTTCATACCAAATAATATAGAGAGCTTTTTGCCTATGTGGGAAGCATTTGACAGATTTTAAGAGCAAACAATCTGTACTTTTGTGTATCGATTAATAAGAATTGAATATTATGATGAATATGACTATGAAAACGAGTGTGTAAATACGAAAGACAAGAAGAAGGAGAAGAAGAAAGAAAAAAAGACATATAATACCACGTTCTGAAGTTGGAATGTAGTGAAAAAATATCATGATAAAACAAAATTCATATTTAAAAATTCAATCTTAGGCCGTTAAAGGTTGCTTGTTCACATCACCCGTAAATGAATCATTCGTCGTTCCTCCAAAGATCGGCACTTGACTTGCCAATGGACTGGAAACGGATGGGATATTGTTTGTATTTCCTCCATGTTGATTGGCAGCTGCTCGTGTACCTTCGATCTGAATAGAAACGTCAGAAGATGAACTTGCATCAATCAGATTATCAACCGCTTCTGAACTTCTAGATGCAGCGAATAACGTTCTACCTGCACCACTTGAAGGCGCGCTCAAATTGTTTACGTTCGTTTGGGATCCTCTATGGGAATCTTGTAAGTTTACCAAAGCTGAATCGCTATCCCTTTGAGTAGAATATAATCCTTCCGTGCTTGTGCGATTGTCTAATTCCACTCCATCTTCATCTCGTGACAAGTTCACACGTACGTCATCGCTACGACGAACAGCATATGGTTGCGCTCCATGATGATATGCTTCATCTCTGCCATTGTTTCGCATTCCCATGCCCATACCCATGCCGCCCATTCCAGCAGGTGGCCGTGCACCATTCTCCATATCATAATGATAATTTCCTCCGCTGCCTAATTGAGAAGCCATAGCAGCTGCATGCGCAGCACGTACATCGTCAATCGTAGGAAGATCAAGAGATGCAGCAGGAGCGGGTACAGGTCGTCTTGGCCGTAATTGTTGCTTTAAATTATCGCTAGAAGGATCTTCACGTTGCTTTTGTCTGAAACGAGGAGTATGCATAGGCGGGGGTGATAATGTATCTGAAACTCTCTTACCATCGTCTAAGTTCGGTGTGCTTGGCGTGGCAATTGGACTGGAAGATTCAAGTGGGTGGCTCTGATCGGATTTTGACGGGCCCTGAATAGCAGTTGTAGACGATGAATTGGAACCGCTTCCAGCGTCTTGATAGCGATTTGCAGCTTTTGAGCTGCTCTCGGCATCGAACGATTCTCCGTTTTCATCCACATCGAGTTGATCGCCTGGAAGAACGACACTCGGTGGTTGCTGATGATCAGAACGCCAAGCTGGTTGACCGGCTGCCATTCCAATTTCTTCCCAACAACGCATCGAGCGATCTGCCCAAGCTTCTAGCACAGGCCAGCCTTTATATTCCCCTTTCAATTTGAAGCCAGCAGCACCATCTCCGCCGCGATCGCCACCACCTCTACCTGCACCACTACCGCCTCCGGAGAAGTAGGATTCATAGCCGATCGCATCTTCTTCATCGTTGCTATCGTTACTGTGCTCTTCCTCCAAAGTCCAAATTTCACCTGTTTCCAATTCTTCAGCGATGTATTGTAAGAATCTTCCCCATCCTCCTTCACCTTCACCGCGCCAAAGGACGATCTTTGTATCGAAATCACGACCAAACAAGATGACTTGTCCAGGAGAACCACCATTACCCGGATTAGGGCTCAAATCCACACCGACATAATTGCCCACACGATCGGTGATCAGAGGAATCCATCCTCGGCAAGAATATTCTGGTCTTACCCAGCCCGCTGGACAGCTACACATCCAGCCTTTAACTTCTGGATTGGCTCCTGTCGATGGATCTTCATCCACATTACGCCAAAATCTCCATTCTTCTGCAATCTGATCGAGGCTCAAAAGCGGAAGTCCGAAGAACAAACCATCGCTGCAGCTTTGATTTGATTCAAGTTCTTGCCCGTCATAACATAAATAGCTATCACGAACAGCAGGAGGTAATGCAAAGCCGATTGTGAGCTCCAAGTCATCTAATTGTGCTTCGGTTGCAGGCCAATTGAGAGTATCGGCTAATTCGGTGTAATTCTTATTGCACCAGCTTCGAATGCGTCTCCATGTATGTTTGAGCGGAGGATAAGCAGTTGATGGGATAGAGACGTTCGTCGAAAGACTTAAAGAATTACGAGATTGGGCTCCGGGCACCAAAGTTGCGGTTGATTCACCGCCATTTGAAGGAAGCATTCTTGAATTTGCTTTGCTAAAATTTGAAGTTAATGGACTGGCAGACGAAGGTGGATAGATACCGTTTGTTGATGTTGCTGTATTTGGTTCGTTACCGTATTGACCGTATGGCAATCTCCAAGCAGGATCGTCGTCGTCAAGAGAGCGAGGTGGTCCGCGTCGCATGGTTGTTGGTAAACCTGCAACAGAACGTTTTCTGTCTGAATAGGGGCCTCCTGAAGGGGAGCTTGATGAACCTTCTCCTAAGTTTGCGCTACTAAAGAGGGATGTGATGGAAGAGAAAAGACCTCCTCCATTGCCAGAACTGGAAGGCATGATGAAAAGGGTGTCCTTTTATCCTATTTGTAGAGATCTCCTGAAAAGGGCTTGAGAAGGTACAATGTTTGTTTGCAAGATTCGGTATTCTTTCACCTTAACTCTGCAGAAATGACCCTCGGCACGCCGGTTGAATTGTCACCCCTTTGATGGCTGGCAAGGGATAAAAGATCCCCTTTGAATTTAGAGTGTTTTTGCTAAACGGAACTCCGTCTCCTGTTCAACGCCAACGTCCTATCTTTCGACCTGCGGTGAAGAATGACGTAAAAATGATGGATGCGATGCTGTTCGTTGTTGGATCTCTTTCTCTCTAAGTGAAACAGAAGAGGAGAAGGTATGTGTCCGGAGAGATGATATGAATGCTCACACAATTTAGTTAAATGGAGTAACAGCAGCAGCGCTCACTGTATTGAGAGACATTTGGCCCCCCTCCCTGTCTTTTTTTTTATCTTGAGTGTGTGTGCACTCTTCAACTCGCAAGCAAATGCACGACGCGCCGAAGCTAGCAAAGCACACTTGTTCATTGTGTGTGCGTGCGTGCGTGTGTTGTGCCCTGCGCGTTTCTTACCTGAAAAAGTGCAATTTATTATTAGTGATAGGCTCATTCATTCACCCGTCAAGCTTTAAGTCCGTGAGCTTGGACACTTTTCTTAATTTAACTTATCACGACAAAAATGTTCACGAATGAATGCTATTGACGAAATAGATGAAAGGATATTACATTTAAAAAAGTATCAATATCTTAACGGTCTACCTCTCCGAACACCAAATCCATCGTTCCGATAATTGCAACCATATCGGGCAAGAAATGATGGCGGGAAAGGGTATCAGCTTGTGCCAAATGTGCAAATCCGGGCGCACGAATCTTGCATCTGTATGGTCTATTGCTTCCGTCTGAAACTAGGTACACTGCCATCTCTCCTTTTGGTGCTTCAATGGCAGAGTATGTCTCGCCTGGAGGAACTTGATATCCTTCACTGAATAGCTTAAAGTGATGAATTAGTGATTCCATAGATTCCTTCATACTTGCTCTTGGTGGTGGTACCAACTTGTGATCATCCACCTTGTATTGACCTGCAGGCATCTTGTTCAAGCATTGTTCAATGATGCGCAAACTTTGACGGAATTCTTCCACACGGCATAGGTAACGATCATAACAGTCACCGTTCTTACCGACTGGGACATCAAATTCAACTTGATCGTATGCATCATAAGGTGCAACCTTACGAATATCCCAAGGAATACCACTTCCACGCAACATCACTCCACTGAAACCAAAGTCAAGAGCTTGTTGCGCTGAAACAGTTCCAATTCCGATCGTACGTGATTTCCAGATACGGTTTCCTGTAACCAATTCTTCCATCTCATCTACACGCGATCCGAATTGAGTTGCCCACTTGTGAATATCATCCAAAAGGCCGTGGGGCAAATCGTATGCCACACCTCCAGGTCGAACATAGGCGGCGTGCAAACGTGCACCAGATACACGTTCATAGAATTCCATCAACTTTTCACGTTCTTCGAAAGCCCACAAGAAAGGTGTTAGAGCACCAACATCCATAACGTGAGACAAGACGGCCATACAGTGGTTCAAGATACGGGTAATTTCACCGAACAAAGTACGAATGAACTTGGCCCGCTCTGGAACTTCGATATTTAGCAACTTCTCCACTGCACGAGAGTAGCACAACTCGTTCGTCATCATGGAAACGTAATCCAATCGGTCAAAGTAGGGCAAGGCTTGTGTGTAGTTTTTGTATTCGATCAACTTTTCTGTTCCACGATGTAATAGACCGACGTGAGGATCGGCTCTCAAGATTTCTTCACCGTTCAACTCTAAGATCAATCTCAACACACCGTGTGCGGCAGGATGTTGAGGTCCAAAGTTGACTGTAAAGTGACGCATGCTAGCCTCTTTTCTGTTGGATCCTTCTTTCAAGATTTCTTCGGCAGAATGATGATGTAAATCTTCAACGGTTGTTGCTTGCATCATTGGGCTCATGCTCATAGTTCCTTTTGCTTGTGGTCTTGTATCTTGTGCGGTAGTGTTTTGGTGAATTTCAGCTTCGGAAGCCAAATAACGCTTTTGTGTTGGCAAAGTTTGTCTCAAGGCGGAAGTGGTTGCCATCGAAGGCAAACTTCTCCGTAGTGCAGACGCACCTCCATGGCGCATCAAAAACGGAGTCATTGGAGCCATGATTGTGTGCTGTGATCACAAAAGATGTCCTTTGATGGTGAACGAGAATGAATTCATGACCGGCTTCCAGAATGAGAATTGCCCCCCTCTGCTTACCTGACAGCATCCTGGGCTGCTGTGCTTCTATTGGTCAGCGCCCATTTCTTTTAGTGTCTTAAAAGGCGTGGCGCGTAACTTGCCATGCCCTGCCCTGCGCCTTTTCCCGCCAATCAGCAATTCTTCTCGAGTTAAGATCACGTGCACAAAGAAAGTGGAGAGAAATTAAGCTTTCAATATTAAAGGTCACGATGGCCAGCAACTTTTTCTAGGAACAGCTTTTACCTAAGGAAAGGCGCTGGATGCTGAGATTCACTTTCAGCATTCCGAGTCACCAGCCAACCGCTTAACAATATGGCTTCAACATCATCGGTACCGCGAAGGAACAATGAAGACGTAGCTTCCTCATCAAGTTTGGTATCCGCTCTGATCAGAGTTCGTGATTCGGGGAAAAAGTCCAATGTTCGCAGCACCGATCACAATGTAGCCCTTTCTCTTGGCAAAAATGACACGAATGGCTCAGCAGTAGTGCAAGAAGCTGCAGATGATGATGATGAAAAGCAGCATTCATTCTCTACAAACTCAGTAGAAAATGTTGGGCAGACAGTCACCTTGACTTCGTGGAAGACACAAGAGTTCGCTTACCGGAAAACGACAAAAGTAGGCCTAGGAGAGGATGATGAGCTACCAACGCTAGCTAGAGGACTATTTACAATGGCAATTGGCACAGACCAGCATCGAATTGTAGTGAGAGGTTACGACAAATTTTTCAACGAAGACGAAATGCCATGGACCAAGAAAGAGGCTATCGCTAAGTACAGCAGCCCTCCATATGAGCTCTCATTCAAAGAGAACGGATGTATCATATTCATTGCGGCACTTTCTCCTCATCAATTGATCGTTACATCCAAGCATTCACTCGGATCAAACGAGTCACACGAGGTATCACATGCACAAAAAGGAGAACAATGGCTCGACAAACATCTAGCACGAAGAGGAAAGAGAAAGTCAGATCTAGCCTTAGAGCTGTGGAATAGAAGCGAGACAGCCGTTGCGGAGCTATGCGATGATCAATTTGAAGAGCATGTATTGGCCTATCCGGCTGAGCGAACAGGGCTGCACTTACATGGCCTAAACAAGAACTCAGCAGAATTCATGACTCGACCAATGCAAGAAGTGGAGCAATTTGCACAAGAATGGGGATTTCTGCCGACGAGATACCTGACGATCGATAATTTGGCAGATGTTGAGAAATTCTGTCAGTCGGTTGGCGAATCGGGCAGTTGGCAAGGGATTCCCATCGAAGGATTTGTTGTGCGTACTCACAAGCCTATGACCGATTCTTCGTCGAAAGATGGTAAAGACCCAGTGTCCCCTCCTTACAAGACTGGTCAAGCTTGGTTTTATAAAGTGAAATTTGACGAACCATACCTGATGTATCGTGATTGGCGCGAATTGACTCGACGAATGCTCTCAGATAAACAAAAGTTCGACAAAGCAAAAGCGGAAAGAGGGCTGAGCTTAGGACCATCTACCACAGATGCAACTATGAAGCTTGATTCATCTCCTGCTGCAGACTTGAGCAAGAACGCAAAGAAGAAGGAACAGAAGAAAGCTGAACAAGCTCGTCGAGCGGAAGAAGCCGCTGCTGGACTCACTCCACCTTTACCACCGCAAACGAGAAGCACAAGGCCTGAAACACGATTGTTTGTGGAATGGTGTTATGAGAAGCTTTACGGTAGCAAGGATGGAAGGCAAAAGCCGGAATTGAACCTCTTTGAGTCCTTTAGCCAGAACAAAGGGATCATTAATTTACGTGAAAAGTTCATTGAATACATGAATAGCTCTGAGGGAAAAGCACGCCTTGCTGCGACAAGCAAGAAGTCGAAAGCTTCCAACGGATCTCAAGCTCAATCAGATGCGGTGCCTTTAAACGGGGAGCAGAACAACAAGACCTTCGATAAGACGCTGATTGTCCCAATCGCTGTGCCAGGATGCGGCAAGACTGTTTTGGCCGTGGCTTTATCTCACTTGATTCCCGATTTCGGTCATACACAATCTGACAATGTGCAAAGCAAAAAGACTGCTCCTACTTTCTTGCGTAACATAGGACAGGAATTGAACAATCATGACGTGGTATTCGCCGATCGGAACAATCACCTCTTCAAACACCGTAATGAAATTGTGGATATGATCAAGACTTGGCAACAAAGGACTGACAAAGGAGCAAATAGAGTTCGTCTAATAGCTGTGGCTTGGTCACTCAATACTTTGCCTTTGAACGCAATTCATCATATTTGTTCTGATCGGATCGCTCAACGAGGTGAGAATCATCAAACCCTTCGCTCGACGGAAAACAAAGACTATGAACAAATCTTGTGGCAGTTTCTACGTAATCTGGAGACATTTGGATCGGGAGAGAAAGGTGGCGGCGATAAAGGTCACGGAGATTCGGCTTTCGATAAACATATCCGATTAAGTCCGAATGCTTCGATGGAACAAAATCTCCTCAAATTGATTCAAGAGCTCATGCCTCTTTTAGGACTACCGATCCCGGACGATAAAAAGGTCAAAGTCGCTTTGCAGAAGGCATTGGAATACAAAGTATCCTTGAAGAAAGAAGTTAAAGGGGCACCTTTGCCAAGGATTCGTTATTACGGCCTTGCCATCGAATCCAACATTATCGACTTCTTGCCCGACGTCCTTGCTCCGTATCCAACTGCTCTAGAAGCATTTGAAGCATTAAAAGAAAGCAATCGCATAATTCAAACACCACATGTAACTCTGGTTCACTCTAGTGAAGTCGAAGGAGGAAGTGTATCAGCAAAAAAGAGGTGGGAGACGTTTTCGCAACTTGCAAATAACCCAAACCCACCATTGTTTTCGATGTTTATCGATCTGATCGCATGGGATGATCGAGCGATGGCATTGGGTGTGAGTGAAGTCAGGAGTGAAGGAGTTCCTGATCTTTATACCTTACAAGGACAACAATGGAGACCACATGTGACAATCGGCACTTTTGCTGAATCTATTCGGCCGTTTGAAGCTAATCGAGTTTTATCAGAAGCTGATGCGGGCCAAAATGAGGACAATGTCCACTGTGTACGCTTTCAAAGTTCTATTCGCATGCAATCTAGAATTAAAGGCATGTCATAATTGTGTATTTGTACTTCTCCTGTAGCAGCAATTGTACTTTTAAACAAATCAATAGAAATTCAATTTTGGTCCTCTTTGCTGTGATTGGTGATGTAAGCCGAAGCTAACGTCCGGCTCTCCTCTTTACCAAGATTCGCGCGCGGGCAGGGGTGCGTGCGTCAACGTGAGTAAAAGAGTGAGAGGCCCGAACCGTTGAACCTATCAAAACCCTCATCACGATTAGATTTGTGCTTTTACTGTAGTAGGTGTGATGTCTGAGAAAGTATCGGAGAATTTCAATTGGGGTAAAGGTAAAGGCTTTTTTGCAGAGATATGCTATCTTTCGAGCCGGGCACATGCTTGTGCTTCTTTGGGCGTATTAAAGTGCATATATGCGCACCCACTCTACGATCTGAGTGGGCCCAACAACCATGCTACCCGCTCTACACGGACCTTCTTTTTTGCCACACATTGACCCATGAAGACGACTAATTACGTATTCATCAGGAGTTTTCGGCAGATTCGCTGTTCGCTATGATCCAATGCAAATGAGAATGAGCCCTTTGGCGGAAAGCGGCAAATCGGCTTTTGCATTTGACATGAATAACTTCATTTGGTTCATTCCGAGCTACCATTCATTCATCAGATCGCAATATTGCAGCAAATCCTGATCGACCGTACAGGAAAGCGCTAAAATACTTTCTTCCCGTAATCTCCTTTCGCCATCTGACCCTGCCTTCGCAAAGACTGTGGCGAAGCATCACAAGACCAGGCAAAGTGGGACGGTACTACTTGCCACTTTTCTTGGCTATTTCCTATTCTCAAGATGTCTTTTTGTTCAAGTACACCACATCAACGATCATTCAAACCTTCTTTCCCGACCATCATCCTAGAACTCCGTCAAATTGTAGCATAAACGGTGTTAAGCAAGTTCTTCACCGTCGCATCCCGTTTTCACGATCTTATCACGACAAATCACGATATTGGTAAAGTGATTATTGTTCTTGTCCTGCAATCACAACAATCTTCAATTTTACCGTCACAAATCAGCCACTACTTCACCGACTTATTTATCACTCAGTCTCGCTAATCAAATAGGTTTCGTTAATATCAAGTAGTTCTTGCTAATAAAAGTGGACTCTATCGCTTTAATCAACTCAGAAAGACAGGAGCTCTACTAACGCCCGCGCAAATCTCCTAATTTCGATTTCCATCTGGATCGAATACAGCCCCGTGGGTAACAAACGAGTCGTTTACTTTTACCGGAAAGGAGGAAAAAGTGAGTTATGAGGATCGAAATTACCTTTTCGGCTTAATGAAAATTGAACGAAATTAACCTCTTTCTTTCTTCCCACCATCATTTCAGCTCAGCTCCTTTCACCTTCATTTCGTATAATTTCTCAAATCTTTCTCAAATCAGTAACGATCATTTAATTTCCTTACATGTGAGTATGAATTGAACCTCAGCCAATCTTTTGTTTTTTTTCAAAAACGGATTTCCGTCAACAAGTTTGACAAAAACGCTGTGCCATGGAGAAAGCACCGCTTCCGCTTTTGTCCAACCGAATCGCGTGCTATTTCGGTCACCGTGAAAGCGGTTCCGGCCAAAAGGAGCGGTGCTGTTTGCCAGTCGCAATCGGAATGTGACTGTGTATTTGCAGAAGTCTAATGCGAATACCCACATTTTCTTTTTTTCTGAAAAACTTCTCGGCACCGCGATGACCAGAAAAAAGAACGGCATTCTCTATTGTCACACAAACGCACATCACACGGTACCCTCAATGAATCTTTCATTGGAAGACCGCGTAAAGGCGGTCAGCCGTTGAGAATTTCTCTAGCTTAAAGACAGTTTGCTGACAATATCCGTTACAAAATCTCCTGAACTCCCTTCACTTTTTCGGCTTGTTACTGTCCGGAAATCTCTGGCAAATCATTTAAATCAACATCAATCATTTCAAAAACAATCCTCAACGAAAAAATAATCCCACTTCACGCCCCGCCAAAATTTAAAACGCAAATGATGTTTCTTTGCTTGAATTCATTATTTGACGAAACCACGACTTTCTTTCTTACACACAATTAATATACCTCCAATTACGGGTTCTTTGGATTTTTGCTGCAACCACAACGCAATCGGATAAATCACACACCGGCACATTACGAATTATCGTCCTTTTGTTTGTTTTGAATGTGCCTGGCGTGGTTTGAATTTCAAACTTTTACTTATTGACCACCACTTTGGGGCACAAACAATATTGGGACGATATTATTGGATCTACGGTGCCGTTGTGTCTTTGGCTTGAAATCACATCTGGGAAAAAATTACCCAATCTTTTTCTTCTCTTCATTTCATTATGTCTCAATCTTCTTCCCACATTAGTCTCGGATCATCTTTACACGCTGAACAAGAATCAAGAAAGTTAATAGGGCAAAACTCAAACTTTGATAGGGAAGAGGACGTTGAAACAGTTCGTGATTCTCATTCACAAGAAGAGATACCGCAGTCAAACACAAGTAGCAGAAGTACAACACCAAGACCTTTTGCGCGGAATCAATCAAATCTTGCGGGAACAGGTGAATTGACACATCACCACTATCATTCTCAGTCTTCACAGGATAATTATTTGGGTGTGGCAAAACATAACCGAGACAGAAGAGATTCTCTTTCAATTCAAAGTTTGATTGCCACCACAGATTCAAGGCCAACGTCCTCACATCAAAGCAACAAATATTACCATCATCATCCTTATTCAAGAGGTGAGGGATCAAGAAGGGAAATGAATTTCGGCTTAGCATCCCACCTTCCATCTCCGATGTTCGATCATACATTACCGCGAGATTCTGATCAAGAAATGACAACTTCAAACTCTCTCTTGAGCACGGGAAGCGAATATATGCAGTCTCCTGTTTCTGCCTCGAGTGCTTCTTTTACTTCTTCGAACTTTGGTCACCAGGACAGTGGGAGCATATTGGATCAAGATTCGTTCGCAGCTCTTTCAAATGCATCAAAAGCTGCCAACTACGGCCATACGGGCGAGGAAGGTTTCGGTTCGTATGGAACAGACCATTCGCTCGTATCGCCTTATGACAGCTTGAGTAGATCATCAAGTGGCTTCTCATTGCAGTCTGGATTGAGCGGAAGTGATATGAGCAATGCAGCAGGTACACAGAGTGATACGCAACTGCTCGACGGTCAAACAACGCACGATGGAATGATTGGACGTTCAAGATCGGGAACGGTGCGCAGATATCATTCTTTGAGTGGTTCCTTATCACTTCCTCCCAGGAGTGAGGAATCAGTTTCACCAACAGGAAGTGCAATGAGTTTGAGAGCGTCTTCAGATCGTGGTCGTGGTTTGGCAACAACTGCATCGATTTCAATCTCGGATGCAAGTATGAACAGTTCAATGTCACGCAAGAAGCGCAATAAATGCAGTCCTGAACAATTCCGTCAATTGGAAGCCTTTTTTGCCAAGAATAGAAATCCAACGGGTAAAGTACGTGAAGAGTTGGCAAAGAGTATTCGAATGCCAGAAAGAAGTGTTCAAGTTTGGTTCCAAAACAAACGTGCCAAGACAAAGTTGATCGAAATCAAGGATGGTGTTCCTCCCGAGTTGCGTACGACAGTTTCCAAGCCAAGAAACAGTCAAGGTTCCGCAACAGGAATGCGACCTTCTGAATCAAGTTCTGGATTCTCTACTGCGTCTGCAAGAGGGAAACGTGCAATCATGCAAACGTCTTCGCAGGAAGAGTCTGTCATTCAACTTCCTGTAGTTTCGCTATGCATTGGAACGTGGAGAAGAATCAAGCCATTGATTTGTTTGTTCTCCAGACGTCAGCAAGCTTTCACTTGGTATCTTTCGTCTGAATCAGTTGGCTTCAAGCTAGAATGTCCAAGATCATGTGTGACTAGGGTGATCTTCTCAGGTCCTCGAGCTCCAACTGTTCATGAATTTGGCGAAGGTATCAATACGCAAATTGGTCATCTTACCGTTGAACTGGATAGACCACCTCAATTCTACATGGAGGTGTTCCGTAGCAGTGGTGCGTCACCAAAAGGTAAAGAAACCGAAGAGCATCAACAACAAAAAGCATCTTGGAGACAATGTTCAGATTTCACAGAATCAAAACAAGCAACAACGATATTTTCGCATACGATCAGTGGACCATATGCGGAGCTGAGAGGAGCAGTTTTGCAATTGATGGAATCTGGTGGTCCGCTTGCTTCGATTGTTGAATTGAGAGATGATGCTGCAGGTGCATTTAATGGTGTCTCTTCTGGCGCTTGGTCAGCAGAATCTCATTTAGCACAAGCAAATTTTCACGGTCATCCAAACGCACAATTCGGTTTGCCTCATCAACCTTATTCTCATCCACATCAAGCGCCACATTATGTGCCTGCAGGTCAGGAATCATCAATGTTGGGACATGGCTTGGATGAAGCGCAATTTGCAAATGCACCTCAGCATTCTCAATGGGACAATAATGCAACGCCTGTTTCATGGCAACAAGCGAACTTTTCCAACGATATAGCTAGTGGACATGATGGAGGTCGATATGATCATTTGACCATCAATACTGCACCGCAATCTGCTTCTGCATTGGATATGAACAATTTGCGAATTGACACAAGTGCATTACATAGTGTTCATCATCAAGCTTCACATACGTTTGAAGATGGAAATGGGCAGAGTACCTCCTATTCTCCCACGAATACCGTTCAATGGCCACGTACTGCCGTTCATCAAAGTTCAACTTGGGCAAATAGCGGTCATCCGTTGAGTGAAAGTGGATTTGCTTCTGCTCCTGCTTATCCGATCAACAGTTTCCAACAACAGCAGCAGCAACAACAACAGCAAAGCCATTTGTCAGAAACGCATCCTTCTGCCATCATGTCACATTCCAGTAGCGCTGATGGAACAGGAAGTGTGACCGACGCTGCAGCCGTAGCAGCAGCGGCAGCCGCTGTAAATGCAAATGAGATGCACAATTCCATGTTCAGTCAACCTGCTCATGTAGCTGCAGCGGCAAATGCTACAGGCTTCAATGCTGCTCCAAGTCATCAGACGCAATCCACGCCATCCATGGAAGAAAGTGGATTGGATGCAAATATGCATACAACTGCAACAACTGGTGAAGCAAGTAATGATACTTTGCGTTTTCATCAATCTCCAATGACTTGATCATCACACAAAAGATCAATTGATTTGATTCTATTAGCATGTTCCGCGTTAATCCTCCCACTCTCAAAAGTCATCGTTCTCGTCCAGCTACCTATAATAATTAAAACAATCACATTCATTCTAGTCCTTGCCGTCGTATTCTACACCATCTCGATATAATCTTTAATATAATCTTGCTTCACACACACACATACATACACGAATATTTTGCATGTTTTAACATATATCGATTTGATAAAGTTTGACGATTGAAGCACAAATATAGTTTAAAGAAAAAGAAGGTGTTCGAAAAAGGTAACATAAAGATACACAGAGGTACAAGAGTAGAGGAGAAGAATGGATATATCTCTAGAAACGATCTCAAAAATAGTCATTTTTGATTACCTTGGAATATGTTTGGGCGCACTGTGATGTCGAACTCATTACTCGGCATGTGGCATTGCCATCTTTTCAGGATCAGAAGCATGAACACTGGTAGAAGGGCTGCTATGAACATCCCTGTTTAGTCCAGAATTGACTGCTTCAGAAGTTGCATCGATAAAGTGGTCAGGGAAAACGACGCATTGTTCACCAGTTTGTGCCAAATCGATACCCAAAACTTCATCTTCGTCAGTTGCACGGAAGTGGAATCCTGGAATACGATCGATCAAGAAGAGCAAGATCATCGTCATGACGAAGGAGTAAGCGAAACCTGAAACGGAATCAGCCAATTGGTATCCCAATTGAACCCAGTGGTGGTTGATCCATCCTCCGGGGATCAATGCACTTCCATCAAAGCTTGCAACGCGGTTATCAGCAAAGAAGGCAGTCAAAATGTTACCAATCATACCTCCGATACCGTGAGCAGCAAAGATATCCAAAGTATCATCAACGCCAACGATGTTCTTCAATCCAGTTGCAAAGTTGCACAACGTTCCTGCAACAACACCAAATGCAATCGAAGCGGGCCATGCAACGTAACCGGAAGCAGGAGTAATAGCGACCAAACCAGCAATTGCACCGGAGCAGAAACCGACCAAAGACCATTTACGTTCCAAACGCCAATCCCAGAACATCCATGTCAAACCACCAACGGCGGCAGCATTGTTGGTAACAGTCATTGCCATAACAGCGCGCAAGTTGGCACCGAGAGCGGAACCACCGTTGAAACCGAACCAACCGAACCAGAGCAAAACGGTACCCAAGGTAACGTAAGAGACGTTGTGGGGACGGTAAGCAAGAACTTCTGTTCCGTATCCCTTGCGACGTCCCAAGAAGATGGAAATGGCCAAAGCAGCAGTACCTGAGCTGATGTGCACTGGAGTACCACCTGCAAAGTCCAAACCACCCATGACGGCTGCCCAACCACCTGGAACAGGAGGATCGACGGTTGTATCACCCAAGTTCCATGTCCAGCAAGCAATTGGCGCATATACGATTGTGCTCCAGCAGAAAGTCCATAGGATCACGGGAGCCAAACGAGCACGATCAATGAAAGCTCCTGCAGCAATGACTGGAGTGATTGCGGCAAACATCATTTGGTAAGCGTAGTACAATAGTTGGGGAATACCGTTGCTTCCGGTTGAAGGTTGGATATCGACACCGATCAAGCCAAAGTGATCCAAATTACGAATATACTTGTTACCGTTACGGCTGAATGCTAGACTGAAACCCCAGAATGACCAAGTGAACATTGCCATTGCCATAACGATTGAGCCCATCCATAGCATTGATGTTGCGGATTTTGCACGTCCTAGACCGGCATAGAAGAAAGCCAAACCTGGAATCATGATAAAGACAAGTCCGGTAGCTACAATGATCCAAGCCATATCACCAAGGTTGTAGATATATTCTACACCTTTAAAGGTGGTAGCAAGATTATGCTCTGCCGTTAGAGTTGCGTTGACCATGGTTATGATTTTTTATGGATAGCGATGGTCAGGAGCAGATGAGAGAAATCAAGCACGTTCTCCTTCCTCTGTGATATATGAATAGGTTTCGATCAGATGACCAAAGAGAAAAAGGGGGGAAAAAGGCAACACCTTCACTCAAATGAAGAAATCGAGAGAAGCGGAGATGATGAAAGAAGAGATGGAAGAATGAAACCGATGATGAAGAATGAATTTATATTTGGGGGATTAAAGGAAGGCAAGAAACCGAAATGAGCATTTAACGGGCGGCGGAAAGGCGCGATTGGAGTGTAATTGAGGCTGTCCCGAAGAAAAGAGGCAATTTTGCATGTAATTATAACCCCATTTACTCGTTCAATGTCAGAAGAGGAGGCACCGTAACCGTGCTTTATCACAAATTCTTAAATCTTGGCTTGTTTCTCGTACCTGCGCCATATCAACTTGTTTTCCTCAAGAAGATCCTCGGTCACATTGGCACAATGTACATGTATGAAACAGAAGTTGACTAGGATTGTGCATGATAGGTCATCGGGTTTCTCCGTTGTTTAGCGTGAACAAATTGACAAGTAGATGTCTTGTTGGGCTCCGTTTCTCCTTTCATTTTGACCTGAATCAAGGGGAGGAGGGGCATTGATTGATTTGATTCAAGTTTTCAATTTGCACATTGCCGTATGCAAGTCAAAACAGACACAGGTGTTATGCGCAAATGCACGCGCTTTAAGTGTGGCTACAATTTAAGATAAGAGAACGGGGGTCTAAAGATAAGCAAGCATAAATTACGGCTAATGAATGCATGTATTACTGCAAACACTCAAGAACAGATGGATCATAAATCTGATCCTTATCGGTTTCAACAAGATATATTCTTCCGTTAATTCTTCCTAGCGAGTCAGAAATGATGACAATTTCATTCTTACTGTCATTTATTGCTGATCGTTTTATTGTAGCCAAGACATTCAAGTCGAATTAAAAGTCCATTCCGAATCACGAAGCAAGAAGTGGGAAACATTGGAAAGCGGATCTGACACAAAAGATAAGGAAATTCCATTCCCATAAAGGCAAGATACGATGTGTGCAGTTTAAGAACACTGGCTTGGGATGCTTTCAAAGAAAAAGTGTTCAAAAGATAAGAAAATAGACGCGTGAAATGCCCACATATGCAGGTTAAATTTTAAAGCTTATCTCTTTCTGTCCTTTTTCAGGCACAAATCATTCACGCCGCCCTGCATGCCGATGCAAATTCTCTCTCTATCCTCCGAGATTCCCCCGCGCTCCGATGAGGAAAGGAAAGGCATCCATCCAATCATCGTTAACTGCGACGGTTGAATAAAGATATGATCTTTCCCTGAATGAACAAACAATAGTAATGCATCGGATCTACCGTACATTAGCTCCTCTATATTCCATAATGAAAGGGGAAGGAGATAGACAGATTATTATCTATACAATTGAGATCCAAAGATGTGCTTGTATGACATGAATTGTTGCGAACCAATGGTAAGGTATCATATGAGAGAGAGGAAAAAGAATAAATACAAATGTGTGTGTGTGGGGTAATGTAAGAAATTCAAGAAATATATACTTTACGTAAATCGTTCAATTTGAAACTGCCCATCGTACGTGGACAAATGATCGTTTGACCATCTTGACTTGCCATTGCCATTTCTTGTAAAGCGGTAAGAGAGTAGACTCTACCATTGGGCAATGCCATAGGAGGATCATTTTCGTTCATGATCCTACCGCTTATCGCACAAACCAAGGTAGAATTGATATGATGCGACCAAGGTACCTCTTTTGCCAAAACACCTAGTCCTCTTGAATCACAAACTGGACAATTATCATTCTTGCAGTTTAGTGTAGGTGAATGGGTACCATTCAAGTCACCATTCTTTTGAGCAGATGTGAGATGATTGGGAGGCGGTGGTGACAAGACAACCGATGGAGGAGCACTCAATTCCTGCGCATAGCCAGCTGCGGGCGGGAAGATTGGCGGAGCGGAAATGCTTGTAGAAGTGACGCCAGCGACAGAAAGCAGATTACTCCTTTCATCTCCAAATGCTCTTCCACCCAAATGAGCAGGAACAGCACTTGCACGAGAAGGATCATCCGTATAGCATGCCGGTAATTTAAGCGATGATAATCCTGCACTTAAAGCGATATGCAATAAAGGTTGAGGAGGCAAACTGTGAATCTGTAATGCTGCAGCACGGAACTTTTGTTGGAGTGCATTCCATCTTGAAACATCATACAAATCCGTATATGCCCATCCGCTCGGTCCACATGCCAGCAACCCCATTACCCTGGCTACTTGATTGCGGATCCATTCCTGCTGTTCCTGTTCTTCACGTTCTTCCTTTTCTTCTGTCTTAGCTTTCGCGGCTGCATCGGTGGTTGTGTCTACTTTGGTGGAAGCAGAGGTTGCTGTAGGGGTGAGGTAAGGCAACAAGTATCTTCGTGAGTAATTGATTGCTTCTTGTAATGATTGCGAAGATCGATCTCTAGTCAATTCGATGAATTCTTGCAGCCGGAGATCAAACTCCAATGTTGACCGTATCTTTCGCAAGGCTGCCTTATTCTCTGAGCACCATGCCAAAGTTGCTGTACAAGACCGTATGCTGTTGGAGGCTTGATCCTGACTGTCTACGTCTGCTGCGCTCGATGAGCCTGTTCCTATCAAAGAGCCTTCAATGCGAGAGATCTCGGTGAATAGATTCAAATCTACATAGTTCTCGATGTGCCTATTGTTCGCCAGCATTGTTGCACTTTGTGTGAATCCTTTACGTAACATCCAATCGACCAGCATTCTATCCAATCGTGTTCTGCACCATTCATCAAAGGCAGGCGAAGAGGTATTTTGAATTTGTTGCAAGTCATTAAGATGGCCTGTACGAGCATCCAGTCTTGATAGAGTTGATCCTGCAGATTCATGAACAGATCCTAGCTTTCTCTTTAACCCTTTTATACGTCCAATCATTTGATCAAGCGAACGTTCCAATTCACTGCCACTCTTTTTTGCCAAAGAAGGGATATCCAAGCCTTCGATCGTAGAAGCAGCGCCTTCTGTATCGGCTGCCATTGCTGACAAGAAGCTCTCATCAGCTCTTGCGTCACTTGAAAAGGAAACTTCTGCCAAAAGACTATTATCGATGATCGATGATTCTCCTGCCTCTTCTGACGCACGACTTACAGTACCACTTGTACCGGAACTGTTTTGTACTCTTGGTGTTTCTGTGCCTAGAGATGAGCTTGGAAAGGATGATGGTGTGGGTTGCAGATGCTGAGATGATGAAGAACGAGCAGATTTGGATAAAGAATCGAGAGAAGTAGAGCAATACGTTAGATCACGTTCGACAAGTCTCTGTTGCATACGAAGGTACCGGCGTAATTCTTCATGAGGTACCCTTGCAAATGGAGCTTCCAATAGCATGACCCCATCATGATTTGGAGCCGAAGTGGCTGCCATGATGTGTTTGGAAGTATTGGGTTGTCGATGATGGTAGTAATTGTGTTACTTTATATACTTTCTGTTCCTTTGTATTGTATACAACACATGTATGATGTGATACATGCGTAAATGGTAAGGGCACCACCCCACACTGCTGTTACGCCTGAAAGTATTATAAGGACAAGGCGGAAAGAGGGTGAACGCCGGCACAATTGGAGACAGAGCAGTGCTTGTTTAGCGTAAAAGCACTCCACCACGTAAAAAAAGGTTCATTCGCATTTAACCACAAAAAAGAAGATTACACTTTAACTTCATACAACCAGGAATGACCGTCATGGAATGGCTAAAGGCATTGCTGACCGGATCAATAGCACTCGTAACGATTGTGATAACGAGGATATGCTTTTTAATCCTTTTCCCCTCTCAAACAAGAACAGCACGAGACCCTGCATCAAAATGCAAGGTGGCCGTATTCTTGGGATCCGGAGGTCATACAACAGAAATGCTACAACTACTTTCAGCACTTCCCGTTCAGAGATATTCACCTAGAGTATACGTTGTAGCAAGCGGAGATCAATTTAGCCAAACGAAAGCAGCCGAAGCAGAAGGAAGAAGAGGTGAAGAAGTGGATCGGGAGGCCGAAAAAGGAGGAAAAGATGACTTTCAATTTGTCACTCTACCAAGAGCTCGCAATGTTCATCAGGCATGGCTATCCACTCCTTTGACAGTGTTGATCGCATTCATAGCTTGCATCAAGCATATTGTCCTGCCCTCATTCTCCCGCTCGGCTCAATCTGGCAAGCAACAGCACTCCTCACCATTTGCTGATCTTATACTAATGAACGGTCCGGGCACTTGCGTTCCAATCGTCGCTTCTGTATGGATCCTGCGCTTCTTTGGACTACCCTCACCAAGGATGGTCTACGTCGAATCATTTGCACGAGTACGGTCTCTTAGCTTGACAGCGAAGATTCTGCGATATTTCGTCGATCGCTTCGTAGTTCAATGGAACGAATGCAATGTTCGTGGTTCCTTCTACCGCGGCTGGCTCGTTTGAAAAAGCAATAAGATAGATACCTTCATTTCAGCATGTACTATAGACAAAATCACCTCGCACACAACTTGCACTGATACCTTTAATGTACATTAGCAAATCGCAATCCTAATTGACAGTTCTATGAATAACTCATCACTTCAGTCTTTCCGTAGACTGTCCAAACGAGCTTGCAGGGCAGCCTCATCGCTCAAGCCACCACCAGAACCACCGCCGCCGCCATTGCCTGCACCAGCGCCAGCACCACCTCCTGATGCATCCCCACCGATTCCCTCTCCGATGGCCACTCTCTCTGCTGGTGCGGCAACGCCTGCTCCTGGGTTAGTAGTTGGTGTTTCGCCAAGTTGCTGATTGAGACCGACACCGATTTCGTCCAAGACTTCCTTGAGGATCGCATCTCCCTCTTCTTCTTCTCCAATTCCATCTGCTTCATCGTCCATGGCCTCATCAATCGCATCTCCCATCATTTCTTCTTTCATGTCCATCGATGCTGATTCACGTTCAAATTCCCGCATAATCTTTGAAACTGCCGGCAAGTTCATCGTTCTGTTCATCATACCCATAGCCTGCAAAGATGAAGAGGAAGTCAGTATATGCAATACAACAGTCAACCCAATCTCCACCTTATACTCACCCTAGTTGCACCTTTCATAGCTTCTGCCATTTGTTGATTACTACGTAAAGTTTGAATACGCAAAGAAACAGCCTGTAATTGCGTTCTCATTTGATAAAATTTTTGAATATGTCTTCGTGTTCTGACAAGATCTTTTGCTTGAATTTTACATGCTGCCATTTGACCATCTTTTGCTGCTTTTTTAATATCAACGATTAACTTTTTTTCTTGTTGTTCTAACTTTGTTCTTTCTCGGTCTAATTCCCTTTGGGCTTTTTGTAAACTTCTTTGATGTTGGCGTAAACGTTCTGCTGGCGTTTTTGAACGTCCAAACAGTGATTCGACGATATTCATTTTGTACCAGGGGATTGTGTGTGGTGGAAAGCGAGATGCAAGTTGGGAACAAGCTCAAAGATGGATCAATGGGTGTTGGTGTGTGTTGGATGCGGTCAAATCAGGTACAGTTGCAGCTCAGCCTTAACGCAACTTTACACTGTGCCAGTGCACTAAATCCACACGCGCGCCCATACTGTTTGTGTGTTATGGAGATCTACGTACAAGCCGTTACCGTGAATTGTGATCTTAAAAACGATTGCTACTCATCAGTGATGCTTTTTATGCATTGAATTGAGAGACAAAACGTATACGAAGTACTACGAAATTGTAGCAGCATGGAAACAGAGAAAATATGATATGTAGCTACATGAATTATATTTGAGAGTTGAGATCCGAGATGAGAATGTGAAAGATGTATTCAGAAAGATGCGCTTTCAATTATGAAATGCAACATCCAGCAGGCAAACGCAATTTATTGATTGAACGAGTCCTATAAACAATCACAAATACCTTACTTGGCCTTTGCGAAACCAACGGCATTCTTGCCCAAATCATAAACGGTGTAATACTTGCGCAAGAATACATCACCAACGATCCAGATAGGACCCATTGGTGGTGGGATATCCAAACCTGTGAATGCACTCAAACAGCTGTTCTCACCTGTTTGCAAGATGTAGGCCTTTGCGCTCAATTTGTAGTCCTTGTTATCAATCGTCAAAGTCAAATCAGGCATGGATGGAATCTTGCTGCAATCAACAGAGTAGGTTCCTTGCCATCCCTTTGTGGCACCAATCTCCTTGTTGATAATCTCAGAAATATCGGTTGGCAAAGCAATCAAGGAAGTGCCAGTGTCGATAGCGGCACCAGTGTTTTCCAATTCCATGTCATCGTCTCCCAATCGAATCTTGTTCAAATCAGTTTCCCAGTATCCCTTTCTGCGAACGGGTGCGTAGGTGATCTTTCCATCAAACTTGGATTCATCAACACCTCCGAAGGTGGCTTCACCACCATCTTCTTCAGACCTTCCTAGGTAGAATGAAACAACTGGTTCATCGATCAACTTTTGGTCGACCATGCTGTACAATGGTGGCGGGATTCCGTTCACACTGATTGTGTCATATGCCAAACCCAAGATACCATCAAACTTGGCAAATGCAAACACCAATCCTGGTTCAGATGTAGCTTCGGCGAACAATTGATCCTTGATCTCCAAATCACCAATGCGGAGGGTATCCTTGGAAACGTAACCTTCCATGGAGCCGGAACCGTATTGGATCTTGAATTCAGAACCGTTCTTCTTGTAAGTGGATGAAGCTGAGTTGTCATACTTTGTGTGCAAGAAGCATGCAATGGAAGAGCACTTGGAGGATGGGACCCACAAGTTAGATGATCCGGTATCCAAGATCACCTTGAAGTCTTGAGGTGGTGTGCCGATCGAGATATCGGCAAAGTATTGAGCATTGAGGAAGTCAGTCAATGGGACTTGATGACCTTTGCTTGCTTGTGTGTGCCATTCAACATTCTCCATAGGACCCTTTTCAGAGACGGGTTGAATGTTGAATTCATGTTCATCAGATTGCAAGTTGAATGGGTTTTGGTGAGATCCTGAACCGTACTTCTTTTGCAACATTTGCATTTGAGCAGCGATGCTTGCTTCTGTCAACTTTTGAGATGGTGCAACTTTTTGCAATTTGGCTCTGAAAAGGGAAAGTATGGATCGGGATGCATTGGTCAGCTATCATCATTCACGGACGGTACGATTACCATCCACTCACTTGTGTACGCCAGCATCAACACCAGCAGCGGCGGCCAAAGCGGCCACGAAAGCAAGAGAAAGCTTCATTATTTGTTTGATTATAGTGGATGGGAAAAAGGGATGAAAAGTGTTGGTGATGGCAATAGAGTAAGAAATGAAAAAGAAATAGAAAACCCCTTTGAGAGTGTTGTGTTTCAGTTAAACGCTCCTTTTTGCGTACTTGCCCAGTGTTCTGCGATTTACATCCGTTTTATTACGCAGCGCCGGTTTAGATGAGCAAATGCTCAGTCGCGCACGAGCCTAAAAAGTGGAGATTAAAGGGGTACTTTGCCTTTGTAAAGTGTGTTGTCTGCCTGCATGCATACAATTTAAAGAGAGCATCGACGCAAAAGGATACATACGCCTTCTACGTAGACGTGCATTTGCGGTACTATCACATACGCATATTAGTAAAAGGGGAACCGGGAGATCATAATTCACATTCCATGTCCTTCCTTTTTGATGACCATCATTTTTGACATTTGATAACCATAACTGCTATGCTCAGAAAGACTAAACCACACCCATCGCACAATAACTTCTTATCGAAACGGCGCGCTTTATTAGTAGATTCAATTCCGTTCGCCAAAGGGAATTGATTGCATACATTCAATTTCACAGCCTCTTGGCAGCCGCGGGTCAAATGGCGTGCGCCGGATTGAGTGAGGGCGTTTAAATGAATACTACTACTACTACTAGTCTTTGATAAAAGGAACGTTCATCATCATCACATACTCGATACAACAAATTAGATCTTGTGGCTGCCATCAAAGGTTCCATTCCACAGTATCGCTATTATCATAAATGCCAACCAATAGCGGCGGAACGGCAGCAAGAGGTGGGAAACGCGGAACTTTGCTTCTAGTCGCCGTTCTTTTGGTCATTCAATTCGTATCATGGCGTGGGACTTATAGATTGAAAGCAAGCTCTTTATCAAGAGAGATCATCAGCAACAATATCTTGATCAAAAGGCAAGTCTTCGAAGATCCAGTAGACAATATTTTGGCAAACCAGAACTATTCAGTCTTAGAAGAAGATGTTCTCCTAAATAACAAGAAGGAGGACAAGAAGGACAAGAAGAAGGAAAAGGAAGACAAGAAGCATAATAAAAAGGAAAAGAAGAGAAAGGACAAAGATAAAAAGAAGCATAGCTCTTCTTCTAGCTCCCATCTATCTTCAACACACACTTTATCTTCTTCCTCAAAATCAAAAGTGGTCTCAACCTCATCCACAAAGTCAGGATCGACCACTGCAACCCCGCATTGTCAGCCGTTACCTACGGAATCGTCACCTAAAGATGTTTGTGATCACGTCAGAAAATACTGCCCTCCAACCGGCCACCTGAATTACCTAGAATTTTTCTACTGTATTGGTTTGGATGAGGTAGGAAATACGAAAATTGTCAGTGCACAACCAACATCCGCACCAACTTCACAAGCTGAACTCAGACGTCTTACGAACGAAGAGCTCAACATCTCTCGTAGCAAAAAGAAGCAACATGACGCATTGACCTCCGCACAGAAAGGGCTAAGGGCTGTGGCTTTGGCGATAATCATAAGTTGGATGTTGTTCCTCTTCTCTTGGGTGGGTATCGTTGCTAGCGATTTCTTTTGTCCCAATCTGAGCACATTGGCTGCTCGTTTGGGATTGAGTGAAAGTACAGCCGGTGTAACTTTTTTGGCCTTCGGTAATGGTAGCCCGGATGTCTTTTCCACCTTTGGTGCAATGCGAACCGGATCGGGTTCATTGGCAATCGGAGAATTGATCGGAGCGGCATCTTTTATCGTTAGTGTTATCTCCGGATCGATGATGCTTATCGCACCTTTTCGGGTGAAGCCATATCCATTCATGCGTGATGTTGGATTCTTTACTGTGGCCGTTTCCATGACTATGGCATACTTGATGGACGGAAAGCTATTGTTCAGTGAATGCTTGAGCATGATTGCGCTGTACATTTTATATGCTGCAACAATTATCATCGGATCATGGTGGCAAGAGAGAAGAAGGCAGAAGCGCTTGAGAATGGCCAACATTCGAAGTGAACATAGCACAGGCGAGCAAACATACGAATCCTTTAGCGACACAGAAGGACAAACGCATTCCGTTCAAACTGAACGTTCACCGATGCTAGGACCTTTCAGCGCGGTGGAATACGAGCCAGATGAGGATCCATTCACTCAATGGGCAGATCAACAGGATGCCATCAATAACGGTCACTTGACACCCTACTCCGGCATGTCTGCCACCCATTCGCCTCTGCTTCACCCTATCGATTTACCGACAGCTTCGAGCAACGGGGGCGGAAATACAGCAAACTCAAGACTCCTGCGATTTAGAGCGGGTGTGCTCGCTCGTCATTCTTTACTGGGAGCGGTTGAATTTCGTGATGTAGTACGCAGCTTGCAACAAGAATCCTCAGCTGATAGAAGTATGGAAATCTTCCAAAGCCGCGATCCGGAGAGATACTTGCCTCATCCACAACATTCGCATTTTCATCAATCACCTCAAGGCGAAGCCAATAGCCGCAGACATTTGCGTACAAAAAGTCTCACAAGACCACACACTTCACGATTAACTCTCTCGCCCAATGAAGGAATTCGTGCTTCATTGGTACGAAGTAGATCGACTATTGGCTCATCGGCAGATGCTGGTGCAATGACTGATGTTGTCCGTCCAACATTGGAGCAAATCGGCCAACAGTCTGAATTATCTTCAATGGCTGCTGCTGTGGACGATCCTTGGAAGGAGCATAGTCCTTCGGATGGTTGTGAGACAGAAACAATGCTCCCGCCATCTGCCTTGCCGCTGGATCAAGCTGGTAATGACGACGAGGATCGAGAAGCACAAGCCGCTACTGCTCATGCCAAACCTGTCCTGCCCAGGCTTGCTATTCGAAAAGCAACCATGTCGACCACAAATCAAGATGGGATTTCTAGACAAGACAGCAAGAAATCATTGGACATCTCCTCTGTACGCCAAAGGCAACACTTTGAGTCACCCTTTTCAAGTAAAGAAGCATTCTTCCGCGCCGTTCAACGTACAAGAAGAGCTCTTTTCCCATCTTTGCGACACTTTCGTGAAAAGTCATGGCTTGGAATTGTAGTCGGAATTGTGACTGCACCTGCCATCTTACTCTTACGAATGACATTACCTGTTGTCGATGATTCAGAAGAACAAAGTCTGGTCACAGGAGAGAAGAAAGCACGTGGAGGTAGTGAGTCCGGACAGATTCGTTTGGCGGGTGACGAATCACCATTAAATGCACATCAGCGCTCATACTCAAGAGCAAATGAAGCTGATGAAGAAGAGGATGATGATGAAACTGTCGGAGGCCGCGGTGTGATTGATCTCAGCTCTGCGCCTGTAGATGATCCGTGGAATTCAAGTATCGCGCAACAAGAGGGTGCAGATGATGAAGGAGAAGAGGCTAACCGTCAGCGTCAATTGCATGTCGCCTCAGCTCTTCGACATCTGCCAGAAGAAGGATCACCCTTACTTAACGATTACAATCGACCATCTCACGCCCAATCGCCTATGAGCAATTTAAGCCGAAATGTTAGCCATCACGGAAAGAAACGAGCTCTCTCCACAACTGAAAGTGTCAATTCCTGTCACAGCGATGATTCTCACATTTCTTCTCCGACTCAAAATCTGTTTTTGATCGTTGCACAATGCGCTTTTGCACCTCCATTTTGCGTTTGGGCAATCACTTCCTCTGCTCGATCCTCACACGTTTTGGCTAAAACGATCTTTGCGCTGTTTTGCGGATTGGCACTTGCGACTGTGGTTCTCTTTGCGGTCATGCATAGAAGGCATAGTGGAAGCAGGACTGTTCATCCTGCCTTGATTTCAGCTTCAGGCTGGGCACGTGTTGCTGCTGGCTTCTTTGTTAGCATCCTCTACATTATGACAATCGTTGATGAGGTCGTCAGCATTCTCCAAACATTGGGAGTCGTGCTGGGATTAAGCGATGCAATTCTGGGATTGACCGTATTCGCAATGGGCAATAGTCTCGGAGATCTAGTTGCCAATATCACCATTGCAAAGATGGGCCATCCTGTTATGGCAATCTCGGCATGCTTTGCAGGTCCTTTGCTCAATCTGCTATTGGGTATCGGTATCTCAGGTTCATGGCTACTTTCAAGAAAAGACAACGTCCCTGGTCATACCAATCACCTTTCCCTCATGCGACACGAAAAGCATGAGCAAGGTATTTATTATATCGACTTTTCACCTACTTTGACCGTCAGCGGTTTTGGATTGTTGTTGATCTTGGTAGGAACGTTGATCATGGTGCCAATGAACGGATTTTATTTAAGCCGAAAGATTGGAACAACATTGATTGTCACATACATCATCATCATGTGCGTCAATATTGGTGTAGAAGTGTACAGCCTTCACAGTACACTTTACCCCATTTAATGATTCACCTTTTACTATTTCTGACTTGCTTCATATTGACGATTTCAACTTCCCGTTTTGTAAAACATCGATTCGACATTTGTACAAATAATGCTATACTACATCGTATATCGCTTTTTTACACGAAGAAGAGTGAACCAGTCGGCGCGATCTCTGCAGCTTTCACAAATGCATCAGGGATTAGAAAATCGATCAAGGTGGCAAACGAGATGTACATCTTCAAATCGTCCGAATGAATCAAAAATAATACAATACTAGAATTCTAATTCCAATCAGCTTAAACACTTTTCGGCGCCGCTTTTTATTCCCAAATTCCCAAATGCGTGCTGAGCAACTTTTGCCGTGCAAAATCAACGATGTTTTCCCTTTCTCACCTTCACATCCTCTTCAGCAGCATATATGCGCTCTTTTTGAAGTTTTCTCCATCTCTACAATCATGATGTCGTTGAACGGGCATAAGTCGTTGGACAAAATGCTACCAGATGAGGTATTGCTGATGATATTCTCAAATTTGACGGTGATTGAACTTGCACGGGCTCAGCAGACATGCAAGCGCTGGTACAGCATTGCACGAGAGCATAGTACTTTATGGAAAGATGCAACTGCTTTCTTTTCCCGACTCGACAACTACTCGTACAACACTTCTTCTGAACAGAGCAAAAGAGTAAAGCTAAATATCCGCGGCTTTCAAAAGCTTCAAGAACTTTCCAAATGGAAACTAGACGGCATTTCGCTACTACCTTTTGGCGACAATCCTGATTGGAATAATTCATTTCGTGAGGTCATCTTCAAAGCCTTACAAGACTATCCGCCTACAAGACTATCGATCAAGAGCTTGATGTTAGGCTATGCTGAAAAGCATATTATCCAATGTCTTGAGCTTCTTGCTAAAAATCGGTCACTCAAGCACCTAGCTTTAGACTTCGTCTCTCGTAGCACGTTTTGGAATCTCGAATTAACCTGTTCTCTAGAAAGCCTTGAACTAGAATGTCCGTCTCTCAGTGGTTGTCGTAATAAAGAAGGACTGATTCAAGCCTTTAAAGGCTTGAAAAGGCTTAGGTTGATATCGCCTTTCGAACGTCCTGGAAACTTGGAATTTTTGGAAAAGATTGGACAAAACTTAGAGAGCCTTCGCCTGGAAGAGATAAGTCCTTATCAAGCTACCGTTCAAAATTTAGGACCTGACGTAGAGCAGAAGACAATAATATGTTTTCCAAAGCTCCTTAATCTGACGGTGTGGAGCCGATCACATATCTCAAATACATCATACCAGCTTAATTGTCCTCGACTTCAATCGTTGACGATTATAGGCGATCTAAGCAATTCAAAGAACGATGGGCAAGAGATCAGTGTTCCTGAGATGTTGATTTCTACGGAGACCACTTCACATATCTCTGTCTCTTTGCCTCGAGTTGAAAAACAATTCTTTTACAAAGCTTGTCTACAACGCTTTTTCGGTAAATTCCGTCATGTCAAAGAATTGTGTCTCTACCTAGAGAGCCATGCCACTTTGGAAGACTTAGTCGACACGCTTCCAGAGACGGTATCGATGCTAGCAGTCAATGTATTATGCTATGAGCAAGGTAACAAAGTACTTTTCAACAGGCTTTCAAGAATTCATAGAGATGGCGGAACAGTCAAAAAGAGTAGGAAAGACGATGATCTGGTTTGCAAGCTAGACGCGATTTGCGTGAGGGAGCAAACAAATAGCGTCACTTACAATGACCTCACGATATTCGGCAGGGCAAACCTTCGTGCTCTTGCATTTGGTCGTGGAAAGTGAAGTTTGTATTGATAGTTTGTCATCCGTTAAAGTTAGATCACTTTAATTTGTATAATAGATAAGTCACATGATCATATTTGACTCTACGGCAAATAAAGAATCGACAAAAGTGAGAAGCGATCGTATCAATGAAGATCTGAGTTGCTTTTCCAATATGCCTACACGCTGTTCGGCGCCGTCTTCATTTCTTAAAATTGAATTACGTGCTGAGCAGCTTTTGTTGCTCTTAATTGCGTGGTCTTCATTTATCACACCTTCCATCTGCTTCACATCATTCATCTCCATACTCTCTTCAAGATTTACTACTTTACGTCCAATATGTCGTTGGACGGGCATAAGTCGTTGGACAAAATGCTACCGGATGAAGTGCTGTTGATGATATTCTCACAACTGACGGTGGTCGAGCTTGCACGGGTTCAGCAGACATGCAAGCGCTGGTACGATATCACACAAGAGCATAGTGCCTTATGGAGGGATGCAACCGCATTCTTCTCTCTTCTCGATGCTTGGAACAATCCGGAGGGTTTCAATCGACGAAACCATCTGTTAGGTGAAAGAGTATCAGAAATCAATCTTTACGGCTTCAAAAAGCTTCTAGATCTTTCAAAAAGGAAGCTCGACGGTCTTTGGATTTCACTTTTCTGCGTAAATAAGGAGCAGGTTGTTTGGAATGATGAATTTTGCGAGATTATCATCGAAGCTTTGGAAGAACATCCACCTACAAGGTTGACTATTGACTCCCTTATATCTGATTATCGCTTAAGCAAAGCAAATACACGATGTTTAGAGCATCTTGCTAAAAATCAATTTTTGAAGCACCTCGATTTAGAAATCGAAACAAATTCAAGTTTATGGAGCCTTAGACTTTCCTGTTCTCTAGAAAGCCTCAATCTACGATGCCCGTGTCTCAGTAAATGCAGCAACAAAGAGGATATGATTCAAGCTTTCACGAGCATAAAGAAGCTGAAATTAGGTTCACCTTTGGATTGCCCTGGAAATTGGGAGTTTTTGGAAAAGATTGGACAGAATCTAGAGAGCCTCGAACTGGAAGAGAAATTCTCTTTATGTCAAGCTACCATTCAAGCTATAGGGCCTGACTCAAAGCAAAGGGTAATAATATCTTTTCCTAAACTCCTTAGTCTGAAGGTGGAGAGCCGATCGCATATCTCAAATACATTATACAAGCTCAATTGTCCTCGACTTCAATCGTTGTCGATTACAGGCGATCTAAGCAAATCAAAGAACAATGGGCAAGAGATCAGTGTTTCTGAGATGTTGATCTCTACGGAGACCATTTCCAATATCTCTGTCTCTTTGTCTCGTAATGAAAAAGAATTTCTTTACAAAGCTTGTCTAGAACGCTTTTTCGGTAAATTCCGTCATATCAAAGAATTGTGTCTCGACGTGGGGTGCCATGCCGCATCAAAAGACTTAGTCGACACGCTTCCAGAGACGGTATCGATGCTAGCAATCAAGATATCATGTCACGAGCACGAGAGAGGTAGCAAATTACTTTCTAACAGGATTTCAAGAATTCATAGAGATGGCGGAACAGTCAATAAGAGGAGGAAAGACGATAATCTGATTTGCAAGTTAGACGCGATTTGCTGGAGGATACCTTTAAATAACGTCACTTACAATGACCTCACGATATTCGGCAGGGCAAATCTTCGTGCTCTTGCATTTGGTCGTGGCAGGTGAGGGGAGTGCAAGTGTTTGTAATACTTCATTCATATAGAAGCTAGCCATCTTGATATATACTGTACATAGATTGTGCGAATACATAAGAATAAGACAAAGAGAAGAGGAAAGTCCCAATGTTATCGGAGATTTTGCCGCGGCTAATTAACGCGTAAGGTTAACCATACGCCCGAATCAAGAAAGGGCACTTCCCCCGCACAAACGCTTATCAATGCAATGCACCACACTGGACAAGCGAACACAACAACACAAAACCAACACTTTATGCCGAAATACAAGCAGTCATTCATGGGAATATGTACCCGAAAAAGAAGTACTTCTTTCTCTCTACCACTCAACAAAGAATCTTGACTGACATTGAGCTTTGTCAGACAACAGTTTCAAGAGTGAAAGCAGGATGAATAGAAAGGCAATATTAGGCTCTGCTTTACGTCATGTTCGATCACAAGGTCGACTATATGCTGTGTCAAATGGAAGTATACCGGTAAAACGACCTCAAAGGAACAACCCACTTTACCAAGCACAGGCTTCATTGAGCACGTCAGCATGGAGAGGATCGGATAATGGCCCAGTCTCTTTCTCTGATGCACACTTCGGACAAGAAAGAGATCGGGAAGAACAAAGGAGGAAGCAAAGAGGTGCCAAAGACAAAGACGCAATAGAAGGTGAAAGCAAAAGTAGTGCAGATGCCAAAAAGGAAGAACAAGGACCAGGAACGTACAGTGAAGCAGATCATGAACATGCAGTCATTTCGACATTTGACCTGTTCTCGATCGGAATCGGACCTTCATCTTCACATACAGTCGGACCAATGCGAGCTGGGAATATTTTCATCAATGATCTTCATGATGCAGGTTTATTGCAAGATGTTGAAAAGATTCGCATATCTCTCTATGGAAGCTTGGCGGCAACAGGTGAAGGACATATGACACCTTCTGCGCTTCTGCTAGGACTAGAAAGTGCCGATGTTGAGACTGTGGATACCGGCTATGTGCCAATCCGATTTGATGAAATCAGGGATACCAAGAAGCTATTCCTCGGTAAAGCTCTTTCTAGTCAAGGCGGCAAAGAGGTTGATTTCGACTATGAGAAAGATTTGATCTGGGAGTGGGGAAAGAGTCTGCCGATGCACAGTAATGGAATGCGTCTAACCGTTTTCGATAAAGACGGAACAATGCTTGCAACGAATGACCTCTTCAGTGTCGGTGGAGGATTTGTTGTAAATGGAGCTCTATCTACTGCAGCCTCTTCAAAGAGTGTTAAAGAATCGGCATCATCGCAATCTGATACCACGCTTCCTCTTGCCGATCCTAATGATGCTGCATCGGATTTATCCGGACATCCTGCAGATTTAGCAGAGAATATGTATTATAAGGAAATTCGAAGAGCTGACGCAGCGATCGATCGAAGAAGTGGTATGGAGATCAAGTCGGACGAGAGCGAATCGGCGGCACTACCTCCACCACCGTCAGACTCAACGGATTTGACAAATTCACACTCAACAAGCTCTAACATTCAAGAGAGCGAGTCGAGTGGAAGAGGTTCATCACCTCGGTATCCATTCAGAGATGCGAAAAGCCTCTTGGCATTGTGTAAGAAGCACAATTTGACGATCGCACAAATTGTATACGAGAATGAAAAGAGCCAAGGGTACACTGATGAGGAAATTCGCGAAAAGGTATGGGCGATTTGGACAGTGATGGATAATAGCATCAAAGAAGGTGTTCGATCAAATGATGAAATCTTACCCGGTAGTCTGAAGTTGAATCGTAGAGCACCTGCTCTTTATCGCCGATTGACACGTGGTCTATATCCTTCACATGCTTTGGAAGGCCCATCGATGCAGGAAAGAGTACGAAAGCAAGTCAGCGAAGGCGAGACTTCCAAAGCTGGTCAAAGAATCTCAGAGGGCCCACATTCACAATCTGTGACATCTCATGCACAGCAAAGCTCTGGAGAAAAGAGCCTAACTTCAATGCGGAAACGTGGCCCTCCTCGCGTTCACGGATCTTTTCAACATCCAATTTTGCCCTCACCGCCTCGTAGGACGAGCTTTCCGGCAATCGACTATCTGACCGTATATGCAATGGCGGTGAATGAAGTGAATGCTGCTGGTGGAAGGATCGTTACTGCACCTACAAATGGAGCAGCAGGAATCCTACCAGCAGTATTGAAGTATCATCTCGAATTTCAATCTGACGATGTAGAGCAAGATGTCTTTACTTTCTTGCTAACAGCTGCTGCTATTGGTATGCTGTACAAGCGAGGAGCAACGATATCAGCCGCTGAAGGTGGTTGTATGGCCGGTGAGTAAACTGCTGTGTTTGTTTTGCTCTGAGAGCGATTGCTAACTTTCTCACTTTTCCCTTTTTCAGAGGTCGGTGTTGCATGCTCTATGGCAAGTGGTGCATTTGCTGCTTGTATGGGCGCATCTCCTGAAACGATCGAACAAGCGGCAGAGATTGGAATCGAGCATAACCTAGGACTGACATGTGATCCAATAGGTGGTCTGGTACAAGCTCCGTGTATCGAACGAAACGCTCTTGGTGCCATCAAAGCCATCTCAAGCGCAAATCTGGCTTTATCAAGTTCAGGCACGCAGAAGATCTCTCTGGACGATGCAATACGTGCCATGCGTTTAACTGCTCAAGGTATGCGCAACGAATTCAAGGAAACATCTTTGAGCGGATTGGCAACAAGCTACAGTATCTCAGTCAGTGTTCCAGACTGTTGAGCTTTCTGGATGGATGGATCTCTACTCACGCGCATACTCGTGTCTTGGGAAGAATCTGAGGTTGTCAGAATTCGTTCATCAATAGAAAGAGGCTCTTTTCAAGGGATGTTATTGTCTATACATGCGATTAGATCAAGGCTTTGGCGAATTTGTTTCATTCACCCTAAACTTGTACGGCGGTGGTGAATCTTCGATTAATGGGCCTGCGTCAAGATGCATTTCACGGCTACGATGGCCTACCATATTCGCAAATTGGCCCGGATTGTCGGGCATGGAAGTATAGTCGTACATCGAGCCAAGATTTGCTTCAGCAGTTGAAAGCTCGTTCTCGGCCAAAACGCCCACCGTATTGCTGATAAAAGAATACATACTATCCGATCGTTGATGCAAAGACCTGTTCGCGTCCATGCTTCCTTGTGAATGTTGTCTTGCGTGTTGTGAGAGCCCAGATTGATTCGCTGAATCGTTTGCTGGATCTAGAAGTGCTTCAGTGGCATCGCTTGTAAAATTGGCTAAAGATAACCCATAATCCGATCTAGATCTCGGAATCTCCGACCTTGAAACACCTCGCATACCAGTGCTACTCCGATCACCAAGAGAGGTACCCAAGGCAGGGAAACTTTCGTTGCGACTGATCGCTGTTAGACCAATCGCGTTAGGGTCATTACTATTTAGTGGTTCATGATGATCGACTCTATTTGTAGCATGAAGAAAAGGTGAAATAAGTGTTGATTGGCGAATGCTTGGCGGGCCTTGTTCAAGGATACTTTCTCCTAAATCAACAAATTGTGCACTTTCAACCCTATCCAATTTTTGTTTCTTCTTTTGATGCTTTCGATACCATTTATGAATTATGAATGCAAGCAAAAGCAAACCAAAAAAAGCTCCAAGGATCCCGCCCAATAATTTTCCAAGACTGTTTGTCCCAAAGTTCCCTTGTGTGCCTTGCCCGCTGAAAGGGTGGTTCAAAGTGCTAGAGCCATTGCCATTATCACTTGATGGAAAAGGGATGGCACCCGGAAGGTTTAAAAAGGTCGCTGGAACTGAAGAAACGGGTAAAGCGTGGCTAGTATCCAAGTCCGGTAGCTTGAAGCTTTCTTGCAAGCATGTATGGTTTTGACTCCACGCAACAGTGTATAGCGGACTACCTCCTCCATCCGCACTTTGGAGCGAATCGGACATGAATTGATAAAATCTTGTATTTTCTCTGAAAGGTAATGTACTTTCATAGTAAAAGTAAGATGAATTCGTTTGTGCTGATTTTGGAATATTGACGGTAACCGGTAAGCCAGATTCAGGGACCAACGAGTAGGAGAATGGTCCGGTTGCGTTGAGTGTATCTGTTGTATAATAATTCAACACTGAGCACTGTAATTTGGTTGTACTGAAAGCGTCCGGTCCTTTTGGTGAGACCAATTCAGACGCATACAACCATTTATAATTCTCAGTGTAATCACCACAGCCAGAAGGATGATTGTCAAGGCTGTCCGGAGTGATTACCTGTGAGCTGTTGCCATTCCCTTTGCTGTCCACAACGGCAACCATGAATTGCTTGAACAATGAACTAATCTTTGGTATTGAATACTGAAAAGTGATTTCTGAAGTGTTTGATTGATAGCTTGAATCGATTCGCCAACTTTGCACTGAAGCTGACAAGACCATGACATAAACACTATAAGGGAAACCATCCATTTCGGGTTTCCATGTAACATTGAGAGTTGTGCATTCCCGCGGATATGACGTCGTAAACTCAAAATCAGCACGTACGAGGTGAAAAAGCTTACTTGACCACGCGAACCAGATGAAAGCTAGTCTATACATGTTTAGTCATAACTCTGCACGATCAGATTCCGGTGAGTTGAGTGATGATGATGGTAGTGCGGACACATCAGCTAAGCAAGGTAATACAATTTTACTCAGCCGCCTTTTCCGCCTAACGTCAGTCAGACACTACAAAAAAGAAGAGCTTGAGAAGTTGTAGGTAGCTAGATCAAGCAGAAGCATCACGCGGACGTCAGATAATGCAATGCCGGTGCATGCCAAAAAAGAAGACGTCATAATATGACACGTCGGGAAGGAATGTCACACTTAAATCACCGAAGGCCGAACGCTATTCGGATAGACGAATGCTTGGGAAAACCTCAAAGCTATTTCATATTGCTAATCATATAAGCTATCTTTTCTGCTTTTTATCTCTTCCGCAGTCATTTGTCAAAGGGTTTCAATGTCGTCATAAATATTTCGACAAAAGTCAGCGTTATGATCTAAGAAACATAACTAAGAATGTACAGGATGATAAGGTGAAACTCATGTGGATTTGCCATTCACATCTATTTAAGCAAGAGCCGCCAATTAATCGTATGTCAAACTTTTTCAGGTCTTTGGCGAACTTGGTTGATCACTTCGAAATTTATAAGGCGGTGGAATGTCATGCGTTACTGGTCCTGCATCAAAATGCTCTACGTACCGAGAATCTGGTGTCTGAACGCTTTCATTGCTCATTCGTATCAGAGTAGAAGAAGCTCTTGTTCTTGTATCACGGCTCTCACGGTTAATCACACCCGCAGGCTGGTCCATAGTATCTGTTGTGGGTGAAAAGTCGTGCATCGAATTCATATTCGCTTCAGCGGTTGAAATCTCGTTCTCAGCCAAGACGCCGTTTATACTGACAGGGTTGCTTGTAGAAGAGTACATGCTACCTGACCGAAATCGCATAGAATCGTCAGCATCACTGCCTTGCGACTGATGTCTCCCATGCTGCAAGGACCCTGATTGATTACCTGAATCGTTTGCAGGGTCCAGAAGTGCTTCGAATGCATCACTTGTGTAGTTGGCTAAAGACAAACCATAGTCAGATCCAGATCTAGTCAAATCCGATTTCGCAACACGTCGCAATCCTGTGCCACTCCGATCTCCAAGAGATGTGCTCAACGCACTGGAATTTTCACTTTGACTGATCGGTATTAGACCGATCGAGTTCTGATGATCCTCGTTTGGTACTTCGCCGTGAGCAGATCCATTTGAAGCGTGAAGAAAAGGGGAGATTAATGTTGATTGCCTAATGCTTGATGGGCCTTGCTCGAGAATGCTTTCTCCTAGATCAACGAATTGTGCATTTTCCATTCTGTGCGATTGTTGCTTGTTCTTTTGATGTCTTCGATATACGCGATATATGATGAATGCTAGCAAAAGCAGGCCAAACAAAGCTCCAAGGATTCCTCCTAGCACACCTCCGAGATGCTTTGCTCCATAAGTTTGTGTACTTTGTCCGCTGAAAGCATTGTTCATATTGTTTGATGTGACATTACTACCGCTATCATCTGGCGCAGAAGCAATGGCCCCCGGAAGATTCTGAAAGGATGCTAAATTTGACCCGGCCGGCAAAGCATGGGTTGTATCTAGATCTTTTTGCTTGAAGCCACTTTGCACGCATGAGCCATTTTGACCCGGTCCAACGGTGAATAATGCACTGCCTCCTCCATCTCCACTTCCTTGCGAGTCAGACATGAACTGATAAAAGCTTGTGCCTTGCTTGAGAGGTAAAATACTCTCATAGTAAAAGTACGATGAACTTGTTTGCGCTGATTTGGGAATATTGACTGTTATTGGTTTATCTTGTACCGGGACCAAAGAATATGAGAATGGTGCAGTCCCGGAGAGTTGATCGACGGGATAGTAGCTTAGCAAGGCACATTCCAATCTGTCCTGATCGCTTGCGCCTTTCGGTGATATCAAGTCGGAAGCGTATGTCCATTGTTGACTCAAGGCGAAATTGCTACAATTAGAAGGGTGATTGCTGAGAGCTTTTGGCGTAAGAACTTGTGAAGTGTTCCCATTTCCCTTACTATCCACGACGGCAACCAAGAAATGTTGAAATGTTCCCCCACTTTTTGGTAAGACATACTGAAAGGTAATTTCTTGGGCGTTTGGTTGGTAATCTGAATTTAATTGCCAACTTTGTACTTGTGCTCCTATGACCATGAAGTAAACGCTATAAGGGAAAGCGTTCATGTCAGGCTTCCATGTTATATTAAGAGGTGTACACTCTTGCGCAAATGATGTTGTGAACTCCAAATCGGCATGCACCAGGTGGAAGATGGTTCCCGCGGAAAGGAGCAGGAGGAAAAGGGGTTGCAACATCTTGCAGAGCTAAATTTCTCAAACTGAACCAGAAGATGGTGGTGAAGCGAATACATCAAGTGTAAAAGGCTGTACATGTTTGCAATCGATCTTTTGGCCTGAGCACAAAGCAAAAAAACATAGAAAGAAGAAGAAAGAAGAGGCCGAAGTACAAGAGAGAAAGTATCACGCGGACATCAGATCATGCATTACCGCCTCAGCCCCCAAGGAAAAGATGTCATAATATAACACGTCGGGAAGGAATAGGGCATTTTATTCACCGAAGGCCGAATGTCGATGTTGTTCGGACAAAATAAAAGCATTTCATCATGGAGGAGCCCGATAAGTAATTCACATCACATCACTGTGAAGAAGTCCTTTTCAACTTCAATGATCACAAACTCCCGGTTTTCCACTTTTTCTTGCTTTCTGCTCCTGCACGCATTTGTCAATCATCTTCTGCTTTCTCAATATATTCTCACAACATTTTTGCGTTCTCATGCCAATGTAGTATTGTTTTGGAGATGGTATATGGAAATATGGAATAATGGACAATCATGCATCTAGTATTCTGGAAAGTGCGCCTTCATCCACTGATTCAATATCGAAACACTCCTTAAATCGAGATTTTAGTGTTTGAGCGCTTTCATTGCTTTCGCGCATGAATGTGTAAGACTTTGCCCTTGATTCATGATTATCGTGGGTGCTCATCATATTCGTATTTTGTGTAGGAGCGTTTGGTGTGGGCGAGCTGTCGTTTAATAAGCTCCTCTTTGTCTCAGCGGGTGACGAGCTGTTTTTATCTAGGACGTCGACTAGGCCAATCGGATTGGTAGTGGGAAAGGTGATGTTACTGTGTCGTGGCGACAAAGACTTTTCTGCATCATCACCTTCTCTTGACCCTATTTTCTCGTACTGCGAGGATCCAAGTTGATCGCCTGGACTTTGTAAGGGAGCCAAAAGTGCTTCAGATGCATCATTTGTGAGATTAGCTAAAGATATTCCATATTTGGATCCCGATCTCGTCTTTTCTGACCTTGGAACATGTCTTAATCCTGAAAGCCGACCCCCGAGAGAAGAACCTAAATCATTCCACTTCTTTTTACGGCTCATTGATCGAAGGCCGATTGCATTATGATGCGTACCGTTTCCTGGTTCACCATGAAAAATTTCATCGGATTCATAGGGGAAAGGAGAGATCAAAATAGACTGTTGATTGCTCGAAGGACTTTCTTCGAGAATGCTTTCCCTTGAATCAACGAATTGTGCATTTTCCATTCTATGAAACAGTTGTCGTTTCTTTTGTATCGTACGATAAACTTTGTAAGAGATAAGTAAAAGTAGAAGCAAGCCGAACAAAGTGCCAAGAATCCCGCCTAATAAGCTCTTCAGATTTCTCTTGCCATTATCTGGTTGTTTGACAATAATGTCACCCGTTGGTGGTGCAATAGCTCCCGGAAGATTTTGGAAAGATGCTAAAAGTGATCCGACCGGCAAAAGGTGGGTAGTACTCAAATCTGGACGCTTGTTATCATCTCTCAAGCATGACTGGTTTTGATTAACGATAACGGCGGACAGGGTAGAACCTCCTCCATCTCCAACTGACATGAATTGATAGTACCTTGTCCCATTTTCGACATGCATAATGTTTTCATAATGAAAGTTTGATGCATTCCGTTGTGCTGATTTTGGGATATTAATCGTGAACGGCAAGCCAAGCTCTGGGACCAAAGAGTACGAGAATGGTCCAGCTCCGGTGAAGGGGCCTGTTGGCTTGTAGACCATCATCGAACACTGTGATGCTATTACATACGCTTTTGAGCCTTCTTTTACTTTCAGATTAGAGGTGGAGTATTCCGTACATTCAGAAGTACTTGTACTAGAATTGTTTGGTGTGATAAGAGCAGAAGTGTTTCCGTTTCCTTTGCTATCCACAACGGCAATCATAAATTTCTGGAATACGGTTCCAACTTTCGGTAAAGTATATTGGAAGGTGAGTTCTGAAGCGTTTAGTTGATAGTCTGATTCGATTCGCCAACTTTGCGGTGATGCTCCTATCACCATGAAATAAACGCTATAAGGAAAAGCGTCTTTGTCCGGCTTCCATGTTACGTTGAGAGGTGTGCATTCTTGCGCAATTGACGTTGTAAACTCGAGACTAGCATGCACCAGGTAGACAAATCCGCTAAACGAAGTAAGCAAGGCTAACATTCGATGCAACATATCGATCAAAGTGTGACCCTTAGATTGCATTTCCTCAACTGCAACCCAAAGGTGAAGATGGTAGTTCAGACACATCATTTAAAGAAAGTAATGATGCATTTTTTATCAAGGAAGAGTTGCATGAAAGATCGTATTCCCAACCAATATAATCTTTTCAAAGCAGCAGCACGCGGGGACATCAAATTATGCACTCTAGATTGAATGCGAGAAAGTCTAATTTTGCCGTTCTTTTCTCTACCGTTTCTTTGGCGGCTAGACCTTCTGATCTTTCTAATAACGCTGCAACATTATGTCAATTATTGTTCCACTTCTTTCGTCTAGGACCAATTGTTTTTTTTTATTTTAATAGAATACCTTCTATTGATGTCAGATTCTACTTCGGCCGTTTGAGAGAAAAACATTCTGATTGACAAAGCTATAACAACAGACAGAATAAAGAGTAATGCGAAAAGTACTGAAAACGTGTTTTATACAAATGCTACATAAAGGATCTACAAATGCCGTTGTGTTCATGCGAGCACCGCCAACATGATTATGCATCAAGCACTTCAGAGAGTGCGGCTTCTTTCCATTGGCTCTGCGTCAAATTGCTCTTTATAGCGAGAGTCTGTTGTTTGATTGCTTGAATACATGAAAGAAGGAAATTGTCGTACTTTCGACTCGTGATCCGCACCTGCAGACTGGTCAGGATTGTTTGGTGTCGGTGAAATACCGTGCGTCGAGCTCATGTTCGCTTCAGCTGTTGAAAGTTTATTTTCGACCATGACAACATTTGTGCTGATCGGATTGGTTGCTGAAGTATTCACACTACCAGATCGAACTTGCAAAGACTCGTCCACATCATTTCCTTGTGACTCATTTTGACCGTGCTGCATGGGTACAGACTGGCCGGCTAATTCGTTTGCGTCGTCCAGAAGGGCTTGAGAAGCATCATTGTTAAAATTGGGTAAAGATACTTTATTGTTCGAACCGAATCTTAAAGCCTCTGACTTTGGAACACGTCGCAATCCTATGCTGATTTTATCACCAAGTGATGTACCTAAAGCGGTCAACCTTTCTCTCTTGCTCATTGCTCTTAAGCCAATTGCGTCACGATTTTCATTCACATGCTCAGCATAAGTAGCTTCATCCGATCCGAAGGGAAAAGGTGAAATCATTGTAGAATATTTCATGGTCGATTGGCCTTGATCATAAATGCTTTCGCCTAAATCAACGAATTGTGCATCTTCCATTCTGTTCAGCTGTTGCCGTCTCTTTTGAATCATACAATAGACTTTATAAGTGATAAAGGCGACTAAAAGTAGTCCAAACAAAGTGCTAAGAATTCCACCAAGTAAATTCCCGAGATACACCACTTTTGTACCGCCTGATGCAGAAGTAACGGCTCCTGCAAGATCTTGAAATGATGTTAATTCTGATCCGACCGGTAAAGCATGCGTCTTATTCTGATTGCTCAGCTTGAAGTAATTTTTCGTACATGAATCAATTTGACTGGGCCTAATAGTGTACAATGGTCCACCACCGCCACTTCCGCTTCCTAGCGCATCAGACATAAACGAGTAATATTGTTTACCTTGCTTGAAGGGTAGAATACTATCATAATCAAAGTACGATGTACTGTTTGTAGCTGATTTCGGAACATTCACCGTGATCGGCTTATCTTGCACAGGGACCAAAGAAATGGAAAATGGTCCAGTTCCTGTGAATGGCGGATGTACAGGATAGTAGTGTACTACCGAGCACTGCGGTCTAACATGTGGATCCGTGCCATTGGGTGATAGTGTATCAGCGGCATATCTCCATAAAAGAATTAGAATAAAATCGCTGCAATTCGAAGGAAGTCTGTTGAGAGTGGTTGGTACAAACACTTCGGAATTGTTTCCATTGCCTTTGTTGTCCACTACAGCAACAATAAAGCTCTTGAAATCTTGGCCAATTTTCGGTAAGACGTATTGAAACGTGATTTCGGAACTATTTGGTTGATAGTTCGAATCAATTCTCCAACTTATTGTCGGTGAATTTATGACTAAGAGGTATACACTGTAAGGAAATGCGCTCGCATCAGGCTTCCATGTTACATTGAACGTTATGCATTCCTGAGGATGTGAAATAGTAAATTTAAGACTAGCATGTACGAGGTGGTTGAATCCGCTGACCGAAACGAATAAGGCCAGAATCAGATGCAACATATCGACCGTTACTCAATTGCAAAATGAAGATGGTGATGGTAGATTAGATACATCCATTGAAGGAAATAGAGATGTTTGCCCGCTCGTTTGACAGCAGACAGAAACTATATGAAAGAAAAAGTCTGCGAAGAGCAATTATAGACAGATTAAAAGCGGGGACGCCAACTCAAACAATACAAACAAAATCTCACGATACAACACGTCGGAACAAATGAGGTGAATTTAATCACTGGAATTCCCCTCAATCACCGCTGGTCGAAGTTATATCACGTCAAAAGAATGATTTGCATTCTGATTTGAATTCATGCGAGCACAGCCAGATTGATAATGCGTGCAATACTTTTAAACAAAAGCCGCGATGGAGTTGTCTCGTTACTCCAGCCAGAGGAAACTTTATCAATTATGCTGAGTAGCTGAGATTAGACCTTCTTCTCTCATATACTGACTCTCTTTTTGATTTTAATAAAATGATTCTCATTATTGAAAGAGTCTAAAGTACATAAACTGTGTATCGAGGTCTTTTCCAAAACGAGACTTTAAGTCAAATAATGAATCGTTCTTGATTCGCCATCCTTATCCCTTTTTGTCCGTAGATTAGTCCAGATCGGTTCCTATACGTGAATAGGAGTGCGCCGAGCTTATATTTATTTCGGCGGTTGATTAATCATCCTCGATCAAAACTCCATCTACGCTAAACGGATTGGTGACGGAAGAATGTATACTGCCTGTCTGAGATCGCAGAGAGTTATTCGCACCAAGAAAATCGTATAAATGTTGTGTTCTGCTTTTAGTGGATCTGGATCGACCTCTTAAATCGTCCGCTAGGTTAAAATTTACTTCAGAAGCATTGTTCGTATAATTTCCTAAAGACAGCCTATTATCGATTCCTGATCTTATCGTCTCCGATCTTGAAACACTGTTCAATCCTGCAGCAAGTCTTTTGCTAAGAGATGCTTTCAGAGCACGTATGTTGTGCTTTCGGGCGATTGGTGTCAGACCGATCGCATTACTATCATCATTGCTCACTGCTTCACCGTGAGCAGCTCTATCTGATTCGTAGAAGAAAGGGGAAATCAATGTAGATTGTTTGATACCTGGTGAACCTTGATCATTAATACTTTCTCCCAAGTCTACGAACTGATCTCGTTCCATTCTATGCTTTTTTTGCTGTCTCATTTGAAGCATTTGATGTACTTTATAAATGACGAATGCAAGCAGAAGTATGCCAAATGAACTGCCAAGAATCCCGCCCAATAGACTCTTGAGATTCCTTGCGCCGTAGTCTCCATGTATACCTTGCCCGCTCACAGTGCTATTCAGAATGTTGGAATCATTTCCGGTATCATTCGCTGGGATCGGAATAGCTCCCGGAAGATTCTGAAAAGATGTCGAATTTGATCCGACCGGTAAAGCGTTAGTGGTGTTCACATCTGGTAGCTTGAAACCACTTTGAAAGCATGAATAATTTTGACTCGCTCCAACAGTGATCTTCTCACTCCCTCCTCCAGCTGCGCTTTGTACAGAGTCAGACATGAATTGGAAAAAGTTTGTACCTGCCTTATAGGGTATAACAGTGTAGTAATTAAAGTCATACGCACCCGTTTGCGCTAATTCTGGGATATTGAGAGTGATCGGTTTGTCATGTTCTGGGACCAACGAAAGCGAAAAAGGTCCCTTTCCGATGTGTTTTCCGTATGGCAAATGACTTACTTCGCCGCACTGTAGATTTATCCATGGATCTTGCTCCAAATTGAAGCCCGGCGGTGTTATGTATCCAGTGTTAAACGTCCAAGAATTGTTCTTATAGAAAGAAGATAACACACATTCTTCAGATTGTGCCGCAATAGAAGTCGGTGTAAGAATCTTGGAACTGTTCCCGTTCCCCTTACTATCCACAACAGCAACTATAAAACTCTGAAAACTTGAACTAGCTTTTGGTAAGAAATACTGAAAGGTAATCTCTGATTGGTTTGGTTGATAGTCTGATTCGATACGCCAACTTAGGACCTGCTTTGCTGTTCCTAAGAAATATACGCTGTAAGGGAAAGCGTCCATTTCCGGTTTCCATGATACGTTGAAAGTTGTACACTCTTGCGGAAGTGAAGTTGTAAATTCTAGATCAGCTTGTACGAGATGAATGAATCCGCTTACTGATACAAGCAAGGCTAAAAGCAACTGCGACATATCGAAAAGAACCATTGCTCAGAAATCAATACTCTTTTTGAAGGCAGCCCTCATTCAGAAAGATGGTGATGGTACAGTGCAAAGATCGTTTACGGATAGTGCGGCTTATTCTTCTGCTTCTTCCCTCGCTTGACAGCGGACTGATGCTGCATGAAAAAAGTTTACAAAGGAATACCGACGATAAGATCAAAGAGTAGCAGTACGCAGGCACAACAAAGATGTACAAAGTGAAGTGCAGAACTTCACAACATAACACGTCGGAACGAATCAAGGCACTTCATCTCTCAATCTCCGAGTTCATCTCATCAAAAGAAAGATCTGTAATCTTTTTCTCGTTTTCATGCGAGCACCGCCTTTTCGAGTGTGCACCAAACGTCCTGCTCTTTCCCCCCTCCCTCTCGTGCAATGCAATGAAATAAATTATCAAAGACGTCTAAGGTACAAAAATGGCAAATGGGAGCATCAAAGAAAGTTTAAAGCCAGCTTGCTTATTGCTTTCGAGTGTTCGGTTGATGAGTTAGCCATTGACCATATTCAGGTGGAACATCTTCTTGTAATTCTTCTTCTTCCGTTCCCGGTGCAACGGCCAATCGACCGGCATCTTGATGTTGTACAAATCTGCTTGAAGCAATTCGTCTTCTTTCTTCTTCTTCCATAGTTGCATTAGATTTGGACGGATTGGATGCAATCGTATCATTTTGCGATCTACCCATAGACCTTCTATTGTTTTGTTGTTCTCGTTCATCAACATTTCGTGCTCGTAAAACGTACGCTGATGCAGAACTCATCGTTCCTTCTGTTGGACTTTGTGGTGAATTTGCAAAATCGTGTCCACCAACGGCAGCGCTCATACCAAAAGGACCGCTAGAAGAAGAAGCTGTGCTTCCAGTTGGAAGGTGAGAAGAGTAAACGCTGTTTTGGTTGCGTTCTAACGGATGACTGTTCCAAGGATCTCCACTTCCATTTCGTAGGAGAGCCTGCGATGCACTGTTTGACGTACTGGATAAGCCATACCCATAATCCGAAAGAGGACTACCCAAACCTTCATTTGCCGCTGTATGTCGTAAAGTTGATGCGCCATAATCACTCGTAGGAGCTCCGATCGAGTTCAGAGTGCCATTGCCTTCACCTGCAACCATAAGTGCCATGCCATCATTCGATCCGGCATCTTGGTACGTGAACGGCGAAACTGAATACGACTGTCGGACACCATTTCCACTGTTTGGATTCGATCTTCTTCTTCTTGAGGCGGGGTCGAATACATCTTCGTCCAAATCGATGAATTGCGGCTGCTCTTTTCGTTCCATCTCACGTTTGCGTTTCTGCCTGCGACGATAGACCAGAAATAGCCCAATGATCAACAAAATACCGCCAACTCCAAGTGCTGCACCAATGATTCCACCTATCAGACCACCAACTTGACTACCACTGCTGCCAGTTGGGTTTGCATTGGCAATCGCTCCAGGTAAATTGTCGAACGAAGCAGCAATTTGACCTACAGGCAAAGCATGCGATGTATCCAGTCCTTCGATCTTATAATTGCTCTGAAGACATGCATTCGTCTTTCCAGCACCAACTTCTTGGATTGGACTACCACCACCACTTCCGCTTCCCGTTGCATCCGATGCCATTTGATAGAATTGCGTCCCCTGTTTGAATGCGAGTGGACTTTGGAAAACAAAGTACGTTTGATTAAGTGTTGCTGAAGATGGAATATTGACAGTCATTGGTTGTCCCTGAACAGGAATGATGGAGTATGAAAATGGAGACGTTCCTCGTAGTGCTCCTACTGGGTAATACTTTAGATTTCCGCATTGTGGTCTATCGGCAGGATTGCCAGTGACTGAATCCGAAGCGTAAAACCATGCATTTGTTACCGCATAAACACTGCAAGTTGCTGGTATGTTAGGATTCGAATTTACTGTCAAGACAGCTGAACTATTTCCATTTCCTTTCGAGTCAACCACAGCGATCATCAAAGCTTGAAATGTGTCAGTCTTTTGTGGTACAGAGTACTGGTATGTCAATTGACTTGCCCCTGGTTGATAATTTGAATTTATCTGATAGGATTGTACCTGTGCTCCTATACCCATAATATAAACACTGTATGGATAAGCATCACTTTGAGGTGTCCAAGTCACATTGAGCGGCGTACATTCACGAACGTAAGAATATGTGAATTCAAGGTCGGCCAAAACGGATTGAATACATATGGCGGCGACCAATAAAGGAAGTCTGAGACGTGATACTATCGAAGCCATACTGAGGCTAAAAGGTTGTCGTGAGCGATAACGAGAAAAAATTTGTATCAAAATGAAGGACGAATTGAAGTTGGATGCGAATATTGTCCCTATTTCCCGTGCGAATTGGCACCAAACACACAAGCAATGCCTATAAACCCCTATGTGAGAGAATAACAATCTATCCTTTTCTGTGACGGAGCCGAAAGGATGAGAGTGCGGATGCAATCAATATGCGAGCGGTTTCCGTACCGTCTCCGGATTTTTGTGGTTTGGTATACGCTCAACTCTTATCAGGCAGGGCAGCAATGATGATGGCCTTTTTTGCTGAAATTGACTGAAACTGAAAGTGCCCTTATCGAATAGCAGCCAAGCAATCGGAGAAAGGTAGAGTGGAGCCACAAGAGGCGGTTGGAGAGTGATGATGATGGTGGAAGATTAGTAGTATGACAAGGTAAGGAAGGGTACACAAGTTTTAGACACTTTTTGACAGGAGGACTCTAGACTTACTCACTCACTGCCTTCCAGTGCAGGCAAGGCAAATAGATTTAAATAGCCAATTTAAGTAGGCCTGCAATCTGCACACTACAGTGTAAGTCAAAAAGCACAAAGATACCGCGTTTATCCTTAAGAGAGTTTTTTTCTTCATTCATCAATTCACTCCAGAAGATTAGCGCGACAGTGAAAATTACGCCTTTTTTGCCAAACGACCTTGTGCGCAATAATAATGTGCACTCTATTGATTAAGGAACTCAATTCGAAATGATGATCGACTCTGTCAGCGTTTTTGTTGGATCGATCTCGGTTCCGGAATTAAGAAAGACACGCTATCACTCCTAACATTTAATCAAAGTCAAATTCTCTTCATCTTCCCCCCTATAAGATTCTTTAGTTTGCCATTACCCCAAGTGCAGGAAATCATGCATGCCACTCTCTAAGTGACAACTACTTCCCGCCGTTCATAGATTTCTATTTTGTTCGCATTGAAATTGATTTAATCATGCAGATCTACCGAGCACCAGTACAGTTTATTTTTAGCGCGTACTGCACAAAGCGGTCATATGGTTGAGATTTGCAGATGTGCTCCGGAAGTCCGATTGCATTTCTGGCCGTCGTTGAGTAAAAATAATGTAATATGAATTAGTAAGCATCTTTAATGATGTTTAGACAAAGCTTCCAACTCTTTAAATTCATCTTGTCGTTCTTGATCTGTTTCATAAAGCAAAGATCCTGGATTCATAATATTATGAGGATCAATGGCTCTTTTGAGCTTGCGTAGTAGGTCCACTGTACCCGTTCCTAGCTCACGTTCAAGGTACATCCTCTTTCCTCGACCGATACCATGTTCTGAAGTACATGTGCCTTCCATTTCATGTGCATATTCAACAATTCGATGAACAAACGCTTTAACTTTGTTCATCTCTTCTTCATCTTCATCTTTGAAAACGATAATCGAATGTGCACCTCCATCTCCGATATGACCAATGATAGGGGCATGTAAACCTGAATCTTGAGTATCCTTTCGAACTTTTGTGAATAGATCAGCCATCGAACCTAAAGGAACACTAACGTCTGTCGTCCAAACCTTATATCCATTTTTACCTTGTTCGTTATCCTTAAATTCTGGTCTGGTCGGCATGGCTTCTAGACAAGACCACAGAGCAATCTTTCTCGCTCTCCATAATCGTTCATTCGCTTCTTCTTCGTGACTTGATTCAATCTCACGGTCTTTCACTCCGAGTGTCTTGGAGATTTGTCGAACTACGCGTTCATCTTCTTTTCTGTGTGTTGAATTTCCTTGCAACTTTATGAACAAGCTAGGCTTGACGATATGCTCCTTATACCCAGAATCACCTGCTGATTTAGCGTTGGCAGTATTAATGACCCGAATCATTTCATCATCCAAAAGTTCGATACATTGTACTCCTACACCACCTTGCACAATCTGTTGAGCGGCGGAACATGCATCATGAATGGAAGGAAACGGGACAACAACGATCGAAGTAGGCAAAAGAGGTGCAAGTCGTAAACGTGCTTTGACCACTAATCCCATCGTACCTTCTGCACCCAAAAAGATTTTTGTAAGATCTGGACCAACGGAAGATTTTCGTGATCTACTTCTGGTAGTAATCACTTCTCCGTTCGGTAAGACGACGGTCGCATTGATGATATAGTCCCCTCGCATCGTTCCATATCGAACTGCATTCGTTCCACTTCCTCCCGTTCCCATCATTCCACCTAGCGCAGCACCCGGTCCAGGATCAACGGGGAAGAATAAGTCTATTCCTTGATCACGTAGGTGTTCGTTCAAATCTTCATACTTTACACCTGCTTCCACTTCAATATCACCATCTGCTACATTGCATTCGCCAATCTTATCCATCAAATTGAAATCGACCGAGACTACCTTTCTTGGCAGGTCAGGATGATCGGGAGGAGCAGCCCAATGTGCTTCGAGTGATGTACCTCCCGCATAAGGCGTAAGAACGATTCCATGTTTAGGAGCTTGTTTTACCAACTCTTGTACTTGTTCAACAGTTGTCGGATAAATAACCGCACTTGGACTACGAGCAGGATGATATGACCAAGGTGAATGACCATGCGATTCCAATTCACTTTCTTCTAGCGAGATTTGATCTTCTTTGAATCCGGCTTTCGAGCGCAGTATATCCAGATAGCCCTCCAGATTTGGCTTTCCAAACTTTGTTTCACTGCCGCCTCCCTGGATTAGCTTTTGTATGGCACCTTTGCCCCCGTCTTTTTGACTGTCTTGGGAGAGAAGTTCAACGGCAAGCAAACATACACCTGCTCCTACTGCAGCTCCAATAGCCAAGCCACCAAACGATGAGCCTTGTTTGGACTCTGATATCGTACTTGAGCTGGTAGATGCATTACGGCTTGATCTTGACACTGTCGGTAGTATGCTCTGTACACCTGTATATGGTGTTTGCCTATGGGTGCCACTCCGTAGCAGCTGTCGTGTACGCAATCTGATCATCTTTACGGTTGTGGTAAATGTGGTGATAATGAGGAGGGAAGATACTAAAACGTTATCTGCCAAGAAGGAATAGTGCATCTATGTGGGGTACCCTTCCTTTACAAATCGGTAATGCCGGAGAATGAATTGAAGATATTTCCGCCGCGTATTGACCGACGTTGTATGCCTGCTTGTGTACACCGGCGTATTGAACTTTAATGCAAGCCGCGTTTAAATTTGTTTATTAATTTTAAAACGTTTTCTTCTTGTCATGCATACACGCAACCCCCGAACAACCATCATTCTACACCACATAATGCCGGTCGCTTCTAATACACCTACTACTGCTGGTGGCGATACATCATCATCCTCAACAACAGAAAAGAACATTTGGACAGCAGCAGGTGAAGGAGACTTAGAACGTGTTCGTCATTTAGTGGAGGTAGAACATATTTCACCAATCGCAGCCGATCAATTCACATATACACCACTTCATGCTGCTGCATCTTATGGACATGTGGAAATTTTGAGATTTTTACTCAATCATTCAACAGCACCCGCAAATGCAATCGAGACAACAGATGAAGATGGTGATACACCATTGTTTACGGTAGAAGACGTTTCGGTTGCACGTATACTCATTGAGGAATTTGGTGCGAATGCAAAACATGAAAATGAAGCAGGTGATACACCTGCCGCAAATGCAGAAGAAAATGAATGGGATGAAGTGGCGGCTTATTTTCGAAGTGTGACAGGAGAAGAACCAATGTATCAAAGAGCGCAAAACCTTCCCTCTGAAGCTACTGAATTGGATCCTGCCACAAATGAAGCAATGGATGCTGCTATCGATGGTCAGACAGATGCCCTCATGATTCGTGTGCAAGACATACTGCGAAGAGCAGAAGCAAGAGGAGCCAGTTCAGGAGAGGAATTAAACGAAGAAGAAGAGGCGGAATTGCGAAGAGTTGTTGGCGAAAGTGTATTGACCCAAATTCGGGAAGGATGGGGCGTGGCTGGAGGTGAAGATGAAGAAGCACTTGCGATCCTGTCATCAGCGGTCTCAAACCCCAATGGAGCAGCAGGAGAAAGTGCAGATTCAGCCCTTTCATCTCAACAAAGTATACCAGAGGAGGAGGAAGAGGAGGAGCCAAGACCAGGACGGTGAACAGATAGACAAACGAACTATGTATAGATACTTTCACGTGTAATATGATCAAATGTACAATGAGCATGTCAGTGATGACATTGAGTATTTATAGTACAATGTAAGAGAGTTCGGACCAATCGTCAAACCTTCAAATAACCACGAGCACGTAACCGTGCACAAACCTCTTCTACGCCTGAAGCACTTTTTGCAATGTTGGCATCCCATCTTCGTGTATAGACGGTGCTCAAATCATCATCTTCGCCTTGACCTTGTTCTTGTTTGGCTTGTTCGGTTTCCTTTCCGCCAGCTGCTCCAGAAGCCGCACCTGCTGCCAGACCAATCTCACGAGATTTTTGCTCGTGAAAGACAATCAAGCCTGCAACTTGATCAATTTCGGCTTTTAGACGACCTTGAACGATCATCCTTCTCACCATCGTCTCTGCAGCCAGACTGTGCAAATCCAACAATCTACCTAAACCGTTCAAAGTGATATTCACATACAGTCTCGAAGCAGCGATGATGTTGTGTTCCATCATTGCACGATCCAGAACAGTAGAAGGACCCGTTCGTGAACTCTCTTTGTCCTCCTCATACTCACCACTCATAGCCACATCACCATTCTGCTTATCCTTGGACGAACGTACATGTCGTATCAGATCTTGCTCGGATTTTGGCAAAGATGCCAACTGATGTGGACTCAAAATTTTCTCGAACGATTTGATTTCGTTCGGTCGAATGATTTGATCCAAAAATGTCTTTGTCAAGATGGTATGTTGGGGTAGTGAAGCAGTTCGTTCATCGCGTGCAAGGGTAGCCAGTATCCTTGACCGTTGTGGGCCTGCGGGTGCAAGAATAGAAGCAGTCACTGCTGCCGAAAGCATCATCGTTCTTTCTGCTTCATCAATTTCTGTAACGTAGCTCACTTCATGATACCTGTTTGCTGCTTCGGCAAACCGACGTTGTGAATCATAAATGCGTGCTTGACTGAGCTTGAATTGCAAACCAAGCGTTTTTGCTTCAATTTTCTCCTCTTCTGACATCTTTGCCCATGCTTCTTGTAATGTCGGATTATTTGATATACCAAAGCTCGAAGACATCACGCCAGGAATGTTATGGACCAGCAAGGATGCCCTCTTGAGCATAGTGTCTGCTCCCACAGCGTCATCACCTTCCAGCAAAAGTCGAACAATGCGTACGTAAATGCGCAGCTTATGTAGATCCGATACGAAGCGATGACTTGAATCCAGGGATATGCCTTGCAAGACTCGAGCTGCTTCTATCCATTGTTCTGCATTCTCCAATGTATCTGCTAAATGCAGTCTGATCGTATTTGCTTGTTCTTCAAAACTCAAAACACGAGGTTGTAGTTGCTCCAATGCACTTTCTAGTATCTCGATCTGCACATCCTCGTCTGCGATCGCAGATATGGTTTTTGAATCTGTCATTGCATCATCTTTCTGGCCATCTCGATGTTTTTTCCCTGCTTCGACGATCGCCTCATCGAAATCGCGTAAAACTTGTCTTCCTACGACAAGATTTCCTCCTGTTGCATTTGTGTCAGATAATGCTGTATATGCCAAATAGACAGATACAGCTTCTTTCAAGCTATACTGTCCATTGCTAGGTAACACAGATGCAGGTTGAGCCAATATGTCTCGTAGAATTGCGAGATACGCTGGAGGTCTTTGTGATGGAGTTTTTGAGTTCGAAATTTCCGTCAAATTCTTCTTGACTTCTTCCAAGAAGCTCTGACCTGATTCGCTCATCTTGCTTGATGGGTTTTCTGAACTGCTCAATCTTTGATGTTGTAGTTTAAAGGTGAGTTGCGTCGTGTGCCATATCTTGTAAGCAATCATCAGACCTTTTTAGTATTTTGGCCCGTGCGAATCTTCTTGTTAATTTAGACGCGGGGAGACTTTTGTTTGGTTTGAGGTTGTATGCTGTCCTCTTAACGTGCTATCCAACACCATCATAGTCACTCTTCTAATGATGAGTGCATCAGCATCAACATCGGCAATTCCCATTCTACTGGGATCATCATTAAAAGCAAAGAGAGAATCATCTACATCTTCCTCGAGGCAGCCGCTTGTTTCAGTCAAATGTAAGTGAGCAAAGACAAACGATGCAGCAGACTAACTTACTGACTCTGTTGTACCTCTTCGCAGACAACTTTAAACCGCCATCAATATCAAAAGAAAGTGATGCATTCCTGCACTGCCCAAAGTGTACGCAACCAGAATGGCTCTTAGAGTATGCTGGAGGATCAACCTCAAAGAATGGCATTGAACAATCAAATGATGCACAGAGTTTCACTGGTACGCAATCAGCAGCAAAGGATGTAGATTGTGTTTTGGTATGGGATGATAGACGACAAGCTTATGTTCTTGATAGAATAACATCTAGCTTTTCGTTAAAGTTTGATCGCAAGCATACAAAGCTTAGCAAAGAGGCAAAAGATGCTTTCTCGGCTGAATCAAATCAACGCAGGAGATCGAGCGGCCGAACAAGTGCTTTAGGTTTGGACATACCAGAGCAAGAGCTTGAGACGCAGTTGGATACCTTCTATGTTGATGATGAAGAGGAAGAAGGAGAGGATTCAGAAATGCACATAACGGAAAAGAAACCGAATAAAGATGCGGTGGAAGAGGGAGAAAGCGATGACGACTTTGCTAGACAGCTACAGTTAGACTTAGAAGAAATGGATACTGATCAAAGGGAAAGTACAGATCAAGATAACGGACGTGACTCAAGTCCGAAAGGGATAAAGACCGGATTAGGCCTTGTAGGAGCACATGGTCACTTGATGAATTCAGAAGAGGTCATCACACCAAGAGGATCGCCATACCTGGACAGAAGCTCTAAATTACAAAACTCGAATACGCACAATGCACCTGGCAGTGTCCCTACCAGCGCAAATATACCCACAACCACTCAAATGCGCTCCACGCCTGGTATGTCACCTTTAAGTGTTGCTAATTCACCTCGACCAACAGGTTTGGAATCTAGCTTGAGTGCTACTTGGAGGCCACCAGCACAAAGAAGTGCAGTCGCAATGGCCTATGACGAAGATGAGGATGATGAAGACGACGACGACGACGAGAGCGAGGATGAAGAAGACGACGAAGAAGAAGAAGGAGCTGTAGCAGCACCGGCTGGAGGAGAAGCTGATGATGATGATTTAGACGAATTTGCAAGACAATTAGATAGCAGTATGATGGAGCCGCCAACTCCGATAGAAGATGAGAAGCCTGCACCTACTAAAGGACGTAGAAGTAGTACAAGAACTAAGCGTTAAAGAGCTTTGTTATTCATAGATGACAATGAATGTCATGTTTTCATTTGATGTATAATTCATTTATCCACTTTGTCGTCATTCTATTGTGAGTGGTTATGAAGTGCTGACCTTGTAGTGTTAGCGTTTGCTTCGGACCCTTTAAGTCAAAATCTCGCACGGTTCATCTCGATAATTTTAGGCAATCACTTATTCGATCATGCTTCCAATCTTTGCTTTCGCTCTACAACAACGGATTCTATGTGACTATATCACTAAGGATGTCGAACACATCTGTGACTTAAAGAAACATATCCCAAGATGCCATTGACTGTGGCAAATTTCAATCCTTATTCGCCCTTTTACAACACTTCCTCTGCAAATGATCGTCTTCAACTGTTACGACAAAATGGAGGTTATCCGTCCCATGCTTCATCATATGCATACTCGCATGCATCCAGATGGTCTGACGATATTGTCCAGAGGCTAGACCGGATCGATGTCTTGGGAGGAAGAGATTCGCACAACAATACGATTGGTCATACAGGATGCGTGAATGCACTCACATGGTCTCAAAGTGGTGATTGTTTGGCCTCCGGCAGTGATGATACACGAGTGATACTATGGAGAATGGGAAGCTCGGATACCTCACCATTTGCGAATGATTTTGACGCACCCGAAAGTGCTCCACATCTAAACATGGCACAAGCTGAAGTGATTGAAACCGGCCATCGAGCAAATATTTTCAGCGTGAAATGGGCACCAAATTCTTCCGATAAACGATTGTTCACATGTGCAGGAGATTCAGAAATGCGAGTCTTTGACCTTACTAGGGCGTCATCATTCACGAACGAGCGTCTTTTGTCCGGTAAGGAATATAGGCTATGGCACGATGGACAAGGAGCGTGTACGCATGTATTACGTTGTCATACCAGCCGTGCAAAACGAATCAGTACGGAAAACAGTCCTGATGTATTCTTGAGCTGTGCTGAAGATGGCGAAGTACGACAAACGGATTTGAGGGTGCCACATACGTGCTCAAGATCCAAAGCCTACGGTCAAGGCTGTCCAAGACCGTTAGTACAATTTCAGATGGAACTGTATTCTTTGTCGGTATCAAAGATGGAACCTTGGCTATTTGCTGTTGCAGGCACAAGCGATAAAGTGTATTTGCTTGACAGAAGGATGATTCCAAGATTACTTCACAAAGAATGGGGAAGCGTGTTGAATGAAGAAGATGGAGATTTGACACATTGCGTACGGCGGTTTAGCAGAGAATTGCCTGAAGAGGAAGATGATGAAGATGAACAAGCGGCCACAAGAAGAAGAAAAAGATTCCAGCGTGCTCATATCACTGCCGTCAAGATTGCCGAGAGTAATAGTCGAGACATCCTTGCAAGCTATTCTGGAGATGGACTGTATCGTTTTGATATGAAAAAAGATCCAGGAGAGAAACAGACTTCCGCTACGCTTTCTACTAATAAACGTCGAAAGACGTCAAGAAGTGCAACTCCTACCCTAGTACCAATAGGGCACTTTCATTCACAGAAGATGCATGGAGCTGATGACGCAGGTGCTTCTTCCTCTCCGGCCGATGCAGGTGAACTAAATCCCATTGAGGAAGATGACGTGGACGACATTGACGTAGACGACGATCTTGTAGATGAAGACGAGTTGGACGACAGCAATGAAGAAGACAACTACGACGAGATTTCTGATGGTCACGAAGAGATCACTTTGACCTCGTCGGATATTCTACGTGCATATACAAGGCAAGGTATAATCGATGAAGAGGAAGACGATGAAGAAAACGGCGAGGAAGACGATGACGATGAAGACATGTATCCTGAATGGGACGATTCCAGTGAAGATGAAGCGATGGAAGATGTTCAGAGACATGGTCTTGGCGGCGGTGATGCTCCAATCGTTTATCCGTCAAAGCGGTTCACGGGTCACATGAATGTCGAGACGGTGAAAGATTGTGGTTTTCTTGGTTCAAACGATGAATATGTTTGGAGCGGATCGGATTGTGGACATTTCTTTATTTGGCGAAATGATGAAAGTGCGGAATTGGTTGGAATATGGAAAGGTGATGATAGTGTTGTGAATGTATTAGCGCAACATCCAACCTTACCAGTCTGTGCTGTTAGTGGTATCGATGATACAGTCAAATTGTTTGGGCCTTTGGGATCTGCAAGAACGGATGAACAATCTTTCAATCGATTCAATCAACGTGAGAGAATTTTGCAAAGGAATGCAGAAAAGGCAAGCGACCCGGGTCCCTCTATGAGCTCGCGTGGGCTAATGCGTTTCTTAGCTCGAAATATGATGGTGAGCGGGAATGGAGATGGTAATCCTCGTCGAATTGTTGTCGATAGAGGAGATGGAGAAGAGGAAGATTGTGTGATTGCTTGATGGCAGTTGCAATATCAATCTCTATGTATGAATGATTACAAATGTATTTTATATTTTATTATGTTAATAATGACATTGAGCACGAATACAAACGAACATGTCTTGACTTTGATGACATAAGTTGAACTTGCACCTTCATATATTGCTATTGATGTCAAAGTCTGCCAGTAATTTCTTCAGCGTCAAAAGCAGATACGGGTTGTTAGTACGAAGGGTTAGTGTTTGTGCGTGCGGGGAAAACTCAAAAATGAACCCAAGTCAAAAGATAGGGGCGTATGCTCATTTTCCAAAACAAAAAAGGGAGGCTTAGCGCTGCAAAAGGCATGCAGCTTTTGAACGCTTAACCGTTTTTGCCGCATTCACCCCTGAGTGTGCCGAGCTTTAAGTTGTGTCTTGTATCTGATCACGGCGAACAAGGAACATGCAATATGTGTGTGTAATCAGCCAGTCTTTCAAAGCAGTGTTTTGATTGATGTGCTTTTCTTTCAGTCATAATTTGTCTAAATTTAGATGCGAGTGTGCATCAATGAATATAATGTCAAACTCGATACATTTTTGTAGTTCCTTAACACCATCATACCCCTCTACTTAACGACTTTTGACGACTTTTACGACTTTTTAACGAATCCCCCAATCTCCCTAAAGCCAAACACTTTTACACTCCAATTACCTATCTTACCAATCTATCAAAATGGTGAGTCAGAGTATATCTCAAAGTTCGTTGAGTCGAAAGCTGACATTTCCCTCCCTCGCTTTCAGGGTATCGTCTGTTCATGTTTCGCAAGCACTTTCTTGCTCATCGGTGAAATCTTTTCAACCGTTTTCTTAGCCGTAGGAGAAGTAGGAGCAATGTTGGTTCGAGGCTTATTCAGCTTACTCGTCGGTTTATGTGACGTTTTAGCAGCATGCATGTGTTGTTGTCAAGTTCCCTTCAGTGAAAGGCCAGACAGGAACGGTTACACGTATAACACAATGGCTTTACGCACGGATAATCTGGCTGATAAACCAAAGTTTAGCGGCAAAGCATTTGCTAAAGTTCAAAAGAACAAACTGTTCACTTTACCCGCCGCCGGAGTAAAGAACAAATCCAAAGCTCAAAAAGCTTCGCCTGCTGATACAAGTGTAGGAGACGAAACAAAGGTTTCAACCGAATCAGTTGAAGAAAAGGCACCGGAAGCAGCTGCACCAGCTCAAAATGGCTGGTTTGGCGGTTGGTTCGGTGGATCTGCACCTGCAACTGCAACTGCAAAAGCCTGATGCATCCACCTTCTCCGTCTGTGCGTTCCTAGACTTTGTGTATTCTCTTTCCTCATACCATAACATTCTCAATCGACTTCTCCCACAATGATTGTCAGTTATCGTGATAGATATTACCTTAGTAGCGATTAAGAAACACATCTAATCCTTCTTCAGTTCTCTGCGAATCACAACAACGGCTTGCTCCTCCTGTTCATCTTCTCCTCCTAATGCTTCAACTGCACCCCATGCCTGCAGATCCGTCGAGATTGCTGATCCTGCTTGTGACGTTTGACCTTCTGCTGGTGGTGTACGGACGACGAACATCTCCAACCCATCTCCCACTTCGATATGCCTCTCTGTTGCTCCTGTGAAACTGTCCATGACTAGCTTCAAGACTTCGTCTAATTTCATCGTTCCAGGTTCGGGCAATTTACGTTGTGGTGTCGAAAGCTGGTTCTTGAACATCACTTGACTGTCCAAGAAGGGTTGTAGCAAACTTTGAGCAGCGCCTGCAGCCCGGCAAAACTCACGTTCATAACTTCCAACAGGATCGAAACTGTACACGGCACCTTTTCCTTGTTCGTCCAAACCTCCCAAGATATTATATACGTAATAAGGGAAGAATCGTTTTCCGTACAAGATTGTTGAGATCATTCTTGCGATTCCTGCGATTGGCATACTACTTCCATGTGCATGTCTGTACATCTCTAATCGTTGTTTGATACGAGATACCAAAGCTTCTGCATCGGCTGCGAATCCATTGGTGGCCAAAGTAGCACGATCTGTTAAACGAAACACTTTTGGCTTATATCTTGTTTGAATTTGATATCCTTCACTTTGACGGGTATCGCCAGCAATCACACAGAAATCTGTACCTGCGATTGCCATGATTGAACCACCATTTTCTGTGTATGGGTTGAATGATCGCTGTTGAATGCCATGTGCGTTTGGAGCCATTGCACTGGATGGCATCATACGTTGATCTACGAGAGAAACGACCATCTTTGGTAATCTTCTTGGTCGTTGTTGAGTAAGAGAAGCTGTTTGTGGTTAGGAAGTGTGCCTTTCCAACTTCTGTTCAACTTACGCGTCCTTGTACAGTGGGCCAAAAGGGACGTGCGCGTTCGGTCTTCAAGCTTGATGATTAACAAGCGCAAAAGCGTGAAATATTCTGAAAGGCTTAATGATTTTCTTCTCAAACTATAATTTTGGTGGAGTAATCTTGACACCATCACCTTAACCGAAAATCATGAGGCATCAAGAGAATTTGATGATGCATCCGTGATCGTGATGCAGTCTGACATATCGTGACAATGAATTCAAATCGCCAAGTGGTGGATTCTCCCGTACCCAAGCATGATCTAACCGCTTTACATCATGACAAAGCCAGTCGCTTACTCGTTGCTTTGGGACATGGTCACTTAGGTGCTGATCAATCTGTGCGATTATCTCAAACACTGCAAGTGAGCACTAGTCAGTCCGTTTCCCACAAGAGAGCGCTTTTTGATGGCTCAATAGAGCGTTTCACTCGACCATTCCCGGCTGAAAAAGGTCTGCAAAAGCGGCAATCAAACAGCGTACCAAGTGCATCAACTTCAACAATTCAGGCTGACAAAGACAATGGTCCAATATATCCTTCTTTGAGCCATGCGCTACCAGAGTGGTATGAGGCTCAAAATCCGCACTGCATCGCTTGTTCTGTCCCCCTGCTCGTCGGGATGAACGCAAGTTTTGACCCAGTTCGTAGAGGCTTGGTGTGTGCAGCTTGCGGTTCTGGATCGCCGATGGGATTGCCGGATAAAGAGTCGAAAAGAGAGTTGCGATCAATGCGAGTCAGAAGGACTGTTAGCGCTAAAAGTCAACGCAGCAATCCAGCTCTACATGATCAAGCAACCAAAAAAGCTCGCATTGAGCCTGGATTTTCTCACGAGGACAAAATCTTGTCTTCCCAGCAAAAGAAGGATGGAGATCCAGTACAGAAGCCAGACCATCCACTAAAAGCGAAAGATTCTGACAACAATTGGTTGAACACTGCTTCTCTAGATGCAAGAATGAAGCAGAAGAAGAAAGACAAAAGGGGTTCTCAAGCGCCGAGTGCAGTTGAAAGCATCGAGATTACACAACAAACTCCACAGCCTGACGAATTGGTCAACAAAAGTAAGGCTCCCCCTCTACATTCAAGTGAGCCAAAGATACCCTCCAACACAAGCAGTCAGAGTCGACAGCCACAGTTGGTTTCAAGGCCACCACATACCAAAGCGAAAGGAAATGACAAACAAGCATTACGTAACATGCTGGCGGCCAACAAAAAGAAGAAAGATGATGGTAACAAATCATCTGGCTCAAATACCAAGTCAACCAGCTCTTCTGGTTTACAAAGCTTCCTTGATAGTTTGTAATTATACATGTACTTTATCTGTATCATCACGCTTCTCGCATTTGCTCAATAGGAAATATATTAAGCGCCATCTATTGTACATCCGTAATTCGAAAAAAGGCGTTATAAAGTGTACATCTAGAGAGATATCTTTTCGTTAGAATCTCTGCTGAATAAATAGTGCAAGGCAATCACATAATTTTATAATTTAAGCGTAATTTTTCGTTTTGCTTCTTCATCTTTGTGCTTTCTCTGCTTTGACTTCTTCTTGTGCTTGTTGTTCATCCTTTTGTTCGCCTTCTGTTTCAAAAACCAATCCATCCCTTTCACCAACAAGACAAACCAAAACGGAAATATCATCGTGCTTTCCACCAACGTAATTCAAACCTTCTTCCATTGCACGTTGTTGGAAAGGACTGCTGATCGCACGACTGTCTTCAGATACAGCTTTCGCACGACTACAGAGAGCTTCCGATACCATTTGAGGGGAGAAATTACTTGCATCAATCTTTACTTCTTGCTCTTCTCCTTCTGCATTGGCTTGTGATGGCGGTAAAAATCGAATCACCTCTTCAATGATATCTTCGTCGAACAAATTGTCCATCAATCCGTCCGAACCAACAACGATGATATCGCCTGCTTTCACGCGGACTGTCCATCTACCTGCATCCCTTCTAGGTTCGTCCCAATCAGGCTCAATATCTTCAGCGCTTTGACGGTCAGGCGTGACAGGTGGAGCGGTGTCGTTCCTGCTCTTGCTATTACCGTTTGCATTCTGTTGTGCTTTAGGGGAGCCTCGATCTTCTTCTACTGCATCGTAATCTTCCATCGTTCCACTTGCCACTTCTCCTTCTGCTGCCGCACGATCACGGTTTTGCGATGCCATAACGTGCTTCTTGATCGTATCCGTCGTATCGCCCATCATTCCAAGTTGAACAGGGAAGTTGAAACTGTGTTGTTGTTCTGTACTACGGAACATCATCTCACCTCCACGAATGATCATCAAGACACAATCTCCCATATTAGCAATACGTAATTCTTCTCCTCTCAAAATACCAATCAATGCAGTCGAAGAGCCCAGTATTCCTTCCCTTCTTGAAGCTCTCACACACCTCTCCCATGCTCGATGCATCACTTCAACAGCATCAACGGATGCCCATGCTTTGAGAAGGCTACCATTATCAGCTGCAAGTTCAGATGCACTCAATCCATCATAACGTGAAAGTTCAACGGCGCAAAAGTGCATCAACAATCTCGAAAACAGAGCTGGATCCGCACCTGGCCGTGAAGCCCATCCGCCTACACCATCAGCAACGCCCAAAGCGTCAGGCCGTAAGAAGTAAGCATCTTCTCCAACCTGCACACTACGTAGACGCTCCTTGATCACCCTTCCATCAGGTCCTCGGATGGCCATCCTGTGCGCGTCTGTCTTTGTATCTGTATCTGCTCTGTTTGCTTCAATAAAGTGTTGTTGAACTTCATACCCTTCTGCGGTACTTCCTCCTGCCAGAGCTGCTTGGAGAGCATCGTTACCTCTAAAAGGTCTGAATTCAGATGTGTTTGCAGCATTAGGGGGAACACTTTGAGATCCCGCAAGGAATTCAGCAGCAGCAGCAAGCATATCTGTAGCCGCTCTTACTTTACTCGTTGGAACCACATCACGACTTGGTGAGGTACGTTCTCCCTTCCCATTAAAGCCCGAAGATGCTTTTCGAACGGAGGAAAGCGGATGTCTTTTCGGAATTCCATATGCACCATGCTCAAACATAAATTCATGATCTTTGGTCGATCGAGGAAGTCTAAAGGTCTTTGCCCAATGTTCCGTGGAGCCAGAAGAAGATGAAGCTTGAGGCGGTAAAGAACTGGAAGATCCTTGTGGTGGTGTTGCAGATGATGTTGAAGCTAGGTATTGTAGCTTGGCCGATTTACTGCTGCTTCCGTCTCCTGCTGTGTTGGAGGAAATACTGGATTCCGCGCTGGTAGTAACGGCAAATTTAGGTTTTGGACCGTTAACGTCTGGCATGTTCGACCGAAATCCTACTTGATCTCTTGAGCGTTCAGATGAAGGACCTGGACTAGGACTGGGAGAATGTGAAGGAGAAGCTTCGGGCAATGCCTTGTTTGTATCAAAGAATCCCGATGAACTGTGATACGGTTGAGCTTCAGCATGTTCTTCTGAAAAGCTAGTAGATTGTTTGGATTTCCCTTTGCCGTTATTACGATCGTGCTCGTATGCCTCTCTTCCTGTCGTTAGCAACTGCCTTTGCTGAGATTTCATCATTGCTGCCAGCAGCTCGTACAAGCCGTCAGCCGAGCGATCATCAACAGAAGCATTTGTATGTTCAACACTCTTCCCTTTGCCTTTGATGAGATTGGCAGAATCTCTTGTACTTTCGCTTATATCGAACAGAAGCTTGTTCTGCTTCTTTGATCTTCTTTTCGATGGAGATGCAACTTTTGTTGAAACCATTGCACTCTCCTCGTTGGCGTTGTATTGATTGGCTTGTGCTTGCGCTTGCGCTTGGGCTTGAACTTGTGACCACACATGAAGACTTCGAATCGGATGAGGCGAGATGAAGGACAAAGGCAAGCCATTTCGCAACGCAGACTGATGAGCGGCATTGTGTGATGATGAGATGAGCGAAGATAATGACGAAGGGAAATTGAAAACGGGTAAGGATACGTAATTTGAAAGATTTGATAAGGACGGTATTTCCTCAATTTGCTGGATTTGTTGTTGCTGTTGTCTCTCATATATTTTCACCACTGCTGCAGGTTGCGGACCATGATAAGGTGCGCTTATGGCGCCCATCAAAGCCAATTCACTGGCATCAGCTCCACTTGTGATCTCACTTTGTCTTGCACTTTCCGATCTTTGTGTATGATATCCCCTTCTCTTATGATCAGCAAGGGTCGAGTTGTGACTCTTTCCCAGCACGGCTGTTGATCGACCTGATGATGTTGTTGCCCTTGTCCATATCGTATGATTGGGTAATTTCGACATCCTTTTTGTAGTGTATGATGGACGGGGCCGAAAGGGAAAGAATTGATCAACTACTTCTCATACAAAGATGTTGTGGTAAATAATCATTGACTAATGCCGTTGAAGGCGGTCAACGATTAATCTTGTCGAGAAGTTTAATGGTGATTTCGAGTGAGCCGAAATGTTGATGGGATGTGTAAATATGTACGCCCACGATTCAAAGCGCGATTAAGGAACGTCCTAATTAATGGGCGCAGGGTACTTTACGCCCTTGCTCCTGGATATAGTAGCAGCTTTAGGGTTGATGATGAATCGTTCTTGTGATGGCGTTCGTGGATGATGATGATCGATGCGAATTTTGAGAATGTAATCATAAAAAACAAAGAGTGATTGTAACAAATGCCTCGTCCTGTTCCGTTTTTACCCAAGACAGATCAGGTACCCGACTTTAAGTTTCATGCAGCACAATCGAGTATAGCAATTTTTGACGCGCTAAATAGTAAGAATGCACACAGCATCCGGACCTGTTCCGCGTTGGGTAAAAGGCGGTATGACTCTCTGTAACTTCCCCGCCTTTTTTATTTATTCAATGATTGAAGTCCCTTTAGATAAGAGTTTAATGCCCCTTCTCTTTCCTTTTGTCAAACGCCATTTTATTGTACTCCGATCGAGGCGCTTAACTTCCGACAAAGGGAGGGGGCCTTGTGACAATGATTTGGTCAATTCATATAGCATAATAATGTGAAAATATTAAATCATTTCAGTTGTATTTCGAGTATAGAATGTTGCGGTCTTCCTTGCTATCATCTTGCTCTTTTTCGCGGCTATCCGCTTATACTATAACAGCAAAGAAAGAATGACAAAAAGAAATGATATAGAACTGCAGCACCCAGGATTCCCGCGTGGTCCCCCACCGCAGTACTGACTAGGCGATACCATGCTTGACTTTACAGATCGGACGGGATGTAGTACTTTGATGGTTCTATGGCCGCAGATATATGAAGTAGGGAGTGAGCCGATTAAGTCCTTAAAGTATCTGCGATTTACGCGTCTTTGTGTTGTTCTCTGTTTGCAAATGTATGCATTCATGCTTTCATCACTTCATATCTTTATGGATGGCCACTGCAGCATCAATAAGGAGAAGTATGGTTCGTTCTACTCGCACTGTCAGGAATGCCTCAGGGTCAAAGGATGTGACGGGGAAATCAGAAGCAAGGGCAAGTAGCACAAAAGCCTCTTCTGATGATCATGTCAAACCCTCCACTTCCTCACTGGCATCATGCTGGCTAATGAAAGCAGAACCTGATCCAAGATTGGAAAAAGGCATTGATATCTCATTCAGTGTGGATAAATTCGCAGAAATGCCAGATGCAATCACTCAATGGGATGGAGTACGAAATCCAGAAGCAAGAACGATGATGAGAGAAAAGATGAAGATTGGCGATAAAGTGTTGTTTTATCATAGCAATTGTAAACTTCCTGGTATCGCAGGATTGGCAAAAGTTGTCAAAGAAGGATATCCGGATTATACAGCATGGGATGCAAAACACCCTTATTTTGACCCAAAGACGGATAAAGAGAATCCGAAATGGTTCATGGTGGATGTTCAACTAGAAAGAAAGTTGCCAAATCTTGTCCCTTTGGCTTTGTTGCAATTATTGAGAGATGACTCCTCAAAGAAGCTTGATTATCTCACAAAGGCACATCGAAATGCAATATCGTCCATGCAATTGCTCAATAGAGGTAGATTGAGCGTGCAATACGTCGAACCAGATGCGTATGATGCAATCATTCTGCTTGCTGATCAAGGCGGCTGGCAGGAATGGCCAGGAAAATGGCAAGTCAAAGCATCCAAAAAGGAGGTAAAAGAGCAAGACGAGAAAAAGGCGGTAAATGAGAATGAAGAGTCAAAAAAGAGGGGCACAAGCGATGCGAATGAGAGCGAATCTACCCAAAAGAGAAGTCGAACAAGCAGACGAAAATAGAAGGTAACATCACAAGATATATGTCACAATCATCATTACCATAATTTGTACTTTTGATACCATGATTTTAATCATACAGCATTTCATCAACCTTACTGAATCTTCTGAAAATGAACGCCCATTAAAGAAAGAAATGCGCGGCGCAAAAGTCGTGTTGTTGCGTGTCAAGCCTGTCTGTCTGTCTGTCTGCCTGGTGCAATTCTTCGCGTTGGTCTGCGCGCGCACTGTCATAATTTGGGCTAAATTCCAGTCTCTTTAGCCTTTTGGAATTTCCACAATAATAGCAGGCCGTGCGGCTATGTCGCCTTGAGTGCTTGTGTAGGGTAATGATACCATATGGGCCGTGTGTGTGTGTTGAGAAAAGGAGAAAGAGAGATACACACCGGATCTCGCACGCATTCATCACACCTTCCCATCTCTACGATCAACAGCATACAATCACGACAGACTCTTGACTTTACCAGATCAGATTCAATACAGGCATTGACAGAGTGTTTCGAAAGCACGGGCGATCGATAATCTAGCTCTTCTTTTTCAATACTCTTTTATTATTTTGGTTTGACATATAGATATCAACAAACATTGCCCTGATCCGACAAAAACTCACACCTACATCACTTACGACACAAATCAGCCCAACATGGAAAATGAAGAACAGCTTTATCCGATTGCTATCTTGATCGATGAGCTGAAATCGGATGATGTCACATTACGCTTAAACGCCATTCATCGTATTTCAACAATTGCATTGGCATTGGGACCGGAACGTGCACGAGATGAATTGATTCCATTCTTGCAAGATTCACTAGACGATGAAGATGAAGTCTTGTTGGCTTTGGCAGAAGAATTGGGCCAAGGCTTTGTGGAATATTTGGGTGGTCCAGCATATGCACATTTGCTACTCGGCCCTTTGGAAAACTTGGCTGCCGTTGAAGAAACTGTTGTGCGGGAAAAGGTATGTGTTACAAATTGTCTGTTCAGCTCTTACAGTATGCTTACCTTTGTTGCTTCATCCCTCTTCTATCAATTTAGGCCTCAGAGTCAATCACTAAGATTGCAGAAGTTCTATCCAAACCTCAAATCGAAGAGCATTATTTCCCTTTGCTTAGAAGGTTATCTGGAGGAGACTGGTTCACTTCGCGAACGAGCTCAACATCTCTCTTTGCTGCAGTGTATGCTAAAGTGAGCCCTGCCCTTCAAGATGAGTTACGCAAACTGTTTGCCGCTTTGTGCAATGATGATACACCTATGGTCAGACGTGCAGCAGCACGAGACCTAGGACCGTTTGCCAAGAACTTGTCAAAAGAACTCGTCGTTTCAGACATCATCCCACTATACCGCAAATTGTCTTCCGATGACCAAGATTCCGTTCGTCTTTTGACCGTCCAAGACTTGATCGCAATCGCTCAAGTATTGGATCACGAAGAAACAAAGAGCTACCTACTTCCTTCAATGCGCAACGCCGTCTCCGATAAGAGCTGGCGAGTACGATACATGGTTGCTGACCACTTTGTCGAACTGGCTTCAGCTGTTGGTGAGGATGTTGTACGCGATGAATTGGTGATGGCATTCGTGCAATTACTCAAAGATAACGAAGCAGAAGTACGCACAGCGGGAGCAGGTCAAATTCCTGGCTTTGCCAAATTGATCGATCAAGATATCATCTTGGCACGATTGATGCCATGCGTTCGTGATCTTGCAAGTGACTCCTCTCAACATGTTCGTGCCGCACTCGGAACGCAGATCAGCGGTTTGGCACCTCTTCTAGGTAAAGATGCCACGATCGAACACCTCTTGCCGCTCTTCTTGAAATTGTTGAAGGACGACTTTAGCGATGTGCGACTCAACATCATCTCCAAACTGGAACAGGTAAATGAAGTGATCGGAATCGACCTTCTATCGCAGTCGCTATTACCAGCAATCGTCGAATTGGCAGAGGACAAACAATGGCGAGTTAGACAAGCAATCATTGAATATATCCCCTTGTTGGCAAATCAATTGGGTGTCGAATTCTTTGATGAACAGTTGAGCAATTTGTGTATGTCATGGCTTGGTGATACAGTGTTCAGCATTCGCGAGGCAGCAACTGTGAATTTGCGCAAATTGACAGAAGTCTTTGGAGTTGATTGGGCACGCAATACGATCATTCCAAAGGTTTTACAAATGGGAGCGCATCCGAATTACCTGTACAGGATGACAACCCTTTTCGCTATAACCACTATGGCACCTTCTCTGAATACAAGCGTGATCGTTGACAGCGTTTTGGAAACCGTTTTGCCGATGGTCAATGATCCAATCCCAAATATCCGTTTCAACGTTGCAAAATCGTTTGAAGTTTTAGCTCAAGTACTAAACGAAACATCTGAAGGAAAAGGAGTTATCAAAGCAAAGATTCTACCTGGATTGGAAAAGCTTAAAGATGATCAAGATGCAGACGTGAGATTCTTTGCACAAAAAGCAATGGAAGCGGATGCGATCACAGGAGCTTGAGCGAAGGTTGTAGCAAAAGCAAAAGTTGGAGTTGAAAATTTTAGATTAAAAAGATATATATCATCATGTTAGTATAAGCACACATGAATTCATCCATTCACCGAATGCTAAGCGTTGAAGTGTAATGTAAAGACTTTCGTAAATGATTCAAATCAGGTAAAGTAGGCATTGAAAAATGGTTTCAAGAATAATAATTACATGCAATGAATCAAGATAATCACAAAAGCCCATATATATCCTAAAACCCCTTTTTTTGTCGAACAAGTGAAGCAAGTAGCTAATTGCGAGAAATCACAGCTTCAACTCTTGCAATACTCTTCTTGCCAATTGTTGATATTGCCATGGATTTCCACTAATTCTCCTGAATTGTAATCCATTCACACCCAACAAGAGCGGCACTTTCACCACATAAATCTCAAATCGAACTGCTAATTCCATCGCCATCGAATTGGCTGTTTGACTGGATGAATTGCCCATACCGCGAGTATTTTGACTTCCTCCACTGCTTTGTTTGCTTGGCACAGGAGGTGGATCACCGGCAGAAGTGGTCAGAATAGGGCTCTGGTTGGAATGCGTGGTCATGACTGGACTTTGAGTTCTGCTTTGCATAAAGCTTGGTGCACCCAAAGAATCTGTACGTTGACGTGATTTGCCCATACTCAAACGTGAAGGTGTAACAGCATCACGGTCACCGGTTTCTGAATTGAGCTCTTCTCGTGTCGTTGTGCCCGCTGTGATACTACTCGTTCTACTTCTAGATTTACTTGCCACAATACCCTTTCGGCCAACTTCGCCTCCGTTTTGGTCATGAGAAGAAATCGCATCGAAGTTTTGCGTAGATCCATTAATGCTTCCAATATCATCATGATTGCTTCCGCCTCTTCTGTCCCTCTTGTTGTGGCTCGAAGCAAACGACATCCTGCTTGGCTTACGTCTAGGCGATCGAATCATTCCTCCTTCAATGCCACCTTCCGAGAAGGTTGGATTGGATTCGTTCAATTCACCCTGAGGTGTAATTCGAGCATTGCCATGACCAGAAGCGACTGTGTTCAGAGCATTAGCATCACCACCACCATTTGCATTGTTGAAAGCGGAAAAGTCCAAACTTGGCATATGCACACATTCATAACCACCTTTCACGTCACGGTATTGCAAGCCAATCCTTTCCAAAACTCTGATCAGGTCTGCATGCAACAATGCTCTAGGCTTTGTGGTCGTTGTTTGAACGCTGAACAATCCCTTCAAAAAGACTGGCTTTGATGAGAAATGGTCAGAAGCAGGAGTGTTTGTATTGGAAACACTCGTGTTACGATTGCCATTCTTGTTGTTGGGTGTTGCGGTATTGTGATCGAATGAGCTTTGCGGTGCTGTGTCAAGTGGTGAGGCTGGGAAATCATCACTCGGTCTGCGTACGCCTGTTGGTGACATCTTTGGCGACATTACAGCATCTGCAGTATTGTTTTGCAAATATTGATTACCACTTGCACGACTCATGCTTGCAGCAGGCGTTGAACGAGGATTGTAACTTGCTCTTCTAGAATCAAGAAGTGTTCCCGCTCTTCTGACTTCCGCGTTGCGAACATTAGACGGGCTTTGATCTTCTTCCATTGCTCTTCTTTCATCAGCTTGACTTTCGTCAACTTGGCCTAAACCGGCAGCTGCTGTGCCTGATGCTGATACACCTGGAACTTGAACACTTGCCCTACGTGTGACCAGTGATCCAGTACCAATACCGCCAGTGCTCATACGAACTTGTCTGCGTTTATCCTTTGCGTCCAATTCCGTTGGTGTAGACGGAGAACGGCCAATGAACGATCCAAATCTGCGCGAAAGTGAGCTACCAGTCGATGGCTGAGTCAAATTCTGTTGAGGTGTAGCTGGAACGGATTCAGACCCAGCACGATTCTCCAACACTTCATTTTCCACCGGACTTAATGCCATGATTGGTGTCACACCAGCATGGAAGCTTCTTCGCTTATCAGGCGACGTAGACGCAACCCTTGACGTTCTAGATGCAATCACAACCTCGTTCTCCAATGGCGTTGGAGGTAGAGGAGATGTTTGGTTTGGCGAAGCTGCTGCATTGTTACCGCTTGCCCTTGATTTCATCGTCATACTTAGGCTACGTCTGTGATTTGAGACTGTAGGTGGAGAAGCGCTTGGTGGAGCACCACTGACTACGTTACGGGCGACAGCTGCTTCTGGTGTTGTGGCATATGCCGTTCCACTCGGACGACCAGCAGCAACATTTGGCGAAGGCAAACCTGCTGAGTTCTTACCACCACGTAAAGCAGCTTCCACTTCATCACCTTGGGCACGAGCACGTGGCGGACCAGTCATATTAGCCAAAGGTTGACTCTTTTGACGTGAATCAAATACGGGGGTAGGCGTCGATGAAGCATTTGAGCCTGCCGTTCTTGCACTCATCGGAGGTGCTGGAAGATCAGGCACAGGTCCATCACGTCTTGACACAGCTGGAATGTGTGAGATTTCGGGGATTCGTAATGCTTCCGTTGGAATATCTGCAGCCGTAGGCATTGACGAGCGATTGATCTCATTCCGATGATTTGCTGATCCTGATGATGGCGTAGGGATCGGTGAAAGCACGTTTTGAGGTATTGGTGGGATTGCACTTGTACCATTGAGCGAGATATTGGAACTGGCAAAGAATGAATGACCATACAATCTCTCCCTCTCCATCTTTTCCTGCACGAGGTAATAGATCGAAATCAGAGGATGGAAACCGCGCGTTGGATCCAACGGCTCTCTACCGTTGGCAAAATTGCCCGAGTTACCACCCGAACTTGAATTGTTGGACCCATTGTTGACAGTTGCACTATCATCTTTTGATCCAAAGAGCGATGATCCACCTAGCTTCTTACGGTAAAAGTCAATACCAGAAAAGCGTCGAGAGTTGGACTTTGATTTGGAGTCCACGCTTGCTCTTGTTGTAGAGCGTCCCAAAGGGGTTGATCCGCCCATATCAGCGGATGAGATCGAAGTGCCGTTTGTGAGACCATGTTTGACTTCCCAAGCCTGTAATGCTTGTTGATAAGCATCGCTCGTCAAAACTTCCAACAATCTTGCCTCAATATCTTCAGGTGATCCAAATTCAAACCCAGTCATACCTTTAATCACTTCTGGGTTCAAAGATTGCGTTCGCAAGGGCTGACGGGTTTGAATGTGAGGATTTGGCGCTCCATCATATCCTTTCACCATCCATGGATGTGCAAGAATTTCCGGCAAAGTCGCACGCATAGAAGGATTGGTGACCAACATGCGCGATAAGATATGCTTGCATTCTCCACTCAACCAAGCAGGATATTCAACTTGTCCTTTCTTGATCTTGGCATGCAAAGCCGGCATACTTTGATCGTCAAATGGTACTTTTCCGCACACCAAAACATACAGCACGATACCGAAACTCCAAACGTCTACTTCTGGACCGGTGTACGCTTTGGCGTTGAGAAGTTCAGGTGCAGCGAAATAGAGTGATCCGCAAAAGGTGTTCAACTGTGAATGAGGTGAGAAGAGATTTGATAAACCGAAATCGATAATCTTGATATTTCCAGTCTTTGAGATTAGAATATTTTCGATCTTCAAATCACGATGTACAATACTGTTGCGGTGACAATACTCAAGCGCACTTCCGATTTGACGAGCAAATTTGCGTGCTGCCCTTTCGCGCAATCGTCCATGACTGATGATGTAGTCCAGCATTTGGCCTCCATTGACATATTCGAAGATCATGTAATAGTGATTTGGATGAATGATCATTTCTCGCATCCCACAGACATAAGGATGATGTAGCAACAGCTGCAAGCTACCTTCGCGAACAGTGCGCACTTCTTTTGAATGATCCTTTGCAGCTGCTTTGGCCAAGAAGCTTGCAGTTGGTGGTGCGACATGCTTTTCCGTTCCATCGGAATGATGAGATGGTCTTGGATTCTGCGCAGCTGCTAAAGAAGTGTGTCTTGGAATGATTTTTATGGCCACTTTTTCTCCATTGCCCATCTTCACACCTAATTTCACCTTTCCCATACTTCCGGCTCCCAAAGTCTTGCCCAATGCATAGTCTCCCAACGTGCGTCTCGTTCTGCGTTCTCTGTCCCTGTCTCTATCTCTGTCTCGTTGCTCCCCTTCACGTTCTGAGTGAGATTCACCTTGCGCAGGTGCGGGAGCTTGAGCTGCTGCAGCGCTATGACTGTGTGGGTTCGAAGCATGACGAGGCGTACCACTTCTACTGTCTGCCGAAGAGCTCATCGGACGATTGAACGCTTGCTCACGTATCCTGTTCTCCATCACACTTTGAGGTCGCATTTGAGAACCAGGTGACATTCCGCGCGCACTTGGAACGCTCGCAAGGGGAACAGAATGTTGCCTTTCATTGGCGTATGATTGACCGCTGTCGTTGGACCCGGTAACCATTTCCAAATTTCGTGCTGCACGCTGAGCATGAAATCTGCGAATATCATCAATGCTGGATCGATTGCTATCTGCCAGAGTTCGGGCTGGATTTGCGTCTGGAGGTGAAAAAGGTGTACCTTCTTGACCAGAAGCTGAAGTCGGTATGACCAAAGGCGCAACAGAAGTTGGATGATGGTGAGACCGGGTAGCCGTCGGAGGAGTGGACGTGGAAGGTGAACCTCTAGCTTCCCGATCGTAAGAATGCGTCCTTGAAGTGTTAATTGGTCGCGGAATGTGTTGAGACGGTAATGAAGACGGTCCTTGATTTAAAGCGTCGATTGCTCGCTCTAGGGCTGTAGTTCCGGCTGCATTACTTCCGTTGGAGAGAGGTAGAGATATTTGTTCTCTGTCCAACATTGCATTTTGCATCGGAAGACCGGGTAGAGGTTTTGCTCCGCCAGGTGATGCGTAGCCCGTCTCACTTGCACTTCTACGACTTGAAGAAGATGTAGGCCTTCTAGCCTGGCTATGACCACTGCTGCTGCCAACTGCGCTACCACTCGTACCTTGCATGCCAGATGGCGTGAGCGTTGGTCCAAATACATCACTATTTTGCTGAGAAGGCGTTCCGTTTGAAGTTGATCGGGCGGCGGCTGAAGAAGCAGCGCTACTTGCCATATGAACGGATTCGTGCAAAGGTGGTGCAACGCTTCCGGCTGCTGTGCTACTTGCAGTGCTGGATGCCGTACTGCCTTGTTGTCTTGACGTATCAGGTGATGGCTCTGCGGACGTTTGCGACGCTCTTGGAGACATACTAGGTGCTCTAAGAGGTGCACTGTTGTCCATCTTTCCCAAATCATCTTCAATGATTGGAGTTGGTCTCATTTGAGCTTCATTTAATTGTTGATTTTCGGGCACACTTGCCAGCCCTCCAGGACCTTCGCCCATACTTGAAATTCCTGCTGTACCGCTTGCCAATCCTGCTGGCTTTTGAACATCATCGGGGTATATGCTATCGAGTAAATCCATTGCTTCTGCTGAACCAGGACCGCTGGATTCTCGTATAGCATGACCCCTAGATGGTGCCGGTAAACTCATGATGAAGTCGTAAAGGCGGAAGAAGGGAAGCTGTTTTGATCACCTCTTGTTTTTTTGGAATTGTTTACTGTTTGTATTCTTGGGATAGTGTCGGTTTAAGCTTTTCTTTTCTTGTTCAAGAAACAACGTACATCTGCCAACAGGTGCACTTTCAAGAATCAATGCTTTATTCGTCGTTACAGTCGTATTCCAGGTATCTCGTATGTCATCCGATCATTGGGCCGAAAAAGGATGAAAAAGGGTTTCAATTCTTGATGAATGGTTCTAGCTTCTTCCTTTGGACTACAAGCCAATCAAGTTGATCTCTTTTCCGTACAATACTGAATGTTTGTCAATGTTGAACGAATACTGATCCGAGATAGAAAAGGGAGATGATATAGAATAGTATAAATGCACCTTTGCCCTTTTTTTCCTTCTCTTTGTGTGAGAGATGCTTGCTTTCCCAATGAAGTGGTCTAAAAATGGATGTGTGCTTGACAGTGTCCATTTGCTTGCCTGCCTGCTTGCTTGCGTGTGCGTGCGTGCGTGCGTGTGTGTGCCCTTGATTGTACGTGTATATATTCATTGATTCGCGCGGCGCACGCGTGCTACTGTGCCCAAAAGGCGGAAATTGAAATAAAATTGCTTACTTTTTTTCATCCATCCGGTCCAGGCTAAGATACGTACTGTATGCCTGCGTGTACAATATGCATTGAATGAAATGCGTGCGCGGCGCAGAACTGTGTCTGGACATACACACACACACACACACTTTCACCCGCCCGACAAAAACAAAAAAAAAAAAAAAGACCCTAAAACATACAGCGAGTGAAGTCTTCAAATAATCACACACTTTCGCTCATATTCAAACTTCGGCCAAATAATCAAATGGTTTTGTTGTTTAGAAGATGTTTGTATTTTAGCGTGCTTTTTCGCATAACATCACCTTAATAGCGCGGAGAAAGGTACAACGTAAAACCGAAGCACCGGCATGATGGATGATGGGTGGACGTGCAGTGCATTACCATCAACCGGTTCACGTTCAACGGATATGACGTCGATCAAAGGAGCTTTAAAGTATTTTCAACGTCCTTTTCTCACAAGACGCATTGATGTTTCCTCCAAGGAACCGCAGATTAATGTAATGCTATTGTTTTTTGCCCTGAGTGACTTTTAGCACGTTTAAGGCACATTTAGCGTGAAAAATTCTCACACACAAAATGAATGCCGCCGCGACAGCTTCAGGCAAAACCGTTCTAGCTGTCATTCGAATTTCAAACTCAGTCATCTTTGGCGTAAAAGTCAACTCGGAATGGTATTTGGATGTGTATAGTAAGCCCGGAAAGAGGGAAAAGAACACATAATAGGAATAAATGAGCGGGATTGGAAAAGAGAATCAAATGAAATATAATCAATGAAGATCGGGTAAAAAGAAGCAAAAAAGGACAGCAAACAAAGAACATTCTATCATGTACACGAATCAGCAACTTGGTCGCAAAGCTGCCGTAAGAGGTCGAACTGGCTTTGTACGCTCTAGCTGCAGAGCATATTCCAAACATTCCCTTTGACGTTCAGGTCTTCCAGTCTGTTGCATAACCTTACTCAAATACAACCATGCTTCAGGTGAAGACCAACCGCTGGTTTGAGTTAAATTGACCAATAATCCTTCTGCCATACTCAACGTTGCTGCTCGCTTTCTTTCTTCTACCAATGCAGAGTTTGTCTCATCTCGATCATCAGCAGCACTGTCTGATTTAGGCGTAGGAGCGGAAATCTTTCTACTTTGCGTCTTTGTCAAAAGTTCTCCTGCCAATTTGCTTGCCTGGAAATTTTCAGTCGTTTGCGGTAAAGGACTAGCAACGTCTTTCAAAGATGGTATTCCCGACTTGATTGCATCTTGTTGTAGGCTCGGGTACAATGGATTGCTAATAAACAATCTTGCCAAATGTACCGCCGCTCCAACGTGGTCTTGCTTGCATGACATTGCTTTGTACAAAGATTGGATCGCCAAACCCGTTGAAGGTTCATCAACGTGCTCAGTAGGTTGTCGTTCAAACCACAAAGCCAATTGTAGCCAAACATCCCCGCATGCAGGGTCCACACGTTCGGCTTCTTGGACGGCGACCCTGCATTCGGATAAACTTCCATTTCGTCTGAATGTAGCTGCTGCCATGAGCCAAAGAGAGGACAACAAAGCAACTTCTTCTTTGTGGTGTCTTGCATTGCGAATCTCAACGCTGGTAATTGGAACGTGGTCATCCTCGCCATCACGGGCAACAGCAGGTTGAGCAGAATTTCCACTAGCGCCTACAGCACCACCATCATGCTTTGATGAAACGGTATTATTTGTTCCGTCCCATAAATTATGACCACTTCCACTATGTCCTAATCCTGTCAAAGAATGGAATCTGTTGCTTGATTGACCTGGTCCATGCAGTAGAGTAGAAAATCTGTGGGTATGATGGTTCTGGGAATGACCGTTGACCACACCAGTAGTACCATTTCCGTTCGCATTTGGACGACCGTTCATCAAAGAAGAAGAGGGGACAATCTGTCTTTGTGCGTGTTGATGCGTCGCCAAGCGGTTATGGAAGAATTCAAAGATCTCCCGTTGTGCTTCAATCGCAGCTTGTGCTCCTTCTACCAATTCTTCTAATGCATTATGCGTAATCATCAAACGAAGAATGCTTTCCGATCTTTGCCTTGAGCTGGGAGGAAAATCGACACTGAGTAATGTCGTCCGCTTTGCGTTTGCACTTGCAACAGGCGAAAGTTTGGACAATGTTCCATTAGCCGATGTACCGTTAACAGCCACAGGCTCGTGGGATTCTTGATCAGCTTCATCATCATCTTCAGCTTCTGCCAATCCTTCTTCCGCTACACGCAAAGCTCCACGATAATCTTTTTGTGCAGAGACCAGCAGAGCAAGCAAGTGCCAATATTCCACTTGAGCTGGTTCCAGTTCTACTGCTCTACGAGCAGATCGAACAGCAGACTTGATATCGTTCAATTCGCTCTGTAATTGGGCAAGCTGGTAGTATGTCTCTGAGCTTTGATCGTCGAATGTGATTGATTGCTTCAACAAGGACAGTGCGTCATCTTGCTGTTGTGGACGTAGTAGAGCATTATTTTCTTGTCTACTGTAAGCTATTCTGACCGCTCCCGAGATACGTTTCGACTTTGCTAAGAGGACGTGATCTCTGCCAACTTCGTTGTTAGCAAGCAACTCACTTGCTTTTCTTGCCAAAGCATCCCCACCTCTTGCATCATGAAGATAAAGTGTATAAACATAAGCTCCCGTCAAAAGGGTATCAATGTAGACTTGATCGGAATCATGGTCTACGTGCACTTCCTGAGCGCTAGCTTTTGCTTCTTCCGATTTCAATGCAATCTTTTGATCTTCTTCGTCTTCGTCTTGTGCTTCTCTGATCACTTTTGTTGGTCCTTCTTTACCTTGCTCTCTTCTCTTGGCTTCCTCTACTAATCCAGCTGCATCAGCAGCATCTCCTTCGCGTGCTTTGTCAACGATTTGAATGTACAGTTGCAACGCTTTCTTGGCTTCTTCATAATTCTCAGCAGCGACCAAAACGTTGAACAATAATCTTGAGATACGTTGAGAGTGGAAAGTGAAGCGGCTGAGTGTATATAGGATATCCACCAATTCGTCTGCTTCAAATCCACCACGTTCTCCGTTCACACGCCATCCTTTGATCAATTCATCGGCAAGTTCAAGTGCCGCTTTGTTCACTTTACCTGCTCGTGGGAACTCTGCTGTGCGTTCCAAACATTCAGCAGCAGTCTTTTGGGCTGTCAAGAATTCATTTGTCCACCAAGATGAAGAAGGACTGAATTCTCTCCAAGGTGCTGGCCTTCTTTTGGATGTTGTTCTTGGACCGATATGGCCGCTGTGATTCTTGCCAGATGAGTTAAGTGTGTTCTTTTGATCGGCTTGTAATCTAGACCTACGTTCACTTTCGAAATCACGCACTTCCACTCTGGAAGCAGCAAGGGCCATCACTGAGCTTTGATAAGCTGCGCTACGGCAATCATCTTTTGATAACTCTACGCCTGCTGGTGGTGATCTGTAAACGCCTGAAACGAGAGATTGATTTAAAACGGCAAGATAGGTGCGGAAGATGACCAGTCTTTGCGGTGTACGGAAATTGGCTGTCCAACGACCTGCATTTGCTTGGTATGCTCTCAAAGCATTCAATCCTAAAGCAGGCGTACTTCCATGACGAACGCTGAAAAGTGCATTACGATACAATGCAGTCTCTCCCCACCTTTCAATTTCATCTGGTGGTAGACCACGTAAAGCCTTTGCTGCTTTTCCTCCACGCAAAGCTTCATGTACATCAATCGAGCTTGCATATCCAGCAAGAGCGAAAGGGACGTAACCTGCATCCTTGCGCTTCTCAAACAATCGTTCGTTGGCCATTCCGTATACTGTGAAGCCCATCATGATGATTGCTGCGGTATAGTCGCCTTCAGCTTGTCCCGATTTGACTGCTTCGCGATCCACATCTTCCAGGAAACGTACTTCATGCAACAATTCAACAGCATTCTCATCTTGACCAGAAGCAAATTGAGCAAATGCTTGCAAAGCTGCTACTGTTTGTTTGGTGAGCGTATTCCGAGCAGAAGAGCGTAATTTGTCCAATTGTTCGATTGCATTTGCGAATCCTTCTCCTGACCATCCTTGACCGGATCCATCAATGGGTAAGATTGGTTCAAAGACAGTTTTGCCAACACCTTTGAATCCTGCAAAATCACTCAAATGCTGAGAATCATCAAAATCTTTATCCTTATAAAATGCAAGAAGGGCAGAACGAATTTGTTGTTCTGCCGTTGCAACGCTTGGAGTGATTTGTTCGTTTGGATTATGTTTCATATACTTTCTTATCAATTCAGCCCAAGGGATATCCTTTCCTGTTCCGCTTTGTTGATTATCTTCCCATTGACCACGTAAACGAGCGGCGTCCAAGGCGCGGGCATAAGTAGCCCCTTTTGCCTGATGTGAAAAGATGGAGGAAGATCGTGAACGAGAGCCAGATCGAGCGAGAGAACGTAAAGAAGATGAGAAAGAAACGGAAGTTCGAAGTGTTTTATTGCGTGGGATCGGAGGAGGCGGTGGAAAGAGTGATCCATTCATTGTTGGTAAAGGTGGAATGCGAGATCGTAATTTGAGTGAAAAGGTTGTATGTCCATCCGAGTTATATTCCGAAGAGCAATATTCGACATCGTCATCAGGTGGACGTTGTAAGGAACGAGAATGTCGATGAGTTGGTGTGCGATTGGATTGCATTGTAGCAGGAGAGGCGTGATAAAGGGCAAGAGAGAGGAGAAAAAAGACGGAATAAGTGTCAGTACGTAATGCATTCCATCCATTGGCGCTCTGTCGGCAAAGATCTGGAACGGCTAAAATACAGATTGTAATCATTTTTCACTTCCGCCCGGATCCGCAAATTGCTGCCAACGTGAACTTGAATTCCAACAAAAGTAGTCTTCTGCATCCATTTCCATCTAACAATACTCACACCTTTAGCTGATGACATGTCCTCAAAGATACCGTTTCGATCAAATCCAAAGTCTCGATAAAATCTCCGCTTTGCTTCTTCAACAGCTTGCAAGGATAAAAGTGATCACCAAGCAAGCTTGATGTATTGGCTTACGGTGTGAAGTTGTCTCTTTGTTTTGCGAGATGACAATGATGTCAAAAGCGAAAGAGACAGGAACACATAAATGTGGAACTACCTACCGGTCTTGGATTAGTACTTGTTTCCCCAGTTCTTCTCACCAAGTAAGCAAGCACCTTTTTCCCGTCCTTTCAAACAATTACTCAATTCACCCACACTCCACTCTCCTCCTTCCCCCCCAAGATCGAATAAAGTTGATTTGGACTGTACCAGTGTTTGATTCAAGAGTCTGATCCTTAGTGTAATCTGGTGTTGGGTATTGTACGCGCTGTGTGTCTGTTTGTCCCTATTCTGCTGTCCTGTCTTTGACTTAGGAGAGACTAGTTTATTATCCTTTCAAACACTTCAAGCGATCTACATACACGCACGCACGGTCACACTCTCAACCGGACATCAAATCAAGTCAAACGCGGTGATGCACTGATTAAGTGCTTAACCGCTTTCCCCCATTCCAAATCTGAAACCTGTTTTCTTAGAAATGCAGTGTGAGAGTTTAATTGTGGGGATCTACTCTCTCTCTCTCAATCAATCAATCAATCATTTCTTTTTAACACCGAAGCCGAACGTGTGAGATGCATTTGATACTTTCTAGCTTTTTACTGGTGCATCACAACACGTTCAATCCCACGCCCGCTGTTCATGGTATGATATGAATTGATTGTTTGATAGTATACAATGTCTGAATAAGAGACGCAAATGAGATAAAGCACACAAGAGTATATATATAAAGCGCTTTGGGAACCATGTCTGAAAGAAAAAAAGAGAAATCAAAATCATGTTGTGTCAAAATAGAACAACTTTCTACGTGATGGGTCGTTTGAATCTTCTGTTGAAGGTTGTTGTTGTTGTTCTTCAACTCGTTTGGAGATACCTCGGTTGGGTATACTGATATTATTTTGTTGTGTAGGCTTGTGTTCTGCTTGTTTGCCTTGTACCACAGGAATCAATCCTTGATCGTTTAAAGCCCATCCATTATCATAACGATCATGTGTAGGCTGACGATTGGGAACGTCTAAGACAGGGTACAATTTCACAGGAGTAGCACTTTGTCCATCTTCCGTTGCATTGGCCGGCGTTTGAGTTCGTGAAGGAGGTCGTAAAGGAGCACCCAAAGGGAATCCATATTGATCAACCATTACCGTTGATCCTTGTCCACGCATAGACATTCCACTTTGTGGTCGTGTTGGTGGAGCAACCAAATAGGATCTTCGATTTAATGATCTTGATTGCATGAAATCACGGCCACTCAAATCGTCATTTGTCATCTCTTCGCCCTTCAACTGTGCTCCGCTCATTTCACCACCATGTTCTGGCACACGAGGTGTCGACATTCGAACAGGGGTTGTAGAATGTCTTCCCTTGATTTGCGCATTACCATGAGGATGCATTCCAAGCATTCCAATCGTACCCAATGGAATTGCACCTTGCGAACGATGGTGAGAAGGTTGCAAAGATTGACGACCGCTGTGATGGTGATGATGTCCAGTATGGTGATGATGATGGTGGTGGGGGTGATGTGAATGATGGGTTGGTCTGCCCATATTGGAAGAATGATTGCTACCTGTACTTCGCTCTGCCATCATATTTGGTGCAGGTGGACCAAGAGGTGTCAAAGCACCCCAGCCCAATCCTGCTCTGCGTGGACTGGTGCCAAAGCTTGCTGCCGCCATCCTTCCGGGGCTGGTACCGTATTCTTGTAAGCCGACCAAAGAAGCATTATGCGATGAGCCTCTTCGCAAGCCAGGTGTATTTGATCGAACAGGTGGCAGAAGAGGTGAATCAGGCACAGAATCGCTTCTTACACTTGTAGACGAATATGTTCGACTTCCTCTCATGCCTCCTTGCAAATTTGCATTGCTAGAATGCCTTGAAACACCCAATAGGGGTGGCAAAACAGCAACATCTCTACTTCTCTGATGACGATGAGCACGTTCACGTTCAGCCTTTTTACGTGCAAGTTCACTTTCGGTCAAGCCATGTGTTGATGCAACAGATTTGGATAAAGAGACGGCACTTTCATTGTCATCCATAACGTCACTTCCACTGTTCTCTTTCCTGTCTTCAGCACAACGCTCGCCAGGAATACCACCTCGTCCGATCTCATTGGCAAATGCAGGCACATCTCCACGTTTGATGGTAGGACGTTTGATCAAACTTTGTGTTGGAGTAGGTTCTTCAGTGCGAACGCCATCCGAAGTTTCTGCTGACGGCGTGATCATTCCTCTGTCTTCACTTTTGTACGAGTATGGCTCGTACGTGGAATCCCGTCTACCGTTGCCATCACTGGGAGGAGCACCACGTAGCGTATTCCAGGCTGCAGAAATTGAGCTTCTAAACCAACTGTTGCCACTGCCTCCAGAATCACCTTGACCCGAATCTCCATTCGTAGAAGATCTGCGTTTTGCTTCAATTTCACGGGATTGGCTAGACAACGTTCTTTGTGCAGCTGCACGGGCTTGGGCGCTCTTCAGTGTTCCAACGGCACGAGAAGTTGAATTGGAAGGGTCGAATGGAGCAGGGCTATCGGTAAATCTTTGCAAGTGTGCTCTTGATAGTTCTGCTGCCGGGAAATTTTCACCGTTGATTGTCGCATCTACCATTGATGTGCGGCTTGGTTGGCGTCTTTCCAAGAATGATGGATTGTGCAACGAAGTTGAAGGTGGTGCTGCAACAGTGAATCCACTGGAAGCGCCATCTTCTGTCCTCTCGCTTGCAATACTACGAGAAAGAACAGTGTTTGCATGTGGCTGTGGACTTGTAGCAACATTAGATGTGACATCAACTGAAGCCATACCACGATGATCACCGTGTCGCAATAATCGTAGTGGACTCGTTGTTGATGCTTGACTTGTACTGAGCGAGTCTGATACTACTTGATGTCCATTTTGACTACGAACAGCAGTTCCGTTCGAAGAGCCGGAAGTGATAGTAAGGTGTTCCATACTGCGATTCAACATTCCTTCCGGCGTCACAGTTCCAGTCGTCGTTGAGCCCCTGCCTGCGTCTGAAGCGATCACACTTGCAGCCGTTGAATTTGCTCTTGCCCTTGCTTCCATCGTGCTCGACATTCTACCGCCTCTTACCCGCGGCTCCCAAAGATCGCTTCCACTATCAGAGCTACGGGCACTGCTTTCCGTTCCTGTTTGGCTCATGGAATCACGATGTGTGTGTAAATGGTTCAAATCGTCCCGTATACTGTTGCTCTGACTTTTGCGTTTGGAATTTAGACCCGTTTGAACGTTTCCAAAGTAGTCATTCCTATGTCCTCCTGGAGGATACAAATTTTGAGGTGTAACGATTCGTCCACTTGTTGTGCGTTGCTTGTAACCCCGCGGTCCATATTGGTAGCTATTAGAGCTTTCCGTTGTATCGCTCGCTCCGCTAGGTACAGTGCCACCGGTACTGTTTTTCTCCATGCATTCGGGGCAGTTGCATTCGCTTTCTGGAGGTGTGATTCTGTATTCTGATGGGTTCAAAGCCAAAGCAGAAATGTTGGGATTCGATGCACGGGAAGACCAGGCACCATAGCTCCCCGAAACAGATGTTTGCCAAGGGGCTGTGGGTGATGTAGGTTGATGCAAATAGTATACCAATTCACCCATTCCCGATCCACGTTGTTCATCGATCGTGCGGCATCTTTCTGAGCAATAAAGAGCTGGTGGCGCTTTACTCTTGGCAGTTTCAAGGTCTTCTTGTTGTTTCAATGCGGCTGGCGTGAGACCATCCATAATACCGCCCTTCTTGGTCCTTGGCAAGTTTGTTGTCGGGCTCATGGGCGAAGAGGGTCCACTGCTATTTGCACCTACACCGCCACTGTTTCCAGAACGTACGCTGACCGTTGAGCTCCTCCTAGACATGGCGGGACTCTTAACTCCAGATGTGTTGCCATCAGCGGGACGAGTATTCTTCCCGCTATCTGGGTTCAATTTTGTCGTTGGCTTCAATTCGCTGAGTGCATTCAATCGACTGCCTGCACTTCCCGTTCTTTTCGAAGGTCCGAAACCGGTTTGACCACCGACAGCATGAATTCGACCCGCTGAATGCGTTCGTTTTACATTGGATCCAGTACCATCCGAAGAGGGAGGCCGCGCTTTGATTGTGCCTGATTTGCTTTTGAGACCGCTCGATGAAGTTCGGGAAATGCTAGAAGTTGGAGAATGGAGCGATTGTTGGGAAGGGTTTTGGGTTGTTTGTTGTACAACTTCATCTCGTTTTGCATTCAAGCCTTGACCTGGCTCGATGAGAGTATCACATATGGAACAGTAGTTCTGTGTCCAAATATCTTGACCGTCCATCTCAAAAGCGGCGGCTTCTTCATCTTCGCTATCTTCATCAGAGAAAGCACCATCGTCCCATTCAACTTCAATCTTTTTCTTTGATGACGATGAAGCAGGAGGGGCTGGACTGATTTGAGAAGTGTTTTTCGATTGTTCTTTTGATGTTGATGGTTGTCCAAGTTGTGATCGATGAGGATGTTGTCCTTTATGTTGATTGTTAAGCTGAGCAAGCGCAGCAGCGCGTTGTCTTTGAGCAGCAGTTGGCATCTTGTTCAGAGATGACAGAGAGACCAAAAAACGAAAAGATTTGAGGAGCTTTGCGATACTATCGCGCTCAGTATCTTAATGTATGTTCACCATATGTATCGATTTCGAGGAAGAGAAAACAGAGATTTCCAGAAATGGATCGAAAAGCAGCTGAAAAAAAAAGAGTAGATTTTCCGAGATTTGCTAATGAAAGCGGATAGGGATCGCCTTTTGATGAAAGTGAATTTGATAATCGGCGATTGCGATGATGAAAAAGAGATAATCCGAAATGATGGATAGGAGATGAAGGGGAAAGGCAAGATACACACGTCCGATCTAGAAGTACAAGAAACGCCCAAATGATTGGGGTTGCATTGAACGGCCAGTTTTACGCCGTGTCGGCATTCTACATCCTCTGCGCTTTAGGACAAAGTGACACACACACGCACACATACACAGCCCGTTTAAACACGCTCAATCGCGTCTTTTCGCCTTTTGCAAACGCAAGAATTGAAAGTTCAGCCGGTAAAATCCCGGTTGACAAAAAAAAAAACACAATGAGAGAGAAAAAAAAAAAGGTGGCGCATTGAGAACATTCGCATTCCAGCTTTGATCTCCTATTCCCCCTGAGACGACCAATTCCATCAATGAAGGAATATCTTTTTCGAAATGAGCCTTTTCGGGCAAGACCTCTTTTTTTCCCAAAGATTATATTAATTCATATGATTTATTGCATATCTGCCGGCGTTTCATAGTCATGAGAAGATGCATGTTTATCTTTCCACGATGGCAACCAGCCAACTGCGGTCTTTAAAGCCATAATAAAAAGGTTATTATTTAGTCATCTGCGCTGCGCTGCGCATCGAGCGTGCCTGATACGGCAAGTTTTCCTCAAATAGAAAGGGTATCTGTCCCCCCCTTACTTGCCTTTTTTCGATGGACACACAGACAGGTCCCTGAATAAAGAAGTGTCAGCCTAGATCGGCCGCTTTTTTTAATTTTCGACAAGCAATTGACATGTTGTTTAGCTTGATGCAGTAATCATGCAGAGCTTGCGTGCGAAGTACGATGCTTTATTTATGCAAGCATACCAATCATTGAATGAACGCGTGCCTAACCAGCCAAATGCGTATCAAGTAGTTATTGCGCGGCATCAAGTCATGCATACGCTCATTTTCAAGGCGAGTAAATGTGTAAATGTGCAGTGTGCTTTGGTGAGCGTCGATTCACACACGGAAGTTGAAAGAATCGCGACAACAAAAGGGATGGCTGAGATTAATTAATTAAAACGGCAAATCGCGGAAGATGATGAGCACGACGAACACGTTCCTCTAAGAAGCCCGCAAAGAAATAAGAATAATAAGATTATGCACTAAATGCATGATGCATGGATTGGGGGTGTATCTTTTTGGCTAGTCCTTCTTTTGCCGGTGAATTAAAGTCTTTATGCATAATCCAAAGCCCGTTTACTTCTCACGCATTATCAGACTAACTCAAGTAAGTAAAACTCGGGAACTAAGGCATCTCTCGCGAATAACCGGCTCAAAGTACCGATGTCCGGACACGATCAGCTGTAATCTTTCGTCTGAGCAACAAAATCTAGAATATTATGTGAGGATCAAAGTAAAAGCGTATTGATTGTTAACAAAAGAGACATAAGTGCTAAGGCACAACCTCGGAGCGGCCCACGAACCCGCGTCCATCGCCCCGCATAATCAGCCGAAAATGGACCGAAATATGAGCGTGCGCAGCGCTGCCCCGAGGTAAAACAATTAACCCTGCTTAATTCCAATTAAAGGTGATACACGAATATGATCAATTCTCATCACAAACGACGATTCTTATCACTTCCCTGATTAGCCATACTTTCTTACAATGAATGAATTGATCACCATAATTACTCACCCATTGCCAGATCGGGCTTCTACCAATTTATATGTAGAAAGGGCTTACGTAAAACTGTATGATTGCCACGTACATTTGTTTGCGTTCAGCTTGATCAGTCGGGGTTTTGCCAATTTGAACATTGACGCCGTTCAAGAATGCTGTACTCTTATTCAACGAAATCATTCAATCTCATAGGGTATTTAATGTAACATTTCCGTGTGTTCACATGATTGTTTCTCCTCTTTAATCGTGCTAAAGATGAACTTTCTTGTCATTTTACTCCCAATCACGCTTGCTGTTCTACAAACCGTGAGAGCAGCAGAACAAGGTCATGCAGTGATGGGATATCCAGCTCATACACCAACAAGTCCACCACGCCGCCCTAGAGTTCCGTCTGGTCCGCAACCTGAAAACTCCATGAGAAAAAAAGTATGGGAACATTGGGAAACACAAGCAGAACGATCATCGAATGCAGCACGTCAAAAAACTGTTGCACTCACTCTTGCTGGACATACGGCAATCGGTATGGCTAAACCTGTTGCAAAATACGCTTGTCAAACTGCATTATGTGCTGATCCATCTCATAAAGAACAAACAGAACAGGATATTAAGACTAGACTTAGGATTGGAAAAGCTGCCGTGAGAGCAACTTTGGATAAGACAGAACGAGATTTCGACTATAGCAAAGATCAAAGAAAGACTCATTTTCACAACTATAGAGAGGTGAAGAAAGCAGAAGAAAGAGGTGAAAACGTTACACCGGAATTTAGAGAACATTATTCTGCCGAAAAGAATCAATTGGAAAAACAATAAATTGCAAAAGAAAAACATACATTTTATCAACATTCCAAGTATCTCAAAAATCTGGTCAGAAATCCTTACAATTATCCTCCCAATGCACAAATTGAGTATCCTAGCCATGATGCTTGATCGCCATGTATTTTGCTTTCATCTTTGTTTTCCTTTTCTGTTTCTCTATTGACATCAATAATATATTTACTCAGACTCAAACTCAGACTCTGTCTATTGTATATCTCGGCGCCTTTCCATAAGAATGAAAAGGACGGAAGCGACATCATTTCCTCTCCTTCTCGGTTACTTTAAGCTGTGTGCTCTAATGCTGATATGCTGTTTGCTTTAAACGCGCCGCGATTAAGTGCATTTTAGTATCATCATCATCAATACCACCAATCAAAAAGGCGCCGAATAATGAAATTTCACTCGAAATAACCGAACCAATCTGTTCCTGCTTCAGGAACAGCTCAAAACAACCCTTTTGCTATCGTCAAACATCTTTTTTTTTCTTCTTTCCCACCGTCTTCAACAAGATCAAAACGCCAAAAATGATGAAAGTCTGTTTAACCAATCTATTCGTTATTTCTTTCTTCTGCAGTATTGCTAGTGCCATGGATATGAGCGGCGGTCGTCCAGGATCCGGTCTGATCGGCTACGGCATCAACATGTATAAACCATACTGTGCTTCTGCTTGTCATGATAGCATCCCTTTGAAAATGCATTGTGAAGATGGTTCAGATACGATGCCAATGTCAGATGGAGAAGCTCCAATGCCTTCAGCAGAATGCATTTCTACAAGCACGCCTTTTTTGCAATCCGTCGCTTATTGTGTCGATCAAAAATGTCCTTCATCACTCACTCTTGATGCAAGAAATCATTGGTGGACGTATAATATGATCGGTCGTAAATTGGATCAACCGAAACCGAACATAACATATGAACAGGCGTTGCAATCAATCAAGTTTTCACCTCCAACTGCCACACTTTCATCTGACGGTGTTCTGAATTCACCTGTACTCGTTAATGACACTGAATACGTCTCAAATTACCACGCCTCACTCAGCTTTCAAGGGGCAGAACAAGCTCATTCAGCCACAAGGTGAGTATAGAAGATTATTGCTCTGACGAATAGCATTTACTGACCGCACTCTTGATCGTCTCTAAGCATTGCTCTAATCTTCATATGCATACTTGGTCCTATCTCTTACTCACTTTTGCAGACTTATCTCAAGGTTCCCTCGCAAGTTTCGCAAAAGCTCAATTTTGACGCATGGCGATCCCCACAATATCGCTTCAAGCTGCCAATTATTGGCAAGTCAACAGCGCGATTACCAACATACGGTCAAATGCTTGCAGTTGCCTTGATTTGGATCGTCAATATTATTCTTTCGTCAGTTGGCTATCGATCGTATCAACCTAATGCATGGTTTTCTTCAGCCCGCTTGGAAATTCTTACCTACGTCACCAATCGAACAGGTGTTTTATCATTCGTAAACATAGTTCTGCTTATAATTTATGCCGGTCGGAATAATCCACTTTTAATGGCTACAAATTGGTCACGGTCAACGTACATCTTGCTTCATAAGCATGTTGCCGTTATTGCTACAATTACGGCATGCTTACATTCAGCAATCTACCTCCAAATCAAGCTGGCTAACGGAACGCTTTCGGTCGAACAAGTTCTACCGTATTGGATTATGGGAATCGTAGGTACTTTGGCCATGACGGTACTCTTACCGCTTTCGGTTAAATCCATTCGAAATGCGATGTACGAAATATTCTTGATTGTTCACATCCTCTTTGCCATTTTGGCACTTATCGGTTGTTGGTATCATATCATCTTTCGATTTCAACATCAGTGGGGCTACGAAACATGGCTATATGTTGCCTTTGCTGTTTGGGGTGCTGAACGTGCGGTTCGAATCGGTAGACTTTTGATGTATAGTGGTTGGGAGAAAGCTATCGTTGTACCGCTTGACGAAGATTATCTCAAGATCATCGTTCCTACAGCGCAACAATCACCATTTGAAGGTGGTGTGATTTATGCATATTTTCCCACTTTATCTTGGCGACCGTGGGAAAGTCATCCGTTCTCTGTTGCAGGCCCAGCATTAGAATGGATGACACCTGCCGAGAGCAAGACTGTAAAAGAAAACGTTGCAAGCTCTCCCGATCTTTGCGAAAAAGGGATCATACAATTGGACAAAACTCAAGATGGAAACCTCACCAGGGAGGCAGAAATCACTCAAGAATCACCCGCTTTGAAAAGTGATGATACGGATTTGCTTGCAACTGAACATGTTGAAAAGTATGAAAAAGACTGGCATATTTCGAACGCAGTGTCAATCAATAGAGGTATCACCTTCTTCGTGCGAGTCAGGAATGGTACGACAAAGCGGCTAGCAGAAAAGGCGAAACAACCTCGTGCACAAAATGCGAAAGCATGTACTCTGCCAGTGTTGCTAGAGGGAGCATACGATCGGGGTGAGATTGGAAGCTACTCAACTCATGGTATCTTTGCAACAAAACTGCAAACAGGGCTGAGCTTGACAAAGACAACCCAATTCTCGAAAGTTGTTTGCATTGCTGGAGGCGTTGGGATCACGGCTCTCATGCCGATGCTCCATAAAGCTGCTAGAGCACAGGATGCACACTTACCCACTGTGTCACTTCATTGGAGCTCTAGAAGTGCTGCCTTGGTTGATACTATCTCTTTGATGCTAAAAGTATCCTCAAAAGCTGTCGTGAACGAAACTGAGCGACGGGGCAAAGTCGGTTTGCTTTCATCACATTTCGTGATCGGTCAACGCTTGGAAGCAAGTGAAGTGCTTGAAGAAGAAATCAAAGGGGCCAAATCAGACGAGTGTCAAATCTTGATCTTGGTCTGCGCCCCTTCAGATATGGCTAAGGTCTATCAAACCCGCGTGGCAGCCTATCGACGATCGGGCTACGCCTTGACATATCATGAAGAGCAATTCACTTGGTGATCTGTTAACGCCCGTGCGATGGCGAAGTAAATTGTCCGGAAAATGATCGAGAATGAGATAAAACGAAGACCCGAGTGCTTGGCTATGCCCTAGAGTGTGAGCGAGCGCCAAGAGCTTGTCTTTTGATTAATATGATGCGACTTTCGGCATTCAATACACTTAAGTTCCTGTCTTTTACCATGTTAGTCATTCACGATAATTTGAAAATGCTGGTCATTCTCTCTTACGTGCTCGTCTTTGCGTCTTTTCTTCAACATTATACAGCCATTGCTGCACCGGGAGCGGCACTTTCCCCCTCAAGCTCTTCTGTTGGTATGGGTAGCACTTCGTCTTTTGGCGGCAGTGATAATATTCCTGGGCACCATTACCCTACACGAAGACCTCAACAAAAAAGTTTCATAGCAACAAAGAGTAAGATTTGGGATAGAAAGGAAGTAGAACAACAAAGCACAAACAATGCCTTGCGAGCTCATACAGCCGTTCTAACGACGGCCGGTAATGCAGCCGCAGGAGTTGTGAAAGCAGGGGTTAAACATTTGGGTAATAAGATGAACGTAAATGCGACGCCTGAACAAAAGGCTTACTCGAGAAGTGTGTTGAGAGATGCAAGACGTAATCTTGTTTCAGCACCGAAACAAGTTCATAAGGAAGCTTCAGAGATGTTAGAGAGTAGCAGGGTAAGAAAACATATCGCCGTGCATGATTATCACCAAGCAAGAAAGGGCGCAAATCCTTCTCATTTAAACCCTTATACAAGGGAAGAAAATAATAAATTAGCATCAAAGTATCATAAAGAGAACAAGGATTTTTACGCAAAAGTACATGCTAAAAATCATGATTTAAGTCATCCGGGTACTGTTCAAGGCCATGCTGTCGGATATCCGATAGGCGTTGCAAAAAAGGTTTAATATTATACGCACCTTTGTAAGCCCCTTGATGGGCTCAACTTTATAGGCAATATCATCTATACTCTGAGTTCACTACAATGATTATCACGGGGATATGTCGATTGGGTGTGTCGAGGCTTGCAATTTCACGGGGCAGAATACCGAGAACTGCAGCCACTTTTCTGTGTACACATATCAGCATTCTTTTATCCTAAAAAGCTGTTCATTTGCTGCCCAAGACTTTTGCCGACAGTCTTCACGAATATGTCATGTTTTTTGTACATTGCACACAAGATGAAATATGTTCTTTGTTTGATCGCTTATTTTTCTGCGATTTGCACTTTTGCAGAAGCAGCATTTAATCCTTCACCCAGTCCTGCCTTTCTTTCCTCTGAAAAGCATGAAAAGGGCGTTTATGATCATGCAATGGATCGTTTGAATATCGAACGAGAAAGGGGACGACATGGAGCGCATTTACACGTTCAACGACTCACAGCAGGCGGAAGTCATTTGGTCAAAGTGGCTCAAACTGGTGTCAAGCACGTTTGTACTTCGATTAACTGCAAAGCGACAAAAGAAGAAAAACAAAAAGCTGCACAAAATTGGCAAAAGACTAAGGCTGAAGGCTTCAGTGCTGCAAGAGCAAATCAGAAGCAAGCAAGTAAAGTTATTTTTGATTCTTTTACCAACCAAGAAAATATTCAGCGAGATATTCACACAATTCGCGAAGCGCAATCACACGGACAACGGGTTCCACAAGAATATCATGATCGATACAATGAAAACAATAACAAAGGAGCTGCACATGCTTTGGCAGAAGAAAAGTCTGCAAATTGGGCTCGAGGTCAACACCGTTCTAGAGCGGCAAGACAAATTAAATGACCTGCAAATCATTTTAGCACATATTCAGTATTGTTTTATTCAAGCTCTTCTCTTAATCAATCTCATTTGTCTGACCATTTAATGTGCGAAACATGTTTGTCTGCGGCTTTATACCGCATTCAGATTGCCAGACCTGATGACCCGACTGAGGGGCTTTGTGACTCGTGGCGAAAAGGCGAAAAGCGAAAAAGCGAAAGTCAAATTTGTACAGCCCCAAAATTCGTCCATGCACTGCGATGCTATGAAAAATTGGTTTGTCAGAACAAAATATCATCACCAATCTTCAAACTACCAACGCTAGCTACGAAATGCATTTGCATCATTATTTTCTGATTTGTTACACTTTCGTAATCTTCAGTCTTGTTCGGCCAGCGACGCCTCCATCATCACCAAAAGGTGGGAGCAGCCCAATATTGGAGCGCTTTCATTCGACGCAATCATCTTTTGGGAGTCGTCGTGATGATGTTCACACTTCATCACATCCAACAGCGCCGAGCTCTTCCGGTTCAAGTAGCCCTTCTCACTCGCCAAAGAAGCAATCTAGGCCTGTGACAATAGCAAGAAAGATGACTGCTGCACATTCTGCTGGAGCAGCACATTCGATCGTGAAAGCAGTAGTGATGACGCCAACGCAATTTTGTGCTGGAGCAGCAGGTTGTATTCGACAAAGGATTGCACATGAAACACTAAAAAGGGATCCTAAAGCAACACCAGAACAAATCAGTCAAAGCAAGGAAACGCTACGAGATCAACGTAAACATATGATCAAAGCGCCCGTTGGAGAGATTATGACGGGAGCCAGGAATGCAAGACAATTTATGCATTTAGCAGGCCAAAGTCACCAAGCAGCAAGTGATTTAAAGAAACAAGAAATCCGTCAAAGTATTGTTACGACTGCAACTAGAACGACGAACGGAATGGATAAATTTTCCGATCAAGCATGGAAAGATACAAAGAAAGAAATAAAAGAACATTCTGCTCAACAATGGAAAGATTCTGGTCATATAATGAAATTAGGAGCAACGGGAAAAGATTCACAGTATTCCCTTGGCCATTAAGACATATACAGCACAATCACTAAGCGGGATTTGGACGTCATAAAAACCGTTGCGTGCGCAGCGCTTCCCTTCCCCAGAAGGATTTTTAGCGCAACGGTCGGAAAAACCTCCACTCAACTTTCAAACTTGTTAACTTGATTAAAGTTTTAGCAAAACGTTTAATTCTTACCATCATATTCACATAACAATGGCAGCACTAATTCCAGACATCAAATCATTAGCAGGCAGTTCAGCCAGCAAACCAGCCAAAGTGCCTCAAGTAGGCGAAAAAGCACCACAAATTGAAGGTATAAACTATACATCTTCATCACATATCATTGCTTTCGTTCGTCATTGTGGTTGTCCGTTTGCCGAAAAAGAAGTTCGTCAATTAGCTGAAATCAGTAAAAGCCATCAAAATATCCGCATTGTTGTCGTCGCTCATTCGGATGAAAGCGTCGTGCAAGATTGGTTCAAACGAATTGGTGAACCACACTTTGATAAACAGGCATTAGAATCCAGAGTTACTGTCAAAGCAGATCCGAATTACACACTCTTCAATGCCTTCGGAATCGGTCAATTGGGCTGGACGCAATTGTTCACAAGACAAATTTTCGGTTCTCTGAAGAGCTTGGCAAGTGAAGGGATCAAAAACACACAAACAGGTCATGGTTCGAACAGATGGCTAAATTCCGGCGGCTTTGCAATCGATCATGGAGGTAACGTTCGATGGGCAAAAGTAGCAGAACAGGCAGCAGACGTTTGCAATTACGAAGAGGCTGTCAAGACTGTTGCTTAAGATTAACGTTGTCTATATCTCACAGAATTGTGAAAGCCAGCGCGCGGCTTTTACGCACTTTTGTCAAAGATGTTTGTTATAATGATACAATCTCTAGGGTATTAGCAAATGGTGTATACCTCTCTGTCGAAGCGGTCATGATTATAGTTGACTTACTGCGGCGCAGGAGCTGCAGAAGACCATGAGTAGATTTGTCGATCCAGACGCCATTGAGCTGAACGTTGCGAATGAATATCTGAACTTCCTTGAATTTGTATTTTAGCTGTCAAGGTATACGATCTGTACTGATTCACCTCACAAAGCATCGTTCCTATCAACGTTTGACCTTTGTTGACCGCCAATGGTTCCCGTAACAAGAATCGAACTTGTTGCCAATGTGTTGGAGTTGCATATGGGCTTGTTGTCATGTAAGTAGATGAGACGGACGGGTCCAACTGTGTCGTATCAGACATGCCCGGTTCCCCTGCATTGCCATTCAAAGCTGCAAGATCGGCTATAGCGGATAAAGTAGACATGTTGAGCGTAGTGGCATCGTTGTTGGAAGAAGGTTGATCGCTGCCTTGGTTTAGAGACATTTCGAGATCGGGTATCATGGTAGACGTATCGCTACCATCTGCGAATGTTGCGCCAGTCATTGGTGAAGAAGACGGCAAAGGAAGAAAGTGAAGATCGAACCAGCCACCTAACCCATGTACGACAGCTGTTTGTGTCATCTGGAAGCTCAGAGGGATAGTGAAGCGTTTCAGGTTCTCTTTTGAGATTGTTTGGAAATCAATCTGATAATCGTTCGATGGTGTCAGCACGATCAGAGGACCAAAGCATCCAACAACAGGAGACGAGAAGGATTCTTCCCATGCTGCTTCAGAAAACGGTGTGACATCTACGCCATAGAAGTTTCTATTGTCCCAGAATCGTGCCTTGTTCGCTGCTTCTTCCCATACCACTTTATCTTCGATTGGAGCTAAACAGATTGTACCGCTACTTGGGAGTACTGAACCACCTGGCTTGAGGAATCGATCTCTTGCATCAAGGAAGCTCTCACACATCCTCTCGTGCACCAGAAGTACACCAAGGCATTCTGATATTATCGTATCCACCTTTTCCACTCCATCACCCAGCGTATCGACAGTTACATCTTCCATCTTTGAGCTGACTGGCTTTATCCGATCTCCTAACCAGGGGTTCAAAGTTGAGCCATCGAATTGAGGTTGCTTTGATGCATTTACGAAATGTTGTAATCGTTCTACCATATTTGATGCTTCGATTGCATAGACCCTCTTTGCACCTGCTTGAGCAGCAAAGATGGAGAGTATTCCATTTCCTGCTCCCACGTCAATAACATACTTATCTTGAAAGCATTGTGGTCCATGTCCAAAGATTGCTTTTTGATAGGCTGTTGTTCGAACTGAATCTTGTAACATTTGTGCTTGATGACTCAAGAGAGCATAATATTGAAAGTATGCTGTATCACGATCATTATCTTCTTCTTCGTTGGGTACATTGACAGCCTTGCTTTGTGTTATTTGTTTGCTGTCATGACCCATTCCGTTTGTGGAAGTTGTAGAGGTAGAAGGTACACCTGAAGTAGAAGGAATAGAAGCGGATGAAGATGATGCCATGTTTGCCCTAGTTCACCTACCCTCTGCTCGTATTCATGCGACAGGTTACTCGAGGAAGGAAGCAGCGAATGGAATGCTTTGCTCCTACAGAGAAAGGAAGAGCATAAAAAACAAAAGATAGCACGCGAATAACCCTAATAAGCATCATCCGTGCGCAGCGCAGCGAAGAGCAGAGCGGCTAATGAACAGCTGCCAAGTCTAACTAAAGGCTGTGCCTACCAATCATACAGTACTACTGCTAATGACCTAATAGAAGATCAACAGATTCGGCCAGGCTGGCGAGGTAAGATCTGCATACATTTTAAACATATATTTCAACAACATGACTTTGGCTCGAATTGAGAATAAGAGGTAAGAGATTGTCTGATTCACTCATGAGCAAAAAGCTGAGAGACTGCGGGATGTAATGACTGAGGAAGGTACCGGATTTCCGACACGCGTTAGGAAACGAGACCCTGTGTACTGATCATCCGTCAATGCATTACGCTCCTCCTTTAAAGGTTTAAATTTAGCAGCAACAACAGTACCGAAAATTCCTTTGGGCGCTGCGCTTTGCTTGTCAGAAATAAATCAAGTTCATTCAGTGTGTTACCCGAGAAAAAGGGGTGATACCAAAACAGGGCACAAAATAGACAACATTTTAGCGTGTAAATTGTCATTTAAAGCTCATTGCCGCTGTTATCCTCCTCATTTCATGTTTTAACAATTAATCAAAAGCTCTTGAATAACATCTCAATATTGTATACAGGACTGTGTCTCATTGTCTTACACATGAAAGAGCAGAGCATGCATGAGCGTTTGGACTTACGCGCAGCGCTAAACATGACAACCTTTTTGCGGTGATGGGCCTATAACATTTTTTTTCTCTTTCTCTGGCTCTTCAGCTTAGCGTTACTTAGAGGCTTGAAAAAGTGCCAATATATGCATTGCCATTAAACTGCCATCATCAGTCTCAAAAAAGGTACCTTTTCTCCATACAATTCAAGCTTCTTCACTGTAGATCATAAACAAAAGAAGCAAACAAGGAGAATTGGAAGGCCAGGTGCCAAGAAGTTCACATCATCATTCTCTCAAACACTTTGACGTCATCAATCACACATTCGTTCCCTCTTTCCGCTCATTTTCAACTTCATCATTACACATTAATACTCTCAAACATCATTCACACATCTTAAAATCATGACATCCTCACCTCTTATCTCCGGCCCTGACTGGCAATCATTCGTTCAATCTGCTACCAGCAAAGCAGGTGCAAGTGGCAGCAATCTTGCAATTCCTTCAACTTCATCACCTCCGCCTTTGGCTCGTCATTGGGGTCCCAATAGCCTAGGCGGCGAGGCTTTGCAAACGCCAGTACGATCTGATGTACAAAGAAGAAACAGCAATATCACCGATCCTATCGGTTCACGTCCTGGTTCACGTGCGGATCCTGGAATTTCTCCTTCGCATTCTTCGCAATACGGTGTTAGTGCAAATAGCAGTGGTACTTCTTTACCATCTTCAGCCAATAGCAGTAACAAAAGATTGAATTCAAGACCAAGTGCTCATGCAGCAGCTGGCGTGATGGCAGCTGCGAATTCCGCCGCTGCCAGATCTCGTGCTACATCGCCTGCCATCTCAAGTTCTGACGGACATACGAGCATGATGGGTTTAGGAACGTCATACCATCAAAACTCGCTTCGCTACGATCAAGCCAGCAGTTCACCTTCTTTCATCACTGCGAAAAGTAACATGCCCGGCATGGAAGGCGTTTTTGCAGCTTCGACTGGAGACAGCATTTTCCTTGGTGACCATAGAGGACTTGCAGGCACGCCAAAATTGGTCGTCGAAGAACCAGAATCAAATGGTCGTTTGGCATCTGGTGCAGACAATGACTTACCCAATAGTCCTTCAGGCGATTTGACAGCCTCGTTTACTGGAATGATGAATCGCTCAAATGATGCACAGAGAAATGGAGAAGGTTCAAATCAATTCGGACAGAACTCTTACACTACGAGACAGGCAGCTCCGCAACCTCTTCGTTCAGAGTCATCATCCAATTTGCCCTCGTCTTCATTCTCTTCTTCTTCTTTGAATTTGCCGAATGAAGCTCTTCTTTCACCTTCTGCTGCTTCTGGACCTCTCTCTGCCTTTGGCGTGGGCATGAATGGCACGCAAAATACAGCTAGCAACGCTACACCAACCAATGCTGGTTATCCCTTCCCGGGAGGTTTGAGCAGCCCAGGTGCAAATATGAGCAGTATGCAATCATTCGGTTCCTTTTCCGATCAATCAGGCATTACATCACCCGGCGTAGATGGCTTCCGCAATACACAAAGCTTTGGTGGTGGTGGTGCAGCTGCTGGGTCGTCGGATTTTGATGCACAAATCATGTCCTCAAGAATCGTACAAGAGTTGATGGACCGCGTTATGAAGACGGAGAATGGATTGCGTGATGTTAATCGTCAAATTGTGGGATTAAACAGAAATGTTGGCATTTTGCTGGAGCGTACCAAACATATGAGCTCTCATCATCATCCTATGCGCAGTGGCAGTACACCCGTCAATTCTGGACAAGGCGGTGCACATATTGCAACGGAAGAAGTTCGAGCTCTCAGTGCACAAGTATCCATGTTGAGTGCAAGTATGTCACAAATGCTCGGTCAAAATATGGCCATGGCTTCTCCGGCCGGAATGCCAGCTGGGAATGCACAAGGTCTCAATACGCCTTTGGCAGGCTTAGGATTAGCAGGTGGTACGCCTCAACTAGGCAGCACAAGTACGGTGACTACCCCACAGTTGGGTACCTTTCCTGGAACACCGGCATATGCGAATGGCTCCAGATTTGGTGGAATGTCAAACATGAACAACATGAGTGGAGATGCAGCATTACGAATCTCAACCAACAATAATGCAATGCCACATGTGGATCGTAACAGCCGTCTTAGTCCACGTCCAGGTGCAAGTCCAGGACCAAACAATCGAAGATGGAGCTCAATGGTACCAGGAACGCCAGATGTGAGCGTTGGAACTGGCTCACAGATGACCGGAGGTGCAATGAACCCACCTGATCCGAGTGTGATTGTGACAAAGTGGGAACATCTTAACTTGCATGCAGATCTCTTGCGCTCAATCTTGAAATACGGATTAGGTCCACCAAACAAGATTCAACAAAGAGCTCTTCCGTTCTTGCTAAGAGGAAGCGATATCATTGCTCAAGCACCTCCAACGCAGGAACGTATTGCAAGTTATGTGATTCCAGTTCTGCAACTTGTGCTTAATGTTCTGCGAGGCGAGGCAACATTGCCTTCCAATATGGGCGTCCGTGGTCCCATGGCAATCATCATCAGCACTACGGTTGATCAAGCCACTCAAGCTCAACGAATGGCTATGGGTCTAGGTGCTGCATTAGGCATCCGTGTCCACATTGCAGCAGCTTCTAGTCTGGATGTAGCTCAAGAGGCCAGTGCATTGATCCAGACCCAACCTCAAATTGTCGTAGGAACGCCGCAAAAGATGATGGACCTTTTCAACTATTTGGCAAACAATACAAAAGGTGCAATTAGCTTGGAAGACGTTCGAGCTGTTGTACTGGATGAAGTAGATCAATTGATTGCTCGTAATCTTGCCGATCATGTATCGACATTATTGCGCATTCTCCCAACTCCTAGAGTTATTCAATATGGTAATTCGCCCTCTGGTTCAAATACCACACAAAGACCAGGTTTACCACCCGTTTCACCAGGCCTGCCTGCTTTCCCAGGTACTTCTGACAATAATGGCAACAACAGCGGCGCGATTCAAGTCACAAACACGGACAGACAAACAGCCATCTTTTCAAACACTGTACCTCAAGATGTCCTCAATTTTGCACAGAGTATTCATTTACGTGAATCTGTCCGTGTCCTCGTACGTCGTGAAGGAGGAGCTGTTTCGAATACAAACAATTCGAGTGGTGTTGCAGGTAGTCCTATGGGCGGCCACTCTTTTGGAACAGCACAAAGTGGTACACCGGGCTTGTCAGGTCATACAGGCAGCCAGAATACCTTCAATGCAGCTAATGGGCCTGGTTCATCGATCTCTGCGGTTCAACCGATTAACGCACTCGGTGCCAGTCCTGCAAACAATCATGCCAATCCTCTAAGTGATCCGATCTTGTCCTCATTGCGTGGTCTACGCCAATATTATCTTTATGTCGCTGTTACGACTGGCGGAGGTGCAACAAGTCCAAACCCCAACGTTGGATCACAAATGGCCCATGCAATCGAGATGAAGTTGGATGTCATCACGGATCTTTTGGAGGATATTGATTTCGGACATGCAGTTGTCTATACATCTTCTTCTTCTGCACATGAAGCCGTGACGTACAAGCTTGCCAGTAAAGGAATTGAAGCTCTAGGTATTCACCGTGACATGGCTAGCACGACTCGACAACAAGTATTGGCAAAATATCGCAGTGCATCTACCGTCTCATCAACCAATTATCATGCAGCAGGTCATTCTGTCGTTGGTGCAATGGGTAATCAAGCAAATGAAAGTGCGGCTTTGGCAGCTTTGGGTGGTGGTAATACCAATTCGAACGGATCGCAAAGGAAGAAGGCATTGGTTGTTCATGATGTCAACGTTCATCCAAAAGATGTTCATCAAGTGCCTTTGATTGTGTTTTATGATTTACCAAAAAGCGTTGACGATTACAAAGAAAAGATTGCATGTGCCGCAAGTGGCGGACCTAACAGTCGACCAAGCGTTTGTGTGAATGTTGTGACCGGTAGCGGAGGACCAAGAGGCGATATCGAAATGTTACGTACGTTGGAATGTCATCTTGGCTGCAAGATGGCCGAATTGCCAATGAATCCCGCACAAATCCTTCAATTCTAATTTCCTGTTCTTACACACTCTTTTTTCGTCTTTTTTTCGTATACAAATTTACTGTAGCAAATTTCTCTTCTTTTCTCTCTTTTTTCTTTCTCACTATGTTTATTTCCGGATCTTTCAATTTTTGTGTATGACCTCCTTTTCATCTTTCTTTCTTTATTGATTCTGTAGCTCAATCACAAACCCTTCTGTAATTTGCAATACTATGAAGAGCATCACAAAGTGTGCCATGTCTGCTTTTAAGGGAAGATTTGATTAATTGTTTAATTTAGACTGCATGCTAAATGCAAGAAGCTAAAAGTGTGGGTCAATAAATGACGATCAAAAGGAGGAAAGAAGTTACAAGCAGTGCGATAAGAGTTGGGTACTTTATCGGTGTAGGGTATTGTAGTGCTCTTTTTATTGAATTCATCTTTTCTTCTTAGAAGCCTGATTTCCTTCGTCGCGCTAAGCATGCGCAGCGCTGCGCTGGTTTGTCTTTATATCAATCAAACTGGCAAAATAGCAGTGTATCTGCATGTACGATGGAACAAAACGGCGCCTTTGATATTAAACGCGTCTAAAGTGAAAAACAGACATACGCGTAAGTTGTTTTGTGTAACGCGTGTGACGAAAAAAGAAGTGTTACTTTCTGCTTCAACGGCACCGGAAGAGAGAGAGAATTCTTTTGGAATCCTTGTGATTTTACAGTTTTTCAAAGGGCACTTGTTCTCATTAAGATCACACCCGATCAACGCACGTACTTTCATGTCCAAGATCATTCTATAGCAACTATCCGAAAAGAAAAAAAGCGCTTCATATCCGTAATTAAGATCCTTGAGTTCATTCTGTCAAGATGCATGTGCTGTATATACATTAATATCCTTCCCCTCTCATTAATATGACTAGAATTGATGACAACCAGACAATCTTCTTCCAATGCCCCAACCCTGCCTTTGATTGATTGGCCCTTCAAACGTGTGCTGGTTGGTGCTAAGCATGCAAGCACTTCATCAGTCTAGGCCTTAATTGCCTTTTTGGCGCGTTCAAAAATATGCGCTTGTGTTTGTGTTAATTGTGTGTGTGTGTGTGTGTGTGCGCGCAGCTTTTTCTTCGCCTTTATGCTGTGTGTTTGTTCCTTTTATGTTTTTAGAGTGTTTGAATGCCAGCCTGCCAGCCAGACTAAACCAAAGCCTAGCAATAAAGAAATCAAATCAAATTCATTCTTTCAACCTAACCAACACCTTCTGTCCGTCAATCTCTTCTACCTCTCGACTTCTTCTGTTTCTTTTTCAATTTCGACATAAAGCAAACAGATCCTTCTCGTTTGCTTATTTGAACTTGAACAAGCAGATTTCGATTTCGTGTCAAGTTTTTTTTCTCAACTTTTTTTCGTCACTCTCTAAGGTAAGTGTTGAGGAGGCGTATGGGCAAATGGTGGTCAACAGACTATCGACCTAGATGAGATCATCAGAAATCTGCAAATGCGACATCATACAGAACAGTGATCAAAAGACCATTTTTGTGATGGCATCACAACCAGAGCAACACACCGTAGCGCTCTGTTCTTCTAAGATCTTCGCTTGAGCTGGATCACTACAACCTCACAAAGGGAACGTTCTTCACTTCTGTAAAGCACGCAACTCTAACACAACTCCCCTTCCCCCTCTCATAGCTCTATACCCCGGCTCAAAATAGCCCAATCTCGTCAGAATGAGGGAAATCGTTCATTTGCAAACCGGTCAATGCGGTAACCAAGTCGGTACAAAGTTCTGGGAAGTGTTGTCCGATGAACACGGAATCGACCCAACTGGTTCTTACAAGGGTACATCTGACTTGCAATTGGAACGCATCAATGTTTACTACAATGAAGCTTCTGGCCAAAAGTACGTTCCCCGTGCCGTTTTGGTCGATTTGGAACCAGGTACTATGGACTCCGTTCGTTCAGGACCAATCGGAAACATTTTCCGCCCTGACAACTTTGTCTTTGGTCAATCTGGTGCTGGTAACAACTGGGCAAAAGGTCACTACACTGAAGGTGCTGAATTAGTAGACTCAGTTTTGGACGTCGTGCGCAAAGAAGCCGAAAACTGTGATATGTTGCAAGGATTCCAAATCACACATTCGCTCGGTGGTGGTACAGGTGCAGGTATGGGTACTTTGTTGATCTCAAAAATTCGCGAAGAATACCCTGATCGTATGATGGCCACTTTCTCCGTCGTACCATCTCCAAAGGTCAGTGACACTGTTGTTGAACCATACAATGCTACACTTTCCGTCCACCAATTGGTCGAAAACTCCGACGAAACATTCTGCATTGATAACGAAGCTTTGTACGACATCTGCTTCCGCACCTTGAAGCTACAATCGCCCAAATACGGTGACTTGAACCACTTGGTCTCCATCGTCATGTCCGGTATCACAACCTGCTTGCGTTTCCCAGGTCAACTCAACTCTGACTTGCGTAAATTGGCAGTCAACATGGTTCCCTTCCCCCGTTTGCATTTCTTCATGGTCGGTTTCGCACCTTTGACTGCTCGTGGAAGTCAACAATACCGCGCTGTTTCCGTTCCAGAATTGACCTCTCAAATGTTTGATGCAAAGAACATGATGGCCGCTTGTGACCCTCGTCATGGTCGTTACTTGACCGTTGCAGCATACTTCCGTGGTAAGGTTTCCATGAAGGAAGTCGAAGACCAAATGCAAAACATTCAAACCAAGAACTCAAGCTACTTCGTCGAATGGATTCCTAACAATGTTCAAACTGCTCACTGTGACATTCCTCCACGTGGCTTGAAGATGAGTGTTACCTTCATTGGTAACTCAACAGCCATTCAAGAATTGTTCAAGCGTGTTTCCGATCAATTCTCACTCATGTTCCGTCGTAAGGCTTTCTTGCATTGGTACACAGGTGAAGGAATGGACGAGATGGAATTCACTGAAGCAGAATCCAACTTGCAAGATCTGTTGGCCGAATACCAACAATACGAAGCAGCTTCTACAGATGACGAAGAGATTGTTTACGAGGAAGAAGGCGAACCAATTGAAGAATAAACACTTCGGTAGGAGAATGCAGATGATGGGCAAACGGGATCGTATATCATTGTGAGAGTGATGTTGGATCGATTGAAGATAATAAATCAAAAATCAAAAATTCTCTTTTTTTCCCTTATTTCGATGTCGTCAAAGCGACAACCTTTCATATTTATTCATTCCACCTTTCGGACCGAGAGCAAGTTTGACGACTTGATTTTTTTGTCCAAAAGAGAACTCCAATCCGACTTTTTCACTTGCTTCCGCTTGGACTCAATATTCTTGCGTTGATGCACGTTAACTACTTAACCATTCTTCTTGGTGCTTTCTCCAAAAACAACATCGTGTTTCTATTCCAACTTTCTTCTCACTTTAATGTTCTATTTACTCTTTTTTCCCGTCCAGAACGATCGAATCTATTAAATACACAGTCTTTTGCTATCATGATATCGTGAGCGTTAACGGACGGCTGCCTATTCACGCTTATCCTTCACTCAGTCTAACGGCCACCGCTTAAGCAACGGAGCGCATATATCCGGCTTGTGCGCAAAAATAAAAAGTGCGTGACTGATTGAAGAATTGAAGGCGCAAAAGCAGTGTAAAATTCTGTAATTCTCGTACGTTCCCGCAGGAAGAAAGTTGGAATAAGTTCTTCTTAAAAAATTAAGACTTTTTACACACTCTCCATCATCCATACAATTAACAAAAATGGCTGTTCTTTCTCACCCTCTCGTTCGAGATGGATGGTTCCACGAAACAAACTCTCAATGGCCCGGTCAAGCTATGAGCTTGCGTGTTCGCCGTATTTTACACACCGAAAAGTCGAAATTTCAAGACGTTTTAATCTTCGAATCAACTGATTACGGAAACGTTCTCGTCTTGGACGGTGTCATTCAAGTGACCGAACGTGATGAATTCTCTTACCAAGAGATGATCGCTCACTTGCCTTTGGCCTCTCACCCAAATCCCGAAAGAGTTCTGGTCATCGGAGGTGGTGACGGAGGTGTTTTGCGTGAAGTTGTCAAACATGACAGTGTCAAGGAAGCCGTTTTGTGCGACATTGATGAAGCTGTTCCACGACTTTCAAAGACTTACTTACCAAAATTGGCTGCAGGTTTGACTCACCCAAAGAGCACAGTTCATATTGGAGACGGTTTCGCATATTTGCAACAACCTGAAAACAAAGGTGCATTCGATGTTATCATCACAGACAGTTCCGATCCAGTCGGTCCAGCAGAAGCTTTGTTCCAACCTCCTTTCTTCAAACTTCTCAAAGAAGCATTGAAACCTGGAGGTCACATCTCAACACAAGGTGAATGTCAATGGATTCATTTGCCTCTCATTCGCGAATTGCGTCAAAGCACAAAAGCATTATTCCCAGTTGCCGAATACGCATACACTACGATTCCAACTTATCCATCAGGACAAATTGGTTTCGTTGTTTGCTCTTTGGACGCTGAACGTGATGTTCGTCATCCTTTGCGTGATGTTCCTGATTGCAATTACTACAACGCTCGCACACACGTTGCATCTTTCGTCTTACCCGAATTTGCACGTAGAGTTGTCGAAGATGGTGCACCAGCTCCCCCACCAACCATTGCATCAGGTGACGGATCAGCAAACAAGACTAAACGTGACCCCAAAAAGATCTTGTTGATGGGAAGTGGATACGTTGCACAACCTTTCGGTGACTATATGCTACGTTACCCTGAGTACTCAGTCACTGTTGCTTCGTCTCGCATCGAAAATGCACAAAAACTGGCTGATGCTCTTGGAGCTCGTGCTACCGCTCAAGCTGTTGATGTCAACGATGCTGCATCTTTGGAACAAGCAATCTTTCAGCACGATATTGTGATCTCCTTGATCCCATACACCTATCATGCCAACATTATCAAGGCAGCCTGCAAGCACAAAGTTGACGTTGTCACAACAAGTTACGTGTCCGACGCAATTCGTGAACTTGCACCTGAAATCGAAAAAGCAGGTATCACAGTCATGAACGAAATCGGTTTGGACCCTGGTCTTGACCACTTGTACGCTGTTAAGGCCATTGAAGATATTCACAGAGATGGCGGTAAAGTGAAGTCATTCTTGTCCTACTGCGGTGGATTGCCAGCTCCTGAAGCAGCTGATAACCCATTGGGATACAAATTCAGTTGGTCTTCAAGAGGTGTATTGTTGGCGTTGCGTAACACTGGTAAATTCTACCAAGCACCTCACAAAGAGCCACAAGTGGTCTCCGGTGTTGATTTGATGAAGAGTGCAAAGCCATACTACATCAACCCAGCATTCGCCTTTGTTGCTTACCCCAACAGAGATTCTTCTCCTTTCCGTGAATGGTACAACATTCCCGAAGCTGAGACTGTAATCCGTGGTACACTTCGTTATCAAGGTTTCCCAACCTTTATCCTTGCTTTGGTCAAATTGGGCTTCTTGGATGACGGTGATGCACACAAGGATTGGTTGCGTGCTGATGCAGGATTGTCATGGGCCGATGTGACTGCTAAATTGGTCGGAGCAAGCAATGCAAGTGAATTGCACGCTGCCGTCTCCTCAAAGGTTCAATTTGCCAATGCAGATGAAGAACAACAAGTTTTCAACGGATTGCGTTGGTTAGGATTATTGGATGCAAACGTAAAGGCAACCGTTCGTGGCTTGCCTGCTCAAAACAAGGCAGGATACGGTAACCCATTGGACACATTATGTGCTACATTAGAAGAGAAGTGCAAGTACGAAGCAGGTGAACGTGATATGGTTATGTTGCAACACCGATTCGAAGTTGAAGCAAAAGATGGATCTCAAAAAGTTTTAACAAGTACTTTACTCGATTACGGTGTGCCAAATGGAACAACAAGTATGGCTAAATTGGTCGGTGTTCCATGTGCTGTGGCCACACGATTGATCTTGGAAGGCAATTCGGCAATCAAACAAAAAGGTAAGATTGTCGCTCCTTACACATCAGCAGTATGTGATCCTATCCGCTTAGAATTAGAGAAGGAAGGCATCGTCTTGCAAGAGAGATACCTATAGAGAATCCCAAAATTGTAATTATGCTTCATTTGTAGCGTTGCCGAAGTGAGATGATGAAGAAAAAATCATGTGATTTTGCGAGATACAATATTGATTCTTAAAATGAACGAGCCGACGAAAGAACATCAAGTAAGAGTATAGAGAATATTATGCCGGCATATTTGCGGATCTAAGCACGTTTATTATTATGATTACGATGATGAATTCATCGAGATCATCTCATGTTTATGTCCTTGCCGGCCTGGATTTGCTCATTCCACTCTACCAAACACCCGAACCTCTTTGAGAAGGTTCGAATGTTTTGTACGGCAACGGTCCGGTAGATGGCTGTACATGTGTGCGAATAGTTTGGCGCAGGAAAGATAAATTCCGTGCTGTGTGCCGTGTAATGTATGTAATTCATCTCCCTTGATTGCGCCGTTCAAAGGGGAAAAGAAGAAAGGGGAGCAGTACAGTAGTACTTTTCATACACTTTACGTGTCACAATGACAGGGGATATGGCACTTGATCCGTGTTGTTTTCAAGATTGCATGCATGTCAAAAGGGGGTCAGTTTTTTCTAAAACGGCACTACCCCTGCTTTTTTACTTGTGTTTAGCTTTTACTGGCGTGATGCGGTAGAATTATCTGTCCATTATAAACTGTAGAAATCGAGTCTAATTGAGGGATGAAATTCACGCGTCTTGTGATGGTTGATTGCATGTTACTCTGCGCCGGTATTGCATCAACATGGCGCCCTTCTTTGCGCGGCGCGGTGTGATTGTTGAGTGAAATTGTCACAATTCAGAAAAAAAACAGGGCACAGAATATATGCCGCATTTTACACTGCATTTTGGCTTCTAGATCAGTGTTCTATTTGCGGCTTCTTGCTTGTCAAAAAAAAGAGAGATACCTCCTGATTTGAGGCTCACCTTTGACATACAAACAAACTTCCTCCCTTTGTCCTCATCGACATTTCCAAACTCTCCACTCTACATCATCATCAACAAACAAAGCCAATTCGTTAATCAAATCTTTTGTCGATCGCGAGTACATCACGTCAATCCACTCTTCGATCATCCGAAACGGCGATTCCTATCCCATCTTTCAACAAACGAGTTGTTTTCTTTGCTGGCAATTAAAACACTCTCTTTCATTCTTATCACTCTCACTTAGATTCAACACATTCTCACACACTTTTACCATCATGCGCACTTCTATAATCTTGGCGTCTTGCCTCATGGCAATCAGCGCTGTGAGCGCAGCTCAATTGGCCGGTCCAGCAGCAACTCCCAGTCCTCACTTCCAAAAACGGAAAATTATGGAAAGACACCAAAGTATGTTACCCCGAATGCCTTTGGGCAACGGTCTCTTCGGAAGTAGCGATGATGGAACCCACAAAGATTCAACAGATTCCGATAAGGCGTCTTCAACAAGCTCTTCATCAATGTCATCATCTACTTCTTCTTCCTCGTCATTTTCATCTTCATCTTCTACACGCATTTCAAGCTCAACATCATCTGCCGCGCCTTCTTCAACATCAACAGCTGCTCCGACAAGTTCCTCTTCCTCTGCAGGAACAACACCAACGAGCAGTTCAGTTGTATTCCTTACTTCAACTCTTCAGCCAACCTCAAGTTCCAGCGCGGCTCCCGCTCCAGCACAAACGAGTGGTTCATCACAAGACAATAGCGGCAGCAGTCACACAGGCTTGATTGTTGGTGTTTCAGTGGTGGGTGGTGTTGCGATCCTTGGTGCTTTGATCTTCTTATACATGAAGTTCGGCGGAAGAAGGTTTAGCGATTACGATAACGATGATGCGGATATTAAATGGCCAGAATTGAAGACGGACGAAAATGCAGCAGCAATGCAACCTTTGCCAGCCCGAAGGACGGGCGGTGCAGGATTTGATATGGGCGAAGATTCGGATCACGGTCACGATATGAACAACCTCGGCGGCGATGCACACAGCATGACAGAATACGGTGGAAAGCAACATGATTCCATGGTAGGAAGTACAACTGCGCTCAATAGTGGTATTGGTTCAGGCACATATGGTGCTGGAACCTACACCCATGGAGGTGATGCTGATACCTACAACGCTCCAGCTGGTGGTGTGACAGGTTATTATGACCCTTACGGTAGCTACAGTCACGGTGGACAAGGTCAACAGGTATTTTACCCTGATCAAACAAGTCAAGGACAAGATTTCCAAGGATACGGAGGATATGGACATGATCAAAACGCATATGGAACCAGTAGTAGCCCACAACAAAATCCTTATCGTGTTGGACAACATACTGGGCAAGGAGGATATTGAAGTTGATGCGATGATGCAATTCAACTTTACCCAGTGTTGATCTGTGTTGCGCTAATCACGGAGATAGCATACACTTATACCACACCGTGATCAACACAGACAACGTTCTTCTCCAATTTTGCAACAACTTTTATTATTTCATGGATCCTTCTCCCTCTCTCATGGATTATCAGCACTTTTTACCTGAAATGTGTTGTACTTTTGTCAGCTCGCAGGGCGGGCAATCGACTTCATTTTCCTTCTTCTTTTATGTTATCCAGTCTTGCTCAACTGTGATAGCCTCGATTTTATTTGTCCACCAGGAATATTCTTTTCTCCGCCTTTTACCTGCATGATGCCTCGGACTTTCCGTCTTTGTTTTTATAGTCCTCTTTCTTTCCCGATATCCTTTAGAACATGGATGATTTGCAAATGAACTTGCAACCTCAAAATAGACTTGCGAATGAATTTGCAGAGTATTCTATGTTCACTTCATCTCCCTCCCTCAATCTTCCACACATTCGCTTACTGTACCTCCTCCTCCTCCGACCTTTGATCACCCAGCATACATAATGCAATCTATTCACAGCATTTGAACTGATAACGATGATAAGGTGTTCGCTTTCAACCTTTCTTTTGTTTGTGCAGTGCAATGCATGCCTGTTGTGTATAGTCGCGTTGAATAATTCGTCCGAGGCAAACTGTAGTAGCTCTGCATGGCGCGGCTTAGCGCAAGAATGAATGTTTGGCAATTGGCCAGTGTAAAGGCGTGTAGGATTGAGTATATTAGCAATACAATTATAATTCATTGTGCTTGGCTTGCTTGCGTTTAATTGCTTGCGCTTGCCCTGCTGCTGCTCTGCGCCGGCACTCCACACTTTCATTGGGGAAATAAAATTGGATTGAATCGAATCTTTACCATCATCAACTTTATTCAAACGTGATATCAAGTGAATGCATCACAGACCAGGACCAGAGAAGAGACTTTGACGGATCACTACTAGTCACGTTTGAACGCAAATGAGATAATCAATCATGTCCACTTCAGAATCACAACATCCAGCCAATGGGCAAGGGCAACATAGCAATGCGCCTTCTTCTTCCTCTTCTTCTGGACAGCAAAATGGTAGTAGCAGAAGAAACTTTGATACACATGCTTTATCATCAGGAACATCTAGCAGAGCAGCAAGCAGACCAAGCAGCTCAGCAGGACAAGATCAACAACATGGTTCTTCTTCTTCGTCTTCACGAAAAGGACAAAATCGATCAAACAAAGCACCAATAAAGATTGGTCAATATACTATCCAACAAACTCTAGGAGCAGGAAGCTTTGGAAAAGTGAAATTGGCAACGCATTCGTTAACAGGACATAGAGTTGCGATGAAGATCATCAATCGTAGAAAGATTTCATCTTTGGATATGGGTGGAAGGGTAAAGAGAGAAATTCAATATCTCAAATTATTACGTCATCCTCATATCATCAAACTGTATGAAGTCATCACTACGCCTTCTGATATCATCATGGTGATCGAATATGCCGGCGGTGAATTATTCCAATATATCGTCGAACGCGGCAGAATGTCAGAAGATGAAGCAAGACGATTCTTTCAACAGATCATCGCAGCGATCGAATACTGTCATAGACACAAGATCGTCCATCGAGATCTCAAACCTGAGAATTTGCTATTGGATGACCATTTAAACGTAAAGATTGGTGACTTTGGCCTTTCAAACATCATGACTGACGGAGATTTTCTCAAAACAAGTTGCGGATCGCCCAATTATGCAGCGCCAGAAGTTATTTCGGGAAAGCTATATGCAGGACCAGAGATTGACATCTGGAGCTGTGGTGTAATCTTGTACGTGATGTTGTGCGGTCGATTACCCTTCGATGATGACTACATTCCAACACTTTTCAAGAAGATTAATGGAGGTATATATACCTTGCCTTCCTATTTGACTCCTGAAGCAAAACATCTACTATCAAGTATGCTCGTTGTGGATCCGGTAAAGCGTATCACCATTTCAGAAATTCGACAGCTACCCTGGTTCCAGAAAGATTTGCCAAAATACCTGCAGCCACTTCCCCCAACGCCAGCGGCAGAAACGGATGGTTTCAATTTTGGCATGACAACCGAAGCGAAGGGAGAAAGTGAAAAGCGTGAAGAAAGCAAAGATCAACGAGATAGAGAATTCATTTCTGGCTTAGGATATATTGAACCGGAGATTGTGGCAGAATTGACGGAAAAGATGATTGGATTCGGTACAGAGGCAGTCCGACAGCAATTGCTTGAACCTGGAGAGAATCAGGTGAAAGTGGCATATCAATTGGTTCGTGATCATAAACGAATGTTACAAACGGCTCATTTGGATGAGAATCATGATATGGAAAGCTTTTTAGCTCAAAGTCCACCTCCATGGAATGCCGGATTGGAAGAGAATATGTCACGCAGTACTAGCATCCGTAGACGTGAACGTCGTGCGACTGCTGATCAAAACCTTCAAGCAACAGATGCACAACCTGGCGTTCAATCCACTCCCATTATCGATGGCCTCGCTGATGAGACTATGATGAGCGAACATGAGATGGGCAATGTGACTGATGATTTGACAACTGAAGCAGGCCCTTCTGAAGAAGAGGATAGCGCGACAGATATGGATGACTTATTTACGGAAGATGATGATGGTTTAGATTTGGACGGAACAGGCAAACCGATCGGAGTGGGTATTCTGGAACCAAGCATTCCCGGTATGCGACTTGACTTGAAGACGCCAAAAAGTGAAACTGTGCCTATTCCAATGGCATCATCTACGAAACGCGGAAGGAGTCGATGGCACTTTGGTATTCGAAGTAGAAGTCCTCCAATGGAAATCATGTTGGAATTGTATAGAACTTTGCAAGTTTTAGGAATGGAATGGCGCGAAAAGCCTAAAGATAGAGAAGCAAGAATAGCAGCAGAGAAAGAAGCACTTTCAAAGCAATCAATGGATGGGCAAAATGGAGAAGAGAATCCCGATGATGAAACAAAGCATCACGCTGAAGAGAACAAAGATGAACACAAATCACGCTCACATCACAACGGTAAGAACGGCAAGTCCAACGCACAAACCGATCAAACGAATGGAGAAGAATTGTACTTTATCGAAACACGCTGGATCGTGAATCAGATTGTGGTTCGAATGAATTTGCAATTGTATAGAGTAGATCAAGATAATTATTTGGTCGATTTTCGACATGTAGGATATTCAAATTTGGCTCCTAGGGCATCATTGACAGGATCAGAAGGAAGTTCAAAGATTCAAACCCGTAGCAGTTCAGTTCCTGCTGAAGGTACAACAAGTGTTGATGATCGCTTACAACAAGCTGGAAATGCGTCTGGCAAGAACACGGCGGCAGATGATGAAAAGTTGAACAAACAACCTTTGACGAAAAGTCCAGATTCAAACATCACTTCTCCGCCTCTTGTTGGAGGAGCACCTTCGTCAGGCTTGGATGAGAAATCTTTGCATGCTGCATTAGAAACTGCTTATCAACAAAGTGGAACGCCTTCCATTACCGCTACACGCAGACATACATCAGTCATTCCGGCAGAAGGACGTAAAGATGTGAATAGTCCATTCTTATTTTTGGAATGTGCTACTCGTTTAATTATCGAATTGGCTGGAGGTGGATAATTTGTGTACATACTGTTTATTCTATTCGTATAATCTTGCACATATACTTATACCTGTATACATACAATACTAATCAATTCCCTTTGTATGATCTTTGATCTTTGAAGAAGAGTATGATTTGTAAGCATGATGTTGATCGTGTCACGTTCATCATCAGAGGCACTTTTCAAATGATCGTAATTGTGGCTTGCCCTTGATACGCACGGAGGGAGGAAGTCAGGCTCCAACGAAATAAGCGCAGCGTTGCGCGCGGGTATGTCGGGTAAGAATCGGCTGAGAGTGCAGTGCATAAACACAGTGCGTGCGTCCAGGCTTCTGCCGTTGCGGCATTGATGCAGGTACGAACGCAACGTATACAACGAACAAATTCTATGCGGAAAATCGAAAAAATGCTCTTTGATTCTTCAATTTGCAATCGTACAAGGTGCATATATATGACTTTTGTGGCTTGATCGCAAAAGGAAAGCAACTGCCTCTTCTTACTGGCCCGATACCTCCTTGCTCAATCAATGACACCTGTCCGTAATTTATCCAGTAAAGACTGCCTGCTACTCAATCATAAACACAACTATTGCTCTCTTTTTTTATCAACGTCACTGGATAAATATCGCCTCCTTGCTGCTCATGCAATGGTAAAGTCCGAATAAATGGTGATAGTACGAATTCGCAATTGTACAGCAATTTATGTACTGCTTGCGCTTGGCAAGTAACAATTAACTTTCCACAAAACTTTTGAGAAAGCCACTTTTCTCATTGCACACTTGAAGCAGTCCTTTATCGGTTCCGCAAATCTAATGAAACACTAATCAGAATAAACTTTTCAATCGAGTAGAGTGAATCATCATCATTTCAAATACAAGCATACATATCTTTTCATTCTTTTTTGAGCAATCGTATGTGGCTTCCTCAATTTTCCCAGAAATTTTTAACCTTAACTTGCCGAGAAATTTACTCAATCGGTTTAGTGGCTTATCTGTCCTGCTTCACGCAAGACAATCGCAAGACAAAATGGATAGTGTGATTAGGTTTGATTCCTTCATTTGTGCGTACATACATGGAGCAATTGTTGTTGGACTAAGGATACAGATAAGCGATCGTACGGATGAATGGTGTGCGCGAAAGCAAGTGAAATTAGAAGAAAGAGGGTTGAGAGACCAAGAAAAAAAAATGTGTAAAAAATGAAGAGACAAGTGTTCACATAAGAAGTGAAAGCGAGACCCATCGGGATATCATGTTGTGCAATGCTTGCCCGTAAAAGCGAGGTGGCTTTATGCTTTTGTTTCCCTTTCCGATGATAACAAGTTGGAAATGGCCTCTATAAAAATTGAAAAATTGTGCGTTGTTGATCATGAAAATGGCACCGTGAAGAATGAAATGAAATGAATTGTTGACTTGTGAAATTGATGAAATTATTGGCGTAAAAGTAGAAGCACAGATGAACACGATGTCATTGTACAAGAGACTTGCAGATTAACGTGTCTGGGATGTTGTTGCGTTGCGAGAATTGTTGCGATGCGTTTGCTGTGCGAATGATGAGCGTAATTATTGAAATGCGTTGCGGTGATGATGAATCGAAATTGTGCTGAATGTCATGATGAAGTGAGCAAGAATGGAGGAGGCTGAAGATGATCAGGATGAATGTGTAAATCTCCCATTGCTTGCGTTGGATCATCTTGATGTTTGATGTCAAAGAAGGAAGCACTTTCATTTAGTGGCGTAATTGCTCTTGGAGTTGCAACATCGGTTTCATCAGAACAAGACGTTGTTCCTGAATCCGCTGGACTGCTTGATTCATTGCTAGTTTCCCATCTGGACATTTGACTATGATGATCAGCATTGGCACTTCGACTGACGGTCCTTGTGAGCGAGATAGCATTCATCTCGCTGGCCTGAACGGTACGCAATGGTAATCGCTCAGAATCGCCATTAGCGCTATCAGTTCTTGACATGGACCAAGCGGGTGTGTAGCCCAGGTTGGATCGTTGCTTACGTTGAAGGCGTGCAGCTCTTTGTTGTGCATCAAAGTCCTTTTGGGTTGCGACTGGCATGGAGTAGCTTCGGATCATGAATGCGGCTGGATTAGGCGTTGGTTTGCGGGTTTCAACAACGGCTGGCTTTGGCATTTCATTAATATCATGGCTCGAAGCACGACGTTGATAGATTTCTGGAGGTTGCAACCAATGTGATGATGCATCTTCCATCTCCGCTTGCTTTTGTTCCAATGAGATCATTTGATTAATCATCTTTGAACCATTCGAAGATTGATTTCCGTCTTGGCTGCATTGACGACGAAGTTCTTCAGCCGTTGGTGCTGGCGGCAATGGCAAGAAAGGTGAAAAAGGAGCAACTCCTCCTAAAGCAGTTCTTGTGCCAGAAGTCACACGAATTCCCCCGTGAACGACGTGTGAGCCCCTAGCGATTTCACCTTTGGAAGAATTTGGTTCAGCATTGACGAGAGGTGCCATATCGGATGTTGCTCGAGCGCCCAATGGCGGCCTGAATGAGTGAGACATGTTGATGGTGATGGTTAGTCGTGTGAATGAATTTGAAATAGAAGGTGACACTGAATGATTGTATAATCAAGACAAACACTTGTCCGACCTTCCGTGTTGTATGTCGGAAGTAGTTTTTAAGCGGATGAGCACTGCTTTGGAGCTAAAAATGAAGATCCAGGCGTTGATTTTCTTCTTGAGAATGTTTGTGACAGGTCTAGACTTGAACGTGAAATATACGATCCGATCACTTGAGCCTTTGCAATGAGGAACAAATTTGTGCTAGTGCAAATAAGTGTTTATTTGGAGGCTTGTGGGTCACCGAAAGTCTGGTAGAGGTATGTTGAAAAGGGTTGAACACGATTGAGGAGCACGTCCGTAATTTGCAAATGGCGCTAAGCGGGGTTTGAAGGAAAGATGAAAAGATGTCGAGCCTCTTGATGATGTAGCTAACGCAAATGGGAACGGACCAAGAAGAAGTAGTAGAAGAGGGGAGCAAGATATCCTAGAAAGATTTCATGGAATTCTCTTGAAAGGTTGCGTGAAGGTTTTCTTACTTCAGCAGCGGTTTCGAATTCAATTCTCCAAAGAAGTGAGGAATGAAAAGGGAATGATGTATGTAGGAGCTCTTTGATGTGATGGCTTCGAGTTTGAAGATCGTTTGATATCAAAAATGACACTCCCTACCACAGTCAGAATGGATAGGGAGGTCAGACAATGGTGGTGGCTTTGTAAAATGTTTGAAGAGTCTTGAAAAGGTTGTATACGAATAGATGGCAAATGTCCTTCTTCTCTCCCGCAGGCGGAAAGGTAAAGGGGGCAAAGAGAGCACAGGGACCTGACCAGTGTAATATTTTGAAAAGAGGGGAACTGTCAGAAGGACCCGTTTAAGGATAAAACGCGAGCTGTCAGTAGTGTTCGTTTGCCACTTTGCTGCACAAACGCGTTATAAGCCGTGCGAGGTTATGGACAACAATAAAAAAAACAGGGATAAATTCAAGCGCGCAGCGCAGTTCAGCATTCATTTGTCAATCCATGTGGCTTCAATTAAATGACAAAATCCTGGATTGCCTTTACATGCATTGAATGGCTGCTATTGAATTACTGGCTCCCGAGAATGCATCATCCTCTTGAGAAAGGCAAATGATGTATGGTTAATCATCAAGAACCGGTTCATTGCATGCATGCATACATCCTCCTCACACACTCTCTCTAACCATATGCGAAGGATAGAGAATACGCTTGGTTAGGGTTATTTCTCCTTTCATTATACATAGGCTTGAAAGTGCATAATGCATGTATGAACTTCTTGCATGAGAAAAATGCAGGGCCTTCTTACAAACTTCCTCTTCTCTCTGCTTTAACAGCAATTCCATTCCAAAGACTGGGCCCAATACAGCATTTAACTCTCTTTAGCTTCGAGTGATCTTATAAAGAAGATTTAAAGTCATACGACCATTCTTAAGGAACAGGCAAAAAGTCAGTATGACTGCATTCGTACTTGAAGCTAAACGATGCAGAATCTCACGTTTTGGTTTTGTTTAGCGTGATTGAGTGTATTTCATAATTCTAAATTAAGATAATATAGCGTGTACACCATACCTCTCCGCCAGGGGTTCTTGTGAGAATAACGTAAAAAACATGGCAAAGACCGATGCCCGCTGGAGTTGTAAAAAGCAAGACGGATAGATTTGGTTTACCCTATAGTACACATCACCGTACGGTCTTCTTCATATAATAATGCCCGTTAAACGGATCAATCTTTCTAATCCCCGATTCAAATCTTGGAGCATAGATTCGAGAAAATCAGCCCACTTTCTTGTTAAGAGAGGCCCCGATTATTAATATTCTCTTTTGGCTATTATTCATGATTCAGGCACAATTCTTTTCAACATCCCCGTCAAATATGAATTGTTCGGATTAACTTAGGAATGCTTCTATTCCAGCCCTCAATAACGGAAAGAGTTTGTACATGCTAACGAAAAGAACAATAACCCTAACCCCCCACCGCTTCTGGTTACAATAATGAAAAGCGGTCAGGATTCAAGTCAAATTGATATTTCTACGTTCAAAGGGTTCAGCTCACATCCTTAATTCCATTTTTTCGCCCAGGCTAAATGATCTAAAGATGTGACTTTATCGAAAGGGAAAGGAGAATGCGCTAAATAATTGTGTGATTAGAAGAGGCTGGAAATACCCGCACACAATCAGATTCACACTAAAGAATAGGAACGCACGTACATAATGTACATACATACATACGTTCATTCGGCGTCAAACTTTTGCCTCCAAAAGCAGAATACTGCTGCTGCACTTCAACGCAAGCGGCATTTGCAAATAAACACCTCCTGACATTCATTTAGCATACAGAATGTCACACCCGCACCTTCTCAACGCTTTGGGAATAGCCATTCATGGTAATTTGATTATTCAATTATTGCCAACAAACATGCACATTATGATCAATGCACTGCTGATCACCTGATGCATGAGAATATATGAGCTGCTATTTCTCCTTTCCTTATGCAAAACGGCAATCTTCTTTACATGTGACAGGTCATTTATTTGAAACCGGATATTTTACAAATTTATATACAAATGAATTACACAGCCTGAGACCTTGCTTTGCTTGTTCCTTTTCCGGTTCCAGAACGTCCTGCTAAAGCGGGTCGATTGAGTTCTTTATTGGCTTCTCGTTCTTGCAATGCAGCAGTCGCAGAACGTTGAGCAGTTCTTTCAACTATACTCGTACCATCTCTGAACCTAGCACGGAACAAAACATTCGCATTTGTGAATAAGCCTTCTTTAAGAGAAACAACGATGAACTGACTTCCCGAAAAACGGGATTGAAACAGTTGTCCAATATGTTGTGTATGTGAAAGATCCAAAGCGGCATCAATTTCGTCCAAAATGTACATTGGTGCAGGCTTGAACTGCAAAAGTGACATGATCAAACTTAAAGCGATCAAAGATCTTTGTCCACCACTCAATTCCGTCAAACTTTGCTTCCATACTTGCCCTAATCGCACTTTTACCTCTAGACCTTGCGTGACATCTTGTCCTTCCGGAGGCTCAAGCTTACAGTAATTTCCTGGCAATAATTCGGCAAAAATTTCGCCAAAGTCTCCGTTCACCTTTACCCATGTCGTCTGTAATGCGTCTTTCTTGTACCGGTCTAGTTCGTGAATTGTGTCTTCAATCTTTCCCTTGTCCTTCAAAACAGTTGACAACATTGTCTTCAATTCAGTCTCCTTCTTTTCCACGCTATCGATCATATTTAGCACTTTGGGATTAACACGCTGTTTCATTCCGCTTTGTTGTTCTTCTAATTTACGACAAGTCTTGCGTACTTCATTCATGTTATGCTTTTGGAAGTCATATGCTGTTCCTGGCCTTCCAAAGAATTCATGCTCGTCCAAGATCCATTCGAATTGCACCTCTAACTGCTTGACCAATTTTTCTGCTCCCGAACACTCTTGTGTGATCTTTTCCAATTCGTGCACGTTTCGCTTATGCGATAATTGACCGTCGGCAATCTCTTGCTTCTTCCTTTTTACAGCTTCCCGCAATGTGTTCATCTCATCATCGTATGCGCTAAGAACTTGCCTCTCCCGTTTGATACTCTCTTCAATCGCATCAACTTCACCTTGCAATTTATCAACAGCTTCTTCCATCGTTTGCAATTCAGATTTGCTGTTCTTCAAAGCCGCTTTGGATTCTTCTAAGCCTTCTTCGGCTGTTTGAATCTCGCGTCCATTCTCCTCTAATTCTAGCTCTAATGTCCGAACCTCGTTCTGTCTTGTCTTGATTGTAGTGTTCTTATTCTGAACATCAGCTTTGCGTGCTTTGATATCGGCTCGTAGCTGTTCCAATTTAGTGTCCTTGTTGGCATTGAATTCTTCCATCTCACGCTCTAACCGCTTGGCTTCTTTCTGAGCTTCTTGACATTCAGTCTTCGCCTTTTCGATCGTTTGCCGTAGTTCGATGATGGCATTCTTGTGCGATTCAACTTCGGTAATAATTCTCGTCGCATTACTGCCTTCTACCTGCGATTGAAGTAGATTGACTTGATGCGATTTAAGATCGAGCTGTCTTTTGAGCTTATTGTACGATGCAATCTTTTCCTTTGCCACTCTGGCCTCCTCTTCACATCTTTGAATAGCATACTTTGCTTCGGCAAGCTCTTTCTCAATCTTTGCGAGCTCTTGCACCTTGACGAGAATTCCTGCACTCGACGGCTTACTTCCACCGGACAGCGTTCCGGCTGGGTCATAAACGTCGCCTTCCAATGTCACACTTTTCATGCGAACGCTCTGATCGAACGTTACCCTCTTGGCCGTATCAGCATCTGCACAGATTAGAGTGTTTCCGAACACGAATTCCATCGCTTTGGATACCTCATCTTCGTATCCCACCAGCGATAGAGCGAGATCTGCCTTACCAGGTGCTATACGTTGAGCCGCACCAATTCGTTGAGCTGCAGCAACTGTTGCACTGATCTTGTTGAGCGGAATCAATGTTACTCGCTTTTTTAATCTTCCATTCGTTAGCAATTTCGAGCCTGTTCGTTCATCCTCAACAACGACATTGTACAGCCGTGCACCTGCACATATTTCCAGTGCTGTTGAGAATTTTTCTCTGCTGGGATCAAGCTGAATCAGACTTGCTACCAAACCTTTGACTTTGCTGCGATCGAAATTTGGTTCAGGGTCGGCGTAAGAAAAGTCCATACCGGCCAAACGAGATTTCAATCGATCTCTATGCTCCAGAAGCTCGTTCACACGTTTTGTTAGATCAGCACGAGTACTCAAAAGCTCTTTCTCCTTATTATCATCCCATCCGGTGGCGGTAATGCTAGCCTCAAGCTGTTTCACTTCAGTTTTAGCTGCTTCCAACTCCTTTAAAAGTCCTTCACCTTCCTTTTGGGCCTTCTTGGCTTGTGGCTCCTTTGTTTTCAGCTCTTTTTCCAGATGTTTGATACGCAAATTTGATTGTTCAATATCTGTGCCTGCCTTTGCTTCCCTTTCGCGTGCTTCGGCCAATTGTCCCATGTATCCTCCTTGCTTTGCTTTATCATTTTCGTCATTTTTCGAAGCCATTCCAGTAAGCAAGGTTTGTAAGAGCTCATCCTGTTTGGCAAGGGCATCATTGACGGCGTCAAACTCTGCTTTGAGCTGGTCAAATGTACCACGAAGCTTCTCAAGCTGTTGGCTCTTCTCTTTTCGAGAAGAATGTAGAGCTTTCAAAGCCTTTTCGTCGCTTTGTAATTTCTTTTCCTCTTCGTCAATGGACGAGTTCTTAAACTCGACTTGGGTCTTCTCCTTGACAACTTCGTGTGCCATTTGACGACTTTGTTCGATCAATGCAGGCAGTTTTCCGGCTTTCTTCAAATCGTTGTCACGCTTCTTTTCAATGTCTGCAATTTCCTTCTCAATTTCAGCAATTTGATGTTTGAGTGATTCCTCCTCTCCTTCTTGAGCTTGAATTTGCTCTTTGAACTCTTCAATTGCTCGTGTTTTCTCCACATTTCTCTCGCGTAACTGCTGCCATTCGAAAGCCTTCGCAAGTCTCGTCAGACGTTCGAGCTCTGTGGTTGCACGCTGATATTCTAGAAATGATCTTTTCTCCTCACGCAATTTGTCCAATTTTGGTGTGATTTCTTCTTGTAGAAGAGATGTGATCTCTTTGACCTTTTGATCCTTCTTTGTGATCGTCTTTATAGCCTTTTCCTTACGATCTTCAAACATTCGTGTTCCTGCTGCCTCTTCAATCATGCTTAAAATTTCTGCCGGTTTCATATTTAGAACTTTGGTAATCTTTCCCTGCATGATTAAGAAATTGGGATTATTGATGTTTAATTGGACGGACTGGAACATATTCTGAACGGCCTGTTGGGTAGCCTTGTGACCATTGATCAAGTACTTTGACAATCCTCCCATGGCGATCTGACGTGTGACTGTAATCTGAGCATAATTTTCAAAAGATACTGGTGATTTGGAACGATCGGAATTATCGAACACGATGGTAACTGATGCTTTTGTGATACCAGCTTGACCACGTTTGTAGATCAAATCCTGTAAATTTGCTGCACGAACGGCTGAAAGATTGGTGATACCCAAGACGAAACAAATTGAATCCAAAATGTTTGACTTTCCACTTCCGTTCAAACCTGTGATTGCATTGAAACTAGGATCAAAGCCTGACACATGCGTACGAACCGGATAACTTTTGAATCCATCGATGATCAATTCTTCGATCCGCATTTTGGGCGACAGAGTCAGCCTTTACGGATGATAGAATGACTTTATAAAGCTAGGATGATGTCGTGGTGGTAGAAAAGGGGATGCCTAAGGTATATGCTCAGCATCACCAAATAGAAATCTGTAATAAGTGTTGTTGTTTGCAGTGCATCCCTAAAAGCTGCATTCAATCAGCAATCATAAATTGCACGCGTATACACACGCGTGAGTCGGGGGTGTTGGTTCCAAAGTGGACATTGATGAAATGAGCGCGTGAGGCACGTGAGAAGGAGCGTAATTGAAAGCTTTACGCGTTGTTCAACTTTAAGGCTCATAAGGAACACGTCTTGTCTGTACTTGTCAAGCGCGTACGCGTAAAGAGAACCAAAGCCATAATCCAACACCAACCTCATAAGATCAAGATTGAGTCTTGATGGAGTGACACTTTACACAACTTCTGACTACGATCATATCAATTTCAACATATTTAAAAAGAGATGTCTTCCTCAAGAGATCGAAGCGTTGGATTGGATGAAGATCTCGATGGATATGCATCAGAATCAGAAGGAGATTCAATCTCTCTAGCAAGTAGAGACACAGATGATGAATCTGACAGGGACGACAGCGAAAGTGAAGCTGAAGAGATCAGCGATGAACATTACGCTGCAATTCGATCAACCGTCATTGATATCACAACTGCTCTTGGTGGATTGGAGGAAGATATAGATGAAGATGGAAATATACGCAAAGTATATGCAATCGGTGATGAGTGCCTACGTTGTCTACGTGATTTGCGAACACTTCTCCATCAAGATGAGGATGATACTACAAGAGTGATCCCAATGATATTCAGTGAAGTAAATGTCATTCAACGGGGATTGTTACCTCTCCTTCTCAAAGCAGCTGATATGGGAGAACGCGGTAGCAAGATTGCATTGGCCTGTACAGACCTGATCACCACATTGACATGGCCGATAGATATGGCAGCCGAAATCCAAGCTGCGATCAATAAAGACGACAATTCAGCTGCAGTACCGGATTACAGACGATTCCAAAGTGTTCTTGTATCTTACAAGGCCAGCATCTTGCGAAGTCGATCGGGCGAAACAGGCAGTAGCAATCGTAGCGTATTGAGCACAATCATGTTGCACATCCTACTACCTGCCATCTCCAAGCCAAGACATAAACGTACCGAACGAGAGATTGGAACGATCAGCATGTGCTTACATCTTTTCCGCAATTTGTTGGCAATTCCGGATCCTGAGGCCACTTCCTTGAGCGGATCAGAATTGATCGCTTTGTCTAACCTTCAAAACGATCTTTTGGTTGAGTTGAAATCTTCTCACATTTTGGAAACTTTGTTGATGCTCGCAAGTAATGCCCAATCGCGCGATTTTGAGGCATGGAATATCGTCACTGCAGAGTGTGTGTATCACATGTACTCCAGTGCTTTGCCTGAGCAATTGATTCAAAACAATCAAACACACATCCCAGGTCCCTCTACGTCCTCGACAAGCCGACAGAATACAAGTCTTCAGAATTCATTAAAAGCAGAATCACGCTTGAAGAGCAGTGAGATACTTTCATCAGGTACGTCTCGCCATTCTCGTTACTCGACAACGATCAATTTCAAAGACGCAGAAGGCGCAGTCCGCATCGCGAGAACGCAACGAGCTCTTCGAAAGACGAAAGAAGAGCTGCAACTGCAATACAAAGAGAAGAAGCAGAAGAGGAAGATTCAACGTAAGAGAGCACTGGATGAGGTCGGTGCAAGCAGTCCAAGAAGAAGTTGGACACTTGCAGCAAAAGCGGTCGTATCAGAATGGGCAAAGAACTTTGTACAAATGGGTTTTGAACCTCTCATTCGATCAGTCGTAAAAGATATCCGCTCTGAAAGTTTCAAGGCAGGAGACATTGCACAAACAAGAACCAAGATGATGCGAATATCGAATTTCTTCTTGGAATATTTCTTCCTACAAAAAGCGCAAGAGGACCGCAAAAGGCAAGCCACTCGTCAACGATCAAGTGAGAATGAAGCTGCGCCTGCAGAGGATGAAGATGAAGCCGTGGAGTGGACGTTCGATCTAATTGATTATTGGCTCGAGCCTTGGGCTTTGAAGATGGCATGGATGCGAGCCAATACAGCTCGGGACGATAAGACTTGGCTAGAATTCGCAACTGCCGTGAAACTTTGGACGACACTGTTAAAACTGGTGGAGATGCTCAGCAAAAGCCCAAATCGAGAAGATACTGAGATGGCCGAAGGCATCTTAGCGATGCACTTTTACGATGAATTGGCCTTGGATGCTGCAAAGGCTGTGACCAAATCCTACGGCAATCAAAGTTTCCGATGTTTAGAAGCAATCCTTGACTTTGCCCATGTGATGCCAAAAGCACTCGAACGATATTCAAAAGACAAGGAGAATCTCTTTGTCAAGATCAAGAAGCAAGCGAAGAAAAGAGCCGAGAAGGATCAAGGAGCAGGCGAGAATGACAATGCACCAACGAACGCAGAAGAAGAAGAGCAGGAGATGCGTCAAGTTGTGGAGAGCAAGATCAAAGAGAGAAAGTTTGAATTTGAACGATTCCAGTCTCATCTTTCGTCGAGTCAACTGATTGAAGCTTGCTTCACATATCTTGCCCGATGGCTTGATGTGACGGAACGTGTGGAAGAACACATGAGCGGAGTTATTCATGTTCTGCATCGACTGGCAATCAAAGCCAATAATTTGCGTCTTTTCTTCCCTTACGAAAAGCGTTTGGCCATTAAGAAGATTCAAAAGGATGCTGCTTTTTGGCAATACCTTCAATCCAATGCACCTAAGATTGTGCCTGATGCACAAAAGCTGTTCAAGTATATCCTCGACAAATTTGAACGTCTTGATGAAACTGAAAAGGGATATTGGGCAGAAGGAATGAAAGCGCCTAAACCTGTCAAAGTGTTCAAGATGCCAACGGAAATTGAAATCATTGAGAGCAAAGGACAGGCAGAAGATATCAAGATTGCCGTTGGCATTTTGATGGAGGCGGATAAGTTGCCGGCTGTAATGTGGGTCAAATCACATTTGGAAGAATCCCTACGTTCGAAGCTTGCGATCGTGGATGAGGTGCGAGAAGATGGCGATGCACAGCAAGAATCACAATCTGAACACGATTCAGACGAGGAGCGTGAAAGACCTGACAAAGCTCTTGAACGTGCTTCTGAATTGTTCCACGATCATCAAATGTCCTACTTTGACGATAACGAATTGCGGGATGATGCATCAAAGAGACCAGAAGTGAAGCTTTTGTGTCGACTGGTCAACTTGCGCAGTAATGAAGATGATGATCATCACTGGGTTTGGACTGTTCCAGCAACTCATATGCCGGAAGAGTTAAAAACTCAGATTACCTTCATCGAACAGGGAATGAACGGTGAACTCAGAGATGAGCCATGGGCAACGCTAGTAAGAAGGGTACGAAAGCAAACAAGAATCACCCGAACGGTTGTGAATGAATTCGGTGAGGAAGAACAAGTTTACGTTCCTCGTCAAAGAGCACCACGAAAAGACACTCGTCCAAACACATTCGTTGATGATTTGATCGAAGATAGTGACGAAGAAATTGAAGCTGCTGAACGCATGCTAGCACAACAAAGGATGCAAGAAGCACGTCGTGACAATATTGATAGTGATGATGACGAAGCAAATTTGAGCACTCTAGACGACGCTGCTTCTCCATTGCAAAATCGAATTCGATCAAGCGATCGTTCAAGCCGATCAAGTTCCGTTACGGGTTCATCTGTCCATAATGATGCTTCTCCGCAAAAGGTTTCACCAGCACGCAAGAAACGTACTTTAGGCTCTCTGAGACGCAGTCAGCCATCCAACGATCTCTTCTTCGGATTCCAAGATAGCGAAGAAGAAGAAGATTCTCAACAAGAGTCCCCCAAAAGGCTCAAAGGGGTTCACACTTCATCTCCTGGACGGCCCGATTCTGAGATGGAGGTTGCTGGTGATGGAGATAGATCCAATGCTGCATTGGAAGAAGCGCAACTATCTTACGATCCTACCATTCGCAAGAGGCGTGCTCTCATCGTAGATAGTGACGATGACGAATAGGTTCACACGGCTTAGCAGTTCCTCCGTATAATTTATATCATGTATCATTCTCATATCAGTCGTATTGTAGCAATTTTTATTCACTAGGTTTCAAGACAAGGTATGAATTGAGTTTGGGTCTTCCATCAGTCAAAGGTATGTACAAAATTTCGTAGCATCAAAAAAAGAGTCAAGGAACTTGGCATGGCTGATCACATACAAGATATGAGAGACAGGCGTGGAATAAGAAGAGAAACAAAAAAGGGCTTCCATCTTATCGAATTCACGTAGATCAATACATGAGCGATAAGATTTTGAGAGGAGGGAAGAAAAATAGACCGTACATTCGGGTATTTTATTATTACGTTCGATTAGGACGTTGAATCGATACTCAAAGCTAGCGAATGATTTTATTCAACAGCTTCTGTTTCACCTGCCTTTCCCTTTCCAGCAGCACGTTGAGAAGCATCTTGAGATGGTTCTCCTGCGGCTGGTTCTCCACTTTCACCTGCCTTCTTTTCGACTGCGTATCCGTTTGTTCCGATTTCGATTCCGGATCCTTTTGTTGCACCAGAGTATGCTGGAATTTGTTCTTCTCCGGCAGTTGCGCTGGTTGCACCGACTTCATGGGCGGCATTGTGTTGTGTGTTTGCAACTGCTTCACCTGCTTCTTCATATTCGTCGTCCTCCTCTTCAACGGATGAACCATCTTCTTCCTCTTCCTCTTCTTCTTCGCTACGGTAACCTGCAGCACGAACAGCTGCAGGAACAGGTCCGCTACGGTCCATTTGTTCACTGGAAGTGAGGTAAACCTTACTGAGTTGTTTGATGTCATTCCACCATTCCATCAATTCTTCATGAGAACGTGCACGGAAAGTGTATGCGTGATCGCTCTTGCCCAAACCAGGCAATGATTTGACATTGGATGTCTTGGCTGAGATGTGGAATTTGTGCGATTTGGAGGCCATTGTGGATGGTGCGCCAAGGGTGCATTCAGGCAAGAAGAGAGACAATTCTGGGTGAGGATGACGGGTTGTGTCGGAACTGCCGTGTTCGTGCAAGTAACCGGCAGGAGTCAAAACATAGAAGCTTTCCTTGTATGTCTTTGTGAAACGCTTCTTGCGCTCCAAGATACCTTGGTGAACAGGGATAACGGATGGGTCATCCTTACCAGGGTAATCAATTGTTTCAGGGTTACGCAATGGGGTGTCTGGGTCCAACAAGTGATCACTGCGAGCAGCGAATGCGATCCATTCAGAGTTGGGTTGCAAGCTGCGCATTTCTTGACCCAAGCTCAACCATGTGTCTTGAACTTGAGCGGACATACGACCACTCCATTCATCGAATGTTTGCCATGCGGATTGAATGCTGCGAACAATACCTTCTTCGAAGTGGGCAGAGTTTTGTTGCATGATAATGATACTCTTTTGCAAAGCATTTTCTTCGTTCACTTGACGTTGCAATTGACGGAAAACGTTCATGTTTGCGGTATAAGGGTCTTCCTTGGCTGTAACGCTCATTGGAGTGTTTTTCAACAAGGTGATCGAACGTGCCAAATCAGAGATCATTTTTGTGGACATTTCACGTTCCTTTGCGACACTGTTTGCCAATTTGCCGGTGTCTTGTTGAACGTTCTTTACGTGAGCCTTGATTTCAGAGCGCAACTTTTGCAAATGTTGGACGATTGAACCTTCAACAGTTTTAGCCAAGTTTGCATGATGATCAGCAATGATACGTGTCTTATCACGAATGCCGTAGTAAACGTCTTGGATACCATTTTCGCCCAAGAATTGGTTACCTTCGCGGAATGGAACTTGAATAACACCGCCCAATTTTGTTAATTCTTTTGCGGTATTGTATTCGATATCAGCAATACCCTCAAAGTAGCTGATCAATTGTTTTGTGATGTGCTTCCAACCTGTAAAACGTTCGATCAAGATATCAGATGGACGTAATTCATGTGGTCCAGTGTTCTTTTTGATCAAACTAGCATTGCGACTGGCAACGGTCGATTTACGACTGAGGCTAGAAGCGCGGGAAACGCTGTGAGCGTCGTATTGTGACATGTTTGTGTGATGGAAGAGGAAATAAAGTTGTAGACGAGATGTCCTCTTTTAAGGTGATGGTGGGTAAGAGAATGAAGGGTGATGAAAACGTGCGAGTGGATTTGGGTTTGATTTGACACTCTTTTGTCCATCCGCATTACGTTTTTTACTCAACCCAAAGCGCACAATAACTGTCTAGACTTCTCGGACGCTATTGCCGTAAATCAAGTCGGAGCACGCACGTAAGCACTAAGAATTTAAAGACGCATGGGGTTGAACGAGCAGCAACAGCAGCAGCAGCAGCAAGCAGGATTATGCTAAGAAAAGGGCTAGAAAGTGCACATTTGCATTCCTTCTTCTTCTAAGGCTGTGCCCTGCTCTGCGCGGTAAAGCGGGTACCGACCGCAATGTGACGTAGCCTATTTTGGCATTTAAACAGTCTGTGGAAAATTAATTCAACCGACCTCCACTCTATTAACGTCACTGCTGATATTGTCCCGGAAGTAACTTTTAGCGTGAGCCATAACAGAGTTGGTGTATGATGTGGAATGATATGCTTGCAAGAAGGGGCACGAATCTATTCTTGGTACTGCTAGTCTATCTTGTTAGTGAAGCTGGGGCATGCTTAAAACACCATTCACCGGGGGAGAATCATCGGAAATACAAACGGGTCCGACATTAATCCATTCTAACAAATTCGTCATTCATCACGGCGAGGTCACAATAATAAATAATATTCAAAGATGGTAATATACAATTAGTAAAAGTCGTCATAAAAACTTTAAATTCAAGCAAGCAAAGCGTTCATCCCACTCGAATTCGGTTTAGGAGCATCAGCGGCATAACCACTCGTTGCACCTCCGAAATCATCTCCCAACATAGAATAAGGATCAACCTCATCATTTGATTCATTGACTGATGCAATAGGTCTCTCTTTCCCATTACTGTTTTCATGTTCGTCCTCAGTGCCATTGATTGGCTTTTCTGCATCTTGGTCGTCATCCTCTGTCTCTTTTTCCACTGCATTATGTCCTCCAATTTCCGGTGAAGAGGAAGGTGCGGCTTTTCCAGATACTTTTTCATGTCCATTCGCATTTGCTGTAGATGAAGTATTACCAGAATAAGGGGTACGTGTTAGTGGTCTTGAATAAATATGAGAAGAAGCATGTCTCCTAGCCGATTCATCTAAAGCAGGAGAATCTGGCATATATCGTGCTTTTGTTCCTCTGATAAATGTTTGTGGTTGTCTGTGAAAAATGCTTGCCAAAGTTGCACCATGCAACAAAAGTTGATCTAATAATTGTCTATCCATTCGATCCGTTTCCGTGCTAATTGCAGGTTTGTCAGCCAACACAATCTTTCTCGCTGCTGCTGGATCGGTGGAAAGCAATCTCCAATAGATAAATCCTCTATCACGACAATCAGGATTATCAACTTCTTCCGTGGCCCACTTCAGCACTTTTGGCACCAGCTCGCCTCCTACCGTTGGACGCTTCAAGAACAATTTGACAGTTGCTGTCAACAAGGCCAATTGCACTTCGACCGGCTCTTCCAAGAAGGTATACAAAAAGTCTTCTAATAGTTCGTCACTATTTTCGATGCGATCAGCGTATTGACCTATAATCCAAATCATTGCCGCTTTTGCTTCAGGTTCATCCAAGCTGTCCAAATTCTCGCATAATGTAGCAATGACCGATTCATATCGATTGGGATATTTGCGGAAGATATCCTTGATAACCACAATTGCTTCTTGTACCACATAATTCACTTTTGTTTGAATTAGAGTGAGCAATGTTGAGATACAACGATCAGCGGCTGATTCAATCTTGATTGCCAATCGTCCAATCGACCGAACTGCCTTTCGTACGAAATCCACGTCCACCTCGGTTGCATATTCTCGCAATTCTGCCAAAACTTGCTCGACATTTCGCTCGTTCGCCAGTCGATACATGATTTCCAATTTGGCCATCTTGACGTATACTGGGTCATTATACTTACAGAAGAAGATCTTGACTTCATTCTGTAGAACAATTGGCCTTCTTTGGATGACGAGTAGAATATTACGCAGGGCCACATACTGCACTTCGGGACCGGAGGAAAGTAGCGTTACCAATGGGGGGCTTAGCTTCTTGCAAAGGCTTTCCCTGAATTCTGCCGAAGCAATGTAGTTCATCAAATAGAGAATCACTTTTGTTGCAGTAAGCACGACTGCTGAATTCGCATGTTGTAGTCTGATTGCGATTCGTTCAGCCAGAATCTCCGCATCTGCATAATCTTTTGGTACAAAGAACATCAAAGCTTCCAAGATGTATGTTTGTCCCCATTCTGAACAATCAGGTAAAGCGCTGACCAATTTGCTCGCAACCGTTAGGTTTAGTTTCAGTTGGATGTTATCGCTGCGTTCTGAGATTTCTACTAAAGCGGCAACTGCATTTGCGACAACAGTTGGATTTCCATCGGCCAATAGATCACGCAGCATTCCAATAAAGCCTTGCCTATCTACCAGCCTATGATCGTGCATGTATAGCTTAGCAACACAGATTGCTGCTGTCTTGCGTACGTATGGATCTGAATCTTTGAGAGAATGCCGTAGTGGATCGATAAGAGCTTGCAAGACGGCTGGAACGGGGATGTATGACATTGTTCGGATAGCCAAAGCGCGAATGAGAGGATTTCGATCATTGCAATCGGACAAGAAACCAGGTATTGCTTCTGGTACCAAATCGGGTTTCGATCGTCCATAATTGATCAAATAGAGATAAACCATCTTTTTGATTTCCAAAACTTGAATGTTCATACATGCTACCACATCAGCGAATAACGGGCTCATATCATTTCCCAACGTTGCATTTGCGATAATCTTTTTCAATACTGTTTTCCTTCTTACCCATCCTTTATCCTTTTTATCCGATAATAGTTCTGCTCGTAACTCTTGCACCTTTCCACGCTGAAACAGCTTTGCATCTTTACCTGTATCAGCCATGTTAGGCAGACAGATATAGTGATGAAGTTCAAAGTGATGGTGTTATGGAATGACGGTAAGTGGAAATGATTCGGAGTTATGGATTCCGTAGAATTAAGGCCCATGCATGCTGTAAAATAGACTCAAACGCGTACCCTTCTTGGCTCGTCCAATGCCTAAATAGAATACAACAATGAACAAAGGGACGAGGGAGGGCAGAATTGTTGGCCATCTCGCATTCATTCTTCCTTCGTTCTCTCCAATAAAGTGAATTAAACAAACAAAAGGATCACCATTACATCAATCTCTGAGCTAAATGCAAGCAAGGGCCAAGAAGGGATAGATAGACAACGTAATCGAAGCAAGATCCCCAATAATAAACGATGCGATTGGAGTCTTCTAATGATATCATTGCTAAACATGCTGGTCCACATATAGAAGTCACACCCGTATCCCGACATAATCAAGTACATACAACCCCATGGTTCTAAAGTGGTGGTCATCGGGTTACGGAGAGGTTGAAACTGAACAGCATGATTAACTTGCCCGCTTCTTCAATGATTGACGCGCTAAATGCATAGAACGGGAAAAGTGAAGTTACGCATTGAATACAGGTAAAGTGCCTAAATCGGGATACGGATTGTGTTCCATAAGATCTCTGGGGAAGAAAAGAATTAAGTTTCCCTAATCGAAAGAACATATATTAGTAGCAATAAAACACCTTTTCTCGCTTCTTCCTTTCGTACATCATCCTTTGTATCCGAATCATGTCTCCTACACTACGATCTAGAGATCAGAACGGGAGGGCACACACAAATGGCAACAAGGACAGCGATCCAGACTCCACAGATCTGTCAAAATGGCGATTGAAAGTCGAAAAAGGAAGACATGTTTGGCATTATCTGAAAACAGATGAACAATGTCAACAATGGCCACAGACTGATGAAGATAAATTCTGGCTAGGGATCGATATCGGCGCACCTACTTTGCCGAAACCAAAGACACCCTTGGACGCAGCAAAGAATGGCTTTGAATTCTATAGACGCATTCAGTCTTCCGATGGACATTGGAGTGCTGCTTATGGTGGTCCACTGTTCCTTATGCCTGGTTTGGTGATCGGAATGTATGTCACTCAAACACCAATCCCACAAGAATGGAGAATAGAGATGAAACGATATTTGCTCAACAAGGCTAATAAAGATGGAGGTTGGGGCTTGCATACAGCAGGTCCATCTACTGTTTTTGGAACAGCATGCAATTATGCTGTTTGCCGACTACTAGGGATGGAAGCAGATCATCCAGCTATGATCAGAGCCCGTGCCAAATTGCATAGCTTGGGAGGAGCTACCGGTATTCCATCTTGGGGTAAGCTTTGGCTCGCTTGTCTGAACGTATACGAATGGGAAGGAATGAACCCTATCCCGCCAGAGCTGTGGACTTTGCCAGACTGGTTGCCAATTCATCCTTGGAGATGGTGGATTCATACACGTATGGTGTACATCCCAATGGGCTATTTATGGGGAAAACGCTTCAAGGCTCCAATGGATCCTCTCATTGAATCGTTACGAGAAGAATTATACGTCGAACCATACGAAAGCATTCAATGGTCAAAGCATCGAAACAATATTGCCGAAATTGATGTCTGGGCACCTCATACGCGCACATTGGAGGCTTTGATGGGTGTCTTGTCGGTGTATGAATCGTGCGGCGGTCTCCCTCCTCTGCGACGTGCAGGAATGAGACGAGCTTATGAGCTGCTAGTGATGGAAGATGAAAACACAGGCTATCAGGATATCGGACCCGTGAACAAGATGCTGAACTACATTTGCCGATGGATCGAAGAGGGACCCGATTCGGAAGTGATGGCGAATCATCGTGAAAAGCTGAAAGATTTCATGTGGATGAGCGGAGAAGGTTTGATGATGACAGGTACGAATGGAAGTCAATTATGGGATGCATCGTTTATTGCTCAGTCTATGGTTGATTCTGGGCTAGTAGAACAGCCGGAAAACAAGAAAGCATGCGAAAGTATCTTGGAATGGCTCGATGAACATCAAATCCGTGAAGATCCAAAGCATTACAAAGAAGCATATCGATTCAGCACCAAAGGAGCCTGGCCTTTCAGTACAAAAGAGCAAGGATACACGGTTAGCGATTGTACTGGAGAAGGAATGAAGGCGACAATCATGCTACAAAATGAGGCAGGTTTAAAAACGAGAATATCACAAAGAAGATTACGCGATAGTGTGGATCTCTTATTGACCATGCAGAATCCTAGCGGTGGATTTGCAAGCTATGAAACGATCAATGCTCCCAGTGCGATCGAGTTGCTGAATCCAGGAGAAGTCTTTGGAAACATCATGCGTGAGTATGATTATCCAGAATGCACAACATCCGTCGTTACTTCTTTGCTTATGTTCAGAAAGATTGACGATTATCGTTCCGAGGATATCGACAAGTGTATCAAAGGAGCGGTAAAGTATATTCTTGCAGCTCAACAGCCAGATGGATCATGGTTTGGATCCTGGGCTGTTTGTCATACGTACGCGATGATGTTTGCACTAGAAAGTCTCTCGCTGGACGAACAAACATACGAAACGAGCGACGTTGTGAAGAAAGCATGTCATTATCTTTTGGATCGTCAACGTGAAGATGGAGGATGGGGAGAAAAGTTTGATTCATGCGTGACAGGCCGATACATACAAGCAGATTATTCTTTAGTCGTTCAAACAAGTTGGGCATTGATTGCACTTTTGCATGCCAAATACCCTGAACCGGAACCGATCAAACGTGCTGTGAAAGTGATTATGAAACGTCAAAAGCCAGATGGACATTGGGATGATGAAGATACGGTTGGTGTGTTTAATAGGAATTGCGCTATCGATTATCCACTTTATCCATTCTCTTTTTCTGTTTGGGCATTGGGTAAAGCACATAGATTCTTGGCAGCCAAGAATGCCCTGTAGAGCATGTATGTGTACAACTTGAATGAATACCTAATCTCTCTAATCTCATGGTCATCACGTGTTAGTGATCAGCTGTTTTTTGACAATTAGAGGGACCCTTACTAACAATCTGTCAGTCGAGCAATCTTTCTCACGCACTAGCACGGTTCCGTTCTTTTTAGCTTCCGTCGTTTTAGTCTTTGAATACAAAAATTAGGGGGTTGTATTACGTATATCTTCCACTAAAAGTTCAGACCCTTTTTTTCTAATACAAAAGATGATTATTTTGTATTGCTATTGTCTAGACTTTGGTGAAAATGCCGCGGTAAAATTCGACGCGTGTTTCGATAGAGAGTGACGCTGTGCCCGAGTAAAGATAACAAAAATCTTTTCTGCCCCCGTTCTGATGACCCAGCTCTTTTTTTTTTTTCGTTGGAGAGGGGGAGGGTTTTTTTTATTCAATTCAAATTATTGTTTTTTTTTCTTCAGAATAAAAATTTTATTAATTCAAAGGCGGGAAAGCGGTATTAAATGAACCTCCGTTTGGAAGAAGAAGAAGAATCTAGATTTGTTTGGAAGATTTTTTTTTTCTGGTTGGGTTCAACGGGTATTTTCTTGACCGATGAAAAGAATATGAGCCGATATGCACAGCTTTTTTGGAAGTTCCAGACACACACACACACACACAATTGCCAAGAAGGATTTAGAATTAGGATTTGGGTTTTTGTTTTTGTCGGCACTTTTGGTGAAGCGAAGGACAATCAGTGCATACATCTATGCAGACCAATGTCAAAACGGTGCAGTTTGCATATCGTTGGTGAAAAAGCAGAGGAAAAAATTTATCGGGAACGAGTGTCGTTACCTTTTTTTGGAAAATTTTTGAGATTCTCTCAATTTTTTTTCTGTTGCTCTGACTTGCTTCAAAAATTTTATGGCATAACGTGACCAAGAACAGTTTATGCACATCCGACTGGAGAACATCATCCACATCTGGGCAAATCAAAATTCTATCAACTATCTCCACCTCATCAATCATCGTCATGTCGACATCACACTGCTAACATTGGACATCACCAATATTCTCGTCCGCACACTATCAGAAACAGCAAAGCGAACTGAAGTTTAAGGCATTCTTCCAATCGACTCGATCATTCGAAACCTTGAATTTCAACATATATCGCCACCAATAGTCTATCATCTTCATCAGCAGATTAGTATTGAGATTGTATCGCTTCTCTCAAGTCTATTCGACATATCACCCATCAGCAATCTCAACCTCCTCCATCTCTCGCACGCCTACTTTGTCCAGGCGTCATCCAAAGGTATCGAAAGGAGAGGGGCTGTGCAGGTATAAGGACATCGGTTGTAAGGTGTAAAATAGGTGGGAAGAGGAGGAAAGGAGAGAAAAAGAGTGTACTTTTAGAATCTTGTGTGCGTGAAGAACATCACAGATTTATTCCAAGGTAGTGGCGGCCGGTATAGGTCACAGCAATTTGGGCGTTTTTACGTACGATATGAGTTACCTATCACAAAACGGGACTTGGTCCACAGCAAATCAAGCCCCAATGACATCACAAGCAGGTGCTTCGATACATTATAGAGCATCGCATCAGCCGGATGCGCAAGCATGGCTAAATTCTTCCAGCTCATCCCATTCATCACCTTTTGCTGCTCATTCAACCGAAGGTACAAATAGTCCAATGCCATCTTCTTCAAATATCAACAATGGCGGCCATCCGATGCTAAGTAATCCATTCGATCCAAACGCTTTCAGGATGCCGGCTTTTTCGAATGCACATGATCCGAGTATGGCCGCACCTTTTGCTGCACTTTTACATCAACAGCAGGCAATGAATGGGTTCGGTAATGTACCTGGCATGAACATGTCTCAACAGACGTGGCCCCATCTTCAACAATTTGATGCAAGTCAAAGTCATATGAATGCAACCGGCTCGCAAAATCCTTTCCAAGGTTTTCCTGCTGGAATGCAATCCGGTCATGGTGGGTCGCAACCGTTCACGTCTATGAATCAATCCAATACATCTTTGGCCAATTTCCCGATGCTGTTGAGCGCCAACAATATTACTGCAAGTCCTTCATCGATCGGACGTAATTCTCCGAATGCGAGCAACCATGTATCTGGAGTGCCATTTGTTCCTGGAGCATCTCCTGCTTTGGTCAATTCGATGATCAGTCAAAATACAAGTCAAAGCAACAGTCTTGTTGGAACGCCAAGTGATGGCTCTATGCATTCTTCTGATATGGGAATGCAAGGATCTTCAATGCCTTCCACCAGCAATGATGCACAAGCTGTCAAGACTAAACGTTCTTCCGTTGGCGGTAGTACCGCAGGCACGCATAGAAGGATCAAATTCCGTCGAAGCAGGACTGGCTGTCTGGTTTGTCGAAAACGTAAAGTGAAATGTGACCAGGACGGATTGCCGTGCAAACAATGCAAATTTGGAAAGAGAGATTGTCATTATGAAGAGAATCCGTTGCCAAAACGTCGAAGGAAATCGACTGTTAGTAACGTGCAATCAAACGAGATAAGTGATGCAGAGAAAAAGAAGGGTAAAGCTCCTTCTCACTCAAGCGAGTTGAAATCGTCAGATCAACAGTCAATACCACAAATTACCGGCCAAGTTGCGCGAAAAGACGATCAGTCAAACGTTTCGCAACAAGCAATCTTTGAAAAGCTAAGGCAGGCTGCTAGTCAATCTTCATTTATGAATTTGCCTGACTATGGCAGTAATTATGGAGGTGATGATGATTCAAAAGAACCATCTGAGCATTGGGCCAGCACGGGATCTGCGTTCAGCGCTTTTCACGGTGGAGGTGATGGCGAGTGGAATATCACTACACCCTCAACCGGTGCAACTTCTTTGCATACCGTTGACGGCGAAATGCTGGGCTCGAACAACAGTAGCAGACGGGTTACGCTATCAGATGATCGATTCGAACAATTCGATTTCGGATCTGGAACGGCCAACTTGAATGGCAATCAGACGAACGCAGGCGGAATTGACATATTCGCCGGATTTGCAGCTGGTCAATCAACGAATCTTGATGGAGACCATGCAGCAGGCATTCAAAATGCGATCAAAGACCGTAAGACATCCTTGTCACCTTTACACATGGATGCTATGCACAATCGACTTTCCTTTGATCACACTGGCATGTCGAATAGGATAAACTTTCAAAATCAATGACATAGTCAATTGCCAGCTTATTTATCCCACAAACAAACAAAACTTTGTACTTCTTAACAAGCATGTAAAATTCTTTTCCCCCTTCATGTGTACATACACTCATAGGAAACTATGTAACAACATCCCATTCGCGGCCATTGTAGAACAACCCAACATGCACCCCAAAATCCTCTCTTCCGATCCTTCTTCTTTATTTGAAGGATTGAAGAAACCAAAAGTAGTTCTTTGTATTTTGACTTGCTTGTATTCTACAATAATTTACACACCATCATATCCCTTTAATGATCATTTCTACTTCAAGTTGATTGTTTGTTTGTTGTTGGAATACGCGGTAATTCTTCTTTCTTACGCGTTAAGTGTTTAGGTAAATGCATAAACCGCGTGGAGAAGAAGCAACACAATCAAACATTCTCAAAACCATCATCAATACAGCAGAATACAAAATGAGCGGATTAGGAGCAGCGAAAAAAGTCCGAGGGGCACTGATCGTGATCGAAGGATTAGATCGAGCAGGAAAGAGTACCCAAGTAAGTCGAATTGCCCAGTCAATCACAGCAAAAACAATCAAGTTTCCCGAAAGAACAACACCGATCGGTAAAATGATTGATTCATACCTTGGTAAAATGAGTGAAATGGACGATCATGCAATTCATCTACTATTTTCGGCAAATAGATGGGAAAAAGTTGATGAAATATTACGATCTCTAGATGATGGTCAACATGTCATTTGTGATCGTTATGCATTTTCGGGAATCGCTTATTCGTGTGCAAAGGTGAGAATGATTGATGGAACGAACAGAGGGAAAGAAGCTTTGACTGACCCATTCCTTCTACCCATGCAGGGACTCAGTCATGATTGGTGTAGATCGCCAGATGTGGGACTGCCTTTACCAGACTTGACGCTTTTCTTATCCTTGACGCCAGAAGTAGCCGCTCAACGAGGTGCTTATGGTGAAGAAAGGTATGAGGTAGTTGCTATACAAGAAAAGGTCAAGACTATCCTGTCTCAATTGGGCTCAGAGACAAACGTTGGACCTTGGCAAACGATTGACGCAGGTCAGGATATCGATAAAGTGACAGAAGATTGTTTAGCAGAAGTGAAGAAGGCAATCGACTCAGTTCAATTAAAAGGAGCTCCGATAGGTAAATTGTTCACATAGATGAAGCGGAGACATACTCATCATATTGTAATCTATACATCAAATGCATGCTTTGCATCTCATTACCTGCTCCTATAATCTCTACCGCCTTCTTGCGCCGCCTGCTGCTGCACCAACGGGAGCTGGACCACCTGCTCTGGTTGACTTTAGACGAGCTCCAGAACCCGAGCCACCGCTAAATCCATCACCGTTTTCTGCTTCGTCATTATTCGCATCAGCGATCTCCGTTGGGATTAGCATCATCAAAACGACAGGTAAGATGTAATACCAATATTTTCGCACGAAACTTTGTTCTTTCGGTGGTTCTTCCCCGGGTGCTAATGGAGAGCCATCTGGTTTTGTTGGAGGAGCAGCAGGAGGTAAGACTGTAAGTGGCTCTTGTGGCTTATTCATATTGATAATCACTTGCTTTGCCGTTGGCACAGTCGCAGCTGATAGGATAGGACATCCGTCGACATCTAATTGTGAGATATCTAATCCAGCCAATTCGTAGCCCAAGCTCAAAACTTCTTTACCATCCCTGTCAGTATGTACTGTGAAGCTTTCATCACTGTTTGAAGCCAAGTGACACTGTAATGAATGAGGAAATGTAGTCAGTATTTCGATGTTCACAATGGTTACCAGAGCAGAGTTAAGCACTCACTGTTCTAGCGAAGGTGATAGGCGCTAAATCATCAACTGTGTTTGTGCCTTCTGATGTTAAAGCGAGCTGATACAGTGATCTAGATGTAGATTCATACTCCGGTAATGCTTTCCATGGCTCTGTATTTCCCGATAGGTCTTCATAAAGTGCACCTGATTCTGCCGTTCGAATAATTCCACGTTTAACCCAATCGCCCGAGCCTATCCGATGATGCAATGTATAGCTATCTGCGATAACACAGCCTGCTTGTAAGGCCAAAAAGCCGATCAAAGGACCGAATGACCTCATATTGAACTGTCTGTGTATGTGATGGTGAAGGCAAGGAGAACAAAAAGACGCAAGTAGTTTAACAGGCTCATAATGCGTTTGGGCCAACCTTACGCCTTAAAATCCACGTGCATAGAAAAAGTTCGCGTTGGACTCCTTCTCATTCTTGAATCCTCACAAGGAACGTCACTATCAGCCTTTCCCTCTGTGTGAGGATCCTGCTGACTATACCAAGCACATCTGCCAAACATGTATGGGCTCTTGTCACGAACAGTGTTTGTGCGACCGACAAACATGTTGATCACACAGCCACTTCAGGTCTTGAGCATCGCACGGGAACTAGGGAAAAGATCAGGAAATAAGCTCATACGATTTCGTGCTGCAAGGGTAGGTGTTGAAGAGGGAACGGTAATCTCTGACAAAAATGTATAAATGCTTACGCCCCTCTTTTACTTTGCTTTTTTTCATTTCCTAGGAACCTGATCAACAAAGACTTCTTAATTTTGGCTCGTTCACCTTTCAAGATTCAGAAGCAGCAGGTGAAATCGTTTATCAAACTTCAACCATAACCGTACCGATCAACGGCAGAGCGGCAAGCAATTATGAAACATTAAAGTTTGCTCCTAAAAAGAGGCAAGACCAAGAGATTGGTTTGATAGAAGTTGCATCAATGGTTGGATTACCTCTAAATATTTCGGGAAGACAGGTGATACGACAAAAGGTTGAAGATGAAACAGAAAGTCAAGTTGCATCAGAGTCAGAGTTAAAGTATGTTCTAGCACCTATCTCTCAATCTTTACCAGAAGTCTCGTTTCAGGCAGAAGTCAAATGTGAAAGAAGGCAAAATGGTGAGTATACAGAATGACGATAAGTTATAAAGCAAGAGAGACTGACATATCTTTTCATCTACCCTCGTCCTCACAGCATCTGAGAAAATTCGATCGGGCAAGGGAATGTTTTCAAAAAGATACAGCTTTGACAGTGAAGCACCTATTGCAACCCGAACATTGTCACGATTGGACAGTGCTTGGGAAAAGTTTGGTGGTTTTACAAATCGGTACCAAAGAAAGTCAGTCTATCGGGAGCAACAGTAGACGGAGGCAGAAGAGAAGGACGACGAGATAGCAGTGGGGCTGTTAAGACCTGAGTTGTATTTTACTAATATCCATGTAATATAATGTTGTACTGTAAAAAGAAATGGGATCGATGAAGAAAGTAAAGTAACACCATCAACTTAGAACGTGTATCCAGCGAAGGAGTGCTAGCTTTGCAAACGGACAAAAGGTGGACGAGCTTTTTCACACTCTTGCCTCAATTCGTTGTCACAGTGGGCTGAAGTTGACAGATGTTAATTTACTCCCTTTACCTATCATATTCGGGTACGTTCCCTCGTCAATAGGCCTAAAGCAGCGGCGCTCCTCTAAAATGAAGTCTTAGATCATCATCTTCTGCGCACTACAGATTTGTACGGTAAATCTAGGCCGTTGCCTCGGATGCAAACACATCAGAAGACGACTCTTTCCCACAACGACTCAAAACTCGAATGACGGACATGAGAGGTGAATACAATTGCAAATATGGTCGTACACTTGTTATAACTTTATTCGGAAATCTTTGCCAAAATCTCGGAGTCGCGAATCAAAAGGTATTCCTACAAGAACAAAAAAAGAAAGGGTGAATTAGCTCATCTGTAATGCTTCTTCAAAATGCACTTTCACATACTCACCTCTTCTTGTACTTTGATCGAATTACCTCCCCATCCTGGTAAAAGAACTTTATCACCAACTGAAACGCTTGGTTTGATCAATTGACCATCCTTATCTCTTGCACCAGGTCCGACAGCAACGACATGTGCTTCAGGTAATGGACTTGTTGTAGCAGAAGAAGGCAAGAATAAACCGCTTGCAGTCTTTTCGTTTGGTTTGAAACGTTGGACCAAGATTCTGTCCAAAAGAGGAACGACTGATTTGACGTTACGGATAGTAGATGCAGCTGCGCCAGACATTTTGATTTGAAAGCTGTGGTGAGGATGAGGTGAATGTGCTGATGATGAAGAATGTATGGCAACGAGGATGAATAAAAAAGTGGCGGTCTATGCTCGGGCCTAAAGCCGAGAAAGAGAGTCTAGCCTGCTTAAGGCACACTTTCTTCTCGTCTGGAGAAAAAAAAAGTGTCACGCCCTGTAGTCAACCTTTTCTCTTGCTTCGAGCAATTTCTACGACTTTCTTCGCGTAAGATGAATTGAGTAAAACACTGCTCTAGTGCACTTTTAATATCTTTTTCCGTTTTCTCCGGCTTAATGGCAAATGCAAGAGACGCTTTGACAACTTTCCTTTTTTTCTCTTCTTCTTTTTCGGGTTTAGCTGACGAATCAGTTTGCAATTGTCATCATTCCCAACCTCATCATCCTGTTTCCCATTTCAACTAAGCAAAGATGGTTTTCCTACAACAGGCAAATATGATGGCATCTAGAAGGACAAAATCTTTGTTCGCCAATGCTGTAAAAGCTTCAACTTTGGTTCCTTCTTCTTCTCAACGTACCTTTGCTACCTCTTCTCCCGCTTTGGCACACAAAGAAGTCAAATTTTCCAACGAAGTTCGCAGTTCCATCTTGAACGGTGTTAACTTGTTGGCAAATGCCGTTAGTGTCACTTTGGGTCCTAAAGGTCGTAATGTGATCATCGAACAACCATTCGGAGGACCAAAGATTACAAAGGATGGTGTCACTGTTGCCAAATCAATTTCCCTCAAAGACAAATTCGAGAACTTGGGTGCTCGTCTCGTTCAAGATGTTGCAAACAAGACCAACGAAATCGCAGGTGACGGTACCACAACTGCTACCGTTTTAGCCCGTGCCATTTACGCAGAAGGTGTCAAGAACGTCGCTGCCGGATGCAACCCAATGGATTTGCGTCGTGGTGCTCAAGCTGCTGCTGATGCCGTTATCAAATACTTGGAAGCAAACAAGCGTGCAGTCACAACAAGTGAAGAAATCGCTCAAGTTGCCACAATTTCTGCAAACGGTGATCAACACGTTGGTCAATTGATCGCCACTGCTATGGAAAAGGTTGGTAAGGAAGGTGTGATCACAGTCAAAGAAGGACGTACACTAGAAGATGAAATCGAAATCACTGAAGGTATGCGCTTCGACCGAGGATACATTTCACCTTACTTTATCACCGATGTCAAGACACAAAAAGCTGAATTCGAAAAGCCATTGATCTTGTTGAGCGAAAAGAAGATCAGTCTTTTGCAAGACATTTTGCCTTCTTTGGAAGTCGCTGCTCAACAACGTCGTCCATTGATCATCATTGCTGAAGATATTGACGGTGAAGCTTTGGCAGCCTGCATTTTGAACAAATTGCGTGGTCAATTGCAAGTTTGTGCTATCAAGGCCCCTGGCTTCGGTGACAACCGTAAATCTATCTTGGGTGATTTGAGTATTTTGACAGGAGGAAGCGTCTTCTCCGATGAATTGGAAACCAAATTGGACCGGGCAACTGCTGACCTTTTGGGTACAGCTGGTAGCATCACCGTTACAAAGGAAGACACAATCTTCCTCAACGGTGAAGGTGACAAGAACGCTCTTGAAGCACGTTGTGAACAAATCCGTGCTGCAATCAACGATACAAACACATCCGAATATGACAAAACCAAGCTACAAGAACGTTTGGCCAAATTGAGCGGTGGTGTTGCAGTGATCAAGGTTGGAGGTGCATCTGAAGTTGAAGTTGGAGAAAAGAAGGACAGATATGATGATGCATTGAATGCAACCCGTGCTGCTGTTAGCGGTGGTGTTTTGCCAGGTGGTGGTGTTGCATTGTTGAAAGCAACTGCCGCTTTGGATGGTGTAAAGACTGCCAACTTTGATCAAGAATTGGGTGTTTCAATCATCAGACAAGCAATCACAAGACCAACCAAGCAAATTTGCGAAAATGCCGGTGTTGAAGGTGCAGTGATTGTTGGACGTTTGTTGGAAGCAAAGAATGAGCCATTCGAATTCGGATGGGATGGAAGTGATTCTCAATTCAAGGACTTATTCAAAGCAGGTGTTATTGACCCATTCTTGGTCGTTCGATCTGCATTGGAAGGAAGTGTTGGAATTGCATCTCTATTGTTCACCAGTGAATGCTCAGTCGTTGAAGCACCTGAAGAGAAGGGACCAGGTGGACCACCAGGAATGGGCGGCATGGGAGGAATGGGAGGTATGGGCGGAATGGGAATGATGTAGAAAAAGAAGTGAACCATTCTTGACTCCATACTCTCTGCATTTGTCTTTTTTCTCTACAACGCAATCACCACTCTTTGATTACCATTTGTACAGCATATTAAACCTAAGACTTGATGCACTTTTGTTTCCAAGTCTAATAAATTTCATTGAACAAGATTATCAACCTGAGTGAAATGAGAGGTTATTCTCCGGTTTGTCCGGCCCGATTGAGTCCAAGCGTACGCGTTCCTGAACACAATTTCAACAAATCACTTCCCCACACTCGCACATTCTTGACCAACATCTTCGATCATCAACAACTAGCGAGAATGTCATATCCTACTCCCGAGCTACAGCCTCTATTAGAAGAGATCGGATCGCTACTCAACGAGACCGGACAAACATTAGCCATTGCAGAATCAACTACTGGAGGTTTATTGAGCGCAGCTTTGCTCAGTGTGAACGGGGCAGCTGGATGGTATAAAGTGAGTGATGTGTTGGGATTGATGGCTGGATTCAAGGGCTCAGACTGACTTTAATGACTCTAATCATCAATTATAAGGGAGGTGCTGTTTTATATACCCTTGACGCACGATCTGAATATGCAGGATGGACAAAAGAAGATGTAGAGAATTACAGGTAGGTGGTATGAAATCCCAAGAACTGTCTCTTTGTACATGACTGACAACCTTCTCCTTTTCTTCACTGCAGAGGGCCGACTGAAGGTGTTGCGAGTACATTGGCAAATGGTGTAAAGAAACGCTTGAATGCAACATTGTGCATCGGAGAAGCTGGAATTGCAGGTCCAATGAGTCCTAGTAGAAGGCTACCACCGTATGTATTGAGAGATATCAGAAGATCAAGCTGTCGTTACTCAAATCTTCTTTTCTTCCCCTTTTCTACAGAGGCCTAACATGCTTGGCCATCGCTCGCGATGATGGACCACCGATCACGAAAACTGTCATGACTGGAGTACGAGATCGGATCGTGAACATGCATGCGTTTACAGAAGAGGCTTTAAAGCTATTACATGAAACATTAACAAAGATGAAACAGGGAAATGCAAAATTGTAGAGCGAGGTTCTGTCCTTTGAATTGTAGAATAAGATGATCAAAATGATAATCGATCAACACTCAAGCCTCTTTCCCCTCGGACCCGTTGAATGATTGCTGCCGAAAACAGATAGATTAGATAATCAGCCTTTAGAAAAGAGCTCCTTTGTCTGCAGGGCAACAATTAGGGGGGTTAATTGATGATGATTAGCACACAATGCTTCTTCCCCCTTTGTCTTGTGATTTGAACACCGCAGAGCTAATGAAATGGATATATGCATTACAATTGCCTTTGAGTGATGCAATGGCTTGATTAAAAGTTTTACAATTGAAGTGACTGATTCTCCAGCAGGCTGTTTATCAATTGCGGCGCATACCAGTCGGCAAGGTTTTCGCGCGTTTTAGTTAGCGCAATTGAACACCTTCCATCAAACCGGGCAACACAGCCCGACGGCGGAAATTAAAGAAGACAGGAGGACACAGACACACCACAACAACGATCTGCAAATTAAAAGCCTTCTTTTCTTATTGCAAGTTGCCGTTTCAAATCAAAATTCATTCAACTGCCGCCGCCGCCGCGCCCGCCGATAGATTCAACACTCTCATGTTTATTTTTAGTCGGTTCCCCTTTTGCTTAAATGAAAATACTCCTGTGCCAAGCGTTTTAGGAAATTCAAATAAAAGAAAAGGGCAAAAAGCAGAGAGCATTTTCATTTAGAAGAAAGAAAGTGTTGCATATCCTTGCATCATCGAGACTTAACTCTAAGAGCTTGCCTATATGTGATATGTTTACGAAAAAGATCTTTTTTTTCGATGATTTCATGCATATCTCACCTTTTGATCATGCGACTTACTCAGAGTATATACCAGGGTGCATGATCAAATTCAATTACATACATACATACCTCCTGCCTCTGCCTTGCCAGTAAACCACGCAAGTCACGACTGCGTTCTATAACGGAACCTGCGTACGATAGAGAGTGAGTTCTATGCAATAGAACAAACACCTGGCATAATCCATCTCCCTCTAATCCTACCACCATTACCTTGATCACATTCTTACGTGACAGGTATAACAGCATTATACATTTTCTCACTTGTCGACTTTTTCTCCATCATGGCGGCAAATTATTCCCGTATCAACGGCGGACGATCACCAATACATTCACCTCTTCATTCTCCTTCTGCTATTCCAGGTGAACCATACGCTGGCAGTGGAAGTGGTGGAAGTAGTTCTCATAGTAACGCAGCAGCAGATTCACTCATCGCTCCAAGGGTAAGAGGTACAGGCATGGTCGTAAACAGTGAATCATCACAAGTTGGAGGTCATGAATTCGGTCCTTATGCTCCTTTGAACAGAAGAGCAAACGGCGGCGGTAATGCATCTTCTTTCGAAACAGATTCTTATTCAGAGTCTTCCAAAGATCGTTTGTTGAAAAACGGTGGAATGCAAACAAGTGCAGCTTTAGCATACAATGGAGGTACAGGATACGGACAAGATGTTGAAGGATTACGAAAGTCTGAACCAGATGATTACCTACACGACCCTCGTGGCGCTGATAAACATTCAAGAAAAGTTTCATTAGGAGGAGCATTGAACATCTTGACTTTGGTTATTCTTGTATCAGGCTTGCTAATGTTGTTTGCCGGTTATCCAATCGTGTACCATTTTGTGACAGAACAAGAAGGTAACAAGGGAGCATACGGATTAGGAGGTACAAACGGAACAGGTCAAGTCGCATCACTCTCTACCGTTCGTCCTTTGGTTGATCCCGATACGCCTGCTGCAAGCAAACAATGGACTTCACCCGTCACCAAAACACAATATCAGCTCCAATTCTCTGATGAATTCGAACAAGAAGGCAGAACATTCTGGCCAGGTGATGATCAATATTTCGAAGCAGTAAACATTTGGTACGGTGCAACACAAGATTACGAATGGTATTCACCCGAAGCCGTCAACACAACAGGCGGTGCACTTGTTATCACGATGACTGACCACCCTACCCACAACCTTAACTTCCAATCTGGAATGGTTCAAAGTTGGAATAAGCTCTGTTTTACTGGAGGTTATATCGAATTCTCCATCATTCAGCCAGGCTCACATTCAACAAAAGGATATTGGCCTGGTGCTTGGGTGATGGGTAATTTGGGCAGACCGGGCTATTTGGGCACTACGGATGGAATGTGGCCTTACTCTTATCAAGGATGCGATACAGGTATCTTGCCAAATCAAACAAACGCTCAAGGTGGTCCAGTGCCAGCTGTCCATTCTACAGCTCAATATGCTGCTAACGGTCAATTGTCTAAATTACCCGGAATGCGAACATCTGCTTGTACATGTACCGGAGAAGATCATCCTGGACCAAAGGTTACGGTAGGAAGAAGTGCACCGGAAATTGATGTTTTAGAAGCACAAATTCAAACCAGAGATGGTGTTACGGATTCGTATGCCAGTCAATCTTTGCAAACTGCTCCTTTTGATGAGTCATACTTCTGGGTCAATACAACTCCAGCTACGACTATCTTTGGATCTAATACGGAAATTAATACATACGTCGGTGGACCATTGCAAGAAGCAGTTTCAAGTGTTTCACTTATCCCAAGAAGAGGTTTTGTAGATGTGGATATGCCTGATGCACAAAAGTACGTAACCTTTGGATTGGAATGGGAACCTGATTATAATTTGAACGGAGGTGGTTCTGTTACCTGGTATGTGGATGGTAAACAAACATGGCAAGCAACAGGTGCTTCTTTGCCACCAAGTACACTCATGCAAATCTCTCAAAGAGAAATTCCTGTCGAGCCAATGAGTATCATTATGAATTTGGGTATCTCTTCTGGTTTCCAATCGATCGATTGGGATCCAACAACCGGAGTCAATTTCCCTGCTCAAATGAAGTTTGATTACGTTCGTGTTTACCAAGAAAAAGGCAAAGAATCGCTAACATGCGATCCTGACGATTATCCAACTGCCGATTATATCAACAATCATATCGATGTTTATAACAATCCAAACATTACTCAATGGAAGGAAAGCAAGTATACATGGCCAAAGAATAAGTTGACCGGATGTTAATTCGAGTAGAATTCTTTTCGATCACTTTCATTTCATGATATATAAACAGGACATTTCTTATCTTTTTTTCTCTTCTTCTTTTTCGTGTGCTCTTTGTCATCTTGCTTCACTCATACAATCAATTCAAGCACAGCAATTTTGTTGCTCTTTCTTATTTTTGTGTATAAAACATCTTACTGCTCTATTCAATACAGAAACAAATGCATTTAGAACTTTCAACAGAGCGGGTTCATATAGTGATTTTAGACCGTAACGATAAAATGCGTTGAGTACTTTGACTCCATTCTTGTGCGTTGATAGAGCCATTAATAGATGCAATGGCTAAATCTTGAACGATTTGCCAGCCTTGTTCAACGTTTCGAGCGCCTACTAAGATTGAATCTTGGCCGGCTTGAATTGCTAAAATAGAACGATGACTATCATTTGCACCGAATGCATTCAAGCCTCCAGCTTCGATTGCATCCGTAATGATGACTCCTTCAAAACCTAATCGGTCTCTTAATTCATCCGTTACCCATTTTCGACTTAGGCCAGAAGGAAACTTTGCATCTAAGGCAGGATACAAAGCCCAGCTTGGCATGATCAGATCAACATCAGCTTGAATGGCAGATTGAAAAGGTTTTTCATCAATGGATCGTAATTCATCTAAGGATGTATTAATCGTTACCGGTTTTGCATCTGTATCTTGACCTGCTTTCGCAGATCCTAAACCGGGAAAATGTTTTGCAGTTGCAAGTACATCTCCGTTTGACTGTTGAGATTTAATGAATGCTGAAATGCATTCTGATGTAATGGATGATTGATTACTATAACTTCTACCGTATTGATCTAAGAAGTTACCCGATTGACGATATACTCCTCCAACGGGTGCTAAATTAACATTGTTTGCATATGTACGTAATGCTGAAGCTGCTTGTTGACCTGCACTTGTGGCAGCTTGAACAGGGTTTGCAGATGCACCAATCTCTTTCTCACTTAGGGATGGACCTCCAGGTAATCTACGTACTTGTCCGCCTTCTTGATCCGTCATGATTAACAACGGTGAACCAGCATATGCTGAGCTTGAACGATATACACTTTGCCATTGAGTCACTTGACTTGGTAATGAAGGTGAAACATTTTCACCGAATAACAAAATTCCTCCAATTGCACCTTTTTTGATCAATTCTGTCAATTGATCAGGCGGAGTGGTTCCTGAATAGGAATAAATTACATGATAGCCTGCTGATATTTGTGCTGCTGAAGCCGAAGTGGTTTGAGAATGTGCACCATGAACGACAAGGCGCGAGCATAAAGCTAGAAAGGCTGATGTGTATGTGAAGAACTTCATCTTTCTAAATTGCTGGATGAGGAATGATGAAGAGGTGGTAGTGAGCACCTTTTATATCATTCATACCAACCTAGAGCACGGCGAAAATAGCGAAATGGATAAAGTGGTAGATAGCTTCCACGTTTTGCTTTAACCGCCGGAGTGAAAAGATTTTCCATTATCCGTTGTAGAAGGCGTAACAAACTTCTGACGTCAATCTACATCCTTCTACCTTCAGTTTCTCTTTATACAGATGTTCTTTTCAACGTTCTCACTTCATGACAATCATTCTAATTTCCGTTGGCCGAAAGCTTCGCCGGCGCTAAGATTGGGACTTAGCGTGCAAGGATAAAGAAATGCATCATTGACCACATGCTATTTTGATTCCAATAGGAGCTTACTTTGTGGGGTGATCTTCTCTGAGCTATAGTAAGTCTATTGTGTTGAATTTCATGACCACAACAAGAAGGAGAGAATGCTGAATTTTCGTTGCGAAATTGATAAAAATACAGTGCAGTTAAATAATCACATATGTTCTTGAAAGCGAGCTCAATCGTCTTGAATATATCTGCGAATGGTATGAGAACATGTCAGCTTCTCATGACTACTGCGCATCTTTACCTTCCTCCCTTTACACTCACCTTCTTCGTAGGGTACGATATTTCTTCAATGAATATAGCGTCTCGGTTTCTAGTTAGGAAAAAGACATGTCAGGACATCATGTTTCATGCCAAATAGCCCTAATCACACACCTTTCCGAACAAAGTCGCCCAAGTCTAACTTTTGCTGAATCTCTTTGTCATCTGTTAAATGAGCATTCTTTCGGAACCTGGCAGAAAGGAGGAACGACAGATATCAGTTTGATTGTCGGAATGGACCTAGTATGTCACCACTCACATCACCCTTAGCTTTCCGATAAAGTCATAATTGGGATCAGGATAATCTCGCTTTCGTTTGTCAGGTCAGCATACATCGCATACTTGTCCTTTCGTACGCATATACTCACCCCTAAACGGTGTAATTCTTTATACAACCCAATCGCCCGAGGTCGTAAGTGATGTCCTAGAGGAGGCATATTTGTGATCTTGATTTGACTAAGGGGTGAAGTGACTGAATTGATATCACTTGAAGGTTCTCCAGATGACCTCCACTGGTAGGATTGATTATGATTAGCAGCATGCGCCTGCCTGTAAATGGCCCAAACGCCAAGAATGGAATATGTGTTGATTGCGCGTGTTGGATTCTCGGTTAAGGCACTTTACGCGTCTGTTACATTCACTCCAACCATTCCGCACCTACTCTCATTGCCATTCACCTTGGCTTTGAAAGTTTTGATGGTCAAAGATGGAGGAAAGCAAGCATGAGAATGGTCATATTGACGATGTAATCTTATCAAACAGTAATCTACCTGCAGAAGAAGCAGCAACATCAGCAAGTGCGCCGATCGATGAAGAACATTATTGCTATACAGCAAAGTATGGCAAGGTTAATGTTGAGGTTCGTTTGGGCATAAGTGATTCAGTACAAGATTTAAAGGCAATCTTATTTTCAATGACAGACGTTCCACCTGAAAGACAAAAAATTCTCGGTTTAGCAAGAGGAAAACTTCCAATCGATTCAACTTCATTGGGAGAGATTGTTTATCCTCCCGCAAGTTTACGTGATAGTCCTCATCCTGCAACGGGCGAAAAGAGAATCACCATCAGCCTGATTGGTACGCCTTTGGATCAAACGTTCAAAGATCCCGAAGTGGAAACAGGCAAAGGCGACGGTAAAGGCAAGAAAAGTGAAAGTTTGGGTGATATCGATTATAGCGACCCCGAGACTGTAAAGACACTCGAAACTGTACCAAGCAGTGATCCGCATGCATTGACGAAGCTTGAACGTGCAATTTCACGATTCTCGCTGACATTTCCCATCATGCATGAACCAAGAAAGAATCTCAAAGGTGGTCTCCTTGTTCTGGATTTGGACTACACAATCGCAGATACGAAGAGGTTGTTACATTATCAAGTCTCTGCACGCGAAGCCGAAAGGCCTGGCCTACATGAGTTCCTCACAGCGGTCTATCCATACTACGATATATGCGTCTGGAGTCAAACCTCTTATTGGTGGCTTGAGGCAAAGTTGACCGAGATGGGCTGTTTGACTCATCCGGGTTACCAAATTTCTTTTGTCCTGGATCGTACACCTATGTTTTCGGTTCGATACAATCCCAAAAGCCAAATCGAAGGCAGTTCAACGAATGAACAAAAAACAAAAAGGAACAAACATGAAGTGAAAGCGTTGGAAATCATTTGGAGAAGATTTCCCGATCTATACGGTGCTCATAATACGATTCATATCGATGATCTCTCTCGCAATTTCGCTATGAATTGCCTTAACGGACTCAAAATCAAACCATACAAGCACAGTCCTCGTCCAGACGGAGAATTGCCAGCTTTGCGTGACTACTTGTTCAAGTTAGCACACTCCTCGATCAAAGACTTCAATTCGCTAGGAGGTCATAAAGATTGGAAGAAGCGAGAATTGCCGAGCGTATCCGATGAAAGCCAACAAGACCAAACAGGATCGAACAACAATTCCACGAGCTAGTCATGCTCCATCACAATCAGCATAAACACATCTGTATTTTACACAATTTCAAGAAAAATGAAAACACTAAAGTTCAATAGAAGAAACCGCATGCTTTGATGATTAATCATATGATACACATTGTAGACTAATTTTCCCTTCTTTCCTCCTCTTCTGTGTCTATTTGTGGGATCCCTGACCGCCAACGATACTCCAACTTGATCGCTGCTCCGCTTTTCCAGATGAAACGATGAATCTGAGCTAGAGTCATAGTCGGAGGAATGATTTGGTCTTTACAGAGCAACTCCAAATAATCATGAGGTGAGGAGCCATGAGGCATTACCCAGCCTACACTCTTCAAACTTATTCCACCACCAGAAGATGCAACAGAGATAGCCGATGGCCTTCTCAATTGCAGATTTTGAGCGGCTTGCGTCGTAGCCCCACTTCCTTGCGTTAAACGAGCAGATTGTGAGAATCCGTTGGAGTTCAGACCGCCCTTTGCCATAGTGAAAGCTTTTGTGAAAGGATTGTTAGTCTGAACAGGAGATGCTTGCGATGCACTTGTGGAAGGCGATAGTGGAGGATGACTCGTGCCAGGCATCGGCGGAACATCGGTAACAATTGCTGATGGTCTACGAGAAGCAACGATGCTCGAAAATCCAGACGTGTTTCCAAAACCACTTCCACCAGCTGTGTTTTCTTCATCTTGGCTAATTTCGATCAGATGGAGCTTATCCGCTACATATGCACATGCTTTCTTTGCTCGTAACATTCTTGTAGCCGTGAGACGAGAATTTCCAGTCGGCATTGCGGGAAGCTTGTTTTTTGAAGAATCTTCAGGAACAGGTGCGGCTGTGTCTTTATCTGCAGCGATTTGACTACTGCTGAGTGAAGGTATGGATGAACCTTCCCACGGTACAAGGATGAACGTCAACTTATCTTTTTCCCGCAGTACATCATAAGAAGCAACGCCAGATGCATCTTTATAATCGAAAAGGTTTTCCAACAACCATATCGGTGATTGCAATTCCAGTGTGACAACATCTTCTTGTGTCTTCCCGACCAATCCTCTGTACTTTGTCTGAAAGCTTCCAGAATCGTGAGCGGATTCAGAAATGATGAGAGCTGTTTCTGCAGGATAATGAATTACCGGGATTTCTTCCATCCACTTCTGTCTTGGAGCAAGAGACGTTGTAATGTCACTCAGCGCTCCGGGAGAAGCTTGATTGACGGCAGGCTTATTTGCTACATCCTTTTGTTGATTGCTAGAGCTAATACTTGCGAGGATGGTACGCAAGGTATGTAGTTGCTGTCGTGTCTCCTGCGTTAGACCATCTTGGTGGTCGTTGGGTCCGTTTGTATTTCCATTTTCTGTTTCTTTTGAAGCACTGTGGAAATCATGCTTTCCAGCTCCCGTTGGCGTTTTCGGAGGCTTTTTGGAAACGGTTCCTTCTCTGCGCAATCCCATCCTCAATTTACCCATAAAGCCACCGCTTCCAGGACTAACAGCCGATATTCCCGGCGTCACAGGAGATTCCATACCTTTCGATACTACTGGCGTTTGCGCAGCACTTCCTGGATGATCTGTACCTCGCTGAATAGAAAAGTAGTCGCCGATCGCTGCTCCGTGAGCAGTGGCGTCGGAACTTTGATTCGCATGCTTGTTCAACATCAAACGTTGAAGCTCACCTAGATGATGCGTATTCGTAGGAGACAGAGGACTTTGAATGGGAAGAATCGCTGGCGTCTTGGGTCCAACAGCAAGAGCAATCCTCCTTCCAGATGCGTCCAGACCATTCACCCGTGATCCCTCCTTGTCGCCCTCTTTCAGGAACTTTTCAACTCCGTTTTTTCGCTCTAGAGCCAACAATGAATTCGGTAGGATCGCATTTTTGTCCAGTCGTAATCGAGTTTCTTGTTCCACAAATCCGGTAAAGAGATTCTTCAAAATCATCCTACCTTTATTTACCCTCTGATCTTCCTTGTAGGTAAAGTAAGGATCCGATTGACGAAAGAGTTCTTCAGATTCGTCCAGGTAAATCTCCGAATCGAAGCATCTTGGATGTTCCAGGTGAACACTCAATGCGCCAATTTTTGTATCCACAGTGCACCATATCGGTGCTGCACTATGGCCTTGAATTCGTCCCTTGATCACATCTAGCGCATCTCCAGGCAACAGTTCGGTACAAAGATCATTCTCCTTTGCAGCACTCTTTAAGTCAGACCATGTATAAGCACCTAGACATTGACCGGCAACGATGTCCCATAAATACGTCAAACCTGCCGCATCAATCGTGAGACAATGTCTACGATCATTCAACAAGGTAGACCGGATCAAGCCATAGGTTCCATGAATCACATCTTGAGGTGCGTCCCGCAGCGGGACTGCATCGATGGCCAATCCTCTCTCCTCGAATGCTAGTCGAGCTTCCAAAGCTGCTTCATTTTCGTCTCCGTCCTCGGAATGATCGCCGTCTCCTACAAGAACATCGTTGTAGGAATGTTGAGTCGTTGTGGGTGCGAACCTTAGACTTCCACTGCGTACACTTGAAGGTCTAGCGGTTGACTCGCGTAAATGACTGGAGAATGGATATCCAATCGAGGGAGAAGCGGCGTTGGAGATATGAGCGTGTGACTGTTGACTGAAACTTGGGTATTGATGTTGCTGCTGCATGGAAGCATTCGGTGCAGTATCATAAGAATGATCTTCAGAGCGTCCCGCAATGGTTTGAACTTGACTTTGCTGACGTAAAACTGACGGGATTGAGATCAAGCTAGCTGAAGTGAAGATCGTGTCTGTCTCATGAGGCGTTGCTGCCTGACTGGTAGCTCGCATACTTATGCTTCCAAGACCAATTGCAGCGCCGTAAGGATCATTTGGGGGTGCAAGACATACCAGCGAATCGAATGGTATTCCATACAATCTATCAACGGAAGAAGAAGCAGTCTGCGTCGTATCTTGATTGATATCTGGAGAATGCGTTAACGAGCTCTTCAAGGATGGAGAGGCACCGAAAGAGACGCTGGATGTTGATGGCACTATATTTCCCGATGCTCCGCGCAAAGCACTAATCCGAGGAAGTGGTGGTGATGACGCCGGATCTTGCAATGGTGCTTTCTTCAAAAGCGGAGCAGGCTGCACCAACGGGTAAATTGCTTCTCTGGCAGATTTGGACGCAATATCGAGCCATCTGTTGATCTTCCCGTTTGCATTAGCAGACCAGACAAAGCTGTCATCGGTTGTAACGAGGCTATGTATACCGGTTGCGTTTGACTCCGATGCAAACTTGTATTCGTCATCCACATCTGCATCTTTTGCCAAAACAACACATTCGCCTTCCGATACCTCATTGCATCTTTCCCAATCCACTTTACAGATCAAACCGCTGCGATCACCAGAATAGAAAATATCCAGTCTGGGGTGATCGCTGAATAATGACCATACACTATCGGTGTGATGGGTGAAAGTATGCAAACATCTTTGCTCTCCTAGGGACCATAATTTGATCGTACTATCTGATGATGCACTCAGCATGTGGGAACCATCTTCGCTCATGACTACCTTACGAACAGTGTCTGTGTGTCCGACCAATTGAGAAACCTGATCTCCCGATCGAGGATCCCACACCCGAATCACCCTCTCAGGGCTGCCGCCTGCCATTACCGTTCCTGCGTTATTCGTTGAAAGCGTATATATGGACGATTTGACAGAGGACTCTGGAAGGGTAATGATCGGAGAATGGCGTACTTCTCCTATGTCCCACAACTTGATTGTTTTGTCGAATGATCCACTCGCAACCCAATTTGCATTTTTTGCGAGAGTCAAGGCACGAACGTAATCTTTGTGTGTTCCCAATATCTGAGGTGTCATTGAACTTTGTTTATCGTGAGGATTCCAAATGTTCACATTGCCATCTGATGATGCGGACACAACGGTTTGATTTTGATTACACAGTAAGATCTCATTCACCCAATCCGTATGACTGCCAATGCATTGACGGAATGTAGCCGGTCGAATCTTTGCGTGTCCATCGTATAGGCCTGTTGTATCAACTTCCCATTCTCTTGTGGATGAGTAGCTATGATATCGCCCGAGACGTGATTCTGATTGGCCCCAATGATCGTCCAATAGGCCAGCAGTTGCATCTTCGTCGTATTCTGTGAATGCGCCATGCTGGGTGCGGTTATTCCTCCTTCTTTTTCGCATAGGTAAACCCAAGTCCCAGGCACTGATCATTCCATCTCTTCCACCTGCATAGAGAATACCTCCAGGAACACTAGAACTTGCACCTCCATCGCCATTTTGCACAATAGTCGAAGTATCGATGGCCAACGAAGAGATTGGGAGTGAATGTCGAGGATGAGATGTCGAAGGGGTATTCGTCAATCTTGTGTCTGACAATAAAGCCTCGTCTTCTGGATGTGGTAGTAGAAGAGGTCCAGTTCTGACGTACGCAGGTCCTTCATTTGCCTGTGATAATGTTGGTAAGGCGAAATATCTTGGCGGTTTTTCTATATTTGGCAAGACATAACTTATCCTTTGCACAGTAGGAACGGTGAATTCAGGTATCGTGTTGATTGAATTGTTTGCCAATCCATTTCCCGTCGTCTTTCCTGCAACAGTCATTATTCCAAAGTCCTCACAAGGATAATTGAATGACTTGATTGAGCATCAAAGTATGATTAAGAACGGTTTCTTGTTTGATTGAATACTTGATTACTCTATTAGCATCATTGAATGTTTCTTGTCTATATGATGATCAAAGTAGAATACATCAATGCGTACGGTCCCCGTAGGGTGGAGAATGCACTGCAAGATAATCAGGCCAGGAAGGTATTGTGAGCCTTTTTCCGGAGCTAAAGAGCGCGTTGTGCAGCGTGCAGCTGCTGCCTTGAGTAAAAACACACACAAACGCCCAGCACATGCGCCACTGTCAGGCACACAAAGCAACCAATTCATACGTGCGTAAGCCGCGGATCCTTACCTACAAATGAAATCCATCCCCCGGCAATCTCGGAAGCGTTACCGTTAACGTCATAACCCGATGATGGAAAATGAAATGAGTTTGCTTTTTTATTGTACAAATTGATGGTGTATTATATGGTACATGTATGCTTATGGTACATATGGTCTTCGTCATACCCGATTTCGATATTTAAATTACATCATTCATCTCCGCCTTCTTCCTCATCAGTGCTTTAGTCTTGGGACTTTCATCGTCATCTTCAATCGAAATATCTTCCTTGAGGTTCTCCTTGTACAGCATTCTTCTTTGCTTGGCAAACACATACAAGATCGCTCCAGAAGGTTTAGACGAGGAAGAAAAGGGTTCGTCACCATCACCATTATTTGCCGTACTTTCAGATTGTGCATCCCTTTCGATGATGTAGTTCAGAATCTCATCTTGTGTCAAAACAGCATTTTCTGCTTTGCTGAAATTATGATGCGTCCAATCGAATAAAGAAGCCAACTTTTTTCGAGTCTCTTTGACCTTGCGATTGATATTTGCCTCTGTTACTTGCGAAGCCATCATAAAGCCTGGTAAGCTATCTTGTTCGTCCTCATCTTCCTCTGTAGGCGTTCGATCTTGGAAAAGGCGATTGACATCGTCGAGTAAGATCCCTTTCCCTCCACAAGGACATTGCAAAATGTCATGTGTTGAACAAGGTGTATCGTTTTGATATCTCAAGACGTCCCTCAACTCTTCTTCTGCGAAGTCCTCTGCCAGATTGCTGTCCTCTTGCGTGAGCTGATAGCTATCTTCTTCGCTTTTGGCGACCATCAAGGCATCACTCAATCCCATCTTGCTGATTTGCCTTTGGAATATTTTCTCGTCTAGTGTTCCTGACAACATTAATCGGTAAATGAAACATTCCTTTTTCTGTCCAGTTCGATGAATGCGTCCCATAGCTTGATGATCTCTTGCCGGATTCCAGTCGCAGTCAAGCATAAAGAGACGATTTGCACCCATCAGATTCATACCTTGCCCACCTGCTTTTGCGCTCAAGAGCATGATGAAACAATCTTTCGAAGCTGAAGTATTAAACTCATGCTCGATCCCTGACCTTGTTTTTGGCTTGACATTTCCGTCTATACGAAGGAAAGGATATCTCATACTTTCGCAAATTTCTTGGATGATATCGAGAGTCATTGTAAAGTTCGAGACAAGAACGACTTTATCATCAGTCTTACGTCGAATGCCTACTAAGAGTTTGAGGAGGGCGGAGATTTTGCCGCTGTCTTGAGAACGGCGTGTTTTGACCCGTGGCACGGTGTCGCATGCTGCTCCAATAGTGGCTTTGATCCGTTTGCCTGTCTTGCCTTTGCCATGGACATCGTCCACTAAAAGATCCGGAGCACTGCACAACTTCTGTAAGAGAAGAATCCTCTCCAAACCCGTTAGCTTCGGCTCAGTAGCCAATTGCTCAAAGTTGACAAGCTCGAGGGATGCCAGGGCAGTGTAAATTTTATGTTGAAGTGGCGATGGGTTGCAGAACAAAACGATGTCATGCTTCGGTGGAAGTCGTCGATTGACTGCTTCTGCAGTTCTTCGCAGCAACAAAGGAGCGGTGATCTTTTGAAGTAATCTGCTGCGCTCTTCGGCCATCTGCCAATGTCTAAAAGGGCAATTGGGTTTTCGTCCACGGGTAATGGGAACTTCGAAATCCTTCCTGAATTTTGCTTTGTCTCCCAAGTAACCTCTTGCAATGAAGTTGATCATGGTGTAGAACTCCGTCAGATTATTCTGGATAGGGGTACCGGTTAATAGGATCTTTCTCTCTATGCGCAAAGAGTCAAGAGCTTGAGTAATCTGCGAGTCTGCGTTTTTGATCTGATGAGCCTCATCGCATACAAGCAAGCCGAACTTTGCAGAAGAAAAGAGCGTACTATGGTTGCGGACCTTTTCGTAATTGACAACAAGGACTTCATACTTTCCATAAATGACACTCTTGATGTCTGTGTTCTCGTCAGCACACAGTACTCGGCATTCATCTCCGAGCCATTTCTTGAATTCCAATTTCCAGTTGCGCACCAATGTTGCAGGGCAGACAATGAGCACCTTCTCAACAGTGGATCGCCTTTTCGGGAAGAAATAGCAGCATTGACGCAAAAGGATGTCAACCACTGCAATGGTTTGCAACGTTTTTCCTAATCCCATTTCATCTGCTAATATCGCGCCTGCCGACTCTGGCATCTCATCTTCATCTTCTGCTTTGGCATTATCATCCCCAACGTTTGAGACGTCAACGAGGCTTCGCAATTGAGTGACACTGTTGTAGAGAAAGCGCACGCCCTCGATTTGATCTGGCCGCATCACTCTCGCGAGCAATGGATTGATATGCACATCAACAACTTCTCCGCCTCTTAGATTAAAGCGTTCTTGATGTTTTGCATCAGGACGATTCATTGCGATCAGATTGTTCCACTCTTCTGCAGAATAGAGCTGACAAGGTTGTGTGTCACTTTGACGTTTTGTGAGACCGAGCTTGAGAGGTGATGTGTTTTGCCCATAGAACAAATTCGTCACGATGGGCTCGTCAACGGCCTTTGTGGGATCGGACTGTGAATTATTAGTCTTGCCTGTCAAGACTGTCTTCGGCGGCTTGAAATGAGCTTTGACCGACTCTTGATGGGAGTCCTTTTTGCTAGCATCCTGTGAAGTAGGAGTTGGAAATTGAGTTTTCTGTCCAATACCAAAGAGTTGGTCCTTTGTTGTTCTCTCGCACACCAAAACCTCCTTGCTTCCGATGAAGAACGTTTGGTCTGGTGAAAGCTCTTTAGGCTTTTTAACAGTTTCCTCCGAAACGAATCGTCTAGTTTCCAGATCATACAGCCTGTAGCCTGATCCAGGTTTCAAAAAGATGTATCCGTCCGTCTCCCACGTCTTATGCATCTTTGTTTGAGGAGCTCGATACATACATGCATAAAATTGTCCTTCTGCCTCCCCTACCGGAGAGCTTTGTGATGATGAAGAGTGCGAGGTGTGCTTATTGAGCTGATCTGTGCTCATGGGCACACTTTCTTCCTCGTCATCATCTTCGTCTTCCTTGCGCAGTTTTTTGTACGATGCATATCTTGATCCTAACGTTCCACGAGAGTCAGGACAACTAGATCGCTTTAAAGGCAATTTGAACTTGGAAGAAGTGGGGGGCTTGAACGGCGCATTTGGCTTGCTCATCGTCGTCGTTGACAATGTGATGATTTGGGATGTGGATGGCAAGAATGAGCTGCATTTATGATGTTGATGGTAGTTAGAATAAAGTGCATATATGCGTTCGGAATTTTTGCAATTAACACGGTGTTGTTCTTGAAAGACGCGTAGCGCGTGTAGGTCAGGCTTACAAATAAGGGCCAGGCTACAAATATTGACCATGATAATGTAGAATCGATCAAAAAAAGTATGAAGAATCCACTCTCGATCATCAATGTCACATCCGGCAAAAATTGATCAGAACAAGAACAAAGAATTGATTGGGAGTAAAGTTGAGCAAAAGAAAAGAACAAAAAACGTATAGAACTGCAGCACCCAGGATTCCCGCGTGGTCCCCCACCGCAGTACTGACTAGGCGATACCGTGCTTGACTTCGCAGATCGGACGGGATGCGGTACTTTCACGGTTCTATGGCCGCAGATGTGAGTAAGGGACTGGGGTAAGAATATATACAATGCGCATTTCACAATGCACAGCCTTTATTGCGCTAAGCAAAAAAAAAAGACTTGCATGGTATCTTGATTGATTGGGGCAGCTGAGCAGTGTTTTTGCGGTGCAGCCTATGACTACCCTCCACGTTTGACAGGATGCAAGTTTAATTCTGTGGAGTTGAAAGCGGTCATTGAGTGATTGATCTTCTTCTTTCTTCCCTACATCCAAGGTCAAAACTATAGAGCCATCTCTATCAAACATGGACGGTCCCGTTCCCGATTATTATGCAACCCTTGGCGTAAGCCCGAAAGCATCAGCCGATGATATCAGACAAGCATACAAACGTGAATCACTTAGAGCACATCCAGATCGATTCCCAAACGCATCTGATGCCGAAAGACAAAGGTATACTGCACGCTTTCAATCTTTAGCCGATGCTTATTATGTTCTGTCAGATTCAACAAGGAGAGCAGAATATGATGGATTACGTAGAGCACATGGAGTAGGATCATCGCGAACAAGTGCAAGAGCAGGCGCATCACAACAAACCGGAGCACCTCCTGGTGGATGGGAAGAAGATGCAGAAAAAGAACAAGAATCAAGTTTCAACTTTTTCAAATCTTTCTTTAATCATGCTGCAGGAGCACCGAGTGGATCGACAAGCGCAGGTGAAAGTGAAGTTCCAAACGATCATACAACTTCTGCCGGTCAACCACAGGCAAATTACGTGTTTGGAGATGTGTTCGAAGAGCTATTACGACCAGAAGTGCATCGTGTGGCACCTATATGGAAGTGGGTTGGGAGCGCAAGCGGTGCAGGTCTGGGTTTTATTTTGGCAAACGTCCCTGGAGCTGTTGGTGGTGCGTTACTTGGAAATCGGTTGGGAGCTATTCGTGATGCTAAAGGCAAGAGTGTAGTAGAGGTATTCGGGGGCTTGGGAGCAAATCAAAGAGCAGAAGTATTGAAAGCTCTGGCCGTCAAAGTGTTGGGCTCTCTGGGATGAGAAGCTGAACTATATATTACGATCACCGACTTCATTACACCGATATCCAGCACATACCCCGTCGAGTTTTATTTTTGGCTACTTGATTGATTTCGCAGCGTCCACTCCAGATGACACATCCAATTTCATGCATGTACAGGCTATATATATTTCATCAATGATATTCTTTATGACAATTGCGTATTCTACTTCTTGTTGCCAATGATGTCTTCCACCATTGCAAGTGTGCCCAAAAGCTCTTCTTCGCGGAATCGATGTCCAATTAATTGCAGGCCGATTGGAGCATTCTCAAACACTTCCCGATATGTTTCATCTGAAAAAAAGAGAGGGAGGGAGCGTTGTCAGTGACAATCACGAATCTTTGCAAGTAAAGATACTCACATTCCTTAATTGTGCCCTGGTCTAAATCGCTAATAGATGGCTTCAACTTTCCACCTTTTGTCGCTTCAAACGCTTTATCCTTTTCTGCTTGGGCAGCATATCCTGCAACGGGGAAAGTGACACCAGGCAAATCGGTAAGATTAAATAGAGAAGTGTAACCCCAATAATAGATTTGTTGTGGTCTTGCAGCTGCTAGTGCTGCTGCAGGACAAAGCAGAACATCCAACGGTTGTGCTAATGCTTGTTTACCTCCTCCGTTCACGAAAACGTGCTGCCAAAATTGTTTCTTGAAGGCTTCACGTTGATATTGCAACAGCCAAATATCGGAAGCAGAATGAAGATGAACCGGAGGAGAAAAGACATACTCTGTCAACTTCATCAGTGGCTCGCCTGTTAAGGAGGCCAAGGAGCGCAACAATTCTCCATTTTCCATGAAACTGAAGGTGAGATAGCATTAAGTGTCAATATTGCAGTTGTCTATTGCCCAAATTTTACTCACTATAGCTGTCTCGCCATCCACCAACCTCTTTCACCGTAGTCTGCAGGATTTACATAAACAATATTGACCTTTCCCGACGCTTGCAACTTTTCGATCACATCATGCATTGCTCTGCGAATTGGTGTGATAGGTTGAACAAAGCCATCGTCGAGCAGAACACCAACGTTGAGCTTCTTACCAGCATCTACAGTCGGTTTTTGAAATCCTGTCCAAGGAAGTGGCGGGCAAAGATGAGGATCAGATCTTGTCGAATCTTTGACAAGAACGGAAGTGAGCAATTCCAAATCCTGCAAAGAACGTGCGAATGGTCCCATAGTTCCGAGAATACCTTCATTGCCTAGCATTGTCGTTCTTGTGCCTGAATTGTTGATCCTTCCTATCGTGGGACGCAAGCCATACAGGCCTACACATGCTGCCGGTTGTCGAACAGATCCTCCTATATCGGTACCAACACCCAAAAGTGTCGCACCACTGCTCACTGAAGCTGCCTCTCCTCCACTACTGCCACCTGGGCTGAGATGAACGTTGCGTGGGTTGAGGGTTTGACCATGTAGGTTGCTTCTAGTATCCAGCTGCATGATACTTTGCGGCATGGTTGTTTTTGCGATTATGATTGCTCCTTGCTCCAATAACATGGAGATTGCATGTCCAGTGACCGTCTGTACATGCGTGCCTTGTTTACGAAGAAGTGCAAGTGTACTGTCAGTCAAACGACTGGGATCATCTTTTGACTTTGATTCTTCCCGTGTGAGGATCGCATCAGTGCTTTCTTGATCTAAAACGTCGAATACGAAGCCACGATCACTACCTGAACCCTCCAATCCCAAATGTGCTTTGATGCTAATTGGCACTCCGAACAAGCTTCCCAATTGAGCAACATCTTTGGATTTAGTCAATAACGCATCCAATTCCTTAGCACGCTGTAAGGAACGATCAAAGTAGATCTCTGCATAGCAGCCCAAAACTTGTTGAGCCAATGCTGCTTTGACGAGGAACGCTTCCATAACTTGTGTTACAGTCCAACGACCTTGTACGATTGCATCTCGTAACTTTGTAGCTTCTTGACTTGCAGGATCGTCCAAAATAGCGCGATGTTTAGCTGTCAATACGTTTTGTAAACCGGCGGATTTGCTTTCGCTCAATACTTGCTCGAATGATTTGCCTGCCACATTTGGCTGATCATTTGGAATATTTCCACTTAACGTCTTTCTCGTTTTATCCAAACCTGGTACGATCAACTCTTTTGGTAGTGCGACTGAAACATTATATCGCTCAATGGCGGCTTGCCAGTCACCATCTTGAAAGTGTGTGTGCATAGTGAATGATGATGGTACTTGAGGAAGAGATATCTAGCAATAGAGAGCACGGCCTTTTAAGATAAGAACAGCACGCATTGTTCCCCGCATTCTCCGCTTATTCCGTACGCTAGGCACAAAATGACACTTTAAACTTTACATGGAAGAACAACACTTGACTTCGGGCTCTAAGTCCGAAAGCAGCTATGATCCTCGCGGGAAGACATTTTTACGCATTTGCAATGACATTCACTACAAATTCATTATTACTCATGCTGACTTCATAATATTCTTTCTATAGAGATAGAACTACATATCCTCTTGAGCGGCAAGCATCATTGCAGTATAGAAACGGAATCCATCCGAAAGTGAATCAATTTGTACGATTTCATTAACCGTATGAATGCCGGCATCGTATCGGACACCTTTTGGTAAAGGTGTCAATGTTCCAGGCGCGAATCGGAATAGGTGTTGTGTCAAATTCCAATACGATTTTGTATCTGTATTTCCTCCCATCAAAGAAGGCACAACCCGTAAACCTTCTTTACCCTTTGCTTCATTGGCGTAAGTGTGTCTGATGACTGAACTTAGCAAACGATAAGGCGAAGCATCTTTACCTTGTAAAGGCGTAAGAGGAGCAGGTTCAAGAGCTGAGTGGAAAGCATCTTGTAACTCGATAAAGTGACTTTTGGCGAATTGATCATTTTTGACAGAATGTACGAATTCATCTTCACTTTGCCATGCTTTCACGCCAAGACCGTACTCGTTGGCAACTTGACTGACCAAGTGTTTAAGATGATCACGAACGTACTGTACATCTAGATTTGCATCTATTCGATGATTAATCAAAACCGTTGCTTCTTCTGGCAATGCGTTGATCTTCACTCCTCCATACACAATATCAACCGCTTGTGTTGTAGTGAATTCGACACCATGTTGACTTGTGCTTAATTCCTTTTCTAATAGCTTTTTTGTGACTTGTAGCTTCTTAGCAGCTCTCTGAATGCGATAAGATTTCATACAGCTAGATTTTGCCTTGACCTTTTCAAGATGCTTCCTGGCAGCTGCGAATTTGCTCAAGGCGATTCCCAAACCGGTTTTACGTAGTTGAGGCGCATCTCGAATGCAAAGTAAGGATTGCAAAGCAGGAGAATCGCCACCTTTGTTATCCTCTTGAATTTTGACTTCAATCTTGTGTGGATTATCTTCTATATGTGAGATAATCTTGCTCAAATATCCTATCGAAGTATGCTTTGGCGGAACGGAAGAATGACCACCGGGAGTATGAACGGATAGTTTGACGTCCAAATATCCCTTTTCTGCTACAGCAGGTTCAGCGACAGATATACCGTGCATGTCTGAATCAACGCTATTGCCTTCATCGATTAGCATATATGCACCTTTTCCGTCTTTGTGAGATCCGTACAACTCTTCTAATCGTTTGTTGAGATAAGGCGCCCCTTCTGTACCTGAGCTCTCTTCATCGAATCCGAAAGCCAAAACAATGGTACGACTTGGTTTGAAACCCGCCTTTAGAAGCTCAGTCACAGAAGCAAGTAACATGATAAGTGAAGCTAGAAGGGCAAAAAGAGACAAGGTCAGCTTGGTTACTACTATCCTAGGTGTTAGAGCTACACACCTTTATCATCCGAGGCACCTCTTCCGTAAATCAAACCTTTTTCGAGATCTATATGGCCAGAAAACGCACCATAGTCCCATCTGTTCAGCGTATCTGGATCAACAGGGACGACATCTTGATGCGCGGTAAAGATGATTGGCTTAAGATCTTTCTGAGATCCTTGCCAAGTATACAGCAATCCATGTTCATTTACACGTTCAAGCGTGATTGAAGGTGAAAAGTGCACTTCTGGGAAAGCACTATAGAGATATTTGCGAAAGGGCGAAAAGATTGCATCCCATCTTCCTGGATCAGCAGAAACGGGAGGTGAATCATCAAATCCGGTTGTATTCACTTGAACGGCGCCCGATAAAAGTTTAGCAAGGATCTCTTTGGATGGTGGTGCAGGTATGTTTTGCTTGGAACTAGGCTGCCATGGAGCTTCTTGAGGGCAGATCGGCTCGCTTTCGGTCTCTTGAAAGAAGATATTGGACCGATTCAATGACCAAGTATAGATTGCCAATATCAACACTGCTAATAGCCACGTCCTTACGCGCCGACCTTTGGTTCTCGTATGATTTGTTGTATGCACTTCAGCTGGCCGATGACCCAAAATGCCTTCCTTCTTTTCGTCTCGCATTTTGCCTGAGCCAAAAGTTAGAAATAGATGATGGTGGTCGTGTGAGCATGACCTCTTCCTGCATGATTCAGCGGGAAGATAAGGTGACTAGGATTGATATGCATTTCTCCACACAAATCGTTAGCGTCTATACTAATGCGTTCGAGGTCAAAACAAGCTCATCCTTTACATCATGACATGAAAGGATTCTGCGTACACTATTCATATTCTCAAGGCATAGCTTTTGCATATTAGGTTTGCACATGAGTAGGTACATCATCCCTTTTATCGTGATGATTGCTCATGGAATGCTTCAGGCCGTTGTCACGATTAAATCAGCCCCATACCATAACCAATTACCTTTCGGCGCATATCATCCCCATACAAACTAATTGGTTGTCGGAATCGCTTGTCGCCATCCTGCTACGAAGCCGGAATGTAGACTGTCCCGATCAAAGACGGAACATTAACGACGCTTAAAAGAGTGCTTTTAACCCTTATCGTTGTGGAAAGATGATCGGTGCATTTTTCGAGATTAGTAGAACGGCTTCGATGAGAAATCTCTCTTTCGTAACGTCCGTGCTGGTCGGACAATGATTGATTTGAAGGCACCGCTTTTTGAAATTGGATTGTGTAAAAATGACGTGCTGAAAGGAGAACAAAAGTGTGAAATTAATTCCATCCATCGAGGGCAGTGTCATAAAGCGGGCTTTTAAATCTACTAATGATGCCTAAGCCACAAGTAAACGGACTCAGCTATTATCACTTTTCTTTATTTACTCTTCCCAACGGACAAAGAATGGCCGGAAAGGGGTGGCGTACATCTCATATCACCTCCTCTACAATTACGTTGCCGACGGGGCCGTTGGCGGATAAAATTCCAGAAGGAGTAGCGAGAATTTTTTGATGAGTTATTTCGAGGCACAAAACGCCTTTCTATTGCAAACTTTTGTTGGCGTAAAGAACTTGAAGATTGTAACAGAATCTTACTATAAAAGCCAGAATGGACAGAAAGATAAGACCCCCTTGTGACTCTCTTCCACATTCACAACGATGGCCTCACTCCTCGTTCACCTTTTCCGAAGAGCAGGTGAAAATTTCACCTTGCTCTTTAAGATTCGAGATGACGTGGACCCCGCTCAACCAAACAAGATTCGTTATGGTATTCGAAGACCGCAAAATCCAATCCTGTTGCTGTCCCGCTTAGAAAGAGATCACTGGTTGGCTTTGTTTGTCGGTTTTCTCGCTTTCTATGCCGATTTCTTGGACTTTAATGTCCTCGCTGCTGCCACAAAGAAGATTGCTGCTTACTATGGGACAACCAAGGCACACGTTAGTGATTCCATCACTTACACTATGGCTTTGCGCGTGTTCGGGGCCGCCATCTTTGGATTTTTAGGCGATCTCATCGGACGTCGATGGCCATTAATTATAGATTTAGTTATCCTTGGATCTCTTCAAATCGCATCTATCTACTGCACAAATGTTAACCGATTCTTAGGAGTTCGGGCACTTTTTGGAATAGGCATGGGTGGGATTTGGGGTTGTTCGGCAAGCCATTTGATGGAAAATGCCCCTCTTGAAGCCCGTGGGTTGATAGGGGGCATTTTCCAAGCAAGCGCAGCATGTTCAGGTTTAACTGCGGCAGGACTAAATATGGCATTCGGAGCGGCTCCTAATACGTGGAAAAAGATGTTTTGGATCAGTTGTGGATTATCGTATTTTGCCGCATTGGTACGATTCTTGGTTCCCGAATCAAAACAATTCCTCGAAGCAGCAAAGAAGAAGAAAGAATTAGAAGCACTTCACGGTCAACGAAGTGGAAGCAAAACCAAAATCGTAAAGTTTTGCAAAGAATTCAAAAAGATGTTCAAACTTCATTGGCAAACATTCATTTATAGCGCTGCATTCGTTTGTTTGACAAGCTGGGCTGTTCATTCTTATGCCGATAATTACGTCACATTCCTCATTTCAGGAAAAGGGATCAATAATCGAGATGCATCTGTGATCACAATGATTACCAAGAGTGGTTGTATAGTCGGTATGATCACGATCGGTTGGCTGGGAGAGTATGTCGGTCGACGTAGAATGGCTGCTTTTGCAACTTTTATGGCAGCTTGTCTTTTACCTGCTTCGATCCTCCCAAATTCAAAAACAAGTTTAGCTGTTGCAGGTTGGTTTTATCAGTTCTTCTTCGAATCTTATGGTGCAATTCTAGCAGCTCACCTCAACGAACTTTCACCTGTCGCATTCCGTGCAGTGATGCCAGGAGTTGCTTATCAATTGGGAACCTCTATTTCTGCACCTAGCGCAATGATCGTGAACGATATCGCAGAAGATCGTTTTATCAACGTCAATGGCAAAAAGGAAGAAGCATATGAGCCAGTAATTGGAATCACAATGGCAATTTGCTATTTCTTGATGATCTTGTTGGCCGTTTTTGGACCTGAAAAACGTGGAGCAGATTTGGAGCATTTCCAGCCGGCAGGTTTCAAAAGTGAAAGTAGTACAATAATCAGCTCTCCTGAAAGTCATACTGACAAAGAATTGGAAGCCGTTAACTCAACCGAGAAGTCTGGTTGATGTCCACTTCATTTTCATAGATGACAGTCCCCCTTTGTCACGATCAAATCCATTTTCATGCGTATACCATCAGAATACATTCTTAACATACCTTTTCATCCTCTTGAAATATATTCCCTTTCTATATTGAAAATTCAGTCAAGCTTTATCCGTCATTTTTTTACGGGCCGAAAGAGGAGAGAGTGCATTTTGATTGCGATAATGCATATGAGAGTGGATCCGGCAGCGCGTAAAAAGGGCGTTACTCCTAATGAGATATTTATGTCTATCTTCTTGCTTGAGTTCGACGACATACTTCCGACGGCACTCCTTTCATCACCTCCTCCTTCTTGCCATACACTCATCAGAATGACTCGATTGATCTCACATTGGACTTCAAGAGCAGCGGAAAATTTCAAGCTGTTGTTTCAAATACGAGATGAGCCTACCCAATCTGACTCACAAAAAGGAGAGCAAGGTATACGAGTCGGAATACAAAGACCGATAAGCCCAATAGTTCTGCTGTCCAAGTTAGACAAAGATCACTGGCTTGCACTATTGGCCGGTTTCATCGCCTTTTATGCAGACTTTTTGGATTTTAACGTATTGGCTACTGCCACGACAAAGATTGCTGATTATTACCAAACGAGCAAGACCCATGTGAGCGATTCCATTACCTACACAATGGCTTTGCGGGTCGTTGGAGCGGCAATATTTGGTTTCTTTGGCGATTTGGTAGGTCGACGTTGGCCATTGATCATCGATTTGGTCTTACTCGGGTCGTTGCAAGTGGCTACAATCTACTGCACCTCAATGAATGCGTTCTTTTTGTATCGCGCTGGCTTTGGAATTTGTATGGGTGCTGTATGGTCTTTGGCAGGATCGACTATATTCGACATCACACCTCCCGAATGTAGAGGTTTGTTAGGAGGTATATTTCAAGCCAGTGCAGCTTGTTCTGGTCTGACGGCAGCAGGATTGAATATGGCTTTTGGCGCTGCACCAGAAAGTTGGAAAATGATGTTTTGGATAAGTTGTGGGGTATCGTACTTTGCTGCAATTATACGTTTCATCATTCCGGAATCCAAACAATTTCGAGAAGCGGAAGAGAAACGTAAAGCTTTGGAAATAGTACGATTGCAAACGCTTATGGAAATGCACGGTACAGTGAAACAAGTTAAACGTCATCACAGACTCACTGTGTTTTGTCGGGAATTTTCAAAAATGTTTAGATTGCATTGGCAAACTTTTTTGTATAGTGCATTGTTTGTCTTCCTGACCAGTTGGGCAAATCACTCGTACGGCGATAACTATTTCACGTTTCTGATCGACGGTAAAGGGATCAACAACCGGGACGCAAGTATTATCGCGATGATTACCAAGACTGGCTGTATCTCTGGAATGGTCACTATCGGTTGGCTAGGAGAGTATCTTGGAAGGAGGAGAATTGCTGCCGCTTGTACAATAATGGCTGCCCTACTCTTACCCGCATCCATATCACCCTCCTCCTTCTGGGGATTGTGTCTCGGTGGATGGTTTTATCAATTCTTCGTCGAGAGCTTTGGAGCTGTTCTAGCTTCGCATCTCAATGAGCTTTCACCTGTTGCATTTAGAGCAGTGATGCCAGGTGTTGCTTATCAGCTTGGGACATCCCTCTCTGCTCCTTCTTCATGGATCGTTAACAAGATTGCTGAGAAAAAGCATATTGTCGTTGATGGCAAAAGTGTTGAGGCATACGGTCCTGTCATGCAAGCAACGGCGGGGATATGTTACATTTTGATGATCTTGTTGGCAATATTTGGACCGGAAAGAAGAGGAGCAGATTTGGAACACTTTGAACCTGCCGGTATGAAGATTGATGATGAAACAATCATCTCTCACGATGAAGAAGAAGGAAGGTCAAGTGTGGCTGACATTGATGATGAAAGACAGCCTATGCTTGAAGGACAGAAGCGGCAGCATAATGTATTATAACTGCATCCATCTTGAATCTATGTTCACGGTTGAGAACAAGATTCCCAACAACGGTCCAATTGTTTAGGCTGAAATGCTCCACATTTAAGATCGATGCATTCACTGCACACGCACGCGTATACATTCCCGCTCCATAAATTCGCCGATCAAAAGTAACACAAACATACAGCTTAAAGGGTTATCAGGCTATGCCCAATATTGTGGAAATAGGGAACAACACCTCCGCCTCCTCCATCACCACTCCATCACGCTCGTTTGTGCCCAATTGGCTGAAACCAATGGCTTCTTCGCGATTGCTATGCTTTCCAGGAAAGATTGCAACGGTCAATGTGTACGGAAGACGATTATCACGCTATAACGACATCAGCCAAATACGAACAGCATCTTCATCGCATGGAACTTCCGGCATAAAGTCAACATTACCCAGCAGTTCTTCCCCGGAAAGTTTATTGAAAGCATTGCCAAAAGCACACGATGACGGCGATCGAGGTTATTTGGCGTTCACCAAAGCATCCCTGTTCAAATTGACATTACCGTTACAGCCTCCTTCGAATGATATCCATTCGACACGTTCTAAAGCATCTTCCGCTTATTCCATAAGCAAGACGAAACAATCTTTGCTAGAACGGGAAAAGGAAGAGACCCGAGCCGAAGCAGAGGATAGCGCGGTAGAATCAGCAGAGCCATGGGAATTGGTAGCAGATCGGGGAGAAAGGATATCACAAATCGATCCATTACAAGGACCAAGTTTGAAACCTGTATCGGAAGAAACATCACCCAAAGATGATGAAGATGACAATTCGAAGCTGAGAAAGAAGTCAAGCAGGCTTCTGTTGCATGGATCCGAACAGGGAGAACCAGCCGATGATCCCGCTGAAGAATTCGATGCAAAAGTTCCGGCCCATTCGGTTGTATTTCTACTGCATAGCGCTCAGCCACTTTCTTATATTGCAAGTCTTATCGAAGCTGAAGGCCCTGGATTCGGAGATGACAAAGGCACGAAACCCAAATCGATCACTTTTCATTCGAGAGTGACTGATTCCAAAAGATGGAGTCCGGCAACATCCATTGGAGATTTCATGCGAGATGCTGCTAGGATTGGAAGCTTTGCAATCCGGCTAAAACCACCTATGGAGGAAGATGCACGAAAGGCATACGAAGATCAGGAGGGTGAGAAAGGTAGGGAAGCTGCACAGAATAAAAAAGAAGAGATTGAAAAGAAGTACCTTCAACCTAGATCGATTCAAATCAACGTCCCTTCATTCGAAGATCGAAGTCGATTCTTACGCTCTCATCTGTATAACAAGACTGCAGAAATAGAAAGGATGGCCAAGATTAAAGCCGATTGTGATGCTTTGGCCAGGTTGACCACGAGAAGATTCGCGATTGCTGGTGGAGTGATTCTTGGAGGTTGGTGGGTAACTGTGTTCTCCATCACATTTTTGAGTAATTGGGGATGGGATTTAGCAGAACCTCTGACGTACCTTACCGGTTTGGGTACTCTGATGGCGGGTTATACGTGGTTTTTGGTACATAATCGTGAAGTATCTTATCGTGCAGTCTTGACGGAAACGACGACGAGAAGACAACAAAGACTTTATATCGAAAAAGGACTTAATATGGATCGATATGAAGAATTGATTGATGAATGCAAAGAATTACGCAAACAGATTCGTAAAGTCGCAGAAGACTATGATTTGGAATGGGATCAATCTAAAGGATCGAGTGGTCATAATAAGAGAGCGTTGGATATTGTTGAAAAACGTGAAGCACAAGAGAAACAACCTGTGATTATCAAAACTGATTCGGAAGAAGAAGCTGCAAATGGATCAGAAGAAGAGAAACAGGAGAAGAAAGGAGACGAGAAAGAAGGAAAAGGAGAGACTGGAAAGAAAGACTAATACACGCAAGCTGCTTTGATAGATTTAATATACCACTTATGCAATGAATAATATAGTACATTGCTAATAATGATGATACAGGTGCGAATGTTGTTGTTTTCCTTTAATCGTCTCGTTTCGAGAATCGTCTCCAGTTCTCGTGTAAGTGTTTAGCAGCATATGCATATCGTTCCTCTCCTTCGACATCTTTCGGCACCAGTCCATCTGCAATGACGTCAGTTGCCAGTCTGATCATTGCCCAGCAACGTGATCCCAGACCTTCAGCCGAATGCCAGTCTGACTCGATCAAAAGTCTATTTGGATCACATGCTCGTAATTGATCAGGAAGATCCTTTTGTCTTGCATTGATTGCTAGAGAGAATGAAACATAAATATTGGGATACTTTTTCTGAATTTGCGAAATCATTTGAGGACTCAACGTGCAACTGTGCAGGTCAAGATTGATATCGTTAAATCTCAAACGGGAATCTTGGACGGTCTGTTCTTCCAGAGAACCATCACCGTTCTCTGCTTGCCGCTGCTCTTTCTCTTTGCGTTTCCGTTCCCGCTTGCTCAAGCCGTCATTCTCATCCGGGAAGGATTTCCGTAAATCTTCCAATAGATCCGTCAAAGCTCCACCCGCACGAACGCTATGGAAGCTTATACTTCTTTTCAATTCTATGGCTAATGCGATTTGTGCTTTTGCAATTTCCACTTGATGGTCTATTGATGGTGTCAAGCTTGTCAGAGGTCTCTTTCTTCGACCTAGTGAGGGAGATTCGTTCGATTCTTCTTCTTCTTCATCTGGTTCCCGCGTCCAGCCTTTTGGATCGCGAGGCAAACGAAATACTCTGTCTATGCCGATCTCTCCTAAAAGTGAATCAGGATGAGCTTCCAAGTTTTTACGAAGTTCCTGTAGTATGCTTTGAAGTGGAATAGGCTCGGGTAAACCGCCCTGTAACAGCTCTTGAAGCTCTTCCGAATCGGCCTTTTTACCAAATACCCTTTTATAATGCTCTTCCGCACTGATATTCGAGTTGATTGAAATCGTATGAACAAACCAAGGATGATATCCAAAAGCAGGAATGATCTTATCTGGCAAAGCTTGACTCAGTTTGGCTACATAACCTTGATCTTTTGTTGAAGTTGACATTGCACATATCCTTCCAATCTTGACATCTTTTAGCTTTTCGATTAACACTTCTATCTTTCCCCATGGTCTTGGATCATCTGTTGGATGACAATGTGCATCGGTTAAAAGGTGTATTAGATCATTTGGAGGTTCTGACAAGTGTTCATCGCCATCGTAATCCATCTTGTTGATTGAAAGGAAGGTGGAGGCAAGTGATCATCTTTTGTTGTCTTTCGGCGCCTTTTCTGACCATACGCGAAGAAGAAGTAAATGAGGCTAAAAGGGTGAATGTATGCTTGTGTTACTTTTGTAATTACGTGTAAATTAAACGAAGAATTATTCTACAAGTGTTGATGTGTTGTGATTAATTGACACCATCACTTGCAGCGGGGGTCTGGTCGCACAAGGATGCAGCCTTCTAGGTCACCGGAGCGAAGTACAGGCCGGATACGCAAGACTTCTCTGAGCAGCAGTAGTGCAGCAATCGCAAGTAGATCACCTAAAAGCACTTCTCGTTCTACACACGTAGGAAGTACAGCTGGAATATCTTCTTCAAGTGCGGCTTTAAGCTCAGCAAGGAGAGCGCAATATGGTGGTGGTGATGATAGACTGGTGCTGGATATTGGTGCAAGAGTGACAAAGATTGGACACAGTAATGAAGCCAGGCCAAGATCGATTATTTGGTCTCTCAGAAATGCAACGCCAACAGAAAGAGCGATAGATAGCTCATGTGGTGGCATGCTTTGGAGTGCAGATATCGCAAGATGCAAAGATGATACAAATAGAAAAGTTGTCGAATATAAGCTAAGAGGTCGGCTAAAGTTCCTCTTGCGCAACTTGTTCTACCAGATCTTAACACAAGATCCAAAAGATCGAAAGATCACAATCGTCCACAATGCATTCATGCCCACGATTGTACAAGAGGTATTGCAAGAGGTGCTCTTTTCAAACCTACGTGTTGCATCGGTTTCGTTTGTTCCATCGCATTTGATGAGCGCTATTGCAATCGGAAGAAGTTGCACACTGGTAATCGATATGGGATACGAACAAGCATCAATGATACCGATCCATTTATGGAGACCTTTGACGCATCGTTATACACTCGTCTCACCAAAAGCTGCCCGGCGTGTCAGTCAGAGATTACGAGCATTGCTTTTGCATTTTGCTGCATATACGCCGCCCCTTTCATCAAATAGCACAACAGGAAGCTCGTTTTCCGCAACGATACACTCAAGCGCTTCTACCCCTCGTTCAGGTCAAACAAAGATACCCGCAGACTTGCTCGATGACGACTTCCTTGATGAGATCAAAGCAGAAGTGCTGACTGTAGGTCCTGTCTTGGAGCATGAGAATGTGAGTAAAGCACACACGACAAGGGACACTCAATGGAAATCTAGACAACCATTCTCAACAATCCCTGAAGAGGATGATCTGGAATGGATGGAAGTGCTGCGGAAACGATACAGTGGAGAGAAATGCACAACTGTCGATATCAGCATTGAAGTTCCGCCTGAGCCTTCACCGCCTTTGACAGCTGCCACACAACCGGCCACTCTGTTTTACTCTGCACATCCACAACCTACCCATCAGGGTAGAGGCCGAATACGGATTCCAGGTTGGGTACGTGAACGTGCGATAGATGTATTGTTCGAACAAGGCGATGATGATGAGCTCAGTCTGACAGAGATGGTATTAGATGCTTTGCTAAAATTGCCTATCGATACTAGACAAGTGATGGCAAATAATATCTACCTCACAGGTGGAACAGCGATGATTCCTGGACTGGCACATAGACTAAGGCTGGAATTGATCGCTACGTTGCGTTCGGCTGAAGTGCAAGCCATTCAGAATAGCATCTCACTTATCTCGCTGGATCGTCCTACCAATGGTGCTCGCATAAGTAAAGTTGGTGTTCATCAAGACACAGCCTCAAGAACTCCAAAGACAAGCTCAGCAACTTCTGCTTCCGCTGGGGTCGACGAAAGTTTCACTTCGGCTCAAGATGACGCAGCAGATGAAACATTTGTCACGACCGCTGAAGAAGAGGGAACGTCATCCGCTCCACCGAGAGCAAAATCCAATGTTCAAAGTCCGTCAACATACCTGACAAAGTACGTTCCGATTGTGTCACTCGCACAGCATATCGCTGTTGTCAATGATCATGCACCAAGGCTGGATACTAAAGGCAGATCCATCAGTGGAAAAGCGCCTTCTTTTCCTGTCAATCTGGTCGCATGGACAGGAGCAAGTTTGATCAATTCTCTTCGTATCGATTCCACGACCCAAATTCTTCGCGAGGAATATGAAGAGATTCAAACAGAGCTTACTCGAAGGCGTAAAGAAGTTGAAGGTGAACAAATCACGTTTGATGACAAACGACCGGGTCTGGGAATGAAACGTGCTAGTTTCTTAGGAAGCGTTTCAGGCTTGGATTTGGGAACTTTTGGACCGTTGTCAGGTGCACGTAATAAGTTTTCTGCCGGTCCGTCTGGATCAGCCTCTCATCCACTTTCGCCAACAAGCTCCAAAGGGCCGCCCGAATAATCAAGCGGAGTTCTATCGGCAGACGCTTTCTTCGTCATCGTACACGTCAAGAAACGAATCTTTATACCCTAACGTCATCATTCATTATCGTCACATGATTATTTTTGAGCCATAAAAGGCGTTCGATTCTGTGAAGATGTCAAGGTATGCGAGACAATCCGCAATGGCGTACACGGTGAATTTTTGCCTCTTTCAGCCTTACACTGCGATGCTTTTCGGGCGATAAAATGCGACATCATGGATAAACTCAACCGGCGTTCAAGGCCTTTAAATAACAGGTAATGCGGCAACACTTTAATCAGATACGCCATTCTTGGCATCTTCGCAGATAGGTTTTTCAAGCCTTTTACGGCTAAAACGTGTGACATCTTTGTCATATTCTATCGGCTCTCGATTACTGGTAGAGGGCAACTTTTACACCATACTTTCTGCTTCAGGACTTAGCACTGCAAGGCGTGCTACAGCCCTTCTTAGGCCGCACACGCCAAGATTGGCATCGTTGGAAGCAATTTTCCAAGCATGATTGCGACAATTTGAATGACGCTGTTCACCTACGTATTCCTGAAGGCGAGCATTAGAAAATTGTTGAAATTTGACGAAAGGTTTATAAAGGCCACTTCTTTCTGCTTTTCAAATTCTTTTTCCTCATCATTCCAATACATTCTTCTCATTTCGAGATTCATTCCAAAACAAGATCTTTCAAGCAAAGACATCATGAAGCTGAGCTTCTCCTCTTCAACACGGTTCGCAGCTTTTTGCATTTCTACTTTTCACCTGCTCTTGACGTGTGATGTGGCTGTAGGAGCACCGATCCCAATCAAGGTGAGTATTCAAAAGTGATTCACGGTGAGAATTTTGCAATTTACTAAAAATCACTCATTTGCTCCTAGAACGGTATCTCTTTCACAATCATCAAGCGTGAACCTTCACCCTTCGGTGGCGGTGGCGGTGGAGGCTTTCCTGGCTTTGGAGGAGGCGGAGGCGGAGGTTTTCCTGGCTTTGGAGCCGGAGGCTTTCAACCACCTCACGGTATCCCTATGGGTCCGCCTCCTGGCATGCCTCCCTTCGGTGGTGGCGGCCATATGCCTTTCGGACCGCCTCCTGGCGGAATGCCTGGTGGTATGCCTGGTGGTGGTATGCCTGGTGGTGGTGGCGGAGGCGGAGGCGGCGGTGGTGAAGGAGGTGGTGGCGAAGGCGGAGGCGGTGGTGGTGAAGGTGGAGGCGGCGGCGGCGGTGGTGAAGGTGGTGGCGGCGGTGGTGAAGGCGGAGGTGGTGGTGGTGGTGGTGAAGCTGCCGCTGCTCCTGCTGCTGAAGGAGGCGGTGATGGAGGTGGCGGTGGCGATGGAGGTGGCGGCGGCGAATGAGAACTTCAAGAGGTCTTACTATCCCAACTTTTCAACTGTCAATTCAATTTCCAAAGGCCGTCTCTCTCTCGCCAAATTTTCATAATTGAATTTTTTATTCCATCTGATATGATCACATTCCCACTTCATTCAATCAAAACATTCATGACATCATTATATTCTTGAGTTGAGCGTATTGGCTTCTAACGGTCTGATTATAGTACCACATTGGCCGCTGCTTCCGTTCGTACGGCCAAGCAAAGAAGGAATTTTCATTTCAACAAGGAGTATTGGCAACATACGTTCATTCATGTGACTTGCGCCTAACAAGAGATTCTCATTATGATCAAAAGTGTATGATCCTCTCAAGATTGCATGATCTTGATGTATATTAGGTAAAAATGACAGCAAAGCTGGGATAATGAAACGCCTTCTTTGCGGAAGCGGAAGAGGGATATATTCGGGCGTTCGGCACAAGACGCCGCTTCCATTTCCAATAGAAATAGCAATCGATCACCTTTGACGCCCAAAAGGAAGTATTTTATCCGTGATGCTTGCCTACTGGGATGAGTATTTTTAATATCACCTTGGCGCTATGTCACTTCTTCAACACAAATAATACGCCTTTGTATGGCGTTTACAAGACGGAATGACAAGACGTTTGACTTTACTAGACACATACTTACATTTTGATGTTTGATGTCATTTTGATAGCAAGCAAAGTTATAAAAGGTCATGGTTTTACAACTCAAAATATACATTCCCTCATCTAGACAATCCAGAACAAGCGCTTTACTACATTTCAGAACACACAGTTGCAACCTCTAGAATACCCAACATGAAATTCAGCATTGCATCCGTTTATGTCCCATTTGTGGCTTTCGCTTTTGCGATTATCTCTATCTCTTCAAATGAAGTTTCAGCAGCACCAATTCCAGCTTCCGTAAGTATTAAATAATGATTGTTGGTGTAATCCTGTTGCTCACATATAATCTTTCACAGTTGTTATGGACGGTAGCAAAATCTGCCATTATCAAGCGTTCACCTGCTGACCCGCCGGTTCCAACGAACCCTTTTCCGACAGTTCTAACGCCCGATCCTTCCTCTAAACCTAAACCAAATCCTAAACCTATTCCAGGGTACCCCGAACCTAAGCCCAAGCCTGAACCTTTCCCGAAGCCAAATCCTTCACCCTATCCACAACCAAAGCCTGAACCAAAACCTAAACATGGTGGTACTTGGCCTCCGCCAACAGGTAACACTCCCAAACCAAAGAACCCACCTACTGGTTTCAAGATTCCAAAATATCAATAGCAATATGTACGCATCTTTGTGAGCAATTGGTTTTTTTCGAAGCCTAACTTTTGTGAATGTCATCTTATTTTCAAGCTTATTATCTTGCGAAACGCATAAAAGAATGCCTCTTTTGCCTGTATGGATATATATGTTACTATTCCCTGGGTTTTGATAAGCTCGACTGTTAGCGCAGTGGTATTACAGCATCTTAGCTCAGAGGAAGAGCGTGGGGCTCATAAAGGAAAAACCTAGTGTCACCCCAAGGCCGTCGGATCGAGACCGACAGATGCTACCTTTTTGCCTTGCTTTTTTGCCATTATTTCACCAGCCAGACTCTCTAGCGTATCCAGCCTCAAGTCGCCGTTTTTATAAGCTCGCGTCGCGCTTTCAATCTTTTTAGGCGTAATACGCGTTAACAATTTGGCGTAAAGTTCTCAGATCTCGATACAACACAACAACAACATCATACCAAGCTTCTTGGCTATGGCCAAACATGAATGGCGATAACAGTCTGAATGGTGTGAAGAGCGGGCTCTCAAATTCAGCGAAATCTCGATTGCTGCAAACTGTACGAAGTGCTTTGGACAATTCAGCTGCTGCAAAATCCGTTCGTGGCAAGATTCGATTGGAAGTGTTGTTCAGTATACCTCGACAAGCAAGAGAACTTTATCCGTATGCTCATTACGACGCCCAAGATGCAAGCAAGACTGCAAGATCGTATAGTGTTGAAGCATACATCGAACATGTCTTCATGACTGCAAGTTATATAAATGAGGAAGCAGAATCAGAAAAAAAGGAAGGTGAACCGGAGGGGAAAACTGGACCAAGGTTGATGTATGCCCTAGAGTGTTTCTTGTACACATTGCCTAAACACAGATCTGCTGTTCTCTACGTATCCAAATTGGACAGCTCAGGATACGGACCAAGATTACCAGCAAAACATCTTCAACCATTCTTGCCCCGTCAAAAGGATGACGCATCTTCATCGGCTGCTGCACCTTTACATGCAAGTACAAGTATCACACGTGTGATCACAGAAGCATTTATTCGGCACTTTGCTAGCTTGGATCATTGGAACGGACAGGACAAAAGATTGCCAAAAGTAGATCATCTCTCTTTACACATCTTGGCACGAGCACAAGGAGCATACTTATTCCCTTCTTCCAACGAAAATAGCACAAAGCATGTTCTCAGTGATGGTCAATTGATCAAATGGTGGCGCAGTGTTGTGACAAGTGTGGTAGGATTGGCAAAGAGTAATCAGCTAGACGTTCGTCCGTTCTACATCATTCCAGGATACGATAGATTGGAATCACACATCCTACTACCCTTGCCTTCAGCTGACTCTGACTGGGTGTATGGCCACCCCTATTCTCTCAAGGGTGCAGGACTGCCGGACGGTGCGTCGCTACCTCCTCTACCACTCTCTGGACCCACGTTCGGCAAGGATGGTGAGATGGTATTGGCAAGCACGCCAAGTGTAACACCTTCTTCGCTGAATGCACAGCATATAGCCACACTTTTGCCGCATTTTCCCGATGATCCAAAGAGTCGATTTATAGCTGAATTAGCCAATGACGCTCATGAGATTACATCGATCTCCCACAATTCCGTACCACTCAATAAGCGTAGAGCTGTCGGGGCAGCGGTACCCATCCCAACACCGGTGGAGCATGAGAATGTTCGTCAAACACGCTCATCCACACCCGGCGGAAGACGATCAGCAACTCCTTCAACCCCACCTCCAAGTTCAGGTCTGGCAAGAGCAAGCCGTAGAGCCAGTTCTCGTTCTGGTACATCTAGCCCTTCTCCGGTCAAATTGACCACAACCCAACGTCAGGGAATGCGTGAAAGATCCGCTTTAGACCGTGTCAGCGCAGATGAATTTTGGGCAAGGATGGCATTCAGACAGGAATGTTGTGCGGGCAATGCAGTTGGTGTATTCGTTGCATTGTTTACTCGACAGGTATTATCGACTGATGAGCCTACTGTTACCAAGCCTGTATCTAATTTGACAAATGGCAATACTGGCGGTGGACGTAGTATGGCCGGTCAGCCTTTAGCATTGCCGCATCAGATTCTACAAGATATCATCTTTAAACGACTTATGATCGATGACTGTGATTGGTCAAAAAGTGAATTAAGCATCGATCTTACACGTAATTGGGAACAAGCGATCGGACAAGCACTGCAAAGGAAAGGAAACTTAAAATTTGCTTTAAGTGAAGAAATGGCGGAAAAGGAATTAAATGGAGATCCACGTTTGGTGGGTAAGGAAATTATTTGGACAGAAACTGTATTACAAGGACCAACAAATTTGGAAATAACGGAAGCGGAAAAGAAATGGAAAGAAAGTGTTGGTGGTGATGAAGCGGCGGCAAAAGCGGAACAAGAAGTCGCATCCGATCCGAGAAGAGCCGCGATTGCGATGCAAACTGTCAATGTTTTACCCATTAAACGCAAAAAGAAGGCTGTTTAGGGTGTAAGAAGAAAGATTTCTAAGCCTGACCAGCCCTTATACTACTTTACCCCTATATACTGCTAGGTGATTCGAGTCTGCACCCCACTGTCACACACACATGCTTTGTATACTTGTCACATAATTGGACGACAATGTTGTATTTCTACATTACATGGAGAAGGATTTTAAGGCTTTACACCGTCAAGTTCGCTTGCCTAGAGAGGGGAGGAGATAAAAGTCAGGATTATATTCGCTAAGGCAGTTCGATATCAGCTTAGACTCACCTTCTTGATCGCATTACTGCCTGAATCGGCCTTGATAACAACAGCCGGGTCTTCTTCGTCACCTGACTTCTTGATCTCATTTCCACGTTTGGTGGTTGTCTTTGCCTCGCCCTCGACAACTTCCTGTACTTTACCGCCAGGATTTCCAGATCCCCATTGCCAGGAGACTTTGTCGCCTTTAGATAAGTCTTGAGGGTCTTTTGTCATATTGAATAGATACTTAGGTAGTGAGAGTATTGTTTATGTGGGGAAGTGAGGTAGGCAAAATTGAAAGTCTCCTGTCTTTATAGCTTAATTTTTGATTCAACATCTCATTCATGTCAAGCATCGATTAGTCTCATCCTTTCACAAACATCCGCATTGCGACATACATCACGTAATGACAGACAACCTTATTTGTCATCATGAGAAGACGTCAAAAAAGGGTCTTTTACCTCCACAGCATCGCTTTTGTGAAATCGCGCTGACATAATTGTTGAAGATATGATCACGTGTAAGCCACTATGCAACAAAACGGTTGTCGGTGTTTAAAGGAATACGTCGGACCGATGCATGGATGAAGTATTGGGTGTTTGTGCGTTGAGAATTAAGGCATCCTTCCCCAGAAGGTTCAGCATGACCATTTCTTAACGGAAAAGTAAACAATAGACAGATGTAATGCATAAATATAAACTATTATCCTTCCGTTGGGCAAATTGCCGGTCATATAGAAGGCTATTTATTAGAGTGATCGACATCCTAACCTTCTTTGAGATCATCATCCTGATCCAACGGAACAGAGACCCCTATGACGATGTTATCAGCTTGTCTTCGTCGTTCTGCTGGTAGATTGAGCACTAGATCTTCTATGCCTATTGCAAGCAGTAGTCGATTTGTAACCTCTTATCGATGCTTAGCAACAGAAGCAACTCAGTCAACAACAAGAACAAAGAGAGCACCACCCGTGGCCAAAAAAGAAGGTTCGATCGAAAATGTATTTGCAACACTAAGCGGAGGCTCTTTGACGGATTTAAAGTTACCCGAACGTTTCCTTCAAGTGAAACAATCCATCATTCAATCACAAGCTCACGGTGAAGCAATTCAAGTTGCATGGAACGAAGTTCTACAAAGTTTAAGAACGGAAACACAAGAGATCGAAGAAAGAGGTGCAAGCTTGATTCCACAAGTACATTATCCCGGAGATGATGTCGTAGATAAGAAGTCACTCGAGGAATGGATGGGAAAAGAAACTATTGAACAAATTAAAAGACGCGGCTCGGTGATTATAAAAGGAGTCGTTCCTACGGCAAAAGCATTGCAATGGAAAGAAGATATTCGTGATTACGTTAAACGTAATCCATTGACAAAAGGTTATCCAGAAAAGGATCCAATGGTATATGAATTGTATTGGTCGAAATCTCAATTGGATGCACGTGGTCATCCTTCCCTTTTGCGTGCTTCACGTTCAATCTTGGCATTGTTCCATGCTCCCGGTCAAAAAGATGGAAAGATGGTAGAAGCAGCTTCGTTACAAAATGTAGTGTCTTATTGTGATCGTCTTAGAATAAGAAAGCCAGGAGACAGCACCTTTGCACTCGGGCCACATATCGATGGAGGTGGAGTAGAACGGTGGGAAGATCCTTCCTTCCGATCCATTTGGCAATCCATCTTGCAACCAAACCAGGAAGGCAAGATTGCATGGAATACACACGATAGTTGGAGCTTAGGTGAAGACGGTCAAAGACTTACTGCTCAAACGAGTATGTACGATGGTGCAGGAGCATGTTCAGTCTTTCGTCCTTTGCAAGGATGGATGAGTATGTCATCAACAGGCGCGAATGAAGGAACATTGCGTGTTCTGCCAATGTTACAATCAGCTTCAGCTTATATCATTCTCAAACCTTTCTTCCGTTCAAACAAATCAAGAAAAGAATGTACAAATGAAGATGAATTCTTGCATCCCTCAAACTGGAGATTCGATCTTAGTGACGGTCAATTTGACGGTTGCGTTCAACTTGGCAGAAATATCGAGCTAGACAACGAAATACATCCCCACTTGAAATTGGACAGAACGATGACAAGCATTCCTCGTGTTGAACCAGGAGATATGGCTTTATGGCATTGTGATCAAGTGCACGCCGTCGAAAGTGAACATAAAGGTTTACCAGGTCAAGATAGCTCGGTGATGTACATTCCTGCTATCCCACTCACTCATCAAAATTTCGAATACTTAACTTATCAAAGACAATCATTCGAACAAGGAATTCCACCGCCTGATTTCCCTGGTGGCGAAGGAGAATCAAAACATATCGGTCGTGGAAGACCAGAAGATATTTCCGACATCGTTGCCAGACGTGCAATGGGCTTGGAACCTTTTGAAATCCGACCAGATATGTCAGCAGCTGAACGTCGTTTGGTCGAGGAATGCAATGCTCAACTAGCTTGAAGAATTGTGAGTTCTTTTCATCTGTCAAGATTGTATGTACTCAAATCTGGAATGTCAATAATGTATATGATTTCATCTGGTTCTGTGCTGGTATTACAAGATTATTATGACTTTAGACTGTAATCTGCTTGACTCTCGTGAGATTTGGCTTCCATAACCTTACGGGCTGCTTTGACAATATCTTCTTGAATCAAGAACGATCGATCATCTCGAATAGCAAACATTCCTGCTTCTGTGATCACGTTTCTCAAATCGGCAGCATTGCATCCATCTGTCAATTTCACCACTGCCTCATAATCCAATTCATCTCTCTTGGCCACAGGTTTTGCATGAATCTTCAAGATTTCCAGTCTTGCGGCATCATTTGGTAGTGGAATCTCAATCTTACGATCGATACGTCCAGGTCGCATTAATGCTGGATCTAAAGTATCAGGTCTATTTGTAGCAAAGATAACCTTTGTTGTCGAATTGACATCGAAACCGTCCATTTGGTTCAACAATTCCATCAATGTTCTTTGAATTTCACGATCGGCACTCGTTCCTTCACTAAACCGTCTTCCACCAATTGCATCGATTTCGTCCATAAAGATGATCGTAGGTGCATGTTCTTTTGCATAACCGAACATCTCGCGAATAAGACGAGCAGATTCACCAATATACTTGTCCACAATTGCGCTACTCACAACCTTTAAGAAGTTAACGTCCAAAGTTGCTGCAACGGCTCTTGCCAAAAGTGTTTTTCCTGTTCCGGGTGGACCATACAGCAGAACACCTTTTGGAGGTTTGATTCCCACACGTAAGAATAATTCGGGATTCAGTAAAGGCAATTCCACCACTTCTCTCAATTCACGAATCTGTTCGCTCAAACCACCAATACCGGCGAAACTTGCACCTGCAGGATCTTCCATGCTCATCGAATAGACCATTGGGTCAGTCTCGCGCGGAAGGATACGCATGATTGTTAAAGTGGTCATATCGAGTGAGACACGAACGCCTGCTTTAAGTTTATGTTTGGGAACTGAATTACGACATCCCACCAAATAACGAGGACCTGAAGATGCTTTTACGATGAAACGCTCTTCGTCTAATTGTTTCAAGACTTCTCCGATGATTTGTCCTACAGACTGCAAAGCACGAATATCATCCTCTGTTTTATTGAAATCATGATCGAGATCTTTCAATCCAAATCGTAGCTTTTTCAAACCTGTCGAAAGATCTTCGTGATTTTTCAATGCTTTCCGGTATGCTTCTAAAGCTGTCGTCCTTCTAGCCTCTTCTGGTGATTGACCAGTTCCGGCTGAAGTGGAAGGAGCCGGTTGAACTGACATGTTGAATAGGTGATGATGTTAATGGAAGAAAAGGTAGGCGCAAGTGTGTGTTTGTGTTGTATTGATCATTCTTCTGTTCGTCGTACAGTGAGAACGCGCGTTCTGCTTGATTTGTTTCTCAGCGCACAGACGCAATCATATCCTGGGCTGCTGTTGTTCAGTAGGTGGAGAGCCATCAAGCTTACAATGCATACAAACAACTTCATGATACGACATGGAATGATGGCACTTGTCTGAAGATGGCAAATATTGGGTCATCATCACGACAGAGTAGCTCGAGCGGAAAAGTAAGGAGAAATGACTTGTTGACGTCTAATCCGAGAAAGGTGCGGAAATGGCTTCGATCCAGTGTGGCATTTGTTATCATCCTCCTTCTACTGCAATTACTCCTGGCTGGTTCAACGTTGGACATAGATGGCTTGCAGGATAAGAAGGGCAGTCAAATCCCTACAAAAGCACTCATCCTTACCGCACATCCTGATGATGAAGTGATGTTCTTCGCACCGGCAATCTTGAACTTGGTGAAATCCAACATTGACGTTTACGCTTTGTGCCTCTCTAACGGGAATGCCGACGGTCTTGGACAGATTAGAGAAGAAGAATTGCTAGCAAGCTACGCAAGATTAGGTGTAAGAGCCGATAAAGTACGCCTCATAAATGACGGTCGTCTACAAGACAGCATGCAAATCAAATGGGAACCGAATCTTATCTCTGAATATGTGCAACAATTCTCACAGCATTCAGGTCCTTTTGATCTATTGCTCACATTCGACAAAGATGGTATCTCACAACATGCCAATCATAAAGCCTGCTCAAACTCCGTTCCTCTAATCTACAAATCGGGTGCAATTACAGAGAATGGCCGAATCTACGCTTTGCGTTCACATAGTACCGCATTCAAATATTTGGGACTCTTCGGTGCACTTGTCAATCACTTAGGCGCAAGGCTGACCCTTGCCTCTCAAGACAAAGTTGCTTTCTTGTCCACGCCATTCGAGTATCTACACTCACTGCGGGCGATGAGTTTACACAAATCCCAAATGGTATGGTTCCGATATTTATACCTGATCTTCTCCACCTACATGCATGGATGTCAATTTGACATTCACATCAATCAGTAATGGGAACAATTGTTGCGACATATTGTACAATAGAATACAGTAATTTACAGAATAACGAATCAAACACTGCGCATTATTCCATCTCGTGTGTCTATCACGTATGGCAATTGTGCACTCCAATATTCTTCGCCGTAGAGATCGTGATTGAGCAAAGAGTGAGGCCGAGAAATTATTCTTGCTATCTTTCGGGCACTACCTAGTTCCGCTCCGTACAGTTGAAGATGCCATGCACTCCTGGCAAGATCTTCTTCCATCCAATCTCGCAAAGTAGGCCTCAAGAAGCCGATGTTGTCAGGTTTGATGATGTTACTTTTATCGCCGTGTACATCGACAAAGTAACTTGACATTTGCGTCGAGATGATCAGCTTGATGCCAGAAAGATGAACATGTGAGGCAAATAAACGAGCACATTGGATCGCCTGTTGTCGCTTTGACCTTTCCTGCCTTTCGTTCGTCGTCGGTGCTCGAAAAAAATGACTCATACTGTCGATTATGATCAAAGAAGTTCTTTCGGGTAATCTCTTTTTTCGCATCATCTTATCAATCTCTTTGACCTTCTTTGCTCGTTCTTCGTCTTCATCTTTGTAGTCTGGACGAATGGATTCTACATCAATTGTTGGCAAAAGCACTCCAAAAGTCGCCACAAGCTCAAACAGAGCTGTACATCGGATGATGCGGATTCCTGCTAACGTATGATGAAACAATACATCATGTGATGGCTTCGTGCTCCATTCTTGTTCCTCCCAACTGTCAAGCAAATCTGTGATCAGGGCTTTCGTCATTTGAGCCATTCGTCTAGCGCTAATGCTGCCTTCCGTATCAATCATGACCACCTGTCTCCCACGATCAGACCTACACGCTTCGCCATTCAATCTTTCCTCGCCCTCGTGTAGTGAGCTAAGAGACTGTTGAAGACTGTTGAGCCGTTCCTTGATAGCAAGCTGCATCAAAAGAGTAGTCTTTCCACTACCTGGAGTGCCACTGACCTCAATCAGTCCACCACTCCTTAGACCGCCTTGATTTGAATCAAATTGTTCGTCATCTTGTGCGGCATGCATGTATTCTTGACCTAAGCGTTCGTCTAAATGACTTAAGCCGGTCTTTAGCCTATAATTGAGATAGTCTTGCATCTCATACTCGTCCATTTCCTCATCTTCTTCATCCACCTCTGAGCCGTCTGTATCTTCGAGTCGGGTAAGCTCAGTATCATCATGACCGACAAATACACTGCTATTCGTACTTTCCTCTTTCTCTTCTTCCTTCCGCACATACTGCATGGGCGTTCGCCAATTTCTTGATGCTGTGGGCCGGAATGTATGCTGTTCATCTTCATCGCTTGAATCATCTTGGTTTTGCACAATTGATGCTTTAGGCTGAACTCTTTTCTCTTGTTGAGTTCGAGATATGAACGTCGGTGCTCTCCAATCAATTGATTTGCTCGGAGCCGGTGCCGGTATCTGCTCTCGCTCGACTACTTCCTCTGCTTCTTCGACCACATTCTCCACTACATCAACATCGATTGCTTCTTGTGCTTCTGTGCTTTTCTTGGTTGTTGGAGATTGCAAGATGAAGTCACTCCATAGGTATGCTCTCTCCTTCACTGCATCATTTGATGTTGGCGGCGTTGCAGGCAATGATGACCCTTGCGAGTCAGGCAAAGGTGATGTCATAATGAATGAGCATCATATCATTGTAAGAAAGAGGAGGAGGAGGATGATGATTGCTTTAAGACAGATAGATGTGCCAGAGAAACACCAATCAACAATTGTGCATTCTGGAAATAAGAACAACACTTTACGCGCTCATCCAGGAACACGCGTTGGGTCATTAATTGAGGAGGGAAAAGCTTTCCTAATATTACTAAGACACCTGACGGTAAACATTTCAGAAACAATGTCTACTTATCTAGTTGCATTCCTGATCATGATCAGAACCCGTCGTATTATAGATCTTTTTCAAGTGTGATTATATCAGCATTTCCAAGTCATTGAGGCATGAGGAGATATTATGATTTGAGAGGGGCATGGAAATATAAAATTAAATAGGAAATAAAAAGACATTATCACATACCCCCTAAATATGGAATGATTAAATTGTTGATTGGCATCTTTAGAGGGTTCAAATAATATACTGAAAAACTTATAAATGGTTGTCATGTTGATCTTTAATTTTGAAGAACCATAAACACCATCACAAACATGTCGCACTTTGCAAGAAATCAAAGAAGATTTGATCAAATGACAATGAGTGTCCCAGCCAAAAATCCAGCTCGATACTCTATGCCAAGCAATAGCATCCTTGCTACGGCATTCCAAGAGAATAAGAACAAGGCCGAAATGGATCAAGAACTTGCCGAAAAATTCAAACAACGCCTTCGTGATGAGAGCGAACGCCTTGGGAGTCAGTGAGTACAAAAAAGTTGAAAATTTTAGAGAGAGAAGGAGAGAAAGCTCATGAAATTCTTTTCATCATTACAGAAAAACCAAGTCTCAGTTGCTGAACGCTTTGGATGCAGCCGAAGGACGTCGTCAGGCAATCCTGTCTGAGAAGGTTCAGAAGGCAAAGGCGGCAAACGATCACGGTCATGTGAAATCTGAAGAGAATCAGGTGAAACCAGAGGAGGATCTTATGAAACCAGAGGAGGATCATGTGAAACCAGAGGAGGATCTTATGAAACCAGAGGAGGATCATGTGAAACCAGAGGAGGATCTTATGAAAGCAGTTGAGGATCATGTGAGCCCAGGAGAGATTCATACGATACCAGAAGAGATTCCCGTGAAGCCTGAAAAGAGCAAGGAGCAGACCAAAGAGGATGAAAAGCTTGCCGAATCCGAGAATGGTCAAGCGAAACCTGAAGAGAATGATGTGCAAGCCGAAGACTATATGGCAGATTCAGAAAAGTATCATGCAAAGCTCGAAGAGTATCATGCTAAATACGAAGAGACTCATGCGAAAACCGAAGAAGAAAAGATTGCCGAACAAGTCAAACAGCGTCTTCGTGAAAGGAACGAACGTTTTGGCTGCCAGTAAGTTTGGTTTATGCGAAAAAAAAAAAAATTAGAACAACAAAACTTACCCTATCCTTCCATCCTTGCAGAAAAACCAAAAAGCAGTTGCAGACCGACTTGGACGCACACGATGCACGTCGTCAGGCACTCTTATGTGAAAAAGTTCAAAAGGCAAAAGATATTGCTCGTCATCCACAGGACCGTGTAGCATTTTGATCGATTCAAGTGATCAATTTGTGTATAAATACAAATGTTGCAATCCCCCTCCCCCCTTCAAAACCCTTCCAAAGTATCATCGTTATCACTGACTTTGAATTGATCGTCATCATTTTGTCGATTCATATTCGGAGTTAGAAATCCTTCCTTTTGCCTCTTTCCTGCTTTCCCTGTAGATGCCATATCTTTACGTTTCTTGATCGCTGATTCTTGACGTGCTTTAGCATGTGAATCTGTCGAAGAAGGTCCATTGGTATCTTTCGTCTTTTTCTTCTTTTGTTTTCGTATATCACCCATCAATTCATCTTTTAATTTTGAATTTCCATGATTATCGTCACTTTTGCGTTTTCTGCCTTTTTGCTTCTTTAACGGTGTATCTGAAAGACTACCTGGTTTGATAAATCCTTTTTGTTGAATGTCTTCTTCACTTTCGCCTCCGGTGAATTCATCTTCCTCCGAATCATCTTCTTCTTTACCCTTACTTCCCTTCTTCTCCGTTAACTTTGGTGCCCATGCTCCAAATGACCGTCTTGCTGCTCCTGCACTGGATGGGCTCTGCTGTGCTGATGATTCTCCGTTCTGTAATTGACCTAGCCAATCGTTCCATCCACTTTGAGATTCAATGCGTGGTATAGACTTGGAAGATGACTGTCTAGCAATCTTCTCCTTAGCATTTGGCATTACCCAATGCTCCTCATTGCTCGGTTCTGCATCTTCTTCATCTTTGTGGAGATTGGATGTTATTGTAGCTGGCTCAGATGCCGCCAAAGAAGAAAAGCTATTTCCTTGATTCCTTTGCTGATCTTTTGAGCTCTTGCCTTTCTTCTTTGCTTCCTCTTGTTCTACCTTCGGTGTCGATGTGGATGCTGATGTAGAAGGAGAGGATGCCGAAGCTCTTTGCATGAACTTCAAACCTTGAATCTTATCCGAAAGCGTAGAGATGCGTGTCGATCTTCCTGACATCTTGACAAGCTATGATCAAAAAGCAGATCTTTGCATCAGCCACCTTGTCGAAGTGATGATAGCCAGAGTGTGGATCTTGATTGCAACTTCGAACAAGATAATACGCTAATTCCAAAAAATATTCTTTGCTGACTAATCAGAGCATTTTCACGTGTCTGGATGAAACTTATTCTATCTGATATCGGGCATTTTCACTATTATTCTGGTATGCAAAGTTGATCGATCCATCTTGAATTAGCACTTGATAAAAGTATACACAATCCATCCGAATTCGTCAATTCTAAGCGCGGCTATCCGTCTTCTGTCGTATGTAAGGCGGCGTATAAAAGCGGTATTCTTTGACCGAATTAGAAATACTATGCCCCTAGTTCATGCCATCACTCGGAGGTTAATCAATATCTTTCTATGCAGACACGCGTGCTTGTACCTGCTTTATTCTTTAAAAGGGGCGCGTGATTGGATGGGGCGATTCCCTAGAAATCAGATAACATCCTTGGCGGAGATCGAAAAGTTTTGGGCCTTTTTCTGTCGCACTGCTTTGTGCCTGCCTTTATTGTTCAGCCGCCGAAATTGGGCAAGCATTACGCGTAAAGAGTTTTTTTAGTCATTTTCATGCACACTCTAAAAGCTGAAACTCTCCCTCTCTGACAAAGACTTGCTAATAATAATTTGCTCGCTACACATCGCCTGCCTGCATACGGCCCCGAATCGGATTGCTCGGAGCGGTGAAATCTCTGCCCTTCTTCGTGCGGGGAGAGCGGAAGTGATTTGTCAAGATCACCTTTTCACTCTTAACACCACCAGCACATCTACTTTAGCCACATCATACACCGCCCCCCCTTTTCTCAAATAATCACGGGGAGTACCGATTCATAAGCGACATTCACATCACGCAATAATAGACCGAAACGGATGTCGCCACTATAACATTCATTCAAAAAAAAAAGTAAGGGCAAATTGATCACGCTCTAAATCAAATCGGAAAGGTATATATACTGCCATCTTTTGAGTCTTTATACCATTCTCGCCCATCATCTCGTCAACGATTCGATTCGGCAAACATCTGCCTTTTGTGGCGATTAATCGAGTTTCTCTTTCTCTTGTAAGACGAGTTGCAACAATGTCCACTTCTACTTCTCAACCTTTTGCGCATCAACAATTGCGTAGAAAGACTACTCAAGCTCATCGTACTACTTTGGCAGATAGCCTTGGCACATCTACCTCCACCAAGAATGTTATCGTCTTAGGTGGCAGTTATGGAGGTATGCATGCTGCAACCGTTTTGGCAAACAAGTTACCGCCAACCCATCGTGTGATCTTGATCGAGAGAAATAGTCATTTCAATCATCTTTACGTCTTTCCGCGCTTTTCGACTTTGCCAGGACATGAACACAAAGCTTTCATCCCGTATACATCCATCTTCAAAGATGCTCCGGCTCGCTCGTCTGAAACGCCACGACCTGTTGCTGGCCCATCAAAAGGTCACACTCCTCCCGTTGAGACGCATGAGAATATCGACGATGGTTCTCGCTCGACAGATTCAAGTCAAGCATCATTACTCGGTATGGGCTCGCTCGGAGGTCAAAGATTGAGAAGCAAGATGTCAAACTTTAGCGATTCATCCGACGAAAGTCGTCATGTGGCACGTTCAAGATTCGGTGGAAGTTCAGCAAGTCGTTCTTCAAGCGTTGATGACAACTCATCCATCTTTGATACTAACGATTCCTTGCGCATTCGTCAAAGTCGACGTGGAGATGAAGAATCATCACCGAGCTCGTCAGCCTCATCTTCCTACTTATCTCATTCATCCGAAAGGATTAAAGAGCAAGATGGCGAACGCGATCGTGCTGCAAAGCTGGCAGGAACAGAAGGTATGGGAGACGCTCTTCGCATTGATGCTGAAGCATCCCGCGCTGAAGAGGATCTTGGCAGACCGGAAATCGAAGTGGAGGAGTTATCGCAAGCGATTGAGAAAGGTATCGATATGGAAGATGTGCCATCAGACGACAACACATCCACCTTTGAGGGATCAAGTCCTCATCTTGTCTTGCAAGCAAATGTGACAAACATCACCTCAACACATGTCGAAGTAGAGTCTGTTTCTACATCTTCTTCTAAATCCGTTTGGTCTATCGACAAAGTGGCAATTCCTTTCTCTCACATCGTCTATGCTCTTGGATCACACTTGCCGGATCCTTTGCGCACAGAAGCAAGAACCAAATTACACGGAATAGAATGGATGCAGCAATTCCAAAGTCGTGTAAAGGACAGCGAAGAGATCGTCTTAGTTGGAGGTGGAGCATTGGGAGTTGAATTCGCTACTGATATCAAGAGTGTTCACCCGGAAAAGTCGGTCACTCTCATTCATTCGCGCAAACAACTTTTACCAAACTTTGATCCTCAAGTTCATGAAATTGCTCACAAGAGACTTCAAGAGTTGGGTGTCAATGTTGTCCTTGGCGAGAGATTAGCATTGACAGAAGGATGTCCACGCGGAAGCAGCGTCAAACAAGAACAACTCGATGCTTCCTCAAACGATCATCGTCAAGGCGAAGTATGCCTGTCATCGGCCAACAAAGGAGGCGAAGGCGAACAAGCACGAAACGAAGGCATGTGTTTGGGTAACGGTCGCAAGAGAGTGAAGACGACTCACGGAAAAGAATTCGAGTGTGATCTTTTACTCTTGTGTACCGGTCAACAGCCTAATTCAGGCTTGATGGCACATCTCTCACCCACAAGTGTGGACCCTAGTACAAGATTGGTACGTGTCATGCGTACTTTACAAGTCAAAGTTCCAGATCCAAACGGAAGTCTTGCTCAAATGCCTTTCGATGCCCGTCCACCTTGCGGAGATTGTGATTGCTTCTTGGACAAAAAAGCAGCAGGAGCGGATGATGATCAATCAACCGCGGTTAAAGGTCATGATCATGATTCTACCTTGTCAAACGTTTACGCTATCGGTGATGTTGCAGATGCCTTTGGCGCTTTGAATGCGGGTTATCAAGCATGGTCAATGGCTGATACAGCAGCAGAGAATATCATTCGAGATATTGCAAATGCATCCGCCGCTTCTAATGCAGAAAAGACGCAATTGCAACACTTTGATCCGGCGGCCAATATGCTCAAATTAAGTTTAGGTTTGGGCAAGATGGTCTTCCAAGGAGCACCAGACGAAAAGACTGGTAGACCCGCTGTTGAAGTTCGAGAAGATCCTTCGGATTTAGCCGTCGAAGGTGTTTGGCAATTCATGGCAGGCATGAGCACTGATGATATGTACGTTTGAACATTATTCACTTTTGTCATCTTTTATCTTTTTCCCATTTTCCCGTCTTTTTCGATAGCCCAAGTCATCATGTATTTTTTATCCATTCATAAGAATCCATCCATAATCAATTCAACAATGAAAAGCATGCGAGTGTGGATTAAATCCTTTTTACAACGGAAGTAGCGCAATGGTGTGCTTCCTCAATGATTGGTCTGTGATGATTGCAATACACTTGGGTAAAGCTCCGTGGTTTTAACCGGCGAAAAGAAACAACTTTCATTTCTCGTTCATTATAAATGACAACTATCGCTCACAGCCTCAATAATTCGGAAGAATTCGGTCTAAGTAGGGGTAGAATATAATATCATTTCACGGCGTACATAAACATTCACTGCATTATGAACAGCAATACTTAACGATGTCTTCCGCTTAGAGATCGACCTAAACGACGAGTCGGTGAAGTCTTTGCAGTTGTAGCAGAATTCATTGAAGTAGATCGTTCCAATGGCTTTCTAGGCGGACTAGTTCTATTCTTGATCAAATTTTGTTTTTGCATATCTTGATAGAGTGCCTTTTGTTCAGGTTTTTTTAAATATTTTCCAACTTGGGAATGATGAACGAATTTCAATTGTCTATTTTCGCCATTCATATCTTGTTTTGCTCCTGCTTTAAGATGAATTGCGTAACCTTCAGCTTTTACACCATTTGCACCTTTGCTTTTCACACGGTCCGATTTAAAATGAATATTCTTTTCGGAATATTTTGCTTCTTCTCCTAATTCACGTATGATCGTATTTTTCTTCTTTTCACCTACTTGTACTTTTCCACGAATAAGTGAATAACCTTTACCTGAATTTCCTTTTGATGATCCTATCAAGCCAACCTCCGTTCCTAAAGGTCCATCGCGAAGAAGCGCAGCGTGTTGTTTCGGCTTGGAATAGTCATCAGGAGGTGGGTGAGTAGCAGAAGTAGGTGCTGCTCTAACACCTGCCAAGAAAACAATAAAGCAAATCGATAACAGTACGTGAATTTGCATCTTGAATAACTGCAGAATAAGCTGCTTGTTTCAAAAAACGATGTTTAATATTGTGATATGTTTGTGTAGAAGCATAAAAATTCACAACCAAATTTCCCGCTCTTTATAAATCTATTCATGCCTCATTGGAACCATTGTGAGTTTGCGTATCGATTTATATGCTATGTCATTGCTCGTTACACTAGATTCGGTCAAATTCGGCCGCAACAGGGGCTCGTTCGACCTTTGGGCCGTAACTGCGAGGAAGGCGGATTTGATATTCCTCATCATCGGAGCTTAGGCACCTGAGAGAAACTGTAACGATGAAAGGAATTGCGTACACTTTTTATTGCGGTACATATGCTCTGCTCATATATCATATACAACATTGTTTGTTTCGTACGACTTCTTTCGTGAGATTAATGCATCACGGCGTACTTTAACATAGCATTCATTCGCGATACGCTGCAGTCTCTATTCTAGAATGTGTTGTCAACATTAGCGCCTTTGTTCCCTATGGGGATAAGGATACGGCGACGATGGAATTTAGCCAAAGCTGTCTATGTATACAGAATGCTAACCCCAGTTGAGGTAAAAGGGTAAACAGCCAGAGAAGGCGCAATGCTGATCAGACGCCTTCTTTAATTGATGTCAAGGATTTGCTTGTGAAACGTCTAGTGTCGTAAGCAAGAGAATCGTTTAAAGGCGTACAGTGAGTGCCTCTTACGTGGAATAGGTTAATTACACATCAATCTAGCCCCGCATCCTCTTTAATATTCTTCTATTTGCCTCTTTACTGATCTTTTAACTGATAATGAATGGCATCTGCGTGTAACGCGTTTAGTCTTAATTCGTTGGGGGCGCATGAACAGTCTTTTACCGCAACAAAAGCCCAAGAAGAATCAAGATGAAAATCCAACCTAAGCAAAAGATGTAGTCAGCATTTAGAGCTACTCATCCTCCACGCCGAACAATTTCTTCTTTTTCTGACCACTACCATCGTCACCAGGAAAGAAGCAAGCAAACAAACAATCTTGTATGCTTGTGGAACAATTTCTTCTTCTTTCTTCAACTCTTATCACTTTTGGCTCACTTTTGGCCTTGCTGAAATTCATCTTACGTTCCTTCCCGAATCAGGTCTCCAGAATATCCCTCTTGCACGATTTGGATAAATCAACTGATATAATGGATCCTAATACAATTTTAGCCTTCATCGTTGGTCTTGTGGCCTCGATCGGTGTTTTGATTTGGATCAATGCAGGAAAAGCCAAACCGGTCTTGAACCCCAAAGAATGGCAATCGTTCAAATTGATGGAACGCAAAGATGTTTCCGATAACACCGCAGTTTACAGATTCAGATTGCCATCCGATCAAAGCATTTTGGGTTTGCCAATCGGTCAACATATCAGTCTTCAAGCTAACATTGACGGCAAAAACGTTCAACGTAGTTACACACCCGTCAGCAGTGATGACGAAAGGGGATTCTTTGATTTGATGATCAAAACATACCCAAATGGAAACATTTCGAAACATATGAGCACTCTCAAAGTTGGTGATAAAATGCAAGTTAAAGGTCCAAAAGGTCAAATGAGATATTCGCCTGACTTGTGCCGTAGAATCGGTATGCTTGCCGGAGGAACGGGTATCACACCAATGTTACAAATCATTCGTGCAATGGCCAAAAATCCAAAGGATAACACAAAAATTGATTTGATCTACGCAAACGTTAAGGAGAATGATATCTTGTTGCGTAAAGAATTGGATGATTTGGCCGAAAAGTCTCCAGAGCGTTTCACCGTTCACTACTTCTTGAACGAACCACCACAGGGATGGAAGTACGGCTCTGGTTTCGTATCAAAGGAAGCCATTGAGGAGAAATTCCCAAAACCAGCTGATGATATCAAAATTTTGCTTTGTGGTCCTCCACCAATGATCAACGCAATGAAGAAGCATCTTGATGAACTTGGCTACGAGAAGCCAAACACGATCAGCAAATTGCACGATCAAGTCTTCAGCTTCTAAGCTGCTTACAAAGCGGAGGAATTGCGCCCTGATGTTAAGGCATCAGAAGCAGAAGTGTGCCCAACTTTATTGGAATAAGGAACGTTCTTGTGTCCAGTATTGTGAGGGCAACGAAAACAGTAGGTTATACCACACAAATTATGTCGAAGTGAGCGAAGCAAACTGAATCGTTAACGATGAAGTCGAAGAAGAAAGGAACAGAGATGGATTTAGGTGCGAAAAAGATGCGAAAATAGATTATCAATAATGTCCATAGTGTACATCTCGATTATTTCTTTTTTTTTTTTATTATTAATACATCAAATCTTCATCTATTTCGTTTTGCTTCCTGTCGAAGAAGCTTTCGCAGTTGCGCTTGGTATACTTGTTCTTTGTGTGTTCTTCTTGTAACCGGATATTTGTGCAGCTTCATCCCCGACATCGTCCGTTCCACGTAGAAATCTAGCACTCAAGCTGAACCAAATCCAAACGACTCCGATTGCACAATAAATGCTGGTCATCATCAAAGGTAAGAAAGCATATTTTGGTTCATCAATTGACGAAATCTGAACAGCCGCATCCACGATTGCATTATTTGTAGTTTTCGAGATGGCTTGTGAGGCAATCGAAGAAGCAGAAGATGCAGCTTGTGCAATGATTTGTTCGGCTTGATTTGTCGAAGCGCTAGACATTGATGCCGTTGCAGCATTCACGATAGAAGATGCAGCCGAAGATGCCAAAGAGGCAGCTGATGAAGCAGAAGAGGAGATTGCCTCTACATTACCTTGTGTAGATGCAGTCTGGCCGACAGCTTGGCCAATAGCATCCACAGCAGAAGAAGCAGCTGCTGATGCAAAAGAGAGTACTTTATTTTGAGCAATTGATGTCTCAGATAGAATATCTTTGAATGTAGACGTTGGACTAAAATATAGACCGAAAGCCCCTGTACCAAAGATCATCGGATGAATGAATTCCACAAAGATGACCAGCGGGACGAAGCCTGCGATGTAGACATCTTCAGCAAAATGTATCAATAGATCAATATTCGTAGGTGTATGATGATCGAAATAACCTTGTGAGGAGGAAAAGCGTAGTCCAAGTGTTGAGCTGAAAGGTGTTTTGATCAACCAAAGAAGCGTCCAGATTATTTTGATTGGTAGTTCTTGCGCCTCAAATAGAAGTGGAAACAGTCCGACCACACCTGCAACACTCAGGATGAGAGTCTTTCGCATCATTGTGTACGAGCATGCTGACAAGAGAGTCAATGGCAAAAGAGCAATAAGAATGGCCTTCTCATGGACATGAAAGCCAAATAAGAACGAAGTGAGACCAAAGAGAGCAATCGATTCCACAAACGTGCCATATGTAGGTCTTGTCCATAGTCTCGTGCATAAGAGTAGAGTGAACGCCAACGTCAAAAGGAAGCAATGTCCAGCACTGATTTGAGGTAAAACGTCAAAATAAGTATCGCCCAATATTCCTCTTGTAACATTACCTTGCTCCGATGTCAGCCCAAGTAGTTTGACAAGCGCACGATCTGCAAAAGTGTATAGTGCCCAAGCATTGGCAGCCCAATAAGCATGATTCAAGCCTCTGCTAAACGGGAACAGACGGCTCACCATCTGTTGTAGTATGCCGATCGGACCGGCAGGAGCTGTACTTGTCAAGCCGGACAAAAGCAATGGCGTAAGACTTGCAGCAAAAGGAAGTAGAGTGATCGTACCAAGTGTGAATAGTCTTTCCCCTGCTCCAGAGAAGCTGATAGTGTTCTTGTCCGATTGACCTTTGATAACGTATGATTGCAGCAGGAAAACGAAGAAGGCCGGTGCGATGTAGACATAAATGTGCTTGAAATTCAACAGGCTAGAGAAGAGGAAAGCACAAAGCAACGGCCTTCCTTCTCTAGCTGCCCATACGGACCAGAAAAGTACCCCGTAAAGAAAGCCGTTGTATTGGAAGTGGACATGATCGATGATGATTAAACCAGGGTGTAGTACCAAAGCTGCAACGGCCCATGCAGGCAAGGTATGTTTCGGATTTGATCCTGGTGCTTTCGAGGGCCTACTCAAGGCGAAGAGGGCGGTTATAAAAGTGAGCTCTGTCACAATTACTGATAATCTCATGAAAACTTTGCACGACCAATCATCGTATTCCAATCCACCTTTCAAGTCAACAATCCGGGGATCCCAGCGAGCTGCCGGTATGCTCAATAGCCAACTCAGATATGCAAAGAAGGGCGGATAATCCAACGTCCATTTCGAGCCTGTATCGAAATACCACTGAGATACCGGCAAAGAATGCGTTATTGCCAGCCAATTTCGATGAACTTCAAAATCTGTCGAATGATATGTTCCCATCAAACTCAATTTCAGCAAGGTGGAAAGTGTTAGAAGTCCCCATTGCCATGATTCCAAGAGACTGCCACTTTTCAAGCTGGCGACAGAATGAGTGCCGCTCATGCTCGTCTTGAACCTTTTGACGGACGACTGCTAGGATGTTCAAAACAAATGAGTGTCGGGGTTGATGATAGAAAAGTGTTCTTCTCGTAAAACGCGTTAAAGGCGAGGTTGCAGGACTATGGCCGGCCAAAAATAAGCTTTTTAGATGGCCTAACCGCGATTTGGAAAGGGAGAAGCAAGGCAACAACCCCTTCTCTCCTACCATCACAAATAGACACAATGGGCACTCAACAATCATCAAAGACAAGACAGCATAGACAAGACGTGGTTGCAAAAGGAGCATTAAACCTACCGTTGTTGAACAGATTATCCGGTAAGCGTGTAATCTTGGCAAGTGCAAGTCCAAGAAGACAAGAAATTTTGGCCAGTATAGGATTGCATCCTGAAATCATACCTTCAACTTTTGAAGAAAATTTACCCAAAAGTGAATTCAAAGGACCGGCTGCATTTGAATATCCAGTAGAAACATCAACTCACAAAGCACTTGAAGTGTATAAACGATTAGTAGAGCAAGACGAAGATGATCCCCCAGATATAGTCATTTCCGCTGATACAGTTGTGGTGAAAGATGAAGAGATCTTGGAGAAGCCATTGGATCCTCTGGATAACATGCGTATGCTTGCAGAACTGAATGATGGCAAGTGCGAAGTGATCACTGGAGTGACAATCGTTCATCCCGTCTTAGAAGCGCCAGGGTACAAGGTTCGATCTTTATCCGAAAGAACAGTGGTTCGATTTGCCACTAATCCGGCACATCTTTTGCAAGCATATGTCGATTCTGGAGAAGGTCTAGACCGAGCCGGAGGATTTGCCATTCAAGGAAAAGCGTCTTACCTCATTCGAGGCATAGAAGGTGACTATAATAACGTTGTTGGATTCCCTCTGCATTCATTCTGTTCATTCATGCATGAGCTAATAGAAGATGAAGAGTTGACTTTTGTATGATAATTTATTGATTGAAAATGCATACATTTTGTCAGTCATGATCACTATCTATCCCAATACTTCATCTCCAAGACGGTCAAGACTGAGTGTTTGAGTATTTGACTGAGCATTAGCGCGCAGATTTAGCGTTTTAGTTTCTCGTTCTCATTTTACAATCTTCCTGACCATTTACACGATCAACGAATGCTGGTGAACAACATATGTGGCTCGCTGGTGGAAGGAAGACTGTCGCATTGGGATGGACTGTGATAGGCAGACGTTCCACAAATGCAAGATGTCTATATAGTACGAAGTCAAAGGCTTATCAACCTCTTCCTGAAGGATGGGAAGCAATCATTGGGGTGGAGGTACATGCTCAATTGAAAGCAAAGAAGAAATTGTTCAGTCATGCAAATACACCGAACAATCGAGTAGGTCAACAATCACCAGAGAATACTTGTGTGGCTCCTTTTGATGCAGCCTTACCCGGGACATTACCAGCCATACAATCGGAATCGGTTCGATTAGCCTTGAAGGCGGGAATCGCATTGGAGTGTGAGATTGGGAAAACGATCTCTTTTGATCGAAAGCATTATTTCTACCCCGATCTGACAAGTGGATATCAAATTTCTCAAAAATATGCGCCTCTAGCCAGAAATGGACGATTGAAGCTCTTATTCGATGATGGACATCTGTCTTCGCCAGAAGATGAAGTAGATGTCAGAATTGAACAAATACAATTGGAACAGGATACAGCAAAATCTTCCCATCACATATCGGAAACCGCTGGCTCGCTTACCACGATAGACTTAAACAGAGCAGGATCAGCTTTGATCGAAATTGTCAGTGGACCGGACTTGCGTACACCCGAACAGGCAGGAGCATATGTGCGAAAGCTACGAGAAATTCTACGAAGAATAGGCGCCTCTGATGGTAATATGGATGAAGGCTCACTTCGATGTGATGTGAACGTATCGGTACATCGAACAGGTGAGCCTTGGGGAGTACGCTGTGAGGTGAAAAATGTCAATAGTGTTCGATTCGTTATGAATGCGATCATTTCGGAAATGCATAGACAACAAAAACTTTTATCAGCCGGTGAACTCGTCGAACAAGAAACTCGTGGTTACAATGAATTGGACGGATCTACGGTTCGACTTCGATCAAAAGAAGATGCACCTGATTACCGATACATGCCAGACCCGAATTTACCACCTCTACGAATAGGCTCTTCTTTCTTAGAAGAGATACGAGAAGAATTGCCAGAGCTACCAGCAGAGCAACGGTCAAGGCTTATGCAGCAATACGGAGTGGGATTACGTGATACCAATGTGCTCATGCGTATTGGTCTTGACGATGACGCTGATGTCAGTACGGCTGAACGTGCTTCAGATGCAGTCGCTTACTACGAGCAAGTGGCTGAAGGACGCGATGGACAGATGGTGATGAATTGGATCATCCACGAGTTGTTAAAGACGCTCAATGCCCAAGAAAAAAGCTTCGCTCAGAATCCTATCCAGGCTTCGGATTTAGGAGATCTGTTGGATCTTGTACAAAATGACAAGGTGACTAAAGCAACGGCCAAAGCGTTTCTGTCCGAGCTGATCAAAACAGAAGGAAAGATCTTAACGGAATTTAAGCAAGAGAACACAAGCGCCGTTCAAGCTTGTCTAGAATCACGAAACGCTTTGGCCCTCGATTCTGGAGATGCATTGGTGAGCGTTTGCAAGGAGGTGGTAGAGGCATTGCCAGATGCTGTAGAAGCCGTTAGATCTGGCAACAAGAAGGTAATGCAGAGATTGGTAGGCGAAGTGATGAAGCGGACCAAAGGACGAGCAAATGCAAAGGTTGCCAATCAAATATTGGATGAATTGGTTCATCCCAAATGATTATACAGACGTCTTACGTCTCTGTCCCTTCATTCCAGTCCCATTGTTATCCCAATCTGTACTTGTACTGCTGCAATCCATTCCTTGAATGCGAATATGCATTTTGTGAGATGAATCAATGCACATTTCTAGAGAATGCCAATCAAGGCAAATGTTTATTACAACAGAAACTGTTTCCGCTCCTCTTTTTCAGTACCTGTGTAGCTGCTTGTAAGTCCGAAAGATGAAGAGGTTGCAAAGCCAAAAGTCATCATTTTTCTAGAGATTTAAGGTATTTCTCTAGGTCGAATTGAGGTGAATCGGGATCGCTCACAACTGCAAGAGGGGTAGGAAGGAGAAATTGTTAATCATCATGGCTTCGTCCTTCGTCCGAAACCATACTTACCACCATTACCTCCTGATCGAACAGCTGCCAAGATACTTTGTTCTTGTTCTCTCTTTTTGTCCGCTTGAATCTTTTCTTCATGTCTCTTTGCTGCTTGTTCAGCCCGAGTATCTTCACGCTTCTGTAGTGTACGACGATGAACGATACCATATCCAATACCTCCGATTAAGGCTGTGTAGCGTGCCACCTAAGAGTAGAAATGAGAAGATGAGCAATATTAGCATGTATTCAAGATTGCTATATATTGCAGTCTGAGGGATCGGGATTCCTCCCCCTCCCGCAACCTTGCCGTACTCACATTGACCACAGGTGACGACATGATTGACAGCGAATGAATGTGAGAGTGCTGCCTAAAAGAAAGATCCAATAAACTAGACCGAATTTAAAAAAGGACTATGGTCGTAAAGGTGTGATGATACCGAACTGTTAATATTTTTTCGACAAGACTAAAGGCGTTCTTCCAATTCAGGACCATGCGTACAGATGCGCACGCCCTTCAGAAAGGCTTTTCGGTATTAAAATGAGAATAGGCCACACACAGGCTGGGCGTTTCTTCTCCAATACATTTTCAAGCCGGGTTTTTCCAATTCTACACGTGTAAAAGGTTACTACTTGTGTAGGAAGAGGAATTTTTATTCAAGCCCTGCTTAAGCCGCCACCTATTATGGCTTGTATGCAGGCAAAAATTTATCCCGCTTTTGTGCCCAGAAATTTTTCAATTTAAGCCTAGAATTCTTACTGATTTGCATATACAGGCTTACAAGGCACTTGAACGCTGAGAAATTTTTTGGTTAAACTTGAATGCTATCCATCCATCCTTCTTTCGTACCACACCATCTCTATACCCCCATAGACTGGCAATTTCAAGATGCCGCAAAACGAATATATCGAAGAACATCAGAGGAGGCATGGTAAACGATTGGATCATGAAGAGAGAAAGAGAAAGCGTGAGGCTCGTGAGGCCCACAAAGCCAGCGCAGTTGCTCAAAAGACAATCGGTTTAAAGGCAAAAATGTTAAACAAAAAACGCAGAACGGAAAAGATTCAAATGAAAAAGACTTTAAAACAACACGAACAAAGAGATGTAAAAGCTGCTTCTACTTCTGCCGAACCAGATCAAGCATTACCAACGTATTTGTTGGATCGTGAAAATCAAAAAGACGCAAAAGCTCTTTCAAGCGCAGTGAAAGAGAGAAGAAAGGATAAAGCAGCTCGTTATAGCGTTCCTTTGCCACAAGTTCGTGGTATTGCAGAAGATGAAGCTTTCAAAGTTATCAAAACCGGAAAGCGTAAACAGAAAGGTTGGAAGCGTATGGTCACAAAAGCAACCTTTGTTGGTGAGAGTTTCACCCGAAAGCCTCCAAAGTTGGAGAGATTCGTTCGACCAATGGGTCTTCGTTACAAGAAAGCCCATATCACCCATCCCGATCTCAAGGCAACGTTCCAGCTACCCATCATTGGCGTAAAGAAGAACCCTCAATCGCCCATGTATACTCAATTGGGTGTTTTGACGAAGGGTACTATCATTGAAGTGAACGTGAGCGAATTGGGAATGGTCACTACCGGAGGAAAAGTTGTTTGGGGTAAATACGCACAAATCACAAACAATCCAGAGAATGACGGATGCGTGAATGGTGTCCTACTTCTTTCATCATAGACGCAATTATTTATTCTATTTACGCATCATCTTGTATTATACATAGTTCAATTGAAAACCTTTCATCTAGGCATCATTGTGATCTTTCTTTCTGTTTCTCCTCTCGCAATCGTTTGGATACCCTGCTGGTCCGAGCCCAAGTTGCGTACAGAGCCATGATTAGTCCAACTGGTGGAATGAGCCATTGTACCAATGTTCGCACTTTTCCTAATCCGCGATTATGTTGTGTTTCCCATCTCTCGACAACTTCTTTCACCTGTTGTTCCAAGGTGGATTTGGCATTATCGGCATTATCCAAAACAACATCAGCATAAGAGATCTTCTTTTCCAAAGCAAGTTGTGAATTTAATCGATTTTCCGCATCTTCTCGTGTAAGACCTTTATCGCTATCTCGTTTGATCATACGTTCAAGTTGTTGTTCTGCAGGACAATAAACCAAAATCATCTCTCCGCAAAATTTCCATAAACCTGCTTCGACTGCTAAAGGTGTATCGATGATCACAACAGGCGTACCTGTTAGCCAGTATTTCATCACTAACCAAGCCGTTCTTTTTCGTACGGCAGAATGGATGTATTTATTTGCAACTTTTCGGTTCTGCTCTTGTTCTTTTCCGAAGATCAATCTTCCTAATGCTGCTCTGTTCAACGTTCCATCTTCGTTTAGGATTGCTTCTGCTCCGAAGTGATCTACCAACTTTTTCAACGTCTTACTTGCATCATTCGGTTCAACAACTTCTCTTGCTAATACGTCTAAATCGATCAGCGGGATATTGTAAGGTGACCCACTGAACAACCTAGAAGTAGTAGATTTGCCGGAAGCGATGCCTCCTGTCAAGCTTACCACGAGCATGTTCAAGTGTGTATGAGAAGATGGCGGTTTGAAGTGAAATGTGCGTGAATGATACGGAGATTAAATTTTACCACCCCCACGCGTACATTACCCCGGTTTACCGGTTGAAAGCTTAAACAGACCGCGATTCCTAAGATTGACAGAATATGATTATCATTCAAAGTATGTATACGAAAGACTTCTACATTCATTAACACATTAAAGAAGCCCAGAGGATGAATAGAACGCTACTTTTCTCCCCCACCGCATCAAAGTTTTGGCTTTCCTTCACCGCTTTGCTTGTTAGCCAAACGAACGTGCATATCACGCAAATCCAAAGCGGATTGTTGAACGTAATGACGTAAATGAGAAGCACCAAGCTTGCGACTTGTGAATGAGAACGTTAGGGATTCACCTTTGATTGCATATGCACATCCGAAACCATCTGGAACAACTTCTCCGAATCCCCAAGCGTCAAATGATTCAGATGTAACGTTTGAAGTACTCATTCTCCACGTTCCACTTTCGCCAAACATAGGGTCTTTGTATAAATCTGGCAATTCTTCTCCTTCTTTCAATAGCTTCTTCAATCCGAACAAATGTCTATCAACTCCATGTCCATCTGCCGCTGCTTTAGCATAGTTCAAATGCTGTTTGCATGCCGCTTGGAATTTCTCAAATCGTTCTTCATCCGAAACATCATTGCTCTCCATTGCTTCACAGAATGCTTTGCTTTCAGGACTGCAACTGCGAATGGTTTCCGTTCTACCCCATTTGAATTTACGAGTTTGTGCACTTTCATATGTTGGTGCAACTTTGCCCATCAAACGGAAGTAGGCCAATTGCAACACCATTTGTGCCCATGCATCAGGACTGCACTTGAACTTCTTGATGGCTTCTTTACCGTATGCGGTGAATTCCAAAACTGCCAAATCATGTTCTGATTTCAATGCCTCAAAGTCTTGAATAGCTTTTGTCACCAATCCCTCTACATTTTGGTCCAAAACGAAAGTCAATTCTTTGGGTGCTGGTAAATCAGTACGTGAAGAAGTTCCAAAGTCAATCTTGTTTGCTGCAATACCGCTCAAGACAAAGTCATTCATGCGTAAAGTTGGTGTACCGTCCATTGTTGAATGTTCTCCCATGAATCCAGTCTTTCCGTTTTGCGAAACAATCAATTGTTGTTTGTCATAGAATCTGTTCTTTCCATCACCCCACCAGTATTCCCATGCACGTTCTTCTGTTGTATGAGGTTTGAGGTCATCCAAGCAGATAACAATGATACTGCTCTCAATGCGTTGTAGAGTAGCTTTGTTTTGTTCTGCTCCAGCGCCTGCAACCTTGAGCAATGCTTCACGACCATGTGTCCATGCATCACGATTTTGCGAAGTGAGAGCGCCTACGGGGAAAGCAGATGGTTCGGGCGAAGAAGTAACAATCTTTTCCAGTTGTGCTTCAATTTCCTTTGCGCTCAATTCTTCGCCGTTATGACGCACTTCGAATTCAAAGTAGCGTCCGTTGTGCAAAACAACAACGTGATTGTTTTCTGCTGATGGATATTTTTTAGCCTGATCCAGAGGAATTTCAGGAATACGAACAGAGTTGAACATCCAAGGGTATGATCCGGAACACAAAGGACCAGTCTTGATCTTCTCGGGAGCCAATTGCTCCGATTCTACCAAATCACGGAAACGAAGGATTGCCTTTAATTGACTGGCAGCCCGAGTTGCATAAGTGCGACGGGCAAGATCATCTTTGTGAATATAAAAGTAGCTCACAAAGGGTACGACTGGGTCACGATAGCCCATGTATGCTGCATCGTTCCACCAAGCAGCCAGCCAGTTACCGTCACTTTCGGGATCTTTGCTGCGTGCGACCAAACGTTCTTGTAGTTGTTTGAACAAAGCTGCATCTTTTCCTTTTAGGGCAGATTCTACTGCTTTTTCAGTGACAGCTTTCGAGGAAGCATCTTGATGTGGTAATGTTGTACGTAAGTACTTGGGAATTGTTTCTTCCAAAGGAGGAACAGGAAGGGAAGGTAAAGAATTTTGACCTGCCCAAAGAGGACCAGTTCCGTTTGCGGTTGTTGATGCTCTTAAGATCATATTGCGCTTTTGTTGTTGTAGTTGTTGTTGTAATCCGATTTGAATTCCACTTCTTCCTGTTGTTGTTGATGATTGGGAAGTAGCACCGATTTGATGACGGGCTTGACCAGGCACACGTCTTAGGAGGTATTGCATGGATGCTTTTAAGCGGACAAGATTGAATCTGACTGACAACTACTTTCCTCGTTTGGAGATATGAAGATCACAACGATGAAAAGGTCAGATGGTGGAGAAGAATGAAAGGATGAAGATCTGTTCCAATGAAATAAGTCAATGGAATAGATGCATTCACGAGAAAGAAGAAAGCCTTTCGGGGTAATTATTGTAAAACAAGATGAGAAGTTCTGCACGCATACATTCAGCTCATAGACTCGGCACCAGCTGGAAATAGCCGGTTGAAGTGTAGCCGCCCGCGTGTGTTTCTCACAAGATAAAACAACGGCTGCCCCGATTAGACGCGCACGCTTGAAAACATAAAAATACAAAAAAAAAGTGGAGAAAATCCTCCGTTCTTCGGACAATCTCAAAACCGGTTCAGATCTGCCCGTTCAGGGCTACATCCTGCAACATCTCAATTTGAGTACAATTCCTTCTTCTTCCCCTATATTTACATCTCCACGATTCCATTAAAGCTCCCTCTAAGGCTGGCGCTCAATTGAGAAACACTTTCAGCAGCAGCATGTCTAAGAATCTGCATCTACGCGTGCGTTTAGAGCAGAGGTATGAAACCAGTGACATGTTGGGGTTCTTGCACTTACGCCCGCCTAGAGCCTCAATTTCACCGGCATTTCCCGAAATTCCATTGCCGGCTCAAAATCAAAAACAATGAAATGAACCATGAAGAGGCTGTGTGTATATATGCTTGATGCTCAACAGCAAATGCGTTCCTCGTATTCGGACCCCTAATTTTAACATTCTCAATACTGTCACACAAACAGAATGATTCCGTTTATAGAACAATGTATAATTGACAAATTGAAAAGCAGCTTCTAAGAAAAAGAGCTATGGGTCTAGATAAGATAGATACATGATAATGCTACAGATATGATGATTGGCAGAGAAAAAAGAGCAAGACTTGAATGTGAAACGTGTATGATGTGCTCTATGGAAGAAAACATGAGAAATTTGTTGTGCTTTTTATTTGAATGCTACCGAGAACCTTAATTGACCATTTCTGAATCTATCTGCGTTCTAAGTGAAGTCTGATTGGAAAATTGATTTTGCATATTTTGTTCGTATGCCCAACCGGCTGAATATTCGTTCGTTGCATCTTCAGCGAGGCTCAAACAGGGTATTGACTTTCCACGGTGACAAGAAAGATGCTTTTCAGGTACTTCCTTTGTCAAAATCATACTACGATCATGTCCAAGAGGATTGGATTGTAACTGCGCTTTCAATGGTCCTGCTAGCCGTGAAGCGTCAACCGGATCGCTTGGAATTTCACAGGCTCCAGCTCTTGCGGCTAATTTACGGGTATGCCTCCCGTTTTCGCTCATTTCCGTATCGCCATGCACTTTCAAAGCTGTATTTAGTGCATCGTTCAATTTCTCAGCAAAGACGCCTTTCTCCTCTTCAACGGGTGATTCGGATGTGGCTGGTGTGGTAGTTCCTGTATCAGCGCCAGAAGAACGTCCGTCATCGGTAGAGAAGCTGCCTTGTCGGGAAGATGAAGCAGAAGAAGTCATGGAAGTGCTCATTGGATCGTCGTAACTGATGGAGTCTATTGTAGTTGCCTCCTCTGCTTTGACTAATTCCTCTTCTTTTGCTGGTGTATTTGATGTCATCTTTACAGGACCACGGGGCAATTGACTCTTGCTCTTTCTCGAACTGCCTGCACTTCCTGTTCCGGAAGAAGATGGCACTTCGTCTTCATCTTTATTTGCTAAAGCAAAGTTGGAATCTGTAATCTTGATGAATCGATGTCCCTTTGGTCCGCCACGATATTGTCCAATGATGTGATCGTCTTCACCACCGTATAGGTTCACAGTTGGGTAATAGAACCTCTTGGGAGCCCAGATCAAACCTCCTTCTTCCCATCCGATCTCTTCAGTTCTTAGTGGAACATACAGAGAATTTGATCCTAATTCTTGTTCAGGCACTTCAGGCGCTTTGGCAGGTCGACTGTCGGGAGGTGTGAGGCGGATTTGGGGAATGATGTGTCCACATCTGATCACAACATTGCTGCTTGTTTTAGCTGTTGAAGTAGAAGCAGACATTTTGGATAAAGATACTGTTGTGGGAGAAGAAGTTGTGATCGAATCGAGCATTTATACACGGTCTTTATCTTTTTATTTGACGATATTACACCACCGGAATGTTAAGAATAAGTCGCCGTAAAGAATAGGGACCTCCTTGACTGCAATGTTAATTTGTCTTTTCTCGATTTCACGTGTGGGAGTGCTTGACTTTTTGTCCCTCCTTTATTTGAATTTAGGAGGTGTTCAATCGTCACAGGAGATTGATGAAACGCGTAAAACTGAATTATCCCTGAAGGAGGCGTCCGTCGGATGATGAATCTGCTTAATTTGACGAAGGGAATGACGACGTCTTGGCGTTTGTTTCAAGCCTGAATTAGTTCATATACTTGAGTAAAAGTTGATAATTGGATAGGTGGATAATTTGATTGAGGTGATGTTGGCGTAAATTGATATGAAGTTGGTGGAGAAGGGTGGAAGATGCTGTTTTCACTTCGATCGATTCTCAATTTTCGTCCAGCGAGTGTTGGATAGGTTGATGTAGGATAAAGGAAAGAAAGGATGAGGGAAGTGATATGCTTATGGTATACTTTGTGACATGATTTGTCCGATTGTCTAAGCCAGTTTAGGGAGAAGTCTTAGATTGTCGTTCGTCACTGAGCATGACTGCATATGCTTCCTCTCCTCTTCCTCCTCTGCCTACGGTGAATTTACGCCCTTGTTCGGTTAGATTTTTGAATGATGCATTATGGGGTGTAATGCATTGCAGCAAATCGGCCTTGAGAGATGACAAACAATGTCGGATTTATGCATGTATGCGTAGTGTGCTGTACTTGATCGTGCATATGGGGAGTGTTTTCTTCTTTTTTGCCTAGACAAACAATTCAAAAAATTTCCGCCCGCTCAAGAAATACGCACTACAAAAATGAACTTTTGGGTAAAACTTCAGTGAAAACAAAAATAAATCAGCTCGCCATTACGTGCAATTTGACCCCCTCCCTACTATGTCTACTATTGTTCAAAATTGAATTCACACGATATCAATTTATCGCCCACTTTAGTGGACCATGTTCCTTGTATCGTCATTCAACAAAACAGTAAGGGTCAAACATGTTATTTTGTGTGGGATGTGAATAAGCAAAATAAGCGTCGATCAAGAGAAAGTTGATTGGATTCTTTTTGAGCTCTATTCTTGACTAGAAGCCAAAGTCAGATTGCCTCGTCGATCATAAGAAACAGGCGAGTGAAGAAGATACACTGCTTAAACAGCCTATCGGACGGAATGTTTGATTTTTAGACTAGCCTGTTTTGGTTCAGGAACTTGTGACGCAATAGATCATCGAGAATGAAGTTTAGTAGTGCACAAAAGCAGAGTGGCCTCCACTGGAACACGCGGTTTGAATTGCAGAGGGCGTCATTGCGCTTCCACACTGCTTTTATGCTTGTGCGGATCCCGCAAACAAATCTAGACTAGATATCACTCGTGGCTTTTTCCTCATTTTCGGGCTCAGAGCAGAGAATATACATAAATCAAGACCGCTCTTTTTACCGCCGATGCCGTTCATTGTTGACTCTTAACTTCTTGGCAATTTGGTTTATAACGCTTTATATTCCATGAACAATAATGTCCTATTCATTGCCCTTGATAGTTCGGGTCTCCTTACCTTATTTCATGATTGCGGGGTCAACCCGTTGAATGAATTAAAATTAGACGTCATTATCATTAAAAAGTGGGACAACCACAAAAGGCTAATCCGATGACCCTGAGAATTGGATAAGCTTGATTCATAATAGTCTAGACTCAAGCCAGAAGTCTTAATTGACATGTTCTACTGCATTAAGGTAATCAATCATCACCTTCCAATCGGCAGGGTCAACTCAGTCTAGAACTACGCGTAAATTACAAATCAGCAAAAGGGCCTCCCGCACCTACGATGTGTAAAAAGCAGTCTTGATGACTAAGCATCCTTGTCCGCATTGGCCAAACCTTAAAATCCGCAAAAAGGGGTCCATCTGTAAAGTCACCTCTTGACCATCAAAACATTGCGACTCATAGACAATATAATTGAGTCCGATCCGGTTCTACTCAGTTCTATCGCTGGACTGAAATATTCTACAGTAAGATGCATTGAACAAGAGAAAGGCTGCAGTGATCGTATCCATTGCAGCCGAAAGCAAAAAAACAAACACTTCATCAAACTCCACATCACCAGGCAAGAATGACACTGGCAAATGATATCCCGCTTGAACTTTTACCTATCATCCTTGGACATCTGCAATGGCGAACGAAAGATTTAGCATCATGTGCGTTGGTAAACAAAGTATGGCACAAATATGCAAATCCATTATTATATGCACGTTTATTCTTACGTGATCAAACCAGACTCATTCGTGTCTTTCGAACGTTAAAGGAGAACGCTCACTTAGCCCCTCTGGTTCATGTGTTGGAAATCAGAGTCTTCCCTTTTGGCTTACAGGCTGAATCTTTGGAAGCATTGGAAGAAAGTATCCTGCATACACTTCAAAAAGCTGTCAATTTGGAAGAATTATATTGGACAAGGACTGGAAGTTTAACTGATCGGGTAATACCGTTTTTGCCAGTCTTACCTCGATTACGGACACTCGAACTCACAGGATCTTCTCGATTTTATACTCCTTCGTCCGTTGGCAAATATTTGTTGGACCCTAAGCAAACTCCGCAACTGAAACATTTTTCCATCTTGCTTCCCGACAGAGGAGTTGTGGCAGAGCTACCACAATGGTGCGAACGAATGGGCTCAAAGTTGGAAAGCTTTAGTATATTGTGTCAACATTCAGCTTTGATCACAGACTCGATCTTGATCGAAGCATCTCAGCATCTGACCGGTCTAAAACGATTATCCTTGGCGGGATGTAAGGCTCTAATGATGCCTGGAGTGATGGCTCTCCTTAAAAATTCAAAGTATGGGATTCAAGACTTGGCTATCGAAGGATTAGCGATGCCCCCTGATTGTCTTCCTAAGATCGCACAACATCTTGATCAATTGCATTCCCTTTCCCTCACTTTTCCAAGACCGGCTCATTCAATCACACATTTTTGGAACCATTTAACCGAAATGATGGAATCTTTGCCAAATATAGAAAACTTTACGCTTTATACGTCAAGTTGGAATACACCAAGAGGTATGTATACAGACACGCTTGATAGCGATGAAGACATCGGTGAAAATGACGACGAAACCCATCATGATCACATATTAAGGCACCAGCAAAATGGTAACGGAAACGGGGCTCGAAGACACATGGGCAACACATCACAAGATTACCGAAGACATGAACTTGAAGAACATGCAAGAAGTGGAAAGCCGATTGTACGAGAGCCAAAAGTGGACTCTTGGTTTTTAAAGAGATTCCTGCCTTCTCGTGGTAAGCAACTAGTCAAATTACGTATACATGGAATCGTGATGACAATCGATCAAGTACGTGAAATCTCGTTCGGATGTCCGAACTTGAAAGATTTGGTTGTCCATCTTTATGAAGGCGATAAGGTGTGTATTTGATGACAGTGGCTAAGATAGGAAAGTGACTGACAATCTTTTCTTACACAGGACGTCCTGCAAGATGCTTTAGCATCTTTAACGAACCTCAAATCCCTGCACATCCTTTCATCGATGTATAGCGAAGTATATTTATCGGAAGATAATCTACGTGAGATAGCAGCAAATTGTTCGACAGAATTACGTCAAATCGGATTTAGAAATCGAATTTGGTTAATCGATCGTATACCTGATTCTTCACTTACCCAAACACAAAAAGAATCACAAGAGGTTAGTGTTCGTACCGTTGACGGTAGACATGTTTTCTTTCAACGTTGGGATATGAGCGCAGGCACGTTCCCAGAGGTGCTCTTGGTTGTTCGTGCCTGTAAGTGTGTGAAATGGGTTGGGAGGGAGTAATGAAAAGAATAAAACGCTGACATCTGTTATCCCCCTTCTCTTTACCTTCAGAATGAATCAAACTCAACATCTTCACAAATGTACATTTCACTCACTGAAACAGCAATGGCAGCTGGCCCTTTTGTACGATCTATGTCCATCTCTCCCAATACTTCACTGTAATTTTATTCATTCAGCATTCACCAATATAAGCGCGGCGTTAAGAGCATGTCCACGGCGATAAGGGAGGATCGGACGAAAGCCGACAATGAAGCACCTGCATGAAACGGGCAACCTCTTCCACAATCTATCATCTTCTGATATAAAGAAAGAGGTTTGTGTTACTCCCTTCATCTCTTTGACACCATCTCATACAAACAAACATCCTCAGAATGGCTACAAAGCCTGCAATTCCGCTTATACTCGGGTCAGTACGACCGAACAATAATTGTGATGGATTGGCATCTTTCATCATAGATCAATGGCATCAAAAAATCTCATCAGAATCCGACTTACCTTCGATCGTGTCTGCGAAAGAGCTGATGCCGCCGAATCTATCTCTACCAATAGGACCATTCGAAGAGCCGCGATTGTCACATGGTATTCATGCTCCAGAAGAATATACAACACCTGAAGTTCAAGAATGGTCAAAGATTATTCGTAGTGCACCTGCTGTCATCATCATCACACCTCAGTATAATTGGGGTATTCCAGGTCAACTAAAAAATCTCTTGGATCATCTATTCAATGAATGGAATGCAAAACCGTTCTTGATCATCACTTATGGAGGTCATGGTGGATCAAAATGCGCCGAACAACTTTCTTCTGTCATTCAAATGGGACTTAAGGCTAAGCTTGTCTGTGATCCGATTCAGATCACATTGCCGAAAGAATACATCTCAGGTGAAAAGCGTGTCAGTCGCGAGAGTAAAGGACAGGATGATGCCTTCTTGTTAGAATACAAGAATAATATTGCAGTTGCCTTGGATGCTCTGATCAATGCAATCGCTCCGAAGAAGGCAGAATGATACGCACACACTCACACCTGTAGTTCTATAGCACACAAACTTCTCTAGAATGTATCAAAATGAGACTAGTATACAAATGCAAGTGAGAAAAGGAACAGATATTGCAAATTGACCAACGTTCAATCATCGTAATCATACTCGTCATCGCTGTTATCATCGCCGTCAAGCATCTTACTCATGTATGGACCGTCAAGGAAATAGTCCATCCGTCTATAATAATCTCTCGTTCCTACACCACTGATAACGGCCAATTTCTTACTACCATGTTCATAGCGTGCAATACGCTCTGCTTGTTCCATGAGCAAGGTGCCGAAACCTTGATGTTGGAAAACGGTGGGATCACGAGAATGAATTGGAACTGAAGATCCATATGTGTGCAATTCACGAACCAAGCTCGTTTGACCTGCTTCCAATAATTCAGGTCTGTACGTTTGCTCTTCAGAACACTTCCGCAATCTGAGCAAAGCTACCAAAACGTCCGTCTGGGGATCTTCATACGACAAGAATGTTTCCCACCCACCATTTGCTGTATAATCACGGCGAACCAATTCAATTTGCGTTGGTCGTACTTTATCCTTGATTTCGTGAATGCCCACTTCACGACTGCGAACGTCTCGACATTCCAAACCGAAATCTCTCACCCGTTCTTCTGCCAATTGATGCAAATTTCCATGTTCAACACCAGAAGAAACCAAAGGCATAGGAATATCACGTTGTACACGATAGACACGAGTCCATGGCGGAACAAGTGCTAAGATTCGTGCTGTAAGATCGATCAAGAAGGAAGGCGTGTAACTCTTGTATCTTCCTGTTCTCCATAATTCATATAATCCCGTACCTCGGATGACCAAAGTAGGGTATAACTTTAAACCGTCTGTTCGGTAGTCGGGATTCTCAAAAAATTCAATAAATTGTGCAATGTCCCGTTCGGCATCTACGTTCATCAAGTTGGGCATCATGTGTGCAACGATCTTGTATCCGGCATCCTTGGCAAGATGGAATGTTTCGCATGTGGCTTTGACTGTGTGTCCTCTATTGGTATCCCGAGCTACATCTTCGTATACTGACTGTACACCAATCTCCAATCGTGTGCAACCATACCGTAGCATTTGTGAAAGATGAGGTTTGAGACAGTAGTCCGGTCTAGTTTCAATTGTGATTCCGATTGCTTTTGTCTTTGCTCGTTCAGAGTATCGTACTGCTTCATCCACATCGGAAGTGCTGTGACCGCTCAAACTGTTGTGCAATTGTGCGATAAAGTTATTTCTGTAATCCTCCGATAGACTCATAAATGTTCCTCCCATCACAATGAATTCCACTTTATCAACCGAATGTCCAAGTTCCTTCAATTGTTGAATTCGACTTCTGCTTTGCTCAAATGGATCATATCGTGCTCGAATTGCACGCATGGATGTAGGCTCGTATCCTGTATACGATTGTGTCGAATATTCGAAATCTGAATCAGGTCCTCCAGGACAGTAAACGCAAACGTTTCCTGTCAAACTGATATGTGGACATCTATGTGGTTTACTCATCAATGCAACCACTGCGATACCACTTGCACTTCTGATCGGCTTTGCTTTCAAGACAGGTAGAAGTGCTTTACGATATTGTTCCGGAATTGCTGCAAGAATATCGGTCAATCTTGGCATACCTCCATATCCATGTCTTTTACATGCCACCTTTCGTGCTTTATCGACATTGAGAGGATTTCCGGTTTCGTGTGCTTGTACTAATTGTTGAACAACATCTCCGCATACACGAACCAGCGTCTCAGCTGACGTGCTAGATTGTGTATTGGCTCCCATTATCGCCAGCTCATCGAGGATATGGTCAGGAAAGGAGAATTGCAATTCGAAGCGAGCGGCCAATAAGCAGATGCAGGGTTAACTAGCCATTGACGCCTTAGAATCGAGAAAAAAAATTGGCCGTTGAAGTCGGAAAATCTGATGCAATTACATAAGCGCGGCGCCTACTAAACCAAAAAAATTTGAGTTTCGCTCGAGAAGAAATTAAAAAATTAAGAGCGGTAAAGTGCTCCACTCCAGAGTACCTTAAGGCCGAAGATTAGGAACATTACCATCACCTCGATTACCATACACAACACACGCACGATGCCAAGTGCAACAGCAGTCCCGCCTCATTTGGAACTGCTCACTTTCTTGAGTGATCCAAATGCAAAAGTTCGAGAAGTGGCATTATCAAATTTGGTAGGATATAGCGCAAAGACCAATCCACAAAGGACGTTATTGATCGAAAAACATAAAGGCTTAGACGGTAAACCACTTCAAGGAAGGGATGGAAAAGATGTTGATACGATTGAAGATTTGAAAAGAATATGTCAAGATCAACCAATGGCCGCTCATGATGCATTTTGTGCATTGATCAATTTGAGTGACAGTCTTTTGGTAGCTCGAAGGATCGGTGATGAAGAATTCTTGTCGTTCTTGGTTCGATATATCGCTGATCCAGTCAGCTTGTTGACAGACTTGGCATGTATGCTACTGTCCAATTTGACAAAACTGGAGTCTATCGGCGCAATTTTGTTGAACTTGCAATTACCCGCTAGACCTCTATACAACTTTATGTCCAACAAAGATTTCGAAGCAACAATGGAAGCCATGTCAGCCGAACCTGATGACCCGGAATATGCAGTCAAAAAGCAACGTGCTGAACAACATAGCAAACGATTAGCAGAAATGACTGCAGCTCAAAAGGATGTACCAGCTTTGAGTCTTCTGCTAGATGCATTTGAGGAGGGTGCAGACGTTGCGGGAGGAAAATCACAATCAGCAACGATTGAAGAAATGCGCACTAGAGCACGTCAAATTCAACAAGGATCAGAACAAAATGGTGAAGGAAGTTCGGAAAAAGTTCCACTTGGACCTGATGGAAGACCGGTGATCAAGAGAAAGAGTAATTGCAACTTCCTTGCAAGTGTATTCGCAAATGTTACAACTATACCGAAAGGCAGAGAATTTTTCGTTACCCGATTACAGAATACTTCATTAGGAGCGGCTGCTGAAGCTGCATCTAAGCAAAAGGATGAAAACAGCGAAAAAGTCGTCCCGCCAGCTCGTGAATATCCTGTGGCCCGTCTAATGGTCTATACCGAGCATCCCGACCTAATTCGCCGTGGTGGTGTGATCAGCACTTTGAAGAACCTCTTTTTCTTGAAATCGTGTCACAAGGCCTTGTTGGCACCACCACCGATTGACGTTTCAGGAACAGCACTTGCCAAAGTAGGCGAAGAAGCACTTTCAGTGGCTAACCAACTACCCCCTGCTTCTCGACCTGAACATCTTTCTTCCGTTGATGCTCTACCGAATTTGTTATTACCTCTCTGTGATGGTAAGGAGCTAGCAAAATTGGACTTAGAAGATCAAGAAGCTTTGCCGGATGAATGTCAATTGATGGATGAAGATAAGAAAAGAGAACGCGATCCAGCTTTACGTTTGATGTTGATCGAAGGTTTGCTTTTGCTTTGTACAACGCTATATGGGAGACAATGTTTACGTGGAAGGGGGACGTATGTCGTCGTTCGTGAAGCACACTTGGATGAAAAGGACGAAAAAGTAGCAGAAGCTGTTGTCAGATTAGTCAACATTCTCAAACGTGACGAAAGCGAAAATTCTTTACGGGAAACGGAGGAAGAAATCGGTGCAGAAGAAGTTGACCAAGAGGCTGGCGATAAAGATGAGGATGATGAGGATCTAATGATCGAAGAGCTTTGATGTAGTGTCAAGTCTTCATGTACAAACATAAACTTGTATTTCTTCACAACAATGCTTCCATAGATCAACTGCATTTCAAAAAAGTCTATCAGATACAGAATAAGGAATCAGGCACTCTTGACGTGCGGAGGTGGCATTTCAATGCCCAATGTTTTGAGTCGTAATCGTACGGCGTTTGCATGTGCTTCCAGTTCCTCACATTCTGCCAAATGAACGACATGTGGACCCAACAACTTCAATCCTTCGGCTGTTAAGCTTTGACTTGTGATATTCTTCTCGAATGTAGATGTAGAAACACCGGAGTATTGTCTTGCCAAACCATACGTTGGCAAAGTGTGATTTGTACCTGAAGCATAATCACCACAGCTCTCTGGACTCCAAGGACCAACAAAGACACTTCCTGCATTGATGACTCCTTTTGCCAATGCTTCTGGCTCTTTTGCTTGGATGATCAAATGTTCTGGAGCATACTCGTTGCTCCATCTAAGAGCCTCTTCACGTGTTGGCACGACGATTGTCAAACTCTTTTCGATTGCTTTGCGAACGACTGAGCATCTTGGTAATGCGTGAGCTTGACGATCAAGTGCTGCTTCGATAGCTGCCAATTGCTTATCAGATAATTGAATGCCGACCAAGACGACTTGACTGTCAGGTCCGTGCTCTGCTTGACTCAATAAATCAGAAGCAACGAATTCCGGATCTGCATCACCATCTGCGATAACGAGAACTTCACTAGGTCCAGCAGGCATATCGATACTAACAAGAGCATCGGTATCGTTTTGCACGATCATCTTAGCTGCTGTTACGAATTGGTTTCCAGGTCCTACAATCTTGTCGACCTTTGGAACAGATTTTGTGCCGTATGCCATTGCACCTACAGCTTGTGCTCCTCCGGCTGCCAAGATGCATTTAGCACCAACTTTTTCGGCTACGTAAAGCACTTCAGGTGTAATGCTTCCATCTGGACGAGGAGGTGTGGCAAGTACGATTGTTGGGCAACGAGCAACTTGAGCTGGAATACCCAACATCAAAGCTGTACTAGGCAAGATTGCCGTTCCACCTGGCACGTACAATCCAACACTTTGAATCGGTCTGGCAAATCGACGACAAACGACACCAGGCATAGTTTCCATTTCCAAAACAGCATCATCTGCTTCTTCACCAGTTGCCGTATTTATTCCACCAATACCAGCTTGTGATGCTTTGACATTGCCTCCCACCTTCTTCTGTGCTGCATGAAATGCGTAAATGTTGTTGTACGCTTGATCGATGGCATTCTTGACTTCAGGCTTGATCTTTTGTAGGACTGCAGGCGATGTGAAAGGCGGCAAAACGACTGGAGAATTGAGCTTGACCCGGTCAAATTTGGTTGTCAATTCCAATACTGCTTCATCTCCTCTTTCTTTGACTGATCTCAAGATAGGTCGACATAGCTCCATAACGGCCTCCGTCTTAATCGAAGGTCGCTTCATCAAATCTGTTCTCTCTGATTCAGAAACGTTTTCTAGTCTATAAGATGTCATCTTGATTGGTCCTTCATCCTCCTCTACGACAGCAGCGGCGGATTTTGGTGCAGGTGCAGATGGTAGTGGTTTTGAGTCACTTGACGATGCTGCAGGATTTCCATTGATGAATTGTGGCTTTGCATCTCCCTTTCTGCGGGTGATCTTGTGTGCTTTAGCATCTAGACTACGCTCGACATCCTCCAATGAAACGCCAGCACGGACACATCTTGCCAAAGTGAAATACAATAGGTCAGCCATCTCGAATGCGACATGTTGCTTATCTTCATCTTTGGCTTGAACTAGTTCGCTTGCTTCTTCCCGAATTTTTGCCTCTAACAGAGCAGCATCCGAGAAGATTCTGGCAGTGTAGCTACCAGCCGGTGCTGATTTAAGACGGGATTGCAACGTTGATTCGAGCAAAGCCAAACCGGAAGTACGACCGAAGCAACCTTCACGATTGGTCAAATGACAGAATCCGATATGCTCTTGACCGGCTTTTTGACGGACAGTAAATTCCAAAGCATCAGAATCGCAATCCATACGAATTCGAACGACTTCTTGTGTTGCACCACTGCTTTCTCCTTTTCTCCATAATCCGCGTGTTCTACTTTGGTATACTGCTGAGCCGGTCAAGATGGATTCCCGAATCGATTGTTGAGATGAGTAAACCAAGCCAAGAGAAGTACCAAGAGCGGAAGCGACAACGGTTGTGGGGAACAAGCCATCCTGACGATCGGATTTGAGTGAGGCCAGTAGAGCGCCAATCAAATCAATTTTTCCAGCTGAAGTAGACTTTTCGTCTTTTGGCAAATCGATCTTGGATGTGGGGATGACGAGAGAAGCTCCGATTGAAGTCAAATATGCTGCATCTTCCACTGTTGGTAGTGTGGCATTTGATGCGCTAACAAAGACTGGTCTTCCGGTCTTCTTTGCTTCGATTGATGAAACGAATTGACCGACCAATTCTCCTGTCTTGGCATCTTGTAGACTGAGACCTTCTGGTAGTGAGATGTGAACACCAGCAAGACCTTTCTTTGCTAATTCGGGAAGAGAGATTGCGGTTGAAGGATCGATTTGAACAATTACACGTTCAAAAGGCAAAGCAGGCGAATCTTCTTGTAGAATGGTGGAAGCATCATTTGCAGAGATTGAAACGGCTTCAGCTCCTGCGTCTAGCACATCTGCTGCATCGGGAATACTGACGGGCGATACGAATTGAACGATGTAAGACAGTGATCTTGGCAATGAAGATTTCACTTGATCGTATTGTGCAAAAGGGATCAACAAAGGTGCAGAACGGCTCATTACAGAAAGGAGCTGTTTGTTGTTAACATCCTCTTTTTCCAAGATCGGTAATACTGGAGTCGACAACGACATCTTGCAAAAGATTGTTCTCGTAGATGGTGACTACTCAAGATAAGAAAGAAGAAGCTCTTGATAAAATTCTTAGCTTCCTTCTTAAAATCTTACACCGTCTTCGGCGAGTCATTGCTTTTGACGCGCAAGATAAGACTGCAAATATGCCTGATTTAATTGCGTGAATGCTGCTTACTAAGACTATAAAAATCGTATACATCTAATGCTCTGATTCCTCAATGTTAAGCACGTTTAGCTCTTTGCAATCGCAAGGGTATTCCATCTTCTCCCAAAAGACTCTCTTTAACATCACCTGCAGTGCCCTTTCCATCTCCCCATGTATGTAAAACACGTGGTCCATCTCCTACACGAGTGTGAATCAATCTACGAACTGCTCCAGGTTCTTGAACAGGAATGACGTTCTCATTGAAACCTTTTGGTACTTCGTTGGTTGGCAATGGAACTGCTTCTTGAGCACCACGATGAGAAGCATTTGCACCTGCTCCCAATAAGTTGAACGTATCATCGAAATCAGTATTTGGGAAATAATGACGAATGACAGCCAAAATCGTCTTCATCTCCTTCTCTTCAGCATAGAGGACTGCATTTGGTCCTGCGTCATAAGTATAAGCGATACGTTTTCCCTTTCCTTCTGCCACACTTGCTCGGTTGAATTCTTCCACTAGCTGAACGATTGCTCTGCTAACGTCATTCATGTAGAAAATTGGTGGTGCGGTATCCAAAGCGCATGCATGGAAGTTGTTGCTGTCTGCCATTGTCAAATCTGCAAAAGAATCAAAGTCATGATCTTTAATGGCTTTTCGCATCGCTTCCATTCGTGCAGGCACGACATCTTTGATTCTGTGTTGCAATAGTGGTGAAGTAGCCACTGTACGTTGCATACCCGCCGTACTTGGAGTACCTTTCTTTGCATCGCTCACAACACAGATTAATGCTTGCAGTGTAGGCCAATGCTCGCGGGGTGCGACTTCAATTGCTAAGCTGTCGTCACCTGATGCTTCCGTTCCTGATTGCCAAGCAACAAAACCGCCGAACAAAGATCTACAAGCAGATCCACTTCCTTGACGTGCGAATTTACTGAGATCGGAGGAATTGAGAGTGGGTTTGAGGCCATAAAGAGCCGCTAGTGTGGCAACCAAAGCAGCGAAACCTGAAGCAGAAGATGCTAATCCAGCAGCTGTGGGGAAGTTGTTTTCACTGCAGATGTGTAATGGTAATCCTGAAATCTTTGCCAATGAACCATCTTTAGCTTCCATTCCTTTACGTACTTTACGACATTCTTCAATGCATGTACGTAAGCGTCCTTCTGTTCCGATTTCTTCTTCTACGCCGTTTAGCCAGAGACGATCTCCTTTTTGAAATGAGATATCAGCCCTTGCGGTTGTAACACTACGAAGATGATCTTGATCTAAGGTGACGGAAAGTGAATCATTTGTTGGTAAGATTAGCTTTGTATCACGTTTACCCCAATATTTTATGACTGCAATGTTAACTGGTGCCGAACATGTGGCAGTGATGATAGGTTGAGATGACATGTTTTGAATAGGGTTGATGGTGAGCAGAGAGAGATCATCAATGCGCGCTCTATCTCCCCAATCATTCTCTCGTGTGTGTTTGTGAGCTTTATTTCTCTTTTTTGACAACTTTCTTCCAAATATTAGCGTGATGTTGGAGATCTGCTTAAGTAATCAAATTCCCTCTCCCCACCGAAAAAGCCGATTGAATTCTCGGATCGCGTCTTTACTACAAGCCAACAAGCAGTTCTCCGATCGGACTCCGGGGAATGGATTGATAATTGTACCCACCTCGGAAATACACGCTTACACTTACAACATAAAGGCGCATATATAAAGAGGAATCATATTTCAAAGTCGGAAGATTCGTTCGAAAGTGATCAAACCTCTCCACCATCACCTTCTCCCAGAGATAGACATCATGTTGAGCACATCTGCTACCCGTTTCACAAAGCCAATGGCACGCACAACCTTGCAAAGTTCAAGGGCGGCCATTGGATCTTACTCTATGCCTTTGTCTGTTCGCTTTGCTTCTACTTCCAAATTACCCTCAAAAGTTTTTCCGAGTGCGGCAGAAGCAGTGAAGGATATCAAATCGGGATCAATCGTTTTATCTTCAGGCTTTGGTCTTTGTGGTACACCTGACACATTGATCAAAGCCATCAGTGAGAATAGCAACATCAAAGACTTGACATGTGTCAGTAACAACGCAGGAAGTGGTCAACGTGGTTTGGGTAAATTGTTACACTCAAAGCAGGTCGCAAAGATGATTTCTTCTTTCATTGGATCGAACAAGTACTTCGAACAAGAATACCTTGCAGGTCGTGTTGGCCTTCAACTTACACCACAAGGATCAATGGTCGAAAAGTGCAGAGCAGGTGCATTCGGAATTCCCGCCTTCTATACTCCAACCGGTTTCGGAACTGCAGTTCAAAAGGGAGAACTAGTAATCCGATATGAAGAACAAGCAGAAGGAAGCAAATCCGCTCCTGTACCAAAAGAATACTCTAAACCAAAAGAAGTACGAAACTTTAAAGGAAGAGATTATATTTTGGAAGAATCAATTCAAGCTGATGTTGCAATCGTACACGTTTGGAAAGCTGATGAGATGGGTAATTGCATGTTCAGGTATGCAGCAAGCAACTTTGGTGCAGCATTTGCAAAGAATGCACGTATGACAATCGTTGAAGCAGAAGAGATTGTTCCAGTTGGTTCATTGGATGCAAACACTATTCATTTACCTTCCATCTTCGTTAACCGAATCGTCAAAGCAACCGAAGAAAAGGGTATTGAAGTGATTACTGTTCAAGAAGACAAAAAATCATCCGAAGACAAATCTGAGAAGTCAGATGCAAGAACACGTCGTGAACGTATTTCACAACGTGCCGCACTGGAAGTGAAAGATGGCGACTACGTCAATTTGGGTGTTGGTATGCCAGCTTTGGTACCTTCCTTCTTGCCTGAAGGTGTCAGTGTGATCATGCACAGTGAAAATGGTATCTTGGGTATGGGTCCTTATCCCACAAAGGATCAAGTTGATGCAGATTTGGTCAATGCAGGAAAGGAAACAGTCACCTTACTTCCCGGAGCATCAACATTTGAATCATCTGAATCTTTCGGTATGATTCGCGGTGGTCATGTTGATGTGACAATGTTGGGAGCATTGCAAGTCGGATCAAATGGAGATTTGGCAAACTACATGATTCCCGGAAAGGTTATGAAAGGAATGGGAGGTGCAATGGATTTGGTTTCATCTCCTGATCATACAAAAGTTGTCGTTTTAACTGATCACGTTGATAAGAATGGTAGAAGTAAGATCGTTCAAGATTGCAAACTACCTTTGACCGGTGCACGTTGCGTTTCTCGTATCATTACCGATTTGTGTGTCTTTGACGTTGACAGAATCGGAAATGAAGGATTAACTTTGATCGAATTGCAACCTGGCGTCACTTTGCAAGAAGTTGAACAAAAGACTGATGCTAAATTCAACGTCGGCCCAGGTGTTGAGGCTTGATCATCCCAATATCTTTTAACCATCATGTACTATCATCTTTGCTTTGTCGAAATATCATATCATCTGTTGAAGAAATCGTTTAAAGTGTGAGGATGTATGCGAGCATCGTCTTTTAAGCACTATCAATTTGTCACGCGTAAGAATGTGGGTGTGGAGTAAAGAAGCAATTTTTTGTTTAAGCGGTCACCTTCATCCTCGCCATCGACTTATTTTGACATACCGGCACGCTTTTTTCGCCATGGCAGGACCTAATTTGGAACTGTTCAAGTTCTCTTTGTACCTATTCTTCCCGTTGGCAATCATGGTGCATTACGGAGATCCACAATGGTATCACGATAATGTGTTACCGCTTCGTGATCAATTCTGGCCGGATGAAGGATCACTATATGTGAGTTGAATACAGCGAAGTAGCATGAAGGTATTGCGGACTAACACTTCACCCACTCGCAATTGCAGAAACCGCCAAGAAATCGAGCAGACGTAAAAACGGCATTGGAAGAATTACGACAACAAAGATTAGCCGGGAAGAGTGATGTTAATACAGGAAAGACTAGTGCTCACCCATCCTCATCACAATCTTCATCTTTTACGCCAAGTCTACGACCGAATGGAAGCCTTGGTCGATTCTCTACTTCACAGGTAACCGGAGTTCGTCAACCTGGATCATCTACTTGGCGTGAACAATGGGCAGAATCACAACAGAGAAGGGTGGTATAAATTATAAATTACACAAATGTACAGGAATAGCAATCATGTACCAAATATTGTACAATACAGATATATCAATACAAGATGCAGCAGTCATCGGCTTTCATGCTGCGATAGGGTTCTTTTCGGGATCCAAATGATACACAACGCCATTATCCGACCTTCGTAAAACTTGCTTTGCACCAACGAGTGCAATCAAGCATTTATTCACTTTGGCTTGTGGTAGATCCGGTGCTCTGACGATCTCATTGATTCGAATACCTTTTTGTCCTGCTGCAATTAAAGCCAAAATCACACTCATCGCCAAGCGTTTTGCGCTAGGATCACCGCCACGATAATCTAACGGCAATAGATCGACAACCTGTTCTGCTGCCGCCTCCCGTTTCTTTTTTTCAGCTGCTGTAATTTTGGGCTTTTGAGGTGCGGCAGAAGTGGATGCTCCAGCTGATGTTGTAGCTTTGCCCGCTTGACCGGGTCGAGAAGTAGCAGCAGCAGCAGCTTTTGCTGTGGTTGCACTAACGGGGGTCGGTTTCTTCATTGCCGATTTCAGTGCAGGTTTTAGTGGAACTTTTTGTTGTGCTGATGATATTGTTGGCTTCCGTTGTCCAAGATCGATATCATCATCTTGCGTCATGTATGTTTGATCAGCAGTCGCTGCATCGTACACTGTCGTTGAACCATCTCCCGCTGTTCCTGCATATGACGGCCTTCCCGCTGTTCCCGCGAATGACGGCCTTCCATACCTTCTCGAAGAGTCCATGGCGAAAGCAGCTTTTCGTTCTTCTGCCCTCTCAAAGTTTTCTTCTCCTGGTGCTTCTTGCCATTCGACACAAAAGGCGTTCATCTTGAGGCCATACAAGAACAGAGAGAAGCTTTCATCGAATGTATGCAGTGCACCTTGGATTTCATCTACTGCTTCCAGATTGGATTGCAATGTTGCTGTTTCGTATGCCAAATCCCCGATCGCTTGAGATAGAAATGAAAGTGGTGTCGGTTCTGCGTCCGGTCCGTTACCAGTAGCTGCACTTGAACCTAGTGCATGACCGCCCGAAACCGAAGCACGATGATGAGAAGATATAGATCCACGAGATACTCGTCTGACCGGAGTAGTTGGTCTTGATCTGGGCGGCATAGTGTGCAGATGATGATGATGAGAGGGAGAGTGTTGCACTTTGTGTTATTCTCTTTACGCGAATTCATCACACGCGTGCAGGCCTTAAGCCCACAGCTAATCATTCTACGCCTCTTCTGCCAAACGAAAGCTCCACGTCTTCTCATATTAGACCGTGCGCCGGCACCGCTTTTGCATGCATACATTGCAATTGCCAGCTTTCGTAATGATGTGTTCAAACTTCCAACTGCTCAACAGCATATAGAGGATACCTTTACAGACTACTATACTTCCATGTGTTAATGCTTGGAGAATCTTCGTCATGATTGGAATCGACAGTGGTCGTAAAAGGGGTCGCCGGAGATTAGGAAGATGGTCTTGGAGTAGGGGAATAGGATTACTGGCATTATGTGCTCTCATCCTATTCTGTCTAAGTCAAGTACAGACGACACTAGCAGAAGATTCAAATGTCGTCGTACAAAGCCCCGCTCAAGAAGATGATATGGTTGTGCCAACATCGCCCACTCCTCCTTCCCCTAATCCTTCTTCCAAATCAATGACAGCGGATGAAGCATACGATCGTGCTATTCGTCTTTTGCGTTCAACACTTGCAAACCAAAAAGCATCATCTGCAGGAGGACGAAAGGAGACTAAGTCACCAAAGGCAAAGCAAGCAGACAAGAAACGCTCTCCGCCTGTTTCAGCTCAGCAGAAAAGACTGAATGGAATCTCATTATACTGGGAATTATTCAAGAATTGGCTTCCTTTCACTGGCATCTTTCGAGATTTGATACGACTGCGTGACATGTTGATCACTCTGATACCGTTTCCGGGTGCACGAAATGATGCGGCTGCAGGACAAGGTCATCGATCTCCCGTCAATTTAGCAGCTGCTATGCGAGGAGGAAGTGGAATGGGATGGGAAGGTGGTAATATCTTAGCACCTCCTGAAGCCTATGTTGCAGGCAAAGATCCAGGAGAAGAGGAACAAGCACGAGCTTTCCCAGGTGCTAGGCCGCAACAGTTATGGCCAGAATGGGATGGTGGAGATGATGCATACTTTGGTCCTTTCCTTTCATCGTCTGAAGAAGAGCAACAGACAGAGCAGAATGGCAATTCACAAACTTCCTCGAACAAAAACACTTCCATGGGCTGGGATAAAATATCCATGCCAGGCAGCCTGTCTCGCAAGAAACGAGAAGCAGAGCAAAGACAGTGGCATGATCGCTGGAGAGAGGAAGCAATCGCCTTGCTGACGTGGGCTTCTGGATGGGGAGATGCTCCTTCCGTTGAAGATCGAGATATGTTGGTAAAGCAGGCATCTATGATTGACTGGAGCACTGAAAACTCAATATTCTCCAGCCAACATCTGGAAGAGCAATCTATCGAAAGTTTCCTCCAATCTAAGGATAGACTGATGGCCGTCAATCAAACTCGTCCCAATCCAGATGCCCTTTGGGCATTGGCAATGCATTCTTTCTGGGGTACACACGGTGCTTTACCTCATCCCCTTCGTGCGAAAGCGTGCTTAGAGCGTCTTGTCTCTATGACTGGTAATGCAAGTGCACATAATTATCTCGGTTGGATGGAAGGAGGCGCTTGGGGTCGAGAAGGATGGCGATTGTTGGGTGTGGAAGACAAACGATTGGTGGAAGAAGTAGAAGATCGACAATCGAAAGCATTGCTTCACTACACAGCTGCTGCAAAATCGGGCGACAGTTTAGCACAAATGACACTGGCGTATAGACACAATGCTGGAATTGGAGTCACACCCAATTGTGGATCAACGTTGTATTGGTATGAAAAAGCTGCTACTGACGCATTGCGTAGATACCAATCCGGTCCACCGGGTGGGTTGACATTGCCATATACCCATCTACGATTATCAGATTTGTCGGGAGGCGTGTTTGGGCCGGGTGCATCAGCTGCTTCAACAGGATGGGCTAAACATCGACCTGCAATACAAGCTATGCTCAATCGATTACCATCCGATGGCTCCTCTGACGGTAGAAGACTGGAAGACTTACTCGAATTCTTCACCTACCATGCTCAAAGGGGAGATCCCAGCTACGCTTTAAAGCTAGCACAAATCTATTACGGCGGAAGTGTTTTGGGTGCAAGTGAGAGTGCTGCTCGTGTTCCAAGAGATTATAAAAAGGCGAGAGACTATCTCATGCGCATAGTCCGAGATGTCTGGCCACTTGATGCGCAAATGGTCGCTAAAGGAGGGCCGACTGGATTGTTGGCCAAAAAGGGCGAACATGGTGAAGATGTGAAGCTGAATGTGGATGATACACATGCCCTTTTGGCCGGAACTGCAGCAAGTCTCCTCGGTAGAATGTGGCTTAGAGGTGAAGGCGTCCCACCAAGTCATGTTCGAGCATGGGTATGGTTCTCACGCGGTGCGGAACAAGGATCCTCAGAATCGCAAAATGGGCTTGGATTGATGCATCAATTGGGTTTAAGCGTTCCAAAGAATATTAAAAAAGCAGTTGAGTATTTCGAAATGTCTTGTTCGGCTGGAATCATGTCAAGCGTTGGTGGTTGTATCAATCTGGGAAAGATTCACTTTCAACTACGTGAATATACGCAAGCGGCAAAGTTCTTTGATTTGGCAATGAAGTTGGGTAATTCATTCGAATCTTATTACTATCTGGCTTTGATTAACATTCATATGGGCAGACTCAAAATCGATCCCTCTGATCCAAATGCATATATCATCGATGCACCTGGTACGGCATCGCATGATCGATGCAGAAATGCAGTCAACGGATTCAAATTTGCCATCGAAAGAGGAGATTGGAAAGATCCGACATTCAGCCGTGCTGAACGTGCTTGGGGTAAAGGCATGCGTGGGCGTGCTTTATTGGGCTGGTCGATAGCAGGTGAAAGAGGCTATGAAGCAGCACAAAACAACCTTGCATGGGTTCTTGATCGGGACAAGAAACGTTTGAAGATTTCTGCCTTTGACATCCCTCAAAACAATTCTACCGATCGACTTGCTCTGATCCATTGGATTCGCAGTGCAGCGCAAGACAACGTTGATGCTCTCGTCAAGATGGGTGATTACTACTACTATGGTATAGGATCCAGTCTACCTTCAGAAGAGCGACTACTAGATCTTGATCAAGAAGATGTACCCGAAAGCAGGACTGAAGAAGACGTTCCAACTGCAACTTCTGGAATTTCCACCATACCAAGCGTATCCTATGACAAGGCTGCAGCTTGTTACTCAGCAGCGGCCGAGAAACAAACTTCTGCTCTCGCATACTGGAACATGGGATTCATGTATGAACGCGGTCTTGGTGTTCCCAAAAAGGATTATAATCTGGCCAAGCGATATTACGATATGGCGTTGGAATTGAACAAAGAGGCATACTTACCTGTTCTCCTAAGCTTGGCAAAATTATTCTTTATGGCATGTTGGGATGCTTTCACGAACAAAGACGCAACTGCCTTGAACCTTTTGAATGGTTTAGCATTCGGTCCAACGGGCAGAAGTCGTGTTTTAGGAGCAATGTCAGGTGGATTCTTCGATAATGGCGAAATGCCTTACACGGAAGCCGATGAAATTCGATTCCAACATGAGAGACACGAAGCCGCCGGTCAAGCGGCTAACGGAGCGGCAGCACAGGGTGCAGAAATGGGCGATCACAACCTTCCCGAATTCTATGATAATGGGCCAACAGCCGCAGCAGGAGGAGGATCGGGTCACAATGTCGCACAAGGCGGTGGAAGTGCAACAAACGTTCATGGAACTGAAAATTTGGACGGCACAATCGAAGGCTTGATGATCGTTTTCGGTCTTGCAGCTTTGGCCATGTTAGTTTACGTTCGTCAAGGTGTACAATTACGCCTAGAACGTCAAAGACGCGAAGAAGCTGCAGCTCGAGCCGCTGATGCTGCTGGTGATGGAAGTGGAAGTGCGGAAGACCAAAGGAGAAGACAAGAAGCAGCTCAAGCCGCTCAAGGTGGGCCTCCAGCAGTGGATCCAAATCAACCGTTCGGATGGCCACTTCAAGATGGCAATGCATATGCCGGGCTATAAAAGTAGTATTGAAGCAAGACATTGTATAACTTACACATTTCTCATCGTAATCGATATCACTCAATGTTGGTTATAGCAACATATGAAAATTGGTATGAATGAGTGCTATTGTGAATATGAATGTATGAAAGATGAACGTAGATTGAGTATACGATAACTGTTGTGCTATTGAGGGAGAAAAAAAAAGGTCAAAATTGGAATAATATTACATGAGAAGCTGAGAATTCAACGAAGGGAATGCATCTTCTTCACACCCGTGGCGCCAGTCTTTACATGGACGCCTCCTGCAGATGACGAACCTGTCGAAGTCACACCGCCGGTACCTGTGCTTGCTTTGCTCTTTGCATCGTCCAAAACTTCGAATAAACGCCAAAACTTTAGACTTTCGTCCGTACCACAGGTTGCCAATACTTGTCCATCAGGGCTCAAGCAAGAGTGCAATGTACGACTTTCATGTGCAGCCAAACTTTCCAGCTTATCCAATGAAGGATAGCTCCAGAGATTAAGATATGAGGGAGTTGCACTACCTTCTGAAGCTGCGGAAGTACCATGACAGCTGGCAATCTCCTTGTATCTGTATGACCAGTGCAATGCAGTTACTTGAGCATCAGTCTGAATGCTTTGTAATCGAGTTCCTTGTGTCACATTCCAGAAGTGAATTGCTTTATCCAACGTTCCACCTCCAGTAGCCAAGAGGGAAGAATTCATCGGAGACCAACTCAAAGCCCGTACTGCCGCCCGATGTCGTTCTTTTTGCATCTTTGCCGTATTTGATCTGCGATCCCATACTTTGACAACATTGTCATTACCTCCAGTGGCCAATAAAGCACTATCAGCTCGATAAGACATTCCACAAATGCTTTGAGTGTGGGCACTATGGATATCACGAATGATACTATCGCGTTGACGTAGATCATGTTCCCGCAACAGACCACTCCAATATCCCAAAGCAAGCGTACCATCTTCGGCCCATGAAGTAGTTGTAACGCTGGTATTATCAGCTGCATCCTGTCCATCAGCTGAAGGTTTGAATGTTCTCACCCTCGTTTGTGTTTCCATGTCCCAGATTTGTACGTGACCCGTATTTGTACCGATCTGCAACAATGTTCCTGAATCGTCCCATGTCATTGCTTTGACCACAGAAGCTTGTCCTCCTCCAACTCTTTCACTCATCTCGAGTAAATCGCAAACTTCGGAAACGTCACCTGTATTACCGTTCCAGGTGTGGACTGATCCTCCAAGAGCGATAGCAATGACATTTTGTGAGCTCCAACATAAGAGGTGCGAATAGAAATCATCCCGCATATCTGGCGTATCCAAAGTCTTTTCTGGTGTTGTTGCAATCCTTCTCCTTCCTCCTGCAGTTAAAGAAGATGGCAAGATCTTTGGACGTGGAACAGCATATCGACTGCGCATCTCGGGTGCAGAATGTGTGTCAGGTGCCATTGCATTGAAGCTCAAGATTCGATGACCTCTTTCCATTTGCAAAGCTTCTCCAAGATCAGCAGGTGCATTTGAATCATCGATGTCATCAAAATCAAGTCCTTTTGAGCTACCGGTGAGATTTTGACTGTGATCGTTCATCGTTCTATCGAAAGGTGAAGAAGCTCTACCTGTGCTGTTGTTCGAGCTGCCTGCTCTTCCTGCCAGAGTTTCACCACCCATTCCGTCACGCAAATGATCTGCCATTAGACCGGCAGATCGAGACAGCTCTCGATTAGGGATGAAACGATCGCCTCGCGAACCTGTTCCATTTCCACTTGAAGATGCTTGTCTTTGCTTTGCATGTGTGGCTTGTTTCACATTCTCGCCTCCTACTATACCCGTTTCGAAGTCTTTTGTTACGTCTACACTTCGGACACGACCAGAGTGTGGTAAAACATCTTCATCATAATGACGTTGCTTACCACCGCTATTTGATGAAAGACTCTTGCCATTCTTTGCTCGAACGTTTAGATCGCCAAAGTTGCAAGAGAGTTCTCCCAAGACACTTTCATCTGAAGGTGCCATTATTGCAAAGAATGTAGTTTTGATTGATGGTGAGAATAGGAGGAAGAGGAGTGGAGTTTCTACTCAAGAGAACAACACTTTAAGAATGCATACAAGCAACACCAAAGCCACAATACAGGCAAAGTGCCAATGCAAGTTCTTGTTCATTCAGACTCTATCGATACGCGTTTCATCACGGGAGAAAGATAAAATCAGCTTATCTAAGCTGTAGCAGATACACGTGATCTACATCGACGTCCTGTAAATTTTTTGACTATGCCTTACGTGTTGTGGGCCGCAGTGCTGCGCGCGCATGTAGCCATAAGCATTATATCAGTCAAATGTGTAACGCTCCAGAAGAATGTACCTCTAGGTGCGTAGATAGGCCGGTGTAGGCTTAAAGGCTGTTGAGTAATTCCCAAAGGCTTTCGGCCGGCCAAATGATTTGTACGGTATTGGACATTAACATCTTCTGCTAATCATCACTTTGCTTTCCCTACCACACGTTACTCTCGCCATTTGAAGTGAATAGGGTGAGTATTTCGACAATGGAGCACAGCAATCGACGCCTTGATGGGACTGGATTTGGTATTCTGATGAGATTTCGATGCGATGGACATAGATGTGGGAAGCCGACATGAAAGAAGAGGGAACGCCTGTTTGCAATTATACATCGACTTCCTCGAACTATCCACGATCTTTACGACACTACCTCCAATTCCGAAAAGGCGACGATTGCTTGGCTTCAGATATCTACTTTCGACTCTGGAACATCAAACTGATAATTGATTCTCTCCCTTACCGATTCATACCAACTTTCAGTCAAGATGGTGAACGTTCCCAAGACACGCAGAACATACTGCAAGGGTAAACAATGCAAGAAGCATACGTGAGTGTCCAAATCAATCTCTGGTTATCGGTAGAGTGGTAGTTGTGATGTACATGGCGGGCGTAGGATTGAGTGTGTAAAGACACGGATCTTGCTGAAGGACGATGTCATTTGGAGGTCAGGTTGGCAATGCTCAAAAGCTTGAACGCATACACATATGAGCAGCCACCTTCGTACCGTCATGCGATCACTATCACCACTCTACTGATGTGCGATTGTAAAATAAGACCGAATCACTCACCTTTCCTCAATCTTCCTTTTCACAGCCCACACAAGGTCACCCAATACAAGACCGGTAAGGCCTCCTTGTACGCCCAAGGAAAGCGTCGTTATGATGCTAAACAAAAGGGTTATGGTGGTCAAACCAAGCCAGTTTTCCACAAGAAAGCAAAGACAACCAAGAAGGTCGTTTTGCGTTTGGAATGCTCAGCATGCAAATACCGTTCTCACATGGCTTTGAAGCGTTGCAAGCACTTCGAATTGGGTGGAGACAAGAAGACAAAGGGTGCTGCTTTGGTTTTCTAAAGGATTTGCTGTATACACCATATCATTCAGCTTTACCTGTGACGTTTGTGAGGGATTTTGGTAGGGTTTTGATCCAAAAGGTGATGACCACTACTTTATCTTTTACAACGTCACACTTCTCATACATCTCTCTACATATGCATCATTAGGTCGTATGAAATGTACCATTTGCACACACACGTACACTCAGTCAGGTCCGCTTGAGTTTAAGTATATCTACATTAAATTTTCTCTCTTACATTTAAGCATCGCTTGCTTCTTGTACCAATTTGGCGACATTATTGGCAAGACTATCTAATTCGGCGGCCAATCCTGTTTCAGCATAAACTCGAACACAATCTTCCGTTCCACTTGGACGGACGAATGAACGAGCGTCTTTGTACTTGGCCACAACTTCATCAATCTTTGCTTGTAATCCAGTGGGGGTAACCAATCTTCTTTCTGCATCTTCTGTTGTGAATGCAGCACGATCTTTAACGATCACTTTGAGCATCTTGTTTGGCAATTCTTCGTACAAGGCATCCCATTCTTCGCAATCCCATTGTCTTGATCTTAGGATCACTTCCACTAATAACATATCACTGATTGCATCACCAACCGTTTGATTGATCACATCGACCAAATTTCTTAGTTGGATTAAAGCATCTTCTGCGGCTGGTGTGGTTGGCTTGGCTTCGCTTAGAAGTTTGAGAGCGTCAGGAGAGAACAAGACTGTTCCGTGACCGTTTGCTTCGAAGTAAACACCGACATCATAATGTTCGGCAGCACGATGAAGATGCTTGACACCTGTAGGCGTGCATGTGACTGGTACCCGTTGTTCAAGGTACTTTGTGGAGCTTCCGTTGGCATATGCAGTCTGGACACATCCAACATTCAATTCGATGCCTGCTTTCTTGGCCAACTCGCTAATGTAGTCCGTTGCCAAGGCGGCAATCTTGTCGCCGTCTAACAAACGGAAGCTATCTTTTTGTGCAGGGTTGCCACGTAGGTAGTAGAAGACGATTCGGTCTGCATCTCCATCGAAAGAGCACATTCTATCACCTTGTTGAACTCCATCCTTTTCGATATCTTTTGGTAGTTTCTGTCCAATTTTAACGTAATCAGCACCACAGCCATCGTTCAAAGCTCCTTTTGTGCCAATAGCAGTTCGTAATGCTCTGATCTCTAAAGCAGATGAGGGAATGTACTTTTGGATATTGAGCAAAGCATGAGCACCGACACCGTTTGCACAGTCCACGGTCAATTTGCTCGTTGCTGGCTTACCCTCTACCAATTTCAAGAATGCATCTGCAAGCTTTTTGTAGTAACCTTCTTCGGTTGGCTCTCCATATGCTTCTTCTGTTCCGGCTGTGTTGTGAGCATGAACAAGGTAGTGCAACTGTGGTGTTGTCTTTAGGCCTGCATCGATTGTTTGAGCACCCATTGCTGCTAAACCGGAAGCTACTGCTTTGATGAGCATGGGTGAAGATGGTCTTGTATCATGTCCGTAAATGACTTTTGCTGGAGTTTTCAAGTCGATCTTGTAAGCATGAATGAGCTTTTTCAAGATTCCAAAGAATTCTTGAGCGTCAACAGCATTGCATGCTGCAGTACAGTATGGTTCCCAAGTTACGTCCAACATTTCACCTCTTGAATCGATTGGTTTGATTCCATTATCAGGTTCAGGATTATGACTTGCAGTAACCATTAAGCCGATTAGCTTTCCATTTAAGCTCTTACTACGTAAAGCACCAATAATTGCAAGACGATAACATGTACTTTCCAATGTATCACCTTTTGTACGAATTCCCGTTGTACCATATTCAAACTTCTTTCCGGCTGGCTTGGGAAATGCTTCAAAGCCTTGTTCGATCAAAGCGAATGGGATCTCATCCGAACTTGTTGCACGAATAGCAGCATCAATTCCGGCTGGTGTAGTCATTTTGTTCAGGTAATTGATTGAATGATGAGAGAATGGAGAATACTTCGTGTTGCTTTGTGAGCATGGCTTTACCGTTTGGGAATGTGCATGTATGTTAATTAAGGCTTAAGCCGCCTTTTCCACGTTGCATCAAGCTAATGAATGTGTTGTTCTCTTGTTCCATAGTCGACGCGCTCCTTTGGCTGTATCCATGAACTGTTTAATCGATGCTCACGTGCCTGGGCGAGTGTAAATTTTTTGGAATTTATGTTTCAAGAAGATGCAGGATAACTAGCCAAATTGCTTAAATGCTTTCTACCTCTTTCATCCTCAAAGATTGTATATCCAATCATGGTCACAAAGGTAGCATCGCAGTCAAGCAGAAAAGTAGGAAAGACAGGGGAAGAGAGAAGGAGAAGTAGCGGTACTCAAAAAGCAGCAGCTGGAAGCTCGAAAGCAGCTGTTGCAGCTGAAGAAGATGAGAAAATCACAGAAACCGCAAGTTTACCCCTAGGAAAAGCATTAGCATCAACCGAGAAATCAATCAGAGATGATGCAATACGCTCATTGGCAGCATACTTAAGTCAAGCAGACGCTTTGAACGCTGAACCTCTATCTGATCTAGAAATGGCAAAATTATGGAAAGGAATCTTTTATTGTTTTTGGATGTCTGATAAGCCAAGGGTACAACAAGCTCTAGCGAATGAAATGGCAGAAATACCTTTAAGTATTCAAAAATCGTTGAAGAACCAGCAACAAATCTCAAATACCGCTTGGCAATTCTTTGAAGGATTTTTGGATTCAATGGTACGTGAATGGTGGGGATTGGATAAATGGCGAGTGGACAAATTTATGATGTTGGTAAGAAGATTCATCAATGCTGGATTCCGTCTTTTGGATTTGCAAGGATACGAAAAGGAATCAGTTGAAAGATTTGCGACAATGTTGATCAAGCCGGGCGGTATCTTGCAAGCAAATGATGTCAAAACGCCAAACGGATTGATGTATCACGTCTGCGATATTTATCTAGAAGAACTAGACAAAGCTCTTTCGATGGAAGCAGAGGAAGAAGATGATACCAAGACTGTGCCAATCACATCCCTTCTGAAGCCATTCATTGATATGGCTGCCGCTTGTCATGCTTCTCAACATTTCGACCGAATGCTCAAAGCTGTCATTGTTCCATATCTGGATGACTGCTTAGTGTCAGAAACTGAGCAGAATGCAAGGAACAACGTTGATCGGGCTAGCAAACGTCAGAAAAGAAGTACAGATGGCGGATCCCAATGCGAATATCCCAACATCTTCAAAAGAGCCAATGCAAGTGCAACCGAATTACGCTCTCAGGTTTTCTCTGAGCTCTTCGACGTTGCAAGCCGAGCAGAAAGTGTTGAAGCACGCAGAAGACGGATCTACAAGATGTGTAGAGAAGAGGAGGAACGATTAGAGGACGAGGAATGAAGATAATCTTCAATCAGATATTGCAATTTTGTACACTAGTCAATAAGAATCATTCTATCAGTTAGCAAGCTTAATGTTGTAGTTCAACACGTTTTCCCGGTTGCCATTCGCGAGCAGCTTTTTCGATGTTGTTCCAGTACCGTAATCCGACAGCGGCTGAACGAGCTGTTTCTGTGTCTGGTGGCTGCTGCGAGAAAGCTTCTCTCAAAAGATTAACTGTGGCATCGAGTCGTTCTGTAGTGAGAGAAAAAGATATAGTCAGCAGCTGTTTTGGATGAGGCTCAATATATATTAGCTCACCTTTATTTCTTGCTCTAACTTGAGCGGCTTCTTCTTCCGTGCTTGCTTCTTCCAGTTCTTCTCTCAGTTCCATAACTTCCATCAGTACTTCTGGATCTTCAAGCGATTCTGCTTCTGACGGTATGGAAGATTGAAATTTTTCCAATAAAAGATGTGCCCTTTGAAGTGGTTCACGTAAAGTTTCATAAGCTTTATTGATCATTGCGGATTGTTGAGCGGCAATTTGTTGTTCTTTTTCACTTTTCGTTCCCATTCTGTCTGGATGACTTAATGCCATTCTTTTACGCCAGATAGACTTTAATTCGTTCAAATCAACATCCCATCCATTATTTGCAATTTGATCGTCTTGTAATCCTAATAGTTCGTATGCGTTCAATTCAGACGGTAGAGGCTGTAGAGTTGAGCATGAAGTGCAAGACAGTGTATTGAGTGGCAGTGTTGTGCCGCAGCTGGAGCATTGCTTTTGTGCTTGATTGTGATGAACAGTCGAAGTGGAAAAGCTGTTTGCAAGAGGCAGTCTTACTTGTTGAAGGTGTTGCAAGCATCGTCCGGTGGACACGTTCGGTATCCTCCTCTGACTCACTTGCAAGAGGGCTCTCTCCCTCACTCCTAAAGAAGCGGTCCGGCTAATAATGGATCTGAGTATCATATTCGCTACAATTTGTGATGATGTCGTCCGATGAAGGTTCTCTCCAATGACCTCAGCAAGTGTTTATCTGTGGAGGAAGAAGCCTTTTAAGCAAGCCTACGCGTACAGCACTTTAATAATCCAATTTCCGATATCCGAATAAAAATTCCAAAAAATTTTAAGCGTTGCTCTTCTTTTATATGCATACGCGGGTTTTTCTGTCTTCTTCTCATCCAGACCGCTCACCATCCCACACATCAATCGACAAGATGCCGGGTGTGATTGATTTCCTGAATTCGGATGACGAAGGGCAAGGAGTGAAAAGGGACATGCCTGACATTTCGGCTTCTTTGATGGGAAAAGGAGGAGTTTCAGCTAAAAGGATAGGAAAGCAAAAAGCTGGAGAGGATGAAGATGATGATGATGCAGCATTCATCACTGCTGCAATGCAAAAGCAAAACAAAAAAGGTGGAACTGATGTTTTGAAGAAAACCGTTGGAAAGCGTGATAAAGGCAAAAATAAAACAGCAAGTGGATTATTGAGCGGAGGTGGAAGTTTTCAAAGTATGGGTCTTCATCCTTCTCTACTTCGATCGTTGTTATTGAGAGGATTTACCACACCAACACCTATTCAAAGACAGACTATTCCAGCCATCCTGGAACAGCCACCACGTGATGTCGTCGGAATGGCAAGAACAGGTTCAGGTAAAACATTGGCATACCTCGTACCTCTAATTCAACGTTTGAATGGTCGACATTCTTCCACTGTCGGTGTCAAGTCAATCATCTTGTGCCCCTCTCGTGAGCTTGCTTTGCAAATCCTCAGAGTCGGAAAGGAAATCGCTCGAGGATGGAAAGCGGACGAAGGCGGTGAAGCTATTCGTTGGGGCCTGATTGTTGGTGGGGAGGGATTGGACGAACAATTCGCACTTATGGCTACCAATCCGGATGTGATCATCGCTACTCCTGGTAGATTGTTACACTTGGCTGTTGAAATGAACTTGGACCTGAAGAGTACAAATTATGTGGTTTTTGATGAAGCAGATCGTCTGTTCGAGATGGGATTCGCATCGCAATTAGAGGAAATCCTGCTACGTTTACCGGACACTCGACAAACTCTTCTCTTTAGTGCTACATTACCCAAGACATTGGTCGAATTTGCCAGAGCCGGCTTACAAAGTAACCCAAAGTTGGTCAGATTGGATGCAGATAGCAAGATCAGCGAAGATTTGCGAATGGCATTCCTAAGTATCAAGCCTGCAGAAAAAGAAGCTGCTCTTTTGCTCTTACTTCGAGATATCATTGGAGTTCCGCAAGGAGAACAACGACGTAAGGATGGTCGCGACAATGGCTGGCAGACCGATAGATCTCAAGACAAAAAACGCAAAAGAAGTCAATACGGAAACAGTTCTGCCCTGAGTGGTGCTGATGACCTCTTGCCCTATCAGACGATCATTTTTGCCGCCACAAAGCATCACGTCGAATACCTTCTCTTGCTCTTGACCACTGCAGGATACTCATGCAGTCATATCTATTCTTCTTTGGATCAAGCTGCCCGTGGATTGGAGATGAAGAGATTCCGTGATGGTGAATCAAGTCTTTTGATTGTTACTGATGTAGCAGCACGTGGTATCGATTTGCCTGTGTTGGAACATGTGATCAATTACGACTTTCCAAGCAGTCCAAGAGTATTTGTTCATCGTGTCGGTCGTACCGCTCGTGCGGGAAAGAGAGGATTTGCATGGAATCTGGTCCATCATTCAGAATTGCCTTATTTGTGCGATCTACAATTGTTTTTGGCCCGTCCTTTGGTCGCTGCGAAAAGCTTTACGGCAAGTATTGCAAATATGAATGCTGATGATGCAATGGACCTTCATACACAGCTCGTGCTCGGTACACTACCCCGTGATGCGTTGGACAACGAGATCGAATACATCAACGAAAGCTTAACGAACAGTAGCTCTTCTGCTGCAGTCGCAATTCCAGCTTTGAAGAAAGTTGTTCAACGTGCTCATCAGATGTATACCAGAAGTCAAACAAAAGCAAGTCAAGAGAGTTACAGAAGAGCTAAAGAGATGGTAAAAGCAGGTGATGGAGATCATTGGGCTTTGGCCGGTAGTGTAGCGGAAGAGAGTAGCGTACATGATGTGATCAAAAGACCTAAAGCGTATGGACTCGGTAGAATCTCAAGCGATGAAGCTGATGTAAAGGCGGTCGAGGAAGAGAAGCAAGCGTCTGTAGAACGTGCAGCCCTTCTGGCAAAGATCAATGGCTTCCGACCTTCAGAGACTGTGTTTGAGGTAGGAAGCAGAGGAGCAACGCCGAATGCTTTATTGATGAAGGATCGCCGACGAGTACTTGACGGTAAGAGAAGGCGCGCTGATGTGATCGAAGCTGCTAAAAAGGAAGCAGGAGAAGAGTTTGTTCCCACGCAAGATGCAAAGATAGCGAGCAAGGATGATTTGACAAATGATGCAGATCTTCAATCAGCTGACGAAGAAGACATCCTGCAAACATTCGATGTCTCAGCGCCTGCAAAACGTGGAAAGTCAGGTAATTTCCGTGATGAAAGTGTATACATGGACTACGAACAACGTGATGCACGAACGGAAAAAGGTTATTCATTAAACACAGGTGATTCCTTCGTTGAGCAAGCAAAAAGAGCTACTTTCAACTTGGCCGGAGATGATGAATCTCGATTAGGCACTCAATCGCAAATCCCCAATGCAGCAAGATGGGATACAAAGAAGAAAAAGTTCATTCAAGGAAACGGAGTTGGAGCAGATAACAAGAAAATGATCAAAACTGAATCGGGTAAAATGTTACCTGCAAGTTTCCGAAGTGGTAGATTCGATGAATGGTCTAAAGAACAACGAATGGAAATGCAAAGAGTTGGTGAAAAGGAAGATGCAAAGACTGTTCGTACTGCCCGTGGCTTGGTGGGCCGGAACAGAGGTCCTGGAGGCCGGCATAGCGGAGGCGGTGAAGGAGAAGGCAGAGATGGCTCAAGCGGCGGAAGGAAATTTATGCATCACTCCAACAAACCTATGCGAAAACCTGATCGATTCCAAGATGATTATAAGCAAAAGATGAACAAGTTCAAAGCTCGTACGGGTGAAGATCAAGCTAGTTCATCTTCTGGCCCTAAAAAGGACTTTGGCAAGAAGGGTAAAGGAAACAATAAGAAAGGCATTGCTTCTGGTGCTCGTCGATCAGGCTCTAAAGCAAAGAGTGAATTGAAAAGTGCTATGCAGATTCACAAAGATCGCACTTTGGCAAACAAGCGTAAGGAGAAGAATGCAAGACCATCTCAACGGGGAAGAGGTAGACGTTGAAAAAAATAGATATCATACATGTCATCAATTGTACATCATTTTCATTAGCTGGCGTAATTCAATCTTTCTCTTTCCAATCGAATTCACTCGTATCGTATCCTTCCATCTTTACGAATAGCTTTGCCGACTTGAGTAAGTGGGCTCTTGCATCTCCTTGGACGTATTTGCCGGGCCAAGCACCAATGATCTCATCAAATTGGAATGGTTGCATGGAATGCCAGATTCGCAAAACGTCTTTCGGGGGTAACGGAATCATATTTGGATAAGACCACATAAAAGTGATCGTTTTTCTGTCCATGCCAGGACCAAAGGTATCTGAGCAAAACACTGCACCGGTGGAAGGTAATTGATCTTGAGATGCAGATTGCAGAATCTTTGCTGGCGTACCTGCTTTTTGACGATCCCAGTGTAACACACAACTTCCATCAAAATGTCCCCCGCAACGTACGATTGTGATGCCAGGTAAAAGCTGATACGTTTCGCTATCGAAAAACACTACAAGCTCTTTTGCCAAGCCTTCGTGTGCTCTCTGAAACCATTCTTTGTCAAGATGTGAAATGAAAATTTTTGTTTGTAGAGCTTTTGCCCACGTTAAAGAAGATGTATAGAAATGAGGATGAGAGATTGCGATTCCAACGATTGGAAGTTGATTATCTTTCGATAATTGTTTAATTGATTCAAACATGTCCACAGTATATAACGCACAACAATCCCAAAGCACTATTCCGTCTTTTGTCAAGATGACAAACGGCGTTTCGCCAATACCGACATTTGTATTCTTTGCAATGATACGAAATAGTCGAGCATCGTTTTTCTCGGGGACTAATTCACATCGTAGTTGACTCGAAGGAAGTAGCCAATCAGATGCTTTTGACCATTGTTGACCTGATTCAGGTACGTATTGTCGTGGGTCTAAACAAGGTTGACAAACATTCTTTGGTTCCAATTCATTCGGACTTTTAATTGGATATTGTGTTCCACATGTTTTACAAATCAACAATTCATAATCATCACCAATTGTTGTTCGAATAGCATCATCATTGATTGACTTTAATACTTCTTCCATGATGAAGGATGTCGTGTGCGTGCACTTCCATCTTATGATCAGGATGATGGACAACTTTAATTGAGCTCATCTGTCAATAAGTTACACCCCTTCCCTCGGTTTCTCCTCCTGACGGCATTTATTCAGCCTTTTAAAGTCCCGAGCGTGACGCAATGACATTAGTAGTCCATTTTTTGTCATTCTCGATCTGGAGAGGAACAGAGCAATTTAGCCTGTTGTTGAAGTACAATCAATCAATCAATCAATGTACGCACTGCATGCATATCACACGTACTAGCGCGGCGCCGACTAGAATAAATCGTGGTGTCAGAAAGTGTTACTTATCTCTCTCCTCTTGAAAGCCATCATCACATTCACAATAATACCTTGCAATCATGGCAACGCCCATGTCAATACCTACTTCAGCAAATAATGCAGGCAAACCTGGACCACATGCAACAATCTCACCCGATGCACTAACAAACAAACCGCATCTACACTCACCTCCAAGGCCACAATCACCAATGCCACCAACAGCATCATTAACCGATGCAGGATCAACTTTATTGGCAGAAGATGATGATGATGAAGGAGGAGAAATAGACTCAAGCGAACCAATCACAAAAGTGACATCTAGATCTCAACCTGGCGGATCATCAACAATCGGTCAACCCTCTTCTGAAACTCATCAAGCATCTTCATCTTTGCCTATTCCTTCACCTCCTGCAGAAGTTGAAGCAACATTAACAAAGCTCACTTCTCATGCAAATGTTGCAGGTGTCTTGGTACTCTCTAGACCAGAAGCATTGGTGATCAGAAGTGGTGGTTCATTCTTTGATCCTAGTGGACCCGGAGCGCGTGATCGAGCGATTCGATTGAAATCAGTTGTGGAAATGGTACGAAATGCGGTCCTGGGTCTGGAAAGAGATGTTCCAAAATCAGAAATGGGTGACGAACTGTCATTCTTACGTATTCGAACAAAAAAGTACGAAATGATGATCTCGCCAAGTGAAAAATATCTTTTGGTCGTCATTCAAGATCCTACTGTATCCACTTGAATCATGCTTTCTTGCTACATTCATTGCACACCCGATACCCTGTACCATACTTGATGCTCCATTTTCGTGTCTCGTCCACATGTATCTTCCCCTTTTTTGTACTCTTTTCCAACCATGTATTGAGGAAGGCGAGCATCTTACTACTGCCTTCATCCCCTTCTCCTTCTTTGATGTATGTGAAGAGCGAGACCCAAGATACCAATTCAATATTGTTCAAATAAAGCACACAAATGCAAAAAGACGATTATCATTGTGATTAACAAGCAGCACAAACGGGATACATGATGAATCGATACGAAAACGTGTATGAAATAACGAAAAGTGGAAATGCAAAATGGAAAGAAAGATCACTATGAAAATGCTGAGAAAAAGAGAAATGCCATCCAAAGGCAAATGCGAGCCTATCACGGCAAAAGCAGTTCAAACCTGTAGTAAGAATTGCTGCCATTAGTTGAACGGCATATAATCCGTCAAACCTGCATTAACTGTGAAACTGTCCAACCAATCTGGTGTCCATGTTGTGCCTGTTGAATCATTGTATAAAAAGTTAATCGATCTCATAATGGCGGCAAAGTAAGGAGCAGAGACATCATCACCAGATGAGAGATAACTTCCGTTTCCGTTTGTTGCAGCGCCCGCGACCCAAGATCCCAAAGCAGTTTTTGGGGTTCTTGGAAGACCTGCACCTTGCAACATACTTGTATACGTTTGAGATTGTGCTGCAGTCAATTGTTGTGTTTGACTTTGTTTTAATGACCAAGAATAATTGTCTAATTGAAGCCACCAATAAGGATCATTGGAAGATGTACGGGCAAGATTGCTTTGGATCCACATGGAAACGTGAATGTTGATCCATGGACGCAAAAGGTCATTGTTTGTCAAACCTGCAAGATCAATCTTTTGTCCGGTTTCCCAATCGATCAATTGTCCACGAATACCTTGACGTACGACAGGAGCATCAATACCCCATGTGAAGTTGTGCGTGTTTACGTTCATGTGGTTTTGAATCAAAGACATCATTTGAGCGCCAGCATCAGGAGAGATTTGCAACAAACCGTAAGAAGCACCGCTATCCAATCTTGGACCACCAAGAACACCAGGACGGAAATCAGATTCTGCCCGAATATCGGCCAACATGATTCTGACGATATCCTGCGTAGGTACTTCAGGCCAATAACGTGCACTACCGGAAAAGAGGGCAGCAACAACCTCTTGCTTTTGTGCATCTGATAAATTTCCATCATCTCCTGCCCAAGACATGATATTGTTCAAATCATTCATTGCTTCATTATAGCCATAGCCTGGACTATTTGATTGAAGCATGATTTGTGTTCCCGCTCCAGTCGTAACAGTTGCTACAGGCGAAGCAGCATTCGATGCAGAACTTGTTGACGATGTAGGAGTAGAAGTTGTTTGACTAACGGGCATGACTGTTGTAGTTGAAGAAGCAGAAGTAGTAGTCGAACTTGACATCGAACTCGACATCGAGCTTGACATTGAGCTTGACACAGACGAAGAGGGTACACTTGAGGCTGTGACTGCGACTGGTGATCCACATTGATCGCTTGAATCGGAACTGTCATCGTCTTCGGCAGAATCGCCAAAATCGGTGAAATCGCTTCCTGAACCACTTCCTGAGTCGCTTCCCGAGTCAGGACTTGAGCCGCTACCGGAACCACTTCCTGAACCACTGCCTGAACCACTGCCTGAACCACTTCCTGAACCACTTCCTGAGCCACTTCCTGAGCCACTTCCTGAGCCACTACCTGAGCCACTACCTGAACCACTACCAGAACCACTACCAGATCCGCTGCCGGAACCACTTCCAGAATCGCTTGAGCTCGAATTTGCTCTCAATGGCTTTTGAGTACGAGCTGCGACTTTGCGAGGACGGATGCCCAATTCACGGTCTTGACGAGATCTCATTGGGATACCTTTCCAGAACTTACGTAGAAAGGTTCCCTGACCTCCTTCATCCCGCTTCAATACAGTATTTCCTTGACGGTAAGCAGAAGGTAAAGCAGCCGCTTCAGTTGACATGATTACGCCCATATTCATTGCTACAGCCAAAGCTGCTGCAACGAATAAGAGCAATCTTTGTTGATGAATAAACATTTTTTGATCCTTTTTTGTATAGGTGTTTTTTATTTTTTGTTTTTTTTCTTGAACGAATGTGATTATGTGTGTTCACAACACCAAAACGAATGAAGTGAAATAAAATGAGCGCTGTTTTTGGTTTTCCTTTGAATGAAAGGCACTGCCGATCAACAAATGAAAATCAAAGAATGAAGAAGTGCAAACACACAAAAGTTGGAAATGAGAAAGCTACCAGAGCAAACTCGAAGGAAAAACGAAAGGAGAGAAAGTGGATGATGGTGCTAGCACAAAGAGAAAAGGTTGATGTTATTCGACATGATTGACGTATACTTATACTTTGTTCAACATGTGGAGAATAGTCGTTCAACTTTTCAAATTGAACAAGCGAAGGTAATATTGTGGCTTGAAAGATGATGATGATCCTAAGCATAAAAGTTAGACGGCATAATAATCTGCATATACTTTACACAAAAAAGAGACAAGAACTGCTTAACATCGCTGCACAAAGAATCACCTTGTGCCTGGTTCCTGCATGGTAGAGTGAACTAGTCAACTTCTAGCCTTTTATATTTGAGAAGCTCAAAAGCAAGACTTCTTTTCTGCTTCAAAAGATAATCTTTTGCGGTATCATGTTCGTCGGCGTACAATTTCTCTCGATTGGGAAGTTGAGATCCATTGATAGTCTACTTTAAAAAGAAAAGTGAATTGATTTGTTACATTAGTTGGTCAAAAAAAATAACACTGCGCCGACGCGTACTCTAGGGTGCGGGTGCATGCTAGATTTCTAGGAACACGTACTTATAATCACTTACACCCTTCTTTTTACATCGTGCATCATTCATAATCGTTGAAATGCAGTAGACGGTCTAGAAGTACGGCTTATTAAATATTTGGACTCAATATTCTATTTGAAATGGAAAACGTGATAGCCATATTGGTTGCTACTTTACAGGTTTATATATACGTCATTCTCACAAAGATCTCAAAGCTTAATTCCTTGCCACATACTTGCAATTCCAAACGTTAAATCTTCCCATGCTCCTTGAACATCTTGATCTTCCGTACGAGAAGTTGAGCCTCCTAAACTATTAATACCCCATCGAGATGCTTCGGGACTACCGGCCAAATGAAAGCCTGCATTTTGCATCATCCTTGCAAATTGTGGTTGAGTTGGGAAACGTTCGATAGATTCAACCAGATATTGATATGAATCCCGATCACCAGCCAGGATCTGACCTAAAGAGGGGATCACATTGAAAGAGTATTGGCGATAAATGCTGAAAGAAGGAAAGGTGTTTAAGTCAATATACTAGCTCAGACCACGTTCTGGTAATGACGATCACTCACTCTGACAAGACTGGCAAGCTGACCTTTCCGAACTCCAAACAAGCAAAGATACCTCCGGGTTTCAAAACTCGATGTGCTTCTGCTAATACTTGATCGATATGTGTGCAATTACGAATACCAAATGCAATTGTGTAGAGATCCAGACTGTTATCAGCGATCGGAATAGTAGGAAGCGGAGGCATAACAGGCGAATTCCTGGGCAATTTGGCGGGTGCTTTAGGTTTCAATTGATCACCAAAGTCTGGTGGTCGAGAAGTTGCTAAATTTTCTGCATTTCCCAATTGAAAGCTTAATTGAGGCGTATTCCAATACATCGTTTGTGCCATCTGTTTTTGTCCTGCTTGTAGCATTTTGGCATTGATATCCAGAATGGTGACGTGAATCTGACGATCGGAATATTTTGTTCTTGCATGATCCAATATCCTTCTTGCGATATCACCCGTTCCACCTGCCACATCTAAGCATTTGATTCCGCCTCTTGGATCGAGCTTAGACACAAAATGATCCTTCCAAAGTCTATGTATTCCCAAAGACATTGCATCGTTCATCAAATCGTAAGAAGAAGCCACTGAAGAGAATACGCCGCCGACTGGATGTCATCAAGAAGAGGTGTCAATATCCAGCTACTTTATCCGATTCTTTCCACTTACCTAATCCAGCTTTATCCTCCTCTGCAACATCACGAAATCCGAAATGTGTCCTAGCAGATTCCTCTTCTCTTTGCATTCTTTCTGCTGCACTTTCTGAAGGTGTAGATCCCACGCTTGGCTTCTCACTTTGCTGTCTTACTCTAGAACTTGTCGAAAACGATATCCGAGATCCACTTGCGGTACAGACACTTGGGATGTTCATCGCACTTCTACGACTGATACGTATTGATTGACTGATCGCATGATTGAGTACCATCTTGTCAAGTGTTTCCGAGTGTGAGATGATGATTCAGTATAGAGCGCGAACTTTGTCTTCTATGGGTTGGAAGATTGGAAGAAACAAAAAAAAGGTGTTGCGTACGTAAGCTTGCTAGCGTAAGTTAGATGCCAATCTTCGCGTTTCTTCTTAATGCAAGAGAGTGCGTGCATTGAAAGTGTTGGTCTTTATTTTGGGTGCACAGCCTTTACTTTCTCATGCGTTTGTGATGCATTACCACAGTTGTTGTTCCTTCATGACCATATAGACCAGCAATGATACAGTTGCCAGCTCTACGGAGTGGCTTTCGCAGGGCGATCGCTTCCACTTCGTACTCGCATATAGGAAAGAATCCCTTATGTGCAACTGGAAGGACCATTCGTAGCATATCTAACGCCGCAGGTACGGGCGAGAATAAGAACCGGGGGAATAAACAAGGAGAAAGCCATCAAGGATCCGAATCACACGTTCGTTCATTTTTCAATAGTACAGGATGGGAAACTGCAATGGGCGCTTCTGCTGGCGTTTTGTTATTAGGAGGAGCGGCAATGCTTTATCAAACATACTATAAAGCCCATGTTGTCTCCAAGATGGAAGCTGCTTTTGCTCCCGGATATGATCCTGTACTTGCTTTGGTGGAAAATAGTACAGAGATGGCATACGTAGAGATTTCACCCCCAAGACCTGAACAGGATTTGATCGATCGAATCATCCAAGGCAAAGAGGCTGGAAGGTATTTCTTGATATTGGGTAGCAAAGGAGCGGGAAAGCAAACAATGTTGATTCAAGCAATATCGCGAGCAAAGGCTGAAGGTGTTGCCTTTTTTGAAGCACATTCCGACTGCGAAGTAGTTGTGGACAAGTTCAGCGAATCGATCAACTATAATATGAACAGAGATTACCTTGGAAATTTGTTGGGCTTATCAGACTTAAGCGGAATGAGCGTCTTTCAATCACTTGAAAGAGCAATGCATAAACTAGAAAAAGCTTTAATACGATATTCTCAGCAGAAAGGCAGGCCTGCCATTATCATCATGAACGCTGCCCACCTACTACCGCAAGACGATGACGGTAAAAAGGTTTTGCAATTATTTCAACAAAGGGCAGAGAAATGGGCTTCAAGTGGTGTGTGCACTTTCGTGTTTACCTCGAACGACTATTGGATATATGACGCATTGAGGAAGAATTCAAATCGAATGGATACACTCTCTGTCAAAGATCTAAGTCGCGCACAATCGATTGATGTGCTAAAGAAGTGTAGAGCTCACTACTTTGGCATCGAAAGAGCAAGAGAAGAAGATTCTCAAGGAATATTTGCAAAAGCATATGAGACATTGGGCGGCAGAGTGGCATTGCTCAATACGATGGCACGCAGAAGCAACTTACTCAAAGCTACGGAACAATTGGTCGAAGATGATCTACAATGGCTATTGAGTAAGACTGGTATCATCGAAGACCACGATGATGATGTGATGGATGAACAAAAGTGGTCTACATGCTCTTGGCTCTTATTCGTCGAACTGGCCAAAAGACACGCCGCTTTAGAAGGAGGTCAGGATACCCACGACAATTCAGATTCGTCAGCAGAACAGGAAGGAGTTGATCTAGACAACGATGATGGCGATGCGGGCAGTACATCATCACATTCTTCCGCCCATCCTTTGGTTGATCCAAGTCTAGATCAAGAAAAGGATGTTAGAGGCGAAGATGTTCCAAATCCTCATCTGACATGGGGAGAAGCTCGACAAGTGATGACAAGACCGGATTATCTAACACAACTTGATCAAATGAATATCATTCAAGTTAATAGACATCATGAAATTCGTGCAGATTCAATGCCACTCTTACGCGCTTTTCGTAGAATTGCTCAAGAACCCGGATATGAAGATAAACTTGAACGTGTAATGGATCGAGTTTCAGCCATTGAGTCATTAGGACGGACGAGAGAATTAGTATGGAAAGAACAAGGTGAAAAAGGTAAATTCCTCGTCAAGCATGATCATAAAGGTCGCGAATTGGAATCATGGGTCTTGTTGGGTGGTGATGAGAGATTAGGAAGGGAAGAAGAGGAAGAAGAGAAGTGAACTTTTAAATGATATATTTCGCCTCTCCAGCCTTTGTGTGATAAAAAGAGTGTTTGTAGTAGCATTTCGTGTTGAACTCTTTCTCCTCTCACAGAGCGGACTTAAAGCCTCCAACGAGAATACACCGACGTGTCGCGTTATCCGCGGGGCCGAATCTGCGCCGAGGTATGCAGCGCCCAACGTCTCCGTGTATTCTGCTTTATCATTCACGTGTCAATCGTTTCTTATTGTTGTCGTCACGGTCGATCTTATACTCCATGAGTAAAGGGACAGCAGCAGTAATGGCTGATATACACTTAGCTAGGAGGATCACTGTAATCTTAGGTCGATAGAGCTCTTTATTATATCTCAGGAGGCTTAATACGTCGGAAAAAATTTTATGAATAATTATAAAATTTAATCGATTAATGAAATTCATTATTAGTGATTTTATACAAATAATCATAAAAGAACTTATTCATATTTATAAATTCTTGACGATATTCGAGGGTTACACTTGATGTTCTATTAGTCGAAATATCATACGACGGAATCTTAGAAATGAATAAGGTGAAACTAAATGCGATCGATATACGTTGACGACTTTGTTAAAGCATGATACAGAGGACTTAATAATGATTATTGGCGTAGAGCTATACTCTAATGAGTATATATCTTTTAGTAGCTAACTATTCTTCGTAGTTGATAGTCTTTACTGAAAGAGTAAGAATAAACTTTCTTAAAGTCAAGTAAAGGGAATGCGTTTGAATTGTATAACCTATGTACGTCTGATTAAAGAGATATATATTCTCATAGGTAGCGTAGTCCTATCAGTTTCCTTAGTATATGACAGTATTAAGGCTCATTGAGTATCGGTTACACCGTAGAATCTTTAGGGTTTCATATGAGATCATACTCACGAAGAGGTTTTATGAGCGATGAGACGCTCGATCGAGACTCAGTTGTGTGTGAATTAACAGTAAAAGTACGCGCAGCGCATCCGGTCTCCCGTCTGTGCACTAAAAGGTAACCCTCGGGAAGAAAATTAATCAAAGCTTATTTTTACACTTTTACCGTCATCATTGAAAAGCTCAAAGCCACGCATATAGAGGTTAGGTACCGCTTCAAGCATCAAATAGGCTATTCACGATGATCATCAGGTGTGCAAGACAGGCTTTGGGCTCTGAAGCCATTGGAGCAAGTACAACAGGAAGATTCGTAGCCCGATCTGCTTACAGTGCATCCCGACCAATTGCGAATGTCGCAGCAGGAAAATCAAGTCAGGTTCCACTTTTCCCATCTTTCTCCACTCGTCGATCCATCTCCAATACTCCTTCTGCCAACAAAGCGGCAAACGCTTCAAGCACGGATACAGCCACTTCTAAAGCAGAACGAACGAGGAGAAGGTTTTGGAAAAAGGTCGATATAGCCTATTCAGAAGGATCTCCAGCAGATCATTTGTTGATCCGATTAGACGGAAGAAGTCTAAAAACACCTTCGGGAGCAGTCTTGGCCATTCCAACAGATCGTTCGTTATTAGCCACTTTGATCGCAAAAGAATGGAGTGAACAAGAATCTATCTTACACACACATTCCTTACCGCTAACTTCTTTGGCCGCTCGTGCGATCGATGGTTTAGATACACCTTCGCAAAGAAAAGGTGTTGTGGAAGCTTTGGTGGAATATTTGCATACAGAGACCATTTGCTTTCACGAAGATCATCCGGCTAATTTGGTCAAATTACAGAAAGAACGTTGGGATCCAATCTTAGCATGGGTCAAAGAACGTTTCAATACACCCACAGTCAAGGTTTTCGATGATATTTTCGATGTAAGACAAGACGATGAAGTCGTACGTATTTTGGGAGATTACGTTATTGAAACATACAATGGCTGGGATCTAGCAGCTCTGGAGAGAATTGTACGCTCTACAAAATCTTTTTTGATTGGCCTAAGATTGATTGAAGCCGTTCGTCAAGGTGGCAAGGAGGAAGCTTCTTTCGGTGTACATGAAGCCGCTTTGGCCGCTGAAGTCGAAGTTCAAAGTCAGACAGAAAGATGGGGTGAAGTTGAAGATACACATGACGTGGATTTTGCCGATATACGTAAGATTCTTGGAAGTGCAACCGCAGGTGTAGTAAGGGATTCAAATAAAGTTGCAAGAGAAATTGCACAAGAGTTCGTCTCTTCGGCAAGCAAAAAGTAAAATATCATCCTGTACAACTAAGCATGGCTTCACGCACCCACACAGAAAAATAGAAAAGAGATTCATATATTATGTCGATCATACAGTACAGTCGGGATAAGTCATTCGCAGATCAAAAGCCACGATCACAAGATGAAAGTCTTCGGGATCTGTGAATCACAGGGATATTTTGAGAGGGTATGTATACACGATATCGAAGAAGAAAGTTGATCATCGAAAAACCCGGTGCGAAACGGCAGATCAATCGGTAGTAGCGACAGCTTTGACTCCTCCCTCGACACCAGTCGAATTTGTCTTTGCTGCACGAATGAATGCCTGAATCTTGGCAACATCCTTTACTCCATCGGTCTCAACACCTGAGCTAGTGTCTACGATGAATGGTTGAACGTTCTCAACTGCTTGGCTGACGTTTTCAGCATTTAAACCTCCAGCAAGCATGATTGGTAATTGACGTGATGGGACACCACGAACTCTTTTCTTGATCGGATCGGTAGTAGCAATTCGTTTAGCTACAGTCCAGTCAAACGTTTCACCACTTCCACCTTCTGCACCTTTTGTGGCTCCTGCTGTATCAAGAGCGATAATATGATGACAGCTCTCGCGTATTGCATCTGCCAAGTCACCTTGACCTGCTCCTTTTTCTTCTATGCTATCGGCACCAATATGGAACACACGAATGACCAAAACGCCCGGCAAAAATTTGCTCCATTCGATGTGCTCCGTTCTTCCGTGCATCTGAATAGCATCCAACTTCAACGTCTTTGCCGCATGAACAATTTCCTCCAAAGACTGGTTACGGAAAACTCCGACAATCAATGGCTTGTGAGCATTGGCTCGGATAAGATCCGAATTATAAGCGAACCATTCTTGTCCGTCGATATAGCCAGATCCTTGAGCAGATGTTGATTTTGCCTTGCTCTCTTGTGCATTCACAGCAGCCTGACGAATCGAATCTGAACCTCCACGGACTGAGCGAACGACGTTGACAATCTCTGCTGCTTGAGTCAAAGACACCGTTCTCTTTGTACCAGGTGCAAGGATCATTCCGATCAAGTCTGCTCCTGCCACTGCAGCACTCAAAGCTGCATCGACGGTACTCAATCCACAGATCTTGACGAGTGGAGCTGGCTGAACCTTTGCTTGAACAGCTTGTCCTTCTTGAAGGTTAAGCCCGAGCAAGTTGTGAATGAAAGCTTTCTTATCAGGAGCATGCATCAATGCCTCACCTACCAATACTGCTCCAACGCCTTCTTTGAGGTACTTTTCTACATCTGCCCGTCCAGTGATACCACTCAAAGCTGCCAAGATCACACCTCCTTCCTTGGCTGCTTCTGCCAGACGGCTTGTCGTGCCCATATCAACATTGAAATCGTGTAAGTTTCGGTTGTTCACTCCAACAACTTTTGCTCCTAGTTTTAATGCACGTTTCATCTCTTCAGCATTGTTCACCTCAACAAGAGGCTCCATTCCAAGACTGACGCTGTAATCATATAGCTCTTTCAATTGAGTGTCATTCAGCATGGCAACAATCAACAAGACCGTATCCGCGCCTGCCAAACGAGCTTCCTTGATCTGATAAACGTCAACGATAAAGTCTTTGCGAAGGATTGCAGGTCTGTTTGGCATTCCGTCAACCGCTTTTCGTGCTAATGACAAGTCATTAATTGTACCTTTGAACCATTTAGGCTCAGTAAGAACACTAATCACATTAGCTCCTCCACGAGCATAGGCTAATGCTTGAGCGCCTGCATGAGCACCAGCATCGATGTTTCCTTTACTGGGACTTGCACGTTTCATTTCTGCCATCACACCTGGCAAACCAAGATGAGCATTTGAGGTCAATCGAGCGGCAAAGTTGATTAGCGGAGGCGCAAGGTTCATCTCCAAGGCCGTATCGAGATCTTCTGGAGAGTAACCTGGAATAGCTTTCGTTTCAGCAATGTCCTTGAGTCTCTGAACATGAATACGCTCAAGAATTGTACCCACAGCGCCTGCACCTGTTGATTGGGTATTTGTCTTTGATGCAGAATCTACCGCTGCAGCGGCGCTACCAGCAGCTGCCATTGCGATGACGGGCTCTTTGGTGGATTCAGCTTGTTGAACAGCTTTTTCGTCGATCAGACTTTGAGGATTCTCAGCCCAAGATCCTCCTTTCCAGCGCAAAAAGTTTGCAAAAGTCTCCTTTCCTCCTTTACTCAGGATACTTTCTGGATGATACTGGATAGCTTCGATAGTGTAACGTGTATGTCTGATACCCATCACGATTCCCGAATCGGTCTTACTTGTGACTACAAGTTCCCTAGGCAGCGAATCTATTCTTGCGGCCAAACTGTGGTAACGTGTTCCCACTACACCATCTGCTGGCAAACCAGCAAAGAGTCCTTTGCCATCATGAATGATTTGACTTGTCTTGCCATGCACAATCTCTCCAGCGAATTCAACGATTCCGGTGTAAGCCGCATAAATGCATTGTAAGCCCATACAAACACCCAAGATTGGAATCTTTCCAGCAAAATGTTTGATGGCTTGCATTGAGATACCTGAATCGTTGGTAGGATGACCTGGTCCAGGTGAGATGACTAATCGTGCAGGTTGCAATGCTTCGATTTCTTCAATTGTGATTTTATCATTGCGATAAACGTGCAAATCAGCGCCTAATTCGGAAAGATATTCGACCACATTGTAGGTAAAACTGTCATAATTATCGATTAGAACTGTTTTTCCTTCAGAGATGACTCCGTTGACAGCTTGTCCGCTCACATTTGATGTTCGGTTTGTCGAAGTTGTCGGTCTAGGGGGGATGTGTTCGACCATGGCGAATCAATGAATTGCAGAGATGATGGTTGAGAACTGTGTGAAGAGGATAACTACGCTAGAAGATTTCGGCTTTGATTAGCCTACATTTGCATAAATGAATGAGTCAAAAGTACATTATGATTGGCACTGAGCCAGCACCGCGTTTTCAATAGGACGCAGGCCGCGGCGGGATAGTAATGTACACCGAATCGTACAATCATTACTCTTTACGCCAAATAATATCTCTCCGCATGGGCCTACCATCATCTTCTCGTCACTACTTTATACCTTATAAAGAAGGCGTATGGGTGACAAATGAAAATTCGTATAAATATACGGTGACAGTCTAAGTGCTCTATGCACAAGAAAGAGACGGAAATAAAGGGGTACAAGGAAGAGGACCATGCCAGAGTCCTTTCAAGTAGCGCCTCAGCTTTCATTCGAACAAGCCAATCTTCAAATTTACATTCCTACATCACTTCTAAGAAGGACAAGGTCAGGTACAGATAAAGACGCTGCTCTATACCTGTTCGGATGGGCTTATTGGGCGAATGAGGAGCAGACTTTTTCAATCGTCGTGATAGCTGGGGTACTTACAAAGCAAGAAGTACTAAAAAACCAATACCACTCTCAAGATGCATCGAAGGACTCAAACGAGATATGTCTACTTGGAGAAGTAATCCCTCACAGCGTGTCACTTCAAAGACATGGAGAAGCTGCCACTCACATAGATACTAGGAGCTCGAACGGGTCGACAGTGAAAGGACACCAATCGGGAATATGGCTTATGATGAAGGAACCTGCTTCAAAAAGGGACATTCCACAATTGCAATCCGTGCGAATTGTAGCAAAGAATGAAAGCTTATCATGTGCGATCTCCACCGTCATATACGAAATACCACGCCCTGATCAGATGCAATACACGTCCTTGGAACCTATGATCTTACCACAATCATCTGGTGCAGATGCAAGTCTGACTAGCCATCAAAAGGAGTCAATTCAAAGTCAAAGACTAGAGAGGCTTGTAGATTTGGATCCCGTACGCTTTGCAGATCTCAATCACAGATACAAGGATGGTACAGCTCCAGGTGAAGCGTTCCGGCATTGTATAGACTTGATCAATCAAGTGGCATATGCTCGTGAGGCGACAACATCATCCAATCTTAATTGGCATGATGCAAAAGTCAAGAGATCGAAAGAATCAAAGTTTGCAAAAAGCTGGGAAATTGCCGCAAAAAGCGCACAGTCTATACGGACACTGCTGACATCGAGCATTCATCCAAGTATTCCCGCTCTTGTCACAATTTCAGCATCAGCTCGTCAATTGAGCTTGCGCTTAGGTCAGATATCGATCTGGCCTTCCCTAGCACGCAGATTGCGGCTAGCAAGAGTACGTGAGCATCAACCTGTCTCACTGCTGGGACCGCAGTATACTGCTCTATACAATGGCGTCTGGCTCGTTGCGAATGATCTGATCGTCGGTCAAGCTGTCGGCCTTATACTCTGTGACAGAAGCGATCAAATTGCGACCTTCTTGAAAGCGAAGCTTGGACCAATACTAACAGTAGCAATCATCGAGACGCTGCATTGGTTGGACAGCTGGCCTCTAGGCGTCAAGTTGAATACTCCACTTTCACGATTCTTTTGTGATATGTATACTGGAATGACGGAGATATGGTCTGAACAGGTACTGGCGATATTCATGTCAGATGGATCGCAAGCTTTATGTCGATTGATCTATCTGATAGGTATAGCGACACGCTTTTTTGGTCTATCAATGATGCTTTGTATCGTTGTGGATGTGCTGAATCTGGTTACATTCTACTTGAATGTGTTTTATCTCATTCAATGGCGAATGTATGCATTCTTTTGCAGTTCGCTCACATCGTTATTCTACCTATTCAGAGGCAAGAAACGGAATCCTTTACGAAAGATGCGTACCGATTATGCAACGTACGATTTGGATCAATTGCTGCTGGGAACAATCTTCTTTACAATCTTGCTATTTCTCTGGTTGACGGTAGCGACGTATTATGCGCTATTCTCGTTCATCAGGCTATTCAATGTCTCAATCATTGCCTTATTGCAAACAGCCTTAGCGGTCATCAATCATTTGCCGCTCTTTGCACTTATGCTTAGAGTAAAAGATCCTGCTCGTTTGCCAGGCGGAGTTGCGTTTCGAGTGAGAGAAACAAGGGAGTTAGAAACGTACATACCAACTTCTCACTTTGAAATGATCAGTGTTCCTTTGGGTCTGTCTGACATTTTTCGCGGTCAGGAGCGTCACGTTCAAAATCTCTCTCGCTTACCGGGGTTGGCCTTTCATATCTTGATTGGAAAAAGGATATGAGGAGATCATAAGTGATATAAAGTACAAATGTAAAATATTGCAATGTGAACATACGATACAAAGAGCTAATCAATTTTGAGCGTAGGCCCATTTGAGCATAGGAACAGATCTTGTTAGAGGAACGTTGAAGATAGGATGATTGATGCCTAATCTGTTTTCATCGCTGCCCAGGATGCAAAGGTATCTAGGATCGCTTACAAACGCCATCATAGAAAGATAGCATTCCTTGCGCCAATTATCCGCGCTGTTGTGCTCTTCAATCTTTGAAGCTTCTGTTGACTTCCAAGCTTTCTCTAATGTTTGCCTTGAGCTCTGGTTGTACTCCAGACGATGCTGGCACAAGGACAGACCTGCTAGATTATTTGCTGTATGATAAGCATCAGACCTTTTACCGGGTTTATCACGTAAACCTCCTTGCGGTGCTTGTGCGACGACTAAGATGTATTCTTGTAGTGCCTTCCTGTCAAACAAGAAACCTTCAACATCATTCTCTTCAGCATTTCCAGTCACACTTTCCCATCCATCACTTTCGCCGCTTGTTGTGACCGGTTCTCCTTCTGCATTATCTTCCAGCCACCATTTCCCGTCTTGCAATTCCAATTGAACACTCAGAATTGTGCCTAGACCTGCTCCGCTGAACCAACCATAACAGCCGTCAACTAGCTTATTCGTCCTTCCACGAAAGCCGCCTCCTTCTATCGGCAAGCCTTGCTGCCAAGCTGACCAACGAGATATACGGTCGACATCTAAAGATGAACTGCTTGCAGAACGCGATTGATGCCATTGAGCACGCTTTCCGCCTTCCTCTTTCCCCGGCCCAAATGCTGATACATTTGGCTCTGCTGGATTAGGCAGGAGCGACAAGGCCAAATGTGTTGCCATTGCACAGAAAGCATAACCTCCATGAGCTTCACCTAAAGAGGCAGCATTTTGAAAAAGAGACGGTGCTGAGAACAGCAAATCAAATGGTTGACTGCCTGAGCTTAAGCCTCCTTCGTATGTTTGACAATTTGCTATTGCATTTCCTACACCTCTCATTAACTCTGGAGTAGCAATTCCAAGCATAAGAGAGACACAAATAACGCAATAAGTTGCACGAACGTCTACTTCACCATCACGATTCACTGTGAATGATCCATCTGGCTGTTTGAGTGAAAGCAAAAAGGTATATAGCTTCTTTCGATCGATAGCATCCCATCCTCCTTTTCCGATATCCACGCTGATGCCCATCGCAACATCATCGTCATCAGGACAAGGGCCTGGACCACCCAAGATTGCCAATGCCATCACGCTAGCATAGGTTCCCATCAAATGGGCATTTTGACCATGTCCTCCACCAAAGCCGCCAGTATATTGATTTTGAAAGTGTAGAAGTGTAGTAATCGCTCGACTCCTTAGTGGCTCACCTAATTCGAATCCCATCAAAAGGCAAGAATGTGCAACCCAATAGATCAACCAACATCGGGTGCTATCGTATGCCAAATAATTGCTAGGTAATGGGTCCAAGATTCTTCGTAGAAAGGCAACGTGCATCTTTTTGTTTAATGACGGGACTGGAATCTCTTCGTCTTTCAAGTTGACATGCTTGCCATTTGATGTTGATCCTTGTTGCTCTTTCTTTCCACGTAATGCATTTTGATAGGATTCCACGAAAGCTTGAATACTTTCTTCTACTTCCGCCTGTTCGTCAGAAGTGGGAGTGCCAAAGTTGTCCGTAGGTGTGGCTACGAGCTTTTCGAATAAGATGGACATGGCTGGAGGACGGTAGAGGGGATTGAGATGGTAAAGGTGAGAAGAGGAATTAGTACTTGTGCGTCTTCCTTAATGAGCTTAAATACAACTACTGTAAGAAGAAGCTCAAGATGGAGGCATGCGAAGTTCAACACTGGCGAAGTGCCTGGTGAGCGCTGCACGGACTGGTTCGTCTACTCAATCGGAAAAACAAAGGGAAAACAATTCTACGCTAAAAGTCAAGAACAAAGGGAAAATAAAAACATCTTGAATTGGCCATACTTTACATGGAATGATGATTAAAACAGTTCTATAATACACATGAAATGCAGTCAGCCACATCTACCAGTCCACCTGCAATACAACTCTTGATACACCCTTCTCACTCTTCCAGACTGTTTTTGTACTGGCTTGTCTGCGTTTAAGTTCTTGTTCGAATGCATATACTCCACCCCCAACACCAAAGTAAACCACTTTTGCTGCCACAAGGCACAGTCTGTCCATGGATTTGACATCACTTTTCGTCTCTCCTTCTAATGAACCTTTATAGGCTTCTTCCAATGTATCGATCAAGATTGGCATCGTATCAGTCGAATAAATTGTTTCACTTGTAAGGATGATGTTCGGCAATGAATCAATATTGATAGCATTGATGGCTGTTAGACCTTCCCAATGACCGGAGTAGAATTGAATATCAATCTGATACTTTCGCAAGTCATCCAAGAAGCCGTCTATAATCTCATCGCTCAATTCAACATCTCCTTGCTGTCCTTGATCTTCTTTTTCTTCGTTGGAATGAAAGTACCATGTGAGCAGAAGGTTGGGTAGGGTGACCTGTGGTAGAGAATAAATATACTGCTCTTAGTACTTCTGAGCTTTTAATCTTAGCACAATCTCCACTTACCATCTGCAGAACCTGTTCGTTAAAGTCGCATAGCTGCAAGGTCAGATTTGCTGGCTTCTCATCTCCTCTCTTGAGCACTTTCGACAGCAGGTACAACGAAGGTACAGCCGTTCCACATCCAAGTTCTATCACCTTTTTATTCTGAAGGAAATCCGGGGATTGTTCCAGCTTTTGTGCAAGCACACCAGCAAGATCTAAAGAGCATTCCCAAGTCTTAAGCCCGCCTTCATATACACCAGGTACCAAATCAGTCGCTGCTCCTGCCATGACTGATTTCCATTCTTCTGATTTCTTTTGTTCTTCTTCCGATCCTTCTTCGTCTTCGTGTAACATTTGGAATCGAGCATCAAATAGATCACGTCTGTAAACATAGAATGTTTCATCGGATTGTGGGACAGGTACTTCTATGCGAGTATATGATAGTTTGGATGGTAGACTTGTGATCAATGTGTCGAGCATATGCTGCTTTGCTGTTCCAGATGAAGATGCCTTTCCTTTACCTGATCTCTGTTCTTTGTCGTCATCTTTCCTTTGATTTCCATGAGCTTGGACATCATGATCTTCATTCAAGTCAATAGCTGCAAAATTGAAGGAGAATGACATGATGTCACCTTTGCTGTGATAATTGAACGTCGTACCGAGAGAGGTGTAAATGCTTCTTCTTCATTTTGCAAAAACTATTAGTAAAGTTTAATTTTTGACCTCTTTCTTCTCTTTACTCGTTTAAGCGGACAACCTCTGCGAAACGCGTCCGCTTAAACTTATAAATAGACTTGACACTGTTGTTTTGCCCTTTTGAACAAGACCGACTTAAATCCAATTGTGAAAAGGAATGCTGCCAATCAACAAAGTTTATGTCAATGCGGAGAATTAAAACATGTCAGTCAACTTGTCATCCTTCACACACGTCACTCATCTCAATCACCACGTCAACAGACCAGATGGCTTAGCAGGAGGAAGTTAAACTTTAGGATTGACTTCTGATTAGAGTGAACAAACGAGCTGTTGGATAAGGAGTAATCCAAGAATATCACAAAGAGAGGAGAGGGAAACGCAAAGGAGACGAATAAAAGTGTTTCAAATACGATCACTATAGGAGCTCAAAATGGCACCTATTCTAGGCGGCAGAAGGGGATCAAATGCAGCAGGAACGGCATCTGCTGCAGCAGCCGCAGCAGCAGCTGCTGCAAATAATCCAGCATCATCTTCTTCATCGTCAGGACATGGAGGAACTGCTGGCAGTTCATCTGGATCTAGTAATGCAGCCGCAGTCTCTTCTGTACCGCCACTGCCTGCGAATAAAACGTCAACGATTCGTGGCTATTATGCTTCAGCTCAAGGAGGGAGTAGCTCAGGATCACAAATGCCCTCCTCGGCAACGGCAATCGCTCCTGTCCATCCTCCATCTTCTTACGGAACGGGAGGTATGCCATATTCTCCACCGAACCGAAATGGCGCATCTACGCAGAACAAATTCATGGCAAAAACCTCTACGGCTCCAAATACCTCCTCATCACCACATTCGCACACAAATAGTATACCTATGCCGACAGATTCGGCAATACAAGGATCCGGTTACAAGTCTATAGACAGCAGTTCGATAGGGGATACCAGCCTTTCGCCTAACGCATCTCCTAGTGCCACTTCAGTACCATCTTTTCCGACTTCGGCTCAATCTTCAGTAACCTACTTTGCACATGGCAATCATAGTGGAATGCTAGATCAGCAAAGCATGAACTCCAACTTTACAACCAATACATCCTCTTCCTACCTTACGCCCAATCATGCCATCAATTCGGCCTTGTCTAGCTCACTCTCAGACACACCCTTGCGAGAAGCATTTGCACGCAGGATACGATCGCTAGCATACATCAAGAGGACTCTTTCGGCAAATCAACGAGATCGCTACAATCCATCAGCCAATCAAGCATGGCTAGATATAGTTCGAATCTCACGACAAGATCTTGATTCGATTTACGATAGCGAACCGATGCGAAGACGAGCACATCGATATTATCTCTTGGGCTGTTCGCTAGCATCAACGGTTGAACTAATATCTGTTGGAGAGTTTGCAAGGGCCGTCTTGGCGGTGATCAATGAGGTAGAAATGACAGCTGATGCGGGAGATAAAGACAAAACAAAGATGCGAAACTTTTTCAAATCTTCCATTCGAGGTGGAACGGCACGCAAGAGTGCAGGATCTGTTGGATTAGCTGAATTTTCCAGTACCTATGACGGTGTCAGTGTTGGTGGGCCTTCCTTATCGTCTCTTGGTCCTTCAGGAGTGGAGCTAATAGGAACGCACATTCCCTTCCAACTGGACTTCTTACAGACAACGATCACATTTTGCGATATTCTGATGGAAATATATTGCAAGTTTACATACTTTCTGAACAGTTCTGCCGGGGGAATGCCTCAAGGAAGCATGAGAGACATCGAAGGACTACCAACAAGCGGAATGAATACGCATGAGAACTTTCTCTCACCTACTGGCGCTCCTATCGCTGCTTCCTCGATGGATGCGATGCAAAAAGTAGACGCAAAATTGAGAAAGATTTTGGCGCAAATCTGTAAGGAGATAGATGGCTTGGCAAGGCAACGGATACGTGAAGAGTTAGGATCAATTGATCCATTGATGGCAAGAGACATCCAAGCTATGGATACCAATACCCCCACCGCCTTTGGCACTCCTCAATCTGGAACATCTCTAGGCGCATCGGCTCATGCTCAAGATAGTTATCCTTCTGCTGTTCCAATGACCAACCCAAGCATAAGTGCGGGGGCACCGATAGGCTCTATGCGAGGATCGAACAAGCTGGGATCGATTCATTCCAGCAATCCAAACATGTATGCTGGCTCAGCTCCCAATTTACTGACCGCCGGTCAAAGTCCAGCTTTGAATGCGGGTGGGAATGTTCATTAGGGAGAGGTATAGATGTATAGTAACAAAAATGAACCTTAGTGTACTTTATATTAAATTCGGAATACGATCAGTCTGTTCCCATGGATGTTGCTGTGATCAAGATGATATTGGATATGTATAGTACAAATGCAGTAAATCCATTGCAGACGCTACAACTTTTTGTAGGTCAAATCTATATGCTAATAAATGATTGTGTAAGTCTATAAAGTATGCCCGTGACGTAGAAAAGAAACCAGGAAGGCCCTCATGCCTTAAATGTAGAAGTTTTTGCTATGATCAATGACAAATTGAACTTGTTTTTGTTCCAAGTTATCAGAGACCATGGTAAAGTTGTTTGCTTGGATGTATAATTCTTGACCATCACCAAAAGAATCAATTTTGTTCTTGTATTGTTGCCAAACAGGAACATCTTTTCCGTTTGGGTTTAATCTGTACGCAAAATGAATCCAAGCAGCGCTCATTGCGTCAGAAACTTGTTGAAGGTTTTCATCTGATGCGAAAGAGCGCAAGGGTTCAGGGATATTTGCTTCATTTGCGCCTTGCAATGGGGGATTTGCGAAAACGAACGGAATTTCGGCTTCATGTTGAACACCCATTGAAGCTTTTGCAACACCAGCATCCATTCCTACTCCAACGGGTGAAGCCTGTGCGAATCTATAAGACCAAGATGGAACTTTGGCTTGAACGGCAGCACGCAACTGTAGATGTCTTCCTGCTTCAAAATAGATATCCTGAAACATGGAGGCTTGTCGTTTGTATTGATTCGTACCGTTTGGTGGATAAAATGTATCCGAAGAACTTACGCCGAAATAATCAGGTCTGTATGGTTCACCTTGTCTTGGATCGGAAGACCATGTTTTCAAAATTTGATCAAAGATTGGTTCGATCGATTGACCAATAGCGAAAACTTGTGCTTTTTTGAAGTCTTCATCGTTTGTTACCGTGGTAGGATAAGGAAATTCTGTACCTTCGTCAAGATTATCTCCTGTGATGAATGGAACGCGAAGATATTGCTGTTTTGCCCATTGGAGGGAAGGGTATTCTTGTACGAAGTAGTTGTCCAAAGTTGGCTGATAGGCAATATATGAATTGGCCAATACCAAGTTGTTACCAGCTGTGATTTCTTTGGTTGACTTTTGCTTCAAGCATGCGATTTGTTCTGATGAAGAAGTTGAATCGGAACAACCTGCCCCTTTGAGTACGTATTGGTATACTGCTTCTGCGTCAGGATGATTGGATGGCAATCTGCGTCCTGTGGCTGCATTACCGCTTTCTTGAATTGCACCACGGAACAGGCCAACACTACCTTTTCCCTTGTCAGCCATCAAGTGATGTCCAACATTGGCAGCGCCTGCACTTTCACCATACAAGATCACACGAGAAGGATCACCGCCGAAAGCCTCAATATTCCTCTGGATCCAAAGTAGAGCTTCTCTCTGATCCCAGATACCCGCATTCAAGACAGCCTGACCTGAACGTTGAGCATCAATGATTGCTTGACCAGGCAAGAAACCAAAAGCGCCAAGACGATAATTTGCTGCAACCCAAATGACAGGTTCTTCCAATTCCATACTTCTCTTTACGAAATTTGTTGCATTTATACGTGCTTGATTTATACTGCCTTCTTGCCAACTTCCACCATACAACCAAACCATGACCGGCAAATGACGTCCAGAGCCAACGTTTGATGGCTTGTAGATGTTTAACTGTAGACAATCTTCTGATTGTACTTGACTGGTAGTACTATCGCCCGAAGAAGGTTGAATGCAAATCGGTCCAGGAACGGTAGCATTACGTGGAGATGCATCTGTGTAAGGTTTGATGGTTTGTGTTTTTGCAAACCGTAGGTTACCTACCGGTGGTTGTGCAAATGGAACATTCAAGTATTCGTCCACTTGTGATGACTGTAATCTGTTTCCGATAAACACACCCTGTGTTTGTGTATGTGTGATTGCATTTCCGTTTGCTTGCATGAAATAGGATGGACTTGCAGTCGATGACACCAACAGCAATGTCGTCAAGAATGCAGGAAAGTACACCATCTTGATGAATGAAAAAGAATGTATCTGTCAGAAAGACGTGACCTCTATGATGACGACGAGGAGATAACCCTCGTGCCAATTATGGACTTGTTCGGATTATTGTAGGTGTTAGTGGTGATGGCAAGGAAGATAATAGTAGTACAACTCAAGTAGTATATATCTCATTACTGCAAATTCATACCGGCGATTGCCATCAGGTACAGTGTATCTGCCCCTCCCCGTTTTCGATCTAAAGGCAAAAGTTCCGAATCTGCCATTTTTACGGATTTGTTTACCTCTCAAGATAGACAGGCCGAGAATTTGTTTGCAATTAGAATAAGTGGAGCAAAGATCTGTGGTTTACTGCATATCCAATTGAGAATATTCTCTCTTTCCAAACACAATGATGTGGTGGTGGTGCATGGTGTTATGTATCTGCAATAGGTAACAAGGCTAAAAAAGAGGTTCACAGTATATAATCTGAAACTACTCTTGCATATTCCAGGTAAATATTTGTTTTAAACTTTATGCGCTATGCCACCAGTCAAAAATAGTAAATTTAATCTTTCCTTCTTTCCATCTTTGGAACTTCGATGCATTAGCGTATTTTCATCAGCACAAATACACCATTTTCAGTCAGATGGGAAGATCTAGATCTGTGTTCCTCATTTTACTCCTAACTAGAATAGTTGGGATGAATCTTCTTCTTATTATCAGCCCATCGGAGCCGCATTAAGAGTGGCGTTTGTCTGAGTATAAGAAGAGAAGAAAAGCCATGATCATAACAATAAAGTCAGTCTGAAGCCACCGGCGAAAAACAATGAGATGTGTGTGTGTCTCTACACAAACAAACAAGTCAAAAGAACAATACGGCCCCGTTCAAAAAATAAAAAAAAGCAAACGATTTCTTGCTCTCCTCTCTAAAAGGCTTTTGCCGAAAGAAGGAAACAAAAAATCGCAAAAGGAAATTTACACTAGAAATTCTACTTTCCCACAGTAATACAGCCAGCGGACAATTTCATCCTACCAATGCCTGGCGTAGTGCAGTGCATACAAGAAACACAGAAAGGACGCGTCTCCTAACCGCACTGCGCCGTACTGCAGCATATGCACTCTTGCCGGAAAAGAAACCGCCAAGGTTTGGTGGTAAGCCTAGAATAGAAAAAAATATGAGACAATCATCCCAAACGGCTGAGAGCTTTACCGTGCGTAAATCACATCATACACATGCTAATTTCCTATTGCAAGCAGCTTTTAGCAAATCTATGTCTGAGATCGAGTCAAGGCATTTGCAATTGCGAAGATTCATTCATTCTTCGGCACCATTTACTCAAATTTATGTTTCAGGTACACAGATTGCCAAGGCAATTCCGAACTTCCGTGAAGTTGACTTCGTAAAGGTGGTGAAGGGGACCGAGCACAATAAGATTAAATACTTACCCCACTTCATCTGTTTGAAGAAAGTGGCTTTATTGCGATCAAGTCCGATAATGACTTTGCAGTCCTCTATTTTGATCATAATTTACACAGTATGTTACATTTAATTCAGATCCCTCTTTTGGTCCCTTGGTACACCTGCTTTGGGTAAAATACCGAAAGGAGACGTAGCGGCCGCTGCTGAGCCTGAACTGGCCAATGTTGACCGTGTGGTCGGAGTGGCAGTACCACCAGGAATACCAGTACGAGAAGCACTTGACGCCAACGCCCACGGTGCTCCGGTCGGCGCCATCGGAGGTCCTCCGGTGGACGGTTTAGCCCATGGTGCGGCTGTTGGTTGCATGGGCAGATTTGCCGATTTTGCTTGAGCTTGTGAGGTATGATTGGGAGCTGCAGATGAGATTGCATTCTGACTGTGATCATCACTCGCGACAGGCCATGGGAATCCATATCGTCCAAATGGAAAATGTTGCACGACCGGCCTCTTATCCAAACATTCCGCTTCCCACATTTTCATCATTCCAGAATGTACTTTTACCCAATTTGGCACCGTACTTGCAACATCGTGAAGGATAGGTGAATGTTCATGAAACGGTCCACGTTTGAGAGCATGTATTCTGGCGATCGAACTCGTGTACAGATTGGCGAATGGAGGACCAGGTATTGCTCCAAGACGTGATTGTGTGTTCTGCAAAGGTGAAGATGAAGGGGTGAATGCCAACAAGTAATTTGCTGATGCTGGTTTGAGATCTGCCTTGTGGGATACAGACGTAACTGCAATGGGCGGATAAGCAATTTGGTCCCTCAGCTGTGAAGCTCCAATAGCATAAGGTATAAATTGATAATCGTCCAATCCCCAAACGCCGTGGCTTCCTGCAGGCTCAAGTCCGTATCGGTCTTGAATACCCCAGGCTACTTCGAGATATTTAGGAAAGATCTCCAATGCGAGTCGCTCTTCAAACTTTTCTCCTTGCCGGTCAAAGTAGCCGAGACGAGAAAGAAAGCAAAGCCAAGCTGCAAAGCTTAATTCATGTCCAGATCCATAATCCAGACGTACCCAAGAGCCAAAAGAGCCTAGAAGATATGCTTCCAATTCCGGTATTATGCCATGCAAAGAGGGCGGCAATAGTTTGGAGTGTAGTGTGGATACTCTCTTTTCCAATCGTTCTCCCCACGTTCTAAAAGCCAGATTTCCGTACCTTTGTGGCGTCTTGAGAGGCTCTATTTCTTCTGTCCAGTGTTGTAGTTCGTCCAACAATAGCCAGATCTTGTCTATATTATCACCAGATGCGTCTTTTACCTCAGCACGCTTCCTTAGTATCGTCGCTTTTCCAACAGCACTCTCACATAATCTTGAAACGAATAAGACTACATGTTCTTTGGCTTTGCTTTGCTTCCAAAGAGATACGTCTGCATCAGAGTGTATACGTTTGATTGGTGGATTTGATGTAGATCCTTCGGGAAATTGTATACGAGAAAGTGATGGCAAGGTTACGCTCGATTTTGTCTGAGGTACTCTGGTTGATGGTACTTGTACACTGCTCATCCTTGCCAAGATGAACAAGTCAGAAGAAAAGGATGTAATCTGACACCAACACCTTTAACGGGATAGAATATATTCACTGTCACTTTAAGCGCGGAGGTGGAGAATTAAGGTGCTGTTTGCCTGAGCCTACTCACGTGAACGCGTCCTTCAATGCACCATAGCCCAATGAGTTGGCTCGGCAATACAGCGATCTTCCCTTTGGCAATCATCTGTCACATACCTGAACAACTTGTCAAGATGTCGGGATCGATCGAAGAGTTTGATGATGATACGGATGTGAGTATTTGATTGGTTGAATAATTACAGCATGGAAATTAACCTGGTTTCCTTTTACAGTTCGCTTTGCCTACCGTTCCAGCTCCCTCCAGAGGCGCACCTCCTGCAGCCGGATTTCCAGGACCAGAAGGAATGTCAATGGAAGGATTACAACAAATGATGGCACAAATGCAAGCAGGAGGAGCAGGTCCAAGCGGAGGTCCAGCAGGTGGAATGCCACCCGGAATGCAACAAATGATGGCAGCCGCTTCTGCCCCACCACCAGTGGAATTATCAGCAGAAGAGAAGAAATGGATCACAATCTATCCGATCTATTTTGATGCAAAGAGAAGATATGAGAAAGGCTGTCGTAGAGTGTCATACAAAGAAGCATGCTTATGGCCAAAGAGTGAAAATCTGGTCAAAGCAGCGTCAAAGTTGACATTGTTTCACGTTCACGAACCCCGCAAAGCACACCCCCGTGATTGGGAAAATCCTGGAAGAATAAAGGTTCAATTGTTCAACGAAGACGGTAAACCCTTGCATCAAAAGTTCACAAACAAGAAAGAGTTGTTGCGTGCTATTGCGGCAGCCATTCAACCCGAATGCGGAGGTGTACCACCGCCATTGCCAGCCCATCCAAAGAAGAAGGTAGAAAAGGCAACGACTGAATCAAAGGCACCATCAGCAACAGAGAAGAAAGCTGACGGAAAATCTACAAATGCGCCAAAGCAGCATACACAGCAAAATAACAAAAACGCTCGTGCTAAAGAATCTAAAATTCGTCATCGTCAACCGATTCGAATCGATGCAAATGAACGAATTAAAGCTTCCAAAAAAAGCGTTCCGAATGGTAGATTACCTTCTTTCTCACCAATCAAATCTGCTGGCGTTCTCAATGCTGATCTCGGCAGTATGATGGGAGGATTGCAAGGAATGGGTCCGATGGGATCAATGTTGGGTGCTTTGGGTATGGGTGGAGATGACGATGAAGAAGAAGCAGATGCGGCTGAAGAAGCAAAGAAAGCAGCTGAAGCGAAAAAGAAAGATCCGATGCAACAATTGAGCAGACGACAACGCAAACGTGTTGTTCGTATCGGTAGATAGTTGATTTAGCGGTAAATGAGTACAATTTTGTTCATATTGCGATACATGGAATAAGTGTAATTTGACAGATTGAGTGGTGTGCTTTTTGATGAGATGCGAGTCTAGTGACCATGTCCACCTTTTGCGCCTGTAGGGAAGGGTGATTAGGGAAACATCGTCAATATCATTGTCGTGTGTGAGTCGACTTTGCCGAATTACTTACCATCGACATACATATTCCGAGTTGCGCTAGGTAGTTGTGCAACCATTCCATCCAACTCTTTGGTAATCTTGACCTGACATCCTAGCCGAGAGCTGCAGTGGGAATAAACGGGAGAGAATCAGTACGGGCTCTTTTCGTCCGGTGTAGTCTATGTAACACTCACGTATCCGTTAGACCGAATGCTAAATCAAGCATATCATTCTCATCGTCTCCTGGCTCTTCTAGCTTGTCATACACATCCGGATCAAGGATGACGTGACAAGTAGAACAAGCGATGCTTCCTTCGCAGGCTCCTGTAAGAATGGCGAAAGGTAAAGCGCTGTCAGCATCTTTTGTGTTTTTGCCTGTCCAATTCTACAAGCTACATACCTTCTAAATCTATATCGTACTCGTGTGCTATACTCAAAAGGTCATCTCCTGCATTCACTTCTACAGTTCTGATATCTTGTCCTTTGCTATCACGAAAAGTGACTTTGATACCTTTTCCCGGTTCGGGTCTCTCGATACCTCCATGCTGCTGTCTTGCCGAAGCATGGAATGATCTGTGAGGAACGGCTGCTCTTTGAAGAGGAGAGGCGAGCTTGCTTTGTTGTGTAGTACTCCATACCTTGTTCATCATTGGTTTCGCAGTCGAATGAATCTGTCGCTTTGCTTCTTGTCGTGTGGCTGTAAGAAGGGCGGATCGAGATGCATTCTGTAATGCGCCGATAGCATAGGGCGAAACTCTTGTCGCCAGCATGATTGACAGAATAGGTGTGATCGCAGCACCTGCAAATGGTGATGAGAAGAAGTGAAGATAAGATTACGTAGATAGACTTGCCAGAATTTCCCGTACCTGGAAGTATGCACCTCCATCTTCTCTTTGGGGGGATTTTTTTCCTAAGCAGCGTTTAGCCGCAAAATCCGAGAAAGCGTTATGACTAAGCCGAGTAAAGCGTGTTCTTCAAGCCATAAGAAGCCCAATCAGATCAAAGCTCTTTCGACATCATTTGACAATATGCATTCATTTATAAACAGACAATATATAAGTACAAAATAAATATAGACAAAGTATGACTCTTCCAGGAAGAAGACAATGAGGAACAGATCTCGCCCTTTTGGCTCTAGACCACATCCCAAAATTCTTCCAAAGCACAGCAGAACTTTCCACAAGCGACACTAGCACTTAAGCTGTATTCACTTATACTGATCTTCTCATCGACAACATCATCGGCAAAGCTATCTTTACCGTGTGCCATAGCACCAACAAAGACTGCCAAAGTGTGATCTTTGGGTACCGATGGCAAATAACTTGATAATCTCTGAACGGGTGCATCGAAGGATAATGTGATCTTGTGTGTGTTAGGAGGGAAATGATCGGTGACTGGGTTACGAATAACTCGTAATAGCTTTTCACTTCCTTTCACACTTCTGATTGACAATTTGTGCAATAATTGAACCATCAAACCACTGAAACGCTTGAATGTTCTTGGAATACGTACGTGAGGGTTCACTTCGATCAAAACGCCCTTTGCAGTATGAATGTATACTTGTAAAAGACCGGCTTTGTTCAAAGGAGAATCGAGTAAAGTGAGTAAACATTGATGTGTGATATCAGGACGTGCTTCTGCAATATCTCTTCCCATCTTTGCAAGCACACGTTGATGATCATCACAATTGAGTAAAGCAAACTTTTCACCTCCATCTTTGTTACGTCCTCCACTTCCTGATTGACCTCCGGCGCTTCCGGATGAGATCTTGTAAGATTCAAGACAAGCACGTTCCAATACAACGATCAAACGTGGAGTGTTGCCCTTTTCGATTGTGGTTTTGGGAATTTTGGGGATTTGAGGAACCAAAGATGAATCAACTCTAGCACGTTTTGCACGGCTTTCTTCAGTGGGCAGCAGAGTCGTCGGTTTGGCTGGAAGTGCATGTCGCATATTGGCAGTGGCAGGTGTAGGATTGGAAGTGCTTGCGTTCTTGTTTAGAGAAGTACCTTCTTCTTCACCTTCAGACGAAGATCCTGCGCCCATATCATCTTCGATTGCGTCACCTGAAATCTGATCACGCTTGACAGAACGATTACCATTCAACAGAGCTGATCCGGCCGTTGCACCATCAAAAGATCTTCTACGTTGTTTTCCCGATCCAGCCTCTGAACTTGTTAGAGGAGTAGATGCATTTGTAGATGTACTTGAAGAGGAAGGCATATTACGAATTAAACGATAAGAGGTTGTAACGGGAGCTGAAACTGTTGAGCCTGGTCCGTTGACTTTTGCTGAATCGCTGTAAGCGTCTGAGTCGGAATCATAGTCTTCTTTTTTCGGTGCCATTTTGAAGGAGGGCCGTGTGTAACCTTTTTATCGAATTGTCTTCTCGTCGCGTTTCTCAACCTCTCTTAAGTGGTTTGATAGATTGGACACTATCGTCAATCTATTTCTCTTCCTTATCCTTATTGATGATGGTATCAAGAGAAGTGATTAGTGAACCTGCTCGCACGATCATGTTAAAGTACTTTATTTCATTCTGCCTGCCTGCTTGCTGAAAGCTTTCTTCCTTCAGTCTAGTAGTACAAGCAGCAAGCACGCATGCATGTAATGTATCTTTTTTTTGGGTCGAAAGTAGGAAAAAAAATATTTTTAATTTTTGATTAGTCTTATTTTTCGCAGTTTTGTATTTCATAGTGGCAGATTCCGAATTCCGATTATCATAATCAAAGTTATCAACCTTCCCACCATCGCGTTGAACGGGAACATACATCCAAGATGGCAAGAGTACAACAGAAAACAAAACAAGAAGGAACAAAGCGGAAGCCAAAGGTATTCGCTGAAAATCTAGGAATAGATCATTTGGTTCAACTATCAAATGATATAGCGGCCAAACATGAGAATGCATTACAAGAAAGGGTGGATAGAGCAAAAGATAAACAATCTTGGATCAAAGAGAAGAATAGAAGAAAGAATGGAATGAATGCAAAGCAAGATAATGCTGCAGCAAAAGAAAAGACGGATAAACAACATTCTGACACAACAGAGAGACCCAGCAGTAAACCATTGGTAAGTGACTATGTATGGCATACCAAGCCTAATGATCATCTGACACATGAATTTGACCCAACAGACTAAATCAAACATTAGAGCAGGGCTGGTCGCTGCTCAGAGAGAAAAGACCCGCATGCGAAAAGAAGCAAGAAAGGTAGCACAAAAAGCAACCAAGAACATTCAAGCTAAGAAGAGGAGAGCTGATATTAAACCACAAGAGGAAGATACACAAGAGCCAGAGACAGAAATCCTCAAAGCACCAAAGAAGAGGGTATCTTTCGCTGCTTGAAAACCTCAATCACTATTTTGCATCGTGTACTAATAGACAAATCGTGTATAATATACATCTTCAGATTGCAATTGCAAGGGTATTGTGTAAAAGTACAAATGTGTTGCTTGATGGGAAATTATGCGGCCCCTTCCTCTTCTTCATCCTCTGCATCGCTCATTTCACCTTCTTCAAGATGGACTTTCTTTGTGCTGCGTCCGCTTTGCTCTTCCTCACCACCTCTCCGAGCCGAAGAACGTGTTCGTTTCTCGCCAGTCATGTTCGCCCTCTTTCCTGATAGACCCGGGGTAGAAGATCTGCTGGCATTGCCTGTAGGTTTGAAAGCGGGTGCAGAAGGGTTGAGGGAAGTTTTCCTACCTGATGTTGCACCTTCCTCTTCATCTAATGCGATACCGCCATCATTCGTTTCTCCGTGTTTGGTATTCGCACTGGTCTCTTCATCATCTTCACCTTCCCCACCACGTTCGACAGCCCTTCTTTCGCGTTCTCCTACTTCGTGTCCAACTTCAGCACGTAAAGCCTCTAATTGAGAAGCAATACCTTCAAATCGTGATTCTGATGTTGACATGATTTCCGTGTATTTGGTGGATTCGGAATGCAAAGTGTCTATCTGTTCTTGTAAGCTAGCCAAGCTATTTTGTAATTCTTCTCTTGTTCCGTATTTCATAATTTCACTTGCTATAGAATCATACTCCAACTTATTCTTACGATCTTGTTGTACATCCACCAATTCTTTCTTTAATGATTCGATTGATTCGATCGTTGCTTGGTTTTCTGCATTGATTGCCTGTATTTGTTCATCATACTTTCGTACTTCTTCAACAGTTGTCTGTTGAGCAACAGCTTCGATTCGTGATAGATTTAGCACGTATGCCTCTAATTCTAATGTAAAGGATGCAATCGCACTGGCAGCATCTTCAGCTCCATCACTCTTTGCGATCGCTTGTAATCTTGCCATCAATCCTCTCAATGGTCTATCAGGAACGGCCAATCGTGCAGAAATGACTGCATCTTGTTCATCTGACCTTAGAGGTTGCAATGTCTTGAGCTTCTCTGTTGCCATGTTGAATTGCAGTGGTGGTGTTGTGTGTGGAAGAAAGGAAAGCTTGGCTGATGCACACACACACAAGCTTGTTTGCAGGCGTAGCGCGTATGCTTGAGCACAAAAAAACCAGAAGAATGGCTAAAGTTTAAAATTATTTTTGCTCGTAGACGATCTTCTCAAGATGTTAACCACTGCGATCATCTCCTTGAACAAGCATCCTCACATTCATTCAAGATAATCCAGCAACATGTCCGATTCCATCCTTTTCGATTCACAATTCACAGTCAAGGCAATCGATCCAGATGGAAAAAAGTTTGACAGAGGTAAGTTGTCTTGAGTATTCATCCGATCACAATTGAACCAACACTTATGCATTCCACATCATCCAGTATCCCGAATCGTAGCCCATTCCTCCTCGCTGAGTATGGACATGTCTATCGATATCGCTACAGACATCTACCCCGTATCCGCCAATCAAAATCTAACAGTTGTGATCGCATCTACATTGGGAAGAGGAGATTCAACAGAAGATTCAGAAGCATGGCGAATTGACAAAGCGAGCGGATTGGCAGATGAATATGACTATGTTATGTACGGAAAAGTATACAGATATGATGATTCAGCATCAGACATCGTTACCGTTTACGCAAGCTTTGGAGGACTTTTGTTAGCCTTAACAGGATCTTATCGTCATTTGAGCAATTTGGCCGTTGGTAGCAACGTTTATCTGCTCATTCGTTAAAAGGAAGCAAAAATGCACTAGTTTCGAGTTTCGAGTCTCAAAATGTAATATTACAAGCAAGCCATAAAGATGTGTTGAATCCATATTGTACAAATGAAGTTTTATCTATGTCTGAAGAGCGTGCATTAATCACCAGCATTTTTGATTATTTCAACAGGATGTTTTGGTGGAAGAGCGCTCGTTGAAGATGACATTGCCTCTGCTCCGCTACCACTTGCATCACTGGTGCCTCCCGGTGTGCTGCTTCGAGTGTTATTCCCTGATCGAATACGTTGACGGGAAGAAGGTTTCTTGAGATTTTGTCCATTCGGTCCATGCATAGATACTCCAGGCGGCTGAAAGACTGTCTTTAGTACACGTTTTGCCTTGCTTCTTGGGTTTGGTGCATAGACATTCTCTGTAAGATAGAAGCGCCTTAGTAGCATGATTGCATCTTCCCTGTAAAATCCACCAACAGCTTCGTATGGTGGTGCATTTTTGAGCATTGGATCAGAATGCACAGGTACAACGCTACCATTTCCACCAAAGCGTTCATTACCCGCTCCAAAGCATACCCTCTTGATTCCAACTTGTCGCAGAGCTGATGCACACATGATGCAAGGTTCGATGGTGACATATAACGTTGTTTCTGCAAATGGATTATCGCCTGGCGGTCCTGAATGCGGTGATAAAGGGAAATTTTCCGTCTTAGGTGGAAAGATTGAAAGAATATAATCGATTGCTTCTAATTCTGCATGTCTTGTTGCATTCATTAATTCGTTCGTTCGGTTTCTTGCTTTTGCGATCAATTCTCCATTTCGTACAAAAACGCTTCCAACCGGAACTTCAGCAGCAGAAAATGCATCTTGTGCCATCGCCAATGCTTCCCTCATCCATTTCAGATCTTCTTCGCTCTGTTCGGCAACAGGCACGTATTTGGTCATCTTTTTCCTTGTTTCCTAACTTTGCTTATAGAGTTCCTTTGAATGGTAGAGGTCGAAAGGATGATTGACAAGAAAGTTTAAAATGGAAGAAGTCACGCGTGCATATCATAACGTCAAAAGACAAATTTTTGGCAAAAAATCAAAAGCGGGGGATAATATATTATAGTGTCCTTCCCGCGCCACTGATTTATCAACAGAAAGTTAGCGGGTCACCACCCTCATACCTTATCGCTCTGAAAACAAACGCTACTTTAACTGTAAAAGACTATGTATAATATGTAAAATGTGATAAAGAGATATGAACCGAGATGATGACATGAATGCATGAGTGGAATGTACTACTAGAAAATGACATCTTCATCTTTTCCATCGTTTAGCATATCCGTTCCGCCCTCGGTTCCACTTGATAGGGTTACCTGTTGATTTCCCTTTTCCTTTGCAGCTTCTCTCTTCTTTTCTTCTTCTTCTTGTGCACGTTCTTTCTTTGATTTGACCTTTTTCAATCGGAAAAATTCTTCTCTGTCCATTTCATCCAATTCAGAAATAATGTATGAAACCGTATTTTCCAATCGAGGAATGATGACGTATTCGATAGCATTGACACGACGCATGGTCATTCGAATCACTTCATCCAACACAACGAAAGCAGTCTGTCATGAGAGAACAAAATGGTCAGTAAATTATCCGACAACAAGGCGAACAAGCACGGACTCACCTGCAAGCTTGCCAATTCGACCAACGTCTTCACTGCCTTTGTATATGTATCACGAGCTTTGTTGACTTGTTGACCACCACGAGATAGACCGGTCAGAGAGAATTCTATCGAAGGAAAATGGTTAGCAAGTTACAGAAAATACTGATCCGCCCGTCCTTTCACTCACCTTGAGAACCTCCCTCGGCATGGGCTTCGAAACTGGGCAGCAAAACACCAGAAACGTTTTCCTCCTTTGTTGATACCCGGAAAGTTGCATTCTTTACACTTTCTCTTACCATATAACCAACATCACCAGCCGCATAATTCACTTCTGCCAATGAAAACGCAGCTAATTGCATTATTCTTCCCATCTTTCGTTTTGCTTCATCAATTTTTGTTGTGATCGTTCTAAATCTTTTATTCAAAGCGTCTGCTTTTCGTTTTAAAAGTGAATGACCAGTTTGTGCTCCTTTCAATCTACCTTTTGTTCCGTTAAGAACTTGTCTTGTTGGAAAAACGCTTTCACGTTGTCCTGATGCGGACATTTTGTCAATCTATGCGCTTTGGGATGATGGTGATGGAGAGTAACAAGTCCAATTGATAGAATTATGCAACTCCTGAGCGAGCCAGAAACGCACAGGGCAGCACTCACTCTACAACCTGTTGTTCACTGTGCGTGTGCGCGTTTGGCTTGCTTGTGCTTGCAGGCTTAGAATCTTCACTCATTGTACTCCACTTCCTTCCTCTTTGCTTCGACCATCATCACTTCATTCATATAACACAATGGTATCCGATGCACTAGACTCCGACAGTCCATGCAATCCACACGCATGTGCAATTCAAGCATGCATGCAAAAGAACCTAAATCAAGAAAAATGCTCTCATTTGATCGATGATTTGTACAGATGTTGTGCAAAATTTTATAATCAAAAAGGTCCAAAAGCAGATACGGAAAGTTGTCCAATCTTACCAGTCGTTCGAAGAAAGCTCAAAGCGATAGGAGAACAAGATCGTTTACAGGTTGAATGATTGCATTTCATTCGATGGAAGAAAAATTGTAGCATATATTGTACTGTACAATTACAAACAAGAAGCAGAATGAAAAGAGCATGGTGTACAATCGTTAGAGCCAAAAAATATCGTCATCAAAATCGTAAAATGTTATAAGCAGTTGCATCACTGGCGCTCACCACTTTGGGTGCGGGCTTGAAATATTCATCTTGTCCGCCCGATTCACGAGGAGTATCTTCGTCCTCATTGCGAGTCTCGTTGGCCGGCGTATTATCGGCAGCCGGTTCAGAAGTTGCAGCTTTTGCCGTTTCGGATTCAATCTTTGTTCGAGCACGTTCGAGGTGCTGTAATCTTGAAACCCAATTTGATGTGTAATTGAATGATTGCCCACTTTGTCTATCGCCAGTAGCGACAAAGATTTGACTGACCAAACTACAATGAAGAGCCAGAATTCGTACAAAGTTGGGCAAAACTGCTGCAGATACCAATTGACCATCTCCAACGGGAGCAAAGTTTGGCAAACCTTCAATGCATTGCAATGAGACCCGATAGAAGATTGTGTCAACTGCATTCACGCTACCCAATTCAGCACCACCGCGAGAATTAGGCGAAATCACGATGCTGACATAGTTGAATTGCGTTCGAATCGTTTGAGGATCATATTCTAGACCAGATTCGTTCCAAATGATACGAACCCAATCGTTTCCGATCAAGGCTTTCTTGCGTGCAAACATTGGATCGTTCACTTCATCATTTGGCATCAAGGTTGTTGTATGATATACGATCTGACTAATGTCATCTCCCCAAACGTATGCGTATTTGCCATGTTCGTCATTGTGGGTATCCAGACCACCGGTATAGACTGCTGTTTGACCACGTAAAGTGATCAGATCTCCTAAGCCACGTAAGAATTGAGCGTATCGATTAGAGCCATTGCGGTTTGCCAGAATCTCCTTTTCAGCTCTTTGACCTGCTCCTACATACAGGACACCAATTCGATGGAAATCCACAGTGGGTGTCAAATCAACCGCTCTTACCATTCTTTGCACCCATGCCTCATTTGGTAGGAGAAGCGGAGGCTTATTGGAAGGCGATACATCTGGATAAGCAGATAGCTGTAAAGCCAAGAAGCCAGGATCGAAAGCGTGTTCGTTGCGAGTATTTGCGGGTCGTGCTTTTACGGCGGAATTTGTTCCTTGCTCGCCACTATTGGCATTCTTTTCAGTCGTTGTGCCGTTCGAGGTGGTTGGCACAACAGTTGCTTCAGATCCCGAAGCATCTTTACTCTTCTCCGTTACAGTCAAACCTTGACCGTCGGAAGTTGTATCTGCCAGTACACGTTTCATCGTTGCTTTTAATTCCTCAGACTCTGGTTGCAATAGTCCATGCTCACTGCCATGACTGATGTCTCCCTCTGTAGCAGTTGTGTATGCGTCGACATCGCGCTTCTTAAACTTGACTTTTGCTTGCGAACTGCGTTTATCCAGAGTGAATGAGCTAGATCTAGGTCTTCGAGCTTTATCATGACGTGGTGGCCCTAGAGGGCGTTGACTGCTTTGCATTTCATGCTCATGTAGCTTTTCTCGTACCCAGGTAGCCAAGGAATTGTGGTCAGATGATGTTATCTCTGGCTTTGTATTGCGGTTCATCATCATCGCTGCCGGTAAATCGACTTCTTCTTCATCTTCGTCAGGCAAGTGAGAGATGGGGACATTTTCCAGTTTGCACAACAAGCCCATCGTGCCAGAAGGTCTTCGAACCAAGATCTCTGCCCATCCATTCTTATCCAAAGTAGAGATGGTGAGCAAGCCTTTTCCATACAAAAAGTGTTTCGTGTTCGAATTGCTCGCGACGCTTGGCCCTGAAGTTAAAGCGGATCCAGTGTTTTGTAAACCTTGCCCTTTCGCTTTGACGATGTGGTTGAGGAATGATTGCTGAGGTCTTGGTTCTGCATTGCTGTGCGTGTAGCGAGCCAAGAAATCAAAGCAAACTTCTGTTTGATCGGCTACCCTTGTCCGTCCTTCATTGGCAAGCAGTAAACCTTTTCGAATACTTTCCACGTATTTGATACGATCAGGTAATTTGACAATCAAGAACCATAAAGAGATATTGTAGTACGCCAACATGATCACATATTGCGATAAAGTAAAGGCGGTTGCGCTTGATCGGGCATCCTCTTCGGCACTTCGTTGATTGTGATACTGAATGTATTGCAATGCAATTCCAAAAATGCGCCTATAATCGGTTTCTGTGAAATTGGCATAAAGACTTGGCAAGTTACCGATAGCAGCAATCATTTCCAGGATGTGAACACTCATTGTACTGGACGACATCACCGTTGTCATCTTGACCAACATTTTGGGTAAATGTCGATTGATACTCTTTTGCAATTCGTAACAAGCGACGGTCAAAGCGCGAATGCAAGGTTGAGCAGTATTGGAAGATTTGTTGAGACCTGCCATGAAAGCTTCTACGAGCTCATCTTGTTGCGATCTACTGAATAGGGCACGATAGCTGATAAGAGTTGCCAGTGTACCATAGGCTACTGCATATACATCTGACTTTTTGACATCATCAGGCAAAGATACTTGGTTGATGAACTTTTGATCCAAGATTTGACTTGTCAAGATCTGTCGCAACGCCAATACTTGCTTCTGTGCCTTTGGGCCACAGACCAAATGCTTGTTAGCCAATTGATGCGGAAGATGACTTAAAAGGTAGGAAATCAGATCCCACTCTTTGTCCAGGGTCAATAGATTGATACAAGTTGCCAAATATTCTGAAATCGGCATCGGAATTGGAGCTGCGCCTCCTTCTTCCATGGAAGCATACCGATGATGATGGTGATGATGAGCGTCTCTGTCAGTTTCAGGGTGCATATATGTGAACACAACATCGCTCCGCCATCCGATCGGAGGAACGTCAAACAAGAGTTGTTCGGGCAGACGCCATAATGGCTCAGCGTTCTTTTTGCTGATTGGTGCATTCGAATTTGATCCCGATGCGACTGAGCTGGCCACTCCTACTACCGGATTGCGAGTTCGACTAGGACTGCGTAAACGGAATGCACCGCTCGCATTCTCGTTATTGTAGCCTGGGGGTTGTTCCCGCCTTCCTTGTTCACGCTCACGCGAAACCTCTCTTATACGTGAAGCAGAACGTTCGGCAGCAGACCTACTTCTATTAGGATCACGTCCACCATCACGAGTAGCATTTGTGTCACGACGAGTAGTCGAACGTGTTCTATCTGATCCGTTTGCTTCTGTTGTAGATGGCGTAGCTTCTACTTCCGCTTCATTTGAGGGAGCCAACGGACCGCGTCTTAGAGTGTTGGCAGCAGGTGCAATAAGATCCTGCAAATCTCCTACGATGTAGATCCGATGTTCCCTGTCTGTCCGTAAGCGAACGAGCCATTGCATGATTGCCAGTCGGACTGCAGTTGATGGTGTAGATACAGAAGCTACGGTGCCTGTTTGCGTAGCGCCAGTAGCACTATTTGCGGAAGTGGCAGGTTTGATCAGATCAAGCAAGATACGGAAAATAGCGAGTGAAGCAGTTCGAGCACGCTTTTCCCATGCCAACCTTTGTGCCTTTTCGCTTTGTTTCTTTATTCTTGAAGATGTTGGTAACAAGACCCATGGCGAGGAAAATGCAAGTCGCTGAAAGATAGCAATCAAGTCCAAAGAAGATTGTATAGCCTTTGACTTTTTGATACTGACCGATGCGTCCATTGCAGCTGCCGTCTTTTGATTAGTGGGTGTGGGAACTTCAAAGACGTTACTTGCGCTACTGTTCCGCGAGTGTGTTCGAGATGATGATGGCTTGTGCTCATGTGATCCTGGTGGATCTGCAAATGATACATGCTGATTAGCCGCTGTGGCTGCTGAATCTTTTCCAAACTGATCATTTGACGTGTCAGATCGAGCCAACTTCTCATGTAGTCCGATGATTTCATTAAAGATCGCATCCCCGCTTGATTCTTCGTCAATCGCATTCGAGCCAACATTCTCTACGCTGCCTGTTGCACTTGCATTCTCTTCGTCATATTGTGAAGCAGCGGCACCAGTTGTACTGATAGCAGTCACAGCTGCGTCGATCAAAGCATGTCTCATAGTCTTCTCAACGAATGGATCACTTTCAGATGCCAAGGCTGATTGTGCTAGAGGTAAGATGACGCCAAGCAATAACGCAGAACGATGCTGTGGAAGATCTTGCACAGTTTCGTAAACATGCTCAAATAGGAACTTGACCAGCGTTGTGCGTGCTAAGTTTCCATCCTTCTCTGCTGATGCGCGGGACGATTGAGACTTTATATTTCTCAACAACTCATGTCGATGGAAGAGAGCATTGAGTAGCGATCGTACGTTGGGAATCCAATCTGTCGTACAAGGCAAACACAGGTGCCTCGCTTTGTAATACTCCACCAGGTCGACAATAATTTCGTCCGACAAAAAGGGTGCTAGAGAAAGCAACAAAGAGGCCAACTTTGGTGTCCAAGGTAATTCTTTTCCACTCTCTTTACCTTCTTCGACTGCTCTTAGGTTGGATAACCTTAGCCGGCTAACAAGGTTGAGCATGGCTTCAATAACAGCAGGAGTTGAAGCTTCAATTTGATCTGTTTGCGATGTAGGTGCTTGCCTTCCCAGCTTGTTATGGAAATCGTGTAGATGGCGCTTTGCAATTCCGGGCAAATCCAGTAATAGATCCCAATCATCTTGCGTCAACCGACTGCCTAATATATGACGACCGTCCTTGAGGGGAAGCATTTCCGAGACAAGATTCAACACTTGTATATCTAGTACGTCAGCATGCCTGCGAAGTGCTCCAGAAAGTGCGGGTATGAGGAGTGGAACAGTGATGTATGGAGCCAGGGCATCTTCTTTCGATGACGAGCCAGATTTTGAGCTCGTATTGAGTGTTTGTGCGGCACTCGAACCTCTTTGTTCTTCGGCTTGCGCGACCAGCAATAAAGCTCCTCGTAAGAATTCCACAGCACCGCACAACAGTGTGATTTCGTGATCGTGCTCTTTCGGATCCTCCATTAACATCTGTCTTGCACATCGAATCGAGGCGTTGGCACAATGACTTCGTAATAGATTGGCCAACACGCCATTCGCCAATTCTGACCAATCTGACTCTTTGTTCGGCGCAACGATGTGATGTCCCAAAATACAACAGATGGTACTCGTTACACCGTTCACACTTCTAGGAGGCATGAAGCCGAATCGCAAGGTGGAATCGATTAATTTGATCACTGCTCGCACATCTGTTTCTTGTAATATCGGTCGAGTATCTTCGCTTTTGTAATCAGATTTTGCAAGCACAGCGGCAGCAGCAGCACCTACCGACGAAACGGGAGGTACAGTAGCCAGAGCTATAGGAGCTACGCTCGTTCCCGCTGCTGTCGTATTGACTGTTGGTCCCAATTTTGGGGTCATTCCTCCAAGAGGCGTGGCATTGGGAGTTGGTGTATCCGATTGATTCAAAGTATCCAATCCATAGTAATCATAACCCTCTGTCAACGGGCGACGTTCTTTGGACTTGGAGCGAGCTTTTCGCACTTCACGTCGCTCTTGTTGCTCGCCTCGACCTTTTGAAGGTTGCTTATGCGCAATTGATGTAGAATTGTGCATCATATCAGCAACGTGCGTCAATACATCTTCCACACTGCCAAGATCGAGCTTTGAGAAGGAGAATTTGATGATGGACGTAATCAAGTGTAGTGATGAAAGCACAGTCCATTCTCTCAAAGTGAGCTGTTCCAGTATTATTGTTTGCTCTTCGTGTTGCTCTGGCGTGATATCTTTTGCTGTTCCTTCAACAATCTCTCTTGAGCTTATCCTTCTTAAGACTTGCAACTCCTCCCAACTCGTCAATAGGCCATCGCCAAGGAATTCGAGTAAGCCTGGAAAGCTTGCCACATCTCTTCCTTCATACGATAAGACCTCCAAAGCTCTCAATTGCATCGGCAGTGCAGGCAATCGAGTCTCGTACTGATTCTCTTTGCTAGGAAGAGAGTTGCCGCGTGTGTGGTCGGAAAGATGACAGACGAGCGCATACAGAGCCGCTCGGTCTATGTTTGCCAAAGGAGGATCAGCATCCAATGCTTTTGATGATTGCGAGCCGGGTGCACCACTTCTCGTTTCCCTTGCCGCTTTTGTTGCTCGATTTGCACGTAGGTCCGATAGATGAACACTTGCTGTTACCAATTCACAGATTGACAAACAGAAAGCGAGTGGTAGTAGACCAGCTTTCGCCTGGGTCAAGAGTAGGAGACATGTTCTGAAGACTTCAGCTTGTGGTGGTCCTGGTTGGATCATTTGATGAGTATTCCAATCGACATTCTCTGCATCATTTGCCGCTTCTTCTGCTTCAGTGACTGTTTTTATCGCTGCATATAGCGTCTGTGTTGCACTCAAGGCATACTGAAAGGCCACGTCACGCCGCTCCTGTGCGGTTTGCGAAGAGCTTGTCCCATTCTTTGCTGGAATCAAATTTCGTAAATCTTTCAATAGACCTCTATAATCTTCCAAAGAAAGTGAAGCAGCGGCTTTGCCTTGTTGTGGAGTGATACCAGAGATGGTTAGATTCGCATCAGTGGCGGTCACAGTAGGCTTTCCTAGCAGCTGTTCTGAATCTATCGGACTCAAAATTTGTGATCCTGCAATACCATTTTGATCGATTGCCCTTGCCATAGGTGATGCTGTTGCAGAAGAGACAAAAGGAGCAGCCGTTACTGAAGCTCTAGGTCGAAAAGTTCGTAAGATTTGTTGACTTAAAGAAGGTTTACCGGGTGTGACTGAAGGTGTTGTATTGATAGTTGATGATGATGATGTAGCATTATTCCCATTAGCATTCGTTCCACCATTTCCTGTTCCTGTTCCTGTTCCTCCTCCTGCTGCGTTAATATTATTTCCTCCTCCCGACGTCGGCTGAAGAGCCGGTGAACGATCCATGCTGTTTTATCTTCACCACAGCATCCACCGTCATCAATCTGATCAATTGATCACTCGTTTTCCCTCAATAGCGAATACGAGCAAAGAAGGTAAGGATCTTGTCATACAGAGTGGATGAAGTCGGGAAGATCTTTTTAATGTATTTGTATGCCAAGGTTGCAATCAATCAAAGTCTCATATGCTCAGCGCTTTTAAAGAGACACACACACACACGCGGAAAAATAAAATAAAAAAGAGATTAAAATCCAGAACCCACACAATAAGAGTCAAAAGATAAGAGAAGCCCTTGCATTCCTTTTCCGCTGCCTTGGATGTGTGGAGCACAACAAGCACGCAATGCAATACGCTAACCCTACCTAGTCACCATAGAGAAAAAGCATATTAAAATGATAACTGTATTGCTAAAACTAAAAGTAATAAAAGTACATTGATATTAATGATAGCCAAACAAAAAGAAAGGGGATCTATGGGTCTATGAGCTCTATTCGACATTCTATATGTGCCACACGCTCACCACTCATAAAGCCGCTAGGAAGAAGAGGAGGTGGTTCGCATCCAAAAGATACTCCAACTTCAATGCATCACATTCCGAAAGATTGTGAGCCTCCTAGCGGCACCATTCCCATATGGCAACAGACGTTTTCGCAGGCAAAACAGCTTGACGCACAGCATTACGACCATAAGAATCACCACCTTGCCATTCCTTGGCTTGAGAACCAATGCGAACCAAACGAGCAGAGAAATGACAACGTGGAACGGAATGATGACTAGAGATTGCAACCTTGGATGCGTATCCTTTTGATGAAGATGATCTTGTCATCGAACCTGAATCGAATGAATCTTCTTCACTCGACATGCTCACATCTCCAGTCATATATTCCTCCTTTTCTGCTTTCATCTCTTCTTCTTTTCCATCGGCTAAGCTTTGATGTTGGACAGATGTATATCCGCTTGCATTAACTGATGGGAGAGGAGCAACACTTTCTTTTGGTGTACCGAATAGGACTGGTCGCAGAATTCTTGTCCCGCTGCTGCTTGAAGAGCCACGTCTTGATTGAGGGTTTGATGGTGGTGTGGATGCAATTGCAGCATATGAAGCAGATCTGTCTAGCTTCCATGCAGGGGTATTGGACGTCGAAGGCGTACATGTTCCTGAAGAGCAAACACTTCCCGTAGAAGGAGTACTTGCTCTTGTCGAATCGAGTGTCGTCAAGCTTTGGTGGAGACGTAAAGCAGGAACTTCTAGCGAAGATGAAGAGGAAGCATCAACAGCCATAAGAGCTCGGTTTGGACTACGCAGGTATGGCGTTGAACATTGCGAAGAAAGAGTGCTTTGCATCTTGGAACGTTTCTTCTTTGCTTGTTTTCTGGCCTTTCTTGCTGATTCAACTTCTGCTTCCAATCGACGCAAAAGGTGATTTGCGCGGGCAGAGCGTCTAACAAAGAACTCAGTCCCGAGTGAAAGTGAAAGAGCAGCATATTCATGTCCACGATCATCCCATTCGAGAGGTGCAGATGGGTCAACAGAAGTTTCTCCTGTGTCATCCTCGTCCCCTTCTTCATTTGAGTCAGCACGAGTGATTGCACGACGCACACGTCTGGCTAGGGGTGTAGATCGCAGTTTAAGTGGTTCAGAGAGTTTCTTTGATGCTGCATCTGAATCTTCGATCTTCTTTGTATCGAATGAGGAACAGTAGAAGCGGCTCAACCAACCGTTCTCCGGATCGGCATCACCCCATTCCTCGGCATCATCTTGACCATCACCAGGGAAACGCCAGATGATACCAAAGTCTAGATCGAGCCTACTGCTTTCTTTTTCGAACAAAGCATGTAATTCTTCGTTTGGAGTATTGAATTGTAAAGTAGTAGACGCTTTGTCGTAACGTTTGAATTGCATAGGAATAGTGTGCAAGACTGGTGCACCATGATCATAGGTTGAACCTTGTCCAGATAACGCAGGTTCTAATTCATCCTCTAAAGAGCCAGATTGGGCTGCCACATAGGTTGCAAAAGCATGACGTGCTTCTTGAACAAGCTGCTCTTCATTCAAGCCTTGTTGCTGAGCACGTTGACTGACACGAGATCGAACTTCGTTCCAATTGCTGCCAGGTGCATCCGCCTCACGACTGCCTGCACGACCGCCACGCCAAGGTGCGCCCATCTTTGGCTTACGCACGACACGAAGTCCCACTCTCCAACGGCCTGATTCGAATTCGGCTGCCATCAGGCGATCTTCAACGCATTGTTTCCAACCGCGCGATAGAGCACGAATGGAGGTGTAGAGTGTATGTGGATCCACTTCCAAGAAGATTTGAGAAAGGATTTCTGGAGGCAATAAGGTGGAAGTGGAGCTGTTTTCTTGAGAAGAGACAGAGTTTGCCATGCTGGCTAAGATGGCTGATCTTGCAACACTCATCTTGTTTCTTATTTAATTTGCACCTTCTCTAGCTGTGACTGCAATTTTGACTTCTTCAGGTCTCCAAGTATTCTTTTCCAATTCACGTTCCAATTCTCCGCGTAACCAGGTAAGACGATCGGATTTAATCAAAACGTGTGTTTCGTCTAAATCTTCAATCACGAACCTTTGTGGACCTTGAAATTGATCGTTTAAAGCGGAAATGATTTGTTTGACAGGGGCGTCGCAAGTGATCAACGTTCCACGAACGAGATGCATGAGATTTCCAACGGGCAAAACGTCTTGCTTATAGAAGGAATGAGCGTAAGGATAGAGTAGCAAAGGAAAGCAGTTGATGGATAATTGACCGAAGTGATGATGATGGTATTGAATCAACTGCGCATGAATCTTTTATTTGTGCAAAGGAGTAATTGAATAAGAAATTTCCAAAAGAAAGTCAAAAATTTCATGAAATTTCATACTACGCCGTGCAATCGAAACGTTTAAATTTCACTCACAGTCAGTCCCTCCCCGCGTTTTCTATTGATTTGCATGCCTTTACGCCCTTTGCCAGGCATGTATAATAATACGGGGTCTAAGTGGCGTATGCACTTTACCAGTCTCAAATGACGCGTTGTAAAAGTTTCAAAACTTTCTCTCCAGATCTGTCAATTGTGTGTGCCTGCCTGCCTGCTTGCCTACTCCAAAGTTTGAAAGTTTTCAAACTTATTAAGTTCCCTAAACCTCGAAGATCAGAAGTTTCAATATGGCCAGCCCCTTCATCTGTTTCTCGGACAAGGCGATCATGAAGAATAGTGCATAAAAGTATAAACATACAGATAGTATACATATTAGAGTTACATACTTCGTACATAAACACTGCTCTCAACCCTACTCAAATCTATCGGGGCCCCGCATATGCGATAAGAGAGGCTATTGCTGCACGTGGGATAAGCCCTGTTGATCCTCATTTGATGTCAAGAGTTCATTGGCCGATTGATCGACAAATCCCAATTGATCTTCAACTTCATATGAAGCAGATAATAAAGCTTGACTTTGATTCTGATCTATAGTCTCAGCCAATTCTTCATTTGACTGGATTTGTTCCACTTTGGAAGATTCATCTTGCGGAATAGCCGGCGTCCTCCTCTGTCTTCTCGATCGACGTGATCGGTCTCCCTCATCTAACAGTGTGTCCAATGCTCCATATTCTGCTGCTTCACGTTGAAGTGCTGCAAGTTCATCTTCATCATCATCAACACCGGCATCCCCTTGCGTTTGCTGCGCTTTTTCCACCTTTTCTATGTTCTCTTGCTCTATCTTGGCATCCACATCAATCTTTTCTTTTTCCAGATCGACTTCTAAGAATAACTCGTGTGGCTTCTTGAGTGGTTCAGTCATCGCTTCACTCCCTAGGATTTGCGCTTGCAATGCCCTTCTTTCTGTCTCACGTTTGGCTTGTCTTCTTGCCAATTCTGCCTGTCTTTCTTGCTCTCTGGCCTCAGCTGCGTCCCATAGAGCCGCCTTTCGTCTGATGTCATTGCCGGTTAAACGATTCTGCTCCGTCAGTAAATGTAGTTCTCCGGTCAATTGACGTACTTTGTATTCCAGATCGGTCACCCTTGCTTTTGAAAAGGCTCGAACGCTGGCCATTCCTTCTGAAAGTTGAGCTTTTAGCTGTACGTTCTCCGTATTCAACCTCTCTGACTCAACTTCAGCCTCCATGTTTGATCTAGATGCTTCATCATACAATTGCTTGAGCAAAGTAGACTGCTCCCTGGCTGATTTCTCTTCTTCTGTACTAATTGCCAATTCTCTTTTTAGTCGATCACGCTCTTCGCGTAAATCATCCAGCTCTTGCTGTTGAATAGACTTTTCTTGGGAGGCATGTTGCGTTGCAAACGATGTATGACCACTGGAGCGATCTGCAGCTAAATGCAAAGGCATCCGATAAATTACACTGAATGGCTGTCCTTGAGCATTAAACCACGGATTCGTATGGACATCTGACCGCAGATCATTCGCCCTTTGCTTTGTGGCGCGTTCTAGACGATACCCATACCCTTCTTTCTCGCTAGAGACTGCTTCCACCATCATGATTAGCCTTTCCGCCTCATCGTCTGATTCTACTACTTCGGGTCCACTTATGACTTGATCACCGTTGATCTTGCCCAACTCGAATGCCCACTGTGATTTTGTTCTAAGGTATCCATCATCTTGCGTTTCACTACCTGAGCCATTCGTCTCTTGTGATTCTTGAATTTTGATTTGCAAAAGCCGAATAATTTCAGATTTGAGAAAGCCAGGTATCGATGCAGCAGTATCCACTAATTGAGTCAAAGCAGGTATCAATATCGTCAAATTATGGTCGAACAAGGTGACAAGATCGATGGATGCCGAAGCAGGTTGGATATCCACAGGTTGCACATCTTCCGTCCGTGCCTGAGAAAGTTCCTCGATCGTGGTTGGTACTTCATTTATCTGTTCTCTCTGTGCTGCGGATCGTCTCGAACGACGAGAAGGTGGTGGCGGTGTATTTGCGACTGGGGTACCTGTATGGGATCTGCGAGAAAGAATCCGATCGGGAGCAGAAGCTTGAGAAGCATTCTTTGCCATAAGTGAACTCTCTGCTTCTTCTTGTGATTCTTTTCGGCTTCCCTTTCGTAGGATTTCCCATACTTTTGCTTCTGTCTCTTGTGGATCTCCATTTACATCAAAATCCAGTGGAATCGTTTCGAGTTCTGGTCCTTCTCCTTCTTCGAATTTCCATCCGCCGATTCGAGGTATCATCCGTGGATCTTGCACTTGAATATCACTTTGCTCCTCAGTGATAGGTGCAGTATCCACGATTAATTCTCCATCTTCATGACGAGCTCTTTTATTAGGCTCGTCTATGCCATTAAGCAACTCGATGGAATCGTCAACCGCGTGCTTTTCGACCATGATTTGCCATCTGTGTCTATCCTTCCAATCCTGATCAGTTGTGATAAGAAAAGTGTTGGTGTTGATTGAAATGATAAAAGGTGCTAGGGAGAGTGAGTGTGTATGCATTTATTCTTAAACGCGTAAGAAGTATTGCAGCAAAGTCACGCGTAACAGGCACACACACCACTTTACACGGAAGTAACACAGAAAGCCAACTCTTTCATTCACTCCATCCTCAAAGACATTCCATCATTAAGGAACATGTCTAACTTCTTCTCATTAGACGATGATGACGATGAACAACTCGCAGGCCCATCTCGACAGACTGGAGTACTTTCCAACTCCACGCCGGTAAAGAATGGCAGCGCGACAAGAAGAGCCAATCCAATTGCTGCTATGCTTTCACCACAACAAGGAGGTCACCAAAATAGTAGGAGACCAGACCTTGTTGATGACGAGGATGATCTAGAGATAGAGATGAATGGATCCTCCACAGAGAGACCTTTGGCACAACAGCGAAAAGCACCAGTCGCTATACTACGACAATCTTGGGCAAATGAGCGAGCAGCCCCAGCTTTGTTGCCATGGCAAGGAGAAGCAGTTGATGGAGTCTGTTCGCAAATCGAAGAACAAGTGAATATAATAGATTCATTAGCGGCCGATTCAGGAACAGCAGAAGAGGAACATGTAAGACTGGCTTTGGTAGAGCTAGATGTGGAAAGGGCACGATGGCTTTTACGTAGCTATCTTCGTTGTAGATTGGACAAGATTGAACAGAATGCCGCTTTTGTTTGTCAAGACCCTATCAGTCGATCCAACTTATCCGAGCTAGAGAGAGGGTATGCGGTAAAGTAGGTATTCAGTGAAGAATAGCAGGTCCTTATGCATTATACTAATCATCACCTTATTCTACAGATTCAATCAAATACGCTCTCAGCACTTTCACTCCTCGGTTCTCGACTTCCTTCCAGAAACGATGCAATCTCTAGAGGATAGGGCTGCTTCCGGTTCTAGCGGAAGAGGTGATATGGGTACGTATCTCATCATGATCATGCATGGCCAAACACTGACCTCACACTTCTCACTCCCATGATTACAGTGACAAGACCTGATCTTGATGCACCTGTCTTTGTGCACTGCTTAGAAGGATGCGGTACCTTCAGATTCCCTGGGTAAGTGAGGAAAGGTGGTGCTTCGACACAAACTAAAGCAAGCTGACCTGAATTTCCCATCCACAGTATCGAATTGCTAGTACACTTCGAGAAAGGTTCGGTGCACTTGGTTCGCTTCCGATCTGTCCAGCATTTGATCGCAACGGGTAAGATTGTTCTTTTGTGATCACTAAGACACAATTAGCACTGTATAATACAACAACATGTCCAATTAGATTAATAGAGGCTCAACCTCTGTTCATTGTATTACCAACTCCTTTTGGATTCGCTTCTGCGAAATCGTCCCAATCGTTTGCTTTTTGACGTTGTTCTTCCTCTGCTTCTTCGGCCTCTCGTGTTCCGACGCCATACCCTTCGGATCGTAGAGCCAATGTTTCTTTTGTCGTTGGTTTATCAGCAGACGCCTGTCCTCCTCCTTGGATGATGTTTCCACGTCTTTCCTCTTCTTCAAGATATTCATCGATGGTCATTGTTGGCAAGCGATGACTATGCTGGAAGACCTGAGACTGAAGTCTTCTTCGCTCGTCAAGCTGACTTTGAGCTGTACCTAGACTGCCTGCGCCACGATTGGAGTTACCTTCGCCCGGCAAGATAGTGAATGGTCTTAAGGGTTTACCTTTCTTGTCCATCAATGGACCATCGTTGGAAGAGCCCCATCGCTGATCTAAGCGCCAGTCACTATCACCTCCTTCTTGTCTTCTGCGTTCCACTTCTTGTCTTTCCTGATTTGCACGGGCTTGTGACTCTCTTTCGGCATCTGCTGGCATTGACTGGAGTAGAGTCAATTCCGTGAATGTCGAATCCAAAGCTGAGAATGACTGTAGAGCATGAAGATGGCACAACATGATCAAGTATGAACGCAAGCTTGTTGGTGTTTTTACTCCATTCTCATCCTGCTGTGATCCTCCAACAAATGCATCGTTCTTCTCCTCTTTCTCTTCGTCTCCATCCTCGTCATCTCCGCTTCTTTTTGGAAGGATCAAGAGATCGAAAGCTGTGTCAGGAACTGCAGAGGCGACTGATGATGACTTGCTCGTTTCGAGTCCGGTATTGGTTGACCGAAGTGCACCTGATGCTGAAGACTTAGCCCGAGCGGCGTTTCGGTAGGTATCCAATGCATTCACCAGAGCTCGTTCTAGCTTCATTGCTGCTATCCTTGCAGCTCTGCGTGCCGCAGCTGCTTCTGGAACGGGAGACTTGTCTGACCTGACGACCATTTCTGCCTGTGAGAAAAGCGAACGAACATACTCGCTTGATGAAGAGCGATCTAGTATGCCTAGAGAGACCAGCTGAGACAGGAAAGAACGATATGCATCTTTGCATTGCTTTAGTATATCTTTTCTTGCAGTAAAGTCCCCCGGTTTGGTACGGCTTGTGCTGAGAATGTTAGCATATACGCTTCCTAGCAAGACAGCACGCAATGACGAAGTTGGCAGGTCATCAATCGAATCATTTGAAGAAATAAGAGAGAGTGCATCAATGCGTGATCTTGCTTGTCGAATCAATGATAAGAGAGCACTGGCATGATCTGAAGCTGATGTAGATGGAATTGCTGCGTGCGAGATTCCAGATGCCTGAGCAAAGATTGCAGACAGCAGATCTGTCAATGATGATCCCGAACTTGTCGTCTCTGAAGTCATCCTGTGTGATATGATAACTTGATTGGTGGCGTGAAGAGAAGGTGTGAGAAGATGTAAGTTCATTTTAGGAATTAAAAGTGAACCTTAAATCCGTACGCACGGCCTGAAGATGGGCCACATAATAATTTCAGGTTATATACCGACCCGCTTCGGCACCATTCAAGCAATTCGTCTCCATGGAGCAGTTGGTTAGCATCGTAGAGCTGTTATTTCTACGAGCCGTTTACGGTTCAAATGATCACTACAGTGACACTCTAAGGTCCCTGGTTCGAACCCAGGTGGGGACGCATTCCTTTTTTGCCAATTTTTTTGCCCAGCTAGCGCGCCAGACCAACACTTAGGAACGTGGCCTAAGTGACTAAAATACTTCTAATCATGCGGGGCCGTTGAAGGAGAAGAATGGTGATAGGATATCCTGAGCCTGAATCTCATTTCATATTTTAACGCTAAAGCCTCCACCAAGTATGAAGTTTTAAGTTTTTCCGAAGGACACATTCGGTCTCCGTCTTTTCACTTTCTCTTTCAGAAGAAAACTTCTTCTTTTGCATGGATAGCATGTTCCTGAAGAGAAGAATTCATGAAACAATAAAGGTATAAAAAGCCAGCTCGAAAGTCCAACCTGCATTGATGAATTACATATACCCTCAAAACTCTTCCACGTTTCCATTACCGTCAATTGCTCAAGTGACAATGATGTCCTTCAAGTCACTCTTTAGCAAGACAGTCGCTGCCGTTGCTGTTTCACAAGTGGTACTTGTTGATGCATTCCGTTTACAGCCAGACAACGCTAAGCGACTAGATGCAACAGACGCCGTATTTCCAGGAGCAGGTGCTACGATTTTACAACATCCAGCAGACTGGTCAAGGAATATATTTCCGATTCCAGTTCATTCACATAACGATTATTGGCGTGATGTGCCTATCTTGGACGCTTTAGCAAACGGAGTTTATTCTATGGAAAGTGACGTTTGGTTGAATCCTGATGATAAAGAACTATATGTTGGACATGATCCGTTTGCTTTATCAAGAGAGAGAACATTTGATAAACTCACTTTAAGACCATTGAAAAAAGCGATCGATCAAGCAAATGAGGCGAATCACATTCACAGCAATTCTCCAGAAGCTAAATTTTTTGCCAACTTACAAAACCAATCTTACTCACAGATTAACACTTCATCTACTTCACGAGTTGGATTTTATAGTGCCGGTGTGGGTTTAGGTACACCTTTGCAATTGCTCATTGATATCAAAACAGACGGAAATGAAACGTTCCCTTATATTGTCAAATGTTTGCAACCTTTGGCAGATCAAGGATATTTGACAAAATACGATGCAAAAACGAACAAGACAATTCCTGGACCAATTACGATCATCGGAACGGGAAATACGCCAATCAATCAATTAATTAATCTACCTTCACCTCGATTCGTATACTTTGATTGTCCATTAGGCAAGCTCGATGCACCTTTCACGGTCAATGGAACATCGCACAGTTATGATCATACCATTTGCGGAATTGCTAGCACCAATTTGGGTTCGATTACAAATTGGAAGGGTATCGACAATGCCACCGATGATCAACGTAAGAATATCTCAGTTGCAATTGATCAAGCACATTCGTATAATATCAAGACCCGCATTTGGGATACTCGTGAGTTTTCAGGGATGCAGACATTAGTTTCGAGAGATTACTGACACACTTTGCTTACGTCTGAACCTTTTCAGCTAATTGGCCCACTTATGCACGCGACAATGTCAACAAGCTTCTACTCGAAGTGGGATCAGATTGGATCAATGCAGACGATTTGAGCGCGATCGCAAGTTTCTGAAAGAGAATGGGTATATATCCGATCGATCGATCTTTATGATGACTGTACAATGCTGATAAGTCTATCCCAAAATGGACGTGTGTGCAGCAAATCTTCATGATCTCCTTTGAACGATTGCAGGTCAACTGATAGATTGAGACCTTTAGAACGTAACAGTTTCATTCCCACTTCGTTATAGTCACTATTGAGTAGGCTATCCTCGCTGCTGTGAATGATGTGTAAGTTGGGCATGTCCGGGTTTGTTGGATGATACGATCCTGAAGGGTATAGAGGCCAACTTTCTGGTCCGGCCTTTTCCAATTCAAAGTACGGCTCCTTGGCACTGCTTAGCGAGTTAGGAGGATAAAATGCAGGTGTGGTGAAATAGTTGTAGGTTGGATATTGCTTTAGCATATCGACCAACGAGAAGATGCTCTCCTAGAAAATAGAGGTATGTCAGTATCCCGGTCACTTCAATGTTTTCGATTGCCCCACACTCACCACGCATACGAATGCTTTGATCGATTTGACGATAAAAGCTTCCAACTGTGGAAGATCGCGAATCAGATCATCGGACTTCCCATCATTTGCCTTTGTGCTATCCAGCGCCATGGCCAAGTTCATATATCCTCCGGCAGAATGTCCGACAAGGACAGTCTGATCGGTTCTATAACCCAAACTTTCTGCTTTTGCATAGACTGTTCGGATACCTTCGTAGACGTCTTCCAGATGATTCGGATGCCAGATCGTATTTGGGTTTTCTGGTGTCACATCTTTGTATCTTGTCAATCTATACTCGGGTAGAGCTACAGCTATTCCTTTTGAGGCAATATGTTGAGCCAAGTCTGAATACATTCCAACATTTTCGCTCACCCATGCGCCTCCATGGACAAAGATCAGTAAAGGTATCACACCTTTTGATGGGGTGTGATCGCGCGGTAGATATATATGCACATATTGTCGATCATTCTCTCCAAAAGAGATTGTCCTCTTCTCTGTTGAGGAGGTTATGCGTCGAAATAGCCTCTTAATCGCCTCCATGATGGTGTATCTCGGGGAAAGAGAAGAAAGTTGTTGCTAATGTCTGTGCACATTTTTAATGATTGACGCTAAAGATTCCCCACGACGCTCAGTTTAAGACACGCGGCCGCATACATTGAGATTCATTGGAATCAAGACCATCATCGTGAATTCGATCTTCACTTCAACATGCAACTATTAGATCCTTCAGCATTGCTAGAACAACTGCCAAGGCTTCTACCTTCCTCCGAATCAACGTCCGGCGAAGCAAGCGGAAGTTCATCAAGCCAATCTGGTAGCACAGTCCGTTCTCCACATGATGCACTAGCTCTATTGGTACACACAATTTTGACAAGATTGTCATTTCGGTTAACTTCCTTATCTGATGATCCATCGGACACCAGAGTACAGTCATATCCCAACAATGCACTTCCATCAAGCTGGAACGCCTCCGGACCTGGCTCCTACACATTCCGATACGCACACGAACAATCTTCATTGACTTTTCTCGTTAAGATTGTTTCTTTAGGCGCTCGCTTGCTTATTCACGCCACCGCTCTAGAGTCAAATCGAACAGAAAGCTACGAAGTGGAAACCGATCGCTTCACATCAAGAAACTACTGGCCATGGCCATCAACCACCAATGAACCTCTCGTGAACGGTTTCGTATCATCTAGTAGATTATCTGATTTCGTATTCGGTTTCCAGGTAAAGATTATTCAAAAGCTAGTACCAGGCCTACGCAAAGATGGATATGAAGAAGTATCAGAAAACGATCAAGGATCCTCAGCAGGACCATCTTCATCCTCTCAATCTCAACAACCAAGACCGGCCAGACCTCATTACCCAGAACATGACCCGGACGAAGCTTACCCATCGCCTTTGGCTCCACGACGTGATCCTCTCATAATCGGAGATCGAGACCTAGATCCACTTGGCAGAGGAGGTTTTGGTGGTCCTCCGCCCTTGTTCGGTGGAGGACCAGGCAGATTACCAGGAGGTGATGATGGAGGCGGAATGATTGTTGGACCTAATCATCCAATGTTCCGTGATCGCTTCCAACAGCCAGGCAGAATCGGTCCAGGAGGAGGTATGGTACCACCAGGAGCAAGATTTGATCCTGTCAATCCGTTTGGCGGCCCAGGACCTTTTGGTACACCAGGCCGTCCCGGTGGTAATGGACCGTTAGGGCCAGGTGGAAGAGGTCCAAGAAGGCCGAACATGGGTGATCCCGATTGGGATGATATGCCTCCACCAGGCAACAATAATGGATATGACGATATGTTCATGTAAAATACTTTCTACTGTTAATGCACAAGCTTTATACTTTTTCATTCGCTACAAGGATTTATGTCAAGAGAATTGAATACGAGAACAAATGTGAAAACAGGGTAAGAAATAGAAACAATGTACAGTCCTGTTACCAAACCATCTTCTCGTCATCTTTTTTGGTTGTTGACGATCCATATCCTATAGAAAGTCCTTTATTTGTCCACTTCAACAGTCGTTCCCGCACGCACTGTACCCCATCCAACCAAACGCCAATGTCTATCCACACGTCTGCTCAATGCAATCTTTTCACCAATTTCTGTGCAAGCAGGTGAAGTGAGGAAAATCTTTGCCAAATCTGCTTTGACTGACATCACACGACCACCGGTAGAAGTTGAACCAATGTTAACCATCAAAACTTCATTCTTTGCCAATTTTTGCACCTTTGTTTGTTTCTTGTCACCAGATGCAACACCCAACAATCTCCGTAATAAGAAGTAGTTGATCTCCAATTCAACGTAAATAAGTGGTAGCTTTCCGACTTCACCCAAAACTTGACCGACCAATCTATCAGCACGACATAGGGTAGGATCAATCTTTGTTCCCACACCGATCAAACCACCTGGAACGGCGAATTTCAAATCGTTATGCTCGGCGAATAGGGATGCAATCTTTGAGTAAATTGGCTTGCAGTGTGTCTTTCCTTCGTTATCCTTTGTGACCAATCCTGGACGAACTTCAATCTCTTGTCCTAACCGTAGAACACCGCTCAAAATCGAACCACCAGCAACACCACCCTTCAGATCAGCCACTTCAGCTCCTGGCTTATTGACGTCGAAAGAACGAATGACGATCAGTCTAGGCGAAGTGGTGAAATCTCGAACGGGAATTGGAACTCTTTTGACAATGTATTCGTTCACTGCATCGATGTTGTACTTCAATTGAGCAGAAATTGGTACGATTGGTGCTCCATCAGCCACTGTACCCTTTACGAATTTGACGATACTTTGCCAGTGTTCTTCAGCAGCATTTTCGCGAATTAGATCGACCTTGTTCTGTAAAATGATGATATCGCGTAGTTTCATAATTTCAACTGCTGCCAAATGTTCTGATGTTTGAGGTTGAGGACAAGATTCGTTTCCGGCGATCAACAAGAGTGCTGCGTCCATCACAGCTGCACCGTTTAACATGGTAGCCATCAAAATGTCGTGACCTGGACAATCAACGAAAGAGACATGTCGTAGCAATCGCATCGTTCCACCGCATCCAGATCGTTCACAAGGAGGTGTATCTTCCTTTCCAGAAGGATAGGATTTGTAGCATCCCGGTCTTGGACATTGTTCATTATCGCATTTATAAATCTTTGCATTCGCATAACCCAATTTGATGGTAATATTTCTTACCAATTCATTCTTGAAACGAACTGTTTGTACTCCAGAGATAGCTTTTACAACTGTTGATTTTCCGTGTGCCACATGTCCAATCGTACCAATGTTAATCGTTGCTTGTCTAGAAATCACTTCAGGACTCAAAGGAGAAAGTTTTGTCACATCAAGTGAAAGTGAATCCACTCCTTCTGTGATGTTGGAAACGCCATCAGCTGTACCGTTGGCAGTCGCCATCTTTTCACTTTCCGCAAATGTGATTGTTGTAGATGATGGTCAATTCAGTTGTGAGTGTCGCTCGAGTTGTGGAAGTGACTTCGCGCGAGAAGTTTTCCACCAGGCCGCTTAAAGCATTGTGAATATTTTGTCGCGCTTGCACAGTCATGAGAAAGCTTATCACTCATACACCAGCAATTATAAGCACTGAACTAGTCACGCGTGTGCGTACTCAAAAAATGATTACAAATTGGTAATACAATTTTTGTACATTATTAGAATAGAATAGCACAGTCTAAGATACAAATAAGATTAAGAATACACCGACTTGCACGTGTCGGAAGACGCACTCTATCGACCGTGATCACGGCCACCATGAACGAATGAATGCTTTCAAATTTCAGATATGAGCAGCAAATTGTGCCACACGCTTTGTTCCTTTGAATCGGAACTTGATAATTTTCTTTGCAGCTAGCTCATATATAGACTTCTTGGCCAACGCTTCGCCGCTATCGAGACTTGTCATATCCAAATCGCCTCTACTAGCTTGTGAATATGCTTTTGAACCTTCCGTACTCCACCAAGAAGATGCATCTTTCTTCAACTCCTCTATATCTTCCGAATGAGGAGCAGCAGATTTGAGCATAGAAATAAGTATACGTGCAGCAATAACCGTCGTCGGCGAAGGAGGACCAGCGTTAGGGAGTGCAGATGTGCTGATCGTGCTACCTGATGTTGCAGCTGTAGTACCGGTTACATTGCTACTTGCTGTGCTAATGTCTGGACTAGAATTGGAATCCTTAGAAAGACTGAGATTCTGCAGGATTTCAATCGTTTCTTCCACATTTGCCGATTCCGTAGAGGGAGCAGCATAGCGAAGATTATCACCAAACATTGCCCATATGTTCTCGCATATCCTCTCAAGCTCATCTGACGTCTCAATTGCAGACCCCCTCTCATCTGTGACAGTAGTATCAATGCTACTCTGGCGGGCAACTTTGGCATTCTCTTCACCTTCGCTCTCAATGCGTTTGGATGGCTGCAGTCTGATAGTCTCATCAGCCAAATCAGCAATAGGCTCAACTTGAGCGGTGATGTCCCTTGCTGGTGTGCTGTGTAGCTCTTTTGCCGGGCTCTTGTCTTTTGTTGCAGACTTTCTTGGTGAAGGTGTTGCTGCAGCTTTTGTCTTTGAGCCGACTGAGCTGCGAGGAGTTGTTCTATCTCCAATGGACGATCTTGGAGTGGGCGTTTTGGTTTGTGAAGTGGAAGCTGGTACTGTTGTCTTCTTTGGCGTCGCTTGACTGGACTTGCGAGGAGTGGTAGCAGTTTTGGAGCGTGACGGTGCCTGCTTCATTCTCTTCTTTTGTTCTTGTAGATCTTCCATCGTTTGTTCGATAGCCAAGATCTCCATTTCTTCCCTGCGTATGTCTTCTTGTATCTTATCGATATCCAGAGAGGCATTCCCATCGCCAGATTTGGAAACACGCCCGCCAGAAGTGAAAAGGCCTGGATTAGTTTGGACTTTAGCGATCAAAGCATCATTCTCGGCAACACTGTTATCCAATTCACGTATAGTTCTCTGTAGGTCAGCATGCTTTTTCAGCAATGTTTTTATGTGCTTTCGAGCTCGAGGGACGCTGTGGTAATTATCTGTCAGCTTTTGAGCAGCTTTGAGTAGTGTACGTGCATCAAACTCTACCAAACCACGAGCTTCTGCATCTTTTGCTGCTTTTCGTAATGGTGTTGGTGGATTGAATGCTTTCGGTTCGGGTAATCTTGGAGCTACATTGATTTCCGGTGCTGACACGGCCGCTTTGGCATGATCGTCTCGTGACCTTGATGATGGTCCTGCAACATTTGAACCTCCTGCATCACCGGTTCGGGGAGGATACCAGAATAGATTTGCCTCAAATTGATCGGCATCTCTAATGAAATCAAGTACGTCCAATTTGTGCGTATTTAAGATGGCAGATGTAAAGGGACGGGATGACGATCTTGATGGTTTGTTGTGTATACGTGAGATAGCGTCTAGAGTAGCACTGAGTGTTGTAAGATGCGTCTCCATGGCCATCTTAACCGGTATATCCTATCAAGAATGGTTGTGAGAGTGAACAACAGAAGCAACAATTCCAACGCGAATGAATGCGTGTGCTTTTAACGCGTGTTTGTGTGTTGGTCTCCACCCTGTGCTTAAAGAATAAGCATACGCTAATAGAATCTCATTCCGGCATGAATATGACATCCGTCCAAACATTCATTGCATTGATCTGTTCTCAGCTTCCATCAATGATCCGGGTATGTCGATCGCATCTCAACAAAAAACTTCTATTCAAAATGATAAGAGCACACCATCCTCCTCAAGAATGGCAAGTCGACCGGATAGCCCTTCATACGATCCAAAAGGTTCTTTAATCTTACGAATCAAACGAAAGCGTGGCGTTGATCCCATTACAGCATTACGCATCGAAACATTACGATCAGAAGAAGAAAGAGAATCAAAAGAATCGGATGCATCATTGATAGGTACAAGCCCTGAAGATGTAACGCAAGCAAGGCCAAAACGTAGATTGACAGATCGAGGTGTTTTTCGATTGGCTGAAACGGTGTCGCTATCCTCCTTTGATAATTTGGAAAAGACAAAGCAGCTTGAAAACCGTATTGCACAGCTAAAGAAGCCGAGCACCGGACCTGAAAAGGATGAATTGAAAGAGAAAGATGACTCGCAGAAAAAGGAAAACAAAGATGAGACTACAACACCTAAGACTTCAAAGTCCTCAACTTCTAGTCCAAATCCAGCACAGCTCCGATTCAAAGTCGTACACTCTTCCTCTTCCAAAACTTCAAGGAGATCGTTATATGATGCATTAAAAGCAAACAATAGCTCTAGTAGTCTTCGTCTGAAGAAGAGACACCTCAAGACAAGTGCTAGGGCAGATCGACCTCCAGAAATTTTGAGTAGTCGACCTACACCATACTCTCGAAGACCACGTTACATTGATGCTGTAGTGGAAGGAAGTCCATTAGGAAGAGATGTCAATGGTAAAGGTGCACGCAAACAGCAGACTCAGGTCGATAGCGAGATGGACTCTTTAGATCGCCGGTTTGCAGGCCTATTGGGAGATTACCTCAAAGGACAAGACCTTGAACCGCCAAAAGATATACTTGACGCAGCTGCTGATGCTGAATTCCAGCAACCAAAAGACTCGGAAGAGAATAGCTCTGATGAGGATGATTATGTGTACGACATCTACTATCGAGAGAAGGAGGCATCATTTACTTCAAACTTGGCAGCTAGTGCTGCTCATATTGGTCTACAGCCATCCGAGGTTGCAGGTCATGAGCGACAGCCGTCCTACAACAATATGACTTCCTCTACAGCAAGTCTCAGTGCTCAAACCGGCCCAGTGGTCGCACCTGAAGCGATGGCAACCCTTGTTGGCTTGACAGAGCGTGATTTCTTTGGGGAAGAAGATGAAGATACAATCGAACAAGGCAGTCGTCTTATTTCTGAGGAAATGCTAGACAGTGATGATCCTTACGAGGAAGGCGAAGATGAAGATAGCAATGACGAAGACTTTTATCGAAACGATTATCCAGAGCAGGAGGCAGAGGAGGAGGAAGATATGGAAGCATCAGGTTGGGGATGGGCAGGTCCTAGACGTCATCGTAATAGCGACAGCGATGATGAAAGTGAAGAGGAAGAAGAAGATGATTTCTAGAGGTGTATATGATGAATTTTGCAACCAGTGTATTTTACAATCATTTAATGTTTTGTTGGATGTCTATGAAACGGTCATGCTCCAGCCTGATTGAGAATTTGGCGGATATTCTTTGCGGTGTATCCTTTATGGGTTGGGGCCATATCGTCATTGCTTGCTACGGCTTGAGCAACCTCATTTGAAAGTTCACCTTTACCAACCACAAACTCTTTTGCATCGAAACGACTATAATCACCGCCCACATTTTCTCTAATTGCTTGAATGCGTGCTTCCTTTGCTTCTTTGGCTATCGAGATGGTTTTCTCATCGGCGTTATCGCCTACATTCCTTCCAACTAGTTTAACAGGCTCCGCACCTTGACTGATGCCCGATCGTGCAACAGGGGTGGGATCTTTTCGTCCGCCTTGTACGAGTGTAAAGTTTGAAGTGCCTTTAAGAGACAAAAGTCTGTTTGCCTCTTTCAAAGGATGCCATGTCTTTGGTGTATTTTGTTTTGTAAGATTTTCTTTTAAAGAAGCAAGATCGACTTTTGGTAATGCATAAGGTACTCGAGTGTATGGTACTGCGGCCTTATTTCCACTTTCCCAATTCGTTATTGGCTTTACTTGGGTTTGTATTCTTGCCATTGGTGCTCCATCATCAACGGGTTGCACGTCACCTGTTTTTCTGAATAATCTAGACCTTGTTCGTCTGTTAGTTGTGGCTGAACGATCTCCGCCTGTCTGTCTTTTCCCTCTGAAGTCTGCAGATTTCCTTACTCTGGACTCTGATGCAGGCTGTTGTCCGTCTTGACTTCTTGCTTCTCTTTGCTGACCACCTTCATGTCTTGGTCCTTTTTGCTCACCACCTTCACTTTTTGGTCCTTTTTGCTGACCGGCAATCGCACGTCGAAGGGCGGCAGCGAAATCAGCATTGAGCTTTTGAGATGCGGCAGCAGCATCTTCTTCCATCAAACGAGCACCAGAAGTGAAACACCGTACTTGCTTCGAGGTTCCTGCGATCATGGGCTTTGCATGAAGCAAATAGCTTGAAGATTGCCTTAGGATCGACATCTTTCTGTATATTGTATAATGGTGATGGTCGTCTGCTCGGTTGTAAGGTAAGAAGAAATCGATTAGCGCGCCGGCACATTTGAAATTTTTACTGGGCTTAATAAGATCCCGTGCCAGTGTGTGTGTGCCCTTCACAAGCATACAAGCACATCCAAGAACAAAGGGAAGTTCTTGTGATTAGCGGCATTTTAAGCTTTTACCCCGTTATTTCAACAAAGGATCAATTTATTTCGATCATCTATTGCTTCCTTTTTGCTTCCTTTTTGACGATGACCATCTCAAATCGGCAAAGATGAGCTCGTCAATATTCAGCTTGATCGATTGGCATGTACCTGTACCGATATTCACACCTACATGGACAATATCAACCTCAGCTCGACTTACATTCATTTATGTTGGGAGTTTGTACGTTTCCACGGCAACCCGTATCGGTCAAGCTAAGTCCAAAGATGGTGTCCTATTAAACAAAGATGATGCAGTAGTAGTCAAAAGTAGACTTAGAGTCGCATCGGTGGTCTCTTTGGTAGCTCTTGGGTCCACTTCAGAAATGATACGCAGGACAGCTTATCCAACTCAATCTATCTTTTTCGGTACTTTGGCATCTTTACGATTGATCGGGATCCCTCTGCCAATCCCTAGCTTTTTACACAACAACAGCTTGCCGTTTCAACCATCTTTGGTAGAGTACTCTTCGCAACATATCATCCCTGCCATCACGCTTCCGCTATTGCTCACTTCGACACTATTCGCAGGCCCTCTGCTGGCAGCAGGTCTCGATGGAACACTACTTGGTCAACGTCACACACCTTCGCTAAAAGCAGCTCTCAAAGAAAAATTGGGAAACGTTTGGGGCATAAGGAATTATCTGATCGGACCTTTAACGGAAGAAATCGTTTTTAGAGGATGCATCGTATCGCTGCATGCTCTAGCAGATTTACCAAAAAGCATCTTAATCTTTGCAACACCTCTATACTTTGGAGTTGCTCATCTACATCACGCATACGAAGGTTACGTCAAAGGAGGCAGAACTAGATCGGCATTAAAGCGTGCATGTTTGATTTCTACAATACAATTTGCCTATACTTCCATGTTTGGTTGGTATGCAAACTTTTTATTCCTACGCACAAATACTTTATTGGCTCCACTTGTCAGCCATATATTCTGCAATATTATGGGCTTACCTGATCCAATCGAAGCTGTTCGCATTCATCCTCATCGTAAATGGTCGATCTATGGCGCATACGTGGCGGGAATCGTTGGTTTCGCACTTTCCATCATGCCCTTCACCAAGCCTAGCTTGTTTGGTGGCTCGTGGTATTGGCAGTAGAATGTCTTGTAGTGCTCTATACCTCTCTGCAATTAATTGCTTGTACTTTCTTTGAATTGCTTTGTTCTCACTTTGTCTGTTTGACCGAAAGGATGTACTTCATATCATCAATCGCATCACGTAATCGAACAGAGTCACGCAATAACCTCTTTGCTTGAATTTGCTCTTCAAGAGAAGAATCTTCCCATTTCTTCAACAATTCAACTTTCTCGCCCGGTCTTCGTGTCTTTGTCTTTGATAGATTATCCAGAACAAGTTGTGCCCGCTCACGAGCTTCGTCTAGCCAAGCAATCGTTTGACCTTGTTTCTGTTGTGCGCTGCTTCCAAGACCAACAGTTGACAAAAGAGCGTTAACCGAACGTGCTCCTGCACCTTTGGATGTCTGTAAACCATGCATCGTTTCTCCGACATGCACACATGCCAGTCCGTCATGGTACGTGATCCAAAGCTGGTGTAATTGTGCGCCAGAATCATCCTTATCAGGTCCAGCAATGGCTGATCTACCCATTTCAACCCGTGTAAGGCGTAAAGCACTTGCCTGATACTGCAGAGCTCGTTCCAATGCGTTACGATCTGATGGCTGTGCGTTGAAGGCAGAGAGAGCAAGTAAAGAAGAGATCAAAGAACGTGTAAGACCAGGAGAAGGCAGTGTGTCGACAGGTGCACTGGCATCTGATTCAGATGAAGCCGCAGATTTTGTTTGAAGAGTACCTTTAGCCTCTTGCACTTCAACAGGTGTACGTGACAGCATACCAGTACCACCGGCCAGAATCTCGTTCTTGATAAGATCCTTTCGACTTCCGCCTGGTTCTTGTGCATTTTGCTCTTCGATAGCACCACCGCCGGCCAAAGAGATTGCGCGATTTAGCCATCCTTCAGCTTCCGAACGATTGCCGACAAGTTCATGCAATTGTCCAACTTTGGTAGCCAGTCGGACTAGCCTATCCGATCTGACAACTGGCTGCCCGGAAATATGTCCTTCTTCTTTCATGCTCTTGTTGGTAGCATCCAATCCTGCCAAAGCGTCATACAAGCGTGTATATCCAGCCAATGCTCCCCGAAGTGCCCCGGGAGTTCCCAGTCGTTCACGAATGGAGGCTAATCTGTATTCCAACATGACTGCAGTCTTATCAATCGATTGGTTTGGTAGTGCGAGACCGGAGGTTGAGGCTGATCCTGCACGTAGAGCAGCGATATCGGGTAGTCGAATCCCTTTCTCTTCTGCTGTCTCTAGTGCTGCCCTCAAGAGTGCTTCTGATGAGTTGAGACCTTCTTCAACATGGAATTGTGTCGCAGATGAAGCTTGACTCATGTATCCCACCTCTGGCATACCTGCTCCTCCTGCTACATAATTCGAAGGTTTCACACCACCACCCCAAAATGTGGCGATCCATGCTGCACGTAATTGATGTCTTCCTCTGATTCCAAGTCGGGAATCTGTTCCTTTCTTGTTCTTTCCTACCCATTCATCTTCCCCGTAATCGTGTTTCCATCCCCATTTGTCGTCATCCTTTCGTGAATTGACACTTTCTCCATCTTCTAAAACTCCACTTCCAAGTTGTAATTTTGGCATAGCAACATGTTCGATATATTGATGCGTTCCTTCAAATCCAGCCACTCCGATAACAGCTATACCTGTAGCACCGAAAACAATAATTCTTGCAATACGTGAAATTGTCATTATGAATTCTTTGAATGGTGCACCAAACGTATTGACCACTTGACTTTGATTTGGCATTGTAGAGTACGATCTCTGTGAAGAAGAAGCAGCGTATGCCCTGTTCGGCACAGATCGAACTGCTGATAAGGAAGCTGAAGCAATTGGCGATTGCCATCGACCATTCCTTAGTTGCCTTACTGTCATCCTGGTTTTCTGTGATTGCATTTTGGATAGTATGCGGAAGTGGTAATGAAAGAAGGCATGGATCCCAGAATATTCATATGATAGCGTAATTTTGAATACGCTCAAGCCAAGTGTGGCCAAAAATACGAATCACGTGCACTATAATTTATGGAATGACTTTGAATTTTAAACTTTCAGGCGTGTTGGCCCCGTACCTTCCTAACCAACTCCATCACCATCCCCATTTAACGACAAAGTAACCAGCTGTGAATCTTCATACACTGGCCAAGGCGCCCTCGTAGCCCGTTGATATACCATTTTCCAGTATGCCACGACCGAATTATTACGATGAGGTAGAATTGGAAGATATGTCGTACGACGAAGAGCGGGATCTTTTTCATTATCCATGCCCTTGTGGAGATCGATTCGAAATCACAAGAATACAATTGAAAGATGCAGAAGATGTGGCAAGGTGTCCAAGTTGCAGTTTGATCATTCGTGTCGTCTTTGATCCGGTGAGTGAAAGAATGAGACTCTTTTCTAGATATAATCTAGGCAAGGTGTGCTGACCCCTCTCCTTCCCATTACTTACTCTTTCAGCTCGATTTCGAGGAAGATGATGACGTCGCGCCAGCTTCTCAGATTGCGACATCCGCCACACCTGTTGCTCAAGCAGCATAAGCTCGACATATACACCCATACGCTCACATTCGCAAAACGCCACTCTGCCTGGGCACTCAACTGTATTCTATCATTTGTATTCTTAATTCAGCATTCAATCGATTCGGATTTTTCTAAAGGTATGCTATACCATTAAGGACGTATACACATAGAGGATGAAATGATTAAGCGGGGTAGAAACCACCTTTATCGCTCTTCTTTCCTGTTCGGCCTTGTGCGACCAAATCTTCCAATAATTTGCTCTCTTGAACGATATCAGCGCTGATTTCACCGGTCGATACACGAGATTCTCTCCATCCCTTAGAAATGTGTGATAAAGTGTCAAGACCAACAAAGTCGGCCAATTGGATTGGTCCCATTGGGTCTGTAAAAAGGGGAAAAAGAGATCAGTACTTTGAACTATATCATCAATAAACCACATTCATACTCACGTCCTGCACCAAGTTTCATGGCAATATCAACATCTTCTGCAGTTGCTTCTCCACGTTCGACGAGTCTGATAGCTTCGAGCAAGTAAGGGACCAATAAACGATTAACGATGAAACCTGGTGCATCAGTGCATGCAACAGGTTGTTTCTTCATCTTGCGGGCGACGTTCATCAAAGTTTCAAATGTTTCTTCGCTTGTTTGATCAGTTTTGATGATTTCGACTAATTTCATTTGTGGAACAGGGTTGAAAGCGTGGAAGCCACCAAATCTGTCAGGTCTATTGGATGATTGTGCGACATCTTTTACGCTTAAACTACTTGTGTTTGTTGTAAAGATGCATGAATCGGGTGCTTTTGAATCGAGGAATTTGAAAAGATCTTGTTTTATTTTGATGTTTTCAATGATTGCTTCGATTACTAAATCACTCGATTTAACAGCTTGAGCTGCATCAGTTGTAGTTTGAACTTTATCAACGATTGATTTAACAAATTGTTCTTGTGCTTCTGCAGATTGATCTGCCATTTTCTTTTTTGCGATTCGGGTTAAACTTTTTTGCATGATTGATTTTCCCTTTACCAATGCATCTTCCGTTACATCTGCTAAAGTGACATTGTAATTACCTTCATGTGCCAATACTTGTGCGATACCACTTCCCATCAAACCACCTCCAAAAACGGTCACATTTTCTACTTCTTTTTGACGTAAAGCAGAAGTGGAGAATGCTCTTAAGCTTGGACCTGCCAAGACAGAAGATGCCGCCTTTGAAGCTGAACGTAAAGCAGGTCTTGCTAATTGACTTGTCATCATTTTGAATATGAGTATCGGTGTGATGGTTAGGATGACAGAGTGTTACACGTTCTTCTTGTGTATATTATTCCCGCGAATGAACCTCTGCTTTGATTGAGCGGAGGATTCGGATGAATTGTGCATAAGAAGAGCCGGTTATATACGCGGCGCATAAGGAGAGAGACAGACAGGCTCATGCCCGAGATAGCGCGCTTTCAACATTGAACATTTTTGTGCCTTACTAAACCGAAACAATCAATATTACAGCAGTTACAATACACTTCTTTTAGGATTAATTTGACTTAACATCTCCTTTTAAGGCAATGAGAATATTTTAAGATGAGGAAATTATTTTCTTAAGAAACATTGATGGTTTGATCCTCTTCTTCTTCTTATACTCCAAAGACATAGGAAGCTGACCGCCTTTTTCAACTTGACCGAGGCCGACTTTCAATTACAAAGCCTAGCCGGGCATAAGTTAAAAAGGTGGAGCGTGAGAACACAAAAACGCGTTAAAGTCTCAAGTCGAAGAAGCCCGGCTTCCGTTTAAATGAAATTTTAAAGTAAAGGAAAGTGTTATTGTATTTATTGACTTAACCATGTCATCCGTCACTCAATAGGCACAAACCCAATGACATCCTGAAAGCAGAAGTGGCTTGAAGACCATCAAAGTGTGAAGATCAGAGAATTGCTCGGATGAGACAGATTCCGCTACAATGGTACGAACAAAGCATCGTTGGCTATTAGTGCATCTACAATTCGAAGATGAATCCGAAAATGGGCTAGAAAGCACTTCAAAAGGGGGCTTACAATCTGGTCAAAGTACACCTAGTTCGACAAACAATACACCTATGCAATTGCGGCTATTACGTGCCATACGGGATTCAATCCAGCATTCATTCGGTGATGTAGGTTCAGGTGCTTTGGGCGGAGCAATCGCAGTACGATATTATTCGCCCACAACTCATAATGCGATCGTACGTTGTTCACGTTTAGGTATGAATGAAGTTTGGGCAGCAATCACACTTTGTGATTCAATTCAAGGCAAACGGGTACGTATGGTCGTCAAACATTGCGGTGGAACGATTCGTAAAGTTCAACAAGCAACGATACGTGCAGATCGAAAACAAATCGAACGATTAAACTTGAAACGCAAATTGTTGGCGCAGAAAGCAGCTTCTATCACGCTTGCAAACCTGCAATCTACACAATCTGCAGAGGATCAGAAACCAGTCATACTCGATCAAACTGCCAAAGACGCACTGGAGCAAAGTAGGCGAGAAATCGAAGCGATCGAACAATGAGAGACAATTCATGCTGTAATTTTAGTCTGTACTATAATCAAAGTCACCATTATACCGTTCAAAACAAAAAGTATTTATATTCCGTATAGATTGCTCAGGTATCATATTGACAGAAAAAGGGTATACACAATGAAAAGTAGGTAATCGCGAAAAATTATTATGAGCGTTCATTATCATCTCGTTCCGTATCATCTCCGTCTTCTGTTTCGGGTTCTTCATATTCTTCCTTGATTTCAGGAGTTGCTTGTGTTTGAGATCTGCTAGGTGCAACAGAGGAGCCAGTAATACCTGTCCCGAGAGAGGTTGCACCGAATGAACGAACAGAAGATGCACGTGAGGTAGATGATCCACCAATCGTACTTTGACCCCTTCCGAACGGAGTATTATCATCACCATCTTCTTCTTTCACCGTTCGTCTTCGCAAAGCTGCAATTCTGGCCAAGTCTGGATCATCCGCTGCAATGCCTCCTGCGAGAGGGTCTGTCTCACCAGATTCACCCTCTTCTTCTCCTACATCTTCCCAACCAGCACTTGTTTCGCTCGCATGCACATCAGTCTCCTCCTCCGTTTCTTCATCCAATCGTCCAAGCACACGTCTACCTTGCGTAAGTTCAAGATCATCCAAAGCGCCCGTTGCAGGTTGATCGACAGCAGTCATCCTGCGTCCTTCCAATTCATCTCGTAACATTTCTGCTCTTCGTTGTTCATAGAATTCTTGTGTATCTCTGGCTTGTAAGCTTGCTAATGATTGTCTTTGTGCGCTGCTCAAATTACTGCTTTCTGCTAATCTACTCTGCTGTCTTCTTTGTTCTGCATCACTTTCTGGAGTCGGTGTCTCGCTTTCGTATCCTTCCTCGCCTGCGCTTGGTCTGGGCGTAGAATCGAAATCGGTACTTGTACCACCATATCTGCCGGTAAAGTTGTCCTCGATTTCCAGAGAAGGTTGTGTCAAAGAAGAAGTGTAGAATGCGGCGATTGCCCAGAGTGTAAGTGCTGAGATCAACTCGAATCCCATGAAGAGACTTGTGAATAAGATGAAGGAGGCCAAAGGATGGTGATACATAAAGTATCGCAAGCCGGTCAAATGCGCATCAAATCTTAAACTTGCACTGTGAGTTTGCAATTCACCACGACTTCGATATCCCTCGTACGATGATGCAGCTTTCAGAATTCCTCCTGTCTCTGGCAAGACACCTCCAACGCCATGTCCACCTCCATAGACCCAGTACTTATTTGCATCTGCTCTTCCGACAGTGATGTGTGCGCTCACCACACCTGCTGGGACGGTGGCAGCGAAAGGATGAGATGCTCGTGCCGGTTCCAGGACTGCTCGACTGAGAAGAGGAATCGTCATCAACTGAACCGGAGGGGACGATGTTGGCAGAATGAATGCGGGCGCATTTCTAGTGAATTGGAACATTAGGTTATTCATTGCTCGAATCGGTCCTGGCTCGTGAACAATTATCCATGGCTTGCTGATATGATGAACGGAAGAATTTTGTGCAGATCGAAGATCCAAAGCAATCATAAAGTTGCCGAGGTCCAAATTAGCAGCGCTCAAAGGAACGATCAGATCCAGGCTCACATCATATTCTTGATCTTCAGCAAATACACCGATTGCAGAGTTTAGCCCATGCAGAGATATATCTGCGAATGGAGGTCGATCATATCCGTATTGCAACCACACCGTTCGAGTAAGGCCGATATCAGGGACCCAAGCACGATAAAATCCTACGTAGCCTGCGATTGCCAACCCTAGAGCTGTCCAAAACAAGGCAGACAAAACGCTGAGTCGCAAGATGATACGATGTGTACGCGGATTGATTGCCATTTCCAGCACGAATCGAAAGAGAGCCAAGAGTGGATCGACTACCAAATAAGATAGCACTTGAGAAGGCCATTGATTTGGAGGAGGTAAACGTTCTAATGCTTCTGTGAATGCTTGTGGGATTAGTGGTGGTTGAGAAATTCGAGGTGATGGAGGTGCTTGACGGCCACTTGCACCTGCTCCACCTCGATAAGGTCGAACATCAGCCGCTGATCCATACCTCTGTCCGGCTGACGAAGAAGAAGCATAATAAGGACCACCTCCCGTCTGTCTTTGTGACATGATCGGTGGTTGTGATTGTGATGATGATGGGATAGAAAGAGGACAACACTCCACCAAAAGTAAAGTGTTGGTTTTAAGTTGAAACTTTACGCGTTTGTGAAAGCTACTCCGTGGAATGCGGCGTGGGGTGTAAAGAAGGGTGAGAAACTTTAAAGCTTACGTCGCACAGGCCATTGACAGCAAATTAGGGCAAGCGCTTGTGCAATTCTTCTTTTTTATCGTGATCACACCAACACCTCAACATCATCGTCAATAGCCAATACTTGTTGTCAGAGCATCACAAATACAGCTGGGAGAACGAGCATACAATACAGTCAACAAAATGATCACAGACGTACAATTAGCCGCATTGAGCAATTGGCTGGGAAGTATTGGAATGGTTTTGATCGTGGTATATCATGTGCGTATGAGGTGATGAATATTGACATATAGACAGTACTCTGATGCTTTGTTTCTCCACCTTCAGCTATTCGCTGTCAATGCTAGAAGAGCAGAAGCAAGAAGAGCAAACGTAGCCTTGCGCGCACGATGATGAATGGCAGGTCCTCTTTATCGTAACTCAAAATTACACCACACCAGACACACACAATTGTACAAGTATGCTACACATAAAAGAATCCATAGTGATGCAGAGAGCATGACAGCTTCTGTACACTTTTGTTTCAATTCAACATCTGTCCGAGTCGAATCTTAAAGCGATTAGATTGGTATGAGCACTATAGCTTCGTACGGTCTTCTCTTGGCATGGTGTTCCTTTTATGTCTCAACTCAAACATACACTATGAAGGATGGATTGAATCCTTGTATGATGTGTTTCCCCACATTAAGATGATTGTTGAACAATGAGTCTAAATGTGGTTTCTCGAATATACAATGAGCGACTGCTTATGTAAGATTCCACGTTCTCCCTTTTTTCATGATTTCATGATGAGTTAAATCGGGAAGAAAGATGCTTGTTTGTAGCGAGGGACTGGGGTGCGTGTTATGTCATGGGGCTCACCTCTGTCTGCAGGGTGGCAGCATTCACGGGCAGGATTGTAGAGCGCGTCGGCCAAAGCGGACGGTACCCCGTGTTAAAGCTCGGGCAAATAAAGGACAAGAGAACCGGAAGCATACACAAGCGAAAGAGGCATTGTGCCCGGCTCTCTCATGAGTCCCTAACAAACGAGAAGAGGATTAAGATTTGTAATCTTCCATTCTTACCATCATATCCCCCTCTTGGAACATCTTCATCAACATGCGTTCTCCAGCTCCAATCGTTCGTAATGCTTTACGTTCAGCCTCTTTACGTCAAAGTGGCATGAGAGGTATGACTGTGGCACGATCAATGACAGCTGCCACAAATGTCGCCTCAAAATCAACTGCACCAAGCACAACATCATTCGTTGGTGCGCCTAGAGCATTCTCCAGCTCTGCTCAATCTTCTGCCGAATTCGAAAGTCCTTTCGGTGTAAACTCATTGGCAAAACTAACAGAAGAAGAGGAAATGTTACGTGAATCAGTTCGCAAATTTGCCGAAGAAGTGATTCAACCTCGTGTTGAAGCAATGGATGAAGCAGAGAAAATGGATAAAGAAATCATCAATGGCTTATTCGAACAAGGTTTGATGGGTATCGAAACAAGTGAAGAACATAACGGTGCAGGATGTAGTTTCACAGCCGCAATCATTGTTATTGAAGAATTGGCAAAAGTTGACCCCTCCGTTTCAGTTCTTTGTGATGTTCATAATACTTTGGTCGATACCGTTTTGCGTAAATATGCTTCAAAGGAATTGCAAGACAAATATCTGCCTAAACTCTCAACTGATATGTTGGGCTGCTTCTGTCTTTCAGAACCCGCTTCAGGATCTGATGCATTTGCCATGAAATCTTCTTACAAGAAGAATGACGACGGTTCATTCACTATTGACGCACAGAAGATGTGGATCACAAACAGTGAAGACGCAGACTTTTTCATCTTATTTGCTCAAGGAGATCCTTCAAAGGGTTACAAGGGTATTTCAGCATTTGCAATCACGCGTGATATGGGTGTAGAAATCGCAAAGAAGGAAAAGAAGTTGGGTATCAAGGCATCCTCAACTTGCACTGTACAATTTGACGGAATTCAAGTCCCAAAAGAGAACTTGATCGGAGAAGAAGGGAAAGGATACAAGATTGCCATTGAAATCTTGAACGAAGGAAGAGTTGGAATTGGTGCACAAATGGTTGGTTTAGCACAAGGTGCGTTTAACAAAGCGATCAAATATGCATACGAACGTAAACAATTCGGTAAACCCGTTGCATCGTTCCAAGGAATGCAATTCCAATTCGCAGAAGCTGCAATGAAGATCGAAGCTGCACGTACAATGGTTTATAACGCCGCCCGTCTCAAAGAAGAAGGTCGTCCGTTCACCAAAGAAGCAGCAATGGCTAAATTGTATGCTTCTGAAGTTGCTCAATCCGTTTCTGGAAGTGCGATCGAATGGTGTGGTGGAATGGGTTTCACACGTGAGACTGGAATTGAGAAATATTGGCGTGACAGTAAGATTGGTGCAATTTATGAAGGTACTTCAAACATTCAAAGACAAACGATTGCCAAACTTGTAGAAGCAGAGATGGGTCTCAAGAACTGAAGCGGTCTTGAATGACAAAATTCCTAAATTAGACATTTTCCCTTTTTCATCAATTTGTACCCCTTTCATGGATAATGCTATTCTATTCCAGATATTCATGTGTGTGTTGTACATTATTCTTCCCTTTGACCTCTTGCATAAGCTTTAAAGAAGGTGGAGCGTACCATAGGTGTTTCCAATTTGTTTTCCACAAATCCCATTCTGTTGTACAGTACTTTGCCGGGTGGATCAGCTAGCAGGGATAATTGTGCATTTGGAGCATGTTTATCCGTATGTTCGACCAAAGCACGCATAATTTTTGATCCTAGTCCTTTCCTTTGATGATGCGGTAGTGTACAAATATCAACAACGACACAAAAGATTGCACCATCACCAATTATTCTACCCATGGAAACTGCTTCTCCGTTTTGTTTCGTTCGTATCGTAACGCCAAACCAGGTATTTTTTAAAGAGGTCTCATTATCTGGCCTTGGCGGTGGTGTTAATCCGGCTTGTTTGCGAAGATTAAAATGTTCTTCTGGTGATGGTACTTTTTCCTCTAAAATGTATTCGTCATCTATTGATTGTTTTGACATCCTTTTTTTTGTTTGATTGCTTTATCCGTTTCAATGATCGTTGGGAAAGGATTGAAAAAGCTGAGTTGACTCGATTGATGAAAGTGTATGCAGCACTAGCGCCATTGTTGCATTGCATTTGCACACACAACGGATTCTTACGCTCTTTTCCCGAACGAGAGTGTCAGCCACTTTGTGCCATGTTAAGTAGATTGATGGAAATGAGAATATCGATAGCTCCTCGCTCAGATACAGTGATTGTTGAGGAACGGTATCGTGGACTGGAATGTCCATACTGCAAAAAGTGTTATAGCAGCAGATGGAATGAAAAAGATGAAATGATGTGTCCAAGGAAAAGCATCTTTATACTCTTTCACACCTTTGACAATACTCCGAGAAAGAGCAATTCGACCATTTTGAGAATTTTTCCATATTTGACTTTCAAAGATTGATTTAAATGCAAAGCGAATCGAATACAACAAAATAGCCAAAGATATAAAGATTGCAAACCAAGAGTTCAATGCTTTATCCGCCAATGCAATCCAGAACAATTGATTTTTATCCGCACATCGTTGAATCTCCGCATGTACGGCATTCATCTTCTCCGCAAGATCAGCAGGGGTGGACTGAGGAGATGTAATTCTGAGTGCCGGCGGGTGTCGAGGGGGAGAGACCTTTTTGTGGAGATGACACGAGGGGTAATGTGCGGTACCTGAGTAGAATACTAGATCTTGATCTTGTTACAGATGACTGTGGTGAAAGCAGTGTAACTTATTGAGATTATGAGAATGCATTGATCGTCAAATTGAAACAATCAAAATCATTGACCCAATCAATCTCTACCACTTTGCACTTCTGCGTGCGCTAATCAAAAGTCAGAACGCGATACAACGACACGCGCTTGTGAAGGTGATTGCATTGACAGATAACGCCTTAATATGGCCCATGATGACTGCAATTTTGCATAGATTGATCTATAGATGCATGAATGCTATTAATGATAGTCAGAACAATGAAGAATGCCCCTTTCACTCAATAGGACAGAAGACAGGGCTTGCATCACTCGTGCAATGATCGGATAAATATCAAAAGACCCCCTTCAGAAGCCTGTTTTGCGCGATTGATAGAGCACAGATCGCATTTATTACGTTACTTCTTCCTGAATTTAACAAAAGTTTGACAGGAAGAAAAGATGTGGAGATATTCCATCTTCAAGGATGATTTTTTTACATCTCCTCGAGCTTTTTCTTGGGGTACTAATTTTGAAAATTTCAGAAAATTCTCAACCAAAAGGGGTTTCCATCTTATTATAAAATCGGGATCCATTCTCAACATCGTACATTGATTCCCACATTTTCCAATTTCGTCCACATTCCCTACATCATTTGCAAGCATGCGATTCATTATTCTTGTTTCATCTATATTCTTCTTGGCTTTGACTTCATTTGCAAAACCAACGGTAAAACGTGATAATCGAATCACATTTACGATTTTCAACAATTGTGATGAAGGCGTTCAACCAATCTTTGATCCTTCTCTTCCGGGACGTGAATTCACCGGTCAAAATGTAATCAAACCAGGTAAACACAGTGAAATTCATTTCACTTCAGACAATTATCGTGGTTCAATTTATACACGTATCAAGGGTAGTAGACAAGACGGTCAATTTAATACAACTCATGGTCAATTTGATATTGGAACAGGTAAATATGCGATCAGCATGTGAGTATCCAACATAACATGAATAAACCTTTCTTTCTCATCAACTGACCTGGTCACCTTTTTTCCCTTTCTTCAGTGCTAATGGATTCAACGTACCGTTAAGGTTGCAATTACAAGGCAAACAAGAACCAGGTCCAGATGGTACAACACAATGCGATTCAGCATTTTGTGAATGCAAACACTGCAAAGACGCTTTCCATCATCAACCCGGCTTGCTTACTCCAAAAGCAAGCGAAGAACCATGTACTCGTCCTGTACATGAATGTCCACCTGATTTCACCTATTGGGTCGTTCATTTTTGTTAAATGGGTACACTTCGAATTAGGTATGGATGTATTTTGAATTGACACAAATACAACAAGAATAAAATGTCAGTAAATGAGATGGAGCAAAAAGGGGGAAAGAGAGTGATAGGTTTATCATAGTAGGGCGTATGTGTGCATATGAAGTGAATAAAGGTACATGGGTGGTGGTATGTATCAGGGTTGCAAGTTCGTCTAAAGAACCACAGTGACGGTTCCGATGTAGCATTACAGTGCAGTAAAGGCGGGGAATAAGGAGGTGTACACAAGAAGAAGGTCTGAGAAGAAGCGATACGGATAAGAATACATGATTGTTGAAAGTGAAAGGGGACGCATAAACAGAAGCATTATGCAGAAACCAGCAATTGGTTGTCTATGTGATCTTGAAAAATGGACCTAAAGAGAAAGCAAAATTGCTAGTACTCTTCCTATCCCTCTACGCGATCGGATAGGTTGAGCAATAACGTTGCCAAACATCTCTTGGTAATGTGATCATTCTTGAGCAATTGCGAAAAGGTGGCATCACGCAAAGGTCCGGGCAGACAAGCACGCAAAGCTTCACGGGCACGAGCATTATCGCTCAAGCGTAAATAGCATCGAACCACATGTTTGAGTAAGCGAACTGCTTGACTTTCAACGATTTGGGCAACCATATTGCTCAAAACAGTTGCAACAGCATAGAAGCGTTCGTATGTTTGACAGATATATGCCAATCCCATATCATCCAATAGAATTTTTTGAACGATGAAGATTGCAACTGTCTTGCTCAACTCCGATCCTGTCTCCATAATTCGCAGGCACAAGGGAATGATTTCGGTAGACAATAAGAACGTGATGACATCCGAATTGTCATTTTGCTTGACCAATGCACCGATAACACCCAAAGACGTCAGTCGAAGGTATTCGAATGGGCGGTTCTTGGATGTCGTATTAAGGAAAGGGTATAAAAAGAGTGGAATGTGTGCATTCAAGAACAACCCTCGCGTCTCAGGATGACTAGCGACACATTGAAGAAGAGCAAGTGCGTTGCAAACCCGATTCGATGCATGCGCTGTGAGTGTAGGAGGCGATAACATCGGATAGACTGAGATGATTTCTTGCAGTAATGAAGACATGACACCTGTAGTAGAACTTCGTCAGCCGAAGCTCTTAATTAATGTTGATTTCATAAACTTACCAAAGCTATGCCATAAAACCAAAGCCAGATCTTCATACTGCTCTCTCTTCTTGCTTAATTCCAACAAAGCTGCTTCGCGTTGCGTAGAACTTCCGGGTAATGCTTCGATACCCGTTGCACTCGTTGCGGGAACTTGAGTGACAGGTCCAGAGTTTGACGAGGTCTTTGGACTATTTGGATCTGGACGTTGACATAATTGGGTGATCAAATGATAAACGCTTAATGCAGTTGTAGGTGTTCCGCCTGGACCTGTACCGGCAGGAATGCTTGGTCCTGAAGTTGCTGCTGGACCTGCTGCGCCTAACATGGATGGTCCCAAATCCACACCTGCTAATGAACCACCCATTGCTGAACCTACCCCACCAGAGTTGGCATTATTTGTATTTCCCGTTGCTCCAACACTTATATTGGAAGATGAAAGAGGCGGAGGGGTGACATTATTGTTGGTATGATTTGGTGATGTACCGCCAATAATGCCATTTCCCTCTTTGATGGCAAGTGATTGCATCATTCAGCCTCCATCAGCTTGCCCGTAAAGAAGGGCTAGCGATGCTATTGGTCTAACAAGCCGTAAGTGCAAACGGGAATTGTGAGATACCGTTTGCTTTTCGATGTGAGTAGCACGTTCGTTGTAAGATTTTGTTTTAAGATCTTGAGAATGACCGCAATGAGAGATTCAAGGCCAAAGTCGAGCACTGTCGATGCGATCAGAATAGGATGAAAGAGTGATCAAGGTAATGATTGTCTTGATTGTACCTTTTCGGTCAAATTCTATCCTCCATCGAGTAAGAGAGCGAGCTTGTAGGCTTGCTTGTCTTGTAGTAGTAGTGTATTTCGGCTATACACAGTGCCTGCCTCTCTCTCTCTCTCTCCTCACTCTGTCAGTCAACGCGCCCCCTTAGCAGTACAGCCAGTGTCTCTTATTGGCGTGTGCATCCTTTAAAAACAGGAAGATCTCTCCCCATTCATACCGGAGATAGGCTTACCCATGCACGTGTTACTTACTTTAGTCAAAAAGTTCTCAAGGCCGTGCATTCTCCACCATAATATTCATTCTACTTCCTTCTCATGATCATTTCTGCAGATGTCATTTGTTTCGCTGCGTCAAGCAGCATTCACTTTTGGTCGTCAGAGGAGTATAGGAGCACGGCTACGCTTACCAATCAGAACAGTACAATCAAGACAATTGTCCTCCCACAATGTTTTGGACACGCTAGAAGAACGTGGTTTATTACACCAAGTAACAGCTCCCAATTCACTTCGTACCCATCTCAATGATCCTCAATCTCCACGAAGCATCTACGTGGGAGTGGATCCAAGTGCAGATAGCTTGCATGTAGGCAACCTTCTCCCATTACTAGCCGCACTTCATTTCGTCAGACATGGTCACAAAGCTGTAATCTTGATAGGAGGAGCGACTGGAAGCATTGGAGATCCATCAGGCAGAAGCACAGAACGACAATCACTGTCTATCGAGGCTCTGAATCACAACGTAAATCGTATCACTCAACAAGTACAACAATTCTTCCAAAAGGCGAGGGAGTATGGTAATACCCACCACTTGAAAGATCTATCAGACAAAAGCTTGGAGGATCGGATAAGTGTCGTCAATAATGCTACATGGTACGAAGGTGTTGGTATTCTAGACTTTCTGCGTGAGGTAGGCAAACATGCAAGAATCACCTCTATGCTGGCAAGGGACAGCGTCAAATCACGCTTACAGCCCGACAAAGACGGTCATCGTCAAGATGGATTATCCTTTACCGAATTTTCTTATCAATTGTTGCAAGCGTATGACTTTAGCGTTTTGCATAGGCAGCCATGGGGATGTACGGTCCAGTTGGGTGGCTCAGATCAGATGGGCAATATAATGGCAGGTGTTGATCTGATCAGAAGACAGAAAGCATTGACTACTTCAGAGTCAGAAGTGAATATCGAGGAGGACGATATCGCCAAAGATCAACAATTACCTGCATACGGTCTCACTTTACCTTTATTGACCACTGCTTCAGGTGCCAAATTTGGAAAGAGTGCAGGCAATGCGGTTTGGCTGGATGTTGAAAAGTGCTCTCATTATGACTTTTTCCAATACTTTTATCGTGCAAGAGATGACGAGGTAGGACTTTATCTCAAAACTTTGACCCTACTGCCTTTGGAAAAGGTACAAAGTATCCTAAATGCACATGATCAAGATAAATCGAAGCGACTCGCTCAACGTGCACTGGCAGAACATTTGACAGAACTGATTCGAGGCTCAAAAGCATTGCAAGATGCCCAAGTTGCAACCAAGGTATTATTTGAGACAGAATTATCTGGACTGACTACGGAAATGGTATGCAATGCATTTGCAAACGATGAAAGGCTCAAGACCATTAAAAGTGAAGAAGTGATGGGAATTGATTTATCTCGGTTGCTTTCACAGATTGGATTGATCAAAACACGTTCAGAAGCCAAGAGAGCGATTGCAAATGGTGGTGTGTATATCAATAATATTCCTATTCGTGATCAATCGCAAACTTTGTCACCATCAGACTGTATCCAAGGTACGAATATCGTTATCCTTCGTTTCGGCCGAACGCAACATGCAATCCTACAAATCGTTGATTGAGTTGATGGCTTCCTGTACAATATTGTAACTTTATAATGCACAATTACACTCTAAAAAGCAACTGTGCGCGTCTAAACCGTTGCTTGCTTTTCTATTTCCGTTGACAGCCTGGCTCTCATTAGCGGATTAAAAGTGCAATAACAAAGAAAAGTTCATAAAGTCTTGGCGTGCATGAGGCACTTTTACAGAGAGGACGGAACAGTTACGGAGGCCGTTCTCATAATAACAAAAATGGTCACATTCAAGGGTGAAGTGAAAATATTCATTTCCATTCCATGGCTCTCCTTTTGTTCTTTCTCCTTTTCTTCAATTTACTCAATTTGCACCCTAAAACGGCCTCCTACTCCGTAATGGAGATCGCGTGTACAACCTCATTTCGCGCTTGAGTAATGCCAAGGAAACTACAGCATCTTGCTATGCATATTAATCATTGTATGCGAAAATGTAAAAGTTATAAGCGGAGATTTTGACATCTACCAGTCCAATTCAGTCTCATCTTGACCCTGACAAAGCTATTCATCTTTGATATTCCCTTTCATCCTGTTATACAACTCAATCCATTCTTTCGCGATCAATTCAAAGAGCCTACGACGGCAAACACTCATGACGATTCACTACCTTCAACTCAAAAAGGTGTTCACGATCAGTTCTCGTCTCCTCTCATCAACATAAATAGCCACAATCATGCGACTGTCTACTCTTGCACTAACGGGTGCACTATGCGCTTTGGCAACCACTTCAGCTCAATCGACATCTTCCAACACGATCAACAAACGAATGCGATCAGTGAAATCTTCTCATATGCCTTTCCAGAAACGTGTACCACCAACCCCTGACTACCAACAATCAATCGTAGAACTAGGGCCCAGCAATCCTGTCGAAGCGGCCAAAATGGCACAAGAAATCGATGGGGTAAAGAATAATCCAAACGGTGGTGATCTTGCATGGGGAAATACGTTGATTCCTGGTGATTCTTGGTCAGCACAAAATCCACAAGATAACCAGTACAACGAAAACAAAAATGTCTTTTACTATCCTAATGCAGCTGCTACGCCTGGAAATGCAGAAGCTGATGGTTGGGTTGCATTGCCGCAATTGGGAGGATTTGATTTGAAGAGGGATGTGATTCGTGATAATGCAAGTATGCCATTTTACATTACATCAGATTACGATCCAAAAGCGATCAAAAAAGCAGTTATAATCTTTCCGGGTAAAAATCGTGATTCATGGAAATATACCAATTTGATCAGAAATGCATTTGAAGTTGCATTGATCAATCATCCTGAACTTGGTTTAACAAACGGAACCGTTTTGACAATTGGACCGGCTGTTTTGAATCATTATGATACCCAATTTGGCGCAGCCACACCAGGCGATATCACATGGCACGGAACACAATGGCAAGGTGGTGAAGGAAGTAAGACGCCCGAATTAGATCACAGGATTTCGTTGTACGAAGTTTTGGATTACTTCAACGACTGGTTATTCAACACCACCAACTTTCCCAACTTGAACGCTGTCACGATTGCTGGACATTCTATGGGAGGACAAGCAGTTCAGCGTTATGCAATGCTCAAGAAGCAAAAAGTATACGATAACAACGTTCATTATTGGGTGGGAAATCCAGGTTCGTACGCTTGGCTTGAGTATAATAGACCCGTTGTTAATGCAACATGTACACAACACGATGATTGGAAATACGGTATCGGTGGTAATACGACAAAGGTGCCAAGATATGCACGTAAAGATGTTGAGACAAATAAAGCTGCAATCGTTTCGCGTTACCTTGAACGAAAGGTTCATTACGGTCTAGCCTTGCTCGATAATGGTCCTGGTGACACCCATTGTGAAGCAGTTATGCAAGGAGGAAACCATTTGGACCGTGGAAGTAACTTTGTGCAATTGTTAGGCAGTATGCCAGGCGGTTTTCCAGTAATTTCACAAACGGTTGACTTTATTGCAAACGTTTCCCATCAAGATTATGCAATGATTTCAAACAATCAAAGCTTAATTCGTCTTTTCAAAGAAGGTTACGATCAACGATTACCGGATATCGTTGCTACCAATCCAGGTGATAAGCCAAAGAATACACCAGTTACGCCAGTTGCAACACCACCTCCACGCAAATTCGCAACACATTCCAACAAATTGTTGAGTTATGTAATGTTGGGTGGAAGTGTTGGCTTGATCATCGTCATCTTCACCTTGTTGCCGTTCATATTCCCGGCCAACAGCGATCCATGGGAACAAGAACGATGGGAGCAAGATGCCAAACGGCAATTGTTGTGACCAAAAAAAACCTTAGACAATCAACGTGGATAATAGATTCATCCTAGCACATTCATTTTTTTGTACAAATTCTAGCCATCATAGTCTGACCTAATGCACATTTGAAATTCATCATGCTCACAGAATCATGCATTCATTTCTATATCTGACTGTCAAGTCTATTGATCCCTTTGCAGATAGTGCTTCGTAGAGCAATCGCGGATTCTAGTCGCAGCTTGTTCGGGTGTAAGATCTCGTTGTGGTTCTCCCATCAATTCAAAGCCTGTAAAATAAGAAGAAATGTCAGTTAAAAGTATCAATGGATCGATTTTGTAATTCTACTCACCAACCAAGAATTTCCTCACGCTAGCCGATCGTAGTAGAGGAGGATAGAAGTGCATGTGGAATTGAGCATACTGGCAAAGATCTTCATCGTCGTGAGCATGGGTAGCTGCAGAGGCAGGCTCCTTGGGCGACGTAAGAGAGGCTGCGATTTCATTTGCCGTCTTTGCTGCCTCTTCTGTGATTGTTGCTTCTGTATGTGAAACACCTTGACCTGCACCTACTGCTGTACCATCTACGGTTGCTGGAATTGGACGTTGATGGATGCCCATGGAATAAGGGAAACTGCAATCAAAGATGTTATCCAATCGACATGTAGTTTCACCAAGAATGCTTGCCAAATTTGCACGTTCGCTTTCGTTCATTTCGAGTAAAGAAGGTATCTGTCTCTTGTGCGGTAAGATCATCACTTCGAATGGCCAAATGCCCCACCAAGGCACAAGGCCAACGAAATCATCGTTTTGTGTGATTACCCTTGGTGTGTTTGGCAGTGACATCTCCAGCTGTGCATATGTAAGTAACAAACTTGGTCTGCCGAATTGATCTTTTGCACATCCTAGATTCTTTTGATCGTTTGCATAATCTCGCATACTTTCAAGTTCACGATGAGGCTCTTCCGGGATATAGTCCATTGACCATATTTGTCCATGCGGATGTGGATTTGAACATCCCATTGCTGAACCTTTGTTTTCAAAAATCTGAATGTATTTCACAAATGGGTTTTCTCTGTGAATCTTTGTATATGCTTCTACCCATGCATTGATGATCGGAACGATGTGAGTTTCAGCCGAATAAGGAGCGGATGTAAGTTGAGCGATTGTAATGTTATGAGAGGGGTTGAAACACAACACATAACATCTTCCACGAGCAGGAGAGCTTTGTAATAGAGGATGAGCATTTCCTTCCACGCCTTCGGGAATGGGAGCTACAGCTTCTGGTTTCAAAGCAGCAAAGTCATTCTCGAACAAGAAGGTAGCCTCATACTTTTCATTTTGTAATGCACCACCTGCTCTTGCATTTCCAGGGCAGAGATAACACTTTTCATCGTAGGATGGTAGAGTATTTGCTTCCTTTGCTTCTTGAGCACCTTGCCAAGGTCTCTTTGTTCTATGAGGTGAGCATAGAACGTGGGATCTACTGAGAGGGTTCCATCTACGATGTGTATGATCTGATGGATCAAAAGCGGCAGGAGTTGTGCTCTCTGTAAATTCCGACATGATTGTGTTGGTGGTGAATAGAGAAGATGTTCAAGAGTTTAATAAGTGTCAAACGACTATCAATTCGTTCTTCTTGATTAAAAGTTAGTGTGAATTAAGCTTAAAGCGGGGGATGTTCCATTCATACTGCTTCTGTGCTCCACTTTTTTTCTCTTTGGCCGAGTGTTCATGCGCCTTGTTCCACGGCTACAGAGATTTCCGCGGAACCTATCAACTTTCCCGAATGCCATCAGCAGGATAAAAGTATCCATAAGGTCGATGTGTCATTAGCACAACCAGGGTGACAGAACAAATATTCTTGATTTTTTTCTATAACAAGAGCACCAATGAACGGAATGTGACAATACTGTGCAGCTTTATAAGCTCGAGGCTACAACATGAAGGGGTCTATTCGAGTGTTTTGATGGTATATTCTTTTCGCTGTCGTGCTCATTCTTTTACCGAAGAAAGAGAAAATTCTAGCTGTCTAGCCTACGTCTGACGAATGGCGAAGGCGTTGATTTTGATGTTGATACATGCATTAAGTCAGCAAGATCATATACATAAAAATGACACGTAAACAAGAAAGTGTTGAATGGCAATGAAGCGTAACACCTTTAAAGCTTTGAGCCAGGTTTGACTGTAGGAACGAGAGAAGGAAGAATGAAACTGTCAGCGATCCAACCCGCACAACAAGCAACGCATTCATAGCACTCACCTTCACCAATTTTGTATTCGGCAGCAGTCTTTTGCAGAACCTTCTCGCTGTGGTATGTCCAGAAAGCCTCAGATGCGTCCTATGATTTATGGTGGGGGGAATTTCTGTTGTCAGTCATGATTGTTCTTATGCAAAGGCAGCCTTTAAGCATTCACTCACCTTTCCACAGTTCTTCAAAAGAATCTTTTTGCCTCCGGGGTGCTATAAGAGATGGAAGAATGACTGTTAGACGATCTTGCTTGTGATACGTTTACATGATTGACCTCCATACTCACGTCTTCCAAGAATTCCGTTACGTCGTATACGCCACCATCAACGACGACCCAAGCGGATTCCTCTACGAAGGATGAGTTGTATGTGTCAGCAATCGCTCTTCAACCTGTAGGATCCAACAAATCACACTTACCGCTCTTGTGTTGTTTGACCTCGTCAGCTTCGAAAGTTTTAGACATGATTGCAGTTTGTACTAGTAAAATAGATGATAGCAAGAGGTATGATTGTTGTATCGGATCGCGGTAGAGTTGATCCCCGAGTTACACTTTGAGGGGAAAAGAAAGGCTTCCCATACTCCCGGCTTTAGAGCAGTATAACTTCACGCGATCTAAGCTGTTGTTTGTCTTTCAGATGTGTGTCTGTCTGCAGTCAAATAAAATGGAGGTTTAACGATCTTAGCCCGGGAGTATGAAAAGGCCGAATAGAGCGTAACGCAAGGCGATGACGCTAAGCACAGAGGAGGTTCATTCAGCCTTTTATCCAATCATAATTCAGCGCATTTCCAAGCAATCTTTAGTCTGCTTAAATAAGCGGATCTTTCGTGTAAACAAAATGCCGGTCAGGGTGAGCATTTATCCGTGATACTGTCTGACCGGATGAATGCTCAACGATACGACCCGAATCATATCACGATGCTACAGGAGTAACAGCCTGCCAATTAGCCATAGCATTGTAGCTCTTCTTATGTTGAACAGGTTCGCACACGTGATGCAAGAAAAGTTCGGCAGCTTTGAGCATTCTCCTATGCAGAGACCTGTATCTCAAATATGACAAAGTGTGCCTCTTCTGTCTTCACCCCTAATGAGTTTCTCGCCTTTCAATTTGAATTTATGCGATCGTCGCTGTGAATGTATTGTTCATGTTCAGTGGCTTCTATTCAAGGGGTTGCATATGACTTTAATTGATCTGCACAGGATGCTTAAACGAACAGAGTGTGCGCGTACATACACCCTTAAACGCGTTCCTGGTTACGTTGCCCCCACTCACCCGTTGGCTATGCTGCTTTTTTTCTTAAAAAGGAAATCTTATGGCTGAGTATGAAATTGCGTTCTCAATATTGTACGATAATCAACCAATCTCCCCCCTTGCGGCGAATGTAGGACAAGTTGTTCGATTCATGTACTCGAATACGCTAAACAAAAGCCACAAACATGAAAAAGGTGTAAAGGGGTTTAATGTCTCTCATTCCATGATTATCTTGACAATGATTGAACAATTGGGCGCAGCATACAACATAAGACACGCTTCCCGCCAGAACTTTCTTCTTCCGTTCAAATAACTGTCAAACAGAAGGCGCTAGAACAGGTTTATGCAGGCACACAATACAGCACAATCATTTTGGTACATGAATTAAGGCTCACTTTTAAAGCATAAAGTGGGGCAATATATTGTTCGAATATATGCAGATATTTGAAAGTGTTAAACTGTCATGGATATGCACTTCTTCAGTCAACAATCACAAAATGATTGGCATGGACACGGTGAGGAACGATGGCTGTATACGCAGATTCTTCTATACTGTCAATGAAAGCTGTTTAAATCTGTTCCACCCTTTTTGATAAAGATAGGATCGAGAAAAAAAGGTGAAACACTTTTGAGCAAAACCATCATCTTCAACCCGAGACATTGATTCATACCCTATCAACCTTTACCTGATTGTGATCGATTCACAAGTGGTATATAAACATCATCATCATGGAGAATTACAACCAGAATGTTCTTGTCAAGCAAGAAAGACAACAATCGCGTATGCAAATCAAAAAGATGGCACCTAAAATCCCAGCTTCGACATTGACTCCAACACTCACAACAAAACAAAACAATCTACAAAAACGTGAACCTTTAGGTGGAATATTACAACAAGGAGCAAATCAAATCTCAAGTGCTGCAAATGCATGGTATACAGGTTTGACAAATATGGGAAATAATGGTGGATCTTCAAACAGTGGTAACAGCGGTGGTAATTCAGGAAATTCAGGAGGCTCTTCAGGAGGCTCTTCTGGTGGCTCAAGCTCAGGAGGAGGCGGCTCTTCATCCGGCAATAGCGGTGGCAGTAGCAATTCGGGAGGAAGTTCTTCTGGGGGTAGCAGCAACAACGGCGGGAGCAGCAATTCTGGATCGTCTTCCCACAACTCTGGAAATAGCGGATCCTCTTCTGGCAGTTCATCATCAGGATCAGGATCAAATTCGAGCGGCAATAGCGGCCAATCAAATAGCAATAGCGGTAACAACAGTGGCTCTTCAGGCAACAGCAGCAGCAACAACAACAACAAGGATAGCAACAACTCTGGCAGTAATAGCAATGATTCCTCTTCAAACTCTAATCAAAACAGTGATACAGCACAAAAGAGCTCAACAAATAATGATGCCAATGGCTCAACACCTGCAACACCTGTGACATTAGCTAACGGAGCTGTTGTGACACCTGTTGCGATTGTTGATCAATCAAATGGTGGAACAACGACTGGATTGATTGGTTCAAACACTGCTTCTCAGAGTATCCTTGTTGTTTTGACAAACTCTGAAGGCCAGAAAATTACTTCTACGTTGGCTTACGATTCTTCCATTGCTGCGATTGCAGCTACTGCAACTGACTCTCCTCTCAAGAATGAAACCAATGTAGGAGCAAGCGGAGTGAAAAACTTGAACGGTAATGCACAAAGTGGAAGTACAAATGTCGGTGCGATTGCAGGACCTGTGATTGCGGTTCTCATTTGCGCTGCCGGTGCTTTGGCCTTGTTCTTTTGCTTACGCCGTAGACGCAGAGCACGCAATGGTACAGGAAGTTCAATTTCATCTTATGGAAACACTACCCCGTCAAGGTCCCTCAGTCGTTTTATTCCTACCTTCCGCTCTCCTCGCTTTGGTCCAATCCGCTTACCTTCTTTGCCTTCATTCAACTTGCACAATGCCAGTCCACAGTCACCCGAGATGGTACAACCATTCAATACGGTGATGTCACGGCCACCATCTGGTGGTCTTGCTTCACCAATGGAATTCGGCAGAATGAAGAGGTACAACCGATTCGCTAACCCATTCAATTCCGAACCTCAAGAAGCAATTAGACCACAATCTAGAATGAGTTCAACGGGTCTGCAAATTACAGGCATCAACGGTAGTCCAAAGAACTCCGATCGCTCGATTAGCGTACCTGAGTCCGTATACTTTTCACCTCAAGCCCATCATCCTCGTTTGAGTTCTATCAATGATGCAATCAATTCCGGTGAATTGGCGTATGACGATGATGCTAGCAGTATCGGACACGATAGCTACATCACTCATGGAGTTGGATCAGCAGGAAGTGAGACTGCAGAAAGAAGAAGTTATGCTTCCACAATGATGTTCTCACGCGCAATCGGTCATTCAGAAAGTCATAAGGCACTATCTTCTTTGGTCAATTTAGAGGAAAATCCATTCTCATCACCAACGCAAAACAGTACAAATGGCTTCGAATTGATTCAAACCGGTTCCGTAACCGATAATTCACCCAAATCATTCCAAAGCAGTTTCCAGGCAAATGAATCGGTTGTGAGCCGTGACACTTTTGGTATTCCATCTTCACCCATGTCTGAGAAATCAGAGTCAAACTACGGTTTCGCAAACCCGGGTATTCCTTCCAATATCTCTGCGCAACATGGCAATAAATCCTTGTTATCGCCTTTCAGAAATTTGCTCAGCAGACCAGACGGTCAAAGCTTTGCCTCCTTCACATCCATCGCGGAGGAAGAAGATAATTCACAAACAGGGGTTCCTGATCAAATTAAAAATAACGTTGAACGTAAACGTCAAATTTCCATCTTTAGACGCGATTAATCCCATCCATTCTTGACATGTATACATTCTTTATTTTTCACTATAATGCTGTATTGATTACACATGGTACATCGTTCAGGAAGAAGTGCTTAGAGACATAAAGTGACCCCAACTTTTCCACATTCGATCAACTGCTGCCCTTCTTGCATGCCAACCTAGACCTGGCATAGCATTAGCCTCCACCGTAGAGCTTTGTCTTGCTTCTTGTCGTCGAGAAACAGATTTAGCATTGGAACTTTCCAAATCACGAATATCGTTCAAGAATTCAGCACGTAGACGTTTTGCACGGGTTCCGCGGTTGCCGGATCCTGCACCTGCTGCTTGTGCAACCAATTGGGGTGCAAGTCTACGTAACAATGCCAAATCCAACAAAAGCAATCCTTGTGTGAGCGGCGGCAAAGGTCCTGAAGCCAAATCTGTATCGGCCAACAAGCGATCAATCCTACGCATTGCCTCCCAAGCACGATAACGAACGCTTTGACCAATACGTTTACCTTGACCGCCCAAAGCGATCGAAACTCTCGTCTTGAAGAAACCTCCAACGATATACAGGATTCCCATAGCAGGTGCAATTCCGATCGCTCCAAACAACAGCTGTTGAGATTTCAATAATTGATCAACACCGCGCATAGCCACTGCGATATCCACTTTGACTTTTTGAATTTGAATCAAAAGTGATCGAATCAATGATCCGCTAATGGCTGATTTCAAGGGAGATTTTAATTCGGTTTCATAGATACGCAAAACGGTTGTCAAATCTCCTTCTCGTACCCTTGCTGCCACTTCATCCAACTCAGGTCCAGAGATACCATACTTTTCCGCACTGAAATCGGATACCATTCTCTCCAAACTTTGCAAATCAGAATTCAAGCTTTCGGGTGAGATAATCATACCTTCTTGATCTCCAGTTCTGATTGTGTCCAACAGTTTTATGCAAGGATCATAGACCCAATTCACAGCGAATCCTTTCACAGTTTCCCGCGCATCTTGTGCTTTGGCCACGATTGTGTCCCAGCTGCGGGTCACCAACCGTATCGCAACAAGTGAAACAACTGGTCCCAATACAAGCGCTGGCCACAGACGTGCTAATCGGGTAGGCAGACCAAGTCCCACTGGAGCACTTGACAAAAGAAAATCGACATGCTTCCTCTGTTGAGATATCTGATAGTTTACAAGCTCATGTAGAGAGCTGCTTAGATCTTTGCTGCTACTGGTGGAAGCTTCTGATGTGTCTTGCACTTGAAGAGCATTTTGCATCTCCTTCACTCTTTCCCATAGCTCATTCTGGAGATCTACTGCGCTGATGTTCTTTGTATCCCGCGCATCAACTTCGGATAGTGCTTGCGATAATGTTCCTACTTTAATGGCCATCTCATCCCTTTGCTTAATCAACTTACCTCTCTTGCTTCTGGCTTCGTGACGGGTCAAGCCTAATGGGGTAAGGATACGAGCAGCAGAAACGAGCTGTGGCTTTTTGCTCTTCTTTTTCCGATTGAATGTTTCGAAACTGTTACTTGCGCTGCTCGTGTCTTCATTCACCGAAAGCGGGAATAATGCTCCAATTGCAAGCACGGGCGATTCACGGATGATGTTCCATGATCGACGTAATGTTTCGGTATTAAACGATAGCTCTGCTCGTCTGTGACGCTCTTCGTGAGACAAGGATCGATCTTGACTGGCCGAAGAAAGAGGCGCAAGTGTTGTTTCGCCAAGTTTTTTCCCAATCGCGACTGCTAGATTGATTATTCTCTCTGGAAGTGTTTGAACGAGATAGGTAATTGTTTGTATGGGATCTTCCTCCACCTCTGTCCAATACCAAGCTTGATCGTTCACTGTTTCAGCTTGGTTGAGCAAGTCATCCAGTACCAATCCATACACCGAATAAGTAAGCCTTGCAGCAGAAATCAATTCAAATAAAGCAACTTGATCAGAAGCAACGTCTACTTGTCCATTGCTTTGTGGTAGCAAGAGTATACTTGATTCATTCGATAGACGTGACGAGCTGAGAGTATTCAAAGCTTCATTCAATTGCTTCTGATCCAACAAACTCTTAGATTGTGTAATCTGAGAATTAAAACTAGATTCAACACGAACGAGTTCTTGTGTCTTTGCGTCATCTTCTCCTTCTGATGCCGGTGTTCTCAGTGATCCAGATAAATGATCTTGAATTGAGTCCAACCTTGAGGATTGCTTACGAACTGCATCCAAAGCAAATGAGAATGATTCGTTTGGCATCTTGCAAGATTGTCTAGAAGATGGATGTCGGGAACGTGGAAGATTGTGTTACATAGGGTGGAGGCTTATTAGCGCATATACTGAGACGTGAAGGAGATTCTACGCGATAACCATATTCAGACTTGTTACTACTACATCTATAATGATTGGGTATATATGGTAAAGAGTATAATACATGAATCACATTTTTAGCGTTCATCCCACCTTCCTACTTCTGCCGAGCATACATCTTCGAACCACATCGGGTCTGGATTATGTTCGTCGCGTAAATGGGGCAAGGCCTGCCATTCTTCCATAATCCGTTGTCGTATCAATGCTCTCAGCTTCCTGGCCTTCTTGGAAGCAGGGGATTCTTGAGTGTCTTCATTTTCCTCTTCTTCTTCATCTTCCTCATTATCGTCACCTCGAACGCCTTCTTTCTTCTCTTTTTGTTGATCATCATCCTGAATGCTGGCTGATCGTCCAGTAACGCATCCTTGATCGAACAAGATATCTACAATCGTTTGCAGATGATCTGTTTGGATAGAATATCTGACAGTGTATTCCTGAATGATGCTCACAAATCGCGATATTGGCCACGTAAGCCATGCTTCTTGTTCGAATGCGAATAGATCACCCTTTGTGCGTGTAGCTTCGATCAATAAAGTCTCAGCTGCTTCATTAAGGGTTTGCAGTTTGGCTAGAGCTTTATTGATCTTTGGTAGAATTGCTTCCAATGTACTTTGCTCTTCTTTCAAGCTTTTCAACGTTTTTGCCAATTCATCCGCCCTTCTGGCTTGAAGTTCTGCTTTTGTGATTCGAAGAGGTTCGGGTAGTGAGTCATAACCTTCTGGTAATTCCTTCTGATCATCGTTCGCTTTGACCAGCTCATCCAGTCGTTGTGCAAGTCTAGCAACGGATGCTACACTTTTTGCACCCTGTATGCTCACAATATCATCCCAATTATCTCTTGCTGTTCGATGATCCCAAAGTAATGTTCGTAATCTTCGATGAAAAGTTGTTTCTTCTTCTCGTGTCAATTGTCCTGATGTTGATGATGAGATGGATGAAGTAGAAAGATCTGCAGCTGCTGTTCCTAGTGAAGAATGAACATATGGCGAGGATGATGAACCTGCTTCATTTCCACGAGCTCTAGATGGTGATGATGGAGTGGAAGGTGATCCGATTCCGACTATTTTCCGCGGAGGTGTTGAAGTTGTATTCTTGTTGTTATTTTTACTTGACACAGGCTTACCCGGTGGAGACAATGGCAGATTACGAGGCGGTAAGATTGGCATGACACGTAATGGTCATTTCTCAATGTCCTTATTTTCGGATCGGCCGAGATTGATGATGGTTCCTGAGATAGAAAGTGTCACTTTTCTTTTTACGAGTAAATGTCCGATTTAAATCGCGTTTTTATTGACACACACACACACACGTTCCCAAAAGTCAAATCGCATGAATTTGCTTGAGAATAAAGCCTCGGCTGTTTTTTATGTCTTGCTCGTCTGAGCCTTATAAAGATGCCGCGGGAATACTCTTGATTGCGTCTTATTGTGTAATGGATTATTTTGACGCGCTACTGAACGGAGAACCGTACGGGATGACGCATTATCTCTTTACCAAGAGAGCAGATAAAGTCCCTGCATTTCATTATCATATTCTATCTCTTTTGCATCCCATTGGTTGTACCTCCTCCTCCCGATTTTATTCATTTTTAGTTTTTATTAGGCGTAACGCGGCGCTACACTGAGTTTTTTGGTACCAAACAAAAGATAGGCCCATAATTTTGTTAGTATTCAAAGACCGTTTAAGTGCCTTAAAATAGATGCACGGACTTTTGTGACTTCATTTTAACCCAAAACGATCAGTTAAGAAGCGGAACAGAACAGAAAAAATACCAAAATGAAATTTACATAAAAGATAGACTGTCAGATCGCCAAGTAATTATCCACCATCGTTACGCCTTGCCATTCGAGCCACGGCTGCATTGTTGTTGTTGTTGTTCAGCTTTCTAACCGAGGAGAAGGAAAGAGGAGAATGTATAAATGACAAACACCCATTAATCACTCTTTCACCTTCTTCTCTTCATCGCCTCCTCGTCATTTTTCATCATGCCAATCTCACCTAGTCCCGGTAAAAAAAATTGGGATTCAGATGCTGTACATGGTCAAACAACAGAAGATCATCCAAAAGGCGAATCTTCTTCAAATTATCAACCTTCAGCAAGAGAAAGATTGGCAAGTTTAGCATCACAATTGGTACCACAAGGAAGAACGGAATATGATTATATCATCGTAGGAGGAGGTACTGCAGGTGCTGTTTTAGCAAACAGGTTAACACAAGATCGTAATGTTAGCGTGGCAGTGATCGAAGGTGGTCCAACGGACGTAGGAAACGATAAAGTGTTGGATTTGAGCAGATGGCTAGAGATGCTAGGATCAGAATTAGACTATGATTATCCAACTACACAACAACCAAGAGGAAATTCATTCATTCGTCATTCCCGTGCTCGTGTTTTAGGAGGATGCTCTTCGCATAATACCTTGATCTCTTTTAGACCGTTCAATGCGGATCTGGATCTATGGGCTTCTTATTATGGCTGTCCTAGTTGGCATTCATCCCAAATTCAACCTTATGGAGATCGCTTGAAGATGAACATTATCCCAATAGCACCACAACAACGTAATCAAGTCGCTCGTGATTGGGTAGAAGCTTCAGCAAGTGTCACAGGTGCACCTAAAATTGCAGATTTCAACGCTCAAATCGCTCATCGTGGAGGATTTACAGAAGGTGTAGGATTCTTCAATATTGCCTATGATCCCTACAACGGTAATCGCAGTAGTGCAAGTGTCGCTTATCTTCATCCAATCATGCCTCACGGACCTCATAGAAGAGACAATCTACATCTCTTCTTGGAAACATGGGCTCGCCATTTAATCTTTGATGAAAAAGATGAGAAACATGTCAGAGGAGTTGCTGTTCGAAGCAAATATGGATTGGAGAAGACCTTGACGGCAAAGAAGGAAGTGATCCTATGCGCTGGAGCAGTCGATACACCCAGATTGATGTTGCTATCTGGTATTGGATCAAGGTCGGATTTGGACAAAATTGGCATTCCAGTCAAGCATGAACTTTCTGGTGTTGGTGAAAACCTACACGATCATCCTGAATCAATCATTATTTGGGAAACACGGGATACGCCACCAGAAACTGTCATGTCAAGTGACGCAGGATTGTTCTTAAAAGTGTTGAAGGACAAAGAACCTTTTGGTATGGAAAATGTACCTGATTTGATGTTCCACATCTATCAAGTGCCCTTCTGTGACAACACAAAGAGACTAGGCTATCCTGTTCCCGATCATGCAATTTGCATGACTCCAAACATTTGTCGATCACAAGCACGCGGGAAGTTGAGTTTAGCAAGTGCTGATCCGAACGAGAAGCCGTTGTTAGACTTCAAGTATTTCGAAGATAAAGATGATTATGACGCACAAATCTTGGTCGAAGGAATGAAATGGGCAAGAAAGATTGCCGAACAATCACCGTTCAAAGAACATTTGGTACGTGAAATCGCACCTGGACCTGACGTTCAATCTGATGAAGCATTATCGGAATATGCAAGAAGGGCTGCTCATACAGTTTATCATCCTGCGGGAACGTGTAAGATGGGAACGTATGAAAAAGATGAAAAGGTGGTTGTGAACGAGAAGGATTTACGCGTGGTTGGTTTGAAGGGAGTTCGAGTTTGTGATGCAAGTGTTTTACCAATCTTACCAACTATCAATCCAATGTTAACAATCTTAATGGTTGCCGAACGTGCTGCTGATATCTTGATCACAGACTCATGGGCACAAGAAGAAGGCAAACGTCGTCAACAATGGCCTTAAGGGCAAATAATAATTTACCTCATTGGATTTTTGCTAGAATGCACATATACATACATATCTCTCCTAATCTGTATATCTCATGGAAATTGTAAAGGACTTCAAAGTGGCAATGTGTTCCAAGGGAGCGGAATGATAGACTATATTCGAATAGTGGTAGGAACACCTTAAGCAAAACTTAACTCAAAAATACTCTCTCTATACATCTCATGGAAAATTAAAATAGCTTCTGGATGTGAAATAAAGCCGCCGGCACTGATTATAGAGACACTAGTATAGGCTTAGATCCTTTTACGTTTGTGCATGAATTACCATTAACGGGAAAGAGGTCATTCAGATCGATTGATAAAGATGTCACAAGAGTGTATCTGTGTATGTAATGATTTAACGCTAGAAAGCGCTCTTGCTTTTTGGTTTTATGAGAGAGCATTCTTACATTCCACAGATCGAATGGTAGGCAAGAGCAATACAGAGTGCGATTATGCGGGCATGTCAGTTATGCACTACACGCGCTAAATTATATTTTTAGGCATGCAAACAACAAAGGGCGAGAGAGAGAGAAGAGAGAAGTGGATATACTTTAATTAAACTCACTAATGTATGCAACTTTCCTTCCATCAACAAGAATTGTACATGAACAGCATTCAAAGTCAGAATTTGTTGCTATGAATAGACGAAGATCTGGAACAATGAGCAGCCGATCTTGGCAATTTAAATCCGATCACCTTCCTCTTCTATTTTCACCAATCATTCCAATCAAGAATATCAATATTGAATCAGATTATGATGAGAAAAATCTTCTCTTTGATGTGTAACTACTAATGAACCTCCTATCAATTTGGTAACTTGAATGAAAGGCGGTTGACCCTGCACTTGGTGATGTATGATATTCTTCCAATAAGAGAGGGGGTGTAAGCCCGTGTTGGTTTTATAGCGGGGTTCTAATGAGTCGCGGCACCTTTTAAGTTAATAAGTTTTGCGAGATGCATGATGCATATAAAACCAAATTGCACTTTACTGCTTTGCATAAACGCCAACACAACTTTTATTACGCGTCTTTTGGAAAACACGGCGCGGCGCAGTTGCTCCTTTGTTGAATAGGGCATAATAGCACACACACAGCGTGGGGGTGAATGTACGGTCAATTAACTCAATTTTCAAGCCATCGAAAATGAGAATAGAACATATGTATTGCACGGCAACTGAAATTGTGCCTGGAGCGGCAACGGACAGACATTTGTTCACAAAAAGCGCGACATACTTTCCTACTCATTTGACATTTGCACCTTTTTTTACCACACACTCTGTTTCATCACATGTACTTTTGAGATCCCATCATCATCACCTCATTTACGCCCGTTCACTCTCTTTTTATTACATCAACCAGGAGGCGCTCTCTCATTTTTACATCCCAAAAAGCGATTGATCTAGATTGATCATCCTTACTTCCATTCGTTCTGCTCTTGCTTCGTCTTTGCGATCGTTTCGATCTCTTTACCACTTTCTTTTTTTTTTATTTATTTATTCAGTACGCTCGCCTTTGCATCTTCGATCTTATTTCAGCATCACCACATTCAACGACAACAGCATATCTTCAACAATCAATTTCTTCCCTCTTTTACGGTTTCTTGGATAGGGTATCATTTTAATCGCATCGATCTTTCCTGCTTTGCTCCTTCACTTTGCTTTCTCGTCTGCAATCGTTCCATCTTCTCACACTGTCTCTGGAGAGTACAGCGGTTTTTATGATCAGCTCTTTCGTCAACATCTTCTCCGGTCATATTCTCTCAACAGTATCGCAACCATTCCTGTGATCGGATTAAACGATTCACCTCAACATGCCACCGTCAAATAATTACAAGAAACGCCAAAGTAGCATCATCTTTGCTAAAGGCACAAAAAGGTACGATGGCACAAACACAACAGAAGGAGCAAATCCAGCTAACCCAAGAGATTCACAAGCTTGGGCAGGTATGATGATGGGCGATATGGATTCGGATGATGATTCAGACTCAGATCGCAGTGAAGCTGATGTACGTAGCCGACAGCCTGCTCCTACCTCACATCCACCTTCCTCATCAGCCAACAACAATGGCGGAGGTGTCCGTGCTAGCTGGACCACAAGAGCTGCAGCCGTTGGAAGTAGACCGCCAGATACAGCTTCTCAAAACCCACCTTCTTTGAAACTTCTCGGTTTGAAAAGTGTTAAAGATGGTGGAATACCCTTGGGAAGTAACGGAAGCTCAAATGCTAATCAACCTCCTTTGAGTCCTGCTATCAGCATGCGACAAGAGATCGAAAGACGTCAATTGGAGGAACAACAGAGACAAGGTCAGCAATTGCGCGTTGAACAACAGCGAGAAGCTGCGATCAGAAACAGAACGCCAAGTCCTGCTTTTGACATGGTTGACGAAGAAAGACGTCAGATGCAACATCCTCAACAAGCACGACCCACACAACAAAACTCCAACAATCTACGCGTAACAAGTAACAGCGAGTATGGCGATGATGCAGGTAGACATGGCAGCATGATCGATTTCGGTGGAACGGACGGATTCGGTAGCATGGACAAGATGGGAAACCAAATGCAAAACGCACCAGGCAACCGTGGCGTTCAACTGCAAGATGAACCCGTTCGGTATAACCAGTCTTCGCCTGAACGTTCTCAACCTCAACCACAACCACGTCAACAAGCAAACCTTGGACCACCACAAGATCCTTTCGCCAATCAACCATCAAGCCCACGCACGGCATTAACTCAGGAATTAGGATTGGGCGCAAGATCTCCCTCACCGTATCACGGTGGAATGCCAAATGCACAATATCAGCAAGGTCAACAGCGTAATCTTGTCTCTCCATTCCAGGATCCCAGACCGAATCAGCAACCACCTCCACGGTCCGACAGTGCATCTTCTGGCATGAACCAAGGCAGAAATCCAATGGGTCCACCGCAACAATATCAACAGCAACGTCCAGGAAACGGTCCTAATGGCGAAATTCCTCTAAGACGTGGACCTCCGCCTCCGCTTTCACTTATGGCAGGCGGTCAAGGTGGTGGTGGTGGTGGTCAAATGAACAATCATATGACCGTTCCTTCTGGACCTTCTCGTGGAGGTCCACCATCACCACATCCTATCCCATTACCTTCACCTGTTCACATACCCGGCCAGCCCAACATGCAACGTAATGGCCCTGGCCCCGGTCCTGATCCTCGTAATGGTGGCCCAGGTGGTTATCAAGGTATGCAACCAGGACCACAACAAGGAGGACCAATGCCTCGTCAAGGCTTTTCAGATGCACAAGGAGGACCAAGAAACAATCCACCTGCACGTCGACCGAGCTTGTTCAGACGAAGCAAAGCATTCTTGACCGGAAGCAATGTAGGACCAAGTCAACAACAACAGCAACAACAACAAAGGAAGAGCTTGTTCCGTAAATCGATGGCATTGTTCACTGGAAGAGGCAATGAAAACGGCCCAATGCAGCAGCAACATCAAAATCTTGATAACGGTGAGGATGACAGCAATGCACCTGCACCACGGGTACAAGGGTTCTATGATGAAAAGCCAAAGGATCGCAAATCGCATTATATGGGCGGAGGTGGAATGGGCGATGAATGGGACTATTCTGGCAATGGAGCCAGGTTCTGGAAACGGTTCAGTATTGCACAGCATAAATTACAAGCAGGTGACTTTGCCGATAGTGAAGAAAAGCGAAACAAAGTTGCAAGAAGGAAAAAGATTACAATGTTCGCAACTTTGGTTGGTGGATTGTGTATCATCCTTGCCGTTGTTGCGGTTATTATTTGGCGTGAAAGTACGCCTACGAGCGATGTACCGGGAGCTATTGATCGTTCAAACGGTGGAGCAGATTTAAGTCAAACCGGATCAACTCAAAATGCGGCAGCTGCACGAACCCAAACAGCCGCTGCTGCAGCAGCTTCATCAGCAAGTACATCGACTGCCAGAAGTGCGGCAACGCAAGATGATGGCAGTAGTGGTTCTGGTTCCAATAGTGATGCAACGACCACGACTCCGAAGACAAAGAAGCATAAGGAAAGAAAGCACAGAAAGGACTCAGATGATAATACTCGTCGTTCGATTGAAGATGACGGCAACAGTATCGAGGATATTGGTGCACTTGTCAAACGACAAGTTGAAGAAAGTATCCCATCAACAGCAAGAATGCTTTCGGTTGAGAAGATTGCATCTTCTCATGCTACAAATTCGATGATTCGCCGTAGACGGCAACTTCTTGGAGCAAAACAAGAATAATCACTCATCCTGCTGAGCGTGGCTCCCTGCATTCCATCTTTCCATTATAGACAGGACCTTTTTGGTCCCCATCCCTTCCACCAACCGGTGCACAATACCTTTCACATTATCATTCGACTTTATTCTCAGCACACCATTCTACACTTTTGTCATTCATTTCATACCTAATTTTGCATATATTTAATCGTATATCGATTTTTCACTGAACAGCCGGGGGAGCATCATCTGCACTGTCATTCTAAGGGATAAATTGATTAGATCTTTGGTGATTTATACAGTAAAATACAAGAACGCTTTGAAGGGTTTGCTTCTCAAGCGTCTTCAATGCGAGTACGCTTGGATGGCTCGACATTTTCAGATGTCGAAGATGAACCTTCCGTTGCTTTCCTTTTTCCGTTTGGATCACTGGTACTGTCTTCGGTTGTAGGCGCCTTCTTCTTCTTCCTCACCATCGAGCTTAGATCATTGACCGTCACGTTGGGATCTGCCGCTTTTGATCCGAATGCACTTGAGCCTGCCAATCCGTTAGTACTAGCACCCAAGAAAGCTTCATTGATTGCTTGTTGCAATGCTGCTTTTGCATCAGCACCGGCAAGAGGGTTTTCGCCGGTCGAACTTCCACCAACAGCTCCAGTACCGGGAGGAGCGTTTGCAAATTCTTCCAATTTGAGTTCAAGTTCTTGAATCATTTCTTTTATATCTTTAATCTCTTTTTCGAGTAATTGCCAATCCATTGTTGTTATATCATCTTTCTCTAACGCTTTGACCGCATGTCCATTTTGATCAGCATTTCCTTTGCCTTTTCCTTTACCGCTCACTTGTGAGAGCGCACTTTCTTCCTCTGTTTTAGGAGCCAAAACACCCTCTGCCTCCAGTTTAGCAGCGGTTTCATCATGCTCTTTCTCCGCTTGCTCGCGGTTTGCCTCCTCCTCCTTTGCCGCTGTGTCGCCTTGACGTTGTCGTTGTAGAGTCTCTTGTCTTTTGTGCAGAGAATCAAGTCGCTTACGCAAAGCAATGCAAGCGGCTGTCACGTAACGTTCAGCAGAAGCTTGCATTGCTGGATCTGGATGGAATTCCAATGCCAGGCCTAAACGTAAATTTGCATCGGCCAATCGACGTGAATGAGGCAATAACAAAGGCTGCAATAACTCCAGTGCTGATTGATAGTCTGACGAGGCTTGTTGGAAGTTCTCTGTCTCCAACCCAACATCTGCAAGATCATTCAGTACTTCAGCCAACTGACTCTTGACTTTCAAGGTATCCCACTCTTCTCCTTCCAAAGTCGTCAAAGTGCCGTTGGATTCTGTCAACTTTTCATACTGAATGCGGGCCAATTCCAGAACAGCGAATGCATCACCCAAATCGTCGCCATCTTCCTCTCCCTCACCACCTTCGCCGCCCTCTTCTTCCTCATCAGATTCTTCAGCGTCTCCACCAAACGTGAAGCGAGAATCTTGAGGCTTGCTTGCTGAAGAGCTTGATCCTTCTACCTTCGATGATGATCCTGATGGTGCCTTTCCATTCTCAGCACGAGCAGCAGCAACGGTAGAAGCACCACCCGCACGCGATGGCAGAGGAGCGTCCTTTACACCTGCGCCACCTCCTCCAAGTGCTCCAGATGTTGCGATTGCATGCTCTAACAAAGCACGACCATATCGATGATGCAGTGGTGCAAGAATTGGATCATCTTCAGAGTATTTCTCGCGTCTGCCAAAAGGAAGAGAGGTAGGATCAGTTTCTGCAAATCATACAATGACAGCTTTTGTGCATACTCACATTGACTCAAGAGCTTGACCGAAACCATCAGCAGCCTCAGCCCATTCCTTTAATGCATAATGGCGTTTTGCAGTCTCGAGCAATTCTTCAAAAGGTACATCTTCCTCCTCTTCTACGTCTTGTAAGGCTGCTACTTTCTCTTCTTCTACTGCAGGAGCAACAGCAGCTTGTTCGTTTTCGATATTCGACATTGTGCTGTTCTATAGATGGTGGTCATCAAGGTATCGCTCTCTTCCTGGGACCAGGTTTGAGAAAGTGTTGTTCTGATTGATCTAATTAAGCGCGTACAAAAGTGCACGCGTTTCGCGTCTCTCTAGAAGTTGGACATAGGCAAGAAGAAGTCGATCGATCAGATACTGACAGGCTCAGAGTATGTAATCAACGCGGTTGAGGGTTCAAGTGAGTTTAAGAAGAAAATGAAAAAAAAAAGAAGTCGGATCTCTTCGTTTAAATGTTACTAAGCTATAGAGAGGACTGGCTTATTGCGCAATCTTCCTCCACAGCCTGGGTCATGTTTATGAAAGGGAATCATCATCTTTAACCTCATCAGCATCTAACAATCGCAAAAAACAGCCAAGCCATATGCATTGTGAAGATCGTATACGGTGAACAACAAATATGTTTGCCGGTTTAGGGACAGGCAAGTACGCCTCACAACAGGCAGCTAATGTTTTGCGGTTCCGATTAACGGGTCAATTGTACGATCGTCAAATCTCGGTAAGATGGCTTTCGAGTGGATCTATTCCAAAAACAAGATCTGCCTTACCCGCAAGTAACCCAGCAAAGGTGGGTCTATCACTCTCAAATGCAAAACAGACATCCTTCTTCACATCGGTCAGACCACGACCTATGCTATACTTCGATGGAACTCGTTTAGCCGATCTACGATGGGCACATAATGAACACAGTCCCAGCGAATCATCCAACAAAGCAGCAACAGCAATACCATCAAAGCAGACTGACGTCGCAGCAGGGAGCTCACAAGGATCATCGGGCATCTTGTCAAGATTAAGAGATACTCTCTTGAAAAAAGCATCTGAAAGCGCAAACAAAGGTTCAAAAGGAGCAGAGACGGTTACGCCTACATATCCAGATGTTAGGAGACTAATATCAATGGCATCCTCACAGCGAAAGACAATCATTATTGCTCTTGCCTTGTTGATCGTTAGTGCTTCAGTCTCTCTCGCCGTTCCGTTTGCGATCGGAAAGGTGATTGATTTCTTTACTGCTGCATTCGAGAATGGCACAGGTGACAAACCTACCCTGTTCGGCTTTGGATTCGGCTCGGTAGCTCTTCTATTGACTGTGATTTTTGCCATTGGAGCAGTAGCTAAAGCTGGAAGCAACATCCTTTTGGAATTAGCTGGTGTCCGTCTCATTCAACGCATGCGCACTATGGCATACGGAAATGCTTTGAAACAAGAAGTAGAATGGGCCGATCGTGGTGCTGGAGATGTAGTCAGTCGATTGAGCGTGGATACAAATATCGTCGGAGAAGCAATCACTTCCGATATTGGTGACGGATTACGTGCCGGTGTGACTGTGCTTTTCGCAGGATCTGCCATGTTTTTGATCTCTACTCAATTGACTTTACTCATGATGGCGGTCGTGCCACCTGCAGCTATTGGAGCAGTATTCTACGGTCGTTATCTACGTGATTTGACCAACCGAACGCAGGAGGCTGTTGGTGAAATGACTCGTACAGCAGAAGAACGTTTGAACGGACCAGCATTCCGCACCATTACTGCATTCAATACACAAGCGGAAGAATCAAAACGCTTTGAAGGCAAAGTGCAAAGCATTGTCGAACTACAGACTAAAGAGGCATATGCCAGTGGCTTCTTTTATGCTGGTACAGGTTTCGTTGGAAACTGTGCGATCTTGACATTGCTGACGTATGGAGGATCATTGGTTGCCAAAGGTGTTATCACCGTTGGTGATTTGACTTCTTTGTTGATGTACACCGCCTATTTGGGTGGTGGTTTGGCAAATCTCACCTCCTTCTTTGCATCCATCATGCGTGGTATTGGTGCAGGCGCTCGTGTATTTGGCTTGATGGATCGCGAACCTGAAGCGATCAAATTGGGTCAAGGTATCGATCCTCCTTCGCAACGTGATGTGATCAAATTTGAAAATGTCAAATTTGCCTATCCATCCCGACCTCAACAAAAGATCTTGAATGGCGTCGACCTCAGTCTCCGACCTGGGGAGAGTGTCGCTTTGGTTGGTGGAAGTGGTGTGGGGAAGAGTAGTGTACATGCGCTCATGTTACGCTTTTATGATGCTGACAAGGGTACAGTCTCGTTTGGAGATGTGGACATCAAATCTCTCAAACCAGAAAAGCTTCGTGAGATGATTGGTGTGGTGACGCAAGATCCTACTCTATTTGATGGAACATTGGCAGAAAACATTGCTTATGGCTACAAGGGAGCCACAAGAGAAGAGATTATCCAAGCAGCAAAGCAAGCAAACTGCTGGGAATTCATTTCTGAAATGAAGAATGGCTTGGACACCCGTATTGGTGCAAGACAATTGAGTGGTGGTCAACGTCAAAGAGTTGCCATCGCACGAGCACTCGTTCGCAAGCCTAGTATTTTGGTGAGTATATCTGATAGAAGAAGCTTTATGAGGGAGTTGTTGACATATTATATTTTTCTCTTTAGTTGCTGGATGAGGCTACGAGTGCACTTGATTCTGCTTCAGAATTCCTTGTCAATCAAGCTATCGAATCGATCATCCGCCAAGGAAAGATTACGGTTTGGATCGTTGCACATCGTTTGAGCACGATCAAATCAGCAGGAAAGATTCTTGTACTTGACAAAGGAAAGATTGTCGAATCTGGACCGTTTGAGGAGCTCGATCAACCCGGTAGTCGCTTCAGATCTTTGATGGCAGCTCAATTGGAAGCCAGTGCTCCGGGTGCGGTAGAAGAAGATGAACCATCAGAATCTGATGAGCCAGTGATCGATTCAGAACCACAATTGGAAGAAGGCTCTCACGAACAAGCAAATTCCAATGCTCGTCCTAATTCTGTACGTTCTTGATCCGTCTGAATCATCTGTTCGATGCTGACGAGAAAGTACTGTATTGCAACTCTTCCGACAGATTCCCAGCGGGATAAGGTCGTACAGCACTAAAGCCGGCTCCGTCAAGGACGATGATTCAGTGACTGAGCAATTCTATTCGGATGAAGAGTTATGCATTCCAGCTGAACCAACTTGGTCACTGAATGAACTATTCAAGGAAGAAGCGTCTTCAATTGAGCTAGATGACAAGCTTTTTGAGAAGCTGTGCAGATTAGCTGCGCTAGAAGTTCCATCATCAGCAGATGAGAAGGCTATGATGAAGAACGAGTTACGTGATTTGATCGGACTTGTGGATGCGGTGCGTGCTGTTGATACTTCTTCTGTTTCTGCAGAGGATGCAATGCACAGCACTATATGGCCACGGGACGAATCGCTAAGATTGCAAGGTGACTCTTCTCCCAAACAGGCAAAAGATCAAATGGTTGAGAACGATGGAACACAAACCATCGATCGCGATACTCTACTCAAGTTGGCCAAAAGAAGGTTGCGGAATGCTTATGTGGTCAATCGTGATTAATTTGGTTTTGTTCGGATGCATGTCTTTGTACTCTATTATTTCCCCCACTCTCTATCTATTTCTTCACCATCAACACAGATTGGACTGATGTATGCATACCAAGAACACCACTCTTTCAAGAACAGAAATGCATACAAATTTTTCATTAATACTGTCATTACTCAAAGTCCTTTGTTGAATTGCAATTGCTGAACGTGTTTGCCTTGCTCGTCTTTGATTTGATGGAATTGTGGCTCCAATTTGGAAGCGTCTATAGAGGAAGTTTGGGGGAAATATGCGATTGCTGGTGGTAAACATAAGAACAAGCTTGTTCCGATCAATGTCAAATCTGCTAATCGTGTAAGAGGGCCAGCCTTCGGTAAGACTCGTTTGCGTTGTAGGTATGCAATAGCTAGAGGAGGGAAGATCATAGTTGGAACTATAATTGAGGAAAGATGTAAGCAAAACAATTCTTCAGAACTGAAACGGTCAAGGCCACACTCACTGTTTGTCATGACACGACTTGCTGCAGTCATGGCAACTGCTCTTCTTCCAGCTGCTGGACTATCGCCCACTTTGATCTTTTCTCCCGTCTCTTCATTCGTGCGGAAGACAGTGACACCATCACGAATCTCTTTCCATCTCATCAAACTGACGTTGACACAACCAGCTGAAGCAACACTTGCAAAAGGCACTAATCTTGCCAATAATGTACCGGGAGTTACAATCCTCGTCAAACCAACTGCCAAAGCTACAGCCGCACCCGTTGCACCTGCGTAAGCCGTTCCAACTTCTTTCATATCCATCGGAACGGATTTATTTGCGTTACTATAGTTAACCGCAACGTTTAAACTTTGATTTACCCATTGCCAAAATATTGTTGCCGGTAGTCCGTTTGAAGGGCTTAACATTCCACCCACTACAAGCAAATTCGTTGGTACAAATGCACTCATTCTGAACGGTAGAGGGATCACTTCACCTGTATCAGGATGAACGCTTGATTCGACCAATTGTTTGGATTTCCAATATCGTTCCGCTTCTTTACGGGTGACCAAAAAGCTCTTTTGTTTATCGTGTGAAAAGTTCGCTTCAACTTCTTTAACATGCTTTTGTGCTTCTTGCAATGATGTTGTACTGTAGAATAATGTCAGAGGTGATGTTGTACTGTAAAAATGCGATAATCGTCCTGAATATGTACTTAGGTCAAATCTTGGTTTAGCAATATCCACTTTTTCGTTTGATTCATTTACCGATTTTAGCGGGAACGCTCTGAGCGATTTCTCGTCCATAACTCCAACATTCTTGAGCCCATAGTCATGCTTTGCCTCGATTGATGCACCCATGCTGACTTTAAGGACTGATTCTATGATGATGGCAATGAATGTATGCATTCATCTTCTCGATAAAGTTGCAGCGCGTATGTATGCAGCTTATCTGACTTTTTTATTTTTTCTTCTTCTTCTTCCTACTCAGCCTGCGTTTTAAATCGGAGTGGGGTTCTAAAAGTGGAGCAAACGTGTGATGATGATTACGTCTTCATAGATTGATATTATACATTGAATGTTGATGTTTGTGATAAATTGTGTGATGTACAGTGTGTATATATGTCTAAGCTGCCGGACCACTTGCCCATAATAATGTATACATTCGACACATTGACTTGTATGCTAATGGATCACCAGTTCGAAATACCGTAGCTGGAAAGCGAAAGAGGGAAAGTGAGTATATGCTCTACCAACATAAGAACTATATCTTGCATACGTACCTGCATCAACATTGAGAGGACTGTCTGGCTCAGGTGCATCTAACAATGCGATAACAGCGGTCAAAGCGGAGGATAAATTCCAAGCGGGTGACCATTGCGAGCTGAGAACGTCTAAGCAAATTTCTCCAGTCTGTGTAAAACAAAGAAACTCTGTCAGCTGTCTTTCATTGCATCCGATTGCCGAATATCACACTCTCTCACCTTCCAAGAAACGTTTGGGTGCCAAAGTCGTGTGACAAATCGCATCGAGGGTGGCTTAGTCGGATATGATGCTGGTACTGTGATGACGAGGTCGAATATTCCGCCTGCAGCAAGAATTAGAGAGAAGTGTATCAGTATCTGATTGCCAGTCCCTGATGAGAATTGAGCTACACAACTCACCTTCATATGATCCTCCTGGTGGTCCACGTATGGTTGCTTGCCATTCTAGCAACTGCGTTCCTTCTGTATCTTTTGGTGCCAAGTACAGTATATTTTCATCTCTACTAGCAGCGGCAGAAGTTGCCTTTGCATTACCCGACCCTGAACCGGAAGAGGCAGATTGTTGATCTTGAATCTTTTGTTCTGTTTGATACTCCTTCATCAATCTTCTCAAAGTAGTAGCCGAAGCTTCTCCTTCAGGTTTCGTGGAGCGAGTTGCCATCCTTGGCAATGTGGTTGAGTGTGTTGTCGTGGGATATTCTCTTGAGATCCACTCGATATGATGGAAGGTAAAAGTAAGAAAGGAGTTCCAATCTATCTCGCTTTGGACCCCATTCCGGCTTCCAAATAATGAACAGCCGAACGCATTTACGCAATTTATACTTCAGGCACGCGTGAATGAGACCTTTCTTGCTCAAGCAGGCGCGGGAGGTAAGAAGTTGCGTCTCAACTAGCATTGGCGTGGATTTGCGCAAGTGCAAGTGGAGAAGTCATCCTGGTACACCATTCTCGGATGCGCTGTTATCCGACAATCCCATGTCTCAATGATGAGACACAATACTAAAAGTAGTTGATAACGACAGACATCTCAGCTTTGCTTTTATCTATAACATTGATTGGGAAGAAAAACTTCCGCTTGAAAGAAATACAATTGTGTGAGTTGGCACGCGCAAAAAGAGAAGAGGGAAGAAGAGAGAAAGAGAAAAAGTCACAGACAAATGCAAGAGGAAAAGGTATCTGCTTGTACATCATCTGTTATTTTTGATTGGGTTTTTTGTTTGAAATGGTAATTGATACTGAGCTCAGCACTGTCTGGCACCCATATTGTCTATACGTGCGTACCAAATTGATGGAAGGGAAAGAACGAAGCACCAGACAGAGCTAAGCACAGCATCACATCACAAGACGTTGAATGATGAGAGCCTATATTATCCTACTCGTAATATTATACACTTCGCCTTCCATCCTTTTGCGACTGTCTGTTTTGTTTTAATCTGATGCATCCGAATAGATTTGTCTTAGAGCCTTTTCTGCTTCTTTGTACTCCACTTTGACATCTCTCAACGTTGTCCTAATCTTTTCCAATGCTTCTGCTTCGCTTAATTCAGTGATTCCATCCTTGTCTGCCTTTTTTCCATAATGTTGCATATATTCACAGCTATCCCTCACTTTGATCACACCAACGGCTGCTGAACTTCCTTTTAAAAAGTGACCTAAAGTGGAAAGTTCAGGTAAATCTTTCTTTTCCAAAGCATCATCCATTTTTTGAAAAGTAGTTTCTGCTTGATCGAAATAATTCCAAACGATTTCTTTGCTAAATTCGCGATCTTCTTCATCGTCCATTTCTAATAATTGACCAAAGATTTCCATATCGATGATCGAAGGTGAAATTGTGTTTGGATCAGTTGATCCTTTGGCAGATCCAATGCTTGCGGAATCTTCCACTTCATCCTTTTTCACTTCTGTTTTTGCTGTTACGGATGGAGCAGCCACATCATCGACAGATCCTTTTAGTGATTCTGCCATGATGTGTTATGGGGTAGTTTAGGCGACAATTTGGTTGGTATAATGTAGATGAAAGCGGTTGATTTCCAGTTGACAACAGCCGGCCCGTTTGGATCAGCACCTTTGATCAGTTGATGTTGATAGAGAGATGATGGTATGAAAAGAAGGTAATGGTTGTGAAGTGATTACACGTGTTTTTTCGTCACTGGTCCTCCTTCTTCTTCTTCATTACTCGTCATCTATTTACGCACAGAATGAAAAAGCGTGTGCGTGTGGTGCGGTGCGTGCGTGTATGCGTGCAACCACCAGCGCGTTTCTTCTTTTCCTGTGCTATTCGAGTGACGTACTTTCTTACGGATTTCCTACGTATTTTGCGCCGGTAGATGATCAAGTATCGTCATCTTTTCCTATTTGTGATAGGCATTGTAGCACACAAATGCACCCCATTGCTTTTTTGTTCGGCTAGATTAGACCATTCTTTTTACCAGCCACAGAAGAAGTGTAGGATCATTGTATTGAAATCAATTAGCGTCATGCTAAAAAGGGGATCTTTTCAGTTTAGGATCAAGGTGTTAGAACAGTGTTGAAGATTATTTTAACGCGTGGAGGTCTTTTTGAAGGTTAACATCTTCTGTCTTTTTATTTCTAGGTGGCGTTTATTGTATGACGTATTGATCTGAAAATAGAGTATTTTTAAAGCTTTTATTGAGCTCTATTATAATGCTAAAATATCCTGTTACCCTACAATGAATACTTTAACCTCTTTTCGATTCCCGGTTATCCTGGCCATATGCGAGGAACAATAGCGTACACACAAGATAATGAGGACAACTCTTGAAGACAACAACATAGACTAGTCGTTGCATGAATCAAATCATTGTTCGCTTAAAAGGCCGAGTTTATATATGCGACTATGTTGATCGCATCGCATTGCAATCAATGATTTATAGTCTCATTCTTACTAGGCCCCACTCATATGTTTGTATTGATCCCATTGTGATCATTGATTGTTCTGGCCTCATATCACTAATTTCCCGATCTATTGCGTGCCGGCGCCCTCGATAATCATTCTTGCCGCGTACGTATATTATAGAGATAATGTATATTCATAAATGTCATGTCATCATCATGATGTCGGCCGTCTAATAATCAGTCCTCCCTTCACAAGCTGAGGAGCACCTCACTTCTCTGTGATTGTATCGCTATGTTTTATCTTCCATCATAAATTGATGCTTTCTTAGTCAGAAAGCTGGCATGACTGTAATCCAATCATGCTCAGTAGTGCTTCCCAGTATGTCGAAAAACATTGTCCGGATATACCGGCATACCGTAAGAGACATAGCAATAAACACAGCCCGTCCGAGATCAGATCAGGAAAAAAGAAAATCCGGAGAAAATGACGGAGCCGCTTTAAAAGCTCATCTTTGCACCTGCATGGAAAGCTTCTAAGAATACATGACAAACATCCATACTCATTTCAATTCACACTCCGACCCGGCGTTTGACGAGTGAGATCGAGCGGAGAGGAACCAATAATATAGACAGTTGCTCATTTTTTTGATGGAAAAACCTTGCTTGCCCTATCGTACGAGAATTTTGCACGTTTCTAACGAATGTCATGTCAATCGAATTCTTCGCTTTTCCCTCTTTCCTTCATCCAGGCCACCACATTCGGCAATGCTTCTACAAAACATGGTCAACCTCCGATACGATCATTACTGCTGGATTATTCTCTCTTTGATCCTCAGCCTACTTCTAGCTTCTGTTGAAGGAAACCAACATCCTCAGACTGGGCACGCTGTCGTTGAAAGCAAAAAGAAGTGTGCCTCGTTGGCGGAAACGTTTAAATTGCCAAACACGAAAATCCTTTTGGCTGAATATGTTGAAAACGGAACGACGATTAATTTGCAAAATTTAGATCCAACTTGCGGCTCACCAAATATCACGGTAAATTCAAACATTTGTAGAGTTAGTTGGAATACAACAACGGGTTACAAGTCCGGATTCAGGTTTGAAGCTTTTTTGCCTATCGATTGGTCAGGTCGTTTTGTCACTTTGGGCAACGGTGGTACTGGCGGATGCATCTTATACGGTGACTTGGATTCTACAGCCAAACAAGGATTTGCTGCCGTTGATACCAATAATGGTCATGATGGCGATCATGCATTACCTTTCTTCCATAACAAAGGCGTACAACAAGATTATGCTTATCGCGCCGTGAGAATGAGCGCAAGACAGGGGAAGCATCTAGTGAGGGCATTTTATGGCAAAAGTGCACGGAAGAGTTACTATGTCGGTTGCTCAACCGGTGGCAGACAAGGCTTCAAAGAAGCACAAGACGCACAAATCCATTTCGATGGAATATTGGCCGGTTCGCCTGCAATTGATTTTAACCATCTGAATTCTTGGGGTGCAAGCTTTCTTCCAATTACGGGGAGCAATACTTCTGCTGGCTTTATCACATTTGATCAATGGACGGGAATAATTCATGATGACGTTCTACGCAAATGTGATGGTTTGGATGGCTACAAAGATGGCATAATCGAAGATACGCTCAAATGCCATTACACAGCAGATGATTTGTTATGCCCTTCCGGTAGTGCAAATCGGACTGACTGTTTAACCGAAGATCAGGTAAAGATTGTCAACCGAGTTTATTCCCCGATGAGATCAATAAAAGGCGAATACCTTTACCCACGCATTCAGCCTGGAGCAGAAGGCTTTGAAGCTGTGATTGTTTATTTGACCGGAACAATATTCGGTTATTCGGATTGGCAAAAGTACGTAGTCTTTAAAGATCCAAACTGGAACGCAAGCGCATTTGATCCCGCAAACTATACGAAAGCTCAAGAATTGAACCCTTTTGGCATACAAACATTTAATGGAGATCTTTCCGCATTTAGAAAAAATGGTGGAAAAATCTTACATTACCATGGAAACGAAGATGGCATTATTTCAGCCGAAATTTCTCCGCGGTATTATGATCTAGTCAGCAAGACCATGAAGCTTGCGCCGCACTCTATCGATCAATTCTACAGATTCTTCCGAGTGAGCGGAATGGGACATTGCGGTAACGGTCAAGGTGCCCATTTTATCGGCAATTCACAGGCGAATCTCGGACCGACCAATGAACCAGAAGATAGCGTTCTATGGGCTTTAGTAAGATGGGTCGAGAAGGGTATCGCTCCTGATTACATCACCGGAACTGCATATGTCAACGGTTCACGGGATACTGGAATTGTGGACTATCAACGTAAACATTGTCGATATCCATTCTCAAACGTATATCAAGGTAAGGGTGACCCTAAGGACCCTAATTCGTGGAAGTGTATTTATCCCCAAGGCTACGGTTACGGTCATGGTCATCCGACAAAGAGCTTGTTGTCATGAATTTCGTTTTTACCCACGTTTTCTCTATTTGTTTCCGTTCTGCTTCGGTACTGCATGCAGTAGCATCGTATTTCTTCTCACACTCTTTTGTGATCGAAACGTCTTATTCTCACGCTTATAATGTCATTGTTCACGGTTGTAATGTCGATACTCACGCTCTTAATGTCAATACTCACGATTTTTAATGTTCATTGCACAACTTAATTACGGCTGTCGGCATGATATTGAATCATAAATTGACACGTAATAAGCATAAGAGTGAGTAGCACCAAGAATTTGAACCGATTGAAGCTTTTCGAAAAGTAAAATTGTGTCTGATGCGTACACAGACCTCAAGTTTGAGGGACAAACCATGTGTAGATCAGCACGATTCATATACTGGGTATGTACTTGGAATATAAGCTTGCTTACAACGATGGAACTTTGTCATCCTTGACGTCACTTTGTGATCTTCCACGTTCAGGGAGATGATGACCAATTGGAAGCTCTTCATCATCATCTTCGAGTCCGGCCGGTTTGAAGTGAGCCAGATCAGCTCCTCTCTTTTCAGGTCCGAACAAAGAAAAGACGATTTGAAGGAAATATACTATACCCATAATCGTTCCAATTACTGGCTCATAAGCTTCCACTCGTTTACCATTTTGCATAATGAACTTATCTTCTGCAATATCGTTAACGATCATTGCTGCAGGTGCAGAAACCGAAGCTCCAAATTGATAGGCAATTCCAGGCATCACTGCACGGAAAGCGATTGGAGAAAGTTCGTTGAGATGGGCTGCAAGGATTGCACCATATGTTTCGAAGAAGAATTGATAAAAGAATCCGCCCGCTGCAAGACCTGAAAAAGACGTTGGCACAATAGATGCTGGCAATGTGATAGCAGCCATCAAGGCAGAAAAAGCTGCCATTCTTCTACGTCCTATATATTCTCCGAGCCAGCCCATTGTCCATACTCCAATAATACAGCCTGCCTTTGTAATCATTGTGATCTTGCTAGCCCTGCTGTTGGTCATTCCTTTGCTGACGATGAGAAAGGTGACGTAGTTGTCAGCGTATGTATGTACTGCCCATTGAAAGAGCGTTACAAAAATACAGCAATAGACAAATGTTTGCCAATGCAGTAATAGCATTTTTCTGAATTCTTTGCAAAACTTGATCAGCCTCTGTTTATATGTTTGACCGTGAAGGGAATTTTTCTTACGTTTCGCCGCATCTCTGAATTGTTTTGATTCTGGGATCAGAATTCGAACGACAGCTGCTCCAAAAGTCAGACCTATGGTAATCCAGAACATCTTTTTCCAGCTGTCTGGCTTTGGACCTACACCCAAATTGATTGCAGCAGATGTCAAGCCCGATGCTGCGGCTCCTGATTGAAAGATTCCTCCAAGCAAACCTCGACTCTCTGGTGGAGCGTTTTCCATCAAATTTGAAGCAGCAAGACCATACACACCACCCATCGCCAGACCAAAAATCAGCCTTACATTTAAAAATTGATCAATCGTATGACAGTAAATTGACGCAATTTGAAGTCCTGCAAGCATGAAAAGATTCAGAACTAAAGGCCATTTCCTTCCAAAGTAGTCTCCGAGTAGGCCAAAAAGTCCTGCACCAACAATTCTCATCGACATGGAGTAGGTGAGGGAGTCGCTAACGTGCGTCTTTGAGGTCCCAAAGTAAGTGGAAATCTTTTTGATGGCTGCCGCAAGAACGTAAAACTGCGAAAAGGAAGGCGAAATCAGCAAAGTGCTCCTCTGTCAATACTTTTAGGTACTCACATCCAAAAGATCCACATAAACTGCCAGGAAACCAATAAAAAGTGCTAGCCAATGATGAGGTTCGAGGCGAGAAAGCAACTTGATCGGATTGGCGGGCTTGCGGACGCCGTAACGAATGCGACCTTCTTCTTTACCCTCTTCCACCGGGTCATCCTTGAATTTGAAGAGTAAAAAGAAGTTCTCGCATGCTCTGCGAAGTAAGTTCTGAAAGAAAGCAACGATGATGACAATCATTTTAGTAAATGATGGGGGGAGAGGGTGATAATGACATGACAAAGAGAAACGTAATTTATACAATCTGTACATCATACTGTTGCAAAACGGCATCGTACTATGCGCGAGTAAATATTGACAGCTCAGCAGCCGATCGCATTCAGCCCCTCTTTCCATTCTTTTTGTAACGGCTTTCAATTCGGCTCCGCATTCTTTTCTAATTTAATTTCACCTGGATATCACGGAATCTTTTCCCCGAATATTTTCTTCTGCTACTTTTGGTAGCGGAAACGGCAGAACATCTTTCACAGGGCGGCTCGTTTAATGAGACAGCTAGAACCGATGTGTCTTCAAATGTCTGCTAGATGACCTCCATTCGTACGAGACAGGAAAGGGCAGATGTCAAGACGTATTATCATATGTGTTGAGTCTTGTCGTGATAACCTCACAAGCCGAGCGTTTCTGACCTGGATCCTTATCGTTTGATTCTATAGGAACTTTAAAACAACCAGACGATGATTTGCCAGTACCTGATGATCAGTCTCATGATAAATGATGGACGAGTAAATGCAATCAATAGAACGCGGCCCTGACATACGCGTGTGTACAGCGACAAGGCGGCGCTAATGAAGGAAATGCTTTTTTTTTGTAGTTGGTTAACTGCATACAATGATCATTGGACATTGAGTCCTTATGGCATCAACATCTTCTCTGGGTGCAAGTACATCAACCAATTCATCAGAGGCACAGCAATTCTATCATGCATTCAATAAAACGTTAGAAGGTATGTTATATGGAGACTTGAACATGGTAGGGAAGTATGCTGACAATATGATAAACAGATCTAAGGTCAAAGCTGGAATCGGCAAATAGCACAGAACAATTGCAAGAGATCAATGCAGAAATCATTGAAGCAAGAACGACTTTGACCAATAATACTCACATTCTACCAACATACGATCAAAGGACGCATGAACAGAACCTCAAACGAGTCAATGAATATCTGCAGTTAAGAAGGCTGGAATTGAAGCCAAAAGCACGCTTTGCATTCAAGAGAACAACAAAGGCCTCACAACCGAGCAGCTCAACGGATAAAGCTCAAGATGGGACTGCAAACCCATCTAGTGAACCCTCCTCAGACTCATTAGCAGCAATTCCCGCAAGTAAAGCTCAACATACAAGCTTTGATCGTATCTCAGATAGGAAGGATGAATATATCATACCAAACGTCAAACCACAATCTGACTTACACCTTCGTGACTTGCAAGGATGCATAGTAGATCTTCGAGCCAAAGAATACAATACCGCCAATGACATACAAGCGCTCCAGCTTCGCGATCTGCAACAGTGTGTCATCTTTGCAGGTCGTATAGATGGAAGTGTGATGATACACGATTGTCAAAATTGTTTATTCATACTCGAATGTCGACAATTTCGTATGCATTCATCACAAAACATCTTTGTTCTCATTTCAACCAAGAGTATTGCAACGATTGAACATTGTACAAAGATCGCATTCGGTCCAGCAAGTGCTTCGTCGCTTGATATAAAGGAAGAGGTGGAAGATGCAACATATGATATACCCAAAGTACAAGATTTCGATCATATCAGCACGCTCACACCATCACCCAATTGGCGTTCAGTAGGAAAAGAGGACCTTCTCACTATCGCCCAGAAGCTCGAAGGCGAGCACAGAAACGCCAAAGAGATTCTCTCCGCATTATTCTTCTAGATTAGTCTCTTTATCAATTGTATACCATGTTCAATTTTATTGTCACCATCATCAGCTTTACCCCGCACTCTCCTTCTCTTGTTAGTGATATCCACGTGATCTACGGATTTTAGAATTTTTTGGAATTTTTGTCGCGCTGCATAATTAGCAAGCTTAAGCAAATGAACAGTACAACTTACTTTACTGTCGAAGGATACCTAACTTTCCTCTTCTGCCATCACTACCGTTGCCACTAACAATTCGGTGGCATTCATTCACTGTACTCAGTCAATACACCTTCTCGTGGCTGTAAAGAAGGCCAAGCTGGGGCAACATTCTCAAAAGTGAAGCACTTGTAGCGTGAAGAGAAGTAGATGACAACGATGGAGTACATCACACCAAGTGCTCCACAACAGGGGCTGGTATTATGTGCTGATTGCGGTACGCCAATCACTCCAAACAATGCAAATTTATGTCTATCATGCTTACGTGCAAGCGTTGATATCACAGAAGGTATTCCAAAACAATCAACAGTCAACTTTTGTCGTAACTGCGAACGATATCTCAATCCTCCAATCAGTTGGGTACCTGCACAACTTGAATCGCGAGAGTTGCTGGCAATCTGTCTAAAAAAGCTTAAGGGTCTCAATAAAGTTCGTTTGATCGATGCTTCCTTCATTTGGACAGAACCGCATAGCAAACGTCTAAAGGTTAAATTAACGGTACAAAAAGAAGTACTCACTTCAACAATCTTGCAACAGATTTTTGAAGTCGAATATGTCGTTCAGTATGGTCAATGTCCTGACTGTACACGATTGGCAGCACAGAACACATGGAGAGCACAGATTCAAGTTCGTCAAAAAGTACCGCACAAACGTACTTTCTTGCTGATTGAACAAATGATCCTCAAACATAATGCACACAAAGAGACTATCAATATCGAAGAGAAGAAGGACGGATTGAACTTTTATTACGCTCAAAGATCTCATGCGATAAAGATGGTGGAATTCTTGGCAAACATTGCGCCCATCCGTTCCCAGTCCAGTGCGACAATCATTTCAGCAGACGTTCACTCTTCAACACAGAACAACAAGTTCACATATAGTGTAGAGATTGTACCAATCTGCAAAGACGAGATGGTCGTTTTGCCAAAGCGATTGGCTAAATCTATGGGAAACATTGGACAATTGACACTTTGTTATCGGGTAACGAATTCGATTCGTTTGATGGATCCCCTCACTCTACAAATAGCAGATGTAACTGCTGACAAGTATTATCGTGATCCATTTGAGAGTTTATGTCAAATTCCCGAGTTGGTGGAATTTTTGGTGTTGGATATTGAACCTAGTGGACTAGTAAGCGCAGATGGTAAATGGCTTACTGCTGATGCACAAGTTAGTCCTCTCAATGCACAATCATTTGGCGAAGCAGATGCCGTTTATCATACAAGGACACATTTGGGAGCAGTACTGCAAGCAGGTGATACAGTTTTAGGATATCACTTGGGCAAGTCTAACCTCAATTCGGACAATTGGGATTCCATTCCCGATGAACGTAAGCCAGACGTTGTTCTTGTTAAGAAATCATACCCCGATACCAAGAAACGCAGAACACGTCGTACATGGAGATTGAAGAGTATGGCTAAATTGGACGGAGAGACTGCCGATGAAGGAAAAGCTGCCGTTGGAAGACGTGGTGGATTGGATGGACAAAAGGTACAAGCGGATTATGAATACTTCTTACGTGAATTGGAAGAAGATGATGAAATGCGAAAAGGTGTTAATCTTTATCGTGATCCAGCAGCGGAAGAAAGAATACAGAGAAGAAGAGAACATAAAGCAATGTGGAAAGCAAGACAAGCGGCAAAAGCATTGCAAAAAGAACAAGATGGTACGGGTGATGAAGTTATGGATGAAGCAGCTGATGTAGATGATGGAATGACTGATGATGGATTCACAACAGACGGTGAATCAGAATTTGGTGATGAAGTTCCCTCGGTTCCGATTGATGAACTTCTTGATGATTTCGATGACATGAACATGGACGATGGAGAGCAAGAGGCTTGATGTCTTCCATTTTTGCAATATAGAATCAACTCATTTCTCATCTGTACATTTTAGCAATGATAATCTGTCTAGTCGTGGCTCATGTGTGTTCCTGTAACTATCTTTTAGCTTCTACTTTTCTCGGCCTTAATCTTTTAAGAAGAAATCTCTTTTTTTTTGTTCGCGTGACATCCATCAGCGTGGGGGGGGGAACTTTCTTCCCGAACTTTCATCTTGGATTGGTACGTCAAATATGGAAGATCTAATACGATCTTTGCGTAACCTGGGACTAAGGCCACCAGATCCAGGGCAACTGTGGGAGCTGCTGGATGATGACAAAGAAGTTCAAACTAGATTAGTGAAGCTTTTGGCGTTCAATGTAGCGCCTAATGAAGAAGATGGTGAAGGTGAACAAGGACTAGGTGGTGGTAATGATGTAGCAGCATTGATGGGTCAAGACTTATTACAAGAAGCAGTTTCGGCACTTTTGGATAACTTCAAAAGAATGCTTGAAAAACAGCGACAGACTGCACAAAGAGAAGAAGCAATCATAACAGATTCGACTCAGGAACCACAGGAAGGAAAGGCCAACAAAGGAAGCAAATTATCTGTCGCTCCGAAGAAAGTCAAGCTTCCACCACGAAAAGCTCTTTTCCTAAGACATGAAGCAGCGATCCGTAAAGATGATGATGAGCGGTCGACTGCCAGAGGGTACAGACCCAGACTGGTGTTTGATGGCTCGACATCCTTCCATTCGAGAAGACAAGTAGCAGATTTGGAAACAATAGCATGCAAAGACTTGGACGTTGCACCAAAGAGATTCACAGGAAAGAAGCTTGTCGTTCGAGTCGTCTCAAGCTTACTACTATATGTCGGTGTATCCTTCCTTGCTGAAGATCCAGACGGGAACGTAATCTCGGTAGCGATTTCTCATTTTACATCAAACGTAAATGCTACAAGAGAAAATATCTCCAGCCTTCTGCCGATCGGTACCATTTTGGCGATTCGTGAACCATTCCTTTCCATTGATCATCAGGCAAGATCAGGACCGTGCACCGGAAAAGCAGATATTGGAATTCGAGTCGACAGTCCGACAGATATTGTCCTGCTCAGCGAGAAAGAAGCATCAGACCTGAAGTGGACTACCGAGCTGCCTACAACGACAAACAATAACGATACCGTGGACGCAATACCATGGCTTTATGATCCCACTCACTCATCTGATTGGGCCAGTACGGCGAAGAAGCTGCAGGAAGCTGGTCGACCGGGTGCCGCTTACAGAGCGATGCTCAGATGTGAACAAGATAAAGGTCACGTTGATACCACTTTGCAATCTTCAATCCTCTTCAGCCTCACCGCATGGCAAGGAGCTCAAGATGTGCTAACAAAAGCCGTTGATAAGTTAAATGGAGGTGTCATACCAACTGGTAAAGCCGGCGATTTTGGCACTGCATTCGGCAGATTATCAAGCATAGACGCTGTCGAAAGATGTTCTTTAAGACAAGTACAAGCGAAGCAAGGCCTCACTATGGACGACGTTCGCTCAATCTACCTTTCCGCTCCTCATACACCAAGATTCGATACAAGTGACTTCATCGGTCCTGTAGCAGTGCAAGATATCCCGGGAGCTGGAAGAGGTCTTGTTCTGACAAGGGATGTTGAACCAGGAGAGCTACTACTTTGTTGTCGTGCAGTAGGATCGGCATATCCTGACGATGCTGAGAGTAAGAATTCGCCCATTTTGAGGTTGAACTTAAGCAACGGAGTGGTCTCAACGACAAGTCAAGTACGTGCCCAAACAAATCTAATCCACAAGATCATCGATAGACCAGAGCTTGCACTGCCTGTGTTGGGTCTCACTGCTGGACCGTCGATGGAATATTCCGAATTCGTTCATCAACCTTTCCCAATGACTGTACAGCCAAAGCTTGACGGAGCAGTAGATGGATCCAACCCTTCCGTTGATCCGGCCTACGTTGACGGCGTTTTACGCTTCAATGCTTTTGGACCTGCTCAAGCACCTGATAGAAAGGATACAGAAATTTCTCAAAATTCGCTCGTCGATTTTGGGGAACTAGGCAAAAGTACTATGCCACACCCTCTACCTGCAATTCTCAATCATGCATGCCTACCAAATGTTTCATCAATATTCTTTTCGGATATCGTCACAACAAGAGCTTTGATTACTATGAAGAAAGGCACGGAAATTGTACATCAATATGTTCGAGGTGAAATCCCGTATGCTGTACGATCTGCACAACTAAGCAAGCATGGCTTCGAGTGTGGATGTACGCTATGCTCTTTGGATCGTGCTGATGGTACGGAAATGTACACACAAAGGGCAAGGATCATGCAAGGAGAATCAAGCGCAATATTTGAACGTAGTAGAGTATTGATGAAGCGTATTAATACCTCCAAATTGGGTTTTACTGGTGAAGGAACTGAAATTAGTGATGAAGACATGGATGCTCATAAAGATATTTTGAGCTCTCTACAGCAACTTCTTGAGCGAGTCGACAAGACTTACGCAACAGACCGTGGAGAATTGCGTCCTGATCTTCTGGCGATATATGAAATCATGGCGAAACATGTCGCTCTGGTACATCACGCAGATAAAGATCACAAAGAAATTCAAGAGACAGTTGTCAAAGCTGTGCAATGCGTCGGAGGAAGTATTGAGGTGAACAATGACAATTCTCAAAAAGGCATCTTTGTCAGTTTGCCACGGTTACATATGGACGGTGTGATCGGTCTGATATTGCTGGCAGCCGTCGTTCTTGAAAATGCTCAACTGCACCAGAAAGCTCGGTCATGGTGCCGTGCTGCGTTTTATGCACACCAGTGTATGATCGGAGGTGGTCTAGACGTTTTCATGGATCGTTGGCAGGTAGCTGAGTTTGAACCAGCATTGGTATTATTGCGAGCAGACGTAAGAATGTGTTGAAAACCAAGCACTTGTATTTATATTGTTACAATTAATCTATATAGACGTACCTATTCAGGCATCTCCTTTTTGTTTTGCCTCTTCTTTTGCGGCTGCTTCTCTTTTCTGTTCAATAATTTTGGCCGCTTCTTCTAATCCTTCAGGTTTAGGTGCTGTCTTGATTGCCAAGATTTTTGCTTTGACGTTTCTAACATTCTCCTTTGCACGTTCAATACCTCCTTTTTGAGCACGTTCGTATGCTTTTATACTTTCGTCCAATTGTTCACATGCTTCCAAAACTGCACCAAGGTTAAACTGTACTTCTGCGTCATCAGGAGTGATTGCAGCTGCTTGTTTTAGGTGTTCGATTGCCAAATCAGGTCTACTGGGAACGCTCATAACATAAGCACTTGCAAGGTTGGTATGTGCGTCAGCCGAATCGGGAGAAAGACGTAAAGTTGATTTCCAAGATTGAATAGCAGATTCGATATCTTTTTCATGATATTGACAAACTCCCAAGTTGAAATGTGCGGAAGCTGTTTCGAAGATGCTGATTGCACGTTCATAGGCTGTCTTTGCATCTGCCACATTTCCAGCTTCCAAGGCTGCTGTTCCGATTTCTAGGTTTCGTTGTGATTCTTCTTCGGCTGGGTTTTTGATACTGGAGGTTGGAGAAGGTGATGTTGCTTGGATTCGTGCACTAGAGCTGAAACAGAAAGCGATCGTTGGTGTGCGTACTTGTGGTCTTGCTGCAAGGGAGGGTCGACTGAGTGCGACAGTCCTCCTCAATAAAGCAGTACAAAGGCGTATATATGACATATTTGCCAAATATTAATGATGGCTTTGAGTGGAGCTAAGACAAGAAGGAGGAGCTAAACTTCAAACTTCTTCTTGACAATGATCCTGTAAGTCCCGATTGCCGATCACGAGCACAAGCTGATGTTAAAGATTACAAAAAGAGCAGCAACGCGTTTCACTATACGCGTGCTAGAATATACGCGCAGTAGGAGAGAAAGGAGAAGAAATGCAACCAACACCTGCATCTCTCATTGCTTCTTCATCCTCTTCATCAAAGCAACAGGATGACGATCAGCAAAGGAGAATCAAATGGTGCTGGCGGAGCATCAAGCACAAAGCCAGCATCTTATGAGCTACCATGGGTGGAAAAGTATCGTCCACAAAGATTAGAGGATGTTGTAGGAAATACAGCAACTATTGAACGATTAAAGGTCATTCAAGAGGATGGTAATCTGCCGCATTTACTCATTTCTGGATTACCAGGTATTGGTAAAACGACAAGTGTTCATGCTTTGGCACATGCACTTTTGGGAAACGCATACAAGGAAGCCGTACTCGAATTAAACGCATCTGATGAACGTGGTATCGATGTAGTAAGAAATAAGATCAAGGGCTTTGCACAAAAGAAAGTTTCATTACCACAAGGCCGCCACAAGATTATCATCTTGGACGAAGCAGATAGTATGACACCTGGTGCACAACAGGCACTAAGAAGAACGATGGAGATTTATTCAAACACGACTCGGTTTTGCTTCGCATGCAATCAAAGCAGCAAGATTATCGATCCCATTCAAAGTAGATGTGCCATTCTACGATATGGAAAGCTATCAGATGAAGAAGTGATGAAACGATTGATCGAGGTCTGCGAAATGGAAAACGTCCAGCACAGCAAGGATGGATTGGCTGCATTGGTGTTCACATCAGAAGGTGATATGCGTCAGGCAATCAATAATCTACAATCTACTTGGACAGGTCTTGGATTCGTGTCACCCGACAATGTTTTCAAAGTATGTGATCAACCTCATCCAATCACTATCCGTGCTATGCTAACTTCTTGTCACAAAGGAGAAGTGGACAAGGCGATGGATAAATTGGATGAGATCTGGAATCAAGGGTATGCGGCAGTCGATATTGTAACGACAATTTTCCGTGTTGTGAAAACAATAGATAGCATACCCGAAGGAGTTAAACTAGAATTCATCAAAGAGATCGGATGGACACATATGCGCATCTTAGAAGGCGTTTCTACACAAGTGCAATTAGGAGGTCTACTTGCACGATTAAGCAAGATGCATCACGATCCAAAATTGTTCGAAGTCAAAGTGTAATAAAATTTTCTCTTTCTCAATACATGTAATATTATCATCAACTCAAAGGGGTTTTGTCAAGACTTGACTTCTTCTCCATCGACTACAAGCTTTAAACGATCTTGACCTGGGGTGTAGAATGCGACAAGTTGACGAGCGTCGAATGCGGGAATTTGCACGGGATATGCCCATGCAATATTCTCCAAAGTGTCACCGTCGGGTAAGGTGAGGTGATGATAACGTGCATATCCTTTGTAAGGACATACTGTTACTAGACCATCTTCGTCATACTCTTCCAATTTGGCACCTGCACTTGGTCTGAGCTTTATCGATCCTGTGCTTGTCAAAGCAGAAGTGGGCAAGTACCACCTAGTAGGAAACCTGCTTTCAAAGAGAGCGAATGCATGTTGTGGTGAAACGATATTTGCCGTATCAGCAACCAAGTATTCTTCTTTCCCATCCTTGCTCTTTGCATAGATTTGAACGTGTCTCTTGGAAGGTACCAAATCAACACGATGGTATGGGTTTCTAACACCACCATGTTGTATTGATTCTTCTTCCCAAATCGGAGGAAATTTATCGGTTCGCAAAACGATCAATTGATCTGGCGCTGGAGCATCGCTTGATGTTGATTCTGTCAATGGCGTTGAACGTGAAAATGTCCAAGCTGCCCATCGATTGTATAATTTTCCTTTTAGATATAAATCGAAATATTGATTTGCTAACTTTGAAGGTGAGTCTGGAGGTGGTTCACTTGACATTCGTAAACCCGAGCCATTTGCATCCTCGAGAAAGGCGGCATCTGAACGAGGAAAAGCTAAACGACAATAAGGCGAATCATCTTCCCACAACAAGAAAGCATGCCTGCTTTCCATCATCAAAGCATCATCTTTACTTAATGGTTTTATATCCGTGTAAAGTGTTTTAGGTGATTGTTTTGTTTCGATCGGGATACGAAAATGAATAGGAGACGGCTCAATGTGTAATTGACCTGCTCTTCCTGACATTTTACGATGTACACCAGATACGTTTTGATGTGCTAAAGAGGAAGTCATTTTGGTATAGCGTTATGGTAGCCATTGTCAAGGTGTGTGTTTTGTGGCAATGCATCATTCACTCGATCAAACCATCTCTTTAGCGTGACTCTTAAGTCCGAGAAAAGTGGAGAATAAGCATGGCAATCACCTGTGATATCACATTTCGGCAGAAAGAGATCTTCTTGACTGTGCACACCCTCAGAGCTAACGTATCTTAGAAAGGGAGATTGATTTAAGCTTCTTTAAGCCTTTTGCCAAATTGGTAACAAGAGCCAAAATCGGGAAGTGAGTAGTGATGACAGCTGTAGATGCTATCATTGCACTGCTGTCATCACAGGCTGCCCAACGCTGAGCAACGCATTGACAATTAATGAAGAAGGCTTTGACAGTGTGCATACGCGGCGTTGTGCGCGCTTAAGGTATAGGGTCCCAATGCAGTGAAATTAATTGCAAGGTGGAGAATTAGAGTTGAGTTGGTTTATCTTTTGGATCATAACCATTCACATCAATACAACACAATAATCAACATGAGCTCTAACAAATCATACATCGTGTAAGTCATCTTCTCTATAAGATTGGACGAATGCTTACTGACGGTCATCTCATCACAGCATCTTTAAAGATGATGCTCCTTCATCAAAGATCGATGAAGAGATTAAAAAGGTCACCGATGCAGGAGGCAAAATTACTCAACGTTATGATTCTTCAATCATGAAAGGTTTCGCTGCTCAAATGCCAGAAAATTTGGTTCAAAGCTATACCAGCTTAACCGCAGGTAGCAAACACGATTACCTCTCTTACATCGAACCAGATCAACAAGTTCACACAATGCAAAAGTAAGGTTTGACTTACTCTCTATATATATATATGTCTGTATTCAATTTGTACAATGATTACAACAAGAAAATGGGGGCACAAAGGTTACCTATGCAGTGTAGTAATATCGACATTCTATCAATGAGCTTCCCGCCTTCTTGGTGCTGATTTGAGAACATCATCCACACGTAAGATTAATTCACTGGCTTCGCTGGCAGATAAAACCACTTGTCTCTTCAATTTGTAACTTTCCGTTACTCCCATCTCTCGCATTGAGGTAACCTTGCCTTGGAAAAGATCTAATCCGGCATCCTTATCACCTCTTTGATGGGCAGCACGTAGTTGGGATACTAGTTCAGAAGAATCTAAACCGGCATTGTTGGCCAAGATTGTAGGCAATTGTCTCAATGCTCTTGCAAAGGCTTCTGTTGCAAGTGCGCGTTTACCACTCGTCTTTCTTGCTTCTTCGTCAACCTCTTTGCTCATACTCATCTCTGCACATCCTCCTCCCAAGACAACTCGTGTCTCTTTGACGGTTTGACTCAAAACACTGAGAGCATCATGCAATGATCGTTCAGCTTCATCCACCATTTGTGATGTGGCACCACGCAAAACAACAGTGCATGCTTCACCGGCAGATACACCAGAGAATCGGATAAGACGGTCTTCTCCGATCATCACTTCTTCGATAAGATCGCAATGTCCTAACTTGACCAATTCTGGTTTGTCGAATGTACTGGCAATCTCTCCTCCTGTGACCAATGCTAGACGTTCCACACCTTCGAAATCGGCATGTTCAATGTTTACGATACCGGCTTCTGATAATAGCGATTCTGGGTAATTGTAGATAAGCTGTCTGTTGATGAAGCAGTTAATGCCGTGTGCTTTGATTTTTTCGACTTTAGCCTTCATCTTTTCCCTTTCAGCACGTTCCAACTCGGCCAATTGTCCTGTTCCCTGAACACGGACTCTAGCACCAAACACCTTGATCTTATCTGTGTCCATAGAAGTGTTTGCAATCAAGATCTTTGCGTTCTCCAAACGCTTTGGTGAGTTTGTGCCAATACGTTTATCCAGAATGAAACCGTCATCGAGATATGAATCTGTCAATTTCCCTCCAACTTTCTTGATGATTTGAATATTGTCAAGATTGGTTGATCCCTTTAGACGGAGAACAGCGTCGACGGCCAGATTGGCAAAGTAGTCTTTATCGGCTGACAGGACTTTGGATGATAGTGTGGTTCTTGCAATGTTGAACAAATCCTTACGGAATGCAGCTGGATTTGAGCTGTTGTCGGTTGCACTGGAATCGAGTGCCCTCAAAGCTGCAGTGCTAGCAATTCTGTAACCTTCAACGATTGTTTGAGGATGGATACGCATTTCCACCAATTTTTCCGCTTCACGTAGCAATTCTGCTGCAAGAACGCATACACTCGTTGTTCCGTCTCCTACTTCGTCATCTTGTACTTTGGAGATATTGACTAGAATCTTCGCGGCGGGATTATCGAGTGGGATACTTTTCAGGATTGTTGCTCCATCGTTTGTGACTGTGATTTCTCCAGTACCAACAGATTGCAAGATCTTGTTCATTCCTTTTGGTCCCAAAGTAGACTTTACCAAATCTCCCAAAGCTAGTGCACCGACAAAAGATGACAATCTAGCATTTTCAGCTCTCTCTTGAGTTGCCTCTTGGGCAAAGATTTGAGCAGACATTGTTTATTGTGATGGTATTGTCCAAAAAGTGTTGAAGAGTAAAGCTTTAATTTGTTACTTTCTTCTCTCTGAATCTGTGCGGTGCGCGTTGACCACTCAGGCGAGAAAAGCTTCGACAATCTTCTTGAGCTTGCATGCATAAAATAAATGAAGCTAACACAGACACACAAGCACACATACACGTGAATGGCTTTTTTATTTCAAAGGGAAGATTTGCTTGCATGCTTACAGAGCATATTCCGATATCGGGTGAATGATTAAAGTGGTGAATCGGGATCTTGACTTGCTTTAAAGCGAATACCATCTACATCTACAGGGCTTCTATTCGATGCAATCATGAGTCAATTGGTATCAGCTCGACTGTTGATAGGGCCAGGAGCAGCGAGAGGGACAACATTGAGCTGCTCCCCAAGAAAGCTCACTCGTCCAATAGCATCTTCCAGACTCTTTAGCACAAATTCAGGAACCAACCGTTCGCTGAACCCCAACTTCTTCCTTCCTTCTTATGATGCTCATCAGAGTTCCACAACTTCAATACGACCTGTTCCCATATCCAATAGATTATCCGCTTCAATACGCAGTCTTACATCAACTAGACGAAATCAGCAGCATTTAGCAGTATCAGCATATGCACCACCTTCCGATGATCCGGAAATCACAACTCGTATTCGACCAAAAGATGGAACACTGTCAGACCTTAATCCATCTTTAACGCCAAGCCAGGCACTAGTTGCTGGCTATCGACCCGTTCCCGAACTGACATCAGAAACACTCCCTCGCCTTTATCGTCAATTAGCAAAGGCACAATTAACGTTCTTGGTCACCTTGACGGGAATGGCAGGATATGCTCTTTGTCCGGCTGCGTTGTCCACATCTACATCAATCACAACTCTTCTTTCAATGACGGCGGGAACAGCTCTTTGCTCTGCAAGTGCAAATGCATTAAATCAAATGGTCGAATCACCATACGATGCTCAAATGCCACGAACACGAAATCGCCCGTTACCAAGTCGGTCTATCACGCCTTTGCATGCTGCATCATTTGCTACTGTTGCGGGAATTGGAGGTGTGGGAGCACTTGCAACGATTAACCCATTGACGGCAGCACTGGGGTTGGCAAACATTGTCTTGTATTCTGGGATTTATACACCAATGAAACGAGTATCGATCGTCAATACCTGGGTCGGCAGTATTGTGGGCGGAATCCCACCTTTGATCGGTTGGACGGCATGTACGGGAACATTGCATTTGGCAACTGATGTACCCGGCTGGACATTGGCCGCTCTTTTGTTTGCATGGCAATTCCCCCATTTCAACTCATTAGCACACACCCTTCGCCGGGAATATGCTAGGGGAGGTTACAGGATGATGTCAGTAACGGATCCATCTTTGAATCGAAGAACATCTTTGCGATATGCAATCAGTTTGTTGCCGATCTGCAGTGTTCTTTTGCCCTGGACTGGCGTGGTTCATTGGTCGTATGCAATCCTTTCTGCTCCCATCAATTTGGCTTTGGTGTATGCTTCGTACGGATTTTGGAAGCATGATGGTGATAAAGCAGCAAGGCAGTGCTTCTGGGTCAGTCTCATTCACCTTCCTGCGATCTTACTCTTAGCCATGGCTTGCAAGACTGAAGTGATCGAAGGTGTCCGACGTAGACTGATGGGGGAAGAAGAGGTGGAAAGCGAGTGAACAATGTACAACATGTAGTTATATAGACTTTAATCATCATTCTGCTCTTGCAATTTCAGTTAAAATATAAGATTCTCGCATGCGCTTATCATGGCATGCTCACGTACAGTGGAGAGATAAAGATAGATGTACAGTGTAGGAGGCCGGGGTAAATTGAATGAGAAAGAGTTGAAGAGATAAAAAGAGATAAAATATCATGCTACACAACTTGCCAAACGACGTAAAGCGGGAACATTGATGTATGCCGGACAATACGTCTCAATTCCCGTCACCAAACGTGGCAATGGACTCTCAAACGGACCTGCTTCATCCACTTCTGGTGGCAATAACAAGTGGTCGTTCCTGTCATTCGGAACAACTCTTGCAGCAACCGCCTTTAAGATCTCGGGCGAAATTGGGTTCTCATAATCTGCCACGTAGTAGTGACTGATGAGCTTTTGAATTTGAGTTGGTGTCAACATCCAGCAAACGTCATAAATGATATCGATATCGCTCAAAGTTGCCTTTTTGAGTTGTAATAATTTAGTGGCTTGCATCAAATGTTCGCATTGCAACATGCCTTCAGGAATGTCTTGCGATTTGCACCATTCATCAACACGCATGATGTTGTATTGAATTTGCATAGCACGTTTCCATGAACAGAAGTTCCTTCGCATCAACAAATCGTTGAATGCAGTCGTTCCGATCAATTTCAATAATTCCGTAATTACCTGTGTTGTAACAGATGGTTCGACGTAATAACTCTTTAGTGCCTTAGAGACCTTGTTCAGTATGCCCAAGATGTCGTCCATAGAGTATGCTGGCGTTGGGGGAGCTTGATTTAATAGTCTGTTAAACAGACGACCTCCCGTATCGCTGATAACGAAACCGGGTAACGATTGACTTTCTATCAAGGCGGGAATGACCATCTTGTGTAATCTCTTCTTGATCTCAGAGATTGTTGTGTGGAACAAATTGTAGCTCAATGATTCTAAGTCATGCTTGACAATCGTTACCAATCGCTCATATTCTGAGAAGATCATTTCGCCTGCAGATCCATCCACACCCGGTCCGATACCTTGCAGCATGTCACTTTCAGCAATGCAAACAAAGCTGAAGATTTCGTGCACGTTGGACAACCAGAAGAAGCCAGGCACAATGACATCATCTCCGGTAAAGCTCATGATGTGTTGTTGGATCGTTTGCATGACATTGGCCAAGAAACGTTCACTTTCACGTACCATTCCATACTTCCAGAACTCGTTGGTGCACAATGAAATAAGATGTGCAGGGAAAAGAACTTCTTTCGGAGATGGCGGGTTGGTGATGCTCGGTGCGGGAATCTTAAGGAAGCGAATTAAACCGTTGAGAACATCTTCATCCAATTGTTCTTCGTTCTCCAAAATACGGATTACCTCCTCACTCTGTTCATTCTCGTCCCATTCTTCACCATATTCGCCGTTACCGTTGCGTTGCAAGCCGGGAATTTGATCAAACGCTGCAACACTGACATGTCTGTTAGCATTAGCAGCGCTTCTCTTTGCAGCATACATTGCTTCTTCTTCTTCAGGATCGCGAACAGGTGCATCGCTCATTACGCCGACTTCAGAGTGACGGCGAACCCTACGTTTGGTTTGAGGTTGCATCTCTCGGCCGGTAGCCATGTTAAAGGTAGGCGGTTGTGCATTCTCAATTCTCTGGCTGTTCTTCGTCAACGTATTCAGTGCATTGGCTCTATTCAATTGTTCGCGTAGACTATTAACTTCGTTGCGTAACGAAGTCATAGCGGTCGAATCCTCTTCCGAGACATTCTTTGCGTTGTTCAGAGCTTGTTCCCGAGCCTCCAATTCTTCCGCCTGTTCCCGCAGTTCCCGCTCCAAGTCGCCGATCCTGCCCTCGTGTTCGGAGATTTTTCGCAACGACTCTTGTACTTGCAGGTCGACCAATCGTTTAGACTCGATTAATGCTTCGAATTCGTGCTTCGGTACGCTAGGCTTGGCCAACTCCTCTTCCAAACCTCGGGATTTACTATCAACCTCCTCATGCTTATCTTGCCATTGTTTCACCTGGCCTTCCAATTGTCGGATCTTGTTAGCAAGTTCCTTGTTCTGCTTCGTTCGTGCCTGCAGGTTCTGAGTAAGTTCGACGACCTTGTTCTCCAGCTTATAGGTGACTTCCCGATAATGAGTGGCCGATTTAGCTTCTTGACGTTTGGCGATAAGTTCACGCTTGGCCATCTTACGACGCCAGCATGATTGCAAATGAATTACGCCCTTGCGGTCGTGACGAACTTGACGGCGAACCAGTGCACCACGCAAGAGGCTTTGCAAGCGGGTTGCAGCGAATGCCGTCTTGTCTGTAGCAAATGTGGAACGAATCTTGTATCCACGAGCATGACTTTGAATTGCAACAACCGCCGCAATGGTACGCTGATAACGTAAGCGGGCCATCCAGCCACGAGCAGCAACTTGAATACTAAGTGCAGCCTTGTTCTTGCGCATTGTTGTTACAGCCCTCTGAGCGGCAACCATTCTCCACCATGTTTGAATGCGGATCGAATTGGAACGCATGGTACGGAATTTGCGCGAATAATGAACGGCACGGGCATTCTTTTGCATGATCGTGACCAATTCATTTAATCGGCTTGTTCTACGTTGTTCAAACTCAGCCAACATTCCTGCACGGAAAAAGATCTTTGTGAGACCGATTTGATATTTATCTTCTTCCTTCACCAACTCTGACAACAGATGGCTTGTCAATTCTCGACTAGATAAATTCCATCTGCTCGAATTTGTCAATAGATAGTAGCGAGTACCGAAGTCATCAAACGTCCATCTGGACGGATATCCTGCACAACTGATTCGAATAGTTTCCAAAACACCACAAGCTCGCAATTGACCGAGTACATTTTGTGGTTCGACATCCCATGCCTTCTTGGCTTCGTTTGGTTTGATGCATCGGATATAGTGCACATTTGTCGAATCAATTGTACTCATCAGGGCCACCAAGCTAGATTTGAATTGAGATCCCAATGTAGGCTTCTTCACCATCCCGCCTCCACCTAATTTCCGGGGTGCAGGCTTCTTTTCTGCTGCTCCGTTCACATCAGCAGTACCATTCGTTTGGGCAGATTGCGGACCATCCTTGGCCTCTTGTGCAATGCGAGTGGCAGTGTCAAGAATCTCTTTCAAGAATTCGTTGGAGGTATTGCTCAACAAGTTCAAATGTTCATCCGGAACGGTATCACGATTCTTTTCCAAGAAACCTTCACTTTCATAAGTGACATCCAAGGCGTAATGGCAAACAGTGAAACTGCTTTGACCGAATCTGGGTCTCTTGAAGCTTTCTTTGAATTCCGGCTTACGCTCGATCTGAGTGAACAACTTTTGTAAGAAGCTTGCATCGGATCCAGAAGGCAAGCGGGATTCTTCATCAAGAAGGGATAGAATACCAAGTCTGCCTTCGATCATATCAATCGTCGGTTGATTATCAGCAAAGTCGATAAATGTCCACTTGATCTTCTCTTGCATGTATTCTTCTTGTTCCAATTTGAACACATGCTGGTTGAATTCGTTTTGTAAGCGTTCGTTAGCGTAATTGATGCAGAATTGTTCATAAGAATTGACTTTGAAGCGTTCAAAACCATAAATATCCAACACACCGATCATTCTATTACGGGTATCTACGCTACCCAAAGCCAACTTGACGTTCATCTGTTCGACCAACCAGTCAAACAATGAAGAGTAGATGTACTTTGTGACTGAATCACGAACGACGGTAGCTTGTGCTTGGGATAAGTTTGAAACAATCTTTTCGCCTCGCATCTGTATTTGCTTCTTCACTGTCCACTTACGGAATTCACCGGGATTGATACCGAGCATGTTCGTTGCAACGAACAAGTTTGTCTCTTCATCACTGATGCTTGCGTCATTTCGCATTGCACCAATCTTGACATTTCCCAAATGCAAAAGAGCAGCCAACAGACCAAAGATTTGCCATTGTTGTTCAATCTTTACACCAACAGTGCTGAGTGCCTTTTGTGTGGCCTTGAATTCTTCTGCGTCATCTACTCCAGCTATGCGCTGGTTTCCACCTTGGTTCAGGTAAAAGAACTCAGAAGCATCCAAAAGGCCCAAGTCTTTGCGCTCAGACGAAGGTGCACCTGCGCAAAGCTGGTAGAAGATGTGGAAATTTCTTTCGCCCGTCTCTGCAGGCTGAAAGACGATACGTGAACGTTCCAACAGGTAGGTACGAATTTGTGCTCCTACAATCTCGTTCGTTTTGTCGAACAGGATCTCAATATACTTTCCGAAACGGGAAGAGTTGTCGTTTCGTGTTGTTTTTGCATTACCGAATGCTTCCATGATGGGGTTCGTTGCAAGAATCTGTTGTTCGGTTTCACTCATTCCACTTGCATCCTTGCTTGCCCCGCTACCAGCAGCAGCTTGATTGGCTGCTTTACGACTTCCAGGACGTGAAGGATCTTCAACAGTAGCAAAGTATCGCATGATAAATTTAGCCGAAACAGTTTTACCGGCACCACTTTCACCACTAACAACAATTGTTTGATCCTTTTCGTCCCGAATCATGCATCTATATGCATCTTCTGCAATTGCGAAAAGATGCGGTTCCAGTTCACCCCGCATTCTTCCGGAGTAAGCTTGAATGATTTCAGGCGTGTATAGCTTGACGGCATCGAAAGGATTCACCGCAATCAAGACGATACCTGAGTAGGTGTAAATGATTCTTTGGGAGTATCTATTGAGAATCGCATGCAGAACGGCAGGCTCGTTGAGGTAACTGAGATTTGTCAAATCTTCCGTTGCTTCTAGAAGGGGCGGATTTCGCAAAGGCGGTAAGGCATCATCACCTGAAATGCTTCCTTTTTGTGTTTCGATGGCTTTCAATGATGTTTTTACTTCACGAGCCGCTCCTGTATCATCCATGGTAAAGTGCAAGATGACTTCATTATTATTCTGTTGTACCGGTTTGGCCAACGTTGCGCTGACCCAGCCAGCATCTTTGTCTGTGAACCATGCTCTCGTACCAGGCACATAAGCCGAAAGAGGATTTGCGCCTGTGATCGTCGACATTTTGTTGCACTTTTGACGACCAGCGCCTGGCTATAGCTCTCCTGTCTGAATGATGAAATTAAAGCTCTCTCTCGCTGTTCCGCAAAAATAAGCTTGATATGGTCACTTTCTTCTCTCGTTTCTTTTCGTTGATGACGGAATGGGTAAGGATGTGAAAGGTGAAAGGGGATAAAGGGAAAAAGTATAAAAAAAGAAGACGAAGAATAAGGTGATGGTGATCCAAGTCAAAAGTACGAGGTTTGTGCTTGTTGTTTGATTTGGGCGTGAATGACAGCAACAATAGCGGCTTTTCGGGCTAAACTGCAGTCTAAAAATAAGAAGGAGACAATAAAGGGGACTGTTTGATTTTAAGCGGAAGGCGCTAATTTGGGTTTGAGATTATCACCTTTCTTTGGGCGCAGCGCCTTGTGCGTGCGTGCGAGTGTGTGTAATGTTAATTTGTTGCTGGCCGCGCGCTGCATTGCATTTTGAGAAGCTAGCAGCCAGCAATGAATGAATGAATCGTCGTCAGTTGAGCCCTTTTCTCCCCTTTGAACGCGTTTTATTGAAAAGAGATTCTTAAAATAAGGCTTATTGTCAATGCACAGAGTAGATTTATCAAGATGTTAGCGTGTTTATTAAACACGTGAAATGATAGATCTTCCCAAGGAAGAAAGGGTGTTTGTTTGTCTTAACTCCGATAGCGTGGAGGAGAATGAATAACTCTAATCAACCATCATTGCAAAAATGTCAACGAACAAGGAAGAATGGCCTCCGCTATCTATCCCATTCACAGATCTGATAGCAGGAAGTGTGGCAGGGGCAAGTCAAGTGATCGTAGGACAACCTCTGGACACAATCAAAACTCGTGCTCAAACCTCTCCTCCCGGTATGTTCAGAGGTCCGATGGATATCCTTATGCAGACCGTACGTAAAGAAGGCTTCTTTGCATTATACAAAGGAATGGCATCTCCTTTGATCGGTATAGCAGCACAAAATTCGCTCTTGTTCACAGCATTTCAAGTTTCAAAGCGTTTCGTTTCCGATACTCCTACACTTTCTATCCAGCAAACTGTAGGTGCAGGTGCGATTGCGGGAGCAGTAAACAGTCTCATGGCTTCGCCGATCGAATTACTCAAAATTCGAATGCAATCACAATATGGCGGCCAAGGCGATCGTAAGCTAAGGCAAGTAGCAGCAGATCTGTGGCAACAACACGGCTTTCGTCATGGGGTCATGAGAGGATTCTGGGTCACAGTTGCTCGTGAAACGCCTGCTTATGCTGGATTTTATGGAGGTTTCACCTACACAAAAGAGCAATTCAGAACAAAATTCTATCCAAATCTCAAACCTGAACAAAACTTGCCGATTTGGTGTTTGATGGCAAGTGGTTCGGTGGGTGGAATATGCAATTGGTTGGCATGTTATCCTTTGGATGTTGTCAAATCTCGCGTACAACTAACTTCGCACAAACTTGGACCTGGATACATTTTCACAGAAATGGCAGCTATTGTTCGTGAGCAAGGATCAAAAGCACTCGTTCGTGGTCTATCGCCAACTCTCTTACGTTCAATCCCAGCCGCCGCTGCCACTTTCACAGCATATGAATTGACAAAAGAGGCATTAGAAGGTAAAGCTGCAATCAAAGTATAGAGCTCTTTTTACCGTATTTGTACTTTTATATTGTATACCACTAGAAATACATGGATTGTTAGCATCTCAATTTGATTGCGATTGAGATAGAACCACCTTTAGCATCTCAGCTCCCATTCTATTTGCCTCTTCAAAACGTGAAGCAAAGAATTCCCGAGTCTGCTCAAATCTCCATTTGTACAGATCAAAATCACCAAATTGAACAGCTTGAGCCCATCCACGAGCCGCAATAACGAATTCGGTATCATCACTTCGGAAATCATGATCATGAATTGCAGCACGAACCGCAGCCCGTACTCTAGCAGGCGATCGGAACAAATACTCGCAAACACCGATCCATAACCGGAATACTGGCGTAGCAGCAAGATCCAAATGGGCATACGGATCTATTTGAAGTGTATACCAACAGTCAACGATTGCGAGTAAAGCGAGATGGGAATTTGGAGGAGGCGCTTCTACCGCATCGCTGTCCACGCCATTTCCGCTTGAAGCTCTTCGTGCTGCCATGTGAAATTGATCGAGCATCTTATCACTCATCAGAATTGGCTTCCTTTCTCTGCCCTTGCCCTTTTCTTCTCCTGTACTTCTTGTTCTTGCACCACCCGTTCCTTCTTCATCATCCGCCCATCCAAAGACCTCTCTCCTCGCTTTAAAGACTTTTTGTGTGAGAGCTTCTTCGTCTTCACCAACCATCAACTTGAACAGTGCTGTAGCACTATCAGCGTATTGAGAGACTTGCTTGCGTGCTGCTGGGTTGAGCAAAGCCAGTCCAGCATATACATGCCATTTTGCCGAGTAAATCCGCAGCATGATATTTATCTTTACTGTTTCAATTCCACCTGGATACAGTCCGGATTCCCATGGATACGCCTGAGAACATCTCCATGCTGTACCCATGGTCAAGAATGCCGCATGTGTGACAGCTTGTGTATTTGCCGTAACTATGTCATGATCTTCGTAGTTGATGAATACATAACTAGATCCGAAGCATTGGAAAATACGTTGAACAAACTCAAATTCTTCGTCGGAGGCACGATATTGAATCAACAGCAATGGCTGGCCTACCGTATCAACCTTTGGTCCATGCAACGAATGACAAGATACGATGCGAACGTCCTTGGGAAGATGTTTGTCGAATGCAAGCTTTTCCGGCGCTTTAACGGATGTTTGGCCGGAAACGATTGCGCCCAATTTAGTAGAAGGACCATATTGTGCAACGACGGCATCTATCAGAGCAGCTTCAACTGAATAAATGATGAAATCGCTTATGCGTGAGACATGGTGACCATCCGGTATAATTGTCAAGCCGGAGCCTTGGAACTCTTCTTGCAACTTTGCGTATGTTTCCGGTCTATCACAGACATTTATATGCTTCCAACCTGCTTTTGCGAATTTTGATGCATACAATCGACCCATATCGCCCATTCCAATGATTCCGATTTGAATGTTCTCCATCTCGTCATTCTCACCATCAGTCTTTAGTCGTTTCCTGTCCATTTTGATCACCTTGATGACTGTGCGAAAGAAGAAGCATAAACCTTCTTTTCGTTTCTTGTGCGTATACGCGAGCTTGAGCCTTTGTTTAATTTACGCGTTTAATCATTAGCACCGAGTGGAGAAAAAAAAAAGAGCAACACTTTTAAGAAGAAGTTGGCGTGCATACTTATTGCTGAGTCTTGTCATCTTTACCCCCACAATACCCACGTAGTTGCGGTGATGACAGCGACGGCAAGATGCTGAATCTGCAAGATGCGGTCAGACTGATCAGCAGTGAAAGGGCAACAGAAAGGGCGTTGGGTATTGAACAATACAAGCAAATCTTCAATGATGATGAAACATTGATACGATTTGCAGAAGGCGATGATGGAGAGAAGAAATGGCTCAGAACATTGCAAGCCTTATTCAACTGTGTCATTGCCGATAGAACAACATGCGTCAGGAGAGGATCATGGCAAGCAGCAGCACCTGCTTCAAAGAAACGATTGCAGGATAGCGCTGGAATGGTACTTTGGATGATCGAAAGGTGCAATACTTACCTCGAAAAACAAGCAATTACCTCTGCAGTGAATCACCTCACTCAAATGATCGAGTTTCGTGGAGAATTGGTGGAGATTGTCTCTGTGTATTACCTTAAAGCGCTGACCATTCCTCTCTCTTATGCTCCTCATGTCGATCATTTGGAGCCTGACTTGTGGAAATTCTGCACGAATCTATGCTTCAACGTCATCTTACGCGACCACCTAAGCAACGAACCTGATTGGGAAGATGCAAAATTTGTATCAACGAAACTCTACGAAGCACCATCAGAGAGTACAGCAAAACCACGACGCACCAGACCAGATGATTTGGAAGCGGCCAAGTGCTTGTATGCACTCATTCGTGCAAATCATGCTCCTTTGGTCACCAAGGAAAGGCATGGAGTAATGGCGTTGTACCGCTATTCATGCATCTTGTATGAATATCCTCAAGAATCTTCCCTGCACTTGCCTATTTTAAAGGGAATCGTGCATACATTGGGCGAGCTCAGCGTGAACGACATGGAAGCAATGTTGCAGTTCGGTGAATTTTCTTGGACGTCTCTCTTGAATCTTTGGGGCTCCCGTAGTCAAGCGGTCAAGGAACAGGTCATTCTTGCTTTTCGTACTTTGATACCGGTCATGCAGCAAAGCCAGAAACTGGAATTCCTTGAAACCCTCTGCGAGGAAATCCTGGGAGAAGCAAACGATCGTCTGAGCATTCAGCCTATACCTTTGACGTGCGTAGATCTGCGAAGCACGCGAGATCGAGGACCGTTTCGATACCCTCAATTCCAAGCCTCGAATCGAATCGATGAAACATCTCTTATCAGCTGGTCAACTCTTGAACTAGGCGCAGATTTGGTAGCATTTCTCATAGAGAAAGGGTCGGACGATTCAAGCCAACCGGATAGTCATCCTACTCCAAGCAAAAGGCGGAAGTTGCGAGGCCGATCTGTAGCAATTGAACGGGGTCAAGTTCTTACCAAGGTTCTGGAACCGTTTACGGGCCAAAACCGTTCAGTCTCGTCCAGGACAACGTGGCACACACAACTTCTTTTGTTTCTGATCGCACGTTCATTTGACCGGCTAAAAACAAAAGCACAAGAAGAAGTCGTGCTTACATTGGTCAATTCGTTGGCCGGAGCAGATGCTGAGGTTGTTTCTTGGTCACTCGTTGCTCTTGCATCTGCTACATCGTATCCCGTATTCAAGCGTCACGCCTCCAACATTTTACAAATAGCATCTCGACAACTTCTGCGCGGAGCAGTCTGTCGAAGTGCGGCACACGTCTTGCAGGCAATCATACGATATGGCTTGATTGACAAATCAGAAATCTCCGCGACACTCTCAACTCTCCTACCAGAGATGGAATTACAGAACGTTCAGCAGGTTTGTGATGCTACGAGCGCATTCATCTGCCAAGCGTTGACATTCTTGCGATCGAATGTAGCTTTGACTCATTCTTCTGTCCATGTGATGGCTTTTACTTGGTTCCGTCAAGCATGGCATAAACCTCAAATATCGTCAACACAGCGACGTACAGACACTCTCTTTTATGAGATGACGAGCGATGACGTAGTAAATCTCATCCTTGCAACATCTGGTCATGCTGACTCTGTGTCTTTGGCAGAATCAACTTCGATAGCGATTTCGTGTCCGACAACAACGTGGTTGAAAGCATACCATTCGCGAGAAGCCATTGAAGGGTACGTTCTTCAAGGTAAAATTGATGCCGATATGCAAGCAACCGAAATGCCCATTCACCAACAGGAGAAGATAGACGACTCAGAGCTTCGAGATCCAAGCCAAAATGAAGCTCGAGGTATTCATCATCTGCATTTCATGATGAGGAAGATGGAAACGATGCTTGAAGAAGCCAGATCTGCATCCATCGCACTCACGTATGAGCAGTATCAGGATATAGTAGAGCTCTCTTTATCCAATCTCAAATTGCAGGCATTTTATCAAAGTAGAGGAGTTAAAGCTATTCAGGCCGTCACGAAGCTTGCTTTTGCCTTGTTGAAAGAATGTATCAGCTTGTTGAGATCGTCGCAGTTAAATTCTATCCAAAAGGCAGCAATTGTCGAGCTTTTAAGCTGCAGCATTGCTAGGACACATACTGAGGAGCGACACCATGCCATTCAACCACCTGGACGTCAAGCTGGGGTGCATAGAGACAGAATTTTGATGACTACCAGCCCGAGTCCAAAAGTGTCTGTCGTCGTGAAAGCGCTGCGAAGTCTCTGGACCAGCGAAGATGCTCTACCGGTTCTTTCGAGTGTACAAGAAATGCTGGCGAAGATTTGCAATAAGGGCGATGGGCGAGATGAAGATCAATCCATGAACGATGACTTCTTTGATGGGATCGCGCAGGAATCTCGCTTCTCAGTCAATTCTTCTCAGCACGCTTCCGATGATTTCAAACTCTTGGCGATCGCTTGTCTGAAGTTGCTCTACAATGCCTCCATCGCAAGAACATCAAAGGATGACGAATTGGAGAGGCACCTGGAAAGCCTCTTGAATGATATTCCAACGGATCTTTACATTGAAAGCGTAGAGGTGATCAATTCTTGTCTTGCCGAGAGCAAGATGTTCTTGAGCAGTCAAATGCAGGAGAGCCATATCGAAAGGATTGGCTCTGACGTACTGGCGACCTATGCATTTGAGCGAAACATAGAAGGGCAAACGGTTGTCATAGAATTCTTGAGGGACACGATGTCGTCTTGGCTTACCATGTCATCTTTAACCTCGAAAAGGTCGGATAGACATATACAGCTTTGCCAATTCTTCATGCGTCAATTTAACAAGAATCATTTGCATTGGACCGTGGAGTGCGCTTTTGCCCGCTTGATGGAACAATTAATACGCCGCATAGTTGTCAAAGAAGGATTGGAGGAGTGTCTGCCTAAGCTTTTGCGACCTCAAGCTGTGATAAAGAGCTTGTGCACACTGAATGGGCGCTCAGATATGCGTGCAAGATTTCCTTCAAGCAGCTTACTTGGACGGCTGTTCGACTTATGGGGAACGCATTTCGGCCAAACGAAAGAACTGTACGAGCACCAAGAGGCAACATTGCCAGTATGTCGCGAAGATCAATCCCAGATGGCCTCGCGAATATTAACTCTTGCTAATATTTGTGTTGCAAGTGCACTAGTCCGTCCATATTCATTCTTTCATCTTTTGGAGGTTTGCATAATTACAGGACCTCATTCTGCTCACGGATCCAGCACGCTTCAAAATGTCTCTCATTTACTTGGATATGCGGACAGAACCAGATTGTGGATTTCGTTTGCAGCTCAGCTTGTCTGTGCTATGATCTTCAAAGATTATCTTCTGGATCAGGCCCCAATTCACGTTCTGGGTTTCAAATCGCAAAAAGAGTGGGCGACAAGTACTTACAAGGTTGCTGTTCCCCCTTTGCTAAACAAAGAAGGGCCAGCATATGAGGAAGGATTCTCAAAATTGTCCAAATTCCTAGATACTGGGAAGAGGGAGGTTGTACTTACTTGCTTGCCAAGCATCATTGCATACAAGGGCGTAGAGTATGTCTGCACGGGCGATGAAACACCGAATGTCCGCGAGTATCTAGCATCGTGGGCTGAAAGCAATACCAAGGTTGAAAAGCCTAAGAGGCTTGTTGATACCTGCTTGGTAAATTCACTAGACGTGATTGTCGTCCAAATTTTGCAACGATGGCATGAGTCGGAAAAAGAACACATGGATCTGCAAATTGCGACCAGCTTTCCGAGGTTCAGCAAGTTGGTGTCGTCGCTGCCTTTTCAGAAGAAGAACTTGCATTTGCTTGAATTGGCAGAACCGTGTGTGGGAACAAAGCAGCTTTTGAATTTGTTGGCATCAATATCAAGCTCCAAGCTCAGCGCTATCTCAGCAGAGGTGGCATTCAACGTTCTCAATCAGCTTGGAAGCATCCTGTATGATGAACAGTCCTTAGACAACCAATTGCGGCTCTTGCTTGCATTGCATGTCTACGTGTCAATGACATGGTCAATGATATGCGATTCGCCAATCTTGATTCGATCGCTCCTTCAGGTATGCCTGGCGTGCCTGGATATTCAAGATTTAGTGGAGCAAGTTGCACCAATTTTGTGCTTATGCATTTCTAATTTGACGGAAGATGTGGAAGATTTTGCAGCAACGTTGGTGATTGTGTGCGAGAAGCTTTTGACCCATAGCCAATCCAAGGATACAGAAATAGAAGCCATTTCTATTGCCGTCATGGACCATGTCGAGAAGATTGCTATACAGTTGTACGACTCTGAGACAATGCGATCTGGTATCCGCTCTGCTTTTTGTGCATGGCCTCGCGAGCTTCCAATGTCAGTGGCTCATCTTCAAAGCTCGGATTTGCCAGCTCTCATGCGAGCTGTTCACGAAGTGAATCATATAAATGTCCACTTCTTGCGTCGTTTTACTATTGCCTTGAAAGGGAAAGAGGCAGAAAGACGAGCTCATTTTGCTTCAACCGTGCTGTGGAAGATCCTTGAACTACTTCAAAGCAGCAAAAACACCTCGGAAGAAGAGATGAATCAATTTATGGCTGCGTTGGCGGATATCACATTTCAATGTGACGGAATGCTTCCAAGTCCTTCTGTGAAAGCACTGCGAGATCCTGGTGAATCTGACAGTCTTCTCAGATATGTACGGCAGATGGCTTCAGTAGACGAGAAAACCGAGGATAAAGTCTTGCCACTGCAACGGTGGCTCACCGAATTTTTGTTACAAAAGGTACATTCTTTGAATTTGTGTGAAGCTCAGGACGCTGCTTGCACTTTGCGTAATATTTTCAAGCAAGATCCTCAATTCAACGGCTTTAAACGGCAGAAAGACCATCAATCAAAGCTAATCACCGAGCTTCGATATGTCGTTGCTTTCGAGCCTCAACGAACAACCAGCATCGTAGCAATGGATATTCTGCTAGCCGGGGATGAGGCACACCAAAAGGCTACAGACCTGAACGTATGGTCACGTTGGCTGTGTCTACAACTCTTTCATCTTTTGGACGAATTGGATAACTCTTTACCGTATATGCACCTGGGAAATCTCGTCAAAGAATACGAAGGGATCGCTCAAGGAATATTACCATGCATTGTGCATGTTTTCTTCCGGATTGCAAAAGGCAAAAAGAATGAAAAGAGCCGTAAAGCAATGTCTCACCACTTTATGGACATTCTACGATACGAAAAAGCCAGTCCAGAAGTGTGGAAGCTGATTATTGAAATCGTGTTGCAATTAAGGGAAGACCCGCCTAGCTCTATACCCTTCTCTGGAGACGGATGGATACACAAGGTGGACTGGCTATTGCTTGCATCGCGTTCTGTTCAAGTGCAACTGTTTGCATCTGCTTTGCTATTTCTTGAAGTGCATAATCAATCATCATCAAGACCGGAAAACGCTTCTTCTGTGGACTTGCAGTATGCAATTTACAGTAATATTGAGGATCCAGATAGCTTCTATGGTATTCACAATGACAATGTGCGCGATTCGTTACGGAGAAGATTGGAGCACGAGGGCCGATGGGAAGGTGTGTTTAGCCTTCAAGCGGCTGAATTCGAGACCTCAAATGCTGCAAAGATGCGACAAAATATCGTTTCGACTCTCCATCAAATGAGATATGACCGCGTTGCGCTTGAGATCAGAGTGGAAGAAGATCAAATAGACTACGAGATCGGGTGGCGAACGCAGAATTGGGATCTTCCCATGCAGGCATCTGTGGAGATGGTTTCGCCTTCGCAAGCTCTGTATTCTGCTTTACGTTCCTTGCATGAGAATAGGAATGCACAGTTTGTGCAAAGTACTATTTCCACAGCTTTTGCATCACATTTTAAAGATCTAAAGAAGATCAACGTTGAATCAAGCAAAGTATCCCAAAGAATTTTACGCGATCTGATAGGCCTACGAGAAATTCAATCAAAGGAGGACGAACAAGATTTGTACAAACATTCTTTGATGGACTTTGACGTCTTTGAATCATGGATGTCGATCAAATGCTCATTATTGCAAGCTGAAAGGAAACGTACTCTACCGCAAGCGTTGGGAGAGGTGAATCTGGATGAATCAGATGAGAACATCGCATCAGAAATCAGCATTCTGCTATCTCTTAGCCAAAGGGCACGTGAAGAGGACAAAACCCAGATTGCAATCAATGCTGTGATACAGGCGCAAAATCTTTCTTTGCAGCACAGTATCTCCGAACACAAGTACAAGGTTGACGAAGAGTTTGCAAAAGTGCTTTGGATGCAAGGCAATCATTCCATAGCTGCTGATGCACTCAGTACGCTGCTGCAGAGCATGCAAAATGAGCGTCCTGCCTCAGTTCAAAGAGAGCGAGCCCAATCCTTGTCAACTCTTGGCCAATGGCGTGTTACTGCCCGTTCGCATCACGCACATGTGGTTGTAAGAGAATGTTTTAGACCAGCTTTAGGGCTCCTAGAGTCTATCAAGGCATTTCAAGAAGCAGCAGAGGTTGCATATCGTTACGGCGTCTTCGCAGATGAGCAGTACCGTGAACTGTGTACATCAAATGAAGGGCGTCGACTGGAGAAAATGATCAATGATCGTCATAACGAGATTGGGCTTTTAGATGCAGAACTTGCCAAATATGGTGCTCATGCAAGGGGGCCCAAGATTACTGCACTGAAAAATGCACTAACCAAAGCAACGGTTATCCTTCAAGCTGACGATGCGGCGCTTTCAGAACATAACAAATCTAAAGATAAATTTAGACGTGATGCGGTTGAAATGTTTGTCCGAGAGTTGAGCTCGTCTGGACAGATCAACGATGATGCTTTAATGCGTTTGACGTCATTGTGGTTCGAAAATTCACGGAATGAACCTTTCAACCAAAAGCTTGCGCCTTTGATCAAAAGAATCCCGTCATGGAAATTCATTCCAATGGTAAGGCAGATATGTTCGCGACTGAGCAAGGATAGCTCAATGGCCCAACAAGGAACAAGTAGATCTTCTTCGTCAGCTTTTCAATCGACTGTGTTTGACATTGTTCTGAACATGGCAAAAGATCATCCGTTTCACGCATGGTACCCACTTTACGCCTTATCACGGGGCAGCAGAGAAGCAGAACAAGATTCTCATTCGCGTAGAAGAATGCAAAGGGTCAGTTCCGGTACACATCCATCTGCTACACAGACAGAAAGAGGTGATGTTGCTTCTGATATCATTAATAGAGTTCGGATTGGGTCAAAACATAAGGAACGCATTCAAGCATTGTACTCGGTCTGCGAAGCATGTGTAGAATGGGCGCGATTTGATCTAGAAGAGAAAATGCCAAAGGAATTCGGACCGAAGCGCAGTGAAAAGAGTGCAAAGGGAAATTCAGATGGACCGAGGATCCCACAGCATTTGCAAATCCACAAAATACGTGATGTCAATATTCCGATTGTGACCAAATCGTTGCCGATCGAGCCTAATGCGAGTTATACTTCTTTTGTTAGAATTGCACATTACGCGGATCATTTCAAGACTGCAGGAGGTATTCATCTTCCCAAGATAACAGATTGCACGGGCAGTGACGGAAAGAGGTACAAACAGTTGTTCAAAAATAATGATGATCTGCGTCAGGATGCAGTTATGCAGCAAGTTTTTACATTGGTCAATTCTATGCTCAAACAAGATCGAAGGGCTAGCAAAAGATCTCTTCATGTCCGTACCTACAGTGTTGTTCCCTTGGGACCCCAATACGGCCTGTTGGAATTCGTTCCGAACACAGTCCCGCTTTTGGCGCCTTTGCAGCATACATACAAACTTCATCGCGAAGATGGACGAATGACACCAACGGAAGCACGAGAAAAGATTGCAAAGCTGGCGAAGGACAAAGTATCCATCGAGGAGAGGCGAAAAGGGTTTGAAGAAGTGTGCGAGCGTATGCCTCCGGTCTTTCGATTCTACTTTTTGCACCTGTACACCAACCCTTTAGCATTACTGCAAAGTCGATTGAATTACACGAGAACGGTGGCAACAAGCAGTATTGTCGGGCACATCTTAGGTTTGGGCGATCGACATTCCAGCAATATCTTGTTGGATCAAGAAAATGGCGAGGTGATTCATATTGATTTTGGTGTTGCATTTGACCAAGGGAAACTTTTACCGATTCCAGAGTTGGTGCCATTTCGACTGACACAGAATGTGATTGACGGTATGGGCTTGAATGGTGTGGAAGGCGTTTTTCGTCATGGCTGTCAGGAAACTTTGAGGGTTTTGCGGGGAGGTGCAAGTGTGATCAAGACTGTGTTGGAGGTATTCAAGAATGATCCCTTGTATGATTGGACCCAGAGCCCTGTCAAAGTGCTTCGAGCTCAAGGATACGATGATGACGATGAAAGTTTAGAGGAAAGCCGTCGGACATCAGCGGCGACCAGTACTACCTCTGGTATGAATGGCAGAGGAACAGAAGGTGCTGGACAGAGCAAAGAAGTCGCAGAATTGGCGGCTGAGCGTGCAATCAATTCCACCATGGAGAAATTGTCAAATAATCTCAGTGTTGAGTATACCGTCAATGCGCTGATGACTCGTGCGATGGATTCAACCAATCTTGCTACGATCTTCCATGGTTGGCAAGCGGCGCTTTGATAACTTGTATAATAAGAACGAAGAAAGAAACATATATTGAAATTCGTAACGAGGTATAGTGCGGGTCATAACGTAACATGAGGCGTTCCAAACAAAAGTGAGGAAGTGTGTTGTAACAGAAACAAGACTGGTAAAAGTAAGACCAAAAAAGCTTTTTTTCGAAGCGACCATATGCGCAACGTGAAAGCACAAATATATTGAGGTGAGAAGAGAGAAAAAGAATGGAGTAAGACGAGAAAGGAAATCAATAATGCAGCATGTCAGGATTGGTCCAATCCATTGTGCGTGGAAACATGTTTGTTTTGTCGGACGGAATGAGGCCGTTGACTTCGTTTGTAGGATGAGAGTACTCGGATCCGCCGATGATTTGCGAGTCGCTACCGTTTGGAATACTTGGAGAGGGCAAAGAGCTGGAGCATGACGGTAGATGTGCAACAGACGTTGAAATTGCCAGGTGGTGCGGAGACGGTGGAAGGAAAGAGGAAATGTAGTGTCGATCACTCGTTGGATCACAGACACCATGTTCTTGTCCCGCGTCTTTCATGAAAAAGTTTGCGTTGGCTGATTCGGAGTCATAAGGTGTGTTTGAATCTTGACTGTATCCCTTGAAATCAAAAGATATTTCGCGCATCATCATTGCATGATCACTCAATGCTTCTTCCGGGAAATCTTTTTGTCCCATCCCGCTCACACAGTGAAAAGAATGCGAACGTGCCATTCCTGGCATCGCAAATGGAGGAACATTCTGGCCTTGCAAAGACATGTACGAGGTGGAAGGCCTGTTCGGCGTGTCCAGCGTTGGAGAGAAATAGGACGAAGGCATTGAATCTGGCGTAGTGTTTGCAGTGACGCCATTAGATGATGAGTGCTCCTTCATCAAACCTGTGACGATCGTTGGGACCTGCCCAGACGATGCTGAGTATGAACGTTCGAAATTATGAACGGCGAAATGACTTTGATCCTGATATTGATAATGATGAGCGATACTTTGGTTGTCGTGCGCTGTCTGACCACCAAGAGGTTCAGATTTGAGAACAGGAGCTGTTGCCCAAGTTGATGGAGTGCTTGGCGAATGCAACGTTGAATTCGGACTTCCGCTATAGTTGGCCGAAAGTAACGCATTGCCTCCATGCGGATAGCCATGCTTTTCAAGAGCCAACAAGGTGGATTGCGGAATGTTTGTCGTTGGTGATAAAAACGGATTCACCTCTGATGCGTTGTAGAAAGGAGGATATTGCATCCCAGCCCAATTGACGTTCTCGAATTTGGGTGGATCGAGCAAATGTGCTGTATCAGGATAATCATACTGCTTGTTCTTCATACCGTGAACTTTTGAGTATGTTTGCAAGTGGTATTCTTCCTGTTCTTGCTTGACAGATGAACGTTTTCTCTTTGACAGTTTGTGTTGCTTGTCAAACTCTTTGACGTCATCGAATGACTGTTTTTTGCCCTTGTTCTTATCTGGTGACTTGCCATGGCTGTCATCCGTCCATACACATGTCTTGCCACGTCTCAAACATGTCCCGCATGTTCCTGTCTTTGGTCTTGGCATCTCATCGCTTGGCAGACAACGAATTTTACGACGACGACAAGGAATGCAGGCGCTGAAACGATCTGCAATGACGTGAACGCGAACGATTTTGTCGGGTTTGTTGTCTCCTTCCATAGATTCGATCATTTCAAAGGTTGTACTGTGCTTGCCATTAGAAGGGAATGATTTTGCAACTGCGGCTGCTGCCAAAGCATGCTCATGAACTCTTTCCTCCAAGGAGAGTTTGCCTGTTTGTTTGAGGGTATGCTCTTGATCATCCTCCTCATATGATTCATGATTGCTGTCAAGTCCTTTCACATCCATTAATGAACCTGATCGATGCCTCTTTTGAAATGGATGTGGGGTAGAATCTTGTTTTTGTGATCCAATCATGGTAATCGCGTTTGTATCTGAAGCTCTTCTTGCGGAGTTCATTGCTTGAATTTGAATTTTGTCACGATCTCCATTTCCGAACGCAAATGAATCATCTGTTCCTTTTCTTGTTCGACTGGTACGCGAAGACGTGTTTGTACGTAGGTCTACCATTGTTTCGATCATTTGAATACCCGAAGATGTAATTTCCTGATGGAAAGGTGTTGATCGTGAAGGAGTGACAAACTTTTCGCGTGAGGGTTCTGATGATTCTGTTGGCATTAATTGACGCACATTGAGCGGATGGAATTTTAATTTTGATAATTTGAGTAATGGAGGTGATGATGGAACGGGTTCTGATGGTAAGATTGATTCGTTTGTTGACATCATTGACGGCAAAGGCATCGAATCTGTAATCAATGAAAAAGTGTCAACAGGCATATTAACAGTCAAATAAAATCATTTCATGCAAACATATGAAGAAGGAATCCTCTGCTGCATTCATTCGTACGGCTTTTTGCGCGGGTTCACTCTTACCGTCCGAATCCGAACTCTGTCAAGTCTGAGCATCTTACTCACTTTTGAGGTTGTGAATCTTGATCACTTTTTGTTTGTATGCAAAGTTGCACAACGAAAGCCAGTGAATAGCTAAGCAAAAAAGTATGCTGGAAGACGTTGTGGAAAAACGACTTTGAAGGAAGATGTAAGAGGCAAGACAAGAAGAACAAGTGGCCTCCTTATATAGATTGATACAAGAAGATCAAAGTCTTCAGCATACCTGTGACAACACGCACAAGGGAAACCAATATCCGAGCAGATTTACCTAATTTCCCTGGAAAGATCTTGTTAAAAAGAAAAAGCTCGGCTCAATTGTCATCGGCCAAGGGGATCTCATTTGAAGGTGATGAAGGGGCTGCACAGACCAAAGATCGAGCGGTAAAACAATAATACAACCTATTCGGAGAATTAAAAAGGGCTATTAAGAGTATTGCAAGAATATTTCAACAATCTTTTTTCTTTCTTTTTTCCTGATTTGTATGCATTTCAATTTTAGGGTATTACGCCAATCCGGATTCGGGTTCACTGATCAGTTGTTGTGTTTATTTCGATCCTACATAATGTATCTAAACCTGGGCGTAATAAAATGACGGCTGTATTTTACCGGTAGCAAGTAAGGCCACGGAACTTTGAATGGGAGGCGAGGAGAATTGAGCCATGGCTAAACTTGAAGATACACCCAAGAAATATTTCGTACGAGAAGATTCGGGGAGGGAAGCACTATATGATGTGTTCCCTTGTCCGTTGAGATCGAGTTGCGGAAGATGATAACTTTCCCAGCAGGTAGAAGAAGCAGGTTCATGTGAACACAAACCCTTTTTTGGAGATGCTCAATGCTATCGCTATCAAACAACATTTCTCTCTTGAATTCTCAAGCATAATAATGAGGTCAGATCGCAGTGATCGAAGAATTCAGCATTTATTTGTGTTGTCATCATCGCTGACAACGGTGATCAAGCCAAGGTATTTCTTCCTCGGCGTGCAATTCATCTCCGCATAATAATACACGATCCTTTCGAAATGATTCATATCAACAGCCAAGACTGAAATTACAGAGAGTCATTCCGTGAGAATAATAATCTGTTTATTTTTAGAGAGGGCCTCGGGATCGCGAATCAATTAGCGGTCATAGAATGCCAAAAACAGAAAATCAATATCTGTGCATCCCCATTCAATTCGGCCTATCCTTTGCCATTAGTAGAAAGGATGCCGCTTTGTGATATAGTTGCGTCTAATGGTTCATCTCGTTCATCACTTGGCACTCTTTCAGGAGATGGTAAAATTTGCTGGCTTAACGATAAAGCGACTGCGAATGGAAGGGGGCAAATCGGATTCGGCACAACCGAGAGGTGGATAATGTTAGCAAACATCCTAAATTAACAATGTTTTCTCGATACTTACTCGTTTTACAGGAAGGCAGCCGTCTAATTTTGGCAAATTCTTGACATCTTGCAATATATCGATCATAATATCCTTTTCCGTGACCTAATCTTCCTCCGTACAGATCGAATGCCACGCCTGAAGCGAATGAATTCCGGTTAGCATTCGTGAGATGTAAGATAAGCTGACACATTCGGGCACTCACCCGGTACAAGTATCAGATCCAATCCACTTCCTCCGCTCGACTCCTCCAGGGCTATTTTTAGGGATCAGCATTCATTTCACTCTCTCTGCATTGGCAATGTCCACTCACCATCTTCCCTCTGCGCTTCTCTGTAGTGCTCATCTGGCTCTCGTATTCCCCATCGATTCATGACCATGGCTTCGTAGTCTTCCCAATCATTCACTCTGAGCATCCGCATATCCGAATCAAAAGATGCCTTTTGTGCCGCTTCTGTGGTAGATCCTCCTACTTGTTGCGTTGGAGGTGTAACTTTTGCAAATCGTGGAACGTATAGCTTTTTTCCCAGCAATAGTGTTTGCTTACATAGTTCTTCCGTTCGTACTTCTCCTTGATCCATGCTAACGTATATGCTGACACTTTTTGCATCTCTGTATGCGGGATGATTCAAAACGTGTTGTGTGACTGCAGTGGATTGTTGTACCAGCTCTGTTGGCGGTATCGTTGCTAGATGTGCGGCCATTTGTTTTCGTAGCGCTCTCTTTGCTTGTCGGATAGACTGAGCTGCCACATTGAGAGCGTTTTGAGTGCTCATTCTGTTTGCTAGATGTGATGGTGATCATAAGTCTTGCTACTATTTCTTCTTCGTGTGGAGTGTTGCTCTCTATTGAACACGCTAAATGCCAAACATTCGAACATTCGCATCAACGCGACAGAGACCTATAAATTGCTCAGCAAACGAAGCCGTTGTATTTCAACTCTTAGCCATCATCACTTCATCATGTCAAAACAAAGAGGAGAAAAACATGGCAGAGCACAATCAGCCATCTCAAGAGATGATGCAAAACGGATAAGAGACGATGAGACAATCGTCAGTGAAATGTCGGTAGATCATTGGTTACCCACAAGTTCAACTAACGAAACATCAAAGAAGGCAGGAAAGCGTAGACAAGCTAGCGAAGAAGAAGATTCAGCAACCGAATTGGGAAACGATGATGATCTTAGTAACACAATTGAAGATGATGAAGAATGGCTTGCAAAACAATCTGCTCAAAAGAAAAATACTGGAAAAGTGGCCAGGACTGGAAATGTAGATTCTCCTTCACACCATAAAAGACGTGTAAAAGGCAGAAAAGATCCTTTCATCACCTCACCGCCAGGAACGAAAGCAAGAGGAAAGCGTATTTTAGACGATTCAGATGATCATGAGATTGGAGATGAATGGACAGATTTGAACGGGCTGCGATGGAGAATGGGAGACGATCGGGAACTTAGACGAGAAGCAATCGTGGTAGAGATGCGATTCAAATATCCAGATATGCCAAAAGATTCACGTCATCCAGACGCAAAGATCAAAATTCCCGTGCATGTGGAGAAGTTTCTGACGGAGCAAGAGTACGATGATATGAAATCGAAAAAGTTACTCGGATTCCAAGAATTGGAACGACAGCGTGAAATCGAAGAAGCAGAAGCAAAGAAGCGGGAAAAGGAAGAAGAAGAAGCCAGGGAACGTCAACGTGCGATCGCAGAACGTGGAGATCGCACTATTGCAACGCCAAAGAAAGTTCGGGATGTGTATGCGTTGTATGACTCCCCGTTCAAACGTCCTTCCATTTCTCCATTGAGAGGTGTATTGCCTTCGCCGATGCAAAGATCACGTTCCACATCTTCGGTTTCTTCGACACACTCTTCCTCCTCAAAAGCATCTGTTCCACATAAACGACTTTCCCTCAGCATGGGGAGCGGGAATAGCTCTAAAGTAAACCCTCCCGAATCACCCGAAACGAAGAAAGTACCAATGTCAGCACCTCCAAAGCGCTCGTCGAACTCCTTACGCATCCCGCTATCTTCGCCTTCATCGCAGAACAATTCCTCACCTTCGCCTTTAAAGCGCCTTCTGGGATCACTCGGAAGTGTCGTCGCACGAACAAAGCGAGAAGAATCTTTGCTCAAGATCCTAAAAGAGGAGGATGAAAGGAAGAAAAAGCGGGAATCATCCCTTGTCAAATAATGCTAATCATGCACTTTGTATTCTATCACTCAATAACACCCATTTGATTTTCTGCATTTTTATTAAATTCTATTATCATGATAGCGCTGTGATTGCGCATCGACTATGGTGCAAACAAACAGATTGCTTGTTGTTTTAGAGTTTCAATCGTGGCGACATGGCATGTGTGAAAAATAGTCGGATGACACATGCTGGGTGGATAAATTTGATTCTTGATCTACTATACACCTGCAAAGCTTTGAGGGGAAAATATACTGATTTGTGTTGAGAAAGATGAAAGCTGGAATTGTCCGCCCTTTGAGCGACCGAAACCCTTGCAAAGCTTCCCCGCAAATCATGCGGGCAATTCGAACTTTTCTCCTTTCATGACTTTTGTGAAGTAGATGTAGAAGAAGTCTAGGTAGAGACCTGTTTGAACCAATCCGGCCAAGATTGAGATTGGATCGATGGAACCTTCAGCGAAATATCTGTAAATCCAGTTGGGAATGTACAATGCACGATAAGCTCCTAAAGCGAACAAATAATGTGTCGTAATCGTTTCCGCTTCTCCTGTTCTTTGTAGCATGAATAATTGTGGCAAGATGGCAACTGATTCTAGGTAAATAGAGAAAGCCCAAAAGATTTCTTGTAATGTTGAAAAGAAGCCTGCTCCAGCTTCACGATAATGGAAGATTAAAGCCAACAAACCTGCCGGTCCCAAGAGGTACTCCAAACGAATCGTATCAATCGCAGGATCGTGTGTCGGACGATATTTGACACGCATAAGGTATAAGACATAAATCGAAGAACCGATAAAGAAGCATTTCATCAAAAATCTGTAAAGACTTCTATGTGCATCTGCAAAGATGTCCAAATATCTTGTAATGAAAACGATTGAGTATAAAAGTTGAGTTTTGAATGAGATACCTCTACATGATTTTGAAACTTGAATCTTTTGTAGAAGGATAAAGATGGATGCTAAATGCGATAAATCGCCAAATAGTCGAAAGATGTTCATCGCGGGAAGAGCGGTATGATTGGAGTGAAACTTGCTATCAAATGACTGTCTTTTCTGCCAATGTTACGCCTTATTCCATAGAATGCCCTTTTGAAGATGGAAGCGAGAAGTTTAGTGACAGTGACCAAACACACAAAGTAGAAAGTGTTTGATACGCTAAAAGAATTGAAAGGCATTTCCAGATGAATTCCTCCAGTGTTAGGCAGGCAGGCACACTCTCCTTCTGTCGGTCAATCAAAGGAAGCGCGTCCTTACGCCAAAGCGGCGCGTTCGTATTTTTAGCTCACCAGCCAGCGTTTGACTTTTGGTGACACGTCAACTAGCTAGCGTGATTATGTAATCACTGAAATCGATCTCATCGCTTTGTTCTAAAATACGATTTCATGGAATATGATTTGATGGAGTTTAACAAAAGAAGTTGAAACGACTAACTCGACCTTGTTGTACTCTAGTTGACCTGTCAGGTTGTTAGGATGTGTCCATTGCTGGATTTTATTGATGTTGTGGAATGATGAATGCACTTTTATGTTAAATAAATCGTAAGAACGAATAAACGATACAATATGACATGTGTTTAGGGATATTCAATACAATTAAATCCTTACGTCAAAACGTCTCATTCTTCTATGATGTTCGATTTCTAGAAGTTACATCATCCCGGGACTATTACACAAATTAACATTCCAAGGATCCCCGATTCTTGATCCCGTGTCCGCGCATATCTATGACAATTCATATCCGCTAGGTATATCCATATAACTGGATTTGCATCTCACCAATAACCATATCTACTCTCTTATCCGATTCTATAGCACCCTATTTCGAATTTGCTGTGCTTTATATGCTGTGCATACACGGGATCATTGTTAAATTTTAAGAAAATGATTCTTTGTGCCTTAAAAAGTGAACGTTGTGTGGCTGAAGAGACAAAGAGGCGGCGCGCGCTCTAGGCAAAAAGAAGCCTTTTTCTGACCCTGAAATACGCACAGTCACTCACACAGCCTCTCTAGCACATGTACATTCATCTTTTTATTTTCTATTTTTGTGGCTAAAGCTTAAAAGACGATTGCCCTGCTGCAGTAGAAGCTTGTGCACCTCTTTCTCTTCGGGCAGAACGGCCTCTCTCGGCATTTGATAATAACAATAACACTCTCAATATTTGCATTTCTCTTACAGCCCTATTAGACAGGAGGCAAAACGTAATTGAACTCCCTATTCCCCCGCAATGTTCATTGACATCACGCCCTCTCCTTCTCTGTTGGCATAAATTAAAAGGCCAAGAATATTAAAAATAATTCGCGACACTGTCTTTTTGCGCCTTTTTTGGCCGCATATGCACTTGTCATCATTTAACGGCCTCCGTCGTTCTGAAAGAAATAAAACATATATAAAGTAGAAGAATTCAACAAACAGGTCACGCCCCCAATCTATCTACCCTCTTAACCATCACCACCTCCTACTCCCTGCTCGTTGCTATTGCTATACCTTCACAATGCGTGCTTCCACAACAATCTTTGCAATCACTGCTTTATTGGCATCTACCGCTCAAGCTCAAATTCCAGGTTTATCCTCTGGTTTGATCAGCGGTTTAAGTACAAACTGTTTGGGCGGTTTGGCTTCTTTGTTGAGCAATCAAGATTTGAACAGCTGTTTGGCTATCACAAGCGTAATTACTGAATTGGGTACAGTTGGTCAAAATGATTCTTTGGTAGGTCCTTTGAACACTTACATCGGTTCAAACTTGTGCCCTGCAAGTCCATGCAGTAATTCAACTTTAGCATCTGCCAATTCGACCATCAATCAATCATGCTCAAGTGAAATTCAATCAGGCGCAAACGTCTTGCCAGGATTGTTGCAATTGGTTGTTTCCAACTATAATGACGTTAAAAAGGCTTCTTGTTATGAAGACACAAAGGCAAACAATGAAATTTGCATCGTTCAAACATTAACAAACCTTCAACAAAATTTAGGTCAAAATGTTTCATTGAATACGATTACATCTTTGAGCAAAGGCGGTTCAAGTGCATTGCAACCTTTATTGTCAAAGTTGGCAGCAAATTCTAGTGCTTTGTGCACAGATTGCAACAGAGGTATCCTTACAACTTTGGCACCCACTTTGCAATCTTACTTGAACTCTTCCACCAATCAAGCACTTCAACAAGCCGTCGCGCAAGGATGCGGTCAAACATTCTTGACAAGTGGCGTTCCAACGGATTTGAAAGAAACTGGAAAATTACAAACAACCAGCGGAAGCAATTCCGGCACAAACGGTGCTTCCCTTGTTACCGTTTCTTCCGTCACTGCCGGTACAGCATTATTGGCAATCGGAATGGCTTTGTTGGCTTGAGAAGGGGGTGTAACAATGGTGTTGTAGCTCAATCATGTATCCTTTCTACTTTCCGTGCGTGTGATTACTCTATTCGAATAATAATGTACATAACATCAATGTTAATGTCAAAGATTGTCTCTTTCATGATGACCAAAAAAGATGCAGGTACGCGACCTGACCACGTAATTAGCGCCTGACCAAAAAAGTGCTAATCTCGAAAGTGTAATCGTGAGTGTGTGACAACCCTATCTTCTCACTGTCACTCACGCTGACCGTCAAGGGATAGTGTTTTGGCAAGGTACTGAAAAGAATTTGCTGGTAGGGATCACGATAAGAAAGTAATTAGACCCCATATCCATCAAATCGAGATGCAATCAACATCATCACCTCCACCTACCTCTGCTGAAGGCAGACCAGGTCCATTTGGTCTATCTGAACATCCATTGTTACCGATGGCAGAAGTTGGAAAAGTGAACCGCAAAGGCCAACTTCGTGGAACGGCTACGGGAATATTTAGTGGTGTCTTGGGCGGTACGTATACGAGAAGGCGATATCTTTGCCCGAATAAATGCTGATTATCCCTTCCTCCTCTTGCTACAGCCCTCTTCGTTCGAAATGGTTTGAAACGATCCCCGAATGCTACGGTGATGAGTGGGCTGTTGATCGGATCTCTAACAGGTTACATTTCCAGTACAATTTACGTAAAGGAAGGACTGAGAATACTAGAGGAAAAGAAGCAGTCTTTGCGTTCTACCGTTGATCGTGATACCGATCTAATGAACACTCTCGATATGCAAGCAGGTCAGAATCCTAATTTTGAAGCAGGCGTTGCAGGCTTGCATGAATTCCAAGATCGCTCCCATTCCACCAGAGGGGATCATTAGTGCTTCATTACTACCTATGTATTTTATTGTCCTCACCATCACCGCTCTAATTCATCAGACATCTAGCATCAACCACATGGGTGTATTGTGAGAAAGTAGAAGTACATAAAAGCGATGAAAGTGCATTGGAATGCCCGATTTCACAAAGATGTGAAAAGAAATGGAAAATCTGCCGAGTATATGCTGCTGTGATTCTACTCGCGTATGGTTGATTGCACTGGAAGGCGTGTGGCAATCGCGACCATTAACGATCTTCTGCCCATTCGTTCTCCTTTTTGATCTGTTCTTCCTCTTCCTGAGTGAAATCGTTTTGAATGTTGAATAGCTTTCGGATTTCTTCGGGTGTTTTGCCTTTGATCATATTGGCAACAGTCTTGCAACCAACATCCAATAATGGCTTGATGTCCAAATAATTTGCAGCCAAGATGATTTCAAAGAGCATCTCTTGATCAACGTTGATGAATTTGGAATCCCAATCACCGATATCGGTCGTGCGTTTACGTGATTCTTCACTTTCATCGGTTGGTGGTGCAGGGTCACCGCGATGATGAGCGCAATACTCGAGAACCTGAAGGGGGGCATGAAAACGGGTGTCAGATATATGTTCGATTGATTCAAGTCACAACACTACTCGCCTTTTTCAAAACATTTGAAGACACGTTTGATAACGGGATTGGATTTTCTTCTGCTTCTGGAAGATCGTCCAACATTGTCTTGAGCAGGACTGAACGCTCAGCAACATCGCGATCGACGTTGAAGATTTCATTGTCTGAAGTGGATAGTTGAACCATTCTGACGTGATTTTGATGGAATGATACGTGATGTTTTGAAGGGTGGTTTGATGCGATATCAATAATCTCTTTATGCTTTTGAGATGGTCGTAGTGCTGAGCATAAGCGTATGAGGAGCTAGGAGCCATTGGAAACACAAAAGGACGTTCTTCATTTCGACTTAAAGTACCAATAATTGGAGACGCCGCGCATGAGAGAGGCTCTTATGCGGCCCATGCGCAAGGCAGCGCAGCACTGCGTTATTACTCTACGGCTGCTTTGTGGGCGTAGTCACCCTTTTTCTTGGCTGATTACAGGGCTAATGCCTTGGGCTTGTAGCATAAAGTTCTCCCTTTCTTGACTTTATGCAGAGTGTGTTGTGTACATCGAGTCTTAAATTTCAGACTTTTTGCATTTCTTCCTGTTGCTATCATCAACACCGAGTGGTACTTCAAACATGGATGCTATTCGTCAAGCGGTGGAGGGAAAGATCGTGAGTAATTCTAGATCCCGATACTTTTTTGCAAACTATTCATGTATGCCATTCTCTCCCTTTGCATGACAGCCATTCCAAGGTCAAAGGCTGGCCGATCGAATTAATCAAGAAGTTATCGTGATGGGAGCAGTGAGTTGACTCTTTTTGAGGTAGCATATATTTCGGCCCATCGCTGACATCGAAACCCCTTCAACAGATTGTGGCTTGGATTATAGGCTACTTTGCAGACAATTTGTTCTTGTGCATGTCTGTCTTTGGTTTCTCTTGCTTTGTTGCTTTGGTTGTAAGTGGAATGACTGATGGAAGAAAGAGGACAAAGGCTGATATTGTACACTTTTCTCTTTACAGGTCGCTGTTCCACCTTGGCCAATGTATCACAGAAATCCAGTCATCTGGTTGCCAAACCGACCGCGCTCAGAAGATTCAAAGAGCAAGTAGAGGGCGAAGATGCGAGCTATATGTTGCTATTCATGACAAACATTGTATTTTTATTCACCACATAAGATTGATTCAAAATTGCGATTATAGCATTGGCAGACTGGCACTATTTGAATTACAAGAAAACAATGGAAGATCCAGGAGCATGAAAAAAGGTGGACGGGTAAAATTGGTGATGGATAGGGACTAACACTTATCCTAATCGGCGACTGACTTTGATATTGTTCTCACCACGTTCCAACGAAGATGCATGATCTGATGCTGCTGTACTTGTGTCACCTGCATCGCTTTGATCGTGATGCTGTGCTTCAGAAAGAGAACGTTCTCGTGCAGCGGCGGCGGCAGCTTCTGCTTCTGCTTCAGCACGCAAAGCTGCAGCTTCCTCTTGTGGGTTACGTCCCAATGCAACTCTTCCTTCTTGTTCGTGATCGACTTCTGCTTGAGAGTAGCTTCCCAACCATTTGTACAACAAGCTTCCGAGTAGAGCAACCGCTTGCAAAACCATTGACAGAATGATTGCAGCGACAATCTCTGGTCTACGATCATGAAGTTCAGGTGTTTTGGAATAGAGCAAGGCAAAGTACAAAAAGATTCCAGAGATTGCCCATGTGATATCTGTTGCTGCAAAGATCCAAATGGCCGATAATGCTCCCACTCCAGCCAAGATTCCGAATGATGGCCACAAAGCACGAATATCTGTTTCAGTTGATTTTGGTGTGTCATACCATCCCAAAGCCATGAATAGCATTTGGGGAATATCAACTTGTAGAGTGATGACAAGGAACATCTTGATAGGGACATGGATGAAAAGCCAATCCAGAGGTCTTGATGAGCTTGGCGGGTACTTGACCGCCAAGATCAAAGCGGTAAGCAAGAGCAAAACACCAATGAGCGACAACAATACCAATCCAGCAAGGAAAGATGCATGATTGTTAACGACCCAAGTGATTGCCCATGCACCCAAGAGGAGGTTTGAAATAGCTAAACGAACGCCTACTCCGTATACGATTGTCTTTTTTGTGAATTCCTTTTGGCTCACAACAATCAAAACAGCGAATCCGATCTGGAGTAAAAAGAGAACACCCCAATAAAGCAAGATAAAGTTGGGATTGGGTGTGAATTGAGTGATGTGTGTTTCATGAATCTCTTTTAATGATGGATGAATCAAGATTGAACAAACGACTAGAGAGGCAAGGTTGAGTAAGATACTCAAAGGCGTGATGATTTGCACCCTTGCCAAATGTCTTTGTAGGGGAGCATCCATCCTGTTCTTTTGTGTTTGATGGTTATCTTGTTGTTCTTGTTCTTGTTCTAATTCTGGATCTCTTTGAACTGGTTGATAAACGTGATCTTCGAATGGTCTTGGATGTGAACTTGATGATGATTGACGATGATGATGATGATTTGATGATGAATCTGTCATTTGATGTACAATGATGGATGTCTTCTTTTAAGAGAGCATAATATAATCCGCGCATATTCTTGCATTCATTCATGTGGAGCATAATTGTGGCCATCGAGGGGAGTCGTAATTTATTATCTCGATAGAGGTACGTACGCTTTGCCCCTTCTACACGTGTGTGTGTGTACAGCGCGGGGAATGAATGGCTAGACAGACAGACAGGCTTGGCTTGACTTGGCCTTTTGGTCTAGGTCTTTAGCTTAAAAGCCTAATTTACATTCAGACCAAAAGATTGGAAGCGAGCACAGACACAGAAACAAGCTAGGCATTCATTCGATTAACAACAACCATCACACTCAAACAACAAGATGCTAGACCATTTCAGCATCTTGACAAGGACCGGTTTGGTACTATGGTCAAAGAGCTTCACACCTGCCATTCCATCAGAAACAAATGGTGTGATCGCAAATCATCCAGTTGACGCTTTAATCAGATCAGCTTTCTTGGAGGATCGTTTAGCATCCGATAAATATGAAAGGGAAGGATATAGTCTACAATGGTCATTGGTAAATGATGTCGAACTGGTATTTGTCGTCGTTTATCAACGGATCTTGCAATTGTCATACGTACCTCGATTGTTGGCGTCCATCAAAGAAGCGTTTTTGCAATTCTTTAAACCTTTTGTAATCGCTTTACGTGAAGCTACGCAACCACATAAAGGCAGTACATCATCATCCTCCAATATGAACGCAGTTCGAAGACTCAAAAAAGAATTTGACACACGTTTGCAAGAATGGGAAACGACTTTCCTCAAAATTTTGAGAGGCTTAGAAAGGGAAGCAGCACAGCAAAGTCGTCGCAAGGGTGGCGCTGGCATTGCTGCAGGTGCAGGCGGTACCGCGGCTACTATGGCAGCCATTGCAGCTGAAGACACAAATGGCAAAGCACACGAATCTGGAGATGATACACCAAAAGCATTGCAAGATGGACAGGATGGTGTGACAGATGGCCAAGATATCGCAAAGAATATTGAAGCTTTGCGGACAAGATTGAAGAAAACAAACATAAAGGGAGGGAAGGGGGCCAAGGGCAGGACTAGTCTGGGTAAAGACTCACCCGCAAGCAGTGGTGCAGACACTCCTGGTGGAGCCAATACGCCAGGCAAGAAGAATAAAGGACCCGCAAAAGAGATGCGTAAATGGGATGGTGGAAAATTGTCAGAGAAAGATATTGCTGCACTGGATTTCTCATCGGCTGGTCCAGACACACCTGCAACAGAACAAAAGGGTGGTGATTTGAGCGGTTGGATTGATGAACGTAGTATGGGAACAAAGAACGATGGCCGTTATGAGATTGCGGATGTCGATGATGGCAGCGATGAAGAGGACGAGGAGGACGAGGACAATATCACATCTCCGCCTACCTCTGGAATATGGTCTCGCTTCTCTTTAAGCAGCACTTCAGAAAAGAAAGCTTCGTTGTTCTCCCGCTTGACAGGCAATACACCTTTGACAGAAGCCGATCTTGCACCAGCTCTGGCAGCTATGCAATCTCATCTCCAGTCCAAGAATGTGGCAGCTGATGTTGCAGCACAATTGTGCGCATCTGTGTCAAAAAGTCTTGTTGGTAAACAAGTGGGCTCCTTTGGCAGTATCAAAAATGAAGTTCGCAATTCCTTAGAGCAAAGCATCACTCGAATTCTTACGCCAAAGACGAGTACAGATATTCTACTAGAGATTTCTACCAAGAAACAATCTGCGTTGCGAAATGCATCATACTTGGCATCACAACAAGGACGTGGAAAAGGACAAAAAGAAGAAGAAGGTCCACAGCCTTACAGCTTATGTTTTGTTGGTGTAAATGGGGTTGGTAAATCAACAAATTTAGCAAAAGTTTGCTTTTGGTTATTGCAAAACAATCTTCGTGTTCTCATTGCTGCTTGTGATACATTCAGAAGTGGTGCTGTGGAACAATTGCGTGTGCATGTTCGCAATCTGGGTCAATTACAGGTCGACGGGCAGCGTGTTGGAGATGGAACTGCGGACGGCAAGAACAAAATTGAACTCTACGAGAAAGGATACGGAAAAGACGCCGCTGGAATTGCAAAAGAAGCTCTCACATACGCTCGTAAATCAGGCTTTGATGTTGTTTTGATTGACACGGCAGGTAGAATGCAAGACAATGAGCCTCTGATGCGAGCTTTGGCAAAGTTGGTTGCGGTCAATGATCCCGACAAAATTTTGTTTGTCGGAGAAGCATTGGTAGGAAATGAAGCAGTTGATCAATTGACCAAATTCGATCAAAGTTTGAAAGATTTCAGTGGAGTAAGCCGGCCAAGAGGTTTAGATGGAATGCTGTTGACAAAGTTCGATACGATTGATGATAAAGTCGGTACCTCTTTGACGGCCACAAGCGTGACTGGCTTGCCAATCTACTTTGTCGGCGTTGGTCAAACGTATACAGACTTGAAACAATTACGAGTCAAGCATATCGTCAATGCTCTATTGCGGGACTAGGGCCCTGTAATCAATCTCTCTTTTTCATATGTCGTAGTGTACAATATTGCAATTAAATGGAAAATCACAGCAGCATGATTGGAAAAAAGTACAGTGTTTATCTTTGAGCGTTTTGCATTGCTTGCTTGACTTGAGCACAATGTCTTCTTGCCCGCATCAAACAGATTTTGACGAGTTCTTCGTCTTGTATGCGCAGCTTGTTTGCTGCCCCTTGTTTGCGTCCCTTTGCTTCGGCTTGACGTGCTTCTTCTGTTGTGATCAATGCAGAACAACGTCCAGAACATTGAACGCCGACCATATCTTCCTCCGTATCTAGCTTCATCGTATCTAGTGTGATGGTGATAGAAGCCGAAATCATCGTCGATTCGAATGCGTTTGGGTCGGACAATAAATGTGTGCCTTCAACAATTCCGAATGTAAATGTTTGTGGAGATGAGAGTAGCGACAGAGGCTTTGTTTCTGATTCTACTGAAGAGCATACAAGGCCATGGTCATCGGATTGAGTGTTGGGTAGCTTTGTATCGTTCAATGCAGCATTGACAGCCAGAGTGCAGGCGTCTAGCAAGTTTCCATCATACGAAAGGCATACCAGATCTACAAATAAACACCATCGTAATGATGTTCCTTGAATGTTGAGTGAATCAGCAGAGAATGGAGGACATACGTCAAATGATCGCATCAGACGGCTTGCCAACACTTGTGCTTCTTCTCCCGGTGGTCCCGATTTAAACTTTGCACTTGACATAGGAGTCAAATCCACTCCGACCACCAGACTTCGTTTATCGATCGGACCCAATCCTATCAATTTGTTTGTGTCTATTTGCATATCGTCCTCGTCTCCTTCATCGACGTCAGCCGTTTGTTGGATATCTGAAATATCTATGAATTCTCCCTTTACGCCTGCTATTATTGTTGAATTGCCATATCGAACGATAGCGCTCCCTTGTGCTGTTTCAATTGTAGATACACCCACACTTACATCGCGAAATGCTTCAAAAGATCTTCCATCAGGTCGTATTGCATTATCCAAAAAGCGGGCTAGATAGGTTGTTGGATGTAGTCTAGCAAATATTGTGGATCCCAATGCCGTTGAGCTGTTATCAGCAGCATTCATCGTGCTAGCCGTCATATTTGTGTGAATGAGGGTGAGAAGATTGTAATCAAGAAAAAATAATTTATTTCATTTAGCGCCGCGTACGAATAAATTTTAAGTTTGTGGCCCAAGCGGTTAATTGCATTTATTTATGCAAGACGCCCGCATGAATAGATTATTATCAGGATGACCTCTTTTATTGATTGCCAAAATGACATGCTCATGATAACCAACTCAAGGATGGTACAAGGGAGCATGACTCAAACAGGATCTCTTCCGATCGAAAGACCATCAAATGATCCAGAATGGACGTATGACATGCGAAGGACAGCACAAAGCATTTTGCCATATTTATACCTTGGGCCAGTAGAAGCGGCTAGAAATTTGGCATTATTACACTCAAACGGAATCACGGCAGTTTGCATCTTACGAACACAAGCTGAAGCGATGTACCTTAAACCCAAGTACCCTCAAACATTCACCTATCAAGTCTTTGAAATCTCAGATTCAGATGATCAAAATTTGATCAAAATCGCTCCTTTCTTTCGACAATTTATCGAAGCCGAATCTGCAAAGCCGAATGGTCGAATTTTGGTACATGATGAAGGAGGTATGAGCAGAGCTCCGGCAATGGTGATCCTGTGAGTTGTGCGTGGAGGTGGTGGAAGTACCTTTTTGCTAACGTTCCTCCTTCAGATATCTAATCGAAAAATACGGAGCTTCTTACGAGGATGCAGCCGCTTTTGTGCAGAGGAAGCGTTATTGCACACATCTCAATATAGGATTCACACAACAATGCAGGGTGAGCAATTTCGAAGTGGATAGAGTTAATGTGACTGCTGACAGAATGACTAATTTTACTCTTATAGGCCTTTCAAGATATCTGCAGAGCCCGCGAAACCGTTGCTGGCTACAACTCCAGTGTGCTTCTAAATGATCAGAATCCTCATAGAAAGCGAGTACTGGAAGAAGACGAAGAGTAAGTATCTTTACACAGCTTGATTATGTTCGTCATTAACCTCCTTCTACTCCCCGTCAGCAGTGAAATGGCAAATCACACCACATATCCACATCAAAGAGCCAATATCTCTGCCACGCAGGCCGAATAAAGCAAGAAGACGATCTCTAATTTCAAAACATTGTACCATACGACATGTGTTCCCTTTCTCTCAATCATTATACCTCATCACGGCCTAGCATTACTGTATATTTTTTACGATATGATTCAAATCTATTATTTTGGAATGAAGAGTGATGCTCTTAGACACGCTCGAGCACGATTGCGATACCTTGTCCTCCACCGATGCATGCTGCACCTACAGCGTATTTCTTATCCAGTCTGTGTAAGTTGTGAGACAAATTAGCAACGATACGAGCTCCAGAGGCACCCAGAGGATGTCCGATAGCGATTGCACCACCGAAGATGTTTGCTTTTTCGTTTGGAATTTCGAGTTCTTTTTGAACGGATAACCATTGAGATGCAAATGCTTCATTGATTTCCCAAATATCAATTTGATCTTTGCTCAAACCGGCACGAGAGAGTGCAATTTTGATAGATTCAACCGGTCCGATACCCATAATTGATGGCTCACAAGCGGTATAACCGTAAGAAACAATACGTGCCAAAGGTTTCAAATTGTTTGCACGAACTGCTTCTTCACTTGCGATCACATTGGCAGCGGCACCATCACAGATTCCACTTGCATTTCCTGCTGTTACAGTACCATCTTTTTTGAAAACGGCAGGTAACTTGGCTAATGATTCAGGAGTTGCTTTTTCACCTCTTGGATGTTCATCAACTGAAACTGTAACGGTTTCTTTCTTTACCTTGACATCGACTGGAACGATTTCATCTTTGAATGCACCGTCTTTTAATGCTTTTGCATATCTGTGTTGTGTTTGTAGAGCAAAATTATCTGCATCTTGACGTGTGATTCCGTATTTTTCTGCCAAGTTTTCAGCAGTGATACCCATTGGAGTCGGTGTGGGGACTTGATCGGTAAGAGCGGCTGCTAAGCTATCTACCAACTTGAGATCGACACCATAACGTGTGTTGCCGAAACGAACGCCGGATAAAGTATAAGGTGCTTGACTCATGTTCTCAGTTCCTCCTGTTAGCAAGACATTTGCATCCCCAGCACCGATTTCTTGAACAGCATTGATGACTGATTGGAAACCAGAACCACACAATCTGTTCACTGTAAGGGCAGGTGTTGTGACTGGTAAACCAGCATGATGACCGACATGACGTGCAAGATAAGCAGCAGCATTATCACTTCCATGAACGTTACCAAAAATTGTTGCATCAATCTTTGTTCCTTGTGGTAAATCTGCCAATGCTCCTCTTGATGCTAAGCCACCCAATTGAGCTGATGTGAAGCCGGATAGTTTACCGCCAAAAGCACCAAAAGGCGTTCTTTTAGAAGCAACGACGAAAGCGTTGGTCAATGTACGTGTGCTTGGGTGCATGGTGAAAGTGTTTGTGTGTATGGGAAGATGATGATGGCGAGAAGGTACAAGCAAAGAAATGAAATAGAAGCTCGCTCCGCCTTTTTAATGTACCCGTTTGACCGATGACCGAAATATGCCATTGATCGGTATGGGGTAAATAAGCGAACAAGACTGAAGAGGTGCCAGAATACGGCTTATACGCGTATGCATGCAGTTGCAGTAACCCTTGTTGAAAGAGAGGCAGGCTAACACGGATTTACGGTCAAATAACTTATATCACCATCTTGACTGCCAGGATAGAATGAACGAAATCGATTAATATAAGGTTATATGATACAAAGCAAACAGGAAAAACGTTGTTGTACATGACGAATCCCAATATAAATATCGTCAGAAATATACCCGATCTGCCTGCGAAACAGTTGATTCGATCGGACAATAAGGACACTTTACTCGTCCGGTGCCTTTTCCAAGTCTAGTCAAAGATTCTTGACAGACAACATGTCCGCATTGCATCATCATCGGTGGATTCTCTTCCGTTCCTTGCTCTTTGGAAACAGGACAAGCAAAGATGCTATGAAATCGTAAATGGGCTGGAAGTGGAATCTCTACCGGTAATTCATCAGCTTGACTCCATTCGTTACCTTTTTCTTTCATTAGTGTTCGTACTTTGATAATTATATTTAGTGCACCACTTGCTCCAACTTCAACAGCAACCTTCAAAGGCGCTTCTCGTGCAACACCTTGTCTTGCTGTGAATTCACGTTGAAACAATGGAGCAAGTGAATGTCCATGCATTTCATCCTCATCGAGAAAGATGTGATATGGTTCGGGTATACGTGCCAACAAAAGCTCCCTTGGCAATGCTTCTCTGACATCATGAAGGAAAAGAAGAAATGTGAACAGCTTTTGAATCTCTTCTAATCGCGCTCCTTTTCTTGAAACGAGGTATTGTTGTCCATATCGTAATGCCGCATATGTTGAGGGTATCTCGTGTAATTCTCCATCTGCATCATACATTGGAACGTGTGTTTGCGCTGAATGATGTTCTTCGTCTTCATCCATATTCTCACCGTCCGGGTCCATAATGGCATCCTGCTGATGTTCATGTGAATCGACAAATTTATCGCTTCCACCATCCCCTTCTGTTTCATATCCGCCTGAAGAGGGAGACCATCGTTCCATTCCGAGTGCGATTCGAATGAACCGGCTTCGATGTAGGTTGAATTCTAGAGGACTTCTACGAGCAGCCAAGAAGTCGGATTCTTGCGTGGCCCATGCAATTGCTTGACTGAGTTCCCCCCTTTTGATCTCTGTGGTGATATTATGCAACATTTGAAAAGTACCAGATGGTAAGAATGAATCCATTTTGTTCATCTTTGCCTCTTGTTCGAACATGCGTGCCACTTCCCACTCTCCGCTTCTCTCCAAATGGTCTCGGATGACTCGATTGAGTGCTCTTTGTGCATCTTCATTCTGGAATAAGTTTGCGTCGGCTACTCCATCTATAGGAATGACGAATTTCTTATCGAGTGCTTTTCCCAATTTGCTTAAAGCATTGTAGTATTCCTTGTGCTTATCGTTGATCGTCTTGCTGCATTTTGTCACCTTTTGTTGCAGTTGTGCGGTTAAAATTTGCGCAGGTAAAGTACTTCGTTTTGCTTCCTCAAGTGATTCCAAAAGATGATCCAAAGCATCCAACACACTTTCATCAGCACTCGTTGCTACCTTTGCCGATCTGGATGTACTTGGCTTTTTGGGTGCTTTGAACGTACCCGTTCCAGGTGCTTTCTCTAAGACTCTTTGAACTTCTTTGTGTATGGCTTCCATGACGATTATGACTGATGAGCCGGTCAGTGATGGTAGCAAGAATGCAATACTCATAACTCTGTCAGCTAGTTGCTCCCCCTTTCTTAGTCTCCGTGTCTCATTGATGCAGTTAACAAAGGGTGGAGCCAGTCTGCATAAACGCTCAGATCACGTCAACCAAATTATATGACGCGTGTAATGCCATACTATTATTATTGTATAATACTCGGGAAATATTGAATTTGATAAAGGTTTCAAGTACAACAACCATCATTACTCCCAACATTGTTTTCAATTGAAACTACTCTTGTGAATCGGTAGAACATTCACAAAGATGGCAGAGGCGGCTGCTCTTATTCCGCATATCCATCATGAGAGGCAAGAAGAAGGATCAATGTTATGTGCTCAACATGCACTCAATACCCTGTTACAGGGAAACTACTACGATCCTTCCCAATTATCCGACATTGCCAAACAACTTGATGAACTTGAACGAAGTCAAGTAGATGAACAAACTTGGAGACAACGTGATCAAGCAAGTTTGAATATGGACGATACAGGATATTTCAGCGTTTCCGTCTTGGAACAAGCTTTAGAGGTTTGGGGTTTAAGGCTGATTAGGTGGCGCAGCGAAATAATGCGACCCTTTCAGTCAAAACCGGAAGAGCAGTTGGCATTCATCTTGAACTTGGATTCGCATTGGTTCACCATTCGTGGCTTTACGGGAGGGTATTGGTTCAACCTGAATAGCTTCTTAGAGAAGCCAAGTTGGGTTGGCCCTTCTTATCTAGGTGCATTATTGAATGCTGCTGAAAGTGAAGGATATTCAGTGTTTGTAGTCGTACAAGATGAGAACGCTCGGAACGACTTTCATTCTTCCACTGCAGACGATTGTGCTGCTACATTACCGCAAGCCGATCAAGTAGGTGCTCAAGGCGCAGCAAATGAAATCACAAGTACAACTACACAAGGTTTAAAGCCAAAGATAGGATCATCAAGCGCTACTGGATCAGGACTACAAGACGAAGAAGCAGACTTACAAGCAGCTCTGCGTGCCAGTCTTGCCGAAGCTGATGATGCTGCTGCCTCTGCTACCATAGCGCCGGCTCTAGAGCAAAACCCTTCTTCTGGAATGCACAGCCCCACAATAGCAGGCCATCGAAGGACAAGAGGTGGCGGAATACGTGATCCCGATGTAATGTCTGCAAGTTCAGCAGGCAATGACGTTGATGAAGAGGAAACGGATGACCAAGTAGATGCAATTGCCCCCAGCAGAAGGCGGGTTCGAGGTCTAGCTCCGCCACTCGCTTCAGCTTTGGCAGCATCAATTACAACGCCTTCAGGATCGGCCCCTGCTTCTGCGTCTACTTCATCACGTGGATCACCATACATTCTTCCAACTGCCAGTGGAGGTCGTAGACGTGCAAGTAGACAACAAGGGGAGGATGGGGAGCTTGGTCAAGGTAGGTCAAGAAGGAATAGGAGTGGCGGCAATGGATCATCTCACGATACCGCCATTGGCATAGATGATGACGATGATGATGAAGGAGATCAGAGTATCCTCACCGCGAGAGCACGCAGAACAGGAAGAGCCAATGCGCCCATTGAAATTGACGATGACGATGTGGAAGATGATTATGAGCAGATGCATGCTGTCGGATCTACGCCAAGATCGCCTTTCTTGAATCCCGCACTCGTACGAAGCGGAGGCAGCACGAATAGCGACGATGACTTTCACTCTCTTTCCAGTGGTGAAGAAGATGCAGATCTGGGTGAAAGCTGGGTACAAAATGATATAGACATGATTCGAAGGCAGACAACGATGCGAGATCGTGCTTACGATGATGAAGATGCCGAATTGCAAGCTGCTTTGGCTGCTTCGATGCGTGAAACAGGTACTGCCACCGTCGCAGAAGCGCTCGCCAACAGAATCCAACAAACTGCTAATGCCTCTGCAAATCGAGGCACATTTGAAGATGATTTAGCTGCAGCAAGCTGGATTAACGAAGAAGATAGTCGTGCCATTCGCGAAGCACAAGCGAGCTTCTCTACCAATCTTGTCCGGCAAGCGTCAAATGGAAGCAATAAATCTCCTCCTCCCGCTGATGTGGAAAAGATCATGCGTTTACGTGCTGAAGCAAAGAAGAAAGCGGAGGAGGAAGAATTGATGCGATTGAGAGGAGAAGATGCAACAGTATTGGCGGAAAATGTTGCTGCATCCTCAAGCACAAATAAGCAGTCCAGGAGTCAGGTTGAAGAGGAAGACGATGATTCTTCGGATGAGGAGCCACAAATGTCTCCTGAAGAAATGCGTAAAGCCCGATTAGCACGCTTTGGTATGTAAGGAACGCAAATAGAAGAATAGCCAATGTAGTATTCAAATCTGCTGGTATGATGTACAACTATGTAAAAGTAAGAGAGAAAAAACGAAATTTATACAATACACTGTAGGACTAGGTATGAGTTGCTTCAGCGGAGGCTTCAACAAAGCGGAATGCTTCATCTTGCGTAATGCTTTGCAAAGACGACACTTTTTGAGCACTGAAGAATACGCCATAGTGCTTATCACCAACGCCAACCAATTCAGGTCGGAAAGTTGTGGTGATGAATTGAGCATTTTCACTCAATTGTTGAATCATAGCAGCAACTGCAGTGCGGTATTGGGCGTCCAAGTTTGCGTCGATTTCGTCGAATAGGTAGAATGCTGCAGGATCGCACTTCTGGATAGCAAAGATCAATGCCAAAGCGACCAGAGATTTTTGACCTCCAGATAATTGTTGAATACGAAGTCCTTCGTCCAATTTGGAGTGGAAAGATACCTTGATTGAAACGCCAATGTAGTTTTCAATCTTCTTGGCAGCCTTTGTGGCTTCATCTTCGTCCATTGCATCTTCATCACTTTCTTCGTTTTCTTGTGATTCTGTGTCAAAGCGCTTTTGCATGATCAAAGCTCCGCGTCCCATCGGGACCAATTGCTCAAAGACGTCGGCGAAATTCTTGCTTACTTGTTTGAATGTACGTTCGATTGCTTCATCTTTGCGCATGTCCAGTGAGTCGATCAATTCTGTAATACTCTCTGAAGATTTATCCAATTCACCTTGTCTTTCCAAGAGATTATCACGTTCACGTGCGAATTGGTCGTATTGTTCGATTGCACGCACGTTGACATTAGAGAATTCTTTCAAACTTGCTTGCATCTTGTGCAATTGTTTCAACACTTTGCTAGTATCCATATCCGCATACTTTTGTAATGCTTCATTAGACACGAGACCCAATTGACGTAATTTTTCATCAACTTCCACCTTGCGTTGTTCGTATTCACGTCTCTTTGTGACAATCTTGCTCAAAACTTTTTCATGTCTAGAGATACTTCGAGCTTCTTCGATTTGTTCACGGGTGGTTGAATCGATTTGATCTTGCTTTCCTTTGATCTTTTGTTGATTTTCTTCGATCTCCCGTTCAATTCGCTCGAGTTTCTTTTGCTTATCAGCAATTTGAGCTCGTAAACCTGCCAAACGCTTTTGTCGTTCTACTTTTGCAGTTGCACCTCCAGCACTGACAGCCATTCCGCCTACTTGCGATTCGCCTACAACTTGATTATTCAACGTTTCCAGACGACCAACAATGGCTTCACGTTCACGCTTCAGGTTGTCAGCTAACTCAATCTCGAGAGTGTCTCTTTGGGTCGACATTTCCGACACTTTGGCCGTCAATTCAGTGACCGTCTTTTCGCCTTCATCCGCTTCACGGTTCAAATGTTCCAGCTCAGCAGTCTCTTCTGCTGATAGCCCAGCATTGAGAGGGGTGTTGATTTCCTGTTGCAATGCTGCCTTTTTGGTTTCCACCGTCTCCAAATCACGAGACAATTGTGCAGACCACTCTTGAAGTCTTTGAAGGCGTTTCTTGGCTGCTGATTCGGTTTCGCGCAGAGAACGTACCTCTTGCAGGATGGGTTCACGGCTACGATTGGCTCGCTTGCTTCTAGATTCAAGAGATTGACGTTCTTCAATCATAGAAGTGATACTAGTTTCGGTATTTTGCAAATCGGTGCGAATTCTGGCAAGTTCTTGCTCATCATGCACGAGAACTTCTTTCCATCGTTTCACTTCTTGAACTGCATCTAATCGACTTCGCTTTGGGTCATTGTATCCACCGGTGAGAGCACCTTTGCGTTCGACCTTGTCACCGTCAAGAGTAATAGCATTAATTTCTTTGCTACTTTGAACGTATGATGAAGCGATTGTCAGGTTTTTGCAAATGATCATTCGACCAAACACTTGTTGCATGGCTTTCGCATGCGCTTGGTTGAATGTCAATTTTCTCAACATCAACATTGCGTCTGTCTTTTCTTGGAAGTCTGTTACTTTCGGATTTAAGCGATTGAGTGGCATGAATGTGACACGGCCCAACTTTTCCCGGTTCATCTCTTCGATTAAGCGACTTGCTGTCTCGTCAGTGTCAACGACAACGTGGAACAAGCTTTGACCTGCTGTTACTTCTACCGCAGTTTTGTATGTATCTTGAACGGTGAACAGCTTGTACAAGGGGCCATAGACACCTCGCAAGCCCAAGCGTTGGGTGACTGCTTCTACATTAGCAAGACCTGTAGCTGTGGCACGATCCATCATGCTGGAAAGGCTGCGTTGTGCGACTCCTAATCGTTCTTGTGCTACTTTGACACTACTGTCCAGCTTGTGCTCCTCTTTCCAAAGCTCTTTCTTGCGTTCCAACAATTTGTCTTCATCTGCACGAACCTCATCCCATCGCTTGGCACTTTCTTCAATAAATTGACGACGTTCTTCCAATTCTTCAGCTTTTTGTGTCAAGCTGGTTTCTGCCTTGGCTATGGCTTGCTGCAATTCGACAGTTTCTGCTTGGACTTCGTCCTTGCGATTGTTTTGTTCAGTTTTGAATTCTTCTAAAGATTGAATCTCAGCTCGAATGGCTGCATCACGTTCTGCCTGAGTTCGGTATTGGGTGCTGCGTCCTCTCTTGCCAAACAAGACTTGAATTCGGGCTTTAGAAGCTTCCAAACGGTTGCGGGCGTTGTTGAGGGAGACCATTTGCTCCTCCAAAGAAGGCTCTAGGCCCATAAGCTCGCCTTCTACGGCAGAGATGCGCTCATCAAGTGCACTCAAACGCTGTTGCAACTCCTCGCGAGTTCCACCCAAGCGTTCGTCTCTTTCTTCGTCATCATTGATTTGTGCTTCGATTTCTGCTTTGGTTCTAGCTAATTCTCTACGTTCTTGTAAGAGAGAATCGCGTTCTGCAACTTGGACAGTGGAACGATGCTGCAAATTTGTAAGTTCATCTTCGAGAGCTTTGAGCTCCTTCTCACGAGCAAAAAACCGTTTTTGCTTCTCGTCTGCATCGGCTGCTTCTTCCTGTCTGCGAATCACCAAATCGTCCAAACGTGTGATCACATCATTTGCATCGCGTTGATGTAGGGTATATTCCAGGCTCCTTCTCTCTTTGTCTTTTTCGCGAAAGTCATTCAACTCTGAGCGTTCTTCTTGCAGTTCAGCCAAACGTTCTTGAATGTAGGTCAAAGTTTCATCAATCTTTGCTTTCTTTTCTTCGGTTTCCTGCATGATACGCAGTGAATCTGCACGGCGTGTCTCGTACACTTTTGTGCCGGCTACGTCTTTTAAGAGGTTGAGTCGATCAGCATCCTTCATGTTTGTGAGATGTGTGATCTGTAGGGGAGAATGTGTTAGTGACGCATATATGCAGCATTTGTTCCTAGTTAGTATTACTCACCCTTCCTTGTGGTACGATGTAGTATGGATTGGATCGACTGAATCCAGCGGCTTCCAAAAGATTCATCACGTCTGATTTCGTTGCGCTTTTACGATCGATAGAGTATTCATCCTTTTTGATACCGATAGTGCGACGTAGAACCAGTTCGTTACTACCGCTCGAGCTTGGAAAGCGACCATCAGAGTTATCAAAGACGATTTCCACAAATGCTGATAGAGTTGTAGAAGTTGAACTTGAGGAATCATGTAACAGGCTTTGACGTTCTTCTTTGGACATGGACGTATATGCGTCGGAGAGAACGAATCGGATAGCCGCAAAGAAGTTACTCTTTCCACTTCCATTTCTTCCTACGACTACATTGTGACCTGGGCTGAATTCCTCAACAGCGGTTTGATCCTTGTAGGACTTGAAACCTTGTATGGTTAAAGTCTTGATATGCATCTTGACCACCTTAGTTACTGAAGAGGGTGATGGCCAATAAAGTGTTGCTTCGTATTTGTGTAAATGTGTTTTATGCATTACCAATAAACGCGTCTTTAATTGTACGCGTCTAGTCGCGTTTATTGTCGTGAATTTTGGGTTGAATTCTCCACCCACAATGGAACTTCCCGCAACACCCACGCGGTGACTTACCTTATCATCCCCCGCTTCACCACAGAATTACAATGTCCGCTCCGTCTTTTAATGCTCTACCTTTGTCTCTATCGTACCATTAGATGGTTCCCTTGTCCCGCAGTCATAGATAAGCACTACTCCAGCCATCATCCTGAGCATGTCTATCTCTCCCTTATAATCAAAATCAAAAAAAAGCTAAAAGTAGTTACCTAAAAACTAGGGCCCAGCGAGACTTGAACTCGCAACCTTCGAGGGGGAAATTTTAGAAACTCGACACGCTGACCATTGCGCCATGAGCCCGTTGGACTAGGGTATTAACCGTTGGACCACGTAACCCTTACTTATACAGATCAAAAGTCTTTTTGTTATAGAAACCTATTATGAAAAACCCATTAGATTATTGAAGCTAAACCACTTTTTAGCCCTAACCCTAGCGAATCAACTGCCTGCTAAAAGACTGTAGACGCCATATATATTCAGATTTAAGAATATTTAAGGACTATAAAGTGAGAAAGCGGTATCTAGAATGCAGTTCAAAGCTATGTCCTGTCAAGCGTGTCAATGCCACCACGATCTTCAACCAAAGAAGTGATGAGCAATCTCCCAAATCCCGCAGATTCATCTAAGGCACGCGCTGCAAGCAACCTGCCACGTTCTCAGCATAAGAATCGGAAAAAGTGGAAAAATGAACCCAAAGGCTTTTCATGCGCGGGCGCACGCGTTGACTCTTAATGCGTTGCAGTTTATTGTTCAAAGATCAAACTTTATGCGTACCATTGTTCCCCACAACTTTGCACCACATCATCATACATCATGCTCAATCGATCTTGCGAACGCTGTAGGGTGAAGAAATTACGATGTCCAGGCGGAAAGATTTGCGAAATATGCATAACGGCAGATACCAATTGCATCTATAAACAAAGAAAGAAGAAAGTTATGCGGAAAAAGAGGTTAAATCAGACTATTATACCTCCAAAATCACGATCAAATTCCGACAATACATCAGATGATGTATCTCGCGATAGTTTCCCATCAGAAAGTACGCCGGCATCGTCTATCCATCCACCCTCGCTAAGCTCAAGCTCGACTTCTGCCAGCGCCACGTCACAATTTCAAACATGTAGACCTTTGAATGAATTGAACCAATCATTAAACCCAGGTAAGTGGGCGCGGTCCTGATCTGATCCCAGTCTTCTGACACGCATACATCCACCTCTACAGGACTATTTCCGGACGATCTAGAGAGCTTATTGCATGAAGCACGTTCCACAATCAGCTTTTCATTGGAAGCATGCGAAATCCTACTCAACCTCACATTCAGATGGCGGATATTACCAACAATCCATGGTTGTATCCACATTGACTCTCTCATTCAACTTTTGCGGACGTTGTTTGCTAAAACTGAGAGGTATCACGGTGCCATTCGTCAAACAATCACCTTCGATCAATTGACCTTGATTTTGCTCACACTTTCGGCAACACTATATTTTGTTCCACCCGATGGCGATCACGCAGCTGCTCTTCGTACGGCGCTCAAGCTGTCCAAGAATATGAAGAAAGAGGATGCAATCGCATCTCAGCGTGCAATATTTTTAATGGCCGAACGAATGATCTATACGCGATTGAGCAATTACGATTCTTCCTTGGAAGGCATTCAAAGTAGTATAATGTACATCTTTCACCATCGAAGCAATCAAGCCACAACTGAGCAAATATACGATCGTGCACTACGGTGTGCTTTGAAGATGGGATTGCACAGGATAACGGGTTATAGTTCCTCGGATGAGGTAAAGGTGCGAATATGGTGGTATTTGGTAACGCGAAATTGGCTCGCTGCTCCTGCTACTTGGGTGTATACCATTTTCCCTGGTCAATTTTCCACGCGAATGCCACTCAATGTAGAGTATAGTGATCTCGAATTCGGACTGGATAAGGACACAGTGCAAACCGTGCGAAGGGATTGGACGCCGGCATCATATTCTCTAGCTCTTATTACGCTTGCAACAACCATTCGTGAGCTTGTGGATATGCATAATTCACTCCAAATTTCTGAAGAGAATCATGGCTTGCAACTTGAAACCGCTGCAAGATCTCCAAGTCGCACAGCATTCCAGAGTAAAATTGTCAAATCGTTCGAATTGTTAGCCAAAGAATACGTTTGGTATTACAGATTGGAAGAAAAATTTACTATCTCTAAATCCACGCAACACGATCTTTCACTTTATCATGGTGGTAGGATAGAGATCGAAAGGTGGATGTTACATCAACAGATGTTCCATTGTTTCTTGGAGTTGCATGAAGTTGATTCATTTATCGATCAAGACGTTCCTACGAGTTGTTTAGCTTTGGCATATCATATTTTGGATACCGTTCATCTTAACGCTCGACGTTGTAGCGTGATGAGCTCTTCAAGCTTACCGAAGCGAAGTTTGATCACTGCAGCCAGTGTTGTAGCTTTCCATGTTTTGAACAAAGGTCAACTTGATGAAAGTTGGAAGGAATACAAGGAAGTAGCTGCAGCAACCGCCAAGGCCAAATTGTTGGCTGGTGAAGTGAACTTGCAAACGCTTTCAAGATTGGAAACGTTATTGAGCTCTTGGTCAACGATTGTTCCCAATAGGCTGAATGATGAGGTGAAAGAGGAGATCAAGAAATGGGAAGTAAATGATATTTGGGTGAATGAATATGCTACCCAATTAGCAGATACAAATGCACAAGCTCATATTAGCTTGAAACATTTACCTGATCTCATACCACAACTTTCTCACGTTATGCCTGCTTATCAAGCGGACATCGGTGATGCGGATTGGGAATCAGTTTGGGCGCAGCTGTTGGCGAATAATGAATTTCCTTTCGCGGGAAATTCAAATGTATCATAGACCTGTTGCGATGTATAAAATGCATGGATTCCGTATCGATGAAGTCATCTTTACTTCTTCGCAATCTGCACCAGCCGATCATTCTAAGGTACCTTGCCCTCCAAAAATCACCGAAAAGAACTACGTACCAGTAGATCGGGCGCTTTAATAAATTAGAGGTACGTATACCGTGTGGGAAAAGGCGAACCATACTTACGTTGCAAATACACGCTGACAAGGACAATCAGGGAAAGCGTATTTATTACGAGCTAATGTACATCAATCATCATCCCAATTTGGGTTGGCTTGAGGTGCCTTTATTCCAGCTGGTTTGGACATGATGATCGAATCGATGTTCAAAACACTGATTGCAGCACCTGCTGCATATCGAATCGCCCACAATTTAGCCGCCAAAACGTCAAACACCTGTTCAGAGGTTGTTGAAATGGTGGAATCAGACGTCTTTTGTTCAATATCAACACCGATATCGGCACATTGTCCGCTTGCATGTCGGGCAACGAGTGTTCCCACGACTTCTGTTGGATCAAGTCCGGCATTCTCGGCTAAAGTACGGGGTACAACTTCCAATGCTTCTGCGAACTTTTTGATTGCATGTTGATTTAGACCGCTAGTTTTCTCTCCATAGTCGAAAATGCGTCTTGCCAATTCCACCTCGGATGCACCTGCTCCAGGAATGAGTCTGTCATCCTTTGTCAAAGATTTGATCACATTCACACCATCATCAATAGCGCGTTCCACATCGTCCAAATGATTAGAAGTGGCCCCACGTAAAACGATTGTTGCCATCTTTGGTCTTGCTTGACCGCCGGGTTTGCCATCCTCTTGTCTGAACACTGTGACACGATCTCCTCCCACCTCTGTTGTTTCTACCACGTCAATCCACCCTGCTTCTTCCGGTGTTGGTGCACCGACACGAGCTAAAGGTGTTGCTCCCAAAAGTCTGCACAACCGTCTGATCTCGAACTTGCTCAAAATTTTCATGACGGCAATGTTGTACCTGTTGCAATAATGCAAAGCCAATTCACCCACACTGCTTTGTGTCACAATCACCTTTACTCCGGAATCTGCGATCTCCTTGATAATGGCAGAGAGTTGTGCTTCTTCGCCTCCGGAGAATGTACTTAGCTCTTTGGCATTGTGGAGGAGGACAGTGCCCTTCGTTTCCGTTTGACTGATATCGAGACCACATGTAAAGACTGCAACTTTTCCTCCCTCTGGCAAACGTTTGATGATGCCTTCTGGTTCGCGTGCAAAGATCATACCTCGAACGACACGAGAAGCAGAAAGCGATCCACCCATAATCTTCACGATACGGATATTGTCAACATTGAATTCCTTCAGATTGGATGAACCGGAGGAAGATGTAGGCAAGACTAGATTGACAGCTTGTGCAACTAGAGGAGCCAAGATTTCATCTTGTCCGTATTGTTTTGAGGCGATTGATGGTCGTAAGGCAAGGGCGAGAGAATCGGTTGCTGGGGGATTACTCAATGTTGCAACGGACAATGTTTCGATTTCCTTCAATGCACGATCCCGAGCAAGTTCATATCCTTGAATGATTTCCGAGGGATGCAGACCCATATTGATCAATGGCTCTGCTTGTTTAAGAAGTTCACCTGCCAAGATCAGCACCAAATTTGTTGCATCTCCCATTTCTGCTTCTTGTTGTTGACTTGCCATCACCAGAAGCTTTGCGGCGGGGTGTACGATTTCTGTTTCCCTGATAATTGTAGCAGCATCTGAAGTGATGAACAATCGTTCCAAATGATTGACAATCATCTTGTTTCTGCCATTGGGTCCGAATGAAGTTCTTACCATATCCGATAATTCATTCACAGCCTGGATATTTCGCAAAACTGCATCTTCTATACCTGACATTGTCTTGTAGCCATCTTTGAAAAGAGGCATGCCCGCCTTGGGCACCCGTAGAGACATTTTTGCGAATGGGTTGATGGTATGAAGGTGTGTATCGCAATTGGCTTGTGCTTAGTTAGTGTGCGCTCTTAGAGTGATTGATTCTTCTTGCCTCTTCCATTGCTTCTCATTGCTTCGGCCGAGCATGTGTTGTTCTTTAAGCCGTGCAACACACGCGTTATACACTCACTACGCGAAGGAATCAATAGGAAGATTGGAAATTTTTTAACTTTTATGCATACAATTACACCGGCGTAGAGAGGTTAAGTTTTTTTCACGTCACGCAGGGCGTTAGATCGGCAACCCTAAAAAGAGGCACACGTTTTTTTTTTCTCAGGTAGAGCATTCAAAGCTTTTTTTTGGAACACACCTTTCTCCTCTCCATCATTCACCTCAACGTACTCGAGATGTCATTACAACCAGAGTACGTGCAACAGCTACATCAGCTGTTGCAACAGAGCAATGTGCCTGACACGGCAGCTGTTCGTGCAGCAACTGATGCATTGCAATCAAAATACTTGAAGGACCCAAACTGCATTCCAGCATTGTTTGAGATCATGTCAACTTCACCTGATCTTGCCGTTAGACAACTGGCATCTGTTGAATTGCGTAAACGATTGGCAAAGAGCGGCGGAAAACAATGGACTAAACAAGCCGTTCAAGTTCGGGAAGGTATTAAATCCCGCTTGCTGGAACTTGTCGTTGCCGAACAATCAGCATTGGTCCGTAACGCAATTGCAAGAGTTATCGCCGAGATTGCTAAACGTGAATTGCCTGCAGGAACATGGCAACAATTACTCCCCTTCTTGTTCCAAGCTGCCAGCTCACCTACCGCAAGTCATCGTCAAGTTTCCATCTTTGTCTTCTTTATCGTCTTGGAGACATTCGTTGATGGTGAAGAAAGTTTGGAGAAATACCTACCACAAATTATGAGTGTATTCAGCAAATCGTTACAAGATCCAGAAAGCTTGGAAGTAAGAGTGACAACCGTTCGTGCTCTAGGAAAGGTGGCAGAAAACCTCGACGTTGATGCAACTGCAGACCTTGCCTTAGTACAATCTGCCATCCCCTTGATGGTGCAAGTTTTGGATCAAACCCTCAAAGAAGCTGATGGAGAAGGTGTCCGTCACTGTTTGGATGTGTTTGAATCACTCTGCATGTTGGAATCTCCTATTATCTCCAACCACGTAGCAGACTTGATCCAATTCTTCTTGGCAAACGGTGCAAACAAAGAACTCGAAGATGATCATCGTATCATGTGCTACAACTCATTGATCTGGCTCAGCCAATACAAGAAATCCAAGATCCAAAGCTTGAACTTGGCAAGACCAATGTTGGAGCACCTAATGCCTGTTGTTGTGGAAGAAGACTCAGAAGATCCAGATGAGGATTCTCCATCTCGTCTGGCTTTGCGTGTGATTGACGGTTTGGCTACAGAACTTCCACCAAGCCACGTCTTCCCACCTTTGATGGAACAAATGCAAAAATACATGAACAACCAAGACCCTCATCACCGTAAAGCTGCAATGATGGCCTTTGCTGTTGCCGTTGAAGGATGCTCCGAGTACATTCGCCCTCACATGAATGAACTCTGGCCATTCGTTGAAGGTGGCCTACGTGATAACGAATTGGTGGTACGCAAAGCAGCATGCATTACTGTTGGTTGTTTGTGCGAATGCTTGGATACAGAATGTGCAGAGCGTCATGCGACGCTGTTACCTCTTATCATGGATCTTATTAACAACAATGACACTCAAAAGAATGCATGCACAGCTTTGGATGCGCTTCTAGAGGTGATGGGTGATTCGATCGCACAATACTTGCCCGCCATCATGGAACGCTTATCCTCACTTTTGGACACCGCCCCCGTCGCTGTCAAAGCAACAGTCACAGGCGCCATCGGTAGTGCAGCACACGCATCAAAAGAGCAATTCTTGCCATACTTTGCACACACCATGCAACGCATGCAACCCCACCTCTCGCTCACCGAAGAAGGAGACGAGCAAGATCTTCGTGGTGTGACATTGGACACAATCGGTACCTTTGCCGAGGCAGTTGGCAAGGAAAACTTCCGACCATACTTTAGCAACATGATGAATTTGGCATACGAAGGCGTCAGTCTGGATAGCCCTAGACTGCGCGAATGTTCTTTCATCTTCTTCTCGGTAATGTGCCGTGTGTTTGGCGAAGAGTTCTCGCAATTCTTGCCCGTTGTTGTTCCTAAGCTGTTGGAAAGCTTCAAGCAGAGCGAACACCTACCCGTACCAGGAGCATCAGGCGATGGTGTGATGTCTGGTCAAGGTGTGGGCACCAATGATAACGGTGATCTCGTTCTTGCAGGAGGATCGGGTGGTGCAGATGGCGAAGGCGGTGAAGAAGACTTTATCGATTTGGATGAAGTATTTGAGAATTTGCAAAACGTCAACACCGCTGTCGGTGTGGAAAAGGCTGTTGCCGCTGACGCCCTTGGTGAAATCTTTATGCATACAAAGGCAGGATTCACACCTTTCTTGGAATCTTCCGTGGAAGAATTGATCAACTTGCTAAGTCATTATTATCAAGGTATTCGCAAGAGCGCCGTTACTGCTTTGATTATTTTCATCAACACTCTCAACGAAATGAGTGACCCCAAAGAATGGCAACCTGGACACAATTCTAGCATACCATTACCCGAACCAGTGGCTAAGCTTGCAGAGGTGGTTATTCCCTCCATCATCGAAGCTTGGCAAGATGAAGATGACCAGTAAGTATTTTTTCAAGGAAAACTTAAAGTGATGAGAAACCTCAGAATCTCAGCTCACAATGACGCACAATGCAAAAAGCATGTGTGCAGAATGACAACAACTCTGTTCCCTATTACCTGATTAATGTGTACAACCCCGAGATGCTTTTTAGGAGAAACGTACTGACACAATTTGTTTTCTTCTTTTCAGGATGACACAAATCGAAATCTGCCAACAGCTTGCTGAATGCTTGAACAAGAACGGACCACAAATCCTCAAAGGAGAAGCTGAACGTACTTGTGCTTTGGTAGCAGACATTTTGGATCAAAAGTCCGCATGTCAAATCGATACCGAAGCACGAGAGGAAGATGCACAGGGTGTGGAGGATATCTCAGAGTATGAATCAGTGTTGATTTCATCATCAACGGATTTGGTCGGTGCAATGGCAAACGTGTATGCACACGACTTTGTCGAACCACTCAGACAACTATTACCAAAGATTACCAAGTACTACTCACCCAGTCGCTCTTCTTCCGACCGTGCAACGGCGGTTGGAAGTATGGGAGAGATTATCACCGGTATGAAAGCAGCCATTACTCCATTCACAAACGATATCCTATCCGTTTTGTCTCGCGGCTTGCAAGACGAAGACACGGGTATCCGATCAAACGCTGCCTTTGCATCTGGAGTTTTGATCGAACACTCTCAAAGCGATTTGACACCACACTTCCAAGCCTTATTGGGCGCAATCAGACCCATGTTTGAATTGAGCAAGTCCGACAAGGAAGATGATCAAAGAGCAAGTGATAATGCATGCGGATGCTTGAGTAGAATGATTGTCAAATCACAAGCATCAGTGCCTTTGGATCAAGCTATTCCCGTTTTGATTTCCGCTTTACCCTTGAAAAAGGATGCGGCAGAATGGAGCCCTGTTTTGGTCTGCTTCATGGGACTGGTCCAAGCAAACAACGAGATTGCACTGCAACAGATCGATACAATTTTGGCCATTATGAAACACGCATTACAACTAGAAGGTGATGATGCGATCGGAAGTATCTTGCGTGGTCAAGTTGTTACATTTATCAGTGCCATTAACAGCAGTGCACCTGAGAAGATTGCAGCAGCGGGCCTACAGCCATTCTTGGTGTAAATACCAACATATACCCCTCATCCACATAAAGCATGTAGACAATCTGAGAATTCATTGAATTATTGACTTATTAATTATTGCTGATATGAGGCAATCCAAAAAGTACGGATGGGTATAGTGGGATTAAAATCGAGAGCAGTTTTTTTGGGGGGACACGGGACGGGAATAATATAAATTTAGGGATGGTATAAGGATAAGGAATGATTAATGACCGTCTCCACCTACACTTGTGTCGCCAGTTTGGTCTCCGCTACGGCCGCCTGAAGTGAGAGCAGCGAAATCGGTAGTACTTTGATCGGTTTCCATGGAAGGAGGTGAAAGCGGTTCATCCATAGTAGCCGAAAACGTTGAAGAATCCATGACAGGGTTTGGTGAATGAGAACCGCTTCTTGCCAAGTTTATTGTGTTTGTCACTGCCCTTGGCGGATTTCCACAACGATCTTTACCTGCTCCCACCCGTTGGTTTGTGTAATCTGGATGATTTTTCATCGCTTCAATCGCTTTGATTGCGTTTTGAATATTGCAAAAGTTAACGAAAGCGCAATTCTTTTCTCTGAATGTGTTGACCAATTCTGTTTCGCCATATTCTCCAAAATCAGCTCTTAATTTGTCCACTGTGTGCAAGTCAAAGTCTTCCACATTTCCAATGTATACATTTCTGCTGCCACCTGCTTGAACGGCCATTGCAATTGCAGGACTCAAAGGACCTGAATGTTTTCCCCAACCAATCTTTAGCCTGCGTTGATGGATCATGATACCCGAATAACTTGCCAAATGATAAAATGCCAAAGCAGCATTACTCTCGATAAATGTGATGAACGCAATATGTTTCTCGGGAATGAAACGAATATTCTGTAAAATACCTCCACGGATATGATTGCAAATCTCTTCAGTGCTTGTGTCAGGGTGGATGTTTCCCAAATAAACCGTTCGGTTTCCCATTTGTTGTAAGGCGGCAGTATTTGCCATCGGACCAAACACAGAAGCAACTGCTGCAGGAGAACGACTTTCATCTCCAGTTCCACCAGGTGAGGGTATATTGCCGTATCCGCTACTCAAAGCAGCGGCAGCAGGATTATAACCTGTTGGATAGCCCAATGAAGCAGCAGCGGCCATACCCATTGCAGCTGCTTGACTGTTGTGTGCTTGATTTTGTTGTTGACTTTTGGGTACGTATGCACAACGATCTTTACCGTAATTGACTCGCTTGCCTGACCAAGCTGCTTCGCTGGGTAAAGAGGAGACAACTTTGATAGCTGTTCCAATACTGAGAAAGTGTACAAACCCAATATTTTTGTCTCGAACAATTTTTACCTGATCGATTGGCCCGAAACGGGAAAGATCATCTCGCAAACTTTGCTCGGTGGTTTCTTCGTCCAATTGTCCCAAATACACATTTCGTGTAGCTTGATTTTGTTGAACGGCCATCAAAATCGGCGTAGGGCAAGCAGATGGTTTTCCCCATCCGATCTTCAGCTCTTGATTGTGTAGTGACATTTTCTTCACTGAAGCGTCTGCATGAAAGGCTGCTGCCATGTTCCCATCAAGGAAAGAGATGAAAGCGCAATTTTTCTCGGGTAGAATGCGAACATTTTCGATGGGACCAAACTTGACTTGACTCAAAAGTTCATCTACTGAAGCCTCTGCGGGCAGGTTTCCAACGTAGACCGTTCTGCCGGTTGCATTTTGTTGAGCATGTGGCGGCATCATTCCCAATGCATGAGGCGAAAGGAAAGCACCACCACCAGCGGCAGCCATAGCAGCCGGATTAGGACCGTAACCGGAAGGATTGAACATGCCTTGCGCATTCATTGGGCTTTGACCGCCCATAAAATTTGCACTTTGAGGTGTTGCCATTCCTGGGGAAAACATTCCGCTTTGTCCTGCCCCATTGCCAGCCGAAAGCATGGCTGCATATTGTTCGTTGAGGTAAGGAGAAGCGGGAGCGGGTAATCCTGCCAATCCGCCCGGAATGTTGCCCATCATACTGCCACCTGAAAATGATCTTCTTGGATCTACATGTGCTGCGCCAAAAGTTGGAGAGAGCGGCTGACCCATTCCAGCACTTGAAACGGAAAGTTGGCCAGTAGAATCGGATGCTTGGAGGTATTGGCCGTGTTGTTGTTGATCGTGCATATTGACAGGATTAGGCATCCCACTGCCGATATTCTGCATTCCAGCATAAATTGAATTTGGCATACCTGAAGCGATATAATTTTGCATGTTTTGAGGTACACCTTCTGATACATAACGTGCTTTCTTGTTGATGCTTTCGGCTGCATTATCTGGTGTTGAAGTCATACCTGCGCTGACAGGAGCATCATAAATGCCTGACATTGTATTGTTATTGTCTAATAATAATTGAGCTTTGAGTGTTTGATCAGAATTGCGTTTCATGCCGTGATGATTCACAGGACTCGAATGAAATGAAGCAATGGCGCCGGCGCCTAGGTATACCAACAGCTCTTTTTGGGAAAGGCGGGAAGAGTAGGTGAAGAGCGAAAAAAAAAGAGAAGAACAAAGAAAAGAAATATCGACCAAACTATACACCTTTTACCCCCTTTCTTGAATGATGATGAAGATGATCGTGTGTGGTGGTGATTAGACAATTTACACGAATCAAAGAGGCAAGCAACCAACATGCAACCTTAACCTTGTACGCGTGTGTGTGTACACAGGGCAGTTACCGATTGTCGGGAACAAATCTTGTTAGATACGGTCCGTTTGCCTGAGTTCTATAGAAGAAGCAGCAGCAGGGAAGTGCCGTTTGGCTTGATTGCCCGCTTGTGCACTGCGCCGAGTTTAGCTGAGGTTCTTCACAATCTGCGCCGCGCTAAAATAAGAAGAGAGTGAATGCTATTTACAGCAGCAGATTGAACGTGAAAGACGTTCTTCTCTCAACAATCATGACCTTTACAAGGTGAAAAAGTAATCATGGCTGATTGATAAAAGATGTTATTTCTGTCATAGGAGTGCAACGATTGATCACTACCAGTCATTACATTCTATTTATGTCAAAAGAGGTCATTGCCATGCGCATGCTCTGCTGCCTAAACGTTGAAATCTGCAAGACAGCTGGCTAAAGTTTGGATGCGCTAGCGTTTATTCTTCTCCAGAGAAAAGTTACTAAGTGATTGGCGCAAACACAGGGCGGGAAGATCGACAGAATAAGCGCTTCGTTCGGCAAGATAAAAAACACATGCATGCAAACAATCAACTCAGGCTTTCTCTTGCATCTCATGTCACACTATAAGGCACACGCAGCTTAATTTGGTATTGACCGAAACTCATTCAAAGCTCTCTTTTTTTTACAAGTCAGAATAAAGCATTTGTACAAAAATTATATTGACCGATGTGGAACTCACCACGATCCAAATACTGGAACAGGCATTCCCATCATGGACTGAAAAGAAGAAAGTCGATTTCGAAGCACATCCAAAATGGTGCTTGAAGTCATCTCTCTCTGATCAAGTGAATCTGAAAATAGAATCTCTGGTTGTATGTCTGGTTCATGATGAATGAAGACCTGCCTGGTGTGGTAGCTTGATGCGAAATAACGTTTGTATGGCTGTATAAAATTCGCAATCAACCACATTTTCAAAAAGAGGCATATAATCAGAACTTCTGGCCGAATTGACCCACGTTCCAGCTCTTGCATTGTTTGTGAAAATTGTATAAAATTTTGAAGGATCTGTACACGTGAAGGCTGCAATCGTCAATGCGTAAAATGAACCTTTAAAGTGTTCATCCTCCATAGAATATAATGGCTCAGCAATCTGAAAGAATCTCTCTCTGGATCGAAATTCGATAGCCCAGAAAAAATGATACTTTCTTTGTAGAACGCCAGTGAGAATAATAACTTGATGTGGGCGAATTTCCATTTGTATCGATTTATTGTTTCGTGAACCGTCAGTGGAAACAGAACCTTCTCCTGAACGATCGTCGGCTTGCAAGCCTGATGAATAATATACAATTGGCTGACTTGAAGTTGAAGTTTGTGCTTGGACATTCGACGTCGGTTGTTGCTCTGATTTTCGTAACGCATGGGTTCGAATGTATTCTTGTGCCTGTTCTAATGTCTTGAAGCTTTTTGACCTATAATTTGGATACTTATTCGTTTGCTTGGTTGCCTCGAAGTAAGTATTATATATCCCAACCTCCCGACCAACTGCAACCGCGTAAAACTTTTTACATGATTTAGATAGCATATTTTGCCTAATTGATGGTGAAAAGACTCTCAGATGAGTTTGACTTTGTCATCTTCAGTTGCGCATTACAGCTATGATTCAAAGCTACATGGTTAAAGGAACAGTACTCATTGCGATTTGAAAGCACTGTTCCCCATTATTTATGCTTTGTACTTTTATATCATATATAAAGCGGATCCGCTTCATTCATATTTTACCACGACGCAGGTCACCAGCGAGAGACCTTTTTAATACACTCTTTTTGAAAAAGTGAGCGAAAGTGAACTGTTTCTTGTGTCGCTCATGGTACCGTTCGAACGTTTCAGAAACATACGCACTTTTTCGTGTTCCTTTCGTTGGGCTTCGTTGTCATGGCTGATTTGAAATTGTCGGCTCCGCCTTTTTAGTCTTTACAAATACAAGAAGGATTCTCATCTAATCCTCATGTGCATTATGCATTCTAGACATTGAATGATGGGACACTGAACTGTATGGTTGGTGCAATTATAGACCGATTCCAAGGTCTGGCTTCCGACAAAAGATTATGCGATTCAGCAAACACAAGCTGATATAATACAAGAATGCATCTTATCCTACACCGATTTTCGTACAGGCGGCTTCCAGCCATGAATTCTACCCGCTTCATACAAATCTTCCAGCACATCCTCTAACCGGTTATCTCGCTTAAAGTCAAGATAAATCCTGTACAAACGCAAAGCGGCAAGTGCATCTTCAATAGAATCATGCCCTTCACTACTGCCCGTCGGAGCACTTCCGTCTGCTTGTGCACTTTCGTTGGCATGTGGTCCTTGAATGTCTTCTTTGAGTAAGAACCAAGCCAAGAAACGCAGTGATAACTTTCTGGGATGCGATGAAGATTGGAAAAGATCTACCGTATCTATCACTTGTTCTGGTGGAACATAAATGTTAATAATTCGGAAATCTTTCTTGAGTCCATGCCCCAAAAAGATGCAGCCGCTGTCAACCAACATTCTGAGCTTCTTGTATGCCACACGTAAGGGTACAAGCGTATGCTTGGATGTCCTTGGATCCAAATCGCCAGCCTTGATTCCAGAGAATTGTGTCAAATAATCCACAACTGGATCTTTTGTCAGGATGAAATCATCGACAAAAGCTTCTCCTTCCTTTGGTCCTTGACCACGAAGTACACTGACACGTGCTAAGCTTAATCGACTGGGTCGAATTAGGCGACGTGACCCTGTACTGCTCAATTCTAGCTCTTCTTGATTGAGTGCTACAAATTCAGAGTCAATAGGGCAAATCATACCAGGCTGAATAGGCAGCTCATCAGCCGCTGAAAGGGGCTCATGTCTCTTGAATGTGGGATCGCGTTTATGAGCGATTGTAATGTCCTTTGTCAGCAAGGCTGGATCAGCTTGTTGTGGTAGTGCATTCAAATCAATCACACTGCGATCAACACGCTCCCAAACAAGCACTGCCGGCACTTTCCATGGTCCTGAAAAGCCCAAGACTTCCTCTTCTGGAATTTGACGAACCAAGAAGTCATTGAACAAATACCACGAATCTTCAATTTTAGCAAACGAAACCAAATGAGGAACGTCCTTGTCAGCCTGTACTTGAACGACCATAGATCGTAGCATGTAGATTGCATGATCTCCCCTCCCTTTCAGGGTACTTTCCTCCTCATCAGAACGGATCTCTTCCACTCTGACACCGTCGCCCAGTACCGAGATTGCAAGCTTTGGTGGTAGATAGGATCGACCTTTGTTGCCCATAAGCCAATAACGAAGCTGATCAGACGTATTGATAACGCAATTCACGCTCAATGCCTGCGGCAAAGATTCAATTGGCGGCAGAACCCTTTGACTTCGAATAGCTGATGCGGGTGTATTGCATGTCCTGCACGTTGCTTTGGCAAGCGTCTCCCGCAAAAGAGATGTACGCAAAATTGATGCAAAATCAGAAGGTGGAGCCAGTTCGTTCGACAAATGCTTTCGAGGATAAATCAGATCAACGATGTTGCTGCCGCTTGGTCTTTGGCTAACCGTTCCGCATGTTCCGCAAACTTGCACGGTGTATTGAGTATTGACGAACATTCTTCTCATAAGATCCACATCATTGCTAGATGGACTTGCTGCCTCGGCTGATTCGACAGAGACTGTCTCCAGCAAAAACCTGTTGAAAGTTTGAATAAGACTGCTATAGGCTGCATCTGCATTAGAGGCATCATCTTTGTCCATTAATCCCATCGAAGCTGCTCGGGATGATCCACTTAAGGAGCGCAAGAAGTTTGTTGCTTGACAGTTTGCACCTTTGGCATCCTCCAACATTTTTGATAAAAATCCAAATTGACACAACAAACAATCGTCTTTCTGACATCCACCTTTACTAGGATCCAAAGGTGCACTAGACATCGCATGCGACTCTGCAATTTTGCGAAAGGGTATCAGATGATGCAATGCTTGCAGATAGGCATTTGCATAGGAGTTTTCGATATGCGTCTCTAGACCGGAGAATTTTGTCTTGTTGTAGAATTCAAAATCAAAATCTTCCACACCAAATCGACTATATTCGATTGTCTTGATACGATAGTAAGACGGCATCGATCCGCCAACATCCAGACCAGGACTCAAAGCATTATCTTCATCTTCTGCATTACCATTAGCGTTCTTCTTTGCTGCTTCTTTCTCACTTCGAAACATAGGTATTCCGATCTTTCTACGTTCATCTGGCCTTCTTCTGTCGGTAGACCGGGCAGCAGCGCCTGCTGATACACCTCCAGGACCTGAGCCGGATACCACATTCCGTTTCCCACGCAGATTGCGGGGAAGAGGGGCATATGATACTTTGTCCACTGTTCGAATCGAGTTCAGGATACTTTGATCGATCTTCTTTGGAGGATTGAAGAGGGGAGAGGCGTCCGAATAATATTCATCGTGAGGCATGGCAGACAAAAGCGCTTCATCATAGTAGGGCAAGCCTACAGTAGACAATGACGTTTCCGTTGTCCAGTTGATCGGCTCAGGTGGAGTTTCCGGTAGATCTGGCATTTCAATTGGTTTAGAGGTGAAAGATGTGAAGCTTGTAGCGTCATTGGATGATGCCCAAAGGCGAACAGACCCATCAGCCTCTCCAAATGCAAGGAAGTCGGCAGAAGGAGACATGGCCATAGAGGTGAGATAGGTGGACGTGTGAACTTGATGGAATGTGCATTGGTGAACGGCTGATCCTAAATTTCCGACGTCTACGATCTGAAATTGTCCATGTGGAGCGGCGACGACAAATGTTGATGAACGTTTAGGATGTAAAGCCAAGAATGCAGGTCCACCAATCGCTGAGAAAGGAACAGGAGCGAGAGCACGCATGGCACGAAGATCATGCACCTTTACGATTGCCTCTGCAATTGGATGTCCTAATCGCATTGTCCAACCGATGCTGTACAAAAGATGTCCTTCTGATTGCATGTCGATCACTCCACCCGGATGTGCGTGTAATTTGTGTTCGAGGTTCAAAGAGCGAGGATCGCGTAGCTGTATATGCCCATCAGATCCTCCAGCGCAGATGTATCTTGTCGATTTTCGCACATGAGAGATTTGTGCTTCAGATGGCGCTTTTCGAATGATACTACCTGTTCCAGCATTTAGAGAAATCATGACATCATCTTGACCCAGTTGTCCTGTAGTACTAGCTCCAGTAGAAGCACCACCTGCGATAATATCGGAAGATGCAGTAGGCGAAAAGCACATTGAAGCAAGTCGAAGTGATGGCATCTCAGTTTGAGGCATGTACAAATTCCATCTACCAGCACCGCGTCTGATGGCAGATTTTATACCACTTTCTCCTACACTATAAACAGCACGTTCATCACACAAGATTCCCTTTACGCCCGCTTGACCACCTCTCTGATTGTCTGAAGTACGAGGAACTGTGAATTGTGGATGAGCTTGCCAGCTTGTGTATCGTTGCAGAGCCGGACTATAATGAGACGTCACATTGCCAGACGACGATCCTGTGAATAGCAATTCGCTTGTCGAATCGAATACCAGCGAAGAAGTAGATGCATTGCCATTACTGGCCAGTATATGACCCACCTCGGCCCACGTTGACATCTTGCCTTAGGTGCTCATTTGTAAGGTGGGTGTATGTTATCGTGATGGTGTCGTCCAACAGGCTTGCATGAATGAATCAATGCGAAGGCACACTAGCGTACGCGTACAGTGCACGGGAATCAATTTCACGTGTGAAATGGAAAAAATTCAGAATCTTGTAATCTTCTTTGTTCGCCATCATCATCATCCTCATCACCTTTGCGCAATTACGACTTTGCAAAAATGTTTGCCACATCTAGATTGGCCATGCGCTCTACAGCGATGCGATCATTCCAAAATACTCGATCAAGAGCCATACGACAATCGCAACCGGTCACTATGAGCCAGACACAGTCACTTGCCATACATGCAACCCGACCACAGGCAATCGCAACACCCATCATTCTTGTTGGTGCTGGACTGATAGGAGCGTGAGTAGGACTCACAAGAGGTCACAGTTCTCCGGCTCATATGATAATTCTAACACTTTTCTTTTCGCGATCCTTTCTTCACCAATCAGTGGTATTGCCGCTCAATTCTTACGTTCAGGATCATCAAGTGGTCCCGGATCAGGCAAATGGATTAAGGGCGGCTTCAGTAGCAAAATTAACCGTTCCGAAGCTGCTCAGATATTGGGACTGAGAGAAACTGCTTTAACAAAGGCAAAAGTAAAAGAGGCTCATCGAAGAATGATGATCGCGAATCACCCAGATCGTGGCGGTTCTCCATATCTGGCAAGCAAGATTAACGAGGCGAAGGTATGTGTGTTGCTTTGGCTCTAAATGTATCTATGGAAAGCTTAACAAAGGATTGACTCATGCTCTTCATCCATCTGCAGGACTTTCTCGACAAGACTGTAACAAGATAATCAATCGCGATCTCCACATCCTTGTAACTCTAGATTTCACAAATTTCACCACTTGCATTTCAGATATATGGCATTTCATGAGATGATACTATGAAGCACAAAAACGTCTACCATGCACACATTAACCTGAATGCTCAACGACCTCACTCTTGATGCCTTTTCCACCAGGTACAACTTGATGTCGCAATTGCTCTGGCAATGCAATCTCGGCATATTCGCCTTCAGGTTCACCCTCTTTTGGTACGCTAACGTTGATGGCACTGCATTTGGCGGTAACAATCTCGGTATGTAGCGAAGCTTGACTCAAGTAGATCTGTCCACTATCGCACGAATCAATCAAGATTGTAGGCACGGCACCTGTGACTTGGACTGTGAAGCTGGGAGATTGAGTTAATTCGAGTGAAGAAACAAGTGTGTCTAGCAGAATGGATGTCTTGCTGCATGATACCATCTGAATAGCATTTACTTTGCCTTTAACATGAATCACCGAATCCTTACATCCAAATACGTTCACAGTCTGCCCTATAGATGTTTCTTCCAATACGATTGACCGATTCCCTTCATGATATTCGACTGCCCATTTGTTGCCTTCCAAAGCTGTCTTTGGTGGCTTCTTTGCTTTTAGTGAGCCCGGTTTCGATCCTGGTTTGGGAGGTGCGGGCTTTCCAGCAGCACCACCTACTGCCGAAACTGGCGCAGCTTGTCCACGCAAAGCGGGGTTCTTGTGGGTCATTTGACTAGGATCAACCTTTTTCAAACCTCCAGTAATACCTTCTCCTTGATTAATCTGTCCGAATACCGCATCCATACCACCTGCTGCCGCTGCTCCACTTGCCGCTGCTGCTGCTGGAGGTGGGGGAGGGGCTGCCGGAGCAACAGGGGGAGCGGGTGGTGGCGGTGGTGGAACATCGCCAGTTGCTGCAGCATTGGATGGAGCAGAAAACGTTGATGCATCGCCGCCACGAGGGTTCCATTGAAGTCCAGTGGTGTGATGTTGCATTACGTATGCTTTCATAGCGTCCAATGTCGCGGTAAATGAACGAGCCCATTCTACGTGAACTTTATCTGTATCTTTGAATTCTTTGATGACCCGATTGAAGTAGAATTGACCAGCGTTCTTCATCTCTTCTACGTATGGACCTGGTTTTGGCTCTATGGTAACCCATCCGACGGCTGGAATACCTTCGGCAATAGCGGACAAGTGATTGAATAATTTTCTGTCGGCCCGATTCTTCTCCTTTGCATTTTGTGTTTCTTCCAATGCTTTTTGGATAGGTTCGAGAAGTTTTAAGAAAACAGGAGAAGGTGATCCGCTTGGTTTCTTTGAGCTTCCTGCGACTAGAACGGTATGACGAACACCTTCAAAGGCTGCCACGACATGTTTTGCTTGAATTTCAACATTTCCTCCCACTTTTGCACTCAATTCAGCAAATGCATCGATCTTTGGCTTGACTTCATCATCCCATGCTTCAACACTTGCAGGCAAATCTACTGCAGGAGCAGAAGGTGGAACAGGTGCACCTCTATCTGTTGAAGCCATACCACCAGCTGGGGGTTGTTGGGGTTGAGCATGTTGTTGAACAGCAATATCCTCTAAACGAGAAGTTGCAGCTTCTAGCCGTTTGATCAAAGTTGAAAGGTTATTAATCCCTGGAACGCTCATCTTGGGGGAAGGGGTCCTATCCTTAAATGATGGTGCGGAAGGGGAGAGAAAGAGGGGAAAGCTTCTTCTATTCACTTGTGTTGTGTGCACGGCCTTGCTGCAAATGCTGGCTCTCCTAAATTAGACGCGTGAGAGTGCAAACCGCTGGAAGGCAATGAGTGCTGTGCAGGCTATTATAGTGCATGTGCTGTGCAGACATTTGTTTGTTCAAAACCGCTAAAATCGAATCTGCAATAGATCCTCCTAGAGACTTTGATTGATACTTGAAGTGATCGAACTTTTGTTTGATACCAAACGATAACCAGTAAACTGAATAATAAGAAATAATAAATTGATGATTGTAAAAGACAGAAATACGTACAAGTGGGCTAAGTCAAGTATGAAATGAATGTTTGTATAAGGAAGACTGATATTATGCTATATTCAAAGGAATGTGTATATCTGATGGAAAGATAATCAAAATAGACAGCTGTTGTGCGTTGGTTGTGTGTACATAAGTCGAGTAAATGGCGGTACCGAAACTGGTGCGGGAGGATACTTAATGCTGTTGAATCAACCTTCGTTGGATTCACAATTATTTAGGATAAGACTGTTGAAAGGTTGTTATCCTGTATATTTATTTTAAGACACTTCCGATTTATCCTTCTTAGAAAAGTCTAAGAGACCGTCTTTTTCAGCCTTTAATTCTGTAACGGTCGCTGCCAAGTCTTTACACTCTTTGTTGTCACAGCTTTGTGGATTTGCCTTCAGTGTGGTAATCTTACTGTTGTTTGCCTGCGATTCGATGGTGTTTATCTCATTGAAGCTACTCTCTCTACATAAGTGAATACCATCTACATGCGGCCTATCATAGTTTTCGTCGTCTCCTTCTTGACTTTCACTACTGTCCTTACACGGATTGAGATCCAGATGTGTTCCTCCTTACCGTTTTTTACCTTTTCCCTTGCTACTTTCTGCAACCTCTTCTAATCGCTTACGTTTACGTGGCTCAGTCGCTCCCTCTTATGATGCTTCCTTGGCTTCGGTTGCTTCAATAGTTGATTGAAAGCGTATAGACTTTCTTCCGCCTGGTTTGATGTCTGGGTGACGTGGCGCGTCTCTAGTGGCGACGATGGCTTTAAGTCCATTTACCTCGTTCTGCTTCGCCCCTTGTACGATCGTATTTTTCTGTACCTGACTGCTATCCGTTGCTTTGGCGGCTTGCTTATTTAATCAAACAACATTCGGGAGTGATACTTCTCATCATCATCATGCTTTTTTACTCATGCCTGGGAAAGACCTCCATCTCCAAAGCCCTTTCTTTTCTGGCTTTTGCAGCGCTTTCAGAGCTTCTTCTTGGTAAAGTACTCCTCTTTCATGGTGATCAATCTCACTTCGAAGTTGCCGATCATTGTTCTGATAATATCTTTCATGCACTGGCTCTAATGCAGGGATGAACGTATTTTCAGATTTGAGTTTAATTATTTCGTCTTTTATCTTTTCTTGTTTCGAGGATGCATTAGGCATATTTTGCCATAAAGCCTGCGAAACTTCATGTTTCTCCTTTTGAAGCATGTAAGATACTAATTTCTGTCTTTTCGCATTTGCCTCAGCCTCTCTACGTTGATGAATTTTGTTTTTTAATTCTACCTGCTTTGAAGAGCCACTAGGAATTTCTCTCATTTCTTCCATTAAGCCTTGGTGAAGCCCATTCATCAATTTCAAGTCCTTCTTTTGAGCGACAAGCACCTCTTGATGGAACTTGATATCTCTTTGTCTTCTGACTTCTTTTTCAGCTTTTTCAGCTTTTCGCTCTTGCCACTTTTTTGATCGATACCACGGCTTTTGACCTACTGAAAGCACCAAGGGAGATATCAAAGTTATGAACAGCAGAAAACAAGCAAGATGAAGCCGCATTTTTTGCTTCGATGAAGTTAAAGAGCAGAAAAACATAGGTCGAGTTTGCAAAAGTTTTCTTTTACCATAAAATTCGAAAACTTCTATGCAGTGCAATCAACTGCAATCGGGGCAAGAGAATTGCAGGCAAAGAAGGATTGTTACACATTTGCGTTTGAGATGCAGTGATTGTGTATGGGATTCGCAGCCTAATGATATGGAATGCCGTTTGTATTCGTGGATTTCCTCCCGAGTTCCTTTATGCAGTTAACGCGACCTGACCCCTGGGCGCGATGTAACTGAGCAGCAGCTGAAGTGTTGGTCTATTGCATTAGCGCCAATCAAAAAATTAAAGCTCAGTGGAGGAAAGTTGATTAAGTTCTTGATGTACGAAATTGGAAAGGTGCCGTCTCTTCTTCCATCACCATACCAATGACATTCATAGGTGGCAATCATGGCCATAGATGAATCAATGCCAACCGAAAAGAGCTTGATTGCTTGGAAGGAGGGTCAAGCAGATTGCTCATTAGCTCAATTCCTCGAACAAAACGCTCCATCAAAAACACGCAGAAGACCAGGAGGAGATGGCTGGATTTGGGTAAGAAGTGTCAGAGCTGATCTTGGTGATCCAAATAAGAAGCCCACAAATGAATCACTTCATGAAGCCAAAAAGATTTTGGACGAAGTGGTTCGACGATTGGAGGATATCGACAAGAATGACTCTATCCCAAAAATAAAAAGCAAAACGTCTGGACCATCGAAGAAGATGTTGAAGGACTCTTCCGTGCAAAGATGTGAAGAAGCTTTGCGCGAGATTGGCCTGAAAAAGTGGGCAAGTGGAAAGTGGATGTTCTTTGAAGGTGCAGAATATGTCAATCTAGTCTTTGGACGCTTGGCACAATCGATCATTGATGGACCTCTATCGAAACTAAAGAATGCACGTTGTCATACGATCAAAGTTGCAACAGCCGACAGCTTGCGAGTTGACAAGAGTAGACCAGGAAAAGACTCGCAGCAACTGATCTGCCTCTACTTTGATAATATTTGGAGCAAGGAAGACGCAACGGAAGTACTGAAATGCATCGTCAAAGAACATGGTCAAATTCCAAATTCAGCAAAAGCAGATCTGTATACGATGATCAATCTGGACAGCAATCATCCTTCAAAGATTCGATCGACTCTTTATCGACCTGCTGAATTATTCACATGGGAACAAATACGCGAATGGCAAACTGCATTCTTTGAAGAATTGAAAAAGAATAAGCCCAAGGATATCAACAACAAAAGTCCAGCTCGGTCAAGTAAGACTGAAGCTGAGCCAACCGGTAGCGCAAATAAGAAGAGAAAGTATGGATTGGAAGATGGCGACCGCGAGCCAGTTAATCCAGAACAATTTTGGCCATCACCAAAGTCGGATCAGAAGGACGCATCGACGCATCAAAGGACTAGTAGCAGGGTTGCAACTGAAAATCGTCCAAACAGCTCAAAAGCGCAACCGTTGCCAGTTGATGATGACAGTGAAACAGAATCCGAAAGTGAGCCTGAAGGTTTCAAGATTGCACGTCAGAAACGGGCAGAGGAAATGGCATCGCGTACAACTCCAGAAAGTAAGAAGGATGTCAATCACGCTGGAAAGCTAACGATGTCCGGAGCAGAAAAGCCGCCATCACATACCAGTCCAGGCAGGGAGAAGAATGATACCAATGCTGGTACGCAATCTAGCACACCGATCCGTGCTAGTGAAACCGAACTACGTCGAAAAGATTACAGCCCTAAAGTATCTCCCATACGAGCACCAGAAGCACAACATTCCAACCCACCTAAGCCGAAACCAAAGGAGACACCTATTGTGGTGTTGAAAGTGAACAGAAAACGCGACCGTTTTGGTCGTGATGATTTCTAGCATTTGTATATTATTCATGACGGGATTGGGCTTTTATATTCATGACGGAATCGGCTCTTTGTGTTCACGACGGAATCGGCTTTCATACTCATGACAGAATTGGTTTTTAATGGTTCAATTAATATTGATATAAATTAAATACTTGAGTGAGCATATGTTTTTACCAAATTGCACAACGTTCTTCTTCGCTTCTTGCCATTCGGTCTTTTCCGGCTTTGCAACCCCAAACTTCCGCAAAGTCTGGATTGTTGGATAGTGTTCCGATCACACGGAATTTGGTGGCAGAATGTTCATCGGTACGTAATCTTCTTACGGCTTCTTGAATGCGAATGTTACGAGCCCATCCAATCGCAAAGGCAACAAAGAACAGTTGTTCGCGTGAGTAATCCAATCCGGGCAAAAGTGGGTTGGCATCCAATGCTTCTTGACCGCCTTCTTTGAGTGTCGTCTTCCATGCACGGTAGCTTTGTGCCATTCCACCTGCATCTGCAACATCTTCTCCGATTGTGAAACGACCACGTAGATGTTCCTTACCACCTTTTCCGTTGGGAATGGTGTAATTGCTGTATTGATCGATCAAACAATCACGTCTTTCATTGAATGCTTTGGCAGTATCGTTCGTCCACCAATCGTGTAATCTGCCATTTTCATCGAACAAACGACCATTCGGATCAAATGCATGGGATAATTCATGTCCAGCCACGTTTCCAAAGGCGCCATATTGAAGATAAGATGGCCAATATTCCGAAAAGTAGGATGGCTGCAAGATACCAGCAGGGAAGACGATCTCATTTGCGCTTGGATTATAGTATGCATTGACTTCGGATGGAATCATGTCCCAGCTCTCTGGGTCCAACTGTCTCTCGATACTTGCCCATTGACGTTTGGCATCCCGTTGCATTTTCCTTGCAACGTTTCCGTAATAATCCTCCTTGTCCACTTTCAAGTCTGCGTAGTACTTCTCAATCGCAGTACCATCAGTAGTATTGGGGCTTAAAGGCCATCCAACCTTGATTTTGACTGCGTCTGCTTTGACTTCTGCTTTTTTACGTGTTTTAGGATCTAGCCAGTCCAATTCGGGTAATCTTGACTTGAATGCACCAATGATGGAATCGATGATGCCAGTTGCGATATTACGTGCACGAATAGAGAATGCTTCCTGAACGTAAAAGTGACCAAGTAAGTAACCCAGAGCATCATTTGTTGCGGCAAAGCAAATCGTCGATCGATCTTCCTTGACATCATCTTCCACACCTTTGGATCGTCGGTCAAGAGCATCGATCGGTTTACGCAACGGAACATTTGGACCAAGCTGTAAACCGAAAGTCCGTAGAGCAGTCCATGCTAAATAAGCTCCAAGAACTTCCGTTTTTGTTCTGCTCACCAAAGCATCAAGTCGTTTGAGGAAATTGGGCGATTGGACAATCACTTCTTTTGGCACACGGACTGTCAAGGCAGCCAAATACGTCGGCCAATCGATTCCGGAGAAAGTGTAAGAGAGGGACGATACTGTGGTTGGATTGTAGGTTGCAATTGGGTCTTCCAAATCCTCTCCATCCGGTGTAATCTTTGCGATATTTTTCTCGAATTCCACCACTAATTTTGCCAATTTCTTTACTTCCTTTTCCGTGGGCCTGCGCTTTTTCTTGTCGTGTTGTGCTTCTACAGCTAAGAGGAACGATTCTTCAATTCTTTTCTCATAGAAGCTCAGCTCATCTTCATCGTCATAGTATACTTTGTCCGGGAAGCCAAGACCAGAAGGAGATAGATAGGCAGTACCGAGTTTGGGATCTTTGACAGGCTCTCCCTCAGTGAACCATTCAAACAATGCAGGCAGACCTTGTGAGTGTGCAGAGGCTAAAGCTTCGGTGAAGCCACGTTGACGACCATTTCTTGGAGGAAGAGGCCTTGGCTTCTCTGTAGGTGGATGACGGGCTGGAGGTCTGTTGGGTGGAATGACTGGCTCGTCAATGTAGATGCCGTTCCAATCTTCGGTTTCAGCGGCTGAATTGAACATTGTAGAAAAGTCCATATCCTCCTTTTCGTCTTTCATCAACAATTTCCACAAGTTGGAAATCACATCCAAGACAGGCTTAGCGCCGGCTTTGTCTTGACTGGATGTGTCCATGCAGGATTGATAGAATGATCGAAGTTTAGCAATATTTCTCTTGTCAATATCATCTTTAGAATGTTTCATAATTGTTGGTCCATCATCTTCCTCTTCCAAGAACTTTTTCATCAGTCGAGCATTGTCATCGCCAATCTTTTGTGCCATCCCATATACACCTGCATCAGCGGGAATAGGATGCTCGTTGAGCCAGTTACCGACGGAGAAATGGTAAAAGTCATCACAAGGATCGACGGTAGTATCGATGGAACGCAATAAATCGCTTGCCGTCAAAACACAGTGCTTTGAAGTGCATACTTTTTCTCCTCCTGGCAAAGGTAATTGCTCATCAGGTTTGCCATGATCGATTCTTGCTTTTGTGTTTGCATAGAGACTAACAAAGATGATGAAGAGAATGATGAATAATAAAGAGATTGCCGCTAAGACCTTCTCAAGAGGACGTAAAGATTTGGGATCTTTCAATTGTTCCAAGATACGATCGTAAAAAGGTCGATCTCGGTTGTCTTCCAAGTCATCATGGAGTAAAGGGCGATTCTCATCAACGTCATCGGTTGATGGTCTTCCGTATTGTTGTGAAGATGCCATCTTTAGATATTGATGGAAGTGGTAGTGAGTATATTATGGTGGAGCTTTCTTCATTTACCAAACGTGCCTCAGTTAAATGCCCGTGCGAGAAAAATAGCGCAAAAGACTCGAGTTTATTCAATGCGCTGCGCTGGGCAGAGGAGTGAGTTAACTAGAGAATGAGCGGAGTCCCCAGTCAGAGTTCAATCCTAGCCCGCTTACTATATAGAAGTGACCCTCTTGTAAGCAGAAAATATCTTTCTATAATTGCTGACTGTGACTCTGATAGGAATCACATGTGGAAAACCCCATTTCATCCTTGACTTATACGCTTATATTTTTACCGGCAATTTCATCATCCTGATAGTTGGCATTGAAAACGTTTGATCGGGGGAAGAAACCGGTTATGTCGGCTATACGGAGAGGATTAACGCGTATGCCCAGCTTAGCGCACGCACGCACGCAAACTTAATCGCTTTTCTGCTAGACTGCTCTAAAGGCTCATTCTCCCGTTTCACACTTTCAAGTTGAATAAATGCATGCAAGCGTAAATTATCATTTTATTCAAAGTGCTGACTGTCATCTTCTAGATTAACATCTTTTTAACTTCCATCCATAGAATCTTTCAATCATGTCTGCTTTACAACAAATCGTACTTCATCCATATCTATCACAAACTGTGAGTGTTGCCATGTGAGAGACTTGATTGGACATATGCTGACAACCATCCCCTTCCCCACAACCAGCTCCGATTCTGGAGTACAACAGTCGGTCGTGATAAGACATACAGATCCGTGCAATACTTGGCACGTTTCTTAGCATGGTATGAATACCGTAAAGGAGCAACAAAGGAAACCGTTCAAAGATTGCAAAACCTTAAGAGCAGCTTGGCTTTAAGTCGTAAATTGATGCGTGTAGGAAAATTCTTGGAACATTTACAAGCAGCTCTCAAAGCAACCGCAATTCAAGATCCAATCGTTTCATACACCGCAATCGGTCGTCAATTAGGTTATGGATCATACCTCATCTTAGATCAATTGCAATGGTTGCACGGCTCAAAAGCATACCAATTCTCACCTGAAACGATCAAAAAGATTTCAAAGAACGCCGCTAGATTCTGGTTGACAGGTTTATCATTCTCTTTGATTTCGGGAACTTACAAAACCTACGTCTTACGTCAACGTTTGGCAGCCGCTAAACGTCCTCGTGCAACAGCTGAAAAAGAGGCAGAACGTAAGATTGAACTACAACAAATTCAAACCGAACAAGCAGGCGTTTACTTCCAAATGACACAAGATTCTCTTGATTGGTTGATCCCCGCAACTGGTGCTGAATTCTTGGACTTGGACGAAGGTGTTTTGGGCCTGGCAGGTTTGGCAACCAGTTTGATGGGCGCTCGTACACAATGGCGAGCAGTCAACGGTCCTGCCGGAGCTGCAAAGAAGTGATGCAATTTCACCCGTGTTCATTCCCATCTGGCTCGCTACCATTGTACTCTCTCTCTTTCTCTCTAAGCTCGTTTCTATATAAAGCGAAAAAAATACGATTTGATGCAGTAAAAGTACAAATTGTGATGATACAAATACATACCTAGAATAAAAATCTTTGTAAGGATGCATACTGTTTATCCTGATCGCGTGCTTGCCAAGAGGCTGTTAATACATCAATAGAATCTGGATTGCCTTGTTCTATGTCACCCAATACGCCTCCCTTGTCGAATGCACGTACAAGAAGGGAAGCTTCTGCCAGGCGTGGGTTTGTGTCTTGCTCTGTTGCATTTCGTTTTCGTTGATCTTCATTTTGTCGTAAATCAATCTTGATTTGCGTTAAATCAGCAATGATCTCTGATGGGACAACAGGAGCAATCCCTCCCAAAATATAAGAAAGCCAAAACAAAATACCAAACGGAGGCGGGGAAGAGATGTGACTTGGTAATTTGCGATTATTGGTTTCGTTGTTGTTGTGTTCTGCAATTGCAGGTTCGGCAGGTGAGGCTGGCGTTGCGGGTGAGAGTGGTGTAGCGGATGACGAAAGGATGCCGCTGTTCAAGGTAGGTGCTGCGAGTGAGTAGAGATCCAACAAAGCATGAACCACCTCTTCCACACAATCGATAGTAGTGGAGAATTCTCGGGTAAGACTGATGATGGATTGTGACTTGAACTTGGCAAGAGTATCAGAAGCCATATCGTTATCCCCCTTGTATGCACGCTGTCTCAGAAGAGCCGCACAGTAAATTGATCCTAATGCGATTGTTGAAGGAGGATAACTTATAGGCGCATATGTTCGATGACAATCTGCTGTGATCTGCCATGCTAGCTTCGCAAAGTCTTTATCGAGGTTCCAAAATCGACAAATCTTGAGAGATAGTCGAAAGCTCTCACTGACGTGGACGTTGAAGTCAAATGTGATACTTTGAAGTATCAATGATTCAATCGAAACAGCTCTCTTTCTCTCCTTTTCCACTGCGGCCGCATCTACGTCACTTTCTGAGATGATGCCAAGACCTAATTGGGCTTGAGGGACAGAGCTACTTGTATCTGTCACGCTCTTATTTGTTGCTGTAGCTTTCACATTGGGTGTACTACGTACCATCTCTGGAAATCGTAAAGCCCAACTGCTGAGTACGACCTCCTTTGGCTTTTTAGGTGTATCTTGAATTTTGGAAGCAACGACTGTGCATGCGATTGCAACTTCATGAGGTAAAAACTCTCCTGGACTGAAAAAGAGATGAAATCGAAGAAACAACAATTGAGCTGTGGCTATGGTCCTTTGAGGAAATCCGATTCGAGATCCTAAGGCTTGTAGAAATCCGAGTATTTGGGTTTGCCTTTTGGTGAATGTTGAAGATTGACTCAAGCCTGTCGAAGCAGCCAATTGGGCTACTTCTGTCGGCGTTAAGAAGTTGACAGAACTAACGACCCGCATCAGTGCTTCCTGTTTGGTTGATGATCATCGTTTCTCATCAAAACTTAGCGTTTACAAGCGTGGGTGGACCCTATGGCGCGTAAATAAGCCTCCACTGATTTCCTCACGTCAGATTTTATTTTTCATGTCCATACGCTAGAAGGTGACTTGCTTATCTGATTCCCATCACCCACATCATTTTCAAAATGTCGTTCGGCAAAAACTTTTCCAGCGCACTCTATCGAAGTATCGATCAGGCAAAGCATTCAATCGCTTCGGCCATTCGAATGGACGTTCTGCCTCCCACGTCTGCATCATATGGACGTACTCCAATATACAGCTTAACATCTGCTCGAGATGTAGAACAATTGGCTACCGGAAGTGATGCAGATATGGGCGGTGCAAGTAAGATGCAATTGGGATTGGATAGCGAAGAAGGAAAAGGTCGCTTCTATGGAACGTTGAGCACAGAAGTGCCAGCGAATGCTAAGCTCGAAAGAAGTGGATATGCTGCTTTTCGTAATAGAACTCGAGCGACCCTATTCGGTGCTCAAACGTGGGATGCAACCATGCATCCCTATTTACGCCTTCGTGTTCGTAATAGACTAGCAGGTCCTCCTTCAGGTGAGGTATCCAACAACATCGCTGCAAAAGTCCGTTCAGCGCACACCACTCCCAGTATCCAACGTGCAAGTGCATATACCCGAGCCGTTCATGCCCTTGGTCTGGATCGTGCCAATGCTCCTGGCCCAAAGTACTTTGTCAACATTCAAACCGATGGTCCAGTAACGAGTGACTTATTCCAACACCGTCTCCTGCTAGACGAAAGAAAGGGAAACGCATGGCAAGATGTCATCATTCCCCTGACGGATTTCGTTTTAATGAATACAGGAGAAGTTGCGCCTTCACAAATCGGAATGATGCGTGAAAAGCTGCGAACGATCGGTGTAAGTGTTGTCCTAGAATCGCCCAGTCTAGACAATCTCAAACCGGCCAAAACGGACAACTCTCGGGGATCCGCTCCTGATGCTTTGAGATCACAAACAAGCTCAGAAGAAGGAGAAAATGAAGGTGCACCGCAAGTCGCAAAAGGGAGCAGGAGAGGTTTGAAGTATAATTTCGATCTGGGAATCGAACATATCGAGGCAATAAGCGATGATGCATTAATCGAAGAGGGGATCACGATTGAACAACATTGAGGGAGAAAAAGCGAATCACTTGTGTACAGTATACGAATGAAATTTGTTAATTGCGAAGAGAGGAGCTTCCGGAGTGGGAATGAAGCTCCTGAGATTTACGGCGCTCCGAAATTAGCTGCTTCATGTGGCCGTGAGTGGCCGCAACAGCTGTGTACCTGAAGACTACTTATTAATTACAGAAAACAGACTCGATCCCGTCCACCACCCACCTCATCATCTACTATGCCACTTAAAACTTCATTCATCCTTTGCTTTGCCACTTTGTTGAGCTTTTGTGCAGTCACACTTTCCATCAGAGTGGTAGAGCCCAAATGGATCGACGACAGGATTAAAAGGCCTCTAGGATTCAAAGCATTCTACACCAAGCCAACTGAAACGGATAATTGTTCCGTTGAAATCAACTTCCAAAGGGATTTTAACGATCAACGTTATCAATATGACGTTTATGCAGTCTTTGAGAACGGACAAAGGTATTATTTGAAGCCAGACGCTAATGTCAGTACAGATACGTTGTTGGCTGCCGTTGAAGCAACGCCGAAAGGTCAACGTGGAGCCTATATGCTCCAATCCGGCTACACTCTCACTCCTGTGATTGTGAACATTTGCAACATTGGGGCAAATGATACAAATTATCCTCCTGATCTTAAAGGTGAAATACCCAAGAAGTTTGCCGTTCAAGCAACTCCTGCTAATGTTGTACATGCGGATAAAACCGTTTGGCTCTCCACTCCGTTTGGGTTCGTCAGTACGAACAATGCGACACCACCCAGTGTTACCGATGTCAAAGCGCTCAAATCGACGAAAGATCAATTGAGTAACCAAAACACGATCAACGTTCAGTGGAAAACTGCTTCAGATCACAGCGACGTCAAAGGATATTTCATCCTTGCAGGCCCGGCAGAAGATGCTTCTCAAGTTTCAAGTGTTCTCATCGAAGATCCTAACGCGACTCAAGGTCAAATTACCCTTGGCTATCATACAGTGGGCTATGATGTTGCCGTTGTCACTTATGCCACATCAGGCGCTCTTACAAGTCCAGCTGTAGCAGCACAAGTGAATATCACCCAGACATAAGAAAAGGATTTGACCCTGGACAGCCAGCAATTGTTTGTATGTAGCTTGTTAATTTATATAAAGGCGCACACCGAATGATTACTTTATTGGGGACTTGAATAGGCGGAAATCGGCTTGAATTGAGCGGTAGGATGACGAACGGCCAGAGAGTGAATGAGAGAGAAAGCTTATTGCCCCGTTTCAAGTTGGGACAGGGATACAATCATCAAAGCCAGAATTCCTTCTCCGTAAATTACCAGAGGTATGGTACCATTTATTCGGGTAAACTTTGAGTGCAATCGGCTGGACGAATGATGGATACCATGACAACGGATATGAAGGGGTAAAAATGGAAAGGCGCAATAGGAGGTGGTAACTGTGTAAGCATACGGCACTCCTTCATTTCCGGCCACGGACTACCGAGTTGAACTGATGAAGGAGCCGCAATTTGTGCCTGAGACACGGGTTATGAACTAACAAAGGTACCCCTTGACCTAATAAACAATATCTTGCTCTCATCTATCCTACTCAAGATCGAGTACAAAATGACAAACTCAATCCACCTTTCCAATTCCTCTCCCATCTCATACCTTTTCCTTTATCAAAATGCATTCTTACCTCGTCTTCCTTCTTTCTGCGGTTTCTTTAACTTTCTCATCCGCCTTGGCGGCTCAATCATGGCCACCAGGAGGCTTTGATGCCCCAAAGAATTTCAAAGCCTTTCCTTCTCGCGACAGATGTCGTCTTCAAGTCGTCTTCGAACGTGAGGATAGGGACTATGACTATTTTGTTTTTGGTATATACGAAAATGCAGCAAGTCCAGTTTGGTTACCCGCAACAGAATATGCAGATTTTACCAAATGGCCAATCACCGTTGTTAATGGAACAGCGGCAGAAGATAGAGGAGAATATCCTGTTAGCGAAGGAAGTTTGTACACTTTCACACCTCTTATGGTCAACATTTGTCCAAAAGATGCTCATGGAAGCAAGTTCTTGAACAAAGTTTTCGTCAAAGCTACAACAGGAGGTGGTGGTGTTCCTGGTAAATTGGCATGGCAATCAGATCTCATTCCAGTCGAAGGTCATCCAGTGCCAATTGGTGGCGTGGAAATTACAAAAGTGACAGCCACCCAAGAAAAAGATTACAATGCCATCCATGGAGAAGAACCACCAGCTGATGTACTTGTTCAATGGCAATTGCACAGCTATAAAGCAAATGATGTCGAAGGATTTTACGTTCATGTCGGTCCTCTCACTTCCGATAGTAAACATATTCAAGCTAAATTCGTCAAAGGCGGCCATGCAACCAACGCAACCGTAACTATCGAGGCTTACGGTAAACCAGATGTTGGCAATACGGTCTATGCAGCCGTTTCAATCAAGACAAAGCAAGGTTCTTTCACTGATACTGCTTCTTGCCCTCAGCAACCTGTTAAAATCTATTAAAAGCTATTTGCACTCATTTCTTTTCTCGTCTTCACTTTTCTTATTTTTTATCATTTTCATTTACCATAATTTTCATTCGAATAAATCTTTCTCAATATCTTTGCATAAGGGTTAAAAATGTTAAAATTGCCAGTTCTTGGCATTCAGGTACGGAAGCTAACATTACAACTTCGATCAAAACTTAGATACGGCACCGATCTCTTATTTTGTCATTTGATGGCAGTATTGCAATACTCTACCGCCTCTTCGACGGAAATGCGAGTACAGAGTATAGCGGAATGAAGAATACCATTGCTTGCGGAACACCGCGACAAAATTAGGGTTGGAATGTTAAATGAAGGACCGATTGTTGCGGCTTTGAAATGCTTGTCCTGTTCAAAAAGACGGCTTGTTTGGACCATTCTTTTCTTTCCAGCCCATCATTCATACACTGATTCACACATCCTCTAAAATGGCTCGCTTCTCAAACTCTCTCAGCGTAATGGTCGTGCTCATTGCCTTCATCAATGTAGCATCGGCTTTCTACATCGTTAATTACTGGCCGGATAACAGCGTGAAACAGCCAAAACACTTCCGCGCTTATCCTCAAGATGATGTAAATTCCAGTGGCTGTGAAGTTGAGATCTTATTCGAAAGAGACTTCAACGATCAAAAATATGATTATCACATTTTTGCCAACTACGACACAGCTGATGAGCCTCAATATGTACCTGTCAAGAACTATTCGGAAAGCGACAAGTTAGCCGTAGTCAACGCAACACCTCAAGGTCAAAGAGGAGCTTATTTCCGTCCAAACGGGTATACGTTGACTCCACTCATGATTGAAGTTTGCAACCCAAATTACATCTCACTTCGAATCCCTTTGACTCCAAAATCGTACTTTGTCAAGGTCGTGCACGCAGGTAAAGGGCCTGACAGTGAGGCAGTTTATGTCTCGAACACATTCGGTGCTAATGATGCAGCAACAATCGTGCCACCTCCTGGAGTTACTCAAGTTGTGGCCACTCATAAACAATCCCAACATCCAAACACCAACCTCGTACATGTGAAATGGCACTTGGACACACTTTTCAACGATCAAGTTCGAGGATACTTTGTCTTAATTGGACCAGCAAAAGGCGCAAAACAAGTTCAAAGCTTTTACGTCGACAATGCAAACGCAACCGAGACTACAGTCGAGATTGGCTACTTTGTTGATGGTTATGCTGCTTCCGTTGTCGTTTGGTCAAAAGATGGTGTCTTGACCAACCCAGATTTGGCACCTCAAGTCAACATCCAATAGGTACAGATGATCCTTATTCTCTATTGATGTAGTCGTAAATAACTCTTTATACATTATTTATGCCTTCACAAACCAATATGAAACAGAATGATATCGTTATCTGAATTTACAGGTAGCTTTCAAGAATTTCGTTAATCGACTCTCTTATTATAATTTACATGACGGTGATATCGTCTATGCTTTTTCTTATTCATGAAGCACTCCGGTATTCCTATTGTCAATGCGTTTCCGATTTCTGCGTCGATGAAATTGAAAGCTGTAAAAGACGGCGTTTTGACCAATTTAGATCTGTCACCTTAAGTCAACATCTAATAGGCGTAGGTAACAAGAACAAGCCAGATGATCCTTATTCTCCATTGATGTAGTATTGTCTAATATCTTCATGTATCATTTGTGCCTTCAGAAGACAACAACTAACAGGATGACATCTTTATATGAACTTGCAACCTCCTTTTTCTTATTAAGAACCTTATCACCTTATCTAGTCATTATAATGTTACAATCCGGTGCCATCATCGACTCTCTTGTTACACATAACGGTTTTGTCGTCTTTACTTTTTTGGTATATATAGCACCGCGCGATACTGAGTTTCAACAGTTCCGAATTCCGCGTCGCGATGCCGCAGTGGTTTACCGGGTCCGCCTGCTATTGAATTTAGCAGTCTATTGTTAAAAACAGACACAAGCGGGTGCTCTTTGAGCGCGCAGGTTCGAATCCTGCTCGCGACGCCATTTTTTTATTCGCAAGTAGTCGATGCCTTTTGATGCTTGCATTTACCTCTCTGTCAAGTGTGCTTTACGATCTTGTATTACTCGTACACAAATGCATGACAACACAGTTCACGCAAATCCGTAACATTTATGCAAACAAGAAGTTGCCACCCTAAATTGGCCGGATCCAAACAAAGCGGAGCGGACAAGTTTAATCGGCCAAAGATTTATTCATAGCATCTATCACATACATACTCATGAGCCAGCAGCTTGTGGGTTAACATTGAGTCTACGATCGCTCTTGCGAAGGTTACGACCCAATTCAGGATGACCGGCGATTGCCTTGTCCAAAACACGTTGAATACCATCCAAGCCACGATCCAATTCTTCCAATGGTGGACCGAATGAAAGACGAACAAAAGGTTCACAAGGCGAATGAATGATATTACGACGATGGGCAGGGTTGACGTCAAAGAAGATACCTGGCGTAACAATAACTTGTTCTTTGAGTAATTCTTCAAAGAATGCTAAACCAGAATTGAGGGGATGAGGTAAGCAGGATAAATTGAGCCAAATGTAAAACGTTGCTTGTGGTGGAACATGACATGTTAAGCCCATTGCGGCCAAACGGTCAAGGACATGCTTGCGTTTCATACGGAAGTGACGTTGCAAGGCAATACGGTCTTGAACGATACGGTCTTTGTCCATCATTTCTAAAGCCAAGCATTGCATAGGGTGGGAAGCACCTCCGTCCAAGTATGATCCTGCTTGATTCAAAGCAGAGATCAAATCTTTGGGTCCAACGACCCAGCATACACGCCAGCCAGGGCAGCGCCAGTTCTTTGTCAAACCATCGATCAAGATTAAAGGACTGCTGTTGACATCCTCAATGTACTCAGCTGCAGAAACTGCACGACCTTCTTCGCCTTCGTGTAAGTACCACGAATAGAATTCATCCAAAATCGTTGTAACGTCCATCTCATTTGCCATTTCCACCAAATCACGTAATTCTTTGCCTTCGATGATTTGTCCCGTTGGATTGCGTGGGTTGCTCAATAAGACAGTGGTTAAGCCTTGATTGCGGATTGTGCGACGTAAATCCTCAACTTTCATTCTGTATTGGTCCTCTTCAGCTAATTGAGTTGGGATTGGGATCAAATTCTTGAAAGCGGCCAACATGGGTTCATAAGCAGCATATTCGGGTAATTGATAGCCCAACAAGATTGGACTGATGACGGAAGCCACTCTGGATAATCCTGCACGACCACCGGGAACGATGCAGATGTTGTCGGCAGTATATTTGCTTGCACGGCTTTTGCGGAAAGTGTCATTGTAGTACTCTGCCACTTTTTCACGAAGAGGTTGAATACCCGTTGTAGGGCCGTATTCGTGAATCAAATGGCCGTACTTGGCCAAGTCGAGGTTTGTAGGTTTTGGAACTGCTCCTGGAATATCACCAGTTTCGGGTGCACCTTGACCAAAGTTTGCCCAACCTTCTGCACCATAATGAAATCCGTTGGACATTGCACGGTCCATAACGTAAATCACACCAACCGAACCTGGGTGTTCGATACCGGGAACGACGTGATCGTTGCGTGCCGCTTTATCGCTATGACCAGGTTGTTCACGAAAGATTTGATGTGCTTCCGATTCATGTTCGTGGCTGCAAGGGTGGGGGATTTGGTCAACATCGATTCAAACCTTGATGGGACACTGCATCTACTCACCTGATACTGCCATTTCTACGATGGGCAACATCATTCAGGGCATTTTTCATCATGCCAAAAGCAGCAGACATCATATTTGAATCGTTTTCTTGTTCTTTTTGGGGTTGTGTGGATGACATGATGAAGGAAGTATTTCGGAAGAAAAGTTGTGTTTTATATGCGGCCAACAGGGAATCAAAGACGGAAGAAAAAAATGCGGTAATGCGCGGTTCAAGAGATGAACTTTTATGACGTGGCAGTGCCCTTTATATGCGATTGTTTGTTTTTTTTGGCGTTCTTCCGTTTTGAATGTATCTTTGTTGCCAATCTGACTCAGATGGATCGGGCGATTAGCAAAGGGTACGTATTTTGTTGGATAGGCGTAAAAGCGGAAGCCGAAGGCAGTGGGAAAAGTGAAATTAGGCTTAGCAAAAGTGGCGCACAAGTTGATCTGAATGATGGTCGTGAGAATGTACTTTTGAAGATGATGTTCCAAGGCATATCCTTTCCCCACTCCACGTTCGTACCTGATTATATGAGCCGTTGTTACTTTTTATAAACGCTAAAGAGTGCATTGTGTGTGTCTGTGTGTGTGTGTTGGTGGCTGAAAAATACGGCTCGATTTGTGCCAGCGCTTATTTGCTTGCCGTTAACATGCATGCAATTCCGGCGGCTGCTGCAACAAAGGCGAAAAACACACGCAAGGGAAAAAAGCAGCGCCGACCGCCTTGCACACGGCGTTTGTATTACCATCTGCTCTTATCGTCATCAAAGCGTACGCATACATCCATCAATTTATCGCACATGATCACATCTGTGACGTCTTGATTGTGATTTTGAGACTTTGGTCGAGGACAATGATTTTCTTGCTGTGATGAAGATGTTGTCATCGACATCCAATGGACCCACTTCAACCTCACGAATTCAGAAACGCAAGATAAACACTATTCTATCTCATAAATGCAGGGATGCAAAGTGAGAATGGCAGTGCTATTCTTCGTTGTCATCCGATAAGACTCGCTGACGTAATGAAAATCACTCTCTTGACAATGTTACCGTCATGACGTATGATGCAGCATTGTCATCTTCTCTTCCTTCTCGTCCTTTTGTATTGTCTTCCATGCTTGAGGACTGCCACTGACAGTCTGCCTGCTCCATAGTCTCATGATTGAAAACGGTCTAGACCATCAAAAAGAGTCTCTGTCGAAGAAGCAGTGATACCGTAAAAGGGAAGCTGAAAGGAAGCATAGTTCTTACAGCGCAAACTTTGAAGAAGCCTTGCGTAATGATTTGATCATTGGCCATTCAGGTCGGATGGAATGATTAGACATGCAAGCATAACCTAGAGTCACGGATGAGAATGCAAGACGACATGATTTAGCCGCCAGGATACTTCGAGTAAATGGAGAAGTTAGCGATGTATTATAAGATAGAACGCGATACTCAAAAAGATGCCTCAAGAGTTATCGCATGACCTGGAAGAAGTGAAAAAAGCCAGTAAGTTGCAAGTTGATCTCATCAAACCGCACAGCAAGACTTTTGTATGGTATTATCAAGTGTATGAGCGTAGAATAAAGAGATTTAATGAAATCATCGATAGCTGAACCTTACCTACCTCAATTTCATTGTCCACCGATGAGAGCGATGGGAAAGGGAATGGCAAACGTCAAAAGATTTGACAAAGAAGATCAGTGCGTTTTGGCCTTGAAGGACATGTACAGTACATTGCGTGATAGTCTTAACATCCTTGATTGCCGATTCATGCCTCCAAAGGAGTATTATCATTCTAGAACGGGGCTTCAAACATTTTTCGGCCGATTTGTCTTTGTACACACATTTGTATACATGTATAAAGGATTTGATGATAGCCGGATCTGTGACGCCGCATGTATTATTCGGGGAGCTTTTCTCTGGTGTGTTAGGTCACCCCAGCATGGCAAACTATCCTAAACTTGAAGAAAGTCCCTCAAAGACTCGGAAATAGGCAGCGAAAAAGCAGTGCTATGAAGTCGGTCTCCCCGACAAACTTTGTTGGTACGATTGAAAATCGCTCTGCGCATGATAGCATGCTTTCACCTTCGTTACCTATCATGCAGCTTTGCCATCTATTTATTCTTCTCTTCTTCTTAAATTCTCTTCTGTTGACACATGCCACCGGCAGCTCGCCTAGGCCACCTTCTAGTCAACCTAAACAGTTTATACGATCAAAGACAATCTCAGTTGAAAAAGCGATTAAACGAAGGAATAAAGAAGAAAAGAAGTATCAATTTCATCAAGTAGTTAGAAAGGATGCTTCCCTGAATGGTTTGTGGGCGGGCCACTCTGGACAAAGTGAATGGATGGATATGCAGGCAAGACGCAGAATTGCAATTGCAAACGTGAAAAGACATGATTTGGCCTCTAGGCTACTCCGAGAGAATGGTGAAGTAAGCGATGTATTACATGGTACATCGCAAAACCTCAAGAAAATACCCGAACACTTATCGATTGAGATGGAAAAGGTGAGAAAGGCTAGTAAATGGAGCATTGCTCTTGCTAAAACCCACGATGAAGACGGTCGGCGATATTTTGAGAAGCATCATCGAAAGTTAGACAAATATCATAGGATTATCAATGGAGATACGTCACCTACCTCAAGTTCCTGGTCATCGTCTAGCGATGAAAGCGATGGTCAAGGGAAAAGCAAGCGCCGCAAAAATTGAATTTGAAGCGCTGCATAGAGACAGATAAGAAACAAGAAGTGATAAGATCGATCCGCGCACGCATCTAGATCAGGCGACATGTTCGGACCATCACCACCGCTCGAGGTAGGGTGTGAGCCACTTGAAGGAATCTCACGTATGCCTGCAAGACTATTTGTGCTTGTATGTGTACCATGTCTAGACCCACGCAGAGCACTTCGATTTGATCTCTGTGATTGTTTCTTTTCAGAGCTCAGAGCTTCAACTTGGGTAAGTGACATCTTAAAAAAAATCAAGACATGGCAATTTTGCCCAAGAAAGGATCAGATTCCAAAGAAAACCTGTTTTGCAATGCCCCGATCTAGTAAAAGTTTCGAACTTTCGAACTTGATAGCAAATGTGACGTTCTTTGCCGCTACTTTGCTTTTCATGGCCATCACTGAAAGATACAACAATGCAAGTCTGTAACATCGTACTTCTAATTTTCTTGCTCACACTGCAATTAGCAGCGGGAGCGAATGTGGGGTCCTCCTCATCAAAGTCAAGCGAAAGGGAAGGACCGAAAAAAGCAGCAGCAGCAGCAAATGCAAAAAAGGAATTGGAAAAAGTTGAGAGAAGCCATGCTCACTATCTAAAAAATGCTGAAGAAGCAACGTCAAACGGTATGGAATTGTGGCACTCAGAGTATGATAGTTGGATGGACTTGCACAAAAAACGTCAAAAAGTGGAAAGCAACGCAAGAAGACATGCTCTTGTTTCCAAATTCGTAAACGATGAACACAGAAAAGCTTCTGATGTCCTCAAAGGTAGGTCGGAAGAACTCGAACGTAAATCAAATGAAGTAAAAAAAGATATGGATCATTCAAAGAAGAAAGCCAAGTATGACCCAAATCTTCATCTCGCTCGCTTGTCCAAGCATACCAAGAGACTCAAAGATCACGAAAGTACCATAGCAAAATTTCGAGACATCGTGCGTAAAAATAGCGATTGATGTATTATGCGTTCTGTTTCCTATTACCCTCAATCGTGACCCTGAAATTATATGCTTCCATAAAAATTCGATTGTACCGCTTCGTCGGGGCTGGAAATGTTGAGAGAATTTCGAATCTAGCGATAAAAACGGAAATGGCATAGATTTGCTTCTTTTGTTTTCGACCACCGCACCAGTGCTCTCTCGAAACTGACCACGATCATAAGTATGAAGAACTTCAATTTCCTCTTTATTCACGTCTTGTTGTTATTGCATCCGTACTTATGTTTTTCGGCTTCCTCAAGCAAAGCTTCCCAAAAAGGCAAGGCTAAAGCTGAGGGCCGTCATGATAGCTCTCAAGCATTAGAAAGAGCGATGAAAGAGAAAGCAAAGGCTGAACGGAAAACGAATCTCTACTACAGTAATGTTGATGATGCGTTAGCAAAAGGAGTATCAATGGGTCATCCCGGCTATGACGCCTGGGTCCATCTTGCAGGAGAGCATAAAAAGATAGAAGCCAATGCAAAAGCTCATCAATTAGCTTCGAAATTTATTCTCAAAAATCGTACACCTCACCAAGAGATTTTTCAAGACCGTGCTGAGAAACTTGACCATTCTGCAGGCCAAATAGAAAAGCAAATGGACTTGGCGAAAGCGAATAACAACTACGATCTTGCCCTTCATAACACTCGTCTTCATGAGCACCACGAAAGAGTGAAAGAACACGATGATACTATGGCAGGGCTAGATGAGACTATCCGTGAGCTCAGCCACTCGAAATCGCGCAAAAGAACTTGATCCTAGGTTCTTAAGCTTTGAGTCCAGCCTTCAGACCCGAACGTTTCCGCTTGTTACTCATTCTGTAAATGAATATGACTTGATTTAATACATCATCTTTGCTTGACGCAACTTATTGTGCAGCCTTTTATCTCTACTATTGTCCGATCTTGTGTCTCTTACAGCTTCATATCCCCAGTAGAATAGCCATGATACATCATGTGAAACCCATTGGATCCTGTGAAAGCTAGAGAAACCTCGATCGACACGCACTTCAAGAAGCCAAAACGGGTAAGAAAGTATGCGGGAATGAAGTGGAATCCCTATTTGAAGAAATACTGCGATATGATTAACCGAAACTCTACGACATACTTCGGCATCGACATGGTATAGTCTCGACATTCCAGTGAATTCATTCGTAAGCATAGTAAGCAATAAGACACAGCTATTCTGACGCAACGGTAGAACTGTCTTCTTGCTATCTTGGCTTACCAAACGCAAAATTGGGGCTATAAGGGGCTCACACTTTCATTGACGCCACCTCAGTCGTTGTCAAACCAGTCGTGAATCACAGTGTGTTGCCGATAATTACGAAAATGTACTCTCTCATCTAGAGTGATGATGGCGATACAGCCTTGTAAGATACTACGCTGCTTAGTCTTCTATGCCATTCTTCACTGCATCGCAGCAGTGTCTGCGACAGACACTCCAGCTGGACCGTCTGCCCACCCAGAAAAGACGGCGGAAGTGGCGATAAAAGAAGCAAAAAGAGGCAAGAAACGTGCTCGAGACGAATTTGAACGATATCTGACCAACTTTGAAGAAGCTCATACTCATGTTCCGATTGGCAATTCACAGCGTTTGAGATGGATGAATCTACTATCGCAGCGACAAAAGGAAGAAGCAAACATAAGGAGACACAAATTGGCAGCAAAATTATTGAGAGAAACTCCGCAGGTTGCACATGCCTTGAATCAAAGGGCAGAAGAATTGGAGCATATTCCCCGGAAAATTCAGCGGAAAATGGATTTTGTGAAAACACAAGGAATCCATCATGCTGCTCATGCTAAAGAACAAATGGATATTCTCTCTGCAAAGCAAGACGAGCATAATCGTATAATAGCCCATCATGATGCAGTCATACGCAAGAACAGTCGGTAGCATACCTGTCATTTATTCTTACGTTCTTGTTCTGCATATGCGAAACGGAAAGCCGTTTCTGAAGCCCCAATGATGAGACAAGACCCGCGTATATCGGCATCTTAGGGATGGTGGATGACGTTGAAAAGCAACAATGTATGGTATAAAAAAAGCGGAAAAATCTCTTCTTTGATACTCCGCTCAACATAAAAAATGACAGCGTTACAACTTCCATTTCTTCTCTTGAATCTTGTGCTTTTTGCGCTTCACTGTTCTTCAGCGCCAGCGGGAAGTCCAAATGCTCAACGGGCAGGAAGAAGTCCAAATGTCCATCAAGCGAGCGCAGTACAAAGTCTGGCAGGTAAGGTTCTAAGTGTGCCCATGTATGTTCCGAACAAGATCATGGAATATCGTGCAACGACAGTACAAAAAGCTACTTTGCACAAACAAAGAGCACAGAACAAGCTAAAGCAATACGAATCGCATTTCAAGGAAGCACAACATCATGCGCCAGTTGGTAATACTGAACATGATAATTATATGAATTTATTGGAAGATCGTCAGAAAGCTGAAGCAAATATTCGTGTTCACAATATGGCAGGTAACGTCCTCAAGAACATTCATCAACCTTTACATGAACGCGCAGATACGAGCCTTAAAGGAGCCGTAGATCACATTCAAGCCAAATTGGATCATGTGAAAAGCAAAGGTGTGAATGATGACGATCTCACTTGGAATCATTATGATGCTTATCGTGATAGGAAGGATGGAATAAAGGCAGAAATTGCAAAACATGACAAAACCATTCGTAGAAATTCTGGTTTGTGGCCATTTTAGCGGTTTTTGTGTATGTCGTGTATAATGTCATCCATACGTCTCCGTTCCGACTGCTGTGCCAACTTTACCCTCGGGGAGTGGAGGAGGGATGAGTTTTAGAGTCACAGCTTGCAGATGGATGATTGATTGCCTCTCACTATGAATATCCTCTGTCCACATAACCTCATAACGCCATCATAAAAATGAAGTGCAAGGTCAGAAACACATAAACGCGCATGTCGCACGAGAAGAGGAACATATTCGGATCATGAAAGGACACAATGATACCATTCGTAAGAACAGCCGCCCGTGGCCGTTGTAGTCACAATAATACAAGTACACCAGCCTATGTTACAAAGAAAGTCACTCAAAGTCCAACCCTCCTCCCTCCCTTTCTTGGCGTTGCACTTCCAGGCATGGCCATTCGCGGCGTTGAACTGTCTTGCCTTTCACGTTGTACGCGATCTTTCTGTTCCGCTTCTGCTTTATCCCGCAAAAAGCTCTGTTCGATAGCAGATCGTTGTGAGAATTCGGCATCCCGTTGCAATCTAGACCGTGCACCAGAAACATCCCTCTCACGAATAGAGTAAAACACGCCTCCAAGTTCTGCTAGCCAGTGAGGATCGACAGCAGTCACAGTATGCATGTATGTCTTGCTTGTTTGAATTACCTCGTGAAACACAAGAAAAGAAGGCTGAACACCTGCTCCAGATACACTAGAGGTAGGATGCAAATATAAAGGAACACCTGTCCTGGCATTGACATACTCTCCGATCCCTTTTGCTTTTGCAGCTTGATGGAAGAATCCAGTCACGATACACTTTCGAATCGTATCCCAATCCGTTCCACAGCTCAACAGTGGCAGCTTCAACTGCTGACAGATTTCTTCCAGTTGTGTACGTACTTCCCTCGCTTTCCTTAGAATTTTTGCATGTAAGAAATGTTGCACACACCATCCATCGCGAAACCCATTCAACTTCCATTGCGTATAACAATGCAGTAAAGTCAAATGATCACTTTCGGCCACATAAAATTTCTCCCGAGCAGCATCAGCTTCTTCTATGCGCTCTTTCGGCCGGTAAAACACCGAAGGGACAGAAAGCATCGCTACAATCGTCAACATCTCCACACTGCATCCATATTGTGTTGCACTTGCGATCAAAATCTTACTCAAACTTGGCTCCATTGGAAATTCGGACATGCGCTTGCCCACCTTTGTCAAGTTGCCCATGCTGTCTAAAGCGCCCAAAATCCACAGTTGATACATTGACGTCATAATCGTATCTTGTGGCGGCGGATCCATAAAGTCAAATTCGAGCAGATTCTTGACCCCGAGTGATTTGAGCAACAGCACCGTGTTAGCTAGATTTGTCCGTTGAATCTCGGGTATTCCGTTCAAAAACATCTCATCTCGAAAAGCCAATTCGGTATACAGCCGATACGCAGTCCCACTACCCGTCCTTCCCGCACGTCCAGAGCGTTGATTTGCATTGGCTTGAGCGATTGGTGTAATTTGCAGCGAATCCATACCCACACGAGGGTTATAGACCTTTAATTTGCTGTACCCTGCATCCACAACATACATAATTCCGTCCACGGTGAGTGATGTTTCAGCGATGTTTGTCGCAACTACCACCTTTCTCTCGCCGTTCTCACTTGGATTGAAAATGTTGGCCTGCAAGTCTGCTGGCATTTGCGAGTAGATAGGAAGTACGAGTAAAGGAGGCGCATTATCAAGCTGTCCAAGACGCTCCTGTACTACTTCGCATGTTGCCTCGATATCCTCTTGACCTGTCATGAAAACAAGGATATCACCGGGATTTTGTGAAAGATGAATTGACAAAACTTGCTTCACAGCACTTTCCACATAATCTTCGCATGGCGTCTTGCTAAACAAGACATCAACGGGAAACGTTCTTCCGGGAATTGTGTACATGGGTGCATCTCCGAAAAATCTTGCAAACTTTTCCGCATTCATTGTGGCAGATGTGACGATCAATTTGAGATCGCGTCTTCGTGTCAATATCTTTTTGAGTAAACCCATCAGAACATCTGTACTTAGACTTCTTTCGTGTGCTTCATCAAGGATGATTGCATTGTAACGGTCCAAATCACCTTCATTTAATGACTCACGTAACAAAACACCATCTGTCATGTACTTGATCCGTGTTTGCTCGCTGGTGCAATCTTCAAATCGAATCGCATATCCGACTGTACTGCCCAATTCGACCTCCATTTCCTCGCTGACACGTTTGGCGACACTCATTGCAGCAACTCGTCTCGGTTGTGTACATCCAATCATCCCATGTTTTGCATATCCTTCCTCATACAAGAATTGCGCGACCTGTGTCGTCTTTCCCGATCCAGTTTCACCAATCACAATCACTACTTGATTTTCGCGAATGACATGCATCAGCTCATCACGACAAGCAAAAGCAGGCAGAAACTGCCTTTGTTCTCGCAATGTTTTGGCTTGCGTAAAATTAGAACCGCCGCGTTCTGCTTTCTTTAGATGACTTGCAAACTGCGACTCGCTCTTGTGATTGTATCCGTTGGACTCTTTTTTCTGATCGTTGGAGCTGGCCTCCGCATCCTCATCCTTGACCCCCATTATATCTCCCAGCCGTGTTCCTCCCAGTGACGTAGCTTTGGCGGCAGCTTTTTGACGTTCTTTCTTCTCTCGAAGGTCACGTACAAGACGACTGCCTTTTCTTGCAAATACGGCAAGATCGGAAGTCGGATCTTTGACTGGATTGATTGGCTCTAGCTGTTTGGTGTATACAGTCTTACCATCCAAGAAAGGCGGACGCAAATCATGAACAAGGAGATGAACTTGATTTTCACTTTCATCGTCCATACTTGCATTCAAATCAATCAATTTCCGCGAACCAACGCCTCCTGCTCGCAAGCGATCATCTTCCCATGCATCTTGCTCTTGCTTGCGTGCGATTTGTCTTGCATTCATCTTTTTGGTCACTGCCGCTGCTGCGCTAACTTCATCAAATCCTCCAAATGGATTATTCTCATCATCACCCGCCATTCCTCCACCTTCTTCCATTCCATACCAATCCCTGTCCAAGGCTTTTTCCTCTTCCTCATCAATCTCCCAATTCCTTCCCATAATTGTTGTGGAAGCGGTCCCGTCCATACGACTCGATCTTGATCGTGGGGTTGAGTCCCAGTTGCTTCTAGCTGTCATCGGTGTTCTTTCTGCCCCATCTCGTTGCGAACGAGGAGTGCTATCCCATGATCGGTTGGGAAGACGTACCTCACTACGCGGAGTTGCATCCCATCTTCGACGATCAGAATGAGTGTTGACTTCAGATGTGTCCCTGCGGGAACGATTATCGGGTCGCCGTCCTGCATCGGGCAAGCGATTTAAGCGCTTACGATAATCTTCCATGGGATGGCTTCCCGATGCTTTCTCCGCATCTTTGGATTCTGCGGAAGTGGATGCAGCCTTTGCAGCTCTTTGACGACGATGAGATTCCAACTTTTCAAGAGCGGCAGAGCTGAGTCCTCCAGGATTAGAGGGCGTTTCATTTCCTCTATTTCTAGCATTTATCGAAGATCCCGATGGTCTATTTGGTAACCTGAATATCGGCCTTTCATGTTGTGAGCTTGAATCGTCGGTTCTCAAGCGCTTTGAAGGATGTTCATCCGCCATGTGTACCGGATGAAGGTAATTTCTAGAAAGAGCAACAAATAATGTACATACAGATTTTATTCATGTTTTTCCGATCTTATCATATGCAAGCATGCACGCACCCTTTTTAGCGTTAGTGCGGGCGTACTTAAGCCGCCTTTGCACCCTCGTCCACGTCACACAAAAATAAGCTGTAACGCCCCCCGCGCATTGCTAGGAAGTTTACCTCTTGACTATTGCTTCCACCTCTCTCAAAAATGGCACAACATCAACATGACCATCAGCATGGTCCGCCATCAGCACCAATTCCCACAGAAGAACAGATGGCATTGAGTGACGCCAACTTCCATGCTGTTCCTTTGGCAATCGATCCAAATACACACACTCTCACTTCGCCTACACATGATGTCAACGTTCTCAACGCATTGATCAGATCATTGTCAGCACTTCCACCACAGATACCGATCCCGCCACCTCCCAATGTAGTCCCACCTCAACGCAGCTTGGCAATCAACAAAGCCAAAGAAGATGGCAATGCAGCATTTAGCAAAAAGAATTATGTAGATGCGATTCGAATGTTCACTTTGGCAATCGACGTTGCTGCTTCAAGACCGTTGTGGGAGAACAATCAAATGGCAAGAGATGAATTAGCCATTTGCTTGGCAAACAGAAGTGCAGCATTAGCAGAAGTAGGAGATTGGGTCGGGGCTCTTTGTGATGCAGAAGCATGTACAAAACTCAAAAAGCCATGGCCAAAAGCACATTACCGTAAAGGAAAAGCTTTGCAAGGTTTGGGAAGGTTAAGTGAAGCAAGAGAAGCGTTCGAACTCGGTTTGCAGTTCGACCCACGTAGCGTGGTGAGTAAGGGCTTCCCGCAGGAACATCAAGCAATAAGCTCTGACCACCATTTATTCCCTTTTTTTACAGGACTTGAGGGAAGCGATAAAAGAGGTCATCGCTGCAAAATGATATCAATAAAAATCACATATGTACATCATCATCACTATCTCATCGGCAAAATAATCGTCGAGCATTTCAAAATCGCTGGGCCCTGTTCAGGTCGCTTTGCGTCGAGGTTTGATGCGCAGCTGAGCGTACGCCATGCGATCTTTGATTGATTCCGCAATTTTAGCTGGATTATACTTTGAACGTTGGTTTTTTGTGTAGGCTTTATATAAAGCGTCTGTGTGCGCATCAATTGCTTTGTCCTGTTGCATGATAGCAAAGTGACAATCGTTCTTTGCATGGCATATCTTGACTTCATCTTTGCTGTGTTGTTGTTCATGGGCTTTCACCAATTCTGGATCATGGTGTCCTTTCTCCTTGATGGCATTCATTTCTTTTTGAATCTCTTGTTGCTTTGATTTCAGAGTCCCACTCGCTCTCTCCAACATTGCTTGTCCTACGTGCACATCTTTTCTCATGATAAGCTTGCCCGCGAGTTCGTGAGCTCTAATGTTTGCATCAACCTTTTTTCGTTCACCGAGCTTTTCTTCCCAATCTTTACGAGTTGAGTGGCCCTTTTTGACTTCTCTCCATTCGCTATCGAATTGCTCATGTTTCTGTTCCAGCACTGCGCTTCGCGATTTTTGGATTTCAAGATTCTTGTGCCCTTCTTTAATCGCAGCTCTTCTCATTTGCATTTCTTCTTGAACGCCGGGCAATGCACTTACCGTCAAAGAGAAGGCGAAGAGAATGAGTGGTATGAAATGAGCTTGCATGATGAAAAAGTAGCTTACCACATATACTTGAGCAGCTGAAGCACAAGATGAAGATCGAACAAAACGAAACACAATTTCCTGACTATTATATACATTTGTACAACGACAATTGTCTCGGGAAGCAGCTGTGTGCGGGTCTTGTTGCCTCAAATATTCGAACGCCAGCATTGAATTCACGCCCCAGCTACCTTTTTGAATACGCAAGAAATACTTGGCACTTTTTTTCTTCCTTTGCTTGGAAGCTATGCGGAATTTCACGTATTTTGGATCATAGCAAGATCTTTTCTACCCTCGAGTCTTGTCATCATTCTCTTTTCTTCGTGCATGGAAACGACTTCCATTTCCAAAGTGCTTTCTTTTTGTCAGAATCTTCGATCTCTTTCAACCAGTATTTATGTTCATTCAACGCCTTCGATGTCCCACATCTATCTCTCCCGATCTCGCGCAGTCTTGAGCTATAGCAATCATCATGATATCGCTCCAGTGCAGGAATATGTTTGTTCTCAGATTTGAGTCTTGCTATGTCTTTTTGTATTCTTTGATGCTTTGAGGGAGCATTGACAATATTTTGCTGTATAGCCTGAGAAACGCCATAACTATCCTTTTGCAGTAATTTTGAAGCTAGCTTTTGAAATCTCAAGCTAGATTCAGACTTTCTACGTTCGTAGATCTTCTTTTTGATCTCCGTTTGCTTAGCGGCACCGGGAGGGATATTTATCATTTCTTCTGCTATTCCATCGTGTTTCCACTCGATGTGGTTTAATTCCCTTTCATGACGGGTAATTTCTTCCTTGTGCCACTTAATACGTCTCTCTTTCTTGAGTTTTTCCTCTGCTTTTCTTTCTGCCCACTCTTTAGATCTATACCAAGGGCGCCGATCTGCTGAAAGCACCAGTGTGGATGCGAATACGATCAGCACGAAGACATTGAAAGAAGTGAAGTGAAGCTGCATTGTGGCTCGGAAGGATTGTTGGAAAAGATCCGTTGTGGCAAAGCCCGACCGTTATAAGTCGGGTATATGATGTAAGAGATATTGGAGTAAGGAGTAAAAAGCCCCTTCCAATTTAAAGGGATATATACTCTGATTTGGGTTGATGAAATTTTGTAGTTTGTAAAAGTGTTCATCAGGGCTGAGGTTTCTTGATTCCACCAAAGTGCTTGCAAAGTCGGAGTAACATAGCTTTACCCAGACGAGCAACCTGTAGCGCATAGTCTAGCAGATCGATCAACATGGTCTAGCAAGATTGATCTAAAACCACAAAATTTGATAACCAAATAGGTATATATTGTTCAAGCCTTTTAGAATTTCTCACGGGGCTTTTTGAATTTCTCACGGGGCTTTCTGATTTTCTCACGGAGCTTTTTGAATTTCTCACGGGGATCTTTGACTTTCTCACGGAGCTTTTGGAATTTCTCACGGGTTGCCTGGAGAAGAATTCGCCATCGAAAAGCGGATGAGGGAAAGCAAAAATGGAAAACGAGTTTCTAAGCAAATTGAGCACAAGCCCGAAATTCGTACGGAACGAAACACACATTTTCGAGCATTCTAAAGCTTGGGCAAAACAGCAAAAACTGCCAAGGTTATCGGTGTCAGACGGGGCAGCTATGTGTAAGCCTCATCGCCTCTAACATTCATGGACGCCGCAAGACATTTTGGCCCCATTACGAATACAAAAAGACTTTTTTTGTATTGCATTGATCTATACAAAAGAAGCGCTCGCAAGTGTCCCCAATGATTTGTTCTCTTTTTTGTGAATTAATATTTCAAGCTTGACAGAATGTTACTTTGTTCCATATTTGTTGTCATCAGTCTCTTTTATGGGTGCTTGGGAAAGATAACCAACTCCAACGTCCTTTCTTCTTAGGAGTGTTCTCAAGCTTTTTTAGCTTAAATTCCTCTTGAAGTAATGCTCTAGTCCATGCACCTTTAGCGCCTAGAAGGTGATGATTTTTTGAATCATAATATACATCGTGCATCAACTTTAGTGCAGGATCATGAGTGCTATCAGATTTGAGTTTCGTTATGTCGTCCTGTATTTTTTGATGCTTGAAGGGAGCATTAGCAACATTTAGCCGTAGAGCTTGAGAAACGGCATAATTGTCCGTTTGTAGTAGATTTGATGCTAGCTTTTGAAATCTCAAACTAGATTCAGACTTTCTACGTTCATCGATTTTCTTTTTGATTTCTGGTTGCTTAGAAGAACCAGAAGGAATCTCATTCATTTCTTCTTGTAATCCCTCACGTTGCCATTCGATGTGGTTTAATTCTTTTTGATGACGGGCGATCTCTTGCTTATGCCATTTGATACTTTCTGCTTTTTTTTCTGCCTTTGTTTCTGGCTTTTTTTCTGCTTTTCTTTCTACCTGTTTTCTAGTATTAAACTTTGCTTCCCGTTCTATTGAGTGTGCGAATGTGAATGCGATGATAAAAAGTATAAGCAATCTTTTCATGAATGTAGCGAGAAGATGCATTCCTTATTGTTGAAGTTCACAAATTCTGTGTGATACAGAAGACTGGGTCAAAAGTTTGCTGCGTAAACTGAGATGTACAGACAAAGTGCGAAATGTTTTAATTATGGGGTTTGTTTGAGGAATGCAGAACGTACACACGCTACTTATGTCCTTTGATAATGTGTATGGCAAAAGGCGGCTGAACGCCTTGTGGGCGGATGCATTTGTTTGGCGGGATCGGTCATCCGAATTCCAAAACTGAGCAGAGTTCCCTCACAAAAGCCTCGTATTACTGACGCCAAAAGGTCTGTACAGGAGAAACAATCCTTTGCGTGTGCAAGAGAAGACTACATTTCGAAATCTGTGAATGTCCATGCACCTGCGCTCGGGGCTCGCTGGCAAAGGGCTTTCTTACACAAAGAGTGTAAACTCCAATGATGTGTAATGAGGTGCTGTCATGACTACATGCAAAGTACATAGACCTACAAATAACCGAATCTTGCGGGAACGTGATGTTTGACAAAGACAGAAAGACGTGTACCCCACGTATCTTACTAGGCGATGGTGATGTAACATTTGACCAATAAGTCAATTTTTAATTACTCAGTCAGCGTTAAAGGCTTGCCTAGAATGCATTCATTGATCAAGAAAGGGGCGAAAACGCAGACTTCAAGAAGCGAAAAAGCTTCACAACGTTGATGATCTCACAATATACTACATCGATTCTTATCATGAACTGATAAATACTGGGCTTTCTTACGAATGATTGCATCACATTTACGAATTTTGCTTTCATAGCCCTCATCCATGTCAGCTTCTCTGTCCTTGTTTATGTGTCCGATAACATCTTCAAAACCTACTCGCTTAAGTCTGTTCTTTTGCTTCTGTAAATTGATAGAGTCATTCTGTAGATGATTGGCGCGATGATTCATAGCATCATCTATTTCTTGATTACGAAGCAATTTCCCTACTAATCGATGTCTTTTTATACTTGCATCCAATTTATGTTGTTCCATATCTTTTCGAACCCATTTTAATCTGTTTGAATGATTTTGACTAACGCCAGCTTCATCTGCGTTGTTTTCGGATTGGATACGACGTCTGTATTTTTTCTCGAGATCTTGTAAACGTATTTCTGCTGCACTTTTCTTGAGCCGTGCCTCTCGAATCTTTCGTTGTTTCTTACGATATTCTTGGAAATGTCCAGGTCTGCAGGTAACGCTTTGGAGTACAACGAGAATAATACAGAGAAAGCTCAGTGAGAGGCACAGAAACTGTACTCTGTGCATCTTGAGTGATGTATGCTTACTACCCTTGTTAAATGGTGGCTAAAGATGCTTATTCCAGTCATTTGAAGAGGCATATTACATCATATTTATTCTCGGGACGTGGGAACTTACGCCTTTACGCATACACCAACATTTGGCTGACAATCGTCATTATGAGTACAAAATCTGTGCCAGGAAGGAAGACCCTCTTATAAAATGCTACATCGATTTTGATTATGGGTAGAGTCAGAAATGTATTCGGCACTCTTTTGAGCGATTTTGATGCACTTGGTTGCTTTGTCCGCAAACTTGTCATAGACAGCATTATCTTCCTGGAAATTGTTTTGCCGTACGTCATCTCTTGCAAAGTCTGTGAAACCTTTGCGTTTGATTTTATCTTTTTTCTTTTGTAGTTTCTCGGATTCCTTTTGTAATTCATTGGCGCGATGACGTAGAACGTCCCTCAATTCCGGTTTTTTCTTATCTAGAATCATTGAAGCTAGACGATGTCTTCTAATATTGCCTTCTACCTTGTTTTGCAGCATATCTTTTTCAATCCATTTAGACCTATTTGAATGGTATAGCGATACATCATTCTCGTCCGCCTTACGCTGGGAACTAGAACGTTCGTGGTACCTATTACGCAGATCCTCTAGACGTATTTCTGCTGCACTTTTCTTGAGCCGTGCTGCTCGAATCTTTTGTTGCTTCTTGCGATACTCTTGAAAATAGCCAGGTCTGCATTCAACGCTTTGCAGAATAGAGAGTAGGATCTGGACAAAACTTAGCAAAAAGAGTAGAAAGTGTATTTTGTGCATCTTCATCATATTTCAGCTCCTTGATACACGGTGGTTGTTGAGCCTAAAAAGAAGACCTAATCAATCCATAAGTTGCATCATCAACCTTCTCGGGACGTATGACGGTCTTACGATAATTTGCAAACGCAGCCATCTCGGGACGTAGGGCGGTCTTACGATAATTTGCAAACGCAGCCGTCTCGGGACGTAGGACGGTCTTAAGATAATTTGCAAACGCAGGCTGCGTTTGCAGGTACATACACGCACGCAACCAATACGTTAAGTTCAATGATCGTAATAGCTCTTCAAGTTGCGCTCAGGTTTGCTTTTAGCATTCTCTCGCCTGAAGACCCGTTTTCTTGTTTCGCCTTGTTTTTCATTATTTGAGTCTCTAAGATGCGAAACGAAGTGTTGCAGATGACTTGGTGAGGAGATATAATAATATAACTTGATAGCATTAGGTGCTCCTTTCTTACATTATCCGACATCGATTGTGACCGTGAATCTTTTTGTCTTCTTCCATTATATCAGTGGAATACTGTAGCAATCGATCGTAATGCTCTTCATTTTGTTGTTGTGCGCGTGATGGACTGATTTTCCCGTCTTCCTTTACTTTGTCCATCCTTTGTTGAATTTTCTTGGACGCCATGGTATGATCATTCGCAACTCTATGCATCCCATGTTGTACTTGTGTATCTTCTTTGAGTAGATTTCCATACAAATTATATTTTCGCGCAATGTCATCTTGATGTTTCTGTTGTTGCCACAACCTGATCCAAGATTTACGGCCAGAGTGTCCCAAGTCGACGTGTTTGTTTGCTTCATCCCAAGTTTTGCTATATTCGCTCTTGCTCTTTTCAAGTTGCACTTTTCGTTGTTTTGCTTTTTGTACATCCTCATGATCCGAGTTCTTTCTTTTACCAGATCCCGAAGCTCCATCAGCAGGAACAGCAAGAGCAAATTCAGCCATACATAAAAAGTTGAGGATCGCAAACAATAGACGATGAAAAAGCATCCTTGAAGATCCTGATGCTCTTTGCCTTCCTTATGGTATAGAAAGAAAAAGCCAGGCATCAAGCGTTCAGTATTCTCTGATAGCAAATCACGTCTAGTACAGCCTCAAGCACGTCATCTTTGTAGAATAAAGGTACCTTTGTCGGGTTTTATAGCCAGGAAGATGTAAGCGAAAAGAAAAAAAAACCGCGTACTCGATCAGATTAGGCCTATACGCAACATGGTTACCAAGTTGATTGATTGCCAAACTTACTTCCATCCCAGTTTGAGTTGGAACGCTAGAAGACAGTCTGTAAGAGTGACAGGATTCTAGCACATTCATTCTAGCAAACCAAAGAACAAATAGTCTTTCCCTAGAGCATTTCTCCCCACCCTAATCACAGTCGGCGTTTATTCTCCATGAGCTCTAACGGTCTTTCTCCCATAGATGAACACGTTTGTATCGTCTTCAATATTGAGAAAGGTAAAGCTTGAGTTGTTGTATATTTTTGTATAGCCTCATAAACGCTTCCGGGACGTCAGACAATTACTCCAAGATGCAAGAAGTCTCGCTTTAACTGTCTATCATATTGTCCGGGGCTACCTGAGAGGATTCAAGTACATAAATCATCCGACACTGACTTTTATCGTGAATTTCTTTTTCTCTTTCCATTTTGTCAGCAGATAGTTGTGGGTTTTGAACTTTAAAAGGACAGCCTAAAACCCACTTAGGGTTAGGATATAATCCTAACCCTAAGTAGCCCCTTTTACTGTACGTCTCCTTGTCCTAGCTGGCCTTTTGAGTAGTTCCTTACCGATTACCCTTCTTTGTTAGATGCTTGTCGTGTCTTGTTGCACCATAGAAGATGTCAAGTACCTTGTTCAACATCGGTACCGAATCGAATGATTGCCAGATTTTCGACGGGATGACGCTAGAACACAGTCGTACCGATTCGTTGTTGCGTTGAGCTTACTTTTGAGCTCTTTCATCCCACGCTAAGAAGCATACAGTGTTTCGGCGTTCATAAGCGCATAAACGGCCCTTCCTGTTTTGACCACGTTTTCCATATTAGTGCACGGCAACACACATACACTGGTAACCTTCCTTTTTGTCGAAGATTTTAATTTATGCAACTCATTCTTTGATATGGTGGTAGTAGAAAGCAGGAGGAAGGAACAAGCAAGCACCCACCCAGCCACGCACGCGTCCCTTTTGCGGGAATCAAACTATTTCATTTTAGCGTTTGTACTGCACCTCTGCAACAAACTACGGGCACATAATGTAGTACAGTCGGAGCAGCTATTCCTCTCTGGCCTTAAGCTCACCACACCTTCCCTCCTCCTTGAGCAAACGCCTTCCTCTTCTTAGTTTGGACCATCATCACCTCAAATATCGCCCAAAGACTATTGTGATTGCATTGTGGATCAAAGAATGAAAAGGTTTGATCTCTAGAGAAAAGAATTTATCAAATTGCTCAAAGGCGCAATGTCTACTCTTTTACATCCTCTTCATTGCAATGATGGCTGCAATCAAGGCGCGGGACCATCTCGTTCCGCTACTGATCAATGTGCAAACGTACATCCTTCCTCTCGTCGCAGAAAAGCATCACCATCGTACACCAAACGACTCGTGACTTTGACAGCAATCCTATCCCTTCTAACCGGCACGCGGGCTTCTTTCCCAGAAACCCCAACAAAACCCGAGTCAATTGCAACACTTATCAAAAGACGAAAAGATCTACTAGCGAGAGACTTTACTGCTGCAAATAACCTGCAACAGTTCGATATCAACGTCTCACCTCCTAAAAGTTGCGAACCTATCCAAATCGTCTTTTCAACCCTTGGAGGACTGCCTCCTTTTACCGTCTTTATCGGATTCGATAATTGGTATTCATATTCCACCTCTATACCTTCAACGTACGCAGATCCAAATGTGAACACATGGTTATATGAGTTCGATGTTCCAAACTTTGCAAACAACTCAACGTTCCCTGACACGCCTGAGATGTTTGTCATCGTTGGTGATTCGACCGGAAAACTTCTCAATACGTCCATATTTCAAACAGTGCAAACGAGCAATCTAGGCTGTCAAAGAGCAAATGTACCATTGGATTTCACTTTCTATACGAGCAACAATAGCAATGCATGCTCCGATATTCAAGTCAATTGGGAATCAATGAGCAATACCTCCGTCACTTTTACGGCCCCAATGGATCTCTACCTTATCCCAGCACAACAACCTCCTCTGCATATTGCCGTGCCCAACGTGACGGCGTTGACTCTCAACACAACCCTATCCGTTCAACCAGGATCGCCGTACATGTTTGCAATGACTGATGCACATGGTATAGGAGGTGTGTCAGGATATAACATCGTCGGATTAAATGAATACGAAGGCCAAAATTGTTTGATAAGCCCCACCTTGACGCAAGGAATGCCTACTCCAACTGCTACATTGGCAGCAGATGTTCGTATGCCAGATTACTCTGGCCTGGTCTCCTCACTGGTGACATCGAATGGAGTAGTATCAACTGCAACTTCAGTCGAAGTTATCAAGGATGGTAGTCTTCCAGGTGCAAATTTGAGTTCTGGTCAAATTGCAGGCTTGAGTGTTGGCGTTGCAATTGGGGCTGGCTTACTTGCTGCACTGATCTCTTGGTATTTATGGCGTAAACGACATGGTCGCAAAACGGTTTTCTGGGATTTACCAAAAGGTGCGAATGGAGAATTGGGAAAGTCGGAATACGGTGCACCAATCGATCGCAATTATTTGCGATCTGTCAATTCTCCACCTTCATCCACTTCTAATCGAGTGGGTGTCGTTCCAACATCACCTCATTCCGAATCAAGTGATGAACGCGAACGTGCTCGTGATACTGTATATTCCGATCAATCTTCTAGAGCAGCAAACGATGCCGTCCAAAGTCCCAACGGCTGGACTTCTTCTGGATTCAACACATATACCCCTCCGGGCTCGGCTAGATATAACAGCATTCCCTCAACTGAACAACCCGATTCACCTTTGGGTACGGGGCCGGAAGCATTCAATGCGATCCGATCATCATCTATGAGCGAAAGTAGCACGGGCGGTAATCCTTTCATGAACGCAAGTACGACGATGAGCAGCACAGCCTCTCAACAACGTCGAGATAGTTCAGCACGCAATTATAGACCAAGAAGTGAAGGAATAGAAGCCAATGCTTCAACGTTTGGCAGTGCACTTCCGTTAATTGAAACACGATTTTTAGGCAATTCAAGCAGTCAAGGAAACTCTGACAGTCCACATTCCAGTAATGGAGATCATCGAAACGAAGGACAATCGAATAATGGCGGACAAAGCTCTTTACGCCATTCCGTCGGAACTGATACAGCAAACCGAGATTCTAGAGGTCCAACTCAAATTCTTCAGCATAGGGATGCAGGTTTACTGATGGACGACTCGCTTGATGATGAAGAATTGATGGGTAGGGTCGAGTTACCGCCCTCGTATCATCAGATTTCTAGACCTGGAAATCGTGACGTTCCTCGGCCAAGATCTGGTGACAGAGAAGGGCAAAGCTCCCAGGAAATCCTTGTAGATGCTCCTAGACCCGGACAGAATAGCAATAACACACAAACCCAACAAGAGGACGAACGAGAATTCTGGCTATCAAACGGAAGCGTTTGATAGCAGTGCATTGTACAAATATATTTATTAATCTATTTAATGCTCCCAATAGCTTACACAGTGCTTTTGCTCATGCTCCATACTCCTTCACCATGTACTTTATCATCTTTTATCTGAATCGATACCAATGCTTCACAAACAGCCTTTCCGCACCAAAGTTCCAAAATTTCCACTTGTTCAGGCGTGATGAAAGCTTGAGAAGCACGATTTGCGAAAACCATTTGAACGGCTCCCATACGCATTGTACCTTGTTGACCTGAAGTAACACTTTTGCTAGAATTTGCAGCGATTGCTAAATGATTCAATAGGTATGTTTCCATTTCGAACGTTTGTAAATCAGGTTGTTGGGATTGAAGTTCTTTGATCAAATCTTCATTTTGATCATCGAATAGATCGGATTGTCTACCTTGTGAAGAATAGAAGCTATCAGCACTTGCATTTTTGATGTTATCGAGAGCGACTGGGGCATTCGTGTTTCCATCAAAGAGATTTGCGTCTACCTTTGGCTTCGTGGCTTGTAAAGCAGAAAAGAGCTGGTCATGAAGTGCTTTGTCACATGGAAGTGGTTGGGTAATGGTATAAGGGCGTGAGGAGGTGTCTGTCTTGCCAGTGAAATGATCATAGTTGCGCAAGACTCCGATTGATTCGTATGGTACTACGACTGTACCTACGTTTGCACGATCTGAAAGTGAACCACACGATCCTAAACGAACGATCAGCAAATCACCTTGTACGACAGCCCGACATTCACGAACGAAAAAGTCTACTAAGCTGAACCCCATTCCGATTGCCACAACAGTGATAGGAGTACCTTTGTATGTTCCTGTTAATGTCAAAAACTTTCTATGACTTTCATGTTCAAACAAAGGTTTTCCACCATCAAAACTTTTCGCTATCCTTCTTGCGCGTGTATAATCACCAACGGTTATAATTCTATTTGCAACTTCTCCGGGTTTCGTGCCTACATGGTATGTTCTTCCTTCTGCATCCCTTGGAAAGTTGGCATCCAGCATAAGATCCTTCATGATGATGATGACTAGCAAGTGATGGAAGTATGAAATGAGTGGTATTCGGACCCTCGACCGAGTCTTCCGGCCGGGAATGAATTTTAAGGTTTTTACGCACAGACTCAGTCATACATACTCCACAGTCAACTTTAGCGCGTGTGAGTGCAGTAGAATGGCTGTGCGAGCATTCAACAACTGCTGAGCTCGTAGCATTCATCCGATGGAGTACAACTCTCTACCATCACAACTTCACGATATAACATTAATCAAAATGCCGCCTATGAAGAACCCAGATGGAACAGTAAACTTTGAGGGCTTAAAAGGTCATCTCAACTTCGTGAAAGGGTGAGTGAGATGGGATGATATTGAGGGACAAGGTGCTGACAATGATCTTATTTTGCCACTTAAGAAAGTATGAACAGGTAAGTGCTGCACTTAAATAACACATAATCATTCAACTTACACATTCTCTCCTTCGTAATAGAACGCTAAAAACTATAAAGCAAACACGGGCAAAGAGATGGGATTTGGAGCACAAGATGAAGGCGTTCAAGGATCTCTAGGCGGTCAATCTGCCGCACCTCAACCGAATGCCACTCAAAACCAACAAACAGACACGCGAGAACAAGACAGTGATGCACCAGATGCCACACTTCATGATGAAAGGAAGAATGATTGATGGGTAAATTCCCAATGTATTATTTATTTAGTTACTGTTCCGAATTTGATATGATAGCCCTCTGCATATGCAGTATTAATCCTTATCAAAAGCCTGTCTGCTATCTTATCGTTCCGTTGCCGTGTATGTCACAAAAGCGCTATGGTCACTTCCTCGTCTTCATTCCGATAAAATCTCGTGACGGGTAATCTGTCAACCATTTTGATTTCTCATGCTGATCGACGATATTACGCTTGCAGTACTTTGTTGCATAACCGTACACCGCCCAGCGCTTTCGCCGATTTTTGAGGGAAAAGGATTGAATGCAAAATGACGCAGTAAATGTACACCCGCGGATAAAGACTGTTGCCAAGCCTTTAAACGCGGCGTTTAAAGAAAAGCCATCCGCATTTTATCAAAATTCTTTTAGCGGGTATAAACGCCTAGTTGGGAAGAAATTCTTTTTTAACTGACAAGAAGGGTTCACTCGCATGCATACAATCAACTGACTTGAAACTCCACTTCCTCAAATTGCACAGCATTCGATCAAAGAGTGATAAAAATGTAACACTTCCAACTAAAAGATTTTCATCCTTTCTCCCTTCCTCACATTCATCTTCTCAAAACAAACTCCAAAATGAAGAAACCTCTTCACGGTTACTACTTTGTCGTACCAATCATCACGTTTGCGCTATGGTCCGCTTGTATTTTTGGTCTACTAGGATTATGGGGTACAGACGGTTTCCCAAAATACGTTAACACGGACGCAACAGTCGTTTTCATTTCTGACGTTGGTGCTGCTCATCATACATACTTTATCATCTTTGCCGTCCTTTCAGCGGTTGCATATATGGCAACAACTTTGCTAGAACGTCATTTACGTCATCAACGTAGAATCCCCGGAAGCGTACGTAAAAAACAAACAGTTTTGGATAGTTTCAGTGTTGCCTTTGCCATCATTGGTGCAATCGGTTTAATCCTCTTGTCAATCTTTGATGATGTCGAATACCCACGTGTGCATTGGTCAATGACCGTGGTCTTTGTGGCAGGTGTTGCACTTTCAGTCTTGATGCAAACTTTACAAATTTTCAGTTTATCAAAATCTCACAGTGATGAACTTTGGCATTTACGTGCAATGGCAATCGTCAAATCTGTCATCCTTGGTGTAGCTTTGGCAGTTTTGATCGTCTTCATTGGTTGTTATGCAACTTGCGACGGTGATGTCACAGATGGAAATTCACAATGCAATCGTGTCGTTTCGGCCGCAGGTGTGGCAGAATGGACGCTAGCCTTCCTCCTAAGTCTTTTCTTCTTGTCTTACATCGTTGACTTTTGGCCAGCAAAGAAGAGAGCGGATTTCGGTCTTACAGAAAAGGGTGACATGGTTCAAGATCCAAGCAGAGCAGCAGAAGCAGGTGTTGACGATCGTCCTACCGCTCCGTATGCAATCGCAAGAGATATGGGACCAAATCATACCCATCAAGAATATATGACTCAAATGTCATCCGAAGCTCCAAGTATGCATCAACAACCATTACGTGAAGCAAATCATATAGGTCAAGCTCGCTAATGGACGAATAATGCTTCCATTTTACTAGAATCCCCCTTTCCTTCTTTTGATGTACAATTTGAAATTTATCGATCGTATAAAGTACAGTTCGTGTGATTGATTAAAGTACAGTTGCTGTTTGTCTCCTCCGTGTGTAGATATGTTCTCTGTTTGTTTCTTTGCTAATTAACGATAATTGATTTGTGCGAGTAAGAGAATCCAAAAGATCGTTCTGCAATACGACTCCATTCCGGGCGACGTTGGGATTGCGGCTACTTTCTACCAGTCCTACTTTCCATCTCCGTCGTACATATGCTTCTTTCTATCTCCGTATTGAGTCATACCACGTCCGGCTCCAATTACACCGACTACGGAGGAGATGAAAAATGTCAATTTCCAACCGAATCACACTTTACAACACGCAAACTCACCTTTTGCCAATGGATCATCGGGCGTTTTGAACATGCTCTTTTCCTTTTTCATGTGTCCCTTCTTTTCGGCTTTTTTTGCAAACTTTTGCCAACTGTTCTGTACAGCTTGTGCTTCGGCTGTTCGATTTGCGAATCTCTCATTCTTTTTCTCTGATCTCTTCTTCTTTCGTTCACGTTCTGCTTCTTCTTCAGGCGTTAGCTTTGCTTGTCTAGATCCCAGAGCTTGTGAAGACGATGATTGAGCTTGATCGTTCGAAGCGATCTTATGATGACCGGCGTGCCTAGAAGGTTTTAATGATTCAGAAGTGACAATCGCTGTCTCGTTGTACCCTTTAAACAGGATTGTGTACATTGGATTATGCTGTGATCCAGCCACACTGACGATTCGTGCATCGTAGAATCGACCATCACCTTCATACTTTGCTTGACATTCGTCTCCTGCTGCAAATTTATGCTTTGGCTCTATATTATTAGATTGTGGTTTTGAGACAGATGGCCCTGCACCTGAATGGGAAGAAGAAGAAGCAGCATTTTGAGTATTTGCAATATCTTTGTTTAGATCGATAATCTTTTGCAATTCTTCTTCTAATAGACGTAATTCTTCATTTTTTGGATCAGCTTCAAGAGCAGTACGTACTTGGACCAGTTGTTGTTCATATGTCCGCAGTCTGTAAGGTGGGTAAGAGGTATTAGTAATGCTTCCATCTTATCACACCCCTTCTATACTTACTCTTCTGCATCCATCGTGTATGCTATTATGATGGTGACATTGATTCAACTTTTTCCTTCGCCCGTATTTCCATTACAAAGGGAACTAAACGCTAATTGTTGCCGCGCTTTGACTTTTGTGTGTGTGGTTCATGCATGCAACTGAACTTTCTTCCTGCATTGACTGGAGCGATGGCTAAAAGTTCGATTTGAATAGTTGTGGCGTAATGCCTTTAGCGTGTGCGTATCTGAACCGCTCCACACACAAGCAGCAGCAGCAGGTTAAATGCTTCTTTCTTTGGTTTGGATTTGGGAAGAAAAAGATAAGGGAACAACAAGTTTAAACTTCTTTTCTCAATGAAGGATTTATATGCATTTGCTCCACCACCATCACCAGCCCTCCCTCTCCTCAAAAATGGCAAGTGAAAGAACTCCCCTTTTATCCTCTAGGCCATCAGGCTTATCGGCCTCAAGACCTCCAATCGAATTAACAGATGATGAAGTATTGGCACAAGAATCTGCCTTTTCAGCATATAGAGATGCAACTCAAGGTGTAGACCCAAACAGTTCCGCTTTCGCACCTCCAGATCAATCTCACTTTTCCATCAATGCAAGTGGATTGGCTCACGGAATGGCAGCAGAAGAAGCAACTCAAATCGCAGAAGAACCTGCTCTTCGTGCTGATATCTTGATTATCATGGGCTCCATGTGGATCGGAACATTCTTGGCCGCTGTTGATGGTACATGTGTTGCAAGTATTATGGGAACAATCGGAAGTGAATTCAAAACATCAAAAGAAATTCAATGGATCGGAACTTCTTATCTCCTCACCCAAACTGCTTTCCAACCTTTGTACGGTCGTTTCAGTGACATCTTTGGACGCAAAACTGCAACTCTCTTTGCTTCCTTCTTTTTCGCCCTTGGTTGCTTGTTATGCGGTCTTGCACAATCTTTCTGGCAATTATGCATCGCTCGTGCAATCGCCGGTATCGGTGGAGGTGGTTTGACTACCATGTCAACAATTGTCACTTCCGATCTAGTCAGCTTGAAAGCAAGAGGAACGTGGCAAGGTCTAGGAAATTTGGTCTACGCAGCAGGTGCATCTTTCGGTGCACCTCTTGCTGGTGCTTTTGTAGACACAGGCTTGGGTTGGAGATGGGCTTTCTTGATCCAAGTACCTTTGTGCATGGTTCACTTTGCTGTTGTTTCATGGAAGGTCGACATTCCCGCCGGTCCAGGATCCATCACTGAAAAGTTGAAGCGTATCGATGTCTTTGGCGCAATCACTTTGGTCGGCTCAGTCACGTTGATCATCCTTGGTTTGAGCTTGGGTGGAAATGTACGTGATTGGGACGACAAGGTGGTTTTGGGAAGTTTGATCGGTGGATTTGTTATCCTCGTTCTATTTGTTTTGGTGGAAAAGTATGTCGCCCGTGAGCCATTGATGCCGATGCAAGTGTTGTTCAGACGCACGCCCGGATTTGTTGCTTTGGCTTGTTGGTTCTTGACAATGAGTCAGTTCGGTATCATCTTCAAGATTCCCCTCTACTTCAATATTGTAGAACAAACCAGTAAATCCTACGCAGGTCTGCACTTGATTCCCAACGCAATCATCGCAAGTGCTTGCAGTCTTTCAAGTGGTTTGATTATGGCTCGTGTTGGTCGTTACAAGGCCATGTTGACTGGCTTTGGTATTTCAGCCGTTGCTGGACCACTATTGATGTGTTTCTGGAAGCAAGGATCTACGCCTGAATGGCTTTATTGGTTGACAATGCCATGGAACGGTGCAGCATACGGAGGTGTATTGACTATCACACTTGTTGCTTTGATTGCATCAATTGAGCCAACGATGATGGCAGCTGCTACGGGTGTTACTTACCTATTTCGTGCAACTGGTTCAGTTTTAGGTATTGCATTGACAGATGTCATCTTGCAAAACTCTCTTCAACGCAAGCTTTACCAAACAGGTTTGCCTAAAAAGGTAATCAATGCTATCCGAACTGATGTTGATATTATTAACACATTGCCAAAATCACAAAAAGTTCTCGCAATCGGTGCAATGGAAGCCTCTTTCCATCAAGTGTTTATTGCAATCACAATTGCCGCTTTCCTCGCATTTTTGAGTCTTTTGCCTATTCAAGAATTTTCTTTACCAGGCGCAAAGAATGCTGCTCCTGCACCTAGCACTTTAACAAGGCAACGTGAAGAAGCAATTGCCGAAGAGGAGGATGAACAATAATATATCTGTCGTGGATCACTTCTATACATGCTTACTACCTTTGCAAATTTTGTCTAAATTACAATCCTGTTTCCATTCAATTTGATCTGATCAATGTCTCGGATCATACTTAAAAAAACATTACATGCAATAATTACCCTTTGTGACCTCGAACGCTTATATCTTAATTAGCAACTTTTCCTTCTGTATTGTTCTCACAAAGTATAAAGATTGTTCCTTTTGCGGATAGTTTTGTAGTAGTAAAAAGCCTCGGGCACAGGCGAGTGCGCTGCATAGAATTTTCGAATCTCTCACTACCTTGAGATAAATGTCATTTGCGATCCAGTCGCATACTTTTCTGTTTATAAGATCTTTAATTGACATTTACGACGAACTTTGAAGCTCTGTATAGGTGAATGTATGGATCCCAATGATCATCATCATTCCTCCACTAAGAATAAGCTCTTTTTCTGGTCTGAGGCTAGTGGCTTGGAGTTCTGTGAGATATTCACGTGACGCGAATAAATTTCAAAATTTCCAAAGTTTAGTGTTGATGTTGTTCTTCTACTTGCTCATTCTATAACTGAACCACATCTTTGCAATCGGTATCTTTTTGGGGTGAAATACAACATGCCACTCACTAGAGCACAACGGCAGAGAGCTGTTGAGAGCGGAGATGATGTTAAGGTAAACGGAGTGGAAAAAGGAAAAGAGGTTGTACCTGTGACAGAACAGGATGAAGACTTGCAATCGGGATCAGAATCAGACGATGACGCAAGCTCGAGTGACGCTTCTTCTAACTCATCAGATTCAAGTTCAGATTCAGACTCGCAGTCAGAGTCGGAGGATGAAGAGGAAGACCTTGAAGCTTTATTCGAAAAGAGCCTTGCCGCCCTTCGTGCTCAAGATCAAGCAAAATCAGCAGCATCATTCGCGGATAATGAAGATGAGATACGCTTCGATGGCGGCAATGACCAAAAAGCTATCCCTCAAAAAGCAGAGAAGAGAACCGCACCCAAACACACAAAGAAGAAATCCCGAACTGGCCTACAGCCAAAGCAGATAGACGCAGCTTTCCAAAGATTGGAACGAGGAGACGAGCTGGGATCCAACAAACCAAAGACATACCGACAAATGCAGAGGGACGGTAGAGAGGAGCGTACGAAATCGACTGGCTCAAAGTGGTTCGACATGCCTGCCTTTGCCGGTGCAAACACGGGAAAGAATCAAGATGACGAACGCGCTCTCATCAATCCAAAAGGCAAAGATGGTGATGGAAGAGGACGATCAGCCGAAGAAATGCGAAGGGAAGTTCAAGCGATTCGACTTCGTAATGCGGTTGATCCCAAAAGATTTTATCGTGGAAGTGCAAGAGGAGAGATGGATATGCCAAAATATGCACAGCTAGGCAAGATAATATCCGGAAATGCAGATGCTGCATCTACGATGACAAGAGATCAACGTGGTAAAAGTGTTATTGATGAATTAGTCAAAGATGCTGAAAGTTCAGCTTATGCAAAACGTAAATTTAACGAACAACAAGTAAAGAGTAATGTTGGTTGGAGTAGTCATGTTCGTCGTCATCAAAAGAAGAAAGGCGGAGTAAGCAATAAACGTCAAAGGCGGTGAGAGCCCTGATATTAAATTGTACAATAGTCTCATTCTGTATTAATACCATCTACACCAATCCTTCACTTGCCATTCTGAGAAGTACGCTAAGAGGTGAATGATGGAAGTTGTTTTCCCTTTAAGCAATTATTAAAATAGAATTTTCACGCTTGTGTTCATGTCACCCGACTATCTAGTCCCTCCCCCCTCGTAGAAATCGGCAGATAAATTAAAAGAAAGCAGACAGGCAAGTGGCATATGACCAGTATATTATACGCGCATATGCCTCCACCACTTTGCGCCGCCGCGCTGTGCAGAGCTTCTTTTGTTAAAACAAAAAAAGAGGGACTGACTTGACTGACTTTGTGGCCAAGAAATTGTCCCCGCACAGCCTAAAGGATCCGTTTGAGGCGGTGCGCGGCGCAGTGATGATTGAAAAACTTGCATTCTCTTTTTGCTCATTCATTCACTTCTTAACATCTTTCCATCATCGTCACAGCTGAACACAGGATAATTCGGCAGGCCGTTTGAAGATAGATTATAAAATACCTAACTTCATCTCTTGAATAACTTTTGAACGCTGGACGTTCATCAAAGCAGCTTATTACGACAAACGATCACCCCCCCTACCTCAAACAAATATCAAACAAACAAGATGGGTCGCGCATCAAGAGTGGAATTTTGTTGCTTTGGCTTGCCATTGATCAACTTTGGATCGTATACAATATGTTTACAATTCATGTTTGTTGCTCTTTGTATAATCATCTTGGCACTCGCACCACCTCAAATCGTTGCAACTATGGGCGCTCTGCCTTCTGGCTTCCCAAAGATTATCGTCGCACTCCTTGGAGTGGTTGCCTTTGTTTGGCAGATAGCAGGAATTATTTCTATCAAACGTGAGCAACCAAGATTTTATCGAACTTACATTCGAATCAACTTCTTAATTGTTGTGGTCATCTTGGTACTCACGCTTGCATTCTTTGCTGCCTCTGCTGCTCAACATAGCAAATCACTCACTGCTTGTACTGCAGCTTATGGATCACAGCCGCAAGGCAGTAATTCTATGGGCAATTCAACGCTAGAAACATTGGGCTCAACGATTTGCAACATCTTTATTTGGGTTCAAGTAGGTGCAATGGGCTTATTGCTCGCTTTGATCGGATTGACACAGCTATACATGTGTGCAATGCAACGTATTTACGGCAAAGAAATGCGTCGTGCCGATCAAGATCAAAAGATGTATAGCGGTTCAGGTGCAGATGAAATTCCATTGGCAACAAGAGGATCAGGAATTTGGGATGCGCCAAATGACAGATATGCAAACACACAATTGGATTTGCACAACACTTCATCCGATGAAGGTCATCAACGTGGCAACTTACGTGAATCGTATAGGAGTCCAACACGGGAAGAAGGTCAATACAGCTACCCATCCTACGAAACATACGGTGGTAATCAACCTTCCATGACCGAAAACAGAAGGAGTGGTTACGGGTCGTACAGTGGCGGACACAATCGTGGTGGATCGAAGCAGAGTGATTACTACTATGCTTCTTGATATCAAAAGAAGAAGATCATGGACTTTGGTTCTGTTTTCCCCCCATCATCCGCGTGATTAATACTGAATATTTCCCCCTTGAAATTGAGAGATCATTCTTGTTGCGTAATCGAATTTGTATTCTACAATACCATGGACAATATACATTCTTATCCCCATAAATAGTATACACTAAAATTACACTTTTGTCTGTCTGATAATCCGGGTATTTAGTCATCTCGTATGTCGTGTTTCCTCTTTAATTCTGCCAATTCGGCTTCCCGTCTTGCCAGATCTGCCTTTGCCGTTGTTCTAGATGGAACGTGGTAGAGGACTGTGAGGGGAAAAGGAGATGGAAGGTCAGTCAAAGCGTCAAACATGTATCACCAAAAGTTTACCCACCAACGATATATCTCTCTTGCAAATGAAATCCATTCAAACGATCTAAAGCCATTTTTGCATCACCAATCTCTTCAAAAACGATGAATGCTGTTCCTTTTGTCTTTTGAGGTTGATCACCAAGTCTTATTTGTCGAATTGCTCCATATTTCCCAAATAATTCATAAAGATCTTCACCTGCAATAAAAAGAGTTCGGCCGGTTAACATCAGGTGTAAATTAGTCTCAAGAACGTAAATGTACTCACCTTTGACGTTATAGTTGAGATTCTTTACAAACAGTATCCTACTCTGCTGACGATTCTCCGTTTGTGAGCTCATCCTTTTGGAGTGAAGTGGATGTTGGAAAGGTAGGAGGAGGAGGAACAAAGTGTACGCGTAAATGTGTCGCCCACGTGAAATACTTAAGAATAAGCGGAGATTAAGAAAAATTAAAGTAGGAAGAAGCATGTCAAGAACTCCACTTTGTCACCATCATTCCGACTTGCAAAGATGACGACAGAATTAGAAGCGGGAGTCAATGGACTCAACCTGGAAGAAGAGAATAAACAAACACCTCAGCCATCTCGTCCGCAAAAAGGCGCCAAACAACAACGAGGTGGACGCGGAAATGAGTCTCCAACTACCCAGCTAAGCAAAGCACTCTCCTACATACTTCGACATGGAACTCTAAAAGAAGGTCTAAAGGTACGAACAGATGGATATGTTCCCCTAGATGATGTTCTTGCACGACCAAAGGTGGCTAAAATTAAGCTGGAAAGAGGAAAAACACCTTCATTGGAAGATGTTAGACAGATCGTCGATAGCAACGATAAGAAACGATTCGAGATGATACAGAAGGATGACATCTGGCTAATAAGAGCACTCCAAGGTCACTCGATCGCTAATGTATGTATATTTTCACGACATAGCTGCTCTACTCGCAGCGCTGACACTCTACTTTCCCTTTTAACCAGGTCACCGAGTTGGATCATGTTCCAATCACGTTGGACAATCTACACATCCTAGCAGAAGAAAAGGAAGATGTCACACTTGCAAAAGACACACTTCCGACCGGCGTCGAAATCTTGCATGGCACAAACAAAGAAGCATGGGAAAAGATACTGAGTAGCGGCGGCTTGAATCGAATGAAGAGAAATCATATCCATCTTGCCAAAGGAAGGCCGGGTTCTTCAAACGTAATTAGCGGAATGCGATCTTCTTCTCAAGTAATTCTACATATCGATATTGTCGCCGCTTTGAGGCAGGGAGATATTCCCTTTTCAATGGCTTCGAATGGAGCAGTTCTAACGAGTGGACAGGGCGATACTGGAATACTACCTCTCAAATTCATCACAAAAGCTGAAGAAGGCAAAAGCGGAAAACTGATATGGCAGAATGCTATTGAATAAATCAATTCTAGCAATGGTATCTGAAAGGTGTATTGGTATGAAAACTTCAACCCAAAGCGATGCTGGATGAACCACCCGTGCCACCTGGCTCACGCACACGACGGGAAGGACGGAAGACCTTGTTAGGAGGTACACTTTCTTGGTCTTGGTCTTGTTCGAATTGAGTCTTGAACGGCGGCTGATCAGAGTTGCGGTAAGAGGAAGAAGTGTTTTGTTCTTGCGTATTCTCTTGCAATAATCCACGACGACGTGCACTTTCACGTGCTGCTTCAGCGGTATAATCCTCCTCCTCGACCGCTCCAAACAGAGCAGTAATTTGTGCTGATCCTCCTCCGATCGGTTCACGAACACGACGGGTAGGACGGAATTCCTCTCCATCTGGCGTAACAACGTCTGGATTATGCGGAAGTGTAGGATCACGACGAGAAGCAGGTGTAAGCTGAGGTACAGATGGTTGCGGTTCAGGCATAGATGGTACTACTGCTGCCGCTGCTGGAATAGGAACAGGTGCAACAGCTGGTGCTGCTTCAACGGCAGGAGGAGATACAACGGCAGATGGTGTAGGTGCAGAACGTGGTTTGTCGTTTGTTTGGACTGCTGCGATTTGATTAGTGAGTTTGTTCACTTCTGCTTTTGATGTTGTAGCCTGAGCTTGAGCAGATGCCATCGTACCAATTTGAGCATATTTTGGTAATTTATTGATTTCGATGTAATTGGGTGAAACGTCGATGTTGTGCGTTTTGAGAAAGCGTAAGAACGAGTCTTTGGTAAATACGATACTTGCGTTCGCTGGCAAACATGCAAGTTCATAAGCCCAATCACGAGGATTGCTTTCGGCAGTCAGCTTGGCGTTTTGTGTAAAGACTGACATGATGATGAGTAGGGAGTGATGGAAAAAGTGAAAGTGAGAGGTTAAAGTGTAAAAGTGTTAATTGTGTTACATGTGGGTAGCCAGCATATAGACGCGTTCAAACTCATAATCAATCATGAATGCAATCTCGTTAGCGTGTCATTAAACTTTTTTTCTCCGTTGCCTTTCCGAATATCGAATGTGTAAGGAACGATTGAATGCTCATAAAGCACCTCCCACAACCACCTCATAGCTTGACTAAGGGTCATGGCTGACAAGGTCAAGGTATGCTCTATCTACCGTACTCTTCTCCGAACAATCGGTCATAGCGTTCGCTTTCACAAGCAAGAAGTGAAAAACCTTCGCAGATCATTTCGAGATGATTTTAATCAGACAGTCCAAACAAATCCTTCCCTGGTAGACTTGGAAAAGAAAGGTGAGTGAACAACATTAATTAGAAATGCATTGAAGCTTAATTATTTTTCCTTCCATCTTGTAGCATCACAAACTATGCTTTTCCATCTCTCATCCTACAATGGAAGACCTTCAAGAGAACCAAACGATGAACGGAGACAAGAACGATGCTCCACATTTCCACACCGACAAGCAATTGCTGCAAGAGTGATGTCCAACGTTTCTTCATTAACATATCATCATTTATCACCCAACACCGTAATGCAAAGTAAGGGTCGCACAGCTCTTGGAGGTGGAAGTGATTCAAGATATATGCGTCAAATTCGATCAAAGAGAGATTTGAAAAGAAGGGCGAAAGATCGTATCAGCGCACAAGGCTATGGTGAAGGTCTATCACCTGATCAGATGGAGGTTGGTGATATGGGAGCAAATATGATCACTTCCCTTTTCGTGCCTCATAGAAGACAACGAGGTCCACTTCCAGGTCCTCCTGATGCCCGTCAATTCATTGCGAAAGAGTGGAACGGACAAAAGCCAAATGGAAATATGAGACAAACAGAACATGCTCTGCTTTCAACGCGAAAGTCGATCGATCAATTACGAAACAAGTATGATAAACTCAAACAGATCGCAGATGCATCAGGAAAAGGTCACGACCAAGAAGAAGCGGAGAAAGCGCTAAAAAATTGGCGCTCTCAGCGAAAGAACTTTTCTTCCGAAGAAAAGAAGTTTGAATTGACCAAGGAATTGCAGGCAATTCGAAGCGATGCTGCTTCTCTATTGTATTCTGTCGTTCAAAAAGCTGAACTAAGCACTGGCGCATGTCTAGGTTCGGCGAGGATCGGTAAGTTGGCAAGAGGAGAATGGCTGACACCATGATTGCTATGTGTATCAACAATCACACAAATCAAGCAGACCAGAGAGCCACTGGATGGAAATTATAAGATTGCGTATTGGTGTGCGATCAAGATAATCGCCGAAGCGACAGGAAGGGGCAAGCAGACCAGAGAGCCACTGGATGGATATTATAAGATTGCGTATTGGTGTGCGATCAAGATAATCGCCGGGGCGTCAAGAAGGGGCTGTGGTGCAATTGGCAGGCAAGTGCATCGCAAAAATAATTGATCAAAAAGCATAAGGACCCCATCCAAAAGGAAAGAAGAATAAAAGAGCACCCTCAACAAATTTTCAAACAACCAGGGGGCAAGATGACATCTTTCCATAAAGTGTTGGCCTTCATCTTCCTTCTTGCTTTTACCCTCACCAATTTGGATCCGACATGCGGTCAGCCAACGCGATCACCATCGTCTCGTGATGACCGCTTGAGAAAAGAGATTGATCACAGTGATAGTCGCTCAAGGAAAGAGCCATACCGTCGCGAGCCGCATCGCAGTGTTGATCGTCCGAGAAAAGAATTGTATCCCAAGGATGATCGTAAGAGAAAGTATGAGTCCTTTCGCAAGAACGAAGATGAACCTCAATATCAAAAGTCACAGAAGAGCTATCGTTCGACAAGATCTGAATCTTCTCGTTGGAAATATCACTCCGATAAAGATTCTCGCACATTTCGATCTCAAAAGCCAAGTGTGGAGTCTGTTGAAAGGCAACAATTGCTGAAGGAGGAAGCATCTAGAATCAGACGAAATTCGCGAAAGGATATTAAAACGTCCAAAGAAGAAATCAAGCGCTTAACGAAAGAATTCAACCAATTCCACGATGCTAGACTCGCAGCCGATCGCGCAGAAATTCGAGTGGGTAATACAGTGCGTGACGCTTGGGCTGGTAAATATATCGAGCTAGAAACGGCAAAGTCAAATATCCGGAGGCATGAAAGGGCTGGTAACTATTTGCATCATACTCCTGCTGTTAGTCAAGCTCTTCATGAACAAGCAGATAAATTAAAAGCTGGGCCTGAACGCTTAGAAGCCGAGATGGCTGATCTCAAGAGTAAAGGAAAGCATGATGAAGGCTTGGAATGGATTCACAACTATAAACACATTCAGGAACACAATGAATTTCTAGACAAGGTCAACCGACATGCAGGTTCGATATTTATGGATAAACAACTTCTCCGTAAATATAAAAAGTACTGAGCTTGTACTCACGAGAAAGGAAGAAGCTGCAGTTTATCGCTTTAGTGTCTGTATTGACATAGTCATATTTCTGTATTGCATCTCATTGTCATCTTTGTCTCTTTTCCTAGTGGGCAAGTATACATTGAAGCAAGCTTAGGTGTCCCTTGTCCTCCGAAGAGGATTAGCAAGGGGAAAGCTGCCTGCATGATGCTAAGCAAACCGGTAAGTGTACATGTCAAGCAGATTGCAACGCTCTTCTAATGTGTTCGTGAGTTCTGCGTAATCCGTTGGCATTCGAAGTAAAGCACAAGGCGTCATAGAAGGGGCTCCAATGTTATTTTGCGTACAAATACATCACAAAGGCGATTTTCTACGAAGTATAAACCATAAGTAAGCCCCCGAGACGTCAGGAAGGGGTTATAGCAAATCCATCGCAGCAACGATTTTGCGAAAAGTACAAATATCGCTGGAGGACTTGAAAGAACCACAATATACCTCAATACATCTCCAAGCGATCAAGGCAGGATGGTCGCCTACTGTACGTTTATCTCACTCATCTTCCTGTCCGTTCTTGCTTTACCTAATCCGACTCTGATCAGCGGTCTATCATCATCATCATCCTCTTCTGATGGAAGTTCGAGAAAAGAGCTGGACTGTAGTGATTTTGATAAAAAGAATGAATCTTTTCACGAGGATTTAAATGAATCCAACTTTCAAATTTTGCTTACTCACCGCTCGAAGGGATATGAGTCATCGCATGGGCAATCCAATACGGAAAGAGACGTATATCTCGTCATAAATCCACGTTTCGTCATAGATTCATGCACGATTTGGGATCGAACAAGAATTCCAGACAAATCAAGAATTAATCTCTTTGAAAGAGGTACTCGCCGCAAAAGAGAGGCATCTGAACTCGTGCGTACAACAAATTCGCCAATAAGACGTCCGGAACAATCGAAAGTCGAACTTACTGAACGTCAAAAATTTTTGAAGGATAAGTCGTCTAGAATCAGACGGACAGCAAGAGAAGAGATCAAATCATCTAAAGCAGAGATCAAGAAGTTGAAGAAACACTATTATCAATTTCATGACTCTAGAATTGCGGCAGACGGCGCAAAAATACAAAGGGGAAACACAATTCGTGACGCTTGGGCTGACAAATACATCGAATTGGAAACGGTAAAGTCAAATATTCGAAGGCATGAAAGGAGCGGTAACTATCTGCAACATATCCCTGCCATTCATCAAGCTCTTCATGAGCAAGCCAATAAAATGAAAGACATACCTAATCGTCTTGAAAAGGAAATGAGTGATCTTAAGAGCAAGGGCAGGGTTGATACGAACCAGTACTGGGAACACTCACTAGAAGAAAGTCAGAAGTACTGGAAATTTCGTGACGAAGTCGACCAGCATAAGGATTTAATACGTTTCAACAAAAAGTCACTTCGTAAACTAGAAAAGCATAAAGTACAGTAAAGAGCCTTCGGCTTATAATCATACAATAGAAGCAGGTCGGAAAGCTCCGTTTCATGTTTCATACGCAAATGATTCGATATCCTTTGTCAAATTTTGCATTCTCCCCGAAGTACGCAAAGGGGCAACTTTCTTCTTTTTAAATGATGGGGACCATAAATACAAACAAACTTAGAAGTGTGTCTAGGTACGTCGAGGATTAATAGCTTGATCGAAGGGCTTTGCTTCCACCATGATATCTGGGCGCAGCATATACAACACACAGTCCAGAGAGCCTGAGTATCTTCTTTGTGCGCATGCTGCGTACACATTTCGCTCCTAGAAAGCCCCATGGAGGTAAAAAAGGGGTTCCAGAATACATTTGCGTACAAAAGAATCGCAAAGACGTGTACTCAACCACGATGAAATACTCTGATGACCAAGACGAATACGGAAAAGGTCGTGATTATATGAGAACTCATAAAGCACACTCGTCATATACGCAACACTAAGAATAAAACCCCCACACACACAATGCATTAAAAGAAAGCTGTGAACAATCGCTATAAAGATATACATATATCGACATGCCTATATTGTATCTGGTTGCCGTCACTGTTCGTGCTCTTTTTCTACCGTTTTTGGAATTCGGACAAAGATAAGAGTGATAAGAGCACCAACGATTGCAGCGGCAAAATCGAACCACCAAATCGAATGGAAAACTTTCAATGATTCTTCACCAGCGGATTGACGTACTTTTTCCCCGATTGTGTCCGAAATACTCGTCATGATTGCAGCTGATAAATTTTGAACGGTAACCAAAAGACTACCTGCAGAACCTTGATAATGTTTTGCGACACTTGAAGTAACAAAGATTGAAGCAGCAGCAAAAGACAGATCTGGACCAAAAGTTACCAAAGCGATTCCTGGCATGGATAAAGCCCAATACGTAGTGTTTGCTGTTTGTGGAAGAAAGAATACTGGACCAAGCGCAAAAGCGATCATACTTGTTACCAGAATCCAGTGACCGTGAACCAGATGGGCAATCCTACTGACGATAAATGTTGCTAAGACGCCAAAGATTGCATTTGGCGTTTGGTAAAGAGCAACTTTGAGTGGAGAAGCATGTTGAATTCTTAACCAAAATTGAATAGCATAGAATTGCCAAGCTAAAAATCCCCCAAAACCAAGAAAATAAGCCAAAATCAAAGCCGTGAAACCGGGAACTTTCCATAATGCTGGAGGTAAGATCGGTCTTCGTACTTTTCTCTCGACAAGAAAGAACCCAACCATAGAAACAAGTCCTAACATGACAATCACAATCGTGTATGGCGTCCAATTCGCACTCGGTCCTTGAGTTAAGCCGGCAACAAGAAGAGCACAACCAGCAACAGCCAAAGAACTTCCGTAAAAGTCAAAGCTGCTAAAGCTTAGACCGGGTAAGGCAGGTTGAATGTTCGGAATCGCATACCATCCCAAACCTGTACAGATTCCTGCAAGGATTGTGTTTGTTGCAAAGATGTATTTTGGTATGGAACTGAAGGCACCACCTTGAAGTAAGCCAAGATAGTATCCAAAAGGTGCCATTGCAGCCATGATGGAGAATACCCTAGTCTTCCTCAATCCTGGTTGATAAATACGACCAAGGATGCTGATACTGCTTGAAACCAAAACACCAACCGCTAAACCTTGCATTCCTCTTACGACAAAGAATAGGTACTTGTTCGATAAAGAGAAAACGCCGATTAGGTTTGCCATTGCTTGCCATGCAAACGCACCGCACATCAGATATTTCGGACGAAGAAGATCTGCCAATGGGCCTGAAACGATGACCGAAAGCCCATTTGCCAAAAGATACGAACCTTGAAGCCAAGGTGCTTGAGAAGAAGGAATGCCTAATCTATCGATCAAGATTAATTGTAAGCCGGCACAGCCACCTTGAAAAAATCCAAATAATAATTGACCAGTCGAACAAATAAGAATGAAAATGATTTCTGCTGTTAAATTTGGAATTTCTGGTGGTCTTGCTTGAAATGCTGGCATACTTGGTTCTGCTGTAGAGACATTTGCAAAAGCTTCTGTTGACTGAGCAGCAGTTGGCGGAGCGGTATCCAGTACGGGCATAACACCATATGGGCCACCACTGCTGCTTCCACCAGCACCTGCTCCCGATCCAGACGTTTCTGTGGATTTATTTGTATTACTTCTTGGTCTGCTTGCGTTACCTATGCTGCTCGCCTTTCTTGTCTTGATAGATCCTTCCGGTCTCTCTGTATCCTCATCCTCCTCCTCCTCAACAACAAAGACATCTTCGTCAGCCAAGCCTCCTCCTTGCTGTTGTTGTTGTTGTTTAAGGTTGTCTAGATTTGGAATATTGGCACGAGCACGTGAATGAGAAGATGGTCTTCTACGAGTCGTATTTGTGGGTATACCCAATCCATCTTCTGTTGTTGTTTCCGTTCGTGATGGGATTGGCTGCAGTTCAAGCTCAACTTGCTCAATGTCTTTTATCGTCTCAGCGTCCATTGTTTTTTGATTATCGTTGTTAGAGGTAGAAAATGAAGCCGATATTGATGCTGAGCAAATCATTCATTATGCCCGTTCCCCCACGCTGGTAAAAACAAAAACCGTTCGGAAAAACTCTATATCTCTTTTGCATGCACGCTAACGGACACGGATAATTTTAATTTCTCCGGCCAGAACGGCGAATTGGGGAAGAGGGGGAGACAACGGAAATTGATCCGAGTCACAAGACAATCACAACACGCACTGTCGTTTGCGTGGATACGGGCTAAACAATTTCATACTTGCCCCGAAACAATGTATTTTGATGTACTTTGATGAGACTTACGTGGGATTAATCCCTCCTTGACTATGATCATAACCTTGTATTTAAACAGTGATTCTGGTGTGATGAGATACAAGTTAGGATTTCTCGTCTTGACTATTTATGTTCTCTCTTGTTTTCTTCAATGCTCAAAGTGTTCCCCGGCGTACTTTCAAAAGTATCGCGAAAGAAGAGCTGAAATACGTAAAAACAGACTCAAACTTGACAAAGCACTTAAGCGACGCCCTGTTACTTTAAGGAGGTTGAAGGATAGTATTATGGCTCATAACAAAGCAAACGATCTAGGTTTACGGGCAGGTAATACCAGTCGTCCAAAATGGATTAAGAAGCATATGGAACAAAAAGACGTCAAGTCAAACATGCATCTTCATACAGTTGTTTCGAAAATATTCAAGGGGAAACCAGAAATCAATGAAATCTTTGATAATCAAGCACAAAATTTAAAGGCAAAAGTTGAAAAGTTGCAAGAGCAAAAAGAGAAACTTGAGAAAAAAGGTCAATTCAAAGAAGAATTAGCTGAGCAACATCTGATAGAAGAACATCGTCACTACCACAAGGTTGATGCAATTTATGATCAAAATTGCAAAATTATACGTAAAACAAGTGATTACCTTGAAAAAACTGATCGCTTTCCTAATCGTTGTGCAATCATGAAATAGTGTTTATAGAGCCATCACGATGCATAGCAGTACAGCAGGTCTTGATAGCATAAGCACTTTGTGTAGCGTGAGGGTTGCGTAGGCTCAGAGAGTGTTGTATGCAACAATCCACAAGTCTACAGTGGCCCCGAAGAGATTGTGTATCGATGTACTTTAAAAAACTCCTACGGCAAATTTTTTTTTTCTTCACAACTATATTCTCTTTCTAAGATGATCAACTACACATTAAGACTTCTCGCTTTGGCTTACTGTATCTTTCTTTATCTTCTTCAGTGCTCAGACTGTTCACCAACGTACGTTCAAAAACTCCGCGAAAGAAGAGCTGAGATACGTGCAATCAGACTCAAAAATGAAAGGGCCCACAAACGTAGACCTGATAATTTGAGAAGATTGAAAGGATTTTTCAATTCTATAAGCGAAGCAGAAAAGAAAGGCATGCCAGCGGGTAACACCAGTCATCGAAAGTGGATAAAGCAAGATATGAAACAACAAGACGCAAAGTCTAATATGCACCTTCATACAGTTGTTTCAAAGGTATTCAAGGGGCATCCAGAAATCAATGAAATCTTTGACAATCAAGCAAAACGTTTAAAGAGCGATGTTGATAACATCCAAAAGAAAAAGGTTAAACTTGAGGATAAAGGTCAATTCAAAGAAGAGCTTTCGCAAGAACATCGTTTGAAAAATGTGAATCAATACTTAAAGCTTGATTCAAAGTTTAGGAAAAATTGGGAAATCATTCACAAAACTGGAAAGTATCTTGATGAGCACGATCGGTTCCCAATCAATATAGGATTATGAAACAGTGAACTTTCCAATCTTACATAGGAGCAAATACAAAGTATAGCAATTCATCTTATGCAGCATCGGGACTACATAGAATCATAAAGTGTTAGGTACGCCATTCTACAATCCTATCGTGGCCCCGAAAAGATCGTGTATACTATTTATATGCAACTCATATAGACTGTTACGGCAGTACTATCTCCTTGAATTAGACCTGTATAACCGTTTTGACGTGGTCAATTTACAGATTGGTACTTCTCTTCATGATTTTTGGTATCTTTTGTTTGGCTCTCTCGACACTCAACCTGTCCTCCGATGTCCTTCTAGTAAATCCGTGGGATTAAAGCTGAAATACGTATACAATAACTTGAAATTCAGCGGCAACTAGATTTCAGCTGAATAAGTTAAATACTGTATCCTGACGTACAAACTGCTGAATCAAGTACTGGCGCATATCTAGGCTCGGCGAGGATTGGCAAGTTGGCAAGAGGTGATTGGCTACCACCATGGTTGCAGCGTATTTCCAAATCAGATAGACCCGATTTCCCTTTTCTGTTGATCATAAGCTTTTTGCGTACCTATGTGTTTGAAAGAAACGCCCTAGAGGCGGCGTGTACGGGGATATGAAGGTAAATTTGCTATGGAATGCATTGCAAAAACTTCAGTCCTAAACATAATTTCACAACACTCCCAATTGTTCTCAAACAGTAAAAGCAGAATGACTTCTAACTCTATGATTCTCTCCGTTATCCTCTTGCTCACTGTTACTCTGACGCAGCTGACCCCAACAAGTGGCCAGCCAATGCGATCACCATCTTCTCTTGGTAGGAGAAAATGTCAAGACAGATCAGGTATAGAAGCTACTGAAAGACAAAACCGAATGACGCAAGATGAATATAAGCTAGTTCAAAATACACGAAAGAATCTTGAATCATCTGAAAAGGAGCTCAAACGTTTGCATAAAGACCATGCGCAATTCACTATTCCTAGATCTGAAGCAGACAAGGCAAAGTTACCGAAGGGACATACCAATCGTAACGCTTGGGCTGACAAATTTGTCGAACTGGAGAAGGCAAAGTCGAATATCAGAAGGCATGAAAGGGCTGGTAATTATTTGCAACATGTCCCAGGCGTTAGTCAAGCTCTTCATGAGCAAGCTGATAGATTAAAGAACGGAACCAATCGTTTGGAGAGCGATATGGTCAAGCTCAAGAGCGAAGGAAGCCATGATGAAGATTTAAAAAATGACCACGATGGTAAAGAATATCTCAAAAAGTGGAATTATGACAAGAAGGTCGAAAAGTACAATCACCTCATAGATATGGATAAATCAATAATAAGTAGGCAAGGAAAGCCTTTAAAACTTGGACGGGCTATCCCGTGATGAGAAGGTCTGCCTTTTTCCGACATTTTTGGGTATGAAATCGTAAACAGCATTAGGAACACCTTAGTATCTAGGAACGGTCAATTTCATCTTTAGTCCCCGGGGAGTAAAGCTGAAATACGTATATAATAACTTGAAATTCAGCGGCAACTAGATTTCAGCTGGATAACTTGAATACTGTATTCTGATGTATAAAATGCTGAATCAAATACTGGCGCAATTTTTAAGCTCGGCGAGGATTAGCAAGTTGGTAAGTGGTGATTAGCTACCACCATGATTGCAGCGCATTTCCAAATCAGAAAGACCCAATTTCCCTTTTCTGTTGATCATAAGATTTTGCGTATTCATTTGTTTAAACGATACGCCCCAGAGGCGTCGTGTAAGGGGATATGAGGGTAAGTTTGCTATAAAATGTATTGCAAAGACTTCAGTCCTAAACATAATTTCATAACACTCCCAATTGTTCTCAAACAATAAAGGCAGAATGACTTCTAATTCTATGATTCTCTTGGTTATTATCTTCTTCACTCTTACCCTGACACACCTGACACCAACAATTGGTCAGCCAGTACGATCACGATCTTCTCTTGACGACCGTTCGAGAAAAACGCCGTCATACCAGAATGACCGTTCCAGGAGAGAGCCTAATCAACGGAAACCATATAATCGTGATGATCGTTTAGGAAAAAAGTCCTATCACAGAGACGAGCGTCAAACAAAGTACGAATCTGCTCGTAAGGGTAAATACGAAATCAAATATCAAGATTCATATAATCGAGATCGCTTAAGAAAATCATCATACAGACTGCATCGTCTGCAAAAAGGTAATAACTCTGATAAAGACTCATACGCAGCAAAGTTTAGAAGTAACGCTGTTGACTCATTCGCAGCAACCATTGGAAGAAAACGTCGAGACAGGTCAAGTATGGAAGCTGCTGAAAGACAAGACCGAATGACGAACTATGAGTATGAGCTTGTTCAAATTGCACGAAAGAATCTTGAATCATCTGAAAAGGAGCTCAAGCGTTTGCATAAAGACCATGCGCAATTCACTATCTCTAGAGTTGAAGCAGATAAGGCAGAAGTACCGAAGGGACATACTAATCGTAACGCTTGGGCTGACAAATTTGTCGAACTAGAGAAGGCAAAGTCGAATGTCAGAAGGCATGAAACGGCTGGTAATTATTTGCAACATGTCCCAGGCGTTAGTCAAGCTCTTCATGAGCAAGCTGATAGATTAAAGAACGGAGCCAATCGTTTGGAGAGCGAAATGGTCAAGCTCAAGAGCGAAGGAAGCCATGATGAAGATTTAAAAGATGACCACCATGGTAAAGAATATCTCAAAAAGTGGAATTATGACAAGAAGGTCGAAAATTACAAACACCTCATAGCTCTGGATAAATCAATGATAAGTAGGCAAGGAAAGCCTGTAAAACTTGGAAGGGCTATCCCGCTTTTTCCGACAATTTTGGGTATGAAATCGTAAACAGCAGTAGGAACACGTTCGTATCTAGGAACGGTCAGGAAGAGCAAGGGATAGTGCCGGGTACCACGATTGCTGTTTACAATTATGATCATACTTTTGTCCGTGAGCATTTTGCAATCCGAAGGAGCCCCAAAGACGTCTCTAATGTTGGAATATAAGATAGCGTAGTGTGCGCTAATTTCACCTTATCTGCGGGGAATATATGCTGTACATTGAGCACAATCATGTTTGCTGTCATAGCAGTCATGCGAGGGTCGCGATATGTAGATACGATTTGTATAGTTCCATAACTTAAAACTCGATCGTTTCACACTACGATAATCCAAGTGTAGATAGATGAATGGGAAGCAAAGTGTATTTTGGGCATTTTAATTACTGCGTCACCTTGCGCAAGTATACAGTCAAGTACCTTTGCGTCTGTTGATGAGAATGAATGTTTGAATCTGAAAACAAGATAATTGACAACGGAAACAATCCAAGTTAAAAAACAACACTCGGGGTTAGAGAATACTTGCAAATGATGTAGCATAGCTTTTTAACGAAGTACACATTGTCTTGCGTATTTTTTGCTACACACAAGGCCCCGAAAAAGATGCATATAATCATTTTTAAAGGACATTTGTGACAAAGTTCCTCTTTGGCTTTCAATTGAATAACGTTTTGAGATGATGAGGTACAATCTACAACTTCTTGCTTTGATTCTTTACACTCTGAATAATTGTCTCCAATTCTCAAAGTGCGCTCCAACCTATTTTCAGAAATATCGTGAAAGAAGAGCTGAAATACGAAAAAACAGATTCAAAAACGAAATTGCCAAGAAAAGATTAACGGATTCATTGAAGAAACGAAAAGATTACATACGTGCAACAGACCAAGCAGAGGAAAGAGGCGTACGAGTAAGAAACACTAGTTATCCAAAGTGGATAAAACAGGATATGAAGCAACGAGCATTAAAATCAAACATGCATCTACATCAAGCTGTTTCAAAAACGTTTAAAGGAAATGCAGAACTTAGTCAAATTTTTGATAATCAAGCTAATACTCTAAAACTCAAGACTGATCAGATACAAAAGCAAAAAGATAAACTTGAAGCAAAAGGTGAATTTAAACAAGAACTTTTCTCGAAGCATTGTTATGAAGAAACTGATCAGTTCTTGAAGCTTAACTCGAAAATTCAAAGAGAAAGGGAAGTTGTGCTAAAAACGAGAAAATACCTTGATAAACACGATAGATTCCATAATAGTTGTACAATTTTGAGATAGTGCACTTTCGGGGCACCTAGGGACATGAAAGAATTTCAAGCAAAATTCGATAGAAATTGGAGCATTGTTCTTAAGACGTCAAAGTACCTTGACAAACACAACAAGTTTCCCAATCGATGCGCAATTATGAAGTAGTATAATTCAATTTTCTCCATTCATGTAAAGCACAGCATTGTAGAAGGTCATGATGAGATATTCAATGAGCATTGGGGATATAGGTGCTCCAGCCCACCATTTATTTCACCAGTACTTAGCTGCCCCATTCTTCGTGCATTGCTACCAGATACTCGAATACGGAGCATCACAAATAGACAATCGCAATAAGGATGATAGACAATTGATAGAATCGTGCCGGACCAGGCAGGACACCTCAAAACTATTATAAGTACCGAAGAATATATCTTAAAGAGCACAACAACTTTCCCAACCGACGCACAATTTCGAGTTAGTCTGGTTTTCGTCTTTTGTGTCAAATATAAATATCCTGTAGCGTTGTGGATTTGTTATTGGAATCCGAGTGACCGATCCCGCAAGTTCACAAAGCCGAGCGCAATGCCTTTGTCAAACATTTGAAGGACGAGTAAAGCAACTGCAAGCTGATACCAAGAAAGTACAAGAAGAGAAAGATATTTTACGGAAAACGTGATTTTCAAGCGAAGATATTCATGTGAAGCACCTCGAGAAGCATAGCAAAATAGATGATAAACTAAGTTTAGAGAAGGATAAACACTTTAAAATGATCCAAGAAACCGGGACATACCTTAAAGAGCGTGATAAGCTTTCCGACTGATGTACAATTTCGAGGTAATGTATGCAAATTTCGCACCCAAATGTACAGCTTCTTCTCAGTATCCCCGTGAAATAATTGCATTACGAGCTGTTTTTATGTGCAAGGGTCAGCTTTGAGTGTTGTCCTTTCTGGTCTCTACCTCATTGTGCCAGAGACGTATAGATCTGAGAACACCATGTCTTCGCTAACAGTGAGCTTACTGATCTTTTCCGCTTTATTCGCTTCCTCTGTGGTGGTTTGTATGGATCCACCACTTCCAAAGGTATATACCCGTCCGATTTCACCAGGAAAGACACCTGAAGAGCATGCAGAAAAGGTGAAAAAAGCTAAAATTGAAAGGGACCAAAATTATAATAGACTCTGGAAAGGTGCAAACATACACTGGTCATACGAGGAATCAGTAGAAGCAGCAGAAAAAGCCGGTGTAGGACCAGGAAATACACATCATAAAGAATGGATCAAGAAGTATGGAGAACAACAAAGAGCCCAGCATAACTTCAAAAGACATAAAAGAATGTCAAAGATCTTGAAGGATCATTCCGAAGTAAGTAAGGCTTTATACGAGCGTTCACGAGCTTTGAAACGCATCCCTAGCCATATACAAAGCCAAATGGATCAACTAAAGAACAAAGGCAAGCATGATCAAAGATTAAAAGAAGACCATGACTATGAATTTTACGTCAAACGTCGAAAGCGAAATCAAGAGTCAGATGTATTGTCTGGCGTCATCTTCGCAAATGAAATATTTCTCGAGAAACATGGACATCAATAATTCACTGTATGTCTACCGCCCAGCGTGTGGTGGGGCTGTCATTGACTCTTTGTGCGCAAGTGTACTATCAAAGGAATTGCAACACCAAGCCTTGATGATTTCAAGTTTTCGAGGGAAATGTCGATCTGTGTATTACATTAGGGCTCAAATTACTCGAAAAACTCGTTGCACTTTATTTACTATATGAGTGATTTGCATTTTATACGCCCCTTACCATTTCCACTGAAAAAGACTGCAAAATTATCAAACCCTTTGTCTTTCTAGCTTTTTATCAGGGAGCATTTGAAAAAATGTTTTCTCCAAGCAATTCACTCTTACTCTTGCCATTATGCACCTTCTTGGTACAGATCACTTCTGCATATCCCAGCCAGACTGCCACCCACAAACCCTCCCATTCTCCATCTGAATTACCGGAGCACTCTCTGACGCATTATACTCGCCCTTTTGATCAAAAAGCCGAAATCAGATCTGTTCGTTTAGAGAACAGATTAGCAAAGAAGAGGTCGGGTCAAATCAAGCAAGAACAGTACAAGTATGACTTTTCCGTTGAAGAGGCCGCAAATATAGGTATTCATGAAGGTCATTCTCATCAACAAAAATGGGTTGAAGAACATATGAAATATCTCGATACCAAAAAAAATATAAGAATGCATCAGCTGGCTTCAAAAATAATCGATTGTCATTCTCAGAAATTTCGCGATATCAATCATGCCTTTAATGAACGTTTGGATGTACTAGAAACGATTGCAAAGTATCACAAAGACAACACAGACTCAATTAAAAAAACAGGTGGTACTTTTAGCACCGACGATCAGGAGAAACAGATCGCTGCAGATATAAAGAGAGCCAGAGATACTTATAGCAAAAGGATAGCTTGTCAGCAGATTATAGATACGACCAATGCATACCTCAAACAGTTCGATAAATCAAAAAATAAATGCACAATCATGTAAAAACTGAAGAACTACTGTCCAAATCAACACTCTATATTCTCTCATCAATGTCGCCCTCCTTTCGATGACAAACGGGTCATTGTCTTCTTTGCCTTACTCGCCAATTGTCCCATCTTGCCAACGGCTTGCAAAAGGACTTGAGCCGATTTGGGTAAAGAACCAATGCCATTTGCTCGTTTCCGTAATCCTGATTTAATTAGGCAGTGAAAGAGATTTCGTAAGCCTACTACCGTTCAAATGTGCCTTTTTAAAATGTTTCATGTGCGTACGCATTGGTGGGATGATAACATCGGCAACTTGATCAACAATTCCCATGGCTTTGTCGAATGTTACTGGTCTGGCAATGGCGGTAGAAGTCCAACTGTGTTTGAGATGATGACAGTCTCAGTATTTGCAGTATTAATTTTAGCATGGCAACCACCCACCTACCTCAAGAGTATCGTCACCACAAGCAGCATCGTAAAAATGTTTAGTGTACTGCGAATTCGCATTTTGTAAGATTCGCAAAGTATGTGGTCAAGAGGATGAATTTTGCAAGAGGCAATGCCTGTACTATACATCACATCTCTCTCAAAAAGGTTTCATGAGTTTCCTTGCCACCAACACAGCCATTCGGCGCGCTGGTCTCCATCTTAACACAACCCCGCACACTGCAGAGGCGGTGATCTGCCTAATTAGACTTCAATGTACGCTGTTTCTCCCCTTCGACGATTCTCTCAGAGACAAACAGCCCTTTACGTTTCCGTACACGATCCATATACCGTTTTGCCACATTTTCTCTCTCTCCAAATTCTCCCAAATCTTCCAATTCTTCCTCGGTACGTGGCACCCAATATGGATCTAAGTCAAAGATTTCGTACCCTTTGAAAACCAATTGCGGACTAGCAGCACCCGAAGTTCGCTTTCGGATCTCATCTGCAAATCCAAACGATTCCACAACGGGTAATAGAGCACCGACAGTAAAGAATGACGTGCCCTCTTTCATTTCTTCCGAAGTGATCCTACCGCGTCTTCGTGACAGTACAGCATGAACTTTACCTAAAACGTCTGTTGAAGCTTGAATATCACACGTGTACATCGCCAACATCAACCTAGGACTCCAATCCAATAGACCCGATCGACAGGATTCACGCATAGAACCAATCACAGCACTTGTCATTTGCGAGTGGTTCACTTGAGTTGCATTCGATTCTTCACCGCTTACGACTGCAACACCTTCCACAAAGAAGGCCATTCCATGCATCGGCTCAGCACACATTGGTCCTTGCAAAGTAGCCAGTTGGAAACCGGTATCAATCGCCTCTTCTACATCAGCCAGAGACCATGCAGTCTTGGAAGGACCAGATTCTGTTTCCGTATCTCCATCAAGATTGATGCCCGTTTCCACTTTAGCTGCAAGATCATCGACTTGTGAGCCATTTATTGCCGCTTTTGTGGTTGCATCAGGTGATGTACGTGAGCGCAAAGATGCAAGCTTGCTATTATTTTCGGACCGCTTATCCACAAGCATATTCGGACCACTCCTACGAGGGCCCAAGGACCAGATTGCATTCGTGACATCTTTCCACATTGGTCCACTCTTAGCCAGCAAACTATCAAGTTTGTCCCAAAAGACGTCCATCTTTACTTCCCTTTCATCTTGTTGAATTGCTCCTTCTCCTTCTTTGTCTTCCATTACCTCTGAAGCAAGACCCCCATCTTGATGACGTTCGCGTTGCAGCAATCTCTTCACGATCCGGCTATTGATCAGCAAGAAGTCTGCTACTTCTGTTGGCAAAGGAACAGCACGGACTGTTAACTCGACTTGGCCACCAGCAGTTTTGGCATGAATGGTACCCCTCTGAGCACCCTCAGTCTTGGGAGGTGGCATTTCCGCAGCCTTTTTTGCCGTCTCACGGAAGGGGACTAAAGGTGGAGAGGCCTGAATTGCACATCTTGCGAACCGTTCACGTAAGTCTTTCAAACATCTTTCAAGATGCAATTCTCCAGCACAAACGATCACATGCTCTCCTGTACTTTGTACCATCGTCTCAACGCATGGATCTGCTTGATTCAATAATCGTAATCCCTCTACCAACTTGGACATGTGCGTTGGATTCTTGGGTTCAAGAGCAACTCGAACGATGGGCGAGTTCAGTCTGCTTACCCCAGCCAAATTGACAACATCCTCAATCTTGAGTTCTTCTTCTTGATTTGCGTTGGATGGCAAGCCACACAATGTAGCGTTTCTGAGAACGATTCCCTCCAAACCTCGAACAGCAAACACATTTCCAGCAGGTACCTCCGCCACAGCCACCAGTTCACGACCCATCATCATGTATAGGCCTTCAATTGTGACGTCAACTTTGAATTTCAGATTGGCTTTGTGGTTTGGAGGCAGGGCCGTATTGTATTTGGGCAAGATAGCGCTGATCGTCTGACCAACACTCAATGTACCACTATACAGCCGTGCGAATCCCAAAACGACTTCTTCGGCTTTTTGTTCATCTGTGAGCTCATCGCTTGGATTTGGTACCGCGGAGCCGTTGGTTCCATCTGCGCCGAGACTGCTTTGATCAATAGTCACGCCTGTAGCACTGAGTGTGTCTTTCATAGCTTGTACCCTCTCTCTTGCTTCCCGCCCTCTCTGTCTCATCTCATCTGCAGTCAATTCTCGTCTTCTGCCTTCAGGAAGATCACCACGACGGATAGCAAACATTTTGCTCACATAGGCGCATCTACGAGCTTCAGGGCCAGTTCGGGCAGAGAACAAGTCCACCTCTAGAGGATTGCGAGGTTCAGCTTTGGAAAAGTAGCTCAGATCAGGATGCAACATCTTTGGAATCCGAATCGCTTGTGCTTGTGCAGGGGCGGGGATGTTTGACATCAATGCACCAAAAGTACATGAAGCCAGAGGAAGCCATTGGGCAAATATCGTTTGCACTAGTGCTGAGGTGTCCTTTGATTTCAGCTCGCGAGGATGAATTTTTAGATCCAATGTCTTGACAATCTTTTCGATCTTTTCTTGATCACGATTTTCTGCACTTTCATAAACAGCCCAAATGTTCTCCAACACGAATTGCACAAATACTGGCTTCAAATTTCTGCCCTGCTTCTCTTTTAGCTTGTGACCGATGATTCGTTTTGATTTGGGGTCAAAATAAAAGTCTCCCCAGAGAACCTTTCGGAATTTGCGCTCCTGTATTCCAAGTTTCTTTGCGTATAGGTGGGAAAAGCGATCTAGTCGGAAAGCCCAGGTATCTATAGCAGATGCAAAGATCACATTACCTCTTCCTGGGTCAAAGTAGATATCCTCATCATCCAACTCCTCGTACCTGTCCTCTTGTTCTGCTGCCTCATTTTCTCCATTTGAGGTGGTGGCGTCGGCATCTTCCAAGCTTTCCATGGCTTTTTGATCCTGCTCCTCCTTCTTCTTTTGCAATCTTCTTTCTCTGTCTTCATGCCATCTCTGATCATCTTCCATACGTTCTGTGGCAAAGAATGATCCCATGACTGCATTCACTTGTTCTATGAGTTGGTTCAGATGATGATATGCTTCAATAGGTGAAAGTTTCAATTCAGTTACCAGCCTGTCCATCTTGTTGAGTACAAGGATTGGCGATAATCTTTCACTCCAAGCTTGTCTTAGCACCATAATTGTTTGTGTGCATACACCTTCAACAACATCAACGATGATCAAGCTACCATCGCAAAGTCTGCTTGCGGTTGACACTTCACTTGAGAAATCGACATGACCGGGTGTATCGATGAGATTGATCATGCAATCTTGAACGTCTCCTGGTGTTCCATCTGGACGTAAATGTCTAGTTTTGAAGTTCAAGCTGACAGCACTACTTTCCATTGTGATTCCTCTTTCTTGTTCATCTTCTCTTGAATCCAAATAACGCAACTTTCCCGCTTGACGTGAAGAAATGATTGCGTTTGATGCCAACAATGAATCTGCATAAGATGATTTTCCATGATCTACATGTCCCATCAATGTTGCACATCTCACATTGGCCGAAGCCAAAGAGAATTGTTGTTTCTTTGACATTGCGATGATGTTGTGAAGCTGAGTAGTGGAGAAGACACTAATTTTTGAGAAGAATGAAAATTTGGGTGGTTATATAAGCTTGCTTGTAAACGCGTTAATGCATTCAAGAAGAAACAAAGACATCATTTGGATGACAATTACTTCTCAACTCTCTCACTCGTGGGAAAACGACAGCATGGCGGATAAGAGGAAGACCTCGTCCAACATAAATGGTGATGCCGCCAGTGCATCATCATCATCAATGGTAAAAAGAGCACGTCAAGATGAAGATGGAGCAAGAACGATGCAATTAGCAATCTCATCCGCCAATGATGGTACATCAAAAGGACTAATACGATCAGTAAAACGAACCAGCAGTCTTTCATCTCCAATCGTTTCTCTTACAGGAGCACATACATCCGAAATACTTGATGTAAAATTCTCACCTGATGGTCAAATGATCGCAGCTGCTTCTTCTGATCGAACAATTTCAATTTGGCAAACGTTTGGTGAAAATCGAAATATAGGTATCCTGTCTGGTCATGCCAAAGCGGTGACAGCGATCACTTGGTCACCAAGCGCACCACATACTCAACCAAAGTTATTCTCTAGCTCAGCAGATGGAACGTTGATTGTATGGGATGTTTTGGCAGGTGCAAAATTGAGAAGACTAAGAGGTCATAAAGGTATCATCAATTGTATCGCTTGTGCACCTGGTGGACGTGAAATCTTGGCAAGCGGAGGAGATGATGGGAAATTGATGCTTTGGGATCCGAACGAGCGTGATGTTCTGGATGTGATTGATGTTACTTATCCGGTCACTGCAGTCTGCTTCTCTGATGATGGCGGTCAGATATACGTCGGTGGATTGGACAATGAGATACACGTATATGATCTTATGCGGAAGGAGATCATGTTCTCTATGAAGGGACATACAGACACAATCACATCCCTCGCTTTATCACCTTCAGGATCAAATCTTCTTTCGACTGCAATGGATAATACCGTCTGTATATGGGACGTACAACCCTTTGCGCCTGAACCATTGCCAGGACAATCAAAGAACGTACGTCTTTATCGAACTTTGCAAGGAGCAACGACAAGTGGGTATGAGAACCTGTTGATCAAATCAGCATGGAGTAAGGATGGAAGGAGAGTGGCTACAGGCGGGACAGATCGAACATGTACAATTTGGAACGTGGACAATAGCAATATTTTGTACAAGTTGCCCGGACATCGTGGTACATGTACGGCCGTTGCCCTACATCCACAAGAGCCAATCATTGTGTCTGCATCGGTTGATGCTACGATGTTCTTGGGTGAAATCGAACCCTAATGCTTTAACAATAGTGTAATATTACTGCATGTACTAGTATTTAAACAATCAAGACATTTGTGCTTTTCCATCTTTTCGAGTGAGACTCTCTTCACTTTTCTTCCTTTGATACCCAGTCTAACCAAGAGCCGGTATAGTTTCGAGTGCTGTGTCAAGAAAGGGGAAAATGTCAGTAAGCTGAACACGGTCGCATCTTTTGCAGTCCGATACTCACTTTTGCCATCCATTCTTCTTTGCGATATCCTGTGCTTGTGCGCTTCTCTTACCGCTACGGCAATAAAAGATAACTTTATCATCAAAGCCAGGTCGTGGGAAAGAGTACTGTTGTTGGAAGTTTGCTCCTCCGCTTTTGTTGAAAGCATCTTCAAACTTTGTAAGAGGAACATTGACAGCAGAAGGAATCATGCCTGCAGCCACTTCATCAGGTTCACGTACATCGATGATGGTTACTTCACCCGTTGGTTGTGATGCTAGCTTTTTCACTTCATCATAAGATGCATCTCCTTTGCTGGCCCATTGAGCATCTTTCGGTGCTTCACGAAAGCAGATGGAAGATGATTGGAATTGACGAAGAGCAATTGATTGCCAAGGAGCGGTACTTGGTGCTTTGGTAACAAATCTTCCCGAAACTTGTAAAGAGCGAGAAGCATTCAAACGCAAAGCCGAAGAAGCTTGACGAGCGGAGCCTGTGAGGATAGTACGGGCAGCCATGATTGATGGTGATGGTTGGTATGAGGTGGAGTTAAGAAGAGGGTTTTCTTTCTTTGATGAGCTTAATGCCCGTGCGCGGCTTCCAAACATTGGCTTGATCGGGTATAATAAAGTGTTGCATTCCCTTCCAAATGAAGCGTGATTGATTTATAGAAAGGCGGCACCCCTCCTGACGCGCTTCAGAATAACAAAACAGCCAATGCTTAAAATAAACAGGGACAGCTGTAAGTCGACATACATACCTTCTTTACTACATCAAACATGGATGACTTACTGGACTTGGATTGGACCAAACAGTCCGGCAATAACACAAATGGTCAGACAGCCTCGTCAAATGGCTCAAAACCATACAATGGGTCTAAAATAAACACCGGAAAGGGCGGAGGAATGGCATCTTACAACTTTGAAGCACTCACACGATCGATGCCTTCAGGTGGAAATGCTATAAGGCCTCAACAGCAACAGCAGACAAACGCTTCCAAAGCCACTACACAATCGAAGTCTGGAAACGATGCATTCTCATCATTGTTGGGCTTCGATAGCTCGAGTGCAAATACGAATAATGCTACAATGACAATGGCAGAAAGGATGAAACATAACAACGGACAGCCTTCAATATATCAAGCACAAAGGAAACAGTCACCACTCCCTACAGCTAGTACACAAAAGGCTGATGCAGCTTGGGATGGACTCGATGATTTCATGTCCGGAAGTAGCAGTAGCACTACACAAAGACGTACAAATCCACAACCAGCACAAGTCGCAGCTGCAAATACCGCCAAAGAAGATGATCTATGGAATTTCGGTGGTGCATCCTCAAATAGGCAACAGTCTACTGTTAAGTCCACCACAAACCAGAGAAGCTCGCCTATAGTCCCGGCTGCGAAGAAACCTGCCTCGAAAGATCCTTTCGACTTTTCAGAATTCGAAGACCCGGCAGATTTTCAGAGTTCGGCTTTGGGCGGGGGTGGAGATGTTGAACAGTCGGGAAGAAGGCCTGCACAGGCTAAAAACGGACATGCAGACAACTCCCGGACCAGGAGAGGAAAGGCCTCTCTATTAGGCGATAGCAGCCTCGAAGAGGATAGTATCTTGGGATCTTTAGGTCGACCTGCAAAACCTCTTTCGTCTACCTTCGATGATGCCTTTGGAGATGAGGAAGCTCCAAAACTGACTCAATCCCGGAAAGCTGGCACTTCCTCACCTCCTCCTCACGTTATCGGTCAGGTTGTCGAAATGGGCTTCTCACCTCAGCAAGCGCGTGATGCACTCTCACAAACTCCAGGTGGACAAAATGTACAAGCAGCTTTGGAGATCCTACTGCAAGGCTCTCGAGGTCAACCAGGACGGGGCACTCCGAACGCAGATAGGGATACTGAGGAGGAGCGGGATCGTAAATTCGCTGAAAGGCTGCAAAGGGAAGAGCAATTACGTCAATCTGGTCGATCAAGGGATGATGATGATGCCGGATTCTCGAGGCGAAGACAGGGTGAGAATGAAAGTTCTAGATCGGAAACACCGGTTGATTGGCAGAAGCAGGCAGATCAATTATACGCTCAAGCTTCGGTATTGGGAGCCAATATGTTCAGCAAAGCGAACGCACTTTGGTCTACAGCCAAAACCCAGGCTCAGAGGGCATTAGACGAACACAACGGTGGGAGTGGAGCAGGATCGGCCACTGGCAGCGGGCGTTCCAGTCCAGCAGCAGGAAGTGATCGTGCGCGTAGTCGAAGATGGGCAGTTCCTTCACGAGATGGAGGCCAGCGGAAAGAATGGCAAGGAAAGCCAAAGTGGATGGTAGATGCTGAGAATGAAGACCAAGATGCACCGGGTGTAGAGCGAACAGTTCAAGAAGATGGAAAGAGAGAGCATAGGAAGGGAAGCAGCTTCAGAGATGACTTTGATGGCGAGGAGGATCATGCGCCACCATTCTTCGACCGAAGCCAAGCTGCGAAGGATAAAGCAAGAGTGGTAGAAGAGCAACGTGCGTCTCCCAGAACACAACCACCTGCTGCTGACCTCTGGGGTAGCTCGAATGGGGCAACGTCGCAGCAACGAAAGACAAGTCCTGCTGAGGTACCACAAGCCACCAAAAAGAACACCACGCCTAGTTGGATGTCAGGTAATCGCTCTTCAACGCCCCAGAATGGCACAAAAGTCAAGGAAGCCGTTGCGAAGCGTCAAAGGCAACTAATAGCAGATGAGGCAGGTGCTATTCAGACTGCTTCCAGACACAAACAGCGGGGCAATGAATTATTCAAAAGAGGTGCTTATGGAGAAGCAGAAGTTGCTTATGGTGCTGCACTGAGTGCCTTAGATGCTAATCCACGTTCTATTAGACGAGTCGTTTTGCTCAACAATCGTGCGAACGCTAGACTCAAGAATGGAGATGCAAAAGGTGCTTTGGATGATACACTTGCAATCTTACATTTGATCGTTGTGGAGGAAGGTAAAAAATCTTCACCTTTCTTACTTTTCCGTCCCTCAGAAGAAGTACCATTGCCTCTGCCTGAGTATGCAGAAGTGAATTTGCGAGAGGGCTACGCAAAGGCTTTATTGCGAAGAGCACAAGCAGAAGAAATGCTGGAGAGATGGGATCCGGCTTTGAGTGTTTGGTCTTTGCTGGAAAAGTACGAACGTGAAGAAGGAAGTGGAGCGAACGGAGTTTCAAACATGCGTGCTGCTAAAGAGGGAAAAGGTCGATGTGATAAGATGTTGAAAGGTGGTGATGTTAATGGAACAATTGCCCAAGGACCCAAACCTGTCAACAATGCTCGCGTTAGGGCTGCTGCTGCCAGTGCTGTTGCCAAAGCAGAAGCGAAAGTCAAGGAACGTTTGCGGGCTGAAAATGCAGCCACAGCTCAAGAAGAAGCAACAAAAGATTCTTTGCGTGATTCAGTTGATGGACGGATCTTAGCTTGGAAAAATGGAAAGGAGAACAACGTTCGTGCTCTTCTTGCAAGCTTGCATGAAGTTGTTTGGCCAGGTTTAGGATGGAAAAAGGTGGGAATGCACGAATTAGTGATGGACAATCAAGTCAAAAAGGTGTATATGCGTGCAATTGGTCGTTTGCATCCGGATAAATTGACCCCAAAATCCAACACGATCGAAGAGCGAATGCTTGGTGGAGCTGTATTTTCTGTTCTGAATGATGCCTGGTCTGCAAGTCAATCCACATAGATATGTATACTCTCTAGATACTATAATTCAATCAAATGCGTTGAGCATAAATGCTTTTGTCGAATAGGCTATTGATACAAGGGTGTGATTGTGGTGGTGTACATCGAGTGGAATTTGCTGACGATTTACGATGATGGTTCTGCTTTTCCTTCTTCTCCATCGTTCAATTCGCGTAACCAAAGAACGTTGTTGCATCTGATGAAAACTTCTCCCAACATTCCGTTTGATTTTCCATCAACGAATTCTTCTGTGTTTGCTAGTTGTAGATTCATATAATTATCTGTACTGACCAAGAAACCTTTGTATTCCATTCCCCATTTTAGTCTGACTAGGATTTGTTTTCCTGTTTGCATCTGCAAGAACGGTTTCGGGTTCACCGGTGTGATCTGTATAAGCAGAGGGTAGATCGTGTCAGCGCTATCTCTATCTGTGGGATATGAACGCCCTTAACGCACGGATGACATATTGGTGATGGGTATCTTACCGGATGGGAGATGATGGCGATGAATAAACTTTATTTGGCATGCATCAACAGCAACTTCTTCTCGGAACTAATGACATCAAACACGCGTCAAAAATACATTATCTGGAGCAAGTGCAAATATACCTCCCGCACCATTCATGCAAAATCTCGGAAATACAGACGGATGGCTTGGACGTAGGTTATGATTCTGTCAAGCGTTTAGGGGTCGTAATAAATCGTTATTAAGAAAGGTGCTGTACAGTATTAAAAGCTAGCAAACCCTCCAGTGCTCATACTGCTTGGCAGATCACTGGGATCAGGACCGCAATCGGTCACTTCTGCTTGGGTGCCCATTTCAAAGATGATTTCTGTATTTTGTGGTGGTGGGTTAGTATTGTCAGTTGTTTTTGCTGCCGCTGCAGGGAAGATGTCATCGAATGAAATCTTGCATCTTGAAGTTTGCACTTTACCGTTGATCGTAACACTTTTTACGTATGCCTTTGTGCTGTTTTGCAAAGGTGTTTGTCCCTGCAAAAATGAAGGATCGAAATCCTGTGCCTTGAAAGTGACATTACCGAGTAAAGTGTTGTACAAGGTATAACTTGGAACAAAAGGCGAAACAATAAGATATTCTCGTGTAGAAGGAACAGGGTATAAACCGAGCAAATGCATCACGAGTAACGTTGCCATTGCTGCACCGTCGTCGTTACCCGGAATTCCACCGGCAGTAAGGTTGAATTCGTTCAAGACCAGCTTACGAACCCTTGCTACACTACGGCTTGGCGAATTTGCATAGTGATATGTGACTGGAGTCTGGAAGCTTGGTTCATCGTCAGATCGGAATAAATTGCGTTCAAAGAAGGTGTCGATTCTCTTGATGAATGTTGAGATTGAGTTGTTGGCAATCAAAGAGATAAGACCGGCAAAATCGTGGGGAACAAAGAATCTATCATCGTGAAGAAGTGTCAGTCATCTCATATTATACTACTATCCGTACTTTATGTACTCACGAGTATTCCCACGAAGAACTTTCGTAGAAACCATAAGTGTTTTGCGCATCGTAAAAGCAGTTGTGGGATTTGTTTGTGTCAGCCGGGCTACAGATGATAGGACTTTCTTTGTCAAAATTTCCATTCATAAGCCTCTTTTGCATAAAGTTTGAGAAACCATACGACTCGCTGTCTTTGTCAAACACGTTTTTGTAGAACAATGATCGTTTTGTCCAACGGGCCGCATCTTCCATCTTTCCAAGCAACAGTGCAACATTACGAATACCGAAATCATTATAGGCATACTCCGCAGTTCTGGAAGACTGAAAGCGTTGAAGTCCTTTCACTTCAGTATCATTGTAATCTGATGGGATATAACCATACTTCTCATAGACTGCAATCTGTCTCCCACCACCATTATTGAACGTCTTTGAATCGAATGTTGCATCATGTTTTAGTGCTGCGTATAAATCATCAAAGTTCACTCCCATTCTTGCATTACGATATTTCACTGCAAAATCAGCCATGACGTTTGTTCCATCCGAACCACCTTGTGTATAACCTGGTAAATTGTTCGCTCTGCATTCGGGAATGAAACCAGCTTTGCGCCAACCGTCGGTATATGACCGGGTGATATCGGCATAATCTTGTGCACTTGTAAGGGATAAGAGCGGAAAGAATGTTCTAAAGGTATCCCAAGTGCAGTAGAGACTGTCAAAGTATGGTTCTGTTGTGCCTGTGAACACGCCTTGTGCTTCATGTGTGGCATTGCTGGGTGTCAAGAAGCCACGATAAAGAGAAGAGTACAACAACTTTTGAATCGTTGGATCAGTCGTGCTATCAAGCTGTACTCGAGAGAGTTTCTCTTGCCACGCTGCTGTAGACTTGTTTGCAACCATGTCAAAATCAATTGTTGGGATTTCTTCTTTTGCATTTAGACATGCTTGTTCTGCGGAGAGAAATGACACTCCAACTCTCAGAAGGAGCTGTGCTTTTCCATCTACTACATTAGTTTTTTGCCAAGACACCAAGACACCATGTTGCGAAGTGTCAGAGTCAAATTCGCTTGCATCAATTTGACTCTTCTCAGTATTGATGGTAGTCTCTCCAGTGTTTTTAACCGTCCAAAGGGCAGATTGATCGACGATTTGTTCATCACCATTATTCAAATCAAAGCATGCAAATTGATGATTGAAGAATTGTGCAGCTGCAAAACTGCTTCCATAGGTACCATTCAAGAGGATCTGCTGTGCTTTTCCATTAGAATCTTTGATAATTTGTGCATGACCCGTACCTCTAAATGAATTCGATAGATCTTCCGTCCAATCAATGCTAATGATCGGATTCTTCGAGGTGCTGTTGAATGTGTAACGTAACAGAGCAGTTCTCCTAGTCGTTGTTGCTTCCAATTGAGTATCATCATTCAATACTGATGAAAAATAGCCAGGACGCGCAATATCAGACGGCGTGCTCCCAGTTACCTTCCTTGGACGTTTTCGTTGTGCTTTTGAAGGCTTGCAATTTGTGATCGACCCATCCTTGCAATATACCGGCATAGAAGCAAAAGTCCCATAACTTCCACCTGCACCCGTACCAGAATCATGCAAAAGGCTCATACCCGTCACATTGTTGTTTGAATTGCGAATATATCCAGAAGGTGCAAAAACATCAACATCAATTCCAACTTTTGCCATTCCGAACGGGATAGATGCACCAGGGAAAACATTGCCCGAATTCGAGTTTTTCTCGGTTCCGATGAAAGCGTTTACATATTGTGTTAAATCGTTATCTTGTCCAGCGATAACAATTGCTGATATTAAGAAGAGTAAAGGGAGAAGGAATAAATGGGTACGATAATAGAGCCAGATCATTTTAGTGATGTAGTCATCAACCAGGATATTTGAGAGCAAGCATGGATCTCCAATACTTGACAGCACATTCTCCTAACTCCTTAAATATACCGTGCCGACATGTTATTCCTTGGCACAACTCAATACCTACTCCTATTTACACTCCATGTCCGATTTGTATTTTTTACATTTCCGTTCCGCAGGGGTGACACTCCGCTCTACCGGCATATTCCTTCAATAACTTCCATGCGGTCAGAAAACTCCTTTAAACGCTATCTCAGGGGATTCTGATCATACATCAATCAATCACTCCACAAACCTCACAAGTTCGCAGTGGTCTTCCTTCTATCAATTCTCCGAAGAATCATTTAAACTCCATCTTTCCAACGGAAATCGAGTAAAATCCGCGCTAAAATAGCGTTAAAGTGGCTAATAAAGGAAAGTTTTAAAAATAATAGACTGTACAGAAGCACTTTTTGCCATGTTTTGGGTCTTATTTATTCTGAGGCCGCGAACAGCCATTGCGGTGATCATAGTATAGGTGGTCAGTACACCGCGTTGTGGATAACATTCCGATTTGGAAATTCCCACATTCGCCTACCCGCGGCGACCTGAGTTCGAGTCTCAGTGATCACATTTTTGCAGATTTTTTCTAATTCAGACGCGTAAAGGCGTATAATGCACGGTGCACTTTCAAGCCTGCGTTGTTCTTGGAAGACGAGAAGCAAATAATGAGCTTATTCGTATAACACTCCCGTCATCATCAATCAACTTTTTGCTAGTCCTAAAGATGGCAAATTCAACTCTGGCTTCTGCAAATACAGCAAGCTTGGCCAATTGGTCAGTTGACTTTGTATCGATCGCTTCCACCTCTAAATCGGTAACACAAAAGTGAGCATCGCAGTCCCTGTGAAAAGAAGATCATCCTGACACGTTCTCCCCTTCAGTGCAATTCCTGATCCACCTGGTTACGTTCGTTCGGAAGGATCGTCATCAAAGGTTCGTTTGGTATGCATCGCAGAATCTCATGACCGGCCCTGACGTCTCTCCATCTATCACAGAAATCTAAAGCAGCAGTCCGACAACCTCCAAGTCAAGAAGAAGTAGAAGCATTACGCCAAAAACGTGCATGGGATGTAGCCTTGGCCCCAGCAAAGCAGATCCCAATGCAAGGATTCATGCTTTATATGTCCGGTAGTGGTGTTCAAATTTTCAGTATGATGGTAGTCGGAATGTTATTAACGAATCCGATCAAGGCGATCATGACGATCACAAACGCATTCGCACCTTATTCGACACCAGGAAAATCAAATGACTTGATACTGCACAAGCTTTGTTTTATTGCTTGTCAGTTGGCTTGCGTTGGATTGGGAATATATAAATGCTGGAGTATGGGTTTATTGCCTACCGCAAGTAGCGATTGGTTGGCATGGAGAGAGCCAAGAACGGTGAGTGGTATTTATCACATCTAGCACACGCATATGCTGACTTTTCTTCCTACGCTTTTCTAGCCACTCGAGTTTTCACCAGTGTATCCATAGATGCAGATTGTCAATATATACATGCAGGGTATGGGTATAGATGATATTTCTACAAACTGGAACGAATCAGACTCCATAATCCGACCAAGCTTTCACCCCAAGTGACTGCGCCGAAAAAGGTTGCTAGACCGACAACAAACGCATATGCTTTGAGTGAATCTGCGTGTGGATAATGTACTGGTCCAGGAATGGCAGTTTTGATGAGTGAAAAGAATCGATCTTCAGTGACTGCTTTTGTATTACAAAGTGCCAAGAGTCCTTCAGGACCACCGAACCGTTGACCATTTCCACTGGCTTTGTTTCCTCCGAATGGCAAGCCTTGATTTAGATAAGAAACGGCGAAATCGTTAATGTTTACCATTCCTGCATGTAGCTGATCGGCAACCTTTCTGCAAACGGAACGATTGCTTCCAAAAACAGAAGATCCGAGAGCAAATCTTGTTCCGTTTGCAAGACTGACTGCTTCTTCTACTGTATCAAATGGCATCACCAAAAAGATGGGAGCAAACAATTCTTCCTGTGCGATGGGCATATCAGGCGTAACGTCGACGATGAGCGTGGGAGCAAAATAATGACCGGAAGGGTGATTTGGATGATTGAATCTCTTTCCGCCTGCTAAGACTCGTGCTCCTCGTGATTCTGCATCAGCTATCAAAGCTTCTAGAGCATCGAATCGGTTATCACTGATCATTGCACCCACATCGATACCCTGCTTGGTACCGGGTGCTACATCATCCAAGAAACTACCTTGACGTAAAATCTTGACTTTGGGTGTGACTAGATCCAAGAACTTTTGCATGATCTTACGTGAAACGATGAATCGTTCAGCACCAATGCAATTCTGACCACCAGAACCGAATGCAGCACGTAACCAGGTCTGCACGAAGAAAGAGAGAGATGCATCTTCCAATACGATCATCGGATCTTTTCCTCCTAATTCTAAACAGCATGGTGTCATCACTTTAGCAGCATCTCTTGCTACCATCTTTGCCACTGATTCACTGCCGATGAAAGTCAAATGTCTCACCAGTGGATGAGATGTCAAGACAGGAGCAACGGGCGGCAAGCAGCAGACCAATTGAACCAAATCGGGTGAAAGACCACATGCACGCAAACAAGCATGAACGCCTTGAATGTAGTATTGCGTCGACCAGACCACCATTTCAGAGCATTTGACGACTACTGCATTACCCGATGCCAAGCCAGCTAAAATTGGGCTCAAAGCATTATGACAAGGGTAGTTCCACGATACTAATGCTGTTACCACACCAACTGGTTCATAGTATACCGTACAGCGTTTATGTGCCAAAAGCAAGTTGTTTGGCCTTGTCTGTGGACGTAGGACTTTTTCGCTATTCTTGATCAACCAGTCCAGCTTTGAGAGGGTGACTAAAATTTCTCCCAAAACGGCATCGATTGCCGTCTTTCCCGTATCACGACAAGCAACACGTACGAGCGTATCCATATCCCTTACCATCCATGCTTTGATCGTTTTGAGTACCCTTCTCCTTTGTGTCCAATTTCTACCTTGCGGTTGCCATGTTTTCTCTTGTGCCATTAGTGCTTTGCGTACTTTTGCATCAATGCTTGCTTCTGAATCCGCTACGATTTCATCCAGATAGGCTCCCGTAGCCGGACAATATGCAACGATCGTATCCACATCTGATCCTTTTGTGCCATTACTGTTTTTCGTACTACGTGAACGTGTTTCACGAACATTGTCTCTTGTTGCAGGTACGATAGAAGGACGATCGAGAATGTTTGTCGGTTTCCAATCATGTTTTGCAGCTTCGGGTGTAGAAGGGATATCTACTTTTTCCAACGAAGGTGGTGTCTCTCGCCATGATGTAACGATTAACGGCAAAGCAAAAACTGTGATCGCGGTCACAAAGAATGTCAATGCAACCTTGACGATATGTTCCTGTGTCATACTTGTGTTAAAAATTAATGTTGTTTCTGTCATTTTTGTGGAAAGGTCGTTCGAATATGAAGGTGTTGATCATGAAAAAGTGTTTTTAGCATTTAGAACATTCTTCTAGCTTAATTTAACACTTAATTCTCTCAACAAGGCGCCGTACGAGTGAAAAAGAAGACGCGTTCGGATTTAAGTTCTTGTTCTCATTAATCAATTCAATTTTGGCAATCTATATGGTACACAATCAAGGCAATCATCACGATCAGAAAGAATGCTCAGTTGATCCTTCTCCCATAGCAGAAGTAGAAGAAGAACCTGATGAGACAGCTTGTATCATTCTATCTGCTAGTCCGGCTCCAGACCATTTCTGATGTGTCAAAACATCAACACCGAGCTCCTTCTCTCTTCTTTGAATCAAACGAACATATGCTTCCATACCCTTTGTACTGAATTCTCTTGCAAGTTCATTGGTGATCAAACCAGTAGAATGCAATCCTGCCAAAGAGATCAATTGCAAAACAAATCCGCCCTTTGCTAACTCCCAAATGAAAGATTGCAGGGATTGATCATCGTATCCGTGTGCTGACCAGTTGAAAGATGGGCTCAAGTTGTACACCAACATCTTATCAGGGTGTACTTCATGGATTCGTTTGGCAAATCCGGTTGCTTCTGCCACATCGGGCGTCTTGGTTTCGAGCCACAACATATCTGCATATGGTGCAAACAAGTTGACACGCTTTACAGCTGCATCAATTCCACCGGTGAAATGGAAGTATCCTTCCTTCGTCCTTGGTGCTTCCCAGTCCCACTTTGGCACGTTTTCAGCTCCAAATATTTCAGCGGCAATCTTGCGTGCTTCATTGTTAGAAACGCCTCCTTCAACACGCTTCTTGTATTGTTCAACACCTTGTGCGTTATTTGCGTTATGTTGAGCAACTGCGTCATTAAACGTCAACAAAGTGCAACTGTCCATCCATTGTTTTTCCACTTCGTCCACTTCTTTACCACGTTTGCCTTGAGCTTCTGCATCTTGCAACACTTCAGCCAAGCTCTTTGATCCGTCGGGTAGATTATAAGCACCTTTGATAAATTCATGATCGCGAACGTCAATGTTTGAACTGATCAATTTACCACTTTCGCTATCTGTTCTTGCGATGACCATATTGGACGAACCCAAGATATCCCATGCCAATCTGCATGAATTCAAACGATTGATATGTTCCGAAGTTGGAACGAGAACCTTTCCTGCTTGATGACCACACTTTTTACCGCCGTGCAATTGATCTTCCAAATGAATGGCTGCTGCTCCATGTTCGGCAAACAGTTTAGCGAGACGCATGACCGAGCTTAAACCACCATGACCGGTATCAGCATCAGCGATGATTGGTCGCAAATAATCTGTATAAGGTGTCTTTTCACGTTGTTCAGGAGATAGCAAACTTCTTTCTTCGTAATGTTTACGGTCGTGGTGTAATTGTGCTTTGAATAAACGTTGAACTTGGTTGGGTACAGTTGTGTAAGGGTAATCTGCCAAATCAGGTCCAACTTCATTATTACATGTTGTAAGAACACTACTTGCTGCCCATCCACTGATGTACGTCACCTCTAGGAAATGTGCCATTTGAGATTGTTGAACGGGATCGATAGCACCCATAGTATGAACAGGTTTGCGTTCTTCAAATCGATGGCGTAATAGAGAGAACAGCTTGTCAGCCATCAAAGAAGATTGAGGAGGTGTGACGGGAACTGAGCCACGCTTTGAAACGACATCAGCCGGACCATATGGACGCTTGATTCCCTTGAAGCGAGGACTATCGAACCATTTTTGAATTTCTTGGCAGGCACGGTTGAATTCATCTGCTTCTTCTTTTACTGTTGGAGGTTGCAATCGCAATGGTGCTGGAGCAGAGAATACTTGTGTTGATGCAATGTTTGTGATACCTCTAGCATTGCTTGATGGCGTTGTCATACTTGCTGTAAATCTACTTGTTCCTCGTGCTACGACACTTTGACGGGATTGAAGCAGCGATCTTTGCGCTATTGAGCTACTTCTTATTAAACGGGATGTCATCTCGAATCCAGAAAGTGATTGAGATCGGAAGTGATGGAAGAAAGAAGAGAGAAAGTAATTCAACTTTGACCGCAACAGCATTCTTCCGATCTTCTTTCAGAATTAAGCACTCTTCCCCATTTCAGTGGAGCAAGCGGTTTCAAGCCCGAAGCATAGAAGCGTGGCATTGTGCCTGTTAAGCGCGTGTATTTCTCTTTTCTCCGTTTTCACCGATACCGGCCAAACAAGAACCGAATCAAAAATCATCTCCGCACTTTCCGCACACACCCTACAGACAGGCTTCTTCTTGCTTATATACGCCAATTCCGAAAGAAGTGCTTTTTTGGTGCACGGCTAAATGCTATTTCTTCCTTTTTACCATCACAAAAATTACAGAGATGGCATGAGCACCTTTGGATTGAAGAAGGATCAGCCTTCTTCAACTGAACAACATCCTACTCGAATTATAATAGCATTGGACTTGGATGCATTTTATGTGGCCGCCTCACGCAAAAGAGATCCCAGCTTGAACGGATTACCGGTTGCGATCAAGCAAAAGACGATTTGTGCCACTACATCCTACGAAGCACGGGCTAAAGGTGTGCAAAAGTTAATGAGAATTCGGGATGCTGTCGCAAAATGTCCCGAACTCATCTTTGTAGATGGAGAAGATTTGTCCTATTTTAGGAAAATCAGTACAGAAATCTTCAAGATTGTATCTTCTATGGTTAGAGATGGATTAGTGGAAAAATTAGGAATGGATGAGCTGTTTTGCGATGTGACGTCAATGGTAGAAGATCGATACAATGAGGAGATCGCCGGCATATGTCCTCCTGTCAAACCGTTTGGCAACGTCTTACCACAACGCACCAAACATCGACTGGAACAAAAGAAAGGAGATTTGGACGAATTCGATCCTCTCACCAGGAAACTCTTCATTGCTTCCAACTTAGCCCAAACAATTCGTGAACGTGTTGCAGAAGAAGTCGGCTTGACATCCAGTGCAGGAATAGCAACTTCGAAATGTTTAGCCAAATTGATAGGAAATTTGCACAAACCCAATCAGCAGACGGTACTAGCACCTTGTGATCCTGCCTTTGCCACGCAGGATACACAGGAACTAATCGATCCATTTCCCATCAGAAAAGTTAATGGCTTCGGCTCAGTGACGACTGCTAGGATGTGTGAAGTAGCAAGCTCAACCACGGGAGTACCAGAAAATACAGTCACTCCAGAAAGTATGACAATCTTGGTCGCACGAACGTTGTTTGATCATACAGCGTTGAGTGAAATGTTTGGTGAAAGGATCGCGACTCGATTGCATGCTTTATTGCATGGCATAGACGATGAACCCGTAATTAAAGCGCCAGATTTTCCTGCTCAAATCAGTATCGAAGATTCATACTTTGGCTTGCCGTTTGAGAAAGTTCCTGAACAATTTGTCAAATTGGGAGATAGCCTATTGCGAAGACTAGAGTTGGAATTGATGTCACATCCAGATCCACGGCAAGAAAGCGAAGAAGAAAAGGTGCGCAAACAAGAAGCTGAAGCAGAGATGGTAGAAGTGCCTCTCGATATATTCGGCAATCCTGTCAGCAACATAAGCGATGCAATCGTGCGTATTCGCAGGTATGGTGATTTGGCAAATCCGAATTCGTCTGCGACTCCCCCTCCTCTCAAGCAGCGTTCAACTTGGCTTCGTTACCCGCTCTCTCTAAGATTGACCACCCGACAAGGATATACGAACCGTATAAGTCGACAAACGCGAATGCCAGTGGAAATCTTTGATATTAGTGTACCACGGATCGAACGAGCAAAAGTTCTTATGCATAGCTGTGAAGCATTATTTCGAGCTGTGATTCAGTTTGAAGGTAATAAAGGCATGGGTATACATTTGATCAACCTTGCCGCAATCGATTTGAGCGTTCATCGTCCCAATCAATCGATCGGTGGCTTTTTCAAACAGCCTGTACAAGCACGCACACCCGTTGTGGAAAGCAGACAAATCATTGAAGAACCTATCCCTGAGACAAATCAGATTGATATGGCATTCTTGATGGAATTACCCGAGGATGTGCGCCGGGAAGTAGCACAAGAGTATGGCATCGAGTTGCCAACAGAAGCGAACCAATCCGCTGGATCCCAATATGAACCCTTATCACAGTCATCCATCCTCTCAACACAGAGTTCAGCTTCAACAATGTTGTGCTCTCATTGTGGACTGTCTATGTCATCGTGGCTCCAGCACGATCACGAGCGTTGGCCTGATACAGGTCTACCGCACAAACACAAAGATGAAGATATGGATGATCTGGACTGGGATGATGAAGATGATGATGTAATGTCAATCTAGAATCAAAAAATCTAAATATACCCCCGTCATTTTGTACTTTTAAACAATTTATGCGATTTATCAGAGACACAAATATTTATACAGAGCAAAGAGGATGAGAGCATTTACTGTGTAGAAAAACAGATATACTAGTCTTACTTGTTCGAGTTGGATTGCAGCGTTTCTTCATCTTCACTCCAGGCATCCCAAGCTTCTGGTTCCGCTTCTCCATCTTGTGTGCCGTGCTTGTTGATGCCATTCTGTTGAGCTTTGAGGGGAGGGGAGCCAACAGTGGCACCATACGACAAATCTATCGATTTCTTCGCTTTCGTCGTCCTCTTAGGCGCCTTTGCATCTTGATCAGTTGTTTTGTTGATGTTGTCTATTGCATCCAATTGTGCTATAGAGGAAGACTGTGAGCCTCTAGGTGGATAACTATGATCGTCTTCATCGTAGCTTTCATCACTTGCGTCTCCTAGCATGTGTCGATCTATCTCTTGATACCGTCCACGTCCAGCATCCCCGCCATCCGCTCGCTTCCCGCCAAAGAAACCCGTCCACCATGATGCTCGAAAAGGACCATCAAGACTCTCACTGCGTCTATTTTCCCCTTCCTCTACACGCTCGATATCGTCGTCATCCTCGTCGCCACCCTGACCAGTCAATTGATCATCTTCTTCAGAACGATATTTGGACGTATTGGGATTATGTCTCAAGACAGAATCGATCAACCAAAATTGCAGCGTGTTCATCGCCAAAGGGAATAATGCCATAACAAAGAACACTTGTGCTTTCTTGTGATCGCCAAACAAGTTCAAGACCCAACGTCCAATGTCGAATAAGAATGGGAAAATTCCAAACAAGATCAAGACCATTATCTTCATCAGAAGAAGTGAAAGAAGATACATGGCCAATTGTCGAAAGAAGAAAGTCATTCTAGGCCTTGTAGATTTAATCGGACCCACCGACCGACTTGAACCATTCCTTGTCATGTCTGGTAAAGCATTCGTTGAGGCATTGTCATCTGCTGGCACCGAATTTGACATCCTGCGAGGACCTGCACGTCTTCTCCTTCCGATCACAGAAGGTGTGGAAGAATATTGTCCAGATACAAAACCGGGCCAACCAAGAACATCGGTAAAGTAGTGCGTGAGAAACTTCATGCAATAGTAGATAAACAGCACGCCGATTGTAGTGTCGATTGCAATATTGAGAAAGTATAAACTGCATGGATTGTTCTCTCCTTCACTTGCTCGACTGCCCAACGAGGACAATAAAACGTTCAAGATATGAACGAACAGCTGACCGAGCATCTGTTTCGATATATCCAACATCCAAATCTTCCATGGACGTTTGGGCTTTTCTCGTTGCCGTTTCAAGACTAGTGTTCCAACCACCAAGACACCCATGATCAACTGCACGAAAATGGCAAAAGGTCCAAGCAATCGGCAGTTCTTGTCTGCTTGTTCGTCATTGTCTGGAATGCCAGGAAACGGATAAGGTATCGATGGTGGTCCATCTTCAGTCAATGTGCTATTCAGTTCAGCTTTTTGCGCATACGCTTGCATCACTGTCTGTGATAGCAGTACACATAGTAGCACTGCATCCCAACCTCTCATCGTATAGACGGCGAACATACTTTGGTGTATGCTGACCTTCATGATTGTAGCAGTATTGAATCTTGCATAGTCTGTTTCGACCTGTTGGTTGATCAGGGCGATGATTGTTTGAAATGAAGTTGATCATATGGGGCGTGTGGAGATAATTTAGTTAGTTGTGCGGCAGTTTCATTCATTGCCTTTTTTGCCAAGGCGAGCGGGCAGTGCATTTATGATTACACGCGCTAATATTCCAACAATCCTTTTCCTTCTTCTCAAATATCATAACCGCATGCTCTTCTTCTAGCAAGTATGGGCTCCATTGAGGGCGTAATCATCCTTTCTTCAACGAACGAACCTATTTTAAACTCTCATTTCGTTCACCCATTGGCAAATTATCCTTCTTTACATGCAGATCGATTAGTGGAAAAGCTAGAAGCATCATCTTCCGAAAAGGAAAAAGTTGGAAATAGCTCAAAAGATGTGTTACCGGTAGTCTTTGTGGATGATATACCGTCATTGCAAGAGGAAGAGGCGGAGAGTCAGGATGAGGAGGAGGAGAAAGAGCCTGACTCGGAATGGCAGGCATCGAATGGGAAGAATACCCGACATGGAGCTGGTCTCGTACATATCGAGCACAACAGACTACGTTTTATCGCGACATTTTCCAAACAGGTAGATCCATTGCTACCTCTAACATTCCTACACTCTCTATTGGCCAACTTAGAACTTTACCTCGGTTCACCTCTAACGGAAGAATCCATTCGAGAGAATTTCGATGTCGTTTATCAAATGTTGGAAGAGATGCTGGACGAAAGCGGGCACCCTCTTAATACAGAGTACAACACTTTGCGAGAGTTGGTACGTGAGCCAAGCTGGATTGATGGTATCGTGAGCAAATTAGGCTCGGCTGTTTCAAAGTGAGTATCTCCCTTCAAGTGTAGCACATTCGGTGATGATACAATAAACTATTCGCTGTGTTCTTTCCGACCTCCCGTCAAAAGAGAAATGTGGATCACCAGTTTTTTACTCTTCTGAGCTTGTATGTTGCGTAAATTGGCTGACTACATATTGACATATTTCCTTACTTCAGCATCTCGAATACAGCTTTGGGCAACGCTATGTCTCAACCTCACATCTCTCCGATCCCATGGAGAAGGCCTATCACCAACGCACAGCGATCTGGAACACGAAACGAGATCTACATAGATGTGGTAGAAGTTATCAGCGGGATTTTCTCGCGTTCTAGTCATCCAAAAGCAATTGGACCGCTAGGACTTCACTGTCGTTTGGAAGGCTACAGTAAGCTGTCTGGTACGCCCGATCTTCGATTGCGTTTAACAGATTCTCGGAGAATACTAGACGCCAGCCTACATCCATGTGTGCGGATACGGCCATGGAAACAAGATAAGATCTTGAGTTTCATTCCGCCTGATGGCAAATTCTGTTTGGCAGATTTTGAACTGGAAAGCGTCAGCGCATTGGAGAGACATGTGCCTATTCAACTACAATGTTCGCGAGGAAAGGCGGGAGATCATTCAACATTCACGATCACCGTTTCTGCTTCAAAAACGATTGAAGATGTTGAAATCCTTTTCCGAATAGATGAAGGAAATTGTACGATCGAATCAACATTAACGGGAGGCAGTCGCCCTGGAGTAGCGAGTGAAGATCTGAATGCGCTAAAGGGGTCATTCCACTTTAATGCAAAGACTGGCATGGCAAGATGGCAAATTGGCACATTGAGCAATGATCAAAGAGCGTTGCAACTACAAGGAACAATCAAAAGTGAAACGATTCCGGGTTTATCCAATGCTGTGACGAGCAAGTTTAGCGTTCCGCAAACATCATTGTCGGGACTCAAGGTTGCGAATTTAGAAGTGATAAATGACGTAGGCTATAAGCCTTTTAAAGGCGTTAAATCTTTATTGCGTGGTGAAATCGAATGGAGATGGTGATCGATTACATTGTATGTACCTACATGATATACCCGTATGACACTTGAATATGCATACTAATCTTTACGAGGCTGTGTCGGGTATGTGACCATGTGAAATTGCCGTTTCTTTTAACATTGTGCCGCCGGCACGGAGTCTATTGACTTTATATTATTTACACGCATTCACTTGTGATGTTTGGGCGTTTCGCGTGCATGCCTGAGTGTGTTTTAAAGAGGGGGGCAGTATTTCACCTGGCGTAGTTTTGCATGAAAGGGATGCTAATTGAATCGCGTGTCAAATAAAATAAGCCTTTCCTTTTGTGTTCATTTAGCCAAAGGTTTGTGCCTTTTTTGTGTATGCACTGCATCTTAATGCAACACAAGCCATAAACCTCCGCTTGGCGGAAAAAAAGAAACAAAAGTCAAAATCACAAGGGCTGGCGGCGAATCGCCCTTTTTGTATTGTGGAAATACGCATTTGCTTATTTTCACCCACGCTAATAGCGCGGGTCAAACTGTCAATTAATCAAAAGCCCAATTTCATCATAATTCATAAACAATCTTTTTTGTCTTTAATATGTCATGTTCCCCTAATTCGATCGTCATCCTTGCATCCATTTCGATGACATCTTCCTACCTCCTCTCACAATAAACAAACAATCGAATGAACAAGTGATAGCAACAGTCAACATCTTGACATCTGTACGCACAACAACACCTCTCCACACAATTGAAGATCACCCCGCACTTCATTCACCACACAAAATGTCTTGCTTTCCAAAAACAAAAGCAACACAACAATCAGCAAAAGAGAAATCAGCAGCATCCTCTTCTACACTTCCACAATCCGAACATCCTACAATCACTTCAGCAGTAGCAGCTGATCCAACCCTACCGCCATCCAAAGCTGCAACGAGATTATTTCCAAACCCTCCAGCATGGAAGAGAGGTATTCTGCGGTTCAAAATCAAAGAACAACTAGAAGAAGGTAGAGGGAAAAAGTGGAATTGGCATAAAGGTGCAGTCCATGTAGGTAATCAAGAACCGGATGAAAAGGAACTACAGTCTATACGTGAACGATTTGGGTACTCGTCAGATCCTGAGAAAGGTCCTTCAAAGTTGTACCTTATGATGCTTGCAGACGCATGTCTTCCCCTACCACGCAATCCAATGTCAGGCGTAGTGTCGCCGTCACTACTAGCCACAACTGGTATCGTTCCCTTTTCGGTCTTTAGTACAGGTCCTGATATCATTCAGCACTATTACGACTGCATCGTAGCAGCGCAAAAGGAAGTGGTTTGTCTAACGAACTACTGGCAATTGGGAAAGAACGTCGATCGAATCTCAGACGCTCTACGGGAACTGAACAAACGACATCAAAAGAGAAAGGAAGAGAGAACGACCCAAGATAGTAACGGTAATTCTGAATCTGAATCCTCCAAAAAGCAACTTCGAGCAAAAGATGTCAAGCTCGAAGATAAAATTATCGTCAAGCTTATGTGGGATCGTGGTCCACAAACACTAGCTGATTTGTTCCGTATACGAAAACCAGTCCCGCCAGAACTATGGAAAAAGAATGGCTTACCGACTGAAGATGAAATCCCCTACCTGAGTGTGGAAATCTTGAACTACCACAGACCTCTGATGGGCACTTTCCACGCCAAGCTGCTTCTTGTCGATCGTCAAGTTGCTGTGATTAACAGTAATAATATCCAAGATCGACCCAATCTAGAAGCATGCACTCGATTGGAAGGTGATATTGTCAATTCAGTATACGATCACGCTTTGATCTCTTGGGGTAATCGCCTCAATCCACCTTTGCCTTGCCTCGGATCGCCTGCTCCAAAAACACCATCTCCATCAGCATTCTCTGGAGGAGAGGAGTCTACTTTGCCCCACATTACAGCAGCTCGCTTGCGTGAGATTGCAAGTTCCGTTCGAGAGCGTCTACGATCAGACGACGAAGAAGCCGAAGTAGAACAAGCGCGACCTCCAATACGAAGAATGAGCTTTGCCGATGTGATGGATGGAGTGATGCGAAGGGATGGAACGATGCACAGCCCAACACAGACTCATGCACCAAAAACACCACGATTTGGACCCTCGACGCCCAAATTTGGACCATCATCTCCTCAGAAAGATAAACAGCAAGGCTCGCCAAACATTGACAGAGAACAGGCTGCCCGTAATGCGGGTGCTGAATGGGCTCGAAAGGCTTTACGATTGTCTGATTTCCAAGAAACACACTCACAACCAGCGCAAGGCTCTCAAAGTGCTGATCAGGCTCTTACACCCAATCGTCGTCACTTTGCTGATGTAGTGTATGCATTGATGGAAAAAGAAGGTATAAAGCCTGGTTTGTGGGCAGAAGGTGCATTGGACGCATTCGGATTGGGTCCAAGTAGTAGTAGAAATGTTGCAGATGAGGCACGCAAGAGTCGCAATGCAGCCAAGACTGCTGCTGAAAAGGGTATTAGTATTCCACAAATGGTGAAAGAAGAGGATGGCAAGAGCGATGGACATGTCGCTGGCGGTGATGATACATTAAATGAAGTCGGTGCAGGATCTCCAGATGCCAAAGCCGTATCCCCTCAACATACAAGTCAAAAGGGCAGCGACATGACAAACACCAATGGCGATGCACAAGAAGCCAAAGTAGAAGATGCAGATCGAGACCTTGAATCTGCAGAACAATTCCACCTGGGTGAACCAGCAGAAACTGCATCAAATGTACCTGCAACTATCACCAAGCAGTCGTCACCTTCACAGTCTACGAGTAACCTCGAAGTACCAAAAGCTGGCAATAGTGCCAATGGTGATGCAAATCTTACACCAACAGATCCAACTCTTGATGAGGCACCGGAAGCTGCGCCGGGATCGAAAGCATACCAACGTCGAAAGAGGACCATCTCTTCCCGTTCTCGCGCATCAGCATCTGAAAGATTGGCACAAATTACCAAATCACTCGATTTTGCCAACCTTTCACAGGTAAAAGGTGAAATCACAGCACAACAATTAGCAGCGATGACCGATCGGGTAGCACAAGAGATCGGAGGAAGTTTTGCACAAGGAGCTGTTGATATTTTGGATTTCAATCCTTACATCTTCCATTTACCTCATTCACCTGTGCCAATGGCATTGGTTAACAGAAGACCACATGGAACGCCAGGTCATTCTGATATTCGAAACGCTCAAGATGCAGCATGGTTGGCAGGCTTCAGATATGCAAAAGAGCACATCTTCCTACAAAGTCCTACTCTAAACGCAACGCCGATCAAACATGCTGTCCTGCATGCTGTTCGTCGTCATGTTCGTGTGGAGCTGTGGCTGGGTCTAGGATTCAATGACAAGAGTGAAAGTATGCCATTCCAGGGTGGTACGAACGAGAACGTGGTCACACGATTATACCGTCAATTGCGTAGAGAAGGAAAAGGAGACGAAAAGTATTTAGAAGTTTATTGGTATACAGGAAAGGATATGGCAAGACCGTTGAATGCAGTTCGTAAGCAACGTAATTGTCACGTTAAATACGTCTCTTTTGATGGTGAAGTGGCCATCATCGGAAGCGGTAATCAAGATACACAATCGTGGTATCATTCACAAGAGATCAATGTCATGGTCGATAGCAGGCAAATCGTTGGTGAATGGGATCGTGCATTACGTCGCAATCAAAGCACACATTTGTACGGTCGCGTAGACGATGATGGAATCTGGCGTGGAAGGACAGGAGCGGAAACGGTTGATAAGGGAGGGGATTAATTCATAACAGCAACACCACATTCATTCTCATTCTTATTTTAAGACAGCAAACACAGCACTTTTTTTTCATTTCATTCATTCTATCAAGATCCATTCAACTGTGATCTTGTTCAATATTCTCTGCTTAGTTATCATCACACAAAATTTCAATCATTTTTGCATGTAATGCTGTTCGTATTGATGATGCTGTAATATACAAATGCGTGTCTATAAGGCTACTTGATTATTTCTTGCTTGGCTTAGTAGAAGGAGCAAGAGCATGACCGGTCTCACGAATATGGGTGAAAAGCTTTGAGCGTGAATCAAAGCCTGTCGAGCAAACATTGCATCGTTCCTTGGCAAACTTGGCATCCTTCTTCGCCCTTCTGGTCTTTTTGCCGTTCGATGGAGGTGCTTCTGTCTGCTCTTCTGCTTTTGGCTCCTGCTGTTGATCGGCGTTTTGTACCTCTTCTTCCTCTTCAGAGCCAACCTCGGGCGTGGCTGTCTCGCTTGCTGCGGCTTTCTCTTGCTCTTTCATACGCTTCTTGAGCTTCTGTCTTGCTTTTTTACTCAATCCTGCCATTTCATCTTGCGTTTCTTCATTCTGTGCGGGGATCATGACGATATTCTCATCTTCCTCTTCTTCTACATTCATCTCTTTCATGCTCTTTTGTAAATCACGATCTTCCCTTTGCATATCTCTTCTGAGCTTCTGCACTTGCTTCTTGTGTTTATTGCTCCTTTCATGATTGGCAAAAGCGGCTTCTGATTGAAATACCTTATCACATGCAAAACATTCCAATCCATCTGCACCCTCGTCGAAATCATCGTCATCTGCTTTGTCCTCATCGTTCCCTGGTACTTCCTCTCCAAAAGATGCTTCGCTATCCTCCTCGCTATCTTCCGCACCATGTTCCCATCTATCCCAACTCTGCTTTTGATACGCTCGAGCACGTTCTTCTAGTTCCCGCATCTCACGTTCAGCAGCCTCTTTCCTTCTTTGCATCTCTTCGGCTGAATTGGTCGCAGACGATTGAGCATTGATGTGTGCTTTCACTCTAGGATCTCGTTTGCGTATAAAGCTGACCAACGAACGAACTGTATCGTTATACTCCCTCCTTGCCGTTTCTCGCATTCGTTTATTCTCCTTTTCCATCGCCCGTTTCACTCGACGATCAGGCGCATCATTCACACGATAACCATCGCGCCAGGCAAACCCTTTCCGTGTAGAAAAGCCAGACCAAACGGCATAGAAATCTCGAATTTGAGTTTGATGTATTGTTGCTTCTCCATCTGAATGCTTGCTATGCAGGTACGGTGTATGCGAATAACCAAAGCTGGGAAAAGGTTCGAATTGTGAACTTGTTTCGCCAGGGTATGGAGCAGCACCCTTTTCCTCTTCCGCGAGCCGTTCAAATACTCTTCTATATGTTCCGAAAAACCCTGCTTCGTCGGCACCAGGAGGCTGGACGTCCATGCATAGGGAAGCATCCAAGAAACGCATAATCTGTCTTGGTGTGAGGCCTGGAGCAGAGCTTCCAGTTGGTGCAGGAGGTGGCTTTTGCTTTCCGCTTCTGAAATTTTGGAACGTTTGTTCATCGAAAGCTTCATCAATATAATCATCATCATCGTCCATTCCGCCTCCCAAGATCTGTTCACGATGTGCATCGTACCAAGCACGTTCTTGATCATCGCTTAGCACTTCATATGCAGCTTGGATCAGTCTAAATCGTTCATTTGCTGCTTCTACATCATCGGGATTCTTATCAGGATGGAAACGTAGCGCCAATCGTCTGTATGCTTTACGAATCTCATCTGATGTACTTGTGGCTGTATTTGGTTCAGGCAATTCTAACAGTCCATAATAATCTTGTACGTCAATTCCATCTTTTGTCATCGGCCTATTGCTGCCTGACCCGCCCCTCCCACTAGCATCTTGAGATGACTGTGAAGCACCCATCACCCTCCTACCTCCGTTCCCGTAAGAGTATACCAGTTGAGTGGCTTCAATCGGTGATGAACTACTGAAGGAAGAGTTGGAGGCGAAGCAGCACTCCACAAATTCCGAATTTTATTTGGGCAAATGCTGATTATCTAAGCAGGCGCGGCCTCTGGTAATTCTCTATCTAGACTTTGTCAGATGATCACAAACGACTCATTGATATTATTGCAACTGAATCATTGCATTTTGGGTTGCATAATCTGTCACGACAATCGTGCGAGAAAGCATGTACAAATAATGATTTTACAACACACTAATCAACTCTAAAAGAATGAAGGAAAGAAAGCGGAAATTGTCAGCCACTTGTTCGTACAGCGACATGATCAATCTTCCACTGCTGCCAATGCTGAACGATATGCACATAAATCAGACATATAAAATGATTCCGGATAAGGCTTCCTCCTCATTCGTGATCCAATAAATTGAACCACATCCGTTGAGGGAGACCTGGTATATCATCACTTGACATGGCATACAGCATTTATCCGCAAGTACCGAAACTCACCTTTAGAGAGATTTGAAGTGGGACAACAAAACGTTGAGACCTTCGCTTTCCTCTCCGTAGTCACGGACGACGACACATGAGCAGCCAACAACCTTACGGGCGTTACCTTCTCTGTCGATCTTGCACAAACCGGCCCAGGTTCCGAGTGTCTTGGGGTCAGAAACCTTGAGCAAGTTGATCTTGTGTTCGGTGCACAAAGCTTCGATCAATTTGATGTATTCTTGTTCAGTGCAGGTTTCGACCAAAACACACAAGTGGGCTTGACGACGGTCCAAAGCCTTGGCGCATTCACGCAAACCACGGGCCAAACCGTCGTGAACCAAAGCCTTCTTCAATACTTCTTGCAAAGCATCTTCGATGGACATGGCACCGCCAGTCTTGGCTGGGGCGGCAACCTCGGTCTCCTCGACCTCGGCAACATCGACTGGTGTTTCTTCAACGTCAGACATGGTGAACTTGAAAAGTGTGTAAAAGTATGATCGTAAGGGCTTCTTCGATGAGTCGCTCCGCGAGTGATCTCAGCCTCGTTTAAGGTATTGAGAAAAAAGAAAGAAGTGATGGAGGAACAGAAGGTTATGGCTGAACCATTCGTGATGTAATGCGCACTTTTGCTCTGTCTCCCGATTATTCGTGTGGTCTGCATAAATCAATCTGGCTCTACATCACGTGTTTGACTCCATGCGCCAAACCGCAACCAAGAAGATTTTGTATACACTGCGGTACTATTTGCACTGCATCACGCGTGGTGTAGCATATTATTGTATTAAAAATTAGCGAGAGTTGTATTTGCCGCGTAACAATTGTAGCAGAGCAAATACAGAACTGCGTACCGAGAAGCTTCTTGAGTAGAAAGCAGCACGGTAGCAGTCAATAGTGCGCAAACCTCAATAGACTGCATAAGTGTATCTCACCAAGCAAGAAGTCTCATTACCAGAATTTGCTTCCCATCGATACTCACCACCATCATTATCGACCTTTTCCGACACAACTTTCGACATAATCCGTAAGTGTCACAGCATTAGGCATTTAATGGCAACTGTTTGCGAAGGAGAAATCGACTACATACAGCAGATTCATACGACAAATGGGGGCAGATTAGAAGAATTGAAATAGGAAAGATTGTGATATTGGGGATGGTATAAGAATATCGATGCTGGGAAGAGGGAAAAGCGTATCAGAGAACTGTTCGAATCTGTCGGTAAAAAGTCTACAAAGGGTACGAAGATCACTTCGACAAGTCAACGAAAGGCAAGAAGTATCTTGTCTATCGCCCTTACACCTCAATTCGCCAATCATAAACAGTTGCCATTGTCCGACTATCGACATTCAGAACCCGTTGTGCTCACATTTCTATCCTTTCCATCACTAATAGGCAAGCATGGCTTCCACCGGTGTCGAATTGACCGTTCAATCTGAACGTGCTTTCCAAAAGGTAAGTTCCCAGGTGCGGTTTGACAAATAAAGTGAGCATGCTCCTTACCAAATACTCCCCTCTTCACCTCTTTCAGCAACCCATCTTCTTGAACTCCAAGGCTGCTCGCAAGACCACCAGAACCAAGCGTTGGTACAAGGATGTCGGTCTTGGTTTCAAGACCCCTCGTGCTGCCATTGACGGTCAATACATTGACAAAAAGTGCCCATGGACCGGTTTGGTTTCCATTCGTGGTCGTATCTTGACCGGACGTGTGATCTCCACCAAGATGCAACGTACCATTATCATCCGTCGTGAATACTTGCACTACATCCCCAAGTACAACCGTTACGAACGCCGTCACTCCAACTTGCCAGTTCACGTCAGCCCTGCTTTCCGTGTTAACTTGGGTGATGAAGTTGTTGTCGGTCAATGCCGCCCATTGTCCAAGACTGTCGGTTTCAACTTGCTCAAGATCACACGTTCCGCTGCTGAAAAGCAAGAGAAGACCTTCGGAAAGTTCTAAGTGACTAACCGATTTCGAAACTCTTGTTCTTTTATTGCACTCTGATCCCGTACTATACATTAGCATACGAAAGTCATTCGTATACACTCACACATCCACACATACATATGTAGTTTTTAACTTCGTATGTCTTTGACTTCTTTTGCATACACTTTGCAAAGAAGCATTGTCATGCCTTCATACGCATCGGCCTTGAGCCACAAAATGATACAATATTTGAGATAAACTTTTGGTGTGATCGACTCTGTTTTAATGTGCATCAGTGATTCAATAGTCAATGGATGTATGAGTGTGTAAGTACATATTTATGGATTTGTATAGAGTTTTATAGTATAAGACGTGCGCTTAACTGCTTCGTAATGATTCGTTGGTGTTTATTGCGATGGTGGCTTCTCTCCCAAACGTTTAATGATGGATTCTGTGAATGCTTTAGTACCGTGCTTACCGCCCAAATCTCCAGTACGTTCACCGTGTGCGATTGCGCTGAAAACACCAGATTCGATCTTGTCAGCATGTTCGAATAGAGACATGTGACGCAACATCATAATACTGGATAGCAAAAGAGCGGTTGGGTTGGCCATATCCTTTCCTGCGATCATTGGTGCTGTTCCGTGGACGGCTTCAAAGAGAGAAGCATCTTTACCAATGTTACCTGAAGGTGTTAAACCCAAACCTCCGATCAAACCGGCGCACATGTCGGACAAAATGTCACCGTACAAGTTTGGCATAACCATCACACGATCAGCGTATGGAGCGGGATCTTGAACGATACGCAAGCAAGCACGATCCAACAAATCTTCATCGTACTCAATGTGAGGGTATTCTTTGGCAACTTGACGACAAGCGTGCAAGAACATACCATCGGACATTTTCATAATGTTTGCCTTGTGAACGGCGGTAACCTTGTTTCTTCCATTTTGTTCGGCATGGTGGAAAGCGTAACGAGCGACACGTTCAGATGCTTCTAAAGTGATCAATTTGATACTTTGAACTACACCATCGACCACTTCATGTTCGATACCACTGTATTCTCCTTCTGTGTTTTCACGAATTAAGACTGTGTCAACGTTGTCATAAGGTGTTTTATAACCTTGAATCGAACGACAAGGACGAACGTTTGCGAAAAGGTTGAATGTTCTTCTGAGTGTCAAATTCATAGAAACGTGACCTTTACCGATTGGAGTTGCCAAAGGACCTTTAAGAGCGACTGTGTTCTTTTTAATACTTGCAACACTGTCATCAGGAATGATTTGTTTACCGTTTCTGATCAAAGGTGTAACTTCAACTTCTTCCCAATCGATCGGAACGTCTGCAGCACGATATATTTCTTTTACACTGTTTGCCACTTCAGGTCCGATACCATCACCTGGGATCAAAGTGACCAAGTATTTTCCGTTTGCCTGTTTTTCCTTTGCATATGCAGATGTTGGTGAAGATGTTACTGGCATTGCCAATCTGCTAACGGGACTTGTGTGTAGCGAACGAGGCAAAGAGGCAATATTGCCAATTTGCTTTTGAGCAGCACGACGAGCGATAGGTGTGAACATCTTGTACACAAGATTAGGGTATGATGACAAGTCTATAGGTTGTAGTGTGAACGAGGAAAGAAGATGATAAGGATTTGCCTTTGAATCAATTGCCCTGCTCACTCTCTCGCACAAGAAGAAATATCTTAAAAAGCGAGTCTCTCCTACGCCAGCCTACGTGCCCTTTCTGGGCGTTTGGATTTTTGTTCACGCGTGTTAAAATTTAAGCATCCTCTTCTGGGCGTAGAAGAGCAAAAAGAAAAAAGAGTTGATCAGATATTATTTGTTTGCATTTACGACTCTTTTTCCGTAAATGCACGGCAATTGCCTAGATCTTCCTAAAATCCAAGCAACTGCAACTTATGCAAAAAAAGTTCCGAACTCTGACAGAATAACATCACGGTACGGAATTGCCGGCGCGGCATCAAAAAGAGCAAAAGTAAACCTCGGATCTGTTCTTTTAGCAAATCGTCGGTTGCAATCGGATAATAACTCAATTGATTATCCAGGCGTACCTGTTGGGCGCTGGCTGCATGGCGGATTAATATTTTAGCCGTGCAGCCCAGGCTTTTAAAAAGTCGAAAAGGTGTGAAGTCTTATAGAATACGCCAGCCCTCCCTAAACGCGTGCACAGCAGAAATAGAAGAAGAAGTGTCTGTCTCTCCAACCAGCCAGGCAAGCGTACCTGGGCACACAGTTTTTACAACAAAAGGCAAAAGATGGAATTTTTTGTACATCAGTTGTAAGTGGTGTTTGTTAAAAGATAAGTAAGTGCTTAAACATTTTACCATCATCACTCTTACCCTACAAACAAATTATACCAAGCAAAAAATGTCAGTTCTTCGTTCATTGACAAGATCGGCAACTGCTTTGCCACGTTTGGCATCTTCAAGCAGTAATGCATCTTCTCGTATCTTGTTGCCTTCCACAACTGCTGCATTTTCAACTTCTTCAGTAACACCTTATGCATCTACAGTCTCAGCACCTCGTGCACAAGGATTAAAGAAAGTTGGAGGCGTTTATACTGTCACCTTGATCCCAGGTGATGGTATCGGTCGTGAAATCGCAGATAGCGTAAAAGAAGTCTTTCAATCTCTAAATGTGCCAGTTGAATGGGAACAATTTGACGTTTCAGGTGAAACACATGGTAGCGAATCTTTGTTCAAAGAAGCAATGGAAAGTTTAAGAAGAAACAAAGTTGGTCTCAAAGGTATCCTTTTCACTCCAATCGATACTGCTTCCCATAACAGTTGGAACGTTGCCATGCGTCAACAATTAGACATTTATGCTTCTTTGGTCGTTTGCAAAAGTTTACCTGGTTATGCAACCCGTCACAAGGATGTTGACTTTGCCATCATTCGTGAAAACACAGAAGGTGAATACAGTGGTTTGGAACATCAATCTTACCCAGGTGTAGTCGAATCCCTCAAAGTCTCCACACGTGCAAAGGCAGAACGAATCGCTCGTTTCGCATTCGATTTCGCAATCAAGAATGGTCGTAAAAAGGTTACCTGCGTTCACAAGGCAAACATTATGAAATTGGGTGATGGTTTGTTCTTGAACACATTCAGAAACGTTGCACAAAACGAATACGGTAACAGCGGAATCGAATTTGACGATATGATTGTCGATAACACTTCTATGCAACTCGTCTCTCGCCCGCAACAATTTGATGTTATGGTCATGCCAAATTTGTACGGAAACATTGTTACAAACATTGGTGCTGCCCTTGTTGGTGGTCCAGGTACCGTTCCGGGTTGCAACATCGGTCGTGAATACGCTCTATACGAACCCGGATGCCGTCACGTTGCAAAGGATATCATGGGTTTGGGTACCGCCAATCCAGCTGCTCTATTATTGAGTTCAACAATGATGTTGCGTCATTTGGGTTTGGACCCTCATGCCAACCAAATCGCTGATTCAGTTTACAAGGTTCTCCAAGAAGGTAAAGTTCGCACTGCTGATATGGGTGGAAAGGCAAAAACTCAAGATTTCACTCAAGCCGTCATTGCTAATTTCTAAACCGAACTATTGCCCAACTTGTACATTTTTTGCTCAATTTTAAACCATACACATACTCATACATACATCCATAAACTCTTAATGTCCTTATTGATGATTAAAATATAAATGCATTCAAAGCCGATCTCGATGAGGAAAATGATGAAAAAATAAAAATACAAAATGTTCGTAAAATAATCAAATCTCTTGATTCTCTGAGCTCAATACTGTGCTCAACAATCGTAACAATTCTGCAGATACCAGATCGTTCGTGGTCCTGATTGTCAAACGACAAAGTTTAGCAGGAGCATTAGGCTCATTTCGTAGCAAGCAGCCAACTTTACCGCCATTGGTCATGTGCAAAACACCTGCAGCAACAAGATTGGAAGGATTAGGATCGATTCCGTTCAACAATTGTACCCTTGAACCTCCGACCACTTTACGAATTCTTGCTGTATCAGCTTGACCGTCTTTGTTGACCTTGAGTGGGAAGATACGTTGTGCCTCACGTGGAGCACCACCGATTTGCTTCCATCGTTCAAAGAAGTCCGTTCCTGCAAGTTGAACTGGTTCGATAAATTTGCTCAAAACGACCGGCAATCGCAATGTGAGTTCTTGCATGGATCCGGCCAAGTATGACACCCGCAAAACTGGCGGTTTGCTGAAGAATTGTTTGCACTCAAATTCAACCACTTGTTGAACTTGCGTCATAGCACCAAGCTCATTACTTGCCAATTTCGGTAAAGTGGCAGTCAAAGCTTCAGGCTCTTGTGATCGCACAGTTACAGTAAAGGAAGTGAAGCCGACAGAGATCTTGTTGCCGAAATATAGAGCAATACGTCCCATATTGTTGTGATACTCCGACTTGACACCGATCTGCAATTGAGAATCTTCGTACAAAACACCATCTGTTGAAAAGCACAAACGATGATAACTTCGTGTTGTGTTTGGAGTAAAGATAGGTGCGGGTGTCGCTGTTGTGATCTGCATGGGACCGGACGTTGGCTGTGGTGCCAAGGGAGCGATCGAAGTCTGTTGCGGAACAAGAGGAGCAGAATCTTGTCCTTCATCTTCCTCATTATCAATCAATCTTTGCGATGCAGTTGTATACCCAACATCTCCTGATTCGGCAACTCCATTCGTTGCAGCCGACGCACCTGCTGACATGTCTAAGCCTTCCAATCCGCTTAACAGGTCATCGACACCCTCACTTTGTCCGTTCGCAGTCACTCGGGCATCTCGATGACCAGAAGCGATGACAGTAGCTGCAGTATTTGTCGTAGGCATTGCACCACCATTCACAGCGCCCTTCTTTAAGCTTTCTAGCCTTGCTTGATCTCTGTCTCTGTTTACCTCTTTGCCTCCAATGACCCACGTTCGCTTATCTTCTGTATCGCCGTGCTTGCGCTGCAACCTACTAAGAAGAAGCGAAGATTTTTCCTGGAACGGTGGCATCTCATCGCAAACTGTTTGCAACAAATCATCATCGGGCAGAGATGCCAATGCAACGTACTCACAAGCACGTTGTTGAAGCTCAGCATCAAGTACATGTCGATAACGATTCAACACAAAGAGGATTTGTTCGCGAATTTCTGGGAATAAGTTGAGCCATTTGACATACGTTGTCAAAAGCAAAGCCCGCGTTGGTTGAGAGCAAAGGTGTGATCTTGAGTGCAATGCATGGAATTGTTCGATCGGGCTGGCTCCTGGATCATTGGCAACCAAATGACCGAATTCACCCAAGATGTACCCACCAACCTTGATCAAGTTTTCATGACAAGATGTTGATTTCAAATGCTCAAATACCTTCTTTGCTGCATATTCTTGAACATCTTCATTGTTGGTCACGATTTGGCAAACCCTGAACCAAACTTCTTCTCCTACATGATCACCAGCCGAACTGATCAATTGCAAAATCGTGTCCACGTACCAAGAGTACTCTGTTGCAAACTTCTCGGTCAAGATGGCAATCTTGAGCACCATCTCTTCCCGCAAAGCATAATCGGCAACATGCAAGTACCGCAATAATTCCGAAACAATCACTCTTGCATTCGTTACATCGCACATGCTGTACAACAAATCCAAACCTCGTCTCCGGACACTGATATCCTTATCCCTTAAAGATAGAATGATGGTGTTCTGATGCATCTTGATCGGTTCTAAACTTTCTACACAAGCTGCCAGATGTGCCATCGTGTCCAATCCCAAATAACGAACATTCGTCTCTCTGGAAGAGATGAAACGACCCAATAAGACTGATGCTTTGGCGACAACTGTGGATTCCGTGTCCAGATGAATTGCCAGATTGATTGCTTCAAACAGGACGGCATTTTGAGCATTGTTCTGTTGAACATTCTTTGGTGTATCTTGTGAATTATCAACAATAGCTTCCAGAACATTGTGAATCGTTTTGCGTACTGTCGGATCATCAGATGGTGGATAATATTGCAGAAGGCGAAGGCATTTGATTTGAAGCCAGGGTATAGGAATACGGTAGTAGATGTATTCGTGACTGAAATCTTCCTCAATGATGAGCTTATTCAACCGATTGACAGCTTTTTGGTAGGCGATATGGTATGCTTCAGGATGATCTTGAGCCATTGTCATGACCAAACTTGTTACTGAGAGGGCAACACCTAGATTGGTATCATCCATGATAGCGACGATACGAGAAGCCCATTCTTCTGCCGGCAATGCTTCGGGATGTTTACGATATAGACGCAAGAGTGTCAAAGCAGCTTTTTTCTTGACGAAACTCTTTGATGTGGGAGAAATGAGTAGCCGATGAACATCTTCTGCGAGTGATTCTGACATTTCCTTTCCTCCTATGTTGGCGATCGCATGCAAAGCCAAGCAATTGTTGATCTCGTTGAATTCATCTAAATCCTTTCTGATCGAGTTAACGACCAATCTGACCAGATCTGAGTTTTCGTGCATGAGTAAAGTGATTGCTAGATATCCAATCTGTTTTTCTGTATATTTGTTACTGGCGATCAAATTGACAGCTTCCATATGACCGATATCGACGTTGTATCCTAAGATGTAAGTAAAAATGATCTTTGCTAGATATTTTCTCCTCTGATAGCCATCCAAGGATCCTTCTTTGAACTTTTGTCGAATGTGTGCCATCTCTTTATTGATTCGTTTCTCTTCCAATTCGCGTACTCTACATGCTCGTAGATCAGCAATATATTGGGCTAAACCCCTCATAGCATGTTGCGAAGACATGGCCGACATGGCGGATATGATGTCTCAAGGAGAAGTGGAATGAATCACGACAACTTGACAGTTAAGAAAGAGTTGGAAGAATAGACAAAGAAGGAGGAGGGTAGTTGTTCATTCAAGCGGCCGTGCGTAAAAAGCCATTAACAGTCATACGCGTGTAGTCAGCAACGGTACAAAGAGGCAGTCAAGATGCCTGCCCGAATAATACATGCACGTCTGCATAACCTTCCTTTGTTCATCACTTCCACTTGGTTACCCTTTGTCGTTGTAACAATCCGATGTGCCAGCTTTCCAGACGTCTGGTTCAATTGCATTTCAGCCACATGTCGTGAACAGGAAGATATAGAATTCTATCATTGGTTCCTTGCATGCTTTGTCATAGTACTAAGTTGAAACATTTGATTTGGTGATTGAAATTAAAAGCTCCTCTTATTCGGTCCTTCAGAGTTCGTTCTATTTCGCTATTGCCGCATTCAGCCAGCATTGAGGTGTCTAAGTGCCAACTCTGCCTCCCGTCAAGGCCTAGCGAATTGTCAATCCTTTGACATATTAGCCGTCAAAAGGCCAACGATGACCAAAATTCTCTTTAGGCAGCAAATTTGGACATATCACTGATCCACATGAAGAAGATAGGAAAGGCTGATGATATTATTAAGCAAAGGGCTGCGACCAATCCTTTGCGCCTTTGGATATAAGGTCTTGGCATTCACGCCATCATCAGCCAAATCCGCAATCAAGGTAAACACAAGTTACCTTTTCTGATCATTTTACGAACCTATAAAAACCGTCAAATTTCCTTCAAATGATACATCGATAAGACGCAACAAAGACTGAATTCGAAATCCAACTCATCTAAAGACCTATACAGCACCATGGTTCAAGCATTCTCCGCAAATAAACATGTCTTCCTCATCGTTTCCCTGTTATTTACTTTGTTGATTCAAACCTCAATGGGTCAAAAGTGAGTAATTTCTACTTTTGTATTAATTTTTTTGAGCTAACTTTTCTCGGTTTGATGCAGTTATAATTGTTACGACCGTAATGCTTGTCCAAGAAATCAATGCCAAGAGAATAATATCTCTAGCTCTGGCAAGTGTGGTGGTTGCGATGAAGGTCAAATTTGCTGCGGAGGTAGATGCTTTTGAACGATTATCGAACCTCGTGAATATAAATGTAAATAAAAATTTTATTTCGATTGATGACTTATATCACCTCTATGATATTCATTTTCACTTTTTGTTCACATCGGCTTCCTTACACGTACGACTGTTCAGCCATCCTTCGTTCCGCACTCTTGCTGCGAGATCAGTTTGTTCACGGTAGGACATAGATAATGAGAGGAAGACATAGCATTCAGTGACTGATATAAATGTTGAGCCGCAGGCCGTCACCATTGTGCCGTGCTTTAACTGTAGTACTTTTAAAGCTGAAGGCTTGGCATTAGCGTCATAATTGGGCAAGACCGCTTTTCTTGTCTACTTCATCAAACCATTGACAAAGTGATAGAAGTGTTTATATACCACTCCCTTGACCTGATATCCTTGTTCGAGACAATTATCAAACGCGACAAATTTCTTGACTTGGCGAATTGATCTTCTTCTTCTCTCAGTATCTTTTGTCACCCTTATGCGATCAAACCTTGACTTATTCGTTTTTCTTGCTGTTTTTTGGTTTTCCCAGTTTGATCATCTTACGATAAACTTTGACCATTTTCCGCTTTTTCCGGGTTAAGTATATCATGTGCACTTTTCCAGTGTATCTTACGGAAAAAGCGTGTGCGTACACAAATGCGGGGAAGAGGCACTTTGTCAGTGTATGTGAGGCTAATATTTAAACTATTTTTACTGTTAACGGTTTTTGCTATTTTGAGCCGGAGAACTCGTACGACAGCAACACAAGAGGGCAGCCTTCCTTTACGGCCACCTTCATCCAAGAAGAGGAACGATAAGGATATAAGAGTGAGCGACAACCCATTACCTACAATCATCATACCACATCCAGCTTCTTTCATCACATAATGACGACGCAAACACTTCCAACAAAAACACAAACTCTCGTTGCAGAAGAGATGGGAACACCATTTCAATTGGTAGAGATTGATGTACCATCTGCAAAAGATCTTCATCATGATGATGTTTTGGTACGATTTCATGCTTCAGGTATCTGTCATACGGATATTGGGTCTTGGTCAGGCGCGATTCCCGCTCCGTTTCCATGCATTCTAGGTCACGAAGGAGCGGGTGAAGTATTGGCAGTTGGCGAAGGAAGCAAGAATGATTTTCAAGTCGGTGATCAAGTCGTTGCCAGTTTTTGTAGTTGTGGAGACTGCAAAGCATGCAAACGAAACGAACCCGCATGTTGTGAAATCTTTTTACCGTTAAATTTAGGATTAACGGATAAAACGTTAAATCATATCAAAGTACCTTATAAGAACAAATCAAACGAAACAAAACAAGCTCATGTGAAATATTTCGGTCAAAGTAGTTTTGGTAATGTTATGTCCGTTACCGGTAGAAGTGTGAGTAATACTGATGATCCTTCTTCCCGCAGCGGGATTGCATAAAAGAATAAACTGACAGGCTTCTCTTTCCCACCCTCTTCGTAGCTCACCCGGATTTCCAAGGACATCGAACCCAAGTATGCATGTGCACTCGCATGTGGATTCCAAACAGGATTCTCTACTGTAGTAGAACGTGCCAAAGGAAAGAAAGAACAAGATCGAACGTATGAACGATACTCGATCCTTGACAAAGAATACTCCAGCAAGAACATCGTCTCAAGCCAAATTGAAACCAAATCCAATCAAATCGAATCATTCGAAGATGAAACTTTGTTGGTGCTCGGACTTGGTGCGGTTGGATTAGGTGCCTTGGTAGCAGGCAAGATGCTTGGGTTTGGAAAAGTGATCGCATGTGATATCAATCCAACCCGATTAGAACTTGTGAAAAAAGAAATCGGGATTGATACTTTGGTAAACGCAAAAGACTTTGCATCAACTGAAGAATTCGTTCAACATATCAAAAATATCAGTATGTATGAAAGAGGAACAACTTTGATGATCGAAGCAAGCGGAACGGCAAAAGCTTTGAAAGATGGAATCATGTCACTCGCTGTAGGTGGAAAAGGTATCGTCGTTGGCTCTCCTCAACAAACCGCACTTCTCGATATTCCTTCGGGATTAGTCTTGGTAAGTTGAAAGAAGTGGTCTTCCTCGAGGAAAATTGCGCTGACCTTCAACCGATCTTCCTACCATTTAACAGACAAATATCTGGACTATCGAAGGTGTTTTGATGGGTAATTCAAACCCAAAAGTCACAATTCCATTTTTAGTAGATATGGTAAAACAAGGAAAGTTGAAAGTCTTGGATTCAATCATCAAAACCTATCCTCCCGATCAAATGAATCAAGCCGTACATGATGCCGAAAAAGGTGAGTAATGCTCTGCGTAAACCATATCCCGTTTTTGCCGGTACTGATTCCTCTATTCTCAATCAGGTATCGTCATCAAACCAGTGATTGAATGGCCTTAACTTTTCATATGCTTATAATGTCATGCTTCCTTCATGATTAGAGTGCGAGTGTTTGTCACCTGTCTCGTTGCTCACACACACAAACATGCTTAAGGTAAGCTTTTGATTGCATTGATCTTCTATCAAATATCATCTCACACCACTCTGCACAAATTGTAGAACAAGTTGATCTTTTTTTTGTTTGTTTGGTGTGTTTATAAGAGATTTCTTTATGTTTAAAGAATAGGGAGGAATTGTTGTTGGGAATTGGGACAAAATAAGAGTGAGAGAGAGAAAAAAAAGAACAAGGATATGCTCGGTGTGAATTTGTATATGATAAAACAAGACACGATGCATGGGTAAAAGGAGGAGAGAGGCGATTCAAAAGAGAGAGAGGATCGAAATAATCTTTATATTACCTTCTTTCCATCTTCTTTTAAGCAGCTTCTTCTCCCTTTGCCTCAGCGGCTGCTGCACCTTCTGCGGCTGGTGCATCAGCTGGCTTGGCCTCGGAATCTTGCATGTCACTTGTCCACAAGGTCAAGTTGTCCCGCAACAATTGCATGATCAATGTGCTGTCTTTGTAACTTTCTTCGGACAATGTGTCAAGTTCGGCAATTGCATCATCAAATGCTTGCTTGGCCAAATGGCAAGCACGGTCAGGCGAGTTGAGGATTTCGTAGTAGAACACACTGAAGTTCAATGCCAAACCAAGACGGATGGGGTGTGTTGGTGGCAATTCGGTAACGGCAACATCAGATGCGGCCTTGTATGCTTCTAATGATTTGTCAGCAGAGTCCTTGCGCTTGTCGCCAGTTGCGAATTCGGCCAAGTAACGGTGGTAGTCTCCCTTCATCTTGTGGTAGAAGACCTTGCTTTCACCGGAAGCAGCAGATGGGATCAAGTGCTTGTCCAAAACGTCAAGAATATCTTCGCAAATTTGCGCCAATTCAGCTTCAATCTTCTCACGGTATTTCTTGATCATTGTAACTTGGGATTCGTTACCTTTTGATTCTTCCTTTTGTTCGATGGATGAAACAATGCGCCATGAAGCACGACGAGCACCGATAACGTTCTTGTATGCAACGGACAACAAGTTACGTTCTTCGACGGTCAATTCTTGGTCAGAGGAAGCGACACGCTTCATGTTCTCGACCATCTCTAAAAAGGGGAAAAGGGTACATACTTTGTCAGCGTCTCATAAAGCAGTGCATTTTCGTCTCTTCGACTCACCTTCATAGCGCTCGGCTTGTTCGGCCAATTTGGCCAAGTAGACGGAATCTTCGCGTGTTTCAGACATTGTGTATATAGGACTCAACGAAAGTTATTTGTGCTGCAAAGTTGGTAGGAAAGATGAGGGTGTCAGTATTGTGACTTTCGTTGATAAGCAGGACAGGCAAAGAGGAAACTGCCTTTTGTGGCAGTAGTGAGACGCAATGCTGTCGATTTGTTTGGCATCAATCACAACAGTGTCTGATGAGAAGAGCGACATTCGTTGAAAGTAAGATCTTGCGAACAATGCGCAAAATCAAGAACCCTACGCGCACTTCTCGAACCTAATCACGTAGAATCTTCTCGACGTGAATCTCTGGCCAAGCGGTGTCATTATCGTAGCATTTGTCTCCATTACGATCAAGATTCTCTCTCTATCAGAGTGAATCGAAGACTTGACAACTCGAAGAGGTATACAATGTATCATTGCATGTTTTGAGTGATAAGGATTTTGGTTCGAGATTGATCTTTTCCCACTCTGCCTGTCGTGCGATTGTTCATGTTTCCATTCATACTCACTTTTACAACAATTTTATCGAGGAAGAAAAGGTGATTATAACAGCGGCTTGATTTCTCAACCGAAACGTTTAAAAGTTTGAATGAAGCGGGTGATGTGTTTAAGAGAAGGAAGTTGAATCTTTGGGTTGATGGGTTGTATAAGTTTTTAGGATACGTATAAAGGAAGTACGTGCGGCGTGTGCGTGTGTGTAGGCTAGGGCCTGGCCTGGACTGGGCTTGGGTGGTGTGGTGTGTGCATTGGTTGTTGCGTGCGCGTACAAAGGACTACGTACTGGGCGGGCAGGCAGGCAGGCAGGCAGGCAGGCAGGCAAGCAGGCTTATGATTCGCGCCCGCCCTGCTTTTGGCGCGAAAGGCAAGTCTTACTTTTGGGGTCAATTGCTCTCAAAGGAGGCGCGATATGCCTAAACGAAGGGGGGTTACTTATAAGCGCGGCAGATAGACTGACTATATGCATAGGGGCTACACAATCGCACATTTCTAACAACACAACTCCTTATCATGAATTCCAGCATATTCGTCATGATCATTTTTAGGGAGGATCACACTGAGTATCCGTGCGTGATTATCCATTTCTTCTCAATTTCCATTCAAAAGTCAATTCACAGGAAAGAGTGGTAAAATTAAGCTATCATTCCTTTCGCTGGCACTGTTGAAATGCATTTGGGTACGCGTACCTATTTTGTAATTAACGCGCATTCAAATTTGTATTGAAAAACGCGTAACCTTGCGCCAGCAACACATTCAACGCTAAACCAAAACACACTGATGTTATGCACTCTTGCAAGCCTAGTACTATGTAGAATGGATGTGGGTTCAGGGCGAATTTGTTACGCAAAACTTGGATTTCATTCATCGCACACAGCACAACATCAATCTCTCAAGCCCACGATGGTGAGAGAAGTGCGATCACAACGACTTGAAAGCGCTTTTCCCTTATTAGATGGTACTGATCGCTGATAGAGAGATAGCTGTTACTGATATGAGTGCTGATCTTAAAGAAAAAGTTCATTCTCTGCTCGTATCATATAGATCTCACAGACAGACTCTAGCTGCGTTGGGATATGACGTATACGGTACGCCTGGCACGTGTACAGGCGTCACTTGCCGTATCACGCCGTATCACGCCTTAACGCCTGTTCCGCCACAAAGGCTGACGAACCACAGTCTTGGTGCCCATAATTAGCCCATTTGTCAATTATAAATAGTCTCATATCACATGTAAATTCTACCCACCTTTCTCTACCTCACAAATTTATTATCATTATTCAGAAAGCAGTGCCTGGAGACTACAAAACGTAACAAGCTGCTTACTTAAGCAAGAATGCTCGCTGCCAGTGATTGTCTCTCCAGCCCTGCAACAAGGATGTGCATTTATATTTCATTAGACAAGAAGGCAATTGATTGGATATAACAGCTGCTAAAACACTTACGAGTTATGAGATTCATCATTCCTTTCATTGAAGGACCTTTCTCAGGCCAGTCAGTCATTCTTTTAATGATCCATCCGTGAATGTTTGTGTTAAGCTGTTCTTGTAATTCAATGTCCGAAGATCACGCAATGTAAGCCCTACCTCTTAACGGATCCGTATTTGATGTCCATTGAATTATTTATAGCTGTACAAATCTCCGATAAACCAAGGAAGTCCGTCTTCAACTAAAACACTTGGCCTGTGCAAGAAAATAATTCAATGCCAACAACAAGAAAAGAAAAAGGGCGCAAAGTGATATATCACACGTGAAATGATGATTGCCTGACTCTCTTCCGCTTGATTCAATCTGAATTTCAAACCAGGGATCACTTCCTAACCGCCCGCTTCTCTCCTTCTCACTTCCACGTAAATGTGCTTTTCGTCGTCATAATGGCAGCGACCAGTATTCCAGATTTAGTGGATTTGATCGCTTCAAGTGCAGCATCTAATGTGTATCCAAGTGATGATCATATCTTGACCACAATTCAAGCACGGTTACGTGCTGATCATCCTTATACTCGTATTGGGGCAAAGACTTTATTGGCAATCAACCCTTTTCGTTCGCTATCTCATTTGAATGATGCAAGTGCTGAAGAATACATCAATTTGTGTTATGATGACGCTGATTGGCATTCAAAGGGTGTCCAATATGATCCCAATCATGTCCTCCCTCCTCATCCATACGAATTTGCATTACGTGCATACCATGCTATGAGAAGGAAGTCGTCTTCTCAAGCGATTGTATTTACCGGTTCAAGCAATTCTGGCAAATCGTTCACTTCCAATCTGATCACAAATCAATTACTCCGTCTTGCCTCTCGTTCTACTGAAGAGGAAGCTATCTTAGCAGATCGATGTCAAGCAATGGAACGAGTATTGACTTCATTCGGATCAGCCAAAACACATCAAAACAATAATGCAAGTCGAACTGGTCAATATAAGGAATTACATTTCAACAACAGAGGCAGACTTCAATCCGCCAAAGTACTGACATTCGGCTTGGAAAAACAACGTGTATGTGCTTCATTGGCAAGAGATGAAAGAACATTTCATGTATTCTATCAGCTGCTTGCTGGCGCATCCAGCGAAGAGCGGGATGTGCTACGATTGGAAGATATCACATCTTATAACCTCCTTCGTTCTTCAGGCTGTTATCGATTGACAGGCGGACCCTCCAGCGATGACTCGATTGCGATGGAGGAATTACGTGTCGCAATGCGAACTTTGGGCTTCAAGACTCGACAAATTCAAGCAATTTGGAGTATCCTGTCTGCAGTCCTCTTGCTTAATAACATAGAGTTTAGCGAACCCTACCTATCAGACGGTGAAGATGTTGAAGGTGCAACAATCAGCAATCCACACGTTTTGCATGATGCTTCCCTTTTGCTGGGCGTGGAAGCCAATGATCTGCAAGAATGCTTGACAAGCAGAACCCGTTTTATCAACAAGGATACTGTGACATCCATCTTATCCTTCGAAGGAGCCCGCGCTCAAAGAGATGCAGTTGTGCGTGATTTGTACGCCACTCTATTTGCATTCGTCATTGAGACTGCAAATCATCGCTTATCAACGACGAAAGAAGAAGAGAGGACTACTTGCATCGTTCAATTGGACATTCCTGGATTTCAACAAGCTGCTCAAGGTAATCTCTCCTCTCACGGCATCTTTGCCTTCAATTTCATGGCGGAGATGGTGCAACATTGGGTCAGCAGGCAAATATTCGATGATAGCTGCGTGTCGACATCAGAGATGCTGCTTGACGGTGTGCAACTGAATGAGGTGACAGTCAACGACAATTCATCCTGTATCGAATTGATCCGAGGAACATGCTCGATCGAGCCAAACTGTGCGGCAAATTCCGAGCCAGCCGGTCTCTTGGGAGCCTTGAGAGAGACGGTGGAAGGTGTTGCAGAAGGTGAAATACTTGAGAACGATCACTTTGCTCTATTACAGCGATTGGATCGGTCCGCCCATCATGCATTGTACTCCGCTTCGCTCAAACATGATCGTAAAGCATTTGCAGTCCAGCATTATCAAGACACATGTACATATGATCCTGCCTCCTTCATTAGAGATGAGCAAGATCGATTTGATGTGTTGGCTGTACAGATACTGCAACAATCTCAAGTACCCTTTGTTGCAAAGCTATTTTCAGGTCCAAGTCTATCCCAAGAGAAGCATCCTATGGACTTCCATGTCACCGTTGATGCGCAAGTGTCTGTCCGTCCTCTCCGTTTGCCAGCCAAACCAAATGCAACATATTCGACCGCTGAGTTGAGCTTGGATGTTCATCGTCCGTACGGTGTCTTGCAACAATTGAACGATACGATGTCCACATTGTTGGCCAATATGCAAGAAGCTGAAGCAATATGGACAATTTTGACCATTCGCCCGAACGATATCGATCAACCGAATGCATTTGAAGCAAATTGCGTCAAGAAGCAAATACGAGCTATGCATGTGCCAGAGATCACCTTACGTAAACGAATCGAATTCTTCACGGGAATGGAATATGAAGATGCTTGCATTCGCTATGCTGCTTGTGGCCTTGTACAAGCAGCTATAGCAGCAGGCGTAGATCAACCAAGTGAAAAGATGTATGCTTTTGCCATTGCCAATGCTTGGCGTGATGGTGTTGACTTTGCGATGGGTAATGAGAAAATTTGGCTTTCATACGAAAGATGGAGAGCATTGGAAGATCGTTTGCGAATCGATGAGCCTGATCAACGTCTTCATACCGTGACCAGATTGCGATCAAGGCTTTCAAGTGCTCAGTCTTTGGGCTCCAACGCATACTGGTCTGCAGGCTCGAAGGGACTACAATCACCTTCTGTTGGAGAATGGGACGAGCTATTGGAAAATCCAAAGCAAGATCCGTTTGCGGATACCAATCCGGCCGCTATGGTGGAGGAACATGACGATCACCTCTATCAATATCAAAACCAAACTGTACCACCGATTGACATGCTGGGAAAAGAGAATACCATGATGGAAGCAGAAAAGATGAACACGATTGAAGAAGTTCCTATCACAAGAGTACGTAGATGGTGGGTACGCTTCACATGGTTCTTCACTTGTTGCATCCCAAGCAAATTACTCTCAAGTTGTGGTGGAATGAAAAGACCTGATGTGCAGATGGCATGGCGAGAAAAAGTGACAATTTGCTCATTGATCTTCTTGGCATGCGCCTTGATCTTGTTTAACACAATCGCAGTTGGTCATCTAGTCTGTCCCAATATGAACAAAGCATGGAATGCAGATCAACTTTCAGGCTTCAATAGACCGGATGCATACTATGTTGCTGTTCGTGGGACGGTATATGATCTGACAAAGTTTTGGCGCTTGCAACATTCGGATTCGTCTAGTCAATCATCGCCTGATATAATGATGCAATTGGGCGGTTTGGATTTAACACCTTACTTTCCCATTCCTTTGACGATTGGTTGTCCATTCCTCGTCACTGACACCCAGCTTTATCTGCAAACGAACGCCAGTTCATTTTACTACTCTGCACAAATATCACAAGCCGTTCATAGGAGCGGGCCATTGGGTGATCCGGCAAGCAAACTCTCCGACATCAATTGGTATCCGGATCGATTCCTAAAGTATGTGAACCAATATCGAAAAGGCTTTTTTGTCACTTCCCGTAAAGATGTTGCCAAAATGGCGGGAGATCGACAAAGGGCAATCATTGATGGGAAAGTGTATGACTTGGGCGATTATCTAAACACACTCTCGTTGGAGAGTAATGTTGCAGCGATCAAATTTTTGCCCGATTCCATCTCCAACCTTTTTGCAGGAGAACCTGGAATGGACATCTCGCAGAGCTACCACCAAGCAATGGCAACATTCAATACCACTATGCAAGATGCAGTGCAAACCTGCCTAGACAACGTGTTCTATGACGGTCTAGTTGATTTCCGTGAGACGGCTCGTTGTCAAACGCAAAACTATCTTTTGCTCTCTTTCAGTATCATTCTTGGTCTCACAATCGTTGCTAAATTCTTGGCGGCGCTGCAATTAGCGCCAAAGAGAAATCCGGAACAATTGGACAAATTTGTCATTTGTCAAGTGCCATGTTATACAGAAGGTGAAGATGAATTACGCAAAACAATCGATTCTCTTGCCGCTTTGCAGTATGATGACAAACGCAAATTATTGTTCATCATTTGCGATGGAACGATTATCGGTAATGGAAATGAGCAGCCCACGCCAAAGATTGTATTGGATATTCTCGGTGTAGATCCAAAAGCAGAGGTGGAGCCGCTGATGTTTAAATCTATTGCAGAAGGCTCAAAGCAACTCAATTATGGCAAAGTCTATTCTGGCTTGTACGAATTCGAAGGTCACGTTGTGCCATATGTTGTGGTCGTGAAAGTTGGAAGACCGTCAGAACGTTCTCGACCAGGCAATCGTGGTAAGCGTGATACACAAATCTTGTTGATGAGATATCTGAACCGAGTCCATTTTGATTCACCAATGTATCCTTTGGAGTTGGAGATTTATCATCACATGAAAAACGTCATTGGTATCGATCCGGCATTTTACGAATACATTCTCATGGTGGACGCAGATACCACTGTTCATCCTGAAGGCTTGAATAGACTCGTCGCTGTTGCGGCAGATGATTCAAAAGTGATTGCCGTTTGTGGAGAGACAAAGTTGTTCAACGAAGAAGGGTCTTGGTGGACCATGATTCAAGTATACGAGTACTACATTTCTCACCATCTTTCCAAAGCTTTCGAGTCTTTGTTCGGAAGCGTGACATGTTTACCTGGTTGTTTCTCCATGTATCGTATCCGATCTGCCGATAAAGGACACCCTTTGATCATCTCCAATCGCGTCATCGATGATTATTCGGAGAATCGGATTGACACATTGCACAAGAAGAACTTGCTCTCACTTGGTGAAGATCGTTATTTGACTACATTGATTCTCAAACATTTCCCTGCTTTCAGTACCAAGTTCACAAGCGATGCAAAAGCGCAAACTACGGCACCAGACCGATGGGGAATCTTGCTATCGCAAAGAAGAAGATGGATCAATTCAACCGTGCACAATCTTGCCGAATTGCTTTTAATGCCTGAACTTTGCGGTTTTTGCTTCTTTTCGATGCGTTTTATTGTCTTTGTGGATCTTTTGGGTACAATCATTTTGCCTGCAACGACGGTGTATATGGCATACTTGATTGTCATGGTCTCTACCGGCAAGTCACCATTCCCATACATTTCTTTGGCCATATTGGGAGCAGTCTATGGGTTGCAAATGTTGATCTTCCTCTTGAAAAGACAGTGGCAATACCTAGGATGGCTGGTGATCTACCTGATCGCATATCCAATTTGGTCATTCTTTTTGCCGATTTACTCATTCTGGCATATGGACGACTTCTCCTGGGGAAACACACGTATCGTTGTCGGTGAAAAAGGAAATAAGAAAATCGTGGCAGGAACTGACGATGAGCCGTACGATGATAGAATGGTGCCTTTGAAGAAAGTCAGCGAATGGCAAAAGGAAGGTCAAATGCAAAATGCTTTACAGGGAAATACCAATGATGCTGTTTCATTCGTTACACAAACAGCGTCCAATCTTCCAGCATCGAAGTCCCAAGCACCTTTCATACCTGCATCTTCATCTTTTGCTGCCCATTCGCAAGCTGGCTCAGTATTCGGTGCAAGTCCAGGCAGCGATACAGATACCAGAAGAGACAGGCAAACCTTTGCGATGGGCAGCCTACCGCAATCGCGAAACTCTTCTGCGCATGGCGACTTTGGGGTTCGAGCAAGTCAGCACAGTATGATGGCTTTGAATCAACCGTTCATGGGTCATATGGGCGGCCAAACTCCTTATGGTGGCTATATGACACCTGCTATGAGTATGTATGGCTTGCCTCCTGCGCCAATGCCAAGCATGTATGGTATGCCGCCCATGATGAGCAGTATGTATGCATCTCCAGCTGGTTCGGTTGTCGGCTTCCAAGGTGGCATGGGACAATCCTATTTCCCTTCTCCAGGATCGGACATCGGCCCGTCAACGGCAACACAAAAAGCTGCTACAGGAAGCACTCCTCGATATTCGGCTGGTAACATGTTGATGAATGCGGGATCCTCATTGAGAAGTGAACAACAAAACAATCAACGTCCTCCTGGCCCTCGTTCCGCCTCCACGATCGATAGTCGAGCCAATCCTTTCCATAGTGATTCATCTAGTGATGGCGTTCAACAGGCTAACACAGGCTCAATTTTACCAATCAATCCCAAAGCAGATCCAACGGAAGAAGATATTTCTAGTGCCGTTAGAACATTCTTGGCCGGTCAACCTGATTTGATGAGAGTTTCGAAACGCGATGTGCGTGAAGCAATTGTTGCTGCATTCCCTAATGCACCTTTGATGGCCGTCTCGAAGGGCAAGATCAATCGAGCAGTCGATGATACATTGGCTAGTATTTCGTAATATTACAACACCGTAAACGTACTTCATTCGTCGCTTTGTACATTTTCTCGCTCTTTTTCCTTTACATCCTTTGTACCCTTGACCTTTTTTTCACTGTCCAAACCTCTTCAGCACCCGTGTGTAGTTAGACTTTTGTCGCACCATTTATAGATACATTGGACAATCAATAATAATTTATAAGATCGTAAGCTGATTGATTGTCAGGATGATGATTGTACTTGTTATGCACAGTGGAGGCCAATGCCTAGGCGGAAGCAGAAAAGGCGTATAAATTGTGAACGCGTGTTGTGTGTGCCTGGTTGAGAAAGGAGAGGAGGACTTTATCATTTCTTATGACATTTATTCACTACCCATCAATCATACTACCATCTCGCTGTTGCGGTTCACTGTTCATACTTCTCTTGAGATTATGTCTTCGGGCAGATCAGCTGGTAGCAATGCCAGTAATGGAAGCAAGAAAGTAGGCGGAAACATAAAGAGTGAGGTCAAAACTGAACCTGGATTTCAAATCAAAAGGGAAGGTGAAGATGGTCCAAGTTCCAGTAATGGCTTACAAAATGGTCGTCCAAAAAAGGAACAATCTCCTCCTCCTCCAACGACATATCGTGATATTCCTCTTCTAAGTAGTACATTGGATGATTGGCGATATCATTTGATGCGATTACAATCACATGCAGTCATTGATCCTTCAGATCCTCAAAGATTTCCATTCCCGGTCAAATTGAATCGAAAGTACCCTCCAAAGCTAAAAGATCCTCTTCCGCATGCAGGCGATCCAGTTATCGATCAATTCGGTAAACCAGTCTTGGTTCCAGCACAAAGGAGAGATCCTTCTCAGCCAAATCAACAACCTTTAACCCCTGCTGAACGAAAGCGAATTCCACTCCTTTGGCCTGGACCTGACGATGACGTTCATGAGATTGAAGAATTGGTGCAAAGACTTGAAACGCCAAAAGGACCTCAAGCTGATGCATCTTTGATCGGTCCAAGTAATTCATCAAATAATGCAACAAGAGCAAAAGCTGGATTGTTTAAAAAAAGAGTACGTGAAATTCATAAAGCTTCAGCAGAAGCTAGAAAGACACACAACGAAGAAGTTTTGCCTTGGATATTGGAAGACTATGAAACCAGCAAAGAATGGGAAAGTAGGCGAAAGGAGAGCAGAAGAGGATTAAAAGCTCTACAGCAAGGCATCAAAGTTCGAAGGAAAGGAGGACGCTTTCCAAGTTTGCCCAAAAGAGAGGAGGAGGGTTTGGATGCTGCAGGTGTAAAAAAGGAAGACCCTGATGGAAGCGGTATAAAAGCCGATCCGGAAAGTTTGGGTGAGAATCATGCACCTTGGATAGGAAAGATGGAAGGTGAGGCACATGAAAGTGCAAGCACTTCGGCTGGTGGCGCAACATCTCACGCTTTGTTCGTGTTTGATGAAAGAGATGCTGGTGGTTTTCGTGTCGTGCCAGTAAGTCGAATGTACAAATTTTTACAAAAGCCCAAGCATGCCAACGATATGTCCTATGATGAAGCGGAAAAGGCATTTGAAAAGCAACAAAAATCACGTACGGGCGAAGGTGGTCAAGCTTGGGCTAATCATACAAACAGAATTGTCACAGGGCCCGGTGCGTTCAATAGAGGTGGAAATGCCGGCAATGCTCCAAGAGATTATACTTCTGCTTCGATCTATCGACATCTTGCCTTACCAGGCTCAGGCAACTCTCAATCATCACGACCGAATGTGGCAACGATTTATGACAGGGACAGCTCAGCAAGGAGGAATCAGTTCGTTGCCGTCTCTTCCGAAACAAAGCGTGGAATTCGAGTGAAAGATGAAGAAGGAACATATGGCGAAAATGCATTTGAAGAAGACTTTGCGGATGATGAAGAGCGAAATGAAGGTGATGATTTTGCAATGGGAGAAGAAGAGACGCGCGAATTAGAGCAAAGATTGAAGAGAGAAATGGCAAGAGCAGAAGAGCAAGATGAAGAGGATGATGACTTATTCGATGATCCAACTCGACCCGGAAAGGGAGAGAATGACGTTCTTACGGGAAGTGGTCAACAAATGAAAAAGATTATGAAAGCATTGGCAAGACGAGAAGGGAATGACATATATGATGAAAACGATGAAGATCGCAATCCGTATCTAAGTGATGATTCAGATGGGGGTGAAGAAACTGTGATGGCAAATCCAGAAGAAGCATTGCGACGAGTACGTGAAGAAAAAGAGCGAGAAGCTCGTGAAGCAGCAAAGAATAACAAAGAGAACGGAACGAGTGCAAATGGTACGCCTGCAGCTAATGGAAGCAATACGGATGCAAATACTGCCAATCCAAGTGTAGCTCAATCAAAGGTTGCATCAAAAGAAGCATCGAGATCTGGTACACCAGTTCCACGACCCGGTGATCAAAGACCAACAAACAGACCTATGAGTGGAAGTCAACATCGCCCTGGTGCAGGTCATGTCAATCTTGCACAACGGGCGACGAGTCCCCATGCACACAGTCGTCAAGGCAGTCGATCTGGCAGCCCAGTTTTGGACAATACCTCACCTTCGTCATCATTGAAACGTAAATCAGAAGCACCCAGTGGTTCAGCCGGTGGTGTTCATACGCCCACCTCTGCTAATTCAGGTAAGCGAATGCGAACGGGTACCGGGGGATCGACATCGAATCCTGTTTCACCTGGGAATGCTTCGCCACGATCAGGATCGCCTTCTCGTGGAAGTGTAAGGCATGCAGGCACACGTGGAGGATCACCTCAACCTTTGACTGAATTAGAACGTGAGATTGTTCAATTGGTAAATCAAGGTAAAGCAAAGACGACTAAAGAGTTGATCGGTCATTTCTCTGCAAGATTAAATGCTCAAAATCCATCAGCAAAGAAATCTTTTTCGGAAGCTTTTTTGAGAGTTTTGTATACCAAAAAACCCGAAGGAACGCTTGCTGTTCGAGCAGGTATTATGGAATAATGTACATTCACCCTAGATACTCTTTATCTCGATCTATAGACCTCTTCTTTTCCGTTGTGAGCGTGCGTCACGATGCCATTCCGTCAAAGACCAGGCGCAGCGCTGCGTCTCGGTCATTTTCCTAGTAAATTTCGAAATATGTTGTGGACGATTACCAGTATATAAGGAGAGGCCTGATTTGTAGATTGTATCCTTTACTACATCCTTACCGCAGAATTGGGTTTTCCAGAGGAATATGATGATCCAAGACTAGAAGATGCTTATGCTCGTGTAATCTAAAAAGAATAGTAGAGGCGTTGGAATTGTTGGTCTGGCTTCTCGTTCTGATTTGGTCAAGAAATTTGCAAGAATGGGGGCAAGATTCGTCATGGCAGGAACAGATCAATTACTCACGGGAGTTTCCGGTAAAGACGCAAAAGATCCTTTGGGAAACAGAATTGTAACAAGATATTCACTTTTTCCCAATGGTTCTATCGACTATTCACATATTATAGCAACTCTGATTGCAATTCTTTATTATGACCTTCGATTTACAATTTCAGGTAAATACTGAATCGGAGCAAATTATGAAGGCTTAGACTTTTTCGACCTAACGGAATTATATTGATTTGTAACGTGAAGTTCAAGGGAAACGGTAAAACGTATAGCGAGTATGGCTATTTTATATCAACCTACCCTTCTTAATCATTTAATTATGACACGACGACAAGGTTCCGGCTTGCTGACCAGGTTGATACGGGAATGAATTACCCTCGTGAACAAAGAATGCTCCTTTGCCAGCATCGTCTGAAACCTGAATGCCGAAATTAGCACAGGCAGTTCCATCGGCGCCAACCAATGTTCCGTCGTTGATAGATCCGGCAAGAGTCTGTTGCAAGTCATTCGAGTCGCCACCGATTGTTCTTTCTTCTCCTTTATCGCTATCATTCCAGGCATAGTCGACATGCTCACCCGCAATTAAAATTCACTGGCTATATGTTGTCAATTCAAGTCTTCATCTCCCTGCCAATCAGAACAAGCTTCGATCGACACGATTTAAGGGTCAAAAAAATTACAAAATTGATTTGTAGCCGTTTTTCTTTGTCTGATCACCATCATGTCTCCCTACGAGTGTGACCAGACTCACCACAGCTCGCTTTAATACAAGAAAGAACACAGTAGCACCGTATGTTAGGTATAGTACTGTCTATTATATTAGCGTAAGGTACAGTACAAAACAGTAGAGTAACCTACAAGGATCGGTATTCTTCTAGTTGCAACCTCGGTAATGCTCAAAACAATACCATTGTCTTTCTTTAGTGTTATATTGTACGCCAAATAAGTACAGAACGCCGTTATGATGGTTGTGAATTGTATAGATACAGTACTGTACTGTACATCAACTTGCAAACCAAATCTCTGGAACGTGGACCGTACTGATTCAATCGCCGCGGGTTCGATCTTAAACCGACGGTCTATGGGTAAATTCTACGCTAATTCTATTTCACTCCGCGTGGTTTAATTTCTTGGCGAGGTAATATAGTAAAATGAGCAATTCGATCTTCTCTTCTTTTGTCTTCCACCTTTCTAATTACTTCTTGAACTACTTTTATATTTCTGTATCTCTTTAATCATCGTCATGCTGGCAAGGGAAACAGCTTACTGGTTGGCCGATGCTTGTCCGACATTCTTTGCACTATCGCTCGTCGTTGCTGCATTACATTTCAGCTTAGCACGTTTTGGAGGTGCGATAGGACTACCTAACAGAGCCATTAGATACGGCGAGGAATATCTGGCATGCTTTGAATTCGTATGCATTGCCATGCTCACCATCGGAGCTCTTATGCCAAATCGACCTTTGCTCATTTTAGATTCATAACAATTTATAACGAATAGCAAGATGGCAAATCGAGTACTCGCTTGAGTAAAACTTAGATCGATTAATTCGTTTTTTGTGGATAGTGGGAAAAGCAAAGTTCATGTCATCGCTTGGTCAATAGATTGGTTCTCTTTACCGTACCTGCTTTCAGCAGAAATTTTCCCTACCCGTTAGGTATGGTGCTTTTGCATTCTTTGCTTCAATTTGCGTCCTTAACTTTTGCGTTCTCGATACCACTGGACGTAATTTGGAACAGATCAATCGTTTATTCGACAATCCAGCTTTCTCTTTATGGCGTTATGCTTACATTACCGAAGAAGAAGAAGAAGAAGAAGAAGAAGAAGAAGAAAATGCTGAAGCAATTGCCTCTATGCCAGAATTCAAAAGCGATAACGATCATCGTGTTATGGAAGCCGGTCATCATAGCCCTGATTCTGTAACTGATAAAGAAGGTTAGATGGGCAAGAATTGAAAGAATATGTAGCTTTTTAGATTGTGTTATATTCATCAATTTGAAATTGTAATGACAATAGCATGAACAGACATCTTTCCTAGACGGCGTATTTGGCTAAAAATGCATACATGCTTGCCATATCCTCCTTTTCATCACGATCATAAAGGTGGTCTTTTCCATCTTCAATAATGAGTTCAATATCTTTGAAGCCTTTCGCTTTTGCTGCCTCATAAACATCAGTAGCCTGTCTTGGAGGTACTTTATCATCAATGCTGTAGAAGAAAGAGAACATTAGTCACTGCGAGCTATGTGTGCTATCACCTAATGCGTACTCACCTTCCATGAATTATGAATGTGGGAGGTAGAGTGATTGATCCTTCAGAGATTGCTTTAGCTACCGAGAAAGCTTCTGGATTGATTCCTGTTCCATCTAGTAGAAGAGATGGTAAAAGAGCTCTGTGGTAGGGTATAAGCAAATATTCCTATAATCTTCTACTCTTCCTTTTACTCACTCTTGGATCATATAATGGTAAAACACAGAACGTGGAGAATCCAAAGCGGAAAAGGTCAAGACGGCTGATTTTGGATCGAGATTCTCGCCTAGCTCTTTTTCACCATCGATAACACGAGGAAAGTAGGTGACAGGATGTTGTTTTGTATTCCAAAACGAATCTTTCAAATCACTGATTGGATAAATTGCAAGACATCCAACCGGCTTTGGGGGTGGTGTTAAGCCACATTCTTTAAAACCCAATCCTGATGCAGTCAAAAGTGCCAACCAACCTCCAGCAGAACTTCCACTGACAAAGACTTTAGTTTGATCTGCTTTATTGTTTGTAATTTTTGCAAATGCATCTGATTGAATCCAACTTAACACATCTCCTGCGTCTGATAAAATTTCCGGCATTCTAACTTGAGGTGCTAAACGATAATCAGCAGAAACAACAATCACATTATGCTTTTCGGGAGCATTTTGTAAATGTGGTGCAAGTCCTTTTCGAGTTCCTTGTAATAAGCCTCCTCCATGCCACCATACTAGAACCGGAAGAGGTTTTTGACTTGTTGATGCTGTTGAAGGTATGATCACATCCGCTTTGACAGATTGTTTGTCTTTTGTCGTTTTGAAAACGACTTCGTGTGTTTGAGATGACATCTTGTGTGTGTGTAAGTAGATGGTGGTTGTTACTCTCATTCTCACTTTTGTGGTTTATCGGAAATAAGGCTTATTTAGCCGCGATTACATTTAGCGCCGGCGTTTATCTTCCTTTAGGCACTGCAGCAGTGATCTCAAGCGTGTGTCAGAAAAAGGCGGGGTTAGATAGATGGAAGATTGAACATGATCAGAATCGTCTCTGCAATTACCAGAGAAGTTACGACGATACAAATGTATATCTGCTAGTATTGAGGGTATTTACATCAGGTAGACGCAATCGAGCCGGACTTACTCTGGACTCGGACGTAATCCGGCCTCGGGATTTGTCCGGTGAAAATGGTTTGCTTCGTTTCTTTCTTCATTCAGAGAAGGCCTTGTATCTGGTAGGATAGCCAAATAGATAGCCTCCAATCCAACGGCCGATAATGATGTTGAAAATACGACCAAGTCCAAATGGAATATCAGCAAGGATTACATCAGCATCATCCAAGAATCGAATCATTTGAAATGGATTGGGTGATCTTCCTTGCATTGTGACAGAAGATAAATAACCATAAAAGTTTCTTACGAAATCTTCATCGAATCCTGCTTTTTCTCCTCCCCGAACGGTGATATGAACATGTAGGTCTGTTCCGGCCGAAGGATCGTTCCAGAATGTATGCGGTCTATGTGGTGGAATGACTGCTTTTTGACCTGGTTGGAGTTTACCTTCTTTTCCATCAATTTTATAACATAGCGTTCCACTTTGAACGTCAAATGTTTCAGTTTGATATAAATGTGTATGATAAGGTGGTGTTGCTGTACTTTTTGGTCCTATACCTGAATGTTTTGAACCTGCTTTGAATATTTGTGCAGATGTGAAAGAATTTCCGTCTGATCCGATCTTCCAAGCTATCAAATCACCACCAAAGAAATGCCATCTGCCTTGATCATCAATATGAGGTCGTTGTAATGCTGCCATTGTTGATCAATACTGACTATGATGGTTGTATTTGAAGTGTCTTGTGTTTTTGAAATACGCTATTCTAGCTAGCCTTCTTTTGCTTTGCTTTCCTTTGCTTTTCCGATACAACACGGGATTTGCATTGTTACTGAACAATAAGGGCAATCTTCCCGATAACGCGTTGTGCACTTAGGCTCTTGGTCAGTTTAACTGTGAAACGTCTATTATCTTGAGAAGAAATGAATAAAGAAGGAAGAAAGCCGAAAGCGGCACTTTAACAGTTGATTCCCCACACTGATAAAATCTTCTTACCTTTTCAAATTATGCAAGCCTTATCATAGACTCAAGTTGAAGTGAATCATGATGCTTTATCTTCCTCTTCCATCATCCCTCGTAGGCTCTTGAAGCTGATCGAATCCCTACTCCACCATGCGCATCGCAATCATCGGAGCCGGCTTTTCGGGAATAACGACGGCAAAAACATTACGAGATTTAGGACACGAATGCATTGTATTGGAAAAATGTTCAGACGTAGGAGGAGTTTGGTCTTCCAGTAGACGGTATCCAGGTTTACATACCCAAAATACAAAAGAAACTTATTGTCTTTCAGATCTACCAATGCCAAAACATTACGGTCAATGGCCAAATGGAAAACAAGTTCAAGAATATTTGGAACAATATATCGAGAAAAATAAAATGAAAGATTTGATTCACTTAAATACAGAAGTGATCAATGTTAAACGTGCAAACCACAAATCTCCTCTTACGGCAGGAGTACCTTGGATCATCACCGTTCAAGGCGATCTCACTCCAATAGAAGCGGATCACTTGATCGTATGTACGGGTATCTTTAGTGATGGAGATGTTCCTCGATTTGAAGGACTGCACGAATTTGAAGCACAAGGTGGAAAAGTATGTCATACGAGCGCAATAGGTGCAAATGATAACATGAAGGGTAAAGACGTGGTTGTTGTTGGATATGGTAAATCAGCTTGTGACGTCGCAAATGCAGCAGCAGAACAAGGCATCGCAAAGGAAGTTACTTTGGTAGCCCGTCGTTTGATCTGGAAAGTGCCAAGAAAGATCAGAGGATTAACGTATAAATGGCTTCTATTGACAAGAATGGGAGAGGCATTGTTTGAATACATTCGACCAGGAAATATAGTAGAAAGCTTTTTCCATAGAACTTGGATCGGTTCCAAGATAAGAAACGGTATGATGGATTCGTTAGAATGGGTGATTTCTGGCCAGCTGGGACTGAAAAAGATCGACTTGGTGCCCCGCTTAGCATTCGAAACAGTCGCACAAAGTACAATCAGTTTATCGACCGAAGGACTTTACGATAAAGTTCGACAAGGAAGGCTGACGATCAAGAGGGACAATTATATAGTCAAGCTTGCACCTTCTCCTTATGATCCAAAGCAATGGGGTGCATATCTGTCAAGTGGGTCTTTCGTGCCTGCAGATCTGATTCTATGCGGGACTGGATTTCATCAAAAGCCTCCTGCATTTTTGCCTGACGAAATCGCCGAACAATTGCTAGACAAGAGAGGGTATTGGTTCATGTATAGACATATAAAGCCATTTGGTGTTCCAGATTTGACTTTCAACGGTTTTGGCTCATCACTCTTCTCTGCCACAAGTTCAGAAGCAAGTGCATTATGGATTGGTGCTTATTTAAGCCGTGGAGAATCCATGCTCCCCTCTGAAAAGGAACAAAAGCGAATCACGCAAGAAAAGTTGGAATGGTTAGAAGTTCGTTGTCAAGGTAAACATTCAAACGGTACAAATGTTGTTCCATTTTCCATGCATACGATTGATGAAGTCTTGGATGAAGCAAAGATCAATATCGGTAAATCAAGTAAATTGTTACAGTGGGTCTTTCCGATCAATCCAACTTATTATAGCGGACTTTCTCACAAATTAGCAAATCAATTAGCGAAAGAGAATGGAAATAAGAAGAACATTTGAATAGTTGTATTGCAATGCCCTAAACTGTATTATGACCAGCGCAACAAATAATATTGGTAATTTCATTGCAAAGGTTCCTTTGTTGCCATCTTCCTTTTGTTTATGAAGTGCACCAGCGCGGCTCCGTCATTTACGCCTTGCGGTCGAGTAACAAAAACAATGAAATGAATGGCGAATTTGCATAATAACGAAGAAAGTTATCTTCATTATGTGTGAAGAAGAAATTCTTCCAAGCTTTCCCTCTTACCAGCATCATCTATTCACAATGGCTTTGGTTGACAAGAATACCTCAGAGTACGGCAAATGTTGTCGTTTGCTCGTCGATGAACTCTCTCTCCATAATCTTGGGAATGATGTAGGCATACCAATGCTTGCAATCATTGGCAGTCAATCTGCAGGTAAATCGAGCGTCATAGTGGCTCTTTCAGGGATTCCTTTACCTCGTGCCTCTGGAACATGCACCCGTTGTCCAACGTGAGTACAAAATGTGGCAATGCATTTACTTCGATCCTCTCTGATGTACTGACTCGAGATCTTTTACTGATTCCTAGACAGGTACGCATCTTCGAGTCTGACCAAGAATGGACTTGTAAGATCACTTTGCTTGTTCACGTCGGCGAAGATGGTAATACGTTGCCTAAACCTAAGATTTATCAGTTTGGCAAAGCTTTGACGGATAAAGAAGCAGTACGAGAGCGTATCATGCATGCTCAATCTGCCATCCTCAATCCAAAGAAGCGTGAAGAGATCATCAAGTCTATCGAATCAGATGAAGAGGTGCAAAAAATCGAAAAGAACGAGTTGAATTTTTCAGAAGATCGAGTCTGTCTTGAAGTTAGTGGCAAAGATATGATCAATCTCACTTTGATCGACTTACCGGGGATCATTGCTACAACAGGACTCAGCGATAATCAAGATAGTGTCAAAAAGATTCAGCAGCTTGTTCACAAAACTATCAAGCAGGAAAATTGCTTAATTCTAGTAACGATTGCCATGACGACGGATTATGAAAATCAAGCTGCCGTAGAATTTGCCAAAATGGTAGATCCTCATTTTCAACGTACTTTAGGTGTTCTCACGAAACCAGATATGGTGAAAATGGCAGATCTACGCCACTGGCTCGAAATTATTGCCGGAGAAAAGTTTCCGATGCTTCATGGCTACTACGTCGTGAAATCCCTAGATTCTGATCAATTGCAAAAGGATATCCCTCATGATAAAGCTCGCGAGCTTGAGCAAGCTTATTTCGATGCAGATCTGTGGAAATCAGAAGGCAACCGTCAAGACCAGTGCGGATCGAAGAAGCTTGGAATCAAGCTGCAAGAGCTTTTTCAGAGTCTTACACTTGAGAAATTGCCAGGCATCATTGCAAAAGTACGGCGTGCGAGCTCTAAAGTGGATGAAGATCTTACAAATTTGCCAACAGAGGTGACCGAAAATGCTGCTAAGCAACATTTGCACGAGCTATTACAGAACGTCAGTAAAGAAGTAGTTGGGTCCCTTTCTGGTAAAATAACATTCACACCTTTTGTGAAACCGTATCGTTTGCTAGTCAATTCATTTCGACAGGATGTTTACCAAAGTCGGCCTATCTTTAAACCTTTCACAAAGGAAGAGATCCTGAAAGAAGCCAAATTTATCGATAAAATTCCTTTGAAAGAAGTAGAAAAGTATGAAGAGGATGACATCATGTCACAACCTGAAGCAGGAAAAGAAAATACTTCCAATCTTGATACAATACGCGCTGCCCTTGAAGAATCCGGCCTACCACCTTTGCCTTTCAATACCCCATGGCAAGTGAAGGAGCATTTAATGAAAAATGCTGTGCAAGACTTACCAGAAATCAGCATAGGATTTTACAATAAAACAATTGAGCTTCTCGTGGAAATGGTGAAGCTTGTTACGCAAAAAGTTGTTGCTCAGTCCTCAAATAGTCTCCTCAACAGCCGTATTGAGGAAATTTTGCTGAGATTTGTTGATGAAGAGGCTCACAATTGTTACAACTTCTTGGATGCAAACAATAAATGTGAAACAGAGGTGATTTCTACTTTGAATGATCACTATTACTGTGATAAGAAGGAATTTTATCGTAACCGACTTGTACTCGAACGTCACCGAGTTTTGTTCAAATTGAAGGCACCACCGCCATTCTCGTTTCTTTCAGAGTCAACAAATTTGCCTCCAAACAAATTTGCAAACACGGCAACAACATTCAATTTTGGGCCTGCAAGCTCGGCTAAATCTACAACCACAGCTATGCCTACAGTTGTCGCCTCAAATGGTACTGCTAACACACAGACACCTCAAAGCATGGCGCTTACAAAGCAGGTTGTTGAGAGTGTAACGGGGCCTAAAGTTGTATTTGCTGAACAATCAAGTGCATCAAATCAAAATGCAGGAAGCATGATTAAACCAACAAGACTCGAAACGAGGAAAGAAGAGGATGAGTTGAGAAAGGGATCGCCTTCTGTGATCGAAGAGATCGAAGTCGCTTCTGAGGTTCGGGCTTATTGGCAGGTGGGTATGAAAGAAAAAATAAAAAAGATTTGGCTCAAGTGACTGATTAATTTCTTTCTTTTTAAAGACGGTATTTAAACGTTTTGTTGATTATAATCACAGAACGCTAGATTTTCACCTCCTTCGCCCAATTCGTGAAAAGTGTCTGAAACGTCTTTGTGCTGGATTTAATATCTTTGGTGACCTTACTTCTTCGCAAGCTCATGCTTACTTACGTGAACCTGAAGCTCAACGTAATCGTAGAAATGAATTACAATTACGCAAAATACGCTTAGACAATGCTCTCAAGGCGATCCGAAAGCTGCAAGGAGGAGACTATGATCTCACGGCTAAAGAGTAGAAGAAGTGTTTTGTTTTATCATTCCTTTCATTTTGTATTTAGATCACAATGACATCCTCTCATTTCTCATTTTGAGAATACCCTTGACCCACGTTTGACTATAATTATACGCTAAAGATGGTCCCTGCCGAAAAAGAACGGATCAGGAACACAATACAATGCATGCACATGACTGTCAACCGATCCCGTGTTGTGTATATGACTCGCTCAGCATTACATTACATGCTCCGTCTAATGTGTGGCAGGCTCAGCATCCTTGGAGCGGGGGACTACGCCGATGCTGAGCACAAAGTGACAGACAGACGACAGTTGCTTTACGCGCTAAACCCATGCACGCACAAGCCCGCATTCCCTAACCCATTTCATTTGACTCAGCGCCGGAGCGGCACACGCCATTGTGTTTCCAATGAATGAAAGAGTCATGAATTGCCGTTTTAACTAAGTCAATTTCCATGGATATCATTAAAACGGCTGAGTCAATTCTTTTCTTCTCCCCCTTCTTGATCTGAGCGAGCGAGCGAGAAGCATAGCATGTATTCATCATCACGACCAACAGATAGAATGCTGTTCAATCCTGCAGGGGGACTCAAGCCATTTGGGCAGTGAACTTTGTGTAACCTTCTTCCCGGTACGACCTTCTGATTGTACTATAAATAAGGCTGTTCCATCGTGAACAAATTCAATTATAATTTCCCCATCTTCACAATATTCAAAGCATCTCCCAATTGCTACTACTCATAACATCTCTAACAATGTCTCATCTCATCGGTTCCGACGTAATGTCAATGCTTCCAATCGAACCTTTAGACAAATCTGTCAGCTTGAAAGGCAAACCAGACAGTCAAGGTAATCCAACAACACCTCTTCGTAGATATGGTTATTCTACACCACCAAAGAAAGAAGATTCGAAGTCCAAACAAATGCCAGTCACTGCACCTCGTCAAAGTTTCGAAACTGATTCAACCGCTTTCAGTATCAACGAACAACCTTACAACAAAACAGGCACTCAATCTCGTCAATATGCTAAAGACTTCACCGTTTCTGATGATGTCCAAACTATGCTCAAAGGTCGTTCACGTGGAGGTGGTTTAGCACTCGATGGAGAACCGTTACGTTCATCTGCAAAAGGTGATTTGAAAAAGTCAAAATCAAACTCTTCCTCCTCCTCTTCGTCATCATCATCCTCAAACTCATCATCCAACGGACTAAAGGGAAAGAGTGTCAAAGATGCAATTCTTTCCAAATTTGGAGGAAAAGGCAACAAGAGCAAGTCAAACACTCCAGAAAAAGAAACTTGATGTCAATCATCAACGCTTCTTCTCTGTTAATGGTTTATTATTTTATGATATCTTGAAGTCATTTCGATGTCAGTCTCGCATCGCGCAATTTTTGTTCGGACACACCTGCGCAAAAAGTGTGATCTTTTCTACTCGAGTTTGGGTTCTTTAGAGCCCAAATTAGCTCAATCAGTATGCTGGATGACGAAAAAGAGTAAGAGAGGGTAGTAGGCTACGGCCTCCCCTCTTTTGCTCGTGTTTCAATAGGATTCTTTTCGTCATCACTTTCTCCAAAAGGCATTGATTATTGCTGGTATTTGTGACTGTCTCCTGTCATTAAAACACTTTCTCTTTATTCCTCATCCTTCCCTCCCCCAGTACCTATCCATTCACTCAACTTCTCTCTCGGCTAGCATTCATGCCGTAGAATTGTACTCTCTCCCCCTGTCAATGAAAAATTTTGCTTACTAAACTTTGTGCAAGCATTTCCATTCGTTAACCAAATCTGATTGCCAAGAATACACAATGAAACAACAGTGAAAATGGGGAAGCCAAAACATGCGTGAGTGTGAATAGATACAGTGGTAAATTATCGTTGAGAAGGGGAGGGGGATATGAAAGGGGAAAAAAGGGGGAAGTTGAAAATCGGTTCTTTGGTGTTATTGTCATTCAATCATAAGGGTCCTTTGAAACAGTTCTACACAGAAACAAAATTTGGTTGTTCGAGCGGAGGATCGAATTCAGACGTTGATTCAGCAGGAACGGCATCTTCACGTACGATACGTTCAAATTCCCTTGCCAACTCTTTACGGAATTGATATCGTTCTCTTCGGGTATATTTGGAATCCAAAATTTCTTCAGAAAGCAAAAGTCGTCTGACTCGATTAATTATGCCTTTTGCTCCATCCATTTCGAGATCCAATGCATCATATCGATGTACGTATCGTTCAAACTTTACCAATTCTTCCGTTGTCAATTCATCTCGTAAACGCATATACAACCTTCTATGTGCGCCTTTTGGATCGTTATCAGATTCTTCTGTTGCTGCTAATGTCACAGCATCACTTGCACCATTTAGCACCGCCTCATTGCTTACCGGCGATACTGCATTCGTGGCAGCAAAATTTGCATTATTGATGCCTTGCATTCGTTCACGTTCTTCCTCCAAATCAAGACTAGCATCGCTATCGCTTGGTTCAACGGTATTGCGTAACTCCAACGCAGACATTGCACCGCTTCGTGTCCCATTCAACGTCACTTGACCGAGAGGTGCAGAGCCTGTCCTTCTGATCGTTTGTCGTGGAACTTTGTCAGTTTTTTCTTTGACCTCTTCACCTTGATTGCTAAACACATCATCCTTATCGATTGGAATTGCATCATGCAAGGAATGACTGCCAGCACGGCTTCTCGCTCTACCTCGAACTCCGTTGTTGCTCATCCTAGAACTTGGCCTACTGCCTCGACCTGACATTGGTGCACTCATCAAGTCAGAAGGATGTATGTTCTCCTTGTCATTACTTGATGAACCATCTTGCAAAGCTGAAGTTGCGTTGTCCATATGCACCCTTGCCTGCAAAAAGTGCAATTGTTGTTGTTGGCTTAGACTAATTTTGCGTAATTGTCGTTTCTGTTCAACCACACCTTGCAAATATTCTTCAGTCACGGTCATAGCATCGCTTTGTACACTTCCACAACGACTTCCAGGAACAGTTGATAATCTGCCATCACCAGAAGCGGGCGCTTTCAATAAACCACGAACACCAAGACCTTGCAAAGAGTCTGCGTTCTCATGCGAAGCATTACGCTTGGAGGTAGCAGATGGCTTGCTCTGGTTCACCATCCCTACCGCTGCGCTTTCACTATTTTGATGGCGTAGAACTGGCTTTGGAGGAGAAGGACCTTGTTGCTCTGTCCCAGATGCGGGGTTAGCGGGCCTTAGCATTGGTGCTGAGCTGCTAGATGGTAATCTGTTCATCTTTGTCGCTTCTTTCTTGTCTCTATGTGTGTTTGCTAATGATTGAATCACCAATGCTTTTGAATTGACAACCTCGCTTGGTGGAAAGCTGTGCGATTCAGACAAGCCCAGTCCTCCATGTCTTGCACTGGGTGCCAAAAGAGATCCTTGGGCAGCATGATAAGCTTCATGCATATTTGCTGCAGCATCACGATTACGAGCATCCTGTGCAAGTATTTCGTTCATGTTGCTATCATTGCGTTCATGACGAGTTGTATGCGTGCGAGTGGCATCGTTCCGTGAAGGATTGTTCAACTTTTCATACTGCTCATATTGATCATAAGACGGGTTTCGAAATCGAGTCAATGCATCGCCCCGAGAGTCAAAGTGTTGTACTGCATTACGTAAAGAAGAAGGCATAGAAAGAATTGAAAGCGAAGTGGGAGGACGTTGATCCAGACTGCCTTCCGAATGACGGATATCAGAAGAAGATTCTGAGTGTAAGTGATGAGGAAGATTCCGATCGTCGCTGTATTGATTGCTGTGGCTATCTGTCAAAGGAGGAGGAGAGGGAATGCTGTTTGCAGCAGAGCTCAATACCTCGTGCGGCCTTCTGATTGGTTGAGAGGATGGATGACGAAGAGTCGGCTTCATGTATCGCTCGTGACGATCTTCTGTTCGTCTCCTTTCATCTTCGAGCATCATTGCCGTTTCTTTCAAGCCTCTTAGCTGTAACTCCAGAGCCCTAACATCCTCTTCATGTTTACGATTCGTCTCACGAAGATAGCGATTTTCTATTTCGAGATTGTCTGACCTTGCCTTCATGTTCGTTGCGTACCTCTGCCAACTTTGACATTTCTCAAGCAAAGCATAGTACTGCTGAACGAATCTGGTTGTCTCATCAACTTGCTGAGAGGACTGGAAAAGGAAAGAATATTAGCTTTCACTCGCATACAAACACCAAATGCTTCACTTACTCTATCGTCATTTGGTCCTGGAGGACTTGGAATACGTGCAATAAGATCTTGTATGCCTCGCAAAGAAGATATGCCTTCATTCGACGTAGCAAGCTCCGGTGTATTATGCATGAAATGTGGGTCAATATGGCCTATTGAATTTGACCGAGATTCAACATGCACGCCTGTTGCATTTCGTTGATTGCCCGGTCCACGATGATGTGCAAAATGACGATTGGAAGACTGTGTTTGATGGGCAGAATGCAAATTTTGCAAAGAATGTGAAGAAGGAATGTGACCTGGATGATGTGGTTTGGTATTCATTTTTGGACTGATCTTTCGTTCATTGGACGAATGTGTTTGTGCATTCGAAGGAACAACTCCACTTCCCACAGACGAAGAACTTCGATCACGTCCAGACGTTGCAGGATTTTGCTGCTGTTGAGGAAGAGAGTGACTTTGTTGTTGAGTTGAATTGCCAACACAATTGCTCATGTTTTGTCCACTCGAATGACCGTTTAACTTTTCACGACTCTTTTCACGTGTGGCCTCCCTTTCCCTTCGTAATTGTGCTCGTAATTCAGTATTGAACGCCGGTCCACCACTTTGTTGTGGTTGTTGTGCTCCTGATGCTGCTCCTGTACTTGCATTGGACATCAATGAAGGCGAAGGTGCCGCCGCCGCCGCTGAATTATATGCAGATGAATTCGCATTAGAAGCGGAATTTGAATTGGAAATGAAGTAATTGCCTGAATGATGTGAAGAAGATGTTGCGGAAGATAATTGGGCTAAGCCTCCTAAATTAGGAGTACTTTGCGCGCTATTTGATCCCGTTCCTGGTGCCGTCTTCATATTGAAATTTGTTTGTGATTGATGATGCGTTTGACCAGATGAATTCTGGAGAGCGATGGTTGATGTCGTGCGATTATGTGTTATGCCAGGATTGGATGTATGGGAAGGAACACTTGATCCACCACACATCGATACTGGACGAGAAACAACCATTTTCAGCTTGATCACACACGATTGCCAGCAAAGATGTGATTGTCGGAAGTGATTGCAATCTGAGTAAAATTGCGGACGACTGAAAGCGGAATGCTGACTAAGTGCAAAGTAGTCAAAGCAGGTGAGCAGATCACCTTCTTTTCTCAGCAAGAAGAATTGACTATTTCCATCAGCTGTTAAGAGATGATCATAAAGCTGAAAGAAGCAAGAGAGATGGAAATGATGGAGTAGGGATGACAATATGGAGAAAGAAAGTGAACAAAGGTAAAAAGAGTGTTACTCATTGCTCACCTTCTCAAAAAGGACAGAGCGTAGTCACTCACTAATTGTCCGAACAATCAGGGTACATGCGAGAATGGAATCGGCATTATATGCATGAATACTGTTTCATTTGACAGCAATAAAATGCTGTGCACAATACAATTGCAATCCTGGTCATCAAAATAGTGTGAGCCTTTGTCCCGGCAAGGTGAGAGAATCAAGAATTTGAGCAACTTTCTAACATCACACAAAGGGGATCTATTCCCGCATGCAAACAAATAAGAAAGACGAAGTGCCGATCAAATATCATTCTGTTTGTTGTATTGTATGCATTCATGCATGCAGTGATGTCTTTTTTGGTGTGACTTTTGCTTATTTCCACCCTATTTTTACTGCGATAATGTGCTCTATTGGGGCGCGTAGCGCGTTTTTCAAAGTGAAACACAAACAAAAAAGTGTTGTTCTTTTGTTCAAGTGTTGTTTGTGTTGATCTTCTTAAAAAGCGCGGGCTACGCTAGTTTAGCCTATTCTTTCATTCGAGGGTCTGATTGTCAGTCACAATTTCAACGGTTGAGTTCCGATCAAGTGTTCCCTCTTCAGCAGTATGTGATAAGTTCTTCCCAAACATGATCAGTATCACAAGATCTAAAATCATGTAAAATGTAAGGTTCACTTGACTTTATTGTTGTGCTTTGAAATTGAATTTTATTTCGCTTCCGATGCATTAAAGATCCGAAAGCCTGTTCATTCATACCGTACGAGTGCATATCAATTAGCAGAGGTCGTGTGGACAGTGGCGTAAGTACAATCCCATGCTTTCCAAAGGCTAGAAAAGTGTTAGCGAATGTATGTGGATACACAAGCCTCAACTTTTGAGAGATCACAAATTCACATCCACGCATGCAATGTTTCTTGCACAATAATTGCCTCTCCACCTTTTTCTTATTGTCTGCAAGATTTCCACCGTTCTCCGTTCGGCTCATTTCTTTTTCATCAAGGCCCGATACATACATTTGGCCGTAAGCTCCGAATTTGACCTGAAATGGCTTGGCTTATTTCTCTTTTTAGAATGATAAAGTGCCTTACACAACTACGTTGATCTGCACGCTATGATGATGATCCTGCATTGCATGCATGCATCCAAGAAGAATCAAGTCTGATAAAGTCACACTTTTTTAACCTTTTCAATAAGAGCACGTAATGCTTGAACAACATCGCGTTCAAATTCACGCGCAGGTTAGGTTTGTCACGTGTTTTTGGGGCAGTTTGATCAGACGGACATAAAGATCTTTGCGGCATTTGAATTGGTCTACCTGCAGATCGATTTCATTTCTGGCTATCCGCTTCAAAGACGTGATTGATGTAAAGCGGAGAAAATATAACTTTTGCATCAATTGATGTAGAGTTTGAGTAAACGTGGCTGATAAGTAAACGTGCAGTTTGCAACAAAATGCCTTACTGATTTTGATGAGGAGATTTTGACACAATTGCCTTGATGGTATTTCACGTTATTACGTACAAATCAAACTCTTTCTTTCAAAGTCTAAGGTGGCTTTTTTAATGAACACGTTTTTTAATGAACACGTTTTTTAATGAACACGTTTTTTAATGAACACGTTGATGAGGTCATTCGATCTGGAGAAAAAGAATATTTTCCATATTACCATATATATTCCCCACATCGATACGCCCCGCCGCGTATCCGAGTAAAAAGGGTAACGCGTGCTTCCGCTTCTGTGCGTGTCGATCTTTCATTTTCGGCTGTGCTGGTATTACTTCTGATGGATGTTCATTTTTCTTTGGGTTTCCGACTTTTTGATTTATAGAAATCCACTAAACTCAGATCTTTGTCAACAAAACTTTTATTATCTTTCAATCTCAGATTTTGTTTGGATTTAGAGCGAAGCTAGATTAGTATGATGCAATTCCAATATTTGTGAAATATAAAGGAGAAACGTGGGCTTTTGTTTGACTTCACTTGTCCTCCTATGCGGGCGCGGGCGTTTTGACTGTTTCTCCTCCATCGGGAGTGAAAAGTCTAGATTGGTTTTACATACGTCACTGCCTTGTGCCGCGTTTTGATTGACAAGAATGGAAAGTATGAATTACACTAGTCATACCATAGAACACGCGCCGACAATTAGGAGTAGCCGCCGCGCAAAAGGAGATGCAATAACACACAGACATTAATTTTTATGAAAAGGCACATTTAGTGTGAAGATCTGCATCATTAGAGTTTTGACAGGGATAGTGACAATTACCATGCAGGAACTCTATTCAATGCACAGGCAGACAGTATTTCTCCCCCTTTGCTTTCGGCGCACAAAAGACTCACTCCTGATCCCCAGTTCGGCATGTATATATTTATATATATAAACACCTTTGACCTCTATGGTCAATCATCTTTCTCACATCCATCGTCATTTGATTCTTTCCTGTCTGCCATCACTACGTAACAACAATGACTCACAGCAACGGTACCGCGACTGATCATCATGGAACCGGATTCGGAGAAACGATGAGAAATTTATTCTCATTCAAATCTTCAAAGAGAAAGCTAATTCCGAAAACAATGTTTGAACAGTTACCAGAAATATCAGACAAACAACCGTCAAAGCATTCACAACAACAACAACAACGTTCAATGCGATCCCTTCCACCTACAAGCTCATCACCTGAAACAGTCAAGATGAAAAGGGCAACCGTCATCGTCAAAAATGATGATGTAAACGTCCGTGCTACTACTTTACCCCGTCGTGCACTTTCACAGAGACATCCTGCCGCTGATAATCGTAGGTCCAGTCAATATTGGGGTCCGCCTCCTATGCAAAGATCCATGAGTGGAAGATATGCCGATAACCCTAATCGTAAATCGCGTATTATGATGGGTTTAGAATTGGAGGATGAAGAAGCAAAAATTGAAAGACGTCAACCACTTCCTGAAGGAAAGCCTGTGAGCATTTTGGTCAGCGATCAACCTCCTTCACGAAATCAACGCAACTTTACCGAACCCGTATCCACCTCCAAGCTCTCACGATCAGTAACTATTTCCGCTAAACCCACCATTGGCCGATCAGCGCTTTCCGGTGGCCATTCACCATCACCAAAGAAATCGACAACTCTACAACGATCTACATCTGTTTCCAGCACGTTCAGAGCAAGACCACGGGGAGGATTGCCAAGCGCGATGGAAATGCAAAAGCGATCTTCTCAATTCATTGGCTATTGGTGTCCTTACCCTAGCACGGCAACAGAAAGTAGCCCTGTACCGGAAAAGAATGAACTTCGATTCGAAAACGAGCTGGATCTCGATTATGGTCTTGAGGATGATGAGGAAATTCAACTAACAGCCGAAGAAGCAATGTTCCCAAAGAGAATTTACTCCAGACAGGTTCGGGCCAGCGAAAAAGAACAACAAATGCAAGAGCTTATTCACGCCCACTTTGCATCCGATTCAAATCCTTCATCAAGCTCGCATGGCAGTCCTATTTCCATCTCGAAAAGTCTGCCTAGCTCTCTTGCTCAACAAAAAGATCCAAATGCGCCATGTTGGGCCGTTCTTCGTGGTTGGAGAATGGGTGTTTATTCAACCCGTGAAGAAGCAGAAAGACAGATGGAAAATTTCCCTGGTCCGTATATGCAAGAATTTCCAAACGAACGAGAGGCAAGACAATGGCTTCAAGATGGTGCAACAGATGCACGTAGAATCCCTTCCGTTCGTACTTTGGAGCTAGATGAAGATTTCAATCATCCTTCTTTGTCACGAATGAGTCTATACGAACGAGCAGATGTGATCGAAGGTCGCGTAAAGAGAGCATACAGCTTACGCAGGGAAGTACCTCGCAAGGTTGTTCCTCAAAAAGGTTTTCCTGCCTTACCCAAACCTCCAGTGGATGTTTGATCTGACTTTCTCACACTTGTACTTTTATTCCAAACATACCTTTGCCTTTCCGTTCTCTCTGTATACCTTATAAAATGATGATGATAATATTACTTATGCTATCAAGATAATACAATTGAAAATTTTGACGAGAATAGGTATCATGTCTGCGTGACATATAGGTTGCTACTTGAGTGAGATGCTTGCTTTGTGTACAAAATGAGTAAAGAAAAAAGGTATCCTGTTGTGTTTGATTGATGTGCTGTTGAAGTGAGGGGAGTTTCGTATAAAAATCATTCGTTCAAAAAGAAAGGATGCTTGAGTGCCTCTGTTGCCGTACAGCGTTTTGTGAGATCTAATTGTAAACAAGATCGACAGAGATCCAAGGCATTATCCACTTCTTGAGTGAACGATTCGGGATCAGGGTGATTATCCGGTGCTTTGTAAACGTCTGGGTTTAGATGTTCGATGAACTCGGGAATACGGTAACCTTGCGGTTCATCTGATGGAACGTTGCAATGAAAAGTACGATTATGCAAGATTGCCGCTTGTGTCATTCTACGACGACCAAAGATGATTGTTAATTCGAGCAATGCTTCTGTATCATCGTTTGAATTGAACAAAGGGAATCTCTTTGTCAAAAATGCCATCAAGATAATACCCGCAGACCAAATATCCAATGCGGTCGTTTGGTCTTGACATTTGTACAGCACTTCAGGTGCTCTGAACCCACGAGTGCCTGCACGATTGGCTCGAACGATTTGACGTGAATCTTCTTTGAGAATCCCGATTCGTTCTGGTGGTCCCATAGTATTGGTACGACCATGAGAATTGGATGCTGCAGCGGCCACCGACTTGGAGCCTTCATGAAGAGCTCCTCCAGCTTCCAAGTGTGTACTAAAGACGTTCCTGTTCACCTGAACACGACCGAAAGGATGTTCTTGAGTTGGTACGCTATGATGACACTTTCCGCGCCATTCTAGAGGCTCAAATCGTTCCGCTAATCCAAAGTCGCACAAAGTACCTTCTCCGGATCGTGGATCGTACAAGAAATTTGCCGGTTTGACATCACGATGGATAATATTTTGCTCGTGTGCACCCTCTAAAGCTTTGAATAAACAGCGAAAGTAACACTTTAAATCGACCAATGGCATGATTCGGTAATATTCACGAAAGTCTGTATGGCGGCTATAAGGCATCACTGCAATAATTTGATCCTCTGTTCGGAAAGCTGTGATAAGATAAGAAATGTTGTTGTAGTTTCGAAGCTTTTCCATAATTTCCAATTCGTTAAGGATACGCTGTGGAGAACTTGTCACATAAATGCGTTTTAAGGCAACATAAACATTCTTGCTTCGATTTTGCTGTCCAGCTGGTGACGGCGGAGGCGGACCTGGAAGTTTACCTGTCCATAAATAATTGTCATATAAGTGATGATTTTTATCGATTGCCTTGTAAACTGATGAGAATGTTCCTTCGCCTAATTTGTCTACTACCTCAAATTGCGAGAGGCCTTCAACATCTTGCTCCATTACGCGAATCTCCTCTTCGATTCTATCCCATTCTCCATCGCTCCTTTGTTGAGGTGGTTCACTGCTCAAATCTTCTTCGGGTTCTTCGACCAAATCTAATCCATCTTGCATTTCGAAATCTTCTCCTTCGGGAGAAACAAGATCGACCACGCTGCCGCCCAATTCTTCTGCTGCGCTATCGCAATATTCCGAAGGAGCAGGAGATCTCGAATGCGGGAAAGGGCTATTTGTACGTTCTGAAGGTGGTAAACTTCCACTCATTGAAAGTACAGTTCCACTACCAGCTTCAGCCTTTTTGATGGAATTAGAAGATGCTGTAGAAGCAATAAAACGTGCAAAATTTGAATTCATCCTTGCCGTCTTTTCAGCTTCTACTCCTTGCCGAAAGTTCCTAAAGATCACCTCACGACCACTCATCCTTGCTTGATCTTGAAGGAATGAGAGCGCAAGGATGATATGCTGAAGAGTGAAAGGTGCAATCCCAACACTTGCATACATTAAATGAATCAAACGCGTAACTGTACAGTGTAAAACACCTTTGATCGTGTCTTGTCACGCACACTGGCTGCTATTCAGATTTGAACACCGCATAAAGCGCGTATCATCACGTGGCTTAAACCTTACTGAGAAGATCTTCTTGAAAAAAGTCACATTCAGGCTCTCGCACTGTACGCGCACTTCCTCAGCAAGGCACGCCAGATCGATCTTCAACGGACATCATCGCTTCCTCTTGTCTTGACTTTCCACTATATCACACATCAAAAATGACAGTGGACCTCATCACAATCTTAGGTGAACTAAGCTTCGCTGAACAGGTAAGTAATCACAAAATTTGAAGATTCATTAAGCTCTTTTGCTCACCTTTTCATCCTCTCCAACCTATAGATCAATGAGATCGGTCAGTTTGCAGGTCAAAAGAAAGGAGCAGAAGCACATGCTGCTCTCATTAAGAAAGCCGAAGCAGCACAAGATGAAGCTTCTCGTAAAGCAATCGTGAAGGAAATCGTTTCTGAAATTCAAGGCGTACCAGCAGAAGCAAATGATCGTGAAGTAGAAGGAATTTTCAACCTACTTGGAAATGTAATCATAAACAACTTTTCCGATGATCAGCAATCCGCCAAGCCACTCTTTGAGCAACTGCTCAAGGTTTTGACAGCACCCGAATCGATGGCCGGTGCGAACATCGGTCAAGCAAGCGATAAAGCTCTCGTACGATACCGCATCTTATCCAACCTGTACAACGCCCTACCAAACAGATCAGCAAATCGATTCATTGTCTTTAGCTCTCTGTTGCAGTTTGCAAACGCAAATGACGACCTCGACATCATTGCAGACGCTTTGACAGCTTTACCAAACTGGCTCGCAGAATGGGATGTATCACCAACCGAAAAGGCAGACTTATTGTCAAAAGTTGCACAGAACTTCGAAGCAGCCGGACAACCAAAGCAGGCGTACGAATTCCTTTTGCTACATGTCAGATTCTTGGGAACTTCAACACTTTCAGGAGAGGGATCTTCAGCCGCTGCTACTAAACAAGCTGCTGAAAAAACAATCTCTGCTGCCTTGAGCTTGCCTAGCGTTTTTGAATTTGAAGAATTAGCACAGATTGAAGCCGTTCAAAAGTTACAATCTGAGCCGATCGGCAAATTGCTCAACGTCTTCTTACAAGGTAACACAAAAGATTTCATCCAATGGCGTGATGCAAATGCAGCTGAAGTGACAAGATTGAAGCTATCTGCTGCTCAACTGGAAAGAAAGATTCAATTGTTGGATTTGGCAAACCTATGTTCACGATCGATTTCCAGCACAGTATCCTACAGCGAAATTGCAAAGACTTTGAATGTCGACTTGGAGGAAGTTGAAGTTTGGGTTATCGATGTTATCCGTGCTGGTTTGGTATCCGGAAAACTTTCACAAATCAATCAATCATTACGTGTATACAAAAGTGTTTACCGTTCTTTCGGTACAGAACAATGGCGTTTATTGGAAACAAGATTATCAACATGGGAAAAGAGTATCGCAAGCATTTTACAAACTTTGGCAGAAGCAAGACAATCAGGTCATACAGTTCCAAGAGAGATCGGTGTACCCGGTGCTGATGCCGCGACTGCCAAGCAGCAACAAAATCAAATTACTGCTTAAACCCATGATTGTATCTTGGGTCAACTTTGTACTTTATAGCTTTCCCTCCCTCTCTCACACTAGCCCTCAAGCAGTCTTGTATATGTGGAAAAATGCAAATTGCTTTTTGCAATGGCAAGCAGCCAAAGGGCAGGTAAAAATACATGAAATTGACGAAAATCATACAAAGTGAAAAATCTCTAAGTTGCTAAATCCCCATCATCACCTCTTTCGGGTCCCGGTCTTGTGCCTGATCGTGTTGCATTCGAAGCACCCGGCAGTCCACTCAATCTACTTCGCAATGATTCATACTTTCGCCTTTGTGCAACTCCTACACTGGGTTGAGTTTTGTCCAAAGCAGCATGGAAATGTGGAATGCCCACCAGCACTTGTAAATTAGCATTTCTGACTCCAGTAGAGAACGTTGCGCCATTTCTTCTCTCATTGAGCTGATTGTCTTGTTGATGGTCTTGTGCATCCATACTATTTGCGATCAATTCTTTTCGAACTTTCAATTTTTCACGTAAGGCCAAAACACTTGCTTCTCGAACCAAAGCGGCTAAATCAGCACCACTGAAACCATCACAACGACTGTCCATTGCAATTCCACATAGCCAGCCCACGCCTTGTTGAGAAGCTTTAACGAACTCTGCTTGTACTTCTGCACCGAATGACTGCATTGATTCGGCAAATTGTCCTTCTTGTCTTTGCAACGGCGTCTTTTGTGTTAATGTCATTAGAATCTTTATGCGTTCCAAAGTGTTTGGCAGATCAACATACAATAGCTTGTCCAATCTGCCTGGTCTGCACATTGCAGGATCGATCATGTCCGGTCGATTTGTTGCACCTATAACATACGTTTGAACACGAGCTTCCAAACCATCCAATTCTGTCAAAAGCGTATTGACGACACGAGAAGATGATTCCGAAAGACTATCATCACGACGAGGAACCAAAGCGTCCAATTCATCAAAGAAAATCACGCAAGGTGAAGAAGTTCGAGCACGAGCAAAGACTTGTCGAACTGCACGTTCACTTTCACCAACGTATTTGTTTAACAATTCCGGTCCTTTAACGCTGATAAAGTTTGCACCACTTTCGTTTGCGACTGCTTTTGCTAAAAGTGTTTTTCCACAACCTGGAGGTCCCCATAATAAAACTCCTCCGCTATTTGAAACGCCAATCGCTTTGAATAACTCAGGATGTTTGATCGGCTCAACGATTGTCATTTCTAATTCTTCTCGAGTTGCCTCCAAAGCACCAATGTCTGACCATGTCACTTCAGGTACAGTCGCGAATCCTTCACGTTTAGATGACGGCTGTATCGATGGAAGTGCGTCCAAGAAATCTTGAGGTGAGATTTGCAGGCGTTCCAATTGATTAGCGGTAAGAGGTGTTGGGTGATATCTCAAGAATGTCGCAATCGCCGATGTTCGTAAAGATGGCGGAAGTGCCTCGAACAAAGATGCAGAGGGTAAAGCATGTGAGGATGCACTCACCACTTGATCCTCGTTGGCCACAGGCGTGCTTGGAGCGTTTGCTTGCTCAATTGGGTCAGATGTTCCGTCCTCAGCAGGTTGTGTGACTGGATTGCTATCACCTTCATTCATTTGCTCGTCGGTCATGTCAATATCTTTACCCAGCTCTGCCAACTCGCTGAAGATTCTCTTTACTGCCCGTATTCCTGCAGCTGCTGTCAATGCTACCAGATCGGCGCCTACATATCCCGGTGTCTGCTTGGCAAGTGAGCGTAAATCAAAGTCTCCCGATAGTCGAAGACCGTTGCATAGGATTCTCAAAATCTCCTCCCTACCTGCTTCATCCGGAACACCCAATGCAATTTCGTGATCGAATCTACCTGCTCTTCTCAATGCAGGGTCCAGTGAATCTGGTCTGTTCGTTGCTCCTATCACCATGACTGGCTTTCCATCTGTCTTATCCCAAGTTAGATCATCAAGCAAGGTGAGCAGTTGAGCCACAATTCTTCTTTCCATCTCTCTACTTGCTGTCTCACGTTTGGGTGTGATTGCATCAATCTCATCCAAAAATAGAATACAAGGAGCAAGAGTGATTGCTTCATCGAATAGCTTGCGTAACGTTTGCTCTGATTCTCCTGATGTACCCGAAACGATAGATGGAGAAGAGATGCTAAGCAAAGGAACGTTCAATTCTCCTGCTAATGCACCTGCAAGCATCGTCTTTCCACAACCCGGTGGTCCATGTAAAAGCACACCCCTTGGCGGTTTAACGCCTGTGTGTGAATAAATTTCAGGATGACAAAGAGGCATTGCGATCAGCTCTAGAATCTTATCAAGAGCATTTGTCACTCCTCCCAAGTCTTTCAGTCGAGCTGTTGGCATTGTAGCATTACTGCTGCTCTTTGATGTACTCCCTCCTCCAAATCCTTCTCGAAGGCCTGATCCACCTTTTCGTCTCTTTGATCCTGCCGGTGAAGCCGTGCTAGATGGATCGACTGCATTGCTAGATGGCATCCTTGATTTTCGCTTCATTAGTAAGGCAGCATTTGATGATACTTCTATCGAATCTTTCTCTGCATCTTCTCCTGTTGCTTCTGCTATTGGCGTACTTCCTTCTGCTGATGTTCCTTGCATTGCTGTTCCATCTTCGTTCGTTTGTTGTTCTCTCATGGCAGCTGCTGCGGCTGCTGCTGAGCCAGGAGGTAGAGTCTCGGGCACCAACCATGGAGTATTAGTGGGTGCCATACCGGGTGAAGCACTACCGGATGGACCTCCATTATTGTTCTCTGAAGGTTGTGCTGCACTTTTTGGGTTAGCATTCAAGCTTATCTTGTTTCGCCTTGAAGATCCGGAAGACGATGATCCAGTCGCCCATGCACCAGTGATAGCTCTATTCATCTCTTCCCCCTCTAGGTTGACTATATGATGATGATGAAGATATGCATGATAATGAAATTCCTATTCCATCCAAAAATTTAGTACAACACCTTAAATTCTAAAAATTTCTTCGGCCGAATCTCGTTTTAATTTCATACTTCCCGCGCCGCCTTTTGTAAAAACACCCAGACGCGTCAACAAGGTTGTTATTTTGTATCTGCGCGTAGGCTGTGTTGGAGTGTTGAGTGTTGGTCTACACATAAAATAGGGGAGTAAAGTGCCCCTTTTCCTCCTCTGGTAAAGCAGCCTAATTGACGTCAATGTTGATATCAATCACAGTCTTGTGCATTTAAAGTCTGGGCGCCCTTTTGTGCCTGTGTGTTTGTGTGATCATTCTTGTTTATTCGATAAAGTGTAATGCAGCTTAAATGCATTCATGTGTCAGAATGGCATAGCTGCAAGATTTCTAGTAAAACGGCAACTTTTAAAAGCTACGTACAAACAAATCCAACTTTTGGTTTATGTAGCCCTCTTTCAACCTTCACCATCAACACTCGGATCGCTTTTTTAGCTTCATATCACAATGGCTGTTTACGCCAGCTCTCCTTCACAGGATCTGACAGCTGCTTGGTATGCGGCAGCTCCTCCTCCTCCACCGCCTCAAGCAAAAGGTCAATCCAAAAGGGCCTCTATGGCAGCTAAACCAACATATTCCAACAATGCTGATACATTTCAAACAAGTAGCTCATCCACTTCTTTATCTTTTGATAAACGTACAATGGGAGATGATTTACCAAGAGATTCTCATTCACCGGCTCCAGAAAGGCCGGTAAGTCGAAATGCAATGGCAAGACAGCGAGAACGTGAAAGGCAAAGAGCAAGAACGAATAGTACTTCTGGACTACCAGAGGATGTACAGTTTCACCAAATGAATCATTCTGTTCATGGTCAATCTCATCAAAGTAATCATTTACAATCAATTGACACTCTGCCAAACAGAAGTCCTTCGCCTGGTCCACGAAATCGAAGGGAATCAAGTCCAGCAGCTGCAGGCCAATGGTCTGCTCATCATCCAGAACAGAATGCACAACAGCACGGATACAATCCACAAGCTGGACAGAGCTATAATCCCGCACATCAGAATGGATACGCTATGGCCCTTCCTCCAGTCACACAAGCTTATCCGGCTTCTACAACAGTTGTACAGCAGCCTGTGCCCTCTTACGGATCTGTCTGGGCAGCACCTCCTCCAACTTCACCTTCTCCAGGTCCGCAATACTACACACCTGCACCACAACAATTCGTCCAACAAAGTCCAATGCAGCCTCCTCATCCACAACAACAACACTACAATGGTTATCCGGCCGGATATGTTTCAGCTCCACAAACACCTTCTCAATTTACTCAAGGATACTGGCCCCAAGCAAATGGTCAACAGCCTGTTTACGTTGCTGAACCGATGAGTATGCCACAAACACCTGTGTATGCTGGTACACCTGTTGTGAATGGTCAAGGTCAATGGATGGCGCCTCAACAACAAAGTGCCCCAGTCCCTTTCCCGACATCTACCGCCATGCCTCCACCACCTGTACCTGTCAATCAACCTATGAGTGGATATGGGCAGGTACATCCGCAACAACAAGGCTATCCTGTGAACGCTTACGGTACGCCTCCAACAGTTAACGGTCGTCCTTTGCCTGCGCCTTCTAGAACATCATCACAAAGCAGTTCGGTCGGTACAAGGGCAAGTACGACATCTCTTGGATCCGTTTCGGGTACCGTGAGACGTTCTTTGCCTCAGCCTCCTCAAGGTAGAAGTGATTCAAATCCTCAACCGATCATTTCAGGGCATACAACTGTTCGTCAATCCGACATCCCTGCTTCTCTTGGCCGCCATGAAAGTGTTCGAATGGCAGCTGAAGAGATTATGTCGCGCGGATTGCCAAATCGTAGAAAAGGATTACCCTCTTCGATGCGTACCCAAAGTGGTGCTTCTTCCATTCATACGCATGCAAATTCATCACGTAGCGACGGAAGCATCACAGACGGAACTTTGCCTGGCACAGGTCCAAAACCTTCTACACCTGTTCCTGTTACGCCACGTAATCGTGCTGAATCTGCAAGTTGTTTGGAGAACGAGATGAGATCGATGAAATTGCAGGATAATGAAAATCGTCATGCCAGTCTACGATCGAATAGAACGCCATTTGCTCCAGTACAGCCTACAGTCAATGGTCAACAGCATGTATCTGTTCCTGCACCATCATCAAACGAACCTGTTCGAGCTTCTTCTCCTAGACCGATCCGTGCAGCTCCAACGCCCGATCCTGAAGTCACAATCAACAGTCCTATGGAAGATATCATTCCAAGAAGACCAATTTCCCGTGGACCAAAAGATGAACGTGAAAGAAGGCGATCGATGGAAATCCAAGCTGCAACTGCGGCGGCTGCTAAGTCTCCTCAAGTTCCATCAATCACTGTTGACGAGGGACCGGCGATTCCAACATTTTCGTTTGATGAACCAGCTGTTTCACAACCTGCGGTTCCAACTATTGTAATGCCTGGGGAAGAAGACAGTGGACCATCAATCCAAATCTCAGAAGCACCACAAATTTGCGTCTCGGAAGAACATGAAGCCGAAAAGCCAACAGGAACGATTAGTATCTCGGTAAGCTCTGCCGGTCTTGCACAAAGATCCACTTCTAGCAACAATGTTCAGGGTCAGGCCAGTCAAGGTGGCCAACCACGTCAACGAACGGCCAGTAAACCATTCGCTGCGCCTGCTCCTGCTTCTGCACCTTCGATCGGTAGTGGAGCAGCTTGTGCTACATGTCAAAAATGGATCGGAGGTAGAGTGGTTCATGCGATGTCACATACATTCCATCCTGATTGTTTCGTTTGCTCGCATTGTAGCGAAGCATTGGAACATGTTGCCTTCTACGAACATGAAGGCAGACCATATTGTCATTTTGACTTTCACGAATTGTTCTCCAAGCGCTGTTTCCATTGTAGAACGCCAATCGTTGATCAACGATATATCACGATCAATGATGTAGAATTGGTCGGAAACGATGGAACAGGTGAAACGCAAGAAAGGTGTTATCATGACATGCACTTCTTTTGTGCAAATTGCGGCGATCCATTCTTGGATCCAAAGTTGGCAAGTAGCGCTGCAGGAGCCGAAACTGCAATCACTGCAGAGATTGAAGATGAAGATGGTCACGTTCGCTTTGGCGGAAGAGAATTTGTTGTTCACAAGGGATACCCTTATTGTGAACATTGTCATGTTTCTTTGCATAAACCTAGATGTAAAGGATGCAAGAACCCGATCATCGATGAAGAATACCTTACTGCTTTGCGTGGTAAATGGCATATCGGATGTTTCTGCTGTGAACGTTGTCAACATCCGATCGATTCGGACAACTTCTTTGTTCGTGATGGTCAAGCATACGATGAAGAATGCTACAAGATTAAATTGCGCAGTGAGCTGTAAAGCCGCACAAACAAGACTCGCTGCTGCCCTTCCTTTCCCCCCTCTTCCCCCTCCAGCTTGCTTACTCGATTGTATTTTGTTTATTTGCTCTCACTTGCTATCTCTTTTTGTCCTTTATAGATCACGATGACTCTCTTTGTCAGGTCTCGTGCCCCAGATCTGCTCATGCTATGAATTGTGTATTTTTTTCGCTTTCACTCAAATGCACACGTTCGCAAAAGTTTTCCTTTGATGAGGTGATGAATCTGTATTGCAAATGCATGAGAGCTAAGAGCAGGATACGAAGAAGTGTATGAAAGAAGATATATAAAAAAGAGTTAAAAGAATGTGATCATCACGGTTTGCGCGCGCACGCCAATTAGAAGGGCACGACAAAAGAAAGAATGGAAATAGAACAGGTAAATGAATGACGAGGGTAGGAGGAAGAAAGAGAAAGAATGAAAAAATGAGCGAGATTAGAAAAGTTGCTGATAGAGCGATAGCATATGAAACAGGATATAGTCTTTGCGTTGTAGACTTTGATGCAAGACGGCTGAAAGAGATAGAGATACAGTGAAAAAGGCGACCAGAAACCGAGACTGTTGAGCACGAGGTGAGATTGAGCTTTTCTTAAAGACACGGTCAAAGAAAGAGCAAGAAAAGATATAAAAGTTTTGAACAGATGCTTGGGTATATTTTGAAAATTGTCATTCTTTTTGGTTTGAAGAGCAAAAAGCTGATTTCCAATCATTTTTGATCGGATGAAACACCAACGCTTTGCAATAATTGGTCCATCCATTCTTGTGTTGTCATGTTGTCCATTGAGCCCATGTTTGAAGCGTCAAAGTTACCAAAAGCGGCATTGAAATCGTTCGATCCATTACCATTTGATGCAGATGGTACGTCAAAGTGAGCAGGTGACATTAGTGGACCGTTATTCACTCCTGTGATGCCCAAAGCAGAAGAGGAAGGAGCAAGAGAGGTAGATGAAGAAGGCATTGGACTGGACATTGCGCTTGACATTGAGCTGACGCTGGATCCATTGTTACCAATTGTCTCGAAGTTGAACATTGGTGGAGCAAGTCTTCCTTGAGACTGAGAATGATTGTGCGATTGATCACCGTTTGACATATTGGCTTGCGATCCGAACGAGACGTCCAAAGGAGAATGCAACTGTAATCCCATAGCATTGTTGTTTGAGATTTCGTTGGATGTGTTGATGTTGCCATTGGTGTTTGCAGCGGCTGCAGCAGCTGCCCATGCTCTTGCCAACCTTTCACGGTTACCACGTGCAATTTCATCAGCTGTGTTACCAATGGCTGGAGGCTCTTGTGGAGTTCCAACCATTTGAGGGAATGGTGTAACAGGAGTGGATGCATTCATCGTACGTTGTTGCATCAATCCCCAAGCAGCTGCATTGTGGGTCATTGCAGATGTTGGACTAGGTGCAAGAGAAGCAGGTTGACTAGCAGCAACATAAGGTGAAAGCATACCATTTGAAGTTGCACTCATTGGTCCTGTTTGAACGCCAAGCATAGGAGCAGATGGAATGGAGATGTTCAAATTATGCTTTGAATCTGCCATTCCACGCTTTTGCAACAATGATGGATGATGTTGACCTTGCATTTCTTGTTGACTATGCATTTGCGTGATCTGAACGCTTGGAGAATGAGGTGAAAGATGAGTGGATTGTTGCCAAGGTGAAAGGGAAGGTTGCAACATCATTGGTGATGCTTGTGCACTGTTTGCAGACATCAATTGTTGCATACCTCCCATGGCAGGGGATCTGTTTGGCGTTGTGCTCATCAAACCCAACGTATTAGGTTGAGGAGAAGGCATCAACATGGATGGTCTAGGCGAAGGTGAGGCGGCAGTCAAAAGTGAAACGACTGGTGTACCTGCTTCACCGTTCAATGCTTCGACACATTCCAAATCCCAGGCAATCACCAAAACAACATTACCAACTTTGCTTCCTGGACTGATGTGGTTTCCTGTATCATTCATCAAAATAGCAGATGAAGTGCCATTCATAGAAGGTGCTTCAGCTGATGCAGATGCTTGTTGTTGAGATCCAGCTTGATCGTTGCTTGCAATCACAAATTCCTGCACGATTGTAACACCGGAAACAGCCATTCCCAATGCAGCACGTTCACTTGGCTCTTTGCCGAACGATTGAACAGCTTCTCCTGAATTGTAAACATTGACAGGATGGTTACGGCTGAGGAAGTCTGCCCAGAAATCGGTTGCAAATGGAGCTTGGTGCCAGAACTTGTGCTTTGGTTGAGAAGTTGCATCATTGACCGTGAGAGAATTGTTGTTGGATCGTGGAGATGCAATTCCGTTATTGATATCATCTGTTCCTGGAGCAGCAGAAGAAGCACGACCTGAAACACGACGAGGTGAATCAAGAGGTTCAACAAGTGATAAGACACGTTTACCGTGAGAGTAGACGGTTGTAACACTGGTCAATCGTGTTTCTTGTTGACTTGTCAAGCTCAATTGGGTGCTGAAGTGGTCATAACGTGGCAACAAAACATCAGCACGTGGCACAGCCAATGGAACGTAGATGTGCAAGAATTGACATGGCAAATGATGATACATTTCTGCCAATCTTGGGAAACGGTATTGACCCAATCGAACGGAATCAAGCGAAAGACGTGGCAATGTAGTATTGACTTGATTGCTCTTGCGTTCCAATGTTGTGTAAACGTGACGATCTTCGCTGCTACTGCAATGAACCCACATACTGAAGCTTGCAGGCAAGATAGGGCAAGAAGGAGACATGTTTGCTTTTGGATCATGAGGTGCCAAACCAGGCGAAGGGATGTGCATTCCATTGAAAGCGGCAGTCATTCCAGCCGTGGCGGGTGTGTTCAAGCCTTCATGATGAGAAACAGGTGGCAATGGACTGCTGTGCATACTGCTTGAGTAAGGTGAGAACAAGTTTGCATTTCCGTCGGGAGCAAACAATGGTCCACCCAAACCACCATAACCGTAACTTGCCAAAGTTTGGGCGTACATCATTCCACCTGCAGGGATATAGAAATCTTCCTCTGTTTGTGGTTCAGCGATCAATTGTTGGAATTCTGCATCACCTTTTTTGATATTCTTCAAAACTTGAATGTGACTTGAAACTTGCTTACGTGTACGTGTTTTGCCAGTCTTGCGTTCAATATAATCAGCAATCAATTCATTGCGACCGCATGGCTTACCGTGAACCAAGACTTTGCGACGTCCAAGTTTAGGGATCAAACGAAGAGCTTCCCAGAAAGCAACTTCAACATCATCTGGCCAAACATCTGCACCTTTACTGTTGGGTGATTCACCTTTGCTGTCTGAACGTTCCAAAGAGCTACTTGTTCCTTGGCTAATCATGCTTGTCATTGGTTGAGATTCAAGAACAGGTTGAGGAGTAGGGCATTGTGAGCTTGGTGCGATTGAGTGATCGTTTTGCATGTTCATACCGTGAACTGCAACAGGTGCAATGATTGATGGAACATTCAAGCCAGCAGTCAAAGATGCAATTTCGCTTGTGCAATCACCAGAAATTGAAGAACGACGACGTTGACGAACACCGTTTGTCATCCCCATCTTGTTCTCCAAAGTGTTCAAAGGGCTACCTCCACTGTCAAAGATGGAAGATGCTGTAAGAGAAGTTGTGAATGAGTTTGGCGTTTGGGTAACACGGCTTGAAGCAACTGAGCTTTGAATGCTTGCCGATCTAGCTTGCATTTGAGCGAATGAATTTGGAGGAGTGGATTGCATAACCGTTTGAGCTGATAATGGCCTTTGAGGTGTATCAGAAACGGTCAATGAAGTCCTTCTTCTCTTTGTGTCATCATTCATTGCGCCAAATGAAGAGGCTGCAGTCACGGCAGCAGCAGTCATGCTTGCTGTTGATGGGATATCATTGTTCTGTTGTTGGATTTGTTGTTGTTCTTGTTGATGTTGTTGTGCCAAGCTAACCGTGAGACGAGGAGGCGATAGAAGGAAATCAGCAATTGGGATATTGTTGAAAGCGTCGAAATCGATTGTACCATCCCACAACTGCAATGCATCACTGTTCAAGTCATCGATTGCATTTGAAGTTGGCGAAGGAGGCAAAGCTGTTAAGCCTTGTTGAATACGTTTGACGATCAAAGCGGGTGATGCATTGTTATCTTCATCTCCAGGCATCAATGTTTGAATGCTATGTCTTCTGGCTGCAGAAAGGTTGCGTTTATGTCCTGCTTTCTTTGTCAATGGTGATGGGGATGGTTGTTGTTGATCTGATTGTTGTTGCTTTGAGAAATCCAAAGCAGCAGCTAGACCGTTTCCAGCCATATCTTGATGGGATAAACCATCAGTCATATTTCCATTACCATTGTTTCCCGAAGTAGCTGTCATGAATCGTACGTTGGCAGCTTTAACGTCTGCTTGTCTTTTCGCGTCACGGTTTGGAAGACCGATACTTGGATGATCAGGCGTGCAAAGGCTTGGGCTATTGCTTGATGTAAATGATGATTCAGAGTATGTTGGTGAAGGAATCAATCCGTGACGCGTTGGTGAGGATCCTGCTTGTGTCAAAGTGTTGGAGTCCATCGTAGTTGTAAAATGTGATTATTCTCGAGATTGTTGTGTGGCTACAGATTGTTCTTGGAGTGATGAGTGGTTGATGATTGTTGGAGTTGTGCTGGGAATTTTGGAAACGAGTCGAGAGAAAGAAAGAATGCTACAGTTGTGAGAATCGCGTCGAAGAGAGAAAGAAGTCGTCAATAAGAGAACATGAAAGAATGTGTGAACGAAGGGCCGAACGAGATCAGATTCAATGAAATCGTTATTGAACGCGCGACGTAGACGACTTGGGATGAAAGGGAGAGAGAGGGAGCAACGAAATCGAGAATTGGTGATGGTGGTGAATCAAGAACAAGAATGAAAACCAATCAGGTTTGTCAATGACCGGAAGATAAAGGAAAAAAGGGGGCATGAAGAGATCGACGGCTAAAAAGAAAAGGACAGGCGTCAAGATTGAATTGATCGAAAGCCGGGAAGGGTTGCACGATATCGAAACAGCACTTCATCTGCCTTTCATCATCAAGTGTTGGTCTGAAAGATGAACGCGTTCAAGCGCGTTGTCTAACGTGCTGCCCTACCCCTTGAAGGAATGCATCTTCTTTTCGATGAAACGCTTTTCGAGCCGGATGCAGGTTCAACTTCAAAAGTTCGATTGACGATCAAGACTGATCGCTTCCCATGATCATGATGTTTCGCGAATCTTGTTGTCTTGCACTTTAGCCTGAAGATGCAAGATGAAGAACAACACTTTTACAATGCCATTGATCCTAAGCGTGAGAGCTGTGCCTTTTTAGGATGCATTAGCATTTTAACCTGACTTTGATCGCCCCACATCCTGACTGTATTGTATTAACCGATGCATTCACCGACGGCTGCTTTGCCTTGCTGCTGCTGCCATGATGATCAAATCATTCAAGGAGGTGATGAAAATCCCACTGTACACACAGCAAGGCTAAAATGCCCGTTTTAGGTTTATAGTCCGATGCAACAACTCCCGTCTGTTTTGATGACAATAGAACACAGTGATTATGCTCTTATTTCGCCGATGCGATCAAAGTCTCGGTACTTGTGCTGCTTATTGTATTTTGAAATTGTGCCTATTGAACCCTGTTCAAAAGAGATGCCGGCAAAGCAATTCAATCACCACAACACACTCATTGATGAGCGTGCAAGAGCAAGGGGTTTCGGAATGGCTTTTATAAATTTGCATCGAGAATTTGAGAGTGAGAGGCGAATGAAGAGTATGCTGTTGAATGCACCGCATACAGTTAATCCATTGCCCTTACTTGGTGTTGCTTCAGTGGCAGTAGCGCGATTTCCTCTTTTGTGTGCATTGAATATAAACACGAGAACAGGTAAGCAGGGGAAAGGGTACATATGACCTGCATATGTGTGTATACGCATGCATACAGTAACAGATCGAGAGAGAGAGGATCAAAAGGCAGGCACTATTTTTAGTGCATATGTGCTTATAGCAAAAAGAAAAGTAAAAAGTTTAAGTTTACTCATATTATAATAAAAATAAACTTTAGCTTTTTGCTTTTCTTTTTTATCGGCTAAAAAGCACTGCCAAAAAAGGCAATTCGATAGCTCATCACCGCCAAGTGTGTGAACGACGGTAATATATACGCCACAAAAAGCCATCAATAAGAAAAAGCTCTTTGCTTGCGTGTATATGTACATCCCCCATCGTCATTCGATCATGGGGGAGAGAAAAACAAATTTGACCGAGAAAAAAAGAGAACAATGAAGAAGCCGGTCATTTGTACTCACATAAATTGGTATAATTAGTATTGTTCCTCGTTTTATTTTTTTGGGACCAAGCGAAAGGTCTCGGCTCTTGTTGGTTGTCGTTCGTTGTTTATTTTGATTTGTCGCTAATTTATCGTTAGGTGGAGATTAGACCATGTGACTTTGTCGAAAAAGCTGTTGCAATCATTGAGATAAAGGTCTAGAATGTAAGGTGTTGCTGAAGGTCTAGGTTTCTATTCTTGAAGAGGTTTTATAAACAAAACGATGATGACGACTTTTTTTTATCTTTTGTCGGATGTGTGGCTTTAAAGTGAGTTTACCGGTTTTTCTTTCTCTCTGCTCTTTCAGGAGCCAAAGGTATGAAAATATAGGGACGATTATGGGAAAAAAGGGGACACTTTCAAATCTTAAATTGACAGATCAACTTCCCAATAAATTACCGCACACACGCACTATCTCTTTTTTCGTGCGAAAATGACAAATGAAGCCTTCATCAATAGGAGCCGTCCGATACCCCTCTATGTTCATTTATTTTCCTGTCATCTCGATTTGTAAGACAAAGCATAGATTCTGACGGTCAAGATCGGGGAATTGTAAGATGAGAAAAATTGCATGGGCACTTGAGCACATTTTAAATATTTCATCAATCTCCACAGATCTATTGATTCATTTTCACGGATAATTTCGGATAAGGGGAAGATCCGTCGGGTATGATAAGAATTAATATAGACACCGGAACAGTGAAGCAGATATTCATAGTATTGCATTACTTGACCACGGTGACGTGTGTTTAGGGGGCGTGACTTTACCATCAATGGAACAAAATAGAAAAGTTTGAGAACGGTCTCCTATCTGATTCCGTCATTGCAAGGACCACGAGGTACAGAGAAACCCCACACTAACTCTGAAGGTGTGTCATTTATTGGTTCCTAAATTGTTTTGAGTTACAGTAGTTCATTTTTAGTATAGCGTTGCAGAGTGCAGCACAACACCCTTCATTCAGTAAGGGAGTGCAGACACTCATAAAGCGCCCAAACACTTGTTCAAAGGCCCGCCAAATACAGTAAGGGGCTATTACGCTACAAACATCATCATCAATTCAATCACATCGATCTCATTTAACACTTTGTGATGTCATGAATCGGAATAATAAGAGGGATATCCTTGGATCGAAAAGATGAACAAGATTTGACTTTTGTTCAAAATCTGAACGGCAAAGGTATTTTTAGTAATCTGATAGAATATAAGCTTGTTGTCACTCTTTTTCTCCGAAATTTTAGTCTTTGTATGGGAAAATAAGAAGCGTAATCACTTTCCGGAATACGCTAAACGTTTGTGATATAAACCATCTGATTGATCGTCAATCTTGCTCTGAATTAGACTAAATTAGTCCGTTTATACTAAATTTGCATCAAATTAATTATTGCGATGCCGAGCAAATATAGTTGTCATGCTTATTCAAGGGGAAAACATAAAGATGAAGAATCATTTCTATTCTTTTTGCATTCGGGAATCTTTTCATTGAAACAAATACATACATGATTGTCATTATTCATCATTGCTGTTCTGCAGTCTCTTCTTGACTTTGACCTAGCTCAAATGGGGCTACATCATGATCTGCATGCGGATCAGAGAAAGGTTTCGCTTTTTCTTCTTCCTTCTCTTGTTCACCTTTTAGTCTCTTCCATAATTCTTCCATTTGCCATTCTTCCTTTTGTGCTTTTGCTTCTAGTAATTCTTCCTCTAATCTTTGTATCCGTTCCCTTAGCCTTTCCTTCTCTTCATCTTCTTGTACTCTAGCACGTGATCCTCTTCTCACCATCAAATCTGCTCCGCTTCCATCAATCTCTTCTTCTGTCTCTTTTGATCCCTTTGGCATGGTATGCTCAGCCTTTACTTGTCTTTCCAGTAACGCTTGTGTTGCACGTAATTCTTTCTCCGCCGATTCCGCTTGCCTTCTCGCTATCATTTCATCATTTTCTGCTCTTCTACGATCAGCTTCGGTGGCATCTAATAACATAGCAAGCTCTTCATATCGATTTGACATTTCTTCAATTTGACGACGTTGCGTATCAAATTTGGCCATATCATCATCCCACATACGTAAACATTCTTCCATCTTTTGCATTTTGTCTTCGTATTGTAGAATCGCTCCAACCTTTTTCGCATCCCTTCTGCATTGTTCGCGTAATTCAAATACTTCATTCGCATTATCGTGTAATTGACCTTCCAATTTTTGAATAAGAGCTTCACAATCTTCTTTTATGATTTGCAATTGACGTACTTCATTCGCCCAAACTTTCTTTTCTTCTCTAAACGCTTTCAACTTTGCGTTCAATTCGTTCTCCCAACTTGCATGTCGATTCTTCGATGCAATCGTCTCAGCTTTGCTCAATTCTTGCGTCGATCGTAGGTTGCGTAATTGAACACGTAAAGAACGTAATGTGGCATACAAATTTTGTCTTTCTTCTTCCATAACGGTATCCTTAATTCGATCTCGATGAATTCTTCCAATATGACGAATCATTTGATCTTTCTGTCCAATTTCATAATTCAATTCGTTACGTAATTGCAAATTCTCTTGTTTGAGATAGGCAATCGTCTGTTTGACCTCTTCTTTGAGTACTGAGCGTGTTTGCTTGGATAGATCCATCCCCAAGGCCGGTGATCCAAGTAAATCATTCGTGGAAGACAACATCATCCGATTAGCAATAGAAGGGGAAGTGACGGAATTGAATACGTTTGGCGACATATTTTCGTTCTTGCCATCTTTTGAGAGTGAAATGGTAGATCTGCGTGATTGATTGGCAGGACTGCTAGCCTCGGCACTTGTATCTCCCGCGGGAACATTTACGTTTGTCTCTTTACTATTAATTGTTGAATCGGGTGCCATTGGTTGCTGAGATGCAGTAGGCGACATCAAGGTTGATGATAGGCTGGCACGTGCGATATTGAACGTTTTCAGGTGAGAATGAATAGAGCTTGACCTACTCAAAGGATCGCCAGCCGATCCTGAAGGTGTACGATCTGTCCCGTGACCGTATCTCAAGCGAACGTGATTCTGTAAAAAGACATCTGCCTCATTCGCAAGAATGGATGACTGCGCTGAGAAAGGCATCATCTTTGGCGAGGTGAGCATTGCTGTTCCAGCATGTTGTCCTGGTTGAACGGAAAGATCTCTCTTTCTTCCGGCAGCATGTTGTTGTACCAAAGGTGATTCTCCCGATCCACGACGTCCTAAATTTTCTGAAACTGATCTCTTGCGGTGGAATCGTACTGGTGTTTGAGAGCCATCATATGCTTCACTCAAGGCAACCGCATTTGCAGCCTGGACCAACCCTGACGCGATTCTTTGATTTGTGAGGCCGCCTATGGAAGATGCTGAGGCGGAAGAATTGCGATACTTTAGTAGAGAAGGTATATGATCAATAATCGATGGCCTTCTACTTTGAAGCCATAACTCTTGCCCGTCGAATTGACCACCGATGTACAGACAGACACATTCAGCCGTTATATCAGCAGCATCATGTTCACGCCATCTTTGCTTGTCTGTTATTTCACTTTCGGCATCCATATCCACCAAAGATGGATGCAATACATGACGACGTAGGATTGGTGCAGAGCTATTCTGAACAGCAATTTCGTCAATAATGTCATCCCAATCAGCTTGGAAAGGCGACTCGTACTCTGCTTTACGCAAATAATCAACAGGAGCTCGCAAGAATCGAATGACGTTGCACGGAAAGATTCCGTACAAGAATGTGAACAGCTTTTCCGCATCTGGCGCACCTGGAGCGATGTTGTCCGAATCGGTTCCTAGTCGTTTCCATTCAATGTCAGATCGCACATTCAGCCTCCTCGATATTCTTTGTACTTGTGCCCATTCTTCCATCTCTTTTCCTTCATCGTCCAATAAAGCATTCTCTCGATCTTCCCATTTCGGTCCTAATTTCCGCCAATCGACTATACGAGCCAAAATGCTCAACAAAGCTGGCAGACCACCCGCTCCACCATTTGCAATCCAATTGGGGATATGCGGTATGAGTGTAGAAAGGGCGAAGGCACCCAATGCCGCAGCTGTCTTGCTCGTGTCTAGCTGCAAGCTCATCAGTAAGAACCTTACAAACGGAGTTTTGACGACATGATAAGCATGCAACGACGAAATTCGAAAGAAGATTGTCAAGAGAAGTAAGATTGGAATACGTGAGCTAGGTTCTAGGAATGATTCCGACAAATGATGAAAGAACGCCTTTGGCTTTTCTTCTCCAAATGTCAAAATGATTGCCTCTAGATTGCCTTTCCAAGTAGATACTACATCCAATTCTAATGATTTGTTGGCTACCTGCCGAGCGTTTTCAGACTTTCTCTCAGAAGGTTGTTGGTCCAGTAGGCCTGTCGGACGCTCTTCTGAAGGTGAAGGTTGATCGATTCCAACTTCTCTGATGTCGTCATCCTCGATATCTCTCATTCCGGTAGAAGATGCTTCTGTGGTGTACAAATCGAAAATACGTTCAGTAAACCTTCTCAAAGGGTCAACAGTTGCTTTCCCATAATTGATTTTTGTAGAGAAAAGAGCGCTGCGTCTTGCATCTCCATCTTCTGAAGAACGTGAAGTCGATGGAGCTCGTGTCGAGGAAGCCGGATAAGGAGCCGCTCCAGGTTGTCGAGGTAATCGTGTGTGCTCAGCAGCAATTGCACTTTGCGGAACAGCCGGCCAAACTGCTCTTGGCGCAGGCTCATCGACATAGTTAGAGGATGGAGTGCTTCTCATCACCCAAACAACGAGCTGGTGAGCTTTTCGAGCGATAGAAGGATTGCAGTGTGGATCTTTTAGCACAGGTCGAATCAAAACATCCCACCATTCCAATACGATGCATTTAGGATCCAAGATGCTGTGCAAAGCATGTATGTAGCTCACCAATAGCTGAGTCAATGGCTTTGAATCTTGATCCATTTCATCGGAAAAGATGCGTGAAAGTGTATTGGTGATGATTGAGCCGACTTGTTTTCGTAGTTGAGTCGCTTCGATTAGAGCATTGTTTGCTGATTCATTATTCACCACAGCAGCACTTCCAGTGCCTCTTGACCTACTGCCAGAACTTGTTTGGGAAGTGGCAGATTCATCACTTGCTTGTAAAGTTGGATCACTTGTCAATTTACGAATCGCATCATATGCTGCTGTTGTTGTCTTGTTTGTCGGTGAAGGGACGACATCATTGGTGACTAAACTTTGACGAATGAATTGTAGGGTATCACGAACAAGTTGTTTATGTACTTTTGGTAAATCGGATATTTGGGATGTTATATTTGCTTGAGAAGTAGAAGCGGCGTTGCTACCACTAGGCGCCGACGATTGAAAGTGTGGAGGTGGCATGGTGAAATGCTTACTGGTCGTCGATTGGGATGAGTGATGCGATTTTGTCTAGCAAACAATGGATGATGATACTATTTTTATCTTCGGACGGAATGTCTCCTTATCGGAATGCTGGAATAAAAGTATAGCTGTCGATCATGTGCCCATCTCGAAAAAAGTTTTTGAGCATGCAGGACTGAAAATAGTACTCTTTCTTTCCTCTTGATGCGTTATAAGATGTGAGTATAGGTAGTATGTCGAAGTAAGACTATGGAAATATTCGAGTGCTGGATTTCCTCGAAAATCTCAGCACCTTCTAATGTATACAAATCGTTGACTTGGTCGGAAAGACGGAAGTGTGGATGTGCGGGCAAAAAGCTTCACACGCTCCTTATCAGTACTAACTCATGCAGAGATACGGGCGTGCAGGCAGGCGGCCAAATAAAAAAATAATTCGCCTAGGCTTATTTCAATCTGAGCGTAACGCCGGCGTCTAATCAGACGGCTTTCTATGTTAAACGGGCAAGCGTTCCAGAAGAGTTCTTATTATGCCAGACATTCCTACTTCTTACGTATATCAAGATCGTATGATGACGTCGAAATCGTTTCTATCACTCATAGAGTGTTCCGCTGAGCAAGAATGGCAATGTGGGGAAGTAGTGCTAAATTGTATGGTGTGACGTCCGCGTAAGCTTCTTTTGCTTAACACGCTAAACGGGTAAGCTCACTCTCTCAAGATTGACAAGAACAATACATTCTTCCATCCCATTCAAAACGCAAAGATGAGGGTGAGCAATAATCACAATAGCATAATATGCTTTGGAGATAGTTTGACCCAACAAGGATCAAGATCTGGTGGATTTGTGACTAGCTTGCAAGAAGCATACATTCGTCGTTTGGACGTGATGAATCGAGGTTATAGTGGATACACATCGAGGCAAGGTAAGTGAAAAGAGGTACAGAGAAACTGTCATTGGACTCATTCTGACCACATCAATTCCAGGGCTAGCACTCTGTTCATTTCTGTTCGAAAAAGATACAAATCCAATCTCACAAGCTCGCTTGGCAACTGTTTGGCTGGGCACAAATGATGCTATCGAGCCGGGATATTCACAACATGTACCACTGGCAGAGTACAAGTCCAACATGACATCTATCCTGCAAGACCATTTCGATTCGCTACCAGTACTACTCATCACGCCAACTACTGTCGTGAACGGTCTATTTGCAGGTCATTTTGACGACAGCAATCATGAAAGATATGGACAAGCTCTACAAGAGATTGCCAATGAACTCAATCCGAGTAGAAAAGAAGCCGAAAAGATCATCGTGATTGATATGAGAAAAGCTTTCTTGCAAGCTGCTATTGTACAAGAAGGTGGTCTTAAAGCTCTGATGGATGCTGATGGATTGCATTTGGCTACGCCAGGATATAAAGTCGTCTTTGATGCTGTAATGGCTGCTATTGAAACTTACTTTCCACACTTGAGCCCGGATAAACTCAAATTTGTCATTCCAGATTGGAAAGAATTGAATCTCAATTTGGATCAAGAAGGACAAAAGAAGCAACTGATACCATGAATGCGCGATTTCATATCAATCAAGAACTGTAAACATCAATGGCTATTTGTTTTGAAGCAGTGTACGAATGAACCTTCTGGCCGGTATAGTGGGGTTTGCTTGCATCTTTTACTTCTATTGCATCTCGCAAAGATCCACGGAGTAATCCTCGGACAGGAACAGAGAGCGGACATCAAGCTACAGTCAAACTCCGCCAAAGCGAATCAAGGATCTTTTCGAGAAATGCTCGTGATGGCGGGGCGTTCAGTTTGTCGAACACGCCCTGGAGTAAATTAAGAACTTTTCTGGTACCGACGCACCTCTTTGAAACTCACTGAGAGGTAGTCCGTAGCAAACACTCGTCTAGTGTGCGTACGTTATACAATATACGCATAGGCGGGTAAAAGTGTATTTTAATTTTTCAGGTATTTGTTCGCTATGGTACAGTTTTATTATGCGAAAAATGTTCGTTACGCACACTCTCCAGGGCGTGAAAAGTAATTTTTTTCCCAAAATGTTCGCTACGTAGAGGTATTCGTTATGCATAGCATGTTCGGTAAGCAAAGTTTCACCGTATGCGTGTAGAAGAATGTCAACTTCTTAGTCGAAATTCTTGCCTGCACACGAGTCTTGCCACCTTTTGCAATTACACTGCCAAGATGCCCAAACAATGACGTCTACCAAGAAGGCTCGTGCATTTGCCAGAAAGGCTGAATTTTGCCCTTCACATTCACTCAACCACTGTCCTAGCCGAGCAGAACCGACGAGAAGAAACAAAACGGCGTGTGTGGGTGGAGAGGCGTAAAAAAGCAAAATCTTCCACCTTTTACCACCATCACTAGATCTACAACCTAAATAGTTTAACATAATGGGTCTCCTTGATATCGTTCCTCCAGGTGTCGTTGACGGCAAAGACGTCTACAAAGTATTCGACTATGCTCGTGAACACAAGTTTGCTATTCCAGCATTCAACGTCACCTCTACAAACTCTGTAAACGCTGCTCTTGAAGCTGCTCGTGACGTCAAGTCTCCAGTCATCTTGCAAGTTTCTCAAGGTGGTGCTGCTTTCTTCGCAGGAAAAGGTGTCGCAAACGACAAGCAACAAGCAAGCATTGCAGGTGCAACAGCCGCTGCTCACTTTATCCGTGCTATTGCACCTACTTACGGTGTCCCAGTCATCTTGCACTCTGATCACTGTGCCAAGAAGCTTTTGCCTTGGTTCGATGGAATGCTCGAAGCTGATGAAGCATACTACAAGAAAGAAGGAAAGCCACTTTTTAGCTCTCACATGCTTGATTTGTCCGAAGAACCAAAAGAAGAAAACATTGAAACCTGCGTTAAATACTTGAAGCGTATGGCTCCTTTGGGTATCTGGCTCGAGATGGAAATCGGTATCACTGGAGGAGAAGAAGATGGTGTAAACAACGAAAGCGTTGACAACTCCAAATTGTACACTCAACCAGAAGACATTTGGGACATTTACCGCGAATTCTCCAAGATCACACCAAACTTCTCCATCGCTGCCGGTTTCGGTAACGTGCACGGTGTGTACAAGCCAGGAAACGTTTCCTTGCAACCTGACTTGCTCAGAAAGCACCAAGAATATGTTCGCGGTCAAATCAAGAGCGACAAAGAATTGCCCGTCTTCCTTGTCTTCCACGGTGGATCCGGAAGTGAAAAGCACGAGATCAAGACTGCCCGTGAGAACGGTGTTGTCAAGATGAACGTTGACACTGACACTCAATGGGCATTCTGTATCGGATTGCGTGACTTCTTCGGCAAGAACGTCGATTACCTCAAATCCCAAGTTGGTAACCCAGAAGGAGCTGACAAGCCAAACAAGAAGTTCTACGACCCACGTAACTTCATGCGTGAGGCCGAAAAGACCATGGCACAACGCTGCAAGGTCGCTTTCGAGGATTTGAACAGTGCCAACCAACTTTAATTATTTAAGTATATAATTGTCGATTGTTGAAAATGTCATCGTTATTCATTAAGATAAGCCGCTGTGAGTTGACAACGGGCGCTGCGCGGCCGTTCCCGAAATGCGGGAATGTGAAAATGGAAATCGTTCTGATCTGATTGTGTGTGTGTGTGTGTGTGATGATATAATACATAATGTGAAATACAGCCATCTTCTATATGGCATCCTCTAGAACAAGTCGCGGGACGATTTGCATGGCCATCAATTCTTGCAATAACAGTTTAGTCGCATAAGGCAAAGTGAGCTCAACGACATTTTTGCTAGATTTGCAAAACGTGCAAAATCCCGAATAACCCAACAGACCGCACTTCTGACAAGCACAAACCTTAAATGCATCGGAACTTAACATCAATCGTTCGAGCAACAATTGCGTTGCTCCATATCCGATCAAACAATCACGTTCCATCTCTCCCAAACGTAAACCACCATCCCGCGATCTCCCTTCGGTAGGTTGTCTCGTGAGGATTGCTCTGGGACCTCGGGAACGGGCATGCATCTTGTCGATCACCATATGCTTCAAACGTTGATAGTAGATCGGACCAAAGTAGACGTATGCTTCAAGTGGCTCTCCTGTAATTCCACTCGTGAGGAAATCTTTGCCGCCATACGAATACCCATTCTCGATCAAGATTCGTGACATATCTTCTACCTTGCTTCCTCCAAATGCTGTTCCGTACTGAAGCTTACCTTCCAGAACACCAGCTTTTCCCGCTAGAAGCTCAATCATCTTCCCGACTGTCATTCGACTTGGGAAACCGTGCGGGTTGAAGATCACGTCTGGATTGATACCTTGATCGGTAAATGGAACATCCTCTTGATTTACGATCAAACCGCATACACCTTTTTGTCCGTGTCTGGAAGAAAACTTATCACCCAACTCAGGAATACGTGTCTCACGGGTCAATACCTTGACAAGAGTCTGTTCTTGATCCGAGTCGGTGATCATAACTTGATCGACGAACACAGGTACCTTGTTTTTATGTGTCATTGGTTGATTCTTGTATTCGGAGGGGGATGAATTGCCGATTGCCGCTGCTGAATTATCGTTGGCATTGACGGGAACTTGTTTGTTCACATAGATGTCCATCTCGTTCAATCGCTCACCCACTCCAGAAATACCGTCTGCTTGCAACGTCGTATATCGTGCAAGCTTATTACCATAATCATCAATAGGAGCATCGGCAAATCGATCAAAGGTACCGTTGGCGTACTTTTTGATGTGTGTCGTTTGCTTTCTCATGACTTGAGATCTTCCAAATCCTCTATCAATCGAAGCTTTATTGAGGACCAAAGCATCTTCAATATCATATCCAGAGAAACTCATCACGGCAACCATTGCATTTTGTCCGGCCGGCAAACGGTCATAGCCGATCACCTCAATCGTCTTTGTCTTGACCATGGGCTTGTGTGGATAGACCATGAGGTAAAGCAACGTATCAATTCTATTCAATTGATTATATGCAATCGCTCCGACAGCTTGTTTACCCATAGCACTTTGGTATGTGTTACGAGGACTTTGGTTATGATGTGGGTATGGAATCAAGCCTGCTACAGCGCCCAGAAGCGTGAACGGCTCGATTTCCAAATGTGTGGTATGCGCTTTGATATCTTTTTCGTAAAGTGCAATGAATGAATCATTCTCTTCATTGACGTCCAAATACTCAATCAGTCCATCATGCAAGAAGTCATCAAAAGTCTTCATCCGTTTCTTTAATAGGCGGATATGCTCCGTGGTGATGCGAGGTTTGCCGTCTTCAACGATGATCATCGGTCGGCAAATTCGTCCTCCATCTGAAGCAATGTGCACAGCATGTAGGTGGGTGTTGGTATAAATACTGACGAATTCAGAGATCCGTCCAGCCCTACGTAGACGACGGAAGCTTGCAACGAAGCGTTTTGGGAATCTTGTCAAACCTGCAACGCAACCGTTGATGTAAACAACATACGAATCGTGACGGTAGAGCTCAGCACCAGTAATCAAGCTGATATCTTCCATTCCCAGCATGAATGCAACTTTGTGAATCGGTGCTTCATCTACATCGGTGGTAATGTGAGTCATGAGAGCCAGATTTTTTACCAAACCACAAGCCTCTCCTTCGGGTGTATCGGATGGGCACAACATACCCCATTGACTAGGTTGCAAAGCACGTGGCCCAGACACCTTTCTCGTTTTCTCAAATTGTGAACTGATACGAGTCATCATACCCAAGGCAGAAATGAAACTCAAGCGACTCAAAACGTGTGTAATACCAGCTCGTTCCATCTTGAAACGCTTTAAGCTCCAATTTCCGGTCGAGATTGCTCGGACAAAACCTGTCGTGATAGCTTCGTTGTGGAAGGATAATTGACTGTATGCATCAAACTGCTCTGTTCGGTTGGGCTTCTTGAGAATTTTGTCGATGTTCAGCTTGAGATCGTGATTGAATTTCTTGAATAAATCTTCGAAAAGCAGTGCAAGAAGTTGACCAGCCAATTCCAAACGTTTGTTACCGACGTAATCACGATCGTCAACCGAACGATCGTCGTGCATGCACATAAGCACTCTTCTGACCATAGTTGCGATGTAGATGGCCTTGGGTCGGAAGTTTAGCCTTTCGACGGGAACATGTGCCATGACCACATTAGCCAGAACATCGATGGCATCTTCGTATGCGGGACGACGAACTAATGTTGGCTTCCTGTTGAGCTTGACGCGAGTACCTATATAATTCAAAGCTTGCAATTTGGTAAACACTGCCAAACGAGCTGCTTCTTCCAGATTGACGGAAAAGGTCTCTTTATAGTTGTCATCATTCCCTGCCACGAGTTGCAGAATTTCCTTATCTGCTTGTACACCCAATGCCTTGAAAACGATCACGATCGGAATATCTTCTTTGATAGAATTGTGTTTCAGGTAGATCTTGCCGTGTTTTGTCATGACGTATGACTTGGACTTTCTCTCGTGCGTTGAACTGGTAACACTTGCAGTCACTGTGCCTTTTTTCGAATCGGATTCCAGCAGAATACGATTTTTACTCAATTGCTCTTGCACCAAAATGACCTTTTCCGTTCCCTTTACCACAAAGTAGCCTCCTGGATCCAAAGGACATTCATTCATCTCTGCCAATTCTGCTTCGTTACGCCCTGTGAGCCAACATCTGTTACTACGCAACATGATCGGGAGCTTTCCGATGCACACGTTCCTTCTGCGAACAGTTTTTCCACCTCTATAATATTCCACATTGACGTTGATGGGTGCGCTGTATGTCATATCCCGTAATCGGCATTCATGTGGAAAAATTTCCTTATTATTCGAGTCAGGATCGGTTCGTTCAGGACAACCGACATTGATGTCCGTATAACGGAGAAAGAAGTTTGGGTCAATATCTGAAGTGACGCGGTCGTTGGCTTTGACGATATTTTTGAGGTCCTTCTCGATGAAGAAGTTGAACGAATCAATGTGCTGTTTTACCAACCCTTTGACTTGCAAGAATGCCGGTAGTAGTTGCCACTTGTCTTCAATCGTTTTGATGGGATCGCTCAGCTTTTTACCCGGTGGCAGATTTTTCAATTGTGCGATCGGATCTGCCCAATCTGCATAATTCGAGTCTGGCATATGTTTTTTGCTTGTCTCATTTTTAACTGGATAGGACGTTGAAGGCGTCTTTTCGAAACAATGTGACATATCCACTTCTTCGTAATCCGGATCCTCAGTAGCAACCCCACTTCCAACATCAAAGTCTGCTTCCGATGAAGAAGTTTCACCATCTAGTTCTTCCCTGACAGACTCCCTCTTTCCACCTCCTTTGCCACGAGTGTTGGCGGCTTTTTTCCTCGGCATTGTGAGGACTTTAAGCCTGTGATCGCGATTGCAGCGACCTTAATCGATGTGATCAGAAGAACAACATCAAATGTATGCAACCGCCACTAATAATTAATTCAAAAAAAACATTGATTGCAATCGCACGTGTAAGAAGAAAGTTACACTTTGCCTGGGCTGATGTGATCCTGGGCGTAGAATCGCGTTCAAGCGTGTAGAGTGCAATGCGAGAGAAGGCTTAAGCCCGCCCAATGTTGTACCTTGATGGACAAATTGGGGGTCCGCGTTGGTAATATATATTAGTGATATGCATAAAGGTCAATCAACACTTCTTTGTTACTTCACCACAACAATCCACTTACACCTTTTGCACATCTTGCCAACGATCACAGGAGTTATCAAACACAAAGTATGAGTGGCACTGCTCCAGCCGGAAATGCATTGCTGTTAAAAAGACAATTGAACGAGTTGCGGAAACGTAAGTGTTTCGAAACGAATAAAAGCCGCTATCAGACAGTTGACATACATTTTCTCCCCAAACAGATCCAGTAGAAGGATTCAGTGCCGGCTTGAAGGATGAGAGCAACTTGTATGAGGTTTGTATCGCGGTATTGCGTCAAATTAATCCTGATCAGCAGGCTGACGTTCATTACTCTTTTCAATTGACAGTGGGAGATTATCATCATTGGACCAGCAGGTAGGTGCCAAGTCAAATTCATGTCTTCTAGATGCTGACCGTTGCTCTCCTTTATCATTCAGATACCCTATACGAAGGCGGCTTCTTACGTGCTGAGCTGATATTTCCACCAGTATGTACATTCGATTGACACAATTCAGACCGACACAATGCTGACCTCCGACTTGTCTTGCAGGAATATCCACTTCTACCGCCAAAGATGAAGTTCATCACTCCGATGTGGCACCCAAACGTCTACGAGGATGGTGGCGTTTGCATTTCCATCTTGCATGCTCCCGGCACAGACGAATGGGGATACGAAGATGCAGGGGAGAGGTGGCTACCAGTGCATACAATCGAATCAATCGTGAGTCTGGAGTCCTTTTTGCATCAAAATGATCATTCTCGTACTGACGTATTCTTCCCACACAGCTGCTTTCCGTTATCAGTCTTCTCTCATCGGACACGCCAAATCTTGACTCACCTGCCAATGTCGATGCGGCCAAGCAGGTACGAGGTGAGTAACCCAAAACGTCTTTGCATTCGCCACGCAACATGCTGATCTTTCCCTTACCGCTTCCAGAGGACATTAAAGGATATCGCAAAAAGGTTCGCAGACTTGTTCGCGAATCTGCCGAAGCAGCTTTCGACTAAAACACGGATGGAAGTGACATGTCCGACTCTCAAATTGCTGTACACTCTTTGCTCGATCTCAAACAACTTTTCGCACACTTACACGTACATATTCTCTCTTTTCTTTACTGCATTCAATGTACCAACACAGACATTTTCACTAGAATCTTTTGCTCTATATTCTGATTTACAAACAAGGAACTCAGATCTATCAATCGTAACCAGCCAAAGATGTGATTTCCTCGTAAACGGTAAAAGTGATTGCACCGCTAAATGTTAATCTTCCCAAACGCATCGTTGAACCTCGCCAAAGTGTTCGAATACCTTCTTCACGAACGATTTGAACGAGACAATTGATCGTACTGCGATATCTCGTTCTAGCACCGAGGGATTGCATTCTAGTCTTGACCACATCAAATGGCATTGTAGTAAAAACGGTAGCCATACCACTAATAGCACCTAGACCGAACGTGATTCCACTTGGTAGCTTTTGTCCAGGTCGCATTGATCCTCCGACAATGTTCTTCAAGGACTGATATGTGCCGAAGCGTACCATGGCGCTGGCCATTTGTCTTGCGAGAGTGGCCGTCAGACCGGCATACAACAGCTTACCACCTCCTAGATCACGCAATGTATGAATTGCTTTGAAGGAATTATGAGATATTTGTTGAAATGGATGATTTCTTGGTAGTGTTGTGGCATGGATGACCTTCGTCTTGACCGTTTCGCTCGGGACAACGACCAATAGTGTTTCTGCCAATCCTGCTCCAACACCTGCTATCAAACTTCTTCCTCCGCTCAACGATCCGTCAGGCATTTGCAGTGATTTCTTCAATCGATCATAGGTGCCCATTCGTATTGTAGCTTTTGCTATTCCACCCAAGCTTACCACTCCGACACCACGATAAAATCCTTTCAAACCATCCCTTTGCCATATGTCTCTTGTGGTGTTGAGTAAACCGGCATATTTACGATGTTGTATTATTCCTTCCGCATTTGCCGATGTTTTCTGAGCTTGTCTTCCTTCCCGATCACTTATGGCTTGTAGTACACTTCTTGTTGTTGCTTCTAATGCACTTGTATGATGTGTATTTACCAAATGTGATGGTCTGATACTGTATCGTAACTGTTGAACAGATTTGATGTATTCCATCGGATATGTTAGCCATGGTTCCAAACCTCCTGCTGTTGCACTTGCAGCTAGTGCAATCGAGAATGGTGTGGGATTTGATGACCTGTTTGAAGATGATGAAGAAGACATCTTGATCGTTCGTTGCTGTACAAGGTGATAAGAAGAGAAGGGTATGCTCTGATGCAAAGTGGAGAAATGACCGCCTTCTTTTTGAAGCGTGAATTGAACGCTAAATGAATGAATGCATTTGTGCTTGTGTGTCTTTCCGCGTTCCCGTAAAGTGTTCCGATCCGATTCAAGAATTAAACATTGTTCCTGATTGAAGCATTCAGCGTCCTTGCTTCATACTACCATCATTACCTTGCAATGAGTATACTGATACGGCGTACTTCAGTTTGCTCAAGGGGGATAGCAGCTCCCTCCAAAATACAATCCCACAAAAGGCTATTCAGGTCATCTCCCGCATATACCCAGCAATCCGAAATTGCTACTCCTCTACAAGAACGAGATAATGTTCGCAATATTCTGAGCTTAGCACAAGAAGTTCGAAAAGAGTCAGGCAAAGATGACACAACTACCTCACAGCAAAGTACAGTTCTCAAACCGAAAAAAGAACAGGGAGCGTTGAATAAGAGATGGGTATCAAAATCTTGGAATGACGTTGTACATGCAAAAACGCTTCAAGCAAATACTTCCATCTCCTCTAAAGCAAAGCTACAATTAAGTCAAGAACTTGAACAAAAGCTTCAAAAACCAAAAAGGATGATGCAATCATATTCTTCCTTTCCTCTTCGATTTCGTGATGAACCAGAAGTACTAGAAGGCTATATAAGTTCTTGGGGCGGAATTCGAATTGGAAAGGTTTTAGAAGATTTGGATAGTCTAGCTGGCGAGGCTAGTTACAAGCATGTACTGGGAAGCAGACCCACAGAATCAGATCATGAAATGAATCCGATCTTCATCGTGACCGCATCTGTCGATAGGCTGGATTTACTAGAACATTTAAGGGCAGACCGAAATTATCGATTGAACGGGATGGTGATCTATGTCGGATCATCCTCAATGGAAGTTTTGGTAACGGTAGAGGATGTGACTGACGTCAAAGATGGTAAAAGTGACGCTGCAAGAGCTGTTTTGACTGGAAGATTTACCATGGCAACCAGAAATGCAGCAACAGGAAAAGCACAATCAATTCCACCTCTTCAAATTCAAAATTCTGCTGAAGAGCAATTGTTTGCACAGGGACAAGCACACAAACAGAGAAAGCGGTTCGAAGCTCAAACGTCATTGGAGAAAGTCCCTCCAACTTCCGATGAAGCTACATTGTTACATCAGTTATGGCTAGCGGAAGAAGCAAAAAAGAGTAAGGCAATTACAGACAAATCTCTAGACACGGAGAGCAAATCGGTATACATCGAAGATACACAGCTAGCAAGTGTTTCGTTCATGCATCCTCAACAACGCAACGTACATATGAAAATCTTTGGTGGATATTTGATGAGAAGTGCATATGAGCTAGCCTACATGAACGCTATCACATTCGCTAACGGCAAGCCTGTCAAGTTTCTCTCCCTGGATGCGTTGTCCTTTCATTTACCCGTTTCAATAGGCGCTATCTTGAGCCTGACGTCACGAATCACATATACCAGTGGAAGTACACCACACACCACGGAGCAAAACGAACAAAGCTCGATCGCATCTGTCGTTGTATTGGCAGAAGTGGTCGATACGAAAACGGGTGAGAAAAAACGAAGTAACACCTTCCATTTCAGCTTTGACTTCGGTCCCGATGCGAAAAAAGTCCTACCAGAATCATATCGGGATAGCATCGCTTTCCTAGAAGGCAAAAGACGTGTCGATTTGGGCAACGAATTACGAAGAATCTCACAACCTGCATGATGATCAAAGCTAAAAATGCGAATTCTATGAATGTATTAGTATACAATGATTGGCTGATTTTGAGTGGTGTTACAGTGTGCGAGTCACTTTTTCATCATAGTAGCATTGAATCAAATCCCCTGCTTGGAAATTTTCAAAACCATCTGCGAATGACATTCCGCATTCTGTGCCTTTTCGCATTTCATCTACTTCCTTTTTGACTTGTTTCAAACTGTCCAATCGACCTTCATACAAAATTTGACGTCCAGCGCTGTCCAGTTTGATTTCACCTTCATTTGCCTTCTTGCCTTCGCCAACGTTACGCAAAACACGAATCTTTTGGTTTCTAGACACCGTACCGTTTGTGATACGACAGCCAGCAATGTTCTTTGTTGTCCTTCCTCGAACATTGATCGCAAACACTTGTTGGATGGTTGCTTCTCCGACGACACGAGATTCGTATACTGGAGGTAGAAGAGCGATACACTCATCAGTGACGTACGACATTAAACGGTAAATGACATCATCACAATGAATCTTGATCGCTGGGATTAAAGCTTGAGCAGAAGAATGCAAAGATCTACTGGCCTCGACGTTGAAGCCTAAAATGTGTCCGTTAGCAGCTTTTGCCATGTCTAAATCGCTTTCCGTTGGCTCGCCTACACCAGAATGGATAATTTTAACGCCGACTTCGTTATTACCGATACCTTCAATAGCACCTGTAACCGCTTCTACCGTTCCACTAACGTCTGCCTTGACAATTAAGCGTAGTTCCAGTTTGCCGGATTGCGTTACAGTTGCACTTGCATTCTTCTTTTCGGCTGCCTCAACTCTTGCCTGTAAATCGGATAAATCATACTCTTCTCCAGCCAAACGTGCCTCTCTCTGCAGCCTGCGAACTTCTGTTGCTTGTCTGTCAGATTTGTCTCGCTCATTGGCTTCCTCTCTACGACCTTCATTAATAGCTTCGACATCCCTCAACAGCTTACGTTGCTCTTCAACACGCAAACGGGTATCGATACACTTTTTCACCAATTCTTCCGCATCTTGACCACCAGATGATTCTACACCAAGGAGCATGTCACCCGCTTTAGGCAATTCTCTCCATCCGGTCAACAACAATGCTTGTCCGGGCTCGGCAGCAGCAACGTCCAGAGAAGCACTGCTGTCCATCAATCGTCTGACCTTACACCAACTTGTACCAGCAACACAAACATCGCCGACTTTCAACGTACCACGTTGTACCAAACAAATTGCAGTATTTCCGAATCCTTTTTCTACCCGAGATTCGATCACGTAACCTTCTACCGGACCTGTACGTTCTGCACGTAATTCGTTCAACTCGGAGATGACGACTAAATTATCCTGTAAAACATCTAGTCCCTGTCCCGTCTTTCCACTGATTTCAATGCATGGCACATCACCTCCAAACTCTTCCAAAATGACGTTTTCGCCCAGAATCTGCCCTTTAACCTTGGCAGGATCGGCATCTGGACGATCCACTTTGCTGATTGCAATCAACAACTGCAAGCCACCTGTACCGGCACCTTTTACGCCTTCTTCTTCTTGAACTTCACGTACCATATTAATCACCTCTTTTGTTTGTGGCATCACACCATCATCAGCAGCAACGACCAAAACGACAATATCCGTCACTTTTGCTCCTCTACTTCGCATTTGAGTGAATGCTGCATGACCGGGCGTATCGAGAAAAGTGATTGCTCGTTTTTCGCTTTCGTTTGACATTCCTGCTACCTCTACAGAGAATGCACCAACATGTTGGGTGATCCCTCCTGCCTCTCCTGCTGCTACACTAGCACTTCGTAGTTTGTCTAGCAATGTCGTCTTTCCATGATCGACATGTCCCATAATAGCTACCACTGGCGGTCTTAATGGCAAAGATTGTGGATCTGAAGGTGGAGGGCGTGGGAAGATGTCGTAGTCATTTGAAGAGGTAGAAAGAGGGGTGACGGTCACATTGAATTCCATTGCCAGTAATTCTGCTTCACTGTGAGACAACATCAAATCAGGACGTGTGTCAGTGTGCCCTGCTTGCGTCATCACTCTCTGTAGCCTGAACATCTTTGTGTCTAGTACTTTGGCCAGATTATTCACTGTGATGAATTGCGGTAAAGGGATAGAGACTTTTTGAGGCCTAAATGGTCTTCTCGTTGGAGTGGGAGAAGGTTTTCGAGGAGTGGCTGCTTTGGCAGGCTCTTGGTTGTTATCCTTCTTCGGTTTATCCCTTACTTTCAAGGCAGACTTGAAAGATGAAGAGAATTGCACACCTTTATCACGAGATCCTTTACCGGGTGGAGGAACAGCTTGTGGTCCTTTTCCTGGTTTCCCTCTTCTTCCTTTCATCTTTTTACTGGCCAATAGATCATCGTCATCATCGTCGTCTTCTTCCTCTTCCGCACGCCTTCCAGGTTTCGCCTGCTTGCCTTTTTTGGTGAATTTTGCCGATCTTGCATTAATATTATTGCCTCTTCGAAATTCTCCAGATTCGTCAGACATATCGAAAGGGTCAGCTTTCCTCTGCATTGGTACGGAGGTGCTTATCAATCGACTGCTTGATGCCACTGAAACTGAATGTAGAGACGTGACTCCAACAATAACATTTCCTGCTGCTGAGCTTATCCTCCTCCGAGCTATGGAGGCCAACATCTTGACGAGTGTGTTACTTTATGATGGAAGTGTATTAGTGTTGAATGTGTCATGATATTAACACTTTTTCTTCTTAATATTTTTAGCTTACATCATCACCTCTATCTCCCTATAATCTTCCTAAAAGCTGATAAAATAGCAGTCGTGTTATAGTTCGGCCGATTGTACGCGTTCACTAGAGTACGGATTTTGTCGGATTCCATTGCAGGTGTGCCTCTCGGACTCTTTCCCGAAATCAAACATTTTTCCGACATGCAATGTTTGTATGTTTTATAGTATTTGGGCGTTGGATAATTCCCCAACAGCACACCGCGTAAGAACGGTTGGGCTAAATCAACGCCTAAGCCAGTTTAATACGTAAAACTTCGAGAGAGAGAGAAAAAAGAAGTATAACATAAACACTTTTTCTAAAGGTGTCATATACGCCACTTCTGCCACCATCATTCATTATCTCTCTTTCCTCCTAACTCACTTCAGTCAAGATGCTATCACGACTGGCTCTTCGCTCTAGAGCGCCAATGGCTGCTTCGATGGCAACCCGATCAGCTTTACAACCAAGCACATTGCCAAAAGTACTACCTTCCTCTTCCTCTATGCTTTCTCAATACCGTGGATTCGCCTCTTCAGCTGACCCATACGATGTAATTATCGTTGGAGGTGGTCCAGGTGGATACGTTGCTGCTATCAAAGCAGGTCAACTTGGACTTCGTACTGCTATCGTTGAAGGTCGCGGCGCTTTGGGAGGTACTTGTTTGAACGTAGGATGCATTCCTTCAAAAGCCATGTTACACAACTCCAACTTATACCATGCCGCCAAACACGATTTCAAAGATCGTGGTATTGACGTCTCAGATCTAAAGCTAAACTTGCCGCAAATGCTAAAGAACAAGGAAAAGGCAGTTTCAGGATTAACAAAAGGTGTTGAAGGATTGATCAAGAAGAACAAAGTCGATTACGTCAAAGGATGGGCAAGCTTTGCAGGTCCTACATCACTAAACATCAGCCTTACAGAAGGTGGCGAAACACAAATTGAAGGAAAGAACATCATCATTGCAACGGGTAGTGAAGTGACACCTTTCCCAGGTATGGAATTCGATGAGAAATCAATCGTCAGTTCAACAGGTGCTTTGGATCTCGAAAAGGTTCCCGAAAAGATGATCGTTATTGGTGGAGGTGTTATCGGTCTAGAAATGGGAAGTGTTTGGAACAGATTAGGTGCCAACGTTCAAGTTGTTGAATTCTTGAGCAGCATTGGTGGAGCAGGTATTGATGGCGAAGTTGCCAAATCTTTCCAAAAGATTCTGCAAAAGCAAGGTGTTCAATTCAAACTCGGTACCAAGGTTATCGATGCCGAAAAGAAGGACGGCAAGGTCTACCTAAACGTCGAAGATGCAAAGAGCGGAAAGAAGGAACAATTAGATGCTGACGTCGTTTTGGTTGCTATTGGCCGTCGCCCAACCGTCAAGAACTTGAACTTGGAAGCAATCGGTGTCGAACTTGATAACAAGGGACGTGTGATCGTCGACGATGAATTCAACACAACATGCAAGGGTGTTAAATGCATCGGTGATGCTACTTTCGGACCCATGTTAGCACACAAAGCTGAAGAAGAAGGTATTGCTGCAGTTGAAATCATCAAGCACGGCCATGGTCACGTTAATTACGAAACCATTCCATCAGTCATTTACACCCACCCCGAAGTTGCTTGGGTAGGAAAGAGCTCGGAAGAATTGAAGAAGGATGGTGTCAACATCAAGGTGGGAACTTTCCCATTCATGGCCAACTCTCGTGCAAAGACTGTGTTGGATACCGATGGAATGGTCAAGGTTATCACCGAAGCTGAAACCGATAAGATTTTGGGTGTTCATATCATTGGACCAAATGCCGGTGAATTGTTGGCAGAAGCTGTTTTGGCAATGGAATACGGAGCATCTTCAGAAGATGTTGCAAGAACTTGCCACGCACACCCAACTATGAGTGAAGCAATCAAGGAAGCCATGCTTGCTGCTCACTTCAAAGCCATCCACATGTAATATCTCTTTAGAACGTACGTTTTACGAATACACTTTTTTGACTTCTGTAACTTCACAGATGAGATTTGTCCCTTTAAGACTACATCTGTTATGGCATTGAGGATTTTCATGTTTGTGCAGTAAAAGTACAACTGTTTCGAGCATAACAAGGTTTGATCATAATATACAAAAAAGCTCAATTTCTAGTTTTTTTGGTTCTCACAGCACTTTCATCTCCGGAAACTCTCTTCTCGATCGCCTTCGTCTTCATATCCTTCTCCTTCATATGAGCTTGGCTCGTTCTCTCCTGCAGCGTGGGCAGGGGTACCACTTTGACCTTCTTTTGCCCATGTTGCTTTGATCGAGCCGACATCTGGAACCGATAGACCGGATCGCAAGGCTTGCTCTCCGTTTGCACGGATTTTGTAATGGACCAACAAAGAGCCATCGTCTTTATCCTCAACGGAATGCGTTTCACCAAATTGTTGGAGGAAGGCTTTCACCTTGCTTCGATGTTCTTCGTTGGAAGCGTCAGGAATTTCGGTAACGTGCAGCTTACTGGGTCTGTTATCCAAACTCATACTAGCACGATTTACCATAGCACCTCCTCTTCCTCCTCGATAGGAAGGATAGCCAAATCCACGACTTGAGCCTCTGAATGGTGTACCTCTTGCCCTTCCTCTATAGCCACCTCTGTAGCCACCTTCCGCGCCTGCTGTACCTGTTTCTGAATCAATGCCGAGTTGTTCTGCTTCAGCTTTTAATCTTGCCAGAGTTTCCTTCAGCTCTTCCGTCGTGCTACCTTCGCCACCTCCGCTTTTCAAGGCTTCCAGCTCTCGATCCAATTGTTCACGTTGTTTTAGGTCACGTTGCTCTTGCAAGTGAGATGCAGATACAGATGGTGTATTTGATGTACCATTCGTTGTACCGCTCACCGCGGCTCGCACCTCCTCGGTCGCTCGTTTAATTTCACCTTCTAGCGTACCGAACCTAGCCATAAGTGTCTTTTTCTCGTCTGCTGTTGCACTGCCTCCGGTCAACTTTGTCATGATCTCTTTTTGTTCCGACATGAGCTCGTCAAGCTTCTTTTGAGCAGATTCTTGTGCTTCTTTGACTTTCTCCGAAGCAAAACCTGGTCTGACAAATTTATTTTGACCAGGAACGAAGTTGCTCTTGAGAGGCGGTCCAGACGCAGGTTTCGGGGTGGGTGCAATATGCTCTACAGGTTTTGTGAGAGGTTCGTCAAGTTTTTGGAAGTAGACTTTCACGAAGCGGTTGTTGAAGATAACTTCGGGAGATGAATGAGCTGCTTTGGCTTCAGCCGGTTGCGAATAACTGACGAGCGCTTTCTTGCTATCGACGTCAATCTGAATGTTGGTGATTGTTCCGAACTTCTTAAAGTACTCGTTCACCTTTACCATTTCTAGGTTCTCCACTGGCACGTTTTCGATCACCAATGTCGTGTTGGACGTTTGCTTCTTTTCAAATGCACCTCTGCCTCCATGTGCACCACCTCTACCGCCTCCACGAGCGCCTCTCCCGCCTCTGTGACCAAAATCGCCACGATTAGAAGCATTTTGATCCATTCGTGCGAACAAGCCATTGCCATCGCCTTGTGGTACACCATTCTGAGCGTTATCCATTGGCGGTGGGCCTTGATACAATTCCTGAGGTGGCTGCTGCGTCATACCACCTTGTGCACCATTCCATCCCATCGGATGTCCACCCATGGCAAATTGTGGTCCCATACCCATGAAAGCATTGTTCGGGGCACCATGATGTTGATTCTGTGGCATACCAAAGGCTTGATTTACGTGTTGAGGAGGCATGCCCATCATTGGGTTCATATTATAACCATTCATGTCGGGGGTTGATTGTTGCGGCAAGATGTGATCGAACTTACACGAATCTCCACGACTGCAGAAGCCTCTTTGATGAAAGTCTCTACACATCTGTCTCGGCCTATTCTGTCGATTCCCATCATGGCGGAAATTTCCATCGCTTGGCGTTCGACGATCCCTTCTTTGTCCTTCTCCTGATTCTCCATCTCTGAACGTTTTTGCAGGCGATTGTCTTCCTTCGTCATCGGCCGATCTTTTACGCGAGGTGCCTACGGAGGTAGACGAAACATCTTGTGCGCTTGAGCTGGAGGCTTGGATGGTCTGTTTGGATTCGGGAAGGTAGGATTGTGATCTTAAAGCAGCAAAGGCTTTTTCCACAAATGGTGTCGTTTGTTCCGCCAAGAAGTCTTCCAATTGCTCTTGAAGGCTGGCTTGCAACGTTTCATCGCTTCCATCATGTTTGAGTAGAGCCAAAACGTAATCTGATAAAACTTCAGGATCTGCGTCACAGCTGGTGAGAAAGAAGTGTCAGTTTCTTAACAGTAAGGCATCTAGTATCAAAACCTCCACTCACATTGGTTCTAGTTCCTTTATTAGCCATATCTTTAGCTCATCCGTATGTTTGAGCTCAAAGGAAGGCATTTTGTTTGACCTCTTCAGTTGCAGCTGACCATATAAGCAAGTAGGGATAGGAGGAATGAAAGAGAGGCGTAATAATGGATGGAAATAGTATTTATCGTGATTGCTAGACAACACTTAATAATTCTCATGCAGGCGCACGCTAAATTGGTACGCGATTGACAATAATTGTTTTATGTAATCAAATGAGCGTGACATTGAAACACGTGTTGAGAATCATTGAGTCGATCAGACTTACCCTTCACGTGCAAGTCAAATTGACAAAATCTGTCTGGTTGCTCTGCGGCGGCGCGTACAGAGTGAATCGATGCAGGCTTAGAAGCAGGTCAATCTTCAAGCATGCACTGTAGCTGGTGCGCCTTTTTGGCTGTATTCTTCGTGCTTGTAACCATACTGCTCAACTGCTGTGTACGTGCAGGGAAGTCCATTCAAGCCAATTCCTAGAATTTCATCAATTCAGATCATCTGTTCTCAATCCTTTCACCAACCATCCTAGGGCCAAGGTCATCGTTCAATATGTAAGTATTCCGATGAGATAAACACGACTACATTGATGACGACAGAGAGAGGATGAATGAAGGGAAGAGGGGGATAGTTTGTGAAGTGAAGCAAGAATTGAGATATAATGTGAAGGGATATGGAAAGGCTATTCGACATGGAGGGTGATGACGCATACTCGACACTCGCAACAACTCACATGTACACCTCAGCTCATACCGCCATCCTCGAATCATCTGATCGTGAACATTGTCTGACATTCGCTCGATCTTCTCTTCTACACAGATTATAACGCCCAACATGCAAGAATACTCGGTCATTGGTAGGCACTTGCCCACAGAAAAGGAGCCAGCTCCAAAACTCTACCGCATGAGAATCTTTGCCAAGAACGAAACAATCGCAAAGTCTCGTTTCTGGTACTTCGTTCGTCAATTGAGAAAGATGAAGAAGGCAACTGGTGAAATCGTTTCAGTAAACGTTATCAGCGAAAAGAAGCCCCTCAAGGTCAAGAACTTCGGTATCTGGATCCGTTACAACTCTCGTTCAGGAACCCACAACATGTACAAGGAATACCGTGATTTGACCCGTGCTGATGCCGTCAAGACCATGTACCAAGATTTGGCAGCAAGACACCGTGCTCGTTTCGCCTCCATCCACATCTTGAAGGTTGCTGAAATCGAAAAGACTGCCGACATCCGTCGTCCTTACATCAAGCAACTCATTGCACCCAAATTGCGCTTCCCTCTTCCTCACCGTCGCCCACAATCTTTGGGTGTTTACGCAGCCAACCGTCCTTCGACATTCTACTAATTTGGCTTTGAGGTTGATATCATTTACACATTCACACACCAAAACCTACATATTACCATTATGTAGATCGGTAAGCTTTGTTGGTTGAGTCATTCTTCCATCGTCGCTTATTGTATCTCTATTGTACGCTTATACGCACTCTTACACACATTCAAAACGATGGCTACTTGCACGATCAAATCCGGATGAGTGATCGGGTGTTCCATGAAATGAATACTCTAAAGACTGACTTGCAAAAATGAAGTAAGTATACTGTAAAATGCCCCCTATCGATTGCTACACGCAACTGACCGAAAGTGTCGAGAAGGATAATTGTATACCATTGGTAATATTTGATACTAGAAGATTGTTGTGATGATCAGTCCTGCCCGTTAGGAATCTCAAGGTGCCCTTGCTAGCCATTTGCCTAATATTTGCCAAACTCATCCTGACCCTAAGTGGGCACAGAGACAAAATTGTCACTCCCATCACTATATTCAAGTCGAATTACGCTTAGCTAGAATGCACGGCCCATAACTTAAAAGCGCAATCATTCCGTTCAAGGAACTCTTCCTTTAAGACTACGACTACGAAGGCGTACCCAGCATGCAGTAAGACTTGAAGCGATCATGTCTTACCGAGAATGGTCGGGAGAGAGAGCTGGAGGGGCAAGGAGAGGTGAAGGGTCCACCTCAAAATCACCTTCGCCTGATCCTGAATTGGTTAAATATTTGAAAGAGCAAAAAGCGTCAACTTCTACCAGCTCAGAAGAGGCTTTTCATCGTAATCAACGTATCGCAGCAGGTGGTATCAATCATGCAAAGAATCGGTTTCAACGTGAAAGAGAAGAAGCAGAAAGGAGAAAGAGAGAAGAAGAAGAGTATGCTGCCATTGCTTATCGAGAATTTGTGGAGGATATGCAAGGCGATGGAAGAAGTCGAGGCAGCAGAAGGGATGGCACAAAGGACAAGAGTAGGACGAATGAGCGATCCTCTGGATTTGTTCGAGCGGGAGGATCAGAATATACTCATGAGAATGTCAATCGTAGAGATCAAAGACGCAATGATTCATCAGCTTTAGCAAGGGAAGAAGCATTCATTGTAGAGGATGATGAAGGACTTGACAGCAAGATGCAAAATGCAGAGAAAGACATACCACCTAAACGCAAAGGAGCAATGCAAGACTTTCTCGGAGAATTGCAACGGGATCAAGCCAGAAGAGAAGAGAGACTGCGACCCCGTGTTTCAGAGAACGAATCAATCTCTTCACTCCTTGCTCGTGAAGCTCAAAGGAACGGTACAAGAGAAACGCATGATCCCAAATCTACAAACGTTTGCATCTTAAATCTACCAGGAAATGTGAGCGAACACACTTTAGGAGAATATTTCAGCTATTATGGCGATATTGCGAGTGTGAAGATCATGTGGTCAAGAACAGAAGATGCAAGGATGGTAATGGCATCAAATGGAATGTCGATTCGTGAAACGAAGCATGAAGGAGCAACGGGATTCGTCAATTTCATGTACAAATCAGATGCAGAGCATGCCTATAACCAGATAGAAGGATCTCAATGGAGAGGCTGCTTATTACGAACGGGGTGGGGTAAATGTCTTTCCCGGCCATTCGAGCCTTTGTACATCAAATCTGATCGCACAAAAAAGGACTTTGAGAGTGAACAACATGCAAAAGAGCCAACGGAAAACTCTGCCCCAATTGCAATACGTTTCAAAAGATCACGTAGCCCTGGCTCTATACCACATCGTCGAGAAAGGCCACGAGAGAGATTTTCTCATGGAAACACATTCGAGGATGATGGTTATGCTTCGTTCTACAGCACCGATTCAGAAGAAGAGAGTGAGAATGAGAATCTGCAGAAACAAACAGACATATTCGGCAAAGTGGCTCGAGCAAGATTTGATGCCATGTTGCGCAGTTTGACAGGACGTCGAGAGCGCATTGCACGGGTGATGTTATTTGCATTGGAACATGCGTATTGTGCAAAAGAGATTACTGATCGCTTGATTCAGTCACTGTTGGTGCCTTCGACACCACTGCCACGTAAATTGGCACGATTGCATGCCATCTCGGATATTCTGCACAATTGTTCAGCTCCTGCAAGTAGTGCTTGGAGATATAGATCTCTATTCGAATCAACTTTGGAAGCTGTCTTTCTGCATTGGGGCGATGTAGCCAACTCATTCCAAGGAAGGATCAAACGCGAAGCTTGCAAGGATATGGCAAGACAATTATTGGAAGTTTGGGAATCATGGTTGATATTTGATTTGAAGCGGATACAAAAATGGCGGGAATGTGTGGAGAGAGGAAGTGTTGTTGCGACGATAGAGGCCGCATCAGACTCTGTTCCCACAACCCTCAAGCTCGATCAGCATCATGAGTCAATGGAAGACATTGATGGTGAGGAATATCAAGAGGATATTGATGGTGAAGCATTGGAAGATATTGATGGGGAGGCAATGTAGTATTCCATAGTGTATTTGTATGATTGTATCATTATTTGTTGTTTAAGAAGATTATTTTTTAGCGCGTTGCATTTGTACTTAAAATCTTTTCGTGGCTTCAACGTTTCTTCTCATTCACCATTCCTGGTCAAGTACGGTTGCATACTACCAGAGAAGAGCTCACAAATATGACCGGACCATCTCTGATCGCTGCCACTGCTGAAGAACAGGGAATCCTGCAATCTTTAGAGCATGCAGCAGCTCTTTTCACCAGTCCCGATCCGGCCGGAAGAAGTCAAGGAGAAGCAATCTTTCTACAATTAAGACAAAGTCCAAATGCAATAGAGCATGCTTTATTCTCTTTAGAGCATTCTAGTGATCCTTTCGTTCACTTCCAATGCTTGAGCGTTCTTTTGGAGCATTTGCCAAACCTTTCTTTGCGTACACCAAGCAAAAGCATCGCATCTTTAACGACCATTCGAGACTTTTTGTATGCATTGATCGTGGCACGTTGTAATGATGCCAATGCAACCTCATGGCCCAACTGGACAAGATCTCGTGCTTATCAAACATTATCTGCTGTTCAGCTGAGACTACTGGGGTTAGAGCTCGAGGAAGCAAAGGAGTCGCATCAAACTGGAACAGTCATCGAAGCACACACACAATTCATTCTTTCGCATATTGTCAACCTTACGTCTGTGCAGAGCCTTCAGGAGAATCAACAAGGATTCTTCGTTGGAACAGGTATTGCAAACTCACTCCTAGATGAGATCAGTCATAATACACAAATCAATGCAGGCAACACTAGCAGCACCTCAAATCGATCAAAAGGCAAATCTCGTATGGTCGACAATACTGGCTTGTCTCCGATTCAACATAGATGGACGAAAGCTTGGATGCAGGAACAGATCCTGCCGCATTTGTTACAAACAATCATACAAGGCCTCTCATTCATCTTGTCGAACCAAGCATCTACTGTTCAGGCATCAATCGTTTCTATCTTGTCTGCTTTGGTCAACTTATCAGAAAAACTGTTACGATGGTCATGCATTTTGACAAAACCTTGGGCAGGACTGGATAGAAATCTGGATTTTGAGGAAACTTCATCTCTCTTAGCAGAGGACAACCTCCTCATCGAAGATGATCTAGACGACTTGGAATCATCTGATCAACCGAAAATTTCATCAAGCACACACATCATTCGCTATATACCCGAATCTCTCGCACAAATTCTTTTGAGCATAGACATGATCTCGCTCATCAGTTCCGCTTATCGATTCGCGAATCAATTAGACACAATCACAAACCGAGAAGCGGCACTTTGCATATCAAGGCTGAGAAGATGTTTGCTTTCGATCTCAAGCTTCTCCCAAGCACCCCAGTCAAATGTCCAAGTGGACCTCGCAGGACGTCAAACTACCATTCTGAAAACACTAGCAATGCTTCGTGGTGATGCGCAGCATATGTCATCTCCTTTGCAAACTGATCGAGGTCAAGCATTGTTGTTCCTGGGACAACTTTATTCTGTCGCCTTGAAGTCTACTGCATCAGTATCGATTGATCATTTACCCTATGGCATCGAAAATGCTATACAAGATCTGTCTGCGCTGTCAAATATGATCCTAACATTTGCTTTTGGCAGACGAGGTAATGACAGCGATGAAGATGATGATCTTGATTTACTGGCGGATGAGATGATTCCCAGCCTTCTCTCTGCATGGTTGGCACTCCCAGAAGTTTGCAAGGATCCAGCAACGCTATCAAAGATTTCATCGCACACATTCATTGGAATCGTCAAGCCTTACATCGATGCTCGATTGCATCAGGCTTCGACCGCAGGCGAAAGTGAAGCAGATGACGATGAGGATGAATACGGCGAGGAGACAAGACCTGATCAAGAGGTGTACGAAGATACACTGATCATGTTTGCCTCTTTGGCTCGTCTTGGTAACTTGAGCGAGACATTGGCATACCTTCAAAGCTTGAGTGATCGTTTGTTGAATGAGCTTGTGGCTTTCTACAAATCTCCTAGCAACGCTCAAATTGGATCTCCCGAAATGAAAGCCTTGGAAGGACGATGGGAAAGCTTGCACTGGATCATCCTCATTACCGGGCATACACTAGCCGATGTCAGTAAAGGAGAAGTTGCCATGGTTCCTCGTGAGATTGAGGTGCTTCCGGAGCAAGATCAGCAGGTGGCAGTACATCTAATACAATCACTCGGATTGAATCTCGCTCAAATTCTGACAGATGCAGATCAGTCTAAACCGCAAAGTCCTCAAGTTCTGCAGACTTTGCTCTGGTTCAACGCTCGTTGGATCCCAGGCTACTTGTTGGTCCGATCAACGCCCGTTCTGTCAGCGAAGTTCGATGCTCGAGCTGGTCTGCAGACCTTGTCGTTCTTACTTGGGAGGATCAAGATCATCATGGGTGTTTGGGTATCAGACAGTGATGTGATCTTACAAGTTTCATCCATTTTACGTGCTTTTGCATTGTCAGAAGGAGTAATGCGTTCATTGTTGTCGATCTCTGAATTTGATGAGCTAAACAGAGCAATTATCGAAGGTCTAGGTGTCTTGCCAGCCAAAACGCATAAACCTTTGATTTCAGCTTTGATTGGTTGTATCTATGCAAGCGCTGCCACACAATCACCAGAGATCTTCTTTGATCGTATCACACAAGCAATCGAACAACGGCTGTCTGTCATCGTACATCAACCTTCCTTCACTTCGCCGAGCGTTTTCCAAAGAGGAGATGTTGTCGAAGGTTTACACAATGCACTGGACATGTTTGATGGATTAGCAGCTAGTACTCAACCAAGATCAGCTCGTGCAGTGTATGGGTTCCTCTCGCGCTTCTTTGATACTTTGATCAATCTGATCACAATGTACAAAGACAGAAGTGAGATTGGAACGGGAATCATTCGCATTTTCCGTACTTTGATTGGCGCTCTGGACCTTGGCTTTGGTGTTGATGAAGAAATTGTATCCAGCCTAAATGAAGTGGTCTGGAAGTTGATGGAAGGAATGAATGCCAACATCTTGATTGGCGATTCACCTGCATCTGCTTTGGAAGAAGACATTCCCTTCGAGGGTCTTTGTCTTGCGTTGGAGTTGATAAACGATCTCCTCTTGGCAAGCGATGGGGATGCACGTTCTCCTGTCTCTCACTGGCTGGCCAGCGTATCTCATCGTCAGACTGGAGATGTTTGCCTTTTCGGCTTTTCGCGTTTGGTGCCATTCTTGCAAGGAGATGTTTTGTCAAGCTCAGGTATTCGTACTCGCTTGGCACGCTTGACAAGTCGTCTTTTCATCTCTTTTGGTCACAGACTTGTAGGTATGGTGATCCAAGAAGGTATGCATCAACAATCTATCCCAGTTCCTGGTAATGGACAAGGTCAATGTGTTCAGTTGTATACTGCTTGCGTTGAGGCTTTATCCATCTCATTGAACTTCGATGAAACAAATGCAGTCATTGATAGTCTAGAGGCTATTGACGGTCTTGCAAAAGCATCGCAAAGGGTACTTCGTGAAGCATTCAATGCAACGAACGGTAGTGCTGCTCAACAGAATGTCAATCAAGCAGGACAAGTCGTCCTTGCATCTTTATCATCCCCACTTTTGGACAATATCTTACGCGCAACATTGATTGAGCCCATTGCACCGACAATGCTTGAAGCTCATATCCGGACATTATTCTCACTGCTGAACGTCATCATTCATACTCAGGTACAATGGCAAATTGATGGTCAACAAGAAGATGGCAAAGTTCATCTTCAAAAGCATTTGCAAACGTTTTGTGCTACTACGTCTCTTTCAAGTGGCCGTGTAAAGGCATCCTCAAAAGAGATTGTCAATACTGGAAATGCAGATGATTTGCGCAGGAGGACAGCTCTCTCGACCGTGATCATCCAGCTTGTCGAGCATTGTATCTCAACAACCGGAAAAGCACAACAAGATTCTCTGATCGAAGGCCGTGCAAGGGAGATTGCTTGGCAAGCTAGATCTGATCTCAAGGTTCGTTGATTTGTACAAATTCATGAAATACATAATACATTGATAATTGCGGGTATATACACAGAAAGTTTGCTTATGAATCAGAAGGAACTGCAGGTGATGGTGAAGACGAATTAGGTGTACTGATTTGAGGTAAGGCTCCATAAAAGGATGAAAGTCTAGCAGCGGCTGACAATGGTTTGCGTCTTCGGACCGGTGCTTGAAGGAGAGATGTTTTGACCTGATCGACCTCGTTATTTTCCAGATGTAATTGGTCCGCACCAAATGAGACACCTGCGAAATAGTCCCCACATTCATTAGGATGGGATTGATTGATTGATGTAGAAGCGGGCGTCGCTTGACTGCTTGTTTCGTTGGATGATGTCATGTTTATCTCTCCTCCGTACGTCTTTGAAGATCGTAAAAGTGGCGGTCTTTCCCATTCGGGTGTCGTTAGTCTTGGTGTGACCAACCTAAACGTTCCTGAACCAGAAGTAGCGGCATGTACCTGAGGACTGAGAAGCTTACCGTGAAACAATTGTGCTTCCAAGGCATGAGCTTTTGCGACTCGTGCTGCAGGCGAGATTGGTTGGTTGGAGCGATTCTCCCTCGTGGGCGGGCTAACGCTTCGATTTCTTCGATTGGCTGTCGTATTCTCACTCTGTTCGACCGTCACTCTGGGACTGTCCACGCCTGGCGTGAGCGAATGCATCGTATCATCATCTTCATGCGTTGTGATGATGCACATTTCTTGTGGAGAAGTTGGCGTTGGGGGACAAGAAGGCAAGCTGGCATCAGAGTCCAATGCACGACTTGCATGGATGCATTGTTCAACATTTGTGGCGGGTGTTGAAGCTGCTGCACTTTCTACATCTACCAGGCTAGGCTCTGGTGTCTCGGGAAAGACGGATTCATAACATGTATCACATGCCCTTGCCGGGCGGTCTTGTTCACCGTCTTCATAGCTTGCGATCAAGAAAGTCTTTTGACTGCAAGACCAACAAACGACTTGACCGCATAAGCGACAATGATGCTTACGTCTCCACAAGCCAAAGCTTTCACTGCAGCATGCACATTTGTCCGCTCTGCTATCGGGAACCCAAACGGGTGCATTGTAGTCTTCCAATACTTTCAATCCTCCATTACGGGATGCAGACAGATTGCTGTTTGCCATTGATGCTGAATTAGCACTGCTGCCGGTCAGATATGCTGCCAAACTACCTGTCGTGCTGAACGAAGGCAAAGACTCTCTTTTAGGTCGCGCTTCCGTAAAGGCTTCTACAGATGAGCCTTCAGGTATGGAAGATGATGAATCCGGTATTTGTGGAAAAGAAACTTTTCTGTTGATTGCCTGCAAGCTTCTCCTTCTTTCCCTCTTTGCTGAAATTGAATCTTCTTCTGCTTGCAACGTTCGCCTGTTTGTCATCAATTCTTCTCTTGCATTTCGCATTGCTGTCAACCATTCAGCTTTGGCCTCAGTCGAATCGGCGTAAATAGCAAAACTTTTACCGGGTGTGCGAATTTCAATACAGTGTCGCAACGATAAGTCATTTGAGTTTGCCGATTCTACTCCTACTACAGTGCAATCTTGCAAAGCAAACTTTCCACGAAATTGCAGTTGTTGACCCTCCAAAGATGAAAATGACAATCGATTGCTTTCCACTTGTGTTGGCACGGAAGTTGTCCTTCGCCTGATTGGTACCTCAAACGGCTTTCCAGGCGAAGAGGCAAGATTGCGTTGCTGATAGGGTGATTTCGCCATCGTTGGGCTACCGAGAGGACTCGAAGTACCTTCTACTACGCCATAACGGCTGAAAGCCTGCCATGCAGCTGATGCATCAGCAATTGCACCGCCGATTGGTGCCGCATAGATTATGCAATCGGTAAACAGGAAGAACTCCCTTGCATGGATATCTTTTCGACCGGCTTTCCGAAGGGTTGCACGTTTGAGTAGAGCTCTACCAGGCGTGATCAGAGGCTCATTCATACCGATCAACGTCCTTTGGATACTAAGCATCGACAATACCATCTCGTGCTGTCGGATGTTATCGTTGATCGATTCGGCCACTTGCTCGATCACTTGATATGCACGGCAAAGGTCAGAATAATCTTTGTGTCCCACAGGCGTACATTTGACCAGCTCGCCAACCAACAATTTGTACCGTGGAATCCGTTGAACAATACTCAATAGATGCGCTTGGAGACCAAGACCGAATCCGAAACCTCCTGATCGTGTAGGAACACCATCTGCTCCTTCAGTGCTGGCGGAAGTCATCCATGTCAACCGTTCCGTTTCTTTCAAGAATCTGGCAAAGACTTCATTGGTTTTGCGTTCAGCCTCGATTCGTGTAAGAGCGCTACTGAAATTCTTTACGAAGAATGAGTACATCTTCAAGAATGGTGCCATAGGCGCAAGAAGATCTCCGATTAGATCACTCTTCGGATCCCAAGGATGTGTGTTTGCATCCGTCTTCTTTTGCAGCTGTTCTGGATTTGGCTCAATCGACTCTTCGACGGAGCCTGGGATTACCATCGAAACAGGCCGTGAATTCGGTGGATCTCGATTGCGTCCACTCAGCCTATCATCCAAACGGATCAAAAGTTCCGAATTAAGATGCAGTATATCTGCAAAGTTCGAGAATATCTCGTTGATCGCTTTCTTGGATAGGTTTGGCGCTGCATTATCGGGCAATTTGGTGCCAGTGCTGGATGTCGATACCCCTTTACTGTATCCTAGCAAAGGTTGATAATAATGGTCGTTGACAATTCTCAAACTGGCAACGAAGGCTCTTTCCGTATCCAATAATTCCTTCGCAACATTCCTTCGTTTTGTCCAATTACCGTCCTCTGCAGATCGAAGCGGCCGATCGTTGATTCGAACGTGAAACCTGCGAGAAGGATCTTTGTTCTTTCGCATTCCTGCCATGCTGCTTTCCAGTTTAGGCGAAGATCCATAGCTGGTAGGATCCAACAAATCATTTGACGGCTTGGAGTAGGGAGAAGATGATATATGCGATACACTCTCTCCTTCTGGTAACGATTCGAATGATGCAACGCTGTACATGCTCATCCTGCTATCTCCACTTGCCAATGCTGGCAGACTTGGTCTCCTGGGCCATTTTGATGAGCCTGCTACTGCGCTTGATGCCGAGGCGGAAGCGGAGGCAGAGGCAGAGGAAGAGGATGGGACTGGTGTTGTGTTTTGTTTCTGTGATTTCTTCCGACGTGATGATGGTATTATCCCTAATGCGGATGCCAACGTTGGTGTCAAAAGACTAGCAGTCAAATTCGAGTGAGAAGAGGATGCAGCGACCATGATCGATTCGGAGTAAGGATGTGTGTTGTTGGAAGAAGATTGGCCGGTCGGGAATGAAACGGGTTCAACAGAATGATGATCATGGCTAGGAGGAGACTTTTGATTGACGCCATTTGAAGAAGAAATGGATGATTTTATGCTTGAATTTGAACTTTGAGACCCCTGTCTGCTAGGAGTTGATTTGTACGTTTCTTCGTGTATCGAACAAGTTTGCATTGATGAAGTGACCGTATTCTCCACGGATGCCAACATCGGCCTTGACTCGTTCATGTTTTTGCTTTCTTTCCTTCCTTCGCACTCTGCTTTCAGAGGCGGGAATTTTCAGTTTATGAATATTTTGTATTGGAACGAGATTTGAGAGATGAACATGACCACGCGAGAATGTTTTTATGAACCCCTGATCGTCAATTAGTTTGGATCAATAGAAAGAGATGGTTGTATGATGATGTTTATGTTTGCTAAATTCGAAGCCGATGCACAAATATATGCATGTACACAAAGTCGATTTAATGGCCGTCTGGGGTGCAGAATGGAATCGGACTTGTTTGGTGATACCAAGATTGAATGAGGAGGATAAAGTGTATTGGATGGATTAATTGATGGTTGTGTGGCTTTAGGTTGTATTAAAGTTCAAGAATGCTGAACAATGATTGTATGACCGTTGGATGGGATATGTCACTTCCGTCCTCACTCTCTCTCTCTCTCTTTTGAGGTTCGCCTTTTGCTCTGTTGGCCTTTTTATGGTATAGAATGATGACGAAGTCCAAAGAAGTGTTATCGTGCAAGGGTAGATGTCGATGTTGATAGTGATGATGATGATGATGCTTCACAATATACATCCGATAACAATGATCGACTTTAGAGAGAGAGACAGTTGTTATGTTTTTTCAAAATGTGCGCCTGAGCGGGTGGCTTTTGATTCAATAACCTCAATAACCCGATACGGTACCGTTTTGTGGCAGTGTACGAGTGTATATGAGCAAACAACAACACTTTTTTATATTTTTATAACACAGGGGCTAAAATTATACGCGTATTCTGCCTATGCACGCAACACACAAATCGGACAACCGTGTACTTACGACGGGCTCGCCTTTAATTCAATCAAAGAGGGGGGGTTCAATCATTTCTGTAACCCTTTATCGGTCCGAAAGCAAGTCAGGGTCTGTTTATGATCGATTTGTTTGCATGCCATCTTATTTGAAGCAGAGTAGATATTCAATTTCAGGATCAGATGCAGACTGGTTAAATGCCCGACATGCATATTTACGCGCTATGTTTTGACAATTACGCTAATCGATTCCTGCATCATTTGCTTTAACCCCTTTTTGCTCTTTCTCTCTCTCCTGTCTTTTACTAAGCTGAATTATTTTTGTCACTCTTTTTGACCCATTAACCGGTACAGATAAAATAATATTGTTTGTTCGATCTTCATTGCCATATATATTCCTACTACTTCATCCTAAACTTAGATCATCCTCTCTTATGATCCTATCAATGTATGATTGTCTTATACGCGTTTAATGAACGCGACTGTACACGTGACAGCCTAATGAATGAGCTAAAGTATCGGCAATCCCCCTGAGATGAACGTATTGTCGTTAAAAGATTTATTGTCATCATATCATATGAGAGCGATTGTAGTCTATTTATCGTTAGTCTTGATTTGTTCGTTCGCTATAATTATTTTCTGAAGCCAAATAAACTCTATATCATATAAAATACCTATGTCAGTCTAGAATATTATACTTTATATCAATTTTAAAATTTTATATATTTCATATTTTATTCCATTAAAAGCCAAAGCATACAGTATAGCAGATACAGGGTAGCTATGTACTCTCTATAGCAGTATAAAAAATTTTGATATGTTTTTTTATAGATCTCATATTACTTAAAAAGCTCAAAAAGCAAAAAAAGATGCCAATACAGATCACGATTAAAGATGAAAACACCTTTCTACCACTATATCTATCAAGACAGCATGTCACCTCCTTATTAATCATCGCCATCATACCACACCCTCTGTATGCCCATATATCTTAGTCATTATTCCAATTCATCAGATATAGTACATGCCCACGCCGTGAGAATGGTAGCATTTATTGCACCTGATGACCCCAGTTTGCAGGCAGGCCATTGCGCGGTAAAATCAATCTACGCGGTGCCTACATCTCTCACGGGATACGGCTAAAGAATTGAAAGGCATTTCGACAGTATAAAACACAAAACTATAGCGTAAAATTCAGGAGAGACGAGTGAAACTTGAACGGCACTTTGGCCCTTTAAGTGGGTTTGAATGGGAAGCGTGTTTCATTTTTACTCTATTCAATGATCGGCGATGCAGGTGAAGAGTGTCTCTGTCTTGTATGCCTGAGTGCAGTCCAGCTTCCGGCATCAATCGTAACGCGTTTTTGAATGGACAGCTTTATACTAAATTCTTAATCCGACTTCACCATCCATCCATCCACACTCCAGTCACACAGAAAAGGTTGTGGAAATCATACTATCTTTATCATCACGAAATCAAATCACATCAAACAACAACACAAAGTCATTAACGAAAACTACTTATTGAAGAAACAACATCTTATCGCGCTTAATTATCGCGTGCATCCATCCGACCTCTCATCCAGCATATAATACGACCATGTTCTAAGATAAGAGTAGATCATCATATCTATATCTCTGACCGGCAATCAAATAACGATCAGAGTAGCCAGCCTGGCCTCAAGAAGCAACAAGAATCGAATCCGCCATTAGCATCCGCAACTCCACAGAAGAAAGCGAAACAACCTGCTTCGGATGTTTATAAAAAAGCTTACCGTGCGACAATCAACATCCTTTACGACCAAAAGACCAGATCAAAGCCAGAGAATTGCTCTTCATCATACGAACAGCCATCACAGGCACAATTTCTAACGACCTTGACGACCGAGAGCGCATCATCTTCTCACAAGCTCCACGACCACATCCAGATTCAATCCCGCAACCGCTCTAAAGGAAGCCAAGATGTCTGCTCCTCGAACGTCTATTGCGCCTATTGAATCATTTGCTGATGTTGAAACGACCAATTGGAATGCTGTAAAGTTGATTGCAGTCAAATATGGCATCAATCTCAAATCACCCGAAGAGATACGTGCTTCTATGCGTTCTCATCGAAGAACGGCATCCACCCAAGATATCACAATGAACAAAACAGATGATGGCGAAGAGGAGGACTTAGGATTGGGTACTCCATTCCGGATCCTCGCAAGAACCAAAGCCGATGGTCGGACTGTATATCATTTGACGTACCGACATCAGGCTAATGTTGGCTCAAGCGCGGCGGCCGCAATGCATGAGACAGGACAGATATTTGATACGAGTGGAGACACGAGCAGAGAATCAAATGAAGCAGATGAAGCTGGGTACGATCCTGGAATGGATTCTCCATCTTCCTCACTTCGCAAACAAAGAAAGAAGCAACCTTCAAGTCGAACGTTACGCGTGGCCCGATCCATTTCAGCTTTTCGGGTCTTGAATGGAAGTAACGCTGGCAGCAGTTCGGCAACAAGGTCAAATGATGCTTCTGCCCACCGAGAAGAAGAAGAGATGGATCAACGTATGCTTGCTGAAACATCAGGTTCTCCACGACCTGACAAACTTCAACGAGGTGATGTATTAGGTGCAATATTAGGATTGCGTCAAGGCATCAGCGCTGAAGATTATTCTTGGACAGATGGAAGTCCAGCGATATCCTCGCCATCGAAATCCAGCAAAGGCATATCGAACGATGATCGACGTTCAGCAGGAAGAAATGCATCGCAAGATAAACCCTCTTTATTCTCTGCTCGACCTTCCGATGCAACTTGGCGTTCAATCTCGCCTTTTGGTGCTCCGGTTCTGCAACGGGATCGTAGTGCCTCAATCCGACAAGAAGCTACGGATCGATGGAACCGCTCGCCAATTCCACGTATGGCAGATATGGGACAGCCATTGTTCAGCGATATGCACCAAATGTTTGCCAACTCGCCTACAGTTGAAGCGAGCCCGATAAACAAGGTAGATGACAATGATGCACACTCAGAGGTAGAGTCTATCTCCAATGAAGAAGCTGATCCTGCCAAGATATTTGACGTATTGCAAAATGACTCCCCACATCGACAATCTGTTCGATCGAACGCTTCTTCCACTTCTTCGCCTGTCGCATCTACTGCTGGATCTGCCAAACGTACTCGTGAATCGTCGGCTAATTCTACAGATCGTAGTGAAGCATCCACCTCAGCTTTGCCGGGAGATGATCCTAGATTTGCTCTATGGGCTGTGCGCAATGCGTCAGAGGAAGATGGAACGCTGGTGCTGTGCTCTCGTCAAGGCGAGGTAGATGTGCAACCAATCGATTCTCCAAAGACGATGAGCTCTCCTCGACACGCTGGTGTACCAACACGAAAGCGTGGTAGTGTTCGTGCTTCGATTTCGTCAAACGATACCGGTGATGGGTCCTCAGGAGCAGGGGTTTCAAGCAAGCTATTATCTCCTTCACCCGCCTCAAACAGGAAAGGGGGTTTGGAAGAATCTCAACACAGCATACTTTATCCCAAGAATGGCGCTTTTCTCATTGCTGCTTCTATGCCATACATTGTGGCAGAATTGACGTCACATATCGACAACAGATTCATGACCGACTTCTTTTACACATATCGAGCATTCACATCGCCGCGCGAACTGCTGAGATTGCTCAAGGTTCGATTTCAGTGGACTCTTACAGGCAGTGGAAGTGAGAAAGAGGAGGCAAAAAGGAAGATCGTTCGAGTACGAACGTATGTGGTGATCAAATATTGGCTTACCAACTTTTTCACCTTTGACTTTTTGCCGAATCGTGCTTTACGAACGGATTTTACCGATTGGCTGAACAGCTCATCACAAGACCCAATGTTGATCTCTAGACCTGCAGATTTGGCCATCATCAAGAATCTAAAGAAGATCGTTCGAAATCTGAAAGCAGCATACGAAAATGTAGGAATAGGCGGTCTATTGCTTGCAGATACGACAAACACACCACGATTACCTGAATCAAATTCTCATCCTGAAGCATTGGCAGAAGCTGGAAGTGACCCTGCTGTCAATCTTGAGATTGGAGAAGCAGGTTTGGAGGAATCATACGATGCGGCTGCGTTAACGAAAAGTCCTTCTGATAATTCTATTTTGCAAAGCGCAATAGGCACGCCATCATTGGGCTCTGAGCCATTCCGACCGGTTCATACACAACACAGGGCACCACCGCCTCTGCCAACATCCCAAGGTGCTTTCTCGCGTGCTTTCTTGACAACGTTTTCAAAACTTTCTCGCTTTACACGACATATGAATACGAGAAACTCTACAAATCCTCTCTTGAATGACGGATCTGGCTTTTCGGAAGGTTCTTATACAGAGCCAAAGCCTTGCGCAGATCTTTTGTTTGTTAAAGGAGGGTTAGAGTCTTTCCTGGATTATTTCGATCTACATCCGTCTCAATCGACAAATGGTAAACGACACAAGCGATCTCAACAAGCCGGTCAATCTAGCGGAGATGAAAGTCAAGATCATGTATCAGACGGTACTACCGGACCGGAAGAGGCAACGCCAAGCTTGAGTAGCAATCAAACAAGAAGCACGCCTGCAAGTTCATTCGATCTTCATCGCGGATCTCCGATTACGGGCAGTGATAAAGGGACATTTGGTTTAGGCATTCGTAACGGTGAATCTTCTGTAGATGACGACGATGAAGAAGTGGGAATTGCAATCACTTCAGAAGAGATCAATCAGCTCGATCTGTCGGACAATGAGGCCCCGCCACATTCTGCATCTCATCTGAGCGCCACTCAGGACATGCTTCATCATTTTCAAAGCGATCAAACATTGCGTTCCGCTATGAAGGATGAACAAAGTCCAACTAGCATGCGAATCGCAAGTAGACAAGGATCAGACTCAAGAGAGGACAACTCTTTTGCCATGACGCAAAATCGCAATTATCAATCGAGCAATATCGTTCAAATTGATGACATCGATCTTTCCAGCGATGATGAAGAAGATGGTATGGTCAGAAGAGCTTTGAGAAGGTTGCCGGGAGCGCGTGATTTGCGAATGGCGCAAAATGTTACGGAATTAGAAGGTCCAATCCGTCAAAGCTTTGATAGCATTTCCAGTCTTGGACGTGTATATGCAGAGTCGAGAAGGTCACTCGCTTCGTATTATGGCAATGATCAAGGTTATGGCAGTCTTGAAGCAGATCTGCAATCCGAACGTGACGCTCAGCACATCACTTCAGTCGTTACATCAGAAATGTTGGACCCAGACGAGGCTTTACGTGGGTATGAACTTGTCAAAGGATTCCGCATTGAGCATCTCGAAGAGAGTGACGAAGAGGAGACCGGTGATGTTGAAGCTGCGCTAAGAAGGCTGGAAGGTGTGATCGATGAGGACAAACAACGCGAACGTGCCAAGAGAGTTGAGCGAATGTGGGAGCGCAGTCAAGCACAAAAGAGTGACGAGCAACGTCGCAAGGATGATGTCAAGACATCCAGCTTATTACAATCTTACGAAGCAGCAGCTGCCACAGATTTGCCTGCCGATAGTACCACTTCCGTGCAGGCTGACGATGAAAGAAGAGATGTTGAAACGCCTGCTCCGACTATTTCTACCAAGCGAGACACAAGCCGCAACGGTCATTCAAGACGTCCTTCCTCTGTGGGTACTGCTCATGACGCAATGCGTTCCAGGATTACAGAAACACCTTTATCAGCAAGACCTGCTACACGCAAGCTCACTGTTGCGCCTGTTCATCGATCATTCTTATTGGACTATCATTCTGACGTGATTGCACAGCAATTCAGCTTGATCGAAGTAGAGCTTTTCCGTGCAGTTGCTTGGCAAGAATTGGTGACTGGTCAATGGAAAGTAAGACATCATCGTGGTCAAGTGTTGGATTGGGAAGCATTCTATCAATCACGTGCACGACAAAGAATCGAGATGCAAAATCAAACCACTTCCTCTTCCGATTCTGGTGCACAAAACCAACAACTAGAATCTAGCGTCGAAGCAATTACTGCAAGATTTAATTTGACATGCAATTGGGTAGCAAGTGAGATCGTCATGACAAGTACAATCGATGCACGAGCTGCTGTGGTTCGTAAATTGATTCGGGTTGCATGGAAATGTTATCATCAATCCAACTTCGCCACTCTTACTCAAATCATCTTGGGTCTACAGTCGCCATGGATCGAACGTTTACGCAAAACTTGGGCTCGCGTTGGAGCTTTGGAGATGCGAATGTTACGTGATTTGAAAGCATTCATCAATCCAGCTCGAAACTTTAAGCATTTACGTAATGCGATGCGAGAAATGCTCATCGAAGGTCAAATGGAAGAACTTATCACGTCGACCGGACCGCCACAAATGATGAAAGGAAGTGGTGCTGGAACGAGTAATTCACAAGCATCCCGATCAGGTGGAATTGCATTGAATGACGGTTGCATTCCATTCTTTGGTTTATTCTTGTCGGATTTAGCCGTTCATGATGCTTTGCCTACATTTGTTGAACCTTCTTCGCCTGATGCGGATGTTAATATAGATTCAACAACTGGTCACTTGAACAAATTGGCCGATCCAAACGCATTCGATCACCTCAATGCATTACCAAAAGGTGTCAAATTATCACCTCTTGTTAATTTATACAAATATCGTATTTTAGCCATGACTGTTAAATCAGTTTTGGCATTGCAAGATCGCTTGGACGCATTCAATTTTCGCGCTGATAAGGATGCTTATGTCAAAGCACTCAAAATTCGATGTTTGGAAGCAGAACAATTAACTGTAATCTCTCATATGGCTGAACCGTAAAAACGGTATTTAGCTATTTCCCCTACAATTTCCCACATCTCAGCACAATCTTTTATTCATACCCACTTATCACCATACCCCCCAGGCTCATTCATTTCAGTGTATTATTATTTCGTCTTGAGGACCTTTTTTCCTCGACAGCACATTCATTCGATCTTCTAGGGTTTCACCGTGAATTCAATTGCATTTAATCAATCTTGAACAAATGACTTTCACGTGTAATTCGATAAGCTTATCCCGATAAGCCACAATATATCGAATTCGGCAAGATGTAGAAATCAATTTAAGAAGCCACTGTCGTGATAAATTGTTCCATATCTGAACCAGTATACCGGAAAGGGATCTTTCCACGATCATCGTCATCATCATAGTATTTCTGATCGTGAGTATCAAGTGTTATGTCCAATATGTTCTCTCGGATTGAAAGATGCTCCAGGTATTTCGATATGCACCATGCAAATCCCTCCCTTCACTTGGCTCGCATAGAGCCTTGACTGCATGTAGGTAGTTCTCCCGAATTAATTTAGACTTCTTTATATAAAATAATATTGATGTTCCTGTGTGTGTATTAAGCGAGCGTTAACAAAAGCTTATTTAGCGTATTTTCATTTTCAAGCTTTTTTAAACTTTTGCTTTCAATATGCATTTGACAAGTACAAACACATACATACGTACAAGTAGTATATCTCCGACGTTCAAATCGAATAATCTAGAGCGATTGAGCTGCATGCGTACATACGAACATACTTCATTCTCCTGGCTTGCATCTTTTTTTTTTCGGTTGTCAAATTTGATGATGCATGAGATTCTTCGGCACAGATATTTGAATGCAATAAATCAAATCTTCAGCCTCTCCATTCATTTCAAACGAGCGGATCACCGTAATGACGAAATGCCAAAAGGGGGTACTTGCATTCAAAAAAAGGGCACAGAATAGGGAGTGGGCATTAAAGCAGTAAAGACTTTTGCTTGTCATCAGCTTATGCATTAATTATTCATTTCATCATTCTCTCCTGTTTTACACGGCTTTCCTAAACAGGATACGCGGACATGAGTCAAGCCGTCTTGTTAAGGTTAATTTAAACACTTGTTTATCTTTTCATGCGCGATCACGGCACAATCAGAGTGTCTTCTATTAGCGCACATTGTTGTCTATCGCAATACCGTTGTTTTGCCGCGTTTATGCACATTGTGTGTATAACAGGCATACAAATCTCATTATTGTTCTGTATCGATTTGTGACAAAGGTAAGCCTGGTCCTCGCTTCAGCCTAAAGGTATGTGACTGTATCAAAAATAAAACAGAGCGGCATTCCCTTGCCTAGCCAAGAGAAAGAGAGAGAGCAAAAAAAGCGGTGGGCGTGTTTGCAGGCAAATTTGCTATCGATTGACCACACACAGGCTTTGATTTGTTTGATTCGCTTTTGTTGCAATTGTGCCGCGTTTCCTTCGTTTAAAAAAGTGCCAGCCACTCAACTTTTACTTCTTTTATCACCATCATCCCATTAATCCACTTCTTGAACTTTGCTTCAAAATCAAACTTACTTTTCGTCGACGTACAAACTAACACGCACACGAACTACCTCTTTCTCATCAATCATCACGTACGTATCCAGATCAATACGATCACTAGCATTCAATCATCACACAACCTGACATCCTCTCCATCTTGACCTTGCACAGAATGTCTGCCGTCGAAGCTACAGCTCCTACCACCGAGGCCCCAGTTGCCAACGTTGCCGAAACCAAGGCTGAAGAAGTTGCACCTGCTGCTGCCGCTCCAGCCATCGAGAGTGAAGCACCAAAAGCTGAAGAAGCAGCTGCTGCTCCTGCTGCTGATGCCGCCGCACCAACTGCTACCGAAGAGGCCGAAAAGCCAGCAGAAGAAGCAAAGGAAGCCGCTGCTACCACACCAAAGAAGGAAAAGCGTCAATCTACATTCAACAAGCTTTTGGCCGCCTTCCAAGCTCGCACAAAATCCTTCAATAAGAAGGACGCTGCCAAGACCGAAGAGACTGCCGCTTCCACCGAAGAGACCGCCAAGCCAGCCGCTGCCACAGAGGTAAGTACTTGAATCTCTATCCACATCACCTTCACGGTATCGATCTGTTATCGGTCACTAGAAAGAAAAAAAAAGTTGATATACCCTGCATATCGGCCGTCAAAAAAGCTTATCTTGCGCGCGCTTGTCACGGAAGCGCACTAGCGTGATCGCGTCATTCACAAACGATGATGGTGACATAATCAGAACAGTGTACTGACATGCTCTTTTTCTCATTTACAGGAAGCTGAAGCTGCCAAGACTGAAGAAGCCCCAGCTGCTGTCGAAGAGGCCGCACCAGCCAAGGTTGAGGAAACCCCAGCTCCTGCCACCGAAGAAGCACCAAAAGCAGAAGAAGCTGCCGCAACTGAAGCACCAAAGTCCGAAGAGGCCGTCAAGTCTGAAGAAGCTGCAAAGAAGGAAAAATTGACCCGTCGTTTGTCAGCCCGTGTCGGAAACTTGTTCCAAAAGGCAAAGAAGGACTTTGCTCCTACTGAAGCTGCAACAAAGGAAGAAGAAGCCGCTCCTCTTTCTGAAAAGGTTGAAGAACCAGCTGTCAAGGCTCCCGAGCCAGCAACTGCTATCACTGCTTAAATAGCGTGAGGCATGTAACGATGCATCAACCAACATTTTGTGCATCGCAAAATCCTCTCAAGCATTGCCTCCTTTCTCTTTTCTGTTTCCTCCAACTCCTCTTCCACCGGCTTTTCTCGGATCGCTTAACAAGGTCAAGACCAATAGAAGTGGTTCATCAAATTGATTTTACTGGATCGATCCAAATGCACCCACAGTCCTTTACCTTCAAGAGCTTATATCTTTTTATTCCTTTGCCCGACCTAGCTTTTGGCTATATCTCTTATACCCCGTCAATTGTTGGGATTGGGACCATTAATGATTCGAGAATGTAGATGGTTATTGAGTCATCTATTTCCTTGATTCACCCCCTTTTTCGTTTGCACAGTCCCTCCCAACCTTAACTCGTTTTGATTGTCTCTCTTACACATGTATCTTCGTTCATCGACCTCTGTTATTTTTGTTGATCGTAACGAGTTGCTTTACCCTATAATATCCTTCACTCGACTATTCACATTCGAGGCAATGCATATCTCTCTTATTCTATATTCAGTCTGACAAGTTAAAGATTTAATAAGTTAACTCTATTTGTGTACATTTATCCTTGTAGATTGATATTATCAACGGCACCCTTTAGTCTGCCAAATAAACCTTGGGCTAAATCTCTTGCTCCTTCTGCTGCTTCTCCCATTCTACCTGGATCCAACAAGCCACCAGCTCCACCCAAAGCTATCTGACCGCCAGAACTGTTTGCTGCCCCTGCTGTTCTTTGATTATCTGAGCTATTTCTTCCGCCAACGGCCAATTGAACAGGACCAATGTTCAAGTTGAGAGCTTGACCTGAAGCGCTTGCAGCAGGTGGACGGGTGATAGAAGAAGGAAATTGAGAAGCAGCATCTTGAACCATATCAAGAAAAGATTGTGAATTATGAACAGTTGTTCCGCCTAACAAAAACCTTGCTCCTTGACCTGGACCAGCAGTATCTTGTGAATTTGTCAAAGCAACCGTTCTGGCTTCTTCGTATGTTGTTCCACCAATTATAAATACAATCACATCCCGCGGCTTTTGCGTAATCGGAGGAGGTTGTGATCCGCCTGCATAAGGATAACTTGTCTCTTTTAGTCTTCCACGCATTAGGTTTTCGATCGTTTGTAATAGATGGGGAGAGTGTTGTGTGTATACATTCTCAACACCTTTTAATCCTTTCAATGCACTCTTTCCTCGTGAAAAGAAGTTTTCATTGGCAAACAGATCATCTTGTCTTTGTTCTGCACCGGCAAGATTCAGCATTACAAATACCAAAGCAGCTCTCGATTCCGGTAGTCCGGCCTGTAATAATCTTTTGACCACATTGGCAATCTCATTACCCGAATACTTTTGATACCGTAGCGCATACAGGATCGCCAATCGTAGCTTTGCATCTGGCTTGACCTTTTTCGAATCCAAAAGGGTATACAGATTCCGTAGATCCGCCGAATGACTTTCGTTACTTGCTAAACTTTGTTCCAATTCACTAACTTCCAATAAGCTCTCATTTTCCACCCTTTTACTCAATTCGCCCAAAAGACTAACATGCTTTGATACATTTCCTCCCAATTTTCTGAATTCCGGATATTCTTCTACGAATCTCTTCATATCCGCAACCGTTTCAATTTTTGCTGAAGATTGTGTTTTTGCTTGATAATCTTCTACGTATTTCTTGATAGAAGCACCCAAATCACCAAAATTATCGTACAAGTTATTGCTAAAGAAAGGGTCTTGATCGGCAGAAAGTACGATTTCTCGCATTTCCGGTCGAACACCTTCTGCCCCTGCTAGACTGACACGACCATTATTGATTCCGATCATTTCGTGTACCATCGCTTGATACGTCCATTGGCTCAACAATGGCGTCACAGGGTCATTTCGACGATCAAGGATGAGTAGCACTGGAGAGGCATCCGTTCTGCGGAAATCGAATAGCGAAGGTAATTCTGATTGCATCTTGTAGTGTACCTCTTCTCCAAGCTTTCGCGCCAGTGCACTCATCCGTTCGTACCGTACGACAGGTTTCTTCTTCAAGCTCAACAGAACGGCGATCAAGCCATTCGTGTGTCTATCGAGTGCTTTCGGATCCCATTCATTTGACGAATTGGACCAAAGACGAGAAGGCGGGGTTGTATAATTGAGCGAAAACAGAGAAGGATTGACGGGAACGTAATCGGCGAAATATTCTTGCACTTCTTTCACGACATCGTGTTCATCAGCTTCTGCCAACCTTTCAATCTCACTCTTCTTCAAAACATTGGTAAAGAATAATGCATAACTCGCATATTTTGGTTGTCGTAACTCCCGTTCGATCGCTTCGATGCTTTGTGATGTAGGTCGTATTAGAGCGATGCAATTCAAATGCCGCATTCGATCTCTTGAGGTGTTGTCTATCCTATCAGTCAGGTAAACTTCATGTGCCAGCAGAAAGGATTGCGTTAATGAAGTAGAAATGATTGGTGTCGTTTCAGCATCCAATAACAAAACTTTCATTCCCGAAACCGTGCCAATGATGCGCTCGATATATGCGGATATCGCTTTGGTCACGTCCATTTTGGCGAGATGCCTATTGTTGGCGAGATTCTCGAATGTCCAATGAAGTCAATGTGATCGTTGTCGTAAGAAGGAGTGATGTAGTGGAACAGAGTATAAGAAGTATGCAAAGCTCGCATACGCACAGGCCAAAATAAGCCTCTCACTTTGTCGGAATACGGACACGCGAACGATTTTGACAGTCAACCTGTTTCGAACATTCTCTATCTTCTTGACCATCTTCCACTCTTTGATCTGCTAACAATGTCACACGCATCCATACAAATCGCAATACGGCAACATGGAAATTTGAAAGAACTTATCGAAAAGTATCCAAGTCAAGCATCAAGTGTTTGTCAAACTTTACTCGATCTAACATATGCATCAAGATGGCAACATTTACGTTTGATCGATATGCAAACGCAGCTTAGATCTCAGCAAGATGATGAGAATGCAAGTGATGCGGATACCCTTATATGCGGCTTACGACCGGAGGCAAAAGGTTTGGAAGTAGTCTGGTGTTGTGGAATGACAGATATCCTACAAACAGCAAGGTGAGTGATCAGAAGTCTTTTCATCGCGAAGATGAACTCACACTTTATGTTGTTCCCCTCAGGTTTAAGCAGATCTTTGCCTTTCTTGATACACTGGATTTGCACGTTTCAGACAATGACGGGAAGGAGGTGCCGTTACTAAAAGACCACTTCCTCCTCTCCGTACACGCTTCTGATGCAACAGTCGTCTACTACAACATAGCCAGAGGACTGGTCAAGCCGATCAATTAATTCATCTCACGAACCTCTGACCGTTGTATTCTAATCGCACCCTTGTACACTACAGCATCACTAAAGGACTTTTTTGTAATGTAAACTATCGTTGAAAACATAATTCTAAATACATTTGCAAAGCTCAATTGATGTGATAATTCTCAGCACTGAGCACAGATTGCGTAGAGAAATTGACGGCCTGTGATGATTCAGCAGAAACAACAGAAGCCACTGCAATCTCCGACAATGTTTGTGAAGAGACAAAGTCAACCGAAACTGGGAAGAATACGTCCACTTCTTGTGCTCCTTCATTCACTCTGATCTCTAATTGACCAGATGTAACACCGGAAGATTGTGAGATTTCATCCAAATGCCATTCCAAAATTCCATCTCCTGCTTCTGCCGTTCCAACATCCGGTGCATCAAAAGTAGCTTCCACTCCAGCAGGAAGTGGAACGGTGATGATAACATTCTGGAGATCCAATTGGCTTGCCTGTAATTCAAATTCAATCATCACATCACAAGCACCACTTCCATCTTCCACTGGGCTTGGCCAACATTGAACGCTGAGAGGTACACTGCTCTCATCCTTTGTTGTCGCCCTCCATCGAAGAACGCCAAGATTTTGTCGGACGGGGAATGGCTTATTCGAATCGCGTAGACGGATTTGACGTCCATCTGCCCAGCCTGCCTTATCGACATGTGGGTGTGTTTTGAATTGAAGAGAAGAAGAAGGAACGAGAGAGGAGGTGGATGCTGGTGTGACTTGGATTGCCAATTTCGACAAAGTTGGATCGGTGATGCGTAATTCAAGGTCTCCTTTCACTTCGAGTGATTCCAAAGATCCATCACGAGCTGCTGCTAATGTGACACGCTCCTTCACGAGCAAGTGCACGCTCTCCTGTCTTACAGAAGGTAAGAGATCGACTGGATCAGCAGCTTTGGTGGATACTCGAGCGGCAGCAGGTGCACTAGAAGCAGCTGCCGTAACAGTAGCAGCGGTAGCGGTCGCAGCAGCAGCGCCGTTCAAATCATCTTCCTCTTCACCCATCAATGCGACGTTCTTGGATTTCTTGCCCAGTTGCATACCTTTAGACTTGAATGGCTTTGCGACAGGTGCAGAAGGTGCTGGACTTCCAGTATCACGAATGACAGGAGCTTGTGCACCAGCGCCTTCAAATTGACGTACGCCTTGATATCCTCCACCAGGACCAAAGCCACCAGAGTTGCCCGAAAAGGCAGACTGTCCACGACGAGCGGCTTCTCTGCGTTGCATTTCCAATTGTTTTGCACGTCTTTTAAGTTCTTCTTTTGCTTCCATCTCTTTATTACGTTCAATAATCTCTTGAATCTTTTCTTCGTGTGATTCCATTTCCAAAAACGTTTTGATTTGTGTTAATCCAACATTTTCACGATATCCTAAACTGACAATTTCATCAAATGCGCCCAATAATTCAAAACTGTTTCGTAATACTTCACGTTCATCCAATGATCTACACATATCTGATACCGTTCTTGCGAATAGATGTAGAGTGTCGATGTCTTGCAGAATGTTGGATGATTTGTTTGTGATTAAGATCATATAAAGATCTTCTAACGGCTGATAGACATATCGTACAGAATCGGTTTCGATTGTTGTATGTTGTGAACCTGCCGAAATCAATTTTGGAAATGAAGCAAGTAAAGCTTCCACTCTTGATCTTGGCATCTCTCTGAATTGACGAGAGATGACAGGCTTACCGCCTCTTGTACAAATTGAAGCTGCAAGCAATACCATCCTTGCTGCTGATTAGTGGTGATGATGAGACCAAGAAATGGGAGAGGAAGAAGGTGGTGTTAGTGTAATTGCTGTCATTTGCTGTACATACGCTTTGCTTGTTCTTCCCATTCAGCTTAAACACACACACACAGGGCGGGCGTAGGTGCATACGTGTACTCATTAACCGTGCGCACATCTACGCGTAGAAGCAATTGCAAGCATACCAGCTTTAGAGAATTGCCAGAAGAATCAAACGCGAGCTTAATTATTCATAGAGCCACAAGATGCTCACTGGAAAGAGTCACGTGTACTTCTCCGCTTTTCACTCCTCATGAACAAACACAATAAAATCCATGAATGTCATCACGAAGCAGCATTGAAGCCACAACTGCATTGCACGTTCTCATAGTATGATATGTCATATACAGAAGAGCAAGGAGGCCAACAGTCGCATTCATGCCGACAAGCGGAGTTCCTTAATGGACAATGTTCTCGGCATACCACGTGACAATGTCCGACTCCGTCGATGTCCGTACAAAAATAGCGTCATGCAATAGCATCTTGTATTTAAGTGTCAATCATTGCCAAAAATGTGAGCTGATGAACATTAGAGGTCCAGCTTAAAACACTTCCGATGCTACCCGGCCAATGACGGCGTAGTGCTTTTTAATCCTCAACGCGTGCGCCTCCTATGGGCTTCGGGCAAGTAGGATTAGCATGTAGGAAAAAGCGGCATACCTGCGCAGGCAGATAGAGAGTGCATTTGAGGAAGAGGAGAAAGCGGAATAGAAAGAGAGAGAGAGAGAGAGGTAAGACAGGTACGCAATCGACGCTATCAATGAGCAATGCTGGAATACAGATGAAGTGCCTCTTTGTCAATAGAAGATCTCAATCCAACACATGACATTGTCATTTTGAGAGAGCATACATTCAGGAGCAAAAGGTTCATAGGAGCATCTCGGAAACGGTCGAGCATAATTGAAGGATGAAAAGATGAACATATAAAAGTACTTCTCCCATGACAATTCATTCTTTGTATCCTATTTTATCCTTCTTGTCATCCTTTCTCCTTTTTTTTGCAACAAACTTGATCAAACAAGTTCGCTGTAATCCGTTTCAACTTGTCATAGACTAAAATTGCCTTGACATAAAATCATTTTGGTATAGGTGAGTATTGACCGTCTCGTCATGATTATTCCTCCATCAGTCAACAGCCAAGCAAGACCCACTCTTCCTTCTGCCAATCAAATGAACCCTTTACTACCCTCGGCTTGATTCAGAGTTGTTCCACTCCTACCCCGTATTTTCCATCTTTTACCCTCCACTACTATTCTCGCTAAAAAATAAAAGCAGAGCATGTCGCAGGGTAAAGCATGTGTATCGGTTCAACACGGATTCACGCGCAAAAAGACACTGGCACAGTACGCTTTTACACTTCTTCGCGTGGCTTAATTTGTTCTCGGGCATGCTGCTAGGGCGTTATATCACTCTTTCCCCACCGCTTCTTCTGCCCTCCGATCGGAGCGAGGCTCTAGACACTCTTTGTCCCATGCATGTGAGAGGAAAAAGCAAAAATCAAGCAGGTCAAGTGCCCTTGAACGAAAACTCAATAAAGAAGACCTGATTATTTTTGCATCTTCAATGTCCGGCCAGCCCCGCAAGCCGGCCCCCCAATTATATACAAGGATTGGAATGGGCTCCACTTCTTTTTTTCTAGAATGAATGACTTACTCCTCTCACTTCCATCATCATTTTTTGAAACAGATATTGTCACCTTTTCCTCCCATCTCAAACACAATATAATCAATCATGACTTCTCCCGGTAACCATCACGATGAATTGCCAACTTCGCAACCTCATTATGCATTATTGCAACAAGACAACATCAAATTGTTCTCTGATGCAGGTTTCGATATGGACAAAATTCATCTAAAACGTAACGCTCCCGTCGCTTCTTTATACGAAGATGCAATCAAGAAAGAAGGTGCCGTCATTTCAAGCAGTGGTGCTTTGATCAACTTCAGTGGTAAGAAAACTGGTCGTTCGCCAAAGGACAAACGTGTCGTTTACGAAGATTCTTCAAAAGATGACGTTTGGTGGGGTCCCGTTAACATCAAGATGGACGAACACACTTTCGAAATTAATCGTGAACGTGCTATCGATTACCTAAACACCCGTGATGACATTTACGTCTTTGACGGTTTCGCTGGCTGGCATCCAAAGTACCGTATCAAAGTGCGCATCATTTGTGCTCGTGCTTACCATGCTCTCTTCATGCACAATATGTTGATCCGTCCAACAAGAGAAGAGTTGGAAAACTTTGGTGAACCTGATTTCATCATTTACAATGCTGGTCAATTCCCTGCTAACCGTTTCACAGCTGGTATGACATCTACAACATCTGTCGAAATCAACTTCAAACGTCGCGAGATGGTTATTTTGGGTACAGAATATGCTGGTGAAATGAAAAAGGGTATCTTCACCGTTATGCACTACTTACAACCCGTCAAATTCGGACAATTGTCTTTACACTCTAGTGCAAACGAAGGTGCTGATGGAGATGTTTCTCTTTTCTTCGGTTTATCCGGAACCGGAAAGACCACTTTGTCAGCTGATCCTCACCGTCGTTTGATCGGTGATGACGAACACGTTTGGTCAGACGATGGTGTGTTCAACATCGAAGGTGGTTGTTACGCAAAATGTATCGGATTGAGCGCTGAAAAGGAACCTGAAATTTTCAACGCTATCAGATTCGGATCCATTTTGGAAAACGTTTCTTTCGACCCTGTCACACGTACACCCGATTACGAAGACGCCCACTTGACAGAAAACACCCGTTGCGCATACCCAATTGATTTCATCCCTAACGCCAAGATTCCATGCGTTGCCGGATTGCCAAAGAACATCATCTTGCTCACATGCGATGCCTTTGGTGTTTTGCCTCCAGTCAGTAAATTGACTGCTGAACAAGCACAATACCACTTTATTGCTGGTTACACCTCCAAGACACCCGGAACAGAAGATGGTATCGTTGAGCCAAGCCCAACTTTCTCCACTTGTTACGGACAACCTTTCATCGTCTTGCACCCTCGTCGTTACGCCGCCATGTTGGCAGAACGTATGGGTAAGGTGAACGCAAACGCTTACCTCATCAACACCGGTTGGTCAGGAGGTCGTTTTGGTACCAAGAACGGTCGTCGTTGCCCATTGAAGTACACCCGTGCCATTTTGGACGCAATTCATTCTGGTGAATTGGCCAAAGCAGAATATGAAGATTTCCCAATCTTTAACCTAAAGGTACCTAAACAAGTCACAAACGTTCCATCAGAAATTTTGAACCCAAAGAATGCATGGCCCGAAAAGGCTGCTTTCGATACGGAAGTTAAGAAATTGGCCGGAATGTTCACAGACGCTTTCGAGAAGTACAAGGCTGACGTTAGCGAAGCCGTCGTTTCCGCTGGACCAAAAGTTTGATTAATCAGATATACACTTTTATTTGCTTTATGCTTTCATCTATTTATATCGTCAATGCACATATCGCTTAAAACCATTTGTGCGTTTATTGTGTTGTGCCTTGCTAGTGCTTAAGAAGAGAAGAGGTGATTGAGAAAGAATAAATCAACTGTTAAACAACTTTGCACACAAAAATATGAGGGTATGAATTAAATTATCGAATCATGTGACTATGAACCCAATTTGTGTTTTTCATATAAGTAGTTGCCTATTATTTCACTTCTCGCGGGGAGATGCCAGTGCTGTTGGTTTATCTTGAAGTATGAAGGGTGAATTAGGCATGGAAGCATCGTATTCGGTACTGCCGCCAAAAGGATCGCCTCCTTCCGAAGAAGCAGAGGTGAAGCCGGTCCATTGAGCGCTCAGAGAAGAATTAGGAGCGGCTAATGAGCCACCAGTATGTTGATGGGCATGATATTGTGGATGACTTCCCACATCATCTTCATGTGAAGCATGGACGACCTGAGGCCCCAGATCAAGACCTCCAATTCCTTCACTTGCACGTCTAAAATCACCGTGATCATCATCCAATCCACCAAACGAAACTCCCGATTCCACTTCAAGCTGTTGATGTGAATCATCCCAACTTTGATCAGTGCCTTCTCTTACGTGAGAAAGATCACGGTCATGTGCCGAGAGCATTCCACCGGCTTCGGTAGGTGACATTGATTTGTATGCTTTTGCAGAAGGATCACGTTTGCGTGAAAGTAAAGATGATGTCCATGTCGTATTACCAACATTTTTGGCTTCATTACTTGATCCACTTTCTTGTTTCGGTACAGATGTCAACTTCACAACATCATTGGAAGAGTTGTTCCTACCCAGAACCGAGTTTAAACGCCCACCAAGTTTGCCGATCGATTCACCTCGAGATCGAATGCTGGCCGTCTTCTGCTCTGCATTGCTGAACGAGTCCGATCGTCCGCTGGTATTGGCCAACGTTGGCCTTTCATCACTGTTGACCTTTGGCACACTACTCGAACTTGCACCACGCGAAGATGCCGGTCTTGAAGGCGGTTTAGAAACACTGGCAGACTTTGAATGATTCGGGAGAACTATTGATCCTCGTACTTTGGGAGAAGAATTGGCACGACCGCGTGTGGTGTTTGTGGCACCATTTGTAGAAGTTGCAGGAAGTGGTCTTGCGAATGAGCTGTTTGTACGATTGGTTGCCGGCTTCTCTTTGTATTGCAAAAGAGAAGCCTGTGTACCAGCTAGAATTTCGTATTGAGCTTTGACCCATTCCAGCTGCAAGTCGATATACTCTTTGACGATTCCTACACCTGAACCAGGACCTTCTTGTTCTGCTTCCGTTAAAATGGCAACCCTAGTTTCCACATCAGCAGATGCTTCTTCATATGTAGCTCTCGCTTGTCTTGCTTCATCTTCTAATTCACGTTTGTTCTCTCCCTTGTCTCTCGCCTTATCACGCTTTTTCTCCGCCGCTTCCATCTTTTCCCGTGCACTGTCACACACTTTTTCTGCCGATCGAAGTGAATCGATTGAAGCTTGTGTTCTTGCCAATCGGGTGAGTAAGGAGGAGGACAAGTTTTCTGTGAATTTTGATTGCGCTTGTCCCAATGCTAGGTGGACACTTGCAAGAAGGCCGAGATGTGAGCTATAGGCTTCATTTCGACTCAGGCAAGGTCCTTCTTTGCCTTCTGCTTTACCTGCTTTACTGTATGTAGGAGCACTTACAGCCATCGCTACTCCAAGTGCCTCCACAGGTAACACTTTATCCTTGCTTCCCGTAACGTTTTGTGATGCATCCTTTGCCGCTTCTCGTATTCTTTCGGGGCATGTTGGGTATATTGTAGCACATTTGTTGGATAATTCGTCCAATGTCATACTTGCTTCTAATGCATTGGCATGTTGCAACTCAAAAGGCAATGGCTTCTTTTTCGCCAAAGCAGAATGATATGCCTCTGCTGCATTGTACAGTCTCTCATTGGCTATCCTGCGTGCTTTTATATCTTTTGCTAAAGGCCTTCCTTCTTCTTCCTTTTCCTCTGTTGTTTGGGCTGGTGTATCCGCACTTCCAGCAATTTCTTTCTCTAAAGGACCATCTAATGAATCCTTTCGTTCGTCATTTGTTTGTGTGCCATCTTTGCCTCCTTTTCCTGGCCAGATCTTGAATTTGCTGCGTGAAGGTAAGCTTGGCATTGTGGGCATCTTTGCAAATTTCAATCAAGTAGCAAGCAGATGGAAAAGCAAAGAAGAGCAAAGGCAGTCGGGTTAATGCTTCCTTTACGGCATATGCATCGCCTCAATTACTTTGAACTAGAGATCGGATGATTGTAAGAGTTAAGATTTTGATCGTGTTAATCTTATACTTTTTATTTCCCCTCAAATGAATGCTGTTAATCATCTGATCTTATGTACGGTCATACGCATATGCATGCAGTAGTGCTCTTCTTTTGCAGGTCAAGGCATTCCTTCTATGCAGCAGCCTTGTCTGTTCATCTCTTTTGTTAGCAAGACTACTAATGTCAGGACCTCCTTTTATTGTTTCGGCCCCTGCTTGTACAAATACAAAAGCAAAGCCTACCTTAATTTCTCGGATATCTCAATTTTGTGGCTGATTTTATGGCGCATCAGCTTAAAGCCTGTGGGTGGTACCACTGTATTCTACGCCGACCAACACGTGATAAGCTATTAGCCCGACTTTTGTGTTGGAAACGCGTTATTAAGGATTGATTGGCTGGAGAGAGAGGCTGGCTAAAGAGTTGGCGGACATCTTCTCCATCTCCATCAACATTAGTTGCTCACCTTTACAACATACATTATATCATGCGTTCCACACAAGTACTACGGGTAACCATTCCAACCAGATTGGCAAGACCTGCTCAAGTATCAACATCAAGAGCAGATGCAAGAGCGCGAGCATTAGCACTATATCGTCAATATTATCGTTCTGCACCTGAAATCGTTTCTTTGTTTGCGATGGACATTCCACCTTCAACTTTAAGAGCAAAATATCGTCAAATGTTCGAAAAGAATCGTCATGTTGATGATTTGGCAGTGATTGATGTTATGTTACATAAAGGACAGGTCGAATTTCAAGAAACAATCAATGCTTGGAAACAGGTACCACATATGTTGAAATTGTTTGCCGAAGAAGAGGTGAGTATGAAAGATTCATGTCGAGGGAAAAGTATGCTGACATTCTGACCTTCTCATCATATTGCGCTATTGCTGCACCATTAGACACAACGTAAGTACTTGAAAGACTTCATTCTGTTCTACAAGCGAAACTGACAATCTTTTATTTCCCTTTACAGCACAACCCGTCACATTCCTAGAGAAGTTCTACGCCACTAAAGATGAAGGAAGATCGGTAACCGGCAAAGGATTCTAGAGAGACTTAAATCGCTGTCGTTACCATCTCTATCTGTAATAGGTCACGACTTGCAATATATACACTTTGATCATATGCTGACGTTTTCAGCATTGCAGTACTTTCGAAAATGGGCGATAACTGAGTGATTCTGTGAGAATTATGATTGCAGGAGCCTCCTCACCTGGATATATGCGTACTTGAACTCCTCATCTTGAACTGATTGATGTTCGCTAGCACACTCCTCTCAAAGTAGGAACAATTTTATTCGAGGTATCTATCTATGAACGATTGTTGACAAGAAATGATGTACATATGCGATTGAGAGTGAAAAAGAGAAAAAGAAGAGCAAAGCGTATTACGGGTATGAATGCAGTAGGGTATACCAAAGAGAGAAAAAGAAAAGAGTTACGAAAGACAAACAAAGCAAAATGAGATCAGGCATTTTACGTATTGGCCGATTTGGCCATCCTATTCAAAGTTTCTTCAAATCTGACAGATGTATAACTTGATTCAACGGGTGATGGTGCTGCTGAACGATCACAAGACATGTTTAATCTCCTTTCGCCCATCTTTCTTCCGCCGATCAAACGGGACGATAAGAGGTTGCTGGATGATTGACTACGTTCGAATGGTTTTCCCTCAAACGTGTCATCACCTTGTTGAAATTGAACACGCTGAGCACTTTTTTGTGAAAGGGTGTTGTTCGGGATCCGATCGCTGATCGGAACACGAAAAACGTTGGTTGCATCATTCTCTGATGCTCGTCTTCCATAATCACTAGTTGTTTGTGGTGTGGCAGGACGTTGTCCTCCCCATGTCCTTTGGTAGCTGTTAGGTGCACTGAAGTACTGAATCGTTCGTGGACATAGACGCGCTTCTAATTCATCATCATCAATCCCTTGCGAGCATTGTGAGCTAGCCTGAGATTTGGTAGTAGGTGAAGTTGACACAAATCCACGATGATAAGAGAGTGCAGAAGGAGAACGTGAAGGTGTGGCAGGAGGAAGACTAGTTTGTGAACTTGAAGGTCTTCGAACGGCAAAATCTTCTTGAGAAGGTGAAAATAATTCATCCAGCGAAGAAACAACTTTTGCAGCAAGTTCTTTATTTCTATTTGATTCTGCTTTTCTCCATGAATCCATTGAATCTGAAACGGCTCCCAAACAACTTTCTTCGTCTAATCCAATAGCAATACGCGCTTCAGTTGCAAAAGTTGATGATCTTGCGCATTCTTCCATTATTGTTTCTTCTCCTAACAATGTTGCTGCCCTTGCTGCTGCATGTCTATTTGCCGTTGGTACATTACACATGTATTTCAATAATTCCCTTTGTTCTCTTGCGCGTTCTTGTTTGATCCTTAAAATGGATTCATAATGTTCCCTTTCTTCAGTGGGAGCATGATGATCGTTTGAGTAATTGAACGAATCAGAATAAGAAGATGAAGTTGAAAATAATCCTCTTGATGTCATATTTTGATCACCGTGAGTTGAAAGAGGTGGTGATGATGATGTATTTCAGGAGAAGATGATGGGTGGCAATCAAATTGTAACGGAGGCAGTGTGTTTATTTCAGCTCTACACAATAAATGACGGAACAGTCTGTAGAATGCAGGTCCGAAGCCAGTAATAACACCAGCAGCAACAAAATTGCATATATGATGTGGCGCAGTTATACAAAAGGGCGTAAAGCAAAAAGTCTGTGTTTGTGTGTGTTTGTTCTCCGATTGGCCATTTATACTTTTTTTCTTTTCAAAAATGTCTTTCAACTTTCCGGATCGATCGCATAATTGTTGGATCATATATTTTACCCCTTGTACTGAAAGACTGCCTGGCATAATATTTGTTTGTTTTCAAACAATTCAACTCTTTTAAAAAGGTAGCGAACGGAAATCCGCTTCATGACGGATCGCAATGGATTGGGCGTATTTTACACACTTTGACGCGTTTTCATTCAAATTCATCAATCACCGCACACCACACACATTGTCAGACAAGGAAAAGATTGCATTGAAAGCGGACGACCAAACCCGCATTCCGAACACTTTTGAGGGGTGGAATAAAAGAAGAAATCATAAAAGAGAAAGAATGAACAAGATATTGAGATTGACATCTTGCTCGAATGGCGACGAAGAAAAGAATGAAAGAAAAAGTGACTAATAATTCATAAACAAAAAGAAAGGGGGGGGGGGATCATTAAGCGAGAACACATACTTATTCTTCAGCAGCAGCGGGAGCTTGAGCAGCGTCATTACGTTCAAATTCACGCAACACATCCAATGCTTCGGCAACCTTTGCATCCAAAGCCTCCGTATCTTCGAGCAAATGCAACAATTCACTAACGGGCAATTCCAAAATCATACCAGTCAATTTACCGGCCAATTCAGAGTGACTTGCAGCAATCTTTGGGTAAATAGCCTCACCCAACATTTGCTTTTGCTCTTCAGGTCCTGCATTGGCCAAAGCAGCAGCGGTGAGAGCAGGTTGTCCGTTAGGAGATGCTTGAGGACGACCGGGACGAGCACCTGCTGGTGGAACTGCTCCACGGGGTGCCATTTGTCCGGGCATAGGTTGACCGGGACGAGGACCGCCTTGTCCGCCCATACCACCGTTCACCATTCCAGGTCGGACACCGCCTGGCATACCGCCAGCATTTGGTGCACCACGTGGACGAGGTGGTCTGTAGCCTTGAGGAGGCATCATTCCACCACCTGGGAATTGTTGTGGACCTTGACCGTATGGCATTCCCATTCCTTGAGGCATCATTCCAGCAGGAGCATAACGAGGACGTTGCATCATTCCACCTCCAGGTTGACCAGGGAAGCCAGGTTGGGGGTAGTACATTGGTTGACCAGGGTAACCTGGCATACCACCTGCAGCAGCAGCTTGTTGTTGCAAACGCAATTGGTTACGTTGCATGATTTGAGCTTCCAATTGTTGACGACGTGTCTCTTTGCGTTGAGCTAAAGCGACGTAGAGGGGCTTGTTGTCCATCATCTTACCGTTCATCTCAGCAACGGCTTTGTTTGCTTCATCTGGAGCAGAGTAGCAAACGAAACCGAAGCCACGAGAGATACCTGAGGGAGCACGCATGATCTTGCATGAAGTGATGGTACCGTAAGGTGCAAATTCTTCACGCAAACGTTCGTCATCGAATTCTTCAGGAATGTTTTTGAGGTAAAGGTTAACACCCTCGAATTTAGACAACTTTTCGTTCTTGGCAGCTTCGTAAGAACGACGTAATTCTTCTTCACGTTCAGTCTTCTTTTGAGCACGAGCGACGAACAATTTTTGACCGTGGAAGTCGATATCGTGCAAGTCAGTGACTGCATTTTGAGCGGAATCATGGTTTTCGTAGTTAACAAAACCGAATCCTCTGCTCTTACCATCCTCATCAATGGATAAAGCGCATGAAGTGATGGGACCGAATTTAGTGAACAATGCTTCGAACTCTTCAGGAGTCACTTCAGGGTCAACGTTCTTGGCATAAACGTTAGTGAAACGAGCTTTGGCTTCTTCAATCTTTTGCAAACGCTCCTTCTTGGGGATGTGGTTACCGACGTAAACCTTTTTGTCGTTCAACAACATTCCGTTGACGTGCTCGATGGCGTTGTCAGCGGCTTCTTGGGTTTCGTAATGGACGAAACCGTAACCTAAGCTACCGGCCTCACCAACAGCAACCTTGCAAGACAAAATGTTACCGAAAGCGGAGAATGTATCGTGCAAAGCCTTGTTGTCAATACCTTCATCCAAATTCTTGATAAAGATGTTACCTTGACCAGTTCTACGCAAGGCAGGGTCACGTTGAGACCACATGATACGGCAAGGACGACCGCGGATCAAAGAGTAGTTCAATTGTTCCATTGCACGTTCTCCATCGTTAGAGTTGAGGAAGTTGACGTATGCGTAACCCAAAGAACGACGGGTGACGGCATCACGACAAACACGGATACTGGAAACAGGACCGATCATGTTGAAAATTTCGAACAACATGGCTTCAGTCACGCTTGGGTCTAATTCACCAACGTACAATGAAGTGTTGGGTTGAGAGCCATCGTTTGCAGCTTGACTGGCTTGTTGTTTGGCAGTAGTGGCTGCAGCTGATTTGGGAGAAGAGGCGCCATTGGTAGCTGCAGTTTCACCGGCAGCCGGCTGCTCGGTCTTTCCGTTTGTGGAAGGCAATTCAGCCGCTTGAACAGCAGGAGAAACGGTTGCTGACATGTTGTTGATGATGATAGAATGAGAAAGGATGAAAAGAAGAAGTTATAATTTAAAATACAATTCGTCTTTTTTGGCTTTTATGTGTGGTCGGGAAGAAGGTGAATCAAGATCAAAACGCCTCCAATACAATCTTTGTGCTTTTCCAAATTTTCAACTTTTTTTGAGTTTTTTTTGCGTAAAGTTAAGTTTGATCAACTGAACAGTTGTCAAACCGTTTTTGGATTTTTTTGGATTTTTGTGATGTGATGGAAAAGGGAAAGGATTTTAAACGTTTGGCATCCTCATTCTATTTCCAGCGAGCGCGAGAGAAAAAAAATTATTTCATGCAAGCCTAAACAGTTGCTCAGGTTTTTTTTTTCTCTCCTCCTTCAGCCCTGAAACGCCAACCAAATTTCCCTATCGAAGCGCGCATTTACACGTACACACACGCCCTTTGTTTGCCTTTTTTATTTTCTCTCATTTGACACGCGAGCGCGAAAGAAGGCACGAGTACTTTATTCGGTATGCAGTCAATTATATTCATGACTCTACCGCTGCAAGAGAATAAGCTCTAAGCATGTCACAAAATTAACATCTTTTGCTGGAAGTGGTGATAAAGATTGCATGTAGACAAAAGATATGAATGACAGTGTTTTATGATAGTACAATTATATGATCAAGCATTTACATCTATGAGGTTTCTTGAACGACTCCCACTTGAGCCGCACGCAAAACTCGGTCCTTGATACGGAAACCAACCTTTGAACATTCCAAAACTGTTCCTGGCTCTTTGCCGGGTACGGGTGCTTGGAACATAGCTTCATGCTCTTGAGGGTTGAATTTCTCTCCAGTAGGATCAAATACGGTCACACCGTGTAATTTCAACATATCCAAAATCGATTTTGAAGTTAATTCCACTCCGCTGTATAGCTCAGAAATGGCTCTTCTTGGATCATCCAACGATTTTGCATCTTCAGGTGCCTTGCGTAGAGGCTCAGGTACAGAACGTAAGGCCAAATTGAGAATATCAAGAGATGAGGTGAGATCTCTTGCAAACTTTGTGATAGCATAGTCACCTGCTTGTGACTTTTCCTCTTGAGCACGTCTTTGTGCGTTTTGCAAATCGGCTTTTCCATACAATACTGCATCCGTTAGTTCCTTTATTTTGACATCCTTTTCTTTTATTGTTGCCTGTAGTTTGTCCAATTCACTTGCTTCTCCTGCTGATTCTGCCTTTCCGTCTTTTGCACCCATTGCTTCACCTGCTGCTTTGTTCTCTGTCTCTTTCTTTTCTTCAGCAGTTTGTTGCACTCTTGAAGAAGTAGAGAATGGTGTCCGTAGCATTGGTTGAGTAGCCATTCGGGATGGCATGGACATCCAGCCGGCAGAACGCATAGCAGTAGTAGTGGCGGCTGCTCCACTTGACCAAGAGCTAGTCGATGTGGATTTGATGGCCTGTGAGAGAGGTCTGGATACTGATGGAGTGATACGCATGATTTGTCGGATTTTCTGAGTATAGCGTTGGTGATTACAACGCAAGATGTCAAGTTACCGGCAATAAGAAGATTATGCTATCCTAAATCAATCGTTCGCACATGTAAGCGTAATCGAACAATATCGTACCTTCCATTTACCTCCGCTTCCAAAAATCAAAGAATAATTTTTATTTCACGTGATTACCTCCATTTCGGCTTAACTCTAATCCCTGCCTAATGGCGTAATGAATAATGAATGATATGGACCAACACAGCTTTTCATAAAATTTAAACAATCGGAGACTGCACTTTGGCCAAGGAAAGACAATTTTATTAAATTTTAGCCAGCGCAGCGGTGTGTAGGCAGGCGTTTAATACAGTGTACATCCACATACGCTAGCCGAATCTTCTAGTAAAAAGCAAAAGGGTTACAATCAGTGTAAAGTTGGTTTGAAAGGTGTGACGCATCATTATGCGCTGCGCACGCAAAATGTGCCAGGGCCAATAGTTAGAATTGGAGAAGGAACGAATTAATGAATGCTTCAGCCTCTTGTGTTGCCTATCCAATTGTGGAATTCATTTGAGCTTTTGCATGCACACACACACACACACACACACACACAAAGATAGCCAGCAACTAAATCATATCAAAACTGTGCTCCGCTTTAGACCGACATCATATCTTCTCCACCATCACATTTTGATACACAATTGGAGTTTATACCACTCATCACACATCATAATCATCAACAAATATGGCAGCTCAATTGCAACAATTCCAACAAAAGGCAGAGTACTTTGTCAGCCAAGTGAGTAGGATAAAAAGGAAATAGACTGATAAGTGATAGCAAACTGACATTCTCTACCTCTCCATCTCCCTCTTACTCCTGCTATAGATTGACAAAGAGGTAAGTTGCTTCCCACCAAAGACACTCTATGCTAGAGAGCCGAATTGCTAACATATACGCCCAATCTGTCCTCCTCCACAGCTCTCCAAATACCCTCAATTGAACAAACTTGAACAAAACATTGGTATCCCACAAGCAAAGGCATATGGAGCAATTGGTGCATTCGCTTTGTTCACCCTATTGGTCTTCTTCAACATCTTTGCCGGCTTCCTTACCAACTTGATCGGTTTCTTCTTGCCTGCATACTTTTCCATGAAGGCTCTTGATTCTCCTCAACCACAAGATGACGTTCAATGGCTCACTTATTGGGTCGTCTTTGGATTCTTCAACTTTATCGAAACATTCGTTGATGTTATCCTTCACTTTGTACCAATGTACTACACTTTCAAGACATTGGCCATCGTTTGGTTGATGTTGCCTCAAACTCAAGGAGCAAAGATTGTTTACACCCGTTTAGTCAGACCTTTGCTAGCCCAAGGAACAAAGGCAACATCTGCACCAGCCGCTGGATCTGCTCATGTTCATGCCGAATAAAAAGCGAAAAAGGAGATGTGTGAACTCGAATGAAAGGGATGCTGTGGTCAAACGATTTGTAGCCCGGATGGAGAGTTTTGGTATGTTTGTTCAGCAGCAGGATCGTCCATGGATTGGTACGTTCTTGTTGTTAGATGCAGTTGCTACAAATCGCTACGATCACTGTGTTCATTTTACTTTGAGTTCTGACGACGTTGATTTTATCCAATAATCTCAATTTATCACGAATTCGGTCCCCCTTTCTCTATTCCGGGAGGGAGCTGGTTAATGTTTCATGCACTTTTTCCATACGTCAATCTAGTCACCATATCATCTTTTGCACATTCCATCCCATCTTTCCTCCATCAATCCGGTTTATCTACAAATCAAAATGCTCTTTTCCAAAAAAAACAATCAGATAAAAGTGGAGATTCAAATGCAATTATCGGGGATCCACTGCAAGCGAGACGTCATTCTATGGATCATCAAATTGCAAAAGGTCTACTACCCCACTTCCTAAATTCTTCCTTATCCATTTTTCCACCTTGTTGAATGTGAATTGTTATTGTTTTTCCCTTTTGTCTGATTGAGACAAAATCAAAAAGAGTATACGCTTTTCTCGTCTATTCTTCGTATTGATCTTTTTCTTTCTTGATCTTTGTCTCTTCTGTTATTTTGAAGTATGAATTATAAATGGTGTTCAATCTTTGCCTAGACTTCTTATTAATAGCCACAGACTGTTTCTTGAATGAATGGTAACGGAGTGAGTAGTAATTCAGCAATGTCAATTAGCGTAGAGTTAATGTTGGAAGCATATAAACGCGGGGGAAGACAAGAAGAACACTTTCTTCTCTACCTTGTCATATGCAAATGATAACACGAAATGTCATCAAAAGCTGTTTGGCTAGATTGTGATCCAGGTCATGATGATGCGATAGCAATGCTATTGGCATTCTATGGTAGACAACAAGCAGGAACAAAATCATTAGACGTTTTAGGTATTTCAACCACACATGGAAATGCAACCGGACTTCATACATATACCAATGCCGTAAAATTATTAACGGCATATGGAATCAAACCAACACAATGCAAAGTATGGAGAGGATCAGATGGACCGATACTACGAAAAGGAAAGGTCGACGTAGGAATACATGGAAATGATGGTTTGGGCGGAGTGGAATGTTTGCCGGACTTGAAAGATGCAAATGTACAAGAACATATACGAGCTACATCAAAAGATCAATTGGACGGCAATGGAATGCCACCAGCAGATCCTTTACGGTTGGTACAACATCAGATAAGCATACTTGAAGAACGAAGAAGGCAAGGCTTACCACCTATTTCCCTAATTGCTACCGGACCTCTAACGAATATAGCTTTGTTGATCAAACTGTGTCCTGGAGATGGAAGTTTGTTAACGGAAACAGTCGAGCAAGTCGTTTTGATGGGAGGATCGGCTGGAATGAGTGGAAACAGAAGTCCACTAGCAGAATGGAATATTTACGTTGATCCTGAATCCGCTTCGATCGTATTTGATTCTAAACTCAAAGTAGTTATGGCAGGGCTGAATGTTACTCATCAAGCAATCCTTACTCCTTCTTTACATACCACTCTTTTAAACAAGACTAAATCTTCTCCGATTCGAAAGTTGGTCTCTTCTGCAATCACTTTCTTTGCTGATACATATGCTTCCGAATTTGGATTTATACATGGTCCGCCAATTCATGATGTTTTAACAGTTGCTTACGTCTTAGATCCAACTTTATTTTTCTCTCTTGAACCAAGATTCAATACACCTCAACTTATCGATCAAAGCTTTTCCACTCAACCAAAGAAGGTACCAAGTCAACGCTTCAGAGTGCAAATTGATACGAGTCCTTCTGATACTACTGCTGGAACGACCATCGTTGATTTTTATCAACAATGGCCAATAGAACATCAAGGTTGGCATGCTGGAGGAAAGAATGCAGTTGTATTAGAGTATGTTGATACAGAACGACTCTGGAAACTTTTATTTGATGCAGTAGATCATGCTGAAGATGTCTTATCAAGGTAAAACATGCTTACCACCTTTGAAATTCTATCAATTCTTCTTCATTGAAGCACAGAGTGGGATGTGTGAATCTATATAATTGGGTTGAAATCGGTATATGTTGTGGTGATACTGGGTACACGATGATGAAACAGTACATTGGGTGAGAAGAGAGAGTATAAAGAAGAAAAGAGAGTAGAGATTTTGTCCAGCACGAGAGAATATCAACAAATTTTGTCTCCAAATAACTTCCATCCAATCTTGCAATGCTTTTTTTTTCTTTTCTTTGTTTATAAATCAGTAGATTCGTTATTTCCGCCACCTGCATTGCTCGGATGACTGAGATGACACATCCAAATCCTAGTTTTGTACAATCGAAATAATTCTTTCACCAAATCACGAAAATCGACCCTTTGAGTAGCAGTATAATAAAATGTCAACTTTCTACGATCCCATTGCATTTCTGCAGCAACAACGCTCATAGGTAATCCACGTTGATTTACTTTTGTAGTGCATAAAGTTAAAGCACGTTCTTCATCTTGTGCTTTTGCATGTAATAAACTTGTATCTGATGGACCTGCTTTTGCAAATAATCTTTTTGGATTAACGGATCTCGTTAAACGTGATAATGTCATCGCAGCTGGATGAACGCCATCCGATTGTCCACCGGCTGCCAATTCGGCTTGATGAGCTAAAAATGTTTGTACTTGATCAACAGTAATGGAATCATTGATTACAGATCCTAAATCCTTTCCGCGATCAGCTTCCACAATAACCAAATCACCTTTACAGATATCTCCTTCACCTCCTTGTTGTGATTGTTTAAAGTACAAATCAGTCCTTCCTTGTTTGAATTCCACGATATACAATGGTGTATCACGAGGTAACATTTGCAAAGGAACTCCTTTGCCTAAGTCTTGCAAGTTCGACGATGCATTTTCTTGCGGTCCAGGGCCACTGCTAGGAGGAGCCAAAGGACCTAAAGTCACCAGTGATGCGATGGCATGATCAGAGAGCATTCCCGAAAACATTTGACCGTGCGCTGGCTTAGCATTGACATCGGGCAAGGCTGCATCAGTGCCGACAGCCTTGTCTGACGATGGCCCGATTTGGAACGAATGTGCTCGAGCAGACAGCATGCGAGGATGATCATGACGAGCATCCAATGAAGTGTTTGTGACTGTACTTCTTCGAGATTGCTGAACGTTAGAATAAGTCTGTTGTTCCGTTTCACGCTGTTGTTGTTGAGCAACTTCATCCAAATTCACACGCAAAGCATCAAAATCAGATGCAAGATCATCTTCATCCAAGGCAAGATTTCCACCTCCAAACATACGTGAGCCTGCAAAGCGTCCAACCGAGCTCGTCCTTGATCCTGCAGCAGGTCTGGTTACCTCAAATCCGATCGCACGTCTTGATCCTGTCAAAGGAGCAGCAGTGATCGAATGACGACGTGAATCCGTTCCACCAGCACCAAATGGAGCACGAGTGGTATCCTCACCAAAAGCACTGAATGAGCCTGCATGCATTGAAGCAGGTACGCCGCCAGAATAGGAATTCGCCATTCCACCTGCAGATCTACCACGGTCAAGATCAGGTGGGATAAAGTTTGAAAATGAAGGTGAATTGACGGTAGCGGTATGTTGATTATGAAAAGAGCCAAACGATCCTGGACTTCCCGCCAAGCCTGCACTGAAAGGACCTGCACCCCAAACTGATGCTGAACGACTATAATGGTCTAAAGGATTACCTCCCATACCTTGCAAAGCTGCAGCACTTGACGTGGAACGATGTCTTTGACCCGCATTGTTAAAGAAGGGACTTGCACTTGCAGGTGGTTGAAACGAGTACGCCTCTTCTCCTTCAGGCAGTCGCTCAAGTCCATGTCGAGCTGCTGATCCATCTGGTGATGCAGAGAGAAGGGAAGGTGAAAATGTTTGCATGATCGGTCCATGTCCAATCGCTGATGCTGTATTGATAGACAAGGATCTTTGACCCAGCTCTGGACGACCGTCTACAGAGGTGTTGTTGGCCTGATCACCAATTCCCAATCCCATTCTTCCTCCGTTCATCCCGTTGCTTGACAGACTTCGACGTGTGTTGATCGGTTGATGAAGCCAATTGGACACTCCTGTTCCAAAGGTGGACTGCTTTTCGTCAGTAGAGGTAAAGGAGGAAGGTGCAAATGGTTCACCTCCGTTGTGACCGTTTTGATGTGTTGATCCCCAAACGGACGTTGCGTTTACGTCGCCTTTTTCAACGTCCCACGGCTTTGGCAGAGAATGATTTTGACCACGAGAAGCAGCACTTGTCGTTCTGAACAAATGTTCGCTATGTGGATCAAACGTTCCGTTTGGATGTGTGTTCAACGAAGAAGCAGAAGAAGGTGAAGATGAATCGGCAGTGGAAAGGTGTTCGGATAAAGGATGTCCACCACTATTTTGTCTGAATGAAGAAGGTGCAAAACGACCACCACCACCACTTCCATTCACAGATCGAATAGGAACGGCAGTTGCAGCTTCTGAATTTGCACGTTTAGGTGGTTCACGACTACTTGACCTTCTTGATTCTTTATGAATCGGATCGGATTCTTCTACTAAAGATTTCCGCCACTCTTGTTCACTTGCCCCACTTGAAACTGTACTATTTGTATTGTGTGGACTACCGATTTGATCGACAATCCTGTCACCGTTTGCAGAAATGGCGATTACCATTGCGCGACCTTGGAAACGACCTGTCACTGTCTGTCTACCTTTGCTTATTGCGTTGTTTGTTGGGTGGATGTTATTCTCTACTTGAACATCGTCGTGGGGGGTTGAATGTCAACTTGACCTGATCGTGTGAGCTTGACAAAAGAGTTGACGATGAGAATATAATTTTGATTTAATAAGGTATAGCAAATGGATGTAAGAGTGATGATGGCTGATTAGAGAGGATAAGTCAAGCTTGATAAGATGAGGGGAGGAGTGGAGAAAAGAGAGAGAGAGAAAGAGAAAAGTAGCTTAAAGAGAACAAAGCGTATACACACCAGACCAGAAAAACGCGCAAGTCTGGGGTACATGAGCACCAAAATTAAAGCGCAAATGCAAAAAACAACACTGCCGAGATGCTATTGACAAGCATAGTAGGAGTCTAAACAAATTAAAACTCGTTCTCAATCGGCGCCACGAATTGAATTAAAGAAAAGAGAATGTCAACGGGCACAAACACACACACAAAACTCCAAATTAAACAACTTATATTCCAGTAGTGCCTTTTGTTGCTCTCGTTTCACTTCCGTAAATCAAGGTACATCATCCTGCTCCCCTTATCTTTTCCCACACTCTCTGCTCTCGAAAGGGTAAAAGTTCATTTTGGTGTCCCTGCTTTATTAAAAAAGTAATTATTTTTGACCAAATCAATTGACCATAGAATCTGTCAAGACAATCATCAGCCAGCCGTGTTGTTGCCATTGTTGTCCGTGTTGAACCTAATCGCGGGGCTTCATTTCCGCACGCATTAGGACCCACATACACACACTTGCGCAACGCTAATTGCTCCTCTTCTACCCCAGGATTGGCATTTCTGCGCCGCGAAAGAGAAAAAGGCCGCGGTCACTTTTATTGCTTTGCATGCACAGCACACTATACAAAGCAGGCAAACGGACTGTAGTGTGCGTTTACAACAAATGGAATTCTGCCACACACACAGAAAAAAGGTAGTTTACAAAAACATTAATGGAAAAATGAAAGTGGTGGACGGAGAAAAAAAAAGGTAAACTCGAAAGATGATAAAATGCAAATAGTGAAAAAGAGATCAAGGTCTATCAGCATGAACTTCTAGCCATCGAGAATCAGGTATGATCTCATTTCGATGTTGTTCGCGGTATTGTTTTGCACCTCTTCCCCATCCATCAGTGGTAATACGTAAATCCCATGGTAAACTTAAAGGATAAACGCCTTGCAAGCCAGATTGATCAGCAGGACACCAATTCAATATATCGGCAATCTCCGGCGCAGAAGAAAAGTAAGGATGAAACCTTCTTGTAGGATTACGTTCCAATCTCTTTTGTCGTAATTTGCCATGACATCCATACATGTCCCGTTCGAATAATGTGTATCCTTTTAGCTTCTCTCCTTCGTACTGTGCCGTATTATCACCTTCATCGTCAAATGGAACGTACAAGTATTTACGTTGTCCGCGTAAGTATCCTTTTACTGGCCAACGAACTGCTTTACTGTGCAATTCATCAAAGCGTGCTTTCTTCATTCCATATCCCACAATCGTAATCCGTTGTGGATATCGTCCTGTAAATTCACGGAAACGTGCAATGCTGAACAACAGATTCTCGAATGAGTCCAAGGCGAAATTCTCTGTCGTCATCCGAACACCTACCAAACCAGGAGATGCTGCTACTCCTGCATTCGATTGTGCTTTTGCTCCCACTCTGCCCAAGATTTCATCATGCGATGCTGTAATCTTGTTGTGGCTTTCCACTCGTTCGGTAAAGTTGAATCCTGGCAAGACGGGCAAAGAAAGATCCGAAGAAATTGCCAATGCCAGTAAACTTTCCGCCTCTGTTTGCAATGATGTAGTTCTTGTTTGTCCTCCGCTGAAAATTAGCAAGGCAGTTGGATCAGCATCAGCAATTTCCACACCTTTTTGAATGTGCTTCCAAAATGTCTTCACGCTTCCACCTCTCTGGTATGGTTCCAAGATCCAGTTCTCATCGTTGAATCGATCTTTAAAGTCATTTCCTGCCCAAATTGCATGACCGGGCACCAATACCATATGATTCAATTTATCTACACCTTTTGGCGGACTTGGAATGGAATCGCTTAACATCGAAGGTGTTAGTCCATGGAACGATTGCCAAGTAGCAAAGCCAGGCGGAGGAATGTAACTTTTGCCAAACAAGAGAAATCGCATATTCATCAAAATTGACATACTTGCGATACCCAAAAGTAACGCTATCCCAAGATTTGTTACTCTTGATCTTGCTGCCAATCGTTCACGCAAAGTTCCCAATGCTGATCCAGGTCCGTGTGCTGGACTTCCATTTAATGATAAAGAGATGCCAGATTTGCGTGATCCATTGCCGGAGAGCACCGAAGTGGGTGCTCTTGGAATCATGTTGTAGGGATGTGGATGGTAGGGTTCAGAGAATGTATGCTTTTCTATAAATTGACGCCTTGCTGAGAAGACTCAGAAACGACCATCCACACTTTCACCTATTTTTTGAAGAAAGTGTCACTTTTGCGATCGCTTCTCCAGACCGTATGAAGGATGTAAAGGTAAAAAGAGAAGATCTTCCGATTTTTGACAGATATGTGAGATGCAGTCAATCAAACCGATAAGCTGTGCAGTGGTAGCCGACAGGAAAAAAAAGAGAGAGCTTTGTTGGGTGCGGTAGTGCGTGTGTGTACATTATTAAAAGTGGACAAAGATTTGAAAAGGGCACAATTGCAGACACGCGTTGATTCTTTCTGTTTCTATGAATAGAGTCTTGTCGGCATATTCTCTTGCTTTACGCCTGCCTACACAATACACTGTGCGCTGCGCATAAAGAGAGGGTAAGGGAGGCAGCAAGGGCTTATAGCAACAATAATCCACAACACTTACACGCTCTTATCCCGTACTCGTCCCGTGTCTATTAGCATACTCATTTGTATATCTACAGACAGAATCGCTCTCCAATCAATCATCTCAACAAACAAAAACCATCAATTATGTGTTCGCGGTGAAATGAAAGCTTCAGTGCATTGAAGCAAAAGCGCACAAACAACTTATACAACAATGCCTCGTGCTGGCACTGGGCCGATCACAATGGCAGAAGATCCGACAACTTTAACACATTCTTCTTTTGCTGCTGGAGGTGGTGGTGATTATGATATTCACAGTAGCAGCCCTTCTTCCTCTTCTATGGAAAGGTCATCAAGTCGCTTCACTACAAACGTTTCAGACTTTCAACTTCCTCTACGAAATGGATCAATAGCCAATACAATCACAGCGCCAAATAGTCGAAATGATGCAGAATACGGCGTTACCTCTACTTCACTTCCTTTGCTCAGAAGGGCGGCTGCAGCAGCTGCTTTTGCTAATGCCAGCAGTCGATCGCGACTACGAAGAGGTAGTATGCTCGGCAGAGAAGTGCCAAAGGATGAAGGATTGACCAGCAGCGAAGAGGATGAGGATATGAGCGCACCCGTCGATAAAAGCCCTTCGCCGAACAATGACTCTTCCTTTCTTCACAAAAATGCACAATCAGAGCAAGATACTTTGGACGATGATATGCAGATAGAGACAGGAGATGTGTCACTGGAAAATGTCAAATTGGAAAGTCGTTCACGACCTAGTACACCACCTCCTCACATCTCTTCCGGTACAACTTCAGATAGTCCTGGAACACCATTCGAATTAGGCAAAGCAGCTCGAGGTGGACAAACAAGAAGAGGTGCAGGTCGTAGTAGAGGGAGTCAGGGCTTTCGTGATAGAGGTGTACAGCGAGTTGCGGCATCTTTGCGAGACGAAGCACGTCCGTCAGATAGTGAGATCGCTTCAGAAGCCAAACTTCAACGAAAGCTAGCACCTGAAAGCGAATCGATCACTCCCAATACACCGAGATTGTTGGCGGTTGGTGCACGATCACCTGTTGCACTACGAAAACAGCAAGCATCCTCTACAGCAGGACAAGCGAGCAATAGCGTCCAAGCATTTGATGATGACGACCTCATGTTTCATGATCACTTTGATCCATACGATGGTGCTGATTCCAGTGACGAGGAAGAGTTTGGCTCCGTTTCCGCTGCGAAAGTAGGCCACACTGCCAATCTTGCAAATACGTCAAACGAAGAAGAAAATGAAGTTCAACAACATGCTGATGCGATTGCTATTCCAGGTGCTGCAACTTCTCAAAGAGAGAAACTCTGGCTTGGCTTTCGTGAATCTACACCGGCTGCTGGTTTACGTAATTCTCCTGGATCGGAAAGAGTGCTTGGAAAAGGTCGCCCGATTCCAATGGGCGGTCCAGGTAATGGGTTGTCTTCTTCTTATGGATCACCTTCTTTGGATACAGCAATGGATGCAGAACCTGTTGTTAGTATACCGATGCGACCGGGTCTAACGATGGCATCGCCAAGCCTATGGGGTAAGACGACAAAACGAAAACATGAAGCGGATCGATATGAGCCGTATTCTGCTTCTTTGCATAAGCGAAGAGCAGTGTCACCCGTTACAATTGCATCAGCAGGAACGGGGGGTGGAGCAGGACATTCGATCGCAGCTGCGGCTGCTGCTACTGCTGCAGCTTGGCAAAGACAGAGAGCACGTTCAAGTACGCCTACAACGACAGCACAATCGCCACTACTGCAAGCTATCCCTCAACAACAATCACCTTTGCTTTCAATTCAAACAAACAGCAATATGGGATATTTCAACAATCTGCCCATGCCGACTCCACTCTCGATTCCCTCTCCAACATTATCCGTCACACGAGCAATGTCAGGAACAATAAATGGAGCAGGAGGATATTTAGGAGCAAATGCACAATCCCTATCAAAGAGTTTGCCGCCTGGGTTGAGCAATAATGCAGCACGTATGAATGTGACGAATTCAAATGGATCAACGATGAATGCATCTGAAAGTCCATCATCTACACGACCATCAACGCCAACAAATGTGACTTTACCTGCATCAAGAGGTGGAACGGCAGCGAATGGTGGAGGAGGAAGTGGTCCAGGATATGGAAGTGGTGCTTTGGGATTAAGCTTAGGAAGTGGAACGAGCAAAAAGTTTAAGCAGGAGCAAGAAGAACAGGAAGAACAAGAAGATATGCTTGACGATGTCAATGCGATTCGATTGGGTGAAATGTGAAATGGGAATGGAATTGGTCGTGTAATGTATTATTTTGTGTAGATTAATGTACCATTATAGGCAATGAATTGTTTTGAATACAGAATGCTCTAGAAATACAGAGTGAGTGCTTCAAACTTGATGCTAATCGACGAATAGACGGATTTTGAAACCTGAATCTGGGAAGCCTACGTAGAGGCCATCTTGCCAAATGTTTTGTATCCGATCACGCCAAGAATTGGAAGTATCTGGCCTGTTGGAGCGGAAAATGCTTGAAGGTGCGGAATTTTGCGTTTGCCTACTCTCCCACCAAGATCGTACATGTGTTTGTGATAGCCTTCTTGTCGGTGCACTCCACCAACCCAGATTGGGCAGATTGGGATCGTTTTGTTGTTCTGGATACGATTGATTAGAAATGAATCCATTCGATAATCCGATCCAACAAGAAGATGGCTGAGCAGAATTTGGATCATCAATAGAGTTGGAGGTCTTATTGAGGTTTGCAGAATGAGAATCACCTTGAATTTGATTGGAAGAGAACGAGAAAAGAGCACAAGTGCTAAACATCAACCCAAGTATGATCACCGCACAATATGCACATGGTTTCGTTCGAATTGCATATGTGGTCACGAACAAGATCATCATCACTGGCGATACTGCTGGTAAAGGCAGCAAAAACAATGGTAACCACCATCGCAAGCAATGCATCTTTTCTTGATGGGCGCCTTCCTTTATTGATGTTGGTGTGTTGTTAGAGGTGAGCTTAAATTTGTATGCGTCTTCTAGCTGTTGCCCAAATCTTGTCTGTCTGCAATGCATACAATCCACACGTGAAGGTCAAAGTTGGGAACACGCCATATTCGTTGTGCAAAAGAAAAGTTAATATCTGTGAAAGAGCAAAACGCACGTACGCTAACGTTTCTTTGCAAACACCAAAGATGTGGAGCACAATCAAGAAGAAAGAAAAGTGAGCGAAAGATGAGTACGGATGCGGGGAGAGTATCATTTTCGGCTTAAGATGATGGCCGAAGCCGTTTGGGTTTCATGTATGCATACTTTCATTTTGATTGAATTCGATTCACTCCTTTCTTCTCTCCATCATATTCATTGTTCATATTACAAACATGGTTCTTTCATTCGTTCAAGATGTTATCAGCGGTAAGGCCAACATGGCCATCGGTTCTTTGCCATTGACTTTGTTGTTGGCTGCCATCCCACATTGGCATACAATTTACATCGCTGAATCCAAGAAAGTTCAAGGTGGATGGGCAAACGAGAACCCACGTGCATGGGTTGCAAGATTGAACTCCAAAGCTGCTTCAGGAAAGAAGTTGACCGAGACAGAAGAGTACATCTTGCGTGGTCAATCTGCACAACAAAACGGATTTGAATGGTTCCCAGTTTGGGCTGCTGCAGTTGTGAGTTGCTGATCAAATCTAAAATTAAGAACGTTTCCGCCTTACTGACAATCCTTTCTTCCCCATCATAGATCCTTGGTACTCTTGCCAAATTGCCAAAAGAGCAAATGGACAGATACACCGTGATCCACATTGCCGCACGTATCATTTACTACTACCTCTACTTGGCAATGGGCAAGCGTGGCGGAAGTTATTTGCGTACTGCAATCTTCCAAGTCAGTATCTTCCCTGCAGTTGCGATCTTCTTCCAATCCGCTCGCGCTTTAGCTTTGTGATCAGTCTTGTACAATTCAATTCAGGATTTACAATGAGATACTTTTATTGGTACAAAGTTCATCTGTTTTTCATCGCTTTGTCTTTCCAGAACGCCATAATTACATTCATCGCCTTTTTCTGAATGGGCTCCGATGGACACCATCCCTCATTGCCATTATCGAACACAGCATGAACTTCCTCTACCCCATTTCTGTGTCGCACTTCTTTGACTTCCATCAAATGCTGGTGCCAGCCTTTTCCTTTCAAGTTCTGCGCGACAAAGTCTCTCACCATTTCGTCCTCTTCATCCGCTTCCGAGCCATTGTTGCTCTCATTGTCCGAATGGTTTGAGTTGATAGGAGAGGCGTGTCTTGAGAGTTCTTGCTCGTTGCCGGACGACGGATCTTCCTCTTCCTGCATCTCTTCCTCCCCCTCATCTTCATCACTGTTCACCATGTCAAGAGGTGGCAGTTTGGACTTCTCCTGCTTTGCAGGCTTGGGCTTTGGCTTTGGCTTACTGACTTTCTTCTTCACGCCAATTTTTGTGAGGTATTGGTCAATGAGATCTGGGCAGGATCTCAAATGCTCTTCCGGCTCCCAAGTATCATCTTTGGCTTTGTAGCCTTTCCATCGAACTTTGAACATTCGATACTCCTCACCATTTGCGTTTTTGCGAAGACCACCATCCACAATCTTCTCTGGCTCATAATCGCCAACGATCTCAAGATCGTCTTCTGAGAGAGATGCCTCTGAACCATCATCTTCTTCCATTTCTACAGGTGAGTTGCGTTTGGCACTCTTGTGGTGCACTTTTGACCGTCCATGCGAGCCGGTCTTTTTCTTTCGTTTTTGAGGCCTCTTTGCTTTCGAATTTGTCGCCTTGGCCTTCTTATTTGTTGTCTTGGAAGTTGAAGCACGACTTTTATCCTCTTCTGCATCTGTGAAAAGTGGACTGTCTTCGCGATTATTGTTTTCTTGACCGTCACTTTCCTGTTCGTCGGAATCAGGTGCATTCATATTGCGCATGAATGCCTTCTGTTTTTCCTTTCCTTTTCCCCTTCCTTTCGATGGAGAAGAGATAGACTTTTGGGAAGATGAATGCTCTTCTCGGCTGCTGTTTCGAGTGACTTTCTTGCCTGAAGAAGAGCTTCCATCATGGCGCTTGTGATGAGTAGAGCGATGCTTCGATCCGCTTGAACGATCTTTTGAAGCGTTTGAGTGCTTTCGGGGTGAAGGTTTGGAAGCAGAGCGTGATCTTGTTTTGTGGTGATGATGGCCTTTGCGACGATCGCGTCCACGAGCCTCTTCACGTAAATGCTCTTGTTCGACTTCCATCTCCTCCTCATCCTCAGATCCGTGTTGGTAGGCGCTCTCAGCGTCGCTTACTTCACCTCGTGAAGACATCGTATGCACGCTCATTTGTTGATGGCTGGATGAGAAGAAAAGGCATGAATAGAGAAGAAGATCACAAAAGTATCAATACAGGAGGAGGCTTTGGTTTTGTGCATCTCGATTGCACTTTTGATGTGCCCGGAGAAAACACAGACACTTCTCAAGCTGCCCAAAGCGCAAAAGCGGTCTTTCCTTCAGCTTCCGAAGTGCAGCGTGAAGAGTGTTACTTCTTCTTTTGAGAAAGTTTGAACATCTCCGCCGCTTTTAATGCAAATTAATGCTCAACTCAGCAGACAAAAAAGGGAGAAGAATTACATTGCATAAAGTAAGATTGGCTTCAAGCTGCAGGCAGACAGACAGGCGCAATTTCAACGCTATACAAAACCCATGCAAGATTAAGCTTCGCGCTTGCACACAAAAGTTGGTGTTACCCTTCTTCTTCTTCTTCTTCTCGTGCCATCATCAATCAACTATGTAGGTCAACAACAGTACGATGACAGAAGAATTTGGAACGAGAGGAAGTGCAGCTTCCAAGATTGCAGAAAAGTACTTGAGTCAACCAACAGCCAAACAAAAGCTGCTGCTTAATGCTTTTCGTGCACCTGATTCGCGTTATCAGCCTATTTGTCGTTTCTTGACGTTGAAAGAATGTGCATTGGATAGAAGCAAAGGCAAGGAGACAGAGACTACCATCGATGACGCATGCGATGATGTTCATTTTGAACCAATCATCTACCCTCAAACAGATATGAGCTTAGGACATTGTAGTTATTTGAACACATGTCATCGAACATCTCGTTGCAAATATCTACACTTCAATCCTGTCAGAAGACCAAACGCACCTCCCTTTGAATGGCAAACAATTTACGATGACGATCCAATGCCGATCAGAAGGAAACAGACTGTCGCTACACCTACGGAATCTGGCGTAGAAGGCAATCTGTATGGAAACACACAACTTTCGCTGGAAGAAGATGAGCAAAAGTTTGTGGAAGCATTGATCAGACACCCAGCAAGAGCACTACATGCAGACGGATTGGAGGAGTGGAGTAGGGACGCACAACATTCACCAGAGCTAACACCCGCTCAATGGATCGATGCAGATTTAAAATCGTTTGATTATTCCATGTTGGGCAAATTTGACGTAATCGTTGCTGATCCTCCATGGGATATTCATATGAGCTTGCCATATGGAACGATGTCAGATGATGATATGCGTGCGATGCCATTCCCGCAATTACAAGATGAAGGCTTCTTGTTCCTTTGGGTGACCGGTCGTGCGATGGAGTTGGGCAGGGAACTGTTGTCTTATTGGGGATACACACGAACGGATGAGATCATCTGGGTAAAAGTAGGACAAACGCAGAGGCTGATTAGAACAGGAAGGACGGGGCATTGGCTCAATCATACGAAAGAGCACTGTTTGGTAGGCGTAAAGGTGAAGAATAACAAACCAGATCCAAGACTACCCATCGTATCCACACTTTCACCACCTTCAAGCGTCACGTATCCAGCTTCTCATGCTCCCGGAATTCCTGCCAACAAATTGTTACCTTCTTGGGCAAATGCAGGCTTGGACGCTGATGTGATTGTGGCTGAAGTGCGTGATACGTCTCGCAAGCCAGATGAATTGTACAACATCATCGAGCGCTTGTGTCCCAAAGGCAGAAAGATTGAATTGTTTGGCAGAAGACATAATGCTCGACCAGGTTGGATCACCGTTGGTAATCAATTGAAAGGCGATCACATCGTTGATGTCGATTTGAAACGGAATGTAGAAGCATGGAGACGGAAGGCTGCAAGAGCTTAGAAATTGTACTATACCCAACACACCATGTGAAAATATAAGAAATTCATACTATTTTGTGCAAAGAAAAGATCAATAAGCGGGTAAAGTCTAACATCGGAATCATAAAAGGAAATAGAGAAAAGATCTGTTGTTTACAGTGTTATTGAGACAATTATTGTTTCACTGTACCAATGATACCTTCTTTGTAGTATTTGGAAATGACGTTTTTGTCGTGCAACATGTTGAATTCTTCAGTTGCGTCACGTCCCTTGTAGAGCAAGATTGCCTTACGACCACCTGGGTGATCGTCCAAGAATCCGGTAGCATCGATCACTTGACCGTTAACGGCAACCCAGCAATCATCATCAGATGCATGCTTGGCGACTTCTTCCATGCTGATCTCTCTCAATTCAGTTGCAGGGGTTTCCTTCTTTTGAGCTTTGGAGTTCTCTGCGGCTGGTTGAGGGCCAGCAGAAGAAGTTGCAACTTGTTGAGTTGATCCAGAAGTGGCTGCATTTCCTTCACTTTGTCCTTGTCCGTCCCAACTGAATGTCAAACTAACATTCTTGTTATCAGGGTTAACACGAACAGTTGTTGCCAAATGGTTTGCAACTTGACCTGCACGTCCGGCAGCAATCTTTCCGGTAGAAATACCACGCAAAAGGTATGAAGTAACACTATCACCGGCAACACGACCGAAAACGACGCAACCCAAAAGGGAAGAACCTCCCAATCGGTTTGCACCATGAACACCACCAGCAATTTCACCGGAAGCGTACAAACCATCAATTGGCTTTCCGTTGTTGTCCAAAACGTGACCTTCAGGGCTAATTTCAACACCACCCATAGTGTAATGCAAAACAGGGGTCATAAGAGCAACGTGGAAAGTGTCATCCATCTTCATGTTATGGTTGTTGAAGAACTTCTTGTTCCATGGGCACTTCTTCTTGCCGGTTGCGATTTCATTGTAATCGTCAAAGGTAGCCTTGAGCTTGTCAGCAGAAAGGCCCATCTCTTTGGCCACAGCCTCTCCCGAGTCGAATTTCTTCATCAAACCACGTCCAGTGTAATGCTTGCAGTGCCATTCGATTTCCTTTGATGCTTCACCGTTCAAGATTAAACGAACGGGGAATTTGTTGTTATCCCACATACGTCCAGTAACGTAATCACGGTGTCCCAATTCATCGGCGAATCGGTTTCCTTCAGCGTCAAGTAAAAGACCACCACATCCACGCAAAGCTTCAGCGGCCAAGAATTTAACTTTTGCGTCAGGTTCTTTAGGGTCAACCAAACCAGTTGGGTGCACTTGAACCTTTTCCAAATCGATCAAACGACCACCAATGGCGGCAACCATTTTTTGACCATCACCAGTGCAGTGATCACCGTTTGTGGTAGGCAAATTCATCAAATCAGGACGATGCTTCTTCAACAAAGAGTTTACATCATCGAAATCGGCTGCGTAACCACCAGTTGCCAAAACGACTGGACCATGTTCTTGATGTGTTTGACCACCGGCAGTGTATTCGACACCAACGACGGCATTGTTTTCGTACAAGAGTTTTGTAACTCTTGCCTTACGAACGATTTGAACACGTTCGGGTGTGGTTTCTGCCAATTCTTCAATCTTTTCCATTTGTGCATATGTGATTGTCATACCTGGGAATTGAGCGCCACCACGATGGGTACGTGGTTGAGAGTGACCACCCAAACGAGAAACTTTTGACAAATCTAGGGCGAATCGATCTTGCAACCAATTGACAGCTTCACCTGAACGACCAGTCAAAACTTTGATCAAATCATCTCTTGCCAAATCACGAGCGGATTTCTTTGTGTCGTTGAAGAAAATCTTTGCTGAATCTGGAATGTCCAAATCAGCTTGAGTGGCGGTTCCGGCACCATTGATACCTGAGGTGGCTTTTGTACTGTTACCACCAAAAAATGCGTTCTTGTCCAAAACCAAGACGTTTCCACCACGTTCCAAGATGGTGTGAGCGGCTGATAAACCACTCAAACCACCACCGACGACGATTGCTTTAGCCATTATGTTAGAAGTGTGAATAAAGGGGAAAAAAGAGGAGAGTTATGAAGTAATCGTTGAGAACACCTGAAGGGGAGATTAAGTAGGTGTGATGGTGAGAAGGAAGAGAGAGTTTGAGAGGTGTGGGGAACAGAAGTACCTCATTCCCTCCTGATGCCCTCGGCTGACCAATGAGGATGCTTTATCTAATTGTATGCATAATACCAGTCAATCTTGTATGTGTGCGCACTTTCCTCTTCATCACTGAGTGTATATTATTCAATGTCAATTGCTTTGATTCGGCGTTTGTGTGAAAGCGTGCCGGTTGCATTAGATTTGTTGCTAATCATCCGAACAGGCATGCAAACGAAGAGGTCATTCTTCCAGTCAAATGGACACGTAGCCCTTTGCTGTGTTTTATTTGAGTAGGACCCCTCTTCCAAGCAGTTAAGAGAAGTTACTATTTGCTTCGGCTATTGGCAAACCGATAGTAAGAAGGCACTTTAACCCTTTGGTAAGTAAGAATATTTCGAATAATGTTACACTCCCACGCCTTCTAATCAATAGACTCTTTTTTTCCAATGGATTGTGCATCCTTGCATACTGACTTTGTGCGCTTTAATCAAAATAAATAAGCCAGCAACACAAAACTTGAACGCGGGGTTGTGTTGCACGAACAATACGGCAGTACAAAGCCCGGGTTAGGCAAAGCAGCCAGCGCGGGGTTAGCTGCAGATAATTTCTTATTTTAAACGTGCAACGCGCATTAAAAACTGGGGAAAAGATCAGTGGCTAAACAAAACAAGGCTAAGCTTAAAATTATAACAAATTTCATTGGCTAAACAAATTACACCCACTGCATACACTCAACTTCTTATTCCCGCTTACTTCCTCACGCCACCAAGAGGCGAAGCTATTTGTGATGCAATGTTAGATAAGCATATTCAAGCACGTCATGTCATTAAACAGAAAGATCAAAGAGAAAGCGAAACAAGCAACTGGCTACGAATCATAGGAGGATTGTCCGTGACGATTATAAATTTTGAGGACCGAGTGGATTGCAGTTCACCACCAATAGGTCACCAAGTTGTTCATTGTCATGTACATTTGGAGCAGAACACTTTTGTGACATCCAATAACCATAAGAATTGCTAACAGGACCGTCAAAGTGATTCTTTTTTCCTGCTGCGCCAAAATGTACTTTGTATGTACCTTGATTGCATTGAATGAAAAATCTTGAATCATCGGTAAACTTGCAGAACCTTCCTGTTTGATCACAGGCTACAGGACCATGATGTTTGGATTTTGGATCTTGGCGAAGTCTACCTTCTTTGCCTTCAATCGTAACACATTTACCTTTTCCAGGTCCACAACCAAAGCTTGCGGGAGAATCTTTACGATTATAGTCGTAATTTGGGGTACAGCCACCTTGAAGGTAACGTGGATCATGTGTTAAACCATCACAATCGACTACAAACGTATCACCAGCTTGAGCTGATTCCAAGCGACTTGGACGTGTGCAATGTTGTGACATAAAATAAGCAAAGGCATTTTGAATGTGGTTTTGTGCTCGTCCAAGTTTCTTATCGCCAAAGAATTGAACTGTAATTTTGCCCTTTTGTGGACATTCGACCGTTAACATGGAGTTTTCGGGATATTGACATGCTTTTCCATTTGGATCGCACTTTAATGCTGGAATAGGTTGACTGATAATCTTGCCTGAGTTGAGAATTGCAACGCAAGGAGGTTTTCCTGGACCACAGTCCAAGGTACCTGGACTTGATTGACCAACATTATAATTCGAATTGGGACAATTTGGTAATTGGTTGGGTGGATGTGGAATGCGACGAGAGTGCTTGCCGTGAGATTTGGAACCGGCTGCTGCGCTACAGAAAATTGCAGCAAAGATGGTGAATGTTGCAACGAATGAGGTCTTCATAACAAGTTTCAAATACGAGCAAAGGCAGTTGCGAACGAGGATAAAAGGTCTCAAAAAACGAACGTAAAGCAGATGCGAAATGCAAGATGTGAGATATGGGAGGGTGTCGGAGGATTACTTTTCATTGCTCAGCTGTTATTTATACAAAGTAATTTTTTTTACATGATACCTTGGAATGGAAAAATTTTTGGCCGAAAAAACTCTAAATTAATACTTTGAGAAAGGCAATTGACCTACGATTTCTACGATTAAGCCCTCCCCTTCCCCTTTTAGATCCAATTTCACCCCTTTCGACACGGAACCGAGGGGCGTAGAATTGTGAGATTGCGTTTCTATCAAAGGATCTACCCCTTAGCATCATCTACGGAAAGAGCGTGAATCCGTTTATTTGCTCTAACAAATACGCCCAAATTAGTCATCAATCATTTGAAGGTTTTAGTATAGAACATTTTGTACGGTATTACACACCCGATATCGGTAAAGAAGAGGGGAGAAATGTTTGATTGGAAGGTAAGGCGAACAATCTCAAAGTTTTCTCAATTCCGCTAACGTCCTCACGCCACCAAGAGGGAAAGAAGAGATGCTATCTCAGATGCACGGTTAGAGTACGTCCATTAGTGTGAACACGAGGTGGTACGATCGATTGCAGTCAATCATTGGTCAGCAGTTCATTGTCAACTGGAGATGTGTATAGAACGGCCTAATTACGGTTTAAACGGATTCGGAGTTCAAAAAAAGGTAGTCAAGGATAAAGATGCAAAAAAGATATAGAACTGCAGCACCCAGGATTCCCGCGTGGTCCCCCACCGCAGTACTGACTAGGCGATACCGTGCTTGACTTCGCAGATCGGACGGGATGCGGTACTTTCACGGTTCTATGGCCGCAGATATAAGAAGAAGGTACTACAAGATATAAGAACAAATATTTCACCAACACAAATCAAGTGTGATTATGATGGTGCGCGTTTGAAAAGAGATGAGCAGCATTGAATGCATACAAGGAGCACACACTAGCTGGCATTTTAACTCTACGTCATGTTATTAAAGAAAGCTATGAAGAAAAGAAGTGGGAATTAATAGAGAAATTAACGAGAATTGGAAGCAAGCAACTATCAATAAGGGCTGTGACCATCACACATTTTGAGGACCGAGTGGATTACAATTCACTACTAAAAGATCACCGAGTTGCTCATTGTCATGTGCGTTTGGAGCTGAGCATTTTTGTGACATCCAATAACCATAAGAATTGCTAACAGGACCGTCAAAGTGATTCTTTTTTCCTGCTGCGCCAAAGTGTACCTTGTATGTTCCTTGATTGCATTGAATGAAGAATCGTGAATCATTCTTGAACGTGCAGAACCTTCCTGTTTGATCACATGCTATTGGACCTTTATGTTTTGATTTAGGATCTAAAAGGATTTTACCTTCCTTTCCTTCGATCGTAACACACTTGCCTTTTCCGGGTCCACATCCAAAGCTTGCAGGAGAGTCTTTACGATTGTAATCATAGTAGGGCATACAACCACCTAGGAGATAGCGTGGATCATGTAACAAACCATCACAATCAACCACAAATGTATCACCAGCTTGAGCTGATTCCAAACGACTTGGGCGTGTACAATGCTGTGACATGAAATAAGCAAATGCATTTTGAACATCATTCTGTGCTCTGCCAAGATTTTCATCACCAAAGAATTGAACTGTAATTTTGCCTTTTTGTGGACATTCGACAGTCAACATGGAATTATCGGGATATTGACATACTTTCCCGTTTGGGTCGCACTTTAACGCTGGGATAGGTTGACTGATTATTTTGCCTGAATTGAGAACAGCAACACAAGGTGGCTTACCTGGACCACAATCTAAGGTACCTGGACTTGATTGACCGATATTATAATTTGCATTAGGGCATGCGGGTTGAGGAGCTCGTTTGAGTTGAGAGATGTATTCGGCGGCTACGGTAGCAACGATGACGAATAGCGTAATAAATGGTGTCTTCATAATGAGCTTTAGAGATCCGAGACGTAAAGTATTGTATGTGCGTGGGAGAATGGAATTGACTGAGAAAAAATTCAGGTCATATTTATACAACGACAAATAATCATCAAATTTACCTTGAAATGCGTAATCGAGGGCCAAGACAAAATCGAAATTAATATCGTGACCCTCATTTCATAACAATAATATTATTCTCCACCCACTTCCTCCTCCTGACGTCCATTTTCACCCCTATCAACCCGGTTCCGTGGGACGTATAAGTCCGAAATGGAACTTCTCCTTAATTACGTTCATGAAGATAGTATATATCCTTTCAACTACTCCTACAAATCGGCCCTGAACAAGGAACAACGTACCTAAATACTACGATAGCAAATGTTGTTCACACGGAATCATACACGCCGAAAATTGGTATGGAAAGAGGCAAAAGATTGGATTAGTTGAGAATGTAAGGTGAATGACTACAGATATATCGTCTGTCAATATGAAGGTTGAATGAGAATCGAATCATCTAATTCACTTTGGACTCCGCAACCGGATCTGCACCAGCGTCGGGTGGAGGAGCAAGAGGATTACAGTTGACGACCAACAAATCACCATTAGAAGTTGATTCATCCTTACTTGGTCCGGTACACTTGTTGCTCATAAAGTAGGCATTGGAGTTGTTAACTTTACCACTGAATTTATCTTTTTTGCCAAAGTCGACCTTGTAAGTTCCTTGATTACACTTAACAGAGAAACTTGCTGTATCACCAAATTTGCAGAATTTTCCATCAGGATCGCATGCGACTGGTTGACTTGGGCTTCTGACGATTTCACCATCTTTTCCTTCAACTGTGACACATTTTCCGATTCCTGGACCACATTGGAATGCGTTCTTGACGGCGGCCTTATCACGATTATAAGCGTAATCTGGATTGCATGCAGTTGGCTTACCGTTGGCATCAGGTTTCAATGCATTGCAGTTCACCACCAAAGTATCACCCTTTTGATTTGAATGCAATTTACTTGGGTGTGTGCATTGATTTGAAACAAAGTAGGTGTGTGCATTTTGTGCATGGTTTTGAGCAGTTGCATAGTTCTTGCTACCAACAAATTGCACTGTAACCGTACCTTGATTGCATTGAACGGTCAACATTGAATCATCGGCATATTGACATACTTTCTTGTTTGAATCACATTTGACTGGCTTGGAAGGGCTGTTGATAAATTTACCTTCGTTCAACAAAGCAACACATGGTTCTTTTCCAGGACCACAAGAAAGGCCATGCTTGTCAGATTGTCCAATGTTGTAATTTTGAACGCATTTCTTCGCAGCTTGGACATTGGCCAAGCCGATTGCCAAAACGAGAATAGCCGTGGTGAAAGCTTTCATTTTTGTGTGAGAAAGAGGGAAAAGTGAGTATTTGTTGGGGAACAGAAAGTGAAGAGCACACAAACTTTTGCCTCTTTTGAAACCTTTACGTTGCTACGATAGGAGCAAGAAGATTTCACCGAACAACGTATGGTCATTCTCCAAATTGTACCGATACTACCGTATTTGAAGCATGGGAACAGAGAAGGGGTAACATGAAGAACACAAGATTTTTAACAAGGGATGTTGGGGCAAAATCGTACAGATGAAGAGAATGATCTCCTCAAACGCCAAAGATACCTCCTCTCATTCATTCGTATACCCATCCGCCTCTCCTGTTTGTCATTTTATAGTTGTCAATAGAGGGCCAAAAGTGCTCCTATGTATATTGCACCTTTACTATAGGAATTATGATGAAGGAGAAGGAGCAAGGGTACATGCTAAGAACAACAAAAGCCCGGCGGCTGTAAGAGAAGAACGCGACTGACTTGGCTTGATTATGCATTTAGACAATTTAGCGTAAGCAAAATGATAAGCAGTTCAACTTCTTCTTCTTGCTTTCTTCTCCACCTCTTTTCCTGCCATCCTTACTCGACTCTTCATGTCAATCGTTGTGATCGAATGCAAAATACCCCTCCTACGCATATAAACCCCCGCAATTCATGATCAGACAGCCGCTTTCACCAAATTCATTCGTTCTCCTATCGGTTGAGGATGGCGCCCCAATCAAGGGGTAAGAATGAGACAGCTACTCCTACTCCTGCAAAAGAGGGAACGACATCAATTAAAGGATTCGTAGGAGGACTTGCATCAGGTTTAACAAAAGTAGCAGTTGGTCAACCTTTTGATATCATTAAAACACGTTTGCAATGTTCTCCTGTTGGAACTTATCGTGGACCTTTGGATTGTCTTGGTCAAATTGCAAAAAGGGAAGGTTTATTGAGTTTATATAAAGGCTCCTCTCCGCCTGCAGTCGGTTGGGCATTTGCCGATAGTGTTTTGATGGGAAGTTTACATACTTATCGTTTAACCCTGAGTAGATGGTACGGATATGGAGAAGGGACAGGGAAGAGATTACCTACCCAGCTTCATGCGTTAGCCGGACTTGGAGCAGGGGTAACGAACAGCCTAGTAATGACCCCAATCGAAACGCTCAAGAGTAAATTACAAATGCAAACACAAAGAACAACAATTCACATTCCTGGAAGAGGAAGGGTTGAAACTGTCAAACGTGAATTCTCAGGTCCGATCGATTGTATCATGCAAACTGTTCGACAACAAGGTGTTTTGGGATTATGGAAAACCTTGCCGATAACGATGATCTTTCGTGCAAACTTTGCAGTCATGTTTGGAGGATATGATTTCTTTCAAAGACAGTTTGAAAAGCTGAAGGGAACGAAGTATGAACTTGGCTCTGGTATCTCGACTTTCTTATCAGGAGGATTAGCGGCTGAATTCTTCTGGTTAGCTGCTTTGCCGGCTGATACAGTAAAGAACAGGATGATGGCAGATTCCCTCTACAATCCTCGTTATCCGACCATAAGAATAGCTTTCTTATCTGTTTGGAATGAAAAGGGACCCAACGCTTCCACCATCAGACGAATGCAATCGTTTTACAAAGGATGCTCGGTAGCCCTTTTGCGAGCATTTCCCACCAATGCAGCCGCTCTTTTTGCATTCGAGACTGCCATGCATCTAATGGGAGCAGAAAAGACGACAACAAAGTGAACAAAGAGAGAGCATTTGAATCCATTAATTGTATTTGTATTATACCTGTAAAGTCATCATCACCACTTAGAATGTCAACTTATAGACTCTTCAATTGATTCAGTTTCAATTTGATCGATTATATATGGGTGCTAAAAAGTTACACATTCTACAAGATACAAAATACGTTGTTAGCCTACTCCCAATCTGAGTCTTCTTCTTCCTCCTCTTGCTTTGATCTGGCAGCCGGTTTCTTGGAAATCTCTTTCTTGGCGCTCTGTTCTTCGGCCTCTGAAACTGTCTGCACTTGATCTCCAACGTCCTCCCAGCTCGTTGTTGGTGGACCAGTAGTAGTCTCCAATCCTCCTTCGACTTCTTTGTCCCAGTCAAAATCGTCATCATCTGTACTTGCCTGTAGAGCAGGGGCTTTTTGAGCTTCTTTAGAAGGTGCTGCAGCCTTTGCTGGAGCCTCGTTAGACTTCTCCCTTTTCTTTTCGCCTTCCTCTGGCGGAACGACTTTAACCAAATCACCCATCATTGATCCCATCTCTTTTCCCCAATCCCGTGCAGCACTTTGAGATGCTTCAAAATATCTCTTTGCCATTGCTTGAGATTCTTTCAAATCTAAATTAGGGAAAGCAGCTTGGAATTGTTTGCTCAGATCAGGTAATGCTAAATTTCGCTTTGTTTGCGGTGACTGCGAAGGATCCTCTGCATTTTCCGTACCATCTTCAGCCTTGCCTTGTTTTGGTAAGGAGATACTTTGTAAGGTCTTTGCGACAGACGCTTGCATATTGTTCACTCGCGGATCTGCTTGAATCTTTCCCCAGAATGTTTGCATACTTTGCATGGCAGATTGTGCATTCTGTCTCGTGGCCATAATTGCATCATCGATTGCCTTCATCTCCCCTCCAGGTTCATCAGAAAATGCATCAGCATCAAAGAATGCATCTCCTGTAGCAGATGATGCAATAGCTCTACTGACTGCATCATTTGAAGCTCTCCTTGTCTTTCCCTCTTGGGCTAGCTTAGCATTCTCTTCCAAACGTTCAACATCAGCTCCATCATCGCCCTCCACTTGTTTGCCTTTGCCTTTTCCGCTTCCCTCAACGGATCCTTCAGCATTTGTTTCACTAGCCAATGCATTCTGTCTGGCTGCTTTTTGTGCTTCATTCAGTTGAGCTTCAAACTTGGCTGCTTCACGTTTTGCAATAGAGACTAAACCACCTTGTGAATCAATTGAAGCACGTACTTCATCGAATTGTTCCTGTGATTTCTTACTGAAACCACTCCACCATGAACTTACACTTCCTACCAATTGCTTCACATCATCTTCGATTGATGCTTGTTTGACTCCTTGATTGATTTCAGTGGAGGAGTCAGTGGTGGAATTCTTCGATATACTTCCCTCTGCGGCATTTGTTTCGGAGGATGTTGTATTTGTTGTTCCCTGTGAGGATGCTATCTGTTCCGATGCCATTTTCTTGATATTCGTTCGGTTTGATGGTGATCATTCACAAGAAAGGCCTGTCAATTAAGGTTTACCCTTTCTTTGGCGTGAAATGCATTGGCCGCTTTTGCCTTTAGCACCAGGGTAGCGCCTGAGACAAGCGAAACACGTGCTATCTCTAAGCTTAAAATTTTTGGATTTTTGTTTGCAGAGAAAGTTCTTGCTGCATGAAACGGGAAGAAAGAGCTTCTCCGCTTGCCTCCATCATACACTCATCAAAATGTCATCAAAAGAAGAAAAGAAAGCCGAAAAGGCCGTCAAGAGCGCTCATAAGAAAGAGAAAAAGCGTAAAGCCATTGAGGCTTTAGAAAATGGAGAGGTACAAGGAGATCCTACTTCTCCTTCCGCTGAAGTTTCAATGACAGCAGATGACGAGGAAGAAAGAAAGAGAGCCAAGAAACAAAGAAGAGCTGAAAAGAAAGCAGCCAAAGCAGAAGCTGAAGCTGATGCTTCAACTGATAAAGCATCGGAGAAAGCTGCCAAAAAGGCAAGAAAGGAGGCAAAGAAAGCTAAAGCTGTCTCAGAATCTGCTCCTGTGGAAGCAGATGTCACAAGCACACCGATTGCAAGCACAAGCAAAAGCACCAATGCCGCTGCAGCTCGTGCTTACATGGAAACAAATAATGTCACAATTGAGGCACCGGAAGAATCAAACGAAAAACCACCTTTGCCAATGCTTTCGTTCGACGAATTGAAAGGAAGGATTGATGATAGATTAAAGAAAGAGTTGGACAGTAACAAATTCACAAAACCTACACCCATTCAAGCTTGCTGCTGGAGTGTTTTGCTTGCAAACAAGGATGTCGTTGGTATCGCCGAAACAGGCTCTGGAAAAACAATGGCATTCGGTTTACCTGCTATGCAACATATCCTTCAATTACCCGCATCTGAAAATGGTCAACAGAAAAAGGGAAAAGGAAAGTACGGCAAAGGTGGACAAAACGTATCTGTCTTAGTCATTGCCCCTACACGTGAGTTAGCCATTCAAACTCAAGTCACGATGGAAAAGTTGGCAGCTTCAATAGATTGCGCTTCTATATGCTTGTACGGAGGTGTATCTAAACCTGATCAGATCAGACAGTTACAAGCATCGCCAAAAACAATCAGAGCGGTTGTAGGAACACCCGGTCGTGTTTTGGATCTTGCAAGGGAAGGAAGTCTAGACTTGAGCAATGTCACATACGCAGTTTTGGATGAAGCAGATCGAATGCTTGATGTTGGTTTTGAACCTGATATTCGTGCAATTTTGGGAATGACACGCAACAAAGATGAAGGTAGACATACAAGCATGTTTTCAGCTACATGGCCAATGGACTTGCGTGGATTGGCGGAAACATTCATGCGTGAACCAATGAGAGTGACGATCGGAAGTGATGAATTATCAGCAAACCATCGGGTTGAACAATCAGTTGAAGTGTTGGAAGATTCAAGAGCCAAACAAGGACGTTTGGAAACTTTCTTACGCAATATTGGAGCAGGTCCAAGAGGTCGTTCACCAAAAGATAAGGTGATCATCTTTGCCTTGTACAAAAAAGAAGCACAACGTGTTGAAGATACACTGAAACGTAAAGGATACAATGTTGCCGGTATTCATGGAGATTTAAGTCAACAACAAAGAATTGCAAGTTTGGATGCTTTCAAATCCGGTGAAGCACCTCTTTTGGTGGCTACTGATGTAGCTGCAAGAGGTATCGATGTACCTTTGGTGGAATATGTGGTAAACTACACATTCCCTTTAACAATTGAAGATTACGTTCACAGAATCGGTAGAACAGGTCGAGCAGGCAGAACGGGAAAAAGTATCACCTTTTTCACTTCCGAAGACAAATCTCATGCAGGTGAATTGATCAGAATCTTGAAAGATTCAAATCAACCTGTACCCAAGGAAATGTTGCAATTCCCGACAACCATCAAGCGTAAAGAACATGGAGCATACGGTGCACATTTCAGAGAATTGGTGCCCGGTAAAGCCAAGAAGATCACTTTTGATGACTAATCTTGCATTGCCTGTCGTGTATAGATTGCCTTTTTCTTTCTCTCATTGTACGATTAATTCTTATTCTCGCAATTCAAGGATGCATGACTATCGTATGTCTCGTGAAAAGTGTGTGTATATATTGAAGTGGCAATGCAAGTCCTAAAAAATGTTTGATAAAAGTACAGATCAAAAATGGGAATGGAGATAATGACAATGAAAAGCAGACAATTCTTGATTTTTGTTGAGCATTCCAAAAGGGAAAGAAAGAGAAAGTGCAACGAGAAAGCAAGTATGAGAGTGCGACAGAGTGAGATCATGCTGCTGTGGATTGCAGTCTAGCAGAATTGCAAAGATGTCTACGTTCTTGCTCATGCAAATAGAGCAAATATTTTACAAGGAAATCCACTTGTTCCGCTGTTTCGATAGCTTTTGGACTTCGTCTTCTACGAATTGTTTCGATTAATCGATGAATGGTTTGCATGATATCCATGGTGATCTTTTCTTGATGATCTCCAATCATTCCTCCGTTTTGCCAATTTGTCAAAGGATGAGTATTGGACTCATTGGGTGATATGCACGAAAGAGATTCCATCGGAATACGGAATCGTACTTCATCACGATCAGATCGCACCAAACCTAGTTTCAACATCCATGTACAGGCGATCAGACCGGCTCTTCCAACACCTCCTCTGCAATGAACCAAGACATGGACGCCATGAAGTGTGTAATCGTTTACGACGCAGCTGATAGCCTTATCAGTTGCCAGGACATCGGTTGGACTAAAACCTTCAGCCATGGGCAGACGAATGACTTCGATTCCAAGCTTGTCCGCTTCTGTTTCGTATTGTGACCAAGGGGCACCTAAGAATGCCAATTCTTCATCGTCCAAACAACAAACGATCGCACCAACACCTAGTTGTCGAATACGCATAAGGTCCAAGCCTAAATCACGACAGATCGCTCCTCGTCCACGAACTGGACCGGTCAAACGAACCTTTTTGCCAGGACAGCTAGACAATAGTAAATTGCCCATCACAAATGGTTTATCATCTTCTGGTGGCGGGTTGGGATCTTGTGATACTTCAACATCGGAATGAAGTCCGTTTAAATGGCATTCTTCTCCATCCTGCTCTAGATTGCTAGCATCAAAAGACGTCTGACAATATACACCTCTATCCACCACAATGGGCTGCTTGGAATCAAGCATCATTGCCTCCCGCATGATGCTTGGTGGCGGCTCCTGAATATAAGGCTGATCTAATCGTAATGACCTTGGCTTTCTTTGACTTTGAGAAGCTTCGATCAATTCACGTTCTGCTTTGAATGCGATCTCACACATATCAACACGTGTTAATCGACATCTGATCAATCGCTTTCCATCTACTTGCAAGTCATCATGACGTGTTTCATGTATTCCATCAGCGTCGAAAAGGTTCACTTTGGAGTGCCGTAAGGTTTCTGGCATGGCTTGTGAGACATGCTTCGAGATTTCTTCCAGTAGCTCGGGTGGAATGATTGGGCTTATGCTGATAGGATGCGTATCGCTAGTCTTGACGGTAAGGTTGGGTTGAGCAGATGACTGATTGGTGTGTCCATTTTGAACTGTTTCAGTCGTATCCTTGCACACCTCTTTGCCGATCGGAGCTTCCCATTCGGAGCTCAAAGCGGCCTCATTCTTCAACGGACCACATTCACACACCGAGCTCAGATCTTTCGACCCTTCTGCCATTTCTCGGCAAGCTTTACACTTCTCCTTCTGTGCAGGTGCCGGAGAGGCATTTCGCATACGAGTGTCACCATTCTCGTCACATTTCGACATCAATTTTGGTGCTTTGTTTTGCGTGCTTGTCGATGATGAAGGTGTTGAAGGGTCAGAGGATGATGCACTGGAGTTACTATTAGACTGTGAGGCTGGTCGTTCTCCTAATGCACTTTTGCCTTGCTTCCTTCTTTTGTGAGTTAGCCATTCCGATGCTTTCCCCTCGTTGATCTTTTGCTTTTGCAAAACTTCCTGAACTTGAACAGGTTGTTGAAGACTGAGTGGAAGGTATGCATAAGGTGATCCGTCTTGACCGAATTTGATGCAATTATAACCGCTCAAGTGATGTTGACTAGCTAAAGGGGCCAAATCAAGCAACCTGACCCACTCATCATATCCAGCAGCCTGACAAGCAGCATATACTCTCGTAGCCAAAGCATCCCTTTGCTCGATAGTAGGTGGAATCTGTTGAAAATCATTCGCATTAGCGGTATGATTGGGGGTGGTATCTTGTCTTGTAGAAGCATTGTTAGGGTGCTGTTCTGGACGAGCCTCACTGTCCCCTTGCCCTAAATTTCTGCCTCTAGCATTCTCTGGTGGTGCAGGAGGTTGTAAGGCTACAGTGGCAGATGTTTGGATACTGTTAGCATTCCGCAATGCTTTCTGATGTTGTTTGAATGCACTTTGAGATCCCGAAAGAGAGACACCCAAACTTTGGCCATCAGAAACGGAAGTTGCCAAACTGCTTGTAACGCTTTCACTTCGACTTCTCGAACTATCGGATGGGGTAGAAGAAAGTTCCGAAGCTTCACTGTGTTGCTGTTGTTGTTGTTGCTGTTCTCCGCTGCTTTGTTGACTGAATACATGCAAGCCATTCAAAGAATTACTCAATCTCCTGGTGAATTCTTGTTTTGGTGAAGTTTCCGCTTCCGACGTTTTCGATTGCGGTGCCGTTGAACGGATGGCACTTTGGGCTGTATTTGCTAGTCGGGTTGCACTGTCTTGATCTGTGTTCACAACAGGTGCGGCGGCATGAGCGTGTTGTCGTGCGATTGTTGGTCCATTACTCGTTGACTTGTTTGCGGTATTGCTGGTAGAAGAAGGTGCCAATTTGGAAAACGAAGGCAAAGAACGATGAGAAGGTCTTTGACGTGATTCAAGTGGATTAATGTTGTTATTGCTGTTACTTGAATGACGCGAATGATTTGAATGTAATGAAGAAGATGATTCGGAAGAAGGTATACTATAAGGAGCACATCTTGGCGAACGTTGTTCAATCGAAGATCGACCGGAAGTAGGCGATTTTTGAGCAGAGCACGTCTCTGAATGCATTGCATCAATCATTTTCGTGATTTCTAGCAAGAAAGTACGAACGTATGACGTCTTAATGAATCATACAAACGTTATTTTTCAATTTCTTATTGTACTTGTAGGTAACACATTGTGACGATTGTTGAATAGAGGTGAATGTACTGAATGGATGATCAAAGTACTTGAATGATGGCAAGAATCATTGACGAGATCGAGTCGTTTCAGTCGCCTGTGGAAGGATGTCCAAGTTGCTCTCCGATTTGGGCTAAGAATCGCACAGAGATGTGTGTGTGTGTGTACGTTCAGGGCTCAATTAGACACTTTCTAAGGCAAAAGAAGGTCGGATATATACTTCTTAGGGAAAGAGGAGGATTGCCACCCTAATTGATGTGTGATACTGTGCATACACCTCAAAGGGGGGAAATCAGAAGCGGGGAACCATTGACACAGTGTGAATGGCAAATGAATACGGCGATTTTACTGTTTTTAGCCCTAGACATAAAAAAGATCTTAGCGCAGGGCTCACATACACATGAATTCAATATCTGCACGTCTTTACTTCCCTTGCAAGAGATTTATTAGACGTATGTAGATCCGCGCAAGGATGACCGAGTGTATGAATCGAGTAGAAATACTGCCAACTTGCGCCCGCGCCTCGTTTTGTGTGTGTGTGTTATTGTTGATCGCCAAAAAAAAAGAAGAGAACAGAGCGGGGCCGTGCTGTAGAAACAGAAAACGCGCCTCCGCCCCGAGGAGGCGTATTGCAAAAGTTAGCGCCTAAGAATCCGCACCCTTTGGAGTACAAAGTGAGTAAGTGGCGTTGCTGCTTTACTTATTCATTTTCCGATAGGTGATATAGCTAGCAAAAATTGATCATATTGCATTTCTGTAGTGAATGTAAAAAGAAAGAAGGGGATAAAGGCAGCAAGTTCATCGCAAGAGAGAACTGCGCAATACAAAGAGGGGGTTTATACAAATTTAATGAGGGGAAGATCTAATTCCATTAAACATGATCATGACTCTGAAACGGAAGGCAAGGCGGCCATACGTAAACTTGCTTGCCATGCCACAATATCATCACAGCCATATCCTTTTCGTGAAGATGATTTGGTAGATCGTGCAATGGAATGAGAAGATGAATTGGTTGTTTGCTTTCCGTGACGTCTGCTTTCTCGGTCATGATCCCTTTCTCGTTCTTCGCGTACGACGTGACCGCTTCCATGACGCTTTCCGGTGCTAATGCCGCTTGCTGATCTTTGACGACGTGAAGTGGTTGACTTTTCCATACCAGTACGGCCTGGCAAACGTTTATCGGATGCGTTTGTAGTCTCTGTTGCTTCTCTACGTCGAAGATAAGTAGAGTCATTCTTACTTTCATCATGATCGATTATCGTCATCAGAGATGCATCACCAATCTTTGACGGACTCATTGACCCTTGCGGGAATGTAGGTGTGATCGGAGAAGGTGATCCAGCTGCAACCATACCTGTTGGCATCGCGCCTAAGGCTTGTTGCTGTTCCATCGTCATCCTGGCTTCCTCTGCATCTTCACGTTCGATACGTTTGGCATGAGCTGGTACAACGATTTCATCGTATTCAGCCGCAGTCAAAGTACGTTTCTGTTGCGAAGGTGATGCAGTGGTAGTAGGATAAGAGTCTAGCTTTGTGGAACGAGGGGCAGGTGCTTTGCTAGAAGCGGATTTAGAACGCTTCTTCCGTCTTGAACGACTACGAGTCGGTCTTGATTCAGAATCAGAAGTGAATGCACCTCCGATTATACTGCTTTCATATCCACCTGCGCTTGAATTAAGTTCTTGTCGCTTTGAACGTGCTTTTCGTCGAGCTGCTGCTGCTGTTGCCGAGCCACTTCGACCGCCATCGATGCTGGAAGCACTGCCTTCCAAAGCGTGACTGCGGGGATAAGGCTCTGCCCTTCTTCTGGTACGAGCACCAGAGTAGTCGCTTAAGTCATCCGCGTTGGGCACTTGCAAACTTTGATCACCACTCCTTTGCCGTCTTTCTGGTGGAACCGAAAGATATGAACCATTGGAGTAGCCGAGCAGTTTTTCGCTCGCCCATCTTGCCCGCCAGTCACCTGCTTGTGCTTGTTCGGATTTCTCCAAAGCCTGTAAAGCAGCCAAACTTGCTTGAACAGCAGTCTCAGCAAACGGTACTGCTTCTGGCGGTGCATTCTCCTCAAGCATTCTTTCTTCACGTTGAATATCATCATTCAGTACATCTTGCAAGGCAAATGGCGTTGAACGAGATCTTTGTCTGCGAACAATACCTTGAACAGGTTTTGCACCACCTTTTGCGGCTGGTAGGGCAACCACAGTAGATACGTCTACCACCTTTCCATCCCACGGTCCATCGCTTGACATCCAACTTTCACGAGCAGTAGCTGCAATGCTTTGTTGACTCAATCTCGCACCAACAGAACGACTGATTGTATGTCTTTCCATTGGAGGGGGTGAGCTAGATTGTGCAAGGGGAGAACGTGATTTAGAAGGCATAGATGATGCTCGTAAACGTGAATCTTCAGGTGGAGAGGTTGCTGTAGCTTTTGTTGAAGTGCTCCTTCGAGCAATCGCAGTAGCTGCGTTTGGCATGCCTCCCTCACCTGCATGCTTTTGCATCGATCCAATGCTGGTCTGTCCACCAGCGGCAGAAGTTGCAAAACTACTGCTGATGCTATTTGTACGATGAACAGAAGACATATCCGCTCTGGGTTCAGCAACAACTGAAGGTGCCGGCAATGGCCTACGTTCAGGCGTAGATGTGCCAGCCCGATAATCTGTCGTTGCATGTGTTGGAATTGCGATCATGCCCATCGATGCGCCACTATTGACACGATGATGAGAGAGTGCATCGAACGTACTTGCAGCTGAACGAGCGCCAGAACGATCATCACTTGCGATCCGACTTTCTGGTGTCATTATCTCTCGTACAGGAGAAAGGTTTGCATAATTGTTGCCTCTAGCACGACGTGGATCAATGATGGAAGATCGATAAAATTGCGAAGTAACGGCATTGTCCAGATCATCAGCTCTTGAACTTGCTTCTTGCTTATCATGAACCGTGGGAGCATAATCTAAATCATCAGAAAGAAGTGATTCTCTCGTATCTGTATTTGATACTCCAGCTTGTGATAAATCTACCACTCCAGCAGAGTAGACTTTTGGTCCGCGAATGGTATCTGTTTGAGATGAATCCCGTCTATTGTTGACGAAGTCAAGATCACGATTTTGTTCCATCGGTGAATAAAACTCCTCGTCTCCATCCAACGAATCAGAGCGGTCATTCTTCGACATATTTCTTGCCATTGTACCTACTTCATTTCCGTGCATGCCAGGAGAATTGGTAGAAGATGAAGAAGCATTTTGACTGCTTGAATCCGTCTTGCGTGAGCCTCTTCGATGCTTTCTAGGCGGTGGAACAGGGGCAGGGGCAGGAATAGGAGCCAACGAGGAAAAAGAAGAAGAGGAAGTCATTGAAACAGGAGCATTTGGTCCAATGAATGCTAGAGGTGGTGATTCACGGGAAGAAGTTTGTGCAATAGGGTGAACATCTTGAGTGCCTTTTTGCTCAACAGAAGATTGACTTGTTTCCGACATTCTACGCGCGTGTGTTACTCTATTAGACCAAGCAGGCGTCCAAGGTTGTTGTACTTTCTCAGGTCCGGCAATATTCATTGAAGAAAAATCTTCAGCCACAGGTGAAACAATTCCACGATCATCTTCCATCGGATCATCAACCCATCCTTGTTCTTCTTCAGAGATTTCGTTCTTGGCCTTTTCGTTGTTACCCAATAATCCTGTCACGCTATTCTTACGTGACCAAGGATTCCACCATGGTCCACTACCGCTAGATGCAATTGCAGTGGATGCACTTGCCGCCATAGGGGAAGAAGTACCTTGCGCTCTGGTAGAGCTAACCGCATGACTAGCAGCAGCTGTCCGTAAACTAGTATTGGAACTTCTTTTACTACGTGAACTACGACGGCTAGCGATACTTGCAGGTCTTGAATGACGAGCAGTAGCAGTGTTGGAACTGTATTTACGTTGCATTGAAGGCGCTTTCGTCGTGATCAAAGCAGCATCCTTGTTGTATTTGGTAACATTCACCTGCGAAGATGACCTTGGCATAGAAGAAGAGATCACATTTGTATCAGAAGAAGCGGTTGTAGGTGCAGCTTTGCGTGAAGGTCGACGTGCCATCTGATACAAACGAGCAGGAGAAGATGGTTGTCTTGTATGCCCTTGAGTCGATGGCTGCTTAGCAACAGAAGTTGATTCATACGTGAGATCACTTTCTCTACGCAATTGCACCACAGGTGATAACGGAGTTTGGGGCGTTGACACGGCCGGAGAAGGCGGGTCTATGCGATTGAAAGAGGGTGATCGGATCGATAAGACAGACGCATCTGAGCTCTTTCTCGTTCGATTCTTCAACCTTGCCATCAAGCTTAAGCTTAATGCCCTTCCACGTTTCTGTTGAGGCGATGAAGTGGCAGACGATGGAGGATCGAAGGAGACTGCAGCAGCGGTGCCATGTCCTTTCGGTGTAGCAGGAGGCTCATCCGTTTCAAGAATTCGTTGTTTGGGGTTCAACAAGTGCGAAGCATCTTCATCGATCTGGAAAGTAGGACCAGCACGCAACTTCTCTACGTGTTGATGTAGAGCACCTGTGGTGGAACTTAAGTGACTTTGATCGCTTGTCCTTTTGGACGTATTTCCGTCTGTTTCAGAGATACTGAAAGGTTCTGAAAGTCTTGCTTGCGTTCGTGTTGGTGTTGTAGGTGATGGTCCGAAATCATGATCAGGAACAGGCTTGCGATTTGGACGGGTGGGTGATGTGCCAGGTCGTCTTTCAGACTCGACGTCTTTCTCCTCCTGCCAGCCGGCATCTTGAATTCTGGTGTTCACCTCTAATTCAGATGAAGGTTTGGAAGCCCTGACAAGATTTAATTCATTTTCTGCTACAGGGGAAGCATCTTGGACATTCAATGGCAATTGTGCATCTAATGTATCGCTAGAATCAGAGATGCCCAAACCACGTCTGTCTTCCCAATGAGATGTCCATCTCCCTGCCACTTGACGATAAGGTGACAGATTTCTAGGCTCTCCCGGTGATCGAGCACCCGATCGACTAGAAGCCCAGCTATGACGGTGGGGTGATTGTTGAAAGGCTGGAGGAGAAAGATGTCCAGAAGCAGAAGTTGATGCCTGATTACGACTATCGGATGCTTGCCAGTAAGCCAACAATGTTTGTTGATTGGATTTATCGGCGGCTTTCCTAGCCAAACCTGAAGCAGTAGAAGGAGCAATACTTGAAGCTTCATAAGAGGCAGTAGTCATATCAGATAAGCGCTTGCCGTGTTGTTGAATGCCATCGTCGTCTGATGCTCGCAAAGGATGCAAGTATTCCCTTCGATCATTTTCATCTCTTCCTCCTGGATTCGCTGTAGCTGCATTTGAAGCTGTACGAATTGTCTCAGCAGAAGATCGTCTGCTGTCCATAATGGAATTTGCATCGGCTCCTTCAGTCTCAGGTAACTCTGTAATGCTTGGGTGACTAGGTTGAGCGCTTACTCGATACTCAGGACGAGGAGATGGGTTGGGCGAAGGTGATGCGCTTGATCCTGGAGGCGTTTGCCTTGAAGGAGGAGACGATCGATTGTCATTGACAGTAGCCCGATTCAAATTTGACATTCCTTGATCACTTTCGATACTCTGACGTCCGCCTGCTCCGAATATAGAATCTACATGTGCTGATCGAGCTGCATGTCCAGTATCAAATCGAGTGGGCAAGGTATTACTACGTGGAGGTGATTGACGCTCTTCAGCACTTTGTCGAACAGAAGGTGAATTGGTTGGAACACTTGTCAATGTGGTTGTCCATTCAGGATAAGCACTTATTCCAGCATCTTTAACGGGAGCATCTGAACGTGGAGAGAAACGTGGTTGCGGTTGTTCGAAAGGATCGATAAGTCTTTGTGAACGAGAAGCAATAGGTGGAAATTTTCCTTTGACTCTACTACGCATCGGCCCGATCAAACCACGACGACTGTTTGTATTTGTGGGATTATCGGAAACCACACGTTGGTTATTGCTCAACACTTTGTTTGCCGAAGATGTTGAACGTAATTCAGGCTGACTGGTAATCCTTCTATCATGTTGGAAATGTGCCGAGGCAGGGCCGTTTGATTGGGCTTGACCCATTTTGGTTTATGATGTTTTTGATCTCAAAGGCTGATGCCGTGAGCACAATTACTAATCATGCTCGATCGATTCGCACGCTATCTGTCCAAAGACGTGCGGATGTTTCAAAGTGATGCGAGGGGGTTTGCGGAAAGAGGGAAGGGGAGATGTTGTGATGAATGATGCGATTGACCAGAATTCCAAAGTGGATGCAAAGCTCAAATGCGCTATGGACTATGCACAAAGATGGCCGTTCTGTCCGAATCTTCCTCTGGTCCGGCCGGATGAGAGAGCGGATGTGACTACGACTTCCTCTTGACCACGATCCAGCGTGCGATTCGGTAATTGTAGCAAGCAAAGTAGCAAGCAAGCGAAATGAAAGTGGGTGGAGCTGCAGCAAAGGTGGATGTTAGCTTGCTCGGATGTAGCGCTATGGAAGCAATAGACGATGCAATGATGATCCTAGGAGGGATTGATCACAAAGGATGGATGTAGGGTGAGATTATGGATGCTTATCGGAAAGCTTTTCATGAGAATAAAGAAGCATACTTTGAAGTTCTGCTTTCCCGATACCCCTTTGGCCGAGCCCAAAATATAAAAAAAAGATGGATGGCTTTGGAAATAGTATATGCACCTCCCGTCAGATACATACAGATGTACGTGCTTCAACTTATTCACACTTACCTCTCGCACAACGCCGTCTTGTGTTGTTCTTTTTTCAATTAATCAGGGGGATAAACAGCCACAGTGTTAAGAATAGACGTTATGTTTGTTTGTATGCATTTTATCACTATAACATGCGATTTTGACTCGATGCAACTCTACTATACATGAATGCGTAAGAATTTATGGTCATCATCTTTTTATATACAATGCAGGATAGGAGTATCTTATTGTTCAAATACAATAGTCTGTGCATCGGACTATTAATATTTAATACTTTACGCCTTTATACCCAAGAAAAAAGGACGATGGTTTATACGCTAAAAGATATGAGACAGGTCGTGTGCCTGAATAGAAGGATTCAAGCATCAACTTCTAAATGAAAATGGAAAGTCTAGCTGCATAGTATGCCGAGTGTTTTTTTTGTTTAGCAGCCCCTAAGAAGAAAGGAAGATTAAAAAATATAGTTCAATTAATACTCTTGCGTACGATCCATGGACTTGGATAGATCATGGTATAGGATTGAATAGATATAGAAGACAATTCTCAGGCTATAGACAGAGACATGGAAATAAAGTGGTATCACCTTTAAAGACAGCATAGCATCCTTCTTTAGCGTCATGAACGGAGCCGCATGCGTACAAGATATGCATCTACTATTCTGCAATGCATCCATACTCGTTGTACAGATGATGAACTCCTATATATCCCGTATGTATACAAATCTGCAGACAACTCCGAACAATTACCACATTTCCGATGTAGTCCAAGATGTGGACTACTCGTGCTTATGTAAGCAAGCTCAGCTTTCAGCCCTTGCTCTTTATTAATACATCCTCATATAATATTACATTATAAGCACTTCAAGGTTTGAAATTGAATTAATAATTGAAGCCATTCGTAATTAGATCCGGGGTGAGCCTATATAACCCTGCATCCCGTTTAATATCTCCGAGAATTAAAACAAGCAATGTTTGTGACTTTTGTACTCTCTCAGGCTAAAAGGGAGAGGTGGCTTGGGAATGAATTAAAAAAGCAAACAATCAGTGCCTAGTTTCAATCTCAGCAGCCAGGGCAGGGCCAAGACAGGATATGTCTTTTGCGGATAGAGACAGCAAGGAGTGGAAGAATAAAGTCGCCGTATATGCCGTAAGGGAGAGACGCGCAGGCTCTATGAACACACTGACTTTGTGCCTGATTTTAAAACGCCTTTTGCAAAGTTCGTCTACCTTCGTTCCAAACTTTTGCCATCCAAGAAAATTCGGCCGTGTGGATGATATGCATTCCTTCATACTTGGCTTAGCTTGCATTACGCCAGCATGTAAAAAGACCAAAAGATTGGATAGGTGGAGTACTGAATGAATGAATGAATGAATTACCTTTATCCGATATAGAAATAGTGTTGGGTTATTTGTATTGCAGGTACACACACATTGAAACTTTATTATTGTGTCAAAGTTTCAAAACTTGTGTATATGCACACACACACACACACACCAGAGGTTATAAAACCAATACCCCGGTACATCCACTTTTTGACATCCTTCCTTCCATCCACAACAAACAAACAACTCACACACAATGGCTTCTGAACAACCAGCTCAAACTCCTCCTTCTCCAACCCAAAAGGCCAAGGGCTTCTTCGGTTTGGGTAAGAAGGATGGCAGTAAAACACCTACTCACAATGTCGCACAAACTCCATTATTGGAATCAGGTAACCCTCTAGACAAGGCACACGTTCCAACAGAAGCACGCAATCAAGAGATTGTCGGTCAACAAGGCGTTCACGTTGAAGAGGGTCAATCAAAGATTTTATTGGCTTTGGATGGAACGGAAGCAGGTGATAAAGCATTCCAATACATCTTAAACTCAAAAGTTCTATCAAATCAAGCACACATCTTTGTTGCAACCGTTTTGCCTGCTCAAGTTTTGAGCGGTCCATGGGTTGCAGGACCACTTTCGATCGATACAAAGAAACAAAACGAATTATTAAAACAATTACGTGCTCAAGCATTGCAAAAATTACAACCTTATCGTGAACAACTGAAAGCAAACGGATACCAATGCACTTTGCACGTCTTGCACGGTGATGCACGTCAATCTTTGATTCGTGTCGCTCAATACCACCACGTCAACTTGGTCGTCGCCGGTAAACGTCACCGTAAGGGTCTTTTGCAATCAGGTGGCGGTGCAACCAGTAATCACTTGGTTCATCATGCACCTTGCCCAGTTTTGATTATCAAATAAAGCAATTCTTTTCGCGCTTTCTAATGATGCAAGAAATATATCCGTAGCCGTTTCTCACCGCTCTCAACAACTTATCTTTTTTCTACTTCGCTTTACAAGCTCTTGCTTCATTCTTTCATCATTATCTTGTACAAATTGAAATCAAAAATTGTTCAAATTATCTAGAAAACAAAAGGTTTTATTCTCAACTATCAAAGTTACAGAAATGCAGGTATAATATCATCTGCCACCTTTGGTCTTGCCAACAGAAACAGGATCATATTTGTCTTTATGGATCCATGATAATCCAACGGTATCGTATCCTTGTGCTTCTGCCATTCGATAATACATCGCGGCCTTCTTTAAATCTTTCTTGCATCCTTTTCCTGCTGCTAACAAAGCACCTGCTTCTGCTTGTGCGTCCGCATCACCCAATTTAGCCGCCAATTCGAAATACTCCAATGCCATCTGTCTGTCTTGCTTGACGCCCCAACCATAACAGAAACATTTTCCAAGTTCATAAACTGAAAGTTTCAATTCCGATCGAATCGCTTTAAGTTCAGCTTCATTTCTTGTTTTTCCATTACTGGTTGCCATCAAATCACCCGCCCTTGAAGCAGCTCTACTGATCCATTCAAATCCACGCTTTTGATCTTTACGTACGCCCCAGCCTTCACGCAAGGCCATTCCCCACATACACATCCCTACCACACATCCACCTTCAATCTTTGCACTACGTTCAAAGTAAAATGCACTTCTACTCAAATCTCCCGATTCGTGATGTGAAATTCCAAGCGTTAAGAACTTTTCTGCTTCACTTTGTGCTGTTTGATTAGGTGCACTTGTTCGTTTACCCGCCGCACCAGAATTGGACGTTGTCGAAAGTGTTCCTTTTCCTGTGCCGCTATTCAAAGTACTTGTAGTTGACAGATTTGTTGATCGCATAGAAGGTGACATTAGCTTGTTCGTTTGCATCATAGGCGAATGCACCGGGCTATTCTTTGCCCATGGAGCTGGTGAAAGGTTCGGAGTAGCATAATTCGATCGTGGACTTTGCATTTGATTGACAGGCGGAAGTCCTTGATCTTCCGGTAAGGTATTACTTCTGCGAGGAGGTGGTGGACCTCGAATGAGTGGATCGCTTTTCTCTCCAGTAGGACTAGGGTGACTAACGTTACGCTTCAACAAACCAGATCCGGCCATTGAAACGCCATTATGACCTTGAGGAGCATGTAATGATTGCTGTTGCGCTGCAGGATGACGATAATTGTCATACATACCCTGTGGTTGCTGTCCACGAATGGTGGAAGTGCTTGTTCGTTTATTTTGTCCGTCAAACTCTTCTTGTTCCATTTGCGATCTCCTCCTTCTTTGTTCGTCCAAAATGGCTGTGTCCACTGATCCAATCGTACTGGTACTACCACGCCTAGAATCCCATTCATCACGACTTCCTCCGGCAATACTACTTCCATCCAAACGTAGAGTTTCAACGTCCAAATCTGACACCATGGATTCTCTACCATCATGATCAGCGATCGCTTTTTGTCTTGCTTTACCGAATGTTTCTGGAGGAGCATAGAACGAATGTTGATTCGGGTCGCTGTAACCGGCATATGGCTTGCTATCAGGATTGGCTGGACTAGCATTACCCAAGGCGCCATACTGCATCGTATTTGATGGATTGAAATGATCAGCCTGTGTAAGCAAAGCAGATGGACTTAAAGGCTTGGCAGGTGATTGTTTGTGATTCATTTGCGGTGAAGGCTGTTGTTCATGGGGTGGAGAAGCATACTCCACCGTTGCGCTCTGACCGACTGCCAGTTGTCCAACACCAGGAGAAGCTCGTAAGGTATCACTTCTATTCACACGAACGTGATTTGCTGCTGAGCTACCCCTTTCACTCACAGCAGGCGTAGGAGGCCAAACTTTCACATGTTGATTATTGCTGTAAGATGTCGCTTCTGAGCCTTGCAAAGTGCTTACTGTTGCATTACTGTCATTCCGTTTGTGAAGTGATTGTTCACTCTCTGGCACTTCACCAATCTCACCGGAAACACTCATGATGGTATCCCTTCTGGCCAAGTCTGATTGAGGCTTGGCATGAAGACTGTATTGATGGACAGATGGACTTTGCGATGGGCTGTGTCTAGATCTGCTTTGATCTTGTAAGGTAGGTTTGTGCGTTGAAGTGAGATTGACAGTATGCATCGCATTGGTAACATCCTGTACGCGGGGCAAAGCCATATTCTGAGCATGAGACGTATTCAATACTTGTCTCTGATCTGTGTGTTTAGCCATTGACTCTGCACCACTTCCGTTCATCGCAGCTCGAGCGCCTTGCAAATTGCCAAGTTCACCCAAAGCACCCAAACCAGTTTGAGCACCTGTAGATTCGAAATCAAAAGTGGACATATCTCGCGTTCGCATTGCTTGTAGATCCATCTCATCCTCCTCTTCATCTTCTCCATCATCACTTCCTGCCCATGCCTGTGCCCAACGACCACCTTCGCCAAATTCGCTACTTCGAACAGTATCCAGTGAAGGTCGCCTTCGCATTGCTAAGCCGCGAACTTCTCTTGCAATTCGATCTGCATCATTTGCAAAACCGTCCATGCTGGATTGACCATCATCGTCGACTGAGTTATTACCACTACCTCCTCCACCAAAGTTGTTTAGCATCATCATACTCGAACGATCTTCGGCACCTGAAATACTATTGAATGAAATATTTGACGCAATAGAATCTCTGAATGCATTCGAGAGAGGTGCATTTGATTCGTTTTGTTTTTGGCCAGGATGATTTGTGAATGTTTGTTGTTGACTTAATCTTGCAACTCTTTGATTTTGAACTTGATCATTGATCGAGTAACGGGATCGTTCTTTTTCCTTTGAGGCTGTATTCACGTTTTGAGAGCCTAGAGATGAAGGCGTAAAATGAGCATTGGTCCGTGTATCGGAATGTGAAAATGGGGCCGCGGAACCGTTATACTCCTGACGAGACTCATTAGTAGGTGTGTGAGGGTATGCGTAACGTTGTTGCTCGTCGCTATGACCGACTCCTATCCTTCTGCCTTGCTGATGATATCCATGCACTTCATTACTGTTGCCATACTGTTGATCATTTCTCACCTGCTTAAGAGGCTGGGAAGCAGAAGGAGATGGATAAGCTGACTGTTGTCGATAACCAGACAATCCGGCTGTATTCCTTCCGTCACGAGGTACGGCGGCGCCGTCAAAGTAAGATCCCGCTTGAACGATTTGTGGTTGTTGTGGTTTCTTGACGGATGAGTTTCTTGTTAAAGTGACAGCACGTTGAAGTAATTGAACGCGAGAAGAAGGTCCTGCCTGAGCTTCATTGATGACTTTATCTAAAGGTGAAGAGAATGCAGGAGGTTGGGTATGATAAGGTGAAGGCTGAAAGCCAGAATGAGCGACCATTGTTCTATGGAATTGTCATGCTTTTTTGTTCTTGATTGATTGGGTATCTATCAGAAAGATTCGATTGAATCCGAATCGAGAGTGTATGGGATGGAGGAAGGAGATGGTCAAGAAAGAGAGCTTTGACCGCACATATGCACAACAACTAGAATAGATCGAAAGACAAAAATACCTGACACCGCTCTAAAAAAGCGTTTGCCCACACACACACACAAAGTACACCTCTTATTTTTCTCGGGAACGGAAAGGCGCGTTTTAAGGTTTAAGTATAGATACACTACATTACACTGTACATTGACCGATTCGGTGTTTGTGTAAAACACGGATTTTTAAAGTGCTTCTGCATAGAAAAATGTCAATAGGCACCTGCTTCGAAAAAAAGGGGGGATTAGGATCATAGCGCTGATCCGCGCCATAGAGTAAGAGGGAAATGAATTGCTCTTCTTTAAAAAGAGGGCTCGATTCATTCCACTTACTGTTTGAGTGACTACCAAGCCAATCAAAGGTATGTAAAGAATTGCCAAAAAATATAAATTCCCCATGATCCGTTGATTGCTTTTGCTTCTTCGCTAGCTTCTTAGACTTCTTTCCCCCCCCCCTTTCTCTTTATCACCCTTTGAATCCTAAATATAGACTGACGCGTTCTTCCCTCCCTAGTACGCGTAAATCGGAGACTGTTAGCGTATCTTTTTTTTTCTCGTGTATACAGATACTTTCGCTATTCTTATGTCGATTGGAATGCCCATGCATCATGTATGTACTGCTATGCAAGCAATCTTTCTTGCTCTTTTCTTTTTCGGTTGCGACATGCATTCTTGCATCCTTACTTATTCTTACTTTGCTTGGCAATACTGTGTATAAATGGGTGCTTTTCTTAGATCACTCGACATTGTTATAGATACGAATCAATTGTCCAAAGCTAAGAGTGATTATAGGTACATATATGGGAAAAAGATTCTACTGTGAAAGATAAGAGGGAGAGAGAGAGAGTATGTGTATATAGAAACAGATATGATTACCATGATCGATCTTTGCGCCACAAACGGCCAAGTTGACGTCCAATCCAAAAGTACAAACATCCAACAAATCTGAATGCAGTCAATCCAAACGTAGACCAAAGGATAACGGCAAAATAGATGGATTGTTTGTTACTCTGAACTTCTTGGATTTGTTGTTGCGTTTCATCACCGCTATATCCGTTCACATTCTCGATCAAAACGATCAAAATTCCATTTGTCAATAACCAAAATGCAACCAAACGTGTTCGGAACGTTCGATTTCCATCATCCATCGTTGGCTTTTCAATAACCTCTGTACGTACAACAGGTGCAATCGCACGACTGACAACTTGTTTGAACGTTGCATCGATATCCGCTTGTTCTCGTTCAATTTCTTCTACCGTTCCTGCTTCTTGACCAGGCTTGTCTTTCTTGGTATCAACGGTAGGTAATGCATCTGCTTTATCGCTTCCCTTCGTACCCCAAGAAACATCGTGCAAATTGCAAAATGCGTACACGTTGAGGATATTGATGAAAGAAGGAGCAATCAAGAGGTACTGCGGGAAACTGGTAAACATATGCCAAGGATCGGCATACAAGATTGAAGCCAGCATATAAATACCAAAAGTTGCTGCGAGAGCGGCTAAAAGCACACTTGTTTCTCGATGTGCAAAAAACTTTTCATAAAAGTCTCCCGGACTGTTTTCTGCCGCTTCGATACCTTTGATCGTTAAAACAATTGCGACGGTTGTGAGATAAGCACCCAGACAAGCAAATACGATAAAGCTTGCTATATACGTTGCTTTCTCTCCCTTAGGTCGATTACCGAGAGCGAGGACGAATTGTAAGACGATGAAGAAAATGTAGATCCACTTGCACGCAGAATTGATCCAATGGAAAACGATTAATAAAGTCGGCTGCCCTTTCAACAATTCTGTAGGCAAAAAGTTGATAATGATGCTAAATGTGAGCCATAAATTTGCCAAGGCGAACCAAGAGAAGAGTAAACTGAACGCATTGTATACCGCTTGAATGTGGAAGAAGAATAAACGAAGGATGTTGTGATCAGATTTGTAGATACGGAAAAAGTGGACCAAAGAATAGATTGAAGCGGCGAAACTACCGTTAAGCCATCTTCTGCGTTGTGAAATCAATTCGGCTGCTCCTTCAGGTACATCAGTTTCACCTTTGGAAGGCTTGACATATGTCAATGTCCATTTGTCTCCAGCTTTGGCCACCAATTCGAAACACAAGATACGATCTTCTGCCAAGAACATGTTCTTTTCAAAGATACCCATTCCATGCAAACCCTTCTTGCCCAATCGTTCAGCAAGCGTATGATCACCGTGGAAATATTGACCTAATGGACGTCCTTGAATAGCTCTGAAACGGTAAGCACTAAATGCACCAGGCAAAACGCTCACATATCCAAATGCTGATTCGAGTGGCTTATCGAGAATGTTGGACATCTTGTATTCAAAATTTTGTGCTGCAACCAATGGATTGATCAACTTACGACCACTTTTGATCATAGCATGAATTTCACCACAAGCACCTCCGAGGTTTGCATTGTTGTAAAAAGCTTCCCAAAGGTAGTAGAGACTCTTGTGTCCTGGCTTGGTTCCGGCATCGATCAAGATGCATACTTCAGGCTGCAATTGACGACCGAGTGCGTTGAACAACCAACGATGACTGTTAATCTTTTTGCTATTCTTTTGCTTCAAAACGAAGATCATTTGAACGGGCACGAGATTGTTGGGATCCTCTCCATGTGGTTGGACCAATTCCGGCGAAGGAGTAACGGAAAGTTGGGTGGTATATTCAAAAATGTGAGCAATAGTTTCTTTTCCGTCAACCTTTCTTTTCATCACACCATCTTGATAAACACCGACAGTTGCCAAGAGGTCCAATACTTCCTTATCACAAGGGTCGATACCATCAAAGACAAGAGAAACGACGATTCTTTGCCAACCAGGTCGACCTTCTTCTGCACTTCTTTTCCAGAATTTAGAAGCTTTACTCTTGCAGATGTCACGAATGTTGAGCATAACACCGTGTAATGTACGTGCAAGTAAGGTACGGTCTTCGTTATAGTAAGTGATTGCGATCAATAATTCTGTGTCACGCTGATATTGCGATGTTGTGCGCAATGTCCAGCCATTATCGGGTGTGAACTCATCGGGATCGCAGGTAGCTGCAGTATAGCGCATATGCGAGAATTCGTTTGTGCGTGATCCATTTAACCATTTAGGTTCAACACTATTGCGAACTGCCGTTGGAACATGATGTTCAACCACCCAATTTCCTCGGGTCAATTTGACTTTACGTGTCAAACCTCTCTTTGGAGCTTGTTGTCTTTTCATCCATGCAACTTGACTTGCACTATCATCTGGTCCAAGTTCACTTCCGGCAAAAGCAGTGGAAGCGTTATGCATTCCATGCATTCCATATGGTACAGGCATCATTGGATATGCTCCTTCATCGCTTGAGCCATTGCGACCGTAAGCAGACATGGGAGGATAATTTCCAAACTTTTCTGTAGATTGATTGAGAGGTACTTTTTGATCATCTTCAAGTTCGTATGTAGAGTGATTGCCTTCAATGCCATGGGTGATGAAACCGCTAGCATAACTTGGATTACCATCTGCCACATGATAGAATGGATTTGAATTATCCATGGTGACAGCGCCTGTAGGTAATGCACGAGGAGGTTGAGGAGGAGGGCCACGGAATCCTGAAGCTGGTTGATTGTATGATGGTTGATCGTAGCCGTTTGAGGTGTTGCGAAGGGGATCGCGTGGCTGTTAAGAAGAGGAAGAGAAGGAAGAGTGAGTTAGATGTTTCTATTTAATCAACAAAACGCATTGGTCGCGATTTGTATCTAGTCCCTATAATTTGGGACAAAATAATTGACGGGGCGGTGTGATAATTCATTTGCATCGTCGGACTTCCAATGAATTCATGCGAGTAACCGTGCGAGCGACTATCATTGATCAAAACATATCACCGCCCCCTCCGATTCAGCCCGCAAAATGTGACTTCATGTAAATGATACTCACTGCTTGTGATCTTCCATTTTGCGCAGCAGCCGGATAGACTTGTCTTCGATTGTTGTTGTTGTAACCCGCTGCTCCTCCTCTTCCACCACCTCCCTGGCCATTTGGCCTTCCGTTTGAATTCATTGAAGGTCACCTAAAAGACTGTATGTGTAAATGATTTGAGAGAAATGATGATGGTGGTTTATGGTTAAATCGAAGCAAATTGAAGCGAAGAACAGGAAAGCAAATCGATCGTTCCTTTTGATGTTGACATGATTGGGAAAGGAAAGTTTTGGATTAGCAACATTCAACCAACAACAAAACAACGCTAATCATTTCAACAACTCACCTTCTAATTATTCTTTCCGACGGCGAATTCGAACGAGGTAAGCTTGCTTAGAGTAGATGATCGAAGAGCAAGCGTAAGAAAACTAAGGCAACGAGTCTGATTTGGTAGGAAGAGAGATCATCTTCAAAGCCAATTGAATAGGAAAAAAAGGGATTGAGTATAGTGTGATGTATCGCAATGCATAAACAATCGTCATCAAAAAGCACCAAATTTGAGTAATAAATTTAGGCACATTTACAGTCCTTTTGTTTAATTCCCCTTTTAGACTGCATTCTTTAGAGATTTTTTGGTAATCTTCTTGAAAGGCGTTAAAATTAACATCAATTGCAGCACATCAACACTGTACGGCGAATAGCCCTTTGTGTTGTTAGTGGTGGTCCCCCTTTGTGCCGTGCAGATTGATTTTTTAAGGCCTTTCTCTCCTTCAACACCTACACGCGTGCCTTTTTTGGCAGTTTTGCTCTGTTGAATTCTACTCCCCGCAATCCAATGAAGTATATCATTCATTCCCGCATACAACGCCCTGCTTCTTACGCGTTTAGCCTACTCAAACCGCGATAAGGCACCTTCGGCTCGTACGCGGCAGATTCCAGTGCTGTGTACGGCACGCTTGATTGTCGTTCGATAGATTGCGTCGTCGGAGTTCCATAACATGACGATCATCAATTTCACAATGAGATCATTTGCAAGATAATATTTGTGTGATGGTATATTAATGCATTGAAGCATTTTTGTTGTGCTATAAAAGTACAATGTGTGAATAAATAAATAGAAAGAATGATGAAAAAGTGCAAGAAACGTTGTTGGTATATGATGAATGAAAACACATGACTTGTCGCTATTGAACTCAAGATCGTTTATTGATATTGACTGAATGAGTCACTCCTCCTTTGCTTACTCGATTGCAATCGACTGCTACCCTATGTACAAAGTCTAAACTTCTTTGTAATCTTGCATTGCTTAAACTTTGAGGTGGTGTATTTGCATGTAAATCTCGCAATAACAGCAAATAACGTGGAATACGTTGTGTTGGCATAATCACAATATCCATCGCCGTGAGCTTTTTCAAATTGCCATTCGTTGCACCTCCTGAACGACTATTTCCTCCATTGGATTGAACAGGCGGAGTTGGAGCTGCACTGCTAGTACGAGAATTGAAGCCTGTCCATGCGCTCGGTATGATTGGTATACCATCATTACCTCCCTCTAAAGAAGATACTGAAGATGCCAACGTTTTACTCTTTGTTCGATTCGCCAAACTGGATGACAGTCTCCTCTTGGCATTCATGGGTGATGCAGTGGCAGATGATGCTGGAGAGGAGGTTTTCGAGAGTAAAACTTGTGTCTTGTTGAGAGGTGCTTGCTCCAAATGAGATGCAGATGGAAGTGGATTGTAAGCCGACTCATCTGTTGTTGCTACTGCTGCTGCTGCTGCTGCTTGGGCATTCAATGTCGAGGACGAAATCTTTTTGCGTAGTGCAGCGGCCATAGATGGTGTCATGGAAGAAATCGTACTCCTTCGCTTTGATGGGATTCCACTTGTTGCAGCAGCAGATTGTTCTTCCATTGCTTTAAATCCATTGTGAACATCCTCAGAGAATGTAATTTGAGTAGGCGATTCAATAAACGCAGACGTATCTGCAGATATTGCCATTGACTCCTCGGTTTTGTTCATATCAAACATCTTTTCAAGAACACTCTTGCCTCTTGTCGGAGAAGATGGAACGGATTTAAAACCGGAGAGGTCATCCTTCTCATCTTCCTCCTTTCCATTTTGTGCGTGATGTGCGTGGATGAGATGTTGTGGCGATAGAATGGTGATCAACCCAATTCGATTTCTCGCTTTGCCTTTCGGTCCTTCACTTATCCGTAGAGCATCCATAATATCCTTCACTGCAGAACTCCAAGCAACAAATGTAGCTTCCATTTGATGGCCTACAAGTCTGAAAGCAGAACCAACTCCAGCAGCCGTAGGATTTTCATCGATTCGATTTGCCAATGTGCGACTCAAAGTGATCAATTGAGGTAAAAGATTGCGCATGATCACAAGATGTTGTGGAACAGGAGAAATTTGATTTTGTCTTGCATTTGCCATAGCCGAAGTCATCATCAAAGTGGAACTTTGCATCCTACGTGATGGAACTGTAGCTATATCCATTTGACGAATGGTTGCCAATAAAGCTTCCAAGTGAGATGCATAACTACGTTCTGTCAAAACAATTTCACGAATGACAAACAGTGCTTTCACTTCCTTTTTCCAATCTTCATCATTGATGAAAGCTCCATCACGTAATTTCCCACTTGCTTTGCCCACACCAAGCTCAAGTGGCGATGGTCTTGTACCTCTTGCAGGGCTGAATGATTTGATTGGGGATAGTGGACTTTGACTATGTTCGCTACTGCTAGTTGGTGAAGCTAAATTTTCTAGATGAGCACCTGCGCTCGATGAACGTTGACGAATAGGCGATAAGGATCGCAAGCCTACCGGAGATGTTCCAGGAAGGCCAGACGGTGAATCATTCCGTCCAGATTGTGAATGCCCGTCACTCTGCTTTGACAGGGATTGCTTGCGCTGTCGTTGTTGTTCATCCTTCTCATCGCGTTGCTTTTGAATGCGAGCTTGATTCAATTTACGTACTTGTTCAAGCGCTTGCAAGAATTCATGATCATCAGCGATGCTCAACGTTGGCTGTCTTGTATTGATCACAGCCCGTACATGCGAACCTCTTTCAAGGTTTGCAGACATTCCCATTGCTGAAGATGGCCGTTTGGGTAAGCCATTGGCAGCAATGGAAGATGCCAAATCTGTATCTACGTTCAACGAAGGCTTCCGCCCATGTCCACGATTCTTCGTAGGTACCTCTTCAGCCTCAGTCGGATGACCATTAGAAGATGTCGAGCTTCGTCGCGTCTGGTGGATCGAAGAGATTGAGGATGACCTTGGTGGTAAGATTGAAAGCGATGCAGGTTGTTTGGAGTGGGTCTTGCTGCTGCCTGACAATGAACGACGATGCTTGGGCGCAGAATGAGACATCTCGACATTCTTGAGCAGACTTGAATCACTCTCAGAAATTGTCAAAGGCGGCAAACGATCTGCACGATAGGACGAAGGCGGTGAAATTGTCGAGGAACGTTTAATGTTTGACGGATTGGATATAGCTTTAGGAATGCCATCCATGCCATGGAAAGAAGACGAAGCAGAATGAGCAGATGCATATACAGTACTCTCGCTGACATCACGACTGACTGTGTTACTCCTCGAACGGGATCGGCTAACGAGAGGTTCAAATACTTTGCCCAGGCTGATAGACCGTCTATGCGTAGCAAGACTGCTCTTGCTTCGAGGAGGTCCTTGCGGGACGTCAGGCTCGATCAATGTGACAGTGGTACCTCGACGCACGCTTTCTTCCGCGGTCTGTAGAGGTTCAGTAATGACATTTGCTTCTGCTTCACCATAAGATTGTTCGTCTTTTGTTCCCTTTTCTGGGGCTTCCAATGACCTCAGCCTTGTCTTTGGTGATTCGATTGCGTTCGCCATGCGACTAATTACATCCTCATCACCGCGTGATAGAGCTTCAGCTAACTGAGCTGCTTCGAAGTGCATGTATGACATTGCTGGGCTACGCTCCGAGACTTCCTTTTTTGCAATCGGTTTGCTTTCCCACCAAGCATCCGCTGAGATTTCCAACGTATCCTTTGGCGGTAGCTTCGGAGGCACTTCGTTGATGCTAGAATCTTTTATACCCAACTCGGCCAATGTTCCTGCTGAAACTTGTGCAGCAGAAGTCGAAGCAACAGCCTTCTTGCGAAGCGAGCCAGCCAAACGTGACCACGGTCTTTCCGGTACCTCTTTAAGCTTAACATCAGCCTGCTTCAGCTTTGTCGGTTCAATTTCAAGCACAGACACTGTGCCCACAGCCAAGCTTTTGATCGCTTCCGGGTGAGAATGTACTTTGCTGGCTACATCATCAAAACTTTTACTGCGCGTACGTAACAGCTTTGGCCTTGGACGTTGCAATTTTCGACTTGCTTCTGCGATGGCTGCTGCAACTGTATCGGACTCGCTCACTTGTTTTGCACTCGTACTAGCTTTTGGAGCTGTACCGAAATCATTCTTCAACGCTGCTGCCGTATGTAAATTTACGGACGAAGTCGGAGCAAGACTGCTAACGCTGAACGAGCTAAAGTGACGAGATAACCTGTGAGACCTTCTTTGACTTTGTTGAAACATTGGTCTCTCATTGTACAAGCCGGGCGATGAATCTGAATGTGACGAGATAGAAGGCGATGGTAAAGGCGTATTTTGATTAGACATATTTCCAGAAGAATGTGAAAATCGACTGCTTCCGGCAGACTTTTCTCGATTTCGACTTTGCCTGTTCAAAATACCTTTACCAAACCTACCAAAAGGCGAAGAAGAACGTTCGATCGAATCTGGAAGAGGAAGGTTTGATTGCGAATTATTTCGTGAGCCGGACATGGATGCTGCCACATGAAGAGAAGAGCTATTTGGCGATGCAGTTCTAGATGGCAAAGATGTATCCGATTCGCGTGCACCAGGTGAATGGTCGGGCGTCCACGGAGAAAGTTGACTGTCTCTGCTATACATTGAAGTTCTGAATAGTTTTCCTGATTTGTTCAAGAATGATTTGAAGCTAGATCGTTGCGTTGAATCTTCGTCAATGGTATCCAGATTGCTCGTGGATCCGTTCAAGGAAGGTAAGCCACTCAGACCTGGGGTATATGCCTCATCCGTCGTGCTAATACTTAAGGCTGGAACGGATACAGTAGAATGGTTATTTGATGATTTGTGATCATCCGAACTTGTTGCCTCGCCTTTTGGGACGGGAAGAGGTTTGTTCCTATGTGCTAAAGATGAAATTGATGGGCCAAAAGATTGTATTGTATCGTGACTTGATCGACTAGGGATGACTTCTGTACGAAGAGCAGGAATGCTCTTACCATCGCTGTGAGTCTCTTGTGACTTTATTGCATCCTCTTTCGACTGACTCTTGTGCGAATGTACACTATGTTCTTCTGAGCGTTCAGAGGTTGTATCTCTCACTGTCGTAGCGGGCGACATTACCTCTCTCACACCATCTTGCTCTTCTCCATTCTCTGCTGATCGCATTATAGAATCCAATGAGACTGAATGCTCTATGACGATCCTTTCCCTTGATTCCATCACAAATGCTTCTCGAGCGGGAGATACTTGAGGTTGTACTATGTTGATCGTATCCGACGTACTTTCCCTCAATTGTGAGCCACTACTTTCTTTCACCATATAGCTGCTCGCATTTAACTCAGTTTCTGGACTTGTTGGCGTTGTTGAGGCATTACTGGAGCTACGTGCAAGACCGGCATATGCGTTTGCATTCTCATTTTGCTTGCCAAGCGAGCTGTTTGTCGATAGAGGAGGAGCACTTACGGAAGATGAGGTGCCACTTGAAGGTGGTTGAACATCAAAAGGAGAACCACTTCGACCTGTTGAGGAATGATGTGTATCGTGGGATGTGGTATGTGAAGTATGAGAGCGAAAAGATCTCGATCTCTCTTTATTGGTGAATGCTGTACTTGATGAATGCGCTAACCGATCATCGTCTTCGTCTGAGTTTATTTGTGATGTACTTTCTTGATCTTGTGTAGCTTTGATGTATGGTAAGATGGGAAAGTAAGGTGTTGTACTGGTTTCACCTTTTTCGTATGTTGGAGATGGTCGAGTTGCGGTTGGTATGATTCCATTGGTTTCGATATATGATGGAGAAGAGGGTGCGAATAATTCCAGAGGAGGACTTTGAGCGTCATGAAATGCGACACTGTTATCGCTCGTACTACCCGTACTGAATGTTGGAAGCATTGATGTTGATAGACCGATTGTCGAATTACTCTGACTGCTTATTGTTGTACTTCTATCCGCTGTACGATCATCGCTTTCGCAAGGCATGCTTGCGCTGTGCCTCATGATTGGCGACACAGTATGAATTAGGGATATTTACTTGATTTGACTTGACTTCATTGGAGGAAAGAGATGATCAATTTGATGACTTTGAAATCTTTCGCGTTCCTATTTGAGATAGTGGCCACGTGTATGTGTGTGTGTGTGATGTGATTGTTCCGTAAATCTGTCTTTGAATTAGCCACTTTTATAAATTAGGAGTTGATGATGATGATATTATCTTGATGAAGTTAAAGAAGGATGATCACAATGCATGAAATACAAATGCAACCTCTGTCATTACAATCGTGTGCCTGTGAATTGAAAGAGATTAGATCCTTGATTTACCCTTAGAGCAGCAGAGGATGGGAACTTGCATTTCATTTTTACTGCATTTAATCACCAAACAATAAATATTATCTTAAGCGGCGGGATAGAAAACGCGCTAAAGATGATGGAATTAGAAAGGCAAAAAAGCACACCCTATTCTTGATGAGAGTGGAATGGTGCTTAGGATGTACAATCACCTCCGCCTTTGAAATTGTACATCGCATTTCGGATAACACCGCGCCACACCGCAGGAGACACACACGCACAATGGGCAATCAATCAATCAATCTGACTTTGAATTCATTTAGCGTATTCTTCATTTGTTTGCAGAGTTTTTCAATTCATTGTTCATTCCTTTCACATCCGGTTATAATTCGATCATAAACGAGCATTACAAAGCGATATAATCCGCAATTGATTAATCAATAGATAATAATTATAGTCAATATCTGTATTCAGTCATTAGCCCTCCTTCCCCCACTTACTGCGATAGGATGTCGATCATAGAATTTAGATGGATTTCTATTTCTGTCTAGGACGCGTGTTGTTGGGCTTGTGTACCCTTTTCTCGTTTCGTCTGCCCCTTTAACAGGGTACAATAACGTCAACACGTCAAGATGCGGTGAACAATCGAGAGAGAGGAAGGAAGAACCCCTTTATAGAATTGACAATGACATTTAGCGCGATCAAAGGTATGAAAGCGGTAACAATCAAATGCGAACATTGACGTATGGCTGGATTGACGTAATGTACTATTTTGATAGATTGAGATTCTACCGATAGATCCGAGAATGTGGAACTCATTGATTTTATGAATCAATTAGCCGTTGTATATGCATTACCGGCAATCAAAAGATACTTGTTTGTCTTGTTCTCGCATGTGTTGTGACATGTATAAGTCGTTTGAACATAAGTGTGATAGGTCGCAGAACGTATATGTGGGGAAGATGGATACTGCGGGGGCTAGGACAAGAGAGCTTTCCCTATCAATCAAGTGCTTTTAAAGTGACCCGCATTACAGCATAAAAATTACGATTTTGCAATAATCTCAATTAAGTGAGGTCTTATATTGAACAACGCTTCAGTCTTAGCTTGGGAAATCCTTTCTCATTAAATTGAAAACATGAAAGGCAAAAGTATACTCTATGTCATTTTTTAAGTGTTATTTTTTATTTTTATTGATTGTCATTATGCTTTTTACGGATTTATATTCATATGAACGTCATTTCTTTCGGGGAAGGACATGAATTTTCAAAGCACAATATGACAGCGAGATTATCTTTTCATGCTGTTAACGTTGTATTCAGGATTGTCTGAAATTGTCAATAATAAAGAATATCATTTCATTTATATAAATTCAAAATCAATACAAAAAACTTTTGTCAAATCAGGTTTCAGGCCAACAAAGAGTATGAAGGAGATTATAATTCACACAGAGAAAATCATGCTCGCCATCAATTGTCTCTATGAAATTTGGTAGTATTTTAGTCCAATTTAATGATTCCCAATGCGATGTCTATCTCCGTGAGATGATAAGAAAGGAGGATGAGTACGTAAGCAACCATAATCCATTTACGCGTTCGCCTTTTGCTTAACGCCCTCTTGCAACGATAAGTCTACGTTTCAGCTCCGTTTGGGCGTGTGACAAGCCTGCAACTGTAACACCCACTCTTAGCGGTCCGTGCTATGCAGTCAGATAAGAAACAAAAAAAGTGAAAGTGTCCCGGCCCAATGCTATTGCTATCATCACCTGTCAATGATAAATGATCATCTAGCGGAAGTGATCGATAGCATGAATGTCTATTCTTTCGATGATTTCAGGAAATGGAACCAATACGAAATGTATAGGGCAAATTATTGTACAGAAATCAAATATGCATAGTTAATCAGCATCCATCGGAAAAAATGACATCCATATCACCACCCAAAAGCAAGAGTAAAAGTCGATCATCGGCAACGACTGATGACAACGATGAACAGTACAATAGAACGACACCCAAAGAGAAGTCCTTACGTGTCAATGCTCTCAAGGCCGAACATGATAAAATACGCAATGATCGAGCGCATACATTGAACAGCAAATTACCATCTTCCACCGAAAAGAGCAAACTTCAACGACATACAAACACCGACTCACTCCCATCAGCAGGTCAGAGTGCATCATGTGGTCAATGTTTAACACCAAATACAATCTTCTACTGTGCGCTCTGTCTTTCGGAACGTATAATCTCCCATCATACAAATGTACGCAGAGTGGATGAAATGCGACAAAAGGGAAAAAGAGAGGCATCAAGTCTGCTAGGAATAGAGTCGGTCGATGATCACCTGGAAAATATCGGCGTAGAGAAGGAGAGGGGACCATCTGCACGAGCAAGCATCGCTCCTCCGGATCCATTCGAGCAAACGTCAGAACACCTCGAAAATCCGTCATGGCAAGATATCGATCGCAAAAGGATGCTCAGAGCGAATCGGTATCATCTAGCAAGGTTGATGGACGAAGCAAAGGCGAGAAGCAGTCTACTGCGAGAAGACACCCGAAAGAGAAGAGAGAAGCTGGCAACCCGAGAGTCAGAACTTGCGAAGCGTAGAGAAATGTTGGACAAAGCCAATCGATACAAAGATGATCCATCTGCCACAGACGAGCAGAAAGGTATAACGATTCCTGGCATTGAGCTACTGCGTGCAGACGTACAAAATCTCATGAGAGAGAACAATCGACTCGGACAAAGGCTTGCTGGGACGAGATCTGTTCTGGCTCAAGAAGCATATACTGTATTCAGAGTGCAGCCGCCGGCAGGTACGATGGCAAGTGCAAGAGCTGCACAAGGAAAGTCAGGGCCTACCTCTAGATCGGGTCGCAGTAAGGAACGCTACATTCCAGGTGCTTTTGTCTTTGATCAACAGTCTACCAAACGTGTGGAACAAGTAAAAGCGAAAGGTCCAACAAAGGATAACAATGCCACCCCAATCAATCCGAACGACTGGACAATCTTAGGGTTGGTAATGCCGCTGTCTTCGGATGTTAAAAGATTTGATCGACACAAAATCAACGGTGCAATAACGTACACTGTTCAGCTTCTGGAACTGGTCACTTTCTACCTTGGAATCTCTCTACCATTCTTGATATCGCATTCATCTGGCACGTTATTCATCAAGCCTAATGCTCTTTGGGGATCTGGAACAAGGCAATCTTTGTATCTGTCTTCCTCATCGTATACGACGCTGTCTGCAACGGAATCCCATACAGGTCAATCGGGTTTTGGCTCGATGGGAGCATCGATGATTAGCAATTTAGGAGCATCAACAATGTCAACTTTAGAATCATTTGTGCAATTACCAAGCGGTAAGAATCTACCCTGGTCGAAGAATGCACCGACTACTGATTCTGCAGACATGCCAGTCCCAAGAAAGGAAGGCGTCGATGAAAAGACAGCAGCTGCAACGAAACAATTTTGTACGGCATTGACGATGCTGACTTATGATGTTGCTTATTTGGCTCATCAAGAGGGAGTTCAAGTTGATATTGTCAACGCTGCTGGCAGTATTTTACGTCTTCTTCACAGAACGGTCAATAGTCCAAAAGCAGGTTGGAAAGCACATGCGACGCTCAATAAAGAGCATCGTCTTGATGATCTCACATTTACCGAATTAGACTTTCCTCAATTGGCTCAAGTCATTGAAGCTGGTGGCACACACTCTCGAATAAAACAAGGAGCGTCCAAGTCCACTTCCACCTATACAAAAGGAAGAGAAAGCCAAAAGAGTGCTGCATCAAAGACTGCAACCTCTTCGAATACGAAAGAAATAATTGACGGAAGCTATATCGATGCTAGACAGGCAGCCCAGTCTATTTTGGATGTACGCAAAGCTGAAGCGAACGAGAAGAAAAAGGCGGTTGAAATAGCGAAAGTCGGACATGCGCCACCAGTAACGACAAAAAGAAGTTCTTTAGCAGCAGAAAGAGCGAGCGTTCCTTCTAGATTATCTACCGATCGAAAAGCTCTACCATCAAATCGTGCAGGAACGCTCGACTTTCTTCGTTCTTCTGCTTTACCAACGCAACCAGGTCATGCAGCAGGTGCAGGAAGAGAATCGAAAAGTAGTGGCTCTAATACAAGCAAATCAGACGAAAAAAAGACGTCCGGCAGAGTTTCAACTTCCTCGAAGACTTCGAAAAATGCCGAGTTGAAATCTGGAACGGTTGTGCAAAAGGTACCCACGCCCACATCACAAACCGGTGATACAAAGTCATCCACAGCTGCAACATCAGGAGGAAAGGTGCTGTTTAATGGGAAAGAGGTAAAAGGAAAAAGTACAGCAGAGTCGACGAAGCGCGGTACTACTCGTATGCCAGTCGATGGAAGAAAGCATGACGAAGATGAGGATGGTTGGGCAGTTCTTTAGGACATGCAGCGGATTGGTGATCTCTTACACTGTATTTTTAATTTTTCACATCTCTTGTATTCTATCAAACAAAGATCAGTCTTTTTAATGATTTTGTGCAGTAATATAAATTGTCTAGAGAAAATTGAGCAACCGTGTTTAGATTATGCAGAGCATGAAGTTGAATAAATGAATGGATATATAAATGAATGATTTGTGTGCTTTGGATGATGAACGGAAACTTGAGATCGAAGAATGCTTTTTTCGGAAAGATCAGAGCGTAAGAGCGATAGCGGCAAAGAGAGAAGCTGCTGTGAAAGCAACAACAGCTTGTTGACCGACGTTAGCAAAAGATGCAGATGAATTGGGTTTGGAAGCTGCATGTGTTTCACTTGTGGAACCAGTTTGACCAGATTGTGTTCCTGATCCTGATCCTGCTCCGGTTGAAGCGGGTGAGCCAGAGGTTGTGCTAGATGAAGAGGAAGAGGAGGTGGAAGAAGAGTTACCAGTGCCAGCTGCGACGGGATCCAAAGCCTTGAATGGAATGTTTGTTTTCGTTCCATTTGATGGTTTAACCAAAATGATATCCGTGTAACTTTCAACCGATTGATTAGATTGCGAGCTTGCACGTAGAGAATAATTTCCATACGTTGAGCCATTGACCCATGCAGATGGAACGATCCAAGAGAATTGTCCACATGTCTTTTGACCTTCGCTATCGCAATTTGTTGTTGTACCGGGAACGGTGGCTACGTTATATGCAAATGTTGCTCCTGCGTCTGCCATCATATCTAAAATTACATTTCCTTCTGGTGCGTCTAACCAATGTGCAGTTACATTTTGACCAGGGTACCAAGTGATATCACATTGATAGAAACCACAAGCTGGTTCGTCCAAGAATAAAGGAGTTCCTGGTTGTTGTTGTTGACGTGATTGCAAGTTCATCTCCACTGCCTTTGCTGAAGTGGAACCCAAAGTGGAAAGAGCTATTGCAATAGCCAAAGCTGCTGATGATCGCATTGTGAACATGATGATAAAGTAGGGATGGGGAGAAAGGTATACGCTCAAAAGAGGATGAGGGGGAGTAGGTGATGATGGTAGAGTGAGAGAGGCAGGATCTAATCTTTTTCAGTATTCTGATTAACACTTAAGTGATTCTATTAATAATTCCATTTTTTATGCATCTCTGACAGACATGAGGTTTGGCCGGCCTGTGTTGGTTGACTGTTTTAGTGCCAAAAAGGGTTTCTAGCCTTTTTCCTTACCTGCCGCCCTAATTATGTATTATGCCGCGAAAAGGGGACTAAACGGAGCATTTCATAAACACAGGCAAAAAGTCACCTCCCCTCTTGCTCTGCATTACGCATACATTCATATTGCTACCATGTGATCATCTTCGATTCAATTCGATAGGTCCGTTGTGTCAATGTACGGCTGTTGCGACCCGTTTACGTTCGATCTTCTCTGTAGAATATTGACGTGAAAGTCAAATGAACTCTTGCCGACGCCCACATTTCCCCCTGCCTTAAGACTGTGACGCGTGCATGAAAGGGGACAACTATGTTTGATATCTTGAACAACACCTTGGTGGCTTGATCATTTGTAAGTTTCTATTCTAGAAGACAATTCAATGCTAACGAGCTTAATTGACATCTTGACAAAGAGATGTTCATTGTGATGATTGAAGTATAGATGTACAACACCTCGCAAAGGGCGTAAGAACATTGAGTTACGCCTAGTATGCAAGATGATTACATAATCACTCTCTTCTCATTGCTAGCTTGGCAAAAGATGCATGCATACATACGCCAACAATGAGCAACTCCAACCTTCGCAATCACACCACATTCACTCAAATACATCAGGCCAATGAAGTATGACTACAGATAGCAAGGATCACGCCTTAAAAGGTGATTTGATCCAAACACCTTTACCTTCAAGATTGCCAACAGAGTTGAACTTGTCAATTGCAAAAGTCTTGGCAATTCCTATCTCGCCAGCAGCTGGACAATCGGAAAACGAAGGTGGAGAGATACCCTTGCGTAAATCATCCCTCTCTGCACAATCTCCAGGTGTTAATGGCACTTCTAGAGTACAGCATGATGATTCACCATCATTGACAACGCAATTGGCAAGCCTTTTCCCATCTGCAAACGATCTTACGCCAGAATCCATAGCCCGAAAACAAGCTCAGATACGGCAAGAATTAGCCATTCAAGAGCAGTACATTGCAACTTTGCTGGAGAAGTTGCTAAAAAGACAAGCAGCATTACGAAGGCAGGAAGGCGATGATGTTCAAGATGGGGATTTTGAGGAGAGTTCAATTTCTCACTTATCATCACATGATTTAGATCAAAAAGTTCAAACGCTTTTCCAGCAACTTTCAGTCATTCGTGAAAAGGCACATAAAAGTGAAGAGATTGTCAGGGACATAACGAGAGATATACGCATGCTCGATACATGCAAGCGAAATGTGGTGAACAGTATGACCGCTTTGAAACGATTACAGATGCTTGTCAATGCGGTTTCACAATTGGAAAGGTTAACGAAAGCAAGTCGATTCCGAGAAGCATCATCATCTCTATCCGCTGTAAAGTCTCTGCAATCTTCTTTCAAAGGCTTTGCAGGTGTAGAAAGGGTTGCAAGCATTCAACGTGAAGTGTCTGCATTACAGAAAGAATTAGGAGACAAAGCAAGGGCAGAGATTGAATCTCATTTCACGAACGATGCAAATCGACCACTTCGAACCACATCTGTACCTGATGCCGCACTTGTTATTGATGCATTAGGAGCTGAAGCAAAGCAATCTCTCATCGACTTTTATACCACTTATCAATTACGAGAATACAGAAGGATCTTTCGTGCCACTGATGAGGCCGGGCAATTGGATAATGTCGCCAGACGATTTGCGTGGTTCAGACGGATCCTCAAGACGTACGATGAAGAACATTCCGCTGTGTTTGAGGAGGGGCCAATCAAAAAGTGGAATGTGGCAGGAGAGCTCTTACGCAAATTCACAGAGATTACCAGACAGGACATTCGCAGTGTCCTAATACGTACACAAGGAAAGTTGCAAGTGCCTGTCTTGTTGGAAGCTTTGAGTGCTTCACTGGAATTCGAGAGATCCATGTCGCAAAGATTTGGCATGCCATTCGCACAGCTTTCCGCTGGATCAAATGCTGCAGAATCGTCTGTTCCTTCAACCCCGATCAAACCTTCTCCAAGCAGCCAGACCACCTTGTCTTCCGCCTTTGATCCGTATCTCAACCTATTTGTTGAGGCACAAGATCGTACTTTGAGCGAAATGATACAGACATTTAAGCGTCAAGGAACGCGGGCATCACTGGACGAATCATCAAATGAACATGGTCGAGATGGCGCACATACCGTGTTGCCATCGAGTACGGAATTGTTCTACTTCTACGGCTCTGTCTTAGAACAGTGCGGTAGACTCAGCACACGAGAACCTTTCCGTGATCTTTGCGGTGTATACAAGAAACACCTTCAAGGCTATGCAGAAGAAGTGTTGAAACCGCTCTTACAACGAACTGATTTTGTCCGTCGTAGCGCTGATGTGAGAGCGAGCATTTCTGATCTGCAACGGATTTGCATGGTGATCAATACGGCTGATTATTGTGCAACAACGTCGAAACAACTGGAAGAGAAGCTCAAAGAGAAGATTGATGCAGAATTCCGAGATTCAGTTGACTTTGAGCCAGAAAGGGATGTGTATCTGTCAGTTGTCTCAAATGGTGTTCAAGCTCTTACACGAGAATTGGAAACCTCAGTGGAAGCAGCATATCAACAGATGTTACGAGCATCTTGGAACAATCTAGATCAAACGGACATCAAATCAGCGTATGTGGACGAATTTGCAGGATCGCTAGAGCATGTTGCTGTTGTGGTTCGACAGGATATCCAGAGCAAACGATATGTTCGCAATTGGTGCGATAAAGTGGTCGGATTGGTTCTAGCGAGATTTATGTTTAACATTGTCAAGCTGAAACCCGTCTCTTCTTTAGCCGCACAACAATTGCTGACTGATCTAACAGAGATTCGAATGTCCCTTTTGGAACTTCCGCGTTATACATTGTCAGAAGAAGGTAGCACATCGGCTGCATCATCGTACAATCGTTACGTGTCCAAAGGTATTGGGCGAATTGAAACACTGCTCAAACTGATTGCCATCTCGGAAGATTCGCCACCTGAAGTATTGGTGGATACCTACATTGAATCTGTTGGAGATCGTTCATTCTCCAATTTCCAAAAGATTCTCGACCTAAAAGGGATTCGGAAATCAGAGCAGAATACGCTCATGGATACGTTTGTCAGTCGATCATCACAAATCGATAGTTTGGAAGATTCTTCCTTTTTGACAACGTTGGATATGGATACAACCAACGTTCCAGGAGCGATTGGCTTGGGTGGTGGAAGTATGGTCACAGGTACAGATACGCCACCGGCTTCTGCTGGAGCTGGCTTGTTCAACTTTATTGCCGGTGGTGTTGGAGATGGAGGGACGAATACACCACCTTTGGGCTCTGCACCAAGGTTCTCCAGCCCTGCCGGTCGTGGGAAAGGATCAGGCCAAGGTGATGCTGTTGGCGCAGGTGCTCAGCGAGCATTTTCGGATTTGCGAAGATTTGGATCCATGCTCGTTGGACGGAGAGAAGCAAGTTCAGACAATAAAGGTAGATAGTCTAATCATATGTATACTAGCAATAAAACGGGAAAAAGGAGTTGAAAATATGAATACAATTAGACTTATCACGTCTGCATTCCACCGGTACCAGCAGCTTTGGCAGGCTCACTTTGAGTTGCAAGTTTGATGAAATATTCTAGGGCATGGATTGGTACACCATTATGACCGCCTTTACGACTTTTGATCAATGTTAGACGATTGGCTTGACCTATTTTCGGGGAAACGGTGAGCATGGATCCCCATTCTTGTTCTTCGATTTGAATTTGCTGTGCAAGTTCTTCTTCTCTTTCCTCGGCATGCTTTTGTGATTCGGTTGAATGTTCGTTAAAGTCAACGGAGAGTGCATCATGTATACGATCAAAAAGACCACGACCATGGCTATGAGGGATGATTGAATCGTTATCGGCATGTGCGATAACAACACGTGCTTGTTGATCAGTTTCTTGTGCATCTTGAATACCCAGTTCTTTCTTCAATTGATCTTTTGGCAAGAGGTACTGTAGATCTCCATATGCTTTCTTTTCTTCCTCGTTTAGCTTGTTTATTCCTCCTCTGGTAGCAATGTACAAAGCCTTATCACTCTCGAATCGAGTGTAAAGGTATTTGTCAGCTACGGCAGAAAGTGCTTTTGAGATTCCTAGTGGCCAAAACAGCGGGACAATACCTCCGATTCGGTAAGAAGACAGCAGTTGCCGGATAGATATATACGGTGCCAGTAACAGTGTAGCGGGAGATGCATGACCTGCTTCTACCAAATCGAGCGTCAATCTTGACGCAACACCGGTTCCCAAACTTTGTCCAGACAAGAGTATCTGACCGGCCAAAGGCTCCGAAGAAGGTGAAGGAGTACAGGAGCTTTGCCTTTCGATCACCCATCTATACGTTGCACGAGCATCACGTAATAGTCCTTCTTCTGTGGGTTTACCTTGTGAATCACCAAAGCCTCGATAATCAATGGCAACAACGTTCATTCCTAGTGCAGTAAAGTGTTTGTATGCTTGTATGCGAACAGGTGCTGCTCTGTTCATCGCATTTCCATGGAAGTCTGTTAGAAGGCAAAGTCAGTCTCATCGGAACAGGAGAAAGTCATCATACGAAGTACTCACATAGCACAACCGGAGAATCACATAATGATTGATCGAATGTATGTTCATCTTGTGGTATTTTAGCATGATCTGGTACTATATGCCAACCTGCAATTCGTATTCCATCAACACTTTCTACATTAAAGTTTCTTGCTTTTCCTTTCTGGATTCCTTTTATTCTATCTGGTTTTGTAAGATCATAATGAAATGGTATATTGATCCCATGCAAGAAAACGTTGTGAGCCTGAAAGGTGGGATGTAATATCAAGGCTAAAAAGAGCGCATATAATGACAATATTCCAATCGGTATGGCCGCCAGACCTGCTAAATTGGCTGAATTTGCCATATTTAGAGATGTTTCATTGATTGTTAGGGAGAAGATGTTTAGTGGCCTTCTTTCTCGTGATCATCATTTCTTCGCACGTTGCTTAACCTTTACGCGCACAGACCCTTTCTGGCTCTCTTCCAATGACCATCAATAAACTGCTTCAAAGCTTGACTCTAATTTACAAGAATTCGTCCTTGGACGCTGTCGAGTTGATTATCAAAATTGCTAATGAAGCATTTTTGAAGATTTCTTCATCATGTTTTATTCATCAATCAAATGCTAGACGTGCTTCTTAGTAGTACAAATTTTATTCTTTATCTTATCTCTTATCAAACAAAGACGCAATTAAACAGCCACATAAAAAGCGATGCAAATCAATCAATCATGTGACATCTTATAATTTCCCCTGCCCATCTTTCGCACCCTATTGTTAAATACCGGCTTCATTACACCGAAAATGATGCCGTTCTAGGATTGTGTCATCATAGAGACTCGCTTACCATTCATAGGGGTAGTATTCGGATAAAATTAGGCTGTGATGAAAGGAATACCGAAGTAAGCCAATCATCATCATATAATTATTCTTCTCTTTACCCCGATTTAAAAAAGAATAAAAAAGTTTGGGGAAAAATGAACCTCGGCAAATCTCCGCGCAAGCTTGCGCGGCAGCAGCGGCGGCGTTTAAAGAAGAGAGAGACAGCGGCAGAAGCGCTACGCAGGGTGTAATTCATTGTTGAGCCGACTTGCCGTTGTTGTACATCGTGTGATCTAAGAAAACAACAAGAACTGCACAATCAATTCTTAAACATGTATTCAGACTCAAACATCTTTTATCCGAGTTGTCTAAAGTATCGTTCCTTACCGCAGAAGGTATTCTTTTACCCTTCGTTTGAATATCATTGGATGGTCTCGCTTATGAAAAATTTCACCCTTAACCCAAGATGAAGAAATCAAGTCATCATCATCATCAAATAATAGAAAATTGCACATTCGGATAGGAAGATATTAAGTTTTTATTAATGCTATTTTTATTTCTTTAGCACATCTTGGCATGCTCATTATTAAGCTGCCAAACGATAATGAATAGGGAGATTACCGTCTCACGTGTTCCAGACGCGTTCAAGCTTTTTGCTGGGTGTACAAGCTTCGAATCTTCTTCCGCATATGATTAAGCTGTATTCTCCAAATTAAGAAGTAAAAATGCTCCGAGCAATGTTTTACCCTGTGGATATGCCTCAATGTGCATTTCTTTCTTATAAAGAATTCTGCCACAGGATGGCGTTTTTCTGTTTGATCTACAGTGCTTCACTCTTGATGTTTTTGTCATTTCTGCAACGTAAACTGCATGCACCTGCGTTTGAGACCTGCAGCAAGTAATGCAAAATGACGATGAAAAGATTTCGAGTGACAGGTGAGAGATCGTCTTTTTTGTATTTTTATAACGGCGACTTATACGGCTCTTTTGCCTGTCATTCGTCCGAAAACGGCTGTAAATTGCCGATCCTCCTCCTCCTCTTTGAGCCCGTTGACAATACAAAGATGACCAAAACAGCAGCTTTTGAGAGCGGATCATCCCTATGTTCGATTCTAAGCGAATTCCACTTCAAATGCAGGTCAAAAGCCTTAAATCGCTTATCTCTTTTTGAAGATACTCCAAGCCTGATGCGTATGACGCCACTTTTTCATTGACCTCTTTTTTTTGTGTGCTTAGAATCGGATTTGACTCTAGGTAAACCGCATAGAACCGATTTGTTTTTGTTGAGAGCGCAGCGCGGTTTTTTGCTCGGAGGAAGGGCTGATGCTACTCTCTTTCTTCTCTCTCTTGCCGAGTATGCCGCGCACGCTTCTAAGGTGAATGTACACTACGTATCTGCTGCAAGCACAATAAATGCACAGAAGGAAAAAACTTTACAGATCAAAGTACAAGTTGTGCCTAATGGGTTTTGGTACCTATATTGAGTTAAAGCCGGTAAAGGCACTTCATCAAGAGAAGTGCGTAATCATGCAATACAAACTACCGTTTGCATTCACTCTGGCCGAATACGGACAGAAGAAAAAAATAAATAAAATAAAAACAAGTTAGGAGAGAAAATTTGAGGTGAGAAAACACGGGCCTGCAATCTGAACTATATCCGCGCATCGACTTTTCTTGGGCCGACGTCCGCCGATTAGTGAATGCATTCTAAATCTACCGGAGCAAGATGCGCGCGCAAAAGGGCAGAGAAAAAACAAAACTTCGGATTTTAAAAGAAAAAATAAAAAACAAAAATTTTGATCGTTTTTGGCTCGTGTTTGGGGTACTCGGCAAGTGCCGCACTTTACCAGGGTAACAACATCAATTGCAGCTCGATAGACTACATGCGTTATCTATAATGTCACACAATTTAACACGGCAAGCATTGTCCGATAATGAGGACATACATATTCGTGCGGTGTGTTCCCCTATAGTTGTTTCGCATCAGAAAAGAAAACACAACAGAAACGTGTGTTTAGTTTACCAAACAAAAGATATAAGCAGATTGAGATCCATTCTCTTTTAAACGAACTACCATCATCACCCCAACTACAACTTTACCCCTTTCACCTTACCCATCCCCCCGCCTTTGCTCGACCAAGTCGATTCATTACTCTCAATAGAGTATAGATTTTGGCAATCTTTGTTGTTTATAAACGCAGAGGTAAGGTGAGTAACTTTTTTTCATTTTCCGCTACGGTGCCGATTTCAGACAAAGAACGTTGCAGCTAATCTTTCTACTTTGTCTATCTTTCTTTTCTTCCTTTCGACAATTCCATCTCTCACAGCATTTCGTAGATTTGGAATTACCCATTCAACGATTTGTCAGCGCTTTAGGTCCCGTTGTTCAAGCTTTTTAAAAGTGTGAGTATTTATGTCTTGAATCGGAAAACTGTCAAAAGGTCTGCAAATCGATATGTCGGGGATCATTGGATGCAAGGGAGAGCATCTTCTTCCTGGCATCGGCAAAAAAACAGTTGATAGAATCAATCGTATTATTGGATAGCATAGGTATATGCTCTCTACAATGCTGCTTTTACCTTCTTATGGAGTTTGATCCGTTCAAATCCGCCAACTCGTTGTCTCTTACGCTGAACGTCATTGGCAATCATGGATTCTGGCTCCGCAAGATTGAAAAGGCTTCGATTGGCTGATGATCAATGGCGATCTAAGCCATTTGTTTGTCACCAATCGGGATGCAATCACTTTGGCTTGCGCGCACACAACAACAAACCAGTTCAAGAACTTTTTTGTGCCTGTGTATATCTTCCAAAGCCCTGCGTCTATTCAACCCCTCTCTCTCTATCCAATGGGGCGGCTTCCAATGTTTTCTCCTGTTTCTCATGCGCGCATTTTGTGCACGGCCCTGGGTGCTTGGTTCCAACACTGTTGGAGTACCCGCAAAAGAACGCGTTTTTTTTTCCTCACACTAGCGTACTTGTGTTCCAAATTCTACACACGCACGCAAGCATGCCTGCCAGGACACTAAAAAGCAAACGGGAAAAACGTGCAATCAAAACACTCTGGGCGCGCGCACTTTCCGAACGAAAAAAAGCAGCTATTCTTTTAGTTTGGCTTGGCCAAGTCCACTTAGCCAAGATTGGGGCCCAATCGCATCAGCTTGCAATAAGGCGTTCAATGTGCCTGATCACGCTGTTGCTCAAATGCGCACTCTTCTCTTCGGACCCAAATTAGCGTGGAAATCAGTCTCCGGGTTTTGCCTTTGTTTTGGGTAATGGGTTACGCCTTACTCGGACTTTGATACTTATGACAAGAATTCCAATCGAGGCTTTGGCGTCAAATGATGATGTAGTCTCATGTGCGCGCGCGCGCTCGTAGTCTCCGTTGTCAGAAGAACAATAACATTCACCCGAACTATTGCTCGTTGCAGAAGATTTGACAGTTCCATCCGATTCAAAAGCAACCAAAAATCTTATAACCTCTTTACTGACCCAATCATTCTTTCCTCTTTTCCTTTCTCTTGACTTTCCCATTCTATTCCATCCGGTCACATCACTTCTTCAACTTGCGCCTACGCCGCTTTTCCTTCTCCGGCTATACGCCTTCCGTCACACTCAAATTGGCTTCCAATAAACGGTCGCATTGTGCCGATTCTTTTGCCCTCATTTCTTCATTTCGCGCCCTTTCACCCCTGATCTTCCATTTTTTTCTACCTGTTGAATTTTTCTACGATTTTCAACTTTTCTCATTTAAATAGCTAGACTTCGGCCATTTTCCCCTTTGCTCTCTTCACACTTCTACTCGAGGTGCTCCTTCTTACTCTTTATCCATAACCCTTTCTATTGCAAGCATAAAACTTCGACACAATGTCTGAAGTCAACGAAAAGGCTGGCGGCGGCGCTTCCGGCGCAAACGAGGAGTACAGCGCTTTGATCGATTTCATTCGCTCTCAAAAAGGTCAAACCAGTGACGATGAAAATCAAGATGAAACCCACATCGAAAAGAGACGTAACTGGTTGATGCCATGGAAGGTAACTGAAGTTCGTGTCAACAAGTTGGGTGAAGTCGAAGAAGTTGCCGCAAAGGTTCCTTCTTCTTGGCTCGAAACCGAAATGGCCCACGGTATTTCTGAAGCTGAAGTTCAAAAACGTCGTGCAGCTTTCGGTTATAACGAATTGGAAAGTCCAAGTGAAAACTTGTTCCTCAAATTCCTCGGTTTCTTCAAAGGTCCTATTTTGTACGTCATGGAATTGGCAGTCGCTTTGGCTGGTGGTCTTCGTGATTGGATTGATTTCGGTGTTATTATCGGTATTTTGATGTTGAACGCTTTCGTCGGTTGGTACCAAGAAAAGCAAGCTGGTGATATTGTTGCTCAATTGAAAGCCGGTATTGCTTTGCGTTCTGTAGTCGTTCGTGATGGTCAAGAACATGAAATTGAAGCCCGTGAATTGGTTCCTGGTGATATCGTCGTTGTCGAAGACGGTAAGACGATCCCATGTGATGGTCGCTTGTTGGCTGATTACGAAGACAAGGATGCCTCAAAAGCAAACGCTATCCGTGAAAAGGCAGAAGCTTCAAAGAGAAACCAATCCGAAGATGACGATGAAGGTGTTGACAAAGGACCTGCAATTATTGCTTGCGATCAATCTGCCATCACTGGTGAATCTTTGGCTGTCGACAAACATATCGGTGACACTGTTTTCTACACCACTGGTTGCAAGCGCGGAAAGGCATACGTTTTGGTCACAGATATTGCCAAGCAAACCTTCGTCGGTCGTACCGCTGCTTTGGTCTTGGGTGGTGACTCAAAGGGTCACTTCCAAATTGTCATGGACACAATTGGTGCTGCTCTCTTGATTCTCGTCGTCGTTTTCATCTTGATGTTCTGGATCGCTGGTTTCTTCCGCAACACCGGTATTGCTGAACCAAGGGACAACAACTTGCTCATTTACACTTTGATCTTCCTCATTATCGGTGTCCCAGTCGGTCTTCCATGTGTCACAACTACAACCATGGCTGTCGGTGCTGCTTACTTGGCCAAACGTCAAGCAATTGTTCAAAAATTGACTGCTATTGAATCTTTGGCTGGTGTTGATATTTTATGCTCTGACAAGACTGGTACTTTGACTGCCAACAAGCTTTCCATTCACGAACCCTTCACATCCGAAGGAGTTGATGTCAACTACATGATGGCAGTTGCTGCTTTGGCTTCTTCCCACAACGTCAAATCTCTTGACCCTATCGACAAGGTTACCATCTCTACACTCAAGGATTACCCAGCTGCCATTGAAGAACTTGGTACAGGATGGACTACACACAAATTCACTCCATTCGACCCCGTCTCCAAACGTATTACCGCTGAAGTTGAGAAGGACGGAAAGCAATACACTGCCGCTAAAGGTGCTCCAAATGCAATCTTGAAATTGTGCGCTCCTGACAAGGAAACTGCTGATCAATACCGCAAGGTTGCAGGTGACTTTGCCTCCCGTGGTTTCCGTTCTCTTGGTGTTGCCATCAACGATGGTCAATGGAAATTGCTCGGTTTGTTGCCCATGTTTGACCCTCCACGTTCAGACACTGCTGCTACTATTGCTGAAGCTCAATCTCTCGGTGTTGGTGTTAAAATGCTTACTGGTGACGCCGTCGCAATTGCAAAGGAAACATGTAAGATGCTTGCTTTGGGTACCAAGGTTTACGATTCTCAACGTTTGATTGGATCTGGAGGTATGACTGGTTCAGCTATTCACGACTTTGTTGAAGCTGCTGATGGTTTCGCTGAAGTTTTCCCTGAACACAAGTACCAAGTCGTCGAAATGTTGCAACACCGTGGACACTTGACTGCCATGACTGGTGATGGTGTTAACGATGCTCCTTCCCTAAAGAAGGCTGATTGTGGTATTGCTGTTGAAGGTGCTTCCGATGCTGCTCGCTCTGCTGCTGATGTCGTTTTCTTGGATGAAGGTTTGTCAACCATTATTACATCTATCAAGGTCGCCCGTCAAATTTTCCACCGTATGAAGGCTTACATTCAATACCGTATCTCTTTGTGTATCCACTTGGAGGTCTACTTGGTTTTGTCAATCATCATCTTGAACGAAGTTATCCGTGCTGATTTGATCGTTTTCATCGCTTTGTTCGCCGATTTGGCAACCATTGCTATCGCTTACGACAACGCTCCTCACGCACGTGCCCCTGTCGAATGGCAATTGCCCAAGATTTGGGTCATTTCCACCATCTTGGGTTTGCTCTTGGCAAGTGGTACATGGATCTTGCGTGGTACTTTGTTCTTGCACAACGGTGGTGTTATCCAAAACTTCGGAAACACACAAGAAATCTTGTTCTTGGAAGTCTCTTTGACCGAAAACTGGCTCATTTTCGTTACCCGTCTTGGTGGTGGTGAATCTGATATCACTTTGCCATCTTGGCAATTGGTTGGCGCAGTCTTGGGTGTCGATGCCATCTCTACACTCTTCTGCTTGTTCGGTTGGTTGTCCGGTGCACCACACCGCAACCCAGTCACCGCTCCTCACGGTGGATGGACCGATATCGTTACCGTCGTTCGTGTTTGGGCATACTCTTTGGGTGTTACCGTTGTTATTGCCCTTGTCTACTACACATTGTCAAGATGGTCATGGCTCGACAAACTTGGACGTCGTTCAGTCGGACAAAAGAACGAATTGTTGGAAGACTTCTTCACCAACTTGCAAAGACTTACAATCGTTCACGAAAAGGATGCCGATGGAGGTGATTTGTACGCATTCCAAACTCGTTTGGATGTTGAAGAAGATTAGATAAAATCATCTTGAGCAATTTCATCAACAAAATATTCTCATCTTTTTCCGCTTTCGTCTTCTTTGCAACAAATAAACAACCCTACAACATATACACACTTTGAACATTATCAAATGCTCAAAGTCAAACCGTTTCGTCCATATTCTTATCTCACAACAAACACACATTCTCTAGTACAACATATCCTCCGCACAGAAATGCTTTTTATCTCATTTTTGATTATCATACAATGATGCGCGTATACGATTTCTTTTAATATCTCCTCTGCCTTTGTTTGCGTTTTGAATTTGAGAAGTAGAGATTGTGTGAGTGATGGAGGTGGGAAAGGATTTGAGTTTACTCGTTTCCCTTTACCCCTTTGACCTCCCGCACTCTTCTTTGTACATTAATACAATATTGGAGTTAGCGATATAATGATCGCGCGAATGTTCTGAAGTGGAGCAAGGGGTGGCACAGCCCTATCTTCCTGCCCCTTCTCAAGACGATCATCTCGATTGCTAGTAAGATTATCAGGCTTGCCCTGAAGACCATACCAAAAAAAAAGATGGGAATCATTGGATTTTTATTGAATCCGGTACGATATGTACTTGGACAAACGATGAGAGATGTTTTTGAACCGGAAGTAAGATCGAATCCGATCATCGTTCATGCGGAAGCACAATCGGATGATGTTGGTACGAGTGGAGGTGGTGTTGGACAAAAACATGATGGAACGGCTCCATTGAATAAAGGCGGAAGTGGCTATAGACCGGCAAAAGAAGCAAAACAAGGCTTTAAACCTCAATATGTGGTCCCGTTACGAAGACCAAGAAATGATATCGAAGCTCAAAGGTTGTACAATCATATTCGTACATTGTCATATTATTTGGACGCAATCCCATTTTTGGGTAGGAGACTGCCTTTCAACATCGGTGTAGACTCTATCATTGGGCTGATACCTGGTGTGGGTGATTATATCGGCTTAGTGCTATCAACGTATGCACTCGTTTTATGCATCTTGTTTGGTTTACCGATCACATTGTTGGCTATGATGGTATTCAACATCGTTCTCGATTGCTTCCTCGGTCTGATTCCACTTTTGGGTGATGCACTTGATGTTGCTTTCAAGGCAAATTTGCGTAATCTTCGATTGCTAGAAGATCACTTGATCTCAAACGATGGTAAATGTGGAGCAGGTCACTTCAACCTCATCTTCCCGCCTTCCACGGAATTCTTACCAAAGAATGGGCCACAAGAAGTGTTTGTTGCTTCTAGTGGAAATGTATCAGCATCAGGCAAGCAAACAGGTCAAGCTGTACGCAGAAAGGCTGCAAATGGAGAAGGAAGTTCGATCGCCTTACCCGATGGCACACAAAAACAGAATTGGACTTGGACAGATGGTGATGCACCAAAATTACCCGGAGGTGGTAAGATAAATTCTCAATTTAACAAAGAATCCACAACGGATTTTTGTAAAGGGACGATGGAAGGAAGAACCGAAGGTGAATCTGATCAAACTATAAACGAAAAAATTGTTGATCCAGAACAAATTTCTACTTGGTCAGTATCCGTCGTCCCAACTGAAGTATTCACCACAATGTTATTTAACCCAAATGGAGCTTCGATAGCGGAGATGTGTGCTCCGCTTTTACGATATAGCAATCGAACGAAGATGTTTGATCCTTCTTTTGATGGTCGCAATAATTTCCCGCTATGGAATCGTCATATGGATCGCCTAAAGGAAGCAACGGAAAAGATGCAGGAAAACAACGCGGATAATTGGAAGCTTTGCAAGTTTGATGAAAGCAAGGTCAAAGACAGTATACAGGATCACCTGAGAATGAGGGGTGCAGATCGAGATACATCTTCAAGACGAATGCGTGTTGCTATTACCAATACAGGTGAAATTTTGATCACTTCCTCACCTCTTTCAAAGGCAACCGAGACGGACGAAGTAAAGCAAGTTCGCATAGACCCGACCGCAATTCCCATCGATCACTTGAAAGAGTATGAGTGGTTGACTTTATGTTTCAAGACGGGATACAGAGCCATGTACGACAATGCTCGCAATCGTGTCAATGCAACTCTTGGTATGAAGGGAGATGACGAAGAAAAATCACCTTGCTTTGATGTTCTATTACAAGGACAGCTATCGAATGATCACAAGATCTTGACAGAAAGCTCGATCGCGAGTATCATTATTGTCTTAAATCCTGGAGAAGGAAGTGCTCAGGCTATCACACCTACTCTTCATACTCCAGAGGAACATAAACGGCTCCCACTTTTAGCCGGCCTTATGCGTCAAGAGCTGCTCGACAAAGGCTTACTGAAAGAATCAATCATTTCCGTTGAGGAGGCAAAGCAGCTTGTTCGATCTGGTAAAGCTAAATTATTCCTCTGTAATGCTCTTCGAGGAACAATGCCTGTAGAGTTGATAGACTAATGAAACATTTCTGATTGCTTGTGCGAATATGTGTAATATACATGTGGTATGATGACAAAGATTGTCTGTATTTTCCCCTTCCCCCATTCTCTCTCAGTCTTGATCGGTATCGGCCAACAATGGATCCGATTCTTTCAATCTTCGATCTCGATCCAACTTCAATCGTGGATCGGTAACAAAACGCAAAGAACGACCAATCTCTCCGCTACTACGACCTCTAATCATGGTCGAACCTAATTGTTCTTGAGTTCTTGTTGGATTTGTGGATTCTGTTGGACTTTCGTTTGCTTCTTCTTGATCAGATAAAAGTGTTGAAGAAGAGATACGCGAACGTGAAGGCGCACGTCGAACATTATTGCCAGAACGTAAAGATCCCATACTCTTTGTTGCTCGTCCCAATCCACGACGATGATGAGCAGTATTGGTTTGCATACTTCCACTTGCTGAACGTTGAGAACGATGCTCAGTTCCTTGTGAATGCGAGCCACTCATGCTACGGTTGTGATGATGATGGTGATGATGCAAGACATCGGGCAGCTCGCCATCCGGAATCGCCAAACCGAAGAATATTGCTGGTACGAGGATCAGAGCGGCCATTATGCAAAGCTTGTGCATGATTTGTACCCATGCTTCAATGATTGCATCTCGAGTAGCAGTGCCCATCGGATAAGATAGCGCTGCTGGCAAGCTACCAGCGATCAAATAGATTTCATCTTTATTCATGTTGGGCAACCTACTGGCCAATGCATTGGGTAAATCACTTGAATAGACCAAACCAGCCAAAGCTGATCCGATTGCAGCTCCACATTCGGTCATCAAGAGTTCAATAGCAGTCACGATGGCAACATCGGAATGTCGAACGACGCATTGAACGGCAACTTGCATTGTGATCGCAACCGATCCACCACCTATTCCTTGCAATAATTGACACATGACCAAAAGTGCAGTAGGTGATCCTACAGATCGATATCGTACCATCATTGCAACTCCTACCAAACGTACAATGATACCTACAACGAGGAGCGTCTTGTACCTCCTTGTCGCGGCCATTGCCCAGCCGACCAGAATACCGGTCAAAGTGGATGTGACGTTCTGTGTTGACGCAAAATAACCTGTTCTTGTCTGATCCCAACCCTTCAAAACTTGAATGAATGAGCTTAAAAAGGTCCAACTGAGATAGAAACTGCAGAAGTCCAAAACGCCGACGATGCAGATGCAAACGACTGACAAATTGGTCAAGAATCGATACGGCAGAATCGGATTCTTTGCAAATCCTTCCCAAATCAGGAATAAGGCAATCACCAAAGCGCTTCCCAGCAGCATCTGTTGTGGGGAAACAGTGATCGCGGCTCCTTTACCGAATTCAGACATTGGAACAAGCAACAAAGCAAATCCTACACTGAATAAGATCAAGCCGATTGCATCAACTTCGTTGCTCAATTCGTGCAATGCAGGTAAGCACCACCGACTCTTGATCGGATTGCGTGTCATCAAACCTGCCAATTTTGCTCTACGTTGTCCTACAAACAAAGTTATGAGCAGAGGAGATGCGGCCAAAGGTACCACAACTGTCCATAACAGGAACCCAAACCTCCAATCTTTGTTCGCCAAAACAGCGTTTGCCAAAGGACCTGCGACTGCAAAATTGATCAAATAGGGAAGATTGACGATTCCGATAATCAATCCGCGCCATTTAGCAGTTGTAGAATCGGCAATGATGATGGATTGTAAAACTTGTAGACCTGTTGTACCTGTTGACTGTAATCCGATTCCTCCAATCAAATGATTTAAAGAAGGAGCCTTTGCGACAAAGAGATAACCGCAAACATACAAGATCAAACTGAATGCATACGCTTCCGCTCTTCCGAAAACGTCTGAAAGTTTTGCAATCGGTGGCTTTGCGATAGCAAAGCATAATTGTTGAACGATTGCAATCGTACTGAATGAAGCCAAAGAACCGAATTCGCTACATGCGAAATTGAGATAGAGAAAGGCGGTATTTGCATCCAAAGATGTCACATAGGCTATGCAAAATATTGCTGCATAGATCAAGATGTACGACCTCCTTCTCTTTCGCCATGATGCGGCTTGCTGAGCTGTTAATGCTTCTGATGATTGTCCAGGTGATCTGCTTATATCCGAAGGAGCGAGTGACCCTCTCATGAAAGACTGAAGTCCTGCCTCGACGTCATCATTTGCGGTTGCCATAGTTAATGATTGCTTCGCAGGCAACTGTTGTGAGTCTTTTGTGTGTGAAACTCAGCACTGATTTGACACGGAATGCTAGAGATCAATAGTGCATGCTAAAAGGTCGTAAAGGAGATGTTCATCTTTTTTGTTTTGTTGTCGTACGTATGATTGATTCGTCAATAGATTATCGTTATTTCTTTGTTTTGACGCCCAAAAGGTGTGATGGCAACGATGAGCAAAATGATTGCTTTTTTCAAAGGATTTGATTTTCTTCAGCCCGAGTTAAGACGCCCAATTGATAATCATCAAATAACGCCCGGCCGTAAAAAGTAGGAAAAAAGGAGGAATTATCGTCATGCATAAAATGCTTGGACATTTGTGTATACAGATTGTGTCTGTGCAAGGGGGAAAAAGGTGGAGATCTGCTTAGGCACACACACGCACAACTAGAATAGAATAGCCGCCCTGCCCCTCGAAAAGCACGTGTAAGAAGGAAAGGCTTTTTGATCTGATCAGATAAAGAAACAGGCCACGCCATTAATCATTCTTCTTCTCTTCACACCGGCTGTGCGAGGAGACGGCTATTCGTTCATTTCTCTACGGTCATGCCTGTCCCTCGAATGCATTCAGTGTTATCTTACACAGCCTAGAATGTTTGGCACCCCTTGAGTGAGCCTGCACTTTTTCTCTACAGTTTAGGCTCAATTAGGGTAAATCGTGCTACATTTCAATATTATTAATATCATATGAAAAGCAGGTATCATCACTTAAGCAGTCAATCGAACGACCCAAGGAGATATCAATGGTGAATGTGACTTGATCGCTGGAAACTGATAGAGATTGCATTTAAGCCGTAGTCCAACCGTTAACGGTACTGCCATTATTATTAGTGATATTGATCAATTCCGCATCGTAATGCATGGATTTGAACACGTTCATCTCTGGCTTTGGTTGATTTGACATTCGTTCCATATCATTACAGAGCCAATCGTAAGGGCGGAAGAGGACAAATGCTTTGCTCTATACGACGTAGATACACGCAATGGCCATAAGTCTGATCGTATCTAAGCACATACACTCTGTTGACTTTATTAAATCAATCATAAATTCATTCTATCGTACAAAAGTTGCGTCAATTTGCTTGATTTGAGGCAAAGCTAATTTAACTTTGAAGCGATAATGAGCTCCTTCAGTTCTTTGTGCCGGATTGCCTTCCAGATAAACAGTATTGAGAGCAGGACATAAGCTCGGTCCTAATTGTTTCTCTAATTGATTGATCGTTGCGATTTGATTATCGTTTGCCCAAAATTCTTCAAGGTTTTTCAAATGGCCCACATTTTCGATCTCTTTGACCTTGTTCGCTCCAATATCAAGCGTGGTTAGCTTTACGTTGTTTTCTAACCCTTCAATACGTTCCAAACCGTTATGCGATAGGTACAATTCTTCCAGATTGTGTAATTTATCCAGGTTCTCTAACTTCGTGATGCGATTAGACTGTATCGATAAGATGCGTAGATTTGCCAATTCATCCAGACCTTCCAGCTTGGTGATCTTATTTTTACCCACCCAAAGCTCTTCCAGCTGTGTGAGATGACCGATATTCTCCAACGATCGTAATCGGTTACTACCCAATTCCAGACTTTTCAGTGTTAATCCCAACGGAGCTGCCAAATCGTCTGGTCTAACTTTGGCGATCTTATTTTGCACGAGATAAAGGGTATGCAACTTTGAAAGATGGCTTAGGTGTGAGATGTGTCGGATAGCATTGAACGATAGATCCAACGTTTCGAGGTTTGGACATCCTTTCAAAACTTCTCCATACGTTTTCTCCAAACTGTTATCGTACATGTCAAGCTCTTGCAGTTCATGCAGTGAGCCAATATCCTTTTCGGTGAATTTGCTGATTTCATTTTGACGTAGATGTAGTCGTTGCAATTTGACAAATTTTTCCAAAGGCATCTTCCGTAAAGATTTGGAAGTCAACCGTAAGTGTGTTAAATCGATCACATCTGTATCTTCTTCGAATGCTGACAATAGATCTGCATCATCAATCTCTCCATCATCATCATCTTGATGTTCGCCTGCTTCGCTTGCATTGTCTTCCTCTACCTCTTCTTCATCCGATTCTTCTCCTTCTTCTTTTGACTTTCCGTTTGTCTTTGTGCCATAGAATGGTGGAGGTGCACCAACTACTTGTACTTGCTTGCGTGGTGCAGGGGTAGATGAAGATGGTTCTGATGGTCCGGCTTCGTTGTCCTGTGATGTTGGCCCAGTCATTTTATATGATGGCTCTTCTTTGGAGTGAAAGGAGAAGGATCTTCATGTTAAACTTCGCATTTATTTGAACCTTATCGCGTGTTACATACACTGCAGGGGTGTGCGTGCAGTCAAATCGCGCTCAGTCAACTTTGAGCATGATAAGTTTGACTTAGCATCATCATGCTCAGCAATGAAAAAGGTCAAAGCTCGAGCTAAGAGTCGGATAATGGCACAGGCCCAATGTGCTCTCTCAATGATAATGTGGGGATAATGACGAGTTGTTTCGGAGATGTTGTTGTGGACTTAATAGATTGTGCATTGGAAAAACATCCTCACACGTGATGATCATCATATGAATAATACTCCCAACATTGACTGACTTTCACATCATTCAGCAATATTCAAAGCTTTCTTTAATGACACCTTCCCCGCAATCCTTTTTCACAAGACTAAAGCATTAACAAATCCGCTTCCTTTTAATCCTCCTAGCCCAGTTTTTCTAGCTTGAATTGAATGGTGGCGTGTTAAAATAAATGCAACAGCAGCATTGGAAATATGATCTAAGCTAGACCCTTTGTGCAGGAAAGAATGCGTGGATGTTTTTAAAGAGAGGGTTGGGAAAGTGTTTTAAAAGCCAACGAATGATATTTCTTCAAACAAAGATTGATAAAAAGATCACTGATTTGGATCGATCAGAAGATGCATAAGATCAGAGAGTGAGTAAAAGTCCATGGACACACATTCAAGGCCAGACCGTTAAGGAGCGAGCGTGTGAATAATCCCTCGGGCTTGTCTTACAATCGCCTACTTTCTAGACTTTTTCTCACACAAACCAGCACAAACGTGCGTTTAGGAAGAAGTTCAACCCAACGGGCAAATCTTCATAATGCGGGGTACTTCCCCCTCCCATTCATGCATGCGTGCGTATGTATATTGATAATACATACATGGCTTTTCGGAACATCCTTAGCACATATCCTGCATGTTTTATTTTTGTATATATGAGATAATCTTACAAGAATATTTGTCATAGAAAGCCCTTTAACTTTATACCTTTCTTTCTTTATGACTATCACACAAGATTCTGCCTAAAGACGCTATTGTAAGAACCTATTAGGGAAGTGATAATCTTGAGATTAGCCTTATCTTAATCTTTTCTCAGGTGGTGGCATATAGGGTGGCGGCTAGGAATATAAGGAAAGTAGGGGTAGCTATCTTAGCAAGGAGAACATACATACGACAAAAGATATTCCCTACAACAAAGATGTCAATCGAAGAATTAGAAGAAGCAAGAGCAACTTCTCCTTCTTCTTCTTATTCGTTCAACAGTCCTTCAACTTCACCAACATTAAACACAAATTCGAATTGGGATCAAACGACAAATGGTCATAGCAGGGAACATTCCGATTTAACTCGTGCCAATCTAGCAACATTGAATTGTCAACAAGGAACAGATGCAGAAAATGTTGCAATCTCAAATACAGAGACTGGTGAATGGAATACAGTATCAAGAGGACGAACGAATCGAAAAAGGTCAAATTCTACACAATCTTTCGTTTGTGTTGTTGCATGGTTGGTAAAGCCAGAAGATGATGATGTTCGAGGTAATGCATTGATGGAGCATATTCAACAAATACGAAGAAAGTATGATAATGCACATAGTAGATGGGAACCTCACGTTACCCTAATACCTCCTTTCCTTGTGCCTTTCGGTGTCGCAGAAGAAGGTTCGCAAGAGGAAATTGGTGAGAAAAACGCAGATGATGCAATTCGACAAATCACAGACCCATTCAAGACATTGGCAATCTTGAGCAAAAGGATCGAGGCAGTATGTGCAAGCTATTCATCACAATTGATTCATTTTGGGGAACTTTCTAAATTTAGTCTAAGACGATATGATACCTATCATCTTCGACCGAATCAAGAAGACGCATTAGGTACGTTGGAATTGGTCAACTTGCAAAATGCATTAGCAAACGTTTTACCGGAAGCACATGAATTTTCAAGAGGATCGATATCCAACATCAAAAGACGACAATCTCAACAACAGAAACCCTTACCGCCGCCACAACAGCAATCGCTATCGACTTCTGATCCTATCCCTTCCTCATTAAATGGAGGCGGTGCTAAATCGATGATTACTGATAACGCTTTCAAACCTCACTTAACCTTGGGTCAAGCACCCGGACCAATAAAGGCAGACGAGATCAACGTACTCGTTGAACCTTTACTATTGAATTCATCACAATCCGTCAATCGTATCGCAGGTCAATATACCGGACCTCTAATTGTCAAAATGGACAAAATTCAACTTTTCATAAAACCTATCAATCGAAGTGGTCCTTATGATATTTTTCAAGAATTCAATTTGCGGTAGCTGAGTAAACCTTTCTCCTCTATTCAGGTCTTCAAATCGTCATGTGTTTCCCGTTTCTTCATATAGCATTGTAGGATATACACGTTCATCCATACATTTCTCTTCCAGATCATCCAAATGTACATACTCTCAATCATACACGCATTTTTTCATCATCTTCATATGTACACAATCAAATTAAACCCTCTTCCCTTTGCATCACAATTAATCATCATCATCCCAATCGTCATTTTGTGGAGCACGTGCTGCTTGATTTTCGTTATGATTTGGATCTTTTTCTCCATCATTACCTTTTGCTTTATCAAAAATATCTTTGAACATCGCATCTTCTTTCTCTTTTTCCGTTAATTGTCGAATTGTTGGTCCTTTTGAAAGGCTTGATTGTTTGACTTGAGGTGGTGGTGCTTGAGATAATGCAGTCATATTTTCCGGCTGCAAAGATGTACGAGGCACTGGTTGGGCTACATCTTGACCTGATAGCCAAGATTCAATGTCCAAAAGTGGCTGTCGAATCAACACTGTTGGTGGGTATACATCATCTTGGAAGAATTCAGGTCGACTTCTAGGAACGTTCCAGGAGACACGTTGAAGGTCAGATTTGCAAACACGGAAAGCACTTGCCACTTCTACATTCCGTACGTCCAACATATCTTTGGGTAAAAATGTGACGCCCAATTGTGGATTCGCATGTTGAAATGACGGAAGTTGCGTAAAAATTTCTTTGGATTGTTGTTGGGCCATCGCTCTTGCTGTACTCGTTCCTGTTCCCGTATTGGCAGCCGCTGCTTCTGCATCCGGTTGAACTTCATAAGCGGAAACGATGCGTTCCCCTTTGCTCCACAAGTATAGGATATTTGTATCAGGATCATAGGAAGGGAATAAAACCGAAGGAGAAGCATCTAGATTATGCTTTGCAATCTCTTCAACACCCTCAAATCCACCAAGTCTGAACAGCTTGATTTGTCGCAAAGATCCAATCGTATGACCAATTGTGAGAAGGTATTCACCATCTACCCAAACACAACGGAACGAGCGTGGACTGTCGTGCGCAGCAATTGAAGCAAGCACTTCAGCTTTTGCACCCGCTCTCAAATCCAGAATGTAGGCTTTCTTGTCCTTTGCAGATACGGCCAAGACGCTTCCATCAGGGCTCCAACTTCCACTAAAGAGTCCTTGACCGGGTATGTCTATGCTTACGATTATAGATGTTGTCAGATCGATCAAATGTAGTTTACCTTCCCCGTCGGCTGGGAGAGCTGCAACTAGACCTTGTATGAATGGATGAGGTACCAATTCCGAAACCTTTCCGCTTCCAGGTAATTGAACTTCACTGATCGGCTTCACGTTACCGAGTTGTTCTGATGCAAATTCAATACCATTTTCACCTTCAACTGGTTCAGGGATACCCCAAAGGCGTACAGTTGCATCTGCAGCGATAGAAATGATCTGATCATCATTGAAAGGATCAAAGCAGAAATCAATTAATGGGGTTCCGTGATTCAAGCTTGGAAAGTGAAGCGGTAGTCGACCTGTACTCTCGATCGGATGCACGCCTAATCGACCACCAGGACCAGAGATAGGTAAAGCAAAGAAGCGACGTGAAATGGCAATCATGCGTGCATCAGGACTTCTTGAAATGTCCAACGAAGACAAATTCTGATAAGCTGAAATCAAAGGTGTACTACCGGCCATCGGTCTGCGAGACCAGTGTGTCTTTTCAGCGGGAAGGACAGCTTTTGTGGCTGCACCCTGAGATAAAGCTTTACTCGGATGTATCGCAGAGGTGTTCCTAGAAGGGGCAGGGAGGGCTGCATCTGATTTCTGCTTTGCATTGCTAGTCATCGGGACAGGTGACTTTGTTTCGGTTGACTTTTCAGTTTGAACTTGAATAGGTGCTGGAGATACCGAGCTTGAAGCCTTTTCACTACTGTCATTAGCTTGACTGATCGAAGCTGACGTGGTCTCGACACTTTTTGGGGCTTCCTCTTCTCTCACAACCTTGGTCGGAGCAGATACCTGCCTTTGCGTTCGTAGACTTGGATCCATTGAAACTTTCTCTAGCACAGCTTCTTTTCCTGCTTTCCATTCGTCTATACCCAAAGCGCCTGCCTTATCCGATCTGAGTACTGTATCAGGGTAAAGGTCGGCATGAAAGTCGATAAAGTTTCGTCTTGGAACTCGCACACTTGAAGGTACGATTGCATCAGAAGCACTTGCACCACCTGAAGTTGATCCAGTAGCAATGTACAATTTTGCAATCTCTCCTACAGTGACATCATTAGAGGCAGAAGGTGCAATTGCAGCAGAAGACGCAGAAAAGTCAATCGGGAAAACACCTTCGGCGAACGAAGCTCCTTGATCTTGTGATCCGACATCGATCCAACGAACACTTGAATCTCCTTTTGCTACTAGATATACGATCCCTCTATCGTACTCGCAAATCGGTTCGAAACCGGAAGAGGAAACGTCTAATGTGTTTCGCTTTAGTGGTTCTTTGCTATTCCGATGATCCCAAATCGCAACTTCTCTTTGACGCATTTGACTGAAACCGGTTGTCAAGAGTAGATGTGGAGTCTGTTCGTTGATAAAAGTGCATTTGATTGGTTTCACTTTTGAAGCATGAGCAGAAACGATCTCAGCTGCTGTATTGGATCCGCCTTGACGAGCATCCCATAGGTGAACAGTTGCATCTTTGCCCGAACCGGCAAGTAAGCTACCATCAACAGACCATTTGATATCGTATTGCGGTGTTCCTGCGTCCCAATGTGCAACATTCGTACCTGCCTTTACGTCCCACAGCTGTACAATGTTGCTTTGCAGGGAGCTAGATGCCAACAGTGATTGTACGTTTGGGTGAAATTGCAAGGATGTGACGCTTCCGCTTGTGCCAGCCTGTGATGATAAGCTGGTTTCTCCAGACGATTGTGCTGGCAATGCCACAGTACTCTGATCTGCACTTCCCTCCAATTCAGGCAAGTTGACATTTCTAACACTGATTGCACCAGATAAAGAACCAGCTGCAAGTAGTGTCCTGCCTTGATCCTCTTGCCATTTTGCTAGATCGAAATCTCCCAAAACACCTTGACAAATGCCATGAAGTAGAGGTGGTTGTTTTGCGTACTTTTTGGGTGCATTTGACGGTAGGACTAACAATGAATTCGGAGAAGTACTGGTTCGAGCAAATATATGTCCCGAAGCAGCCGTTACACCGATCACTCTTCCAATTCCACTATCCGGTACACTTCCAATTCCTAATTCTGTAAATCTTTCCAATGGTTTTGCTGTCGTTAATGTTGCATTTCTATAACGAGATACCTGACTGAAACGTGAAGGTGGCATCTTTGTCTAGGTTTTGAGGTAGTAAAGAAAAGAGAAGCAATGGAAGAATAATTAAGGTTGTTGTGTTTGCTGTGCCTGAACAATTAGTCGGAAATGCAGGGCGTCTCGCTGGCTCTTACCCCGGGAAGGCTGTACCCTTGCTTCTAATGTGGAGAGAAACAGCATGCTTTTGGTGATAGATACTACACACATCCTATTGACACAATCCTATAAAACACTTTTGTTTATGTATGTAAGAAAGACAAAGAAAGCATGGATGGCAAGGAGCAATTTTTTATCTATGCATGTTGTTGCATGTAAGTAGGTAATTAGAGAATCGTCAAGGGAACAAATACAAAAGAAAAAAGAGTCGATAAAAGACAAAATGCATGAAACCGAAAGCAGAGGAATAGACAGAAAATACACCGGGTTCTTGAGACAGTCTTGCCATCCTCCCAATCAACTGAGAATGGGTAAAAAGTTTCCCACAATCAAAGAAGGAAGATCAAAAATATCACGTTTGATGGAAAAGCATGCTGCACACTTTGTTGTTTGTCCTGTTGATGTTTTCAATGTGACGGGCATCATGATTGATTGGGCTGTATTCTCAAATGCATGCAAAGCAAACTTTTCCCAATATTCCAATATACTGGGCTTATCGAAGAATTCGTAAATATAACGTCCCATCAAGTATTCTTTCGACCATTGAGATAACATGCTGAACTCGTTGCCCACAACAACAATTTCACACGTTCTACGCCATACCACTGTTGGTGTACCGGAAAAAGAGATTAACTTCTCGAATTCCAAAATGGTACGTTGGATACTTCTCTCGACAAACACTTCATCATCTTCCGTTAACGGCATTTGCAGAGCGATAAGAGAAGGTCGAAAGATTGCCAAAGAACGCACGATTCGCAAAACTTCAGCTTTCTCCAAATTGGCTGTAGCATATTTGATCAAAAAGTGATAACCTTCCGTGTACGGGAAAGGCCTTGTTTTGTCACCATAAATATGCTTCACACGTTCTTTCCAAACTGCATCTGGTTTATGATCCAAGCCGGCAGCGGCAGCAGCAGCTGCGGCTTTGCTTGCTTGAACGTCTTGCTCTGATGCATTTGCCAATGCATGTCCATGTTGCTTTGCGTCCAAAACTGCACGACCGACAGCGTCCATCTGATTGTGAGATTGCGTGCCATCTTTCGGAGAAGGAACTTCCAAGGCATCATATGCTGCCACAGCGTCAGCTGCCGGTGTTGCTCCACCACCCATTGCACTCGTCGCATCAAGATGATGAAGTGGTTCAACCGCTTGAGAGGCAGAATCAGGGTAAGGATGTGAATTGCCAGGCGTACGAGAGGGATCACGCCAAGAAGGAATGTTACTGTTACTTGTTGTTTGTTGACTGGAGTATTGCCATGGCATACTATCGATACCCATATGAGAAAAAGCAGAAGTGTTTTGATATACATCTCCCATACCACCATTATCCGGCGTTTCATTAGAAGGTCCTGCTTGATTTTCTGGGCTACCACTTAGCCAAGTCGGATCAATGCCGTTGAGCATGCTCGATAAGATAGAATACTCCAACGAAGCATTTTCGCTGCCAAACACATTTTGAATACTTCCACTCTGTCCGGAAGCGGGAGAGTAGTCGTTTAAGCCATTATTGTAGATATCTGCATGACGTTGTTGATCGATATTGCCATCACCTAAAGGTCCGATAAAAGGTCCGATCTCGTTCGGAATGCCATTAGGTGGTGCAAAGGCAGCCATGTTTAGATTGTTTGGCGTTCCCCAATTCGGATTGGACATCGGAGGTGCATCAAACGGTAACGGAACAGGTGCAGGTTGATCTTGTTGAATGCTTACATCTCCATCATCATCTTGTGATTGGTCAAATGATTCATCGGCATTCTTGTTTACTGCTTTTCGTTGTTTTTCCTTTTTTAGCTCTAGCAATTCATCATCATCGAGTAAATATTTGGCCTTCTTTCTCGCACCATCCGTACAAGTGTCTGCTAGGCCCTTTTTCACACAACGTTCACAAGGTCGCGAATCGTCGCAAGTTAAATGTGCTTTTTGACAATGAGAACATGCCCGATTTGCTTTTCGTCTTCTTGCAGGTTTATCTTTTAATTCTGGGTCAGACTTTCCGTTAGCAGGCTGCAACGCCTTGGTCTTTGCAGCCGAGGTTGATGCGGAAGAGGATGAAGAAGATGAAGGCGATAATCGCGATGCTGCTGCCGTATTTGTGCTCCTGTTGCCATTCTTTGCACTTGTACTTGCTCCATTATTTCCTTTTGGCCGAGCTTTTGTGGCAGGAGTGGATGTGCTTGTTGGTTTGGAGTTTATCAAATCATCTCTGTTCAACGTTGTTCCGTTATTGTTCTTCAATTTTCCTTGTTCACGTTGAGCTGCCAAATGTTGCAAGACCGTTGCACCAGTTGAAGTAGCCCATTGAATCGGTTTGGATTCAATCTTAATACTTGACCTTGCAGGAGCAGTTGTTGTTGTTGGTGCTGGTTTAGAGGTTGAACCAGATGAGGATGCTTGTGACGCAGAAGGTTGAACAGCAGCGCTCATGACGAATCCGTTGCGATTGCGTTGGAGTAAGATTAAAGCAGCATTTGATTAATCGTTACACCAAAGGTGATGTTTGTTGTGCAACAAAAAGGTTCTTTAAAGATGATATGGTTGTGCAAGAAGTAGCTTTCATACGTTTGTGTTTTTCTGAATAATTGACCGGTTATGACAGAACCTGCAGGGCGAATGAATGATTCATGCATATATGCATTTCACTACGCGCCGAGGTAAGCTAGCCTGTCTGAAGAGAGAGAGAGCATTTATTCATTCAATCATACAGTCATCCTTCTTTACCGGCTATTCTGTCTTCCTTTTTCTGACCCTCCCACAATTCTTTCTAGAGAAAACATGGATACAACACATACATATATTGGCTGGGCGTAAGACTATTTCTTGACCACAACAATCGATCCTCTTTAATCAAAAATGCAGGGCTCAAATTATATTCATTTGTTTTACCCCGCTCGCCGAAAAAGACTAAAGACTAAAGGCCGATCAGTCTGAGTGCGCCAAATGGCTCTTTCTACTTCTTGGCGTAAAAAAAACAACACTGCTTTTCGAAATATGATGACGATGATTGCATTCTTGACACATTCTGCAATTCAGTTAATTCAGCCAACGGCTAGAATCAAAGAAAGAAAGTTCCGTCAGAAAAAAGCACGAAAGAGGGGAAAAGGGAATGGGCGTGAGAATTAAGCGGAGTTGATTCGCTGAAATAAGATGGGGTTGTAACCTTCCACAAAGAAAGCACATTATTCTCTGTCTGCCAAGTGATGTGTTCTTCAGCCGAAAACGTAACCTCATTGATCGTCGGAGAATATCAGCTGTCTACTAATCATTAGCTAAGTACTGGGCTACAAATTAGCCTTTCAACACAGCACCATTATACAATACCGTCCAGACCTTATCAGTTCCGTTGAGTTTGGTTAGAAGCTTTACAAATAGTCTTTGCGAACAAGATGATGATGATGAAGCACATCTGTAAATGCTCAAATCATAAAAAGTCACGTGCTAGAAAAGGACCAATGAGAGTTGCAGTGTTGCAAACCTACGCGCATGGCGCTGGCCTGAAGTGATCATTGGCTAGCGTTAGAAAGGGCACACACATACACACAATCATGGACGTGCATCCTTCTCCTCCATCTTACCATCACAATCAACAAAGATGTCATTCAGGGCTACTCGTACCCTATTGGAGGAGGGAAAACAATATGCTTCTTCTCACAAATACACATACGTAGAAGGAAAGACGCCTTTCTGGCGCAAATTCAGAGAATATATGGTGGTCAATCCAGAAATCTCTTCCGGTTTACCCGATCCAACAAAAAATCGTTATCCAACACCAGGATCTAGAACTGAACGTGCAGCTATTCCGCCATCAAGATCATCAGGTGAGCATTGAAGCGCTGTGTATTTTATGCAGAGCATTTATCCTGACGTTTTCTCTTGTTTGATTCTTTTTAACAGATGTCGCTGGTAATCTATACTACAATCGTGATTTCAGAAGGAAATATCCCAGAACAGAAATGATCACACAATCTCATTTGACACAATTATTGCTTGCAGCACCAAATGAAGATGGTACCAAAACGTGAGTATATAACAATGTGATCCAAGTTGTATTCCACGTACTAATCGATTCCATTCTTGCTTGCTTTATCACAGACTTGCCGCACCTGGTGAAGAATCCACCTCAACCTCTTTGACAAGACCGACTGATCTAATGGCACCTTCTGCATTCACACAAGTTTTAGCACAAGTTCATTCTCCTAGCAGCGGAGTAACCCATTATTCCGCTACAAACTTGCCGCCCAGACCACCATTCGTTGGACCTCAACATCTTCTCAAAAAGGCTCCAGGCGCAGTTCCACATGATCCTCATGCATATTATCCTGCAGAGAACTACAATTAGAGGATGAAGTTGGGAAGGCGGTTTCACATAGTAGATGTATTGATGCCCGACTAGAATAAATGAACGATTTCAAGAATTGGCATTATTGATCTGATTTGATGCGGAAGCTAAGTTTGCATAATCGGTGATGGATCATATTACTCTAGGTCATCTTTATCATCACACCGAAAGTTGATCCTTTATCATGTGTTTATCGGGCATCTTGTGCAATTGCTACCTCTCTAAGTCTTGATGATGATTAGCCCTACTCGTGCGTACATGCGTGTAGGCACTGGGCGCGTGCCTTTTTGAAGCTTGAATTTCCCGGTTAAATTTCTTGGAAAAAGTTGCTTACCGCGTAAAAGTCATCGCAGGATAAATCATTCGTTCTTGCACACAATCATACCCTTTCGATCAACTCGTCGTATCATCGTCATACGAACAGGATCAATCAATCATTATGGTGCGTTTCTATCCCAGCCGCTTAGAGAAGTAGGATTTGTACTGACGTTCTTTCTTCCCTCTCACTTCTTCAATCTTTCTTTGCTCCATCTGATCCTTGCCTGATACAAATTATCAATTCGTCATCCACCGTTTTGCCTTGTGCTTCTCTCTACCCTTCCGCCCCACACCAACAGATCATTCCAGTTCGTTGTTTCTCATGCGGAAAAGTGATTGGAGATAAATGGGACGCATACATTTCTCTGCTCGTACAAGGAGAAGAAGAAGGACCGGCTTTGACAAAATTGGGATTACAGAGATATTGCTGTAGACGAATGGTGCTGACGCATGTTGATTTGATCGAAAAGTTGTTGCATTACAACAGTGAGTACACAGCGAAGTGGATGGTTGATTCAACAATGCTCTCGTTACTCACACAAATCTTCCTCTTTCTTCCTCCCTTTGCACAGTCCACGAGAAGCGCTCTTCGGCAGCTGCTATGTAGGCAACCACCTCATCACCAAAAGATGAAAGGCAAAGCGGACTGTTCTCTACTGCTTTCGACTCATCCGCATCCTCTGTATTTCTAGGCACATTCTAATCACCATCTGATCTTCTTTCTTCTTTGCACATTCCTGCAGCTCAAAAGAAGCCTCGGGTTGCATCTACCGTTTCATCGGAAACGATCTATTCGAGGAAAATTAACAGACTCATTCTCTCTCTAAAGCAATGCGTTATCAGATGAAATGATGTGGTAAAAAAGATACAATTTTTTATATTTCACTTTGGGTAAACTCTAAGTGCTCGTCAGATTTTAATGCTATGTTTGCTTTTTCGATCACAAGAAATAGTCTGGTACCCTTCTTGATACCAATGGTTCGCCCGCACGAGGTGCAGGATCGAATTGCAAAAAGGTGTATTTTAGGTTTTCGTCAATTTCCATAATAGCAGCTTGATTTCCACATCTGTAACAATAATTTGGCGCACTGAAAATTGTTACTACATTCCGTTCTTGTGACCAATTGAAACCGTCCATGACCAATTGATGCGCCCGAGCGACGAGTGTTAGACCATTGTTGTGATTGAATGCTTCACTGATATCCTGTCCAAACGTATAACCTGCTCCACGTGGACTGATTCCCCATCCACATCGATCATCGGGATCGGACCATAACAGGTCACACATTGGTCCTTCGTGTGGCACTTCTTGAATACGATCGATAGAGCGAATATGATCAAGGGTATCGATGGAAGGCGAAAGACCTCCATGCAAGCAAAAGATTTGATCATCAATCAATGCGGTCAAAGGAAGGTAATCGAACAAATCTGTGAAATATTTCCAAACGTTTGCGTTTCCGTATTTGCGCAAGCATTCATCGTAGAATCCGTATACTTGAGTGATTTGACGAGATTCGTGATTACCACGAAGGATGGTGACTCGATCGCGATATCGTACTTTGAGTGCAACCAACAAAGTAACAGTTTCAACGGAATAATAACCTCTATCGACGTAATCACCCATAAAGAGGTAATTCGTATCGGGTGAATTTCCTCCGATTCTGAATAATTCGGAAAGATCATGGAACTGTCCATGGATATCACCACAAACGGTGACAGGGCATCGGACAGGTTGTACGTTTGATTCATCCAATAAGATCTCCCTTGCCTTATCGCACAATCTTTTCACGTCATTCTCTGACAATTGTTTGCAATCGCTCAAATGGGCGATCCATTGATCTTGTTCTGAAACGTCGACCATTGTTGTTGGTGTGTAGGATGAGTGTGTTTATTCGTCTCCTCTTTTGGAACTGTGTTGATACAGAAGTATATGGAGAATGCTCTTGTATTTCGTGATGCCGGCGTAAAAAGGTCTTCTATATGTGTCAACCAGGCGCGAGGTATGTCTAAATCGACTTGGTTACCGTATGATTGCAGTTGTGCCAGATGTGGTTTCTTTTGTCCTTATGGCGATGGCGTAAGATAGATGGTAAAGAGGTGTAAAGATGACCAAATGTCTGTCCGAGTCGTGCCTCATTGCACATGAAGCGACGTAAGGCTTAGCCTGTGTGTGTTGGGCTTGATTGATACATGCCTGCGTGTATACACCGTGCGCGCGCCAATTTGCTCTGTGCAAGTGCTTTTCAAAATCTACCTTTCTCTTTGGCTCAAGAAGGAAGCATTCATTGGCGTATGTACCCACCCACAAGGCCTACTTCATTTTCCACAAATGCACAAAACAAGAAGAATCGACCACGCGTATTGCACGAGATTAAATATACATTATTGTATTGTTTTTGCAATTTTGTATTCATTCCCGGTTAGCGGCTTCTGTAGAGTGTATTCGTTCATTCATTACGCGCTGGCTTGTTAGATCGATAGAGCGGGCGTAATAGACGAAGAATCGCATATGATCATCGCCAATGCTATCCTTATCACGATCGTTACCTAAAAGAGGCCAATCGCACAATAATGGTCGCAGGATTAGCACGTATCGCTCTAAGGTCCACGCCTTTGCGTGCGGCAACAACTTCATCCAACAAGATGACCATCACACGCTCATTACATTCTTCCAGCATAATGCGTGCCGAAGTGGTAGACAAAGATCCTCAATTGGGTGACTATCCTCAATTCGAGCCAAGAAGCACACAGAGTCGTCGTGATGATCCAAGATATTGGGACAGACAGGAGAAGCGAAACTTTGGCGAGACTGTGAGTGAAGAGAACCAATCTTCATACAAAACTCCTCACTAACCATTTAACCCCTCTCTTATCAGCTTCATGAACAAGACGATGTTTTGGGTGTTTGGGCTCCTGATTTGCACGAAGGTGTTAAACCTGCTTCAGCTGTTCGTCAACTCTTGTTGGCCGCAAGTTTGTTTGCCAGCTTTGGCGGTTTGGTCTACATTAGCTTACCCGATCGTCCAGCCGTTCCAAGAACTTATCCTCGTGATGGACTAGCAAACGAATTGGGCGGAGCACAACAAGCAGCCCTTGCAGAAGGAGCATTTGACAAACAAGAGGAAGAGGAAAGCGGTGAAGATGATGAGTAAAAGTGCGATACACCATAGCCTATCAGTGAATGGGCTCGGCTTCAATATAATATCTTCAAAACGATAATTGTGCATGCGATTGGTAATTGTGCGATTTGTAAGGCTACAGTGTATAAGATGCGTTTCCATGTGCAAATGCAGGGCAGGGGAAGGGGATTAAGTCTACTATAGTACATTTTTGTAATCACACGTCAGACAAGCTGCTGCTTTCACTAGATTGTCGAGCGCTTCTTCGGAAAAGTTCTTCTCTAGATGAAGAAGCTGACATTCTTGGACGCATATCTGGCTTGGCCCGGCTTGGTGGGAGGGAAGAAATCTCGTCCAAGCTCATGTTACGAGCTTGAGATAAAGTCGTCTTTCCAGGAACACCTTCCGAAAGTCCTGACTTTCTCTTCCTTTTGACTGCTATTCTCGGTCTCCATTCTTCATCTTCGACTTGTTCAATATCTCCTCCTTTCCTGCTATTCTTTTTGTTTGTTTGTGGAGCTTTACGCTTTCTGCTTCCCGCTTCCGTACTGCCAGCTTTGCCTCCACGTCCACCACGAGATCCTTTACCGCGGGTGGCTTTTCTCGGAGCTGATTCTTGCGGCTCTTCTTCTTCAATGTTGGCTTCAGCTTGCACTGCATCTTTCCTAACAATCGGTCTTGACCTCTTTCCCATCTCTTTACCGACCATACCCTCAGAAACGCCGTCCAGCGCTCTGTTTTCTCCATCGTCATCTTCATGATCGTTGTTATCATCATCGGAAAGAGCTACAGGATCATCTTGACCTCCTCTTCGTGAATTTCTCTTGTCAGACGCTTTTTTGCTTTCACGGAAATTGGTAATCACTTGTTGCAATCTAGAGCTACCATAGGCAGGTCTTTGTCTTCCAGCGTAAATACCACTGGACCCATTCCCGAGATCGAAGAAATTGCCTCCGTCCAAAGTGCCTTGCGTTCTACGACTTCTTCGATTTTGTTCTTCGATCGCAGGGATCAAATAATGATCAGTCTTTTCACGATCCCAACGAAGGTATTCGTTGAAAAAGCTTCTCAAGCTATCCAAATCCGGAAGACCCCATTGAAAAGCTTCTTCTGAACTATCGACAACAGGTTCGTAATATGCATTCAAAACATTCTCATCAGGCCAATTATCGTTCAAATGCACTTTATTACGCAACGTTCTCTTGATTCGTTTTAAAGTTGTGTTGCACGTATCTCTCGGAGTGTCTTGTCCCATTTGAACTTTTAACCACCAGTCCCTGAATTGAACCAAACCGTCATCTCCAATAAAGTTTGACAGTATTTCCATTGCCAAAACAGGACCAACACCTTCTAGTCCATCGGTATAATCACTTCCTAGCAAATAAGCCAATTGTACTAGCTTGGTTCGATCCATACCTAAATCGTGCTGAAGGTCCGATAATTTGTAACATTCGACAAACTTTTTATTGTTGAACATGTTCTTGTAGATAAAAGTGCCTCCAAAGAGAAACACATCCGAATCATCGGTGATGATACCGTCTGCTAGACCAATCGAAACGAGCTCAGCACATTGGGCTTCTGCTTCCATTGGCGCCGTGATATAAGGCAAGCCAAAGAGCCTCAACATCAGTTGAATCTCTTTTGCCATTTGAATCGTAACATCACCTTCATTACGACGTGTAGCAGCATGTTCGCTTCGAAGTTTGTTCACTTCATCTTGCACTTCTTGACGAACTTCATGAAATCCTCTTCCTTTTGCACGACTCAAGAAGCTGATAAATTCATCTTGATCGCCTTCCATATGTTCTAGATCTGCTTCGTCCTGCGCTTCCATAGCTTCAAGCTCTGCCGCTGTCGGAAGTGGGAAACCATCTGGACCAAGCACGACCTCATCTTCTGCTTCAGGAGAAGTTGATCGCGATGACCAATCTGGTGAGTATTGTGGTTGAGGTGAAGCTTGTCCGTCCGAGAGATATGTATCTGGCTGCATAACATCTTTGGCAATCACGTCAGGCACATCACCTTCCTCTTCTGCCATTGACACGAGATTGTCAAACTCCACATCATCTTGTGTATTGCTAGTGGTATTTGCATTACCTAGTGAGACATCATCGATATCAATAGGGTCATGATCATCTTGAGCAGCCTGTTGATGTCGTAGGCCTCTCTCAGGTGAGTGGGACGGGGATGCTTCCTTAGATGGAAGATCTTCTTCAGAGAGGAAAGGCGAATCAATTTTGGATGATTCGGCCTGAGACGCCTGGGAAGGGGAATCTGTAGGTATGCTTATCACATCTGGAGCGTTTTCATCCTTTGGTGTTGGGATGCTTTCGATCGTGGAAGGGACCTTCTGCGGTGAGAATTGCTCTTGCACCTGCTCTACAGATGGAGATAGAGATCGCTTCGGCGATATATCTGCATCTTGCTCCGTTTGAGGTGGTATGGGCAATTCTTCTCGCTGAGATGTCTCATCATTCCCGTAGCTCTGATCGCCCTTCTTCTCCTCGGTGACAGCATCAGTAGGCCTGTCTACAAATTCCACTACCTTCAATGTATTGCCTTCTTCATCTTGCTTTTCGCTCATTTTCTTCTGGGTAACGATGTCATCCTTTGGCCCAAAGCTTGGTGAGATAGCCTCAAGATCATTGAGGTCGCCATGCTCTGAATCATCGGATATTGAGATCGCTATTTGGGCGGCTTTGGGAGATTTGTGACTTGGCTGCGATTCCACCTTTTCTTCCTCATCAGTATGACTTTCATCTTCATCCCATCTCATCTTGGTCAAAAGCTTAGGATTCAGTCTCTCCGGATATCCTTCCTTATCGTACATACGAAATCCCAAGCCTCCTCTAGTTTTGGTAGCCCGTCCAGCAGACGATTCCTCTTCCGGTGGTGATTGAGGTTGAGCTGAAATTGAACTCAATAGGTTCTTGCCCTTTGCAGGAGATCGTGACATCCTCAAATCTTCGGTAGTACCACTCTGTTTGGATGCATCTTTCAGTACGTCTTTGTAGAATGAGCTATAATCGTTTGCAGCAAAGCCATGGGTATCAACGTCGTCCAATTCCAGTTCTTCTTCCTCTCCTTCTGAATTTTGAGCGTCTTGAGCGGATTCATGAAGTGCTTTCGATAGATCTTGGGCCTCATCAAGGTCAAGCTGATCTTCTTCTACCTCGCCAGTAGACACAGAATCTTCTTCCAAATCCGAATCGTTATCAGAACTTTCTGCTCCAATTCTTTCGAGATCAAATTCATCTTGTCGGAAAAGTCCATTACCGTTTCGTTTGCCAGCGGTCTTGCGAGAAGAGCTTCCTGCCTGCATCTTGGAAAGCTCTTCTTCCATCAACTCCCGATCATCAACGATACCTTTCTCTTTAGCTTTTTCCTTTGCCAATTCACGAGCTCTGCGTTGCAGCAACTCCCTTGCTACATTCTTTCGGGCCATTGGATCATTCGGGTTGGCTTGAAGTATCTCTTGCGGTATATCGTTGATCGCCTTAGGCTGAGAGGCCACATCTTCATCGACCGATACGTCTTCCAGATCAATCTCCTCATCGGTATTTCGTCTCTCGTAGTCATCTTCTGCCGTTGTTGCTGAGGCAGAATCACCATCAACGCTGATTGCTTTCTCTTGCGTGGTACCAACATCCCTCACACCCAAGATGAATCCGGCTTGATCTCCTTTGTTCTTGATCAAGACATATTCTCGATTTCTGGCACCTGCTACTCGGATGGGAACCTTGATGTGTGCATCACCAATTTCGTCAGTCACTTCCAACACCTTTTGAGTGAGCTCGTTACGTGTTTTAAGACCAGCAATCTGAGCTCTTGAGAAATCGATCGGAGTAGGTGAAGAGGCCAACATTGCTTGAAGACGTTTATAAGAAGTACCACGAGAAGCAGCTCGCAAATCACCAACCAATTCATATTGCAATTCTGTCGGCAAGGAACGAAAGAAGTCCGAATCTAGATCCATATCCGTTGGCTGGATGGAGGATAGTAAGGATCGCAGCTCTCCTTCTGTTGCAAACCGAATATCGGGTCTTTTGCCACCTCCGCGAGCATTACGTGCAGCGGCACTATTCTCAGCAGTAACAGTTGCCATATCCCTTTCTAGAGCAGGTAGAGCATAAGGATCCTTGTGCCACTGATCTCGCTTCTTCTTTCTTGCTTCTTCGCTTTCTTTCTCTTTTCCACGAGAATTTGATGTATTGATGCTACCATCGTCAATAGCATCTGCTCCAATGGCGGAGTCTAGGTTTTCAACAGCAGCACTAGCACCTGTTGATCCGGCTAGGTCGTCCATGTAGACCACATTCGATCCAAGTCCATGCTCTCCTTCTTCCACTTCCTCCTGTGCTCCACTGGGACCGGAAGCGCTGACATGTGCCAAAGCTGCTTCACGCATACGAGCATGCAAAAGCCTTTCTGCTACTTTACGATGATCATCTCTTGCACCGGTCTTTCTAGTTTTTCTGCCGGCCAAAGTTTTGCGTTTGAGCACAGGTGCACCACCATCAAAGACAAAGATTGGTCGAACGCCAAAATGAATCAATTTCAAAATTCTCCATAAGAAACCTAAAATATGAGCATTTGATAATGTTCTGCCTTCTTTATCTCTCATTGCCATTTGAAAATGATAAAGCCAAATCGAACTATCGATTGCTAATCGTTTTCCTTCTAGTGATTCCAACTTTGTCGGACGTGCACATGGCTGTAGCAAATGCCACAGCCCTTGAACACCCATGGCAACATGGAGTGATGTGGTTGATGGTTGCAACGAGAAAGTATGTTTCATTGCTGAGAATAATAATAACTTTAGCTCAGTTACTTACACCCAGGGTGGAGGATATGCATGAGAAAAATATAGTACGCGTACAACAATTGACACAAAACATTCTTGCATCTTCTCCTCATCATTCTCAATGACAACAAAGAATACGGCTGCTGGTGGGGCAGGCGTTGGTCCTAGTAGACGAAAGTGGGACGTAGAAGAATACACGCAAAAGGCACGCGATCGTGATCGAGAAGAAAAAGAGAGAGTACAGGAGAATGAAGAAAGAAAACGAAAAGGTCAAATGCCAATACAACGATCACGAAAACGAGAAGAAATCGCAAAACCAACACAAGATCTTCAAGCAAGAAAAGATGATTTGCAAATAACCAAAAATCAAGGAAAAACCTTGATGGTAGAAAATGAACCCGGAAAAAGGAAAGGACCAGGATTTTATTGTGATTTGTGTAATCGAACATTCAAGGATAGCATTGCTTATTTGGATCATGTTAATGGAAGGTTGCATTTGCGGAAACTTGGACAGACAACACAAGTTGAACGTTCTACATTGGAGGAGGTACGCGAAAGGTTAGAGTACTGGAAAGAGGAATTTCAGTCTCGTAAAACAAGATCGAATGAATACGATTTCGAGAAACGATTAGCAGAATTGGCCGAACAACAGAAAAGAGAAAAAGAAGAAAGGAAGCAAAAGCGAAAATTAGAGAAAGAGGCAAGAAGGGCAGGGGCAAGCAAGAGCGATGCAATGCTACAAGACGGCGTAATTGCATCGGATGCAGATTCAGATGCAATGGCAATGATGGGCTTTGCCAGCTTCGGTACCAGCAAGAAGCGGTAACAGCAACGATTATGGATGAGTGTAATTTTAGTGTACTAATATTGTATCTGTGAATGTGGTTATGTGATGCGATGATATTGAATTTTAAAAATACTGAATGAAATACATATGTCTTATCTATGATGCATATGACAAAGAAACTCATGCAGCATGAACAAGCGAAAGCTTGAAGGTGTTTTCGTTGATCTCTTGTTCTTCCTCAATGATGATGGGCTTGCCTGCAGGTCTTTCGCTGACAGGCAACGGCTTTCTTCGCATACTCTTGACGAAGTAGTCGGTTTGTGTGCTAAAGCATGCTTTCAATGCATCACCCATTCCTTGTTCGAAGGAGTAGAAAGCATCAACTTCGTCGGTGGCCTGTAAATTGGCCTTCTTACGAAGCTTTTGAATACGGTTCACCAATTCACGAGCCGTTCCTTGATCTTGCAATTCGGGATGCACTTCAAGATCCAACAAAATCACAGCTGATCCGTCTGTGTGACTATCCCATTTGCCTTGTCTTCCTGTAAGATCAACAGCTCTTGTGACGCGCAAATCGCCTTCGACGAGATCAATTCCAGCAACGGTGATCTTCTTTGTGAGGTCGTATTGTTTTGCTTCTTCGGAGCTGACACTGTCCAACCCCTTCTTCACCTTTGGCATATCCTTCTTCAATTTGCGTCCCAAGACAGGCCAATCTGCCAAGAGCTTGAATTGCACACCACATTTTGTTTCATCACTTGTCAATGTCAATTCGCGAATGTTCAATTCTTCTTCGACGTAAGATGAAAGAGTTTTGAGGTCATCGAGGTATTGTTGATCTCCATTGTAAACGACCAATTCCTTGAGTGGAACACGCAAAGGAAGGTTATTTCTCTCACGAACTGTACGTGTCAGTTCGATGACTGTTTGCAGTGCAGCGAATTGACGTTGAATGACTGGGTCTAGGTATTCTTGACGTACTTCGGGGAATGGCAAGAAGTGCACAGAGCGATGATCCTCCCTACCATTAAGCTCTTCTGGCAAGAATTGTCGCAAGCCTTGGTACAGATTCTCGGTCAAAAATGGTGTAAAGGAGGACAGAGTGCTGCACAAAGTCAACAAAGTCTCAAACAAAGAGTTCAATGCAGCCGTTGTGTCCTCAAGTCCGTTTTCACCCTTCAAACGACGACGGTTGAAGCGGATGTACCAATTGGTTAATTCGTCAATCATGTTTGTCAATCGTGGCATAACCGTGTACAAACGATAAGCAGCCATTTCTTCTTGAACCAATTTGATCAAACTTTGACAACGTGCCAAAATCCAACGGTCCATGACATTCTCACTCTTAGGTGCTTGTGGATCATACTTGAAATCGACGTCAAAGACCTTTTTGAATAATGCAACTTGTCCCAAGAAGAAGCGGAAACTGTTGACCCATGGCAAGAAGGCCGTAGACAAAACTTCCTTCACACCTTCTTCGCGGAAACGCAGGTTTTCTCCGCGCACGACTGGTGAATTCACCAAGTATAGTCTGACAGCATCTGCACCATATTTGTTGACCAGTAGGGAAGGGTCAGGGTAATTGCGTAAAGATTTACTCATCTTTTTACCATCAGCAGCGAGCACGAGACCCGTTGTGATCAAGTTCTTCCATGGTGCAGTATCAAATAGATGTGTTGCCAAAATGAGAAGGGTGTAGAACCATCCTCTTGTTTGATCGATACCTTCACACACAAAGTCAGCTGGGAAACTTGACATGAATTTCTCCTTGTTCTCGAATGGATAATGTGCTTGAGCGTAAGGCATGCTTCCTGATTCGAACCAACAATCAAACACTTCTTCAATACGGCGTAATTGCCCTTTGCCTTTCTGAGAGGGAATGGTGATATCGTCAATGTGATCACGATGCAAATCAGTCAAGTTTGTTCTCCCAGATAGTTTCTCGAGCTTTTCGATGGAATCAATGTAGACAATCTCTTCGTAATCATCACTGACCCAAAGTGGGATGGGTGTACCCCAGTAACGATTTCTACTGATGTTCCAGTCACGAGCGTTTGCCAACCAGTTTCCGAATCTTCCTTCACCGACAGAGGCTGGCACCCAAAGCGTCTTTTCGTTGTTCTTTGACAATTGTTCCACGATTGGCTCAACACGCACAAACCAGGCCGGGATAGCCTTGTAAATAAGGGGTGTTCCAGATCTCCAACAGAATGGGTACTGATGGCGTAACGTACTTTGCACGATCAATCTGCCTCTTGCCTTCAAGTCTTTTTGGATTTGCTTATCTGCTTCTTTAACATGGACACCTTGATAGTCAGGCACTTCTGCAGTGAAGCGACCTGCTTCATCCACTGGACAAGGCGGTAGGTTTTCCAAAGAAGTGATACCGTTTGCCATTGCGATACGGTAATCGTCGTCACCGAATGCAGGTGCTTGTTGAACGATACCTGTACCTGCGTCGGCAGTAACGTAAGGATCAGCAACGACACGGAAAGCTGAGTCGCCATATTTCTCAACAAAATAGTCGAACAAGGGAACGAATTTCCAGCCTACCATATCCTTACCCTTGATTTCTTGAATCTTTTTGAATTTGGCCTTCTTTGGATCTTTGTATAATGTGGTCAAGAGCTTTTCCAAGATCCAGTAGTTGGCATCCTTTTCTTCATCATGAATCTTGATATAGGTGAAGTCAGGGTGGACACACGCTGCCAAGTTGGAAGGAGTAGTCCAAGGTGTAGTAGTCCACGCCAATAGAGAAGTTTTGGGATCATCAACCAATGGGAAACTGATCACAATTGCCGGGTCCACTGTATCACGATAATCTGAACCAGCCTCAAAGTTACTCAAAGGTGTTGTGCATGCTGTTGAATATGGCATAACGCGGAAACCGCGATATACGAGGCCTTTTTGAAACAATTGTCCGAAAACCCACCAAACGGATTCCATAAAGGAAGTGTTCATTGTCTTGTATCCTCCATCGAAATCAATCCATCTTCCCATTCGTTCGACAGTTTCTTTCCATTCTTGCTGATAACGCATGACGATTGCACGACATTCGGCATTATAAGCAGGGATACCCATCTTCATCACATCTTCCTTTCCTTTGATACCCAACTTTTTGTCAATTTCATGTTCTACTGGTAAACCATGGCAATCCCAACCGAAACGACGGTCAACGTAGTGTCCTGTAGAGTGAGCGTATCTTGTGACGATATCTTTGATTGTACCTGCTAACAGATGTCCATAATGCGGCAATCCTGTTGCGAAAGGTGGACCATCATAGAATGAATAAGGTTTCTTGCCTTTTGATTGTTCTAAAGAAGTACGGAAAGCGTCAATTGCACGCCAATATGCCAATACATCTTCTTCTTGTTTTGGAAAAGAGAAAGACTTTGTAGGATCGTGAGCTGGGAATTTAGCATTCCCGTTCTCCGTCGTCATTTTTGATAATAGCTACAAAGACGACAGGATGCTGTACTGTTTGCTGAAACGATGGAAGTAGAAGACAACAACGCCTTACGTCCGGTTCGCTCTCAAATGCGAAGAATGCATTGGAAGGTGCACTTTTTTTTTCTGCACGCCCGTGTTCCTATGTTTGCTTAGGCAGCCGCCGCGTCAATGTATCTGCAATCAAGGCAAAAGATAGCTTATTCTGTAATCTAATGAGCTACCAACGATGCCGTTAACGAGTCATCATATGTTCTGGCCACTAAAATGTGGCTACGAAGTCACTGCTTTAGCAATCTATAAGAGACATTCTATTGAACCACCTTGCCAAAGTACATCAATTGTAACTATGCTATGACTGTTCCAGCGAAGTGACTCGAACTGTGTGGTCAAATCCACAGCTGGCGACACTACCTTCGTCGTCCAAGACGACAACATCTTTGATAATCGTATTCCCACCACGACTCCAAGAAGATGCTGAGCGCATTTCAGTGTCCAAATTCGCGCTTCCATTAGACTCTCCAGCTGAAGCGGCAATACCGTGAGCATATACTGTAGCTCTCGTTTTACCATGCGTATCTACTAAACGAAGGATACCGTCCTCGCTCGTCAACCAAACGGCCGATCCATCCTTGAGCCAAACATGTCTATTAGCTGCGAAACCGCTTGATGCAACACCTGTCCAGATTGTTGTCGTCCTCTCTGACGAAAGAAGGGGCATGATTATGATTCGGGAAAGGGAGGAGGAAGCAGGTGCATATCCTGTTGATGGAATGCTGTGGTCACCTGTTTGAATTGCCAGATGATTGCCCAATGGATGCAAAGTGAGATGAAGCAAAGAATAGCTTACGTGATAGTCACTTCGGCTCGCATTTGTGTTGAATGCGAGCTCGGTCCATTCTGGGGTGGCTTTGGTGTTCTGAGTATCCTGCTCCGTTACATTGAGCTCCCCTAGCTTTGAGGACACAGCTTCGATACCTTCTCCCGATGCCTCTTCTCCCGGAGCACGCTCTTCATCTGCATCTAGAGGGAGTGCCAGATAATGAACGAAACAGTCACTGCGCATGGTGTATGCTAGCCATGTTCGCTTTTTGGATAAAATGCTTGGCGAATCGCTGACAGCAGGTACGCCCGTTTGTGAGACAAGAGCAGTCTGAGTTTCCTCAGTTCCAGGATCAGATTGATCTGGTGAAAGGGCTGATCGGACGAATACGATGCTTTCAGGATTATTGCGTGTCTTGACAGTGTGTACCAAGGTGTACTGTGTTTTCAAAAGAGGTGGCATGTCCAAATCATCTTCCTCATCGCCAGCGACATTCCTTGGCAATTCTTCACCATTTCGCTTAAAGACACAGATGGTCTTATCATAGCTACATGTAGCCAAATACTGTCCACTTTGTGAAAATGCACATCTGACGACAAACTTCGAATGAGTCTGTATCAATTGAATCGCTTTACCGTGCAACAAATCCCAAACGATCACCTTGCTATCCATTCCACAAGTGACAAATTCTCTCTGGAATTGTTTATTGGGATTTTGTGCTGTACATAGGACTGCGGCGGCATGTTTAGCTTGATCAAGTTGACCTTGACCACCTTCAAAGGATTCCACCATTTCTCCATCGACTGGATCGCTGAATATGATGTTTCGGTCGGCGCCGGTTGAACATATCAATCTTTTTGTAGAGCTGATATATCGTGCTTCAGACGTTGAGAATGATCTATTAGGAAGATCAACGAGCGACAAAGAGAGAATATTGGAAGCATGTAGCTTGGAATAAACATCCTTTAGGCGGAATGGAAGCTTTGAAGGACCAGCAAGTGAAAGGTCCAAAGGTGATCGTTGTGCTGCAAGTCGGTGTAGCTCATTTGCTCGCCTTTGCTTCGCAGAAGATAGGATCGATTGATGTTTCTCAATAATATTCTCTAACCTGAACTCGTCTAAAGTTGCTTGTGTTGAGCTTTCACCTTCTCCATTATTCCATGTCCATCCTACCTTTTTCGATGCTTCTTGTTGAAAAGCTTCTAACGTGGAGGTATACCCATTCCGATCCAAGAATTCAGCAATGCTTGCATGGGCTATCTGATGAGCATCAGAGGGTATATGATTGCCATTGAGAGAATTCATCCTTGCCTTCATCCAACTTGATGGTGGTAAGACTAGGGATGTTCGGGAAGTAAATCCTAACAATTACACCATCCGACGTCCGTGCGCGATAAGCTGGATTTTATCTTCATTTCTAGCACACAATGATGACGGACAAGTACATTTTTGACATTTGATATAACTACTATACATGCAATATGAGTTGTGATGGTTTATGTAGAGCTATAATAGTAATAATCATCGACCAATGGTAGATAATCTCGCACAATTCCACCAATGATACCTAGTAATGGTCTGGCTTCCGTTTTACTAGCCAATGACTCCAACTTTGGACGGGTGAAAGAATACCATGCCGGTCCACGCAACAAATACCACCAGAATGCACGACTTCTCTTTTCCCATTCTTGCTTTTCAACTTCACTAATCGGTCTTGCTTCTTTCGCTCCACTTCCCGTCAATTTGGCCAACAGACTCAAAACACTACTATCACCCATCATTGCCATCAGTAAAGGATTTGCCAAGGGAGAAGGCGATATAGATGCTCCAGGAGGAGTAAGCGCACGAATGCGCATCAATCGAGCAAGATATTCCATTCCCAATGAAAGGAAGAATGGCGTCTTGTGTCGACGACCCCATCGTCTGAGAGCCAAAACGTAAAGAAGAGGACGCAGAATCCAAATCAATTCAGCCGTCACGCCCATCCCATTCTTCAGCTTTCTAACCAAATCTTCCGGCTTCTTGACATCATTCGGTGTCAAAGTACGGCTCATCAGATAATCGTTGACGTCTTTCTCTGTCCATGAATCAACTAAAGTCTCATCAGAATCCGAGCCAGATCCGGAACCTGAATTGTCCAATGAGGGAGAGGCAGTTCCCAATGCTGATCTGCGAGAGGCCAAAGGATGTCTTGATCTAATTCCGTTTGGCTGTGGTGGCCTTTGATTCGCTCCGGGATGTGCACGCTGATGAATAGAGGTTAGCGTTGGTCTTGTCAGTCCGGTCCGAGATCCACGCCAGACATCAGCTTGAGCCTGCTCTTCAGGCGAAAGACCAGACAGGTGGGCTGATGCTGCTAATGATGATGTACTACCGCTTGGTCCTTCGTTGGATGGCTGTAGAGCGTTTGCTAGTGTCGCCTTGCGATCTTCTTCCAGCATGGCCGGATCTACCTCACGCTCTGGGATAGGCGGTTGAATGGAAGTTCGGGTTTCTGTTAATCGTAGCAAGGCCAGTCTTAGCACAGCTTTGACACTTTCGATGCCTACAACCACATCCCAAGCTTTCTTTGGCCCTAGCTTTCTCCGAGCGAGCATTTCGGATAGTAGTTCAACATATCCGATAATCACCAAAACTCGTGCTAATCTACTGTATGTTGAACTTGAGTCGGAAAAATGATGGGTATATCTGGCATGCTCGGAAGGTGTATGCTGTAGTTTGCTATATGTTGCAGGAGGTGCTGGTGCTCCGGTTGTAGATACGGATTGAGGTGTAGCGCTCGCTTGTAAAGCAGAAGTTGATCTGCTCGAATTGATTGTTGACCTGGATGATGAAGAAGATACACCGATCGATCGAGGCATAGATCGTGGCGAGAGCAGCCTGACCAAGATGGAATCATGATAAAGGCCCAACAAATTCAAAGCAGAATATACTGCTTCTCCTGCCAATTCTGAATCGGGAAATCGACCGGGAAGAAAGTAAGTGATACTACGCAGAGAACTTTCCACAGCAGTAATTTGACTTGCATTAGAGAGCAAAAAGCTCTCATACCATTGCAACATCTTTTCTGCTTTAAGGGTGGATGATGGATGATGGGAAGTAGATAAAAATTAACTTTTTTGCACTTGCGCCCCTTCTGTGTATGCATTTATCATGATCAAGCGACCACCCCGGCTTTACCTAATTAAAAGGCCGGTTAAAGGCTAAATCTTGTGAAATGGGGGGATAGAGCTTGTCAGGCTGAGTTAAAGGTTGTTTCTGGAAGCTTTAGCAGACAATACATCCGCCGACGGCTTAAGCGACGCGTAGCCAATTGTGACAGAGAATCCAGGCTATCAAACAGTATAGCTGGCATGGCAGCAGCATTTACCATCAATAAACATGTCTGAAGACGCGCGCCGTTTTGCTGCGCCTTTATCGCCCTGCAGATAATCAATCCTTTGGGGCGTTTGTCACAGAGAAAAGCAAAGACATCCATCTCTATCACCATCACCCACACTTCGACAAACTCTACTTACCAGTCACGCAAACTCGTAAGAACTTCTGAAAATGGTCAGCATCTAGTTCAAGTATATGTTCCGGTTCAAATTTCCCACATTGTACAGCATGCCAATACCCCTGATGTAACCGTTCGTGTTGTGGTCGCCCTATGGCGATCTGGGGATCAGTAAATGAGCGCATTTGAGTCAAAGACAACGTTGCACATCGATATATCCTTCGGCTCTGGAGATTGTCTTACCATGCAAATTGACGGAAGAATGTGGATGGATGCTATTTACAGCAACAAGAAGCCTGATTGCATTTGATGCAAATCTGATTTCACTCGTCACGAAAAGATTTGACTCTCAAAGTTGATCTTACGTTCGACTTGATTTCATCACAGAGCTCTCCATCGCTAACACAGTAACCTCAATCGCTATCGCAGGCTGTTCAAAGCAGATTTGCTCGAGAGTACTTGCATGACGTGACAACGGATTTCTATCAATCCATATCTCGAGCTGATCGGTTATCGTGTCACATAGTCGTGCACTCTGAAACATTGCGAGGGTTGGTAAAAGGATTGAATACAATCGTGCCATTGATGATGAAAGGAGCAAGGGCGGATACTTTGCCACCTACAAACCGATCTACAGTATGAAAAGGGAGGAGGGGCTTTGACCACCACCTCAACACACGAATGCGTTCGATCAATTCTGTCATTCCGTCTTCTGTTAGGCTCGACTTTTTGCCTGCTCGCCTCGTTCTATGAAAAGATCAAGATGCTTACGTTTATACAATTCTCTTGCCGTTATCGGTCTCTCTCCGCTGCATTTCTTGTCAACAGTCAATGAATCTAGACAAGCGTAAGTCATCACTTTGGGGATCTTGGTTTTGATCATAAACACGTATACTCATTCAGCATCGTCACTACAACCCTCCATTTTGGCAATAATGCGACATTCACCCGAACAGCACTTGATGATATCATCAAATCCAACCCAAAGAAGGGACGTGGACCTCGCGGAAACCGTGGTCGCCCTGCTCGTCGTTCAAGCGGTGGTGGCGCTCGTGCCGCTGCTTTAGGTAAAGGTGCTGGCGGTGCTGCTCAAAGTGCTGCTGCTCTTGCCGCCGCTAACCGTGCAAAGGCCCCCGTTGTAATCCCAGGTCGCACACCCGGAGGAAAGCAAGGAAGCAAGATTATCGTTGGTAACCTTCCTCTGGATGTTACTGAATCACAAGTCAAGGTTTGTTTCAATTGGTTCGGCTGAAGTTGCGCGGATAATAGACTGAATCACTCTCGCCTTTGTAATCTTGATAGGATCTCTTCGCATCATCCATCGGTCCTCTTCGCCGCGTAAATATGAGCTACAAAGCCAACGGTAGCTCAACTGGTCAATGCACCGTTGAGTTCCAACGCACCGAAGATGGTAACCGTGCTTATCAAACATACAACAATCGATTGATTGACGGAAGTGAGTAGGCCTTTCGATTTTCACTTTTTTTCTCACTGGATCGGTTCTCTAACGCTATCCCTTTTCCTAAACTCGCAGAGAAAGCACTACGTATCGAAGTTGTTGTCGACCCAGCAAGAGCTATTCAAGATGCACAAGCACAAGCCGCACAATCAGCTTTGGCTTCTGGATCACCAGCAGCAGCCGCGGGTCGTCGTACTGCCAGCCGTCGTGGTGGCCGTGGCGCTCGTGGTGGTCGCGGTGGCGGTGCAGGTCGCACAAAGCAACCAAAAAAGACTGCTGAAGAATTGGATGCTGAAATGGAAGATTGGTCAGGTCAAAACAAGAAGGAAGCTCCTGCTGCTTAATTCTTGTTGAGTCTCGTATGCTTTCATTTTGTTCTGGTCTAACCTTTCAAATGTGCTTTTCCGTGTAATAACCCAACCCAATCATAACCTAACATTGCTGCTACTCTTGAATGTCTGATATGCTATCTCTTTAGATGAATGTGTGAACAAGATGTATGCTGAAGTATGAGAAGAAAAGTACATGTAACACAACCATTTCCAACAAAAAAAAAGAGAGGATATTCTTTATTTTCCCTCGATCTTCACTTGACTTCTCTCCTTTTCCCTTCTCACTTCTCGACGTTCGATTGCAACTTTGATCCAGCCTTGCATATCGACTCCATCCGGACCACGTTCTTTGTCCTGCAGTAACCAAGGATGTTCTAGCATTTGTTTGTACGTACTTCTTTTTGCCGGTACTTTTTCCAAACAGCCTGCCACGAAATCACGAGCGGTGGAAGAATAATAATCTCCGGGTATTTGAGGAGGATCTCCATGAACGATTGCTTGTAATTGTGCAAAGACGTTTGAATACGTTTCGGGAGGGTAAGGATACGTTCCCATCGTTGTTTCAACAATACTCAAACCCAAAGACCAAACATCCGAAGCAACAGTATATGTTCCTAGCAAATTTTGCGATTCTCCTTTGATTCGTTCAGGTGCCATGTAACTCTGACAACCAATATTTGTCTTTGCTAGACTCTTTTCCAACTGCCCAGATACACCGAAGTCACATAACTTTACTTCGCCTTTGCGATTGAGAACGATATTGGTCGGCTTTACATCTCGATGCATGATCTGCAGATTATCCTTGAGGAAGCGTAATCCACGTACTGTGCATCCAACAATTCTTGCCAAAACATCTTCTGGAACGCTGCATTGTCCATCGTACAAATCTTCCAAACTTCCTGCGTCCATAAATTCCATACAATAATACACACAACTTTCGTAAAAGAAAGCTCCGTAAAATTCCACAATTTCAGGTGCGGATGCCCTGTGCAAAATATCGAGTTCCATTATGATTCCGTTTAATTTGCTGTCGTCCAATTCAAGTCGAATCTCTTTCATTGCCATTTCAACTCGAGTTTTTGTATGGCGTACTTTTCGAACTGTTCCATATGCACCTTTTCCAAGTTCATCCAATAGATCTAAATCGTCCATATTGATCTTGAATGAAGTCCCGTTTCGGAACTCAACACCAGAAGCAGATAGCACAGCTTTGCCATCAAATCGAAGTCGCCCAGACGGATCAACGATATTCTTGTGCATGTCAAATGCACTGCTCATTAATCCATTACTGGCCGAAGCAAGCTTTCCTGGAGGGGCCAAACGTCTTCCAGATCCCACAGATCCATTGGGTGCTTTGGAACCCTCGCCTGCCGCACTTCCTTGTCCACTACTTGATTGTTGATTATCACCGCCCTCTTGACCGCTCAAATCACTCAATTTCAATCCAGGTCCTTTCCTTCTATTTCCCAATCCTCCTGCAGGTCCAGAAGGAGGCTTGGCACCTGGCGGCAAGCCTGGTGCAGGTCGAAGTCCCGAAGGCGGGATGCGAAAGTTATTGAAAGATGGATTTGCGCTTGCTGAATTTGATGAAGGTTGACTACTGTTTGTGAAAGCTGCCATGTCTAACTTTTGATCTGCTCGAACCACATTTCCAGTAGCAAAAGGCGAAGAAGGACCTGTAGCCGGAGAAGCATTACCGGAAGGAGAAGCGGCACTTCTGTTTGCATTGGCAGTCAAACGAGCTTGTAAGCTAGGAGGTAATTTTGTCGAAGCCATTTGACGAGTCATTTCATTGGCCGATACTCTTGAACCTGGACCCCCTCCACCGCTGCCTATCCGTCCTGGTCCACCACTGGCAGGTCTCAAACTTGGTGATTGTGTGCTGGGAGAAGAAACGCTTGCCGAGCTTAATCGTGCAGGTGGACCTCCTCCTCCCGATCCGATTGCATTAATGTGTCGGGAGCCTATCGAAGCGTCTGCAGATTGTGAAGTTGTTGGACCTGCATCTTGACTTGAATCACTTTTTGATGATGAATCGAGCGATAGGGATGACTGTGCCTGATTTGACAATTGATTTATACTGTCATCTACAGAAGAGTCGGCCATTGTTGTTGATGTGATATGGGTGTAAGAGGAGATACTCGAAGGGTTCCATGCAACACAAGTATAATCGAGTGGCCCTATGCAAATCTAGGAAGCGAGAAAGCTAGCTTTTGCTTGACGTGCAGTTGTGTCAAGGGCCAATGTGCAATCTGTCTCGATCAGCAATATATCAAATATGCTTCAAAGTTGACCCTGGTATTGATGAAGTGACAAAAGATGAAAAAGTGAATCAATTAAACGGAGGTAACCACTTGTAATTGCGCAGCGCGTGTATAATCAACGCACAGGATCGGAGCTTTCCCTGTGCTCTAAACTGCTATTTCGGCATTTAAATTGTGTTAATTCTCAAGGGCTAAACCCGGCTGATGCGTGGTGTACTTGCTGCACTCTGCGACATTTGAATCATTTCGGTATGGCACACCCGTTACATGGCAATCAGGTAATGAAGGGATATATGGTCACGGGTGCTAATCTGAAATAGAACTGAATCTGATCACGATACGATATAACAGTTATCAGCAATGACCGGGGCAAGGATACAATAGTATACAAATGATGAGAGCAGATGTGCAGAGAAAAGCATGAATTCGCAGAAAGCATTGTTGTTTCAATCACTTCTTCTTCGGATCAGGTTCTTGATATCCTGTACCAGCATTAAACTTGAATGCATCCTTGTGTTTCTTCATCACATCTCCACTTTTGGCCCAACTGGCTTGTGCTTTGTTCTGTGGGGAAATGAGATGAACAGGAGATACGATTAGTGAGATGTGTAAATGCACTCTTCTCTCTACCTCTACCTACCACTTCTTCTTCCCTTGTCAATTTGACTCTATTTGTTTTGACATGCAGACCGTCTGAACTTATATGAAAACCTTTATCCTACAATTCGGAGAACAAAGCGTAATTGAATCAGCTATTATTGTCGATCCCAGTCCCTGCTTCTCATCACACACTCACCTTCATGGATTGACGTTGCTTCTGTATACTTTCGTTCATGGACGATCCTTTGACCGCATATACGATCCCTCCAACGATGGCCAGGCATATGATCAAAAAGATGTAATCTGCAAGAGAAGAGGCGTGTTGTTGCTACTGTAAGCTCTTATCCAGTCCTTCAAATTGGTATCACTAATCTCACCTCCTATGGTCGCCATTGTGTTATGTATATATGCTCTAATATGATCTCTGGATGGTGATATACCTCCTCAGAAAGTCACCTTGAACGATCATACGTCTGTGCATCTTAACATCTCTTGCATGCTTATCTGTATTAGAGTTTTCTGTGGAGAATTGGAGTGATTTCAACAACCGGCGGAGTGCCTTTCTTTCAGTTACTGGTAAGTAAGCGGTGCACTATGTGCCGAGGCGTTCATTATCATTTAGCAATAAAAGTCACAGCCATATAACACGTGTAGGGCGATATCCTTTCAACAACAATCTGGTTGTGAAGATGACATAATCTTCAAATTTATCATCTCCTCCTTGCTTGTGTTCTTGTACGCGCCTACACGCTGCGGTGTTCGGCCGAAAAGTCAAGCTTTACGCGCTGATTCTATAGGCCCTTAGTTGAGCCAACGCGCTGTGGCAGGCCAAGAGCGTTGCAATGAGCGCATTAATCGAAGAAAGTGCACACACAGTCGAGAAGTTTGGCTTGAACCTTAGAGTGCATCTTAGCTGTATGAACCGCAAGCATTTGAGTTGTTCGTACAATTGGTATTGGATTCAAAACTGCAAATTGATCATCTTCTTCTCTCACCGCTATCCGCCGTCGCGATTCAATACAAGAAGTGAGTATTGGAATGATTGGGAAATGGGGTGATACGATGAAGATGCAAAGACGACATTGGACGACCTTGCTCGAAGTGATCGCTTTGGGTGGATTGGATGAGATGGGAGAAGTGAAAGATGGAAGACAGAAGCTGAATGGGGATGAACTGCCGAATGAGAGGAATTACACATACGTACAATCGACATCAGCTTCAATCGCATCAGAGAATTATCTCATCACTCCTACCACCAACACAAAAGACTCGACTTGAAGGACGAAATACTGACCTATATCTCTCATTCCACACCTTCCAGTATATCACCATGGCATCGGTGTCCAACAAGATCTACCGCACGGGCAATGCACCAGCTGGTCCCCCATCCGAAATCGAAACAACTGTTGCACAAGCCCTTTTGGACTTGGAAGCCAACGTTGCTGACTTAAAGGCAGAATTGCGCCCTTTGCAAATCTCAGCCGTCAAAGAGGTTGATGTTAAAGGAGGAAAGAAGGCAATCGTCATCTTTGTCCCTGTTCCTCAATTGAAGGCATTCCACAAAATTCAACAAAGACTCGTTCGTGAATTGGAAAAGAAATTCTCTGACCGCCATGTCGTTTTCGTCGGACAACGCCGTATCTTGCCCAAACCAGGACGTTCATCCCGTGTTAAGCAACCCCGTCCCCGTAGCCGTACATTGACAGCCGTTCACGACTCCATCTTGGAAGATTTGGTCTTCCCAACAGAAATTACAGGAAAGCGTGTCCGTGTTGCAACTGACGGTAACAAGCTCATCAAATGCTTCCTCGACTCCAAGGATTCCACCAGCCTTGAATACAAATTGGACAGCTTTGCAGGCGTTTACCGTAAATTGACCGGAAAGGATGTTTCATTCATGTTCCGTGACGCTGACGGTGTCTAATTGTATCTCGACAAGGATCAAGAAGGACGAACAGAGGGGGGCGGTGCTTTGAATTGCAACGAAGGAAGTGATCGTTGCATTTTTTAAAGCAAAAATATGGTTTTGGCATTCATAGAATGTACTTTACCTTGTAAAAATGTTATTATCCAATAAACAATGATGGTGAGAAAGCGATCTCGTTTATTGGCGTATGGCAGTATTTTCACATACACACACACGCACATATATTTTACATCATGATCATCATGTCACTATAGCAGCTCATTTTAAACCAAAAATCACATTGATTTGCATTCCAATGACGGGTATGGCAGTGGTGGTGTTAGAGAGGGCTGATCGCCTAAAGAATGAGGGAATAAACGAGGCTGATACAGTTCTATCCGGTGAGGACCACCATAATGCCGAGCAATGGCGAAATGTCTCATTATCGGCGCGAAGCATAGCCGTTGCATACAAAGATCAGACAGCTGAATATCCTGACTCGCACATTGATAGCAGTTTCGGAAGGAAGGTACTGCCAAAAAAAGGATTACTGATCAAGATCTTTCCAGTTCTCATGGGAAAAATGGTATGACGTAACAGTCCTTTAGTGCTCTGCGTGCCCTGAGCAAATCAGTAATGGTAATTTGAAGAAAGGTGATGTTTATGCAGCCCACTAAAGAGCCATGAGTATATTTCTATATGATGTTACTGGATAGATTCCAGAATCTCGCCTTTCTTCAGTAGTGATGATTGAGGAAAGTGGAGATTTGGCACGCAGGAAGAATTCAATATTTGTCTTAGCGCCAATTTTTTTGTGTCGAAGTGCGTAAAGTCTAAATTTTAATGAAATCAGATCTGAAATCCATTTTGTAGACCATACCATCATCCCATCAAAGTCAATCAAACTCTGCAAAGATGGCAAGCTCTGCTCAAGAAGGTACAGCTGGACCTTCAAGGCCAGAAGTGAAAGATGGTGACCTTTTACCAGATCAATTGCCAAGAGCTACATCGATAATCGTGATTGGAATGGCAGGTTCAGGTAAATCTACATTTACGTCTTGTTTGCAAAATTATCATGCAGATCAACAGAAAGGGGAAAGTGCAAAGGAAGGAGATGCTTCAACGACGACAGAACCAGCTCCATACTTTGTCAACTTGGATCCAGCTGTGACACAATTGAATTATTCACCCAACGTGGACATTCGCGATACGATTGATTATCAAAGATTGATGGAAGAGTATAACCTGGGACCGAATGGAGGTATCTTGACAGCACTCAATCTGTTTACCACAAAATTTGATCAAGTTTTAGGGATATTGGAAAGAAGAAGTAATGATGTCGATCATATTATCTTGGATACGCCCGGTCAGATTGAAATCTTTACTTGGTCAGCTTCAGGTTCAATTATTACGGATGCTTTGGCAACTGCGATGCCAACGGTAGTTGCATATATAATCGACACTCCCAGAACCTTGGCACCTGCAACGTTTATGTCAAATATGCTTTATGCATGTTCGATCATGTATAAAACAAAATTACCTTTTATCATCGTTTTTAACAAAACTGACGTTCAAGATCATCAATTCGCAATGGAATGGATGGATGATTTTGAGAAATTTCAACATGCACTGAAAGAAACCAGAAATCCAACCGAGCCAATTGATCCAAAACATGGCGGAGCCTCCGTTCGAAGAGGAGATGGTGATGAAGGCACATATATGAATAGCTTGATGAATAGCATGGCTCTTATCTTGGATGAATTTTATAAAAATCTACGATCGGTTGGTGTATCTTCAACTACACAAGCAGGTATGGCAGACTTTTTCGATGCCGTAAAAGAAGCACGAAAAGAATACGTGGACGATTACAGACCCGAACTTGATAGGATCGTAAAAGAACGAGCAGAGAAGAAAGAGAAGGATAAGAAATCGCAATTGAACAAAATGATGAAAGATATGCGGTTGAACAAAGGTAAAAAGAGCGCAGGTCAGGCTGACGAAGAAGAGGAGGCAGAAGCAGCATTACAGGAAAATCTTGACCCGGAGTATGAGGGAGACGGTCAAATCATTGATCCAGATGTGGACGAAGATATTCAAGATGCACAAGAAGACATGTTCCCAAGTGCTGGTGCTCAATTCGGCAAGGATGGAAGCGCTTGGCCAAGACAATTTGGACAAATTGACATGTGAACTTCTTCTTCGCTAACGCATAGCAAGTAATGATCATACTGATACATTTTTGTAAACATACAATACAGTTGTAATTCTATAATAGATACGCCAATTGCTTGATCCGATTCTTTCCATCCTTGTCCAACAGAATCTGCTGAGCACAAATGCGTAAGATTTGCTCATCTGTTGGATTGTCGATTGATGCCACTTTCCCACGTATTTCTTCCAACCATGGCGCACAATTGCCGTTCCTTGATCGAACAGAATCGCGCACATTGCGCAAAAGAGTATCTTTGATAAGCATGCTGAGATGAGAAGGGGATGCTGAAGCTGTTGTATTCGCCTGATCTTGCGTTTTTGCAAATGCCGCAGAGAAGGATGATGCAGGTGCGAAACTGTAGGCTTCGTCATGTACACCCCCGAACCCACTCCTGCACTTTCCTAGCCATGAAATGGCTGTTCCGATGACTTTGGGATCAAATTGAGCCTTTAATGAAGCAACGACTTCTTGAACAAGATAAGCAAGCGGAAGATCTCCGACAGCCAGACTTGCCTCTAATGCATGATCAAGAGCTTTTACACGAGAATACAAGTCCCATTTGTTGTGAAAGCGAGTACGGGAAATAAAATTTAAAAACATTCCACGTAAATCATTCAACGGACCAATCTTGCGCAACACTCGATCGACTTCACCCGGTTCGCAATAATCAAAAGGCTTACTTTTTCCTCCAAATTTGACAGCATGATTTTTGTGTAATCGAAAGATAGCTTTAAAAATGCTTGGAGTATTGCTTTTGACGATACCCGAACCATATCCATACACCAATAATCTTACGGCGGACTCAAGATCTTTGACACCAACCTGATAATTCAGCACGAATCCGAAGAGATTCTCTTCTACTGAAACCTGATCTTGCTCCATCATTTGCAGCGCGTCACGAAAGAGAGCCTGCTGGAATCCTAATGGAGAATCTTGTACCCACGATGGCAGTCTGTTGAGACATGCACGTATCTCTTCTGATTTCGCAGAAGCGCAACATTTCAGGTATTCTGAGTAAGGCTTTCGGCTTCTTGTCTCAACCGTACTGAACTCCCTATAGTGTTGCAGCCAAGATCTTGCACCAACGATATCTCCTACCTTTGCTCTTGCACGAACCAATACGGTCCAAAGATGTTCACTTTCACCCCAATGTGAGATTTCCAATTGATTTCCAGCTTCGCCATATAGATCTGGCATGCGCATAGATTTCTTCTCTTTCCCTGAATGCCCTTCTAGCCTTGCAATAGAATTCGACCACCAACATAGAAATTTCTCGCCCAGCTCTGGCCTTCCCACATTGCTGAATCCATCTATAGCCGAAGTTACAATGCTTGCAGGAATTGCGTTGCAATCGATATCTTCATATGTCATTGTTCCATGAGCAGCCCTCAATTGTGCTTCGTGAAAGGGTACACCGCTGAGTTGAAGAAGAACCAATGATAAGCATTGTGTGAAGGGTTTCAGTTCAAGGTGGATCGAAAGAAGACGCAAAAGTGAAGACACACTATTTGTCGAAGGCACAATGTTCACTGCATTCGCTAAATCGTACAGAGAAACAGCCGCAAAGATTGCCAATGTCTGAACGGGTACTTTTCTGATGTCGTGAGTGGATAGTAGTTGCGAAGGCTTCCAGATCACTTGAGATTGAGGCAGCTTTTGCTGTATGCGATCCCAGTCTGATCCATACGATCTACCAACATTGGTCAATGATCGAATCATTCTGTCGAATTGAGACTGATTGATGAATAAGGTGTCCTTGCTTTGGGTACCTTGCAAGATTGGCATCAACGAAGCTAGAACGGCTGACATTGGCTCAATGATCTGACCACTTTCCACTTCTTTCACCATAGACTTCAGCCTTTTCAACACCTTCGCTTTCGTATCCAAGATTTCGTTTCGGTACGGGTCTATTCGTATGCTCTTGTACTCTTGCTGCTTGACTGGGAAACTTCGTCCAGGCTGATCGATATTCTTTTGCCAATGAAAGCCTATTGGGGAATCGATGAGCAACGACATACCAGATAGAGGGTGAATGTTGGATTGTTGGGTATTGACTGATGCCTTTGTATCTGCAGATGTCGTGAATCTTCTTGTTGGAATAACTTTTCCATATTGAGCTGGTTGCTGATACAATGCTTTCGACCAGCTTTGAACGACATTGTAGAAGCCAATAAAGGCTCTACGAGTTTTCTGATCAGCCATGACTCTCATATTATGGTCATTATAGCTAATGAGTTGATGATATGCAAAGTAGAAGAAGAAAGATGACATTAAACTCAAGAAAATAAAAAATAAAATTGTATTGAAGCTAGCGCGGCGGTTTGTGATTGATTATCCGCGTTCACACACCTCTCAAGCTTTTAGCTTATGGAGAAGATGAAGATGATGAACCTGATTCTTCTTCCCTCTTTGGACGCTTTTGTTCATACAGGAGCTTCTTTGCCAACAAACGATTGAAACCTTTTTCGGTTTCCCATGAAATCGTTGGATCTTTTCTCATCTTTTCCGCTTCTTTTGCATTAGGTGGATTTGGGAAAGGTTGTGGTAATTTGCGCTTCTTGCCCGGCTGCATGTTCTCTTGCGCAATGGCGACAGACCAATTTGCGTGCTTTTGCTTTCTTGCATGTGCAGATTCCATTTCCTTCTCATGTTCTTTTGCGAATTTTGGCTCTTTGGCTTGAAGATGATTTGAAAGTTCATGATGATATGCGATCTTGCCATTGTACAATGTATACTTTCCTGTGTGGAAATTTAGCGTTCCAGGTGCTACGGTTCGACCAGAAAGGCTTTCTTTGGAGTCCGTGTCGGAGTATGCATTTTCAGACTCACTGTATGGTCGATTTTCGACCGATTTGCCTGAGCTACTTTGACCAGAGGAAGAGGAATGAGTTGAAGTTGAAGCTGAGAGGCAAGTTCCCACCGTTGATGCACAGAACAAGAGGATAACAAAAAATTTTCGATATGTCATTCTGGAAGAATTGGCAGAAAGTCCTAATGAAAAGAAAGGGAACTGTATGTGTTCGAAATGAAAAGGCGCTTTTAAGTGCTGATTCTGATCAGACAAAAGATCTTCTGAAGATTGCCACAGCTGCAACGTACAGCCACATGATACACAATAAACAACAGCTTTTGGTGAAAATGAAATGTGTAAGTTCAACAGGTAATGTAAGGTACACAGCTCAAGAACAATATGAGTACATTCTATTGTTTCTTTTGACGCTTTGAAGGGCTGGGGGATGGAGAAGCGCCAGAGGAAGATTCAGTTCCGTAGTCGGATGTTCCTCCCGAAGCACTTGATTCACCAAGACGTTTTGATCGTTTTTTTGAAACTTTGACAGGTAATAAACGACGAGAGTTTTTCTTATAAGGCCATTCATAATTTTTGTTCTTTCTCATGAAATGTGCGCTCGATTGACAGCATGGCGGAGAAATTTCAACGCTTGGTACATCTTTCGCAGTCTTTCTGCCGGGCTGCATTTCGCCAGATTTCACTTTGCCTTCCCACACTTCATGCTTTCTTGCTTTTTTGTATGAAGAAGTAGCTTCATCATTATGTAAGTCTGTAAGGCGACGCTCTTTTCCGTCGGCCTTATAGTAATCATGAGTTGTCTTATGAAATGCCGACTTTTTATCATAGTAGGGGTGCATCTTTTCGTGGTATTGAGCATTTCCCGGTGCAATGGTGCGACCTGGACTGCTATTCTCTGATTCAGTTGCTGAAAGATCGGATGGGCTTGCACTTGATGCGTTTGACATTGATTTTGATCTACTTCTACGTGAGTCATCTGACCCACTCGGAGTATAGTGTGAATGAGATAGACTTGAAATGCTTGGACCTGAAACGGGCGACCCAGGACTTTCGGCTCTATTAATGGTAGTAGAACATACGGATGTGCTTAATGCGCACAAAATGAGGACAACGCTTAAAAGATTAATCGTCATCATCATCAGGGAACTGTAGAGTTAGACTCAGCAGCGTGAAGAAGGGAAAGAGAGAAATAACTTATTTCAACGTCTTTATACAGAGCAGAATCGTACACAAACTCACTGCCATGGGAAGCTGTGTTACATAAATGATTAACAAAGGGGCATCAAATCACATGCAACTGCTTTCACAGTACAGTCTTGAAAACTACGAACTTGAGACGAAAACAAAGCCAACAAAGACAGTTTCATTTCTCAAAAGTTTGTGTAAAGTACACGATAGACATCAGGGGCGAAAGAAGAATGTGCACACGCTCTATTGGCTTACAGTAACGGAACATCAAAGTACCCACACAAATGCTCTTACATGCACAGCGGCTTTCAAATACAGCCTCAAATGTACAGCATGACGAAAGACACAAATGACTTCGAAATTAAGAATGAAAATTCAATTCAAGATGAAAGTATTATAAAATTCTATGAATGGAGAGAGGTGGTTATGTACAAACAATCTGAGTCTGGAATGAGGCTTAATAAGGAGATAAGAGATGAGAACAGATGGGGAGGCTAAGAGAGTACAGCAACACCACCTTTTGGACTTCCATCAGAATTACCGGGAGAAGGGAACCTAGTGAAAGTGCCAGGATCGGAATCGGAAGAAGGAGGAGTTGGTGGAGCAGATGAACTAGACTCACCATCAGAAGAAGATGGAGAGGACGGATTCGTTGGCTCTCCCACTCTTCTTTTACGTCTTTGTCCTTCAGGTAATCGTTCAGGTAAAAGTCTTTTAAATCCTTTCTTTTGACGCCAAATAATTTGTCTACTTTTTCTCAAATTATCCACTCTACGTGAATTTGGTTCTTTTGGAAATGGATCGGGTGTTGCTGTTCGAATTCCAGGTTTAAGTTTTCCCGATGCAATGCGCTTTTTGATTCTTCCATGAAGTCGATGTCTTCTATCGGCGGAATTCATTTCTTCGTCATGTTCCATAGCAAAATTTGGTTCACGTCTGATTGATCCCTTGAAGATTTCATTGTGAAAACTTGCTTTACGATTATACAGATGATGCATTTTTTTGTGGTATTGTTCTGTGCCTGTTATCGAGGCAAGGAGAAGAGAAGATTAGACTGTAGAAATACGAAACGGTTATGAAGGGACTTACCCGGAGCAAGTTCTTTTCCGGTGAAGCTATCGTTCGAATCAGTTGCGGAATAATCCGAATATCGCGGACTACGTTCTCTTGAACGAGGAGAGCGACTTCTATCACGATCAGGAGAAGCGCTTCTTGAACGAGGAGGAGAAGCGGGAGGGCTGGATAATCTTGAAGTATACCGATTCGAAGGACCTTCGTCAGGTTTACGCGAAACACAGTTGACCGTGATAATCAAAGAGACCAAAATGAAGAACAAATGATAGAAATTCATCCTGAAATATTAGTACTGAAAGTGAAAAGTAGAGAAAAGAAAAAATTCTGCTGATAAGGACTTGATATATGCACCGTTGTACGCAAATGCTACTCAAAAGCGGTTCAATTTTGGCATCGCCTTGTTTGCATAGCATAGTATCGTGGCGATTTTCATGATAAAATTGGCGTATGCAATTCGAAAGCTGAGCATTTGTCTGATGAGAGCAATACTTACACGATAATGTATGTTTTAACAAATATGACCGAGAACGGAACGGTAATTACGTTGGTGAGCGAACAATTTTCGGGAACAAAACCTTCACTTTCTTCCATTTGCTTCTCTGATTGCGCAATAAACATATACGTTGAACAGATAGTAAAATGATCAAGCGTGTGAACCTCGATATCGATAAAGACATTCAAGGAACACTATCCGTAATAGAAACAAGACATAGGCAGTAAAACTCAGCAAGTATACTCCGCCCCTCGAAAATTAAAATCATCAAGACAAGGTAATAGGCATTGTTAATTAGTCGCTCTTTGTTGACGATCGTTAAGAGGCATATCTTGCATTTGTGGGTTTCATGCTGCATCTGTTGATTCAGCCTATCTGCAAAGGCTATACCATAGTCGGTCTGTTATCGGTGGCATTTAGGGGACATCGCATTTTGAGCGTGAGGCTGTGGATGGCGTAAGTAGATGATGGTATATAAAAAGAGCAGTAAAATTCCTTCCAGATATACCAATTGTATCCTCTTATACTGCCTTTTATTTATCATGCGGTATATCATCGTACTTGTTCTTTCTATCGCAATTGCTAAAGCAATGACAGTGCATGTCAGTGATGTCAAAGATGCTCATGTGAACGTGCAAGTGGCACATGATACCCATGGTCAAAGTCATGTCCGCATGCATGGTGGTCAAACCGCGCATTCACCAGAGGGTGGTCATTCACCAAAAGGTAGCCGTTCACCAGAAGGTAGCCATTCACCAAAGGGTGAACCTAATGACCATGCGCCTAGTAGTAGTATTCAGATCAGAGACGAAGAAAGGACGGGCGGGACGCTCAAGTATCACAATGCAAAGAAAAAATATCATAAATTCGCAATGCAAAAGTACGAGAAACAACTCTCGGATCATCATTCTAGAAATGGCGCAGAACTGAATGAAAATCAAGACGGACGTACACACGAGCTTGAATCAAAGATCATTAAGCATTCACAAAAGCTCTCGAAACAATACGCCTCAATTAACGAGTTGAAGAGTGGTGTGAAAGTGGCAGGCAAGAAGGACGTTGATCATTTAAGGGCAAGAAACAAATTAGCGCCAGGCTATTCTTGAAGTAGCTTTGTATCAGATGAAAACATCTTTGATCTTCCCTTAAATATCTGTTCTCCTTCATATCATTTACTTCATGATAGTTTAAGAAGAGTAAGGTTGTTATCATCTGCGCCGTGCATGTGGCCGCTGTACGCGTTTGCAATTAGCATAACGCGTTTATGCGAAGAAAGCATGCACATACATTCATGATCACAGGTTAAACTTGCATCCATTCTTCTTCCTAACGATAATCTCATTCTCTCCTCATCCACAGACCGCTTCACACCAACAAAAATGCCCGGCATATACGGAGGAGATGACATCTCCGCAATCGTTTTGGATATCGGTTCATCTTCCACTAGAGCAGGATGGGCTGGTGAAGATACGCCTAGAGCATTGATTCCTACCAATTATGGTTGGCTACCGGCAAAAGAAGGCGAAAAGACAGGAGGAGATGATGATGATGTACAAATGGAAGGTGTTGAAAAGAATGGAGAGGAAAAAGCGGACACGAATGGAGAGACAACAAATGGATCTACGACAAAAAAGGCGATCTCAGATTGGGAACAACAGAAGCAAAAAGTTGAAAGTAGAAGAAGATTCGTAGGTGATGCAGGAGTGAACGTTTGGCGTCCAAATATGGAGATCGGTAATCCGCTGGAAGATGGAATCTTAACATCTCCTGCTTCTGCATTAGCATTGGCAAGGTATTCTCTGGACGAAGTGTTGGGATGCGATGCAAGTGAACATCCCCTCCTACTCACAGAACCATCTTGGAACTCAAAAGAGGCAAGAGAAGAATTGACACAATTCGCCTTCGAAGGTCTCGGTGTTCCTGCATTCTATTTGGCCAACTCAACAGTTTTGAGTTCCTTTTCGGCTGGGAAGCCCACCTCTTTGATCGTTGATATCGGTGCTTCTCAATCTTCAGCCATTCCTGTTGTGGACGGCTTCATATTGCGAAAGGGAATTCAGAGACAGGCTGGCTTGGGCGGAGATTGCATCTCTCGCGCCTTGCTGTATGACCTGACTACAGCTGCACCAGCCAATAGTCATCGCCAAGGCGGCTTAGTCGACATCATTCCACACTATCTCGTCAAGAGCAAAGCACCTACAGTGGCAGGAGCCAAACCGCCTGCTAAGCTACGCGAAGATCGAATCGAAAGTACGACTGATTCATTCAAACAATTCCAAACAATGCGCATCTTACACGAAGCAAAGGAAACGTTGGCACAAATTTTGGAAGAACCATGGAACGAACAGCAAGCAGCTGCCAGACCTTTACGCAGTTTCGAATTCCCAGACGGATTCAATGATAATTACGGAATCGAACGATTCAGAGCTCCAGAAGTTTTGTTCACTCCACAGATATTCGAAGGTGTAGGAGATGTCTTACCTCCTACTTCGTCAGGACAACAGTCTCACAAGTCAATTATTGATTTGATCATGAGTGCGATCGAATCAACTGATGTTGACTCGCGTGCCGCTCTTCTACAAAATATCGTTTGTGTAGGTGGCTCATCCATGATTCAAGGTTTCAATGATCGTCTTTCGTACGAGCTTGGACTGAAGTTACCAGGTCAAAAGGTCAAGATTCACTCACCAGGTAATGTTATCGAGCGGAAGTTCTCTTCTTGGTTGGGTGGAAGTATTCTGGCTAGCTTGGGCACTTTCCATCAATTATGGATCAGTAAACAAGAATACGACGAGCATGGACCGAATATCGTTCACACTCGTTGTAGATAGTGGATCATACTTTTTCTAAAATGTGTCAACGCACACAGGTTTGGGTTAAACAATTTCTGTAATTGTGTACATCTCTTGTTGCATTAAAACTACTACTTCTAAATATGAGATAGAGTGGTGAATATGTGGATACATTTGTGCATTTGCTGTCTATTTATTTTAAGCTTTGATGTTATCTTGTCCTGTTCCGTCACCAACATCTTTTGCTTGACCATCGTCTTTGCCTTCAAGACTTTCCATCTCGCGTGCTTTCTGTGTCCAAGGTCCTTCTCCGAATGCAACCTCCAATGCACTCCAGACATTGTTGACGTAATGTACTTCCAAATCGTCCAAGACTGGTTTAGGTACATCTGCCTCAACGTTCGGTCTGTTTTGACCGGGAAGGATGACCTTTTTGATTCCTGCACGATGAGCGGCCAACAATTTCTCCTTTAGACCACCAACGGGAAGTACCATTCCGCGCAAAGAAACTTCACCCGTCATTGCCAATTCAGTGCTCAACGTTCTTCCGGTGAGCAAGCTAACGAGACTGGTAACAAACGCAACACCAGCACTTGGACCTTCTTTGCCAATAGCACCTTCAGGCATATGCAAGTGCACATCACGACTTTCCAACAAGTTAGACTTGTTGTCATCCGTGATACCCAATTCGAACGCTTGACTCTTAAGCCAACTGAGCGCGATTGATGCACTTTCTTTAATCACTTCTCCTAGCTTACCGGTCAATTGCAGATTACCTTTTCCTGGCATCGTTGTCGTTTCAATCGGCATCAAAGAACCACTTCCGTTACCCAAATATCCCAAGCCAGTAGCAACACCGGCAGGCATTCCAATTCTTTCGTAAAGACGGTCTTTGTGATAGACTGCAGGTCCAATATAATCCCTCAAACTGTCAATTGTGATATTCACTGCGACTGTTGGAGGTACTGCCATTGGTTTCCTTTCTTCTGTTGTGGTTTTTGGATTTCCATCTTCTCCCGCTGATTGTTCGGAAGACTCTTTGTTTTCTTCTGCTGGTACTGCAGAGTGAGGTGGAGGAGGTGTGACTGATTGAGCATTGCTTTCAGCTGATCCGACTGCTGCTGTGGGTGTATATTCATCTTGAGTTGGTTTAGGGTTTTCAGAGTTGGGAGAAATGCTTGCTCCACCATCTTGCACTGTTGCTTCTGGCTTAGCTTCTGCATTCTTTGGCTCAGGGAAAACATCTTCACCGTATTCACGTACAATGTTGAATGCGATCTTACGATAGACCTTCTCCAACAACTTACGTAACTGACGTACACCACTTTCTCTTGCGTAACTTCTGACAAGGAATTCAATGGTTTCATCAGGTAACGTGACGTTGGCATCTTGCAAACCGCTAGCTTCCTTTGCCTGAGGTGCAAGGTAGCCACGAGCAATGTGCTTCTTCTCTTCGGCTGTGTAACTGCTAACTTCGATCACTTCCATACGATCCAAAAGAGGTTGTGGGATAGTATCGAGGGTATTTGCCGTGCACACGAACAAAACGCGGCTAAGATCGACGGGAACGTCCATATAGTGATCCAAGAAACTTCCGTTCTGCTCAGGATCCAGCATTTCCAACAATGCTGAAGAAGGATCTCCATTATGCCCTCTTCCGATCTTGTCAACTTCATCGATCAAGACTAGTGGGTTTTCCGTTCCGACCTTCTTCAAAGCTTGAATAGCCTTACCGGGCATTGCACCGACGTATGTCCTTCGATGTCCTTTGATTTCTGCGACGTCACTCAAACCTCCCACACTGAATCGGAAGAATTGACGTTGCACTGCACGGGCGATCGACTTCCCGATTGAGGTCTTACCAACACCTGGTGGACCAACCAAGCAAATGATCTTTCCTTGCACTGTTCCCTTTAGCTTGCCTACAGCCAAGAATTCGAGAATGCGATCTTTGACGTCTTTGAGTCCGTAGTGGTCTTGATCGAGAACATTGACAGCATTGGCGATCGAATAGTTCTCTGGACTGTGAACGCCCCAAGGAATGTTTGTCAACCATTCTAGATACCCGCGAGTGACATTGAATTCACTAGCAGCAGGTTCAAGCGTTTGCAACTTGTTCAATTCTTCATCAAACACCTTACGCACTTGCTCAGGCATCTTCAATGTGGCTGCCTTTTCTTTGAATTTCTCTACCATTTTATCCTTGCCGTCAGTCTCAATTCCGAGCTCCTTCTTGATTCCGCGCAATTGTTCGGTGAGGTAGTACTCTCTTTGTCGCTTTTGAATCTTTTGTTCGACATCTTTGCTAATCTTATTCTGTAGTTGAGCATTCATCAATTCTTTCTTGAGTACCAACAATGCCTTCTGTAATCTTTCACCAACATTGAGGGTTTCCAAAACGGATTGTAGCTCACCAACTTCTCCGCTAGAGACAGCGGCAGCAAAGTCAGCCAATTTATCAGGTTCTTCAAACACATTTCCTGCTCCCTGAGAGATACTGAAGTTGGCAATTTGATCTCTAAATAGCGGATTTAGCAAAGCAATGTCTTTGAACACTGCGATCAATTCAGCTTTGACAGCCTTGACGAGACCGTCATCTTTCTTGTATTCTTCGGATTCCAAGTTGGTCACATTCACCAACGAGACTGCATAATCTTGCAAGAAGGATGTTTGGTAGGGCATTCCATGACTGGCGGGAGATTGTTGTGTACTCTCTGCATCGTTCTTCTCTGGCACGACACCTGTGTCTCGTGCTTCTTGTTGAATATCATGTACCTTTGCGGATGAATCGGTGGTGGTAATTTGGCCATCTGCTTTCTCAGATTGGACCCTTTTACCATCTGGCGGTAGTAGCTCATCGATCTGGATTCTTCTATGCGGATATAGAACAGCTGTCAAACCTTCTTCGTCCTCGTTTGCATTTGGGTTTCCAGTGGTATTTCCGCCTTTACCATCCTTAGATCCTTTTGAGGCGCTCTGCTGAGAGAAGATGGAAGTAATTTGAGCAAAGACACCAACCCGATGAACCTTGCTTAGATCTGTAATAACATCTGCGTCATCTTCTTCATCTTTCAGTAAGAAAGCACCAATGTATGGCTGACCACGCTTCAAAGATTCGCGAATGGCAGCACACACTGCTGGATTTTTGATTACGACTGCTTTGTAGAATCCAGGGAAAAGCGGTCTACGTGTGATGGGAAGGGCAAGAACTTGAGGGTAATTGACGGGAACAGATGGCTTTGAGACTGACGTTGAGTTGGAATTTGAGCCACCATCGGAAGACGATCCGGAAGATGCGCCACTTCCTGAATTACCTCCAGATTGGCTTGCTGAGCCTGCTCCTGAAGCGGAGCCGGAAGAACCGGAAGGTGGTGCAGATGATCCTTTTCCATCAGACTCGGATGCTTTAACGCGAGCATCATCTTCCCGTACAGCATCTACCTCTGCTTCTTCACGTCCTTCATCCCGGCCATCGAATTCTTCTTCCTCCCCTTCTCCGTTTAAAGACACTTTGCCTTTAGAGCGTGGCATCTGCAAAGGAGCAAAAGATGAGAGCTCTCTTCTTCTAGCTCGTACAAATGGCGATTGTGATGGAAAATCTTGCAATTGCTGAGCTTTTCCGCCTGCATACTTGCCACCTAGAAGAGATGATTTGGTATGTAGTGATACTTTCCGGTTTTGCAGTATTGACGAGCATGATGCGTTGCTTGAATTACTAGCTAAAGCTGAAGTTGATCTGAAAAGAGCACCATTGCGCCCTCTTGCCGCATTTGCGAATCTTTGAGCGGGAATCATGATGTTCTTATCGCACCGAAAACTGTAGTAAGGTCGAGATAAGCGATTGCGATAAAGTAGGTTATCGCCACTGATGAGATGTTAGGGAATATTTCTGCCGCTCTGACCTCCAAAGTTGGGCTATATAAAATGACGAGCAGCTTGCAACCTCTACTGCTGAGATCGCAAGTTGAGTTGATGGTGGTTTGATGAAATGAGGGACGTCCGGAGGTAAGGCCTGTTTGATTGATCAGTTCATGTAATGGACGCTTGCATGACACTGTTCTTAAAAGGTGGAGAGTCTTCTCAAGGCTAAGAAGCACTTCAAATAGTTAAACCCGGGTCGCGTCTAATGAATGAAACGCTTACGAAGCTACTTTTTATTCCTTGGCTTATGTACACAACCTAGCAGGCATTAGATCGGCCGAAGCCTGTCAAAAAGCCTTGAAGGGACGCACTCTCGGTTAAACGTAATGGTAGTCAGCAATTACTGAAGCTTGCATAGAACAAAGCGTATGTGTGCGTAGAGCAGTGTGTATTAAAAGCGTGTACACTGGCCAATGCATCATTCCCAAATGCATCATTGCCCTTAACCATCATTATTACTACAAATACGCCATCGGACCTTTCGGATCCTTTGAACAAGACGAACACTAATCCTTCCTTCTCTCATCTCAGAATCGTTGGGGTTTTATTGATACGGCGCCGTCTAGAACTTTGCTCAATCTTTCTTCTTCCGCTCTATTACCAGCTTTTTGCATTGTTTGCATACGCATATTCGTTAGCATCCTGCACGTTCTCATTCAAGTTTACAATCATCTTTACAACAGATTGCATCAGCAGAGCATAATACATACAACAACAACGACAATAACAGCAACAACATATTATAGCCTTGCGCTACTTTAATCGCAACAATGGGTATCCCGAAATTCTTCCGATTCATGTCGGAGCGATATCCGCTCATCAGTCAATTGGTGGAGGAGAAACGTATTCCCGAATTCGACAATCTGTATCTCGATATGAACGGTATCATCCACAACTGCTCACATCCAAACGATGCCGATGCTCATTTTCGAATGAGTGAGGCGGATATGTTTCTGGCAATATTCAGTTACATAGAGCATATCTTCGCAAAGATTAAACCACAGAAATTATTTTTCCTCGCTATCGATGGTGTAGCACCTCGAGCTAAAATGAATCAACAACGAAGTCGTAGATTTAGAACGGCACAAGAAGCGAAAGAGCTGCGCGAAAAGGCTGAAAAAAGAGGAGAGGAACTTCCTGAGGAAGAAGCGTTTGACTCAAATTGTATCACGCCAGGAACGCCATTCATGGCAAGATTATCAGCCCAACTCAAATACTTCTTAGCCAAAAAGGTCACTGAAGACGCCTTATGGAGAGACGTAGAAATCGTACTTTCTGGACACGATGTTCCAGGAGAGGGCGAACACAAAATTATGGAATACATCCGTTTGGCCAAGGCACAACCGGGTTACAACAAAAATGTCAGACATTGCTTGTATGGTTTGGATGCAGATTTGATCATGCTTGGGCTGCTGAGTCATGATCCGCACTTTGCACTGTTGCGTGAAGAAGTCAATTTTGGACCATCGAAGAAAAGAAAAGGAAGCTTGGAAACGCAAAATTTCTTCCTATTGCATTTATCGCTATTCCGAGAATACCTGGATCTTGAATTCCAAGATCTGAAATCTGCCTTGCCTTTCGAGTTTTCGCTCGAACGCATTATTGATGATTTTATCCTGCTCAATATTTTTGTGGGAAATGATTTCTTACCGCATCTACCAGGTTTACACATCAACGAAGGTGCTTTGGATACCCTATTCCGAATCTATATGCGTATTCTTCCCAAAGCAGGCGGATACATCAACGAAGACGGTGTGTTGAAGACAGGTCGCCTCGCCTTGATCTTATCAGAATTGGCAATTGTAGAGCGCGAGCTCTTCGAGGAGGAGTATGGCGATATCAGCTGGTCGAAACAGAAAGCAATCAAGGCCAAAAAGCAACAAGGAAAGCGAGCAGCAACGGTCGTTATGACGTCTGCACAGAGATTAATGTTCGAGAAAGTCAAAGTGTTCTTGAGAGCTCTGCAGACTGAGCCCAAAAACGCTCCTCGTGAGATGTTTTTGCAAAGTACGGCCAAACAAAATGACCGAATTTTCTTGCAAAGACTGGCAGCCGATCTGGGTCTTGCAGTTAATTTCGACGAATATGATCCCGAAGCAGATGCACCTGCAGTATCTATTGCACGTAGAACCCTCTTTGACGACGAGGATAGCGACGATGAAGCTGATCCAGAAGCAATGGCAGCCGTTGATCGGGTCATCAAACGCTATGAAGAGGCAGGTCAAGATGATGATCAAGATGACTTTGACGATGAAGAGGAAGAGATGCAGCGCAAACTCGCCAAGCGAATGGATGAATGGAAGCGAACCTACTATCGTGAGAAACTTGGAATTGATTATCACAATGAAGAAGATATGGAGAAACTCACATATCGATACATTGAAGGGCTACAATGGGTTTTGCATTACTACTACGATGGTGTCGCATCGTGGGGATGGTTCTACGATTATCACTACGCCCCGATGATCTCCGACTTGAAGGGATTGGAAGACATGAAGTTTGACTTTGAACTCGGCAAGCCATTCCGACCATTTGATCAATTGATGGGAGTTTTGCCCAGTTTGAGTAATCAACACATTCCTCCAGCTTACCGTGATTTGATGACGGATCCCAATTCTCCCATCATCGACTTTTACCCTACCCGCTTCGAAGCCGATTTCAACGGAAAGAAACAAAGCTGGGAAGCTGTTGTGAAGATTCCTTTTATCGACGAGAAACGTTTGTTGACTGCTTTAGACAAGAGACTACCCCTCCTTTCGGCCGAAGAGAAGAGCCGAAACGGCTTTGGAGAAAGTGTTCGATTGAAGTACAATGAAGCAAAGGATGAATTCTATGGATCTTCGTTACCTGGTATCTTCCCCGATATTACACACTGCAAGGCAGACGTCGGAGTCTTCCACTTACCAATTCTAGATGGTCTTCATTTGGTAAAGGGTCTGTGTGACGGTGTCGGATTGGGCGTGGACGCATTAGCAGGATTCCCAAGTATCAAAACTTTGCCTCATTACGGTAGATTAGGACACCACGGCGTGAACATTTTCCAAAGCGAAAGTCGCAACCAAAGCATCGTGATCAGTGTGGAAAACACATTCGAGGACAGCAAAACGGAAGATATTGCATCTTCATACCTTGGCAACCGAACTTTTGTCGGATGGCCATTCCTGACAGAAGGTATCGTTATGGCAGTCTCTGATGAGTTGTTCTTATACGAAGCCAAAGTGGACAAGAATGGTAAACGCGATGTGGTCAAAACACCACATGAACCATCCGAATTGGGTGAGTGGAAGCGCAAGGCAGCCCGAATTGAGAATCAATACAGTAAGCGCTTTGGTGTCTTGATCGGTGATGTGCAAGTCATTCTGCATGTGCGACCAATGCTCGGTCTAAAGCGCATGGAGGATGGAAGCTTCTTAAAAGAATACGAGCCAGACATGAAACAAGAGGTGGAACAAGCCATTCAAGTATCCGTTGCAAGTGTTACTCATGAGGACAGACGATACATCGAGCGTGCGCCATTGCCATTGCCTGCTGAGTTCCCAGAGAAGTCTAAAGCATTCTACCTTGGCACCCATGCTTATGGAAGTCCCGCCAGTATTGTCGCCATCTCCACTAAGCAAATTGCTATTGAATTGATATCTCTCGGCAATCAAAAGCAAGAGAATGAGTTGATCAAAAAAGCAGTGCAAAGCAAAGTTCCAGAAAATTACTATCCAGCGCACGTCGTGTGCAAGCGATTGGGAATCAGTGGTCTTGCTTTGAGCAAATTGACCAGCAGCATGTTGGTCGAGAGTGATAATACGCGGACGAATATTGGTTTGAATCTCAAATTTGAGGCGAAAGGTCAAAAAGTGATTGGATACAGTCGTCGAAGTGCAGCCGGATGGGAATATTCAGACAAAACTCTTGAATTGATCCGTGATATGAACACCCAATTCCCAGAAATTGCCCGAGCTTTAATGAACAATCCAAACAAAGATCTACGAAGCGCACAAGACTTCTTCGGATCAAATGCTTCCGAAAAGATGAGAGCGCTCAAGGCATGGATTAAGGAAAAAGGTGTACGAGAATTGGAAGCTGTTCCTCTTTTTGCCGAACAACTTGACACACAAACAGTTCATGCGATCGAAGGCTTGGTTGCCAGAATCAATCAGCACAACAAAGATCGTATGAAGAGACTCATGCTGCGCGGTGTTCCTCGAAGTGCATTGCTCAAGCCATCTCATGCACCTTATCGACTTACATCACAAAAGTTCGCCTTGGGTGATCGTGTGGTGTATGTCAGCAACACCGGAAATGTGCCTTTATCTTCAAGAGGTGTTGTCATTGGTATTAGCTCAAATGTGTTGGACATTGCTTTCGATCAACCATTCTTGGCCGGCTCTACTTTGGATGATCGTTGTCGTCCTTATTGCGGTGGTACGGTACCATTCGCAACCGTTCTAAACTTATCCGAACCTCAATTTGTTTGCAAGGAAGATCCGTTAGCAGCTGCTCAGGGCGCCACAGCACCAGCAGAAGCAGGAGCTGTCAATGAAGAGAGTGCAAAGAAAGAAAATGGAAGTGTAAAACCACCAAAACATCCTTCTGCACTACAACGTACTTTGGCATCTAGCGCAAACGTGGAAGCAGCAAAGAAAGCAAAATCTATTGCAAACGGACAAGCTAGAGCAGCTGCTCAACAACAATCTTACAGACCACCATCTGGATTCAGACCTGCTCGTCCTACCGGGCCAGCAGTAGGAACACGTGGTGCTGGAATGCGATCGTTGGGTCGTGATGCTTTCGCAGGAAACGGAAGAGGCAACGTAGATGCAAATGTACCGTTTGCAGGCGTGGCAAGCGGACATGCAAGGCCAAGACCAAACGCTCCTCGTACTGGCGCAGCTGATGCTGCTTTGAACCCGCACTTGGCAGCACTAAATTTGGGTCTGAACGGAAATGCTCCACGCGGCGGAGGTGGCGGCGGTCGAGGTGGTGGTTTCGGCAGGGGTAACGGAAGACCATTCAATCAACCTCGTGGTCGCAGCAGAGGTGGATTTGCAGCTGCAAATCAATAATTAATGATCTTAAATTACATCCAATGTATCTTACATTATTCTCAAGATGCTCATTTTTATTTTGTCCAAAAAGGAGATGCTAGTATACGTTTAATTCTGTTGCAATAAAAGTACAAATGATGTAAAATTGTGTACAAGGGGTGCTTATCAGGTGGAAGCCGTCGGACGGTCTACTGAAGGTCGAGGCTGACCATTGCTAGGATTTGTTGCAGATGAAGATTTGGGAGAAATGCCATTCGAGCCGCTCTGTCCGATGGTATTTTGGGATCTGGGCGAATTCGTGTTGGAAGGACCATTGTTTGTGTTTGAGCCATTCCTGAGCAGAGATTGACTAGGTGCAGGCGAATTCGTAGAAGCACCGTTTACCTTCCCTTCTCCGTTCGGCTTTTCTGATGCTGGCGGCGCTGTCCAACCGGGTGGTGTTCCAGTGCCATCCCAATTTGGACCTAGTCGATTTGCTTCGCGAAGGTAGCCTTCTGATTCCAAAAGGTCATACACTTTTCCAACTTTATTCACATCACATTTGAACAATTGACGTGATTCTCTTCGACTGAATTTGCCTTTTCGACGAACGAATTCAACAATGATATCCTTCTTCATCAACATGAACACTTGCGGTTGAATACGTACAACAGAACATAATTCTTGTTCGGCTCTTGTCAACAAATTGAGAGAGGGATGTGACGATAAATCCAACGGTTTTGGTGGCTTGCGTGCGGCTTTCTTTTCTCCATCAGCAGGAGTAGCTGTTGAGGATTGACTGGCTGTGTTGTTTGCCTTCTTCTTTGGGGGTGCGGCTACAGCAGCAGCTGTTGGCAATTGAATTGAATTCTCGCTACCATCAGGAGTTGCAGTTTCACGAGCAGCCGCACGTCCAGCAGCAGAGCGTGGTACAGAACCAATGGCTGGAAAAGCAGCAAAACCTCCTTCCGCTGCCACTGCTGCACGACGAGCACGTTCAGCTTGTTCCGTGTCGAACTTGGCAGCTTCAGTCAAATTGGTGATTCCTGCACGCCTGTACATTTGCAATTGCGCAGCGGCTCGTCTGAGCGCATCTTCGAAGCACAACCCGTTATAGAAGTCCTCAAAATCCATCGCTGTTTGCATCTGTGCAAAGTGGCGGACTCGATTTAGTAATTCTCTTTCTTCTTTCGGCCTTCTACGTTCGGCTGCAACAGTACGCTTGTAATCGACCAGATTTCGTTCAAAAATAAACTCTTTCCGTCTTCCACGACGATCCAATCGTTCATTGTATATGTCCAACACCATTAACTTCAACTCCAAATCTGCCTCTTCTTCGTCCCAATCAGCTGCTCGATCGTCTGTATCTGCAGGTGCACTAGCAGCAACACTAGGAACAGTACCATTTGTAGCTTCCGCGGCGTTTGTTGTATCTCCAGTGTCGCCCCCATCTACAGTTGCGTCCATCTGACTTTGATCATTGTCTTGGTCTTGTGTGTTGTCGTCATCATCGTCTCTTTCATCATCCTGTCCATCTTCATCTCTGGTCTCGTCTCCATCTTTCGTCTCATCTTGATCGCCATCCTCATCTTCTTTCTCTTGATCTCCCATTGTTGTATCTCCACCTTCAGTATCTTCTTCTTTTGTACCTTTGTTTCCCCGTCCGCTCAAACCAGGTCCACCTCTACCGCTTCCCTCCATTCGTACCCTTCCTTGATCTGCTTTCCTTCCCAATGCTTCCATCTCGCTCGGTATTATTTCACCACCATATCTGTACACTTTTCCGAATTCCATATCCTTCACATAATTTTCCGCATCATTTTCGTATTCGACTTCGAACTCTAATCGACCAGGCATGAATGTTGCCAATTCGCTATGAGAAGTAGGCGCACTGACAAGAGGCTTTGGCGGCACAGGTTTTCCACCTTGCGTTTGTGTAGATGGCGCTGAACCTCCAAAAGCTGCTTGTCCAGATCTTGCATCTTCTATCCTCTGTCGCTTTCGTTTTTGAAATTCTTCTGCATCTACACTAGCTTTGAAGTCTGGATTTGGGCCAACAACTGGAAGTAGCTTTCGTTTCCCTTGTGCGTCTGGTGGTTGGGCAGACTGTATAGCGGAAGTGACTGCCTCCTCTGCTCTTCTATCTCCATATTCAGTCCCGTCCCTACCTTCGACAAACACTTTGATGTAATGCTCCTGTACCTCTTCTTTCGTTCGATTCCCTATATGATCGGCTATGTCTGCCCAATTTCCCAAACCATAAATTTGAGCGCCATCTATAAGAAGTAATTCCTCATCTGCTCCCCAGTCATCGCAAAAGATCGGATAGGCATGCTGTTCTACCACTCTGTAATCGTGCCATGCTTTGTGGGTACCTGATTCTTGTCCTTCCAGAAAGCAAGAACAACAAACATCATACGAATCTGACGCTCCAGGAGGAAAACAAGTTGCACAGGATATCCGTACTGTACTAGAAATATCTAGTCCGCAAACATCACAATGGTATTGTACGCCAGATTCTGCAGCTCTGCTACTGCTTCCGCCACTGTTTTCTTCCTGCTTTGCAACTGGCTTATTCTTTCGCCTACTGATCGTCATTTTTTGTTATAGCGAGATAAAACTGGGGAAGCTAGAATTGCTTGCGCTCGTCAAAAGGTCGCCTTTCAGATTATTTGATCACTGCATATGAGATTGGGTGTGGCCGTCAATATGGCGAAGATGAATTATTGTCGGAAAGGTGCCTTTAGGATTGGGGTAAATGTGAAAAGTGGAGACCGGAAAATGCGGAGAAAGACGATATGATACAGAATAATGATGATGTTTGTGCCTTGCCCGGATCAAAGCCTTGTGACGGATACACCCTGTAAGCACCAAGAACTAGCGAGAGTGTACGGTAGTTGTTGCTTGCCCAATGTCGGTAAATGTGATTGTGATTGGTGTTGGTGTAGATGATCGTATGTGATGATCGTATGCGCGATGTTAAATTGAGAATCTAAGTTGTGCAGCTGCAATACAAAACGCGCTATACAATAACGCGCAATTAATAAGGCACAAATCCAGTGTTGAATAAAGCTCTACAATGAACAACAACAACAACACGTGCAATTGATTATTGACAGGATGATTGGCATCAGGAACAATTTGTGGCGTACGATGATACATTGTGGTGATTAAGGTTGCTCGATAAAGTGTGCATCATCATAACTTTAACCACCATCATTGAAAGGCACAATGGCTTCATATTTGGGTGAGTAGTCTGTCTTATCTTCAATATGTCACACGACTGAACACTGACCACTCTGCATTCATCCTCCTTGACAGCCTCTATTTATGGAACAGAACAAGATAAAGTCAATTGTGCATTCTACTTCAAGATTGGTGCATGTAGACATGGCGACAGATGCTCCAGAAAGCATATCAAGCCACAGTATTCTCAAACGATCCTCGTCTCCAATGTATGGCAAAATCCAAAATATGCAAACGTGAATGATGTCAATCCAGCTGGCCCTTCTACCTCTTCTCCCGGTCCACAAGAAGCAGACGTAAAGGAAGCGGAAGTGCAAAGGCAATTTGACGAATTTTATGAAGACTTTTTCGTAGAACTTGCACAATTTGGATCATTGGTGGAAATGCATGTATGCGATAATATAAGTGAACATTTGATTGGAAATGTCTATGCACGATACGAAAGGGAAGAAGATGCTCAACGTGCGGTTGACGCTTTGAATGATCGATGGTACAACAAAAGGCCATTATTTGCTGAGCTATCTCCAGTAACGGATTTCAGAGAAGCATGCTGTCGTCAACACGAAACGAATGATTGTACAAGAGGAGGCATTTGCAATTTCATGCATGTACGAACAGCAAATAGAAGATTGCTAAGAGATCTACAACACGAACAAGCTGTGGAACAAAGAATGAAAAAGGAAGCAGAACGTAATCAAGCCCGTGGCTGGAAAGAAGAAATTGGAAGCGGAGGTGGCGGAGGAGGAGGAGATTGGAGAAAAGGCGCAAGTGGTGGGGATTGGAGATCTGGACAGAATGGTGAAGAAGATCGAAGGAGGAGTATCTCACCAGTGCCAAGATAGTAAGCATACTTGTATTATACGGTGGCGAAACGCTTTCCCACGATCAGAAATGTATTTGTAGCTTCTATTTGATCACGGCATAGCACCAGAGGTGCCGTTATCAGCGTGCATTGTAGCAGCTTGTTGACTTTGTTGCAATTTCTTGGCTTGCAAACGAGTTCTTGGTTGATTTTTAACAGAAAAGTTGCTATCAATTTGTAACTCTTTAGCGACTTTTTCCATCTTTTCCGCCTTTTCAGCACTTTTACGTGAAGAAAGGAAACTCTTTTCAGCAAGAGAATCATAAATAGCTTGATGATGTGGATTATTAGTTGTTCCAATCTTATCTGCATAATGTTGATACAACATAGCATGACGACTTTCATTTTTACGCAATGCTTGAGCGTATTTGGCTGGAGAATGATAAGGTCTAGGCGAAACACCGGGTTGTTGATGGTTATGACTTGATGGCGGCAATGAAGCTTCCGTTTTGGGACTGGTTTTAACGCAATGACCAGATTGCATGAAGATAAGTAAGAAGATAAAGCTAAAGCGCAGAAAGCCAACAAAAGTACGATCAACCATAATGAAAAAACGTTAGGATGATTTTCGTTGTGAAGAGAAGTTAAATTTTTTCATTTTAAGTTTCTTATACTAAAAAAGCAAGTAGGGTTATTAGATCCCGACTACACTGCACAATGGGGCGTTGAATCACAGTCAAGTAAAGATATACTTGACAATTGCTTAGTGAAGCGAACTTGCAGCGTCTTTTTGTGTTCACGGTACAGCTTTTGCGTACTTTGTTCAAGAGAGGTGAGTTGCAGCAAATGAGTATGTCATAAAGGTAATCGTCACAAGAGGTCCAAGAGGATTTGCAGTAGTGATATTGTAGTGCTATTGAGTTTTGTAGAGAAGAAAAATGGGAGACGTATGGAAAGAAGGACAAGTTTAGAAAGAAAGTTTAACTTTATCACGCAACTCTATTCAGGTTCGTCAAAAATAAGTCTTGAATTCAAGACAGAGAAGTATGGATCAGTATGAGAGAATGATGAATGATAGACTACCAGAAAAAAAAAGGGGGATCAGGTCTCATAATCAAGCTTGAAGGCTTTTGACATTTCAGACTTTTAAATATAAATCATAGCGAGATTGTGGCTCATTTCAAGAAGTCAATTTGCGCACTTCGTTAGACACGGGCTTTTTCTTTTGGATTTTACTTGCTGGATTAGGACGTAAGCGTTGTAAGTTTCGATCTCCAAAATTGGAATGTTGACTGGAAGCTAATTGCTTGCTAACTTTCAACACCTTTTTGGATTTCATCTCGGCATCTTTCATAGCATTAGTATGGAGTTTACGCATCTTTGTACCATGCTCTAGTTCAGATTCTGAGGCACCAAGATGTTTAAGGTCTTTTTCAAATAATTGATGCTTCTCCCACCTGTGATGATAAGCTTGATCTTTTAAGTGGTCGCTGACTTCATTTGGATTATGATACATTTGATTAGGATCGTCTTGACCGCGTACTAAGCTTGGTGTGGTGGATTTACTTGAAGATGAACCAGCACATTGAGCCACTTGGGCCAGTGTCCCAATAAAAAAGATTACCTTCAAAGCTTTAAAGAGAATTGGGAAAGAGCTCATTGTGAAGTGATGGGGAGAAAAGCGCTCATATCTTTTATGAAAACCCTTTACTTATAGAATATTGATTCTCTGAAAAAGACATGCAAATCACATAAGGGCGAGATTCAAACGGACACACGAAGCATCTGGGACGTCATCTTGTAAAGAGGCTAGTCAACATACTTTGTGTATCACGGAGGAAGGGGCTTGCCTGAGGGTTCGAGGTCGAAAAAGGGCGATGCTGAAGCAGAGCCACGATCTCAATAAAACTACCGCACATGCAAAACACAATACAGGTTTCGAAAAAGTCTATTGGTCACCTTACAATATAAACGATGGGGCTAAAAGTACATTTGAGTGATGGTGACGGTTGTACAGGATTATGCGTGTGCTTATTTGACTCGACTTATAATTTGTTCGTTCAATTGTTCCAAAGCATCTCGTGCTTCGCTTTGCGGTAGTTGTGCAAGAGCGTCACTTGCCAATTGAGCATGATGTTTGGCCAATTCTGTCGTTCTTTCGAGACCTTTTGACTTCCGCACAATGTTAAGAGCATATTCAACATCTCCTTCCTGCGAGAATTTACGTTTCACCATCTCGCCCAATTGCTCTTGCGGATATTCTTGCCATGCGAAAAGAACAGGAGCTGTTGCCAATCCCAATCGCAGATCTGCTCCACCCGAAGGCTTTCCGAAAGCGGCTGAAGTGGAACGGAAATCCAAAAGATCATCGACCAATTGGAATGCAATACCAACATTACGGCCAAATGTGTAAGCGGCATCTCGAACATTCTTTGCCATCAGTTCTGCCTCTGAACCACAACCGCTAGCACGAATGGCGTCTTCGCCAAATCCACCCAAAATCGTGGCAGCACGGGTCGATTTTCCGATCAAAGCAGCAGTTTTCAAGTATGTCTTTTGTAGGTAGTGTTCGAACATAGCTGCCGATGGACCATTCGCATTAACTGCATTAGCTTCTGCCGCCTTTTCTCTCGCTTCTTGTTCGGCAGGTGAATTCCAAAATGAGGTAAAAGCGCTCTTGTGAGCTGATGGATGAGAATTTGAGGATTGGGCTTGAAGTTGCATAACCTCTCCTTCTACCAAATTAGCAATCACCGTCGCCAATAATTCCACAACTTCGCAATTTCTAAGTCTTGCTAATGCAACACTGGCACGGGCAAGCAAAAAGTCACCTCCCAAAATGCTCAACTTGTTTCCAAACGCAGAAGGAGCTGAAGCGGTTCCTCTTCTCATTTCCGAGTTATCGATCACGTCATCGTGTAATAGCGAGGCGACATGAATCATTTCCGTTATCTCAGCCAGTCTTCTTTGTGTCGGTAAAATGTTCGCATCTCCACCTTCTGTTGCCAACCTTCTCATTTCCTCTGTAGCTGCATCTCCCGTGGCGGGCATTTCCGGTAATTTACCTTCCATTCCTTCCATATGAGGATTGAAATCGTTCAAAACATCTTTTGGGCTCAAAGGCTCATTTATTCCCATCTCATTCTCCACAGCTTCAGCAGTAGGTTGTGATTGAGCTCTTGATCTTGCCAAAAGCTCTGGCCAAAGAGGACTATGTCCATTTGTTGCTCTAGCCATAAGCAGTACCATCAACGGACGGACATGTTTTCCCTCTGCTTGAAAGTAGTATTTGGCAATTGTGTCTAATGAAGGATGTCCGCTCCCCAGCAAAGAGCTTACATTGCTGCGTAATGATGTTAGTTCTCTTCCTACTAGTTCTAGTGGGTCTCTGATGATTGGCTTTGGTGGTTGACTCGAGGATGTATTATTGTTTGAAGATTTTGATGATGAAGGTGGAGGTGGATCCTGTGATCCTAACAGGCTTTTTGCCGTTCCTACTACGGATGACCATGTTCCTTGATATCTTTGATGACAAGTTGAAGATATTGAAGGGGTGAAGACACGATGCCGAAGTACAGATCTACGTATTGATGGATTAGTCAAAGTTGTTTTGCTGCCTCTGATAAGGCTGCTGCTAGCCATTGTTGCCATGTCCTGAGATAATGATGGTGAGAAGAATGCAATAATTTACCTACGGGAATGCACGGCTGAGTGGCTAGAATACCCTTTACGCATGCTTATTGAACTTTCTTCTTAAATTTTGTCTGACTAATGATGATTTTCTTTCTTCAGTGTGCGTTAATTAAATGCGCTTAGGCGTTTAGGGTCTTTTCCCTTTAGTCGCACTTAAGCGCCGATCAATAATAATTAGCAAGCAGTGCAATAACTTATTAGTCTCCGATCAACTCGCACTGGCCACAACCATCAGGAGGCAATGATTTGACACACGAGCCTTCCTTACTCACACCTCTTCGCATACATCCTCAAACAACCTTCTGATCGACATGACAACTTCCCTGGGCCATCCTACTCAGGAATGGTCCAGTTTGCAAGATGTGTTCTACAGAAAATCAGAAATTTACTCCCTCTCATGGGGAATAGATGAACTGTCAGATTATATTGTCGCATGTGCAAAAAATGGTGGTCTTTTAGCATTAGCAAGGGATCCGAACAAGCTTGTTTCATTGGGAAAAGCAGCTTTATTAAAACCAAAGATTCATGTTTATACAAGTGCAGGACAGTTGGTGGAAACGCTACCTTGGGAAGCTTCGGATAGAATCATTGGTTTTGGCTTTACATCGAATGAACAATTGGCAGTCGTCTTGGATGAAGGAGATGTACGACTTTATACCCTCTTTTCGCCCTGTCCATCTCCGCCAAGGGCTGGATCGAATAATGCCACATTTGATGAAATTCGACCGGTAGAAGCAACCAGTACAAGTTATTACGTCCAATATTCTCTGGGACAGGAGGCTACTGATACAGGTGTTGTGGATGTACGAATGTGGCCGGAAGGTTTGGTTGCACTGACTGGAGGTGGATCTTTTGTCGAATGGCGCTTTCCAATTCGCAATGCTGATAGCGATTTCCTAGATGCACCTTCTCATGCTCAAGTCTTGCCTTCTCTACCCAGTGGTGCTTCAGCTTCTGGATCGCGGCCATCAGCATGGAATGTAGTTCCACCCGAAAGCTCATCTTCTGGATTAACGCAGCTACTCGTCTCTCCCACGTCCTCCCCTACGGTATTCAGCCTGGACTCGGTCAGTGGTGCGACGGATATGCGTCTCTCTCGTGGTCCATTTTCAGCCATTGCGCCTTCACCGAATGGCAATTTACTCGCTCTGATGACAGCAGACAATGTTTTGTGGGTGGTCTCATCTGACTTTCAAAGAAGCTTGAGTGAATTCGATGTGAAGCAATGCGAAGCTTTCAAGCAACCAGCAGAAGGAAACTCTAATCTTCGACAGATTGGAGTACGTCAAATAGAATGGTGCGGGAATAATACAGTTGCTATCGCGTGGGATTCTGAAATTGTGATGGTCGGTCCCTTCGGAGACTCAATTCGATACTTTTACGCTGGAGCGATTCAAATGGTATCAGAACTGGATGGCTTGCGGGTTGTTTCTTCTGATCGGCTAGAATTTATACAAAAGGTCGCCGAATCTTCTAAATCGATCTTCCTACCCGGATCGACGCATTCATCCGCCATCTTATTTGATGCATCGGAACAATATGCTAAAAAGAGTGCAAAGGCAGACGAGGGTATTCGAGCAATACGGAAAGATTTATCTTTGGCCGTCGATACATGCCTAGAAGCTGCCAGTATGGAGTGGGATGTACAATGGCAACGAAAATTGATGCGAGCAGCAACTTTCGGAAAATCATTCATTGACGCTTTCGATCCTAGCGTCTTGGTGGATACTGCAAGGACGTTGAGAGTATTGAATGCTGCAAGAAGGTATGATGTCGGAGTACCCATCACTGTGGAACAATATAGGGCTATGGGAGCAGAACAGCTCATCAAACGATTGACAAATCGTAATCATCACCTTTTATCTCTTCATATCACAAACTATTTATTCTTGAGACCTGATTCTGTGCTCAAGCATTGGGCTCGTGGAAAGATTGCACGTTCAAGACCGGGAGCAGGAGCTTTGGCACAAGGTGCAAGTGCAAACGCAGCAGATGATGAAACATGTCGAGCGATTGTAGCCAAATTTGAGATGCAACCTTCGGTTAGCTATGCAGAAATTGCAAGGACAGCTTGGAATTCTGGAAGGCCCAGATTGGCAACAAAGCTGATGGACCATGAGCCAAGAGCGGTTGATCAAGTGCCTTTGCTTTTGACGATGCATGAAGATAAGCTGGCTTTGGTGAAAGCGATTGAAAGTGGTGATACAGATCTCGTATATCATGTACTTCTGCGACTTAAATCACAGCTTTCTAGAGGTGACTTTTTCAGATTGGTACAAGCGCCAATTGCCGATGCAAGTGCACCGGGATCAGGATTGGTAGCAGCAGACGGAACAGCAAATTCCCCTTCACCAAGCAGTCACGTTTATCTGGCCAGTAATTTACTGGAGATTTATGCTAAACAAGAAGATGTGGAATTGTTGAAAGATTTCTACTTCCAAGATGATCGTCGGACGGAAGGAGCATTACTTGCCTTGGAAAGAGCGGCTAAAGAGAGCGATATAACACAAAAAGTGCAATACATCAAAGAAGCACAAAAGCTATTCGGTGAAGAGAAGGATCGGGCGCTGGAATCGAAATTGTCTGAAGAGTACGTTCGTTTACTCGGTTTCCAATCTGCTTTAGAGAAGGAAGATGGCGGACGAACACGATTTGTTGGATTAAGTGTGAATGATACAATTCGCACTTGTTTGATCAAAGATATGCCAAAAAAGGCAGAAAAAGTACGTGGGGATTGGAAAGTGCCTGATAAACGATTTTGGAATATTAAAATATCCGCTTTAATCAGTGGTCGTGATACCGATGGACTTTGGGCTTTCGCCAATTCCAAAAAGAGTCCTATAGGCTATCAACCTTTTATCGCTCAATTGATCAATGCAGGATATGTGCAAGAGTCGTTGCGATATGTATCAAAATGCGCCAGTGATAAGACGGACAAGAGCAGACTTCGATCTTACCTGCAAAGGATACCTGCTCCAATTGCTAATCAGTTGGCTGAACAATTGGGGGATTCATAGTCGCACATCTCCTTATCCTGTACCCGATTAATGAAACCATATACCCTTTCTTTGTTTGTCGGTGTTAAATGTGATTATGCAGTATATCTCATTGATGTTCTGATGATATGTTGTTCTAAGAATGTTTCACCATTCATTTGTCACTTCCTCCTTCGCTCGAAGAACCAGATTCGGAAGATTCCTTTCCACCTTTATCCCCACTGCCTCCTTCATCAGCCTGTCCAATAATTCCCAGCCGTAAAACACTACTGGTTGCTCTCACTTCTCCTTTTGCTCTATTCTCTGATGCTTCTTTTGCTTGACGGGCCAAGAAAGTATCTCTGATCGTCTTCATACGTTCGATCTGTTTGAGCAAGGCAGAAAAGAGTGTCAGTCATTCAATCGCAACCCTTATTGCTACAAATGTGATGTAGGACATACCTCTTTCTTGTGATGTAGACATTCCATATAATCATCTTTTTGTGTAACACATTCGCTGGTTGAATCAGCTTGTGCGTAACATTTTTGGAACTCTTGCCAATGTGTGAAGCAGCGTGACCGTCCTGTGTAGAGAAGGGATAAAAACGATCAGATGATGGTCTTTACTTGAATTCATATGCCTTCTAAGTCAATACATACCACCTGTGAAACCGAAACCAGACTGTGTTTAAAGGGGAAGAGAGTATAATCGTGAGCATTTCAGATGCTTTGCTGATTGCTATACCATCAAGATACTTACAGCCATAACTACTCAATGTGATTGCCACGAAATGTTTGATATGGTGCGATGTCGAGATGGAGATGAGATTGAATGCTTAGTGATAAATGCGATCCCACTCTCATAGTGTATGCACGCCCCATAATGGCTCAACACCCGTGCCAATCAGAAAACAGTTGCTTAAAGCGTGTAAGGTCTTAAAGCATGGCACAACAGATAGCAAGCGTCAGTCTGTTGCTTGGATATACGCGTCTCAGCCCAGAGCGCACGCAAACAAGATTCCAATGTCGCCTCGATTCTGGCCTTGCGCTTACACGTGATTTTCTTCTGATTTTCTTGGGATTACCTGCGCGCACCCGCAGCCTGGTAAGGTTTATTCGAAGCCATCACGATTGTAAGCCTGTAAGTAGCGATGAAGATCGTCAAGAGTAGGAATGACTTACTGACAATTGCTCATATCTCCTATACTCTATAGTAAACTGCACGCCCTTGTATCCGCACGACGAGATCATCGGTGGCTACGATCCTAATCAACTTTTAACAACACACTTTCTCACTAAACACTACTAAATCTTTCAAAATGGGTATCTCCCGTGCTACAAAGGAGGCTTGGTTCGTCAAGTTGAACGAATTGCTCGACAACTACCCCTCCATCTTCATCGTCAATGTCGATAACGTTGGTTCCCAACAAATGCACCAAATTCGTGCTTCTTTGCGCGGAAAGGCAACCGTTTTGATGGGTAAGAACACCATGGTTCGTCGTGCTTTGCGTATGATTATGGCCGAAAAGCCTCAATTCGAAAAATTGATGCCTTACGTCAAGGGAAACATTGGTTTCGTTTTCACTTCAGGTGATTTGAAGGACATCCGTACCGCCATCTTGGCTAACCGTGTTGCTGCCCCTGCTCGTGCTGGTGGTTTCGCTCCTGCTGATGTTACCGTTTCTGCTGGTAACACCGGTATGGAACCCGGTAAGACCTCTTTCTTCCAAGCTTTGGGTATTCCAACCAAGATTGCTCGTGGTACTATTGAAATCGTTTCCGATGTTAAGGTCGTTTCTGGTGGTACCCGTGTCGGTTCCTCCGAAGCCATGTTGTTGAACATGTTGAACATCTCTCCATTCACTTACGGTATGAGTGTTGTTCAAATCTACGACAACGGTCAAACATTCGGCACTGAAGTTTTGGATGTCGAAGAAAAGGTTTTGGTCGAACGTTTCCAATTGGGTATCAAGCAAATCGCTGCTATCTCTTTGGCTCTCAACTACCCAACCATTGCCAGTGTTACCCACTCTCTTGTCAACGCTTACAAGAACTTGTTGGCCGTTTCATTGGCAACCGACTTCGAGTTTGAAGGTTCCGCTAAGGTGAGTATCGCTTTGATGATCGGAATGGCGCACGCATGAGAAATGGCCCAAAAGATGGCCAAATTTTATCACACTGAAAATTCGGATCAGTCGAAATGACCAATGACCGAGTAAATGGGGTCATACAATGGCTTCATCATACGCTGATGGTACATGCAAGACATGTTTGCGCTCTAGGGGGGAGAAAATATCGATAGAAGCTGATTGGTACAGATTGCTGACATATTCTTGCCTCTTTTGTCTCTACAGGCCAAGGCTTACCTCGCTGACCCCTCCGCTTTCGCTGCTGCTGCTCCTGCTGCCGCTGCTGCTGAAGACGCTGCACCCGCTGCTGCCGCTGCCAAGGAGGAAGAAGAAGAGAAGGAAGAATCCGATGACGATATGGGCTTCGGTTTATTCGATTAAACAGCTTTATTTCGATCTTTTACTCAAGATTTTGCGATCATGCACACTCTCCTATGTATTGCTAGCTCATTGCGATGCGTAAAAATGCGATATCATTCGCTTTAAGGTGATTGTGCGAGGGAAGAATGAAGTAGAACATAATTGACAGAGTGACAACAGTTCGAGACAATCTAGCTATGACTGTGGTCCTCCTTTTGACTTTTCGAGATTTTCTGGGCTGCTGATGCACCATCGTCTAAGCGGGTGACGGGTGCTTTTTTGACAATCTTCATCTGTCGATCATGTTCGGCATGCGGATGTTGTACAGGATCCGTATTTGCCCAACCAACCAAGCTTTCTTTGGTGTGTCGTATCGAGCTTCTATGTGGATGCGCTTCATGTCTCGACGGAGAAGGAGGAGGTGTTTTAACTTTTTTCATGGTTGTCATCTCGCTAGCTTTATCGGTACACTTTACCGTGATCGCTGCGAATATGAGAAAGAAGATTGAATGATGCAAAACAAGTTGCGAAGTATGTACTTGCATGGTTGGTTGTTTACAAGACTCTACCTCAAGAAGATGGGAGTTCAGAAGATGAGCTCGCAGAATGATTTAAGCTTTCACGTTGTGATACGGAGAATATTGTTTTGAAAATAATGCTGTCAAGAGGCGCGAATAGGGAAATGGGATTTCGGGGCATATAGCGTTGCATGTATGCATTCATTATTGACGATCATCTTTTGGCTTTCTCGGGCCTCTTGACATACTTGATTCTTTCTTCTTTCTCGGTTTTTCGGTTGCTCTGCCACTATGCTGTGTTCTAGGCGGCGTTTGTGATGCTCTGGCCGTGCCAGCTTGACTTGATTCTTTTGCTTTGGTTGAACCTGTTTCCAAGACAGGGTATTTCTCTTTTGATTTTGATCTACGGCGGCCATCTTTTGAAGATGTGTCAATGGTTGAAGCTGTGCCTGGATGAAGATGATCAGTACTTGGCCCGATATGTAATTGTTTGGAAGGTGTTACTGATGAATCTCCTCCGATGTTTAATATTTTACGCTTTCTCTCTGTAATTGGTTTGATCTTTTCACTAACTTCTTCTTTGACATCTTTGATTACCGGCTGTTGATGAGGAGCATGAGTACTTTCAACGTGCTGTTCACCACTCATAGCACGATGAAATGCATCTTGTTCTTTTTTAAATTGTTGTTGATGTGCAACAAGTTTTCCTACTTCAATTGCACGATGATATTGATTATCCGTTCGCCAAGCTCTATCTTCTGAAAATGCTGAACTTGTGGCATGAAATTGTGCTCGCATTAATGCTGTCATTGCTGCTGCCATATTTGGTCGACGTTGCTGTGGATTGTTGGTTACAACCTCCTTGCCTTTTTCATGCTCTGGACTGTTGACTGATGATGCACCAATGATCATAATGCACATCATCGTTAGATAGTTGATAATGCTCTGATGATTTGAAAATCTCATGATGACTTATCCTATTTAGTAGAGAAGAAAGAGTAAAACAAGTACTTAAAGGACAGCTTTCGTTGTGTAAATATCTCATCTTTTCAGATTATATTCGTTGGCACAGCATTGTGTATCGTCACCAACAAACAAAGGTGAAGGCAACCGACTGCGTAAAACAGCATTCGACCGCCATACATTTTGACCAAGTATATGCGGTCATCGAAATCAGCGTCAAATGTTCTCGAAGATGTATGTACCTCACCTTCCCCCATTCCATCGCCGGCTTTTTATGCGTCTGTCACCGGCCTGTCTATAAAAGCACACTTTACTAACCCGACTCGGTGAAGTCGTTTTTAACTTTAACCGTAAACCGCTTCAAGCAAAATGCATACGCCCTGTGTGGGTCTCTTTCTCCCACTTTAAACGCGGACAGGCCTCTTTTTCGCTCCCCCGAGCTAAAAACAAAACCATTCAGCCAAAATAAACTCGGCTCCAGCAGCACACGCATTCACGCAGGGCACTAAACCCCCCAACAAAGAAAGCTGCATTACTGTTGCATATCAAATAAAACAATTTCATTCTTGACAATCTTGCTTTTTGGGTTTTGCAATCCAACCACATACACGCACACACCTGGCCATCCACAAATATCACTCTAACGAAAGCAAGCTCTGATCGTGGCAAAGCTCAGCAAAGAGTATCTAGCAAGTGAAGACAAAATACCACTTAGTTCTAGTCTAAGTTCAAGCTAGAGAACACCTTCTCCACACTACACCACTTCAACCTAGAGAGGCTACTCTTCAAAGAGGATCTCTTGTCCTTTCAATCGGCAGGTAAACAAGCACAAAGCGAATAGAGGCTTCTAAACGCTTTTTTGACATTCTCCTGCATCTTCTTTACTCCCTCGCTTTTGGCACTTATGTCTTTTTGGAGTTCGATAACCTACATCATGTCGGCTACGACAAAGTCGCTTACATATGGCGCAGGTGCCTCATTTTTGGTGTTAACATTGCTTTCACCTCGATCACAACGAGCAAGAATGTACTTGAATGCTTTGCTTTACATCGCCTCAATGGGAGCTTGTTCGTTCTTTGGTGTTGCAATTTCACCGTTCATGGCTTTGACTAAGAATGCTTTGAATATCAATTGGGCAGTCGCAAGAGCATTCCATCTCTTAGCTGGAAATTTGATCGGCCTAAAGTTCAAAGTTGAAGGAGCAGAAAAGTTCGATCAAGCAAGACCGGCAGTTTTGGTAGGAAATCATCAAACAGGTGTCGATATCTTATACCTTGGAAAGATTTTCCCAAAGCATGCCAGTATTATGGCTAAGCAAATCTTGAAATATACACCGCTTCTTGGTCAATTCATGTATCTTGCAGGAGCAGTTTTCATCGATCGTGCTAACCGAGCAAGTTCCATCTCTGCATTCGACAAGGTATCCAAAAAGATGAAAAAGTATAATCTTTCTCTTTGGGTCTTTCCCGAAGGAACAAGATCAAATTTGCCATTTCCCGATCTGTTACCGTTCAAGAAAGGTGCTTTCCATTTAGCTGTTCAAGCACAAGTGCCAATTGTGCCAGTCGTTTGTGAGAACTATAACAGATTCTTTGATGGAAAGACACGATTCGAAGCTGGAACAGTGCGTGTTCGTGTTTTGGAACCAATCGAAACCAAAGGATTGAAGATGGAAGATGTTACCGAATTGACAACACGTGTACGAAGTGTCATGTTGGCCGAATTGCAAAAGATGGATGCAGAATTAGACAGAGGAGATGTTTCTGCAGCTATCAAAGGTAAACCACAATCCTTACAGCTGGGCGGATTGGCTAAATTGGCGTCGTATATCGTTGGTACTGGACCTGGACCCGATGTGGTGGGAAGAGTGGAAAGGGAAAGAAGAGAATTGGTCAAACCGGGTACATCCGGTGACAAGGTTGGAGATTTCAACCTTGTATCGGAAAAGGGAAAGGGTAAAGCAACTGCAGTTGCTGGATCAGCAACAGATGCTGCTCAAAGACCTAATTTTGAAAGCAAGACAAGCGGCAGTCATTCTTCTGAAGAAACGGATGAGAGCGCTATCCTTGTCAAAAGACCCTAAAGAATGCGCTATATTTCCACAACGAACTTTTGCGTTTTCGTGTGAGGTAAATCTGCCCAATAATGTTACTTTCTCTTAAGTACATTCTCTTTCGAAATCTCTTTCATTGTAAATCATTGAAGTGTTTTCTTGTATTTTTCAATGTTATTATTTGACTCTTGAGTACGACGAACAAGATAACCTAGGCAGGCACACGCGTTTGCAGAGCTAAATCCGATGCGTGAAAATCGGACATAAGCTTTATTTTCAGATTTAAGCTCCACTTTCAAAAGATGACGAAGCTGTCAAGATGTCTTCTCTTACGCCACGATCTTCCTATCTCAGTAACCTACATCCCCTCATCTACCGCCCTCGAACAGGCTCTCACAAAGATGGAGTCTTCAGTGGCACAAGATGATGATGAGATACGCATCAAGCTATCTTATCGAGGTCAAAATCATGACATAATACTCACTCCATCCGACACTCTAGCCGACCTGTATGATGCAATATACGAAAAGACTACAGTTACCCCATCGCATCAAAAGATCATCGCTTCAGGACAGATACGGAAGGTGTTCGTCGATAAGAAACCCGAAGAAGGGGAGCAGCCGACACTAGGACAGCTCGGATTCAACGATGGGAAATCGAATGGTGTTATCAAGTTGATGTTAGTAGGGCCACCGGAATCAGAAGTTGAAGCAATACAGAAAGAAGATGAAAAAGGAGCAAAGATGAACAAGCCAAGACAATATCATCCCAGCATGTTACGTGGCGCGAAACCTAGATCGACAATGAACGCATCTTCATCTTCTGCAAATCCGTTTCACAATCTTCGAGTTCATCAAGTCACACCACCTTCTGCGCCAGAATATGAAATGATCATGACAAGGCTGCGGAAGCTGAGCACAGACGAAGCTGTTGTACATGTTTGTAGATTGCATGGCTTTCAAGTTGGTGAACTAACGGAATTGTTGCCACACGAACATCCAAACTTGTTGGGCTTGAACGAGAATATGGGACAAAGGATCAGTTTACGACTGAGAACGGATCTGTATGATGGACTACAGCCATACAGAGATACCCGACGGGTTCTGTTACACGAGCTTGCACACAATAAAGTCAACGATCATCCGCCTGAATTCAAGATTCTCAATTCGGAACTGAATGCACAAGTGGAAGCATATGAACGGGCTCAACAGCAAGGTACACATCGATTGATCGAAACGGATGTGTATGTGCCACCTGAAGAAGGTCAAGAGATGTCAAATGGTGCCGCTTCCGGTCCTACTGCTCATGTTTTGGGTGGAAGTGGTTCAACGAACGATGGCGGTGACATGCGTGCAAGACGAGATAAAGTCTTACAAGCAACGATGCGAAGGCTTGAAAAGGTAGAAGCAGAAATTGAGAAAGGATGTGGCTCGAATGCTTGATCATTGTTAAGCGGAACTTAATTATTGTATACTATTGATTGCTGGATTTAATTGTATTCGTATTTGCTAATGGTACATGTTTTTACATTCAACGCTCTTTTGCTTAAAATTCGAATGCACGGTCTAGATCTTGTCTGATATGTTCACGCATTCCTGGTGGCATCAAAGGTCGAGTTTGAGGAGTGATGGGAGCATTATTATCTGCAACCATATATCTGAATGGCATAGTGACTGATTCCCCTGCTCCAAATTTCAGTTCAGGATGCGTGATCCAAGCCATACTTCCGCCTGGACCTTGTTTTTCCGTATTTTCCGAACCTACATCTTCTTTTGGCAGATTGATCGCAATACCATCTTCTACCACACGCTTTGTCACGCCAAGGGCCGTATCTGTAGTCATTTGAACTGGTCCTAAATGACGAGTTGGGAAACCTAAAGCTCTAAGTGCGCCCGTTCGATCACGCGGTGGATCATCACCCAAAATTCCACCGAACAAAAAGTATCTAAAAGGTCCATCAGATGGTTTTGCCGTTGTTGCTTTTCCTGAATGTAATCCTGCATCATGTACTGAAACTGCGATTGGTGATTTGGGATCCAAGAGACAGATCTGGCTTAGTTCAGCATTTCTCTTTTTGGCCATATCCAAGATTCCCTCAACGTGCACTTCAAATTCGGCACTTGGCTGTGAAGATGAAGAAGCAGAAAGTGCTTTGTGTAATGCATCCCTGGAAGCATTTGAAACCAGACCGGTAAAATGAACCGTTGAACCAGGTCCTACCAGCGTAAGCATATGTCTATATTCCAATAATGCCCATTTTGGAAATGTAGCAGGTGAATCTGGATCTGCATCCAAATCTTCCATGTGCTCGATTATATACTGTGGTCTTTGCGACATTGTTGCGTTGGAGTAGAGGTGATCGTAGAAGTAATTCAAAATTAAGCTCAAATTTCTTCTTAAAATTTCCGGTTTTAGTGGCTCTTCTTACATGATTATATCAGCAGCCAAATGAAAATTGACGCGTTTTGTTTGATGACAAATAGACGCGTAAATTGATTGATTGCTAAGAGAAGAACAAGAACAACACTTCTGAAGCTTTCTGTCAACTACTTCTTCATCATGTCTCACTTTCAATCTTTGCCTTATCGACAGTAGTATATTTTATCATTTTGTATTATTCGCCTTTTTATTCGAGGTCCTTGAGAGCCTTCGCAAATTCTCATCTTGTTTTGCGAAAGATGAGTGCTACTTCCGTTCGTCGAAAGAGCTCGTTGGCTGCTGAAAAGAGGATGAGATCACAGATGGAGAATGTCGAGGAGCTGAATGGAAAAGTGCAAAAATCAAATGGCAAAGCAAAAAAGCACAAATCAGGCGAGGAATCGGATTTTGAAGATAAAGGATCATCTGATCGCGACGAAGAACCAGATGCAGAAATGATACTATCACCAGACTCAAAGAGAACGAAGAAGCGAAAAGTATCAAGCGGAAATGGCAAAAGTGCAACGGGACGTAATGTGCTACAAGAAATATATCAGAATACCAGCCGGAAAGCTGAAACAACTAGCGAGCCTCCGTTTCGGCAGCATCGAACTTTCTATCACCGACCTCTATTGCTGGATGACCGCCAATACCGCTCTGATCTGCTAACGTGGTTCGATTCAGTGAGTACGGCACGTTCGATGCCATGGCGTAAAGCATGGATAGATCCAAAGACATTCAAGAATTCCGATCATTCTGATTTACGTTCCGCTTTAGAACGTCGTTCATACGAAGTTTGGATAAGTGAAATTATGTTACAACAAACCAGGGTAGCGGTAGTGATTGATTATTGGAACAAATGGATGGATCGTTGGCCAACGATACAAGATCTCGCAAATGCTTCGGCTGATGATGTGCTGAGTGCTTGGCGTGGATTGGGTTATTATAGTCGTGCAACGAGGATTCATGAAGCTGCTAAGAAAGTTGTCAATGATTCACAAATGCTAGGTCTACTGCCAAACACCGCAGAAGAATTGCAAGCAAAAGTTCCGGGTGTGGGAAGGTATACGGGAGGTGCAATCAGTGCAATCGTATTTGGACATGCTGAACCAATGGTAGACGGAAATGTACTCCGTGTATTGGCAAGACAGACGGGTTTGTTCACAAATGTGAAAACAAACAAAACCGCAATCGATGCACTATGGGCAGCAGCAGATGCACTGGTGAAAGCAGTTGCGAAAGATCATTCAATTAAAAGTGAATCGAGCGATTCTTCTACGGAAGGTCTAGCTGTAAGCGATGGTCCGGGTCGTTGGGGACAAGCTCTGATGGAACTGGGAAGCACGGTCTGCACGCCGAAACCGGATTGTGCCAATTGTCCAATCACAACAACTTGTCGTGCATATGCTGAAGGAGTTTCACTAGCAAAGAAAGCAAAGCTGATGTCTATATCATCACAGTCTGACCAGCCTGTAGGAGATATAGAAGATCTGTGTTCCGTTTGTGAACCGTATGAAGAAGTTACAAGCGTAATCGATGGGGAATCTGAAGCGAAAGAAGAAGGACCGTCAGCTTCTGCCCCTCCGACCAAACCCAAAGCACGACAAGCATCACTAGCAGCTTTTGCATTCACATCAAAGCCAAGAAATGCATCTAAGGCTCAGACGAATCAACAGCCCGCAGGAGAAACAACAAAGCCCAGTGCGAAAGCGATGGAAATGATTGTAGACCATTGCAAAAAGTTCCCTGTAAAAGTGATCAAGAAAGCCGTTCGAGAAGAAGAAACGATCGTTTGTGCGATTCGTAATAAAGATGGTAACTATTTGATCAACAAAAGACCCGAAAAAGGTTTATTGGCAGGCATGTGGGAATTCCCTAGCAATACACTACCGGACACGAACGATAGTACTTCAAAAGACAGAAAGAAGCGAGCGGTAGACTTTCTTAAAACGATTCTCAGCGAGGGAAACCTCTCAGAGAAACCTGTCGCAAATGGGGAATTGGGTAGCGTTCCTTGGCTGTTCTCGCATTTAAAGCTTACGATGCATGTCTATCTTTTTGAGATAGACGAATCCACCTCAGCCCTAAACGGAGCTCGGAACGCACGTTGGGCATCTCATGATGAAGTTGAAGCTGAATCAATGGGAACTGGTATGCGTAAATGCTGGTCTCTAGTAAAAGAGAGACTGTAAATCAATGTACTTTTATAACGTTTATTAATGCGATTCATTCTTTATTGTACAGTTGCTGTTTTTTCGTACGGGTATATCGGCATCAGAAAGCAATCCTCAATACCCTTCCAGATCTAGTGCTTCTATAGCAAGATTGTCGTCCTCGTCTGCATTATCATCGCTATCTTCTTCTTCGTCGATTTCTTCTTCCTCTTCCTCTTCTTCATCCTCTTCTTCTTCGTCGTGCTCTTCATCTTCTATCACACTTTCTCTCGTCTCTTGGTCAGAGTATCTTCCATCTCCAGATTGATCCGACGTCCGTCTACTATGACTGTACTTCCGGTTCTTGTTGGCTTCTCCTTCCGCATCGCTATGCCTGCCAACGCTTTCTGGATCAGAGTAATACTCCTGAACTTTCTCTGAAGAAAGTTCAGATCCTTCACTCTGCAAATTCTGCATGCCTAGCCTTGGACTTCCACTGTATTGCTCACTTACACTTCGATGGAAAGCAGGATGTCCCGAAGGACTGCTCGAAGGAGGACGAGGGTGTACAACACTTTCGTTGATCTTGGGGATCGGTTGATGGTGACCAAAAGCTTCTTCAGGTTGCAATCCCAACCCGGTAAAGGGACCTCGAATATTTTGCGGTCGTACAGGCGCAATATGCGAAACTGACGCTCTGGGTGTTACGCTTTGTGATCCAGGATAATTCTTTGTAGGTGTTTGGTCGGATAGTGAAGTATTTGTTTCAGAAGAGAAGACATCATTTAGATGAGAATGGTGCTGAGGCTGATGCAGATAATCGGCAGATAATCCATGTGATCGAGCATCAAAGGTGGAAGAAATATTTGATTTACCCGGTGTCAAGGTGATATCCGTTTGAGATCTAGGAGAAGATGTTGCACTTGATTCTGCAGTGCTGGCAGATGTTGAATCGAGATGGATCGGCATCTGTCGATCAGGTGATGCTCTTCCCGCTTCAGAGCGTACGTCTTGCACAGCCCGCGAATTGTCAGAAGGCAAACCTGACGTTGCCGAATTCAGCATCTCTGAAGTCAGTACACGCCTTCTAGGTGAACCTGGCCGAGAGTTGCCACGAGATGGCCCATCTGCTTGATTGTGTCCAGAATGTAAAGGATGAGCATGTATGTGATGATGATTGTGTGATCGTCCGGCTCTACTTGCAGGCCTTGAAGGTGAAGGGGATAAGAGCGTGCTGCTATCTCTGCTGTGTCCGAAAACCGGAGTGACTGTTGATGACGGCGGCGGTGGAAGATCGGGATCAGCATCAAATGTTAGCTTTAATGTAGGATGTTGAACAGGCAGTCTGCCTACGCCATATTGTTGAGTAAAGGATCCTGCGTTGGAAGATGCAACGGAGGATGCGCCATCCGTACTTGCCTGCCTTTTATGTGAACCATTTGTGAGACTGTCTTTCTTGACAAAGCCGTCTTGTAGATTCAGCTTATCGGTAGATTTCTCTCGTGATACGATGACATCGTACGGATTCCGCAATCTGTGTAAAGGGCTTGGACTCTGCCATGTCCAGTCGGGAAGGAAACGTCTAGGCGGTAAACGAATGCCATCTGGTTTACCAATCTTTTCCACAAAGGACGTTTGATAGCTGATGATTTCTTCATCATGCCCCAGCGTACGAATCATTTCATCTCGAATGGCTTTCATTGACCATGCTTGTACTTTGCGAAGAACGGCAACGAGTAATGTACTAACACTTTGACCATCCAAGCAATGAATATAGAGTGGTAAATTTCGCTTGTCCAATAATGTCAATAATGCTTTGGTTGCATTCTCCTTGCTTATGCCTCCGCCATCATCTTTTGGTTTATCGCATCTGATATGATGGATAGTAATCTTTCGTTCTTCACACCATTTCATTAAATCTTCATCCACAGCAGAAATTGGTTTTGGCGTTAGGGATAAAATCGTTTTGAGATTCAAACGTGAAAGGAAAGGTAAATGTCTTTGTCGTGGAAATGAACCTTTGTAGACCGATTGATACGAAGCAGAGTGAGCATTTTGCTGTGATGAAGATGCGACGTTTGATGTTCCGATCGATAGAGTACCTGGAACCTGAGCAACAGTGCCAAATCGTAAAGGTGCGATCATCGGCGTTAGTGGAGAGACCAAAGTTGGTTGACCTGGGTGATTGGCGGTCATTGTTGCAGCGTATGATGCTCGCTTGGCATCATCTAGAGAATCTGTCATGATCTCTTCATCACGATTGCTTTACTTGTATTGGACATGATCGTGGCTTTATTGCATCGTTGGTAACCAGGTTTGTGGAGAAAAATAATTGCTCGTGCGTACCTGATGATACAGTCAGTCGTACGCCGCATACAACAACAACTGGCATTCTTCTTACACGCGTAAACCTGATCAGACATTAAATGCATTTCACTCAAGCCAACATCTTCTTACAACCGATAATCTTCCCACCGCCACCATCACACGACTGTTACATTTCACCTTCCGATAGATCAACTTAAGCCGCTCACTGTGGCAGTATACCCACTCAAACGCAAGATAGCCTTGGCACAGTGCGTCTTGCAAGATGGCGTTCGATCTAGACGCTTGTATTGCGAGGCTATTACAAAAACAATTACTCGGCGAAGCATTACTACGAGAAATATGTGAAAAGACAAAAGAATTGTTGATGAGAGAATCAAATGTGGTTCATATTGCTTCTCCTGTCACTGTTGTTGGGGATATACATGGACAGTTTTACGATCTAATAGAAATCTTTAGAATCGGAGGTTATTCACCACATACCAATTATTTATTCTTGGGAGATTATGTCGATAGAGGATTATTCTCGGTGGAAACGATATCGCTCTTAACATGCTTGAAACTTCGATACCCTGACCGTGTTCAGCTTATCCGCGGTAATCATGAAAGTAGGGCGGTAACGCAAACCTATGGATTTTATACCGAATGTACAAGAAAGTACGGAAGTGCAAACGTTTGGTCATACTTTACCGATATGTTTGACTTTTTGACGTTATCAACAGTCATTGATGATCAGATATTTTGCGTTCATGGAGGATTGTCACCCTCGGTGCATTATATCGATCAGGTCAAAGTGATCGATAGATTCAGAGAAATTCCTCATGAAGGTCCTATGGCCGATTTGGTTTGGTCAGATCCTGATCCGGATAAAGAGGAATTTGCAATCTCTCCAAGAGGTGCAGGCTTCACTTTTGGCTCTTCAGTAGTGAAGCATTTCCTGCAGCGAAACAATATGGTACACATCTTACGTGCTCATCAACTTTGCATGGAAGGATTTTCCGTCTTGTACGATGACCGTTTGAGCACAGTTTGGAGCGCTCCCAATTACTGCTACAGATGCGGAAATATGGCAAGTATTTTGGAAGTTGGACCGGGAGGGACAAAGCATTTCAACACATTCGAAGCTGCTCCCGAGAACGAGAGAGATGGACCTGCACAGGCTGCACAAGCCGCACAAGCAGCTCAAGTTGCTCAACAGAACGGTCAGATCGTCAAACCACAAGTGGAATACTTTCTCTAACCTTCCGCCTTTTACAAAAGCTGGTATTCCCTCCAGCAAAAGCACTACATTTATTATTATCTACCTGCACTCTTGTATTATTACTCATATCCAACGGCATGGCATGGAAAGAATACCTAAAAGTTTCTCATTCATTTACGATTGCACATCGATTTCTAAGGTATTGTATTGAAGAAGACAAATACTAAATTATGAACGGAGTGTCTGTTGATTATATACATTTTGTTGCTGCTACTTTCAATCAATCACGATTCCTGCCGCCTTGCAATGCAATCCTTGCGATACTTTGACGAGCATCTTCCACACTTTCATCTGTTCCCATGATGATCACCAAACCACCTTGATCACGCGGAATTTCGATGCTTGCTTCTGTTTGAGCTTCAATCTCTCTCAATCCGGCACCTCCTCTACCGACAATACGAGGAATAGCTCTTTGATCGACCCAAAGGCGAGCTTGAGATGTAAAGGCTTGCATGCGTTTCACTTCACTTTCCAAATCTTGGACGGCATCTTGTAGAGACACTGCAGATCTGCTCGATAATGTCCAGGTGATTTGATCTGATGACGATTGCAAGTCGATCTTGCTCAATTCGAATGGCAAAGAATCGACATCATCTTCTCCAACGTCATCATCAATACGGGCTGCAGTTCCAGCAGGTGGCTTAGCAGATGAAGCGGCTGTTTGATCTCCATTGCCGGCATTGGCTCTTGGAGCATCTACAGATACACCGTACTCATTGCGCAATCTGCGAATGGTGGATCCGCTGGCGAGTTTTGCAGCAATGGGACGAGAGATTTTGATAGCTTGCGAATTTGCAATGAAAGAATCACGAATTTCTTCTTTGATGGATTCACATGCTGTCTTTGATCCTTGAACCTTTACAATCGATTCAGGAGATGACGAAGACAATTCTGCTGCATTGCTGATCTCCAATTGATCATATTCGCGCCAGCCAGGAACAATGATTCGCGTGGAAGGATGAGTGGCTTGCAATTCACGTATTTTTCCCATCAATGAACGGTGTTGACCAACTGGAACAGAAACACCGATTACAATTCTACTTTGCAATTCTCCTGCTATCCGCTCAAGCTCTTCCTTGACTTTAGCAGCCAAAGCAGCAGGTCCGCGTACTGTGACGGTATCTGCTTGATCTGCACTTGCTCCTCTACGTGGGAATTGAATCAATTGAGTGGCAGATTTTGACTCGGCGTCACCTCCAGCGCGAGTGATGATATCACGAAGGTTTTGTCCACCAGGACCAATCAATTGGGCATGGAATCTGGAAGGAATGGAAACGGCAAAGGATGACTCTGAATCCACATCGGCGGCAACGGCAAGAACGGCGGCTTTAGCTTCAGCAATTGCTTTCTTTGTTCCGCGAAGACGAATGTTTGTGGTGTCGCCAGCAGTGCCAGAAGCGTCTTCACGATCAACATCGATTTGCGCTCCGGTTTCATCACGAATCCGGTTCACATTTGCACCACCTTTGCCCATAATTCTAGCGATACTCTTTGTACTGACAGGCACATTGATGACGTTATTGTTCTCCTTTTCGTATTCAATCAACTCAAGTAATTCAGCTTTAGCGCCTTCAACACCCTTCTTTCCACCTTTGATAACAACTTCGTCTGGCTTTTGAGGTTTATCACCTTTGACGTCATCGTTGGCAGATTGAGAAGGGAAGTTGATGCGGACACCGTAATTGTCTTGCAATCTGGTCACGTATTTTCCTCCTTGTCCAATGATCGAACCATGTAAGCTTGCGGGCACGTTGATTGTTACTGTTGCTTCATCTGCCAGTTTATCTACCAAGCTCAAGATGCGCTTTTTGGCTTCTTCAGCATTCTCTTTGCGTCCGACAATTACCACGGGTACTTTAGCTGCTTTCTTGACTGCAGCTGTTCCATTTGCACCAGCAGAACCATTTGCGTCTCCAAAGTCGATCTTCACACCAAGATCTTCTCTCAATTTGGTCACACCCGAACCACCTCGTCCGACAATGTGAGGAACATATTGGGAGTTGATGGTGAGCTCAACAGTGTGTCCATTGACGACAGCATCCTCTTCTGCCTCTTTTGCGATCGTCTGAATAGCTTTGACCACACGCTCTACCTCTGAGCTAGGACCACGAATGATCACAGCATCTTCCTCTTTAGTGGAGGTTTTACCAGTAGTAGATGCAGATGATCCAAATTTGACAGCTGCAAGACGTTCTTCACCCAGAATGGCATTAAGTGTTGTACCTGCAGGACCCAAGATCGTACGATGGAACTTGGCAGGAATGGAAAGTGTTTCCGTCTTGAGATCAGCTGCTTGCTTTCCGGCAGCCTCAATGTCAGCCTTTACTTGCGACAGGATTGAAGCAGCTGCAGTGTCGCGAGACTTTTTGTCTTTCGGAAGGCCGCCGATCACATTTGCATCTCCAAGAACGATGACGACATCTGATCGACCATCAGAAACTGATGCATCGGTGACGGGAGGGAAGATTACATCTACACCTTTCTTTGCGTACTGAGAAAGTCCTGCTCCCTTTTTGCCAATGATGAATCTATGCAAAAGAGGATCGATGTCTACACCGGAAACGAATGAGGGAGGAATGTTTTTCACCAATGCGTCTAACTCTCCTCGGACACGTGTGACTGCATTCGCATCAGCTCCTACCACTTCGATGTGTGCCAAACCAGAAGACTCAACAATTGCTGAACGGGGAAGGTAAACCTGCACGCTCTGCTCGCGAGGTAGCTTACCGCTCACGCTGAGCCAGCGGAGCAAAGTCTTTGCATGTTCCACATCTCTATGAGCTGCACCTACGTCCACAACTTCGACTCGGACAGCGTTAGCTTTTTCCATTGCAGCTGTCAAAGCGAGAGGTAATTGACCTTGGGGACCTCGGATGGTGACGCTGTCAGATGGGTCATCGATCGGTGCCAATTCGATGCTGCAACCAGTAGATGATAAGATATCTTGAGCAGCATCACCTACTAAGAATCTATGTTGTCGTTTTGGGATGCTAATTTGCAATGTGCGGAAAAGTTGTCGCATCTCGTCAACTTGCGCTTCGATGGCTTGAGCAACCTTGGCCACAACGTCGCGGTCACCACTGATGATGATGCTCAAGTCTCTTTCACGCTTGGGTTCTGTTGATTCGACGTCGGCTTCACGAGGTGGCAGGAAAGCAGCACGAGGAGGTACTTTTACAGTAACTTCTCCATGTTCTTCCAACTTGGCAACGTTTGCGTTCTTTGGTCCAGCAATGAAAGGGTAAAAGATGTGATCGATATGCGTCAAACGTTGAGTGGTACGGGAAGTGCGCTCAGCAACGATGGCGGATAACATGTCCTTTGCTTGACGAGCATTGACCTCGTCACCATCGATGGTTACTTGAATCTGTTCATCAGTATCATAGTCGAAATCAGCTGCAGGGCGGCCAGCAGGTGTAGCTGTCTCATTGTCCGATTTTGGGATATTGATGCGAACGCCAGTTTGATCAGTGATATTCTTCAAATTCTTTCCCTTTTGTCCGATCACGAATGCACGCAAAGAGGCTGGAATTGTCAATGAGAGGGTGACATTGCGAGCCAAACCGACAGTCAATTCACGCTTTGCAGCTCGGACAGAGGCTTCATTGGTTCCTTTGACGACAAATGTAGTTAATTTACGGGTAGTTGAAGCTTGTACCTTTACATCCTTGTGCTTGTTTTGGACACGTTGAATGATTTGACCGAGCTTTGCAGAAGTTTCTTCAGAGCTAGGAATTGAGAGGGATTCTTGATGATACGTACGTTGAATAACGGGAGCGTTGGCTGACCAATTCGATGCAGATCCTACAGCGGCGGGTTTTTGAGCCCATTGACCTTTGGCGGAAGGAGCACTTGCACCTAAAGAAGGGAAAGAGCTTTGCGATTCAAAGTCTGGTTGTTGAGCGGTAGTAGAAGTACGGGTAGTGCTAGAGACAGAGTGACCGTTTGGGGCACCGTTTGTGACGATGGTGCTGGTAGATGTGCCAATAACGTTTTGCGGTTTAGGAGCAGGAAATGGATCTGCTTCTCGCAAAGCTGGAAAAGGGTCCACTAAAGGAGCATCATTTGCGGATTGTTGTTGAGCTTGTTGATGTAAAGCTTGCAATTCTGCAGCGGTGACCATGATGATGAAGCACGAGAAAGAGTGACGATTGCCAGAGACGGTTGCCGGTAAGGAGAGTGAACCAGAAGATGAATGAATGATACTTCACTCAAGCTGATCACTAGTGCTTATAAATAATCAAAGAAGAGAGGTTCAAATAGACCTTTTCAGTGATATTGGTAAAAAGACGAGATAATGAATGTTGGCAGGGAAGAGGAAGAAAGAGAGAAAGAATAGCCAGAGAGTGATTGGGACACATGCAACACACTGTTACTTGTAAAAAGAGGCACTTTGTCAGTGTAGAAGTGCATACATTAACTTACAGCAGAAGACGATAGAAACGCCTTTCTTCTTGGCCTTCCAGCGCAGCGCAGCGTAGAGCAAACGCAAGGCACAAACTGTTTGTTGGTCAATATGCTTAAGTGCGCGGAAGTGCGAATACACTGTGCGAGGCTCGAGGAGAATAACAACAGCGTGTTCAATGTGTAACACATCCCAAAGGCAATCTGGCTTTCTGCTACCATCATTTAATTGCAGATTCGGTCTAACAATTACCCAAAATGCATTGTAGGAAACACTTAAGCCCCCTCATCTTGCGTATCGAATGCAGACATCGCGAGAAAGAGGTACTCGGCACTTTTTGAAATACTTTGGTCTGAATTTCATCCTCACAGCCGCATTCGGCGCCTTTTTTGCTTGCACATTGCGTTTCTCAACAAGAAAACAAATTAAAACTGGAATGCAGAAATTGTTTGATTCTGTTTGTATCTCTAACATCATTCATCATGAAGATTCCGATCTATGTTACCATGCTTGTTCTGACTTCTTGTCTTTCAGCCTCTATGATCAATGCTATGTGGCGCGGTCATAGCTCAGACGAAGAAGATTCTCCTTTGCTGCCTTCCAGAGAACATGCCTCGGGAAAAGCACCTGCTGTTTCAACTGCAATCGGGACAGCAGAATATCACGAAGGCAAACTTGCTCATCATGAAAAGAAAGTCGCATTCCATCAAGCTATGTCTAAAAATTTGGCATATACAAAACATGATCGATTATCCAAACATCATGGTGTAGAATCTTTTCATAGCAAAGATATGATGGCAGCTCATCATGACTTTTCTGAAGGCATCAAAGAAGGTCGTTTCCTTCCTGGCCCGAAGACACAAAAGAAAAAGAAGCCAAGTAATTTACCAAACCCTCCAAAGAGTAGAGAAGAGGCTGAAAAGTTGATTGATCAATCGCATCTCAAACACTTGAACAAGGGGAAATTCAAACATCTCCCTCTAGATAATGCGGAGGAAAAGCATGGAAGATTAAACAAGAAGTTGAACAATCAACGGGCGGGCAGCTCAACCCGTGAGCAAGAAGATCAAAGCAGTTCCGCGAGTGTAGCTCACTTGGCAATCACCAACTTTCGCTAGAGCTCTACATCTTTCATATCTTACTTATCCTTCTTTCGTGTTTACATATCATTTATTCAAATCAATTGGCTCAGAAAAATTCATCATAGACTTTTATTGTATGTCTGCGAAGCAAGATGCTCGGTCAATATTGGTCCAGTGCAGGGCACGCAGATCGACCTCTCGAAAATTCTCTGCATATCAATGTGTCTTGTTGGCGTTACCATCACTGCCACAATGTAAGAAACGCACCGCCGAAGCTTATTCACAGCCATGAGAGAGTGTATTTTCCATCGAACCTAATTTACTGCTAGAGATACTCTAGGGGTAGAAGGTCTCGCTCTTGATTCCATCTGGTTAAAAAGTGGATAGGGAACATAGTGTGAGGATAAATTCTAGGGCTTTTTGACATAATATTGATCTGTTAATTCGCCATTGTAGGTACCTATTAAAAGAACATCAAGGGCGTATGACAAAATTTACTCTCACCGAAGCATCGGCCGCAAATGCACTTGAAGTCTGTGCAAATGCGTACGCCCGATGGCTTAAAGCTATGCAGCTAAAGTACAGCTTGTAGAACAAAAAGGTGCTCAAAAGCTGCTGTAGATCTTCTTGAAGCACCAGACAATGTGTTTACACGGAATGTTAAAGCAAACGTGCTTACAGCACCAGTCAATGTCATGTAAAACTGTTATAGAAAGGTATATAAGCACGAAAATGGAAATGAAAGTCGTCCCAATCCCACATACTCAAAGATGTTCCTCCATACATTCTATGTATACTTCTTCATCGCTTGCACCTTCATTAACAGCGCTACAGCTCAGATACCTGGCAATAGCGATGAAGAAGGTTATTCTTCCGACGAACATGCTCCCAAGACGGCCATCGGAACAGTGTCATACCATGAAAGTAAACTTACTCATCATCAGAAGAAGCATGCATTTCACGAAGCAATGTCAACACATTTAGGTAACACTAAACATCGTAGACTAGCACAAGATCATGCAAAAGAAGCAAGTTACAGTAAAGATCTGATGGCCGTTCATAATCATTATTCAGAAGGAATCGAAAGTGGTGAATATGATGCCGGTCAAAAAACCACAGAAAGAAAGAGAACGAGCGCATTGCCAGAATCCCCAAAAAATCCGCAAGAAGCTATGAATTTGATCAATAAACCAGACCAACCGTGGGAAATGAAACATAGAGGGGACAATCCATCAAAACATTTACCTGATGATCAAATTGAGGAAAAACGTAAGAATCTTAAACAAAGGTTACACGGTAATTTAGCCGGATCATCAAAAGCAGGCTCTTCACGGTGGTCAAAAAATTCTTCTTCTCAACAAGCTAAGCAATCGTCCAAGCGATCCGAACAAGAACAAAAAAGTGGCAAAGGCAAAGGAAAATACAAAAGGGGCTGAGATTGTAAAGTGTTCCCGTCACGAAGAACGCAGATGCATTCATTTAATGCTGTTTAATTTGCAACTTTCTCTTAACACACCCTTTGAGTCCATATACAGGTACTGTCTTACGTGCTATCATAGGACCGTTGTTTTTCGATGTCACACTTAAATACCATCTTGTGACAATCCTGTGGTAATGTGTCTTTGTGTATGGCGTGTCAGGTACTAGGTCGAGGATAGCTTTGCGTAAATAATGAAGAAGTCTTCCCTAGTCTTTTGTCTTATATAGAGCAATCCTGTTCCTTCCTTTCTCCTCAATCACCACAATCATGCGTTGCAGCATAGTATAAACCTTTTGTCGGCATTCTGCTGCGCCATCGTACGCAAATTACAAATTTCCGCTTTTATCCTTGTTTACGAACAACGGCGGGGAGTATTGACAAGTTTGTGTGTTGCAATCGCACAGCTCGAGGATTTTTGCATGCGTTGAAGAGACTGCAAAGAGTATAAACGATGATAATCTTTAAACTATCTACTCACAACCATTTTTGTTCTACATCACCCATTTTCTTCTCGGGATGAAGTCAAAAAATGGTACCTTACTCTTACTTGCTGCTTTATTGACTTTATTTGCGGGTACTTTGGGTGTTGCAAGTCGAAGTCAACGTTTTCGCCAGAGACGTTCGGCTAGTTACACGCTATATGATTATTCTACTGAAAATAATGAGATCAACGAGCTCTTTAAGAGAAGTGATAGTGAAAGTTCTTATCAAGATTCCGCCTCATCCCATGATTCGTTGACTCCAATCGAAGATACCGATTCTGCGCCTAGCGATCACGGCCGTACTTTCGCATCAGGGAATAAGAAATTCCATCGAAAGATGTATAAATTTCATGACAGAAAGATGAAATATCATAATACGTTTGGTCAAGTGTGGGACAGGAAAGCTTACAAACAAGAGTCAGAAGAACACTATAGTGAATCAACTTCCAGCAAGAAGAAGAAAAGCAAACACAAAAAGCTCTACAAAGGCCTATTAGAGAAGAACTTGCAACCAGGAGAAAAAACTGCAAAAGAAGATGCAATCAGATAAAAGGATTTTCCAGACCAGCCTAACTACAAACACTTCTTCCAATTGTCAAACGATCCCAAATATGTCTTTCACAAACGTAAAGGGCATCATTACCTTGTGGGAAAGATGAAGTCTGATGAAAACGAAAAACCCAAAGTTTCATCAGCCGAGCAAATCAAGAGTACTTCAACTCCTTCCTTACATGCTGAAACTCTCACTCAAAAGAAGCACGAAAGCGAAAGAGCGAAACCTGTAGTAGTAGACCAGGTCAAAACCTTGACTCCCTCAAGTAGACTTTTACCAGACAGTAGACATAGAGATGAGAACGCAAAGATATATTATAGTAAAACGAGTTCTCATACGCCCGGTAGACGCTTACCAGTTCAAAAGCTTGGAGGTGGAACGAATCCTTTTGACTCCCAACATAGTAGCGATGGGCATAGCTCTGGTGACCCTCTAACAAAACCTCTACTGGGGATACTAAACTCAAAAGTCAACGGAGAAACCGATCATGATACCATTTGTACTCTGTCTACACCATTTTACCATTATACTATCAGTATTCATTCCCTTGTCAATTTCTATGAATTCATCATCTTGATGAGACATCTTTGTGTATTGCGAAATGTTGGGGCTGGAATTGTATACGTAACCTGATTTCTTGGGCGGTGATATAACATTTTTCACACTTCTATCTCACGATACACAAAAATGTTGTAAACTAGAACTTTACCCCGTGAACAGAGGCATAAGCGCTGACATTAAATAGGTTCCAACTGTACTTTTGAACTCAGAGACTTTCGTATTTCATCATTTTTACGTCACAGACTGCATTTGCATGTCTTGCAAGTGCCACAAAGGTACACAATCCTTACACTTCAGCGCATTATTTTCTCTTTGTGCCCCGGTCTCTCCTGTGCGCTTATTGAGGTTCAAAAAGTGCAATCAGCCCAAAGAGCGAAAGAATAGCAGCGAGTCAGATATATAATCCTCGTCAGAAGTAAAGTCAGCCACTTAGCCTTCTGGAAGCGATGAATCAAGACAAAATGTCATATAATTCTTTGCGAACAGCGATCGTGATTATGGTGTGGAAGTGATCTTTGAATAGTCTCTCATCTTTTGTTTTGTTATAGTATGACTTTGTATTCCAAGCCCCTGACTCTGACCGAGACAACAACCGAAAGATAGCCAAGATAGTCATCGCCTTGCGTTTAAATATATCTTGAACTATTGTGCAAAGTACCACGTAATAAACGTATAAATAGCTGTTCTACCTCTGCTTGACTAACGACTCCTTTATCACAATTCACAATGAATCTGACTACTTTCTGTTTACCTTTGATTCTTCTTATCTCCTTATTCTATCCAGCTTCTTCTAGTGACTCAGAACGAGCACGTTCGGCTGGAAGTCCAAGGGCAAGGGCGCAACGTAGCCAACTCAAATTCAGTGACTCGGAAGGGCTCATCTTACGTAGAAGTCAATCAGATGGTAATGGCTCAGATGGAACAGAATCAGAAGGTGACAGCTTGCGAGGAAGTGCAAGAGGAAGAAGTACCTCGAGAAGCAGAAGTCCCGTCAGAAGCATATCAAGAAGCAGAAGCACGAGTCCAGTTTCTTCTTCAAGTAGCGGCGGTTTAACACCCATTGACCTCACTGATGATGCTCATAGTGACCATAATCGGAAAGTTGCACCAGCGTCAATGACATATCATAACAACATGTACGGATTCTATCATCAAAAGACAAAATATCACACTGCAATCGGCAATGCATACAAATCAGCAAGAGTTAGAACAAATAAAGAAGGACAGAAGTATGATCTAGAAGCCAGGAAGCATTACGCTGAATCGAAATCAAGTGAAAAGAAAAAGATGAAGCATAAAGGATACTTCAACGGTATAATGCAAGGCAATCTTAAACCCGGAACTGCGAAAGATCATTTTGACAGCGTCAAAGTCGAAAAATATCCAAAAATACCAAAGGAAGCAGAAGCTCAACGACTGATTCGAGACCCTAATATCAAGTTCAACAAACAAAAGGGACATTTCCATCTCGTCGCAGAATCAGTTCCTCAAAAACAGAACGACGGACAAGAACGCGGTCGTAGACTTAACAACCGTGGAAGTCGTGCTTCTTCCGCTCGCACAACACCAACACCAAGAGTTCGTACGCCGGTATCATCTGACCATAGCGGAAGTGGCAGCGGATCAGACAATCATTCCAATCACAGTAATCAAGGACACAGCTCAGACGACCTTTCTGAATATGTGTCTCAGCCAAAAAGTGGTACTCGTCGTCGCAGACGTAATTAGCAATTTTTTTTTCCTCATTTTCAATTTCCTTCCACTTTTAATCTGGTAGTATCATTCTTTCTCTACTTTTGACAAATTGATTTCATCTGTCGTGTTCTATCATTTCTCCCTATTTCTTATTTTGTGGCAATCCGTTCACAGCCTCAAGCTCAAGTATCTGAAAGTTTTCCTTCATGTAACCGAGTATAGACCAATTATCGTATAGCTCTTGCATTTGGGCTGAACAGATGGATGCATCATAAATTTTATAAACGCAAATATACAAACATCTTTATAATCGTCAACAAAGACGGATCAACTTATGTAGATTGAATTGGTAGATCACACCGATGAAAACATGCTCCGCTTTATCTGATACAGAATGGATTTCAGATATGATCATGCGTTGTTCAACTTAGTATATGGTCATATATAGCACTCAATGAATCAAAAAGGCAAAGCTCGAGAGAAAGAGGAAGTGAGAACAGAAAAATAACAAGATCAAGTATAAAGAGAGTAGAAGATCAGAAATAGAATATAAGATCGCAAAGACATAGTATGAACTGAGCATGATCTCTAATAAGACCATCCAAAGAGCGACTGTCAGTGAAGAAGCGCTACCACTCATACTAGACATATTAGACTACTGGATTGTGTCGTAATTTAGCTTTACCAAGCTCCTTTTGCTTAAGGTATTGCGCACTCTTAGGCCCAGGAAGGAAATTTCCAGTGCGAAGTTGGGAGATGTCCTCGTTGTGTTTACTCATTTTATCATTGAAATGGCCGAAAGGTTTAAAGCGGGGAGTCAAGAGGGCTGTTCATCATCATCATTACTGAAATGTGGGGCGGGCAGAAAGTTGATATTGCTTGGAAAATATTTATATTCAACATGAGGATAGGTAATGAAAGATGACAAAGATTACGATGCATGAACAGACATTGGTGAGGACGGGGCTGGATAAGTGGTACACCGCATGTTCTGTATGCTCGCTTGTACTACTACTCAATAGATCTTCTGTGTAACTTCCCCTTTCTAGCAAGGTGGTCTCTCGTTTTGGGACCTGGCAGTTTACGTATGACGGCTAAGTCGTTTAAAGTGTCAGCTTGCTTCTTAGCCTTCTTCTTGAAATATTGCAAAACAGGTTTCAGATTAGCTTTTTTCTTGATTGATTCGTTGTGATCATCAAGAGCAATAAGTTGAACGTCTTTAGCATCTCTTACACGTCTAACATAATCCAAATGTTTTGTTTCTTTAGCAGAATGATACCCTATATCACCTCCTGATTTTTCCCATTCAAAGTTTGAGATACTCGGCTCGCCTGCATCACCCTCTCCGCTGGCGTTGATGACCTTGACCAGGCAAAAGGCGATCTTTAACGTAAGCAGGATGCTGAGTTGCATGATTCGGAAATGCTTCTCCAAAACACGAACCGATTCGATAAGATTAGGGTGGGTTACAAGGAGAGGCATCGACGAGGATTCATTCATTTATATTGTCACGAACGCATCTTTTGCAGTCATCGAGGCTATGTCCATCCAGAAATTGTGTACACTTTATTTCAATTTACTCAATTGCAGTGTCATGGTCTTTGTCATTTGCATCGCACTGTGCGCCATCCATCAAAAGCGAAGACATGCCTGTTCCGACTCTTTCCGCATATCATAAATAAATCAAGTATTATTTAGAAAAGAAGTGTATGAAAGATAAGATGGACTATAATGCTTAGCCTCAGAGATACATTAGCTGTCTAAGCATTTACGGTGGAGGAAGTTCGTGATCTGCCGATAATTTCCCCTTCTTTCTGAGATATTCAAGATCCTTTTTACCTGGAAGTTGTTGACCACTTGATAAATTTTCCAAAGTTGCAATATGCTTACCAGTCTTACCGCGAAAGTAATTAACAACAGGAACCATACTGTGAACCTTATCGAATCTCCTTTTAGACTCTTTCTTCGACATATCTACGTAATGATTTGGATCTTGCAAATCTGCAGAAGTTGCTGCAATCTCACGCAATTCCGTATGCTTGTGTAATTTTGCTAGATGGTAATTTTTATTGCCTTTTGCGAAGGGGATTTTGCGAGGTGTGGAAGCAGCGGAACTACTTTCTGCAACTTCTTTGCCCTTTCCGCTTGAACAAAGTACATTGGAAATTGCCACAATGACATACAAGATGCTAAGCAGAAAGGTATAAAAACAAATTTTCATCCTTGCTGATGAAAGACGGTTGTAAGATGCAAAGATGTATAGGCCTGCACTCTGTCTTATATGGGACGACAAAGAAGTTCAAATGAAGAACGCAATATCTTTGTAAACAAACACCGCATCTATCTCAATTAAACCGATTTAAACCTCTTTGGCACCGGGAATGATTGGGGCTTGACGATTTTTGCAGTGCAAGCATTTATCTGACTTTATACGCAGACGAGCAAGACCACATGTCTTAGATTTTGAGAGCTAGTAGTACAGAGATAGCTACGAGAAACGTACATGCTGGGTTGTTCTTAAGATGACATTACTGCTATTAGTCTTGGTGCCTGCTTCTTAGTTCATTCAGCCGCGGATGGTGTACACCTTCTTGGCTCGTTGCAAAATGTATAACGAGTGTATGAGATTATCAAGGGTGAAAGTTTTGCCACATGTAGGTTTATCTCCAAGCACCGAAACCTTTAAAAGTGGAACCGAGACCTTGAGCGAAGCATTAATAGTTGTTGTATTGGCAGCTTTAATAACAACATCAGCAGCCTTTTCACTGATGACGTAAATGGGAGCTTGAATGAATTTCCCAGGGATACGGCATGATTACACCTTTATAGAGAGGATTAGAGTTGAAAGAATGGTGTGTTTTGAGAAAATGCAGAGATACAAGTATAAAAGGTTTGTTTCTTTTTACTATACTGTCATCCACCATACCATCAAAACACTCGAAGTCTCCAGAATGAAGACCGCTTCAGCTCTATCAATTCTCTCTGTGCTTGTTTCGACGGCCTTCTCAGCACCTTTAGCGAGGTCAGTTTCTTATTCATTTCTATAGTATGTGATCACTGAAGAATCAAACCCTATTCCAATCCATGTAGTGCTCCTCAAGGCCAAGTGCCGTACACATTGTATCAATTACCGCTTCAAAGCAACTTTTAAACCAATGTGGCCAGGGTCAAAGGTACTCCTTATAAACCATACTTTCGTCCGGATCTTTTCGGTAAGTGAAAAAAGTTGCGTTGCCATAAATTTTGCTTTTGCTGAGAATGTTTTTCTACTTATACAGTCTATCCCGAAATGACCGTGCCCGGACGTACCCCGATCGACTGCGATACGCAGGCAATGAATCTAGAGTAAGCAAAGTAGTAAGAGTATAGTTGATATAGGTTTGACTTAAAGATCGGAAATTCTCCCCTCTTTTCTAGCTTTTCCGATATTAATACTCTCTTAGCACCTGCTACCGTTCACTTGCCAAACGAGAATGCATGGTGTACTTATAAGAGCGGACAAGGATATATGGCCAGTCGATCGCATCTTCTAAATATCACAGGTGACCCAGTTCAATGGTGATTTTGGTGGCACTCAGCGGCTGGAGTTCGATATTCGCTTTGGCATCCTTGGGCACACGTAGAAATAAGTTCTTTTTATTTGGACAAATTCAATGATCCTTCACTGAACAACACGCAAAAGTAAATCGGTTCAATTCATCATCTTACCGAAATTATTGATGAGCCAAGAGAAAGTTTTGATACTCATTGGAAAGAACCTAGCTTTTTCGGATTGGATGAAACAAAATTTGATGAGGTTGGTATTGTGGCTTCTGCCTGTGGTGAAATTTACATTCCGCAAAATTCACCCGTCAAAGCTGTCGATATGATCCATCTGTTCTATAAAACGGACAATGGATTAGAATTAAGAAGCAGATATTATTTAGGCAATAATATTCAAGTAGAAATTCCTGTTCTCGGATCACTCTTGCCCGTCAACACAATTGCAAACTTGCTCGGCTTGAATAATCTTGCTGTCGGCGCTGAATTAAGCTACTCGCAATTCCATCATGATCAACAAGTATGTTGTTGTGCAGAAGATTCTACTAGATGAATAATGTTGACCCTCTTTACCTATTTGTTCGCGCAGGAAATGACGCATTTGGCTTCGATCTTGCCAGAGGTCTATGCAGCCTTCGGTCCCTCATCAGATTTGAAGTAGAGATGTTGACAGAGAATGAAAAGATATCTCTGAAGCGTGTCTGTATATCAATTCGCCCTGGCCTTTGGCCTCTCACTATAAGGCCCTGTAAGTATGACATATGCTTCATTGTGAAAATATAGATGAACATACAGTCTTGAAGGCTTCGTCGCCAGTTGTAGAAAACCAAGATCGCCAAGGGATTGAAGTTTCATGACTATGAATAAGGTCAAATAACTCATTGCTATCTTTCGGTTTAGCCGCCTTACATAGGGCATGAAAAGAGAGGGCTGCTGTAGCGTAGGGTCGATCGATATCCACTAAACGCTCACCGAAATCGTTGTCTTCGTTTTCACAAAGGCTTAGCCTGGATACTGGGTCAGGGTAAAGATAAGGAAGAGATGATCAGATTTTGTTGTAAAAGATACCTGATTTAAATTTGTACTCACATTTTGCCCACAAAGGGATTAACCATGGCTGGTAAAAGAGTATAGGTGCAGCCAATTGAAGATTTTCCAATACATTCTCCCCTGAAAGCCAAGCATCAAGACCGCTTATTCGAGCAATTGAACCTTCACGCCGAACATCAAGATAGCGCCCTTCTTCATCTGCTACCCCATTTGGTCTTGCACACCAAGCGAAGCTCCATAGTCCAAATCCCAAACATGCATTTTTGACATTTTTCGCAAGTAGATGTAATGGATCATCTTCATCATCCTCCGTGCCCTCGTTCGGTGCGGATGGCAGATCGTCTCTACCGATATCTAAGGAAAAAGATTCTAATCGGTTACACTTGCTCAACGATTCATACAGAGCTCTTGTTGGTCTATAAATGCCACGCCAAGCAAAATGTTGTAAAGAACCACATCGGGAAAGCTTTTGACCGAATCTGTCTAGCAGCCTTTCAAAATCCTTCAAATTTGTCAAAGTTGCAAGTCCGGCATCTTCACAGAGCTGTTCAAAATATTCGCGACGTTCATCGTACAAAGCCATAATTTCATAATCATCTGTCCTTCTCACATCGATTGTGATTGATTGAATATGACAGCGCACATTTTCCTGATCAAAATAGTCACAAAGTAGTTCAAAAAGTGGTAAATTTTCATACAAATCCTTGGCATTCAATTTGATATTGCGCCATAGAATTGGTCCCGCTACTCGATTCATTCGTTTACATGTTGATGAAAACGATCTCAAGTCACTTGACCTGCCTTGATGTGAATGCCATTGCTCTTCTTGTGGTATATTGTCGTTATTAGCAATATGATGCGCTATCAGAAGCCAAACCTCTTCAGAGAATTTGTCAGTCATGATGGTGCTAAAACAAAGAATGTCATGCGAAAAGAATGGAACAAAGGTTTTAAGTTTTGACCTTGTGGGGGTGTTTTATGCAATATGTGCATAGAAAGTGCACTAAGAGATGCGCCAAGAAATCGTTAGCGTTCGGGAAACAAAGAATTAGCTTTTCCCATTGACAATGCACCCTGAACAAATTGAAACAGAGGCGATCAATCACATTTAATTCACACCGTCAAACGAATGTCATCTTTTGTTCTTCTTGCTATGAAACCAATTTAAGCATGCACGCCCATGCGCTGTACCATTATATTGGCAACGTTTACTTCCTCAAAGGGAATCTAGGAACGTACTTCTATATACCAAATTGATTCGTGCAACCGCACGGTACTTGCGGAAAAACAAAAAATTAGCCACGATCCCCACATTTGCAGTAATACAAAGAAGGCGATGACGGGTAATCAAGTCGAATGGAACTACGACGGCGGTGATAAAGAGCTTAATGGAAGCACGGCACGCAGAGGTGATGCTTGTAATGCTGCTTTCACTGCAGCTTGCTTGAAGAAGTATGGTTGTGATACAAGATATGAAATTCCACAAGATTGGCCTACAACTTGTGACGAAGCCCCTCCTGCTGCTTTTCTCGAGGGTGGTCTTGGCGCTTCTATCTCTTGCGCCTCTAATCGCCAACAACAATTGCAAGGTCGACTTTTGGCACAATTGTCACATTTATATGTAGGTATGGTTCTACCGTAACATTTCAATTACTTTCTCACAGACAAATCTACTATTCTTTCTTATCATTTTAGGCCGGAGATGGGCAACGCTATTTGAACGAGTAAGTTGATTTAAAGATGATGTACGTCAAGCAAATATGTCCAACTAATACGTCCTCTCCGATCCCTCACAGTGGACGTTTACATCCCGTCATTGTTTCACTGGATTACAGCCAACACCCTTCAAGCGAACATGGTAAAGTTTTGGCTGGTGGTGCAACAACAAATAGCAAAACCCCAAAGGCCAGTACCACCATCACAGGAAGAGCACCGGAAAAGACGACAACAAGCGGTGCTTATACCTATACTACAAATGAGTATGTAGGGAACGGACAAATTGCAACTTGTACAGCTTCCACAACTTCAAATGATGGTTGTTCAAATACAGCCAATGTGGCACGAAGCTTACAGACCAATGTTGTTGTTGCACTGCCACCTGCTATCACGACCCCACCTCGATTTACTGCATTGGCTTCTCGCTCACTTCTTGCCAGAGCTACGTCTTCATGTTCACGTAAATCGGACAAAGATATGAGTAAAGATAAATCCAAAAATGCAAAAAGGGCAGTAGATTCGGCGAAAGATTTAATCGATGGCTTTGAAGACGCTGAAGATATCGCTCAAGCAATCAAAGATGCAGCCGAGCGTGGTCTAGCCGGAGCAGCAGCAGCGGCTGCCGCATTATTGTCTGGTGACGATAATTCTTCCGGTGACCGTGATGAAATTTACCGAGATGCTGCATCTGCATTATCTGAAGCTGCTCCGATGAGAATATACAGCAATGATGATGTTGATGAGGCTTACACTGATTTATCCATCGCGGCAACAGAAGCAAGCTCGGCTGCTGACATTGCCAGCACATATATGCCAGCTTCAAAACCAACAAGTAAACCCCCTTCTACACCTACCACTAGATCAAAAGCTACCACCCCTCCTTCAACTTCAAAAACAAGTACAACTTCTGCAAAACCTACAACTACTTATGCAGCACCAAGCGGTGGATGCTATGGAGAAGGTGATAAAGCTTCTCTCTTCATTAAATCAGCCAACTTCCATATTGGCTGTAGTACTACAAATGATCCCAGTAAGCTCGATTGAATTTCTTTACTTCACCTTCATGAAGCAGGTCAAGGCAAGGACTATTTAGGAGGTATTATCTCTCCCGGTCTTCCATTCGGTCTATTACAGGGAGATTGTCCAGGCGTAGAAGGCTTATTCGGGATTGACAATAGCAATCAAAACGCAGTTTGGAATCCGATTTGCGGCGGACAAGGTGAATTGAGAGCTTATTTCAAGACAAGACGTGCGCATACAATCACGGCAAAAGGAAGTAAAGGTATAGCTCTTCTATTCTTGTGGGGAGACAGAAATTCGCAAATTAGCAAGGTTTACCCTTGTCTCAACAAAGACTCGTTAGGCGATAATATTCAAATTATTTCGGATACAGTCATCTTTGATCACGACCATCAATCCCAAACGGTGAAAAGGACAAGCGAAGAAGAACCATCATTTTTGTCAAACGTTACGCAACTCTCTATTGTCGCACCGATCGTTGGGAAAGATGCTCTGCTATTCCCCCGACTGTAAAGCAAGGAAAATTATACAATGTCCCATTCGAAATCATATCTTTACATAGCGCCCTCTAGTTCTAATATTTTGTCACATTTCAAAAGTCACGAACAAAAAGAAATACAGAAACGAAGTTGCATATGAGTTGATGACGAACATTGACAATGATATCATTCTTCGTAATTGTGTGGCAATTTAGCCTTGTTTTTCAAATCATTCACCGTTTGAGCACCGGGTAATTTATGTAAAAATGTTAAGTCTTTTAAATTTTGACGATGTTTCTTAATCTTTTTGTCAAAATATTCCGCTACTGGTTCGATCCCATGATTGACATTGAATACATGATTTGAATCTTGACTATGTTCGGCAATCTGTGTTGCTAAGGCTTGTCTCGTCTTACTGTGCAGATCAAGATCTCTTGCTAATTTGACTTCATGAAAACGTTGTGTTCCTTCAGTTCTTTCCATCCTTTCCGCGTGAGATTTACGTTTCCCACTTTGTTTATTGTCACCTACGCAGAGTACGTAGGGTAAAAGAAGCGAAGCACAGAAAAGCAGACAGACGAGAAAGTGTGCCTTTAACATTTTGAAAGATAGGTGATGGATGAAGGGAAGATAACACGCAGCAAGACTTGCTTTTTTTGAGCATATATACAAGAAAGAAATTTGTGTTTCGCAAGTCATGGAAGTATGCAGTTGTCGGACTCGTACTTCATTTGAGTGAAAGACGTAAAGCTAAGCATCCTCAGACGGGGCGTACGCAAGGATGCGATGTCATTGAAACAGACGATAAGATTAATGTTCATTCACATTGGCAGAAAAGTATCTCGACAGTATGATAATGATTCGCTTATGAAATAAAAGAAAGCCTAGTTTCAGCATTATTTTTGACCACTAGCAGAAGCTGCTGCTTCCTCCAATCTCATCTTTTTAAGCGTTTTTGGACCTGGCTTAGCCCACTTTTTAGTTAAAAGCCATAGAGCGATATCATTCTTCGTAGTTTTAACGTCAAAATAATCCACAACGGGTTTCATATTATATGTTTTGGTGATTTTCTGCTTTGGGTTCTTTAAAGATTGCGCAATCTGACGTGCATGTGCAACTTTTGCTCTACTGAGAAGATTACGATTTCTTGAGGCTTTAATTTGATGGTATTCGTAAGAGCCGGACGTTCTATAAACCGGACTCTCAGGCGACTTGACGGATTGAAGATTTCCTTTAGCCTTGTCATCTGTGCATTCGATTCCCTTTAACGTCGAAGTTGAAGCAGCCAGGGCCACCATTAGAAGGGCTCGAATCGTTAACATCTTTATGGGCTTGCAAAAGAGAAGGTAAGGTGTCTCGACTGAATTATATTCAATAAATTCATCGCTTTCAGCCAAAAAAAAAACAAGTACAGCTTTGTGTATGCAAATGAGTATCTTTTGCGGTAGTGAATGTGTAAGAAGGACACGCAAGAGCTGATGAACAAGCGCATGAAACGGTTAGGTATGATCCGACAGATAGACCTACTCACAAAAGCATTGACAGATTGAAAAGAAAAATAATCTATTAGTCAGAGAAAAATTACATGGTTGGTTCCATGACACTGTTTCCTTCAGCGGCAGGTCCCCAAAATTCGCTTGGATCAAAAGCGTCCAAATCATGTTTTGAAGCAAGATCAGCTAAATCTGGACGATCGAGTAATTCACAACAAACCCTTAGGGTTTCGAAAAGGCTACTTGAGGTAACTGTACTATTTCTTGCTGCTGTTTCTTGCATCATTGCATCTCCACTCAAATCAACACTTTCCGATTGTAAACATAAAGCTGTATAAATGTGTGAAGCAGCTTCACGGTACATCTGTAAATTCAAACATGAGATACTCATATTGAAATGACAGCGTACAAAGCCAGGCTTCAAATCCAGTGCTTGTTGGTAGTAGCGTAAAGCCTCTGCACTTCTGCCTGAGTTGCTCAACGTTGCTCCCAATCGGTTGTACATCAACCAATCATCAGGTCGTACCTGCAAGGCAGCAGTGAAACAGTCAACAGCTTTTTCATAGTCTTCTGAAGCGTTGAACAATACACCCAAGGCGACTTGAATGTCAGCATCAATATTGTTTTGGGTTGAACTATGTCTGGCCAAAGCGATCAACAATTTGATCAATGCCTCATGACGTTCAGTCTGTGTTTGAGAGGCCTTATTGATTGGGCTTTGTGATTCGTCAAACTGTTTGCGGTATTCGCGTACGATTGCACGATATTCGGGAGTTGCGTCAACCCATCGTTCCACTGCTTCCAAAGCAGCATTACGATCAGATTCATTTGTATAGCTAACAGCAAGGGCTAACCAGGCCTCGCGAATAGTTGGGTCGATCTGGATAGCCCTTTGAAGTGCAGCAATAGCCAAACCTTCCCTTTCATTCTCTTGTTGCTTAACACCCAAATCTAACCAAGCGCTTGCATTGTTTGGATCTTGTTGAACGGCAGCTTCTCGTTCCAAGACGGATTGCATGTCTGCCGGCAAAGCTGCAGCTGTGGCTTCACGAGCAGGATTAGACGTTGCACCTATGTATGGATTATAAGCATGGAATTGATATTGTGGTGCTGTTGCAGCTGAAACTGGAACTTCGCGTGATTGTTCCAATCCTGCACTTGTAGCTTGCCATGTATCCCAATCTTTCTGTAAAGCATCCCATTCGGCAGCTTGCATTCCTGGAACTCCACGACCTTTGTTGCCTTGCCATTGTCGTCCAACGAAATCTGCATTCTCCAATTCGTCCATATCTTCTTCCATTCCAGCGGATGATTTACTTTCTTGCTTCAATCCTGCTGCAGCCGGTCCAAGATGTGCCCCAAGCAGGCCTTGGTATTTCATGAATTCTGCATCATCTTCTGCCTTTCTTTGCGCTTCATCTCCTCCGTCTCCTACAAATGCCATCCTATTCATTCGCATTTGTTCTTCTGCATCCTTTTGAGCATCTTCTTCTGCCCATAAGTCGTTCATCATTTGTCGTCCTTGAAGCTCTTCTTGTAGAGCATCAGGACCGTGTCCAAGAATGCGAGTAGAGTTGAGAGCATTCATTTGACTCCTTTGGTTCATTGCTTCCATCTGATTAGTAGGTCTTTGCGCTGTACTGGCGGAAGGATCGAATGCTCTGCCTTTGCCTTTATCCAGAACAGGTGTTTGAGCGGCATTTTGTTGATCGACAGGTGTTTCAACAATATCGGTTCCTTGTATACCTGCTTGTCTATCCCGAACTTTTCGCATGAGGTTGAGAAACTTGCTTTGCTTGAACTTGTCGTTGGTCTCATGTTCGACAGTTGAAACAAGTCTACCGGCTGTCTTTGCCAGCTCGTCTGCATCATTCGGATCGATCGGTCTTTGTGCTTGTTCGGCATCCTGTTCTTGAATCTCTGAAATTTGTGCTGAAGGCATTGGTTCTTGATGTTGCTCGATTGCGCTGAAAGCTGTATTCCATTGGTCAGTATCTGAAGCGAGACTTTGACCAGTCTGTTGTGCGTTTTGCATTGTTGACATAGGACGATGAACTTCTTGAGAAGCAAAGCCTGGACGATTCATCATGCCCATTTGGCCGGAGCCATATCCTTGATAAGACATTGGCATGGGACCATATGACATTGGTCGATGTAGATGATTTTGATGTACGTGTTGAGGTTGATGCTGAAGAGACGTTTGCGAGCTTGATGGGTTTGCATTCATTGCGGATGGAGAATACTCTCTTGCCCAACGAGGATCAGCATTGGCAGCTGGTGGTGTACCATGTCTGAAGCCTCGTTCGAAGTGTTCTCTTTGCGAAGCTGAAACTGGTTGATTTTGTTGAGCTGGATGATGTTGCCATGCGCCATTCAAATCAACTTGTGGCGAATGTTGCGTGTATGCTGATGATCTTGAACCTTGTGCTAAAGGTAAAGCACCTTGTAAAGGTTGCATATCAAAAGATGGTCCGCCATTCTGAAAGAAAGCTGGATTATCCGTTTGTCCTCGTATATGTTGTTGACCTCTAAATGTTGGCATCATATTTGCATCACCTTCTCCATCGAATCGATCCATCTGCGTACTGCGATCTTGTCCGAATCGCTTACCCAAACTTTGCAGTGGGTTTGAAGGCCCACAAGCGGGCCCTCCTGTCACCAAATCTGACAATGGCATGATCACCTCTCCTTGCAGGGAATTGAATGGTTTATGTGCTCATGTGAGCTATTCTAGAAATGGGTATAAGTTGCGATATCACTTTTTGGTGGTATTGGATGTTCCTGCTTTAAGGACGTATTTCGTGTTCTTAGTAGTTTGCCACCTTGTTTGGAAAGATGATGGTGATGGTTATGAAACAGACTATATGTGTTGATCAATTCGGTCACTCGGTAATAATGTCAACCACCTTCTTCATGCATACGCACTTAAGGTACTACTGAGTGTGCACTTTAAATTCTCTTTTCACAAGCTGCTCTGCCCTTAAATACAGCACGCACTGCTTATAAACAGGTAAGCAAAAATCCCCGGTTCCGGTCCAATAATGAAATCATCAGCCGTTCTTCCGGGCATTCCAACAGCGTCAATACCGGGTATGCGTAGAATGTACGCGTAAGACAGATAATATGCTTCTATTCTACATCCTTCCCCCACAAAAGGTTGATTGCAATCAATAAAGCTGTTCATGCATTATCATTATAGTGATGACCATCAGGCCACCTTTATAACCATCACACAAGTATCTGAAGTATTTTATAGCCGCGTGAATTCCTAATAATTCTCGTTCTTAAAGCCGAAACTTTGGCGGAAAAGAAAGTGATAGGCTTAAACCGAGTTTATAGTGGTGGGTAAGTATCTGCTTTTACATTAGAGCGGTGGGTCTTGCCAGAGGGGAAGGAAGCGGTCTCATATACATTACTTACTGTTTGATGTGAATGGAATGATACAGCAGTGTTATGCTGCTGCAGAATGGGAGTGTGATTCTGAACTAATCGGTTCAGGATGGTGCACACGATCAGTCGGAAATAGAATCAGTTCATTGTTGTAAAAGGGGAATTGCTGGCATCAGCACATTGTACTCTTACATGTTCTACAGAATGTCAGAGTGCGGCAAGGTACCCGCACTATGGCACGTGGGTGGCGCGTTTTTATTCAACACTGTTAGCATATATACATTCCTGACCTCGTGCTCAGTTTGCCGCATGCATGCGAACTGAGTCACGTTTCCTCGTTGGCGCAACATTAGTCTGATCAGACACAGCCTGCGTGCATTTATGCACGCATACATTAAAATCATAGACCCTTTGTCACTGTATGTATCTTACCTTCACCTTCTCTGTGAATGTCATCATTTCCCATCACTTACCCACCACTATAAACTCGGTTTAAGCCTATCACTTTCTTTTCCGCCAAAGTTTCGGCTTCAAGTACATCACCAAAATACTGTTCACACATTCAACAAACAGGAGAGAAGGTCTGAGAAAATGAATAGCAATTCGAGCATAAAGCCAGAGCAAAGGAAAGCAAGCACATTAGAAGTTAATGAATCCTGATCGTCTTGCGCCCAAAATTGCAGTAATGACGAAGAGTAGCCAAACGATTCTTGATCGTAAAGGTGATCGAGCCTGTTTCGGTAGCATGGTTGAGGAAGAGTAGGGTATGATGATAAGGTATATGTTTGATATTTGGGAAAGAAAAGGAGAAGAAGATGTGGAAAAAAAGGTATATGTTTGAGTATATCGATTATAAAAAACTTATCATACCACTCAACTTACCGGTGATGAGCTGGCATGAGGATTCTTTGGCTTTGAGAATCGGACTGGCTTGCCGGAAACCTTGGCAAAGTATTCTGCTGCGCCTTTTTGATGAGGTGGATAACGTTTTGACATGATATGTTCAACAATCGTTCCAATAATACCTTTATCAGGTGCATACAAAGTCGAACGTTCATGAGAGAATGTCTTGAAACCGTATTCACCATGGTAGTTACCATAACCACTAGGGCCTGTGCCACCAAACGGCATTTGGGATATAGCGAACTGCAACAATGTCTCACCAATGACAGCGCTTCCCGAACGAGTACGATCTAAGATTTTTTCTGCGTTCTTTGAGGAAGAGAAGATGTACAGAGCCAAAGGTTGATCTTTACTGTTGATGAAATTGATCGCCTCATCCACATTGCGGACCGGTAAGATTGGCAAAACAGGCCCAAAGATTTCATCAGACATCAGTGAATCTTCTTTGCTGGTGATCTTGATAACGGTGGGCTCGATCAATTTTTGAGATTCATCCGTTTGTCCACCATAAGTAATCGTACCCTTGGTATTAGTGATCATACCTGAGATTCTCTTGAAGTGGTTCTCGTTAACGATACGACCATAAGAGTCAGATTTACCAGCACCTCCTTTGCTCTTGGGGAAGAATTCTTCCAAAACTTTGTTCAATTCTGCAATCAATTGATCTTGAATGGTAGCTGTGCATAAGATGTAATCAGGAGCGATACATGTTTGACCGTTGTTGAGTGTCTTACCCCAAACGATGCGATGAGCTGCAATGTTCAAGTTTGCGCCTTCATCAACGTAAACGGGTGATTTACCACCCAATTCCAATGAAACCGGGCAAAGATGTTTGGCTGCCTTTTCAGCAACGATTCTTCCAACTCTTCCATTACCGGTGTAAAAGATGTGTTCCCAACGAAGATCCAACAATGCGGTAGATTGTGGAATACCTCCATTTACTACTCTTCCTGTGTCTGGGTCCATATACTTTGGCCAAAGTTCGGCAAGCAATTTAGCAGAATGAGCAGAAATCTCAGAAGGTTTCAAAACGTAGGTATTTCCTGCTGCAATCGCTGCAATGACTGGACCAACTTGAACATTGAGAGGATAATTCCATGCGCCCAAAACGAGAACTGTACCTTTGGGTTCCTTTCTAACGGTGATCTTGTGTGTTGCCCAAGGTAAACCTGCCCATTTATTTTCAGTTTTAGCCCATTTGTCTAAATGATCAATTGATTCAACGCAATCATTGATCATAATTTGTGTTTCTCCAAACTCTGTTTCAAAAGTCGGTCTTCCCAAATCTTTTCTGCATGCTTCATTGATAGCTTGACGATTTTCGATGAAAAGATACGTTAATTGTTTTAATTGATTTTTGCGGTAATTTAAATCGCGAGTCTTGCCCGTCAAGAAATTCTTACGAAGTGTTTCATTAATCTTTGCAATCTCCTCTGGGGAGTTGAAAGGTAATTGAGCTGCTTCTGGTGCAGATGACATCTTGCAAATGTGAGAATGAGATGATGGATGGAGGGGTGAAGGGAGCTATTATTTATTTCTTCATGTGTGTGGACTATATAGTAAGCTGACATTGATTGAATGTATGCGAGATGGTTGTCCTTCTTTAGCGGTTTCCGAGTTTGAAGGCACTGAGAGTGTGTGTTATTTGTTTGAGTGCGGGGACGGCGCGTAAACTGCCTTTGTGTACGCGGCTGTTTTTCCCTTTTTTCTCTTCTTTTGCCACATTTCTTCACCGCGCTATTCTACTTTTCATATGTGAATGCAATCATAATCACTCTAACGCCGAGGCCGAAGCGGAAAACGGACAACGGTCACGGTGATAAGTTACGCTTCCCATGTTGATGATGACGACGACGGCAAAGGAATGTCTTGTGAAATTAAAGCTGAGTCCGGCAAAGACAAATGAGATGTTTATTAACGTCTTGTTTGCTGAGCCGTCCGCTCAAGGGCTCAATTCTTGTGATCTCATGGGACAAAATTATTTCATACGCAAACTGACACCGCTTCCTATAGTAAAGCCGGGATCATATGATTAAGCTTTTAAAACCGAATATTGATGAGATATTCAGACTGTTAAATAAGTGTCCAGTCATGTATCTGATATCTTCATATATTCATTCTTCCCATTCCCATTTACCAATCCCGTCTCCTTCCCATAAAGCATCATGTCAACTCTTTTAGACTTCCTCTTTGTCACGGCATTTGCTTATTTCATGCTTCTGCAACCGGGGCGAGCAGTACCTGTGCAAGTTGCATCTATTGCAATGCCCCAAACAATCCAAAACACAGCATTTTCTCATAACATGCAAATGGCACACTTTGATAAACAAAAGCGTGCGATCACCAAGAATCAAATCATTTATCCATTCAAACAAGTAGCAAACAAAGCTCAACGATTTCGTTTTGCAACAAAGGAAAAGTACTTTGAGCTAAGATCTGGTATGAAATTTGCTCTTGGTTGGCATGAAGAAGGACGTATGTTTCAAGCCAAAGCTGATGAAGTAGCAGAAAAATACAATAATTTGTACGAAGTGGCTAGAAAACGAAGAGAAGATCTGATCGAAGAGAAACAGAAGGCAAACAACAAAAAAAGAAAAACATAAAAAGATAGAACTGCAGCACCCAGGATTCCCGCGTGGTCCCCCACCGCAGTACTGACTAGGCGATACCGTGCTTGACTTCGCAGATCGGACGGGATGCGGTACTTTCACGGTTCTATGGCCGCAGATGTGCATACATAGTCGAACGTTCATGAGAGAATGTCTTGAAACCGTATTCACCATGGTAGTTGCCATAACCACTTGGTCCGGTACCTCCGAACGGAACTGCGAACTGCGAACTACAACAATGTCTCACCAATGACAGCGCTTCCCGAACGAGTACGGAGGGGGGTTATTGTCAATTACATACGTACATTTGGTTCAAGTGCAGTTCCTCAAAGAACGCAGAGAAGATCTTGGATCGTACTCGTTCGGGAAGCGCTGTCATTGGTGAGACATTGTTGCAGTTCACAGTTCACAGTACCGTTTGGTGGCACAGGACCATCAGGGTATGGCAATTACCATGGAGAATACGGTTTCAAGACATTCTCTCATGAACGTTCGACTTTGTATGCACCTGATAAAGGTATTATTGGAACGGTAGTTGAACATATCCTGTCAAAACGTTATCCACCTCATCAAAAGGGCGCAGCAGAATACTTTGCCATGGTTTCCGGCAAGCCAGTCCGATTCTCAAAGCCAAAGAATCCTCAGTAATAACCTCACGAATCTCAATGAACACCAAACGCATTCGCAAGAACAAGCCAATGAAACAAACACAACCCCTCCTCGTCCACAGTCGAAGAAATCAGCTTTCCATGCATCATACAGTCCCTATTGCCTTTCTCGGAAGCATCCAATACCTGACTGCTATATGTTGGTCTGATAACAAGTAGCCCCTCCGTCCCTGTACATCGCACCATTTATCTCCTCAATCTCTACTTTCTCTTCACATTCCCTCGGACACCTCCTTGTATATTACTGTACTGTATCAATATTTTCGTATAATAAATCAAACAATGTGACGATATTAGGCGCTGTATAGTTCTTCCTTGAGGTTGATGCCTGTGCAAATGAAGGAAGGAGGTCAGCAATTGTCATTCTGCTTGTGATACCCTCCATGTGTACACTCACCAAGTTCTTCTCTAATGGGTTTCAATGCATCAAGGTATTTTTCGTATTGACCTTGATTTTCGACCTTTTCCTTAATACCTTCGAAAACACGAACGGCGGTCGAATAATCATTCACACGACGACTTGCACGCAAAGCGGCTTCAACAACTTCCGGTGCAGGAACCAAATCGTATGAGAAACAATTGTTCAATCCACGTTGTAATTCGAACAAATCATCAACTGCATCAAAAAATGAAGTGTAACGAGATGTGAATGCTTCAAAAGATTCATCTTCGTGATGAGAAGCATATCCGCGGACTGTAGAAAGAAAGGATGAGATTGGACGAGTCAGCTTGTCGCTCTTTCACCAATGTCGAATAAGCCTCCCCATCTGTCGTCTTCGTCGATTGAAACCCTCTTCCCCCCTCTCAAATCCTATCACTTACCTTGACGCAATGCAACGGGAGCAGAATAACGACCCAACATCGAAGCTCTAACGCTTGTACCAGCTGCGGCTGTACGGATAGCACCTGTAAGGAATGACATCTTTGTCTATGTTGTGATGTGTCGTAAAGTAGGATTGATGATGGCTATGGTGGAGAAGGTTTTTTGATTGATTGATTCCTTCTATTTTTTTTGATTAAGGCGCTTTGGCTGGTTGGCTGGCTAATCAATACGTGCGTGCCTTTTAAGAAACGCACACACGAAGAAATGAATGCCCTTGCCTGCCTTTCTAAACTGTCACTAGAAGATTGAGCCAGGGCGCACGCACAACATTGTGAACATTTCATCTCACCCTTTCCGATTTGGGTTACAATACGCGTGCAAGCGCAGCGCCTACTGCAATCGAATTTCATCCAATCGTCAGCAAAATGAAGCGCGCCAGCCCACACTCAGTCCGAACCTGGCCGGGAGAGAGAAAGAATCACGTGCACGCTGAAACAATGTTCGCTGGTAAGGCGTGGTGAACACACACATAATGCACAGCCAAAATCACGCTCAGGCCAGCCAAAGCAGATAGTGGGGATCAACACCATCATCATCTTGAGAGGAGTCAGCACACACGATCAGGCACGACATCCACACCTAAACAACGAGAACCAAGCATAATCTCCTTCCCTCCTCATAAGTCAACATGGACAGCTTTCGCAAGATAGACGTCGATAAATACGATGAAGATGTGTTATTAGAAGAAGAATTGATCGATGTAGATACCCGATCACCTTCAGAACTAAAACAGATAGCCCAACAGAGAACGACAGAAGTACGTTCATTGATCGGTAAAGGTGATCCACGTGGAGCGCTAGCAGTCATCTTGAATGATCCACCTTACGGAGATGCAAATGCAAATATAGAAGCGAAAAATGCTACACTTTCGGCCCTTTTGGAAATCTTTAACGTTACAAAATCTTCAGATGTTGCTCAAATTGTTAAATCTCTCAATGTCGAAGAACAAGACATTTTGATGAAGTATCTCTATAAAGGACTTGCCAGTCCGGAATTAGGAGCAAGCGCAGTTCTACTGGGATGGCACGAAAAGGTAAGTGTGGCAGCAGGACCATAGAATCAGAACATTGACTGACCATCGTCTCTCCCCGACAACAGCTCACCGAAGCAGCAGGAACAGGATGTATCGTTCGTGTTCTCACCGATCGTAGGCGTGTATAGATCTGGTATCTTGTAATGAATATTCTTCACTCAGTCTCAAAAGTTGTTTGGATTGGAGCAGTGTGATTGCAGTAGGTGTACATGATGTCTGAATGTCAACGTAACAATCTTTGTGTGTGCGTAATTAAGGTGTTGTATGAATGTTATATGAAAAGAAAAGGCTGCGTGCATATTCGTGACTGGTCGTAAAAAGATGATATAAAGAGGAAGACAAACGAAAAATAAATCAAATCTCATTTTTTGAGATTATCAGATCTTGAGCTCTAAAAAGCCTTTCACGTCACCGTGATGACTGAGCATATCCGGTCGACCTGATCGACCTTTGTTTCGAATGTTTGTCCGATCGCCTTCACCTTCATCATCAGATCCTTGACCTGTTCGCTTTTGCTCTCGTTTCGCCTTTGCATTAAGAGCTTTACGTACTTTTTCCGCTTTACGTAACTCTTTTCTCTCATGCATGCTTAAATTTCTCGTCACCGGTCTTGGTGTCAATGTTGTCTTTGCTCTCGGTGTCTTTTCCGGATCTTCTCGCGATGCTGTTCGTGTATGACGAATAGTTCGCTTGTTGGATTGTGCAAGACTAGTCGATTCTCCTTCATCAGCCGAAATTCGACCAAGAGGGGAAGATGCATAATCAGCCCAATCAGAAGGAGTCTGTTCACCACTATGCACGCTAATATTGGCAATTGCATTGGCTGCCACGGATCCGACAATATCTGGTGTATGACTACCGCCCTTTTCTCCTGTTTGCATTGGTGAGCGGCTACGGGAACGTCTTTTGGGGCTGCGAAGAGATGATGTTGGATCCTTTGATGCATTTCTCTTGCTTCTTCGTACATCACTCGAATACTTCAACTTTGATCCGCTTGCTTCTGGGGAGTCATCTGTTGTAGCATGCGTGGATGCAGATGCACCTTCTACACTCGAATGTGTTCCGACCGTATCAACAGATGAAGGAGATACCGCTCTCCAATCTCGCATATGATCCGGCATAGGTGAATGAGATGTACGTGCAGACACATCCGTACTCTCACCAAGAGGTGTAGGAACATTGCTGCTGCCCATTGTATCAGAACGAGCAATCGATCGTGGTCGCATTGCCAGCATGGTCGATTGACTTTCCGCCATTGCGTCATGATCAGAAGACTGTTCTCCTTCTTCATCCGCTACAGTCTCGTTCGCCAAAATTGCTTCCAAGGCTTCTTCCCATCCTCCATGTCTTTTAATGTAGAATCGAACCTGTTGTAGAGTATACCCACGAGTACTTCTCAAGACCAATGCTTCCTCCGTTGTGGGCTCGGAATCTTCTTCTTCATCGTCTTGTGCGGGAGCCCCATTTGATGCACCATGCTGTGTTGCAGATTGACCACTTACCGAAGTTCGTCCTTCATTGATTCTCGGCAGACCCGCGTGAGGGCCATTGATATTTCGTATAGAAGAATAATGTTCCCAATTATGGTAAGCTATCCACAAAGGACCATATGCTTCAATTTGTGAGATCTGCGTAGGTGGAGGAGTAGTGATTGTAGCGCTGGTTGAAGGTACATTTCTCGCATCAACATTTTCAGCAGCTGATGCCAACGCTGTCTGTCTATCCACCTCGTTTACGCTTTCTGTACTCTCCGAAGCGATTGGTGAAGATGCACGATTATTGACAGGTCGATCTGCTGCCACGAATGCAGTAGACAATGTACTTGTAGATAGACCGATCACTTCTGGAGCAGGCTCACCGCCTTTCTTTGCCCTTCTCATTCGTCTTAATGCACGTTCGCTTGGCGGTGGACCTTCTGATCCAGGTTCACTGCGATTTTGTGCCATCAATCTTTCGTGTTCCTTTCGTTCACGTTCCTGTATTGCTTGGGGGGACTCGTCATCTCCAGATACCACGTACACAAGTCCGGGCTGTACGATTTTGATCTCTTTTTGTTTTAGATGAGCGAAAGCTGAAAGTTCTAAATGTCCTCCGTAGGTGCCTGATTGTCGCATGGAGCGGACATAATCTTCAAACGGTTTTTCAACATCAATAAAGGCGGCAAATTTATCCGAACGTGATTCTAGGTAATCGCATACGCTTTGACGTAAGATAGCATGTTGATTCGGATACCCGTAAAGTTGATCGGACAAAGCACGAAAGAGACAATTTCCATCTCCTGTGATATTGGCAGCGTACAATCCCATCGATCGTAGTTGAGCGTTGAGCTCTTTTTCAACTTGAGCCGGATCTTCTAAGCCATTGTTCAACTGAACGTAGCAATGAGTCGGGCTGTCAGTTATCATTCTGCACTTATAGTATTTTCCATCATTAACTCACCTTTGCACGACTGCTTCTCGTTACTCTTTCTCCTCCGACATTCTTTTGAGCGGCGGCCCTTCTTCCGCTTACAGCAGACGAGCCTTTGGCTACGCCAGCTCGACGACCTTTTTGACCACGCGGCATAGCAGCCGCCTCTATGTTTATGGTACCTTTGTTGATGTAGTTGGTGATGTTCAAAAAGGTTCCCGAGTGTTTACAAGTATTATTGTTCTGAAGATGTGTCAAAGGGTTGTCATCACACCTTCAATCTTTTGTAATGATCGAACGATACTACGACGACGACAATCAAGTCGACGACGAGGTACGATCGAACTGAATCGATTGAGTGGGTAGAGAGAGAAGAAGAAGAAGAGGTGAGTCCGATCAATTGATTATCTTCTTGAAAGTTAGGTCCGACTTTTGTTTTTAGTACTTGGTTTGTGCACAATCAAAAAGACTGTCTGTCATACGAGCATCTCTGTTCTATTTCCCCCGCTTGTTGATAATAAAAATGATTACACACTTCCACACCTCACAGAATAGAACAAGATAAAATTTTGCAAACAGAAAAGACGCGGTAGAAAAAGCCTACGGCGTGCAAATTACATACAAAGTAGACAAGCTCAGGCTAATTATAACTCCCTCTTCTAATGCATTATAAAAAGCGATCACAAGGCGCCGCCGTCGCTATTCAAAATAATCATGCACTGCACTTCAACAGTACTTTTGCCCCTTTTTACACGTATGTATGGAGGCATAGCGTAGCGCCGCTTCATTTTGGCGGGAGGCAGATGAACAGCAGTGGAATTACGAGTGAATGATGAATATGCGTCAGGTGGGTACACCGAAGAATTGAATGCAAGCAAGGGTCCTGAACGGAGGAGGCTCCCTTGAGAGAAAAAGGAGTCCTGCTGAGTAGCATAACAATTCAATAGAAACGGTCCGGGCTTACTATACATTGTCATGCTTAAGGAGGATTAGCGTGATACATCAAATGCACAGCCAGCCAGCCAGCCTCCACTGCATTTAAAGCTTAATCACAATAAATGCCAAGGCTGTGTCGTACGTGAGAATGAAATGCTGATTGAATATATAAATATGACATCTTTCTCAAAATGATCATCGTAATACATTAATTAAGCCCCTTCTCAAAATGGGATCAACGCAAAGGGAAGAAATGGTACCGGCACCACCGCCGTACATGGAACAATCTTCAAGATCTTTTGCACCTCCGCCATTCCCTCCTCCTCTGACAAATAATGCAAATGGACAAGCATCTTCCTCATCATCTCAACCAGTACAGAATGGAGACAAGAAAACACCCTTTCAAGATGGTTATGCTGCTGCTCCGCCTGATCTAACACAAGCTCCTCCAACATATGAACCTTTCTCATTCGAGGATGAATATGCTGCATTTTCACGATCTACAGCCGAACGTGGAGCGCCTCGTTGGCATTCTGCTCCGGTCTACAATGTCTATCACGATCAAAAGAATGCACAGCTATCATTTCACATCGCCCTTCCATCAACCCTTCCGCCTTGTGCTTGTGGAACAAATTTTCATTGTGATTGCGGAAGACGAAGACCTTCGATTTGGGAAACGACGAATAAACGCAGTTTGTTCTCTTCTTCATCTTCAAAGATAGAATTGCAAAGGATATCAAATTTTAACCATAAGGCATACTTGGCACTAAGTGCGTCAAGAACATCAAAGGGATCGTCATCATACAAGATTTCCAACGATCGTGATCAGAAGCTGACTGACCTAATACAAACAGACAATCATCAGCGAATGTTTGAGTTTATTGACGGTCAACGATTATCTTGGATTCGATTTGGATCTAGGTTGGAGCTACACAATGCTGCTAGACAACCTTTTGCAATCTTTCATACAAACGTCGTCCCGGCCAGATTAGAACTTACAGCATTCCCATGGGCACGTATGCCAAGCGATGAATTGGAATGTGATTACAAAGGTTGCTCTATGAAACCTTTATACGGTTTCGTTTTCCGTTGCTTTGATTGTTCAGAACGGGTTCCCGAAAAGAGTGAAAAAGGCAATCTTGGTGGAGAAAATGACGAAAATCCTTGGATCGAAACTTTTGACATTTGTGAAGCTCATCTGATGGATGAATGTGCAAACCATCCGCCAAATCATCGCTTCCGCCGCTTACCAAGACCTTTTGGAGAGTATGACGATGAGGTATACGAGACACCACTTCTACATGTTCGAGACTTACAGGCTCAAAGGCTTAGTCAAGAAATTGTCATGATGACATTAGCATGTATGCTTCTAGAGAAGCAATAATGCTAGAAATTTGATTGATATTGTACAGTAAAAATACATATTTGGAAACAGTGATTATCCCTCCGTGACTGGCTTTGGTGTTGGCTGATCGGGTATTGGCGTTGCTGCTGCTGTGCTAGAAGCAGTTTCGTGTCTTTGTCGCTTTTCTGGATCAGTCTGCATTTCATCTTCAGCTGCACTAGGCTGTTGTTCCTCTCGATTGGCTTCCTCGAATCGATTGCGTACTTGGATACTTCTACTTAGCATTTCCTTGAGATCAGATTCGAGTCCTTCCAGTCTCTGCTTCTTCTTTCGGTTCTCCTTCATCAATGCAGCCCGTTTGGACTGCAATTGCTGTTTCTCCTCTTCCAGTCGTTTTCGTTCACTTAGCTCAAAGCGTAATCTGGCCAAGTAGAGCTTATGTGCATTTGTGGTGATCTCATCCGTCTTTTCTGCCTCAGGTGCCGATTGCATAAATTGATCCACATCTATCAGCGAGACATTTTCATAAATTGATTGAAACGATTTGCAATTCCGTATTTCTTCCTGTAAATGACGTTTTTGATATTTGAGGTTCTGTAAAGCCAAACTTGCATTGTCCACTCTTGTTCGGATTTCTGTCACTCTTCCTTTCCCGTTCCGTGTATCTTCGTGTACTCTACGTGATGTTGCACGTAGCTGAGCAAATAATGGTGAAGATGCATGTAAAAGTGCAAATCGTTCTTCGGTCGTTGTTAGTCCTTTGGCGGATATCTCTTCTTGTTCGATTGTGGATAATAGTCGTTTCTGTAGTACAGACGCAGTTGCCGTTATAGGCATTTGATCGTCAACAGTCGTCATCCTTCCTTCTACAGCTGCCAGTGAATGAGTGTTGCAATCAAGCAATTGTATGGATGGAAGTGAAATGTCAATGATCAACTCTTAATGAACTCTTCACGTGCTTCTTGTGCCTTTAAAAGGGGTTTAGCGCGTTTGAGTGCACAAGAGGGAAAACAGGGGTGATTTCATTTCTTGTTTGCGCGACTGTTATTGTTTAGCGTGTAGGCTGTGAGTGTTGGTTAACGCATCAATGGGTTCATGCGCGGTCTGCGCGCTGTTGGTTTGAGCATTCAACTCTAAATAAAGAGAAAGAGTACAACAATAAATGCACTTAATACTTAACGGGGAGAGTGAATGATGTTGGTTCTTTAGTGACGATCATCTCCATCAATTCTCATTCTCACAAACACCCAACATGGCAGACGCAGAATACAAAGAAGCTTTTGCTCTTTTCGATAAAAAAGGTACAGGTCATATCGCAAGAGAATCTTTAGGTGACCTTTTACGTGCACTAGGTCAAAATCCAACTCAAGCAGAAGTGGCAGAATTGGCGGCAAGTGCACCAAAAGATATCGATTTTCAATCTTTCTTGAACATCCTTCATAGACCAAATGGTTTCAAACCTGCAGGTACTGCTGGTGAGTAGCGATTATAAAACACATGCGGCCCTGTTTGCTTACATAGATTTTCACGCATTTCCCAAACTTTAGAGGAATTCGTTCGCGGATTCCAAGTGTTTGACAAAGAAGGAAATGGATTCATCGGTGCAGGTGAATTGCGTTACGTTTTAACCAGCTTAGGAGAAAAGCTGAGCGATGAAGAAGTTGACGAATTAATGAAAGGTGTTCAAGTCGGAAGTGATGGAAATGTTAATTACGAATCTTTCGTTCGTCAAATTTTGGCTCAATAAATCAAAAGACTTAACAGCTAATCTCTTTTTTTTTATCCGTTTCAAGCGCTTCTTTTTCTTCGTCGCTCGCTGTACAAACGTCTTTGTTTCGATCTTGTATACTTATTCGGCGTCTATAATCATTTCGCCATGCAATGAAATAGGCGCTCAGGTCGCCATTCATCGTCTTTCTGGAAGCAATCCTTATCTCAAAGATTGTCACATTCCAAATATTGTATTGCATTGGTTCTACAGAGTTAAAGTATGAGATAAAGCACATTCATTTTTGTTGATTTGCTCAATTGGAGGAAAGGAGCATCCTGACATAGTTGCGACAGAATTGAAGAGATGCTGAAGATACATCACCTCACTTGCGACCAGAGTTGGTTCGGCTTGCACGTGGCTTTGGGCTATTTGAGCCGCCGGCGGATTTACGCAAGTGATGAGCTGGGATCCAGTCTTCGTCGTATGCAGATGAAGAAGCGGAAACAGGTTCAACTTTTTGACCTTTTGTGCCGACACTTGAACCTGATGCAGCGTTTGCTTTGGCAGTGCTTGCTCTTTGTTTTCTCTTGTTGATCGAATTGGAGCCAGGGTAATTTTTGCTTGCCCAATAAACAGCAGTACCAACGACAGCAGCCAAAAGTGCATACAACGAAAGCAATTGCACGTCAAACCAACTCTTTGCCGGTTCAACAACGGAGACGGAACCTGTGTAAGCATGTAAGTTGTGTACTTTGCTCGTTTGACCATCTTTGACTAAGATGCGGAATTCGACACCCACTTCTTGTGGCTTGAATTCTGGATAGAAGTCAAAAGGTACTTGTAATGGTTGTCCATTTGTAGGTTTTAGAGGAAGAGATTTGAACTTTGTCGAAGTCATGTTTCGCATCACATATCCTTTCTTTCCTTGACGATCGCGATTCAAGAAAGCACCGGTGATACTTTCCAAGGTGAGAATTCGATCTGAATCAGCTCCTGATTTAGGTTGTGTGAGAGTGAATACTACTCTGTTTGCTTGACCGTTTGATACTCGGTTAAATGCATTATTCGGGAACGTGGTTTGAACGTTTACATCAGGCGTATCATTTGATTGTGCTTGAATCAATGTCGTCAATGACAAAGCACAGATTGCCAATGGCAGCAGAACAGTTTGTAGCATGTGCATGATGAACAATGTTAGATGGTGGTTGATCGGTGCCCATGTGACATTGTTCTCTCTCACCTCCTTCTCTCTTCTTCTCAAGCGCGCCGCCCACTTTGAGACAAGAAAGACGCCACGAGAGCTGCTCTGTAGTACAACTTCCACGGCCGTGCGAAAAAGGCAGCAAGCATAAGCGGGCGCCGGTCTATTTCTTTACAGCCAGCAAGAGGTTGCTGCTTGCTTCTGCTTGTTCGACGTGTTTCTTCTTGGGCCTATGTTTGTGTGTGTACCTGCGTGTAGCTTAATTGCCTGCCAAGTCTTGTAAAGCCACTCACTTGTAAGGCTCGCAGAACACTCCGTGGCTCCGTTGTCCGGTAAATGCACACTGTATCATTTCCCCGCAAAAAAGAAAGTACAAGAAGAAGAATCGGATCAACCGAGTAAATTAAGCTCTTTCAACCTTTTCCATATCTACCACCACAACCCCCTCTTCAAATGACATCCGCTGCTGAAGAATCCGCTTCGGCGGCCGTTTTGGGTAAGCTGGTTTATACACCAAAAAACGTCGAACAAACGAGGATCGATCGATTTCGTCAATCGATTGCAAAAAAGTATAATGTCACTCTGAGCGATTATGATGCATTTTGGAAGTGGTCATGCGAACATGCATCCGAATTCTGGACAGAGACTTGGGAGGAGGTAGGAATCATTGCAAGTAAGAATGTAAAGGAAGCATTACCATCACATCAAATACCCAACATTTATCCACCTCCAAAATGGTTTGAGGGTTCACGTTTGAACTTTGCAGAAAATCTTTTGCGTCATTCTCGATCAGATTCACCGCTCCTAGATCAACCTGCTTTGATACAAACCGCAGAAGCTGATCCAAGCAAACCTGATGTATTTCATCAGACCATCACAACGCAAAGACAATTACGTTTGCAAGTAGCACGAGCAGTTCGTGCTTTGCGTGCTCGAGGTGTGATCGCAGGCGATCGCGTTGCAAGCTATAGCAGTAATTGTTCGGCTAATATCGTTGCTTTCCTTGCAAGTGCTGCTATTGGTGCGATTTGGGTGTCGAGTGCGGCTGATTTTGCTCCTCAAGGTGTTCTGGAAAGACTAAAGACTGTTCGTCCAAAAGTCTTGTTTGCTGTGGATGGTGTGCGATACAATGGTCGTGTACATGACCACCTCGGCAAATTGGAAGAAGTAGTCAAAGGTCTAGAGGATGGTATTGGAGCTGAAGAACAAAAGCTGCAAGAAGTGATTGTCATTCCTTACTTGAACGAGATAGGTTCTCAAAGTGACCCAGCAAAACATCAACATACAAATTGGAATGACTTTTTGCAAAGCGGGAAAGGCACAAGTGAAGACGATGCAGATATCAAATTTGAACAACTGGACTTTAATCATCCTCTTTGGATCTTATTCTCTTCAGGTACGACCGGAAAGCCAAAAGCAATCATGCATCGATCTGGTGGAATGTTGATCCAAATGGCAAAAGAGCTTCTTGTACACGGTGATATGACACCCAAAGACGTATTCTTTTACTACACCACACCCGGATGGATGATGTGGAATTGGTTAGTAGGAGGATTGATCACGGGAGCTCCTCTAGTTCTATTTGATGGATCACCTTTGAAACCTGCTTCAACTTTATGGACCTTATCTTCACAGCTGAGCATCACAATATTCGGAACTTCTGCTGCTTATCTTTCTGCATTGGAAAAGACTGCTTTCAAGCCACGTGAAGCATTTCCAGGTCTTAAAGTTAGACAAGTTCTTTCGACAGGTTCACCTTTGCGAGCAGACCTGTATCCATGGATAATGGAACATGTTGGTCCCGAAACCCTAATCGGATCAATCACTGGAGGAACGGATATTTGTTCTTTGTTTGCAGGTCACAATGTTGCACTTCCTGTGTATGCCGGAGAAATTCAAGCACGTAATTTGGGTATGAACGTAGACGTTTTTGATGATGCCGGTAATTCAATCTTACCCGGAAAGGGATCGGGTGATTTGGTATGCAAGACAGCTTTCCCTGCTCAACCATTGTGCTTCTTTTCGCAATCAGAAGAACGTCATTTCGATACGTATTATGCACAATTCAAAGGCGTTTGGTATCATGGCGATTATGTTAGCTTGTCAACACATGGAGGTTTGGTCATGTTGGGTCGTAGTGACGGCGTTTTGAATCCGGGTGGAATTCGATTTGGATCTTCAGAGATTTATGATGCGTTGGAAAAAGATAAAATGTCTGGCAATCTACAAGAGGTGGAAAATTGGCTGGTATGCGCACTCAAAACACCTTCAGCCGATGATGAAGTTGTGGTGTTGTTTTTGGTATTAAAAGAAGGAAAAGAGAGTATAAAAGCAGATCAGTTGAGTGCATTGGAATCACACATCAAATCACTCATTCGACAAAAGAGAAGTGCAAGACATGTTCCCAAGTATATTCGCATTATTGAAGGAGTTCCATTAACTTTGAATGGTAAATTGGCAGAAGTTCCAGCGAAGAAATTGGTCAATGGAGCACCATTAACGACTATCAATTCTGCAACACTTCAAAATCCACAAATTTTACAAGCGTATGTAGAAGCAGGAAAAGAGCTTAGAGAATCACTTGCGAACGGTAAATGAATGTGTATAGAATAGAGTAATTTCATCATCATCATTGATTCTCCTTCTTCTCGTCTGTAAGCGTGGGGTGCATAAGTGAGAGCATTGTATCCCCCACGCGTAAGAATAAAGGCGTAAGGCTGGTCTGGTTGTGGCTTCGGACCGGTGAGAGCATCTTCGTGGGATTATTGTTCTGTCTTCTTTTGCTTGCTACACCATCAATCACTTACTACTCTTGCATCATCGTCCAACATGTCTGGCAATAAGGGCAATAAGCCCATCTTAATCATCGTGATGGTAAGAACGATCGTTGATTTCAGACATACTATGCAACCTCACATTGACTGACTCTCTGTTTCCACCTATGATTTAGGGCACTTCTGGAAGTGGAAAGTCTACACTAGGAACCCAATTAGCTCAATCACTCGCAATCCCATTTATCGATGGAGATGATTTACATCCCAAGAGCAATATCGAAAAGATGTCAAAAGGTATTCCATTGAATGATGAAGATCGATTGCCTTGGTTATTGTCCATACGTGAAAAAGCATTAAGTGTATGCAATAAACAACATGAAAGTCAAGAAAATTCTTCTGATCAGCCTGATCGACAAACACAATCGATTCGTCAACTTGCTGAACAATATGAGACTAGTCATCAACATACACAAGATGGCATTTTGAATGAAGCAGAGAAAGCAAGGATAGCATTGAATGAAGCAGGACAAGCAAAACAATCCCATGATGGGCAGCACCACAAACAATCTGATGTTAGCCAACACAAATATAACGCATGTGTGATTGCTTGTTCTGCTTTGAAAAGGTCTTATCGTCATCTACTTCGACATGGTCTATCTGAATCAGAATCAGAGGCCAACTTGCCGGCAGACGTGGATGATCACCTTCATAAAGATGCATTGGATGTTTATCACGTCTATCTTAAAGTATCACCCGAAGAACTTTTGCGAAGGATGCACGAACGAGCAGGACATTTCATGAAGGAGGATATGCTCAAATCCCAATTGGCTACTCTGGAAGATCCAACAGGTGAACCGCGCACGTTGGTGCTAGATGATGGACCGGTACAAAATCTAGTCGAAAAGGGAAAGGACTTCTTTAACTCAATTCTGTGATTATCACAATGTATTATCTGACTGTGTATTGTTCTAAATTCATGTCTCATTTCTTCTATGAAATGGTTTCAACATTCAACCGTTTATTCTTCCTCGTAGCTGCAGATGGCCTTGACCTTCTCATTAGAAGCACTTCCTTTATCAAAGACGTGTCCTAGCCATTGCTTGGCAAGGTTACGTGCCAATTCGATACCGACGACACGTTGACCCATGCAAAGAACTTGAGCATCGTTACTCAAAACACTACGTTCAACGCTGAATGGGTCATGAGCAGTGACGGCACGGATACCTTTGACCTTGTTTGCAGCAATTGCGACACCCAATCCTGTACCACAGATGAACAAACCACGGTCTGCTTCACCTGCAGCGATCTTCTTGGCAGCTGTAACAGCGACGTGAGGGTATGCTGTAGGGGGAAGGATAGAGATGTTAGAATGGGAATCAAAGTTAAATTGGAATCATTATCGTTGCTCACCTGTCTTGTCGGTCTTTTCGTTCACACCAACATCAACAACGCTTGCCACACGAGGATCTTTCTCCAAATCGGCTTTGATTGTTTGTTTGTAATCGACACCGGCATCATCGCATGCCATTACGATTCTCCATTTTGGTGCAGACATTTTGACTTGAGTGTGTGATATAAATCAATGAAAGAGTAAAAATGTAATGTTGTTATTGTGGTGGTATAGAAGGAAGAAATAAGAGAAAGGTCCGAACTTAATTGAATTCTTCTCGGAGTTTGGTGAAATTAAGCTTTGGACATTCTTCCCCTCCTTTTGATTTCATTCAATGCTTGTTTCGGTGGCAAGGTTTGATAACCGGGCCTGGGGAAGGCAGAATGTCGGTGTTTTATTGCATGGGAAGTGGAGTGCTTACAGGGCGGGCGCTTTTATGAATTGCTCGCACGGCCAATTCAATCCAAATCACAATTCAGCCATAGCTGCACTTATTCATACACGTGTTTAAGCTCTATTCTAATTGATGTGTTGGTTACCTTGCAATCTTCTCAGAATAAGACTAACAGCATTCTACTCACTTGCATCTCGAGCATTCATTCTCGCTTTTCGTCATGAGATAATATTGATCCGGCACACACATTTAATCATCAACACAATCCTGGGCGGAAGAGATGAGCAAGGCTGCATTTGCGGCCTACGAGGACTCCAGCTCAAACAATGCTGGTCCTTCTGGATCGCCGAAAGCTTATTCTCCTCTTCTATCGCCTGGCTCTTCTAAAAGACCATCAACAACAAGATTGAACAGGCTGCCACTCAGAAGAAATTACTCGGGCTTATTGGGATCTGGTGTGACAAATGATGATGACGCACTTCTTAAGCAGCTAGATGGAGCCGATGATCCAACTGACTGGCTTAATACAGCACTATCAAAAAAGGCAAATACCGACGAAGGAAATGAAACACAATCACAATCCATTCTACAAAGCAGAAGAGGCAGTGCTTCCTCTTTACTCAAACTTGATTCGCAATTAGCCCATCTATCAACCGTTCTTTCTATCTCTAGACAAGATACACTCACAAGCATGGACAGTACCATGGCATCAGTAACTGATAGCATACCCAAACTTGGATTGGAACTTCGGCTAATGCGAGATGCAGCACTCGTTCTACGACAGAATATAGCAGACCTACGACAAAGAGCAAGTGCAGCAGAGATCAGCCGGTCTGATTCAAACGAAAGTGAAATAAATGGAAAGCAAATTACCGAAGCAAATGCTGTGTTGGAGCGACTTGCATCTCTTTCCTCTCTTTTGGAACGAATGACAGCTGCTCGTGATGTTTTGAGCTTAGCGGAATCTTGGTCAACGCTTTCGACTGATGTGACGGCTTATTTGGCCGATGCAAAATTCGAAGTAGCAGCAGCAAGGTTGGCAAAAGCTAAATCATCATTAAGCGTTTTCGAACGAACGCCAGAATACGAAAGCCATAAGAAGCTACTTGATGGTCTTTCCACTAATCTAGAGAATCGCATGACTCCTACATTGATTGATGCAATACGTGATCGAGATATCGAACACGCAAAGAAGTTTTATCAAGTGTTTGCAATTGTTAATCGACAAGAACAATTTGCACGCATATGGAGAAGAACTAGGGCTGAAGAATGTTTGGCAGAATGGGTCCGATTTGCATCTTCCAAGTTTGATGAACGAGAATCTGCATTGGCCCTCTTGGAGAAGAGATTTGTCGAATCTCTTCTTGGTCTGCTAGAGGAGGAACGTAAGATTGTAGGACAGGTATTACCCAACAACCCTCGCGAAAATGTCGCCAAATTGGTCACTTCAACCTTGAATTCACTCGAGCCAGGCTTCGTTGCTACGATAAACAGAGTGATAGATCGTCAAAGCAGTATCGCGGTGACAGGAGCAGTGGATTTACATCAAATCCTTCGCAGAGCTGTCATTCGGATTGCAGATTGCGTCATCAGAACAGATTCAATTTCGGCATCAGCAGCAGAGATCGGCGTCGCAACCTCCCCGATGGACATCAAAGTTGCAAATGCTAACGATCTCATATCCAAATCAGCCATTGTCACAAGTCCTGAAGTGCGACCTAAACCCTTGGCAGCCTCGAATTCCAGAAGGTTGAGTGTCAGGCGCATGAGTGGGATCGGAATACCGAAAGGCCCTACAAGCGCAGTAGAACAGCAAAATGATCTAAGCACTTCTCCCAATACTCTAGCATTGCCAGAGAAACCTTCGCAATGGGAAATCATTCTAAGCCTAGTGCCTCCTCCGGAAGATTGGGAGGAAAGACTGTTGGAACCCATACTTGACCTACAGCTCGACTACGAAGCACTAGAGAGGAATTATCTGGGCGAATCTATAATGAAACACGAATTCGCTCGGACAAGTTCCAACGAAGGTAATGCCTCGGGCATATTGATTGGATCGGATTTGGTTATCGAATTAAGAAAGATGATCGAGGAGTCCACAAAGTCTTCGACGGACGCCATCAGAAGAACGCGGCAATTGACATACGGTCTCAGTTGTGATGGCTTGATCTCAGGTGTGGATGATATTATCTCTTCACTGATCTCCCATGCCAAAGATGCTTTGGATCAGCGAACTGCGATTGCGCTGGAAGAAGCACAAAGACAGGCTCATGAAAAGGTGTCAAAATCGGGAAAGAAAGAAGATGATATGTACGGTATGGGCTTAGCGTCCTCTTCGTCTTCATCTGAAGGGGTTGAATGGAAAGCGTTTGAAGAAGGAATGTCGCTTTTATCTGCTCTACACGATGTTTTGGATACCATTAAAGGGCTAGAGGCTACTGCTGCCAATCAAATGAACGACCTGGTAGACGTCTTTCTGCCCTTGCCTGGCTCCAATCCAGCTGATACGATAAAGAGACTTTGCACAGATGACTCTGGCACTACAACGGCCGCCTTACGCTTATTGTTGGATGCCAGCAAAGACAGGCTTCGATCTGGAAGTTTGATTGGGACATTGAAGCGTATGCGTGCTATTCACTCTCGATCTTCAAAGAATGCATCTCAGCCTGCGCCCGTCTTGTTACGCCAAGCAAGACTGTCTCTGTTGGAACAAACAAAAAGTGTTCAACGTCATTTGACAAATATGATTTTATCACCTTTGATGCCACACTTGGAACTGTACGCCGGCCTTTCGATTTGGTCTGCTAATCGTCTTCCAGGTTCGGTAAACGAGTATGACCTAGCAATGCCAACGTTCAGTCTTAGCCCGACAGAGGATATGAGCCGAATTGGAGAAACACTTTTGGACTTACCACGTTTACTGGAAGTATGGAGTGAATTACCGCAATTCAAGTGGAGCGTACAAGGTTTGACCTTCTCGCTGGCTTCCTCTAAAGATATCGTCTTAGCTGATGCCCTATTGGAAACACCGGTTGCCGTCGATCAAGATATTCCTGACCCATTCGAATCATCTTCCATTTCAATGAGTCCAAAGCGAGAAAAGAGGTTGTCGTTACATGGCGGAAGTGCAAGTGCCGGTTTGCAAAGCGCTGGATCTTCTACATCCAATTCAGCCGTCTCTCCAGGCCAAGAACGCAGGACGACTTCTGGATCACATAGGCATACGCCTTCTGTTGCTTCAATTGCAACTTTGCCGGCTCGAAATGATCAGAATCGTCGACAAGCAGAACAAGATTTGGGTAAAGCCGGTCAACAACAGAATGGTGGAATGGCCGATGCTCAAACGGCTCTACAAAGCTATTTGACTTCTATCAGTCTTACGTTGGTCTCGCATTTGATCTCTCTCGTTTTACCCTCTATCGCACAATTGACAGCAGCAGGAGCTTCTCAATTAGCAGCAGATTTGGACTATCTTTTGACGATCTTATCTGCTTTGAATGTGACGCAAAACATCACACAAAGCGAAGATGCACAAAATGCGGATACATCTGCGATGGAAGAAATCACTGGCCTCATACGAAGCCTAGAAGCTTGGAGAGATATTTGTAAAATTAAAGACCAAGATGGTAGACGCTTACGACATCTTGTACGATCCGGTCAAGCAGCTCGAGGCGGTAGTCTGGGTGATCCGATCGACAGCTTCGAGGGAGATGAGGATAAGCTGAGAAGCTTGTTGGGCACACATGCCTTCGATATGGTTGCCCGTATGAGAGGATGGTGATCGTACACACTAATTTGTAAGAAATAATTATACAACAAAATTTGAATCTGCGTGAGGATATGATTATTAAGATTGCAAACATGATAATAAGTGATACATTTTTTCTGGTCGTCTATGCTCCATTGACGGATCTACGTGCTTCAACGGCAGCGTTCAATTTTTGCAAGAAATCAACAGTTGTTTCCCAAGAAACACAACCGTCTGTTATACTTTGACCGTAAACGAGATCAGTCTTTTCTTGTACTCCTGCTTTTGGTTCAGATTGTTTTCCTTCGACCAAATTACTTTCGATCATCACACCGGTGATTGCCTTTTCTCCTTTGTTCAATTGTTGGCAGATTGCTTCAACACCGTTTGCTTGTTTACGGTAATCTTTTTCGCTATTTCCGTGACTGCAATCGATCATGATACTTGGATGACGATCAGGTAATTGTTTCAATAGCTCAGCTTTGCTATCTTGAACGCTCTTTTCATCGTAATTGACACCTTTCTTTCCACCACGATGAATGATGTGTAAATCATTGTTTCCAGTAGTCTTGACAATTGCTGCCAAACCTGCTTCTGTAACACCCATGAATGCGTGTGGACGAGAGCTTGCACGAATTGCGTCCACTGCGACTGCCAAACCACCATCAGTTCCGTTCTTGAAACCGATTGGCATGGAAAGACCAGAAACCAATTCACGATGAAGTTGTGATTCTGTTGTTCTTGCTCCGATTGCTCCCCAACTGTAAATATCAGAAGTGTATTGGGGTGAAATTGTGTCCAAAACTTCACATGCGACTGGAACGCCTGAAGCAGTGAGGTTGATCAACAAATTTCTGGCAATTTTTAATCCTCTATTAATTTGGAAAGATCCATCCAAATCAGGATCGTTAATTAAACCCTTCCAGCCAACTGTCGTTCTTGGCTTTTCAAAGTAAGCACGCATGACCAAAACCAATCCAGGCAAAGAAGGAGCGATCTCCTTTAACTTTTTACCGTATTCCAATGCAGCATCAACATTGTGAATCGAGCATGGACCAACGACTACCAAAAGACGATCATCTGTACCGTTGATGACAGCACTTGATTCAGCTCTTGCACGTGCGATTGTATGTTTGGCGGCATCTGTTACGGGTGTTTCGTGAATCAAAAGTGCTGGAGGAATTAAAGGTTGGTATTCTGTAATGTGAACGTCATTTTTGTAAACGAATTCAACTTGATCTTTTCCTTGACTTGCAACCGTTTTTGTAGGAACGGGAGCAGTGGATGAAACGATTGCATCAGATAAAGGTGCAGGTGACATGTTTGCGAACTGACAATGACGGTGATGGTAAGAAGGAGACTTATTTCTTCGGCCAATGAATGCTAGAATTCCATCGAAGGATAGCGGACATTGAAACGTTTCTTCTTGAGTCACAATGCACGCCCATGCATAAATGAGAAAAATAAAGAGGCACTTCAACAGTCTCTTCTTCGGCTCATTTTCGGATGGTAACCCTAAAATATTCCTCTCTTTTGAAAAATCCCTTCGTCTATTGGCTGGGCACACGGCCTGTATATATGAGACTTTCTCGGTAGGCCTCCTTGACACGCCCTTTTTTATCACGCGGCATCTGGATTTGGTTAGAGCAAGTTGTCCTCCCGCGTCCCTCTGCTTATGTAATTGCTTGCACGTCGATATCTTTTGGCGTTAATTTTTTTTTTCCTTTATGCCAACGGCATTACTCGATTTTACCGCCGCATAAAGGGATTTTTGCCGCACTGCCCCGCGTAAATAAGCGTGTCTAAACGACAGAATTGAGATTGAATACCTTCTTTTCTTCTGAAGATGCAGGCAAAAAGCAGACTAAAAGAAGACAGAGGGTATAATGCATTTTGTAATCAATTTCAAACAAGCGTGTATTCGGCTGTGTCGCCACACATTCACAATGCTGTTCTTACACCGCCCTCAAACTTCTCCTTAGTGTTTGGGAAATGCAACACTGCACACAGACAAAGAGAGGCTTCACACACGACGGGCATTAAAACAAGGAGCTATGAATAGAAAATCGCCTGTTTAGGGATAAACTTGATACACTGATCAGAAGCACTTCATGCGCCTATCTCCACTGCCAAGCCGCGCTGATTTTGTTTTAGGTACATATAACACGGATACCAGATTGATCTTTTTTATTTTCACGCCGAATGTTAATCACCTTTCCCCCTCTTTTCTCTTTACAGCCACCAAAGGATCGTCTTTATATTTTACTCGATTATCGACTTATAAAGCACCTTTTTTGAAAAGCGTGGTGAGGAGCAATCAATTCTCAACGTAAAATCAGAGCAACACATCAACAATGGTTGCAACACCAACATCTGAAGATCCCACTAATGTCGGCATAACAAAACCAACAAAACGTGCCACAATAGCAATGGAAGAAGGAAGATATGATGAAGAAAAGGGGGAAGGAAGTAGTAGCAGTAATGGCGGTGCAACTGATATCAAGGATAGTCAAGAATCAGGTTTAGCCGGCGCAAAAGGTTCCGATCAGAATTCACAACATCGTTCCATCGTACGACAAGGGACAGCCGAATCAAACGTAGAAGGACTAGGAGGACCGGGAATGGGATTACCAAGGAGAATGACAGCATCAGAGATAGAAGGTAGAACGTTGAAAAAATCTTTCACTTCTCTGCTAACGCCACAGCATCGATTAAAGCCTGCACCAGGGATTGGTGAGAGTATGATGAACGTGCTAAAATATACATGGCTCAACGTACTGCTTTTGCTCATTCCTGTCTCTTGGGCTTTGTACTTTGCGCTAGATCGTGAATCGAAAGGAGCTTCGCTTGCCATCTTTTTGACGTCTTTCTTGGCCATCATGCCGTTAGCAGGTCTGCTTTCATATGGTACCGAAGAGGTCTCTTTACGTGTCGGTCAAACGTTGGGAGGTCTTTTGAATGCAACTTTGGGAAATGCAGTAGAATTGATTGTTGCAATCATCGCACTTTTTCACTGTGAATTGGTCATCACACAAACATCTTTGGTTGGGTCGGTTTTGTCAAATTTATTGCTCGTCTTGGGTATGTGCTTCTTCGTTGGAGGGTTACGATACAAAGAACAAGAATTCAAACAAACAGCCGCACAACTAAATACTGGGATGCTTACGATGGCCGTCATTAGTGTTCTTATACCCGCTTCTTTCCATGCAACGTTGGGAGAAGATATTCAAGACAATGTTGAAAGGCCTGATCTGTTACAAATGTCGCGCGGAGCTTCAATTATACTATTGATCATTTATCTTGGATATCTTTGGTTCCAACTCAAATCGCATACCTTCCTTTATGCAGACGAAAATGAAGCAGAAGAAGAACCAACTTTGCACATTTACGTTGCCTGGGGAACACTCGTCCTTTCCACCGTTTTGGTCGGCGTTACTTCTGAATGGTTGGTTGATTCTTTAGACGGTTTCACAAGAGGCTATGGCGTTGGAAAAACGTTTGTCGGTTTGGTCCTTTTGCCGATCGTTTCCAATGCAGCCGAACACGTTACAGCAGTTTTGGCAGCACGTCGTAATGCCGTAGATTTGGCAATGGGTGTTGCTGTAGGATCTTCGATTCAAATCGCATTATTTGTGATTCCGCTATTGGTCATCATTGCTTGGATTGCTGATAAACCTTTGAGTTTGTTGTTCGATCCATTTGTGGCAATTTTGATGTTTTTGGCCGTTTTGATTGTTTCTTATGCAATCGCTGACGGTCGTTCGAATTGGATGGAAGGATATATTCTTATGAACGTTTTCGTTCTGATGGCTTTGGCTTCTTGGTACGTGCCAGATTTGAACAGCAACAACCCTGCTCAAATTACCAAATCTACTTTGTTCCCTGATGAGTATTGCAGGAATCGTGATTTCTTTGCTATGCTAGTCGGAGGGGGAGCAGGTTCAGGCTCAGGATCGGGATCGGCATGATGTACTTTCTTCCATCCCATTTCGTCAATTTTGCTTATAATGCCTATTAAAATAATCTCATGTAATGTACATATATATACAAATTCATTCAATCTAGTCACGTAAATGCACATTTATTGTTCTTTGTTGTGATGCGTTAATCCTCGGCCAGTAAGACGTATTCCCTTTGACTGGCGCCCAATTTGATGGTATCTCCGGTTCGTAATTCGTAGTAACGTGAAGGTGGTAATTCGGTCTTGTTGACAAATGAGCCGTTTGCAGAATCCAAATCGATCAAGAATGGCTTGGTTTGTCGTTTTTCATCACCGAATTCGTTTCGTTCTGTAATCGATCTAAATTGAATGACGGCATGTTGTTTAGAGATACTTTGATGATCGACGGGGATATCCACAACATTGCTATCTCTTCCAATAAGGTAGCATGATTGTCTTGAGATATGCAAAATGTCAACCTCTTTTCCATCTTTGAAAACATACAAACGCCATTTCTTCTTTGGCTTTCTGGCTTCTGGCGGTTCAAAGTATTTCAGCTGAACGCCATTCTTGCTATTACTCTCTTTTGCTAATAGACCTGATGATCCAAAATCTGGCTCTAAGCTGGGTTCAGAAGGAGCGTCTTTGTCTTTTGAACCTTCTTTGCTAGTGCCATATTTATCGTCGTATGCCTGTCGTTCTTTTTCTCTATCACGACGGAATTGATTGGATGTGGATGGTGAAGCGGACCTTCTTCGACTGCTTTTGTGATTATGTCTATCGTTGTCTCTTACATCCCTGTCTTTGTATTTGCGATCATCATTTTCAGAACGCTCAGTACTTCTTCTGTCTCTGTATCTGTCACGTTCTCCTTCATCTCTTCTTGAATTGTCCCTGCGTCTTTCGTATCGTTCGCCCTTGTGATAATCATCCTTCTTGTCTTTGCTCTCTGGTGCCTCATCCCACTTGCTCCGTCTGGATGATGAGTCTATCTTTGAATCATCATATCTTCCATATATTCCATCTCTGCCACTTTCCTGTCTTGACATGTTGACAGATGTAAGAATAGAAGGTAAGAAGAGGAAAAGAACAAAGCATTTACAAACGCGTACTGAGCTAACACTTCGGATTTCGTAGGATTTTCGGCAATGTATGCATGAAAGTGACCGATAAAAACTAACACACTTCTCTCCACACAAACAATAGCAACGGGCTTAATGGTCTTTGATTCGACAAGTCGGCTACATGAGGAATGAGAACAATCCATGACTCTTTTCCATACGACATATACATCGGCATTATCGGATACAGTGATCAGATCGATGAATGCTACCCTATGAATATATAGAGGGCCCTCAACATTCTTCTATCCTAGCTGAGAACAAAAACACATCACAATGATGTTGCGTCAAACTACCCAAAGACTTGCTCCTTCCATCAAAGCTTGTTCAGCCATACATCCTTTCACACAATCAAGAACGATCAAAATGGCTGCCTTTTCGGATAAATCTTTTGACTTTAAAGGTTATCAAGCCAATCGGCCCAGATATCCTGATTTACTGTATGAAACAGTTTTACAATTTCACAAAGGTGATCGTGAAACAGTATTGGATCTTGGAACCGGTCCAGGTTTATCGTTGTTTCCGTTTGCATATCAATTCAAACATCTCATTGGCTCTGATCCATCAGAAGGTATGATCGGACAAGCAGAACAGGCTTGGCAAGCATGGAAAGAAGATCAGCATGACAAAAACAAGATTCAAGCAAAAGATGCAAAGTTCATTCAAGGTTCCGCTGAAAACCTTGAAGGGATTGCAGATGAATCGATTGATCTTATCACTGCCGCACAAGCTGCACATTGGTTCGATCCTAACAAAGTTTGGCCGGAAGTGTATAGAGTTTTGAAACCGAACGGAAGTGTTGCTTTTTGGGGTTATGGAACGAATTATCTGCCAAGACACCCCTCATTAGCCGGAGCAATGAGGAAGTTCATGAGCAGTACAGATGAAGATATGGGTAGATACTGGCCACCAGGAAGAGAGCTTGTGGAAGATTTGTTGAATGGTTTCCCTTTTCCATCTAATTCGTCATGCATGACAAAATGGGATATTGATAGTGCTACACGCATTCAGCATACCCTTTCAAGCCCTGGCATTGCGGACCTAGCTTGGACGCAGGGTAAAGCACCAGAAGAGAAGTTCAGAATGGAGGTGAGTGAGAGCATAAACAATGAAGGAGGAAGGAAGCTGACTTAATCATCACATTTTTTAGCTCGTACGATCGTTTGATGACATCAATGGTTACTTTCGAACATCATCAGCACTTTCTCGATACTACAAAGCACATCCAGAAGCAAAAGGTCAAAAGCCTGATATGATCGACAAGCATGTAGAGAAGCTAAGAGAAGCAGTGTTGCAAGAACGCAAGGGTGGTGCACAAGCAGATGGATTGGATGATGATCATGTCCGAGTTGCATGGCCATTGGGTGTTATGATGATCAGAAAGAAGACGTAATTCGTCAGATATGCTCAATATAGGACACCTGGAGGAACGAGATCAATAGAGACAATTCAATTCCATTCACTCTCATATACCGTGTAAACATTTCAGCTCTCCGTTCTGCTTCCATCAAAATGTGAATGGACCAGCATGGGAAACGGATGGGTTTTTCCGCTTCTTGACTGGGAGAAAGGTGACCTTTTCGAATTGTGTATGTGCATCATTTCACAATTGACATGAATATGACATAGTACCCACAAGTCTGAAGTCCACTGTCGATGGACAGCATGAGAATTAAAGCTTGTTGGAGTGAATTCTGACCCGTTTGTGTTTTTCTGGGCGAAGAAGGCGCAGTACGCCGTCGTTGATTGAAAGTTGGCGTAGAAAGAAGTTCAATACAAAATTCTAACTTGAATGTTGATTATAGATTCTATTCAATTGTTCACAACAATTGTATTGTCATTTTCACACTGGCGTAGTGCATTACTCCGACTAGAAATGGCGCTAATGAGTAACACAAAAAGGGAAGAATAAATGAATGTGCTTGCCTGCCTGCCTTTATAGTATATACCCTACACCTATTTCAAACGCGTACCGCTAAACTCCCACCGAATTCAACACGCCTCTCCCGGTAGTTGAAAGAACAACACTTTTATTTTGAAACGCGACAATCTTCTCATCATTACCATCAACAACAACACTTCTTCAGTCGTTGTTCATCACACACTCGTTCACAGGTTCGAACGAGGCTTGTCTTCGCTACCATAATTATTTCTGTCTTTTACACTTGACGTGTAGTAAGACGCGTACCTTTTCGTTCTTTCGTTTCGCATTCGGATCACAATGGCAATCTTACCTATCAAAACTAACCCTTACTACGTGCCTGATTTGGCAGACTTCTCTCAAAGAAGTTTCTGGGTTGCAGCAGTTTCAATCATTTTCAATCCTCTGTTCTGGAATTTTACCGCTCAGAATGAATACCGTCACAAGACAATCACAAAATTGCTCGGTAATCGTCCTTACTATGGTTGTTATTTATTAGGCGCTTCAATCTTCCTTTTGGGTATCTTGCGTGATCACCTCTACAATCAAGCTTTGTCCAAACAACCCATCAATGGATATTTGGCTTTACCCTTCGTCAAGTACTTTGGTGGTCTTTTGATCCTTGCAGGACAAGTTCTCGTCATTTCTTCAATGTATGCTTTGGGCGTTACAGGAACGTACTTGGGTGACTACTTTGGTATCTTGATGCCACACATCGTTACCGGATTCCCTTTCAACGTCGTCTCTGATCCAATGTACTTCGGTAGCAGCTTGAGCTTCATCGGTGTCGCTCTTTGGTACGCAAAGCCTGCCGGTTTGATTTTGAGCGTCTTATTGTCAATCGTTTATGTGGTTGCTCTCAAGTTCGAATCTCCTTTCACTGCAGAGATTTACAAGAAAGCCGCAGCTTCATCTTCCTCAAAAGCAACAACAAAGAAGAGAACATCAAACGCAACCTCGCGTAGAAGTTCAACTGCTTCCACCACAACTGTCAAAAGATCCGCTTCTACTTCTTCCCGTCGTGGATCTACAGCAGGAAAGGCAAAGAAGGACGCCGCCGCTGCTGCTTCTACAGCTTCAAGCACAACCGCTACACCAGCAAAGAAGGCAAGCACTCCTCGTAGAAAGAAGAGTACCTCTAATTTGGCCTCTGCTGTTGCAAGTGATGCAGAAACAACAACACCTGCCAAACGTGGACGTAAGAAGAAGACTGCTGCATAAGCGTTTTCATTTTGCAATATTCACTTATGTGGCCTACGCTCGTTCAACCTAAACAATACGATCCAAATCCTATTTTGGATCGACGAGCAATTCTTCTTGGAATACTTTTTACCTTACTTCCCTTCGTCGCAAGTGGAAAGTAGTATACCTGCTTCTTGTGCGCTCCGTCCTCCGCCTTCCGCTTCCGCTTCTTTTTGTTTTGTCAGATGAGTTGCTTTGGCAGCTTGTCAGCATACCCATCGCTTTCCTTTGCTGTACACTGTTGATGTTTTCATCTTCATCGTTGTAAAGCTTATTATTATTTTTGTCGTATTTATTCCCACTCTGTACAATTTTCTGTATTTCGACCATTTGAAGGAATATTAATTGAATAAAGTGCATGCAAAGATTGTTTGAACCTCATCCCATCATTGATGAAAAGATTCTACGTATGCAGCGGATAAGAATAAAGTTTAAACTACGACATAGAATGTGGGACCTAGATTTTAGCCTTACCCAAGCATTTGTTCGGCATGACTTCCGCTAAGTCGGAGTAATACAATGTATGTAGGTAACAAACAGATCTTCAAGTTAGTGCTATTCTTTCTGGTTAAATAAAGTTTACCATTAATTTGTTCTTTTATCTGATCTAGTCCCTTGAGCTAAAGTAACTTTTTATCTTTTCCCAATTTCCATGTGCATGCATCTTTCCGTCAAATCTAGCTTTCTTTCCTTGCATATGTGACTTTATCGAATTGCAGATGGCGCTTCTTTTCCGCTGCTCGTGTTGGCGGAAAAAAGATTTCTTGGGAACAGAAAGCTTATCTAAGCACCGTGAAATTTGACCGAGTGAGTGACTTACTCCTATTTCTCGTTTGCAAACCAAAGCAAACTCATAAAGTCAACGCTGATTGATAGCCAAAAAAAAAAAGCTTAATTACTTTCTCATGCTTTGAGAAACGAAAATGACTGAACTTTACATAATCTCACGTATCTAGCTCTCATGGCCCAAGAACATTCAATTATCTCATGCTAAATTAGAAAAGACCTGAACCGGCGGAGATTTTTAACTATAAATTTCTTTCAATGAAGACCCCTTAATAGGACTTTAAATTCCAATGATGATGATCATCAGGAGGATTGACATTGAATACAATGAATTTTCCACCTCCTTACAGGTACGGATAACTAATTAAGCCTTCTTGATCGGAGGATTCTTTAATTTTCTCCTTCGGAACAAAAAAGTACAATAAGGATTTCTGGGTGTTTGTAAAAAAAATTTGATGTTCTCACCCTTCGTTGTCATCATACCAGTCAACCTTTCCGTCTTTCCGAAATGGTCTTCAAAAGGTGCGAAAGAGAAGTGTGACTTTGTAAAAATATTTCATTAAAAAAAGGAAAATTGTGACCTTAAGAGGTAGTAGCACTGTACCTTAATTATGGTCTACAAGTACACTGTCCAGGTGTATGTTTAAATTAATGCAAAAAACGTTCATCCATTCTTTCCGATGAGAGCACACCTCCTTGCATAAAGTCACACTAGAAAATGTGACTTATGGGAAATATTAGAAATTTTATTTCCTCCAACGAGTCGATAGCGAAGAGAGAGAGGCAATATTTAGGCACCAGTTGGCAGCCCGCAATCTTTCAGTAAAATGCCTCATGCGGTTTAAAAAGCAATTGATGACAAATGAATTGAAAGCCATAATTCCGCCTCTTACGTTTCTGTACGACAGTGTGTGGGTATTTTTACCACGTTGAAGGATTTTCTACTGCAAAAGTGCCTTTGAAAATGTCAAAACGCGATCCGAACGGGAAACGCGCCTTGATAAATGAATTAATCTACACGGTCCCCTTTCTGACGCGATCGAGGACGCGTGATTAAATGTGTGATCGAAGAAGGGTTTACACTAGTGTTTTAAGCTAAGGAAAAGGGTTTATAGAAGAAACGCGTTCATTTACACGGTACGCGGGCATTCAAATCTCGCGTTCCCCTCTTAAAGCTGTCTTTCCACTCTCATGTTTATCACAGTTTATTCGCCTTAAACTGTTTCTTTTCACTCATTCGGATAATTATTGCCATTAAAATGCAAACCCCCTTACATACATGCGAAAAAGAAACCCTAGACTAAAAAAAACCCCAACAGAAAAAGTATTCTGGTGCATTACAAACATATTGTTTGCTGAGAAGCCAAACCAAATTGAACGCCTCTTATGCTTGCATACATAACATTTCATCTCCGATTTATACAGAAGAACAAAAAAAGCCGCATTGAACAGTAAGCGGAAATTTAGTCAATCAACATTTGTCCCCTCCAAGACATCTTTCTATGTGCGTAGGCGTACATTTGCGTGGCTTGTATGCAATGTATTTGCCACTTTGTTCTTTTCTATGCCCGAGGCCTGACCAAACAAATCTTTGATTTAATTGAAATTGAAATAACGTACGACTTCATAACAGTCTGACCTTGATCGGAATGTAATAATGAAAAAAGCCACCCTTTCGATCGTAATAGCATCATTGTGCGATCGACCATTCTGTTAGACAGATAATTGAACTGAGAAAGTAGAACAAAGGAAAAAGAACGAGATAAAGATCGAAAGAGTGCGGGAGGTAGGATTGAATTCTCGAATGGAAATCATTTTGTTCACGGTCGTCGGATCATCTTCATATAAAATAGAAACCGTGATCACACAAATAATTCTTTTAATAGCGAGACAGTGGATATATTGATATTAATCACAGATCAAGAAATACAAAAGGAAAAAGTATACAAAAGACATTGTCTGCCATTGATTTGCGTAGATCAATACAGAAAGGTGATTGTGATAAAAAAAAAAGGAGAAAACAGTGACACCATCGCTATATGAGCGAACCAAAGAAATGAGTCACAGGAATTATAGAGACCACATAATAAAGAGGTTTGTTTGAATACAGAACGACTGAGAAAATTTAGGCACCAAAAAGATTATTACGCAAACGGCGAGCGTTGGCAGCGAGGGGTGTACGACGAATGCTACGACGATAAGGCATCGTGTTAAAATGATTGTTGCTTGTGGCATTGGCCGGAGCGTCTAAAAGACTGAAAGACACATCCTGTCCCGTCATACTTGCATCATCTGCACAACGACCAAACTTCCTGCCATTTCCTGCTTGATTGATGTACAGCATTTGATTCTTGCCAAAATGTGCATTTTGTTCTGGCAATAATCCAGAAGGAGATTCATCCCTCTCAGACGTTGTTGCATGAGGCAACAAAGAACGAATGGCCAAGCTTTGATCACTAAAGTCCACAGGAGTATCTGCTGTCGCTCGGGTTGTATGCAAAGCGAGCGTAGGCTGTTGTGGTTGAGGACGAATACCGTGAACGAGTGATGGGCGGCGATTTTGCTTGCCTTGACTAGCCTCGCTTGGACGTTGAACATCCATCACTGGCGTCAATGGCATGCCCACGTAAGAAGAACGGCGACTGGTGTTTGAACCGCTTTGGCTAGAACAAGTGCCTGGCATCAAATCACTTTCACTTTCGACAGGTGAATTTGGTGTGCTACTTGCCTCGGATGCCAACGAAGATCCGGGTGAGAAGCTGAATCCAGGTGTTTCGATAGTGTTGACAGAGCTGTCAACCGAAGATGGTGTATCAAAGTTTGCTTGATTAGATTGTGCAGGTGTGACAGGTTGAACGTCCATGACAACGTCATCTTCTTGGTTATAGGCAGGCTGAGCAACATTCTTTGCTCCATGAACGTAAGCATTGGCGGAGTTGAAAGCGGGTTGTTGGTAAATATCTTCAACGCCGTGACGGATTTCTGCATAACGGCGTGCTTCTTCTGCAGCTTGGCGTGCACGAATGGCTTCTTGACGAGCACGTTGTGCAGCATGACGAGCCATGCGTTGACGTTCACGCAATTCAGCTTGGGTTGCGGTGAAGCGCTCAACTTGATGAACCATGGAACGCAATTCTGCTAATGAACATCTCCAATCCTCACGAACGGTAAAGACACGCTTGAGTAGCGAGTTTGTTTGTTTGGAAATGGGAAGGATGTCCATCAAGAAGTCAGGGTTACGCAAATATTCACGGAAGGTCTCATCGTCAACGCATGCTTGCTTCCATGGGTTGCGGCCGCAAATCAAATTGACAAGGATAACACCCAAAGACCAAACATCATTTGCGGCCGTTGAATATTTCTCCAAGTGGGTAGAGATGCCGCCTTGGCATTCGGGACCCATGTAGAACGTACTTCCGCATCCGAAATCACTACTTGTCTTTTCATGTGTTGCAAGTCCAAAGTCTGCCAAAGTAACCTTTGCGCCACCTTGTAGGCACAAGATGTTTTCCGGCTTCAAATCACGATGGTAGATACCGTTTGCATGACAGAATTGAACGGCATCCAAAATTTGACAAAAGACATCGCGAACGGTTTCATCCATATCAGCACGGTCTTGTTGATATTGTTCATCTTGATCAGCGTCGTAGACGATTCCGGCTGCGTCGTGTGCTTCTGATTGAGTGGGTACTGGAACGGCATATCGTTGAGTTTCGGTGATCATTGAGAAAAGATCGCCATCGGGACAATAATCCAGAATTACATAGATGCATGGATCATCCTTTTCGTCAATGACACGGTATAATGTAACAACGGAAGGATGTCCGGTTACCATTGTGTGCAAAACAATTTCACGTCTTTGGAAACGCTTTTGTCTTGCATCCAAATCTACCTTGTTGAGACATTTGACCGCATAGTATCCGCTTGCAGCGCCGCCATGCCTTGAAGCAAGGATACGGGGCATATCAGATGAGGAAGAGGAGGCGAAAGGCTGTCTGTGTAGAGGATGTGTGAGATCACGGGCTAGGTAAACGACACCATAAGCGCCTAATCCCAAAATCGATACAAGCTCTAGCCTTCCATCTGCGATTGTGTGACCTAGAAGGTGTTTGTGCTTTTGTTGTTGTTCAGCAGTGTTGGCCATTTTGTATTGTTAATCGCTGAACGATGATCGAAATGGGGAAAAAATGAAAGGGTTGAGGTCGGGAGAAAGGAGTTGAAGAGATTGCTCGACTTCGATCCTTTTGTTCTTTTTATTGATTGCTTGATTGATTGAACGTTGTCGGTAATGAGAATCGATGAAGTTGATGATGGTCGAAATAATTAAGAAAAAGGAAAATTATATTTTGACTTAATTTGCTTGCATGCTATTCTTCAACAAAGACCGAAATAAAAGATGATCAAAGAGATTGATGGATGCGGTGATGAGAGTTGTTGAAAGATGACGATATTGGTTGACGGAAGAGTAAAATTGTTGCGAACAGATCTCTCAGGGTTTCTTTGTGCCTGTGCGTACAAATTGTGACGGTTGTGATTATGGAAGTTGTGATTTGAACGGGTCCATCAAGATCTTTGCCTTGGCGGGGCGGTATGGAGGAATATAAAAATCCAAAAGGATCGAGAGAGTACTGAATCCGTCTCCGGCTAAAAATATTTTATTTGTAAGATCGAAAGGGACCTCTGATTGACAGGTGCACATATGCGTTCCGTGCGCGCTCGATGGTCTTGTCCGGCTTTGCCTTCAAGTAGAGACGCAATCGTATTGCTTTGACGCAATCCTTTGTACGAAAGCGAAAGAGAGAGAGAAAAAATGAAGGGGAAGATTGGATAATAAGATCTTAGTGGCACCCTTCGATCATCAAGGGAACCGAGCCAAAAAGGGGTAAAAAGTCAGTGTTCTTCATACATTGCGGTCAAGCGGCAGGAACAAAAGACTTTATTTTTCTCCCCTTAGTTCGATTTCCTGCTGCTCCAATACGATCGTATTAAAAGCCGTCGGTGATTAAGGGAAAGGCAAATGCCTACTTTCACTTGCCTGATGCGATGCAAGAACATAAGAGGGCAAAGCAAAAATGCATGCATAAAGACATCAAGTAGCGCTTTTACGTACAGATCTCCGATGTCGAGGGCCGATAGCGAGAAGGGTGCAGGTTAATTGCAACTATTTTTTGCTTAATTTTCATTTCTATTGTATGGCTGCAATTACGCCCAATGTGTGCGCGCGGTAAGATGTATTGCCGATTTAAATGCAATGCAAGCCATCAAAAAAATAAGTATGCTTTGTTCATCACACCGCATCAAGAAGGGGGTACAGGTTGAATCGGATGAATACATGATGTAAAAATACATTTGTATATTGTCATTACGCCCGCATTACAGTGGCACACAGTCGAAGTGGGACGATGTGCCGATCGAATGTTCATGCAAGAATGAAAACAGGGTTGAAATGCCGCTTAGACCTCGTCCCCCTTTATTTGCTGCGATTCAATTAAAAGAAATCACATACATTTGGGGCAACGGCGATCGAAGGGAATAGTGCTCGATTGCCAAGGAATTTGGCAACAAAAATAAAGCGCAAAACGACTTCCGGTTGCGAACAGTGCATCAAATCAGTAATTACACTATACCAAGATCGATTCAATGTATGTACCTACGTATGCACGCATGCAGCTTTTAAAGTGTCGCCTTACAAAGCCAATCAATCAAGGCTATCCTTTTGTTTACTCATGCACTGAAGCACTGTAAAAACAAAAAAACAGCGCTTAACACGCTAATGCACCATGCAGTCACGATCGATCTACGTGAACATCACAATAAATTGATTCATTTGTAATGCTTGATAAATCCGCAGATATTACGCCTTTCCGAAATTAAAACACGCGCAATAGAAAATACACTTCTTATAATTTTTTTAGCGCGCTGTTTTAATGCCTTCTCGATGCATTTGTATCTGCAGGGACATAATTTCTAGCTTTGTGTGTGTTGTGGTGACAGAATAAACGGATGTGGGCATGCATGATTGAGTTTGAATTTCCACAATTGACAATTGGGTGTGGCGTACAAAGACCGGAACATTTTCACGGATGTTGATCTATCCGTCAATGTTAAGGTGAGGATGTATACATAAAAGGGATCATCATCACATATGTTTAGAGCGGAATTTGAATTGGAGAACGGATAGAGTATTGTCACATCGGCGTACAGTCAAAAGAAAAAGACGGACAAAGTCCGAACCAACAAAAAGGCCACACCTTCTCGATTGTTATTTGGATCAGTCAGGCTTGTGTGATTTTAATGATTTCGATCCTGGGTATTTATTAGATGGCGCGTTGAACGGCATCTAGACGTACCTTTTTACCACTGCAAGGAGAACAACTCTTAACCGGCACCGTAAATAGAGAACTGAGCCTGTGTTATGGTTGAGGCGTAAACAAGCAGGCAGCTTTATGCACTTCATCTAAACCTTTGCTAATCTGCAAAAAAAGCGTTGATTGAATGTGACAATAGAAGTACACATCTCCGCTAATAAAGTATGATTGAGCCCTCCCAAAATCTAACTGCATTGCATTAGCATAAAATTAAACTATAAGTGCACATCTTTTGTGGGTAAATAAATTAAAATAAAGCAAAATAGAGGCTCAACCATATAATCAAATCATATGGAGGACATCGAAATTAAACGCTAATAACAAAAGATACACAAGTAGAGAATGCAGACGTACCTTAATCAGAACATTCTACATTTTTTTACTCACACGCTCATACCTTTCTTTCTTTTCCGTGTGGCTTACTTAGAAGGTCAATGTGATCTGTATGCAATAATATGAAAATATGGGAAAAGTAAGATCCATGTGGCTTACTTAGAAGGTCAATGTGATTCGTGTGCAATAATATGAAAATATGGAAAAGTAAGTTTGGATCCTATTCAAGCGTTTTTGTCAGTTAAAATGAAAGGCCGCTCAAATAAGATTTCATTCCCCTGCATCAAGGTCATGCTTACATATTCAGCCCAAAGATAAGACAAAAGGAGAGGAAGAAGCCAAAAACGCCATGAATAGAAGAAAGGAAGGGTCTTCATTTGCCTATTTTTTACGCCACCATCTTGAGCCCCGTCATTGTCAAGATCGGAGCAAATGTTTTGAATTTGTTCGATCTCCGTATGAAAGAGGTTTGAGCTTAAAATTAAAGTTTTCTGTTTTTTCTTCTTCCTTTTCTTTTTTAAAGTCACTTCCGATCTTCGGAAGAATCCGTGTTTTTGGTATGCATGTGATAAAGACATTCAATCAGTGAAAACAAGATAGAGTTTTCTCATTCTCCTTACCTCATAATAGTACATTTCAGGAATTATACACAAGATTCTCGGCGAATAAGCTTGTCGTCTTACTTACGTTTTGTGGGATAAAGAAAGATAAGAGATAGATAGAATTTCGCCATCCCCTTGCATTCCTATTCGGCGTCTTTTTCACTAAGATTGTTCCTTTTCCTTGGGTTTGGCAATCGTGGCTGCAGCGGTTAGTAGGAGTTACAGTTGTACAGGTGAGCTTGTAAGCCACATTTGAAGTTCGCTGCACTGCACGCCTTGCATAGAAAAAAAAAGAAGATGGATAAGCGTGCGAAATGATGCAAGCAATCAAAGGTTGTCAAGCGTAGAAAGTTTAACTTTCTTCTATTCCCCTTGACATCGGGATTGCGGAAGACACATTTCTCCCTAGAAGAAGAAGTTGCGGATAGCAAAATATTATGGTAACGTGAGTATCCCCAGGAAAAGCCACAATAAATTTTATTTCTGATCACACCTTGCAGCGGATAAAGTTAAGCATCTTTTGCTCAACGGCGATCATTGTCCGGCAATTCGGTTGACTAGACATTCCTAATGATCTTATCCAAATATTTGACAAGAAAGTACGGTACATTCCGTTCCCTTTTGGACATCCCGCATCCGAGCATATCACACTCTAGTGCCCTTCGAACCAAATCTTGGCAACCTGGCATCCACAAACATGTGGCTTCGATCTTCTCACGAAGAGATAAGATAGTCGAATCTTTAAAGTCAGGAGGCAAGATTCCTATCCGTTTTCCAGCATATTTCTCACGAATCCATATTGCAAGAAAGTTGAATCATGTGATAAAAGTACAATGAATAGAAAAGTGCAACGAATTACTGTAAGAGTGGATCGCGGAAATGCTTTTGACTATTGTTCTTGAATCCAATTTGCGTCTTAAAGTGCTCACGTCTGGTCATATCACGATAAGTCGAGATATGCTTCTTCGCTTCACGTGCTTCACCACGATTACGTGCTTTTACAAGATGACCACCACGATTCTCCACCAAGGTTGGATCAAGATTCTTGCGTTCTTGTAATCTATGCGCCAACTCCCTGCCTGAGACTCCGGATGTGGCAACTGTACCAGGTGGTCGTAAAGATTGATTGTAATAGCGGCGCATACTCCTGTGACCCAAACGTACTCCAGAAGGTAAGACCAATTCAAACTCATTGTCTCCATAACGAACACCACTGGCTGGTAGTGTTTCAGCATCATCATCGCCATCATCATCACTTCCTTCTTCCGTGATTGCATCATCAACTCCTCCTTCTCCATCGGAAACATCCTCCCATCCAGCATCAGGATAACTGCTGGTGAAATCGAAAAAGTCGCTCAATTCCATCTTGTCTTCCTCGTGTTCATAAGCGATCTTGCAGTGGGCTTTATCAATCATATGCTTTCGTACCGCTTCGGCCGTATGGAATCCCCTTCCTTTGCCATTGCAGAAAAGACAGATATTTCCTACGCAGATCTTGTCGGATAAATACTTCATCAATCCCACCAAATCGACCAAATATTCTTGTTCGGGTATAAAGAAGCTATGTTGACTGCTCATATGTTTCAGTGAATCTTCAATGCTCTTGAATCCAGTCATGTTGCAAAAGATGCATGAAGTTGTAGGATCAACACGTTTGCTGGAAGCAACTTTTGCATCGATTGCCGCTTGAATCTCTTCTTCAGTAGCATCTTCGTCTACCTGTAGTGCCATGGGTGCACCAGGACGAAGAGGCTCTGGATCCTTCTTCTCTGAATCGGGTAAAGCAGCAGCTAGATCGGAAACATTGTTCAGCCCATCTTTAGCAGGCGGTAATCTGACGATCAATGAATCTGCTCCGTCACTATCCTTCTCTCCATCAGATTTTACTGTGACTTTGGCTGATGTGGACAAACGTGAAACAGTCTCCTTATGCTTTTTGGAGTTCAAATGAGATTGGAATGCATTCTGAGATGAGAAGCTTTTGTTGCATTCGCGGCATCTATCCTGAGTTTGTGCAACTTCTGTTTGATCCGCTTGCCCATTTCTTTCCAGAATTTTTGCATTGAATACATCGGCACGTACTGGAGGTAGATTGGCCACTCGTCTTTTCATGTTGTATCTGTGTAAATCAGTTCGATAATGAGCCCTTTGATCTTCTGGATTAGCATATGCGATCGAGCAAGATAGACAGGTGAACATTGCCGTTCCTTCTGCCATTGCACTGGAAGGGCCGGCCATGGTTGAGCCATCGGCCGATACACCGTCCAGTACGTTAGATTGTGAAGGTGCAAATGTAGCCATGATTTGCGATTCTTGTTTGAGTATGAATGGCAAAATAGAACTTGTGGTAGTAAGAGCGAGTGTTGTTACCTGTCTGTATATGCGTGGCGTGGAGGATTTCCAATTCCAAATTTTTGACCAAAATTTCTCTGAAGTCGTGTGCTTTCCTCCTCTCGCGGTCTGGCGCCTATCTCCGAATATAATATTGAAGCATGCTTAGTAAGATCCATGGCTTTTTTCTTTGGAATCGGAGAGCGCTCACGTGCTTCTAATCAATCCTGAGCAGGCTGGACAAATCTCGCTATTCACGTGCTTATTTTTCTGTCAATTGCGCAGCGCTGTAGAAGAAGGTTAAGCAGCGGCAGGCCAAGTGTAAGTAATTCGCGCACACTTGCCACAGCACCTGTGTGTTAGCTTAACATTCCGTACTTTAAACCTTTGCGCGCCTGGAAAGAGAGAATTGTGATCAATTCTGTCAATCTAGTCCAACTCAACATTCTTTTGACCGTCACCCCGACAATTCGATAATATACGAGGTCATCAAGATGCAAATCTTCGTAAAGACACTAACGGGTAAGTATCTCAACATGAGATTGAACGATGCGAATGGAGGATGTTTGGGTGGATGCAGTGCTATGTCGATCAGTGGAAGCAGTGACGTTCGACATGAATTAGCATGGGAGTTGAACGAGGTGGTAGTAGAAAGACGTGAACGTTCAAAGCAACTTTTCATTCGATCAGACGGCGGTTACTATATATGTTCCGTCATCCAAACATCAACTCATTCGACAAACAAACAATCCGTATTACACAGTGTACTGACTGATCTTCTTCGTCTATACAGGTAAGACCATCACCCTTGAGGTGGAGTCATCCGACACAATCGACAATGTCAAGGCTAAGATCCAAGACAAGGAAGGAATTCCACCAGACCAACAACGTTTGATCTTCGCTGGAAAGCAATTGGAAGATGGCAGAACATTGGCTGATTACAACATCCAAAAGGAATCCACTTTGCACTTGGTCCTTCGGTAAGTGTCACATGGAGGAGTACTGTGTATTATTGGAGGCAGGACGAGGGCAATCGAGATCAGAATTAAGGGCGAAGGGAGGAGTATGAAAGTGCGGTGTACATAGCGGCCAACATCCTATCTCGACAATGATACACAGAACACTTGAAAATGCATTCGTCGCGCAATCAGATTGCTAACATTCTCTCCCTCACTCTAGTCTTCGTGGTGGTATCATTGAACCCTCATTGAAGGTTTTGGCATCCAAGACCAACTGTGACCGTCAAATTTGCCGTAAATGTTACGCTCGTCTCCCTCCCCGTGCAACTAACTGCCGTAAACGCAAGTGCGGTCACAGCAGTCAATTGCGCCCCAAGAAAAAGCTCAAGTAGTGGTGTGCATGTGGATTGTTATTCGAAGAGATGCTTTGGACATTCTCGATCTGGAGAGCGTTTTGAGCGTTTCACTTTGATTCAATAAAAATAGCACAAGTATAAACCATGCATTCTATCATACTCTTTGCGTTCATACAATTGTATGACATCATACGAGCACTCACAATCATATGTGATCATGTACCATCTTTCTACATGCGTTCTGGCAATTCCAGTCCCATTCAGCCATAAATGTCGTGTGAGATGAGCTAGAAAGTGAGGCCATGACTGTGCTTTGTCTATTTCCAATAACACACTTCTGTGACTTTATGAACCTAAATGGTGCATTCAAAAGCAGTGCTACCATTACGATAAGCCTTTCCTTCCCAATTGATTAACAAGCATCTGATAGTCGTCGTCAGGAGTACGTGAAGTATTATTCCACGATGATAGTACTCGTTAGCTTGATAAAGTGTGGAACGACGAAATTGCTTACGGAATAATATTATTTTCAGGAACATCAAAGTTGTTTGACAGTAAGTTCCCCTTAAAGCCAGTTTATTGTAGATGCAAAACCAGTCACATGGTATTCCAAAACGTGCCTAGAAAGTGCAGCTTTTAATGAATGGAAACTCGGATTCGATTTTCTCAAATCTCCGAGAAGGTCAAAACATCTTACAGCCACAATCGTACATATCACCGAGAAGTTCGGCTATGATATCATGGCGAGTAATGTTGTACTGTTCATTGTTTTGTATGGAAGTGAATATCCGTCGGTTACTTTTATTCCGCATTATGATGCTATGACCGTAACGCGCGGAACTGAAGTCGTAAGATGCGCGGGCCTTGGTTAAGTGCGGAACTCGGATGGAATTCAGCCAAGGGTAAGCCCCTCCTCCATGGATTTCATTCAGGCGGGATACAGTTTGGTAAACTCGGTTTTTAAAATCAACTTAGCGTAAACGGTAAGAAGAGTAACCGGTCAAATGAGGGGTGAGGTAGTTTGAATGGCTTACCCCTTTTTTAGGGGAGATGAATATTCTAGAAATCGTAGAAATTGTAATTTGTATTATTGTTGAATTGGATTATATCGTACCACACTTTATTGCTGAGCATGACTTGATTGATTCTATCTTTGAATGATCATTCTATCAGCCAATTTTGTGTAGCCCGCGTAAGTTTCAAGCCACGTATTGTTGTTGTTCGGGCATCGCAATCTCTCTCGATTCACGCAGACGAACCCTGAGTGAAAGTGGAGAATTTAGGGCGTGTTTGCTGTGTGTACGGCCAACTCACACTCACTTGGCGTGGCCCACAATTCGGGACTAGCATCAAACAAACCTCTTGTTGTGTTGTCAGGTACGATGACCGTGTAAGTTAAACCCTAATAAAAGGAAGAATGCTATACTGCATACACACAAGATTATGTACCCGTAGGTGCATTAACTGTCATCTTTCATGACCCGAGGCTTACTTTTTATTTCTCTTTTTTGTATTTCATCTTCAACTCGGCGCCGCTTTCTTTTCCTTTTCTCTCCTCTCCCTTTTGTGCATCGGGCCGATTTCTTGAAAGAGGCCTTTTGATCAGCACAAGAACAAATTAAGGAGCATCATCATTCTCACACAAACTCTCTCTCTCATTCGATTCTATAGGGAAAACGGAGACTAAGGGGCCGTATTGACATTGTTTTGACATTCAAGGTGACGACGTGTAGGTTTGCTTAAGGGGACTAGAACTTGATCATCTCCTGTACTCGCATTTCCAATTCCGCTCAACCCTTTCAATCCTTCAGCATACGTACCGATTACATGGTAGCAATATCCATCTCTCATTGCATAAATAACACTTGAACCCGCGGCTATTTCCAAAAATCGGATCAAAGTAAGCGCCCGCTCGGTAATACGAGGTGAGTAATCGTCCGATCTCTTATATCTTATATTCACTCTCTTCAACTCGGGTTCGGCGTCTATTTTATACCACCACATCCTCATTACTATTCTTGAATGAATCGACGCCATCTTCATTCTCTATGCGACCATCAAACTTCTACTTTGCGGAGTAGTATGTGAATAAATCGCATCGCAAGATAAACAAGTATTGCTATTGCTTGTTCGAATCAGATAACCATCTATCACCCTTTTTCTTTCGAACTTGAACGATCGCCATGCCTTTGATGGTTCAAAATCCAGCCGATTCGATCCCGCCTCCAGCATCCCCGCATTTCCACTCACATTCTGTCTTTCGATCCTTTACCATACCAGGCACCTTTACCATTGCAGAAGAACCCGAAGAGATCATTTCAAGTCGAGCACCTTCACTCTCGCTCAGTCGAAAACAATCAAGACCATCTGAAGGCAACATCTCAAAAGTTTATCAAGACTTTGCGTCAAGAGATGGTAAAGCACCGAAACGGGTAAGACACAACAGTGAGTTGAATGTTGATGATGAAGACACATTCTTTAAGAAGAAAGCTGACATTTTCTCCCCCTCCCCCAATTTAGATATGCAATCATCCGAGCTATTAGTCAATTATGGCGGCCCGCCTTCTCAATTGGATGAGCGAACACCGACGACGGCAATGATTGCGAATGACAGGGAGGCAAACATGCGTACTCCGCGTCCACATACAGCGGCTCCTGCTTCATCTGGAAACACATTCTCAGAATCGGCAAAGTTAACTTCAAATCCAAACACAAAAGCGCGCATTCTACAATGGCAACAAAGACGTGATGCAAGTGATGCAACGATTGAACCAAGTGATATGCGATCTATGGATGAAGCAATCAAAAGTGCACCGGCAGATACGAATGCATATGCTACAGATTCGTTAGGACGCATGAGTACGCATTCTTCCATTGTTGCTGGTGGATCTGAATTCGGTCATGGAAGTAGATATGGCAGTGAATCGGGCTATCATCATCATCCGAGAGAAGTTTCATCTGGCTCAGCAATGATGCGGAAAAACAGAAAGGTAGCCCCGCCTGAATTACTCGTCGTTGTTCGTCCGCCACCCAGCAAACAAGCAAATCCATTGAATCTGCAGATTCAATTAGTCACACCTAATCAAGGCGGACCAACCACCGGAAGGGTATCCGGTGAATCTTCTCGAGATGATATTACATCTTCGAATGCATCGAGCTTGAGTAGCGGAACCAATAACGTGAATGGATCTGGCGGCAAGCTCAAGTCACCCTCTCCGCCCGCAGCATTGAGGAGATCCAATTCGGTCAGCTCCTCGCGATCAGCATACTCAGAAGCAAGCAGTGCAGGATTGTCAACAGCATCCGCTTCCAGTACAGGAAGAAGGGTAACGCCTTTGTACAATCTCAACTTCCACAGCATCATGGCCACAACTGTGAATGATGCCGGTACAGATCAAAAAGTTGCCAAATTCAATAAAAGGTGTGTGGATATTGATGGTTTTGGTCAATTGGTACCGCATGAATTGGCATTAGGTGTCAACGATGCGGCAACGATGGATCGCAGAAGGCGTTCGTTCACTGCGGTATCTGCAAGTGGCGGTAGAGCAGATAGCGGAAGTGGTGCTAGCGATCTAAACTCTCCTGCAGAAGTACGATCAGACGCTTCTCATACGCGTAGTACAGAAGTTACTACGATTCATTCAGATTTGGATAGCGCAAGCGGTAGTGGCGTACAAATGGCAGCTGGAATGGTAGGAGGAGCAGGAAAGGATATCGAACCGCCAACTTCATTCGATGCAATGAGTCCACAAGCAAAAGAAGCAAATGTTGATCCACTTTCTGGTTTGGGTAACAAACTTTTAAGAGGTTTCAAGCGTTTAAGCGTCAATGCACCCGTACAAACTGTCACTCCAGCAAAGAGCAATCAATCTATTCGAAGTGCAGCTACGATGGAATCGGGAAGGAATGCACCTTCTAGCATCATGGCACGTATGCGCGGAGCAGCAGCAAAAGTGAAGGATGGTGATAGTAGCATGTTTGTTGCATCAACGGATGAAGCTGAAACGCTCAATGTGCCAGAGGGAAGCGTGGCAGGAAGTGATTCAGACATTCCTCAATTGATCGTTGGAGGTGGTTTAAAGGGTGATGGAACCCGAAAGACGCAAGGATATTATTGGACAGTACGCAGATGGAGCAGAAGATTGGGGGATAATGCAGAGGAAGATATGGATGACCTCGTACCTGGCAGGAAAGAAGCAGGAGCTAATCCAATCTTGAACAGTGTTTGGAAAAGATTTAATATCGCCAATCGTATGGGAGGAGCAGAAGTTCATCCTCCTGCTTCACAAATTCCTGTTCGATTCGAATGGACACGTAGCGAAGTACGTAAACGAAGCACGGCCACGACAGGTAGCCATCATGGAAGAGCAGCGACCGATATAGGTACCCAGTCTGTATCATCACGAAGAGGAAGTAAAATACAAGCCAAACGAGCAAGCTATGATGCACGAGCAGAAGAAAGTGGAGAAGGATTGCGGTTACCCAAAAGCAACAGTAGACCTTCTTCGCTTTATGGTACGCAAAATTCACTTCGCGGATCGATTGATCATGGCAGTTCCGTTAGCGGCGGAGGAGAAGCAGAAGAAGATAGCGACCCTGAAGATAGCGAGACAAAATGGGCTTGTCATTTGGTCTTAGGTCCGACGACCAGGATTCCAATTGGCAGTTTGGCCCCTACTCCTCATCATCCTAAGCTAGTCGCGCAATTGACTGTACCCTACCCTTTACCCGACCTAAGCCAATCCGGTCTTGGTGCTGATGGAGCAGGTCTCACAAGAGAAGAGCTCAAGGATATCATCAGCGTGACAGCTTTGTTCGTCATCATTCGTGAGGCATTTGGAGGCTTGGCAAAGCGTCGCAAAGGTGATTCGGTGATCAAATTTGGAGCTGCTGCCGCTCATCGATGAAAGCAAAAACAACATTTCTCCCTCTCTCTCATTTCAAACGGTTTTCTCTTTACTTCATATATCCTACATACCCAGTCAAATAGTAGACATTCATTCATTCAAGTGACCCTTTTCTCCACTACTTTATCTAATCATCTCTTTGCAGAGCATTCAAATTGCATTCAATGAGCATCAAATTCGAAACCTATACTATTGCATTGAATTATTGATCACATTAGATGAAGATTAGGATAAGATGATAAAAGATTAATGAAAAGCAAGTTCTTCATGACCAATCTTTGCCAATTTTTGATCATAATTATGATTTCTGTATTGTTCAACGATTCTTGCCAATAATTCACTCGTACTAACGCCTTCAGTACGTTGAGTAGGTAAAAATCTACCTTGATCTTTGCAAAACGAATAAATGTCTGACATTTCCGCACTCGTTCCTGCTCCTGCATAAGGTAAATCATCATGTGCCACATAATCAATCGATAATTTATCCAAAATTTCTTGATTGATCACCCAAGGAGCATCTTCGATCACTTCATCAACCCAACGACAATTTCGAACGGCAGCATATCTTTCTTGCGATGTCATCACAGGTGCATTTTTGTGTGCCGCACACAACTCTGATGAAACTACTCCAACGATCAAATGAACGCAAGGGAAACTCAACTTGGCTTGACGTAATTGTAGTGCATGTGCATAGTGAAACAAATCATAAACACCATCAGCATAAATTCGCACCGGTCTTGCAGGATTCTTGCCGCCTTCCGGTGGTGGATTGATTCGATATTGTCTTGCTGAATCTGGCTCATGAATTGCACGATGAATGAAGTTGCGAATGTTGCTAACGGATGCCATAGGTATAGGCTTTTCGACTGATGAAGAAGGCTTTTGATGCTGATCATGTTGCACGATGGATAGATACGATCTGCTAGGCGTATCTAGAGGAGCAGTAGAGCCTATATGACCAGGCGGACCTTGTACTTTGTCCGCTGAAACAGAATGGAAACCATGTTGACCTTGACCAGTGATTCCAGGTTGTTGAACGACAGGTGAGCGTGCTGCGAATTCTACATCTCCATCATATGGATTTGCAGCTGCTCCATCTGTTGCGTCTCCATCTGTTTCTGATCCATTTGCATTTGCATGAGCGGTTGTCGTTTTCTTCTTCACTTCTCGAATTGTAGCAAGAGGATTTCCGGAAGTTGGAGCAGGGGCCTTAGGAGTTGTTGCAGAAAGATTTGTTGCATTGGTGAAATTTGTCGTTGGAACGGGAAGAGTGCCAAGTGAAAGCTTTTTCTCATTCACCTTTTCTTCACCAGCAATATCACTTGCTTCACTGCCCGCGCTTGATTCTTGTCTAGCCAGAGGTTGAGAAGTGGACTTTGATGCAACCTTTGGTTCATCGAAATCTGTTGAACCTGAACTGGTAAGAGCGGCTGTTGCACGAGAGAGCATTGCAGAGGTACGAGGATCATTCAAGCCGTCTGGTGGTAAACTCCTTGCAGCAGATGGGTCACCCAAACTTGCTTGATGTAATTGAGTCAAATTGACAACGTTTCGGGTAGGTGAACTACTCAAAGGAGTTTTATCTGCTGAAGGTATGACTGGTTTACGATGAGCATCTCTTGAATCTACCAAAGCTCTATCTCTTGCGGAAGTGGGTAAAGGTGAAGCGACGGAAGTGAAACGATGAGCAGAAGAAGGTTGACGTAAAGAAGAAGCTGAATCAGAATAACCCGAAGCATCATCATTATCTTCTTCGCTTGCGTCACGACTTGAACTGATGAATGCACCTTCATCATCTTCTCCCGTTATAGCACCTGAGTTACCTGTCAATCCTTGAGCATGTTGACCTGCTCTTCTATGTGCTAAAGCAGAAGCACCTCCACCATGAAAGCGTTTCTTTTTGTGGGTAGAAGAAGCGGCAGCAGCCGATGCTGAATTATTGGGAGGAACGGCTGGATCCATTGCAATGAAAGCAAAGAAGGAAGAAGTTGGTAGTATTGATAGTAGTTTGTTCTTTATATCATCGACTTTGCTGCCTTTTCCACATTGGATTTGTGATGGTCGTGCGAGGTATTGTGAAGTTGGTTGAAGTTTTACCTTTGCATGTTAATCCTTCTTGCCCACGTTTGCCAATAATGAAGACTGAAATTGTACCAGAAATCCGAAATAATTAAATTCACTCTTTTGCCTTGTCTACGCCCAAAAAAAGTATCCCACTCAAAGTGAAGTTGAAAAAAGGCCAATGCGTTGCGCTCGCTAGTGTATCCAGACTAAGGAGCACGCACACACACACGCTTTAAGATCCGAAAGAAGGGGATCTCTCTCTCTCTCTCTCTATCTGAAAGGCGAAACGCGTGCAAGCCAAAACGCATGTAAGTAAGATTTTAAGATTTTAGTAGAAACTTGTGTTGCATGCATTCAATGCTCGGCCATTCCTACTCTCTTCGTTGTCATCACAAAAGTACGCATCATGATCACACCCTAGAAACACTCATCATCATCTAAACCACAACAACATTTAATAAAGTATCTCTAGGAGTGATCCATGCTTAGACATACTCGCAAAGATGGTGATGGCAAAATCACTTTTTAGCCTTCAAAGGCTGGTTTGCTTGATAATAGCTTTCATTCTAGCACTGCAGTCGATCTCAGCAGATTCAATCGTCGATGCTGCTTATGGCTTCAACTTCGAACAAGATGGAACCCAATTGGATCGTCGTCAGGTCTCTGGTACGGGCACAAGGAACGGCAATTCTTCACCTACCCAATCAAGTAGCATTGTAATTTCAACTGGGACACCAGTCTCTCTGGTAGAATCACAAGTGGTAATGACTACGCTTGCACTCAACTCTACCTCACCTGCTAGGTTTCAACTTGCGGCACCCTTCAAAAATGCAACTCAACCTCTTTATGTAGCAGCCAGCTTATGTTCAGGACCAGGTATACCGCCATACGATATCGACAATAGTACCGTTTTGAAGGAGTTAGGCTTAACTTACTTTGAAGCTATGCAATCTACCGTTCCGATAATGTACGTTTCAACAGATTCAGCCAATCAATCACCCGGTCCAGACAATAAAGCAGGCTCTCCCGATATAGCATACTTTCTGGGAGGATTGGCAACGGATGTCAATTATGATAAACAGCCAGACGGAGCTTGGATATCCATCTATCCTCCCCTTGATAGACGAGGTGTGATTGGAGAATGGACATTGGTGGTAACAGCTTCATCACAAGTGCAACCTTTGAGATTGCAAGATACACAGGGAGTTCAATTTGCAGATAGCGATCGCACTAATGCTTTATTGACAACTTTCAATTCCTCACAAGGTGTTTCTCCCGATCTTACGCTCGTCGTCCTTCCAACATCTGACGCTGGATTTTTACCAAATGCATATTACTTCAATTCTTCAGTCTGTGCAATCGCAGCAGCATACAATAAATTCAACGCAGTCGATAATGCCGACAAACCTGCTGTGAATCGTTCAGACACTGTGAGAGGTAGTCTGTATGATAACACTACTCGTGTACAATGGCAGGTATCAAACCTTCAACCAGCCACGAATTATACCACTTGGTTGATTGAAGTAGGCAACAACAGTGGTGGACCGTCAAGCATTCTGAGCACGTCAACCTTATGGCCTTCAGTGAAATTCACAACCAAGCGATCTGCGAATTGCAGGTTGGTATACGATATTGACTTTTGTCCTTCAGTGGCTTATTCGATTCCAGTCTCACCTACTGTCTCCACCGAAAAGGCACTCACGATCATCAATGAAACCTTTACGCCAAATTTTGCAAACTTCAGCGCAACGCTCGATACATTCCCTTGTGGCGATAAAGCTTTTGGACAATACAGTGCCTTGCAGACATGTGAATTGTGTAAGAATGCATATCGAGATTGGCTTTGTGCCGTAACAATGCCTCGCTGTACCGATTCTTTGTCGGTTGTGAACAACCAAACGAGTGCGGCTTATCCGGATCCGTTTACTCTTATGGGCATCGAAACTCCATTGAATACGGAATTGTTGCCGTATATTATTAACCGTAGAAACGATAGTAGGCAGGCCTACATTGATTCAGAGAACGGATTGGATGCTGGAGCTTATGGTGAAATTTTGCCGTGCATTTATACCTGTTATGCGGTTGCAAGTAGTTGTCCTCAACCTTTGATTCAATGGTATTGTCCTTTGTGGGATATTACCGCTCAATCTCAATACGGAACCTTTGCTGATGCCGGTGAAGGAGGATTGGGCGAAGGAAAGAATGGCGGAGCGGGTGAATATGGCCAAAGGTTTGGCGGGCCTACCAAATACGTTGCTCAAGACGCCTTCGGTAATGTATTCTGCAATAGCTTAAACGTTCAAAAGCGTTTCGTAGGCATAGGACATCCTTTAGGAAAGTCTTCTTCTGCCTTTAATCTTAAATCATCTTCTTCAGCTCATTTGAGCTTAATTATTGCACTTACAGTCGTATTCTTTTTCATGGACATTTAACATCCAAGACAAGCATTCAGTTAGACTCTTTTCCCTTCTTTGCACTCACATTCTTGCATTTCCATTTCCGTTGCTGTCGTTATCAAGTTATCATATTGTATCGTAGTCATTTCATAAATTTCATCAGGAAGAAGTCATTCAATCGAATTACATGTTTTCGTCGTGTTTGAGATAAAATTCAGCAGCAAGTCAAAATCCATTTGTTCACGTCAGGCCCTGTGTGGTGGAGACACATCATTTGCCCAATTTGACTGGAACGTCCTTGCGACCATCGGAAAGGAGCACTACTGCATACTTTCCTGAAATTCGCCAGCCGGGCTCTTCTTTGTCCAATCGTTCAGCAACTTCGTTGTCCACGCCTACGACGACATCAGATTTGATCGTACGCAAACTTGCCACAGGTGGTGCACCATCTTCGCTTGCCAAAGGACCGATTGCCATATTGAAAGGCAAATCGCTTGGCGTTTGACAGTCGTATGTCAATTTACGATGGTTCAAATCACCTTTGAAGATTACCAAATCACTCTCGCTCAAATGCAAGAACAAATCTGGAGCTTCATTACTGATACTCCAGAACGTATATCCTGTGCACCAGAATGGATGTTGTTCGTAAACCCATTTTCCTTCTTTTTCGTATTGCTTCCAACGATGTCCGATTTGACGTAAACTGGCAATTTGATCATCCGTTGCGCCGGAGAACAAACTACCATGAACCATTGAGTTCAAGAGCCAATTCCAATCCTTACGGGTAACATCAGAAACGAACCAAGCGAATCGTTTACCATGGAAGTGAATCTCAGAAGCAATGCCTGATTGAACCAACCAATCTGCATAAACGCAATCACAGTACAACTCGAAACCGGCATTATCCAAAACGAAATCGATTCTGCCTCCTTTCATATTGCTGACCAATTTCCATAGTCTGTCCAAGTGATTACCCAAAATGTTTTTTTCAGTGGCTGCAAGATGTTCACCACCGGTAGATTGTAAGTTCTTGATATCGTCTTCAGTCATGTTGATCAATAAGCTTAAATCGGTTGCATTACCCCACAAGCAAACTTGTGTGAGCTCGTGGAAGAGTAATTCTCTTGCTTTCAACTTTTCATCTTCCGATGCATTTGCTTCGTAATGGAAAGGTTCTGCGAATCTTTGAGAGAGCTCAAAGACGGCCGTATTACTGCGTGAGAAAGTGTCACACTTTTGACGGAAAAAGACATCATAAGTCGACCAATACTTTGAGATTGAGAAACATTCATGCAATCTGCGGTATTTGTATGCTTCAGCAAACAGCCAAGGACTGTTCAAGAAAGTTGATTCGCGGAAAAACTTTGCCAATTCTCTGTTCCAAAGGGGGATATCACCTTCACCATCATCTTTGATTGGTCGAAGTTTGGCATTGTTTTGTAGATCGTGCATTAAGACGTGCATACGGTCAATGCATCCGTTCAAATCTACCATCATCTCTTCTTCCGATTGTTCATTCAATGTTTTGATCGTATCGTCGATTGCTTTGCCCAGAATGGTTGGCAATCGTTTTCCCATCGTTTCATGGGCAAAACTGAATTCGTGGTACCCTCTGTAAGCTGGCCATGGTGGATTGTTTGGGTCTACACGAGAAGCCGTACGAGGGAAGTTCTATGATGGGAAAGGTGAAGTTGTTAGTATAGGAGTTCTTTTCCCTTATTTGCCAGCAGTAATACTCACATTTGTTGCTCCGAAACCTTGACGTTTTGGAGGTAAATTGCCCAAATTGAGCAGAGTACGTGGAGCTGGCTTTGCTGATGGATGATCACGATGAGCCATGATTGCAAAATGACACAGCTAGTGTAGTGATTTCAGTAAAGGGTAAGATGAGATGATTGTACGAAGAAGAAAGGGTAAGCCTGTCAAGTAATTCTCAAGCTTCTAAGATCGTAAGCTCTATCAAGTTAATTCAAAAAGTCGAGAACATTGTGCATATGCACCAATAGAAGGGCCTCAAAGTGTGTGTGTGTGCTTGAGAGATTAAACTTTTACACCTCACCCTGCCGTGTGTTTGTGCTCTTTATTCAAGGGACTTAAAGGGTTGGCTATAACACTGCCAATTCTGCACTTAAGCATCATCGTATCTCCACTAATGGCAGGGGCCATATGTGAACAAATGCACTCTTCTTTCCCGTCAATTGGTCTGCGTCTTATCTCCAGATTTTATCCCGGAGGGTGCTGTAGGTTTTAGCGCCAAGTCTATTTCATCTTGTGTGCAGCAGACGGTACACGTTGCCGGTAAGCAAAAAGTTGATTCTAGGCTCATGAGGTTTGTGGCTGGCTGGCCTTTGATGACGGGAAAGACACAAAGGTGCGGGGGGGGGGCTAAATACAGTACGCGAAATGTACAACCGTGTGTATGTAAGCGACGCAATCACATCATCTGTCCACGCGACAAAGAACAAAGGGAGTTCATCATTCAGCTTCAAATTACACAACCATTGACCAACTTCTTGGATAATAGAATTCAAGAAAGAAAGCGAGTAGAATATGTCTTATAATCAAAGCCAAGGAGAATCTTCTCGAAATGCAAGAGTAAATGAACAAGAACATGAATCAGAGCAAATCAGTTGGAGCATACATGCAGCACCCGAATCAACACAAGACGATGAAGGAAGCAGTAGCAGCGGTAGCAGTGAAGATGGGCCAAGCAGTGCAAGAAGAAATGCTCAAAGATTAGAACAAGATCATGCTTTACGTTTGGCCCATGCTATGACACATAATCCAGCAGACGCTCTCTTGCCTTCACCTCCACGTTCACCTCCAAGAGCAGTACCTAATCCTTACGCAGGATTTTCACAATCTTCTCAGAATGCCAGCTCATCATCACGAAAACAATGGTTTAGAGTAGCCACAGTGAATGACGTAAAGAATCGAAATTGTTGGATCTGTTCAGATGGTGATGCAGACGAAGCAGAATTAGGTGGTCCACCAAAGAAATGGGTCCATCCTTGTAAATGCAGTTTGATGGCACACGAAGAATGTCTCTTGACTTGGATTCGAACAAGACGTACTCGTGATCCCAAAAAGCCAATTCAATGTCCTCAATGCTCTGAAATTTATGGTATCATTGAACAGAAACCAGGACTATTACGATTATTCGAATCGGGAAATAAGTTCTTACGAGATGCGTTACCGATAGCAACAGCTGGAGTTGCTGGTGGAGGTATTCTTGTGGCAGCAACAGCCTATGGATGTGCAGCTATTCGATTATGGATCGGTAAAGATGCTGCTGGAAGAGTGCTCGGCGGAAAATGGCCCTGGCATTACTACCTAGACATCCCAATCATTCCGCTCGCTTTGATTGTTTCGCGATTCAGTTTCTTTCATTATCCTTTGACAAATATACCAACAATGGTACTTTGGCCCATTATGATGTTTCATATGCCCTATTTGACCGATTATAACGGCTATTACACCTCATTGCGTAGAGGCATGAACAGACGTCGATGGGATAACGCAAGCCCTCGCTCAAACTCACCTTACTTCGCATCCCCTGGACGCACATATCCTCCAAGCCCTGGTTTGACGATCTTGCTGGTACCATGGGTCAGAGCCGCTTATATCATGCTGAAGTATCGTGTCACCAAGAAAGTCTTGGCACCATTCTCTCGTCGAACTACGACCAATGCAAATGGACGAAATGAATCTGGACGTAGACAAACCCGATTGATTGTCATTGGTGAAGATGCTCCTGTTGAAGGATTAGATCAAGATGGAACAGTCAATGTGGACGAGAATGGAAATCCGCAAGAAATTCCACCAGGTGCAGAGGCCATCGAGACCAATGATAGAACAGTATACGTTTCCCCTCAAAGTTTGGCTCGATTGATCATCGGCGCTCTGAGTGGGCCAGTGATTGCTAATCTGATGGGAAAGCTCCTTGCAAAAGCAGCTTCTTACAGTGACTTCTTGCGTCGATTCTTGGGTATGGAAACCTTGCTTTCACCACGCTATGGCTCTCGCAATCCCACCAGGAGCACTACTTCATCAGCAACGCAAAGTACACCCTTAGGCAGACTATTCTCAACCGGCTCAATCTTTCCAAAATCTTCCGATGAAAGTTTTTCAACACATTCTACTGCTTCTGTCGTACATGAAGTAAGTGATGGTATGACTTGGTTCCGTGCAACAGGTACGTTCGATGATCTTGACCCTGTCTGGTTCCGTAATGCGATCGGAGCTGGAATCTTTATCATGCTTAAGGATATTGTACAATTACGCTATCGCTATTTACGTCTCGAACATGCAAGGGAAGGTGCAAAACGAACGAAGATCGTCGATCGACCGTTCATTGGTGGAATTGTGGACGAGTTGGAACTTCGCGATGAAGGAGACAGAAGATAAACCTAACCTCTCAGAAAGACAGATAGTATTCTAGACACTTTCAACAATCTTGTACAAATTGTATTCACATCTCTCTGATAATACCACTCAATCTCCTTTTAGTAGATATTGGCTCAAGCTTTATGATAGTTGATTTGACAAAGAAAGAGCAATTCTCAAAACAAACAAGTATGAGAGTGTGTATAGGGTTGCGGATCTGGCGAGCTAGAGTACATAGATACATATTAGATAAAGAAGCAAAGAGGAGAGGTCGGACAAAGAAGAAAAGGGTAAAGAGATTGTAAAAGATCTAAAAGCCAGAGTACTGTTGACTTCAATTTCGTAAAAAACCATCATTTTCTCTCGTGATCAGCAGTTGCATGCATCATTTGATCCTTGACCACCTCCGCGCAAATCAACGCCTGCCCTTCCTGACTGCGATCCAGCACCGCCTCCCATCAAATTACTACCACCTGCTCTGCCACCTCTTTGCGCATTTGCTGCTTGTTCCAAAGGCAATTTTCTGGCAATCATTGTGAACAATTCTGAAACGTTGTATGAATCCTTTGCAGATGTTTCTAAGAACAACAAATTTTCCTCTGCAGCATACTTTTCCGCTTCTTCCGTTTGTACTGCTCTTCTGCTTGCCAAATCGGTTTTGTTGCCTGCCAAAGCGATGATTATGTTCGAATCTGCCTGTCTCTGTAATTCACGAATCCATGATTTGGCTTTCTCCAATGAGGACTGTGCAGGGAAAGTAGAACGAAAGGTCAACAACTTCTCTAACATCGCCAATAATTTGCTTTACACTCACAGGCTGAGTGATGTCGTATACTACCACAGCACAATTTGCATTCCTGTAGTACATAGGAGCAAGTGATTTATATCTCTCTTGTCCAGCAGTGTCCCTGATTTGTGTAAGATGGTATGACAAGGATCAGTAATCGCCCCATATCTTCCACTTATTGGAAGAACACTCACCAGATCTCGAATTTTACAGTTGTTTGTTCATCAAGACTGACTGTTTGTGTGAGGAAAGCGGCTGATCGATGGAATTAAATCGTCAGTGTTAGTTCGAAACGATTGCATCCTTGGATGGGAATCAAACATACCTCCGATTGTGCTCTCTCTGTAATCATCGAATTGATCTTTGACGAATCGAAGGACGAGACTGTAAAAGATGATGAAAGCGTCGAATGTTTAGTATATGAAGCGGCGAATATACCTTCAACGTGGCAATTTTGCACTTACCTTGACTTTCCCACAGCAGATTCTCCCAAAAGGACCAACTTGAAGCTCAAAGGAGAGCGTGAAGATGACATTTCAATAAAGAAGCGATAAAGTCGAGAGTATGTCGAAAGTTGTTGATGATGGTAAGAGCTATAGTCTTGATAAAAGATTAGTAGTTGATGAGGCTTGAATGGCGTTACTCCATTTGTGTGTGTGAGTGTGTGTGTACAAGGGCAGTGCACACAGTGGATAAGTGCGTGTTCCTGTTCTGTTCACTGTTAAGATTTAACTTTTGTCAAAGGGCAATTCGTCGGTCATTTGAAAGGAATACAATTATGTTATTAGCCCCTTGAAAGGTTAAGGACGCGTACATAGAAAGGTGAATATCGAAATACAACTCGCAATAAAATTGTTATCAAATAAATAGAAACGGCTTCAGGGTACCGTGCGATGGAAGTGCCTCCCGCACTCACTTATAAATACCTAAAACCCCACCGTAGTAGCCAAGACCCAGCAGAGACGGAGTGGGTGCCGAAGCGAGAGGTGCACGCGCTGCGCTATAATAATAAAAAAGTTCGCAGGCAGATTGACAGACGTACACGCATTTAGTCTGCTTGGCTTTTTTTAGGAATTGCGCTTCCTACACATTCTCAAGCTTTCTTTAAGCGATCATCCCCCCTCAACATCCATTGCAGAACAATTCCATCAACTTCTTGATCAACCAAAGAAAAAGGAAAGATCATCTTGAGAACATTTCTCAATTCACATTCGTTGGATTTCACCTTTGCTCTGTGTTAATATTCGCTTTGTGAAGATTCGGTCTTGTTACGCGCTTCGATAATTTGGTTTCCGAAATAGCTTTTTCTTTTGCCATCGTTCTAAAGAACAAACTTTTCATTTTGTGCTACTATTAAAAGGGATTCGTTGAGTTTTAACATCGTAAAGGAAGCAAAGGAAACGGTTTCGCAAATACACAGTAGTACTTTTTTGACCCGGAAGAAACAATATTTTAAGTCAGTTGAGGAAACAGCACTTGTGTCAAGAAAGAGAATTAGCATTGCTCATCATTACTTCAAGTTCCGATCAACTCAGTGGATTGTCAATTAAGAAGCTAGCATAGTTGAGCATACAATCAGAAATTGAAAGAGAGAACGAGTACAGACCCTGACACTTAGGCCAAAAAAAAGAAAATGAATTCGCAGAACCCCTACGGAGGATATAGTGCACCACCCCCTCGTGGTGCTGGTCGAGGAGGCTCACAATTACCAAATAGGCCTCCGCCACCTTTGAGTTACGGCGCTGGTGGTGGTGCACCTAGTGTTGCTGTACCAGCAGGAGGAAGTGGTTATAGTGGGCCACCACCTTTGCATCTCGGCGGAGGAGGTCCTCCACCATCTTTTGGACAAAATTACGGTCCTGGAGCTCGGGACAATTACAATTCAGGACCACCTCCAGGTATGGCTGGAGGTGGCAGACCTCCAATTGCTGCTCCCCAATATGGTGGTGGCGGCGGTGGTATGGGATACGATGCTGGGCCTCCTGATAATGGATATGGAGGACCTGCTAGCAGATTTGCACCAAATGCAGGACCTCCTCCTCGTCCAATTGGTATGGGAGGCCCTCCTGCTCCATATGGATCACAATATGGAGGTGGTGGAAATGGCTGGAATGATGATGCAGGACAACAACCACGCAAACGGTCACGGACAGATCACGACGGAGGCGGCGGTGGTGGTCGTGGAGGCGGCGGCGGCCCTAGAGGCGGAGGAGGAGAACTGGAGTATCAAGACTTCTTGAAAGAACGTTTGAAGCGTGAGAGACCTGGCAGAACCTTATTTGTGCGCAATGTTGATTTCCGTTGCGTCATTCCTGAGCTACGTCAACAATTTGAATCTTTTGGAGAAGTGAAGAGTTGGTTCGATTTAATTGAAAAGCGTGGGATTGCTTTCATCTCGTATTATGACATTCGATCAGCAGAAGTGGCAAAAGAGGCAATGCAAGCCCATCGTATCAATGGTAGGGAATTGGACGTTCATTATAGTTTACCTCGTGAATCCGAATTGAGTAAACGATGTGATCGCGATAAAGATCAAGGAACCTTGCTAGCTGTCCTCAGGGGAGGAGATCCAAATTTGTCAGATGATGAGGTGCGAAGCGTATTCTCCCAATTTGGTGAATTACGTGATCTACGACCAAATGACCAATACACCGGGCGTTTGGTAGATTTCTGGGATTGTCGTGCCACCAAAAGAGCTTACGATTCTCTTGAAAATTCTCCTTACCGAGGTGGAACATGGCAGCTTTCGTTCGAATGGGACCTTGGCATGGAAAATCGAATGCCAGATATGCAAAAGCATGAACGCGATCGAGAAAGATTGCGTTCGATGAATTATCAGCCAGGTGAAGCAGGTCCCCGACCTGGTGCAGAAGGTCAATTTGACAATCAAGGCGGTGGTAGATATGCAAGAGGATCTTCACAGGAATCCGGACAAGGCTCTTACGGAAGGGGCGGAGGCGGTTACGGTCAATACGGTCAACAATCTTCTGCCCCATCAGGTTACGGACCGCCCTCGACTGGTGCTAATCAATACGGTGGCGGTGGTACGAAGAGAGGATATGATTATGATAATTCACCTTCACAAGAGCCACCGATGCGTAGATGGGGTCAACCAGCCAATGCCAACCACGGTCCTCCAGGAAACGGAGGGCAAAGCTACGGAACGCCTCCCGTTCAATCTGGCTCGAGACCTATTGCAGGTTTACCTCCAACATCTTCCACCTTTTCTCCTCCCAATCAAGCAAACGCAGGACCAGGTGCGGGTGGTTCTGATCGTTTGGAACAAGCACAAAAAGTACAACAACTTTTGGCCTCTCTCAAATCTGGTGGTGGCGGTGCCAATGCTGCTGGTTCACCATCAAATCGACCTCCATCAGCTTCAACACCAAATGCAAACGCTGCTGTCAGTCCTCCCACTGCTGGTTCGAATTCCGGTGCCTTGCCAAGCAACATTGCTGCCTTGTTGCAGATGGCACAAAGCAAATCAGGCCAAAAATAATGTGAAATAGCATCTAGATCAAAAGATCTACAAAAATGAACCATCTTTTCATTCATGAAAGAGCAAGACAGAAGTTGTGTTTAAGCCCTTTGATAAATGTATTGCAGCTTAGTGTACAAATGATGATAGGTGGAAAACGGTATTTATACAATATACAGGTTGATGTGATGGTCAAGGATCAGCTTGGAAGTGCAGGTGGAGGACGGGCAAGCAGAACACCTTCTCTGCCACCGTCTTGTGAAGCACTTCTGTTTTGTGGTCCGTTTGAAGAAGCAGCGCTGAGGGATTGTAGAGGGTTCATTGGTGAATGATCATCAACAGGTGAACTTTCGTGAATAGAGATTGCTCTACGTTTGCCGAGTGCTTTCTCGCTTGGTACGATTGGCGTGGTAATATCGAGACTTTCATCTGCTTCATCATTGTTAGATCGTACATCGTAGCCAGACATGGGCAACGTCGTATTTGTCTTCAATGGCGAATTTGTCTGCATAGGCCTTGGTCCAGCTAACGTACCGCTATTGGTTATACTATTACCACGTGAATGACTAGGTGCTTTTGTTGGAGCGCTGTTGGTTGTAGCAGATCGATTCAGGTCAAGCTGAGTGAATTGAGTAATAGTGTCATCTGGCACTGATTGAGATGATTTGGACGGTTGCATAGGCGGTGCCAACAGTCCATTCTTGGAGGCAGAAACAGCATTTCTGCCAGAAGCGGCGGCCAGTGGCGAAGGGGATACAGATCGTGAGCCTGAAGCAGATGCATGGGCACCTTGCGCATCATCATAGTGATATACATGACCAGTTTCAGGATCTGTGACTAGCGCATTTCGATCCATTCGCATTTCTCGCATACTTCGATCAAGGATTTGTGCTTCTTCTTCCTCTTCTTGCCTTCGCAATTGCGCTTCTTCCACCATACTTTGCGCATTCGTTATCTTTTCATGAGCATCCAATAGATCTTCCAACAACTTTTCCTCTTCTGTCATCGTTTGACCTTCGCCCTCCATTGTCTCTCGCATACTACGCGCTTGTTCTGCTTGTGCGGATGCCCATGGAATTTGTTGTGAGATGAATTCGTGTGAAAGTTTTGTTTTCTCCAAGAATTCCGGTAGAAGTGGTGCATCCAAGCCATCCTCAATCAGAGTCTCTGCTAACAATTGTGCATTACCACGTGCTACGTTGCTCTCCTCATGTAGTCTCTGTAAATCATCTGCATGTTGAGCTGCGAATTGAGCATAATGGTCTGCTTCGCTTTGACTTGAATGGAGTTGTCCGAAATCACTTTCAAAAGACGATGTCATCATATCGCGTGGTTCCGTTATTTGGGCTCGTGCAGGCAACTCTGGTCGTGATGCCGGCCGGTCATCATTCAGGTTCTCTTGGCTAGTAACCAAAACTGCATCTGTCCTAGCTTCATCTTGCGTGTGGAAAATATCATTATCTTCGTCCAAAGGTGTGCCATCTGGAGGCATGTCAACCGGTTTGATCTTGTTGAACATCTTTGTGATCGGTTGAAGATCGGCATCTTGTCGTGATTGATGAGCAAGCATGCTCCAAACGACCAAAAGTCTACCGCGCATTCTGCTAGATGTACGTTTATCTCCATATACGTCCTCAATCACCTCCAAGAAGCGTTTGTTTGCCATTTGCAGCTTGAATCGATCGCCCGTTCGTAAGAACAAGATTGCCATCAACTTCACTGAACCGTACTTTGCAGAATCGCTTCCCATTTTGATTTCCTTTTTCAATGCTTTAGCTGCTTCTTTTGACGCAGCTTCAGAGTGTGAGACGGCTGACAGTAGAGGTGTGAGATGATCTTGTTCCCAGTATTGCTCATCTTGTGCGCATAGCCAACCTATCTGCTGCGTTATAAGCCCTTCTTCGCCTTTCTCTTTTCCTTTTGCCATACCTTTCCAATCTAGCCAAGCCGGTGCTTGAATCTCAGGCTTTTTCTTCGTGGGAGATGTTCGTCCAGAAGTGGTAATCGCGGGCTGACTGTCATTGTAGGTAACTTCATCATTTCGATCCTGACGGGGTAAGCTGTCTTGAGAGTCACGTTCCTCGAATTCAGCTTGATGTCTGTCATTTGCCTTTTTATTGTCTCTTTTCTCTTTCAATCCAATCAACCAATTCTTCATTTTACCCTTGCCTTCGCGAAACGGCATAGACTCATTCGTATCATCCACGCGGTCTACGTATCGATCTTGCGAGCGTTCTACAGGGACTGCGTCATGCTGTCGGTTTGATTGATATCTCTCATCTACCATCTCTTGAGCGGCAGGCAGACCTCTTTGTATCTCACTTGAACGATTCACCGCAAAGTTTTTTCCTTGTTGTTGAGGTTGCTGAGTGTCTTCCCGTCTTACCTGATGAGGATTTGGCATTGCTTCAGGATAGCGTACTTGCTCAAATTGCTGATGATCGGATTGAGGTCCGTAACCTGAAGCATGACTGTGATCATACCTGCTTTGCTCATAAACGTTTCTGTTAGAGTCTTGCATTTGGTATTCTAAATGATCAGGAGCAGGAGCAGGATCTGATTGGACATCGCCATAGTAAGATCTGCTATTGCGAAGTTTAGCGTTTGAACGATTTGCTGCATCTCGATTGTGTCCAACGCTATTCTGTCTTTTGGCTTCACGACTTTTGCCTCGTCTTTTTACATCTTCTTTTGAGCCAGAATGCACTTCTTCGTATACCGGGTAAGCAGCAGCCTTTCCACCTCTTTGAAGAGGTTTATGAGGAGGATTCACGTTGCTGTTGTGTTGCTCTGATTGTCGGTTTGAGGATGTTTGTGATATACGGACATGTTGCCAATCAACATCTTCATTTGAGCCTGCATATTCGTATGGCTGTTGCCTGTAGTCACTTCCTTCTTCGTTGGTATTTGAATTTTCAAAAGGCGTCACGACTGCCTGTTTGGCAAATAGTCGACGCATGGCAGTGAATTCTTTATGAATGCATAAAGGTTAGATGATTGAGTGGAGGAAGGGCTAGTGAGGACTTGCGTGTGATAAGATGAAAAGCTTACAATGAGCTTAATGGATATTGATCATGTTCGAATGTGGTCTATTGTGATGGAAGTTGTTGCTTAGCATGTTAGTTATACTTTGTATTGCAGGATTGAATGTATTCTTATTTATGATGTTCTTTTTGTTATTTATGTTGCATTGCATATACATTACATTAATCAAGTTGAGTGCCGATCTGTACAGCCAACCAGTCAGCCATTGTTTAAGCTTACGCACCACGCCCTCTAAAATGCCAAGCATAAGAGCAGTCTCGATTCCACTTCGGCCCGGTAGAGGCAGTGCAGGCAGGCAAACACACTCACACTGATAGTATACACGCGTATATCTATAGTATCTGTATGCACGCTTAATTCTGGGCCCTAGTTTGAGCAAAAACAGATGGCAGTGCGATGATGATTCATTGTTATCTTAAAAGATGGGGACATCGCCAAGAGAATTCATATAAACAGCAAAAAGACGGGGATACGGTCGAAAAAGTGCTCTATGAAAGCTGAATGGAGATGTAACTGTGGTACTGGTTCCCTTTTTTTTTATTGACTCATGACTTAAAATTTTAAATCGACTTATATCCTCTTTTTTTTATTATTAAGACCATACTGAACAAATATTTATCTCATTCTTATTCATTTTTAGAGGTTTTTGGATACCATAGAGCTAGAAACGATCCCTCCGATATCAATTGTAAAACTTATTAGAACGTACTTTTAAACTTCTTGACTTTTTGTTCAATTATTTATACAACTTTCTAATTGAATCTTCCAGTATATCATCAATTTTTAATTTACCTGATACCTTCTTAATTAAGTTTTGATTGATAAATTTGAAGTTTCAGAGAATTTTCCCATCTCTGCTTCTTGCTCTAACTCATGGAGGACATAATCATAGTGAATGATTCATTACTCCAAGTTTATAACTCTTAGTTTTATACCTTGAAAACTATATAATTTAAAAGAATGATATATTTTATTTCTGTAATTCCACATCTATAAGATATAGTCTTCACGGATGAGAAGAGTCACGAGTGTAGATCTTATTATTGATAAGCAACATTAATCAGTATGCTGGTTGAGTTCAGGCATTCTTTATCATGGATGCGATCGTGCAAATGTGACGTTTGCTAAAACTGTTACGATTTAGAGGTGTGTTATACACGAAAAAAGGTACTCATCGATCAATTCACATTTCTATTCTATTCGCAATCAGATTTCTTATTTTACCTTATCGAGGCGATCACGGCATGGAAGAAAATGCTTTAAAATGAAATTTTTGCGTATAATAAATTATGATACAATGTTCAACAATGATGATGGAACGAAGGAAGGTTAGAGGGTATGCATGACAGTGGGCAGAATGAATTCTCATTGTGCAGATGACAGAATTTGACGCTGATGAACACAGAGGCAAGCAAGCGAGTTAGGATCAGAATCCTAAACTATCTGGATGTCAAGCCTGAGACTTCACTCTGACTCCTACGCATGGATTACCTAAGCTGTCGTATCGTGTAAGAGAGGTGATTGTGTTTGTTTTGTCTATTTCTAAAGACCAAGTCCGCGATTTCGTAGCATTGTACGTACGTCTCCCATTCCGTTCAAGTTACCCATAGCAACGACGGAAGATTGTCCACTTCCCAAAACGTTCACACTTGCATTTTCAGGTCGTAAAACACGTCTAGCAACTCTTGTCAATTGTTCCAAATCAACTTCATCAATCTTTTCACACATCTCTTCTACGCTTACTCGCCTTCCGTGCACTTGTACTTGTCTTCCAACATCTTCTACTTGAACAACACGACTTTCTAATGCCATCACCAAGCTACTCTTTAGTTGATTCTTTGCCCGTTGCAATTCTTGTGCTTTGATCGATCCTGTGACACCGGGAGAGCAGACTAGATTCAACTCGTTTGCGATGATTCCGGGAATGTGACGATTGAAGCTGGGATCCACACTTGCTGCAATACCAAACAGACCAGAGTCAGCATAGCAGTGATGGAAAGCAGCACAGAAATCAACGGCGTGATGTTGGTTGAGAACGTTGCTATACAGACGACTGTACATTCCTTTACCAGGTCCACCTGCACTAAACGAGCCACCACCGCCCAAAAGCATTTGAAGGGTAGCCAAAGCATAGATGTCGTCATCTCGTATAGACAGTCCTTCGAATGCGACGTATAAATGTGTAAAGTCCATATCGCCTCGTTCTTCATACAATTCTCCGCCTGTGTATAGAGCTTGGGCCTGTGCAACTTCTGCCTGGGTAGGATAGACTTGATCGGATGCATGCTGAGCGTTCAATTTAGCTGCTGTGGAGAAGTCAGCACTTTGAGCGACGGAGGATGCTGTGGATGCCGAAGAGACAGAAGATAGCAAAGATGAGATGCTGTTGCTTCTACTTGAAGACGATCTGCCGCTACTACTGCTACTTGCGCTGGCAGAAGCACTATCTGCTGAAGAATTTCCTGTCAAATGTCCAAACAAGGATTCTACTCTTTCCAGCAATGCTTGATGTTCAACTCCTGCTCCTGCAACAACGATACGTTCGGGCGTAAACCAAGCTTGACGGAAGTTTTGTAAATTTTCAGAAGTCATCACTTGCAGCGATTCCATAGGACATAAGAGAGGATTTCCGAGCGTTGCATTGTTGTAGGCGACAGAGTGTAGCATCTCGGGAATAATCATCTCAGGTTTATTCCAAATCTCATTGATCTCCCAAGCAGCTGCTTCTTTTTGTTCCAACAATTCTTCTTCCGTCAATCTTGGATTGAGAACGGTATCCGAAAGAATAGATAAAACGTCGGAAACACTGTGACCGTAAGTTGCTGCTTGATACATGATTGTTTCACGCGAAGATGAACACATGATATTTCCGCCTGCTTTTTCCATATCGCGAATCATTTCATCTGAAGATCTCTGAGATGTACTCTTGAATGCCATACGATCGATCAAATGACTTACGCCACTTTCACCTTGAATCCAAGGACGTTCAAATCGTGAACCTGTATCGATATAAATTCCCAAAGAAGAAAAGTGTCCTGGTGTTCCATCTGTGGCAACACGAACGCCGTTTGGCAAAGTGCTAACAGAAACGAGGGAGGAAGAAGGAACGTGAGATGAATACTGCTTCTTGAAAGGGTTCAAAGGAGAAGACAATTTCGATTGCCTTGGCTTTTGCATTTGTGCAGCACTTGAAAGTGCTTTGGCAGCTGAAGATGCGGATATCGTCATATTACGACTAGATCCACTACTCCTTGTCGCCGCTGAAGCGGAAGCCAATGCACCTTGACTTGAAGGTGGTAATCGCATATTGACGGCAATCGTCTTTTGATGATGATGATGACAATTGTGAAATAAGCTTTTAGTCTCTTGAATCCAGGACCTTTTTCGCGCGACATCGGCTCCAAGTGATCTTCCGCCAGAAGTCAAAGGAGGAACGGCTAAATTGACTCTTTAAAAGCAGCACGTAATTATTAAGAAATTTTAATCAGTCCCCGAATCCCGATAAAGGCTTATACGCGTAGTAAGATCCACTTCCTAGTCATGAAGATGCATTCATTCATACATCCCTGACGATCATCTCCATCTATTCATTCTCAACACAAAAATGGCCGATAAAGATAATGCAAATCCAGTTATTCATGCACAAGCACAAAAATCACAAAGGATAGACGATTCAGCAAGAACGGAATGGTGGCGAGATGTTGCATTGACGGGTAATTCGATCAATACAAATTCTACAAAATCATCTTTTGCCACTTTGCCGGATTATGATTCTGGATATGCAGAATCAGATGATTACGATTTGGCGGCAATTGATGAAAAGAACGCTGCCGATCCATCAAATAAAATTGGAGAGAAGGATGTGATCGATTCTGAAGAAGTTTTCGATCTCGTACGTTCAATATCCGATCCTGAACATCCTCTATCATTGGAACAATTGGCAGTGGTAAATGTTGAGCATGTCACCGTTGATGAAGGTGACTCCGTTACACACAAACCACCAACAGTATCTATTGCTTTGACACCAACTATCCCACATTGTTCAATGGCAACACTGATTGGTCTAACTGTTCGCGTTCGTCTCTTGCGTGCTCTGCCTTCACGATACAAGATTGATGTACGGGTTCGACCAGGTACACATCAATCAGAGAACGCAGTCAACAAACAACTTAACGACAAGGAAAGAGTGGCAGCCGCTCTGGAAAATCAGCATCTTCTGGGCGTTGTATCAGATTGCTTAGCAACTGCTGGAAGAAGAGGAGCTTCCGAAGAAGAAGCTCTCAAACGAGCAGATGAATTGGCTATTGAATTAGGCTTGACTGCCTGAACACCTTTGTTATATTTCACCATGTATTATACACTGTTTAGATGATTGCAATTTGTACAACTTTTCAAAAGCGCAAAAGCAAAGAAAGTTGAAAAGGTAAAGAAGCATCGGTAACTGTAATTTCATCACCTTCCTCTAATCCTAAAGCAGTCAAAGTTTTGGCAAGATTCGGTTCCGTTGATGCACGTAAAGAAGCTGGTGCTTGAAAGAATAAAGGTCCTTTTGGTCCTGATAACGAAGGTCGTTTCAGTTGTAAATCTTGCGTTTCCGCCAAATGTTCCAAAATACGTTCCAACGTCCAGTCTGATGTGCAATTCAGATCCCTTGCTTCACCTCCACAGACTGGACATTCTGGACGCTTTTCATGTTCGAAAGTGTAAGCATAAACACCATCATTGCCGGTGTACATCATATAATTGTTCAAATAGGGGGCTGCAGTTGTGGCGATCTTGAAGGCTTCTTGTGTACAAGCGGCAGCAATGATTGCATTTGTTGATGCGATTGCAGGAATGATATTCTTCACGACACCTTGTGTTAGACTCCAGGTAACACCTTCAATATTGAATTCTTTTGCACGCTTTTGAGCAACATCCAATAACCATTGAATCGTATCGGGATCATCTTTGTCCATCTTCTTATCGCCAAATACACGAGGCCATTCCAACACGCTTGCCCATTCTATGCAATGTTCAGGTAATCGTGGCGTATTGGCGATTGTGCAAATCGGAAAGACGGTCTGACGATGTAGCATGTCCAAACTGCATTCGTAACAGCTGGTGATCGTAGGCAGAATGACTCTTGATTGACCTTTGAAGCCTTCTGTTCCACCATCAATGAGAGGCTTAAGCGATTCAGAGTTCTCTTCATCGACCATATTCACCAACGTTGCATTGATCCATCTTCTAGCTTCAACAGAATCCAAACCACAAATGATAATATTGAATTGCATATAATAATCTTCATCTTTATCTTGAATCTTTCCATGGTATGGTGTAACTTTGACGCCCTTTACTCGATCCATAACGAAAGCAGCAGCAGTTTCTGCTTTTGAATTCCCGACGTCTTTTTCTCTAAACAAGAATTGTCTGTTCAAATTTGAAACATCGATTGTATCCATATCAATGATATGTATATCAGCAAATCCGCTCAATGCTAAATTTGTCAAGATTTCACATCCTAATCCACCTGCCCCAATTACGAGAATTTTGCATTGTGTTCGTAAGAATTCTTTGACAGTCGTACCTGCTGCGAATGCTTCATCTGTTTGAGGACCTGGTCTATCTAAGATCTTGTCAACGTGAGCATAACGATGAAGGGGTAACCTTGATGAAGATGCAACGGCGGCCATTTTGCAATAATGATGGTTAGGAATGGGAAGGAGTGTTCTCGGACATAAAGGTACACGAATTATTCTTAGATTGGGTCGTGCGTGCATGAGCGTGTGCGTATAAGTGGATATCCCCGCTAATTCAGAATTCATTCGTGTGATCTAATCACTGGATCTTGTAGTGAGAACGCAAGATAAATACGATCAAAGATGATCAACTTCAGACTAATTCGACTGTAGTGTCTAGCAAGAGAGTGGGAAATGACCTTTTCAGATTCACTGTCATCTGTCACCATTCTCAATCTGTCTTCTGACATTCCAATGAAGGAATTCTTTCCTAATCAACCTTTCCTCACCCACGAATTCCACCTGTAAAGCCATTCTTTGCGGTGAAGATTGGCACAAATCGCATCATATCAACCACTACTTCCGTGCATCTTCCACAGATACCACCACATCATCCGTTTATGAACTAGACACGTATATTCTATTTCGTAACACGATCGTATGTTACACCTCTTACTGCACCGCCACCCAGGCTTCGCTTTACATTGTTAACGAACTGTGTGCGATCTTTCCGAAGATCATCAGCAGCCTCTGAAAAGATGAAGAAAGGTGTGAGTATTTCTGCCTTTTTAAAACTGCAATTCTTCTTGCTCACCTTTGTTCAATGGATCATCAGCATTTGGTTCTAGGAACAAATACTGTAGTCCGACCATGATCGAATTCAAGTTCAAGACCGGTTTCCAATCCTCTCGCAAAATATTCAAGCAAACGTTTCCCTCCAAATCTACGTTAGGATGATATATCTTTTGAACGCATTTCACCTTTGGCGGTTCATGTGGATAATTGTTGTTTACTGCAAATGTGAATTTAAACGATCCTGCTTTGTACATTCCTTCGTCCGGTTCGATTGTCAAATTGAAATTTAGAACGTCCGCTGGGTCTGGAAAGTCTGTTTTCATTGTGTTTGGTAGTTCCATTTCGGTTAAATCTTTAATGGAGGAGGAGAGGTGCACATGGTCAGCCGCCAGCTTCTATGGCTGCCTCATTCAAATGAAACCTTTTTTTACTCACCTTTCTGCACTCTCAATTGAGCCGGGCTGGTCTTTGGCTTCTTCTTCTTTGCCGTTTCTTCATCTTTCTTTAAACTCCACACTTTAAGCATGGTTATAATTGATTGTAGTGATGATGTGTGCGTGAGATTTGTAATGTTCCTCCTCGCCGATCACTTCTTCGCGTCAATATTCCCTCAAAGTAATCGAATGTCTTCCCTTGTACGAGCTCTATGTTGCAATTGATGTAGGTGCTTGTGATGGCAAAAGTGAAAGAAAGTCTTGATAACCAATCTCTAATAATAAAGCACACTTGCAGCAACAGCAGCAGCATCTACTCGGGGTTGGAACGCGTAAAGAAGGCTTAGAAGTGAAGTGAAGCCAAGCAAAGCCAGCCCCAGGGCGTTCGAGAAAAATGGTTGATCATCAATTACGCTAAGCCTGCATCCTTCCTTTGTTTCTAGTACATGCTCTTTTACTTCATGCTCTCCATCAAAACGTTCCTTTGTTTTAAACTATGGTTAGGATGAGATGGAATTAGATAGACAATCTTCACTACCACCTCCTTCTCATATTCAATCTCAAGGCCTTATCATCACTGCTGCTAGTCTTCTATTCTTATTCTTCGGTCTATTCTGCCTGTTGGGTGGAGTGGAGAGTTTATTCAACTACAACACATCCAACGAGGAAGCAATCTATCTGGCTTGGCCATTTTCACTTTTCTACTTCTGGCCTCTAGTGATTCCATTGGGTACCTACTTCACTATCGCTCGCTGGACAGGATACAAGCACTTTCGACATGCATAAAAAGGTATAATCATACAATATGAATGTAATCGTTTACGGAACCTCTTGTCTGCCAACATTGGCATCGACGACATCATTGCGTTATCTTTGCTCGGCAAAGGACATTAAATCCCGCTCTATCATGAGCAGTAGCAAAGTACAGCAGCAGCAGCAACTACAGACAAACGGTAATAGTACGACAAATGATGCACCAATTGCCCCATCTAACTCTGTTCAATCAACTCAAGATTCAGGAAATTCAGATTCTGTGGACATTACAGAGTTGCAAAACATAGATCTAAATCAGTTGCTTTCCTCAGCAAGCGGTTCATTCAAAAATTCAATCAAGACGAAGCGATCCTTGAGAGAAAAGAAAGCGTCCCGCAAAGCTGTCAGACGATTGCGCCTTTTACAGATACGGGCATCCGAATCTACAAGTAAAAGTGAACAAGAGAAAACTTTGGCATCAGCTTCAAAAATCTTAAATGAATTGCTGACATCGAAAAATGAGCAAAGAAAAAGACCGTCTTCTACAAACAATTCGTCAAACAATAATCAGCCTTCGCCGGATGATACGAATGAATGGAGAAGAGCAATGCTTAGACTCTTTTCCATCTTTCGCAATGGCAGTTCGAATGAATTTTCGCTGGATTATAGGGCCGGTCATGCAAAAGAACGATTCACGTTTGAGCACACAGATTCAAGATATACCCAAAAGAGTGATAATTCTTCTACTGCTACACAGGGGAACGAGGACAGCTTCTTTAACCCCAATCTTAGTAAGCCTGCAACCAGCGATAGGATTACAAGAGCTTTATTGAATGCTCACGTTACCGAACAAGCACGTCAATCACAGCCAGAGACGTCTTCAGACGAGAAGACTTCAGTCGGAATCAAGTCTGTCCCCGGTTCAGCAAATGCAGGATTTATTTCCATGTTCTCGTTTGAGAAAACGGAGATGCGGTACCCACCAGCAGATAGATATCCTCCGCCTATACCGATGATACGTGATATAAACATAGAAATAGCAGCTACAGCTTTTGGTCTCAATCGAGGCTGTGACGTTCATTGGGTACAAGGAAAGAGCAACGATCACAGTGATGGAGTAGAAGCTGGAGGAGCATGGCGAAAGATTATGCATGGCCCTGAGTATTTCGTCCAACATATGCATTCAGATCGTATGGATAGCGGTCAAGGATTGGAGTATCTTGGTGATTCTGTTGTAAATTTGGTGTCGCGATCGCTCATCCTTGAAAGATTTCCGCGTAGGTCGATGGCATTGTATAATTTGGCTGTTAGTTGGCTTGTTTCGAATGATGTATTCGGACACATTTACGTCGATGCAGGTTTGGCTGAAGAAAGGCAATTTATCGCAGATGTTCTAATGCAACAAAGCAAACAACATCAACTCGAACAAATGCGACCAATCTTGACGACTGAACAATTTCAATTACGCAAAAATGCTCCTTTACCTGCATTACAATTACCTGTCATTCATCATCTGAAACAAGCAGATTTATTCGAAGCGTACGTTGGTGCTGTTTATCTAACATTTGGATTTCGCAAAGCCTCCGAATGGTGTTCGGGTTTATTCGAACCTTGGCTTGATCGCATCGCACGAACGAGGGATTTCTTGATTCCAAAGCATTTCTCTCAAGCTGGTGAAGTACAAGCACGGATTGAAGAACGGATACGTGAAGAACTTAGAAAGGAGTACGAACAACAATATCAACAAAGCAAGCAAGATGGAATCTTCGCTTCTGCTGGTAATTGGTTCCGGTCTACTTTTGGTCCAAATAAGGGAAATTCTAATTGATGATGCAATCAATCTTTGCTATGTATTCTATTCATTCTTCATAAGCAGCAATAGAAAGGGAAATTTAAGGAAGAGCACGAAAGATGTATAATACAAGTGAAATAAGTGATTGTGCTTTTAGCGAGTGTAAGAATTGTATAAGCTGATATCATCTCCCCCATCTGCACCAGCAGCATCAGCTCCGTTTAGAGGTCCGCTGCAACCTTCAAATGCATTTCCGTTCTTGTGCGCATGGCCGTTGCCATTTGCCGCTTCCATGCCAAAGACGGAACCTCCGTTAAGAGCACCCGAACTTGGACGACGGCTTACCAAAGGATCATTTGCTGTTTCCATGTTCACATTAACGATTGTTGCAGCCGTTTTTGACTTTGCATTCTCGCTACGTAAACTTTCCAAATGAGCCAAATAATCTTCCGTTACATTTGTGACGTATTTTCCATCAAATACACTGCATTCGAACTGTTTAATGGAAGGGTTCAGGCTGTGTACTGAATCAACAAGGTCAGGCAATGTTTGGTAAATCACCAAATCAGCTTGAATTTCTCGTGCAATTTCTTCGTCCGTTCTTCCATGCGCAACCAATTCACGTCGGGTTGGCATGTTGATACCATACACATTTGGATGACGAATTGGTGGAGCGCAACTTGCCATGATCACTTTTGTTGCTCCTTTATCACGAGCCATTTGAACGATTTCTCGTGATGTGGTTCCACGAACGATTGAATCATCTACCAACATGACCGACTTTCCAGCAAATTCGATCGCCATTGCATTCAATTTACGACGAACATTTTTGCGTCTCAAAGCTTGACCAGGCATGATAAACGTTCTTGCAATGTATCGATTCTTTACGAAACCTTCGCGATAGGGCAAGTTGAGTCTTTGAGCAACTTGAAGAGCAGCAACACGAGCCGAATCCGGTACAGGCATGATGACATCAACCTTTTCTCCGCGATCTGCTAGCACTTTGCGAATGTTTTCTGCCAATTTATCTCCCATTGCCATTCTTGCTTGGTAAACACTAATACCATCGATTACCGAATCTTCTCTGGCTACGTAAATGTGCTCAAAGATATCAGGTGCGAATGTTTGACCGGGTGCCAAGACTCTACGTGATACGGCTGTTTTTGTGATAATGACAGCTTCACCAGGTTGAACGTCTTCAAAATCTTCGAAGCCGAGAGCATCACAAACGACAGATTCGGATGTGAAACAATAGTCACGTCCTAGACCTGCACGAGCACTATTGTTTTCCCCTTCCGCCTTTCGAGAGCACATTCCCAAAGGACGAATACCATTCGGATCACGGAAAGCAATAATACCAAAACCAGCAATCATGGCAACACAAGCATATCCGCCACTGCATTGTTTCATCAAATCCCGAATGGCGGTAAAGATATCTTCTTCATTGATACGGAATTTACCTGTCTTTTGTAGGTTGTTTGCCAAAATGTTCAACAAGACTTCCGAATCACTGTCTGTGTTAATATGACGATGAGCGTCTTCGTCAAGGAAGTGACGTAATTCGTCCGTATTTGTCAAATTACCATTGTGTGCAAATACGATACCGTATGGAGAACCGACGTAAAATGGTTGAGCTTCAGCATGATTTGAAGATCCTGCGGTTGGATAACGTGTATGACCGAGAGCCATATTACCCAAAAGACGTGAGAGCGAGGCAGGAGTGAAGACATCCCTCACCATTCCGTTTGCCTTGCATTGGTAAAATCTACCTCCAGGACCGCAAGTAACGATACCTGCCGCATCTTGACCACGATGTTGAAGCAAAGATAGAGCTTCATTGGCTTCAGGAGCGGCAAGAGCATTTTGTTGAGCCAATAAAAGGGCGATGATGCCACACATGATGACAGCGATCCCCTTGGGAGAAGGTGTATGATGGGAAAAGAATGGTGACCACAGGTTGGTGGATACCATCAGCCCTTTAAATTTATCCCAGACTTCGGCTTAATTTTATTCTCAATTTTAAATTTTTTCTGCTCTTTATTCAAGCGCGTCACGCGTGTATGCTCTTGTTATTCTATACATTACTGGCCTGTATCTTCTTGAAAAATTTATTTGGAGGGTTTGACTCTAAGAATAATAGGCCCTAGGGTGGTGACTCTTTTCTTTATAAAGTCGGCGCATTACGCTGAGCGTGGATCGTATTGTTGTAACAGCGCACGCACTGTACACACTCACACCCTACGCACGCATACACGCCCGCTTTTACCGCTTGTTGCCCAGCATTAAAATTTTTGCTCTTGATGCACCCGCACGCACTAAAGAGAGCTCAGGCCATAATGCCGCGGGCGATAAAGAAGGTTTTTTAAGAAGTGAAGCATTAAACACTACTCTCTCCTATTCTCATCATCGGCAATCAAAATATTGTGACCGATTCAATTGTAAGGAAATGACAACGGAGATCGGAAAGGCAAATGGAGGCGGAAAAGAGGAGGCAGAATTGAGTAAAACTTTGGAACAGGCTCAATTAAACGGAGGTTCTAATGGTGCAGCTGCTGATGGAGGTGAAAGTGATAATGAAGATGACGAAGATGCAGCAGGAGCAGAAGGTCAAAATGGAAGCTCAGCCTCAAAAAAGAAGAAAAAGAACAAGAGTGGATCAGCGAAGAAGAAGGCTAAAGCATTACGTGCTGCTGGGGTATCATCAGTAAAGCAAACTGAACCTCCATCAATCGGATTGAGCAAAATGTTCGTTGATGGTTGCTATCCAGTCGGTGAAATGCAAGATTACGATGAGAGTAAATTTGACGAGAACCGCAAACGGGAAACTGAAGCAGAAAAGAAAGAGAGATACCGTCTTCTACAGGAAGGAGAAGGCAACAGTCTGGACAACATCCGCCGTGCAGCTGAGGCACACAGACAAGTACGTCAATATGCACAAAAAGCCATTAAGCCTGGTATGTCAATGACGGATATCGCAAATATGATCGAAGATGGAGTACGAACAGTGGTTGAAGCTGAAGGAATGGAGCGTGGTATCGGTTTCCCAACCGGTTTGAGTCTGAATGAAGTCGCTGCACATTACACACCAAATGCTGGCGATAAACGTATCCTACAAAGTGGAGATGTTTTGAAAGTGGATATCGGTATCCAAGTCAAAGGAAGAATTTGCGACTCTGCTTTCACACTCACATTCGACGAAAGTAAGAAATGGGATCCTCTCTTGGATGCAGTTCGTGCTGCCACTAATGCAGGTATTCAAGCATCTGGTATTGATGCTCGTCTAGGAGAAATCGGTGCATCGATTCAAGAAGTGATGGAAAGTCATGAATTCGATGTTGACGGAAAGACACAACATGTCAAATGTGTTCGTAACTTGAACGGTCACAGTATTGAAAAGTACTCTATTCATGGAAAGAAGAGCGTACCGATTGTTGCAGTTCCAAACCTAGACACAAAGATGGAAGAAGGAGAATACTTTGCCATCGAAACTTTCGGTACCACCGGTCGCGGAGTGGTTGTAGACGCAGGCGACTGCAGTCACTATGCCCGTCGTGGAAACCCAAATCATTCCAACTTCCGTGTCTCGAGTGCAAGACCGCTCTTGCATGCGATCAACAAGCATTTCGGAAGTTTGCCTTTCTGTCGTAGATATTTGGATCGTGTTGGTGAGAAGAATTATTTGTTGGGTTTGAGACATTTGGTACAATTGGGAGTCGTTCAAGATTATCCCCCATTGACAGATATTCCTGGATCTATGACTGCACAATTCGAACATACAATCTTCTTGGGACCATCCAAAAAGGAAGTTGTCTCTCGCGGAGAAGATTATTAATGACTGTTTTATAATCATTACTTATTTATTCAAAAAGGAATTAATTTACCTTATCATTCTGTATACTTCTTGACTTCAATCGGACAACTCTTGTAATTCATAAGCAGAATTGAAGTCTATCTACTGTTTCAATCTTTCTTAAGCAGTTGATATACAAGTGATGAGAAAGAGAGATGCTCAAGCTTATAAGATGTGATCACCTCCGTTCGGTTGCAGAGATCAACTTTATATGAGTTGTGGCGTGCACTCTGATATATGCCTCAATCTCTAATGTAATGTGTGAAATGATTAATTATCAAGGTCGAAGTATGAATATATGAGATATGATTACAATTTTGTCAATTCATCCTATCGCACAAAAATCATTGCGCGAGGCAGGAGGATGACGCCCAATTGCCGATCCGCTTAAGCCTGAACTTGAGCGTTTGAGCATGTGCATGGGTTGCAATCGCAACCTTGAGGCTTGGAAGAACATTGACAGCTTGAAACTTTTTCACCTGAAGGTGTTTTGCCACATGTGCATGTGTCGCCGCATTGGCATGATGTGCCACAGCCGCAAGCTGAGGTTTCTTTGGTTTGTGTGCAAGGGCACTATGGTGAGGTAAGAGGGAGATTTGGGTCAGCATACATGTGTGGAGAGCAATGGTAGCCATAAAGGCAATTAGATGGAGAAGTACTTACGGCCATTGTTAAAAGAATTGAAGTTTGTAGATTGGTTGTTTGCTAAGAAGCTTATGATAATTGCTCGTTGAGTGAGAAGATGATGGTGAATGAGAAGAAATAGATGTCGCACGAGGGCTCTATTTATATCTTTTCTCTACCAGATGCAGATTTTATTTTCACCTGTCATGCAGGTGTGATAAGAAGCAAATGAGGGATTTTCGCGAAGGCACTTCAGCCGTTGATGAGCTATTTTTTCTCGCCTATTCCATTTATGAGTTACTTTTTTTTTGCCTTTGGTACACTGACGCCACGCGCCCAGGACATGGGTGGAGTCTTAGCGCCCTCACTGAGGTATTTAATTACGTTGCTAAAATGACTCAACTCCACTTAAAATGCCTCAGACACAATCTTAATAATGCACATGTGCGATATTTTTGCGATACATAAATTCTCGCATATGAAGAGGATTAATAATGGATTACTACAACCTTTCATCCTTTTGAGTACAGCTGACATCATCTCCCCACCTTTTCCTTCTTCACCCTTCCCTTTAATTATTCGTACCTTGACCGGACATTGGTGTTGCTGAGCCTGCCTCAGACACATTGCCAGACGTTGGAGCTGTTTGCGGGGTTGGCGCACTTGATAAAGATGTTTGTACAGATGCGGAAGAGGGAATACTTTGTTGATGTTGATGAGCATGATTGTTACCGCCATGTTGCTGTAAGTTTGGAATGCCATAAGGCTGATGATTTTGATATTGTTGGGACATGTGATGTTGTGGATGATGTTGATGGTGTTGTTGTTGATGTCGGATCACAGGAGATGGTCCTGCGCTAGGAGGAAATGGTTGACCGTACGGCATTCCCGGCATCGGTTGACCCCCTCCTTGTTGATAGTACATGTGTGGCGGATGTTGTCCTTTGCCACCTTGCATGTGAGGTGGACCTCCTGCTTGTCCTCGCATATGACCATGCGCACCAGGCGGACCTCCTGCTCCAGGAACAGACATCATATTTTGCATTTGTGGACTATACATTCCACCTGGAGCTCCAGCAGGAGGCATTGGCGGCGAAAATGGCATTTGACCCATGAATTGAGGGTTCATATATGGACTTGCACCCAAATGTTGCATTGGTTGTTGACCATGTTGCAATCTATACGGTTGATATTGCATGTACATCGGCTGATTCAAGGAAGGCTGACCACTGTGCTGTGCCACGCCACCTTGATTGTGCTGGCCCATATGCGGTGTTCCTGGAATACTTTGTTGGATTTGGTGAGGCCCACCATGAGGCAAGTGAGCTTGATGGGGAGGAAGTCCAGCAAGATGAGGTGGGACTGCTTGTTGACCAACCATGTGAGGAGGAGGTAAGTGAACACCTGGTGGTAGACCATTACCACCCAAATTCAGACCTGGACCACTCGTCACGCCACCAGGTTGACTCGGGTTAGCATGTGGCGTATGAGGAGTTTGCTGGCTACTGGATGCTCCATCATCAGCAGGAATCACATGGAATAGGTCTCTATAGGGTTTGCCGGTAAAGTCCCAAGTGGATCCAACAGTTGAAGGCTCTGGCACTTTGCCTGTTTTGAAAGGGCTGAATTCCTTTTGTACATGCAATGGTTGAGCCGGTTTCTTGATAACCCGGTTACCAAAGAATGGATTTAGAGGCGTCTCAGATCTGATGACTGGAGGTGGGCTCATTCCAAATGAAAGATCTTGTGATGGACGTGGTGCAGCACTGTTGTTGGCAGGCACTCCAGGTGTGAAACTGGCAGCATTTGGATTGAAAGGCTTGAAACTGCTGGCTTTAGCGCTCATCTTGAAAGACGATTTGCTTGAAGCCGCATCCTTGCTCGGCCCAGCAATATTGGCGGTTGCTTCTTTCGTAGTACCAGCTGCAATCTCATTCAAACCTGCTTGACGAGTGCGCGATTTCGATGCATCGAAAGGAGGAATAGCTGGAATTGTCATCTTGGCCAACATAGCCTTTGTCTCGGCCAATCTTGATGGTGCCGGATTGACAGAAGATGTAGCAGAGGGACGACGCTCAGCTAACTTGCCTGCATCATTCGTACTAGCTTGTGCTGTTGTCGGAGCAATGCCAGCATTCGTTGGACTATGCTTAGCAGAAGCACTTCCGCCATTATCGTTAGCGTTTGCAGCCTTTTGAGCATTGGCAGGCGTTGGACTGAGACTTTTTTGCAAGCTAGGATCTCGAGGCATTTCACTAGCCTGAGGTGCTGCTTTGACATCCTTTGCAGTTCCTGGTTGTGCTTGTGAAGCTCCAGCAAGATCTTTGGGAACGGGGAAGCTTAGCTTGAACTTATCACTCCAGCTTCTCAAATCAGCCAACTTGTTGTCCTTTTCTTGCTTAGCCAAAGCAGCCTTTTTACGTTCTGCTCTCTCTCGTTCTTGAGACACGAATTGACGGAAATCGCCTGTGGCATCCTTATTTTGCTGTTTATCAGCAGTAGCCTTGTCATCCCTTTGTCCACTGGTAGCGGTGATCGCTGTTGAGTTGGATGGCGCAGTTGTGACGATAGCAGGTGTTGCAGAACTATTCAGGCCATCACCTTCGACTGCATTGGAACCATTCATACGAGCAGTTGCAGAGGCTGAAGCGGTGGCAGCGGCTGCAGCTGCAGCAGCACGACGGGCGCCAGGAGGAACATAAGCATTCGTACCTCGAACGACGGCACCGTACTTGTCCTCCTCCGTTTGAGCGGTTGCACCATCAGCGTCGACAAGGTTACGCTCTTCGGCAATGTGCGAATTGCTTGCAGCAGAGGACATGATCTCTTTCGCCAATTGATCTGCCTTGCGTTCGCGATCTTTGTAGTCTTTGCCAGATTTGTCTAATTTGGTTGTATACAAGGTCTCTTCGTAATTGGATTTGATACCAAACTTTGCTTCATTTGCTGCGAATTGATCCCAACCGCCCAATGCATTACCGGATGACCCGCCCGTAGATTCGAGCGCCATATCCGTATCTGCATCTCCTACCCACTTTTGCAAAGATCTCTGGTCGAACACTTCGCCAGAATTGGAGATTTGTGTATCCGTTCGGAAGCCAAGTCGTTCTGCATGGCTCATGGTTGGTTGTACATCTAAACCTACTTCGCGAGCTGCGATACCGGCAACATCCTCTCCTTTAATGATCAGAATCTTCTGTACAGGTCCCAAGCGATTATCGGGATGAATTTGTTGAGAGACGCTCAAAACGACTCCTGTGCCATTAGCTGAATTGTTATCCGGTACAGAAGTCGTTTGCAGGATACCGATATGTTTGTTACCAGAGCGTGTTGTAACGACGACTGTATGACCGATCAGGCCGATTAGCAAATGCAAGGTTCGATCACGCTGAATGCTATCTTCTTCATTCAAACCTGCCGAATGGGCTGCTTTGTTTCCCAATGGTGGAAAAGAGCCAGTCGGTGCAGGAGCTGGTGCTGCTGCATTTACTGTGATTGCATCTCCATTACTGGCAGGACGTGGTGGTTGTTGTTGTTGTGTTTGATTAGAAGCAGCTGCGTTTTGTCCCCATCTAGGTGTGTTACCGCTTGAATGATTGGAGCGCCATGCTGATTGAGCAGCCATTTTGTCTTTGAGCAGATTGGGTTAGGGTGGATTTTAATCCCGGGAGCGAATAAATGCTGACAATAGAAATGCTTGCTCTCCGATAATGAAACGGGAAACTGAGATAAGAGAAAGTTGCCTTGAAAAGCTTGATGGATAAGAAAGTAGATCTTTATTACCTACAATGAATGAATAATTTTGAATTTTCTTGAATCGTATGTCTCACGAGTAAGAATTCTTTGCATACTCTTCTTTGCCTTTCCTTCTTTTGATCCTTCTTGTACAAAGATTTCAGCACAACCTCATACTTCACTTTGCTTGCCAGTACTGTTTAGTTGAATGTACAAGAAGCTGTACGTTGAACAAGAGCAGCGGAGCTTCAAAGTGATGGGCGGTAAGCGATAAGGAGATGAGTGATTGCTAGAATCTTTCATTCGATCCATTCGACGACAAAGACATCACTCGCACGCTCACAAGCACACAAGCACACACACACACACACGAGCACTCATGTACAAACGCACAGGTTAAGCAGCTCTCTGCGTGTGCGCACACTGATAGACTAAAGCAAGCACACATGCAGTTTAATTGCAGAACGGCGTTTGTTAAAATAAAAAGAAGGCGCCCTTTGTGCCGGACAGATGCATGAGAGCACAATATGAGCCGCGTGCGCACAGTCAAGTGCTACAACTACAATCCATTTCACTCTTCCTATCCGCACCATAGCTTTGGGATGGCGAGAACAGAAAACATTCTGGCTATAATGGTAAATGGTAGATGAAATTTGCTATAAGGTTTAATATTCTACAAGTAAAGACCAGCAGGTTCACTGCCTTGCTTCCTATCGATCACACGTTCGCGTGCAGTTGTGAAATCTTTCTTTGTAACACGCATTCTTCGCTCTCGTAGAGCCAAAAGACCCGCTTCAGTTACCAAACTCTTGATATCTGCTCCGCTCAATTCATCCTTCATTGCAACAAATTCTTCCAACTTCACATCTGCATCCAAATTCATTCTACTTGTATGCAAACGGAAGATATGCATCTTTGTCTTTTCATCCGGCATAGGGAATTCAATCTTTCGGTCAATACGTCCAGGTCGAATGAGAGCAGGGTCCAAGCTTTCGATCTTGTTGGTTGCCATGATAATCTTGACATCACTTCTTGTATCGAAACCATCCAATTGATTAAGCAATTCCAACAATGTTCTCTGAATTTCACGCTCACCACCTGAACTAGAATCATAACGTTTTGTACCGATTGCATCAATTTCGTCGATAAAGACAATACTGGGTGCATGTTCTTCTGCCACTCTGAATAGTTCACGAACAAGTTTCGGTCCGTCACCAAGGTATTTTTGAATCAATTCAGATCCAACGATACGCAAGAAAGTCGCCGATGTTTGATTGGCAACAGCTTTGGCTAATAGTGTCTTTCCTGTACCAGGTACACCGTACAAGATCACACCCTTTGGAGGTTTGATACCCATCTCTTCGTATAGTTCGGGATGCGTGAGCGGTAATTCGACAGCTTCTTTGATCTCTTGAATCTGTTGTTCCAATCCACCCACGTCTGCATAACTCTCTGCTGGTGCTTTGTCCAATTTCATCACGCTGACCATCGGATCAGTATCTTCTCCCAAAACGCCGACTACTGCCATAGACTTGTGATGTAAAAGCACAGTACATCCCGGTTCCAATAGATCCTTATCGACAAAGCTCATAATACTAACGTAGTGTTCTGGTCCAGTGGCGCTACTGACGATTGCGTGATCTTCATCGATGATTTCCTCAAGCGATCCTACCATGATTGGATCTCCCCGCATATCATCCACTCTTGATCGTTCTTCCTGTGCTTTATCCTCTTGTGGTTTAAGACGTTCTTGATTTTGTACAAATTCTTCTTCTAGCAGCAAGTGATCTTTGATCCGCTCCAGCTTTAGTAGCTTCAATCTACATCTTGTATTTGGATGAACGACTGGTAGCTTTGTGGCCGCATCTGGTCCACGCTTCTTCTTCTTACCTACTCGTGTAGGCAATGGAGGTTCCCATTTCTTCTGTTGGTCTTTCTGTGAGATGAGTATTGATGATGTATACTGTTAGCAATCATTCGTCAAAATTAATGTGTGCATATTGACTACTTACCTTGTTCTGATCTTTTCCTGGCCTTCCTGCGTTTCCACTTGGTGCTTGACCCATCTTTACTACTTAAGTCAAGGCTGTTGCGATCTATCCTCGGGAAGATCTTTGATGATGGTGCTATCAGAAGTGTACAATATGCTTCTCGAAGGATGAATGACACACACTCACAGTCTGGGCGTGGACGCGCTTACGCGTACGTTTAAGCCATTGCCTGGCCTGAGCTGATTCTCCACAACTTTGACTGTCACGTGATCAAACAGCATAATTTCGACAGATACCAGAGTGCAATGGTATAATTTATTGAATGTCTTTAGAATAAATCATTTAGTTCATTCATATGATCAATCTTTGACTAGTGGCCCTTTTTTGGCTTTTAAAGATCCAGATTAGCCTTTCTAGAACTTCTTTTATATTCAGAACAAAAAAGTGTCTATTCATACCCTCACTTGGTAAAGTTATTGCTCATCTCATCTTATCATACAGATAACAAGCTTAATAGTGTTTCCTTTTATCCATTTTTATTGATTGATTATCATCACTGTTTATTTTGGATAGTTTATGTAATTTTATTTTGCTTGGTACGCATTTATTATTTTTAATGCAGGTTCTCTCTGCTTTAAATCTTTGCGCAAAAGAGCGCAACGCTATCGAAATTTCCAAGCTAGAGGAAGTTAGCCTTAATACAAGCCGCGTACCCGCTTTTTATTACTAAATGCACCATAGGAGAGGTAGCAAGTTGTGCACAATTGTATTTGTTTACGCGGCAATTGAGCAGCGGTAGATCTGTCTGCGCTTCCCTTTGTATGCAGTCAAGCGCCGCACATACAAAATCGGCAAAAAGGCTTTCTTTCTTTACTCAGACTTCATTACCTGATTTTTCTTATTTTTTCTCTTAGCTCTTTTTGTCTCTGGGGTCTGGTAACTAAAAAAGGCGGAAGTCAATTCGGTGAAGAAGGCAGGCAGGGCATTTTGTTGCCGATGATGAACGGAGAGTAAAAGAATGCGTTCCTTAACTGGACAGATTATAGTGCACAGAGGGGTGCATACTATATGCACTTCTTGTCTTTTATTTTATTTTGACATCATTTCTTTTACAACATCATCATCATCGCCACTATCATTGATTTGCGCATTGAAGTTACTCGTATTCCCGAATAATTCTTTCAAAGCTCGCAATCTCGCCCGCATAAATTAAGAGAGGTACGCCGATGATGTATACTCTCTAAATTCCAACAAGATACGAAACCTTTTCGACTTGAATTTATTGTCATGACTATCGAAGATCATTCTTCTCTTGTCAATGGAGGGCAAAATGGACTTGCTCATCGTATTGATGAACAACTTCCAACTGCCTTTCCAAGAAAATCAAATCTTGAATCCATCCCTGCCAAAGTTGAGTCACATGCAAACTCACATGATCAATCCAATGGCATAAATGACCAAGGCACAAAAAATAATGACGGAGAAGATGTCATTATGCAATCAACAGAAGACATGCTTACTCAAGTGAATGGTCAAACAGAGAATTACAATTCGAACGATGTAAATGTCAAGCAAGAACAACAAGATACTGAACACCGCAACGGATCCATCGATACTCCAACAAAAAATACAGATGATCAAAATTCCTCCTTTTACAGCAAATTCATCATGCTTCCATTCAACAATGCCCCTAACGGAGCAAGTTCTGCAGAAGAAATTATTTCAGTGTCCGATCCTATTTTGTCGTCATCCTCCTCCTCTCCTTCGCATCAAACACCGCAAAAGCGTTCCATCAGAAGTACAAGCAGTCAAGCAGCAGATTCAAATGACACAAACAACAATTCAATCCGCGGCGGCGGCAATGCTAATATATCGCCCAATAGCAAATCCATCCTTAATGGAACTTCACCCAAGCGAATTAAAAGGCCAGAGCCAATTTTGTCCCGTAATTTCGCGCCTTTGCCACAAGAAACTCCGGCGCCGCTGCAAGCTGAAGCAGGAGGTAATAATGGGTCAAAGCGTTTAGAAAGGAAAAGTAAGGTAAGTTTTCTTATTTCATTGCGAATCCGCATTCTCGGCTCGCTGTCACCAACACCAAAAGCATACATGTTCATGCTTAATCGTCAAAAGCGTTTAGGATTGAAGATACAATATCTCTTCATATCCTTTACCCTTTTGACGAAGGCTGTGTGATTTAAGCACAATTTCTCCCCGTACTTCATGGTTACACAGCAAGCATTCGTGTGCATTAAAATAAGAAATTCTCCGAATGAATTTTCTTATTTCAAAGTTGTAGACAAGATTGATCTTTCTCGCATTCTGTCATACATCTTTGTTGTTTTCTTTCTGCAAACTTTGCTTTCCCTTCAATATAAATGGTACTAACCCGCCCTTTTCCTGCATTCCCTTTATTCGCTTATCCTTTCTCAACCACGATGCGCACTCGAAAGACGGATGCTTTGTCGGCTATGAACGGTGGCGAATATGCATCAACAAGTGCATCAGATCAAAATCCACCTTTGCCACATCAACATCCAAGTCATAAACCTATAGGCTCTTTATCGTCGATGATGACCCCTTTGCCATTATTTGGAGAAAACACGAACAAGAAAGATGAGCAAAATTACATTCCGACACAATTTAATACGCCAAGATATCCGCCTTCCAGACAAAGAGAACGTTTATTCGAATTGGAAGAAGCGCCAACGTTTTACCCAACTGTGGAAGAATTCAGCGATCCTTTGCGATATATCAAATGGGTTGGTGAACCTGAAGGTGGAAATGGTAAAGCATATGGAATTGTTAAGATTGTTCCGCCAGAAGGTTGGAATCCACCTTTTGCTTTAGATCAAGAACGTTTTCGATTTAGGACACGAGTACAAAAATTGAATTCATTAAGTGCAGACGCTCGAGCTTCACAAAATTATTTGGAACAATTACAAAAATTTCATGCTCAGCAAGGTCATGCTCGGGTTTCAATTCCAATCGTTGATCGTAAACCAGTAGATCTTTATCAACTCAAGCTGGTTGTTAATGCGAATGGTGGATATGATTCAGTCGCTAGACAACGAAAATGGGCAGAAGTGACCAGAAAAATTGGCTATGAAGAGAAGGATTCTGGACATCTTGCAGGACAAATCAAAGCCGCTTATTCTCGAATTATTTACCCATATGAGCGTTTCCTAGAATTAAACAAGGAGAATGCTAAAAGACCTTCTACGACTGAAGATGATCGAAATGGCACACCTGAAGGTGCTGCTTCTCCACCGCTAACCACTCCCTCGGGCGGGGATAATGGTCGAGGCGGCAGCACAGAAGACAAGGGCATGTCAGACAGCGCAAGAAGACGAAGCTCTAGACGCAAAACTGACCCAACAGACGCTCCTGTAGTCTTATCGCAAAGGAGACGATTGCGAGAACAACAGCCAACTCCGCCTCCAGCAGGTACATCGGGTGACTTCTATCTAGCTCCAGGAGCAGAAGAACAAATGTGCGAAATTTGTTTACGAGGAGATGATGGTATGTCGATGCTTTTGTGTGACGAATGCAATCGCGGTTATCATATGTACTGTCTAGATCCGCCATTGACCAGTATTCCTAAATCGGAATGGTATTGTCCGCCTTGTTTGGTCGGAACAGGAAACGATTACGGATTCGATGATGGTGAAACACATAGTCTTTACAGCTTTTGGAAGCGAGCAGAAGAATTTCGATCACAATGGTGGACGAAGTATGCAGCAAAAGATGCAATCTGGACTGCTCCTAATGATAAACCAAATGGAGTCACACGTGCAATTCCAGAAACGGATCTCAAAATTTCCGAAGATGACGTAGAAAGAGAATTCTGGCGTTTGGTTCATAATCCAGATGAGACTGTTGAAGTGGAATATGGCGCAGATGTTCATTCGACAACCCATGGCAGTGCTTTACCTACATTGGAAACGCATCCTTTGAGCCCTTATGCTCGTGATGGATGGAACTTGAACAATTTGCCGATCTTGAATGGCTCTCTATTGCGATACATCAAATCTGATATCTCAGGTATGACCGTTCCATGGGTATATGTTGGTATGATGTTCTCCACCTTTTGTTGGCATAACGAGGATCACTATACCTACTCCATCAATTATCAACATTTTGGTGATACAAAGACATGGTATGGCGTTCCTGGAAGTGATGCTTACAAATTGGAAGACGCTCTACGCAAAGCCGCTCCCGATCTATTTGAACAATCGCCCGATTTGTTGTTCCAATTGGTCACGATGATGAGCCCTGACAAACTTCAAAAGGAAGGCGTGAACGTTTATGCTGTTGATCAAAGGGCGAATGAATTCGTGATCACTTATCCGAAAGCATATCATTCCGGCTTCAACCAAGGTTTCAATTTGAACGAAGCGGTCAATTTTGCCCTTCCTGATTGGATCGAATTGGATCTGGAATGTGTGAGAAGGTACCAGCAATTCAACAGGTTCCCCGTTTTCTCACATGATGAATTGGTCGTAACTGCATTCCAACACAATCAAGGAGTGGATACGGCAATCTGGTTGCAATCCTCTATGCGTGAAATGGTGGAAAGGGAGATCAGCAAACGAGAAAAGATTCGAGAGTCTATTCCTAATATCCGTGAAATTTTGGATGAAACCGATCAACCAGAATTAGAATATCAATGTGCTCATTGCAATTTGTTCTGCTATTTGGGTCAATTGTATTGCAATAAATCGGAAGGTGTTGCTTGCTTGGATCATGGAGAAGAAGTTTGTGGAGATCAGCCAAAGTCGAAATGGACTTTGCGATTACGATATTCAGATGACCAACTTCGAAGTATGCTTGAAAAGACGGATGAACGTGCATCTATTCCCTCAAATTGGCAAGCAAGGCTACACAAGCTTATCACGACTCATGTGAGACCTCCTCTGCGCTCTTTGCGCGGCCTTTTGCATGAAGGTGAAAAGATTTCTTACCTTTTGGAAGATTTGGAGAATTTGAAAGAGTTTGTCGATAAAGCGAATAAGTGGGTGGATGAAGCTACACCTTTGATCGCCCGTCGTCATCAAAGAAGATCAAACGTTGGCGGAAGTCAACGTAGTACGGCAAAGAGACTTTCTTCCAGGGCGGCGACAGAAGAAGATGAAAGCATGAGTGTAGCAAATGAAGACGAGAATGAAGGTTTGGCAACTTCTGAAGATGTTTTCCGTATGGTTCGTGAAGCGGAAAAGTTACCGTTTGATGCACCAGAAATTCAAGCTATTCAAGCAATTTCACAACAAGTTCACGATTTCATCTATGATGCCAGAGCTCTTTTGAAAAAGCTTTCGATACTGCCAAATAATTCAAAAGATCCACATGCACTCAAAGAACGAAAAGAGTTATTCTCGAGATGCGAAGAATTGATTAATTCCGGATTGTCGCTCAATGTTCAATTGCCATACATGGAAGATCTTCAACGACAGGTCGGAAGGGAGAATTGGATCAAAGAGGCTGATAGTATGACAAACACATTCACCGATCTAGATGATATTGAAGCATTCATTGCTGATGGTTTATCGTTTGGTATTTCTCAACATGATGAGATGATGCAAACGCTTTGCCTAACACGAGATAAAGGATTGGAATGGAAACGAATTGGAGAAGAAATGTTGAGACCGGTAACGCAAAAGACCAAATGGCCATGCAAATATACAATCTCGGACGTTGAAAAAGCTATTTTGGCGCCCGCTTCAGTTTCAGTCGTGCCTGGTTTAATGGTCAAATTACAGGCATTGCAAAAACAAATCAAAGACGCTTCTAAATCTTGCACTTCCATCTTGACTACATTGAGGGATTGCAAACGCGAAAGAAGCGAAGCAGAAAGAGAAGGTCGATTTGCAAACATGGACTCATCATTCTCAATGGCGGTCGAAGATGCACAACGCGCTCTTGAAGCAAGCGGATCGATTAATGTCATTGCAGAAAGAGAAGAAGAATTGAAGCAATTGGTAGAAGACTGTATCCGTTTACCAGTCAGACCTATGCATCCGGAACCACAGCCTTACTCTCATCCTCCACCACATCATGGTCGATCTCTGCCGCAAATGCCATACGAAGCGCATACATACGGCTCAGCACATCAACCGCTCATGCATCACGATTACCCGCCTGCCTCATACAGATCTTCGCATCATCATGGTTTGCCTCCACCTTTACACGCACATGGTCCACCGCCGCCACCATCTTATCCTGCCTATCAAACACGTCGTTCTCCATCACCAGCACCCATTCAGCCTCAACACAGCTATCCTCCTTCCATGGGCTTCGGTCGTCCGCCAGCTGCCCCTCCTGTGCAGTACGACATGCACGATGATCCAAACCGGTCGTACATGCAAATCATGGGAGAAGCATCATCGCAAGCAAACAATTCAGGAGACGAAAGTGGCGTGCGTGGCGGAGATGACAAGAAGAGAAAGCGTGGAAAACGTGCTCGATTCGTATTTGAAGAAGAAGTTGGAATCTTTGTGCCGGTAAACGGAGAGCGAATTTTTTGCCTTTGTCGTCAAGGTGAAACTGCCGAAATGATTTCTTGTGATCGTTGTGCGTTATGGTTCCATACCGCATGTATTCACGTCAAAAGTGCTGCCGATCTAGGAGGAGAACGTTGGATTTGTCCAATGTGTTGCGTAAAGACTGAACGTCGTTATCCGTTTGCTGAAGTGAAGGTCAAAGAGATGAATGTGAATGACCCGAATTTGTGGTTGGACGTTCGTGCAACATTGCGATCTACACGTGCACCCGTAAGCAAATTACAACATTGGACCGTTGATGAAGATCGCAGAATTGTTTTGCATCTAGAAAGTTTCTTGCCAGCCACTTTACCAACAAAAGGAGATCGTGGGGATGATGCCAAAAGACATCGTACTGATGATGGTGATGGGTTCGGCGGACATAGACGATCAGGCTCTCAAGGTAGTGCAACTTCCAGTTCCGCAATGGCAAATGCATTGGGAAGCGTTTCGAAGATGCCATCTTGGAATGACGTTCGAGCAAGGGTAACGCCTTTACATCGAACTCCTAATGCTGAAGAGCATGCTGCTCGTTTACGAAAAGAAGCGGAAGAGAGACATCGTCAAGGTATGCAAAATCTATACTCACGCGGTGTGACAGATGCAATGATTCAAAAATGGTTCATTGGATGGAATGGAAAAGAGCTGGTCTATCCGCGATATGATCGAGATGAGACTTATCATGAATTGCCGTTGGGTTCTCGAATTACCTTAGACAAAGACGATCAAGACGGAACACGGTACATGGAGGCTTTGTTGGCTCGTGATGCAGAAGAACGTAGAAGACGAGGTGAACCGCCGATTCTTGCCGTTCCACCAGCCGCAGCACATCCTCAGCCATCACAACTCGCTTCAGCATCAGTGCCTTCCTCATCCAGAGCACCTCCCTTTGCTCAAAATAGATCAGAGTTTTCACAAGCGCAAGCTCAGCAGCCGATGCCACCTTTGAACATGAATGTAGAAGCGTCTCGAAGGATGCCATCGACGGCTTCACCAACGGTAGCATCTTCAAATCTTCATCGAGCCACACTTGCTAAAGACTTTCGAAATTCCACACCACCAGCAAACGCTGGCACGAGAACAGATGGAAAGGATGGTAATACAGCCACTCCACCTACATCAAAATCGGCCGTCAATAAATCTATTTACAGCGTTGCTTCAATTCCTCCTTTCCGAGGAAAGAGTTCAGCTTCACCGAGCCCACATGCGACCCCTCCTAGCAAAGAGATTAAAGTGGTCGGCGAAAGCGATAAAAGGTCGATCTCGGCAAGCATGTCTTCCAATCCAGTCTCGAGTACAAATGTGGCAGTGGTTGCACAATCTCTTCCGAATGTCAACAGAGCACGTACGACCAGTATGAATGATCGAGAAGGTGTGGAACATGAGACGAACAAGAATGCAGCAATGCAGCAACAATCGACTACATCTCATGCTCTTCCAAAGCCAAACGGTCAGATGCAAAATGCCCATGGTATTGACGCACGCTATGAGCGTATCATGCGATCACCGCTGCCATCCCATCATGCAAGAAGCACGAGCGGTGCACCACCTTCACGCATTTCACCCCAGCAATCAGCACCAAGTCTGCCGCAATACACTCCTCAACATGCCAGAGCTTCAGTGCATTCTAATTCTTCGCCTCATTCATCTCCGTACGGATCTATGCGTCATTTGCCGCCTCCACCTCCTGTTCCTATGAGAAATGGTGGAGAAGATCGCGCAGGTCGTCCCTATGCAAATCATTCGCCATCTCCTCGACAAGGATCAATGCCTCATCCGGCTGCAGGCCCTCCTGCACTGTATGTATCTCCACGAATGGACACGAGAAGAGAGATGCCTACACCGAGTGGTTACAATTCTTCGCTAGCAGGACAACATAGATCGCCAAGAGAACATTATCGTGATCAACCTGGATCAGTGTCCGGAAGAGTCTCACCGCCGATGTCAGCACGTCATCCTCTCGGATTACAAGCACAAGACGAGGCACGACAACGTAGTAATCCTTCAACAGTTCGTGGAAGTCCTCTGATGGGCGGCGGTAATAAATTATCTATTTCACCTAGATTGCCAAACATTTATTCGGGTAATTCTGGTTTAACGAGAGAAGATCATCGATCACCTTCTACTTCGCATTATTCTAAAAGATCCAATTCACCACCACCGCCAAAAGATTCTTTGGCTGAAATGCGATTATTAGCAAGAAGGATGAGACCGAATGCGACGGATGAAGAGATTGAAGAGATGGCTAGATTTGCGACGAAATGAATATTTTATTTTTACTTTTATTGTATGTAGTTTTACAGAGATTCTTTAATTCATATCAATTTCTTTTTTTTAAAACGGAGATTCGGAGATCAGTATTCGCAAGTGACAGCTTTGAACCCGTTCAGAATGAGATGATTGTACCTGCATCTATTGTCATCCCACTTATCATTGTTTCAGATAAAAATGGCCGCATTTGCAAAGAAGAGCAAGACAATTGGTTGTCAATCGTATCAAAAAGACAATCAGTTGAGCTTCAATAACCGAAAGCGTGCTTGTGGAAGTGTTTCTACCCGCACGCATCAGTAAGAACGCGTCGCGTCGCGTGTTTCTCTTTCTTTTTTTCTGTCGTCTGAAGCCCGAATTTAAAAATTCCAACAGTAAGGGGACTGATTTTAATTCACTCCGCTAGAAAAGGCAAGTCAGGAACGAGAAGAGAAATGATATATCCCAATAGACTCTCCCTTTACCCACTTTCCCCCTTGCATGCATGTAATTTGAATTGTGCATCTTCCGGCTGTCTGTCTTTTATTCGCTTTGACTTCTTCCATGTCGGTGTTCAGATTTACAACTGTATTTATATGCACAATAAATTCCTTACACACACACTGGTCAATGATGTTACTCCTTTAACAAACTTTATCATGTCTCAAGAAGAGAAACACTATAGATCCCTTGCTCACCTCCCACACTCTCCGAATGAGGAAAGGTAAAAGGCTGTACGGGGATGATGAATAGCGCAATGAGAATTGAAATATAAGCTGATTTTGAAAATCCCCGTTGTGATGAAATGACTCAATGGCAGGTTGACTTTCGGTTTTGCAATCCTATGCATGCCTGCCCTTTTCTTACCCTGCATCACATGTTAGCGGAAGAGGGAATTGAAATGATGATGCATCTAGACACACTCTTGATCAATATGTCGAATGAATGATGTATGTTAAAGCCACACGCTTGTACTTGTACACGCTAATGCAAGAATTCTATGCATACAGAATACAACCACTCAAATCAACGATCCAGACGTTACCAGGAAAAAAAGAACAGATGACGAGGGGATCTTACCTATGAAGATCGGCTGGAAGACGGCCTTTTTGGGATAACATCCGTTGATTGGAATTACATACAGAGAAAAGATTTAAAGTTCAATACCGCAAGGGGCATGCAAGAGTGAGTGAGTAAAGTGACACTGTATGCATCGGTTTCTCTGGGTTCTGGAATTGAATACAACTTTTCTCAATTCGCCGGATTGCCTTCAACGTGCTTCAAAAACGGATAGAGCACCAGTCAATTCTTCACTCTTGATTCTTTTTGCAGATTTGGGAATTGGAGATGAATGCCTGTCAAGATTGACACTCATACTTGTCTGTTACACATCATACCAAAACATCTTCTTGTGCCTTAAAGCCATATCAGGGTCAAACAATCATTTGTACCTGGCTTTTGGGACTTGTGTGTTTTCTCAACTTGTTTGGATACCATCATCCACTTCATCAGCTTTTGCTCTCATCACACCAAAATATGCGATCCTGATTCATCATTACAATCTCAACTGGCTCACTTTATTAGTAGCCCTCAAACATATCTTTGGGTAGAGCAAGTTCAAAATGTCTCGTTCAATGAGCCTTGCCACAGCCGGCTCATCAATGATGGGCAGACGTGAAGAGGTCAACGCACCTACAGAAGGTCACGCAAACGAAGATGAATGGACAGCCTCGCAATGGAACGCACACAAACGTCCAACATCATCATCCAGAAGACCAACCAATGGCTCGTATATTCCATCTTCAACATACGCACATCAAACTCCACCAAGAAGTTCAATGAACTCGTTTGCATCTTCATCATCAGCATTCACGCCTGCACATTTGATGCATTCTCCTTCCATTAGCAGTAACGCAGAAGGCTTCTTTGGACGTGAATCAAGAACAGATTCGATCGGCACTTTATGGAGTTCAGCAGATGTTCCTCTGATGTTTGATGGTCATCGCGGTTCAGGTGGCGATAAGAGTAGCTTGATGGGCTCAGGCTCGGTCTCTATGCAACCTTCTTCTAGCAGTCGTTCAGGTACGAATATGAGCCTTCCTCGGGGCATCTCTTTCACAACTTCATCGTCAAATCAAACTTTACACGCATTCCAAAGACCTTCAGAAATACCAACTTTGCCGACTGTTTCTGACTTTGTGAAGAATAAGGATCAGTACTCTTCTGAACCACATGAATTACTCTTATCAGATGATGGTCAAGAATTCATCGCTGTTCCTACTTACAACAAAGGATCGGGAGGCAGTAGACCGTCAACAGCTAAAACGGTAACCAATGCCAGCGAATCTCCCTCTTCATATTTGCCTAATGGATGGACTGTTAGCGATGAAGATCCGATCGAATCAAATGTTGCGCTTCTTCAACATCCTGGATCACGGCCCAGCTCCTCTGCCGGACCCTCTCATAAGAAACGTCCGGCACCACTTCATCTTGCTGAAGTATCTTTTGGTAAAAGTGCTGGCTCAACAACTGACCGGTCACGCATGGCAACGGATGTTCCCCTGTCGGTAAGCCATGGCAGTCAACTAACAGTAAAAAGTCAAAAATCCAAAATGAAAGGAGTAAATGAACAGCAACAACAACAAAGTCGCAAACCGCCTAGTACTTCACCCGCAACGGCTTTACCCCGTAGAAGTCCAAAAACAAATTCTGCCGATTTGTACAAACATGCAGAGCGTTTCTTTGATTCTTCCTATTCAATGGCGCCTTCAGTGAGCCCAAATGTGAATGCAAATCTCGCTTTGTCAAGTCCCGATATGGCTCGTTTATCTAGATTCTCCGATGATTCTCATCTTACGTATGAAGAACAGACAAATTCAATCGGCCCGATGGATCATACAGGCCGACAAGCTTTATCGAGTGCACGATCACAAAATTCACATAGCTCTGCTGAATCTTCCAATACCCCTGAGATCGTTGAACAATTCGCAAATGCGGCAACTTTACAAATCTTACGTTCTGGAATCACGCAAGAAGCACGAAATGCAACATTGACATACATGAATGGCCAAAGGACAACAAAGTACGGTTCTGATGAAGAACAGCCAATGACACCTTTGCGTGTTGCAATGTCGCTGGCAAATCCTGCTTCACCTAGGTTGACGGAGCATCAACAAAATCTTGCTTCTATGCAGCAATCATTGCATCCTTCCATTCATTCTGCTCGCAGACCTTCGACAACAGATTCAGCAATCCCATCCACGCCAAAATCATCACACAGACCAAATGTTCGACATGCTCATACATCTTCTGATCAAGAAGTGTTGAGACGATTACGTGAAGAAGCAGCAAAAGAAGAAGTCATTCCGCCTCTCCCTGCTTCTACAGTACAAAAAGTAGATGATAGATTGGCATTCTTACATGCGCCAGCAACACAACCAGCACCTCTTTCACCAAAAAGAGGAGGTTTACTCGGTCTTCGTGCTAGGGCTGTTTCAACGCCAAAATTACGTCAATCTAGAGGAGGATCACAAGATGGCAGTGGATTAGGACCAAACAACAGTCTTCAAGCTGAAAACCATTCAAGGCCAACGAGTAGCAGTCGACCTCAACATCCACCACAAGCACCTAGTGGTCGATTTAGGTCAATGACGGTGAACAGTGACACGGAACGTTGTGATTCGATCAGCAGTGCAAATTCTGTCAATCAGAATGGACAAAGATTGAGCGTAATGGGATCCGATGAAGGTTCTTTGCATACTCCAGGTCAACAACCTAAATTACGTAGACCTTCAACTTCTGATGCTTTGTCTGCTGCTGCCCGTCGTCTGCGTCGTCCCAGTAGAAACGGAAGCAATTCGAGCTTAACGACACCGTTGAATAGTGGTAGTCAAAGTGTTGTAGATGTTAGTAGACAACGTGTCGGAAGCAGTGCAAGCTCTCAATTACAAGCAGATCTACGTCACATCAGCAGTAATGCATCTTTACGTCCAAACTCACGCAAAGCAAAAAGCGGAGGAACTCCAACGAATGCAACAAGACCACCACCAAAAACAAAAGGTGGTTGGGCTTCACACTTGGCTCAAGGATTGACGTTGCATATCGAACAAGGAAATAAGAAGATTGCAATGCGAATGAATTATCAATACTACGATCCATTTGGAAGGCCAGAAAGTCTTTGCACATCAAACAATGTAGAAGAACATTCTTCTCAACGAAGAAGTAGTAATGGCCGTATCCGTAGTTCATTCAGTACAGCAGCTGGTCAGTCGTCACGTAACGGAAGCATCTCAGTATCGAATGAGGACAACAGTGACGAAGCAACCATGGGCGTTTTGGAATTCACCCCAGACGTTCCAAGTCCAGGCCGTGAAGGAGCGCACAATCACTTGGCCTTTCTCTCGTCTGATTCTAAGGATGCAGTCATTTTGAAACACTTGACGATCGGGGAAGATACAAAAGCTGACCTAATCACACGTCAAGCAGATCTTTCCCTCAGAAGAAATGGTGTTCATGAAGTCTCTGGAAGTGAGCGAAAGGGTAAAGTATCTTGGCGATTCGAATTCTCCATCGAAGATGTGAAGAGACAAGGAAGTGGACCTATCGATAATGCAAGTACGCCAAAGATGGACAGTAAACCGTTCAATGAAACTATTGATGGCATTAAACTTTTGCGTCCGATCAAATTTTCATGCTCGACCACTCTTTTGGATCCATCACGAGCACGTAAATCTCGCGTGATCAATATGATTCGCAAACAGATTGGCTCGCACATTGAGTCACATAGCTTTGGAAGCAATATTGAAAATGGCGAAAGTGATTCGAGCGCTGTTTATCAATCTGGAACACCTCTTACCATGAACCAATCTGTTGCATCACTGTCTCCACCGCAAACATCACCTGTGGCTTCTTCAAAAAGATTGGAAGCACCTCTTTCGCCTAGGAGTCTACCCCGTAACCGTCAAGGATCAACGTCATATGTCCGTCGAGCAGAATTGCCGACAAACTTTACCACAACAGCTCCTTCACCTGTTCGTAATGTGTTCAACGGTCACGTCGAACAACATTCTCCTACGCAGGTCCGTTCTCCTTTACATCCTCCAAGCAGTATCGGTAGCTCGGCAGGTGAACTGGGAAGCAGTTTGGGCAACGAAGATCATCATTTAGCTGCTTTGCGTAATGCAAGTGTGGTTAGTACAACTAGCAGTGGAGCTGGTTCTGCGACTTGGTCTCCCGCGAGTAGGCTTGTTCCATTCAAAGCAAGACGAGCAATCGTTGATCCTTCCAAGCAGATACAAGATAGACCAAGCATTGGCGGACAAGAGGGGAATGCAAATGGATTAGTGACTAATGCAGGAAATGGAGTACAACAAAGATCTCCTTTGGTCATTGGAAGTTCCTTAGAATCACCTTTGGCAACCAGTATTGAGGCAAGTCCATCACCTGGAAAATATGTTCGTGAGCTAGGATCGAATGGCAAGATGCAACCGATCAAAACATCTCATCAACAACATTTCCCACGCAAACATGCTCCTCCATCCACTGCTTTGGGTCTGGAAACAAACTCTTCCGGCAACCGTACTGAAAGCAAGGAGGATTTCTGGTACGAAGATTCGAATGCACGTCAATGGGCATCGTCTCAGTCACGTACACAGTCTAGAAGACTACGTGCAGTAACATCAGAAGGTATTCATGAAGCGCAAACGTTGGATATTCGACCTCCAACGGCTTCAGAAGAGATCAAGATGGCATACTTGAACAACTCCACCCGTTTACATACAGCAGATTCAACTGCATCTTCGAAATCTCGATCACGTCATGGTGGAAACGGAAGCGGACATGGACATAGCCATAGCGTTTATCAAACCCCTGAAGCTGTGACGATGGATTCGCCACCACGTAGAATGACTTCTGCTTCTATTCATCAACATAATGACCAAAACAATCAACAATCAATTCAACAAACACAACAACATGAGATTCCTTCTTCGCCTTTAAGTAAAAAAGTTTTACCTCCAATGCCTTCCAAGAAAGGTCCAATGGCAATTGCCTCTAAAGCTGCTCGTGCTATTTCTGGTTCGAATTTCAAGCAGGGTGCAACGGTAGGATCGAATGGTAAATTTGATCCACCAGAAGGACCTTATTGGATTTGATGTCTCTCCCTCTCCCATATTCTTGTACACATATCTATACTGTATCCATATCAATGTTTTCTCGAATGCGCAATTTATGACGATCATGACCTGTACGTCGGGCTCTATTGTGTGAATGAATTGCATGCATTGCGTTTGGTATAATGAGTACAAGTATGCTTACACTAGAAATACATGGAAATGGATACAAAATCTGATTAGAGTCGTTTCCCACCCAGGTAGAGAGCTGGCATATCGATTTTGACCGGATTAGGTTTCCTTCCCCTTCCTTGCTTGACAATAGGAGTGGCCAAAGTAGAAGACCAACGAACTTGCAATTGAGATTGCAATAGTCCGGTTAACAAAGCATCATTGGCAGCAATTGTAGGATGTGCAAATGGAGTGGAATCTTGCAGCACATTGCCTTGCTGATCAGGAAAGAGTAAATGAACCAATAAAAGTGGAAAAGGTGCTGAGAATGCTTGTAATAGACATTGTTTTGAAAATCCCGAACTGGAAGCCAAGATTGCCATAGCGGGAACAGAGCTGTCGTGACTGTCTAAAGCCAATTTTGAAGCTTCTAAAACAGATTGTGGAAGTGCATCAAGCGGTTCTGGTTCTATAGATCCCGATCGTTGAATCGCAACCATCGTTCCGTGCATTTCACGAACATGCCTTGGACCTAATTTTCTTGCTTCTGATTTGCATTGAACTGTTATGCGAACACGACCAGCCTTGAGGGTTTCACTAAGAGAGCTCTCTGCCAACTCTTTCAATGGCGACCACCACCATCCCGTCAAATCGATGCCTCCGTCATGTGCACCTCCGATTCGCATGAGGTCCATACGCGGGAATGTTTTTTGTAAGAATGATTTCACATGTTCTTCATATGTAGTCCCACGTTGCACTGTAGACATTTTCATTCTTTGCTTTTCTCCTTCTTGTTCCAGCGTTGAAAGAAATGATTCGGGCGATGCAGATAAAATTGATCCTTGAGTGCTATCATGTGCGATTGATGATCCCGTAGCATTTATAGACGCTGAAGCAGATGCTTTTGAGCTAGCTTTTGCCCTTTGACCGCCACCATTGCTGCTTGTGTGTATCGATCTGCTGCTTCGTTGTGATGCTATCCGCTGCTCGTTAATCTGAAGATGCTTTCTCGTCAAAACTGATGAAATTTGAGTGCTCTCAGTAATGCCTCCTCTCACATTTCGACTAATTTGCCTCAAAGCAGTCCTTGCAATGCTTCCCGTCATACCTCCAATAACCATCTTATTGTAACCGATGCGTGATCTGAATTGACATTCTCTCGATGAAGGTCTTTATGGGAGAAAGAAGATATGAGAAGATCTGACTGAATGCATCTGAAGCCCTTTTCCCGCTTTTGCAACCCAAGTGAGTAATCTACGCGTGTAGGAAACAAGGCTGACGCGTTTTATTCTATAGGTGCTGTTCGCATTCAGAGAGTGATACATCTTTCCATGGTCGGTATGATGACCATGGCTACATTGATGAGGTACGATGATCGAAAGGCACTAAAAGGAAAGCGAAGTTAACTCGTTAAGCTGACTTGCTCCACTTTTCATCCTGAATCTCAAGACACCGATGGACGGATGGTAAGTTAGATCACGTGCCAAGTACCAGAACAGGTTCTTAACTCCCGCACCATCTTTTCGTTGGAAATCTGATGATGGTCACTAGCTCATTTTTGAATCTCACTAGCGCAATATTGATGAATCCTTGTCAACATTCTTTGGTCGAGATAACATACGATAATATCCAATTGCCGATGCAAAATCTTTTATTATCATATTAGATTAAATTTTAGTTTTCCTTCTTTTCCAAAATCGTACATTCTCTGCATAGATTGCTTTCCCTAATTAACCAAAATCAAGGAAGGTGGTATGCATACCCCGATCGAAACGAGGAACTTGAAAACAAAAAGAAGGGTCATTTGTTTCACTTTTACAGACAAATGGTGATACACATGTACATACATACATACGTAGGAACTGTCAAATAAGACTAACACAGAAAGAAAAGACACGATTTACCGTCCAATCGCCCGAATCGGGCAATTGATGGTGTTGTATTTATGATGATCCATGTGCATATTGTCTCACATTCCCAATCAATAACCTAATTAGCGTGACTCAATCGAGGCCATAAGATAAGAACGTTCATATGTTTTACGCGTATGTGAAAAATGATCGGTGTACACACAGCGGTAAAAAGGCCGAATCATTCATTTCTTTGACGCATTTATACATGATTATGAGACAAAACATTGTTTGAACTTCTATTCTTCTTTTCATTGTATTCAAATTGCAAACCTTGAAATCCAGACTTTTTTGTTCACACAAATTTGTGATTCTTACCCTGCATTGAATTCGCGGAGAGGTGCGGGTCATTGTTATACTGCTTTGCTTTGCATTTGCATTACCGTCGGTTGCTTACTGTCAACAATAATAAGCTGGGCCCCAATTCTTACGCCCTGTTCTCCTTGCGTATGTGTGTGTACCTTGTTTGCTTGTATTTCGGACCCTGAAAAGGTATGCGCAAATTGAAATGCGACGACGCGTTTGCCAGCCAGCCACTGAAAACAGTCCCCACCTTTGTGTAACGTCGATATAACCTTACTCTAAGACCTCCCTCCCCAGATTAAACCTAACACTAGTCTATCATTGCAATTCCAGACTTTTGATTGAATTACACATATAATGTATATCCATGACGGATGTAGACCTACTAGCGTAAAGATTGAATCAAGGCTAGCCTAAGAATGTGAACGGCATATGCTTTTTTTACCTGCTTGCGTGCTTGGCGATAAAATTGGATGCATTACAAACACAACAACAAAAAACAAACAATCTCTCCGTGGATTTTTTTAATTTGTTTCTCAGGAAATGCACGCATTCGTATATTCTGTTTAACAAACAATCGTTACGGCTGCATGCGTGTGACGCGCTGCGCAGCGCAGGTAGAATGCTATTGTTCATAATAAACGGGAAATTCCATCAATGCATCCGTAGGTAAGGTTCCACATCTTGGTGGCGTAGCGCATCTACACAAACATACACACAGATGATCTGTCATTTTTCTCTCCTTTTGAGGCTTTTTTCACTTGGTGAGATTCCCTCTGGGTTCCGTGTCTGGTATTTCTTACCTGTATCCTACGAACCTTTAAACAAGCCATGCATAAAACACTTTCATTGTGATGGAAAGGATTAGGGTTTTATCTGGGTAAGACAAGTCAAATGCAGTAAATAGGATTTTTTGATCGGATTGAGATAAATCTTGTTTGTGTAAGGTAAAATTAGCCGAACTTTAAATTAACAATGTCGCATAATAAGCGTTTGCACCCAGTCAGTCAGTCAGCCTTTCTCTCTTGGCAACACACATACACTGTCTCTGGCGCTAAATGAGATTTGGACGAATGCGCTCGTTAATTAAATTCTTGCATATTCCTTTCTCCTTTTGCCAGCCAGTTGCTTGCTTCTCTCTCTCTCGCTTGAGGGTAATTTGACGTTCAATCGGGAATTTAGTGTGGCTCTTTTTACCACCTTTTTTCGCACATACACTTTCAATTCCATCACGATTGAATACCTTAATCGTTGGATGATTCGATTGACACGTTTGCTTGTTTGTTCGCAATAGACTGCATAACGACATCCTTTCTTCTTCTTCATCGTCATCACCATCACCAACATTACCGACTTCGTTTCAGCAATCGCCACCGATCCGGGTTTCCGATTAATATAACACGCGTTCGAACACGTCAGTCTCGATTCTTACGCCTTCTTTTCGGTTGATTGGTTAATCTTCATTTTTGTCACCTTGGATTGTTTTGTATAGGTAAGTTGAAATTGGTTATGAGTAGTAGTATGGAATGGTCATTAGTGCATGCGGAGTGGGAAAGATGGACAATTACATCGATCAGCGGCTATCCTCAAGGTTCTGGAAAACCTTTCAAAGTCTCTGTCTTACACAAGATGAAGCGCGGCTCCGTCTCTCTGTCGATTCGAGAGTGTACTTTTGTGATAAATGCGCCCGCGGAAGGATTGCAATCTTAATCTTGATCAGGATCGAGAAAGAGGAATCATTTATTTTGTTTCAATTGCGCCGCCTTTTTGCCATTATACTCCTGTCAAAGCCGGATATATGCTCATTTAATCGCGTACACCGATGGACAAAAGGAAAAGCGGAACATTCCTCTTTGGTTGATTTGTTTTTCCTTTCTTTGGCGGCGCAAAACAATTTCTGCCTTTGAAAGAAGGGCTAAATATATCATATGTCAAAAACAAAAATCATTCAACAGACACTTTTAAAAGCTCGATTACGGCTTCCGCTTTTTCGATGAATCGCATCACCGCTTTCGCCTTTGTCTCATGTTAAAAGCAGCCGCGATTGATTCGGAGTGTGAATCAGTCAAGAATACCCACCTTGGATGGCCTTTGATGACATGAAGCGGATATCGAATTGCGCGCAAGTTTACGCATAGAGTGACAATTCTTGCCTTCAACTCTGCCGTGTTTGGACTCTGCCTTATTGATGTGTCTTTTGCAATCATCGTGCCAAGACTACAAGTTACTCCGTCTTCGTTCTTTTCTGCCTTCCCACGCCCAAAGCACAATTGATGAATTCTTCTTCTTTGGAATAGTAATAGTTGCTAACACCATTTTACCCCGCTTCTCTCCTTTCCTTATCTCGCCCAACGATCCGTTCAATAACGCAATCATCTCTCTTTCCTCAACTCGCTGCAACGCAATGCTTTCACTCTTGACAACATAAGAGGACTTCCTATTGCTGTTTGCTTTCGCCTTTGCGACTTCCATCTCCACACTTCAATTCTCTCAAAAATCTTCACCTTCTCTTTATCTTTTGTGTCTGTGAGTATCGGAGATCAAAGTTTGGACAATGTCATTGCCATGCGGCCCTTCTCTCAAAAGAGGAGCACCTTTCTTGTGTTTGACTTTGCTACAAAGGGAAATGCCGATCGGAAACCGAGATAAGCATACTGTTCCCATACACATGCGCATACGCTGTTTGCTGCAAGTTTGCAACTTGTGACAGCGGCCCTCCATCAAAATGCTGATAAAGCATTGCAACTCCCGATCTATATCTCGTACATATAAGCTGACTTTGTTTCGACTCCTTTTCATTACTTGTCCTCCTTCAGATTCACATAGCGCAATGACAGAGCAACAGTCCGGTCAATCGACCGCTCAAGTTCAAGCCTCTTCCAGCACAGACAATGCACAAATGGGAAGACTAGCCTCTGCAGTCTCAATCGCAGGTCCTTTCCAATCTTCAATAGCAGAAGCAATCACTGCGAGAAGGCAAAAAGGTCAAACGATTCCCAAATTGGTTGGTATTCTAGCCACTCCTAGCCCACCAAGTGTGGCATACGCTCAATGGACAAAGAAGGCATGTGAACAAGTTGGAATAGAGTTCGAAATATGGCAGACATGGTCTGAAAGCGACAAGAAGGATGATGCGATGGATGGAGTTGAAGAGCAAAAATCACAACAACTGCCAAATTCTGATCTTGAAGCTGATGTTGAAGACTTGATCATTGCTGCCAACGCAAACGATTCCATTCACGGCATCATGGTCTACTACCCAATCTTTGGTGGTCGTCAAGATACATACCTTCAACAAATCGTTGACCCTCGCAAGGACGTAGAAGGATTGCACTTCAGCTATTGCTTCAACATGTACCATAACATTCGATGGATCAACCCATCACAGTTGGGAGGCGCACCTGGAACGACAATTGAAGCATCTTCTGGATCAGCGGATAGAGAAGAGAGCATACCGCCGGGATATGCAAAATCAATCTTGCCTTGCACGCCTTTGGCTGTTGTGAAATGTTTAGAAAGCTTGGGTGCATACGACATGTCGCTGCCCTATGGAGATCGCCTATTTGGCAAGACAATCACAGTTGTCAATCGTTCCGAAGTGGTCGGAAGACCTTTGGCTGCTTTATTGAGCAATGATGGTGCAAAAGTGTACAGTATTGATTTGGATTCAGTACAAGAATTCAACAAACGTGCAAAGCACGAAAGTGATCGTCAGCCTTCAAAAACTGTTTTGTCAGCTCGTGAACAAAATGCGTCTCAACGATTGCGACCTTCACATATCGTCCGATCATGTGGTATGAACTTGCAAGAGTGCATTGCCGCTTCAGATGTGGTAATTTCAGGCGTGCCAGCAGCTTCGTTTAAAATTCAGACCGATTGGGTCAAGCCAGGAACGGTGACAGTAAACTTCAGCAGTGAAAAGAATTTCGAAAAAGACGTTCGCACTCGTGCTGCAATCCATTTGCCTGCAATCGGTAAGACCACAATTGCCATGCTTCAACGCAATCTGTTGAGACTTGTCGAGTACCGTGAATTGAGTACTTCAAAACCTAGCAATTCAGTTCACAGCTCTGGGAGTTCAGGACCCCCACCTCCTCCAAATGGACGCCCACAAGGAGGCAAAGATGAACATCACGGAAGCTCGGGCAGCCGCGGACAATCTTCGGCTTTGAGATCAACTATTAATGGAAACAATAATGCGCCTTCAGGGAACGGACAGAACCAGAATGGAAGTAATGCACCAAAAGATTCACAAGACGACGTGGAGATGGACGAAGATGGTGTTCAAAGAAGTGATCAGTTGAAGCAACAACAAGGTGCAGAATTTCGTTCGTCAGGTCAGATTCTGCCTCCGCCACCTCCCTCATCTATGCAACAGCACGGCAACTACGATGCACATCATCCATCTATGCCTCCAGGTCTTGGCTCAACGAATGCATTGCATATTCAAAGAGAGCGTGCAAGTACCTTGTCCATGATGCGACATGATCGTCCACAAATAAGTCCAAATGGACCTTTGCGTTCACTACCGCAGCATGGATCTCAACCTAATCCTAATGCTTGGGAATGGCGTAGTCCAAGTACTCGAAGCGACAGTTTAGGTGGACCGGTTGGCTCTGCCCAATCACCACCGTTCGGTCCAATGAGAGCCGCACCTTCTTCTGCTACTTCTGAACAATCTCCCTTATTGTTTGCACCGATTGGCAATCAGCCAGGTCAAGCTGGATCACAACAGCACGGCCCGCACGGAAACAGAGTACCAATGCAAAGTCGATCAAGCTTCCGATCAAGTTCGATCTCCTCACCTCGTTCAGAAACACCCGTTTCACCTTTGATCATCGATGGTTTATCAGTAGAGGATACTACTACGTCCTCAAATGCCGGAGGTGGCTCTCAAAGAATGAGTTGGGATTCTGGTACCCCTCATACGCCTCACGAGATGATGGAAGTTCCTTTACCGCATTCCGCAGGATCGAATGGTAGTGGTCAAGCAATCAATGGTATGCCTTCCGTTTTGGGCCGTCCAGGCCGTAGCGAATCGATGGGCTACCCTCACGGTCATCAACCAAGACATCATCATAGTGATCATCCAGGATTTGCTCATGGTCCACCAGGCTCCATGACACCAGCGGATGAAAAAGTTGCTTTGGAGATGGAAGGTCGTGCTCATCCAATGCAAATGTATGGTTCGCCATACATGGGACAGATGAATCAGCATGGTCAGTTAACATCCCAACAACCACCAGCCCATATGCAAGGACGCCCAATGATGATGATGCCTCAAGATCGTATTGCACATAGCCGTCGTCGTCGTAGACCGCCATTCAGCTACTCTTCTTTGATTGCTCAGGCGATTGCTTCAGCTCCAGAGGGAAGGATGACATTGCGTGAGATCTATACGTGGATCAGTAATGCTTACCCGGATCTGTACAGTATGGAGGGATCTGAAGGATCTGGCTGGCAAAACACAGTTCGTCATAATTTGAGCTTAAACAAAGCTTTTATCAAAGTGGCAAGAACTGCACAAGATATTTATGATAGCTGCTCGAGTGGTTTGCCAAATCTTAGTCAACAAGCTCGCGGAAAAGGTGGCTGGTGGATGTTAGATCCAAATGTGAACCCTGCTACGATTGGCGCAACTGGTAAAGAAGAAGAAGAATATCTTGGAGGACCTGATACAATGCGTACGCAACGTAGGAGACGAACAAACAGCTTTGCAGCTTCTGTTGCTTCTGAAGATGGAATGGGTAGCTCAGGTGACTTACTTTCACCTATGGGCGCTTATCCTCCAGCACAATTGCATCCTCACAGTCAAGGTATGTCTGGACATCCATCGGTATTACAAATGCGCGGACGAGCATACACGACCACAACTGCACCCAGTGAAGAAATGAACGGTAGTAATGTACCTTCCGTTTTAGCACGTCCAAGATCTGCCGATCGTTCCGTTTCACATGATGGACCTCACGGTCAATCCAATGCTGGTGCTACAATTGCAAACGGTGTTGTTGGACATATTGGCGATCATGATGTTGCCCGTCATTTGATCGGTAGAACCCGTCCACGTGGTTATACTACCAACTCGGCTGATATTAATCTCAAAGGAGGATATCCAATGCATATCAACACCCAAAACCATGTGCCTGCTCATCAAATTGTTTCTGTCCCAAATTCTCCTTATGGTCATGGTCCTCAAATGCTTCCTCGATCACCTGCAATGCAAGGCAATCAACAATTGTTGCCACCGCCAGGATCGCATGGCAATCCACGAATGGGTGTTTCACCTTCGATGCATGCAGTGCGTTCTTTAGGACCACCACCAAATTCTGCCCATTATCAACAAGGGGAGAAGCAGCCATTGACGCCCAATCAAGCCCCTTCGCCAAGTTTGCATCCCGTCAATAGTCCAAACAAACGTAAACTGCGCTTTGACGGTGAACCTGGATTACCGAACGCCGGTCAAGTTGTGCCTCCAGCCTTCTATCCTGCAAGAAATGGTCAAGGTGAATCTGCTGGACATGCATCACCACATCAAAGGTTGAGCATGCCTGCCCCATCACCTTTGGGTGGTCAAAAGATGACTCTTGCTCCTCCCCCAATCACGCAAAAATCTAAATTGAGCGAATTGATGCGTCGTCAAAGTTCAACGGATGAAGGATCTGGCGCTTCTTCTGATCAAGGTCGTGAACATGCTTCTGCTGCTGTTGAACGTGAAGGTAAAGGTTCGCGAATGTCTATTACTGGCCTGCTTTCATAAAAGAAAAGAACAAAAGCAGAGAAGGCTCATTCCAGCTTTGCCACCCTATATTTTTTTACTTTTGTACTTTTTGTCTTATACACAATCTAGATAAATCTCTACTCATGTCATGTACTCATATCTTTTCTTGTCTTTCTAGAGCAAATCAAATGATGGAAAATGATTCCTCCCGCGTGCACACAAAGCCTTGTCAGACAAATGTTCTTAAGACATGATGGTGATATTGGTGAAATGGAATGAAACAGTATTAAAATTGACTGAGATGCGATGCTAGTGTAATTTTATGAAAATGAGATGGAAAGTGCTGTGATGGTAAAGTGGTAAAGTGTTCAGTGACGGAAAAAGGAGGGGTTGAGCTACAAAGGAAAAGAAAAAAAAACCTGTAGATGCATATACGAAAACGAACATTGTGAAGATATGAGCCCCTCTATCCCTTGCCCTTCAATCAAGCCCAATCGATTACATCGTTCAAATCTAAGCCGATTCCCAAACCTGCCATCATGTCTGTAGAAGCGTCTCTTCCACGTGCTTTGCTCGTTGTTGTAGATCCGTTTGAAGATTTAACAGATCTTGTTTTAGGTGATTGTTCAATCGTTGATCGTAATTCGACAGGACCTTGTAATCCGTTCAAAGCTTCACGACCACGATTGTTCAGGTATGATTCATTATTGCTGCCTCCACTGCCGCCGCCGCCGCCCAAGGATCCAAGACGAACTTTTGCCATCCTTCCGGCACGGGAATGGGTTGTTGTGGGTGATGAGATGGGCGAAAAGGTGGTATACCTTCCTCCTGCACCAGTGCCATTTGCCGTTCGTGAAGATGCAGCAGTTGGCGTGATGGAAGATTGTAAACGATGATGTGCATATGGATCGGATGAAAAAGTTGGTGTTTTGGGGAATGGACTGCTACTTCCAGCATCGTATTCAAATACTCGTTCAGGTGTCGTTTCACGCATTGAAGAAGATGAAACAGCTTCACCATTTCCATTGCCTGCAATACGACGAGCATGGGATGCTTGTCGTGCACGACGAACAGCACGTGTGTTGCTTGTTGGACTGTTTTGCAAATTGTGCCAGCCAGTAAATTCTCCCATATCCAATCCACCGGAACTATGGACCAAACTTGGCAGACCACCACCACCGCCTGCCGAATAGTCTGAATTGAATCCAGCATCCATCAAATGACGTGTTGGGGTGCTCAATCCCCAAGGTGTTCCTGCATTGGTAGACAGACCTGCACCTCCATTAATCGATGCATTTGATTCTTCACGATTATGACGCAACATGCTAGCTTGTTGTCCCCATGAAGATGAACCGTGCAAGATACGTGAAGGTGTAGAGAATACATCTTCGAAATCACGTTGTAATCCACTCGTCTCTCTGCGACGGTGTGCTTGATGTTGACTGTGAACAGCTGCTGCCATTGCGCCATGATGATCAGTTCGAAGACCAAAAGTAGATGCTTGTCGTTGTCTCTTTGGCGTGGATGACATCAAACGAGGACTGGGTGTACGCAAATAAGCAGACATGCCAGCCGATTCGCCTCCTGCACTGTTCAAGGTACCGTACAAATCTCCATCGCTATGTGCGTGTGCAAATGTACGACTTTGACGATGGGTAGGTGAAGAATGAGTAAAGGCATGCATTGAATTGCTGCCGCTCGTTCCGCTTCCAGACAGGTTGCGCTTGTGAATATGATGAGATGCTCCTAAATTGTTGGAATTGCTTTTACGCTCCAAGGGTGACCCTTGTTCGGCCAAGTGCCAGCCATATCTGTTTGCTCGTGCTCTTCCGGCCACCAGACTTGCCCTACGGTCATCGGTTGAAGTACCAGAGAGTACAACCGGACTGGGTGCAAGTGCAAGGGCTGATGAAAAGGCATGTGCATGGCCATCATCTCGTCTTAGATGCATAGGAGTATCGTCTGCTTGATAAAAGACGGGTAGTTGACCTTGACTCAAACGAATTTGTTGTCCAGCAAGGGCAGCCGAACGTGGGAAAGAGGGTGTGACCATCAAACCTCCGCTCAGGCTACTGCCGGGTGTTAAGATTGAAGTTGCTACTTCACAACATAGTATGCAGAACCAATCTTCGTCTCCCAACGAGCTTGTGTCTGTTAAGCCCATGCAGCCCATGTGGTACCATGAATTGCATCCATCGCACAAGATCATTGGGGTTCCATCATCTGCGCGACCACATCGACATCCAATTTGCGCATTTGCTGCTGCGGTGCGCCTGCTTGGTGTCATGAGAGCGGTAGACGACGGTGAAACAGAGTCGGGCAAGTGTTGATGGCGTAATGAAGATGGTGTAGAGACCTTTGATCTGCGCAACTTGGCAAGTTTGCGTTTTGATGGAGTGGTGGAAGATCCTGTTTTGAGTAATGGCTTTCTTCCTCGCTTTTTGGGTTTGACAGGCGTGATTGCACTTTGTTCTGAAGAAGCAAAAGCACGAATGATATCCTCTTGTCGTTTACGATCCAACAAGACTTTTGCGATCATCGGGTGCTGTTGAGCTTGCTGTTCAGATGGGGTATCTTCATCGCTATCTTCTTCGAGCCATAGCTGGATAGCTTTTCTCTTCTTTTCGTTACGACTTGTAAGGTGTTGACTAGCTCGTGACCATGGCCCGTCGATCGAATCTGGCCAATTTAATGTTGGCATTCCTGCACCTTCTAAGCGTGGCTTATAACGATCGTTAGAAAGAGTATCGATATCCAGTAAAGCTGCGGTCTTTGATGATTGTGCTGGTGTGCTTCGCGGTAGGTTTGCAGTAGCCTCACGCATGATAGCCAAGAGTGATGCATGTCTATCATGGCTGCTCTTCAAACCTTCTTTTGAATTGTTCTCTGAATGAGGATCCGTTAGGAATGAATGAATACTTGAGTCAAATGTATCATCTTCTGGCTGTGTGACTGAAGTTTGGTTGGTGGACAAAGACTCAGCACTAAGTCCAGCACTGCTACTGCTACTTCCACTGCTGCTTGCGGTATCGGCTGGTCGAGAGCTTTGCTCTTGAACTCCATTAATCTGCAGTGCTTCATTACGATGAATTGCCATTCGTCCCATATTTGGAACTTCGACGGCAATGAGGGCCGATTGATAAGGCTGTGATGATTGATTGAATGCGGACATGAGTTTTGATCTGGATGCTTTGATTGTGTTGGGAGAAGAGAGAGAAGTCGTCGCATTATTGTTGGACATTGAAGTGATTGCTAAATCTCCATCATGATCGACTAAAACGGTGAAAGCGTGGCCTTTGTTCATCAAAGCGGCTGAAGCACGACCTTGTGATTCGACAAGTTGAGGATGTTGCATGATTGTCAATGGTATACACGACCACCTGGGGCGTGCTGGTATGGGAAGAATTGAGGTTTAGACCGGTAAATGATTAGGTTTCGCTGAATCTGGGTTCTTTGATGATAATTCAACTCATCAATCCAAGAGATGGGAACGAATGGAATAAAAGGAATGATTACCAGTCGTGTGTGTTTGTGTGTGCTATTTTCGGATGAATTTGATTGCGCCCTTTGTTCTTTTTGTTTTTCTGATTGTTGAAGATTTGAATATGATTGTGATGGATGTGACTGTAGAAAATGAAGCAGCAGCAGGAAGCATACAAAAAAGAGTGTGCGTACATATGAAATTGTGACTTGAACGGAAAAAAAAGTGAGCATTGAAGCAGAGCGGCAATGGATAAAATGAGAAGATTTCCCCCCCTTTTGCTCTGCCTGCCTGTCTGTCTGTACGCCCGACTGACTTGCAAACAAAATTGAAAATTAAAGAAATAGGCACTTTACCTGCGCACGCAATGCAATGGGATCAGTGTTACTCTCGCGTGCGTTTGGCAGGCACTAACGCACAAAAGTACGTGCGCAGTGTGCTAAGGCCTCGATCGGAATTTTACTCAAAAGCATGAATGAATGCACGAACACACAAAGGGACAACACTCATGATGCACTTCATCGATTCAGAAATCAAAGTAGTTCGTTTGTTTGATTATAGGTTAAGGGTAATCCTTCTACTTTTCATTTGCATGAGGACGCCATACTCATCGGAGATACATATAAAAGGCAGACAAGCAGTTCATTACGGCGATCAAGCCAGTATCAAAACTGCATCCTGCTCTAGCTTATAATGAATCTATATCTGTTGTAGAAGTTGTCATGTCCGGCGAATCAAGCCTTTCCACATGATGGATTAACTCCCACTTCCCCTTAAAGTGGTGCTGGACATCAAAATGAAAAGACCCCCTTACATGAAACGCGTCAATTTAAACGCGTCGGGACACGATGGGACGCGTCTAAATCACGTACATTAGACCCGTATCTTCTTGTTTAGCTTTATGCACTGTAGAATGTTTTACTGCTTTTTAGACGCATTCAGTGGCGCATGCATAAAGTGTATGGGAAAGTTGAATGCCTTGCGCGAAGAAAGGAAAGTGGCTTAATGCTATCACAATGAATTGTAAGAAATAGTATCCGATACAACATACATGATTGTCACGTACCTGATTGCATACTTTTTACATGTCCGCATACAACATCTAAAGGTTGATGTCAATCTTAGCATGGAAAATATCCATTTCGAAAATTATATTTCAAAAGGGCGAAGGGAAGGAACTCATTCAAACCATCGGCATGAGGAATTTTAAAAAGATTTGTTAGATACTGATACTCACGCTGCCGGTATTGCATCGGACTGTTCTATCGAATTGGAGGATAAAGTCCGACGGTTGATATATCATACTGTCTGCTCTGTACGACAAAAGCACTGTTAGAGTAGAAGAGCAAAAGGTAAAGAGCAAATACTAGATTTTATAAGTCCGAACATCTCATCATGTCAAAGCCAGGTTACCAAATGCATTTATGGTATAATACAATTGCATAGTCAATCTATATAGATGCACCGTCTATTGTGACTTTTCGATTTTTCAGGTCGGGCTCTTTACCACTTTCTAATCGATATTGCTCAATCATTTCCGTATTGATCTTGTTTCCTCCACAAACGATCACAACCATAACGATAGGTTCATCGGATTCTGTATTTGGACCGGACAAAAGTTTGCTTAAGATGCGCTTTGAATGATAAATCGGTGCAAGAACGCACGAACATGCTAGTTCAACCAACAAACGATGATCCTGTGCAAAACCTGTGGCGGGAGGGAGGCAGTGTCAGAAGGTATATTCCACCTCTCAGATATTTCAGTACTTACGCCAAGCCCCGTCTTCTGCCATTCGATCTTCAATTATTAGGGAAGAGAGTTTATCACCATATCGTAAGCCTTCCTTTACGGCTTGCAATGAACATGTCTTTGCGCCAAGAGAAGTAGCTTTGGAAGTAATTGCAGGCAGAGAAACTTGCACGACGTCTTTATCATCCCAACTTTGCCCTTTAGAGCGAGCTTGGGTGATGGAGGAACCAAGTGAATTAGCACCAAAAGTTTGTGTGACGATGACTTGAGGTAGATCTTGTGAAAAAGCACGTTGAATGCCCCTCATAACACCACGAAGTAGCCCACACCCTCCAGCACTACAAGTGACTATATCCGGTCTTCCATTCCGTACGCCAACTTCTTGTAATTGTTGAAAGATTTCATCCATCATTGTCGAATGACCTTCAACGGTATCTTCACCTTCGAACGGATGAACGTAATAAGCCATCCTTCCGGCAGATTTCTCTTTTTGTAATAGCTCTTTTGCTGCTATATCGCATTCATCCCATGCTGCACCTGCAACAATTACATTCGCACCTTCTGCACGTAAAAGATCTTTGACAAATTCTTCACATGTTGATGGAACAAAGATTGTACATTGTTCTTCCATTTCACGTGCACAATAAGCTGCTGCTAGACCTGCATTTCCACCAGAAGATGAAATGATATGAAACGGACCTTTTGTGCTATCGTATGCTTTCAAGATTGAATTTCCCAATCCTCTCACTTTGAAACTGCCGGAAGGTTGTAAAGCTTCCATTTTGAGGTAAACGTCAACCCTCTTACCGCATTTTGAAGCAAGATTGGATAGAGGCGCTGAATGTAAAAGAGGCGTTCGAATGAACACTTGCTTTGGTGATCCTTTGATTCGATTTAGACCATTGATCTCTGACATTGTGATGATGATGATGATGATGATGATATGTTTGAATGACTATCCCCCACTTCAATCATTCCCGCTTCTATTAGTGTTGGCCCATTTTACTATGATTAGCGGTAGAGTGGCTGCAGTCTAGCAAATGCAGCCTACGCGTTTGTATTGAATTATTTTAGACAAGAACTTCTTCAACTTTTCCATCATCCGCTTCTCTCCCGTTTTGGATATCACATCATGCGTAAACTAAAGTATCATGAACAAAAGCTTCTTCGTAAGCATGATTTTCTCAATTGGAAACAAGATCAAGGTCATAGGGAAGTAAAGGTGATGAGACGTTATCATATACAAAATAGAGATGATTATATGCGTTATAATCGATTGGTTGGAGCAATTCATCATCTTGCATTACGATTATCAAAATTACCTGCAACAGATGGTTTTCGATCAAAACGCGAAAGTGCACTTTTGGGAAAATGTTACGATTTAGGTGTCATCAATGTTGGCAACAAGATGAGCGATCTTATGGATGGCGTCACAGTCAGTGCTTTTTGTCGTAGACGATTAGGTGTGGTTATGGTCCGTCTTAAAATGAGCGAATCAATCAAACAAGCAGTAACTTACATCGAACAAGGACAAGTTCGTGTCGGTCCTGATACCATCACTGATCCTGCTTTTCTCGTTACAAGGAATATGGAAGATTTCGTTTCTTGGGTCGATCAATCCAAAGTACGCAAGCTGGTCGCACGTTATACTGGCGAACATGATGACTTTGATCTGTTGTGATCAATCTTTACCTGTCTTATTCTTGCATCTGTATCATATCATTCTCATCGGACAACATTCAATGTTGTATATCCCATCTTTTGCAGCCATAACAGGAAGCGCTTTCAGCCAAAGTCATCCAAAAATAATTTGACAAAAAAATTATCAAACTCGGAAAACGGGCAGTGTTTCAATGACCCTGGGTAAGCCCATACGCGTACAAGCTCATTAGCCTGGAAATCCTCCACAACTAATGCAGCATGTAGGGAAGGTGTTGCTTTGCTAATCTTCCAAACAGGTATGCTTCTCATCATTCACTCCATCATCCAGACAATATGGCAACCACAAACAGTCCTTTTCCTCGCTGGAAACAGCTAATCGCACAAGGTATAAAAGATGGAATGGCAGATAAACAAAAAGGCGTCTTATATTTCGCTTTATCAACAGTAGAAACGGGACAAGCAGAAGCCAATACTGCATCCAATCCAAAAGGTGTAAAAACTTCAGGATCGAGCTTTCCTGCTCCTCATGTTCGAATGGTTGTTCATCGTGGATTTGTGAACGAACAACGTAGTTCTTCTTCCCCAACAGGCGTTGAATCTTTCAATCCATCTTTTGGCAGTAATGCATGTTTGATGACAACAACAGATATTCGTGCTCCAAAAGCACAAGATATTCTTGCACAAAGTCAAGCAAAAGGCGGTGCTTCTTCCACACAATCAAGAGGTGCTCGTGGAGAAATTTGTTGGTGGATGGAACATAAACAATTACAATTTCGTATTGCGGGAACGTTGCATTTGATTCCACGTAAAGATCATCCTGCTTTTTCAACTTTTGATGGAAAACGGTTAGCACCTCCAATCAATTCAGAACAATCTGCTCCTGCAGGTGAATTTGATTGGGTAAACGAACGTAAGAGAATCTTTGAGAAAATGTCACCGGAGTTATTGGCTTCTTTCACCAGACCTATGCCTGGAAGCGCTCATCCGAAACAATCACAATTGAACGATACAAAAGGACCCGGAGAAGGTGAAGTCGAAGATTCAAAGGGCGACAAAGAATCTCCATGGCCAATGCAATTACCTCAACCCGGCAAAGAAGAGAACGATGAACAAAAGCAACTCCTTGCAGAAGCAGAGAAGAACTTCGCTTTGATCGTCGTGGAACCAGAAACGATCGATGTCGTAGATCTTTCGCGGGATAGAAGAAGTTTGTTCACCCGTACAAATGACTCTAAAGGTCCAAACTCAGAATGGAGAGAAGAGAGATTGGTGCCATAAAAAGATCGAAAACACATGTATTAATCTACAAATGAATAAATATGACAATTTACGTAATAGCACATCTCCCCCCTTTTCACCCCCATCTATGCCATTGATAATATTCTTTGATGTTGTTCAATCGTTCGCACAATTGTTTCACATCTCGTTTTTGAACGTCATGCATGGACATCAATGTTTTCCTCTCACGAGAACAAGCTTTGATCATGCGTTTCTGGTCGTTCTCATCAACAGTATTGTATGCGTCATCTTCCTTCTTGCGCAACTGTTTTTCTTCATCGTAACATTTCAGCTCGCAACGGTAACGAACAAAATTGATGAGCTTATTGATCTCATCTGCATAATTTGTTCCATAGATCACCGGCTTTTCTGGTGCATCAGAAGCAGGAACACTCTCTTCACCATCCTTTGCGTCCTCTTCAACCATTGCATCAGTTGAGTCACGTCGCAATGCCTGAGTAGGGATCGTTGACATCTTGCCCATCACAAGCAAAGACCAAGCCCAATGACCTGTTGTGTCCGCGGGGAATTGTTCATTGAATTCAGAAAGGTGCCAATACTCATTCCCATCTGTATCGCGACCCAAAGGACCCGTACGAGGTTTGTTTGCATCAGTGTAAACATGAAGGTCAACACGAATATCGATCAATTCAATCAAGTGTTCGCGAGATTTTTCGTCCATTTGCTCTCTCCATTCTTGTGTTTTGAGAGTTCCTGTTTGCTTCTTTCGCAATTCTTTAATTTCCTCGTCTTGCTTTTTGAGTAATTCTTTCTCGCGATCTCTTGTTTCTTTGGCTCTTTCGCGAACCAGTCTTGCGCCTTCTTCGACTTCTGCTCGAATTTCTGTACGTTGCAAGACCAATTCAATCATTCCAGACAAGACCGCAATCCGTTGCTCAAAAGGCGGTAAAGGTGTCTTTTCTTGCTTTGTCTCCTCTGGCTCTACAAAGACCACATCTTCGTCATCGTCACTGTCACTGTCAATTTTAGCTTTCTTCTCCTCTACCGGTTCGTTTGCATTACTGTTTCTCTTCGAACGGTCACGCAATCCAAGCGCTTTTCGATGATCTGATCGTGTTTGATCATCTTCTTCTTTTTGTTGAACTGTTCGAGCAGATCTACGACTCTTTCGCAGTATGGGCTTTTCGTCATCTTCATCATTCAATGCGTCTGCATAATCCATCGCATCATCTCCTTTCTCTGACTCTTCATCATCTGAATCAATATGCAGATCATTCGAGGTGAAATACTTCACTCGCTCACGTGCAGCAGTATTGGCGGCCCGTCTTGATCTTGTAGCTCGACTGTTCAGCAATGTTTCAGTAGGTGTGATGCTCTTGTCTGCATCAGATGAGAAAGATTCATCAGCCGTGCTAGCCATTTGATCAGGGCGCAGCTCAACATCTTCCAATTCTGGTAAATCCACCTCTTTGTGTTCCAAGAGTTCTTTTGCCTTTTCCCAAGCCTCGCCACGTGTAAGATCCTTGTCTGCTTCTTGTAACGCCTTGATCAGAGGTCGAAATCTCATATGCGATGGCTGAGGATATTGTTTCAGTGTCTTGACTTCTGCTAAATAGCATGATAATCGGACGAGCATCGTATGCACTTGTGATTCTGACCAATCGTCAAAGCGATCAAGCTTCTGCAAAACCGCCTTTTTCGGCATGTCGATCGCATCGAAGCGCACTAAAGATTCGTAAATCCATATACGCTCCATCACGTTTGGCAGAGGCAATCTCGTCTCGATCTTTTCCAGTCTTGGTTGCTCAGCCTTTTTCGGCTCAATCAAGGCTGGTAAGAATTTACGTTTCTTTGTAGGAGGTGTGCGTGGGTCTGTCGAGGAGCTTGCATCTTGTCTGTAAGCGACACTGCCATCGCTTTGCACTGCTCGTGCAAATCCATTCAAGATCGTAGGCTGCATAACCTTTTTTGCTGTCTTTTTCTTCTTTGCGTCCTTGGACTTTGTCAGGAGAGAGTCGTGTGATTCGTTTTCACGATCGCGCTTTCCAAGAGCCTCTTTTGGATGTCCGTTCTCCTTCATTTTGCACATGTAGCACTTACACGTACCGGTGCAGCTAGGACAAGCAAACACGTAATTATCTTTCAGCACATGATCAAGACCCTCTCTGTATATGTTGCCAATACCTCTTGTGCTAATATGTCCAAAGCTTTGGTTGTAATGCTTTTCCAAGCTTGATTCGCAGTATTGGATAGGACAACGACTTCCGTTGGGTCTTACAACTGTGCATTGAACTACATTACCTTGACAAGCGGCTCTGTGATGATGACAAAGTACGGGACTTTCTTTCTTTTTATTATTCGATTTGCCTTCTGATGAAGACTTGCTTGATTCTTGTTTGGACTGCTCGACAATGTTGCTATTTGCACCTTTTGAACTTCCTTCGCCATTTTTATTTTTTATCAAATCTGTACCATTCTCATAAACTACTCGAGGAGCTTTACGGTTTGAGGACCTGATACTTTTTCTGAAATCGCTATCTTCAGATGATGAAGGTGTTGCTAGGTCAATCACATCGATCGGTGACTTTTTGACAAAAGACAAGATTGGTTGTTTCATCTTGCCAATTGCCGCTAACATCTCTCCCTTTTTGAAAGAGAGAGAGAGAGAGAGAGAGGTAGTCAATGACTTTTTGTGTTTAAACGCGAGAAGCGAACAAGCGGCTTAGTGTAGATGATCGAAGTGAGAGAAAGAGAAATGCAATTTTCTCAATACTTCATTTCACCAAGTTGCAGGGCAATGTCTTCTCAGAAGGAAATAAAAAGGCGTTTCTTGTGTTACTTTTTCTTTTGGGCTTTGAGTCTCGCGTCGCGCCTGTCTCTTCTCTCCACAATCTTCTTCATACGCAAATCCTAACGGCTTGTGTGTCAATTTACACGCGTAACGCGTGGGCCGCTTCCTAACAGATGAGCTATGCATTTTATAGTCGGGTTTCGGGAGGTTACAATTCTGACAACTAACAATCATTCTACCTTCCATTGATCTTGAGCATCAGCAGATCGATTGATGAGCACTAATGCCACATCTCATCGTCAGTGATGCGGTGGCAAAGCAGCTTCATGACCTCACTAAATCGAACAAAGCCACTCAGTCCGACGATCGCATACAAAGGCTGAAGGATGAATTGGCCAGCCCTCCTCAGCCGGATATGAAAGATGCATACTATGAAAAGGGGTCTACCGTTCTCTCACATCAATGTCTTGTAGATGTAGCTAGTCTCTCTCAAGATGGAGACAATCTATCTTTAAATAATTTGCTACGGGGAGCAAAAGTGGCCATACCGATCAAACCCAAACCAGAACGGGTGAGTAGACTCTCAATCTTACTGCGAGTACACTGGTTAACACCTCCCTTCTTGTCCTAAAGTCACCTGCTTTGATTGAAGCATTGCGCAAGATTGAATTGGAACAACAAGAAAAAGAATACGCCGCCATGATGCCTTCTCAATCAGATAAATCTCTTTCTTTTCTGGATACGTTCAGAAGTGGTGGTAGCGGTAAATCTGGCTACGGTAAAGATAACTCTAACGATGATGAAGAATGGGCAGAAGTACGTCAACAGATCAGTGCTATCATAAACGTTCTCGTCAGTATGGTCGCTGTGGCCGTTGCTGTTTGGTGGGCAGGCGGAACGGCAGATCCGATATGGGTGAGTAAAGAATTCAAGGTGTGCTTCGACTGAACCTCACTGACAAATCTTATTCTTCATTCTTGCCAGAAAACTCTTGTTGCCATGCCACTTTGTTTCCTCGTCGCTATTGCAGAGACATTTTTGTACTGGACTTATTGGGAAAATCTCAAAAAGAAGAAAGAAAGACTACGAAAGAGGAAATGATCTCAACTTGTACAACATAAACATTTTGCTCGCTTGTAATATAAATCGTATAATATACAGAAAAGAGAAGAAGAAACAAAAAGAGTGCGAAAAGGGTACAGTCCGATCATCTTTGGTTTCGTGGAAATATGCAGGTCAGGTATCATCCATCATAATTTGAATAAATTCTTGTTCGTTGATTTCTCCATCTTGATCCAAATCGAATTCATCAATCATAGCCTGTAGCTCTTCTTCGTCAAGACCTTCTCCGAGTTCTTTGGCAACACGTTTGAGGTTCTTGATTGAGATTTTACCCTTTCCATCGTCGTCAAATAGGCTGAATGCTCTTCTAATTTCCTCCATTGGGTCTCGCAGAGAGATTCGGTGTGACACTGAGATGGAAAAAGAACAAGGTCAGCACTCAATATTTATCAGGTACTACTGCACGCCTTCGATTACTCACTGACACGTAGAAAGTCCTCCCATTCCATCACACCTTCTCCTTTGTGATCATTATCCCGTAAGATCTTCAATACTTCGGCTTTCTTGAGATCGAAGCCAAGAGCACGCATAGCAACTTTGAGCTCGTGATAATCAATCGCACCATCTTTGTCTGTATCAAAGAGCTCAAAAGCTTCTTTGATCTCCTGTCTTTGTTCGTCTGTCAAATCGTTCGTTATTCCACCTGCATTGTGTGTATGTGCATTTCCATTGCTCAATACTCCCGTAGATGGTTGACCAGATGTTCCACCTAAGCGAGGTGTACCAGATGAGATACCTCCAGGGCGACGTCTGTTCTTGTTCGCTGAAGGTGTTTGATATAGCGACATTGTCTGAAATGGTGATGAGCAGATGCAGGAAGAGGAAGAAGGTTGGTTATAGAAAGCCTCAAAGCAAGCACCCAAAAAAGTGTTGTTCAATACGCGACGCGCCCCAGTCCAAGCAGCACGGGCTTTGTAACACTTTAAGCCTAAAGAATAAGCTCAAAAAAATTCTTGAATAAATGTAGTACAACCTGGGCATATTAATATCTTTGCCATTTAAACGTTCATCAATTCATACAAGATGTCCAATTCTACAGTCTTGGTCACGATTCATGCACCTACTGTACCAATCGTTTCTGAAAGGAGATTACCAGCAGATACCGCCTTGCTTGCGATCAAAGGTCGTTTAGAACTCTTATGTGGTGTTCCACCAGAAGCACAAAAGCTTTCCGTTTGGAGCTCGCGAACAGATGATAAGGATAGTAGACCTTCCCTGGTTTTACATTTGGACAACAGTCATGCTTCAAAGACGCTAGAAGAGCTAGGCGTTAAAGATGGAATGGGAATCTTGTTGGAAGATCAACGCAGTACATCAGAAAGGGATCAATTCGGAGCGGAAGAAGAGGAAAAGGTGCAAAAGTACGAAATGGATGATGAAACGTATGCACAAAGATCGGATACCGTAATGGCATACAAGCAAAGAATGAAAATGGGTCGCTTTGGCGATACACAATCAGTCTCTTCTTCCGATGCAGGTCAATTACCTGAGCAATATAAAGTAGATGCTCGATGTGAGGTGGAAGGAAGTAGGAGAGGAACGATTCGATATGTTGGGGAAACAGAATTTGCAAAAGGTATCTGGATAGGCGTAGAATATGATGAACCTGTAGGAAAGAATGACGGAAGTGTGGCAGGAAAGAGGTACTTTACCTGTACTCCTAAATTTGGCGGTTTTGTCAAAGCTGAAAAGGTGAACGTAGGCGATTTTCCCGTTCGATCGATCGAAGATGAATTGGAAGATGACGAGGAGATGTAATATTATGCGACCATCAATGATACCCTTTCTTCATGCTACCAACACAATCTTTCCATTTGCATGGGATTTCTATATCCTGTTGAATCGATGAGAAAAAACGAACTTGTAGGAGTGCGGGAGGCAAAGTCTTTTCAAAAGGTGCGAAAGGGGGGACCTCACACAATGCTTTTGCCCCCCCTGCCTTTTCTTATAAGGGCTTTTACTCGTGTCTGGTTCCTTGCGCAGCGCACCGTTCATGTTAATAATCTGCGCCTATGCCCTAAGGCTACGCCTTCTCGCGTTCGAACTAAGAATTGGTCTCGCGATTAACACACATCAGAACTCTCATCATCATCCGCGAACGACATCGGCAACCTAAGCGTAAAGCTTTTTACTATTTGCAAGGATCCGGCATCAAAAAGAAGCGGATGTTAAGACGTTCATTCTAATCATTTCATTCTCCCAACAACAATCGACCCCCAGCATCTCTTTTTCCATAGCGAAAGGCATGTTGGTCCAGTGAAGACCTTTGAAGTATGAAAGACGAATTTGATGTGGCGGCTGGGCGGGAAGATGGAGATGAAACTAAAGAAGATATACGTGCAGTAAAGATGGAATCCAATGCAGAAGATTCAAAGGACGCAATCAAAGTGTCTCTCCTGCCAGACAGCCCTCCTCCTCTACCTTCATCTTCATCTTTAAAACATGAAAAACAAGATGATCTTGACGTGATCGAAAGGGATCAAAAACGTTCAGGATCATCAAGACTGGCCTCCCCCGATGAAGAAGTACGATCATCTTCAAAACGTAGAAAGGCAGCTGCTAGACTTTCGCCCGTTGGTCCAACGCAAACGATTGAACATTTGCCTCTAGCCAAGGATGAAGCCCTTCGCACATTCGAGGAAATGAAAGATAATTGGTATCAAAATCACAAAGTTGGTCGTAGTAGAGGATATGAGAAAGAAGCAATGGTTTGTGAATGTCATTATAGACATGGCGCTGATGATCCAATGATGGCTTGTGGAGAGGATGCAGGATGTATAAATCGTCTTACACAGGTTGAATGTAGAGCATCCGATTGTAATTGTGGCGATTACTGTCAAAATCGTCGATTTCAAAATCATGAATACGTCAACGTGGAAATCGTACAAACCGAAAAGAAAGGTTTCGGTCTTCGAGCAGCTCAGGCAGTACCTACCGATCGTCTGATCTATGAATACATTGGTGAAGTAGTGGAGCAATCTGAATTTATGAGACGTATGCAACAATACAAGGATGAAGGAATACGGCATTACTATTTCATGATGCTGCAACGCGAAGAGTTCTTGGATGCAACCAAAAAGGGTGGCATTGCTCGCTTCATCAATCATAGTTGTAATCCAAACTGTTACGTGTCCAAATGGCATGTCGGCAAACATATGCGGATGGGAATCTTTAGCAAGCGTGATATCATTCCAGGCGAAGAATTGACTTTCAACTACAACGTGGACAGATATGGTAATGAAGCACAAACCTGTTATTGTGGAGAACCAAACTGTGTCGGAGCAATTGGTGGAAAGACGCAAACAGACATCGGAGGAATGGATGAGCTGTTCATTGATGCTTTGGGTATTACGGAAGAAGTGGATCGTTTAGAGGCTCGTGGAACTCGCAAAAAGAAGAGTCGACATCTCGATGAAGATTTCAATCCTACTCTTCGACCGATGGAAGAAGATGAAGTGGCAAAGATGATCACTGCTATCCGACAAGCTGCTTCCAATCGTACAATCTTGCAAAAGCTTATCACTCGTATACACATGACTAGCGATACGGATGTACAACGAAATCTCGTTCAATTGCACGGATTCGTTCTGATGGCTGGCATCTTGGATGAATGGAAAGATGACAAAGAGATTGTGTTGCTTGTCATGGGCAGTCTGGCAAGATGGCCTTTGATTGCTCGAAACAAGGTCGTCGATTCTGGCGTTGACAAGCTGGTGAAAGAATTCTCCGAGATGGAAGACACAGAGTTGAGCAGCTTGGCAAAGGATCTCCTCAGTGCCTGGGACGCTTTAGAGATGAGCTACCGCATCGCAAGAAAGGAGAATGATAAGAGTAGCGAGCGTCATACCTTGTCATTTGCCCAGAGAAAGGCTGATGATGTGGACGATGTTGCTCCTCGGGTCACTTTAGCAGAAGCTCGAGCTCCAAATACTATCTCTCGTCGATTGGAAAATGTTGCGCCTAAGCCGCTCATCCATCCTGGAGCTGAAGAAGAATCGCGATATTCCGGCTATCGTGATCATCGACGTGGGAATGATAATTGGCAGCGAGATAGGAGAAGTCGATTTGATAGCAAGCCGCGCTATCAGTATGCTGACGAATCGTTCAATGGAGGCACGCCCGACCGGGCAAGGTTCCATGCTGATTCACAACGACAATCGCCAAGCGTTACGCCTGCTGCAACACCAAAGGTGCAACCACCCTCAATCGAAGAGATCATTCGGAAAGCGTACGAATCTGAAGCAGCTCAGCGGAAAAAAGCAGAGGAGGCCGCAGCTGCTGCCACCGCTGAAGCGTCTATGCGAAGAACCGAATCGATTGAAAAGAGACCGTCTCTTGCAGGTATGAAGCGCCGTTCAACCACAAAATTGTCATCTGATAAGCGAAGACGAACGAATGAGCCATCTGGCAACCAAGAAGGAGATAAGGAAAGCGCACTGGGTGTGGCAGAAAAGAGACTGAAGATGTTGTTGGGTGAAATCGTTGTGCGATGCATGTCACATCATAAAGACGATTTGGATCGTGATGCATTCAAGAAGCACGCGAAAGACCTAACGACCATCTTGTGCGAAAAAGAAAAGCGCAATCCAAAAGTTTGGCCTCCAGCAATGAACGATAGAGGTGAAGTCAAAGCCAAGTACTTACCAGATGGATTCTCTTCGGAAAAGAAAGGAAAGATTAAATCATTTGCAAATGATTATATACGAAAGTTGATCGCTCATAAAGCACGCAAGCAATCTACAAATGGCGGTCCGAGCGATACACCAGCATCCACTTCTCATTCAATCGAAACACCACAAGAAACTGTCAGCAGACCTGAGGTAGGCGTAAAATTCGCCAAAAGAACGACAGAGATCGAAGAGGATGAAGTCGATTTTGGTGATTCTCCCAACTCGAGCATGCTCAACATTCACGACAGCCCTGCTTCAGGCTCGCGAGCTGGAACGGAATTTCTGAGCGTGAATGGTGTTCATAATTTAGACTCTGCTGCCTCAACAACCACCAATACCTCTACCGATCAAGCTGCACCCAATACGCCCCTTGATATCAACCCACCAACCACCTCTTTCGTTCCAAAGTAAGATCTGTTTCCAATGTTGTAAGCACATGTTGTTGTTTCTGTCTTTTAATAAGCGTCAAAATGTTGTGTAAAGTAGTGTACTCTTTGGACTGTGTTTTTACCATTAATGCAATGATGTCGTCCTCGCCTTAGCTGAGCATCGCTATTAGTACAAGTGTCAAAGATGCTATTTTTTGATTATAATACAATTGATCATGAATGAAAGAAAACATCTTTCATCGTTGAGGAATGTGAGCATATTGTTGTTCCAATCGTTCCACCCCACTTCGTACCGCTCTGATCTTTTCTTTCAACACTTTAATCGCTGCAGGCACCAAATTTTGCGGTGGAATCACGCCGCTTGATTCGATATCGAACAAGAAATGATCACGAATTCTACCTAAAGAAACCTTTCCTTCGAATTCCTTATACCGTAGCACCTCTCTGCTAACAGTATCCTTACGTGCGTTTTTCACGTAAACTTCTTGACGACCCGTCTCCTTGTGTTTACGTACTCCGATCACACCGGGCGGGAAGCAAGAAACAAATTTTTCGATATGTTCAGGTTCGATTGCCGATGGATCAGGAATGTCGATATGTGGTAAAAGTCGATAAGAGGCAGTTGAAACGGGAGAGAATTTTGCATGATCTTTTCCTACTCCCTTAACACAATGTAATTCCATCTTGATCGCTTGTCCTGGTCGTAGCTTTGCCAATAAGATATCCGATTGAACTGGTCTTGGTGGATCATCAGCGAAATCTTCTGATTGCGTTCCTTTTGGATCCCATTCTAATGCGCTTGATAAGACTTTCAAATTTTCAATTTGTTCCGATTCATCCAAATTTGGATCGTCGGAGATCCTATTACAAGCAACTTCTAGCTTGAAAACCAATGTGTTTCGGTCTGTTGGCATTACTCCTTCTGGACGTTCATCAATTCTTTCTGGATCAACTTTGATTGGCACTAAGCCTAATCGATGGCTAAGCACTTCATCCACAATAATACTTGTATTATTGAAAACGAAAACTTGTTCAATCGCAACCGTTGGTACTTCAGCAAGAAGAACTCTTCTGATCGCATTTGCAATACTTGCATCTAAGCCGATCAGATCAAACTCTATTCTCCAATCAGATTTTCGTGTTATATGCGCTTTAAAGGTTTTTTTGAATGAACTTAAAGACCAGCTATAATCTTGACCATCATCGAGGTTATGGGGAAAATGTGGCGAAGAGACTGATCCTACTCGCTCTGGTAGCACCTCTACCAGTCGAGATTTGTCCACCATTGCAAATAGATGATCGGTGAGGAAAGTAGGGTATTATGGTGAGTTGGTTAGAAGGTGAGCTTGCTTTTCTATCAAGTGGACGTGCATCAAGTGGAAATTCTTAAATTTTTTGATTTTCCTCAGCTTCACGTGCAAATAACGCGCTAAAGGGATAAATCAAAGCCTGGCGACAGCCAATTGCTTTTAAAAGGGTTTAAGCAATTGCCGTGACGGAGATAAGAATCAGAACATGGGGGTTATTCCCATGAATGTGGAGTGAACCTTCCTTTGCTTTCATCATCTCAATCAAACAAAAAATGTCCTCACAATCATTCAAAGTTGGACCTGATACCAGCACATCTTCCCTCTCTTTGCATTCTTTGTTCGGCATCAAAGGTCGTCGAACATTGATTACAGGAGGTGGAAGTGGTTTGGGTGCTTTTACAGCAATTGCATATGCATTGCAAGGTGCACATGTTTACATCATCGGCAGAAGGAAGGAGAAATTGGATGAAGTCATTCAAGATTTCGAAGTAAGGAGAAAAGAAGCAACAAAAAGCAACAATAGTGCCGATGCCGAGGCTGCAAAAGAAGGTAAAATTATTGCCATTCAAGGTGATGTCTCAAGTAGAGAAGGAATCGAAAAGATCAAAGGCATTTACGGTCAACATGAAAGTCATTTAGACGTCTTATTTAACGGAGCAGGTATTATCCGTTTTCCCGAAAACAAACCAAACAAAGATGATGGACATGCCATGGTCAAAGCAGAATGGGAACAAGAATGGTCAAACTTCACAGATTCATTCAATGTTAATGTGACATCAATGTACTTTTTCACCTTAGCAATGGTACCATTTTTGGATAAAGCACAAAAGCCATCATTCACCGAACCTGGACCAAGTGTGATCATCGTGGCTTCCATTGCAGGATTATATTATTCGCGTGTTCAATCGGTTTCTTATCAAACCAGCAAAGATGCTGCTATCAAATTGAACGGACTTTTGGCAGGTAGATTACAATCAATCTCAATTCGTTCAAACGTCATTTGCCCTGGTATCTTCCCATCAGAAATGACAAAAGCAGCCTCACCAAAGGATTACGATGATCCCAAACACCCTATGCACGATGCCATTGTCAATGTTAATCCCATCAAACGAAGCGGCACTTTCGAAGATTGGGCCGGTTTAGTGATCACACTTGCCTCTCGTGCAGGTGCTTATTACAACGGAGCAACATTCACATTAGATGGAGGTAGAGTTTTGAATCTTTCAGCTGCCTAATTGTAGAGATAATGACATTGCTTAATCTTGCCAATCAATTCTCGAAAACAATAGCCTTACAGGCTCAAATAAGGAAAAGATAGAGATGAAAATATGTGTGCAGATAGGGTATGGGTATGAATATAAATATATCAAATGACATAGCGGAATCCATTGTGTCTGTCACCTAGGGCCAATAATTGATCTCTTGTGTAACCTTCGTAGCCCCATCTTTGCTTTTCCGATTCAGTGTTCAAACGGGCTGGGTCAACGTCACGGCCGTCAGGATGAGCAACGGAGATTTGATCACGTTTACGATTATCGTTCCAATGAGAAAGCATGATAAGAACGGAAGAGATGATCGTTACACCTGCAAATCCAAGATTGATAGCATGTCCTTTGATAAATCGAGGACTTTCTTTTGTTGGATAAATGTTACTACTGATCAAACCAGCGCTATTTCCGATTGTGAAAAAGAAACCCATCACCGTTGCTCGAACGTACATTGGTCCGAAATTTGCTCCGACCCAACTGATAGCCAAAGCGATATTAGGGCTGACTGCTGACACTGTCAAAAAGATTCCGAAATATTTGACACCTGCCGAAACGTCAGAGATCAAGATTGCATATCCTGCAATTGTGATGCATGCCCAGAAAATAATAAACGGTCCTCGAATCATATAACGATCAGCAACGAAAGCTGTTGTAAGGGTTGTGATGAATCCTAAAACGTAAGGCGGAACAGAAAGTAAATTTGCTGATGCACCGGAGAAGTCCAAAGCGGCGATAATCGTTGGCGTGAATAAAGCCAAAGAATACAAAGGCTCAGCGATACTGATGTACATGATAGCATAGAGATACGTACGATAATCCTTGAAAGCTCTTGTGACTTGCTCCCAACTGAATGGAATATCTGCATTAGTGACTCCTTGAGATTTAGCGAGATAATTGTTCCATTTAGCAGTCTCTGATCGATCTAAGATTTTATTATCATCTGCTGGGAAATCGACCAAGATCCACCAACCGGGCAAAGCGCAAATAAGAGTGATCAAACCTTCAATGATGAAGATCCATCTCCATCCGCCTGCAGGTGCACCGTGAGCTTTATAGAAATCACCGAAAGTTTTCGCTCCCGGAAATGGAATATACTTCAAACCATAAGCGAGGATGCCACCAAAAGCACCTGCAAGCGTGGCCCCACTGAAAAAGATTCCGATTCTTAACGATTGCTGCCTACGAGCATACCAGCAGGTCAACATAAAGTTGATTCCTGGGAACAATCCACCTTCTGCAATACCTAGGAAGAATCTTGCCGCTTGTAAACCATGTCCATTCTTCACAACACCCATGAGTGTCATGACAATAGACCAGGCGATCATGATTATTGGAATCCATCGGTGCGGTTTCAATGCCTTCAAAACCAAATTAGAGGGCACTTCCACTACAATATATCCGATAAAGAAGACAGAGAGTGCAATCTGATAAGCATTGCCTTGAACGATATGTAAATCTTGCTTAAGTCCAGCAACAGCGGCTTGGCCAATGTTGACACGGTCCAAGAATGATAATAGATAGAGCAAGGAACAATAAGGGATAATAGCAAGATCTAATTTCCTAAGAATCTTTTTATACTCTTCATTGCTCATATACAAATCTTGTTCAGAGGCAACCACTTGACCTAAAGCCTCCTCTTCATGGCCTGTCTTGTCATCAAAGTGGCCCACTGGCGCTTCGACGGCCTTTTCTTGCGAGTGAGTGTCTGAGTTAGACATCGTGAGAAAATAAGGATGATGGAACAGGAGAGAAAAGAAGGTAAAAACCGGGATGAATGGATTACTTTATGTAAAAGTCTTTCATTTGAGCCATTTTAACCGAGAATCCATGCAATCGAAGATGAGTCTAAATGCCAAAAAGAAAAGAAAACGCGGGGCAAAACAGCTTTAATACTCCCCACATCCGTCAAAAGAAGATAAGCGAGTATCCCGCGCATTAACGGAGTGTACCGCGTTATGTTCTTTTTTTTACTTCTTAGCGCGGGGGTTGATTTACGAAATCTACCGAACAAGTCTGCATATGCAGCCTCTTTGTCCCCGCCTTTCTCAAGACATCCGGTATTACCGAGTAAGCCTCTTTCATCGGATGGATATTTCTTTCGGATTGCTCGGCTGCTTGAACCGATCGTCAAAAGCCATAAGCAACACAAAAAAACTATTTTCCGGGTGAGAGAAAAGCATTGCAGCGGCCAAGCAATTTTGATACTTTATCTGCCTAAGCAAGATGGCCATATTCCATTCAGGAACGCTACGTAACTACATAAAACATTTTATTAATTAATGCATCTTACATCTCAATCTACTGCTTTTGCCTTCCCTTTGCCTTTTGACTTTTTCGTCGGTTGATCTGCATCTCCTTTAGGGTTGTTAGTAGTAGCAGACGTATTCACCTCACCATTGGCTGAAGTAGTGTCTGCATGACTGTTTCCATTGCCTAGAGAATATCCCTCTACTGCTCCGGGCCCATTACCATTCGCATTAGATCGATTTCCGCTTCCATTTAATGATGACTTTTTCATAGCTGCTAAAATATTCTCCATCGTTCGATCATCATATTCGATTGGTTCGTGCAATGTTCCATTCTGCATTTGTGAGCTAGCTTCACCTTCAGTCTCGCTCTTTGAGTCTGTATTGGAGAACTTTTGCTGTACAGATCTGTAATGTTCCATCTCTTGTGAGCTAACACTTGGCACTAATTCAGACAAAGCAGCTTCAAAGTCAACTCTAGACACCTTGACATCCAAATCTGATGGAGATACGATCTCATCAAGGTAATATTGAGGCGTAAGCGGGATTGGATGATCAGATTCGAATGGGACACCATTTTTGGCTGCTTGCTCTGCCTTGTCTTTTATCTCTTCGTTTAACAATGCAACTTGACCATCGATCCATTCTGCTTTTCTTGTCATACTCTTCAGCATCGCATCACTGCAAAGTGCATAGAAGTCCGCCCCTGTTAAGTTCATCGGACATTGTTCAGCGATGACTGAAAGATCGCCAACATCTTCGTCCAGTTTAAACTTTCGCGTCAATGCTTGCAAGATGTTTAATTGTTCCGAATGAGTTTGCGAAACGGCAAGGTACAACATCCTGTCAAATCTTCCCGGTCGTAAAAGGGCAGGGTCTAAGAGATCCGGTCTGTTTGTCGCTCCGATCACAAAGACATCTGCTGTCGAACTTCCACTGCTCATTCCATCCAATTCGGCCAACAATTGTGACACGATTCGATCCATCACACCTCCTGAATCGCCTTGATTACCACGCTTTGGCGCAATACTATCCAATTCGTCAAAAAAGATAACGCAAGGTTTTGCATCTCTAGCACGTTGAAAAACTCTACGAACGTTTGCTTCTGATTCACCGATATACATGTTGAGCAATTCCGGCCCTTTTACACTGAAAAAATTTAATGAGCAAGAAGTTGCAACTGCTTTTGCCAGCAATGTTTTTCCCGTTCCCGGTGGACCATATAAAAGAATACCACTTCTTTTCTTTAATCCATCACTGAACAATTCAGGATGCTCCAAAGGTAATTGAATAGTATCCAAAATGTCATCCTTTACGCTGATCAAACCACCAACATCGTCCCAAGTGACGTTAGGAATTTTTGGTGCACCAATATTTTCGCTATAACTCAACCGTGCTTTGTTCAAAGCAACATCAAAGTCATTACCTGTCAAGGCAACTCCTGCTTCCACTATACTTGGATCAAGGTGATTGTTGCTTGTTGTATTGCCTGCCACGTCTGCTTCACCCTCTTGTTTCGTCACCCTTTCAATTGCAGCCATTCTTGCACGACCAACAAGATCCACAAGATCAGAAGCAACCAAAGCTGCCGTTTGCGTTGCCATACTCTTTAAGCTTACATCAACACTCAAAGTTGAATCTCGCAAACAGGTATCCAATATGGCTCGTCTCTCTGCTTCATTGGGTGCTTCAAAGTTTAACTCGTGTCGGAAACATGCCAAGACACCCGTCGGACAGCGATCTGCATCTCCCGTAGTACCAATCACCGCGATTGGCGAGGGTGCTTGTGTGTTCGTCGATGCGTCTTCCTCTCCGTCTGAATGGTTGCGGGAAGATGACTGTTTCAGACTTGTCATGCAATCTTGTAAGACCGTAGTCATCGTTGGCTCTTGGCCTGTTTCTAATGCTTGACTCTTTCTTGCCAATGCTTCTACGTGCCTCAAGAGCAAAATAGCAGGGGCACATCCAGCAGCCTGTTCGAATCTTGCCCTTAGAATACCTTCCGTTCTTGCATCTGTATCTGCAATCAAGTCGTAGCAATTCAATTCTACTATGTGAACTCCCGTCTTCTGTGCGACCCATCTGGCAATCGTTCTCTTTCCGCATCCTCTAGCGCCTTTGAGTAAGACACTTAGATGCAAACCATAATCGGCTGCATCAGGTAATAAGGTAGCCTTGACCAACAGTAACAAACGACCGAATACACTCTCTGCTGTCGTCAAGGGAGAAGGCGTGAACGGCAAAGGGGGTGTATCGGAAGCTGTACTCAACCATTGCTGTGAATCAATCACACGAGAATGTGTAACTCCGGATTGAACCATTTTCGTCAACATAGTATCCACAGCACAACCAAATTGTCCCGTTCTTGCCATCTCATGAATCCACAGATCGGTTTGCATTGGCTGACCATCGTTATTGGAAATTGGCTCGGACACCTCAGGCGTCACGTCACTCACGCAAAAGTAAACCACTCCAGTAGATTGGGAAGAGTTCTGGTGACCAGGAGCTGGTAAAGTGATATCATATGCTTCTTCATCGTTGTTTGTGCTATTCTTGTTCTTATCCCCTGTATCGTCTTCGTTCCCATCATCTACCGCCCAACGAATCTTGCTCTTATCAAATGTAACGGCAAAAATGTCACCTTGTTGAACAATTCTACGTCCACCTTCAAAATAGGTCCGCAAAGCACCCAAGAATAGATTTTGATACTTTCTATTGATGCTCAAAGGTCCGGCGATTCGTGATATTGTTAGTGAATCAGCGAAAGGTAAAGGTAGTGGACAATCGGGCAGAGCATCAGATCGATTCTGTGTCGTGTTTGTCATTTGCCATGATCCTAATGATCGTAGGGTAATTGCTTTAGCTGTGTCCCTAGACGGATCGAATTGGCCGATATGATACAAATTTTGTAACAAGAGAGGCGAAAGGAAAGCAAATGGAGACGAAGGGTTCACTCCAATGAGCTTGCCCTGCTGTGCCTGATGCTGTAACTGAGCTTGAAATCCTCTAGGCGCACAAAGAATCTTTACAGCTCTTGCCTTCCCTTCATTTTCTACTTCTACCAAAGCCCAATCTCCTTCAAAAGAGCCTAATTGAGGAAAAGTTGATTCGTCCAACAAGATACAATTATCAACATCAAAGCCGGACATATCACGCCATGCTCTTGATGACCACGAACGCAATGCATCCTTTATCACGCCGATATCTTGAACAGGAAAAGGTTGAAAATTAGTCCCTGATGTATCGGTGAAAAGGCTGCCTCCTGCTGTGCCATCCACATTGCTCTCTAGACTGTCCAAAACACCTTTGGTGAAGAAGTGCTCGTCCACTACGATGTTGCTTGTGTCGTGTATCCCATTGATTGCACTTGAGCGAGACAGGTTCGACATCCCTGTCTGTTCATTTATGTCTTCAGCTTGACCATCATACGTGACAAAAACTTCTGTATCCTCTTGCGAAGCTATTCCTTGCAGAACAGGCTCGCACATTACCACTTGGAATGTACTGTCGCCAAAGCTAAGAAGGTCATCTTGTCTAACCAATCTTCCATCCATTTGACCTTCGATAATGGTCTGAGAGGATTGGGCATATTCGAAAGACTTTTTCGATTGTGCCGATAAGATTATGTGTGATAATGTCAATGGTATATGCGGTCGGACAACAACCTCGATAGAAGATTCGAATAAAGACAATTCTGTCGGAAAGAAGCGTCTATAAGGAGCAGGTAGAATGACAGACTGATTGTTTGCCTCATATGCTCTTCCATTCTCTGTGCTTGAAGTAATTGAAGCTTGTCCCCTTTCATCATTTGCGATTGGTAGAATGAGCGAAGGTAATCTAGTATTTTGCTGAGGACTGGAAGATGAACAAGGCGAGAATTGGTGAGGCAGATCGACTGCGATGTACGGTCTTCCGTTGAGACGGGGAAGAGAAGTTGAAGAAGAAGCAGATAGTTGCTCGTACAATTCTCTTGGCCAGATTAATGCTGCATCTTGTTGATTGGATGGCCAAGTCGGAGTAGACTCTTGGGAAAGTACTTCATCCGAATCAGCGAATCGCAGAGTGACAAAACGTCCTTGCGATAATCCAGAGGTTGGTATGGTCATCTTCTTCCGCAATAACAACCCTGAGGTGATGGTGAAAGATGAAAGTATAAGAAGAATCTGGGGTTTTCCTTCGCTCGCTAGAGAGAAGACTCCACTACCGCTTTCATTTCAAAAGCTTTAAATTTGCCGAACCGGGTAGGTGCTCTTAGCTTTCACCGGTCAACGCGCTAATTGAATGCTCAGCTCAAGGCACTTGCACGTGAGTTGTCCCATTCTTGCGTTTGACTTTTTTTTCTTCGCCCTTAGATTATGCAGCGCGAATGAATGCCTTCTTGCGAAGAATCAAAGGATTAATTATAGCTTAGCATGCTTACCATATAAAAGCCGTCACTCTCTCCTTTTCATCATCAGCTTCTCTGACCAACAAAGATGGCAGCTTCGATACCGTCCTCCTCTCGAAGCCTATTGGCACAATGCATTCACCCTTTACGATCTTCCTCTTCTTCATCTCTGCGTCGGGTTAGTGCAACTAGATTCGTTCAACAATCAAGGAGACAACTGCATTCCTTGCCTAGCTTGCCTGCAAATTTGAAAGAAGGCGACGGTTGTGAACCTCTGTTCAGCTCACAAACTGTTCGACTTCTGTGGGATGATTGGCATGCTGGACTTTTGAACAAATTAAACGATGAAGTTCGCGGAACGCCCTGGGAGAATTCCAGTATTGTAGAAACTGTAATCGGAACTGCACAAGATCCTTCGCAAATTCAAGCATTCAATTATGCCTCAATGGCATTGAACAATAGTTTCTTCTTGAACGGATTACGATCAAAACAATTACCACAAGGAACGCGGCATTGGGCAGACTCACCTCCAGGAAGTCCTCCAAGGGCAATCTCAAGCGCTATTGAAAGAAGCTTCGATTCATTACCAGCATTCAAATTGGCATTCTCTTCTGCCGCATATGGAATGTCAGGAAGTGGATATGTTTGGTTGGTACAAGATCGTCACCAAAATATGGGTATCGTGCCTACCTTTGGAGCAGGAACGGTATTGGTACAAAATCGCGTGCAACGTTTTGAGGAGAGTAATCCAGCCTTGTTTGCAACCAGCAACACAGTCGCAAGTTCTACCAACAACAGCACCAATGGCGCACAGGTTGTCAAGGATTCCGAATTTAATGGTGACAGTGGAAGTACTGCTGGATCTTCTCCTACTTCCCCAAGAAGACTTTTCTTGCCTTCTTCAGCTCCTTCAGATATTGAAGGGTTGGGCGAAGAATTATTCCCGCTACTATGTGTTTCCGTTCATGAAAGAGATTGGCTACCGGATTACGGTATGTGGGGAAAAGAGGAATACTTGATGCGTTTTTGGGAATGCGTTAATTGGAACCGTGTTAACGAGCTTCATAATTCATACAATAGCGTCGCTTAAGGGTACGATGATGTTTTATTATCATTCATAATGCATATTTGTACAATTTGTTGTTTGGGTTTGTGTGTTAATAGATTGTAAATTGGAAATCTGTCTTCTTTTGCAAATTGGTTACCGTTGAGTTTAAAGTGGAGCTAAAAAGCGCGCTTATATATGCATTCATTCTACCTTCTTCTTCATCACTTCAATCACAAGGTGTTACGAGATGAATAGAAATGCATCCTCATTTAGCCAATGAGAAACAAGTGCATTGTGGAGAATTGATCGATCAACTTCAACAATGTCATCAAGCCGGTTTTATGCACAAATATATGGGTGGCTGTAATGGGATCAAAGAAGAATTAAACGCATGCTTGCGTGAAGAGGTATGTAAGGAAGGAGAGTGTTATGCTAGATTAATTTGCGATGCTGACAAGATAATCACAGAGATTGATTCGAACACAGAAAAATCGAGAAGCAAGCAAGGCACAGAATGAGAAGAAGAAGGCCATGTGGAAGGATATCGATGAGAACAGATAGCAGCGCCTCTCGTCGAAGTGATGGCGGTCATTCTCTTACTCTCGCATTTCGCTTAAAGGACTATAATCTGCTATCCTACACAGAGTCGTCACGAAAGTCTGGCTGCTGGCCATGTATTGACAAGAGGATGAGGGCACCGCCGTACTCTATTGTAGAATCATACTTAATCAGCATGAATGTATCACCTGTCACGTGTATAAGAATTTTTCAAAAAGATTAAACATTTTTGGCGCGATAACTTTTTTTTCATACGTGAGGCACTCTAGCAGTCAATAATTCTTCTCAGGTTGCATTTCATTACCATCTTGTGTTCATTGGAAGAAAGTTCTTTTGCTCTTCATCATCCACTTTTAGCAAAAATCAAACAAGATGGCAAAACAAGCAAAGAGGACGAAAAAGTTTATCAAGAATAAACTTGACAGTTCATTGAAGAATCGAAAAGAGAACAAGAAAAAATCTGCTCAGATAGAAAGGTCGAAGAAAAATAAAGAAGCAAGAACTGCGTTTAAGGGATCTTCGAACGGCAATCATGCATCAGAACAAGATCTGACTGTCGAAGCAGGATCTGATGAAGATGCAGAAGATGTTGATGAAATTGCTAAGCCCCGAAAAGCAGGTGGAAGGATGACTGTTGATGAATTTATGGGTGGAGGATTTAAAGGATTGGAAGGAGCTGGAAAAGGGGAGGCCGAAGATGAAAGTGATGAGGATGACGAAGAAGAGGATTACGATAGCGATGACGACGATTTAGAAGATGTTGAAGACCTTTCTGACGAAGAAGATGAAGGCCGCGATCATGCGCAAGACTTGGCAAAATTGGCAGAACGGGATCCGGAGTTCTTCAAGTATCTACAAGAGAACGATCAAGAGCTACTGCAATTCGGTGGAGAAGAGGAGGGAAATGATGGCTCAGAAGATGAAGAAGATGTTGAGATGACTGACAAGAAGGGCAAGGGTAAAGCTGTGTCCGAAAGTAGGTCGGAGAATGTGACATCAGATATGCTCAAACAATGGCAAAAGAGTATCTTGACCACACATTCACTTCGAGCTTTCCGAAAGTTGCTATTGGCTTTCCGTGCTGCTGCTCACATGGGCGCTGATGATGCTGCTAATCTCGCATATTCAGTCAACAATGCAGCTGTGTTCAACAAGCTAATTATGACAACGCTTAAATACGTTCCTGTCGTTTTGCAACATCATATCGGATACAAGCAGCTCCCTTCGGGCAAATACAAATTGCCATCTAATAGCAAGAAGTTTGCCGCCCTTCAAAAATCTGTTCAAAGCTTCTTTTTGAGCTTACACCGTCTCTTGCGAACGTTACCCGAACATAAACTGCTTTACGTCTGTGTAGATGAAAGCGCAAAGATGATCCCATACATCTTGCAAAACAGAAGAGTTGCTCGTCAGCATGCAAAGATCTTGCTAGAGTTATGGTCAACGGCTGAAGAAAATGTTCGAATTGCAGCTTTCTTGTCGCTAAGAAAGATGGCAGCTGCAGGCGATGAAGCTTTGTTGGAGTTGTGCTTACATGGCGCTTATCGTGGTATCGTTCGTGGATCAAAGGCAATGACGGTACATTCTTTGGCCAATATCAATTTGATGAAAAATTCGGCAAGTGAACTTTTCTCGATTGATTTGAATGCAAGTTATCAGCAAGCATTTGGTTTCATTCGACAATTGGCAATCCATTTGCGTGCATGTTTGAAGAATAAAACACAAGAGTCTTACCAGGCTGTGTACAATTGGCAATACGTTCACTGCATTGACTTTTGGTCGATCGTTTTGGCAACGACGTGCGATAAAGAAAGAGTTGCCGAACAAGGTCAAGCAAGTATTATGCAGCCACTGATTTATCCCTTAGTACAGGCTGCCACTGGTGCAATTGGTCTTATCCCAACTTCAAGATATTTCCCATTGCGTCTTCACATCGTTCAATCCTTGCTCCGATTGATGCAAAGAACAGGCACATATATCCCCTTGGCACCAATTCTTTTGGAAATGCTAGACGCTCCCGAATTTATGCCTCGTAAATCAAAAGCATCTACTGCATTACCTCTACAAATGGATTTGCTCATTCGAGCACCCAAATCACATTTACGCACAAAAGTCTACGCTGATCAATTGGCAGAAGATTTATCTTTCCGTTTATTGGAGTTCTTGGCCACCTTGTCACGAAGTATCGCATTCCCCGAATTGGTCATTCCGATTCTATCGGCTCTGCGAAGATCGATCAAAACGGCAAAAGGTCAACAAAACAGCAATAAGAATTCAAGAGATCAATCTAAATTTGTGGGAACGTTACGTAACCTGATCGAAAAGATTGAAAGACATTCTGATCAAATTCGATCGAACAGGAATGGGGTAGAATTTGCACCAAGGGATCAAGATCAAGTGGCCAAATTCTTATCAGATCATAAACAAGAATTACCAGTTGAGGCAGCCTTGCGTTTAGCACGTAAAGTCCGAACGGACAAAGAGGCTCTATTAAAGCAAAGTCAAATTGAGGTTTCACAGGATGGAGAAGAAGAAGCATCAGAAGACGAAGAAATGAGCGATCTGGAGGAGGACTTGGAATTAGACGAAGATGAAGAAGACTGAGCCGATGAGATAGAGTGCCTTCAATGTATATGTGGTTTTTTAAAAACAATTTAATTGTACAATTTGATCTTATTGTTTACATTGGCGTGGGTAAATGATCGTAAGACAAAGTCTAGACAATTGAGATCATTTGTCGACCCTGTTTTAATTATCACGTTTTATTTGCATAAATGAAATGGAGATCTGCATTAAATGCAATATTCATATAATGACACAATAAGAGGAAATCACGGAAAGCATGTGTCTATCATCTAAAACAATGACTTTGATCTTTCATTGTCATTTTTTAATTGCATGAAGCGTATTGTTGATAATCCGCTAATATAACTTAAGCGGTTTTCGAATGGATCCGCTTCTTTGTTCTATCAATGTACCTAGAAACACATTCTACAACGGTTCTCCCGATCAAGACCGAAGTGGGAAATTGAAATTGCGGATAATTTGTTGATTTCACCGAGGTAAGAAAAGAAAAGATGAATGCAGATCGTTTTGTGTTCTTTGAGCCACACACGCTAATTCGACATTGTGCATGCTAAAGTTCAATCAATGTGTGTATGCGTATTAGAAATTTAAAACGCTAAAGATTAGTGTGCCATCACGACATCTCTTTATTTATTTTCGCAATCTTTCCGAAGCCTTAGGCTGGCAACGCACGTAGGTGTGTAAGCGTGAGAAGAATAAACAGAGGGCCCACTTGTTCGTGTGAGGTGAAAAGACGCGTTCAAGAAACGCGTCGACGCGTCTTATGTGGGGTCATAAGTTTTTTGTTCTTTTTTGTACCGCAAGCGAACAACACGAAGAAAAAGCAAATGCAACACCAATTCTTCTTGCTGTTTCGATACAACGAACATCTGCGTATGGAAACACGAAAATGTCCCCGCGTGCTTGCGCGATGCACTGAGCTGCGATACCCTGCGTCGGACTAAGGCGAAGAACTTGCTTCTTCTTCTTTCTGCTTACTTGAATTCGCATCATGTACGATCAAGCCGGGGCTTGCTTTTATAATAGGCTAACGGCCTCATTTCTCATGCACGATTATGTTTGTTTGTAAACCTTAACTGATTGATGTCAATCATAGTATAAACTATGATGTACATACATACATTTCAAACAACAAGAAAACCTCCTAGTGCCGCGATCGTAATCGTTCTTCTGAATTAATCGACCAATCGGAGATCAATTCCAGTATGCTGGACTCGTGCGAAAGAACGATTCTTTATGTATACGAAACACGTTCTCATCCATTCACAACTAAAACCAATACTATTGTAAATGTGCATAGATTGAAAAATGAACTGTAAAGAAGTAACATGACAAAATAAGGATCGTAGATGAACTTTCGTACGACTAAACGGTAAAAGGACCATTGTTCGTTACTGTTCCTATTACCGTTCTTCTGTAGAAGAGAACGAGCATGAAAGTGGAATGGAATGTTCTTTTTGTATAGAAGTCCATTCGTCTAGAAGTCGAAAAAATTGCGTGAAGAGAAAACCAAATTGAAAGAGAAACAAAAACAAAGAAATCCAAATGCGTTTTGTTGAGCGAAGCAATGAATGCGTTTTGTTGTGCTTGAATGGCAATCGAGTGCTGAGCATGAAGAGCTGTTTGTAGGCTACAGTAGAGAATCCAAAAATAGAGAGAGAATGAAAATGTTGAATGACCGTGAATGTATAATTTGTGACCGTGAAGAAGAAATAAATATCCAAGAGAAAATGCTTTATCCCATAGGCGAGAGAGAAGAAGGTTGAGGAGAAACAGACGGTTTCAATCCTTGTTGTTGTTGTGGTACGATGAAACCATCTGATCCACGTTTTCCAAGCATGTCCACAGATGAACGAGAACCGTTTCCGACACTTGAACCAGGAGAAGATAATGAGATTGGTCCGCCCAACATATCATTGCTGATAGTAATTCTGCGTTTCATGTTTGTTTTTGAAACAGCTTGAGCAGCGGCAGCAGCAGCAGCTGCGTGTGGATCATGTCTTGCTTCTTGAGGTTCATGACCGTTATCTAAAGCCATACCCGTCATTCCGTTACCTGTCAAGCCGCGTGATTCTGGACCGTTGGCTTTTGCAGCAGCAGCAGCTTGAGTGATGTGTAACAAACTCTCGCTTGTTCTGCCCAACGTTCTATAATGCGTTTTGAGATGTTGAGTCAAATTATCCGTCCTGCCGAACCATTTATTACAACCAGGCGCAGGACAAGGATGTGGCCTTTCTTGTGTATGAACGCGATTATGTCTTTTGAGATGTTCCAATCGTTTGAATCGCTTTCCACAATAACAAACGTGCAGCTTATCAGCAGAAGAAACGATCAAAGGAGGAGGTGCTGCATTTCTGCCACGGCTCTTTGGTGTTGCATTCCTTGCAGCTCCGCTTGAAGGAGAACGAATCATATCGTCTCCTCCTTCAGGCGAGCCAAAAGGATTGTGCATCGAAGCCGGTGCACCTGCAGGTGACATCAAGCCCATACTCATTCCCATTCCAGGCGAAGGCAAGCTACTTGTACTGCGGGAAGAAATCATTTGTGGAGCGCTCATCGTCAATTCGTGCATTCGATGATGATGATGAGCAGCATATGCGGCAGTATTTGCATCTCTTGCCATAGCTTGCATTTGAGAAGTAGAGTAACCGGACAATCCTGCTGCATTCAATGCAGCTGCAGTGGCTGCCATATTGTTCGGTCCCATTGGTGTACTTGGAAGAGGAGATTCTTGTTGTTCGTATTGATGATGCAAGCCCAAAGAAGAACGTAAAGGAGTACTTGGAATTGATGTGAATCCATTGATTCCATCTCGTGCAGGAGCTGATGAAACGCGAGACATGGAAGCTGATTGACCACCTCCGCTGCCTGACATTGTGCTAACCGAAGAGGGTGAAAGTGTTCGATCTCCAGTCGAATCTGTTCCGTTCTGATGCATATGTGTTGCATTTTGAGCAGCGGCCAATTTTGCTTCATGCTCTGCAATACTTGCTTCCAACGATCTTCCATTAGAGCCAATCATTCCATGACTGTAACTTCCTTGCATTGCAATGCTTCCTCGTGATTCACTTGATGGAGAAGAATAAGCACTTCCAGTTGTGAAACTATCAAACGAATCCATCCTCGTCAATCGTGGAGCAGAGAATGCAGAACCAGAAATGGAGCTGCCAATGACGCTAGAATCATCGGGTGATGATTGAGGTCGCATAGATTGAGGGGTTTGGAAACCATTATAGCTGTGCATCGTTGGTGGCATTGTGGCAGGGTGTTGATCATGGTTGCCAAGGTTTGCCGAATTTCTAGAACTACGCGGCGTACTCGGCAACCTTCGATTTTGTTCACCATTTGAAGTGTTTCTACCTGAAGATCCTTGAGATGCCAAGCTTGAAACTTCGCTTTCAGATGTTTGACCTGCAAACACTTGATAAGATGGCGGCATAGGGGTGATATCATCTGCTGATGTTGTATTTCCGCCCATATCATGCCTCAATTGACGAACTTGATCGGTGTACAATGTATGTGCAACACCTGTCGATCTTCTACGTGAGTTGACCGCAGTGGAGATTGGAGGTGCCATGAGAGAAAAATTTTGTGTTGAGGCACTTGAAGGAACGGAAGTTGGATGAGTTCCCGAAAGAGATAACAAGTGCTCATGGTGAGCAAATTGCGAGCCTGGACCAGAAACGTATTCTTCCAATGCAGATGGGTTCATTGCTTGTTGATGGGGCGTACCGATTGCCAATCCTGCCAAAGAGGAGAGCGAGTGAGACATTCCCATAGGCGATTGCGAAGGTGTAAAAGAGGAACGAATTGGGGAAGTTGGATCAAATGCACTTTGACTGCCAAAGCTTGCACCATCGTTATATATTGAAGAACTTGAGGCATCAGACAAGTTTGAAATAGATTGTTGACGATGCAATGTTGCCCCTCCTTCCATTCCATTGAATTGCATATCGTTACCCATCATATGCTGCCAATTCGACTGGTGACCGGGATGACTGTTTTGTAGCAATGTCGTTCCGTTGGCCATTGAAGCAGCAGTAAAGGGAGAAGGGAAAGATGCAGAGGAGGAAGAATGATGGTGATGATGTCCATGAGAGGATGCTTGAATCGTTGAAGGAGTTGATGAAACAGATGTGTTTGGGAAGCTACCGCCCAAAAGGCCGAGACTATTTTGGTTCATGTCAGAATCACGTTCTGAATCTAGGAATACATCTGATCCATTCTGATGTTGCCAAGAATGTGACGGTGGTGGATGTTGATGGGCAGAAGACATGGAATCAGATAAACCTGGCATTCCTGTCAATTGTGAAAGGCTTAAATTTCCTGGCGGAGAATGACTTTGTCTTTCTTGATCTCCCATCTTTGGTGTAGAGTGGGTATGCATATCTCCAAAGTTCATTTCTTGACCTTGGTGCAAGAGAAAAGCAGAGCTGTCAAAAGCTCCCTCTTCTCCCGATTCAGGGTGAGAGTGCATTGAATGATCCATTATTGCCATCTAGAGTAAGAGAGATATTGTGTAATTCGATAATTGGGAAACTTGTAATGGAAGATGTAGTCGTCTAGTGCAAGAATGGTTGCAGTCGAAAAGTCGTTATGAATACTTGAATGCAGAGTGATGCCAAGGTTTGTTTGAGGGTATGAGATGGACGTTAAAGTTGAAGATCATACAACGGTAAGGAGGGATGAAGGAAACAAAAGCAAAAGCAGCAAGGAGTTGATCTTGTTTGTTGACAAGGAAGGTTTTTGATAAAGTTTGAATAACAAACACAACCAACACAAGATTGTCGTTGGCAAAGTAGAAGTGCAGTATAAGTGAAGCAAAGTAAAAGGAAAACAATAGAGAAGGGTATAATGCAATAAACTTCAAACCAGTGTCATATCCTTGTTCCACTTTGTAGGACCGATAAGGTGTTCTCTTTGGCTGATAGAGTTGTACAAAATCGTAAGCGAGGGGTTTTGACGCTATTGACGATTAGAATCGATTATGGTTCCGATTTAGGTCAGGTTGAAGACCAAGAAAAGAGGATAGGATGGAAAAGCGTTACTGTTGTCTCTATTTTTAGGGAGCCTATGCATGCGAGGAATTTTTGTTTTTCCCGATTTTGCTTATGCCAAGAGGGTTTGTAGTAGAAAACAGAATAAATGCGTGTGCGTGTGCGTGTACGCTTTCGTGCTTGCCTTCTTGCCTTCTTGCCTGCTTGCAGCACGTCGGTCTCGTTACTACTTTTTAGTCTGTAAAGTCGGATGCCAAATAACACAATATGTAGTATGTGAGAACGAACGGAGGAAGGGTTTGAAGACGGAAGAAGGAGATTCGCTTGAAATGTGAATAAGAGGGAGACAGTCTTACTGCATGATCAACTTCGCCATTTGAAGAAACTTTCCTATTTGAAAACGGGAAAAGAATGCTAAAACTCAGATCGGGCTCGAATGAAGCAATTCATCTGTCTTTCCACACATGCATTCGACCGGGGTCTTTGCTCACACGATTTTAGTAAGAATGTAAACTCGGTGAAGCTTTTGGTTCTTTTCTTTGCTACAATATGTGTACGCCGATCGTGTTAAAAAGTGCATTAAAGCTTATTGACCGTTTTTAAGAAAGGAGAAAAGAGAGTCTGTCCAATTCATACTAATGAAAGACCGTGTACACTCGCATTAGCCTGTGCATAATGTAATGTACCTTTTTCATATATGAATACTTATGGGAACTTCCATGTGTGTGTGCCGGTCTAGCTGCATGCAGCCAGGATTATATGCATTGCTAGTGTTGCGCTTTGTGAGAGATTGCGGTCAATGAAAAACGAAAAGCCCCGCTATCCGAATACACGAAGGGTTCCGTTTTTTAATTTACCTCCTTCAATCAAGAAATGATTTCTCTATAAATTAAAGTTGTGGAAATCTTTTTTTAAGAAATTAAAAAAGAACAAAGGGATTAATTTTAGAGGCAGTTGTGTTTTAATCAAAATCTAGACAAAAGAGCAAGATTACACACTAAAATAAAGTTCAAGTGAAATAGTGTATAGGCCCAAGTGCAGGATGTCAAAAGAGAGAAAAAAGCACTAGCCAGATGCGATAGATGCAAGTAGGGATTTGCAGCAGGTCAAGATATGGTCAAAAAAAAGTGTCAATCAACCGAAATGGAACAACGGCTTTTTTTTTGCCAGCACTTTAACGCGCACGTACGTTTGTGCATATTGTTTATCCGACTGTTGTTGCCCATTACAAAAAGGAAAGGATCTTCATTAATCTATGCATCAACGCACGTACTCAAGCCATTCGCGTTTGGACAATTGCCAATTTAGGTGCGTACCTAACGGCATCACGGCGCTGCGCGTATGCCCCTGATCGGTGCCAGTACAGTACAGAACAAAACAGAATTCTCTCTTCTGAGTTTAAAAGAACAGGTTCAATTTGGAAGCATGAGGCTTTTGAAAAACTTTGTGCGCTTAAGCAGGCTGCAAGAAGCAATATCGTGTTTGTGTGGGAATTCAAACCCTTTTATCCACTCATCCGTCATTTTAGTGGGCTGATTACGGGAAGATTATTATCGAGTCGGACCAAAAATAAAGAAGTAATTTGGCGTTTATTTCAAACTCCGTGGGACACCTAAAAAGATGGGCGTGAGAAGTATGAAAGGAGGAAGAAAAACACGGGAACAGATAATCGCTTAAAAAAGATGCCCATCCAATGGGTTAAAATGACAAAGATTGTGTGGCGCCCGCTGATCAAAGTTCCGATTTAGGCTAAAAGATTACTAGTAGCATTGTATTCAATAAAATTCATTCTCCCACGCAAAGAAAAGAAGATAATAAATACACCCCATTTGTGTGCGCGCCAGGTTGCATTGCGCTATTACGAACTTGTACGCCGCCTCACTCACACGAGACTGACGTCAATTGGAGGGATTCATACAATGAAGAAAATAGTGTTGTTTGATGTCTTGCATTATATTCACATCAGATTTCGGCTCCACACACACCTCTATTCAGGCACACGGATGTATTCTTTCCATACATATACTCCCGCATCTTTTTTGATTATAAAGAAAGAATGCATGTGAACATAAACTCGGAAAGTAAGTGTGGGGATGAAGGATATAGTCTATGGTATCGATCAGTATGACCGGTTAGAGATATGTTTGAGAGGATCGAGAGATTACTTACACACATAGCAAGATAAGAAGTGATTTTGATCTATTTGCACTTCAGACTTGATGGCATGATAACCCTATCCGTTTCAAAAGGAAGAACGGGCTACTCTCTTGGCATTGGATTGATCCATATGGATTCGCCATTGTATAACGCGTAACGACGCGTCAAGTTTTGTTGGACTTGTGCTTGCTTGCTTGCCTACCTGTGTACCATCTCGGTTATGTACCCCTTGCAGCAACCGATGATCGGATCTGCCTTAAAAAGGCTACGCCCGCATTGCTATCATATCAATTTAGGATCATCAATCACCGATCATTGTATTCCGCTTCGGAAATATGTGTTTGTTTGCGTTTCGTGGGCTTGAGCATGTGAATTTATTATTCATTTATGCAAGCACTGATCTTCAACACGTTCTGCTTAACATTATACATTTATTGGTCGGATTTGTCGAATTTTCCGTCATCGATCACCTTTTGACATAAATGAAAAACATTCTTTTATTGCATTCTTTCTCGGTGATCGGTCATATTCCCGACAGAGCGGTAATGACGCCATTTCATCAATATCCTATCTTTATCTGATCTATTATCTCAAGACTAAACATGGTTCTCTCACCGTAACAAACAAATCATGAATGTAAATGGCATCTTTTTTATGTGATTGACGATGAGCATTGTTCTCGCAATCGATATGACATCAAAGAATAGAGATAACAGATGAGAACGTAAATGTGTGATAAGTATGAAAAAAGCACTTCACAACATTTCTACTCCTTTTACCTTTCTGCTTTATTGACCCCAGTATTGGCGGTAAGGATATGATGCATAATTGGCTGATGCATTGTTTGGTTGTTGATGACCAGCGTAAGCATTGTATTGTTGATAATAATGCTGTTGTTGTTGTGGTTGTTGACTTTGCGATTGTTGCTGATGTGGTTGAGCTTGACTTTGTTGGTTTTGCAAGCCAGATTGAACTTGTCCACTTTGATTGCCTCCTAAACCAACCGATGATCCTTGACGGGCAGGAGATGGATTGGCAAGCTTGCTGCTATCATATTGTCGGTAAGCATTGTCCAGATTGTTTGAATTGGCTGTGCTATTGCTAGTTTGAGTTTTGTTTTGGGAGCCAGCACCGTTTGAAGCTTGTTGGCCCAAAAATCCGCTTAAACCTGGAATACTAGAACCTGTATTGTTGCTCACATTGGTGTTGGATGCATTGTTGGTTCCATACAATTTCGTGTAATCCGTTGCAACACTGTTTGGTGCTCCACGGCCGTAATCGCCATAGGTTGACGATGCCAAAGTGGATGTGTTGGCAGGTGATTGGTTGTATTGACCAACATTAGCTGTATTGCCGTATGGATAACTGGCGGAAACATCACTGTGAGGCAAATTTTGAGCGTAAGGAGATTGCAAGCTTGCAGGGGTGGTAGGCTTAGTAGGATGTTGTGGTTGACCACCGTACAAAGCGTATTGACCGTAACCAGCTGCAGGTTGACCAAAGTGTTGGAATTGGTTTGGCAAATAGTAGTGAGGGTAATAGTAAGGCATCATGTTGGGGAACTGTTGTTGTGCCTGCTGTTGTTGCTGCTGTTGAGGGGGTGCAACTTGAGGAGCTCCACCTACACTCGATGAATCAGTTTGAGATGCAGCTGTAGGTTGTTGTTGTCCGATTTGCTGATTGTTGCTCAAAGCAGAGCGGTCTTCGTTACCACGAGAAGCGGCATTGGAATCATAATTACCATAATAGCCTGCCAAACGTTGTGCATCCAAACCGCCATACATGGAAGAATAATCTCCGTATGCTTGTTGTGCACTTTGTTGTCCGGCTTGTGGTGTTTGTGTTTGGGCTTGTTGTTGTGATTGTTGTTGACCCTGGACGCCGTAACCGGTAGGGTTTTGTTGATATTGACTGATTTGGGAGTCTTGTTGTGGCACTTGAGTGTTTTGCTGCTGAGACAAGTTGGCAACAGATTGATGTTGGGTTTGCGCTTGGGCAACGGCAGCTTGATGAGCTTGGTGATGTTGTTGAAGACCTTGCTGATAGCCGTACTGATGTGCATTGAGTGATTCCTTCTCGGCAAATTGTTGAGGAGAGGTTGCTTGTGCAAATGCATCTTGATGAGTAGGTGCAGATGCGGCAGCTGTCGGAGCAGCAGCAGCGGAAGCTTGTTCAGTACCGGGAGCAACAGCTTGTGGTTGTGCTTCCGAGTCGGCTTCATCACCTCCCAAGAAGCTCAATCCACCAAATCGCTTTCCTAAGCTGTCGAATTGTGCATTGCCGCCAGGCATAACAACTGGAGCATCTTGTTTTGCACGTTGCATAGCACGTTGACTTGGAGCAGAACGACCAGCAGCTGGACGACCCGATACAGGAGCAGCCTCTACGGCAGAGGCTGATGGTACAGTAGAGCTGACAGGGTCTGCTTCAACAGCGGTAGAAGAAGGTGCGATTGGCTCTTCTGCGATTGGGGCTGATTCCAAGGCTGGCTCTTCTTGCGCAGGGATGATTGGAGCAGCGGCGATTGGATGTGAGATCTCGCTCTTCTCGGGTGCCTTTGATGCTGCCTGTGTTGCACTTGTGCTCTCAGCTGGAACAGGTTTTGCATTTTGGGCTCTTTGAGCAGCTGGTGCGGTGGGTGCCTCCTTTGGTGGTTGAGGTTGCTCTTTGACTGGTTCAGCAGGTCGTGCTACTTGGGCCCAACTCAATTTGGATCCTTTAGGAACGAGTTTTGCGGAGACCTTTTGGATTGCATTTGAGATCGGGTTGGAGCTCTTTGCATCTTCAGAAGTTTCATCAACGGCAGCGGCTGAAGCAGCGGCAGCTTCTGTGGAGGATTGCTGTTCCTTTGGAGCGGCTGTGGTCGGTTTATCGGCTTGGAAATCAAGTCCTTCCGTATCATCACCCCATGCGCTTGCACCATTCTGTTTCGTTGCAGCAACAGTGTCTGCAAAGGTTGGAGCTTTTGTGGTAGCTGTACTAGTTGATGGGTCAGCAGACGCTTGTCCTACATTGGCTTGCTCAGTTGAGGGAATGGCACTTGGTCCACCACGGGTAGCACCACCACGACTGCCTCCACGTCCACCTCGAATTGCACCTCCACCACGACCACCGCGGGCAGCATTTGCGCCACCACGACCGCCACGCGAGGATTGGATGATAGTAGCCGTTCCATTGGCAGATCCTGTTGTGCCGTTAAAGCTAGTTGGAGTGGCAGAAGATAGATTTTCTTTCTTTACTTGCTTTTTCGATTTGACCGAATTGAATTGCTCTGCGTGACCTTCACTGATACGTCCTACGGCCAATTCAACTTCACCACCTGCATCCGACAAAGCGAACAAAAGGTCTTCATCTGTCCAATCAGAAAACATTTCTCTTAATAAAGCCAATTGATCGGCATACTTTGCACGTAGATTCCTAACGGCTTCTGTGTCATCTGGTTGTGCTGCTGCAGCGCTTGCTGCATTACCACCGGTACTTTTACCACCTCCAAATCTTCCACCTCTTCTTGGTCCCGTGCCACCTCGTCTTTGCACAGCAGGTGCTGCTGTTGCGCTCGACATTATGTATGATGTTTGTGTGTGTGTGTGTGTGTGTGTGTGTTTGTGTGATTCGTTCTTTTCGCCCTCTCTTATTAAATGCTAAAGATGTCGATAAACTCAAAGCAGCGATTATATGCGTTGAATCAGGAAGGTTGAGGTGAGAGGTTAATCTTCTTCCAATGTGGATGAAATGGTGATGAGGTGTTCCCAGCGCTTTGTTCTCAAATAGTGCACGAGACAAGAAAATGACACTGCTCATGTGCCAACTTAGAAAATGTTTTTTTTGCACTGTCAATGTCCATCTCTTCGCGTAGCTTGCAACGCTGTTTATCAGATCACGTGTAACAACTTACACCGCCTGCACCAGCACTGTGAGCCTCACGCCTCTCTACAAGAAAGACATGCTTACCGATAATGCAGCTGGACACCAGCTTGTGATGGGTGATTGCGTAAAGATATCAGATTGAAACGAAATTGACAAATATACTACAGGCTTGAGGGAAGTCAAAAGGAACATTATACAAACCACAATAGAAAATAGGAACGGATATTGCGAATCGAGAAAAGTGTTCTACAGAAACCTTGTCGAGAATGAAAATGGCACCGATTTTGCTCTTTGCTGAGCAATGCTTAAACGTTCACCGTACGTGTGTCCTGTTCATTCTTCTTCATAGACTCTGTAGTTGGTCTATGTGGAAAGCCTGCACTGCTGAGTCTCATGGCATTTTTGATCATCTGAGAATTGAATGTGATCTCCTTGGCATTCAGTCTGAGAATGCAAAGTTCCAATTCTTGACTTTTTAATTTGGCTTCAAGTAATTTCACATTACTCTCTTGTCGTGCGACTTGATCCATTGCTGAGTTCTGATTTGCTTGCTTTTTTGATTCTTCATCGATGAATTTCTTGATCGATATTTGCAAAGCTTCAAATTGTTTCTTTGTCTGTCCGTTCCCTTTGCCCGTTTGATTAGAATGTAAGCGCATGATACGATTTGCTGCTTTTAATTCGCAATTCTCACATTCGCAATCGGACAAGACTGAGCTTCCATCATCGCCGCTTTCTTCATCATCGTCATCACAGTCACAATGCATGTGAGGATGTGCAAAGTAACTTGGGCAATCTGGCTCGTGATGACCAACGTTGATTGGCACGCTGAATGAGTACATGCACTCTTCTCCATGGTCGTGGTCGTGTAAAAGTGACATTGCTAGAGAATGAATAATCTGGATGTGAGCTCTGAATGTGAAAAAGTGTTTGTCGATCAACTTACTCTTCTGTTAAATATGAAATCGTTATTCTTGTTGAATCCTGTCAAGATGATCAGAGTACGGAATCAAAAGTGCCTTAAAGTGGGTCATTGCGTATAATAGTTAATTTTATGGAAATGATTTGCAGCAGTGCATCCTGTTCCTGCTTAACTTCACACAGCCCCTCTATTTCCGTCACAAATGCGATCAATGCGGCCCGAAAGAAAAGGCGTCAAAAAGAAAAGGAAAGAAAAGAAAAGGCAAAGAGGACGTGATCCGAAATTAATGTCACGTATTCGTGCCCCGCTCTATCCTTTCAATGCGCATACAGACAATCTTTACCAGACATCACGTCATTTCTGGACGGACAAGTCCATCTACTCTCTCTTGTTCAGCAAGTAACTCAATCATTGATCTATTCTCAGTTATGGTTTTGAAATGGTCGTGTAGCCGAGATTGACCATGCTATGCGACGATCTATAAATAAGCCGCGCAAATGATCGGCGTGACGCGGCACTGCTCTAATAGCACAAAATGCAGTGCTATTACGGTAAGACTGAGGACTGAACTGCGTATTAAGCATCGGAATCATTCATTGCCATTACTTGTAAAGCAACTTCTTCAATATGCATATGAAGGGCTCGGATAGGACCAAGACTTGCTTTCTCAGTGATCGAAAAAGGGCTTCGCAAAAGTTTTCAGAGACCTCGGAGTGAAGCATACCTTCCGATACCTCCTCTCGATCACCAAAGATTCTAAGCAAGATCGTCATTTCATCAGCAAATCTCTTAATTTTGTACCTAGTGTCGTTGAAAAAGCATTCAAAGCAAACTTTTGTCAGGTCAAGAGGCAGAAAGTGAGAACAAGATCAGCACTGGAACGATTGAGCGATATCGATTCAAGAATGAAACTGAATCCGCATTGAAGAATCGAGATATCTCATTAGACACGGTGTGTCTATATACATGGATCGTACACTTGTATCATGTCATGAATGCATCAATGATGATGGTGTTGAAATACCCCGCGGTGTTTGTTCCCCCCGCATAGTATAAGTATTAGCGCTGACCTTTCCGCCCGCCTAAGAAAAAGCACGCGCCAATGTCAGCCTAAAGAATTCAAATTTCACCTTTCATACCTCCTATCATATCCAACACCACAATATCGAACCATCACTTCCATCAAAAACTCAACTTTCGGATAAGCTCCGGCAATGACAGCCACGGCTTTTCGACAAATCCATCCAAATCCTTCATTGGCTTTGCATGATGTGTCCAAATTACGATCTTTACGAAATGCAGTGATTGGAAGTAGGACACGCAAGTCCGAAATTGTAGCCCAAGGTACCGTTCCTGGATTGGTAAATTTGCTTTCCAATGATGAAACAAATGATGAAGTGCTAGGACTTGTGGCTTCGATCATTTGCTCTTTAGCTCATGCTGCTCCACCTCCAACGCTACTTTCACTATGTAGAGCAGGCGCAACTGAAGCAATCTTTCGATCATTAAACAGTTTGGTAAATCGAATGTCAGACACTTTATCTTCCCGATCGGTAGAAGAGTTCAACTCCAAATCTATCTCGGATCTCTTGAAGGATCAGCTCAAGCTTCTAGAGCTCTTATTGCGTGCCTTGCGTGCACTCCTAATGGCTTTATCCGATGAGGTGGCACCAGGAACAAGATGGGAGCGTGGTTTAGGCTTAGGAAACCGAACAACGTCAAATCACTTTTCTCAGACTCGCATCAATGCTTCCGGAAAGAGTGCTCGTGAGGTTGTAGGATGGCATATGGCAGATGCTGGATTTGATTCGGACGGAGATGCAAAGATGATGTCCAGATCCAATTCCAACCTAGGGGCTACTAGTAAAGACGATCAAGTACATACTTCACATCGTCAAGAGCTCATGATCCTCGCACGAAAAGCAATCGCAACCACATTCCATCCTGACAATTTGCACTTATGGCTCGGCGCTTTGTTTGTAGCCAAATTGCCTTTCGCAACGAAAACCAAACAAGATTCTTCGTCACAAGATCGTATTTCCACTCGTCCAAGCAGTCCGGCTACTATCGTACGTGGAAGCAGTATGTCACATGATGTGAACATCTCACGTAGCTCTAGCCGAATGTCATTATCATCGGACATAGGGAGTAGACTGCCACATTCATCTGATCCTGTCCTTTCAACTCCTATATCTAGCGGCAAAGTACGAATCTTATCAATCGTAGAAATGGTCGCTGGAATCCTTTCGTCTTGTTTGGCAGTAGTAAGCCAGGAAGGTGACTCTGGTAAAGACAACAGCTCAAGATTGCCAACAGAGGTGATTGCTCGACGTAGGAAAGCAATCTTGGATTTTACTGCAGCACAAAGTCGTTATTGGTGGCCTTCGAATAGTACTCTGTATAGCACAAAAGAAGTGGACGAAGAGGAAGAGAGCGAGGCACGCGGGCGAGTGGAGCAAAAGGAAGTGGAAATCGATGAGATTCAAGGCTCTTTTGTAAAACGCGGTAAGAGTATCGATGGACGCAATATGGACGAGAAAGAACAAGAAGATGCTGTACGGCTACATCGCTTGAAGGAGGCTCAGCGAAAAACAGCAATGATGGCAGCGGACCCATCTTTCTCACCCGACGATGGAGTTCTGAGTGTTTTATTGGAAGGTGTGGAATGTGGTTATGCTAAAACACAAGAAGCTTCCTTATGGGCGTTGACGGATCTCTCAAAAGAGAACAAGGAGACGAGCAGAAAGCTTTTCTCTTGTACCACTCCTTCTGGTCGTATTCCTACGTCCATGTTATTGGATTTACGCAAAGATCCATCGGCAAACGTTCGTTTAGCAGCTTTCTCATGCTTGGCACATATCATCAAAGTTCACCCGTTCACACCACGTACCAATGAATGCGTTTTGTCGGTTTTGGTCGAATTGATGAATGTTGCCGGAGAAGTACAAATTGCTGCAATTTTTGCTTTTGCACGTCTGGTGGCGGATGATGCTGATTTGCAAGCACTAGCATGTGATTCGTATGAATGCATTGAAAAGTTGGGTCAACTTTTGGCCAATAGCAAGGCGAACAGCTATACTTCCCCGGCAAATTTGAGCACGAGTTCTGCTGAGGGTATACGTGAAGGACTTGCTGATCGATTAAGAGAAGCAACTTTGACGGCATTGGCAGCTTTATGCTTCCAAGGTGACGATACCAGACGTAAGTTCGTCGATCATACCACTCCTTCCCTTTTGCCGCTCGTAGTGGCCTCCTTATCCGCTCCGCAAATTGGTATAAGGATTGCAGCTTGTCGACTTGTTCGAGCTTTGAGCAGAAGTATCAGTATCTTACGAACCTCTTTGGTGGATGCGGGTGTGGCTGATCGACTTTTAGCAATATTGCAAGATGATCATGAAGATCAAGAAGTACGATTGGAAGCTATTGCTTCTATTTGTAACCTTGTACTCAAATTTAGTCCAATGAAGCAAGTTTTATTGGATGGTGGAGGCATTGCAAAGCTTGTTGAAATGGTGAAAGATGATTCGATGGATGGCAGTACGAAATTGAACGCATTATGGGCCATCAAGAACTTATTGTATTCAAGTGAAACAAACATCAAAGGTGAAGTGATGCAGGCTTTAGGAAGTAAGCTTTTGCGTCAAATGTGTCTTTCAAACGACGACGATATACAAGAACAAGCATTGAATATCGTCCGCAATTTGTGCAATTCTAGGGAAGAGGATATAGAGGCTACTCTGCTCGCATTTGGTGGAGGTGATGAATTAATCAATATGATCGAGGAGGTAATTTGGCAAAGGAGGAACGATAATGCGATAGAACAAGCCGCATTTGTGATTGTGAATTTAGCATCAGGAAGTGATGATCATCGAAAGTTAATTATTGGAAAGCCAAATTTGTTGGATGCAATGGTTTATTTCCTTAATCATCCTCGTGCTCAAATTCGTGTAGCGGGTATTTGGGCAGCCTTTAATCTTACACAACCGACAAGAACGCCTCATATCGCTTTGGAAGCGGCATTATGTCTCAAATCGTTTGGATTTGATAAACGATTGAAGGAATTGGTGGATGATCCTGAAAGGGATGTATCCGATCGTGCACGTGGTTTAATTTCTCGTTTCGAATCGCCATGAAAAAAGAATGGAGAAAGTACGATACAAGCATTCTTATTAATTACTATATTATCATATTATTTCAGATTATGTCTTTCATAGCATGATTGATGCATTTATACATCACAGCCATCATTTTTTCCAGTGATAAGATGACTCGAAAGAATTGAATAGTACCCACTTTATAATGCTGAATGAAGTAAGCAAGCAAGCAAGCAATACCGTCAGTCTAGCGAAAAGCAATCTAGGGGAATATGCGTGTTTTCCTTTTTTCCATTAAATTATTCCACGCAGCTAAGAAGGAAATACACTTTTAATTGCCAAGAAGCGCGTTTGGGTACAGGAGCACTTCCTTTTTCCGATCAACAAAGATCAGGCAAAAGATCTGTCAATTGTGCAAAGTGACGTATTATGGCTTGAAGTGTTGCATTCTCAACGTGGTTAGTAAAAGCGGCTAAACAACCAATTAAAGGGAATTACACTGCAGCTGCTTGCATTTGTGTGTTGAATGTGCTCTCCCACAAAATTTTACTCCTTTTTCCGTTTCACCATCATTTTACCTATTCACCATCCCAATCACGGCTTGCCTTTCTTCACTTCCTGTTTTCAGGAATCATACCCAAAGAACGGCATTGGAAAGTGAACATTAACATTGATCAAAGACAATCAGGGATTCAGTCAGTCACAAGATGGCGGAACCCGACATGACAGATTCCACTTTGGCCGGAAACAGAATGTCAAATGTATCACCAGCACCAGGCATTCATGCAACAACAGATAAAGCTACAAGAATAGAAGATGAAAAAGATACAACAAATCATCCAAAACATTCAGACGGTGCCATCGATCATAGCCCAGGTGCATATGAAGCAGCTCCAGGAGAACCACGCGTGGATGAAACAATACAAGGTAGCGAAGAGGAAAACGAATACGATCACAAACTAGGATATAAAGAGAAACCATACCCAATTTTTGCAGGCGATAAACCTTGGAGTGAACGTTCTTGGTGGTATGAACTCATACCGTTTAGAGGAATGTATTACGACCTTCTCAGACGGCTACCGTTTCTCCTCACGGATTGGACATCAGCTTTTGCTCCCCGAAATTGGTGGACAGTTGGTCAATACGTGATCAGAATGTACTTTATCAATCTGATGCCAGCAATATCCTATGTCTTGGATATGAATCATCGTACGAACGGCGCTTATGGTATCAATGAAGTTATTCTCGCCTCTGCATTGGCAGCAATCGTTTTTCCAATCTTTTCTATTCAACCTCTAACATTTGTCGGTGTGACAGGTTTGATCAACTTGGTCAATTATACCCAATACGATATCGTAGTGCAATACTATGGCTTAGATCAAATGGACTATTTACGTGTACAGGCTTGGTCACTAATCTGGGCTGCTGGATTCCACTTCATCGTTTCAATCTTTAACGTTTGCGACTTTACCCGCTTTATTACGGATATGACAAGTCAAACTTTCGGCTTCTACGTGGGAATTGTGTATATCCAAAAAGGTATCGAACTACTCATTCTTGAATATAAACCGGCTCCGCTCGATAACGCAACCGGATGGCTCAGTGTAACGATTGCTATTCTCTTTACTGTTAGTGTATACTTGGTATCAAAGGTTGGTCAAACATCCTTTTTACCGTTCAAGATACGTTATTTCGTTTCTTCATTTGCCTTTACTGCTGGAATTATCTTCTGGACCGGCTTCAGCAATTTCCCCGATTACAGCCTACGTCGTGTTCCTCTTGAACGCTTGCCAATCACAAAGTCGTTTTTCCCGACCATGGATCGATCTTGGTTTATCGATTTCTGGAATATCGAATTGCGTTGGGTCTTTGTTGGTGCACCTTTGGGCTTCTTGATCATGATTCTCTTCTACTTCGATCACAACGTTAGCTCAGTCATGGCACAATCACGTACATTCCCTGTCAAAAGACCCGCCGGTTTCCATTGGGATTTCTTCCTTTTGGGTATCACTACGTTCGTTTCAGGTATTCTTGGTTTACCTGCTCCCAATGGTTTGGTTCCGCAATGTCCATGGAGCACCGATTCGCTTTCTGTGTACAAGCAAGTCGATAAGCCAAAGAACGATGAAGAAGAAAAGCCATTGATCGGTGTCAAAGGCAAACAGTACACTCGTCAGCACATTACCAATACCCGAGTAGTCGAGAATCGTGTTGGTCACTTGATCGTCGGTCTATTGACCATCGGTACAATGACTCGTCCTTTATTGGTGGTTTTGGGTACAATGCCCAGAGCATTATTCGCCGGAGTGTTTATCCTTGTAGGCTGGAGTAGTATTGAAGGAAACGGAATCACAACACGTACACTGGCAGTGTTCCAAGATCGTAGAATGTCAACACATAACGATCCTCTACTCAAAGTGAGAAGATCAAAAGTTGCCTTGTATGTTGGTATTCAATGGATCTTTTTCGCGCTCACGATTGCAATCAGTCAAACGATTGCTGCTATTGGATTCCCGGTTATCATCGTTCTCTTGATTCCATTCCGTTACTGGATCGTTCCTTTGTGGTTCTCACCTGTCGAATTGCGACTTTTAGACGCTCCAACAGCTGACGCTGATGTTGTCTTAGCTTCTATCGGACATGAAACGGAGGCTGTCACCGGTCAAGGCTTACGAGTTGCACGGGATACAAAAATTGCAGGCACAGAATGGAATGATGATGACGATGAAGACTACGATGATGATAATTACCGTTCGCGTATGCACGAAAAGCGTCCTACTAGCAGCACTTTGGGTTTCGGAAAACAAAAATCTTCCAACGTGAAAGGATACAAAATTGGCGATGAAGATGACGATGATGATGAAGATAATGATCAATTTGTCGCCATCACCACAGACCATAATCAAAGTAGCGGATCGAACTCTCAAGCACTCAAACCAGGTAATCCTGCATATGGAGATGGCGCAAGAACACCAGAAGTAGATCCTGAAGGTCATTATCGTGCTTGGCTCAAAGGAAATGCGAATGGAGAGGAAGCCGCAGCAGCCGCAGAAGGACACAACGATGAAACATTGCGACCTGTGGCACTCAAAGATGCAAAACGCAGCAAAAGTGTCACGCAAAGCTGGTGGGGAAAAGGTGGGGAATTGGAAGCAGTAGAAAGGGCGCCGACTCCACACACGCCTGCCACTCCACTCGATACGGAAGATGGTCAAACACCTCTTACAAGAATTGAGAATGCAAAGAGAGCAAGCACTTTGGAAGCTACCGATTCTTCAGCTGGGGGAGCTGGCTTGACCAAATGGCTAAGCAGTAAGATCAAAAAAGTACCTCAAGCTCAAACTGTCACAGTTGTCGATGATAGCAAAGTTGATAAAAGTGTCAAAGCTCTTTCCACACCAGAAGAACGCTCACTCTTTGCAGCCTCGCCAACATCTGTCAATGATGGAGAAAGTGGAGCACATCCTATTGTCATTCCTACTACAGATGCATCATCTGTAACTTCCACTCCATTACAGCCAGCGCAACCAATTCCTCATAGTACTACCGCCGATGCAGGTGGAGTGAACTTGTTCATCGGAGGAGGTATGAGCCCTTCACAAGCAGGAGAAGCTGCTGCTAATGCCGTGCGTGAAATTCAAAGTAGCACAGATGAAGTTCCTATTCATCACTCAATGGTACCAAACGTCAGCGATACACAAGGACCAGTCGTTCATGGATCCATCCAAGGTCCTGCACAAGATCAAGAAGGTCATGGACACGCTGTATTGGCTGCAGTGAAGGATATTTTGCCAGGCGCTAAGCCCAATGCTGATGCTGTGGTGGAGGCTTTGAAAGAACATATCCCCCACAATGGATCAACATCAAAAGAACAGGGATCAGCAGCACAGGCAGCTGAACCAGCAAACGCACCGACTGCTCCTGCTCCAGTTCCAGTTCCAGTAAAATCCATCAATGAACAAGATGAGAAGAAGCTGGAAAAGGAAAAGAAAGAGCTAGAAAAAGCCAAAGCAAAAGAGTCAAAAGCAGAAGCAAAACGATTGGCAAAAGAACAAAAGCAGAAAGAAAAGGAAGATGCACGTAGAAAGAAGGAGGATGCCAAACGTCAGAAAGAGGATGAAGAACTGCAAGCCGTTCTGGCAAAACAAGCAAATGCGAGAGCAGAATCGGAGGAAAAGAGACGAAAATTGGAAGATCAAATCAAAGCACTTGAGAACAAATCAGGTCAAACTACTTCCACTAAAAAAGATGCCGCTCCAATCGTTGCAGCCGCGGCCGCCCCAGCTGCAGTCGAAGCCATCAAAAAGGATAGCGAGAACGCCAAACCTGCTACCGAACCTGCTCAGCCTTCTTCTGCCATCGTTCCAACTCCCAAGACAATCTCCAAGAGTGAATTGTTAAGCCATACCAATCAAGTTGCTGGACATGATGCTGCCGTCTATACCACGCAAAGTGGGGATTTGGTCGTTAAGCCTTGCTTACCTGCAGAAGCAGACTTTTACCAAGCAGCATTGCTCAAGCAGCCTACAGGTACCAGCAAGTCACAGTTGGCATTGTTGAAACGTCTTTCGGTCTTCTTGCCAACGTATCATGGTACTGTCGATATTGATGAAGGAAATAATACCGCTGCGACTAGAGCTGTCATCATTGAGAACCTCACTCGCGGGTACAAGCATGCAAACGTGTTGGACCTCAAGCTTGGAAAACAATTCTGGGATGAATCATCTTCTGTCGAAAAGCGTACTCGAATGGAAGAATCTTCAAAGAACACCACAAGTGGCACTACCGGCATTCGTTTGACCGGATGGCAAATTTGGGATAGCATCACTTCTCAAACGATCAAAGTCGATAAAGCCTTTGGCAAAGGTATCAAGGTTGACCAACTTGAGATTGGTTTGCGTTCATTCTTTGGTTTAGGCAGCGAAGCAGATGCTGAAGTTGTTTCACAGTTCAATAGTACTCCTGCTGAAAGGGTTCGTTTACCTGTCAAAGCTGTAGAGCACATCATCAGCGATGGTATTCTTCCTGCTTTGAAGGAATTGAATGACATCATCAAGAAGCTCGAATGGCGCGTCCGAGGAGGAAGTATGTTGATCGTATATGAAGGTGATCCAGAGGTCTTGACAAAGAGAGTCAACAAGTCATTCCCGCGTGCAGGTCGTTCACTCAAACAAAAGGATGATCAAATTGAAATTTCGCAACTTTCAAGCTATTCTACAAGTGATCACGTTGATCGTCTAGTCGATGTTCGTTTGATTGACTTTGCTCACGCTACCTTTACGCCTGGTAAGGGTAAAGATGAAGGCTATTTAGCTGGATTGCAAACTACGAATACATTAATGACCAAATTGGCAAAAGATGCACGTAAGGGCAAGATTGGTTTGGACAAGAAAGATTCTGCTGCTGCCGCACCGGCTGCTATGTTGGCAATGAAGGAGAAAGCCAAGAAGGATGAGAATGAAAAGTCAGCTAAAGGCGAGAAAGGAAAGTCGAAGGCTGATGAAAAGGCGAAATCTGCAGCAGTGGCAGACAAGAAAGATGCGGTCGTTGCGCCAATCGAGGTGCAGCCAAAAGCAGAAGAATCATCACCCGAAAACATGAAGGGAGAAGAGGCTGCCGCCCTTGCTGCTGCCCCTGTGATTGCAACCGCTGTCCCACTTGCAGCAAAAGAAAAGAATGAGGAGTCAAAGACTGAGCCTGCTGAGGAAGCAAAGTCGAAAGAGAACAAACCTCGTAGATTCGCCTCAATCTTTGGACGCAAGAGTACTTCTGATGGCAAAAACAAGGATGACGACAAGAAGGAAGCTAGAGATGAGCCTAAACCCATTGTTGCTACGACCAACGCGCCTGCTGTTCCTACTCAAGAGGATTCACGTCCTTCCAATGTCTCCAAAGACGCTCCAGTCTTACCTGAAATTGGTAAGTCACAGGCACAAGAACCTTTATCGTACGAATCAGTCACGCAAAAAGATGATGCATTCGACAAAGGCTTAGCGGGGGCAGTTGGAGCAGGTGCTACTATTGGTGCAGGATCCATCCTCCTTAGTGCACAAGAGAAGAAACCACAAGCCACTGAAGAACCCTCTGAGCCGAAAGGAAAGGAAGTTGAATCAAATGTTGACGAACCAAAAGCAGAGCCAGTCCTGACCGCAGTTCCAGCCCAGGCTGAATCGAAACCAGATGAAGGTCTGATATCCTCTACTGAAGGTGCTGTAACGGCACCGCAAACGATTGACGAGCCTTTGAAAGAACCTGTGACAGCTGCAACAACTTCTCAGCAGCCTGTGCCGGAGAGCTCAAGTGCGGTCCAGAACGATGCTACAGATAAAGAAGCAAAAGACGAAACATCGAAGGATGGCGAAAAAGGCATCTTGGCTGGCATTGCCGGTGCTGCTGGTTTGACAACTGCTGCTGCTGCTCTTTCTCACAAAGATGAGAAGGAGGACGAGGAAGAGAAAAAGCGAAAGGAGGCTGAAAAGGAAGCCGAGAAACAGCAAAAGGAAGAGGAGAAGAAACGAAAAGAAGCAGAAGAGGAAGAGGAGAAGAAGCAAAAGGAAGCATCAATCTTAGCTGACAAGCAGAGAAAGGAAGAAGAGAAGAAGCAAAAAGAGGCCGAGAAGGAAGCAGAGAAGAGACAAAAAGAGGCCGAGAAGGAAGCAGAGAAGAAACGAAAGGAGGCCGAAAAGGAGGCAGAGAAGAGAAAGAAGGAAGAGGAGAAGAAGCAAAAGGAGGCAGCGATCGTAGCGGAGAAGCAAAAGAAGGAAGAAGAGAAGAAGCAAAAAGAGGCCGAGAAGGAAGCAGAGAAGAGACAAAAAGAGGCCGAAAAGGAGGCAGAGAAGAGAAAGAAGGAAGAGGAGAAGAAGCAAAAGGAGGCAGCAATCGTAGCGGAGAAGCAAAAGAAGGAAGAAGAGAAGAAGCAAAAAGAGGCCGAGAAAGAAGCAGAGAAGAAAAAGAAGGAAGAGGAGAAGAAGCAAAAGGAAGCTGCAGTCTTAGCAGGAAATCAAAGGAGGGAAGATGAACAGAAGCAAAATGAAGCAGAAGGTGAAAAGACAGATGATGGCGAAAAAGGCATCCTGGCTGGTATTGCTGGTGCTGCTGGTTTGACAACTGCTGCTGCTGCTCTTTCTCACAAGGACGAAAAGGAGAAAAAGGAAGATGAAGATGAAGCACAAAAAGAGAAGGAGAAGCAAGAGAAAAAGGCAGCGAAAGAAACTCGCAAGGAGAGCTCAGACGCTACTTCTGAAAAGCGAAAATCTCGTTTCTCTACCATCTTTGCATCTTCCGGCAGACGCTCTCAACAACCTTCGTCTTCTGAACCTGAACAGCCTTCTGAGACAGCCAAATCATCTAAAGACGATCATCCTGCTGGCCCAAGCTTTTCTGGTTCTCCCTCTGGTGGTCAAATAGACACGCGCGCTCCTCATGAGATCGAAGAAGAAAGAACCAAGGCTGCCGGTGAAGAGTCGAAGCACAGCGGCGTATCTGCTCTACTTGGTCCATTGGTCAGTGCAAAGAAGCACGAAAAGACTCATGACAAGGGCTCTTCCTTCTCTGCTGCTCCGGCCGGCGAAGAAGTGACAGATGAACCCAAGGGAGCAAAAAGGAAGAGCAGCAAGTCTGGTCTATTCGGTTTGCGTAAGAAGTCTTCTGAAGATCATGCCGATCACACCAAGGGCGCTTCTACCGCTACAAAAGAGATTGAGCCTGTCCAAGAAAGCAAAGAAGAAACTCCAATCTTGCCTGCTAAGAGTGAACGGATTGCCGAGCAAACGAAAGAACCTGAAGCCTCAAAGGAGAAGCATGAGGACATTGCACTTGCTTCCGGTGCTGCTGTCTTGGCAGCACCTGCGCTTGCCCTTGCTTCAAAAAGTCACAAGGATGACGATAAGAGCAAGGAAACCGAAGCTGCTCCGCCAAAGGCCGACATTGCAGAGAAGGATGCATCGGAGAACAAATCAGCCGAGAAGCAGAAAGAAGATGGCGAAGGAAAAGAAGAAGGTTCCGGCTTCTTCGGCTTGATCAGAAGAAAGACGACGAAGAAAGGCAAGTCCAATGCAGAAGAAAATGAAGCAGACAAGTCAGCAAATGCTTCAGCTCTCATTGCAAAGCAATCTTCTGATGATAAAGTGATCAGAGAAGAGGCTCGAAAAGCTCAAAGAGCTGCTGAAAAGGCTGTTGCAGAAGCCGAAAAAGCACGTCAAGAAGCCAAGAAAGCACATGAAGAAGCCGAAAAAGCTCACGCAGAACTAGAACGTGTCAAGAAAGAAAGGCAAAAAGCCGAAGAAGTTGCAAAGAAAGCCGAAAAAGCAAGAGAAAAGGAGGCATCGAAAACGACTGCACCTCTTCCTATTCCCATTCCACTTCCCGCACATGAAAAGTCTCAGAAAACTGATGGTCAACCATCAGGCGAAACAGTTGAAGCAAGTGAGACTGAACCTGCTCCACGATCTTCGATGGATGCCAAGAGCTCCAAGCGTAAGAGCGGCTTGGCATTCTTGGGCTTCGGAGGAAAGAAGTCGGATGAGAATAAGTCGTTACCAGTTCCTCCTCCAAAGAAGCAAGAAGAAGAACAAGCCAAATGGACGCCGCAGTCGAGAGTCTCACTTTCGAAAGAAAAGGCTGCGCAACCAAGCGATGCTGATGGCAGCGCACTCGATGCTCAAATTCCACCTGAAATCCTTGCTGCAATTGAAACGGGTGATCAAAAAGACGTTCCTCCTCCCACTCCTGCCAAAGCTTCCAGAAAATCGCTCGAAAAGAAACCAGCTCCAATTGAGAAGGGCAAGAAGCCTGCCAATGAAGCTCGTGCAAGCTTGGACAAACAACAACCACAAAGTACAGAAGAAGGTCAACAAGATGGCAAGACACCCTTTTGGAAATTGGGTGGTTCTGCAGGTGGTCTTGCCAGATCTTTGACCCAAAAGAAGCAACAAAGTTCTGAGCCACATCCTGCCGCAATCGTTGAAGAAGTGATTGAAGAAACCAAACATGGAACGAGAAAATTACTTATGGTAACGAATCCGCCTCGTGGATCCGGTAAAGCAGCTTCTGCTGTTCAATGGCGTGACTCAAAATAGATGACTACTACTCGCATGTATGCTCTCATATTGCTCGGACAGAAGTTTTTGGTACGATATCACTGCTTTTCAAGATACCCCCATTCTGATACAGAAACAAGAAAATCCCTTATTATACACACTCACACTCATTACATCATTTTATTCTTCCTCTCTCATCTCATAGTTTCGTTTTTATTTTTATCGTCCGAATTTTCTCAAAATGTCTGGAATAAGATTTCATTGATCTCATCATTGATTTGATAAAAGTGTGATATTATACAATCGCTCGGGAATTTGCCCGGATTTGACGTTGAACAAGTGCGTTGAGGTTGGAGATCTTGTCTTTGCTGACTGTCAATAATTCTTGCTCTCGTGCTATCTTCACTTCAATTTCTTGTAATTGATTGACGCCAAACGATCTAGATGATGCCAGCTCGAATTGATGTCGAAGTGAAGCGGATGAATGCTCAAGATCAGGCTTGAGAGTATCCAACTTATGTCTCAAAGCTTGAATATGTGCACTTAGATCTGTCGATCCTTCATCGTCATCATCATCTGCATCTTTTGAACTTGTCTTGATCTTTTCACCAAGCTCTTTTTTCATTTTGGTCATCTCGCTCAACCAACGTTGCTCATACACGCTCAATCCAGGAGAATGACTTTCCATCAATTTTTGTAAAAGTCGATCGCTTTTGCGCTCTAGAGATGTTTGACGCTCAAGGATACGTTGCATTCGATCTTCGATCGTTGTTGATTTACCGCCGTTTTGTTTCTCTCCCTTTCTCTTTTCAATCCACTTTGCTACAACATCTAGCTTGTTCAATTGCCTTTTCAATTCCTCTAATTGAAGCTCCAGTCTCGATTGAACGATATTACCGCCCTTTACAATTTCTCTCATTTGTCCTCGTAATGATTGAACGGTAGTTGCGAGTGTACGTAAACTCTCTGGCGAAACGCGAACCTCACTTTTGCCCTTTTCCCCTTTCATGCTGTCACCCAGTGCAAAGCGAGGTTGGACGGGTAAATTACGAAGCGATGTAAATGGTTCTGGAATCGTAAAAGGATCTTCTCCCAAAAGTGATGTGAAGTATTTCTTGGATTGCTCCTGAGAAAGATCTTCCAGTTTCAAGTCATTGCCAAAAGCTCTTGAAACGTCCCCGCCAAAGCCCTCTTCGGCGTCTTGGAAAGTATCTTCAACCCGAAGATTCGACTCACGAGCAACCAATTTTCCAGAATGTGCCAATGCCAAAAAGGAATAGCAAAGGTAAATATCGCTAACGATGCAAACACTGCAAATCGGATTGAGTGCCGCTTCGTAAGACAATATACCTGCAGTAGGAACAGTATTCACAATACATGCAACGTCTGACGGAATCTTGTGATGCAAAAGTCGCTCAAGCGAAGAAGCCACATCGGTGGTACTGCTGTCCGAATTCAGTGCCTGCGCGATTTGATTGCTCCACCGGCTTATACCGATGACATGTGCGCCAGTAAGGTGATGAACGTAGATAAAGTCGGAGTACAGAGGATCCAAAACGAATCGAACAGGATTGGAGCGCAAAGCATGTTCGAAATCTTGCACGTCTTTCAAAGCGCTCAAGATTCCCAAGTCGATCGATTCATAGACAAATAACATTGGCAGTCGTTCCGCGTTTCCCTCCCCCTCATCTGAGTTGGTTTCATCTGAATCTGAATCTGAAAGTGCATAACGTCCAGACTTGACTGGCGCGGATTTGCGATTGCTCTTCGAGTTTTTCTTAGAGCTTGCCCATTTCGGCAAAATTGATTCGATTGAGAGGCATAGATCGATCCGGCCATCATCGGAAGCGATACCTATAATACCAACTCCTTCGCCTTTACTCGCAATCCGGGTATAGAAGAGATCTGCGCCTCGCGATTCCCTCTCTTCGCTTAGTTCATGCGGTGCAGGCGCCAGCAAGAATGGTCCTTGTGGTTGAGGCTGAGCTGGAATGACCATTGAACTTGGTGCTTGTACACTGACCAGCCCTAAATCTCCTGTGGAGTCTTCCGGCTCCACCGTTCCAGCTCTCGAGGTGTCAAGATTCATTGGTGTAGCTGATCTTGCCCTTTGAGGTGAGGCGCTGAATTGGTGAGATTGATGTTGAGAGCTGGCCTGTTTCAAAAGCGAGGTCACGAAACGAATTTGTAGATCGCCTTCATCTCCCGATCCGGAAAAGACGGAATCTGGTCTTGATAGCTTCACATAAGAAGACAGCGAATGCAAGTAAGAGGATGGTATGGATGCATTCTTTGGCATAAATGGGCAAAGAGCATAAATGTCGCCGTTCGTGCAGAGTGTAAAGATGGTAAGTGGAGTCCAATCAGGACTGATGCCGGTTTCTTGATCCAAGAATAAAGTGTCCATACCATTCGCATCAGATAGATTTCGCATATCAATTCCAAGAGTGAATGCTACGGCTGTTCTTCCCTGTCCTCCCACAGTACGAATGGAGCCAGACGCTGTATGAAAGCTTTCATCTGCAAGGTCGTCATCTAATTGACCATTATCAGATGCAGACCCATCATCATCGAAAGCTAGTCGTGAAGTGCTACGCCTCGATCGCGCTAGAGCAGCAGCAGCGGCAGGAGTTTGTGATCGTGAACGTGAGCTCATACGTTTGAATTTTGAAAGAAAATGATCATTCAAGTTTGCTTGTCCAGGAAGTAGAGAGACTGTTTGAGCTGGCTCTTCCACATCTAGAGAGACGTTATACTCTCGTAATATACCGTCTTTCGTCATGATCATTAGAGAACTTCCCATTTCACCCCATGGATGCCATCGTACGTCCGCTAAACGCATCTTTCCACCGATTCGATCATGATGATAAAACGAGCCTACGATTGCTGCTTTGACCCGTAAGCCAGTCGGCTGAGATGGTGCACTTGTGGTTTCCCTGACCGACGCCCCTTTGCTTAGGCCACCCGGTCGTGGCAAGAATACAACTGCGACCTTATGCGAGCCAACAGCAGCGAGAAGTTTGCCTGTAGGGTTGATAATTAGACGTTCGATATCAAAGTCCAAGGCAGGTGAAATCAGGTGTTTATATGATGACTGGTTCAAGTGTGTTGAAGAAGAGGTGCCATTGGATGATCTGTATTTGGAATCTAATAAGCTTGCCATTCGCAATTCTCTACCGTGCGATACCAGGACGTCTACATTGCGTATTGCCATGCATGTACGCTCAGCCAAGAAATCATCTTGCGTCTTCCCTTTTGCAGAGTGATTGGTGGGAGCTGTGAAGATTGGATGATCCGGTAAGGTATCTAGCCAGCTTGAGTCATCCGCCAATACTTCTGGCGAAGCATCACCCGAGATGACCATATCGACGATCGAAAGCTTGTAGATGATGTGATGGTTTGTTCAGAAAAGGAAGAATGCAAATGAGTGTCAATCTGTTAATCTCTTCGCGCTAGCTGCTGTTCACACGTCCTGAGGAAAAGTACGCCTTCTCGAACCTCTTCAGACGTTGACCACGTGAATCTTACTCTGCTCAAAGCGGAAAGCAATGTCCTTAACCCTTTTTGGGAGGCAGCGCGCGCAAGAGATTTGAATTAGAAGTGGAGTTTTGGCAATTGAACAGCGTTCTATCACACTTTCAAGAATCCCGCATTAGACTGATCTTTTGCTCTTGCGGCCGTAAGACAAGTTATGATCGATTTTCATTCTCTGGTTGACGTAGTACGGGAGTATGTTCCTGACACTTTAAACGCAAGACTACGTATTGATGATTTCATTGACATCTTATTGTTATAAACATGTAGCTTTGATCTCTTTTTTTTCTCCACTTATACAATAACCCTTTCGAGCCCTGTCAAGGGTTACGCTATCATAGCCTTCAATACCTGCATCGAGAGAAAACATTAGTGGACCATCACCATTCAAATCTGGATGCAAAGGCAGTTACACTTCATCAACACTGCATTTACTTGCCGACATCTTGGGGTTTCAGGCTTGCATACACTCCAAAGGAAAGTCACTTCCATTCATCAAGTCAAGTAAGGATTGGCTTTCATCAAAGCTACCTTAACACCATCATCATCATATAACCATCGCGCTTATCACTTACCAGAACGAATACGACTAATAGGGTGACCTGTGGGCGAAGTGGATGAAGTATTGCTCAAAGCACAAAGATCTCTTCTGAATTTGCAGCTCGATCAGCTTTTCGACAATTGTACAACAAGACTACAAATATTGCGCATACATCGTCCCGTTTCCAGGAGTATATCATCCTTTCAGAAAAACCCAGTCATAAGAAGCGAAGTGGATTGATTCATCACCATCCGACCACAGCAAAGATCGACCTCCATTTGATCGAACGAGATAGGAGTCCTTCACAGTTCATATAAATTGATATCGACCCTCACATATTCATCTAGCGACAAATACGACGTCCAAGTTTGCCCAGATCGAATCACGGAACAATAATTTACCATGGCTGTGCTAGATAATTTCAAGAATTTTATCAGACACGGAAAGACTGCTCGTGAAGGAAATGGAACGGATCTGAGCGCTTCGTCTTCAGGAGCTCATTTATCAAATAAACAACAACAAACATTACCTCCTCTACCAACACAACAGCAACCACAACAACAATCGGCATCAAATGAGGTGAGTATCTCGTGAAATGACGTACATTTTGGATTTCGATCAGATGATCGCAAATGGAAGTCGCAAATATGGCATGTTCTTTTCTTGGCACTTGTGAAAACTTCTGCTCAGACCTCCAACCGAGAGGGGCGTGCTGTGTTTTGTAGGTCTTCCTCATACGCCTTAAAGCTGTCGATCTTGACATACCTCATATGCATTCTGAGGGAACGGTGACTATGATGACTTTGTTTCGGGTTTTGCAATTGAATAAAAAGCATCCGAAATTGAACGGCAGCGACGGCGGAGGCATAGCGGAGACCGCTTTTGGCGTTTTGGTTCATTTTGAGGCATTTTACCTTCTTGGAAATGTTATCTGGTTTCTTTCTTCCGCGCATCCATACTCTCAATAATGTACGGCACAACTGACATGATTCACTCTCCACCTTATTCCCCTTATCCTTTCGGCTCATTTTCCTTGCCACGAACTCGTCATTCCTTCTCCGCTATCCAGCTTGGAATGCCTAATTCACGGTCAGCAGCCGGATTCTCTGCGCCCAATTTGACAGAATCAGGCTATCAGGTTGACGAGAAAGGAGCGCCAGCGGATGCAAAGACGAATTACGATTCATCTACTCTAGCCAAAGGACATCAAGCAGGTCCATCAGCACCTGGAATGGCGGCAGCTGAAAATGCATCAGCAAGTCAAGCCCATGTGTCCACAGGCAATCAAGATCTTGGCTCAACAGGTGCAGCTGGAACGCCTTTACTTTCAACTGAAGCGCAAATGTTTACAAAAGAAGCAGAAAAGATTGTGGAAGAAGAAAGGGTTGCTTCAGAAAAGATGCCAAATTATCCCGGATTATCAGAACGCTTTCAACTAATTTGCAAAATGGGAGATGGTGCATTCTCCAATGTGTACAAAGCTCGCTATCGTAAAAGCGGACAAAAGGTCGCCATCAAAGTTGTGCGGAAGTACGAGCTGAATAGCAATCAGGTGAGTCATTCTTTTCGACCTTTCATTCTCTATTTCCTGTCGTGAGACTATTTTCAGTACGGCGGGATTTGTTTGTTATCCTGCGAGTTGAGGAGAGGATGACGACCAGCTTCTCTGATATCTTGCGAACGATGAATTACCTTGTCAATTTGTTTTGACTCGTTTCACACACTCCGACTGTCAACGCGATTATGGCCAGTTCCGGCTAACTTTTTGCTTTTACGCTTCCTCGAACTTCCTCTCAATCGACGCCGTTTTGCACCGTTGTTTTTTCCATCGTCTCTCTTTACTTCTCCGACGACCTCTACTGTCTCACTCGGTAGGAACACGAACACCTGGACCCACAGTTCAGGAAGAAGAATCGTGTCACCGAGGTCAGTAGTGGTTGCGATCCCTGTTTCTTCTTTGCTTTTATCTTGATTCGTCTTCCAATGTCCAAGGGGATAAAGATACCTCGCATGCTTCATGATGGTGTGTAACCCACGCTCTAAGTCCACATCTTGATGCTTCCTAGTACTCGCTCTAGCATTTCTTGTCGATGTCCCAGCAATCATAAGCCCAGAGCAACTTTTCTGACCAGAATTATTCTCCCCTCTCCTTCATTCTCCTTTGCCTCTTTCCATGCTCCTTGCATTCATTTCCCATTTTGAATAATACAACGGTGCAATTGGAATGGATTTGCCTTCCTTCCACTTTTTCCCTTTTCCCTAACAGAGAGCAAACGTGTTAAAAGAAGTACAAATTATGCGCACCTTGAAGCACGATGGGATCGTCAAATTGTTGGAATTCTCCGAATCAAGAGATCACTACTATCTCGTATTGGAGTTACTAGAGGGCGGTGAACTGTTCCATCAGATCGTTAAGTTGACATACTTTAGCGAGGCCTTGGCAAGACATGTGATTTTGCAGGTGGCAAACGGTATTCGGTACCTACATGAAGAGCGCGGAATCGTTCACAGAGATATCAAGCCAGAGAATCTACTCTTCGAATCAATCAAGATCATTCCCTCCAAAATAGATAAAGCAAGACCTTATGACGAAGATAAAGAAGATGAAGGAGAATTCATGCCCGACATCGGCGGTGGTGGAATTGGTAAAGTCAAGATTGCCGATTTTGGATTGAGCAAAGTCGTTTGGGAAGAAAGTACAATGACACCTTGTGGTACGGTTGGATATACTGCACCAGAAATCGTTAAAGATGAAAGGTATTCCAAATCGGTCGATATGTGGGCACTAGGATGTGTGCTATATACACTCTTGTGTGGTTTCCCACCTTTTTACGATGAGAGTATATCTGTCTTAACGGAAAAGGTCGCAAAAGGATACTACACCTTCCTCAGTCCTTGGTGGGATGACATTTCTGGTTCGGCAAAAGATTTGATCACACATTTGCTATGTGTTGATACTTCCAAACGGTTCACCATTGATGAATTCTTGGCGCATCCGTGGTGCACTGTCAAAGATCCCGTTCCTGATCTCAATTCAGCCGATATTGCACTGGCAAAAGCAAGTGAAATGCCACTTGATAGTCCTCTACTACAAAGTATGAAGAAGGGCAATAGTGCAAGACAGGCGATGATGAGTCCAGGTATCAATCAATTAAAGGAAGCATTCGATGTGACATATGCCGTTCATCGTATGGAGGAAGAAGGTGCACATAGACGAGGTGCTGGCGGACAAGAGAATTTGAGAGGAATCGCTCTGAATGAAGATGATGAAGACGAAGAGGATGTTGAACAAATTCAATCTGCTGCAAGGAAACGCGGTGAAACAGTTTCGCCTCCAAGAAGTGAAAGAGAATATCATCAACAGCAACAGCAGAGACATCAACAGAGTTCATCTACTTCTTCTTCCAATTCATCATCCGCTCAACAACAACAAACTGCTGCTCAACAGTATCCCGGTCGCGGTGGCGCTGATAGAAAGATGGCCGAAGCTGCACTTTACGATGGAAGGGCTGGCACCCGTGATCGCGGCTCAGCGGCTCGTAACAAGAAACAATTTGAATTGAATATGGGTAATGCCACCCTATTAGGAAGAAGAAATCGTGGAAATCCAGATGGAAGTATTGAACAAATGCTGGATCATGGAAATTCTCATCCGACAAATTTTGTTCCCGGTAGTCCGATGCGAGTTGATTAGAAAAATTACAACAGCTTTTTCTTTCATCTTTCGTTCTCGAAATTAATCTGTATTTTTGCCTCATTTTATCTATCTATCATATATGGATCCTCGTAATTTTATCATCAATCATCAGACCTTTATTACGTATTTTTACAGACAGCGTACTTTGCAAATAATACATCATTTGTTCCACATGATGAGTTCATTCACTTTTACATTCAATCGTGTTTCAAACCGTTGCTTACTAAGACAAACAGACATGTTTTGAACATATATCATCATATGCGATATAGATACTCATCGCGATCATTGGATGAAGTCCTCTCTGTCATTAAGATGTTCTTGCTCATGCATGTGTGTCTTCCCTGCTCACGTGTAATTTTTTTGGTCAAATTTTTTAGACCAAATTAAGAAGAATGAAATCGCGCGACACTTTGGGCACTTCAACGGTGTAGTTAGACCAGCCACTGAATCCAAAAAAAAGTTGCAGCAATTCATTCTACTTTTTTTTATTCCATCATCATACCTCCAAGTTTGATCTCAAAAGGTGATAGTTGGATGCAATCATGGACGTTACCCGTCCATTTGCATCCCATATAGGGAGCGCTTCATTAGCATTCCTTACATCAGAAGAGATTAAAAATGTTTCCGTTAAACAAATCGTTAATCCGGAATTATTGGATACGACAAATAATCCAAACGTTGGAGGTTTATACGATCCAGCTTTAGGTCCAATGAGAAGGGATGATATTTGTATGACTTGTCATCAAAATTCATTCTCTTGTCCAGGTCATTTTGGTCACATTCAATTACCTTCGCCAGTCTTTCATCCTTTGTTCATGAAGCAAGTTTTCTCGCTTTTACGTGGAATGTGTTTATACTGTCATCATTTCAACGTACCCGTTATACCAATGACTCTTTTCATTGCTAGATTGAAGCTATTGGATTACGGATTGGTACAAGAGGCTGCTGAGATAGCATTAGAAGCTCCAAGACTGCTAGAATCAGCTTCCAATGTGACAGGAGAAGATTTGATGGATATGGAAGCAGAAGAAGAAGGTGTGGCAGACAAGGCATCAGCTGGACTATCCACAGAATCTGCATTCCAGTTCAGAAAGCGCATAGAAGGTCAAGTGCGTTCAATATTGACCCAAGCTGTCAAAAATGGAGCACGAAGAGCAAATGATACGACCGGAGCAGTCTATTCTGCTAGAATGACAACCGTTTCACAATTCACAAAGTTCACCGCACCAGCAGCTGGAGGAAAGAAGAAATGCCCACATTGCAAAGCAGTCAGTCCAACGATGCGTAAAGATGGACATGTGAAAATTGTCGAAATGGGATTGACGGATCAAGCAAAATTGTTCAACGAGGCCATCGGTGCGATTAGACCTGATCCAATCTTGCTCACTTCCTCGTCCAACAACAGAAAGGCCAAACAAAGCAACAGAGGAACACCTGCAGGAAATGCCTTTGACGAAGAGAAAATGAAAGCGTCGAAAAAGGCCAGCAAGAATGTCAACCATAATACAAGAGTGATGCCGCCGGTGGAGTGCAGAGCAAATCTACGTCTTTTGTTCGAGAACGAGCCAGCAATTTGCAGCTTGCTTTTTGGAAGACATGGAATTGCTGATGCAGATACATTCTTCGTGGATGTTCTTTCAGTCACACCTACAAGATTCCGACCGGCTGCTGTGATGGGCGATCAAACGATTGAAAACGCACAGAACGAATTATTGACAAAGATATTACGAACATGTATCGAAATGAGCAGATTGAGTGGTGCTTTGGGTCTTCTGGTAGCCAAAGAAGCAGTGAATGTATCGGCAAAGGAACGAAATCAAGCATCAGATGCTCTAATGGGTGCATTGATCCAACTTCAACAAGATGTAAACTGTTTCATGGATGCCGATAAAGGACCGAAAGTGGGAAATATCGTACCAACTCCAGGTATCAAACAACTTTTGGAAAAGAAGACTGGTCTATTCAGACAGCATATGATGGGTAAACGTGTCAATTTTGCAGCTCGTTCAGTCATCTCTCCCGATGTCAACATTGAAACAAACGAAATTGGTGTTCCGCCCGTGTTTGCACAAAAGCTGACTTTCAATGAACCTGTCACCGTTCACAATATCGAAAGAATGCGAAGGCTAGTCATCAATGGACCGAACAAATATCCCGGTGCTGTAGCTATTCGTAACGAGAACGGAATCGAGACCTTACTCGGTCGCCTGACCGTCGAACAGAGAACAGCACTTGCCAATCAACTTCTCACACCACAAGAGCATACATCTCGACAGAGCAGAGGAACTTTTGGTGGATTAGGAAGAACGGCCGCCACACCGCCTGCAAACAAACAAGTCTTGCGTCATTTGGTGGATGGCGATATCCTTATTCTCAATCGTCAACCCACTTTGCACAAGGCCTCAATGATGGCCCATCGTGCACGTGTTTTGAAGGGCGAACGTACGATTCGAATGCACTATGCCAATTGCAATTCTTACAATGCCGATTTCGATGGTGATGAAATGAACATGCACTTTCCACAAAGTCAAGCTGCACGCGCTGAATCGTACAATATCTGCAATACAGATAATCAATACTTGATTCCTACTAGTGGTAACCCTCTTCGTGGTCTCATTCAAGATCACGTTATCGCAGGTGTATGGATGACCAGCAAGGCTACCCTTTATACCCGCGAGGAATATCAACAAATATTGTATGGTGCTCTTCGACCTGAGAATGATTATTCAGGCAATGGCAGAGTGCTCACTCTTCCGCCTGCTATTTACAAGCCAAAGCCAAGATGGACAGGTAAACAAGTCATCTCAACTGTTCTTTTGAACATCAAACCATCCAAAGCAGAAGGTCTTAACTTGAAATCGAAGAGTAAAGTAAATGGTTCCTTATGGGGAAAAGGAAACGAAGAAGAAGGCACAGTTTTGTTCCGAGATGGTGAATTGCTTACGGGTATCTTGGATAAAGCTCAATTCGGTGCTAGCGCTTATGGTTTGGTTCATGCAGTATATGAAATGTATGGACCTGATATGGCCGGTAAATTGCTCAGTGTTCTATCTCGATTGTTCACAAAATGGTTGCAGGTCAACGCTTTCACATGCCGAATGGACGATTTACTCTTGAGCGAAAAAGGTGATGCAGAGCGAAGAGAGAAGCTTAAAGCTGCCACCAAAGCTGGACGTGAAGCTGCTTTGCAGGTTGTCGGTCTACCCAAGGATAGTGACGATACTCACAATCTCCATATTCGTCTAGAAGAAGTATTACGAGATGACGGGAAAGCAGCCGCTTTAGATTCAGGCATGTTGGGAGCCGCTCGTAGTTTGAGAACGGATGTGATCAATGAAGTATTACCCAAGGGTCAATATCGTGTGTTCCCAGAGAACAATTTCGAAATGATGGTCTCTTCCGGTGCAAAAGGATCTTTGGTCAATTTCAGTCAAATTTCAGCCCTTTTGGGAGCACAAGAATTGGAAGGTAGACGTGTACCTGTGATGGTGAGCGGAAAGACTTTACCCTCTTTCAAACCTTTCGATACCTCTTTGCGTGCTGGTGGATTTGTTGCAGGTAGATTCTTGACTGGTATCCGACCTCAAGAGTACTATTTCCATTGCATGTCAGGTCGTGAAGGTTTGATCGATACGGCCGTCAAAACATCCAGATCAGGTTATCTGCAACGTAGATTGATCAAACATTTGGAAGGTATCACTGTTCATTATGATAATACAGTGCGCAACTCAGATGGTACCATCATTCAATTCTTGTATGGTGAAGACGGTCTGGATGTGACGAAGTCTAAATACCTTGATGAGATGGACTTCACAGCAGAAAACTTTTCCAGCTTCATGCGAAGATACAATCCTGCTCAGTTGGGAGGTGTTATTGACGAAAACGAGGCAAATTCGTATGCCAAGAAAGCACTCAAGAAGCCCCACAAGTATGCTCCAGCAACGAGCGTATACAATCCCGCCAGATACCTTGGAAGTACATCAGAAACATTTGCGAACAAGGTGCAGTCCTATATTGACAAGAATCCAAATGGATTGTTGGAACAGAAGACCAAGAAAAGCAAAGGCGAAAAGGCAACAGAAGAGGGAAAGAAGGTAGCGAAGATTCCAAGCATTCGACCAAAAGTTCAAAGCGATCTGTTCAGACTGATGAATCAAGTTTTGTACCATCGTGGCTTAGCAGAACCAGGCGAGGGTGTCGGTTTGGTAGCAGCGCAAAGTATTGGTGAACCCTCGACGCAAATGACGCTCAACACCTTCCACTTGGCAGGACATGGTGCTGCCAATGTGACATTAGGTATTCCCCGTTTGAACGAAATTATCATTGCTTCTCAAAAGATCAGAACGCCCATCATGAAACTACCTGTTATGCAAGGAGTCGAGTTCGCACGAAAGAAACTATTCTGCAAGGATGGCAGCCGTCTATTGCTCTCTCAAGTCATCGAGAACGCCATTGTTCACGAACGCATTTCTGCAAAGACGATGTCAACCGATTTCAAGCGTGTCAAGTCGTACACTATTCAACTGAACTTCTTCCCCATTTCTGAATGCAGGGAAGAGTACAACGTTGATGTTGCTGACATTTTGCGCGGAATGGAAATGACCTTTGCGCCAATTCTCGAAGAAGAAATCTTGGCCGATCTGAGACGTATGGATCGCGATCGTAAATTGCAATTGGAGTCCATTGGACATGGTCAGAGATTCTCTGATGCACAAACAGATGCAGCTGCGGAAAACCAAGAAGACGATACAAATGAAGCAGAATCTGAACTCAAAGCAGATAAGCGCTCTGCGGGAAAGAAGAAGGGAGCTGAAGCAAAGACACGTATGGGCTTCGCTGGAGATGATTCTGATGAAGAAGAAGACGAGAGTGATGACGCTGCTGAAGGTGACACAGAAGAATCCAAGCGAAGAAGGAAAGCGGGTGCAAAGCAAGCCTACGAAGAAGGTGATGAAGAAAGCGACAGCGATGATGACGAAATGCCAGCATTGGACACTGAAGAAAGTATTGATGCTGCATTTGAGGGAGAAGGATCTGGTCGCAAGAAGAAGCGTAGCAGCGCTATTGCCGTGGATGAAGACATTGAGAACCAAGTGCAAGAATTAGATGCCAAATTGCAGGATTCCAGTCGTTACATCACTTCTTTCCAATTCGATAACAAGCGACACAAATGGGCTCGTTTGGAATTGCAACTGCCCAATTCGGCCGACAAGCTTTTGCTGATTAATGTCGTCGAACGTGCTTGTCGTTCAAGTGTGGTTCATGAAGTTCCCAAGATTGATAGAATCTTGTGTCCAGCAGAAGATGCTGCTAAATCTGATCCAAATGCAGACCCGCGGTTGACCGCTGAAGGTATCAATTTGACAGGCATGTGGGACTTTGGACATGGAATCATTGATATGGACAAAATCTATACAAACGATATCGGCGCATTATTGCATACGTATGGTGTCGAAGCCGCACGTAATGCAATCGTTTCGGAAATGCGTGCAATTTTCGATACATACGGTATTAATGTTTCACCTCGCCATTTACACTTGATCAGTGATTACCAAACCTTTACAGGTGGCTACCTTCCCTTCTCACGTTCGGGTATGACAGATCTATCATCACCACTACAAAAAGCTTCTTATGAGACCACAATGGCTTTCCTTTCACAAGCAGCCCTGTTTGGTGAGAAGGATGATATGTCAAGTCCATCTTCTAACATCGTTGTTGGAAGACCAATTCGTGGCGGTACAGGATTGCCTACTCTTTGCACTCAAATCGCCGCTTGATCGTTTCTCATCTTCAATCTCTTTCTCTATCATCATTCATGTATATCAATCATTGCAAGCAATAAAATTCTATAGATATAATATAAGTGGTTTATGGTTAATCATCGAATGATCCTTCACGCCGTCTCTTGCTAGCATTTGGATCTTCCATTCCACTTCTTTTCGTACCACGTTTAGCTTCATCCAAGAATTGATCGATGGAGAATGGATCAGATGTATCTTTTTCAAATTGAACGGGTCCTGATCGTTGTTCTTGAAATTCTGAGCCTTGAAATCCCTTTGTTTTACCCAATCCGAAACGATCATTCTTCATCGTTTCCTCTTCTACTGCATCAGCATTTGCATAAATATCATCTGCACCGCCTTTTCCAGCAGGTCTTCGATACATTGCAGCAGCTGCTTCTGCTCCAGAGAATAGTGGTTTATCGTATGCATTGTAGCTTTCATCATCTCCAAATGTACCAGAAAGTTGTTCTTGATTGAATAATCGCGAATCGATTTGGTCGGACGAGGATGTTGGTTTTGCCAAACCAAGAGCAACTTTTTCACTTATGTCACGATTTTCCTCTCTCGCCAACAATCTTGCCCTTTGCTCCGTTCCCATATTCGACATTCGCATCTCACGTTCGCGTTCTCGTTTACGTTCTTCACGTAATCTATCCCGTTCACGAGCAGCTTCTTCATCTTCCGAATCACTGTCATCGCTGTCGCTTCCGTATCCTGCCATTGCAGCTCCCAGTCCAGCACTTGTACTACCACTGCGACTACCTCTATCAAAGTCTGCACCCAATCTGCTAGAATCATCATCCCCAACTGTCGAAGGTGCAACGCTACTCATTCCACTACGTTCATCTCTTGCACGTTGTGCTAATTGACGTAAATGATCTTCTCTTGCTGCTTTTTCTTTAGCTGACAGCTTTTGTTGCATCAGAGCACGTTGACGTACTTCTTCGCGTGCATGCCTGTCTGCCGAATTGAGAGCTTCACTGAATTTGGCAAACCCGTCATTAATTTGAATATCTTGCAATCCTCTTCCATCAGCTGCCAATCGTTTATCGAGCGGAATGGTGTATCCTTTATTGTTCTTCCAATTCGAAATGCAAGGTGGAATCATCCAATCCTTTTGTTCTTGAACCGTCGCTTTGCGCGGAGGACTTCTCAAAACGGGAGCAGGAGGACTTGGAGGTCCTTGTGGAATCTTTTTAAATTTCCATCTGGGCGGTGCCAATGGATCTTCTGCTTGTTCAGTCATTTTGATAATCCTTTGATTGGATCCGTCCGCGTTGCCTTGTTGATGTCCAGGTGTATAACGAAGGTATGTACTCTCTCCAGGCTTTTGTCCCGCTCCTGCTCTTGATGATGCACTCTTTATCTTTCCTTGCGTGAGCTTTTCTAATGCTGCTCTTGTTCGTTCGGTTGTGGCACGAACGTCTTCTTCTGACGGTCTTTGCATATCACGTCGAGCATCTTTCTCGTCACCACGTTCACGTAGGGGAATTAAGTCTTTATGCTGTGACTGAACTAGCTGCCCTTCACTTCTGCCTTGATGAACGATTGCATCATATCGTACATTTCCTTCGCCATCCACTTGCAATGTTAATGAACCTCCACTACGTCCGTTTGACTTTCCTTTCCTTCCCATATCCCGTGGATACTGTGCAATATGACATTCAGGATACGCTCCTCCATTGCCGAAATCTTCTGCTGTCTTTGGCCTCCATCCTGCTCGATTGCCATAAGTGGGTATCCTTGTACTTAGAGCTGATGAATTTGATGGACCGGCCGCCACCTCTTCGTTCTGAGATTGACCCTTGTTTGATTGTTCAGCATCATCCTCCGCCACTGACGAATAGCGTGGCGTGGGCAACAGTGAGGACAATGTTGCCGCCGACATATTTGCGAGCAAATGTGAAATGATGACAGTTCAAGAGAGAAATGAGGAGCTGTATGGAATAGAATACACCCTATGCTTGAAATTTTGAATGGCGTTGACCACGTGACAAATAAAGAGCGCGTATCCCAGTGACACGCCATTTCGACCATGACATGAAATGGCGTGGCATGCCAGACTTGATTAGGCACATGCAGGTCAGTGACTGATGAGTAGAATATGATAGCAAACCTTTCTCTTTCCCATCATCACCAAAAATGGGAGCTCATAAAGATCTATCCGAATCAAAAAGAGCAGAAATCTGGGGCGCATATAAAACCTCAGGGAAGTCGCTAGCAGCAATTTCTGCTATATTGGGCATACCTAAAAGTACTGTTGCTAACACTGTCAAACGTATAAAGGAGAATGATGGACAATTTTGCGGTGCTAGACCAAAGACAAGGCCAGAATTTAGGAAACTTAGCAAGCGTGATATTGTAAAGGTGCGGGAAGCCGCAGAAAAGAATAAAGGCAAGTCCTACGGTTGGATAAGGAGAGAAGTAGGTGTTCAATGTAGTGATAAAACCATTGCAAGGACCTTAAAGGCGCTCAATGATGCTAAAAAGTAGTCTACTCTATGGAAACACTCAATTTGATGATGTAAATTGTAGTAATGAATGAGATGAAATATTAAACAGGATCAATGAGAAACAAAATTGAAATGCAATGCAAAGAATTGAATGAAGGTGAATGTGAATGAATGGTTTGTATTTTTTAACGAGAGAAAGAATCCCAAGGATTAAGTTTCATTGCCCGATCATATGCGTCTTGACGTTGTTGGTCTGTCCAATTTGGGTAAACATTTACGTCAAAAGGACGTAGAACGGGTGAGAGCGTCCACCGTTGCCGGTAAACACGATCTTGACACATTTTCATCAGAGCTGGTAGAGTTGTAGAATGGGTTCTTGACATCAAAGGATGATCAAAAACAAATTCTTCATTTTGTTCTTCCTCAACTGAAGAACTAGAAGAAGCTTCATCCATATCGTCAATAGTGACATCTGATTCCCATGATTTGTCGGATAAAGAAGGGGTTGAGGAACCAGATGAAAAGATTGAATCTTCAAATGAGAAGCTACGGTCGGTTATTGCCGAAAGAGGTGTTTGTGGCCTTGATTGATCCAAGGAAAAGTTTGCAGATGGTAAGAGTAAAGTGTGTGAGGTTGGTGAGAAGATACGGAGGTTGTTTTGTGGAGATTTTTGACCAAGAGAGCATCTTTGCATCATCCATGCCAGATTATCTTCGATGCAAGCCACTCTGCCTGCCAAATCTTCTTCTTCTGTTTTTGCCTTTCGATAAATGACATGCTGACAGACTGGGTAAACAGTCATCTTTTTGTCGTCGGAGGGGATACTCTCTACCCATTTGAACGTCTTTTGAGGGCATGCGACGCGGTCTTGTCCACCTTGCTGTATAAAGATTGGATGTTGGATATTGTGGGCTTGACGATGAAGATCGATCACGGCATCATTAATGCAAAGCAAATGCCCAACACGGAAAGCACCTTGATGACTTCGCTTATCTTCATCGATCAGTGCTGCATATACTTTTGGATCTTTGTCCAGGCACTTTTTATGTGGCACCGTGAGTTCCATACAACCAGCTCCCAAGGCATTCAAAGCCAAGATTATGTATGTCAAGTAGATTGGCATTACGATGTTGAGAGGAGAATAGCCCAAAATTGGACCAACCACAACCAAACCATCGATGGGGATCTCGCCGTCTTCCACTTCTTTGCTTCCTCTTTTTGAGCCAGGGTAATCCATAGCGTAGTGCATTGCCACTGTGCCCCCGAATGACAGACCGAGCATAAATGTTTTATGTCTGTGTGCTTGTGATTTGTCGGAACTTCTGCCTAGTCTTGCATCATCCCTTCGTGCGACATCATGTAATACTTCATGCAATCCTTCCGTGTATGCGCTCATCTTGCGTTGATAGACATGCAAGCCGCTCGAATAGCCGTGGCTGACGAGATCAGGTACGATCAAGCGAAATCCTGCTTCTAGATAACGACGGGCATGACCGGCAAGAGTGCCTGAATGTACGCCTGTACCATGAACGAAAAGAATATCTGCTTGATTTTCACTATTCAAGAAAGATTTGTGTTGCCACACTTGATACCAACACCAATCTTTTCCGTTTGGCATAATCACCTTTCCGTACCAAACATCGATATCGTCTTGATTATATAGACGCTTTTCCATTCCTGAGAATGGGATCGATGTTCTGCCGTAGGAAAGATCATCATTATTATAGAGTCCTATTGATTTAAGAAGTGGTCGTCCATATGCTTCCCATCCTGTTTTTTTGGCAACGTTGTATACGTAGTTCATATCTTTTTGAGTGAGTGGGTGAGGGGAATGATCACGGTCCTGCCGTGGATTTTGTGAGAAAAAGAGATGGGAGAGATGGTTGTCAAAGAGTAAGAGATGTCGAAGATTTATTATTAATTCATCAACGGCGAATTATTATGTATTAGCTGTCAATGGTCTCGATTGGCTGTTTATTTGCTACGTACGCAGGACCCAGCAAATCGATAACTTGCCATTTCTTAGACATGCCCATGCAATCTGCGAAGTACTGATGCTATGCTATGCAATGTGCCATCCAGCAGTGCGAATGAAGAGGGGTTCGGTATGCTATCAAAGTGCACATACTCTCCGTTTCCAGGTCAAATGAAGATGTTTTTTATTTTTGGCAGTCCATTCTTTCTACTTTGCCGACGGCTAGTATTACTGTCAGCTGTCATGCGAATAAGCAGTTCGCATGCAGTTATGGGAACGGAAGAGGAAGCCAGATGAGAACTGTGATCAAAACTTCGATCATGATGTCAATTGCAAAGGAATACGTCTGTGTAACGTGAGAACAAAGATGAGATCTTTTGTTTTAGCGTGATGTTGTATATGTGCAGGACAGGAGATGATGATGGGAAAAGAAGCGAATGAATGCACAAATTTGAGAGAGGATGCCCCCCTTTGAAGGCGCGCGCGTATTATGCCAAGGTTGTATTCAATTGTATGCTTTAACTTATTTTTATCTTTTGGGCACTTAATGCGCCTACTGCGACTCGCATACCAAAGACCGCGCTAGGTTAACGCTAAGGATTATGATCGATTTGGTTTCTTGGATGATAAGGAGTGAAATTGCACCAGATGCATCAATTACTACTCCATACTTGAAATATTGTCATACATACATGTCAAACGTGATATCAAACAACTGGTGTATAGAGAGGGTCCACATGAACTCCAAAATGGGCAAGTAAAGTTGAACTCGGATATATTTATATGTTTCGGCAGACCGAAGCATAGCAAATTTGATCATGTGTTTGATACAATAATTCCCTCTCTCATTCATGACCATATATCCTATGGCAAGAGCATGGATCCAAACATGCTGCCTCCTAGTAGGCCTGCCAGACCATCCGGATCTTTGATGATGCTGGAAGATGAACAGAATCACTATTCATCATCATCCTCAAAGGACGTTCAAATACCCGTAATGTTACCTGATCCCAACGAATCGTCAGAGTTTAACGATGGCAAAGCATCCTCTTTCATGACGGATAATGACGATAATACACTCTATCAAAGTTCACGCGAAGATCTAACTTCAACCAACCCCGACAAAGCAGCAGCTCCCAATCCTTTTCATAAACCGATTCGATTTTGGCTAATATTTGGGTCTCTAATGGCAGTGACTTGCTTAACAGCTGTGGACATGACAATTATCAGTACAACTCTTCCAACAATTGTTGAAGAACTACCTGCTTCAAATATCTCCGGCTCTTGGGTTACATCATCCTTCTTATTGACAACTACCGCTTTTCAACCTTTCATGGGCGGTTTGTCGGATGTGGTCGGAAGAAGGATTGCGATTGTGATAGCAGTTTTATTGTTCATGGGAGGAAGTGCCCTTGCTGCAAAAGCTGAAACGATGCTCATCTTGGTTATTGGTAGAGGTGTTCAAGGAGTCGGAGGCGGTGGAATTCAAACAATAGCAGAAATCGTTCTATCCGATTTGACAACTTTGCGCGAACGTGGAATCTTTGTCGGTTTGGTCAGTCTAATATTTGCTGTTTCAACTTTTATTGCACCAGTCTTAGGAGGGTTCTTTAGTGAACACAATTGGAGGTTGGTATTCTGGATCAATTTGCCAATCGGTGTAGTAGCCTTGGCTCTCATCATACCAACTATGAAGCTCAAAACGCCTACTATGCCTTTCTGGGCCAAGATTCATCGAATGGATATCGGTGCAAATTTGATCTTATTGGCTTCTGTAGTAGCAATCTTGGTCGCTTTGACCGAAGGAGGAATCACGCATCCATGGTCTTCCTGGCGTATCTGGGTACCATTCACTACCGGCTGGCTTGGGATGATTCTATTCTTCGCAATCGAATTTATTCCCAATCGATTCTCTCCTGATCCAGTCTTGCCAAAAAGGTTGTTCGCAAATCGAACTGCAGCGACTTGCTTTTTGATGACATTCGTTCATGGCCTGCTTACTTATGGATTGATTTACCTTTTACCAATCTATTTTCAATCTGTCAAATCTGCCTCTCCTTTACATTCGGCCGTTCAAATCTTTCCAGCAACTGCTCCCGGTCCATTTTCCGCAATTTTAGCAGGTATTTTAATGGCAAATTCCGGCAAGTATAGAATGCAAATTTGGATTTGGTGGTCAATCACTTTGGCCGGATGTGGATTGTTATGTCTCTTGGATTCAAATACGCCAACATATCAATGGGTTCTCTTTCAACTCGTTCCGGGTTTTGGTGTTGGTGCTTTGTTCACTCTTACTTTACCGCCAATTCAAGCAAGTTTACCCGTTGAAGAATTAGCACATGCAACCGCCACTTTTGCATTTTGCAGAAGCTTTGGAAGCGTTTGGGGAATAGCATTAGGAACAAATGTTTTCATTAGCGTCGTCAATACCAAGCTCTCACAAATTCAAGGATTAGCAGAATTTGGCTTGAATGGAACAACCGCTTTGGGTTTCACTACGAATTTGCAAAAGTTACCTGAACAATTCCAACTTCCTGCTCAGAACGCATTCATGTCTGCTATTCGAACTAGCATTTATGTCTTTTGCCCTGCTGCTTTTATTGGGCTGTTGATCAGCTTCTTTATCGATGAATTGCCCTTGCCAGATTTCAATGAAAGTCAACATGGAATGCAAGACTCAGTCAAGAAAGGCAAATCGGTTTGTGATGAAATGCCTGATTCTGATGGTGCAACTGTGATTCAGATGCAATCACATCCTAGACATCATCGCGTGCATTCTTTTACTCCTTCAGCAGAGGAAAAGATTAATTTTGATAAGATGCCGAATATGATGTTCACTCCCTCTATACCTGCACACCATTTACGCAACCGTTCACTTCAACGAATGTCAACTGTTGATTCAATTGGTTCGCAATACACCCTACAATCCATCACCGAAACTTTGTATGCAGAACGTTTACCACATCGTAGTGGCTATGCACTTTAATCCTCGTTCTGTCTTTCCCCATCTTACACAATGTATACTATGCAATTTCAATCCACATGCTATCTATTTCAGTTGCAGCAAAACAGAGTACGATTGTGTGATATACATCTAGCTCTTTCCCAAAATCTTGCTGACCAGTCCAGGTTTCTTGTCGTTTGAGTCATCGTCATCAGCACCACCACTTTCAATGTCTGTAAGCTCTACTTCTTCATCAGTCATATCTGCTTCATCCTCTGCAACTTCTGTTTGAGCGGATCCTTGTGTTGCTTTTGCTTTTTCTTCTTTTGTTAGAGGTTTTCCCTTTTCTTTACGTTTACGTCTGATACGTAATGCATGACGTTTACGTACGGCTGGAGGTGGTTTACCTTGTCTTAAATCATCTCTATCGAATCTTGGATCTAAAACTTGTGGTTCTTGTCCATCGTTCAATTGTCGTGGCACATTTGTAGTGCCTGTTTCTGCCTCTGCTTGTTGTATTTGTTGTTCGGCTTGCATTTGCTTTTGTTCAGCCTGACTCAAGGGTTGTTTACCTTCATCCATTGTGATTGTTAATGATGATGGTTGAATGGCTTAAGTTGTTCTTCCCACCTCCACTAACCCCAGATAGATTCACATTTAAATTGTCGCACGGTCATACAGGTCACCGTGCTTGACACTTGAGCCTTCCTGTGCCTTAATTTACAGATCGAACACGCCAGGCCGTCACGTTTGCACGCTTGAGGCAGCTAAAAGATGTTGTTCGGATTTATCAACCTAGTATGAGTCTTATGTAAGCGAATTCAAGCAGATTTCTGGCTTGCATTCTTTTCCAATTTACCGAGCTGCAACTAGGGACCTTGCCCTATTGACCACATGCATGTCAGCTTCCGCCCTTAAGCCTCACTGATACATCCTCACTTTGAATTCTTCCTCGGCTTTAACTTTCGGTCCCTGTAAATTGCTTGCTTGGTTGTTCTTTAGCGTTAAGGCACACAAGCAAGGTTATTTACAAGAAAGTTCTTCTCGCTTTGCTGCTCTTGTTTTCAACGCGCTTTCTTCGTACGCCAAGATATTGCTCTTATCTTCTCTTTTTCACAGTAAAACTAGGGTAGACTCCATGGGGAACCCGCATTGAAAAGAATGAAAAGTCCATGGATTGAAAACAGAGAGAGAAATCACATCGTAAAGCCTACCTGACAAGACCGCGGCAAGGAGTTCTCTTGTTCACACAATATGATATCTCTCCTTCTAGAAAAAAACATGTAAATTATTCCGATGCTGGTAGGAAGGAGCCACAAAAAAGGAACATGTCGATCCTTTTTTTGTTTTAACCGGGCTTACTGTACCGCGAGATTGTTGCCCGATGTATCCTACAAGATATTGCGCTCTTTTGCCTGCAATGTTATTTTTTGGGGGGTACGCAAGCAGTGGAAGTTATTTTCTGCAAGACTGCTTTCATACTTACGGAACTGCAACACCCGCGCCTACTCCCTACCAGGTCAGTCTGTAGCCTTTTGAGATTTATTATCGAATTCTCAATTGATACTCCGACAGGTCTGATACCCTACTCCGGTTCAATTATTTGTTTCTACGCGTAGGCTTGTTACCCACTTTATCTCTAAAATAAATATAAAAAAGTACTTTTCCCTCTTTTTTGCATTCTTCTTCTCTTTCCTACATCATTCAATTGATAACCAACTCACTCTCAAATTCTTTTGATTTTCCATCGCACAACGTACACTTTCTCGTTCGTACGTTGTCTTTGCTAAGCTCTATTACATCTTATCTATCTCGGTTGCCCACCGTGTTCGCCAATCAACTTTGCTCGTGTCGTAAGTATCAAACAATCAACAGCTTGCGCGCGCGCTTTGCTATACAACATCTCCCATTCTCATATGATGGGATCCTCGGAAAACTGTTACTGATCCCAACTCTCCTCTCTTCATCAAATGTAGATAACTTGCACCGGGGCACGAAGCACACTTGCCCATCCGGTATAGCAGACCATTAATTCTCTTTTACCAAAGTCTTAACTTTATTTTACCGATTCATCATATTAATCCCCTAATTGCAACAATGGCTCCCGTCGCTGCAACTCCTTATGCACACAATGGAAGTGTGAACGGCAATGGCGTCGCCGCAGCATCTGCTCAATTGCCTGTTAACCCAACAGCGGCACGTCATGAAGAAAACGAAACCGTTCGCGTCAATTCCGCCAACGTTCAATATGGTCCTGAAAGTATCACATCTCGTTATGAATACTTGAACACTCATGTTGAGACTGTCGAAAAGGATGGCAAGAAGGAATTCATTGCTACACCCACATCTGAAACTTACATGTTCAAGACCCAAACCAAGGTCCCCAAGACTGGTTTGATGCTTGTCGGTTTGGGTGGTAACAACGGTTCCACAATCGCTGCCATGGTCATGGCCAACCGTCACAACTTGAGCTGGCACACCAAGGAAGGTGTTCAAAACGCCAACTACTACGGCTCAGTTGTCCGTGCTTCCACAATTCGTTTGGGTATGGACACCAAGACTGGTAAGGATGTCAATGTTCCTTTCAGCAACGTCTTGCCAATGGTTCACCCCAATGACTTTGTCTTGGGCGGTTGGGACATTAGCAGCATGCCTTTGGACGATGCAATGGTCCGTGCCAAAGTTTTGGAATACGACTTGCAACAAAAAGTCAAGCCATACGTTTCCGATTTGACGCCTTTGCCCTCAATCTACTACCCAGACTTCATCGCTGCCAACCAAAGCGAACGTGCTGACAACTTGATCCCTGGTCAAGACAAGTGGGCCCATGTCGAGCACTTGCGTAACGACATTCGTTCATTCAAGCAACAAAACGGTTTGGATCAAGTTATTGTTGTTTGGACTGCCAACACTGAACGTTACGCAGATATCATCCCAGGTGTGAACGACACAGCTGATAACTTGTTGGCTTCCATCAAGTCATCTCACTCTGAAGTCTCACCAAGTACCGTTTTCGCTGTCTCATGTATCTTGGAAGGTGTTCCATTCGTCAATGGTGCTCCCCAAAACACTTTTGTTCCTGGTGCAGTTGAATTGGCCGAACGTCACAAGGCCTTCATTGCCGGTGATGATCTCAAGACTGGTCAAACACGTTACAAGACTGCTGTTATTGACTTCTTGGTCAATGCCGGTATCAAGCCTTTGAGCGTGGCAAGTTACAACCATTTGGGTAACAACGATGGTCATAACCTCAACGCACCTGCTCAATTCCGTTCCAAGGAAATCTCCAAGAGTTCCGTTATTGATGACGCAGTCGATGCATCTCACTTGCTCTTCCCCCGCAAACAAGGAAAGGATGGCAAGGTTACCGTTGACAAGCCAGCCCACTGTGTCGTGATCAAATACATGCCTCCAGTTGGTGATCAAAAGGTTGCCATTGATGATTTCACATCTGAATTGGCAATGGGTGGCCGTAACACCATTTACACTGTGAACCAATGTGCTGATTCTACATTGGCTTCCCCCATCATTTTGGATTTGGCCATCTTGGCAGAATTCATGACCCGTATCAGTTATGCTAAGCCAGACAATGTTGCTCAAAGCAATGCTGAACAATACTCGGGCTTGTATTCGATCTTGTCTTTGTTGTCTTACAGCTTAAAGGCACCTTTGGCCAAGCCAGGTACTGATGTCGTCAACTCTCTCACCCGTCAACGTGCCGCTGTGACCAACTTCTTGCGTGCTTTGGTCGGTTTGGCACCTGAGAGTGATTTGATGCTCGAACGTCGTATCTGGTAAATGTGACCAGCGACCAGCTTTTGTTCCTTTCTATTTTCTTGCGATTCTTTCTTCTTGACCCATTATGAGGATGCATTATGAGCATTACACTTTATGATGTATTGTTTGCCAGACAGTATTTCATATCTGTTCTTTGCTTGTCTTGTATCTATGACTTATGTTTTCCAATTTTATTTCTTCTTCGCCCCCTACATTGTGTGACCGTCTGATGTAAAAGTGCTCAGCAATGAGTTCTCCTGTTCGTGATCCATGCTCCTGTAACAATGAGCAGTCCAAAGCCAGCGTAGGAGTATTAAGCTGCAGACAAGCAGAATTAACACGCGTAACACGTGAGATAGAAAGGCGTGGATAATCAAGAATCTTTAGAAAGTGTTGGTTCTGAATTTGGATTGCATTCTTGACCACGACCAGATCTGCAACAAAGATGGGATCTGTCTCGGAGCCATTCGTCTTCGTAGACGGTCCAAGGCCATCAGAAGCAGAACATATATACGATCATTACTTTTCCGATTATCCAACGCAAGGATACGATCAAACACTCGTTCAACAAATTCAAACTAGGAGATCTTCGCCAAATTGTCAAGGCTCGTTATTTTTTGATAATTTGTTGAATCTTGCTTTGCAGACGGGCTCACTTGATGATGGAGATGGCAATGGTGCATCACCTTTTTATCCACCGCAAGAAGGTAAAGTGGGATTATGCGAGCTTATTGAACGTATTTCTTCATCCAACTTTGATCGTGTTCGCAGGACAGCACTGATCTATTACCTCATTCTAGACTTGGATGCATATCATGGCGTTCAAGCGAGTATCCCGTTTGCCAAACAGATGGCATTTCCAAGAAGTGTACGCGAAGGTATGAAAGGCTATTGGCATTTGGATAACGGGCAATTTCGTTTAGGTATATCTTACCTTGAACAACCTGATTTCGTGCAACGTATTGCTCGTGTGTTGTCACCGCTACCGTCTGCATCCAACAACGAAAGAGATGCACAAGAGAAAGCATTTGCGTTTACCTCATTCCTCAAATTGATCAACCTCGACCTTCTCGAAAGTGAAGTGCCTGACATTGCTGAAGCCATCACAGTCAGTATTTGTTGGACGCAAAACATACGTGCGGCATGGTTATACTGCAGAAGTATGATCACGATGGAAGGTGGAGAAGAAGAGGAGAAAAAGATGGCTCTTTGTGTGGCAAGAATTGTGGAATTTTGTTTTACACTTCAACCAAAACCAACTTCCGTAAAAGCATTGATTGCATTGCCTTTGACCATACCTGAAGAACAAATGCTTGCTGATATTATCGTCAATCCTCCGCCCAATATTCAACTATCAGCCCTTGCCCATGCAACCGCGATTGATACACTCCTTGTGCGATACATCAATTCAGGACAGTACATCGATGCTATCATCTTGGATCGCAAGGTAAACTCTTCGCTTGGATTGATGCAAGTAAACCAGGATGCTTCAGGATCAGAAAAAGATCGTCAGAAGGCTCGAAGTTTGCGGGAAAAGAGACAAGCTCTAGTAAAAGCAGCATACTCTGTTCTTACACGTATTGAGAGAATGATGTTAGAGCTAGGCGACGATTTTGCCGAAGCACCAGCAGAAGAGGAAGAAGAGGTACATGGCTTAGAAGGCTCTTGGGAACGTGTTACTCCAATGGCAGACAGTACCATTCAGTCGATCAGAAGCGAAAGGCCAACGATTGCAGGACCATCGACTCAAAGATTGACAGCTTTGACTGCATCTCCATCGTTAAGATCACCGGCCGAACCAGGAAGTGAACGTTCGATTGATCCTCTCTTGACAGAGGTCGTTCGGTCAAGCCCGGCACGCTTGCGCAGTAGAGTATCAGCACTTGGAGGAAGTCCAAGAGCAGGAAACGTATCGCTTGGAGGTGCCAGCAATATGGACATCGGTAGCCCACGCTCGCAGTCCTTCGTTGGAAGCCCAAGCATTCGACGATCTGAATCGCTAAGGAAGTCCATTCACTCCCGTCAGGGCACGCCTTCCAGAATCAATGCTACCCCTATGCCCGGAGATGTTAGTCTCTCTATGCCTTTATCGAGTGCAAAACCTTATCAGCTGCTATCACAGCAAAAAGATACGCAGAACGAGATGGATCAATCCTTCTCAGATCAAGCAGATACTATCGGCCCAGATGTTGGACAGACAAGTGTGATGAGCGAGACTCAAGAAGCTACAGGTCCTTTGTCCAGATTGGCACAAGAGTTGGAGGAAGAAATGCAACGAAATCAAGGCTCTGTAGATGAAATTCTACGAAGATCGATCACTACCAATAGCATGTCTCCTTTCCGTGTTGTCAGTGGGTCAAATAGAGCTGCACATTCTACTTTGATGTCCAGTAAGCCTATCAGGAGATACGAAGCTCGATATGAAATTGGTTCAGGTCGAGCCAGTCAAGAGCGAGATAATGACTTGCGAGGGAAGGGTAACACCGAGCAAGAAGTACAAGAGCCTATCAGAAGGAGAGGAGGTCGAACGCTCAATTCGAGACAACGAATTCCAAGGAGCGTAAGCCGGGTTGAACGTGACAATGTAGAAGATGATGGCGATACATCAGTACCGGGCAGCTTCCCTGGTATGCAAGAAGATCCGCCAGCGAAAGGTGATGAACAAGTTCAAGAAGCCCCTAAAAGAGCCACAAGAAGAAACACAAAAACTCAAAAGAAGAAGCAACAAGACGATGAAGATGAAGATGTAGTACCTGAAATGGAAGAAGTTAGCACGGCTATACGAAAAAGTCGTAGTGCAGCAAGTAACTTGGTAGGACGACCAAAAGCATCAACACCCTTACGAAGAAGTGCACGATTGAGCGTCGAACCTGATGCCGTTCATGAAGATGTTACGAGTCCCACACCAAAGACACGTTCCAATCCCGTCAGACAGCGTTCACAACGTTCTGCTTCACCTACCAAAAAGGCAAGTACCGCAAACCAAAGCACACGCAAACGCAGAGGCGCTTCACAAGCCCCCACCGAACCAAGTGAAGATGAAAATGATGGAGGAGAACAAGGGATAGCCACTCGCAGCAGCAGGAGAAAAGCTGCCGCAAGCGGAATGCCAGGAGGGTTTTAAAGAAAAAAACAATTAAATGTACTGTATGCGCAATGAATCGTATTAGAAGCTGCGATTGTGCATTGAATGATAAGGTATATAGTATACAAATGTGAGTTAATGATTTATTATTAGAGTCGAAATTGTTCTCGATCTGCTCTACAGATTGGACAACCTTTCTTTAGCACGACTCGAAGTCGATTTTGATAAAGAACTTTTTCTTGTACTTGAGCTTTTCGTTGATGTGCTCTCTGCATCGGTCCATAAGCACCAGCAGATTGTAGCTGACCTGTTGCCGCGGCTCTCGTTGTAGTCATTGTGACCAAAAGACCTGTATCGCTTGCCGTGCCCTTCTTGGCGGTACTTCTTTTGGGGATCGATGATGGATTTGATATCAAACATGATAAATGGTGAGCATGTCTACAGAGGAAGAAGATGGCATTCGTTCGCCCGTCTTCTTCATTTCCAGCTGGAGAAGAATCTTGGCCGGTGACTGCAACCGCACCTTCAGTAGATCGCGACAAGAGTCGTTCACCACAAGTGCTGCATCGTACATCGCCATCACCATATAAACCTTCAGTCTGGGCACGATCAAGGAATTGCGCATACGATCGTCCATCGTGAGTCAAAATCGTCGCACATCCTTCCAAGAGTGAAATCTGCAAATTGAAATCACCCAGAATTTTGATAAGGGCGTCACGTAAGCCTTCGATATGTAATCCATCTTTGATTCTTCGAATCAATTTGACAGCATCCACTTCTCCGCCGACATTCTCCAGCAAGCCACGGATGAACTTCGGTTTATCTTCGGAATAATGGACCAAATTGTCCCACAATTCAGGATCTTTCTCTTCTTTGACAAATGCAATCGCTCTTTCCACATCACCTAAACGTTCGATAATCAACGTCAATGCCGTCTTTTTATCACCAATTCGACTGAGCAGGAATACCATCTCGGGCACGTAATCGAGTGATTTGCAAGTATTGTATGCCTTTTCGAACGAATAGTGACTGCTCATCGTACGCAAGTAAGCCATCAACTTTTGATAAGCGAATTCGGCATAGAGATCAACTTGTAAGTCTGAATAAGAGGCCACCAATTGAGGATCACGATCAAAAAGGGCATCAAGGTAGAGGAAAAGGTATAGATGATGTTCTTGTAGTTGAGGCACAACACGGTGAATGGGTATACTGTGTGTGTGATCGACCAAAAGTTCGATTGACCGCCACTTCTGATGGATCAAACTTTGTTGCTTATCCTCTGCAGGTAATGATCGCTTCAAAAGGTCCTGTTCGAATTCGACGAGAAGCAAAGCTTGATCCTGAATGACATTGAACAAGTTGTGATCTCGAATCAGATCGAAGACACCTGGTTTACGAAGGCGTAAATAGTATGGCAATGCTTTTCCAGGTTGTCGATTTTTCAAGTGAATCTCTGCCAAACACTCCATCAACAAACGTTCATCCGAGTTGGGTTGAGCTTGCACTTCTTTTTCGTCTCCTTCTCTTCCGTGATTGTTCAAGCGATCTTCGATGGCCAGCACGACTGCCTGTGTACTATAAATCTCAACAGGCCAAGTACGAATCGTCTCAAGAAGGGAGTCGATGTTGTGTCGTAACAAGTGAGCGAGGATCATATCATATACCACCGAGTTTAGTGTAGGCTTCTCAACTGGGATTTGATGTATTAAGTAGGGCAAGCTGTTCTTCTCCGCAAACGCAAAAACAACATCTTCCCAAGCTTGAACGTTTTCTTTCAGAATGCCAGGCACGATTGATGCAGCCTTTGACCAGTCCTGCTTGTCACGAATGAGGTAGGTGATGTACTTTCCACCAATTTCATTAGCATCAAAGCCCATTGATAATGCCTTCGGAATGCCCATGGTGTGGATAGTGTCCAGTGCTTCTTGATAGTACTTGTGTTGGATGAGCCAATCTAGATGATCTTTCTGATCTCGTGACCGAGCTATGACGATGTCTTTGGGGCTGACGACATAGTAGTAGTTACCTTGCTCTTCTATGCTCGGATCGAGTGGTTTGTGCGCTTGAGTCTTTGCGATTGCGTTTGCTCCATTCAAGACCGCATCTGCCGATGGGACCAAGAGGTAGTCGTTACATTGAAATCTTGCAAAGCTTTGAAGGCTCAAGATATCGCTACTCAGCTCTTCTCCTTCATCGCTTATCAATCGAAGTTCCGGTCTTTGTCCATCTCTTCGTCTGTGCGAGTCCACCGAAGAATCTTCACCATAATCCTCATCGGTGATGTACGCTAGCACAAGAAAGTCTTTCCCTCGCGGTGCTATTCCACTGATCATGCAGTCTAATTGCAAGATGGCAGTGATTTCAACTGTTGCTTTGGCACCAGAAGCTGGTAAGATTGCCGATGCTCCGGCTTTTGTGCCATTTGTATCTTTTCTGCGAATTTTTGCTACCTTGATTGTATCGCCCCAAGCGATGATCAACGTATCGTCATCTTGCCAATATAGCGTGCAGCGGAACAAATCTGCTCGTGGCTTATCTTCGGGAGGCGAAATAAAGGTGATTCTTTGCTTGTTTGCGATATCATATATTCGCACTCCTTTATCATTCGTCCATGCTACGAAATTTCCACGCCATTTGGTTGTCCAGATAGGACCTTCTCCTTCATGTAGAATCACTTCTCGATGTCCGAACCAGCTCTTCTCTCGCATCACCAATTGTCCCGACATTCCACCACATACAAATGAGCGAGTGCTGCGACGGCCAAACGAAGGCTCTAGACTGATGCTACGCATGACACGTTTGAAGTCAAAAATATATGCTTCTGAGGAGGAGAGAGAGGAAACCGAAACCAGACCATCCATACCTGCACTGCCGACAAATTCCGCTGTACTGTCGATATCGAGTGCTAGTACGCTGGCAGAATGTGTTCTGAATCCTTTAATCAAGTTGCCTTGCTCGTCAAGAACGTATATTGATCCACTATGCATACCTAAGGCTAGAAATCTGTCCGAAACAGCCAAAGCACTTGCAGAATCCCTTTTGAACATATCGGGAACGCTACCTCTTAGACGTGAGTATTTCAACGACGGCTCTTCCTCTTCCTCCTCTTCTTCCTCCGTTTCTTCGTCTGTTTCGTGAGTTGACTTTTGCTCTCCACGAGCTATGTCATCGTCTATTTGACTTTCGTCAGCTTGTCGTCCTGCTCTCAAAGTGGCCAGACTTTGGCTGAGGTCTATCATACCCGCGGTTCCTTTCTGCCCAAGCTCTTGTATAGGTTCTTCAACTTCTCGTTCTGTCCCTCCTCCCTCTCCGACGTCTGCATCCCGCTCTCCGATTTCAGGTATCCCATCCTCTCCCGTATTGGAGATTTTTGATTCTATCCCATGCTCTGTCGGATCAATGCTTTCTGCATCTTCGTCGCCTGTGACAGTAGAATTGTCATCTTCTTGATCAGGCATCTCTTCATCCATAACAACTGTCATTCTTTTTCGTGAAGGTTCCGCATTGCTTGACTGAGAAATTCCACTTCGATTCGACAAGGAGCGCACCATATTATTACCGGACGAAGGGCTGGTAGGTCCATCTTGTTCATTATTTGTGTCCTGATCTCCGATCTCTTCCACCCTTTCTTCAGTCATTTTTTTGATTGCCTCTTCATCTATCCGAGGTGCATCATCTGATATCCGTAGTGGTGCTCTTTTGTTGGACGATAATCTTGCTCTTCGCAAAGTGGGCGAATGTTGTGGCGATAAGTTATTCCGGCTTTGTTGAATTTCCGGCTCATCTTCATCTTGTGTTGTTATATCGGATGTGGCTTTATACAATGTTTGTCGATTTGCAGCGGCTGCCGCTTGTCTTGATGCAAGTTCGGCGGCCAATGCAATCACTTTTCCTTCATCTTGATTTGATTCTCCTTCTTCTCTTTCTTCCTCTTTCACATTATTTTCCCCTTCTATAAAGTCTTCGACAGTCGACATCTTTTACCTCCCCGAATTGACCACAAGATGATGGTGACTATTGGAAAGGAGGTAGCATGTCAATCAGAGTTGTCCCTTAAAATAGTCAGCGCGTGCTCCGTGCATCCTGGTTGCAATCACGCTAATCACTCCGCTTATGTTGGATTCAATACAAGTCATGCTTCCCGCATTCAAAACAGCATGATTTCATATAAGATCTATTCGTATGTGAATGTGTATTACAGATAGCAATCTAAAATGCCGTCAAAGCAGCAGTAATCTTATCAGCCGGATCATCATCCAATCTTGCCATTTCAATTTCTGACAAAAGTTTCTTAATTCCAATATTCAAACGTTCCTCGTCTGCCAATCCTGCACTTTGTAATAATTCAATACAACGTGCTTGATCTTCTTCATTGGCAAATAATTCCGTTTGACGTAAAACATGATCAACGCTGCGTAACGATGTAATACTTGGCACACGAATATCAGCCAAGAATGCATCGCTAACTTCCATATCTGACAACATCGGTTTGTTTGATGTGGTAGCAAGGATTAATAATCTTCGATCTTTGGGTGGTCTTTTGCCCAGCAGAACGCTTAAAGCTTGTAAAACTCCATTGCTAAATCTTGGTCCAATTGGAACCCATTCAACAATCTTTTCGATATTATCAACAACAATGATACTCAATGGACTCTTGTAAGAATCATTGAACACCTTGTTAAGATATGCAATCTTTTGCGATTCTCCCATACCCACCATGTTCTCAGGAGAGATGAGCTTAATGAAGGGGAATTGTGAGTTGAGAGCAATCGTAGCAGCCAAGGCAGTCTTTCCAGATCCTGGTGGACCATGCAGCAACGCTGTGACCAATGGTGTACGGCTTGATGTTCTGACTTGCTCGACACGCAATTGTCCATCTCGCAAAATTACATCGATATGAGGAGCGAAATGCATAATTCCATTCGACACAACTTGAGCCAATTCTTCTTCTGCAACACCGAAAGCAGGTTGTACTTCATCCATTGCATGCATGAAGTCATCTCGGTTCACACGCATGTTTTCAACATTATCGTCAATTCCAGCCATAGTTCCGACTTTGACGTGACGATTAAATGCGAAACTGGTAGCACTTTTCACCAGACCTGCAATTTCTGCACCACTGAAATTCTTGGTCAGTGCGGCAAGTTCATCCAAATCAACGTCATCGTCCATGACTCCATTTGTGCGCATCTTATTCGTTTGGATAGAGATAATTTGACGACGACCATGTTCATCAGGTAAGTTAATTTCCATATGGACTTCCAAACGACCTGGACGAAGGAGAGCTTCATCGATCATATCCATTCGGTTCGTCATTCCGATCAACAGAATATTGTTCAATTGATCTACACCATCCATCTTGGACAATAATTGATTCACCACCGAATCACCCACACCAGTGCCGCCTCCAGTCGAACCACGTTGCTTACAGATTGCATCCAATTCATCAAAGATGATAATGTGTAGGCCTGATTCGTCACCTTTCTCTTTGTATTCTTTCTCTGCGTCAGCGAAGAGCTTTCGAATGTTCTCTTCACTAGCACCAACGAATTTGTTCAGAATTTCTGGACCATTTACAATCTTTGGTTCGCGTGCATTCAGCATTTTACCAATCTGTCTGGCCATCAGGGTTTTTCCCGTACCTGGAGGACCGAAAAGCAAAATACCCTTGACGTGCTGAATGCCCAATTTATCAACGAGTGCTGGGGGGAAAATACGTGATGCAAATGCACGACGGAAGATGGCAGAAAATTCAGTGTCCAAACCACCGATGCCCATATCTTCGAACTTGAAATTTGGTTGAACGATAGCGTTTGTGGGGGCTCTTTTTCCACTTGCTTTGAACTTGATATTCGCGTTCGATGCCTTGTAGATGCTGACTTGAGTTTGCGCCATCAAAACACCTCTTTGGATGCGAGCACCTCGTGGAGCTGCATGCTGATCACCCTCAACAACATTGACACCAGTGATTATAGCTTTGAAATTCTGGCCGTGGAATTCGTTCACGAGAAGCTGTCCGACGGTAAAGATGTGACCTTCATGCGATCTGATAAAATTTCTGGTCATTTCATCCACATCGTATTGTTCTCCAGTCTCTATACCAGCTTTGAGGAAACTCAATTCGACATCCAAGCCTGCCAGGTATATGCCTCCGCCTTCTGCTTGAGGGTCGTATTCTTCTGCATGCACGTATTGTCCATGGCTTACGCCGGACCATTGTCTCTGCAAGTGGGCAGCACCGATTTGGCCGGGTTGAATTTGTCGAGAATTATCAGCGATTGCTGTGAAAACGTACCGGCCATCGATCATGATGTATCGTGCATTTCCCCATTCTTGCCCATTGACAACCAAGCAATTTGTCAAGACGTAATTGTCAGGGCATTTGACGATCATGTGATTTCCACCGCCTCCTGGTGGGGGAAAAGATGCTTTCTCATTAGGATATCCGCTTGAGTGACCGCCGGTAGCTCGAGGTGGTGGTGGAGGAGCACCATAACCACCTCCACCCCCTCCAGCACCACCATAGCCTGCTCCGCCACCGCCATATCCAGCCCCTCTACTGCCGTATGCTGATGCACCACTATTTGCATATCCTGCACCACCGGCACCACCGCTAGGACGATATCCTGCACCTCCAGTACTTCCACCACTGGCATAAGGATTGCTTGAATATGCTGAGCGATCAGCACCTCCGCCACCACGAGAAAAGCCTGCCATTTTAAGTTGTGATTCTTGTATCTTGGATAGAGCTGATATGTCTATCCTTTTGATGGTAATGAGACAAGGATAGAAAGGGGGGAAGAGGACGGGAAATTTGTGAAATGCAATTCGAAAAGCTTAAACGCACGCGCCACATCATCATGTTTGTTGCTGTACGCCGTAAAAGGGCGCAGTGCAGTGCTGTGCAGGGCAGAGTAATGCATGTGCCGATCAGTTGGCTAGGCTGAGCAAGAATCCCAAGCTAGCGTACGCCCAGAGGTGTTGGTTTGTTACGTATGCGGCGAAAAGACTTTCATTTATTTTCCGCTAACTTTTCCCCTCATCAAAAAAAGTTGACCCTATTGCTAAGGAAGAAGCATTCCTTCGTTGCTTTCCAACAACGATTGTTGCCAATCTAAAGCTTCAAGGCAAAGATGGTTTCTGGTGGTCGTCCAACTCTACGTACCTCTCCGAAAAAGAAGAACAAATCATTACCAAGAGTTACAACACAATCATCCTCCACACCATCAAACATCACACCAATCGATACGAAAAATTTGAAGCCGCCAACTTTACGCCCAGAAGAAGAAGCTGAAAATGAAGAATTCAGCCAAGGTGCTATTGCTGGTCCATCTTCACCCACTCGAAGGAGAAGAAGACCAAGTGCTTCTCGACGAAGATCATCTTCCATTACAGCAGCAGCAGCCTTAATCTCTAGTTATTCAACTCGATCAGAGGAAGACAATACCACAACGCAAACAAACGTCAAAATCTCGAAATCAAAAGTGAAGAGAAAGCATTCTCATTCAAGCAATCAAGCTGATGACGATTCAGAGGAAGATAATGATCAGAATGATGAATTTGGAGGGGATGCAACAGAAACAATATATGGGGCTCGAAAGGCTTTGGGACGTGGAAGAGCCAGTCCATACCATATGGCATTGGTATCATTGCTGTTCAGCCTTGCACAAGGAATGCCATTAGCAAGTCAATTCAAGGTGTATACCCACCTCATGTGTCGTGTGTACCAATTGAAGGTGAAGCCTTCCATGCATTCTTATCTAATGCTACCACCGGCGCCAGAATTACCCTCTGATCCAGTCTGTCAAGATGTATGGGTGGAAGATTCAACATCGACATATGCTGCTGCTATGGCTACGGTGGGTGCTTTGGTAAGTTTGATTCTTCTTAACAGATGCAGCAGGCTATCGGAATACTTTGGTCGGAAGCCATTGCTTCTTGCAACGCATATCCTGTTAGCAATTTCCACCAGTGTCTTTCGCATTAGTGTTCTCTTGCCTACCTACGTTGGTGTCACCGTGCTGTATATTGCTGTGATGGTGATGGAAGCAAGCGCAGGTGCTCCTCTCAAGATTGCTCTTCAAAACTATGTTGTAGATACAACAACAGAATCGCAAAGAGCAGGTGCTCTATCTTTTACCGACGGATTCGGTCAACTTGGTGCTTTCCCCAGCAGTACATTGGGAGGATGGCTAGCAGCTTCAACGCAACAGTTTTTTGCACCCTTTTATGCCAGTATTGCAGTGTACGTCGCAACGACAGCATATATGCTAGTATTCGTACCCGAGAGTAAGAAAAGGCGCCATCATACGTTAATCGACGATTTCGAAAGAATAGGAGAAGGCGAAGAGAATGGACAAAAGGCGGATCAAAGTGGACACGCGGACGAGACAGATAATGATACAGATGCAGATACGGATGGCGGTGTAGGAACTGAATCCTACTTTAGCTCAGTTGATGGTGCTCATTCGACCTCCAGATCGGCATGGTGGCAGGAATTGATTTACAAGCTAAACTTCCTTGCTCCTTTGGCCGTCTTCCTACCGTACAAGCAAGCTGGTGGATCTCGCCAGACATCATCTGTTGGTGGACGAGATTGGCGTTTGTTTGTACTTGCCGTCATCGTTGTCTTGGAAGAGTCGTTCCAAGTATTCATGGTTCCGGTTCTCTTGTTATACAACACCAAAGTGTTCAAATATGACGTTGTTCAGAATGGATACTTGGTCAGTTTGTTGCAAGGAGTCCGTGCTCTATACCTTACCGTTTGCTTCCCATGGCTTGTCACAAAGATTCGGACTTGGTTGCAATCGCGGAAGAAGATTCAAGAACGTGATGGAGAGGATGAGACGGACGCTTTGCTTCAGAACGCATCGCCAAACAAGGAAAGCGATACGGAAAGGCGAGGAAAGTTGGATCTTGTCATCATGCTCTTATCGTACATTCTTGCAACTGCCTCACTATCTTTAATGGCACTCACCAGATCGTGGTCCGATCAATATGATAAGAACAAAGATGGAGATGGAGCAAAATACCCTCCATGGGTCGGTGTGGCAATTGCAATTGTCGGATTACAAATTGGTGCAGGTGCAACATCTCTACGCACTGCTTTGCTTGTAAACGCTGTGAGCGAACAAGAAGATACCCGAGAAGCATTACGTTATCGTGAACAACATCAAAGCACACGGCAGACTGTACGAAAGCCTTATGGCTCCACAGATGTTATACAGAGACAAACATCTTACCAAAGCACTGTCACCGTTGAAGGAAGTGTCGCCGGAACAGAGAACACAGAAGGTTCCTTCCAAGTACACCATGATCGCCATCAATCCAAAGCTTTGGCGGCTAATCAAATCTTGTGTACTGCTGTGTACGCTTTCGTACCTCTTTTGACCAGTCGTATATTTGGAATTGGCTTGAACACTGATCGACCGGAACTTGTTTGGATCTTCAAAGCGGGAATGGCAGGCTTGTCAGCAGTTGCAACTTTTGTGCTGATGTTACTTTATGGCAACGGAGCAACGAGGCCATGAAAAGGATGTGTGATGTTTTTGTTTACTATTTGTACTATATAATCTTGTGTTCTATGTGCATCGCTCGCAAATCTTATCAATTAAGCATTGCGATTCCTCTCGTATGAAATTAATACATCCATCCATGATTATAAAAGTATGACTACTTGGAAAAAAAGGTTTCCAACGTCAACCCAAAATATTAGCTTTCTTTTTCTTTCAAGTCTCCTTCTGGTCCAGTTCCACCGGCGACATTTGCAGAAAAGCCTGGTTGAGTGTTCTTGGCAGCTTCAGCATTGCAGGCGAATCTGACGACCATGACGGAAGTATTATCGGTTGAGAAATTACTCAAAGCGTGTTGTAATAATCTTGCTGCTGCGACTTGAGGATCTTCTTCATCACGAATCAAATCGACCGCATCTTGATCATCTGCGACGTCCCATAAACCATCACAAGCAACGATCAAGAAAGAATCTTGATCGCTCAATGTAGTCTCTGTTGTATAAGGTGCACCAACGACAAAATCTTTCATTGCTGCATCTCCCAATGATCTCGTTACTGCCAAAACTCCATTGACACGATTATTCATCACAAAACCACCTGCATCCATAATTCTTTTTGCTTCTTGAGCATCTGAACCTTTGTGGTCGTAAGTCAATCGAACAGCTTTACCACCTCGGCAAAGAACAGCTCGAGCATCGCCCACATTTGCTGTGTACAACACTCTTCGTATCTTTTCTCCGCTTACTTCTACCAAACCATCTTTTGATACATTTGCACTTACGCCTTCAATTTTGGAGGAAGCATCTTTGCTTTTACTGCTATCTTCTTGTTCTTTGCTCGTGTTTGAATCATTTCTCATTCTTCTTGAAATGCTGCTCAGAATGCCCGAAGAGCTGGATTTTGGACTGCTTGCATCTGGTGCGTCTTGCTGACCACCGCCTGTGTTTGAGGATGCACTGCGTGAAGTCTTGTCAACTCCGCCAGTCTCTGCATGTGCTGCAGGCTTTCCATCTTCATCTTCTAAACGTAAAAGTACAGTGACAGCCGTGCAACCCGAAGATGATCCGAGTTGATCGGCCAATTGTGAAAGTTGTTGATCGACAGAATGGTATGTTTTGTTAAAGATATCAGGAACGGATTGATTGGAATGGTTGACCAAAGTATCCAAAAGGTATTCGTGAAAATGTTGTCCGCACCACTCTGCAGAATGCTTTCCTGCATGACCATCAAAAACGCCAAAATAACCTTGACCATGTACGCTACCGAAATCATACACAAACGCATGAGCATCTTCCATCGTTCGTCTCCATCGTTTATTACGATCTTCAGCAATGCCTACACGAAAAGGCACTTTTCCATCTGGACCTGCCAATGCGGTTGAAAGGCCTGAAGTTTCTGCTTTTGCTGGACGAGAAGAACCGGGATGTTGATTAACAGTGCCATGCGTATTACTGCCAGAAGCTGTCGTTTGGGATTCAGATGAAGCATTCACCTCTGAACTATCCACATCTTCCATTCCACGTAGGCCAACCATGATAGCGGGTCCTGCTAAATGCTGTGTTGATCGATGTAATTGCAAGTATCAGTTCTTCCACCGAGATGAATTCTTTCCAGATTGAGCTTTTTGAGATTGTCTTTATGTGTTTTGGTGGAAAGGATGCAGGATGAATAGGTTGGATTATTGCCTGTCGTCATAAAGAGGAGGCACGAACCCTCAGGGTCAGGACTGGGCATAAGACGAGGATTGTGTACGTACACACACGCGTTTGCTTTTAAAGCTTAGCCAACCGACTGTCCTCGGTGCCTGCCTGCCTGCCTGTATGTTAGAAATACCTCCACGCCGGCCGCTATTAGCAGTACAAAAGCCTATCCGCAACACAGCCTAATCAGAACTATTATATCTTCCCGAGCACTTTCCAAATAATACAAGAATGAAGTCATCGAAGCCACATCGTGAGGAGGGAATAGTAGTGTGATTACAAGCATATATGATTCAGAGAAAGAAATGTCATGCTAGCATATAACAAACATGATGCTTCTGCAATGTCATTCTATTAATCTTACTTCACAACAATGTCTCCCAAATGCTTTCTAGTGATGCCATTGATGAATACAAATTGGACGAATACGTTATACAATCTTTGAGCTGAGTTGTGGTAGCTCATTTCCAGGGACAAAGAATCGTTCAACACCTTTTTCCGAGATATCGGCCATTCTGATCGTTCCACCTGAAGATCCATCTCTGCTCATTGCTAAACTTAGAGCATTCTTTACGAATTCCAAAGTTTCTTCTCTTGTCATACCTTCTTTCCATGTCGAATCACAATAACCGTAAATGTATGCTGATCCTGATCCACCGATCGCCCAAGGCTGTTGGAATACACCACCTCCCAATGGAACGTTCCAAACCGAACCACCGGCATGTTTATCCCAACCAGCAACAATGATACCTGCGCTTAGTCTGTCTTTGTTTTGATAAATCATCTCTGAGAACAAATGTGCGGCTGTGTCTACTTTTGGTTGGGTATCATGTTGAACGGAAAACATAGAAAGGTAGTATGTGACAATGTCTGCAACTGCTTGTGTATCTGCAGCACTTCCTGAACGACAACAGTAGATCCGATCTGAGATATGTGTTAGTTTATCGGTCACACGATTGGCAATGTATGATCCTGTTGTTGTTCTTGAATCAGCACCGAGTACCACTCCTCCTTTATATGCAACTGCCATGATTGATGTCTGTGTGTAGGGTAAGTGTCAGTGTCTTTTTCTCGTTTGTTTCGTGGGATGTTGTACTCACACCAAGGTTCACTTCGCCTTGCTTTAGGCGATTCATATCGATGACCTCCATTTTGATGAGTTGTTGATGATGATGATTATTGTTGTGTAGGAACAACACAAATGCTGACGACTTGATTTGGAATTTTAGTGCAGTGTGAGCCGTGCACGATAGGTTTTGGCCGCGCGTCTGGTGATGGAGAGAGAGTGTTAATACACACGTGTAGAGCAGCACACACTTTCAGCCCTAAGTGTTGCTTTGCTTCTTTGATTGGCGTAAAGGATAATATGCTCATGTTAATCCTATCGTACTTGAAGGGGGGGAACAACACCCACTTAGTGTAGCGTACGCTTAAAATACACACCCTGCTGCCAGAGAAAGAGGGAGATCTGTTATTTTGCATGATTGGTCGAAATTAGTCTTCTGATAGCACCTCTTCCCCGCCCGCATACAAGAAAGGTGATCTACTCACCACCAAATCGATCTGGAAGGTGTAAGAGATTGTCAAGAATATAACAAGATCAAAGTCTAGATACGATAAGGAATTTGGCAATCATGGGTCAAGCTCAATCACAGGTGCTATCACAGATTGCACAAAACTCAAATTGTAAGAATCATCTACTTGTTTCTTTATTGAACATATGCTAACTTTCCTTCCCTCCCACAGTCTCGGGACCAGAAATTCAACGTTTAAAGAAACGTTTTATGAAATTAGACAGAGATGGATCTGGTTCGATCGATAAAGATGAATTTTTACAAATACCGGCGATCGCCAACAATCCTCTAGCGTCAAGAATGATAGCCATTTTTGATGAAGATGGAGGAGGTACAGTCGATTTTCAAGAGTTTGTAAAAGGTTTGAGCGCATTCAGCAGTCAGGGAAGTAGAGAAGAAAAGCTCAAATTTGCTTTCAAGGTATACGATATGGATCGTGATGGTTTGATCTCCAATGGTGAATTGTTCCTCGTGCTTAAAATGATGGTCGGTAATAACTTGAAAGATCAACAGCTTCAACAGATCGTAGACAAAACAATAATGGAAGCAGACAAGAACGGAGATGGTAAATTGGACTTTGAAGAATTTACAGAGATGATCGGTAATACGGATATTGCCCGTCAATTGACCCTGGAGGTGAGTCTTTAAAGCAGAATTCACAGAGAATGACAGCAAGCTGACCACATCCTCTCACCCACTTTCACAGGATCTTTTCTGATTATCATACCTATCGTCTTGGCATCAAAGAAGCATTCGATTGCGTACATTGCGCACACAATTAGACCTATCACCACACTCGTTCAACATACTGTATTTCATACAATCTGACAACAAAGACATGCTATCATTGAGCAATCATCACTATTATGGGTATAGATGTGGATATGATACATTGAGTGCTGGCATGAATGATGAGATTAATTGTTTCTCTTTGATTTTGTTGGATTATCATTTGCAAAAGGCAAAGCAGCACTATCAGCAATTGCGATCAAATAAGACCAAATTGTTGGAAGCCAGCAAAGTGCAAAGCATGAGAGTTGTTCTCCTGCTCCGTATGTGCGAATGATAGGTTGAGCTGTATTGTATGCATCCCAGTCTAATCTGCCTCCGGGTAATTTTGGTTTGCTGTGGTATGCGGGATCGGGAATATCCTGTATGATGTTTCCATTAGTGTTTCTTGCAGGATGAAAGCTGTGTAATAGGATGATATGTGGCAGTACCGGTGCAACTGTTTGAACGATCAATCGTACCGAAGTAGGTAGTCTCTTGTGCCATTGTTCGTCTAGGGATAGGTGCAGGATACAGAATGAAGCCAGACTTGTCAGGACAAATAGGTTTGGCATTCGATCAGTGATTGCGATTGCCAATGTACATAATCCACAAATTTGAGCGATCCTTTGACCGATTTTACGACTTTTTGCTGGACGATCTTCTATCCAACTGCATACGTAGAATAATCCGCATGCAATACAAAGAATAAGTGCGATCGCTGTAATGAGACCGAGGATGTAGCTTAACAGCTTGAGCATTGTGTGAATGTTGATGGAAAGGCTATTCAGCCAATGCCATGTTTGTAAGAGGAAGAAGTGTTAAGCTCAAAGTAGCATCCTTCTCTTACCTTGGCGGGGTCCGTGCGGATAAATTTGACAAAAAAAGTTTCGGAAAATGGACAAAAGAAAAAGATTAATAACGCGTTTCACTTTGGAACACTTTTTCTCTTCTTCTTCTTCTCATCATTTGTACATTTATGTGATCATGGCAGATACTGCAAAACCAAAAACATTTGGGTCTATGGGACTTTCAAGTAATCTGGTACGCTCCCTTTCTGCACTGAGAATCACACATCCTACGCCAATTCAACAATCTTCTATACCATTAATCTTGAAAGGAAATGATTTGATCGGAGGAAGTCCAACGGGAAGCGGGAAAACACTATCATTTGCCATGCCAATTCTACAGCGACTCTCACTGGATATGGTCGGTGGATATGCAGTCATACTCACACCAACTCGTGAGCTGGCACTACAATTATACGAACAATTCGTCGCTGTCGGAGAAGGAGCACGGATGGGACTACGGGTCAGTCTGGTTGTGGGTGGTTTGGATATCATCAAACAATCAACCGAGCTGAGTAAAAGTAGACCGCATATTATCGTCGCAACTCCAGGTAGATTGGTGGACATTCTCAAAAGTGGAGGAAATCAAGAGTGGGGATTGGAAAGGTGTAAATTTGTGGTATTGGATGAAGCAGATAGGCTTTTGACAGAGACATTCGGACCGGAGTTATCTTATCTGTTCAGCATACTGCCGCCTGCCAGATCGAGACAGACACTACTATTTACTGCAACGCTCACGCCCGAGATTGAGGCTTTGGCGAACAAGGAACCTGAAGAAGGTGCAAGGAAGCCAGTCGTTTGCAAGATTGAACAAAGTACAGCTACGCCGCCAACATTGGATCAGAAGTATTTGTTCGTGCCTTCTCATATGCGAGAACCTTATCTCTATCACCTTCTGCTCAATGCTCCCATCTCTTTCGGACAATCCGGCGGCAATAATGAAGATGATGACGAAGACGAAGAAGAGATGGAAAAGGTTCCATTTTCAATCATCTTTGTTGCAAGAAGTGAAACGGCGGCTTTGCTCTCACATATGCTCCAACAGCTAGGAATACCAAATGCAGCACTGCACTCAACGCTTACGCAACATCAGAGGATGGACTCACTAACTCGCTTCCGCCAAAGAAGTGTGCCAATCTTGATCACAACAGATTTGGGCTCTCGTGGTTTGGACGTGCCTGATGTGGAATTGGTGATCAACTGGGATCTTCCACGTGAATGGCGAGATTATATTCACAGAGTCGGAAGAACAGCACGTAATGGCAAGCAAGGCTTAGCGGTCAATTTTGTGGGAGAGAGAGACATTGAACTTTTTCAACATATCGAAGAGACGATCAAGGTAAAGATGGAAGAGGTTAAAATGCATGAGGAGACAGTACTAGAGAAATTAAACACTGTCATGACTGCCAAACGAATGGCAAGTATGCACTTGCATGATACCCACTTTGGTCAGAACAAAAAGAGAAATGAAGCAAAAGCGGCTATGCGAATGGCTTCAGCAGCACAATCCAGTACCTCAAAAGCGAAGAAAACAAAAAAGACAAGATCTGATGGCAAGGCACTCTAGTCGGTCGCTTGCTTGAATTGGTGTATCATTATATGTATTATACAGAAGTGCCAGAAGCACTTTTTCATTGCTTTCTTGATAATGTACAAATTGTATTTCGATCTTGTTGCTGTGTTCATCTCCCTCCATATCCAGGTGGTGGTCCGTTGAAGTTTGGAGGTGGTCGTCCACCATAAGATTGTTGTCCACCTCCCATGTACGGCGGTGGACCTCGGCCATTCATATTCGAATGAGGTTGACCATACTGACCACCTGGACCTGTAGGTGGCTCGCCATAATTATGTCCGTTTGCATTCCCATATTGTGAGGGAGGTGGTCGATTATATCCTCCAAAGCCACCGCTATCCCTTGGCGGAGGTCTACCGTATCCACCTTGATTGAATCCACCTCTTCCTCTGCCCCCGCCTCCAAATCCTCCTCTATGACCTCCTCCACCTGTGTTAGGGGGATTGTAAACAAGCTGTGGATGTGGTAGTCTCATCAGATCATACTGATGCAAAACCCCGGCAAAGATTGCTTCATTTTGAGCAGGATCCAAAGATTGATAGTAATCCCTTACGTTTTGTAGATGATTTCTTCCTGTATTGTGAGCTTTTCGAACGGAAGTTGAATCGTGAGTGAGGTGAACATCACAGTAATAGCAGTAATGCTTGCCCATGACAGGCCCGTTTAGTTGAAGATGGATATTATGGACGAGAAGAATGCATGACAGACTATTAACACGCGATAATCACCTTTAACTCTAAATTAAACACCACAGCCAGAAGGTAATATTTTGCACGTGCATCTCTCCACTTCCAAATAAGAAGATTGACAATCATTAATAAGCAAACCTTCCCGTCTTCTTTGCACTTCAACATCATCAACATTGTCAATATGAGATCACAAAGTCTAATCCGCAGAGCTGGTGTCTCTCTTCGTTCGGTGGAAGCGTCCACGAGCAGAAGTGCAGCAATTCCAACAATATCAAATGCCTTACATAGCCCAACAGGAAGAATTGGAAGATCACGTAACTCCAACGTGCCCATGTCACACTTTCCAGCATTGACAAGAAGCTTCCATTCCACAAGATCCGTCAATCTTGCAAGTCAAACGGTAAAAGATCCTAGCCATCCTACCGGAATCTACTTCCATCCTTTACCATCATCGAATCAATATGCAATCTCTCTCCTCCCCAAATCTCCTTCTTCGCCTACGAGTGCATCTATAATCGGTTTCATCAAAGATCAGCCAGATAGTTCTGGAGAAATTTACGATATCGCAGTTCGCAATCCTGATTTGGTTGAACCACATCCTCCTTTCATTCAACTCATGCATGATGTTTTGAAGAATGAATGCGTACCACAAGATGGATTGTTGGAGTATGAAGCTTATCTACGTACAGATGGATTTGCACACGTTGCCGATCCTAGACATCCTCTCATGCCCGGTCGTATTCCAACGCCAGAGAACATCATTGCTGTAAGTGAAAGATGAGCTGGAATGTCGACAGCTTGGATAAAGTACTTACTTTTTCTCTCATCCCATTCTCGACAAATTCAGATGGTCGCTTTCACTGAAGGTCAGATACGTCCTGATTCGTATGAACCAAATGATGTTTATCGAATCGTCACTTCGGAAGAGGGATTTATACAATTGAGACCGAATTGGTTAGACCTTGTCACGAAAAGATGTAAAGAGATTAACTGAACTTCAATGTTACGCTATCATTGGCCGTAGTGTCGCACTGAGTGATTCTCGGAATTGTCAAAATTACTCATGACGAAAAGCATCAACTTGGATTGTCGCAACGCTACAGACCTGCAACGATCAGAAGTGGTCATGTTCAACTTCAATAACCATTACTCAGGTGAAACGATTTCACACAAGCAAACGTCGAGATCTAACTTAGACTTAAATATATATGTCACACCAATGAATAATTCTTCAACAATAAAATCATTTTATTTCAAATGTCCATCGAAGGAACCGTCCAAGTTTATGGTGTGATTATTGTACGATGAAACATGTTACTCAAAAGATTTTCGTTCCTTTCTGATTCTTTCCTTCGTTTAGTAGTTATTGCTGTTGTCATCGCCTCCGTAGCCACCACCTTGGCCTCCTTGGTTGCCGTAACCGCCTTGGTTACCTCCTCCGAAGCCACCACCACCGCCTCCGGATCCGTAAGAGTCATCATTGCCTGATCCGCCGAAGCCACCAGATCCTTGGTTGCCAGATCCGTAGGAGTCAGAGCCTTGGTTACCACCACCGAAGCCGCCAGAGCCTTGGTTGCCAGATCCGTAAGAATCAGAGCCTTGGTTACCACCACCGAAGCCACCACCTGAGCCTTGGTTACCACCACCTGATCCGTAAGAGTCATTGCCTGATGATCCTCCGTAACCACCGGAACCTTGGTTGTCATTGCCTCCGCCGAAGCCGCCAGAGCCTTGGTTGTTTCCGGATCCGTAAGAATCATCGTTACCTGATGATCCACCGAAGCCACCGGAACCTTGGTTGTTGTTGTTGTTGTTGTTGTTACCGCCGCCGCCGGAGAATTGGTTCATCAAGTTCTTGCCTTGATCGGAATTGGCGAATTCCTTAGCTTTGTCAAAAAGGTTAGACATTTTGTTGATTTGTTCGTGAAGGTGTGTGTGATAAGTAAGACAAGTTGTTGTGAAGGGGATGAGGGATGATGATTTGCTTCAAACAACAAGGTTATATATCTTTACGAAGAAGAGGTCTCTTTTCTCCACGTTGTCCGTGCACGAACGCTTTGACAGTGTTGAAATGCAATACCATTCAAAAGATGACGTGCTTTCTCATGAGAACCGGAAATGAAATGACTGATGAAGTGCATTTCTTCTCCGAAATTGGTCAATGCACCGCCACGAAGGAAGGATCATTTCAATCCTGCTGAGATGCCGTTTAGGATATGTAAACGTGCCGCGGGTACTATGTAAGCAACATATTCTCATCAACATCAGATATGAATGCAGCGGAATAGCGAGGGAAGTTTCCGTCTAAATGCATATTTCACCCCTTGTTATCATCATCAAAATGTGATGCTATGATGAATGTATGAATGCGCATTTCAGAAGAAAGAAAGAAAGAAAGAGTGTTCTTCTGCCTCGGTGATGGCTCGTGCGTTTGTTTTTCTCATATCCCCCCTACGCCGGCATACATACAAGCTTTACTGTGTGTGGGTGGAGAAATGTTTAATTTGTATATGTGGCTTACTGGTCATATCAGGCACTTACTCCTTTTTTTTTTCATCATAAAGTCACAACTTTACGCTAATGCATTGTTGAACATTGAGGTCATCAATTAGCCAAATAGAGTTAGCGTGTAATCATATTGCATGTTCTCCCATCCATTCAGTGCAAGCAATTAAGTACAAATGCCGCACATTACCCACACCAACCGGGCCTGGAACAAGGAAAAAGAGAGCGGCAGATCAATTTGAAGAAGATCTTGCATGTTGATGATGTACAAATGCTGTGCAAGGGAATCCTCCGTTCTTCTCAGCGGGGCAATTGAATTAATGCATAAGAATTGATCATTGGAAAGCGAACAATGGAGCAAATTCTGTTCGAATTTGATTATATCATAGAACAGATGAGAAGAGCATTCATCATGCGAGATAGTCGTTTGTGAAAGAATAGATTGAGAAAGATATCCATTTAGTCAGGGAAACCGAATACCGGACCGGACTGTTCGGAGTTTCTATCCGATATGAAGATCAAATTCTTATCACGATCAGGAGGTAGTGATATTGGTGGTTCTAATGTCTGGCAATATTGCTCTTGCCTTATCAGCAAAGCTTAGCTTTCGTTCTGGCTGAATTTCAAAGACCCATTGGCTTAAGGTCTCATCATGCAAAGGGGCTGAGTAATCGAGTTGATTGCTCCTCATAAACATCTTTTCATGATGAAATATTTCAGGATGAGGTGAAATTAACAAAGGTAAAAAGCACGTGACCATGGCACGCTCTCATCCTGGCGCGACAAAATTGCATCTGTACTGTCCCTGCATGCAGTACTATCAAAGCAAGTACATGCATGATAGTACGGATACTACTAATGGGCTAGAGACACAATAATCAGAGCTACTTGATAGCCATCATTAATTGAAACAAGTCGTTATAATGTGGTGATGATCAAACATCTTTCACGCTCGTGACAGTTTGGAAGGAAAGTTCGGAGTTTGTAGGGAAAGAAGAAGAAAGTGAGACATTGCTCAATTTTGCCTTGTTGTATAATTCTACGCCCTGGAAGAGAAAAGACGCGGGAGTTTTCGATCAAATATTTTCAATTGTATGTGAAACTTGAACCTCTTGAATACAAATTTGAAACTGATACAATACACTTTATTTTTTGTATGTAATTTGCCCTCGGCTTCCCATTTGTGTTTTTTGTGTTGGTGTGTTGCGTGTTGCGTGTTGTTCAAAAATTTTTTAGCCTTGTTTTTTTCTTGTTCTTTTGTCATATACTTGCGCGGCGCGCGCGCGTCACTGTATTGATGCCCCCCAGTCAGTCACTCTTTTCGGTCAGAGGAGTTTTTTCCCTTTTAATTACACGCACACAATCAGTGTACCGGATCTGCTCCACGCAAATACACACACATACCGCATACGTAGTAGATATTCGTTTTTTATGTTGATCGAATCAAGAGAAAGAATGTGTGGATGGATTAGACTGCAGAGACATCTTTCTTCTTCTTCTTGATCAAAGCCATCGGTAATCCCGTCTGATCAACATCATCATCCTTTCAGAAGCTTGTGAACGATCTTTCAGTTACCTCTTTTTCATCAAAGGAACACCTTACACAACCTTACACCAACACTTCAACAGAAAGGAAACGCTTGATGTTTTAGTCATATAACTTATCGAATACATCTCGCTATTCGTGCCGATATAACAAATATAATCAACACTTTCGGTATCTTCTTTCGCCTTTAATGTTTGCGACGGATAAAAAGATCTCTAGCGACGGTCGTGCCCCTTTGACTCCGCCTAGAATGAACAACAGTTTACCTACTCCACCCACTTCGCATATCGAATTATCCAATTCAACTCAACCGCCAAGAGGAACATCCACAAATTCGGAACATCATATTCGTATTGGAGAACCATCCTCTTCATCTCCTCCTCAAACCGTTCATCATCCATCGCAATCTCCTCCGCCATCCAGTATGGGAAACGGAGGTGAAGATGCAGAGGCAAGTCCATCTGTCGTTGCACATCATCGGAAGGTCAAGAGGATAAGTTCTGGAGCAGCACCACACACAGCAGATGAATCAGTTCAGACGGAAGAAACAACATCTCATCAAGAGAGAGGAAGATCAAGACAGCCACGTCAAAATGGTCATGCCCATTCTCCATCAAGGTCAAGGACGCCGTCTCCGATTCTAGGGTCCGTGACTGGAGGAACGGATGGTCGTCTCTCATTTCATGCAGCCCTGGAACCAACTCCAGAAGAAGTCCGATCGCTCTTGTACGGTGATGCAGACGGGGAGGATATAGCCAGACCCCGATCGGTCGGGAAGGAAGAGATGAACGGTCTAATGCAAAGCTTGGCAGGTATGGGACTTGATAATGTCGACGAAGAGATGCAGTCTAGTGGCAGCTCAGTTTCACAAGAAAGACAATTGGCATCGATGGTGAAGAAGCTCATCAAACATGCACAAAAGCAAGATGAATACATTGATCACAACGAAGAAGCATTGCACAATACAAGACTTCGTTCGATCGCCATGCTTTCGTCTTTGCGAACAACATTTGCTCATTCATATGCTGCAGAATTTGAATTGAGAGCTCGCTTGGAAGCTGAGTTGGATGGTGTCAAGCTTCAAGCACGCAAGTTGAGCCAATTATTAAACAAAAGCGAGAGTCGAAATGAAGAATTGGATCGTGAGCGTGCCATGAGTGCAGAAGAGGAAATTCTATGGCAAGAGGAGATGAAAGATCATGCCTCTGCATACGCTCGTCAACAAGCAGCCAGAGCGAGAGCTGCTCAAACGGTTCAAAGCACACCGGGCAATGCGAATGGCTCAATAGAAACACCTAGAAAGGATGCATCCACATCGTATGTCGATGTCACCGCTGAAAATGCATCACGGCCTCCCTCTTCCGCTGTTCAGAGCACACCAGTCAATGTGCTTGATGAACCGTTTGAAGAACGAAAGGTGAACTCATCTGGAGGCAACCTTCCACAAAGTGTTTCTGACAGTTCTTTGGCAGGATTGGGAATCTCATCTGGCGCTGGACCATCTGCTACGATTGATGCTCAAAACGCCCCAGCTGGCTCACCTCTTTCCACAATTATCAAAGAGCGTAACAAGCTGATGGCAGATAAACGTTATCTCAAGAGCCGAATGCGTGATGCAGAAGCTCAACGTGATCGATTGGAATTGGAGTTGAAAAGTTTGAGACCACTTTTGGTTCGTGGTGTACCTTCGAAGAATACCGTTGCATCTCAACTCACAGCGACACCTACCACTCCTGGCCGTTCACACAAGCGTGATCGAAGCAAAAGAAGAAAGCAAGCCATGATGGGTGATGCAGAGGCTGAACATCTCCTTCTTGCCGCTCGTCGTTTGCAAAAGACAAGATCGAACAAGGAAGTGGAAGAAAATGGAAGACCTACAACCCCTCCTCCGACTGCTGCCACAAATCCTCTTGCTCCAAGAACACCACGCACGCCAAAGATCGCCCATACACCAAAATCATCTGCTATGCTAGATTCTGTGACACAAAGTGGTGCATCTTCTAGGATGGCGCCTGAAAGCGTCATTGCACCGAATGCTTCCCCTCTTGCAGGCCGTAATGGATCGGTCGGTCGATGGGGATCTCATCAACGTGTTGATAGCGCTCGTTCGATTGGCGGTATTGATGATCTTTTACAGGCTGCTCAAACGGTGCTCACACCCGGCGAAAAGCTACGACAACAACAGGAACAAGAGCAGCGAAGAAACAGCGAGCTTCGTGGAGAGGATGATGAAGGCGACGCAGCGGATGTCACGGCTAGGAACGACACGATGGAAGATGAACGCTTCCCTCTGCAAGATAACAGATTTGCTCATTTGGACAGATCTTTGCAATCTTCAGTTGATGAAAGTCCAAAGCGAAGGCGTGTATCTAGTGTGGCTTTGGAAGCGGATCGCAGACATTCTGCCATTCTGAGCTCGCCTGAGAAAGGATCATTTTCTACCCTTTCTCGTCGTTTGCGAACCCATACAGAGGGAGCTGATCCACATTCGTCACAAATGCCAAATGCAAGTCAAGCTTCTGCTTTGAGTGCATTGGACTTGCTTGCTGACCAAGCTGCAGCTAGTCAACAACCTTCACAAAGTTCTGAGCAATCACATTCGGGTGAAGGAGAGGCTTTCATGGGCGGTAGATCAGACGATTCAGATGACGGAATGCACGTTGATCATATGGGACCTAATGGAACGCCTCAGATGGGCAACCATTACTATCCACGAGGAGCATACGGTCATCCATACGCACATCCCCCACCCATGGGTCACGAGGCATACAGGCTGAACACTCAACCTGGCGCATACGCATATGGACCGGGTGGATCGCCTGTTGCCATGTCATCTTCACAAGGATGGACGTCACAGAACATTCCTCCAGGCAGGAATGGAATCTATAGCCCACCTGCAGCACATCATGCCAGATTTGCATTACAAAGTGGACCAAGAATCAGTTCAGGGTTCGTGACAAACATGCAAGATGGTCCTAGATTGGCAAAAGCGAATCAAATGATGAATGTGAATATGATGAACGGTGGTGCGGTTGATCCAGGCTACAGTGATGATGAAAGTGTAGGTACTACACAACGTACACCTCAAAAAGGCGGTAATACAAGCCCAGATAAACGTTTACCGTATGTTCGTTGGTCAGAAGAGGAAGATCAACGGTTGAGAAGGGCGATCAAAGAGTTCGGGCAGAGATGGGAATCGGTGGCCCGCGTGGTAGGATCGCGAACGTATCATCAATGTCGTCAACGATATTTGCTCATGCGTCGCAAGGAGGCTGCGGCCAAAGAAGGACACAATGGATCTGGAGATGATTTGAGGGCATGATTATGTTTCTTGCGTTTTTCTTTTAATGCCGGATTGCTACAGCTGGAAAAATTTATCTGCATGATTTTTTGCTTATACGGAAAACATTTTTGCTCTACATTAATTATTCAAACTGGCTCTCTCCAATGCTTGAGCTGCTTTCCCTGTGTTTTTTGCGAACTTATATCACTACTTTTTGGATTTCGACAACAATGTATTACAAACCCAATATGAATCGATGTATAAAGAGCTTTTGTGTTTCAAACACCTTCAGCGCCGTTGATGAGCTGTTGTCCTCTCACACCGTTGGTGAACTTGACAACCTTCTTAGCAAAGATGTGGAAAGCTCTGCTAGAAGGATGAAGTGAGTTTGCCCATAAGTACTTATCTGGAGTTGAACAAGTATTGCAACCTTGATGAACGTTATCGAAACCATATTCTGATGGATGATCATAGAATGCGCTAAACAAATCATAAGCGGGGAAAATGTCAATAGAAGTACCATCATTCCATTGCTTTGTAAGTTGACTGAAGAGTTTTTGTTGTTGATCATTATCTTGATGTACGACGGAAGATGTATTTTTTGTATTTGCAAGTTGTGGACAATCTTGTAAATTGATATTTTGTACCATCAAAAAGCGTTTGAAACCCAAGGTGTGCAACGTGTCTAACTTTGAGGAAATACAACTTGTTTCTTGTGCAACACTTCCTGTTCCATTTACGATGTAAGTAACATCATTCGTACCGATAAACATGATCAAAAGTGTACTATCGGCAGGCGTATAAATGTGTGATGCTGCAGGTTTGGTATTATAGTGGGTTTGATATAACTTTGTTTGTTGACCAATATCAGGAACAGTTCGTGGAAAGATTGAATTATCACAAACAGCTCCACTTTGAGCCAAGTTGACAATGTTCCATTGAGATGGATTTACCGGTTCACCACCAGGAGGACTTCCAGGTTCCTCTTTTTGTCCTTGATCGATCCGAACCCATTCCGGCCAAGATCTGCCTTGATCTGCTCTTCCGGTAGGTGGCGGTGGACAAGTCGGGAAAGGATATTTTGGATTACCGCCTGTGGCATTATAATTTTGAAGATACACATTGCAGCTGTCTGTTTAGTGAGGCAGAGTAAAAATCCTATCAGCAGTGTTTCGACAGTGTATATTTACCAAACTTACCTGTATAGCTATCACCCATTATGATTGCATCTGTGATCGGTCGTTGAGGACTGGGATGTGGACCACTGGGAGGATCAGCGGGTGGCGAAGGATGAGGATGGGGTTGCTTGCCAGGACCAGGTGGAGGAGGTGGGTCTCGTTTCGCAACGATTGCAGCATCAGCAAAGGTGGCAGTGACCAGAGCGCAAAGTGCTATAAAGTTTAAAGATGATGCAAAGTACATTTTGAATTAATGATGGTGAGAGGGAAGATGATTGAAAGAAAAAGGACACATCTTTAAAACTATTAACAACGATGATGTGGTCCCTTTCAAGATGACCGGGAACCGTGCAAATATGGGAATACAGCTAGTATTGCCAAGCGGATTTAATTACGAATTCCCCCAATTCCAATTCAGCCCTTCCATTAACCCGGACTAAGAGGGTGGAATATGCATAGAAGAGCGGTGCACCCGAAGTGGAAAGAACTAAAAGGAATACCGGTGACTTGATTGACGGGCTTTTGCATGAATCGGAGAAGCAGAATAAGGGCCATGCTTTTTATTTGTTTGTTTGATTCAATGCCCAACAAGCAAACAATTTATAATTTTCTGCTCTAGCGTTTACAATTTTGAAGCTAAAAAGTTTTTAGTTTAGGTAAATTTAACGCTAATCAAAGAAGCCAATCATCATCAATGTGGGGAAAGAAGTTTAGCCAAAATAGGAGAAGGAAGCAGTATAGCATTTCAGACTACAGATCGACTATCACACTAGATACAAGAGAAAGCTTGATATCCATCCTCGTCATCGGCGTCTTCACCATCTTGATATACAGCTCTTGTTGGATAAGGGCAAAGCAATCGAGAGAACACAACACCATAATTATAATCTTGCAAATTCTGTGCGGGTAATTGATCTGCCGGATCACTTTTGCTTACATTTGCGGAAGTGACCGGAACAGGATTCACTTCATACTTCAATGCAATTTGACCGTTTGGCTCGATTCCCTTTTCGACCCAAGCGATCAATGCCAAAGTGATATCATAGCCTGATTCATACTTGTATGGTCTCTGTCCAATATCATTTTGTTCAGGTGCACCAAAGTTTGATGCACCAGGCCCATTACGGGAGTGTTGCATACCAAACACTTCGTACAGTTTGATGGAAGAGGTAACCAGATCTTCTCCCAAGACGGCTGTAGTGTTTGCTTTCATCTCGTTAAAATAATCAATTGTTGCTTGCGGACTGCGGATAAGATCGTATGATCCTTGATATATGATCATTTTTCCGCCCGCACCGATGAATTTACTCAAATCCGTTTTGGCCGAATTCACACCTCCTGGGTCTGCAGCAATTCCTGCCTTTAGCTCAGACAGACGAAGGTCAGTGAATGGGTTGAACGAATCATTCAATGCTGACTTCCTTTGCACCACCAATTGATACCAACCACTTGCCATTGGATTTGATGATTTCAATTTTGCCGCAGAATCTTCCAAGCCGGGCCAAAAGGCTGGATACACTTGTTCCCCCTCAAGGTATGTTGCATTATACAATTGATAAACTGCATTGATTTGTGCTTGGGTCAAACAAGTGGCGTTCGATTGACCATATGTCTTGCCTGTGCCACAGAGCAATTCTGGTTCCAGATGTGGTTTGCAGAGTGTAGGCGCAGAGATAATGCCGTCTTCCAAGCCATCAAGAGCATCGCATTGACGAGTAACAATGTCCTTAACAGGACCGTATAAAGCATTTCTCGAGAAATATCCTTCGCCAATGAATGACTTATTATGCAAAGAAGTAGTATGAAGTATTCCAACGATTTGATTCATGAAATTGTTTGTTGGTGCACCAGTAAGAATACCATGATAATCATTCGGGTATACTTGTGAAGCTGATAAGCCATGTGCACCTCCTCCGCTTGTGCCTACATAGTATCGATAAACGCGATTGCTATCTTTTGGATTACGAACGGCATGCTCACAATCTTTGCCGTAATACTGATCAACCACACTTTCGGCGAGTAAAGTTGTAAGATGATTTGCCCTTGAAGCAAAATCCGTTAAGGTATCTATGAATCCTCCTTTCAGAACCCAATCTACAGAAAGTTTATCGGAAAAGTGTCCAAGATTTGATCCGGCAACGACAAACATGTATCTCCCCAAATAGCTTTTCATAGTGGGCATCGAAACAAAGCCTAATTGAGCTGAATTTCCAATAATGGCAATTCTACCATTCCAACCGGGTGTATAGCCGAGTATTTCTTCTCCGGGAAGCGAACGAACTTGACGAGATGAACTTCGTTTCTTCGAATGTGAAGCTACTGGGGTAGCAAGTGGTACAGAAGAATTCGAAGCAAGAGGAAGCCAAACTTCGCTCAAAGCGGATGTGTTTACGCTTGTAATTATGGTTGTAACAAATCGACAGAAAGCTGGCAAACCATTTTGAGACAAACGTCCGTATTCCCCTTGTGACTTTTCATCAAAATCAGGTTTAAGATCTTCTAAAATCTTTTTCACATTCACTCCAGCGGGAATTGTTCCGTTTGGATAAGAAGAAGTCAAAAATTCGATAGAATTAGGCGAACCTTCAGGAAAATATTGAGTCCACGTATTATTGATTGTGACTCCTGACGGAGCTCGGAATGATTGAGAAAGTTGAATGCAAAGAGATTCCGCCTCTGTTCCTGCGATGAAAGCCGAATTACGCTTACCTAGAATGGATAAGCATGAAGCAACATTAGCAAGTGCACAGAATGCAAATGAAAAAGATAAACTGGTGCGCATCTTTGAGATGTGGTGGCGTCGTCTTGATGGAAGCAGAATGATGGTGACAGAATGAAAATAAAAAGCTGTCAGGCACACATGATAGATAGGGGCGATATGATTCGTTATACCAATCCAACATTTTTCCGGTACATGAATTTGAGAGGCTAGCGCTTCTTCGCAGCTTGTTCATAAATGACGTTTGAACGCTATATTGAATATCAAATGCTTGATGAGCGAATTCCATCTCCAGCTGAGTGACGAATTATAATTCTATGTTAGGAGAATACTATTTATTTAGCGGTCCCTGTGCAATAATCAACTTTCAACATTTGCATATCTCGACCACTGAGCCCCTATGCGCTACCTCACAGACTACATCATTATGAATGTGGACTGAACGGTACCGTTGAATTCACATGCCCCTTACAATGATCGGAACTTTCTGCGGTCGAATGTTTGGTGAAAGATTCTAGCAAGAATAATTCCGATGACATTGAGCAAAGAGGTAACATATATGGGAGTACGCCAAAGACATGTTTACCGCTTTCATGGAACGAGCATACATTTATTGATGGCTGCTTACATTACACCATTAGCAAGGGCTTTTATATTTTAAGACGTGATAAAATGAAACGTCCATAGTCACGATCGTGAAAGTAGTTCTGAGTCGGTGGTGTTGCACTAAACACAAGTGAAAGCTTGATATCCATTTTCGCCATTAGGATTTGCACCGGCCTGATAAACTGCCTTTGCTGGATAAGGGCACAACAAGCGAGAGAACACTACACCAAAGTTATAATCCTGCCTATTTTCTGGGGGCAATCTATCCGGATCTGTGGTGTTTGTTGTTGCAGAAGTGTTGACGGTCGTATTCGTTCCATAATGTAGTGCAATTTGTCCGTTTGGCTCGATTCCCTTTTCTACCCAAGCAATTAAGGCTAAAGTGATATCATACCCTGATTCAAACTTGTACGGTCTTTGACCATCATCATTCTGTTGAGGAGCGCCAAAATTTGCTGCGCCAATCCCATTGCGCGAATGTTTCATACCAAACACTTCATACAGTTTGATCGAAGAAGTAACTAAAGCTTCTCCTAAAGAGGCTGAAGTACTTTCTTTCATTTGGTTGAAATGATTTACTGTCGCTTGTGGGCTCACGGTAAGATCGTATGAGCCTTGATACATGATCAGTTTTCCGCCTGAGCTGATGAATGCGCTCAAATCCGTTTCGGCTGCATTAACACCTCCCGGATCGGCAGCAATTCCTGCATTGAGATCAGAAAGACGAATATCGGTGAAAGGATTAAATGAATCATTCAATGCTGGCCTCCTCAGCACGACAAGTTGATGCCAGCCACTTGCTTTTGCGTTTGATCCTCTCAAATTAGAAGCAGAATGCTCCAAGCCAGGCCAATAAGCCGGATAAATGATTTCGCCATCAATGTATGTTGCATTGTACAGTTGATAGACTGCATTGATTTGTGTTTGGTTCAAGCAGGTGTCGTTCGATTGACCATACGTCGTACCTGTACCGCAAAGAAGTTCAGGCTCCAGCTGAAATTTGCAAAGTGTTGGAGCAGAAATGATCCCATCTTGCAATCCATCAAGAGCATCGCACTGACGGGTGATGATGTCTTTCACAGGACCGTACAAGGCACTTCTTGAGAAGTATCCCTCTCCAATGAATGACTTGTTATGCAGAGAGGCAGTATGCAGTTGCCCAGTATTGAGATTCATAAATTGGTTTGCCGGTGCTCCGGCAATGATACCGTGATAGTCATTCGGATAGATTTGGGCCGCGCTTAACCCACGGGCTCCTCCTACACTTGTTCCTGCGTAATATCGGTAGACACGATTGTTATCTTTTGGATTACGAACGGCATGTATACAATCTTTACCGTAGTACTGGTCAACGACGCTTTCGGCAAGCAAGGTTGTAAGATGATTTGCTCTCGAGGCGAAATCCGTCAATGTATCCTGAAAATTATCCAAAACCCACTCTACACCGTTTTGATCGGAAAAGTGACCTAAATTTGTTCCTGCGACGACAAACATGTACCTGCCCATGTAATTCTTCATTGTCACCATCGGAACCCAACCCAATTGACCAGAGTTACCAAGAACGGCAATCCTACCGTTCCATCCGGTTTTATAGCCCAGTACAAAATCACCCGGCAGAGATCGAACTTGCCAAGACCAATTCCGTTTCGCTAGCTTGCCAATAAGGATCGAAAGAAAACTTTGATTTGTTTTTTGTTCTGGTGTCGCAAGTGGTATGAAAGGATTCGAAGCTAGGGGAAGCCATACTTCACTTAGAGCGGATGTGTTTGAGCCCGTGATTATTGTCGCAACAAATCGACAAAAAGCAGGCATTCCATTTTGCTGTGAAGCAAAGCTATTAAAATATCCATATCCGGCTTGCGATCTGACATTCAAATCAGGTCCAACATCTTCTAAAATCGTTTGCTTATCTACGCCAGCCGGAATCGTTCCGTTAGGGTATGAATCAGTCAGAAATTCAATAGAAGCAGTCGAGCCTTCTGGGAAATATTGTGTGAACGTATTGTTGATCGTGATACCTGACGGCGGCTGAAATGTTTGGGAAAGTTGCATGCAAAGGTATTCCGCTTCTGCACTTGCTATAGTAGCCGAACCAGATCCGATGACTATGTTCGGAGTTGTTGTAGATAATGGGGCGCATAAAGCATTATCAGCAACCAATGCAAGAAATGCAAATGAAATAAGTAAGCGAGTATGCATTCTGGAAAGGACAGTGGGGGATCGTGTGGAACAAGCCGAAATGATGATCGTTTAAATAGGAAGCTGTTAGGAGTATTTGGTAAATAGGAGGTATATGAAGTCATAGCCATTTCCAGTATATCGTTTTTCCACTGCAAATGACCGGGAGCGGCTAGCGCTTCTTGGCAATCCTTGTAGATTCTCATCTCGCATGCCTCATGCCCAAAATCCTTTTCCGTCAAAATAACAAATAATCAACTTTCATTATAGGAGAATATTTCCTCGTGTTCCGTTCATTATTTTCGATTGTTATCAATTCCGCATATTCTGGCGGGCTCGTATCTCTCCTATACGGTACCCTTCCGGCTAAAAATGAAAGTCTATTCTCGATCGCAAGCGATGCGGTACCGTTGGACAGGGACTACCGCTTAGCAAGCGCGAGAGTGCTCGTATGAGTCAACACTGATGTTCCGTGGTTGGATGTTCAAATGGAAAGTTCTAGGTACAATGAGTGTGATGATTTTGCGGCAAAGAAAGATCCGATATTTGTGTACACGATGAGCATGACATGCTCATAATCGTTATCAGGAAAAGAGCATACATTCACAACTGGTGGTTAACACCTTGCGCCCTTGCTCATCACGTGTATGGCTGCACAAGCAAGCCTAAGCGCGTATTTGGTTGTTAATACGCTCTTGCTTGTTGGCCAATACCCGGGATCTTCGCGTTTGTGTTTAGACTGAGATTGTGCATACATACGCCAATAGCAACAAGCAAAAGCAGGCTAAATCGCATCAAGAAGATCTTACTGATAGCCATCACATTCATCATAATGGCAAGTCATCGAGAAGTTCGTTTCCCTTCTACACCATACGTCGAACCTTCCCCGCTATCGGGAGAAGCGGGAAATGTTGAAGAATTAGGTGTAACCTCAGCACCATTAAAGAGTGCAAGTTTCTTCTTAGGTGAACATTGTCAAAAGTATAATGAAGATTTCATGCTTTGCAAAAATGAAGATCGTAATCCTGCACATTGTCTAAAAGAAGGAAGGAGGGTAACCAGATGTGCACAAGATTTGATCAAAAAGTTAGGCGAATCATGCGGAAAAGAATGGGAAAATCATTGGCAATGTCTAGAAATGAACAATCAAGAATTCTATCCTTGTCGTAAACCAGAGAGTGGGTATACAGGCACTTTATGATCAGTCATGATCATTCACTGACACATTTGACTCTTCTTTCCCTCTTTTTCAGGAACACTAAACCAGTGCGTATTCGACAAGCTGAAATTGGCAAAAAAGATTCCAGGTTCTCCTGAAGGAGCACCACAAGTGCATGAGAAGAAGAAGCCGGTCTTCCGTGGACCGCAAACATAGAGGGAGAAAGGAATGAAGAAGCATATAATATCGGCTTGTTATTACTCATCGATATCAATGATATTTGAAAAGCGACAAAGAAGCGATTGCGATTAAGCGGACGCTGAATTCCGTGCTAGGTAAGGTACACGAGTGAGAAAGTATATGAGAGAGCGACATGATCAATCACAATTTTTCAGAAAAGGAGTCAAAATCGATGTCTAGATGTCTAATTGAATCGATCGAACAATAGGGGCAAGACTGAAGCGTTTCTCCTTTATTCAAAACTGAGATGAAGCGTTTCTCCTTAATTCAGGACTGAAATGAAGCGTTTCTCCTTAATCCAGGACTGAAATGAAGCGTTTCTCCTTAATTCAGGACTGAAATGAAGCGTTTCTCCCTTATTCAGGACTGGAATGAAGCAGCACAGCAATGTTCAAATTTGGAAAACGGCTCCGCCATTCCGCCATTCTTTCCAGAAATTTACGGACGAAAGGGTCCGCATCAGCTCTGATTTCCTTGTCGTCTTTCTGCATCTATTTCTAGTAACGATCGATCACTCCTCATTCTTCACACGAATTAACTCCTGACATTCTCGCTCCGGTTTTAAGTGCCCAATAGCTGACTTGGAAACGCATTCGTCCATCCTCCCTTCCATAACATCACCATCCATCATGCTCGTGTTCGCTTTGCTTCGTGCAGCTTTTGCTGTTACTGTTTTCCTCTCGCCAGCTCTTTCTGCCCCTCTTGACAGCAGGGATAACGATGCTTCCATTCCACACACAGGTGCCGATATTGAAAAGCGTGAAGCGATCAAAGATGCTTTCTTGTACAATTATAACGAATATGTCAAGTATGCATATCCGGCAGATTGTATCGATTTAAAACTATTGACAGGAGCAAATGATCCTGCAACGGCAGATTTTGGTGGAACGCCCATCGAATCATTAAGTTCGATGATTATGATGAATTTAACTCAAACGGAAAACTATGCAAATGCAGTAAAAGTTGTCAAAGATCAAGCATTCTATACGACGAATTCAAGCATGGTTGATGGACAACCGGGAACAGTGAAGTTGTTTGAATTAACCATTCGTATCATTGGTGGTCTTTTGAGTGCTTATCAAATGAACGGTGAAAGAGCTGAAGAAAGCTTCTTTATCAACAAAACTCGTACGCTTGCCGATCGTCTCAAAGGATCTTGGTTCAAGAATGCAAAAATTCCCGTCAGCATTTGGAATATGAGAGACCAATCGGTCATGGACTTGAACGCTGATACGAACATTGCTGAGGCTGGTACTTTGACAATTGAATTCGGAATATTGTCAAATATGACCAATGACGATCAATATCGTACTTTGGCAGAAGGGTCTTCTGATGCTATTATGGGTTTGAATGCTTACTATCCTGGTTTGCCCTATACACGCGTGAACCCGTTCAATTTGACGACAAACAGTCAATACATCACCCTTGGAGGTGGTTTCGATTCGGGCGGTTTGGAATATTTCCTCAAGTATCCTATCTTGTTGGGTCAACGTGATCATCGATACATCAAACATTGGACAACTGCAGTTGAATCAATTCAATCCCATTTGGTATACAAGACCGGAGTGAACAATTTCACCTTTGTTGCCGACTTTGATGCTAATCGTACTACACCGGTTTATCTTTCTTCACATTTGGCATGCTTTATCGGCGGTAATATTGCCATGGGAGGTAGATTGTTGAATCGTGATGATTTCACAACATTGGGTCTTGAACTTGCAGAAAGTTGTGCGGCTACATATGACCAAACAGCTCTAGGACTTGGACCTTACGGATTCGGTTATGGAGACAAAAGTGGCAACTTTGCCGGTTGGAAATACGTTTCACCTCAAAAACGTTCTTTCTATCAAAAGCATGGTATCTTTGTTACTGTTGGCTATTGGTTCGTTGCGCCTGAAGTCTTGGAATCAATCTTTTATGCTTGGCGTATCACAGGACAACAAATGTGGAGAGATGTGGCATGGAAAATCTTCCAAACGATCAAGAAAGTTGCTGATACAGGTCATGGTTATTCAATCATTAATAACGTCAATGATGAATCAACTGGTATTCAAGGTCCTCAACCTCCATTCTTGTACTCTGAAACACTCAAGTATCTCTATTTGATCTTTGATGATTCTAATCATTATTCGTTGGACGATATCGTGTTCAATACGGAAGGAATGGCATTCAAACGTGCTAACCCAACAGCGTTTGGCAAGGTACAAGGTAATTTCCCTTATTCGCCGCTTTACTATCGTAACGACACTTCTTCTTCTGAGTTCGATATGCTGGCTGATTCAAAGATGGCCACTGTGAATACGAAATCCGAGTCCGCATCAATGAAAGTACTTGCCGATCCAGGTGAGAAACCCGCAGAGGTTTATGATGCCAAACCTGGATCAGGAAAAGATGAATTTGCCAAACAAATGATGTCATACACAAATATGCCCAAAGAAGTAGCATTTGACTATTTGGGCAGCATGAAGCTATGAGTATGACATATTTGGTGGAGCTACTTCTATATATAGTTTTGTATCCGAACAATATGAACGTTTTCTTTCTTTCTGTCTGAATGATTGGAGTGATTGAGTTTTAGCACAGCTTGTAAGCGCAACGCGTATGGTGGAAGAAGGTTGACGCTGGGAAATTTATAGTGTGACAAGTCCGACAAAGAAACCTTCTTTACGTGTTGTTGTTGTTCTTCGTGACCATCACCATCATTTGTTGTGCAGGATAGAAAAGATGCAGGGCAGGAGTTCATCTTTTAGCCTCGGAGGGCAAACAGCTAGACCCTTTGCTAGCACGAGCACAACAAATAATGCTGCAACGCCAACACCTTCATTCAGCTTTGGAGGTTCTAATCAACCAGCCCAACAACCACAGCAGCAGCAGCAACAGCCGGCAGCGACAGGATCTTCTTTGTTTTCCTTCGGTCAGCCACAGCAACAACAGAATCAGCAACAGCCACAGCAACAAACAGGCGGTCTATTTGGTAGCTCGACAAATCAGCAAAACACTGCAACGGGAGGTCTCTTTGGCAATAAACCACCTGCACAGCAGAATCAGACAGGATTCGGCTCATCCTTGTTTGGCCAGAACCAAGCACAACAACAATCACAACAGCAAGCAGGAGGAGGACTGTTTGGCTCAAGTACAGCAGCAGGTGCCAACAAACCATTCTCTTTTGGATCAACACAACCAGCTGCACAACAACAGCAACCACAGCAGCAACAAGCTTTCTCTTTTGGAGCAACAGCGCCTGCACAAAGTGGTCAACAAGGATCATCGCTATTTGGGCAATCGCAACAGAATCCACAACAGCAATTCCAGCAAAGTACGCAATTTGGACAATCAGCTGCACAGCAAAATGCATCGATCCAAATCAATCCCAATTCCCCTTTTGCCAAACAAGCATACCATCAAAAAGAGCGATTTAACGATCTACCTGAAGATCAAAAGAAGTTATTCGAAGAAATGGAAAAGTACATCAATGGTCAAATTCGTATAAAAGATGAACTGCAAACACGCGAATATGGAACGGAAATCAAAAAGAGAATTTCCGAATGGAATGAATTGAGTAATAATATCAGCAATACACTTTTGATCTTGCAACAGGATGGTGAATTGATCAAAGGAATCGTTGATCATGTTGATAAAGATCGCACAGATTTGGCAACTTTATACGAAATTGCACGAAACTACAAGGAAGGACGATCTGATGGTAAACAATGGATCAATTGGCCAGGTGACTTTTTCAACAAAGCTGCTGTTGAATTCAGAACGCGGATCAAACGATACAGATCGACGATTGAGGAGATTGAGAAGCAACTGGCGACCATTGATACGAGAAATGAGCATAGTCCTCAACTTATCTCCGATGCGATCTTGCACCAACATGCAATCTTTATGTCTATGGCTTCCAACGTCGCAAATTTGCATGCTGAAGTTGATCAACTTAAACGTGATTACGTTCAGTGGTATCAGGTGAGTAAAAAAACTACCAAGACAACATTTGCGAGATTCACTAACCGAATTCTTCTCCCAACAACAGCAACAATACCGCTCGGTGCGAGACCCTTTTGCGATGTCAGAACTGACTTCTACTATCTAGAATGTTTCAATTGTACAATGTATGAGCAAAATTTCGCTTTTGGTATGATACAGTGTTACTAGTATACATTTACGTGGCCCCTCTCCTTGTTCTTGGAATCCTTGAAGTACCTTTAGCTTCTTCCCCACTCGCATCTGTCGTGGTCCCTACATTTCTCTTGCTACGCGAACGAGGTAAACTTGTCGTCGTAGCCGACTCGCCAGCTTTCTTGGTCGCTGCTGCTTTTGCAGTCTTTGGAGCTGCAGTTGTGGTGGAAGCGTCTCGCTTGTTTTGTGGTGCTACCCGGCTAACTTTCTTGCCTGGAGATATTTTGAGCTTGGCTTCCCTGCCCTCCGAAAGTTCACCATCGATCTCACTGACTTTTCGTTTAGAGGGGGCCTTCTTCTTCGAAGCTGCCGTCGAGGTGGATTCCGAATCAGATGGGAGTTGCTTCTCTTGTTGCACTTCCTCAGATAAAACGATGTCCTCAGCCAGATTAACCGCATTCATTGTTATGGTCTGATCACCTGCAACGTTCTCGTCAAGCGTCTCTTGTCCAAGATTGGAAAACGGCTTCACTGGAGAGTTTGCTAGGCTTCCGGGCATCTTCTCTACGATAGAAGGCCGAAGATGTGAAATAGGTCGACCATTGGGCGGAGGAACAAAGTCATTATGTTGCATCGGATTGCCAATACCTGGTATATGCGCAAAGTTTGACATTGGCGAAGATGTCAGAGGTGGATTGTGAGAAGCAGGTCCAGAAACAGTCCTTCCCTCCACTCTGATCGATGAATCAGGCAAATCCCGCGGAACGGATGGCAGCGATTGCAGTTGTTGAAATGTCTCTTGCGTACCTGGTGTCATTCGAGAAGACACACTTCGCTGACGTGAAGCTGAAGCGAGATTTCTGTTCGTGATCGCAGTTGTTCGGGAAGCCAGCGAATCCATGCTTCTCTGATATCGCAGGCTGTTGTTTGCTGCGCTGAGACCACCACCACCACCGCCTTTCGTGCCATGTGAAGGACCTGATCCGTTTCGACCATCTTTTCTAATGCCAGAAGTGGATGCTTGGCGTGCACCAGACTTCATTTTTGGCGGTGGTACACGATCTGCTTCTAGCATTTGACGTTGCATCTTTGCCCTTTCTTCTTCTGCCAAAGTTGCATTTTCCACTTGACCTTCATTGCCCCACGAAGACAAGAGTGAATTTAGTGTATTGCGAAATGCTGCAAAAAGATGAGCAAAAGGTAACGACAGCATAAACCGAAGCCAAGGCAAGATGAGGTTGGTGAATGCTGTTGAATTGATCAGTGGCGTATTTGGACGACCAAGTGGGATGATGAACGAATCAAACAAATGGATGGATAATTGTGCTCGAAATCTGGCAAATACCAAAAGACAAAGAACCTTGATGGCATTGTAGAATGGGACAACATATCCAAATGTATAATCGAATGCAGGTTCAGTACCCTTACATGCTAGCCAAATGAACAAGATCTTGAGTGATTCCCGTAATTCTTCCCTTTGTGCTTCGGCCAAAGTTAATTGTTTACGTTTTCTACCTTGTCGTTTTGGTGGCTGATTGTTTTGTTCCTTTGTTGTTGTGAATGCACTCTGAAATGCCGCAAACAATGATAACGGATGCACAGATGGAGCAGCAGCTGACAAAGTAGAAGAAAGGGGTTTGTAGACGTTGTACAATGTCATGGACCAAATGTACATCGATAAGCCAATACTGGCTAGTACAAATAGGCCCATGACTGTAACGGCGAATGATGATGTTAAAGAAGGAAAGATTGTGTTGGATGCACAGTTCTTCTCTCCCTTTGTCTTATTTTGTGGGCTGAATGAAGTGTTGTTCTTCTACGCGTCATTTATACTCACTCTTTAGACGCGAATAATAAAGTGGACAATCATTATAGCATTTATCCGACTTGATTGTTATATATTATACATACAGCCACCTTTCAATACAACAATCATCATCCTACTTCCAACCTTTCTAACATCAAATTTCTAGCTATGGGAAGCTCTCCCGACCAAATCTCGCAACCAGCCGTCAGAAAGATTTCATCTTTACCGCAAGAAATCTTGATTGCGATTTTCGACTATCTGACACCCGAGGATCTCAGTCAAGTTGTACAAAGCAGCCGTGAGCTATACAAATCTGCAACTTCGTCTTGCTTATGGGAAAGATTTTATTTTTCCTTCTGGAAAGAAGATCGTATAGAAAACCCTCAAAGCGCTAGATTGAACCAATTACGCAACAAACGGAGAATTCAGAATTTATACCACACGGCTCAATCCGTTTGGAACAGGCACAAAACAAGCAATTCTTCCATGGAAACTCCATTTCCAGAATTTTTAACTTTTAGTCCAAGCACACAGTTGCACGTAGAGGAAGAAGGAAGCTTGGACTTCTATAAACTTTTTTGTGCTCGCATACGTACTGATGAAAAGGTCATACAAGTCATCAAAGAACAATGCATCAATCCTACGTGTTGGTTTGAGAAAGTCTATGAAACTCTACAATCGTATGGAGACGATGTGAAAGATATACTCATCGCATTGATCGTAGTTCAAAAAAGGGTTGGAAGAAATCCAGATATTTTCATAGAGTCAGATAATATGCAAAACTCAAAAATGATTGATTTCCCATCAGCATTACAGTCGCGCAAACCTAGCACTTATAGATCGAAAACGCATTCTATGGTAATACAGCATCTCGGAGAAATGATGTTGCAAATTACAAGAGAGCAACAAGCAATTTATGGACTGAATCGGATGTGGGCAATTATTCAAGAATATGATATATTGGGACCCTCTTTTTCATGGACGGAGATCAGTGCTACACGTAGTAACGACGACGCAAATTTAGTCCCACAAGACGTAGTCCAAATCAAACAAATCGAAACTGTTTTTGGCTACTTTTCAATGATCTGTGGAGGTGAGGGTCAAGAAATCTCCAACGAACTAGACAAAATGGCAGTTGCATGCTCATTATTCTTAGCAGATCGTGACACTCAGTCAGAAGGGCCGAAAAAACAACAAAAGATTGCTCTTGCAATTTATGAATTCTTGAAAATTCGTCAATTTCGCATGGCAAAGGTCTATGATACAACCAAAGTCTATAAGAATTTTATTCATTGCTGCTTAAGCAAAGCAACAAGGGAAACTCACCCTATGACATTTTCTGTGTTATATTGTGCAATAGCTTGCCGTCTGGGGTTGTTTGCCTTACGTACTTGCATTCCAGATAGTGCCATAATTGCTATACGGGGCGGAAGTTCTGGGCAAGATACCAATTTTTGGCTTGATGTAGAAGAAGGTGGTCTGATTTATGATTCACTTGATCTCAAGCGTAAATTTCGAGTCAGTAATGATGATTCACAAAGCGCACAAGTTTCTACCTGCTCAACACTCTTTTGCTGTCTTTCGGCTGCAAGGAATATTGAAAGGGATATTGGACCAGTCATATCACCATTTATGACGCTGAACACAGTAGATCTCATTGACCAACAAAAAGTCACCATGAATCAAGATGCTGACGAAATCTTTGAATTGATTATGGCAAAGGATGATAATCCTTTCAATCCTAGCGCTACATACTTCAATCATAGTGATGACCAAATGTATCTGGTATCCGCAATCTATCCGAAGACAGAAAGATTGGGAAAAAGGCTGACTGAACAGTCTAATCCCGCAAGCGCACAATTACCATCTCGTTCGCAAAGCATAAATACGTTTATAATTGGAAGAAACGAGCTGGAAAACAGATCCAATACAGAAGGCATTTTCCATTCTTTAACAATTCTTGGAACAATACTTCCCCAGTCCCTCATTAGCAAGGCTGTCGCCTTTGAAAGAAGAAAGCCATTTTTACGAGGCCAAGCCCCAATAGACAGACTAGAAGATGCCGTAATACGAGCGAAAGGGATGATCAAACAGCAGAAGGAGAAGCTACCTCCTATTAAAAGGCTTGCTAGAAGTTCTTCAGGGCACACAGACGATGTTGAAGATCAAAGTACGATTGATGATTATATCGATGACGATATATTAGATACAATTCACCCAGTAGGTACAGTATTTGTTCACAGGACAGAAGACTATCACGGAGTGATTACCGTCTGGAACAAAGATTATGAAAGTCCTAATCCCATCTTTTTCCATTCGATGGAAGATGACGCTACAAAAGATCTTCCTCGAAAGCAACCATTTTATTGGATCGTAGCAGCTGATAATACAACTCGGTATGTCGCTCATGTTAATATTCAGCCTGCTTCGGTTTGTCTGAGTTCGCTAAAGAATGATACATCAGCAAGCACAACCCGTCTTTCGTATACTCAAGTTGAGAAATTGCGAAAAGTTGTACAAAGTAGAGAAAGCCTTACGTTCTCTCGAGTGACTGCGCAAAAAGATGGGAGCCATTTACGCTTTGAACTCAGGGAAGAAATGCTAGCCATTTATCCTGATGAGATTGCCGCATATAAAAAGCAGATCAAGTCCGAAAGACAAGAAGAAGTCGACATAATAAAATTATGTAGTATCAAAAGTAGCTTTGACGATGATGATGACGATACTGAAAACGAAGCGGACAGTGTGTACAGACAGGCTTCTCAGCTAAGCTGTACCCCGTTCTGAGTTTCAGTTCATAGCCATTGTCAATATTTTATACCTTTCTGAGTTCCTTGTCAATATCATTTCAATTTGCGCGTCCATCATAACCCTAATCGTGTGCTCATTAGTCATTTAGTCGTATCAACCTACCATTTATTCTTCGGAAAATGTATGAGAAATGCTTGCGTCATCTTCAGTTGAGACGTAGCTAGTTGATGAGCACTTTGATAGGTCTTTTAAGCCACTAGGACATGCAGGCTTGCTGTCCTACTGCGTCCCTTTGTTCATCAATCAGGTTAAAGAGCATCCGGCCTGTGCACGCCTGCAATGGAGCTTTCCACTCTACTTACATCTTGACACAATATTCACATCTGGAACCTCCATCATCACCAGAAATAATCGAGCAAATTACGACAATGCCTTCAATCAGTGAAAACCGACAACGGGAGAGCGGTTTCTTTCAACTTCCAAACGCTATCATTTTACGAATCTTAGATCTTCTGTTACCGGAAGAGCTTAGTCAGGTCGTTAAAAGTAGTCGTAAGCTTCATAGGCTGGCAATCAATCCTGATCTTTGGGAGAAATTCTATTTATGCTTTTGGAAGGAGGAAAATCAAGATCGAGCTGAGTATAACTTGCTCTCTGACTGGAGAAACATAAAAAGGATTCGTTGTTTGCGCATAACCGCCGAAGAAGTCTGGCGCAATAACCGTGATACAACAACAGACTGTGAGCATGTACCATTTCCGATGTTGCTTTGTTCGAGATCAGCGTCAATCGTACCCGGATTTCTCGAGCAACCAGATTTTTATAAACTGTTTTGTGAGCGTATGCGAATCGATCAAGTTGTTTTACAAATAATCAGGGAAGCATCTCTACACCCAACTATTTGGCCTGAAGAAGTGCAAGGCGTAGTGAAGGAGTTCGGGAACGAGGTAAAGGATGTGCTTGTTGCTTTAATTACTGCTCAAAAGAGGTTTGATGAGCGTACAGGGATTTTCATTGAATTCAACGATGATATTGCCCTTGAAGACGTTCTTGGATTCCCCTCGGCTTTACAAGTACGAAAGCCCTCAACAAGCAGATCAATTAGTCATCACTTGGTTTTGTTGCAAATTAGTGAAGAATTGCTAGCATATTTACGAAAGGAACAAGCATTTTATGGAATTGAACGACTAAGATTAAAGCTTTGGCAAATGGAAGAAGTGCAAGAAAATCGTAAACCTTCGTGGACCGAATTTAGCTCTACCCAGCAAATACCTGATGATCAAATGCCATTACACCTGAAAACCGCCAAAAGGATAGAGAATGGTCTTTCATTCTTGTCTATGCTCAATTCAGGTGAAGGTCATGAAATTGCAAATGAAATGGACATGCTAGCAGTCTCATGTTCGCTTTTTCTGCGAAAAGAGGGTATTCCGCATACTTCAAAAGACACAGCAAACGGTATATACAAATTTATGCTGCAAAACAGTTTTCGATGTGCAAGCGGAGCAGATAGGTTAGAGTTGAACAAAACGTTCTTGCATTTCTCCTTGGATGAATCTGGTAGAGAATGTCAAGCTTTGATTTTTGCTGTTATCTTTAGCTCTCTTTCATGGAGAATTGGTTTATCTGCTATTCCCGTTAGTACACCAATAGGACCAATGCTTGCCATTTACAACTCAGATTCACAAAGGGAAGAATTTTCGAACAACTTTTATTGGCTCAGCATTTTGGAGGGTGGCGTCATTTATCAAACCCATCAGATAAAGCAAAAATTTGGGTTAAGGCAGCTAATTTATAGGTTTCCGCAAATGGCAAGGGTTTATGCCATGACACCCATGGAATGCTGTCTTGAAATGATATACAATGTCCAACGCAGCTGTTCCCGCAAATCTGAATCTAAAGCTGGAAGCACATACGTCAAATCTGATACAATTGAAGTCACAGATATTGAACAAGACGTTCCATTCGGTGACTATGTTCATCTTCAATTTGAGAACGCTCTACTAAGGCACGATAATGGTTTTAATCCTCGGACGACGTTTTACAACACATATGACCGGCAAGTGTATCTTACTTCATCCGTTTATCCAGCCCCTATACAGCCTGCAAGGTCGATTTTAAGAAACCTTCAAAGTGGAAAGCGTTTAGCAAGTGCCGGTAGACATTTACGGTTCTTTACACGTTTACCAGATCTTTCGCAGACCGTTAGGAGTTTTAAAGTGGCAGAAAGTGTCATAATGCATACAGGCCACTCTATCGATTGGAAATCATTGTGTAACTTTGGTGAACACGAAGACACTTCAGATATTATGCAACCGAAAATTCACTCAGGCACGGAAAGACATCTACATGAAGGCTGGTACAAAGGTAAAGATGCATATCCTATTGGTGCAATTATTGTACATTGGAAGGACGGCTTCGCTGCCGTTATTGTTGACTGCTTTGAAAGGAATACTTACAATTTTAGTAGAAATAGGCCCGCTATAGATTTTTGGATCACAGAGAAAAAAGAGACCAATCAACATATCTATAAGGTCATTTCCGCAAATGGAACAGTCTTTCTTATAGCTCATGAAGATGCATATCCTGCCGCAGCTTCTTTATCCATGCTGAAAGCAGGAGATAAACCTTCAAGCAGTACGCACAAGGCATCTTTATCATCGAGACAGATCGAAAACTTACTCAGAGCTAGACAATTCGGTTACACTTTTCGATGTATAGCTGCTCAAAATGATGGGAGCGGATTGCGTCTAATTAAGCACACAAATCCACCCAAAGTTTTTCCCAGTCAAGATCCACAACATGAAGTTCGAGAAAATCCAGAGATAAAACGCTTTACTACAGACGATCTCGAATATGGACAAACACAAATTTTTCCTGAAACAACTCGAGAAAACGCAGAAAATTCTCGACAGGAGAATACCTCTAACGTAAGCGAAGTGATTGCACATCACAACAACGGTCGCGATCGAAATTTCTCTTACTTTCATAGGCTCGAATCGCAACCAGCTGACGAGGCTAATTCCCAGCGTGAGAACTTTCTCACAAGTTTTCTAGAAACTACAAGAAATACAAGAATGTCTCAACAGGGGAACACTTCCAATAAATATAAAGTGATCGCACATCACAACAACATTCCCGATCAAAACTTCCCTTACATTCATAAGTTCGAATCGCAAGCAGCTGACGAGGCTAATTTCGAGCTTGAAAATGTGTATAAAGAAGCCTTAAAATCTGCTTGTACGCCTTTCTGATGTTATATAGTCCTTTTTACCTTTATATGAACCGAACTTGTTATCGTGATTACCTTCAATACAACAGACAAGCGGGATGATAGACTAAGGTGAAGATTGTACCTTGTCTGCCTCACTGCTTTAAAGGCGTGTAAATTCTCCACTTAAAAGATACTACTGTAGTATATGCACGACTAGCGTATTAATTTCCGTTGAGTGTTGTCATCATCGGAAACACACAACATTTAACTTCTTCCCACGACCTTGTAAGGCGATAACATTCTACTTTTATCATGAACAATATCGGTCAATTACCTAACGAGATACTCGTAAGTATCTTCAAGCAACTAACGCCAACAGATTTAAGTAGTGTGGCACAATCTAATCGCTCGTTGCGAGGTGTGGCCACAGCGTCATCACTATGGGAGCCGTATTACCTTTCCTTTTGGCAAGAGGAGGATTCCAGAAAGTCCCAGATTCGCGGAACGTCAAATTGGCGGGATGCTAAAAGAATTTCATTTCTATATAAAACAGCAACTCGGATATGGAGAGAAGATTTTGAGCGGGAGCGGGAGCGGGAAAACGATACACATGATTCGATTCTAGAACATGCAGGTACACCATTCCCGAAGTTTCTATCCACTTCATCTCAGGAACCGGCAAACCTTAATTCTCCGCCAGACTTCTACAAGCTATTCTGCGAGCGTATGCTTATAGATGGCGAAGTACTGAAACGCATTCAAGCTCAATGTTTCCGGTCTTTCGGATGGCTTCAAGAGATGATTGATATATATGAACAGTATGGTGACGACATCAAAGACATATTGCACGCCCTCATAACAGTTCAACGGAGGTCCGATCCCGATTCAAATCTGTTGATCAACGAAGCGGGAATAGAGCAAGAATTTCCATCTGCATACAAGTTACGATTGCAAGGCACCAAACGTTCCAAAACCCATCATTTGACCCTTCTATACTTCGGGAAGCAGCTACTTCAGTACATTCAACATCAACAGGCTGTATGTGGGCTGAATCATATGCGCGGGATGAGTAGATCTAATGAAGTTACAGAAGGTCCATTTTCTTGGACTAGGATACGTGCAGTGCAAGCTTCCCGAATCAATGAAGCCTCCGTTTCGATTGCTAAAGTGTTCGAGAACGGCTTATGTTATCTTTCTATGTTCCGAGGCGGAGAGGGATACGAGATAGCCAACGAACTAGATATGCTGGCAGTTGCATGCTCATTATATCTTGCAAAAGAAGGTATCAGTCTTGACACCAGTGGCTCACGACTATATGCACAGGGAATCTGCAAGTTCATGCAGATTCGAGGCTATAGAGGTGCTCGGGAACACAAATTTCACAGGCTCGATAACAGTTTTATACATCTATGTTTAGACGAATCGGGAAGGGAAAGCCTGCCGTTGACGCTCGTTGTGGTATTTTGTTCGTTGGCGAACAGGCTAGGATTGAACGCATTGCCAACGAATACGCCTGGTAGATTGCTTGCCGTTGTTCAGTACCTTAATCACAAATTTTGGATCAGTGCCGCTGATGATGGACTTTTATATGAATTGGAAAATTTACAAGTTTTATTTCGGATGAACTCTTTAAGTCCGGATCATGCGATCGTAAGTGCTTCCACTCCGTTGGAACTTTGTCTTCGTGCTTCCCGCAACATTTTCAACGGTCTTCACGGCGCTCATTTGATGGCTGATTTAGATATAGGATCAGAGACTCTAGCATTAGCTGAGAAAGGCGGAGAAAATAGAGTCGATCAAATCTTCGAAGAGACAATCCTAGCAGACGACAACGTATTTAACCCACGCAGAACGTTCCTGCATGCGGAAGATCGGCAGTCGTACCTTGTTTCCCCGCTTAATTACCCCGCAGAAACTTCTAAACGGCTCAAAAGGCAGGACGATTCGGAAGCATACCTTGCAACGGCGGGAAGGTATACAGATGGCGATCAAAGTCCAGAAACCAAAGCCGTTCTGTCAATGTTTGCAGCAGCTAACGCCATGACAGAATTGGGAGATGAAGCAGATCGAAACGGAACTGCATTGTCGATCGTTACCGCGCAACATTATTTACCAAGTAGTATTTTGAGTATCCGGTCCGGATTGAAAAGAAGGACTGAAGCTGAATTAAGTCAATTGGAAAAGATGCGCTTGGCGGAGTTGGAAACGTTGGCCAACGACTTACTCGCCCGAGATCGGTTAGGTCGATCACAGAAGAGGCGGGTGGCCGCAACGGATTCGGAAGAAGATAAGAATCTACTCAAGATAATGCATACTGTTGGAACGGTTTTCGTGCATCGCGTATACGGATACCAAGCAGTCATTCAAGATTGGGACGTCAAATGCGATAAAGGGGAAGATTGGATCAGCGCAATGGATGTTGACGATCTACCAAATGGCGGAAGGAAGCAACCGTTTTATACAAGCTTAGTAAGCGATGGTTCCGTCCGTTATGTTGCACATTGCAATATCTTGCCAGCCTCCGCTGAATTGCCATCTTCAAATAGAATGCAAGGACAGAACGAGCTCACACATTCCCAAATTGAGAAGCTGATGTACTCTCACGAGTTCGGTGATATCTTCCGTTGTGCATCGGCAAATCAAGATGGAAGTTGCTTGCGCATGTTACTGAATGCTGCAGGCGAACACATGTATCCGGATGATCTTGGTCTCTAACAAATAGATCTGCATAACAAACAGATCGGCAAAACAAACAGATCTGCAAATTAAACAGATCGGCAAAACAAATAGATCTGCATAACAAACAAATCGGCATTATCATTTTGTATATTAAACATTTCATATATCAATAATTGAGTATACCCTATTTGCCCATATTCGCCTTCCATACCCTCCACCGTGAATGAGCTTGAAGGCCTGCATATGCCTGTGTTTCGTTTTGTTCCTGATCTAAGCCCAAGTTTGTTCCTGCATCTGCCCATCTTGCCTTCAATGCAGAATTAGTGATTATCGAAAATGGATGACGACCTCGAACATCTTCTTCCCGTGATGGAGTTTGGATCGTTGCTTTATTTTCTTCTTCTTCTTCCTCTTGAGGTGATGAATCTATCGTCCATCCCTTGTAGAAAAGCTCATTTGCGTTCTGAATATTCGATGCTTCTTTCAACGAACGTTCGATCGTTGTAATTCTCTTGCTCTTCTGTTTTTCTTCATTACTCACTTGAGCCGTCTTTACCCATTTCGAAATGACGTTTCGCTTCTCTTGATCCCAATTGCTGCCCAGCTCTCGTAATTTTAGTTGGTCTTGCATGATTGGAGCGATGAGGGGATTGCAGATCGGATTAATCTGCTTTCTTTGTGTCGTGGTGGAAGTGGATGATGCGGTCATAGTCTGATCAAGAGCAAACATCTCCTTTGACTTCATCGTACTGCTGGAGGTCACCCTTTTCAGCCCTTTCATTACGGGTAAGTGACTTGCAAGTGGACTGTGATCTTCAGTCGTTGTAACGGATGCGGAAGATGATGCAATCTCTAACATACTGTGCGAATTCACATCACCTTTGACAGGCTGCACTGCAGGGATGGGAATCGTGGCTGCACTTGATCGATCTGCTTTCTTGCGTGCTTTTCCTGTATCTTCCTTTTCGCTTTCTTTCTCTTCCTTCTTTACTCTTCCTTCAAGTCTGCGGATGTATACCATCATTTGCTCTTGTTTCTGTTCAGCTATTCGCATGATATCATAAAGACGATTGTACTCCTTTTGCCAGAAATCAGAATCGAATGTTGCATCAACACAAGCTCGCTCGTAATACTCCAAGGCTGTGGGAAAATTGTCAGTTCTGGGTCGAAAAGCATGATATTCTTTTTGTATGCACTCACATGATTCCAACTCAGCAATTCGACCCAATGCCTGTCGAGTAGAGATTGGGATGCACAATCATTTAGTAAGATTAGCCTGCATATTACCATGTTTCACTCACCTGTGAGAGGACCGAATGTGTATTAGGATCAACGTCTGCCTTTCTTTGCTGCACTTCAGGTTCAACAATGGAAGTTCTCGGGGCTAATTCGGTGACCGATGTTTCTGGCTCATCTTGAGGTACATCAGGTACCAGCCTTCGTATATCTTCTAGAGTAGAATCAGGTGAATTACTCGGTCCACGCGAGTTGCGGTCCACCAATTCAAGAAACGACACTGATCTTCGATGAGAACCAAAGCTATCTTGTTTGACCTTGACAGGAAGAATGGAAGAAGTTCCAGATTGAGACTCTTCGTCCTCTTTCCGCTGTGACGTTGATGAAGATGTGAAGGGGATACCCATTTGATGCATATGTTGACAAAGCTGTGCATTTCCGATCGAGGTACTTGCCATATGACCGCCATTGAGTGAAGATCGAATCGATTTGAATCCATTAGATGATGAACCGCGTTCATCCACCCGAGCAGATGCTGTTGCTGGTCGTCTGGATGGTTTTCTTGGCATCAAGCCTGCATTATGTCCCGCCATCATGAGCCCGAGACTTTCTCCGCAAAGATGATGATGATGTTGAGGAAGGGAAACAAACAGAGGATAGTTCGTACCTGAAAAGTCAACAAAGTGCATAAGCCAATCCTTTCCTCTTCAACATATCAATCCGCCATGGAGTTTAGACTTTTGCCGATTATCTTAACTGACATGGATCAATGGATAGCCCATTGCACTGCTTGGCTTACAGCGGATCATTCCGTAAAGTGAATCAGGAGATATAACTCGCCGCTCAAAAAGCACGCTAATACAACAAACGAATGCCGATACAAAATGATATTGTGCTTGATTATGCTAAAGAAAGAATGTACTGATGAAATCTATAAATAAAATGGGTAATGCTGAATCAATGTATAGAAACATGAAAGCGAAAAGATCTTGCAAAGAATGTGCTTTATTGAAAAATTGGTGTGTTTATGAACATTGGAACGCTTGGTAACCATTTTCACCGGTAGCGTTTTGTCCGTTCTGATATTGAGCATTCAATGGATAAGGACAGAGCAATCTTGTATTGATCAATCCTCCTGCGTATACTTGTTGAGTGGTGGGTACTTGAGCATTATCTTCCATCTCATCTCCATTTGAAGAAGGCAAAACACCTTGCCTGTTTTGATACGCAGCAGCAACTTGCGCATTAGGCTCAATCGATTTCTCCGCCCAAGCAATAATTGCCAATGAGATATCGTATGCCGTTTCAAACTTGTATGGACGACTTCCAGGATCATTTTGTGCTGCTCCACCAAAATTTATTGCGCCCGGCCCTTGCCTTGTGTGTCTCATTCCATAGATGATATAGAATTTCAACGAATTATCAATTTCCGTAGGTTGAACTTGCATGGCAGAAGCTGTAGCATTGCGCGCATCATTGAAATAATTTACCGTAGATTGTGGACTGATGACGAGATCGTACGTTCCATGGTATAAGATCATCTTGCCATTATTCTTGACAAATTCACTCAAATCCGTTTGAACAGCATTCACACCTCCAGGATTTACTGCATTGCCTTTTTGTAGAGCAGCGTAAGTTATATCTCTGTACGGATCGAATGAACTTGAAAGGTGGGGTTCTTGCAGGGTTACCAATTGATACCAACCACTTGCTTTACCATTCGTTCCTTTCAATTGGCTTGCCGAATCTGCCAAGCCAGGCCAATAAGCGGGATAAACTTCTTGCCCATCAATAATTGTAGAATTGTATAATTGATATGCAGTGGAAATTTGAAGTGGTGTCAAACAAGTTGAAGGACTTTTACCATATGTCGTACTCGTGCCACAGAGCAGAGCATTCAATTGAGGCTTACACTGTTGCGGTGCAGAAATAATACCGTCAACTACACCATCCAGCGCATCGCACTGCGAGGTGACTGCATTCTTTATCGGTCCCCATAATTCCAAGTCGGAAAAATAACCATCACCTCGAAGTTCTTTGTCGTGAACAGACGCTGTGTGAAGCTGTCCAACTCCCATATTGGAAAAGTTCGTAGCAGGAGCTCCTGCAACGATGCCATTAAAGTCTTGAGGATACACTTGGGCAGCGCTTAAACCACGAGCGCCACCCACACTACTGCCGTAGTAGTAACGGTAGACCCGATTATTCTCTTTGGGATTACGAACGCCTTGCTTTATACCGTAATAGTAGTTGACTACATTTTCTGCCAGAAGCAGAGTAAGGTGATTTGCTCTCGATCCGAAATCCGTCAACGTTTCATTGAAAGCTGGGCCTTCCACCCAAGTTGTCGTCCCAAGACCAGAGAAGTGGCCTAAATTGGTTCCCGCAACAACAAACATATATCGTCCCATATAATTCTTCATTGAAGGCATAGGAACAAATCCCAATTGTCCTCCATGTCCCATGACAGCAATGCGACCATTCCACCCTAGACCTTGTCCTAGAACATCATTTCCACTTAAAGATTGTGTGGTATTTGAAGTTGCACGTTTCGCGGGGCTTGTTGAGCTGTTTCCTGACTCTTGATCCTGTGTCTGAAAGCTTGAAGAACCTAGTCTAAAGTCAGTAGATGGTTGCTTATTCGTATTTGAATTGGAATGTCGGGTAAATGCTGATGAGCCTGATGAGCCTGATGATGATGATGCGCCAATGGCGGACTGCAAAGTTTGGCCGTTCCCCAAAACAAATGTGCCGTTTTCGCTGATGGTGAAGGGTGATGTGCCGGTCGGGAAATCTTTAGGAGGCGGAGCGAGTGGGATGCTTGGATTAGATTCAAGCGGAAGCCAAACTTCACTCACGATAGAAGTCATTGGACTTGTTTGAATCTTTGCTCCAAATCTACAGAAAGCGGGAAGACCTCCATCTGGGCCGTTCATGGAAGCACTATTGTTAAGTCTTCCGTAACCCATTTGACTCTTGAGATCCACATCGGGTCCAACATCGTGCAAGATTGATTTGAGAGGTGTTCCTTTTGGAATGAATCCACGGGGGTATGTGTTTGTTAATGTTTCAAGAGATGGCATACTTCCTTCGGGAAAATATTGAGAAAAGGCTTTCATGACGTTGACTTCTGGCGGATAATTGATGGAGTTAGATAAGGCTTCGCATACTGATTGTGCTTGAGATCCCGCTGTGGTGACTCCATCATCTCGGTTTGGATCTAAGTTCATATGCTTCTTTCTTGTCAATCCGAAGGCGAGTCCAAATATAAGTCCAAACAATAAGAGGATGGCCACCAAAGTGAGCAAGAGGAAGCCCCAAAGACGAGAGCGACCTTTACCGGTTTTTGGATCTTTGCCAAACATGATGAGTGTGTTTTTTGAGAACTGGAAGAGATCTTTGCGATCGCTAAAGGCTTGTTCGGATCAATAGCATCACAAATCGGCCAAGAAAGACCCTAATTCTAAAGAGATATCCTAGTAGCTGATTCGATTCTTCTTTGTGTGAAGACTAGGAGGCTTATCAGAAGCTCACTCGATTCTACACTATGCAGAGTACCCCTTTTACGCCTCCAAAAGAAAAAGCTTTGGCCCTTTCGTTGGAGCAATTAGCCTTGACGCCCTTTTTTTATGGAAGTGTATAGGATTAAATGGTGATGGATGATGTTGGTAGTTTGGTATAACAATCACTCATGACGGGCTTGGCACATATAAAAGTAGAAAGTTTAAATTTGGTGTCAGTCGAACAAACGTATGACATATATAAACTAGTGTGGAAGCGTTTGACCGCGTGTGTAACATTAGTAACGGGAAAGGGGGGGGGGAAAAGAAGGAAGTGCGCTAATTATAGATTTTGTTCGGCGATTAATTAAACACACTTGAATGCCTTGAAGCCGTTTACACCATGCGGGTTGCCGCCGGTTTGATAAACAGCCTTTTGTGGATAAGGGCACAACAGACGTGTAAAGGCTAAACCGGCAAAGAAGGCTTGTTGTGAATCAGCAATGGGCAAATCAACATCTGGATCACCACCCTTAACATCTCTAGGCGGCATTACAGCTGAATTGGAATTATAACGGGCTGCAATCTGTTCGTTTGGCTCCATACCCTTTTCAACCCATGCCATCAATGCCAATGTCATATCATATCCTGATTCAAACTTGTATGGTCGACTGCCAGGGTCATTTTGTGAAACACCACCAAAGTGGAATGCCCCTAAACCGCCTCTTGAGTGTTTCATGCCATTGATTTGGTAGAATTTGAATGATTGTCCGACATGATCTTCGCTAAGCTTTAATGCAGCAGCGGTAGCCTTCTTAGCCGCATTGAAATAATCAATCGTAGATTGTGGACTAACAACGAAATCGGACGTTCCATGATACATGACCAACTTTCCACCTCGTTTGATGTATGCACTCAAATCAGTCTTCCAAGCATTCACACCTCCTGGATCTGCTGCAATTCCTTTTTTGAGATCTGCCAATGTGATATTCGTGAATGGGTTGAATTTAGGATCCAACTTTGGTCTCTCTAACACGACCAATTGATGCCATTGACTTGCTTTTGCATTAATTGGAAATAGACTGGAAGCGGAAACTTCTAAGCCTGGCCAATAGGCTGGGTAGATTTGTTCACCTTCAATAATTGTAGGTTTATACAATTCATAAACTGCTTTGATTTGGTCTTGGGTCAAACAAGTTGCATTTGTCTTTCCATATTTTGTGTTTGTTCCACACAATAACTCTTTCTCCAATTGAGGCTTGCATTTTGATGGGTCAGAGATCACACCATCTACTACGCCATCCAAACCGTCACATTGTTGCAAGACAACATCTTTGATTGGTCCTACAAGTGCGCCTCTGGTGAAGAATCCCGTCTTGCCAATCGGTGTGGTCTTGTTATGGACAGAAGATGTCGCCAGCTGCGCTGTATTCATTTGCATAAAGTTGATCGCAGGACAACCTGCCATGATACCATCAAAGTCATCAGGATACACTTGGGCAGCGCTTAGGCCTCGCGCGCCACCAACACTGCTTCCAAGATAATAACGGTACACACGGTTGTTCTCCTTTGGATTACGTTTGCCTTGACTGATTCCATAGAATTGGTTAACAGCTTTTTCAGCAACCAAAAGGGTAACATGATTTGCTCTTGATGCGAAATCTGTTAACGTTTCATTGAATTGCGTTCCGTTGACCCAAGAACTCACTCCATTTTGAACGGAAAAGTGACCAAGATTTGTACCAGCAACAGCAAACATATAACGACCCATATATTGCTTCATACTGACCAATGGTACGTAACCCAATTGACCACCGTGACCCATTACAGCAATTCTTCCGTTCCATCCTTTATTCGATCCAAGAATTTGATCTCCTTGTAGAGATTGAATTTTCGACGTATTGTCACGCTTCTTGTTTGGTTTGCCAGTGGTCGGAGTGCCAGGGTCACCAGTACCGCTAGTCGGAGGTGGAATTTTGTTACGCTTCTTCTTTGTCACCGTAGTTGGTGTGCCGGTGGTCGGAGTGCCAGTGCCAGTACCAGTACCGGTAGTCGGAGTGCCATTGCTAGCTGTGGCTGTACCGTTGTCGGCCTTCTTTTCAGGAGGTGCTGGAACATCATTTGGAGCTGGTGGATTATAAGCATACGGTGATGGCTTAATTTTCTTGTACTTTCCTTGAAGGTAATAAAGTGGTGCAGTAAGGAATTTACCACCTGGACCAAGTTCATAAGCTGTTGTATTGGTTGGGAAATCGCCTTGAGGCTTTGCCAATGGTATATTTGGATCCGACGCAAGAGGAAGCCAAACTTCAGTCAAAACAGATGTGACAGGGCTGGTAGCGATTTGAAGTCCAAATCGACAAAAAGCTGGTAGTCCTCCAACTGGACCATTAAAGGAGATACGACTGGCAAGCCTGCCGTAGCCAGCTTGTGCCTTTATGTTCAAGTCAGGTCCTACACCGTCCAATACCTTATCTATAGGAACATTGTCCGGAATTGTGCCATTAGGGTATAATTTGGTTAAATCTTCTAATGATAATGTGCTGCCTTCAGGGAAGTATTGAGAAAAGGTGTTGTTGATCGTCAATCCTGCAGGAGCTTGGAAAGTTTGGCCTAATTGTTTGCATAATGTTTCTGCTTTTGTGCCGGCCGTCAAACCGGTAACTTGAGCATGAACACCTGGATGAGGATGTATGCCTGCACTATAACTTGCAAGCCAGGTTGCAGTGAGGAGGAGGGCACCTCTGAAGGTTGCTGTGAGATTCATGATGAGGAGGGGATAATGGAAGGATCAGGCAATGATAGTGGTAAAAGTTGGGAAGCGGATAAAATCAAGTTCGATATATATGCGGTGTATTGACGGAGCGCCTTTGAGAGCGTGCGTATAGCCGATACTTCATTGCACCATTCCACTCTACCCCCATCGTTCCCCTCTACCCCCGTCATTTCAAATTGACTGCTCGATCTCTTCAATCACTGCTCCTATAAATGCCAAGAATGAGTATTCCGTCTGTGAATTCAAAGGGCGTAAAGACGGTTATAACCCTGTCTTGAATTGATCACACGGTACAACTTTGACATATGAAGATTAGGATAGAATTTCTCCTTCAACGCTTCATCAAGCTCCTTTTCTTCTGAGAATGGAGGCGCCGCATATTTATTGATTTCATTTGGGTGACTCCTTTTGCGCTTTTGAAACTGCGAAATTGCCTTTCATTTCTAGTCCTGAAATCGCAAAATTGTACCCCATACCGCCACAACGGTCACATTCTCCCCACCCCTTTTCCTTTAGCCGTAGGATGTGTACCGTAATTAGAGCGGCGTCTGATCGGATGAGCGCATCATTGGCAATGCATATATACAAGTTTTACTCCCGACTATCCAGCGGCAGGTCAAGATGATACAAAAGGCACTAAGTTAGACCAAGAAGGAGATAAGATCGCTGGAAAGTAGCTCGATTCTCGTTTGTCCAAATACTGATATGTACTAGCCAATAATGCTTGATCGTGCTCGAACATGACATTGATTTGTTCGATTTCCTTAATGAGTGAATCAATGGGATCTTTCTTAATCCTTCGTGTGGTGATTTGGTTCTTGACTTGACCTGGAAGTTTATCAGTCATTATTTCACGAACAATCTCTTCTACTTCTTCCATCCTTCCAACGGCTGTTCGTACCTTTTCAATGTCTCCTATAAATTGCGTCATGGATGTGTATTGAAGAGATACCAAATGCTCTCTTGCTTGTTTGACCGGAAGAACAAGCGTGAACCGGTCTAAGAAACGTCTCCAAAATGTTGAGAACCGTCTTGTCTTTGGAAATTGCCAAATGTATGCATCGGCCCAACTGGTGCCAATATGTCCTTTTATGTGATTCAATAAGCACAATGTCCAACGATCTGGATGGATCAAATGTTCCTCTAATGTTGCCACATTTCTACAAAGCCACACCGCACAATTACGAAATTCGTCCGTATTGAATTCGATAAGTGTAGGCATTGGTGCTCCAACTTTGTCTAGGAAGCCATAATATTCAGGTTTGTCTTCCGGTCTGTCCTCATCGGAATAATCGTTGTCAAATGTTGGTAATTGATTATTTTTAAAGACGGGTGGCTTTTGACTGACAATCGGACTCTCGACTTGGCTAGCATTATCATTCTCTTGAGCTTGGTTAGCAATATCATTGTCATGTTTGATGTACGAAAACCTTGGTGACTTTGGTCGAAGGACCCCGTCTTCATGTTTAACATACGATATTCTTGGTGACTTTGGGCGAGAGACACCGTCATCCTGTTGGATATACGATAATCTTGGTGATTTTGGTCGAGAGACACCGTCATCCTGTTGGATATACGATAATCGTGGTGACTTTGGTCGAGAGACACCGTCATCCTGTTGGATATACGATAATCGTGGTGACTTTGGTCGAAAGACGCCATCATCCTGTTGAATATACGATAGTCTTGGCGACGTTGGTCGAGAGACACCGTCATCCTGTTGGATTTCGGATAGTCTTGGTGACTTTGCTCGATCGATCTCGTTTTCCATCGTGATGGTTGCTTTGACGATGGAAAAGATAAAGACAAGGTTACGAAATATATATTCTTAAGATGAAAGGGTTTAGGGGCAGAATATCACAAAGCGAAGATCAAAGAATGTGTTGATGAAGGTGGTATGCATGGATGTACGGAGTTCCCGAACACATTAGAATGCACCAATCAACGTTCAAGTAATTTAGAGGACCTCATATCTTCAAACACTTCCAATGCATTCTCATACCGCTTTGTCGATCTCAAAATATTCATAATCGTGATGAAGCTATGGTTGTGGTTCTTGTTCAACAATGCATGCTCTCCACAGGCAGCAGGTATGCTCTGATGACAATAGTACGCGCTTTAGTCTAAGCTTGAATGTGTACGCGTAATTGGGCGCACGTCCCTTTGGATGAATGATGTACACTCCAAGATTCTCAACCATAGCAATCTTCTTCCCATCATCGTCATAGAGTTGAATCAAACATCGAAAATGAGCACAATATCAAGCACGCACTCTGAGGTGCTCAAAGCCTATTCTTCAGGATCGTCGAATCTTAAAGGACAATTGACAAAAGCAAAGATTGAACTAACACAAGCAGGACTTCTAGTACCATCTCCTACCGAAGCAGCAGCTCATCCAAAAGAATTCTCAATGGCTCGTGATATCCTAGAAGTTGGAGCATTTCACAGTCTCAAGCATAAAGAAGTTGATAGCTTTGATCGGTATATCGGCTTGTTGAGAGTATTCTACCAAGATTGCCATGCAAGTTTACCACCCTCAAAGAACGAAGAGGCTTTGTTAGGATTATCACTCTTGCGTTTGCTCTCGTCCAATTCCATCTCACAATTCCACACAACTCTTGAGAACCTGCCACCAAATCTGGTTGCCAATTCGCCATTCTTACAGCATCCTGTAAACCTGGAACGATGGCTGATGGAAGGAAGTTACTCAAAGGTATGGAAAGCACGTAAAGAAGTTCCCAGAGAAGAATACATCTTCTTCGTTGACGAATTGATGGGAACTATTCGCAGAGAAATTGCTTCGTGCGAAGAAAAGGCATACGACAGCTTGCCATTGAGTGATGCAGCCACTTTGCTATTCTTCAACGATATGGAATCTGTGTCTGCATTTGCCGCCGAACGAGGATGGCAAATCAATCCTACAACACAAACTGTTCACTTTACCAACAAAGCAGAACAGGCCGCAAAAGACGCCATTCCAAAGAAAGCGACAATTACGTCTAATCTCCAATTCGCCAAAGAACTTGAAAGCATTGTATAAGTAGAGTCATTTTAATGCATCATGATATGATTGTATCTGATAGGCAAGTACAAATACAGTAAAGGCTTCTAAATTACAATAATCACACTCGGGAACTTGATCGTGGCGGTCCGTCATTAGCCGTCTCTTCATCGAAGAGTTGACGTCGATCTTCCTCTGACAGCGCTAAAGAGAATTGATTGGATCTCTGCATGGTCTTCCATCTTCTCTCCTCTACTTGTCGATCGAGTAACTTCAATGCACGATTTCCTTCTTCGTCTTTAATCGCTAAGCGTGCATGTTCAATTGCTTCTTGCCATACTTCCTCGTCTCGAGTCTTTTTGCTTGGTTTGTGATCATGGGCCAAGATTCTTCTTGCTAATGTTTGAACCATTCCCGGTGCATAGTTTTTGCCTGACTTAGACCAAGCCGGTTTGGCCAATTCGGCAGAGCCCAAAAATACTCTTGCTGCTTTCTCGTCAAAGCCTAAATACAGCATGAACTCCAAGTAATGGTCCATCGCTTTGCAAAATTTGACATATCCGACAATTGCACTTTCCCATGCTTCTATCTGTGTTGTCCTATATGATTCAGCAGTTGTGTTTGTGTATTTGATCAGCTTTCCCTTTCTCTCCTCTTCCATCGGCTCGGAATCCACGTCCTCCCTTTCTATCATTCCTTGATCGTGCCTTATAGCATCGTTCCAAAATTCCACAAATTGGTCAAAGATGGTAGAGAATTTATAGATAAGATTCGTATCCTTCTTTGCATGTATGCTAATACGAACGGCACCCATGAATAAAGCTAAAAATGTTTCCACTGATGGGGAAACGCCATTCTTTTTCATCTCTTGCATAGTTCTGATCGCTTGTGTACCTCTACCCGCACGTAACAGATGTCTCAAAAGCGGGTTGTATACGTATGTCGATCTCCTCACAAACGGTTGCATTGCTTCTACCTTTTCGATTGCCACCTCGCATGCGGCTGAAGCAGTCATGTCTGCACTTAACAATTGCATCAAGTTTTGTGAAGCTTTATATCTTTTTTCGCGTATTGATGAGTTTGACATCATCGGCTGAGAGAGTCTCATTTCTCTCCTGCCAAAGTTTCTACCGCTTTGATCTTTGTTGTATCGATTCCGGAAGGGGAAAGCTTCAGTTGATGCCTGGCCATCATAAGCTCTATGCCTTCTGTCACGTATGGATGAATTCGACATCATTGACTTTGAGGATCTCGCTTCATTTCTGTCATAACCTCTACCGTTTCGATCCTTGCTAAAAGATCCATTGGAATCATTAAAATTTCTTCTTAATGCCGCCTTTTGCATACTTTTCACTCGAATCGCTCTTTCCTGTTGATTCGTCTTTCTATCGCTTTGACTTTGACTGTGAGCATTTCTGGATGAACTGATCTGCATACATGCAGCTTTTTGACCAATTGTGACTACACATGCTGTCCTACTTGCTGCAACAGATCGAATTGCAAGCATCCTTCTCAAGCTTGTGCAGAAATGTGATATGGACAGGCAAAGGGATCATCCTGTTCACCATCATCAATGAGGAGTATAGAATTTCCCGCTAAGAAATTTAAAGTTGTGTTCACGTGTCAAAAGGTGCAGATCCATATTCAATACAGCCTACGCGCCCTGCCAAAGCTGCAATGCTGGAACGTATTCCATGATGCACAGGCATAAGAAGGAAGATGGACACCGCTCTAACGCCTTTACACGTCTTAACCGGGAATTGAGGTCGTGCACACATAATTGGAAGAACAAATGCTTGCTTGTCAACTTACACTCTTACAATCACCAATCCAGTCCAACACTCAGAGGCAATCACTGTCGCATAACACAATCTCGACAGCCTCCCTCACGAGTCTAGAAAGGGTGAAGACAAAGGAAGAAAGACTTGCCCGTTTTGCGGTTGGAATAGCTCAACATGCCGATGCTTCTCGATATCACTAGAAAGCTATTCGCTCGATCTGATCGTGTAAAGGCTGTCGATTTCCATCCAACAGAACCATGGCTTTTAGCAGGTCTATATACCGGTTCAGTGAACATTTGGAATTATGAAACAGGAGCATTGATCAAAACATTCGAGGTGGCCGAAGTGCCTGTTCGTTGTGTCAAGTTTATTGCACGCAAGAATTGGTTCGTTGCTGGAAGTGATGATTTCCAATTAAGATGTTTCAACTATAACACCCACGAAAAAGTCATTGCGTTTGAAGCCCATCCTGATTATATTCGATGCATCGCAGTTCATCCCACAGGCAGCTACATCTTGACGGGTAGTGATGATATGACAATCAAGATGTGGGACTGGGATAAGAATTGGAGACATTTGCAAACTTTTGAGGGTCACACTCATTTCGTGATGAATTTGGCATTCAACCCAAAAGACTCAAACTCATTCGCTTCTGCTTGTTTGGATCGTACAGTCAAAATCTGGACGCCTGGATCCGCAACTGCAAACTTCACTCTCGAAGCACACGACAAAGGAGTCAATTACGTCGAATACTACCATGGAGGTGAAAAACCATATCTCGTCACAACAGGTGATGATCGTACAGTCAAGATTTGGGATTACATCTCAAAATCCTGCATCCAAACACTAGACGGTCATTTGTCCAACGTCTCATTTGCTTGCTTCCACCCTTCGTTGCCCTTGATCATCTCCGGTTCCGAAGATGGTACCGTCAAACTATGGCATAGCAACACATACCGTCTCGAGACTACACTTGATTACGGCCTCGAACGTGCTTGGTGTGTGGCTTACAGAAAGACAGGCAATGACATTGCCATCGGTTACGATGATGGTGTTGTTGTTGTAAAACTTGGCAAGGAAGAGCCAAGCGTTAGCATGGATACAAGTGGTAAAGTCGTTTGGGCTAAAGGTGCAGAAGTTCTCAGCGCTAATTTGGGTGCATCCGAGACTGATGCTCTTGTGGACGGTCAACGTATCGCAGCTGGATCTCGCGAGATGGGATCCACCGAAGTTCACGCTCAATCGCTCCAGCACTCGCCCAATGGCCGATTTGTCACCGTTTGTGGTGATGGAGAGTACATCATCTATACCGCTCTCGCATGGCGCAACAAAGCATTCGGCACGGGTTTTGCATTCGCTTGGGCAAGTGACAGTAACACATACGCTGTCAAGGAAAGTAACAGCCTCGTCAAAGTCTTCCGTAACTTCCGTGAACGAGCTAACTTGATCAACATCAGCTATGCTGTTGAAGATGTCAAAGGTGGCGCCTTGCTTGGTGTTACGGGTTCAGGATTTGCATGCTTTTACGACTGGGACACGGGAGCTTTGGTTCGTAGAATCGAGGTGGAAGCAAAAGATGTTTCCTGGTCGTCGACAGGTGAACTGGTCGCTATCACCAGTGGAGAGTCTTTCTACATCTTGCGATTCGATCGTCAAGCTTATCAGAATGGTTTGGACAGTGGTGAATATGTCGAAGATGAAGGTGTGGAATCCGCATTTGATGTGGTGACAGAGATTAGCGAAGTGGTAAAAACGGCAAAATGGACAGGAGAATGCTTCATCTACACAAATGCACAAAATAGAATCCAATACCTAGTTGGAGAGCAAACACACACAGTCAACCATACAGATACGGAACTATATCTATTGGGCTACCTACCATCACACGGTCGTGTCTATCTAGTAGACAAGGATGTTTCGATTTACAGCTTTGCACTCAGTCTAGCGGTTGTTGAATATCAAACTGCAATTCTTCGTCAAGACTACGAGGGAGCAAGTGAGATTCTCAAGACGGTGCCAGCTGATCAACGCAACCGAATTGCAAGATTCTTGGAATCTCAGGACTTGAAGAAGTTGGCTTTGGAAGTGTCTACAGATCCCGATCACAAATTCGACTTGGCCGTTTCGCTAGACGATTTCGATACAGCACTAGAGATTGCACAAAATGGACCGGAAGCAGGCAGTGAATTACGGTGGAGAACGATTGGTGATAAAGCACTACTGCAATGGAACCTACGACTTGCACTAGAATGTTTCGAAAAGGCTTCTGATCTACAAACATTGTTCTTGATCGCATCCTCTACAGGCGATCGAGATCTGCTTCAGCGCATTGCCGAGATGGCATCGGAGAAGAAGATTGTCAATTTGGCTATGAACTGTTATTTGCAATTGGGTGATACTGGTCGAAGTGTTGACGTGCTTGTTCAATCCGGTCGTTTACCCGAAGCTGCTTTGTTTGCAAGAAGTTACGCACCTTCACGTGTGCCAGAGATTGTTGAGTTGTGGAGAGCAAGCTTGAAAGAATCAAAGAGAAGCAAGCAAGATGCAATCGCTACAAGTTTGGGAGATCCAACTTCGAATCCTGAGGCATTCGAAGAAGGATGGAAGGAAGCTCTGAAACGTGAAAGTGAATTTGCAGCAAAAGGACCAACTGCTCTGGCGAAGTCGAACGAAGCACCGAAAGTTGTCGCTCCCACCCTTACCAATGGAGCTTCTGGCCTAAACGGAAATACAACAAACGCAGTCGAAGATGCATCGGCACAGGATCAAATGACCGAATCAACAATCGTAACGGAAGCCACAAGCAATGGCGTTTGAATGTTAGATCCACATTAACCAAATTTGTATAGCTATGTTACGATTATGAATATTTTGATTATAAAATGGGGTATGAGAATCCATTAAGATAAGATAAGTGATAATACAGATGCTTCCAAAGGCCGATTACTGTCTGCGTTGTGATGTATTATTGGATAGGCTCATCGTTCGACTGATAAGGTTGGGCACGGATGAATTGGAAGGGTTACCGAAAGGTGTGCTAGAATTGCCGGCTCTACGTACGCCGGGGGACGTTGGTCTAGGCGTGATGGCAGCAGCAGCGGGTGTTGGTGTTGTGGCACCACTACCACTACCCGTGCTAGAAGCCGTACCGATTGGCAAACGGAAAAAGCTAGAAGCAGCAGAAATGTCTCCTTTACCAACACCACCTTTTGCAGAATTACCAGAAGTTGATCGAACACCGCCTCCTGCTCCACTTGTACCCGCAACCTTTCTCTTTCCGCTGGTCAAAATTCGTCCATTGCTATTGCTCGATGATCCAAGGCCAACTCTTCCATTACTGCTGGCATGTCCTGCATTGCCACTACTTCCAGCGATTGCGTTGAAGTGCAAGTGAGAGCTCTCATCGTTTGAATCAATCGCTTGTTGTGCCCTTCTTGCTCTTTCATGACGTGCTTGAACAACTTTGAAATGAATTAAAAGCTCATTCCACTTCAAGTCTTCACGATTGCTTCCAATGATCTTGCTACGTGTTGCACTTACGCTGCCACCACTTCCTGAACCTCCCCCTCCAGAGTTTCCGCTGGTTGCATTGCCTCTTTCAGAATTGTTCGAGGTATTGGAGCTCGCTTGGCCGGTACCTATCCTACTACCTGATCCGACATGCAGATAACCCAAAGCGCTTACTGCATTCAATCTGTTACGCAGTGTAGCAAAGGCTGACGACTGTGGCAATAACATCAGTAGACCATATAATGTTTTGAGTAAGTGTGGATGTCTTTCAGGCTCCAGCAATTGCAATCGTAGCGTCATAAATACGGGTGATTCGATCAATTGCACCAATTTGTCGATTTGAATCAGAAAAGGTACGGTGATCTCTAGATCGGGAAATATGCTCAACAGATTGCTCGCATGCTCATATGCTTGAGCCAATAAGCATAAGCTCAATGTTGCAACGGCATTATGGCACCAACTTCTGTACAAGCTGACAAACAAGTTTTGACCATCCCGCGTTTCCAGATTTTTAAGTCGTTTGCGGAAATCACTCAGTTCCGGACTGGTGATGAGAATCATGTTGAGATTTGTAATCATAATGCTTGCGAATTCCAAATCTTCATCCTTTTCCAAGATTTCTGCTAACGTGCGGAATACACGTTCGGTATGCAATGTTGTGCATAGTTGACGAACGATGATACTACCTCTTGCCTCCAATAAACGTCGATCTGTCGAGAAAAGATTGACCAGGTTTGCAAGGTATGAATTGTAGGCGTCATCTGAGGCACCGCTCATCTGAGCCAACAATCTCAAATCACACCTGATGACATCTTCACTTGGGTCTGAGAGTGTCTTTAGCAGGGCAGGGAACGTTCCATCATCAATGCTGAGAATCCTTCTAGGCGCTTTTTGATGTAGCATCAAGAGCCATTCCAGCGCTGAAACACGAGTCTCTTCGTGCTCATCTATTAGCTGTAGGGTCAAAACATTCACCGTGGACTGCAAATCGAATGGATCTCCTGTCACTTTGCTGGTATTGTCATTCAAAGATAACAAATTTACGCCTAGCGCACCTTCAGAGCTTTGACCACCACCGCCATGGGCCTCAGCGATTGGCCTGAGTCTTGGTGAGATGGCGGGAGAAGCCATTTTTCTCTTTTCGGGGGAATTGGAACCTTCTGCTTTGGGACTTGAAGCCCTTTCCTCGTTTGTGCCTTGCGCTGGTGGTGACCAATTCATCTCTTCTATAATCTGATACAAGTTCACATTCAACACATTTGCTGCATTCTGAATTGCAGGGCTATGATGAGCGATATTTGGCAGAATGGAGGGAATGAGTCGAGGCGTGAATGGAATGACAACCTCTTTGACAACCATAAGCAGTTCTGCAATCCATTGTTGTGTTGTAGCTTGAATTTCTTCATCGGGCCCTCCAACATGATTCAGCAGGATCTCCATAATAGCAGAATAATCAATGCGTACCTCTTGCGCTGGAACCCATTCTTCTTCAACTTCGTTCGAGGTAGTATCTCCTTCTTGCTTAGGCGACTCCAATCCCAGGCCTACTTCTGACGTAGAATCACCCTGATCCTGAGTCTCTTTGTGTGTCGAAGTCGTCGCTTTCTGTGTATTGCCTTTTCGCAGAGCAGCCTCCCGTCTGGCACGAGCGACTTCTGCTGCTTCTTGAATCTCACGTAGAAAGTCAGCGAGTACTTTTGCAGTTGCTACACGAACATCAGTGTTTGGATCGCTGAGATAGCGCAGTAATCCATCGAGGAATTGCGGCAGATAGGTCACTAGTTCCAAGTCTGGAACTGAATCTAAAACCGTTATCCAGCTAACGAGATAGTTCCTTGTGAATGGCGAGAGCACATAAATACGTTCTGCCAACAAAGGTACAAAGCGTGCCAAACTGAATGCTTTGTTTGCTGCTGTATCTGCTTCACCTTGTTCTCCACCCTGTGTAGTATTTGACTTTTCCCTTGCTACATCCAGCTCTGCTTGTCCACCTAGATTTCCTTCAGCAGCATCTTGCCGTGCTCTGATCAAAGATGTGTCCTGATATTGAGATATATAATGTGACGCTGCTTCACAAACGATGTCCTTTAGCAGTCGATCTAGAAGTTCCGCTCCATTCTTCACTGATAGCTCGGTATCTGCTGCTAGTTTCGAAAGAGCATCGAATATTTCGTTGAAATACATCAAAATTTCACCTTTGCAAACCTTTGCGATATTGTAGAAACTTTCGCATGCAAAGTATCGAATCTTGCTATCCGGATCGACAAAGCATGCTAGTACAGGCGGTACAATCTGTTCCAAATAAGAAGCAATCTCGACACCCAAAGCGATACCGATACCTGCCAGCCCGATTAGACCTCCATTTCTTGCATTTACACTTTGTGGATTGGAGACGGAAGAAGTATTTGAATTGAGTAAAGAGCATAATTGTTGAATGATCAAATTGATTCTAGCACGATCATTTTTTGCCAATGCTTCACGAGCTTGCTTTTCCAGTTCCAGTGTTGCCGCTTTACGTTTCTCATAGACCCTATCCAATAATGCTTTTTGTAGGTTGGCATCCATTGTTATGGAACCTTTTTGACCGCACAAGGCGATCTTATTAGGTTTTGAATGGTAATGGTGTTGAGGTTCAGACCAACACCTTTCCCTGTGTAAACGCGCTAAAAGGGGCATTACCTTCTCCTGCTTACTTGCCATGGTTCGTGCATTTCCTTCGAAAATTAAATTATAACGCGAATCAAATGACTAGAAGAGAAGCTCTCTCCACTGTGATCACCATCGTCCCTTCGTTGTAAGCTTGCTCTTCAAGTAGATCATTACAATCATGCTAAGGCGACAACTGGGATTGCATGTCAATGCCTCTATATTGTCTAGCATACGATTAAGGGCTACTGCTGTGAATAGTGTATCAATCACCAGAAATCGGTATATCTCCTACTCACCGAGACTTTCTACCCCGGCAAGCAATTCGAAGCCTGGATCTGCGGGAACGACATCTTCAACTACCTCCTCTCCTAACTCTTCGCCGTCCTCTAGCTCTCCAGCTAGCTCAAGAGGTAAAAGTGCAAGAGAGTGGGTCATCGTCGGAGCAACAGGTGGAGTAGCAGTAGCGGGTGCTTGGTGGTATTTAACAACATCTCCCAATTCAAGCGATTTGGCAAGTCAACAACAAAAGAGAACTTTCAGTATGTCTCCACCACCTCGTACACAATTCACAATTCCAATGCGTGCTCCTGACGGAAGTGTGGTACATTCAAAACCAATTTATACTTTACATCCCAACGAAGTGGATCATAAACTTCGCGAATTTGAGAGCAAGACACATGTCACTGATGAAGCATCGCAATGTCTTGTGCAGCGGTATGAAACGAATAGCCTCGCAAGCAACTCCCCCATCGAAGATCGTCATTCTCAAGTCATCGTTCAAAGAGATCGAGAAGCAGCAGGGATGGAAAAGGAAAAATTGGGCGATTTGGCTTTCTTCGCTGTGATGGATGGTCATTCCGGGTTTCACACCAGTCAACTTTTATCGCAAAAGTTGATTCCTTTGGTAGCCGTTGAGCTTGACAAAGTGATTCGAGAAGCAGGTGAATACGGTCAAATTGCCAAAGCAAAGGCAACATTACCTGCTAAACTTTGGCGTTCGATCTTTGGCGGACCTGAAAGTGCTGCTTCTTCTGAGGCTTTGTCAACTTCTGGGCTTGATGGCGACCCTGAAATCATAAAGAGAGCGATTAGTAAAGCATTCCGAGGATTGGACAAAGAGATCGTTAATCGACCCGTTGGGTTGTTGAAGGAATATGAATTAGCAAGAGATGCAATGATTGGCAAACAGAATGACGCAAAAGGAGAAAAGGAAATCAAACGACTGTCCTCATTAGCACAAAGTGTTTTCCCTCAAGGAAGCGCTTCAGGATCAGCTGGTGAAGGATACACAGTCACACAAAGAAGCGCATATGAGACCATGCTGCCAGCTTTGAGTGGAAGTTGTGCATTGTTGACGTATATCGATACCATGCGTGGAGATATATATGTCGCATGTACAGGAGACAGCAGAGCGGTTGCAGGCTGGTGGGATTCCGATAAGCAGAGATGGGAAGTCGAGGCGTTGAGTAAAGATCAAACGGGCAGAAATGAAGAAGAAGCAAAAAGGATGCGATCTGAGCACCCTGCATCTGAAGCCGAACATGTCATCATGCGTGGAAGAGTGTTGGGTGGTTTGGAGCCAACGAGAGCGTTTGGAGATGCACGGTACAAATGGGACAAATCATTGCAAGAGCGACTGTATGATGCATTCTTACCACCTGAATCTCGTACATCCATACGTGGACCGCCAAGGCACTTTTTGACACCACCTTATGTTACCGCGGAGCCTGTTGTGGAATGGAGGAGATTATCGCAGAATAAAGGACGTCAATTGAAGTTTATCATTATGGCAACTGATGGATTGTGGGATGATATCTCCAATCAAGATGCTGTTGGCCTTGTTGCTACACATTTATCAGGATTCCGTGGAACTTTGGACGCCGCTGAATTGCAAGCAAGATGTTACACGGCCAACAACAAAGGTGTCACGGCAGGCGAAGGAGCAACAACGGATCAAATCGATACATCAGCCAAGGAGACAAAGAACAAGCATCCTCTATTGAAGGACAAGCTTTCTCGATACGTTTTTGAAGATGATAATTTGGCCACACATTTGACAAGGAACGCTTTGGGCGGTGCGAACCGAGAACGTGTTGCGAGTCTATTGGCCATCCCAGCTCCACATTCAAGGCGTTATCGTGATGATATAACGGTCAATGTTGTTGTCTTTAATCAGCCAAGCGAATCAAGCACGACAATGAATGCAAATACACCAGCATCAATCGCTGAGATTACAGAACAAGCTCCAAAAGCAAAGCTATGATACATGTGTTTTAATTCTATAAGATTATGAAAGCGATGTTTTAATTTTGAAAGGCTTCATCTGCTCCTGAAATTTTTTGGGCTAGATCGCGTATCCATTGTGGCATCGCTTGTACGATTGTTGCTAATCGAGCCAAATAAGGACGATAGATGTATGAGCTTTTGTTGAGATGAATGTTATCCACGATATCTTCTGCCACCGAATCGGGATCTTGTAACGGCATCAGAAATCCACCAATACTAGACATCTTGTATTTAGAGAATAAAGGTGTTGTCATTTGACCCAAAACCACAATCGATGTGCGAATATTTGGCTTGCGATATATTTTATCCAATTCGTATCGCAATGATTCCATCAGACCTGTTAAAGCATGTTTGCTGGCAACGTAATCGCTCAATCTACTGACGCCCAGATATGCCATCACAGAAGATGTTGCAACGATATGACCACGTCCTGCAGAAATCATATCAGGCAGAAATGCTCGTAAAAGGTAGTACGAGGAAGTGAAGTTGACATTGATTGTCTTTTCGAATTGTCCTTCTGGCAGGTCGAGCAATGGGGCGCCATGCATGATTCCAGCATTGCTGATCAAGATTGATACTTTTCGATCGCTGAACTGTTCCTTGATCGTGTTTGCTAGCTGTGTGATTTCTTCTGGTCTGCTTATATCACAACGAATGCTCTTCGCACGCGGATAATTGTTACCTTCGCCCTTTTGTAGCCATTCGTTGTTTTTTATATCAACGCAAATTACTCCACCACATCCTCTGGCGATCAGTTTCTTTGCGATTGAAGCGCCCAAGCCACCTGAAGCACCAGTAACGATTGCAAGTTGATCATTCCATTGAAAAGAAGCTTGTTTGACTTCACTCAATATTTTGTACGGAACATAAAGCACTGCCAAAAAAGTCAATGCAAATATAATCTCTTGCCTTCTTTCAATGAGTGTGTTGATGAATGCTTGCATTTTTATACAACTCTTCAACAATCTTAATGATCGTTTTGAGACAGCCTGTCAAACATTTTTCATCCTTCCCGTTCTTCTGAAATGCACTAAGGGTTGTTAAAGTGGAGAATTGATTCTCATTCTCGCACGGACGCGAGTCAATTTGTGCAGGGTCAAATTCCACTCCATCAAATTGAGCAGAGAGAGTATCGAGCACATGACTGTGTTATGTTTATGACGAGGAACGTTGATTGCATGGAAGCATCTCATAACAGGCACAACGTACGTACGTACCCCCTTACAGCAAGGATGCCACAATTTGACATGTTCCATCACTCAAGCAACAACGCCGCGACGCGTTTAATTCGGATTGACCGTAGGGATAATTACCGCCGGAAGTCCAAGTTGGAATTGACAGAAAGACACCAAATTAAAGCTCAACCCCTAAAAAGCCGCTTTTGCCGTCATAACAGCAGACAAAGCGACATACGCGTGTGTGTGCTTAAGAAAGAACAACACAAATTAACACACACAAACACACCCCTACGGAATGAAGTGCATGAAATCGGCGTAAAAATAGAATTGGGGTCTAATAAATAACACATCCATTTGAGATCTTTATAAATATCATCTTTCCTCTCTTCATCAACTCCATCACCTCCTTCAACCCTTTCCCCCCTAACACGCTTATCAAATTACTCTCGTTTCTCAACTTACAATCATTTCAACAATCACGCTCATTCGATCAGCAATAATGCGTTTCTCAATCTTTGCCGCTTTTTTGTCTTTGGCCTTCTTGGCAAAAGCATCAGATAATCCAGACGATCCAAATGGCTCCACCTTTTATTTGGCAAAACCAGCATGCAATTATTACCGCTGTCAAGTAAAGACTCATCCAGGAGCCGTCTTACCAATCGAATGGCTTAACCCAATCAAAGGCAAAATTGACATCTTTTTCAACCCAGATGACGGTCAAAAAGGCTTGAAAACATACACGATTGCCAAGAATATCGGTGCACACAACAACAAAAATAAATGTAACGCCGAAGGTCAACATGGCTGTGGTGCATTCGATTGGACTGTTCCCGCAGACGTAAAGCCGGGTAATTACTCGGTTGAAATTCATAGCTTGACAAAAAAGAAGGTATACGGTTACTCCGACATCGTCACAGTCACTTCAGGCAAGAAAAAGCGAAGTGCACCAGTTCAGGAGGTAGAAGAGAAACAACCTGAGCAACATAAAAATGAAAAAGTACCTGCCGTACACGAAAAGAAGCACAAAAATGCTACTAAACCCGTGAAGCATCACGAGCACAAGGATGCTACTAAACCCGACAAGCATCATAAGCACAAGAACGCTACTGAACACATCAAACATCACCACAAGGGCAAGAAGGGCAAGGATGAGCACGCCAAACATCATCACAAACATGAACATAAGAAGCACAACAGTACAACCGAGAAAGGCAAAAAGCATCACAAAGAAGCAAACAAGACTCAAACCAGCGAACACAAACGTAAACGTATGGTTCAAACCGCCTTATTTTAAGATTTAGTCATCTTTGTCCAATTATAGATATACCTCTATCCCCTGTATTCCTGTGAGCTACAGTTTCACCCCCTTTGGGATCCGTTGTCTGCATAGTAAGAAGCACACTAATTCGATTCATTCTCATTTAAAACATAACTTTGATGCTCAGTAAGGGTTAGAATGACTTCCTTGCGCCAACTTGTAAGCTCTATTGAGTCCATGCCGAAATGTTGGCGTTAAAGGGGGAAAGGTGGCAAGGAAGTATACAACTTGAAAAGAAAATTCATGTCGTCGGAAAAAGACAAAATAACTCTCCTGAATCCATTAATAGCTTCTTTTTTAGCGACTTTTTTGTATGGCATCTTATTTTTGGACATGATCTGAATGATTACGAGTTGATGCTATGGTTTGCTCTCTACCACCCACTATCTTCTAGCCATGCGTTGGAGTATTACTGTTATTACCATTGCACTGGCACTTGCCTACGCTGCACGAGCAGACCATGATCCAGACAATCCGGACGGCGTAGCATATTGGATTTCCAAACCAGCCTGTGATTCTTCTCATTGTGAAATCGACATGCACCCCGGAGATGATTTGAAGATCGAATGGTTAAATCCTGGAAAAGGTGAAATTGCAATTTATTTTGACCCGGACGAATGTCAAGAAAATGATGAACATCTTCATCGATTCACAATCAAGGATAAAATTGATTCTCATCATGATAAACATAAATGTAATTCTGCCGGTCAAAAAGGTTGCGGTTCGTTTGATTGGAAAATACCAAAGGATTTTAAACCGGGAAGATATTCTGTCGAACTCGTTGGTATCACGGATAAGAAGATGACAAGTTATTCCGACCTGGTGAAAATCTTGCCAGGCAAGGGACACAAGCGCAAACATAAAAGGGTTCTCTTCTAGGAATAATACACCCTCATTCATAGTCGAACAATTGCAATTGGATAGCATTCCTTCAGGGTATAGGTTGCTTGTGTGGTATATGAGTACAATAAAAAAAAACTTACTTACTTGCATTCTGTAGCCGTTTCGGCCATTCTCTGCGTAACGTCCATTCACCTTGAGGACCGAAACGCCAATTGGCTTCATAAGCAAGCCCGTTTGCGTTCCTTCCGCGACCGATAGGTAAGAACCAGCCAAACACATTATCTCCCATCGCTTCCCGCCAATTCGGTCCAACTGCATTCCACCATGACAGTGGTTGAGTGGGGTCGTGCGAATTCTGTGTCTTGCTTTGAGTGAACTTCTTCAACTCGCTCTCTTTTCCGACAATCATTGGTTTGTGCACACCATCTAGCCAAAACAGGTTTGCTTCTGTTTTAGGTTTACCCCATTGCTCGGCCCATTTGGCCTTCATTGCATTCCTTGCTCGAATTTGAGCGAACCAATCCGGCTTTGGTCTTCCTTCGTGTTCCGCTGAATCCACCACCCATCGATCAAGAAGGATATCTTCTCTTGTCTTTTGTCGTTCATAACCCATATGCTCAATCGTGCTCAGATTGACAATAAACAAGTAGGTATGCGTAACGATCAATGCGGTTGTAAAGAGGATAAACATCGCACAAATAGGAAAAAGGCTGATCATATATCCATCGATTGGCCAACCTTCTCGACTTCTTCTTTGAATCCCTCTGCTGAACAAAAGCGCGTTGATAATCAGAACGTAATATTCCAAAACGGTAACCCATTGCAAAAAATTGTAAAAGAATTTATGATTTCGTGCTCCGACGCATCCTCCAACCCAAGGACAATGATGGTCCATCTTTAAAACGCATGTGCCGCAATGTCTACAATGATGTGCTCTTGGCGGTTTGTGCCTTCTGCATCGATAGCAGTACGTATTCGAAAGTCGTAAAGGGTATGCTTTTTGCGGTACTCGAAGAGGTGCAGGGAGAGCTGGTTGGCTTGGTACAGCACCATTCTTCGGTCCAGCCCAACCTTCTGGGTCAGGAATCACCTGGGTAGGTTGTTGAGTCTGCTCACCTGATCCAGCAACCTTTTGTGCTTCATTAGTCTTCGCCAAAAGACCTGCCCCAGCGGGCCCGATTGCAGCAGGCAATGCCGGATTGATTGGCTCTTCATTGGTAGCATTTGGATCATCTGTAGTAGAATTACCCTTTGTGATTGTTTGTTGTGCTGAAGCTTCCTGATCTTGAATGAATCGATATAATGATTCGTCTCCGTCGGCAGGAGGTTGATCACAGATCTCAACGTGATTTCGCACGTAGCCGGGACCAGTGATGACAACTTTAATGTATGACCATATCGTCAAAAGCCATAGAATGTGAAAACCAACCAAAAACCCTATCCCTTCTGAGCGGGTGGCTGTCGCTCTTTGTTCTTGTCGAATAGCATCAGCACATATTCTCCAGACAAAAACGATATATACCCAGATCAGAATGACAAACACGAGTGGTATTATACCTTTTCGTTGAATGAAATTATCACCTTTTGGTTCAATCACCTCTCCATCTTCCTTCACACGTACTCCTCCATCAGTATCTTCTCTTCGTTTCTGCTGCCGCTGTCGTGCTTTGAGTTCTTGTTCGTCTGACCATGCTTGTAAGCGATGACTACATGCTTCTACACGGTCTCTAAAGTCGATCAAGCAATTTGGTGCCTCTGAGGTTCCATTTGTCGTTGTCTGACCTTTTTCGATATCTGCACTTTCATCACTGGGACCTTCTTGCCTTGTAGCATCGCCAGCTTCACCAATGTCATGCGACACTGCTTCTACATCGTTCTCTTCAGTTTGATCTACTGTGGGATAAAGTGCTCGAACACTACTTTCTGAAGTACTTCTATTGTGTGTCATTTCGTTCATAGCCTCACCACTATGCTGTGTATGCTGTGCTTCTTGCGTTGTTGCTAGATCACCTCCTATCGTTTTTGTTTGTGTCTCTGCTGCTGAGCTCTCCCCCACATTTGCAACCTGTCCCTCATCGATGGAGGCTGTCATGATGAAAGTGAAGGCTTCACTTATCCTCGATGATGATGGCGTAGAGTGACAATGAATGCACACAAGATGAGAAGGCAAAGACCAAAAAGTAGCACTGCCCAAATTATGCGTGGAGGCTGAAACCCAAAATCAACACGCAATCCAACACCGCGGATGAGAAATGTAAGAAATCATCGGCGCGCTGCACTGCTGCCTTTTCTTATTAGCGACACACACGCCTGTTTCTCCGATTCACCGATAAACTTCAAAACGGTCCGTACAATGATCATCACTAACTGCAAAAAATAAGATGACATTAAGTGAAATTCCCCTTGAATGAATGAATAATTATGAAAAGTTGTACGTAAAAATGATAGAATCGCAATAAAGATGCGAATTTTTTGAGCAAATGTTAAATCCAATAAAATAAAAGGTGAAAGGCAGCGTCCATAAAGGGAGCAAAACTATGAAATACGAACAACAACTGCTCCAGGTTCTTCTTCAATACCTTTCAACGTATTCTCAAATGCACGTGGGGCTTCTCCAAAAGCCAAAACACTCTTCAATCTTGGACAAACAAGACCTTCTTCGGCTGCTTTTCGTACCGCTTCCAGTGCCTCCCGGCAATCTTCTGAAGTATCCGTTCCAACCCATTCGTATCCGATATGTTTGGTATCCTTCTTGAAGAACGATCGTCTGAGTGAACGTAAATGTGACTTCAAGTTTGGATTGCCGACGATTGATTGCAAATCTCCAAAGCATGTGCAGAATTGCCCTTCATAAGCCAAAATTCTACGAGCAGCATCGTAAACACGTCTACCGCCAACGGTATCCACAACCAAATCGAAGCTTGATTCGTGCAAAGTGTTCAGAGCCCAAAGTGGCTCACCGATAATCACTTCATGCGCTCCATTTGCTTCACAGATGGCAACTCCATCAGTCACTTGATTAGGACAATGAGCAACGATGATCAATCCAAGCGTTGCACATTCTTGCATAGTCAATAAACCAACTCCATCATGTGCATTCAAGATCAAAACGCGCGAACCACGTTTTAATTGCGAACAATGATTCGTCATCAATTGATGTGCCATCACTCCAACAGAAGGTAAAGCGGCAATTTGTTCCATCGTTAAACAATCTTCCGGTGCTTTTGCCGTAAGATCTTCTTCGATCGTCATAAATTCGGCAAGTGCTCCGCATTTACGACTACTTTGTAATCCGAAAACGATATCGCCCATTCGCATCCTCTTTACTTCCCATCCTGTTTCCATCACTCGGCCACAAAAGCTGCGTCCAGGAATGAATCCAAACGCATTTTCACTTCGGACCTTTTCACGTAAAAGCAATCTGTCCATTTCGTCAATCGAACATGCGATCATCTGGACGAGCAATTGCGTTGATCCAAGCTTTCTGGGAGGAGGTGTATGTGAAGTGAGTGACATTGTAGTCTTTTGCAATTCTTCAACGAGCGTGCCTTCTTGTCTAGTAGAGTCAATTGAACCGCGACGTGATTGATGATCGGCCGTAGCAGTCACGTCCACAGAAGATCGTTTTCTACGTAAGCTCTTCGAATTACGGAAGGCACCACTGGTAATAGAAATAGTGTTCATCGTTGTCTTGGCGTACAAACGATCATCGATCGCATTGGAAGATTTGACTGGATCGCGGGCTCTATAAGAGCTCTGCGGAACTGCCGGTAAGCTTGCAGTGCTATGTTGTGATTGCATTCCTAACGAAACTTGAGATTCTTCGCCCATATAACCACTTCCGCCCCAATTATTGGTGCCATCCAAGCTTTCACTCACGGGGACGCCCAGTCTTCGTGAAGCACCTGGGTTTGGGTGTAAGAATGTATCAGTTGCTGCGCCGATTGGAGCATTTCTGATCACCGAAGGCAAAGGACCAGAATGAACACTGCTTTGACTTCTAGTGGCATAAGATTGTGCTTGATAAATAGGCGATGCATATCCCGATGAAGAAGCTCCGACCGGCATGTGACTGACAGGAGATGCATATCCAGAACCAGGCGCAGATGGGAGTGCAGGGCTTGTTCTGTCTTGATCGATCGGACTATTCTCCCATTCACTGATAGCAGACATCAATGACGTACGAGCATGACCATTTTGCGAAGCGCTGACTGTTCTGATCTTCCTTGGCACCGGAGGAGGTACATGCTTGGCAGCTCCGCGAGATGAGGAAGCCTCAGAAGCAGCAGAAGAAGATAAGGCCGATGATGAAACGGCCGACGAACGTCCAGATCGTCCTGACACACTCACTGCCGGAGATGGAGAAGGAGAGACAGATCGCGAATTTGCCGGTAAAGAATCAGAGCCTCGAGACGATGAGCCTGCATCGCTGTGATTGGTGGCAGGCAAAGCCAATGATGCCAAGCCTTCTGAAAGCGACGGCTGCATCGATGCAGATCGAGGCGGGACAGCATGATTGGTATGATCCATGTAAACATTTGACAAAGCTGGCATTGGTTCCGCTTCAGCTTCATTAGCTTTTGCTTTTCCGGCTGCTTTTTTGCTTTTACTCTTTCGTCCTTTCACAGTCGAGTCTGGCGTGTCCTCTTGGACTTTTTCAGAAATTGACGGGTGACGGCGTTGGGCGGATGTGGCAACTGTTGTCGCAACCAAGCCAGGTGGCAAGCTTAAACCTCTACCTTGATATTCAGTAAATGTCGTCGAATTGGCACTATTTCTCTTGCTAGATGACTTTTTACCAATGCTACCTTTGGATCGCGAACTTAAAGATCTTTGCAGGCCAACAGATGCATCCATTGTATTAATTGGATCATCCGTCTCTTCTGCCAACGTTGGAGGCGTACGGACCATTGATGATTTGATATGATGATTACTCTCAACCGCTGGTGGCGTTGGTGGGATCAAATCTACTCCAAACGATGGTTGTTGCTTCTCATTCCGAGGAGTCTTGTTGTTATCATCATATGCAGGCTCTCCATGTGTAATAGCGGCTGGAGTCAAATCGTTATCTGGATGAATTCCATTCGCATCGTGTGTATCAAAAGATGGCACTGGTGGCAAAGGAAGCTTTTTGTCCTGTGGTGAGGTTGCGAGAGTCGGCTCGCCATATGCTTCAGTTCTGGGTTGCATAATACCAATATTCTTTTCCAAGAAATCAGAAGCGCCTGGAGTAGCAGGTCCAGTACTTGCAGCGCTCTCGCCTGACCACAATTCTGATCCAAGTGGTGGACTTCTAGCATTGGGTGCATCATGAACCTCATTAGCAATTTGGGCATTGCCATTGGCCTGCACAGATTGCTCATCATCCGTGCTCTCATCACTTTCTGGGGCTGGATTTGACGGCCTTTGCAATTCAGGAGATTGCATGTTGGCCCGCTCTGAGATGTCTGATGCATTGGAAGCTGTATCAACTGATTTCCGCACCACGGGCTCTTCAACCTTGCTCTCTACAGGTTCTTGCTTTGCAATCTTCACCTTCTCGACATCATTTGACTCTTTGACGGTTTGTTTGACATTCTTTGCTTTCTTTGTCTTATCCTTTTGGAATGAGAATAAGGTATCAGCCAAAGATTTTGGCTCAGCTTTGCTTCCCTTGATGGCAGATTTGGCTGGTGCTGGTTTATCCTTACTTGCTGTGACCTTTGCGGCCGGTTCAGCCTTCATTGGTGGTGAAGAAGGTGGAGATAAAGAAATCTCCGAGGATGAACCCTTTGCTGAACTGCTCGCTTGTGGTTCTTTACCCTTCTTCACAACAGCTTTTGCACCAGGTGGTGTCCAAATATGGTCAAGAGTAGAACGCACATCTTCTACTTCTTCAATCTTTTCTTTTGCATCAGGTAAGAGCTTGCCTCGAGCGATAGATACACCACCCATCTCTCGTGGCTTAGGACCACGCTGCCTGGGTCGATCTAAAACGCTACCCTTCTTCTCTAGTTGACCATTCACGTTTGTTGTACTGCTGGAGCCTGCGAGGCTTACTCCACTGAACAGAGATCGTAATTTAGATTCGCCATGAGCTGAAACTGGGGTGCCATCTTCCGTTGAAGCAGAAGAAAGTTGTCTATTATGCGTAGGCGCTGCTTTAATTTCTTTTGTGATCGTTGCGGGAGAAGAGACTTCATTTACCTTCTTATCTTTCTTTGATCGAACACTATGATTGTCCCCAGCTTGGTTTAACAACCAAAGAGCGGCGAAGCTTGGTGCTATACCACTCTCAACAGTACGAGCATCACTAGAATCTGGCACACCTTTGCTTGGCGAATCACCTTCAGCACGTAACCTTCGAACTTCATTGATTCGTTCTTGAGCGTTGATTGAGAGTACGTCTTGAGCAGTGATCGAATTGCGTTTAGTATCCGGATGAGTGCCAATATCAAGTCCAAGCTGACCAACAGTCGGAGCAAGATTGGCATCCCAATCGGCAGAATCGAATTTTTCCAAAATACCAGAAAGTGATTCTCCAAAGAAATCTTCGCCTACTTTCATATTTCGTAATCGTTCTTGTTCAGCCTTTATTCTTGCACGTAATTCTTCATCAGCTTCATCATCTGATTTTGACCCGTTTGAATCTTCATCATCATCAGACATCTTGACTCGTCTTGAAGAAGAAGAACGTGATTGTGCGCCAATTCGCATGATATTGCTTGCACCAAAGGAAGTACCCAAGCTCAAATCGCTCAAACGTCTTTGCAACGTACCTGGACGAGAAGATCGCATAGATTTAGCATCATCACCATCGACCTTTTTCGTCTTTTGATCGAAAGTGACTGTAGCACGTCCAGTTTGTTGACTGCCAACTGACTTTGCATCATCGCTTTCATTGAGCTCTTCGGTTTTTTCAGTGTCTTCTAGAGGCTTTGCCGGAATCTTTTCTTCATAGATCGATGCAGTGGGTGTTGGAGGTGTTGGTTTGTCTTGATTTGATGGCGGAAGAATTTGCTTGTTCGCTTCATCAGCTCCAGGGGAAAGGGCATCCACGAAGGCTTCACTGTCTGTGCTGCTACTACTGTGATCGGAAGAATTCACCATAGCTGAAGTTCCAGTGGTATCTAGCTTCTCTAAATCTTTCCGGTCTTTGTGCATCGGCGAAGGAGTATGTTCACTCTTTGGTTCGCTAACCTGTACGCTCGGGATAACGGGAGCGTCCTCCGACAGAATCGACTGTTGTGCATCATCTGATTGCCTTGATTCGGCAACAGATGTAGACTTTAACGAATGATTACGAGACGTAGATGTACTGCCAATCAATACCGGCACCGGAGGACTAGAGGTGCTATAACGTGCTTTGTTCAAAGCTGATTCGAATGCCCGATACTTTGGCGCTTCACGTGTTGCCGAGCTAGGTGCAGCAGCTACAACGGGAGTAGGAGCAATATAAACTTTGCTTGATCGTCTTGAAGAGGGCGATCCGACACTACTTCCATCCTCATCTTCTTCACGAACAACTTCCAGCATTCTTTGCCTGCGTATTTCTTCTTCATCCGATGATGATTCCTCCGATTCATCCTCTTCTTCGCTTTCATCGGAAGAAGCTGCCGGGTCCTCCTTCTGTTGCACAGCTTCCCGCTGCTCCCTGTGGCTAGCATTCGACGCTGGATCTCCTTGTTGAGCATCATGCATACGCGAGTCGATCTGAGGGTATCCATTTTGTGTCAATTGTGGACTTTGGGATGCGGATGTATCTGCAGATTGTGGTGCAGCCCCAACAATTGTTCCAGGTTGCCATGAAGTAACATAATCAGCGCCTTCTTGACCAGGAGGAGGACTTCCAACGACTTGACTAGCAGCGCGTGCAATCAAATCTTGATTTTTCAATCCTGGATCGCGCAAGTTTTGTTCAAATTGAGCATCCTCTTGTAATTCTTTCTTCAAACGTTCATAATGACTCTTTCTTCTTTCCAAGTTCGCATTTCCGGTCCCTTTGGCCGCTGTTTCTGTCATGCTTGGCGCATCTCGTACACCTTCCCATGCTTTTGATATTTCTGTTCCTGACATACTCTTCATGAAATCTTTCCAATCCGCTCCTTCGGATTGTTTATTGTTTCCATCCTGTGAAAGCCTTCGTACGTGTGGACTGCTTGCCAAAGCACCTGGCATTCGAGAGATTTGAGGCGGTGGTGACATCATCCGAGATTGAGGAGGCGGTGAGCTGATTCGGGACTGAGGAGTGGGTGACATGACTCGGGATTGAGGAGGAGGAGACGTTGCACGAGATCGAATGCTAGTAGAGCTTGGCTCTCTCTTTAGATCTTGACTAGAAGCTGCATTAGTGAGCTTGGACTTGGACGACTTCGGCTGCAATGTTGGATTGAGCTTACTCACTCCCAAAGGAGCTACATCCGATTGCAGCCTTCCTTGGCGAGCAGGACTTCCTTGTCTTGCAGCATTCAAAGCAGCATTTGCTGGCATTGGTGGAGGTGCGGATCCGCCATATGCTCTTGGAGATGTTCCATAATCACTCTGAGTCACCCGTCTGGGCTTTGCTCCTGATCCTACACCAGCCAGACCATGTGAATTCCAAGGAACTTGACCTGGTGCCGGTTCAGGCTCCGAGAATATACTCTCACCAGCGATACTACCTGCTCTACTCCTTCTTCCTATTCCCAAGCTACCTGCTTCCCACCATCGTTTCTTCTTTGTGGCAGTTGCTTGACTATCAGCAACTGAAGGAGGGGCAGCAGCGTAATTGAGACCTCCATTGATAGAAGGATAATAACCTGCTGGAGCTGTTCCATTGCTAAACACACTCGAATCTCCTACGACGGATTGTCTGTTTTTCTTTCTGCCAAAGCGAGATTTGAAGCCTAGGGTAGAGGTTGATGCACCTGCTTCTGATCCTCCATATTGACTCAGGTTGGCTTTACTGCTTCGTTTGAACAACGATCCGCCTAGCATTGACGTTTGCGCAGAAGAACCTGGAGCGTTGGGAAGGTCGGAAGGTGCTTGCCATTTTTGTCCTCGGACAGATTTACCTGCATTTCCATTTACATCTGCAGGCGGAGCATAATTCTGTGAAGGCCTGTTAAGGATACTGTCTAAGAATGTATGTCGTGGCATGATGAATGCGATTGCTCAAAAAGAGCGGTGGTAAATACTATGTGAAAACGTTGTAAATTTGGATAAAGTTGTAAATGAGTGCGTCGTTATTACTGCATGTTGTGCGTGTTGTTGATTTGGTTAAACGATGTGATCGAAGCGAGTTGTTGAATCGCAAAGCGGGTAATCTCAGGTTGCTGTTTCCTGGCTATTTTTCAATCCCCTTTGTCGGAATGAACGATGATCTAATCTCCGTTGCTACCAAAAGTTTATAAGGGACTTTGAAAGTAGCACTGAATTGATTGAGTAGAGGTGTACTCGTGATAGTTTTTGTGCTTTGGATGAAGAAGTAGGGAAAGAAGCCAAGAAAGTTGTATAACGTGGAGATGGATTGCTTCGATGATGCATGTAAGATTCGGTTACCATGACCCGCATTGTAATGGAGAGAGCTACTACTACATCCTACTGCAGGAGAAATAATAAAAAAGTAGGGCCCAAAGGTGCTTTGGCATGGAACGCGAATGCGCTAAGAAAAAGACAAAAGAGAGAAATTCGGTTGAAGCGTGCGTGCGCAGTGCGCGGTACTGGGCGGGGCAGCGTAAAGCAAAAAAAAAGAAAAGGGCGAGAAATTAATGTATGCGTTTGGATTACAGAATCAATTATTTGACTTGCTAAATTGTACAGAGTGGGAATGGCTCCTGTCGTCTCGTTACTTAAAGAAGGGGCCTGCAGGCATCTAGGCTCAGACTATAGGCTAAAAGCTTGCTTGCGTATGTGGCAGTGTGGTGCATAAAAATGTCGATCGATGGACAAATGTTCTTCTCTGCACACACACCTTTTATCCGCTTGCCTGCTTACACTCATCATATGCGGGTGGTATAGTTTATAGGAGGAGTATCAATAATATACTCATGATGGTACAAGTTTGAAGTTAAGATCCCCATTATTGATAAACAACTAATAAAGGACGACAAAGGATGAAAGAAACCGAACATCCAGCAAAGCATAGACTGTTTCACGAATGCAATTTCGTATTCCACAACGGAGCCGATTGAATGAATGATCACTAGATAGCACGCGTCTTACCAATCCTGGGCCCTTATGAATGCTATACCCCCCCCAGAGTGTATAATGTTCAGACCCCTTCTTCCTTTGTAGACTAGTGAAAGTAGATAATCAAAAAGCCACTCTCTCTCTCCGCGCCGGCGAACATGTGACCCTAGCTTGCATTTCCTATCGCCGCTTGAGGGTAATAGTGCATGCAAGCCCCGGACTAAAATCTCTTATCAGCTGAAATGATGTTAGTGTATAGACAAAAGTCAAAATAAGCTTGGATCGGCTGATCAATTTACCACCATCATCATCTCCCTTCAAGCACAATCTCACAACTCACTCTAATATAACAAAACATTTCATCTTTGCTTGAAGAAACGCAAAGACCAATATGGTCAGCATAATCAATACTCGATCTCGTCCATTACCACGCAGTTTAACTCATCCTGCTGGAATCACTTTCTTAGATCCTGCTCATCGTGTTTCAAGAGAAGAATTGGATCGTCGTGATGCAAGATGGAGAGCGATGCGTGAACGTGCATATGCGCGTGCATGGTCAGAAGAAGCAACTTTGGTTGGCAGTGTGAGAAGGTATGCTGCTGCTTCGGCAATCTTACGTGAATGGGAAGATCGAACGATCGGAAGGAGAGGTTCATTCGCAAGAATCGGAACACAAAATACAATCGAAGAAGGTAGTACTGTTCACAGTCGCAGAGCACCATCAATGCCAGACAGTCATCCTACTCCACCGCCACGTCGTAATCATCATCATTTCTCACTGTTGGCTGGCGTACGTTCTTCAAGGCGTCAGAAAAAGGTCAAGGATGCTATTCGACGATTTGTGGCTAATGTAAGAGCTTAAGGAAAGGGCACAAGATTTGTACATTTTTTTAACTCTCTGGCTTCCAAAGCTGGAAGAGATTCTATCCACGGACAATCTAACATCAATTTATGAGACTTCGCGACGTTTCCCACCACTCAGCACTCGATAATGATAGTGATACGACACGTTTTTTCCTCTAACGAGCTCATGATTCGACATTCCATAAAAAAGCATACACGAAACCAGATTGGGTCACAAGTCATTTCACATTTGTATTGTACATAACTTTTCATTCTCCAGCTTAGGCCTGGATGGTCATCCTTATTTCGATTCATGTTCATATTAATACATAGACTTTCCACGCCATCAAGAGCTGTTGTCAAAGCCTGTCAGGTAGTAGGACAACCTTCGAAAGGTGTATACGGAATAAGAGGGAAGTTTGAGTAGTGTGATAAAGATTAGCAAAGCGACGATGGCATAAACAATCACTAGAGAAAGAAGACAAGAGCATCAGAAAATATTGAAGTTTCTTCTATGACGATTCACTATATCACCTACCTGCAATTGCTGCTTCCCATCCTTCCATCGGACTTATACCCAATTCACTCGAGAATCGAAGCCATAGCGACCATGATTTGTCCTTCACCCACCAATACGTTCCATCCGTTGTCCATGCATATCGAATCGGTTGATTGGTTCCGATCACATTTGTGAATGCAGGCTGACGTGCTTTAGGTTCTTTTGGGCGAGCGATTGTGCTCTCAACAATCGCATGTTTCTCATCGTGAAAACGTTTTCTTCTTTGCAAAATGGTCGAATGACCGTCTAAATTTGCAAATCTGCCCACGGAAACATCGTTTACGGTACGTATAGAGGATAACATTGTTGGTTGGTGGTCAAGCAAAAAAACCTATCTTTACGTGGTTGAAATGCAATTTCAAATCGTTATGAGTATGGAAATTGCTTTTTGATCATCTTTTTCTAATCTTGCTCAGACCTACTTTACGGGATGAATGCACAAGCCTCTTGTTTGCGTAAGTGAAACGAGGTAGGGACATTTGACGGATCTTTTGATCCGATCCCAAATAACTTGAAATGCATGTAGGGTTCTATTTCACGGCACTGTGGCTTCTTGCATCTTTTCTTTTGACAGGGTGATTATGCTTTGAATGCTTGTCGTAACAGACGTGCCATACTCTTCTTTTTTCTCAACGGCAAGAAAGATGCATATATTCAAATCCAAAATTGCTCACTTATTTTTGATTATCACACGCGCGTTTACGCTTTCTTTTAGGCAGATTGGCAGTGTATATTGTCTGTCAATAGATCGGGGGAAGCCAACAAAGAGATGATCAATTTCCACATGCAAGATTTACACTCAGCCACAACTATCATATCTACACATGCCGCCGGCATTTTTTCATTTATCCTTGGATGCTGTGAACGCTTTAAGAGCTCGTTTGATAGGATCTTCAGTATGAACTTTCCCATCTTGGTCATAATAATCAACAATAATTTTGGGTACACTGTTTGATTGCTTGACCGGGAATGGAATCGGATGTTCTTGTTGAGGCGTGGCATGTCGATCATATTGTTGATAAGGCTTCTTGCGTGTGGTAGAGTAAGTAGAAGCTTGCTGTCTGTTTTGCATCACTTCAAATGGTGAAATCGGCACAATCGCATCTTCATCCTCCCCTCCTTGCAATGGCGAACAAACAGGCGGAGGCGTGGGAATCGTAGCGGAGAAAGGTGATTCTGGATGTTGAAATAGGTGATTGCGTTCAGTAGCATTCATTGAACTCTTTGGAGTACGAAAAATGGCAAATGGCGAAGAGTGAGGTAAGTGAAAATGCGGCAATACATATTGTTTGCTTCGCGGAGGTAAAGCCGGTTGCTTGCTTTGATGTTCTCCTCCCAAAAATCCTTCAACGGGAGGTGATCGTTCATGATCCGTGCTGGGTGAAGACATGAAATTCGTCATATCTGAATCCGATATTGGACTTTCACCCTGTTGTTTTGCAAATGTAACAGATTTTCCTTTACCTTTTTCCATTTCTTCCAAATCTTCAATGTCTGCATCTTGAACGTTGATTCCTTCAACTTCATCTCCTTCTTCTTTTGGTCGAACACCCAATCTCTTATTTCGTTCTGCCAATTGTTTACGTTTTCGAATTGCGCTGATTTTGTCCTCTTTTTCAAACCTGGTGGCTTTGAATGAATTAACATTGAGGAATAAAATCACGATGGAAACTTGCATAAGAACGTATAAGATTAATTGGGTACACAATAATCCATCAAATGTTTCCTTGCATACACTTTCGCCATCAAAACGTTCTTCTCTGGCGTCATCTTTGTGTACAGTCGTTTGTGCTTCCATATGGGCAAGCGCAGCAGCGACTGAAGCTGAATAAACATTCTCCATGCAACTTTGATGAAAGAAAGTCCAATCCAAAGCGAATCCAAGTGAAGCGAAAGAACCACTGAAACCCAAAAACATACTTAGCAATAATGTCCAACTACGAAAGTTGCAAATCGCATGATAGTTTGGTTTATGTATAATTGCGAAACCATACGTCATCAACAGCATTGTGAAAATCAAACAAATGAAATGAACGAAGAGATAAAAATGTTGAAAATCGCCTTGCGCTTGTTTGAATGTTGTGATCAGCAATAAATCAATGAAGAAGTGTGTTGTGCCAATCACCATCACAGTCAAGCTGAATGTTCCAATGATTGGCTCAAGCCGATATCGCCCTCTTTAGGGGGAGCAATAGCTGTCAGCATGCTCTGTTTTTTCTGATCTGAGTTGATCAACTCACAAGAATAACTTGAAAACCATTTTAAAGAGGAGAGAGGTGGGAAAAGGGCAACATAAATTTGATGTCCTCCTCCTCTTTATATTGTGGGGAATGAAAGAGAATGGGCGCTGTTTTTTTAGGTGGGCAACCGTTTTACGCCTTTTCTTATTTTGATTGAATCTCCGATCACGCCGAAATATGATAACGTGTACAAAGATGACATTATATGATAATGGCACATGATATGAGGCAGAATATGTAGAACAGCCGAGTGGAATACGTATGATTGGGAAGCTGGGCACAGAACAATGGAACGCCATCAATAGCCTATTGAGTACATGTATGAGGCACAACGATGATGTTATCCAAATTTACAGCTTTGAGCAGCTTGTTGTCCGTTGTAAATACAACCTTATCAACGCCTTTGAAGTCATGATGACATACTTGATTGGTCATTTTGACCTGTTGTGGATCTGACTGTGTTTGTCCGTCAGGTTGGTAGTTGTAGGTTCTTTTACCAATCACTTTACCTTGGTAGTAACCCGTCATTGTCATTTTGCATGGTTGGGCAACACCGGGTAAAAGACCAAGGGCATCATTTGTAAGCAAAGTACAACCGAAACTTAAACCTTCCAAATCAAAATAATCAATATTTTGAGGATTTCCTTGTGCAACGTACATAGAATGTTGACCATCCAACAATCCGTTCACTGCACCACCAACGATTTGATTAGGTGGCGAAGCTGCTTCAACACCGGATTTTTCCGTATTCTTGAAACCATAAAAGCCGGCAAATCTGATACCGGCTGCACTTGCCGTTTTATCGTCAAGTAAAGGTGATAATTTACTTGCATCATAATCGTTGTCATCAAACGTAAAAGTCTTTTGAGCCAAAGCTTTACAATGACGACGTGCTTTTAGGTGAACAAAGTTGGAATCCTTTGCGTTGATGAGTGAGAGAGAAGTTGCAAGGATAAGAAGAGAAGCGAGTGTGGCCTTCATAATGAATGTATAATGAAGATAGTTGGAGGAAATTATGAAACGGAGAGAGAATTTGCAGAAGTGGGGACTTTGGAAAAAGCATTGATTCGTCTTTTTATACTTTATTCCATGCAACCAGAATACTTCAAGACATCTTCTTGATCATCCACTACATTGCGCCATGCGTTCTTCTGAACCCTAGACGCCCGGATCAGGAGATCATAAGATCAGACCCTTGCTATAACTTTGAGTATATACTCACTGTCAGGTACATTTGATTCATATTCATGATGGCGTAGAGACCTCCTTTTCATTCCAGTATATACTCTTCGCCTTGCTTGGACCTCCTTTAAATGATGTAAAATCGAATTGAATCAATTTGCGCAGAGAAACTCTCGAATATTCCACTTGATCTATTTATAAGAACAGGAATTCTATGTTTAACTAGTGAAGGATATGATCGAGTTTTGATCTCCTAGATCGACATGAAAGACTTTATTAATTTTTGTCCGAGGTCAGAGTTGCATGGTGAGCTTAATTCATACAAGCTTTTCACTCATTCATTTCGCAGGGAAGAATCAGCTGCCTCCAAAAATACTCTGATGACCTAAGATATACCGTTTGCCAAGACATGTGGGCGGCCAATCGGAAAAAAAAGGGGTGAGCCTCCTCTACCTCGACTTCTTGTGCATCAAAAGGGGCACCAGCTTTCGAGTGAATACTTCTTAGGCGCCTTTTGTATTATTCCATGTCCGAACATCGAATGAACACAAAGGTCCGATATTGATGATATAAACATCATTTGGTGATGATGATTGATCTGATCCTGTGTTCATTGTGGATTGTGAGTATCGAATTACATTAGCATCTGATTCTGCTCATTATACCTTACAGTATATCGTATCTTTTGTCTTATATACTATCAGATCAACACTCAAGCCACAGCCGAATGAGAGTGTATTGTTCGGTTGAGCAAGAGATGCATGTTAGGAGCAAACCAAGCCGTGTTCATTCGCCTTGATTTCCTTCTCCGTTTACCTTGGTAAAAACCCCGCCGGTTTAGCCTTTAGTTTAAAAGACGCGAAAAATTAAAGCGTAAACTGGTCAAGTGCCGGTGATTCGTTATCAGATTATCCATCTTTTCTATCCTCTTACCATTGTTGGGCATTCACCCTGTCTTTTCGCTCATGAACAAATGAGAAGATTATTGTCAAATAAATGTCAGACGAGAATCAATTCTCTCTTCTCTTCGGCGAGGCATTTTCAATTATCATGCATTCTAACACGAGACTTTATTGCAGGTCTTGTACCTGATCTGACAGAATTGTGTCAAAAGAAGACTTCAAATCGTTTGACATTTTGTGAACAGTATGCTCATGCAGGTCCAAAGAGATGCAAAATCTCCCTCATCTTTTTAATTCATCGGATAACATCATACCGCCGTAAATTGCATTCAATTCAAACCTTTCTCCGCCGGGCTGAATGTGTAAATGCCTCATACACAAAAGATAGCTAAAGAAGAAAAACAGCTCATCACTTTTAAACATCAGTCTTTTCTCTCTTTCTTCTCATCATCAACTCCCCTCAAGGTTGACAATGATGCGATCTCCCCCTAAAATGTATGCTTTGGTAGCATTGCTTTACTCCTTAATGCCATTAGCTACAGCTGCCAATGTGACATATGATTGGAACGTTGGCTGGGTGGATAACGTAAATTTGGATGGTCAATATCCCAGAAGAGCGATCGGCATAAACGGTGTCTATCCTCCTCCGGTCATCAATCTAAATCAATCAGATTCATTCACCATCAACTTCAAAAACGCATTCAACGATGGAAGATCAACAGCCCTGCATTCTCATGGAATGTTCTTCAACAACACTGGCTTCTTCGATGGTGCTGCTGCTGTCACGCAATGTCCAATCCCTGATGGAGGATCGATTGCATATCAACCACTCAACTCTCCTCTCAGTCCAGCCGGTCATCAAGCACAATGGGGAACTTTTTGGACACACGGCCATTATGACGGTCAATACGTAGACGGATTACGAACACCTTCAATCATTCATGCCGATAATGAACCTTACAAGTATGACGATGATTTTACCATCCTTTTAGCAGATTGGTATCATCAGGAACATCAATATTTGATCCAAAACGAATTCCTCAATGTCAAAAACCCAACTGGAGCTGAACCTGTTCCTAATTCTGGTTTGGTATACTTTGCCCATACTGCAAAAGGCTCAAATGGTGAATACTTACCAGGCTACAATGAGAATGCAACACTGTCTTTTGAGCCAGGTAAAACATATCGATTGCGTTTGATCAACATGGCCGCTTTGTCAATGTTCCACTTTTGGATCGAAGGACACAATATGAGCATTATCGAAGCTGATGGTGTGGACATGGAAGCATTTCCGGTAGATGCTATCTCTCTTTCTGTTGCTCAACGATACTCCGTCCTGGTTACTGCAAGAAATGATACCACTCAAAATTGGCCAATCCATGTCAATTTGGATCCAGGCATGTACGATGCAGTACCGCCTACATTGCAACTCAATCTCACTTCAACAATTTCGTACAAGGAAGGTAATCCGATGGGATCAGATAGACCAACTATCGATTATGAATACTTTGATGATACAGCTTTAGTGCCCGTCATTGTTGAACCGCAGCTTGCTGCTGATGTCACATTTGTCAAATCTTTTGATTTTTCAACGTACAGTAACGGAAAGAATTATGCTGCTTTTAATGGAACATCCTACGTCAGTGCACTTACTCCAACTCTATTCACCGCAATGAGCATGCCAACGAATGAGTCAAGTCTGGCGCAAGTGTACGGACCCAACTCCAATGCAATTGTTGTGGATCATTTGAAGGTGTTTGAAATCGAGATCATCAATTTGGATACAGGTAATCACCCTTTCCATTTACACGGCCATCATTTCCAAGTAGTCCATAAAAGTCAAGATATCACTTCAGATGATCCAACCATCAATCCTCCCAAAACAGAAAATCAAGCAAATCCAATGCGACGTGATACAGTTTTGATACCCGGAGGTGGAAGTGCATCTTTACGTATCGTAGCTGATAATCCAGGAGCATGGTTCTTGCATTGTCATATCGACTTCCATTTGACAAGTGGTTTGGCAATGGTTGTTGTTGAAGCACCACAACAAATTCAACAAAACTTGAACGTACCATCTTACATGTATCAACAATGTCAACAAGGAGGATTGCCTTATACCGGTAACGCTGGTGGTCTTCAATCATTGACAAACTTTGGCGCCTTGCCTGCTGGTCCTACACCGCTGACATCCGGTTGGACTGCAAATGCGGTTGGCACATTCGTTGCTTGTTTGATCACCGCTCTTCTCGGGGTTGGAACTGTTTCATGGTACGGTTTCAGTTCCAAAGATGATGATGATGAAGATGAGTTGTAAATTCAAATACCTTATTAATCTCTCTACTTTATGTATGTGATGAGTAAAATAAAATGTCATTTATGCACAGTAATGAATTGATCGTTAATTAAAGATAGAGTTTAGAGACGGAACTTCAGGGTGACAACCTCAAATGGTCGAAGTTTCAAAGCGACCTTTTGTCCTTCATCAGATGTGTTTCGAACCTGCAAACTTGAGTCCAAGTCTTCTTGATCATCTTCCAACATATTTGCACGGGTAACAGACTTGAATGAGTGCTTACAGTTAATGACCACATTGGCATGACTGCCCAAAGATTCGTATAGTCGAACGATGACCGTAGTCTCACCGCTAGCTTTTTGTCCATAGTATTCGAAATCGTCTTCACCTCGCTTGATCGTGTCAAATACTACAGCTTGCGGTACACCGGCACGGGGCACATCAAGTGTGAAAGGCATTTCTGTTTCAAGTGCTTGTTCTGCAACTGAGTAAGACAAGAGTCCATCACCAAATTGCAATGGCTCATTAAAGATTCGTGCTACATGAACCACATCAGATGCTTCCAAGACGTTCAAGTGAGGATACAGTCCAAATTTGATAATGTGATCACCCTCATCTTGATGTGCATCTGGATAAGTGGCGCCCTTCAAAAGTGATAAGCGCATCAAACCACCTTCAACGGAATAGCCGTACTTGGAATCCGTAACGATGGCCAAACCAAGGCTAGATTCGGACAAATCGGAGAATTTGTGTCCACACACCTCAAATTTGGCAGCATCCCAGGTTGTATTGCGGTATGTGGGACGTTTCGTGATACCAAACTGCGTCTCATAAGAAGCAGAGTCGGAACGCAAGATCGTTGGAATTTCAAAGCGTAAGAATTTATGCTTCTCCATCCAATGAACCTTGGCATCGAAATTGATCAAAGAGCGAGCAAGCTTAGCAGCAGATTGGCTTCCACTTGCAGCAGCCAAGTTAGATGCAGGAATAGCATCCAAGCTCAAAGCAATCGTTACGGAACTTTGGCCAAACTTATAATCCAGCTCCATAGCCGCGCGCCATGGACCACGCTCTGTGATGCGAGCAGTGTTGAATTGCAATTCTTCAGTTGTGTCTGTTGCGTAGATTTCTGTCTCCCATGCATCGTATGATGTTGGGAAATCTTGACAAATAGAAAGGCCGGCAGTTCTTCCCGAAGCAATCAATTCTAACCAATTGCCATCACTGGCTAACACTTGCACACTGTTGATTCTGCCGTCCTTCAAATTGATAGAAACAGCATTGTTACGCATAGCGAATGAGCCATGAGCGGTCTCTTCAACTTGAACAGCCTCTACGGTGCGCATGACGCTAGCAGGCGATGGAGATGGCTTTGCAGTACCGGATCCTTTTGCATCTTCCAGCAAGAGCAAAACACCATCAGATGTCTGCTGAACGGCACTAGCCAGAAGTGCATCCTTGTTAGATGCAACTGACAATGCCTTTGTATCAATGTGAACCAACTCTCTTCTTGGGACAGCAAGGGTGTTGATAGCGACAGGAATGGCTTGACCATTACCCGATCCCAAGATTGATGTTGCTTTCTGTAGCAATTTCATTGCCTTTGCATTTACATCCGCATAAATGCCCTCTGCATCATCATACACCATACGGATAGATGATCCAGGCAAGACATCGTGGAATTGGCACAAGAGGAAAGGCTCCCAAAGGTGATCGATCTCTTCCTTGGGATACTTGTAATCAGAAGAACGCAAGCTTGCCATTGTTGCAACCCACTCCAACTGATGCAAGAGAATCTCCAACTTTCTGTTCCAACGTTTGATGCTACCATGACTCGTGTATACACCCCGATGGAATTCAAGATACACTTCACCATTCCATGTTGCAAGCTTTTCTCCATCGTTGGTAATCTTGCGAATATTCTCAAAGAATTCCAAAGGAGATGTATCAGAGCCAACCTTTGGCATGTCAGTGTAGCCATTGTTGTACGTAGCACGAGCACGGCGAAGGTTTTCAATATTGACTTCATTGGGACCACCGCCACCATCACCTTTTCCGTAGAGCAGGAGCGCAGTTGGTTGAACGTTCAAGTCTTGGTTGTTTGTCATACCTCTGCGGATGTCGTCTACACCACACATACTGTCATAGTTGTTGACGGGTGTCATATGGGTAATGATCTGTGTTCCATCTAAACCTGTCCACATCATTGTATTGTGAGGGAATCTGTTAATGTTACTCCAACTCAATTTTTGAGTGAAGAAATATTCTGTGCCACACGAGCGTGCCAATTGTGGAATTTGACTGTTATAACCGAATGTATCCGGAAGCCAGAAAATGTTCGTTCTCGAGCCAAATCGAGATTTGAAAAATCGTTGTCCGTATAAGAATTGTCGTACAAATGCTTCACCACTTGGCAAATTAGCATCATTCTCCACCCAAGTACCACCGACCGGAATGAAGCGGCCTTCTTTGACATACTTTTGCAACTTTGAAAAGAGCTTCGGGTAAAGTTGTTCCAGCCACCAGTATTGCTGTGCTGTACTTGCAGCGAACTTGTATTCAGGATAACGGTCCATCAAATCCATTTGAGTACTCCAAGAACGAGCAATCTTTTGTTGAGTTGCAGAGAAAGGCCAAAGCCATGCTGAATCGATGTGTGTATGACCGACTGCCCAGATCTTGTGATCATCCTTGTGGAAGACATTTCCTTCTTGGTATAATTTGGAACCCTTCTTGGACCAATCTTTGCCCAAAATTTCTTCTGCGATTTTACGGCATTTTCCAATTGTGGACAAGTCATTGTTGCGGAATGTGTTTTGGATTTGATTCATCACATACAATGCTTGATTTTGTAAGACGGTATCCTTTGGCATTTCACGAATGCATCCTTGCAAGAGGAAGTAATCCCACAGCAAGTGCCATGCCTCAGGTCTTTTGACAACAACTGCAGCTGATGCCAATTCAAAGTATCTGTCCGGATCAGGATCACCTTCTCTGAAATTACCGATCCCAAACATTCCATTACATGTCACCTCAATGTAGTATAAAACACCCTTGCGCACCTCTGGCTTGAGTGGGAAATCGACTCTGCGACCGTCCCAACCTCCTGTGATTCCTTGTAAAGGCAGACCATGTTGATCGAATACCATTGCTTCACAGCTTGGATCGAATTCAAGTTGAACCCAGTCTTTGTCACGCCATTCGGCTGGTACATTGATTTCAATTTTGACCCAATGATTTGACCAACTTGGACCGAATTTTTGACCTTTCTTTACAGGTTCAAATTCATGTTTGATTGCTTCCTCAAAGCTAGGTTTTGTACCTGTTTTTGGGACCCACAGTCCCATCTTGATCACTTCTTCATCATCCCTTCTGTCTTCGAATAAAACAGAATTGATATTCCATTTCGACCATTGATCGCTATTGAATTCTTGAACACGAGCTTGTTCCACACCGCGAGTATTAATTCGACGGATAGGATGAGCAGATTCAGAAGAGCGAAGAGGATAAAAGTGTTTGTCAGGGCTCATCTTTCACAACTTTTCGTACAAGGGCTGGATAAGATGAGGTGAAGGAAGTGAAGAGGGAAGGTATGTTTGATCCGAATGCCAGCAAATGTTTGTATTCTTGCACTGACCTTCACAATTCGGACCGCTTTCTTACGGTTCTCATATTGGAGTAAAATGAAGCGGGGTGCTTATGCTTCATGCATGAGAATGGCTTGAGCGTAATTGACTTATTGATGCAGTATCAGCCATGCTTATATGAATTAGGGCACGTTGGCTGTCTTTTACGCCCTCCTTCCTCAAAAAGGTTACAATTAATCAACAATTGAATAGAATCAACGCGATAACAAAGGTGCGGGAGGCAAATGCATGTGTCAGCGTGCACGTGTAATAAAAGTAGCGCCTTTTTCACTCTCATTCTTCGCGGCAGAAGAAGGAGTAGCAGCACATTTTGCATTTTCGAAGAATGATCTTGATCATATCCATCACCATCTTCAAATAGCGCAATGGCGACACAAAGAGGGACAATTAGTCTAGCCTTCAATGTCAGCGGCCTGCTTGGTCGCGAAGCAGGTCCATCTCGTATGACACTCGCAACAAGAGCTCCATTCAGTACATCAGCGACCGTTGGAGCAGTACAAAAGAAGAAAGTAGCACCGGCACAAAAGAAGAAATCTGCATCAGTTGTACGAAAAACCCCAAAAAGTGCAGATGCAGCATCGACAAAACGTAAAGGAGCTAGATCAGGTGGAAGTGGTGCAAGTGATCCTTCTGCATTAGGATTATCGCGAGACAGTCCATTCGCACAACCTAAAGCTGAAATGAGTGAATTGCCAGAATTCCTTCCTGAAATGATTACAGCAAAAGATGCTTACAAAGTGGTTGCTTGGAGTAAACGAACTTGGGATGCTCTTCAATTTCAACAATTCGGCTTACCAAAGTCGCTGGCAAAACAATTCGGATCGGAATCCCGTCCTCGAACACTGATTCGGCCACTGACTTTGGAAGTGCTGGATATGTTGGATAACGCACGATCAAAACCTTCTTCTCCTGCCGAGGTCAACACTGTCCTCAATGCGCCGCTTGGATACGGAATCTCTACTTTGATGCTGCAAGCCTTCTCGTATGCGCTGGAATCGTCTTGGCTGGTTATCTATCTTCCAAAATCGCTCACATTTGTGGACAGCTCATCTCCCTATGCATACAGTGAAAAGCACAAAGTCTATCTCCAACCAGAGCTGACTCAACACATCCTTCAACGCATTCTTAGTGTGAACAAAGATCACTTGAGTAAGATCACATTGGAAGATGGACCATTCACACTTGACGATCGTGGAGGAAAGATCGAGAAGGGGGCCAATCTAGTATCAGTCATTCAACAAGGTCTCCAAAAAGACACCTCACCCGATGCACTACAGACGGTCTTCGAGATCACAATGCGTACGATTGTTCAGCAACGCAGCGTACCAGTACTATTAGCAGCTGATGGCGCTCAAGGATTGTTCAGTAAAAGCTTATACAGAGATCCTGATTACCGTCAATTGGAATCCTACGAGCTTGCTGTGCCAAGAACGCTTCAGGCCAGTTTACGAACTACCGGAACGGGAAGCTTTGGAGGAATTCAATTGGGAAAATCATTAACTGCAATGAGTCTTTCCAACACTAAATGGCCCATTCCCGATGAGATGCGTTTTGCCTTGCCGGGTTTGAATGCAGACCTTCATCCATATGCCAAATTGAACGATGAAATGCTCTCGATCGTCAAAGAATGTCAATTGAACGTTTGGGATATGAGTAATGCTGTTCTAACACGCAAAGAAGCTGGCGCTCTATTTGACGTTGCACGAAAAGAAGGCAGAATGTGGTCTACACCAAATGATGAATCGTTCATGTCCAGATTGGTTGAAAGCGGCGGTAGTGTTGGTACATTCCAACGCGGTCTGCGAGGATCTCTTTTGTGATTTTTACTACTAAAAAGAAATATGTTTGTACATTCGTTGATGGTTGTGTAAAATACATATTGTAAAAATCTATCGTTTCTGCTTATCTAACTTTCCAACAAGCCTAAATGCTGAATGATCTTGAGCAGCTCTAATGCTTGTTTGGTCACTTGCATCTGTAATGTTTTGATCGGTTTTGACGGATTGTTCTCTTTCAACGCTTTTGTACCACTTTTGGCGATCGATTTGACGGCTTCGACCAAACCAGAAGCAGAGATAGCACGTTTGTAGGCCGTTGCATCGTTTGTGCCTTGGCCACGAATCCAATCGACGTATTGCAATAAACACTCTATGCATGACAATCCTCGTAAAGCTAATTGCCATTGGCCATGTTCAGAACCTAGGGGATCACTCTCTATATCTTGTCTGTGCAATCGTGCATCTTCTTCCGGATCACCTTTGTCATCCTCTCCTGAAATTTCGGATATCTGATCAACTTGTTTGACTTCAATCATCGGATCAATCAATTTTGCAATCTTGTTTATAATCCTTGGCTCTAACGAAAGAATTCGTGCACATGCAGAAGCAGAACTGCATAACGTTGCAATCGCTCCGCCGGCAGCCATTCGTAATTTCAGCCCACTCTCTTTACCGGCTTCATCAATGCCTGCAGGAGCACAAAGAGCAATCAAAAAGGTCAAATCACGAGCAGCTCGGCTTTTGCTTATAATCTCATCCTTTTCTTTCTCATCCTTCTTTACGGAAGATTTTATTTTATTTTCATCGTCTGTCTCGCCTGACCATCGTTGAAAGACATCGTCTACGACCAAGAGATTGCACAATAACTCCAACGAAGCACGACGGCTCAATTCGTTATCCTCCATAAAGATCCTTTCGCGTAAGATTGAACCAACGTCTAGTCTGCCTTTTGACTCTTTACCGCGATCTGCGCCAACAAAGGCATCGGTTGCATTCGTATCAAGCACACTTTTCGCAAATCCTGCATGAGCGATACGATTTGCCAGTTGAGGTGATAGTGACGCAACATTCGTTAACGCCAATGAAGCTTCAAATCTTTGTAATCGGCTACTATCAGCATGTAAAAAGAGTAAAGCAAGTGATGGAACTACTTCGATCGGATCTGCTGAAACAAGTGCTGGATTTTCCGTAATGAGCAAATGTGATAAAGCCTGAATAGCTGTAAATGATAATGGAGTGGCGGCAACATTTTCGTCTCCTTGTGAACGCAATGCTTGAGCAACCGTGCTGTTGGACAGTGCAATCAATGCCTTTGCACCACCTTGCTGAATGATGAAGCCTCTCTGTCGCTTATCTTGTCTTGTTGTGGCATACAGTAATGCCTCGGCTACCGATTGACGTACAGAAGCGCTGGGATTTGCCACACTACCATCTCCGCCCGAGCCAGAATGTGACTTAGACATTGCGATTGAAACCAATGCTTCTATACCTTTTACACTGATAACTCTTCGTACCCTTTCTTCAATTGCATCTAAAGTCAAGAATTGATCTTTTTCGTCTGTTCCCTCTGCGTTTCGTGCATTTGCCATTCGTCGTAATTTATCCATTTGCTGTTCTTCTTTTGATTTTGTAGCAGGGTAAGACATTATATTGGCTAGCAAAGAAGCGATACCAAGCTGCATTGCCGTATCGGGAGCTTCCTCCGCACCAGTCATCGTTTTAGGGTCGAGTAGCTTGTCTAGCTCATATGAGCTTTTTGCCGACTCTTTGCTCTTCTCTGCATCTCGCGAAGGAAACAACGTCCTCGTATCCCCAAGTTGAGTTGCATCCTTTGCCGAATTACAGATTGCCTTTAATAAATCCGTATCATTCGCGATCGAATGTCGATATACTGGCTGCAGAGACAGATACGACAAGCCTTCAATGGCAGAAACTTGACAGAGCCTAGCAAGTTCTTTCTTTAAAGAAAGATCAATTGCAGAATCACCTGCTTCGGCAAAGCTCTTTATTTCAGCCTCTTTGCCCAGAAGAATATGTCTCCTGCACATCTCGTTCAAGAACGCATCTTCTTCGGCTTGTTTCTTTTCCTCAGCTTCTTCGGCATCTTTGTCTTTCGGTAGACCTTCAAGTCCTCCTTCCATAACCTTTGCATCTCCTTTAGTGGGAGCTTTTCCCACTCTCGTGAGTTTGTGAAGTGCCAATGAAGCTAACAAAGATACTTTTGATAGCATTGACGTAGCTGGTGGGTTTTCCAACTCTGTCCGCTCTACTAGACTGACGAGCCATTCCATAGGCACTCTTGAAGCTCGCAACTCATCTTCCTCAGTGACCTCTACAATCTTTGCTTGGGGTGCATCTTCAGTAGGTGATTCATTTGACACCTCTACGATCTTCTTCCTGCTTTCATTATAAGATGCAGCGAGACAGAGTAGCTCAGCGACTGCCAGGCTATTGATGGTGAATGATTGTTGATCTTTTGTATCTGTGACAGAGCTCAGTGCTAGGTCCAAAACATCGTGGTCGAATAAGATCTTGTGAGCTTGTTGTGGTGCGAATGTGTACAATCCTGAAATGAAACGAATTGCTGCAAAAGCTTGGCTTTGGTCGCTATTGTGGTACTTCAATGCAGATTGAATAGACAGGATACATTCTTTGGAGAAGTCGTTTGATTCTGCTGATGATGTTTGTACCCGTTTAGCTAGTCTAACGATTGTCAATGCACGATCTTTCCAAATTGATTCTGGTCGGAAAGCGTGTAATATTTCATCCATACTACTGCTTTCTTTATCGATCGATAAGTTTGCCAACATTCCCAGATTAGCCGAAGAAGCTATTGAGTGATCGTTCATTGTGCTCCATGGAGTCTTGGCAATTGTGTTATCGGGCTGATGTAGTGGTAAGAGAGAATGATGCATTGATTCTTCTGAACTTTAATTAGCCTTGTGCCCGTTGTGTAACCCCCGATCTCCCTTTCACAGCCTTTAGCGTGCGTACTATTAAGCGTATGTCACTAAAATACAAATCGGGATTCCGTGACAAGCGGATAATTTAATTCGGCGTCTTTCATGCTCCAAAATATCGGACAGACGGACAACATTTATGCTTATGCTCGTATGGAAGCTGTATCATTAGCAATGGTGGAGTATTACCGCATGAGTACATCGTCATAATCCACGGTAATCCGAACAACAATGGTCCGCTATATGAGAACATTAGAAAAGATTATAAAGAATGCGAATGGTATAAAATGATGACATTTCCAATTGTTTTATTTCTTCTCTTCCCAACTCAAATCAATCACCACAAGTTCCACAACTTTCTTCACTCACTAATACTTACTCAACATGATCGCTAAACCAGCTTCAATCTTTGTCTTGGCTTTGGCCGCAATTGGCGCAGTTTCTGCTTCTCCTTTGAACCGTCGTGACAACCCACCTACTGGAGATTTGACAGGAACAGCAGAATGGTCAAACTTTGACGGCACTTCTGCATGGTGAGTAAAAGTGTCTTCCAAAGAGAATGTCTTTTGTCTAACATACTCTTCCCTCCTTATAGCGGAACTACCCTCCCTGCCGATCAACCTCTTGTGGGAATCGATGGTAACCTTTTCAATCAAATCACAGAACCATGTGGACGTAAAATCACAATCACCGCGCCAAATGGTGTTTCAAAACAAGCAACAATTCAAGAATCTTGCGGTGATGGTTGTTCGGAGAACGGTTTATTATTAACCACAGGCTTATTCTCTGACTTTTATAGTCTTGATAAAGGTACATTCCAAGCTACTTGGCATTTCGATTAAACCATCCTCTTTAGCTCTTGTTCGCATGTAAATATTCGCTCAGAAAAGGACGATATCATTAATATACATACTATGAGAGAATTATAAAGAGTTGAAATATAGAACATGATATCAAAAAGGGTAATATAAATGTATAATTCTAATTTGCTCCTCCGCTACGACGTTGACGTTTAAGATCAGCAGGTGCCAAAGCAGGTGCGATAGGCGTGATTCCAGCAGAAGAATTCAATGAATTGCTTCCTGCCTTTCCTTGATTGGTATTGCCAGTAGTTCCATTCGCAGTGCTTTTGGCCTTGTTGCTTACACCATTCGTTGGACCTTCGGTTGTCGGTGTGATCGGAGAATTAGCCGCTGTACCGCCTTTAACTTGTTCTTTAGAAGTAAGCGGCGTTCCAGTCGTATTCGTGGTTCCAGCGCTATTCGCTCCACCACGATTACGCTTTTTGATCACATCCGTCTTTAATGACAATGGTCGAACGACTCCGTGTAATTTCAAGAATAATCCACAGGCATTACACAATGGCTGTCCTTCAGGATCACGTCTCCATAAAGGTGTCTTTGTCGTATTGCAATTCGAACAAATCGTTGGTGGATCTGCAGTTGCCATACTCACATGATCCGATTTACTCGTTCCTTCTTTTTTGCCTTGGCCGATTCCAACTCCATTGCTTCCTTTCTTACTATCCTGACCGGCTTTGACATTGCTTCCATTACCTACAGATGAGCGACCTCCAGTCAAAGGCGCATTATAGCCTTTGCCATTCATCCTATTGGCATCAGCGGTAAAGCTGCTTGCCAAAGGCGAAGATTGATAAGAATTTGTTCCAAAAGGCGGTGGTGTTTGACCGGGCGATTGAGTTGTGTTAGAAGGACTATAAGACCATACAGAAGAAGCAGTTCCATCATCAACACTATTCAACATAGCATGAGCGTGAAGAGGAATCGAATCAAGCGGCGTGATTTGACCGAATAATTGATTGGGGTTCACATGCGTCACATTTGGCTGCAATTCTTGAACGGGAGCGACGTCAGAACCATAAAACATTTGCATGATTTGATTGATATCTGGTTGTTGATTCATTTGGGATCCTACATCCCCTGCTTCTGAAGGAGCTCCTCCAGTTGAAGCAGCCAATTGCTGGAAGAGAGATGTAGGACTAGTTCCCGACGAATTCACGACACTTCCGGCACCAGAGAGTAAATTGGCAGGATCATCCATGCGCGGTACATTGAATGGCGGGACGCTGAAATCAAATGAAGTAGAAGGAATAGCGGACAAGAACCCACCTGTCTGGGAGGCAAACGAAGGCAAAGTACGTGAAAGACCGGCAGCGATACGTTCATCAACAGAGATTGGTGGACGAGCTGGAGAAGGTTCATAAGGACGTTTGCGATTGTTGGACGAGGAAGCGTCATTTCTATCATGTCCTCTAGGCGGACGTGAGACACTGCGTTCCTTTACTTTATGATCGAAACTGGTCTTACGAACCAAACGGGGCAAGAAACCGTACTCGGGATGCTGATTGGCTGAATGTCCAATGTAATCCGCGATTCCTGGGATACTACCTAACGTTGACAGTGGAGCTCCTAACATATTTGCCGCTCCGATCGTTGACATCTCCATACTGGACTTCCGACCTCCTCCGTAGAAGAAAGGTACATTTCTATCGTCTACTCCAGCCGTCAATGGTGCTGCAGGTCCAGGTCCAGCTGTGTACGAATCAAATAGATCGCTGTGGGCTGCACTCTTGAATGCTTGTTGCATATGAGCCTTGCGTGCCATTCTGGAAAGCTGTTCCGGCGGCAAGTTTGCTGCGTTTGGTTGCTGATCTTGAATTGTACCCATTCCGTTCGCTTGTTGATCTGCTCCAGTATCGAATGATAGCGGACCCATTGAAGAAAAGTCGGAAAATTGTCCACCAAGTGCAACAAGATCACTTAGACTGAAACCAGCTGCAGAAGGTAGAGATTGACTGAATTCATTAAAGGCTTCATCTTCGATCGTATTCAATCCACTAGCCGGGGCACGAGAGCGAGATCGGCTTGCACCACGCCAATCCATCGCACTGACTGAGCGAGATCTTGAACGACTTTTGCTTTTGGCTCTCCATTCCATCAACGCATCCTCGTCCGGATTGGTACCTGTTCCTGTGCCGTTGCTGTCCGGAGTGCGAGAGCTTCGTCCTCTTCTTCCACGTTCTTCATCTTCTTGTGCAACTTCGGCAAATCGTGTTTTACCCTTACCGATCGTAGGAACAAATGAAACGTTTGCGCTTTCTGGAGTTTTGCCGGATATAGTTGATAGCCCTTGAAGATGACCTTTTAATGCTCCTCGGCTGATGTCTACATTGTTCTGGCCTTGTTTAGCATCTTCAGATGAACCACTTGCACGTCGAGATGCGATTTGCGAGACGGCAGTATTAGGTGACGTTGGTAAGCTTAATCCGAGACTATCATCTGTAAAGCTACTCGTACGACCTCTTTCAGAACTTGGGGTTTGCAAATCAGTTGCTCCATTAGCTTCAGCGGCTGCTTCAAGTCTTTCTTGTTCTTTCTTCTTTCGTAACGTCATTGCCATCATTCGCCAAGTCAAATTCTCCATCCTAGCTCCGTTTGCTAATGATGCCTTTTGTTTTGCATACATCTTCCAAACTTGCGTTGCTAACGGATCTTTCTTTGCCATCTCATCCGGGTCGCCATTTCCCAATTCATCAGCATCTAAAGCATCTAAGTCAGCTGATCCACTTCGAGCACGATTGGCAGGAATCGCTTGTGGTTCTGTAGCGGTTGAAGGATTGTTAGCGTTCATCATCGTATTTGCCCCGACTGAATTTTCTCTGCTGGGATCTCCATTCGCTCTTACTTTCTTGGCATTCGATGCATTTGAACTTGTGCTAATACTCTTGGCCGCCGGAGAAGAGTGAGAGACTGCAGGGTACATTTGACCAAAGTCAAACGAAGACATTGATGAACTTGGTTGAATAGCATGAGCCGGCAAATTGTTGTACATCTGATTATTGTACGTATGATTTTGTGACGGTGCAGATCCCAACAAATTTCCATTATTATCGTATTGGGGCATGAATCCATTGCCTAATGGTGCACCGCCACTCATCCCTGCAATTCCGTTTGACATCATCGAAGAAGGGCCAACGTCTTGAACATGGTTCTGCAATGGTCCTGGAGAATGCGCTCTAGAACCAGTAGCACTTGTTGCTCCAGACAGAGGGCCACCTTCACTTTGCTGACGAGAGTGAGGGTGACTCAAAAATCCATGTCCATTGCTCAGAGAAGTACCAACAGGCTGAGCTGCACTAGGATGACCCATACCATACATGCTTGACAAACTGTTGGAAGATGGCGGGAACATATTCGTAGGCGAAGAGCTCATCGATTGAATTGGCTGCTGCTGACTGTGTTGTTGACGGGCAAGATTTTGTTGTAATGCTTGGGATAAAAGAGACATACCTTGTTGTTGAGCCGATAAAGCAGCTGCTGCATTGCCAGGATGCATGCCTGCAGGTAACCCATTGGACGGATTTTGATTCCAACCTGATGCCATGCTGTTGTTATTCATCTGTCCAGGTGGTGCCATAGAATAAGGACTATGCAAAGGATGATGAAGATTGCCGTCTGAAGAAGGCATCATTACAGGCCTTTGATTGGTATGATCTTGTTGTGGAAACATCTCGAGCGATCGATCAGATTTGTGGTGTTGTTGATGAAGTTGACGTTGATGAGCTAAAAAGGCAGATAAAAAAGCAAAATCGTTTGGAATATACGGAGTTGATCTTGGGGAAGTATATACACGATCATCCAAAGAAGAATTGTTAAAATGAGCACTTTCTTCCTTTTGACCTCCGCCAGCGTCTACAGTGAATGGCCCTTTAGTTGATCCAGTGGTGGAAGCTCTTGATCTGACGTGAGAAGGGAGCGGAATATGTACAGGGGAAGGGTATGGATGTTGATTGGTGTCCAGCAAATCCTCCTGTTGCATATGATTGAATTGTTGTAGATCACACGATATTCTCGTACAGTCAAACGATTAAACTTTCAGGCACTGATAAGAGATTTGCGCTTGAGATGATTGATCTGAGATCGTTAAATCGTGATGGTGATGTTGAGGAGAATGAAGCGAATGATATGATTTGGTTTTGTTTGTGTGATGTATATGTTTGTTTGCACGTTATCCAACCAAGAAAAGCTTGAAAGCATGCGTTTGATCACCCAAAGTTATCGTGATAAAAAAGTACGAGATGTAATATTCTGTCAGAATTGAAACAGAACAGTTGGAAGAGTGAAAAAGTGCCTTTAGAATAATAGCTTTAAAACACAAAGCAGGAAAACTTTTAGAGGGAATTGTGAATGCTAAGGTTTAGGCAATAGACCAGTGACGTCAAGCAAGGAACTGGCTTTAAGTGTGTGTGTGGATGGATGAATAGATTAAATTTTATATTAGTACACGATAGTCCACGGGCATAAAATAAATTCAGATGTGCATTTCAAAGGCATTTTACCACTCTTTCTTACGCCTTGACCGTTCCACCGCCGCCGTGTTTAACTTATCCGAAGTGGATTTTTTTCTCGCGGTGTTTGGGCGGTGAGCCGGTTTATTTTTTACTCAGTCATTCAGGAAAGGCCCAAGGGGAAATTGTTGCGTGAAGAAAAATAAAAAAGCCTCAAGAAAAAGACACACATGAGATCACTCACACCCAATCAAACCGAAATTCCGTTTAATCTATATAAAATAATTCATTCCGTGCGTGAACGAACGTATGAACGACCCTTCAAAATACACGGCCCACGCCGTGCTGCATGCATTAATTGTGAGAACCGGCTCCATTAATCTACCTTTAGCTGGGCTGAATTTTTGTGACGTATGAGTTGTTCTTATGGGAAAGATCGCCGGCAATCGACAGACAACAGAACGGAGAATTCCGTCATTTACCTGTGTAAACGATTAGATCTGCTTGCTCTACTCCTTGAGAGGTTCATTCTACTTATGTAAGAGTAAACGGCCTTTGCTCTCTCTCTCCCTCCCTTACTGATTTCATTCATTCCACCGATCCTAGCCGAAATTTGGAAAATAGCTCATGCTGTTCCCAGTCGAGTGCCCACGCGCGCCTAGCTGTGCCTGTGTTGCTTCTGCTGTGTGCCCATGCCGGCCATCGGTGCGGCCAAGCAGCGGTCCGGCTAATTGTTCTTCATCTTTATTGATAAGATTATGTACACTATACTGTGTTTTCTTTCCGAGAAAGCGCTTCTTATTAATACACAAGGTTTATTCTATTGAAGAAGTACACTGTAACATCAAAGCATTACCTCACCCAATCACACTGCACACAACAAAAAGCTCTATGTACAAAAACTATTTTTATTTCTCTTCCATTTTTATCAAAAAGGTACACAATCATATAACAAATGGTAAGGTTTTATATAGAGAAGATTTCAAATCAATAAGAAACGGGACAGAAGGTAAAAAAGGTCACAATCATTCATCCATCTAGAGGAATTTCTTGATTGCAGTCTTGATCTCTTCACTTCCCAATCCTTGGTATGGGATTTGTTCCCACAAACCACCGGATCCTTCTCTGTTGACACCGTAGTGAGCGTATTTGGGTGTCAAACCACGTTGCAAGAGCCATGATCCGAATTTGGATCCCAAACCGGTGTTAACACCCAAAGATTCAACAACAATAACGAATGGCAAAGATCCGTATTGTTTGATTGCATCTTCATCGACAATGTTGAGTGTGCTCTTGTTGATCAAGGCGATATCGTGACCTTCCTTGCGCAATTCATCAACGGCGCTGACGGCACGGTATGTCAAATCACCAAAGGTAACGACAGCTCCCTTTGTACCCTTACGGATGAATTCATCCTTTTCGGGAACGAACTTGTAATCAGATCCGTAGAAGCGTTCGTCAGAGTTTTCCTTGGTGATCCATGGGACCTTGGCACGGGTGGAGAAGATGAAACGAAGACCTTCATCCCAGATTGTCTTTTCAACACATGCTGTCATTTGTTGAGGATCAGCTGGGAAGTACAATCTGGTGGTGTGACCGTCTGGCAAACCGTTATCGGCGAACAAGTTGTTCAAACCGAAATGGCAAGTGTTGTCTGCCATTTCATCAACACCAGAGTGGGAAAAGTGGCATAAAACGTTGGAGAAGTTCAAACGTGCCATTGTGATTTCAGAGATAACCATTTCCAAGAAAGCAGAGAATGTGCTGAAAACACCAGTGCGGTAAACACCTTTTGGCAAGAAGGAACCGAAACCGGCAGCAGCGCTGAAGTTTCCGCGCTCGCAAATACCAGAAGAGACGAAAATGTCAGGGTGCTTCTTCTTGATTGCTGCCAAACCGGTAGAACCAGCCAAGTCAGAATCGATAACCAAGATCTTTTCAGCTTTCTCTTGTGCGCTCAATTTGTCCAAAACGCCATTGACAGCTTCACCGAATGTGCTACGGTTAGCTCCCTTGTCGCTACTTGATCCAATGAATTTGAGTGGGCTTGCATCAGGTTTGATGTTCTTCAAGATGCTGACAGCATCGTTGTATCCCTTCTCTTCGAGGTATGCGTAAGCCTTCTCGAGAGGGATAACATCGTGTCCGTGTGTTGTACCTTCGAGACCCTTGATTCCAGGGCACATCTTACGTTTTGTGATCAAAGCAGCAGGTCCCTTGGCGTTCAAGGTCTTCATCATTGCTGGGAACAAGGAGTCCAAATCTTCACCTTCAGCGTGGAAGATTTGCAATCCGTGACCTTCCAAAGTCTTGGCGACGGAGAATCCCTTGAAGTATTCGGAAGGATGTCCGGCAATGGTGACATCGTTATCATCAATGAACAATTTGATGTTCAAATCTTGAGCGACGGCCAAACGAGCTGCTTCGGCATCGTCACCTTCTTGTTGAGAACCATCTGAACCGAGCAAGATTGTGATTTTGTCTCTGTTTGCGAATGCAACACCGTTTGCCATTGGCCACATGTGACCCAAACGACCTGAACTGAATTCAACACCGGGTGTGAATTTCAATTCAGGGTGACCTGGCAAACCTGGAGGGCCACCTTCGTGATGAGCACGACGGTAGTTGAGCAAATCTGTTGCTTTTAGATGTCCGTCCAAAGCGGCACGCAAGTAAACGAGAGCGGATCTGTGACCTGCTTCATCGAACAAGGTGGGAACGATTTTGCTTGGTCCTTCGGTTTCGAATAAAGACAACAAGATTGCAGCTTCTGGGACGACATCGTATGGACCACCAGTGTGGCCAGAGACACCACGAGCAGCACCGCTGGCAGTGAAGAAGACGATTGAATCGCGCATCAAGTTGATGTTGTATTGCAATTGCTTCTTTTGTTCAGCTGTGAGGCTGGTAGAAGACAACTTCAAACCTGGAACAGGCTTGTACGTGTCAAGTGGAATACCACCGAAAGCTTTTTGATCGAAATCACGTAGAGAAGGCATTATGAATATGGTATAAGAGGAATTTGTCTTAGATGTATGAATGGATGATGCTCAACAAAGGAAAGTATGAGCGTCTATCTAATGACAAGGATAGGATGGTGGTGGTAGAAAATAGAAAGAGAGAAAGGTTAGAATGAAAGTTTGAAAAGCTGCAGAGGGACGACAATACTCACTTTCTTCTTTGAGCAGAATGAACTTCAAACAAGATGACAGCAGAAGAGGAAGGGAGAATGGGTAGAGTGTTGCGAACCCTGATATCTCATCGATCATCCTTCTTACAAAAGATATCAATGCGCAAGACGGATGAGATGCCTAAACCAAAGTAAGAACTTCTCATCAAATTCATTCGCGGCCAACAGAGGCGCAGTGCGGCGAATTCTACCAAACAAGTACCGTGCGCGAAAAGACAAAATAAAAACGTGCAGTCTGCGCCCATCGGCGGGATGTTAGAGTGGAGAATTTGAAAGATATACTGCCCTACTGCCCAAGCACAATTCATTGGGGCAACCAACTCACAAAAGCTTCGTCAAGCTGTAATTGTCGAATGGGCCCTGTATGAAAATCGGAATGTAGGACCGGTGTGCACTAATGAGCGCGCAGGGTGACGTAGCACGCTGTAAGCACATTCAAAAGGTTGTACTCTTACGCTGCACAAAAGACATAAGTCCATTTCATTTCGCTTAATATCCTCGATCGGTGATCTTGACCATAGTTTTACGTTGATCAAATAGCAGCAAAGAATCATAAACTCTATCCAAATCAGCCTCAACTTTACTCTTTTGGCTTGGCAATTCTTCAGCACTGCAGGAACATTATTGGAAACCCTTAGGGAAAGAATTGATAAAGATGTATGCACAGATTGAAGCCTGTTCTAGAAGAAGTTTACGATTCTACAATCGTCAATTTCATCGAAAGATATCAAGCAGCACGTGCATGACTATATTACATAAGCATTACACCACCTAAAGCCTGAATGCTTTAGAGAATTATGATAACCAGCCTCCTTCCGAGGAAACGTCTCTTACCAGGATGGAATGTTACATCAGCCACGCAGTTTAAGATCATTCGACTTAAAAGTGTTCTCAAAGTACATCCTTATCTGTTAATTTGGCTTCTTGTTTACAAGTAACATTTTTACCTTTTGATATAGACAGAATAAAATATCAGACTTCGTTTTCGGGGATCTTGTGTAATTTTTCACTGTAATTGTTCATGATACTATCTCCAATTGTTCTCTGAGGCAACTTTTGCTTTATCTTGTTTATCTTTAGTGATCTTTTTCATCTGTATATCTATATATCGTAACCACTTCTTTTCAGCCTTTTATAACTTTGCAGAAAGACTGTATAGTGTGATATTATCTATAGATATATATACGCTCTAGATAAAGACTAGGATATCTGATAAAAGAGGAACTTGATTAGAGGCATAGCGAACCTTTATTAAGAAATGATATACATTTAAATGCTATAGCTTTAATCTTTCCTGTGTATGACGGAGAAAAGAGTGATATACATATGTAGGTGCTATCTACTTAAGCTTTTAGATAAAGTGATCCTAGGTCTATCTTTACAGGCTATATTTGACGTTTATGATGTAATGATCTTCTTCTTTTGTCATTTTTCCGAAAAGTCTAGACTATTATGCGTTTATTTATTTTTAGCTGCATCGGCCAGAAGTTTGAAAAAAGGGTAGCGTATGTATGCGATCTAAACCGGAAAAAAGAAGCTTTCTGTTGATCATCCTGATTAAATGATTAGCGGAATGTTTGCATGACTTTCAAGAATCCATCTGGAAATATATTAAAAAACCCAGAGTTTCACCTTTTTTTTCGTTTTCGGTGCCGAAAATAGAAGTTTGAACTCAGCTAAAACCATTAAATTGTTTTTGTACATGTGGGTGGGAATTTGATTTCTTTCTTGGCAATGAATGGGGAAGGTAAAAACTTGCAGGGGCGCATAAACACGCATGGTTTTACGCGTAGCCATAGAAATGTTCTCCATTTCTACCCTTCGGTTCCGAAAGGAGGAGTACAGGCGTGTACAGCAAAAAAGAATGTCTTTCGCTCTTGAACTGTGGCTTGAGCAAGATTGCGCATCCCACATTTAACCGACTCTGAATTCGAATTCCACAAATACCCACATATTTCCGTTTTTATCTTGGATGAATGGCATTACACTACCCTTTACAAACCCTATTCAAGTGTTCACACGCCCAAAGCGCAAATCAATCTTTACGCTAAAAGAAAAAGACGGGAAATAGTTTACACATGTTTGTCAATCTAAACAAGCTTTAATCTGTTTAGCCTTAAAATCGTTCAAGCTATTCTTAGATTCAGGGTAAAAAGAGAAGGAGACCCGAATAAGCCAACTCGTACGTGAACAACGGGCCGTGTGCGTTGTTACACTGGAGTAATGTTGTAATCTGTGTGATGTGTGTGTATTGGAAATTGGAGGTAAAGGGAAAACCCTTTTGCGCGCGATGAATACAAACACTCACAAATCAAGCCACAAAAGAGTTCATACATAATTATCGGATGCGAATGAAGAAAGCTTCTCAGCAGCAGCAGCAGCATGAAAAGAAGTGCATCAGATAATGCTGAACAGCCAATCATGTCCGGGCTGAAATACCGGAAATACGTCGCGTAAAGTTTACAGATCAATTGATACGTCATTGCCCCGTTTTATGTTAATGTATCTTCCCTCGTTGCTCTCTGTTCATGCAATCGGAAATTGAAAACCGAGCAATCCATGGCTCGCCTAAAGAGCAGCTGGATGTGTTGTTTACCTTGTTCGGATATTGAGCAAGTCACTTGCATGCGCACGCATATCAAAAACGGAACCGCCTTTAGGTCTATTCATGGCGGGGTTTTAATTGAACATCGTATGTTACTTTGAGTTTAGGCACTTGATCACACACTTTATACTTGCATGAAGCCCTGAATCTTATTTCCTCTTTTTATTTTTCAAAAATCAATTTGACGCGGCCGGGCTACATGTTGTGTGTGCGTGTGTGTGTTTAATGCAGATTTTAATTAACTTTCCTGCTGCACGCATAGAATGGTGTAAGCCCTATGCAGATTACGTACCTTGGACCATGATTGCTGAAGTTGCCCTTATTGTCTTTCTTGCATGTACATGAGAATATCGGGGCAAAGAAGAGGTTATGTTCTTCTCTAAACAGGTGAAGTGTTTATTCTTCCAACCTTGCCTTCCAACAATGACATTCGAGACTGTACTTTAACCCTATCTCTTTCCTCTCTCTCTCTAAGAAGACCAAAGAAGGGAAAGGTGACAATTCTTCGCTCCCGAAGAAAAGTGTCATGAATTAAGTACATACATATATCCGGCTTGGTTCTTTCATTTGTACTTTATTCCTTCCTTCTTCTTCCTTTTTTTATTCTTTTCATCTGACAACTTGTGAGGTGAATAGTCAAAGGAGAAGAGTCGCTTATCTCGCCATTCATCCTATCATACCCTTTTTAACGCCTTTTTCGCTACGCCTGATTCGCCATCAATTTCGCCTTTTTGCCGTAATAATTCGGACAACGAATTCTTTTCTGGAAATAATCAGTAAAGAGGACGTGCATTCCTTGCGGCATAACTTCATCTACGCAGGCACATATAAGAGGCATTGATCACTATATCAATACAGGAAGTTAAGGAACCGAGAAGCATATTCAAGAACAAATTGATTGGATTCTCGCTTTCAAGGTTTATTACTGCGAATTGAAAAGCCGCCGTTTCAAACCTTACGTCTTTTCTCATCCCCTCCCTATTACATGAATCCATTCTATGTACTTCCGTTGGAATTCGCTTTCGTTAGCTCGGATTGATCATTCTTGACGTATTCAATCAAAATTCAACGATTGGGATCGGAGATTATTCCTTTGTACTTTATAAAAATTGTTGTAGCCAATTTTGACCTGCGAAAAACTTTGGTCATCCTTCGAGCGGTCTTCGTTGGGACAAGAAAGGGGAGAAGATTGTCAAAGTGATCAACGATTTCCGTCGTCAATGTCACGTATACCTGCTTTACGCGAAGCGACAGATTCAAGCGATCAACAATCGTCATCGTCTCAAAAGCATTCCACTGAACAGTCAACAACTGAACAATTTCCCTCTGAAGTGGATAACCTCAACTCACAATCAAATTCAACCAGACCATCAACTGGCAATACCGGCATCACTACTGGTGTCGAAGGTATCAATTCTTCATCAAATCGCAGCTCAACGACTGCCAATCAAGAAGTAGCTCGCCCGGATGAACGTGAAGACCGAGATATAGCATCACAATCGGCCACTTCATCTTCAGAAAGGAATAATATACCCTCGACTGAACCATCTCAGTCTTTCTATCCTTCTGCCGATCATCTCTCTCGTGGTGCATATTCTGGCTCGCAATACGGAGGTGGATCTTTACCAAATGAAACACAGCAAGCATCTACCGGTCAACAAATTACCTCTGAAGGCTACATACCGCAAGCAGCATATCAACGAAGATTGAATCAACAAAAGTCTACCAGTCGACCGACGACGAGTAGAAGACATTCTTTGAGCGGGATGTCGCGGGTTCGCAATGGCAGAAAGTATAGACTGGTAGTCGTGCAACATCCAGAGAGGGCACGTATGTGCGGATTTGGTGATAAGGTAAGCAAAACTTCATCTCTATTGGATAACAGCCGCTGACTTTGATTCATTCTTCCTACTTTCACAGGATCGAAGACCGCTAAGTCCATCATTGATTGTGAAATTGATTGTCACCGATGCGGAGACCGGCAAAGAAGTTTCTCCTTGGGAATTGAACTCATCATTATTCTTTCTGGCAGCCGACCTTTGTCATCCTGACGACCTAATGTTGGCACCACGAAATCTCTTGGTTCATCAACATGCAACCTCTGTGCCAACGTCCAGCGTAGCTTCGTCTGCTTATGGCGCAGGTGATCAAAGAAGGCTATCCAACCCCGGCACGATCCCGATGACTTCAATTAGAGCACCAGGATCTAGCTACGATGGTCAGCAATCTTTTGCCAGTCAGGAAGCTCAACCTACTTCAGCCACAACATCTCCCTCTTTGCCTGCGACGACTAGAAATCCGCCTCCGCCACCTTCGAAAACTGCTGCTCATTCTAGCGGAATGGATCCTGCGATACAATATCCGTTTCATGCAGCAGCGGCAGCGGCAGCAGCCCAGCGATCAAATTTAAACTCGGGAGAAGGTAGCTCGACGGGAGGAGCAAATCAGCTATCAGGTCAACAGGGTTTAACGACGGTAACGATGGAACATTATACACGAAATTTAGTCGGAGCAGCAGTTACCAGTGCAAACGTTTTACGAGATGAAGAAGATCAATTTTGCATATTTTTTGTTTTACAAGATTTAAGTGTTAGAACGGAAGGCGTTTATCGAATCAGGCTCATCTTTACCGATTTGGCTCAACAAGATGGCGATACGGCAGAAGGAGTTTCGGATGCTTTGGCAGAGGCATATACGGACACGTTTACAGTTTATTCGCCAAGACGGTTTCCTGGAATGCTTGAACCTACCGAATTATCGAAAAAATTGGCCTCTCAAGGTGTAAAGATTGCCGTTCGAAGTGATAAAAAGAAACGTCAAAGAGGGGCTGAACAAGCTGGATTATCTTGGCCTTCGGATATTCGTGGTGTAGCTGGACCTGGTACGTCAGGCAGCGGAGGTGGCGGAAGCAATGAAGGAGGTGATGGAGAAGGAGATGAAGGTGACGATGAAGATGATTGAGCAAATTGGTTGTTGTGCCCGAAAGCAAAATGACTTAAAGTTATTAGCAAAGGAAGTGTAATAAGCAAAAAGAAAGTATCAAAAAGGGTTTTTTAAGCGCATGTCTAATAATGTCCAATTTAATCAAATGTTATTTTTATATAGTACATCATTATTTATGCTTCTTGCATGAGTGCTTCTGCCCTGGTTTTCAAATCTTCATGACATGTGTTTTGAAGGATGCTCAATGGCCACAATATACATCCAGCTTGTAAAGGTCTGAGACCATCCAAATGATTACTGGATGGATCAAAGTGACCGTTCTTTGCACGATCTTCTCCATTATCCAATAAAGTTTGCAAAGAAGGATGTCTTCGCACGATCGAATGTGCAGTTTGAATCAATGCTAAGCTGGTTTGAGGTGGAGTATGCAAAGCACAAATACACATTCTCGAAATGAAAGATGCTAATCGTTCGTTAGGGATAACATGCACCGAAGGAGCGATTAGTGAAAGCTGCAAAGCACGCATCAATAATTGTGATGGACTTGCATCTCCTTGTGCTTTGGTGGCTAGATTTTGCTGTTCTTGTTGTTCGAGATGTGTGTTGAGGCAGAGTGGGATCATGATCGTATAAAGTTGAGAGACGATATCACTCAAATCAACATTGAGTGCCTCTCCTTGCCCATTGAGCAATTCTAGTACAGCGACGATGCAATGCAATGCCAAAATCTCATTTGCACGACGTCCGTCATCCTGATTCTCTTCGTCAGATTCATTTGCGTTGGACGTGCCTTCATCGTCCTGCATGCTGCGTTGAATGTGACCACGCAAAACGTTTAATAGATCGCGGAAGAAGTCTATGTTGATGCGATGAGCAAAGAGTGAAAGACCTTTCATAGTGGCAATAAGGAGAGCATCTGTACTCTTTGGAGCTTTGATAACAGAGAAATAGAGAACAAAGAGCAGCTTCAGAGTTTCCGTCTGGTGTCTCTCTCTTTCTTCCAGATCAACTTCAGCTTCGGCTTCTTTCATTTCTTCTTCGATCTCTTTCATCTCTTTTCGTCTTTTGGCTTCTTTCTTGCTCAAATGCTCTCCTTTTCCTTTACGGATGTCTTTTGACTTGAGCTTTTTATTGTACACATCGTTCATTTTATCCTTCTCTGTACCATTCGTTGCAGTCGTCATTGTGGCTCGTTTGCCCTGAGGTAATTCATCTCTCAGACGAAGATGTCGTAAGATGTCCAAAGCCGTAGCATTGACGTTGAAATGCCTCTCTTTGATCATTCGATTGAGAAGTCGAACAATCTCTAGACTTACATCACCTTGATGATCTTCTTTCAAGACGGTAACCAGTGCCTCATTCGCATCTTGTGAGGCGGTATCCCACCTCTTGCGTGATAAACAGGAGACCAAAGAGCGTAACAAATTCGTTCGATAGTTGAAATGAGTCACTTTAGTTGCTAAAGTGCAAATCGCTTTTATCGTGACGCTGAACAATCTATCCTCCTTGCGAGAGATACGTTCACACATTTCCAAATAGTCGCGATAAATGTTGACGATGCCCTGTTCCCATTCACGACGTCTAGCCAATTCTTGATTGACTCGTTCAGATTGTTCAGCAGCTGTAAGAGCACGAATACGATATCCAGGCAAGATGTCAATAAACACAGCACAAAGCGACAAAATTGCAGAAGCTCGAACGCTTTCATCCACATTTGCTCGTAAATGACGATCTTCTGGTGATGTAACTGTTGCTTGTGTAAAGACTGCCAACCTTTTCACCAAACCCAATGAAACTTCTGGATCGTTGAGAATTTCTGTTGCCAGTCTTGCGATTTGTTCGCGTGCCAATAAGGTTCTTGTTGATCTTTTCTTTTGTGTGAAAATTTCATAAGGCGATCGCATTCCGAATCTAGCTCCTGTTGTGATGGTCGATCTTGATGCAGAAGCAGCAGCGGCGGCTCTCTTTCGCTTTTCAGTCTTCTCTTGATCTTCTTCTTCATCTGAAGATTCCATTGCTTTGTGAACAACTCGACTTTTGGGCTCATTTATGGATGAAGCCGGAATATCTCCGCCTTCAGAGCCAAGATCTTCGTCATCATTTTCATCCTGCTCTAGTTCTTCTCCTGAACTCCATCCTTCTTCCCCTCTTCTTGGTAAGCGCTTCCTCCTTCTTTTCAGCATTTCTTCCTCTTCTTCTTGCTTGTTTCTTTTTTCAACACGTCTGATTTTGTCTAGATGGCTTGCCTCGTCCTCAGAATCAATCTCTCCAAATTCACCATCATCATCATCCAACATACTATCATCCTCATCTTCACTTCCAATGCTGGCGCCTTCCATATCGGTGCTTTCTGCATCTGACTCCTCCTCTCTCTCTTCATGTCTCCTCTTCCCTTTCTTTCGAGCTTCTTGACGTTGCTCGGCAATCTCTTTGCGATGTAGTCTTTCTGTCTCTGCCCTGCTTCTACTGATCTGCTTCTCATCCAAATTTAGCAAAAATGAAGCGGCTTTCGAAGAGGAGGGTACAGACTTTCCATTCTGTACTTCTTGATCATCTTCACTATCCTGACCATCATCTATCATATCAGCAGCATCTTGAACCATACCTTTGTCTGGCTGACCGGTTTTAATGGCCTCGATATGCTTTGAAGGAAAGCGTTTGCTCTTCTTCCTCTCTGGTGAACCTTGTCGTTCTTTGGATGTCCCATTAGGCCGCTTTCCACGAACTTTACCCTTCCCTGACGATTTACCATTACTCTTTCCCTTTCGCATTTTGTTAGCAACCGCCATGGTGATGTGATGTCTTTCTAACAAACAACGCTTTTGAAATATTTCCTTTTCTTCGCAACTTTTACCAAAAATATTCTGGCGCCAGGCCAGTCAATATTTTTTCTCTTAAGACCAAATTATTTTGATCAAAATTTTTGAACGCTAGGCAGAGGAACATTTACCCGCCCTAAGGAACAACTTAAGATTAGGTGGAGATCCAAGCAGGCGAAATTCTTATGACTAAAGAGAGTGATCCGCGGACATCTTAACCCAGTCATCCATCAACAAGAACATGTTAACGATATAAAAGAGGGAATAGATCTAGGGCAAATAGGAGGTAGGATCATCGATGAGAAACAACACCTACCAAACATGAGTGAAGGAACGGCAGCAGAAGATAAAGATCTGGTACAAAGCCATGTACAATTGATGCTAGCTGAATTGCCGGCAAATATTGTATCAACTTTGAAAGCTGTTAAATCATATACCAAATTACAAAAAGCTTTACTGGCATTCTTCCAGTCAGAAAGAAGTACAAATGATCAACAGACATTTGAAAAGAAAGTAAGGACAATTTTGCTGGACGGTGGAATGGCAAAAACTGCTGCAATCGAATTAATCGCCAGATGGAAGAATCGGAAGATTGTACCGATCAAAGAAGCGGAACCGAAAAAGTCAAAGAAGAAGGTTGAAATTATCAAAAAGGAAGAAAGTGCACCCTCTACCAATCAAGAAAATGGAGGGGATAGCAAAGATGGAAGCGTCGATGCCAAAGAAGGCAAACAAAAGATTAAGCTCAAAGAACGCAAACATCTTGCAACCCAAGCAGCAGCAAACGCAAAGATTTCAGGTTGGGCAGAAGACGTTCACGCAAGTCATCTAGAGGCAGAAGTGGCAGCTTTGGCAATCAGGGCAACCAGTCAAGAATCAAGATTTTATACAGAATATACCACAACTGCAACAAAAGAGATCGACTTGAAAGATGTGAATTTATTTGTCGGAGAAAAACAATTACTCAATGATGCTCACCTTCGTATCAAGGAAGGTGTTAAGTATGGTCTCGTAGGAAAGAATGGGGCTGGTAAATCAACACTTCTTCGTGCTTTAGGTGATGGTCTGATTCCCGGATTGCCGTCCAATGTCAAAGTTCTACTCGTGTCGCAATTGGGCATAGAAGAGTCACTGCGAATTTTGGCAAGATCGGAATCAAGAGCCTTGACTGTACTGGATGCAGCTTTACAGGGAGACAAACAACGTGTACAAGCTGAAAGGGAAGTCGACATCCTCTCCAAAGCGATTGACGCTCAAGACTCTAAAGGCTTACAAGAAGTTGTTAAAGAACTTTGGCGGGATAGATCATTTGCAGAACTGGAAGAAGCTCGAAGGATATCCTTACGCAGAAGTGGAGCGATTGGCAAACAAGCAAGAACAGCATTGATCGAAGCAGAGAAACGATACGAAGACGCAAAAGCTGACTTTCCACAACATGGAGATGAAGATGATTGGGAGCAACATGCCTCAAAGCTGCATACCGAAGCAATGACTGTTTTGGAAGAAACTGATGCAGCAACGGTGGTTCCACGTGCACATGCAATCTTGCGTGGTCTAGGATTCAGTGATGAGATGATCCAGAAGCCTTACTCAAATCTTTCTGGAGGTTGGAGATCTCGTTGCTCGTTGGCATCAGCTTTGTTATTGTCCAATCATGTCTTGCTGCTTGATGAACCGATCAATTTCCTCGATTTGCCAAGTATTTTGTGGCTCGAACAATTTGTTCGAAATAGCGAAGAAACGGTCATCACAGTTGCACACGATGTTGAATTCTTGAATACGGTCAGTGATGAACTTATTGTTGTAAGGAACAACAAGTTGGAATACTTTGATGGTAACTTGGCGGAATATATGCGCACCAAAAGAAGACAACACAAACATGCCGTTAGACAACAAGATGCGATGGACAAAAAGAAAGATTTGATTGAGAAATCTATTCAAGAAGGAAGAAAGCAAGCTAAGAAGAGCGGTGATGAAAATCGAATGAGGATGGTGAAAAGTAGACAAAAGAAGTTGGAAGATCGATGGGGATTGGAGAGAAATGCGGCCGGACATCGATTCAAGCTGAATAGGGATTTAGGTGGTTACTATCTAACGTCTCGTGCTGGAATTGAAATTGAAGAGCAAGGTCCGCCTGTGCACTACGAATTTATCGATCCAGATCCGTTGCCATTTGCTGCTTCTTTGTTGCATTTGGAAAATCTAACGTTCCAACATCAAACAGCCAAACAACCTTTACTCAAAGATGTCAATATCACAATTGATATAGGAGATCGGATTGGATTGGTAGGACCGAATGGACACGGAAAGACGACATTGCTGCAATTGATCATGAGTGAAAGACAGCCAACTTCAGGCAACATTCAAAAGCATAGCCGAATGCGAATTGCCTATTATGCACAACAAGCAATGGCAGATGTTGATTTTCAGACATCCAAACAAACGGCATTAGAACACTTTTTAGAACATTGTTCTGCGCAAGAATTGCTGAATGAAAATCGAGCTAGAGGTTTCTTGGCTCAATTTGATCTTAAAGGTAGAACGGTGGATGCACTTCCGATTGGAAAGCTAAGTGGTGGTCAAAGAGTCAAGCTTTTATTGGCAGAAGTTGTTTGTGGTGGACCTCATATTTTGATTTTGGACGAAGTGACTACGCATATGGATAGTGATTCGATTCGAGCATTGATTGGGGCTCTTAAGCGATTCAAAGGAGCAGTAATTTTAATTTCACACGATCGACATGCGATCAAAGAAGTGGTAGAGGGCAAACCAACAGAAGAGATGGAAGGATCAGGATCAGAAGAAGAATCGAGCGAAGAGGAAGAAGATGAAGATCAAATTGGATCTTTGAATCCTTCAGGCACGGCCGCTCAACGAAAGACGTTTTTGGTACGAAATGGAAGTGTGAAAGTGCTTGAAAAAGGAGTAGAAGAATATGTTAATACAGTCGAACAATCCATGCAAGCCAGCTTTTCCTCTCATCCCGATCAAGGTGTGTAATTCGATACCATTGTACAATAATGCTCCGATGTCAATACTGGGGTGTATTGTAGATCCACACCTTATTTGACAGGTTGCAATTGATTAATTAATTGATTTTAATCCCACATTTGCATTGAAAAAAGCAGTGCATCTTTCGGAATAAATAAGCACAGCAATATTTAAAGTCCGAAAATAGTTCTGGCCCATGCTGTGTGACGTGGGAAGTGTGATTTTAGCGTACAGTGTGAGTTCTTAACAGACCGGCGGTACACTATAATTTTATAAACAGCGGAACTCCTTTTACTCTGAGTGTAGGAAGAAAAGTGTTGATTGTGTTGCTTCATTTGCCGTGTTTGTTACTAATAGGCACATGAACAGTGTTTGGATGTAAATGAATCTCAAATTAGACTCATCCCCGCCGGCACTGCACTTTTTCTCTGGCTCTTTGTTGCACTTCCACATGGAAATCCCTTCTGCACGTTTCATTCGTAATCCTTCTTACTGCCCCCCCTTTTTGTGTCGCTTTGAAAGAGTTGAATTACGCCAATGTCAGTGCTAAATGCTACACTATACTATATCGTGCGCATGCTGAGGCTGTGCGATTGCGAAAGGTTGTGCACGGATCAAAAGGAAAGAGAATGATGATATTGCCAGCATGTTGTCTGTCTCTTGTACTTCCTTTGTGTTACTTAGAGTATGTCTATTTAAAGCACCATTCTCCCTTTCCCTTCTTCTTCCTTTCTCTCCACAACCACACATTACAATTTAAGCAAAAATGGGTTTCTTTGACAGCGATAGCCACCAAGAAGTTTACAACGGTCAACCTCATGAGTGAGTATACAATTGAATTACCCTTGTCATCATCACTGCTAACCTCATCATCATCATCTTCCTCAGAGGTAAATGGAGCCACGAATTAGTCGGTGGTGCAGCCGGTTTCGCAGCAATGCGTGAATACGAAAAGTATGAAGAAAGAAACGGCAAGCCTGAAAACCATCAAATGGCCAAAGAACTTTTGGCTGGTTTTGCCGGTGCAGAAGTTGACAAACTCTTTGAAACCAAAGGTTTGAACTTCCTTGACCGCGAAAGAGCAAAGCGTCATGCTCAAGAAGAAGCTCAAGCCAACTTCAACTACTAAGATGATCATCATCAACACTCACTTGTAGAGGATCAGTAGATTAGCTTTTCATCTCAATGTGATTATGATATCATAAAATATACAGAGTGAGAATGGTACAATAATGTTTGATCGTTGAAGTCGTCGTACAATAAAACACACATACAGCCAACCCTAATATCATTCGAATCGCATAACAAGATAGCATTGAGTTCCATTAAACAATAAAGACATTCACCTCATTTACCCGTTGCCCAAGAGAACCATCCTTTTGCTTTTTGTGCGATTGCATCTTGATCACTTTTTGCTCTTTCTGCTTTTTTTATCATTTCTTTTCTAACTTCTTCTTCTAGCTGCCTTCTAACATCTGCTTCCAATTCTTTTTGTTCACGACCGTCCAAATATTGCCATGTGAGTTGTAATGAAAAGTATACTGCACTTGCATATGCTAACACACGTATGAACGGTGGCCAGATTTCACGATAGACTAGCTTGTGTTTTGATTTTGGTTTCTCTTGCTGTTGCTGTTGTTGTGATGGCCCAGCGCTAGGAGAAGAGTGTGCAGTCTCTCGTGCAGGTGAGACTGGAGTTGGTGGTGTGGACGGAGTATTTGTACTTTCGAATCGAATACCTTGCATGATGAGCGGCGATGACCTAAGTGATAGTGGCCTTCTGGCCATCAAAACAGCTCTTGATACAGGAAGCATGATTGAGACTTGCTTTTCACCCTGGAGTGAGACTGATTGCTGGAATACGGGTTGTTAATGATGGTCGTGTTGAATGAGATGAAAAAAAGCCACTTCTTCCTTTGGTCTGTGCTTGTTTGGCGGCGGTGCCAGTACAACTTTAATTAAAAGAGGGGCACATGCGTATTTAAGCTGTTGTAGTGTTGATCTTGAGAAAAATAAAAACGCGTCGGATTTAAATACAAACAATAAAATTGTATTATTATTATCCAGGGATTGGGGTCCATGTAGGGTGACCACACGATGTTGATCATAACCATCATCACTTGTATAATAATTCAAACAGCTGTGATGGAAACATGGAATTATAGTGGGAATGGGGCGACCTCTCAAAATGGATTGGATAACCCAGGCGAAAGTAGTCGAAATACATTCACACATCGAACCCAACTGCCAAGTAGAAGAAGGCAATTAGGAGGAATGCCTTTACATCCATCTCGAAGACCGCCACCATCACATATAGGCTCAGGTATTCCTATCAGCAGCAGCTTTATGCCTACTCTCTCTTCTCCTTTACGTATGAGCGAATCAACACCCGAACCTTCTGTATTTCTTACGCCCAATTCGATCTCGCGTAAAAGGTCACATTTTACCGCATCCGCTAATTTGCCTTCGAATGACAACATCTACAATCCCGAACCTTATCAACAATCGCTTGATAGCCATTCAAGGAGATCAGCTCATATACACCATTCGCCAATGGATGCGCCAGATTTAGGTGATAGCTCTGTTTTATCATACGGATCTATTCCGACCGGTTCTCCAACCAACAAATACGGCTCTTGGTCTCGAAAGACAGGCTCATTACAAACAAGTCACTTTTCAGAACCCCAAACAAGTCAACCTCTCAGACCGCCTCAAGGTGAATTCAGTTTCCAAGCACAAGCACCATCCTTCTTTCAGTCAAGTGTCAATCACACAGAAACTTCAACATCACTTACAAACGAACAACAAGGCGAGACCAGTTCTATGGCTTTTGCTCGACTTGCACAAGCACAGAGACAACAGCAGGAGGCCAGAAGGCTAGCAGCATCAGGAGCAAACGATGCCCCTGAAAGTGGCTCGGCTGATGATCATACTGACGGACCCCCTGTAAAGAAGAGAAGGGGTGTTGCAAGTACAATTGTGGATGGTGCTTTGAGCGCGGCTCTGTATACAGGAGCAGCTGCTCTGACAGCATATTCGTTGTGGTCTAGCTGGGGAAGAAAAGAGGAGTCAGGAGAAGAAGCATCAGGTGCACAAGATAACGAAGGTTTGGCTGAAACTCGTGAAAAGCTGCCGCCAGGCGCATTGGAAGAACCGCCTCCGCCGTATACGATAGCAGGCAGCTCAAAAGGGTCTGGTGAATCACCCATGAAGAATGGAAGACCGGTTCATGTCTTCGTCTCGTCAAGAAGGAGAAGACCGGTCTTTGCTACACACCGATCAAGCAAGAACGCATCAAAGAGAAGGTTGAGTGCGTTGAATGATCTCGCACAACAGTCACCATCAGTGATGTCAGACAGCACTTCCCAACAAGAAGATGGGGATGACGACGACGATGATGATGAGATGTTCAGACGCTTCCAGTCAAAGATGTCGAATCTCATCGAAGAGGGAACGCGAGCTCTCAATTCGGAAGCTGACCTGAGCGCGATGGACTTGGAAGATGACGATGATTATAGCTTTCAAAGTGCAAGATTTTCACCGAGTAAGAGTGATTCCCGTCTAGTGTCTGGTCAACCTTTGTCTCCCTCACGACTGCCAAGAAGTCAAACAACTGCATTCACATTTGGCAACGAAGCTTTGAAAAGACCACAGAATACGCCCAACCTTTTCAATTCCCATTCATCAACTTTTGATGTTTCTACATCCACAGCAAATTCTCCCCGATCACCTTTTTTATCACTTGCAAGTCGTGATCCAAACAGTCCTTACGGTCGTATTTCTCGTCCGGGTAGCGTGATTACATCACCCACTTTAACAGCTCGAAAACGTCTACATTGAACGTTCTTTTTACAGATAGGTACACACACAGCTCAAACATGTACAGTATTTCGTTTAATCTTGTCCTTTCTATATTGCTCTTCATGCGCTCTGCCTTTATAATTACACACTTGCTGTACTATCGATGCTTCTTTTGTTCAATCGATCTTTTGATACCCCCTTTACCTATTCCTGATCGGAACGGAGATGATCAATGAATTGTTTTCGAGCTTTATCGGATTGTTCTTGAGCTTGCAGGAGAGCCATCAAAAGATCTTTGCGAACCGTGATCATTTGAACGCCATTTGTTGAAATTTCATCAGAAGGTATATTGAAACTTGAAGTCGAAGCTTCTGAAGCAGTATGATAGCTCGGGTCTTCCATTGTCAAAGATGTATTGGAGGATGAATAACGTTTAGGACGATTTGTGCGATCAGTAATCGTTTCAACGCAGGAACTTTCACGAGTATGTAAGATGATAGGTTTTTTTGGCGTAGATGTTTTCGCTCCGGCTACTTTTTTCGAAGAAACAGGAGAATTGCATGATTCGGCTCCAGGCGGTGACAGAGTCCGCAAGAGGTTTTCGACAACGATAACTGAATCATTTCCGGTACCAGCTTCCTTTTCTTCTTGTGTAGTAGTACCATTACTTTCATGCTTTTCAAAAGCTCCTGCTGAAGGTCTTGGTGAGGATGGGAAAACCATATCACGCCAAGTATCTTTTCCAAATATCTTTGCACATGATTCTTCAATCCTAGCAAGCTTTCTCTTTAGGTCTTCCGTTTCAATCGTTTTACGTTCGTTATCACGTTGCAAACCTTCTAAAATTCTTTCTTGACTTGAAAATTCATGTTCCAATTGACGTGCTGCCATTCGTGTCAATCCATTCCCACCATTTTCAGAAATGTCTCGTAGTAATTTTGACGGATCTGATTTCAAATCATTGATTTCTTCAAATGCAGCCTCAAAGGAAGAAGCGGTATTTTGACTTTCTGTTTCGATTCTCACTTCTGTAGCTACGGATGGTATACTTCCGTTTTCTGATCGGGCAGAAGCAAGTGGACTTGACTTTGCCAGGAACACATTGCTTTCATTGCTCTGGGAAGGAGCAGCTTTGGCCGCAGAAGGTATGATGACACTATGACGACGAGCGTTCGTCGTTCCTGCAGGTCCCTTGCTCATTCTTGGCACGCCTATACTTGAGCTACGCTTTGTGATGCTGTCATCTTGAAGAGGCTTGTTTACTGCAAGTTGAGAAGGTAAGCGATTTTGTTCAATCTTTCCTGCGAACAATTTCCCATTCTGTGATGTGTTTCCCTTGTTGATCAAAGAAAGGCTTTTCCTTTGTCGAGGTAATTTCGATTCGGCCAACGCAACGCCTTTCACCGTTGAAGTAGTCGAGGAGGACTTGCCCGTCGTTCTTACCGGGATAGGCGTACTGGTTGTAGGATTTGGGATTTTACTGATCGTCTTTTTACCGGCACTTGATTGATTAGAAGAAGTAAGTGATTCTGCACTGGTAGAAGATCTTCTTTGAATTCGATGTAAAAGTGATCGTGTGGGCGTTGAAGGTGGCAAAGATGGAATTTGGGAAGATGAGATCGGAGGAAGAAGTCCTTTGGCTGATTTGCGACCTAAGGAATCTGCTTCAACAACTGTCTTTACAGAAGGTGATGATTTTTCTGATTGTGCTGGCGAGAGTTTACCATCTTTTTTTGGCGTATTTGATGGATTGAGTAAAAAACTCCTACGATTCATGGTGGGAAACGGCATTTCGTCCAATTGAGCAGGATCGGACGATGGAGGAAGAAGTTGAATTGACATTGTTGTATGTTTATCTTTACATGACTCCTTGATTGGGGCTGTGACTTTCTCCTCGCAACGGTTCCGTGTTCTTGCGGCAAATTGATGTGATGTGTGATGTAAAGGAGGTTGAGTTGCAATTTTTCAAACTCCTTTCCAATTCGTCCTTCATAAATCACATCTTTATTCTAACCCTGTGTGAGAACTTGATCGGCGTAAAAACGACACGTCTCTATGAAAATGATGTGACACTTTACATCACCAAATATATGCATTTATCCGTAAATGACATATCCCTAAAAATCCCAATTCACGATTACATGTACCAATTCAAGATCGTGCGATCAATTGTAGTGCTTTGAGATGTTTATGACAGTGCGAATCATTGGCAGCATTCACTTTTCGCTTCATCACCCCCAATCGACAACACTTCATGCTTTCATTGCCATCAATTCAGATCGACAAAACAGACAACTGCACACAAATCACGTGCCCGCTTCATCCGTTTCCCGGTATCCGTAATGGAGAGATTGTCATTGGGCAAGAGCTTTTCCCCATTAAACAAATGAAACGCAAGAACACTGACTGGATGCCTTTCGGATTAGATGTACAACTTGAGCGCTTTACGCGCGCTTCTCCAGTCTAATCTTTGTGAGTGAGTGTGTGTGTGTGGGTTTGATTTGTGCCTGAGCCTGAGCCTTGTCTCCTTTTGTTTCAAAGCGTGCGTGTAAGTGTATCGGTGGTGGGCAAAATAGCTAAGCGTGCCCCACTGTGAAAGCAAAAGATTGCTGACTATAGCGTAAATTATAAGGAAAAAAGCTTCTCCATTCCCAAAAGAAAAAGAGAAGAGTGGATCATTCAACTTTTTTTGTCGTACGCCATCAATCATTCATCCGATCACCTTCTTATAAAGCGTATCGGAAACACTCATCGTCCTCATTCTCAACTCGATTCTATTCCACTGCATCACACCACAAACATAGACTCGCAATCATGTCTGAAAGCAAGAAGGTTACCATGGATGAGGTCAACAAGCACAAATCGCAAGGCGATCTTTGGCTAATCGTGCACGGAAAGGGTGAGTAAGGGAACAAAGGGACGGATGGCACATCTTAGCCATCTCACTTCTCTTTTACAATCATCGTACTGACATCTATCTTTCCTTCCGCATACAGTCTACGACGTATCTAAGTTTATGGACGAACATCCAGGAGGTGATGAAGTCTTACTCTCAGAAGCAGGAAGAGACGGTTCAGATGCATTCGAAGATGTCGGTCATTCAGACGATGCACGTGCACTATTGCCTGGAATGCTCAAAGGTGAATTGGAAGGTGCTGAACAATCAAAATCTTCCGGTGGCTCTGCACCAAAGGTTAACCAAGCAGTACAAGAAAGCGGAAAGTGAGTATGCCAAAAAGGTGGCCGTTAACGGATTCGACTGACTGACTGACTGACTCTTTCTTTCCCTCCTCTCTCTCATTCAGCCCAATCCTCATGTTCATTCCTTTGATCTTGTTGGGAGCTTGGTTGGCATACCGTTACACTCAAGATTAGATCTTGCTAAAAGAAGCACACCAAAGGAAGAGAGCTGCAGCGAGCAGGATACTATAGTAGTGGTAGATATGCATATGGCAATCTGAGACATACGCAAGAGCAGCTATGTATGCGCTCGCAAGTTTCTCTTTCTTGTCGGTTGGTTCGATCTTAATGTACTTCATTGCTAGAGCTGCATCGAAATAAAGCATTCAAAATGATCAAGCTGCATCCTCACAGATAGTGAAGTATGACTTTTTAAAAGTTTCGAAGATATCCTCCAGAAAAGGTATTAAATGTGTTCGACATTAAGTCCAGCACGCAAGTAAATATTATCTTGGAATATATATTCAGTATAGATGCTCAGTAAAGATTTAGATCACTTTGTTTTATTGAGATTTCACTCTATGAACCCCACTTTATCGCTCATTCATTAAATTTGGAAATAGCATTCACTTTCCGTTAATTCCACGTCAACTTCCCGAATCACATATTCTGATTGATTACGTACACACTTTTTCGTACAATCTCTTCTAGTCGGGTGAGACGTTCCTTTGAACCGATCTGCATCAGCTTTTTATTGTTAAGCCGCGATAATAATCAATGTCATTGTTTTTGACTTCACGAAGTTACGGATGTATCGAAGCGATATTTTGTTTTGGCTTATTTTCACGTTCGGATTGTAGAGCCGGTCTCAAGGCAGTAGTCGGCCACTCGGCGTTATGGTTTGATTGTATGCACACACTGCGTTCATTCAAATGCGTCTGCCCGCACACACTCTAGCTCGGAAAAATGAATGAAAATGATATCAGCCTCCACTAAATGGGGTGTTTTACAGTATATGCGGATCGTAAACACACAAGTTTTATGATTATATCAGTTAAAAATAAGAAACTTATTATTTATTAGGCTCAACACCTGTCAAAATCTTAACCTTACTTGCATATATAGAAAATAGTAAATTGGTGAGAATTATAGAATTTTGGGTTTTGTCATACGATCAAAATCATCATATCAATTAACAACCATCATCATTCATCATGGCTGCACCTGCTATCCCTGGTCAACAAGAATTCGTAAGGCCACCGAAATCATCACGAAGAAATAAAACTCCTCCAAACGAAATCACTCAATCAGTCACTAATGCATACAATAATGCTCCCGATTTAGGTATCTCAAGTACAGTTCAAAATGCCTATCAACGAGCACCCGATCTAGGTCTTCAATCAAGCATCAGTAGAACGCTTGGATATTCTAATGAACAAGGAGAAGATACACAAGCGCAAGGAGAACAGCAACCAAAAGACCATCCATCCGAAGAACAAACTGATGAAAAGAAATCATTAAGTCCATACGAAATAAGTAAACAATCAGGACCGTCAAGTCAAGATCGGTTGGGCAAAACACAAAGAGAGATTGGAACAGAATTCGGAATCCCAACAAGAGCAGGAGCAGGGACGACTGTTTCACCCGATAAGACAAACGCACTTGCAGAAAAACGCTCCCATTCTTCCCATCATACCAGACCTCGTGAGGCTAATGTACCCGAAGATTATGCTCCTGAACCTTGTCCAACAAAACATGCAGGAACAGGGAAAGTAGATGGTGTTGAACATAAATCGCCAAATGCAAAACATGAAAAACGTATATCAAACGGTAGTGCAACTCATCGTAAGAGCGAAAGCGGAAATCAATCACCTCAATCTACAACTTCGTCCGAACGAAAACGAAGAAGTTTAGGTGCAAAATTACGCGATCAAATCAAAGGTGAATTGAAAATCTTGAGTGGTTCAATCACCAATAACGAAGATAAGATCAACCTTGGTTTGAACATCAAACATGGTGAAGCATGACTTGTATTCCCCTTTCTTGTTTCCGATAGATAGGCTCGCTCTTTTTATGTGCAATATACCGCTTTTTTTGCTTCTTTTTCGTGGAATACAAATGATCATAAAATGTATCTTGGATAGTTATTCTTTGCTATGTACAGGAATAAGCTGAACGAATGTTTCATCTGTACATGTACATCTTTGTTATAATTTTCTTTAGCCGTGTCTCTGTCCTTGCTCTTGTGTCTCGGCATTCCCGGCTTTGAAGTTCTGATGCAAGTGTTCGGTAGATTCATTGCGAATTCGATTAAGCAACAAATTTCTGAAAGGAGAAGGACCGTTTTGATCAGCAAGAGCTGAGCGAGGTTCTTGAAGATGTCCAAGTGATTGTTGACTTGGAGGGGAATGAGAAGGCGGAATAGGCGGTAAAGAATGACGATTCAACGAAGATGTTTGCGCATTGATAGTTTGGCTAGGTCCAGCAGGATTGGAATTGTGATCGTTTTGAGAATCAATTTCTTCGATACTATCAACGCTTGAAGGTATATCTTGCTTAGCAATTCCAACATCCAAACTATAAAATAAAGCTTGTTGTTTTTGTTTACGATCCGATTCTTCTTTTTCCTCCAAAGCTGTTTTTGAGAGTGATGGAAATGGTCTGATTGAATCTCCAAAAGATGGTTTCCTTTTCACTCTTTCGTTCACTTGTTTACGTAATTTGCCAAAATATTCTTTTGAATCATGACGAAAAGTCCAAGAAGTTGATTCAGCAGAAGCACTAAACTCTTGTTGATGTTTCATCAAGCCAGGATAATTATTCGATCCACTACTTTCACCACCTTCTTCACGTCGAATTTCCGATTCCGCTTCTGCCACCAACTTTTCTGCAATCATATCCGATTGTCTTTGACGTAAATGATCTTTACGCCATTTTGACCATGAAGGTAAATGGAATCCTTGATTGCTATCGGATGATTTACTGGTTTGAGGAGATATTGCAATACGCGAAGAAATGGCTGAAGGTGGTTCTTCATGTGGGTCAAGGAATTGATTCATCTTTTTGCTAGGACTCAAATTTGGTTCTGAAGCATAAGCTGCAAGTGTAGCGGCCATCTTTTCGGCTTGTTTGATATCCTTTCCTGTATAAAGACCCAATAATGCATTTTGATCGACGAATCGCTTTGAATTCCTGTCTCCTTCATAATCCCCTGATGACGCCATATTTTTACTCTTTCTTCTGTTATTGACTTCCCTCTTTTTTCCTTTATGACCGTGAGCAGCTAGACCCGTACTGTCGTCTTGTAAAACACTTTTGCAGAATGTTGAGTCAGTCGTTGAATCAAAATCAAACTCATTTCCTTCAACTCCTTTGTGTGCATCTGCATTTGTTGGAATTGCATTGATTCCATACGCTGAGCCCAAACTCCTGCTTCTTCTACGTGCCGGTTGACCCTGTTCAACAGCAAGGGTTGCATCAGAATTCCTTTTGGACTTGAAACGACTCTTTTTGGTCCCATCTGAAGAATTGTTGAACAACTTTTTCAACTTAGACGAAAGCTCTTTACTTTCACTATCCGATTGAGAACTTCGATAAATTCTTGATTGATATCCACTTGGTTCGCTGTTTGCACTTTGTAATCTGGAATGCGGCGAAAACGAATTGGCGTCGCTCATTGCCATTGCAGAGAATACGATTTGATCTTCCACCAAACTTTCCGGTCTCAAACTTTTCTTTCCATTTGTTGTACTTTGTTGAAGTTCTGGTTCTTCTTGAATTCCGTTGACACCAAATCCGTTTGAGCTTGGAGATCTGTTTTTTACCTTTTCCATTTGTCTTTTCAACCAAGTCTTTTCTTTTTGTAAACCTACTGAATGGTTTGGCGATGAAGATGCTGACATCTCACCTGTGATAGAAGCAGAGTTGGAAGAGTACCGAGATGAAGTAGCTGCACTATCCGCCCTTTTTCTTCTGCCGCTTCGCTGAGAAACTTGATCAATCGATTCAATTTCTTTCGGGAATCCACAAGAAGAGTGCGGTCTTCGATTGGCAAAGATTGAACTTTTTCGTTTTTCACGCTTTTGATGCGCTTCAACCGGAGGTGCAGTTGCAACACCATTTAACATACTTGACGGTGAAATGGTAGGATAGGACTCTACGCTGCTTGCCGTTTGTCTTTGCACAATTTCCGTTTCACTGTGTATTCGCTCTTCTTCTTCTGACAAATCTTTTGAGATTGGTGTTGGAGGCGCAGTGAATGAAGCAAATTGAGTGTGTGGTGCATGCAAACCCGCTCTTACTCTCTCTTTCTGCTTTTCAAGTAGACCACGAATACGATCGTCATGTTCGGGTGAATGAGAAGGTGGAGGAGGAGCAGGCAAATCAGCCAAACCAAAAGTCGAAGAAATGGAAGATCGGTCAGGCTCTTGAGCAGGTTGCAATAACTGTTGAATTGTGTTGTTATTGTAACCCGGTTTAGAAGGTGGCGAAGGCGGCAATGAACGTGAAATTGGCTTTGGAACAATTTCTTGTTGATGTTCCTGTACATTTGCAATTGTTTCGACGTTAAATTGCTCGCTTGAAGCAGACTCATCCTTTTCAACTTGTGGTAAACTTTTTGACCGTGAATGTCCTAAATCATCAAGTTGCAACGGTGCAGGATGTTGAATTTGACGATGACGTCCATAAGGTAATTTTCTTTCAGTTTCCATTTGAAGATTTTGTTTTGCAGCAGGATCCCAATCGGTTGTCTTGTTTTCTTTTCTGATCGAATTGGGCTTTTGATTTCTCATATAGCTGCTTGCTGGTGATGTCGGTCTTTGCGTTTCTTTTGATAATTTTCGTTGATTGTCCAACATGTCGATCATCGTATCAATTTCGACACTGGCTGAACTCACTGGTTCTTGTTGAATGCTATAACGTGCAAGGAAAGGGAATGCAAAAAGGGCAAAAAAGCAAAAAAGGACGAAAAAAAAGGTCGAGTCAAATTAGACTGCCAGAAAGAAGAAAAAAATCAGGACTTTGGAACGCCAAGAATCCATCGGATGTGAGAAGAAAAAAAAGAGGTTGAAAGAAGAGAAAAGGGAAGAGTATCTAACATTCTAAACGATTGAGGAAACATTGGGCACGATCAGATAGTTTGCAAAGCAGATAAAACTGCTGCAAGCTTCTTTGTCAATCGAGAGACACAATTGCCAACCAAGGATAGGGCATGTAAACCTTTTGCGGATCCATTTGCGAGCGGGTAAAATAACAGGAAAGTGGTAGATGGACAGGAAAAAGAAGAAAATGATTATGTATGAGAAAGGTCAACGAGGATGCCAAGCAGCCGTGCTTGACGTGTGTAACAGTTCTGTTCCACTCTACGCTTAGACAAGCATCAAAGTGGACAGCCTGTTGGTCCCGAGTGACTTTATGGTATATGTTGAAAACGAAGATAGATCGAGGAGAATGTGAATGGCCGGAAGGTCAACGACTCCAATGCAAAGAAGCGCAGCAAAACGCGCTCCCAAGCATGGTACGGCAAAGGTCCGCAGGTCAATGCAGTCCACGAAGCAAACACTGCTTTGCACAGAGATTGCGATGGCGTTTATGTACAAATGGTGCCATCGCATGGAGGAACAAGATGAAAGAAAATGCATCTGTGTTTTCCACTTACAATCCAAATTGTCTTTCTTGAGGTGATTGAAGTCCCTGAAAATTACGAAAAACATTGTCAGCTTTATAAACTTACGATCATGCTCCGCTAGATACTCACCATAAGTACGCTCGCATCTTTTGCGGTCAATTGATCCTTGTTTGCTCGTGCTGCAGCACGTTGAGCTCGTGCACGACTTGTTGGGCTTGGTGGTCTTGGAGGTGGATTCATCCTTTGCGCTTCCTTGAGAGAGATTGTGGCATTGTTGTACGAAGAGATGACTGGCAAACTTGTGTCACGTCCAATCGTTGCTTTCATCAATGCTTTCATCCATTCACGAACAACGATTGGATCATCGGAGCTGAAGTAGTGTGGCTTTTCGGATTCGTGCAAGATCTTGAAACCATATTTGCCTGGGTTTGTGTTCTCATCAGCAATAACTTTGTATCCTTTCATATTCACATATCCCTTGATCTTTGGTGCAGTTGGGTCGCGTAACAAGACTAAGTCAGATCCCTTCAAAGCCATATATCTTGGTTTCCAGGAATTGTATCGTTCTCCCTTCTTGCGCATCCAACCTTCAAATTCAACAGGTCGAATACGCACCATAACAGCTCCTTCCGGTGCATCTCCCATTGGGCTTCTTGGTTCTCCGCCTGATGGATAGGCATCTCCTGCAGCAGGTCCACTGGATCCTACACTAGCTTGCTTTTGGTGATTAGAAGAAAAGCCAGGAATATTGCCAGTAGCGGGTCCAAATTGACTCAATCTATGACGTCTTGCCGTATCTCCCATAGCATCATATGTTGGACTTCCGGTTGGCAAGGAGATCTTATTACGAAGATCTTGATTTGGAGAAGGTTCGTTGGAATGTTGTTGTTGTCCTCCTTTGAGACGGTTGAGTCCAAATCTAGACAATGTACCTTTACCAGCGCTCTCTGGATCGGCCGAATTGGGAACACTACCAGTAGAATTACCGGATTGCACTCTTGGCGCAGGTTTGCGATTCTTTTGGCCACCCAATCCAGCGAAAAAGCTTGTCCTGTCTGCAGGCGATTTAGTCGAACTTCCGCCCGATTCACGTTTACGAGGACTTGATGCGTGTTGTTGATTAAAGTTGGAATAATTGATACTGTTATCAGGAGAGAATGAACTCTTGTTCAATTGACTGTTTGCCGAATTGCCAAGGCTGTCATGCGATGCACTTCCAGGCTCAATAGCGCCACTGTTTGGACGAGGCACATCGCTCCTGTCTGCTTGTACACCGCCTTGGTTGAATGAATTGCTATTCATTATACCAGGCGCAGTTGATTGTGAGACGTTGCGTTGACTAGAAGCGCCGGCAACAGCAGCCGCGCCTCCTGCGACACCCAACCCGGTAATCGCTGCGCCCAATCCTGAATCGTTGGTGCCGCTAAAGTCAGTCCTGGAATCTGGTCTGTCGATAGGTTGACTAACGCTGCGATTCTGTTGTTGTTGTAATAAGCCAGATGTAGAATCAACGGGAGCTGACCATTGCATGGGCGATTGTTCTGCACCGCCTGTTGCCAAAGACTTTTTCAAATCTTTAATGGCGCTTGCTACTTGGAAACGTTTTCCAAATGCAGAGATTTCGATCTCTTTTAAAATGTTCACATCCATTTCCATCAAAACATCACCAGAGATTTCATGTTCGGCAAATTTGCTGACAACGCTTGCTTCATCCCATCCTTTCGATCTGCCCCACTCAACGACTTGGTCCACCGTCCATTCGTGGGGATCACCACCGGGACCAGTGGCCAATCTGCTACCAGCAGTACTGGGTGCAGGACTCTGTTGAGCTGTGGCTGCGATTTGGTTAGAGCTCTTTGGAGTTTCTGTTCCAGCAAATGAGGTTGGTGCAGTCCCAACGCTTGGTGCAGTAAAGTTAGATCTGCCGCCAGGTGCAGGACTGTCAGGTACACGGGCCGAATCGAGACTGCGGTCATCCGATGTTTGACGATCTTGGTGAGGTTGTTGCTGTTGTTGTTGGAAGATTCCGTTTTGGGTTGGAGTGTTACCGACAGTTGTAGATGACAAGGGTAGCGGAACTGCACTTGGACTGATTCCTGCAGCAGCTCGCTTTGCGTGAGCATCTTCGCTTTCGATCGGTGACAGAGGTCGTGCTTGACCTTTGCTTAAGTCATTGGGAGCCAATGTACTATCATTAGATGATGCACCACTTTTTGCTGCAACAACGCCTGCTGCTGTAGCACCGGCGGCCAAAGCACCGGCACCAGCTGCTGCAGGAGCTGCAGAGGCGCCGAACAGAGGGGCATGAGTAGGAGCTAATTCATCGTAATCAGGTCCTTGACTTCCTTCACTGTCACTTTCGTCGCTCATATCCACGCCTGGAATAGGTGCTTCTTTGGCCTTTTCTTCGTTGGGTAAAACACCTTTTGCAGCCGCTTGTTTGCGTTCTTCCTCTTTTTGAAGTAACAATTGTCTATGTCTTTCCTCTTCTTCCTCAAAGATACGCATGGCTTGAGCCTTCAATCGTGCTTGCTCCGCTCTTTCAGCTTGTTCTGCTTCATCTTGATTCTTTGCAGCATTGACGGCTAAAGCAGCTCTTGCTTTAGCCCTCTTTTCATAATCATCCTCTGCATCATCACCGTCATCCGTTTCACCAACGGAAAGATCGCCAGTCCGTTCACTTGCATCATCTCTACCTGCTTGCATGCGTGCTAAAGCATTGTCAATGTCGTCCATTGTTGCTTTAACTCCTTTACCGTTTGCTTCGCGAGATGCATCAGCAGTTCCACCAGCAAGAATGGCTGGATCAGAAGCAGAGATTGAAGTCTCCATATTCATTGCCTGTTCACGATCAAAGGTGGTATAACTGAACGGAAATAAACCAGTCTCTCCGCGAGAGTTTGTTCCTTGCCACCATCCATCTCCATATGCATCATCCTTTTCCACAACGATGATTGTTTCGCCTGCTTTGAATGATACTTCATCAGGATTTTCTGCATCGAAATCATGCAAGGCATACACCTTTTCTTTTGTCGCCATGATTGCAGGGTGAACTCCTTACTACAAGGGTAAGGGAATTATCACTCGGAACAAGATAGGCGTTATAGGCTGCGCCTTTTTTTCGATGAGAATGTTGGCACGGCCAAAGTGACGTACAAAAGTATGTCACTAGTCGAGAAGATCCGGATGTATTCCTTATTCGAAGTTGTATTGCTATAATGAGAAGGAATGGGTATAAATAAGACAGTGATAAAGATCACTTGCCCCTCTTACCAAAAAGTTGATAATGATGACAGTCAAAGGAGGAAAGAAAGGAGGAGGAGTGCTTGTGAGTGCTTGTGTACCTTAAACTATGAGTTATATATTCCAACCGCGCCGGCGCCTCGCACGGTACATTGGCTGTTGTCAAGGCGCACGCTAGAACGGAAATGCAGATTGCTGGATGCGATATTGGAAGACAATTGCCGGTCAAATGACTGCTCAAGTGCCTAATTGTTGCGCGCGTTCTAATGTACTGTTGAACGTTAGAATCGCTTGAGTACTTCACGTGTGTTAATCATAAAATGACATGATGTCTCTTAACAAGGAATCTTTCTATCCGACAAATAGGAAATAAAATGGCAATTTGATTGAGTATAGACACACAAATGATATGAAAGAGTATACATTTATTCTTTGCTTATCTCAACCTTTCTTGCCAAACGAGAAAGGATTCTTGATTCTCTTTTTCTCTTTTCCCAATCCACTTGCAGTGCTAATAGAACTAGGTGCAGGACTGGCAGTACGTAAAGAAGCATCTGTACTTCCAAACTTACTTCCACCACCACCGCCTAAACCAATCGTATTATACTTATTTCCTCCGAATACACCACGTTGAGGACTCGAATGTGGAATATCATGACTGCCTCCGTTATATTGTTGTTGTTGAGCAGAAGGCGAAATTGGTTGATCGGGAGAACGGAATCTTCGATCATACGAGCCTTGGTTTGTCTCTAACTCTTGTTCATAATTCAAGCTTGATCCTTGTTGACCTTGTGAGTTAGGATGTATTCTTGGTTGATATTGCATTCCTTGTGGTTGTTGTTGCTGTTGTGACATTGGCATTTGTCGAACTTTGTTGGCTTGCGATCGTATTCCGCTCACTTCATTGGCAGGAGCAGATAATTTATTGCTTCCATTGGGTATACTGTGAGAATGATGATGCGAATTTCCACCTACATGACTGGAAGCTTTACCAAGCGATCGAACGGAATCGATAAATGACTTTGGCGTGAAAAAGTCTGATGATCCAATATACATATCTTTGCCCAGCTTTTCGCTAACTTCATAAGCACTTCTCACTTCACTATACGTCATTCCGCCCGCTACAAAGACGATCATTCTCTGTCTGCTGGTATCCAAACCTCCAATAGACGATCCAGCTCCATTTCCTGCGCCAGGACGACCTTTTTGATGCCACGTGGGTTTGGCACTTCGCAGACTGCTTGGTTGAGGACGTAGAGATGTACCAGAAGCGGCAGAACTTTTTGTGACACTGGACACCAATCCAGAAGCACCTCCCACGACTGAATTAATTCCGCCAGAAGGAGTTTCTGGCGGCGCATCACGCACGTATGGGTAAGTTGATTGATCTAATTTGCCGGCCAAGTGATCCTCTACCATAAGCTTGACCAAGGGTTGATATCTGCTTAATTCGTACTCATTTTCACCTGATACTTGCTTACGTTTGCCTTTCTTAAACCAAGCGTCCCAAGTGGAATTGGTAGGATCACGCAAGACTCTTGCTCCTAAATGAATGAGATTGTTTACCGCTTCCATCTCCGAAAGACCCAAACGAGCATGCTGGAAAAGTCTCTTTCGATCTTCGTCTGGAACACCATCTGAATACATCACATAAAGAGCAATGATGCGCACCTTGTCTGCATTGCTCACTTCGGGATCATCCAGTAACGGCACCATCTCTTCCACCAATGTTCTTGGCTTTTGCCCTTCTGGTGTTGTACGGGTTGCGCAATTTTGCTCTACCATAGCTTGAGCGGGCAATCTGCTTTGCTCAAATTTGTTCATACATGCTTGTGCCATAGTCAAATGTAGACTCAATTTATCCTTCATCTCTTGCATGTGAGGTAAGCTTGCCAGCATATCCCGCATATCGTTCAAGCTGTTTGCGGTAGAGAAATGTCCTGCTTCACCGGCATGTTGTTTGAAATCACGCGAAAGTTTATCGATTGCCTCGACGATATGCATATGCCGTATTGCTTGCCAAACGTTATCTTCATCGCTCAAAGTGGCTTCTTTATCTTCCCTTTCACCTTCGCTGTTGTAGAAGCGGTAAGAGTATTTGTTACCATCAACGATTGGAAGAAGATCATGAACCATGGCTTGATAGCTAAATTCGTGTAAAAATGGTGCAACAGTATCCATCGTTCGATCGGTAATGAACAAAACACCTTTTGGTCGTCCGACATCGATCTTTGGCTCATTCTCTTGAACGTACTTGTCAAGGGCTAATTGCAAACGTAATGCTAGTCGTTTCGTAAAGTGATCACCGCTTCCATCACCCCGCGCTCGATTCATGCGCATACTACCCTGCTGTTGCTGCGATGAGGCCGCCGCTGCCGCTCCCAGAGGTGGATGTGATGGATTGTAATATCGTATGAGAGGAAATTCGTTCAATGTCACACAAACGTTCAAGAGTGTTTGCGTGGTGAAATGCAACTCTTCCTCTAAAGCAGAAGCAGCTTCGCTAGGATCCGGTCCAAAAGTACCACCAATCGGTTGAAATAAGGTAAAGAAGGATTGAGGACTTTTTAGTGAAAACACTTGAGCTTCCACTGGCCAAAAGTTGGTATACAATTCGATAAGTTGACGCAATTTAGGTTCAGCAGGTGAGCTTGTAAGCTTTTGCAAGAGTGAATTTGATAAAGCATCAATAAAGAAGATATGACCGGCAGCATATTGTGGTGGTCTTCCATCTTCCGGAGCTAAATCACGAATGACCCTATCTACATTTTGACTTGTTGGACAGAGTAAATAAGCAGCTTCGAATCCTGTTTGTGGTTGCCTTTGCATTTCAATATTTTCTACCGTTGATACGTTTTGTTGAAGGACATCGTACATCTTCAAGACGCTATTCAACAATGTTTTTGTATATCCGTCCACAACCAAGATCTTCCATCTCGAAGCAGGTTGAACGGATCGTATTGCGCTAAAATAGCGATCGCGAGTAGAAGCGATCAAACTTTTTGGCGGCATGTTGATCAATGTTTTTATTGAAAGTCGTAGTGAGAAATGATGAGTGTCAATCAGAGGAATTTGACAGGGGTTGTTTGGTGCAAGGATCTGGTTTAATTACGCCTTCCCTATTTGCCGCGCCCTTTTGACGAGCTTTACTGGGGAGTGCTTTGCATGGATCGAGAACGAGGTTTGATGATGTGCTTTGGGATGTGACAACAATTGAAGAGATACTTTGAAAGCTCTTTGATAGGAAGAATGTATGTTTGGTGGAGTGTGTTTAGGGATGATGCAGGCAGCAGTAATGTGATATACAATCGAAAGTGTTATTTAGATCTTTGTCCGCATAATACTTTGTTTGCACTGGCGCCACGCCTTAACTGGCCTCCCCTTGTGCAAGTTGCATGCAAGCAAGCCTTACACACGCACCCCAGTCCAGCGGTGTCTTTTCTCTCTCTCCCCCCCCCTTCGCGAGTAAAGTACATAAGCAAGGCAAGTCGCGCTATCAATCTCGCAAAAGCGGAACTCAAACCTCCCTTTGTACAGCGTTAAGCTGTTACTAACTCTTACACTTCTCACGACAAAACAATCATTTCAAGCTGATGAGGGTATATATATATCATTAAATGTACGCTATTCTAAAGTCCATTGCAATCTTTGTATTAAGTATTTAGTGTATTAGCAGAGGTGGTTGCTCCACTTGCCGGTTCTTCGGCCGTATTTGAATCCACCCATGATTCATTATCTGCCCCTTCACTTTCATTCCTTGTCACGGCTTCGCCTTTTTGAGCAGCGTTAGCTCTCTTACGCTTTGCAGCATCTTCTTGTTTCTTTCGGCCAAAGAATGACATCGCTCCTGACCATGCGCTCAATCCATATCTGGCTTTTCCTTCTACCTGTCTTTCAGCTGCACTTTGCTTCCAATGAGCTCCTGTATGAGTTCTATATTGTACTCTACTACGATCTCGTGTTCCAACACTTGTACTTCCCAAACTTGCTTTTGCTTTTGTGTCAATACTGGCTTTGAAACGATCGGCACGCATATGTAATGCTTGTCGTAAAAGTTCAACAGATTCACCCGTATCACGACGACCTGCAATTGCGCTCGGGGGTGGTGTTTCTCCTTTTAAAGCCAAAGGTCCAAGACGAACCAGATCTGCCCAACCATCAGTCTGATCGTCATCTCCTTCTGCGACTTCATGATGCTCAGCAGAAGCACTCTGAGGTAGTTCATTCAACAATCCTTCTTTGGCTGCTTGTTCTAACATCATCTTGACACGTTCTTCATTCTTTGCTCTTCTCTTTGCGACTCGTTTTGCTTCTTTTTTGAATTTATCATCCCACTTGGTCTGTCCGGTCAAGTATCGCTTAACGGCTCCTTCTTTCACCACTCCAATCTCATCTTGTTGCATTTGCAAAGCTTGTAATAATTCTGCTTCTTCTAAAGGTCGAATCTTTCCTCGAATATCAACCCTTTCTCGAATCATCTCTTGCACAAACGTTGGTCTACGTAAAGGTACTTGACCGTCATATGCATTCTCCGCGCCGAGTGTTACATTCCTTCTCCTCCTTTCACGTTGTGTACGTTTATCGGTAGGTGCATCAATCGCGATCATCTTTTCGGATCCTTCTTTGGATTTCGTTGGTGTGATGGAGCTCAAAGGAGTCGCTTGATTTCCATTTGACTCACTTCCCGCCGTAGAATTGGTAGGAGGAGTTAGCGAGTTATCCTTTTCTTTGGAGGATCCTGAGATTGGAGCAGGAGAATCAGCAATTGCATCTCCATTCTCTTGGGAAGAATCCAGATTCGTATCAAGCTTTGCCAATTTCTTACTTTCGTATGTTGAATCAATCGATTCTGGCTCTCCAACTGTAGTCTCATGAACTGGAGGTATGCTCGGCACATCACTTCTTCCACTAGGAGCTTCGGACAAGTTTGGGAATGGGTTGATCACATTGGTTGGCGCACCGGTGACGTGCTTGACAAAACTTGCAATCGCACGATATGCATACCGAGCAGACGTTGTGAAGGAGAACAAAGTCAAAACGTGAGGTTGACCATCGTAAACCTGAAGATGTACTTTTGTTGGTTTATGATTGAATCTCTCTGCTGATTGTTGTGCTCGTTTGTTGGCATTCAAAAGATCTTTTCGTAATGGATACGCTTCAGGATGAGCAGCACGGTGGGCAAGATAGATAATCTCATCACGCAAAACTTCGCTATCGCCTGCCAAGATGTATAGTGGTGGTAAGCCTCCCAAACTACCTTGAAGGATTGGCGAGCAAAGCGGATGGAACAATTGAGAGTTGGTTGCATAGAGTTGAATCTGTCGGGTAACTTTGAGCGGCACTTCTTCGCCTTTATTGTCTTGCATCATCACTGAAAATTCCTTCTGTTTCAGATGTGAAAGGGAGGGCGGTGCATCTTCCCCGTTGTCGTTTCCATACTCGGCCAAAGAAGCCACCTCATTACCCTGAAGCTTATCTTTGTTGTTCCGTTTCTTGGGTGTTGCATGTTCAGATTGGGAATTGTGTATGCTCTGTCGGTCTGCATCTTCAGCATCAGCTGGTAACGGATCATCAGGTAAAGGCCAAAGTGTGCTTGGCTTATGTATGAAACCGTAGGTTGGAATGATATCCGTGGCTGTGTTTTGCAAAATAGATGGGAATGAGTGTGTCATATCACACCATGGGCTGAGCAAGACACCGCCAGCAGGCATTGGAAGATCCAAATCGCGCAAAATACCCAATAATGCCAAACACAATCCTCCTCCTGCACTATCACCTGCCACGACAATTTGACTTGGATCGATAGCCTTATGACGTGCTTCAGGAGGTGGTCTAATGAGATAAAGATATCCTGCCAAAACATCCTGAACAGCGCATGGCCATGGGTATTGAGGAGCTTTACGATAATTCACAGCGAAAGCACGACCTCCAAACTTTCTTGCGAATCTTGTTATCATCAATCTGTGAGTGGAAAGACTGCCGAAATAATAACCGCCCCCGTGTATGTAATACATGACTCGTTTCAGCCTATCAAGCTCTTCGAAGCTCTCTATTGGCTCATTGATACCTTCATCCAATGTGTCTGGATCGTCTTCCTTCTGTTCATTATCCTTGTCTTTCTCTTCATCTTTTGCTTTTCCATTTTGTTCTGCTTTTGGTATACTTTTGTTGCTTCTGCGTTTATCCAAACTTTTTCGGATCGGTTTACCAAAGCTATGTTTGCGTTCATGTCGCTTATTTAGACGAGCTTGTTTTGCTTTCTTGCGTAGTTCTTTTTCACTCTCTTTTGTACCCATTCGCTTCTCCACCAAAGTTGCTCGATTCCAATCTTGTTTCATAGCGATCCATTCTGCCTGTACACCTCGTAATCCTCTCACCTGCCACCATAATCTTCCTCCGACAAGGTGTCGTAGATCATCATCTCCGAAGTATTTGATTAGCAGCTTGGCCGATTCATCACAACTATCGATCGGAATTAAAAGCCGTAAAGAAGTTGTACCAGGCTGTGCTGGAACATGAGTGTTTGTGAAACGTTGAAGAGATTCTACGGTATCAGTTGTTGCAATATTGATAAATTGTTTTACGATATGAAATGCTTCATCAAACATTAATTCGTCCGTTGCTTCTGTCCATCTATCTTGCTTTTCTTTTGTCCATTGTGTTTTGTAATGCTTAAAGAATGTTTTGATCACTGTTGGTGTGGTGGATGCGGCCACAGCCGTTAGTGAAATGGTCATGATTATATGCAAGCGGGAAGGTTGTGATTTATTTCCTGAAAGATGGTCGTATAGGATGATGTTCTTGAAGGTAAGAATCAACTTTGACCTATCAAGATGAAGGCATTACCCACATGAATGTATGCATCTTTAATGACGCACGATCATAATTAAGGAGCAAGACTATGAAATATAAAACAAAAGCAAGTCTCCGCTCGGGCAAGATACCCGCTCTAAATTTGCTGGAAGTGGAGTTATTCCACACACGCCCTGTACATACTTCTGGCCCCTTAATCTCCGCTTCTTTTGGTAAAAACGCGTAAATAGCAAAACCGTGTTTTAATATATATTCAAAAGTGTTCTCCTCTAGAAAAAAGATGAAATCAACCAACACCATCCCCCAAAGTAAACTTGAAATGCAGCAAACCAATAGATCCAGAAGGCTTATCGGGCAAAGATAGAATCGGAGAAAAGCTTGTCATTCGGCATGTCGGTCCATCAGCTTGGTCGAAAGCAGCGCAACAAGGATGACGATAATGACAGTAATATGACAGATAACAGTCAAACCATTCAACCGTTTGAAGAGACTATAAGAGCATTTCAAGTCTCTCTAGAACGATCAGCAGAATTAAAACTCGAAAACGTCGAAGCACTAAACAATTATAGTCTACATTATGGCTTTACTTCATCACAGGCACTTCGTGTGGTAAAGTTAGCGATTCAATTTGCAAAGAATAAGAACAATTTATACCTGATACGGATCGGTAAGCTGTTCAATTCTGTTCGTCCCGCGCCACAGACACTGTTTGGTCCATCTCTAATATATGCAATCTTGGATGCCTTGGGCGGAAACACAAATACTGGGCTAGATACTTTGGAGGATGATGATGATTCGATGGCAAATGATGATGAAAACGTGTCTTCAAAGATAAAAAAAGTGTTACCAGTCCGCACTCAAGGTGATGCTCTTCAACTGCTGCTCAATTTATACGCTCCCCCTTCAATTACCATGCACGCACAAAAGCAAGGTGAACTTCGAATTGCAAATCTGCCAAAGAGCTTCTTCAACGTGAAAGCACTAAAAATTCTTGAGAAATGTTATGGTGTTCTTTTTCATTACTTGGAATACGAAACTCTACGACCGACATTATGCCACCTTTTATGCTTGCTCACAAGACGCAAGCATGTTCGTTATTATCGAATCGCACGAGCATTAGCATTGCGTAATAGGGATCCTACGGATATCTCATTGAACGCTTTGATCAATACGTATGCTGCTTATTATCCTGATATGCTATTTGCTGAATCTACAAGTGAGCGACAAATGTATGTTCGATCTTCAAAGGGAGACGTACATGGACTGAAATACCCGGGTTTGCCATGGCTTATGAGTGTTTACAAGATATGGAATGCATCAAATACGCATGGAAAAGGTCCGTCTTTAGGCAGTGCTGGTCAGGGTCAAGAACCTCGAGCAAGGATGGGATCCGGTCTTTTGGAAAATATTGCTCCGCCTCCGCTCCTTCTGATGAGCGATGAAAGGACAATTGCAGTTTCAGAAATGTCATCTTTTCGGGAACTTGGTTATCGGTTCGATAGAGTACGCATGCCCGATCAAATTTCTAGTGCCTTAGGTCACAGGATGACCATGTTGGCTGTTTTATGCAAACAAAGTGGTCAATCGATGATGAAAGATTTTGCAAGAATGTATGAATGGACATTAGGAACGATAAGCGATCAAATGAGCTTGCCTTTGCTGTACATTCAAGGTTCGCTTCCTTTGGTTCGTGCGGATCATGCACATGCAGCAAGTGCTACTCTGTTGGATGGATTGGAAAGCTTTGTACGCTTTGTGGGCTGTTTTGATGATCGAATGCAAAGTCGGGTATGTCGTATGCTTCATTTTGATGCATGGAATAATTACTCCAAACGGGAAAAGCGATCACTGTTGAAATTGGTTGAGAGAAGCATACCAAGACGACGAGAAGCATTTCAAGCGGGTTTGATACAACCACTTTCCAAAATAGCCAAAGATTGCAAAGCCGAAGAAGCCATTCTGGTGCTCAGATGTTTTGCCAATTTGATTCGACATTGGGCAAATCAGGATTGGCAATCAATATTACGCATGATCGAAGAAAAAGGTCATGCTTACTGGGGATCGGTCCGGTTAGTAGCGGGAGATGATATGGTGGACACGATCGCAATGACAATCTCGCAAGCTGTTACTCTTTCGAACCAATTACTCTGCAAGCATATTCATTCAATCTCCTTGCTTCATGCATCATTATCTTTACACGAGGCCATCTTTGACGTATCACTGATCGGAATGCACGATCTTCTGTTACCGCCCACCTTTGCCTTGTACTCACCCGGATTCTCTCAACATGGTGGTGTGATGACATTATCTCGTCAACTAGGCTTGGTTCACAGTGTTCGTCGGATGCACGAAGATTATCTGGTGGCCAAGGAGAATGGCAGAACGAGTGAAACGATCAATCCAGACGGATCTAGGATACCCGTCGTACTGCAAGATCGTCGAAGTAACTTCTTTGCGGAAGAATGTAGCGATCAAATCAATGACTGCGTCATCCTGTTGATCGATCTGGTATGGAGAAATAATGGTTTCGCATCTGTTGAATCGGGCAATGCCGATATCGGCTTACCGAACGAATTCTTCGTTGGTCTCACTTCTCGCTGTGCAATACGAGGTGATGAACTTCAAAGGATCGGTAGTCCAAGTCACAGTGCAACCTTGGGTATTCTGATGGAAGCATATGCAAATGATCTAGCACGTAAACGTGGAAGCAATATACCCATTCTACATGGTCCTTTGACGCCTGCCAAACTCAAAGAAGCACGTAAGAAACATTTCGTCAATATCCATCATCGTGACTTCAGGGACAGCTTCTTGAATTGGCTATTCCGTTACGGAGCCAATGGGATTAGTGATTTACTCAATGCTACGATCACCCGTTTCATTCGAGGACAAGAAATCGATCAAAGCACCATTTTGGGCTAATTATGCACTTTTTCTTTATCCTGTACTTCTACCTGTATTATCAGTCCCTTGTAATAACCGAATTTTGGTGAATTGATTATCGTGATCAGTACAAATACAAGTGGTGCATGTCCTCCTTTAGACGACCTTAGAAGCCAAAGCTAGGATCTTACTCCATCCCTTGGTCCTTAGTTCCGCTCCAACAACTCCATTGATACGTGTTCCTAGAGGTTCTTTACGATTGTTCAGTAAAACACAAGCGTTATCATCAAATCGAACCGTTCTTCCATCTGCGAGTTTTCGTGTCGTTTCCTTTGCCGTCCTTACCACTACTGCATGTCGAACATCACCACGACGAACTCTTTGTGTTGTGGCTGAAGATGGTGCATCGTGTGGAATAGGTCTTGCTTTTTTCACTACAATCACAATTTCATCTCCTATCCTTGCCAATCCTTTTGAGGATGGTGTTCGTAAAACGTTTACACATTCTGCAACCAAGGCGCCCGAATTATCGATGACCTGTTTCATAATCGAGTCAGCACTTTTCCCAAAGCTCTCTTATGTGGTCTATATACTCACCGTCATGGTCGCTTTGAGCCCCAACATGCTTGGTTCGCTTATGTATTTGCAAAGGTGAAGATGGTGATCAGGTTAGTGTACCTTCTTCTTAGCTCGAAGGTAAAAGTTGTCAAAATGGAAAAATGGAGGATAAGTCACGTGTGTCCCACGCGGGAATTCCTCTCGCACCACCTTTTTAAGAAATTTAAAGTTAAGCAAACGTGGCTTGCAGTATTAAGTTTAAAGTTCCAGCCCATAGTCTTGACCGTTCACCTCATCCTCCAAAGTGAGCATGCGACGACTATGAGTGTTCCTATCAAGTCTCCATGACGGTTACGTTAGATAATTCGGAGGCGGAAAGTGAAGGGGCATCGAAGAATGGTACGGAGTGTGAGCAAGTGACACCTTTTGTCCCTTCAAGGGATTTGCCAACTCTTGCTAAAAGGTCTGGCGGCTCGGTATCTCCAGCAGGCATTTCAGCTAGTCTGCATCGTATCGCATCCTCTCTAGGAGTTGCAAAAGGGCAATCGGAGCATATCCTAGTTGATGTTCGCCATCCGAGCCAGAAAGCAACAAAGGCATACCCTACATGCGAGGAAGTAGAAGAGGTTGCAGATCAGTTCGAAACGCAGTTCACCCATCGATGGCTTCTAAATGTCAATTGTCTTGGCTGGTTGGAGGATGACTGTGATGCAGATGATAATTCGATCGATAGTATATTGTCTGAATCAAGTCGATTGGTCGCTGTTCTGTCCGGTCAATCGGCTTCAGGTGGAATTCGAAAGATTTATCATTTTCCTCGGGCTGATTCGAAGATACAAGGCGATCCCATCTCTGTAACTATCAAAGAAGCCGCCATAGTGGAAGATTCTCTGGGAGGAAGGACGTGGAGTGCGGCACCCTTGCTTGCGGATCATCTATTGAAGCTAATCAAGGATGATCCACTCAATCAGCTCAATGTCTTGGAACTTGGTGCAGGTACTGGATTGACAGGTCTCACGATGGCAAAGATGTTACAGATCCTTGGGAGGGCAGGGAGCATGCATCTCACAGACTTCAATGAGAACGTCTTGAGCAATCTCAAGATCAATGCTCGCTTGAATGGACTTGGTGACAAGGCGGAAGGAGGCTCTCTACATGCAAAAGTGTTCCCACTGGATTGGTCAGAAGCTCTCACTAATTCTATGCTGGAAAACAATAAGGACCTCTTAAGCGCCTATGATTGCTTGCTATGTGCAGATTGTATATATGAGCCTCAGCATGCTGCGCTTATTCATGCTGTTGCAAATCGCTTATTGACCAAAGAGTACGCCATCAGAAAAAGAAGCTCGCTTTCTCGACCATCTTTGCCCGGAAAGATGTTTGTCTTGACACCTTTGCGTGCTAATCTTCAGAAAGAAACAGAGACTCTGTATCGCTTCTTTCCCCGTGCGAACATGGATGATCTAGATCAAGAGAAAGCAGTATTGTCGCTTTGCATCACAAGCCAACAAGATTTCATCCTCGAATCTCAAGAGGATTTCGGACCGCCTAAATTACGAACTTTTATAGATCCAGCAAAAGCTGGCCCTTCTTCTTTCCTTAGAGCTTATCTCATAGACACAGCCAACAAATCTCACATAGACGGCACAATTTATAGACTTCATACGATAGAATGGTGCAATATAATAGATTGACAAATAAGGACTAGAGAAAAGTTAAGGGAAAAAAATTGAACGATATCTAGACAAAATACATGAGAATTTGCTTCTCCAAAATAGGAAAGACGATTGGTATGATTGCTGAGGATTATGATAATGCTGACAACAGGGAGGAAGAAAGAAATTGACTAAACGATACTTCAGTGCTCTTGATTAGGATTATGTTGTTGATGAGAATTTGGTTGGTGAGTAGAATGTGATGATGCAGAATATCTCTCAAATGGATTAATGGTAGCGATTGGCGTCATTTGTCCCGGATCAAAATGACCAGGCGCAAAAGGGTGATCAACAGATCCAACGGAAGAATCATAATTTGCGTTCAAGTTTCCGCTTTGCAGGGTCGGCAAAGGAGGTGTAGCCAATGCTGCTAAAGCTTGCGTTCTCTGTCCGGGTGTACTTTGTGTATTAACATTGCTTGGTAAGGATGTGGCAGCAAATCGACTTCCAAAATGTGAAGCCGGTCTGCTTCCCAATGTTTGACCTTGACCTGGGTAAGAGCCGTTTGTAGGTGCTTGCTCGTCAGCAATGTTGTGAGCGTTCGGCAACAGACCCACTTCTGGCTGTACCACGCTCCCACTACTTTGCGCCAGACTTGGATGGGCTGCTGTACTTGACTCCTTCCCATCTTCATCCATACGCTCATACCCGTCATCATGGCTTCGAGTGAATTCTGCCAGAGGATGAGCATTGGCCATCATAGCTGTGCCGTGTTGAGAAGATCCAAAGGGATCAAAGGGCGGCGGCAATTGTCTCTCATCAGCATCACCAAGAGCAGCAGGGGAGTGATTGGTGTACGGGAGTGCATCTGATCTTGCCGTGACCATATTAGACGAATGCATCTGTTGTGCAGCCATTGCTTGATCTAAATTGATTCCATGATGTCGAGACGTGAATTGCACAGGCATTCGCTGTGTCTGAGTGGGTTCGATTCCATCCATCTGTACTGGCATTTGTGAACGTTGTTCTTGTTGCTGTTGCTGCTGCTGTCTGGCAGCCCTTCTTTCGCGACTTTCGGATAGCCTTGCCAAAGCATTGTGTACTTCTGGACTTAGATCACCAAACAGTGCAGCTTTTGTTTGATCGGCATAGACCCCTTGTAAGAATTTTCTCAATTCGTTGACACCTTTTCCGCTATACACACAAAAAGCATTTCTTTGATGTGCATTGAACTCTCTCGGCGGCTCCCGACACATTAATTGAAGTTCTGGTTTGCGGAATGCATTGACTCCCGTCAAGCTCAAATGTGTCAATCGAGGAAGTCTTTCCAAGAGCCAGAAGATTGCCGGTACGGAGATGTTCTCACAATAGGAAAGATGTATACGTTCTAAGCTGGTATGACGTTCCACCAATCCATAAATGGCTTGATCAGTCAAATTGGCTACCCTCACCAGACCGATTCGACGTAGTTTAGGCAAATTGGCTGCCAGCTCCAGTACACTTAAATCTGTCAATTGAGGACAGCAGGCCAAATCGATATATCGCAATCGTGTACACGAGCGTGCTAAATGGCAAACAGCACGATCGGTCAGATTACTGACATGTCCAAGGTGCAGGTAATGCAAATTTTTGCCCAATCTTGCGATGCTATAAGCACTCTCGTTTGTCAAACGAGTGCATTTCGCCAAGATCAAATTTCTGATTCGCGGTACGTTGGAAACAATACCTTCGATTGATGCGTCAGAAATTGTATTGCAATTGGTCAAATCCAAGATGCGCAAATGATCAAACATACGTGAGGCACGCAAGTGAGTGTGCATTGGTATATCGACCCGAGGAAGTGTGTCGTGAGATGACGATAGATTCAACGGTCTAGATTGCGGCGCATTCATCGTTCCCATAGGCGATGCACCGCGGCTTGTGGGAGCTGAATCGCTTCCCCGACTCAAACCTTGATTGATGATCGAAATTTGTCCATGTGCAATTGGTGTGTGCATGTGAGGGTCAGCACTACTTTGTAGCGTACTTGGAGGAGCAGGAAATGCCAAATCTGTCAACTTTCCACATTGTGCCAAACGTAACTCGCGCATATGGAAAGAGAATTGCCAAATCTTTCGCACAGAAGCATCGCTGATCAGAGGACAGTTGATCAAATCAACTTCCAAAAGTACTGGACAATGCTCAGCCAAAGCAGCCAAGGCCTCATCACCGACCAAATCACATCCACACAATTTGACTCGACGCAAGAGTTTGCAATTTTTGGCCAAAGCTGCGATACTTGCAGAAGTCACCTTTTTGCATCCTGAAAGATTTATACCTTGTAATCTTGGACAATTTGCAGCAATCGTGAATACAGTCTTGTCTGTCAAATTCTCCACATCCGTAAAATCTGCAGCGACAAGATGCTTGGTATGCTGTAAAACGCCGGAAAGTGTGTCATCTGATATGCCATTGCATTGTGTTAATGTCAATCTCTCCAATCGTGTGCAAACGTCCATACGACTGAAGAGTGAATCCTCCAAATCTTGTCCCAAAAGTGACAGATTGAGACGACGAATGAAAGTGGCATACGGGAATGTTTGATCAGGTTTTCGAATGTTGTGAATGAGCTTGAATAAGCTCGAAATTCGATGAAATGATGGCCGATGCCACAGTAATTCTACTCCGCATAGACACCAAGCTTTGCATACAGTCAAACTTCTGCGTAGATCGGGCGGATTGATCGAGACATACTTGAATATATGCAGTAAAATTTCGTGTGGTAGCGTGGCAGCGGAAGCATTTCGCGCAGTTGCTGGTGTCACGCTCCAACTCTCACTTGTGTTTACCTTTGGCACCAATGCTGCTGAGCCACGAGCTTTGAGTGTATTCCTTCGATCCTTGAATGACGGTCCAACATCTGTATAATCCTCATCGTCTTCGTCATCGTCTACTTCATCATCTTCTTCACGATCTGGATCGTCAGATTGTGACGTTATGCTGGGCGAAGGCGAAGGTCGAAAAGATGATGAAGGTCTTGGCTCTGGCACTTCCACTGACATTGATGATGATGCTGCCGCTTGTCCTAAACCTTCGTCCGCCAAGTCTTCACTTCTCACAATGGGCATATCCGTCGAAGTGGATGCCATGTTGTGCGTATATGCGCTTGGCTTGGCAAATACTTGTAGTAATGAATGTTATTTGTTATTCTTCAAAAGTGGTTGTAGAGGCAATTGCAATAATACGATTGTCTAATGACATCGATGTTGAATAGAGATCTTGCAGATGAATTGAATTGCAACAGATGCACAATAAAAGCTTTGACAGCGAGCCTTAAAAATGAAGGCGTAAAGGGGGGTTTTCAGTGTGTCACACTATGATGCCGTATTCTTTTGCCCGCTCCTTTCGGCACTACAATCGGAATGACGTGATGTGCCGTGCAAAGCAATGGAAGCGAAGAAAGGCCAACAGAAATCCGTGATTGTAAGGGAAAGAGAATTCCCTCGATTGTAGAGATGTGATTGTGTGAGTGTTTGGTGAACAACAATTGATTGCAGAATGAACAACAGTAACGTTTACAAGACAAAAAGAGGCCTGTTCGCGGACTCTCTTTAGCCCTAGGCTTTGTGTGACGTTTCAGCCCAAGGCTTATTATTATTTATGTGCGGTAAGACGCGTTTGGTATGCGTGTGCAATGCTTTACGCCGCTTGCGTATCCCATCTGCATACATTCTTATACTGCTTATCTGTACTAGAATAGGCTCTACTATAGCCTAAGATAAAATAAAAAAACTGCTATCGATTTGATTTGTGCATGTATTAATCGATTCTGTCTGTTAATTGTACAAATAGGATATGAGATGGCAAAGGCACTCAAACGTCTACTACTGCATAAGATTGTCAAAGTTGGCAATAGTTGAAGCAAGATCTGATCGTGTCGACGCTTTATTATTGGTTGGCTGCGTGAGAGAATCAAGGGATACGAATGAATTAGCATCCCGAATTTGTGGACTGAAGCATGACCTAAAACTTACTTTATTCCCCCGTCTATTCTGTGATTCTATCTGGTTTCCATCCCGCCATTTTGCATCTATATTTTGTCGAACATCTTCATCTCTTCCCTTGCGATTTATAGTCTTGCGTTTTGTTGCTTGGGATTGTTTTTGCGTTGTAGCTTTTGTTGGAGTCGGTCTTCCTGCTAATTTTGTAGATGTGACTGATTTCCTCTTTCCTGTACTAGACCCACTTGAAGAACTTGAAGTCTTTTTCTTCGCTCCAATTCGTGACATTTCTTTATTCTCCTTTATGGTAGCATTTAGAGTTGGTGGTAATGAAGTGCAGCAGAATATTTGTTTGTGCTTTGCCTCCGCTTTTGCAAAAAATAAGCGGTTCGGGAGTTAAAATGCGCCTCCGATGTACACTGAGCGTAGATTGAAATCTTGCCTCTCCACAGTGCACGTCCAAAATAAAAAGTCCCTTTCGTGCGTAAGACATGGATGTATGCAGCCATTCAATACTCAATCACACTACCATCATTTGGAGACATTTTTGCATCATCAACATTTCTCATTCAATTTACTTGACCAAAATGCAGCCTTGGTAACAGATAGCTTCACCTAACCATCAACAAGAATTCTTGGACGGGTGAAAAAGACGCCAAAAGTGAGCATTGCTCCCGTGCAAGCTCAAAGAAAATGGCATCATATAATCACCATCAAAATCATCCGCATAACGATCGATATCATCATTCATCTCCTTATCAAGCTTATCAGCCAACATTTGCAGGTCAACAGTATCCCTCACAAAATACCTATTCAACTTCAACGACAAGGTATCCCTTGCCTGTGCCTCCTTTAAATGCAAATGGAGAAAGCGTTTCAGTACCACCGCCGAATCCTTATGGCTACGATAATGCTCCGATTGGCGAACCAGGTCCAAGCTCTTTAGCTCGCTATAGTCCTTTCAGAGCCGAATCCGATCACTCTCCTATGGTAGATCCCGGTCCATTTCCTTCTAATCGTCCGATGAGTTCTTCAGTGCATGAGAACGAAATGACAAGCGATTCGCAGAGCAAAGTCAAGAGGGCAAAGTCTGCACAAAAGATTACGAGAAATCGCAAGATCACTAGCTGCTTGCAATGTCGTGAAAGGAAACAAAAATGCGATCGAAAACGTCCGGTTTGTAGCAATTGTGTAGCAGGTAATTCTAGAGGCGGAATGTGTACATACGTCGACACTGCTGAAGGTGTACAAGAAGTATTGGCCAATGAAGGTGAAAAAGACGCAAAAAGGGTCAAGAGATCACCTTCTGAAGAAGCAATACCAAACGTTGCGCAAATGCCTGCACCGATGCGACCAATGTTACCTGCACGATCTCCGCTAACTGTTCGACGACTTCATTTGATTGCCGCCACTGCTCAAGCGGGACGAGATCCATCACTGGAGTTTGAGGTCAGGGTACGGTATGCAAGAGCAGCAGCAGTGGGCTCAATCTTGTTCGGCACGCCATCTATGGGACCAGGAGCAGAAGTCACGTCACAGTTGTATCAACCATTGGCTGCAGTAGACTCACTCAAGCTACCAACGTCAGCCGAAATTGGACCTTTGTTGGACACATACCGCAGGCATATAGAGTGGATGTGCAATGTTGTGTTGGTCGATTTGAATCGAGCAAGATTTGAAAGTTTCTTGAATTGGTGGCACAGTAATCCTCAAACTTTACCCGCGGATCCACCACTTATCCCGCTCGTGCTTACAATTTTGGCATTGGCGATCCAGGCAAGACGAATGTCGACTCATTGCACTCTGGTTCCTTCTGCAAAGAATCGGGATCAAAAACGAAGCGAGAAGCATTTCGATCGCGATGGCACATCCAACAATTCACGAGCCCAATCGCCAAAACAACAACATTTACGTATATGTTCATCAGAAAAGGAACTTTTGGAAACAGCACAAAGATGCATTGATGTCTTACAGATTGCTTGTCCTTCAAATTGGGCCAGCGCCTTTTCTGCTCCGTTGGATCTTGTTCGTGCAAGCTTGTTACGTGGTCTTTGGCATATGACTGAATTACACTTGCAATTCGGCGGAAGTTGCTTTGCTACAACGATGCGACTAGCACACGCTGCTTCTCTAAATCATGATACAAGGCATTGGCCTTCGATGGGCAAAGAAGAGTCGCAAGCACGTAGAAACATATTTTGGAACGTTGCGACGTTTGAGATCATGTTCTCTATGCGAGTAATACAACCTTCGATGATCTTACCGACGAGTTACGATACCAAGTTTCCAGACGACTACGATGCTCTTGTAAATCTGTACAGATATGGCGGACTGGTGGAGCCTTACATCGTTGAAGGCAGAAGAAGCCACTTCCGAGTTACACCAGTTACAAAGAATAGCTTTGATTATCATTCCGCAAAATTCAAGCTGACTGATATCCTAATCAAAGGACAAGAAGACCTGCGATCAGGAGATAAAGGTCGTTTGGCCGAAGCACATGAGCAATGGAAGAAAGAGTTACCTAAAGAGCTGAAAAAGATCATCGACCATGGAGGATCACGCAGTCTGGGGAAAGACAATCACCCAACAAAGAGGAAATATGATGTACCAGTACTCTATACCCCAGGAGACAATGACCTTGACACCGAAACGCATTTCTTGCAAGCGGCCATGCTGCAAATGTTGGATCTTTCGGCTAGCATTCAAATTCACAGGCCACAAGCAGATGAATCAGGTCGTTGGAGAGCTCCTGAAGGTCAATCTCAGCGTTCTCTAGAGATCTGTATTGATTCAGCACAAAGATTGATTTGGTTGGTACATTCTGTGATTATGCGGGATCCTGGTCCACCTTATATCCTATATCATCAATGCGTTTTCAATCTATTCCAAGCAGCAATCGCCATCGCAATCGAAAGTGCTATCTCATCTTCGAAGGAAAGAACTACGAATATGAGTACTGCGCAATCATCGCTGCAAAAAGCGATCGAGTTGCTCGACACTGTTGCTCGGGCCCAAAATCTACGGTATGTTGCTGAACAAGCAGGCAAGTATGCTGCTACACTACGAGAGATGGAGGAAACACGCAGGAACAGGTTGAAGGGTAAGACAAGATCTGGAGCTCAGACACCACAAAGCATGCGCAATGCGGAAGCAAGCATGAGCAGCAATAGCCATCCCGGCAATGAATCGAGTGGAACGCCGAAAACCTCTATACAAAATGCTCAGAAAGCCGCTTTGGGTGTACCCATCTTGGCAGTGGCCGAAGGTGATGGAAAGATGCTTGGTGGACAGGGATACCCTCTGGGTAAAAGCGGCAACTCAAGCAATCGATCTTCACCCTTCTCTTCGAGCTCAACTGCACATCGTACAGGTCAAAGTAGTGCAAATAAATTCACGCAACCAAGATCTTATCCTCCTCAACAATCAACCCAACAGTCAATTCAATCCTTTCCACAGCAGAATACCCCTGCAAGCTCGATACGATTCTCAGATATGGGTAGACCTATTCAAGCCATTTTACCGGAATTGCAAGGGCTACACATTCCCGGTATTGACTTTTTATCTGATGGAGGTGGTGCAGTAGGTTTGGAGAATTCTACTGCGAATGGCTTGAATATGAACGGTGCTATACCTTCGATGCAAACCTTTACTGCGCCGCATTCATCTTTTGGAATTGATTTCCATGATTTACAGGTGTTTGGACATGCGGAAAATCAAGGTCGATTTGATAGTATGCCCGATGATACTTTTGCTGAACGACCGTTTGCGAATGCGAATCATTTGAACTCTGCTACTGGACCGATGAATCAGATGGTCTCAAGTCCGACTACAGCGAAGACTTATGCGCCTTCATCAACGGGAAGCGGTGTACTTGGATTTTCGCCCCCGATGAATACGCAAAACGATGTGAATGGTCAAATAGGCGGTGTAAGTACTCTTAATGTTGGACAACTTCAAACACAAACTCATCAAGATGCCGATCCGCAACCAGGATCGAACGGACAGAACGGAGGAACGGATGATGCATTCGCAATGGATTGGAGTGAATGGGAACGTACTGTTGAACGTATGTTGTATATGGATCGATGATCGATCTTTTGTGTAGGATTAAGTGCGCTACGCTATTGAACAAGTTTTGTACAACTGTATTGTTCTTTTTTGTTTTGTTATGCAATTTCATGTATTCTATATCAGTACTTTAATATAAGCGACCTTTAAAGCACACAAAGAGTCTAGACCGTATCCAAGGGGCTTGATCTGACAACAACATCATGACCAACATGAAAAGCCAACGAAGTATAGGCGCAAATCATACACCCGAGATGATTGCCCCGGCGAGATAATGCGATGAGTTTCTATGAAAGTATAATTAGATAAACCATTCCTCATTGATAGGAATATTATTTCTTGTACATAATAAAGTTTAAAATATCCCTAAGGAGATTGAAAGGTTGATCTTTGAACCGGCTCTCAACCATGCAAAATGTGTTTTGTCTGCCTAAAAAGCTATACAAACGCAACAAGAAGGTAAGCTCCATTGTTGGGATCTGGCAAAGAGGAATCTACAAACTTTGCACTGGTTTGCATAACACAATGTAGGCGCAAATTTGAGCTGGTTACGAACAGATATGCTATAAAAGAAGCAATATTCTGAAGTTTATCGATATTCTTTCTCCAACAACAACTTGTCAAAGCCTTTGCCTCAAATGATCGTTATCCAACTCTCTTCTATCTTCTTCCTCCTTCTTGGATTGATTCACGGGGGACATGGTGCTGATACTGGTAACGGTAACATTTATGCGCCCAAACCCGGGTCAGCATATCATGGCTTAGCAAATGCTTATCCTTCGAATGATTTTAGCCATCATACTGGAGAATCAAAGTTCAACCACCCTCGCTATATTCCAAGATATACCAAAGTGGGAAAGAAATTTTTTGATGTTTCGGGTTCAGCTAGATCTGTTAAACCTGGAGCAAATTATGATAACCGTTTATATGCTTCTTATGCCAATGCTGGCATGGTGCCACATACTGAAGATTCTCGTAAGATCAAAGATCCGAATGACGTTCATTCTGTCAATATGTATACGGAGAAATTACGATCACATACCCGTAAGATGAATCAAGAAGGTTCACATCAACGTGAACCGTCCAACAAGCGCAAAAGCCCTTCAACGACTACAGCTTCTAGTAAGAGTTCAATGACTACAGCTTCTAGTAAGAAACGTAACAAGGCTCAATGAATATCGTCATGTGAAAGCCAATTATTATGTGAATTGTTCCAGATCAAAGGTACACTATTCTATCATGATCGTCAAGATTACCCCATATTTGTTTTGTTTGTTTATATTTACAATCGTACCATTCAATCAATCTTTTACCCCATAGAAATATAACTCTCCGTTTAATTTGCTCGCTAGATATGCAAGCCTAAACGTTGAATAATGAAATGTGAAATCTCACTCTCCTTGCTTGCTTTAGTGCCTGCATTGCTTAAGACAAAAAGGCGGTGTTCGGACAACGGAGAAAATAAAGAAGGCGCTGGACCGGTGCCGATGATTGGTTTTTGAAAGCAACTTATTGGAAATCACGGCTAAACCGCGTGTGTGTGCTTGTGAACATACTAAAAAGGGCTGCTTTTATTACTTCTTCTCACGCTAATTGTGGCTTATACCCCTCTTCTAAGTATGCTCATTGAATGAATAATTGAACAGGTCAATGATGATTCTAGAAGAGATGAATGCGATTATGTTAATGCAGAGAAGAGAATGACCTAACCCATATAGGTAGCAGTATTCCTCTTTTACAGTCAGTCAATGGCAGGCGCGCGACTATATGCACGCGTATGCACCCTATTCTATTCAACTTTTTTGATTAAGGATGGGGTTTTAGCTTCGGGCCGTCCGTTGAAAGATTACTGGAAAACGTTCACATTCATCACCATCATAAACAAAGTAGCATCTCAACTCCACAACAATAAGAATATTACAACAATACAAGCCACCGATCATCAACATATCACAACGCTCTCATCCATGCTTGACGATTAAACGCAGGCCCGGGTCACCATTCTTCTGTGAAAATGTCCGCAAGTACTGCCTCTTCTCCACTTTCCTCTTCTCATTTGTCCAATAGTTTGACAGGTTGGCCAGAACAAGAATCTCATTCTATGGGCACCTCTTCTGCTCATCACCACCACAATCAACACAATCATGGATTAGGAATGGGAATGGAAAATCCATTCTCATTAGATCAATATTCTTGGACTTCAGCTTCAGATGCCGATAATACGCCAAACAGTAATCCATTCGATTCAGCACCTTTATCAACAATCAATCTGTCATCATGGACCTCACCCACATCAAATGGAAAAGATATTGGATCTCCATTTAATGCAGCCGGTTCACCCACATTGGGACAAATTCTTTCCAACAATGTTCAGGACCTTCCAGAATCCGATTCAGATGATGACGGAAGTAGCAGCGGCGGAAGCTATAGCAATAAAAGAGAGAGCGAAGGAGGACAAGGATCGGGCAGTAACGCAAAAGCATCCCGCAAAAGCACTTTCAAAGGACAGAGATCTTCAAAAGGCAAAGTACAGAGGCGTCAAGGTGTGACATGTGACCAATGCAGAAGTAAACATATCCGATGTATCGCACCACCCACCTCTTCTGCATCTCCAGCAAATTCGGATTTGAGCGGCCAATCAAGCATAGGAGGCAGAAAGCGATGTACTCGATGTATCGAAAAAGGTTTGGAGTGCACTCGAAATCATGCGCCCCCTTCAAGAAGATATCCTAGACCTAGTCGAACGGGCAAACGGATTGAGCAAGCTCGTTTGATGCATGGATCCATCGAAGGAGCTCAAGCTGCTGCTAGACTGGATGCAAGCACAAACGATCTAAACATTCTCGGCCAAGTTGGTGGCCTTCCTGTGGGTATGCACTCATTGCCTATCTCAATACCTCATCAATCCAACAATCAATTACAGCAGCATGTCATTGCAGGCTCAACGTCGCTTCGTCTATTGACATGCTTCTTCGCTTCAGCGCATATGCAATTGCCAATCGTGGATTTCCACAATTTCAGTGCCAGGTATAATTTCTCTCAAGGTAATTCTCGTATTATGAGTGTGATGGCGAATGGAGGTGATGAAACACAAAGAATTCCATCCGCAAGACAGAGTGCGCCTGGTCTACGTATGACCTGTTGGCCGCCTACCAATGGAACCAGTACGCTGGCTACGCCAGGAACGACTGAAACCTTGATTGCCGCCATGCATGCTTGGGCGGCAGTGTATACGGATTTACCCCTAGCATTTGGAACCAATGCTGGATTGTTGGAGCTAAATCGACGAGATGAAGATCAGTCAGCTGGCTCAAGTGCAAAAATGCCTTGGTCTTCAGATCAACCAAAACAATTCTCACAAGAAGCTGAAGCTGATGCAACCGCCGCCTTTGGCGAAGAATCTGCTATGGTGATGGGTGCCAATGGTAAATTACGCAGACCGAAACGTAAGCAAGGCGTTGCATGTGATACTTGTCGATTGAGAAGACTTCGATGTGATAAGCTGGAAAGGCCGGAAGGAATGGGTTGTAGTCGATGCGAGGATAAACGAATTGTTTGTACCGATGAGTACATTCAAACGAAACGGGCAAAGTCCATGGCAGCAGCAGCAGCTGCTGCTGCAAAGAAATCACAACAAAGCGATGCGACACCCAGCTCAACCGAAAGCCACACGATTCCATTGTCCAACACGTCTTCTACTCAAGGCGAAAAAGGTACGACCGATGGAAATATGACAACTTCAGAAGAAACCGATGTGATCAGCAGTGCACGTAAATTACACGCACAAGATCTTCCACGCGGATCTGGACCGAACTCTTGGGATGGATCTAGTCATGAACAACGAGCATGGATCGACGACGGTCCCAGATTGCCCAAGAATTATACTTTCGGACGAGGAAGAGAGATGATTGCATATGGAAAAGCACGTCAAGCGTTCGTTCACCTGATGCTAGAACGTGCATTGAATTTGGCATATCGTCATGATTTATTAAAGATGCCCAGTATTGAAGCCATTCAAGCACTGCTAATCTTATCACAGGTCTCCTCTCTCGTCCGACGCGAGGATGCTGCAACCGAATTGGCTGAAGCGGTTAATAGCCATTTGAACATTCTCGGATTGGAAAGCAATGATGAGGTAGATGAACAAGATAAACTCGCAGTCGAGCTTATCTTGAGTCAGTTGCAACGCAAGAGATTGTGGTGCTGCGTTTGGGGTCGTGATGCTCTGGTTTCGGGCTTGTTCAGATCAGTGCCTGCATTCGATGCCGAAAGAGCAATCGGTATTAAAGGCAATCAAAGTCAAAGGAGTGCGAATCCACAAGGTGAACGAATCAATACACAATTGGAGAACACTACACTCTTGAAAGGCGCGAATAATGGTAAAAGTCCGCGAATCCAATCACCCAACGGTAAACTTGAGCTGAATGGGCAAATGGGTCTGTCTTTCTCCATCTTAGCCCTTTTACAAGTTGGCGCTTTGGCAAGATTCATGAACAAACATATCGATAACATTTCGCATTCCCGTCCTGCGATTTATTTGGGACCTGGAAGCGGTCTTGCATCTCGTCAAGCTCCACCTGACAGATTCCCAATGATGCCCACACCTCTCGAGATGCGTAAATTGCAAAGGGCATGCTTTGCTCTGTGGCGTAGCATTGATTCGCTATTGTTATTCTTTGATGAATGTGCGCTGAAAGCACGTGAGAATATGGCAAGTTTGCATCCTTTCCAACCTTTGGGATGGATCGCAACACTAAAAATTACGGCTGCCATGTTGGATTTGAGTACGTACAGGATCATTGGTGAAAGGATCCATCTAGCACGCACTTATATTCAAGCCACTGCAACACTTTCGAACAACGGTGTAGGAGGTGACATTGGCGGCGTGATGGGCATGCAAGAAATGATGATGGAACAAATGACGCAATTGGAAGCGTTAAGATCTGCATCACAAAAGCGTTGTTGGACTTCTTGTAGACGGATCGCCTTGATGGTTGAATTTTTGTTAAGCAAGAATGTTTTCCAAACTGGCGGTTTATTGATGCGCAGTATTGTTCATATTGCCAACTTTTTGGTTCATCAACCAGCAGCTTCTGCCGCTACACTTACTACTTTGTCAGAAGAAGGCCAGCAAAGCAATCCTATCCTTGGTCTTCATGAGCCTGCTTCAGAACAAGATCAAGGTTCAGCGCAACAAAGCATCGATCCGCGTTCAATCTTTGGTACGGGTAACACTGCCAACACTTCCTCAGCAACCTCTGCCTCTAATCAGAGCAATCCCGAATCAACAGACGGACATATTCCCGAAAATGTCTTTACGGGACAATTGCCACCTTTTGATGCAACACGAAAGTATCATGAAGTTCAGCTTTGCCTTGAAGCAATGGCACAAATGGGTTATGCTTGGTCTGGAATCGATCAAGAAATCGCTCAAGTTCAACAGGCACTTCAATTTGCCTCTATGTAAGTGGTGGTATTCTTTTCTCAGCACACTGTCATTCCCGAAGGAATACTTGTATTTTGTTAATATGGTTTATAAAAGCTTTGCTAATATCATGGAATCGAACATCAGGAAAGGAATAGAAAATAGAAAAAGTCTCATTGTCGTTGCAACGATTATTGCACAGCTACTTGAGCGCAAGACGTTGGATTGACAACCGCGCCTTTCGTATCTTGCAAGTTCACAGTGGCTTGATAAGTTGATGCGTCCCCATCCACAATCACGTCAACGCTCCTTGCTGATGGGTTAGTAACCCATTTGCTGTAGAGCTTACTTGCACCACTTTGTCCCACGATAACATAGAAGCCAGCAATATTCGTTGCCTCAGTTGCCCATTTAACAGTGATCGTGTTGCCTTTGTGCGTTGCGGACAAACTGCTAACGCCGCCACCCATCGGGACGATCTGATTGTCAACAACCGAAAACGAATCTGAAGTCCAGAAAGGCGTTGCTTTTAACGGGTCTTGACCTTGTTTGAATGCTTTGATGATGAATCCTGTGGCTGTACCTTTTGCGCCCGTATAACATGGCGTGATCTTAAAAGGTAAAAGTGTATAGCCATTCAACAAATCATAAGCTCCTCGTTGACCTGAAGCAGTTGCATTCACCACCGCAAAAGGTTGATTACGGTCATTTTGAATCACAGTTTGCGAGAGGTATTGTTCACCTGACGAAAATTTACCGAAAGTATAATAATCGTATTTGCCATCGTTGATATCGCGTTTGAAGACGATTTCCACGTTGCAGGTATTATCAGGAGATACTGCGAATAAGGATAAAGTGTCAATAGTGTTGATGGCAACCAGGTTGTATTGAGACATACTCACAATAGAATGCTTTAAAGTCGATTGGTGCTTTGATAGAACTGTCTGGCCATTGAGCAGCAGCATGTACAAAGCTCACGGCAGCCAAAGCTGCACACGTAAAAGATAAAATCTTGTTTTGAATAAACATCTTAAGATATGGTTGTAGGAAAGGGGAAGGAGAAATGATTAAACTTGCTCTCTTTTATCCCTTTCTCATCAAGCCCCTCTCTTCATAGCCTCAGGAACGCATCATTCCGTAAATATACGAATTCAAAACAAAGCGGCACCGCAATTCATTTCGCCTCGCAGTTCCTTGGCGTCTATTGATCGAGATTGGAGGAGAAATGCCGCTCATAATTAAGGTTCAAAACGACCCATTGAACTTTGTCAAGATGAAAGCGTGGAAAAACATCTTATTTGCAGTATCATGAAGAAGGAATGGACGTATAACCCTATTTGTGAACACGGCTTTTACTATCCGCTTATTCGGATAAACCTTAGGCAGCAGAAGAAGGATAATCTTTAGCGCGAGAAGTTAAAGCTTATTCAGATAGCGAGTGCATATATCAGATCCTTTTCGTGGAGGGAATTGGATGACTCACAACTGTCACACGATAACAACAATGTCAGGAAAGCAAGAAGAAGAATTTGGAGAATTGGAAAGATATACATCTTCTCCTAATCCATGCATAGTGGAAAGGTTGACAAATATAGGATTTGCCTTACTCGGATTGGCAGCTTTGGTCATAGGCGGCATATATGGTTCCCTCCAAAAGCTGTTAATCGCATGGAGTAAAGGACAATGGCAAGGTTCAGTCACTCTCAATCCAATCAAATGGAGAGACGCAATTACGGCAAATGGTATCCCCGCTTTATTGAAAGGATCAGATTCGAGTAATGGTCCGTTTAAGCGATCATTGATATTCCCGAACGCATACGGCAACGTTTTGGAAGTGGGTGCTGGGACCGGGATGACCCTCAAGTACTACAATGTAGACAAGATAAATCATATCTATCTGATGGAGCCATGTGTAGAATTGCATGATGAATTACGACGATCCATCGCTGCAATTCCCGCTTTGAAGGATAAGACGACAATCTTATCTTGTGGTATCGAAGATCGCAAAGACTTAGAAAAAGCAGGCGTTTTTCCAGGTACAATTGATACAATTTGTCTGGTCCAGGTCTTGTGCTCTATACACGAGCCAGAAAAGCACATCGCCATGCTTCATTCATTACTCAAATCTGGTGGTCAATTACTCTTATTCGAGCATGTCATCTCACTAGATCCAATCACCATTATCATCCAAAAAAGCTTCACAAGTCTGATTTGGAAACATGTCGCGGGAAATTGTCATCTAACTCGAGATCCTTCCAAAATGTTCTCCGTACAAGCTGGTTGGAAGAATGTGTCGCTCACCAAACCTAAAGGTGAAGGCGGTCAAGATTTGTTCCCCCATCAAGTTGCACAATACCTCAAAGTATGATCACAAGGTGACAAAGAGGAAATAAGAATCATGCACCAATGTTATGTACAAATTAAGAGCTTTTTCAATTCGAAAACAAGGTTTCGATTTCTGGCGAGCGGGTATGAAATGATCCTATTGAATGAGTGTGGGGAGATAAGAGAGTACAGCTATGGTGGAGCCCCCTTTGCCTTTGATTGCGGGAAGAATATCAACCTTTTATGCATCGGATTTGTACGCATCCAAAACACGTTGTCTACTGGTTTGCATTGGAATCTTTTCCGATCCATCACCGCTGACATCCTTGTTACGACTGAATCGGTTCTTGAAGCTACTGAACTTGCTGCCGATACCACCACCCCCATAAGAATTATCATATGCAGCAGGATAACTATCGCCTCTCTTCTCTTTGCGCCAACCGCAACAAACGGTAAGAGCGCTAAAGAATAGCAAAGGCAAAGAGATCAAAGTGAGATAGAATGCCGGTCCAGGAACGACGCTGATTCCGCTTGTGATTTGGTTAAGCTTGTTACGAGTATAGATGTACAATGCGATTTGAATGGCAAAAGCGATCAATGCCAAAATGAAAGCGAGGAAGTGCACAATGGAAGCAACCAACATGACCATCAAATGAGGAATGAACGATAAGATGAATCCGATCACTGCGAACACAAATGCGACAACAACGACCACCAAACCACGAGTCCAACTTGATTTAATCTGTGTAGTTTGATAAGCAGCTTGTGAGTTATCTTGTGCACTTTTAAAGGTGATATTGTATCCATGTTGATTATTTGAACAATATTTGTAACCTTTATCGATCACTCCTTCGGTACAGTAACCCCAACTTCCCAATTTCAAACCTGTCAATAGACGATCAGGACTTGCGCCCGTTCCAGTAACATCTGTAATGTTGCCCAATTGAGTAGCTTGAACGAAGTTGAAAGGGCTTGAGGTGTGAAAGGTTGTTGGTGTACTGATTGTGCAAAGCAATAACAAAACCCAAGCAATGAAAGAAGTGACCAAAGCTGGCACGCAAAAAGCCTTTCTACCCATTTTGATGATGACAACGTGCAAACGAAGCGAAAGGGTGGCAGAGAGGTTAAAGGATGGTGTTTTTGTCTGAAAGCCTTGAATGCAGAAGAATAATAAAAATAATTGTGAACAAACAATCAAAACCGAGTGCTTGCTTGCTTTGCTTTTTTTGCTTTTGCCCGTCAAGTGTAAAATTTCCCGTGTTTGAATTGGCATGTATTTTTAGACGGCATCAACACAAACAAGGCACGGCATGAGTCAAAGCACACCTGACGGACATTGATGAACAAGCGCCAAATTAAGCATTTAACCAGAGGAGTGCACTTATTAAAGGCACTTTAGGAGAGTAAATATACTTCATACTGTTTGCCCAACACTAAACTCATGATTCACACTGACATTTCGGCTGCTTCAACTCTCCACATGCGACCGAGACTAAGAAAGATCTTATAGAATGAATGCAGCATGCAAACACAGCCTTTGATGTTAAGGTGACCTTTGGGACATGCCGAACTGTGAGAAAGAGATGATCAAAAGCAAAGCCACTTACGAACAAATGTGCTCTTTGGGTCTTTGACATTCGGCAGCTTGTCAAGATTGCTTGAATGTACACTTGGAGTATAGATGTCACTCATTAGCCAGAGATTGAAGGTATCTAATAGGATTGCATTACACGGAAAGCGTATGTATAACACGCAAGATGAAATTGAACGTAAAACTGTTTTGAATCGAATTGAAGACAAGAGCTTGATTTGATGGGCTTCTTGTTGATGAAAAGATGAAAAAAAGGGTCCGTGTGATTGCCAATCGGAAAAGTTTGTTTACATGTGATACATCTCTGCAAAAGAAAGAGTGTCAGTGTCAATACACGCAATCTCACCCAAATCGGTACTCACGTTTATCACTCATTGGAAGACAATAATAATGCTCGATACGTTTCATGAATCGCCAACACATAAAGTATGCGTAAAGCTGTAATCCGAAATCGATCACCAAAGCAAGAACAAAGGCGATATAAAGGCTATGAAAGCCTGCCGAACAAATCCCAGAAGGCATACTTGAGCCATTACTGTAACCCATTGCAGCTGATTCACCCCATAATTGACCACCATTATTGCATTCCCAAATAATTTTTCCTTGTTGTCTGTCTAATTGAAAGATCATCACTCCAGCACGAACGGCAACTGTGAGTAAAATTATCGGCCAAATGAAAAAGCAAACTCTTATCCACATATAGGAAGAATTACTTAAACCGATTATATTAATCACGCAAATTGACATTACCGCCATCCCAATTCCACCATAAATTTGCCATTCGGGATAATCGAAAAATAGATATTGTCCATCTCTGAATAATAGAATTGCTCCGGCTAAATTGTACGCTGCAATGAAAACGTCCCATGCAATCGCTCCATGTTTTAGTGGGAAAATCAATAGACAATTGTCGCACCACATTGTTGGGTGATGTTGATTGTGTGAGAAAAGGGGTATAAGTCGTTAATCTTGAATTCGTTAAAATGATAAAATCGTTAGAAAGTCGTAAATAAAGTCGTGAAGTGGCGAGGATGAAGGGAGGGAAATTTTAGTGATGATGGCGAAGAAAGTAGTTGATCTGCAAGAGCGCAATTTACACTCTCATACAATTGACATCAATGTATGCTCATGGATCAGACAAGGTGGATAAACAAATGACTGTATGCACCATAAGATGCTGTTTCTCATACACTGCAGCTGTGTAATACCAATTGTCAATTCGATCAGACTGTTTCATCAATATACGAGGTTCGTGCTTTATTGCAGGTAATTTGCCTTTGTGTAGGATGATCAATTAGGACAAAGTTTACCATAATCGTTCAACAAAGACAAATTACCCCTGAGTTGATGGTTTTGTTTGTGCATTACATGCTAGTACACCAAGCCACTCTCACGGATTGGCCCCTATAACTTTTCGCTCAAAAAGGGTTTAGCGTTAATTGAGGAAAATCATTAGCGCGAAGGATCACGTGTATTTCGAGACGGATTCTTGAGAAGAATGGACTTGCTCCAATTCAGGAACAGCAATCTGCTTTTCGATCTCGCCTTTCACAATCTGTCAAGATGGCGGACACGGAGATGCCATATTCGTTCGTAACAGTGATAGCGGATCAATTGTTATGCCTAGTCTCGCCTTTGATCACAAATTTTGTCTCTTTGCAAACGGGTAACGTGGTTGGATCAATCACCAATCCTTCCTCTGAAGCGGCAGCAAGATGTGCAGCTGCAATCCAAGTACCATCTGCTTCAACTTCTTCAAATGAAAGATTGGATTGTTTAGTCGCTTTGGCATGTGATAATAAGGAATTGAGCGTATACAGATTGCAATTCGATCAAGCTTCAGTTCAGAATGCATCCCTGGTCAAAATATGGTCGCATTCCATGCCAAAACGAGTGAGCAAGATTCAATGGGAAGAAGATAGTTCAGAGGTTGAAAAGAGAATCGTGATCGGTGATAGACATGGAGACGTGAGGAGCTATATTGTTCCCATCTCCGAAGATGAACTTTCCGAACCACAGGCAAAACGACAAAAGGTAGAAGAATCAAATGGAGAAGATTCCAAAAATGCAGAACAAAAGATGGAAGATGAAGAAGATTCAGGAACGTTGCACGTAGGACATGTATCCTATTTGACAGATTTCGTCTTGTCATCCTTCACATCAAATCCGCCCGAAAACACTCCCGCTTCGTTTCTGATAACCAGTGATAGAGACGAACATATCCGAATCTCACGTTGGGGTAACAGAAGGGCGGGGTACATTGCATTGCGATATCTACTGGGTTCAACACAGGCTATCGGGGGCATTTGTGCAATAGAAGGAAGTTTATGGCAGGCAGTACAGTCCTCAAAGTTGTTGAACGAACGTGGAGAGAATGCAAGTCAGTTCCCCTTCCTCATTTCAGCGGATCTTAGTACGCTTCGAATTTGGAGTCTACATCCGGACAGCAAGTCAAAAGGAAGGAAAGATTGCTTGGCTGCTGTATCTCTCGAAGAAGCTTTATTGCCGTATGTGATTGTCGACTCAAAGAAGGAAAGGAAGCGCGATCAAATGTTCGGCAAAGGGAAAGTAAGAGTGCCTAGAAATGAACAAGGTGCACCTATCTTGACAAATGGTGTAGATCATGTGCCATTGATTATACCAATTATCACCAAGATACGAGCATTCATCGATCCGACCGGTCAAAGTCAGCTAGTCTTTACTGTTGATGGAGGCAAGGCACTCTTTGTCATCTCTCTAGCATCTCTCATCTCAGCGAGCAATAGTGACGAAGTGATCAAAGCACTAAAGCCTTTAGAGACGCCTCTACCTATTCTGGAATACACCATACATCAACATGACGCAATTACAGATGTCTGGATGGTCCTTGATGTGAGGCGGGAATTTGTCAGCGATGAAAGCATGTCAAAGAAGCCAATTGCTTTGGCCCGCTGGAACGAAGCACAGGGTGGCCTTTCTTTTATTTCAAAAGACCAACATCCAATCCTGCAATCTGGTGCTTTGGCACTTAAAGCCAGTTGGGACGATGCTTCGGGTATGGTATTATACGATGCTCTTACCATGTTTACCAAGCGTGATTTCGAGTATTCCGAATCCGTTGATGTGATCTCTCAAGATGGCTTGATAAAAGGAGGTTTACCCAATCATGAAACTCCTGGTCGACCTGCAAGTACTACGAATAAAGATCAAAGCGAAAAAGTGACGAGAAGACGAGAATTAGCGCGAGAAGAGATGAAGAAACGAATTGAATCGACATTGAACAAATGAGCAAGCAAGCAAAAGGAAGTTGTATTTTTATCCTCATATCTGTAAAGCATATGTGCAATAGTGAAATAGCATCAATAATTGTGTAAAATTGTAAATTGCGTGCGATTGTATGTGCGGATCGTTGGTCATCCTCGTTTCATGGGGCTGCAGCCTGAAAGACGCTTCCCTCTTGACAATGGTTTTACGATCCTTGCTGAATTTTCTTCTTCCACAAATGCCTATAAAATCGTTACGAGAGCAATTATCACGTACGATGAAAACAACAAAATGTACAAATCCAAACGAAAAGATCAATCAGTCGTTCAGCATGAATGAAGATACCATTAATGTACTATCGTACACTAGTTTCACACAAAGATTCCATCGAAGCTCACTAAGAGCCATCAAAATGAAGCCCCTGTGACGAAAAAAGTCATCGATGCACGATATCAACCTCTTCTGACAGTCGATCGATCCTCGTTTGAATTCGTACGGCTTATTTGTGGGATTGGTTAAAGGAAAGAAGGAAGAGGTCAACTTGCAAATTACGCGCTTTAAATTCCAAATCAATAAGCCTTCACGTGCTTTGATCAAAACCAAAAAATTTCAGAAGAAATGACATCTTAACATGCTCACCTCCACGAACATATACATCACACCACATCACATCATCAAAATGAGTAACGGAACAACAAGAATATTATCAGAAGAGCAAATAGATGAGATACTGTATTGCAGTAGAGCAGGCGAAGTAGAAGATCTAAAGACATCCTTCGATAGCTGTCTAAAAGAGAACCACAACTTTGACGAAATACTCAAATCGATTCAAGATTCAAACGAATCACAAAATTCACCTTTGCATTATGCGGCGGCGAATGGACATCATGGAATCGTGAGCTACATTCTAGAAAAAGCTTCTTTGGCAAGTATATTAGCACAAAACGATGCAGGAAATACACCTTTACATTGGGCAGCATTCAATGGACATTTGGAAATTGTGAAAGATTTGATCGATCGAATCGAATCACTTGCTCCAAAGTCTACCTCGGAAGCAAGTACGAATGGTGCAAAGCTGACAGAGGAAGAGCGTGATGCAATCGCAGAAAAGGAAGCAAGACAGAGAAGTATATGGGATGTGGTAAATAATGCAGGAAGAGGTCCTATGAGTGAAGCACAAATGAACAACAAAGAAGCAATTGTAGACTTTATGCTTCAGCGAATGGTTACCGCTCCAACAGGTGCACCTAGTGATGAAACCGTCCCAGAGCAAGACACCAATAAACCCGCTGAAGCTGCAGTCCAGTCAGAAGAGGATGGCATCACACGAAAAACACAAGATCTGAATCTGCAAAAGGAGAACGCTGCTTAAGTGATCCGACACAACATACCAATGTACTTCTAGCCAATGCAAGATTATTATAAATCCAGAGTTTGTTAAAGAGATATTGCTTAGTATACATATGATAGAGTGTTACAATTGAGGTGCTTCTATTCCAGTTTCGCAGCCTTTTGGTTTTCATCTTCCTCCTCATCTGCACTTGCACGCTTTCGAGGTACTTCCCGATTCATCAACTCATCTAGATCATCGTCATCATCGCTGTGATTGATACTGTCCCCATTCGCAGATGTGCCAGCTTGCTGTTGTATTTCTCGTGCCAATTTTGCTGCTTTCTTCTTTCCGATTGGTTTTTGACTTTGAGCTAATCTTTTCGCTTCCCATCTCTGTTGTTTCTCTGCTGCTCGCTTCTCTTCATCTTGCTCTACTTTCGAATGTCCGTATCGCTCTTTGATGATCTTATCTGCTGCTTTATACCTAGACATATAATCTTCCCACCATCTTGCATTCCTTGCTCTAGTCTTCTCTGCGTCTTCAGCTTGATCTGCCCAAAATTGACGAACACGTTTATCACGCATTTCATCAAGTTTTCGTTCTTCTGCTTTAGTTTTTGATGCTTGTTCATCGTTTGAGCCTTTCCCTGCAACCATTGGATTCAAAGTACCAACCAATTCCATTCCTTCAACTTCTGCTGCCACAAGGGCTGCTTCACCTTGAGAAGTTTGATTCAAGATTGCTTTTTTGAAAACGCATCTTTTCACGCCTGCGCTTAAGAGCAATTTCATACAATCGTTGCATGGCGGAAAAGAGATGTAAACCGTACATCCTTCTATCGGGATACCTAAACGTGCACATCGAGAGATCGCCAATGCTTCTGCATGTACTTCAGGAACGCCTTTTGCAAATCGTGCGAACAAGAGAGGCGTATTGTTGGAATAGTGAATAATACGTTCTTGAACGGGAGGTAGGCAACCTTTTGATCCGCTTGCAGCTGTTGGATCACCTTGCTTTGGAGGTCTTGTCAGAATGCATCCCATATGTCCTTTCTTCGATGAGGAATGTCGAGCCAATATTGAAACCCAGGTCAAAAAGTTTTCATCTTCGCTTAATGCTGAGTCGAATTCGTATGGTGGTAATGGCAATGGCTTCAAGAGCGTACTGATCGGCTCATCCTCAACACTCGCCATCTCGATGTGAGAATTGTCGAGTAAATGCAGTCGAGAAGGTAAGAAGAAGTGCAAATCGGGAAAAAAAAGAAGAAATGCTCCGCACGACATGCAAAACAAAAATTAAGACGTTTACAGTAGCGCGTCAATAAACATCAAATCTATGTGATATACCTCCACCATCAAGCTGCTAAATCGAAGAGATGGATGGTCAACAAGATCCAAGTAGCTCTACTTCACATAATGTATCGCTGAGTGAAGCAATCATTGCCATCAAGAAGTTGGATAGATTCGCATTTTATGGCACTTTGGCAGAAGAATATCGCGAAGAACCTTTAGCAAAAATACAAAAGGTATCTGATGTTGTTGATGAGATTGGATCTGAAACAAGAAATAAACCATCACGATTTAGTCGATTAACAGGTATTGCACAACTACATCGCGAGAAAGCTAGACAGAGAAGGCAATCGCGAACTTCATTGAGGAGGAGTGCAAAATCAGATAATACACAAAAGACAACTCTCAATAATGAACGCTCATCGACATACAGACCCTTCTCGCTGGATATGCTCTTAGAGCGCTTATCGACGTTTTCGATTTCAACTTACTCAAACAAGCCAGATGCAGCACGACTACTCAGCCCGCTTGGAATGGCAAGTAATGGATGGATACATGGCGCAGGACAAGGGCGAGACGAGGTGAGCTGCGTTACTTGTGCCGCTGCTTGGAAAGTGGAAGCTCCATCTAATTCCACCTCAAAAGAAGAGCAAGCCACAGTCTGGAAAGAGAAGGAGAAGGATGTACGTGAAAAGCACGAAGAATGGTGTCCATGGAGAATACGAAGCTGCTCGCCTTCCCTATACAAGGCACCTATCCGATCAGTTCTAGAAACCCGAGCCGATGTAACAAAATGGGCTTCTAGGCTGTCGGCTTGTCCAGGATTTGAATCAGTAATGATTGCATCCGACACAAAAGAGGTGAGCACGAACGACTTTGCAGACAAATTTCCAGATCTTCCGGCTGCTGCTTTGATCTTGGCAATTTTTGGCTGGCAAGTATCCGGAGAGGGCTCACCGCCAATCGATCAATGTATCATCGCATGCTCCATGTGTGCTCGAAGGGCTGGGCTATGGGCTTATACGAAAGATGGGAAACAATTCGATGTATTGCGAGAACACAAGTCCTATTGCCCGATCATAAATGGAGAAGTGCAAAGTGGAAGTTGGATGCATGCAGGGCAAGCCGATTCACTTACTTCAAGCAAGAGTCAATTATTGCCGGCATGGCAGCTACGCTTGCAACTTCTTCTAGGGAATAAAGCAACTTCCTCAGATGAAACACCAAAGCAATTTGATGCCAGAAATATGCGAAGTTCTGAAATATTGGCAAAGGTAAATGCACTGCTAGACGGTCGAACAAGTTGACGTTTAAGCTTGAGCTCATGTACAATAGAATCACCACATGTATTATCTTCAAGAATCTTGTAATTATACGCATAATCTAGCAAGCTAAGTATGAAAACCCTTTCTGCTTGCATCACTTTGACTTGTTCTTCTTGCCATCAACAGCACCTACGAAGCCTTTGCCAGTTAGACCTGCAACTTGATCCCATTCTCTCTTGTATACTTTGTCGATAGCTTTGTGAAGCTGTGTGACACCTGTGGTGATACCCATGAAAAGCACTGCACAAACGGCATACAGTCCCCATCGTTGAGCGTTTGATAAGATTTCGAGTAATGGATAAGGATAATTTCCGTTTTTGCTTGCACAAATCTCTACCCAAACACCATAAGCTGCAGTACTCAAAGCACTAACGGCTGCAGGATGAATGTCTTTTGGGAATGGTGGTTCGAAAATCAAATAATCCAAAACCAAAAAGATTGCAGGTGCTGCATGAAATGAAAGATCGTCCAATAAAGGTAATCGAACAGTTTCCATGATCAATTGAGCTGGATTATCGGGATTTAAAACTTTGCGTGGAGGGATCAGTAAAGATGGATCAAAGAGTAAGATTGGCCAATACAATAACGAAATCAAAACTTCTGCTGGCATAGTCAATGCCATTAACATTGTTTTGAATCGATGCATTCCGGTAGAAGTTGGAGAAATATCACAGGAAAGAGCGAATAATGTTGTCAATCTACCGAACCATAATCCTAAAACTGTCAAGAATTGATAGTGTGATCCAAATTGTGATTCGATATTAAATCCGGAAATGTTTGCATGAACGGGTAACTTTCGAAGTGCATACGTTAAGATCACCAACGCTACTCCATGCCATGCGAATGCGGCCAAACGGCCAGGAGTGATAGCAGTCCCTGTCGCCATGTTGTTAGCACTTACAGTACTTCTCCAACCGAATTTATACGGAATGGATTGAAGTGTAAGAAGGTTAGAAGGATGAATGAATGATGTGTTGGTTTCCTAGCATCAGTGGAGGCTTAAGCTGCGCTGTAAAAAAGGAGACTGCCCTTCTGCCAGCATTGTTTTATTAATCATTGGCGCCAAAAATATTAAGACGTGTTTGTCATTGCAGCATACATTTACACTTTCACACCTTTACATTCAACATGACCACTGAAACAGGAGAGACGAATGCTCGTTTAGAACGAGAAGTAAGCCATGATGAGGATTTCCATGGAAAGAATGACGACAGCTCATCAGGTTCTGATAGCGATGATGCAGGATCAGACGTTGAAGGAGGAGGGAAGAAGAGAAAAGGGGATGAAATAGTGGATTTGGATGATGATGAAGCAAAGGCATTGTTGGAAGATCTAGGCACAGATGTAAGAGAAGGCAAGCGGATACGGAGAGGTGATGTCAAGAAAGCCGAAGGCGAAGAGGATGGAAGCAAAGCCAAAGAAGGTCCTTCTTCGCAATCTGACCAGATTTGGAAGTCGATCCAAGAAGGAAAGGATGCCAAGGAAGAGTCCAGCTCCTCCGTCCAGCAGGACGAGATGGTGACAGTATTACGGACCTACAAATTCGCAGGAGAAGAAGTTGTCAAAGAAGAAAGGCTACCCTCATCTGATCCATTTGCAAAACAATATCTGGCAAAACAAGCACAAGCCAAAGCACAAAGTGTTCCAAACTCAACAACCACTTCGGGAAATGCCACTTCATCTCGTCCTGCTCCACCACCCGGACCTCGTCGTAAAAAGGGAGGAGGTTTGGCAGCTATGAGTGCTGCAGCAACTGGTAAGCCTGACAAGCTCAACACTTTAGAAAAGAGTAAGATGGATTGGACAAAATATAAAGATTCCACTTTGGCTGAACATGAACGTCATGAGATGGACGCACAAACAAAAGGTGGAAGTAGTGGATTAGGATCGATGAAAGGATATATGGAAAGACGTAATTTCTTAGAACGTGTACAAGATAGGCTAGAAGGGCAAGAGAGAGGAGGATCTAAGTAAGGATTTGTAAAGTATGATAAATGCATTCTTATAGTCTATCATTAGAGTAAACCCTTCACCGGATTTAAAGCACGCGATTTCCGAGAACACACTCTTTAAGTTTGAATGCACGGACTGTCCGAAGTGGGTGTGGAGTAAAATGAATTGAAGCGGGAATACTCTTCTTTCCTTCTTTGCCATCATCACAAGAATGTCAACAAATATGAACTCATACACTCAAACATTCTTGAAACGTGTCTTCTGGGGCCCTAATTGCTTGGAAAGTGCACTTCCAGATGCATTGTCATTGGTATCAAAGAACAAGAAAGCACTAATCATCACCGGTCGTTCGCTAGACAAAAAGACTGACGTCGTTCGTCAAGTTGAAAAAGTTTTAGGTCCTGCACATGCTGGCACTTTTGCAAATATCGGTCAACATGCTCCAATCGCTGATATTCGTCAAGTTGTTGAACAAGTTCGTCAACAAAAAGCAGACGTTTTAGTAGCCGTCGGAGGTGGTTCTCCAATCGATTCAGCCAAAGCAGTCGCATTCTTACTTCAACAAGAAAATGCAGAACAACATAAGCCAGCCTCTGATGAACGTGACTTTTTGCCAATCATTGCAATTCCTACAACTTTATCAGTAGCAGAAACGACGCAAAATGCAGGTTATACAAGCGAAGAAGGCAATAAGACCGGTGCCTCCCATCCTGCCATCGTTCCAAGGGTTATCATTTACGATGCTGCTCTCACTCTTGCAACTCCTGAAAGGCTATGGCTTTCTTCTGGTATGCGAGCTGTAGACCATGCTATCGAGTTACTCTACAGGCCAGGTGATTCTGGAATCTTGCTTTCCACTGCTTTGGGTTCAATTCGGGAATTGTTCTACCTTTTACCCGCTACCAAGAAACAGCCAGAGAATCTTGAAATTCGCCAAAAACTTCAATTGGCATGCTTCCAATCGCTATGGCCAGAAGGTAGAAAAGGCGCTTTAGGTCTTAGCCATGGACTCGGTCATGCTTTGGGAGCAAAATATGCGATCCCACATGGAATCACGTCTTGTTTAACTTTGCCGGGTAGCATTGCCATCACTTCTCAAGCACCTTCGACATCCAATACTCACCTCTTAGCATTGTCAGATGCATTAAACTTCATCCCTCCCTCGTTCTACGCTGGAGGAAACCAACAAGCAAATACAGCCTTACCACCGCCTTCAATCTTGGCATCACAATTATCGCCAAAGGCGCAAAAAGATGGTTCGGTTGGCAGTGCAGAAGAGGACGGCTTGATCAAACAAGCCCGTGCTCGTGGTTTGCTAGTTAGTCAATCAGTTCGCAAATTAGTGGAAGATTTAGGCTTACATTCAACTTTGGAAGAATACAAAGTGCCAAAACAAGATTTCGAAACGATTGCCCATCATGTCACACGCGGACAAGACGCCGCTTTGCAGCAATTGATTGTCGCCATGCTGAATGCAAAGTATGATGACAAACCAGGACATTTGTAAAGGATCTTGTGCCTGAATGCTAATCTCATTTTCATCATCAAGCATAAAGATCCTGGCTGAATTTTGAGAGAAGGGCTGAAAGTTGCGCGTTTTGTGTTGCCGAATTCATTGCTCACGCCTTTCGTTGCCAAATGAGGAGGCGTAGAGGATTCTATTACTCGATAATAATGATGATTGGCTATAAATAAGCAGAATGTTCAAGCAGTTGAGAAAGCTGATTTCCTCACCCCACTCTTCTCTCTCTTATCATCCGATTTCGGTTCCTGAACTCACACGTACGCTGGTCGTGCATCAACATAAATTCTTCTCAATTCCCAAAACACATTTTAAACGAACTTTTAACGCAATGGTTCATCTCAATTCTCGCAGCTATTTTGCTGTTCTTTCAACTTTTCTCGCAATTGATACAATTCAATCCCGTCCTATTCAATCCTTACTTTTGAACAATCGTGATGCAAGCGTCACTTCTTCAACAACCATTCAAGATGAAAATCATCTTCAAACCAGATCACAATTACCTTCTAATTCTGTTCCGCTAAAGGTTCGTGAAGAAGAACTTCCAAAAGATCCAAAAGAATTCGGTAGACTTTCAACCAATCACGGTGTAACTGCACATGCGTTTACAGAATCCGAATTATCATCTTTGCGTAATCCAATTCGTAAAAGATCCAAAGCCAAAAAACGAAGCGTTTCCGTCGTTACCGTTGGTGGAGATGTTGCGGATGATGAAAGTGAAGATGGATCGAGTTCAGATTCAAAATTAGTAGAAGTTGCAGACCCAATGTACCCTTTACGAGTTCGTGATCAAGATGCAGAATTCAAAGAAAAACTCTTACAAGAAAGATATTATCAAGCCGATACTTTGGCAAAGCGCAACGTAAAAAATCACAAAAGAGACAAAGTCAAACGAGCTGAAGTTGAAAGTGACGAATCCAACTTTCATTGGACAACGGATGATGACAATGGAAAGGGAACATACTGGGTTGGCAACCAATCCCAGCCAAACGGTGGAAATTCTTATTGGCAAGGAAATCAAAACAGTGTCAATCCTGCTCAGCCAAACGGTGGAAATTCTCATCAACAACCACAACCTAATTCATACCAACAACCACAACCTAATTCTTATCAACAATCACAACCTGATTCATACCAACTGCACGGTCAAGGTGGTAATGTCAAGATGAAGAAACGTGAAATTGATGAACGAGAACATTGGACAACAGATGATTCAGATCACGGTGGAAAAGGAACACATTGGGTAGCACAGCCAACAAAGCCATGGAAACGTCGCAGCACTGATGATATTGATGAACGAGAATATTGGACAACAGATGATTCAGATCACGGTGGAAAAGGAACATATTGGGTAGCACAGCCAAGAAAGCCATGGAAACGTCGCAGCCCTGATGATCAACCTCACAATACAAATCAACACCATAATTCAAATCAACTCCACAACTCTAACCAAGAACACAACAAAGGCAAAGGTTCAGCTACCTATGGCGGCTACAGCGGAGGAGGTGGTGGTGGTGCTAGTGGCTATGATCAAGGCAAGGGAGATGCTGGTACAGCTTCTGGATATGGTGGCGCCAGCGGTGGTGGTGGTTTTGACCAAGGAAAAGGAAATGTTGGCACTGCTTCTGGCTATGGTGCAGACAAAACACAAAATGGTCAAGATCAACAAACTGGAACCGCCGGTGCTGGTTATGCAAATGCGAACAATGTAGCACAACCTGAAGCAGCAGCAACACAAGGTGATCAAGGACAAGCTGCTGCTGAAAAGCGTTCGTTGGAGGACAGTAAGATAATGCGCCGTAACCAACCACATAATATCAATCAATTCCACAACAAAGACCAATCTCACAACGCAAATCAATATCACAATCAAAGCAAAGGCAGCGGCAGCGGCTACGGAGGTGGTAGCGCTGTTGGTACAGGTTCTGGATACGGTGGTGGCGGCGGTGGATATGGTCAAGACAAAGGTAATTTCGGTACAGGTGCTGGATATGTTGCTGGTCAAAACCAACAACATGGTGCCGTTGGTGCTGGTTATGCAAATAATGTTCCTCAGTCCGGCACAGGACTTACACAAGGTGGCCAAGGACAAGATGCTGCTGAAAAGCGTTCCTTGGCAAACAGTAAGATAATGCGCCGTGATCAGCCTCACAACTTGAACCAATCTCACAACGCCAATCAATACCATAACACAGATCAAGCGCACAACAAAAGTCAGTATCACAATCAAAGCAAAGGCAGCGGCAGCGGCTACGGAGGTGGTGGTGCTGTTGGTACAGGTTCTGGATACGGTGGTGGCGGCGGTGGATATGGTCAAGACAAAGGTAATTTCGGTACAGGTGCTGGATATGTTGCTGGTCAAAACCAACAACATGGTGCCGTTGGTGCTGGTTATGCAAATAATGTTCCTCAGTCCGGCACAGGACTTACACAAGGTGGCCAAGGACAAGATGCTGCTGAAAAGCGTTCCTTGGCAAACAGTAAGATAATGCGCCGTGATCAGCCTCACAACTTGAACCAATCTCACAACGCCAATCAATACCATAACTCAGATCAAGCCCACAACAAAAATCAATATCACAATCAAGGCAAAGGCTCGAGCAGCTATGGCGGCGGAGGCGGTGGTAGTGCTTACGGTGGCGGTGGCACAGGCTACGGCGGCGCTGGTGGTAGCGGTTACAATCAAGGCCAGGGAGCAGGATCTGGATATGCTGGTAGCAGCGGTGGCGGCTACGATCAAGGCAAAGGAAATACTGGTACGGGTGCTGGATACGGTGTTGGTCAATATCAACAAACTGGAGCCGCCGGTGCTGGTTATGCAAATGCGAACAATGTCCCTCAACCTGACGCAGCAGCAACACAAGGTGACCAAGGACAAGATGCTGCTGAAAAACGTTCCTTGGTAAAAAGAGAAGAGTATGAAGTGAAAAGGCGTTCATCGAAAAATAAGATGATCCGCCGTGATCAGCCTCACAACTTGAACCAAACTCACAACGCCAATCAACACCATAATTCAGATCAAGCCCACAACAGAAATCAAACCCACAACCAAGGCAAAGGTAAGCCTACGAGCAGCGAGACTGGTGATGGCGATAAGTCTGGCTATAACGACAAACCAAAAGCCGGTCATGGTGAGGCAACCGGCGGTAACAATGGCAAAGCTGATGCAAATGAGGGAAATACCGTTACCAAGAATACAAATGATGATACTGGTAATGCAACCAAGGCTGGCGAAGGATATCAAGCCACTGGTAAAAGCAACAGTGCTCCAAAAGCTGAAGATGCTACCAAAGCAGATCCCACAGGTGCAACTGAAACGACCAAAAACACAAATGCTGAAGCTGGTAATGCAAACAAAGCAGGCGCAGGTGATCAATACACGGGTAAAACTGAAACTGACGCAAAAGCCAATTCTTACGGTGGAGCTGATGCAAACAAAGCGATCTCTGGCGGTGGCGATCAAGCCACTGGCAAAGACGAAAGTGGTACAAAAGCAGAGTCTACTACCAAAGCAGATCCTACAGGTGCAGCAGATGCAAACAAAGCTGAAACAAAAGGTGGACCTGATGCCAACAAAGCTGATCCTGCAGGTGGAGTTGACGCAAACAAGAATGCTGCTGGAGGTGGTTATCAAGCCGGTGACAAGAATGAAAGTGGACCGAAAGCAGAAGCTGCTGCCACAACAAATCCTACAGGTGCAGGAGATGCAAACAAAGCTGATACATCCAAAGCAGCTGGTACATCCAAAGCTGATACTGCTGCTTCTGCAGGTGAAAGACGCTCGACTTTGAAGAAGCGTAACAATGAGAGTTTCATTACAAAGACGAAACGCTGGCTCTCTCGTCGTGATGTACAGGATGACAAAGATGAAGTGAATCCTGTTCTGGCAAGATACTACAATGGTTCCGAACAAATTCAAAAGAGATTCAATTCATCTTCAGCGCAAAAGAAAGAATTGATTGAACGTCAAGATATCGATTCTGAACGTTCTTATATAACGGCAGGCGAGGATACGGATGGTGAAAGCAGCTCGGATATCGATAAAGAAGTTGATGCTCAAAAGCCACAACATGTTCAAGGATTAGAAGATGCACATGACGAATGCATGGAGAGTGAAAGCAAAGGTATTTTACCTTCAGGTACATGTGAAGCACAAAGGATGAGTAGCGCTCTTGCAGGAAGTGTACGAAAACGTGAAGAAGTGAAACCTGCTACAAACACTACAATTACTGCATTCCCTGAACCAGCTCCTCCTCCAACCGAAGTCAGACCACCAAGTCAAACTGAGATGGCATTAGAAGCTTTGACCAAGTTAAGTGATTTACAAGCAAAACGAAACGATATTCAAGAACAAGAAAAGTTGATTGAAAAGCAAATCCATGACCTTTTCAAAGAATATCCTGTCCTTTCTGCTACTTTGGCTTTATGAGTGATTCTAGTCTTGTATGATTCTTTTGGAATAGAATATGATGACTGTTGAATTGAGCACGTGTGAAGTATGAATATTCCTTCTTCGTCACCGGTCTGTTAATGTTGCCGGTCTTTATGCGGTGTTTGCTAGCGAGTGCATTATCTTTTTAGTTGTATTTTTGTTCAAATAGGCACTATCTCAGTCTCTACGCGTGTTTTCGGTCAGCTTCGGTTGAATCTCTGATAGTAAAAGGTCTAGACGTTCGGATATTGAATCCGATAACATCGGTCTTTGCTCGGAGCAGAGATCATCTTATCTTTTGCCTCTTTCTCTCCTTACCTTCTTCTTCGGCAATAACGGGTGACAATTGATTCCCGGCAATCCAATGCAAAGCAACAGATCTCACCGAAAGATGCAGTTCAATTGTCAATTTGCACAAGCAAGTGGGAACAATTGATGGCGGGGTAAAGCACTTCCTCGCATAAAGAAATAAAACTCCGACTTTTGCCATCTTTCATTAATTACACACACAGACTTTCATACAGTGGCTTATATTGTCACTTCGGTATTCTTGCTCAGCAATTCCATCAATAGAAGGCAGCACGCAATCATTCACGCATACACAATTACACTCACATTAGCATCATTCCATCGCCCCCTTCTCGGACAGAATTCGCATTTGATGCACAATTGAACAATTACCCCGACGCTATCATCACAGCAATACGGGGAAACGGTATCTTGTACAACCATCAAAACTTGCTTAACCACCACGATCTGCATTCATCCTGGCTCATCTTCTTCGCCCGATTAAAAGATTGCAGATTCAACACCACCAATCCTTCTATCCGGAAGAATTGACGATTCAAAGCAAACAGTCACCTGCCATTCGGTCGATCTTGTCATACAACAACACCTCTCGCATTCATTTCGGTCTAGAATCCTTCCGACAACGGCGACTTTTACGCAATTAGGTACATTTGCAGATTGATACATAAACAAACATCTCAATATAAACGACGTTTGAAAAGTAGAACATAGCATTACGCACTTCCAGCACTACTTATATCCAGCCTCGTTTTCTTGACGTAACCAAAACTCTCCGCCTCAATTTCCCTTTGACGCCCAAACGCCTCGGTTGGCCGATTCGATTCACTTAACCTTCAAGGCTAACAACAGTGGAAAAAAACCATAAAAGCAGATCAGCATCACTCCTACCTACCCCGCACCAATTTGGCAAGTCTAAACAAACAAAGCAGTGCTTGAATGACCTCATTTCCAATCCCCACAAAGTCGAAAAAGATATAAAAGCAATATAGATTGCAACGATTTCCTCTAACACTTTCTCACAACATCATCATCTTAGCACTTTTGAACCAAAATGCTTGTCACACGTCCACGTCCGGTCACACAAACATTACCACAAGACGCAAAGATGACCAATAAGAACGTACGCCAATCAGCTCAACAGCCATTTTCTGGATCGTGTTCATCGACAAATTCGGAAAAGACTGAAGCATCTCCTGCCATGACAATTTCAAGTTTAACGAGCACATCTTCTGACGATCTCGAAACGTCAAATGCTACAATCAGACAAGCGAAAGATGTTGATGAACAGGATTTCCTTCGTTTTCGTCCTTCATACCACTTGATCGCGCCGAAGAATTGGATGAATGATCCATGCGGTCCCTGTTATGATGAAAAGACAGGCTTGTACCATTTATTGTATCAATACAATCCCGAAGGTGCGACTTGGGGAAATATGTCTTGGTTACATGCCACTTCAAAGGATATGGTTCATTGGGCACACGTAAACAAAACGCCTTCTTTTACGCCACAATTACCTCATGATTGCAAAGGCGTTTTTTCCGGAGCAATGGTTCCACATGGTCCACGTGGTGAAGAGAACATGTTAACTGCATTTTATACTGCAGTATCCTATTTACCAATTCATTGGACAAAGCCATATCATTGGGGTTGTGAAAAGTTGGCAATCGCAACTTCTACAGACGGAGGTCAAACTTGGAACCGTGATGAATCTTCGGTTTTATTGGAATCACCGCCTGTTGAACATAAAGAAGATGTCGCTTCTTGGCGAGATCCTTTTATCTCTGCATGGCCTGAAATGGATGATCAGTTGGGCTTGCCTAGAGGTAAATACTTGTACGGCTTGATTGCTGGTGGATTGCGCAATAAGACACCGACTGCATTCCTTTATCGTATCGAAAAGGAAGATTTGACAAAGTGGAAATTTGTCTCAACGATTGCAGATGTCGGTCTCAATCATTCTTTAGGTAAAGCAAGTGGTGAAATGGGCCGTAATTGGGAAGTTTGTAACTTTTTCACATTACCACGTCAATCTCCCCAAACCGGAAAGGATGCACAATATACGCTCATGAACGTTGAAGGTGTAGGTAAAGATTTCAAATCACGCCATCCAATGTGGGCACAATCTTCAATGACAAAGAGCAAAGACGGAAAAGGAGTAATCTTGCATCCTTTCAAAAGCGGAATTCTTGATCATGGAAGTCTTTATGCTGCAACGACATTTTACCATCAACATACTTCTCGTCGTATCCTCTGGGGTTGGATTACGGAAGATGATTTGGCAGAATCTCGTTATGATCAACAAGGATGGTCTGGTTGCATTTCTCTGCCGCGCGAGATCGTTCCACTCTCGTTTGAGAATGTTGATCCCGTCATGCTTCAACATTCTCTCATTGCACCTACCTTTGATTTTAGCAAAGCCGATCAAAGTTCTACAACCGGCGTCAAGATTTCAACACTTGGTGTCAAGCCTGCTGAAGAAAGTGCCGCTTTGCGTAAAGGTGCTGAGTATCATTATATCGCCAAGCCGTCAACGGCCAAGCTTCCAATCAATTCACGCAACTTTGAACTCTCCTTCGAAGTCCTCATCAACAAGGAAAGCTCCGAAGGGGGCGTCTCCATCTGTCATGATGCAGACGGAAAGCATGGCGTCAAGGTTGTGTATTCGAACGAAACCATTCAAGTCATTCGTGAAGGTACAACTTCCGATCCAGACGTAAACACAAGCACAATCACTGTGCCTTTTGCTCCTTTGCGTTTTGTTGACGGTACATTTGAACGTTTACGCTTCCATCTCTTCCTCGACAATAGTGTCTTGGAATTATTCGTCAACGATCGTTTGTGTATCACCACACGCATTTATTGGCAGCATGAAGAAGCTATTCAAACTTCTTTGATACGAAACAGCGGCGAGAGCAATTATCAAAATGTTCAAATTTGGTCAGGATTGCAAAAGGCAATGCTTGACGAAGGAGCTGATGCTGATCAAGACGCACTTGGCATTGATGGCGTAGCACATCTTTGAGATTCGGGGTTTCCATTTCCAGATCACTCTCTGAGCGCACACAATCACCTATAGAAAAGCCCTTTCTTGTTGTGGATCCATGCACAATTTCTGTATTCTATCTCGATTCTATCTTTTCATTTTGGCACATATCTGTCACGTATATCATGATGTATATTCATTTCTCAGTTCAATTCATTCTCATCAATCCTTCAGAGTTTGCCTTTGGCTTTTGCCAAACTTTCGCCTTGTACCAAAATACATGGTCCTCCATAAATGACTTTACTCTGTATACTTTCATCCGTAGAAGCGATCCAATCTTTCACTTCTTGATCTTCTGCTCCAGGTTGAAGCCAAACTGCGTTTACGTGTAAATCTTGCAAAGCAGTTTTAATGATGGGTAGAGAAATCTTTGGTGGTGTTATAACGCTTACACTTGTACTCTTTGGTTTTTGAACTTGTTTGATTTCAGAAACTGTTGAGATATCTTCGATCGAAGATTCTTTCGGATGAACGGGAATCACTTCTAATCCATGATCTTTGTACCATCGCAAGACCTGGTTGGGGGATGGGGGAACATGAGCATCTTATGTTCCAATTCTGTCATTTGTCAAATACATCACAAACCTACCTTATTTCCATACTTAGCCCGATCGGTGCTGTAATTGTCATTAAGAAGATACGGCGTCAGACAACATGATCGAGATAACTCTAGCATACTCACGAAGCACCGATGACTGCATAGTGTTCAGCATTAAAGAAAGCCTCTTTTGCTTTCTCGATCGACATTCTGACAGATGAGAAAGTTCTTTTTTGTTGTTCTTGTTGTTGAGAATATGGTCGGGAAGCAAGATTGGAAAGTGGAGGAATTGGTCGTACAACAAAAGCGGTTAATGGTAATCTCTGTGTCAACAATGATCGCATACGAGTTCCAACGTTGTAAATTATCCTTTGATACAAGACAAACTTCTGTGATGTTGTAAGGATGTAGTCAGAAAGGAAGAAGTATCCGAGCAGAAACAAGGAAATGCGGAGACCGGATATAAGAACCCTCGTCTGCCATTATAGCGCGCATTTACTCAAGCACGCCATCACCTCTTTTGGCTCAATGTTCATGGTTCGGTAAAGATTCACACTCTTCATCCAAGTCCAACTTTAGCACATGATTAGATTTCAAGAAAGAAATTAGAGATTGATCAAATAATGACAAAGACGATGTAGAAAAAAAAGGAGAACAGGTATGAGAAGTCAAAAGGTGAGCAGAAGTGAGCAAGTAGCAAGAGAGTGTGGTATTTTGTGGATGGGCTAAAGGCACCACATCCACCAGTAAATCTCCAATCCTTGTGATGTGCAAGATGAAGCAAGATAAAAGCCTTGAGAGCGCAATGTTTAAGAAAATATACAAGAAATTGTTTGTATGCAAATGATCCTCCTAATTGGAGCTTTTTTTGTTTGTTTGTACCTTACGCCCCACCTTACATGAGATCGTTGTAACGGGAAGAAGGATCCTTCTTTGGTTCACGCAAAAGGTTGAGGTAACGCCATGCGAAAGGCAGAGCAAAGTGAACAACAGTAACGAGGAAAACGGAACCCAATTGGAACCATCCAACGGCAACGGCTGCGCGATAACTGAAAATAGAATTATAGTTAAACGTGTTCAAATATGCGTTTGCTTCTTGAATTGTGTAAATATTCGACCATTCTCCGAGTGGGAAACCTGGAATATTGACAAGCTTTAAACTACTGGTAATTTGAGCTTGAATAAAGTAATTAATCTGACGCAGGTATAATTGTTGTTCGGTATTAAATGGTTCGGAGTAGTTTGGGCCTTGGGTGAACTTATAGAACTTTATCGTTGAGAATGCGGTGTAGGCTGAGACCACTCCAGTCCAGGCACCCAACAGGAGCAGAGAAGTCAAACCGACAACCAACCAAGCCTTTGTACCTTTTCCGGAATATTCACCACGACGTTTCTTTAATTGTTCGCAACTCATCAACATTGCAAAGATTGAGAAAACGAATTGAATTGCACCAAGGATCATGATTGCATAATCCACATTTGTGATATTATTATTGTCCACCCCTACAAATCCTGGAAGACTACTTTGGTTTGCAATCTTATCTTGAAGTGATGCCCATTGATGAATATGTGCTCCTCCTAAACCCATCATTGCTATCGAAAATCCAAAAGCTGCTAATAGAAGCGGTAGCTCCAAGAGCATTGCGTTCAAAGGAGCCATATTTGCTGATTAGATGGGGGAAACGAATGTATGTCGGAGAGGAGGGCGTATTAATTGAGGAAGGGCGTAATTTGTTTGTTTGTTGTAGGGTAGCGCGGTGAATGAAAAGGTTCCCGATCGAACGCCTCTACTGAACAGTGCAAATGCGGATCGAAAACAGTCTGAAGGAGGAGATAGGACGTTGATCGGATGGCGATGATGGGAGTGAGAGGTCGATCAAATGGCGCGCGCAAATAAACTTGAATGACAAAATGATGGAAGAGGTATGTATGATGAATACAAGCGGAGAATTGATGTGAAACGCTAAATTGTCAAGTTAAAATGCGGCACCCTCTTTGCTTGCTTGCTCTTTTTTTTTCGCATGATAAATTGACCGGGCAAAGAGAAAAAAAGCGGGTACAACTTACTCCGGGCACTGAATCAGCTCGCGTTTTGTGTACATACGTACACTGAACACCTTTTCCGTCTTAAGAAGCGCATAAAGAAGTTCATCTGGGGAAAGTGCTTTATGTCAGTGTAGTGCAATACAAATTGGTGTGGGGCGCTTGCTTGTTTGCAAATAAATAAATGAAATAAAAAGGCCCCACTCTACTCGGCACTCAAGCAGTAATGATCGAGATTAAGACGCGCCTAGAGAAAAGGTACACACACACCTATAATTTGTGTGGGTCTTGGGAGAGAAAATCTTGAATCTTATGAGACACAACGGCTCACGGCTACACAACGCAAACGATGTTACGTAATCACACCCTCACTTCGAATGTCGAGATGGAATTCAGTGCAATGAAATATATTGAGACCGTGAAGAAGAGTAAGTTGACAGTGAATGAGATGAAATTAATGAAGCAAGGTATACTATATGTTCAAAATGAATAAAATAAGATGAAACATAATCGTTTAAGCGGTAGTTGCAACAGCCGTAGAAGGTGTTTCGACCTTCGTTGCCGGGGTAGCATCCTCAGTGGCACTATTTGCCTCTGTAGCATTTGCAGGTGCACCGTTAACATAATCAAACCAACCAAAGAACCAACCCTTCTTTTCGAGCAAGACTTGATCTTTGGCTAGGGCTGTATGAGCATCTTGTTGAACAAGTTCATTGGCTTCAACTTCTTTTTGATAATCTGCTTCGATATGATTTAAAGTGGCTTCTTGTTTTTCAAATGATGCTTTGATGGCTTTTTGACGTTGTTTTTCTGCTTCTTTTTCTGCTTTCATTCGTTCTTTTTCAGCCAATTTACCCGCTGCTAGACGTGCTTTATGTGCCTTTTCTTCAGCTTCTTGTCTTTCTTTGAATGCTTGCTTTTCTGCCGCAACTCTTGCTTCCGCTGCTTTGGTTCGTGATTTTAGGAGAATAGCATCCACTTTGGCAACATTCTTACGACGTGCCAAGCTTGCATTGGTGATATCTTGCATTTTAGCATTAGCTGCTTTGTTAATTGCACAAGCACGTTTGAGCTCTAATTCTTGTACTTGTTTAGCATATTCAGCTTCTGCAGCACGAACTGCAACGTACATCTTTTGCTCTGCTGCTTCTTTGGCCTTCTTTGCTGCATCTTCAGCTTTTTGTCTGTCTTCTGTTGCTTTGGCAGCTGCTGTTTCTTTTGCTTTTTCTTCTTGTTGTAAAGCAATCGCATCAGCATCACCTTCTGTATCGATTGCTTTTTGATCTGCATCAGCTTCTGAATCAGCAGCTTTGAGAAGAGCCTTGCTCAATTTAATTCTTGCTTCTTCTTCTACTTCTGCTGCTATTTCATTTGCACGTTTGATAGCATCCAATGCATCTTGATCAACTTTAGCTTCTTTTGCCAAAGTTTCTTCGTTCATTTGTAATCCTTCTGAAACTTCTTCTTCGATTGTCGTTTGAATCTCTTTGTTTAATGCATCATTGACTTTAACGCTCTCTTCACTCTTTTGTGATTTTGATCGTTTGATGCTCTTGCGAAGTTGAAGGCCCATCTTGTAGTTTTGTTATGGTATCTAGAGGTGGTGAGGCAAAGGTACAGGTGATGGCAAGAGCACAACTAAGGAGAATATATCAAAGTCTCTATACGATTTGTCTAGCCAGTCAATGATCTACATCCTACCGGGGAAACCCCTGAGTGACAACGGTCTGAGCCCCTGCAGCATAAGCACATATGAATGTGAGTTGTTCTGTTTGGAAGGTGTTTTGGTGTAACCCCTATCTAAAAGACAAAGCTTTAAAATTAAGCTATCGCGTCACGCCATGCCATGCCACGCATCTTACCTGCATACATCCTTCTCCGCACTGCAAATCAGAGCCCCTTTTTCTTGGTCCATTTGAGGCCTATCCTTCAATTCCTCGGCATCAGGAATCACTCAGACACACACACATGAGAGTGACTAAGCAAAAAGAAGGCACGGTCATTCCAAAAGGTACACAGCATATTCATTCAGCATAGAGCATGTCATAACAACTTTTGTTGGCCCGCTAGCTTGGTTCAATTCTATCCGATTAGTGTTAGCGTCTCGTCACGAATTTCAATCTTATTCCCAACCTACACCTGCAACCTTGATCCTCAAATCCATCTCTCTCAAAAGTATGCATATATAGCTACAGCTTCTCTACAATCACGATGGGCTGTTGCAGTAGCAAGCCTTTGGAAGATAAAGAAGGAGAAGGAAATCATGCAGTCAAATTTGATGAAAAACAAAAGAATGACACAGTAAAGTCCAAATCAAAACGAACAAAATCATCTCAATCGATTCAAATCGAAAAAGCAGCAAGGAAGGAGATCGCAAGAGAACGAGGTAGGAGACCTAGACTTGATGATGGTCATGGAAGGGATGGCCTCTGTTTCTGTGGAATTCAATAATTTTACGCCTTCTCATCATATCAACCATATCGCATTGTACAATGGTTTCGTTCCTCTATTACATGTATACTACATCTTATATCTTGCTGTTCTCAGCACCAAGACGCCCTAAACCCAATTCGATACCAATAGCGGCATGAGCAAGACGTGCATCGACAGCAAACCCTTTCTTTTGAAAATCTGTAAGGGATAGGAAGCAAATCAGCATCAATCGAGAACAGCATTTCAACATCTTCATACTCACCTAGCAATGCATTCATTAACCCATGTACCGGTACGAGATGTCTTTCGATAAATTCCCCTTCATCAGGTTCTGCGACTGGTTCGGGAGCATCGTCTGCTAAATCGATTCGAATGACGCATAATTTCATATTGGAAGAAGTCATACCCTGAGAAGTAGGAAGTGGAACAGGCCATATCTGTCAGATTTTGGGAAAAATGAGATAAAGTCAGGAAAAGGGAGAAAAACACATACCGGATCATTAGCCATAACGGTGCTTACTAGCTTGACATCAATTTTGCCCCCTTCTTTATCTGTTCCATAACCTGTTTCTTCTTTAAGTTCACGTAAGGCTGCACGTCTTGTACCTTCTTCACCTTCTTCTCCAGCATCGATCAAGCCAGCAGGCATTTCAATAACACTTGAATTGACAGGAGGTCTAAATTGCGAAACAAGTAACATATGCGGTTCTGAACTTGGTCTTTGAACGATTGCACAAATAGCAACCGCATCTGCATCACCTTTACGTGTCCTTCGGTCTGCACACTCCCATTTACGTTCTTTTCCCGTTGGATCTTGCCAATAAATCGCACGTAAGCCAACCCATTTGGCATCTGCGTCTGATAATGGCTCACTTCGTAACACTTTTGACATCTTTGAGGATTGTTGATCGGTTGTGAATCTTTGAATTGAACGTGTGAATTGTCTGGTCAGCAAAGGTTGCGTGTTCAATTTTGTAGTGGTTTGAATCGATGTACGGATTGATTGTGCACAACGACGAGCAAACATGAGTATGAGGAAGATAAATTGTAAGGAAGAAGAATCAATTACCTTAAGCACTATTCTTCTCAACGGTTATAATGTCAGCAAAAGTCAAATTCACACTGGCGAACAGCCTAAAAAGCTAATATTTGTGGAGGCGCGCTATACAGTAACTCTAACCAACACTTCAAATCCGAAAGAGATCTTTGGAGAGATATGATGATGGGGGGAGGCATTGAATTCATAATATTATACAGTGCAATATGGTCATATCTATACATCTGTTTTGGGTTGAATTATCTCCTGGCTGGCTTGGGCTGCCACTCAGATGGTGACCATTCATCACCCGGTCCAGCCGCTCTACCAAATCTAGGATTCAATTGATTTCGTGCATTCTCTTGCGGAGATGTATGACTCTTTTGACCTTCAATGGAAACATCAAAAGCTGACAAGGGACTTTGATTCATCACTTTACGTGCTCTCTGTCTTTCCATCTCTTTTGCGTCTAAATTAGCCCTCCTTTCCGCACGAGCTTGAATCGCATCATCCATCGATTCATTCGCCTTTCCTTGCTTCTCTTCCATCCTTCGCCTAGAGGCTTCCCAAACTTCCATATCCACAGTTCTTTGCTGGTATGTCGTTTCTGCATCTTTTTGTTGTTCGAACGGCACTCTATGTGCAGCTTCCTCTTGTGCTTTTGAATCCGTCACTGTGGAAGTGGGAACAGCTGTAGTTTTGCCATCTCTTCTTTGTTTGTTTGGCGAATAATATTCTTGTTCGATTAGCTGTCGCTCTTTCATGGCATCTTGTGCTTTTTGTTCCAACTCCAACCTTCTTTGAGCGTCCCTTTGTTCCAAGATTCTTACGTTATGTTGTGTGATTGCGATTCGTTCTCGATCTTTGCTCAATTCTTCGATAGTTGGTGCGCTTTTCCGTGTATGCCTAAGCCACATCAGCCATTGAGGAGGTAAAGTACTTTGATCATATTCACCCAATTCTTTATGTTCTCTAAATCGCACCAATCGTCTAGTCCTTCGTGGATCTGTATTGCCATCCAAAGGTGGATATTCGTAATATTTGTTATGATCTAGATCTTTTCCTGCCAGATATCGAGCACGTCCGACTCGAAAGAACGCTGAAACCTTTTGTATTATATTCGACATGACGAGTACGATCGTGTGTGAAAGTTTGAAGACAAAACTTAAAAACAATCATCACTCACACTAAAAATAAAATCTTCCAATTGGCTCGAGCACGCTGCTTGCCTTTTTCTCGTGTTTTAGTCCGATATCGGACTTATGCATATGCAACAGGATAAAGCCTGGGGTATACACTTCTCTTCCTAAACATCATCCCAGACACAATTCAACCCACTCGATATGGCACAATCATCTCAATCCCCTTTTAATGAACGCGATGCCGGTCTCTTGATGGTATTTGCAGACCCTGGAAAAGAGGCAACAGAGGCAGAGTTCCATGGTAAGTGCAGCTAAATTCTTTACACCAATAACTTCTGTTGACACATTATTATTCCTCTTCTGCAGAATGGTACGAGAACGAACATATCCCTTTACGTACCTCTACTCTTCCCGAATTTTTATCAGCAGCAAGATACAAAGTCACATCATCCAACTTCGTCTCATCAACAGATCCAAATCCTTCAGCCGCATTCAAGGCACCTTGGTGTGCCTATTACACAATCTCTTCCAATGCTCTTTTCACTGATTCACGTTATACAGATTTACGTACAAATCGATCAAAACGTGAAGGTGAATTGATCGGTAGGCTAGGCGTTTTGGATCGTAGGATTTACAGATTAATTTATGATAGTGCGGCAGAAGGTGCGATTGATATTGCTGCTGATAGCAGAGATGGAATTGGACCAGCACCTGCAGATTTATCACCTCAATCAAAAGAAGATGTTGAAAAGAATGCTACTTATGCAGTCGCCACAAGTGTTACACCAGCTGAAGGAAATAAGAAGGCTTACGATGAATGGTATGCTCGTGAACATGTCGGCATGTTGAAGAAAGTACCAGGTTGGAAACGAACAAGGAGGTATGAATTAATCGATGCTTTGGTTAATGGAAAGGATGTGAAGCCTAATAATGGTGATGCGGCCGAAATACCAATCTGTTTAGGTCTTCATGAATATTCCACACCCGATTTTGAGCAAACGGAAGAATACAAAGCCGCACTCGATACACCTTGGCGATCTCAAGTGATCGAAGGAGGAATTGTGCGTCGGGAAAGGAGGGTGATGAATCTCTATCATGCCTTTAATCCGGACTCAGCTATCAAAGCACAAGGAAATTCACTTTAAACATTTGATATACATTAACAAAGCTTATGAATGTACCATTCTACATGAATTAAATCAGTAACTTTTTACATGCCCCAACTTTGCCCACCATTAGGTGTGCCGGAATTTGCATTTGGCATGGTGGCATTGGTATTGCCATTGGGGGTATTTTGTGCAGTAGGATTTGATTGGAAAGCATCCCAATTTCCCAAAAAAGCAGAAGTGAAAGGACTCAAAGGTCTCATAACACCATTTGAAGCAAAAGGCTGTGTTCCTCCAATTCGATCTGCCGATCTTTCAAAAGAAACTTCAGGCGCAACGGGTAAGCCTGTTGTAAAATCTGTCGATAAGGCCGATTCCAAAAATGCTTCCATATCGGAAAGTTGTGCACTGCTCAAATGAGGAGCATGGCTATTGTTGAGCCCATTCGTTTGAGCAGGATTGGTTCTCTGTGCACCGTTACCGGGCGTTCTTGGTTGCGGTTTGAACGGAACTACAAATTGAGAAGAACCTTGTTGTGACTCTTCTCCATTTGGTGCGCCAAACTTATTGCTTTGACCATTTGTTCCTTGCGATACATTCATCACACTACTCGATGAACCTGGCGTTCCGACCGATCTGGGAGTTGTACCTGTGCCAATTTCACTGTTATTCGCAGGCCTATTGTGACGTCTGGAGCGAAAGTTCAAAAAGTCGTCATTACCATGCATCTTGAAACGTTTAGTAGCGAAAGAGTCATGATCTGTAATACTTTGTAGATCTTTGGCCAATTCAGCCCTACGTGCAGATTCTTCATCACCAATCGAGCCATCTGGATCGTACGTTCCGGAAGCATGTCTAGATCGGTGATGCATAGTATCAGCATGGTTGAAGTTTGACGCTTCTGCTCCTCCAGAGCAAGCCAATTCAGGTCTTGCCAAGACAGCAATACCCGAACGAGCAATTTGCGATCGGGCAGACATGGCCAACAACAACCGCCTTGTGTATCGCAGGTCGTCAATGATCTCTGCACGAACTTTGTCGGCATTAGGACCAGCAGCGTCAGGATGAACATCCATCAAGGCATAATGATGTTGTAAAAGCAAACAAGCACCCACACTGCTATGTGCAAAGTACCACAATTTCGAAGTGAGCTTTTGACGTCCATCCATGACCCTCTTCATTTGCTCAACGTCCATGGTCATCAATGTGTCCATCGGAACTGCATGACTGAATGTTTTACGGAACAAAAGGCATATCCTTCTTGCAGAAGAGAAACATATATCCCTCGATGTCCTAAACACAGGGTTTAGCCAGCCTTGGATGTAATACCTTTTGTGCAAGTTGATCAACTGATTGGCTACAAGCATCAATACTGCCAATCGATGGAAACGAGGTATGTCCAACTCTTTCGTGTCAACATGGATCTCATTCTCAAACTCTGGCGGAAGATCAGAGAAAATTTCATCCAATTCCTCTTGTAGTTGTAAAGTTGTAGAATAAGCCTCTTCCTCCGTCATTGCTGACCGATCGGCCGCACGTCTATTGATACGTGCAACTTCCAATTTGAGCCACATATCTGGCAGTAAGAAACCATCCTTTTCCGATAAGCCTTCTTTGACATTTTGACGTGCAAAGAGATACGGATGCTTGATTGGCTCTTCACGCATAAAATAATTTCGCTTCACCGTACCCGCACCAAACCAATCCATAACGACAAAAGTATGGAACAAACGAATACGGTCTCGTGCTTGTGCTTTTGGCATTGAAGCAGCAGGCTCGATATCCAATTCTAACGCTTGCAATTGAGATAAAGTCATCGCTTGAACCGCATTTCCGCTTGCAGGTCCACGAACACAGCCGATTGCCCAAATCAACAAGATCAACACACGGAAGGACATTAGTGTTGGCTCGTCAAATGGATTCGTGGCAGATAAAGCCCGTTGGGCAGAATCAAAGAATGGCCCATATGCTGGGGAAAGTCCAACAAGTCTGCCCACTTCGGGAAAATCTGATTCATCGCTGTAAAGCAATGCGAACCCGCACATGCAAAGCGTGAGAGCCAAAAACTGAAGATGACTACGAACATGCTCGGTCGAAATGATCTGGGTAGATTCCCCCACGATCATCGTTCGAATCTCTTCTTGTTCGCACAACTTTTGCCAAAAGTTGTCCTCATCGACTGCATAATGCATCCAATTCACTTCGTCAAAAAAGCAATGACACATCTTTCGAATGCTTGCTGTATCTGGCATGGCTTTGAGAATGTCCAATAATTCGGCTGCCATTTCATCGTTTGTGTTTGGTTGAATGGCTGTTGGTAGCAACGAGACATTCATACCACGCATGAGTGAACCGGGTGGACCTTTCTGTCTGACAGTCAAAGCTGCACCGACATTAGTATTGGTCAATACTGAGCTAGAAGGCGTCGCAATATCTGTAGCACTATGAACCGGAACACTTGGATTTGACTCATTTTTGTTTCCATTTGGAGGTCCATTGATGCCAATGCGATCTGCTATCTTGCCTAAAAGCATCTCCATCTTATCCATCCTTGCCAAAAGGGGAACGTTTTCTTGATCTCGACCTGTTCCTTGCGGTCTGGTACCACCTTCCCAACTGCATAGATGCGCTTCATCACGATCGCGACAAGCACCACAAGGCCATCCACGATCACATTTCAACTTTCTCCTTCTACATCCTTCACAGCTAACAGCTTTCTTTTTTCGCTTTTGTCCGTCAACCGAAGCGCTTGAGTCAGGTGGTGTCCTTTGCGCCGCTTCACTAGATCGTGCTTTAGAGGCGGTGGATGAAGTTGTTTTATTTGGTGTGGCAGTGTTGGAAGCTTTTCTGGAAGTAGATGCGATCGGACCATTTGGTGCTGTTCTTTTCTTTCCTCGGGAAGCTGATGTATTTGGGCTCATGGCTCCATTGGGAGAAGAATTGGAGATTAGAGTACCATGACTATGATTCGAATAATTTACTTCACGAGAATCTTCATCGCTTGATCCCATCATTTCATCTCCTTCATGTACAGAATCAGAATGATGTCTGCGTTCTGCACTTTGCATTGCTTCGATACGATAAGGCGAAGGTACGGATGAAGGTAAAGATCCAACGTTTGGAGGAGGATAAAAAGGTTTGATTCCGTGTGCTTGATAAGGTGCGATTAGACGAGAAGAGTCAAGACCGTAACCACGAGGTGGTGGATAGCCGGCTAAAGGCGGCCTATTGTTCATTTTGATGATATAGGTGTTTAGATGTGATGGCGAAAAAGGATGAGTCAATAAATTCTATGTGAATGTGGACCGAAAGAAAGTTGCATTTTTGAACAGGTGACACATCTCATTCCCTGTCCGCGGAGATCTAATTAAGGCTTGGGAGCGAAAAAACGTCAAAGAGCTTAAATAAGCACCAGCCCTCTGTCATTATATCAGTCAGGATGCAATTGTGTTACGCGCCATTTGCCCGGCGCAGTGCTATGTTAGGTACGGCGTATGATTTAGGTACAAACGTACTCAGCAATTATGAACTGATTTATATGCGTAGTAAGCTCAGCAATGATTTATATACATTAGCATACATTTCAAAAAGTATAAATGCATCATCATCATTTGCCAAAATCATAACCAGATTCATACCTAGATTCATTCAGGTGTGATCTGAACAAGATGGTTTACTTGCCTTCATCGTCATCAGCAATGACGACTACAATGACATCAACAGAGAAAGAGCAAACAAGTCCAACAATATCAGCTCAAACTAGTTACCTTTTTCGTCAACAATCAAGTAATAGCATCAGAAATTCAATCAATAGTGTCAAATCGAATACAAGGCATAGTATCGGGAAAAGCATGCAAGATGGTACGCCAACAAGCAACTCTGACGTAGAGGAAAACGAAAAGTCAAAATGCTCGGATGCAAAAGAAGCTTTATGCAGAAGGATGGGAGCTATGTTTTTACGTCACAGAGTGGAGCAATTGACAGATGATGTCGAAAAGATGCAACAACAAGGCAAAAACACAAGATGTCCAATTCAAAACAGAATGCAAAGAAAGTCAAACGCTTCTTCTAAGAATGAATTCGGCCACATTGGCTCAGCGGAAAGCCTAAGCGTTGCAAATACCGCCACAACCTCCACTGATCTGACTACTTTAAAGAGTGGTAGTGAAGAAAAAGTTGCACGATACGCAGATGAAAACAGTACCAAGCAGCAAAGACTTAAAGGTCCCTCTTGCAAGAAAACAAAGATTTCCTCTTTCGTTCCTTCTTGCAAACAGCAACAAAGAGATGCAACTAACACTTCTCAAATTGCATCAGCAGATCCTACTTTGCCTCCCTCAAAGCCTTCTAGTGCAATTGTTACACGCATCATCATTGCCGATGCAAGCTTGCTTATCTATTCGTTACGCACCGTACATGACTATCTCAAAGCAGGCGATTGTCAAGTGATCGTGCCATGTGAAGCTTTGAGCACGTTGGATGTTCTCAAGAAAGGTGTACATACCCTCAATTGGGCAGCTCGTCGTGCAACGCGTTTCTTGGACGAACGGTTCTCTGTTTGGGATGATGGAGGAGATGACGCAGAAGAAATGCAATTTTCCACAAGGGAGAAAAGAGAAGCGTCTAATTTACGACCAGGACTTTTCCCACAAGGGTTACAGCAACGGTTGAACATCTTCAAGAATCAAGTCAAAAATGAAGAAATTCTTGCGGAGAAACTTGATATCTCGATTGAATCTCTCAAAAAAGCGCCTTTGGCAGCAACAAAGACATTCGATTGTGCTTTATACTTTCTTGAAAAGTATCAAAACAACGATCAAATCTCATGCGCTCTGGCAATTGCATTACCACCGCCACATCTAGATTTCGAACAAGAAGCATTGCATTCTGAATCCAATTGCAGTCTTCGCTTTGCTGAAAGGGCAGATGGTAATGTGATGTTGCAATGGTCAAAAGAATGCGGTTTATTGAAATCTGAAATCGTACCTTCACCACGTCTGATCGTTGCGCCTACTGCCGCCAGCTGGCTTACGGTGGCTTCCACAGTTCCAACTTCTGTTGTTGCGTAAGAACTTTACTCAGACCCTATAATCTTGTATAACTAACTATTCACTCTCAAATTCTAAGTGATACCCCGCTCAAGCTTGTATTTTGCTGTATTTTACTCTTATTTAACTTTTATTAACGATACCATATCTTTCCTTCTATTTTCGTATTCTGTGTGATGATCATAAGTACTCACAGTGAGAGTGCTTCAACAAATACGTAAAAATGACAGTATACAGTGAATGACGATTCATTGAGAAATACAGACTAAATCTACAAATGAGTGAACATTTTGTAAGGACAAAAGAAAAGAGAAGGTGATGATATTCGGGATATGAAGAGACTGTAGGCTATGGCCGCAAAAGAGTGGGAGATGTTGAAGATGAAAAAGGCTATGGCCACAAAAGAGTGAGAAGTATTGAAGATGGAAATTTGTATGAGTCTTTGAAGTGAAAACAACGAAATGACAGAAATGTTTGATAATTTGACAAAAGATGAGACAAACGTACCCTTTCAACCCTGTTTTCTACGTGAGACCACTTCTTGGCTTCAAAGCTTGCATATACCGTTTAAGTGTGTTGATTTGAAGATTGGCGAGCTCCTTTCGGCATCTTCTCCAGGATCTCTCCGTTAAGGATCATTCTGATTTTCTGTTTTCAAATTTTTAGATACTTTATTAAAGCCCATGTACGCATGACTTTTAGGATTAAAGATTGGTGAACGTTTGCTTACTTGCTCTCCATTACCAGCTTGTGAATCAAAAATTTCACGTTTGACGTTGGCATTTGCCAAAACTTCGCTTGTTTGACCTACGTTCCTTCTTTTAGCACCATCTGAATCCTCCCTCTTAGTGGGCTGATTTTTTTGAGTCCCATAGTAACCAGGACCTTTTGGCATAAAGATGGGTGATCGTCTGCTGATTTGCTCGTCATTGCCAGCTTGCTTTTCAACGACTTCACGTTTGGCAGCTTCTTCGCCATACTCACGTTCAGCGATCTTGCTCTCACCTTCATCAGAATCACGACCGCCAAAATTGTACCTGTGCACACTGAAGATTGGTGATCGTTTACTGATTTGTTTTCCTTTGCTTGTTTGCGCTTCACGAGAGTCACGACCGCCAAAACTGTAGCTATTTGGTTTTGCCCATGCTGGCTCACGTACTTCTACGGATGAGGCCGTTTCTTGCAACGAACGTTTGTGACCAAAATTGTACCCTTTTGAACCACCCTGAACTGGCTGGCGTTTTTGAATTTCCAAGCTTTCCTCCTCCTCCGACGATCGACTTACTGGAGGAGCGCCTCCAAAATTATTCCTATTGTATCTGAAAATTGGCTCACGCTTTACCAGGTTCTCGACTTCTGCGCTTTTCTCATCCAACGAACGACGGGGAGGCGCAAAGGCATATCGATTCGGATTCCAAACCGGCTCTCGTTTTACCAAGTTTTCGACTTTTGCGCTTTTCTCATCCAACGAACGACGGGGAGGCGCAAAGACATATCGATTGGGATTCCAAACCGGCTCTCGTTTTACCAAGTTCTCGACTTTTGCGCTTTTCTCGTCCAACGCACGACGTGGAAGCCCAAAGTGATATCGCGTGGGTTTCCCCTTCCCCGGCTCACGTTTGACCAACATGTGCTTTTCACTATTCAAGGAACGAACGATACTTTCCTCGTATTGTTGCTCTGAAGATAGGGAGGAGATTTCACGCTTCACCTCTTCCTCTTTGATTTGTTCTTTGCGTTTCACAAGATGAGGTTGATCTGTTGCAGATCGAAGTTGACGCTCTGTCTCTGCTTCACTGGAACGGCGATGGTTGTTTGGACGATACTGGGAAGAACCTGCAGGAACTGGCTCACGTTTTAAAGTTTGTAATTCGCCCTCAAAAGATCTGCGAATAGGGATAGTCCAGTACATGAACAACGGTCCAAGAATTGGGGAACGCTTGACTTGCTCGACCAATTCGTCACCTGAATCCATGCCTGCTACCCATCGTTCTGTGAAAAGGAAATTCCTTTCATCATCACCTGAACGCCTCTGATCATTCGTCAATTCTTCATCGTAAAATGCTAGACCATCCCTACTTTTCCTTGCTCCACTCAAAGAACGAACCCACCGTGGTGGTGCTTGCAGTCTCCTTGTCAGCATGCTTGTCAAGGCTTCATCCGAGATAAGCTCTTCCCTTCTTGCACCACCGCCTGCAGGCGCAAAACGATTAAACCACCACGGGAATAATCTCTTTGTCAACATATTTGTCAAGGCTTCATCCGAGGTAAGCTCTTCCCTTCTTGCACCACCGCCTGAAGGCGCAAAACGATTAAGCCACCACGGAATCCATCTTTTTGTCAACATGCTTGTCAAGGCTTCATCCGAGGTAAGTTCTTCCCTTCTTGTTCCTGAACCACTACTAAAGAAACGACTCCACCAAGGAAGCCATCTTTTTGTCAACATGCTTGTCAAGGCTTCATCCGAGGTAAACTCTTCCCTTCTTGCACCACCGCCTGCAGGCGCAAAACGATTAAACCACCAAGGAAATAATCTTTTTGTAATTATGCTTGTCAAAGCTTCGTCCGATTCAAACTCTAGACTTCTTTTTCTTCTTCCGCCAGGCTTAAAGCGATTCAAAAACCAAGCACGCCACCTTTTTGTTAATATGACTGTCGATTCTTGATCGAGATCGGATTCATACCTTCTACGGTGCGCACCTGGCCACCATCTGAACATAGAACCAAACCATGGGAGGTTTCTACTCAGCAAGACAGATGTCATTTCATCGGCTAGATCGTCTATTGTACGACGTAATGATCCCGTCTCAATTTCAGACCCGGATGATTCTTCAACATTGGAAGGCACTGGCGAACGCTTCTTCAATTGTGTTTCCTTCAATTTTGTTTCCAGCGATCGGGCTTTATGACAGACACCGTTATTGCAACTTGCGCCGAAGAAATATGTTGTTCGACCGGTTGTCGACCAAGTGATGGGCGAACGCTTTTTGAAAGAAGAGGCGAGCTCTTGGAAAATGGAAGACCGTTTACTTGTTGCTTCACCGGAATCGTAAACGAACTTTTTGTTATCAAAATAGCGCTTTTCGATTTTGGATCCATCGGAACGTTTTTCGATTGGGCTAAGATCATTGAAAGAAACAGGACCTGCATTTGCTGTCAAACCCAGATGCAGTAAGATAGCGATTGTGAAGGCCCAAAAGGCCAAATTAGGAACCTTTGCATGCATTGACGGCTTCTTGTCTGCAAATGATCAAAGTAGAAGCTGGAAGGAAAGTGTGAATCTTGTTATCGAAATTTGTGTTGGAAAGACAGAATGGGGTAATGATTGTAATCCTGTCTGTGGAAATGTGTTCGGATGAAGCGAATGTGGGAAATTGATCTGAGAGTTGCTATTTATGTATCTTTGTATGCTCCTCATTCGAAGCGCCTACTCGATTATCCGGCTTGTTTGTCCTCAAAAGGAAAAAGGCGAACTATCAGTATGTCCTGTATCCTTGAATATTACCCAATATGATGCCAAGGCTTCTTCTTTCGATTCCTATGTACTGACGCCCACCATTGCAAGGCACATTTTTTGCGCCCGTTTGCGTTTGCACTCTTTTTTGTTCTTGTTGACAAATTAGGCAGGCGCCCGCTTTTAGGTTTCGTAAAGTTGTTTGAATTGAAAAATTGAACGATGATGTCTTTGAATGTGACCAACTTCAATATACGCCATTCATTTCCTCTCCGAGTTGGATTAAAGGAATGAAACAGCGACGGGTCCGATTTGATCGGAAATTGAGTGACAAGGCTCGAGTGAGAATAAGGACATTTGCGTTTCTTCTGATCATAGTGATCCCTAAAAAGAAAGTAAGAGCAATCATTCCGAACTTACTTCATTCTTTTGTGACAGGGACACATTGTCACGGCGCCGTTTGATGGCTATTGTTTGTTGGCAAATTATACGGTACGTAATTTTGCGCGTTTTGGCTTGCTCTAGCAGCCTTGAAGGAAGAGAGATTTTCCTTCAAAGTGCGGCAGCCGCAAGCACCCATGACCTTGCTGCTCTTCTGAACGGCATCCGCGTCATTAATCAGCATGACCAGGTTTGAAGGATCATTCTTGTGACATCGACTGGAAATCGCAAAAGTTTCTTCTTGCTTTCTCTCAAATTCAAAGCAAAGGACGTCTTTTGACCTTATTCTCATTAGTAATGGTGACAAAAGAACCTTCTGGCGTACTCCGGAAACGGAGCGAACGCCATCCCTGTGCAATTTCATTCAACGCTGAAGTCACATTATCAAGTCCATGCGCGTCCGTAATTTGTGGTAGTATGCCGCTTGCAATCGGAGTTTACTCTTCCTTCGTCGATTCTCCTCAATCTTGTGACCTAATTGGGAATCAACCCCGTTGATCGAATAAAGAAAAATTAATGAAAGACTGACTTAGAATGCCGTGTGATTATGACTAACGAAGATTGTTGAGAATCAAATCAATACGCCATTTCACCATCGGAACCTTTTTCTTGCTTTCATTTTCTCTTCTTGCACAAGAACACGGAGCAAGCGCCACAAAACCAAGTTATCCGATAAACGTTCATCTTGAGAAAATGCATGCCAGCAACGCATATATCGACTTTTTTTAGGCGTCATTAAAATTCAGCTTGCTAAAGATCGAAACAATTTCATTTTAAGCATGCAGGAACGTCAATTTGTGATGTAATTTTTACTTGGCGGTTATGCAAAAAGTCATATGTTCATTCTCACAAGTCTATCGAAGATTAAAACACAACGCCTGATACACGCCAAAAGATGTGACGCATCCTTTGCCATTCAAAGGCAAAACAGGATGGGCGGAGGAAAGAAGTTGCCGTCTTCTTGCGCGACGCCAGAAAATTGAAATTTCCTCATCAATACGCAATAATCCATAGAAAAGCCGCTTTGTATATATACTACAAGTACGGCTGCATAAATTGGAATTTACCTTTCCCTCAATCATCATCCATCTTTGCAAGATTTTGGACTTTCAACTTTGTTCTACGCTTATCATATCACTCACTTGCACATTCGCTCAACCAATTCAATCATCTTCACTCTCATTCATTTTACAGCAAGATGAGCGATCAATCTCAAGGTGCTCCTCCTGACCCATCAATGGACCCATCAACAACCGATCAAGGGCCAAGTCTTGCATTTCTCAATTTTATCGTACTGCTATTGTATCCAACAATTGCTGCACAAACGATCATTTTGCTCGAAGCCATTCGAACAATTCCAGCAGAATTTCGCATGTATCGTCGAGCATGGCTTCGAAAACGGTTCAACGCTGCAGAAATCTTATTCATAACGATCAAGTATATGGCCGTATTTGCATTCATCTGTGATGCATTGATCGAAAATTCATCGTATATCAAGACGGGAGAAGGATGTTATGCTTTCCATACCATGTACTACACATTCATGCTGTTGAGTGTGTCTTTTGTTGCAATTGCAATCGCTTGGTAAGTGACTGAAGAAGATGTTTTTTTTTGGTTTATGTTACTAAACACCTCTTCTCCCTTTTTCAGGCGTTGCTATATCGTTTTTAATTGTAACAGAAAAGTGTTTTATGGCCTTTCGGTGGGTGTCTGTTTACATATCGCTCTCACTTGTTGGACGGTCAAAAAACAACACAAAACCACTTATCTTGAAGAAGGCTTCTGTCAAGTTGGGCCTTTTGAGCTTAGATCAGTTTGGACGTTCGCATCTCCCTATTATCTCTTGTTCAACGTCATCTACGATGCAGCTGTGACTGCTTTTGCAACCAGAAGATTACTGCAAAATGCAAAAGGCTTGAAAGGTATTTCCGGTATCACTGGTATCACTCGGATTCTGTTATACAACAACATACACTATGTGAGTACATTATTCTCATCAATTTCAAGAGATTCAAAGTATACTAATCCAGTTCCTGTCCACTAGGTCGCCATTGTCTGTTGTGTCAACTTCATGGAATTCCTCTACTTGGCATGTTCAGACGGGCAAGCACGCAGTCTGTTGGGCATAAGCTGTGCAATTCAAATCATCACTGGTATGGGTCTTTTGATCAGCGAGCAAGATGCCGTTCATCAAGGTAATCAATCCTACGTCGTAGGAAGAAGCGAAGCCAATTCTGGACCATCGAGAAGTACTGGAAGCGGATCGGGAGGCGTGCATTTGCAACAAAGTCAATATGCCAGTGCACAAACTACACGTTCATGGTTACCATCCTCTTTGCATCCGAGATCAGCTGAAGCCACAACATCAAGCTTTAGCGAAAAGAACTCAAAGAGTTACAAGCAGCCAACTTTTCACGGTATCACACTTTCTGTTCATCAACATTGCTCTGACGCAACTGATGTGACGGATATTGAAAGAGGTTATCCCAATTTGACGGGAAAGAATGACCATTCTTCGGATGACATTTCCCCTGCTGCTGCTGGTTGGACGAGTACGCCTTTAATTGCAATCAATCAAACTCCAGTTTCTGAATCATTGTTCTTCTTGCCACAACACAATCAAGATCTGGAAACCCGTACTGTTGCATATCCGAAATTGGGTACGGACACAAATCCCCCGTTTGTACCAAGCAAAGGGAAGATGGCAACGGAAGATGTGACTCTTTTAACTAGAATGGCAGATGCTGGCGTCAATGATGAAGAAGAAACAAGTTTATACACCAAACCAGTTCACTCCTCTTCTCAAAAGAGAAAACATGGTGATAATTTGTCAATCTCATCCATCCGTGCTCAAGCACAACTACGCAAGATTGAAGCTTATCGTAATCATGAAGATACATCTCCACCAAATCAATGGGAAGCACCATTTTCCGGGACTGAATCACCGCAAGACTCTCCATCAAGAACGTACAACGTTAAAAGAAAGTCTGTTCCCTCAATTGTTCCAGAAAGGAAAGGCAGTGGATCGAGTGATAGACCTGGCGTCTTTGAAGCAAGATTGAGCGATAAACCATTGCCACCAGCATATTCTGCCACGGAAGACCAACAATTACAGGCCCAATTTTCCGGTCGTGAACCGAAGCTGTCTGTGAGCAGTCCTCCAAATACGACCAAGAATGTTTCGATGGATGAAGAGTTGAGCGTTACAACAGGTACGTTTGGCGGAAGATTTAGCGCAACGAGTATCAAAGATGCCGAAGCTCAACGTTCAAGCAATTCATCGACAAACAGAACGCAATTCACGCCTCTCGGACTTGCTTTGCCAGCCATGGTTCAACAAAAAAGCAGAGAAAGAGAAACTGTTCAAAACAATGATAAGCCTGAACAAAACGCAAGTGAATTGCCATCATACCATTTGCCATCCAGCCAACCATCCGTTCGACGCCTCCAAGGCTCTGCACACGTTCGAAGTATCTCCGAAGGTCCCTACCGTGGCTCCATGAGGAGCAATCCATTCTTTGGCCCCTCAAATTGATCTGGCATTCAAGCCTTTGTACATACACATTCTCTTTCCATTCATCATCTCACCTTCCTTCTGTCATTGACACTTTTATACATCTCTCTCTAAGAACCTCGCTGTCACTTATACTGTAATTAGTACTGTCCATCGTCGCTCATGCGATTCAAACTCTCTCCTGTATCATCACTCATTGTTTTGACATGTGATATATTTCATTGAATAAAATGCCAATAATTTTGGGGATTGGGATGCCGTTTCGAGCTCCCCTCACCGACGAACGATGAATTGACGAAATGAATCGGCAATATGTTTCATGTTGTGGCTGGGTACAAGCGTGCGACCGCTACTTGTTTCGTTCGATTATAGTGATACAATACACGGCAATCCTTAAATGCGACAGATGGTTAGTACAAGCGGATTGGCTTGCCCATGGTTGATTTGATAACCAAAGATTTGATGTTTTGCCAGTTCTTCTTCAACAAAGAGATCAAGAAGTTGATGGACAACATGATGTTTGCCAAGGCTTGGTCATCAGTCATGTGAACGTGACCGACGGCAACACCCAAGCACAAGACCTTCTTCAATTGGAATTTGATGGTTGACTTAACTTCAATCACCTTCTTTTCCAAATCTTCGGCGTGAGATACTGGTGTTGGGAATTTACCAGCCTTGGACAAACCAGGACCCAACAAACGAGGAATTTGCTTGATCAAAGCATCGGAAGCCAAGAAAGCATCGTATTTCTTTGCCAATTTCTTAACCAATTTCTTGTTCTTGTTGAGCTTCTTCAAATCTTCAACAGTCATGAATTCCAAATCGATCAATTTGGCACGATCGACGTCAGCTGCATCAGCCAAGATGCACAAAGACATACGAGGACGAGGAATGTGAGGCAATTTGATTGTGCCTGAGAAACGTTTGTCACGTTGAGTATCGTAGTTCTTCAAACCGATTTGCAATTCAATCGTTTCGTTGAAGTTACGGTGCTTCTCTTCAGAAGACTTCAACAATTGTTGAATGCTTTGTCGCACGCTTGACACTTGCAATTTCGAAGACATCTTGAGAGATGGTGTTGTACAGTGATGGAGAGAAGGTAAGGTTTAGAAGATGGACTACTACCACACTACACTGCAATGCCCTGCTATTCTGCCCAGCGCGCATACCAAAATTAACAAAATTCTTGCTTTAACCGTACGCTGCGGATCACGTGTCAAAAGCAAAGGTGAGTCTTTTGCTGACTAAGCGAACTGTATGCTAATCTATCTTCGCGGAGATAACTTAGACCTGTATTTACCTCAACCTTTAAGAGTTTGCATCACAATATATCTTCCATCACCTTAAGGTTTCCTCCTATCTAGATGAAATGTCATATCTAGTTGTTCTATATACTTTGGCAGAGCTACGCCCGATCTTCATCGTACTTCTCGTGGGGACATATTTAGCCGAATATTGTCTGAAAAGGTCAAATCGCTCCACCGCAATATCACCAGTCTCATATGATAAGATTAAAGAACGCACAAATCTTCTTCGAATATTTCTCGCTCTTTTGATCTCCATTGGTCCACTCATGCCTAGCAAGCCAAAAAGTGAAGGATGAAAAGGGTATATCTGGAAAGAACTCTACATGCTCAGCTCTATGATACGAGCAACGATTGCGTCATAGCTTAGATGCCGTCTTTTTGTTTACTGATGCTGACATGCTCAATGCTTGTTGTTTACAAACTGCGAGTAAGATGCTATCGGTTCCTTTTGGCAAATTGAGTCTGTCAGCATCGGTTGGATGCGTCCAAATTTCAATTTCAAAGCACCATCGTCCTTCGTTCAAAAATCTGGTCTTGCCTCTAGTAACCGCTTTTTGTAATGGTAAAGTCGGCAAAGGTTGCGCCATCTCGATCGATAGTCTAACAGTGGCGAACCAAAATCCGCGAAAATTGTTTGTTAGCTTGTGCAGACGTTTGGGCATCATTCGATTAAAGTCTCCACTGGTGTCACTATATAGTGCCAAGGCGGTGATGTTATAGCTGCCCATATCCACTTCATCAACATGTTCTTCTGGAAAGTACATGCTTTGTACAGCGAGTAAACCGTCCTTTTGAAATGCCTGATCTTGTGCTGCTTTGTCTTCTACAACTGTTGGTATCTTCTGTTTTTCCCACCAAGGATGTTCGCTCGATCGATCTGTCGGATCAGAAATCAGTGGTGGGACTGGAGCGGAGAAGTCATTAGGGAGGATAGAGACTTGTTTAAGGAGTGAATCCGATCGTAAGCTTGCAAAGTCGGTAAAAATCGCAGATGCTCTAACGCATAAAAGCATCCCTCCATCTTCTGCAGTCTATAGGTTTCTCAGGGTAAAAATGAGCGGCAATTTTCGATCTAATCTGTTTTCGTTCAGCTCACCTTTTGTAGCATATCTGTCTCGACGATGCTGGTTGATTTTCCTTTCTTCAACAATCTTACTTCGACGGTGAAAGGCACCTTTGCTGAGACTCCAGCAAAGTAAGAAGTGCTACAAGAGAGCAAATCTTTCTGTTGTTTGCCAATTCGTCTAACGACGAAATTTTGAGCGCAATTGAGCAAGATGCCTAATGTATAACCTCCGTTTGAAATTGCGAATACATTCCATTGTGGATCAACAATTCCAGTGTAAATCGCTTTTTGTTCTTCGTCAAGGATCAATTTTTTCTCGGTAGCTCTGAGAAGGACCGCTTTTGTTCCTGTGGAACTCATTCTCTTGATTCATTCTATATAAGAAGGATGATGGTCATGTTGAGAAGATTTTCGGACCGGAGCTTTACTTCTTCCTGCAAAGGCGTGATCTCCAAGATGCTCCGGCTGCTTTTGGTCGGGCTGTGTCTGCTCCGCGTTTGTGAATCTAAACTACGTATTACAACTCATGACATCATGTTGTTAAAGTTTGATTGAGTGAGTATACAGAGGTCGTGAAAGTCTACGTTGATTCAGAAAAGTTGACTCTGACAATGGCTTAAAGATTCCATCTCTCTTTAGCTATTGATGAAAATTTGACTGCTTCATCAATTGAGTGAAGATAAGAGTCAAAGCCGACAATCCAACACAAGAAAGTGTCTTCTTCATTGCAATCATCTATCTTTGTTTTAATGAGAGTAAAAATGATTTTTCACCTTCACGCACCTCCACAGCAAACAGTGAACCGGCAAACACGGACGCTGCGCTTCTATCCGTCCGGTTAGAAAAATGTGGAAGCGGAATGCAGTCAGTAAAACACATTTCTAATACACTAGGTGCCTGACTTTTTCCCTCCTTCTTCTTACATTCATCCTCGATAATGACTTCAAATGATGCCAGAGCAACTCTAGTACGGGCAACAGATAGCAAATTGATCATTGACGAAGAAAAAAGGGCGACATACGAAGGAAATTATGATCCAACTTGGAATATTGGAGTAGTTCCCAATGGAGGATACACTCTAGCAATCGTATTGCATTGTGCACATGATTTCGTAAAGCGAAGGATTGGAAAACAACAAGAGCATCTGTTTTCTTGTAATGCTACCTATCTTGGTAAAGTGTCTGCCGATCTACCATACACCGTTGAAGTACGACTATTGAAACCAGGAAGGAATACAAGTGTTCTAGAAGCAGACATTCTACAAAACTCTGGAAAACAAGGATCGTCGGTCGTGTGCACGAGAGTAAGTTGCATCTTTGCAGACTTTACCGCTTTACGATCGGATCCAATCACTGGACAATTCTCATTCTTGCCAAACGAACCTTTTGGAAATACTGCGCCTCTTTTGATGGATCCAAACGATCGTTCAAAAGAGAAGCCATGGTATCCTAAACACAAAGTGCCAACAAAGATTGTTGATGAAAAAGCACAAGAAAAGACAAAAGAAGATGAAGGAAGATTAACAGTAGTACAGAGTATGCACTTCCCGCAAGAAGAAGTATCGGCAGAAGATATGATCGGTCATAATTTGACAGCGATTGCATTTTATATGGATATGACTGTTACGTGGAAGAGTATGATGCCCCCAAAAGCGAAAGAAGTTTCAGGAGGCCGAACAGATTTTTGGTTTCCAACAATGACGTTATCGATAGAAATTGCCCATCCTATTCCGACGTATGCATTACAGAACATCGTCACAAAAGCAAAGACTACATTTTTACATCAAGGTCATTGGTCTTTCGAGATTGAAATTTGGTCACATCCTTCCGATGCTGAAAAGTTACAATTACCAAAAGGTGTCAATAGTATTCTGCTGGCCGTCAGTCGACAGACAGCCTTGAGTATGTCAATGGCTGTCAATAAGAAAAAGTCATCAAAGCTGTAAATAGTGGATTGAATTTGTACTATACTATAGAAATCATATTGATATAACTAGAGTGACAGGGCCGGATGCATGCAATAAGCGTGAGCCGGTGATTGAAGCCAAAGTGCCTTCTTGTAAAATACAGTCCATCTGCCCTTAAGCCGAGATATGAACGCGGGTTGGGGTAGACCATTTTTCAAACATATCGGGCATTTAACATACACAAGCCATAGGCCTACCTACTGCATGTAACGATACAATCCCACCCCGCCCCATTAGAATAAACTCTTGTAAAGATCTGAAAGCGGGGTACACTAACACTACCACGTTTAAAATTGTATGGAAAGAGAATCGGGGAAACATACTACTAAGACAACATCCTTTCCTTCACTAATCGATCATCTCGAAAGAGGCTACCATAAATCATGCCACCTCCTACTTCGCCTGATTCCAATAAAAGGGGTCGTGCAAATGCAGGTTTCACAATAGGTGATGGAACGAAAACACCCGAAAGCAAAGATACTTCACCTGAAAGACGTCCAGTAAGAGATCCAGGATTACGTTTACCCGCATTCACAACGATGAAAAAAGATGGCGAAGAGCTCGTATCAGAATCTGAAGATGAACAAAGTGCATATAATAGATGGTCAAAAGATCAACCACTTACGCCCAATATCGCAGAAAGTGCACAACAGCTAAGAAGATCACTAAGCGTTCATGGATTACATGAATTGGCAAATATGCCGCCAAAACAACTCAGAAGTGCGGTTGGCAGCAAGATCTGGAGACCACACGATGAACCAACCAAAATACCAAGCGACTGGGAACGTTTGGCTGTTCACGTCGTAAGAGGAGGTTTACGATCATTCAACTTAGCATTCATGTTGCGTGGATCAGTGATGCTAGTGTTCGCATTGATTCGTGCTTTACGAACAAAGAAAGCTCAAGGAAAAGCTTTTTTGATCGCTTTCTTTGGCGCAGAGAATATCCGATTCAGTTTGATGTTTGCTGCTTGGTCAATGCTGTACAAAGCAACATCCAATTCACTCAGGCTGATGACGCCTCTTTCAAACGCATCAAAGACAAGAGGGCAAAGATCGAAGTCTGTCCCTTCCACTAGCAAAGGAGGCGGTGCCTCAATGAGCAGACAAAGCAGCAGCGGAGGTGTGCCTGTTGGAGCAATCGGCGACGCAAGCGGCGATGAATCCCAAGTCGGATCAGGTCATGTTTCTGGTACAGCCACACCACGAAGTGGATGGAAAGAATTAGAAGGTAAAGAAGGAGAAGAATTGGCAAAAGCAAAATCCAAACAGAAACACAGAGCATTCATGCGCGATCCTAGAAGTCGTGTTTGGCATGCTTATCTTGCAGGTGCCGTTAGTGGTTTGGCTATCCTTGTCGAACGTAAAGATAGTCGAATCGGTCTTGCTCAACAATTGGTCGTCCGTGGTTTGGAAGGTACGTACAACAATGCTCATTCGAAGGGACTGATTAGCATTCCTAATGGTGCCGTTCTCACTTTTGGTTTGGCATGTGGTCAAATTATGTATGCCTGGCTCAACAAACCTGAAACACTACCAAGAGGATACATCTCTTGGATCACTCAAGCATCCCACATTTCACCTACCGCTTTGCCCATTCACCGCGATTCAATGAACGGTAAAACGGCAAGCGTTGATACGATTAAATCATTCTTCCCCGGAGGTGAATTGCCTGCACCTACAATCTCTTCCAGTGGAAGAGAGATTTTCCCCAATATTGCAGCAAACAAACAAAATCGTCGGGGTATTGTTGGATCAAACGTCAAGCGGATCCGTGATATGATTGAACAGGTAAAGAATGGCAAGGTGTACGATCACGTTCCATGTGAAGTTGTTCATCCATGGGAATCAAGCCATCTTTGGAGTCCTGTCGATCGTTTCTTGGAAGTGACGAGATGGATTTTGCCAGTTTACATGACTTTGCACTTTGTTCCCGCCATCTTCTTACGTATGAGAGCATTCCGAAAAGATCCTCTTCGTGTCTTTTTGAGATCATTGTTTGGATCCGTTCGCTCTTCCTCCTTCTTGGGAGCATTTGTGATCATTTTCCAAACACTTTTCTGCACTTGTCATTCTTTGCACGATAAGATCATCAACGATCCTCGTCTATTAGCAATCGTGCCAGAATGGGCTCGTAAATTTCTCGTTGGAACTGCGATGCATTGGTGGGCCGGTTTCGCAACCTGTCTTTCGCTGTTCATCGAACACAAACGTAGAAGAACAGAATTGGCAATGTACGTCTTGCCAAAAGGAATGGAAAGTGCTTGGAGCGTCGCTCGTCAACGTTCTTGGGTACCTTTTGTACCTGGTGGAGATCTTTTGCTCACAAGTGCTGGTATGTCACTCGTCATGGGAACTTATGCTCAAAATCCCGATCATCTCTCAGGTATCGTTCGTAGAATCGTATATCAATTCGTTGGTCGTAATTAGATACACACATGCTTTGACTTTAGCTACATTCATCGCTAGACTATCTGTAATACATCTCATTCGTATGGACTTTGGTGCAAATCTTTCTTCACTCTCTTTTGACTGAGCTTGAGGCGTCGCGACTGCGTAAAGCTCGGGATGATGAGGGACTTGCAGAAACATCCGATCTTGAAGCAGTAAGTGATCTCCTTCCGTGACCTTGCGAGCGCTTCTGTGCAATCGATGCTGAATTGGTTGGGTCCAGATTCGTCTCAATCTCATTGCGAAGCTTTGCCCACCGTTGCGAGACAGCCTTTTTTGTGCGTGTTGTAGTCGATACGTCATTCACAATTTTCGTGACTTCGTCCCAACTCACCTTTCCATCTCCCTTTTTCACCATAGCCTTCCAGAGAAGGACATTCTCAGCATCTGACCATGGCTGTATCTTGTTCGAATGTGATTTAGTAGGTTTTGGCAGCGATTGATGGCTGTTAGGTGTGGTGTTCCTGCTTGAAGCACTACTCAGAGACATCACGCTTGAGCTTGAGCTAACTGGAGATTTTGTAAAGGAGCCTGTCTCGTGATTTTCTTTCTTTACCTCTCTTGACAAAGGCGAAGGTGAACCTTCTCTGATTGCCAACCGATAGTCACGTTGTAAACGTAATTTTGTTGAAGGTGTCAATCGTTTATCGGGTGATGGATAGGGTTCAATTTTGCGAATGGGAGCAGACTTTGATCTTGGCGTACGCAGGATTCGCTTTGCATAACCAACAGTCTGGAAGTCATTCTCACTATCGCTCGACATGATGATTTGCCAAGATTTGAGGAGCAGCTTGTTCGAGGTAGCTGAAGAAGCTTGAGAACATGACAATCTTGCAATGCGCAGCCTCTTTCAAATTCTTGCAAAGTGGACCGTTAAGCATTGCCATCATTATCCGTTTCGATTCGGGTGCAAAGTCGTTGCTGCTTCACATCTCGTTGTCAAAGGCCTGTGCGCTTGAAATGCTGAGCAGAGTTAGAAATCAATATCACATCTCTGCCAAAGGAATATCAAATTCTCATTTGTCCGTTCCCTTTGTCTCTCACTTCAAGATCGTTCAGTAAAAAGTCCGAACGGAACCGATTGGAACCGATTGAGGCTGACTTTGATCCGTACTTGATCTCATGCACGAACCACCGCCCCGTTTCTGGGGCAGTTTACCCTCGGCTGCCTTCCTTTCTCAGACCGATGTGACAATCTTTTCGATTGCCCGATCGAAACCTTCCACACGAATAGGCATCTCTGGTGTATAAAATGGATTCTTCATCACTTGATCCGCATAACATTCATATGCACGTTGCAAAGCTGCTTGTGGATTTGGATGCCAAGGTGAAGAGATCAAGACAAATTTGATTCCTGTCGGAGTGAGCAAGACTGTCATTTTGAAATTGTCAGCTTCCAAAGTTTCCAAACCAGCATTGAATGTATTTTGAACGGGATTCAATCTTGTTGTGATTGCATGTACTCCGTGTAAGGTTCCAGCTAAGATTAACGCTTCATTTGAAGTTAGCTTTTGTGTTCCTACGAATTTGTCTGATTGAAAGATCAGTCCCCCAGCTTTGTTGATGATCCATAATGATGACATGTTTGCTTGTGATCGATGTTTTAAAGGAAGAGTGACAGATGTATGCGTTGTTGAACTTTCTTTAGCCCAGCCAAGCCACCCCTCAAACTTTAAACGCTCAAGCCATTTTTCACTTCTTCCCCCCTTCCTAAACTGCACGCTGCACTAAAACGGCATGTGGACTGAATATGCACATGTTGTAATCTGTTCCATTTCTCATTTTCGCGGGCCAGGGAGAGCGGCTTAATTGTTTGACAGATCAAAAGAGGCACTTTAGCCTTATGAAACCATAATTCATTCTTTTCCCCCCTTCCTTTAGAACCCAGTATCTTGCTCGAATTCAATCTTGCTTCCGTACCGATCATCACGATCTGTGATCAACTTTGAATAAAACCTCGGATCAAATCAATTCCCTCCAATCGCTATCACTTTTGCTAAAACATCTATTCAAGCCTCGGCTTTATTCGTTGTGCAATTCTCAGGGCTGCAATTTGCCTAAACAGATCTGCAGTTCAGCCCGTACATCATTGGCGCAACACTTCTTCTCAATTACGAAGAAAGCAAGTATTTTTAGCACAATACCTTTTAAGATCACTCTCCACCTCAATCGCGCGATCAATACAGCTTTTTAGCATCAGAACAGCTCAATATCAGCTCCATCATCTTCTACATATCATCATCAGATTGTACGACATGCCAGCGATCTCGCCGGACAATCTTGCTTTGCTCAAGGAGCCAATCTTGAGCATCCTGAGGGGAAGTGATCTGAGTCTGATCTCAGCAAAAAAGGTTCGTCAAGCATTAGAGCAACTGAATGATCCTAAAAATCCAAACGAAAAGCTTTTAGCAAGATTACAAATCCAATTGGAAGAGAAAGAGCACAAAAAACAAGTTGATGAATTGATCAAAGTTTGTTTTGATACAATCAACAATCCTGCACCAGCTCCAACTCCTGCCACAGGATTGGCGCTACCAGTCGGAAACGGTCATTCCAACGGTTATTCGTCCGCATCTGCGCCTAATTCGGGAGCCAGTTCAGCACCCAGATTGGCCTTACCGGGAATGGGAGGAATTCCTGGCTCGCTTGCTGCTCCTTCTGCACCTGTTGTTAAGACAGAACCCCGTTCTTCCAGTTCAATGTCCACATCCAAAGCAGCGCCCTCGGGAGGGAAAAGAAGCCGAAAAGCGGAAGATACAATCTCTGATGAAGAAGAAGATGCAGATGTTGAAACGATCAAAAAAATGGCAAGTAAGAAAACAACAAAGAAACGTAAATCGATAAAGAATGAAGATGGAGAAAAGAAACCGCCAAATCCAAACAATCCGTTCAATAGACCCGTCATACTAAGCGAAGAGATGGGACGTGTTTGCGGCGGAAGAGAGATGCCACGATATATGATCACAAAGCAATTATGGGCATATATCAAAGGAAACGATTTGCAAAATCCGGAAAACAAAAGGCAGATCATGTGTGATTCAACACTTCAAAGTTTGTTTGGAAAATCCACAGTGGATTCATTTGAAATGGCAAAATTGATCTCTAAACATGTTTCAAAGAAGGAAGTTACAGAATAATTGGGAAAGAAGAACGGCTTTTTTTCTGCTTTTCGCAAAGGATATGCTTTTGCTGTACAATACACTAGATTTGGGCTTCTGATTGGCCTTTAAATTTATCAATCTCTATCATCCAATAATGTAAACTCATCCATTAAATGTGCATTTAATATTGTGGTAAATGTTACAATGACATCGTGCATTCTTCTCAAAATCGTCCTGCCAAGCTACGTGCTGCATCGCTTGCTGAGATTCTACTACGGTTTGCCCATACATCACCAGGCTTAGCGGGACTACCGCTAGGATTGGCTGCTGATGGTGGTTGAGCTTGATTGCCAGATTGTTGTTGTTGTTGTGCAAATCTGCCAGGTTGGTTACCAAATGATGGTCCAAATCCAGAATTAGTCACACTACTCACACTTGAGCCTCCTTCCATCCGAGCGAATGGATTGGCATATCGACTCATATCTCTGCCTGAAGGCAAGAATGCACTTTGACTCATCGATGGAGCAGTATTTGGCATTCCCGAAGATGCATTGCCGCCGAAAGGATCGTTGATGGAAGATTGACGAGTGGGTGTAGGAGGCAAGAATGTACTTTGAGCGCCACTTCCAAACGATGGAGCAGAAAAGACTTCACTTTCAGGTTGTGGATCATTCCAAGGCGAATCAGCTTCAGCGAGCGGAGGTGGTACGAATGCTCTCTCAGAGCCAACGGGTTTGGATCCTGTATCGTCCCGCAAACCTTGCGAACTGATCTGAGAACGTCCTTCTGCATTCGCACCTTCTGATTCGATCTCTTCTGCAGGAGCATCTGGCAGATCCTTGTTGATACTAGCTGTTGACAATTCACTCGAAGGTGTCTTGACTTGTTCCGGTAATGGACTGGGTATGCTTGCGGATGCTACTGTGTCAGTCGGAGCCAAATCATGCGGTCGAGATGCTAAGACCGGGTCTATGACATTCCCGTTTGGAATTGAAGTAGTTTGATCGGGTTTGACCGAAGCATTCTCGACCCTGTCCGCTTCCCTATCTTCCGTTGCAGCTGCATCAGCTAATGGTAATGGATCTGTTTGTGTGGGGGGAACGAGCGGAGGTACAACGGTTTGATCTACCTGTCTACCTTCACGCAAGGCCACCAAACCATCTCGAGCTCGAACGAGATTATTCAACATGTATTTATGTGCTCTGATAGAATTTTTTGCATGATTGATCAGAGCATCTTGAATATCGGTATGCGTATTCCTGCTATGTTCCTTCAATTCTTCTTTCAGCGTTGAGGTAAACGTTGTAAGATGATGGGTAAGCACTTGAGTCGTTCTCTGTGCATCTCGTAGTTCTTGCAAAATCCAATCGACATCCTCTTGTCGTATTTCTCCTCTGGCACGCTTGAGCCTTTCAGCTTCTCTTCGTTTTTGCACAAGGATGACCAGTGCTTGATATCTATGAGAAGCAGCAGCAGCTCTGCGTAACAAAGCATCGATAGCCGCTCTGGCATTCAGGCTTTGATAGCTCATGCTTGGTACAATTGTACCCATCAATGCGGCATTTGCTCCCGTTCGCGAAGCTGCAAAGGCTTCAATTCCTTTCGTCAACGTTGACATATCCTCCCCTTCTTTTGCCTTTTTTGCAATATTTCGGCCTTCATCTAATCGTGCTAAATCCATCAGCGCTGAGTTCAATTGGTACAACGTAGCCGTCATCGATCCACTTCGCTCTACCAACATTTGTGCTGCTTTACTTGCTTTTTCAAATTGCAATTCTAGTCTGGTGATTTCGTTTCTTGCAGCAGTAAGTTCTTCTTCATCTTCGTCCTCTTCTCCGGGCGGGATAGGCACAGAAGGGTACGGCTGGATCCGTTGTGGGCTAGCACTTGCTCGTGAGAATATGCTCAAAGGATTCTTGCTTGTTGATGCTGCCGGAGTAGTACCTGGCCCATAGATATCACCTGAAGCTTGCGAAGACACACCAGGCAATCCAAGTGCTGCTGCCACACCATCCACATCCCATGTCGCCGTTGGGTTCACTCCGCTTCCACCTTTTCCTTTCCGACCAAGCAAAGGATCGTGTCCCATTCGTGCAATTGCTATACCATCATCCAATTTCCGTCGTGCAGCTACTGAACTACCAGGTCCAACATGTGGCATTGATGGATTATAATTGAAATCGCTGTCCACAAGCGCAACCGTCGCTGGGTGGCTTAGAACGAACGGCTTTCTCAATATTCTAGCGAATTGATGAGTGATCGTGGACAGATAGCTCCTTATCACCGAATCTTCCATCGAGCCTCCCGTTACTAGAGCTGGCGGTAGAGCTTGGAAAGGCGAAAATATTCCAGCTGGAAAACTCAAAGTCAATGCAAGGATCCATAGCTGCAACTCCGGTAAAGTCCTTGTCACACGAGGATAAAAGCTTCTCCTCGCGGTTGACATATTCGTTCGGCCTTCTACAATCAATGTCGGTGGTGCAATATGATGGCCGTTTGGATGATTCGATGCATGCGCCACATTGTTTGGCAGCTGTAGAGCGAGAGCACGTATCTGTAAGTAAGTGCTCGGGGCCGAGGATTGGTATGAAGAGGGCTTGTCAGCTCCAGCATCATGACGATGTTGGCTTGGTTCAGATTTCAAATTCGGATTGGATGACCGCTGATCTTGTGAGGTGTTTCCTTCGCTCTTCGAGTCACTCGTTTGCTCCTTGGAGATTTCAGAAGTTTTCTGGACAGATTCAGCTTCATCTTTGATGGGTTTTGTGTCTGCCTTCCCATCTTCAGCAGAGGACTGAGCAACGTCTTTGATAGGTTCTGCATCAGAGTCTTTGGTCTTAGGATCTTCTTGTGCTTCTGTGACTGGCAGACTACTCTCCGATTCCTTGCTCGTTGTAGCATCTTGGGTTTGATGATTCGCTTCTTCTAGCGTTGGTTGCTCTTCCTCCTCACTTGCATACTTTCCATTCGCCTCTTGATTGGTAGGCTCATTCTCGTGTTGAGCAACCTTCTCTTCCTTAGGATGATCATCATCTTTAGTGACTTCCATTATGATCCCCCCACAAAGCAACAAAAAGTTGATGATGATAATGTAAAATGAAATCAAAAGAAGCACAGCAACACTTGTTTGTAAGTGCCATCCCCGCGTAAGCGCGTACAACAGGCTCCACCTTCAACAAATGGCCTTTCTGGACCGTGCATGTATGCCGAAACAACATCCTCAACACTTCTACTCTTGCAACCATATCACATTCTACATTACGATCAAGCATTTCCAACATGGCCACAGTCGATATCGGTACACCCTTGCTAGACAAGATCAAGGATTTCCGTATGTCCAAACACAGTCAAGGCAATTCGGCAATCGTGGTAAAGATCGATAAAGCAAAATTAGAAATGGATATAGAAGATGAATTCAATAATATTACATTGGAAGATCTTAAAGAAGGTGAGAGCTATACATCCTTAGAATGTCCTTCTGTTCACTAACCCTCAGAATGTCAATCCTTCAGAACTTCCGGAAAATTCACCTCGTTTCATCGTTCTGTCTTATGAGCTACATCACAAAGACGGACGTACTTCTTTTCCCCTCGTTTTGATTTATTGGGCACCGCAAACAAGCAGCATGGAACTCAAGACTCTGTATACTAGGTATGTAGCCCACTCTTTTGAACTTCTTATAACCGCATCATGCTCACTCGCAACCCCCTTTCCTCGCAGCGCACTACAAAACTTCTCCGTCAAAGCAGATATCTCGGGAAAGGTATTGGACATCAGGGAAGAATCAGAATTCGACAAAGAATCTCTAGATCGTAGACTAGGCGCTTAGAGAGTTGTACGATAGGAAAGGATCTTAATAATCATTCAGTACATGCGTCACACCGAGGTTTTTCTTGGTTAAGTATGCTATTTGCTATTACAGATGATGTGCATCAGGAATGATTTACAAGGAAGCGATGATTAGGGATAAATATTAAGGTATAATACTACTATGTGCTTCATTTACGCAAAAGGAAGCTTGGCAAAGGCAGATGACTGGGTAATGGAGCAGCTGCTGAAAAAGATGGTAAAGCGAATTCATGCTTAGCAGCCATGGGTGTCTTGTCATTATCTTCATCTTCTGGCAAGCCGAAGTCAAGTTGACGTGGTGCCAAATCAGGAGAAGCGGAAGCAGAAGAAGCCAAACTTGAACAATCATCTCCATAATCCAATGCAGGTTCTGATGAAGCAATCGAAGAAGCTGAAGAGCGTTCTGAAGGAGAATGAGGACGTTTGAGAGGCGAAGTTCCCATACGGATGATCAAATCATCTCGGTTACCTTCCAACCAGTATGGCAAATCGTCAAAGCTGGTGATTGTAACTTCTCCTTCTTCTTCATCAGCGTCTGCTTTGAGGTCAAAGCTTGCCTTTTCAACCGTGGCTTTGGGCGAAGGAAGAACGAATCGCCATGGGCTACGACCTTTGATCGCAGGTTCCATGGAAAAGCGAAGGGGTGGTAAAACTTCCACCGGTCCAGGTTCCATGGAGACACGAATTGGAGGGAGCATTTGTGGTGTTTGTTCTTCTTTGGGAGTCTTTGCCTCTTCTTCTTCACTGCATGATTCACCCGAAGAGGATGGTGCTTCGCTCATCTTTGAACGCAATGAATCTGTTGATTGACGTCTTTCTTCGTAACGAGATGACGGACGTGAAGCACTGCCTGTACTTGATTTGATGCGCCAATTGTCTACTTTGTCAGCACGACTTCCTCGTACGTTTGAAGTTGGAATTGGCGGTAACGACGGAATGCTCTTTGTTGGTTGATGACGCTTGCTTTCGATTGTAGAAGAGCCTTGTCTTGCTTTATTCAAAAGTGGTTCTGAAGCCTGTTTGCTACTTTTCTCCTTTTGCATGGCTAGCAAAGGATTAGGAGGCAAACATGCAACTGGCTTCAGTGGTAAAGAGGCTTGTGCTGAATTAGCACGACGATGACGCCAGCTTGGCAATGAGCCTGAATCTGTCGTCATATTTGAACGCCATTGTTCGACGCTTTGTTGTGTCGTATTGCTACGACGATGAACGTTAGTAAACGACATTTTTCCGTTAGAATGCTATATAATGATGATGATGATTGGTTCGTAAAATCTTGAAAACGACCTGACCAGCAGAGTGTCTTCTAATGCAAATGAGAGAATATTGCGTAAAGAAAGGCAGCAAGGATTGGCGACGATGAGCGTAAGAAGGTTGTCCAAGGGATGTTTTTGGTTGAGTTGATAATGATTAATGATATGCAAAAGATGATATGCTAATTGATGATGGTATACTGTTGTGAATAAAAGAAAACCTTTTTTTGAGAAACTGTAAAAATCGAAACCACGCAATTGTTTGAACGCTTTAAAAGCTGGGAAGCCCAGACGAACGAGAAGAATTGAATGAGCAAGGGAAGAAAGTTACAGAATGAAGAAAAGAGGTTTATATATTTCATTCAGCTTTACCTCCACAGCAAGGGATTACCAGACACAAAGAAAAAGAAGACGCCCCCTTTCATTAACGCATATCACAGATTTCATTCCGCCCACTGACAAAAGGAAAGAGTGTGCATAAGCCCCAGATTGAGGATCATATGAGTCCGTTTAAACTTAGACTGTCAATGCTAAGAAAGGCAAGTTTAACCTCTTTTCCTAGCGGGGCAAATAAGAAAGGATGATCATCTAATTTTGTCTTTAGCCTTTTTAATTGGCACAAGTTGCCTTTTACAGATCGCCTTTGTTGTGCATTGAAGCCCCTTCCTTTATGTTGTGTAAACGAGGTAAAATGAACCCGTACGTCAGCCCGCTTTAATCTTTTCGTTCAAGAAAGGCAAGTGAAGCACAAGCAGGAACGGCACGTTTGAAGCCGTGACGGACTTTTACGCCTTTTGGCGGTAATTGAATGGACTTTCGCACTGCATTGAATTCAGTACAACCCTTTTGTCCTTTCCTGCACTTTATGTCCATGTAGAATCAATGATAAAGAAAGGAGTTTCCATTATGGGAAATTGACAGAAATTTGAGTTGATAACTCTAAAAGACACAATGGATATGATCTGCAATAGCTTTTGCTTGCATGCATGTAGAGTTTGTTTGTACTTCTTTTGGCAAAATAGCTGTGTTTGCATTCAAATGCACAAAAAAAATGATGTGGCGTAATGGACAGGTTAGCATATTCACTTGCCCAAATTCGCCGCGTACACAGGTTTACACTTGTGGGCGTTCATTACGCCTTTTAAAGCACGCCTATAACGCCCCGCCGCGACAATGACGCTGATCTTTCTTTGCAAAGCCCCTCAACACTGCCTGCCATACAACAAAGGGCATCTGTCGAATAAGGTGTATGTCATTCTTCTTTCACTTTTACCGTCATCACGTGTACATGAAATGCTCATCGTCATCACTTGAAGTAGGAATAGATTTGGTCATCGGCGTTGAGAGTTGAGTAAAAGAGAAGAATGAGAGGATATGTGACGTGGAAGGACTAGCGCGGAGGGCCGGGAATGTATGAGCGAATGTATGCAGCCAAACTCGAAGAAACGAACAAAAGATGAGAAATAAGAACAACACCTTTGTATGCTCCTGACCAACACATCAACTGAACAATCATGACTTTGGCACATTTGGTCATTTGTACAGGATCGATTTATGCTTCCTTTCTATTATGGGCTTTATTGCAAGAACGATTAACTACAACGCCATACACTTTACCGATTTCCTTGCAACATGCAACCAATGAATCAAGGAATGAGTTCTTCAAATCACCCCTTGTACTGAATGCTTTACAGGCTATCATATGTACAGTCATTGCAGCAATCTATCTCACTGCTCGTTCGATCGGATCAAAGGAACCTCTCCATGTTCGCTTGGGCTTTGACGCCCTTACACCAGCCGGTGCGGATAAATTGCGAAAGAACAAACAAAACGGAGTCCAGGTAAACGGAAAGTCAGGAAAGTCTAAAGCAGTCTCAGCTTCACCCTCAAGAGTTTCGCCATTGTTGCTGCGCTATATCCAAATTGCCGCCTCACAATCCGTTTCTTCTTTGCTGGCTTTGCATTCGTTATCGCATGGAATATCATATCCTACTTTGACATTGGCAAAATCCTGCAAATTGGTACCTGTTTTATTCGCCAATGTACTACTGTACAGACGCAAATTTGCACCTTACAAGTATGTTGTGGTATTGCTGGTGACCGTTGGAATTAGTATGTTCATGCTTTTCGGAGAAAGTGCAAGTTCCAAAAAGAAGATTAAACCAGGTCAAGAACGTTCGAGTATGGTTGGCTTGCTTCTCTTATTGGGAAATCAAGCTTTAGACGGAATCACAAATTCAACACAAGATGAAGTTTTCGGAACGTATACGCTTTCAGGTCCAAAGATGATGTTAATCATGAACGCAATCTCGGCTGCCTTGATGGGAACTTCGCTATTGGTTCCTGTGCCAACTTTCTTGGGCGGTAGCGGAACAGAAGGTTCAGGTGAATTGGCAAGCGCTCTAAGCTTTATTCAACGTCATCCTGAAATTTTACGTGATTTGTTTGGATATGCTCTTGCGGGAGCACTTGGACAAATTGCAATCTTTGAAACATTAGAGAGATTCGGTAGTCTTACCTTGGTTGCCATCACTGTTACCCGTAAATTGTTCACTATGCTTTTGTCCATCGTGGTCTACAAGCACACCCTCAAACAGGCTCAATGGCTTGGTGTATTGATCGTCTTTGTCGGCTTGGGAATCGAGGCGAGAGAAAAGAAACGGGAAGGAATGGCAAAGAAAGTTTTGGCAGAAAAACGGGCAGCGGTAAAAGATGCATAGACGGGTATTAAATGATAGAGGGTTAATATTACAACGCATTGTACATCTAGAAATACATTATTATCTTTATCGCAATCCTATCATCGCACTGATATCGGTGGTTCAGCTCCAGGTACTTTACCCCATTCAAAAGTTTCCGCTTTGAATAGTGCTAATAGTTCTGCCGGAAGATCTTCCTCTTTCGGCACTTCTGAAGCCCATGGGTCAGAAGTTGATGGTTGAGCTTTTGCTCCAAAACCTGTACTTGATCCCGCACCAAATCCTCCTCCGAAAGCAGATCCAGAAGCAGATGTGGATCCGAATGCACTCGTTCCACCAAATGTAGAAGGAGCAGTCGTATTATTATTCGAAAGGCCACCACCAAAGGCTCCAAAGCCAGTAGAGCTACTTGTCGAGCTTCCAAAGGCACTGGTCTGACCAAACGCAGACGAATTCTGCCCAGGCTGATTCGTTGCACCGAAGCCAGTTGAAGTGGTGCCAGGTGTAGTCGTCGAGCCAAAAGCAGATGGAGTGGTCTTTGTATTGTTGGTGCTCGAACCGAAAGCACTCGTTCCGCTATTGCTACCAAAGGCAGAAGGCTGTCCAAAAGCACTGCTGCCTGTCTGAGCGCCAAAAGCGGATGTCTGACCGAACGCTGATGGTTTGGCTGCAGAACCAAAAGCTGATGTCTGTCCGATTCCTGAAGTGGATCCTGCTGCAGCAGGCTGACTACCGAACGCTGAAGGTTGCCCAAAAGCAGAAGGCGCGCCAAAAGCTGATTGTTGGGTGTTCGTAGTAGAAGCACCGAAAGCTGATGGCTGTCCGAAAGCTGATGTTGTTCCAGAGGGGTTACCTCCTCCAAATGCTCCAAAGCCTGTCCCACTCGAAGTGCCGGCAGCATTATTTCCTCCAAAGGTATTTGCAGGTTTGCCAAAAGCACTTGATTGACCAAAAGTAGACACTGTATTTGATGAACCAAATCCTCCTCCAAAAGCACTTCCGCTGCCTGAGGTAGACGATCCAAAAGCGCTAGTCGATGCAGGTTGTCCGAAAGCTGACATAGCATTCGCTCCTGCTCCAATTGGTTGCTTATTTCCTGTTAGATCTGCCGTATTCTTCAAGGCTTGCTGATAGGCGGCTTCGATATTGGACAGAGCTTGTTGTACAAAGTTATCGTTTTGCTGTGCAAGTGTAGCTTCTTGTTGTGCATACTCAGATACCTTTCCTTCCTTTAGAGCCTCATATGCTTTCAGACGCATTTCTTCTTGACTAACATCTTGTGAAGTGATAAGATTTGGCTCATACTTGGCAGGTCCATAAACGCTCATCTTCCATACAGGTCGATTGTTTGGCCCCAAGTCTTCTCGCATATTCGCTGAGGACAAAGTGATTTGACCAGGCTGAACATTTGCCAACTTCCCTTGACCTCCTCCATTGCCGCTACTCGATCCGAAAGCTGAAGTTGTACTATTTCTAGGACCGCCAAAAGTAGCTGGCGGCCGACTGGAAGATCCAAAGGCAGATGTGGTGGATGTACTGGAGCCAAATAATGAAGTTCCTTTATTCAAACCTCCAAATCCAGTCGAAGGAGACGAGTTACCAAAAGCACTTCCTGTATTCGAAGAACCGAATACGGATGCAGGCTTTGCACTCCCGCCACCAAAAGCTGAAGGTTGACCGAAAGTACTAGATTGATTCCCAAAACCAGAAGAAGAGCCAAAGCCAGATGATGATCCGAAAGCGGAAGAAGAACCAAATCCACCGCTTGATTGATTTCCGCCTCTTGGATGTTCGTTACGACATTGATCTCCAAACCTACACTGGCCACGTAAGAAGTATTGACACACAGCCATCTTTGCGATGAGTGGTGTCTGTAATTGGCCAGCTCACCTCTCTGTGCAATGAGCCGATGGAGGGAGGGAAGAGGAAGTGTTGTTAGAGAGAGCTTGTTCCTATTCCAAGTAAAAAGTGTTAAACACGTGTATGCCAAACACAGCCAACATCCGTGCGCGTGTTCAAGTCGGCTGGTTTAGTCCACCTCTCACACACACCCCGCTTATTGCAATCTTCCATCCGAATCATCATCCCAGATTACAATTCAACACATCTTTGGATTGACAATATGCCAGCTTATCATTCGGCATACAATGACGTACCAACGGAAGAGGTAGCCACAATTGCATCTCTATCCATCTTGCCATTCCGTTCCAAAATTCGCGGACCTGCTCCTCCACCATTGGCCAATCCACCACCAGAAGCTGAAGGATTAGATATCATCGATGAAGCATTGGACTTGTTCAGACCTAACAGCCTATTCAGAAACTTCGAAATCAAAGGTGGAGCAGATCGTTTGTTGATCTATTTTATCCTGTTCATTTCGCAATGCTTGTCAATCATCGCTGGAAGTAGAGTTCCTCTAAGTCAAGCAGAGGCAATAAAGCAATTAAGCACAACTGCTGTCGACCAATTCCATCTTCCAGGTGATGCTGGATTCCCATTGAACAATCTATATGCTGCACCAGCCAACCGTATGGAAGCAGGTGAGTACTTTCAAAGGCATACAACTATTCAGACCAACCTAATCTCTTTTCTACGATCTCCTTCCATCAGACCAACTAAGAGCTTACCTCGTTCAAGCAAGGCAAGAGATTGCTACACGTTTGATCGAGAGAGTATATGTGAACGGACAGCCTAGCAAGTTCTGGCTCGCATTCACAAAGAGAAAATTGTGAGTTGATGTGCATGAATTGATTCGATGATTTTACCGATTGACTGACACTTGATTTCGTCCTATTTTGCAGCATGGGCAAGACCTTGTGAGAAGTGCATGTGGGGATCAGTAGATGGCAGGATAGCTGCGATGTTGTAAGGCAGTATACTGTGGAAGTGTCTGGAGATTTTTATCTCATAGGTTACCTAAATGTGATCAATTGTAGAGATGTGTGAGAAGCTGAAGAAAGCAGGGAGTCGTTTCTCAGATAAGTCGTGATGATGAACAATTGCGAGAGGGTTAAGTACGCAACACCAATCACCCATGGGCACAGTCTGAATTGTCAATCATCATACGGAACCGCACAGTATCATTGAGCAGAAGACGAAGCAGAAAAATGATACATTTTGGTAGAAAAAGGGAAGCAAAACGGATTCCTGGAACCAATTGATTGAAGCGAATAACTTCTTCACAAAAGAACCATAAAACGAAACGAGCCAAAAGACTACTACTGACATGAAAAAGAAAATAAAAAACCCTCCTCGGTCAGAAATACAAAAATGGCTGTCTTTGAGCACCTACCAAACAGCCAATTGCATACACATCAAAGCTCCTGAAATAGATACACACAAGGTTTAGTTGACCATTGCAACGTTTGATGCAGGTGCTTCGGCGATTGGGCAATCACGGGCAATGTGACCGGCTTCTGAGCATCTGTAACATTTGTTGGATTTAGGTGCACGGCTTGGACGGGCTTTGCAATCACGGGCAAAGTGGTTTTGACCACCACAGTTACGGCAAGTGATACCGTTTGACTTGCTTGTGCCTGAAGGGCAGTTACGAGCCAAGTGAGGACCACCGCATGTCTAAGAGAGTGATAAAAATCCTGTCAATTAAATGTATCTTTCCTGCAGCTCTCAATGTCATACTCACGAAGCATCCGGTAGCAGCACCATTACCAGCAGCAGAGCCAGGAGTGGTAGCAGCGCCTGTAGCAGCAACGGCTTGAACGTTACTGATTGGACGAGAGCCGATGTTTGGGCAATCAGCCTTGATGTGACCTTTGCTCAAGCAGTGATAGCATGATTTTTGATCGGTTGTACGTGGATCGGGGCATGCACTGGATTCATGTCCACCTTTACCACAGTTGAAGCAGAGACGTTCGGTTGAACTGCAGTTCTCGGCCAAATGACCAACTTGTCCACAGCTAAGGAAGAGAAAGATATCGTGTGAGCCTTTTGAGATGCTGAATCAAGACTTGGTTTTTAGCAATAGAAAAAACACTTACACATAACAAGCACGACGACGGAAAGACATTTTTGAATGTTTTATTTCTTCTTTAAGCACAACTTTTTGCAACTTCTTTTTTGTTCTCGTTTCGCCTTCCGCAACTCTCAACTTCCGCTTACGATCAACGATTGATCACTTGTAAAAGGTTAGCAGTCTTCTTGTTAAGGAAGGATGATGTAGTGAAATCAAAAGGGTAAAATTGTCGCACGACATCCGTTTTTGCCTGCCTGTCTGCATTCATCCACACTTGCTTGCAAGTTAAAGTAAGTGTGCTGCTTTCTCTGCGTAGGGGAAAATTATTGTTTGTGTGGGCCGTTAAATTGAACATCGGATCTCGGCAGCATAAGAGCGGCTGCTTGCGGTGCGCAGACGTTCGTTTAGCCTTGCGCGAGAAAATGACATTTTTCAAGGTTGCTGTCTATTTTCTCGCATAGAAACAATAATAACCCGCACTGCCGGTCCTAACTTTGTTTAATTTATGAGCAGTTCATAGTAGAATCGAGAGAAAGGCGGAGGAATGGTAATTAGCAGAAATGATACTTGTTGTGGAATCATATATGACTTTATATCTGAATTATCTGATTTGTTAATATAAATGACTCTGGAACCGTCGTATTTCTTAAGTACCTTGTTCCTCTCATACAACGGCATCCGCCGATGAACCTTAACGGCTTCTTCCTAATATTGATTATATAAATATCATTGGAATAAATAATAGAACAGACAGAGCTTCCTGTCTTCACAAATACTGCTTCACAGAATTTTCCCTTTCGATACAACTGAGTTTGCAAAAATAAAACTTTGAGTTTGAGAATCTACAAGATCTACAAAAGGCTCAAAAAGATCAATCAAATATGTGTTTTCATAATCGTTAGATCATAAATTGCCTCTTATATTTTGGGTGGGTAAATTGAACACAAATTTGTTCCTATCTATACGTCTTTTCTTTCTTAAAGATCTCCATCATCTTCATCTGGAAGAGGGGCAGCTTGTGCTTGTGCCAATTCTTGTTCGTATTGAGCCATAAGTTTGGCGTCAACTTGAACTTCTGGTGGTGCCAAAGCAGGTGCAGCGGCAAATTCTAAGCTTGGGTTTCCGACCAATTTACGTGCAAGCCACAAGAATGGCTTCTCGAAGTTGTAGTTGGACTTGGCAGAGATTTCAAAGTATTGCAAGTTCTTCTTGCGGTGGAAAGTAACGGCACCAGTCTTGACTTTACGTTCCTGTTTGTGTGAATGAGGGATGGAATTTGTTAGTCTGTGAATTGTTTTTCTTTCACCAAGTATTTACTCACGTTAACGTCGACCTTGTTACCACACAAGACAATTGGAATGTTCTCGCAAACACGGACCAAATCTCTGTGCCAGTTGGGAACGTTCTTGTATGTGATACGACTGGTAACGTCAAACATAATGATACCGCATTGTCCTTGGATGTAGTATCCATCACGTAGTCCACCAAACTTCTCTTGACCGGCGGTATCCCAAACGTTGAAGCAGATTGCACCAAAGTTTGTGTGGAATTGCAAAGGGTGAACTTCGACACCCAAAGTGGCAATGTATTTCTTTTCGAATTCTCCTGTCAAGTGGCGCTGAATAGAGGAAAAGAAGATTTCGATTAGTACAAAGCCTAGTAACAAGATAGTCATGGAGAAGTGAATTCCGTCATAGTGTCGGCCGGCATCATTGGAATAGCTCCTAGTGTTCCTGACATTTGCCTCCACAAATACTGCGCACAACTCTCCGCAATGTATGATGTGTCCCTCTTTTTGTCTGATGAACTTACCTTGACGAAAGTAGTCTTTCCGGTACCACCATCACCAACTGAAACGAAGGGAAAAGATTAGAATTTGATTCGTCGTCAGTAAGTTGATTTAATGTATCATGATGTTCATCCTTCCAAACGTACCAAGGACCAATTTGAAGGTAGGGATGCTGTCGTTTGATTGTGTTTCAGCCATGGTTGTGATTGTTTGTCGTAATGAGGTTAAATGCGATCAGAATGGGACTGATATCCTATGATCGAGTTGGTAGTGTAAAGCTTTAATTCGATCTTTCATTTGCAGGTTAGGAATCCCTTGAAGCCTTCAAAACTTCAACTTTTTCCTACACAAATTGCTGCCCGCTTGGAAAAAGATTTCGTTTGCTTTTTGCATTTCAAGAATTTTTCAAGGCACTACATCACTCTTTGCGCTGCTTTACGCCTGTGAGATGTTGTACGCGTTGCACTGCAACTACACGTGTACGAATGATGGCTGATGGATTGATGGCCTTTTCCTTGCGTACATCCAGCCTATGTTCTTCTAGCGCGTTGTCATGAGCAAGCATTAGCCTGCAAAAAGGAGGAGGAGGAAATCATCTCAATACCCCGCCTATCGCAGCATTTAAAACTGCAATCATGTATATCATATAACGAGGGGTGGATGACAAGGCACAATTGAGAAGTCAACACATTGATTATATAAATATTGGGAGTAAATTTGATGCTAAAATACAATAGTAGTGTAATCACACTTCAGCGACGACCTCTGTTCGGCCTCTTGCCAAATTTACCACCTCCGCCTCTACTTTGGCCACTCTTCATTCTACGTTGATTAGGCATTCCTGCTTCAACAACATCATCATCTCTATCCATATCATCACCTTTTCGTTTCTTTCTTGCTCCTCCTAAATCTCCCGCTCTACCACGCCCTCCTGTTTCACGCATCTCTCTCGTTGCTTCCCGTGATGCTTGTCCAACACGCTCTTCTAACAATCGAACTGCATCTCGATCGTATCCTGGAAATTCTGTAAGCTTCTTTCCGATCACATGCTCAATCCTTTGCAATAGTTCAACGTCATACTGTGTTACGATTGTCACACTTCTTCCACTTCTTCCTGCTCTTGCCGTTCTACCAACTCGATGAATATAATCTTTACTATGCGTTGGGATGTCAAAGTTGATCACCAAATCAACCGCTGGAATATCCAAACCACGAGAAGCCACATCAGTTGCAATGAGAATATTTCTTCCTCCAGCTTTGAATTTGCCCAATGCACCTAAACGAGCACTTTGTGACATTTGACCATGTAGTGGAATAGCCGAAAATCCAAGCATTCGTAGCATGATTGCGATTCGAGAAGCATCATGAACAGTACGTGTGAAGATTAAAATTGAAGAGCCCGTTTGCTCATTCACCACCGAGACTAGGTTTGGATCTTTTTGTGCAAATGGACAAAAGATGTAATGTTGTGATAAAGTGGATACGGTCGAGTACTTTGTACCAACTTCCACACGTACTGGATTGCGCAGACTTGCTCTTTGCAATTTCGCCACTTTTGTCGTCATTGTTGCGCTGAACAACATAGTTCTGCGATCACGAGGGATTGATTGCAATAGCTTATCGATGATCGGTCCAAAGTCCATATCCAAAAGTCGATCAGCTTCGTCCATAACCAGGTACTGTAAGCCACGAAGGGAGAACCCTTTAGTATTTTCCAAATGATCTTGCAATCTTCCTGGTGTTGCAACGATGATATGAGGTCGTTTGCCCAAAGCGATTGATTGTGACATCATATCCATTCCACCCACAATTGTTGCACATCGAACGCCAATAGTTGATCCCAAAGCTTCCAGCTGTTGTGTAATTTGATAAGCCAACTCACGAGTAGGTGCTAAAATACAAGCAAAGAATGGTTTTGGATCGTCCCATAAAGCTTGTAAGATTGGAATTCCAAACGCAGCCGTTTTACCACTTCCCGTTTGTGCCAATCCAATCACATCTCTTCCTGTCAAAGCTTCTGGAATTGATTGTTGTTGAATTGTGGTAGGCTTTTTGAATCCCATCGATTCGCATGCTTCGCATATTTGAGCATGTACACCAAGTGATGCAAAAGTAGCATCTTCTGCTGCATCCTCTTCCTCTTCTACTACTCGGACATTATCATTATCGGATGCAATCGGAGAGACTGATCTTTTAAGTTCAGGAGCTGATGCTCCCGAGGCTGAAGATTCAGCTTCATCAGAAGATGACATGTTGAATATATGCTGCGAGAGAGCTAATGGTGAATGATTGGAAGATATAATATCAATTGTATGCATACTTTCTTTTAAAAGCAAAAAAAAATCAAAATTATAAATCTCGTGACGCGTGCCGATCTGAGAAGTTTTTGGGCTGATTAGCTCCACCTTTGTTTCCCTCTCTCCAGACATATCGTAAAGTGCCCCCCGTGCTGTTTTATAATCTTACCGACGATATCACACTGGCTTACTGCCTTTATTCTTGAGAACTTCGAAACCCTTGATCGATTGAACTACTGGAGCCCCAAAGACGCCGAGAAGCCAAGAACGTTTACTTTCCCCCTTCAGCCTTACTGTATACTCTCACTTCCTTCTTTATCATCAATCAACCCTACCTTCTCTTTCCTATCCTTCTTTTTCCTTGTTTGTTATAAAAACCTCTCCTTTCTTTTCTTCTCACATAGACCAACACTTCATCGGACCTTTGCTGTCCTGACAATATGTCAGAAGTGATCACCGTGTACGAGCTCAAGCTTGAGCAAGATGGGAGTCCAAGCAATGAACGTGCTTACATTCGTTTACCGCCTCCCGTAAAGCCGTACATCTTACGTTTCACTTTGGACGCCGGTAGTACAGCTTCACGTCAAGGTATTTTGTTCACAAATCATCCTCAATCTTCACAGCAATTTGAGCGAAATAAATTCTATCAACATGAATTACCCAGTAATTTTCGTCAAGCTGTTACGATTGATCTTTTGATCGAAAGACCAGGTGCATTTGAATATTATATCGAACATGCGGCTGAATTGGAAAAGATTCCTTATCCTACACAAGAACAACCCGTTTGGGATCATGACGCCGAAAGTGCAAAGAGACCTCGCGTACAGAGTAAGCATGGCTTTTTCAATATCGAGCCATTGTTGCACCTCCCAAAACGATCTCGCTTGCTGGACGGAAACTCTTCGCAAGTTTTGCCCCCCTCTCAAGGAGGAAGTGTTTTGAGCGAAAAGCAAAATTTAACGCAAGATGGAATTGTGTTGCAATCCTTCATGGCTAAATGGGCAGGCTCTTTGTCCAACTGGGCTCCTCACATGGATCAAGCAAGTAAAAATGGATACAACATGATTCACTTCTTACCTTTGCAAGTTCGTGGAGATAGCAACAGTCCATATTCCATCGCCGATCAACTTGATTTCAGCCCGGATTTGTTCGATGAAAAATCTGGAAAGAGCAGCACAAAACAAGAACGAGCAGAAACGATTGGGCAATGGGTGAAAACCTTGAATAGCAAATGGGGTTTGTTGAGCATGATTGATGTCGTCTTGAACCATACAGCGAACAACAGTGAATGGCTCTATGAACATCCTGATGCGGGTTACAATCCTTACAATTCACCTCACCTGACCCCAGCTGAGGAGTTGGACCGTGCTTTGATGGAGTATTCCAACCGCTTGGCATCTCTCGGTCTCCCAACTGATCCAAAGACCGATGCTGATGCTGATGCCATCATCGGGGGCGTGAAGACACATGTATTACAGCCCTTGAAATTATGGGAGTACTATGCCATCAACGTGCAAGCGCAAAAGGAAGAGCTCGGAAAGCTTTGGGATCAACCAAATGACGGCAAAGCTATCAATTCTTTGGGTGAAGACGACCTCCGAACTGCATCTCTTGACGATGTATTCAAGCTTCTCGAACGCCATGCATTGCGCAATCGCATGTCTTTGAGCGAACGTTTTGCAACGCACGTTGATGTTACTGTCTCACTCGCAATCTTGCGCGGAATAAGTCAAGGAAAGAAAGATAAAGATCAAATCTTAAACCTCTTCGGTAACGCTTTGGACAAGCTCAATGCTCCCCTGTATGCACTTTACGATGAAGACGTACAAGCGATCACAAGCAACCTTGCAGGTCGTTTGAAATACATGCGTGTTGAAGAAGGAGGTCCGAAAATGGGACCAATCACTGCAGAATCACCATTTTGTGAGACTTACTTTACCCGTTTAGACCCAAAGCATCCTTCTGCCAAGAAGCACGATCCTCGTTCCCTTGCTCTAGCCAACAATGGCTGGATGTGGGCTGCTGATCCATTGTCAGACTTTGCTTCCAATAAGGCACGAGTTTATTTGCGTCGTGAATTGATCTCATGGAGTGACTGTGTAAAATTGCGCTATGGAAGTGGACCAGAAGATTCACCATACCTTTGGAAACACATGGAAGAATACTGTGTTACGCAAGCAAAGCTGTTTGATGGCTTCCGTATCGACAATTGTCACTCTACCCCCATGCATGTCGGACAATACATGTTGGATGCTGCACGCAAGGCAAATCCAAACCTGTACATTTGTGCAGAGTTGTTCACTGGAAGCGAGCAAACTGATATCTTGTTCGTCAGCAAGTTGGGCTTGAACAGCTTAATCCGTGAAATGGAGAATGGACATGACCCTAAAGAGGAAAGTCGACTCCTCTACCGTTTTGGTGTCAACAAGCCAGTGGGATCGATGGACAAGGACTGCTTGTCAAAACCTGGCAAAGTTGTCGTACCTGGATCAAAGAAAGATTCAGTGTCATGTACAATCGTGCCATTGGAAGGATCCATGCCGCATGCTTTGTTCATGGACTTAACACATGACAATGAAACGCCTACTCGTAAGCGTACGACTGAAGATGCGATCACTATGGCAGCCCTCGTACCGTTCTGTTGGAGCGCCGTTGGATCGAATAAAGGCTTCGACGACTTATATCCCGATCAATTGAATGTTGTATCGGAGAAGCGAATGTATGATCCTAAATCTCAACCAGAAGATGTCGGAATTGGGTATGTCAAACGTATCTTCAATCACTTGCATCAAGAAATGGTCGCAGATGGATATTCCGAAGGACATGTGCATCAAGAGAATGATTACTTGATCATGCATCGTATCCATCCTCAAACACACAAGGGATATTTGGTGGTTACACATACCGCTTTCCATTCTGGTGTACAAGGTCGTGGCGACATCAACCCATTCCGCTTGAACCGTACATCGGCAAACTTTATCATGGGCAAAACTTTGCAGATTACGGATCGTAACAGACCGAAGGATGAAAAATTCGTTCAAGGTCTACCTTCCAAATTGATTGATGTTCCAGCACCAACGATCAACAAAGGCAGCGATCATGATGGTCCTTATTCTGAAATCGTCGTGCCTGACAACTTCCCACCGGCCAGTATCATGCTCTTTTCTACTACTATGGATGGTTTAGGAGCTGAATTGGACACACTTTGTCAAAGTGGTGCGGATGAAGCAATGGCAGAGTTGGACTTGGTTGATTTGAACGTGTTCTTATATCGTGCTGATGCAGAAGAGAGAGATGCAACATCAGGCAAGGACGGTGCATACACAATCCCAAAATTGGGTGGACTTGTCTATTGTGGTACAGAAGGATGGATGTCGCATCTCAAGAATATCATGCGTTTCAACGATCTCGGACATCCTATCTGTGCTCATTTACGTGAAGGTTCATGGGCATTAGATTACGTTCACGGTCGCTTGGAGCGCCAACAAGAGCTATTCCCTAGATTATCAAAGCCAGCCAATTGGCTTCGTGAACGATTTGATAAGATCAAAGAGACTGTGCCCTCGTTCATGCGTCCAAAGTATTTCAGCTTGGTGATCAAGACAGCTTCAGAAGCTGCACGAAAGCGTGCGATCTCACAAATGTCTGCTTTCATTCGTGAAGGTGATGACTTTACAAAGAATTTGGCTTTATGTGCAGTTCAATTGAATGGACAAGTTCAATCAAGTTCGTTATGGCACAATCGTCCAAGTGCCTCTATGGCAGCAGGCTTGCCTTTCTTTGCAACTTCTTGGGCACGTCTTTGGGGTCGTGATGTTTTCATCAGTTTGAGAGGATTGTACTTGACAACGTCTATGCATGAATATGCGCGTGAGCATATCATCTCATTTGGATCAACATTGAAACATGGAATGATTCCAAATCTGCTCAACTCTACTACTTCACCCCGTTACAATTGTCGTGATGGTCCATGGTTCTTTGCACAAAACGTGCAAGATTATGTCAACAAAGCTCCCAATGGTTCGTCAATCTTAAGCGAGAAAGTCAAACGCAGATTCCCGCTGGATGATGAATGGGTTCCTGTCGATTCACCTAAAGCATTTGCGCACACTTCAACAGTAGCAGAGATCATTCAAGAGATCTTGCAACGTCATGCAAGTGGAATTCATTTCCGTGAACACGATGCAGGACCAAAAGTTGATGAACAAATGTCTGATAACGGTTTCAATATTGATGTTACTGTCGATTGGAAGACTGGCTTTGTTATGGGAGGAAATAAAGACAATTGCGGAACATGGCAAGATAAGATGGGATCATCAGCCAAAGCAGGCAATAAAGGAGTTCCAGGTTCGCCGCGTGAAGGTGCTGCAGTTGAAATCACCGGACTGGTGAAGAGTACGTTGAGCTGGGTGGACTCTTTATCATCTAAAGGTCAATGGCCCGCAAAAGGAGTTGAAGCGGAGATCGATGGCAAAAAGCAATTGATTACCTATAAAGAGTGGGCCGATAAGATTCAAGCCTCTTTTGAACATAATTACTGGGTACCATTGGATCAATCTGAAGACAAGAAATTCAACGTTGATTCATCTTTAGTCAACCGTCGTGGAATTTACAAAGACGTTTACGGAAGCAGTCCTGGACGAGAATGGTGTGATTATCAATTACGTGCCAATTACGCAATGGCGATGTGCGTTGCACCTGAGCTGTTCGACGTTCAACATGGCTTGACGGCATTGCAATCTGCTTATGAAGCACTTGGAGATGTTTTGGGTATGAAGACGCTCGATCCTCGTGATAGAAACTTCCATCCTGTGTACGACAACAGCAATGATTCGAGTGATTTCTGGATGGCCAAAGGATTCTGTTATCATAATGGACCACCATGGGTTTTCCCCTTTGGATTCCATATTCGTGCAGTCTTATTATTTTATGGTCGATTGGATAGTGAAAAAGGTCAATCTTCCAAAGGCAAATCCCATGCAGCCAATGCGGCATGGAGAGTGATGAGCATGTTAATTGCACATCGTAAACATATCGAAACAACACCTTGGGCAGGTTTACCCGAATTAACAAATGCAGATGGAGTTGAATGTAGAGACAGTTGTCCTACTCAAGCATGGTCTGCAAGTACAATTTTGGATGCGTTGGAATTGATTCGTGAACAAGCAACGGAATGATGAAATTTTTTAGAGCTTTTGGAGACCTTTTTTTTTGTATAGACCTTTTCCCAATTAGTTACCTAAAACATCATTGAGCCGGAAGATATGTCAAATAGTACAATCATCATTTACCAATAACCATCTATACATCATATCAATTGAGTGAAGATTAATGACTTGTCCGGTTAGGCCCCCTATTATGATGCTTGCTTCCGGTTTCGTTCCCGGCGCGCTGGCCCATTTCCAATTCTTTCGCATGCAACGCCAATGGTACACCATGTGATCAACGTGCACGCGGCCATTAATTCGGTTTTATTCAAAAGTGGTGTGCGTGTGTGTATTCTATGTATTGTTCCTGTCTAAAAAGGTTTAGATCATAGATCCTCTGTTAATCTGACTTTAATTTTCAAACTCCGATATGATCTATGCATATACGCTAGTTTGAACCATTAATCAAGGTAAGAGGTCTGTGTTGTGTATTTTGCTTAATTCTTTTCGGCTTTATAAACTATAATCGAAATGGCTCCCATTTTGACTAATCTTGACAAAAAGCCAGGATTATATTATTCCCACACTGAATATATAATGCATCAACATAGTATGAAAAAGCAAAGCAAGATATGTTCACAAGATTAAGTTTAAAACACTCATACAGCCCGCACTTTTTTGGGGATGCACATTGTACGCTAGTCTTGCAAATGAAAAGGTCTAGACTGCGTATTGCCATTTCATTGTTGTTGTTGTTGTTGTTTTCGCATATCCTTTTCCTTCATTTCCGTGTTTCCAAGTTTCCAAAATAAAAGGTAGGGAAATAAAGGCAGAAGTGAATCCTTCTGCTTTAGTCCATTGGACAATGTTCAAACCATAATTAGCTTTTTTTCAGCCTCAAATGGCTCAATCCTGATCTTTCTCTTACCAGATGTAGAGAAAGATGAATAATTATAATAGGCAGCATCGTTGTCCGGATCTTATTTTTTAATAGATTCACAACTCCGTACCAATCGGGCGATCTGTTCACGCTATCATATTCGGCTCTTCAAATTGCCATAATAAAGATGCAAGTATACTTTCTTTTACATACGTATGACATTATTGGTCGATCATGCATTGCTTCTAAATATGGAGTAAATTTCACACTCCGATCATACCAAAAGTTTGGAAGTAAGTATTGAACTATGTATTTTCATATGCTCGTTAGTATGTATTTTACTGGAAAAATGAACGGACATTTGATCAACTCTTTTATGTTTTTGTTTTATTGATCGAATTAAAGCCACAGCAAATGTGTTTTATGGGAAAAAAGTAAATACAATACAGACCGCGCGCTGCGCATCTTTATTAAAATCTCGATTATGCATAAGATGATCGACACAGACCGTTTGGCATGGAGGTGCTTTCATCATATTTAATAAAGGGCGTGCACAGCGTTTTGATAAAATAAGCTAGCAATCATGTCAGCCTTTTTTTCTTTTTGCTTGCATTAAATTTAATCCGTTGTCCTGTTTACCCTGTGTGTAAATCTCGAAGAGATCCGATCTTTTAATGCATCAAAATCTGTTTTATTCAATGACGCAAGTTGCAATTTGCTTTGCGGATTTGTCAAAACTTGCTTCCATAATCTAGACTAGGGACGCAATTTTGACCCTTTCTTGACGGATTGTCTTTCTTTATATACATATGCATTCTTGGATCTCAAACACACACATTTCCTGTCCCTTTCTTTTGATCAAAGTAGACCCTTATGCATTTCCAACACCAAAGCAACGCGGCGGTCACACAGATATAGGGCATTGGGTTGGTGTTACAATCTACATATGTCTGAAAGAGACTGTTTTCTAGAATTGCATATTTTCAACGCACGATGCGAAAAGGAGCAGATAAAGTACGGCAATCTGCATGAAGGCATCTCGATTCGGAGAGCAAGCCGATCTTCTTACAATGAGTCTTATAGCATCGTCATCCACTCAACCTCTTCGCTTTAGCCGAAAGAAAAAAAAAAGTTCAAAATTAAAGCTTATGAAGAGTCTTATTTTTGAGACTATAATTGTATCAATATCAATCAGTTCAATCTTTTTGGCACTACTGCATGTGGATTCGGGCAAAATGTTATAAAGTGTTTCTCCTTTTATTACCGGCATTTTTCTTCTGATCGGGAACATTTCTTCATCCGTGCATATCTTCACTGGAACATAGACGTTGGTCATCAAAAATAACAATGCATAAAACCAGTTGTATATATGCAGACAATAGACATGTACGGTGTCTACTAGATAGTGTACAATATCTTAGAGCTGTAATTATGGAGCACAATGTTTTAATAAGGAGTCAAGTGCATATTAGATGGAAAAGACTGATTCAATGAAGACAATTGAATTGTAAGTTTTATTTCTTGCTCTGAATTGATCACTTTGTCATCTCCTTTGAAGCGGTACCCATCTATGCATAACAGCAATACCGCCAAAAGGACTGCATAGACATCAAATCAACCAACCCTTCATTTACACTCCTCTATCCGCACTGTTCTTTGACCAGCGTGTTGTCTTCCGTTGTTCGCCTTTGCATTGATTTTTCGGGTCATTGATCACTTTGCTTTCCATCCACACAATAAGAAAAGTGAAGCTTTATTGTTTTATTTACTAGCTTTTCCTTGTATTTCTTCTTGAAAAGTCTTTTGTCAACACTACCAGCATCATCATCGAAAAGGAAAAAGTCGCCTACTACGAAAAAACGACCTTTTTGCCGGTAACTTTGCTGTAGAGAGAATACTCAAAAGCATTCATTCGGCTTTTCCGCTTTCAGTCGGATCTCACCTTTTGCACGTTCATTTCCTTTGGACGATTGCTTGATAATTGAGCTGAAAATCAGTCAAAAGTGAATTGGAAAGAAGGCGCTAGAATTTGGTGATTATTCTTTTTGGGTTATTACAAGCATAGGCATATGCTTGAAAAGAACAAATCTTCTCATCAAAATCAGCCTTACGAATCAGATCAGAACAAGATCAGCATTGAATATCCTTTGTCCGATGCGATCTAACGACCAATACGTCATTTAATATAAATCGTGTTCATTAAACGTAACCAAACCTTCATTTCGGTCCGCCCATTTGCCAAGGTCGATTACAGTTTCGGGGGCAAAGAGAAGGATGCAGCACTTCTGTTGTCTTTTTTCGATAATAAAAAGGTGAGCATTTACTCTTTTGAACAAAGGTCATCTGACATGATGTGTAATGAAGAACAAAAAGGGGTTTGCAAACGATAGTCAGCAATTGCACAAATGAAGAAAAACTTTTCCAATTACGCGGATGCAACCCTTTTTTGTGTGTTTGTGTGCCTTTTTTGCCATCTTTCTTCGGGCCGTCATTCCGCCGTCCTTTCCATCATCAAAGGTTTTGTTTTTCGGATGAGAATCCGAAATGAAGCAAAACTCCAGAAGATGAAATAATCACAAAAAGAACTTCTTTTTGCAGTCAAATTGACTTGGTAATCTCGATTCATTGTTGGCATCCTTGCGTCAATACACGCACGCATACATGCAATATTACGCCGATCTTCATTTCCAGCTCAGAATGATATTCTTAACAGAATGTGCAATGATGACCTTTGCTCCGCTACCTGGTTTGCAGAATGCTCTGGCTTTCTTTTTGCATGCTGTGTCTTGTTCTGCCAGCGAGAGTGATAGTTCGATTTCTGGGGGCAATTCGTTTCTCTTTCATTCAAATTGACTGACATATATGCAAATCCTTGCTTTATTCGACTACAGTACAGCAATTGCGTGGGTCGGAGAAAACAAGTAATCTGTGATTTGGATCTTGCCGAAACAAGACACACGCATACAGCGTTGAAATTTTGATCGATCTCTATAACTCGCCATTTTGACGCCCAGATTTATCTACCTACTCCGTTCCGGAACGATACGATATCATCCAGCATAAAAGGATTCATTTGGGTATCAAAATCTGATTTAATTCTTTTTTATTCGCCTATTCGTCTTTACCACAATATTGCCGCTCATTTCAATTCACTTCATCACCGCCACAAACAAATTTTCGCATTGATTGTAATCGCGACCGTTCTTGCGTATGCTCTCATTTGCGTTCACAACATCAAATTTATCAAACGCAATCAATAGCAAACGAAAGCTCGGTACATTCTCCGAATCAAACTTGAGCTTCTGTATCCAATCGCAAGGTATTGAAATTACTCTACCAGCATCCATCTCGCCAAGAAAGTCTAAAAGCGGTGTCTCATTCGAAAACGTCATCCTTCTTACCAATAAAAGCACAAAAGAGCGAGACAGGGTTGCACATTCATTTTCCAATCGACAAATTGATCTCAATACGCAAAGGAGTTGGAATTTCCAGAAAACGCCCTCTTTTTAACAATTGGAAAGAAAAAAAGTACGCCATTAGGGTTCATGTGTCACTTTCCAATCCGCTTTTTTTGACGATCCGATCAAAACAGCGCCTGAATTTTCGGGTCTACAAGTTCCGGTCACACAATCAGGAAGAAAAAACATCTAATTTTCCATTAAATTGTGTTTTCCTTAACGATCGGTCACTTTTCTTCATTCATAAAGGACAAAAAGATTCCGTCCGCCCACTTATCAAATTTACGAATCAAGAAACGGAAGTTCAGAGTAATTTCGGTTCATCTAATTTTGGACATCTTTGCATGTAGCGGAACCCCGCTCTCTAAAATTATCACAGCCAATTAACTTGCTACGAAGATCACCGATCTGGATCGACACAAGATTTTTCATTAAAATTGAACTACGAAAGTTCTGCTCACTTGGCGGCCTCCATTGACGTAAACATCCTTTTTTCGGAAAATTGACCAAGTTCTGCCAAGACGCCACTTTTTTTAGGAGGCTTTTTTCAATATAATATCGTGATCAAGACATCGAGCTCATCGATGATAAGCTTTGGCAATTCTTTGGTATAAGAAGGACCTCGAGTGCGAAATAGTTCTTTCAAATTGCTCTGATTACCGTGATCATTCGTCTTTTGCTGAGCTGATATGAAAGACACTCCCGAAGATCAAGAAAGGAGGCATCATCAGAGATTCGATCAAACATCACCATCCGACAGAGGTTCAAGAATGTCAGTTGCAACCGTTCCACAACCTTACAATATGCCTATGGGCCCCTATGAGGAAAGCAAGAGTCGGCTTCCTCCATTATCATCCATGCTCCCACCTTTGAAGCCGCGCATGAGCACAGGTACGCAAAATTCTCCATATACAGATAACTCTCGGGCTACATCCTCAAAAGAAGTTGATGGTCATACGCCCGACAATCATGCAAGAATAAACACCGGAAGACCGATGATTGACCGATCAGAAAGTGATTCTAGGTTCAATCCAGGCTTGAGTGATGGATCATCTGAACTTTCGGAGTACCGTCATGGACTTCGCTCTCCCAATGAAAGAGCGGAAATGGAAGGACAAGCCACAACACACGGATCAGAGAGACCGGACATGGATGGGCAGTACCATGGAGACATAGACGGACATCCACCTTCTTATCGCGATGGGTATGGTAGACCTTCTTGGATTGCCAAGGAAAAAGAAATGCAAGATTCGCGCGATCGACAATCTATGTCGATCAAACAATCTGGTCCTTCACCTGCGTATCTTTCACCCGCAATGGCATCTGTCACACATCCCTCTTATGTCCACCCCAGAGCACGAACTTCAACATCGGATGGTCAAATGTTTGCCAGCAATCGTTCAGCGCAATCTCCTCCTCCTTCTTTCACGACTAGATTCAGCTCTGATCCTTACAGCATGGACGAACATTCTACTGTTTCCTCTTCTTCATCTTTGCGTGCACCTTCTCAGCATTTCTATCGATCACAAGTTCGATCATCGACAAAACCGTATGAGACTGCATCAACTTCTTCGACAGAATTGGAATTCTTCAATCAATTGTGGGATGTGATGCTGGAGGTACGTAAGCATATCGAAAGATATCAATCAAAGAATTCTGCGGCAGGACCTCGGCCTTTACCTTCAATTCGTGATGGTGATATCGCAACTTTGACTTCACACTTGCATTATGAGATTGATGTTCTAGCCGAAGCTGATGGTCGTTCGGCTGATCATTTCGCATTGGATGTTCGTCATTTACACGATCAATTCTCCCAACGAAGACAAAGTATGCGTGCTCGATCAAACACCTTCTCTATGGCCTCTAATCGAGATCGCTCAAGCTTTTCGCATTATCAACCACATCAACAATACCACAGTTCTTCTTCTACTTCTCCGCCAAACCATCCAAGGGGACCTGGATCATCTTCGCAAATGCCGCAAGGTACTCCTTCAATGCCAGGCGGATATGGCGAGACACCATCAAGTGCTCCTCCCATGACACGAGGTCATGAAATGTACTTTCCAGCGTACAACTATCATAGGACAGAATACGGTATGCATGGTCGAGAGAACATTAACCAAAGAGTGATGGAACTTGAACGTAGAGTCTCTTCAGGTTATGCAACGCCAATGTATGACGGTCGATTCATTACTGGCCCTTCTTCACCTCAAGATGATATGCGATCCATGTCATCCGGTCATTTAGGTCCAGGAACCATGTTTCACCCTCATCACGGAAGAATGTCACAAGCGATGCCAAGAAGGGTACGTAAAAGACGTGATGAGGCTGAACAAAGTTGTCTAAGTTGTTCCGCAAAAGAGACACCCGAATGGCGAAAAGGTCCAACAGGTCCAAGAACATTGTGCAATGCTTGTGGATTGTTGTATGCCAAACAATGTCGAAAACGTGAATTGGACCTTCAAGCACACGGAAAACGTCAAAGAGGATCCCGAACAGGCGGAGGAGATGACATGACACAAGAAGGACGTGAGAATAGCCTATTGGAATTGCAATTAGCCGTTCAAGCTCGTGTGAATCAATCCAATCCAATGGGAATGCCAGACGGCATGCAATCATCCTATTCAGGTAGCAATACCGCAAATGAAATCGGTGGCAGCGTGTCCAGAGCAGTCATCAATCCAAATCAACAAGCCCAAGCCGGCGAACGATCGCCTCCTTCTCTACCTCCATTGATGCGTCAATGATTGATATGTTTTTGGGAGTCAAGCCTTTGTACAATCATTTTCTCTTAAAAAAAGTTTTTCTTTCCATTCCCCTCAAGCGCTTCGATAATCAAATCCTTGTATAGTTTGGTCTCATTGCATTTCGTCCTCTCCTTCTTCTTATCTACTGTCACATTATCCTTTCTTATCTTTCTTTCCTACCACAACGATACCAGTAGTATTATTATTCATTACAATTGTTTTCCAAGAATTTTCAGATTTTGATCGGCACATTTGATATGAGATGAGAACCATACATGTTTAAAGGGAAATAAATTGAGGAAAAAAGGTCAAGATGTACAATTTGTATTGTTTTTGCACTTATACAGTAATCTGTGCTGCGTCAAGATTGAGTGCATGCAATAATAAGTTCACATTTCTGATTCGAAGATCTGCTTCTCCATGGGAGGCTGCGATCGGATTGGCTGCTGACCATTGTTTGGCTTCCAACACATTTTCTAAAATCTTTTCACGTAATCCAGTGACCAAAATTTGTTGTTGAGTCATATTTGCACTTACTGCAATTGCAGCCATCAATTGCCAAATGTCACGATCTTCAACTTCCAATTGAGCTTTACGTGCACCATCCAATGCAGGTGCACCGAATGGCAACCTTGCCTTGGCTCTTGTAGATGGGAACAAAGTTACCAATTGTTCTGGAGGTTGAGCCAAACGTTGGATCAAAAGATTAAATATTTCGTTCCATTGAGCAAGATCAGCAGGTGAAGGTGCACCAGATCCATCTCCTTTGTTTAGGCCACCGGCACTCATGATTGGTGAAGATAGAGAGGGAGCCGATTGACGCAAAGAAGCAGCTCGTGAAAGGAAGATGGTCAAGAAAGCCACTCCAGGTTTGCTTTGTGCAACACGAACGGGATTGTTACGTTCCAAGAACAAAGCCAACATTCCGCTTACGATTCGCATGGGTACAGTAGCCATCAAGCTTAACATACCTGGAACAATGCTTGTAACAAAAGCTTCTGTTTGACGTTGAACATTTGCTCTTCGTTCAGCTGCTGCTGGAGATGCTTTGGTGTTGACTGGCTCGTCCAAGACAACACTTTCACGCACCACGTCTAATCGATCGAAGCTTGCCACGATCATCGTCATGGCGGTCAAGGTTTGCTCGCTGCTCAAATGACGCAATGCACGGGGCAAGATTCTCTTTCCTTTCACAGTGGATAAGAGTGACACGAAAGGATGTGGATCGGAAACTTCCAATGGTTCAAGAACTCGTAATTCTTGCCATAATTGAGAGGCCAACACATCGCGCTGCTGTCTCCATTCTACAGCGGCTGGATCGTTGTTTTGCTCTGAAACATCTGCAGGTGCAGTTCTTCTCGACTGCTCCAAATTCAAAACGATATCGTACAACTTTTCTAAGATTGTCAGAACCTCCAATTTGTTTAAAGCAGGTCGCTTTTGCACACCACCTTGTGCCAAACTTGCTCCTTGTAGGGCTTGTTGTGCGGCATTTTGAGCATGACCAGTTCCAGTAACATCGCTACCATCGTTTTTGGCAGCACCGTTAGTCGTAGGAGGCGAGGCTGATCCGGCTTCGGTTCCATCTTGGTTGATCTGCAACATTTGCCTAGGTGCTTTGGTTGTACCGAGGCTGACTCTACCCAAAGCACCTTCCAATGAAGCACTTGCACCTGCCTTTTCAATTCTCTCCTTTCGATTTTGCACGATTCTTTCCACCTGTTGTTGCATTCGTAGCATAGCAGTTTCGCGTCTGTTTGGCTGCGTCTTGCGTTGACGAGCTTTCTTTTGCTTTTCTTCACCTTGTTGAGCGTTGGAATTATCTTGTCCATTTGTGGACTCTTCTACCTTCTTCTGTTCTTTTTGCTTTTCTTCCTCATTGCTTGCTGGGAGTGTGACTCGGCTGCGGTTACCATGCAGAGCAAAATAAATATGTGCATAGAAATCATCAGTGTAAGGATCACTAGAGATCAATTGACTGACTTGGATACGAGTGATGAAGTCCTTATCGGAACGACTCATGAGGTTGTTTCGAGGTGCCATAGACTGGATCTTTGAGATGCGGACTTGTCTCTTGTTCTCCTGACGGAATGCTTCATCAATCTTTGCTAAAGCGGTATCGACCATGAAGCGGATCGTATTTTGTTCCTCAGGTGAACCATCGATACGCGGCCAAAGGCGAGGGTTGTCAATCTGTTGAGGTAGCTTTTCCGGGCTGGCAGCTACTGTCAATGCTGGGAAATCGCGCACGACACTGTCCGTAATACCAAAGTGCATATAAGGTGGCAGAGACATGATTCTTCCTTGAATGGGATTAGGCAAAGTTTCCAGCATAATCCGCATACGTTGGAAGAGCAATTGTTGCAGGTTGGGGTCGTTTGGATTTGGCATAGGTGGGATTGGCAGTTGCACCTGAACAGGTTGAACTTGCGGTGGAGCTTGTTGAGGTCTTGGAGGTGCAGATCCCAGAGCAGGGAATGCAGAATCATCGCGTCCGGGCACTGCTTGTGGTTTCGAAGCTTCTGCAGCTGGTGGTGCTTGACTTCTCCTAGCACGCATCTCAGCTTCCACTTCTTCCATCGTCAATGGTTTCCTTTGAGCTTGGGGCTCTGTGGGAGGAGCAGAAGCGAGAGGTTGTGAAGGAGCGGGAACGTTTCTCTGATTTCTCATTTGAGCTTCAATCTCGTCCAACGATGGGCCAGAAGATGCAGGTACCGCGCTTCTCGAGGGTGGACCAGGCATTCTCCAAAAGTCATCCATCGTACTGGCAAATGCGGCATCATTCTTCTTTACTTGGCCAAAACCCGAAGGACCTTTTGGTACATCAGGTTCAAAGAAAGCCGGAAGACTGGTTTGCTTACCGCCTGTGCCGCCAAAGTCAAAGTCTTTACCGACATTGCCCATTCCGAAGGTATCGTCGTTGAAAGCGTCACCTGTTTCATCTAAAAGATCACCTAATCCATCATCCTTATCGTCATCTCCAAGGTCACCTTCTCCACCGCCTCCCCACGTATAAATCTCAACATCTTCTTGGCCTGCTGCACGTAGACCTCTCAACTTTTCTTCAAAAGCAGCATCGTCATCATCGTCGAGTAGCTGATCGGTTGGATCGAAAGGATCAAGGGTTTTATCACCACTATCAGCCAATGAATTCCGATCGCGCGGTAAACTTGTATCGAATCCAAAGAACGACATCTTTCCTAATCCTTCCGAACAAGTCGCACAAAAAGCAAAAAACGAAAGTGTAAGATTAAACAACTTACACAACCGATCTTAACTTTTGCGAACAACAAAAGGACAGTTCTTCTTGTCGATGGTGAAGAGAAGAAATCCAAGCACAGACATCTTTTCTGTACGCATCTTAATTCTAGCGCGCACCTTTACCCGAAAAAGGATCCTCGAGGTATTGTGCCTGCTGTCACGCCGCGTAATACACTTCTTAACACAAACAGCATTTCTACACAACCTCTAACTCGATTACATCAGCCGTTCATCTTAGGTGACCAAATGCACCTTTTTGTATCAATAACGTGCGAAGTATGAAGGTCAATGGCTCATGACAACGGTACAATGAGGATTAGTCAACACAACACACCTTTCAATGCTGTAATTCAACACAGTACCTTTGCTCTGCTAATCCAAAAGCACTATTCATATAGCATTCATGATGATGGTAAAAGCACATGATGTGATGGTATAAAAATAAGAAAAAGGTATTAAAATCTAACACCTTCACGTTGTCGTTGTTGTTCTTTCAACCGCAACGATTGACGGAGATCTTCAGGTAAAGTTGTCAATAACCTTTGTACTTGATCGATCAAGCCGGCTTTATGGGTCAATAGCGTCCTCTCGCCATGCGTAAATGATTTTTGCCATCCTGGCTCACCAATCGTTTGACGAATCCATGCAGCAGATGCAGCAGTGGAAGGTAGATTGGCCAACTTTGACAATGGCTCAATAGCTTGAGATCCTCGAAAGATTGAACTTGAACTGAGTTGTGGAGAAGATCCGGGTACAGAATGACCTAAGTTATGATTGGCAATATCGTCAGAGGGCTCTATTGCGCAGTCTGCTGCTTTAACCTTCTTTAAATCCTCATCCGAACTTCCACTCATGTTGGGAGAACACTTCCATCTGCTGTTCGGCTCAAGTTCTCTTTCCTTTCTCCCGGCCAATAAACGATCGTTGATACCTTTGATTTCTACTTGCAATCTTGCATACAACTCCACTGATTCCATCTCTCCTCTTGCATTGGCGAATGAAGCAACATTTCCGCTTTCCAACGCACGTAACTTGCGCATATACTGTTCTTCTTGTGATTGTCGAATACGCATATGTAGCCAAAGACTAAAGTTTGGACATTGCAAAAAGTCAACATACAAAGATTGTCGAACGGCAGGACCAGTCGGTAAATTTTTGCTTTTCAATTGCAATGGTGTTCCGTGAGTTTTCAAAGAGGATAAGAATGCAGTCGTATTAAACGGCCGAATCTTTGGCGTTTCATATGGTGAAGAAAGATCAAACTCTGCCGGAATCAGAGAAGAAACGTACCGATTCAAAGGTGCCAAGAACCGTTCCGTTAGATCGGTAAAGTATTTCCTCAACAACTCATTCGCCACTTCAGCACTGCAGCCTTTTCCTTCAGCCGCTTCGACCAATTGTTTGATCAATGCACGATCTTTGCTAATCCGTCTTTTCCTCTTGCTAATCAATCCAGGCGTATGTTCCGGTCCACCTCCGCCGGCTGAATTGCCCCCAGCTACTGCTCCTGCTGACTTTATAGATCCTCCTTGAGAAGATGAGCTCAAGAAATTGGTAGAACTTTGTGAAGGAGTAAGGCTTGATTCCATGGGTTTCTTGTTTTGCGTGTTTGCTTTGGGAAATGCACTTCTACCCACTTTCAAAACATGAGGCCAATGTTTGCAAGCTTGCAGCATGAACGGATTCGTAACACCGATAATTGTTCCAGCAGCAGGTTTATTCTTTGTTACCAGCGTACGAAAATCAAAATCATGAATGGTGAAAAAAGGGCGAAAATCACCGGCATACGGAATAGGCTTGATCAAATCCAACATATGCCAAACTGCTTCTGAACATGCGGTAGGATCCGGTGCAACGACAAGCATAGGCTCTGCCAAGAGCAAGCATTCCCACATCAACCAAAGATCTCCAATCAACTCTTGAAAGACTTCAAATAGTGATGTGCTTGGAATAGATGCTAGGATAGGTGCATCTTCTCTTGAACCGTCTGTCTTTCGCAGCATTCTCCGATCGGCAATGCTAACTTTTGGTCCTCCTGTAGGCGAAAGTACCCTTTGCGTTAGAGCCCTTTGTGCATCAGGCAGAGGAGTTGATTGTGAAAAGCTGTAATACGGCAATTCGACTGAAATGACTGATCCTAAGAAGGGTAAATGCAACTTCGCTCCTGGCTCCGGTGGTTCCCAATTTTGAACATCATGGCAAAATGCTTCCAAAATAGGCATACCCGTCTCAAAGAATAGCGGCCCTAGCCTACGTACCAATTCCGAAAAGAAGGAAACGTATGGTAAGTGCGATAGAATAACGACAGATTTCTGAAAATAGCCTCTCCTGATTGTTGCATCTCTCTTTTGTCGGAAAAAGCAATAGCCATGTATGTAATTGCCACTGGTACTTGCACTCCTTTTCTGGCCATTATTTGGTGAAACGATAGCACCATCTTGTTCTGTATTTTGCGCTCCAGGCGAAGCAACACGCAAAATATTTTGAGCATGTTCCAAGGCAGCCTGATGATCAACAGAAGCATTGGAAGGTGTGCTAGCCGTACTATCCTGTCGATGAGGTACAGGCAGATGACCTGATAGATTCTCTGGAAGCTCCGGTAAGGTAGGGCTTGTAGTGAGAGGTTCGTACGCAGATGCGCTTTGTTCTTGATCATGATTCGAACTATCGTTAGCATGATCACCAGAATTCGACCGACGTATTAATCCTCTACCAAACAATCTTCTTGCTCCGGATCCTGGTGAACTTTTATGGGACCACGTAGAATGCGTCGGAGTATCTGCAGATGCAGTCGAAGCGGATGCTTGATGATTTGTCGAAATGTCCTTCTGTGGATGTCGATGATCATCAACCAATTTGTTAGACAGTGGTGTGCCGATAATTGGTGCTTCTGAATTGGAAGAATCTAGCGGAACTTCTCTTACTCTCCAAGAAAATACTGCATGACCATCGTCGAAAATCGAAGTATCAGGGAAGGAAGAGAATGCGATATTATCCCTTTCTTCTCTGCTGATGCCAAGGCTGGGATAAAGAAATTCCAAGTCTGGACCTTTTTCCAGATCAAAATTTACACAACCAACACTTAAAACCCATCTTTGAACGGCGAATTCGTCTAAGCTAGGATTGGATAGTCCATCGGAAAATCGATTCTTCGTAGGCGGTGCTGATGTGACGCCAAGTCTGTTGCTAGTAGATGGTGCAATGTCCAATTTACTGCCTGTGTTCGAGGATGGAGGATGCGAGCCAGATCGTACCTTGGCGTCAGATGATGCAATTCCCAAGCCAGCTCGAATTTTGCTATTTGATCCCGATGAATTCCGGCTGATATGAGTCGGTCGAGTGAATGGAGATGTGCTTGTAGGCGAGGGAAGAGGAGACATATCCTTGCTCGGTGAGAAGTTATTTCCAACACTGCTACTAGTCGAAGCCCGCTTTGAGCTTGGACGGGAACTAGAATCTCTCGACAGTCTTTTACTAATCACAGCTGAAGCCCTTCTCGGGGCAATCAAAGGCCCTTGAGCAGATCCTGCCATTGGTCTTTCTGCAACGGGACCAGCGATCTCGTTGTGCAACTTTGACAATTTCTTTTGTAATTTTCTCTCTTCTTTGTCCTTACTTCTTGATTGAGATCCTGAAGATCTTCTAGCTTTTGATTTCCCTTTATCCTTCCTTGTTGGTGTGACGGGAGTAGAACTTGACCCGTTTACCTTTGGCGTCGATTGTGGTGTGGATGAAGGTGGGGTTAAATTTGCGGCCATTTCTGCGTTTTCGGACCGCGAACTTTGCTTCATTCTGGGCGTTTCGGGTGTTTCTGATGAATCTGCGTTTGCCAATTCGGGGAAATTGAAACCATTTTTATCTATTTGAGTGGGCGTTTCTTCATCTGCAGAATGGTATATGGTATTTGCTGACTGAATACTGCTGATACTCAAACGAGGATCATATGGCTTCTTTGTTGATGTGGCATCCGTGCTTGAGGTGCTTTGCATCTTTGCTATTGATTGTGGTGGTGGCGATGAACTGTCATCGAGTGTCATACCTTGCAAGCCTAAATCTCCATCCCCTTCATCCTCTACGCTTATTCCAAGAGTTTTTGCTATTTTATTCATTGTTGCTACACTTTTCAGATTGATACCGATGAATTCGGTAGACAACAGGCAAACAAATTGAATAGGGTATTACTACTGCAGCATCACCATTGGAGATGGCTTTGTTGATGTGATGGATCTTAAAGATGCTCTTGGTTGATGAAAGGAGGAAAGAAAGGTGATCGTTAAGCTGGCATCAACTTTTAGAACCGTGCATGTTTCTTCGCATATTCTATATCCACAAATTTCCGCTAAATGAACGAAAAGTGTGGCAGGAGGGAAGTCACATTAATCTTAGCGTGCTTTCTATTCTTTCAAATCACATCTCCGCACTTTAACACTCAGTCAGGGAGAGGGCATCATCATCATACGCGCTCCGAATTAAGGGAAGTGCGAGAGGCAGACAACAGGTTGGAATCGGTATATCATTTCATGTACATTTAAGGACGGTACTGCTGATCACAATTAACTTTTAAGAGCTGTAAGAAAGGGAAAAAGTTATGTAAGTCAACAATCACTCTTTTGCATCCATCATCATCCTACTCACCATCTTTGATCGTCTTTTCCATCTCTTCTGCATCCTCCGTTTGAACACGTGTGATGTCACATTTCAATGCAGTCTCGATATCGTGCATCAGTTGCCATGATGATTTATCATGAACAAAATTGATCGAAACACCTTTACGTCCAAAACGACCCGTTCTTCCAATTCTGTGCAAGTATGTTTCTGCATCTGCTTTTCCATCAGCGGTGACTGGCATATCGTAATTAATCACCAAAGTGACTTGCATGATATCAATACCACGAGCAATTACATTGGTAGAAATGAGAACTTTTGATTTTCCACTTCTGAATGCATCAATTGTTGCATCACGATCTGCTAGCTCGAGCTTACCATGCAATGAATCCACCTTGTGTCCGTCATCTGTCATCTTCTTGGCAATTCGATCTGCAGTCTCACGTTTTGCACAAAAGATAATACTTTGTCCGATCGTCAAAAGACTGTATAGGTCCACCAATACCTCGTACTTGTGTTCTTCTGATTTGCAGTCCATGTAAAGTTGTTTGATCGCATCAACACTCAATTCCTCTTGCTTAAGTCGGATTTCGTTAGCACTCGGTGCAAGACGACCGGCAAAGTCACGAACATTATCGGGGAAAGTAGCAGAGAACAGAACCAATTGACATGTCTTTGGCATGGTGTTCTTTACTCGGATACTTTGTTCTCCCAAACTCTGTTGATCCAACATGTTGTCTGCTTCATCCAAGACGAACACCTTCACGTTACTGGTATCAATTGCACGCGCTTTGATCAGGTCAAACATCTTTCCTGGTGTTCCAACGACTACATGTGCCGAAACCTTTTCACCTCTCTGTACAGCTCCTGGAATTGCTTCACAAAGTTTCACTTTTGTATGTTTGCCCATCAATCGAACGACGTCCATGATCTGTCTTGCCAATTCTCTTGAAGGTGCCAAAGCGATTGCTTGTGGTTTATCGATTGAAAAGTCAACTCTTGAAAGCATAGTGAGAACGAATGCTGCTGTTTTACCTGTACCAGATTGTGACTGTCCGATCATGTTTCTTGGTGGGTTTTGTAGCAACAAAGGCAATGCACGCTCTTGAATTTTAGAAGGCTTTTGATATTTCATACCATAGATTCCTTTCAAAAGATCTTCATGCAAGTTCAATTCTTCAAATGTCTTTACACTGTACAATGGTGAATTTGGATCAGCTTGTTGATCTGCCAATGTGACTGTGACATCATAATTGGATTCTCGTAGATTTGATTCTTCTTCTCCTGCTTTTGCTTTGGACGACTCAGCAGCAGGTGGGGATTTTGCTGCATCTCCATTTGGTTTTGCTGTATCATCGGTCTTTTTGCTTTTGTCGTCATTAGTTAGACTGGCAAGTTTGCTAGTGATCGCATCGAATGTGGAATCACTTTTGTCTGTAGACATCTTTGCGATGATGAGAGTGGTTAAGGTGATTGTGACGCTTTCCTTTGCTGTCTTGCACAAGTGTTATTTGTGCTGCAAGCATATGTGGATTTTAAGAAGAATTGGCCTTTGCTTCTCACGTGCATTTGCTCTGATTGTCTGCTTTAAACAACGCGAAGAATGGCTGGCTATTCATATACGCGCTTCAATTCAACTTTACACGCGCCATGATGCATTTCAAAGACCAACACTTCTCAGAGCACAAGTGACGCCTTCACCGCTCTGTCCACCATCAAAGTGTGATCTTTGCAAGAGATGGACGAAAAGGTACTGGTCTCCATCGAAAGGAGACTAATTCAGGACAGCAAGCCAGTGACGGCAAAGCTGATTGCAATTCAACACCAAATACATATCAACAAAGCACGTTCGTATATGGAATCATTTCTGCAACAACAGGAAAAGAGCAATGAATCACTACCATATGCCTTATATTCTTTGACCGGACAAGTACATGCTAAAAGTGTACTTGATATCGACTCACAAAAAACAGATGATTCTATGGAATTAGATGGCATAAACAAATCTATGCAAGGTAGCCATAAAGCAGTCTATCTATCCGATTCTGAGCATTTAGAAGAAACCAAAAAATTATTTGCACAATCGCCAATTGTATCTCTCTATGCTCTAAGTCCTCCTCTACCAAATACATCCACAAAGGTGCAAAAAGTGGCTGCTTTGTCTCAATTACCAAGCATTCAACATGAATTGAAGAATACGCCAGAATATGTGAATGCATGGAGTGAGACTGGATATGGAGCACATCTTGGCGGTATTGCACCGGCAAAGGATATAACACGATCCGGACAGAATAAGGCATCATCGAGCGGTATCGTTCCCATCAAGCAAGATACGAAGCCGGATATCAAACCTCCCGCCAAAGCAAGCGAGACCAAACCTTCATCAAAAGCAGAAAGTTCTTCTAAGCTCAATTTTGGTGCAAGTACAAAGTCAACCACAAAGAAGGAGAAAGAAGAGACCAATAAGAAGGCTGCCGAAAAGAAGTCCGATACTACAAAAGCCAAGAAAACCTCAAAGCAGATTGACGATGACGAAGAAGAGGACGAAGATACACCGATTGGATATGTTGGAGATTCAAAGATGTCAACAGACGTACCCGTCGAACAAGGAGGAGCTGAGCGGAAGAGAGCTGATGCAAGTGATAAACCTCTGAGCGCACAAGAAGAAAAGAGAAGAAGGCAGAAACAAGAGTTGATGGATATGATGGATGAGGACAAAGATGGAAATGCAGACCCGGATGTGCCTATTGGCGATAGCACTGCTACGAGCATGATGGGAGGAGAAGGGAAGGAAACAGATCATGCTCAGACAAATGCACAGCCAGGTACGAAAAAGAGAGTACAGAAAGAACGCAAAGTTATCAGAAAAGAAAGATATACGAACGAGAAAGGGTACAAGCAGACCAGAGATGTAGAGGAAGTAGAATTGTATACGACAGACGAGAGTGATGGAGAATCAGAAAAGACCACAAAGAAAGCACCCGCGAAGAAAGCGCCTGCAAAGAGTAAAAGCGAAACAAAGAAAACCACCGATGCAGAGAGCAGCAAGAAAGAGCAAGCAGCACCGGCTTCCGCACCTTCTGCTCCTCCACCAAAGAAGACCACCAACAAAGCAGCCGGTGGTCAGAGTAAGCTATCGTCTTTCTTTACCAAGAAGACGTAGGTGTACTATTACTTTCATTGATCTTATTTTGTATTAAATAGCCTTAGATCTTTCTCGGAATTCACGCAGACACTTTGATAGAAGCTTTCAGAGATGATAATATTGTTGACACAGGGTATGGAGATTGCTCTTTTCTATATTTCTCAATCAAATGAGATTTTGTGCATGTGAGGAGTTTAGTATTTAATTTTCTAGATTTGTAGGATTGATCATGATGTAACAGAAGACCCAATAAAATGTCTCTTTTTCGTCTTGCGCATTCACGCCGACTTTCCCAAAATGTTTTGCTGATTAAAGAATCTCTTGAGGTGGAAAAGTAGCGTAAAATAACAGTATTTTTGCATGGGAAAAAAAGAAGAGGAAAGAGTTTTAATTCTTCCCCCTGTTCTTTTGACCTAGACAGCAGTAATGGATAGAATTCCTTTCTTCCATAAACTTCTTTTTGTTGATTGATAGTTTGCGTTGCGATTTTGTGTACAGATTGAAAGGAAAAAATTGCCGTCTATGTTCTAGTTGAATGCTTGCTTTGGGTCTATTGTTTTTTTGAGAAATGCAGAAGAAAAGAGAAATGTCCAAGTTGTATGTCGTAAAAAGGCATAAAGGCGTAAGCCAAACAGGTTCACACGAGAAGTGTACATTGTCGTCTTGATGAATGTTGGACTTGACGACATTGATCAAAGAAATTGAATATACGAGAAGATCGGAGTCGGAAGAATAGACATGGCGGAACGGAGAAGAGAGAAATGGAGGAAGCACATGATGCGTGAACGCAATCACCACCAAGATGGACCACCACTTCCACCGTAGCTTCCCCCATTGGTAGGTGGTGGGCCTCCATAACTACCTCCGCTTGCACCGCCACCATAGCCTCCTCCGTAACCACCTGCACCACCTCCTCCGCGAGGGGCACCTCCGAACCCTGCACCACCACCACCACCGAAGCCGCCGCCACCACCGCTGAATCGGGCATCACGACCACCGAATGAACTGCCTCCTCCTCTAGGACGAGAGCCACCACGGCCTCCTCCACGACCACCACGACCAAAGCCGCCACCGCCGCCGAACGAGCTTTCACGTGCAACAGCTTCAAGCCATTGAGGTGTATCTTGATTTGCTTCTTTGAGTAGATCCAAAAGGTCACGAACAATGTTGCGGTTTCCACGGTTGAAGAATGCAGTTGCTTGTCCAACGTTACCAGCACGACCTGTACGACCGATTCTGTGAACGTAATCATCGATATCGCTGGGTAAGTCATAGTTGATAACGTGTGTAACATTGGGGATATCTAAACCACGTGCAGCGACAGCAGTGGCAACCATGATTGGTGTCTTTCCAGAACGGAAAAGTTCGAGAGCACGTTCACGTTCACGTTGAGTACGGTCACCGTGAATAGAAGTGGCACCGATGTTGCTTCGCAATAAGAAATCGCTCAACATATCAGCCATACGCTTGGTTTCCACGAAAATTAACGTCAATCCACCAGTGGGCATACTGGCCAAAACGTCCAACAAGACTGATCGTTTGTCGTCATCTTCAACGTATTCGATCTTTTGAGTGATGTTTTCAGATGTACTACCAACGCGACCAACTGAAAGGAAAACGTATTCTTTCAAGAAGTCCTTTGCCAACATTTGGATGTCGCGAGGGAAAGTGGCACTGAACATGAGTGTTTGACGTTCCATGACACCGGGCATATCTTCTTGTTCGACAATACGACGAATTTGAGGTTCGAAACCCATATCAAGCATTCTATCGGCTTCATCCAAAACCAAGAAACGAACGTTGCTCAAGCTGATGCGTCCACGCTCGATCAAATCGACCAAACGACCAGGGGTGGCTGTTAGCAAATCACAACCACGCTCAATTTGACGCAATTGACCAACGATATCTGCACCACCGTAAACAACGGCTGGTTTGACCCATGAACGGTAGGTGAATTTTCTTGCTTCATCGTGAATTTGAGAAACAAGCTCACGAGTAGGAGCCAAGATTAAAGTTGTTGGGAATGCCTTACGACGTCCAAATCCTCCATGTACCATCTCTTCTGGTGGTGGGGGAGGACCGTGGGTGAACAAAGCTGATAAGATTGGGAACAAGAAACCACCAGTTTTTCCTGAACCTGTTTGAGCACAACCCATCAAATCACGTCCAAGTGCTACGATTGGTAAAGAGTATTTCTGAACAGGCGTAGGTGTAGTGTAACGTGCAAGTTTGATGTTTTCCAAAAGATGGGAATCAACGGGAGGCGATGTAAACTCAGTAACGGGTTCAGGAACATCTCTTCCTGAAACATCAACTGGGATATCTCCATATTTGTCAAAGTTGATACCAGTGCTTTGGTGTTGACCATCATCGACTTCACCGAAAAGTTCTTTCTGAATACGTTGGTTGACAGCACCGTAGACGTGCTTTCCGTCTTTCCATGATCCAAAGCCGGCACTGCTGCCGCCATAACCACCACCACCACCGCCGCTGCGACCTCCATAGTTGTTATCCCAACCGCCACCGCCACCACGTGTAGCTAAACCACCACCATTGCTAAAACCGCCACCACGAGAGCTGAATGCGTTGCCATAAGATGGTGCACCACCTGGTCCACCTGAAGGTGGTAAAGCTGGACCACGTTCGCTAGCTCCTGCACCGTTTTGTTTTGGAGTAAATGCTGGAGCAGCACCACGTAGATGAGGTGGAACGTAAGCACTTCTTTTTGCACCGTTTCCGTTTTGTGAAACGTTTAAGCCATCAAATTTTGCCTCTAAACCAGCTGCATTGCCACCGGTTCCATTTTGTCTGTTCTCGTAAGTCATATCAAGTTTAAAAGTGTACTTTTCTTCCTTCTTTCGAAAATGGATCAATTTGGGGGATCCTCTATAATTGTTTTTTGTTAAAGATTGTTGTGGCTAAAAGTGAAAAGTGTTGGCACCGTTTTATAGTTTTCTCCAAACAGGCGTTTCTCAAATGACAACTTCAAGTTTTTTATTTTAGCAGCTAGGCACGTAAGAAAAAAAAATTATAGAAATCTAATTTTGCTCCCTGGGTTGAAACTTTGGAAAATAAACAGGCGTTTTGCCCGGCTTATTCACTCCGCCCTACGCCTGTGAATCCGTGTTGTAATTGAGCGCTGTTATTGATGCACCACCTTATAAGAATAGCGCGGGTTGAATCGTGGCGCGGATAAGAAAAATCAAGGGGTTTGCCGTCTGCAGGAATTGAAATTTAATGATTATATAAGTCGGTGGGAGAGAGCGCTCACGTGTCAGATGACCAACTTCACAATTTTGAGCGCAGCAAACTTTCTGACTGTAGACATCCGCAGCGCGTGCAGGTTAGCCGTACAAGCAGGCAAATACACTCAGGTTACAGATTCAGAAGATAGAGCTGCTTTACACTCTAGTGTTGCAAGGGCATTATCGTAGGCTGATTCTGAGAGCAGTGTACAATTGACCGTATTCGCTGCTAAAGAATTACAGATTTATTAGAATCTCCTCATCTTCACCATCACCATAAACTGTCGATCATCAAAACAGCAAAGATGGCAGAATCAAACAAGGCGGTCAACCCTATGAAAGTGAGTATGACAATGCTTGGAATTCGAATCAGAGAGATGAGAGTAGGGAATGGAAGAGGGTATCGCACTTTTCGAGTAAGACAGCTTCAGCAATTATTTCGACCATTCACGACAGCTCATTAGTGGACACTGGACCTCGAATCATACTGTGCAACCACGTCTTCTCCATTGACAGGCTTTTTTCATTGTTAAGATGCCGATTAACTCGATCAATGCAGCTTCAGTGGGACACATCTCATCATTCTCACACTCCATCCTACGTCTAGATCGATTCCAGCATCTTTCATTCCAGCAACACAGCATACTGACCAAAACATCTCTTATTTATCCCTCAGGAGCTCCGCGTGGAGAAGCTCGTCGTCAACATCTCAGTCGGTGAATCTGGTGACAGATTGACCCGTGCAACCAAGGTGTTGGAACAATTGACCGGTCAAACACCAGTCACCTCCAAGGCCCGTTACACTTTGCGTGGTTTCGGTATCCGTCGTAACGAAAAGATTGCTTGCCACGTTACCGTCAGAGGACCAAAAGCTGAAGAAATTCTTGAACGTGGTCTTAAGGTCAAGGAATACGAACTTCGCCGTGGTAACTTCAGTGATACAGGAAACTTTGGTTTCGGTATCACCGAACACATTGATTTGGGTATCAAGTACGACCCTGGTGTTGGTATTTTCGGTATGGACATGGTTGTCGTCATGGACAGACCCGGTTTCCGTATCTCCAAACGCAAGCAACGTAACAGCCGTGTTGGTGCTAAACACCGCATCACAAAGGAAGAAACTGCAGCATGGTTCCGTCAACGTTTCGATGGTATCATCACCCGCTAAATGCTCTCTTTGCCCGTCGGTTCGCTTTGATGTTGTCAAAGCGTGATTTGTTGTCGTCCATGGTATTGAAGATGGTGTAGGAGTGCTACTAGGCGCCATCTGCATCATTTGTCATTACTTCCCTCACACATCATCAAATCTGTATTTCATCCCCCAATCACATACTATACACAAAAAGCACAGTGCTTTCATGAGTCTTAATTTCATGTATTGGCCTTTCCATTGTGGGCGTGAACGTGAGTGTGTGACATAAAACGGTTCTTTAGATTTGCTTTCTCTCCTTCTTAGCATAGGCTGGAATCAGAACGCTCTTCGTCATACGCAATTCTTTCTACTGAAACTGTACTCTAAGGTTTATGTTCTGAAGATGGAGTCTCTAGGAATCGCTTCCCATCTGCTCAGAGATTTGCTATTCCTGAGTATTAGAGCATCTTCACCTCGCTACTTCATGGCCCAATCATCTTTTCAGCCTCCCTAGAATAGCATTGCGGCTAATGCTATCTTCCTCTCACTTATCAGTGACCTTGATCATTCTAGCCTCTTGACCAACGATCTTTTAACCATTATCAGGATCCTGTTACTGACACAATAAGTGTCTGTGATTATATAAGATGTTGAGGTTTGCTTTGCTGTGTTTGCTGTGCATGGGCATTTACAACCTTGTTTTGACAGAACCGCGCGACTGCTAAGAAGTTCAACAGCGAGGCGCACGCACGCAGGCGTACAAGCAGTGCAGTGCAGTGCAGTGCTGCTGCTTTAAAGTGTTGAATGTCAACCTTCTGAATTTCCAGCAAAGGTGCACGGGTGAATGAATTCATCATCACCTCCATCCTAACACATACACACATACAATAATGTCGTTCGATTTCGGTGAAAGACAAGAATCAGATCCAACGGCAGATTTCCTTGCTCGTGAAAGAGCGGCTGCTGGTGCGTTATCAGGGGAAGCAGATCTGTTCGGTGGATCAACAGGACAAACAGGCGGAAATAGTTTAAGTTCTTTGCAAGGTCAATCAGTTCCATCCGGAAATCACGATTTCGAAACTTCAGCTTCTAATTTCCCTGCCCTTGATGGAGAAGATGATGGCTTTGGCGCACCTACTTCAACCACAAATGCTGCGCCAAATGCAGGATTTGACGGTGATGATCTATTAGGCGGTGGTGGTGGTGCACCGGCTGCACCCGTCGATTCAGAGCGCGATCAATTCGAGAAGCAATTCCCAGAACTCGATGACGATATCCCTTCAGAGCCACATCCTGCTGCCCATGCTTCTACTAATGGATTCATGGCTCCAAACGTCGGCTCAAACATTGGTTCTGGCGCACAGGAAAACTCATACCGTGCACCTAGTGTTGCTCCCGGTGTACCAGCTGATCCATATGGCTTGCACGGTGATGATGAGGAACCAGAAGCCGTTCGTAGATGGCGTGAAGAACAAGAAGAAGATATCGCACGCAGAGAAGCAGCAGCCGAACGTAGAAAAGGAGAAACGATCAGTAAAGCAGAACAGGATATCGATAATTATTATGCAGAATATAATAAAAAGAAGGAAAAGAGTATTGCAAAGAACAAAGAAGCCGAAGCAGCATTTAAAGCACAAAGACAAGCTGAATTAGCAGAAGGTACAACTTGGTCTCGTGTAACGAAATTGGTCGATTTGCAAAATTCTCAAAGCAAAACGATTGCAAGAGGTGGACCTGGATCTTCTGATTTAACAAGAATGAAAGAGATTCTGCTCAGTCTGAGACGGGAAGGTGAAACTGCCCCAGGTGCAAGTGGATATTAAGCAAAGACGATAATGTACTTCCCTTGAAGGGTATCCATACAAGTTGTTGTTCAGTTCTACTTTAAATGTATTGTTCATTCTGTTATCAAGCATGTCTCACTATTATAGTTGAATCTGAGCATATTATTAAATCCAAGGCACAAACAAGGTAAATGTAGTAATATCTAGATCTTTCCATCTTTCTCGTCGTTGAAACGAAGAGAGATACCATTGACGCACTGGAGCGAAGGGAGAGGTTACATAGTATTAGTAAGAAAAGCAACAGGATATAATTGACAATCTAGTGAAACTCACATGTCTTTCGTCAGTCGGTGTTTGGAATCCTTCACCTTCGAATACGTGACCCAAATGAGAATCACAGGCAGCGCAACGAATTTCGACACGTTTCTATGGAGGGGAGGGAAAAGTGTCAGCAAGTGGACTTCCGAGATTTCTTTCTGCGATCAACTTACCATGCCCAAAGATCTGTCCACATTTCTCTTAACTGCTCCTGGAATTGCGTCAAAGAAAGCAGGCCAACCACAACCACTTTTGAATTTAGTTGCGGATTTATAGAGAGGTGTTTCACATGCTGCACAATTATAAACACCAGCTTTATCGTTTGTTTCGTATTCATGTGTGAATGCTCTTTCGGTTCCTGCTTCACGTAAAACTTTGAATTGAGCAGGACTTAAGACTGTTCTCCATTCGGATTCACTTTTGCCTTTGGGCAGGTTGGCACCGTCCGGTCTACTCGCGTCACTACCCATTTTGCGTATATGTTGATGTGTAGGTGGAAAGGTTGTGTTTGTTTGAACTTGGCTATATCTTAAACTTGCTGGACAGAAGTTTAATAGAGGAGAATATCGATTACACGATGTGCTGAAATTGGATTGTAATGCTGATGAGTTGGAAACAGTTGAACGTGCTACCAATAAATTTGAACTTCCTAACAAGATTGTTGCTGACTTTCTCAATCCTGTATTAGATGCAAATCGCATAGAAGGCGACCAAATTAGTGATTTGATGATGATGATAGTAAATGGAAAAGATGTCGTGTGCATATACTCTAATCAATCTCCCCCATAACGTGGCAATCAGCTTGTACCTACCTCCTTAAGCCCTTTTGCTTCTTATCCCCGATGACACCATTCCTGAACAAAAGCCGTTCCGTCTGCCTGCATGCAAGCGTAGTACTGTAACTTTAGGTAATTAACGCGGCACACTTTTTTTTGACACGCATGCCTCCACCAATAGGCAGATAAGCAACCATAAGCACCTTATCGCTTTATGATATGATCGGCTCTGTGTGTTGAAGGTGACAAAAACTCTAACATTAAGGAGAGTAGATGAATAGAATACAGATTGAAAAGATAAAAAGGATTGTGAAAAGGTATGATCCCGTTGGCAAAAGTGTAGATAAAGTCTAGCTAATGGTGATACGCCATAATCACCGAGCAAAAGAATTAGCATTTTCGTAAGAAGCTGGATGATTGTCGTAGCCTTGATTTTGATAAGAATATTGCTGATTATGACTTCCCTGATTATTCATATACTGTCCTGAATTTCCGTCATATCCATTAGGTGAATAAGATCCTTGACGATCTGAGTAACCATCACCCGGACCACCGTATCGTGGATTCAAATGTTGCGATCGATCGGTACTATAACCATGATCTTGATTATTCATCTGTTGAGTATCATGACTATATGCATGTTGATAATGCTGTTGATCATAATTCTGCTGCTGTCTATACGCTTGCTGCTGTTCGTTAGGAAGATGGCCCGAGTTTCGATAACCAAATGTTTCACTCGTAACATGATGTTCTTGTGATGCCTGACCATACGAATCACGATCCACATTTTGCCCTGGCTCTTCCAAATAATCATCATAGACATCTCCAAAAGCAAAGCTTTGAACACGACTGTTTCCATGGCTGCTTCCTCCTCCAGCAACGCCCTGATTACTAGGCTGCAAATAAGCTTGTTGATTCGATTGGCCTCCTTGGTCAGCTTGGTAGGGGGTATAAGCCGATAAATCATGACCACCAACACCACCATCGGCATCTGGGTATCGCATGCCTTCGCTCGGAGGATAGCCGTACGTGTGGTCGTTCATGCCATTTTGTCCGCCTTGCGATTGCATCTCATATGCTTCATGGCTATTGGCTCCACTATTGTGATCACCATAAGCATCATTCGTTGCGCTACGGGAAGAATGTTCAGTCTCATACGGTGTAGAGTAATAACCATTTTGCGATCGTTGTCCATACTGATCAGTACTTGCTCCGTTTTGACTGCCGTTCATTCCCACTTTCCTTTGTGCAAATAATGAAGGACTTGTGCCAATCGGTCCCATCTGCGCTAACACCTTACCCATAGGCAAGCTGCCATCGGTCATCTGACCGTCTAGCGTACCTGTTCCAGCCCTTCCTCGTACATGCACAGGGTAGGCATCTGGTGAGTTGTTCATAGTTGGTGGTTGGCTAGCATTTAGTGTTCCGCTGCTGACACTCAAATTGGAGCCGTGCATAGGATGACCATGTATTGATCCTGCATACCCTTGATTGAACATCAAATGAGCTGTGCTTCCATAGTCATCGCCTTCTTTCATGGCATATAATCCTTTGTCAGGTCCATGTAGACCGTTCACAGTAGATGATGACATTGACGCAGTGCGTTGCTGTCCAAATTGCTTCATAGGTTTTGCATCATCGTTGTACAAATCGACATCTAAGTTAGGCAGCGTTGGCTGAACCATCTTTTGTCCAACAATGATACCTCGCTTGTTCATCAAGTGGGAGAAATCTCCCGCTGCTTCTGCCCTAGCAATTGCTGCGTACTTGCCGAGCCGTTGCTTCTTCTTCTTTTGTACTAGCTCAGAAATACGTTTATCGATCTTGTGACAACAGTACTCCTTCAAGTTCCCTTGAATGTAGCAAATGAGAGGCAAATACATCAAACAAGCCAAAGCCAGCAGGACGGCACTGCCAGCAAAGATTACCACTGTGAACAACATGGTGAGTAACATGGCTGCTGTAAAGTAATTGCCTTCATAGTATTGATATAGATCAGTCGAAAAGTTTGCCGCTCTTGCTAAAGCGTATAAGGTCAATGCATTGATTACTTGTCTCGGTCCATCTGCCACCAAAAGTCTTTTCCATCCTTTGAACGTAAAGAAGATGAAGAAAGCCAATTCGTCCTTTTTCTTCTTTGAATTGTTAATTTGACAGAAGAAACAAAAGTGATTATAACTTCGAATAGAGTAATAATCGTTAGCCATCACGTTTGTGTATGCATAACTGATATCTCTGCTTCGAACCACAGCTCTGGCTTTATGCGCTTCATACGCCAAAAGGCAGAATGAGAAAATGATACAACCGGTAAAGATCCATCGACCATAATCGAAAGGAACACGAAGCGGATTATCGCTATCTGCTTCAACTCTGGTATAGATTGATCCGTTGAATCTGTGAAATGCGAGTAAGGTGATTGCAGTGTAGATGTCTGCAATGTATACAGCAAATCCCTTTCCAACCATAATGAAAACCCACATGTACCGTAGCCTTGTAAAGAATGTATTGCTGTAATAATCTCTCACGTCGATAAAGTCGAATTTATGATCCGCTACCTCCTCCCGCTTCCATGTTGCTTTACCACAGCAAACCATTGCGCTAGGTTTGGATGGTGTGAAAGAACGGGTGAGAGATTACGTCGTGATGTGTGTTTTTATCGTTAGTAGACGTTATAGATTATTGTTCGAAATGACTGGAATTTGCTGCGTGGTCGCGGTGTTTTGTGCCGCTTGATCACGAGACCGGCTCAGTGATGAAGAGGTATACTCAATTTTGGCACTGGAATATAATGGAAATCGATGATTGCATTTGCTGAGAAATGAAACTCAACACTGTACAAATCTCTGAAATGAAAGACGTTACGGAGATGAAAGTCCGTATGTGGATGGGCGAGATTTGCTGATGTTTGCTGATTGCAGGGATTGACGGAGTGCAGAGGGTGAGGATTGAGTGAATGAATGCGAGCGAGAATGATGGGAGTGATGAATGTTTCGCAAACAGATATGTGTATTCAAAATGTCAAATGTGTCAAACGATAAGCGGAATAGCAGTGCTCACGAGAATAAGCGGCCTTTGTGTTGCGCGCGAAATGAATGTTTTGTCATTCAGACAGACAGGGAAGGGGGTCTGTTTGTTACAGGGCTGATGAAAGCTATTATTATTGCATTAAAACGCGCTCTTAAAATGTTTCTTACGCTGCGCCGTTTGGCATCCCTTTTTCTACGCGCAGCTTGCAGGCTATATATAGATTTACACTTTCTCTCCGCCTGTTTCCGTTCACCCTACAGCTTTAAAGAGCTGGGTACCAATTGATCGCCGAGTAATCTTTCACTCCGACTAGAAATGCATGTATAAAGAACACTTACGACGATCTGACACAATTCTTTACGGTCAGAAGTTTATCGCAGAAGAAGTACTTAAGAGTAGAGGTTGGTTTCATAATAGATAATTAATAAAATGTATCATATTTTATTAAATCTTGAAAATATATTCTAAGAAAGATTAATTACAACTTTCAATTTTATTTTATAAAATTGTTGCAGATTCAACCACCTCTCTATTTTTATATAATGATACAGCGACCATCCGGCATTATCAAATTATCCAACTTGTTTCGATTAATTATATCAATAAAATTATATTAACAAATATTTATTCAATTAATTGCAATTTTATATTAAGCAAGTGCAGTGCCGCCGTGGCTAATCAGGAGTTAATTTCCATTGCATTGAGACGTACAAAATCTTTCTTCCCATCTCCTTGATGACTTAATAAGTAACACAACGGAAAGGGTTTGGCGAAAGTGGCATTTCCCTTTCTTCTCGAGCCCCCTGTAGTACGGATCAAAGCGCTAATACCGCAAAAGGTACCAAGTCATTCTTATGTAAGCAGAAAGTAATTATTAAAACTAGTCTAGTATTCTCGGTGATTTTAGAGCTTTTGCCCTTTTTTATTATGAATAGATTCGCGATTGATTTCTTCTCATTGCTACCACAAATAGACAATGACGACCACATTCTCATCCGCAAATGCTCGTGCGGAATGCATCTATACAGCTGCATCTGCCAATCGAAATTCACATGTGGTCGATTGGACAATCCTCGAAGAAGGAATATCAGAGGTAGCCTATGCTTCCGATCGAAATGTTGCTATTGCTAGAAATATTGGTGATATTCATAGACAGCCAACACGATTGATCGCAACTCCCAACGAAATTCTTACAGTACTCAAATTTGCACATCCGAGATATAGTAATGCAAAACCAAAGATCATCGCTGCTTCAGAAGATGGATACCTATACCTATTCACTTATCATGTAACCAATTCAGAATTATCATCCGAATGGCAATTACATCAAGAATGGCAAGCAAGTCCAAAGCAATCACAAACACAAAAGAAACCAGCAGGGTTCCCAGCAAGAAAAGCAAAAGCAGAACCTTCAGCTTCAATTCGTGCTTTGGGTGTACTAAGAAAAGATCCTTCTCAAGTTGAGAAAAGCCAAAACACAAACGATGAGATACTATTTGCTTCTGCTACATCGGATGGTATGCTACAGGTATGGAGTGTTAAGGGCAATGCAGAGGTCGAACTTGTACAAACAATCTCACTAGGGAGATCTAGAGCGGAAACTCGGACTGAAGTATTGCCTCTCGATATCGCCATCACACCTCTACCGGGTACTGTCAATGCTTTACTATTAGCTGTCAGCGGCACAGATTCAAAGATTGATTTGTTTCTGGCAGAAGATGGTAGAACATTCACTCGATTATTTTCGTTGTTGGGTCACACAGATTGGGTACGTTCGATAGACTTTTGTCGGTCTGGTAAGGAAGATGAGCCTTGGGTGATGTTGGCAAGTGGTGCACAAGATCATGGAATTCGTCTTTGGCGTATTGAACAATCGGATGATAACCAACAAGTGGTCCACACACCAGTAAAGGAGGAAGAACGTGATGAGTTTGACAAAATGGCTTCCGAGATTGAAGATGGCGAAGATGAGGCAATGGCAACAAAGATGCAGACATTCCGATGTGAAGCAAAGAAGTGGAGTATATCGTTTGATGCTTTGTTGATTGGACATGAACATTGGGTTACAGGTCTTCGGTGGGCGCCTGCTTCGCTTGAAGGACAGCCAGCCGCTTTGCTTTCCTCAAGTGCTGATAATAGTGTGATCCTTTGGACTCCATCCTCCGGTGTTGGAAAGGCGATCGCAGGGATTGATTTGCCGCTCTTCGATGAAGCAGAAACAAAGAAACGAATTGATAGTAAGGAGCAAGACGTATGGGTTGCCCTGCAGCGATTTGGTGAATTGGGGAACGTGGGCAGTGCAGCAAATGGAATGTACGGATGTGCATGGGACCCAACAATCCGACCATCGTCCACCCAACAAGCAACCCTTGCGCATGGCTATGGAGGTGCTGTACATATTTGGAGCAGACATGAAGAGAATGGCAGAGCGCAACCTTGGCTGCCTCAACCTGGCTTAGGTGGTCACTTTGGTGCTGCAACTACGGTACGCTGGGAGCCTGGAGGTCAATACATCCTTACGGGTGGATTGGACAAGACCACAAGACTGCATGGCTGCTACCGCGAAGGAGATAAGCACTCATGGCACGAGATGGCAAGACCACAAACGCACGGATACGAGATTACTGCTCTTTCTTGGCTTTCTCGTTTAGCATTTGCAAGTGCTGGTGATGAGAAAGTGATCAGAGTCTTTGAAGCACCAAGAGGATTCGTACAGTCTGCTCAAAACCTAAACATGTTACCCAAAGAGCAGAGTGCTAATCTTCTGATTGTTTACATCCCTGATCTTGCTCATCTCATCAAACCCGGAAAGATTGCAAATTGCATCAAGGAGGCTACCAAGAAGTCTTTACGAAAAGGAAGGTTGAACATCGTTGTCGTATCACCTCTTTTTGATGATGTTCAACATGGTAAATCCCCACAAGCATCTTTTGAGCAAGTTCAAGCATTTCTCAAATGGTGCTATGCGATGAGCTGGGGGCCGGCCGTCGAAGCTGATCAATTATTATTTGACGTGGACGTTCTTTTGATGGGATCTCAAAGTGCGCAAGTCAAATTGACACAAGTTCAAAAGCCCGATGAATTGTTCGTTGTTAATGATAAAGACTTCAAGCCGCCCTTTGAGACTTATAATGCATCCCAGTTGGAGACTGGGTCAGATGAAGAAAGTGGCATCGATGCGTCCACTTCACCTGATGAGCCTTCTTCCTTCCAACAACACGAAGCAATCGCTCTTGGAGGTACTTTCGATCATTTGCACGTAGGACACAAGATCCTGTTGAGTATGGGATGTCTACTTGCTACACGTAGGATCGTAGTAGGTGTGACAGGTGAAAGCATGTTGGCAAAGAAGAAGCATGCCGAATTACTTGAATCAATTCAAACCCGTCTTGATCGTGTGGCCCTCTTTATGAATGCATTCTGCAATGCAATCGGACGAACAGAGCTGTTTCACGATATCGTCATCTTGAAAGATGTCGCAGGACCGCCTGGCAGTGATCCGAATATTACCGCCCTTTTATTCACGGATGAAACCGTTGGAGGAGCAGATTTTATCGATAAAGAACGAACCAAACGTGACTTAAAGGTTCTTGATCGATTCACTATTGGCGTAATTGGTGCATCTGGAGAAACTGACGTAAAAGGAAAAGATGCCAGCGAATTGGCAGCAGCAAAGGTCGGAAGCACAGCGATTCGAGGATGGATTGAAAAGAACAAGGTAAAGGTGAAGCCAACACCCGCTTCTTTGGAGAAAGTGCCGACATTGAACGGTGATCCCCGTCCTGTTGGAGCAAGTGTTCCGCCTCTTGGATTATCGAATCGAGCTATTTTTGATCCTCGTGATGGCCAACAAGGTGATCCTCTTGATGGACCTTCTGCTACCGGTCAGCCGATTGGCAGTGCGATTCGATCTATCTCTACTAAACTTCAGAGGCCACCAGTCGAGGAAGAGTTGCACAATCATTCGTTATGGAGTGAAGTCTCTAAACTGTATGGACACAGTTTAGAACTAGCAGCCTTGGATGTTGACGTTGAATCTGGTTTGGTGGCTAGCAGCTGTAAAGCAAGTCATGCTGAACATGCAGGTATTCGATTGCACGATAGTAGACAAGGATGGCGTGAACGACAGGTCTTGATGGGACATTCTCTCAATGTTACCCGTGTACGTTTTAGTCCAAACGGTCAAAAGCTAGTATCCGTCAGTCGTGATAGGTCATGGCGTTTGTTTGCACGAAAGCAAGCAGAAGAGGGCAAAGAATCAACTGACGAGGTATTTGAGCAAGTTGCAGAAGGACAAGAAGCGCACAGCCGAATCATTTACGACGTTGCTTGGTGTGGTAACGATGAATTCGCTACAGCATCACGAGATGGTAATGTCAAGCTTTGGGATGCTGGCGTAAAGGAGATTAGAAAAGACGCCTTGCCGATTACTACACTCTCCTTCAAAGAACCAATTACAGCAATTTCTGCAATTGATGAAAAAGTATTGGCAGTAGGAAGCGAAAATGGTCATGTGTGGCTTTATCAACGTGCAGGACAATCAGATTGGGCAGCTATTCTCAAGATTCCAAATCTACATGCTGACGCACTCAACGAGCTGGCCTGGCAGCCAATTCACGATGGCAAACGTGCCATCTTGGCATCTGCAGGCCAAGATCGTGCTGTACGTCTGACCGAATTTCAACTATAATTTGCTTTCTGTATAAATACATGTAATGCTATTGTACAACGATTAACGTGAGGAGGAAGCTCCTTGTCCTTTAGGCATCTTTTTATTCTTGTCTGTTTCTCCCAAATCTTCTCGATTAAAGTAGTGCGGTGCCACTTCAATCAACCATTCACCTTTAATTGTCATCAATGAACGCATAAAGTTCTTGCTCGTTTCCACCAATTCGTAGTATAGCACAAACTTGGGCGGAGGTACCTCTTTGAACAAGCAAGAAGACGGATGAATGTGTACGCTTGCATTTTGTTTGATGGCTCTGTATCCTCCTCCTCTTTGCAATTGTGCCGTATTGCTAAAGTATCCTGCACATAAGCTTTTCATAATCGGAACCAGATCCGAAGCATCCCGATTGGATTCAGGAACAATTTCAACTCGATCACAAAGCTGAGCCAATTGATCACGAACATCACGTACTCTCGAAAGTACTTTTGGCTGAACGAAGTTTTCCATACACCATTGATAGCTGTAATTACTTTCCACCCATGCTTCCCATACGTTCAACATGGTAAAAATATCTCCTCCAGTAGGATGACTGAGCGCAGCACGGGCTTTATCGGCGTGCATCTTTTTGTCTTTAGGACGATAAAATAGAGCACTGGATTCTTGTAACATCGAAACAATCGAAAGCACTTCGTCTGTACAATGATGCTCTTCACTTGCGATAATAGTCTTGCTTAACATTGGATCCACTGGAAATTCCGCCATTCGTCTTCCAAGTTTGGTGAGCTCACCTCTATCATTGAGTGCACCTAATGCATACAGAAGACTTAAGCTCCGCATCAATGTATCGGTTGGAGGTGGATCGAGGAAATCAAAGTTGAGTAAATCGTTGATACCCAAGGATTTCAAGAGTAATACCACGTTGGAAAGATTCGTCCTTTGGATTTCTGGCGGTGTATGTGCTTCCATTTCGTTTTCGAATGCCCACTTGGTAAACAATCGGAAAGTTTTACCTGGTCCAACTCGACCTGCTCTGCCTGCACGTTGATTAGCTGAAGCACGACTGCAAGGAACAACTGTCAAGCTAGACATTCCCGTTCTGGGGTTATAGCTGTTTTGTTTGACAAACCCAGGATCAATAACAAACACTACACCATCGATCGTGATTGAAGTCTCGGCGATATTTGTTGCCAATACCACTTTTCGTGCACCTTCAGGCGTAGGCTCGAAAATCTTTGCTTGCATTTCTGATGGGAGATTTGCATAGATTGGACAAATGATCAATTCTGCAACTTTGTTACCCAGTGCACGTGAAGTTTCTTGAAGATTCTCCATCGCAGCATCAATTTCGTCTTGACCGGTAAGGAAGACTAGGATATCTCCCTTGGGTTGGGTGGTATGGATCTGAAAGACTGTAGTGATAGCAGCATGCAGATAATTCGCTTCAGGTTGCGGTGTATAATGGATATCGACTGGGAATCGTCTTCCTGGAACGTAAAAGATTGGAGCGTCATCAAAATAGCCACTAAACTTTTCTGCATTGATGGTCGCACTTGAAATGATCAATTTCAAGTCTGGACGATAACGTGCCACATCTTTGACCAATCCAAAAAGGATATCTGTACTGAGTGTACGTTCGTGTGCTTCATCGATGATCAGACATGAGTACCCGGCCAAATCAGGCTCTGTTAAGAATTCACGTAGAAGCATTCCATCAGTCATGTACTTCAACACAGTCACGTCTGAAGTGCAGTCTTCGAATCGAATGCTATAACCGCACTCCCTACCGAGTCGAGCGCCCATCTCTTCAGCCACACGAGCTGCTACACTCATTGCTGCTACACGACGAGGTTGTGTACATCCTACTTTCAATCCACCTTTTGTGTAACCTGCTTCGTGCAAGAATTGCGGCAACTGTGTAGTTTTTCCGGAACCTGTCTCACCTACAACGACCAAGACTTGATGATCTGCTACAGCCTGAAGCAACTCTTCCCGAAGAGCGTAAACCGGCAACGATTTACGTACAGCTTCTATGGAATCTGCCTTTTTCTGAGCCTCTTGAATCTGTGCTCGTAGCTTTTCATCTTCAGGTCGCATTCCAAAAGCATCTTCAAGCTTGTCTGCTTGCATAACAAACTGAATCGTTTGACTTTCATCGAAGACAAAGTCATAATCTCCATCGCCTTCTCCTGCTGCTACTTCTTTGGTGGCCAATTTGGATCTTTGAATTTGTTCTTGTTCGAATAGATCCACTTCAGTGATATGATTAGCCTGAGATTCACGCTCCTGTCTGGCATCAACATATCTTTGATAGAGCGCTTGCTCTTTCTTTCTTTTGTTGATCTTGCCTTGTTCTGTGATGTAATCTTCTGGCATAACGTATCCTTCATCTCCATCGTCAATCTTGCTTCTCTCTTCCGCCAAACGTAGAACCTCTTTCTTGTATTCCAGATCCTTAATTTCTCGTTTAGATAGCTTTTGACCACGGAAGAAGCGTTCTTCATCTCGAATCTCTTGCTTCAACAATTCGATTTGTTGCTGACTTCTCTTTGCCAAATACTCTTGTCTACTACGTTCACGCAAACCTGGCATGGCCTCTTGCCGCGCGTTAAGATCATCTGCTAGCAAACGACGAGCAGCAATCTCTGGATTCAATTTTGCCGATGAAGAATCTTCTACAATCTTTTTGGTTGAGTCTTTGTCTTTATCTCGCATCCTTCGAGCAAATTCGTCCCTTTCTGCTAAATCTCGTACCCTCTCTCGTTCCCTGCGAGACTCCTCGGATTCATGTTTGTCGACATGTTCGTCTTCAGTGGCCTTTCGCTGATCCATCTCATCTTCCGTCTTTGCTTTCTTCTTTTTGCGCCTTTCAGGCTTTATTCTGAGTTGGTCAACCTCATTGTCTTCATCCATAAGAAGAGCATATCTCTTCCCTTTGTCATCACCAGAGGGCTTTTCTGAACTTTGAGGCTGAGCTTGCTGTGACTTTGAGGAAGAAGGTCGTGGTACACGATCGAACAGCTGATTCACAAAAGCCTTTGATTCTGGACTTGCCGGTAATCCCATCGAAGAAAGCTTTGTGTAAAGATCCGAAGATGATTTAGCACCTAAAGCACTTACTTGAACGAAATCTACCAAAGTTGAATCTGATACGCCAAACAGCTTGATTGCATTATCACCTATCCATCTTCGTAAATCGGAAGAGGAAGACATTGTGATTGTGTAAGTCTTCCTCCCATCACACAACCATATGTCTGGATGTTTGTAGCAATAAGTCAAGAAAATAAAAATCAAGGAGCGGCGTTAAGCTAACTTATTTGCAGTACGGTGGGCTTAATCTTCTTTACGCGCTTGTACGCAGAAGCTAACCACGAATTTGATTGATAGGCTTCTTGATGTTATACATGAAATTAGCATACATTGTTCGAGGACAAGCAATCAAGCCTTTGCCAGTGTATGGCTTCTCTACTGATAGTGTATATATATACATAAAAGGATCATATTGTTACATGTGAGTCTAAATGAGCTACCAATCTTCATCTCTCACTTTGGAAACTTGCTCGACAAAGATGCCTCTACGCCGATAAGCTTCAGCAATTTCGTCTGCTGATGGCTCGATTCGTATAGGAGGTCCTCCATTCTTTTGTGGGAAGGCTGCATCTACAGCTTTGGTTGTGGTATGGTCGTTTTGTTCTGCTTGTATTATCAGGGCAGAAGGATGAATGCTTCGAACTCGTTGAATGGTATCTTGATTGACAGACTTTGTTTGCGTTTGATTTTCAATCTCATCACTTCCCATCAATGGCCATGTTCCATCTTTGTGCCATGAAGCTTTACACATTCGAATTACGATCCACATTGGTATTCCTCTGTCCTTGTTTGCGCCCCGAACAACGGATCGACCCGATTGCAGTACAGCATGCAGGTCACCCAAACGAGGATCAGGGCTAGCCGAAGCTTTTGACAGAGGCATAGAAGGCTTTTTTGGTCGTTCCCATGTACTCTTAAGCTCTTCAGATGCAGGACATGATTGCAGCAATTGACTCAATTTCTCGATAGTTGTCTCAGTCTTTGAATGAGATTGTGAAGCATTTTCACAAGCATTTGCTGAATTTGTGACAGCCTCCTTCTTCATATCTTATCTTGTCATCGATCTGTACTGTATGTGTCCTTCATATTTGTACCTGCCTTGCTGTCGATGCCTGGCCGCTCATGCTGATATCGATCGAATTGCAATGGAGAGACGGAAGAAGAAGTCAAAAGGTAGACCTTTGAATTTTTCTTCTTTTAGCGTGTACTTCGGAGATATGTTTTAGCGCGGCGTATGTTTAATCTTACTATACAAACATTTCTCCACAAATAAATCTTATCTTTACAATCATCCCGTCAATATTATTAGACATCATGCAAAATGGAACAAACGAATCGTCCGGCGTAGCTTTACTATTGGTGGATATACAGCATGACTTCATTTCAGGATCTCTTGCCGTTCCAGATGCAGAGAGGATATTACCAGTAGTGAAGAATTTGATCGAATCATATCCTTTTGATATGATTATTGCCAGTCAGGTACGTAATGACAGGCCTGATTAATACGATGTGGCATTGACACTCTCTTTGAGCAGGACTTTCATCCGAAAGAACATATCTCATTCGCATCTAGTCATCCAGATGGTCCCGGCACATTCAAGGAACACAAAGTGCCTCATCCTGCCAAAACGGGTGAAAAAGTTGATCAAATGATGTGGCCAGATCATTGCATACAAGGTACAAAAGGGGCAGAATTTCACCCGATTGTCGAAGATGCAATCAATGCTAAACGCAAACAAGGTATTCCAGTTCATATAATCCAAAAGGTATGTTTGTATACCACTGTCAGAACGAGGAAATGAGCTAAACTCCAAATCACATTTCTGCAGGGCACTGACAAGCATGTTGATGGATATTCGGCTTTTGCGTACGTATGACCGGTTCAAGAAAAAGCACTAACTTATCATTGACACAGCATTTTCCTCTTTCCTCAGTGATAACCAGTACCTCGGATTCACCCAATTGTCAAAGATACTGCATAGCCACAAATGTAAGAACAAGGCAGGGGGTCCCATTGAGACAATCGTTGTAGTCGGACTGGCGACGGACTACTGTGTTTTATCATCAGCGATTGATGCAAGAAAATTTCACTTCCGCACAATCATAGTTGGGGATGCAGTTCGTGGTGTAGCAAAAGAGACAACCGAATCGGCAATTAAAGAAATGCAAGGATGGGGAATAGAGTACGTTCAAACAACAGAAGACCTTCATGCTTTGCTCGTACCAAAATAGAATGATCATCTCGTCATAAATCCATATCTGTATTCTAGCGTACTGTATTAGAAAGTAGTCGAAATTGATTGCATACAAAAGAGAGTCTTGGAGAAACCGGGTCTATAGTGGAAAGAAGAATATGTGTGTATCTCTTACTTTCGCTTGGGTTGTAGCAATCGTCTGTGATGGGAGAAAAAGATGTCAGATGAATTATCAAGAGCTCTCGAAGCTTTATAGGACATACCTGGTAACAATCTCAAAGTAGTCACGGAAATAGAACAACAAAGCTTGTGCCAAGACGGCTTTTGTGATTTGAGCTTGCATACCTTGATACCATCCTGATAATCCTTTCTCTTTGGCGATTTGTGTCAAACAATCGATTGCACCTTTATAACGTGTATCTTTTGCTTGTAAACGAATTTTAGACAAAATGTATGGGAATGTAACAATTGTTGCCAGCGTTTTTGACAAGGCTCCTACCAAGAAAGATTTGTATGGTGTCATCTTGCCGTCAGCTGAAGCGGCCAAGATGATATTCTTGACACCTGTGAGTGGGAAAAGAGTCAGTCAAAGATCCACGATCACACTTCGTAGCATATACTCACGTTCATAAACACCATATGTGATGGCAGGGTTCACAGTCAAAACGAGACTTGGCTTCAAACCACGCCAGAGACCTGTGACACCATCTTCACGTAAAATTTCACGAGCGACACCCAAGAAGCTATCTGAATCGCTCACACCGGTAGCCTTTACTACTGCTTCTTTTGCTTTGCCGGTGGATGTGGAAGGTGTGCTTGCGGGTTTTGCTTCTTCTTTGGAAGGTGAGCCTCCTCCTAATTGTTGACGGGTTGCAATGACACTGACAGGAATGGTAAAGATTTGTGCTAATCCTCCTGCAAGAGCACCTAGCAAGAGTTCGATAGCCGTTGAAAGTTGTTGAACGGGAGCGCCAACCTTTCCACGTGAGATTCTATTGATGTATAAGGTTCTTACGACTGTATACCAATAAAAGTATGCGAATTGGGTTGAGAATGTGTTTACCATACTTGCACCAAAACCACGATATAATCCTGCAGGACCTTCTTTGGATTTGATGATTGTTAAAATACCTTCTAACATTCCTGTACCCTTTTTCATAACTGTTTTACCTTCCTTATCTGTAATGGACTTTTGTCCTGGTTTTGTAATTTCTCCGACATCAGCTTGAATTCGTGTCTTGACTGTGTCCAATGGATAAACAACTGCATTGGAAAAAATACCTCCTAAAGCACCAGCAAGTGCATTGCCAAAAGGCGTCAAGGGTTCTTCGGCGGCCATGATGATTTATTTGTGGTGGGTTTGGAAGAGTGAGCTAGAATGGCGCCTTTAGTGAAGCAGGATGACCCTATTTTGATTGACTATATGTTCTTCTCCAAGATTAAGAAGCCTGACAGGTGTCCGATGTCGAGGGTGATGATGGCTATCAATGCAATAGAATGAAACTTGGGAAGAACACCATCCGATATCATTTGACTGTGGAGAGGTTCGGATACCAATGTAGCCGTTTGCTGTAGGCAGCTGATCAGTGTCCCTTACTTGCATCTCGCTTTATTACTTCGGGCATCATTCACGCACTCTCTTTAAACCCATAAATCGCGCCCGCATCTGCATCCGCGCTTGTTAAAATACCGGAATGTCCGGTATTAATGTCTTGTAGTCAAGGATATACAAAACGCGAAAGGCGGCGCGGGAAGTTTACAAATAAAACAAACTTAGCATTCGGCCGAATAATTTTTTTTGGAATTTTTAGTGTCGGACTAAATTTTTGGATAAAGAATTATAACAGAAGCGTACTTTAGCACTAACACATCATCGTCATCAATCGATCCTACATCGCCATGGCAACGGTTGCAGGTCCAAGTATGATTGGACCTTCTTTACAGCCTGAGTCGAGCTCCAAGCCTGCAAAGAAGCATCGTAGCAAGAAAGAACGTAAGGATGAGACAGCAGAAGATAGTGATGCATCAGCATCATCTTCTACGTCCAAGCAAGAGAGAAAGGAACGCAAAAGAAGAGAAAAGGAAGAAAGAAAGGAAAGGCGGAGAAGTGCATCTGTGGACACTCCAATGACATCTGCATCAGAAACGGAAGGAGAAGGAAGTCCTTCAATACCCAAAACAGCAAAGGAATTAGCAAAGACCAGAGGCAAAGGACCGGCAGAAACAGCTTTCAAGACAGTCTTTCCAGATATCACACTTTGCATACCGCCCGTCCTAATGCACGATGCTGGTAGGGCGGCATCAGAACAATTAGACTCACTTTTGATGAGATACGTACCACAATTCGAAGGAGTTTTGATGAGTCATTCAAACTTAAACTTTAAGCAGAAGCTCGGAAAGATTGATGGAGATGGAGCATTTGCAAATGTTTTGGTTGGTGTCAATGGTCTTGTTTGGGCGCCAAAGATAGGGATGAGACTAGAAGGAAAGATCAAGCTTTCAACGCCTTCTCATGTTTCCCTTTTGGTTCATGGAATCTTTAATGCTTCTATCACTTCAGCGCATCTCCCTTCGATACAAGAGATGGCACACATGCCAAAAGAGACCGGGTTCGAATGGCAAGAGTTTCCCGAAGAGGAATACGAGGATGTTGCAATGCAAGAGCCGACAGAGATTAAGTCTGACGAGCATTCAGATGGCGAAGCAATTATCGAAACAGAGAAAGCTCTCCAAAGCGAGAGTGGAGCAGCAGATGACGAGTTAGCTGCTAATGGAGAAGAAGTTGGCGAGAAAAGCACAGGCTGCTGGATTGACAAAAAGACTGGTCAAAGGCTAGGTGGAGAATCCGGTACAGTCACGTTTACTGTTGTTGGAATCACGATTGCCAATCATATGATCTCCATTCATGGATCTCTGCTTCGCAAGCCATTCTCTATTCCTGCACCAACGTATGTGCCCAATGCATCTTCGCTATCCTCTTCAAAACAAAATAACGCTACAACAGCCAACCAGAAGTCGAAAGAATCTCGCAGGGTTCGTTTCGGTGATAATCAGACTTCGGAATTTGCGCCTTACGAAGATAGCGATTCGGATGATGATTCGGATATTGAAGAACCTCATTTTAGCTCAGCAAATGTTTCGCAAAACAATCTTGTTGTTGAATCTACTTCTTCTGAAAAGAGCAGTAAGAAGAAGAGATCAAAAGTTGGACCGAAACGTGAAGGTGAAACGAGCGGAAGTGAAAGTGAAGGTGATTCAGGACGAGAGAAGAAGAAGAGAAGAAAAAGTTCAAAGTGATCATGTAGGTGTACATTGCATCTTCGTTTACGTTCTCGTTCAATTGTATTATTTTGTTGCATTTGATTTCTGATGAGCGCGTGACTTAATATTCTCAGCCATGATTGCAATCGAGAAGCACTCCAATCTAACAGGTCATTCTGCTCAGCAATCTGCTATAGTAAAATTGGATCAGACGAGATCCTCCTTGATTTTACACCACCAACTATCGTCCCTTCTGTGAGCATTCCTTGTCACATCAGAAGTTGCCGCCTAGTACTTGACTGGTACCGACGACCCATAATTCTATCACAAGATGAGCGATTCCAAGCCAGATCCATCTCAGAATGTCAAGGAAAACAAGATCCAGCAACTTAAACATTACTCCGGCCATGCCGAATGGGAAAAGAGCCTTTTGAATCATTTACGTTCACTCGGACCAAAGCATGAAGGATTGCTCAAAGGCACTTTCAAAGAGCCAAAAAAGCCCGATCCGATCGAGATTCCTGAAAGTTTCCTGGACGAATTCCCTCCAACTGACAGCAAACATAGAGATGAATTCAATGAAAGGTATTTGGGTCTCGCTCCAACAGTGGAACAATTCACTGAAGATTGGCATGGGTATCTTGATGCATTCAATGAAAAGTATTGGTCTTTCTTTGCAACGGTACATCGATACGAAAAAGAATGGAATCGATACCTCGATGAACGTCTCGATTGGGAGATCATCAATGTTGAAGTTTCTCTCATCATCAATTCATCCTTGAGCTTGTCATATTCGGCAATCTTTAGCGATGAACAAGATGCCTATAGAAAATTTTGTCGAATTAGCGAACACAGCAACGAAGTAATGACTCAAGAGTACATTTCCGAGGTAAAAACGTATCTTGAAGACGAGATCTTTTCAAAAGTGCTCGCAAAGCCATTCAAAGGTACCTCAACTTGAGCTATAGAGATACTTCATGGCTTAGTGTAGAAGAGGCCAAAAAATAACGTTTTCATTCTCATGTACATGTACTGTAGTTTGACAAATCTCCATAATATTACACAAAAAGAAAAGTTCACTGTACGAGCAAAATATTACATAGCAGACAATAGCAAATCAAATGAAGCACTTTAAGAGATTTTAGACTGTACAAGGGACAAAACCCTTCTTTCCTTTATACACGATGATCGGCTCGTCCGCCTCTACCTTTCGATCTCGTTTTCTTGTTCGTCGAATCCGCATTGGCATCTACGACGAACGGATTATCCGGCATTTGAAGTGGTGTAGCATTAGGCGGCAATACTGAACCGTTTCCCCATCTTCGATTCTGCACTGGAGCTTGTTTCGGCGGCCTACGATCTCCACCTTGGTCTTGTGCATGGTGATTACGTTTGCTTTTAAAATCCAGTGTCACATTAGCAGGCTTTGAGGCTTCTTTTGCTTTCGTTTCTGCCTGTCCAGCAATGCGCAAGCCTAAAGGTCCATTTGATGGGGGTGAAGAAGCAGCTTTTGAACGCCTTTGCCATGGTGGCACAGAGCTTAAATCCTGGTCTTCGTTGGAGGCTGAAGATGATCTTTGCTTACCTGCCGAGCCAGCAATTCGAATACCTAGATCAAGAGGTGCACTTTTTGGTCCTCGTGGCGGCAATGCTCCCTTTTCTCGCTTCGATCCACGGCCTTTTCTTTCTCCTCGTTGAGGATGAGATGGACTTTGATCTATTTCATGTCGAGATTGGATATCATCGCTAGTCACAGAGCTAGAGTCTACCTTGACTGGCTTTTTGGTGCTTGAAGGAGGAGAGAGCAAAGCCGTCTTCATCCATTCTTCAGTCAATTCCGGTAATGAATCATCATCATCGTCATCAGCCCAATTAATGCTTGTCATTGTATCATTGCCCACTTGTGAAGCCGTATCATCAATCACCTCAGGTTCAGCTTGAGGTACGGCAGCTTCTTTCTGCGAAATAGTCCCTGGCTCGCTCGCAGGCAAAGTCGGAGTGGGTGTAATATCGCGAGCAGCCTCCTTCTTAATCCTCTCAGCCTTTGGCTCAGTAGGAGCAGAGCGTACTGGATCATCTAATGGCAGCGGCTTAGGGTCAACTTCCTTCTTCTCGACCTTGTTGTCCGCAAAAGACGAGGATATTTTCTTTTCCTCACTCTGAGTAACAGGCTTCTTATCCGAGGTATCTGGCAACGGTAGCCCTTTTTTGTTAGAAGCGTCTGTCTCTTCCATTTTTGGGCCTAGACGATCCAAAAGAGACTTTCCATTCGTCAGCTCTTTTGCTTGAGGGGCTGACCCTGACTTGTTTGCCTTTGGTTTCGCTCCTTCTTTTGCTTTCTCTGGCTTAGAAGGTCCCAACTTTGGTGTTAGCTCTGCATCACCATTTGCGACATCAGCTGAAACAGATGCGAGTGTTGGAGTTGCCTGTCTGGAGGATCCTGATTTGTCTTCAGACGTAGATGCCACTGGCGGATCTTCTGCCGCTGTCTTGGGAGCCCACATACTTTGTCCACTTCCACCACCAGAGAGCCCAGATCTTGCTTGACGCAGACGTGCAAGCATATCGTCCATTTGAGATCGAGCAGCACGAAGAGGTGTACTTTTTCGAGTAGCTTGGATCGATTGACCTGGATCAAGCATCAATCCTGCTTTCGGAAGATTTCGCATTTCGTTCTCTGATACCCGCTGTTCTGTATTAGGTGTCGGGGGAATGTCGATTTGCTGTCGATTGCCATGATGTTTCAATGGCGTTTCCGGTACAGGGTGAGATGCACTGAGAGGTGTCTGTGCTACAGGCGTTTTCAGATCGGTTGCAGAGGAGGCGGTCTGACTTTGATCCGGCAGTATCGACATTCTATTATCTGGCAATGTCAACTTCGATGGCCTTCGAGTAGACTGCGGTTTTTGAGGTACAGCCGGCACTTCTGGCTGTTTCTCTGGCTCTTTGGCTGAAGCATCTATTCCCAGCCTAGCCGATAAGCTTAATCCAGACCTGCTCTTCCGTAGCGTGCGTGGTGCTGTTTCCTGACCATCAGACACATGTGCTGGGACTTCGGGTGGATTCTGCAAGGAAGTGTTGACTTCTTGATTTGCTCCCGTTGGTTCATTAGGTGCTTCGGTTGCATATATGCTTGCAGAAGAGCCGACAGAAGGTTTTGGGGCATAAATACTACCCGACGATCCATTCGAAGATGCTTTTGGGGCATACATGCTTGCAGAAGAAGATGAACCTTTGGCAGGCGGTTGCGAACTGGTTCCATTTGCACCCACTTCTGAAGCATACGAGCTTTCCGAGGAGCCACCTATCCAGCCATCTTGACTTTGATGTAGGTCGATCATATCTTTGGGCTTCTTGGTAATCTTGAACTTCTTTTCGCCTTTGAGAAAAGCGCCGGGAGCCAGACGTTCAGCAGTGCCAACTTGTGATCCTTTTCGTATGAACTCTTCCAAACTTGGAGGATCTTTCAAAGCAACTGGATTTCTTCGCTTTAACTCTTCCCAGCTTATATATCTTCCTGTCGCTTTGTATTTGTTCCCTCTTCCTCTTTGTCGAACAATCGTTGGAAATTCGATTCGTGGAGGTGGATCGGAAGATATTCTTGCGCCTGCCGAATGAAGTTGAGAACCGGATGCAGACGTATCTTCGAGCTTAAGAGGTGTTTTGCTTTGATCCCAAATGTGTTCTACGAATGCTTTTGATCCCATACTTTCGTTGAATTCAACATATTCCTCCACACCAACGACGAAGAGTGTCGTAAGTGAAGTCATTTTTGACACTTGCAGATAGGAAGCAGTTAAGGGATAAGTCAATGTATGCAGTTGCAGCAGATTAAAGATTCATAATACAGGTAGAATTGATCGAGCGTGCAGTGTTGGGAGCGATTCTGATCTGAGTTGGTTTTACGCCTTCTATGACGTCCTTATCATCCGCTCTTTAGGTCCATCGAATGACGGAAAGTAGTCGTGTCTATTTGGATATTGTGATTGTAGGATGATATATGTGGCAAGATTGAGCAATTTCTTGTTTCCTTTAGGCTTTCATCGCAAGGAGGAGGAGCCCTTTGTGCTACACAAACAGCACTTTATATGGTGGAAGTTGGGCGGATGTCACAAGTAAAACGTTCGGAAATCCTAATATTATTTCCATATCCGTGTGCCTGTGTATCCCTAGGGCGTCGCGCTTGGGCCCCCCGCCTTATTTCACGTGTGTGCGTCATGCAAGAGAGTAAGAAGAATTGGTTAGGATCTTGAGTTGGATCATGATGATCATCTAGACAAAAAAGCAAGATGAATATAAGAGAGGCAACAGTGAGTGAGAATATGTACAATGACAATGATCGCATCGTCTGACAACGTTCCAATGTCTATCACATCGCACAGATCGACGACCAATTGGGTATGCAAAATTGCAACTTGCACAACCTACCTGAAAATTACACAATGAGATATTGTAGGTCCAATCATATAGTCTGGTAGGAAAGCAACAACCACTAACACATCTCATATCCACCTAATCAAACAGACTTCTACCACGCTTTAACTTGGCCACAATTGTCCTATGTTGCTGAAGACGATAAAGGAAGAGTGGTTGGGTATATCCTAGCAAAAATGTACGTTCACCTTGGAGAGAGAGAGAGAGATTTCAAATATATGTATGCTGACATTCACACCCCATCAAACAGGGAGGAAGAACCGGCAGACGGTATTCCGCATGGACATGTGACAAGTATCAGTGTTATGCGATCACATCGTCGTTTAGGATTGGCTAAAAAGTTAATGGAACAATCTCGTAAGTGCGGAAAGGATGTTGTAGTGGAGCAAAGGATGTAGCTGACATTAGCATCTACTTACCATTGTGCAGAGACGGCTATGCGTGATGTTTATGGCGGCAAATTTGTTTCATTGCACGTTCGATGCACCAACAGAACTGCTATCAACCTTTACAGGGATACACTCGGATTCACTGTTCACGAGACAGAGAAGGGATATTGTGAGTACTACAGATATGCTTATCATTGGGCAACCTTAACTGATTGAGATCTGGTCTTTCTGCAGATGCTGACGGAGAAGATGCACTTGGGATGCGTTTGAACCTCTAAAATGTGTATGGTATACATACCACTTTTTGTACTTTTAGTAAAATAGATAAATGACAAACACTATTTAGATGTTAAAGACCCGAAAAAGAATACATTTTGAGTTTGCTATTGTACAAAGATGCATGAAGGATGTAGTCCCTCATCAATTTTGGCTTCGGCCACCCTGTCTTTCCTCAATTTCTTGACGTAGACGCTCATAGTATCTACCATTGAAACTGAAACCTGATCCCATCTTATCTGCCCCGGGATATCCTTTGTGTGGCTTCTCTTCAACACCTCCTTCTTTTGCTTTTCCTAAGAAGACGAGTGGTTTGAGCTGCAAAGAGTAGACTCCATTGTCAGTGCATCTAAATAAACATTATTCTCGACAACATCCTTTACTTACCTTTGTTTCTGCTAGTCCGGGTGGTACAACATAACTTGTGACTCTTGATTCATCAATTTGACTGGTCATCTTTGTCCAAGTGTTGGGTCTTCCGAATTCATCATACATTTGTCTACCAGTGAACCGATCTGCTTGTGCGATACGCTGCCTTCTCATAATATTTCCGGTTCTTGTACCTTTGTAGAAGTCTTTATTTCCTCTTTTTGAGTTTAGGGGTAGGCGAGAAGCCTTGCTGAAAAGACTCAAAGTCGGACGCATATTGAATTGATTGAGGTGTACAGATGATCGCGAAGATGGTAAGATTGTTCATAGTACACTTTTCAGGCCCTGCTCGGCTTGATATGAAGTTAGGCTTCCGTTAAAATTTGCCCTACGCAATAGTACAGTCCACGCTAACAATTGAAGTACAGCTCTTTTACCAGTCCTAATTTCCTCCACCACGTGAAGTTTTCGAATTGCTGAACAAAATTTTGATGAAAGTAAAGACTGCTCTTGTGCCTGCATCACGACGCCATTGTGCGTTTTTGTTTAAAATATCCTGCGCGAGTTTGCATGATAACCTTCGTCAATAAGGACGACCATCTTCACTTCGAGAAGACTTTACGATTAATTTACCCAACAACTTTCACGAAGAGTTACGTTTGGTAATCGCTCTCCGAAGTACATAACTCAAACAAGAGTGAGCTTTTTTTCCTCGAAAGGTATTATTTGCTTGATTGCAAGTACTACGTATTCGCTTTTGGACACCTCCTCAAGTCTCCTAACAACTAGCAACCATGCCAGCTGTTTCCGCTTCCAAGGCTAAGCGACAAGCCGAGAAGGCAGCCAAAGCTGCTGCCAAAGGTGAGAGCACCTCCTCATCAAAAGGCACAGCTACCACTGCTTCATCTGTCAATGGAGCATCAACTACAGGTACTCCTTTGACCAATTTGAGTGCTAATAACTCAGTTGACAACCTCGATATCAAAAAGCTCGATATCGCAACCGAACGTAATGCATCTGGTGTTTTGATCAGTGACAAACAATCTCGTGATATTCACATCGATAACTTCACTATGAGTTTCCATGGTCGTTTGCTCGTTGATGGTGCCTCGATCGTACTCAACTACGGACAAAGATATGGTCTTTTGGGTGAAAATGGATCTGGTAAAACAACTTTCCTCGAAGCTATGGCAAACCGTGATGTTGAGATCCCTGAACACGTGGATATCCATCTTGTTCGTGGTGAGGCTGATCCATCAGAAGTTAATGCAATGGACTACTGTATCGAATCCGCCAAGAAAAAGGTTGCACGTTTGGAAAAAGAGATCGAAGATATGTCAACAGCAGACGATGTTGACGAAATTGGTTTGGAACTCAAATACGAAGAGCTAGAAGATTTGGACCCTTCCACCTTTGAAGCCAAAGCAGGAGCTATCTTGCACGGTTTGGGTTTCAGCAAAGAAATGATGGCCAAACCAACAAAGGACTTGTCTGGTGGTTGGCGTATGCGTGTCAGTTTGGCTCGTGCTTTGTTCGTCAAACCCCATTTGCTCTTGCTTGATGAACCAACCAATCACTTGGATTTGGAAGCCGTTGTGTGGTTGGAAGCATACCTTTCCACATATAACCACATTCTCGTCTTTACCTCTCACTCTGCCGATTTCATGGACAGCGTTTGCACAAACATCATGGATTTGACTATTCACAAGAAGATGGTCTACTATGGTGGTAACTACAGCATTTACGTTCGTACCAAGAGTGAAAACGAAGTCAACCAAATGAAAGCATACCACAAACAACAAGAAGAAATTGCACATATCAAAAAATTCATTGCTTCAGCTGGTACATATGCAAATTTGGTCAAACAAGCAAAGAGTAAGCAAAAGATTATTGACAAGATGGAGGCAGCAGGTTTGGTCGAGCCAGTCGTTCATCCCCGAGCATTACGATTCAACTTTGAGGATATCCGTAAATTGCCACCTCCAATTATTGCCTTCAGCGAAGTTGCATTCAGTTACAGCGGAGAGCAAAAGGATTTCTTGTACCAAGGTCTAGACTTTGGTATTGATATGGACAGTCGTGTTGCTATTGTGGGACAAAACGGTACCGGTAAATCTACATTACTCAACTTGATCACAGGAGCATTGCAGCCCGTCAATGGAAGTGTGCAACGTCATGCAGGTTTGAAATTGGGTAAATACAGTCAACACTCTGCTGATCAGTTACCATACGAAAAGAGTGCAATCGAATACTTGGAAGGCAGATATCACGAAAAGTTCCCCAACAAGGATATTCAATTCTGGAGACAACAATTGGGTCGTTTCGGTCTAAGTGGAGCACATCAAACAAGTGCTATCCGTACATTGTCTGATGGATTGAGAAACAGAGTTGTGTTCTCTCAATTGGCAATGGAAAACCCACACGTTCTTTTGTTGGACGAACCTACTAACCATTTGGATATGAACTCAATTGATGCACTTGCAACTGCAATTCGTGAATTCGAAGGAGGAGTTGTGATTGTTTCTCACGATTTCCGTTTGATCTCACAAGTTGCACAAGAATTATGGGAAGTGAAGGATAAGAAGATTGTTAATTTGTCCAAGGAAGATATTGGTATTGCAGATTACAAGAAGATTTTGATGAAGAACTCAGCAGAAGCTATCGAAAGAGCCAAGTTGACCGCCAAGACTGGCAGGTAAATCAATCACATTTGATGCGTTTAAAAAACTGTCTTTATAGATCAATCATTTATCAGAGTATTCATACCAAATCTAATCAGGTTCTCTCTCTCTCTCTTTCATTTGCACCTCAAAAGCTGTACAATCTTTCATCAGCATAGCATCTCATACTATATAATTTAATGGAATGAGATTTTCGTATGAACGCATAGATGAAGAAAGAGAACCAAAAAGGTTCTCAAAGGTTCACCGGGCAAAAGATGAGTGTGGGAACCTTTAGGAAATACGCGTGTATGTGTGTGTGCGCGCGCAGAACTATTTAGCCTTAGAGATCTATGGAGGCGGGAAGAGGTGAGGGCGGGAAACTTAGACTTCTTAAAAAAACTTAGACTTCTTAGACTCTTAGATAATAAATGATAATGATAAAAATAATATAATTGATAAAAATGATATAATTATGATAAAGAGAAATTATAAAACTAAGAGCCTCTTTGACGCCTAGCTTCCTCTTAAATATTAATCTCTCTATAAAGTTATATTATATTAATTTAAAGAAGATCGATATCATTAGAAATACTTATCGATTAATTAGTACTATTATAACTTATAATACTTCTTTACTTAAATTCTATATCTTTATTATTATTAAATTTTATATCTTATAAGCCTTATATAACTTCTATACTTTCTTCTTTTTCTTCTTATCTTAGTCTTACTTAAATAGTATTATTATATAATATCTAAATTTCCTTAAAAGACTATTTTAATAAAGATAGAGTTAAGGTTAATATTTTTATGATTATTATAATATATTTATATTTACCTTTTTAAGAAAGCGATTCTAATTTAAAAGATTATTTTAATAAATAAAATTAATCTATTCTTAAAGAAAAAGAATAATATTTTAATAAAATTATTAGTGAAGATCGTTTTCTTTAAATTAAACTCTTACTTTAGTTATTATAATCTTTTCTTAAACTTATTATAGTTTAGATTCTTATCTTTATATTAGATCTATATATTAATTATCTATAATATTATAATAATTATTATATCTACTTTTTCTTTTTAAATATTAAAAGTAATAAGATATATTAGTCTAATTTATATTTATAGAAATTAAATAAATAATCTTTAAGTCTTTTTAACTATCTTAATATTTAGGTATTAGATTAAAATATTCTAATAACTTATAATAAGCTATTATCTGATAAAGTATATATATATATTTTATAATAATATAATATTATATTATTAATTAAGTTATAAGCTTATATTCTTAATCGATTATTACTAGAATTTCTATACTATCTATTAAAACTAATTACTCTAAAATAAACTTCTATTTATATAATTAATATAATAAATAAACTTTATTTATATTTACTTTTAAGATATCGTCTAAATTAATAAAGTATTATAATAGTCTTAATAATCGTTTTTATTTTTAATTATCTTTTAAATATTCTTTATTATCTTATAATTAGTCTTACTCTTTATCTAAACTTATTACTATATTTTTAAAACCTTTATTATTATTATTAGGTTCTTTATAATCGGTATAATTCTTCTTATCGTTATCTTAATAAGCTTCTTTCTCTTATCTAACTATATAGTAGTTTAATCGTTCTTTCTATTATTAATATATTTACTCTCTTTAAAAGTTTTCTATTTTAATAAGCTTTATAACTTATATAATTATTTTATAACTTATAAAACTTTTAATTTAATATTTAATAATAAGTTTAAATATAAGAAAATAATTTAAATAGTATAAAAGAGTCTTTTATATAACTTATTTATCTTTTTTAATATATATAATATCTTTATAATCTCTATAATACTTATATTCTAATTATAAAGTATAAATACTATATTTCTTTTTATTTTCTTCTTTTATAATAAGTAAATAACTCTATTAAAAGATATAAAAGCTATACTTTTTACTATATATTTTTTTCTTTTTATATTTATATAATATATCTTTAACTCTACTATATTAGTATCGTTATAACTCTACTATCTAGACTTATAGTATATTATAACTAGAGTTATAGTACTTAGTAGATCTTAGTAGATCTACTAAGATCTAATAGTATTTCTTTAATTATAATATAATAAGTATAAAGGGTATAAAGTATTATAAAAGACTTTATTTAATATTATAGTTTATAATTAAGGTTATAAAGGCTTATTAATCTTATATAAGTAATAATATAATTTATTTAATATTATAGAAAAGTATTATAATCGATTATAATTAAAATAATAGTTAAATAATAATTATAATAGTATTAATAAGTTATTTAAATCTTTTTAAAATAGATATTATATTATTAGAATAGTTAAATATTATTTAAATAGTAGTTTTAATAATTTAAAGACTTTATAAAGTAATTAATAAAAGTTATTTATATTATAAAAGTTTTACTTTATTTATTTTAGAAAGTTTCTATAGATTTAATAATCGAATAATATAGATTCTATTAATTATTTCTTTATATATTAATTAATTAATAATATTAAAATAAAAATTAAAATTATATAGAGTAGTTTTATTAGATAGAGTAAATAATATATAGTATTTATATATAGAACGATTTTATTAATTAAAACTTAATTTTCTAATAGTATTATATTCTTTTATAGTTTAATCTTTTAGAGGTTTTATATTATAATGATAATCGTTATTTTCTTATAAGTTAATTAATATTTTAATCTTTTTTATTATAAATATTAAAAGAATCTATAAAATATCTTTATTATTTATTAGATAAAAGATCTATAATAATAGTTAATTTAATATTAGTCGCTCTTTTAAAAGCTATCGATTAATAATAAATAAAGATAGCTAGATATTCTATTAATAAATTAGTATATATAGTATAGAAAGATAATTATTTAGATTAAAAAAGAGAAATAATAATAATTATAATAGTCTTACTATAGTTAATAATAGAGTTATTTAATAGTTAATAATTTATATATTTATATTATAAATAAATAATAGATTTTATAAAAGATTTATATAAGTAGATTCTTATTTATACTAGTTATAAAGATAGTCTAACTCTTCTTAAAGTTATAAATTATTATTTTTAAGTATTTCTAATTTATTAAATAGTATTATAATATAATTATAAAGATCTTATATATATCTTTATCTATCTTCTAATTCTCTATCTAGGCTACTAATTAAATAATCGTTATAATTAAGGTTATTAATATTTCTAAAACTATATTTAATATAAAAAAACTTATTAATTAAATATTTAAGTAATTATAAGAGACTAATATTATTTATCTACTCTCTCTACTATTATATAAAAATTAACGACTTCTATAATTCTTTAAAATTATTTAAATTAATTATATTATCTTATATACTATCTCTATAAAAGTAATAAGAAATATAATAATAATTATTAATCTTAAAATACTTTTTAATAGCTAGTAAAAGTTATAATAATTTATTAAATTTATATAATATTAGTTTTAAGCTAAGATTTACTTTTAATATATCTATAGTTTTATTCTATAGTAAGAATATCTATTTACTCTCTTCTAATATAGTTTATATAACTAAGAAATAATATTTTTTCTATTTTATTATAGCTAAGATAATATCTACTAATAGTCGATTTAATCTTATCTATAGTTTATAATCTTTCTATATATTTATATTAGTTTAATTAGTCTTATAGTAGATTACTTAATAAATAATTATTATTTAATTATTTAAATAAATAATAATCTCTTATAATTAATTCTAGTAAAGTTTATATATCTTTTTAAACCTTACTTATAGCTAATATAATAATATTATAAAGTATATCTATATCTTAGAATATATATATTTAATTAAAATAATAAAGTTAATTAAACTATTAGACTTTTATAGATATTATAAAGATAGAAAGGTTATATTATCTTATAGTATTTCTTTAAGATTTTAATAAAATATTAGATAAATATACCTTTATATTTATTTACCTCGGTTTTACTTAATTATCTTATATTTACCGGTAGTCGCGATACCTATAAAGTTATTTAAATAAAAAAGATTTTATATTAGATTATATTTTAGAGAATACTAAAAGTATTAAATAAGTATTAAACGATATTATAATATTATTAAGTCTTTAACTTTAAATTTTATCTATAAATAATTAGTTTAGAAGTTATAAATCCTTATATTAATATTCTTTATTATATTAGATTCTTTATCGATAAAATTAAAACCTTTATAATAGTTATACTTTTCTCTACTAGATTAAAAAATAAGATTTTATATCTTATTACCTTCCTTATCTATTAATTCTTTTATCTAATACTTTATCTATTAAATAATTATAGTATATTTATTAATTATACTTATAGATTTACTATACTCTTTTATTAAAATATCTATTTCTTAGAAATAAGTTTTTTTATAAGTTAAATAATAATCGGTAATTATTTATATATTACTATTATCCGATAAATTAAGCTTTTTAGGTTCCTCTATAACCGTAGAAAACGATTAAGATAATCTACTAATCATTTTATTATATAGTGATAGACTTACCGATAGTCGTAAAGGTATTAGATTATAGTTAGATAATTCTAAATATAGTTATTTAAATAATTATACTATTTAAGATAGTATTTCTATTATTTCTTTTTCTTCTAAGCCTTATAAGTAGGTATAACGATAGTCGTTTATTACTTAATTAATTTATTTAGCTTATCGTTAATCTAAATATCTTAGAGTAACTATTTTATATAATTATTTCTATAATAAAAAGTAAATAAATAGTAAAAGAATCTTTATTATTTTTAAAAATTAGAAGAATAATAAAGAGGAAAATATATTAATAACTATTACTCTTATCTAGTTTATATAGCTCTAACCTATTAATCTCTATTAAGAAGTATAGTATCTTTAATATATAATTAAAGAGTTATTACGATTCTTATATATCTAAAAATAACGATAGCGACGGTCGTATAACACTTACTAAGATAATATAGAGAGGATAGGTAGTAGGAAGAAAATAGACTGATCTACTATATTATATACCTTATATACTAAAAGGTTCTTATAAACCAAAATATATTTATAAAATATAGTTATAAAATTATATAGTTGAAGTATATCTATATACGGGAACCTCTAAATATAAGATTTCACGCTACGTATAAACCTCGGGTACGTGTGCTAAAGTGCCTAAAATTTTTCCCGCGCCTTCGGCGCGTTAAACACGCAAAAAGAGAGGGAAAGTGCCCTATGGATTCGCCTAGAGGCGAATCCATCCGGGCTACGCTAAAACTTCACACGAAAACACTGCTTTTTCGCCCAGCCGCGACAGAGGCGAATCCATCCGGGCTACGCTAAAACTTCACACGAAAACACTGCTTTTTCGCCCAGCCGCGTCGCGGCTTGGGCGTGAAACGATTACATTACATGTGGTTCTCTCTCACCAATATGAACGCATAGAGTATGTTTATTTCATGCAGCATGATTGATTGTGCCTTGCATTCTGACTCGAGCTACAGTCATTCTTTCTCCCCACGCGTTAGATTCCCGCGGAGATTGTTGAAAAAGTGACTTGATCATGACGACCTTAATAGTTTAAGAAATGCATATAATGAGCTCTTTCCGGGCACCTTGATGGTGGGTCTGCACTACAATACAGATATACAATGTCTACTCCTTTGGGCATCGATGCCATCGAGGTGGCCAATTGCCATATCCAAGACTTTGACAAGAAGAAAGGTACACCAGAAAGCATTCAAGCTATTCAAACTGCACATCGGTTACGGATCATAGAAGAGTGGCTGCAGGCTAAGCAGAGCAAAGACATACAATCTTATTCAGTCAGCGATCTGGATCTCTCCTTACTTCAGGGAAACATCTTAGACGTAGGTTGTGGACAAGGAGATCAAACGGGCGCAATTGGTGCATTTTTGGCGAAATACTGTCCTTCCTCTCACGTATACGGTCTCGATCCAGGTCCTGCAGATTATGGAGCCCCCTACACATTAGTACAAGCACAGAAACATATCTGCGATAGCAAATTGGGCAACTTTGTCAGCTTTGAGAAGCCTGGTAAAGCGAAGGAAGGATTGTCTAGGTATCCACAAGCTCATTTCACGACCTTGACATTTTCACATTGTTTATGGTACTTTGATGATGAACATGCAATACTCGATACATTCTCTTCTGCATTGCAGCATGGCGTCAAGAATATCTTGATCGCAGAATGGGCTCTTAATTCTTCACAAGAGACTGCTTCGTTTGCTATGCCTCACATTTTAGCTGCACTTTTACAAGCTCATGCTCCTTTATCCAACATCAACATCAAACTGCTCTTGAGCCCAGATCAAATCGTTCAAGCTGCAGAGAAATCAGGCTGGAAAATGGTACGCCAATCTACCTTTTCTCCTGATGCAAAACTTCATGATGGAAGATGGGAAGTGGATATAGCAATAAACGCAGCAGAAGAATGGCTGAACAAGGTTCGTTCAGAGAGCGTTGGACAAGGTACAGACCCAAAAGAGATAGTCTCCATTCAATCACATCTCCATGCACTTCGCCAAAGCTTACCTGCCTATTCAAGTCATATAAGATGTATGGACGTTTGGACATGTCATTTGGTACCAAATCATAGATAAACAGAAATTTATATTAATTAATATTATTTTTTTCTCGAAACAATGACGAATAAGATGGGAAAGCAGATTGCAGAACTAGGACGAGATGCAAGAAAAGAGCGAGTAAGTACAAAAAAAGAAGATTGGGTATGGCAACAAAGCAGTATGATAATTGGTGAAGCGTTAGGGTATAGTTATGAACAATGCGACGTACAGAAACGAAAAAAAAAAAAAAGATGACGAGAAATAGACGGAGCATAGAATAAGAGAAAAAAGAAACGACAAGCCTTGACGAAACAAGAGTTAAGAAACGAAGAACGAACATTATGGTTTGAGAATTATGCGTAATATATTTCGAGATTCTTGATTATACTTGTTCACTTTTGAGAGGGTGATTGACGAGAAGGAGATGACTCCTTTTGATCTCGCTCGGAATCTGCAGGCAAATCTTCAGATCCGAACGGGTTGAACCTTGAATCGAAAGAATCACGATAAGATGAGTTACTTGGACGCTTGGCATAGCTCAACGTAGGTGATTCTTCTCTGGAGCTATGACTAGCGGTGGGAACATTTGCGTTGGACCAAGAGGCAGGTGTCATTGCTAAAGTATGACCTCTTTGTCTAGCAGTGCCGCTCTCAATGGTACCAAAAGGTGAGTTTGTATTGCGACTTGTGCTAGGTTGACCAATTTCTCCCACATCGCGAGCAGTACGGCTTGACCACGTTTGCGTACTGATTTGATCGCCACTGCCCAATTGCATGGATGAGAATGCTTTCAACAGTTCATTTGGGGAAATGATCGGATTAGAGGCTTCACTTTGCAAGGTTGATCGAAGTTGCAGCTCGCCGCTACCTTGATCTTGCCATGGAGATGAATTTGATGGCAAGCTTGATGCGAATGGGTCAAATGTCAGAGATGACGATGAAGATGATTTGACAGGCGTGAACGGCGGGAAAGATGATGACGTAATTCCTGCTAAAGCCTCTGGATCTGTCGGCATTCTTTGTGGCGGTGTCATCTTTTGCGTCATTTGAGCGCTGGAAAGAGCAGCTGCGGTCAATTGTTTGATCAATTCGGTATGAGTTTCTGAATTGGCATTACTACCACCTGCAGCAAGGGTAACAGCCGTGAATTGACTTGTTTCGTTGCTACTCAAACCTGCCAAACCAGCTAAACGACCAATATGAGCTGCTTGTGCAGCTGCTTGAGCGGCAGCCGCTGCAGCTTTGTCGCTTTGACTACGACCCCAACTCAATCGAATTCTTCCTCCTCCGATTGGGAATCCTTGCATACGGTCAATTGCACGTTCTGCATCAGCCTTGTTCAAAAATTGAACGAATCCACATCCTTTTCCAGGTGGAATTTTCACGTACTTGATTTCTCCAAATGGCATAAAGAATGTTTTCAGAGTATCTTCAGAAATCAGAGAAGAAAGGCCACCAACGAAAACCGTCGTATTGTTAGCATCACTACCTCCTGTTCCACTTGTAGGCGATAAGAGCGGATTTGCGCTCGCAGCTGCAGATGGTTGAGCGTAATCTGTTCCAAACATCGTTTGATGTCTAGAAGGAATAGCTGAAGCCGGAGGAGGAGAACTGAAATGATGCGTAGGACTGTATGGTGTCGGTGGCATAAATGCGTCTCTTGCACTGATACCCGTATCAATTTGTTGTTCAAATTGTGAAATATTTTCGTTTGGGTTTCTGATAGCATTGATCAACTTTTCCTGTACATTTGCATTTGACGCCAACGAATTTTGCGTTGGATTGGAAGCCGAACGATTCTTTGGCGTTGCAGGACAAACACGAAGAGGACGACCACCTTGACCGGTGATAGGTTGGATAATAATACCTTGCATTTCAACCAAAGCTCTTGCACAATCAATTTCAGACGTGAAACGAACAAAACCAAATCCTCTTGAAAGGCCTGTCAATGGATCAGTCATTATCGCTGCAGACTTTGTTGACAAGAATGGAGCTGGTCCAACTTTTGGAGGCGTTCCAAATTTGCCTTTTGCCTGTTGTGCGTATGCATGAGCAATTGCAAACGGATGCGAAGCTGGCCATAAAGGAGGATTGATGAATTGATTTACCAAATCTTCTTCACGTAAATCAGGACAAAGATCACCAACAAAAACGCTGAATTCAGCTTCGACAAGCGAAGAAGTAGGTGAAACTGGATTAAAGTATGAGCTTTGAGCAGTGTCTACCGTACCGGAACCATGAACGTTTTGTTGATATTCATATCCCGCCTTGAACACATCTTGATCGTGATAAGCAGAAAAAGGCGTTGGCAATGATTGTTGAGCATCATATGTTCCCAGAGAAGAACGTGCCGCCGAGGGTAAAGCAGGGTATGGATTGGCTTGATCAAAGTTGATACTTGAAATCTTTGTCAAATTGTGTGGCAAAGATGTCCAAGAAGAATGTTGAATCTCTTCGTTCAGCATTAATGGTCTTGGTGGAGAGCCCCTTGTGTCCGTTGGAGAAACAGGAGCGTCATTGGTAAATCGTGTACTTTGAGCATGGCGTGGACTGGTGAGCCAATCACCAAATTGTTCTTGCGCACTTAAACGAAGACTTTCCAATTTCATACGATGTTCATCATCAGCGCTTCTGGGTCGAGGAGAATTGTGTGATGGAGTTATTGGATGGTTTGCCATAGCTCCTTCATTCATCCTGTTGGATGGCGTTGCACCACAATCTGCGACCCAGGATGGGAAATTGGCTCTAATTGGTGTTGAGACGGTTGCCATGTTTGAAAATTCTGGACCTGATACCGGATTTACTTTTTCTTTTGATGTATCAATATCGTGTCCTTGACTTTCGTGTGGTGTAGCAATTTCGCTATAATCTTGATCCAAAGGACCGGATGATCCAGATGTGAAGTAAGTTGATACCTCTCTTGATGGTGTAATCCTCGTTTGCCAATTTCTCATATCTTTTGATAGTTGTTTATTTGATGTATGCGCTTGATACCAGAATGTTACAAGATGAAATGCAATGAGCAATATGGTATGTTGGGCGTACAGAAAGAAGTTTGAGATTTGATAAAGTTGGAAAGAAAAGAAGTTGCGATCACGATATCTTTTGCAAATTGCAGACTGCTGGTTGGCATTCAAATGCTTTTTATGAGGTTCTTGTACCTGCTGGAAGAATTTAAGGATTAGCAATCAATGAAACTCAATTCCACCCCATCGATCGTTATACCACGGTGTCTTCTCCGATTTCCACAGACTGTGTCAATGTGTGATAAGACGGTGAATCCGGCGGAGCATATACGCGCAACGTCCTTTTGAAACTTTTCCAAGTTTGACACTCACCTATTTAGACCAAGAACAGCTGCAAACGGGAATACAACAAGGTCATGAAGTGTGTCGAAATACAAATGATGATGTCGTGAAGGAAGAAGAAAGAAAGAAAGAGGATTGCAAGGTGGTACAAACGAGAAAGAGATGAAACGCAAGTGGAAAAGGAATGGGAACCGGATCGGTCAGAACAGCTTTGAGCACTTCGTCAAACTTTCAATTTCCGCCTTTCGGTCACCGGTGTGATGTAATTGTTGTGGTAAAGCCAAGACTAATCAGATTGAACCAAACTTCGGCTCGTTGTGATTCCGTTTGTGTTGAGGATCGAATGATTCTGTTTGATGTACGATTGAAAGGTATGATTAGCAAAAGCCAGCTGAAAGTATTGTGTATAGAGAGTGCAAGAAACAAATAGGGGCCAGAAGTCAATGACGTACAATTGTCAAAGGTGCTTGTACCGCAAATTCGTTGGAAGTTTTTTCTTCTTCGGATTCCGATAGTTTAACAAATGATTAATTTGTACGTTTGATGTGGGTATGGGATCACTGCTTTGAGTAAAAACGTACACAAAGGCTGTGAATTGTGCAAATGAAGCCGGCCGCAAAAGCAATGACCAAATCAATGGACAATCAAACAACCGTTGAGATGCGAAGGATGAGGATATGAAGCACGTTAAGCGCCAAATGAACTCTTTGCCACAGAGTTCCTTCCAGATTTGAAGAATTGAACGTGTGCCGAAGGAATGTATGCGCCTTGACAAAGAAAGGTGTCTGGGCTTATGTTCCTTTTTTTCCCAACTTTTGCAGGGCGTTGAAAAAGGAAAAAGCAAGCAAGCACTCCTATTAAACTTTCTGGTGAAGAAAATGTGTTTGAAATTCAAGCATTAGCATCCGTCTCCGACTATAATCACAAAAAATGACGGAGCCGTGAGGTGATGAAATGATTAACTGAATTCGCGTGATGGATTGCTTTGTACGTGAAATTGATTTATTCTTTGTCTTTTTTCGCCTCTTTTTCCGTTTTCCCCCCTTCTTCCAATCAATTTCGGTTCCGTAAAAGGATGACACAGAATACCGAAATGCAAAAGGATCTTGCGATCGAGGAACGAAACAGTTGAACTTTTACACGTACGAAAAGTCTAGTACTCCGCCGTCAACTGATTGCTGCTTTTTGTTTGTGTACACGTTTTTGATCTGACAACGAAAAAAAGGTATGATCCTTCATTCATTTACCAAATGACAAGCAAAGCCACTTTTTTATTGATAGCACGGCAACTTAAGATCCGAAGGATACGGAGTCACCCAAATGAATGCCCTTCTTTTCAGAGTGTGGCTGAATTGAACGTCAATTAGGATACAATAGCCACGTGACGAAGCTCGTTGTCCGATTGATGCCAATGAATGCACAGCGAAGCGCTCTAGGTGTGATGGCGGTTGACTGGAGGTGACGAAGATGTTGGATTGGTCTATAGAAGCGACAGAATGCAAAATTCGATTCGGTTCGGTTGCACGGGCAACCTGTTGGTGAAGGTGAAAGAACACAATTACTGACCTTTCCACAGCCTTTAGAGCATTTTAATGCTCAAAGCTGAGTTTCGTTCATCGAGTTCGTGCTAGCGAGGATGAGAGAGAACATGAAAGATTCTAGATCCATCAAGGAATCCAATCGCTTGGAAGCCTTTTTTCTGTTCTTGTTGGCACTCAATCACTTTTCTGAGTACCGAAGATCAAAGCGTTAACTCTCCACCGGAGTTGAATGCAAGATATGGGCTCATGCGGGAAAGATCTGTTCTAATTGGAAATTGCACCATATAGTTGAGTAAAACAGAGAGAGAAGGGCGAAAAGCAGTTGAGATTTGATTTCTTGTAATGCTGTAAGGTAGGGGTCCATGCGGCATTCATACTTTCCTTCCTCACGCTAGGTAGTATTCTTAAACAAGTCACACATCACAATTTACCACTCGGTAGCAGAACAAACGCAGCCGAAGGCGGGAAGAAGCAACCGAGCATATATTAAATTGAACATTGTTTCTCGACAAAATGCTTTCTTTTTCCTCTCGACGAGTGGAAGCCGTTTGACCATGTTTGCCACACATGCTTTTCTTTTTTGAGTTTATGCATATATTAAAAAAAGACCAAACGTTGGGGGATAATTTAGATTAATATCCGTACATCCAATTACAATGGGTGAATGAAAGAGATCTTCTGTATGCATAGTTTAAATCGAATCAAATTTAATCCATGAAGTACATGCTGCGTACATTGTCGGACAACAAGGAACAAGAGATTGCGCTAATAAATGTACAGCAAAGTTGATCGATCAGACAGCACTGGGAACACCTCCTTTGCTGCTACATCACACATATCAATTTAAGCTATATGCACATGCCATGGCGTGCGCTCAGTGTTTTGAATTGGGTACACTCTTCTCCATGGCTGAAAATCGGGAGGGCATTGGAAGTAAAGTAACGCGCAGCGCGTAAAACATACGCCGGTGTGCTCTCAAGGAAGGAAAGGAAAGCATTTGTAGCCTTTCTTAGTCTTCCGTGGAGTAAAACCAATGAAAGTGCATTTGTGTTCTAGGCATTTTGACGGAAGCGAGAAAGAGAGGCTACTTACTGGCTGTTAAACGAAGGCATTTTTGACCAATAACATTTTGACTTTTCCTCGCATTTCCGTCTGCTTGCCGATAGCTTGTTGACCCTTTCCGAAATCGATCAAGTATAAACTGATCATTCGCCGATCTATGGACTACACGCTACTCTTTCTAATTTTAGTATCAGGATAGTATTGCATTTGATGATCTTGAGAATGCCTTTCTGTAGCGAATGTTGATCACTATTCAACAATTATATAAGCTCAGGAACACAAAGCTTGCAAAGCACAACTTCCAATTGAATTGTTACCTTTTGCTTCTTCAGCCTGACCACCTTGCACGACATCGTGGAATATTGATCATACTGAATGGCTTTAAAGCCCAACTTCGTTCTAGCTTTGTTCTCATCAACACATTTTGACACCATTTCTGCTCACACCATAACCATTCTGGTCATGACACATAGGGGAACGGTCAATTGAGCTATTCGATAGATTGAAAAATAAAGAGATGATATCAAACTGAACCTGTTAGAACAAGGAGATGTGCCTCCTAACATGAAGTAAGCTTTGAGTGTATGCACACCCATCATGGTGGACTGGAAAGCGTTCTGAAACTAGCATCTGAAGCCCCACGCACCTCTCGCCTGTTTCTTGCTTGACAGGTTCGCTTCTTAAATGATTTGCTGGCGTGCGAAAAAAGAAAAAGGAATCTACGGTGTTTAATTTTAATACCAAACGGGCCAGTGCGCGCACGGCAGAGATAAACTTCGGTTTGAGGCCACCAAAATTAAAACGCGAAGAAAAGAAAGGCAAGAGGCAGTAAAGGTGTAATTATGCATTAATGCATTGAACTGCTGCAGTCAACACTCCACTCCCTGGCAATCGAGTATGTACATGCTATTATATACTTTGGAAAGCATTAATCTTCTCGTCATATTGTAAACACCATCACATCTCTCCCTCTCTTTCTTCTTGACACCGTCAAAGATCATCATCATGATGCGTGCTTCACTTCCATTGCGTCGTGGTATGCCCACTTCGGTTCTTGGATCCGTGTCGGCCAATTTGGCACGTCCATCTTCCGTTTTGGCAGCTCCTTCTGCTTCTAAATTCACCTCTTTGCAATCAAACAAAGCTCCTTCGAATTTATCAAAAAGATTCTACTCTTCCAAAACTCCCAACGAGATCGCATCTGAAGCACAAGCAGATTTTGATCCTCATGCAATTACTGCTATGGACAAACAATCACCACCTGAACCAGGAGCTGATTTTAACGTAGTAATCGTAGGTGCAGGTAATATCAACTTTGGTTCAGATGAAGGACCATGGAATCACTCTTTCCGTTTGGAACACAAGCTTGGTCCACGTCTCAAAGTTGTCGGTCTCATCGATCCTTCTGCCGATCGTGCCGAAAAGGTTTTGGATGTTAAACGTAAATCTTTCGTATTGAGCGCATACAAAGATACAATCGTTTACCCTACCTTTGCTGATTACGTTCGCAACCGTGATCCTGCAAAACCACCTCATGCATTCTGGGTTGGTTCTCCTCCTGCTTTCCGTGGTCGTGAAGAATCAGGTCGCGATTTGGAAAAAGCATTGGTTGAAGCTTTCCCAAACGCTGGAATCTTTATCGAAAAGCCAGTTTCAACTGGTCCAGTTGATGAAGCATTTGCCATTGCTGAACGTCTCAAGAGCGCTGGAAACATTGTTTCAGTTGGTTACATGTTGCGTTATTTGAAGGTCGTTCAAAAGATGAAACAAATCTTGGAAGAGAACAATCTCAAGGTCATGGCCACAAATGCACGTTATATCATGGCATACGAACATACAGCCAAATTGGATTGGTGGGACAAATCTCAAACTTGCGGTCCAATCGTTGAACAAGCAACCCATTTCTGTGATCTTTCACGTTATTTCGGTGGTGAAGTTGACCTTGATTCCGTTTTGGCTCACTCTTTGGAACACTTTGAGCCTGCCGGTCATTTGAGACGTGTCCCTGTTCCCGAAGAAACCATTGCACCTGAACAACGTATTCCACGTATCACATGTGCAACCTGGAAATACACTTCAGGTGCAGTAGGATCTTTGACCCATGCCGTTGCTTTACACGGTTACAATTACTCTACCGAATTGGACATTATCGCTGACGGTCACAGTTTGCGTTTAGTGGACCCTTACAACGCTCCTGTTCTCTACTTCCGTCGTCCAGGTGACGATCACGAAGAAGTTGTTCGTTATCAAAGCGATGATCCTTTCTTCTCTGAAGTTTCAAATTTGATCGATAATATCGAATTGGGACCTGGATCTGCACCAATCCTTTCTTCTTATGAAGATGCCGTAAAGACATATGCTCTTACATGGCAAATCCGTAACCGAAGTGAAGAGCAAGTTCGCAAGTTAGGCAAAGGACCTGCCAATTTCTAAATTGATTGACTATCACTATCCTTCTCTTTTTTGGCTCCTAGAACAGCATTGACATCATTAAAGTTTTGTAGTAAACCCGTCGTAAAGGATGAGAATCTATATATGCATCAGTAATTGAAAATTGTGTGAGCCTGTCAAAGTAGAGTATATTCGATTGTTTCTCGGATATGAAAGTGCACAAAAAGTTGTGCTTCTGTATTCGCACCTTTGCTTCCATCTGGATGAGATAGTATGATAATATTGCAGTGTGATTCGATGAACATGTATTGTATGAGTGACTTTGTTTAAAGAACAACGAAGCTGCTTGGTGTATAACGTTTTGTGTTGTAAACACTCTTTCCAGCCTGCGAGAGAGAAAAGAGAGTGTGTCTGAGTTAGAAACGATTTGATCAGATCGAATTGATGAGAAAATCGGCATACTTACTTCCCATCCCTTTACATCTTTCATAATCTCCTTTTCTCTTGCTAGCTGTGCTTGTTCTCTTCTGTATGTATCACGATCTGCTTCTGCCATCAAAGCGGGTACCAAATGAATACGCGACCATGCCTTTTCACGTCTCAATTCGCTATATGGGGAAAGGTCAGTGCACACAGTGTTAGTTATGAATGTCTCTTATTACCTCTCGCTTGATCGTGTTTGATCTCATTCCACATAGCCCACTCACCGTTGCTCTAAATTTCCTTGTCCTAATCTCCAAAAACCATATGTGCAAATTGCAATCACACCACCAAAGATTGCCAATCCTCCCGGTCCGCGAGCGGGTAAATTTCTCTTGTATCGGATTGGTTCATATCCACCTGGTGGAGGCAAATCTTGATTGAATTGAACACCACTCATCTTGTTATTACTATATGTGTTCGCGAACCCAAAGCAAGATGAGAGATAGGTTGATGTGAACAAGAAGTTAATGGCGATGAACGGCCGGCCTTTAATTCTAGCACACACTGACTGTGGATGTGCACTTACGCCGTGTGTGTGTGCATACAGTGTATTAATCTTAACGCGTATTACTGGCTGGCTGGGCTGAAGAGAACAAGCCTATCACGTGCACACAAGTCATTTTCCGCTTCGTCTTCCTCATCATCATTGAATGAATGCATCACTCATATCGATGGAAAGGTATTGACAACTATTTCTCAAGTATTTGCAAAAACTTCTCCCTTATCAATGATGCATGCTATAGAATTGCCAATGTACGCTTGATAGCGTTAAATGAGCTATATGTAATGAAACACATGTAAGGAAAAGATGAGAGTATATAATTTTGTGCATGTACGACATCACAGGATGATGAAGATCATGTTGCAAAGAAACTTTTGAATTTGGGAGAATGGAAGATATGAAAGCGCATGCATTGCTCACACCATCCAATCGCCCAAGTCAAAAGAGACGTTGCTGAAGAGATTTTGTACACCGATCCACCAACCATAAAGGTGATTCTGATTGAAGAAAACGATGCATTGTAACAGTTTTTGAAAAGCGAGAATACAAGGATAGAAGCGATTGTCGTACATGAGGCTGAGGTTGACGTTCATCAGATCGCTTAGACCTTGAAACCACGAGACTTTCTGCGACCACGGGCTTGTTCGAACTTGCGGCCCTTGGAACGAACGTATGGCTTGGCGTGGTTGTGAGGACCCATGTTGAAGTGCTTGACAGCTTCACGGGCGTTCTTTGGTCCACGCAACAAGATTGTGTTGCTTCCCTTTGGTGCACGCAAGGCCAATTGATCGAGAGTCAAAGCTTCACCACCTGCGGCCAAAATACGGGCACGAGCGTTCTTGGTGTAACGAAGAGCGGCGACAGACAATTTGGGCAAGTCCAACAAACGGTTGTCATCGGTGATTGTTCCGACAACGACAACAGTCTTTGGTGCTTCAGATCCGGTAGCGACACCGCCACGGTTCTTGGACAAGTAGACCAATCTGGAAACGCTCACTGGGGGACGGTTAATCTTTGACATAAACAGACGACGTAAGACGACCTTGTTGAAACGAGAGTCGGTACGGCGGGCCAAGAAGCGATACAATTTGACCAACAAGAGGAGGTATGGATCCTCACTCTTGGGTGCTTGGCGTTGGCCCTTTTTAACGTGATGCTTCGCAATATCGATACCCTGAAAAGATTGAGATTAAAATGATGGAAAGTCAGTAAAACACCCTTGAACAGAATGCTCGGATCGATCAGAATGTGCAGCAATGTTGAGTTGGGGTGATGTAGCTCTAGACTGGCGCTCGAAAGTCATCCCTATACCATGTCGAATTCGTCCTTTGCAGTTTCAAGAAGTCGGTATTTGTAGTGCATACTTGACTTGTGATTATCTTTTGTTGATACACCACCATCACCCATCATACATGCCACCCTATTCTGTCGATTTCAATCGTACTCACCATCTTGACGTCCGACTTGCGATGATCTTATGGATGTCAAAGTAAGGAAAGTGAAAGTGTCGATTTGCGCGCGGATGAGTGCTAATTGAGCAAACTTCACAATTCAAAGGAATCTCTGGATTGCTGCGAAATTCTTCCTGGCTTGTAAGCGCTCAGGTGCAGCACAATGCCTTTCCTGCGCCTAGCTAACACCTTTGCAGGCCTACAAGCTTTGTTCCAGTCCTGCAGCTTAAAGCAGACACGTGTCGACCGAACCGCAGTGTTGTCACTCAACGCGTACAAGGTTGATAGCATTAGGCTTATTTAAGCTTAGCTTCAGACTAGCTGGTGGAATAAGTGCTGACCAGTTTCTCGAATTGACAGATTATGCTTGCAATGGTCTAGCGGTTAGGCGATAATATACAGCATTTTCGACACGTTTCTCATGCGATACTCTTTGATTAATCCTTTGGATTCGAATCTCTACGTAGGTAATGACTTTCTGCCCAATTTCTATTCCCTTTCGCTTTTCAGTGCACAGGCCAGACGAGATAAAATTCACTCCAAGAATTGTTCAGATCGACGTCGGCTAGTGGCGGCATTATAAGAGTGGGTAAGTGTGGTAACTAATCATGGTTATTGTATATGAAACCTCGAAAGGTTGCAGCAAGCAACTCTTTTTTTGCTTATCATCATAGTGAAAATGGATGCTGTCAATCATCCTCCAAAGAGGATAAGGCTGATAGCATGGGCTGTGCAGGAAGCAAGTGCCAAATCAAATCTACCTATACTCGATCCTGATGGACTGTATGCACTCTCAATCTTGCAGGCCAGAAGAGGTGCTAAGGTCGCTCTCGGAGATGTAGAGGTCGAAGTACAAGCTCCTTCTTCTCTCTTACATTCCAGTATACCATGCTTGGAAGATGCATCTACAGGCGTGATCCTTGCTGATTCGTTGTCTGCAACAGAAGCCTACTCTTGGAAATTGGCAGGCAAGAAAGCTGAACGATCTTTGTTGGCCGACAGACTATTAGAGGAAGACACCAAGAAATTAGCAAGATGTAAAGCGTTAGAGAGGTATGTTTTATCGGAACTACACCCAATCGTTCATCAAATACTATATGCAAAAGACTTGTACGACAGACATACGTCTCGTGTGTATCAATCTGGATTAGGACATCTATCACGCTATTCGATGCCTAATAGAATTCGTCGTCAGTTGCAAGTTGCATTTGCAGAGAAAGGGCGGTACATAGATCCTTCAAATGAGCTGGGTCCAATTCTACGCCAGTACAATACGCAAAGGGACCTCGTACTCGAAGATCGTAGAGAGCGAGAAGAGATAGCACAGAGAGCAGGAATTGGAATGTCAGGTGGATCAGCTATAAAGCGAAAGAGTGGCGCTGGCTTACTACGTGAAGAGAAGGAGAAGGCAAGCATCGCATTTAAACAATCTAAAATGACGACATTTGCCCAGGAGGTCTTTAATACTCTGGCCGAGTCTTTGGGAGAGGAAGAGTACTTCTCCAGTCTGGCAAAACCTTCTGTTTTAGATCTGCGAATCTTCTCGTTGCTTGCTCCGCTACTCTTGCCTGCTCACGAATACCCAGCTCTGGCCGAAGCACCAATCGCTCAAGCTTTACGAAGCTCTTATCCTACTCTACTTCAGCATTCCGAAAGAATTCGTTTATTATTGTGGTCTAAGCAGGAAGCATCGCCGCAAAGCGAGGCGCCCGATTGGCCGATTTTACCTGGTCGTCAGCGAAACGCTACAGCTGCTAATGATGAACCATTATCAATCCGAATCGCAACCCAGCTAGGACGATCAACCAGTCAAGCATACATGTTTGCGAGGCGAATGACTTCCAACCTGATGCCTTTTTCTCGTTCTCGAGCTGTTGCTTCCAATCAAAGACCACGATCTGCTGCTGAGGCAAGGGAAGCTCGGATAATGACTATAGGTCGATATGTCTGGATCGCATCAGCAATTGTTGGAGTGATTGGAACGGCATTTGCGAGTGGCCTGTTGAGAATCGAGATTGTGGACGAGAGCGAAGCAGAACCTGTTGCAGAGAATGAAGAAGGTTGGCAGACTGTGACTGGTGAAGAGGTGGACGAGGAACTAGAGGATGGGGAAATTGATCTAGATGATGAAGATGATGAGGAGGATGACGACGACGACGTTGAAGATGAATTGGAATTAGATGACGAACTCGATCTAGACGAAGAAGACTAATCAAGGCTTTCACTACAATACATGTATTTTATGCAATAATTCACTATTCATACACATTAATCATTACTGTTACAGGGTATCATTGAGAGCACGAACATCACTCTCCATCCGATTCGGCCATTTGCATTGAACCGGCATCATCATCACTCCCTTCTTTGCCGTCAGCCACTTTCGAGCCTGCTTCAGACTTTCTTCGTTTCGTCTCCGGCTGTTCGTCATCGGAAGACCTTGTGTCTGATTCAGAATTTTCCTCTTCCTCCTGAACTACTTCACCACGCTGACCAGCTTCTTCCCTCGCACGTTTGCGTTCTCTTCCTTGCAAGTCCGCACCAGCAGAAGACAGTGTAACCTTTTCCTTCCTTGCTGCAGTTTGTGTGAGATGCAAGCTAGGATCGAACAAAGCTTCAGGTCCTTTTTCCGCAACGATTGTTGCTTTCGATTTTGACTTTGCGTAATCGATCATCAATGGTTTCCCATAAAAGTTGAATCCATCCAACGCACGCAAAGCTGCTGTTGAGCTTGCTAGATCTTCAAAAACAACGAATGCCTGACCACGCATTCCATCTGCCCTTGTTGTGACTATGTCTAGTATCCGACCATACGTTATACAAAGTGCATATAATTGTTTCTTTACTTCATTCTTTTTTATTTTTGAATCGATATTTTTCACATATAATGCCGTATTTGGAGGTGGTGGAGGATTTGATGACGTAGATGCCTTTGTGACCGACATTATGGCGAATAGATGATGCTTGACCGACAAGCAAGATCGGTGGTAAGGAAGGATGAATGAATGTGAGTGAATGCAATATTCTTAGATTTACTTTAAGCGCGTATAAATGTTCCGTGCGTGATAATAACACGTGCCGACTAAACCTGATCATCATTTCATTGTCATGACATATACAAATAAGATCACTTATCCACTATAATTCGAGCCTAGTTAAAGGGAATGAATTGACCAACCCTTTCACATCTATAGTCTGTGTACGTCGATTCCAACAAATTGGCATTCGTTGAGTGTCCAGAACGGCAGCTGTTAATAAGTCAGCAATGATGTTATATTTCAAGCTAAGTCTTGCAGCGTCGGATTGAATACGATTCTCCCTTTCAAATATACCACAGTACAGCTCTGGAGCACATGTATCCAATCCGATCACCAACATGTTGAACGTTAATATTTCATTGTCGGGGCGAAAGACCAGAACGAGACGTAATAATATGGTTGCTAAATTGTGCAATTTCTCGTTCACCAGATAGGGTCGAAATTTTTGATAACGCATCAATTCTTCTGCACGACGAATCACTTCATCATCCATCATTTTGATTTCAGCATCTTCTTGCGAAACTCTTACTTGAATGCCAATCTGAATAATAAAGTAAAATAGAAATTTGTCATAAGATCAATGTGTCGTGTAAACTAAATATCACTTACTTGAGTAGCATTATACAATGCTAAATTTCGACTCATCGTTTTTATAATTGACTAAGGAGAGGATGGTTGTGAAAATGAGACGAGGGTATACCGTTATTTCTTATCTCACCAATGAGAAGAAGTCTAGAATATTACACACCGAGCCAAGTCTCAAATTAGGATTTTCAGCCGTTCCAGTACTTACCATGACGGTGCCGGAACCAAAATCAGAATACTTATGAACGAAACTGCGGATCACGTCATTCGATTGAAAGACAGCAGCTTGCGCCTACGAAGCGAACAGATCGGCAAAGGTCACAATGTCAATGATGCATTATGCTTTTTTCAATAAAAAGAGGAGATGACATGAGATAAGAGAAAAGATTTAAAATGGTAAGAGAAAAGATAAAAAATATAAGAAAAAGCATGAAGATATACGACATCATTTATGGTTTGCCTCCATACAAAACCACTTGATTGTTGTACTTAAAACCGCGAACCAAGTTTGTTACATCGACAGTGCAAGCCATATTGCCAAGTTCGATAGGCATTCCCATTTCAATGGCTTGGTACACCATAGCGAAAATGAATTCGTCTTGATCTTCTTTTGTCATAGAATTCCATGAAACTCTTGGAGGTCTTAAGAAGCGCCATAAAGTAAGTTCGTCTTGGCAAGCAGTAATGCCATCCGCCAAAATATTCCACGTCAAAGTACAGTCTGAACGACAGTCATATACGCCTTTATACACATGATTTAGGCAAATGAGTAATCTGGCAAAATGTTCCATTGCTTCGTCTTCTTTCCATGGTGCGTTTGGACAATCGTTCACAATGACAATAGCGAACCGAATAATAAGCCCATTGTTCAAATGCTTACTGAGATAATTTTGAGCGATGAAGGATCTGCTTTCTGTGTGCGACTAAGAACAAAGAGAAGTTCGAGTTAGCTTCCATTGCGAAAATATATTTATAAAGTTGTTTCTCACCATCGCTATGTTTGGCTTTGATAAAGAAAGAGAAGAAATTGTTTGATGTAGTGGAAGAGAAGTGCAAATGTATTCGACTTGTTCCGTCTTACTTTTTATATTCGACTGGTTCTGTCTTACTTTTTATATCCGACTGTTCGATGCTATTAAGAACAGCTGTTAGTCGTTAATAGGCTTTTGGGTGTCGTGACGCTATGCAGACGTTATCAGTTCGAACTGAGCTTTTGTAAAACAAACATAAGATAAAATAAGATGATATTCTAAAAGGAGGAGTGAGTAACTACATTGCGCCGAGTATGCTCAGCAGTGAGGATTGTTGGGGCTTTGCTGTCAACAAAAGGCGGACAGCGCAGCGCTTAGGTCAACGGAAACTATGAAAGCGTATGAAATAAGTGTATTGACAGATCGACAGAAGAGTAATGAGTGACGGAGCCGAAGATGTGGTTTGAGTATCAACAAACAAGGGTGGTTTGCACTTATGTAAGACGTGGAAGAGGCGCGGGGAGACTAGACTAATAATGCCGGATCTCTACATGCTTTCTCATAAGTCAGCATTTATACTTCCTAAACTTCGTTCATCCATTCGGACACCGACTTATTCTATAGAGAAACTCGCCATATCAAAGGAATGCCCACCTTATTTATCCTCGGATTAAACCGCAACAGAAGTAGCCATATCAAAGGAACGTAATTCTCATTTCACCCAATTGCATGCTATTTGTATCCTGTCGGCCAAATAAGGGCAACCGCCCTCTTTCGTTCCTATCATTCGTGCAATGCCCTCAGCTTCTCCCTAGGGCTCAATATTCGAGTAAGCAGGCGTTGGCCGTCATTGCTAAGAAGCCATCGCCGCTCTTTATCTTAAAATAAACAAATCACTATATTTATAACGTCATTTGGCGTTCATCATGAATTACATGAATTCGAAAAAAAACTCTTTCGATCGGAACAGCATATTGCTCATTTTCATTTCTTCAACTTCATTCTTCATTTGGCTTACTCAATAAAAAACACAGGAGACAATAATATTATTCTACTTACTGAAATAGCAAGTGAAAGTGGAAACATGTTGTAGTGAAAACATTATAGGGGAGGTCAAAAAGTAAAGCTATAGGTCGGTGAGCCTAGCATGCTTAACATCTTTCAATGTTTAACTTTAGGATGGCCGTGAGTGCTGGTCTTGTTTGTATAACCGAAATAAATATGTTGTTTTTCCAATACCTTTAAAGCTGAAGCTTTATCCCAATGAAGATTATTCATCAATGTTTCAGTATGGTTAACCACCGGTGTATTATAATCACCATCTTTATCGCGTTCCCAACAAGCAAGAGCCATGGTACTTGATAAATGATAAATCGGATCAATGTCAAAATCTGGATCGTTAAACGTATAAACAACTACACGGGCCAAAGTGTTTGTTCGTTGAGCAGCCTTTGCAGAATCATTTGTTAATTTCCAACAGCTATCACGCCATAAATAAGCACCTCTTAAAAGTCCATGAAAGAATCGTTTATCGGCCTTTTCAGGATCTTTGTCACTAATTTCAAACGTTTTCTTGATCCAAGCAGTAGAATAAGTTAAATAGCCAACACCTAACATATTATCAGGTGGATTTTGATCTTGATAACCATCAATTGCAGGCCAAACAAAATTATTCTTGGTGGAATTTTTGTTCTTGGCATCAGCGTCATCACGTTTGCCGAACGTAGGCAAGCTGACCAACTCGTTTGTACTGCGTGGACGTGGCTTGGGGGTCAATTCTGCCTTTGTCAAAGCGATACAGAGGAGTACAAGGAAGATCACCGAAAAAGAGCGCATGCTTGAAAGTGAATTAGAGGGAAAGTGGGTGATGGAGATAGTGGACTGATCATTCAGGTCAGACGGCTGTAGTTATATACATAAATGAATGCCAAATTCGCCAAGTGTTTTTTAATAAAACGGAAGTCGTATGATCAAAAATAGGCTCCGATCTTTAATCAAGAAGGATTGCACATCAAGTGCCAAGTATTTGCAATGTAATTTACCATTTTCAGGCTGAATACGGCTCCGCTTTGAGATACGGCACCCTAGCTTCCTTATCAAACCAAGCGGGAGCGTGTTCTCGCCTGCTGGCCAAATTAGGATAATGACAGTATGTTTATTGTATTGAAATAAGATATTACAAAAGCCATTGTTTACCATTCATTCTTTGGCATTTTCTTGTATATCGGTGGTGACGTCTTTTAGACATTGATTGTGATTTTGATCCTGTTGCTGGTGATGAATTTGGTTGAGACATTGATTGCCATGGCGAAGACCAAGGTCCTGATATTGATTGTGTTTTTTGATTTGGTGTAGGCTATGCGTTGGTAGTCTTTGACTTTCGATTTGATTTGGATGATGTCGTGCTTGTGTTCGGCGTAGGGTTGGGGTATAAAGTTGGCTTTTCAGTTGCTAGAGAAAGATGTTGATGAATACCTTCAAAGTTTTGAATGTATGCGTGCTTTATATACTCACCCTGTATGGAATCATCCTTGATCACCTTTCCTGCTTCGACTGTTTTTGTCTTTCTTCCCTTTTTCTCTTTACCATCCTCTTCTACCTCATCCTTTGCACCTTTTCCCCATCTAAACTTTTAATCAGATATTTTTGCATTCCTATTAATCACAGATAAACAATACACAAAAGGTTTCAAAATCATCACGATCGCTTTCAACTAACTCGAAATAGAGGATGCGGATTCTTTAGCATGTTCCGATCCAGCTTGGACAGCTGATGTTCCAGTGGGTTCATCAGCTGGTGCACTCTTGGTTGCGGCAGAACTATTTGACGAATCAGCCAATTGCCAAGCGGGAATAGAAGGACGAGGAGAAGATGTATTGGTGAAAGCAGGGGATGCATCACCGGTGTTGGCAGTGACGGGAGCACCGAATGGGGAATATGGTCTGCCTGCCAATCCACCTGCAGAAACACTTGAAGTCAAACCTGCTTGAGGTGCGGCAGAGTTACGAGAGACCAATAAGCTCTTCAAAGACTTCAACTCGGTTTGCAATTCAGACAAGCTTGCTGTTTGGGCTTCTTTTGTCTTTTCGAACATTCTTGCCAATGAATCCTTCATTGCATCCACTTCACTCTTTACCGTATCCATATCATCCGCACGTCTCTTATCAGCCTCGCGTAGTGCTTTAACGGTATCTTCTACTTCTTGTATACTCTTTTCGATTGCTTCTTTTTGTTCTTCAACTCCTGCTTTTACTGCTTTTGTTTCTGCATCCAAAGCGGCCAATTGGGCTGCAACTTCATCGTATTTTGCCGTCAATGCATCTCGATCCTCTTCCAGGATATGTTGGTTGGGAGGTTGTAGATGGGGAAAGAGATATTTCCGTGCTAATGCAATCACTCCATAGCCTACCGTTCCCGAAACAACAGCCATGATGAACCAATCTCTCCAATCACGATCGCGAGATTGAGGTGGCATTTGTGCTTGACCATATCCGTTTTGATAGTACATAGCAGGGGCACCATACTGCTGCTGCTGTTGAGGGTAAACAGAATGACTTGGACCTGCTTGAGCTGCTTGTCCGGCAGTGATTGCACCACTTGCACCAGTTTGTCTTAATGCCTCATCAATTTCATCCGGACTTAAACCTTTACTTTCCAAAAAAGATACCCTTTGTGAAACTGTTGATTGTTGTACTTTTGCATCTTTCAAGAATGAAACTGCAGATTGAACCATATCAGGTCGAACATGACGAGGAGATAGTTCGGATGACGACATCTTTGGAGGTAGATCGTGGGGAAGAAAAAGTGGACAGACATCTGTATATGCGAGCTACCACTTTTAAGCTGCGCTGCGCACGCGCCGGTTGAGAAGCAGACCTTACCGGCTTAAAGAGCATCTTTCAAATTACCGAACGCGTATCATTACCGGCTATAAAAATATTGTATAAGCATTATTGGGTAGGTCTTAAAAAAGCCCGTAGTAGTGAGTAGCCCAGTATAGTTAGTTGACTCTAAGATGTTCTGCCCGGGAAATATCCGTAGCATGTAATCACATTTAAACTTTCTGTTGACTGAATAAGATAGACTCTCGACTTTAATTATTTCATGGATCACTTCCTTCTATTCGAAGATATACTAATTTTCTATATTCGCGATAGCTATTATGGTATTCTCAAATACCTGCTTCTAAATTTATACTAAAATCGATTCGATATGCTATTATCGATCCATTAATGCGCTGCTATTTAGAATGGAAGCTTCCAGCCCCATAAGCTTAACTTTCCTTTCTTTTTTTTACGCACTTGGAACCCTACCTTTGGAAGAAGCTATGCACCTTGTCAGCCTTTTTTGTATTTTTCCCACCCTTGTTTATTACGCGTTCGTATGCAAAAAAGCTGCTTATGCTACGCCGCATCTTGACCTGCATTTGTGTGCAAGCAGGATTGTGTCATTAAGCAGAAAACAATTTACATCTTGGATCGCTTCTCTCACGCGCGCGCTTGGCATTACGTCTGTGCAAACAAAAACCATAGTGTGTGTGTTCAAACAATCTCGACTTGGGCCTATTTCTTGACTCTTGCTTCGCTTGGATGCCAGGAAAAAACAAAGCTAAAAGCAAACGATAAGAGAAATAAGGTCAGCCCATTCGGGTTTGTATAGTACAAAAGATCTCTTGTTTCTTTTAGCACCCTGCATGAAACAAGTATTATGTTGATTTATTGTGCGATCTGGAAGGATAAGCCACTGCTTTTTCAAATCGAAACCGGTAACCATTTCACTTGGAGGAGAACAGCCGAGATTTGAAGGCGCGAATTGTTAATTAGAATTTCATCTAAGCGTGAATTAAAATTGAATGCGTAAAATTGAGTGAAATGGTGCCATTTCAGCGAATTGCAACCCATTGATGCATGGATAATCCCATCAAATACATTGTAACCCCAGGGTTGGTACATTTCGAATAATCAATCGGGCAATACATTGACAAAGGATATGACAAGAAGGTATTTCTATTTTCATCCCCATCATTCGATCACCAAAAGCCACTTTGATCATCATCAAATAGGCTGAATAAAACAAAAAGAAAAGGCATCCATTCTGCCCGGAAATAAGACATTAGTATAAAATGTGAGTACTGTTGTTCACTAAACATTCGGCCCGAAGATGAAAAAACGTGGTCAAAGAAAAAACCCTTAAAAGGAGTTGCGCCGGCATGACGGTGATGGCACTCGCGCTTGTTTTTTTAATTTCGCATCAGGCACGAGAATGTTCGAAGTGACTTCATTTGCAATTCAATTGTTTCAAAATGACCAGATATACTTACAATCACCCATCTCTTTCTTGTTCTCTTGATCAGATCAAACATAAGGAGTAGAGTAATCATGCTGATGCAATAGAAGTCTCACAGCATATAAACGCAAGAATAGCGAAGCGTCTCATCAAGCAAGGACCAAATCAAGATGGGTAACCCAGATAGTGAAGTCATGCTTGTTCCCAGTCCTTCAAATGGCACAGCATGCGTTGCGGAGATTGTTCAATCACACAAAACGAGTAAATCGGACAATGAAGCTCGGACACACAAAGTCACATTCGATTCGGACAGCATTCAGCCTTCTTCCACCTCGTACGGACGGAAAGATGAAACATCAAGTATAGATAAAAGTGCGCTTGGACTCAGCATCGATAGTCCTGCCGAGGCGGTCACAGATGAACATGGATCCGATTGGCCTCAATTAAGGCCAACATCTGACATTAGCAGAACGCCTTCACAATCCACAACGGGAACTGTGCAATCTCAAAACAGTCTTGAAACGGCCGCAAGTTCATTACAATCAGCCGTTTCAACTGCAGCAACAACAAATAATGCGGCAATTGTGAAAGAAATAAATCAACACGGCTCAGCATCAATTGAAAAAGAACTGCCTCCGATCCCATCCTCACCTCGACAATACGTCACAGCATGCTCAACGCCAGCAGAAATGAGCGAAGAAAAGCGAGAAGCAGAAGCACTGAGGAGATATCATGGACTATTGGAATTAGTTGAAACCGAACGAGGATATACGGAAGATTTGAGCAATCTAGTGACAATCTTCTTTCCTAATTTGGTATATCAACCATTTTTTGACGAAGATGAAAGCAGGCTAGCAGCAGTTTCACGTAATGGAAGTAAATTGTACGAGCTGCATTCTTCACTGTTGCGAAAATGGGATACAATTTTGGAACAAGAGCAACTTCGTCCACAGGATCCTGAAACATCTTTGGAAAAAGCTTTAAGATGTGGTGACGCCATACAGAAAATCATTGATCATCTTCAGGATAGCATCGTACAATTTCAAAACTACATGATCTTCTGTTCACGCCATTCGGAGGCAATGGTAATGATAAGAGAGGCGGAAAGGAGGCATGGAGGAGACGATTTTGCCGCTTATGAACGCTTGTGTGGAAATCTGATCAGAACACAATCTCGCACTTCCTCTACGCCAAACTCAAGAAGGCAATCGATTTCAAGACAGCCTTCAGGATTTTTCGCTCCATTGACTTCGTCTGGTATTCTTTCTAGTCTCACACCGACGGATACTACATCTTCTCTTATGCCCTCTTCGCCCTCTTCCGGTACCACAACACCTTCTAGCCCAGGTCCGGCCTTGTCTCGATCGTTCAACAGTCACAGACTTCTACTTGCAGATTACTTGATCAAGCCAGTTCAGAGGATGTGTCTATATCCTCTGGTGTTGAATTCTCTGCTAAAGAACACTCCACCGCAAGAGATGCACACGAGATCTTCAATTCAGTCGGCTATCGAATCTATGCGAAGGGTAGCAGATGAAGTGGATGAAGCAAGTAGGATACGTGAAAAAGATTTGATGGCTCAATTGATCTTGACAAGAATCGAGCCGAATGTCTTGCTACCTCAATCCTTTGTACAATCTTTGGGAGCCCCTCAGTTATCCGGCACAATGGACATCTTGCATCATCACAGCATTGATGAACCTTTGACAGTACCTTTGCGATTTCAGAGACTCGGGGTGGTGATGTGGTCCAATTTTGTTCTCATAGCTCGCACAAGAAAGAACGGTCAGCTCGATTGTCGGTATTGGTTCCCATTGGATGAGGTGAGCATCGTTCCTAATTTGGATATTGCGGTATATGAAGAATCTTGCAAGAAAGCAAACACTCCACCGATTGAATCTCATCACCTTTTCACTACCATGGAAATTGGCGGTAAATCAGTTGTACCGCATGGCTTCCGACTCTCTCTTGGGGCACATCATTTTGAATTCTCGGCGTCAAATGAACGTGAAAGACGAACATGGCACGATGCCCTTCGCCTTGCAACTGCTGAGAACGAGAAGATCCAAAGGAAACCATCTGAGGTAAAAGCACCAAACAGTCTAAGCTCTATACCGGGTGCCACAAATGGTGCTTCGCTTGTTTCCAATTTCTTGTCTGCCAATGTCAAGGCGACGCAGGCCAATAGCAGTGGCTTGGAAACTCTTGTCAAGTTCCCGTCTACCTCTACAAGAGCTACTGTGGATCGTAATATGGTATTCTCAGATGTATTGATCGCTCCTGCTGGTTTATTGGGCGTACCTGCTTCTGCTATGCAAAATGTTGCAGGTAGTAATAGCAGCAGCAGCGGCAATAGCGCAATTGGACCTTCTACCGTAAGAGAGATAAGTGAAGCACTTATGTCTCATCAATTACGTCAAAATTCTGCGCCTTCGCTCGGATCGGCAGTCGGAGCAGCGATGGGCTTAGCAAAGTTGGCAGCAACACAAATGCCAACAGTGAAAAGACCAAGAAGAATGAACAGTTTAACGCCCATCGATTCATCCGTTTCACGTCCACCTTTGACTTCCACTATCAGCGAAGTGAGCACATTAAGTAGCAGCGAATCAAATCCTACGCCCAAAAGGAATTCCTTAAACACATTACGAGCGAATACGTTACCTAGCATAGATACAGGAAGTACCGCTACCGGTCCTACCACACCAGTGCAACGAATCTCCTCGCCGGTGGAATCTATAAGTTCTCGTGTCAAAGGAACATTAAGACGTGCCAATTCACGATTGGGCAGTATGAGGTCGACAACAGGCAGTCTTCCCGCTTCTCCCATGACTTCCACAATCGATCTTGGAAGAACTGCAAGCGAAGAACAATCGGCAGTAGAACAAGTCGAGGGCGGCGATGGTACGGCTAAACCTGTTCATGCACGTAAGAAATCAATCAATTTACGTGAAGTATGGAAGAGACGATCGAGATCTCAATCTGCTCAAAGTTCTTTTACCATGGGACCTTCGTACGAATCATTCTCTATCGTTAATCGAGTGCCAACATCATTGGATATGTCGACAATATCTCCACCTTTAAAGCGAAATTCTATCTGCGAAGATACTCCGAAAAGGTTTTACGAGAGTCCGCCTTTGTCTCCCAGTGCTATTTACTCAGAAGCCAATGTTGTCTCAAGTGCGGTTGCATACCAAGGATCGGCTGGCCTCAAAATATCTCCTGATCCTTCTTTGCATACAGCCAGTGCACCAGTAAGTCAAGCAAGCAGCAGAAGACAAAGTGTTGCTTCTCTTTTCGGTCAAACACAAGTACGATCTTCTTCACCTTCTTTGAATATGACGCAAATGCGAGAAGATGCAGCAAATACGCTCAAACGTGCAAAATCCTCTGCAAGAAATCGATTTAGCATGTATGGCGTTTCAAATCTTCTTACCAGCGCTTCAAGTTCTTCGGCTGCTCAACCTTTGGCTAGTGCTACTAATGCACGAGGATATTTTGATACAATGACTTCGCCGAATGGCAAGGAAAAGACTAGAGATCATTCTCAAGAACGCTATAGCGATGGTGATCTGTCTCCAGAAACAGTGAAAGGCGATCAGACTCCTGTCAACCTTGGAGCAGACTCTGCGATCAATCAATTACGCGATTCTTTAGGCAGGAACGGATCAACGCATAGATCCAAAAACTCTTCTTCTCCAAATCAAACTTTTCTAACACCGGAAAATGAAACAAATGCATCAAAAGATTCGGTCTCTCGTACCTCATCTTCACCAACAAAATCCCTTGCTGAAAAACGAGTATCTACTTTGCAAGCAGTAGAAGAAATTGCAAGCTCTGCCGAACAGTCAAGAGATGAAATGTACAGCTCATTCTCGGAAAATTCCCCTTAATTCTCGTTTAAAGCTTGCTTCTGCCTTTTCTCTGATATTTCTGCTCCGGAAGTCTTGCCTGTTTCTCTATTTGTATTTCTATACCCAAACCTCTACGAACAATATCTTTCCCCTGCCCTTTTTTTAATTGAAACAAAAACTTCATTATATTTCAATATGTACTATGCAATCAATATTTTGTTCAATTTGACCATGTTTCTTTAATTAAGATCGATAATCACCATTAATAGCAATATACTCTTTACTAAAATCGCAAGTCCAGTACGTTGCTGATGCACTTGCTTTGCCTTTTCCCCAAGTACCACCTTGGAGGTCTACTTCGATCTCAATATCTTCCAGATCCAACAATGCCTTTGCTTTAGCTTCATCAACTTTTTGAGGTGTACCATCTTTCAATACCACCAATTCGTCCACAATATCGGATGAGTTTGAAGGAGCACTGCTTGGTTTCAAAAAGCGTACAGAAATGGACAAAGGATCGATTTGCCAAGACTTTGTAGCAAAGTCGCTCGATTGCGAAGCTTCTGGGGTTCCATCAACAGTTCTAGAATCGACCAATCCTCCACGCATGTTTGTATATCCTGCTGCACATAAAATTCTTCCCCAATTTGCATCACTTCCATGTAAAGCACATTTGGTCAATGCAGAAGTACTAATCGAAGATGCGATCGCATGTGCGTCTGCAAACGTTGGTGCTCCTTTTACATGAATTTGAACAAACTTTTCCGCTCCTTCTCCATCCCTTACGATCAGATGGGCTAATTCAGTACAAAATTCGGTTAAACGTTCGACAAAGATTGCAAACTCTTCTGGGTGACTTTCGCGTGTCAATTCCTGACCTGAAGGCAAAGCGTTCTTTGAGGATGATGCTGGAGCTTGACCTGATGCTAAAGCGATAATTGTGTCATTCGTGCTCATATCACCATCCACGCTAATACAGTTGAACGATTTGGTGACAGCAGCTTCAAGAGCAGATTGTAAAGAAGCAGGCTCGATTGGAGCATCTGTGCAAATTAAGCCCAAAAGAGTGGCATGCAATCCAGCAGAAGCAGAGGCTGCAGGTCCAGTCATATTCGGATGAATCATTCCCGCTCCTTTATCTATTCCGACCATATTGCATTGTCTACCCGCAAGTTCAAATGAGCGTGCACGTAATTTTGGAAACGTATCAGTCGTCATGAATGCTCTTGCTACTTCCCACCAAGACTTTTCGTCATTTTTCAGCGCATCTCCCGAAGCAATCTTTGGCAATGCTTTCTCGATAGCATTCATTGGAAGTGGGACACCGATCACACCGGTAGACAAAAGCAATGTCTTGTTATCCTCTTCATTCTTTGCCGGTCGTAATTCTGAAACCCATTGAGCACATTGTTTGGCGTCATTGTAACCACCCTGTCCGGTTACCGCATTTGCACAACCGCTATTGACTAAGATACTCTTTGCTCGAGCTCCTGCTTTGGTCTTTGATCCTTGAACCAAAAGATCGCTACTCAATACCACCGGTGCAGCTTTGAATACGTTTCTCGTAAACGTACCTGCTGCAGCTACTGGCTCATCAGCTGTGATCAGAGCCAAGTCCGGTTTAGGACTGGCTTTGGTTTGGCTACCTCCTGGAGGAGTGGCTACGGGTGAGATGGCAGCTTTGATTCCAGCATACGTTGCTGCCACTTTGAATCCTTTTGGCAAACTTGATGCGTCTATCGGAGTAGCGAACCTAGCTGCTTTCGTGGATGGTCCAGGAGTGGAAGCAGCTGCCATTGTGGTCGTAGAGAAGAGACGACGGGCAAACATATTCATGCTTAAGAGGAAGAGCTACCGAACTTGTAGGGAGTTGAGCTCTTTTGAGGATGCAAACCAGGAACGGCTCCTTTCCAAGATGTTCTGTTGAAGTAATAGCAGCCGTGAATGGTAGCACCAATTGTCGTAGATGTTGCTAGGAGCAGTGAAAGCGGTGATGGTCTTCGAATAGCACTGATTGCGTTGAAGAACAAATAGATACCTGACCAGGCTACATAACGAGAAAGAGTTTTACAATATTAGCCATTTATGCACCAATGTCATCATACCCTCAACCCAAACATACCTGTAACAGTTCCTGCTCCGTTTAGGATATCACCTTGATCGATAATATAACCACCACCTCCAAAAGCAACTGCAAAGCCTGCTAATTGCCAAAAAGGAGGCAAAGAAGATGGCTTTTTGAGGGAATCAGAGATTGTCTTTCCGGCAACTTTGCCAACGATAGCCTGAGTACGTGGTGTAACGGCAGCGTTTTTAATCCTTTCCAAATCTCTTCCACCTGCGAATCCAAATGGAGCACTTAGGGCAAACAAAGCAGAAAGAGTGTATGCCGGATAAGCAGTCTTTGCGTAAGAGCCTATTTCAGTGATCAAAGGTTGAAAGGAAGATTGTTGAGCAGTCAAATTGCTATCTTTGCTCATGATCGACACGCATATGCATGCCGGGAAGAAGATTCGCAACACTGAGTCACGCTCAGGCATTCTCCGCGTACCTACTCTCTCTAGCGCCAATCTTCATTTAACATTAGGTTGCGGCGACCTTTTCCGATAGGACCTACAATCTGATAATGATCGATTCAATATAGAAATTGACTGAAGGATGTGCTAGAAGTACAAAAAGATCAAAGAGGTGAGTGCGACAAAGGGTCGCTTTTTTGCTACATAATACATGTGATGCTTGCCTGCATCTACACGGCTGCTTTGGCCATGTCTTCTCTCTCTAATAGGGTAAATTGTCCAGCTTGATCGTGCTAAAAGCCATTATCAAGCTTTCTCTTGCATTGCCGGTAAGGTCTATAGGAAATACTCTGGAGCACATCGCTTTGAAGGTATATTTTGGCTTTCCTGAGCAGCGGCATCAAAGGTTTCGTATTTTTGGTTCAATCCATCATCCAATTTAAGTATACTTGCAACATTTCCGCATCTGTAACAATAATTTGGCGCACTCCAAACGGTTACGATTGTGGAATCAAACATGATCTTGTACCCTTCCAAAACCAATTGATGTGCTCTGGCTATTAGGTCAATATCATTTGTATGAGCGAATTGCGTCGCAACATCCCCTCCGAACAAATATCCTGCACCTCTAGGTGACATTCCCCAGCCTTGTATCTCATCTGGATCTGACCACAGCAGATCGCACATTGCTCCATCGTGTGGCACTTCCTGCTTTCTGTCTATCGATCGTATTTCATCTATTGTTGCCACGCTCGGACTTAATCCTCCATGCACGCAAAACACCCTTCCATCCACAACCGCTCCCAAAGCCAGATAGTCAAACACTTCACAGCAATACCTCCAAACGTTTGCACTACCATACTTCCGCGAGCATTCATCATAGAATCCGTATACCTGTGTGATCTGCCGAGATTCGTGATTACCTCTGATCAGTGTGATCCGATCCGGATAGCGTACCTTGTATGCAAGCAATAAAAGAAACGTTTCCACACTGTAGAATCCTCGATCGACAAAGTCTCCCATGAAGAGGTAGTTCGTCTTAGGACATAGTCCTCCATGTTTGAATAGTTCCATCAGATCCCAGAATTGGCCATGAATGTCCCCACAGATTGTAACAGGTGCATCAACATGTTGGACATTGGATTCTTCTACCAGAATCTCTCTCGCCTTTAGGCATAGATTCTTGACTTGAGCTTCAGAGATTGGCTCGCATCTCTCTAGCTGTGCAATCTGCCGGTCTAGATCGGACGACATCCTGTGAATTTGCTATGAAGACCGAGTCGGAGAAGGACCGGATTGAATTGCGATGAATATGATCGTATCGGGAGGCGTTCTTGAAAGGGCGATTAGCCAATCAACCACTTGTGACACTTCTAGGGTTAATACTGATGACGATCAATCGCTTCTCTGCTCAAATTTGGCACAATTTTGTGTCGGGTATATATGGATGATGATGGTGAATGGCGTAGGTAAAGGAGGAATGAAATGAAACCAGACGCGTAATGTACTGTGTACATGTGTGTGTGTGGGCGTGTAATATTGAATGTTAAATCCGTACAAGGCATTCGAACCAAAGTTTTATCAACTCAATAGAAAAAAAAACTTTCAGATAAAATAAACCCGTAGAAGGCCCTCTTTTTGCATAAAGAGTCCTTTTGTGCCTGCATTTACCTCCACTGCCCGTGTACTTGCTCGTGTGGATTGAAGATGTCAGATCTAATCGATCGAACCTACATTAAAGGCTAAATAAAAATTAAGGCTTCCATTGTGTGTATGCATGCGTGTTGTGTTCTTCTTCTTCCTCCTCCCCCTCTTACGCACACTCACATCTGGCAAGCTTGAAACGGCTGGAGGGAAATGACCAAGCGCATTCATCCTTCTTTGGGCTTGCCAGGCGATGTGGTGTCATATACGCCAAATGATGTGATTCAAACGCCAGAAGAAAAAGAAGTTGCCAAGGAGCCTATCAAAGTTCAAGTTCCAACGGCGGAAATCGTTAATATTTTCGCTCATCGTCAATGGCGTGCGGGTATGCTGTTGGCAGATCTAATTTGGAGTCAATGTATACCGTTACAAGATGAAATTGTAGGGGAATTTGGTGCGGGAACTGGTTTGCCAAGTATCGCTTCTGCTAAATTTGGCAAAGCACGTTTTACTCTGAGCACGGATTACGATTCGCCTTCTCTCATATCCATATTGACAAAGAATGTCAAAGACAACGTCAGTACAGATCAATGGCAGTCAAGAATTCGGGTCATTGGTCATACATGGGGCAAATCAATTGGAGACGTTGAAGATGCATTTCCTTACTCTCTAAAGGCCGACAAATTTGACGTTTTGCTTTTAGCCGATTGCATTTGGGATGATTTATCGCATAATTGGTTGATAAAATCAATCGTTCATCTTCTTGCCAAGAACCAAGATTCTCGAGTTTACATGGTTTCCGGCTTACACACCGGCAGGGAAAAGATTATCGCCTTTATTCGTCGGATGCATAAAGCTGGCTTGAAACTTACTCAATTCCCGCAAACATCAAGAATGGAACAATCACTGTGGCCTGCATTGGAGGAAGATGAATCGATAAAGCAGAAGCAAGAGTTGGACAGGTTACGCAATGACGAAGCTATTTGTGATTCGCCCGAGCTGGTTATGGAATGTGAGTTGGCCTGGCATGAAGAGGAAGAGAATTTCCCGACTGCCATTGAAACAGAATCTGGCGCTCAACAGAGGCAATGGCACTCTAGCCAGGCACGGCTGTCAGGACAGAGAAGGTCATTTGTAGAATTGGAACGACCAGAAGAACGCAAAGAGGCAGCAGGTGTTCATCTTCGAAATAGGTGGATCACATTTATGGCTTTTAGCTGGCAATAGACGCATGTAGATAATAGAGTTTTATCAATCACAATATACCCATTTTAACATCATAGAAATCATCATGAATTTTTTCGTGTTTTATGCGTACATTATTTTTCCACAAAATTGCCTTCAAAGACCGTAGCCTCGAGACCGTCCCAAATTGCTTCCACTTCCCATAGCAACAGTTGCTTCACTCCATCCTGCTCCTGCACTGCGTCCCAAACTTCCAGCACGGGCATAGCCAGGTCCAACGCTACCTGCACGTACTGCATCTGGACCAACACTACTTTGTCTATCACGTACAGAGGCATTGGAAGGAGCAACAGATTCACCACGATGACGTGCGGCAGGACTGTTTGCTCTTCCTTCATTCCTCTTCAAAGATCCAACACCTGTGCTTGCGCGAGGATCACCGTTTGATCCTGCACCGACTTGACCACGTCTTAGGTTTTCCACCTTTTCACGTAACTGTGAGGCGTTCGAATCGATCCATTTTAAGCTGCCCAAATGTGCATTCAAAATTGCAACGATATCGGCAACTGGATCTTTGCTGCTTTGATTGAATTTGCCTGCCACACGTAGCGACGTAGGATCAGCTTCGGCGCTATGACGTGAAGCATTTGCAGCTGTGGAAGATGTTAGATTATTCACTTCCACAATCATTGAAGACAGGTTACGCGAAAGTTCGTCCAATTGAGCATTGAGTGACTCTGCCATCGCGTACGCCCTCTCTCTTTCAGCATCAGCAGCACCAGTCTCCAAATTTGATCGTGAAGTGCTTCCACCAAATGCAGTGATGCCGCCTGCAGCAGCACTTTCCAACAAATCTCCAACTTGAGATTCATAGTTGTCCAGTAAACCACTCAATTCTGCTTGTTGTTGTTCTACATAGTCTAACGTCTGTTCTATTGATGCTTGCCTTTCTTCAGCTACTTGCAATGCATGTAATAAGCGTGAAATTTCATTCCCACCTTTACGTAAAACTCCATCCCACACGGCAACCTCATTTGCCTGTCTTGTAAACTCTTTCGTTGCTTCATCTAATTCTTGCGTCCATTTATTCACAATCTCTTCCATACTCCTTCCTCGCAAAAGGCTTGGCGGTGGAAGGGAAATGGAACCTGGAGCTGCTGTTGTGTTTGCTGCAGGCTGCGTTGTACCTGCTGGTGCTGCCGTTGTCCCACTTGGGGCGGCAGGTGCAGCAGGTTTTCCAAATCCTCCAAAAGAAGCTCCAGCTGCTGGAGCGGCTGTGGTGGTACTTGTTGTAGAAGTTGCAGCAGGTGTGGCAGGTTTTGCACCAAACAAGCTGTTTGTTGTTGAAGCAGGTGCAGCAGCAGCTGTTGCTGGGGTGGCAGTCGATGTAGTTGCGTTTCCAAATGAGAAGCCTCCTGCTGCCGGTGTTGGCGGTTTGTTGGTCTCTGTCGTTGCTTTATCTTTATTCTCGCCGAATTTAATACCTCCCAATGAGGGAGCAGCAGGAGCAGAGGTAGATGGTGTACTTGTGCCGCTTGCTGCTGGAGCTCCAAAAGAGAATCCACCAGAAGCAGGTGCCGGAGCAGGTGCTCCAGCTGCTGGCTGTGAAGTGCTGGCAGGAGCTGTGGTGCCTGCAGGTTTAGGAGCTCCAAACGAGAATCCGCCAGTAGAAGGTGCAGCTGGTGTAGTAGTGGCGGCTGTCGATGCAGCTGGCTTACCAAAAGAGAAACCGCCTCCCAAAGGTGCGGCAGCTGGTGGGGCTGATGATGCAGGTGTCGAGGTTGTCACTGGTTGGGCGGGTGTAGCAGCTGGCTTACCGAACGAGAATCCACCTGTACTTGCAGCGGGTTGCGTTGGAGTTGCGGCAGATGTCGATTGTGTGGATGTACCTCCAAAGCTGAATGAAGGAGTACTTGTTGAAGCTGGAGCTGTCGATGTAGCAGCAGCATTATTTGGTTGTCCAAACAATGAACCTCCTGAAGCAGGAGCTGGATTGGCAGGCTTCCCAAAACTGCCAAACAAGTTGGTTGGAGGTGCAGCAGCTGGTGTTGTACTATTGGCTGTGCCACTTTGACTGGCTGCTGGAGCCGCTGGTTGACCAAAGCTGAAAGTACTTGGTGGCTTAGCAGCAGGTGTTGTGCTTGTATTTGAATTCGATCCAAATAGACCGCCTGTGCCTGATGAGGATGAAGGAGTTGCACCAAAGCTGAATCCTGATGAGTTTCCTGCTGCGGGTGGAGCTGTGTTTGTTGAACTTCCTAGTGTTTGACCGGTTGAACCACCTCCAAAGCCGAAAGATGAAGAAGCAGGTTGTGCAGCATTATTTGTAGACGTGTTTGGTGTTGATCCGAATGAGAAAGGAGTCTTGTTGGCTTGGCTGTTGTTGTTGTTATTATTTGCTCCTCCAAATGAGAAGCCACCGCCTCCTGCGAACGACATCTTGTCTACAATACAGCAAAGGAAAGACTCTTAGACGCGAGTGTTTGTTATGATGATGGTATTGATTGAAGAAATGCTTTCTTCCGCTACTAATACAAGCGCGCTAAGTGGTAGCTGAGTGCGTGTGTCAGTCAGTGCAGTAAATAGCTCTTGTAAATTGTGCTGACATAAGCAACTCTCAACCAACACCAACAGTGTAAAGGCAGACAAGCAGCAGTACGTGCCGAGGCATCTCTCTCTGCTTGCAGATCATACACACATATCGACAATCCAATTTCAATCTCCTCATCCTTAATGTAGTTCGTAGTGAAGATCACTCAACCTGCTTTTAGAAAGAAAACACACGTGAGCAGTGTTATAATTCGATCCCCGCTGCATTGTAACAGCCACATGCAAACGTATTCCCCTTTTTATTCGTTCCTGTACATGTAGCCGATCAAGTGCCAGTCAATGAAACAATCAATCACATCAAAGACTGATTGAGCGCTTTATCGTGATGGGAATTGATTCTTGTATCACAACAACACACAAAGACCGAAAGTGAACCGTATAAAGAACAAAAACAGCAATAACACGGGAACTAGGAAGCGAGCAATTCGCTGTGTATTTATACCAATCCGGACACGCGCTTTTTATACAGTTGAAGTGCCTATTTTCTCTCATGTATGCTACCGGGTTAGGCTTTCCCAATCCTACGCACGTCCATTATTTTCCCATCCATCCTTCTCTTTTTGAAAGGTAAATGCAACCAAAAGCATCAAACACCTTTATCACCATTAACATCATTCCATCACCTACACTCCTTAGTCATAGCCAAGGGCTGTCATCAAACGGGAGATCGGGCTAAAGGGTCAATTCTGAAGATCTAAACGCCAGCATTGTAATTTCATTCTCGCAGGGGTTCAAGCCTCTTAATAGGTGGGAAAGAAGCCCCTCGCTGTATACAACAAAGCACGCATACGAGCGAAACACAATACCAGCCTGAACACATCAGTCTGCTGTGCAATACTCACCTTTGACAAAGGCTTAAGGGACAAAGAATACAATTTTGTGCATGATAATCGGTCTTTTCTCACTCTCCAACGGATAATGCAACAAGGGTTTACTACACAAAATTACGAACAATTCACAGAAGCACTTCCAACCAATCCCTCACTATCACAGAATAGTCATTTACCTACACCAATCGTACCTTCACACTTTGATCATTCGTCTCTCAATAACATCATGAACAATCTACCCGCAACGACCACCGCAGGAGGACTGGACCTCGGAATGGGCTCGGGCAGCGGAATGCCTGCCGCACATCAAGCAGCCCAAGCAGCAGCCGTAGTTGCAGCCACACCGCAAAGAAAGAAATTATCAGGACGATATGCTCTTTCTGATTTCGCAGTAGAGAGAACTTTGGGAACAGGTAGTTTTGGCCGTGTTCACTTGGTCAGAAGTAGGCATAATGGACGGTTCTATGCAATCAAAGTTCTTCGAAAAGAGCAAGTTGTACGCATGAAACAGGTCGAACACACAAATAGCGAAAGAGCTGTTCTGGAAGTCGTCAGACATCCATTCTTGGTCAATTTATGGGGCACATTCTCTGACCCAACGTTCTTGTATATGGTCATGGACTTTGTGCCCGGAGGAGAGCTGTTTACACTTTTACGTAAGTCCCAAAGGTTCCCACATCCGGTCGCTAAATTCTACGCAGCAGAAGTAGCATTGGCAATCGATTATCTGCATCAAAATGGCTTCATTTATCGTGATTTGAAGCCGGAAAATATCCTTCTGAGCGCTGATGGACATCTAAAGATTACCGATTTCGGATTTGCCAAGTATGTTCCAGATGTCACTTGGACGCTTTGTGGAACGCCGGATTATCTTGCGCCAGAGATCGTATCTTCTAAAGGATACAACAAAAGTGTCGATTGGTGGGCATTGGGTGTATTGTTATTCGAAATGTTGGCAGGACATCCACCTTTCTTTACCGAAGACGGCAATCCGATCAAATTGTACGAAAAGATTATCGCATGCAAAGTTCGTTATCCGCCATACTTTGAACCAGCAGCAAAAGATTTGTTAAAGTCTTTATTGACGGCCGATCTAACGAAACGATTTGGAAATCTTCACCGTGGATCAAAAGATATCTTTGGACACCTTTGGTTTGCCGAAGTGGATTGGGATAGACTTTACAGACGTGAAATTCCTGCGCCTTATTTGCCAACCGTATCCACAGATGGTGACGCAAGTCAATTTGAACGTTATCCCGAAAACGATTTGGCCGAATATACGATGCACGATGCTCCAGATGTTTATGGACATTTATTCGTCGACTTTTAGGGCTTTTTTTGGGGATTCTATTCTTTGCTTTTCATCTTCTGTCTTTCACTTTTTTTCTTTCGTAATATTCAATTTCTTTCTCTTGTCTTTTGTGCAATATCCCCTTCCTGTATCGAGCGCATATCTGCATATCTTTCACAACATTTAGAGACTGAGTATTCATGTTACTCATGAACAACATTCATCAAATAAGGTACATTTCTGCATTCTAGCTAACGGTTACAGTGGGTATAGAATGGTGTTGTTTTCCATTCTGGTGTGATGAGGAATCTTTTTTCTTACTCTTGCTCTTTGTTGAGCTTTTCCCGTTTCCGTTCATCGCTGGTGTTGAAGATTTTCCAAAGCTACTAGTAGTACTCAATGCTGGCTTACGAATATTACCGTTTGCATTGTTACCTGTTGCTTCACCACCGTTTACTTTGGAAGTCTTCTGCGAAGAGCTCTTGTTCGTACTTTGAGTTGAACGTTCTTTCATTGCCCTTCTTGGCAATTTGCCTGTTGGCGGAACTTTGTATCGTTGTCTCTCTTGGTCTTCGTCAGGCAAGATCAGATAAGCGTCTTTCTCATTCTTGTTTTCTGCGCTTTCTTCACCGCCTTCGATCGTATTGGAATTCGTTCCTTCAACATCATCCCGTTCTTGATCTTGTGTTGCTTGCTGCCATTGACCACGCGAACGCAATTCTTCTCGATAGAACGGTCTCAATAACTCAATTTGCGCTGAGATGGCAGCTTCTGTAAGTGGCACAAACGGCGAAGGAGGATCAAAGTCCAAAGATGATGCTCCGCTACTGCCAGATCCTCCCATCCTGTTCTTCGCTCCCATACCACCAGGACCATTGACACCATCTTGATCTTTTCTGGCAAACACTCTGCTTGGCATTGCTGCCAATTGTCTGCCAACATCGATGCCCAATTCTTCGTCCAATCCCATATCTTTAAATCCGAAAAAGTCTTCGTCCAATCCGGCTGCGTATCCACCACGTATGATATTTTCGTCTTCCTCCCCTGCCATTGTGCCGTTTGTCATAGCCTGTGCATTGCCATTCTCCATTCCAGCTGCTGCAGATCCAAAGTATGCGGCTTCATCGGCCATAGTGAGATCCGTATTGGCCAAAGTGTCCTTATAGCTTGTACGCAATTTACGTAAGAGATCCGTCATCTTGTTTCCATATCGTACAACATCATCGGCTACATACGACTCCAAGCTGCGAACGTCAATCCCTCCGTTCTCAAACAATGCGTGTAAGATAAGTTCCTCTACGCTCATCTCTTGTGCAAATCGATCCGAATACGACCTCATCGTCCGACCGATATTCATGAGGAATTCTCCCGCAACATCAACCATCACATCAGCTGCTGCTTTTTGTGAGCCTGCAATTTATCAGAACGATACTGTGTAAGCATACAAGAAACTTGCAGAACGCATTTTCAGTCTACTCACCATCAAAACCTGCATGAGCCAACAAGAGATTGGTTCGATTTTGCAATAGATCCGAAGCACCCTCTCCACTCAAACTTGGATAAGGATTGCCTGTCATTTCGTGTAAAGGTATCATCAACGCATCCGGCGCTTTCCTTCTCGGCTTCTCTGTACGACGATTAACCGACTCTTGTTTGCTTTGGTATCCGAATTCATCTCGATCATCTTCATCATCGGATGATACTACGCCAAGATCGGCTGGTATAGGCTCACCAGACTGTATTTCATAAAAGATTCGTAAGCAACTGACACAAATCAATCTGTCTTTTAACAATCACTAACCTCAATATGGTTGTTCAACCTTCCGTATTTCATATGCGTTCGCCGTAGTCGGGTGATCACTCTAACATTATTTTCCACTGCTCTCGAAGCACCCGCTAATCGATTGTTGTCCATGTTCTGTTCCTCAACCACTCCATTCTGTCGTCTCTTTTTCGCTGGTCGTCCTCCAATGTGTCGTATCCGCCTATTAGGCAACTGTTCCGAATTGTGCAATGTTGACACACCAGAAGCAAGCAAGCTTGGATGGGCCATACTATTCCACCAAACAGCTCCAATATCGTACGCTTCCTTCTCAACTTCCTCTTCGGTTCCTTCAGGTTCTAAGGGATATGGCATCGGAGATGATTCATCATCTTCAATAACGCTATTGCCGCCGTTTTGTTGGTTGTTTGAAGTGGAACTCTCCTCGGGTAATGTCGTCAGAGCTTTTCGTAGTACACCCTTTTGAGGTCCCTCGAGTGTTTTGAGCATGTCAAGTGACCGTTGTACTAATGCACTTTGCTGGGAGGGAAGATCCAGTGTACGTGAACTTGGCCCTGCTTGCGGATTTAAGTATTGATGGTCAAATTTTCGGTCCAAATCATTCAATGAAGAATTTAACATTTCAAACGTTTTCATCGCTTCTGCATTGCGCAAAAGTGCTGGTCTCTGTTCGAAAGGCGTATCGATGAACGATGTTACGCTTATTTTGGCAATACCCAATCCCTTTTTCGACAATGAAGATTGATCACCTGCGCCTCCGACTCGCATATTCGCTCCTGAGATTGATGTATCCGAAGAGCCTCGTTGGAGACTGGATGCTGCAAGCCATTGATTCAAAGCTTCGTCGGCGTCATTCGAATCATTGACATATGTCAAAAGATGGTTAGCCTTTGCTCGTAAAATTTGAACGCTTCGCCTTAGAGGATGGGTTGGTTCGCTGTTGTAGGTAAGGCAGTTATCCCAAATGAGGTCAAGATCACGCATGAATTGTGGTTTGTTTTTATATCGTCCTTGTCGAACGTTTCGAAGCATTGTGCCTAAATCCATTGGATTTTTGATCACATCATAGTAATCCGGAGCGTCACGTTTTGCAACTTTGGTCAAAAAAGCACTAGCATGTTCGCTACTTTTCAATTCTTCCAAAACTCTTACCATTGCTTCTGTGAATTCGATTTTATCATCATTTTTGCCGCGACTTCCGTGCAGAAGGCGATATATATCGTGGTCGGATAGTTGGACGCTATCGCGTCTTGCGTCGATCGCATGCAAGAGATGCTGTGGAGTGAAGGGAAATGTAGATTAGCACAACTTCATATGGTTAGAGAATATATCGGTACCCTACCTACCTTCATGATGAAGTGATATTATATGTACGTCATCCGTGAGGTTGAAGTGGTGTTCAAATGATGAAGGTTGTGCTAGATTGTTGCGAGTGATATCGATGGTGTAGAAAACACTTTCGTTTGCTGGGACGGAATAAGAGATGTCCCAATACGCTCACAATTGGTAAGATTGAACTACTGTCGAAGATTGGCTACTTTGATGACCTTTACAATTCCGATCGATTGACCGACAGGAAGAATCGGAATCCGCTTAATCGATAAATGCCGAAACACAAAAAGCTCCACAAGAACTGAAGGGCCTTCTTTGAGTATGGTTATCGCCAATTAAGACCTAATCAGATCCCTTTAGACTGCATCCACCGTTTTCAATTGCTTTTGAGCCTATATACTATTCCAATATCTCTTGATGACGTTCATGTAACCGCGATCCACATTGACCACTTCTCATAAAAGGAACAGAGTTATGGTTTTAAGTTGCGTTTTAAGCTTAAGAGAAACCAAGCTTGTGCCTTGTACAGCTGCTACTACTTACACACACACTCACAAACGCGTACTTGCATTATGCGCGTCTCGCCTGGGCGCAAATGAAGCATTGTACTGTGTGATCCGCTCTAATCTTCCGCCGCCGCAAATGGATGGATGGGCGCATTGATCTTTAGGGAGGACAGAAAAGGGCGCACGCATTAATCCGTGGCTTGTCCAGTTAGAGATAGGGCCAGAAGCCATTCACCGCACGTGTAATCCTGCAGACAAGTCAGAAAACGCGTGTGCACTGTCCTCACTGATATTTGGAAGATGCCATCACTTTTGGGAGGAATTGACATTCATAGCATACATCCACTTCAAACCAAAGCTAAAACTTAGGTGGTATAATAAAAGATGGTGAGTAGTTCTAGAATTGATTAAGGCGGTCTAATGCCACCGATGCTAATCTTCCTCCATCCTCTCTCAGTTACCACTTTCATTGCTCAATGCAGCAAAAGGGAAACCAATCTTGGTCGAATTGAAAAATGGAGAGACATTCAATGGACATTTGGACAATTGCGATGCATTCATGAATCTAACATTAACAGAAGTATATCAAACCAGTAGTACCGGAGAACAATTTTGGAAATTACCAGAATGTTACATCCGAGGAAGTTCTGTGAAATATTGTCGAATGGCAGACGCATTGGTGGATACTGTACGTGAAGCAGAAGAAGAAGCAAGAAAACAAAGACAAAGAACGCAAACCGGACATAATCAAGGAGGCGGTCGTGGTAATCGAGGTGGACAGGGTCAATTCAGAGGTGGTCAAAGAGGTGGACATGGTGGAGGAAGAGGTGGAGCACAACAAGGCGGTGGAAGGGGGAGATAAATTGTATGTTCTAACTCATCTTGTACAGCAACTTTTACGGTCTCAATGTACTTTTTTTTGACGAGCAGCATTTGAATCAGCTAAGACATAGCTTCGAAAAAGAGAACGATATCCGTATTTCGTCTTCTACAATCGCTTATCGAGGATATGAGTTCTCTGATCTTATTTCAAAGCATAAATCTCAACTGGATCATGCTTACCTAAGATATTGATCACCATTCGTCTTTTCGCAATCTTTTAGTGATCAAATCTTCTAGCGGAAAAGTGCTGCAATATTGAGGATTGGTATGTGACCTGCATATTTGTGAAAGCGCGTCCGAGGTATGTATGTCAAAAGAAGGCACACATTCTTTGAGTAACCAAGCCACAATAAAGAAGATGATTTAGGGTCTCTTCCTATTTGCTAAGTATGGTCGGAAACATTCATCTTATCTTGTCACTCAAGATCAAAACCTGTTATGAATAGTGACTATGTAACTTGTAAAACGCGTTATGAAGCAAGGCACGCAAAATAAGCTATCAGAAAAGGAGGCTTAGATGACATGCTTGGGAAAATGTGATTGAACTGAAAAGCAAGTTTGATATGATAAAGTCAATCCTTCCTTTTGAATTGATCAGTGATGAAGTCTTGTTCACGCGCTAAGAATGAGAAGCAAATAATACAGAAATTAAACGTCATAGAAGGATCAAAGCTTGATCTTATGCAAAAGCAGTCCGTCCGTTCCCCTTGTTTGTTTTGCAACAGTACCGGTATTATAACCCTTCCTGACAAAATTACAAATTAAAATTCACACGTCTAAAGGAGGGGCAGCAGTCAAAAACACTAAAAAAACAAAGAGTCGGAACCTTTTCTTTCCATTTCATTCAGGCAAAGCGCCACACATTTTCCGTTCAGCTTATCACGCACATACTGCATGCATGAACTGTTTAAAATATTATTGTTATACATTAGTTCGCACATACTTCAAGAGGTGTGTGCGTGTGTGCGGATGTTCTCCCTCTCTCTCTCTAAGTGTGATTTTGTGGGTTTAATAAATGCACCATTCTGTCTACATGACCATACATGTATATGTGTAAATAAAGCGTACATCGATCTTGCAATCCTTTCTTCTTCTTACATCTTTTCACCATCACCACCACGATTGAAGCACGAGAGTAACTCTCACAAAAACGTGTCTTCAAAAATCGTATCACGATATTAACCAAGTATTTCACGACAATCCTACTACATCACGAACTCATCTTATTCAAACTAAAGTACGAATCAACGATATTCACATCACATTCAACCTAAAGACTTCACTTTAAACGATCACGAAATGTCATCCCGCGTCTCATCACGCGCAGACGACGCTTCTTCATCATCTTCCACAGCAGAACGATCATCCTATCGTAAACGCCAATCAACAAATGGCAAAGGCTGGAATTCTGCCAACGGAGCAAATCGGAGCACTTCACAATCTCCACTAAGTGAAAATGGACCGGAGAACAAAAGTGATCCAATCTGGCAAACAGATTCAAATGTGATTTACGAAGAAGATGATATTCGTCACCGTCCTTCCGTTTCTTCTCCAAATGGCAAACCAAACAGAGAACGTTCTTCTTCAATTCCTCATGCACCTCCAACGTTGGAAGAAGATAGCTTTTACGAAGAGGATGATCCGGTCAAATCAGAAAATGTTTTGAGCAATTGGCATTTTGCTCCTTTGATTATTGCCATCTTGCCACCTTTGGGTGCCGTAATTGGAGGTCAAGCAGACGCATGGAGTGACGCAATCTTGCTCTTGTTGGCTTCGTTTTGGCTTTATCAATTTCTCAAAGTGCCACACGACATTTATCATGCTGCACGTACTCGTCGTATCCTTCATGCCGATTCGGAATATCTTGAAGATGACGTACGCGAAGATGGCAGTAAGGTCCCTTACGATGAGACTGTCAGACGGTCACGAGAACGTGCAGCTGCAGCTGCAGAGCTTCGTAGAGCAGAAATGTTTAGCTTAGCTGCTTTAGTGCTCAGTCCAATCGCTGGAGCATATCTTTTGACATGGATGATGGAAGTGTTCACTGATGGAAACCGCTATTTGAACAAGTTCAACATTCGATTGTTCATGTTGGCTTCCGGTATTAAGCCTTGGTCACACGCTTTGAGCTTGTTCCGTCAAAGACTTTTACATCTACAAGAAGTGGTCCACTATCCATCCTCTCGCGTCGAAACACTCAACCGCAAACTTGCTAGGATGGAATCAGATTTATCTACATTACGTAAATTAGTCGCTACCAAATCGGATGTCTCCTTGCTACGTGAAGGAATTGATCTTCCTCTTACCCAATTGAGCAGATCTATGCGAAGATATGAAAAGAAGGAAGAACATCTACGCATGAGCGCAGAGGACAAGTTCAGTTTGGTCGAAAGTCGATTGGAAGATTTATTAAGAGAGGTAGCCATCAATGCAGAATTGATCGAAGAAGAACGCCGCGAACGACAAAGGGCTGCCTCTTTGCCCGCTTCTATCTTCCAAGCTTTGCGTTATGCGTTAGGACAAAGAAGTCAAGAACAATCGTATGCCTACGAAGGACAACGCACCTTGAAAGGCCGATCTTCCTTGGGAATCACTGCAGGTGGACAATTTTCGGATCCTTCATCTCCTGGGAAGATCGCGTCATTGAACTCTTCCCTCTCGTCCACAACTTCTGAACCTGCTTTTTCATCTCCTCCTCGTTACGGACCAGCTCCACCAACGAATGGCACGACTACAATCTCGAATAAAGCCTCAAGTCAACCAGGCTGGACAGAAGAAGGATTAGCATATTGGTTCTTCTTACCGATCAATATCCCGCGTTCTGTGATCAGAGGTGCAATGTCACTTGCTGGCGGTCGGGTGAACAATCCAATGCATGATCCAAATTATGCACAGAATTTTGCAAATGCCATGACAGCAACTGCCAATTCGAATAACGCTCAAAATGGAAATGCTCATGGTAACGGTCATGCTCGCATCACGTCTAGCACCGTTAATGGTAAACAGGCTTCTCGCAACAAATCTTTTGGCGAGCGTCTTGATGCTCGTCCCGTGGGTGCAAATCCCGTTCCCGCAACAAGTCACTTCAGCCGTCGAGTTTGAACAGCATCAATGTAACTTTCTTTTATTTAAATGTTTTTGGATTTCTCTCTCTCTTCAAGATCAAGATGTGTTCATGATTTCAAAAAAAGCAAAACTCAAATTTTTTGCTCGATACCTATTCATCATTTTTCTATACCTGGCAAACTCTATTCTTTTTCATCATCTTCAACGACAATTTTCACGATTGAGCCAATAAGTGCTCTTACCAGTTTCATGATCAGGATTCTATTTATTTGTGGCATACTCTCTTTCTTTCCTAGTCTCTTTGGCTTAACACAAGATATCCTCCTTAGATACCTATTACAATGTGATTCGATTCTATTCATAAATACGGAACTGTGAAATTAAAGATATATCGTATAGTAGTACAATTAGAAAGGCCTTACTTTTCTTCGGTGGTGCCACTCTGTTCATTCTTCAAGATGAGCTGTAGCAATTCTAATATGCGTTTCTGTCTCTCTTCCTGCTCGTCCAATCGTTTGGCAAGATTGTCAACTAAACCTCGAACTGCGGTCTGCTGATGGATCAAATCATCACTTTTACTATTCTCGCCATCTTCTTCAAACCCAATCAGATCATCAGCTTGAATCTTCCTTTCGTTCACTTCTGCATTTGCTTTTACCTGATCTGCATTCGCACAATCAACGTCGATCAATTGAGAATCATCAGTTTGATCTGTGGATTTATCATCTTCATCTTCTTTCGTATCATCTGCAGAAGAAGGCGTAGGCATAGCGCTATTGCGAAGCGCACGACCGAATAAACGAGCAAGTGGTGATTCTCCAATTCGTGAATACGATCGTTGTGATTTGTTTGGTGTGCTTGGTCCTTGTTTAGCATTTGATTGCTTTTGCGCTCGCTTTTTCACAATTTCTGACGTAGAAGCAGGTTGATCTGCGCTGTTTGAAATACTATGAGCATCTTCTTCTCCGGGTCGGATTCGTAACATGCTTGCATTCCATTCATCATGGGGTACGTCTCTGCTACTCTCATGACTTCCATTATGATTCTTCTTCGATTGAGATGTATCCGTAGATTTTGCTGCCTTTGTAGACTCATTTTGCTTTCCTTGCGAATTGGCCGTGTGCATGAAAGCGGCTTGAATCATATCACGGTCAGGATTAGATCTTGAACGAGGCAGCGGCAACCAACTGATCAAGTGGCCTGCCCTTTCAGCATTTGCTGATCCGATTACATAAGATGTTGCAGAAAATTTCTTCAATCCGGATGGCCAATGTGTCGAAAGTCTGATCACGAGTAAGATCGGCCAAGATGTGGCCCGTAGCAAGTAAACGTTGGCCTTGTGTAGATAGCGTGGTGATAAAAAGCAAGAAGCCGGCACCATCACAATCAAAGCAACAAGATTCAAAGGAGGTGCATATGATATCAAAGCTTCAGAACTGATTCCTGATACGGTCTTGCATGCGAATTGATACATTGCTTCTTCTACCGCATTTTGTGCCACGATGCTAAACGTATTTGAGAGCAAAGAGATCAGGATTGTCAATAAGAGCGTATTTGCCATCACTGCAAAGAATACCATCAATGCTGGACCAAAGATTGGAGAAAGTGATTGAGCGGTATCAAAGCCAATGTAGGAATTACCAAACCACACTTTGATCATGATCCATACAATTCTACCTGGCGTCCATTCAGGTCCACTGATTGCCCAAAAAGTATAAAGAAAACCACTGAAGCAAACAGCTGCCAAGAACATGAAAAAGACGAAATCCGACAGCATAGCTTTGAGTGCCAGTAAGATCACATTATCTTGAATTAACACGCTTGCAACTCTTGGACACAATAAGATTGCACCGAGTGAAAGGGTCTCAAAGCTTAAAGAGCTGAGAGCAAGATCACCATGAGATAACGCATTGATACGGATACCGAACCATATGAAGCTGATAAGACAAAACATCAGGTCGAGTAGGTTGTACAACGAACTGAGATACATAGTCAAGCCATGTTCCTGCATCTGCGTAACCTCGTCCAGAGCGAATCCTCCTAGCCAAATGGAAAATATTGTTTCGGCCAAGGTCCAATTCGGTGATGACTTCTTTGTTAGGCACCAAGCATAAAGCAACAACAATATTCCAAAATTGCAGAATTCTATTCGACTTCTGATCAATGGAACTCGAAGCCTGTGATGATCCAAGAAAGGTGCGTTGACAGGATTGTACAGACCCAATGGTCTTTTCTTATAGCTATCATCGACGATAGCATGTGCTGATTGATACGAGACCACCACTCTTCCTTCGTATATGCCCGAGATACATCTTTGACACAGTGGCGTCTTAATAAATTTCTTTGCCCTGCTGATGATGGCTAGTTCCAGTGCGCTACTTGATTGCGCAGGACCAAATAGAGGCTCTCCTGTATCCTTGTCCAGCAATCCTTCTGCTGATAAAATCTCTTCGTCAGCTCCTTGGAACGTGGAGAATGGAAAAGTGAGAGCGGTGATTAATTGTAGCCCATCACGAGCAAATGTTCGTAGTAATTTCATAGCCAGCAATTCACACAAATTTGCTCTTGTGTTGTTTACATTCTGCAATGCCAAGTCTCGTTCTGCATCGCGCTGAAATTGAACTCGATTTACCAAAAAGACAAACAAGATGGAAAGATTTGCATGCCCTGTCTCGCCGTTCCCAAGGTTTTTATCATTGTTGATTTCGCTATACTTCAATGCCAATGGTCGCACAACAGCATAATTGACATCGATTGCCGTCAACTCATTCCAATCTAGATGAGTATCGATCGTTGCCCGAATATCATCTCTGACTTTTTGTAGTAGCGGAAAGATTGACTCTTCAGAGCACTTTCTTGGCAAATCAGCAGCAGCCGGTGAATTGAATGTGCTATGTCTGTAGTGACCATGTCCTTCATCCGCCCTGCCTTTTCCATTGCGTGAACTATTGCGCACAAATCCAGCTTCTGCTGCGAGTAATGGATCATTTTCTGATGCTTGATAATCGATTGAATCCCGTGTGTCCATCCTTGTCATTGAATTTGATCCTGATTGATTTTGTTCGTTTTCTCTTGCTCCACTACTTCCTAGAAGGAATAAAGATTTCCTCAAACTTCTAGATGTGCTATTCCTTGATCCATTCACTGCAGCACGTCTATGACTTGCCATTCTGAGGATCTAAGATAAGGATTTGCGTGTTTTGGTCATTCCTTTTATATGACGGTTGTTTGTCAAGTTGAACAACTCCTTAATCATGTTCAGGCCTCTTGATATTTTTGTTTTTGTTCGCACGGGCAAAATGTCAAAAAAAAGGACGCTAATCCAAAAGAACAACACGCCCGGCCCAAATGTGAGTACGGCAAAACGGCGAGAATAAAAAGGGGTTGGTGCATGCACACACACACACACCAACACACTCTGCACAGCCCAAAAGCAGGTGCGTAAATGAAAAAGAAAAGGTAAACTTCATTTAACAACCATCCTTATTTCACTCAATCATCCTCCTATCATCCATCAAAATCAAATTGCATCATGAGTGCGCCGCAACAAGGCTACGCTAGCCATGGCAGCCCAAACGAAATGAACGACAATGGTGATAGTCATTATCCAAGACCATACGATTATACACCACATCAACCATACATGCCAGAACAAGCACAAACACGCTCAGCACCACCTGTTGGCCCTCCACCAAGTTACTTTCGAGTGTTGAACAAGACTTATCCTCATTCTTTAAGACCGGTTCTACTCTTTGCATGCTTTATCTCTTTGTGCTATCTGGTCTTATTGGGTATTCAAGATTTCAAAACAGCAGGCCAATCAGGTGTATCAGGCAAATACAAATTGTTTACCATCGTACAAGGAGTCTTGTACATGGCAGCTGCAGGTATTGAAGTATTTGGCTTGGTTTCAACATATAGCCAAAAGCTACCACTTGCACGATCATATTCTTTCCTATCTTTGATCGGATTTGGAGCAGTTGTGACATCTCAGGTGATTGGTGTGATTGTCATATTTGCCTACAAGAGCGAAGTTATCTCAACTTGTGCAAGCTATTATACCGGCGCTGAGAATGTAGACAATGCTGGCTGGTTCTGGTCTGATAACAATAATAACACACCAATGTCAGCAAGTGATGCAAACGCATATTGCAACACACTCTGGTCCAGATCACGAACGTGGGAAATAATATGGTTGCTCGTTACTGCTATCCTTGGTGCAATCTTTTGCCTCTTCGCTTTCGCTTATGCAAGACAGCTCTCAGATCCAAATAGCGTTCGTAGTAAACTTCCTGCAAGCTCGCAATTCGCACAGCAACAGCAATATGGAAATTGGCAAGGAGGCGCAGGTATGCCATACGATCCCGAAGCACAACACAGTTATCCTCCTGCACCGATGCAACCCAATACATATGCTCCTCCTGCTGGCGCTCCACCGCCTCCAGAATACAAAGTACGGCCATCGATGGATGATGTTGACTTTGATGCAAAGACGCCAGTAGGTGAAGAGTACGGATATGGTTTTGGTAGAGGACAACAGCAACGATATTCATACGAGAATGACGTACCCCGCGCCAATCGACCAGGAAGCAGTAGAAGCGTTCGCAGAGATGTTGACGAGGAAGATGATGATGAAGATAAACGTCGTGATAGCGGTGAGACTTTGCGAGGTGATCCGAAATCTGAAAAGTCACAAACATTAGCCAAGCACGAAGAGGATCACGATAACACTCCACGTATTTAATTCAGAGACTGTAAAAGAAGTATAGTAGATTGCCTCCCGTTGTACATCATGTAATTATTCCGATCGCTGACTTTTCCAAATGTATCCAATTTCTGATGCTGAAACATATACTTGAGTCAAAGCCGCCGAGGAGGAAAAGGATTAGAAAGGGTTGGCTTTTGCCAATTACTAAGCTGCCGGAAGGGAAAAGCAGACATTTGAAGCATGACTGATCGCGATTGCATTGAAATTAGAAAAAGTACAATGTATATCTGGTGAATTTTCTATACCACGCCTGATTCCCAATGTAAAGCCTCTGTGGAACTTTGTCTTCTCTCCCACCTTCTACGCAATTCATGAGCAGCATAAGCAACCGAAGCTACGAAAAAGAGTAAAGATAAATCCGAAAAACTTAAAGCGGTTGTTTGGAAAATACCTTGTAACGGAGGAAAGTATATCAATAATAATTGAACGAACAAGGATATGCTGATCGTTGCAACCAACATTCGATTGCCTCCTTGATGTGGTAATAAAGGTACTCTCAATCCTCTTGATTGGATCGCAGATGTCAAATCGAGTAAGACGAAACAAGTGAAAGTCATTGTTTGATCGCGTGCATCAGCGAATCCATCGCCCGTGAGCTCTCCAACATAGATCCAAATGGTGCCAAGAACGATCAAAGATGCAGAAAACAAAATTCTCATGATCAACCTCTTGGTGATGATCGGATCCGATCGTTTGCGTGGCGGCTTTTTCATGATTGCAGAATCCACAGGATCAACGCCCAAACTTTGACTTGGAGGACCGTCCATCAAGATATTGATGAATAAGATTTGCATCGGATTCAATGGTAGCTTGAGTCCTAAAGCTGTGCACAAAGTGATCAACGTCAAAGCAGCAACGGCCGTACTTAATTGGAAAGACAAAAAGTTTTGAATGTTGTAAAAGATCCCTTTTCCTTCTTCAACTGCAGGAAGGATTGTTGCAAAATTGTCATCAACCAAAATCATATCTGCCGCTTCTTTGGCTACGTCTGTACCGCCTTTTCCCATCGAAATACCGATATCAGCCATCTTCAATGCTGGCGCATCATTCACTCCATCACCCGTCATTGCAACTATATGTCCGTGACTTTGTAGGGCTTCAACGATTCGCATCTTGTGTCTTGGATTCGTACGTGCAAAGACGTTGATAGAATTGATTCGGTCTTGTAACTGTCTTTGGCTGAGAGTGTCCAACTGTTTGCCTGTCATCACGCTTGTGCCACCAGGCGCATTTGATGAAGAGGAGGAGATGGACAAGATGCCCAATTGACGTGCAATCGCGACTGCAGTTGCTTCTGCGTCACCTGTGATCATCACTACTTGTACACTACCACGTTGCAATGCTGCAATAGCTTCTTTCACACCAGGTCTAGGAGGATCTTGAAGTCCTTGCAATCCACATAAGGTAAGCGTGCGTGTATCCAATGCCATATTTCCACCTTGCGCTGTTGCTAATACACGGAGACCTTGACTGGACATCTGATGGGCGCCATTAACCACTTTCTGTCTTGCGGCATCATCCAAAGTCACACGTCTGCCATCGTTTGCGATATAGAAACTACACTTTTCGAGGATGATTTCAAATGCACCCTTGACATAAGTCATCTCCTCAATCTTTGCATTGGCACTGGTCGAACTGGATGTGTTGGAACCGCTGCTAATACTACCGGTAACACTCATGTACTTCTTTTCAGAATCAAAAGGTTCTTCATGAGTTCTTCGAAAGAACGGTCTCCTATCTTCCAAGCCGAATGTACGCAAAATGTTCACCATGGCGACATCTGTTGCTTGGCCAACATGATTTCCATGATCATCGCGATAGCTGTTGTTACACAGATTACCGACCAAAAGCATTCGTGATAATGCTTGACTGGGAGAATGTGGTACTCGAGATGTTAGATCCACACTGCCTTCATCTACGGTGAAACTTCGAACAATTGTCATTTGATTTGCTGTAAGCGTACCAGTCTTGTCAGAGCATACTACTGAAACGCAACCCAAGGTTTCCACCGATGGAAGTCTTTTCACGATTGCTTTGCGATGAGACATACGTAAAACGCCCAATGCCAACGTGACTGTCACAACGATCGGCAATCCTTCAGGAATGGCAGCAACTGCAAGTGAAACTCCTATTGTAAACATTTCAAGCCATTCCTTGTGCTGTAAAATACCAATGAGGCAAATAAAGCCAATGATCACGAAACTAATCATGCTCAACTTCTTTGCCAGTTCGTCCATGCTTAATTGCAAAGGTGTTCGCCTTTCCTGCACTTCATCCACCATACTAAACACTTTGCCGAATTCTGTTTTTGAGCCTGTACCCACGACGATTCCCCTGCCATAACCACTTCGTACTAAAGTTCCCATGAATGCAATATTTTCACGTTCATTGATACTTGTTGATATCGAACCATCCTGTGTTGCAGCTGCGTGGGGTTTTGCATGCAGATTGGGAGAGAGAGCGGTGGCATTGATCACATCTGCTGTTTTCTTTCTTGGCTTTATCTCACCGGTTAGTGTACTCTCATCGATCTCCAGACTGACAGCTTCGCAAATACGAACATCAGCTGGCACACGATCTCCCGTTGCAAATGTAACCACATCTCCAGGTACGAGTTCATTGGCGAGAATTGTGTTTGTTTGACCATCTCGCAAAAGATGACAATAATGCGGCACAAGCTTATTTAGTGCTTCCAAGCTCTTTTCCGATCTTTGTTCTTGAATGAATCCTACAGTAATAACAACAATGACCGCTAGAGCGATACTGATTGCATCGTCCCATTCACCCATTATGCCACTGACTACTGCACTGCCGAGCAAAAGCATAATCAAAGGCTCTTTGAATTGTTCCAAGAATTTCATATAAGGCGGATCCTGTGGTTTCACAGCAAATTCGTTTGGCCCACCAGCCAGGTGTCTGCGATGAGGCACATCTGACGATCGCAAGCCATGTTCCAAATGTGTTGGTGGTAAGGAATATGCTTGCAATAAGTTCTCGTACGTTTGCTGTGTGGCTATGAATGATGGCGTTTCTCCTTCCGGTGGGTCTTGAACGTTGAGCGTGATTTGTTGTGGCGGATAGCTACTCGAAGGTAAGGTGTTGAAATCGGCATCATGTGGTGTTGCTCTGCGTAAGGTTGTACTGAAAGCATATCGTTCTGTATGGGAAGATGAAGATGCAGGATTGACTAATCCCAAGAATGAAGTAACGGCGTCACTAGCAGATCGAATGGCTCTGTTTTGCTTTGAAGCATATGCATAACTTATTCCATCTAGTGCAGGACCCTCTTTTGCATGCCCAAGGAATCCCGCTGTCCTTGGACCTTCAAATGATCCTTTTCCTCGTTGGTCATAAGGATCATCTCCTAGTGTATTGTGATGATCGTTGTTTACGTATGGATACCCTCCGTTCGTATATGGAGCTGATGATGAACCACGGCCAGCCATCGTTCCTCTACGTGCCCAATCCTAATGGGCAGATATCCTTGCCAAGTGTTCCTTCTGCTTATCGAGGCTACAATGTTAAGGTGATGGAGGGGTAATTCAAAAGGAAAACTCCTGGTACCTGGACATATATATCCTTTCTTGAATAAGTTAAGCCGAAATAGTTTTGGCTGGTTTGGCGTAAGACAAGCTCGGCGTAAAGTCTTACGAGGAGGAGGAGGTAAGGCAACCTTCTCGCTGGCCCGTGCCATTCAAGGTGTTTAGGCGTACAGAGCGTACAACTCTTCTCCTATAATAGCCTAGCGCGAATAGCACGTGTAAAGGGGAATGACAATCTTGAATTCCTTCTTTTCTGAGCGTGACCAAGATCTTCTCATTTTACCTTTGATCATTGAGGTCATCTGCAACAAATGGCATCTCGTGGAAACAAACAAAGTGGTGGAGGATCAGGTGGTGCAGCGGCAAGCGGAAGTGGCAGTCATGCAAAAAAGAACAACAGAGATTCAGGTTCGGGTCAATTACAATCTGGAGGCGATCAACCGGAAGAAGATCCTCTAGTAGCAGTTCTTTTGGCTGATTCGTATGATAACCATTTCGCTCCCTTAACATTGAACTGGCCTAGATGTTTACTACCGCTCGCAAATGTTCCTCTTTTGCATTATTCTGTCGAAAGTGCAACTAGAGCAGGCGTTTCGCATATTTACGTCCTCACAAGATCTCATGCTCATTTGATCAGGCAACATGTGAACGATCATCTTCACAATCTGTTACACAGTCAAGGAATTGCTATCACTGTGATGAGTACGCCTGAAGCAAGAAGCGAGGGAGATGCAATTCGAGAATTGGATGCGAAACAAGTTTTACGATCTGACTTTTTACTTTATCGAAGTGATAGTGTTTGCACGATGGATTTACGACCTGTTGTTGATTTGCACAGAAAACGAAGAGCCATAGATAAAGATGCAATCATGACAATGTGTTGCATGCAAGCAGGCGATCAAACGACTATGCGATCAAAGGCGATGAGACCAGTGCAATACATCGATCCTGCAACAAATCAAATTCTACATTACGAACAATTACCCGGTTTACCGAAGCGAAAAGCCGTAATGCCATTCGAACTCTTGCGATTGGATGACAAAACTGGATTTGATGAAATTGATGTACGATTTGATTTGGTAGACGCAGGAGTGTACATTTGCAGCATTGACGTCCCCCCTCTATTTTCGGAGAATTTCGATTATCAATCTCTGTCTTTGGACTTCATTCCTGGTATCTTAACCTCCGACCTTCTGGACAGCAAGATCTTTTTGCATGTAGGCAAACGTGGTTATGGTGGTCGTGCACAAGATACACAAACGTATGATGCGATCAGTAGAGATGTACTAAGAAGGTGGACGCATCCTTTCACTCCTGCAAGCAGTGCTTGGTTAAGCGAGCGAATGACAGAACGGAGAGGATGGAGATATGTTGGACAAGAAGTTCAAGCGCATAGAAGTAGTAATGTTGGACCTTGTTCAATGATCGCATCGAGATGCACATTGGAGCCAAATGTGACAATTACTGGCTCAGTCCTTTGTGAGGGTGTTGAAATCGGTAATGGATCGACTATTAGCAAAAGTCACATTCATCCATCAGTCACTGTTGGCAAGCAGGTAAAAATGATAAGCTGTATCATTGGAAAAGGAGCAAGAATATTAGACAATGTTACTTTGGGTAGAGGTTGTCTAATTGGAGCCGACTGTGTTGTTGGACCAAATGTAAGCTTGCCTGATGGTAGCCGAGTTGGCAGTAAAGAGCGAGAATCTTGGGACGAGGAGGAAGAGGATGAAGCTTCCAAGAGCAACAGCTCGAGTGATGTCCCAGCTAAACATGATGCCAGAGTAGGCGCAGAATCAAAAGGAGTATTGTGGACCAATCTATGGCAGAAAAAAGATCGTGCTCAAACTGGTGCAGAGGAAGAGAACGAGAGCGAAGATGATGAAGACGGGGATATAGATGAGGATATCGCGAATCTTCGACTACGTGCCATTGGATTCAATGATGAGGCAGAAACAAAGGGAGTACAAAATATAGAAGATGAGCTTGAAGATAACGAAAGTGTGTCCAGCATCGCATTTGATTCTGAATTTGGCTCGGATGATGAAGACCTTGACGGATTCAGTGATGATGGTCGATCAACACATTCATCATCCGCATTCTCGCACGTTTCTGGTACACGAGGAGGGGTAACGAATTTGACCTTGGATGATGAGGTGGATACACAAATGGAAAAAGAAGCCGTCTCAGCACGTTTGGCAGAATTTGAGACCGAAGCAAAGGCAAGTTTGATGCGTGCATTAGAAGAAAATCACAGTATCGATAATGCTTCATTGGAATTAAAGACGTTACGAATGGCCAGCAATGTGAGCTTGCGAGATGTACAAAAAGTGGTTGTCGAAACTTTACTGGACAGATGCAAGCCAGCGGATCCAAAAAGTGTACAAGCATTGGTGGTCAGATGGGGCAAATTAATTGCACAAGTATCGCAAGATGACGAACAGCAAGCAGTTGTTGTGATGCAATCATACTGCGCTTCCCATCCCGCAAAAATAAATCTCTTTGTTCCGCTATTGAAATTGTTTTACAACGAAGACGTTGTCAGTGACGAGGCAATCGTAGCATGGTGGAGATCAAAAGCAAGTCAGACAGGCAATGAAAAGATGTTGGATTTGAGAACACGCGCTCAAGGGGTGATCAGATATATCTTGGAAGATGATGACGATGAAGATGAGGAGGACGAGGATGAATGATGATGCAAAAAATGTATTGATTCACCTATTGGTGATATATATATATATACTGTGTGTACAATTTAGTGAAAGTAGAGGAGAAATACAAAAACATTTTTGAACAGAAATTGCCTTTACTCTTTTGCGAATTCGACTAAACCACGTCCGAATGTGTGACAAAATACACCATTAGGGTCAACAGCCCTTTTGATTCTTAATAATTTTTCGAAATTTTCTTTTCCGAACGCACCTTCGCAACGTTGACGAGTTTCACCTCTTTCCAAGAAAGCAGCGAAAGGCCCTCCTACCGAAACAGGTGCAAGGATATTATTCACCCATGATTCCACGCCTTTGACACATTCTTCATCTTCATCTCGATCGATCCATTGTTGCAATGCGCCTGCAGTGAATTTTGCTTGCCTTTGTTCTTTACCAACACAAGTATCATCTTTTTCGATCGCATCTTCTATTGCTCCACCAACCAATTCAAACAACCAAACAGCACGATTGGCCATCGAACAGAATTGATCAATCGATTTAGAAATCACTTCATCCGTCAATGTTGTCAAAAGATCTCCGCGAACCATCCATCGCCTTCCTTGACCGGATTTGAGCACTTTTGCTACTCCATCTTGTTGGGTCAACATAGATTTCTCACTTATGTCTTTCAACAGGACCCGTTCACCTGTCCAAGAACTGATGGCTTGAACGAAGTTGTGTCCAATCTCTTCCGTTGATCCAGTGCCTAAGTAGCATATTTGAATCACGATAACATGTTCTGCTGATGCATCTGGTGGTCCTGCCGTCAAGATCAAATTGGAGTACAACTCTCGTGGGATTGATCCCCCGGTTCCCTTTAAGCAATCGCGCCAATGACGAAGCAGAGAAGGTGCTGTCGCCTTATTGAAAGGATAGATCAGATTACCTGCATACACCTGTGGTACTGGATATGCTTTTGCAATGATTCTGGTCACAATACCGAAACAAGGTGCTGCACCGCGTACTGCCCACCAAAGATCACGCTCTTCCTGATCTTGACTGTCAAGTGAAGATGCATTGAGTGTTTTCAATCGGCCGTCTGCCAAAACGATATCCAGTTCTACGATGTTGTCCAATGATAATCCATAAGCACGGGACATATAACCAAATCCACCAATGGTCATTGCAGTTGATCCAACCGGATAAGCAGACAAAGGAACGTGATATGGCACACCTCCGTCAAGTGCGAAGCTCAAACCATTCTCGCCCCTCTTTACATTTGTGGGCTGCATTCGAGATTTACCCTTTTCATCTGATGAAGAAGGTGACATTTCTGCTGATTGTTTGTCAAAGAGCGAGTTAGAGAATCCATCTCTACCAGCTTGATCTGTATAGAGATCAAGATCGCGAACGCCGACTCCAGGCTCAAATTCGACAAGTATAAATTTGTCCGTATGTATACCAGGCTTCAAAACGTGTTCTGATTGAGGTGAGACGGAATTTGTACCATTCTGGTTGTTTCCTCCGTTCATATCTGAGAAATCTAATGACATCCCATGCAAGGCGGGAGTTGCACCTGAATGTCCATAGCCTCCAGCATCTGTAGCCACTCCACCTCTGCGATAAGGATCTGTATACTGGGCAGCTTGCAGATCAGGTAAAGTCGCTCCGCCCATGTATACTGGATCGCCAGAATTGAGAGGTCGGGTTGTACCTAAAGATGACCCACCCGATGAAGAATCACCTGCTGTCCAGATAAAACCACCCGTAGTTGGTAAGACCAGACGATCTGCTTGAGATCGAGGGTCAGCATTCGATGTCGAAGAGGTATTAATAGTGTTTTTTCTGTTCGATGTTTGTCCTGGAGGTCGGTGGTGACGCTTCCAACGATCGTATTCGAAATTATCTTCTTGCGTCCTCTTAAGATCAGGCATTGCATTACTATCTTTTCCGTCATCTGTCATTTCAACATCAGCACCGGCTGAGCTTGTCGCAGTAGTCGTAGCTCCATTTTCGCCACTAGTTGTAGCACTATTGCTTGATGGATGACCTGAACTCGTGTCATTGCTTTGAGGAGTTCCAGTACTACGAGCAACAGATTCACTTCGTGAAGAACCGGGTATTGCAGAAGAGCTGTTCGGAGTATCGGATCGTCCAAAGGAAGAAGAAGAAGTTTGTCGAGGTGAGGAAACTAATTCAGCGTCCTTTAAGATTTCACCATCTTCACGATCAGAACCTGATCTGCCACTATTACTTCCTTTACTGTCATTGCTATTCTCTTCATCTGCATCTGCACCACTATCGGCATCGATGACCGCATTTATCTCCCGGGCGGTTTGGTTAATCTGCTCTGCGTTGAAAGTTTCGGGCTTTCTGCGCTTACTTGAGCCATCGCCGTCATAATTGGTTGCATCATTAAAGGCATTACTATTGCTTTTGTCTGCAGCACGACCTCTTCCATCTTGCTTTGCAAAGGATTGATTTGGGATAATATTTGGTCGTCCATCAATTGTTGTTTTGCTACTGCTTGCAACATTGAGACGATATTTTGGGTTTTCACGTTCAGCGAGGGGCAATGTTTTTATCCTGTTCATGCTTCGCATATCCAATACCACATCTCCTTGAATAGACCAACCAGCTGTAGAAAAACCTCCTGAGCGAATAGAAGGTGATAGATTTTTCTCCACGCAGAACTTGATCGTTTTTACTACATCTTCGGCATTCTTTGGTCTGACTACGAGCCAGGCTGCCAATGGAGCGGCAGAGTTGAACAAGGTGGTAGAGCTTGCGAATGATGTTGGCTTTGACGGATCATTCACATTGGCGGTATTGTGATTTTGGAAGGTATCATTGGTTGAGGCAACCTGTTCAGTTTGTGTTTTGGCTTCTTTTTGTTCAGGAAGTTCTTCCACTGTCAGCGCTCTTGCATCCCGAACGTGCACCTGTGTACCTGATACTTCTTTTCGCAGATCATCTGCTAAAGAGGAATAATGATTCATTTTGATTTGATGAGAATGATCGTCCAATCGAAGCGGAAGATCGATATCATATGCAGAGCTCGACCTATTCATCGATGTGGGGCGAACGGATGGTGGCACTTGGAGTTGAGGTTGTGGGTTTATCTGATTTGATCCCATCTTTGCGATAGTGTAGGTCACCTAAACATCGAAAAGGATGGATGAGGTATTTGTCGGTTTGTGATTGTAGGGAGGATGAATTATATATCGTGTATTCACGCGGCCAAGTTGCTGTCTTAAATGACTTTTCTCTCATTCGCCGATGGCACTGCGTGTCTCATTTCATTTGGGTTCCTGCGCGATCGAGATAATTTTGTTCTAGCCCATTGAATCCAACATCGAGCGGTCCATTGCGCCTGAAAAGCCGCTACATGCAAAAATTAAGTTCAATACGCCGTGTATGTACGGGCGTTATGCTTTTAACAAATCTTTGCGTGGAGGTGTGATCGAGATCACGTGAAATGACAATAGAGAAAAAAGATTATCTAAGCAACTGTCAAATAAAGCTGTATTCTGCTGGGGGCGGTTTGTTCCTAAATTTTGCGTCTCCCCCAATCAAGAAGATTTAAAAATCAAACCCTCGTCGCGTCTTCAAGATTGCCAACACTTTTCAAACACTGTCGTAGTGCTTGTAATAATTAAACTACCCCACCTCGCTGCATCATAGGCTAGAAGGAGTAAGAGAGAGACGCGTATGATTGAGTGTTGGGACTTGAGCAGCGCATTTGGTCTGCCAATTTGATTCGTAATTTGAGTTAAAGTGCATGCACAGACGCTAAGCCCTAAAAGCCAAAAACTTAGAATTTATCCTTTCTTCCTTTCATTGCCATCTGAGTTTTAAGAGAACAATCCAGAATCTTTGTTCCTGATCAAAGCCATCAAAAAAAAGGATTTCCAACACATATACCACATTGACCTTACTCCACACAAAATAACAAAATGGCTCCACCACAAAAAGGTTTCTCTTGGTCAAACATCGGTGTTGGTGCCGTGATGAATATGTTCGAAGTCACCACACTTGGACAGCCACTAGAAGTCGTAAAGACACAAATGGCTTCTAATCGTACACAAGGAATGGGAGACGCACTCAGAACAGTTTGGTCAAGAGGAGGCGTGTTTGGATTTTATCAAGGTTTGATTCCTTGGGCATGGATCGAAGCATCAACAAAAGGTGCAGTGTTAATGTTCACAGCTTCAGAAATTGAGAAAAAGACAAAAGCAGCAGGTGTAAGCCCAGGAGCGGCCGGTCTTTTAGGAGGAATGGGAGGTGGTATCGCACAAGCATACGCTACAATGGGATTCTGCACATGTATGAAAACAGCCGAAATCACACGTCATAAACAAGCTGCTGCTGGTGTCACACCTCCAAGTACATGGGCAGTCTTTGCTGATATTTACCGTCGTGAAGGTATCGCAGGTATTAATAAAGGTGTCAATGCCGTCGCTATTAGACAATGCACAAACTGGGGAAGCAGAATCGGTATCGCACGTTTGGCAGAACAACCAATTCGTTCTTTAAGCGGAAAGAGTGAAAAGGACAAATTGAGCCCGATCGAAAGAATCGCATGCAGTTCAATTGGTGGTGCTTTGGGATGCTGGAATCAACCAATCGAAGTTATTCGTGTCGAAATGCAATCTATGGCCAAAGCAGAACCCGGATCAAAAAGACCAGCTAAATTGACAGTTGGAAACACACTATCATACATTTACAAGGAAAGCGGAATCAAGGGTTTGTACCGTGGTGTTCAACCTCGTATCGCTTTGGGTATCTGGCAAACGATTTGCATGGTCTCTTTTGCTGATTACGTCAAAGAGGCAATCGATATGGCTTCCAGAAAGGTTGAAAATGTTGCAACAAACTAAGAAGCATTCGATAGATTCAGTTATTTTTCTTCCTTCGGATCTTGATATATATAGAAGCCTTGTAAGCAATTGCAAGGCACCTGTCTTACCCGCATGATCATCTTTCATGTAGAGAACCTATCATTCATTCTGTCACCATAAAAGATATTGTTCTGATTTGTACAACGTCAGAAAATACAATGATTGATACAGTTAGATTACAATGATGTACATCATCAAGGGTATGATACGTTTAATCATCTGCTGACATGTTCAAAACCTTATTCTTCAAAAATGCAGGTGGATTTTGGATCACTTCTTGGATATTTGAATATTTGGCATAATTGAAATTGTGAAAAGTTCGCTTATCTTTTCTGATCGAGTATTCGGCTTCACGGGATTGTGTTTCTCCGATTGAATGCTCATCATCACTCGGGTCTGAGATTTCATCTGAATCGTGCTGATTACTTGTGCTTGCTATTCGGACATTATTGGAGGTAACATGTGAAAATGTCTCTACTTCCACTTCGCCAGCTTGCCATGCATCATGTTGCACTTCACCCTTCAGAAAAACTGCATACCTTGATTGAAAGGTATGTGGAACGATTGCTGTCAAACATGCTTGTACGTTGAACGGTACTCTTGTATCATCAAACATGAAGAATGTTTGAGGGATACGTTGACTTGCGATGCACAACAAAGGCATCAAAATATGTTCACGGGCATACAGAAGATTCGATTCTAATTGATGACCAGAATTTGCTGGAAGAGATCTGTTCTTGGGTATAGGAGGACCTGAATGCAAGTTTGTCAAACAGACTTGACCCGTTGAGAGAAATTGACAGAATTGTTGAACGGGTAAACGATCCAACAATTCAACGAATCGTAAGCCCCTGCGAATGGCAATTCGAACAAGAATTAAAACGATACATGGATGACCACAAGCAATAATGATCCTACAAAGGTCTTTTGTCCGTTTCATAAAAAGACGTTTGTTCTTACACATTGATGATTTTGGTAAAAGCGCTTCAAAGTCACTTGAGTAATGGTTGGCCGTCCCTTCTTCAGGTTCATACATGAATTTATGACGTAAGAGACGAACTGCAACAAGCAGAAAAGCACGTTCAAATGAATCTTTGAAACGAATCCGACCATAATTGGACCTTTCTGCGACACCTTCACGGTTTATTGTATCATGGTCAAATGTAGAAAATGCGCGTTTCAAGAGTGATGAGAACAGTTGTTGTGAATTTGTTCGTTGAACGTTTGGCTGTACGTTCAAGGTGTAATTGACTGACATGGAAAGGATGGCATTTCTTTCACTAATCAACGTATACCTGCCTCCGCGTAGATTTTCATTAATAGCAAGAACTTTGATCATTGACAAAATCGTTCTAGCTGCTTCAACATTTTTTTGATCTTTTCTACTCAAACTCAAAAATGGATTGACTGGAAAAGACGGTCGAAGTGGTTTCTTAGGTTGAACCTGTTGCGGTTGAGGTGATTGAGCAAATGCGGCCGCGGACAGGATTGCATCCAAGTCCAAATCGAAATCTGGGACTGAGATTAAGTTTTTTTGATATGGTTCTATCTGATCTGGTTGCTCTAGCTGTTCTGGCTGTTCTGGTTTTTCTGGCTCAGCGGCTGCTTCAACTTCTATGATTTTTGGAAAATAAGGAGTCCCTGGAGAACGACTAGTGTTTGGAGACAAAGTAACACTTCGATCGTCCTCAGCCATACCCAATTGCTTAGCAAAGGCGTAATTCTGATCAAAGATCTGATCATTTCCTCCTGGTACCATTAAAGTCTCATCAAGTATGCTTTGAAGGCCTTCTGGAGTGACTACAGCAAGATCAAGTATATCTTGAAGCCCTTCTGGAGGGACCAAATCAAAATCAGAAAGAGGATTCATATTGGAATAAACAAAGGGTACTGGGAATGATGGTGAGAGAGAAGAAGGATATAGAGGAGCATAAGAAATGTATTTTGCTGTGATGAGGATGAATGCACTCAATGCAAGCTTCTAATCAATCAGAATAATGGCGAGTGAATACACTTTACGCGCTTGATTGTATGCACACAATCTCACGCGCAATAAAAAAAAAAGAACAACACTTGGCATAAGAACAGTATTCAATCAAACCTTCTCAATTCCCATCACAATTACCATCATTACAACAATGCACGATTTCGTAGCCCATGTGTTACGCAGGTATTATACCCAAACTGAATGGAATCCATTCAATTCATACCTCTACCTAACAAATTCATCACAATCCGTTTTGGATTTCGCAATACCACATGGACTTTCACTTTCCATTTCCGCTTCACCTTCTCCGCCTTTTTTCACAAATTATCGGTTACGTGCTCTTCCAACTTTGACCGGTGCCCTGGGTTACATTTTTGCTTCGATTGAGGATAATGATGGGAATCCAAGACCTCTGGAGTTGGGCGGAAGTAGTCGGGACATCCGATTTAAGGAATTGGTAGACCATTTCAGTATAATCGATTCACCTAGAAGACCGCTTGGCAAAGATCAAGTATGGCAAGCAGGCAGACGAGTGGACAAACGTGATTATTTGCTGTACGGCTGTGTGCATATTCCCAGTGCTCGTGTAGATGCTCTTGTAGCAACACGTTTATCGCCAACATGGCAATTGCTAGCGACTGCAATCTCTATGCCACCTCGCAATCCACTAGGACTAAGTTCGCAATCTTCTTATGCGAGCACAACGGAAAAGGCAAATACGGATAGTGTGGCCACTGCACCTGCAATTGCAGCGGGTCCGCCACCCGGGTCAACGAATTTACACTTCAACCTTCAACGAGATACAGGTCGTTGGTTTACGGAATATAGCTATTCGGTTGATGATGGCTTATTGGGTTTTCGTGTATTGCACAATCTGGGACACATAGAATTGGCAGAGAACAGCAGTGGTACAGGGGTGAATGGAAGCCTTTCTCCCTCCGACCAAGAACAAAACAGAAGGCAGAGAGTAGACGAAGAAAGCGGATTAGAGAATGCTGTCGGAGGAGGCTTACAAGGCCGTTTCAGTGTCGGGGCAGAATTGTTCTTCAGCCCATTAGAGAAAAGTGCTGGTATATCGACAGGCATGCGATTCACCACGCTTCCGGAAGCAAGCATACCTGCAGCTATTGCCGCTTCTACGCTGATGGGTAATCCTACGTCAGGCCTGATTGCTGCTGGAGCAGATGGAGGACAGTCTTCCCTCACACCCAGTCAGCCTCCAACAACAATCACAGCAACGCTTAATCCTATGATGGGTCATTTGAGTACAGCTTATGCCGCAAAGATGACCCGTGATATCGTTGCTTGCTCTCGATTTGATTTCAACGTGTATTCGTACGAATCCGAGCTGACCGTAGGAGCTGAATATTGGCTTCGATCGAATCCATTACCCAACACTATCAAGGAAGCAACCATATCAACATTAACGTCCATTTCCAAGACAACCGAAAAGGAAGAAGTGGAGAGCGGCACAGATACCTCTGGACCGCGAGCAGTTGATCGAAGTCTCAGTGCCAAAGAACAGAAAGGTTTATCACTACGAGACAGAAGTTCTTCGTCCTCCTCCTCGACTCCAAATACAGGTCGTGTATGGTCATTGCGCGAGAGTGGAAGCGTACACGGTGATGATATAGAAGATAAACCAATGCTTGATGCACAGCTCATCTCACCCAAAGTAGACGAGGGATCTTCAAATATTCCGGACGACACGACTCCGCTTACTCAATCTGCTCTGCCAGACACTACAATGAATGACACCGTTCTTTCATCAGCTTCTTCTGCTTTAGGTGTTTTGAAAGCGCGCATTTCTACATCAGGTATTGCTGCTCTTTTGTGGGAAGGAAAGATGCGAAATTGTTTGGTCAGCGTTGGAATACGTGGAGATGTTTCCTCAAACGAAGCAATGGGTGGTTTAGGATCAGGCAGGCCATTAAGAGCGGTTGGGATAGATGTAATCTATTTCTCACAAGATGGTAGGTAATAAAACAGATATACAAAAAAAGTCATCATGTATTTATAAAAAGAAGAGGGTAATATTGGAACCCTCTGAAAAAGATACCCAAATTGCAAGAATTGCTTGACAAGATGTCGATCAAAGAATGAACAGAGCGCTGACTGCGGCACCGAACAAAGATAAGACTGGCATAAAGATCGTATCACGTTTAGCAAAAGAACCGTTTGGATGATCATCTTCGGGTTTCTTTTCGTCAGGCTTTTTTTCTTCTCCAGGCTTCTTTTCTTCACCTTTCTTTTCTTCCTCAGGCTTCTTCTCTTCGGGCTTCTTTGCTTCTTCAGGTTTCTTCTCTTCGGGCTTCTTTGCTTCTTCAGGTTTCTTCTCTTCGCCCTTCTTTTCTTCTTCAGGCTTTTTTTCAGCAGAAGGTTCGGGCTTCTTTTCTTCACTTTCGGGCTTCTTTTCGGCTTCACCCTTTTCTGCTGGTGCAGCTCCTTCATGTGTCATGGTGGCATTGTGGGAAGCCAAAGAAGCAGAAGGTGTCAATGGACCACCAAGAGCTTTGTGTTGTTCTAAGCTAGAAGCAGGTTCAGGTGTTGAATTGTTGTTGGCTTGTGTACCAGGTGCAAAAGCAGGATGAGAAGTATAAGGAGTGAGTTCATGTTGTTGTTGAGTAGGTGCGGCATTGTAGTGTACGGTAGCAACGTGAGGAGGAGTAGTCGTGCCAGAAGGATGAATTGCAGATGTTGGCAATAGAGTCATTGAATGAGTTGTACCATCAGGATGAACGATGTGCAATACACGATCTTCTGCATTGACCATATGATGTAACACTGTACTTGTTCCTACCGGATCATCGTTTGATTGATGTTGCAAAATATCATATGGACTTGGAAGAGGCGAGCTAATTGCTACGCTGATGAAAGATAATAAAGCCAAGAAAGATAATGTCTTCATTTTTCCTTTTTTTCTCTTTCAAAGATGGCACTGATTAGACGACCGGCGTCAATATTGATGAGAATGAAGTTGAAGCAAGAAAAGAGCAAAGGTGGATCCAGTCCAAGATTGTTAAGGAAAAAGAAAGTTAGGAGAGAAATCGAAAGGGTCTTTTATAGATCTATCACTCATTCCAATTCATTCGAGTTTTTGTCAAGACTGCAAGGCGTACGGCGTCATTGATGCGTATTAAGTGGCATGCAAAGAGGCGCATACTGCCTTCCTGTGTCGATGGGGGCGTGACCAAGAATCAATGCTTGGACATAAGTTGAAAGCATCGCCATACAAAAATCGTCAGAGCTATGAATGCAGTGTAAGATCATGATCGTTACGCCCTATAAGGATTTTCTCTGCATCACGGCGTACGAGGATGTGCATCATTTTGAGATCTAAAACTGCGTTTTGCGAATGCGGTAAAAGATGTGGCGGTTGTGCAAACACTGATCTTGACAAAAATGGATCGATTAAGCTTGAAGGTAGAAGTATACAGATGGAACGTGATGATATCGGAATACAAGAATGCGTATGCTTTGATTGTGTTTTGTGATACTTCTATCGACCATACTTTTGCATTTCCCATCTGCCAGAAAAGAAGGGGAAAGACGTCAGCACAAAACCGAGTGATACTAGATTATACCTTCCATACGTACTCTCTATTATCCAATGGACATACTTGACGAGTCTTGAGCCAACGTGAGATGCAGTGGAAATGGAAAGCGTGCTGAATAAAACAGTGTGTCAGTCTTACGAAGGGGCACGAAGAAGTCATCTTCTTACTCACATTGCATTGGCCCCATGCTACTGTGCATTCCTCTGTTGTTGCACTGCCCTGTTGTGCTTGGCATTCGATGCCTGTAAGATGAACAAAATAGTTAGTCAGCGTTTGTCTTGTGGCGATGAGAGAAGCTGTGCAATATCGTCACTTACACAAATCCATGATGTGATTACGACAGATGGCGCACTGTAAAACGGGGAAAGATAGCATCAGCAATCTTATTAATTGTCAAGACAGACTCTGACGACGTTGATCAGCTTACATTGTCAACAACGATGTCCCAACTCCATAAGCATACGGCGTTCCACTGTTAGTACAAATGAAAGATTGTGTCAGTAGGTCGATCAATCGTACACATTCAATCATTGAGCCACTCACTTTGCGTACTTGGAAGCGTGGTGGCTTGGCTGAGTCCACTTCCATAGCAGACATCGTTGCAATTGATATGGGCGGTGATGAGGATGAAAGATTGACTTTGTGGAAGATGAATAAAAGAGTGAGAACGGCCCCAGTTGTGAAATATTGAAGCTAAGTAATTGTCTTGCATGCATCACCTTCTCTCTATCAAGTCGCGTCTTTTGATTGCCCTGTGCGTGGAGGGGGATATATGCATGTAGCATTAAAGAGAGTAAGTTGTTCATTGCCAGAAGACTCTTTGTTACTCGATCACACACGAATACCACAATCATGGCTGAGGGGAATCCAAGTGATCCATCTGGATCAAAATTGGAGCCAGTACAGTTCTCGCCTTTTTCATCCCAAATTTCACCATCATTTTGGACCACTTTAGCATCATTCAAGATTGATCGTGCTCAGCTGTCAGACGACAGGATCGAAATTCGAGCAAAATATACAATTGGAAAACAAGTAAAGGATCGTTCAACTTCTGAAATCGTTCGGTTACCGACAAACATATCATTGGACTCTTCTTCGCTTGAAACGGTGGAAAATGAAAATACTCGTGGAGAAAGCGGAGGTGCAGGAGAGTCACAAGTTGAGGTTGTAGGTTCCTTAAAGAATTTCAATACAATCGAAGAATTCAAAAAGGCAGACAAGATGGAAATCCTACAGGAAACAGCAAACGCTCTTTTGATCAGTATGATGCAAGATGAAGATCCTATACCCTCTCTCAATCGCTTCCTTTGTTTAAGCTTTTCAGATTTGAAAAAGTACAAATTCTATTATTGGTTCGCATATCCTGCACTTTTGTCCAAACCGCATTGGCATACAGTTGGATCGGATTGGTCTAATGTGAAGTCCACATGGGGAGAAGCTGAACTGCAAAAGCTTTCATCATCTTTGCGTGAACGGTCAAGAATTGTCGATCATGGCTTCTTCTTGATCCGACCGGACGGCTCAACAGCAAAGATTATGGAATTCGAAAGCTTCTTCAGAGATGTTGATCAGGATCGCCGAGCTATTGGGTTTATCGACCCTTCAGCTCTTTCAGATACTCCAGGCTGGCCGCTAAGAAATCTATTGTCACTTTTGTCGATACGATTCGACGTTCAGAAAATACGAGTGGTATGTTGGAGAAACGAGGTAGAAAGTGGATCGTACGACAAGAGTATCGTGGCAGAATTATCATGCATTGATACATCTTCTGATGCTACCAGTCAAGCATCGCAAACAATGCAACTAGGAGATCGGATGTTGCCATTCACATCGCTGCCCGATACGCCTTCAAAGCCTTCAGCTGTTGGCTGGGAGAGAAATAATTCAGGAAAGTTGGCACCAAAGATGGCAGATTTAGGCCCTTTGATGGATCCCAAGCGGTTGGCAGATCAAGCTGTAGACTTGAACTTGAAGCTGATGCGATGGAGGATTTTACCCGAAATCAATCTGGAGAAAGTAAGCTCAACCAGATGCTTGCTATTAGGTGCAGGAACGTTGGGATGTTACGTAGCACGAACACTCTTGGGATGGGGAGTGCGAAAGATCACTCTTGTTGATTCTTCAACTGTTTCGTTTTCCAATCCTGTTCGACAGCCTTTGTTTGAATTCAGCGATTGCTTGGAAGGAGGAAAGCCAAAAGCTGAATGTGCCGCGAACGCTTTACGAAGAATATACCCTGGTGTAGAGGCAGAAGGACATCAAATCAATATACCCATGCCGGGACACCCAATACCGAAAGGAAACGTTGAACAAGTCAAAAAAGATGTTGAATCTCTGCAAGACCTCTTCGATTCACACGATGCTGTTTATCTGTTGATGGATTCAAGAGAGAGCCGTTGGCTGCCAACCGTACTGGGTGCAGTTAAATCAAAGATGGTATTCAATACTGCTTTGGGATTTGATACCTTCTTGGCTATGCGCCATGGAGCAAGTCCAAAAGAGCATGCTTCAACAAGTTCAACTCGATTGGGCTGTTATTTCTGCAATGATGTTGTCGCACCTACAGATTCTCTTACCGATCGTACTTTGGATCAAATGTGTACAGTCACAAGACCAGGACTGGCTTCTGTTGCTAGCGCAACTACTGTGGAGATGATGGTCTCCATTTTGCAACATCCTCTTGGCTTTCGAGCTCCAGCTTATATCGCCCCGAACGCCTCAGGATCCAAAGCGACTGTCCCTGATGCAGATTCGTCCTCGTCAGACTCGATTTTAGGACGCCTTCCGCATCAAATTCGCGGATCTCTTTTCAATTTCCAAAATCTTCTCATTCATGGACCTGCTTATGATCGTTGCACGGCTTGTAGCGAGACAGTGATCGACACATACGCCAAAGAAGGATTTGAGATGATTCAAAAAGCCTGCAATGATGAGGAATACTTGCGTCATTTGACAGGTCTTGATCAATTGTACGATGCCACAGATGAGATCGAAGTAGAATGGGATGAAGAAGAAGGATCTTTCGAAGACGATTAAATTGTGGACAAAAGCAATGCATCCTATTGGCAATGAAATAATGATTTAATGTACATTTACTTTTATACTTTTATATGTATATTTCGCATTGACGGCGGATAAGAAAGACGTTATAGACACGGCTTCATCCGTTTTTGATTGCTCTTCTTCATCAAGCTTACCCAAAAGTGGACGTGATGGTGTGACGAGATAGTCGAGCATGAAAGCACCTTTTGTCAAAAAGCAAACACCAATTGTCACCTGTCGAGTTTCATTCGGAAGAAGCTGCGAAATGTATCCGTTCATATGACCGCCAATGCACAGGATATGCTGAGACAATTGTTTATCGTCAATGTTGGCTGCTAAGCGATATTGAAGATTTCGAACGGTAGCATCGCTAGTATTCTTGACCTCGAAATACAGTTCCACAAAGTCGTGCGCTTGCAGCTCCAGCAAAAGTCCAGCCGATTGTTCTGACGTTGGCTTGACTTGCACTCCTTTTGATGCTGTTGTCTTCACATCGATCGGGTCAGCATACAGTGATACAACCGATTGAGGATTGTCCAGTCGCAAGCCAGAGAGACCAATCGAGCCGGCCTTTCGAGTTTTGTTATCTTTCCATATGCTATTGCTCAATTTCGACAAAATCTTTTGTCTGGCCCAGAATAAAGCTCGCAAAGTACGTTCTTGTGATTCTGTGCGCTTGACTTGTGAAACGATAAATTGTCGTTCAACGAGCTTGGGAATGGGCTGCAGCAGCTCTTCTTTGATATTTTTCGGTAATGCATTTGGCAAGAAGAAATGGATTCGTATGGAAGAATGTGCTGGCAACCTCCGAGCGATCTTTTGACTACCGACAGAGTCATCAATGTTCATGCAGATCTCAATTTCACTGCCTGCGTTGGTATTGTGAGCGGCAAGAGAGACGATTGTGACTTCTGATGTATCAGTGTACTTGTCAAGGTCATTCCCATTCTCCAACATTGATTTAAGGTGAGGTAGATCAATATTTCTTGCTCTCATCACCTCCAATCCGTCCAAGAATACAGTAGGCAGTACCCGAACATCGAATGAGAATTGTGCTTGTCGGGTCCAGAAATACTCTCGACCCAATTCTTTGCTGTTGGCTTTATTGCCAAATTGCACCCGAATCGACGCTCTACGGACATCCAATTTGCCACGAATGCGGAATGTAAACGTTTTTGCTTCATTGACTTCAAGCTTGAGATTAGACCCAGTGGCATTTTGCTCCGCTTTTGTACCCTTTGCTTCTTTGCCTAGCAGTGATAGGAATGGTCTTTCGATCAAATCTTGTTCCAATTCGTACACGTCCACCGCTTCTAGCTGACCTTCTGCTAGAAGCTCAACTGTATCACGTTGAACGTCATCGTCGAATACAAACTGTATGTGATCAACCGCCATCTCGCTCTTGTTTTGAAGCGTGAGTGTGATAGCTTTCTCTTCACCATCACACAGGACCACACTGCCCGATTTTAGAGCGGCCGAAGGTCTGATTTCAACCATCGGAATCTTGGCAATCACTGGCAAAATCCATAGGCTCTCTTGCGTCCTGGATCTAGACTTCGGTTGTAGATTGGTCTGCAGCCCAATGCCGGTGCTTCCACTTCCTCTAGCATCCAGACCGATACGCTTCGTCCTGGTCCATTTATCGTCCACTTCGCTTTGTGCTTTCCATAGCGTCTTCTCGGCTACCCCTTGTGCGTACTCAAACGTGAACAAACGTTCGGCACAGAAGGGCAATTTGAGATAAATACCCTTTACACACAATCGACCTTCACCGCTGGCAATTCCACTCAAACGTACAACGTGGAAAGAGTTTGGCGGTAGAATGATATTTTTACGTACGTTCGGTTCGAATGTTGGGCCCAGACTACCAAGTGTCTGAAGCTCGAGTCGTATGCTCTCTAACTCGAGAGGAATCTGTAATGGATTGTGTAGCGTGACGATAAATGATGCCACTTCGTCTTGCATTAATCCATTCTCTGTCGTCGATTGAGCATTTTTGGTTTCTTTTCCCTTTGCCCACTCTGGAACGCTCGGCTTTTCGCCTGCTCTTGGCAGATTCTTGAAAAGTACTTTCTGTGGCTGATTTGTTGTTCCGCTCTCCAGCTGCATTCCCGCGAGAAGGTCTTTAGGACCCCAGTACTGCAATTGAAGATTCTTGTTACTGCTTGTATTGCCTACATCTCCACTAATTGTTTCGCCCATCAATTTGGCAAATCCATCTTTGAGTCGGAATTGCTCTTCGAAGCCCAAATAAGGCCAGAAATCTCGAAGAAGGATTGCACCAAAGAACAGTAGTGATTGTTTATCCTGTAGCATCTCACAAATCGAAATGGTATCCTTCAAAATTGCAATCTGTTGCTCTATCCAGCCAAAGTGCGGTTCTTCCAGTAATTCGCTGATTGCAGCTTGACGTGCTTGAGCTTCGTCGTTCAAGAAACGCTTCCAATCGACTTCACTTCCATTTGCAGGAGATGAAGAACTCATCGACCAAGCAGCTCTATTGCGATTCAACATTGGCGAGCTTAGTCTTTTGCCGCTCTTCACATCAACCGAAGCGCGCAAGAGGATATGTCCACGGTCCATATCCAGCAGGAGCATCAGTTGCACATTAATGCCGTATGTCTGACAGATCTGTAAGGCCAAAACGAGAATTGAGTCACTGCCCAAACCGCCCCCGATGGAAGATATCTGTGTGCTCATCGTACCATATGCAGCATTGCCTGCACGTAGAGCTTCACTGGTAGAAGAACCTTGTTGCTTTTGCATATGAACACCTTGAGCTATTAGCACGACTACCAATGATTGCAACCTTTGAATAGCATATGCCTCTTTTCGTGCAAAGCCAAGGCAACCGTAAATAGCTGCCAGACTACTGTAAAGGTGAATTTGGTCCAACATTTTGAGTGCATTCGTTGAACTGTTTGTCAATGAAAGACTTGCTGGTGCCGCAATGTCGCCCCTGCTGATACCGCTTGACGTAGTATGCTGCATATATACTGCAATAGATGGCCTTGTTGTCTCCGCTAATGCTGGAGGAACACCTCCCAGAAGTAGCTGGTCAAATGTTTCTCCATTCCAGCCTCCGGATGCCCAGATTGCCAGTAATAGCCTTGCATAGGCCAAACAGGCCGATGTATGAATGAGAGGATGGGTGTAATCTCGTGGTGTTTCTGGATTGACACTGCGCATGGTGTCGAGCAAGTATGAAGCGGGAGCTAGACATTTGCTATAGATTGTCAAAGCTAGACTGTATGCTTCTGCAATATCGGACCAATCCTTGCCCGCAAATTGGAAATCGCTAACCACCTTTTCTTTTTCCTTTTCCTTCACTCCTCCCAGCGGCATGGTAGTACAAGGTGCCTTCTCAGCAACTTGTCCACCCATGCGTGTCGTTAGAACTCGTGTCACAGCCCATCCTTCCAACGCACTGGCATACCATACTGCATCTTGACCGCCTGCCATCGCCCGTTCTTTGCCCATCAGGCTCATGCAGTTGTCGTATTCTTTGGCTGCACTCCATAGATCGCCAATCAAGAGGTAATAATCTGCTTTTACCTTGGCATATCTTCCTGCTCCCGTTGGTCCAACACCAGCGGGTGCAAGGAGGTTCTTACTGCTCCTTGAAACTTTTCGAGATGTTGAAGAGGATGAAGGATCTTCAGCTGCAGAAAAAGAACTGAAAAGAGCAGATGCTCGACTTGCTGCACTCGTTGCTGCCGCGCCTATACCTTTGTTTGCAGCAGTCAGAGCAGTGCTAGTACTTGCTCCGGTCGCATTTGCAGAAGGACCTTCCAATGTTTCTCTCGGTGTCTCGAGAGGTTTGCCTTGCAGATCGCTGACAAAATCATCTAAACCATCTAGCAGATCGGCAACGAATTGTGGTATGAGAGTTTTGAGATAAAAACGCACATCCTTCAGATCCCTTCTTACTGCTGGAAAGATGACCAAACCAGTGTTAGAACGTCCCGCAAATCCAGAAGAAGTAGAATCTTTTTCACTATCTGTCATTGATGATTTTGCCTGACCCGTTCTTCGTGTCATTGAAGAGTCCAGCGAAGTCTTTGTCAAGCTTTCCGCTCCCATATCACCTCCATCTGTTATTTCTCTTTCTGCATTCAAACCTGAAGTGGAAGAATTGGATTTTGTCATATTTCCACCTCCTGCTTTCTCGATCGCTCCTTTTGCATTTGACATCGCACTCAAATCCATCGTTTGAGGTCTAGCTGCTCCAAGATCAAAGCCAAACACTCTATGTACAACTGCAGTTGGATGTAATTGTCGTAAAGCAGCCGGTGCTCGTTCCAATTCCTCTACTGCGTTCGATGAACTACAAGTCGAAACTCCCAAAACACCTAAAACTTGCTTGTGTACATTGAAAGGCGACAAGAACGAATGACTTGGATCGTAAGATGTAACGAAAGAGATGTGTACTTCACCCGATCTCGCTAAAGGTGAACTTGATGGAATCCTTTCTTTTCTTTGTGAAGGTCCATTTGATCCTGGCGCTCTCATAGGTAAATCTGAAATACGAATACTCTCAATCCTTCTGATCGCACTTGTCATCCTTTCGAATTCATCTGGCGTAACGTCTGCCGTAGCTGGCGTTAATAAGATTCTGATCATTGCAGGTGAACAGAATGCCCTTCCTCCTACCGGTGTTGGTGTTGGTGCTGCCATATTTGTCGTTTGACTTTGACTTTGGCCTATATTACTTTGTGTTGGCGTTGATGGCCCACCAAAGCCTTCCGACATGGAAGGCGTTGAAGGTGTATTCATCCTATTGAATGTTCATTGAATGTGCCTTGAATGGAATTGTGGGGAGGAAGATTGGTAGCAACCAAGCCAGATCTTTATACGCTCAAACGCTTAATCGTAACTGAAGCTAAATTTCGCGCGCTTTGACCTCTTCTTCTTCTCACCTTCATCATCTTCAGCCGACGGATGGGAGATCCAAAAGTGCAATTTCAACTATCTCTTATCTCACTCAGTTTCACATCAAAGACGAAAAAGATTCGATTGAGGATACAAGATGAGATTGATGCTGTGTGGTGAATTGCATAACAAAAAAGTGTCCATGCTTTGATGCATACGATGGTATTCTGGTAAGGGAAATTATCCCATATTCTGATCTGTAAAGAGGGAAAGAGAAAGGGGGAGGGAAGGGGTCCTAGGAATTCTCTATATAGTACAAATGGAATCCTTAATTACTACAATGCTGTTTGTACAGCATGGCCGCAATCGGTATCCTCTCGTGGTATACCGAGGGCACTTCTGCTGATTGTTCCAACTGTTTCTGCGATTGTCCGTATATATTGAATGCAATTAACGGTATCCGCGCCATGCCGTATTGGATGTTGTCGGTACCTGTCTTTCATCTAGCAATCCCGTCAAATGATTTGCGTTTGGATCAGAGTCTAAATCATAATGTGCCAAAACCCGTGTTCGCGGTAGCATATGATTCACATTGGGCTGTAAGGGATGTTGCAAATGTTGCATTGATGGCGTATTTGCTCCAGAACCTTCATGTGATTCAGAACCTGAGCCGTCAAAGTAGCTTGAAGATCGAACAGGACTGCCGTGGCCTTGACCATCAGTGTTACTTCTATGTAGAGCGTATCGTTGTCCATTACCTCCATTACGGGTTGGCGAAGTGCGATCGTATTCCATGTATGCCCGATCTGCCATCGATGGTGGCACAGGAGGTACATCACCGCGTTGATTGCGTTCGTACCATCGCAAAGCGCCTGCGGATGTACTACTGATCCGCCTGCCCTGCTCCGGTTGGGAAGATGTTGTGTTTTGTCTGGTTGGCTTTTGCCGTGCATGTGCAGGTATAGGTCTTGGCCCTGTCGGCATTCCATTGCCTTTGCCACTGCTTCCGTCACTTAATTTTACTCCACTGGTTGAAGGATCAGGCGAACTGAATGCGGTCGAAGAAGTATCTGAAGCTCCATCCCCTGCATTTAGGGTTGGGACGGCCAATGTGCTGAGCATAGAAGGTTGATTTGGCCTTCGTGGTCCTCCAACCACCATTCTGGGCTGACCGTCTTGATAGAATGCTGCGTTGGCTGCAAGATCTGCTTTTGAATAGTAACTATACCCTCTTGCTGCTCTGGATGGTTGATCTTGAGCGATTTTTGGTCCAACGTAATTCAACGATTTGTTATATGCATCGGGATTGTGCATTGGTGCTATTAAATGACTTTTACTGTCAACGGTTGCGTGACTCATTGATGAATCATGTAAAACTCTGTGGGTTGGTCTTCTATCAATCACGAATCGCTTTCCTGCGCCTCGCAATCGCAAATCTGTTCTTGCCCTTGTTCGTTCTTCTGAGATCTCTTTTGAGCCACCCACCCATGGTTTGCGCAGATTGATGCAAACGAGTATTAGACAAAACAATGCGAAACCCATTGTCGCTGCGATCAAGAGAATCAGATCTAGAGGTGCTTTGCCATCGATTGTTACCAAGCCGCTATCCTTCAAGACTGGCTTTCGCTTTTCGAGAGTATGAGAATTTGATGGCACGGAAGCAGCGGAGGCGAGATTAGATAGTGCTAGAACCGCCCATAGTCCGGCATGAGGAACAGCCGATATTAGCTGATTCCTCGATTGTTTCGAGTACATGTTGTATGGTGGAAATGGTTGCTGAAGATGTGAATGGTGACGAGGAAAGAAGGAAGAGATTGTTTTGTTCTTTTGGAAATCCCTTGTCCACTTTATTCTGGGAAAATACTAAATATATACGGCGACTTTTTCAGTTCTGTACTCCGAATGAATCTTGTTTTCCTGTGTTCCGCCGCCGACGCTGCCGCACAGTTACACGAGTTCGACGAAAAGAGGAAAACACAGCCTTCTTTCTTTGAACTCCTTGAATGTATTTTAGGACACGAGCAATTGTCAATTTGCAAGACGTGTGTAGCAGGATTGAGGTCCCTTTTTAGCAAGGCAATACCCCTATTATGACGGGAAAGAAGCTGGTCCGTAAAGGAATGAATGAATGATGAATGTTGTTGGCTATTTGCAGTCTTGAGAGAATAGGGTGGAGTTCTTGACGCCCTTTTGTGTTAGTGATTTGTATTTTGCGATGAGAACCTATTCGTTCATCGTGACACTAGATTGAATGATGCATGTACGAAGAGAGAATTGCAGGATGATGGAATACATAGATCTATATTGTCAAAGGATCGGTAATAATGATTGCTGCTTATGCTTATGTACTTTTACTTGTGCTCTTATGCCTTGAAATGAAGATTTGATGCATGATCGTGCATTACACTGTTTACGCACGCCAAACAAGGGAAGAAAAACAGTGAATGCGAGTAAATTAGCAGAGGGTTCACACACTCGCGCATAAAAATAAAAACACCCCATAATGAAATACATCATACATACACATACACCCTCGATCGTATCAGAATCAGCTAAAAGAAGAGGTTTATCACTACTATGTTTATCGTTTATCATCTATCTACATTCAACAACACCATTATCCAGAAGAAGTTCCTTTTTCTCAACACATAACAATCGTCTTGGTATCCTTGGCTCTAGGTCATATTGCAGTCAAAAGAAAAAAGGAGAATTTCTACTCAACGCTGTGTGTTTGAATGCCGAAAAAGAGAGCCAAGCCAAAGCAGCCTTTTGTCTATTTCTGTCAATTTTCTCTTTTTCTTTTAGTTTAAAGCGGCGCGGTGACTTTTTCCCTTACGGAACCGTGCCTGAGTGTGTGTGTGTGTGTGCGTGAACAGAATGAAAAAATGATCGAGAAAGTTCGCGCAATGCATAAGTGCCACTACACCAGTCAAAGCACGCAAGCAAGCTTTGTAAAACTTTTGTCTTTTAGACACCAAACCCTAGCACCTCCGGCGTTTGTGCCCGTTTCTCTTCATAGCCCCTGAAGCCATTTTTCTCCGCCTGCTTTTGTGCGCAGCGCCGCGCCCATACATATACAAACACAAAAACGGAAATGAAGCCTGCAGCAGCAGGATGTTTTGATTTGTTTTGGTTTTTTCTTGATATAGATTCTCCGTGGCTTGATTAGATTCAAATCTTTTATGCCGATCAGCCGGACGAGATTGAGCAAGGCACCGGGCAGAATGCAATCAAGCAGGCTTAACAGGTTATATCAGTTGCATTATCTTCTACCGCTGTCATTTCTCAAAGCCGGAAAAGAAGAAAGAGAGCAGAGATTAATTCGGTACAAAGTAGCATCTTTTCTTATCAATTCTGCGTCTAATGCTTAACAAATCCTTTTCTCTAATATTAATCGACCGTTGATAGTACATACGTACATTGTTTCCTAACACATAATTTCAACCTATAATTCAACGGGGCTAATAAGAATCGGAAATAGATAATATACTTTGTTTTGATGAAACTTACGCCTCGTATGGCAGTACTTTTGAAGTTCGAATTTCTCTTGAAAAATGTTATAATGGAAAGCAATGATTTAGCAAAGTATAAATATTGCCTTAAACATGATTGATTTGGTTAGAGTAGTTCTAATCAATTTCGTCATCAATTTCATTATCAACGAAGATGGTTATTCCTAAGTATTTTCTTCTAGCCATTTTCTTATTGCTTATTTGCAAAGTATCATCATCAGAATTAGAAGAGCCATTACTTGGCCCTAGAGTATCATCATCAAGTTCTAACTCTCGATCATCGAGCCCTAAATTTAAAAGACTAGCAAGTCCTAAAAAGACTATGGAAGAGATTCATATTGCTAATGCTATAAAACATGAGAAAGAAGCAGAACATCATAAATCAGAAAGGCTTAAGTGGAGACAAAACACACAGGAAAGTAATTCGAGTATTTATCGTGTTTACAGCGAAGCCAAAGCAATGATTCACGCTGACGAGAAATTTCAGAGTTTAAAGAAAGCCAAAAAAGAGAGAGAAAAGGCTGTAAAAGCTAAACAGCAAGAAGGAACATCGCGAAGTTGATATAAAAAATAAAATCAAGCGACATTATGCCAATCAGAATCCGGTGTTGATTGGATTGAAAAGGGTCTAAACGTTTATTTAGCGTGATCAATGCAACCTTTGGCGTGAACGATCGATCGGTTCAAGCATAAAATCCCACAATAGAAATCAGATTAGAGACAAAAAGGCAGTTAATGCGGCTAATATTAAATCACAACATCACCTTGACAAATCCCTGCCGGCGGTGTCACTTGTCAAACGCACAGTGTACATGTTCTAATTAAAGGGTATCCAAATTGATTGCGTGCTTATAGTACAAATAAAAATATAAATTGAAAAAAGTTATTGTTCATTGATTCATCAATTCAAACGGTAATCCGGATCGATTGTTTGGCCAAACATCTTGAAAGAATTTATCCATTTCCATCTTTACACGATGAGAAGCAACCGTTATATCGTCGTTTAAACAAAGATATGCCATTCCCATCTTGATCTTTTTCTTTACCTTTTCCAATGCTAGCCTTGCTGTCGTTGGCGTTTTGAGCATTTCAAATGATCCGGTAGAAATTACAATCGTATAGGAATAACGCATGATCAAATGCATGGCAAATTTGCGTAAATTGGGTTGTGCAGGTAAAACGAGAGATGGTGATAATCCTAAACCATTTTCGATTGCTATTTCATCCAATGAAAAGTCTATCGATTGATGAAACGCGCCCAATGGTAAATGATAGGCATCAGTTGAACGATCATGCCTTTTTGCCTCCTTTGATGCGATAATTGCACTTTGCGGGAATTCTTGTTCTTTGTCAGGCAAGAAAGCTTTCATTCCTTTCTCTCCACTCTTTCCGACCAAATGAGTGATCAAACAATCACCGCATCCTCTATAATCGAATGCGAACCTTTTAAAGATTGCATTTGTTGATTTGATCAATTCAGCACGATCATCTCTTGGCCAACAAACTGAAAGTTCAATTTGACAGAAGTCAACGCTAAAAATCTTTTCTTGTTGAGCTTTGTCATCACTTTCGGAAATAGAAGGAGGCAATAGGGAAAGTGGCATTTGGAACAATCCTTTCAGCGTTCGTTGACGGAACAAGTTATCCGGTTCTGCATATGCATAACCATCAAAAGAGGAAAACAGTGGCCTCGATGCTTTGGGTGAAGGGAACTTGGCTTTGTTCAAATTTCCATTTTGATAACTCTTATGAGTCGTAATCCGTTTGGGCAATCGAACTGGAATGTTAGAAGTGATATTGTTTGCACCCATCTCTTCAAGTGCTCGAGCAAGTTCTTGATCGTTCAGCATTCCATCTCCGTCTTTATCAATTCTGGCCACCAAGAAAGACCATAAAAGCGCTTCACGATGACGTTCGATGATCATAGCATACGTTATCGTATGACTATTCATCATCAAATTATCACCTCGGAATCTTCTTGCTGATGCCTTTTCGAAATGTTCTCTCCAAATCATCCTGCTTTCCAACATCAAAGGTTGAACGATACTTTTGTGAATATGTGCCGAATAACTAAATCCTGGTGTTCCAAATCGTTCAGTTAAACGCATGACACTATACTGCATACTTGCAATCTCATTCACTGCACCCGCACTTGCAATTCCACGAACGTACATGTCCGTTTGAATTTGCATCGAAGGTCCATAAAGAGGTGTATAGAAATCTGCCGTTGTCATTGCGTGTGTTGTGAACATATCGTCAGATGCTAAAAAGTACGTTTGAGATAATCCTTTCATGTTGATTCCTAAAACAGCTTCGACTGCCATTGAATTGAACGTTGGTAACCTTTGATCACGCCATTGTTCTGCATCGATATCTTTGTTGAAAGGTACGAATATTTGTGAATCATGATGTAATCGAATAGCGGGTAAAGTTGTACTGTTTGAATCTGCCAAAGCGACCAAAGGTGAATCGACATTCAACCATTGTGGTATTTGACCGCGATGATGACCAAAGTGATCATCTTGCACCCCTGCACTTGGCTCTTCGCCTCTCCAGAAATCTGTTGAAACGATATGATGGGTGCCTAAATGATGTCGTAAACTTTGACGAGCAGAACGGACGCTGAACTGCAACTCGTTCAAATCACGAAACCGATTTTCCGAATTTTGAATGCGTGACCCATGTTCAAAATCGATCTCTTTCTTTAAATCTTGAACGGTTTTATCATCTTTTGTTGTCATATTTTCTTCATTTATCCGTTGTTGATCTTCACTGAACAAAATCCTATTTGCATGATGACGTGTATCTGATCCATTCACCCATGTCGTTACACCATCTATGCGGATATGTTTGGAAAAGTCTGCTCTTGAAAGTAGCTTGCCATTCGCCACCCATTCTTCTAACACTTCATCGTCCAAGAATGGTTGATGGGCTTGGATAGCATCGAGAGTGTATGGTAAGTACTCTGGTGTACTGCTGCAACATGTTGCGTTGGGCACTCTTGGACCAAATGCAAAGGGTGGGATGGTGGTGTATTCAAGAAGAGTGTCATAGGAACGTATGGTAAGGCGATAGGCAGTCAATGCGGAAGCTGTAAAGATTGTCAAAGCAAAACAGAATAGTATCACCTTCCTAGTACGGTTGCCTGCTTTTTTTGTATCTTGCCATGAATAGGGTAAAACGGATGGCCAACCTCTTTTGAATCCATCAAGAAGTTGATATTCTTTTTCGATTAGAGGAATATTATCGGTATTCTGTGAATCATCATGATAAGTATCATCGTATGGGAATATAATCTCTGATCGCGTTGATAGCCTTGAATAATGTCCTCTTGATAATTCTGTTCCCCATTGTTGTTGATTCAATTCTTGCATGAATGGTAAAGACATCTTTGTGTGGGCTTTGTCTTTGAAAGGGGGGAGTGATTTGCAGGGGTTTCTATTTATATGGGAATCATTTTTGTGGGACCATTGATAGTTTATGCTGATGCTGTGTAGTAGTAGTTGTTGTTGTTGGAAGAGTGAATGGATGCAGAAAGGAGGATAAACGTTTGTGACTGTTTTGTGCCACTAAAGCAAATGTAGGAACGAATTTAGATTGTAAAGAGGTTATGCATGAATTTTGAAGTCAAAAACGGAAAAGATGGAAGGGTACACGAATCCAGCCCCAAGTCGGCTGTTCGGTTAAGGGGTGGGGGAGAGAGATACATTATCCAATGAACGATAACGATCCTTCCTCCTCCCCCCTTTCTCTTTTTCGGTGTACGAGTGCCGAAATTGACTATATATCTGCTGAGGTTAAATTGTTTGCCGTAATCTAATGCCGAAAATGTAAAGTCGTCTGATCAAGGGTAAAAAAGGCACTCAACCACTGAGTAAACTTCAGAAGAAAAGAGGCGCGGCTCCGCGGCGTAAATGCAGTGCCTGGCCTCTTAAACCGGCGGCTGGATTCATTCGGCAATGTTATTATTTATGTACTGCGATAAGCATTTTAAGAGGCTTTTTTTTAAATGGCTTACGCTCTATTTATAGATCAACAATAGACCCCCTGGAAGAGTGGGTTAGATCCCGATTTGGAGAATGTAGGAAACGGCGGGAGTGTCCGTTGATCAATCTAGGAACATCGATCTATAAATTATCTTCTCATATTTCAACTACGGCTATCAATTCATAGATTAATGGTCAAGATCCACCTCTTCGTTGACATTTGCACGTGCATTAATGTTAGTGTGATTTAATATGAATAGATGTGACGTGAAGATGCAACTTTGGCAGCACAGACCACGCTAACCATTCCCATTTCAGTCTTTTGACAAGTTAGCTCCACTTCCAGTGTAATCTTCTCATTCTATCAATAGTATCATCATCACCATCATCACTGTGTATTGCTAAGGAAGCAACAATGTCTTCTCAAGCTGCACCTCCTCTTAAGAATATTCCACCAGCTGTTCCAGAAAAGGATAACACAGCACCAGAAGTGGATTTCGTATTAGTATTCCAAGCAAGAGATCCAAAATTAATCAAATCAAAGAAACAACCTTCTGCATCTGAAACAAATGCAAGGGTGGAAGAATATGAAAGACTAATAAAAGCAATCAGATTGGTAGGATTACAAATCACTGCAAGACAATCTTCACGTAATGAATCAGATTTGATCATATTCGTTCGTGCTCCCGATCAAACATTAGTTGCCAGTGGAAAATTGGAAAGTTTACATGATTATCTTCATGGCGTAAAGAGTACAGTTGAACCTGAAGGCGTAAGCAGCTTAGCAAGATCATCCTCTTTAGGCAAAGATGGAATTCATAGTCAAGCTGAACAATTCAGTCCGGCTGATCGTGTAAGATTCGTCCATGATCTCTTAACCAGGCCAAAGCCGCAAGGAGCGAATCTGTCAATCGAGTCCAAAGAATATCCACATTTGAAGGATATGACACCAATTCATAATCCTGATTATAACCATGGTTGGCTCAAAAGATGGTCTGATGTTAAATCAGGCTTACAGATCAGTATCAAAGAATTGGATTCTATTCGATCCCATTTTGGTGAACACATTGCATTGTACTACGGCTTTTTGAACTTTTACTTTCAATCTTTAGCCTCAATTGCGGCAGCTGGATTTGCATTCTGGGCAGCAGGCGCTCCCTTCCATCCAATATACTCCTTACTTTTGGTTGGTTGGTCATGCGTATTTGTGGAATTATGGCGAATGAAGGAACGCAAATTAGCCGTTCGATGGGGTACATCAGGCGTTGGTCATGTCGATGCAAGAAGGAACGAATTCAAGCCTAGAACCATTCGCAAAGATCCTGCTACAGGTGAAGATCAAGAAGTGTTTGAATGGTGGAGAAGAGAATTGCGTGTTGCGTGCAGCATTCCAGTCATGCTAATTTTTGCTGCTCTTTTGGGCGCAACGATGACGACAATATTTGCAACTGAAGTCTTTGTTTCGAAACTCTATGCTGGACCTGGAAAAGCACTCATTCCCTTTATTCCAACGGCCTTGTTTGCCGTATGTGTTCCTCAGATCATGGCCGCATGGCAAGCCACCGCTGCTGCTCTCACTTCATGGGAGAATCACTATAGCGTTCGAACCCACCAATCTGCTTTGACGATCAAGATGTTTGCCTTACAAGCTGTGGTTGCATATGGTGCATTGACACTGAGTGCATTCGTTTACATTCCATTTGGCCAACAGATCATGGATGCGATCGTTCAACATGGCTTCTTTGCTTCTAGCTTACAAGCGGCCGAAGATAGGGGAGACATCAAACGTAATCTGACAGGATCTGTCAAATTTGAAATCAATCCAAGTAGAATGCACGCTCAATTATTCGCAGTCTTGACCACCAGTCAAGTGATTGGTGCTTTCACCGAAACAGCATTACCGTATATCTTGCACAAAGTGAACGAATATAGAGAAGCCAAGAAACATAAAGACACATCAGGATCGAAAGCGTCCGTTGAAGGTAAATTCTTGCACAGGATCGAGGAAGAATTAACTCTGCCAAATTATGACACATTTGCAGATTATGCAGAAATGGCAACGCAATTTGGCTATATCGTTCTTTGGTCAGTCATTTGGCCTTTGGCTCCAGTGATGGGATTCATCAACAACTTTTTCGAGCTGCGATCTGATGCATTAAAGATGACAGTCAACGCTCGTCGTCCTGTACCCGTTCGAGCTGAATCGATTGGACCTTGGTTGGAAGTGTTGGGATTTTTGGCATGGCTATCTGCAATGTTAAATGCTTCTCTTATTTACCTCTTCCAGCCCTCTCCTGAAGCACATTTGGCCGGGCATTCACCTTATGAAACCGTTTTACGATCTCATTTGCATCCAGGAGGTGCGGATGGAGTTACACCGGGAAAGGTCGTTGATTCGATTGTTTATCCATCCGATCCAGCTCATTCACCACGTTCTCCTTTATCATTCTCAAGATTACTTCCATCCAATTTACCTACTTCGGGTACTGCAGGTGCGCTTGTTGCAAGTTTATTGTTAGCATTGGCAGCCGAACACATTTATGGAATCATGAGAAGTGTAGTTCGACATATTTTAGAAAGAGCACTTTGGCGTGATAGTGAAGAAGAAACACTATTGCGCAAACGTGAATTCCAAACACGCAGAGATGCATTGGAAAGAAGTGGAATGGGAGCTGCTGCTGTTGATGCATTAAAGGCTGCCGCTCCAACCCATATTGGAGCACCTGAAAATGATCAAAAAGCATTTTGGCGTGGAGCTGAAGAAGAAGGAAAACTTGTTATTCAACAAAGCAGTAAAAGTCAATAGATCCCCTTCTTGTCATCTCTCTTTCTAGCATCATTAGAAATCATTGCAATGGAATATAATAATATATAATGAATAATGGCTGATTGGTTGTTCATTTGGAGCCCCGCATACTTTTAGTAGCACTTGACATAAATGACAGAGCGTCATCTTCTAGAAGCTAAAATATCAGTGCGGGGATTCTATCGGAAAAGCCGGAGAAGGTATAACAAGCTCTTGTGTATGTATATTTGCGGCTGCTCTCGTTGATGCCTTCCTTGCCCGCTCGCCTGCCCGCTGCGCTGCGCAGCGCATACACAAAAATTAACAAATTGTGACTTTGTCATTGCGCGAACCTCGGGCCTGAGTCCGAAGAATTGGCTTAAGCAGTACACCTGTGTATGTTTACCACAAATCTTGACAAATTACACTTCACGTATTTCCAAAAAGCACACCCAAGCCAAGCGGGGGAAGTTGGAAGCTTTAATTTTGTGGAGAAAATCCAGTGCTTTGGGGCTCACCCTACAGCCTCAACCTCTCAGGGCGTCATCTGCATCTCCGATACCAATCGGAAGTCAAGGCAAAATAGAAGGGTTGTATGAAGCCGTAAGAAAAGGTATATAACAAGCCGTTCTACAGATCACACATCTCTTCTCCTCAAAGTCATCATCATACAAACTCTCACAAGATGGTAGAAACGGATCTCATTCATCAAGGTCGTCAATTCGCCTCTTGGGCAGCTTCTTCGCCCTTCAATCTTGCAATCACAGTTGTGGGCATCGTTTTGGTCTCTCATTTGATTCCATTCATTCTTGCTCCTCATCTTTGGTTCGTTCCTGGCCCTATTGGAGCTCATCTTTCCGACCTTTGGCTCGTTCGTCAAGCACAAAAAGGTAAAAGATTTTTAACTGTTCATGCTCTTCATCGTAAATATGGTAAATTCGTTCGATTGGCTCCAAATCATGTTTCGATCGCCGATCCTGATGCAATCGATACCGTATACGGGCATGGAAAAGGAACACTCAAATCAGAATTCTACGATGCTTTCGTTCCACCAAAACCTGCCGTTCGTGGTTTGTTTAATACGCGTGATCGTACGGAACATACACGTAAACGTAAAATTGTTTCGCATACATTCGCTCCAAAGAGTATCATTGCTTTTGAACCTTTTATCAGACGTGAAATTCAACTTTTGGTGGACAGATGGGATGAATTTTGTGCAAAAGCAGATCGAGAAAACGTTCAAGGTCCTCGTAATTTGAACGGTCGTGCTTGGTTAGACGCTTTGATGTGGTTGAACTTTTTTGCTTTTGATACTATTGGTGATTTGGCATTCGGAAAGCCTTTTGGAATGTTGGAACAAGGTGCAGATGATGCAAGAGTTGAATTCGAAGATGCTTTTGGCAAAAAGAACACTACAACCTGCAATGCCGTTCAAATCATTAACGAACGTGGAGAATATTCGGCTACATTAGGATGTGCTCCTACTTGGATGCGACCATACCTTGCAAAATTGCCCTGGTTCAGTAAACGTTTGGCATCTGTCAAGAAGCTAACAGGTATCGCAACTGCACGTGTGAACGAACGTTTGGAGCATGGTAGTGATCGTGAAGATTTATTGGCAAAATTACAAACTGCAAAAGATGATCAAGGTGAACAAATGGGAAAGATGGAATTGGTTTGCGAAGCCTTAACACAATTGATTGCAGGAAGTGATACAACTTCAAACACGAGTTGTGCAATTATCTATCACCTTTGCACGAATCATAAAGCCATGCAAAAATTACAAGCTGAATTGGATGATGCACTTAAAGATTCAGAAGATGTTCCAAGTCATGATGAAGTTCAAGATTTACCTTATCTCAATGCAGTTCTTTCGGAATCTCTTCGTTTCCATTCTACTTCAGCTTTAGGATTGCCTCGTATCGTGCCTGCTGGAGGTGCAACGATTCAAGGAAAATATTTCCCAGCTGGTTCGGTCGTCTCGGTTCCATCTTACACCATCCATCGTGATAAAGGCGTTTATGGATCAGACGCAGAAGCCTATAATCCTGATCGTTGGTTGGTTGATGGAGCACGTCAAAAGTATGAAAAAGCATTTGTTCCATTCAGCGTTGGACCGAGAGCATGCGTTGGTAGAAATGTTGCCATGCAAGAATTATCTATTTTGATCGCAGCACTCGTTCATCGATATGATATCGTACTCAAATATCCTGATGAACCTCTTGATACGATTGAAGGTTTCTTACGTAAACCAACAGTATGTGAAATTGGTATCACCCGTCGTCATTGAATGCTCAAATAATAATGCCTGTGTTCATTTGCTGTACTATACTCAATCCTTAATTTCAAATATTTATGAATACATGAAGTGTTTCTTGCTCATTCTTTCCCATCTTGACAACAATATCAACACACACCGGATACACAAAAAGATGTCAAAAGATAGATGTTCCCAATTTTCACATCGGCAATCACATTCTTTCTCAAAGGAAAAAGCGGCGTGGGAAAATGAACAATAAAATCCTTCTACGCATTTGATAATCTCTTTCTTATTATTTAACGCTAAAAAGGGGCTGGCTTTTTTTTTATTTTCTTTGTTTGTTTTACACAGTCGCTCTTTAACCCTGCATGTATGTAACATATCAATTCTTTTGTGGGGGAAGAAAACAAGAAGGGTTTTTGTTACTTTTCTTAGAATCATTTCTTATCTATACAAGATGCCGGAAAGAATAGACTAAGAGAACAAAAAAGAGCTTTATTTTACGTCATTATACGTATAGCTAGAGATGGTGGCGTGATACGGTACGTTGTTAGTCAAAGATTAGCCTCTTAATCAATCATTTTTTCTTTTCTTGGTTTGAAGAAGTGGGATGATATTAAAGGCTTGGCGGTGAGTTGTGTTTGACCATCATACATTTTTTGATGAGAGTAAAAGTTGTTCATGCATCTAGGCCCATCCGTATTCAATAAACACGTTTGTGGCGCAAAAATATAAAAATAAATAAAATTTCAAATATCCATGGAGAGGTACTTGTGTTACATGAGTGAGAGAGAAAGGTCTTCACTTCCAACAACAACGCCGCTAATGCAATTCACAAGGCACGCTCCGACGCAGGGCTATTCATTTAACCCCTATCACAGTACAGTACTGCACTGTATACAAAGAGACGATCAGCGGTGATTGAAAACTTGTTGCTACTTCACCGGTCTGTTGCGTAAGATTATAATCTACCGCATCGGTCTAGGCGAATAGTGCTTGAAACAGTGTCATTCTGCCTCGCTCGCTTTAATCGGCGCTTTTCTGATCTTAAACCCTACACCTATATGCGCCTTAGCGTGGCATAATTGCACTTTAACATTTGTATTTATGTACGCATTGGAAAAGAAGCGTGTATCAATCGATAAAGACAGATAAAGTGCCTTTTGATGATAGAATCCCAATCTTGTTCTTTGGTCGTGCGAACATTTGAATGAAACACTGTTGAAATGCACTCTTATTCAAATCGCGGGAAGAAGTTGGTAAACAAATGATGAGCAAGTTTATCATTTATCTTCTTCAACTGCTTCCATGCTCATAATCGGAGATGAACGTACAAATGATTTTCAAAATCGGACATGGGAGGAGGATAAAGGCAGAAAATATAAATTGATTCTTGATAATTGTTCCTTAGACTACCTTTATGCACACTCACGTATACATGCATTGTTAGATCGAGATGATTCATTGTTGCCTCTAGATCTTCTTCACAAACATCCGTCTTTCCCTACTTTTGTCACCATTTTGACTTTCATTAATACTTGATGCTGAACAATCTCTAATTGCCATCATTTCCTAAACTTGGTCATTACGACTGCATAATCAATATTATACACGCACACCTATCCATCATGTCGAATCGATGCTCTCCAGTGCCAACTTCGACTCTTTATGGTCAATTCACCACAACTCAATTAGTCACAAATACAATTGTCGCCACATCCACTCTTCCAGATGGAGAGACAACAGCATCAACTTCATACGATGTTGAAACATCTATAGGAACACAAGCTTCTCCCACATCAACATTATATTCAACCCGTTGTAGAGGGGACGATGGACAAACTCAAGCACAAACTCAGGCACAAACTCAAGATCAAGCTCAAACGCAAACGGAAGCACAAACGACAACACAAGCAGGTGGAAGAGTGATTGTACAAACGATCATCAGAACTGCTTCATCGGAAGGAAGTGTAATTGTAGAAACACAAACTGCTACTCCAACTGCAATTTCATCACCTACCTTACTTGCATCTTCACAGGATACACAACATAATACAAATGCAGGAGCTATAGCAGGTGGAATTGTTGGAGCAGTGGCTGTTTTGGCACTTCTGTTTGGTCTACTATGGTTCATACGAAAAAGAAAGAGGAATGCAATGGCTTCACGTAATTTGGACGAATTCTTTGCCGATCCTTCGGCACAGGTATGGGATGAAAAACAGGCAAACGGAGGAAATCCAAGGTCTAGGTCGGCTTCCATCTTGGGCGTTGCAGCAGGTACTTCAAGCAGAGGAGGAACATTACGAAGTATTAAACGTAAATCGCTGGCCGTTCTGGATTTAGATAAAGAAAAGAATGCATCAGAAACCAATGATAATCATTGGGCTGCATTAACAAGAATTGATTCTGCTCAATTGGACGATGAAAATTTGGGAGACGAAGAAGTACAGAATTATGGAAGACCACGATCACGGCACAGTTTGAATGCACTTGATCGCCCTCAATCGTTTCATAGCATGTCTATAGGTCACGGTCTTGGCTCACAGCAACCGTTTGGTTTACCTGTACCTGGACTTTCACCCGATCACGATCATTCGGACAAGGAAGCGGATTTGTTACGCAACGGCAGCGATAGAAGTTCAAAATCTGCTCGTTCACCGGGAGAATTGGGAGCGTTGAAGACCAAATCGATGGATATGCTACCCTCTTTCCTTTCAAGTGCTTCGCCACCAATTTCACCCACCTCGCCATACAATTCACCACCCTTGCGTGACATGCCTCTACATGAAGGTGTTGCGATTAATGCAAATGGATATGAGAATGTAAGGCCTTCTATTGCACGCGGATCACAGTTTTCCATCAGTTCAAATATGATGATGACTGATATGACAAATGATGCAAAGAAGACTAGAAGTTGGAGTGCAAGTTCGTACAATATGCCTGAAAGACCAAAGAGTGCTCTAGGGCTTAGCAGTCATGCCAGTCCACCATTGAGCAGTGTACTTGTCGGATCACCAATTCAGCAAAGTCCACCTCTTAATCCAACATTGTATGGTCAAAAAGGCTCTGCAAATTTACAACGTGGTCGTGCTTCCATCAATGGAGGACAGCCACATTATCCGAGCAAACGATATTCTGGAACGATGCAAACACATTCAGGCCGTTCGCCTCAATATGGTCCTTCTTCACCACAAGCATACAATGCCATCAGTCCTTCAAGCCATTATCCTCCTTCTCAATATACCCATTTAGACGCACATAAAACGGCAGAAGAAAGAGCGGAAGATCGAATGCATGCTTTGAACAGTGTAGCAAGTATGAACGGATTGGACAAGAATCAAGATCAACCACAAAGACGACAAAGAAGTTTAAGTGGTGCATTGTTATTGCGTGTTACGAATGGTGAAGATTCACCGCCATTAACAATACCGCAAGCAGGCGAAATGACGCCTACTTCGTCCGGAGAAAGGAGCACTTTGAGTGTTAGAAATGCAGATCCTTCTAAATCACAACAGAAGAATGCATGATCTACTTTCATTTTTGTACTTTTATAATCCACTCATTTTTATTTTTGAAGTGTTTTTCTTTATGATGACTGTTTGTGAATGAAGTGTGCTTCTCTTTTCCCGGGATGAATTATTCAGCCAAGTGGTCCGTGCCATTTTTATTTCAATAGCCCACATACCCATATTTTAAAATGCTATGCTGAGGCTCCTATCCTCTCTCTCCATCATCCATTCCTACTCATTCAAACATGGCTCTCAATTGGGCTTTGATCAGCGAAGATGGATCACGTCCGGTCCCTTTACCGGGTGAAAAGATTTTCTTTTCGGTAGAAAAGTGTAGTTTATCGTTGGATTTCAAGCATCAAGGTGTAAAATGGAGCGCAAACGGGAATGCATATGTAACGTCTAAGCGAATCTTGTTCTTACGTCAACCACCTTTACCTGCACCGGCAGATCCATCAGTTGCATCAACACATTTACGATCACTTTCTATTCCTTTAGCACAATTCGTCGATACGCGTTATTTGATCCCAGTCTTTACCGCTCCTTATTTTGAAGCTTCGGTCATCCCAAGCCCTGATGGCGGTCTGCCACAAAGAGTGTCTGGAAGTGGCTCATCTTCCAACAACACTGGATTGTTCAAGCTGTGGTTCAATGAAGGCGGGGGTATGGCATTCCGAGATGCGGTAGAAGAAGTGAAGAGTAGATTGGAAGAAGGATCGACGCATATCGAAGCATTGCCGTTGTATGAACCGCCCGAAGAAAGTCAATCTGCTTCTAATTCTAACCCGCCTGATATGAGCAATCTACAAATCACAAACGATCAACAGACAAGAACAGCACCAACTGTTCGCAGACCAAACAGATCTGATAGTACGCTTCAGCCAGAAGATATTGCAGCGGCAAATGTTGCAATCGAAGAGGAGGAGCGTGAGAGGGATCAAGAAAGACAAAGATCACACTCAATCGCAGGGCAGGGAACTCAAAGCACTCCACCAGTCCTGACTGAAGGCTCTGCGAATCCGACTGACGTTCGAGATGATCCGCCACCTTATCTCGCATGATGATCATATGCTTATCACAAGATTCTTCTTATTGTATTATAAATCGCTTTGGATTGAAGCATAACTATGTTTACAAAAAAATGACTGTTTCGTGAGTGAGTGAATCTTGCTTAGATTATTGCTGGAACAGCAGGCTTGCCGCTACTTCGACATTTCCTCCTGCAGCGTCCAGGAAAGCTTTTGCCTGTACATCAGATGCTCCCAAATCTTTCAGAGCTTGTAGAGAAGCAGCTGGCCATGATTTTGAAGATTGCTGAGTGCTGCTTGCACCGCCAGTAGATGGTGCAGGTCCACTGGGGGAAGACTGTGGTGCTCCAGAAGTTGCATTCTGCGATGCTTTGTGATCCCACGACATTCCAGCTAAGGGCTGACCAGCTCCTTGATTTGAAGTGTTTCCAAGTGTATTACCTTGTCCTGGGAACGACTGGCCGGCATTGGCAGCAGAAGCTGCTGCATTGGCATTTGCTTTATCGGCAGCATGTCCTGCAGGACCAGCTTGTGCTTCTTCTTCTTCATCGTCCAAGCCTTCACCGCGTGCAGAGGGAGGCAATTCATGCTCGTCTAGGAATCGAATGTTACGACCATGAACCACCAGTGCATTCTTTGCTAGATCGATCAGACATGAATGTCTTTTGAGCATATCCAGACCAAAGAGGAGCTCGGTAGTCCTTCCCTCCATGATGGTAAAGGAACAAGGCAAGAATAGATCATCTCCTAATTTGATCTGAGCACTGTGAACTCTGCCAAGAATCTTTGCCGTACCTACACCTCTTGCAATTCCGGCAAATCTGGTATCGATCAAACGCATGATTCCACATTTCTCTGCGCATTCTGGACTCATGATGGTTGCTTGAGCGCCTGAATCGACGAAAGCTTTGATAGGATGTCCGTTTACCTGTGTTTCTACATACAACATTGTCACTCTACCAAAACTTTCAGGATTGAATTCCATCGCACTTCCAAAGTTTTCCATCACTTGTTCTTGTCGAATTGCTTCTTCGATTCTTCTTTGTGCATCAATATCAAATTCATCTGCATTGGCCAAAGCCATTGCCTGTCTTTGTGCTTCTTGATTCCTTTCACGTTCTGCACGTAACATTTGAATGAACTTTGTTGGATCTGAAGCATTGACTGCTTCTGCTAGCTCGGGTCTTTGAGAGCGTAATTGAGCCATCAAAGGTGCATTGCTTAACATTTCCTGTCGAAGTGCTTCTGCTTCTTGTTCGGGTGTTGAAGGCTGTGGTCTGGCCCCGGCGGCAGAAGCGCCTGTTGATCCACTACCCGATGATTGAGCGGCAGATTGACTTTTGTGCAACATCAACAGATCATCTTCCTTCACGCCCAAGGATGAAAGTGAAGCTTTATCATCTGATAAAAGTTTTCCGTTACAGTACAGTTGTTGAGATGGTGGGGGTGTAGAAGTATCTGCTTCAAGAATCGCTTTCAGATTTTCCAGCGTCATTGACAGATCTCCATCAACGTTGAGAGTGTCCTCATCGGTGGCTATGGTTATCATCTTTGCTAATTGTATAGGATGGTGGTATCATCAGAATACGTTTTAAACATACATCAACAACACAAATCATGCAAGTATAATCAACACTTTACCCTGCGTGGAGGCTTCGTGTACAAACTAAGCATATTACGCGTCTAATCAGTACAACGAGAAGAAGATTCTGAACTTTGCACGATGTATGCATTCAAGGGTAACTGTTCTATTGTACAAATGATCATTCAAGTCGTCTTTTCATCTTTCATGGCAGCTGATATCTTTTGTGCATGTGCAAAACTGTGAATCCATATTCGCTATTTACCGTTCCAGCCGGATAATCTTGTTGACCGTCTATTATATATCCTCTTTTAAGGTAAATGGGTGCAGCATGTTGATCGACAGTTGTTAAAACGATAATCACTTCATTTGCATTTGGATCTTTGTCAAGTGTCCTTCTTTTGATTTCATCTTCTACTGTATCGATCAACCATTTTCCTAACCTTTGACCTTGCATGGAAGGATGAACTGCTAAAATCTTTAATTCCCAAAAGACGGATTTGACATACTGAATGGGTATATCTGTTCTGGTAAAGATTGCTCTAGTTGATAGTTGCTCCCCTTGTGGTGTAAGTGAAGCACGTTCGATCGGTAAAGATGATGTAGGAAATCTTCTAGCTGCAATCGTACCTGCAACATATGGTTTCTGTGGTTGTGAAACAATTATACAAAACGTTTTTGGATCATCGCCCAGCTGTTGTTCAAAAATTGACCCTTGTACCATTCTTTGATGGGAATCCAAGATTTTCGTTCTACTACTTTGTTCTTTGAATGCAGCATTGATCGTTATCATCATCCCTTCCACAAGTGAAGCAGATTGATCAATTTCTCTGGGTGTTGTGAATACCACATTTGTTCCTTCTCCATCTAGAATAGGAGGCCGTGCCTGATTATCAATTGTCATCTTCTTCTTCTTCTTGTGATGATCTTTTCGGATGACTCGGTGTTTAAGCCGCCGGTTTCCCCACACGACCTGATTGTTTGAAGAGAAGTAAGGTTTTCTAACTCATAAGCCACTTCGGTGCTTAGATCTTCTTGAATTCCAATACTGCACATATGCTTGTGGCCTCAATTCGGAACTTGTTCGGAGAAAAGGTGTCGTGTTTAGGATGATTTTCGGCGTTTAGACCGAACTTGTTTAAAAACCGAAGAACACGCGAGGTTTAGATGTGATACTTCAAGTGTGACACAGATGCTGACTCTGAAGTTGGGATGGTGACCTTTGCCAAAGACACAATTATTGTTTGTAACATCAATTAGATTACTCGATATTTTAAAGAAAAGCATATAGGGCCATAAAGTGTTCTGAGATCTCAAAAGTCACTTCTCTAGAGAATCTCTTATGATGGAGGTGACAAGGTAATCTTTTCGATCTTGCATGAGACTGTGTTATCACCCTTGCTTGAGGTGACACCGTCAACCTTGTAGTTAACAGAGCTTGAATAAGGATGATCGTTGCACCAGCTCAAATCTGAACCTGAAGCAATAATTTCGATATTCTTGAAAATAACATCGCCAAAGTTCCAATCAACATCGTATAATTCACAATCAAAGATTGCTTGTGTCATCGTTAGACCGAGTTCATACGTGTAACTTGCCTTGTCACCGTTTTCATTCGATACTTCGGAATACCAGTTATTCTTGCCGTCATTTGAGTTACGCATGACATAGCTCAATGTACTTCCAAGAGGAGCACCTACGCCTCCACCGTAAGGCTCGGAAGGTTTACCGACTAGAAGAGAAGAGCATAATTAGGAAAATGACCTTATCGTAAAAGTTAAATCAAGTCAACTCACCGTAATTGTTGCCGAAGAACCAGCCTTTATTTCTTCCATCTGAAGGAGAATGAATCGTTTAAAGTGTCAGTATGATTCGAGTATACACAATAATGACAGACAACGCACCTAAGACTGGTTGCAAGACACCTTGATTGTTATAAGGTTGAAGACCGGGCCACAAGTATGGTGTACCACTCAAATCTTTTGTTGGCACTTCCAATTGACCTGTGACGGAGAGAACGTTGTAAATTTCATAAAAGTTTACAAAGTGTTGATCGGCAGATGCACTCTTTGCAAATAGAGCGGAGCCGAGAGCAACAAAGCTGGCCAAAGATGTGATTGTCTTCATTTTTTGAAAAGGGGAGAGTGAGAATTATGTTTGTGATTTGGTTTGGATGAGAAATTATGGTGTTGTTCATAAATTTACAGGCTCTTTATATACCTTTTAGGTCTTCAAGAATTGTTATATGATGTTTTTTACCTCTCGGCTTTCTATGAGAAAGAATAGATGATGAGGAAGTAATCACATGGGTTCACTGTGAAGTTCCTCTTAGAATCCGAATCATGTCTTCTACATCGCCTAAGCAATGAGCTAGACATAATTTACCGATGAATGATGTCCATGGAGAAACAAGCCGCGGAAGCTAATCGAGATATGGACAAAGATTACCACGAATAGCGTTTATCAAAACAAACAAAAAAAGGCTCCAAATGTCACTTGAAGATTAACATGCTATGCAATATTGACACAAAGAAGCCGTCGGATCTATGTTTATTTTAAGCTTAGAATGAATGAAACAAATACGCTATTGATCGAACATGTTTGTTTTTTAAACACCTTCTTTTACCCCCATTTATGCACAAGTTTGCATCAAAAGTCTCCTTGGTTACCGAATGACATTTATGGAGCCCCACATTTCGACCTGTCAATCATTTCCATATGCATGTACCATGAAGTTGAATGACCATTGATTGCCGAATGAAACTAATCAAAGGAAGTTAAATTAAAGCTTATTCGGCTTCGTGCACCGTATGCTTTTTTTATGGCTTTTTAAGTTTGAAAGAACTTCTTTAAACGCTAAATTAGTATGACCCAAGGGTAAAAAGATATAATTCTCGATCGTTGACAGGAATAAAAAGCGCTTTGATCGGAGATGTCCTTTTGATTACCGTTACGTTATTGTCATAGGCTGTCTTCAGAATATTACGACACAAGGACGACTCGCTTTCGGTCTGTTCATGATACAACTCTTACAGCAAAACTCAAATTCCTCTTAAACTTTCATAAGTATTGTTTGTTGATGGACTTTGCTCGTTGTTTGATTTAGTCTGTGAAGCAGTAATTTACTTACCTTGCTTTCTTATTATGACAACCCTTGCAATCTTTTGAAGAAGAAATCTCTGAGTTTTTACCGGTAAGTGTCCTTGTTGCATCATGATAGTATCATTCTCATCTCTTCTGATCATCTTTAAGCATTTGTGACTATACTTGGTCATGAATTGGCTCGGTATTTGACAATATTGATACACTTTCCTATCAGTTTATCTGTGTTACTATCAAGATGGTTCAAGGTAAGATATATACACCTTTTATTCTCCCTGTATCACCATTACTCTATGTGTGACACAGAGAGGATTATTACTCGTATACGCGCCAAACGAAAGACTGAACGCGTGGCTTTGCGGGTGGTTAATTTGAGTGCGGGAACAAAAACCATTGGAAGAACGCGTAAACTACTTCCCGCCCTGCAACGTATGGGGTTCGATCCGCATCCAACGATCTGAACACAAGCTGAGTTTCTATTTCAAATGCAGTGCACGCAGTGCACACTTTTTTGCTGAGCAAACTTGGTTTAAGTGCGAGAATGCCCCCCGCTCGGTTTAACGGCCGTAAATAAAAGGATGAGCGATTCGGCATTAAGCTCGGCATTTTACCTGTAACCATAAACAGGGTTCGGATTTGTAAACAAATTTCTTGAACCCGCGGACATATCATTTGCTCTGCCTTTCCGCTGAGTAAAGAATCATGATTGCATGTCAGCAAAATATGAAATTCTGGTGGCATAGATTTGATATAAGGGGAAAGATGATGAAATTATTTTTCCCTTTACCATCATCAACTAAAATACCTTTCCTCCGTACACTATGTCCCCTTTAGCTGGGACACGAAAAGATGTTGATGGCGATGGATCATCTTACTCTTCTTCAGGATCATCAAGATCACCTGTAGAAAATGAAAAGCAGATACAAAAGCCACAAAGATCACTCAATTCAACAGAGGATGAAGATGTAGAAGCACAAAGACAATCTACACGTTCATCCGAAAAAGGAGATGGATCAGAACATTCGCAAGAAAAAATAAAATCACACGACGAACACGAAAAGGAAGAAGATGAAAAGATTCTAGAAGAATGCGGATATAATCCAGGAAGAAGGGATTTCATTCATGTTAAACAAAGAGAAAAATTTTATCAAATTTGGCGTCCAAAGAATCTTCCTCCACCGCCACCCGCTTCTTTGGAGGATGCTAAAATGATCCCATTGGAAAATGCAGGACCAATTTCAGTTTTAACATATCAATGGGCACAGCCTATTATGATCTTGGGCTTTCAACGTGCGCTTGAAGCAACAGATTTATACAAATTAGGACCATCACAAGGCAGTGAAGTGATGAGCAAAGAATTTTTACGGTTATGGGATGCAAGTGTAAAAAAAGCGGATGAATATAATGTCAAATTACAAAATGGAGAAATACCGGTAGGTTGGAGAAGAAACCTTAACTGGAAACTGGCAAATGCATACTTTACCCTAACAGGACGATCCAAACGAGCACTCAATTTGGAAGAACGTGAGAAACAATGGCGCTCTCCTCCTCCAAAATCACAATCTCCAAACGATTCAGTCGTAAATCGAAGTGGATATCAAGTTGCACAAGTATGGAGAAGTTTAATGTGGATGTTCAGAAGGGACCTAATGATTGCTATTGTGGTAAAAGTGTTTGGTGATATAGCACAAATGACTTCGCCTCTTTTGATTCGAGTTATTATCGAATTTGGTACACAAAAGTTTGAACATGTCAAAAATCCAGCCGCTCATGATCCGAGTAATGGTGTAGGAGTTGGATATGCAATTGCTTTATTCGTTATGCAAGTTTTGGCAAGTCTGTTTCAACATCAATTCTTCTTCCGTTCAATGAGCGTTGGTGTTCATGCACGTTCAACTTTGATTTCTTCACTGTTCACAAGAAGTATGCAATTAGGCGGTAAAGACCGAAGTCCAGGAAAGCTACTCAATCACGCTTCTACCGATTGTAGTCGAATCGATTTCGCATCACAATGGGGTGCTTTGGCTATCACAAGTCCTTTCGCTTTAGGTTTATGTGTAGGTTTGCTCATTTGGCAAATCAAAGCAAGTGCTTTAGTTGGTTTTGCATTATTGGTTTTATTTATGCCATTACAAGGTATGATTATGAAATCAATGTTCAAGACGAGAAAAGCATCAATGATGTATACCGATAAACGAAGTAAATTGATCAACGAATTACTTACTTCAATTCGTGTTGTAAAATCGTTTGCACAAGAAAACAAATTTTTGGAAAGGTTGTCAGCAATTCGAAGGAAAGAAATGATCGGAATCAGAAGATTATTGATCTTCAGAGCGGTCAATAATGCTGTCGCTTTCTCTCTACCTTCTCTAGCAGCCGTTGTTGCATTCGTGCTTTACAATCATCTTGAAGGCGGGTTCACTATTGAGACTATCAAAGGAATTTTCACTGCTTTGACTTTATTCCAGCTTTTGCGCTTGCCATTGATGTTTTTGCCACTCTCTTTGAGTGCTTTGACTGATGGTTACAACGCAAGCTTACGTTTGAATACAGTCTTTATGGCAGATGCGTTGGAAGATCATTCAGAGCATGATGATACGATCAAATACGCCCTCAAAGTGGAAGATGCATCTTTCCAATACGATGAAGTCAAAAAAGAAGATGATATGCCTAAATCCAAGAAAAAGATGGCTGCTGAAGCGAAAGTAGCAAAACAAGCTGCCACTGCTGCTGCCAATGCAAACAAGAATGATGTAAACAAAAATCAATCGGCCAGAGATCGTATGCGAAATGCCTTAAGCCTTGTTTCAAGACCACAATCAGGCATCAATACACCTCAAAGTGGCGCTGCAACACCCAAAGATCATCCAGATGCAGTCGATCAAATCAAAGCAGAGCATGCAACAGAAAAAGTTTCAGGTGCACCAATGGATAGTCTTGGAACTGCACAAACAGGTGCACCTTTGAACGAAGCGACAGAGGCTGCAATTGATGAATCTTCTTCTGGAATCGTCAAAGCTGCTACCGAAAAGCATGAAGAACCCTTTACGTTGGATCGTGTTAACCTTACCGTGCAACGCGGAGAGTTATTGGCCATTGTTGGACCTGTAGGAAGTGGAAAATCTACTTTGTTTGAATCATTATTAGGAGAAGTACGTTATAAGAGTGGCAGGATCATTTGGGGTGGTACCGGTACGGTTGCTTATTGTCCTCAATCGCCATGGATCCAAGCTGCAACTGTACGTGAAAACATCGTTTTTGGACGTCCATTTGATGAAGAACGGTATTGGGCCATTATCAAACAAGCGGAATTGGAAAGTGATCTTGTCATCCTTCCACAAGGTGATCAAACAGAAATTGGTGAACGTGGTACAACATTATCTGGAGGTCAAAAAGCTCGTGTTAATCTTGCTCGTGCTTTGTATTACGATGCAGATACTTACATGTTTGATGATCCACTTTCGGCCGTCGATCCACATGTGGCAAAAGCATTGTTCCATAATGCAATCTTGGGTCTCAAAGCACAAGGAAAGACTGTCATGCTTATTACACACGCAATTCACGTTTTACCTGAAACAGATCGAATCATTACGATGCTGGATGGACAAATTGTCGAAACGGGAACATACTCTGAATTGGAACATTCAAATGGTGCATTTGCCAAATTAGTAGAAGAATTTGGTGGTGAACAGGAAGAGGAGGAAGAGGAAGAAGAAGGTATCGAAAATGGACAGGAAGGCAAAAATGTCAAGAAACACTACTCCCGTGCAGAGATGACTGATCCTTCCGGTAAAAAGGATCCTCTCAGTCAAGAAGAACGTAATACAGGTGCAATGGGTAGCAAAGTGTATGCAGCTTACCTACGTGCCGGTAGAGGAAATATCTTGTTCCCAATGCTACTCGTCTCCGTTGCTTTGATGCAAGGTGCCACTGTGATCAATTCTTATTGGCTAGTTTGGTGGGAAGGTCTGAAATTTGGAGACAAGCAAGCATTCTACATGGGCATCTATGCCGCTTTGGGTATTGCACAGGCAGTTGCTACTTTCTTGATGGGCGCAGTCTCAGGTATTTTTACCTATTATGCTGCACGTAACTTACATCAAGATGCGATTCGACGTCTTTTATTTGCACCTCTCAATACTTTCTTCGACGTTCAACCAAAAGGAAGAATTTTGAACAGATTCACAAAGGATATGGACACTTTGGATAACTTGCTTCCTGATTCAGCTCGAATGGCAGTTTCTACTTTGGGTACCGTTCTTGGTGCAATCATCTTGATTACAGTCTTAACGCATTATTTCGTGATCGCCGTTGCAGTCGTCGTCTTCTTTTATGCGATCGCTTCGATCATGTATCGTCGTGGAGCACGTGAAGTAAAGAGATTGGATGCTCTTTTGCGTTCTGCTCTTTATTCTCATTTCAGTGAGACTTTAACAGGTCTAGCAACTTTACGTGCTTATCAAGAAACGGAAAGGTTCCGTAGCGATCATCATCGTCATTTGGATATCGAAAATCGTGCTTACTTTTTCTCGATTTGTAATCAACGATTTTTGGGTGTTCGTATGGACGCAATTGGTGCTTTGTTGGTGTTTGTAACTGCACTTTTGGCAACCGTTGGTGCAAATGCTTTGAACCCGGCCGAAATTGGTTTAGCATTAAGTTTCATGTTAACGGTCAGTCAATCATTCAGTTGGGCCACCCGTCAAGTTGCCGAAGTGGAAAACGATATGAACAGTGCAGAACGTATTCAATATTATGCAAACGAATTAGAACAAGAAGCACCACAAGAAATACCAGAAGCAAACTTAGATCCTGCTTGGCCAAAGAGTGGTGCTATTGAATTCAAAGATGCTACTTTACGTTACCGTGAAGGATTACCGATCGTATTGAAAGATATCAATTTATCGCTCAAAGGAGGTGAAAAGACTGCCATCGTTGGTAGAACAGGAGCAGGAAAGTCAAGTTTGTTGACATGTTTGTTACGATTGATTGAATTGGAACGTGGAAGTATTACTATCGATGGGGTAGACATTTCCAAGATTGGTTTAGCAGATTTGCGTAATCGAATCGGATATCTACCACAAGAACCAGTCTTATTCTCTGGAACGATTCGATCCAATCTGGATCCTTTCAACGTTTACGATGAAGCAAGATTGAATGACGCATTGAAGAGAAGTTATTTGATCGCATCAGAAGATGATCAAAACCCAGGAAATATCACAAGTCAACTTTCAAGTAGCGTTCATCTTGATACTCCTTTAGATGAAGAAGGTGGAAATCTTTCTTTAGGTCAAAGATCTCTCGTTTCGTTGGCAAGAGCTTTGGTGAAGGATAGTCAAATCATTTTATTGGATGAAGCAACGGCAAGTGTTGATGTTCAAACTGATGCCTTGATTCAAGCAACAATTCGAAGAGAATTTGCACACAAGACATTGCTCACAATTGCCCATAGGTTAAGAACTATTATCGGTTATGATAAAGTGGCCGTATTCGAAAAAGGTGAAGTGGCAGAATTCGGAACTCCATTGGAATTGTTTGATGCTGGTCATATATTTTACACAATGTGTGAAAAAGCAAACATTTCAAGAGAAGATGTGAAACGTGCTATTGCTGAAGCCGCAAAGCATACAGATACCGGTGCCAATCCTGCTATTACCATACCTGCACCTGCTGCCAAATTAGACATTTCATAGAATCTGTACTTTTTCATGATGCTTTTGTTTTTTGTAATGACATACATACTCCTAAAATTTGAGAAGGATGACGTTGGCGTTCAGCAGAATAGGGCCATTCAATTTGCTAGCTAGCCCACCAGGAGAATTTGAGTGACGCGCCCGCTCAATTAGTGCCAAGTTGAATTAAAGCTTAACGCACAGCCGCTCGCTCCGCACTTCTATTTAACGTGAGAACGGACAACCATCTTACACATCTTCTCAACCATATACCGTTCAACGAGACTCTTACGAACTACAATACCTCATCATAATCGACTAGATTGTGTTCGCTGGACGAGCATCATATCGACAAACAGAGCCGCACATACGACCCTCAGCACGACCAATTGACAAACATGTCAAACTTCTTCAGATCGATGGGTCGATCTTCTCGACCAAAGAAGTCACCAACACTTCCTGATATGCCTTTCGGAGCAGCACAATCTAGCGCTCTTGCCACTCAAGGCGGTGGTCATGGTGGATCAGGCGGGCTGAGCAAACCTCTTTACCTTTGTAACCCTTTCGTTCGAAGTGCATTGATCAAAGGAAGTTTCAAGACAATCGTCGTTTTACCAAAATATGTGGACAAGAATGAATGGATTGCCGTCAATTGTAAGTGGTGCATGTAGGATGCATACTTCCGGTAAGGATGCTAACTTTCCTTCTTTCATGCAGTATTTGACTTCTTTAACAATCTAAATCAGTTCTACGGCATGCTAACGGAATTCTGTACGATCCAAAATAATCCAACAATGTCAGCGGGAATTGGACTGGATTATACATGGATCGATCAGAACAAGAGACAGGTAAAGCTACCTGCACCACAATACATAGATTACGTGATGACATGGGTAGGCGGACTATTAAGTGATGAAGCAACATTTCCTACAAAAGCATCAAGAGAATTCCCACCCACATTTCCAGCAACGGCAAAACACATTTACAAACAATTACTTCGTGTCTTTGCTCATATTTATCATGCACAATTTCATTGGATCGTCAATTTATGTGCTGAAGGTCATTTCAATAGCTTGTTCGCACATTTTATCGCTTTCGGAAACGAATTCGATCTTTTCAATTTTGCCGATTTTCGTGGACCACAGAACAATGCAAGCGGACAAGGTTATCCCGGCGTATGTGATTTGATCGAAAAGTGGGTAGAACTTGGCATCCTGGCTCCTGAAGTGTTGCAATAATCTTCTCATCTACTGTATCAATCATCATTTTGTGCTCTGTAACGATTTCAATCTATTAATGTACATGTTCTCTATTTGGATGATTGTGTAAGCATGGTAGAAGTACATAGTGTTGTTGCACTGCAGTATTGAAGAGCTCTTGAAATGTTTTTATACGTTGGCAGTATTCCCGCCAGCCATTCTGTACCATCGTACCTTACCATCAGCACCTGCAGTGACAAACATTGAAGCTGTCTTTGCACTTTGAGCGGCAGCCGTCATGGCGCTGTTGCTAATAGGCACAGTCTTGCACCTTTTCGATGGTCTTTCTTGTGTCGCATTTCTGTCATCTGCCTCGTCTCTTGCGACCGGTTTCCACTCAATAGCATAGATGTCTTTGTCTTGTTTGATGTTACACAGTGCTTGTGTTGCTGGATTCTTGAAATCCCAAATACGCACACGGCCATCGATCGAACTGTAGAGAAATCAATCAGCAACGCAACCTACATAAAATCACAGATATAGAATACTTACCTTGTAGCAACAATACGACCGTCTGATGAAGCTTTCACTCCCGTTAAGCCTCTTGGATGGGAAGACCAGCTCCGAACGGGCTTCAAAGATGTGGATCGTGACGGCTGCGTTTGGCTGAATAGGCTAGAATTAGAGCTCGTTTGACTCATCGTATGAATGCTGTGTTGACTAAACGTGAAATCGTCGGCAAATTCATCCAAACCATCAACGAATAAATCTTCATCCTCCGTCTCCGTAACCCTTGACGATGACTTTGGTACATATTGTTGAACGTCAAACACCGAAACGTTTCCGTCATTACCGCCTACGAGCAATTCATCATTTGGAGTGAAATGCAAACATTTCACAGCTTGACCACTTGCTTTGATGGAAATGAGATGCTTCTTCTCTTCGATTTGGAATAGATGAACATATCCCTCAGAGGTGCCAAGTGCAACCGTTTCGCCCGAATTGTGCACCAAGAGGCATAGGCCAAAGTCTTTCACTTTTGAGCCACTAGAACTTTCTTGAAATTTGCCGTTCTTTTCAGTTCCATCAGGAGATATCGATGTAATCACTTGTCCGAACTGACGCGAATCTCTGTCGTATGATCGTATGATGAGCTCAGCCTTTGAGCCAGTTGTCATGAATATTGGTTCAGTAGGATGCAAGACAGCGCAATAAGTCCCTGTTAAAATCAGGATGTGTTAGCATTCAACAAACGCCTGATGCATACATTGGCATTGTAGACACTCACTTTTGCTATCCATAGGTCTTGGATTTTGGGCTTCATTGCCTACACTGACTTCATTCATTGACTGAGATTCAGCGCTACTCTTCTTGTTGAGCCTCATACTCTTCAGTAGCGTGAGAGGGAATGTATCTGGCTGCTGCGAGAGAGACGACTCTTCATTCTCTCCAGTGGGAATCACTTCGGATCTCTGCAGCATGGCGGCTATGTCGGAGGTGTCCCACAGAGCAACCGTTCCGTCCAGTGCAGCCGTTAGCACCACTTTGTTCTGCCTTGACGATGAGATTGAATTTATGCAGATTCCATGACCACCTTTTCCTGCTTCACCAAGATATTGCCCATTCGTATCACGCCTGTTGAAGGGATCGAGCTATCTGAATGAGCGCATGTACTGTGCACAAACACGAAATCATCACTTACCACCCATAAAGATGACCTTTGACAGTTCCTCCTAAGATAACACCATCTTCTAGCCAATGTAAGGCAGAGATGTCGTCTCCTTCGTCTACAGAAAGTTGTGAGAGTCAGCATGAGGGTGAAATAGTGGAATATATGCACTCGCTCTTTACTCACTTGGACCATCAGTGCTTTCGATGTCTGCCAGATATTGAAGAGACTATGAGATGGTGTGAGATTGACTGCATCAGTGATCTATACTTTTGACTCCTTTTCGAGTCTACTGACCATTCTTTCCCAGATTACAAAGCGATAACTGTGATTGATGCGGTAAGAGGTATCATTCTTCTTGACAAACAATGTTATCTCCACAAGCATTAAATTACATAAGCACGGGAGCCCAGTTGATTCTTTTTGCTGGGTGTTGTTTGACGCGTTTTTGATTTAATTTCTGGATCTTCTAGACCCGTGCAGTTTCATGCATGCAGGTCAAGTTTAGACTCTTGTTGGAACGTTCGCCTTTCCTCCTCCCTCACCATATTGTAAGAAGAACAAATGCAGAACTTGCAAGGTGAGCAGGAAATAAAGAGGAGCCGTGTTGAAAAGAAGAAAACTTTATTAACCCACAGTTTGACCACCTCACACGATCATCTCACACCAAAATGGCACCTATCGCAGCAGATACAGTTTACAATCTCGAACAAGCAGCTTCTAGCTCGCCAGTACGACGGATATGTTGTATTGGAGCAGGATACGTTGGTGGTCCAACATGCACAGTGATCGCAAGTAAATGTCCCGATATCACAGTCACCATCGTAGACATTAATCCTGTTCGTATTGCAGCATGGAACAGTCCTCCCAATCCAAAAACGGGCAAATTGGATGATTTACCCGTATACGAACCAGGATTGGCAGACATCGTTCAAACTTGCAGAGGAAGAAACCTCTTCTTCTCCACAGAAGTGGACAAAGCTATTCATGAAGCAGACCTGATCTTTGTGAGCGTCAATACACCCACAAAGACATCCGGTATCGGAGCAGGTTATGCGGCAGATATGCATTACGTAGAATCATCAACAAGAAGGATTGCAGAAGTTTCAACTTCTTCAAAAATCATTGTTGAAAAGTCAACCGTTCCTTGTCGTACGGCTGCCTCTATGCGACAAGTTTTGGAAGCAAATGCAAAGCCTGGTTTGCAATTTGACATCTTGTCTAATCCTGAATTTTTGGCCGAAGGAACGGCAATCACCGATCTTGAGAATCCAGATAGAGTTTTGATCGGAAGTTTACCAACCCCTGAAGGACAATTAGCAGCACGTAAACTGCAAGATGTATATGCAAGATGGGTGGAAAGAAAGCGCATCTATACAACAGGATTATGGAGTAGTGAATTGAGTAAGCTAGCAGCAAATGCTATGCTCGCTCAACGTATCAGTAGCATCAATGCAATGGCAGCCATTTGTGAGGCAACAGGAGCAGATGTAACAGAAGTCGCACATGCATGTGGATTGGATAAACGAATCGGTCCAAACTTTTTACGAGCAAGTATCGGATTTGGCGGAAGTTGTTTCCAAAAAGATATTTTGAACTTGGTTTATTTATCTGAAAGTTTAGGATTACCAAAAGTGGCAGCCTATTGGAAACAAGTGATCGAGATGAACGAGTACAGCAAAGAACGATTTGCAAGAAAGGTAGTCTCTACCATGTTTAACACAATCACTCAAAAACGTGTTGCTCTTTTAGGCTTTGCATTCAAAAAGGATACAGGAGATACCCGCGAATCTCCAGCAGCTACGATTTGCAAGCTTTTTAGACAAGAACGTGCTCAAATTACAGTCTACGATCCAAAAGTTCCTCATCATCAAATTTACCTGGATATCACCGAACCCGGAGTGATTGACGATACCGAAGCAGCAAAGAAGCAAGTTCAAATCGCAAACTCTGCCGTCGAAGCATGTGCAGGTGCAGAAGCAGTCGTCATTGCAACTGAATGGGACGAATTCAAGACTCTAGATTGGGAAGCTATTCATGCTTCCATGAAGAAACCGGCATTCTTGTTCGATGGAAGAAATGTGGTGGATGCCAAGACGTTACGCAAGATCGGCTTCCGAGTACATACTGTTGGTCGTGGTCCCGAAATTGTTGACCCCGTTTGGGCCTGATCCCACCGGTTGTTTTTTCTTCTATCTCTCGTATTATTTCTGCTGTACAGCTTATGGGCTCTTTAGACGAAAGACGTTTCACATGTTTCATATATACATTCTCATCTGCCAAAAAAAAATACATCGTGAGCTTCGTTAAATTTCCTTCAAGACATTGCTTAAATTCTCCAAAAAGATATCTGCATGATGTTTTTGGAAGACTAACATCGGTCGTAATCGAATCGCTTGTTCTCCACATCCTCCAAGATGAACACCTTTTGATCGCATTTTCTTGATCACTTCATCACGCTTTTCAGGTGTTTCTGCATCCCAAGCAATAAATGTTCCTTGATCTTTTCCACGTAAGTTGAACATCTTTCCTTTGCCGTTTGATTGAGTGAAGTTCTCCAAATTCTCATAAATGTATGCTCCAACTTTTGCTGTATTGTCCAATAGATTATCTTCTCGCACCACACGAAGGATCTCTCTTGCTTGTAAAGCACGAGTTGGGTCACCTAGCCATGTGTTGAAATTACGATAAGGCAAGGATGCTTTCAAGTCAAGATTATGATAGAATCCAGCTGCTTGTAGCTTTTTGCTGAATGTGACTGCATCTGGTGGCGTAGGTAGATTCCACTTTGAATGGGCCCAAAGAGAACCAGTTGCCATTGCAGTCTGCACCTCGTCCACGATCATAAATACGCCCAATCGTTGTGTAAGTTCGCGAAGACCTTGGAAGAAAGCAGGTGAAGCATGTTGATCACCACCTTCAGAAGCAATTGGTTCAACGATCAATCCCGCGACAGGCTTTATCTCACGTTGTTTGATAATCGTTTGCTCAACTATATTCAAAGCATCTTGTTCGGCTTTTGCATTTTCAGCTGCAAATTTGTCCAAAGGATATTTCACAGCTGGCCAAGGGCAAACCGGCCAATCGAAAGCAGGAATATCAATTTTGTGAACAGCTTTACTGCGTGTCGCACTGAGTGATCCAAACAAGCGACCGTGGAATGCTTTTGTGAAACTGAGGATACTCAAATCTGGAGCACCTGGCTTTTGATTACGCATGCAACTGTCCAATTCTTCCGGTGTGAAACTTACACCTTCACCACGTTCACGAGCACGATAAGCCATGAAAACAGCCTTGAAAGCTGTCTCGTTGGCACAACTTCCACACATTGCTGTGAACAGATGATCTAAACCTTTTGGACGAACATCGTTTGCCAATAATCCAGTTTCGATCCATTCGGCCCATTTTGCAGGAGGAAAGCTACCGAGAGCAGGTCTATTCATCGTTGCTTTGATGAATTCATCCGATCTTGCTAGCTCTAACAATCTTGGATGATTGTAACCGATTGCGATTGATGCAATTTGAGCAAACATATCCAACATTGTATTTCCGTCCACATCTACGATCCAATTACCAACACTCTTTTCATAATCTACGACGAATTGATGTGCACGTTCTTCTTGAAATGATGCGATTACTTGACTAATTTGAGAGGAAGAAGGTCCAGGAATACTTTGTGAGACGAGATGTGGTGCTGTAGGTTCATCAGCAAAGAAGGACTGTTGTGCGGCCGTTGCCAATGATCGACTTTGAAGTCTTGTAAGTGTTTTGACGTTTGATGTTAAACATGGTCGAATGCTGCGATATGAAGACCTTGCGAGAGATCGGGTCAACATGGTGAAAGAAGTGATAGAGATGAAGGAAGAGAACAAGAAATGAGTCATGCATCTCTATCAATCAAATGCTTAATCTTGCGTGCTTTGGCCATTCCATGCTGCATCTTCCCTTCTTGTCCACATACACACACATGGTCAGCATAGCGGCTAACGCGGTATTTTATCCGTTAATGCTTAAATTGATAAGCGTGGGGTAACTTGTCACATTTGCATTTCAGCCAGTCAGTCACAAAGCATTAACAATTAAAAGGGAAATACTTTTAGCGTGACAAGCATTCATATTGGATCTTTTTATCATCCGCAATCACTATTCTGCCCAATGGCTATAGAACAAACAAAAACAGATTGGCAACCGACAATAGATATCAACAAAAATGTAAGTTCATCATTCGTTGAACCTGAATTGGCAGTGCTAATGCACTTTTTGATGGATGAACCTGTGGATTTTCGTCAAAAAGTGGAAGCGACAAAGATGTTGATTGGTGCTAGAATACAGTCTGGCTTACAGGATCAAGAAGCGTACACAATCACATTCTTTGAGCTTTTACTTGGTGCTGCAGGTGGATTGGCTGCTGTTCTGAGCACGCCAAAAGCATTAGGAGGGAGTGAATCGTATTCAAGTATTTGGCAAAGTGGATTGTGCAGTTTGGTACCTTCGATCATCCAAACAATTCAGGCAGAAAGAACAGATGTGGTACGCTCGGATAGCGAGTTGGATGATATCGAAAAAGCCTGTCATCTGTTTGTAGAAAAGGCGAAATCTCTCATGGATAAATGCGAAGTCCATCGAAAGGCAACCAATTCCGACAAGCAAAATGATGTGGAGAAAGATGCTGATCCGGACACGATCATGATGGACTCACTGATCTCCAGTACAGGAGGTGAAGGGTCTTCAGAGCGTAGTTCAATCCAAGCAATGTTGGTTCAATCTTTGGTTGACCGGGATGCCGTTAGACTTGATCGGTGGCAGACTGGAAAGCATTCTCTTGCAGAAGCAGAAATGCTCCTGAGACCTTCGCAAATCACAATGGATGCAAAGCATATGTCCATGACTGTGTCAGAGTACACTTCACAACGTCTCCTATCTGGAGAGGCCCTTGACGATCCCAACTTTGTGGAAGCAATCGAGTCTGATTATTCCACCCAAGATCAACTCTGTCGCGCATTAATGGAGTCTATGCTAAATTGGGCAAACAATAATGAATTAGAACCGCTTTCGAGAGCATGCTCTATGTTGTTGGAAAGCAGCTCTGCTTTACAGATATGGCTGTTCTTCGTTTCTCCTGCTCAAGCTTTGCAGCCTATTTGCGTTATTCTCGACAATCCAGATCTATTGCAATCTGGTGAAGATCCTTCCGTTTTGGCACCTATTGTATTATTTGGTCAATTCGTGATCCAGATCGGATTGGGTTCAGGTGCAAGCTTGGAAGACTTGTGTCCTTCTTCACGCTCTCGCTTCTTACCTTCGGTTATGCGATCATTGACTGCTACAAGACCGTTGGATCGATTATCAAAGATGGAACAAGAAACTGTTGCAAATTGGATTACTGCTTTGTTTGGAAGTGATGGAATTTCTGATGATCTAATTCGAGCTTCTTCTCCGCAATTACTAATGCGAATCGCTCCTACAATCTTCTCGCAAGCAATCATTGCAACATCCACAAATGTCATCGATATGGACACTCTGCGTGGCGGGCTGACTTACTTTCTACAGGATCTGCTAAGCTATACTTTACCTGGTGCGTTAAGATCGGTCGCTAATCAAATCCAAAGAGGTCAATCTGGAGAAAATGCAGATGCAGAAAATTCAAAGAAGTACAGAGAAGTTTGCATTGAGGTATTACGATGCGTTTTGCTGGATGAAAGTTGTTCTGTGACGATTAAGCGTCTCGTTTCACAACAAATCGTTGCAGTGCTAGAGAAAGATCAACTTAAGGCGCCTCTCTCCGACGCCGAACAAGGTTTGCTACAACATTTTATCCCATTCAATCAATCTCAAACCAGAAGAACAGATATTTGGATCAAAGGAGCATCTTCAACAATGTTGCCAAGTACTTTGGATCCTTTGTTGAACATGAACGCATCACTTTACTCAATAATGACTCAACGTGGATTAGACGCAGTTGTTAGTCTTTTGAGAAAAAGTGAAAAATCTGTAATAATTCAAAAACCAATTTGTTTCTCCCTTGCTTTGATAGCATTGCAAGATACAAACCAACCAAAATCATCTTTGGCAGACGAAAATACAATAAGGATCATCACCCAACTCTTACAACAAGATCGTTCAATCGATTTACGCTTATTGCTCACCCTTTGTCAAGCACATTTGCCTCATATCCACAACGCTATTTCGGCATTTTTACAGCTTGAAAATGCTACCAAGAAACGAATGCTTTCAGTGTAATTTGTACAGTATTTGCATAGTTTTGCTCCATCTCACTGGGAAATTGTTCTTTACTCTGCCTTTGCCTGAATTAGTCTGTCTCACAAGAAATCCTTCTTATGTACACTTCTCAAACTCGATAAATGTGAAATCATGATAAAGATTGACAAGATGAAATGTGTATGAAGATGAAGGGTATTTGAATGTGTATCACAACGATCGATTATATGATTGATAGAAAAGAAAAGAGAAAGAACGAAAAATAAATAAATCAATAAAGGGGAGAGAGTAAAAAGAGAAAAGAACAATGTTGGATATAAAATATCCAACATATTCTTCAATTAATGATTGCTTCCACTTAAAACGCTTTCTCTTTCTTCCTCTACATTGCTCAATGGCATTCCAGGTTGATAACGTTGTCCAAATCCAGGTGGCATTGCTGTTGGGCGATCTTCTGCTTCTGCTCGTAAAGCTTCTTTTGTTAATTTGTTCGGTTCAGAAGGCGTTGTAACGGCTGCCGCAGCTGCTGCTCCTGCCATTGCCGGCGTTTGATCAAGATTAGAAAAGAGTGTAGTTGCAGGCAATGTAGAAGCAACAGAACGATTTTGCGTTGAAGATCGTAAACTACCATTCCTGCTCATTTCTTCTTCAGGATCCGGAGAAAAATTTGATGCAGCATCTTCAGGGTATATTGAATCAGTATCGATCCCGATCGCATTGGAATCCATCGAGTGACGTGATCCTGGCTCGCTTGGCGGTAGCATGGGCGAGGAGGGCACTTGGATGGAAGATGACGATGACGATAGAGGAGGTTGATTTGAAGATTTGGGTGTATCCGTGCTCGTTTGTGATTTGGGAGGAGGTGGAGCATTGTTTGCTGCATTAGCCGCAAAAGCTTGTTGCCTCTGTCGCCATTGAGATGGAGAAGATGATGATGAAATTGTGTTGCTTGCGTTAGGCGTACTTGCGGCAGCCGAAGTGGCTGGCAAGCCTGAAATCGAAGCAGCTGCCGGACTGCTAGATACCTCTTTCGTTGGCAGAGGTGTTGAACTAGCAGCGGATTGCTTAGGCGATCGGTTGGGTGAGATTTGTGCGCCTTTTGCCGGTGTTGTTGGTGGGCTTAAAGCTTCTTTTTTGACGCTCCCAACACTACTATCGCCAACGCTGGCTGCTTTGTCTGCATTGCCGGTGCTCTGTGGTGTGATTGGTTTGGCCGGCAATCCACCGAATTTGCTGGTCAAATTGGCTACACGACCAGAGAAACGGTCCTTAGCAAAGGGATCATCACGAGAACCGGCAGGACGTTCGGATGTAAACGGTGATGGTGTTGTCTTTGGCGAGGCTTCTAGACTTGCACCTGTTCCAGTCTTCGTTGGAGTCAAATTTGCTCGTAAAGTAGCCACTGCACTCGTCGATGATACTGCACCTACACTGGATGTAGGCGAAGAAGACTCACGTCCGGCCGATCGTAAACGTTCTTCCTTTCTTCGCTCCAAATCACTCATAGCAATTGGATTGAGATTGGCACGTAATTCCCTGGCACGCTCTTTGGCTGCCTCTATACGTGCATCCCTCGCCTTTTCACGATCTTCTTCTTTGTCACCGGGCTTGAACCCAGGTACGGCACGAAGATAGGGCAGCCTAGGAGAATTTCCGTTTTCCTCTTCAGGTTCGTCGACTGGTTCCGCCTTCTTGCTTATTTCGATCGGTTTGGTAACTGGCTTCACTCCGTTTGTATCGGTAGGAGTTTTGGCAGTAGGATTGACCGTTTTCGATGGAGTAGAGGGTGATGATGGGCCATTGCTTCCATTTGTAGTTGTGCGAGCACTTGTATTTCCAAGGGCGGCATTTGGACTTTTCCATGAATGTTGTGATACTGGACTTTTCGTAGGCGAGATGCTCAAGATTGTGTCAGTGGTCTCTAGATTTTGCAAAGAGGATTCACGGGTTGGCGTCTTTGGTTGAGGTGCGTCTTCTCTTGACCAACCTGCAACATCAATGGACATCTTTTGCGTTTTGCTCGCTGGCGATGACAAGAATGCTGATTTTGCATTTCCGTTGCTTGGGCCACCTGGAGAGCTGGCAGAATTGGGGAACGGTGTTGCATCTGTTGCCGCTTTCCCATGCAGACCCTTGCCTGAACGTTCTCCTTTGCCATCCTTGTGAACCGTGATGTCCAACCACGAATCATCTTTGGACCTTCGTTTATCTCCACGCATGCCACTCTTCAGCATCTTGCCACGTTTGTTGTCTGCTTGTGCAAATGCATCTAAGTCAGGATCTCGTAAGCTTCTTGTTTCGAAATCATCAGAATTCCAAGACATAGATTGTTGAACGAATCCGGGAGGAATGGTCTTTGGTGGTGGTGGTGGCGCATTCACACTTCCATCCTCTTCGTCATCTTTGGTTGTTCTGCGAATTCTCTTTGATGCTCTGCTCTTGAGAGACGTTAACAATCGAACACTAGAGGAAACAAACTGACTCTCATCTCCAGTCTGCTGGGGAGAAGAATTGCCCCGGATCGTACTTGTTTGACTGTCACGTCTTCCCATATCCACAGCTGAAGATGGCGAAAGTGTCAGTTTCTTCGTTTGTGTACCTAGACCGGGCTTGAAAACTTCATCGAAAAATGAATCACCTGTACCTCCTGGAGTTGGAGAGGAGTTATTCATCGCCTTGCGTCTTTTGAACATATTCAAAGCACGTAGACTTGGTCTACTGCGATTCTTCTTTCGTCCTGCAGCTTCGAGCTCAGAACGATATTGAGCTGGAACTACTTCTTCGATCACGAACCATGCCGCTTCTGTTCGATCATCGGATTGACTTGTGGGAGAGGATGCAGATGGAATTTTATTCTTAATCGTGGACGAGTTGGGTCTGCTCTTGAATTGTACAACAGCAAAGTTTGCATTCCTGTGCGTTAGTTCATCACGATTGTGCCATCCATTTCCTAACAGAATATCCGCATACACCTCTGGGAAGATATCGTCCATGCGTGAAATTGGTTTTTCCTGCCATTGACCTTGCGGATCTCCACTCATCGAGGGGCTACTGACAACCATAGGAGTTGTGTCATAATTAAACGCAGGCATTGCTTTGTTGGTCTTGCGGATTTTGTCCAAAAGTTCTGCACGATCTTCCGGCCAACGTTTTACGTCTTGTTCTAGCAGATCATCAAAAGCCAATACATCATTCAATCCATCATCGGCAGGATTGAATCCGCTCTCTTCGAATTGAGACCATTGCAGGCTCTTTCTGCCTTTCATGCGTGCCTTTCTTTCGCTTTCGGTTAAATTGAAAGCTAGCTTGTTCGGATCAGATCCACTGAAACCTTCGTGCAAGAATTCTTCCCATGCCTTGTCGGCTAAAGAAGAGTATGCTTCTAGATCTGGTGCTGGCTGTTGTGTTTGTCCGCTCAAAGGTTGTTCCGCAGGATGTCTTCCAGATCGTAAATTCATCAGTTTTCGATATCTGTCTGAGACTTGAGGTTCTTTCTCAACGCCTTCTCCCCGTCCCATGCAAGCTGCCCATTCAGGCGATTGGCTAGCAAGATCCAATTCACGGCTCTGCTGGACCAGATCAACACTGTACAGTCGCACAGATCTACTGACAAGAGTGAATGGTACACCGCGAACACCGCGACCTGGTCGTGTTGGGTTGCTAGATAGCATGGAAGGATAGCCTCTGACATGATCAGCCAATCGCGTCGGTAAAGGTTCCATCGTGCTCATGTCACGAATATAAGCCAGTAAAAGATGCTCCGTTGCATTGCTGACCTTTACGTAGGCATCATACGTCTTTTCAAATGTTTCATCCTCTGGCAATCCGAAAATCAAAACGCCAAACATTCTTGCAAGGCGAGAAGGCGTCATGCCGTTTCGCAGACTGTATGACGTTGTTGAAGATAACAATGAGAAAAGTGCCACCAAAAGAGCAGCTGTAGACGAGGTGAGACCGTCTAGGAATGCACTGAAGGATGCGATCGGATAATTTGCGTTCTTTTCGTACGTTGACCATACCACATAGCTATCCCACTCTAAAAATCCTCTTTGATGGATAAACACATTTTCCTCTTGTTGTGAATCCCCTTTACGCGAATTCATTTCGAGCGCAGGAACAGGAACGGGAAACACTCTGCCCAATCTTGATAGGGACCATTTGATTACCGCTGCCAAGTCGTGCGGGTTTGCAAATTTCGTCTCTGAGGAATAGAATTCCTTCGGTGAGGTGAGGAAAGACCGGATCAAAGAGGTCACATTATGATGTGAAAGGTCCAAAGCCATTGAGGAAAAGATCAAAGGTGATGTCAAACCACGCATTCTGATCTGTTCCCCACACATCAGAACCAATTCTGCTACGTGAGGAACGTCCATTTGCTTATCCCAGCCGATTGTGGTATATCCATAAGGAGTTGGTTGAGCGGGAGCAGATCCGTCAAAGTTCACATTTGCATTTCCGCCTTGAGCTCGTGCTTTTCCCGAAACGGTTGATGAAACATTGGAAGGTTTTAGCACGACCGGTCTAGAGGGTAAGGTTTTATGCATTCGAGAAGTATGTGGTGGGTTAGGTTTGTGTGCTATCGTTGACTTGGAAGCATGTAAAGCAGGCGCACCAAATTCCGCATATTTGTTTGCCGCTTTAGGAATTTGTTGAGGCGAAGAGAGTGATTTAAGTGGTGGGTTTGGAGAAGAGGTTGTATGTTGTCTTTGTTTAGTAGCGGCAACATTCAATGCGCTCTTACTATTATTATTCATAGATCTTTCAGACAGGATTGGAGATGATGTCCTTCTGTGATGACCTTGCTCGTATTCTTCATCATGATTTCTGCTTTCCATATGAGTGAAATCTTTTGGATCATATACCAATTCACGTGCATCTTGACTGGAAGGAGAAGGTGGAAATTTTGCCAAGTCTGTTGAAGAGATTCCGGGACCATACTTTGATTGAACGGGTTTATTCCCTCTTGCGTTCAATTTGCCGAACAAAGTAGGCATTTTGACCCCATCTGTCAAAAACACATACAATTGAAAGTAACGATGATGGTGAAGATTAATGTAATTGAATTAACCTTTGTGGGCCCAAGACTTTGTTCTGTTGCACTTTGAGGGGTCTAACCCCAGGCTAAGGAAGACTCTGTCTGTTGGCCCAATGCCTTGTGTGCGTGTGTTGTAAGACGCGTTGAATGAACCTTTACTTTGAAAATGTCCTTTTAAAGTGCCGGCGCCGTTGGGTTGAGTGTATGCATGACAGCTTTATCATCTCTACACTTCAACTCCGCCGCTGGATTTGCTTCCGCTCTCCGTTTGCGCTATAAGCTTGGCTGTCATGTAAGGTATCATTCATACTACACTTCTTATATAAACACCATTAACGAGTCTAGGGATGGTCACGAGGAAAAAATTGATAGAATAGATTCAACGATTCATTCATGTATGTACATTTTTAACGATTCTGGAAATTCTTCAAAGTACGTGGTTATGACAATGTGAAAACAACAATAACAAAGAGAAACTACTATTTTTAGTATGGTACAGTAAAATGGGTAAAATATCGGTACTTAGGAATCAACAAGAAAGTATGTTTAGAACGAACGAAAGAAATGCTTTTATTTCTTTGCCTGTGTATGATCAGATTGTTAGGATTCCTTCTTCATCCCTCTCATCTAAATCATCACGAAAGCCGAGGTTGGTAGGATTCAAAATTGAACCGAATAAAGGTGAATGGAGTGGCATGCCAAACACGGATGAAGGTGGTTGATGTTGACTTGACAAACTGGAAGATGGACTTGTGGTAGGCATACTTCCGCTCATCGTATTCGTCACGCCGGCTTGACTTCCATGTGTCATTCCCGTCAACGAAGGAGATGACGAGAAGGCAGAAGAAGAAGGAATATCGATTGCTCCGCTAGCCTTATTCTTTCCCGACGCAGCAATATCTGGCACGGCAAATTCGCTGACCTTCTCACCAGTAATCTCTTTTGACAGACCAGATGGTGGCAATAGCTTCGATTTTGATGCCAGTGGTGATCCATGAGGTGATGCATCAGTGATGCTCAACCTCGGCAAAGCTGTCGAAGGAGAATCAAGCAAGGCGGATCCGGCATTGGTTACTTGAGTGGACGGTGATTGAGAGGATGAATCAGGCACGTCTTCAGTAGCGGCAGATTCCAAAGCTGACTTCAAAGCAGCTCTTCTTGCTTTGCGTTCACGCTTCTCTCGTCTGGTCGTCATCTTCCGTGTGTCATTTGCACCATTTTGACCTTGAACAAGTTGGTTCACTTGGTGATGACCACCCAATTGGACATTTGGAACTGCTTGTCCGTTACTGTTCGAAGGCCATAAGACAGGTGAAACAATAAATGCATCGCGCATTGTTGTCATCTTTGGTGCTTGACCCAAGTGGATCGAGTCACCTCGGGTTCGACCACGGAAAGGTGAATGTTCTGCTTGCGCTCTAGAAGAAGCTCCATTCTTACCACCATGTTGACCGCCACCACGAGCGCGAGTCAACAAGAATGAGCCTAAAGGTTGTTGTTGATTAGCCATGACATTGGACGATGAACCAGCATGAGATGCGGTAACTTGACCATCGCGGAAAGCGCCCATTGGGATACGATGCCATCTTGCAACGGCATTCAAGTTTAAACCGGTAGACTTTTCAAGCGAAGTAGCCGAAGCACCTGCATTCGACGCTTTTCTGGCGGATGAAGGCCTCATAGCTGGACTTTTCTTTCCTAAGCTACCAGCCTTCTCTTCGAGGGACCCATGAGGCGGTGATGATGAGTAAGAACCGCGCCACATCATCGATGCATCCATGACATCATCCAAATCCATCTCATCAATGTCTTCATGCATATCCTCTTCAGGCTGAGTCTCGTGGTTCTCACTGTATTCCGAATTGAGAGCCATTGAAGCAGCACTTTCGCGTCGTAGACGTTTTGCCGAAGACATAGACTGGCTTGGCTGCCTTTTCTTTCCATTTGCCAGTCCTTTGCGTTGTGTGCCAAATCTGTTTGAGAAGGGTGAAGGTGCTTGACTTGATCCATCGATCACTGCCCTATGTATGCCTTTTGATGAAGTGGGCATGAATGATCCCATCAATGGTGCACGCCTGAAGGCTTGATATCTTTGCTGATCAGGCGTAACAGGAATTGGAAGCGGAACATTATTCATCTCAGGGGAGAGATATGCTGCATTGGGGATTCCAGATGCTTGTACATTGCCATCTGCATTATTAGAAGTCGAAGCAGCAGAACCGATGACCAATTGCGCAACTTCATCCACCGTCAAACCAAGTGACTTAGCAGCAGCTTCCAGAGTTGCCTGTGGGTCCCTTGCCAGATCTTCCGTAGAGATGGAAAAGTCGACGTCTTGCAAAGTAGCAGAATTTCCATTACCGGCTTCTGCTACACTTTGTTCTTTGACTGTCTCATTGATATTGGCATTTTGCTCAATATTTTCAATCACATCTTTCGTTGCACTTATTTCTCGTGAATGACCTCGAGCGCGAGCAGGAGATATTCTACGTGATCGAGCGGCTAATGCTCTTGCTCTCCTTGCATTGCGTCCACCACGTGGTGCAACAGAACCCACTAACAATCGGGGGAAAGGCATGTCTTCGTTGGGAAGCTCATCCGTTGTTTCGCCTTCATCAGTTTCATCCCCATCATCATTGCGCCAATTGGTCCATCGAGTACCGTTGAAACCGTCCATAGGGAAATGAATGTCATCTTCATCGCTTTCCTCTTCGCTATCGTCGACAAATTCAAATTCACCGTCAGAGCCAAAGACCGCTTCACCGTCTCCTGCACGCGCATATATCAAGCGTCCATCTAGATCTTCGATTACCAAAAGAGGAATATCGGCTTGGGCAATAGCATCCGGATTGTGTGGCATTAATTGTGTTCCAGCACCGGCAGCCAATGCTTCACTCAGGAAAGGAGCACTGAGCAAGCCGTCTTCCATGTCACTAATGTCCGATTCATCATCATCATCGTCGGTAGTCAATTGATCATCATCGGATCGTGCTTCGAGCTCAATATCGTCATCATCTGTACCATCTTCTGAATCTGACATGAAGAAGTCCGTGAATGATGGTTCAGAAGACGAATGAAAACCGTCAGCTTCTCCGAACAATTCGTCCAGACCTAGCTGTTGTAGCGTTTGTGGAGAAAGTGAGCCACTAGCATTATCCGGGAATGGATCATCATCTTGTTGTGCCCGTCTTTTCTGTGTGGAAGGTGACACTGACTTCTCTGCCCTCTGGGGTGTACTTCCATCCCATTGGCGTCGTGCATCCGCTTTTGCTTGGAGACGTCGTGCGTCTTCGATAATGAATCTTTCTTCTTCCTGGTCGGTATCTCCTCCTTCTCGATCAGAGATAGCTGATCCCAGCAAAGATTCACCGTCACCTGCTGCCCGCAATCTTTCGGCCATGTCATCATCCGAGTCGGTCAGATTTGGATCATCGCTCTCTTGATGGGATCTTGCATCCTTTGCATTCGATGAATTTTCTTCTGGTGCATCCGATAATTCTGAGTCTGTCCCATCGAGATCGTACGTTTCTTTCCGAACAGATGCTTTTCTCTCTTCCTTTTTGCGTTCCGTTTTCCGCTTTGGTGAATGAATATTATTGGATGAAGTGGGGGCATTAGAGCCACTTCTTGATGTGCTGCGAGCACCAGTTCTTGATGCATTTGAGCGGATCGGACGGGAGTTAAACAATGCATCTTCTGCATCGTCTAAATCACTTAGATCCTCATCGTCTTCACCGAAAATTGCACTTGTGGCGAGGCCTGACTTTCTGCCAGATTTCCGACTGCCAGAATGGTGAGATTGCTTTGATGGCGAAGGTGTACCCGAACCAGCGTTGCGTCTGGATGATGAACCCATATTGGATTTCCCCTTCATCTTGCTTTTGCTCCCTATATCGTTCGAAATGGCCGCCTTATTTCCCAGCCCAATACTATCGTTTCTTGATGCGATTCGAGACATATGAATGTGAAAAAAAACTAGGTACGTGTAATGTAGTCTATTCTTTTCTTGACCTCTCTATTTTCACCACACTTTTTAATTTGCTATTTGAGCTCTTGTATCCCTTTGACGGAACAAGTAGCTGTGCAACGTACAAAAGTGTGGATTCCTCTGAGTCGGATGAAAGGTTTGCGACTTTGTGAATGTATGCGGTGTGAATTGACAAGCAAAGAAATGATTATAATCTTCGTCTACCGATTCGAAATGTTGCATGTTAGGTCGTCTAGTTGAAAGTGACGAAAAGAAGTGAAGAGACCAGATCAGATCAAATTTAATGAGAAACGAACTAGCCTGTCAATTATTGCGAGAAGATGAAGCTGGCCGATTTGGAAAGGCGGCCAATTCAGTCAAAGACGATTGGATGTCAATTTGCTCAACACAGGCGTCTGGGGCGGTTGTTTGCTATTTCTTGCGCCTTGAATTGAAGTTGCCGTTATTTCGAGAAATCAAAAGGTATACGATATTCTTTATGATGGCCAGCGAGTATATTGTTTGATGGTAAGGTTAGACGGAGCGGGCAAGCAAGGAGTGGGCGGGTATCTTGGCTGAGCCAATTGAACTACAAAACTTCCAAAAAAAAATTCAAAAAAAATCAGCCAAAAAGAGTTTTGAAATCTAAAGTAAAATTAATAGGCAAATCAGCTGTGTTATAAAATGGGGCTTGTCCTCAGGCTTGGGCCCTAGAGCCGAAGGACTGTGTGGTTGCTTAGACGCGTTGGATACAAACACTGTTTCTACTCTCTGCGCCGGCGCCCGTTTGCGTCACTGTTTATCTGCACGGCAAAGTCTGCTTGCTTGTCAAAATGTCGGGCACTTTTGCTCCGCCTTCCTTAGAAGTGATTATCGGTCCGTACGGATCGCCTTTCAATCCGTCAGGCAAAAGCGCAGTGTCCGCTCTTTCCATATGACTTTATGCGAGTGACGGAAGAATGCCATGCGTTCTTTATTAAAATACAAAGGGAATCCAAAATCCTACACTTTAAGCTCATTGTATTTTTCGGGTACTTTACTAGATATTATATAAGCATGATCTCTTATCTTTACAGTCTTAAGTTATTTGATTTTCAATCTATTCGACCTCTCAGAAACGAATAATTCTATCTCGGGAATATTCGAAGGCCTCACTAAACAATGAAGGATACATAACATACTCCTTCTTTTGTTTTTCTAAACTAAATTATCGTATAGTCAATATTAAAGCCTTTATAGTATATTATAATATTGCATTTTGCAAAATTAATTTCATATATCTCAGTTTCATTTATATATATTTCGTTGTATATATACTAAATAATCGTCTTAAAGATAGGGGATGCTTAACATACTTAGAGTATAGCATTTTAGGTCGACATCTCAATATTTACCTTAAATGATAGATATATCTATTAAAAAAATAAGTTATAAAAAGAACAATAACTTTATAAACCATAAAACCCAAAAAAAGTCTAGTAAGAGATCTGATCTCTGTACGAACTCAATTTTGACGAGCTTCTCCATATATGAAAGAGTAGGGATTCAGCTCTTTATCTTATTCTTAAATGATCAGTACTGCGAAATTTCTTTATGAGAGCGTTATTAAAAAATTTCTCAATAAATGTATTGTATAAGCCACCGTATAAACCAGCGATTCAGAAGTAAACATTCATAGATCTATCTCATCTTGATTTTATGTCAAGACCGAGACTTGAGAAGTAAAAGTGTTTCTCGTATCGAAACTATACACCAGACGGCGAAATAAAAGTCTGCGTCTACACATCTACACAAGCAGGCCTGCAAACTACGCGGTGGCACTTTGCTTGAAGTAAAAGTCGAGCACACCACACTCAAGCTTTTGGCTGCAGACCCGGGTGTGACTAATGGAAGACCAGCCTATTCTAAAAGCCACTTTCTCTGAAGAGATGCAAGGCAATTCATCTTGTAACTCTGATACATAGAATACTAGAATGACTTCATTATTGTGAACAAGAAAAGACTAAATCATACATCATGTACTTTGAAATTCGTTTTCACTATCCATATTTGTACCATGTACAATTTTATTTTCTACAAATTTAATCCCAACCAGAGCCTCCTCCTCCTCGATATGAATCATGACCACCTCCATTTCTACCGTTCAGTGCACCTCCTTCACCCATTTGTCTCATACGGTCAGGGTGAATGCCACCTGATGCGTTTGATTTTGAAGGAGGAGGTCCAGGTGGATAAGCAGGAGGAGGTCGTGAAGGCGGTGGTCCTGGTCGCATTGGAGGCGCTCCAGGCGGTCTTGGAGCGTCTGATCTACCATATGCATATGGATTTGGGGTAGCAGCTGTCATGCCTGTTCCATAGGGTGTTGCTCCTCCAAGGGCACCGGCAGGTCTGGTTACACCCGTACGTGGTGTATAACCACCAACGCCCGCTCCACCACCAACTCTCGGCGTCATTCCACCAGTTCGCATTCCTATACCTGGTGTCATTCCACCTGGTAATGCATGTCCTGGTGTACGACCTCCAGGTAAGTTATTCGACGTTCCGGCACCTGAACGCATGGCACGGGTTGTGTATTGTGTCTTGAATGCGTTGCACAAGCTCACCATATCCGGAACTTCTGCTTCGTTCAATTTGTACCTTCCCGGTAAGATTCTGACTGGCCAACGTTGGATGGGCGCCTCCCTGTTTGCCTTAAAGCCAAGAACAAACAAGCCCGGTCTTTTCTTATCGATAGCAAAACCGTACTGACTTCTTGTTGGGTTTGCTAAAGAAAAGTTTGTCAAGAACTTGTTCAAATCGTCTTCCGTACCGTGATACTTTTCGTGATTCATGAGCATATCGACCATTCTGGCCATTGGTGTAACATGATTCACCAGCAATTCATCAATATCCGAATAAGATGATCCTCCAATGTTGGTCACACGCAGAATTCTACCAATCTCTTGTTGTGGATCTTTATCCAATTCTTGCACCTCAACGTGCTGATAAACTCCTTCATCAACTTTCCAGGTGACGGCTAGATAATCATCACCTTTGCTGCTCGGTCGAACGACTGCTGAACCACGAGGAGCGTTGGCAAGGTATTCTTCCGCTTGACCTGCTTTGAAGTTGTGGAAGTCAGGATGACGAATGAAGCGTGTACCTCGATTAGCATTTTGACGCTTTTGACGAGTTCTTTCTGCTTGATCACGCTCCATCTCTGCCAATTCTCGGTCAAAGTATCGCAGATCTACTTCTGTCTTTCTCTTTTCAGCATCCGCCGCCCTTGCTTCTTCAACGTGTGAAGGTCTTGCACTTAATTCTGCACGAAGGTTCTCCATGTCAACATTGATGATCAAGGCGTTCAAAGTTTGTCCATGCTTAACAAGCTCGTTCGTTCTAGGTACTTGTCGAGGGCCATATTCTGAACTGTCTCTCGGGAGCAGGTATTCTTTGTGAATTGTACCTTCAATACCTGACTCCAATTGAACAATGGCCATATCTCTCAGAATATTTCGCACTTGTACAGTGACAATCTTTTGATCATCGAATGTAGCCCTCGTCTCTCCTGAAAGCGCAACCAATACTTCATCAACAGTAGGCAAAACGAAATCCTTTCTTTGTTCGTGCAAAGGTTCCACCAATTCTCTTGCGATGAATTCCAACATGCTCAACTTTCTCTCTCTTTTTTGACCTTGACGTGCCATTTCTGCCCACAAATTACGCTCATAATCTGCCATATCAATATCTTCCAATTTTGCCCTCCTGCCTTCATCTCGCATCAATTCATCGCACCATTGACTGGGATGTTGATCGGGCAATCTGTCTTCTTCAGTTTTGCGCAAAGCATCAAAGGCGATAAAGCGAGCATATTCGTATGCTTCCGGATGTATTCTTGTTCGATCCAAAGCATCAGCACTTCCTTGCATCTTTACCTTTCTTGCCGTTCTAGGATCTTGTCGAGGACGGATGATCAAGAATGAACATGCATTATGCCATACGTGATTCGGTAAGATCACACTATCACCTCTACTTAGCATTTCCGAATCAGCTGCTCCTACCGTCAATGCATTCCGATTGACCACATATCCACCCAGTTGTGTATTGATTGCACGCATCAAAGCATCCGCCTTCCTTGGACCTAGACCTGAAACAAACCGTAAAAGGCTTGCATAATATGTATCAATGCTACACCGATTGATATCAACGCAGATTGTATTGACGATCGCGACCAAAGCTCGTTCGAGGAACAGAGCAAGCCTTTCGCGCGGAATCAAATGTTGATATGCATCGTAACGCAAAGCCAACAAGTCATCCTGTTTGAGCGCAGCGAACTCTTGAACAGGCGATTGAGCATACCGTGCCAAAGCAAGACAATAACGTGACATTGTGTTTAATGATGGATACTCTTCTTTTGCTCGATCGCTGTGCTGATACAATCTCGCAACGTCATCGTGGATGTGAATAACATCAATCGTTGCAGCATCAATCTGCTCTTGTGTGAGATTTTGGTCCTGCAATTCAGCCAAATTCTCTTGCACAAGATCCTGAATCTGTTTCCGTAGGCTGACGGCTTTCGGTGAGAAACCACTGATCACGATCACGTCAGGGCGGCGTTCTTTTAATAACTGCTTGAATTCTCGAGACGGATCAGGTTTTTCTTCCTTTTGTTGAGAATCGTTCGTACTGTCGTTCACAACTTCCCTCGGTTTATCGAGAGTCTCAAATGCCACCCTTTCACGAAGACGACCTCCCGAATCCAAAAATACCATTTCGATCTCATCCTTTCTCGGATCTCCCTTTCCATTGGAAACAGCAAGTACTTTAGGTACATTGTCTCTTCCCTGCTTCAATTCATCTTCATCGTCATCATCCTCGTAATCTCGGCCATAAGGTTGCTGCAATTGCTTCTGCTGTAGCTCTTTGCGCGCTTTCATGCTCCTGGATTGATATGGCTGACAGTCAATTCGCTTCGTTAGTGCAACCTCACATGCTCTTCCGATGAATTCCCAACATTCGTCTCTTAGCCATTCTTTTGCCCATAATTTGGCAGCAGGGTAGAGGTGATCTTGGAGAGCTTGCCTGATGATTTGTTTTCTCTCATCGTTCCACAATCGACTTGTCTCGCTCATACCTTCACTGCAATACATGTCATAAAGCTTTTGCTCAAATGCTCTCGCATCTGTTTCACGAACAATCAATTCGCTCTCGACCAGCAACTCTTCTTCTGCACGTAAAATCATGAGATATTGTGCAGGAGAGGGTAACTTTTCGTTTGCTAAAACGACCTTGAAATCCGCAATAGGCTTTCTGAGCAAAAACTTGAAGTTGTAATACGGATGTTCTTCATCAATCTTGTACTGTCCTCTGTCAGTCGGTTTTACGCTGAGCAAACCAGCAGTTCGCAAAAGAGTACGAGCTTCTCTCTTGATCGTTGGGTCTCTTCCAATCTCATGAGCCAGCAGTCTTCTTGCTGACTCAATCGCATTGTGTACAGATGAAGGTCCATTTGGTACTCCGATGTATTGATCAGCCAAAGCGACCGGAGTCAATTCTTCATCTTCGGTGAAATAAGCTCGTGATTGTCCGACCAAATTCTCCGCCAATTGAGAAGAAGAAATACTGAATTTCGTAGAGAAAGGTGCTACTGTTGTCGATTTCAACTGATCGTATTGTCCAATCACTGTAGGTCGTTTGTTGTAATTCGTATCACGTCTTGCTTGAGCATCTCGCATTCTTTGCCCGTAACGCATGGTGAGCCAGTCAGCGACATCAGCGACTTCATCTGTGCTTTCAGTCCTTTGCAATAATTGCTCAAATAAGCCCCTGTCTTCAGCTGAAACAAATTCTCCGCCGTCATCACTGAATTGGTTGAACGTATCGCGTAAGCTATCACGACGAGCCAAGAGAGTCTTGAATTTCAGACATGCCGAGACTAAAGCTGAGAAGTCTCTTCGCTGCAGTAGGTCGATGATTCGATCACCTCTCCGAAGTTCGTATTCATCAATTCGATGAGCATAGAGGTACATAGCTTCTCTGCGCAAATTGATGATTTGTTCGACCATCGAACGTACGCATGCAAACCAAGCGTCACGATATTCATAAAATTCGCCAGATTCGCTGAGGAAGCTCTTGTTGCTACGGAACGAGAATCTGTGAGAGACCCATCTGGTGCATTCTACAAGTTCTTCCTCGTTCAAACGACGTTCCAAAAGCGCTTCGCCTTCATCACCGGGTAGGAGAACTTGGAAGCGTTCTGGGAAATCTGCTTCACGAATCCTTTGGTCTTCGAGCGTCATCATTCGTGCTTGAATCGCTGAGGGTTCAAAAATGTCCTCGAAAGTCTTCACTTTGGCCTTTGTCTTTCGTTTTGATCCGTCAGCAAGCTCTTCGTCACCTCCTTCTTCAGGTTCAGCCTCGTCTTCGGATGCACTCAAGAATCTTTCGTACTCTTGACCATCGCCAAAGACATCATTGAGTTCTGCCCATGCCTCAGCGTCAATTCCAGCTCTAGATGGATCAAAGCCGAATCGACCATCACGACGCGCTCTTCGCTCTTCCAGTTCAGCTTTCCTCTTTGCACGTTTCTCTTCTCGTCTTGCTTCCCTTTCACCTTCACTCATAGCTTCATCCATCTCGGATTCATCATCGTCGTCGATAAAATCTTCCATTTCGTCTTCGTAATTGTAAGGGACAGGATCGCGACCACGTCTGTCACTTTGAGCGCGAAGTGCATCGCCTACTGCTGGCATATCCTCGTCATCATCATCGTCGTATTCATCACCACCACGGGCAGTCGCACGTCTTGGCGCGACAATATCTTCATCGTCATCGTCAAACATATGCTGCAAGTCACGTGGCTTTCGTGAGGAGGCTTGATCCTGTTCCATTGCATCGGGCGAAACAGATGCTCTTCTGAAGCGTTTTAATTGTCTCTGTTTACGTTTGATACCGGTATTCTCGGCCAAAAGATCTAAATCATCTTCGTCCAATTGTTCATTTTCCTCCTCTTCCTCTTCTTGTCTCTTTCTTCTTCTTCTTGCTTTTCTTCTTCTTCTCTTTGATTCTTCGTCTGAGCCTTCTTCATCTTCATCTACAATGAAACCTTCCGCTATTCTTCTAGCTTCTTCTGGATCATCGTCTTCTTCTTCGCTACTGTCTTCATCGTCACTGCCGACGACGTTACCTTTTGATTTCATCAGATCTTCCCCTGATTCATCATCATCATCATCCTCTTCTTCACCTCCGATTTCTGAAGGTGCACGATCTGCCTTGTCTTCCCTTTGACCAATCTCTCCAGTCTCTTCGTCATCCTGGAATCGTGGTTGAACGGGAAAATCTGCATCTTCCGAATCCATTGTGAATTGTATCTCACAAAATAACTTTCCTTGAATATGAATCAAGGAATGATATTTATAGGAATGGAGATGGTTGTTTTAAGGGAAATGTTTGTTATTTGTGTTGCAATCAGTTATAATTCATATTCATACCTTTCTTCTGTTCCATCCACACACACGCACAATGCATTCAACATGTCACACACACTGTTCAAGCACGTGATCCGACTCGTAACTCAAAACGCGAGAATGCCAAAATGACTTTTCTCGATCTTATACGCGTGGATTAGATGCTGTAGCGCGTTATAATGTACAATTGTGTTACTCAACATATTCGCGTATATTACAAGTAATTTGTGTTGCTTTTAGAAAGTGTAACACATTATTGCCATTGCTATCACCTTTCCACCAGAATCGCTCTCAGGTCGTCATGGTGATCATCACTAGACCTCGTGATCCAAGCGATCCTTTCTTTCGTGCTGCTTCTACGGAATACAGTCAAGCATATACATCAATCTTGAAAGCATCACGAGGAGCAACATCTTCTTCATTCGCAAGTGGTGCAAGTCCTGTTCTGATCCTTGTATCCGTTGATATCGATGCTCTTTGTGCTGCACGTAGCTTGACAGCTTTGTTTGCCGAAGATGATATCGCACACAGAATATGTCCTGTGGATGGATATACAACCCTTGGCAAGATTATTGAGGAGGACGTCGTAGGAAATGCAGGATTACATACGATTATCATGCTCAATTTAGGTTCACTGCTATCCTTACCGAGCTACTTTACGACTCCCAATAATCCAATGCCAAACGCATACATCCTGCCAAAGACGTGCTCAGTTCATCTGATCGATTCACATCGTCCCTACAATCTGGACAATCTTTTCGCTACATCCGAAATGATGGACCAAATATTCGTTTGGGATGACGGAGAAATTGAAGAGCGTTTAGGTCGAGAAGAGAAGGCATACACAGCACTAGAGTTTATCGATGACATGAGCAGTAGTGAAGAAGAGGATGAAGACAGTGAACAGGAAGGAACGAGTAGCAGCGCTGAGGAGAGCGATGACGATAATCCAGCCGACTCCGCATCACAGACATCTCAAAGACCCAAAAAGAGACGGAAAAGACGTGATCGTGGTGAGGGTGAACCAAGTCCTATGCCAAAGACTAAAAAGCTGCCGGCAAATATTCTTGCAAGTCATAGAAACGTATTGACGCGTTATTACAACAGAGGGACGATGTATGGCATGGGCGTCTCTGCCATCATGTTCTTGCTTGCCGGTCGATTGGGAAGAGCGGACAATGATTGTTTATGGTACGCAATTGTTGGCTTGACGTCGCAGTACATCAATTCACAAATCCCACATGGTCACTATGAAGAACTGGCAAAGTCCATGTCATCTGACGTTCGATCGCTCAATCCTGTCACAAATCGGGACGCCAAGGGACCGGCAAAGCCCGCTGATGCTGATGACGGTCGCATACGTGTTATCCAGAAAGAGCTTCGGTTCACTCTTTATCGTCATTGGAGCTTAGAGAGTAGCATGTACCATTCCTCTTATGTAGCCGGTAAATTGGGATTATGGAAAGAGAGAGGAATATCGAAGCTTCGAGGTTTGATGGCCAAGATGGGATTATCTTTAGCACAATGTCGACAGTTATACGAGCATATGGATTTGGACTTACGACAAACTCTTGTTTCACGCATTGAATCTATCGCTCCTGAATATGGTTTGACAGAATGCGTCTTTCCTTCGTTTATGCGCACGTTTGGGTTCAGAAGTTCACCGATGAGTGCTGCCGATACAGTGGACGGTCTTGAAGCCCTCTTATGCGCCGCACATGGCATTCGTATTGAAGTTGACGCACCAGGATTAGCATTTGGTGGTGTGGGGGCAGGGGTAGGAGGATTACGAGGTGCATATGCGGCTGCTATGGGTGAGGCAACGCAAGGCAGTGATATGTTTGGCACAAAGCGGATATGGCAATGCAAGCCAGTTTCTGGACCATCAAAAGATTCAGATGGAGGTAAGGCACCAAGAACGGAAGATGCAAATGAAACGCAAGATTCCAATACACAATCAGCCGTCCCCTCTCAGGCAAATGCTCATTGGTCACAAAACTTCTTTACTGCATACAATGCTCTTGATAGTCGAAAGACGGAGAATGTTCGTTTATTACGTGCAAGTTTGAGCTTATCAAAAGCGCTTCACGATATGGTGATCAAGCAAGGTGTTTTCATTATCGAAAAACAGATGATCAGAACATTGCGCAGCTTTCGTTTGGTTATTTTGAAAGATGGCCCTGATATGCGTTTGTTCACAAATGTTCAAGTTTTATCTCGACTTGGATTTTGGCTTGTAGACGCTCTTCGTGATATTGTTGAACAGCAACAGAGTCAAAAGCGAAAAAGGAGAAAAGGAGGCGAAGATGACGAAGATGAGGAAAAGTCATCAGCCTCTTTGCCTTTTGTTTTGGCTGCTTTGGACGAGGCAAGAGATCGTTATACCGTTGTCGGTATCAATGCAAGTATGCAATATGGAAACGTCGTTCGCAATCTGTTCGGTTTGCATTTTCAAGAGGCAGCGACAGCTTCGCATGCACGCACCAAACATGATCAATTCGAATCAAGCGCTGTTGAAGTTCGACAACAAGACTTCAGTGCATTCGTTGAAGAATTGCATGCCATCCTTTGAGGAAATTCTGTATTTTAGCTCTTCCTTTTTTCAAGTCTGTTCATCATTGCTTTTAGTCATATACATATTTTTGCTGCATTTACAATACATTTTCTACAATACAAGATCTGATCAAAATCGCTTTGCCCTTTGCTGAATCGCAATGATTTGCTCTACGATCACTTTGGCATCTGGCCTCAAATGGTCTCGTCAGAGTCTAAATCGCTGTTCAGCATGGTTTTGCTCGTTGACGGTTTCTCCTTGCCATTGGTACGACGTCTTTTATCACGCTTTTTCTTGATCGGACTTGAAAGACGCCAATCCTCGTCATTCTCATCGTCGTCATCGCTTGATTTCTCATCGTCTGATGCGAGCACGATGGGAGAATCTAAGTTTCCCATACGCGCTTTTCGACGAGTGATTCTGCGTGGTCCGGATGCTTGCTTGTCGTCAACTGGTCTTGTTGTCTTTGCCTTGGACTTGGTAGCAATCCCGCTGTCAAGTGGAAGTGATGCGTCTTCGTCGATGGTTGGGGTCTCCCTCTTCACTTCTTCCTCCTTTTCAGACTCGGAGGACTTCACCTCAACTTCTGCCAGTAAATCGTAAGCTTCTCTGGCTTGTTTGAGCAATTTTCTGTGATGTGCATTCAATTCCTTGAAAGGCGTAGTCTTCAATTGAACGGCAAGAACAGCAATTCGTCCAACAAGAAACGTTGCTTTGGCAATGGTGTTCTCCACTTCAGCTGGAACCCGTAAACCTTCTCCATCGTTGTTTCCCACCATGGTTCGGGTGATCTTCACCCCATCTAATAAAGTACGCAAATTGTTGGTATTCACCTCGAGGACTTCGTAAAATTCCAGCAAGATTTGGGGAGTAACACTCTCAATGCTTTCGATCATTTCAACGATCTCGCTTGCATCATTTTTTGCTTCTGCCAGGGTTTTCTCTGCAGATTCAGAGACCCAAAAATCTGCACCGTCAGCCATATTGATATTATGATCGTGAATGAAAAGAGGTGGTGGTAGTACGGATTCGGAGCTTTCACGTAAAGAACTTGTAATCATATTCATATCCCGTAACGGAACCGCTCGGACCAGTTGCAGTGAATATAATGCAAATCTATTACAAATCTATTGTATTCTATTCTATGATATTATAATGCTACTCTCCTCTTTTCTCAAATGACTACTCGATCCTTATCGTTTGCACCTACTCCAATGAAAGCACATGCGAATGCAAACAATTCTTGATCTTCTTGCGACCATTCCTTACCGGGTGATCGATAACTAGTCTGCAATAATTTTGTCATCCTTTGACGTAAGATGCGCAAAGCTAAAGCCGTTTTCAAATCATAAAACGTTGTTCGTATTCGTTGACGATCGATATACAGACTTTTTGCGGAAAATTTGAAATCTGCTTCACCACAAAGCATCATCAAAGCTCGATCATCAATCGCTCCCGTTTCCCATGCATATAGCCTGCGCGATTGCATAATGGTGAAATAGACCAAATGGTGAATAGACTTGTGCAATGATCCAAGATGCAACTTGAAGTTCACAGAAGAAGGATGAATGGCAGCAGGTGCATTATTCGTGAGCGTCTTCAATTGACCGTTGCGTGAATCGATTGAAAGCAACTTAGGATACAAGGCTGTAACAAGAGCCGCATTCACTTGCGAAAGACTTGCGCTATTCTCGTCCAAATAAGCAGGAACTCGCATAAATTTGGTCTTCGAAGAATGGAATCGGAATCGTGCACCAACGATCTCTTGGCGTTCTTGGTTGGTGACTTGCACATAACCAGCATCCAACAAATACGTCATGTATTGTTGACGTAACTCTTCAATTTGAATCAAATTGGTCATGTTCAAGAAACATTTTAAACAAAACTGTCTTCCAACTCCATTCTCGGTTGATCTTCTCCATGCGTTGAATGCGCGAACCATTGTGACGAAATCGTTATCGCCTGCGTCGAATGACTTTTTCGCCGCTCTTGCTTCCAATTCACGACCAAAGGGAACATTAAATGGGCTCTTTGCATTCAAAGTGGCAGCAATCGTCAGCGCAGAATCCAAAACCCGCAGATTACATGCAATCAACAGGAACTTTGCCATATATACGTCCAATGGCAAACGTGATAATTGTCTACCCAAAGGCGTGATATCTTCGTTCGTCGTTAGTGCCTTGATCTCCACCAGAGAAGCAACGCTTCTTTGAACATTGATCGCAGAAGGTGCATCGAGGGCTTTGCTCAGGGCATCCTCAATGCTATTCCCGATCTTGACCTTCATCACCTTTAGTTTCAATGCCAAATCCTGCAAGGATAAACGCAAGATTTCCGGAATGGGATGCTCGGCCAAGAAGGAATCATGTCTGAAACGGGTGAATAAATGCCAACAGATTCCATTCTGTACTCTTCCAGCACGACCTCTGCGTTGTTTTGCATTACTTCTTGCCACGAAGCATTCCACCAACTTGCTCAATTGTCTTTTTTCATCAAATCGCATTTCCCTGTGCTTACCAGTATCGATCACACAAGTGATGTCAGGAATTGTGATACCTGTTTCTGCAATATTTGTGCTAAGAACGATCTTTCGAACACCTTCTGGTGGTAGATCGAAAACGAGAGATTGGTTCTCACTGGTGATCGTGGAGTGCAGAGGCCAAATTTGGAACTCTCTCGTTCCGAATCGTTTGTGCGCTTGCAGCATATCATGCAATTTACGGATCTCTGCGATACCGGGAAGGAAGATCAATGTTGCAGCACTATACTGTTGAAGGTGAGCAGGACCGAAGCACATTTGATCAAGCAGTGACACGATCAAGTCATGATTTACGATGTTTTCATCCATTCGATCTAAAGTGCTCACAGTCTTTGGCCTGTATGTTCCGTTTGCAGAGATGTTTGATGGCTGAGATTGTTGTTCCTCATTCTCATCAAGATCGTCATCGTCATCTTCTCCTGTCACTGCAAGTCGACCGGCATTGTTGACGTCATTTGGAGCTCCGTTTTTTCGATTTCTGCGTCGTGCATAGGTAGATCCTTCTTCGATGATGTAATCGCAAAGTTCAACGGCATCTTCGAGCCAATGTACTTCGACTGGGAATGTTCTTCCAGGCACGTTGACTGTAGGACAGCCGCCGAAGTAGGCACTTATTCTTTCAGCGTCCAACGTAGCAGACATGAGAACGACCTTGAGATCCTTTCTCACATTCATCAGGCTTTTAAGAATGATCAAGAGGAAATCTGATTCGATCGAACGTTCGTGAACTTCATCAACGATGATATGGCTCACATCGTCCAATTGACCAGCTTCTAGCATGCGTAAGACGATACCAGTTGTTGCATAAATCAATCTTGCATTCCGTCCAATGTTGTTTTCCAAGCGAACTGCCGAACCGATCAAGCTATCATCTTTTCCCACCGCACCTTTGTGTTCACCCAATTCTGCAGACACACGTTCAGCCAAGGAAATTGCCGAAATTCGACGAGGTTCAGTGACTAGGATTCTGCACGGCAATGCTGCTCGTAACCTTTGCTCCAGAATGAATGAAGGGATTTGCGTAGACTTTCCGCATCCAGTCTCACCACTCAAGACGACTACTTGATTTTGATCCAAAATTTCAAGAAAATGCTCTTTGTAGGCTGCAATTGGTAGATTCTGTCTGCCAGGTAGCATAGTTTGGAAATTCTTGCTGGATTCATGCGAGTTCCACATCCGTTTACCAGCTTCATCCCTGTGCTCAGGTCTTTCTTCATCATCTGCTAGGGCATCGTCTACGACCGAATCTGTCGGCTTCGTGAGAGGCTGTTTTGCACGCAAGGCCTTCTTTGTCTCTTCAGCGTCTCGGTTGGCAGCTTCTAGTCTGGGCCCGAGAACTGTAAGGATATTTTTGAATTGCTTGCGACTCAAATCATCTTTCTCGCCTTTCTTGCACTCAGCGAGCTCGTCCCACCATTCACGGAATCCTGCTGATAGCGTTTTATCTGCTCTAGGATCGATGCACATCAAAGCAGCAATGGCCATCATATCATCAGCAGAAGTTTGGCTTAAAGTTGCCATACCCGTCATTGTATATATGTCCGCCAAACCGTTCAGCCATCGCATAGTCAAACGACTACGGAACATGCGTCCTCCCGTTGCAATTGGCTCGTAACGAATTGTGGCTGAAGGGTTTCTTCTTCTCAGTGCATCACTGAGTATGCTTCTTGGGGCCTTGCTACCATGCACTTTGATAGCTTGTGGAGGAAGATCGAATAATGTGATTTTGGTCTGCGTTGAGGTGTCCATCACTTCTGTGGCCTGTTCGTCGAGGAGATCGCCAAAGAGACCACCTTCATCTGTATCAAGCTGGTTCACTGTTGAATCAAGGGATCCATCACCGTTCGACGAGAGCATGTTGCTTTGTTCCATTGCATTCAAAACATCAGCTTTTGCTTTTGCTTTCTTTGCTGCATCAATCTTGCCTTCCTCTGCTTCCCAGTCCATCCTGAGCCGCTGGAATTCATTGTCCGCCGAAACTTTATGCCAATTAGGACTAATTTGACAATCATCTATGGTAACACGTGCTTTTGCCTTTACAGATTGCCATTTTCGTCGAACGTCATTGAGCTCAGGACTTGTTTCTCCTTTGCACAGCTTTTCGACTTGTGTTGATTTCTTGTCTGCTTGAATGATGAAAAGGCGTGCTTGCGCATATGCCAAATCAGGTTTCTCGAGCGAATCGATCTGATCTTGATCGTCCAATGATCTCAATGCAGCATTGCAGAACACCTTTGCATCTTCGATTGCTTCTTTCGCCTCTGCTGATGAGACGGTGGGTGTATGAGAGCCACTTTGGGTGTCTAATGGTGTATTGCTTCCTGAGTATGCAGCTCTAGATGTGGTACCGGACGTTGGCGCTCGTTCAAAAGTGAAACCGCGATGAAAGGGTGGTCTAGTATCATCAATTGCTAGAGTGTCGGTATTGTCTGTTTCGTCTTCAGAGTTGTCGTTTTCCTTCGTCCGAGATGATTGTGTGCTTTTCCCATCACATCTTCTTTCAACGTCTTCAAGCTCTTCCAACGATAATGCACCAACAAGACAAGCAACACATTCATCGATATCAGTGACACTTTGACATTCGCTCAAAGCAGCTATTGCCTGTTTTGCTGTAAAGCCAAGTCGCAAAAGCAATGCATGTGTGACAAGAGCTTTCTGTAGGAGTTCACTGGCAGCGGAAGAAGGTCGTACATGAGCAAGTAAGGATGAGATATCATCATCTTGCTCCGGTTCCTGTGCTATAGCCGCTGCTTCCTCTTTCTCATTCCCTTTTGCAAATGAGTCTAGAATATCATCTCTTAATTGCGGATCCATTTCAAAGATGGGCAACTGCTTTGAGAATCGGCGATCAAATTCAATCGTTTTCCAGAATCGGGCGACGTCCTTTTCCACTCGGTCACGTAAACGTTCAACAACATTTTGTAGTGCTTGTTCTTCTTCTTTTGCTGCATCAAACTCGGGTTTTATGTTATTCTCGACAGATAATGTCTCATTTTCAATAGCATTCCACCCTACTGCATCGCTTCCTGTTTCGTCAATTGCATTGCTGTCCTTCTGATTTGTCTTTCCTATACCATTTCCACCATTGTCTTCCACATTCTTCGATTCTGATGAGCTACTCGGCTGTTGTGTGGTATTCTTGCTTGGCGTGGAGGTAGTAGCGAATCCACGATTGGCGACCGGCTTCAAAGCCGACTTTTTCTTCTTTGCCATTCTGTGAATTGAGATAGGTTGATGTTGAAGGGAATAAGACCCCTCTGCTAGTTATTGTTCATCTTGTTTGTCTAATTAGTTCAACAGTTTGAGAAGATTCATGACATTCTCGGCTATTTTTATTTAAAGTAGAGAAGAAGAGGAAGAAAGCGCTAAAAGGGAATCGGCAGCCACGCGTCGAGTGTGCATTGAGAGAAGATCTGAGCGCGGCTGTGTTCACTTAAACTCCGAGTGGCGGAGAAGGAAGGTGTCTTGTGTGTGTGTTGGCATTACGGAAGGTGTGTGTCTCTTGAACATCATCTCTTATATATCTCAACCCAACAAGATGATGAGAAACACTTACTTGCTAGCATTGCTCTTGTTTGCATTCATTGCTAATGCTTTGGCAGGTGCAGCATCTAGTAGCGTTTTGGACTTGACAAAGACGGCAGATTTCGAAGCAACAGTTGGAAAACAAAAAGGTGCATTGGTCGAATTCTTTGCTCCATGGTGTGGTCATTGCAAGAAGTTGGCACCTACATATGAAGAATTAGGTGATGCATTCGCATCAAAGAAGGACTCAATCGTTATCGCAAAAGTTGATGCAGATGCAAATCGTGAATTGGGTCAACGTTTCGGCGTTCGTGGATTCCCAACTTTGATGTGGTTCAAGCCAAACAGTCTAGAACCTGAAACATACGACGGAGCAAGAGATTTAACAAACCTGAAAAAGTACGTAGAGGAACAAAGCGGTAAACGTGCACAAAACAAACCTGCAGTTCCCTCAAAAGCCGTTCAACTGGATTCTAACAACTTCAATTCGATCGTAAAGGACTCAAACAAGCACGTCTTTGTGGAATTTTATGCACCTTGGTGTGGATTCTGCAAAAAGGTTGCTCCTGTGATCGAACGTGTTGCTGCTGCATTCGAAAATGAAGATGATTGTGTTGTCGCTCAAATGGACGCAGACAATGCGGCAAATCGTGAATTTTTGACAGCAAACAATATCGAAGTTTCAGGTTATCCAACTTTCCGTACTTACCCTAAAACCAAAAAGGATACGCCCGAAAAGTTCCAGCAAACTGCAGATATGGACGAAACGGAAGCCAAGATGATTGAACACATCAACTCTCACTGCTTCACACATCGTATCGTTGGTGGTGGTTTGTCAGATTTGGCTGGCCGAATCCCTCTTCTCGACACTCTTGCCAGTCGATTCTACGTCTCTGACCCTAAAAAGGATGAACGTAAGAATATCGTTGAAGAGACAAAATCTTTTGTTGAACGTGTCAGCAAATCTACTAATGCATCTGATGCGAAGAACGCAGCAGCAGCATATTACATCAAAGTGATGGACAAGACGATGGACGAACCTTCGTATTTGGAACGTGAAACGAAGAGATTGGCAAGTTTGATGAAAAAGCATACAGAAGGCACAAGTGTTTTGGTTGCGCGCAAATACGACGACTTAAAGAGAAGATCAAACATTTTGGCCAGCTTTGCCAAAAAAGAAATGAGTGAAAAAGCACGAGAAGCTGCTGAAAAGATTACAAAAGGAAAAGATGAATTATGATTGCTCCTGTACAACTTTATACAAAATACTCTTCAGTTAATCTTGTACGTACAAGGATAAATACAAAATGATGGGATGTTAAATAGTAGTATACAAATCTCCAAATGATAAGAAAGTGACGTGAGAGAATATGTTGAATACATTTGCGTATAATGAAGATCGATTAGGCAGCGTAAGGGATACCTTCTACGTTGTTTGACTTGCGCATGTTGGATGCAGATCCTGTATGTCGCATGGAAGCGGATTCTAAGCGTCCGCCATTGTTGTGAGAATCGTCAATTTTCTCATTGGAACGATCGACTAGTGGCTGGGTTTGTTGTTGGTTCTGCTGAACGGCTTGTTGTTCATAAAAGAGCCAATCTTGCAATAAAGTCGTTCTACTTTGATATTCAGCAATAATTTTCAAAGCTTGTCTTCCTCCATCAGACGGCAATTCTTGCGTATCCCTTGATTGGGTGATCGGTTTGCATTCTGTGGTGTTCGTTAAACGGATGTGTCGTAATTTGTTGTTTGGAACATCTTTTACGTAGATCCATTTCACCTTGAATGTTCCCTTCCATTTGCCTTCTTGAACCCAGACGTTGGAGTTGGACGAATAGTCAATCGGCGTCAACATCTCAGCTACTCCGCAGAAGTGTCCGCTTGCATTCACGCTGAAGAAAAGGTATAGAGGACCGTCATTGCTACTTTCCTTGTAAGCTCGGTCTAGTCTTTGATTACCTTTCTCAGTTGACGCCCAGATTTCATGCTTCAAACTTCTTTGTACGTCATCTTCCGTGAAAGACTTGATAACAAAAAACCTTGCTTGAGGCGGATTGATGTTGAAAGTTGAAGGCGATGGATTGTAGCCTTTTGATAAGATTAGGGAACGTACTCGAGGGTCAAGTGATGGATCACTCAAAGGACCCAATACGGGCATTGGTTGTGGTCCCATCGGTCGTGCAGTCTGACCCATCATTTGAGGCATGCCTGTTGTGCTTTGATAAGTATATCCGAGGTTGTTATTATACATTGCAGGAAGTTGAGCGCCCATCCGCATGAGATCATTCGGGTTCGCTGGCAAGCCTGCCGCGTTGCGAACTTGATTTGGTGGAAGCACTGGATTACTATATTGTGCAGCATTTGTACCAAATTGAGGCAGATTGTAGGATTCGCTGTCTCCTCTGCCAAAAGGTACAGTTCCATTATCGGAAGGAGAATCGCCTTGACTGTGTATTGTCTCACCCGATCGTACGCCCGCTGCTTGAATTGCTCCCTCATTCTGAATTCCGGTCAACTTTTCCTTTGAGTATTGCCATCCTTCTTGCAAACCAGGATATGCGGTTTGAGGACCACGCAAAGATGGAATACTTGGTCTGCCTGGAAGTCCATGAACCTGCTTAGTAAATTGATTGGAGATCGAATTGGAGGACGCTTCCCGGTGATGACCATGTCCGATTGGAGGGACATAAGCTGAGGCGGATGCAGGTCCAGCTTCTGGGTAACCTTGATGCTGCCCTGGTCTCCCTCGTTGAGCTAATGCATCTCGGTTGGTGATCAGAGAAGGCAACTTTGGACGAGCTTCACCGCCATAGGTAGAAAATTGAGGTAATGGAGCATCCTCACTTCTGTGCAATGACAGTTGTGCCATTTGAGCGTGTACATCCATCAATGAAGTTGAGAGTTGAGTTGATGAATGTGAGATGGGATCAGATTGCTGCATTGACTCTTCTTCGATATTCCGTCCTTTCACGATATCATCAGAGCGGATATTGAGCATTTCTGCAGTACTTTGCGGTCCGATCGGTGATCGATTACTATCTGAAGACGAGAGAGCTGCACCGATCGCATACATTGGACTGCGATTTTGAGTCCTCTCGTTCGCATTTGGAGACAAGGTAGGAGATTGTATTCCACTGCCGATCGCAGGCTGAGTATGCTCTTGTCGCATACGACCTGCTGCCTGCCTGCCTGCATGATAGTTCAGAGATTGATGACGACGAACAATACCTGCACTCGACCCGAATGCTGAACCAGGGATGATGGGGGAAGATGCAAAAGGTCCTTGATCCAATCTGTTCACATGGGCACTTTCACTTCTTTGATGATTACTGTTTGATCGTTCACCGCCAACGACAGGTGATTGAATCGATTCCATAGGTGAAGTGCCAAATGTTGAGATTGGCTGAGAAGGATAGCGTCTGTGTGTTGCCATGCTGATTTGCGAAGGTTGCCAAGTACTTGAAGCGTCCAGCACTTCGCTTTCCTCCTCTACATTCGGGATCAAACTTTCCTTTCTCTTCATCATTGCTTCCCAATCGTCTTCGCCCTCTTCTTTGCCTCCTGTAATGTCTGAAAGGCTATTCTTGCTTGGCGAGGTCAAAGGATAGGGTGGAAATTGTCGATCGAGTCTTTTACGATAGTTTGAAGCACTTGAGGCAATTGTATGATTCCTTCTTGGTGCAGCGGATGAATCACGCTCGAAAAATAAACGATCATCGTCTTCTACAGTCGATGCCAAGTGTAAACCGCCACCGGCAGAACGAAAACCAGACATGCTAGTCTTGCCTCTATCTGCATTGATATATCCTGCACTACTGCTACTTGTCATCATATTTTGTCCTTGTTGTTCAAAAGGATATTCTTCTTCATTGCTTTCAAAGAGCGTCCTTTGTTTCATTGGTGAGGCTGAGGCTGGCGCCCTGCCATAAAGTGAGAGTTCGGGTGATGTACGTGGTGTCATACTCAAAGGATTCAGAGGGGTGCGCAAGTTGCCTTCTGATTGGCCGATTTGACTTGGATGAGAATAGCGTGATGTATTTGAATCACTTTCACTCCCTGGTTGAGTGGCCCAAGGTGAAATGATTGAATTAGAGGGATGTCGATTCTCGTTACCCTTTATGTCGAATATCTCATTCGCGGTTGGCGAGAATGTTTGGGTCCTTCTTGGAATGGAAGATTGTGAGCTGGATCTGATCAATGTTTCTTGATCGTTTTCATCATCTTGTTGTTTATTTTGATTCTCCCACTGCTTTTGACGAGCGAATGCAGTAGAAGCTGAGCTTGGGAATGTGAAGTGATTCATATTGATACAATGATGATCAACTGGATCCTACCAAGTCACTTAAGATTTGTTCCCAAATTCTTCAAAAGCAACAATTTGAGATTGTCTCTTCCGATGACTGTTGTAGTGATGATGATCATAAAGATAACTTTAATTATCCTTATAAATTGCAATCGTATGCATTAAAATGGATTAAAGGCCGTGCGCGAAACCTGTCACACTTATAGGAAATAAAATTTCCGGCTCCAGATGAGTGGCACACTAATGAATGAATGAATGCATTCATTAAAATCAATCTCCCTATCTTATAAGGACCGTTCCGTAAATAGCCTTCCTTGTTCTTGTCACATCATCATGACATCCGTTAAAGGAGTACTACCGATCATATTGTGTGGAAAGTCAACAAATGTTGCTAATGCAGTAAGCAAGGCTCTTCAGCCGCAAATACAGAGTGAGTCTTGTTGTAGGAATGATGAGCTGTCAAATGAATAGAAGCTCAACTTAATCATAATCAATCTAGTCACACATACATACTTTAGCGTTGAATCAGCAAAAGAAGAAATACCAAAAGTGTTGAAAATCAAAGATGAAAACCGACCTTTAGCAGTAATGCTAGGAGGTGCTTTTGACGATCAAGCATTTTCGGACATTCGTAATGCTGTCTCACAATCTGGAGAAAAGACAACTTGGCTACGCAAAGACAACAATCAGAAGGCCTCGGTATCACCCTCTGAAAATCAAGCAGGCTATGGAGAAGAAGTAGCTTTGAGAGCGAAAGAGTTGCTTCTGAAGTTGGCTTCAAACCAATCACTTTACAATCCCTCGAATGATGTGGAGGTCTATTGATGGGGATGGACGAAATAGAACTCACGGAATGGGTCGATGCTAGATATCTATACTCCGGAAAATAGTAAAGGAATGCTATAATTGCCATATTGTCGGCTTCAAAGCACAAATTCGACACTCGCTTGCGGTAAAATATAAATTGCGTGACAATGATCTCTAGGATTAAAAATACAGTATAGTAAAGGAAGGAAAGACTACTGGTTCCTTTCATTATGGTTAGGATCCGGTAACATATTGTGGATGTTTTGTGGTACCTCACTGATAGCCTGTGTTGGGCTAACGGGTGCACTGTTTCCGCCTGTCACGCTATCATCATGTTGTCCGAGCCCGTACAAGCCTCCAAATTTGGCATCTTGAAAGCCATACAAAGCATTGATTTCTGCCAAAGATCCACTGCCACCTCTGGTGTTTTGATTGGCTTGACTGAGATTCGGAGATGCGGTCATGAACGGATTCGAATCATCTCCGAACCTATTCTGGGTGAATGAAGGATTTGCGCCTCCTCGCAAGAGCGATGCATTCAATCCGAAAGGGATGGAGGTTTTTGTTCGTATCGTCGAGGAAGGACCACCTGGCGCAGCACTCGATGAGATACCCAAGTGGGGAGAATTTGTAGCCGGCAAGCCTGCTGTAGTGCCCGGTGCGCCCCAAATATCATGTTGAACTTGTGGCGAAGGTGCTAAGCTATTCGAAGCAGGTGCCCAAGGTGAGCCTGTCCCTCCAAGCCAGGTGTTCGTATTGGGAGAGTGACCAATGTTGCTGCTCGTATTTGCGTGATTTGTTGATGGGATGTCCAAATGACTTGCTGAACCTCTGCGCGAATTGTCATTCTCACCCGTAAGGAACGGAGCAGATGAAAATGGGAATCGACCAGCAATTGTAGGGGAATGATCGACAGCAGGTTGATAAAGAGCACGACGACTGGTCATTGGACTGTTAGACGCTGATCCGAGTGCATTCGATGGAATGAATTCGGGATTGTTTGGATTCAAGATGGATGAATGCGCTCCTGCATTCTGCTGGGAAAAATTTGGGTAGTCTTGTGAGTAAGGAGCATACATTGCACTATCCTGCTCGACACCGCCACTTCCACTGCTGCCTCCCGCAGCATGGTGACCCACACCCTGCTGGCCATGATGACGGTTTTGTCGATTTTGATGCTTGCGTGAAGATGGGTTGGCTGCGCTGTTACCCGAATTGCCAGCTCCTCTGGCTGTTCCACGGGACGCACGACCTCCCCTTCCTCTTCCCACTTGAGGTGGAATTAATGCGCCGCCTTGAGATTGTTGTTGCTGGGGTATCATTCCATAGAAGCCCGCAGTAGGTGGTAAAGAGGGCCTGCGTAAGGTAAGTTCGATTTCGCTATGGATCCGTGCAAGCTCTTGCTCCAATTCAACAATCTTTTCGCCTTCAAGCTTTTCTTTATTAGACTGCTTGTCCTCTATAGATTTGTTGATATGTTGCAATTCCTTTTCCAATGCTTCTATCTCTTCTGTATCATTACGAATATTGGACTGACTCAGTCGTACTTTTTCTTCTACTTCAGTACGCACTTGTTCTAGCTCGTCGTCTTTCTCTTTCACACGTTCTTCCCATACTTCCCGCTCACTTTCGACCGCAATTGCCTCTTCATCGATATCCTTTGACTGTGTAGTCGCTTGACGAATGCTCTCTTGCAACGCTAATACTTTTTGTTTGCTTCTATGATCTACGTCGCTCATTCGTTCCAATCCTCGTCTGATTGCTTCAATCTCATTCCGTAGAGCCGATTCAGCACGAGAAGCGTCCTTGCGTGCTTTCCGTACTGCAGCTTGTATTGCCGCAACTTTTGCAGCTCCGTTTGAAGTCAAGCTGCTTGCAATTACTGGTGCACTCGTATCGGGTACGTCATTGCTTATAGATTCGCTGGTGTCTTGCATAGGTGGTGTGTGTGTTCGTTTGATGCGAGGTATCTGTACCGCATTTCCACTCGCTACTGTGCTCGTTCTGTCAACGCTTGTCTGCAGTTGCTGTGCGATTGCAGATGCATCCGAAGATCGCTTCTCATCTACTTCTGTAGTGACAGAGATAGCAGATTGTTTGTCTTCCACATTGACATGCATCTCATAATCTCTGCCTGGATTCAAGCCATATACCACAATAAATGCTTCCTCTGTTCCACTATCGCCAATGACCACCTTACTCCAAGGAACTCCATTAATGCAAACAGTGACACTAGAATCGAGTATATTGGAGCGCAGATCATCGGATGCTTCAGAAGGTGTGATGATGTCATCATCATGACTTGCTAAAAGCGATCCACTTTGTGGTGTGTCCAAATCTAGGGTTTTGTCCATATCATTGTTAGCGCCATCATGGATGTATTGATCCTCTTCGTCTACAGCAGTGGCTGCATCATCTGATTGCCAATCTTCACTATCCCTTCTCTGTACGGATGTTTTGCCGCCACGACCACGTTTGGCCGGGCTGATATTGCGAACTGTTACCTTTGTCACCTTCCTGTTTGGACTTCTGCTTGCTGTTACACTGCTGGTCACATTCTCGTTCGCTTGAATCCGTTGAACAGGTGAGCCACGTGGTACATTGTTTGCCTTTAGAGCACCAGATACGCCTCTTGATTGCCTAAAGTTTGATCGCGGAATCGCACTCAATGGGAAAGGTCTTTGAGACCATAATAAAGAAACTGAAACGGAAGTGACTGCATGGACTTCTAATCGATACGGATGGTGATGATTATGAGAAGATCGCAAAGGTTGTGATCCGGTTGTCATTTGTCCACCTCCGCTTGCTATTGCGGAGGATGGTGTGATCGTCATTACCAGTAGTGGATGGGAAAGTGATGGAAGTAGAACAAAAGGTTGAAATGCATCTTGATTAAATTTTGTTACTTCCGTAAAAATATAAAAACACGCCAAAGGTGTTTCAGGCTTTACGCAGTACAAGTCACATTGCATGTAATGTATTTCACGCCCAGAACAAATCACACACTATTCACGCCATAAACTGGGCAACATCATAATATTATTTTCACTTCATACATCGATCATCGTTCCTCTCTCAGATGAAAGACGCCAAAAGTAGTTACACGGAAATATAAAGTATTTTTAGAATTTAGGAGTTATTCAAACTCCCCAAAGAAGCTCTTAGGAGGGAGGTGACAAGGTGACTTTGTCGATCTTGCATGTCACAGTACCATCCCCTGTGCTTGAGGAGAGACCTTCGATCTTGTAGTTGACGGAGCTCGAGTAAGGTGAATCTTTGCACCAGCTCAAGTCTGAACCGTAGGCCACGACTTCGGTATTCGTGAAAACGACATCACCAAAGTTCCAATCGACATTGTACAATTCACAGTCAAAAACTGTTTGTGTCATGGATTTACCGATTTCAAAGTTGTAACTTGCTTTGTCTCCATTCTCATTCGATACTTCAGAGTACCAATTATTTTTGCCGTCGTTTGAGTTTTGTAATACATAGCTTAATGTACTTGAAAGGGGAGCAGGTACCGATCCATTTGCGCCAGTGTATGAATTATCGCTATCGACTAAGGGAGCAGAAGATAAAGTCATTAAAAAGACATGCATCAAACAAACGACAAGGATAGAGTCAACATACCATAATTGTTACCCCAGATCCAGTGACCATCTCTTCCATCTGCGCAAAAAAAAGAGATTTAAAGTATCAGTACCACCGAGAACGTCAGTACCCTTCACGTGAAAATGAATACGCACCCAAGACTGGCTGTAAGACACCATTGTTGCCAGAAGCCAGAAGACCAGGCCACAAATATGGAATGCCGCTGTTGATATCGGTGCTTGGTACTTGCATTTGACCTGTCATGGATTTGACACCGCTATTAATTGGATAAAAGTCGATAAAATGGTGATCGGCGGAAGCACTCATTGCAAAAAGAGCCGAAGCGAGAGCGACCAAGCTGGCCAAAGATGTGATTGTCTTCATTTTTTAGAAAAAGGGAGGAGAAAGAGGAAGAGAGAGTGGAGAATTATTTTAATGAGGAATGATGATAACAATCGTGGATCATTGTGTCTTTTATATGCCTTTTGAAGAACCACAAAAGTCAATTCGGAAACGCTTCTGCTCTCGGCTTTCTCTGATCTCTTAATATCGCCGGAATAAAAAGCTAGACACAATTCACCGAAGAATATATTCTAATATTATGTGGGAAAGGGCAACCGCGGAAGCGAATCAATGCATGGACAAAGATTGCCAAACATACGGCTTTATCAAAACAAATTACCCACTCGAATGTGAAACAGCATGGAAAAGTTGCCGTAGGATTTATTCTTGTTATTGTATAGCGTGGTTGATCATCATCTTTGTTTGTTTTTAAGGCTCATTCTTCTTTCCACTAATGCACGCTTTGCATGAGGAGGCCCTTAATTACCGAATGACAGCGTGGAGCCCCACATTTCTGTCAATGATTCACCATCAACGACTTCTAGATGCATAAACCCTAAAAGATGAACGAACATTGATTGCCGAAGATGAACTAAAGAAGAGGCCGTGATAAATTTCAATCTGTTTCATGCACGCACGCTGTTTTGCACTCTTAAAGTTTAGAAGAAGTTCTTTAAACGCTAAATTAGTATCACCCACGGGTCAAAGTATACTATTCTCCATCGTTGACAGGAACCAAACAAAATGATCAATCGGAGATGTCTTATTCATCACCTTGTCCTGTTAAAGGCTAACTTTCTTCTAAAGCATTACGACCCAAAGAGGATTTATTTCGCAGTCTGAGACCCTTTCTACAACAGATCCTGAACATTCCCTAAAAACTTTTGATAGTCATCCTGTCCATCTTCTTTGTTATTGGATCCTGCCCGTTGTTCGATTTGTGATTGTAAAGAAGTGATTAATTCACTTCGTTCTTCTTCGGTTCCTCTGTCTCGTATTGCTCCAGGTGCAGCATTTACCGAACCGGGTAATCCTCCTTTAGCTGCTTTTGCTTTTTCTGCTGCTTGCTTTTTACGAATTGCAGTTGGTACGAAAGCTGTTGATTCTTTCTTTAAATCACGAAGAACAGGTTCTGCACTGATTACTGTAGTCGGCTTTCCTGGTGGCGGTCCGGGCGGTACAATTGCCTGTGAAGTTGAAGGAGGAGGTCGGGAAGGTAATGGATGTGATGTACGTGTGGAATTGTGATCTCTTGGGCTGGAATAGGGTTCATACTGATTTGGTAAAGATGTACTGCCCTGATAATACATTGGAGGCGGACGAGCAAAGTGGGCTCCTGGAGCTCCAGGCAAAGAAGGCGCTTCTCGTGGCAAAGGAGGCTGACCTGGCAGAGGCTGAATCACACTTGCTCTAGGACCTGTGGGCGCTCTTGGTGGAGGTGGGCCATCCGGCATACGAATACCTTCGCAATCGTTAGAAGAAGCGCTATCTGAGTCGTAATCAGTGTCATTGTAGGCTTTTTGTATTGGTGCAGGTCCTTGTGGCATCCTTATTCTATCATCCTCATCTCTTCTGACCATTTTGCGATCCATGCATACATGACGACCTTTGATCAACGATCCGCTGGTTGTAAGACGATCGCGATGATGATCACTTGTCCTTCTATGTTGGTATCAAACCATGTACGCCTTACGATGGTGTAAAGATGTCAAGTGTTGTTATCGAGAAAAAAGTGGATCAAAGCGTGGCGCTAGTATTTGGCTGAGGAATAAAATTAGAGTTTTGGCATCTTTGGCTTGCGTGTCACAATTCCATTCAACTACTCCACACCTTTTGACATTGCTGGTTCCTTCTGCTCCTGCATAGATCATTCTGAGAAACCATGGATCCGAATAGCAGTTGGAGTCAAGGCCGCTTTGCAGCTCCTACAAATCCAACGATAGACACCACATCCGCTTTGGGATTACATGATAATTCTCAAAAGGCAACGGTGCCGAACAATCCAGAATGGGAGTTGCCCTTAACAAGGCTTCGTGACTTGTACTTAGATGAAACGGTTACATCTCCCCCTTCTGCCGGAACATCATTATATTTACCTGAATCATCAAGTCAACTTTCTCGCAGGATTTCCATCAATACTGAATGGGCAGCAATCCGAAGAAGTCAAGCATCAAAAAGTTCACGTCCATCTTCTTCGCCAAGTTCAGCAAGTGTGCCTTTACGTCCAGATTCGGCTCAAAGCAAAAGAGCAGCGCATAACCGTCATCCAGAAGCAGGACCATCTTCAAGTTTCATGGACGAAGATGCAAATTTGACTGCAGCAATCACCAATGCGGCTCCATTCTATGTTCATCCCCGAATTTCCACAACGCCTTTTCCGGCAGTTCGAAAATTGATACCGGCAATGCGGAAGCGAATCTTGGTAACAGGTGGAGCAGGATTCCTTGGATCACATTTAGTGGATCGATTGATGATGATGGGTCATGATGTTCTCGTGCTGGACAACTTTTTCACCGGTCAAAAATTGAACGTGAGCCATTGGATAGGTCATCCAAACTTCGAGCTTGTTCGTCATGATGTTGTGAATCCAATCATGATTGAAGTGGATCAAATCTATCATCTAGCATGCCCCGCATCACCTCAGCACTACCAAGCCAATCAAATCAAAACGATCAAAACAAACTTTATGGGCACGAGTAATATGTTAGGTCTTGCAAAACGAACAAAAGCTCGTTTCTTGCTTGCTTCCACTTCAGAGGTTTATGGGGACCCCGAAGTCTCGCCACAGAAAGAGACATATAACGGAAACGTCAATCAGACAGGACCTCGGGCTTGCTACGATGAAGGCAAACGAGTGGCTGAGACTTTGACGTACGGTTACCATTATCAGGACAGCGTTGATGTTCGGGTTGCACGAATCTTCAACACGTATGGACCACGCATTAATCCCTTCGATGGAAGGGTGATGAGCAACTTTTTGATACAAGCTTTGAAAGGGCAGCCGCTTACCGTATATGGTGATGGCAGTCAAACTCGATCATTTTGTTTCATTCATGATTTGATTGACGGTATGATTGCTTTGATGAACGTAAAGGATGATCAGATGGTTGAGCGTATCGTTGATCCGGCACACGGAAAGATGGCTGATGTGCACTTACCCGTCAATCTCGGTAACTCAAAAGAGTTTACGATCAGACAATTAGTCGATGTCATTTTCGAGGTGGTAGATTCGCTGCGACAGGCCGGAGAACCTGCATTGCAGCATTTACCCGTCTTAGAAGCCGAAGATAGGGTGCAATATTTGCCTATGCCCGTTGATGATCCAAGGCAAAGACGACCAGACATTGAGAGGGCAAAGACTCTTTTGAATTGGGAACCAAAATGGGAATTGAAGGATGGAATCAAGGAGATGGCATTGTACTATATACAACAGATCAAGACTGGACAATTGTAATTGCCAATGTAATGCATTTTATCGCATATATTCGACATAAGAACATTAGTAGTTGGCGTAATTAATTTACTCGTCCCACAAAAAAAGATGACGAGTAAGAATGCATGCGGCCTGTAGTGCAAAGGCCAAAGGTCAATATCTTAGCCTTTCTTTACTTCATTTCCTCACCAACATCTTTGCCCAGAATGGTGCATCATATCACAAAGGTTGAAGAAGTCACCTTCATGGTGCATGAGATTGCTATTCTCAAGCATCCCGACATCTTGATGACAGATGCAGAATGGCAAAGATATCGAAAATTAGCCTCCTCCTACATTCATCATCGTAGTAGAGTTTCTCTCGTCGTCAGACGCTTTGACGAATGGCGTAATCATTCATACGATCGAGACCATGAAAATGCCAATGCACTTTACAACACTAATGCAGGCTCAGAAAGGTACGAACAAGGCGATTTTTTCGTTCATCAGGAGGTGGAATTGCAAGATGGAGGAGACGATGATGATGGTGAAGGTTATGAAATGTTGGACGATTATGAGCGAGAGACAATCGAATTGCAAAAGGAGGTTGCCAATCTCGAGCATCCCAGTGCACGTATAGAATTGCAATTGGTCTGGGCTCAAAGAATTGGAGGGACCCAAGATCAAGAATGCACAGAGGCTCAAATCACTTCACCATACGTGCTCAAGCTCAACAAATTCATCGCCAAAAATGTTACCTGCATGAACGCTGGAGGAGCCGCATTTAAAGTTGAACATACAAATCGTGAAGTTGAACTCTCCTTTCGTCATCCTTTAGAAGGACCGGAGGTAAGTATGATTTGCTGATTTGAAAGCGCATTTATTCGCTGGAACGTATTGCCTTTTTTTGCAGTACAACTTTCGCAAAGTTCGAATCTTTTTCCATGAGAATGAAGAGATGCAAGATTTTCTTTCTCGCATTGACGTAAGTCGTCTTGTCAGCCAACTCGAAAATATTTGATTGATCCACTCCCCTTTTCCTCAGGTTCTCATCGGTGTACGCCGTAGCAAGACTGCTTTACGCCTGATTCAAGATCGAACGCAAGAGAAGACACAAGTTCAAGTGAAAACGGAGGAGCGTGAGAGGACGCCACAACTACTTACCTCATCGAAAACACAAGGGAACAGTCGCGGAGCGAGAAGAATGACTATTGAAATGTCATCCCGTCGTAAGAAAAGGTATCGAAGGGTATCTCGCCGTGACAGCCCGTAATGCTATAATTGCAATGCACTACGATCATCAAGAAGGCTACAATGATCAAAACCAAGCGTATAAAGCCTGCTGTTGTCCATTTGCTGTATACTACTCTGCTAATGAAGAATCTAAAGATGATCACCTCGTTCAACAGCCATCTGTAGAATCAGGGATGAGACTTTGATATGAGGATGATATGAATATGTCATCTGCTTGATGCTGGATCAACTGTCCGAAGGTGACACTATGCTGATTATGAAATCAAAGGCATAGTACGATCTTCTGTAATGGCAACCATTTAGCGTGGCCTTCTTTGACTCGGCGCGGCGGCTGTGTGTTAGCGAAGATGTACAAATCCCAAATTCTCTCAAGCACGTGAGCGTGGAGGATAAGCTGAAGTTTGTAAAGCCGTGTGCTGCAATTCGGCTTACGTGCGGTCCCGCGTTCTGATTGGAGCATGAGAAGTTAATCAGACTCGATCATCTCTTCTATCACATCAACCACACAAGAAAGTGATCAAAAAGATGGTGATGGCAACTAATATGGGCAGAATTGCCCTTCGTGCAGGCCGATCAAATATCGGCAACCCTTCAAAGATGGTTATGCAAAATTCAAAAATAGTGGCAATCAATTCTGTTAACCAACAACGCAATTATGCTTCTCCAAGTCAAGTCAATCAAATGGCAACACCTGTTGATGTAAAGCCGGAAGCAAGAGCAGGAAGAGGAAGTATGCAAAAAGTAGGCGGAAAGGATGCTGTTGCAGACATTCTGGAATCAGTTCCAAGAGGTAGTACTGCCAATCGACCAATCTACCTTGACGCACAATCTACCACTCCAGTCGATCCTCGTGTATTGGACGCAATGATGCCATTCTTCACGAATCAATACGGTAATCCTCACTCTCGCACACACGCTTATGGTTGGGAAAGTGAAGCTGCAGTTGAAGAAGCTCGTGAACATGTGGCAAAATTGATCGGTGCAGATGCAAAGGAAATCATTTTCACTTCCGGCGCCACAGAGAGTAACAATATGAGTTTGAAGGGTGTGGCGAGATTCTACAAGCAAAAGAAGAAGCACATCATTACCACCCAAACAGAACACAAGTGTGTCTTGGACAGTGCACGTAAATTACAGGATGAAGGATTCGAGGTGACTTATTTGCCCGTGCAAACCAATGGATTGATTCGCATGGAGGATTTGGAAGCTGCTCTACGACCTGACACAAGCGTTGTCAGTATCATGGCAGTGAACAATGAAATCGGTGTCGTTCAACCGATTGCCGAGATTGGACACTTGCTCAAAACAAAGGGTGCCCAATTGGCAAAGGAGGGCGGATTGAGTGGAAAGCCTCTTTTCCACACTGATGGTGCTCAAGCTGCAGGAAAGATTGAGTTAGATGTCGATAAGATGGGTATCGATTTGATGAGTTTGTCTAGTCACAAAATTTACGGACCAAAAGGTATTGGTGCTTGCTATGTTCGTCGTCGTCCTCGTGTTCGTATGGACCCTATCATCTCTGGAGGTGGACAAGAGCGTGGATTGAGAAGTGGTACACTCGCACCACCTCTAGTTGTTGGATTCGGAGAAGCAGCAAGATTGGCATACCAAGAGCGTGAGTATGATTATCAACATGTGAGCGCATTGGCACAAAGACTACGTGATCGAATTCTTGCCGAGATCGAATGTGTGTTGGTCAACGGCGATCCAACCGGATACCCTGGTTGCACCAACTTGTCATTCCAATACGTTGAGGGAGAATCGCTTTTGATGGCTCTTAAGGACATTTGCTTGAGTTCGGGTTCAGCATGCACAAGTGCAAGTTTGGAACCTTCCTACGTCTTGCGTGCTTTGGGATTGGATGATGAAAATGCACATTCGAGTTTGCGATTCGGTATCGGTCGTTTCACAACAGAAGAAGAAATTGACTATGTAAGCGAAAAGATTATCAAAGTTGTCACAAGATTACGTGAATTGAGTCCACTTTGGGAAATGGTTCAAGATGGTATCGATTTGAAGACGATTGAATGGTCAGGTTAATCATTTCTCTCGTGTCTTTATATCTCATTTCTTTTGTCTCATTATGTACATTACAGCTGCTGTCTTAATCTTGATTTCATTCTGAATCACTGGTGTTTAGTCCCTCAATACGCTGGTCAAGAATTTCAATTGGCCCACTACGTCTTGCTCGTTGAGTCTGCTTCGATGAAGTGGCTTCTGTCCTTGCAGGTGGAACATCAGGTGTAATCTTCTTTTGCTGTTCTAAGATTTGTTCGGCTAACCACTTTTCCGCACCTTTCACTACCTTGTTGTAATCCTTGCCGCACATCAACAGGTAACCTTGAATGGCGGCAACGCTGACCGTATCTGGGGTAATCTTTTGCGAAAACTCTTCTGCCAATTGACGTATCTTGTCACTTTCGTTTTCAACGGAAGGAAGAGGCGATGCGTCTTCGTCAGGGGCGCTTTTGTCACCTTCAATCTTCTCATCAATGCCTGAATCAGAATTTCCTGTTGCAGCGACTATATCGACTTTTGTAATTTTTGCTTGTTGAGCATCTTTTGTTTCTGTAGTAGTCGGTTTGGCAACTTTTGATTTTCTTGGCAAGTACCAATGCAAAAAGAGTTCTTTTGCTTGCTCTTGTGTCGCGTGTGAGAATTTGATGCGAAGATCAATTCTGCCCGGACGAATCAAAGCATGATCAAGCTTTTCGATATGATTAGTTGTCAAGCATAGTAATCTTCCTTCAGCCGCTGAAATACCATCAATCGCATTCAAAAGGGTGGAGAAACTGATGCCGGTACCACAATCGCCACATTCATCGTCTCTAAATCTGGTTGGTGGTCGAGGGCTGGTTCGTTTGACGAACGCAGCATCAATATCTTCCATCAAAACAATGCAACCTCCAGGAATGCTGCTCATTAGGCTATTGAATCGATGATCTGAAAGCGAATTTTCCGCTAGATTCATAACGTAAATTGAACGATCGATAGCACTTGCCAAAGCATGACATAAACTTGATTTACCACTTCCCGGTTCACCGTAAAATAAATAACCACGACGGTAAGGAATATTACGTTCTTTGAAGAATTCATAATTGTCTTTTGAAATGAATTCTTTGGCATCTCTTAAGACTTGTTCTTTCACCCCTGCGGGTAAATGAATGCTCTCCATTGAGCGTTTGTCAATTTCGGTCAAATCTTTCCATCCACTGCTGTGTCGATCTAGGTGTTTGATAGTGAGAGCTGGTCGTGTTTCCCGCTTGTAAAGCGACTTCGCTTTTACCAGTAATCGTTTGAGGGGTGTACTAGTAAGTGCAAGGTAATACAATTTGATTTCTTTATCGACTTCGAAGCCTCTTCTTCCGTAGGGATCGAACGGAACATTCTTATTGTCCAGCTCTTTTCTTGAGGCCCAAAAGAATACTCCTTCAAATCTGAAACAAACCATTTCATTCCTTGCAGGGACATATCGGAAGTTGCCATCTGATTTTAAGGTAAATAGTGATTTTTGTGCTCTTTTGGTTTGAGTGATCGACTGCACCTCTAACCTACTTGAAGGACGAAACAAATTGTTTTGTTTGGAGATGTAGTTCAATAACCAATCGTACGCTTCGTCATTGCGTTTGATGATCGCTTGTCCCAGAAACATGCCCATGAGAAAATCTCTCAAGAAATGTAAAACTTTTTTTCTTGCAAAGAACAGGCTTGCGATGATTTGTTTGCGGTATTTGGTGTCCATAATGCGAAACAGTTTGGGCAATATATGCACGCTTTTCAGCAAGGAAGGCAACATAAGAGAAGCATTTGCCCCTAATTTGAAGAGCAATGTGAGCAAAAGGGATGGTTTGATAGAGGGCATTCTGGGCAGAACGCTGCTAACGATGGTCATGAAAGAGAGTAAGCATCTTTCTTTTTATTGCAAATCGAAAACATCACGGCTCGAGTTCGCATGATTGCTCAGCAAAGTTGGTCTCTGTCTTTTCACTTGAAAGGAGTTCCGGGAAAACAGGTTAGACGCCCGTAGCAAACTCGATTTGGAAGTGCTCAACGTATAATGCTTGGCAAGCTACCTTCCACCGATGATCGGGGCTTGACTTATGTTATTCGCATTAATTTATGACGTTCAATTTCAGTCCGTGCCCCAAAGTCTACATTAATTATATACAATTTTGCTCACAAATGATACAAGTTTCTATTCTACACATCTCTAGTCGTTTCATTTTCTTCCATCCAGCCATCGATATCCTTCACCGCTTTTTGATAATCTTTCCCACAACTTAGCAGGAAACCTTGGATGGCAGCCACGCTGAGGCTGTGCGCTTTAATCTTCCCGGCGAATTGATCAGCCAATGCTTGTACAACCTTTGATTCTTGGTCTTTTTCATCGACTTCCTCATTGCTTTGAGTATGTCGTGGCATGTACCATCGTAAAAATAATTCTTTTGCCTGTTCTTGGTTTGCATTTTTGAATTCAAATCGTAAATCGATTCTGCCTGGTCTGATCAAAGCTGGATCGAGTTTATCGATGTGATTGGTTGTCAAGCATAACACTCTTCCTTGTATTGCTCCAATGCCGTCTATTGCATTGAGTAATGTAGAGAATGAAATGCCACCGCCTCTTTTGCCTTTTGTTTGACTTTCGATCGATGCTTCTCTATCCACAAATGCAGCATCAACATCTTCAATCAAAACAAGAGCACCTCCTGGTATTTCGCCCATACGCTCATTGAACTCTTCATCATCCATTGACGCAGCACTAAGGTTGAGAATGTAGATTGGTCGATCAGTTTCACTTGCCAATACGTGGCATAAACTTGACTTTCCACTTCCCGGTACACCGTGCAACAAATAACCACGACGATAAGGAATCCCTCTATCTTCATACCATCTTCGTGTTTCGGGTGATAAAAAGTTCTTGGCGTCTTCTAACAACCTTTCTTTGATATTAGACGGTAAATGAACGCTATCCACTGAGCGTTTCACAATTCCTCCAGATTCATGCCAATTGCCGTATCTGTCTACCCTAAGGATAGATACTCGACCACGCGTGCTCTGTTTGAACAATCCTCTAGCATGCTTGATGATACTTCGTAAAGGATTGGAGGAAAGTGAAAGGTAAGAAAGTTTGATGGTCTCATCCCAAGATTCATCTCCCACTAGCTCTCTTTGTCTGCTTGCCCAGAATCGTACTCCTTCAAAAGTGAACGAAACTGTTTCTTCTGTCGCGGGATAAAAGTGAACTCCTAAACGGTTCATAGAAGGATATTCATCTTGTCGTTCTTGTACTTGACCCTTTTCAACATCATCACTATCTCTTCCTTGTACGCTCGCCCATGCTTCTTTGATCTCGTCTTCGTTTAGCTCTCCGTGAAGATTTGCTTCATAGTCCACCAAAAGTGTTGGTCTAGCGGAAACTTCTACTGCTCTAGGTGATTGTCTAAATGCAGGTTGACTCATCATCAATAACATCATCCATCTAAATGCTTCATCTCTACCACGAAAAATTGCTTGACCGATAAAAATTCTTTTTAGTGCTGAAAGAATGGAATCAAAAATCATCTTTGATGCAGAAACAGCTGCACCGATTGCGAACAATCGAACGCCATCTTGAAATTGTGGTGATGAAAGAATGTCTTTTACCGTTTCAATTGCTCGATGAGGTGACAGAGGTCCGCCTGAGAACCAATGAGTGGAGCGATCATTGGACTGTGTTCCAATACCCACACTATCAGCGAATCCAAGTGGCATCTTGAGCGAGACTCTCGTTCAAGTGAATGCCATGGAAATGATGCTGAGTATGAAAGTAACACAAGAACAACAGTCACTTCAGTCTTCTCGCCTTTAAACCCAGAGCGCGTTTCTAAAGCTGACTGAGCTCGGAAACCGGAAAGGCATTAAGTGCACCCGCCCGCTTTTGTTTGGACAACTTAATTAGGCGCTCAGACGCCCAAGACTCGGTACAGTATAAGAGAAGCCTAAGCGAATTGAGAGCAGCATTTTTCATTCCTTGCTCTCCATCTCATCACCTCTTCCTTCACTTTACGGATCAAACAAATAAATAAAAGGTCACCTCATCACATCAATCCTCTTGTTGAACTTCTTGGCGTACTCTATTCAAACAAACCTTTGCAAGATTTCACCTTTGCCAGAGGATGTCAGTCTCTTCATCAACACGATTTTAAAGAGATCTGGCGTGTGGATTCGAGCAAACCCTTGGCAAACCTTCACAGCCAGGTAAGTTTGAGTTGATGTAGCAGAAAGATTCCTTGTGTTCTTGCGATCTCAACGCGATCACAAACTTCTATGATGCCTTTCAATGACATGTTAGACGACTGAAAGACCTGTTATCATGTCTTGTGCGGATATCAAGCCTTTGCTTACTTTACTGATTCAATTTGATCAAGGACGATCTTCAATCATTACACTTTGCGATGAGGTATTGACTTAAAATCTCTCTTTATACCATCTTGTCACAGTTATGGAGTCCGTCAGTAATCGGCTTCAAGCCGGATTCTCTTGGCTTACGAATGGCTTATCGAATACAACTTTATTCGATACTTTAGCCATACCGTTTACAGATTCCTCCTTCTCATCATCGGCAATCCGCCCATCGCATTCTTCTATTGCAAGTGCAGGATCTGAAAGAATCATTTATGTTGATCATACAGGACATCAAATGAGCGAAGCAGAAGTAGAAGCTCTGGACCGTGCAGCTTTCAGTGACTCCCCTTGGGGCTTTGTCGCTTCTCGGTATGCTTTGACATTGGGCGTAATGGCAGTGGTGGTGAACAGGATTACCCACATCTGTCGCCCTCAAGGTAGGCCTAGACCACTGTCTAGTGTGCGAAGACTTGCCATCCAACTGCCAACACTCTCTTTTCTAATATGGTCAGGGTTTATGTTACTTTTGGTGACTATACATTCTTTCTCAAAAAGCAATAGCATTCCAAACAAGATATTTGGAGCATCATGGCTACCTTCTGACGTTCACACCTTGATCAGTCCAAGCGCAAGCGAAGCAGATGTGCACACAGCAAATTCAACACTACTTTGGAGGCTGTTTCTGAGTGTGTGTCTAGCGGTCGTTTCATCAACTTTACTACGAACACTGGAGGGCCACAATACAATCGTAAATCCTGACGATCTGGGAAATTCTCCTACATTCAATCTCGTCGGGTTCGCAGTTTTGCTTCATCTTCATGCTTCCAGCTACAGTTTCCCTCCCAACAAACACGTCTATCTCAGCATCCTCATTCAAGTAGGAGAAGTGCTAGGATTACAAGCATGCACATGCTGGACAACACCTCCAATCTCACGACTGACATTGACAAGCATATTTGGGCTAACGTCTACATTGCACTACCTTCATGCTATACGTTCGGGAGATCGAGGATATCCATTCCTTCAAAGCTTCAGTCGTGCGCCTGATCTTGGCCTTATTGCGATCATTCTTCTTACACTCACCCTGCACACTTTCACAGCACTGATCACCAGCACACCTTTATCCTTCTCAAGGCTTGTCGACCCTCGCTCATTGCCTTTGCCTACGGACGATTACAGTTTGGCACTGTTCAAATTGGGAACTGCCTGCTTAAGTTCTACCAAATTAAGCGGGCTAGATTCTGATTTAATCGATGTCAACACTTCCAAAGAATCCTGGATCGAGGTTGACGAGGGACAAGTACGGGTACGCTCACCGAACGGCAAACTTATCAAGCCAAATGAACAGGGTCGAATTGGGTTCAACAATGAGATTAGACGAATCAAATCATCCAAACTTCCTGGAAATGGCCGTCACCCATTCCGATCTGCAGCTTGGCAGGGACGATTCAAGTTTTTCCTCACATTGATGCGCACCGTTCGTGGACTGACTTATTGGTTTGGGGGGAAGATTGCGGAGGTTTTACCGTTTGATCTGCCTCGAGTAAGTACGCCGCAATGGGCGTACAAGGTTTTTAGATTTATTAGGGTCTTATGGCATGGTACGAACGGTGAAGAGCGTAGAAGGTTGCGTATCGAAGAGAGGAGAAGGACTGCAGAAAGAGCAGCAAGGATCAATGCCGACCAAGCCTTACGGGACAGAATGGAAGGCGCAGGTCGAGCGATCGGCATTTCCACTTCTACAAACACACATCCGTCCACACCTAGTCATTTGCGACAACGTACTCGAGCTTTATCCCCTGACCTCGCCAATATTTCACCCAATTCGTGGCATCATTACTTTGCGCAAGATTTCGATGAAGAAAGCGATGCAGAAGATGAAGAGTGGAAAGAAGAGATGGAGACAGAAGAGATAACAACATACAGTCGTCAAGTATCTCCTTCACCCATACCCACAGATGCAAATTATTGGCAGCGTTTGGGTTCTGGGTCACGACTCAATGCCGATGATGAGGAAATGGAAGACATTGAAGAAGATGAGGATGGGTGGGAAGATGATGCGAACCCTGCCGATATGTCAGCCGAACTGTTAATGTTGGCACGACGTGAATTCAGCAATGATGAAGCTGTTGATGAAACGGAAGAACATAATGAATCATATGCCCGCATCTTGATGGCGCACATGTCCACTCCCAACTCTAAAGTCCTCACTAGACGTGGTTATCGTGATCTGGTTGGCGGATTTGAAGGACAAGAAGATCAAGAGGATGTACGTTTATTGGCTGATGTTATTCGACAACGTAGGACTGGTATTCCTGCAGCCGGATCGACAACATCCAGTTCAGAAAGAGAACGAATGCGATTATGCGTAATTTGTTATGCAGAAGATCGAACGATTATCTGTTGGCCATGCAAATGTTTAGCTCTGTGCGATGGATGTAGAGAAGCAATGGCTGCTAGACCACCTCCGCGTAATCATCATCGACAACATACGGGTGCAGGAGGTGGTGGCCTGTTGGGCAATGAAGGATATAGAATGGAATCTGGACCTGCAACGGCTACACACACATGTCCAACTTGTCGTACTCCAGTAATTGGTTTCTCGCGCATCTTTTTGCCGTGAAAATTGAAGCACTCTTGTCTGATGTTCACTCATATTGTTCTTTTATCATCTTTTTATTTGCATATTCACGCTAATCTATTCATTTTGACAGTTTATCATTTTATGGGTTGAGGGTATTTTATGCCAAGAAGGAGACAAGGTTTATTTGTTGACCATTTAAGCTATTAATGCAGGTACATACATTAATCTGCAATGATTGACCATATCATATCTTCCGTTCCTTACACTCATTTGAGAATCATACTGCTAAGAGTATGCGTATAGATTGTCATTGTGGATGCTATATAGTTCATTGGTTTTGGCCATTCAACACCTTGCCCTTTGCCTTACTCAATAGACGCTCGTGTGTAAATTAAAGTTTTTCTCTTTTGGCTTGACAGGCAATTGCCGGCGGCAACTGTTATAAAATCGAACCACGTTCACCGATCATACGCCACAATTTGAGTATATATGCATGCAACAACGTAACGCGCTTCTTCTGTTTCTGTGCTTTGAGCCTTTGTTTGAGCGTAACGAGCCTTGCATATATCCGTTTGCCCTTGGCCCAAGGATTTCTCTAAAGGCATGTATGAATCCGATATTCCTGCTTGATATGCATACACCCTCAACCCATTTTTATCTAATTTGGGATTCGGTTTCACACAGCCTTTTGACAAGGACCATGTGTCAATTAATGCATTTGCTGTGCAAGGCAGAATGGCTTGTTTTCTTTTCTCTTAGACAAATGGAATGGAGAAAGGTTCTATGCGCATGTGGGCAATGCAAGATATCTTTAATTTCTAACGCCCAGATCATCTTTTTTTTCTTCATTTCTTTTGCAGCATGTTTACTCTCTCATTTTATTTGCATAAACAGGAACGGCGAATGACACGGGCCAATCTCAGACAGGAGTATATATGAGAAAGGAACGAAATTTCATCTAATCAAGTCAGGGGAAAAGTGTTGTTCTGGTATTGTATGTGACTTTAAGCGAAAGTGTTTTTCTTGAGATGAACTCGGTCTGAACTCTTGAAATCATATATAAACAACAAATACAACTTCAATTCCCTCCCTCTTTCTGCTTTCCAACATCCACTGCTTTGCTCTTTATATCCTTGCTTTCCCCTGTACCGCACTCATTCACACAATCAGGTCTTTCGACCTAAGTGCATATACACAAGATGGCAATCTTACCCAAGATGTTGCGCAAAGAAGCAACCAATTCTGACGTAGAAGATGAATCGGGAAGTATAGATTTGGAAAAGACTGGCTCTTCCACAAGCAAATCAAAAGAAGATGTTGAACAAGATGAAAAAGCAAAAAAGGCCGACAAATTCCCAAGAAGTGATACAGTTATGACGAATGCACTTCGATTCAATGAAGATGCATATCAACAAGAAGAAGCAAATAGACGTCAATTACAGCGTAATCGTACGCTTGAACGTACGCATTCGATCGGTAGTTTGGCAAGTCCACCAAGAGGTTCGCAAAGGAATCGAGTCATTGCTGATTTCCGCACGTTATCCATTCAATTGGAAGACGGTCAAACGCCATCAAAGGAAAAGCAAGGCAAAAAGAAGGAAAAGAAGACACTGAAAGATATTGCAGATTTGGACTGGCATAAGATCAGTATTGATGAAACACTTCAACGCTTAAGTAGTAGTCAAAAAGCTGGTCTGGACGAAGAACAAGCAAAAAGACGTTTACAACAAGATGGTCCAAACGTGTTCTCCAAACCTCCAAACAGATTATTACAAAAGATCATCACGTATGTCTTTGGTGGTTTCGGATCTTTGTTGACCATCGCAGGTGTAATCTGTTTCATTGCTTGGAGAATTGGTGATCCGCCACAAGCGTCCAATTTGGCTCTAGGTGTGGTCTTGTTTGTCGTCGTTTTGGTCACTTCAGTCTTCAATGCTTGGCAAGACTTCACCACAACTCGTGTAATGGAGTCCGTTCGTGGAATGATGCCGAGTGATGTGCCAGTCTTGCGTGATGGTCACATTCAAATTGTTCCTGCTGCAAACATCGTTCGTGGTGATATTATCAACGTCAAAATGGGCGCAAAGATGGCAGCAGATTGCAGAGTGATGCATATCGAATCAGAATTAAAGATGGATCGTTCTTCTTTAACAGGAGAAAGTGATGCAATCTCCGCCACTTTGGATAAAACGGAAGATAATTACCTCGAATCAAGAAATGTTTTGATGGCCGGTACAAAGTGTGTTGCAGGTGAAGGTTTGGCAATCGTGACTGCAACAGGAGACAATACCGTCTTTGGTCGCTTGGCAAAATTATCTTCAGCACCAAAAGCAGAACGTACAACATTGGAAAAAGAAATCTTCTTGTTCGTTACAACGATTGCATCTTTAGCTATCGCGGTTGCCGTTATTTGCATCATCATTTGGGGTGCTTATCTGCGTCCAAAACATCCTGATTTCATGAGCGTTTCAAGCTTATTGGTGAACGTCATTTCAATTTTGGTCGCTTTCATTCCTGAAGGTCTACCGGCAGCCGTTTCTCTTTCGCTCACTGCCGTTGCTGCTCGTATGCGTCGTGCAAAGGTCTTGGTGAAGTCTTTGGCAATTGTTGAGACCTTAGGAGCTGTGAACGTAGTTTGCTCGGACAAGACTGGTACTTTGACTCAAAATCGCATGTTTGTTCAATGCGCAGGTATCCATGGATTCGAAGAAGATGAACCGGCAGATGTGAAGAGACACATCGATTTGGATACTCCACTTGGTGAAGCATTCGGACAATTAGGTTGGGTTGCTGGTGTTTGCAATGCATCCAAATTTGACGAAGAGACTATGCATTTGCCAATTGTTGAACGTACGATCTTCGGTGATGCAACAGATACAGCTTGTTTCCGTTTTTCAGCTGATATGGTCGGAATCGAAGGAAGCAAGAAAGATTGGGAAACTGTCAACCAGCTAGCATTCAACTCAAAGAACAAATTTGCACTTCGCATCGTACGCAGCAATGGATCAAAAGATGGTATCAAACGAGCTTTGGGAACAGGTGTAACAGCAACCGGCTTCGATAGTGAAAATCAATTAATCTTCTTGGCAAAAGGTGCGCCAGACGTTCTCATGCAAAGATGCACTTCCACTTTGGATGGAAGTGGAGAAGTGTTGCCACTCACACCAGAAAGATTAGCCTATCTATCTCAACTGCAAACGTCGTGGGCAGGAAAAGGTCAAAGAATCCTCCTTTTGGCTCGTCGTATCGTCAACAAGAGTGAACTCCCGGAATCAAATCCAGAAGACTTGATCGAAACTCAATTGCTCGATCAAATCTCCAATTTGACCGTTGTTGGTTTAGTGGGAATCGTTGATCCACCTAGACCCGAAATCCCAGGAGTTGTCAAAACCGTTCGTGGCGCAGGAAGTCGATTCATGATGATTACAGGTGATGGTGCTTTGACCGCAGTCGCAATTGCACGTCAATGCGGTATCGTTACTGCTCAAGAGATCAACAATGTTGATGACATTCTTGGTGGTAAGTTGAATTTGCCAACATACAATTTCCTGGATGATAACGATGCAAGAGCACAAAGAGCATTGAGCTTGACTGGACCAGACATCATGCGCCTACAGCCACAAGATTGGGAAACAGTTTGCAATTTTGATGAAATCGTCTTCAGCCGTACTACACCCGATCAAAAATTACGTATCGTCAAAGAATTCCAAGCAAGAAGAGGAGTTGTTGCCATGACGGGTGATGGTGTGAATGATGCACCTGCATTGAAACAAGCAGATTGTGGTATCGCAATGGGCGGTGGTAGTGAAGTGGCAATCGAAGCTGCTGATTTGGTCCTATTGGAGTCGTTCAGCTCTTTTGTTGATGCCTTGCTCTACGGCCGTGTTTGTTTCGACAATCTCAAAAAGACAGTCGCTTATCTTTTACCTGCTGGTTCATTTGCCGAATTATGGGCAGTCTTGCTTTCATTCTTCTTCGGATTGCCACAAGCACTTTCGAACATTCAAATGATCTTGATTTGTGTTTTGACCGATTTGTTCCCTTCGCTCTCACTCATTCAAGAGAAGCCAGAAAGTGATGTCCTTCTTCGCAAACCTCGTGATACCAAGAAAGATCGATTGGCTAATTGGCAATTATTAACGCACGCATACTTATTTGTCGGTCTACCTTTGACTTTATGCTCTGCTGCAATGGCATTTTGGTGGATGCAGAGACAAGGCATTCCATTCAGCGATATGTGGTTGAAGTACGGTGCAGGCAAAGTTCAAACCTCCGATCCGGATTACTTCAACAAAGTTCTTTACCAAGCGAATGCAATCTACTTCTTCAATTTGGTCATTCAACAATACTTCGATTTGTTGGCTTTACGTACCCGTCGTCTAAGTCTATTCCAACAATGGCCTTTCTGGGGTAAATCACGCAATTTGTGGATCATTCCTGCAATTTGCATGTCTTTCTTGATTGCAATCTTCTTTTCGTACATCAAAGCCATTCAAAATGTTTTCTTGACAAGAGGTATTCCCGCCGAACACTTCTTCTTACCAATGGCTTTCGGTGTCGTTACTCTCTCCGCTGATGAGTTACGCAAACTCTACATTCGCACTTATCCCAAATCTTTCCTTGCGAAAGCTGCTTGGTAGACACAAGGATAATCTTCATAGAATTCTAGCATGTTTCATGCTTTCTTGTTCATAGACATTTCTCACGACATTGTATGCATTATTACGAATATTAACGGATTATCATATTGCACTGAAGAACATTGCCTACCACCACCTTATAGCCACTTCTTGATTACGTCACGAGCTCTAATGTGATCTTCTGTGAATGTGATAGGGTATGCCAAATAGTCGTGCACTGACAAAGGTTCTTCGTATACGGTAATTTGTCCTGCTCCAAGATGTTCATGAGCGTATTGATAGTGATGATTGAAAGCTTTAATCTCATCAACAAATAATTCCAAGCCTCCATAAATGCAAAGCGCTCGCGGGAACCCCTTGAAGACGTCTTCGTCTAGCCCTCTTTGCAAGTTGACGGGACTTACCCAAGGACTGTGGATGAAAGGAACAGGTAATCCCTTGACGAGATCTGAACTTGCCAATTTTAGAGATGTCAAGTTCAGATAGTCCACATCCTTGTACAGTGTGCCGCTTGAGGAAGGACCGGCATTGCAGAAAGATCCTGAGATATCAACCCATGGGGAAGAGAGGATAACGCCATCTGCCAACGGAGAATCTTTTGGAATGTTCAATTCATCCCAAAGAGGTCTTTCATCACGAATGTATCTCAACAATGCCAAAGCAAGATTTCCACCTGCCGAATCACCCAAAATTAAGATATTCTTTGGCTCGAAACGCAATTGACGAACGAGATAGATCCAAGATGCCAATGCATCAGTAAAGATGGAAGGGAACGTATATCCTTCACTGCTTAACCGATACTCTACCGAAAGTGCTCTTTTGGGCGCATGAAGTTTGCCGGATCGCTTTGCTGCTTCCAAAGTAATTTTGAGATTGTTCGTCGGAGGAGAGCTTGGTGAACCGTTCAATTGACTGTAGCCTCCTCCATGGAAGAAGAGAATGACTTTTTCGCCTTTTCTTGCATCTCTTCCATTCTTGCCGATATGATTTTGTCCGAACCAATAACCTGGAATGCGAGTAGTAGTGCAACCTCCATCGTCAAATATTGTCTTCAATTCACCCTTCAGACCAGTCTGTCTATGAATTGGCTCGATCCAAACTGCCGTTGCTCCTTGTTTCTCCGGAATGGCGGGTAGTGCATTCTTGTTGATAAGACCCGATTTCATATTCAACTTCATTCTGAAGAAAGCATAGTGTCGCAACATACTCATAAAGAGAGATCTTTTTAGTGTCCATTTTGGATGTGGTCTTGTGATGCTTGGTAAGAGAGTGTACAAGACCGTACGGACTGGTAATTGCACAAAGAGAAGCTCAAACAAAAGCGTAACGAATAGAATTCCTCGAATAGGTTGAATTGTCCAAAATCGATCCCTAGAGAGACCTACATTTGCCTGACCTGCTGGCCTGATCTTTTTATCAACGATTAAAGTGTCCATCTTTTGTCGATTTATAGGGTGCTATCATCGTTTGGAAGGTAGCTTTACCTTGGCTTAACTCCACAATATGATCAGCCTGAATGCAGCTTAGCGCCGGCGCATGATTAACCCCGGCCATATTATAACTCGCGACCGGTAGCCGGGGTGCACAGTTGTAGACTGAGCCAGTACGCTCAATGTGATTAAATCTATGGTGTACATGCTATTAATCTTTAAGAGGTAAATCATACACCAATTTGAGAACGTGCTCTGGCTTTCGTCGAGTTCGCTTCAAGAATCCCATTTTGCCCATCTCATGAACGGCCAGTGCGAATCGAAGTCGGATAATATCTTTTTTATCCCAACTTGCCAAATCTTTTTGATATGCTTCCAAATCATTCAAGCCGTCTGTATCCAATCTTTTCCTCTTTCGAGCATCGCTGTTGTTTTCCTCCTCTTTGTCGGCATCATTGATTGATGATTGAAAAGCGTTGAACCAATCCGCCAGGTTAATCAACCTGCCTGCATCTTCATACGTTTGATAAGCACGACAAATGTCCGGCATCTCAATTGCATTGCTTGTTCGTGTAAGATACGCATCTGGATTCTTCAAAGCAGCCAAATAATTGATTCGCGGTGAAGGCTCAAGAACCGAATGGAGATAGCCTGTTGAATTGTATCGACCTATTTGTGAGAAAGGGCTAGATGCATTCAACAGGCTTCGTAACATTCCCACAATCTGATCACAAATCTGTCGTCGCAATGCGCTATTTGACTCTTCACGTAAAAGATTCTTTTGAACGAGTGCCAGTCTCCTTGCTTCTTTCTCCGCTTCTCCATCATTCCCATTCGTCAACACATCTTCTCCAGTCTGTTTCTCGTCATTCTCTCCTTCAACCGCTGTCGCAGTATTAGCAAGCCTATTTTGGATTGTTTGAAGAGTACTCTCTTGATCCGTGCCTTGAATGATGTTTTCCGCCCGAATCTGCTCCAGAATTGCCTCGAAATCGGACAGGTACTTCATCCTAAGTGCTGCACGAATCTCTTGAAGGACTGTGCCAGCTTGCTGTGGGCTCAACAACGCACATAGTAATCCTCCAAATGTGCTTCTTCGAGGCTCCAATAGAAGATCTTGTTTTGGATGATTGTTTGAAGTGGAATCATTCTTGTTGATTCTCAATACATTGCGCAAGAGGTGTGCGAGACGAGCACCTGCTACAAAAGCTGCTCTTTCTCTCTGCATGACGGATACGACATCTGTAGCAAGCTTTGCTAGGCAATAGTCATTTTGCAAGACTTCCTGGAGATATTCCTGTTTTGAGAGGTCGTTGCTAGCGCTGACCGGAAAGGGCAACTTGATTTGCATCTCACCTTTTCTTTCATCAAAGCTGCGAAGTAGCATGTCTCTAAGACGAGTGAAGAAAGCTGGCTTCCATGCACTTCGATCGAGAGGCTGTTCGGTCTCAAAAAGAGCGGAAAGTGGTTGTTGGGTGAAATGATGATGCAAGTATAGCTGTACGAGACGGGATGAGATATTAGCTAGAAATTCCTGTATGCATGTATCACTTTGAACCCACCTCAAATAGTGTCTGAATTTGTCCCAAATTTGCTTTTTCTTCATAGAACCGTCTCCTTGCAAATTCCAAGACTTTATCTCCTGGCCATACCGCCAGCTTGTCAGCCTCCATTGGCTCATCAAGGATTTCCTCGACTACCTTCTCGAAAAATGTTGTAGCAGGAACAGGATCAAGTACGTGGACATCAAGCAACGGAGATACCCCGGGATCAAGCTTATCATCCAAACCTAGGCGACCTGTTTCACTCGACAAGACGATGATGAATTGAGGTCCACCTTTCATCTGCGTGACGGAATGAAGACTCTGCATTAAGTCATTGAAGACACCATGATGAAAGATCGCAAAATTGTCGATGAATATGTGTATTCCCTTGCCGTGTTTGTTAGCAGAAGGTGTCGCAATAGACAAAAGATCGGAAAAGTCCAAATTGTCGAACTCCAGATCCTTTCGAGAACTCAAAGCTCGAGCTGTGATAATTCTTAACGTCGTTGCCAGATCAAGACATTCCCGAGGGTGTAGGTACACCCAAGATAAATCTTTGGAACTTTCATGTGCCGCCGCAAGTAGCTTCTCTGACAATCTCTCCGGTAATGGTGCACCCGAAACACATGCCACTGTTAATCGAGACGGTCCTGGAATGTGGTATTGAGTACCTGAATCCTGCATGCGGAGAATATTCTCCAACTTTTCGATCAAGTCCTGATGAAATTGCGAATATACGCGGTCAAAAGCCGATCGAACACCTTTGACTGCCTTTTGGTATCCTATCTGACGCCATCGAGCACCTCTCTCATCCGTTTCAAATGCGAGTAGAGGTGAACATATGCTTTCCTCTTCCAAAGCTCTTGACTTCCCTTTTCTTGCCTTTGTCGCATTATTTGTGGAACATGGAATGACGAATGATGATTGTACTAGACTGTCTTGCTCCATTGATGCTATCGTGCATCGTAGTATCGGATATGATTGATGGTAGCTAAGCATGAAAGAAGCATCTTCTCAAAGATGAACAACTACAACCTTCCTGTTTACAACAACACTTGGTCCAAGCGTACCGGGCTGTCTTGTGCATGTTTTGCCTTTACGCGTTTTGATATCCATACATGCATTCAATATTCACTAACAAACTTCTTACTTTGATGATACCAAGAAGCAGGTGGGATACTTCAAAAAGGGCAACGGATTCGTAATGATCACATTGGCACAGTATGCAGATATTCTGCTACACGCCATCAATGTGAAGGAAGGCGAAATATTGAAGGACTTATTCGCATTGGAATTCTTTCAAGATGGCAACAGACAAAACACAGACGGAAAAGCAAACGTTACCGAAGAAGCACTAAAATCTGTGCCTGACGTTCGAGCACAAAGGTTACAAAGCGATCTCCTGAAATGTGATGGCTTTCTAGGACCTCCTTGGCTGGAAATTGCTACAAACCACTTCATCGTAGCAACAAGGTTATCCTTCTTGAGAACGTTTAGCGATGTTAATTGCGTTTCCGCCTTATCTCCTCACAAAATGGTGGATCGATTAGGATGTACCGTTCAACAACTGATAAAGGAAACATGGACAGCAATGAATACGCTAATTATTGCTTTCCTACGGCTTTACTCTTCCTTACAGCAGGGAAGATGGTGTTCGCCGACATTGGTGATGGTACTATCGAATTACCGACGATTGTCTGTTTTGGCGGATGAAATAGAACAGAAAGCTTCTACCATATCGACCGGAAAAAGTGGAAAGCAAACTCAAACTCATCTGGAAGAATGCGCTAGACAGTTGAACAAAGCATTCAGTGCTTGCATTAGCGATCGATCTTCCGAAGAAGCTTTCAGCCGGAAATGGGCAACATACGAAATCGTAGGACTGGTGTTTAGAGGCTACTTCAAATTACGCTCTCTGGGCTTGTGCAGGAATATCTTGAGAGCGATTGGTGCTGCTGATCTACCTGATTTTGAACGATTCCCGAGAGCACAAAGAGTGACTTTCAAATATTACGTTGGTGTTTTGGCATTTCTCAACGAAGATTATTCCAAAGCTGAAGTGGATCTAGATTATGCCTTCAAACAATGTCACAAGGATGCACACCATAATCAAGAAATGATTCTGCGCTACCTTGTACCTTGTCGTCTTTTACGTGGCATCGTCTCGAATGATTCGTTTCTCAGCACATTCCCAAAACTTTCCACACTTTATGGCGGATTCATCAAAGCTATCAAAACTGGTGATGTTCGTTCATATGATACAATTTTGGAGACACCTGTAATGGAACGAGGTCTTGTGCAAATTGGGACTTATTTAGCCATCGAAAGAGCCAGGGAAATTTGTTTGAGAGGCTTGCTCAAACGTGTCTATCTAAGTAAAGATTGCAATTCACGCATTCCACTTATGGACTTTCATCATGCTTTACGATTCGTGGGTGTAGAATTGGAATTGTTGGAAACAGAATGGTTGGTCGCATCTCAAATCGCAAAAGGGTACCTACGCGGATACATATCCCATTCACACATGACCGCCGTCTTATCCTCTCAAAATCCCTTCCCGAAGCTCAATACAATAACAACTGTAACATTATCTTAATGCTTTCATCAATGTGTACTATGAATATTTAACAAATTTCAAGCAGAAAAAGAAGGTAATAAATACATAAATTGTGGATTGAATGCAGCCTGCTAACGTTGTGATTGTCCAATTCTACTCTTGACGTTTTCTGCTGGAGACATTTGAATATCATTCGGAGGCGGAGATGCTGCCATGGCTGTTTCGCGCTGTAAAAGGCTGTAGATCTCAGCTTCGATCTTGAATCTTTGTGAACGCAAGGCACCGGTTGGATCGTTGTTTAATTCACTTTCAGTCCAAATACTGACTGGTCTACCGGTTTTTTGACTTTGTCTAGGGGATGTTACACCGCTGACACTGTTCAAACTTCCATCCTGAGCCGAAGATCGAGCGTTTTTTTGTGATGAAGTAGATGGAATAGACGCAAGAGCGGTATCCTGGCTTCCAATGCCATTTACACCTCCATCTTTCCCTTCATTCTCTTCTTCGTAAACTCGTTGGAATGCAAACTTTGCGCTGCTCTTATCTGGACCTGCCAAAGATTCAAGTAGAGCGGCCAATTCTGCATCAGAAGTATAGACGATTCGAGTTGCAGCTTGACCAGCCGTAGTTGTTGCCATCTCAAAGTCTAATTGTTGTGCTTGCTGTGAAGCAGTGGCTGTGTCTACGGATTGATTGAGCTCATTCATATTTGGCAAAGGCGGAACATACCCATCCCCGTCAATCGAAAAGGTCTTCTTTGTTGGAGTACGAGCGAAAAGACTTCTACCATCTTCATCTGCCAATGCATTTGGCTTTCCCATAGGAGATGACATACCAAAAGAACCATTTTGTGGCGGGCTGCGCATGAAAGAATATTGACTTGTATCGCTATTTTGCCTACTATGTCCACCACCGTATCCAATAGATGATGTATAAACACTCGATCGATCTGCCAAGCCGGCAATCACCTGCCAAATCACGCTACCATCCGCACGTTCAGTCACTTCAATGTGTCGCGCTCCAGTGTTTGTACCATCAGACATTTGTCTGATCATATTTGAAGAACGGTGAGAAGGGTCGTTGGGTGGTACCAACGCGCTTGATCTGTTTTGTGCGTTACCCGTAGTCAGACTAGCATCATCATCATCATCACGATCATATAGATCGTACAAGCTTGCTCCATACCCGCTTACATTGCTTGCTCGTGATGCTGATCCGGCGTTGGAACGGGAACCAGATTGCGGTATACCTAATGAAGCAGAAGGGGTCATGATTGGGGCTTGCGTTGGAGCTTCATACACATTCTTGGCTGTTGGCGGTAAAGGTTTGGTTTTCACCTCTTGTGACAACTTCCTTCTATGTGTTCCACTTACACCATCAGGACCTGGTGGTGTTGGTGGTCGATCTTGAATTGATCTTCTGGCTTTACTACTGGTTGTCGAACTTGTCCTTCGATGGTGATGCGATGGAGTAGAGTGTGTGCTATTCTGCTGTGGCGGTTGGGTGACCGCGGATTTTCGTACGGATCCCTTTCGCGATGCGGAAACAGACTTTCTGCGATCTTCAACACCTGGATCATAGGTGGAAACGATGATTGTTCTGCGTATGATCGTTTCTCTGGCCGACTTTCTTTTTGACATATTCAATGATTCAACGGCTGGAAGAGGAGGTTTCTGCGCTCCATCAACAGTTGAAGCACCCCGGGCAAGGCGAGCATGAATAGGAGCTGCGGGTGCCAGGGCTGGTGTTTGACCAGTTGGAGAACGTGGACCTGTGAGTGGACTCTCTTGAGATGCCAAGGTTTTTCCATTTTGACTGGTACTACGGGGAGGAATCTGCCCATCCGTTGTTGGCGAAAACATGTCAGCAAGTGAAGAATATCCTAGCTGACTGGGCATTGCTAAGCGACCCGCAAACGTTTCCGCCTTATCGGGACTTACTTGCGCTTGACTTGGACTTTCTTTTGGAGTGAGGAAAACGGGAGAAGAAGTTGCATTTGGCGTTGTCATATTGCTCAAAGCTGGTGACGATCTTGCAGCAGTAGGTGATTGACCATCAGAAGGATACGGTTCAATAACGGCAGGCAATTCGCTTGCTTTTCTTCCGCGGAATCGGGTCAATAAGCGACTCAAACCAGTCTGCCCCTTTTCTCCGTATGGTGAATTTGCAGAGGGAGAATTTGTGCTGTGTGCATTGATCGATGCAGATCTTGCAGGGGAGATTTGCGCAGAAGGTGAAATGCTTCCGTCTAATTGACCACGATGCCCGAAAGAGCTTGATCTTCTCAAGTGTCCGCTAGCCGATGAGTTCTTGCGAGCGGAAAGAGTTTGTGCCTTATAGTCAGTCGGTGAACTCGTTTTATAGTCTGTTGGCGAGATGGATCTCGACTGAACAGTATTGGCAGAGCCAGAACGTAATCTCCTCATATCCGAAGGCGAACGGGGGGATTGTGCTTGTAATACACGATCTGCAGATGCTGTGTTACCCTTCTGTGTTGATGGTTGATTTGGTGATACCTTTCGTGTCGCTTGTTGCTGCTGGAGTGTGGGTGTAGTGCTTTTCACAACGGGCGAAGAAGCCGGCGTCAAGCTTGAAGAACGCATCTCTTGAGGGAAAGGCGGCCTCTTGTTTGAATCTTTCTTGCGAAGAGTATCGTCGACGTGGGTCAAGCCTTGAGTATGTTCCATCCTTTGCGTGGTAGAAACAAGCTGAGGCTGCGAAATGGCTTTCGATAAATTCTTACGCACTTTACCCAACGATTTCGAGCGCATCTTTGGTCGTTGGCCATTTTGACCTTTCAGTGCTTGCGTTGCAGCACGAGCTTGGGCAGCTACATCGTCAATCAAATTCGAACTAACAAAAGGTCCTTCTCCAGGCAATCTTGACCAGCTCGTGTCACCAGCATCATCTCCTTCACCTTCTCGATCTGCACCAGGTTCAGAGCGGAAACTCTTTGGAGAGAACTCGGAAGGTTTATCTGTCTCATCTTGCGCATCTTCAGTGTCTTGCAAACGGCTCGAGGAAAGAACATCATGCGATTGACTTCTGGGTAATCGTTTGCGTCTTTCGGAAGTGAATCCTCCAAAGCCATCTTCTACCGTTACATCTTCAAACTCCTCTGTTCCACCACCTTCTTCTTCAGCAATTGCGCCTGAAATTCCACTATTGCCAGGTTGACCATCACTAGCTGATAATTGATCATGCACCCTAGCTGAAGTTTCCAACATCGAAATCAGAGATGTAGAATTGCGATCGGCTGCTCCGGCTGTAGTACGCACTGGTGCTACACCCATAGATAGATCTTGCAGTGTTGGCAGATTTGACAAAGATGTTTTGTGAGTTCTTGGAGGCGGTGAGGTTGGCCTATGGCTCGAAGTAACATCATACATGACCTGCGAACGGAATGAACGAGATGATGTCTCTCGTTGCAGATTGCTAGAAGTCCTGGGGTCTGACGATTTGAAGGGCAGCGAAGACTTTTGTCCAGGCTCGCTTGATCGATTTACGGGTACTTCATCAGTACGTACTTTGTTTTCTGCGGATTTTGTGATGTTCTCAAGTTCTCTTCTGCTAGTATCCAATGAAGTATTGCGCGAGTCCGAATTTGTACCACTGGAATTCCTCGAGCGATCTGCTGAAATCATCCTGGCCTTCTCTCTAGCTTTTTCAAGTTTTGCAGCAGATTCTTGGGTGTTGAACTCTGCATTCTGCTTTGCATTAGCTGATCTGACCAAGTCATTTTGGATCTTGTGCAATTCGTCCATACTCAACCCGGATTTCTCAGTCAATGCATCATGTGAACTGACTATACCTGCCGAATTTGGTGAGAGGGAAGTGGGATGAGCGTCAGAAGATCGGGTCGCATTACCGATCATCTTGGAGTCCGACGTATTATTGGAATGGGTGACGGAACTAGGATCCAAGGTAGATGATGTATTCCTTGCCACGCGTGCCCACACATCATCTTCTATGTCATCTTGTTCTTCGAATCGTTCGTCCCTCGAGGGGTCGTCCTCTGAAATTTGCATAGAGATGCCGCTCTTAATGCTGGCTGCATCCATCGACTTTCCTACTCCATATTGCTTGCGCCATTTCACCGCTTCTTCCGGATCGCTAGGCGGCACCGGGCTTAGAGAAGAAAGGGTAGCGGAAGGCTGACTTTGGCCAGCATCAAGAGCTTCGACTTTTTGCGGGAATGTTTGACTTTTAGCCGATTGGGAATGCGATGCAGAAAGGTCGGAATCGGCTCCAATCGGGCCTTTGGCTGAAGATACTGGGGGCATTTCGAGAATACCTGTCTGGCCTTTACCGGCTTGACCATGATTTGAAGCATCTGATGAGCTTCCTGAAGTTTGATTGACGTTGGCAGATGTAAATTGTGATCTGTCAGTCTCTTCTGATCGATTCGTTGAACTTTGTACACTGTCTGCCGTGGGTGGTGCGGCAGTTCTGAACCCTGTTGCATAAGACTGCATCGATCGATTCGTTGCGGTAGGGAAGTATTTTGGTGAGCGTGCAGCGATTGCATTTGCGGACAGAACCTGATTCTCTGCTGCTGACGGACGAGAAGGCGATTGAATGACGGGAACACTGACCAAATCTGTTGGACCGCTGGGTTGTGAAAGTCGTTCAACAGGTTGCTCGTCCTGCTGTTGTTCAGCAAGCACTTCACTCTCCACAGGTTCCGACTGAGGATATGCGACTGTGATCTCGCTTGTCGGCACAATTGTTGCCGAGCTATCGGACGTAATCATCTGACCAGAAGCTCTATTAGAAGAAATCTCTCTTTGTTGCTGTTGTGCTTGTGCGACAAAATTGGAAGCTGCCACACCTGCTGCCGTTGCTGCTGCTGCGGCCGCAGCGGATGCAGCCTTTGTCTCTGCTTCCGTTTGCCCGGTTGAGCCACCCGCTAAGTGAAAGCCTGCTGCTAGAGGGCTTATCATCGCGCTCTCTGTGCCACTTGAAGGAGGAAGTGTACTCGTGAGCGGGCTGGAACTTGAACCATTGTACGATTTTGCAGACGATGGAACAGCATCAAAAGGTGGCGTATGCAAAGGCCTACGTAAGGAGGGAGAATCTTGTCGATTGCTCTGTAGACTGACAACACTTGCAGCGCTTGAGGATCCCATACTGCTTTTACCTGCCACATGTCTTGTAGGCTGACCACGCCGCGAATCGGCAAGTGGTGTGCGCTGGTTCAAGCCTGACGGTTGACTAACAGACCATCCTGCAGGTGCTGAAGGGCTGGTAGCTCGATCGTCGGGCGAGATGTTTACAAATGCAGCAGCTGCATTACCGATCCCGCTTAAGGCCTCTGCTCTACTTGACGTTCCATGTCCTTCAAATGCAGACGCAGCCACCTCAGATCGAGCTGAAGTGAATGAGTTCGTTTCACTCTCAAAAGAAGGCCTTTTGGCTTGGCGCGTATCTTCAAGTGACTCTCTTTCTTCTGACAACTGATCGTCTTCGTATGAAGGTCCAGACTCGCTATCATATGCAAGTAAGGTAGCACCGGAACGTTCATCCTCCAAGTCATCTTCCCCACCTTCTCCTTCACTATCCTCCACGCGACCCGATACCATTTCGTATACCTCTTCCAATGCCATGCTCACTCTATTGAAAGCCTCTGGGGTCAAAGTGGTAAGTAATTCTGAATTGCGATGTCGTGGTCGAGCAGCAGCATTTGGCGTCAAGAAGGAATTGTCATTCTCTCGCACAGTGTCCACGTTGTCATCTAGACGCGGAGCAGATAATCTTCTGCTTTCTCGGTGGCTTGCAACAAGAAAATCCCCAGGCATTGCATCTTCTTCTGGTGTATCATCGTATGATTCAGATTCAATTTCAATTCGATGAGCTCCAATTGGTGTTAGACTTTCTCCTCTACTTGTCTTTTCCGCATCACTTTCTTCATCTTGGATACCTTGAAGAACAGGAATAAATCTCTGATCACTTTCTTCTCTGTTAGATTCTTGATCGAACGAAGATTCGTCTCCGCCTCGTTTAGCAGCTCTAGATTTCTCAACCTCTTTCATGTATGCAAAGTCACGATTTGAGCTTGATGAACTGAAAAGGCGTCCAGTTGCGACATGCTGTTCATCCGATCTAGCACTATTTGACGTACTGTCTCGAAGATTGCTGAATGATTCGGTGATACTCTCATCGATCTTACTGTCACTTCGTTGATGACCCTGATAGGGAGTGGACCAAGAGCCAAATCCGTCTGTTCCCCCAAACTGCATCTGATCAACTTGCTGCTGCTGTTGTTGCTGTCGCTGTTGCTGCTTTACGGATGCCTCCCACTCTTCCATCTCTTCCATTCGTGTTTGCCTTCTCAATTGATCGATTATTTCATCTTCCTCTTCTTCCGTCAAGAAACATTGTGTGCCCGGTACACCTGTTGCTCTTGCTCTTGCACGTTGAGCTCGCAAATGCGCACGCATTGCCTCTGGTGTGACCATGGTACCATCAGGAGCTCGTAAAAGCGTAAATCGTTTTGTTAGATGTGGCATGATCAAAGACGTTCGATAATCCGATTCTGGTGGTAAAAGGTTGGTAGGATCTAACCTCTGTTGGCTGGATTGTGGTTGTTGATTACCTTCAGATGAAGCGTCCGCTCTAGAATTTGCAGCGATGCGTATGCCATGCGGAATTGATCCTGCTTTGGCGTTCTTTCCAATCAATCCTGCGCCCTTATTAGATGGACTTGAAGCAGCCGAAGGTCGCCTCTTGAATGGGTTCGGCATGATGGTGGTTTTGACGGAGCGTTTATTATGTTTGTGAGGTGTCCGCAGCGGATATGATAATTTTGAAGTATATGAGACCCACTTGACCCGTTGAATGTGAGTTCAATAAGTGGATGTTTAGGTATCAGAAGAGATACAGTGTTCAATATTCAAGCATTTCGTGAAATAGATGCAGATGTAATCAAGCCTTTAAAAACTGAACGGCGCCGAAGAATGATCTCTTGACCAAGCTGGCCCCCTTTTTTGTTGTCGTTTCGATTGAAAGATATAATTGTTGAGGGTTATGTCGGATCCGCATGCAATAAGCTGTCGATCTTGCAGCTTTTCAATCCAGAGTGAAAATGGATGTAAATTGCACTTTAATTGTTGATGGATGTTGTTGTGAATCAATCGATCCGCTCAAAATGCTGATCACAATTGTTTTATATGATGGCTGCATGAGAATGAATGCATGCACGCAAAGACTCAGGACATTGTCAAGCCGCTTTCACCAGACGTTTCTTTTCTGATGGCCTGTGTGGCTGGCTTTTTACTTTTAATTTTTTTTTTGATTTAATTAGCTTACTTGTTCGGCTTTAGACACTTCTATCTTTAGCCTTTATATTAGCGGGATTGTGGGCTCTTCTACCTTACAAGCAGCGCGCGTGTATAATTCAAACTTTTTTCTCTGTAAAGATGAGCAATTTAAATTATTGCTGTGTAATTACCGCATTTTACACTATCTCATGCTCTTCTTTACCCTTAATGGCAGCGAAGCTTCATTTGATGTCTAATCGAATCAATCGATTCTCTTTCGTGGAATATTGCTTGACCGCTCAGTGAAGCAGAGAATCATCCCAATCTGTGTCTCGCAAAATAATGTGATTGCCAGGCTATTATGACATCGTACAATGGTCAAGCTAGTATTCACTGAATATTTCACTGTCTACTTTGTCAAACTTGTATGCCATCAATTAACGTCCTCCAAACGCATCTTTGATCATGCTTTTGGTGTTTGGTCAGGTGTCTGTGTTCAAACAAACCGATAAAATGTCAGTAAGACGTCAAACAAGCATATCGTAATACTCACAATCCAGACAGAATATTGATGCATCTTTGGCTTTGCACCTTCTTTCAAAGTAGAAGGCTCAAAGACCATATGACCACCCCAATCGGCACCTGACTTCTTTCCGTCTTTCAATGTATAATCCACTCTTCCTCTTAGCATACATTCGGGAGAAGAAGCATCGATGGCATGTTTGCCAGCATTACAATAAACAGCATAAATCGTATGCTTTCTTGATTGAACAACATCAAATGCTTTCGATCTCCATTGTTGAACTGATTCACGATCTTTGGCTACTTGCATTGGACCGATTTGAAAGATTGTATTTTGATCGTAAACTAGACTATCGGCGTATTCTTCTGGTGTCGTTTCACTTTTATCGCTTATTGCGTAGAAGTTCTTGATGAACTCGGCAATGTTGCTAGGGACACCTTCAACGTTGACTGCCATATTTGGAAAAAGTCTTGGTTGGTGATCGATGTAAAGTGCAAGATGCGAGCAAAGGTTGAGAAACGTGGAGGACAAGTTTGTTAAATCCGAACACGCGGAGAAGCAAGCTAATGATCGGATCATATCTCCGCTTCCGATACAAAGGTCGGAAGGCAATCATAACTACGATGATGACTTATCATAAATTCATTCAAAGGATAAACAACAATAACTATTTCCCAAGTAACTAGATTACATGCGTGATTTGCGTTTTTGCAAATTGGAAGCATCACCACCACGGCTGATAACACGTTCGATACGTTTGTCCAATAATTCATCGTGAGTGGTTGTGGCAAGAAGATGTTTAGCTTTCTCTTCTTCGAGCATGTGCATCAAAGCAAGATTGGCTGGTGGTCTACGTGTGTCGCTCAAGAAGAAGGTGTAAATGGAAATACCCAAGAAAGAAGCAGGAATGTTTGTCAAAGCAGCCAAAGCGCTATACTTGGAAGGGAAGCATTCTTTACCCCAAATGACACCACAAGCAAAACGAGCACCAACATCACGAGCTGTGTTTGTAACGATTGAACCGGCAGAGAAACCCCAAACGATCACAGCGAAGGCCAAACCGATCGTGAGAGGAGCAGAACTTGGAACGACGAAAACGTTTTGAGCGTCTAATTGACTCCAAATGACCAGTGCCAAGAACATATCACCAAAGAATTCGTTTGCAAAGATTTCACTCATTTTACGACCTGCAGTTGGGAAGATGGCAAGAATACCTGCTGGTCCTTCAGGAGAGAAAACTTGAGCACGTTTACCGGCTGCCGTTAATAATTCAGTCATTTCCAACATTTCCGTTCGCCAGATTGAGTAAACCATAAGAGAAGCAACGAATGCACCTGCAAGTTGAGCAATGATATAACCTGGAGCCTTTCTGGCTGGGAAACCTTTGAAAACGACTTGAGCAAGAGTTAAAGCAGGATGGAAATGACCACCAGATGTTGGAGCACAAACGACAATAGCAAACGTGATACCAAGAGCATAAGCGAAACCGATCATGGTTAAATTACCTTGTTGACCTTGAGTGAGAACATAAGTTGCGGTTGCTGCTTCACCTGCGAAAACGTAAAACCAAACACCAAAGAATTCTGCCACCAAAGCACTAAGCCATTCAGGACGATATTGATCCCAAACATGACGGAAATGACTGTTTGCTATACCGGCAGAAGCAACAACTTCACGTTGGACGTCATATCTACCTTCAACAATTTCAGTGGCACCAAGTTCTAATTGACCTGGTGTACGGGTAGGACGTTGAAAGTGATGCAAAGCTTCTTGGTTTTGATGATCATGTTCGACATGTTTATCATCGTGGCTGCTGTGGTCATCGTCAGCAGGACGGTATTGTGGTTGATGGGACATGTTGATGATGAGTTGGAGGAGGGATAGGGGAGGATAAAGGATGATTGGGGAAGTAAAAATTCAAGATGAGGGGATATTTATATTCCTTTTTTATCATGCATCTTCTTGTGGGGTACCCCAGAATAAAATCAAATTCAGGAACCATGAAATGCGTGTATGCAAGGTCCTATTCCTAATCCGAAGCCACAAGGATTTGATGAGAGGAAGATTTGGGACAATTTAAATGAAAACGGGGGAAATTGACTAAATAAGTACGCAATTGCTTGGTAAGAGCTAGACCTTTTTTTACAAATTGATATGCAAAAGATGCATGATTATTCGACATGCTGATGTTTTGCTGGTATCTACCATGACAAAGAAGGGACTAAATTAAAAAAGTTCGCTACCGTGCAGGAGGTTTAGGATAATCATTTTCGAATTGAATTGATTGGAGCCACACGAAGGAGGCGGGACTTTAATTCACGGCTCAAAAAGCCGCGGCACTTATAGAGTAGGAAATTATTATGCACCCCACAATTAAGGCACTACAGCACACTAAACACAGCTTTTCTTAACTCTATTTCTTATTCGCGCGAGAATGATCTTTTAATCAAACGCGGGGAATACGACTCTCTTTTTCCGGCGGAAAGAAATAAAGCCCCATTCTTATCGGCTTTGATGAAGAGATGTTAACCGTCAGTGATCATGTGCTAATTTCTACAATAACTTTTGCCGCTCATACCGAAAACGGTAATCGATTGCACTTCATCTGCGGAATTAATTCAAATCCCGCTCAAGATTAACTCTTTTTAACCCTTACTCATTTTCGGACATCTCCCTTTGTCATTTTCGGCGATGAAACATTTCTCCGGTAAATGCGGTAGAACAATAAAAGCGATAGCCGATGACCTAGAAACAAAATCAAAAAGCCATCATGATGTCCTATGACTTGTCCATGCATCAAGTTATCTCCCACTCCTGAAGTAAAAGAACAACAAATGATTTGATTTTGATTGAAAAAAGTGTACAAAGTCAAGAGATAGCCTTTTTTGATGGGTCAAAATCACAGATGAAATAGTATTACACTTGGCCATTTCCTCCTTCCTCTTTCTCCTTCTCATTGGATGCTTCACCATTTTTTGTATTGTCTGCATTGGCATTCAATTTGATCGACAGCTTTCGTACCCCACCGCTAGTAGTGCCAGAAACAATTTTATCTGTGCGTGCATCATCATTGCTATTCGCTTGCAAATTCGCGCCTGAAGATTGTCGTTTTGTCACCCTTCCCAATTTGAGATCTTCTTCTCCTTCATCTTCGCCTTCTCGCTTTTTCCTCTTTGTGCTTCTTGTGCCGAAAGAGGTATCCATCGAATCATCCGCTGTCACAGATGTTTCACCCGCACCACTGACACCGCCTTCATCGCTCGAAACGGATTGGTGTCCGATGGATGTATCAGTGGCTGAAGAATCGCCAATCTCGCCTTCGCCCTCGACACCCTCAATAGACTCATTCTTCTGGCCAGAGATGTCCTCTTCAATCTCAGTAGCAACGTATGGTGCAGCTCCGGAACCGGCTCTTTTGCGTCCTGCATTGTAAGGTGGCAGGTCAACTTTTGCGCCTTTCTTGTCTTGCTCTTCTTCTGTCACCTCCTCATCTTCATCCTCGTTGAAGTAATCTTCTTCATCGGAATCCATAATGGCTCGATTTTCACCTCGTCTTGTCAGATCACGCATCTTTCTTTCCTTCTCTGCTTCATCAAACGTTGTCGTGCTGGCTTCCATTGTTGTGTTTGTGGCAACACTTTGCTCGGCATTGCTTTTCTCCCATTGCAGGATCATGGCTTGGAAGTAGTGTCCAATGGTAGCATGTTGTGTTAAAGCCCTGACTCTGGATTCATACTTTTCGAAAAGATGATTGATCAAAGGTTTCACAGGCTCTTTGCGAATATGTTCAAAGAATTCCAAACAAGCACTTGTGACCAAGTTGTCGCGCGTAGATTCACCTTCGATGACCGAAAGGATAGCACCCAAAAGCCCAATCTTTACGAAATGGCGATTGATGAATTGATTGCCTTTTGCTAGACAAGCACGGAAAAATCTGAGGGCTACCAAACGTAAATGCTTCTCGCGAGCAAACAAAAGTGTAGCCACTTGAATGCCAATGTCGGAAGAAATTACCCAATACTGAGAACGGAATTGATGATGAATCATGACGAACGTCAACAATTCGCATAGGTGGTTCAACATCGCAGACTTTGACGCAGAAGCGATGTGGAAATGACGTGCAACGATTTCGCCTTCTTTGCCATCTTTTTGTATTGATGCCAAATCGTACTTTTTCTCTGTGGGCTCCGGTTTGGCTTCGATTTGTTCCTTCTTTGCAGGTTTTGCATCAGATTCTGTAGGTTTCTTGCCATCGGCCGTTAGATCTTTCAAAGGGCTGAAAAGAACATCTACTTCACCATCGTAGAACCAATTCAAGAATCGATCCGTATCATCCTTGCGTGAGTTCTCATCCTGAGATTGTGAAGCCGCTGCAGCCGCCAAAGTTTGCGCCACAATAGGTCCACCTGCAGATCCATCCAGACTTGAATCAAATAAGATTCTCATCGATTCGGTGATTTGTGTCTTGAGACCTAGATCACCTTCTGGCTCGTGAAGGATGCTCGCCAACTTTGTGAGCAGAGGCGGTAAAGAACTTTTCTTGTCAACTTGCTCCAAAATGTGACTTCGAACTCCGCTAGCATCATATTCTATGATGGACATCAACATTTCTGCTGCCGCATTCCGCAATCGAGATTCCACTCTGGTTAATGCATACTCCAAAACGATGAGAAGTCCCCATTCGGTCAATGTGCGATATAGGGCAATGCGTGAAGGCAATTGAACCTGCTTTCCTATTGCACACAATTGTTGCAGGAATATGATTGCCTCTGCTTTCTTGCTGTCGCTTTCATTACGATTCGGCTCGAACAATTGAAAGAGAGATGAAAGTAAAGCCTCGCTACTTGTGCAAAACATGACGATATCTGCTTGATGGTAGAATATTAGCGAATTCAAAACGGCAAAAGTTGAATCATCTATCGTTCGTGCTAGGATGACGTCTTTCAGGTATTGTAGCCGGAATGTTTGATGAATCTTTGCGAGAATCATTGGATCAGGTATCGGCACAACCTGTCTGAAGCGAGCCGTATTTGTGAGATACTCGCGATAAGATGCTTTCAACTTTGGGAATTCTGGATCGTACTCCAACATGCCAACCACACCAAGGAAGGTGTCATCGCGTAGCATCCTCTCCATCAAAACATTGTCGTTCAACATGATGATCGTATGCATGATTGCACACAATCTATGCAAAGCGTCCAGTTGTTCCAATTCTTCTGCATCCTGGAATGCAGGAATCAACTTTAGGATGAATTCCTCGCGCAATATCCATTCAGCAACCTTTTCTCTTGCTTGTGGACTTCGATTAGCAGCGTCTTTCAAGGTCATATCGATCAGATGCAAATTTTCCATCCTTGGTGGGTCGGGCAATGCGAATGGCGTTCCGTCGGCCATTATCAAATCATCTTCGGTTGTCGTCATTCCTGCGGCTGCAGCTGCAGCTGACATGCCCAACATTCCGGCACCATCAGAATCTTCCATATCAAATCCTTCTGTTGCACCACCCCTGGCACTCAACAAAAAGTGCTTTTGCACTTCTGTCAAGAATTCCCAAACCTCATGACAACCATCAGCCTCTTGGAAAGAAAGAGCCATATCCGTTCCATCCGGTTCTGTCCATACGACAAGCGTATCCTGTTGTCTCTGATAAACGTCATCTTTTACCACTCTCGCTTTGAGTAAAAGGTCATCAGAATCTAGATTCTCGCTCACCACCAAGACGTAGTGCTCTCGATCTTCCCTGCCTTCTGCGCCAACTTGCTCATCATCTCCTGCTTGTTCTGGTGGCCGGCCTAAAGGTTGCTCATCACTTCCATTACTTCCAAGCGTTAGTCTTCGACATGTTTCTTCCATGCGGGCGACCAGCAAAGCAGCATCATTATGTTCATCGTAAACTCCAGCACAATAGCCCGTTCCACGATCGAACCAAGTTTCTCCTTTTAGTTCATACACCTTTACCCTTCGCGCTGTACCACATTGATGATAAGCGCCTCTTGAAAGTGTGGCAGAAAGAGCCAATGGCACACTACCGGAAGAAGTGGCGGAGATGTCACCAGATAGATCATCATCTTCGTTCCCCGACATCTCCATCGCCGGGCCGCCACCGGATGTATGCGCCTCTAGTTCGGCGGATGATGTTTCTTCATTAACAGTCCTGGACGATGCATCACCTTGTGTACCACGAACAGAGCCTGCTGCTTGCAAGTCAGATGCACTCAAAGAAGAAGAAGATGCTTCCTCTGTGAGCTCATAGCTGTTATTGCCTCTCTTTGGCGATGATGCTAACGCTAGCGGCTCATCTGTTGATGTCGATCCGCCCGATTGTCGTTTCGAAACAGACTTTCGTTTTGGCGTTACACGGGACGAAGAAGGCGATCCTGCCCTTACGTTACCTGGACTAGATGTATCAGCGCTTATATCTCCAGCTGAATTCCGTCTACCTGTGATTGCAGTCTTTTCCGGCGTCTTGTTTGGTGAAGAGGTAGGTGATTTGGAGTTACCTCCATTTATTGGTTTACGATCTTTCGCATTTGATCTTTGATTGGATGGTGAATGAGGTGATGATTCTCGTGTAAGTTTGTTAGATTTAGACGGATTTGATGGTGAAGTGGATGAAGGTGAATGCTGTCGTATGGAAGTGGTAGGCTGTGATGCGTTCCCATCTGTTGTTGTACCTGTCATTGCAGAATCCTTTCTTGAGGATAGCAATTGGACGTCTATGCCCTTTTCTTGCTTTCCAGACATTCTATTTGTACACAATGCTTTTTGATTTCCTTTGATCGTGATGAAAACGCGTTGATGATGATACGCATTCGAGTTAAGTGAAAAGCGCGTTTCTTCTCTTTCTTCTGGTCTTCAATCCTGCATTTCGAACCGTATCCAAAATACAACAATGAATTTTTTTTCCCTTCAAGAGAACGAGATATGACAACGGCAGGTTACGTCTCCTTCTCCAGAAAGATTTCACCTTTTTGATCGCGGTAAAAGACCGTGTCTAATCCAAAGTCGAGGTGGAGATGAAGTGATAAAAAGGGAAAATAGTGTTATTGTAAGGTTGAGAGACAGATACGATCAAAGCGTGGCGCGCGCGATTATGTGTGCCCTTATTTACCTCCACTGCTTGTGTGCCTACAGTATATCCCGGGCGCAGGGCTGCTTAACATGCATTAGAGTAGAAAAGGCAGGGCGTAGGAAGATAGAGCAGCAATGTACATTATGTACCGCGCGTAAATAAAGGCAAAAAAGCTTCCTTCGATTCTGAAAAGGCGGCGCTAGTTCTAACAAGATCGGCTACGGGTCATTTTCCCCAATGACATGTCAGCAACAAGCATAGAAATATGACAATTTAAATCACTCGGCTCACAGACCTTAAAAATAATAAAAAGTCCGATTTAAGCGATAGATCTCAGGGCGACTAGGCTAGTGAGGGATACCTTCTTCGCGTAATTCTTTTTTTTAATGGCTGCAGCTAAATTGAATTCGAGTTGCAGGAATAAAAATTTAAAGCTGCAAGCGTAGACTATTGTTGCATTTTAAAATTGATGATCACACATCTGACCACCACTTACAGTCAACTTAAGAGGGAGTTGCGATGGGTTCTCCGGATACATCAGTGGCAAGCACATCTTCCGCTGCTATTGTGAAGGGAAAGGATAAAGGGAAAGTTCAAGTAAAAGCAGGAAGCAATTGGAAGAAACTTCACAAAAGTCTAAGGAATGATCAACCCAGCGACACGAAGAAAAGACAATGGTTGCATTCAAATGGCAAACGGAAAGATAACGGTAGTGCATTAAAAGCTTCAGAGTCAGATTCACGTACCTCATCACCAGCACCAACGACTCTACCATGGTTTGCTGAAGATTTATCTCCCGAGGATTTGGCATTAGTGCGGATGAACAGTGGACAGGCTTCAGGTTCCACTTCGAGCAAAGGCGATACCAATGGAAAGGAAGCGTCAGATACCTTATCAAAGGATGAACAAGAAGCAGCAAGAAGGCGCATCATACTTGGAGGAGAAGGGCTATCACAAGGAAAGGCTGAAGCGGGCACTTATATCGCAATGGATTGTGAAATGGTGGGTGTCGGTCCAAACGGATCCGAATCAGTTCTGGCACGTTGTTCGATCGTAAATTGGCATGGTGCAGTTCTTCTCGACACGTTTGTTAGGCCTCAAGAAAAAGTGACTGATTATCGTACTTGGGTTTCAGGTGTAAGGGCAAAAGATTTGAAAGGCGCTCCTCAATTTGCAGAAGTACAAGAGAAAGTTGCCAATTTGATCAAAGGAAGGATATTGGTCGGACATGCTTTACATAATGACTTGAACGCTTTGTTGCTCAGCCACCCGAAGAACATGACCAGAGACACAGCATCATATGAAGGTAGTCGAAAGATTGCAAACACCAAATACCCATCCTTGCGAAAGTTGGTAGAGTTGAAGCTCGGCCTAATAATTCAAAAATCAGGATCGGAACACAGCTCTGTAGAAGATGCTCGTGCAACAATGGCTCTCTACAGAAGCTTTCATGCTGAATGGCAGCAGACTCTGAACGGAGCGGGTACTGCAGGTCGGAAGAGAAAGTCATCTACGTCCTCAAATACACAGATAATAGGAAAAGGTTGGAAGAAAGCCAAAGATGATTCAGGGTCATCGGGTAACTCTGTGAGAAAATCTAGTAAGAGTGCAGCCCCTGACGATCCAGAATGGTGGAACAAGCTCTAGATGAACTCATTGACTTGAAATTGGATACTTTACGAACAAGCAAATAAATACGATCATTGTATAATATTACACATTACTAATAGACATTTTCTCATACCTCCTTCTCCTTCTTCTTCTTCTTGTCTTTTTTGTGCGTCTTCTCCTCTTTGTCTTTCTTGGATTTCTTAACAGAAGGAGAAGGGTCGCTAGCGTGCTTGTCTTCGTCGCGATCACGCTTCTTCTTTCGCTCAGATTTCTCCTTGACCTCGACATCATTTCCATCTGCTGTGCCTGCTTCGCCATCTGCGTCATTTGAAGCGGCAGCTGTCGAGGATGAAGCTGCTGCTGCGGCCATTGCAGCTGCTTTCTTACGTTCACGCTCACGTTTACCTGCTTTCTTTGGCTTGATTGCATTTGCACCAGTTCCTTCTCCATTGCCATAAATTGAACCACCGAATTGTTCGGCCATCTCTTTTCGCTTTCCCTTATAGAGACCTCTACGGAAGTCTCTCAATCGATTCTTGAGATCGGCAGGTGCACGTTTAGAATTGCCCATTCGGTATGGTTGGAAGTTCTTCAAGCTGACAACTTTGTTTAATTCTGCATCATCTGCCAATAGAATCTCGACTGGTGTTAGACCGTAATCAGTCTTTGAAACTTCTGTGTATTTAAATCGTGTAGGCTGGTCACCAATCATATCTTCATACTCCAAGCCGTAATAATCATTCATCATTTCTTCCATCTTTTTCTTTCTCTCTTGGTGACTCAAATGTGAGAGGTCCTCCCCTTTGGGTGCGTCTTTGTCCGCTTTTGCGTTTGCAGTGTCAGCATCCATTTCATCAGCATCCACAACCATGCCTTCGTCATCTTCATTATCTTCTTCGGCTTTACGTTCTTTTGCTTTTTCACGCTTCTTGAGCTTCTTCTTTTCCGCTTTTGATAGCTTTTTGCCAGATTGTCCATCTGCATTCTCATTATTCTCCGCATCTTCGACATAATCAGCGTCCATCACAATACGATCTCCGTCTTCGTCAACAAATGCAGATGCTTTGGGTTCTTTGGCCTTGCTCTTTCTTTTATCAGCCTTCTTTGCCTTTGCGGACTTGGGGTTGTTCATCTCTTCATGCTGTTCTTGTTCACGTAGAATATCTGAGATATCAATATCGTCCTCCCAAGTGGGCTTCTCGCCATCGTCCTCTTCATAATCACCGTCTTCGCCGTAATAATCGTCATTGAATGCTTGAGCCATGAGCTTGTCATGTTCGTCAGGATCAAAGTCCGCATTGAGATCCAATTGATCAAAGTTAACAGCAGTACTTCCTGTAGCTTCTTTCAACGTCTTTAGTCGATCTACGATAGACTTTCTCTTCAAATCACGCATTCTGTCCAATTCTTTTCGTTTTGCTTCTTTCTCCTGAGCCTTGCGCAGTGATCTCTCTTCACGTTCACGTTTACGTTTGTTTTCTTGTCGTCTTGCACTGCCTTCGATCATACGGGCATACGATTGAATTTGTGGATTCATTTGACTATCTTCCATCTCTTGGAATCGGAAGTTGTATGCGGTTTCAAAGGCTTCCGCTCTTGAATCGAAAGAATCATCCGTCTCTGCGTCACTTTGAGCACCTTCTTCTCCTTCAACCTTCTCAGATGCCTTCTTGCCGCCCTTTCGTGATACCTTTGGCGCAGCTTGCGGATTGTCCATCCAACCGCGATTGAGAACGTAGTTTACCAAGAAGTCCTCATTTTCTTGTTCATTGCCTTGTTCATGCATACTGATATGCTTGCGCTCCCGAACAGGTTCAGATGTTCCACTTGTTGCACCCTGCACATTGTCTCCCGCAGCTGCTTCTTCTGCTTGACTTCGAAGGATGTCGCGAATTTCATCTTCTTTTCCTCCAAGTACGTCCAGCAAGTATTTGCGATAATTCTCGGGATCATCTTCTGGCCCTTCCTCAAGATGCTTTCCATCTGCTTTTTTGGTAAAGAATTCTTCTTCTTCGTCACCATCTACGATACTATGGAATGCATTGGTTACATCTTTTCTTAGCTGCTCTTGCTCTTGATTGTGCGATTGTACTGGCTCTTCGTCATCATGACCAGGTCTCTCGTCCGACCTACGCTCAATCATTGTTGCATCAGCCAATGCTCTAGCGGGATCATCAGAGGTTTTGAGTAATTCTTGAATTCTTGCTCTTTGATAATTTGCCAAAGTGACCTTTTTGCCTGAATCGTTGCCTGCTATCACCCTTTTTGGCAGTAATTTTGATTCTGCTGCATTCTTTCGTTCTTCATCGAAAATACGTTTTCCTGCTTGATAAATGCTTTCATCCTTTCTTCTAATCTTTGCCAACGTAGATAATATGGCTGCATCTACATCTGCAGTCATTTGATCACCTTCTTCATCTTCTGTTTCATCGTCACTGCTACTATCATCTTCCTCATGTCCATGTTGTTCTTCTAGTCTATGCAAGTCAGCACGTTCTTTGTTATGCTGAAAGCGTTGGGCGTATTCTTTGTTGATTTGTAATCCTGCATCATTCTCGTCATCGCTGTATTGTTCAACGATGTCCACTCGATCCCCGCTGGATTCAGAATCGGAGAATAGATCCATGCTGAAAACCTTATCGACCGGAATGGCACTGACAGAGATGTGGTAGAAGAAGTTCTCGTTGTTGTGTTTGTTGTATGCAGCAGCCTTCCACTTTTTTTTTCTGTGGTTCGGAAGACGGGATTAAACCTTTTTTTTTTCTGAGAATTATTTTGGACAAAATTTTAGCAGACTTGCATACACAGAAGGGAACTACGCGTAAGGTACTTTGAGAAGAAAAAGGTGTTGGGTAGCATTCATTCTTCCTCTCATCAGTCATCAAACAGTGGCATTCAATCACAATGGCACCTTCTGCTGGTGGGAAAGCATCGAATGGGAGAGGTCGAAAAACACTCTCCAGAGAAGCTCGCTTTAAGAAGATCAAAGCAGCAGAAGCAGCAGCAAGGACATCAAATGCGATTAAGAATGGTGGTAATGTCAGTCTAGACAAAGGCAAAGGAAAGGCAAAAAAGAGAGATGATGATATTGAAGAAGATCCTCATCCATTCCGTTACAAATCATTCAACGACCGACTCGCATCAGTACATATCAATGTGGCCACCAATCTTGGAAGAAGTGGTACTGGAGCTTTAGCCGGCTTAGATGGCCATGGCTTGGCATCCACCAGTCACAAAATGCAAGATGGTTCGGACGATGAGAGCGAAGAAGATGACGATATGGAAGGAAATGTAGCCCTGCATGCAAAAACTTCATTCGGCATTGCATTGCAAACATGGAAGGAACTCAATCTATCCTTACCCTTCACCTCTTTGGCTAACCGCATCCAGTCTCAATCGCTTTCATTGCCTTTATTGCTTCACAACCAGAAAACAATCACGAAGCATCTACATGATACCCTCTTTGACGCATATCCGGATTCTTACTTGGCATATGAGCCGGCATTGGATCTGATTCCTAGATTGGCAAATGATTTGGGATCTGCTTTCTTGCCTTCATATGTTGATCTCTTGACTGCAATCTTACGCATAACAACAATCGACAAACTCAGCACTGAAGGTCAGGAGTACACAGCTGCGATGATTGTGGAAAGATCTTTCGAAAGTATGGCTGCAACACTAAGATGCATGGCACCTTTTGTACTGCGTGAGCAACAAAGCAAGGAAGGTGACTCCAAAGATTGGTTAGAGATCACATGGCACCTTGTAAGACCATTCTTAGGATTTCAGGATTCTTGGAAGACTCAATCTGCAACCGGTGAGGATTCAATGGAGGTCGATGGAGAAGCAGTACCCACTCAAGCACCGATTCCTAAACGGAAAAAGATTCCGATGCATACTCGCCGTTTTGTGTCAGAAGCAATTGCTCATCTTGTGCGGCGAGCAAAGGCAAATCAATTACATCGTGTAGCACAAGTGATGATGGAAGACGTTACACTGGCCATGCAAGCTGGAGATGGTCAGAGTAGCACAAAACAAAGCCCAATCAGAGGATTTGCTTCTGGTGTTGCAGGTATTTGGGCCGAAGTGGCCAAATCAGTTGAAGGTCGCATTCATTCTATGGCACCCACTCACTTACAAGCAGCACTCCTGACCCCGGTCACCGTTTCATCCAGTGGAGAAGATTCAAGCGCTCACAGAGCCCGTATCTTAGTCGGAGTGTATCTGATTACATCATTGTGCCATCATGCTCAAGGTGCAGAATTGGCGCCGATCTTTGAGTGGCTTTCACGATCACTTGATAGCGAGCTGAACAAGCTGGAGTCCAAAACCATCGAAGACTCTGATAAGGTCGTGCTGGCTAGCAACGTTCATCAGAATGTAGAGTGGATGATTGCTTACATCGGTACCAGAAAAGGGAAAAGAGTCAATGATGAATCCAAGTCAAACATTTTCGGCATGATTTTACGATTGGCAAAGCTTACTACAACATTGGACAGAGAGGACGCTCCGCAGAAAGCTTTGCTCGCATCTCTTGTTCAATTGATTAGTATTGCTTTTCCGATCGCCCGTATTCAGGACTTGATTGGAAACGGGTTGAAGATCATGGATGCCCTTGCTACACATTCTGGGGAGGATCTCATCCCATCAGCATATTCTGCAGTGGTCTCTTCCTTGGCATCGCTGGAATTTAGCGGCTATCAACAAGTAGTGATGCCTTCTGTTCTCCGTGTGACCTCGGATTTGTTGGCAGGATCTACCACTGGCTTCTCAGATGCTGTGCAATTGCTCGCCAATCTAGATGAACAAGGAATCTTGGATACAGTGACTCGACAGGCACCAACAGCAATGACTACACGATGGCAAAATGTCTTAGCAAATGCGGTTCAGAAGGCTATTTCTGACGTTACCGGAATAGTTTCTTCCCAGCCAGTGTTTGATGCAGATCTCTTGTCATCCGAACAGATTGCATGCATATCTCTGGCAGGCGTAATACCTTCCTCCAGTACAAATTCGACGATTGACCAACTATGTGCTCTTTTGAGTACCTTAGCCAAGTTCAATGTCCAGGAGGAGAAGAATGCCAAAGGTGTCGTCAATTCAAACAGTGTGATTTCGTTGGTATTGCATTCGCTTAGCAGACTCGTGGATCAACACGGCAAAAAGGTAGCGGTTCATGCAGTTGCCAGTCTAACACAGGCATGCTCAATGGAAGAATTACTTATCCATCGAGCTCAACATCGCTCGGTAGTCATACGAACTGCTCAATTGATCAAAGGAGTAAAGGACCAGGGTGCGAATATCAAATTCTCGGACTTGAATAAGCTAGCAACAGCTTTGGAGTTCAGCGCCTCATCAGCTGATGAGACACTACGTATGGCCACTTTGCAAATTCTCTCTTTGGCTTCATTTGACGAAGTAGATCCGTCAACACCTTCAGTCTTTGCACAATTGACAGAAGTAGAAGGAAAGGGTCTAGCAGTCGATACAGTGAGGGAGAGGAATGTTCTACTTCGTTCCATCGGTCGTAACCTATCAAGACTTCAAGTCGCCACGACCGAGGAAACCAAACCAAAATGGTTCACTTCTTCTACCATAAGATTCACTATCCGCATGATGGTTTCTACGATGAAACTCAATTTGCGCCCTCTGTGGGAAGAAGCGCGCAAAGGTTTGGTCGATCTCAGCGTGCAATTTGGGCAAGATGTGTGGGCTGTAGCTTTTGAGGAATTGACCAAAACAAATCTTCCATCGGACGATGATTCTAGAAAGACTTTAGATCATGATGGAGGATCCAAGTGGATATCATTGAGTGACGAACTGGGCTACGATGACGAATCAGTTGACAAACACTTTCAAGACCCTCAATTGTCATCGAGGAGAGACATTGTCACATCTGCGGCTCAAGACGTAGTTGCAGGATACTGTGTAGAGAAGCAATTGAAGAATGACGAAGCTCCACACGGACGTCTCGATCTGATCAATTACCAGGTACAAATCTTGGCACTCTTTACGTCTCTCGCCTCAATGGCCGAACGCAATAATGCTCCTTTAATGCAACATTTCTTCCGCACAATTGTCGATAGACCAGAGCTGGAGCTGAACGATGACGAATCTGATGCAGAGGATGAAATAGAGACGGAGAAGGATGAAGAAGCCGATCAAACCGGAGATGTGAACAAGAGCTTGCAGGCTAAAGAAAGTCTTGTTACACTCACTCGAAATCAACGCCGTGATCAGCTTTGTGCTTATCTCGAAACTTTCGCCCAATTCAGCAATCCTAAAGCATTGTATCGGAGCGCCGATGTGTATGCTTATTTGCTTAAGTTATGCACGCAGGGTGATCCAAAGATCCAGAGATTAGCACTCAATGTGATTTTGCAATGGAAGGATCCTGCACACACAGCCAACGCTGATCTCCTCAGAAATCTTTTGAATCCTAGCCAGTTTCGAGAACAACTTACCTCTGTGGTTCTTGCCAATACTGCAGAAAGCACAATTCAACCTGGTCATCGTGCTGGTTTATTGCCTCTTTTGCTACGGATCATGTATGGTCTCATCATCTCAAAGTCAAGTCGGATCAGTGGACAGGCAAACCGAAGATCTGCCATTTTGACTACTTTGGCTGATCTTGAGCCACAAGATTTAAAACCTTTCATCGAGGTTATGTTGGAACCATTTGATGACATTTGCGGAACTGATGGCGATAGAGCATTTGTGATGAAGGATAGAGCACCATTGGCTCCACAACGAGTTCAAAGCGGTTATATTGCATTGTTGGAAGATGTTTTGAAGTACTTGGGCTTGCGGATCATACCGTTCTGGCAGGATCTCATCGGTGTCTTACTCAATATTACCCACCATGCCTCTTTGATAGCTGCAGAGCAAGGACCCGGAAAGTCATCACAAATTGAACGAAACATTCGACAAAGTGGGCTAAGGAGATTGAATGACTTTTTCCGTCAACCGACAAATGAATTTGATTGGCAACCGTTCCTTCCTGCGATCTTCAAACATCTCATCACTCCGAGATTGGCCACATTACGCAGTGAAAGCATTCAAAGTCCGTCCGTTGTACTAGAGATTATACATACGTGGTCAGGTAAACGCTCTTCAATTATGAATTTGGTGCAATACGACTCTTCTTTGTTGCCCAATACAACGAGCTGTCTGGAAGCCAATGGCGTAAAACCATCAGTCATTATTCGTGTTCTGGACGTTTTGGACAATATCGTGACATATGGAGAAGACGAAGGTGAGGATGAAACAGATGCAGATCAGGAAGAGCCTTCAGCTTTGACTGTCAGAGAACGTATCGTGCTCCCGTATGTGTCGACGATGCTGAAAGGCGTCGATGCTTTGATACGGAGATGTGAAGCAGCCACTCCGACGGAAGCAAAGTCATTAGGAAGAGACGAAATGCTACGGCGGTTGCTCGATCTTCTCTCACGTATGGCTTCATATGTGACCAAGCCGGATGACATCACCTCTCTGTTCTCTCTCTTGGGTCCGTTATTACGCAAGAATAATGTGATCATCTCGGAAAAGAGCAAAGCAGACGTTTTGATCGTTTTGGAGAAGTTAATGCCAATGTGGCTTACTGAGCAAAGTGCAACAAAAGACAACGTGTACGCTTTGTATTCCATCTTTTCCGCTCTCTTTTCCAAACTGCGTGGCCGAATCTCGCGATCAACTCTGGTAAGAGCTTTCTCCCAATTCAGCAAATTTGATGAATCTCTTGCACAAGTCATTGCATGGACAGGAGACTTGAACGCATTTGATCAAAAGAGAATGCAAGAGTACGATTTTGATCGCCGATTGGGGGCTTTTGATACAATCAATGCGGAAGATGAAGCAGGGAAGCAAATGCGTGCAAGGCTTTCTCCTCTACACTGGTCACCTCTGCTGCACAACTTTATGTACTTCATTCAAGACCCTGACGAATTGGCCGTTCGAGCAAGCTCTGGAACAGCCATTCGAAGATTCATTGACACGTATCAATTCCATCTAGAGCGAGAGCAAGGATCCAGTACTCATGACCACAACGCGCTTTTGAACGATCTTCAGAAGCTCTTTACAGGTGTTGTGTTTCTAGGATTGCGACGATCTCTGCGAGCACAATCGGATCTAGTCAGACGTGAGGCTGTAGAGACCATTGGTTATGCTGTTGCACATCTGTCACCTCACCTTTCCTACGTGAGCGAAATGAAAGGTTTGCTGTTCGAAGGTGATGAAGAAGCCAATTTCTTCAACAATATCGAGCATATCCAAGTCCATCGTCGTTTACGAGCATTAACACGATTAGGACAAGAAGCATTATTGGGCCACATCAAGAGTCGCACAATTCTTGATGTCTTCATGCCGTTGGTCGAACACTTTTTGCTTACCGAGCATAATCATGGAGATGGAAATCTGATCCAAAAAGCGGTCGAAGTTTTGGGTCAATTGACCAGTCAACTGAAATGGGGTCCATACAATGTTTTACTATGGAAATATCTTTCCTATCAAAGCACTAAAAGCGATAAAGGCGGTAAAGAGGATGATTCCAAAGCAAAGGAGAAAGTTACAGAAAAGGTTGCAGTGCGTGCAGCGATGTGCGTTTTGGACAACTTCCATTTTGATATGGATGAGGATGTGATTGGCGCGAATCAAGAGGAGAAAGAAGTTGATGGAGAAGGAGACCCTGAGGAAGAGTTGCAAGAGCGTGATGAGGAACAAGAAGTCCTACGATCAGAGGCAATGGCACATTCAAGAAAGGTATTGGATGCTGTCAGAAATCGACTTCTGCCCCGTTTAATCGAATGCCTTGATCTCAAAGACGAAATGGAAGATACTGTCAGACTACCGATTGCTATCGGTATTGCACGTATCGTTCTTCTTTTGCCTCCGCAATATCGAAGAAGTGAGGTGCTTCGAATGCTGAACAGAATGTCACACGTATTTCGAAGCAAGGCGCAAGATACAAGAGATCTAGCGCGATCAACTTTGGCAAAAGTTTCAGTCACTCTAGGTCCAACGTATTTCAGAGATCTTGTGATCGAATTACGAAAGGTTTTGACCCGCGGTCCTCAAATTGCTGTTCTAGCGTTCACGGTGCACAATGTCCTATTGCACTGTGTTGAAAGTGAAGATCAAAAACTGTCAATTTTGGATGAACAGACTACTGGAGATGTCGTTGAAGTTATCATTGAGGATATTTTTGGAAGAACTGCAGAAGATCGTCAAAGCATCGAAAACAGGACTACATACAAAGAGGTCAAAGCAACGAAAAGTCTCGATACCCTTGAGCAAGTAGCCCGCATTGTAGCCCCTTCTGCTATTCGAGCTATGTTACTTCCTTTGAAAGAATTGATGGCACAGACTGAAGCAGCGCAGGCTACACGCAACTTTGATGACTGCTTGCGAAGAATTGCTGTTGGTCTCCAAGCAAATAGTCATCTGGATGCCCATGCATATTTGGTCTTGTGTCATGAATTAGTCAGTGCAAGTAGCGGATCATTGTTCAAAAAGAATTCCAACGGCAGTTCCTCGAAACGTGACGGAAAGAAGAGCAAACAAATGCGAAGAACTAGTGCAATCTTGTCCAAACGATTGGACGTAGAGAAAGATGCTGACGTGCGCGATCATTTCGCCAAGAATGCTCATCGTTTCGTTGCATTCGGACTTGATCTCCTCTCTTCAGCAATGCGAAAAGGTAAATTCGATTTCAATGATGTTTCTGTCTTAGCAAAGTTGGAACCTCTGTTGGGAGCAGTGGGAAATAGTCTTTACGCTAGCCAAACGAATATTATCATTCAAGGTATTCGCTGTTTGACCTTATTGATCCGATGCCCGTTGCAAGCTATGAAGAATTCTCTTCCCACTATCGTCAAACAAACGATGAAGTTGGTTCAGCGCGAAGGAAATACACGATCCGACACATTGATGGCTTGTCTGAAGTTGTTGACAGTCATCATTCGTGATGCCGGTCAAAAGGACGGAGCAGACCCAGATCAATTATTATCCGAACAGCAGTTGACAACGCTTTGTCATCTGATCGAGATGCATGTGGAAGAAGATGTGGAGATGCAAGGTACTTTGTTCAGTCTATTGCGTGCATTGATTGTTCGAAAATTGACCGTACCAGAGCTTTACGATCTGATGGACAAAGTGGCGCGTATGTTGGTTGTGCAACAAAGTGAAAGTGTCAGATCAACATGTCGTGCTGCCTTTTTAGACTTCATGCTGAACTTACCACAAGGAAAGAAACGCTTCTCTAACCAAATTCATTTCCTTGTCAAGAATTTAGAGTATGTCTATGAAAGTGGAAGATTAAGCGTTTTGGACTTTTTGCGTAGTATGCTGGACAAAACTTCTGATGAAGTTTTACGACCATACTTGGACCTCATGTTCGTCGCTCTGGTTATGCGTTTGGCCAACGATGATAGCAGTGCTTGCAGAGAAAAGTCAGCTCTGCTCATCAGAAAGATTGTCGATGTTTCTGGACAGGAAGAGATTGGCAAATTGATCGCTTTGACTCAAAGTTGGTCTCAAAGCACATTGGAAAGTGAGACGGGACGGAATCTTAGTCGAGTCTCTATGCTGGTGTTTGGGATCATGCTAGACGCGAAGGTCCAAATCAGTCACGACGATGCAAATGCAAAAGACTGGCAAATAAATGCCTTATCACGTTCCTTTGACGTATTGGAGCAATGCGCAGTCTATCTTGAAGAAAAAGAAATTGACGTCGAAGAAGAGACCTGGATGGAAGAAGATAATGATCTGCTGTCTGACTGGCAAATACCGTATCAGAGCCTTCAATTGGTCAATCGCATTTTCAAGCAACGTGATGAAATTTGGTCGGATGGTGAAGAAGCCAAGTCTCAATTTGACTCAGTCTGGTCTACCGTAGCACGTTTGCTGTTGTTCCCTCATGCTTGGGTTCGTTCTGCGTCTTGTCGATTGATCGGTGAATACTTTGGAACTCAGAAACCATATACACCAAAGAGTCAAGATGAATTGACCGACCTGGTGGACATGTCAAAGAAGATGTCGCTCGTTTTACGTAGTCCACAAATCGATGAACAGCTTTCCATACAAGTTGTCAAGAATCTCGTCTTTATTGCAAAATGCTTTGTCGGTGTCGATAATGAGAACATCACCAAATCATCAAGCAAAGGTCGCGACAAGGCAGATGGAGAAGAAGAATTGGTTGAGAGTGACATCGATGAAGATGATCTCGCTGAGGGCAGCGCGCCAAAACCTGTCAAGAAAAGAAACGAAGATGAAGATGACGCCTTATGGCACAAGCAGCCATTGCGCTGGTTGTTCAACAGACTTTCTCATCAGCTTCGTCGTTCAGGAGCAGATCGTGCTCATATCTCATCTGGTGCAATGTGTGCATCGAGTGCAATTTTGAAATGGATGGCAGCCATCATGAGCCAATTGGATGTGGATACGAGTAAGAGGTATTTGGTCCACGTTGTTGCTCCAATTTATCGCATTTTGGAATCCAACATTACCGTTCCTAGCTTGTCAGATGCAAATGGAAGAAAGCCTTCCAAATTTGGAGATATTGCAGCTGCTGAAAGAAGATCTTCATTGGAAACACTGGCCCGTGAAGTGCAAGAATTGTTGCAGGCCAAAGTGGGAACACAGTTATTCGCATACACATATGCTTCAGTGAAAAGGAAAGCAAACGACAAAAGACATCAAAGACGTGCTCAAGCCATTCAAAGAGGAATTGACTTCCCAGAAGAAATGGAAGCACGTAAGACACAAAGGAATATGCGTAAACATGAAAGTAGAAAGCGGAAAAATGATTCATACGCAAAAGGCAAAGATCGTGTTCGACCTTCAAAGAGGCAGAGATGATCGATTTGATTGTACACCAGAATAAATAGAATAACAATAAAATCAACTGTCAATATGAACAGTGAGATCTAGTCGAGCAGCTAAAGAAGTGATGTTGTATGTTCAAAGCTTCGCGTTCCTTCTAACGATCTTTGTACTGCCCCTTCCTGAGACATCAACCTGTGTCCACCAAGGATAGAAGCCCAACTGCTCCAACTCTTCCACCCTACCCTTGAACTGAGGAGGTCGCTTCTCCAAAAAGCTTCTTACACCCTCCGTGGCATCAGAAGCATGAGATAAGCCGGCAATACAAGCGCTATCGACCAAATGTGTCGCCTCGGGAGATTCAGGTGTTCGCCAAAGGAGAGCTTTGTTCAAAGCCATCGAAAGAACACTATTTTGAGCTGCTAATCGTTTTGCCAGTTGAAGTGCATGTGGGAAGACTTCTTTTTGTGGCAAGATTGCTGCGAATAATCCACGCATGCAATCTGCTGTTGGTAAGTATGTATCCCCAGTCATGGCAATTTGCAATGCATTTGAATGACCGACCAAGCGAGGCAAGAAGTATGCTGACATTGCTTCCAAAGTGATACCACGCTTTGTGAATGGCAAAGCGATCTTTGCTGTTTCAGATACGATTCGAATATCTGCTGGGAGCACCATTGTCAAACCAACACCGACCGCACTTCCATTCATTGCAACGATAACAACTGAAGGGACAATGAAGATTGATCAGTCGATTTTATCGATATAAAAATTGCACAACCCATTTTCACACTTACGCTTCCTGCATCGCAAAATAGAACCTGAAGCCATTCCACCTCCATCACGATGATTGAGTGTGGGCACACCGGGACCTGCACCAAAGCCAGAAGCATCACCTTTGGCACCTTTTCCGGCACTCAGGTCTGCTCCTGCACAGAAAGCTTTATCACCTGCACCCGTCAATACAACAGCCCGAACTCTTGGATCAGCATCTGCCAATTCAAATGCAAAAACGATGGAAGAGCACATCGGTGCATTGAATGCATTGTAGCTACAAAAGGGATTAATCAGCAACCGAAACAGATCGCAGTAGAATATATGCTCAACTTACTTTTTAGGACGATTGAGTGTGATGATCAGTACATTGTCTTCCAGCTTGACTATAAGCTCGGGAAAGTTGTACTTTCTGCCAACGAAAAGATTGTTCAGTAGTTAGCTCTCATAAAGACCTCCTATTGTAACTCACTCATAATCAAAGTTTTCCACGTCTACAGTCGAGACGTCAGGATGTGGTGAATCTGTCCAAACAGCCATTTTTGTGATGGAAGGAAGCGGAGATGATGAAGGTGACTAAATGAGAAGATCGTGGCAATCGAACGTGATTAAGGCTTTGATTTTGCTTACAATGTTCGGCTCTTTCTAACTTTTACCGGTCGGTATTGAAAGTTGTATTCCCCGCAATTTAAAGCTCACCGGATTATAATCTGAGCCGGACACAAGAAAGCGTGAAAGATGAACTTCCCGAACCCTCTTGCTGACTAATGAATAATATCTGTGCACGAGTGACAAAAAAACCCAATTTTTAGTCCGCGGCGTGCAGAACGAGAAGAACTACAATCGAGTCGGCTTCTGATCACATTCACTTCACATTATCCGCAATCTCGATCTCGATCTTGAGCGAGAAGGATAAAAGGAGAGTAAAGACACAGCAATAAAAGACAAACGGCACGATATATCCTTCAGCGGAAGACAAGAAGAGAAAATCGTATGCTGCCAACATGGCAAGCTCTGTTTTGACTGTCACTTCGTTGGAAAAACGAGTTGCACAGCTAAAGCCAACAAAAGAGAATGAAAAAACAGAACAATCATCTAATGTCAACCGCGGAGGAGAGGGACATGATGCAAAGCACATAGATGAACTGAAGAGTATTGCTGCAGATATAATAACCATGTTCAAGACTGGAAAAGCAGCAACTGCAGAACAAAAGACATCGCTTTACAACATGCTAGGAAACGCAGTTCCAGCCCATAAGGATTACAGTGCCAATATTGCAACTACAGTCTGTAACAGACTATCAAGTGAAACACAAGAAGCATGTGTTCGATCAGCAACATTGGCGATTGAGAAGCATTTGGCCTTCTGTCTTGCCGAAGATGATACGACCACTGCCGCTGCTGCATCAAAAGTATTCGCCAAAGAGATGGGAAGCGCCAAAATTCCAACTCGTAAAGCAGTTTGCTCTGCTGTCGGTGAAGTAATCTGGTCACAGCCAATCATCGAACCATCCTCTGCAAGCAAATCTTTCATTGAAGCACTCATACCAGCACTTGAAGGAAATCTGAAAAATGCATCTCAGAAAACATTGACTTCTCCATCTGGTCCTTTGGAAGGATATGTGGCTGCGGCAGTACTATTAGGAAGGGCGGCTAAATGGGAAATTGCAAAAGTTGATGCTGCAATCAAGAAGAATGAGATCTTGCAGACCATCGCTGCGACTCAGCCAAAACCTTCTTTCCTCTTGAACGACAAGGTTGTACGAAAAGTGTCTGTTGTGGAAGAAGAGGTGTGGCTACTAAGAGCACTTGATGGTTTACTCCTCTCGAACGCAGCCGCGGTTCTGAAAGATTCTTCAGCGATTGACGTTGTTGCATTGGCAATTCGACAAATCGCATTCAGCAGTAAAACAGTCAAAGCACGGAATGAAAGCGTGTTGACCATACAGTCCATTGCAAAACGAGATGTTTCGATGGCCACCTTAATCCTGAAACAGGGTCTCACAAATTGGCTCATGACATTGGAAATTGATCAGGTACATGCAACAGAAGGGAATGAACCAAACTCGATCGAGAAACAAGATGCAGCTGCGGCAGCAGCAGCTGAAAGGCCAAAAGAGAAAGATTTCAGTAGAGCAATCAAGAAGCTCATGGCGTCAATCTGTTCCGTATCGTCAAGTTTTGATGATCGCTCAAAGATGAATACATTGTGTGAATTCTTCGTGTTGGCACATCATCCTGAACTTGGCGTAGGAAGGCGACAAACATTTATCGGACTTTGTCAGGTCGCAAAGATGGATACCCGTCTCATCGTGGATTTACGATTAGAATCTCTTTTAGCATCTGCTAAACAATCACTCAATATGCCCCAATTGAGACAAGCAGCTTTGGACGCTCTTTCCACTTTGGTCTTAATCGCACCACAAGATGTTTCGGCAGTATTGATGGACGACATACGCACAGGTCTAGGACTGAAAGAAGTAGATGCATTGACACCACAAGATTTGGGTATCTGGCAGACTCCGCCGGATAGCCTGTTCGTTGACGTATTATCGCAGAAAGACAAATCAAACGTGTCTGCATCCAAGGGTAGCGCAATGGATAAGTGGGATGCTGAAATGCGGGAAGCAATCGCCAAAAAGAAAGGCAATGCAGCGGCATCAAACAAAGCTTTGACAAAAGAGCAACAATCTGCCGTCAATACCCAAAAGCAGATAGAACGAGAAGTAAGACAAAGGGTCATTGAAACGCAAACGAGACTACGAAATGCTCTTGCAATCGTTGTTAGCTTGGTGGAAGCTCGGACGCATGCTATTGACGATAAGATGGTCGAATTGGTTTCAATGCTATTGGCTTTCTTCAAATCGCCACCTGCTCGACAATTGGCATTGAATGAAGCACATAGAGCGTTTGATTCTTTATCAACTTGCTGTGGGGAGAGAATGGACGAATATGGAGGTTTGATCAAGTTTGCAATTCTACGAACCATTGATCCTTCACTGGTTCCTGCTCAACATTCTGAGGAAAGCATGAAGGATCTAGCATTGCGCATTTTGTACCGTCTTCGCTTCCTTTGTGAACAAGCACCTCTAGATCTTGCATCTATTTCGTTTGTCGAGCCATTTATCTCAAAAGTGATTCTATCGAACGGTTTGGACTTGGCAGCAGACGACGAAGATGGAACGTTAGAACAGGTGCAATTAGCTTTGGACTTTATAACATTCCATGGTGAAGCATGTCGTGATTCTCGTTTCCCGCGATTGGCGTTCATTGATGATCTAGCCCACATCGTTGCCAACAACACTCAACTAGCAAAAGATGCGGTCTCAGCTTTGCGTACGCTGGGTGATGCAATAAAGATCAACGCTTCGCCACAAGAAATCTCTCGCCTTTTACATCATATCTTAGCCGAAGAGGTATATGTTCGCACAGGTGCATTGCAAGCATTGCAGCCCTTGGATTTGACCGATTTCGAGTTCTGTTCTGAACTCTGGCTCACCTGCCATGATGAAGATGAAGAAAATGCGCGATTGGCAAACAAGGCATGGGAAGAGAATGGTTTGGACATTCCGATGGAGTATGCATCTTCAATGTTACCGATGCTACAGCATAGTCACAACTTCGTACGAAGTGCAGCAGCTCGATCAATTGCAACAGCCGCTCAGATTCACCCAGAAACGACCTCTCCTACAACGCAAGCATTGATGGCGTTGTATGAAGAGAGAAATCAAATTCTAGAGACCGAGTATGATCGATTCGGTATGCCAATCGAAGAGACTGTGAATCGTGAAGATCCATGGCGCATTCGTGATGCTATTGCCTCTTCATTCTTAAACCTAGCACCAATCTTCCAAGATGAAGATTTGGTTCCATTTTTCAATTTCTTGATCGGAAAGGAGGCGCTTGGAGATCGACACGAACGTGTTCGTAAAACCATGTTGGACGCAGCAACTGCAGTAACAGATCAACATGGATCCGCTCGTTTGTCTGAACTAATTGCGATGTTTGAAAACTTTTTGCAACATCCTCAACCGAACACCAATGATGACATCACAGAGGCTGTTATTATCCTATTCGGTAGATTGGCAAAGCACCTCACTGTCAAAGATCCAAGGGTTTCACAAGTGATTGAACGATTGGTGGAAGCTTTGAAAACGCCGAGTGAATTGGTGCAAGTTGCGGTCGCTGATTGTTTGGTGCCCTTGGCAAGAACGGCTGAGAAGGATGTACCGGCCTTGATGGAACGTCTCTTTGATGCTTTGTTGAACGCACCAAAGTATGGCGAACGAAGAGGTGCAGCTTATGGAATTGCAGGTTTGGTAAAGGGAAGAGGAATCAGCAGTATCGCCGAATTCAACATTATGACAAGATTGGCAGAAGCAGTGGAAGACAAAAAGGGAACACATGCCCGTCAAGGAGCGATGATGGTGTACGAAACTTTAATGGCTATGCTGCAAAGACTGTTTGAGCCATATATCCCGCAAATTTTACCTCAAATGCTTTCTTGTTTCGGAGATGGTACTACTGATGTACGAGATGCCACCCAAGAGACTGCAAGAGTCATGATGCAAAACATTTCAGGATACGGTGTTCGTCTGATCATGCCTTCGTTGTTGGAGGGGTTGGAAGACAAGCAATGGAGAACCAAGAAAGGAGCGATTGAATTGTTGGGTGCTATGGCTTATTGTGCGCCTAAGCAATTAAGTCACTTCTTGCCAACAGTCATTCCCAATCTCAATGAGCCCATCAAAGATTCTCACAAGCAAGTCCGCTTGGCAGCAGAAACAGCCTTGAAAGGATTCGGAGATGTGATCAGTAATCCTGAGGTCAAGAAATTGGTGCCAGTCATCATGAAGGCACTTGTGGATCCAGCAAAGACGCCTGCAGCTCAACGTGCAATGTTGACACAGAAATGGATTCACGTTTTGGACGGACCTTCTTTGGCCTTGTTGGTTCCTGTTATCGATCGTGGTTTGCGCGAAAGAGGTGCTCAAATCCAAAAAGATGCTGCTCGTATTGTGGGAAACTTGGCCAGTTTGACAGACTCGAAAGATTTCGTTCCATACCTCAATACACTTGTTCCGCTCGTTCGTCAAGTTCTTGTCTCGCCTGTGCCAGATGCTCGTGCTACAGCAGCAAAGTCTTTGGGTACTTTGGTGGAAAGATTGGGAGAGATTCACTTTGTTGACCTCGTTCCTTCTCTTCTTCAAATTCTCAAGTCTGATCTCAGCAGCGTAGACCGTCAAGGATCGGCACAAGGATTGGCAGAAGTTTTGGCCGGATTGGGGGTAGAACGTATGGAAGCACTTTTGCCGGATGTGATCAACAACGCACAGTCATCATCTCGTTCATCAGTGCGAGAAAGTCACATTCTTCTGTTGATCTTCTTGCCTGCAACTTTCGGACTACGATTTACACCTTACCTCGGAAGAATCATTCCTCCAATCCTTGGTGGTATTGCCGATGAAGCAGACAGTGTTCGTGAGGCTTCAATGCGAGCTGGACGAATGATCATTGCAAACTACAGTTCGCGTGCAGTGGATCTGTTGTTGCCTGAATTGGAACAAGGTCTATTCGATGAATCCTGGAGAATTCGATTGTCTAGCGTTCAATTGATTGCTGATCTTTTGTTCCGATTGGCTGGTATCACAGGAAACAATGAAGTCGAAAACGACGATGAAGCAGGTGAAGACGGAGCAGAACAAAATGTCGTTGCTGCCAATTCCATTCAAAAGACTTTAGCCGATACTTTGGGCACTCAAAGAAGAGATCAACTTATTGCCAAGATGTACGTTTTACGACAAGATGTTGTGGTCAATGTACGTCAAGCTGCTATTCAATTGTGGAAGACGATCATCAGTAATACACCCAAGGTCGTTCGTGAGATCTTGCCATTGCTCATCGATCTCATGGTGGATCTCTTGGCTCGGGAAGATGAAAGTAAAGAAATGTCTGGTAGAGCTTTGGGAGAATTGGTCAGCAAGCTTGGTGAACGTATTTTGGCAGAATGTATTCCAATGTTAAGAATGCGAGGTGTTTCGGAGGACGTACAATCGAGAATTGGAGTTTGTTATGCAGTGACGGAGGTGCTCAATAATGCATCAGAAGATCAAGCACAAGATCATCAAGACAGCTTGATCGCAATCGTTCGTCAAGCATTGTCAGACCCATCTTCAAGTGTACGTGAAGCAGCAGCGGAAGCATTTGATTCTCTTCACGAACAACTGGGCGACTACGCTACAGAAGAGATTGTGCCAGGTTTGATCGAAACATTACTCAATGGGGACGATGATGAAGATGACGACGACGATGAGGAAGAAGAAGATGATGATGAAGAGGGAGAAGAGGAGAAGAAGGAAGATGTCGAAGCCAAACAAGCAGAAGAAGATGTCGAGAAGGATGATGATGAAGAAGAAGAGGAAGGAGACGATGACGATGACGATGACGATGATGACGAATCTGAAGAAGATGATTCCAGTCAAGGACGTGCTTTGTCCGCCTTGCAAGAGATCATGAGAAGTAATGCCGAAAGCGTCTTCCCCGTCGTGGTTCCAGAATTGATCGAGCAACCAATCACAGCTTTCAAAGCCAGCGCCTTAGCCACTTTGGCTGCTCAAGCAGGAAATGCTTTGAATTCAGAACTGGAAACGATCCTCTCAGCTCTTTTGACAGCAATCGAAGGTTGTCAAGGAGACGATGAAGAAGAAGAGACAAAACTGTCTCTAGAAGAATCTTTCTCAACTCTCCTTTCGAATATTTACGATTCCGATGCTGTGTACGAATTTATGGACGTCTTGCTTGGCTGGGCTGCAGACAAAAGTTCGGCGGAACAACGCTTGCGTGGTACCCGAACATTCTCGACCTTCTGCAGAGTCAAAGATGAAGATGCAGATATGGGTATTTACGGTATCTACTGGGTTCAAAGATTGGTTGCTCTTTTCAATGATACGAATGAAGAAGTCGTTGATTTGGCGGTGAATGGATTGGAAGCTTTGATCAAGATTGTGCCAAAAGAAGATTTGGACAACATCGTTGTGCCATTGTATGAAACCTTGATCGCTACTGGTCAACATGGTGACCAATTACCTGGATTCATGCGTCCAAAAGGTGCTGCTCCTTTGAGTGCCGTATTCTTGGCTGGTTTGATGAACGGTACAGCAGAACAACGTGAACTTGGAGCGTTGGGTTTGGCCGAGATCATTCTTCGAAGTTCGGCAGAGTCAATTAAGCCGTTGATTATTTCCATCATTGGTCCATTGATTCGTTCGTGCGGCGATCGTCATTTGCCCGCCGTAAAGAAAGCAATCTTATATGCTCTCACAACTGCGTTGCAATTCCCACAACATTGCAAACCTTTCTTCCCACAATTGCAGAGGTCTTTCCAAAAAGCTATTCAAGATGCTCCTTCAACTGCCGAAGAAGCCATTCGTAAACAAGCAGAAGCCGGACTGGAACTATTGATGTCACATCAAGCAAGAGGATTCAAGCCAGCATAAATATCGTAGTATACATCATAAAATGCTGAATGAATTAAATATTGTCTATAATACAGATTGAAAATAAAAAACAAACTTAATTGAATAAGTCTAAATTGTGATGGGTGACAAATCCATAAATGACTGCTAAACTGACAACTGTCAGTGAGAGATCCATCTTGGTAGTACAATAAATCCAAAGAGTACCCAAGGGAGCCGTTCTGCGTACCACAACGCCTTGTGCGGATCTCATGTAAATGTACAAGAATCCACAACCAGTTGCAGTTCCAAGTGTCAAGAACAGCAACTGCAAAGCAAAACGAGGCATGATTGAATTTCCTCGTACAGCTGTTGCATAGATGAAAATTGTCAAAATTGGCAAAGTGTTGATCAATCGTAAAAATTGTTCCCACAAGTTTGGCTGAATTGCGTATTGCTGTTGGATGAGAATGTCCAACATCAAATAAAGGAAAGCGAATGGGATTGTCCAAATGAGCGTATCCAGAACTCGCTCAGCGGTTGTTGACATACCCGTAGGTGGGATGGCATTTCCATCACCATTTCCGTCTTCTTCATCGCTATCGTCTTCATCACTTTCACTATCTTGCAAACGGTAGGCATGTACCGATCCATCTTCATCTATGATAAACTCCTCTTCGTACGCACCATCCTCATCGTCTTCGTCATCTTGCACGGCTGCATTTCGACTGGCCGCGATACTCTGTGGTAGATCGGATAACTCTTCTGCACCATCATTGAGGGAAGAAGGAACGGCAAGTGGTAGTAGTGAGAAGTTAGCCTCTGATCTCGGTGTCATCGGCGAAGGGGAAGAAGGAGTAGATGCACTTCTACGCCGAATCAACGGCGGTGGTAAAGGTTTCATGCTTGGTGTACTGGGCTTGCTCGCTGGTCTTGAATCCTCTAGCAGTTCTTTCAAATTCCAAACCTTGACCTTTGAGGTTGTACCGACGTGTACAGAAGTGGGGTGATTTGGAATGGGCGATGGTGCTCCAGATGCCCCTGAAAGGATAGCCGTACGCAAAAGTGGCGATGCACTTCCGCTTTCCGTAACAGCTGCACCTGCAAGCAAATGCTTTCTCGAACGAGTTGGAGCAGGTGAAGCAGAACGTGCTCGTCCAGGTCTAGAGCGTGTACGGGATCTTCGTAGATCAGAATCGCTATTATCATTCGGTATTGGAGTATGTGAAGGAGCAGATTCGACATCGTGATTTGATGCCGCTTCTGGTCCGACATGCTGAGTCAAACCAGATTTTGATGTGCTGCGTAATGACATGCCAATTGGCTGCATATTTGACGAAGAAGTGCGCCTATGCCGAGCATTGTTATCTTTCCGCAAAGGTTGTTGTAATCTTTTGTTGAAGAACGCTTGATCTCCCATCAACTGTACCACATCCAAATCTTGTACAGACATTCCTTCTTTTGCCAATCTGGCCAAACTGGACATTGCGCCAGACAAAGCACTGTAAGATTGCAAGAATCTAGATCGGCCTCGGACTGAGCTGGGTGCTACACCTGTATGATGCGAATCGCTTATCGGCCCGCCAGCCATATCCACACTTCCTGGGATTCGAGCTTGCGGGCTCGAGCAAGGACTGAAAGTTACCAAAAATCCATTGGCAGAAAAGCTTGCGCCGCACAGTCGAGGAGGCATCTTGAGTGTTGACATGACATCCTCCTCTTCTTCCAATTCTTGTTCTTCTTCCCCTGGTAACCAAAATGGTTCTGGACCTTCTCCTAAAGCACTAGGTGCTACCTTTGGCGATGGATCCTCTTGGTCGACACCTGATAGAAAGAGCAAACATGGCTCCATACTGGCCTTACGTTGCTCAGCACACATCTCGAGAATATTCGTAATGTTCCTCAACAAGAAAGCACGAGTTTTGAGTGGGACAGATGCGTTGTGTTCCAGCTCAAATCTTGGAGATTGTTCTGGATAACGGGATGGAAAGAAGAAAGAAACCCTGATGAAACAAGGCACACTCTTATTTGCACTCCACGGTCCATAGCAGTTCGCCGTACATTGTCTTGTGCTAACGTCAATCTTTTCAAAAGTGACATTGCTCAGCGATTTGCTGATTGTCATGATTTCTTCACTAATGACTTGAGCAGCGTCTCTTGTATCTTCCTCGTCCTCTTCGTCGCGTTGCACTATATCCTCTTCACCAGTCGTGAGAGAGGATTTCTCAGTCCTCTCGTTCTCGTTGTCTATCATGCCACGCTTTGAATCAGGCATGGATCGTTTAGCTTTTCGGTCCAATGCATTCACTGAAGGCGATCGTGCTTCTTTGCCCATACGAACTCCCGCAATCCAACCCACAGCGTCGACATGAGAAGCGTTTCCTTTTTGCGCAGCACCGGTCATGTTCAGCTGGCCGGATCGAGCCGTTGAACCCCTTGTCATGAAATTGTGCGAAGCAGCTTGTTTGCTCATCACCCTGGCGGGATTCACCTTAGACGATTTGGGCAAATTTATGTCCCTTTTCTTGCGAGAATGACCGCCAAGAGAGGAATTATGTCCTCTTCCCTTTCTGTTCAGAGTATCATTACTGCCCGTCCAACTAACTGTACGCACACCTTTACCTGCACTTGTATTTGTGTCTATAGTCTTGATCGATTGACGTCCTGCCGAGCCAAACTTGTTTGCAGGGTTAATGTCTACATCGCGCAAGCGAGGTTGCATGCTTGCATCAACGTTAGTACTGCCAACTTTGCGCCTGTGACTATCACGCACCGCCATTTGAGTCATACTCATCTTTCTTCGAATAGGAGTATGATCATTTTTGAGCATTTCAGTCTTGCTCTGGCTATTCGTATTGCCAAGGAAAGTGCTTTTGTCCAAAAGACCAAAGGTATTTTGAGGTGAAGCAACTCGTAAACTACCGCTTCCGTTTGAGTGGACACTTGTGGATCCTTTGGCGCTGCCGCTCAACAATGACCTCGTTGCTCCTGACGGTGGAACCATACTCGTTGAAGCGCTATCTTGCGAGAGATGACTTACAGATCCCTGTGACAGAGGCGATGCTTGCATTACGCCGGATGGATTACCAAGGCTAACACTCAGCATAGTATTCTGTTCTTTGGTAGGTGCACTTTGCATAGCATGGAAATGATTCACGATCGTATCGTCTTCTGCTGCGACAGGGGGATTACGATATGAAATATTTGGAGCATTCAAACGTGTTTGACGAAGATTGATCGGAGCACCACGCTTATGACCGACAGAAGATAACATGTCTTCTGTGATAGGCCATAGTCGAAGTGTTTGATCTTTGCTCCAGGTGATCAATTGGAACTTTCTTTGATCGCTAGAAGGATCTTCTCCACCTCTTGTACGGAACAAGTATTCCTTTACAAGATCTCTGTGTCCATTAAATCGGTGCACAGGTTCGTCAACTTGTGATTTACTCCACATGCTCAATGATGTATCTCCTCGTTGCGGTAATGTCATTACACCTTGACCAAAGGGTAAATGACGAGCACGCCAAACGGGTGTATCGGTGAGGATCGTCGTTTCGGCTTCTGTCACTAATTGACGATTTGCAATGGCATGTTGAGCTGCTGGACTATCCAGGTCCCACCATTTCACGCTACCGTCAAGACTACAGGTCACCAGTTTTGACATACCAACCGATTTATCTCTGCTCCAATCCACTCCATAGATTTTGTTCTCGTGCGCTTCAATTGTTGCTAATGGTAAAGTACCCTTGCGATCATCCCATATCAATACCTTGTTATCGCAAGAAGTTGCTAATCTATGTTGAGTGGCCCTATTCCATTTCACCTGCGTCATTGCTGCGTTCCATGCGCTGTATCCTTGTTTCGGCTTGCTCGGGTCTCGCAGATCCCAAGCCCACGTCCAAGTATCGATACCACAACTTGCCAGAACATCAGGATGAAAGGGACTCCAATTGATATCAGTGATAGCACGGGTATGTGCATGTAGCACATGCGAGATAGATGAAAGCCGCGACGTGGAGCCCAAGATATCCGCATGATGGTGGTGATGAGGATAAGGCACTGTGGCGCTAAAGGTGGAAGGTGATAAGGCAGGATTGCCTGAATAGCCTGCAGATCGCATTGAAGGTGATGATCCTGCCACGGATATAACGGATGCCATTGACAATACCGGATCGTTTCGCATTGCTGCTGGCCGATCCAGATTCCAAACGAGAAGTTTATTGTTCGACGTACTTGCAACCCAATTTGCACGAGCCGGATGAGGATTCCATTGAACATCTGCAGGCACCCATGTTGTAAGATGCGGTAAAAATCTTGGCTGATCGTATGGGTTCTCTAAATCGATGATGAATAAACCTTTACGTGAAGCTAAAACGACATCTCTATTTGCTGGCGATAAGCTCATACTTCCGACAGGCTCCATCAAGGAGATCTGTACAGATCTATTGAAGGTAGTAAAATTGCCATGTTGTTCTTCATTCGCCTTTCTTGCGTCTTCAAGAGGTTTAGAGTTGCGTTCAGGTACACTTGCAGCAATGTCGGGCATAGACTTTCTTCTCTGACTTTCCCTTTTGTTTAGTCGAGCATTGTTTGACCCCCGTAAAGTCGTAGGCTGGTAATGTGATACCACGTCCATCTCGAAAATACTAGGGTGTGACAGGCTTCTGTTGAGCTATGATCAGTCTCAACGATTAGCCCGTTCCTTAAGTGATAGTGAGAGAATGAGAAGAGACACGATAGCAATGATAATGACTTTCTCGCACGGGCAGCTTGTTGGAGAAATGAGGCTAAAGTATTCGGTGCATTTTTATTATTACACGTGCAATGTTGCACCATAAAAAAAGGTACGAATGAGAAGAAGGTAACGATGTTTTCGTTCTCTCATCATCGTCAAGATCATCGCTGTGTGGATAGCAAAAAATAGACAACATGGCTGTAGGACTTGGAAGGAGGATATGGAACAATGTCGGCTTCTTGGCATTATTTACCGTCCTTACTTCTTCTTCGCTCAATTGTGTCACTTTGGTACGTGAACGTAGAGATGAACGCAGGCTACATGCACTTCAATTAGGATTATTGCAAGACCTTCGATCGGCTTTGAGAGAAATTCCATCTTCTTCAAAAGTGACATTAGATGAACAAAAGATGCTTGTAAGGAGATTCACCTCCCTCCAGCTTGATCCTGCTTTGATCGGTTTTTCGCAATCAGTATTACCACAAGAATCAGAAGAGGAAATACTGCGAAAACATAGAGAGATGCATACAAGCTGGAGTCAGGCTTTGTTCGGCTCAGGATTGATTGGAAAGTTGCGTGAATCGACAAGAAAGACGATCGCCCGACTACGTGGAGAAAAGGAAGAAATTGATTCAGCCAATGCAGATCGCCTTGAAAAGGAAGAGGCTGAATGGATCAAAGGTAAGTGAATGTGGCTCGTGAGGCTAACATGGATCGGAACTGACCTACCAATTGCGCCATATCCGTATTTCTGCCAAAATAGCCATCGAGGAATCTGAAGAGAGAGAACAGAAAGCTTTGGGTAGGGCCGAGAGAGAAATACATGAAAAGATACCACCGCTTGGTAACAGAGCGGGAACAGCTGCAAAAGCAAATGAAGAGGCCAAGGAACCTTCGCAAGCACGCTCATGGTTCTCATGGCGATCGAAGGAGGAGGATACTAAAAGTGCTCGGGAAGATCAACAGCGAAATATCAGTCCAAATGCTCGATCGATATTTAACGAAAATCAACAGGATGCGCCTCGAAGACGATTGATAATATAAGACCACCTTTGGAAAAGACTGAATAACATGTATGCTATTTTATTGCTCTTATACTTGATTTGCGAACATTGCTTTTGGATTGTTATTTTTATCGTCTGCCTCCAAATTTAAGCTTTGACAATCGATTAAGAATGATGTGTTTGACGCGTAAATATATCTTTTGGTTCTTTAAAGAATTCACACCAACTCTTTGTACGTCGATCATCAACCTATCCTCTTTTGATATGGCACGCAATCACGAGAAAGCTCAATCGACGTTATACCGCTTCAGACAAGTCCAAGCAGCCGAATTGGGTATTCCGGCCGCAAATGCAAAACGACCAAGAGTAACGAATCGAGTAACAAATTTACGAGAAGCTGAAAAATGGAGAGGAGAGGTACTTCGAGAAATTTCTCGAAAAGTATCAAAGATACAAGATTTTGGTTTGACGGATTATGAAGTTCGAGATGTGAATGATGAAATCAATAAGCTTATACGTGAAAAGTCAGCATGGGAAAATCAAATCGTTGCTTTGGGTGGAGCAAATTATAAGAGAGGCATACCGAAAATGTTGGATGATGAAGGAAAAGAAGTACCTGGATCACGAGGGTATAAGTACTTTGGAAGAGCAAAAGATTTACCTGGCGTAAAAGAAATGTTAAATCGAACGGCTGAACAGGAAGCAGAGGCAGAATCATTTCGATCACAGAAGTTCAAGCGATTTGCTAACCAGCCACCGGAGTATTATGGCGACCTGGATGAGGATGATGGAGTTTTACTCGAATCAGAAATAGATGCAGAGACACAAGCGTGGAGGCGAGGATATGTTGACCTACTTGAAGAATTGGAGGTAGAAGCGAAAAGTGAAGATATTCCAGATATACCCAGACCACAACCAAAAAGCCTAAAAGAGCTAAGAGAACAGGCTGACAATAATATGCAAGAGGATAGCAGCGACCCGACAAATCGAGCAGCAGGAGATGCTGGCAGGGTATCAGCGATGTTCAACGTCCTAGACAGCGATCAATTGAAAATGCCCGAAGTGCCTGATCGAGCAAAGATAGAACAATTCATCCTTCTGGCAAAGAAGAAAGCTTTACGAAAGCAATGTGAGTATTTGAGCGTGAAATTCAAAAGAAGTGAACTAAATACTAACACAACTGCATCTCTTACCTTCCTTTTTCTACAGATATTGGGCAATGAGCATGCATTGTTAATTCAAATTGTACTTTATCTCGCAATGTACTTTTATCTCTGTAAAATATGCAGCATGTGAAATTATCCTGAGTTGTGATTGTTCTACTTGTACATCTATCTTCGAGCTTGTTCGCCTGCTTTTGTGTCCTTGCCTTCCCACATAGCACGTTCTTGTTCTCCTCTTACACCTTCAGAAAAAGTAGGGGTGAAGAATCGACAACGAGATTTGAAGACGTCAAGAGAACGCTTCCTTATGATAGCTTCCACTGATAGTTCGTTCTTCATTTGTCTGCGTAAAGTTTCTGCACTGTCTTCTGTTCTTGAAGCACGGGAATCAAAGGCATCATATTTGCTCTTCCTCTGTGTGGGTTGAGCTGAAGCGGGCAGGCCATTTTGTCTTCTTTCCCTTTCGACATCGCTATCCAATAACCACTCTTCTCTTCCTGACCCCGCCACTGATGTTGCGATTGGTGCAGTTCGCTGTATCCTACTTCGTTCTTCCACCTGCAAACAGTATTTCAACACTTCTTCTCTCCCTATCCATACATTCACAAGCTCACGCCAGAATTGCAAACAAGCTTGTTCGGGAGCGATTGCATAAGTGGATTTGCCCAAATCTAGTGATGTGTTTGAAGGAACATGTCCACTAAGTATTGAAGGTGAAGAATTTAATCCAGAAGATCTTGTGTTTGCTAGTGTTCTGTTCAATCTTGTGGTAACGCTATCGTCTAAAGCTCGATATTCTTGCATCAATGCTCTGAATTGAACCATATTCAAACATATCGAAGGTGAAACATTACGAACCGATGGCGGAGTTAGAGGTGTTTCTACAGCTGCTGAACCGAGTTTATCATTTTGATTTGAGGGTCTATCTTGTCCAATTGGGCCACGACTCAGACGCCATGAATGAGACATGATGAGAAGCCTGGGAGAATACTGTGGTGAGAAGTATGGTAGCTTACCTGATTGATTTCTGATGATGCACAATCAAATTAAGAAGACTATGCTTTTCGCCCTTTTAGCGTTTCCGAACAAAAGGCGCCGCCGCTGAGTCTATTCCCTTACACGTATGCTTCTGCTTATTTTGTGGGGAAGGATTGTGTGTAATTCAGGAACAGGGTCAAGTAAGTATCCTCATTACGATCAACTTACAACGACGACGACATGTTTATTTGATAAAGTATGAATCATCATGACCGACGATCTACATCGAAGACGTGCACCCGGAATGTCTGCTTTGGCTCAGAGATTGCCCGGACAACGTACACCTCCTGATCCTGCATTGGAACAACCTAATGCTGCAGACTTGACATATGGTTGGCATCACGAATCAAGTTCAGAGGATGATCAGAGCATACACCGTGAAGAAGGAAGAATACTAGACCCTTTTCTGGAAGACGAATCTGATGCAGACATATTTACAGACGCAGAGGATGAAGAGGTGGTTGACAGACCACGTCCTGCACCACAAGCACAACCTCCAGCAAGGGGTTTCACTCCTCTTTTAGTCAGAGGTGCAACATCACTCATATCAATTTGGAGCAGGTGGCTCAATGACGATCAGAATCAGGATACTGACGAAGCTGCGAATGCCGATGGAACAGCCGACCCGAATACCGAGCAACCTCAGCAGAACGATAATCGAGATAGCTTCGTTTGCAGGATATGCTTTGATGGACCCGGCTCTGTGGGAGAAGGTGGAGAATCACTTGGCAAGCTGATTGCTCCTTGTAGATGTAGGGGAACGATGAAATTCGTTCATCAAGGTTGCTTGACCAGATGGCGCTCGACTTCAAGAAGACAAACGTCTATCATGCAATGCGATCAATGCGGGGCACCATATAGATTCAAGAAGTCGCCTTTTGTTGGTCTGGCTACGAACAAGTTCCTATTGGTGGTCTTGAGTTGTTTCATGTTCATTTCGCTCGTGTGGATCGTGGGATATGCTGCTGAGGCTACAATGGCTTACATGGACGAGCAAGCTGTACAAAAGAGAAATGCAGATGCACGCAAGGCAGAGTCTTCATCGTATTGGCCATCATGGCTTACATGGGAATCGGATGATGCATATGGAAATCAATATTCTGCTGGATCCAGAATATACAGCTCGATCAACCTTGACCGGTCTGACGATGCAGGCTACGATGATGATGACTTTTATGGATATCGATACGATTACAGATATGGATATTCAGAGCCTGCAGCTTATTATACATTGATCAAGGCGGCAGTCAAATACGTTGGTAGCGGACGGGCATTTCGACATATCCTTCCCTCTTCCGAGACAGAATACATAGTACCGATGGAAGCTTCAGGGGAAGCTGTCGTTGAAGATGACATCGATGCAATCGAACAAAATATTCATGATGATGAGAAAGGCTGGTGGTCGGCGTTGATCGATGATTGGAAATACGGTCGTGGTGGAATATGGGAAGGTCAGAGACCAGTGTCTCAGCAGAAGCAGAAAAAAGGAGGACAACGATCTACTAATCAAGAGATCCTACAACAGTCTGAATCAGAGGAGAGCGCCAATGCTGTAGAGCAGACACCGAGCTTACCAGAAGAAGCTACTCACACGGGTGAAGAAGACTCCAAGCGAAAATTCACACCGCACAAAGAGAGATACGATGCACGATCAGCTCGTCCTTTGGCAAAAGGGGAGAAGATCGTTCGACCTGTAACACGAAAGCGTGTATCTGCGAAAAAGGCAAGAAAGACAAAATCAAAGCACAAGAATGCAGAACTTACACCTTCTCTCCTTGAACGGATCCTTTTGCAAATGTCTCTAGGAGCTTCCTTAGTTGGAATGTCGAGCTTCCTTACGCTGCTGTTGGGTATTTCGACTTGGGCTCCTTTTCACCTCAATTTAGGTTTGGGTCGTGGATTTGCAAGGGTAGCACGTAGACGTGCTCGTGGATCTAGTGGCGGAGGAGGTGGAGAAGGAGAAGCATTGGTTGCGGTGTTTTTGTTGGTATTGGTGATTGTGGGAATCATTCGTGCTTTGTTTGCCGTTTATTCTTTGACAAATTATTTATCAAAACGTCTTTTGACAAGAGTGGAAGATATTATCCTCGATTGGGGTTCCGAAGAGGATAATGGAGGTGAAAGAGGAGATTTCCAACCTCAACCACAAGAGCAACAGCACCCTATGCCGCCACACGAGCACATCAATGCTGCACAACAATTTCGTCCACGTTGGCGCAATCGTATCCATCTACCAGCCTGGACAATGGGACTCAGGAGACGCAATCGTGCTCAGCCTTAATAAATCTACTGTACATCATCGATTGCACAATTCTACATATGTATAATACAAACAATTTCATCCTTTTTTGATCTTACAATTCACTTAAACGTTGTTTAAGCACCATTACCTGCCGTAGCTGTAGGACGAGCTTTCTTTCCGATATAAAGTCGATTAGCAAGTTCTCTTGCCATTTGATTAGGTCCTGAGCCGAAACCACGATCGACTAAACCTTGACTTCGAAGACTTTCAGCTCCGGTAGGAGAGAGAAGGTTACGACGAGCGTTTTCATCACCGCTCGAAGCCAAACGTGCATTCCTTCTTTGATAATACGAATCAGGCAAATCACGAAATCCGATGAGGTATTGCATGCTACCCCATTCGATCACCTTCCTTTCCAGCCAATTGAGATTGACAGGCTTATTGAGGAAATCATTGCAACCTGCTGCCAAAGCTGCCACACGATCACTGTTCAACACAGAGGCAGTCAAGGCCACGATGATAACAGATGAACGCAAACTGTTTTGCAGCATGACAGAAGGAGATGCTGGACCAGCTGAAGCGTGATTGGAAGAGTGATTCGATGCACTCAACTCGCGATTTGAAGATGATGCTGATGAAACACCTGGTGTGGCTAGCGAGACTGATCCAATATTGGCTTGCTGTTCCATCTTTCTGATTTCTTTGGTTGCCTCAATTCCGTCCATAACCGGCAACTGAATATCCATCAAAATTAAATGGTATCCTCCCGTCTGCCATTCATTCACTGCTTCACGTCCATCACGAGCTACACCGAATTTGATCTTTCTTTGTTTCAAAAAGGTTGACAAAATCTTGACATTAATTGGATTATCTTCGACGATCAGTACCTTAATTGGCGGTAGAACCTCAATCGAAGCTGCTGTCCTTTTAGGACCAAGATTCCCACGAGCTCTTGATTGCGAGAATCCTGCACCTATCAACAAACCCGATTGAGGTTGTGCACTGGGACGGGCAACAGCGGTAGGAAGATTAGATGTAAACGTTTGACGTGCATTCTGACCTGCTTCGTTTCCAAAAGACGGCCTTCCATGCTGTTGGCTCGGCGACATGAGTAGAGAAGGACCTTGTGAGCTGGGCAAAGATGCATCCGGTGGAGTGGAGACTTGCTGTCTCTCAACATTGTTTGTGTTCTGAGTATCAATCTTTGAACCGGATGCAGCTTGACTTTTTTCTGCTGCAGTAAGACCCTTTACAGGTAAAGATTGTGGCGAGCTGGTATGCTCGCCTGCAGTACCTAAAGACATCAATGGAGTTGCTGTTGGCGGCTTTTGTTTCGTTAGCAAAGATTGCAATTCGATCTGAGGCGAGAATATATTACCGTTGGATGTGTTTACCGGCAATTTATTAGAGATTGTTCCTGCCATCGATCGGGTCACACTTGCGGATGGTTCTTTCGTGTTATTATTTGGTATATTGTTCTCTCCCGTTTCACTGCCATTTCTGCTCTTGCTTGGTTGACCAGCCTGATTGGCATTTTCTCCGCCGACATTGACATTCTCTCCCTCAATCGTAGCGCCAGCTGAAGATTTTGGAGATCTTTTCGTAGGTGAAGATACACCGCTACTTCCACTTCCGCTGGCATGACTACTACGTTGACCGCCACGATTTGCATTGATTGCAGCCGCGAATCGCTCTTCTGCGCTACCACGTCTTTTACCTCCATTACTAGAAGCAGCTGAGCCTGGTGTTCTCGTTCCTAAGCCACTATTTGTTCTTGGATGAAAGAATATACCTGCCGGTCTTCCATCGGGACTTTGAATCATGACGCCTGTAGATCCACCATTTCCGCCTAATCTGGCAGCCGTTTCACTAAAGTAATCCAATGCATCTGCTGGTAATGGACTGGGGGCTACTCTATTATTGACCGAAGAGGAGCCAGAAGATGCCGTAGAAGGCGTTTGGAGCTTGTTCTTGTCCTCCATCTTTCAATCTTACACAAATGCTTGAATGTGATGATGGTGATCGATGTCGATGAATTATCCGTAGCATGCACGTAAGTCTTTAGCGTTTAAGGTACTCCACTCTATGAAAGTCGCGCCCCCCGAATCACTCATTCATCATTCACTTGTACCTTTTGCGCTGCGCCCTTTGTCTTTTGCCGTAATAAACACCCTTTGCCGGGCCAAAGCGGCACCGCCCTAGACGCGCTTTATTCAAAATGCTGTGGCTACAATTGCACGCGTTCTTTATTCCAACATCTCTTTCTCTGCAACCAAAATAAAAATAAAGGGGCAGCTTGCTGCAACTTGGGGAAAAGAAGAAAAAAGACACTGGTCCAATGCTGTGCCACGGGAAAGGAAAGAAGGGGGCCTCTTTTTTTGGATATTCCTGCGATGCTGTGTTCAATCAAAAGTGAGCATGTGTTAAAGTGCATTAGCGCATAAAAGTCAATGGAAGTCCGATTTAGAGTCTTTATGGTGTGTGTGTGTGTGTCTTTTGTATATTCTAAGGCTTAATCCTCTCTCATTCATGACAATCTTGACATCAATTCATCAACATCAATTATGAAAAGAGTTAGCATACTAAAATTATAAAAATCACAGCTTTTATCACATACCTCACCTTATCGAACCCAAATCGACTCGTATAATTGGCCACACATTGGGAACGTGTCAGTCGTTTGAATTAGAGCTTCATCTTTGATACAATTTTCACAACTGGAATGGAAACACAGACATATTCGAATTCTTGATACAATCATTGCTTTTCATCATTAAATCACTCAAAACCATTACTCGCTCGGCACGATGGCAAATCCTTTCTACCCGCCAAACCGAGATCAAAACGGACATGAATCGCGTGGTAGCATAGGCGGAGGCTATGATGGCACAGACAACGTACCATTCGACCCCGATCGAAGAGGTGGAAGCATTGCTAGAATGGGTAGACCAGATGAGAATGGACCCGCACATCCGTACAACTCCCGAGATGCCAGACAAGAACCAACAGAAGGTCCCGGTGGAGCAGCAACATTTTATCCATCAGAGTATGTTGCCGATAAAAAGTTGGGATCAGGAACAGACGGATTTGGAGGAGGACATAACCTCTCACAAGAGAATCCATACCCTGTGCATGAGAAAGACTACAGAGCCACATTTCGTGGCAACGATGGAATGAAACTAGAACCTGAATCGGGACTACGAAAACATGATCATCAATCCGCATACACACAGCCTAACGCCACGAACGCCGCTGTTCGTGATCGGGGCCAGGCTCCTTTCGCACAGCATCAGCAAAATTACGATCCATCTCCCCAAGCATCGACCTATATCTTACCACCAGATCAAAGGAATATAACTCCCTACCACTATCCACCAAGTAACAATTTCGGCTATTCACAATCCACTGTGGATTTACGTGCACCATTAACGCATGGTCAACAGTCAGTGGATCGTCCAGATACGCCTGGTATCTATCGTGATCGAGCGCCTCGAATGGATAAATTAACAGAAGAACAGAAACAGATTGCAAAGAGTTTCCCAAAAGATCTCGACGAAGATGGTGGAAGCTTGCTCAAAACAGCAATCACCATGTGCAAGGATTGGAGATCGTTTATGAAGTGGAAATTCGTGCCATATTATGTGTTGATCGTTGTCATTTGCGTTTTGGTTGCTTTGATGACAATCTATCACAAGCAGATTGTTGACTGGCTAACACCAATCTCTAGAAAGGTACGAGAAGTATCTTGGGGATGGATTATTCCGGTCGCAATCCTATTCGTCATATCTTTCCCGCCTTTGTTCGGCCATGAAGTTGTTGGCGTTCTTTGCGGTATTGTGTATGGCCTTTGGATTGGTTTCGGTGTGCTCAGTCTGGGAACACTTCTTGGAGAATTGGGTAACTTTTATGCATTCAAATATCTACTCAAAAAGCACGGCGAAAAGTTTGAGAGAAGGTCGATCGATTATGCTTGTATGGCGCATATTGTTAGAGAAGGTGGTTTTATGGTCATCTTGATGGCCCGATTAAGTGCAATTCCAGGTCATTTCACCACTGCAGTCTTCGCCACTGTTGGTATGAACATCTTTGTTTTTACCATTGCAGCAATTCTTTCCTTGCCCAAGCAACTGGTTGTCGTTTACCTCGGTGTGGCTATCGAACAAGCGGGTGGCGGAGATGAATCAACCCGAAGCAAGGTGATCAAATATGTCGTATTGATTGTCAGTTTTGGAGTCACAATCGGTGTGGCGATTTGGCTTTATGGAAAGATGCACAAAGCACGTCCAATCGTCCAAGCAAGGTTGCGTGAAAGGAGATATCAAATGTTGACCGAAGCAGGTGGCGGACAATCGGAAGTCGAAGGTTCGCCAGATCCGAATGCTGTTGATGATGTCAGTAGTCTAGGACATCACTTGAAGAATAACAATGGATTTGATGACAACGCAATGATGCTACGGGACAGTGAGATTGAAAAACAGGAACAGTCCAAAAAGCAAGGATTCTGGTCACGTTTGAGTGGAAAGAATAAAGGCAAAGAGACAAGCGAGAGGGGATTCTCCGATGTCAACCTCGGACACGAAATGTCAATGAGGCAAAATGCTACAAAGGTTTCATTTGAAACAGACAGTAACGGTCACAATGGCGGATACTATACTGTATATGAAGGTAACACACTACGACCTGGAATGTCTTATGGAGATCAATACATGTCCCGCGTGCAACCTTACAGTGCCGGAGCAAGACTTCCTGCTTCAGGAATCGATAGGGATACGCAACAGTATGCCACCACATCTTCTCCGGAAAAGAATGTGTATAGAGCACAACTAACTCCTCATTCAGCACCGAATAGATATTCCTCTGCCGAAGAGCATGTGGAAGAAATGCAAAGTCATCTATATTCTCAAGATCAACAAAACCAGCGTCTTTCCGTTCAAGGTCTTCCTCCTAACAGCAACCAAGACAGACAATATCAGCACGTCGCCAACGTTGACAGTATATATCATCTACCTCAGCCTAGTCAATCATCTTCTACGGGAGGCGGAAATTATGCTACAGCTCTGTAGAAATTTCATGGCTGAAGGACTCGTTCTTGTGGTTTCGTGATGCAAACATGTATTTTTATACTATTTTGATTTCAATATGATTTTTAACGGTTTGTTTTAAATGAAGGCAACGTGGTATATACGAAGGCGCTTTAGTCATAATGTTTCACTCGTGAAGGTTACTGGCCTTTGATAGTCTGGCTGCTTTCTTTGCTTCATAGATTTCCCGTACCACTTTGCGGATGGTTGCAATGCCTTCTACTACATCAGCTCTACTCGTTTTGCGAATGATGCCAACTTGTTCTTCTGTCCAAACGAGATTATAGGAAGAGCTGAAAGGTGCCGTACTTGGATCGTAGTCTGGCTGACATGCATGTGGCAAGAGTGGCATATAAATCATCGTTGTATCACGGCTTGCTTGTGGTTGATGACGAGAGTTGTATCGAATTCCACTTTCGTCAACATGTGTCGGTCCTTGTTCTTCCGTTCGATCTGTCTCTGGAATCACCTCTACGTCTAGAATTTGTGCATATCTTCCTTTGAAGCGTTCTTGTATCTCATCAGATGAAAGAAGTTTATTTTTCGTCTTTCCATTTTCTTTGCCTTTTTCCTCTTCATTTACAAATTCTTGTGGCCATTGTGGGAGGTCCTCAAGCGGAAAACGAGGTTTAATCGTCACACCTTTTCCAGCTCCAAATTCTTGAATTCGTTCTAAAGCGGCACCGCTTTGCACGTCACTGGAAAAGTCTCCTAATAACATCAGATCAACATCGCGACCAGGCCTAAAGAAGGAATGCTGCGGTAAATTATTACTCATTCCTGCATCCACCAAATGAATTCGAGGACTATTCTCAAATCCTTGACCACGATTCTCTTGCTTTTCTGCGTGGAAGAAAGGGTTTGGTTCATTTTGACTGTGGATTGGATGATGACTTTGTAATCTTTCAGCTTCTTTTGGATGTTTCTCTACCCAGTCATCAGCTGCATGTTTGATCTTTGTTCCTAAGAAACCTTTGGGTAAATTTCTATACAGCGTTGCCAGCCAAGCAGCCAAGGGACCAGCGGGTGCAGAAGTGCACAATCCCAGAATCAGACTGAGACTTCTTTCGGGTAATCTTTGTGTATTTTTACCTGCTTCAAAGTGTCTACCGAATGACCAAGTTGGAATCCAACCTTCTAATTCATCACTACCAAATTCAATCGAAGAAAATTCGAACCATTGCCACCATGCATGTGCATCTTTGTGTTCCGATGACACATGATTACTGTGCGAGAATGCTTCTTCAGGTGATTTCCAATCCCGCCAAGGCCTTTCATGTCGAACAGCTGTTAAGATTGGAAGAGGTTGCAGGCCATCATGTAATTTGTTGGTATTATACGTTAATGAGAATCGGAACCAATCTCTTTGAAGAGCTATATGGGTGCCTCTTTCGTCCTTGTTGTCATCTGTAGAATGATCTTTCAATACGGGAGGTTGAAAGAAGATATGACTGGTAATCAAAGTGCCGTATAAATCCAAAGGCCCTGGATGAAGATGACCGACTCGAATCTTTTGTAAGATGGGAGCCAATTGGAAATAGATTCCGTTTGCGCTTCTTGCTACTGCATCAATGGCTGTCATGGAAAGTGGATGATGTGCAGATGATTTTGCAAATCTATCGATCAGAATGCTTGCATTCATCTTTGCTACTGAGTATAACCCACCAATCGTCCAACATGATCCTGAAACACCTGCTACATATGCAAGTAAATCCCACAAACCGGCCGCTCCAGATTGATCCTTGTTTTGCATTTCTTCTATGTAAGCCAAAAATCCCAAACAAGCACGATAACCACCTCCAGATCCTCCAAGGGCAATGACTGGTACATCATCCGGATGTACTTTTTCATCTTCATCGAGGAGTAAGAACCGATGCAAAGCACCCGAAGAGACAATCATTTCTTTGCGTGCTTGAAGGAAATGTTTTTCCTCTTCGCTTAAATCATTATTCCTACGTAATTCAGCATCCTTCTGTAGTTCGGGATAAAGTTGTGCGTCACTCAAATCTCTCTTTACCTCTTTGTGTAAATGCAAGAGATCGCTGAATCGATGACTTTTATCACCTCGCATCTTTGTTCCCAACTTTTTGAATCCGGCTACCAAACCCGAAAGTGGACCTGCTCCTTTCTGTCCAGCATGTGTCTGTTTCCCTTCTTCTTCAGCATCTACATGCTTGGCTGCATCTTCATGTTCGTCATGATGACCGAAAGGATGCCAAGATTTGCCGATTGAATGCGAGTGATCCTCGTTCAATCCGCTCTCTGCAGCTCCACTTCCTAGTTGGGCCGAAGCAGGAGCCTCGATCGGTTGTGTTGACGTTGTGCTCATTTGGGTTGGTATGGTCGATCGTCAGAAGAGGATGATGGTCAAAGTCATTGCTACTTCAGAACCACTCTTGAAGGTGAATATATGCTATACCAGCCCTCGAATCAGCACACCATGATTGTGCATGATTGTCCTTAAAAGTGTTGTTTTGTGTTACTCTTGATTAAGCTCAATTTTAGTGCGAATGAATTGTACACTCCAATGGTGCTTCTTGCAATTTTGACCACGTTCCCTTTGGCGTTAAAGATGAATCGTGCTAAAGTATCAATTTAATCTTATCTAGTGCCGAATAGAATACTGATGCCGGCGGCTTTCAATTCTCACATTTATTCAAACACATTATAGCATTTTTAAAAGGAGAAACAAATGTAAGAAGAATGGCAGTAAGTCATACAAGGAAAAAATCTCGAAAACGACAGAAAAGAATCCGATTCCAAATGATACAAAAGAGAAAAGAAATGCTGAAAAATTAACTCATCTCAGCTCGAATGAAGATGTGCTGGATTCGGAAACATGTCGTAATGTTAATTGTTGATAAGGTTCAGAATGCTCGTGGAAATAAAAACCACTCATCCTTCCAGAAGTAGCGGTAGTATGTCGATCTGCTGCCGTGTACAAATGAGCAGGCATCGCTTCTCCCGTTGGAGACAGGGGTTGGGGTATACCGGAATTGTTTTCCAAAATCCCCTCCATGACAGTAGAGGATCCTAGCGTTGGTGAACGTAAAGGAGGTGCTGCGCCAGGAGAAGACATTGGACTGGCAGGAGATGTCAGGGATTGCTTGGGCATCTGATTTGCATCATCTCCAAGCTCAACGCACACATAGTAAAATCCCGCAAAGCTTGCTCCACTGATATCCCTTACTCGATGATCAGGAACGAGGAAGCGTTCTTTCCATCTCATAAAGATGAAAGGTTTGTTCATATGGTTGAATCGTAGTCCAGGCCGGGTAAGCGTACTTCGGATCGGACGAAAAGGTGTGAAACGACTCCAGTGTTTCATATCATCTGCTTCTGTTGCACCCCATTTGTTTGTCAGAAATCCATACTTTTGACCAATAATTTCTGCATCGAAATAAGTTGTCAATTCAGGCCAATCGTCCGTCAATCCGCGAATATTGAGATATCCGCACAAATGCGAAGCTGCCAAATCGACATTGACAATTTGTACCGAAACATCATAACTCATTCTACCGCTCTTTTGTGTACCTCTAAATGTAGCGCCAGAAAACAGACAACCGCGACCTTGTGATACACATCTCTGACTGCTTATTTGCGGTCTTGGATCTGCCTGTCGTGTGTTGAGCCAAATTAAATATCTAATCTTTTGTAGATCACTTTTCTGTTTGTCTGCCTCCATACTTTCTGATTTTTCTTCGGTCGTAAAAGGCTTATGAAGAACATCCGGAACGAGAAAGGCTTGTTGGGAAGTTCTATTTGAATGCCTTGCGAGATCTGCAGGTTGCAATGTGCTCAACCGAGGTCTCGTCATCGAAGAAGGTCTAATCGGGTCTTCTGCTATTGTGACGCTTAGTATATCATCATTCAGAGCGGAACCAGTAGGTATTTCGCCCAAATCGGCAAATGCAACAGCAGTGGGGCCTTGCGAAGAGCTTGATCGGCTTAAACGACGGGTCGCAGATGGACGTCGCCCTCGTCCGATGGTGCCACTTTGGCCTGAAATCGCTCCAGTGCCACCAGAATTGCTCGTAGCACGATGTCTGCCTCTGTTTGTCAGATTGACAACAGGTACCGAACTTGATACTGAGTTCGGCCCAGAAACACCGCCACTTTGAGATCTTGAGAAGCTTGCTTGACGACCTAGCGGAGGTGGAGAAGCAGCAATACCTCCGTTTGATGTTGCCCGTCCTCGTTGTGGTGAGAGAGGTAAGATCGGTGAGGTTGACATGCCAACTTGACTATTTGCACTAGGAGAGCGTGCCAATGGAGGAAAATCAAGACTTTCATCTTCTTGCACCGCATTGATTGCATCTCCACCTGCGCCCATATTGCCAACAGAGATTGTCAATGGAGGACCATCAGTCGAATTTGCATTATTGGAAGATGATCTTTGTCGCTGTAAGTTTGCCCAAGGTGCAAGCCTACGCCAAGGATGATTGGCAGACCTAGGAGGAGTGTCAAGGATATCTTGAGATGACTGATTCGCTCTATTCGAAGCATCAACTCCCTGTTCCATTACCATATCCCCATCTCGGTCTGTTCTTTGGGCAGGCTGTGAGGCCGGGGCATCGCTGATCGTCGGTTCCAAAACTGTATCCCGATTGGCGGGTGGTGGAGGGATCGCTTGAGTAGGGGCGGGATCACTTGTGCCGACTAGACTAGCAGCGCACGAAGTACAGATCTGGTTGCCATCTTGATCTGTTGGTATAATCTCGGCCTGCCTGCGGACTGGGTTCATTATCACTTCTGAATGTGTATTCGTCGATTGATTGCTTGACGGATTTGGTGCAAATGCTACAGATGACGGACTTGGAGAAGTTGCGATGATGCTGGAGGCTTGTGTTGATGCGGTTGCAGAGGCGTCACTGTGATCTGCACTCTCTAGCAATCTTGCACATCTTGCACAAGTCTTTGGTGCATTTATAGTACTTTGATCGGATGTATGCTCTCCATCTCTCCTTCTTTCTCGCGATCGATCTCGTGAGTGAGTGTTATTTGCGCTGAGAATGGTATCAAGGGATGAAGACGGTCCAGCTTGATCGTCACCTGCATGCGGCGATACTGGACCCGGAGCAGGCGTCATATTGTGATGGAGGGTTGTACACTACACTCTTACCACCTTTGATCAGAGCATTTCCTTGGTACCATTTGCGTATCTATGTGATTGTGTAGATGTTTTTGTTTGATGGGTGTTAGTAGATGCCATGCAGCTCCACTTGATTGTGATAAGATTGTATCGTTGATCTGTTAAGAAGCCGAAAGATTGCGTGCGATTATCGTTATAGCGCTTAGTATGGAGAATCAATTGATCACCAAACCCTTTACCCCGGGCATTCAACGAGTCAAGATGATCGTGGGACCTAATCTCCAAGGCATGGGCGTATGGACATTTACATACACACACACTTTGCACGCCAAATGACGCCACGCGTGTGATCTTGTCTGCAGATAGTCACACCATCTTACATAAGCCAGAGGGACTCCTCTTTGGGTTATTTAATCTACTCGGATTCCAATTTCAATCCATGACCGTCCTAAACACTTTTTCATACTCGTAGGACCGTGTACACTATCTAGTATCTATATCACTCCGATTAAAGGGAGCAAATAAAAGGTATGAAGAAGTGCTGCCTCTATTTAAACGGTTTGATTGATTTTCTACCTTTTTTTTTGCAAGTCTATTGTTAAGTTTCTAGTTTTCGATGATATAATTTTAAATACATCTTCACTGGAGGTAAAGGAAGAATTAAAGGTCTCATCTACGTTTCTATGAATATTGTCATAAAATTTAATAGCTAAATCGATGAGAAATTACTTTTATAGGAGAAATAAACATAATTACGAATAAAGATGGAATATTAAAGATTTAGATCTGATAAAGGTATATCTAGGGAAGGAAGTAGTGAAAACTGCATCGTTTTTTAAAACAGAGTGATCAGAGTACCATTATTTCATATTTATTTCTACCTCCTCTAAATCTCATATGTATACGAATGAATAATTACGGAGAGTAGTTATGAAATAATTATTCGATAAGAGACTATAAGAGTAATATATTTCCTACATCTTTTATTCACTCAATTCGAAACTTACCTATAATGAGAAAGCATAGATGAATTACATATAGAAGAGGTATTGTCTTTATTGAGCTATATACATGTCAGCTAAACCTCCATCCGAGTATGAAGCAATATTGCAAGATTCATGCAGACATAGACGTAAGCGGCGTTTAAGAACAGTTTCATTCAAGCATGAGATCGAACGCGTTTAAGCCTTGCTGCATGGTAAGCCGGCTCCCTCAAATTGAGTAAAATTCAGTAAGGCGTGTGACTGAAATAGCACCATGGCTGCAATACCGGCCTTTAAAAAGAAAAAAGTTTGAAAAATCTTGTCGTCGTCTAAAGCCTAGGCGTTAAAGTTCCCAAGCGGGATGGAGGAATTGATGCATGCCGAACAAAATAGAGAAGTACCTTTCTTGTATTTTGGTCCCTATTCTCGGGCAAAATTGCCTTTCCTCCAAACCGGAAGATTATGGGTGTGCATAGGAGAAATTGAGATTCAAAGTGTGTGTGAGTGTGTGTTATCTTCTCGTGCGGCAAATCTTTTCACACCTTTTGTTCTCATCAAAGGAGACTCTTTCACCATCTGAGATATCTAATACCATCATCATCATCATCCACCTACACACATCAACAGTTCATCTCTTCTCTGAGGGATAGACACCACAATCAAGTAAATCACCTCCACAGGCATTACAAAACAATTCGAATGAAGCAAGTACTCTGACCTGCTCCACTTGGATTCACAACATAAACACCTTCAATTCGATGATCCTTCACCACCAGCTAGCATTTAATCATGTCTGATCAACAGAAAAGTATACCGGAAATTCATGCCGACGATGCATCTTCAGCAATCGGTTCAGCAGTAGACGCTTCTGCTCCTTCTACAGCTAACCAACAACGACAAAGGGGTCGAGTACACTGGGATACATCTGCTCCAATTCGAAGAGCGCGAGGTCACACAGGAACAACCGTTACCGTTCGATCTCCACCAACAGTAAAACCATCAGTTGCTTCACCTTCTGGCGTTCAAAGAAGAAATCATCCTGGACCTTTAAATCTTTCACTCGGAGAAGCATCTTCTCAACCAGAACAACCTTCTCTAGCCAGCGTTCTTCATTCAAACAATGATTCAACAGATCAACAAAATAATCCAGTACAATCTGAGCCACTCAAAGCGGGTGTAGGTAACTTTGCCGGCCTTTCACTTTCAAGCGCAAAAGCACTAGATGAAAGAGCTCTTGATGATCGTGCATTCCTTGAACTTCAACGTGAATTACAAAGACATGAAACGACAACTGTAAGCGATCTCAACGCTCAGGATCCAGATGAAGCATACGAAGGAGAAGATCGTGCGACCGAATTGGATCATCATCCCGTCAGTACGCGCAGACGTAGAAATCGACCTGATACGCCTGATTGGAGTAGTGGAGCAACAACTCCTGTCACAGATACAACTTCTGAATCGGGTAGCTATGATCCCGCAAATGATTCCGATCTAGATCACATGGAATTAGTGCCAGGAGAAACGGACGGATTACCTTCACGTCGTAGAAGGACTGAAGAAGAAGATGAACGTCCAAGAGGATGGGCAAGATTACGCGGCCTTTTGTCCAACAAAGATGCACTTAAACCAGCGGACGATGACGAAGAAGCTCAAAAGCAAAACGAAAAGTCATACGAAGAAGGCGGTCCAACCAATACGAAATCAGTTGCCGTGACAACATCAACCGGAACAAGACCTGCCGGTCCGAGAAGTAGAGCTACAAAGTATGAGCGTGAGGCTGCAAAGCTCATCAGAGCACATAAATTGATGACCGGTAGAGGCGCAGCAGAAGATTCCACAGGTGATGTAGGCGTTGGACCAACTTTGGGAATGCGTCGTGATCATTTAGATTCCGGTGCTTCTACGCCTGATGCATTGGATACGGCGGCTAACATGTCAGCAAAACCAGTAACATCAGGAGGTGTTTTGGGAAACCTTTTACGTTTGTACGAACAGCAACAAAAGGAAGAACGAGAAGCAAAAGTTCGAAAAGCAGGATTCGAATCACAAGGTACGTCACCTATGAGCACACCTGCTTTGGGCGATCAAATGGGAAATGCAACTTATAGTGATGTAGTCCGATCTGAAATCGGCAAAAGAGAACGTAATGAAAAAATTGCATTTGATCAAACAGGATTTTCTTCCCCCAATTCAGCAAATGTTCGTCGTCGTAAATATGGCAGTGGTACAAGTCCTGGTGGCTTGGGTGTAGCAGCAATTGGTGCAGTTGGTAATCTTGCTGGAGCGAGCAAGAAAGCGGTTGCTCTTGCAGCCAATCAAGCAGGCCTTGATACATTAGAAGAAGCCGTAGAAGAAAGACCGAAATCTGCCAGATCTAGCGCAGGTGTTTTTGGCGCTTTGGTTGCCACGACTGGAAATCTGATCGGTGCCGTGAGTCCTCATCATGCTCAAATTGGTCCTAATCCAAAAAGACCAGGTTACACTTTGGATCGTTATTTATTACCCGAGATGAACGCAAAGACATTAAGACGAACTGCAGAAATTGTTGCCGATGCAGCTCCGAAGCCATTCTTCCGATCTCAACCTGCAACACCGGGACATCATTCTCCTTCTGCTATCGCACGTAAAGAAACGCAAGACAGTAACGAAACACAAGCTGCGACACCACCAAGTGGATCACAAACACCCAAAAAGAGACCTTCAAGCTTGGTCAATACTCGTGGTATCATTCATTCTCGTAAGAACAGTGGCGGTAATCATCATTTGCATATACCCGGCATGCATCCTTTTGGCCGTACACACAGCAATGTGAATACGCCTGATGCTTTGAATGCTGCTGATCGATCTGATTACTTTGGCTCAGAAGTTGATGAACGTATGGCAAAACAAGAATGGCAACGTAAATTGCGTAAACGTGCAAAAGATAAACGTAAGAAAGAGGAAATCTTTATTACCATGCACGTTGCCGCTATCCTTCAAAGACAAGAATTCTTATTGAAGCTATCTCGTGCTTTGATGATGTTCGGTGCGCCTACCCATCGTATTGAAACGCAAATTCAACAAACGGCAAGAGTTTTGGATATCAATTGTCGATGCATTTACCTTCCAAATTTGATGTTATTCGCTTTTGGTGATGATACAACACATACATCTGAAACCAAGTTTATCAAGCAACCCGGTGGGTTGGATTTGACAAAATTGACGGATATGCATTCGATCTATTGGAATGTGATCCATGACAAGATCGGGGTTGATGAAGCATCACAACAATTGGACGAATTGATGAGAAGGAAGCCATTGATCGGTAAAGTTCCAATGGTGATCATTGGTGGCTTCTGTTCGGCTTTCATTTGTGTTGGTTCGCAAGGATTTGGTGGCTCATTCCTTGATGCTTTGATTGCTTTCCCATTGGGAATGTTTTTGGTTTTCAGTCAATTGGCCATCACTACTGAATTATTTTCAAACGTTTTCGAAATTCTTTTCGCTGCTATCAATTCATTCGCAGCAGCAGGATTGTCCTCAACAGGTTACTTTTGTTACAGTAGCGTTGTTTCAGGTTCAATCGTGTTGATCTTGCCGGGTTTCTTGGTCTTATCTGGTGCTTTGGAACTTCAATCCAAGAATTTAATTTCGGGGAGTGTTCGATTGGTTTATGCGATCATTTATTCACTTTTCCTTGGATTTGGTTTGAGTATCGGAAGTTCAATTTGGCGTTTATTCACAAATGCTGCTGATAGTGGCGCAGTTGATCAACTCTGTTCAACTGTTCATTCGCATATAAACAGTGTTAAAGGACAACCTTTACATCCTCCATGGTGGGGACAGGACCCTAATCCTTATTGGGCTTTCCTTACCGTACCCGGTTATGCAACAGCACTTTCATTACGCAATCAAGCCAAAGCAACACGAAAGGAATTCCCTGTGATGGTTTTGATTGGTATCTCAGGTTGGGCGGTGAATCATTTTTCCAGCAAAAGTTCAGCATTGAAATCGAGAAGTGACGTTACGAGTGCTTTAGGTGCTTTTGCCGTTGGTCTTTTGAGTAACATTTTTGGACGTATTTATGACGGTAAATCTTACACTGTAGCCGCAGTTGGTGTTCTTTATCAATTGCCAAGTGGTTTATCTGCCGGACCTGAAGGAAGTTTATTGAATTTTGCAAACACAAATTCTTCTTCTTCTGATTCCTTCAATTCCGGTTTTCAAGTCGCTGCTGGATTAGTGGAAGTTGCGCTTGGTTTAACCGTTGGATTGTATGCATCAACCGTTTTGGCATACCTGTTAGGTGGAAGGAAAGTTCGTGGAGGAGGCTTGTTCTCCTTCTGAGTTCAACAATTCCCTCGATATTCATTCATCTTTTTTTCTTTTTTCCTCATGGACATTTTTTTATCAAACAATCTGCCTTTTTATAAACACATCTCAACAGCATTTCCATTATTTATTTTTCTTTGTATAGATTCCCTCCTTCTCAGCACAAAACATCCAGCACATATAGACATATCCGCATTACAATACATGAGATTTCATTCAACACAAGTTTGATTATTGTGTGAGAAGGTAGCGTGGCAAGCCAAGCAAAGACATCGCACGTGAGGTTATGATGCAGATTTGGAAGAGAGATTATCAGCGCGTTATCACAGTTTGAGCGGCCCCGCTAAAAAAGAATCAAGTCGAGTCAAGAGGAGATTGCGCTTTCTTTTTTTAGTGTTGCTGCTGCAGAGCAAGCAATCTTCCTAAAAGTGAAAATGACACTTCTTCTCTTTTAACGTACGACACAAGATGTTTTCACGTTTGATCGTAGGCGGAATCGCCTCTACAACCGCAAGAAGAACGATATGCTGTCCATCAAATACAATTTTACCAAGTATCAGACATTTCTCAATCACTAGTCGGGTGATGGAACCACAAAAAGGAGGAAACAATAGATCAGCAAAAGAATCCAATTCTACTTCTTCAGAAGATGAATCTATAGATCCAGAACAAAGTAGTTCATCAGCAATGGATTACAAACTTGCACATCGTTTACGTAAACTTCCTCCTTTGCCTTCTCTTGAACCACCGACGATGGACGCTTCAGAGGCAGTGAGCAATATCTTATACAACACTCCCGCACCATCTAAAGAACCAATCAAACGTCATATCTTGAACACTTTGGTACAAAACGAACCTGGTGTATTATCACGTATTTCTGGTACTTTGGCAGCAAGAGGCTTCAATATCGATAGTTTGGTCGTTTGTGCAACCGAAATTCGTGATCTTTCAAGAATGTGCATCGTTTTACGTGGTCAAGATGGTGTTGTTGAACAAGCTCGCCGTCAATTGGAAGATTTGGTTCCTGTTTGGGCTGTTTTGGATTACACACAAACTCAAGTGATCGAAAGAGAATTGATGTTGGTTAAAGTCTCGATTCTTGGACCGGAATATTTCGAAGAAAGTCAATATGGTTTAGGCGGTCAACATGCAGCTCCAAGCAGTGGTGCTCAACAACATCAACACGTTCCACCAGAGTTATTGGCCGAAAGAAGACAATCTGCAAATGATACTTCCAGACAATCCCCCATTCCACAAGATCCACAAACGGATGCTGCTTATGCCGTTGGCACTCAAGCAACTGCCCATCAACAACCACCACCTCTAACACCTACTGAGGCTTTACGTGTGAAATCCGACAATATGCGAACGATCATTCAACTTGCCCAACAATTCCAAGGTCGTGTTGTAGATGTGAGCACAGCAAGTTTGATTGTTGAAATTAGTGCAAAGAGTAGCAGATGCGATGCATTTTTGAAACTCGTTCGTCCGTTTGGCGTTTTGGAATGTGCAAGAAGTGGAACAATGGTCTTGCCAAGATCTCCAATCACTTCTTCTTGGACCGGTAACGAATTCATGGAAGAAGAAATGGACGCAGTTGATGCAGGCTTGCTACCGCCAGGATAAATGATGTGGACATTCTATCTACTCACTTTCGCACATCTTGTATTGTCACCTTTAAAAATGAATGAATTCCTTAATGGGATGTATCAATGATCGCATGGCTTTCAATGTCTGCTACAAATACTTGAATATAATACACTTTATGGGTATACATGTAAGGAGAACTTCTTTGAATGCTAAGCATCTTCGTTTCTAGGTCGATTGGTAGGTCGAACAGAATCAGCGTTGCCTTCTGAAAGGCCAGCTTCACTCGATCGCCTCTTTAATCTCTTGACTACAGGAGCCGATGACTCAAACGCACCTTCAGCTGCCCATTCGCGCAGACTTTCAATTGCACCACGAAGACCGCTTTTGGGTTGCTCTAGAAGGGCAGCGATGTGAGTTGCATCTTTTGTTGTGAGAGTTTGAATTGTGTTGCCATCATTGTCAGCGAGACCGCCTTCCAAGAGCCATTCTTCGTCTAGCCTTTGAAGACTTACGGATAGAGTTTTACTGGGTTCACCTTCCAGATCGATGCGAATGCGAATGATTGGCTTTCTGTTTTCTGAACGATTGAAAGAGACTTTTGCAGATTGGGTAGTCAATTGTTCTTCATCATTTTGGCCAGCTCCGGCCTGGATGGAAGAAGTAATCTCGTTGAGAATGACCTGTTCTTGTAAGATTGGTAAAATTTCCGATAGCTGTTTGAAGGAGGCAATAGGGATGCAATTAACATATACAGCCTCCTCCTCCTCTTCCACTTCAATTTGACTGAATTGAGTCTGTGCAAGACGAAAAAGACCGATCCGCTTTACGAGGTTGTCATCTTGTGAATAAGTATTGCTTTTTGCAAGACCTTCTTTTGGTTCAAGACCAATAATCTTCGATATCCTTCGCACGTCTTGCAATCCAATTCCCAGAGCTGGCTCCAAGCGAATCAAAAATTGCAAGGATGGATCTTCTTTCGATGTCTGCAACTTGGGTAACTTCATCTCATCATCATCTGTATTAGCGTCAGCAATTAATGTTGAATTCCCGATATCCAATCTCAGCATGTATGTCTTCGATTCTGCCTCTTCCCTTAACTCTGAGGTTGTGCTCCCGTGCAAGAGGATCGTAGCATATGAGTAGCCATCATGTTGCCGACTGATAATCTTATCGTTGGTATTGGAAGAGGAGATACAGTTTGACAACTTTTCCGTTCCAATATCTTCCATCAGAGCAAACAAGTCAGGATAGCCCGACACTGTGACCGTCTCACTCAAGTCATCCAGTCTCTTCAAAGCTTTGACGGTAGACTGTAATCGTCCCAGATGCCTTGCAGCGTCCTTTCTTCGATCGCCTTCTGTACATCCAAAAATGGCAGCAGCGATCGCCTGAACGTCTTTTCCAAGCAACTCTGCCAAATTTGCATTTCGAAATCGATTCGCATCATTCCCGTTCGAGCTATCAGTTGCATAAGAAATTCTGACTTTGGACTTCGGCACCCAAATTTGATTGTCCTGTTCCAAAGTCAAATCCACATCAATGACGAGAATGCGTGCTGCAAATGTGATCGTATACTCTTTCGCCCGTCTTTGCTGTTCAGTGCCCGATATTGAGGATGATTCGTGTTGGTCTGCGAACGATTCAAGCTGCATCTCCTTTGCGATCGACTCAAAGGCATGTACTGCATCATCCAAACCTTTTGATGCATCTTCCAAGTTGTTTGTTGGCCACGAATTAGCCACATTATCTTCCAAAGAAAGAGCGCATATCATTAATGCCTCTAATGAAGCAACACTCTTCATCTCCTCCCCTCCTATCAGACTATCAAGGTCATCACGTATCCTAGACACAGCCAAAGAATGGTTGCTCTGCTCCCGTAAAAGACTTACGAGTAGCGACTTGCGGTCATTCGACTTTTTCAGTGCTTCTGTATCTGTTCCTCCTTCAGCACCAACCGCAATGGTGAAATCCGTACCATTTGAAGGGTAGACGTTGCTTGCGTCAGATGAATTTTCCCTGCTTGCATCGGATAGAAAAGACTTCAATCCCTTTTGAAGATCTGCGATGGTTGATTGTATAGATGATCGATCAAAATTTCTACTGTGATTGTCGTAGAACGGATGTGTTATTGTTGATGGTCCTGCTGCGTTTTCTGTTGTCAAAGGATCAGCAGGTTTAGCAAGTCCAACTAGCTTCCTGCGTGTTTCCAATAATCTTGCTTCGATTGCTGAAGGAGGCCCATCTCCTTTTGATTGTAATGAATGGATTGCCATCCTGATTGCTAGATGGAGGTAATGAAACAACATCACTCTTTGAAGATCTTCTTGAATTGCTCGGGCCACTTTTACTTTATTAGCGCCGAGTAGGGGTTCAACAAAAAAAACAGTAAGCGTAGGGTAGGCACTATTTCACTTTCAATTTAAAAAAGAAGCGGCTGGGATGTAGAACTTTTTTAATTTTTATTTTATTTGCATTGATTAGACTTCCTTTTTTTGTACCTCCTCCCATCAACCATTCTCTCCATCTTTTCTTATAAAGGTAATCATCGGAACAAGCATGTCCGAGCAGAATGGATCATGGAGAAAAACAGCTGGTTCGAAAGGTAGCGGCGGACCAGAGGGTGGACATGGCAGTAATAGAGGTTCAGGAACGAGAGGTAAATCAACTCGTGGAAGAGGAACTAATGGCAAGGGAGGAGGAGGAAGATCAACGCAATCACAAAGCGTAATAAATTCTAACTCCAAACAAACAGTCGCTTCTTCATCAAAAGTACTACCTAACCTACCTCCGCCAATGCATAATCACACCTTCTTTCGAGATGAATATCACGACGTCTTTACAGGTGGCAAGATCAAACAGGAAAAATTAGTAAATGCAAAGAATCCTTTGCAAACGTATGTAAGTGCTCGAACAGGAAAAGTCCCAAGCTATGAAGCTCAAGAAGGCTTTGTGGGAGGAGGGCGTGAAAGTTCTATTCGAGTGACCGTGATGGCAGATGAAACGCATAATATCGTTGGATATGGGGATGCAAAAACGCAAAAAGAAGCAGAAAAATTAGCAGCCCTACATGCGATCTTACAGCTCGTCAGATCCGATCTTTACTTCCAAAAAGTCAGTGCTGCCACAAAAGCTGCGGTAAAGGAAGCAAACAAGAACCAAGCAGCAACTAATGTTCAACCCAACGGTGGACCTGCTGGGGAGCTTCAAGATGGAACAAAGTTCACTGTTGAAAATGCAAGACAGTTCATCGACTTTTACTGCACACAATTTCACTTTGGAAAACCAGAAATCTCCTTGCAACGAGCCAAAAAAGCTTCAATTGATGGAAAGAGGATGATACAGAAAGATTGGAAAGCAACTATAATTGTTGGTGGAGCTGCGCTTGCAGAGGTAGTTGCTTCGGCGAAGAAAGCAGCAATGACAAAAGTCTACCTCGAGGCCGTCTCATACATAGTCAGTCATGATCTGAGTATATGGAAAACATTCACAGCAAATCAACAAAAGCCCAGTGCTAGTGCATTGACGATGGGCAGTGTACCTCACGTCATTTTCAATATGTCGGAAGAACTGGATGATGAGGTTCGCAGCACTTACGAGTATACCCGAGAAAGTCTCTTATTTGCCAATCGACCTCGTCCTGCAGGTTTTCTTCAAGCAGGCGAAGCAGCTGATCCAGCACCAAAGAGCAAACAGCGTTCCCGAGACGAACGTAACAAAGTTGTCAAAGTGTCAGACAAAGCATTGGAGGAGAAATCGGCGAAGCTGTTGCGTGATTTGGAGGATTATCAAGTGGACGAGAAGATGAGCAAGATGCGTTCACAACGAAATAGTCTGCCTGTTCATCAAAAAGCGACAGATGTGCTGGTGAAAATCGAACTGAACCAGATCACGATCGTCATGGCAGCTACTGGATCGGGTAAAACTACTCAAATTCCTCAAATCTTATTCGATGATTATATCATGCAAAATCAGGGCGCCAATTGCAACATCATCTGTACGCAACCACGTCGAATTGCCGCAATCAGTGTAGCAGAACGTGTGGCAAAGGAACGTGGTGAGAATATTGGATCAACGGTTGGTTATCAAGTTCGTTTTGAGAATAAAGCACCTCAACCAAATGGTTCAATCACTTTCTGCACAACAGGAGTTTTTTTGAGACGTTTGCAATCCGCTCTTGGTGACGAAGAATCTTCCAACACCTTTTTAGACAGCCTAACGCATATCATCTTGGATGAAGTGCACGAAAGAGATTTGGAAACAGATCTTTTACTTGTCGTTCTGAAACGTTTGTTGGCAGAACGCAAACGTATGAACAAGAAGGAGATCAAATTGGTGCTCATGAGCGCTACGATTGATCCAAAAATGTTTTGCGAATATTTTGCCGATTCTCTGACAGGTTCTCCAGCCCCAGTAGTGGAAGTGTCTGGAAGAAGCTTCCCTGTTGAGCGCCATTATCTGGAAGAGACATATCATGAGCTTGACAGCTTGCGTTTACCACCTCGAGCTGGAGGCTGGGTCTGGGCAGAGAAGAATGTAAGAGAATACTTAGATCGAGAACTTTCGCCCAATGCTGGGATGGATGCAACTATGGTCAAAAATGGTAATGGAGAGATCAAAGATTTCGTTGATGATTTGGAGATTCCATATCCTTTGGTTGCTTTGATGATCGCAGACGTTCTGGCAAGATCAGATGATGGTCACGTACTTTGCTTTTTGCCCGGTTGGGATGAAATCAAGAACGTGCATGCCATCTTGGAAGATACATCTGGACATCCGCTTATGGAAATAAACTTCAATGATCGAGACCGATATGAAATTCACATTTTGCACTCAAGTATTCCTGTTGCTGATCAACAGGCGATCTTTGAACCTGTTCGCAAAGAAGGTATCCGACGCATCATTCTGTCGACGAATATCGCAGAAACGTCAGTGACAATTCCAGATGTCGTGTATGTGATCGATACTGGTCGGGTGAAGGAATCTCGCTACGATCCTGAACGTCATTTGAGCAGTCTTGTTAGTGCCTGGGTCGGAACTTCAAATATCAATCAGCGTGCAGGTCGTGCAGGACGTCATCGACCTGGTGAGGCATACGCGATCTTCTCGAAAGCACGTTATGATCGTCTCAACGTCAGTTCAACGGTTGAGATGAAACGTGTTGATTTGAGTAACGTTGTAATGCATATCAAAGCACTCGATATTCCTGGCATGGACGTTGAAGATGTTTTGAATGCGGCAATCGAGCCACCGGCTTCTGAAAGGGTGACAGCAGCGATGGATAAGCTGGTCTTGGTGGGCGCATTGGATGCTAATCGTGATCTGACATCGTTGGGACGGGTTTTATTACAATTGCCCGTTGATGCTTCGATTGGAAAAATGTGTCTCTATGGCGCATTTTTCCGTTGTTTGGACCCAGCACTCACATTAGCAGCAGTCTTGACCAACAGAGACCCTTGGATGGCTCCTTTACCATTGAAAGATGAAGCTGGTGCTATCAAGAACAGCTGGAGCTTGCCACATTTCCGATCGGATCCTTTGGTCACCTTGCGCGCTTATACTCATTGGGATGAAATGATGAAGCGTGGATCGCAATGGGAAGCATCCAAATTTTGCAACGAAAACTTCTTGGGTAGGATTACGCTTGGGCAAATTCAACAGGTGAAAGAGCATCTTTTCCAAAGTATTGAGAAAGCAGGCATTCTCGAAGCAGTTTTGGGAAACGACGGTAATGAGCCCAGCCGTGGACCAAAACGAAGACCGCCTTTCAGACGTCGTGTATTCTCAACGATGCCTGAATTGAACGCAAATTCTCACAGTACCACCCTGTTGGCAGCCTTGATCGCATTGGCCAGTGTACCAAACTTTGCTGTCCGAACGAGAGAGCGTGTTTATCGAACGAGTCAAGACAAATCTACCCAGATTCATCCGTCCAGTGTTCAACATGTCAAACATACGAAGCAAGAAGAAGATTACAAAGGTGAGCGTGTCTTGTACGCCTTTAATGAAAAGATCAAGAATGTCTCTCAAGCTGGTGGCGGACCGGGCGGTCCAACGATGTTGAGAAATGTGACAAGATTGGATCCATTAACGTATATGCTCTTTGGCACTAAATCCATGAGGCCGACTGTTGACGGTGGAATGTTGTGCGATGATTGGTTACCGATTCAAGGTAATTACGATGCTTTGGATGATGTAGATCGATTGAAAGCTATTTTGGATGTTTGTATGCTGCGTGTATTCGAAGCCATTCAACCTGAAGGAGGCGCAGAAGGCAATTCACCCAAAAGATTACAAGGCCGTGAAGTACAAGAGTTTGAACGATTAACCATGAGTATTGTTCGAATTTTGGATGGATTCTCAAGAGAACGAATCGAATCTGAAAGTCGAGGCTCAACACGACCTGCAACGCCTTTAACACAAGCAAACGGAGGACAAGGAGGAGGTAGTGGGCGTAGCACACCTTTCCATCAACAACAAAAACAAACCGATTATGGCGGTGTTGGATTACGATTTTAGGGTAATGTTTGTGTATAATATTGATTCTTACCTCTACGTATTAGTAAATGTATACCCCCTCTTTGTACATTGTACATTACGCCAAAAAGCGATGCTTTGTGTGATGTGATGAAATTGATAATCGAAGATGCCCCATAGCCTTCGCGGCTATACGCCAGAATGGATGGTGAAGAAAGACGGAAATCGGATTGGCTTCCAGAAATGGAGAAGGGGTCGAGCATCTCGGAATGAGATATGATCTTTAGCCAAGAATTCCGGAAGATTGGCGATTTCTACAGAATCAAAGATGTCAGGAGCATGAATTATGAATTATATTATCCTCGGCTGAAGAAAGGATAGGGTTGATCATTACCAGTGGTAGTCTGAATTGCGCCTGTGTTCATGAATTCCACCTAACCCTTATCAGCCCATTGCCTTCGTGGCGAAAGGAGCCAGAATTACGAGAGTGATCTATGCTGTTGCTGTACACATGTAATTCTTACTTGATGCCGTGATGATGATTGATCATCAATGGCTGTGCTATATATGCTGAGCTTGAAGTTGCGCGTTTAGGAAAACGGAGAAATATTTATAGGAGCCATTTCCCGAGAGAGAGAAAAAAAAACACATTATCAGCACTATATCAGTGTGACGTTGTTATCATTGACTCAGATCAGTCTTTCTCACGCGCAGCGCGCCAGCTGCGCTGCGCACGTATAGATCAAAAGTGGAAGTGTACCTTTTTTTTAACTTTTCACCCACTTTACCGAATTTCATCTTCTCTTCTTTTGATCATCATCATCATATCTGATCGTAAATCAGTAATAAGGAAGAAGATAACATTCTTTCTTCTCACATCTCTCGAAAACTTTTGATCAATTACAATCACCTTCTCATTCACGGACCACGGAATACGGAAAGGAGACAAGATTATCTCAAGGCACGGGCTTATTAATAATTTTCATTAATCATGGCCGCCACAATGGACGGTTTCGGCGGGGCTTCATCATCTTTTCTCGGATCAGCGAACACTTCTTATCCTGCACGTGCTCGGTCACCGCCATTTTATAATGATGTAAATTATCAACCAAGCAATAATATTGGCTCTTCAATTGGCCGTTCATCAACGCCAGGATCACAAATTCGTTCTGGTTCAAATTCGACTGCTAATTCCGCAATGAATCCAAACGGATCCTCAACTTTAGTTGCAACCGCAAATGGACCGATGATGTCCAATGCGGCAATCGCTTCTGCTTCTGCCATCTCTGATTCAAAAAAGAGAAATTTAGAGGGAAAAGGACATCGTAAGCGCAGTTCTTCTTTAGTTATGGTGGAAAAGATTGAGCAAAGTCACGAAGAACTGTTAGATCAAAGTGCAGGATACAATTACAATGCCGACTGGGTGAACTACAAAGGTGCATGGGTAATTCACGTTGTTCTAATCGTTGCTGGTAAGATCTTACTCGATGCAGTACCAAGTATGGGACAAGACACCAGTTGGACGATTGTCAATTTGAGCTACATGGCACTATCATATCTGATGTTCCATTACGTTACCGGAGTGCCATTTGAAAGCAATGCTGGTGTGTACGACGAATTAACGCTATGGGAGCAGATCGATGAAGGAGCACAATATACACCAGCAAAGAAATGGCTAACGAGTGTGCCGATCGGATTATTCTTGATCTCAACGCATTACACTCGATACAATCCTTGGTTGTTCAGCTTGAACTTCTGTTCGCTACTCTTTGTTTTGTTCCCTAAATTGCCAATCCTTCATCGACTCAGGTTCAAGATCATGATGCCTTTCACACCTGCTCATTCGATGCCACCCACACCTGTCCCTTCAAGACCTTCTTCGGCGGCAGGATTCCGTTGAAAGATCAACATACACACAAATACAGCACTATCTCTTCACGTCTACGTCAATTCAAGCATGAATACCCAATTCAATTCCGATCTTGTCCGTAAGCAACCTTTAATCCGGTCTCGTAATGAAAGAATAACGGCGAATGCATTAAAAGCCTTTCTTGCAATGTCATTCTGACTTGGCTTTCCAACTCACTTCATTGCGATCTTTTGGCCCTCCTTTTTTAACTAGCAGCATTCCGTATTCAGATTCTTTCCCTTTCTACTTTTGTATATCTTACGTAACAGGTTTTACCTATGTCACAAACCTCAGTGTTTATAATTCATCGTTGCAAACTCAAACAGCAGTCTCAAAGAGGTGTGCATGATGTCGCAAAACGTTTCAAGCTCATTAGAAATTATTATAGATTAGTATGAGTTTTGTACATGTATGAGGGTTTTCAGATTTCAAGCCATTGCTGTATCTTGTGCATCAGCATCTTCCTCTTCAATGGTGGCTAAAGGCATCTCCATTCGAGATTGTGTGTATTCTTCCGAGAATTTGGGGAAAGTGCGTTTGTACAAAGTCATTCCAACGGTGTCCACTTGTGACAAAGGCACTTTGCCATCGAAATGTGCTTTAAAGTAACCATGGGTACCAAGACTTTCGGTAATATGGCCAACTCTGCCCATCTTGGTACGTAATTCCAATGGAGCAAAGTAACGAACATCCTCCGGATTGAAGAACATGAATCGAATCGTGGATGTCTTTTTGTGAATTTTGTAAGGATGACCGGTCAGAACGATACGCTTAGCAACGATTCGGGTTGGGTCAGCATCTAACAAACTACCTGTGCCGACAAGATGAGGCATTTGAGTTGCGCCAACACCACGTTGATCGTAACCTGATTCACCATCTAAGATACGCTCTCGTAAGAGCACGGCTGGCACATTTGCACCTCCAAATGTGATTGGACCAACGACTGTTCCAACTCCAACATATCCTTGACTGCCAACTCCGTGCAGATATCTTTCCATCCTGTGTACATTGTTTGTTCCACGACGACCATCATTTGCAGGATCATGTTGTGAAAAGATTGGACAAACACGCAATCTTCTTGGTCCAAGACAAAGGATCAATGTATCCTTGGATTTCACCGTAGCTTCGTACTCCGTGTTTCGTGCAACTGTAAAGTTCAATACACTTTTTTTGTGTTCATGTCGTAGCAATCCAAAGACTATAAATGGTTCAAGTTTGATTGTATCTTTGTCAGCTTGTGCATCAACGAAAGCTCTTGCTCTGATCGCTGCTTGTCGAGGCACATTTACCAAATAAACATGCACACGAGTTCCAGGAGCAACACCTTCTTCCATCGCACTTGCTTCAACACGTCTTCGTGTCTTTTTATAATCGTCAAATTGGAAAATACGAGCATAATCTCTTGGAAGATCTTCGTATGCATCCCAATGGCTGGTTCGTAACGAACGCAATCCACGGTATCGTTGAAAGCGAACACGAGCGGGTATCTCAAGAGGTGTGTCCACTTCATCGGGGAACTCACGTTGTGTTTGTTCTTCTTTGTCACGTTTTCTTTCTTCTGCCATCTTTTCCTTGTATGCTGCAAGTTCTTGTGCTTCGAATTCTTCGTCGTATTCGTCATCTTCATCGTCTCCCCGTCTGTTGGTCATCATGTCATCCCCTTCATCGAAACCATCTTCTGGTAATCCGTCAGAGACTTCTTCATCTCCACTTTCGTCCATTTGACTATCACCCTCCTCTTCCTCTGCGTCATCTTCCATGATCCAATTAGCACCATACCTTCTCTTTGCACCTCCCTCTTTGATGATACGTGCTGGTGTTGTACCAGGAACAGCAGGCGGTAGCTGAGCTTCACCATTTGCAAGCTCATTGGCCTCGCCATTAGCCAATTCTTCCTGTGTGGGCCATGTTTGTTCGTTGTCCATATCATCTACCTCGTTCTCGCTGACTAATTCATCTGCAATTTCAACATCACGCTCTTCTAGCAATTCAGGCTCTGCAGCTGCAGTGTCCATTTCTACTTCTGGTGCGAAACCATTCTTGTTCTTTCTTCTTTTGTCTTGTTCGTCTACACGCCTTGCTGCTGTGATTCGTTCCACTGCATAATCACCAAAATCAGGAATATGAACAAGCCTGTTTGCTGACATGGGTGCTCCTCGAACCCAACCGGTCAACTTGAGTGTACCTGTCTCTTCTTCTGCGCTTGCCGATGATGAGGTCCATTCTGCTTCTTCAGAAACAAGCCACGATCGGAAATCTCGCCAAGCCACCCGTCTAGGCGTGCTGGTTGCCATACTGCGCAACAGAGCTCCTCTTTCGTTTCGATCTTCAAAGACGTAAAGCTTTTCTACTTCAGGTGCGAAATATCTTGTAAAGCTCAAAAGCGATTTTCTGATCTCATTTGCACCTTTTGCCGATACTTTCTTGCTCGAAGCAGCTCCATTTTCATCTTGTTGTTGTAAGGATGGGCAACCTGCCATCACAGTTGGCAAACCTTGAGCTTGAAGAGTTCTCATTGCCAATTCTCCCCATGATCCAGGTTCGATGGAAGTTGAAGGGGATAAAACCAGTAACACGAAATCGGCTGCTTTGCAAGCGTCTAAAAGGGAATAAAGGGCTCCATAAGGTAGAGGATGTAGTTGTAATGTGGCACGGTGACGGGTGAGATTCAATTCGACAAATGTTTGTCCTTTCGAGCGCATTTCTTGTGTGCTACGTCCTGCAACAGGTTTTACACCTCCTTCTTCACCTTCTTTCTCTAATGCTTCGATAGCAGACCAGCTGTCCACATCTTGTGTGAGTGAGCAAACGACGACGATGCGAGGTGCGCCGCCTGAGCTGCTTCCAGCCAAACCATTTGCAAGGCCGGAATTGAGTCCAGCTTGATTGGATCCGGCATGTCCATTACTGCGAAAGATTCGATTTGCATCAACGATTGCTTGTCTTTTTTGTAATTGAATTTGTTTTGCATGATTTCTTCTTGCTTGTGCACTTCCTGCGGCGTTATGAAGTGATAAAGGCGAACTCTTATGAGAGGAAACACGAGAAGTGACTGATTCTTGTCTTCCTTTTGCTGCAGTTTTTATTGATCCTTTTGATGCATGTCTAGATTTGAAAGATTTATTCTTTTGTTTTAATGTTGATCTATGATGATGTGCTTGACCACCATCTCCATCACCTGCCATTTTGACTAATTTGTATGACAATGGATGACAAGATCAAGGTTGTAAGGTGGCTAATTTCACTTCTTCTTAAAATTTCTCTGTTCCACTGTCCAAAAACCAAAAATCTTAAATTTAAGCCAAAAAAATATTGGCGCCGAGGCCTCACGTGTAGAAATAATTTTGGATTTTCATTCTTGAACTTCTTCTATTTTAGACTCACTCCACCTCTTCTTCTCTTCTGACTGTCAAACCAGCAGTAATCACCACAATGGCTGAAGAAGAAAGACCGCCTTCGCCACCTCCTCTGCTAGCATACACTGTATCTCAACAACAAGCAGGAAAAGGTAAAGGCAAAACAGTAAAGAAGACCAAATCAGGCAAACATGTACCTCCTCCGAACAGAAGGAAGCGGGCTACTGAACCTGTCTTATTCGATGAAGATGCAAGAAGAGAATTCTTGACAGGTTTCAGAAAGAGAAAGCAAGCAAGAATAGAAACAAGCAAAAAGAAGGCATTGGAACGTGAAAAAGAGGAAAGGAGACAATCTCGAGCGGAAGCACGTAAAGCCAGACAAGAACAAGCAGCTGAAAACGTTCGAATGGAAAAGATTGCATATGGTAATGACGAAGATGAAGATGATGAAGAAGGAGAGGAAATAGAAGAAGAAGAACAGAAAGAGCAGTCCCCTTCAGCTTATGAAACAGAAGAACATCACACCACAGTAACGGTACAAGAATGGAATCCAGAGGACGAAGATGATGGAGAGAAGTTGGCAAAAGAGAAAGCTATGGCAAGGATGAGAAAGTTGCAAGATTCACTTCCACCCAGTTCCAGAAGAGCAGCAAAGAAGCTCAAGAATGCATCAAATCAGCCACTCTCAAAAAGCGTAAAGAATTTGGCAGATGCTCGAAAGATTAGCAAGCTATTAGATGCAGAAGAAACGATTGATGTTCCTGAATACGTTGATTACAATGCTTCGGCCGATAAAGAAAGCAAGGAAGAAGATGAATCTAAAGGAAAGAAGAAAAAGACTGGAAAGTTCTACTATGAGAGTAAATTGGAGAGAGCAAAGGCTAAAGCAAAGATAAAGGAGAAAAAGATGAAATGGGCAGAGAGACGAAAGGAAGAGAGGCTAGAAGCCAATAAGCACGACAGAAATCGAATGAGAAAAGGAAGCAAATCGAAGAAGAAGTAGACTGAATTTGCTCGCTATGTCTAGTTGGAAAGAGGGCTATCATTTGTACAATATTCACAATCATCACTTTGTAGTAATAGTATGAACAATCTATTCGTTCATGTCATAAAAGAATGCCATTCCCCAACTTAAAGGAGAGTCATGATTTTTAATCGTACAAGAGCAGAGCACTGCAGCAGCACGCAATTTTTGAAAGCACAGTAAGGCGCGCCAAATTAGACATGTTGAATATACTTCCCCGTAGAGTGATAAAGTGCCTAAGAAGTATGCTTCAGGAAGGAACGAGAGTTGCCGTCAGAATTTGGGCAATTCTTTCGGAGGCGGTGGCTTGAACAGAAAAGGAACTTTATAACCATCATCCACTCGCTCTTTGTTCTGGCACTGTCAAGCATTGTTGGATTTTGAGAGGATGTCAATGTACTCTTCTGAAGGGGGTACAGTCACCCCAGGCTTTTCCGTTTCTACCTCTCAAGAACCTTCAGAATCTTCTGCTCCCACTTCTCCTGGTCCTTCTTCTCTTCATGATGCTGAAGGCGTGAGCAAGAATTTACGACCTCAAGATCGTAGATCAGGTCCTTCCGGCTATCGATTCTCCACTACGTGTGCCACCGTTGATGATCCAAATCACAAGGATCAATATGGTGCCAGCTCTGCACCAATCTACATGTCAAGCACATTCAAGGGTTTACCAGGCGCCGAATTCGATTACTCTCGAAGTGGAAACCCAACCCGCAGTATGCTCCAACATCATTTATGTCAATTGCAAAACTGCCGCTACAGCTTCGCCGTTTCCAGTGGTATGGCCTGCTTGGATGTGATTACCAGAAATCTCAAACCTGGCGAGAGAATCGTTGCAGGTGATGACCTTTATGGCGGTACAAACCGTCTTTTGGTCTACCTTGCCACGCATGGAGGTATTGCAACCGATCATGTCGACACTACTGATGCATCAAAGGTTGAAGAAATCTTGCAAAAGCGTGCTGAAGATCATGCTCTTGGTCAAAGTGGACCAGTCAAGATGGTTCTCTTGGAAACACCTACGAACCCATTGTTGAAGATCTGTGACTTGGAACGCTGTGCTCGTGCAGCCAAAAAGTATGCACCTGATGCTTGGGTGGTGGTGGACAACACAATGATGTCACCCTACCTTATGCGTCCATTGGAATTGGGCGTTGATGTTGTGTACGACAGTGGAACAAAGTACCTCTCCGGTCATCACGATTTGATGGCAGGTGTTGTTGCATGTGATCGTGATGACATTGGAAAGCAAATCGCCTTTACGATCAACTCAATCGGTAACGCATTAACGCCGATGGATTCCTTCTTACTCTTGCGCGGAATCAAGACGTTGGCCGTTCGTATGGACCGTCAACAAACCAATGCAATGCAAGTGGCCTCCTATCTTTCCGCTCTGGGCTTCAAGGTCAACTTTCCAGGTTTGGCCTCTCATCCAGGAAAGGAAATTCACGATGCCCAAGCGTCTGGACCAGGCTCAGTACTTTCGTTCGAAACAGGCGATAAAGAATTGAGTGAACGCATCGTTGGTGCAACAAGACTTTGGGGTATCAGTGTCAGCTTTGGATGCGTGAACAGTTTGATCAGTATGCCTTGTCTTATGTCGCACGCTTCTATTGATCCCAAAGTTCGTGCTGCTCGTCGTTTGCCGGAAGATTTGATCCGTCTTTGCGTTGGTATTGAAGATTGTCGGGATTTGCTTGAGGATTTGGAGGCTGCCTTATTGCAAGCTGGAGCGATTCGTCGTAGAAGCGTCCGTTCTGCTACTGCTTTGGGAGAATTGGGACGTGTTGCCAACAACAGCGCCGTTAGTCCAGCAGGTGCAGGTACTGTGTTCGAACGAGTGTTTGGAGATCAAACCACAGTAGACCAAGATATCGTCAAGCTCACAGAGGGTGTTGATATCAACAAGGTAGAGACACGTGGTGGTGACAATGAACAACCGAAAGATTCCGGTCATTCACCAACGACTTTGATCGTCAGTGCACCAGGAAAGGTGATCTTGTTTGGTGAACATGCCGTTGTGCATGGGGTTCGTGCTGTCGCCGCAAGTGTAGCTCTTCGCTGTTATGCTTTGGTGGAATCTCGTAAGGACGACATTCTTTCGCTCAATTTGCCCGATTTGACCGTCAAGCACGAATGGCGTCTATCTGAACTTCCTTGGAGCAGTGTGCCATCAAATGTTGATGTGCTCTCGCCGGGTGCTGAGTTGAACGAAAAGCTTCACAAAGCTATTGAAGCAGTTGTAGGCTTAGTGGCTGGAGAATCTGAGCGCAGTCATGCAGCCAGCGTTGCATTCTTGTATCTCTTTATGCTTATCAGCTCGTCAGCACCTCCCAAGCTAGGTCAATCGTTCACACTGCGATCTGCACTACCGATTGGTGCAGGTTTGGGCTCCAGTGCTTCTCTTTCTGGCTGTCTTGCTTCTGCTTTGCTCGTCACGCATGGCCATATCGGATTGCCAAAAGATACCAAATTGCCCTTGAACGATACTACCTTGATCAACAAGTACTCTTTCTTGTCCGAAAAGGTAATCCATGGCAATCCTTCAGGCGTGGACAATGCTGTCGCTGTTCATGGAGGTGCGATTGCATTCGAACGTCCTTCTGCACGTACAGGTAGAACGGAAGCATTGTTGGAACGTTTGAACGGATTCAAGAGCTTCCGCTTCCTTTTGACCAATACGCAAGTTGGACGTGATACCAAGAGCCTTGTTGCAGGTGTTGGACAACGATTGAAAGATGATCCCCAAGGTATGGGTGCACGATTGGATGCTATTCAAGTGATTTCACATAAAGCATCAGCCCTCTTGGGACAATCGAATGTCACGCAAGATCGTTCGGCAGAATTGCAAGTGATGGCCAATTTGATTGATGAGAATCATCAACATTTGGTAGATATGGGCGTCAGTCACGCTTCCTTGGAGCTCATCCGTAAGACAACCGCTGCTGCTCCATTCAATTTGAGCACAAAGCTAACAGGTGCAGGCGGTGGTGGTTGTGCGGTCACGCTGGTGCCTGACAGCATGAGCGAAGCAGTGTTGCAACAACTCAAAACTGCATTGGAACAACAAGGATTTGCATGCTATGAAACCACAGTTGGTGGACCAGGTGTAGGCATCCTTGCTTCTCACAGTCGAGCGTTAGACCAAGACAAACTTGAAGCTGCCCGTGCTCAATTCCATGCTCAAGCTGAATTGACTGATGAAGATCGCTCTCGATTCGCCCAATGGATTGATGGACAAGGTGATTGGATTCATTCTTAAGAAGCACTTAAGCTCTTACACTGTAAGCAGAGACCTTTATGAAATATACGAAACTTATTTGATCAATATAATCAGGTGTGATGCAATTCGTTTGAGATTCGAGTGCCATAACTTCAGATCATATTGATGCCTTCGTTCAAGCTTCAGAGCAGTAGTAGATGTAGAGAGCATTGGCAGGATTGCTTGACGTCAAGACATCATTTGCAGTGGAAGTTTCGCTAATCTTTGGATGACTTTGAGGTGTATCAGCGAAACGAATGTTTGCCAAAGGAGCGATGACTGGTAAATGTGGACGAGTGCCCGGATGAAAAGGTTGATCATCAGAATGAGTTTGATAAAATGCCTGAACGCCCGTTGCGGTCTTTTGAACGTTAATGCTTGAAACTGCAGCACTTTGTTTACCATCATCAAGGTAAAAGTTTGCTTGAAATTCAGCATCTGGAATACAAATCGTATTTGGTGCTTCTTTTAAACCTGCATATAGATGAGGTTCTTTTTTGACGTAACGAATAGCACGAGGTTCAACTCTTGAACGAAGAGTTGCGTCGCATGCCGATAAATCGAAGTATACGATCAATCCTTTCTTTTCACCTAAATCGCATGGACCTGCTTTTTGAGCATTGATAGTTGAAGAGAGTAAGACAAAAGCAGAGATTAAAGCAATCAAAGGGAGAAACATCTTGGAAGCCATCTTGAGAAAGACTTGGGACTTTGATGGAGGAGGAATTGTGCTTCCCTTTGATTGACTCCTCCTATTTATGTTCTTTCGATCTTGCCATTGCGACAAAGGGTGGACTAATGAAGTTCTCGCATTTCCGTCGTCAATTCAACCTCAGATTTGCCATCTATTTAGCCGTCCGCAAATTGGAGAATTTTCAAAGCGGCGACCGAACATGAGGGCGTTATAGAATTCCCGTGCCATCAATATGGCAAATCCTTCTCAGGATGTGTGATGAATTTGGACATATAATATTGAATGGAAGAGAAAGATAAATAAGATACAAATAAAAGCAGACGGAAATTAGACAAATATACTACCGAGGAAGGGTAACGATGCTTTGGACGGGTGTTGAGTTATTCACAGACTTATTTCGGTTCTTATTGGGCAAATACTTCGTGCACGTTTGCTGATTCCTTTTCGGCATCTTCGATTCCTTTTGCTATTTGTTCCATTTCTTCCTTTGGCACGTCGGCCGTTTCTGAGCGTAATCTGTTGATCAAACGAATACCGTGAACTGCTTTTCTGAACGTACGTTTTGCATTGAAAGCGCTCTTGATGTCGGGTAACAAATCGCGTTGATCTCCACTTTCGACAGATGCCTTGGTCGATAGCCATGGATGTTCCAATGCTTGTTGTGCTGTCATTCGTGCTTGTGGATCGATTGTTAAAAGTTTATTAATGAAATCACGAGCTTCTTGGCTTACGCCTTGCCAGTAGACGGCAGGTTCGAACGAATAGTCTGCATTGATGATTGCCTGCATTTCCTCCATTGTTGTATCACGATCGAAAGGTGTATAACCACATAACAAGAAGTATGTTATCACTCCTGTTGCCCACATATCCACAGGCTTTCCGTGTCCTGATTTCTTAAAGATCTCAGGTGCCATGTAGCCAGGTGTACCACATGTCGTGCTCAAGACCGTCATCTTTTCATCATCAACCACACGTGAGAGACCAAAATCGGCAATAAGTAAATCTGAATTCTCGCTCTTGTCGCGGAACAGCAGGTTTTCTGGTTTCAAATCACGATGAACGATGCCTTGTCCGTGCAAGTATGCAACAGCAGAAGTGATTGTTTTGACAATGTGTGCTGCATCTTGTTCGTAATAACTTCCACGTTCGCATATACGATCGAACAATTCTCCTCCTACACATAAATCAGTGACGAGGTACAGGTTGTTCATTGTTTCGAAGTAGTCCACCAAAGTTACAATCGATCTGTGCCCTTGCGATACTTTCTTGAGTGCTGCGATTTCATTTCGTACCATATGCTCACGTCCTTCCATCAACTTTTTACTGATAACCTTGCATGCATAGTATTGGCCTGTTTTGATATGAACAGCCTCTTTAACGACGGCATATGTTCCTTGACCCAATGTTTTACCAACCTTGTAAGCACAAGGAACGGTAGCAGCTTGTGACATGATTGCAAGGTCTGTAAAATGAGAATTGGTCGGTTAGACGGTGTAGTCAAAGAAAAAGATGTGAATTTTGATTGTGATGGTTGTTGATCATTAGGAGAAGAAATATAAGATTTATGACCTTATGCTTAATGCACGCAAGTTTAATTTTCTCAAAAACACAATGCTCTAATGCCCCCATTCAGCCCGTGCGCGCAAAAGCTCAGCGATAAAGCCTAAATCTAAGCGGTGTACTACCCAAATGGGCGTTAGGCACGCGAATCTAGAATGCAAAGTACTGCTTTCATTTTGCAACGATGTATAGCAGTGATGGCATCTATTTTGGGAAGTGATGATCATATGATGGCGTAAAGAAGGCGTCGTTGTATACTAACCATCGTTGCCATGAATGCATCTGATCATCATGGCAATCTGCATTCACTCTCCGCTCCGCTTTTTGTTGTTGAGCGGCAGTGCGCTGGGCCAGTGTTGCCGATTAGCGCGTGATTGTAAAGAGAGAGAAATGAATTGACACTTTTTAGATTAAAATAGTACAGGCGCAAGCATTCATTCTTTCTTCATGAAAGATTCATTTCACTTTCCTCCGTCCATCAAAAACACTAAAACTAGAATTTGTTGTTGTTGTCAAATCCAGCACAGCTTTCATCCTACATGATTTCGATTTGAAAGGGTAGATCCCATTCAAACCTCTTTCTTTCGGCATCTTCTTCTGATCTTCCTGGCTGTAGATCTACTCTTTCTCATCATGTCGCAATCACAAGCAAGCCAGCAATCGCAACGTTTACGTTCATTTCGTGCTTTATTAGATCCAACAGATCTATTGCCAGGTCATAATATCGCAGATGTATACAGCCTTCGTCATTTATGTTTGCAAGCAGGTGGTATTCCAGACAGATCCTCTTCTTCAACCGATGGATGGCTCAGAGCACAGGCATGGAGAGTTCTGTTAGGCTATCTTTCACCAGACAAAGCTCAATGGACAAAAACTCTGAATAAAAGAAGAGCGGAATATTATCAATTCGTTTCCGACTTTTTGCCAAGTGATGACCAACTTGACCCTAGCAATGAAGCGTCTTCTTCCTCCGAAAACCGCTCGTCTTTGCCGGGAAAATTGTCAGAACGAGATGCACTTCTAGATCAAATATTTCGAGATTTAGCAAGATCCCGAAAGAACGCTTTTGCTTTTTATCGTCAAGAAGTACAACCTAGCACAGACTGTCCGCTAGCTCCTTTGCCAGAATCCGATCAACCAAACCTCAAGGCAGTTCCACGACTTGCGCAACGACATGGCTTATTACATAGACTAGAGCAAATCAACGCTGATTATGCATATCTGATCGAACAGGAAAGGGCTATGGCTGGACAATCAAAGGGCGAGAAGATCGAAGTAACATCCCCTGAATGTAGACGGCAAGATTCACTTATGGCACCATCTCCAACGACCCCCATTCGAGAAGACAGGCCTTCTATCACCTTACAACCTGCCAGTCCAGCTCAAATGGAAACGCCTTTGTCCGGCCTTCCTATTGAGACACCACTTAGAGAAGCAAACATTGAATCTGGAAAAAGTGCTCGAACGTACACTGATCGGCACTGGCATTCTCTCTTGCGCATCTTGTACATTTATGCCTTGCTCAACCCTAGCATAGGCTACGTACAAGGGATGAATGAGGTGCTGTTCATTGTGCTGTACATATTTGGAACGAGCTCTGCTATGCCCACGCCTATATCCGAGGATGACGAGAACGCAACTTCTTCATCTGATGGAGATAGCGGGGATCATGCAGAGGCTGATGCTTTCTGGTGTTTCTCGGCTCTGGTTGGAGAAGTGCGGGATTTGTACGACTTCGATGGAATCGATCACGCCAGTGCAAATCTACGAGTATCGAATGACCGACAACAATCGAATTTAGCAAATACACAAAAAGGGTCAAGCGGAATGGGTTCGCTTCTTAAGCGATTTAGTCTTAGACTTCGTTGGTTGGACAGTGAATTGTGGAGGACACTTCAGGATCACTCTCTCGACCCAAGGTTACCATACTATTCATTCCGATGGCTGGCGTGTCTGCTTTGCACGGAATTATCTTTACCCTCACTTGCTCGTGTGTGGGACGCCCTTCTGGCCGAATCAAACGAATCGAAAGGAGCAGAATCGGATAATACGTCACCGAAGATCGATTTCTTGATAGATATTTCATGTGCTCTTTTGATCAACATTCGCGGTCAGCTCTTAGATGCACTCAGCGATTCAGATTCGGAAGAAGAGGATGTCTTTACCCAAGCAATGAGCATCCTGCAAACGTATCCGGATGACGACATTGGGCCAATTTTGGAAATGGCAATCTTGTTCCGACAAAGACGTATGGCCGCTCCCCTGACCGGCGATGCACCTCCCACGCAAGACGAGGATCTCAATTCCAATTTGCGTGATAAAGCATTGAATGCATTCCGAGAATGGCGATCGCCCTCAGCCTCATCTCAAAAGAATGCCGTCACACCCAGAAGAGTGTCTGATCGTTTAGCTCAAGCGATGAACACACCATCTTCAGCTTCTCCCGCAACACGTTTCCAGAAATACGCGGAAGCTATACAAACAAGTGATGCGGCAGCTAGTATTAGTAAAGCCAGCACAAATTGGCAAGCGAAAGCTATGGCTACCTGGTCAGGATCTAAAAATGTACAATCTACTCCTACAAGGGAGGGCAAGATGCAAAGTGATGGAACCAACACCTCGTTGTCAGAAATGGGATCGAATTGGTTTCAAAGGCTGCGCGTCGGTAGCGATGCAAACTCTTCTCCGAATGCATTGAAGCCAGACGAAGAGACCATGCATCCTTCTTTGCGGTGGTCTACCGTGCCGCCGAATTTGCCCATCCCAAACGTTTTGGATAGCCCGCCAGAGCGACAAGAATTCAATTTTACAGGCCGAGTGCCGAGCGGCTTTGTTTCTGTGAATAGGCTTGCAGCAGCAAACAATCTTGTTGGTCGCGAGAATGGTAGCGAAGGGCATGGTCATACTCCCACAGCTGGTAATGGCTCATCACCTGGCTCGCTTTCTTCCTTTGATGGTGCCCATGATGCTTCTTCATCAGTTAACGGAAGTCCAGCTGCTGGCAATTTCAATAGATTCGCTCATCTTCCTTCTCTTCAGCATGCTGCCGCTGTTGCAGGAGTACGTGGCAGTCCAAAATCCAGTAGTCAAAATCAAAATCACAGTCAAAGTTCGTCAAATGGGCATCATGGATTGCAGCCTTTGATGTTACAAAATGCTGCCAGACCGGCTCGTGATCATAGCGCAAATGGATCGGTTAATGGAGATGAACCTTCCAGTCGAAAAGTGGCAAGCGGTCCTATGGCAGCTAATGTGAGCCCACGTGGAAGCGCATTTGCTTCACGTAGAAGAGGTGAAAATCAAAGTTACGGAGGCCATGGTTCACACAGGGACAGCACTTTTACATCTACGAGCTTCTCAAGCAGTATGTTTAGAAATGGTGAAAACGGAGGCAGCCTTGCCGGCAGTCAGACTGGCGATTCACCTCTTCCAGATTCTTTCGGATCAGAGTCTTGGTCTACTTTTGGTCGTGGAACACATGCCCAAGAAACAGTGCCTCCTTTGCCTGTCAAAGACTACAAACGTCCGGCGGTGGAAGGATTACCAGCGCTATCAGGCAGTGCACCTGCTTTCAGCATGCCATCAGGTCGTGGCACTGTTGCAGCTTCTGCTTTCGGTCGTCGAGGTAGCAGCGAAAAGCGAGGAGGTGCTTCTACTGATGAAGGTCCCGCATTTGGTCAGGTATCAAGCAGTGCAGATGTACCTCTTGCTTCAAAGACAACATTGCAGCGCAAGAATGTACGTCAAGGAAGTACATCAACATCCACAGATGCATCTTCTATCGTCAGAGGATCTACCGAGATCGATGACACTCCTTTGGTGACAGAAGCTTCAAGCATTGTTCGCAATAGCACCGAGTCGAGTACTCGTCCTCGTGGTTCTAAACAATCGAAGACACGTGATTCAACAAGCTCTTACGAGAATACAAGATCTGCTCCTGTTCCCTCAGGAGGTAATGAAGAAATAATGTCTCCTGGGTCGTCCAGTGCTGCGAAAACATCGTCGTCCTACGAAGTGCAAGCCGAAGAGGCAGGGGCTATGGCATCCGTCAAAGGGGTACGTAAATATAGTTTAACCGATGATGGACCAGCTTCAAACACTTCCTCCATCTCAGGTGTAGCTCGAAAAGAATCAAACTCGAGCGCACGTAGAGTTTCTGGCGGTATTACGAGAAGCAGAAGAGCATTTTCTGGTAAACGAGAAGCGAGCAAAAGAGGTAGAGGAACATCCAATCAAGAATCACAACAAAACATGCACGCCATCTCTGATTCGATCACAAAAGAGGCAGAACGAAGTGGCGGTGAAGAAGAAGGAGAGCAACAGCAACAAGAGCCCAAGCTCACAGTCAATTCACCACCTCCTTCAAATGAGCCACTTTCGACCCGTCGTTCAGGTCACAGTGCCGGAAAGCTGAGCGTAAGCACTGGTCTTTCGATCGTCGAAAAAGATACTTCTGCTACACCTTCGCCTGGACCAGAAGCTGGCAAGATGTTCGAAGCAGATGAATTGTTGAAAATGTTAGAACAAAATTCGGGAGGAACTCCTGTGCGATCACAACAACCTGAATTGCTAGCTATACACAATTTCGATGAAAATCAATTCGTCAGCGCTGAGGATTTACATGAATCTTCCACGAATGCTGGTGATTCAGGCGTTGCTAATGCTTCGAAACATGACACAAACTTACTCGGACCAAAGTCACATGGACGGATCAGTATCCCAAGCGATGTAGATGACTATGATCGCGATATAAACGGAGGAGAGAGTGGGAACGAAGTGGATGAGTTTTATGATGCAGGTATCGAGGCAGCACGAACGCCAGAAGAAGCTGAAAAACGCTCTGCTTATCTTGAAGATGGCATTGAGGCAATCGGTAATGCTTTGGCAAATACAGATTTAGATCGTGAAGCTGCTTACGGCAAAAATCACAAATTTTTGTAATTAATCTCTGTTTTAATTTCGCATAGTTATGCATTAATGTACTTGACATCATCATCGCGATCAATCGTATATTGTAAATCATTAAAGATGTTGCATTGCGTGGTATACAAATGATGAAGTGTGATCATGTCTATGAATTGGCTAAGGGGGAAAGGCTACTCTTCAGATGAGTTCTTTGAGGTCACTTGTGATGGTGTTGACTCGGACACGACATCAACATCTTTGCTATCTAAAGTTGCCTCTTTCAGCTTGTGTTCAGTCTCGTCCAATAGCTTGTCTGCGCGAGAACTTTGCGGACTTTCATGTTGCGTTGAGGTTGTTTCGTTACTATCGTTACTTTCGCCATCACTACTACTGTTGCTGCTACTGCTACTACCGCTACCGCTACTGTGATCTTCGGTTTGCGACGTGCCAGCATCGACTAGATCATGGGCTGGAGAAGTTTCCATCTTTGCAGTGGCGGCTGTCATACTTTGAAGTCCCAAAGCTGTAGAGGAAATGGACTGTTCATCATTCTCACTAGCTTCCACTTCGGTGACTTGTTCTAGATTGTCTGGTGTGATGACAATACCACCACTAGGGGACGACAGTCCAATATCAGAACCATCTGCTGTGTCGGAAAGTTGAGGCGGTGCTCCAGCACCTTCCGTGACGTGATCGAGACCATGTGCAAGATCAGACTTTTGTGTTTGTGTAGACGATGGAGAAATCGTGTCAGACTCTGTGATGTGTTCTTCATCTTCTATGGCTGTCTCATGATCGCCAGCGTCTTCGGAAATTTGACGTAGCCCGTCGTGTTGCTCGGTACTGCTGTCATGCTTTTCGTCCGCAGAATTCTCCGCTGGAGCTATTGCACTGAGGGAAGTCTCTCCGAGTGATTTCCTACTTCCCCGTGGTTTTCCAAGGCTCAACTTCGCCGATCCTGGCCAGCCGGAAGATGAACTTGCTGTAGGCGGTGGTGGCATTTCGATACCGAGCCTTTCAGCAACTTCTGGTGTCAAATCTGTGCTTATCCGAAGTAAGTTTCGTAACATCTCATTCTCTTCGCGTAAACGTTCTTCTTCAATTCGATTCTCTAGAGCATGATTGGCAACTTCTGCATTTGGATCACCTTGGAAGCCAGTATAGCCACCAGTCCCATGCCACTTTGGATTGCTTCCTGCAGCTGATCCATAAGGCTGTTTGACTTTCTTTGAATTGACTTTGTGTAATGCAGGCGATGAAGAGGAGGACGAATGAACGGTGTCGCCGGCTAGTGCAAGCGATGGACCGCTTGGTCCTGCACCCGATGGCGAGCCGACACGATAGCCTTCTGCTTCGAATGGATCGACGTCGTGAGTCTGAGCGTCATCGTGTTCTTCGTTGGCTTCTCCTTCAAAGTCACGTAAAGCCAAACGTACAAGACTGCCTAGATGTGAAAGATGTTCGCTGAAAGCAGTATTGGCACGAAGATCGGCGTTGGCAACCTCATAGGCGTTATTTGAGAGCAATGTTTCATAATGCGATGTAAGGGCTAGGGTATGTTGTTGTGTAGCATGTGAGAATGATCGAAATTTGGCCATGATCGTTTCAAGAGTAGATTCATACTCGCGTAATAGGATACTGATCTGTTTGTTTTCATGTGCTAATTGTTGATTTTCCATCACTAGTTGAGAATTAACTTTTTCCAATTCTGATTCAAATTTCTCTTTGGAAATATCCAAGTTGAACCTTCTCAAGGTATATCCTGTTCCTGAATGCAATGCTTGCCCTTTCAACTCATCCGCTTGAGCTTGTAATGATTGACATAATTGTTGATTTGCACTCAATTGTGAAGATAGCTCTGATACCAAAGTCCAAAGCCTTTGTAGCTCTTCTCCCTCTACCAGCGTCATGATGACTTTTGAGGTTGTCTTGGTGGTATTGTTGTAGATTTACAGCTCATGCAGATTCGTGTATGTATGCACGCAAACTGTTTAGTGCGGAGTAGCGTTAAGAGCGAATGAATGCTTTCAAGGGCGGCCATCCAAGGCGTGAATTCCTCGGACGCGCTGTTCAAGCTTGAATTGATTTTTTAAGTATACGCACGTGAATTGAATTTTTTGGAATTTGACTTCAGACAAGAACATTATCCTGCATGCTCTTCACCCTTTCTTGACTTTGACACCATTTATATACCCGGACATGGCGGCATCAGCTTCAAGCTCTTCGAAGAGCAAGCCAAACCAAAACACACATGAACGTCTTGTACGGTTTCAAGGCCATCACAATTTACGAGCTCGATTGGTTTTATCAATTTTGACTGGTCGACCTGTTGTGATCACAGGTATACGTGCAAAGAGTACTTCGCCAGGTTTACGTGAATATGAAGCAGGTTTCTTGAGGTTATTGGAGAAGATTACAAACGGCAGTAAGATTGAGATTGGATATACAGGAACATCTTTAAGTTTCAAACCAGGAACGCTAACGGGTGGTCATGTACAGCATGATTGTGGAACATCAAGGGAAGTTGGTTATTATCTCGAATGGATCATCGTTTTAGCACCTTTTGCCAAAAAAGAGCTTAGTCTAACTCTCAAAGGTATCACTACAGGCGAACACGATCTTGGAGTTGATTTGATTAGAACGGTTTCCCTGCCCATCTTGAGTTTGTTCCTACCGTCTGCGTCCTCATTGGCCTCTTCTCTCGAATTACGAATCACAGCTCGCGGTGCAGCACCTCTAGGAGGCGGATGCGTTTACTTTCGCTGTCCATTACTCCCAAATGCCGCCTCAAGTGGTGCAGGTAATATGGGTGGAATGCTGAGAACATTAGATTTCACAAATGCAGGAAGAATAAAACGAATCAGAGGAGTTGCAAGTGCGACAAGAGTTAGTCCTCAAATGGCCAATCGAATGGTAGAAGCAGCACGTGGAATATTGAACAGGTACATTCCTGATCTTTACTTGTTTGCTGATGTGTATAGAGGTGAAGAAGCAGGAAAATCGCCTGGATTTGGATTATCGTTGGTTGCAAGTAGCAATACGGGTGCTTTGCATTGCTCAGAGTGTATCTCAAAACCGGGTCAAACACCTGAAGAGGTTGCAATAGAAGCAGCAAGGATGCTCTTGACCGAAATTGCCACACGAGGATGTGTGCCAAGAACACATCAATCCATGGCACTCTTACTCATGGCCCTAGGACCAGAAGATGTTGGAAAAGCCCGGTTTGGTCAACTAACTCCACAAGCCATCGTGACGCTACGAGATTTACGTCAATTTATGGGCATCACATTCCAGCTAAAATCGCAGAGACACGAGCTAGCACGAACGGAAGCAGATGAAGATGAGGAAGAAGAGGCTGCTGCTGCTTTTGTTGAAGAGATTGTGGTGAGTTGTGTGGGCGGTGCTATTCGTGGAGCACGAAAGGTAGGATGATTGAAGTGAAAAATCTTTCAACACTGTAATTGTATCCTAATTGTATTCAATATGAAATATATAGCATCTATCATTTTGGCTGTCTGCCGATCGCATGATATTGTACAAATTTATGGGGAATAAAGCAAACATGTCCAAACCAACAATTAAGGAGAAAAGGCACCAGTTACGCGAGAAGATGATGGATTTGACCCTGTCCCTGGTAAATCATCTGTTGAGCCTGTCCGACTTGCAGCTCGTCTGATTGGTGTTTGACGACCACTACTTGGATTATTAAAGCCAGTGGTGGACGTAGACGTATTAAGAGGTCTAACAAATCCTTCATCTTCGTCATCTTCATCAACCACATCTGCATCCCGTTCCGAAAGAGGTCCTAGCGGTCCTAAATCGCTCGTACTACTCATACCGCCACCTTGATGCCAAGCCGTACCTGAAATACCACCCATTCCGCTCGAAGGTGTTTCAGCTGTGCCCATAGAAGATGCTAATGCAGCTTCTCCCCTTCGCATTGCTTTTCGTTCTTCGTGTTTACGACTGGCAACGCTGTTGGTGAACAAAGGCGTCAAATACCTTTGATCCAATGTAGAAAACCATCTTCCGTCTCGCATAATCAAACCTGCTCGATCTAAGAAGCGTTTGATGTTTGTCTCTTCTTCAGGTGGTACTGCAAACTCTTCAGTTTGTGTTCGCAATCCAGAAACTGCTCCGCCCAATGTTGTATTGGTAGATTTGGGTGGTAAGACTTCTGTAGAACTTGATGAATTATCATCATCCACGACATAATCACGTACTGGCTGAGAGCCGTTTTGCCAGCTTGCGTTACCAGAGTGATTCAATGCGCTACCTTCCTCAGCATCAGTATAGAGAGACTGTGATTCAGGAGCAAATTTGCCTCTACCATTCTGTCCAGATCTAGCGACTGATCTCCGTCTGTTGCGCATCGAGCGAATACGTAGAGCAGCAATTTCTGCCTCTTCTTCTTCATCCGTTGAATCTCCTTCATCATCTTCAACACCCGTCCTGATTCCAAGGATCTCCAACATTTGTGCAGTCGTTCCACCAAATACAATCACTGTCAATACTACAGCAACCAGGACAGTGGTTTGCAATGCTGCTGCATATTGACCTTCAATACCGGCCGATAAAGCAAAGCCGACGGCACCACGCAATCCTGCCCAGAACAACATGATTTGGTATTCCCGTGGTAGCTCTTCTTCTGCACTATTGGCACTTCTAATAGTTCCTGCGCCCGAACGTCTACGTTTACGTTGTCGGGCACGTTTGACCATGTTGACCAATCCTGCGATCGGGAATACAGCAGCATAACGAGATGCAACGACAGCTGCGACTGTGACGATAATGAATAAAGGTTTGTAAACCAGCATGTCTTGCGTGAACAGACTGAGACCAAGGTAGATAAAAATAAAGTTCTCCGATAAATTGGCCAGTGTTTGAAAAATGTATCGAGTAGCCCTTTGCGTTCTTCTTGACATATTGTGATATGCATAATGCTTGAGTGTGATACCGCAGAAGAGAAGACTGACGATACCGCTCATTGTCACTCCATTACTGAAGAAGTAGCTGGTATAAGCGATCAATAGCACCAATGCAGTTTCGAGAGGCGGATAGGTCGAAAGTCTACTATGCTTCAGCATCAACGAACATCCTAGTCCGAAGGCGACACCCAAAGCCAAACTGAATGTGAAGATAAAGATGAAAAGTCCAAATCCATGGAAGATTGACGCAACGCTAATATGCTTGTGTCGGAAGGTGGACAATACGTCAAACATGACGATAGATACGGCATCGTTTAGCAAACTTTCGCCGAAAATAATGCTGTACAATTGCGGGTCCACTTTATAGGTATTGAAGATGGCCAAGATGGTAACTGGATCAGTTGCACTGAGTGTTGAGCCGAAAATGAGACAATCCAAAAGGGTGACGTTCAATGATTCGAGACGAAGGAGAGTCCACAAGTAGGCAATCACTCCGATCACTATTGAACTGATGAAAGTGCCGGCAAAAGCGAATGTCAGAATCACACCAAAGTTCCGGAAAAAGTTCTCTTGTCGCAGGTCGTAACCACTTGCCAAGATGATTGGAGGAAGCAGAACGTTCAACATGATCGTATTACTGAAACTTAACATCTTTTGTACTTGCTCTCCTGGTCCAATTCGCAATACGGCTCCAACAAACATACCAGCGAACAAGCCCACAATCGTTTCATGAATGGCAGTGATTCGTTTTATTTTGAGATAATACGATGTCCAAAAACTTCCAATCAGCAAAGCGAGCACGACAAAAAGAGCCAAGGATGAGTACTTCTCCTGCTCTTCAGCCAAAGGTGGAGAAGTAGGCGCTTGTGTTGGCTCAGTGAGCATAGATGTAATCGAAGACATCTTGTCGAAAGAAATGATGCTCGTGTCAAATATGTTGAGGATGTGAAGTAAAGTAACGATTTGCTAAGTTATATGAATGCTGTGTCTATGAGCTTACTCAAATCCACTTTCTACCAAACGCTTCCACCTTTGTAATTCAACGATACAGCCTCCGCCCCATTGATTTGTGCTGGTGATGTCTCGCAAGTTGCGGCGGTGTTGTTGTTATGGGGTGATTGTTGAAGTGATAGGGATGCATTCAATCATGCTCATCTATTTTCTTCGGCCGCGAGCACGGATACATTAAACTTTAAAGCCGCGTTCATTCACGCCGAGCGTTTGGCAAAAGAAGCGCCGAGTGGAATTTTGGAAATCTGGGTTAACAGAATCCCCGGCTTGTGGAGAAAATACCTTGTTTTCATCAAACGATCATACTATAGATGCTCGATGAGTCAAAAGTAGCATCCTCTTCACGCGGAGAGAAAGAAGATGGCGATTATGTCACATTGGACGAGGATATGATCTCTGGCGACATCGTGGAGGAACTTGATGAAGATTCATGTTTGATATGTTTGGGAAACATACAAGATCGCACCATCCTTCCAGCATGTCAACATTCACTCTTCTGCTTCAGCTGTATCATGCAATGGACAGCAATTCATCAAAGATGTCCACTTTGCAATACAGATATCGATGGTTATGTGATTCATTCAATTCGAACTGACGACGATTATATTCGCCACAGGCTACCGGAAAAGGTCAAAGGGGAAGAGAAGGGATGTTCAGATCTTCTTTCGATAGTAGCCTCTCAAGCACAAAGTCGATCGTTCAGACCGCATCCATATCGTACAAGACCGCGCTACGAGAATTATCAACAAGAAGCTTCAGAACGATGGGAGAAACAACTTTCGATCAGAAGAAGAGTTTATCGTCAGTCTCTGTATTGCAAACACATGGGCACAAATCGAACTTCTCGTCTTGCGCCACCAGCGTCACCACAAGTAATCGCTAAAACTCCTTCTTTGCAACAGATACTCTTGCACTTCATTCGTCGTGAACTGCTGGCCTATCCGATGACAAATTTTGACGTAGATTTCTTGGCAACTTATTCTATCAATGTCTTTCGATCACTTCACGTCAAATCCAACGAATCTATCAACCTTTTGGCAGACTTTTTGGGCATGGAAGGCGCTCAACACTTTTGTCATGAAGTTTATACATTCTTACGATTCATATCTGCTGGATCAGGTGCTCATCCTGATAAAATGGCAGCTTTTGACGCATGGGCAACGTATGACTGGCCAGAGGTGCGTGTATCTGAACGCTTGCTTGCACGTCGAAAGGAAGGTCAGGACGCTGTTGCGGGAGCTGAAGTCTTGTCAGACGATGCACATACGTTGCGACTAGAAGTTATCCAACGTAGAGCTCGTCTTCTCACCAAGCTAGAGGCTGAAAGGGACAAAAATGGTCAAAAAGAAAAGAGCACAAAAACATCACTTCATGAACGAATCCTCGCCCGTTTGGCAAAAGAACGAGCACTCGCACAGAAAGACGAGAGGGATAGCTAGACAATCTCTCGCACTTGTATTTCTACTTGTATTCTATTGTACACTTGTATTACACTATTAAATCATATTATAGCGATGTGTCCTCGCGACCGTCAAAAGCATCGTCTTCCTCGTCCCTATCATCTTGTCGATTCAGTGCAGCATAGTCACCTCGGGCGCCATCCTGAGAACGGAAAGGGTCATCACTGTCTAGAGCAGCTTGTACATCGTTGATAGAGATGCCTTTCAATTCCGGAAGATAAGTATAAGCAAACGTCCATGTCAAAGCACCAACGACTGTGTAAAGCCAAAAAGATCCTTGCGGTGTGATGAGCCTGACGAGGTCCAAGAAAGTTGCACTTGTCAACAAATTCATAGACCAATTCGTCGCCGTTGCAAGTCCACCTCCAACGCCTCGAGCAGAACCAGAAAAGATCTCACTTTGAACAAGCCAAGGAACGATTCCGATTCCGAGAGCATAAAAGAATAGGAAAAACACCATCGCAATCAGAGAGATATAAGCCCAAGCGCTTGGGTTTGCCGTTGGCGGGGGTGTACCGGCCTGATCTGTCACACTTCCAGTATCGATCTGACCAAGAGAAATGGCCAGGAACGCCAAAGAGACTGTAGCTGCCGCTGTCGCTCTGAGCAAAAGCTTTCTCCTGCCAATACTATCAACGAGTCGAAGTGCGATCACCGTTCCGATGAAATTTGCCAAGGCTACCCAAATTGCTGCAAAATTCGGATTGGCATTAAAGCCAGCCATGAGAAGCAATCGTGATGAGTAGTACAAGATCGAATTCGCACCGATCAATTGCTGCCCAGCTTGCAGTCCACACGCAAGAAATAATGCTTTACGGTTCGACTTTTCGCTCCAAAGCAATTTCCATTGTGCTTGGAAATCGTTTGATTTGCTTGTATCAGATTGCACATTACGATCTTGCGATACAGTGGATCTTTGGTTGAGGCTCTCTTCAATCTTGGTGATGTGCAGATCAATCGCTTGATTGCTGGCAAGTGGATAAATGCGTGTGAGAACGTGTCTTGCTCTTACATGTTTCCCTTTTGAAATTAACCATCGTGGAGATTCATCGAGATAGAATAGTCCGATCAATTGAATGATTGCAGGTATGCCTCCAGCCAATACCATCCATCGCCATCCGTGTGGTAAAGAGTAAAAGGCAGCATCTACGGAATAAGCAATCACTTGACCACCGGTGATAAGAATCGAGTTAATAGCAATGATTCTACCTCGTATCGAAGGTGGAGCACATTCTGCCAAGTAGGTAGGAACGATCATTGATGCCATACCAACGCCACCTCCAACAAGAAATCTTCCCAGGACCAGTTCACGTACCACTTGACTTGCGGCTTGTTCGATCGATCCAATAGCAAACAGAACGCCAGCAATGACCATAACCTTTTTCCTACCGATCCAATCACTCAACCTTCCAGCACATAAAGCTCCAAAGATTGCGCCTACGGTAGTCGAACTTACAATCACTTCTTGTTCGCCTGCCGAAAGAGGATGACCAAGATCATCTCTTATTGCAACTAACATTCCAGCCGCGATTCCTGTATCCCAACCGAATTGTAAGCCTAACAAACATGCAACCGCTGTTAATCTACCCAGATAAGGCGTATAACCACCTCCAGCAGCCAAATCCGCCAATTCATCATTACTTTGATTCATTGCACCTAGACGTGAACCTTGACCTCGTTCTAATTCGTTTTCTCTCTCCCTTTCCGTATCATGATCGCCATCGTTAAATGTTCGCATCTCGATTGGCAAGATTGGTAATGGAGCTGGAATAAAGCCGATCTTCCTGCCAGCGTCTGCCATAAAGAGCCAAAATTACTTAAAGCTGACTATATCGAAGCGTGAATCTTGTTTGCCATCGTTATCCGCTTGGCAATGGTTGTGGTCGGAAGTGTGGAGAATGAGCGTGCCTTACTGTGCGTGTCTGCACCGCGTTAGAACAACACATTCCCAAAGAAGCGGCTTTAAACTTAGATTTACTATATGATAAAAATCACTCACTCCTTTACCTCGATGGCAAACATTGCATTTTCCATTGATTTTATGAGATACATGCAATGAATGAGCAAAAAGTGCTAAACGATCATGTAAGAGAAGGTGAGCAAAGGAAAAAAGCGCAAATTCATAGCAAAAATGTCCATATAAAAACAAATTGAAGGGGAAATAACGACGTCGTAACAGAAGGTACAACCTTCTCTACCCATCTTGCAGGGAAGTCAAGAGAGGTGTGTTTAACCATGTACAAAAGAATGTGAATCGTGCGCAACTGAGCAAAAAGAAAGCGTAAAGGTATGAGCAAAAGAATGCAGAGACGATTCGCTCGTCTAGAGCGTGTGTGAATCGAAAAATGTCCGTAATGGTAAGCTCGTCGTAACTTGATGTAAAGAAAAAACAATGTCCGTCCGATTTACTGTCGTTGAAAATGATCAAAAGATGCTTTGATGTGAGGAGGAGAGAAAAGAATACAGTTGAGAAGGATGTCCTCATCCTTGATAGCCTGGAGGTCCTTCACTTCTTGGAGGTTTGGGCAATGCTGCTCTTGCACTTTGTAACGATCGTCTTTCTGCACGCGGAGGTCTAGGGGGTGAAGCATGATCATTTCGTCTTTCTTCATGTCCCGAATAACTTCTACTTTGCACCATATCACCATATGCTTGTGCAGATGCACCTGCAGGATCAACTTGATTGTAGAATGCCATCTCGCTTGAAGTACGAGGTTGAGCAGCCATTGCATATGCATTGGGATCTAATAGAGCTGGTCCGGCTGGGTTATTGTGATGATCAAGAGGCATGGGAGTTGTCATGGCCATTCCATACCCAGTATGATCATTGGAAGGAGCATCAATACCACCGTAAATAGATGCACCAACTGATGCTTCACTCGTGCTTGGAGGCAGATCACGGCTATAAGAAACAGGTCTTCTATTCGGTGAAGATTGACGTTGTTGTTGCCTTTGAGCTGCATATGCATGTTGTGCTGCTGCCGTTCCTCCTGCTGCAGCTGAAGCGGCGGCCAAAGCAGCAGCGTTGGTGTTTGGTGCATTTACTGAACTGCCTTGCAGTCCTTGTCCCATCGATGCACGAATACTTGGCGGTAGATCTGGAACAGGAGGTCTATTGCTTTGATCTAAGCTGCTTCTGTAGCCGTGTCCTTGACTGGATGCAGCTCCTGAAATTTTAGATCTTCCCTGTGAGTTATTGTTGGATGGCAAACTTCTTCTCCTCTCAGGTCTGTATTGGATTTGACCTGCTTTTTGATCTTGAGAATGTGGCCTTTGGTTTTGTCTTCCTCGTTGTTGACTGGATGCCACTCCCGCTCCTGCTAGTCCTAAAGCACCTTCTGCTGCTGATGCATTTGGCGTTGATCCATATCTGACTCTTCCATCAGGTCCGTATTGCTGGCCATATTGAGGCTTTCCAGGTGCAAGGTACTGTTGATGTTGTTGTTGTGCTAATTGTTGCCAAGGATCATTCGGTCCCACTTGGTTCATCTGTGGTTGCTGTTGCATACGAGGATCTTGCATTTGTTGTTGACCTGCTCCACGACGAACATTACCTTGTTCGTTCATCGCATTTGCCAATGCTTGACCAGCAGCCATTCCTGCACCTGCGCCTGCGGTAGCAGCAGCAGCCTCTGCGCCGTGACCGTGACGTGAATTAGGATTTAGATTGCTTTGTCCGTACATCGGTTGTCCTTTCGGTCCTGCATTGCTTGGCGGAAGGGAACGTAAGCGGGAAGTTGGTTTAGGGCTGCCGTTTTTTGTGGGTGTACCATATCCTGCCGAACCGGGAGGAGGGATAGCATTCTCGGATGAATAAGAATCAACTCGCGCTCTGTTTCCAAAGCTTGGAGAGGCTGGTAGCAAAGGTGAATTTGTCATACTTGGCGTTGCACTTCCGTATGAATCTGCATGCTTATGTCCACGGAATGGTCCGCCTCTTGTTGACATGTTATTCATATCCGTGTACTTGTCACCCTTTCGAACTGGCATCATGAAAATATCATCAGATGAATCGTCCCTGTCATTATAAGGAACACTCTTGTATGGTCTCTTGCGCTCTTGGTAACCTGCTCCAGGTCCTGCTTTGCTGTAAGCTGGTGGAAGGAGTGCAGCAGCGGAATCATTCATCTTGGCAGCACGACGTCTGCGTGCACGACGAACACAACAGAAGATGATCAAGCCCAATAAGATCAACAAAGCAGAGCCACCTCCAGCTGCGATACCGATAATAGCTCCCAAACTTAGGGGCAAATGCGAAGCAAATCCAGATGTTGCCTTGAAGCCTGAACCGGTGCCAGTACTATTGACGGTCGAGAAATTTTTGCATGCTTTTGAGTTGGGTTTATTGTTTGTAGAACCAATTTGCGATCCCAAATTAGCAACTAATGCTTGTGAATCACGAACGGTGAGAGTCAATGTACCATCACTACCCACGACTGCGGTTTGAGTTTGCGTATTAACCTTTTTGGCACTTCCATCTCCATTCTGAGCGTAATCGTATCCGTTCCATTGTGTGTTATTCAAAGCGTCTGCGCCGGGAGCGGTCAAGAGAGAAATATAGAATGTTTTACCTGCCATATTCGTTGGCATGGAAAAAGAGACCTGTTGTGTATTAATGTTTTGACCTTGACTTGAATAAGCAACCTGTGTATTGATTAAAACAACTGATTGCAAATTTCCTGCATCATAAGCTGCATATGCTCCCAATCGATTAGTATATCCGTTTGGAATATTGTTGATGGTCAAAGGTGCAATTTGTGTTTGACAACCAGCTCCGTTCAACTGAGCCATTGCTGCCCAAGCAGAATAAGCAGGTCGAACATACGGTTGTGTGCCATCGGCCATCACGACCGGCTGCCAAGGTGATCCGTAAGAATCTTGTAGCATGTGCATTTGAACGGATTGAACGCCGACGGTAGAAGCAAACAAGAAAAAGTTGAATGTCCATAATGCATTTCCAAACGTATCAGAAATACCTGAAAGTCCTTCAGGTCCAACACTTCCCATTTCACGCAAATAGTATGGTTTTCCAGTTGTTGCTGCTTGATCAGCTTGACTTGTCCATTCGGTGAATTGACCAGCAGTGGAACCAAGATTCATTAATTCAGACAAGGTAAGTTTGTAATTAGATACGTTGACGTAATAATAATAATCGTGTTGATTCCATCCACCTACATAAAGACCGTTATCGGTTGCGGTTGCAACGCCAGTTGTGACTAAATTTTCGATTCGGTAACCATGATTAGCGGCCGTTGTTGCCGAACAAGCAGCTTCAAAGAAACTTTTTGTGACCCCTTTCGGTTGAAGAACTTGTTGCCAAACTGCTAAAACGGCAGTACTCCATTCGGTACCGTATTGTGATGCACCCCAACCTGCTGGTCTGAACTTATTTTGAACGTATAGATCAGGTTCGTTTCCGACCTCTAGACTGAATAACTGAATGTTTGTGAATGCGTCCACAACTCCATTAGCGATCTCCAACAACATTTGACTTGCATTTGGGCCTTGATAAGCCATGGGTAATCCGTATGTGATTGGAGTATTTTTGGGAAGGTAATTGATCACTTTGAAAAAGTTTGGTCCATAATATGCTACATCTGTTGGTCCAGTTGTTTCAGGGTTTGGTTGGAAATAGTAGCCTGTATAACTAGAATTGTACAAAGCCGTATCTCCCGTGTTTCCTCCTACACGCATATGTGGTGGTTGTCCGGTATAATTTGCAAGATTTTGTAATAAATTCATCGTCATTTGATTTGGTGAAGTTGTTCCTGTGAATGCGAATAAATTGGACGGTTCGATACCCATTCCGGCGTATGAAGGGCTGAGCGTATACGACAAACCTTGTGAGCCTCCTTGAGGACCAGAAAGTCCATTGGTTGTCGCAGCAGGTGTGACACTTGCTTGCGCATTCACATCATTTATCATGCCTGCTAGCAGAAGTGTTGAAATGGTAACCAATGCATTGTGAAGGGAAAAGAACGGCTGCCGCCTTGCTTGTCTTGTCATAATTGCCTGGGATAGTATTGACAGAGTGAAAGAATGCAATCCGTTTAGTCGAACAGGGTGGGTATCGGGACGAGAGCGTAGATGCAGCCGAGCGATGCTCTTCTGGCGGTGAAGAAGCAAGGCTTTCCTGGTGGTCTTTGATGTAATGTTTGAGCCAATGATCCAGCTATAGACTTTAGAAGGCTGATTGCAAGAGAAGAAAGTCTCGTTCTATATTTCGCGAACGGCTTTAGGGGTATTGATCAGGCAATAAAATGCCTTTTACTCTATGGTATCCTTTCTCGTGAAGTATTGTTGTTGATGATGATGGTATAAAAACGAACTCGATGACGATGTGGATCTGATGATTTTCGTTTTGGTCATTTAGATATATTGCATCTCCTCAACGGAGTTATCCAGTCTGTCAAAAAATCACGGACGTGCAAACCGATACGAACTTTGACATGCGTATGCCTGCTTGTGTCTGCCTGTATCTGCATACGATATACACACATCCACTTCTCTCTCTCTTTCTCATTGATATCGGCACAATGCAAGACACTCTGTACAATTTGTAAGGAACCTAAAAAGGATAGTCAATTCTTTATTTCGGCAGACAGGCCGGATCGCCTGCGGAGAAAATCCTCCGTTCTGGTACAGGTGTAAAAATGGGCAGATTGCACACATAACATGCATATTGTGTGCTTACTTGCTTGCACACACACATTTGAATCGGCTTTCTTAAATGTTATAGACTCTTCATCGGACATTGACGACAGTAAGAGAAATGTAGTGATTTGATGCACTTTCTCTGGGCAAACACACTCTATGCAAGTATAACGCGCGCAACAAAACTTATAACCTTTCTTGCATATCAGCACAATAAAACAAAGAGAAGCAAAAGCGGGCGATGTGCATAGATTTCTGATTGTCAATACATTCTCAATTCAAGCCAAACAATAATGAATGAATACAAGAAAGAAGATATGCTTGTTGTATTCCCGCAAAGACTTCTATCGATTCTATATTTCAAATACCGAACTTTTTTAACCGATTATGTGCCTAAATCCCCATTAGGGGTAAGGTAAATTGATTTCGTACCTAAATTTGATCTTCCCGTTTGACCCAAGAAATCCGGAGTCTACGCGCCGCGCTCACGGCTTGAATGACCTTGGGATTCCGGCATCTTTCCTTTTTTGAAGCTGTATGGCATGAGGTTTTAAGGTTTTGCATACAAAGCTACCTATGTATGATTCAACTCAATGAAACAGGTTGGATTAAAATAGAAATGAATTGAATTGAATAGACTAGACAATTGCTCAGATGAGGGTTCAAATCTACCAGTGTCAAGGATCTATGAAAATGATCCTAGTGTCTGTCCAACCCGATCGAAAGAGACAACAAAAGAGAACCCTGGAATAGTAGCAAACGCTTAGCTAGCTTGACTGTCAGTGTGCCAATCTTGAATACCGGCGGCCACTAAAGACAGTGCATAGAGTGAGAGCATGCATAGTCAACGTCATACCTTTTAGTTTTTTGATGCAGTAGCGTGTGTCTATTCTAGCATTAAAATTGTTTCCCTTTTTGGAACAAGGCATCAGACAAGCAGAGTTTGAACAAAATGCTATAATAATTCGTGGCTTGGGTAAAGGCGCGTACATATTCCAATCATACAAACATTCGGTCCTGCATTTCTATCAATCACTCTTCATCACTTGTGGCTTTGTTTAATCAATCCATCTACGTATTCTTACTTCTTTTGGTCATTGTCATATCTCTTCAGGAACGCTCGAGGTGTCAATCGAATGTCATTGATTAGGATTCTTAGAAGTTCTTTGTTATGATTAAATGAATACAAGCATAAGATTTGCCAAGGAAAGCTGCCAAGCGTCATATGAATCGAATTCTGCATTCGCTTCCTTGGCAACTATTCTTGCTGTTTTAAGATCCAACTTTTGCTTCTTTAACTGATTTAAGCCGAATGAACAATTACCGATCAACGGAAAACCATGTCCACGTGAAGTTATGAAACACAGTTCAACCATACTCGGCATTACGGTGCCGATCAAATCAGCGATGCAAATCAACGCCTCAAATCAAGGAATACCGTCGGAATCGGATAACTAAAGTCATTCGATGCAATTTGCAGATCTTTTCCTATTTTGATAACGGATTTCAATAAACAACGCAATGACCCCGGATTTGAGAATGTAGATCATCCTTGATTGATTTAATGAATCTTGTTCCTGAAATGCTATTCAGCCTAGTGCAGCGCAGCGCTTTCCTTTCCGTATCTCCGGACTTCCACAGACCATGAAGTTCGGCACAGATTCGAAAACATCACAAACATTTATCATCAATCGTTAATAGCATTCAGTCAAATACACAATCTTACATAATCATCATGGGATGCAGGAGTGAAATTACTCTGATATTCCCCATTAAGATGATCTTGATGGATATCTTTTCATTAAACCAGATTATCTGTCGAGAATCAAAAAAAAATTGCACTAAGCATACTTAAAATCTTTTCGTTCTTCATGTGTTTCAAACAGCAAAACAGAAAAAAATAAGGAATATAGATTAATAACTTATGAATAATTATATCAATCGATGAGAAATAAAGAAGTCCTGTCAATCAATCTTGACAAGCAAAAGCATGAGTAGCGATAGGGTTCGATCAATACGATCTCCTCTTTCCGCTTTTTGTGCCTGTATTAGGACTCTTTAATAGCATTCAGGATCTCCATCTTCACCGGTAAAGCAAGTCCATCCTTTCTTTGCCAAAATCGGTGCAGCCTGAGGGTATAGGAGAAGAAATTAGCAAATATGTACTTCCTCGAGCGATAGAAAGATGGACTATACTCACTGAAACGCTACTGGTATAGCTCAGATAGGCTACGAGAATCGTTTGGAGGATTAAAAGCTTGATGATTGAATTGTGAAACATTTTTGAAAGCGATCGAAGTTAAGAAAGAAGAAGGATTTTTGTAGAAGAAGAGGGAAAAAACATCATTTGAAACCATTGAAATAGGAGCAAATTCTCCACATCATTAAAAGGAGGTTTGTCATACGCAACCGTTATGCCAATAATACTACGTAATTCGATAAATGAAGGAGTGCCTCCTTTTGGCATCACGGAGCCTTAAGAATGTCGAAATTCGGATGACCGAACCCGTAACTTCTGCAGCCGCGCGCAAGGCTCCCAGCCGTTGCTACACCAGCTGATATGTATAGAAAAATACGTTCGGTCCCTAATATCAATCAATGTCTCTTAGGTTATCAAACAATCTTTGACACCTTCTGGTGAGTCACACTGAATTCGTAAACAGTAACGATTTCAATACATGAATTGAATACTTACGGACATATCATCAGTCTACTTGTTACTGCCACGATACAACCAATGCAACATCGTGCAGATCGATCATTGTTCTGAGAGAAATCATCTTTGAATGATGAAATTGGATTATAACTTATTCGCTTCAGTATACGTCGGAGGGGGAGCTTCGTCCTCTGGATTACGAACACGTGCTGGCAGCTGAGTGGGTGTGATAGTGTCTACATCTTGCATTCTGCTTCCGAATTGGGTTCCGATTCCATTCAATCCGTGAAACAGTCCACCAAATGAAGCGTTTTCCTCTGTTATTGTATCTTCATCCCTCTTTTTGCCTTTGATTACATCATCATCAGATAGATGCTCCGGGGTAGTGTTTTGATTTTCTTCATCAGGTCTTCTTCCAAAGTTTTCCAGCTCTCTCTTTCTTCTCCTGAGCCAGGATTTAACCATATGACGAACGGCACTAATGAATACAAAGGCAAGAATTGCAACTAGTGCCAACAAAAGCAGTGTCAGGACAATACATCCGATGATCAATCCAATCTTTGCTGGTTTCGATAGTCCATCGCCACTGTCAGATTCATCATCGTTGTCGCTATTGAGCAAATTTGGATTATAATCCGTTCTCGTTCCATTTACGGTATAAAACGCGGTACAAGCAGGATGTGCATCACTGGTAGGGACGAACGGATTTCCTGGTCCACCATACGAGGTACGAGCAGATACAGCGGTTGTGTTTGGCGGTTGAACATACAACCACATGATCGTATGAAATTCTTGATCATATCCACTTCCAACCCAAGAAGCATTCATTGCATCAGTCATGGAAATGTTTGTCGAATAATATTTATTACCTATTTGTGTTGCAGGTAAAAGGCTTGAAATTGCGAAAGTTTCATATGGAACAAAATCTGTCCATGCAATCGTTGTATTGAACAAAGCAGGATCAGACAGATTTCTTGATTGCGTGAATTGCAATACCATTCCATTTGTCGAATTTAATTCTTGTGGGCTCACTTGAGTGGAAACGATCAATGCATTGCATGTTGAATAGTCATAATCGATTTGAAATGCGGCAGCTAATCTTGCGAGAAAAGATAGCATACACACAAGCAAAGTCGACCACGCGTGTAATTTGATCATCGTAAATGCTGAAGAGGAAGGAGGGAGGGATGTCTAGTGGCTCTAAAGGTAAATTCAGAAGTATTGTTCCCACTTTTATACAATTCGTACCACTGCATCTATCCGAACGAAGAGAAATCACCGGCAAAGATCGGTCGTAGTGCTCACACGTTCAAAGCGGGGTCTTATCCGCTGATCGTGTTATCTATCGGGTAAAAGAGCAGGAAAATGGAGTCATCATGCATTTACACTTATCCCACGTTTCATCGCACTAATCTGCAATCATTTGTACCACAGATCTGTTCAAACATGTACCTGACAGGGCTTATCACTACTGCTTGGCATCAATCAATCAAAGCTGAGCAAGTGACAACACTCTCCGTTCCTGTCAAGATTACGTTCAAGGTACACTTTTTGTGCAGCGGCCAATTTAAGCTAATCTATGAATCGCGGATAAATTCCACTCTTGGCCGTAAACACGGCTAAAAGCGGGACAATACACAGATGTGATGTGCTCATTTGGCTATCCTAGCACGTGAACTATTGATGACCATCATGCTCCACAGGATATAATTCTCACACAATCACTTCAATTGACTTCATCTAGTACATGATATTGATGCAATAATGTATACAAATTGTAAATTAAAAAGGAAAAGAGAGCACCCTTTCATGACTTGTTGCCAAAGATCACTTCACTCATTCCTAGAGGTGCAGGTCGGAATGCATTGGTCATGGGCTTTCCAGTGTTGGATAATTGATCAATGCTCCAGATATCCTTGAATCCGATTCCGTCATTCTCTCCTTGTAAGCTTGAAGGTAATTCACCGTCTAAAGTGATAGAAGGTAGTGAAATATTGGCATTGGGTGTTTCAGTCATATAAAAACGTCTAAGTGCATCTTCTGCTGCACGATATTCTGCCATCTTGATCGCACTTCCCGTTCCTTCTCCTAACTTTTCGTTACCACTCCAAACACCAACAACGAAGACGGGATTTATGCTCAATCTTCCCGTTTCTGCGATCATTCTACTTTGCGGTCGTTCTTTGCCCAATTTCTTCATCAATCCGCTCAAAGATCTCTTTGGGTCTGCGAATTTCAATAAGGAGGAGATCGGTACCATTCTCGATAGCAAATGTGCATGAACGAATTCTCGAGCAGATGATAGACCTTGCTCCTGGAACATTAAAGCAACGATTGCTCTTAAAACGTCTGAAAACGTATCCCGAGACATCGTTCTGCTTCCTCCCGTTATCTCTTTGTCCCATCGTACAATTCCTTGTCCTGCGAGTCCCATCTCTGTGGCCACATCAGAGAGTGTATTGGGTCCTACATAAGCCGAAAGAGCTGCTTTCAATACTCGATTTGGTAAATTGGGATACCGTAGATGCAGATATTCTGATGCGATGACGCCTAGCAGGGAATTGCCCAAAGAAGCCATCGATGCGTGATTCTTCTCTGGTGTGATTGTCAGATATTGTTTGTCTAATTCTGCCAATTCATTGGCAATTTTTGATGAACTTGCATCTACCACACGTTCAAGTCCTTTTCCTACACCTGTTAATGCTACCGCCTCTTCACCATGCTGCGAAGCTGCACGTTGGACAAGGGTGGCATACGATGGATGTGTACATGCACGAACAAGCAATGCGATCCTCTTTTGTTTCGTTTCAGAATCGGTCGAATTGGAAATCAATTTTAATCGATATGCCAATGCGACGTAAGCACTTCTTGGAGGAGGTCGAAGTGATTCGAATAATTTTGGATCTTTACGTGCGATTGGTGGAAGATGAACGGCTGGTACTTCTCTTTTTGAGATCGAAGATGTTGAGAATGGTCGAACGTTTGAAGAGGATGAGGAAGAAGAGCAGGGTGACTGTCTTGCTATTGTGGATGTAGAAGAAGATGGTCCTGGCTGTGCTTGTCTCTTTACCGCACTTGCCAAAGCTTGTCTGCCAGCCCTTGAAAGGGTTCTTCCGGCAATATATGTGGTCACCATCTCAAAGTACCCAAGTAAGCAATATTCGATGATGGTTCTAAAAGCGATTAATTGTGGTGACAATTCTTTCACTTGATAGAGTACACTAGTCTCATGCCTTTGAGTTTTTTTCATTTTTCCACAGCGTCTCTTCTTTTTTTTGGAAGAAATGCTTAGAATATCCGCGCTTATGAAAAGCTCACGTGGTTAAGTGCCTCCCTCACGCTTAGTGCTTGCTTAGGCCCGTGCTTGAGAACACTCTGGGGGAGAGGGAGAACACCATCTGATGATCATGACCTCCAGGATCTTACTCGTATTAGGTGGCCAACGAGAATGGCTCAACCTAGCGCTGCTACCAGACTGCCTGCCAATGTACCACCAAGCGGAGCAGGAATACGATCGGATGGAGGAGGAAGTCGATCACAACAAGCACAGCATCAGCAACAACAACAACAACAACAAGCAGCAACAAATGATACCCTTTCCGTTGTGCTGGTAACAGCAGGTTATGATCACACAATCAGATTTTGGGAAGCATGGTCAGGAATATGTAGTCGTACAATTCAACATGCAGATTCACAAGTGAATAGATTGGCAATTTCTCCCGATAAACGTTATTTAGCTGCTGCAGGAAATAATCAAGTTCGTTTGTATGATACCTCACATGGCGGTGTTTCAGCAAGTATGAGTGGGAGTGGCGCAGGTGGAAGCAATTCAGGTGCATCAGGGCAAGCACAAGGAGGTCAAGGAGCACCTGGAGCAGGTGGTGGTGGAAACCCGATTCAAACTTTTGATGGTCACAATGGCAATATCACTTCACTTGCATGGCACTGTGACGCTAAATGGCTTGTTACAGGGTCAGAAGATGGTACACTGAAGATTTGGGATACACGAACAAATAGAGCACAACGGATATACGATCATCGCAATCCTGTCAATGATGTCGTTGTACATCCCAATCAAGGTGAACTCGTTTCTTGCGATCAAGGCGGAAGTGTCAAGGTGTGGGATTTAAGCGAAAATGGATGCAGTCACGAACTTGTCCCTGAAGAGGAAGTACCAATCCGTTCAGTCACAGTTGCATCAGATGGATCTTGTCTCGTTGCCGGAAACAATGTAGGAAATGTGTACGTCTGGCGGATACAAAACGGGAGCTATGACGACCTTGATCCATCTATCAACCCTTCTCGTTCTGGTATCTTGGATGGCCAATCAGGGACACCACTTGATGGTACAAACGGTGCAGGCCCAGGCAATGGAGATTTCACTGACCTACAGCCTGTCACAAGATTTCAAGCACACGATAAATATTTGACAAAATGCTTATTAAGTCCAGACGTTCGTCATTTAGCAACATGTTCGGCAGATACAACAGTTAAGATTTGGAGTACATCTCGATATGAATTCGCATTAGAGAAAACTTTGGTTGGACATCAAAGATGGGTTTGGGACGCTGCTTTTAGTGCAGATAGTGCTTATCTTGTTACTGCTTCTTCGGATCATGTTGCAAGATTATGGGAATTAAGTTCAGGTGAAACTGTTAGACAGTATAACGGTCATGTAAAAGCAGTCGTTGCATGTGCTTTAAACGATTCCCATTTGGATGGCTGAAAGTGATTTTTGAAAGCAAGTTTTGTATGAATGTATGTATCTATAGCTACAATGAATTATCGGAAATCGAGACGAGACGTAAAGGGGTATGGAGCATAAGAGGCGAAGAATGATGGCAGTGTAGTGTAAAGAAAGCATATAGTAAGAAGCAAGGAGTCTAATCGACTGGCAAAGATTGCATTAAATCCATGAGAACGCCATCGATGATGGAATGACCGGGAACGTACTTCCAAATAGATTCGATATGTGGTCCTAATCCGACCGAATAATCTTTTCTTGGACAAGTACGTACGAGTGCACTTTTCATCGTATCCAATAACAATTTCGGGCATTCTTGTAATTCTATATTGATCTTTGATGAATTATGTGAATATGCATATTTATCTTGGGAAACTTCTTGTTGCCAGCCTGCGAGACCGGGATAAATTGGCTGTTGAGCACTTGAAGGCTTTACCGGAGGTGGAATACCATAGAGAGATGCAAGACTGATTAATAAGATTGATTGAGATGCTTGTTGTGCTTCTTCTTTGATTATCGAGAATAAATTGCCAAGAACTCTAAGCACGAATGAGTTGTGATGTACGATTTGACCGAATCCGAGTAAGTTCTTATTGCTTATTTGTTGATGTGAAGTTTGATGAGAAGCAGGATAAGGCATCATATGAACCAAAGAGGTCACCACGCCTTCAGCTTGTAGCGTTTCACGAACTTCGTTCCACATGGTAAGCAAAGCAGTTCGTGTGATGTTGTATTGCATTTCATCCGAAGTGGCCGTTTGTGCTTTGGGAGCTTGAACATCATCATTAATTCCTACTTCCCTTGGCTCACGAGGCACGGGTATACGAGCAGCAGAAGGAACTAAACCAATAATACGACCTCCATCACTACGCACGATAGGTAACAAGGTTGCCAAAAGATTCAATGTCTCTCCAATATCCGTTCCTAAGGTCTTTTCGGTTGATTTGGCCAACTGATTCAGCTTTTCATGTGTTGTATGGAAGGAAGGTGAAGTTGCTTTTGGTTTACGTTGAGGTAGCTTTTGTCGTACGATTGTTTGCTTCGGTTGTTGCATGATAGATGGGATGAGAACCAGAGCACGTAGCAGCAAGTCATGACTTACACAATATGCTTGAACGGTACTTTGAGCATGTTGCAATCCCGAGGGTGTGGAAGTATCTACCACAACCGGTATCACTGCTCCAATTCCCGTTTGTTCAGTTTCTCCGATCCGCAAGCCTTTCAACATATCCCTTCCATATCCAACAACATCAGATGCTGTCCAACCGCCAATGCTTAATCTTCTTTTCGAACTGCGGGAAGGTGATTGCTTGTCATATACTTCTGATTCGTCCTCTTGTAATTCTATCGGCTGATCGTCTGAAAGACCAAACAAGCTTGCTATTCTTCCAAGACCGAATGTTTCCAGTGTGGATGCAACAGTTGAGCCTTTCTGACTGTATTCGCTGTCATTAGAGAATGTATGCTTTGTTTTATCATCTTTTGGTGAATTGATAGAATTTGCAACTTCAGCTTTTCTTTTTGCCCAAGCACCGATCAAAGCAGGAAGATGATTTGAATTTTCCGGCATTAAAACAATAACGGTATAAGGAGCATAACCAACTTTTCTCCATCTTTCAAAACTATTGAGATTTTTTCGTTGACGAACAGAAGCTAAAGCTAAAGATAATTGTTGTGCAATATCTTGTTCACCTCCTGCCCAAACTACGATCGCTGAACCTTTTTGTGGATCCCACCAAGCACGATTTGTACTTATTATCGTTGGTGTATCGGTTGTGATTCCTAAAGAATCAATCAAAGCTTGATAGATCGAATGAAGATGGGTTAAACCACGTTCCAATAGATAAGATGATGTTATAATTGCTCGAACCAAAGATTGACAAAGAAAGTTGTCATAATATCTTGCTTGAATTGCACTCATGTTGGGAGGTAAAATTGATAAATGAGGTTGATGTATCTACATAAAGGAAAGGAGGGGAAACCCAAATGATTGAAAAGGTGCCATCTATATACCTTTTCACAAACGGGATCAAATGAGAGTTATGAAACAGTTTTATGGTTGTTTATCTTCTCACACAACACAAACCTGCATCAAACTTTAGCGCCAACGGCTGCTGCTGCTTAGTGGAGTTGTATTCATGTTTTATGAAAAGGCTGGCACGGCCCGCTTAAAGGTGGTTTTAATTGACAGGCTTGAACACAAAACTTAACTATAACATGCAACACAGTGTCTAGCCTTCTTGCAATTTTCACACACCATAAACACTCGGATGTTTTTGCTTCACAACGTTTTACATAAGGAGATTCATCACCATTGAGCAAGATTTGTATAACCAGAATCTATCAAAGTCCTCCCTAAGGCGGCGGGTGTGCTCCGTTGCAGTAAGACTTAAGCAAGATTATTAGATAACGTATTTTGTTCGAATTAGGGTTGGTTTTTCTTTGTTCAATTGAGCCTCACTCGCAAACTTACGACTTATCTGAATCGAGAAAACGCTATGATATTATCGCGTACAGGAAATGATTATACAAGATAGAAAGCTGAATTTGTAGCGATCATGCGTGACAGTCTATGAAAATTCGATACTATTTTTATTATTTGATGACTTGGTCGAAGTTCTTTAATCAACTTCTTCAACGCTTGGTCCGTCATCAGCACCTGCACCAGCGCCAGGAGCTGCACCTGGAGCGCCACCTGGCATACCACCTGGTGCACCTCCTGCAGCACCGTATGCCTTTTGCAAGATTGGAGCAGCAGTGCTCTCCAATTCCTTTTGGTGCTCCTCGTATTCCTCCTTGGATGCTTCTTGAGAAGCGTCCAACCAAGAGATGGTCTCGGAGATGGCCTTGTCCAACTTCTCCTTGTCTGCTGGCTCCAACTTGGATGCGAATTGCTCTTCGTTCAAGCTATTACGCAAGTTGTATGCGTATGATTCCAATCCGTTCTTGGCAGAGATACGGGCTGTTGCTTCTTCATCTTCAGCCTTGTACTTCTCGGCTTCGGAAACCATACGTTCGATATCCTCCTTGGATAGACGTCCCTTGTCGTTTGTGATGGTGATCTTTTCGGATTTACCGGAAGTCTTATCGGCAGCGTTGACTGACAAGATTGAGTTGGCATCCAAGTCGAATGTGACTTCGATTTGAGGAACACCACGGGGCGCTGGTGGGATACCAGACAATTCGAATTTACCCAACAAGTTGTTGTCCTTGGTGCGTGCACGTTCACCTTCGAAGACTTGAATCAACACACCAGGTTGGTTATCAGCGTATGTTGAGAAGATTTCAGACTTCTTGGTTGGAACAGTTGTGTTACGCTTGATGAGAGGAGTGAAAACACCACCAGCCTGTAAGAATAGAAGAGAGAAAGTAGGATGTCAGTAAAGTATTCAATCAGAAAATGCTTTAGATGCAAAGATATACTCACGGTTTCGATACCCATAGACAATGGGGCAACGTCCAACAACAAAAGATCTTGAGTCTTTTCAGAAGTGTCACCGGAAAGAATGGCGGCTTGGACAGCAGCACCGTAAGCAACAGCCTCATCAGGGTTGATGGACTTGTTTGGCTCACGGCCGTTGAAGAAGTCACGCAACAACTTTTGAACACGGGGGATACGAGTGGAACCACCGACCAAAACGATTTCATGGACGGATCCCTTGTCGATCTTGGAGTCACGCAAGACCTTCTCGACTGGCTCGATTGTGTGGGAGAACAAGTCACCGCACAATTCTTCGAAACGAGCACGGGTGATGGATGTGTAGAAGTCAATACCTTCGAACAAGGAATCAATTTCAATCGAGGTTTGAGCAGCAGATGAAAGAGTACGCTTAGCACGTTCACATGCTGTGCGCAAACGACGGAGAGCACGAGCGTTGGATGTCAAGTCCTTCTTGGATTTACGCTTGAACTCTTGAACGAAGTGGTTGACGAGACGGTTGTCAAAGTCTTCACCACCCAAGTGAGTGTCACCGGCAGTGGCCTTGACTTCGAAAATACCTTCTTCGATGGTCAAAAGAGAGACATCGAAAGTACCACCTCCCAAATCGAAAATGAGGACGTTCTTCTCTCCGGATTCACCCTTCTTGTCCAAACCGTAAGCAATTGCAGCGGCAGTTGGCTCGTTGATGATACGCATAACGTTCAAACCAGAGATAACACCGGCATCCTTGGTTGCTTGACGTTGGGAGTCGTTGAAGTATGCTGGGACGGTAACAACGGCATCCTTGACGTTTCCACCTAAGTAAGCTTCAGCAGTCTCGCGCATCTTGAGCAAGACCATTGAAGAGATTTCTTCGGGTGTGAAAGTCTTAACTTCACCCTTGTATTCGACTTGAATGATTGGCTTTCCATCCTTGGAGATAACCTTGAATGGCCAGTGCTTCATATCTGATTGAACTTCAGCATCGTCAAACTTGCGTCCGATCAAACGCTTTGCGTCAAAGACTGTGTTGTGAGGGTTCATTGCGACTTGATTCTTTGCTGCGTCACCGATCAAACGTTCAGTGTCTGTGAATGCAACATATGATGGTGTTGTGCGGTTACCTTGATCGTTGGCAATGACTTCAACACGGTCATTTTGCCAAACGGCAACACAAGAGTAGGTTGTACCCAAATCAATACCAACGGCTTTGGCTGACATGGTTGTGAATATATGTAGTGGTGATGAAAGGAAAAGAGATTGAAATAAAAATTCTTTTGCTTTTTGTTTCGTTGATCCTTCAGTGAAGAAGAAATGTTATCAACTGTTGATTGGATGTGTGTTTATGTGATCGCAATCAAATGGGGTATGTTGGTGGAAAGAAAGGAAACGATTTGAAGAGTTGGACGTCTATCTATATACCTTCGTTGCCTTTTGTCCTGCCTATGCAATCGCCACTTGAGCCTTCTTACGCCTACTCCACCCTACCAGAAGGTTGAAGAAGGTACGAGCCTATGCGGCACAAAAGCAGTGTTTTTGGATAAATTCATGCAAGAAGAAACTTTCCCAGTTTTAACTTTCTTCGCCTGTTAAATTAGACGTTCCTTTTACTTCGCAGACGTTCCAAAGTGCTTATGTAAGGCGCGTTTGAAGGTTCCACAAGAAATTAGCGCGAGGCTGAGGCGCTAAAGCGTTGCTCTGAAAAGAGATCCCGATATATAGTCACGTGAGATCTGCTTGACATCATCCTTATTGCTCAATAGAAGCCATTCAACATTTGGCGCAATCAAACATGTCCTTGAGAATAATAATGATTCGTACTGATAAATGATCTATTCGGCGACCCCTTCTCAGTCTATCTTTGAAAAATTTCGCTGAAATTGTACTAATTGCGAAACCGCTTTCATATGTATAGTAGAATAGGCACAAGTATGCACGATAATCTTGAGAAACATGGATTCTTTGTATATACATTATAGAAGATGTTGAATCAAAACTTCATTCGAACACTCTTATAAATCGCTCTAGAAATCTCCACCGCCCATATCACCTCCTCCAAAGTCGTCTCCGCCACCATAATCGCCACCATAATCACTACCACCACCGCCATAATCGTTATCTTGACCATTTTCATATCCATCTCTGTAGGCATCTTCTTGCATATCATCAATTCCGTGCATTAACATCGCACCTCCCAATAAACCTGCACCTGCACCGAGTGCCATTCCTCCCATTCCCATACCACCGCCACCACCACCAAATCTGCCGCCTCCCATTCGATTACCTCCTGCCATGGGCTGTTGCATCATCATTGGTTGTTGACCGTATCCGCCTCCATAAGGTGGCTGTTGTTGATATCCCCCATAAGGTGGTTGTTGTGGATATCCGCCTCCATAAGGTTGTTGTTGTGGATATCCTTGTGGTGGGCCTTGACCCCAACCTTGACGATTGTCGCTTGGAGGTGGACCTGAAGGGGCGGTGAATTGTTGTTGAGGTGGTTGAGAAGATTTACCTTCATCTGAAGGATGTACCCAAATAGATCTTGGTGGATTGGCTCTTGTATCAACGTAGAAATGACGATTATAATTTGAATCCCATTGTTTTACCCATCCTTCCGGTAAAGGTCTATCGTCTCCTTTTGAATCTTGTCCAGATCCTCCTGAAGATTGATAATTGTTGCCTGGTTGTGGTGAGCTGGGGAAAGCTGGTCCGCCTTGACTACCTTGTCCGTATGGTGATTGCTGCTGTTGGCCGCCACCATATCCACCTGGACCGCCTCCATATCCACCTGGACCACCACCATAACCTCCACCTTGTCCTCCACCATAAGAAGGAGGACGTTGTGGTTGTTGTACTTTATTCGCCAATTTATCCAATAAACCCATCTTTACTGTATTGTCAGATTGGTTGGTTGATCGAGAAGAAGGAGAAGGATTGAGGTATGAAATGAAATAGGATAACGTGTGATTTACAGCATACATACATACCCCGATAAAGGCTGTGCCTCCTTTTGCATGACGCTGCTGTCTTGGCACCTTTACTAGTGTGGGTTAAATGCGTGCACTGCACTGCGACAGCGTACGTGTCTTGAATGGGTGTACCTATTCAATCATGCGTGCGCCACGATAACGCAGAGAACGTGGAATGCTCCCAGCCAGAATAAAGGACACAGAACCTCTTTCAGGGTATCACTCACGGGAACATCATGAATCAAAGCTGAAAGCATCGGACTATTCCCTGTTTAGACTTTATCACACTATTCAAGGTAGACAAAATCTGAAAAAAATTGCGCAAAAGATTGTATAATACAGATGAGATTCAAATCATCACTTCTCTTCACGAGCCCTTTCCATTACATGCGATAAAGCAATCGCACCACGTTTTGCCGGATCTCCGACAAATTCAACACGAGCAAAAACGATACCTAAACTTGCCAATTGTTCGACCAACAATTCACGGTAATTCTTCACTCCAACCAAACTACCACCTAAACATAAAACGCTATTCTTCACATTCAGATATGCCCTGGCCGTTCGATCAACTTTGCAAATCTTTTCGATTTGCTTTGCCATAAAATGTGCTTGCGTTCGTAAGATTTCCAGTGATTCTGCATCATTATGCGTAAATGCTAGATGAAACACTAAAGGAGCCAAAGATGCTAATCTGTGTTTGCGTTCCAATGTGGATCGTGGATGCTTGCCTTCTGCACTTCCGGTTGAAGCATTACTCGTGCTCATCGAGCCACATCCATTTGACTTTTCACCCTTTTCTTCTTCCGTCTCTTTACGCCGATGAACGCTTACAGGTTCAATACCATGTCTACCTGCTGACATGGATAAAGAAGAAGAAGCGCTGGTAATTTCTGTTGCCAAGCCAGAGCTCAATTCGGCTGTAGTGCGTAAAGGTTCATCTTGAGACATTCTCGTTTGACCGCATCTACTTGTACTGTTTTCTCTTGTGAATGCAGGTGAAGGTGCGGTACTGCTATTGGCAACATCGGAAAATGTGTTGGAAGAACGACTTCCAGGACTCGAGCTAAGTGAAGGAATAGGTGAAACTCCGCGTAATCGTGTTTCAACATCCAAAGTATGAACAGTTGGCGGTAATAAACTGGCAGAAGGTGGCTCATCCGTCATGCTAGAAGAACTTGTTCGTGCAGTTCGCGTGGGTAATAAAGTCAATTTTCGACTCAAATTTGAATCTGTGCTATTGTTCTTTTCGATTTGAGCAACGTTGAAACGCTTTGTTAAGGTGGATTGAATATCGTCGCGTAGAGTTGATTCTGTTTTGGAAAGTTGATCGACACGATCGGTCACGGGAGCGACGCATTGTTTGGATGGATTGGAAGCTGCAGCAGGCACTCCACGACCGTTTGGCTGACCGCATTGTGCATCGTCAAAGTATACAGCTCGTAGTAGCTCATCGGTTGATATTAAGCCCCAATGTTGTAGAATACGATCTCGCAAAAGATGACCTCTAGGAGGAGTACTTGGTAAAGTGATTTCACCATCTTTAGACATCCTTCTCGTCATATCCATCTCGAAAGTAGTAGCAGTATCTTCAATTTGTGTTGACCCATCTTCACGGGCGTCATCTTCATCAAGTTCAGAATCCTCCTCCTCTTCGGCATTCATCATACTACGTTCATCTTCCATACGCAGCCTTTCATGATCGGTAAGGTCAAGTACACTTCTGACTGCTGTTCTTCCAACAGAATATCCACTTCCTTCATCCCCGATCAACCAACCAAATCCACCAACTCTTCCCAATACTCCCAGCATTCCATTTCGTTTCCGTCTAAAGCTCATCACAATACTTCCTGTCCCGGCAATCGCTACCACCCCACTCTTGATCTCCGGTCGTAATGAATCAGCGATAGGAGATGCAAGTAGGGATGTATCATTCGCAACGATTAATCGATTACTTGGATGTGGAATAGAGAATAACGTGGCAAGATGTGGACTGAGCGTGGTCACATCTGCAGGGCTATCCACGCCTGCGATTCCCAGCCAAGCTGCTTGTATTGATGGCGAAGGTGTGTGGTGAGTTAGAGAGTTTGGCTTTATACTGGCCAAAGCATCCGCGATTGTTAAAGCAGAATGTGTTGATTTACGTCCATCGTCATCTTCTTCTTCGTCATCGATTTGACGATGAAAAGATGAGTGTATGCTATCGGTAGAAGTAGATTGTTGATCAAGTATTTGCCATTGAATTTGATCATTCAACTCGGCATAGAACAATCTTGCTCCTTCAAGTGCAATCTTGACTGCATCTTCAACACTTGCCAGGAAAGGCAATAAGCCTATATCTGTATAATTCGCCGGTCCTCCTTGACCACGTCCAACGATTTCTCCTTGTTCATTGCAAATCGCTGCAGCCGCTTTTGTGCCACCACAATCAATGGCAAGGTATAACCGTGGAGGCCAAGGACGCATATTCATTTTAGGCAGCGTGTGATTATATGCGTATGTCAAATCACGCTCAAAGTTCAAAGTATGCATGTATTTGATGGTGCTTTTGTTGATGGTAATCGTTGATGAGGAAAACGTGCGCTCAGAATGAAACGGCACTTTTTGGTAGGTGCTCACTGATCAGGTCGCTGTTTAAAATGTCCTTCCGAATTGACAATACAGATACAGTTCCGAAGCAGTACTTTGCGTTATCCAACGTAAAATGCACTCAACGACTGAAAATGAGTTAAGAAACCGTTTTCCCCAGATATGCAAAAAGGACCGCTTCCGCTCTTTTCCACTCTCTTCTCCAGGTTTTTGTAAATTCTCTTTATTTTTGTATGCGTTTTTCTTTCCTTCTCCTTGCGTGGGTACAAAGACTCTTTTTGTCTTTTCCTGATGCCGCTCCGGTTATTATTCAAAGTCCACGCACAATTTAGTTTTGCATACGTTTTGACATTAATGTCGCAATGGAATGACGGCGTAATCGACGAACAAAAGAAAGAAAAATGGCTTGTTCAAGATACCGCATGCAGCGGCGCCGATGTTGAGCTTTTCTTCAAAAGAAGAAGAATGAATCAAACGATGACGCACCAGCAGACGGAAAGGGGATTAGCGATTCTTGAGCAATGAATGCACAAATAGCAGTCTAAACTTCCCTTCTTTGTTCTTGTTGTATGTGATCCCTTTCCCTCAGATCATCTTCCTGTTCTGATCGGATAAGCTGGTCGTTGAGATGGAAACCGTTGACGATGATTGCTTTTTAAGTTTAACTATGCACTTTAATGCGCATAAGTTGATGTCCTTCTTGAATCGGAGGCAATCGTGCTAAGCGAAAGGGTGTCGTAATTAAGGTACACAAGTATGTCGCCAAATCGAATTGGGACAGGGAGTTTCCGTTTGTGATCGTGAGTGTTGAATTACTCGTATGCAATTGAGCGTTTGAATGTGGACCTTTATTCTGGGATCCGATTTGTGAAAATGTTGCGTTTGAGCTAGGTAATCCTTTCAAAAGTGGACGGAAAGAGTAAAGGAAGTTATCATGATGAAGAAGAAAGAGGGATGAGTCATGATTGCTTTAACATGATCATGAAAGTGTTGCTCGGTATGTTTCATATTCAATATTTCACATATACATCCTCACTCACTTCACTTGCTTGCATTTCCCATCTAATCTTACTCCGACTCCTCCGCTTTTTTTGAGTGATTGAATCCACACACTTGTTTAAAGCCCCGAAAATAGGTTTTTATTTTTTATTTTTTGACATTTGTGTGAATTGCAATGACCATATGCCCGCACACGCTAATCTAACTGCCAATCGGCACACTTTTATTTATTTAAAGTAGGCTTGCTTACAACAGCCTCAAACCTGTATAAAATACCTCAACCGATGCTCTCCCTAACTCTTGGCTCCGATGCAGGGAACAGAGGATTCGAGCTGTAACGTGCAGGGAAAAACATTTATATCTTCGGAGGTTGTAATTTCATCCAATGAGAGCAATGTGTTCATTATTGGCTTTCAAAATCAGAACAAGCGAATTCAAAGTCAAAGAGGATATAAACCTACAATCAATAAGCAAAGGGCCGGGAACGCTATTCTCCTTAGCGAACACAAAGGCCTCTATATAAGGCATTAAGCGCAATTATCGGATGTCCGTAAGGCTCGGAAATCTTTTATTATTGGCTAGTACTTTTCATTTTTGTGCAGGTTCAGAGAAAATGACCAATTTCAGTTGACAATTGAAAACTATAAAAAGATCGTGCATAGCTTTTTACCGAATGAACAAGCATGGTTCTCTATAATTTCGGCATTCTCGCCGGTCAGGCACATGTTTTATACTTACTCTTTTTATTAAACGCGTCGGGGCAGTCAGTATGCGGGGAACTTCTTTTCACTCTACGAACCTCCTCGCCAAAACAAATCTTCTCGTACGCATGCATATGATTGACAATCAATCTGCACAACCGAACATCACCGAAAAGCACCGAGTAAAAGGCTAATCTAACCATTAAAGATGGTCGGTCCATCAAGGCTACTATTGACAATACTATGATACACTCTACACTCTACATTCCCACTCCACTCATCCCTACCCCTCCCGGACCTTTCCCATATCCGGCAAAATCATTAACGCTTCTAATACTATCTTCACTGCCGCTACTTCCTCCAACATCATCACTATTGGAACCTTCACTTGGTTCGCTAGCATCTTCTGCATTTTGATCACCTTCAGTTGTTTCCCCAGTAACGGCTTTCTTTCGTTTTGCTTTACTTGCTTTTGAAATTGCTGCTCCACTTGAACTTGGTCTTGGTAAAGGTTCATCTAAATCTCTTTCACCTGCTCGCACTGAATCCTCCAACGCTTCTGCATCTTTGCTCTGGTCTTCTGATCTTCTCCTTCTTCGTCTTTGTGTTTCGGTACTTTTCTGTGCGGTAGAAGGCTTTGTTTTCGATTGTCTTTTTGCCGTCGGATGCTCTTCCACGTAAAGCATCAAATTAATCACTCCCGTATCTAGACTTTTCACTGGAACGATTTGTACATCATCCTCGGAATCCTTTGCTAATCGTTTGGCGCGCAAGTACGATGGTCTGGATCCAGATTCATTCGAAGATGATTGATTGTTGTCCTCATTAGACTCCGCACCTAGATGCCTGCTTTCATCAAAAGGCACCCAAGCTCCTTGTGCTGGCTCATTGCCTTTTGCATCATCTGTATGCGGTTGACATCCTTCTTTCATATCCAAAACCATTGCCCATGTAAGATCATCGGGATCGTCAAGATCGTATAATGCTCCGTCCAAAGAGACTAATTTCATCATGAATGCTCTCAATTGCAATTCGATCGTATGTGCGTTCATATTGCCGGGTATACTGAAATCTCGATCTCGCATTGGCACATTTGACAAGATAAAGTCAACATCAAATCTGTACCTTTCCAAAATATCCCCACTTGCCACAGAGTTGATGACCACATGAACGGATTTCACCAGATTCCTTTGCAGTTGTACTTTAACAGCTGACAGGACATCATCTATATATGCATTCAATCCTGGATGTCTTGATGACCAGACTGGTACCCTATACCTCTGCCTTCTCGCGAACACATTTGCAGGATACACTTGACGATGACAAAGGATGGTATGAACGGCTGTTTTGATGAATCCGCATAATGCATCTATCGTTTCATTATATGTCAATTGAGTCCCATCATCATCTTCATCCGTTATTACCTCATTCACCGCCTTACTCGTTGATGCTTTTGTCGATGCCATATCATCGATGGTGAAGACAGGAAAGTAACACCAATGTGTTACATTTCTTCCTTTACTCAGCTTGAGTTATATAATCAGTTGCATTCTCAAATGCAAAACGCGTGTTAGGCGCCGCGTAGGATAAAGACTTCGCCCAAAGGCCGACAAAGCATTTGACGCTTAAAAGGCAACACGAACAACAACACATTTCGGATCACTACCATAGATTAAAAGGGAAGGGAATCGATGGGAAGGTTGAAAACAGTAAACAAGGATGCCGACATCGTATGACGCTCAACAACAAGGAGATAGACCACCTCCAGGAGCACCACGTAAACAAAGCCGAGGTCCTCATGTCGGAAGCATGATGGCAGCAGGCACTGGCGTTCGAATACCTTCAATGAATGCAAATGATACGAGCACAGAATCAAATTCTTTCTCTACACATGCAGGTCCATCATTTAGGTCTGATATCACTTCAGCATGCGATGCTGCCGCTTCTCTTTTTGGTGGAGATGCTTCCGGTCCATCAATTCTTGAAGGTGCAAGGCCTATAGGCGGACCTTCTACCATTGCAAGAGAGCCTGCAACAGCATCTTGGCTTTCCGGTAGGATGCTACCGCCAAGCGAATACGATCAACCTGCAATCAACTACGCTGATACTCCAACAGGTAGCAGAAATGCTTCTAGCGGCTTTCATCAAGATCGAATTGCCTTTCAAACCCCTTCTGCAGCCAGGCCGACACCGAGTTCCCTTTACGAACAAATATCCCGTGGAATGGCAGCAACACGCAAGCAAAACGGAAATATCAGAACATCTCTTGCATCTTCTAGTGGTTGGGGATCGCCTAGGAATATGGCCCCATCCGGTTCCCGCCTTGCTACTCAGAGATTTGTGTCGGGCGAATCGAGTGGATTAGGTGCAGGTTCATCCAGAATACCTGGCGATGGAAATCTTTTCAATACACCACGACATATTCCCGATACAAATTCTTCGCATTTTCTCACATCTCGTGCCCCCTCAATGCCATTACCAAGATTCTCTTTTCCACACGATATCCCAAGCGACGAACCAAGAATACCAAACGGGACCAAACCGAGAGGCTCAATTGGAATTAATAGGGATGGAAGTTATAACGTTGTACGTGATGAAGAGGATGCAAACAATTCTGGCTTATTAGCATTAACGCCAGCGATGCGAGAACAAAATAATGGGCTTGGTATGACGGCCATATTTCCACGCATGAGCAAAGGTTCAAATGCATCATCTTCGATGGCATCAGCAACCGCAGCTGCAGAGAAAAGCAAGACGATGAGTGATCCAAGCGATCGTCAAAGCAATGCGACATTCATCGAACATGCATTAGAAGTAGAATCGTATGAGGGAGAGGAAGCAGAGAAGAGGAGAATGAATGAAATGCGAACAGGTTTGCGCGGTCAAGGATCAAGAGGAGATGGCGTTGAAGCAGGTCAAAGCTCTTCTTCCATACTCGAAATAATGAGAAATTGGCGTGAAGATGCTATGAAACATCATCTCTACGATACGGCCATCTTTTGGGGTGATAAAATTCTCAGCCTGGAAACAGGACAAATTGCATGGAACGATGCATACAATTTGGCAACTGCATACTTTTTGACGCACAGATATGCTCAAGCAGAGCATCTACTACGGACACCTTTACCGCTTGCACATCTCGAAGAAAATGAAGAAAAAGGTAAAGAGGTCAACAATGGTACCGAAGACGCAGATGAGGATTCTGATACCAAGGAATCGCTGGAGGATGACCATGACGAGCTGAATGCGGCAGTTGCTGCGACGCATAAAAGTAGTAGACTTCCTGCTGCTATGTTGGCAAAAGCGCATGCAATGCAACAGCTTGCAAGTGATGGACATTCATCAGATCCTTACGACGAAGATCGGGATGACCATATGAGTGAGGATGGTTTACATAAACTTGATCGGAAACGCAAAGATCGTCAATTTACAGTTTCTGGTACGGGCACGGCTAGTGAAGGTGGTACAAGTGCTCCCGGAAGTGTAGCAGGTGATTTAAACGGAGATATGGAAACAGACAGACCTAGATCTTCAGCTCGAAGCAGTCGGAATGACAGTCGCATGAGTAATCATAGCGGAAAGCAAGCTCGGCATTCATCCGATGAAGAAGAAATCAGCGACAAAAAGGTCAATGAGGCATGGAGAGAAGAGCAAAAGCTGGCGATGGACGAAGTTCGTGGATCTGAGATTGCACCACCTGATGGGATTAGTCTGGTGAATGTCAGCATTCCCTGTCGTTATTTGGCTGCACAGTGTATGACTAGACAAGGCAAATATCAAGAAGCATTGGACGAGCTTAGCGATTGGAAAAGTGAGCATAACGATCTTCTAGAGCAAAGTTACAAACAACCATCTAGAGATGGGCTGATCAAGTTGTCTAGCTCAATTTGGCATTTGAAAGGATTAATTCAGCTCCATCTACGAAATACAGAAGAGGCAAGAGAGAGTTTCATGCGTAGCTTGAGTCTTGACATCAAAAATTTCGAAAGCTTTGATCATCTCGTTCGAGGACACTTGCTCACTGCTACTCAGCAATGGGACTTTATACAGAATTTGGAGTATGTTGCACAAGCGGGTGAGGACCCTGCTCAGCTGGAGGCATTGCATGTTGTCAGGTTGCTCTACACCGCAAGATTGGACAAGAGTGGGCGAATACACGCACAACAAGCAGCTGCTGCAAGACGACAATTGGTGGGAATATATGGTCTTGGAAACAGTCCTGATGTCTTGCTAGGACTGGCAGAGGAAATGTTTTCTCGAATGCGTTATGAAGATGCCTATACTGTTACTCAACGTATCATGGAATTATGCAAAAACCACGAAGCAAGTTTGCCGGTTCACATTTCTACAATGTATATGATCGAAAGGCTGCGACCGGCTCTATACCTCTTAGCACATCATTTGACCGATGCAGATCCGGATATGGCTGCTGGCTGGTACGCCGTCGGATGTTGGTACTTTGGTACCAAGAGATGGTTGGAAGCACGAAAGTACTTCAGCAAAGCCGTTCAAATGGATCCAAGATTTGCGCCTGGATGGGTTGCCTTTGCACATACGTTTGCCTATGAAGGAGAGTCAGATCAAGCGGTGATCTCGTATAGCACAGCAGAAAGAAACTTTAGTGCTAATTTCTTGATCAAGCTATTCTTGGGTATGGAGCACTTATCTCAAGGTAACCTCACTTTGGCAGAATTATATCTCACCGGAAGTGCGGAAGTGTGGGAAGAAGATGCTCTCAGTAGAAATGAGAGAGGTGTTGTTGCTTATTATAGTGGCAGGATGGAGGAAGCCATTCATCTCTTTCGTTCGGCGCTTGAAGCCGCAAAGGATGTTCAACAACCTGCAAAAGCGTGGATCTCGACTCATCTCAATCTTGCTTTCGCATTACGCAAAACCGGTCAGCTACCTTCTGCACGACAATCATTCTTGCGTGTATTGGAATTAGATCCGGACATGGGTATTGCCTATACTGGTGTGGCGATGTGCTTCCACGGAGAAGGAGAGGTAGACGAAGCAATCACTTGGTACCACCGTGCATTGGCAAGTGATCCGACCGATAAGCATGCAAACGAATTACTCTCGTTTGCATTACAAGAGAGTGCTTCAAGAACACCAACAAGTTTCATGAATGCTGCCGATCGATTGATCATTGAAGCGGATGACAAGAGAAGACACGTAAGAATTGAAGATGGTTCGATTAATGGCTTAGATACAGGCAAAGATCCATTTGGCATCAAAATCGAATCTGGAGATCAAACTGCCGCCATTCAAAACCAGTCGAGTACCATGGATGAGGGTACGCGAGAAATGACGTTGGCAGAAGGTAGCGCGAGCATTGACATGGATGAAAGTTATTGAAGGGAACTTTGTATTTTTAAAAATCAACTGCAAGCTGTCTTACCATGTACTGATATATCGCAATGCATTGAAAGAAGTTTATGGCTGCGAGCATGTGTTGCATTAGAATACAATAGTTTACAAGAGTGATATGATACAAATCACTTGAATGGATCAACAATTTGAGATATTGTCTTTGCGTCCAAGACACCTCTCTGTTTGACGATCTCCAATGCCACTTTACTCTCCTCCTCTGTTGAGCCGGTAGCGCCCTCCTGAGCTGCCAAAGTGGGTTCGTTCAAGGCATCTGCATCAGCACGTTCCAAAACTTTCCCAACAGCGATTACATGTTTGACATTCTTTGCTCTGACCCAAACATATCCGTTCACGCCGATAGCCACTTCAAAGGGAAAATGTGTTGCCAATCGTGCCAAAAGAGGATGTTTATCGTTTAGCAAGCTACGTGCAAAGCCACAAGATACAGGAAAGATGTTTGCAGAAGCTGGTGCGATTGTACTTTCGCTGGTCTTCTTGACTGTATTTGTTGTTGTTTCTTCTCGTTCCGTTTTGAGCTCTCCGAATCCGTTCGATTTGCCTGTTGCAGCATCTACACATGTCAACTCAATCTCAGCGTGCTTGTACGCAGAAACAATCTGTGCATAGATCAATGTACCGACACGAAGATTTGGTTTGTTCCTCTTTGTTGCTCCTTCAAAGGATAATGCTGGTAAATTGGCAGTCGCAAATGTGTTGAACAATGTCACTTGATAAGCATCAACGCCTCTATTTGTGATTTGACATAAAACGTGGTCGTGCACAGAAGGATAGTAGCGACGTCCATCACTCTCAATCCAGAATGCTGTTTGGGTACTCGACTCGGATCCTTGTACTCCTTTAGATTTTCCTCCTTTTGGTTGTGATTTTATCTTTCCAAGGATGCCAGGTGTTACTGTGATTAATTCTGCATCTTCTTCAGCTTCCCCTGCCGATATCGCAAGTCCAGGTCCAAGCTTGACAGCCGAAGTGGAAGGTATAGAAATATGATCACCTGGTAAAGCAAGCATGGCCATATTGTCAATCAAAGCAATGATGGTACAAGACATGAAAATATATTTCCAGAATATCAAAAATGCATATTCTTCTAGCGTATCTTCATTTATTGTGCACTAGCCCAGTATATTCACGTGGGCGCTTGCTTGAATTGTTCTAATTCTTGATTGGCGTACGCATAATGGAATCTTCTTACTCTCTCTACCATACAACAAACATTTCATATACGACCTTCAACAACAAAGACAATATTCAATGATTATCCGGTCCTTTCAAACTCTTATATGATCAACAGAAAGCAGAGCACCGTTCGCTCTTGCTAGGGAACAAATTAAGAAGTGAACGCAAATCGAAGTCAGAATGCGTTCCTTCAGTTCCCTCATACGCCAGTCAAGGCGAAGAGGTCGACCACCGAACGGAATAGTGAGATATGCATGGGATAGCGAATATAACGATCCATGCAAGGCTAAAAAAGCGATCTTCTATCAGCAATCGACTAGTATGACCAGCATCAGAAATGGAGAATGTTCGACTTCAGTAGTACGTGATGATATTTCACAAAGCCGAGGTAGGATACGAACTATTCATAGCACCGGAATACATCCCAAACCACCGCCATCTACAATGTCAAATGGACGAATCTATTCAATAGAAACTGCGCTACCTGGCACTGATCATTCTCACCCATATATCCCGGATGGTTCGCAAATTCTGACGGAATGGAGGCTGCTGGAACGTAGACTATTGGAATCAGATCGAAAAGGGAAATCGAGAGAAATCGAAAATAACAATTCTTTACCCAATACTTCACCTCAATCGAGCACAAAGCTAGATCCGAAGTTCTTCAGCGAGAACGAGAGACCTTCACTTACCATCACACTTGAGGATGAAGATTTACAAGAATCTCTCATTGCAGACGAATCAGATCGTATTGATAGGAAGGTTGCTTTCAAACCACTTTGGACAGCATCGGTCGACCAAAGTGTAATGCGCGAATGCATACAAAGTGCCATCGATGAAGTGCGTAAAGGTGAAAGCGATATAGACACATTGGCGACGAAAATGCTACAATCAATCGAAAACGCAAGCGAGGCAAAGACAGACATAATCTCCATACCACGTTCTCTGCGATTGGAGGAATTGAGAATGTTACTGCTGTCAGCGTGGATATCTATCACATCTGAAAAGATCGATCTTGCGCAGTCACATAATGTACCTGCGTATCTTTTCCTGACTCAAGAGATGTACTTTTCGACTGCACCTGTTGCAGAACTTGCCAAAGGTGTCGATCAAGAATATGCACGAAGTGTCATGGCAGTCCAACGAGCAACACTATTCAGATTGTTTGGAGTAATGTTTCACCTTTCCCAATCGGAACTGAAAATCAGTTCCAAAACACGGATAGAGGCCCTCCTGCTGTGCTCAAAGTTGACATGCGATCCAAGGCTAAGACCAGCACAAGTGCAGTATTTTACAAGAAAGGTTCTGGGTCGTCTACGAGCATGGGTGGAAAAGAAGGATGATTGCGTCAGTTCATCTCGTTTGTGGTGCGACTTACGCGACATGCTTTTCGATCTGATGGGTAGAGGACTTATTCAAAGCTGCCCTTTACCTAAAGATGGATCAGAACAGATGGATGTCAAAGACGAGATCTCAAATCCTATCACCAACTTCTTATTGTGTTGCAGCAAGACTATCGGTAACGGACTTGGACCAGAGGCACTAGCCTATCACACATTGCTAGCGATGGCACAACGTGCTTCTATCGGAAGAGAAGAATTTGGATCCAACGAAAAGAGGGCAATTGCCAGCACTCCAGAAGAGGTGGAAATGATGATAGCTGAATTGATGCGAGGTAATGATCCGAGAACAGCATACCAGCTCTACAGCCTAACGCCGTCTAGCCTACGTTCGATTGACAGTACTTGTCGTTTGATGCGTCATTATGGCAATGCACCTCTGTGCTTTTCATCACAACCTTCCAGTGCTCAAGACTCTAGGTGGGGTAGCGGTCGGACAAGTAGAGCATTGATGGCAGATATATCTTCAAAGCTTTCTCAACTTCGCGGTGCTGATCGTGAAGACTGTTTGAGAAATTTGGCACACGCTCGTTTCGCCTATTGCGCAGATCGAGGATTAGCTGGACGGGCAATGGACGAATTGAGAGACTTTGTCGAAGTTAAAGGAGGTAAAAGCCAAACTGAGACGCTCATCGAGCTAGGTGAGCCGGTCTACTGTCACTTTATTCGATCACTGGCGCATGGTAAATGGTGGTCAAGTGCAAAAGAGTATGCTTTCCGATTGAGCAAGTACCAAACACCGTCTGGAGTCAGAGTTCTGGATGAAAGTAATCGAGTCAAGATGCTGAACATCTTGCTGTCTTCTTATTTGTGGCCAATGAAAAGTGGTAAAGAAGATGAACTTTATATCCCGCACCTACAGACCGCTTCATCAAATGGAAAGGGTGACTTGAGTCGATGGACAAGAACGTGGAGTGCTATGTCAATAGTCAAGAATTTCTGTGAGGAGACAGGTGTTATACCTGATGAGAAGAGTGCAGAATACCTGATCTTCTCATTTCGCCAATGCAATCAAAGGAGAGTTTCCAAAAAAGTTCTCGATGAAGTGACATCGATGCATGAATGGAATTGGCAAAAGAAAGGAGTACAAGGAGTTTTGGAAAGGATAGAAGCAATCGTGCAAGCAGGAAGAGACGATGACATTGAAAGGAAGAAGTCGAATGAGTAAGAGACATGCATTACCGTGTATTCCAATTTGTAATTTTAGACAACTTATTCATTTTTACCAATGTACAACATGAAGATATTTCTCATTGTGATCAAAGCTCTAATCGCGCCTCTGGCGGTTAGGCTTTGTGTGTGTCACTTGACACAACCGTTACGGAAATAAAGACAAGAAAAGACGAACGGCCGTAGGGTACAAGATCAACCCTTTGGAATAATACGCGTCCCTGGAGTTACGGAATTCAACAGCCTTATCTCCACACACTCAGCGTTGCGCGGCGCGGTGTACAATGAATATAATTCACACAGTGCAACCTTTTCCGGTCAAGATTCTGTAATTTTATTTGCGGGATAACAGCCAGGCTGGCTCACTGCGCACAAATGCCCTAGCCTACTAGCATTATTGGCGCTGGGTTTTTGTTTGATTGACTAAAGTTCTTCTGATAAATACATACAGAGTTGTTTTAGATCTTCAACGTCATCTTTTTGCTTTCATCGCAAAGTGGATCATTACAAAAGACTGATCGCCAATTGTGACGTAAAGCTTTCATCATTGAAATTACACCGTCAAAGCGGTGTTGCTGAAAGCGGTGGAAAAAGGAGGTCACGCAATTCGAACGATAATTTGCGTATAGGAGCAAGAGCCGAAGCGAGAAGGAAACCCATCTCGGTCTTAGAAGATCGGCCAAGAATATTCCTTAAAAGAGGATATCCTTCCATTTCACTTCTCCTTGCCAATCAATATTGTCCGGTATGGGTCTTCTTTCTTTGGGTACACCACTTCCCTGGCCAGAAGCCAAACCATTGGCAGATCATGTTCGCAGTCATGGAATATCTCAATTCTTATCGCTTTGGTCAAAGATTAAAGATCGAAAAGGTGATAAACTATTGTGGGGAGATGAAATAGAATACATGGTAGTTTCATTCGATGAAAATAAACAAGAAGCATTACTCTCTTTACGACAAGCAGAAATTTTACAAGTTCTAGCAAATTCACATGAACAGGCAGCAAGTCAAGCACCAGACATGATCGATGAAGTTCCTACCTTTCATCCTGAGTATGGACGCTTCATGCTGGAAAGTACACCGGGAAAGCCATATGGATGTACATCAAAGGAATTGTGCAAAGTGGAAGCAAATATGAGAAGGCGGCGGCGGATTGCTCGAAGCCATCTGTTGCCCCATGAAGTGCCGATCACCTTGACTTCATTCCCAAGGCTAGGTGTAACAGACAGCCCATTCACTGATCCTCCTCTAGAAGCCAAAGGAGAAGCGAGCAGAAGTCTCTTCTTGCCGGATGAGGTCATCAATCCTCACGCACGCTTTCCCACCTTGACCGCTAATATCAGACGAAGAAGAGGAGCAAAAGTTGCTATCAACATGCCAGTCTTTCACGACACAAACACGCCTCGACCATTCATTGATCCTTCTGTTCCATGGAATCGAACTTTGTTCCCAGAAGATGCAGAAGCAGGACAGGGTGCAGCATTACCAGATCACATCTATATGGACGCAATGGGTTTCGGAATGGGATGCTGTTGCTTACAAGTCACTTTCCAAGCGTGCAGTGTATCAGAAGCTCGAAGTATCTACGACCAATTGGTACCTGTTGGACCGATCATGCTTGCTCTTACAGCAGCCTCACCAGCCTATCGCGGTTATCTTGCAGACGTAGACTGCAGATGGAATGTGATCTCTGCTGCGGTGGATGACCGAACAAAGGAAGAGTTGGGTTTGGAGCCTTTGAAGGATAGTAGAATGGTGATGCCAAAGAGTAGATATGATTCAGTGGACAGCTATATTTCGACCGATCCATTAAATCGACCAGAATACAACGATAATCCACTTCCTGTCGACGAAGGAATTAAGGAGAGATTAGAAGCCAACGGTATTGATCCATTACTCTCGAACCATCTTGCCCACCTCTTCATCCGCGATCCTCTAGTCATCTTTAGCGAAATGGTGGACCAAGACGATGAAGTAAGCATGGATCACTTTGAGAACATTCAATCTACAAATTGGCAAACGATGCGCTTCAAGCCTCCACCACCAGGCGGTCAAATTGGATGGAGAGTTGAATTCAGACCAATGGAAGTTCAATTGACAGATTTCGAGAATGCCGCTTTCAGTGTCTTTATCGTGCTTTTAACAAGAGCGATTTTGAGTTTCGGTCTCAATTTCTATATTCCGATTTCCAAAGTTGATGTGAATATGAAGCGAGCACATCATCGAGATGCTGTTCATACACAAAAGTACTATTTCCGCAAAGATGTTTATCGAGCAAAACCACGCCATCATACACGCGAGGCATCCGTTGCTGCTGCTGCTCGTAACAGATCTACAGCTTCCAGTAGAGCACCTTCGCCTGGTGCAGGACAAAGTCAATCAAACAATGCAAGACAGACGAATGGACATTCTACTCCAAACAATCAAAGAGCGGCTGAACCAAGTCCGGCACGACATTCACGAGCAGGTAGTCCAGATTTCGGTCCTGTTGAAGAAGAGTATGACGAATTCACGATTGATGAAATTATCAATGGTGTCAAAGATTCCGATCAGGACGAAAGAAGTGGCTTCCCTGGTTTGATTGGTCTGGTATATAATTACCTTGATTCTCTCAATGTGGACGTTGAAACACACTATGAGCTAGGTCTCTATCTCGATCTGGTAGCAGCAAGAGCAAATGGCTCTTTAATCACAACCGCAACTTGGATACGTAATTACGTACGCTCTCATCCGGAGTACAAGTTTGATTCACGCATCACCGGTAAGATCAACTATGATATGATGAAAAAGCTGGATGAGATCGAACGTGGAATTGTGGAAGCTCCTGAATTCTTACCTCCATTTTATGCTAAAAGGAGACAAGCAACAGCAGAAACTGAAAAGTGATTTGTATTGTGTTTTGCTTTTTTTTCGCTCTTTTTCCTCTTTGTCACATTATCTCTTGTACTTTATATAAGACATCAATGTACTGTCATTTTTTATCAAATCATTGCTCATTCTCAGCACGCAATAAATCTTCGAAAATGTATCTATAGTTACAACCTTAGAGATTATGTTACACACGGGTGGGTTCAATCATCACTATCATCTATGTTGATGATCTCTCGCTTTCGTGTTGAGCCACGACCACCCAGCGTTCTTCCGGCGCTGGCTTCAGGTGTGCTAGCTGATCCAGATCCTGTTGTACTTGTGGTAGGATTTGGTCTTGGAGCGCGACCTGAGAGAGTTTGACCTGATCCGGAAAATGGATTTGCTTGAGCATTTTCAGATTCTGTGCCATTTTCCTTACCGCCAACAGGTATTACTTCATATCCAAAGAACAGCTTACCAAATGGCAAATTGAGGGCAGCCGGAACCTTTTTCTCTCCGATTTGCGTGTCATTTGTCACGATTCGTGGTTTGTCTGTTCGTCTGATCATGCTGTTGTCGGGGACAGCTTCAATCGTTCTTTCCTTCGTTTTTGCTTTGGGCTTTTTACCGCTCAGGCTTTGACCTTGGCCAGAAAAAGATGAAATACGTACGCTACCTTCTGCTCCTTGTGCTGCTGAGCTGGCTCCGTTTGCCTGAGCGCCATCGTGTGAGCCTGGTGTAGAGGTACCTGATGCACTAATGCTGTCATACCTCTCTGTGTTGATGTTCAACTTGGATGCCATCGTTGGCGGTAATGCTTTAGGCTGTGGCTTTGGCTCGACATATCCTTTGGGAGGTGCAAAGTCTACCTCCAGATCGGTGTCGACGATGCAAATACCTTCTGCATCCGGTGTGATTTCCAGTACTTTGATCTCAAACGTGAGCATATTATAACTGAATTCGATAATATCATCTTTGGTCAATGTTGAAAAGTTATTCAAAGCTGATTCTAAAACACCTTTGGGATCGGCAATCTCTAGGAAATCCACTGTTTGAGGTTCAATTTTGACCATTTTGCCTTTGGGCAGAGTTTTGCCACGAAGTCGGATAGGATCACCTTCGCTTAGATTCAATTGTCTCATCATCCAAGCGGGTAAATGAACATGACCTTCATCAGCAATGAATTCCAAAACACCTGCATGTGTGAGTTTGATATCTGCCATATTTACGCCCGTATTTGTTAATTCGAAAAGCCAAGGTGATTCGATTTCCATATGTGTTAATCTTGCTAAAGCGGAAGAAGGTAAGATTATTTTTCCACCATAACTAACGTTTGCTCTTTCCCTTCCGGGTAACATTGCCATACTGTATGCTTTGAAGAATTCATCGTAATGTTCAGGTCTTGCTGAGAATCGAATATCGTCCATCATTCCACCTGGTCCTCCCATCAATCCTCCAAATCCACCGAATCCGCCACCAAAGCGGCCACCACCAAACTGTGTGGAGAAACAAAAGACAGTGAATGTCAGTAGCCCAACCTTTCATTGGGTGCACAAATAGCATACTTACCATATTGTTAATGATTTGAAAGCTTTCGGGTGATTGATGCTGGTTGAGAGAAGAAGCAATACACACTCCACTCAAATTACCTGTAAATTAAACACTGCTAAATTGAGCTTACGCTTTCAACGCACGAACCAATTCATTACAAGCTCCGAACGCGCGTTAGTGATCAAGCCTGATGACAGCCAATTAAATGCATGGGAAGCGGAAAATAGGATGGTATTCCTCCGTAAATGAGCATATAGCAAAACAAGCAAAAGGGTATAAAGTACAACAGTGCAATAGTGATTTAAATTCCCATCGATCTTTTCATTGCCATCCAAACGGCAAAGCTAATACTTGTCATCGGAACAACCTTTAAAAATCCAATACTTAGACCAACGTAAAATCCACGCCAGCCACTTGTACGATAAATCCATAAAGCAGTTTCAGAAACACCTAAAATATTTCCAGGTCGAATGATTCCTCCAATCTGTTGACGTCTTCGAACTACTTCGAATGGATAAGCGGCAGTTTGACTTATCGCACCTGCCAATGCACCTGCACTAAGATCGATCGTAGTCTTTGAAGGGTGCCACCATGCTAATGCACCTTGACCACTCCTTTGTGCATCAGGTCCGAATGTCGATTGCAAAAGAGCCTTGCATCGACCAAAGACCAAGAATGAAGTACCGGCATATGGAATCATACCCATCACCGTAACTGCGAAGCCACGATAAAATTTGAGAATGGGAAATCTTTGTAGTAATTGATGAGTGGCCACTGCTGTCTGTGTTGGGATTGGTGATGTCGGAATTGGACTGGCAGCAGTTGCACCATTAGCAATTGCTGCATTTTGAATAGCAGATGTTGATAAATTCGCAGATCCTGTAGATGCTCCGGCAGCCTGTAATCCTCTTTGACCGGCACGTTTACGAGCATCTCCGCTAAAAGGTGCTTCTGTACTTCCTTCCGTATAGATCTTTCGAATGATGCGCATCAAACTTCCACTTTGCTTCTTCCGTTTGGTTTCAAAGGCTAGTCGGACACGAATCAGCTCAAGCGGATATGTGATAAAAACGGAAGTTACCCCAGATACAGCCCCAGCAAAGAACAATCTTCCCGATGTTTCCATCTCTTTTGTTGGCATGAGCAAGAAGTGTAGAGAATCATATGCCATATACTTGATTGCAGCATACGGAAAGATTCGTAGTAAAGTTGCACTATGTCCTTGAAACAGAGCAGCCGTACCATCACTTCGAACGATTTCTCTTCCCGCAACAAAGACACCAGTCCATTTTCCACTATACTTTTGATATTCTGGATTTTGTGCTTGAAATAAAATCTTTACACGATCCAATGGTGCGATTGCCGTTTTAGCAACACATCCTGCCACACCTCCAGCCAAACCACTTCTAATGATATAATGCCAACTTTGCTTTTCCTTTCGTATCCGTGTTCGTTCACTTTCTTTGGATAGTATATCATCCGATTGATGACCATGCATTTGATCTGTTTCACAAAGAGGTGCTGTGGGTATCGCAGTCTGCTTGTTTGCGACTGATACTGTAGACCATCCTGAAGGAGATATCGAGTTCGGAGAAGCTTGTGAGGATGATGGCCAAGAGCCTATCTCATGCCTTGGTGAGTTGAGTGTATAAGAAGAGGTTGAGGCATATTGAGCGACATCCAATGCACCGAATAGATTTGTAAAGTGCATCTTCGACCTTGCACACACTCTCACAGTATCCAGGAGTAGCTTCACAGGCTACCGATACCACTTCTTTCTGGTGTACAAAGATGATGGAAAGACCTTAAGAGGTTGCACCCTGTCAACTTATTCGGAAGTTAATCATTAATTCTCGCGTTCTCCACTGAGGCTTTTTATTTTTTCATTCGAATGAAACAACACCCACTCACGCCTGCACGCGTTTATGCGCTTCCCTTTCACGACTAACCCGGCCAATCGGATATAAACACGAGGCGGTATGAATTAAGCAGAGCTATCTTTCGCCCCCCCCCCCCGCAAAAGGACCGCGGTCTTCTCGGATTAGTAGAGTGAAGGGGGATGGATTATTATTCGAATTAAGCCTATTGGTTAGGCGAGCGGCGTGAGTGCGTGCGTGCATACATGTTTTGCGGAGATTTTTATGAGGAAAGAAAAAACAGAAGTGGAGAGAGAAGAAAAAATTCACCACGTGCATTTCTCTTCTGCCATCAAAGAAGAAAAGGGTGAATGAATGCAAGGTATTCATCATAGCAAAGGTGATGGTACAAGATGCAGCACAAATCAGTCAGAGTATCACTGCAAGCTTGCTGAATGCAAGAAGAAAGTTGTTTTTGCAATTCTCAGCTCGACTTGCACCTAAACACCCGGGCTTCTGTTGGCCATCTTCTGATGTCTTGATTCGTATTCAAGATGACTTGATTGAAGATTTGCAACTGGGGGATTCCTATGAAGCAGGAATAAGCAGTGGAGATGATGCTTATCTACAATCATTCCTCAAGGAGCTCTTAGCACGACTAGAAAGATATCTAGAAGCAATACCAAATGAACAAGAGCTGGAAATCAATGGAGACTTATTAGCAACATATGCTATGCTCATGGCTACAGCCAATTCAAATCAGCCCGGTTCTAGAAGCGTGACACACTACCTGCCAGTCTCGAAATCGTTCACAGGATCGTCTTCCTTCACACCTCTCTTGCCAGGATGGAATGCGATTCAAATGGAAGAAGAAGGAACGACAATTTCACGGGGTACGACTGGCTTGAAAACATGGGAAGCAAGTCTTCGATTAGCTGGTCATCTCGTTGCACATCCGGGCCTTCTTGAAGGTCCATCCCACGATATGTCAAGAAAGGCGACTATCCTCGAATTGGGATGTGGTGTAGGGCTGCTAGGTGTTGTAGCCCGATATCTTTCTCCGCCTAATCATAAAATTATCATGACTGATTTAGACGGTGAAGTGCTGGATAAAGCTCGAAAAACAGCCGAAGAGCATTGGTACCAAAGTGAAGGTCTACAAGTCCACTCGCTTGACTGGATCGATGTACAAGAACAAGAGCAAGCAACATGTCAGTGGCTTGATCACGAGGCTAAACCGGACATTGTTATAGCAGCAGATATCGTCTTTGATCCGTTGCTGATTGCGCCATTGTGTTCAACTTTGGCACTCATTCTACACAGAGGCGAGAAGGCATCGAATATGCATGCAAATCTACCTTTTGCATTGATTGCAAGTACCGTTCGTAATCCTTCAACGTTTCAGCTTTTTCGCCAGACATTAGCAAAGTATAATCTGCATACTGTTGAGGTTGATTTGTCATATCCAATGATAGACTTAAACACTCTCGAACAAGTAAAAGCAGATTCAAATTTGGGAATGGATAAGATACCTCTTTTGCCATCGACGCACGATGCCAAAACAGATGGACAAGTGTGTTTATTGCATATCACTAGTAAAAGGTGAAGTCTGTGGGTAGACAGCAAATAAAAAGATCAACTCCGCGGATGTTCTGGAGATCTCACGGCATTATCACTTTGTGTAGAGACCCTAGATATACTCAAGATGAATGCTAGATCTATGCAAATCATTGCTTCTATAATTGAGCACCTTACTTCAGCGTAAGATTATGAAATTAAACTATTAAAAGTCAATCTTGCTTACCCTCATCATTTGTCATCACCTTACATAATAGGAATATCAGAAAGTGATAAGGAGCACAGACGATTGTTAATTAATGTATATCTTATTGGTGCAATAAATCAAGACGAATATCTCCGAATATATTAAATGATATATCGGTTTTATTTTCGGCTGATGATCAGGGGCATGCATTTGCCCAAGAAGCGGGAAATGGATTAGTATACATTATTAGTAGGTGATTAAAATAGAAGCATACGCTAATGTATGAGAAAGAAGAATACGGGAGCGAAAGACTACCCGATTTAAAGTGTACGGCATGGACGTGGGCTATCTCTTAGCTTACTCACATGGTCGTTCCTTTGTTCATTGTTATCGCGGCATGTAGCTCCCCCACTCATTCTAACAGATTGGCCGCTTTCTTGATCGTTAGCATCTTAGTGTATGCCACTAGTGTTCTTATGCGCTATGTTGTCACTTTAACTATTTGATCATTGCATCACGCTAGCGATCAAGGCCCAGAACATTTTAGTATATTTTGTACGCTAAACGAAAGTCAAGTCATGATCACTTATGAGAAGGTCGGTGATCACTCCATCAAAGCCGATCTTGCCATTTTTTTTTGTCTTATTGGAATGTCTGTATATCAGAATGACGAATTCTCAAATATGCTCCACCTTTCAATCACATTTCCGGCCAACGTTTTCAAGCCATGTGGCAATCGATTGTGCCGAAAGGTACAGCGGTTATCAGATGGAAATTCACACTCTTTATCGGAAGCGTGAGTATATGCAATGTGAAAGACAATGAAGTAAATCATCACATTATCAGTTGTGGCTTTCAATTGAAAACGCAGTTCTATCTCACGGTTTTTTGTTTTTCTTCCGGGGAATATTTGATCGCAGCAAACAAGGTACTCATTGCAGCAAGCAAGCAAGCATTAACATGACCCTGAAAGCGGAGTTGTGAGAGCAAGCCGAAAGTGAACCGATAAAAAAGTTAAATCGATAGCTTGCATTGGCTTCTACGCAGGACCGGAAAAAAAAGAGTGTTAAATTGGAATCTTTTTGGTGTAATTCTGCATGAAATCCAACCCTACTCGCAGATCTAATTGTTTCGGAAGATTACCAGCAGTTTTTTTTTAAATTATTTTGGCTTTTTCGGCGCAAAGCAGCTTTAATTGACAAGCTGGGAAAAAAATGTAAAAAGATTTCCGCATGATTGAATTTTTACACTGACATCCCTTTGTTCTTTCTTTTTTGAGTGAGCAGTTTACAAGTGTTTATCGAAAAACACACGCGTACGTTGTTGTTCGTGCCCCCTGCCCACAGCCGTAATCTATTCATGTGCCGATTTCGAAATAAAGTCTTTTTTTGCCTGAACGTACATTACGTACCCTCCCGGAACCGGCTCAAGAATCCAACTTTGGGCTAAATAAAATATGTTGCGCAGGTGTATATGTGGCAATAAATGTATGCATGTCTCGCAGCCTTCTCTCATTAAATTGATCATGCCTTTTCGACAGTTGAAATGAATGAAATCAACTTTTTGTTCACATGAAAAAAACAAAACAAGAAGCAAAACTTGGTTTCCTTGATATCTTCTTGAAGACGGCCTTTGAATGTTGACCGTAGATCTGCGTCACTAACACGCACGCTTTCCGGAAAAACGGCTATTTACGGCAAGACATTTGCTCATACTTGTTGTTGTTGCTTTTTCTGGCTTGTAAGTTCCACCGTTTAAAATGAGAAGCCGATGACATCAACTTCAAATACCGAACGTACATGTGTTTGATAGGAGAAATGAACCCCAAATATTCTGGTAAAAGAGTCCAGCCTCTGTCAAAATGAGGGAGGTAAAATTGAGACTATTTATGCTTTAGCGTATCTGACAATGAAAAACAAAGTTACCTCTGTTCAAATGACTGAAAAATAAAAACACACAGAGTTAAATAGAACACCAAAAGGAAGCGATCGATTTCCATTTAGTGCAAAAGAATGCCCATGCATACATGCAGCAAGCAGCCTATCTCGATTTCTAACTCTTTCCAACCCTTCCCACTTTGTCTCTATGTTTGCATGGATTTTTTATTTGCACATATTCTACGTACATGTGGATCATACTGCAAAATGATCTTATTTGCCTTGAATCCCTCCTTTGGCCGACAACATTGAAGTCGATCAAAAGAATAAATTGATTTTATTTATTAAAGCACGCCACACTGCTCATCTTCGCTTAATCTGAATTCCCTTGCGGCTTTCTCTTTTTCATTAAACTGTTTTTGTCCCTTAATAGAGCACAATCTCCTTACTTTTATTACTTTTATAATCTTATTTTAAGCAGTTTTTCTTTTCCTTTTTGGCATAGAATCAGTCAAGCATACTCTATCATGCATATCCTTAATTGTCTTGCATGCATGCAAATGCTAATCTATATATGCATTTCACTTATGATCTAATTGAACGTGTAAATCATCAACGGCTTTTCGTTCGCCGTCACACTCTCCCATCTGTTGCCCTTGTTTTTTTTTGACGTTTTTAACGATCTAAACAAAAGCTCTCAAAAACACAATCAGGCAATTGGTCTCTTGTTTGTAACACAAAAAGAGAGTGTCTACTTTGATCTTTGTTTAGCGTTATGCAAGCGATTGAGCCTGGATCGGGGCTCGGGGCCACGAAGGGACGAAGGGTACAATAGATCTTTGGTCTCATAGAAGCCAATTTACCGTACATACATACATTCACAACATCTGATTCGGCGCATTCTTTCTTTTTTCCTTCTTGTCAATCAACCACGAAACCCACATGGTCTCTCATTCGACTGTGGGACCATAATAGGAGTCAAGATTGAATCATAAAAAAAAAGAAAAAAAGGCCAATCAATCGAATATCAATCATCTCATCATTCTTAACATCATACTCACGGCCATTGTATTAGCAAGTGACAGGATATACGGCTCTGGCATTAAGCTAGCATAATTGTATGACAGAAAGCAACCGTTTGTCATAAATATCTTTTTTCTCCTCTGGCCTAGCCAGACTCAACATATATACGAATGGCTCGGCCAAGAGTGTGATTGCTTTTAAGCTTCAGCACCCAACCCGCTAAAAAATCCAATCAACACATCTTTTTTTTCCTTTGAATAGCATGTTGGCAAGTTCAAAAATTTGGCTTGACAGAGGAGGATCTTCATTGAATAATCATTTGTCAACAACAATTGATCATCAAAACGAAGAAGAAGAAGTAGAAGCAAAAGAAATTGCTGCCGATTTTACTGCAAATCTGACAAGACAATCAACAACGATAATGAATGCTTGGAATCGTGATTATCCTACGGGTGCACCTCGTAGTGAAGGTCAAAGTGCCGGATTGGAATCAGGTCAAAGTGCACTTTCCGCTCAGCAAACATCTCCTTTTGCCGTGACACAAGGTGCTTGGTCTTCCAGTCCTGAACAGCATACGTATGCAGCTCTACCGTCAATCAATGCGCCTGTTCATCCGGGAGGAGGAGGAGGAGGTCCTCCCTATGGTCATACAACTTCATTTGAAGGTAATGAAGTCCAGACAATGAATTATGGAAGTGGCGGTGGCAGTTCAGATTATTCCATGCTCGCCAGACCACATTCTTCCGGTGGCAATCAATCTGGTACATTTCCAATGATGAACAATCGACAATACTTTAATCCTAATTCGAGTCAATTTGGTCATTCTACCGCATTTGCACCTGCACCAGGAATGCATTCTTCGCCAAATCATTCTATGGGACATGCTCCAACATTTTCCGACCCACTTTCTGGCGGTCATTATACGTTCAGCAGTGGTGGTGGTGCAAATGCGGCAAGTGGATTAGCCTTACCGAATCCTAATCCGGAATCATCTTTTCATCCTCCATCGATGCAAAGTGGCGAACATGAAAGGGATTCTTATGTTTATTCAAACGTTCAAGGTAATCTAACACCTCTTTTTGGTGGTATGCCGGGAAATGCACCTCCTTCCAGTTCAACTTCATCACATCATGATTTCCCCGGATTTTCAAGCCATCATCAAAGTAGTTCATCTGCACCTTCTCACTATCACCATCATCATCATCATTTCAGCACTGGTGGCGGTTCAACGTATCCCATGTTAGGAGGAGCTCCGCTTGGACATGCAGGTGGTCATTATATGAGCGGAGCAGGGCAATACGAAGGTTATCCGGCATTCTATAATCCATTCGAAGTAAAGCATCGTAGAAGGACAACAAGATCGCAATTTAAAGTATTAGAAAGTACATTTTTGGAAACACCAAAACCAACGGCAAGTACACGAAAGATATTGGCCGAACAATTAGATATGCCTTTAAGAGCCATTCAAATTTGGTTTCAAAATCGTAGAGCAAAAGCAAAATCACAATCATATAGAAGTTCTACCACTTCTCATAGTATTCACGGAGGAGGAAGCAGTAGCAGTAAAAGTGGTGGAAGATTTGTTGATTCTCCACCTTTACACACTTCGCAAAGAACCGGAAGCGGAAGTGCTGGCGTAGGCAGACCGAGCACGAGCAGTTCTTCTTCTTCTTATTATCACGGTCCAAAATCTGCCATTGCAGCACACGGAGCAAGTGGCGATTCAAAACCACCGTTGAGCAGTAGCAGTCTTAGTAGCACGGGGAGTGCACAAACACAAGCAGGAGCAGGGTTCCCGTTTGAAGATTCAAAGCGGTACACGTACTCTAACACTGGAGCACCAAAGCCAATCCATGTATCTCGCTTAGATTTGCCACCTTTGACGAGTGGTGAACCAAGCAGCGGATCAAGCTCTTTTGCTCCTTCTTCTAACCCATCTTTTGATTCGTTCAAAATACCTTCGGGCAAACCATCTCAAAGGGGTAGTGCAGGCTCAAGTGGCGCTCAACAACATCAACAATCTTATTCGCATTCAAACTATAATCCCATGAGTGGTTATTCTGGCACTCAATCACAAAATTCTCCTAATTTACAAAATAATCCTTCCGGTGCTATTCCTTCTTCTTCTTCTTCTTCTCAGTCAAATGCAAACGACATTGCCGATGAACAAAACAGACGTTCTCATCAAAGTTCTTCTTGGCGATAGGCGATAGGTCAGTCAAAAAAAATACTGTCGCTTGTATATTTTATCTTCCGGGTTTTCCTTCGTGCTATTCTCCTTCATCTTATCTTCATGTTTTTTTTGGGCTGTACCATTTTTTGTCTCATCGGTTAATCCTGTCACTTTAGCTTTTTCTCTATTTTTTCTTGGCTCTTTTCATTTTTTCGGGAATACACACGAATATCCGGGATAAAAGTGTTTATGTGTGTGTGTGTGAGTGTGTGCTTGTGCATAAAATGATTGCATGCGTGAGAACAATTTAAAATTTAATCAAAGAATGCATAAATTAAAAAAATATAAAAATGAAAAAGGTCCCACCCACTTCATTGTCGGTAATGTATTGAAGTCACACTGTGTTTCATCGGTATCCAATTACCGACCTCCTCCCTTTTTAAACAGGATCCGAAAGGCGGGTAAAATCGAATAAAAGTTAGGCTAATCGGGTGCGAGTGAATTTTAGCGCGTAAAGGGAAAAGAAGAGAGTGTTGCAGAAATTCTGTGGGAAAAAAAGGTCGATCAAATCCCGATTTGGATCAGAGGCATACATACACATAGGATTGTTTAGTATTTGTCTAGATTCCTTCATTCACATTTGTATGCAAAGAATGATCAGATATAGCGCATATGCATATCACCAAGAGAACATAGCTGTTTCAAACAGTCTCAGAAAGAGACGCAAGTAGTTTAATTGATTATCGGTCAATGCATCCCACAGTGTTAGAGGTCCCAATAGCTTATGTGTGGGGTGCATCAACTTCCTTGTTGAACAAACAAGAATATAATGCTCACGTGTACAAATATCTAAAGAATGAATTGCAATTATGTGATCAATTACAAGTAGAAAAAAGTCAACAACATTTCATTCCATATTTATAATCACTTGAAATCGCTCCAAATATCAGCAAAAGCATCATTTTTGCCTGCTGTAGAATTCGTCGTTCCAAACGAATTCGTAGCGGTGGTGTTAGAAGGATTGCCCCAGATATCGTTCGAATTCGAAGTTGTTGTTGCACCACTTCCAGTAGTAGAAGAAGCCCAAGGATCAGAAGAGCCAAAAAGATTGTTGTTCGTGTTCTGTCCACTGGACGCTCCCCATGGATCAGACACGACAGGAGGAGCTGCTTGTGGTGGAGATTGAACATTCGTACTTCCCATACTCAATCCTCCAAACGAGTCAAGTCCTCCGAAACCAGAATTAACGGCAGGTTGAGCAGGTTGTGTGGGTGCAATCGGTTTGGAAGCAGCAAAGAGGGACAGAATATCATTCTTTCCCTTTGTTGTTCCTCCTGGGGATGTCACAGGGGATGTTGCAGATGCACTAGCTGACGGTCCATCATGCCAATCCAAATCAAACAATCCACCACCGCCACCTGTACCAGCTTTAGCGGGTGCTGTTGTTGTAGATGCTGCTGCTGCTTTAGGGGCTGCTGTTGATCTATTTGTGGCGGGCACCGCTGGAGAAGAAAAGTCGTCTAGCAAATTGTTTGATGCGCTTGGCTTGCTGAGACTTGTAGTTGCCGCTGCCGGTGCTGGTGTATTGTCATTTCCACCCAACAGATCAAGCGCATTACTCGAAGGAGCACTCTTACTAGCTGATGAGCCGTTCTTGGCTGTCGATGAGCCTGCTCGGGCAGCATCATTAGCGCTTGCAGCTCCACCGTCTAAAACGCTAGGATCAGAAGGAACCGGACCTTCTTTTGCCCATCTCCGCAGTTCATACTGTTAAGATTAAAAGTGTTCAGAAAGTTAGCCAGAGAAAACTTTCAATGTATGCACATAAGATACACACCTTGCTTCTGATAAAGCTTTCGACTTTATGATCTGGAGGAACATGCCCAGCTTTTAGGTGTGCTTCCCAGTATATGTTTGCTCTTCTGTTTCCCCAGCTTTGTATGGCTGTCATTTGTTCTGGTGTCCATATATCCAAGTCGATTGACTTGACCTTACTGATATGGGTTCCCATACTTCTATGAATACCCGAACATCTGATACACAAAAAGCATCCCAGATTCCATGAAGCCCATCTTGGATCATTTCGTTTACAATCAGCGCATACTTTGTTATCGGGTTGCTATGAGGAGGATGTCAAACATGTCAGCTTACTCAGTGTTCTTATATCCCCTCTCTGCCCAACTCACCTTCACAAGGGCTCGCAATATTTTCGCATTTGATTCCGTTTGTGCTTTTGATTGTGTCTGCCTTGCGTATGACGACATACTTGACGTTTGTTCCTGATGCGGATATGGTGTAGAAAGGAAGAATGCAAGTCACTCATATTTTCAGATTGCCAACGCACTGTCGTACGCGGGTAAAGTGTAGAACAACACTCAGGCTTACTACTTATATAAGCATTTCTCATTCGTCACGCTTTTTTGGCTTGTTTGGGCGCGACTTTGAATTGGCGTTGCATACACACACACATAGCATTCAGTCTGAATATATTCAGCAGCACTTCATGCTCATGCGGAAAAAAACACTTGGAGTTCGGGGAGCGCAACTTTCATCAACACTTCAACACCATCCTTATCTGCACATTTTCATATTCAAAATTATCGTATAACGAATCACTTTTTGAATTAAGATTATATATCAAATCAAGTCTATCGGGATATTCACAAAATGGTTGACAAAACCAGCGCGGATGCCATCCAGCGTCAAAAGAAGAAGCACAAAGGAAATGGTGAGCCTTCCATCGATGATCAAGCCGGCGTTCATCCTGAATCGTCATCGACGCAAGACAGATCTACATATTCACACAAGAAATCAAAGAAGAAAGACAGTCAAAAGTCGCAATCTGACATTGTAGAGCATCCCGCTGAAAGCAGAAGCAACAATGACGAAGAGCAAAGAAAGAAGAAGAAGAAAAAGAAGAACAAGGACAAGCAACAATCAGATATTGACACAAGCGCAATCGATGCATTATTCACGCAGGACAAAGAGAAATCCAAAAAACGAAAAGGCGATGAAGAAGATGTACCTCCAAATAATGTGCAAGAGCCCAACAGCTCCAGTCCTCATAGCAAGAAGAGTAAATCAAATCCAACTACAGAAAATGATTCACAGGCTAGTCTCGAGGCCATTACTCAAGACGATACCTCTTCCAACTCCAAAGGTGCTGATAAAGGTGAGAAAAAGAAGAAAAAGTCAAAGAAGAATAAAATCAAACAAGCCGATCAAGCTCCGTCGAGCAGCGTAGCAGAAGGGTCTTCCTCTGCAAATGGACACGAAGGACAAAATGAAGAAACTGATGGACAAATAGAGACCGATAACAATCCACAAGAAAGTGATGCAACGCCACAAAAAAAGAATAAAGCAGATGTACAAGACCGCTTAACTGCCCTGATGAAGAATGAGGAGTCAAAAGTTCGCGGTGTGGTCCATCGTTCAAATAAGCCCTCTAGCAGTCGCCAAACGACTCGTCAGACAGGAAGCAATCGTAAGACAAACAAGGAATACTTCTTGTCAACGCTCGATAAAAGCTTGACGCACGAGGATATGCTGGCGAAAGAATTGTTCTATTATAATCAGCTCAGATGGTTGGAGGAGGAGCGTGGTTTGAAGGTCAAGAAAGGTCCGTTTGACAAGAGTGAAGAGCAAATCATCAAAAATGAACTAGATGAATGCAAGACGAAACTTAATATGGATGACAAAACTTTCAACGATTTCGTTCTTGAAAAACGTGAAGACTCAGAGCAAGCCAAAAATTATTCTAACCTTTGGCAATCGATGACGGCCAAATTGGTGGGTCGTCCAAATCGTTCTGTACGTACGCATGTTCGTCGTAATTTGACGAATTACGTCTACAAGACAGGTCCATGGACCGAAGAAGAACAGAGAAAGTTGGAGGAAGGTGTTAAAGAGCACGGTCTTACTTGGTCCAAGATTTCAAAAGAGATTAATCGATCTCCCGAGCACTGTCGTTTGCGCTGGCGCGATTACAAGGGTGATGGCAAATTGCAGAGGCAGAAAGGAAAGTGGTCTACTCAAGAAGACGAAAAGCTACGCAAAGCAGTGGAAGAATCGGAACAAGAGTTGCAGGTAAAAACTGTAGATGAAGAGAAAGGAAATGAGTTTTGGGATCACGTTTGTGCAAAGATGGAAGGTGCACGAAGTGGTCGCCAATGTGAGTCACGCTGGAGGATCATGAACCCCAAAGATGGTCAAAATACTTTCTATAGTCAGCCAACAGATGGACCTATCCTGCTTCACCTCCTGAGCGAGCAGGCAAACGAAGCTCGAAATGATAACTTCTCAGATGTGAACCTGAAAAAGATTATAGAAATTCAGCCAAACTGGACGGTGAAGATCATCAAGCGTGCATGGAGATCTATGGTCGATCGATTTGTCGTCAAAAAGGGACAAGAAAAAGTAGATCATTATCAAGATTTCCGCAATCGGTTGAGCATCATCAAAGAATCTATGCAAGGTTTAGAAAAGCAAAAAGTGACGGAGGAATCGAAAAAGCGGAAAAGAAAACCAAGTAAGAGAGATGATGAAGATTTGGTTGAAAGTGATAACGAAGTCGATCTTTTAACGAGAAATGGCGATGAAGAAGGCGCTGGTGGATCCTCAGAAAAGACCAAAACTAAAAAGAAGAAGAGTGGATCGAAGGAGAAGAGGAGAAAGAAGGGCGAAGAGAGTGATGACTCAATCGGTGGCGTAAGCGACTAGAGTAATGATATCATTCAAGCCATCAAAATTATCTTTCATTGATACGGAACGACCCTGACCCCACCCTAAAGATGTACAATATGATACCTGCTGTTACCTGTTACTGCTTCTGTGCGTAATTCATACCATCAATCTTATCGCTCTGAGGCAAAAGGTTGTACTCTATGAATTGCTAAAAAGATGTGCTAGATATCTACTAATGTACATGTGTATATATGAAACAGCAAAATGAGTTGAGATACGGTAGGTGATCACAAATTTATGCTGAAACAAAAGATTGACTCAACAACCCTTCATCGATTATAATCATCCACCTGGTCTTCTTCCGTGTTTGTCTTTCATACGATTTGCGAACCCCCCTCCTTCTGCCCTATGACCGCCTCCTAGTTTTCCATTATGAGAGCGATTGTTTCCGTTTTTACTCGCCATGAAAGGAGATGAAACAAGGCTACTTCGGGCCTTCTCTCGCGTTCCGCCGTTGGACTGCGAAAGTTTCATCCTTCTCCTTTGTTTCTTGGACATGGGTGCCTGATGAAGCGGCGTTGAAGGACCAGCGAGACTTTCATATTCGTTTGAGCTTTGTGCGGAGACGTTACCTACAGCTTCACCAATGTCATCGTCATCGTCATCATCTTGGGATACTTTCGACGGTCCAGCAGAAGATGAGCCGTTCTGACGATACACAAAAGTGCTTGAGCCATTCATTTTCGAAGAGTCAGCCAGAGCAGGTGAACGAGGAAGAGGACTGCCTTCATCTTCGTCTTCTTCGTCATCCTCAATGCGTCTCTTCTTAGACTTTGAGGGTGCAACAGTTTGATGAAGCGCATGATCCAGAGCATTCCCGGGTGCACGAACGTAAAACAAAACATATGCGCTTGACGAGTTGACAGGTGCTCCTCTCAATGGATGAACGCTACTATCGTTCATCTCGTACCATCTCTTTCCCGAGCTACCACGTACAGAAGCGACATAATGACCGCTATTTGGACCGCTACCGTGGTGGTGAATGATAGAATGCAGTTTGTACTTTTGCATTGGCTGACCCTCAGATAAGACATTTTTGTTCAAATTTAGCTCCTCTCCAAATCCGATCTGCTTGTTAATCTTTTGACTTGTTTGCGTGAATCGTTTGAAATGAATAGTCAAAACGGGTGGCGCTTGATGAATTGTGAACCTTTTTGTTGCATTGACTGACATCTTGCACTTTTCACATCGATACTTTTCCGTTCCATTCAGATGATCCGTACTTGTGAAGTGTTCCAAAGCGCTTGCAATGTTACTGTTATGCGATTTCCGTATATCCAAGCTCAAATCCAGAAAAGTATCATACGTATCCGAATTATGATTGCACCTTTCACACGTTACCCTGCTCCTCAACTTACCTCCGAAGATCTTGTGTACGAGTGTCGTTTCACGTAGTGGGTCGAACGGTTTCAATATCTTTGACGCTCTGATCAGATTGCAATATTGCATTGCATCCAATAAGAATCGTAGGAATTCTTGTGCATCTTCTTGATGGTATTTTGTCAATGTTGGAGCGTATAATTTCAAATTATGAATAAACGCATTCGGTGACGTCGGATTATCATTTCCACTTCTCGAAATCGTTCTTTTCGCTAGATTAACCATCTCTCCAATCGCGTCAAATCTTTGCGCTGGTTTCCCTCCTAGCCTTCCGTACAGTTGATCAGGATCAAGCATAAGCAGGGCATTTGCTAAAGGAGGCAAATGCAGGAGGGCCTGTAGAGTGGAATTCATATAACAGGTATTGCCTTTGTTGAACAATCCGTTGCCCTTTTCTTTCATTGATTTAGGAGGATGTAGAGCAATTTTGTAAGGGAAAAGGTCGGTAGACTTTTTGGCCGGAGAAGAGGAGGTAGAGGGACTTCCATTCAGGTTGGATGACGATCGGTTATCCACCACATTGAACATGATGTCGTCCTTCTTTCCGTTTGATGAATCTCCTTTCGTTTGTTTGACAGAAGGAGAAGAAGTAGCTGTAGCAGTATCTTTTTTCCGCTCTGCCAGCACGGAGGGATCATTGATGGGTTTGTAAGGTAATTCTTGTGTTGCGTTTTGATGACTTACAATGAATTTGACAGGCTTATTTAATGTTTCTATAATGAAATTCTGCACTCTGGCTATCGTTGATTCTTCTAGAGTAGATCTCCAGCTTTTGCCGTTGGCCGAAGTGGTAGAGTCTATAGTTTCCTTTTGTGAGTTTGGTGCCGAGATGGTACTGTCACTTTCATCCTTTTCCTCCACCTGCCTGTTGCTATAGCCATTCTTGTGCTCGCTACTTCCAGCTATGCCATTATTGGTTGTTATTCCATCATTGTGCATATGTCCCATGATATGTTGACTTGGCTTTGGTAGCACCTGCGTCATGACCAGTGACTCTTTTTTTGTGGGACAAACTACGTCTTGTGACGTGTCTTTGTCTTTACTTGCCTCAGTATCGATTCGACATTCGTTCAAAAGGTTGTTTGGTATATGCGTGTCCCTCTGCTTCCACTTTGAATGCACAAATGATGAGGACTGCGACTTCCAATCACTTCCAATATCCGATACTGGTATATGATGGCTTAATGTGTTCGTATTGAGAGGATCGCGTTTGCCTCCCTCCATACATACATACACCCGAATCAATTTTCTTTTTTCTGTTTGATAAAAAAAAATGATTTGCAAGCCGAGAAAAAAAAAAAAACTCTAAAACTGGGGGGGAGAAAGGCTAGTGTGTTTCGATCGTGTTTTCGCGTTTTTGCTTGATTGAACACAAAGGGCTGAAAACAAACTCAACTCAGAAAAACAAAGCCTTATTTTACGCGGCGTGAACTGCCAATGTATGCATGCAAAAAAGAGACCGCGATTAGAGGTGGCTGCTGATACAAATTTAAGCTGTGGAACGTGTTTGTCATCCGATATCTAGCCTATCATTTGTTGCTGTTACGATCGCCCCGAGAGATCAAACCATAACTTTGTACTTAACAATAACTTCAAAAAGTAGATGAACAAAGTTCCAGACATTGGCCTAAGGAAGGATATGGTAGCACGCCTAGTGTGACATTCAATGCTTCTTTGTGCACGCGTGTTCAGACTAAGCTCAGCTATTCCATACAGCTTCATGCTTAAGAGCAGCAAATGCGCTGGGCGCTGACGTCTTAGACGGCTGCTGGCACTGGAGGACTAACAGTTTATTGTGCCTGTGCGAGAAGATCGCTGGGTTGTGTGTTCTTGATGTGTTGTACCTGCTGCCATCATCCGGGATAACATAGACAAGATGGAAAACCTAGACGCAATCACATTGGAGATTCAATCTCTATTCTATCAAGGTGCATATCAAGCATGCTTGGAATTGGTCAGACAAAACAGTTCCGGTCCACCATCGGATCCAACATTTCAACAAAGGTTACTGTACGGTGCCAGATCAGCAATCGCATCGAATGATACATCTTCAGCATTGGCTCTACTACCTTCTGGAAGTATCAACACTCCTTCCGCACAAGCAGTTCGAGCATTGGCAAACTTTGTAGCTGCACAAAATGCAAACAACTCTGCAAAGAGTGAACAGGCATTGGAAGAATTACAAAATGTCTTAGATCAAGCAATCTTTAACGATCCTTCTGGTCAAACGATAAGGGTGTGCATCGGTACCGCTTTGGCACGCAATAATGATCCTGTAGGTGCTTTGGAAGCATTGGGAATGGGACAAGCAAACAGTAAAGAGATCGAATGCATCGCATTGGGTATCCATATCCTATTGTCCATTCATCGTTTGGACTTGGCACAAAAGGAGTACAACGCAGCAAGAGTTTGGGCTGATGATTCCTTGTTGATCCAATTGATTGAAGCACACATTGGCATCTATGAAGGTGGAAGGGCAGCACAACAGGCATACTATGTATACGATGAATTAGCACAAAATCCATCTTACGCCGGAAAGCCAAGTACAGTGCCTTCCTTGACAGGCAAAGCAGTCGCACGAATTGTTTCATCGGAATACGATGATGCACAATCTTCACTCACGCAAGCAACAGAATTGGACCCAAAATACGCCGACGCTTTGGCTAATCAAGTCCCTTTGGCCACTTTGGGAAAGCAGACTGGTCAAATGGAAGCATTACAGGAAGCTTTGGCTCAACTACGTTCTGCTGCCCCACAACATGCTCTTTTGCGGGACTTGAAGGAGAAAGAGAGATTGTTCGATGAAGCATTTGTGCAACACAGAGAAGCATTGAGCAATGCATAAAGGTTTCTTGTCAGTTGAATGTATGTACTATGAAATGATATATTGGGCAGAGGAGATTGGTAGATTGTGTATAGATTGAGCTAGTTCACATAATACATAAAGATGATAATCGCAATGAGGTTGAATGCATGACACAAGGACGGATTGCTTTACTAAGCTTACACTGCAGGTCTCAGCGCACGTAAACGTTCTGCCAGCTTGTCATCCTCTTCCTTGTGTGGTGCTTCGTTTTGTACTTTTGCTAAATCGGCCACATTACCTTCCAAGCCTGCCTCTCCAAGCTTTTGTCCTACTTCGATTCCATTCTCATCGGCAACCTGTTGTAACAAAGTATCAACTTGATCTTGCGGAGTTGCACTTGCGGTTGTGGCACCAATTGTTCCTTCCATGTAAGAAGTCTGAACATCCAAATCTTCGAATTGCGTTTCAAATTTATCCATAACCAATGAAATCTTTTCCAAATTCATACTTTCCATAGCTCTGTCCATACCTTTTACAACCGATGCCATACTTCCGGTAACCTGTCTCATTGTGACTGCAGTTTCAACTCTACTTGCAACTGCGTCAATTCTACTTGAAAGTCGTAAAAGGTTCAAACCTTCATTCTTCTTTCTGATCGCATTGGCAGCATAGATTCTTGCTCCTTCTGTATTTCCTTGTGCTAATGCTTTCTTTAACTTTGCTTTTTCGGTTGCTTCATCTTTTTGCGCTTTCTTTGATTGTCTTTGTAATGACTTTCCTGTGAACTGCAGGGATGAATGAATGAGATCATTGATCAGCTCCTGTGTGTCGGATTATTAGCCATTGTTGTTGTCGCACTTACCTTTAGCTGGAATAGCGATTCTGGTATCAATAGCAACAACAGTATCAGTCCATGATGTGGAAGATGATCATCCACAGTACGCTTATAACTCACTCTCTAGACCGCTCATTGTTCCCTTTCTCTGTTAGAGATGTATGTGATGGAGAGAATTGTTCCTGAACGCTTATCGGACTGCAAATGGGGGAGATGATCGTAAGGCACAAGCGCACACTAAACATCTCACTGCGCTGCGCTGCGCGTTTACGCCGCGTAAAAGGGCCCGACTCAATACATGCATACATTCAACATAAACACAAATTCCAATTATACAACGTACGATGCCGATCAATCATCGATCAATCAATCAATCACTCCTCTCTCTCTCTGATTTCAGTCACGCATCTATCACGGGAAGAGGGGTTTCAAATCTCTATCAAAGCAAACGTGCGCCCGCATCACTTTGCATTGTTGGTCCGTGGCGTATTATATGTAGGTGTAATTGTTGGCGTAAACAAGATTTGAATACGCCCTCTATCATGATCAAGATGGGCTCTTACAATAAAAGCATATCTCATAATTCAATATCATTTATTCTTCGAAGTAAGATGAGAGCGGACTTGAAACATCCTTGAGTGATTGCCCCTTCTATGATATTATTATATATGCCTTGGCGTGTATGTGTATATGCAGGTGGAGCACTCCACTCTACACAACAAACACATACACTTGTATGCCTGCACAGCAATAACCAACCACACACACACACAAGACGGCTTTCCGCAATTGAGGTTATTGGGGCAGTCTATTTGTGCGCGCGCGCTCTGCCTTAGAAAGAGGAGTAATAAGATAAACACTGCTCTTTGGCAGCAGCAATAGCAGTACGTGGAAGAATATTGTTGTACATACAACACTGTCGTGTTTTGTTATTTTGCATTTGATTCTCAATAAACACCTTTCTCCTTTACTCCTAACTTCATCATCACATTCGTCAAAAAGAATTCCTATCTTTTAGGCGTTCATACGTCCTTTTATTTCTCTTTTTGAGCTCATTGCTTTTCTCTTGTTCGTCATTCGATCTTTTCAACTTCTTTCAACTGAACATCATCGTTCTCAAAGAAAAGATTATCGAATCATCTTTTGACGAAACAAGCTGAATACCACCCTCTCGCTTACTCTTCTTCCAATCTCGAATGTTCCGTACTAAATCTCGCGAGAGCACCGGCTCAAAAGCCTCAAGGCTAAGTAAGAAAGAACTCAAAATGCAACACGCTCGTGATCCAATGACAGGAAGGCCAGGACATTTAGACCCAGGTCAAGAACATCAATTGAAAAAGTTTAGACAGGTTATCGAAGAAAAAGGGATTTACAACCCCGAAAGACATGATGAAGCATGTTTGTGTCGTTTCCTTCGTGCAAGAAAGTGGGACTTTGATGCCTCTTTGGCCATGTTCGAAGCAAGTGAACAGTGGAGAAAAGAATTCAAAGTTGATGAGCTATACCACAACTTTGAATACCCTGAAAAGGAAAAGGTAGACGAAATCTACCCACAATATTACCACAAGACAGACAATGAAGGTAGACCGGTATACATTGAACAATTGGGAAAATTGGACTTGAAAGCTCTTTATCAAGTCACAACACCTGAAAGACAATTGCAGAAACTGGTAGTAGAATATGAAAAGTTCCAACGGGAGCGATTACCAGTTTGCTCTCATGATCGAGGAGAATTGGTGGAGACCAGTTGTACGATCATGGATTTGAAGAACGTTGGTATTAGTCAATTCTGGAAGGTGTCTGGTTACGTTCAACAAGCCAGTAACATTGGTCAGCATTATTATCCTGAGACTATGGGTAAATTCTACATCATCAATTCACCATACATCTTTACAACCGTTTGGTCCGTCATCAAAGGTTGGCTCGATTCCGTCACAGTGGAAAAGATTAAGATCTTGGGATCCGGATTCGAAAAAGAATTGATGGAACAAATTCCACCTGAGAACCTTCCTCATACTTTGGGCGGTAAATGTGATTGCCCTAACGGAGGATGCTCTTTATCCGACGCTGGTCCATGGAACACTGAAGAGGGTAAAAAGATTATCGATGACGTACGCAAAGAAGAGGCAAAGAAGCGTGAGACCCACGAGAAAGAAGCAAGTGAATCAAAGATCAATGGGAAAAAGTGAGAATGTGTGATCGGTCTGTGGGATGCTTGGCATAGTTTAAGCGCTGTGATCAAGACTATTCCATTTCACCAGCCTCTTCACAGATAGACTTAATCTTATCTTGTTTGCTCCCTCGATTCGACCATCACTACCAATGACTATCCATACATGCACGTATTATAAGCATCATACACTATAAACAGCCTCTTTTCTTCTCTTATTCTTTATCATCCCCTCTTGCTTGTTAATAGTATCATAAAACTGAACAGGTTGTCTTGTGCGAGAGTGGTGCGTCGGGAATAGCATTCCGCTTTCTTGATTACATAATTTTGCCGTAAAACCGATATGCCAACACACACCGGGCTACGGATATTTTTGGTGTGATTTTTACCGGGCGCACTTTGACTGACTGTACGCGGGCCTCCATCTGGGGTACACTGATTGTATGATTATTGATTGCCTCGGGCATGGATGCAGGGCAAGAAAATGGGATTTTGTTGTGTTGAAAGAAGACAAAATAGAGGCCAAACGCCAAGGTAAATAACTCAAACAGTAAAGCGCTCCGGACTCGCATCTTCCATTGGCTGAAGAAAGGTACATGACCAGTGTACATTGTGTTGTACTGTAAGCGATTCTCATATTGTCCTTCCAAGCAACAACGAGCGATATTCACTTCCCTCCTATCACCACCATCATCATCATCATCAATCACAATGGGTCACTCTGAATTACCTGCTCCCGTTACCGAATTCGATTTGGACAAACAATCAGTTCCTGTTCCAGGTTCAGATGCTCCAGGTTTTTCGCACATTTATCAAAGTGCTCTTCATGCTGGATTACAAACGACAGAGACAAATTATGATCTTTTTGCTGTTGGTCGTCAAAAGTCTGGCGATAAACCTTGTTTAGGTTATCGTCCTTGGGATGCATCAATCGGAGATTTCAAAAAAGAATATCAATGGATCACATATAATCAAGTAGAAGAATTCAGAACGGCAATCGGTAGTGCAGTGACAAAATTGCAAAAGGACGGAAAGCTTGGTGACGGCGTTGGAATGACAAATTTCACATGCGCATTTTGGTCGCAAAACAGACCGGAATTTCAAATTTTTGATCAAAGCAATTACGCCTACTCACGTCATACAGTCGCACTTTATGAAAGTTACGATCGTGAAACTGCATCATACATTTTGGACCATTCTGAAGCCCGTGTTTGTTTCACAACTGCTTCTCATTTGGCCGATTTGCTGAGCGTATCCGAACAAACACCCAAATTGAAAGCAATCATCTTGATCGAAACAAACGGACCAATCCCTGTTCGACCAGGTGAATTGAAGACAAACCAATTAGCACGTCAATGGGCAGCAAGCAAAGGAATCACACTTTTGTCGTGGGATGAAGCATTGGACTTGGGTCGCAAGAACATCGTAGCCCATATCCCACCAAAAGATGCGAACGAATTATCCAGTTTCTGTTATACCTCCGGTACAACCGGAAAGCCAAAAGCAGCAAAGGTCTCACATGGAGAATTATCCCTTTGTGCTGCCGGAATGGCTTTATTCTCTGGCTTGACAGGTGAAGAAAGAGTATTGTCATTCTTGCCTTTGGCACACATCTTTGGTCGTTTGGCAGAAGCTACCTTTCTGCGTGGAGGTTGGCAGATCGGATACTTTAACGGTGATGTGACAAGATTGGTCGAAGATATGCAAATCTTGAAGCCAACTATGTTATTCTGCGTTCCTCGTGTCTTGAATCGTATCGCCGCTCTCATTTCCGCACAAATGGAAGGACCAGGATTGAAAGCTCGCTTGCTACGCACTGCAGTTGAAGCCAAGATCGCAAACCATGATCGTGATGGATCAGTTACACATGCATTTTATGATCGTGTAGTTTTCCGCAAAGTTCGTGCCGTTTTGGGAGGAAATTTGAAAACGATGATTTCAGGAAGTGCTCCTTTGCGTCCAGATGTTTTGAAACTTTTGCGTGTTGCATTCTCAATCGATTTCCGTGAGGGTTATGGTCAAACAGAAAATGCCGGATATTGTTTGTGCATGTTGCCAAATGATAAAAAGCTTGGATCTTGTGGTCCCGCTTTGCCTGGTGTTCAAATTCGTTTGAAAGACTGTCCTGAATTGGGCTACACTGCAAATGACAAACCATACCCACGTGGTGAATTGCTATCTCGCGGACAAAGCGTTTTCCCAGGATACTACAAAGATGAAGAAAAGACAAAGGAGACCTTGGATTCCGATGGATGGTTGCATTCCGGTGATGTTGCTCAAATTGACGAAGCAGGTCGCGTATACATCATTGATCGTGTGAAGAATTTGTTGAAATTATCACAAGGTGAATATGTCGCAATCGAAAACGTTGAAGGCAAATTGAGCGCTGTTAAACAATTGATGCAATTATGGTTGTATGGTGATTCTATGCAAAGTCATTTGGTTGCCGTTGCTGTTCCTGAACCTGATACATTTGCACCTTTTGCTTCAAACATTTTGGGACAAAAGATTGCACCAACAGATGCAAAAGCGATTGAATCAGCATGCAACGATGAAAAAGTTACCAAAGCCATTTTACAAGAATTAATGATTCATGGTAAAAAGATTGGTTTGAAAGGTTTCGAAATTCCACGTGCGCTCAAATTACGTTCAGAACCTTTCAGTCCTGAAAATGGTTTCTTAACACCAACACAAAAGATGAAAAGACCAGAAGCACGTCAAAAGTTACAAAAAGAACTTGATGCTCTTTACGCTCAACCACCTGCTGAAATCAACAATTCAGGAAAGTTGTAAGTGTACAACCTTTGTCTGTGTCTTATCAGAGATGTTTTCATGTAATCGTGCGAATTCATGCTTTTAATATAAATAGATTTTGTGCTTTTGTGCTCTAGAGAGCTCTAGCTCCCGATTGAAACGAAAGGCACAGACTAGAAGATAATGTCATATTCTCTACATTTTCACACTTGGAATAACCGAAATCGCGCACAAGCAGAATGAATCGTAAAACACATGACATTTTGACCATATCGTGAAAGTCTTTTCTCATCAAGAAGCCGTGAAAAAGATGTAAAAAAAGTAGAGAATACATGACCATGAAGAAAAATATTAAGATGGTATCGTTGAAATGAGAAAAGGCAAAGATGGGGCAAAACCCCTTCTAAACAGACCATGGTGGAAGGGCGACTTTGGTTCCCAAGATTGCACCTGAAACACCAGCAATTTCCAAAATTGCATTGATAACACCTGCAATACCTTCACCAGCAACGAGACCGGCAGCGATAGCGTAAGCATAAATGTCAGCATTTCCAGGGTATTTCTTTGACCAAAAGTGAACGAAAGTTGCACCTGTTGCCATTGCGATACCGTAATTGCAGTTTGGCACCAAGAATCCAATACCGATTGCGTTCCAGTTTGGTAGGTAAACGTGGTACTTTGGGGGGATAAACTTGTAACGTGCAATGACGGTTGCAATTGCAATAATTGTCAAAACGATTGCAGTCAAACCTGAAGAAAGCGTAACGGGCAATTGAGGTGCAACGACTGCAACGGAAACTGCTTGCCATGCTGCAACACTTGGAGCACCGAAAACACAAGTTTCTGCTGCTGCGTCCAAAACACATGGGTATGCTTTTGAGAAGAGAACGAACAATCCAACAGAGAATGGAGTTGCCCATAGAGATCCGAACAATTGAGCGTAGAATTGGGTAAGTGGAGAAGCACGCAACCAATGACCAGTCTTCAAATCACCAACCATGTCAACGGAATGTGCGGCAGCAGAAGAGGCAATGGAACCTGCGATCAAGTTTTCCAATTGAGCGGATGGACCAGTTCTTCCTTCACCCTTCAAAGCACCACCAACGATCAATTGAGATGCTTTGGCAACGGATGACAATGGGTTAATATCAGTTGTACCGGAAGATTGAATACCAATGAAAGAGAACAAGAATGCCAAAATGATTGCCAAGATAACATTTCCTACGTTCATGTCGAATTGCAAAGCGCAAACCAAAATTGTCATCAAGATTGACAAAGTCAAACCGACCAAGACGTATAGCAATGGAACTTGTTGGCTCTTTGGTGCTGGATCAGGGATTGCATCTTCGTAAATTGGCATCTCCTTTCCAGTGATTTTGCAGTAAGTTTCAACACCGGCAGATCTGATTCCTGCCCATAGCGATTTGTAGTTCATTGCGACTTCTGCGAAACTGTATCCGAACATCATCAAAACGGCGGGCCAGATTAACCAATAACGAGGAGAAGCAGATTTGAGCTCTGTCTTGCCTGGCTTGTATTGAGTGGTGGAGAAACAAGTGTATGCATGATCGAATCCATCATCAGCATAAGAGTGGCATTTTGCTTCGCCAGTTGCAACCAACGAAGGACCGATCATAGCGTAACCGAGGAACAAACCGCCCAAGAACGACCATGAAGCATTCATACCGGCTAACATACCTGAACCGAAGAAAGCAGGTGTAATGGTCGTATACCATCCCCAATTGTCAACGTAAATGGCGTTCGTGGCACCCCAGGAGTAAAGCCAGTAGAAAATGTGTTGATCGAGCAAGATACCGGGAACGTAAGTGTTGACGACACAGTAAACGATCGCGCATCCGAAAGCGATACCAAGAGCCTTTGTCTTTTTGCGCGCAAGAGCAGCACCGTTTGCGGTATGCATTGCACGAATGGCCAAAGCAGTTGCAGTTGGTGTTGGGAAGACAAGCTTTTGTTTCAAAATGTAGAATTTGCGTAATGGAATGGCGAAGAAGCATGCATAGAATGCAGAGCAGAAGCAGAATGTGAACAAACGTGCGAAATCGGTTTCAGGATCTTTGAGTAATCCTAAACGGTACATTGCTGGAACGGCTGCAACAAACATAGATGTCAAACCGGAAGAACCAGCAGCGGCAGATTGAATTGTAACATTTTCACGAGGACCAAAGAAAGAACCACCTTTACCGTCAGGCAAAACCTTTGTGAGTGATTTGATGATAACGAAACCGAGCAAAGAAGCAAACAAAGTTGCAGAGAAAGTGAAACCTGTCTTCAAACCAAGGTAAATGTTAGAAGCAGCGATGATGAAACCCAAAGCTGTACCGACGGCCAATGCTCGAAGGGTTAAACCACTTCCTTCTTCGTAGGGAAGAGAAGATTCAGGGAATGGGACACCTCTTGCTAAATCTTCTGCCGTGAAAGATTCTTGCAAATCTTCCATATCTTCTGCTTGAGGCTTTTCATTTGAACCGTATGGCAATGCATTGGTTACTTTTTCGTCACTTTCACCCAAAGAACCTTTCTCATCCTTGCTACTTGATGCGCGATGAACGATGGAAGGACGTGGAACGGGTTCATCAGCATGAACGATGTCTTCGTGTGCGCCATCTTGTGTGACAGGATGAGCGTGCAAGCGTGTGGCCACGTTCAATGCTGCGTCAGGGCCGCCTGTGGCGTAATAATCGTTCCTCTCCATTGTGACAACAAAGGTAGGAAGGAGGAAGGAAGATAGGAAGGAAGGGATCGGATAGATGAAGGGAGGGAAGAGGGGTGATCGTTTGAAATTTAGGAGGTTGATTAATATACCTTTTTTTCTTCCAAACCTTTGTCTTCCGTCCCTGAACGAGAAAAGTTCGTGTGATCTTACGACCCGAATGAAGGCGGCACTTCCGCTTTACAATATCATCAATTATCTACTCCGATCCTGGTTCAAAAACCCCTCCCCCCGCTGAAGCTTATCTCTCCTTTACTCCAAGTCCGCCGCATGGACATTCAATTGAGGTGGCGTTTGCATTTCGCATAGCAACATTCCATGTATGGATGGCGTGCCTGATCGTGATCAATGTACAACATGCAAAGGGACAAGAGGAGAGTAAGAGAAATTGTACATTTAATCACATGTCAAAAAGATAGCAAAGTTTTCACATCAATATGAAAATGCAGTGTCCTTTCGCCTTTTTGATCGTTATCTTGTCCACTCTCACTTTCTGTTTCAAGATCATGTACCCCACAGAACTGTTCATGCGGCTAATTTACCTGCATTTTTTTTGTGGTCTAGCCACCATCTGGTACAAAGATGCAAGGGTAAGAAATCGAGCTAGAAGAAATTAAATTTATCCTATCAAATCACTGTTGTAAGGGGATTTATACACTAATGCATGTCAAATATTATCTATGCGACGTGCCAAGTCTGGACCATGTTGAAGGAGAAGAAAGGATGATGAGAGTGAGTGAAAAAGTCGCCTGAAATGGAAGTAGGATTGCATAGAATAAAAATTGAGACGCCGCATAGAGTGAAAAAGTGCAGAGTAAAAAAATAATTTGAAATAATTGAATCGCAAAGTACTGGTGTGATGAAGAATATGCAAGTCAACAAATCACCACGCGGTAAAAATGCAAACGCCACGGGAAGAGAAATTAAGTGCATATGTGCAGCCTACCACTGTTTGGAAGGAACTCGCTTACGTGTAGAACAGCAGAATAAGGAAACCGTAGGCAATCACAATCATCAAATTCAATTACCGACTTGGAATCGTGAGAGACAAAGACGCGGATCACCGGTCAATAGAATACCGATAAGATAAAACGGCGAGAATGGCGATCTTCCATTTCTTCGGTACCAACGGCAATTTATCCGTTTGATCATCTTGGCTATCTTGAAAGTTTACTGCTTATCTATACTTTCTGAAGAGCGAAAAACAAAGATAGGTTTGATCATTAAATTGGAATATTATATTGATCCCAACTATCAGACTCATCAGTCTAGACATAACCGTAAACGAGAGTTGACTCGGTAATCCGATTGTTGTTTCCAACGGTTGAAATGCAGTAAGACCTGCATATTTTTTTGAGACTGCATGTATGCGGAAGAAGATCTCTTGTTCCAACAACGGTTTAAGCTCATCACGCGTAAAACGGATCCGTAGTCAGAGTGAATGAGGCTTTCTTCCTCGAGCACCGGGTGTTTCTCCGTGCCAAGAGATCATCATTGTGTGGGTGGACATTTGGGCTTATATTACAACCAAAACTCGCTTATAAACAGAGCCAAAAGACCACGCTGTACGATGCATGTGACAATTACGCCCCCCACCTGCACTTCCATATGATTGACCGCGTGGTCGATCAAAAGTGGATTACAATTTAATTATCCACCTTTGACACATACATATACAATAGGCTGATGATGATTGTTAAACTCCTACCATCCTTACTTCATGACGGATATTCGACCGATCTTAGATTTAATTAAACCCTTCATTAGCGTACCTGCATTAAAAGTCCGCCTCAACGATAACGGTGAGGAGAGAATTGAGACCGTGATAATTACCATATGGATCATTACAAAACGTTTTGCGTCTGCATTAGCTTATATTCCTTAATTCGGAAAATCGGTAGCCTACCCGATGTTCTTATCAGGCACACATACATACAATGACAACGAATTGATTGGACGATGAATGGTAATCACGGACATTGTATCCGATTTGCTGAATAAGATTCGATCATCTTATCTATCTCCCCACTTTTATTCCACATGCTACATGAATGCATGATGCAGCCACATGATAATTTTGAGATGTCCTTGATCAACAAAGACGTATTGATAAGCCAAATCATATGCTCTTTACACCATATCATTAGAGCACGGGAAATCTCGTATGAGAAGCCTCTTTTGAGACACATTTTCGCACAAACTTATGAGTTGCAATTCCATTTTTATGGAAAAGAACAATGATAGGTACTTTACTGTTGTTGTTGTTGTTGCTACAATTCCATTTTCATCTTTCGTTTGATAAACAAGGACAAGACAAAACGTTTGCTTCAATTTGCGAAAACCTACCTCTCTAATCTTTGATATTCCAACTCTTTCTCCATTTGATACCCCAACGTGACCAAACCGGACCATCAATTCCCCATGCAGTTTCACGGAACCACCAAAATACTCCGATAACAAGTGAACAAAAGAGTACAAATGTGATATTCTTGATTTCTTCACTTAACGGTATTCTTGCTCCTTTTTTAGAACGATAACGTGCAGTTGAAGAATTCCATAAGAAATGATCCAATAAATGTGCCATCATCAAAACGGCAAAATATAACGTTGGAAGATAATGATGAATATAACAAACACGTGCCATGATCAAGAAAGGCAGATAATGCAAAAACCATCCTAATCCGGCAACTTTTCCGGCAAATACGAATTGTTCCCAATCTTGTGGACTTAGGTCGACAATCCTTCTTTGCATTCTTCCTTTGTACCATAGATATGTCATACAGTAAGCGATCAAACTTATGGAAGAGCCCCACCAGATCACCGGATTACCAATCAAGTAGTACTTGGTATTCGTATCGCCCCAACCGTTCATACGCAATCCGTTGTACAGCCATGGCCAATCGTAAGGCTTTGAGGCGAGAATGTCCTCCTTGTCTTGATCGGGGATCAGAGCATTGTTTGATGTCATCATAGCAACGTTCAAATGAACAAAGTCACGTAAAAAGGGTGATCTGTACAATTTGGCATTTCCCATTGGCAATCTAGGGTTGATGTGTGTTTCGATGTTCCAATACGTATGTTCATCTTTTGGATTGTTTTCCTTGTCACAGCTCACTTCAACTTGCTTCCAACCCCATTGCGGTAAAATTGCATTGGCAGCTCGTAGATAACAACCCAAATTTTGATGTTTAAGACGCATACGTGTGGTCAAGCTGTGTACGATATCTCCCGCCTTTCCTTTCTTTCCGGAATTCATATCGTCCACCACCTCAACGACCCAGTAGTCATTGCTATCCCCAATCTCCGCGCTACCATATCCGCTCACTTCCAAATTTTCCTTTGTGACGGGTGCTGGAAAGTTGTGGCTATGAAGATTACGCCCTGTCTGTTCGTGTACCAATCTGATAACACTGCCAGATCTGAGCATTTTTGGTGGCGGAGGATCGGTGTCATTGACTGATGGTAGTGGTGGATCTTCCCAAGGTGGCGTGATGATGAACTCGTTGTTGTTGTCGCGGTAATGGTAACAAGTGACTTGCTGTTGTTGAGATCCGACAGGGTATGTTTGAACGTGTGAATGGAGCAGACCACCTCCATAGCCCATATTTTTGAAGGTCACCTTACTGCCGTATGCAGCTTCAAGAGGTGCTTGTGCGAAATCGTTTCCTCTCAAATGTGCTTGGAACAAACTGGACATTTGCGCATCTCCCGGTCCTGATCTGCTCAAAATCAAAAAGTGAACTTTGAAGCTGATCATGTACACAGCCATTGGAAGAACAATTAAGCACAAAATACGAGCGCACCAATGCCTTGTATACCTTCTGACAGGCATCTTTAAATCTCCGAATTTGTCCCACAAATCCTCCATTGTGTACAAACCGACAAGAGCGGTAGCGAATAGACCGACCCATTTCACGCTTGCCACAAAACCGATACTGAATCCGGTAAACGTTAGCCAGAACCACCATTGTTCGCCAAACGATTCGTGTCGATGTCTGTGGAACATCAAAAGCCCATGAACAGTCATGAAAGTGAAACAAAGAAGCATGGAATCCAACAAAATAAATCGACTGATAACCAACCAAGCATTATCGAATAATACCATAATCGTAAGTGCATGTCTTGTACGCCAATTCCAACCCAAAGCTCCGCTGCTACTCCAAGCCAAAGGTACCATTGCAACTCCAAACATTGCCATGATCACTCGCATACCAACGTAATTGACATCGTTTGGGTATGTCTCACCACTTTTGAATTCGAACTGACCTCCATATCCGCTCAATAAGCCAGCCAATCCTACAAGCATTTTGCCTAGAGGAGGATGAACATCAAAGTAGAATTCATGTTTGAGATAATGCGATCCGAATTTTCCAAAATGAGCTTCATCCCAAACGACTGCATTATTCTTCCCTATACGCCACATACGTGTGATAAGGGACAGAACTGTATACATTCCCAAAATGCAAGCTTCATTTGTAAAGAACCGACGAGCGATCTCTAGCGGTGATTGAGGTGGCCTTTGTTCGGGAATGAGATTGGCATATTTTCCTCTTCCTGCACCATTTATCGTTCTTGCCCTATTGGATGCATCATAAAATCCTGGCTTTTCCAATGATGATTGTTGTCTAGCCTTTTCGGCTACTTTATCTTCCCCAGACATTGATCCGGAATGGTGTGTTTGCTGTAATTCGTAATCGTTATTCGCTGATTGATAAGCAGTAGATTCGTATCCGTTCGTTCTTCTATTGTCCGCGGTACCCCGTTCGCGTGCAGAGTTGGCAGATAGAGAAGGATGAAGATTGACTTTGGATTGAAATGAGGCGCCGGTGCCGTTGCTTGATTTTTTCTCAAAGCCGGGACTTGTTGTTGGTAAAACGGCTTGTCCGGATTCGTAAGTCCGAACGGTATCGAAATGCTCTTCTGTATAAGAATCTGAGTCGTTTCGATCGTATGTAGGATTGTAGGAAGAAGGTGAATAAGAAGGATCCGAAGGAGAAGGTGGTCCGATTTCTAAAGTGCTATAGTCTTGTCTTGATGAAGTGTTGATGTTGGATGTTGATTGCCGCGATGCACGTTGTGCTAAATTATTTGTTTGTCCGGCAAAATGCATCGAGTCGGAGCTGTGAAAAGGCCGAAAATCAAATCACACCTCACAAACAATGCAATTATCCGTTGTGCTCTTTCTTGTAATTCCGTTATTTCCTCATGAAGATAGGAATGTCACTTCAGAGTGCGTTCTTTTGTTCGGCGCCGTAACTGATTGTAACTCCGGACGTGATTGAATGAGATGAAGAGAAGAATTCTTTTTGATTCTCTTTTCCTTGCTCAAAACAGATGATGACGATGAAATGTGTAGCAGTATCGATCGTGTCATTGAATCAATTTTTAATTATTCCTGCAAATAGACTACTTTCATTGTTGCTCATGTGCTACTTTTAAAGTACACCCTTTTTCCCGCTTAATGGCAGTGCACGTCCTTTTCTTCTTCTTCTTTCTCTGCATTTTGCCAACACACACTACAGTATTCATATATGAATATTCAATCACGCGCCGTAGTGTACACAGCTTTGTACGCACGCTCTATCCCGCCGAAATCAAAGGCGCCGCCGCCGCCGCGCTTGGAATGTCTTGTACCTTCTTTTTTTCACGTCCGGCCAAAGGGGGAGCTTAGGGTTAAGCCGATTACGTCCATCTTGCTGGCGTGAAGATCATGTCAAATACACAACAATAGCAGACGGCCAACTCACTCTATGTAAAATTACTTGATGACATGATCTGATTAATGACCTCGAATGTTACCATCAGGGTCCAACTTTTCTTCTTTATCCCGAATGGAAAGGGTAGGGTTTTGATACTCAGAATGACTATGGCTGAATTAGAACTCGCTTATTGCCTTTGTGTGATCAAGAGCGCAGCTTATGCTCGGCTGTAGTGTATGTACTTGACACAAATTGGCTCACCTTTTTTTTTTTTTTTTTCAATCGTGTGGCTTGACATGTTATTATTAATTTGATGCAGTGGCACACTATTGTTCTGTTACAATACAATATCGCGGGCATTGCAATATAGCCCGTTTGGGGTAAAGAGAGAGAAAATGTGCTGTTATTTTAGTGGCATATAGGACAAAGACCAATTTCACCTGCCACAAAAAAAAAGAGTTAAAACGCAGCGCTGCGCAACTGTCAATCGGCTTACCCTACCTGATTTCTTGGGCGGCCGAGGATATAATGTATGATTTCGATCTGGTGCCTGATTCTCATTAATTGTATCTGTCATGAAAGATGATTCATTGGCTTTTTGTTATGATATCAGAATCTCTCTCAAAAGTGCATTCATTATGATCAATTGAAATGACTGTTCCTTTGTGGGTGTGAGAACAAAAATGTCAAACACGAACTCTAAAGGGAAATAATCAATCAAAGCTCGGTTCCTTACCTGTTCTTGACTTGCATAAGACAGATCTAGAATGCGTGCGTGTATGTGTGTGTGTGTGTGTATTGCGTAGGGTGTGGCCTTTTTTAAGCTTAGATTCAATTTCCGGCCAAACACGCATAAAAGAATGACAACACGCCCTGCTACACAAATTAAAATAAAAAGTGAGAAAAGAGTATTTTGTCTAACTGCCATCATCATCATCCTGTCTCATCAGGCAGTACACAGGATAGAATGGATTGACATAGGCTAAAAAGGGTAATCAATCGACACAATCCTATCCTCGATCCTCTTTTGGTTTGGTCGAGAGGTTGATTTCCGTTGCATTTTGCAAGGAGTAGCACAGTCAATGTTCCGATAGCATCTTTGCAATCGAGTTTCCCAACTTCTTTTCTTTTCTTCTTCTTTTATTGTACTGTACATAGCACAACGCACAGCTTTCTTCCTTTCAGCGCAAATCGACAAATCGCAACACTTTTACGTTTATAACCTTCTTTTCTTGATCAACAAGAATGGTCGCATCTACAAGTACACCACGAACATCAGCAGCACGTTCGAGTAGGACATCTGACGTAGATCAATTCACCTCGAATGGTACATTCAATCCACCACAACATGCTTATTTGGTCGATGAAACAGGAGAAGCATCATTCACATTTGTTTGCTTAGGCGTGGGAGGTGGACCGCTGGAAAATGATTGTTCATGCTATCTCTTGAAACCTGCACATAGGCAATGGACAGATGGAAGTGTGGTACTCGAAGGAGGATCGTGGCTAGGCGCTCTAACAAGGATTTTGGAAAACGTTGGACCGAATTCTGCTTTCCATGATACCCAATTCCCATCCGAGGTACCAGCAATACGTGCAGGATTCATTGGAAGTTTTGCGCATTCATTTTTGATATCTCATGCCCATCTGGATCACATCTTAGGCTTGGTATTAGGATCAGCAAGTTTACCGCAAAAATCAAATGTGTATGGATTGAAAGGTACGCTGGATAACATCATGGGAGTGTTTAACGGAAAGATTTGGCCAAGATTGGCAAGCTTTGATGATGATGGAGGTCCGGCTATATACAGACTGAAATCATTGGAACCACAAAAGAAAGCATTAGTGGATGATGATCTTTCCGTCTTGCCTTTCGCTTTGAGCCATGGCTTAAACCCATCCGTCGTTCCTGCTCCTCCAACTCCGAATCCATTGTTTGCAAGAAGACTATCTTTGTCTAATAAAAGACTTTCATTGCCTCTCAATGGATACTTTTCCACACCGTCATCAGCCGGAGCTGGCTACGGGCCTGATCGATCAAGTGGACTGGCAGGAAGCGGGGATAGACCAGTCTTTACGAGCCCATTTGCACCGGAATCGGTTCCTGTAGCGGCCGATACAAGCAATGTGACAATAAGGCATGCAGAGAATACACTTAGCACACCACCTCCAGAAGGAGAACCCAAAACAAAGCAAAGATCGGAAGTGGAGCCAGGGTCACCGACGTCGGGCATAGCAATGACAGCAAACAACTCTGTTCCACCTCCCACCTATCAATCCACTTCTGCTTTCTCACAAGCGATTGCCAAAGCATCTGCAGGCGGTAGCCTGAGATTGTCTTCTCTGCGAACACGAAGACCCAAGACTGCTCAAGGATCGGAAAAGGCCATCAATGCTCCCGCATCAGCAGGAGCAAATGCGCCTCCCACTGTAGATGAAGTCAGTTCACGCGCATCTTCCATTGTGGCAGGATCAAACATGTCAGGCAGACGAAATCTGGCTCCTCAACATGTTTCCTTGGAACCTTCATTTCCAGCATTGGATTCCACTGCCTTTTTCATCACGAATGAGAAAACGCAAAAAGATGTGTTATTTTTTGGGGATGTTGAACCGGATAGTGTAAGTCAAAGTCCAAGGAATGGTAGAATATGGACGCATGCCGGACAACGATTCGCAGAGGGGAAGCTCAACACAATCTTTTTGGAATGTAGCTTTCCCGCTTCTCATCCGACAGAATTCTTGTACGGCCATCTTTCGGTGGAACATGTGTTTGATGAATTGGATACGCTTGCAAGGGTGGTGGTAGCTGAACGAAAGCGGTCTAGGATACGCAAGCAAAGAAAGGCGGCCGATGTGGGAAAGAGTACAACAAGCGAAGGAGCTTCTAGACGAATTTATGCTTCTCAATTACCACAAATTCCTGCTTTGCATACTTCTGAAAGATTGATAACCGATGAAGAATTACGATCAAGCTTGGATGGATTGCATGTTGTCATCATTCACGTGAAGACGGCCTTGTTCCCTTCTTATGAAGCCACGCCCAGGCCTTCGATCGCATCAACGTCATCGTATGAAACTGCAGAGAATGGCGAACCAGCAAGTTCGAAAGCTGATACAAAGAAATCACCTTCGATCGGACGAACTTCTGAACGTGTAAATAGACCGATGGATTCACGATCGATGCAAAAACGCATTTTGCAAGAATTGGAAGAACGTGAAGAGGATATTGGTTTAGGTGTTCATTTTGTTATGGCACAACAGGGTATGCGAATTGATTGTTAGATGCAAGGCTTTATCACATAGAGATGTTTGAGGGGGTCATCAACAAAGCCTTTGTTCACACACACGCAAACACATACACCAACATGTTTTCTGATCTTTTTTTGTGTAAAAAGTGTATTTGTAATCGCCTTGGCAACGATTTGATGTAAGCAATGATTATAATAGTATTGACTCTGATCATGTGTGTGTGTTTTGGACATCAGGAACAAACGTTCACTTTGTACCTGTCTTTCGAAGTATATTGAATTATACTTCAATTTAGACTTTCTTTCGGATTCACGAGGTCCGGGCTCTTTTCTGTTCTCACGATGGGCCATTAATCTATCTCTTTGATGAAGATTTCCGATGCGCCACCGGACAATGATGGCTTGATTGGCTTATTCGGCATTGTCGTTTTCAATCTATCCTTGCTTTGTTTCCTTGGTTCAGGTACATCAACCGTAGGCAAATCTGTCTATTTAGGCACCTACATTGGCAGCGGAGATGAATTTCATTTGTTGGGACCTGCATTTGGAGCAAGTGACCAAAGAAGAGGATCATCATGATCATATATATGTTTAAGCGAGGGGACCAGCACTAGGGAATATGTTAATCTTTCCGCGGATGCAGATAGAGGATTCCACGGATGCGGATTAGGCACCATGTCTACAAGAAAAAGTACCTGCATTTGTTTTGGAAAGCTGCTTTTTTGTTTTGTGGGGAAAGAGCTGGAGAAATCTCCGAGTTGATCACAAGACAAGAAAATGAACCCACAAACTCAGCAAGGAGATTTTGCCTAAATATCTCAAAAAGTGCGGACGGCGTTTAAGTTTGCCGAAAAGAATGGAAAGACGCCATTTGCTTGAAATGAAGGTCAGGCAACACAATCAAAGTGTGGCTAAACACTATCGATAGACTAAAAAGGGAAGTGCGGAAGTGCGCGCCAGTAGATCGATTCGGCAAGATTGCTGTCAGAATATGTATGCAGCTAGTAAAACCACATACCTTGTGTGCTTTGCATTAGCGTAATTTTTTGTTTAACGATATGCAAGAGACTGTTTTAACCTTTTCCCTGTCTGTCTATTGTTCAATAACACTTTAATCCCGTGGAATTAATTGCATTGAATGCTCACTTACTGCTCTCTTTTGCATAAAGGACATCTCTTCAAGACAAGCTAGGAACCACATGCAAGCACCCTTGAAAAGACAAGGTTCATTTATGTATACAAGAGTGATTGAGTGCGGATGCTCCCCTCTAGTTCTTTCCGCATGCTTTTCGGACTTCTCTGGTTTGACACTCTCCTTTTCATTTCGGCCCTTACGCCGCTTTAAATATTTCCCCCTTCTTTTGCCACAAATAAAAGCTAAAAATTAATAAAAATCCGCTAATCAAATTCCTCCTGCCTTTTTGCCGTTTGTTGAACAGAGATCCCCTTTGTCGTTTAAAATTCATACACCGATATTCTGCGCTGTCTCATCTTTGATACCGCTAATCACGCTTGAGCCCTCTTTCCCTCTTTCCCCAAATGATTGGAATCAGAAATCCAATCAACATATAAATGCCCCCTTCATCCAATTCATCTTTGCTTGGGGCCCCACTTTGAGAATCTTTCCGAAAGGTCATCTTCCTCTTTCTTTCTCTCCTCCTTTTTTTCCCCTTCATTCTCTTCAAACAAAATGAAGACGATCAGTAATCCATACGTCGTCACAGCTTTGGGCTGTGTTGGCGGTCTGTTGTTTGGTTTCGACATTGCTTCCATGTCTGCCATCTTGCCAACAGCAAATTATAAAGTTTACTTTAATGGCGGTAATGATCCTCCTTCCCAAGCAGTAGGCAAGCCACTAGGTTGGTTAGATTCTACCGGTCCTTCTTCTGACGTTCAAGGTGGAATCACTGCTTCAATGGCAGGTGGTTCTTTCTTGGGTGCCATTGTTTCCGGTTTATTGACGGATAAACTTGGTCGTCGTAATTCCATCTTTGTTTCAACCATCATCTTTGTTATTGGTTCAATCATCACTTGTGCAGCTCAAGCAATCGGTATGTTGGTCGTCGGTCGTTTGATTTGCGGTTTCGCAATCGGTATCGCTTCCGCTCAAGTTCCAGTTTACATTTCCGAATTAGTTCCAAGCAGATTACGTGGTCGTTTGGTCGGTTGTCAACAATGGGCAATCACCTGGGGTATCATGGTCTTCTACTACGTTTCCTTAGGTTGCTCTTATGCTGCCCCTCAAGATGGTCGTCGTACGATCACTTTCCGATTACCCTGGGCTTTGCAAATGATCCCTGCCATTTTTCTCATGTTCCTGGTTCCCTTCATGCCACGTTCTCCTCGTTGGCTAGCAAGCAAAGGCCGCTACGAAGAAGCACGTCAAGTTTTGGCCTTGGTCCATGCAAAAGGTGATGTTTCTTCTCCTCTGGTTCTTGCAGAAATGAAGGAAATTCAAGACTCAATTGAAGCTGAGTCTGGTAAAGGAAGTGGATTCACAGACTTGTTCAAAGGAAGGATGTTGTACCGAATCCATATCGGTATCTTCACTCAAATTTGGTCTCAATTAACCGGTATGAATGTTATGATGTATTACATCGGCTACGTCTTCCAAATGGCAGGTGTGAGCGATACATCGCAAGCGGTCGTTTCAAGTTCGATTCAATATGTTATCAATGTTGTTATGACAGTGCCCGCTTTGATTTGGATTGACAAATGGGGTCGTCGTCCAACACTTTTGATCGGTGCAGCTTTGATGGCACTTTGGTTGTTCATCAACGCAGGTATTATGGCACAACATGGTCATTATGTCACCGAAGCAGAACGTCAAGCAGAAGGTCTTTCTCAATCCGTTGCGTGGCGCGTTGATATTACTTCTGGAAAGGCAGTCATTGCAATGTCTTACTTGTTCGTTGCATCTTATGCTCCAACTTGGGGACCTGTTTCATGGGTTTACCCACCCGAATTGTTCCCAACCCGTCTTCGTGGAAAGGCCAATGCAATTTCTACCTGTGCAAACTGGATTTTCAACTTTGCTTTGGGTTACTTTGTTCCACCCGCATTCGAAAACATTCAATGGAAGGTGTACCTCATCTTTGGTGTCTTCAACGTTGCCATGTTCATCCACGTGTTCTTCTGCTTCGTTGAAACAAAAGGAAAGACTTTGGAAGAAGTCGAAGAAGTTTTCAACTCTGGATTGCATGCATGGCAAACACGCAAACTTACAGAGACAAGTCGTGTCGAACAGATGGCTACCGCTATCGCACAAGGTGAAAAGGTCGAGAACCTTGATCGCGCTGTTAGCCCATCCGAACATGATGTCAAGAGTCCAGACTCTGAGCTTTCAGACAAGCAGCTGGGCGGCACTACTCATGTTGCTTAAATGCAAACATAGTTTTGATGAATGGATTTTCAAATTTGGGGCTTTGAAGAAGAAAAAAAAACTTCAGAAAACATTATTTTGGTCAATTCTTTGATCATTTCTACGACACAATCACGAGAAGCATAACGACAAATACTCTTCACATATTCCCCTTTTTCGTCATCATCTCCACTGTTTGTATCTCGTAACGAATATTCAACATTTTTCTAGATTCATGTTCCCATCGCCGTGAAAGTGAAATTGTAGGATGGTGGTGTGTGTTCTCTTTTGTCGCGTGTAAATGCGTTACACTTCCATACAGCATACTTATATAAAATTGTGTGACAATCTAATTCATCTTTGCTTGGGGGCTCACTTTGAGAATCTTTCCGAAAGGTTACCTTACTCTTTTTTCTCTCCTCTTTTTTTATTTTATCTGAGAATAATTATTGGTAACTTTGAGATAATATATTCATTAATTTCTTCTGAGTTGGTCTAGGTGTTGTGAAAGGTATCTATAAAGAAGTGATAAGAAGAAGTAGAAGTATAAAGATAAAAAAATCATTTTCTTGCCGATTCATTTGCCCTTTGAATCCAATCTAATCGTGGTTGTGTGAAACTTTCATAGCTTGTACTATCAAACCAAGGTCCATCACCATCAGGAGATCTACAGACGAGTAAGCGAGCTTGGTTTGCCTCCATATTCCACCCATCAAGTTTGATTGCACAATACTTTGCACTATTGTCATCATTCGGCCAAAAATAAAATTCTAAAGCCTTTGCCAAGTAAAAATAGATTTTAACGGGTTTCAATCCATCATTTGCCCTCATACTAAAGAAATATCCTCCATTTAGTTTTTTCTTGTGTTTCACCAAAGCTTTTGTATACATTATTTGAAACATTGTCGGAGTTCCTGGAAGATCTTGTGGTATGCCATCAATTAGATTTGGTTGAATGTCCTCTGCACTTGTGTTTGATGATTCTCCACCTTATTCAATATAAATTTAACGAGCTTTCTTGAGAATTGAAATCATTTTTGTTCCTTTAGGAGAGTTTTCTTTGCTTGTTGGAAGGTCAAAAACAAATTGTAATGGAACCTATTTACTATTCGCATTAAGAACGTTAAATCTAACGTTTACTAAGTAGTGACCATCTTGTAAAGACCGATATTGATAAACCGAATATTCAGAATTGAAATTTGCTCGGATAAAAATATAAAAACCTTTGGGTCTTGAAGAATATCCTAATTCGGTTATAATATCTCTTAAATCGGGTAATGTTATATAGTCTTTAGATCGGGCTAGGCTTGATCCGATATCTGGTTTCTATGTAATTCGCTAAGAATGCTCCTAAGTATTTTCATAATATACTATTTACGATAAACCGTTTAAAAGTCTATAAACAGTATCTCTATTCTCTATATCTTCAGGAATAGAGATTTCTTGAAATCCTAGGACTTTTGCTTTACGAACAGGAGTTTGTAAGTCTCCTACGGTTAACCAATCATATAATTTCTTGGTAAACTTTTGATGTATATCTGAATTCTTGACTGATGTTGAAAATTGAAATGGAACCGTGATTCTGTCTTTTGTTGTAAATAATTTGATTCCAGTATATAAAGAACGTTCTTGCTCGGTAAGATTGATAAAAACATTATCTTCTTGATTACTTAGACTACGCTGAAGATGAAGACGGACTTGAGAAAGATCTGTGATTCCAAGGGTTTCAACAATACTTCTTTTAATCGAAATACCATAAAAATTTGATGTGTGGAATCTTGGATAGTCCTTTTTTTCTATCTTAGCCAGTATGATAAATTCACTATTTAGTAAATGATCTCTTTTAATAGCTTTATAGCGATCACGGTAAATATATACTTGCTTTTTTGCCTGACTGACACAGTCTTGTGTAATTCCTTTAAGATTTTCCGGAATAGGAATACCTTTAGAAATACAATCTTGACAATATTTCCATAGCCAATCAACTCGAACAAAGTTAAACCAAGAAGATGATATTTTTGACCTCCAATGCTCAATTGCAATATTGAGATTAGCAGCAACATCTTCCCTTCTATCGGGCCTATCCAAACAACGGGTAGCATTTGCCCCTTTCACGTTGATAGCTGGTAATCCGAATTGTGCCCGAAGTTCCAAAAATTTTGGACATTTGTTATATGATCCAAACATAGCACAATAAAGAGGCTCTAAGATTGCGTTGCATAGATCTAAATCATCACTAGAACTTGTATTTGCTAAGACACCAAATTTGACCGTATATGACTTTTTTGCTAAATGATATTTGAGAGTTGTTGTATGCTCTGCGTCTGGCCATTTCTCCTCTACACAATCAAAATGTTGACCAAGCCGATTTTGAATATTTCGACTTTTTCCGACATAGATCCATTCAACTTCTTTTGCTTTATTTAAGCCCCAAAGAAGGTAAATACCGGAAAAGGAAAAACGATTGGTAATCCGTACTTCTTGATCAAGAAAACCTACTTCCTTATTTGAAATATTTGCTAAAGATAATAAAAATGCTTTTGAGCCTTTATTCCTATTCAAAGTCTGTAAAATAGATGTTGCAAATGACGTTACCGTAAGATTGAAACGTTCTAGACTTGCCTCTAAGATAAAATTTTCACGATTGCATAAAAATAAATCATAGAATTTAGAAGATTGAATCATTTGAATCGTTGAATAAACAATTCCCTTTACTCCTAACTCAATATCACATTTAGGGGCCTTGTGTGGAAGGAAAATAAAATTTGGCTTTTCATTCTTGCATAACGAAATCAAGTCTTTTTTGATAGTAACCGGAATATCATTTTGCTCTTCTTGTTCTATAAATACAGAATCAAGGTCTTCTTTGCTATTTGTAATATCATTGGATCCTTGAAAAAGCCTTATATAAAAGTTTTTATTGTTATCCGACTTTTCTAAGTCATCTAGCATAGTGGAAACTTGATGACTTGTAGAAGCCGAAGCGCTTGAAGTAGACCTACTTGAACCGGTAGATGAAAACCAAGCTTTCAACCTCTTTCCAGCCTCCTTATCTGCAGAACTGACATCTACTTTTCTTTTACCAACTTTAACAAACGTTGAAGGATCTTTGGGAGCCATATTGAAAACAAAAATTGATTGGAGTGAATTGATGATAGCGATAAAGAAGCAAACAAAATAGTATCAATAATTATATACATTCTTCTTATACTAATTGATAGAGTGATGGTGATTATGCACGCATGCATGCATGCATGCGTGTATAGGATTCTCGCGTTATATCACTGCTAGATAACTTGAGGTATTCCATTCTTAAATCTATATCTCTTTACCATTATCTTCTATCTATTCCTGGGGGTGGACGTCAGCCGCTTACGTTGACAATTGGGGTGGTATACTATAATCACACCTGCCTTCTTTGGTTCAGGTATGTTGGCAGGTATAAACGCTTCATAGTCGTTCTTAGGTGGTTTGTTCCTTAGTTACGCTTTGATCGGTCCTTCTTTAGTTGCAACTTGCGAATCAAAATATCAGTCTTTTGCAATTGCTTGCATACACTTGCTTCTCCACCGCTCAATACAGGCCCGGTAAAACCACAATCAAAGATGCAGGTCCTCATTACTGATTAATCTGGCCCGCAGTCTTGACGATGTCTAGATACAGTTTCGCAGAAGTTGCCATAGACTATAATGGTTTTCGTTAGGAATCTAATCTGCTGTTGTTGGAATATATTGTAAAATTACGGGAAAAGATATGCCAATTTACGAAGGTGCTGCCTGACTCAGCACCGAGAACATCAAGTATCGTGCTTTCCATGAGACTTGAACAGCTTCGCGATTGTTATTGAGAAGCTTGCGTGAGCCGTTCAATGTTGAATCACATACCTCCCATACGATAGCAGTTGCCTGCAAAGCGATTTGACGTGCTTCTTTTGTATTCTTTGCTACATTAATACCATCATCAGTAAGTGATGAAAGTACACCGTCAGCTTTGTCTCTTTGAGCTGATGCTTTTTGTAATACCGCCTTTGTCCGATCATCTATATATGACTTACTTAATTCGCCCAACGATTCTAGCAATTCAAAAACAGCAGAAGAGACCATCTTTGACCATGCTTTTCCTAATCCTTTGCCAGGAATCTTTTCAAGCTTTTCTGTTTCGCGTACATGAGCTGGGATAACGAAATGACCGCCTTTAGATTTAACGAACTCTTTCTCGGCTTTCTCTTTGGCTAAGTCTTCCGCCGTTTTAGACATGTAATGAAAGATTGTTGCTTCAGTTCTGGCTTTTCGAGCCAAGAAGATCAGCTTCGGAATACAATCATCTAGAATTGTTTTGATTTGCGCTTTTGCCGCTGTCAAAGATGCATCGTCCAAACCTGAAATTGGATTACGCTTTGCATCCTTACTTTCCAGTTGCTTCGCATTTGGTCGAAGAGCCAATGTTAAATTTGTGTATGTCTTTTATACTGATTTAATCAATGTTTTCAAATCGCCAAGGATTTGTTGAGATAATTCTTCAGAGCTCTTTTCTGTCAATCTTTCATCTTCAAGAAGTGACATTCATATGTTCTAGGACTTTAGTGGAAACACCTATACCGACGTTTGTAAAGCCGGTAATCTTCACCCCTTAAGGATTGCTGGTTAGGGGTCTAATATAGATGCCTAACACATTTAATTTAATGAAATAAAATTCGTCCACGAGTACTTTTCAAGTAGGTTTCTATATTAGATGCCTAGTAAGATTTTCAGTGTAGTAGTATGAACACATGTTGTCGGATCTTTCTAATAGGTTTTCAATGTAAACGCCTATTAATGGGTCTACCCACCCGAATTGTTCCCAACCCGTCTTCGTGGAAAGGCAAACGCAATCTCCACTTGTGCAAACTGGATTTTCAACTTTGCTTTAGGATACTTTGTTCCACCCGCATTCGAGAACATTCAATGGAAGGTGTACCTCATCTTTGGTGTCTTCAACGTTGCCATGTTCATCCACGTATTCTTCTGCTTCGTTGAAACAAAAGGAAAGACATTGGAAGAAGTCGAAGAAGTTTTCAACTCTGGATTGCATGCATGGCAAACACGCAAACTTACAGAGACAAGTCGTGTTGAACAGATGGCTACCGCTATCGCACAAGGTGAAAAGGTCGAGAATCTTGATCGCGCCGTTAGCCCATCCGAACATGACGTCAAGAGTCCAGACTCTGATCTTTCAGACAAGCAGCTGGGCGGCACTACTACCCATACTGCTTAATTGCAAGCATGGTGTATATAAATATAGTTTCCCCTCTTTCCATTTTGGAATTTGAAGGAGAAAAAAGTTCAGAAAACATTTTTAGTCAAATAATTTTTGATCATTTTTTACGACAGAATCACGAGAAGCATAACGTCAAATACTCTACATATTCCCCTTTTTCGTCATCATCTCCACTGTTTGTATCTCGTAACGAATATTCAACATTTTTCTACAATCATGTTCCCATTGCCGTGAGAGTGAAAGTGTAGGATGGTGGTGTGTGTCTCTTTTGTCGCGTGTAAATGCTCTCTCTATTGTCCCTTTGTGCCTGCGCTGCGCTGCCCTGCGTTCCATGCATACGTCCGGGCATTAGCCGCTTAACATTATCCGAATCGCCTAAAAGAAGAGAAGATAATTTTCATATTAACTCACACACTCGTTCTTCTCCACCTTGTGATCACCAATTGCAAAACAACAAAAGATGTTGCCAAGGAGGGCATTGCTTTCAGCCTTACGCTCAAAAGATGGCAAGACAGGATCTGTGAATGCGTCATTAGCGGCATATTCGATACGATTTGCATCCAATCGTTCAGGATCATCGAGCGACGATCCAAAAAGTCCTCGAAGAGCAACTTCGCCTTCTCCGGCAAATGTCAGAAGTGCAGCTTCGATTGCCAACCAATCAACAAGGAATCGTAAATTGACACCAGCGGCAAAAGCCAAAGCACAAGCATCTGCAAGTAGAGCGTTACGAGAACAATTACAAGCTACAAAAGTGGCGGGATCAGATTTAGAGTCAATCAAAGAAACATTGAAATCGGGAAGAGTACAAGAATTAACATCATTGGACAAAGATACAATTGCAGAAGATGCTGACGTTATCGCGGAGGAAGCAGATTCTCTTCCGGCTTCCGCAACCGCAACTCCACCATTGGTACGAAGGATAAGGGATGTATATGCATATGCAACGGCAGAGAGCTACAATTTTGAATTGTTGATCGCTTCTGGAAGATTACCACCGCAATGGCAATTGATCGAAGATGGGAATGTGATTTATATTCCTCATTGGCCTGCAAGACCTCCAACGACCACCAATCCTTCTTCTTCCTCAACCGCACATCCTTTTATCGCCGGTGTAGGAGAAGCATTCATCTTTCGTTCGGGAAGTTATGTGACTTGGGGTATAAGTCACGAACAAAGTAAGAGATTCTTGCGAAGCATTATTCGTGGCAGACCAAATTCAGGCTCAAGTGCAGAAGTTGGCATGTATGCGGAAATAGGTGATGAAGGAATGGAATATATTCTTGCTGAAGATCAAATTACACGTGTTGTAGGCGATGTGATCGTGATCGGTCAACAACCAAGGCAACAAGAAGAATTGGAAGGTGATTATTTAGACGAATCGATACACATTTCTGGCGAACCGGAAGAACCGGATTGGACTCCAATGTTGGCTCGTCTGGCATTTTCGCAAGGTTTGAGTAGATCCGCACGTCTTTCGGTACAAGAGGCAGCATTAACGAAATACTTGGAAGAAGTTGCGGATATGCCCGCACGTTTGGAAGCAGAAGGTAAAGTACCTTTGCCAAGACGACAAGTGATTCGCAAAATGGGAACGTTACTTAAACTTCGTCAACGTGCCAATTTGGACTCTGAGAACTTCTTAGACGATCCAGAGATGTATTGGGAAAACTTTGAGCTGGAAGATCATTATGATTCAATTTGTCAAGCTTTGGATATCGAAACACGATTCAAGGCATACAATGAAAAGTTGGATCATGGTGAAAATTTGTTGGGCGTTTTGCGTGCTTTGCTGACCGAATCTAGTACGCATAGGATGGAATTGATCATTATTTATTTGATCGCATTTGAGGTTTGCTTAGCACTCATTTCGCACGAATACATTCCTTCTCCGGAACGAATCTGGAACATGGTCACAGGTGCGATCGGAGGCGAACCTTATTCTACAATTCCCGACTCGGTAGCGGATGTCTCGCATAAACAACTCTCCAATCAATCAGTCAGAGTTGATTCTTCCTCCTCTACATCACCACAACGTTCGCAAGTATCGTATTGGAATTGGCTAAAGAATTACATCCCTGGCCTCCGCAATCAAAACTCATCACAACTCTCAACAAACGCAACCGAGCATCTTGTATAGAATATTGTATTATATCTTTCACCACTCTAATATATATACCATTCATGCAAAACAGTTTTGATCATTGATTATTCTTTTATGATTTTGTGATACAGAAAATCTACCTCGTAGGTGCATCTTGCTAGAGTACTTTTCAAGGCATAGCCCGTATTTATGAGTGCGACAAAGCGCATGCAAAAGATAAAGTACGGGTCATGATGATGAATGGTAAAGTATGGGTACAAGATTGTGGAAAAGGTAGGATGAGACGGAGAAACGCAACAAAGGAAAGTATGAGAAAAAGCGACAAATTCTCATGCAAGTAGCAGTTCCCACTTGAAACCTTGACGAGGAAAAAAGAAAGAAAATCATGAATGCTAGAGAAAGACGGAGCATGTGTGTTTCCAAAATGATTGGATTTTGTACAATTTTCTTAGGACAGGTGTCAAGGAAGCTAGCTAGCCCTGACGATCCAATGTCCCTTCTTCTCTTTGCGGGAAGAGCTTATTGACGTCTTTGTCCAGCTTGAGGTGCTGCAGCCCCGTTTGCTCCCCCAGCAGCAGCTCCTTGATTTTGAACAGAAAGAACGGTGCTTGCATAACGAGAGATCAAATCTGTCAACATCAAGTACCCCCTTCTGACAGCAGGTGGACAGCTTGGATGTTGGGTATATCCGTCTAAAACGCTACCGACATGTTGGAATGCGCCACGAGTGAAACTGCTCATATAGAATCGCAATCGTAAAAAGTGTGCGTAAAATAGAGGTGCCAACAAGCTGTTTTTGAACAGAATTGCTCCAAATAGAACTCGTGCAAAGATTGCTACTTCGGAATAGGCAACGAATCGCATTGCCGGATCATAGTTTGCCTTGACCCATGTTTGAATAAACTTTGCCGTTTTTGCTGGAGGTGGAGAATTGGCTCCTGCAGATGATGCTGTGCCGCTTGCGCTGGTAGATGATGATGAACCTTCTGCCGAAGAAGAACGAGAAGATGTGGTTGAAGAATGCGGAAAGACCATCGGGATAACCGTTGTTCGAACGAATGTCAAAACGTGAAAGAGAGAAAAAGTGACATAAGGAATCAAAGTCACAAAGATTGGTTTATTGAACCACCAATAAACGGCCAACAACAAATATTGAACGTTTTCATCAAATGCCGCTCTTTGTAGGTATGCTTTATTCATTTGTGGAACTCCAAAGCTTTTGTATACCACAACTCCATAACTGACAATCGCACCAAGGTATGCTAGCGTATACCAATGTTTCAAATTGGGTGTATTGAAGGTGATCACTCCGAGAAGGAATCGTAATCCGGACAAGAAGACAAGAAAGTGTCCGGCTGCCCAGACCAAATGGGGCGTAGAAGCGACAGGTCGTGGCTGAGGTGGGAAAACAAGACGCATACATCGATGTCAGCTAAGCTCCCGAATGTTGGCTATGGGATGTACTCACCATTATTTCACTATTTCGTATCAATCGTCTTCTATGTAGGTGTCGATTGGTATGTGAGGTTTGTTGATGGTAGTCGGTCGGTATGTGATGTCGTGACTGTTTTCCTTGATTGCTTTGAATCGGAGCTTGAAACTTATTCACACCTGTCAATCTCGCAATGTGACAAAGATTCGTTTGACGATGGTTAACTTTCTCCAACCTTCCACATCAGATTGATTCCAAAAGTTGAATTGATATGCAATCACTCTCTCCTTTCACTCTCTCCTCTGGCTGGGCCTACGACGCTTAGTCCACCCTTGCTTTTACTTTCTACACTAGAATAAAAACTGCTTTAGTAGCCTAGCCTATACTGCGTGGCGTGGCGATTATCGCGCTGTGCTGTGCTGTGCTGCGCATTTTCATGGAAGGCTGTCCGATCAACAGCGCAGCGTGAGCCTGCCTCCCTCTAGTGGAGCTTAGGAAATCAGCCAAGCAACCCTTCAAATGCAATCACGGCCTCTTTTTCCTTTTTCTTACGCGTTTGGCTGACAAGCAAGCGGGCCTAACTGATTTCACACGCACGCGGCAAGTATCCGTTAACAAAGTACTATCACAAGCATGAATATTGATGCAAATAAATTTTTGAAGAAAAAAAGGCTCCTAGGATAGGGAAGATGCACAGTCTTTATGATGGTGATGATGTTGTTGTAGTTGTTGATATGAGAGAGAGTATATGAAGATGATGATAAGATGATAGTCAAAACAGTAAATCAAGCAATTGTTCTTTGTCCAATCAACCATAAATGCGAATCACTCCATCCGCTCCAGCTGAAGAAAAGTAAGGTGCATTAGGATGATATCTAACAATCAAAACACCTTCTGCGCTCTTTTTACGATGTGCAGTAATCTCTTGAACACAAACAGCCGTATTTCCTTCGTTTGCTAAATCCCAAAAGCGTACCGAACAATCATGTCCACCAGATACCAATGTTAAACCGCTTGGATCGATATCGAGAGAAGTTACGCTGTCCAAATGCGCAACCATGGACAATGTACATGCTCCCGTATTGATATCAAAGAATTGAATATAATTGTTCTCGTGTCCAGTGATCAGTGTGGGAAGCGTTGGATGAGTGAGCACTTTGTTGATCTGAGATGTTGCTGTTCCATCGTAATGAGCATCACTGGCGAATTGCATAACCTCTTTTCCACTGTCAATCTCGAACAGCTTCACGATCGAATTGCTGAAACTGACAGCACATTTGCGTAAATCGCTCATACAAGGAGCAATACTGGTTGGCACAGGCAAGGAACCTGCTTCTTTTCCTTCTGCAGGAGATGATAGCAACGCTTCACGTTCCTTTTCCTTCTCTGCTGTGGGCTCAGAGCCAAAGTAGTCAAAGCTGTTCAGAAGCTTTCCACCTGCGTTGCCGCTCTCAGTAGAGTTATCCTGTATGTTCCAAATCTTTACTGTTCCGTCAGCCGATGCACTGGCCAAGAGACCCTCCTCGTCTCCTCTTGTCGGTAAGATTGCTAGATCCCAAATAGGTTGTGTATGTCCGACTAATCTACCAATCTCCGAAGTCTTATCGAAAGGAGGGTAAGGCTCCACAGTATTGCTGTCGAGCAGTTTCCAGACCACAATACTTGCATCCACACTACCGCTGTACAACTTTCGCTTGCTGTTCGACAAAGCTAGACTAGTGACTGCACCTGAATGGCTGCGCAAAGTAGCAACCGGATCGATGTCAGCAGTACCCAAAGCACCATTTGGATTGGGCTTGTTCTGCTTGAGACCACTCGAATCAACACGCCAATACTTGATCGTGCCATCATCGGATGCAGAGTACAAGCCAATATCTGAAGCATCGAAAACGACAGCCCGAACGCTGTCCAAGTGACCTCGAAGAACTTTCTTCGACTTCCACATTTGACTTTCGGCTGCTGCTTCGGCAGCTAAACGCGAAGCTTCTTCTTCAGTCCCATCAGAAGGGTGTCCGAATGTCAGATTTGCCAATTCGTCTTCATCTGCCTTGTTTGTACCGGCTTTGATTGTTCCTTTGGCGCCTCCCAGTCTTTCGCGATCTCTTTTCTCTCTTTCAATACGTCCAACTTCTTTCAATTTCGCCCAATCATTTTGCCCTTCGCCAGAATTCCCATCTGAAGGTCTATAGATCGCTGTGACTGGCTCTCGGTCATCTTCGTCTGCGATATCGCGCGGCACGTCTCCATTAAAGTTTTGAGATCCTTCTTCCAAAGCTTCCATTGAATGTCCTTGTGAAGAAGGATCCGTTTCTGCAGTAGTTCCGCTACCAGCATCCATTTCTGTCGTTCCTGCGCTTTTCTCAGCCGAAGAAACATCCTCATTCGGCTTATTCTCTAAAAAAGGCTCCCCCGATTCGCTAGACAATCCTTCCTCTTCCCTCTCCTCCAAGGTCTCACCGAAAGGTTGAACGCCTCGAGCTGTGTTCTTCACTCCCGGATACGAGTTTTTGTCCAGACTGCGTTGCCTTCTAGCATTTGCAGCCGCATTGTTTTGTCCTTCTCCTTGGCCGAAAGATGAAGGAACATTCTCTGGCATAGATTTGCGAGGTCGAGTATGACCTGGACCCGCTATAGAGCTAGGCTGAGTACGTTCGGGTAATGGATTCAACGTTGATGCACTGGTCAGATAAGAGATCTCTTGCAAGCATTGTTTGAGATAATCGCGACTCTTTGCGCGCGATTTGGGATCTTTGGCACTGGAGCCTTGTCTGCTCAAGTTCATCTGACCGGACAATGTACTGCCTGGACCTGCAATAGTTGCGCCATTGAATGTCATAGTGTTCAAAGTATTGAAATTGTTTGTGTTAATCGATGACATTGTCGATTGACCGCGTGGCTCATGACCAGATGGTGCGATGGTTTCAGGTGCCGGTGAACTTCTTCCACTACTGGTTGAGGCTTTGTCCAGATTCTGCAAAGCTGCATGCTTGGGATTGACAGCAGTTAGGGTATTGCCGGCATTTTGTGTACCGCCGACAGTGCCTGTTGTCGTTTGTCCTGCAGCGAGGTACTTTGATCTTTCTTGACGCAAAGCGAATTCCAACATTTTCACTCGTCTCATCAAATCTGTTTTCAGATTTTCTATACTTCTCCTTTCACCTTCCAACAAAGCCACCCTTGCTCTCATCTCTGCTCTTTCGATTTCCCATTCGTTTCGATCTCTTTCATATCTTCTCCATTCGCTTTGCAAGAAATGCAAGATGCCTGCTAAAGTATATTCGGGTTGTTGTAATCCTTGCATTCCTGCTTGACCTGCTTGTTGACCGTTATCATGCATTCCACCCATTCCATTTTGTCCGTTTCCCATTCCGTTTCCTTCCATTCCATTGCCATCCATTCCACCGCCATTACCCGGGCTATTGTTACCAAACGAAGAGCCATATGAATTACCTGACCCAATGGCCGCAAAGCCTGGCTGTATCATTTTGTTCCTGTGATCTTTGATTGGATGGATGATATGCTAGCTTCTTTGATTGAACATATGCTCGTTCGGCGTAAGAAAGACTCCCCCCTTCAAAGGCTCGTTCGTTATCTTATAATGAAAAGTGCAAATGTATCGTGTGATGAAGTTTTGGATTGAGGAGTACAGAATTAACTTTAGAAAGCGAAGAAGGGGAGGCCTGTTCCCCAGGCTTGGACTGTTGGCCCAAGGCTTGTGTGTGTGTGTGTACTAGAACGCGTTCTCATTGAATTTTGCACCGGCGCGCTGTCTGAATAGAATACATAGACATGTTGGTCTAGCGTGTGTGCTGTAAATGCTTGGCTAGTATGTACAACACGGTTTAGTCACATTGGAAGAAACACCTTCCTCTATCATGTGCCAATCCTATCATAGAGCGTACGCTTTTTACAGCAGATCTCTTTGATTCGATTAGATGTTCAGATGAGAATGATCAATCACATCGAGTTCAGCAGTCAGCCAGGTGCAGAGCTGTTTTCAGTCTTATCATAACGGAGCCGACTGGCACAGCCTTGCGAAGCTTACTCTTCTTCCTCTGCCCTCTTTGACAACAATAAGTCGAGATTGACGTAGAATATGACCAAATTGCTTCATCTTGCCACTTAACAGAGCTGTGCACGGACTGGATAATACCCTACTTGAGTGACGAGTAAATTGACCAATGTGTGAAAGATACCAATTCCGGTTGCAGGCGCGATACATGTCTCGTAACGGAATCTTTCACGCTTCAGAAAGACAATATCTCATCATTTGGTATCATCTCCTGGTCATCATCTTTGCTCGTTTCCTTTTCTCTGCTTCATCTAATCATGCCCAAGTTGATCAAGAAACGCATCAAAAGCACTTCATCCTCACCTTACAGAAGGAGCCCCTCCTTGCCAGCGAGCCTTGTGGTAAATTTGGCCAATATGAAAATCAAAGATGAGGTGCTGGAAAAACCTTCTCGAAATAGTCGAGTGACATCAGAAGCCTCAGATTTTAGTACGACAAAAACTGAAAAGCCTGAGAAAAGCAAACGCAAACCAACGAATTATTGGAGTAAAGGTAAGTCGGCCTTTTTGTCATGTACACTCAGAGTTAACCAGATCCAGCAACGACAGAAGAAGAACTTGATCTTTTGAATGCACAATTTCAACTTTGTCGTGCAAATGTTGTATTGCTGCGTCAGAATATGACCGGAACAGATCGTAATACTGATCAGGTAAGAAAGTTTGTATCGCTTCATTAAATACTGGCTAATTTTTCGATTTTGACACAATACAAGATCCACAAGAAGCTCAATAGCTTTCAAAAACGCTTCATGAAACAATGCAACGGCAAAATTCATCATTGAAAGGGGTATACATTTTGCAATAATCTACAAAAACAAAAAGAACATATCTCAAAGCTCTTTGATTTGCTTGACCTGATCATCGAAGCGACTTCCTGTTTTGCTATCCTGAATGGTGACATCACGAAGAGCACAGATAGCATCAACCAAGTCTTCCTTGGCATCATCCAAATCAGCTTGTGCTTCTTCCTCATCGTTTTCTCCCTCTTCTTCAATACCCAAATTATCCCCATACAAAAGAACAGCAATGAGATCATCAACAGCTTCGATAATGAATTCTGCCGCTTGATCTAAATCGTCAAAGTCGACGAAATCATCAGAAGAAGCTTTTGAAAGGTATGCCTCTCCAACACTTCCATGGAATTGACAGCATGCTTTGATGAATGGCAAATACTTCTTTGCTTGAGCTTTCTGGTTTTCATCCAAATTTTTCGCTTCAAAAGCGGCTAGAGGATCGTCTGCGTCTAGACTTTCGCTTTCTGCATCTTTTCCTTCGTCTTCTCCTTCTACTAAGGCTTGCTTGAATTCACTGAGTGCATCCTTCAACACCTCAGATCGTGCTTTCCATGAGACTTGAACAGCTTCGCGATTGTTATTGAGAAGCTTGCGTGAGCCATTTAGTGTTGAATCACATACCTCCCATACGACGGCAGTTGCCTGCAAAGCGAGTTGACGTGCTTCTTTTGCATTCTTTGCAACAATGATATCGTCATCTGCAAGTGAAGAAATTATACCATCCACTTTGTCTCTTTGAGCTGATGCTTTTTGTAATACCGCCTTTGTCCGATCGTCCATGTATGACTTGCTCAATTCGCCCAACGATTCTAGCAATTCAAAAACAGCAGAAGAGACCATCTTTGACCATGCTTTTCCTAATCCTTTGCCAGGGATCTTCTCAAGCTTTTCTGTTTCGCGTGCATGAGCTGGGATGACGAAATGACCGCCTTTGGATTTAACGAACTCTTTCTCGGCTTTCTCTTTGGCTAAGTCTTCCTCCGTCTTAGGTACGTAATGGAAGATTGTTGCTTCAGTTCTTGCTTTTCGAGCCAAGAAGATCAGCTTCGGAATGCAATCATCTAGAATTGTTTTGATTTGCGCTTTTGCCGCTGTCAAAGATGCATCGTCCAAACCTGAAATTGGATTAGGCTTTGCATCCTTACTTTCCAGTTGCTTCGCATTTGGTCGAAGAGCCAATGTCAAATTTGTGCATGTCTTTTGTACTGATGTAATAAATGTTTTCAAATCGCCAAGAATTTGTTGAGATAATTCTTCAGAGCTCTTTTCTGTCGATTTTCCATCTTCAAGAATGACAGGTACAACAGGCTCTGATAACGTTGACAGAGAGGTTGCTATCAAGATCGAAAGCCGGAGTAGATCTGATTGTATTTCTGTGTAAGCGGTGTTCGACTATGTCAGCGACCTTCTATGCGAATCCTGATCATTGCAAGTCACGCTTACCTTTCTCCATCCTGTGTCAAGTTTATGTGGTGACAATGAAAGAAGTTAGAAAATCTTTTTTTTTTCTCATGGCTCGGAAAAAGTTAGCGGGAAATTATATACTTTGGCTCCACAAATGGATGTATGCGTATTCAAGGAAGACGGAAGCCGAGATTATTTTGTCTGTGTTTGTGCATGTGTATTATGTGGTAAGACGCGTTAGTGATAGAGCTCCTTGTGTCCACTCCCTCTTGTTTAGGGTCAGCTTATCTTGTTATTGTACATACACATCATAACATCTTTTTCCGATCCATCATACCCGCATGCAAGCAAGATCAAAAGATGATGTTGATTCTTTCTCGGTAAGACAAGAAAGTTTGACAAACATGGAAGGTGTACAAGATACACAAAATAAAGATGGTGGGAATGTATGGAGATTATCATTAACAATCGTTTTGCTAGGTATCATAACTTTATTCTTCTTTCGCTCAATTCTTCCACGTATTCCACGTTTATTCTTTCGAGGTCGATTACGTATAAAACGGATAGGACTACGAGGCATTCGTGGAATCGAATGGCAAACACAAGGTTTCAATTCAGATTCAGGCTCCGCTCCTACATCTTCCCGAAAAAGATCCAGCTTATCCAGCTTAGATGGAGAGAATAACAGTACAGGCGGACTTGGTATAAAAGTTCGACATGTCTACCTCACCCTTCGATGGATCTCTGGAGAAGATCATTCCTTTTATGAGAGATCGGAAAAGAAAGATGACAGCCAACCTTTGGGAGATGGAGATGAGGAACCAAAGCCATCATCGTTAGGAGTAACTCCTAAGCGCAATACTGCCTTGATTACTGTGCATATAGATGGTATTGGAGTCAACCTACCACGTAAAGATGATACAAATACCAAGGAAAAGCAGGGTAAGCAAGAGGAAAGGGCTAAAAAGGAAGAAGAAGCTCGAAAGCAGGCTGTGGAGGAGGAAGAAGAAGAACGTTTGCAAGCTCTAATGTCCAGCAGACCATCCTCGCCTAGACCGGACGCAAAGAGACCGGATGGAAAGACAAACCAGACTGTTTCACCTATGCCTGCTTTTTCTGCTGCGATGGGCAGGGCACCTAGAACACCACCAGAAACAAGTTCAGCTACCGTCCCTTTCCGGTCTTGGAATCAATGGATCGCATTTATCCGGTACACCCTATGGCCTGCTTTGTGTTTCATTGCTCTTCGTCTTTTCCGATCTTTGGCGTATCTCCTCTTCTCGATTCTTCCCTTATTATCAAGAGTGATTGATGTTGAAATAAGAAGGGTGGAGGTATATGCAGCAGAACAGGATGCCGTACTACGCATTCAAGAGATGGATTTGGGAGCTCATATGGATGTAGTACCGGCTACAGGTCATTCAGAAGTGGAACTTGGGGTGGAGCAAGAGCAGAAGAAGAACAATCTCCAGGAACGATTGGCATCACTTCTCTCCCTTTTACATGTCAGTATAGGATCTGGCGCAAGAGGTGCTGCTACGATTGCATTGGACGGCTTTCCTGGCTTACGAGCTAATCTACGAATTGCGGTTCACGGAGTTCAAATGTTTGATGCTGCTCGTGCTAGACATGTTCGTACACGTAAATCGTCAGAGGAAGGTAGAACGATTGAGCGTACCCCAAACACTTCTTCCTCCTTCACTCTTGGTTCAGCGCAGGAACATCAGTGGAAGTCATTCTCTGAATTTCAAAATGTGACTACTAGTCCAAACCCTCAACGTGGTTTGCATAAAGCAGCAAGTGAGGTAAACCTATTCTCTGAAGCAAAGGTGGACTCGCGAAAACGATGGGCAGGTAGATGGACAGATTGGGCTTTGGAAAAGACACCGAATTCTGACTTTATGCCTCACACTTCGTGGGACCAAGGTGAACCTGAGTGCAAAGAACAGCCAATTCCGGCAAACGCACGTTTATTGGCAATGCAGGATATCACTTCGTTCAGTGTAGGCTTCATTCTTGGTAAAGCCGTTTCTGCAAAAGATAGCTTGCATCTCAGTCTTTCTCTTGCGCCCGTCACAATAGGTGGAGATGCTTTTGTTGGTATGGCTGAGCGTATTCAGGATGAAAAAGCTCAAAGAATCAACAATCTGCAAGAGCCTGTTCAGGAACCGCCAAAAGGCTCAAAGTCACTGCGCTCTTCACCTCGAATAGCTGAATTGCTGGAGATGTTTGGATCCATCTCAGTATCCGTACCATCTGTGTTGGTCGATATGAGCTCCAAATCATCATTCACCGCTTTGTCAGCAGCAGAGGCGAACCCTAGTGACGCCTATTTACCTTCCTCAATCCAAATGCTGACCGAGATTGCCGGATTCAAACTTTCGATAACGACGAGTAGACTACCGGATGAAATGCATCAAAGCTTCTTGGGAACGTGTGGCTTGAAGAATTACAAAGCCGCAATAGCAAGAAGAGCCTTATCTGGTGGTTTGCGATGGACATTGGGTAGACGGAGAGCTGCTTTCGTTGAACATCGAAGAGTGTTTGCATTTTCCGCATCACTTGCTCAAGTTGACGTTCGATTGGGAATTGATGGCAACCGACCACAATCTAAACTAATGAATATGTCAGACTTAAGTGTAAAGATGCGATCGTCTTGGACACCGATAGGTTTGTTGATCATCGGTCCTTCGAATGCATGTTTCGCAGGCGATCCGAACGAACAGGCAGTCGTGCTAGATGCAAAGATGAAATCCTTGAATGGTAATGTGAAGATGCAACATCTTTGTTCTTTGCTCACTTTCTTCCGGTATCGTCAAGCCGAACGGTTGCAGTATCGTCAAGAGATCGGAGTTGCCGGAGTTGCCGGAGTTGCCGCTAAAGAACAATTCAAAGAACCAAAACATCACAACTCAAGCCAAAATGAATCAATGATGCGACAGATACCCAGATTTCATATTGGCATTGAGCTAAGCGAAATGTCATACTGTTTTGATGCGTCTGAATTAATACAGATCGGGAACGAAAAGCCAACTTTGGACTTGATGGTGGAAGTACCAAAAGTCTCATTCCATGCAGAAGGAAATTATCAAGATCAATGTGTTAGACGGAGCGAAAACGAACGAAAAGCAGCATGGAAAGCGCTAGCAAAGGATGAATTGGAATGGAGTTTGAAGCCACGCAGTAAACTGAACAACGCTCCTGTTGATGGTTCATCAATATCTGCAGCTACGAAACCTGGAGGATACTTTGATTGGCGCCGTGGCTCTCTCAGTGGAGCGTCACCCAGATCGCCCGATAGTGTTGAATCTCCGCCCATTCCATCTCCATCAGAGACGCAAAATAAACCAATGACAATGAATGAAGCCTTGGAGAAAATGCGACAGATACAAGAAATGGAAAAGAACCCAAAGAAGTCGCATAAGCCACGTGCTCATCGAGGTTCAATAAAGAAGTCACATCTTTCCGCCACTTCAGTCAATTCTCCAACGCACAACCTCCGCTGTCAATCTACGTGCTCATTTGATCATATCAAAATGTTTTGGGTTATGGATGGTCATGATATTTCTTCACAAAGGAGAGCACGCGATGGGGAAGATCGCTTCCCTTCTTTTGTCGATCAAATGCCTTTGCGAGGAAAGACTCATAGGCATGTCTTGGCTCTGAATGATTTTGAAGCAGTCTGTTCGATGAGCGTGCCTGGCGATCAAGAATTGATCGGCAATCATGTCACTTTGATGACCGATAGACGTTCGATCGATGTTCGTACAAGTTTGGAAGAGGTAGACTTAGATATGTGGCACACATCTTCCTTGGATGCAACACGTGCATGTCTTCAGGCCATCAGCAACGCTAGCAAGAAGGTACAATTGAGTGAAAAGGACAATGGAACGGAGGAAAACAATCAAGAATCCTCCCCTCAAGAGTCTGATGACCAAAACCTTCCACCTCTGATCGACTTGCTGAAACCAAATAGCAGTTTGTACTTCTCAGTGGGCACCATTGTTGCTCACCTTGGTGGATCGGATACACGTTGCGATCCTGGTATGTTCCGTGGAATAGGTGTCGATATCAAAAGAGCCATTTTCCAAGCTGCAGTGGCAAAGTTGGAACCCAGAAAGTTGAATGATCCTACACATTATTCAATGGGCGCCAGAAGTGCGCTTGATCTACCAGAAGACCAACGAACCAGCGTTACAGCTTTGGCAGTTCGTCATGGCAAAGCAGCTTCCGTTAAGCTCAATGTGTTTCAAATGGGCGTTTTTCCTTTACTTGATGCACAAATGGCTACCGCTCAACACATCGGAGGAAACGGAGCAGATGACGATAGTGATATCGAACACAAATATAACTTTGATGCAGACACATTCGGTTCACCTTCTATTATCGCTCCTGCTGTTTGGGATTTCCAAAGGACTCGCCCACAACACACCAAACAGCATCGTTTGCATGCCCGATTCCGTCAACAAGATCGCTCGAATTTCATACTATGGGTTCCAAAGTTTGCTTTACGGGCAAATTTGGTTCCCAAAGATCATAAAACCAACAAGATCGGAAAGCATACAGAAGAACTTCAAATCGTCACTGAAGATTCAAATTTGGTATCATTAAAGATTGAAATGCTTCACACATATTGCGCTTTGGTTGCAATTGCCTCTCTCAAGAGCCTCAAGCCAACGTCGCCGAGCAAAAAGTCGTCTGATACAGATTCCAAAAATGATGCCAAGCAAGCACAAAAGACTAAGAAGAAGGTTACAAGAAAGTATCAGATCCCAAGCTATCATGCTGCTTTGCGCATTAGTGATATTCAGATCGCGGTTGCATTGCCAAGCGATGTCAATCTATTTATACGGATTCAGCACGTTGAACTTGTACACGCCCATCATGGAGACTCTTCGATTGGCTTTGAACGTTTAATGTGCGCAGTCGAAAGTCCAGAAGTACCTTCAAAGGGTATGTGGGAAGAGTTGGCTCGAATGAGAGACTGTAAAGTACGCCTTGAAGAAGGCAAAGAAGACGGAACACCTATGCGGGTGAAGGTCAATGTTGATGGAATAAGCTTCCGCGTACCGTTCAATTACACCGTCCACCCAATCATTGACAGTACCGTTGTGTCTGTCAAAACAACCAAACAGCTCGTCCATCAATTCATCAAAGGTGGAAATGATTCTGTCATTATTCCTGTAGCTGAAGAAGCAAAACATTTGCCCATCATCGACGTCAAAGTACGAATTTTCTCTATTGAAGCAGAAGATGATCCATTCGAAACACGATTGAACATCATTTGGCGTTCCGGTGGTGACGAGAATCAAGCAAGATCAGAACGTGAAAGTGCTTTCCAGGAAAAAGTACATGCACTGGAGAATTTACGAACAAATGATCCAAGTTCAGAAACGATAGCTACAATGACGACTACAGCATCTGAAAGTGACGTATTGGAAGATGATAAATTACGTAGACAGGCAAAAGTGAGCATAGAAGAAGCACGAACGAGATTGGATGCCTTTAATGCGTCCAGTTGGGCCAGACGTTTCGGAAATGCACAGGCTGAGCAAGCACGTCGTGAAGAAGCCAATGTTCGACGAATCTATGGTCGTTTACCACCTCATGCGATGCTACAGAATGACATGCCGATCAAACTTGCCCCTCGTTCAAGAGCTGCACCTCTATTTCGATCTACGATGACAAGATTACATATCGTCATGAGTCCTCCATCGTTTCCGGAAAGCAAGTTGCGAGATTTCTTGTACGAGCAAGGTGACGAAATTCCCCGTGATATGGAATATTCCTTGTTAATTCCTCTTCACATGAAGCTTCGAATGGATGAATGGAAGATCGACCTTCGTGATTATCCAATGCCTTTACTGCACTTCCCTCCCATTAATCGAAATACACAACCTGATACATTGGCAGCCGTTGAATTGGAAATGGATTTCTGCATAGCCGAACAATTAGGCTCTGATAAAGCACTTCGTCACATAAGCGCAATCGTTGTGCCAGCTGCTACTGGCAGGCCTGATGCTGTGGAATATGGTATCTCAGTTCCAAGGATGTCTATGCCTACAAAATTCTATGGCTCACCAGTACTAAATATTAATTCGAGCTATCCTACAAGACTTGTTTGGGGTCAATCCGTTCAACCTGCCATTCATGATGTGATTCGTGTATTTGAAGGTATCACAAGCCCCCCGCATGATCCTTCGCCAAGGATTGGTTTTTGGGATAAAATGTCTTTGATTATGCAAGGTGCATTGAAGGTGCAATTCCCTGGCGACGGACAATTTCACGTTTATCTCAAGGGAAGTCGTGATCCGTATCACATCTTAGGCCATGGTGCCGGATGGGTCAAGTGCTGGCGTGGCAACGTAGAATTACGTCTGGGATTCGAAAACCCACAGAAAGAAGTCTTTCAGATCTTGAGTGATGAGTACATCCTAGCCATTCCAAATTTGAAGGATTACATTGATCGTGCAGCTATAGGTACGGAAAGCCGGGATGCAGAAGAAGAATCATCATCGCACGGTAAAAATGGTCCTTCATCATACAAGCGTGCACAGAGTAGCAATGATGCATTGAGTGATAGCGAGAAAGCAAAACACGGTGGGCATAAAGCACCCACGATTGCCTCCTCCTTGGCGTCCACTCATCATCGTTATATGCGTGATCCGGAGTTCAAGAAGATTTGTATGAAATTGACAAATGGTGTCCGATGGGGTTTCGGATTGATTCTGGAAAGAACTTGTACGGAAGATAGCTGTGTACAAAAGGTAAAGTGTCAAGGTGCACCATTTTACCGTGTTTGTCGCTTTTGGACGCGAAAGAAACATTGGCAAGTCTATACACGATCAATAGAGTATGTCGATACGCTTCCAGACGATCAAAAAGGTGACTCATTCGACGGCTGGCGCACGCATCATTTACACTTTTCCGTTTCAATCGACTCACCTCGCGATGGCGAGGATGACAGAGCAGGTGAACATCGAGAGGATGACAGAAGCAAGAAGAGCTCTACAGAGCCTGAACCCAATGCCAACGCAGTCAACAACTTATACTTTACCCCTTTGGCATGGGAACACTTTTGGGCATGGATGCGATTGTTTGACAGTGCTTTGAGCTTGCCGATCAGGCAAGGGAAGTTGTTCCCAGGTTCTTTGGAACAATCACCCAAATTTGGACGTCATTTAGGAACGATTAAATATCATTTCAATATTGCACCCCTTCTCATTTCACACTTGTATCCTCAAGCCAACAAGATGGATTGGGCTCGTGGCAGAACGACATTAATCGGCGTCAAAGCCAGAATGGCTACTTTCCATATGGACTTCCATCAAAGACAACAAGAGATTGTTGTAGACAGGCCAGAATTGGGAGGACAAAGAAAGACGTTCCATAAACCATTCTACGAGGCCGAAGTTGATCTATCCAATATCAATTTCCGTACTTTGGCAGGACAATTCCAAGAACCGGATAAACGTTTGGTACCTCTACAAGATGTGGATGAGAATGAAGATCATGACCACGATAACATCTTTTTTGATGGTGAAGATGAGGACGAATCTGGCCCGTCAGATCGTGACTTGGAATGGTACGATCTACACGATTTTGTTGAACTAGACTGGGCGCCTCCTGAAGGTGGCAGACAGCCTAGGATCCGACTTATCGAAGCAATGTCATGTCCTCGGTTCAGCTACTATCGCCGTATCGAGTCGAAGGATGAACGAGTTCAGCGTACAAAGGGCGAAAAATCGCCGGATGATCAAGACAATAACAACGAGACTGCCAAGCTGGAAAATACGAAGTTCGGACACGAAAATACCCATGTTTGTTTGGTCGGCATTGCACCAACACCTCCCAAAGTTCAGATTGCGTTGGCTGAAGCCAGGTTAGACATTTTGAATACTCAACTGAAAAATTTCTTGAGCAAATCGGGAGGAGAGCCGCTCAATGAAGAATTTATGGGCGGCGAAGGTCGTGCAAAAGCAGAAACAGAACGTGCAAAGAAGGCAAGTTCGGAAGAGGAACAAGATTTGCATAAAAAGATAAAATTGGTGCGAGAGTATATCAAATTGTTGAGCACCATACAACACAAAGTATTCGACATTGACGAAAATCACGAAAACGAGCCAGAACATCTCGCACATACTTCTGAAGGTATCACAGAAATGCCAGGCTCTCACTCTTCATTATCAGGCAATGATGCTTTGCATGAATGGCAAGCGTTTGACAATCGCTACTTTATCCACAATCCAGTCATCTTTTACAGTAATCAAACGAGAGATGTTTTGCTAAAGTATTACCTCAGCTCGCGCAAACGGAGAGGAGTTGTGCACTCCCTATCTGCTCGTGCGGTTCGTACAATCCGTGATATAGGAAAGGAAGGTAATGGCGAAGGCGAAGGAAAAGATGTTAACAAACGCGAATCGCAACATCGTACTTATTCCAGCTCCACCGGTCAGACAGAAGAGGATTCTGATGAAGAGGAAGGAACGACACCCACGCCAAATGCTACAGAGAGTAAGATCAAAAATCGATCAAGATCTGCAAGTGAAAATCTTGATGGTATCTTGAAAGATGCTGTAGAGTATATGATGCCAAACGATGAGGGTGAAAAGAATGAGGAAGGTGTACAAAATGGCGATGAAGGAAGGGACAAAGCATGGCAAGCGGAGAGTAGAGCGGCATTTGCAGCATTGATGGAGACTTGCAATCCTCAAGAGGGAATTTCAGACGAATTTGAAGTCAGAAGGTCAAATGTTTGTGTCGTGTTAAAGCCACAAATCGTTTTGCGAAGTTTAGTGGATGATAAATCGACCGTGATCATTACTGCAGCAAGAGCACGATTGCGAAATTATAGCGTCAAAGATCCTCGTGTCGAAGAGGACAGCGTAAACGAAAGGGTTTTGTATCGAAACTTCATGGGAGTTGATGCTCTGCAAGGTTTCCATCCCAGCAAAAAGTGTTCGTTCGTCAATAATAGAGCTCGCGGAAGTTCCCATTTCGTTTACGTACCTCTGGAGACATTGATAGACGTAAAGTACGAGACTAGCGATTTTGATCGTATTTGTCCTCGCACAGATGCGATAGTACAATACGATAAGTTCAATAAGCTCAGATTGAACGATCCCAATCACCCAGTTGCCGCATCCAATTCTGACGACGAGAAGACGGGAGAGGATGATGTGAAGGATGAAACAGACCATAGTGACCATCTTCGCCATACAATGGATCTAATCAAAGTTCACTGTCCACGTTATTCAGTTTCTGCGAATGCGGATCAATTTGGAGCAATTTACAATGTGGTGACGGATTTGTTGCTATATCGTGACCCTGCGTACCGAGAACATGCCAAAAAGTTGGAAGTGATGATGTTCAGTTATGATCTTTCCGATGTTGAAGCATTGGCTGATCTTGTTCAATCTTTGCAAATTCGCATTCGACATGCTAGAGAACTTCATTCACAGTATGAACTTCATTTCGAGCTTTTGAACGATCAAGGAAGGTTGGACTTCTTGGGGCTCAAAGCAGAGATCAACGATATGCAAGATGAGCTGAATCTGCTGCTGGAGGCCATTACGCAAGCTGATGATAATTCAGATAAAGAAAAGAAGTCTGCTTTACGGCTAGAAGCCAATGCGAGAGACGTCGCTTGGAATATGATGGGCAACAAAGACGGAGAATTGTTGGCAAAGATGTCGATCCGTAGTGTCAATTACGTATGGATGAATAAAGCAGATAATTCGGTTCAAAATAGTTTGACAGTAGGCGATTTGAATGCTGTCAATGTTGATCCAAATGCAGTTTTTCAAGAGATTATCACAAAATACAATTCCCCCGATCATCATCCTATGAAGGAGAATGGAATGTTACTCATCGGAGCCTGGTCAGTCTTACCACCTGTTGGTGGAATTGCCATCGTTGATCACTTCGAACTGCATTTGCATCCTCTGCGTATTCAAATTGAGCGAAAGATTGGTAGACAGATTGAAGAATATATCTTTGGAAGTATGCGGGAAAAGCGGAAAGAACGAGAAGAAATCGAAGATCAAGGCGAACATGATCAAAAGGGTGACGGAAAAGGAGATCAAAAATCAATTCGCGGAAAAGGAATCTTGACAAAGCGATTTAAACAATTGAAAGGTGCAATCAGTGGTCACGGTCATTCTTCCAATTCTAAAGACCAAAATGGAGAGCATGATCAACCTCAAGAAGAAGAGCCTTCCCCAACCCAGTCTGGACAATCTTCCCCTCGCAAGGCCACTAAACCACTTCCTTCTGATCGCAAAAGTATTGAGGGTCGTCGCTCGATGAACCTACATCGTACTTCAAGTAGATCACTTTTGAACCATGAAGATAGAAGCAAATCACTTTCTTATTACGGCTCATCTGGTCAATTGAGCAATAGCACAAACAAGGACGGTGGTGGTGGTGAGAATGGAGGTGATGGCGGTGGTTCTGACGGTGAATCGGAAGAAGAAAGTGGTCAACGTGCAATCGCATCAAGAAATGCTATTGAGATGCGCGAGCGTGCCTCAAAGACGGTCACGTTCGTTTCCGTAAAGGTTTCACAAACAATCTTTTGTTTGAGCTACAAGAGTGAAAAGCAAAAGTCCATCGTTGATTTATATGATCTGGTATTCAAATCGCCAAAGCTGGAATATAGAAATCGAACATGGGCACACGCAGATCTAGCCAATCATTTGAAACGTGATATCATCAAAGCTGCATGGAGACAAAGATCAACTCTGATCAAAGGAGTGATCAGTCATAGAAAGCCTCCTGCTACTCAGAGAGTTGCCCAAGCAGCAATGACTTTGACTCGCAGTCGAAATCATATCACACCTCTATCAGGTTCAAATGGTCAATCTCCAACTTCAGAAATGCGGAATGCGTTGACTGGAGCTATTGAATACCCTCTGAAGAAAGCGGCTTCCCTGACTTCATCTTCTTCGCTGAAGAAATCATCCAGTAATAGTGAAACTGTGCACGGTACGGAAGAAGGAAGTACAAGTCCAAATGGAGAACCTTATGGTGTTCGAAGTGATGGAGACCGTCAGTCTCATCGATCCAGTTCAATGTCAACCGGAGACGGTAAACGTAAATCATCTTCTACAGATGTGTTGAGAAATAGAAGGAAGTCTTCTTCATCTGCTGCCCATGATGACCGTCAACGCATTTCGTCTTCTTCCGAACAAAGACGTACGCCTGAATTCCGTTTACTTGTCGATCCTCCATCGTTCTCTACCACTGACTCCCACGGCAGTCTGTCTTCGAACAGTGCAGCACAACAACAACAAACAAATTCAAGCAACTAATTTCCGTTAATGTATTATGATGTACTGTGACCTTAAATGTATCATGAAAATCAATACATGTAATCAATTCATGAAATCACATCTTGTCTCAATGATCCAGCTTCACTCTGTAGGATACGGTCAATTTTTATGCATTTCAGCATAGAATGTATGAAGTCATGGTACATGAGCTAACGTGTGCGTATCCACAAACGGTACCCGATTGCAGGAACGCAAACGATATGATGGTCATCGAAGCAGTGAAGCCTGATGTAAAGTATTTTTTAAACATGATGAATAGATGCGTGCATATGTTATACGTAAACGAATGATCGAGGGAAGGAAACTGTTTAAGCTTGAGCCTTGGCACCAATGCTTCCAGCCTTGTCCTTGCGAGCAACACGTTCTGCTTTGCGGGCTGCACGTTCGGCCTTGAATTCTCCTTGACGTTTGGCCAACAATACGGCGTACTCTTCCTTTTGTGCTTTTTGTTGTTCGGATTTGCGAACCTTGAGGGAGCGCAAATGACGCTTGCGTTGCAAACGAGAAGCGGTGATCAAACGTTGGACCTTTGGTGCCTTGGTGTATGGCTTAGCACCTTCCTTCTTTCCGGTAACTTCACGACGAACGACGAATTGACGGACATCATCTTTCTTGGTCAAGTTGAAGAATTTGCGGATGTGGTTGGCACGCTTGGGACCCAAACGTTTTGGTACAACACTGTCGGCATCGGTCAAACCTGGGATATCTTGTTCACCTTGCTTGACGATGATCAAGTGAAGAGCTTGCATGTCGGGGCCAACAATGCAACCACGAACGGACTTACGGCGACGTTCACCGGTACGGCGTTGACGGTAGCATGAAGAGTTTTCACCCAACAAAAGACGAACACGGTTTGGGACCAAAACACCATTCTTCATTGGGAAACCTTGTTTGTCGTTACCGCCTCCGATACGGACGACGTAACCTTTGAATTCATCACCCAAAGCGTCGACCTCTACTTCTTGGGCCATTCTCTTATCCCAAAAGATACGTGTACGGCGGTCATCGTCGATTTCGAATGACTTTTGCGCTCCCGTAGCCGGGTTGGCGAAGTTGAGCTTCCTGTATAATTGAAAGAAGATGGAATAATTGTCAGTGACTGTAAGATAAGCGGCAATATGATGATATCCATCTCATGTGTCGGTACGCTGCAACGGGTTCCTCATCATGCTTCTTCTCCTTCTTCGAGATTGTCTAGCATATTTCCCACCAAGTCGAAAATCTCTCTACCCCTCCCTTTAGTGGTCCTCTCTTCTCGTATCTCCAACACCCATCATCCTCTCTATCATTTCGTCGTATCCGTCATGGCGCTTCCCTTTCAATCTGTATAGGATACTTACATCTTGCTGAATATATGGACGAGGTGGTCAAGAAAGGATTGATGAAGCTTCCAAAAAGACATTCAAATGATCTTGAATTTGTGCCTTGGCTGCTGCGCTTTCTCGCGTGCGTGCGTATGCCCTTTTGGCCTTGTTAAGTGCGGTAAGTGCAGCCCTTTCCGCCTTATTGGAGAACTTCTCAACAAGCTGCTGCTTTAAATGTTCACCTGCCTGCACTCACGCACGCTTACAATTGCAATCATTCAAGCAAGCACTTTAACAGTGAATAAATCTTCCCTTTGACAGGAAACTTGCTAGGCTGCGGCGCTCACGTTACAGTTGCACTGGTCTTTCGCGCATTTGGACACTGTCAGCACGAAAAAATATTCATCGCGCCGCAAGCTTGACACGAACACGTGATGTCTTCATTGCACACTTTATTGAAGCACCTTATGCGCGCTGCTTGATTGCCTTGAAGCGCAGGCTGCGAATCAGTTCTGGCTATTGACTGAGTTGTAAGATTCTCAAAATTGCCAGACACCATCCTACGAATTCACCTTCTTCTCTTCAGCCACGCTCCCTCGACACATAAACTCAAGAATAAGGTAGGTATCGACTATTGCGACTTTACATGCGATGGAGATGAACGGATGAGATGAGCGAGGTTTGAGGAAAAGGAATGTCAGAAGAAGAAGTGAAGGGTGGTATTTGGGATTGTGAGAGGGAAGACGAGAGGATTATCGAAGGAGATTCTGTCGATACTTTTCTTGGAGCAAATGCTGTCATCACGTTCATCTCTATCCAACTTCAGCAATTTCGACATACAGTCACTAACCTAAAACTTTTATCTTTACCATTCCAGCCAATATGGGTCGTATGCACTCCAAGGGAAAAGGTATTGCCTCATCGGCTTTGCCATACCGCCGTACACCACCTTCATGGCTCAAGACAACGCCTGAAGATGTCTGCAAAGAAATCATCAAACTTGCACGTAAGGGTATGACCCCTTCCCAAATTGGTGTTCAATTGCGTGATAGCCAAGGTGTTGCTCAAGTTCGTTTCGTTACCGGTAACAAGGTTTTGCGTATCCTCAAATCCGAAGGTTTGGCCCCTCAAATCCCTGAAGATTTGTACCACTTGATCAAGAAGGCCGTCTCTATGCGTAAGCACTTGGAACGTAACCGCAAGGACATGTCATCCAAATACAACTTGGTCTTGATCGAAAGTCGTATCCACCGTTTGGCACGTTACTACCGCACAAAGGGTGCTTTGCCCGCTACATGGAAATACGAAAGCTCGACAGCCAGCACTTTGGTCGCCTAAGTCGGTCGTTTCGTTTTCTCATTATTCCATGTCGTATACACTTTCACCGCGTTTTGGGTACAACTCTGGCGCAACCATTCACCACCATGTCCTTTTCGAGATTCAGTCATGCTAGGCTTTGGCATCACGTTTAGGACACAATTGTATGATTGATAACATTTACACAACTACATCAAAATGGCATTTTATTGCAGCAGATATCATGAACGGTTTTGCTATGTGTGCGAATTTCTGTGGATTTGAGTGAAGTTGAGAGGGGAGGGATCTTTGAAGAGAAGAGTGTGGTTTGCATTGCTGAGACTGCGATTTGTGTGATGCCAAGAAGGGATGCACCTGATTTTTACCTGCACATATATATTTGAGGGCGAGGAAGAATAGAATATCATGGTCTCTTCTTTTAAGAGGCTCTTCGTTGATGAGGTGAACCTCTTTTGCGCTTCGATAATCGTAAGCTGTAGAGCTCACAATCTAGGAATGTGAGAAAGAAAAAGGATGAAGAGAAAAGATGAACAGCACTTGTTGATGGTAGAAAGGAGAATGAAGAGAAAAGATGAACAGCATTTGTTGATAGTGGAAGGGAGAGAGACGAACAAGTCACAAAGATCTTCTGTATTGCGAGCTGCCGTATCGATATCAATCATTCCATAAACAGTATTGAGCATCATTTTCGAATCCAGATCAAAGTACAATTATTTTCAAAAAGTCTGCCATTTTTATGATCCTCGTCTGTCGGCCTAAGAGGATCAAGACGAACATTCTTGGTTGACAAGAACCTGGAGTGAGTGAGAGTAGGTGATCTTCATTTAGAGAGTGGGAAAAGAGAGAAGGCTTCTGTCTTGCTCTACTCAGTCACAGATTTTTACAATACTAGAGATATGTTGGCTGAGAAGAATCATTATGAAGAGGAGACGTCATATGATTGATTGTTAGCTATGAAATTGTCTCGATTGTTGAAGACATAGAACCTTTACTAGTGTGCGCTTGGCATATACTACATTATTAATTTCTACTATTTATTTGGTGGCGTCAAGAGGCGTTTTGTGCCTTGCAATATTGGACAAAGCTGTCAAAGAGGCAGTGTAGTGTTGCGCCGCGCCCGCAGCTTTAACGCCCTTTAATGCAAATTGTTTAGAATTTGTATGAATGCATTCTAGTGCGTGCAGATTGTCCAATCCTTTGTTCCCATCCACCATCCGATAAAAACTGTTCGTCAGTCAAAGAAGACCATCCTTGTCATCTCTTTGTCGTCATCATGTCTCAATCACCCGAACCAAGAGAAGAACGTGAGAGGGATGAGTATATGCGCTCTCGTTCACCTGAACCAAACAGAGAACGTTCAGAAAGCAATACTCCCCTCGATAGCAAGCAACGAAGACGATCACCCCCTCGCCCTTCACATGCTCCGGCCAATCCTGAACCTACCACTATGGTAGGTGTTTTCGGTCTCTCAGTTCGCACAAATGAACGTGATTTGGAAGACGAATTCAGCCGTGTTGCTCCGATCGATAAAGTTACCATTGTCTACGATGCAAGAGTAAGTACCAATCATCAGAATATCGTTCAATGCAAGAGAACTAACACCCGATCTTCTTTCCCTTTCATACAATTACAGTCCCAACGATCTCGTGGTTTCGGCTTCGTAACCATGGCAGATTTGGAAGGTGCTAAAGCTGCAATCGCACAATTAAACGGTCTTGAGTTGCATGGTCGCCGCATTCGTGTGGATTACTCGGTCACACACAAACCACATGAGCCTACTCCTGGAGAATATCGTGGTGAGCCCAACCGTCAAGATCATCGTGGTCCACCTGGACGTGGTGGTCCAGGCGGATTCCGTGGCCCGCCACCAGGATGGGGTCCCCCACCACCATGGGCAGATCCACGTGGTCCTCCTCCAGGATACGGTTATGGACCACCACCAAGAGGTGGATATTATCCTCCTCCACCTATGGCTGGTGGTTGGGGTCGTGGACCACCAGGAGGAGGTGGCTGGGGTGGCAGAGGAGGAGATCGTGGTGGAGACCGCGGTGGAGATCGTGACCGTCGTCGCGGTGGTGGTGGTAGAGGAGGTCCAGACGTTGATGATAACTGGCGTCGCAGAGAACGCTCCCGCAGCCCTGTTCGTCGCCGTGATCGTAATGACAGCCGCAGTCCTCCACCTCGCAGCCGACGTGATGATGATGAACCGTCCTCCCGCCGTCGTGATGATTAAATCATGTAACAACGTGTTGATTTACGGCAACCACAAAAAAGATATTTCTGTATTCCAAAAAAGAAAGAAAGATGCTATCCTTTTGCAAGTACAAGCATGATATCAAGTCATGAACAAGAGGTTACCTGTATATTTGATGGTGACCTATGCAAGATCTGTTCCATTCCTATTTTCACTCAACATTATTTATTTTTGATTATTTTTCCTCAACACTTTTTTTGATCGATCTGAATGCAAGATCTACTCTATTATGTGCTATGCTTCAATGGCTATCAAATGCGATCAAGCTGTTTTAAAAATACAAGACGATTAACATTTTCCCAAAAAAAGAAAAGAAGAGAGAGAAGATAAAAGGTCAATTGAACCCTGCCCTTGAAGATCAATGATGAACGAGTATGATACTTTCTGTCGTGAAGAATTGAGAAGAACATTTTGCAAGACTTTGTCTATGAACCAGTTTGGACCTCTTTGAATGGCAATTTGTATGGCCAAAATCTCTTTGAGGCATTGGAATGCCATCGGAAAGCGCCTCGAATGAAGCACGGCAAGAGTATGAATCACATGCCAAAAGAAGTAACAAAACTTACATTAATACAGGTGAGTTTGCAATGGTTGCTTTGTGCTAACAACATTTCCTTCTTCTTTACAGCACAAAGGTGAGTATGAACCTTTATGCCGCTTGAGGGAGGAGCGACATTTTGTTTCTCTTGAGAAAAGATGATCTGCTCTGACCCGCGGCATATGGACAATAAATGTATCGTATCCTACCTTTAAAAGATGAACAATGGAATCAATGTTAAACAAATAGTCCTTCGGTCTGAAAAGTATAAAATTAAGTGGCACTATAACGAACAGAATAGCTGGTTGTGCGAGCGTCTTCGAAGCCCAATCTCACGGTGAAAGAAAAGAAATAATCATTCACGATACTAGCAAGTGATGGTAATGACAATATCAACTCTCTTCAAAGGTCATCACACTCAAGTATTGCACAAAGAACATTTGAAATCGCTCACACATCTTTTGTTAGAATCAATCATTAGGTAGGTAGCCAGAGCTTCAAGTACATGGTGTGGAGGAAGACAGAGAAGCTTGTTTGCAATGTCCTTCATGAAAAGTCTTCTTTCACCTTTCAGTCGCTCGAGGTAGGTAAGAGTTGCAATTGATAAGCTTGGTCACCGGGAGGTGCTGAATTGGTGAAGAATTGTAATTCAGCATGAGGAGTGTTTGAAATGACCAAAGTTGTTTGTTGATCATCAAAGAAGAGGTTACTGGCATCATCGCTATCGCCGTAGAGAAATTCAACGTACATGAAAGTACGGTAAGGAGAAGGAACTTGAGTACAGTAAGAATCCAAGATACTGTTTCGTGCGCCTGTTGTTGAATCATCAAAGCTCTCCAATGCAAGACAATGTTGAGTTGCACCTTGTGGACGCAAGATACCGAAATAATTGTTTGTAGGTCCTGATGATGGTGCTGTATAGCCAGGAGGAGGGTTGTTACCATCTTCATCAGTGCAACGAAGGAATTCCCACACTTGAGGTTGAAGAGGGCTTCCGTCATCATTTTTGGTTACAATGATGGAATCCTAGATGAAAAGAGCAAGTCAATTCAGTATAAGTTAACCGACAATCAGTTGTTCAGAACAAGATACTCACATTCGAACCGTCAATTCCGGTAATTTTGACGTTTGGTACAGTACCAGCATATGTGATTGGTCCTGAAGAGGTATCGTCTTGAGGACGAACGATCAAATTACCAGTAGCGTAAGTGTAACATGAGTTAGGAGTTTGTCTCTTTGCTGCAGGGATGGCAGAGGCGGATGCCATTAAGGCGTACGTGGCGGCCACAAAGACTGTAGGGAAGATCATATTGAGAGAAAGAAATGGAGTTTTGAATGAGAAGGAAGGTTTGTGAGTGAAAAGAAGGGGTCTTGTATGAAGAGAAGAGGATGAACAACAAAAATTCACCTCTATTTATAAGATAGAAAGATCCGTTATGGCTCAAATATGTTACAATTAGCATCCAATGTTCCTCGTGACCCTTCAAACGCAATCTCTTCAGCCTTGTCGTCTCTTCTCCGTAAGAAAGTTCTGGCCACGTTTGTGAAACACTTTGCAGTCGAGGTATGCTAAAGGATGGTATTGTGGGAGGCCCGTACCTCGTGGTCAATGATTGAAGGTCAATTACATAACCGTCGGTACAGAAGGAAGCCTACGGTAAAAGTTAGCGCGAGCGGAGACAGTCGTCAGCTTTATGCCGATATCCCTGGATCAGAATGTTGGAAGTCCGAAGTAAGACGCACTAGCATGGTCAAGTAAAGGTGACTAAAAAGATCATGCGGATAGCTTATTGACACATGTCACGCAAGACAGTATCAGCATCAATTCAGGAACATCGGAGAGAAAGTTTAATTCCTTCGACACTGCTGTAATGTAGAAGTCGGTTAAATCTTCCCCACACTTCAAATGCCGGAGTGATAATTAAGCTTTTGCGACAAGGTACGGGCTACGAGAGGGAGAATTTTGACTGCTTCTTGTTGAGCTCCTTACAGCTTGAGGGAAGAGCAAGGAACCGGTCATAAAGGTCTAAAAAGCATAGTCTAGAGTAGTACGGTGATGAATAGAACAGTGGCTTATTCAAGCGTTTCTCAAGCTCGAATTCACGGTTAAAAAAGTTCATTCATGGTATGAACAGATCAAAGCCTCTCATACGCGGATCTTGTACTCAAAATGGCTCAAAAAGCTCGCACACAAGACTTTCATTAAAATGATACAATAATTTCGTAGCTAAGAGACACAGCAAGAGGGGCTTGTCTGCAATGTCCTTTATAAGAAATCAGGGAGTAGTGTTTGGCAAAAGTTGTAATTGATATGTTCTTTGTCCGGCAGGAGCACCATCGGTGAAGAATTGAAGTTCAGCATGAGGTGTGTTTGAAATGACCAAAGTAGTATTTTGATCTGCAAAGTAAAGATCAACGGCATCATTACTACCTCCGTAAATCTCATCGACAAACATGAATGTACGGTATTGAGCCGGAACTTGAGTACAATAAGAGTCCAAGATACTGTTTCGTGCGCCTGATGTTGCATCATTTTCGCTTTCTAATGCAAGACAATGTTGTGTTGCATTTTGAGGACGTAAGATACCGAAATAATTGGCTGTAGGTCCTCCTGGTTGTGGTGAATAGCCAGGAGGTGGACTTTGACCGTTTTGATCGGTGCATTGAAGGAAGTCCCACACTTGAGGTTGAAGAGCGCCTCCATCATCGTTCTTTGTGACAATGATAGAGTCCTGAATAAGTCGTGAATAAAGATAAGGAAGATTTAGTCACAAGAATCATCTAGCATTCAAAACGAAACACTCACACTTGTACCGTCAATTCCGGTATGCTTGACATTTGGCACAATTCCAGCATAAGTGATTGGTCCTGAATGGGTGGTACTGTCATCTGTAGGACGAACGATCAAATAACCGGTGGCATGAGTGCTACATGTGGCAGGAGTTTGTCTCTTTTCTGCCGGGATAGCAGAACCGGATGCCATTAAGGCGTATGTGGCGGCAACGAAGATTGAAGGGAAGAACATGTTAAAAGTAAGATTGGATTCTTGAATGAAGAGATAGAATTGAATCATCAACATTCACCTCTCTATTTATAGGCGTTGTAACAATGTGCAACATGATACCTCAGATGACTTCAAAGAAACACCGCCATGCCTCCGTGCTCTTGCGTCGTCTCACTTCCGTAGATCCGAAGAGAGACTTGACGAGTATAGCTTGCAGTAGAATTAAGCTAATGTTTGTATTGCCACAAGCCCGTACCTTGTTTAGAGTGTTTCGACGTCATAAAAAAAAGGTACAACAAGCAATCAACAAGCCGTCGAACTATATTAGCGCGAAACGAGATCACTCACTCTTGGCTTCATGCCGAAAACACCAAATAAAACGTTGGAAGTCCGAAACAGGAGACGCTAGCTAGCATGGCTAGGGCCCGTACGGCGACTTTTGAAGGATGATATAGATAGATTTGTTAGCACAGATTCCCGCAATAAAGTTCGGACCTCTCCATTCAGGAACCTCGGAAAGGCTTTTTTCAATGACACAAAAGGTTATGTGACAAAGTATTGGCTAGGGTGTATTTTGAATGCCGTTATTGTATGAATGCCGTTGTTATGTGAATGCCGATATTGTGTGAATGCCGATATTGTGTGAATGCCAGTCAAGTACCTGCATATATCGGCTCATCATATGGTTTTCAACCATGATAATCCGGCTCAGTGACAGATAGTTCCTCTGCAACAAACATGATCAATCGAATGCATATATTCTAATACGCCGTGCTCGATCAGCGATTGCATCCCTTGCTAGACTGCCAAGAGACCTGCGAATCCTGGTGAATTGACGATGAATGCGATACAATTGAGACAGCTTTATGGATTGGCAACACATAGCTTGCTGGAGAATATTTTCGGTAGGCAAGAAGTGAAAAGTCTAGACGAAAGCATCTTGGGTGGGTGAATGCTACGAATTCTCACGTCATAGTCTATCCAAATCGTAAATGGTAAGTGAAGCAAATGAGAAAGGCGACCAAATCAAGTCTTGTCTCTGAGAAAAAGCTGGTGCATGAGCTGCACAGAATCTTGCTGTAGTGGCAGATTTGGAAGAGAAGAGCAGACTTAAAGATTTTTAAAAGCAATCAAGAACGCCATCCTGATTCAATCTTCAGACGGCACTGTTGTACCTATGAATGTCTTTGTCTATTCCCCGCACCTCTCTACTCGGCCGGGGCATGCACACAAGATCTTTAGAACAGCTAGCCTCTATTGTATGCATGCGCGTTTATTGTTCATTGTTTAAACTTGATCAAATTAGAGTAAGAAGAAGTTCGGGAGCGAATGAAATGCTTTAAAGCAACCCGATCAATTTATCCGGGGCTCAAGCAACTATCGATTTATACGCGTTTTGTGTGTGTATGCCTGCACGGATTAGCTTCAGATAGAAGAAGCAAGTGAGGGTAATTTTCCTCACAATGTGCTAACAGTGTAGTTGTAGAGGCAGCAAAGGTTGAATGCAGGCAGGTATAATGCAGTAGCATGCCTTTTGATTGTTTTCTCGATCTGCGTTCCACTTTTGACTTCTTCACAAGCCTAGAGCCGGAAATCAGAAAAAATGAACGCGTTCAAGGCATTTCATCAGTGAATAGTTTAAAACTCCACAACAACCAATCTACAAGCAGAGAAAATATTCGATCTCTACGCCGATCGTAGAAAGATACGCCACGACTTTGAATACACTGATTGAATGGCATTATACCCCTTACCTGGCGTACCTTTCTGTAGAAAACAAACAACTTCCTTGTGCTTTTCTTTTTTTTCTCGGAGCTATTATACAAGCGATACATTAAACCAGGGTCGATGGACATACGCATCGAACGGAGCGGTGAACACAGTTGGACTGTGTGATGACAGCATTAACCGTGTACCTGTTTTTGAATTGGATTAAAATTCCGCCGTTTAAATGAACTTACAGATCGAATGATGAAAAAGAGTGCTTTCATGCCTTTCAGGGTGTCTTTGTTTATACTTTAATCATTAAAGAATGCCTAACAACAAAAGATGTCCCTGTCAAGATACTGTTATATTACAACTCCGATGGGGTTTAGTGCAGCAAAAACGAAGATCACCCTTTTTTGAAGTAATGATGTCGTAGTGCTTTCATTTTGCAAAAATATTTAATCAATCCCTTTAAAAAGTCCCTGAAGGGGTGCAACATTTCATTCATACGTCAATTGTGCCTTTCTTTAGTGAAACACTCTCAATTTGCCCGTCTTGTTTCTTTTTCCACCACCGATTAAATGGGATCAAATATTCGATGGTGATGTCCATCTTTTCTGTAAAACAATTAATTGCCCGTTGGTCTGTCAACCCTAAGCTAAATGATGGAAAAGGGTGTTGTGCGTTTTTAATTTATTTTTCTAGGGTTCAAGATATATACACACACACACACAGAGTGGAGATAAATTGAGAGATTACACTGTAACGCATACGTTCAATCGATCTAGGAGGAAAATACTTCTATTCCTCCTTTAGCGTTAAAATTCCTGTCTTACATTAAAGAGTAAAAATACTGAAATTGTCCCCTCTTTTTCGCCTCCGCTTAATATTTGCATATTTGCAGGTCACAACAATTTGACTCCTTCCTTCTGCTGCCACCCTGACTGTTTGAATGAATGAATAAGAAGAATTGCCTCCACTGTATTCATATTTGACGTTACTCCTCTCTCACCAATTCATTCTTTTGATGGTACTCTATGTTTGTAGAGCAAGTTGTTGTTCACATCCTGCTATGATTGTCACCACCATCAATCATCGATCAAACTTATGAAAATCTGAACATACAAATTAACCCGATCGACTCTATTGCAATCTTGTACAGGATCTTCTCTCACGGCCACTCTATTGAAACAGAAAGGGCATATATCCGACTCAATACCGCGAATGATCTTGACATCTGTTTCTTCTCAACAACAAGAAACTTGTTATCTTCAAGGATAACAATAGGATTCGCTCTTAAAATCCGTACATGAATACAATGACACAAAACGATACTTCACCCGCAACTTCATTCTCATTGCCTTCGGCTGGTGGTGTTGTGAGTTTGTTGAATGATTCAAAGGCAACATCAAATGGTCCATCAAAGGGTAATTCGTCAGGAAAGACTCATGCAAAGTCAATAAATAGAAAGCATGTCATGTCCGCTTCTTCTCCGGCACAAAGTTTGATTATTCCGCCTTTGACTTCTCATCGTTCACAGAGTACTTCATCCGACAGTTCAGTACCACGTTCACCTTTCAGCAGCGCTCATCCTAGTGGAGGTGAAAGTTATGGATCTTCATCTTTTACCTCAGTTGTTCCCTCCACCGAATCTTCACGAGATGATGGCTTGGAATCTGGAAAAGTATCCAGAGCATCAGAAGAAAGCGAAACCGCCGCCGACGATCAACTGAAACAAACTCAACCCAGAACGCAAAGGACTGATACCGGCTTTTCTTCTTCACCTTCAGAAGATGAAGAAAGAGGTGAACATACAATCACTGCGAACGAAAATACAGCAGCAGGCACCAAAAGAAGACGTGATTCAAACTCAAAAGCAGATGAAGCCGTTCAAGCACGAAAGGCGCCCATGAGTAGAGTGCTGAGTTCTTCTCGATTCGCTAAATCTCCACCGCCAATTCGAAAGAACAATTCCACTTACCGTGAAGACAATACGAGCATGACAAGCGGCAGAGAACAAGACGAGATGGATGAAAGAAATGAGGCCCGCTCGCATACATTCAACAAAGCAAACGAAGGTGAAGTGCCGATGAATATGCACAGAGCAACTGCAGTTACACAAGGAGGCTATGGCGGAAAGAATATGTTGGATGGCAATGAGTCAAACAAGACGGACTCTTTCCATCGTAGACGTGCCAGTAATGCTGAATCAACGTCATCAAAATTAGGCACTCAAGTTGGCCGTAAGGGTAGCAGCAACTCTCAGATAATTGGCGGAAAGAAACGTTATCCTTGCTCGTACCCTGGATGTGATAAGACCTTTTCAACCAGTGGACATGCAGCCAGACACAATCGTATTCACACCGGCTCCAAACCATATCGATGCACATTTCCCGGATGCAATGCGAGCTTCTCCAGGCAAGATAATTCTCTGCAACATTACCGAACCCACGTCTTGCATCCAAAGAGTCGAAACGGAGGCACTGTGAACTTGGACTCCAGTCAAGTGGACGCCGTTGCACTGGAAAGCGAATTGTCAAATCTGGACCCTGAAACTGTTGCCACTGTTCAAATGGGCAGGAAAGCATTGGAAGAAGGAACTGCAATTGCTGTCGTACAGGAATTTATCGATCCAACTGGAAGACGAGCTGAAGCCGTTCAAAGGATGGTTGGTCAACCAAAGACAGGCAGACGCGGCTCTACAACCACGCAAGGTTCCGTGTCACATCAATGGGATGGCGATAAAGGTCATGGCTTTAGCGATGATGGATATTCTCATCAAAGAAGATCGTCTTTTGATGCATATGATGCAGCACCATATAATCGTGACAGGCAAGGTCAACCGGGTGCTTATCGACCTGCTGCAATGTATCCAAACGGTCATTGGTCCGAGCAGCATTCCATGCACCACCCTGCTCCGTATCCTCACCGAGAAGGCCCATATGCGATGTCTCAGCCTCCACCACAATCTGATGGCGGTTATCCGATCCATCCTCATGCTTATCCTTCACATAGCGCAATGTCGTCGCATTCCATGCCCATGCCTGAGCATTATCACGGTCATGGATATGGACCGTATCAAGGCCATCCAAGCGGACATCCAGGATATCGAAGTGGGTATGAATCATCTCCGATGCAAGAGCGAGGACCGGTTCCTCATCCTGGTGATGCAAGATATTACCAACATCACGAAAGCGTTGGGTTTGGAGATCGAGTTCGCAGAGGAAGTGAGAATGCGAGCATGCATCAAGGACAATACCATCATCCCTCTTATGTTGGGCCAAGACATATTCATGAACCATTATATTCGCCTCCCTCGCGTGATCGTCGATACAGCGAACACAGCAATGCCGAAGCGATGCATAATAGTCATCGAAGATCTGTTTCTAGTGCAAGTGGTATGCAATCATATCATACGCCAAATGGATATGATCGACCGCCTAGCCGAGCATACGAAGCACCATCTCCATCACTCTCTACGCATTCTTTCCGAAGTGAAGGGCCATATCGTTCCAAGCAAGCAAAAGATGGCAGTGCAAGCAATGCTCTTTCGCTCCTTTCCAACGCAGCTGCGCCTCTTCCACCTGTCAGAACGGACAAAGCTACTCTTCCATCACCAAATATGGTAAGGGGACCTACAACCTCGCCTGGTGGATCGCTAATCCGAAAGTCGATGATGAACGATATGCATTTGCCACTTCCAAAAGCCTTGAGCCAAGTTCCTTGCTCGTCCGATCGTAGTACCAATGGACTCACACCAACACCTCTGATCAATGGTGACAATACGTCAATGCCTAACAACAAAGGTATTACGGCCGCACCTTCTGAAACCGCACCAAAGTATGGATCACAAGTAATTTGAGCCAAGATTTTTCTTCTTTACAATTTTTTTGATACCCGCTTCCTATTTTCGTTTTGTACAATTCAAGGCTTCTTTCTCTATTCTTGGGATCGTTGACATCATTCCGACTTTGGATGCGACCGTTTTTCTTCTTATTTCTGTCTCCTCAATTCTCATCTTCACTCTTTTGCCTGTAAATTTTAAAGTCTACACCTTTCTTTGTGCTACTTTTAAATACTTTTTATTGTACCAGTATAATCCAAGTAGAACCCTGCCATCAGCTTCGTTTTCGAATGTTTTGCCACACACATTGTGTCCGATCATGTACCCAACCATCAAAAAGAAGAATTAATGGAGAGAATTATTGGAATATTCGCTCAATGTTTGATTGATGAATAGGAGGAGGTATGATGATGGTAATCAGTGAAATTCATGATGCTCATGCAGGATGCACTACAAGTATGCATTCAGGCTTGGATTAATACACACAGTTGGTGTGCCCATTCACACGCTCCAAGCTCAAGATACTGTAATTGTGCCTGTTATTTTTTCGTCTTTTCTCCACAAAAGATTAGACGTGTGTGAGTGATTAGAGGTATAACACAAGATAATTAACCATATTGACGTCCTCTCTTCAAACATCCATCAAATAAATAGAGACTGGAAAAAAGGTATGAATTTACCTAGACATAGTATCACATCACATGCCGTCACGCCAATCTTCAATAATGCACATTTTGCAACGATATCCAATCATGATCACCAAAAGACAAAGGAATCAGCGGACCAACGGAGTCAGGATAGACGGAAAGGTAAACAAGAGGGAAGATCATCCGTCAACTTGAGCCGAAATACACCATCTAGTCACAGATCTACAGCCTCATTCGAATCGAAAGCATCCTCAAGTAGACCGAGCAGTTCATCCTCATCCACGCCAAAGAGAGTATCAAAAGATGAAGTGAAAGGGGAAAAGGATGAATCAACCTCATCACAAGGAAACATGTTTGCTTGTGCAACGAATGACGGTTTCTTTATTGCAAGAACAGAACCTTTTCGGATAATTGCAAATCGAAAGTTTACCGCTCTTCAAGGTGGTTTGGCACATGTTGCTTTGATTGATGATTCTTCTTTGGTCGTTTTGGTTGGAGGTGGTAGAGTTCCTAGATTTGCACCGAACAAGGTAATCCTTTGGGATGAGAATGCAGAGTACAGAGTCCCAATACCTTCTTCAACAAGAAGCCGGCTTGGATCGGAAGATGATGAGATATTGTCTGAAGGAACAGCTTCTCCGCCTCCGTCAACGATCTTCTCTTTGGGCAGAGAGCAGAGTGAATCGCGAACGGAGGAAATAGAAGCCGAAGAAGATCAACAAAGTCCTAATGAAGAGGAAGCTGACAGGAACACGATGGAGATGTCCAAGACGTCAAATGCTATAGCTAGCGGCGTACTGCCGGCCATGCTTGACGATAGCGTAATGAGTGATAGCAGGCCAAAAAGTTTGAAAGGTGAAGAAGAAGGTGGCATGTCTTCCTCTCAGGTTTTTGGCGATATCGAGGACGATGAATCTGAAGGGACAGTAGATGACGCTTTAAAGAGATCATCAACAGCATCCATGATACAAAGCAAATCGGAGAAGTCTATTACATCGGCTGCCGCCGACACAGACGACCCTTTCGCAGAACCGATCTCACTTTCGGACGATCTTCAAGCAGCTATGAGCAAAAGCGATCACAGCATGTCTACATTGGATGCGGTAGAAGGGTTCATCGACCCAGATCATGATGGTCCCCTGGAGAAGAGCACGATACAGTACAAGATTGAACGAGGTCGCGAAGTGGCAGAATTGGAGTTCGGCGAAGCTGTTCAAAGCATCCGAGTTGAGAGCTTCTGCAAGAATGAGTCGAGCAACAATGATTTGACTGGAGGGGAAGAGAACACACAGACATCATCTCAAGTAAAGGAAAAAGTCTGCATTCTAGTGGTCGTTCTGCAGACTAAGTCAGTCATCTTTGAGATGGGCAATCATCTTCACAGCAACTCAGCTGCAGGGGAAGGCCAGCATGCAACAAAACCTCAATGGGGAATACGACAGCGATTTGTGTTGGACATTCACCCAGATTCGAATCGATGTACAGCAGCGCTATCGCAAATCGAAAAGACAAATTGTGCATTGATTGCTTTACCTGGAAGGCAGATCGGACATGTACAATTGGTTTGTGTGGAATTCTCGCATACGAAAAGAACATCGATTCATTCATCAATGGCAGGAGCATCTACGATCATTGCAGCTCATACGAATGCGATAGCTTGTCTTGAATTGTCAAAGGATGGACGCTTTCTTTGCACGGCCTCCGATCGTGGCACAATCTTGCGGTTCTGGTCTACAGTCTCGGCAGGCAAGCCGAGCAGGTCATCGAATCAACGTGTCACAGGTAACGGCGATCGAGTCAGAACGATGGCGGCCGCTCTACTGGGCGAATTACGCAGAGGAAGTGAATCTGTCCGGATATTGAGCATTGCAATCACGCCTGATAATCGATTCTTAGCCGTTGCAAGTGATAAAGGAACGATTCACTTCTTCAATTTGGATGCATTACAGCATGGTATACCGCTTACAAGTGGCAATCGTGAAGATGGAGAAAATTCCTTGAAACGATTTTCCTCTGGACAATCTATTCAACAAACCGGATTCAAATTATCACAAAGGGCGAATAGATTCTTACCAAATGCTATACAAAATTTTGCTCAACAAATTCCAACTTCACTTTTACCGCAATATTTTAAATCTCAATGGAGTTTTGCTCAATTTCGTATTCGATTGCAAGTATTTAGCGGTAGGATGATCGATGGTATGCGACATGTGAAGCCTCCGCCTGAGAGAAGAAAGACAGCTTCGACAGTTGGACAAAAAGGAAAAGGAAGACAAGGGCTTGGAATGGATGATGACGGAGAGGGATCAGATGGAGAAGATTTGGATGCAGAGAAAACGTTTGTTGGAGATGCATTCGTTCCTGATCGAGCTAGGAATTTGGAAGGAGGATGGGCACATATGCGTGGAAGGGTGAACGATATTCGAAAAGGAGAAAGGACGATTCAAGAAGGCATTTGGCTAGATTGGGTTCGTGCGAAACAATCATCAGAAGAAAAAGAGCAAGAAGATGAAGACTTTCAATTGATCGCAATCACTAGCTCAGGAGGCTTGTATAGGCTAGCTATAAGCACGAAAAGACCGGTCAACCCAAATACCACATCGGAACACGAAAGGCAAGATTCTTCTAACGCATCTTCAAGCACGATCTTGGATATGTATCGATCTGATACATCTGATTCTTCCAAAAATCCATCAACGGATGCGGCAGATATAGGATCTTGTAGACTTGTCCAACATTTCCGTTTCGGAAAGAGAGACGAATGGCTGGAATGAGAACCGAACAAGCACATCATTCACTTCAATCTAATCACTGTATTAATAGTACATATGCACAATCACAAACAAATAGAACCTTTAATTTGCACTTGCTTTTTATTTCTTCTTAATCATTGCATGCAGACATACGTAAAAAGCGAGAATATGATTCCAAAACAATGAATAGAAGTAGACAAGAAGAGGATAAGAGGTTTGGCTTTGAACGCACAAAGTCATGTGTTTGAATAATTTGTACATGCGTTTCGTGGTTTGGAAAGATCCGGAAAAGAGAAAAAGTAGAAATAAGGATTTGGGTTTTTTTATTGCTTATACGTAACAGAGTAGAAAGAGAAATCCAAAAGCGATAAAAGAGATGACAAGCTTACACGATAAAAAACGGTAATAATCTTGAATTATAACCAATCATTGAGCTTGAACATCTTCTTGAAAGACGGAAACACGACACATGGGCGAACAATAGAGCTAAGGGTACACGGTAGAGTACAATTTTGCGTCTCCACTGATCTACAGGATGCGTATCAGTGAGCTTGATGAAATCATTGCGGCAAGACGCGAACTTTTGATGAACAAAAGACAAAGTGATCGAGACGAGAAGATAAGAGGGAAGACTTGTTGAGCAAGAAGAATGCAAAGGCCTGAAAGGGTATAACGATCAGACCCTCTTCATTGATGCGTTGCTTTTTCCTTGTCTTTTACTCTTTTACATCAAATCTTCAGGCTTGAGCGATGATCCGTCTGGGTTTGTGCCGAAATGCTCGTCCAAGGCTCCTGTTCCGATAAAGTGCTCGTTATCAAAAGCCGTATTGAAGTGATGTGTTGGGTCACCGGCAATTTGATGTCCGGCAACGTCTTGACCGCTTGCACCTCCTCGTCCTCTTCCACGTCCAGAGCTCTTGGTTGTAACGCCAGTGTGTGTTTGTTCATATTCGCGACGTAAGCGCTCGTATTCGGCCTTGTCAGCTTCTGCCTTTTCAAGGTAAGGTTGCTTCTCTGTTTCAGGCAAAGCACGCCATTTGCTTGCAGCCAACACACTCTGTTTGGTGGTCTCTTGTTCACCTTCAAACACTTGTTGGGTCAATGCTGGATCAGCACGAATTGCACGCAAGAACAAGAAGTAGGCACTGAGTGGCTTTTTGGGTGCGTTGGGATCTTTCAAATTTCCCTTGCGTGATTTTCCTGCTTTGCGTTGAGCTGTTCGGTACATGTTCTCTTGTTTGATATCTTCTGGTGTCAAAGTTTGACGCCAGTTGTCCATGTCCTTTTCCCATTCTGCCTTTGCTTCCAAACTCTTGCGTTGGTATTCCTTCTTGCGCTCTTCTGGCAAAGCGGCATATCTTTGACCGGCATCTTTGGCAACGTGAGCGACATTTAATCTCTCGTTAGGAGAAGCAGCCTTCATCTTTTGCAACTCTTCGGTAAAGTATACTTGCCATGCTGATGGAGCTTGCTTTGGTGGCTTGAGATGAGAACGCAAGACAGGTTTAGGTGCATCCTTCTTCTTCTTCTTTTCCTTCTCAGCTTTAGCTTCACCCTTAACCTTGGGGTATGGTTGGCTGCGATCGCCCTTTGCAGCTTTGGGGGCTTTGCCTGTCTTGCCAACTTTGCCGGTAGCCTTTTCAGCTTCCAAAGTTTTCTTTGATTTGCGTCCACGACCTGCCTTTTCGGGAGCGGCGGGAACAGCTGCAGCAGCGGCTGCCTTCTTTCCACGACCACGTCCAGTACCAGTAGCAGCAGGTTGAGCAGCTCCTGCGCCGGCGCCGTGTAAGGCAACTGGATTTTGACCGACAGATTGCATATGAGCACCAGGCATCATCAAACCTTGTTGGCCTTGCAAATGTTGCATTCCACTTGGCATCTGGAAGTGGGTACCGTAACCGCCTGCATGGCTTGGTTGAACGTATGCATGACCGGGATGGTTACCGTGCATGCTGTAATCGTTCGCGCCTCCACCCATCATTGGACCGCCTGAACCAAATTGACCACTCGACAATCCAACGGAGGATCCGTAATGTTGTTGGTGTGGTGAAGCGGATTGATGGGACAAATGACTGGTATGTTGACCATATGGTTGACCGTACATTTGTTGGTAAGCATGATTACCTCCGTAATTTTGCGGATTGGTAGAGTATTGATGAGATTGATTGTTTTGGCTAAACATGGTGGAGTATCCTTGATGTGGGCTGTTGGACAATGCGTTGCTTGTTTGACGTGCGGAACGGCTTATATTGTTGTCGTGACCACTATACATACAGAATGAGCTGTGGTAGAAAAGAGAGTGTGTTAGTAAGATTGCAATGGAGGAGATGATGACCACAATGCGAATGACGCGTTGGTAGACCGCGTTAATGGAAGAATGAATGCACCAACTGAGAATGGAACATGCCCATCAAAGATGATCACGGTCATGTATGACACTCACGATGTGGATACGTGCTTTGGTTCAACGAGTGATGGTCACGGTAGACGATCAACCTGTTGATGATGATGATCAAGACGCGTCGCGAAAAGACTGAAAGAATGAGACGTGTGTAAAACGCGTTGTGTCAGATGAACTCTACGAAGTCGCGTTGACTGAAGTAGGAGCAGAGGTGGCAAAAGAAGAGAGCAAGGGAAGTGTGTGATGGCAGTCACGACTGATGATCGTGCTAGATAACGAGCAATGAGAAGGAGTGTTGGTCTTTTTTCTGCAAAAAGTGTTGTTCTTCGCGTTGACCGATGGGGTAAATGAATAAGGCACACGATACTCACCTTTGATTGCAATGTATTTGGTCGTGATGAAAAGCGGTGTTTGTGCTCTTTGCCTGCTTTTGCTCTTTTGAAAGGGGAAAACGGCGAGAGGATGCGTGTACGGGATAGAACGCCTAATAAAATGCTGTTCCTTTAATCAAGGATGTGCTTTTATGAGAGAGAGTGAGATGGATGGGTGGAGAGTGGTATGCTGCTCAGATGGGCACGCTATGACTATGAAGGGTGCGGATGAAGGGGGAGAGGTTAGATGCGAATTGCGCGCAGGTGGCCGGTATATACGAAATTTTATTGATTACCCACGCGCGCGCGCAAAAGCAAAAGGGCAATAGATGAACGTGCACCAAGTAGAGAGGGAGAGAGGGGATAGGGTATGTAAAAAGGTAAGCTCTCTTGAAGGTACATGATGCGACATATAATGAACAACTCACCCGGAATGATTCAATTGCTCCTTGAAAGGTAAAATGCGGTCTGAGCAACAGAGAAATGAACAAATTCAGTCAATGAGGAGCAAGGGAAATGGTGCCGAAGGAAGGCAGGATGAGGGAGGATGCAAGAATGAAGAGCAAGTAAGAGGAGGTGAAAGAATGCGATATGATGCCTTTGCTAGGCAACATTTCAAAGGTTTAACCCTTCTGCTAAAGTCCAATCAGACGGCATTGGAATCCAAAATATGCGTATGTGCGCGCGCGCGTATTTTGTAGCTTGTTGTTCAAAATTACGTTGGAAATGGCGTGTGGTGCAATTACCTGTGTAGTTCAAACGTAAATTACCGGCACCCTTCAAGCCAGCACGCGACTGGTTCGGTACGGACCTTCTTTATCCCCCGATCAATCGACGCGATAAGTGCCACAAAAACACGTCAAAAAGTGACCGACAGTAAATCCACCAAGGCGTGTAGTATAGGCACGGCAAACTTGCACTTTCAAACGTACAGGTATGCCGTGTTGTATATTTTATTATACTTGCGTTCGCTGTTGACTTATTACATGCATTAGCGTACTGTCTCGCTTAAATAAGCCTTATGTTGGGATATGACGTATACGGTGCGCCTAGCACGTGTACAGGCGTCACTTGCCGTATCACGCCGTATCACGCCTTAACGCCTGATCCGCCACAAAGGCTGACGAACCACAGTTTTGGTGCCCAAATTAGCCCATATGTCAATTATAAATAGTCAGATATCACATGTAAATTTTACCCACTTTTTCTTTACCTCACTAATTTATTATTATCAATCAGAAAGCAGTGCCTGGAGACTACAAAACGTAACACCTTAAAGATTTATATACTTGAAAGAGGGGTGCGGGTGGACTTCGATGCAGAAATAAGTCTGCTTATATAATTGTGGTCTATGTCTTATCCATCTCAAAATCAATCACCACAATATCACAGGATCAAACTCGGCAGGCAATCCGAACCTACTTCTCAGTGAAGCATACAATACCATACACGACTCTCTCTGCATGATATTTAAGCAGATTTAGGATTTGATTGGAAGGTGGTATATCTTTCATATATTCCTGAAAAATAATTCTCGATCTGAATAAAAATTATATTAATATGATGATAAACAATATAGAATTTATACCCACATATATATGAACATCAGACGATACCGTGAAGTGTTGGGAGCATATGCTGGCTATAAGAAAAGTCCATCGTACTCAATTCCGTGTTGGTATTTGTCAATTCATATAAATTTCTGCATAAAGATTATTAAGAAAGAAAAAGGTATTGACTGAACTTCAAGTATAGTATAGTCACATCTTAGCGAATATGACGTTGTAGAGAGAATGGATCAGTCTGTATAGCTAGTTGTTCAATACTGTCTATGCTATTGGTATTATAAAAAGAGAGAAACGAGAAAAACCGGCTTATGTGATCGCAGGGAATAGAGATAAAAGCAAGAAGTAAATTATTCTTCAAATATTTGTATTGCGATAGAAGTAGAATCCCAATTCAGAATGAGAATGAAGATATATACAAGATTGAAAATGTATAATGAAATCACATTTAATCTATACCATGATGCCGTAGCTTGTATACGTCATAAAGCCTGGCAGAGGAATACCGCTGCTTTAGTGGCACAGCACTAGCGTACTTTCGGTCGTCTTTTTGACGCCCCACTCCACAAGCTTGTTTGAATATTTTACTGGGCAAAAGGAGGAGGATCCGCTTTGCATTTGAAGCAGAGCACAAGCACATAAGACTAGGAACACGCGTGTCATGGCATAAATTTAAAGCCTGGCCTAGAGTACATGCAGCCTTAAGACTTGCCTGACTGCCTGTTAACGAGCCCGTTCTTCCTATGATACATTATATTATCTTATTTGCATTCAATATACATTGCTACTTCTGTCTCATTTGAGTTCAGATCCCTTCCTACTCCTTAACCAGCTGGCATAACAACAATCATCCCCTTTTGACTGATCCTTCAACTCCTTCCTTGATGTCATCACAAGAATCAGGAGGCGGACAGAACAAAGAAGAGCGAAACAATGGAGCTCGTTCGGGAGCCTGATTTTGAGCATAACAGCTTTCAAAATGGTGAAAGAATAATCGATACAAGTGAAGGTTCACTTGATAATCATACAAAGCAACCTTCACAGATTCTACCTACGCCGCCTACATTCACACTCACACCTTCTCAATCTGTTTCCGCAAATACGGTCGATTCAACCTACGCTTCTCTTCCAGCCGTTCCAACACATGATCCACAAATGTCACATAGGCCTCGTCGTAGTTTGGACCTTCCAGTGGTTCCTTCTGTTCTGGCAACAGGAGGTATGAACAGATCTTCATCCAGTTCAAAAGCGCATACATTGGCTTCCAATATTGCCCTTAAGCCACGTCATCATTCCGTTTCAAGTGGAAGTGCTCATTCTGCAAGCCATCCGAATTTACGAAATGCGGAAAAAGATGAAGAAGAATATCAAGAAAAGTGTCAAGAAGAAGAGGAAGAATTAGAAGAGCTTGAAGATACAGACGATGAAGTGGAAGAAATGGCAGAAGAACATGATCATGTCAGAGAATCGGAAGAGATGATCACACTTGATCGATTGGAAACAAAGCAATTGGTCGAATTAACAAGAAATCTTTGCTTATCGTTTGTGCAAAGTTTGCTGAATGTCATGGCAAATAATGCAACATACACAAGACTGATTGGAGGTAGCACAAGGATGGAAAAGCTGTCTAAAGCAGCGGACGAGGCATGCGCTTCGCTGTTCAATTCCAATTCACGCTCGAATCAAGAAGAAAACAAAACGCAACGCTCAATCGAAAGGCTTGCTGTATTGGTAGTCAATGCAGCTGATGAGATTGAAGGTTCGTCTAATCCTACATCCGCAAGCGGTCACAGCAATACGGCGATGGATGATATCAAGCTCGTCAGAGCCTTGTCTACATTACTGGCCAGTCTGGATCCTGACAAACTTCAAGGGACGTTGTCTCAAGCATCCTCGCCGTCTTCCTCATCACATGTATATCCCGCATCAGGGATGCCAGCGGAGTCCTGGCAGCGAGCTCCGTCTCATCGGAACAGCATCTCGGGAAGCAGCAGTGGAGATCTGAGGAGCCCGACGAGTGCCACTCATTGGCCAACAAACACAAATGGTATCACATCAAATAATAATTTAACGCCCAGTCCCTCTTCCAGTCGCGAAGAATTGCGAAATCCTTTCTCTGATGAGGAAATGCGAGTTCCTCAAAGTTGTGGAAGCAGCTCAAGTCTCGCTTATAGTATGAATCCTACTATGGGCATAGATGAAAGATGGAGAGATCGGTCATTCATTCTAGGAGGAAGTAACGCAAGCTCGAATGGAGAAGTACAGCGCTTAATTCGCTTATTTGATGAGATTGAGAGACGATGTCATGATTCGTCAACATATGAAAGAGGTATAGAATATCACGATCACAGACCTCAGACTAGCGAAGCGGCATCTTTGCAAGCACAAATTGGTGCAGGACGATCATTACTGGTCACTCGAAGAAGCGAATTGTTGTTGAACATCAATCCAGGCAGACAACGTTCGATATCTCCTTCTTCTCCTTCGCCTACTTTTGGTCGTTCAAGACGTAATAGTCGAGCATCAAGCCCAGCCTTCAATACTGGACCACCTCACGAGCAAATTGCAGGCGATCCAACAGGTGAAGCTATCGTTGCAGGAATGATGGCAGGTGGGCTAAGTGCTTCAAATCGTTCAAAGAATCCATCAAATCGTAACTCGATCGGATTTATGCCCACTCCACCACAGCTGGTCCGTCGTAACAGCACAAAGAGCGAACGGTCATTTGGTCTGCATTCACCGCCTCCAAGATATTCAGAGGATTCTACGAGAAATTGGGCAAGTGTAACTTTCCCAGCTCTGACTGGACAAGAAGCAGGTGTTGGAAACCTCATGAGTCAAGCGGTACCAACTTCACAAAGCGAGCCGCATCGCAGACGTAGAAGTGCTTCAAGTGACATTTCGACAGGCTTTCCCACTGGTCCGCCTGCTTATGCGACAGATTCTTTTGTGACTGCACAGAATTCAGAGAAGGAAGGTAGCCGATCTTCATCGCTTCTTTCGCCTTCTGAATCAACTTTGGCTGGTACCATCAGCAGAGGAGGTATACCGAAATGTTATCAGAATGAGAAGGAAGCCTTGGCTGCAGCAGATGAAGTTAGTCCTGCTCGCAAGTCTACTCGAGCGGAACAGACTGCTACTGAGACTGCATCAAGATCAATGCATCCAGCACAAGAATTGAAAATGTTGCAAAATGGCATCGATCGATTGATGGAAAGTGCGCCACAAATGAGCGATCAACGTGTTGGCCCTCCAGACCTGCAAAAACGAGCCAATCAAAGAGAGTCCGATTTGAAACAAATGGTTGAACGCATGTCGAAAGCTGGAAGATTGGATGATCAACGTGCCGCACCACCGATGCAAGCATTAGGCTCTACGAGGCGAGCATCAGTGAATGATAGAATGCCAAAAGAAAGTGTTTCAGGAGTAGGCAGTAGCAACTTATCTGGAGTTGGCTTCAGCCCGGTGACATCTACTGTTCAATCCATGGTTCATACAACAGAATCTGGACATCATACATCGACTCAAAATGAAAAGTCGTTGAGATCACGCAGATTCCCCTCCGTTGGATCAATTTCTTTGGGATCTTTGGCTATCAGACGAGCTTCGCATTTGCTGCTGGATAATGGTTTACGAAGCAGCAAGGGAAAAGAAAGAAGCGAACAACCATCTTCGCCCGTCTCTGAGAAGCGCGCAATGGACGATTTAGCAGATTTCGAACATGTATCTTCTCGTTTAGCGACTGCCTCTATGAGAGGTATGCACGATCAGAGAAGTGCACCGCCACGCAAGCATTCAATCTCACAACGAACTCACTCCAGGCTTCTGTCGAAAGACTTCTATGAAGCACCTGCATCTTCACCTATCTCGCCAAATGCTGCCATGGAGCGACAACGTGATTCTATCGATTCGGATGACGATATGCGTGCGCCTCCACGTAAAGGAAAGAGCAAATTAGCTGCTATGGGCTTCGATTCTGCTGCAATGGATGACGAAGATGACAATCTTTTCGATATGATCAGTTCGTCTACCCGTCGAATGGCAAATCAAGATGTGGTAATTGGGAAAAATGGAGCAACTGCACCTGGATCACTTCGAACATCTCACAGTAAATTACTCAAGAATTTTGTCACAAATGAAACGGATTCCTCAGATCCGATCTCAAAGACCAAGGCCACAAGTCCGATTTCTTCTGAATTTTATTCAGCCAAAGAAGGTACGGTAGCAGCAACAGGCCTTCCTTCTGATCATTCTGGTGAGTTGAAACCATCTACCTTTTCCTCTGGGAATGATGTGCTAAACCGATCTTTTCGTTCTATCGATGAAAGAACAAGTCAACAAGCAATGAAGTCAAAAGAGGATGAACAGACAAAAGCTGTAGTTGCGACGAAGCATGAAGGAAATGCATCTCTTCGATACATAGCAGAGACTCAAGACCGTTTAGGATGGCTTTCGGTGTACATATGGTCGGAAGACGCAGATGCGAGATTTGCAGATGAAATTGTTTACGACGTCAAAAGAATTGCGGGCGAGCGGTCAACATTGTCTATTCAAGGCACCAATGAGTGTGCTGTTGCGGATTTCGAATTGCCTTGCCGAGTGCAAGAAGGATCTGAATTACGAGGGAAGAAGATGAAACAAGGTGACTTTTGGCTATTGCGTTTTGCGATGGAGAAAGATGTGGATCCGAAAGTGGCTGAGGAGAGCGAGATTCCCTTTTCGGCAAAACAGTTGGCATCAATAGGAGTCACTCAATGGCAATGTACGACCTGCTCGACAGATCTGATGGACTTGCGTGATACGACAAAGTTTATACCTTTACCATCACAACATTGGGAAGAATTGGTGGATGCATGGATGTGCCATACGGATCAAGAATTGAATGAAACACTGTTGAAGGCGCAAAAGAATATTGAACATCATGCAGGATTACAAGCAGGTCAAGTCCACGTTGCGGATTCACAGCTGATCTTATTGAAGACTTCACTTGTGAAAGCGAACATTGTGGACAAAAGTGTGAGTGCTCATTCTCCCGTATGCAGAATTGGATTGACATGAAGGCCGTCATCAGCTCTAAAGAACACTGGTGCGTGATTCTGTGCACGTATAATGATCATTTCTGATCGTTATTGCATGTAAGATCATGAATGAGATTCGTGACCTCTCCGAGGCAACGAGTCGATTTACGGCCGATACTACCGATCCTAGATTGAACGATAGAGGTGCAGATCTTCTGCGTCTCATCGAATCTTCATCCGAAACACCTGTTGATACTCGAGATATATGTATGATGGGTCACTTGATGCAAGATATACTGACTGTTACTCTCTCTTCTTCAGATCTCTAATGGCACAAAAATGCTTTCATGCCGTCAATGTCATTCAACAATTGGTTCCGGATCAGCAAATGATATTGTCAAGATACATAAATTCGCAGTACGACCATTGCTGAAAGATCAGTCAAGTAGGGTGAAATTGCCTTCATTTGCATGCTTCATAGCAGATGACTTACTCCGCTCTTCGCACATGAATGCGACCCGACATTTCATCATCACAAGCGAAACAAAAGATGATTCTTTTGCAAAGCCTTTACTGCTTTGGGTCTTCCTTGACGACTTTGGTGTTTCTGTTACACCTGAAAGCACGCTTTTAAATTTGCTTGGCGTTCCTTCCACTTTCCGAGCTTCAAAGGTGATGTTCCGTCAAGATGAAGTAGAGCAAAATGGACAAGATGAGTGGACATCGCCAATGCATGCTGAAAGAATGACATTCCCATCAGAATGGTGTTTGCGTTTATTGGATATTCTCAAAGCTTCAAATGATAGTTATCCTACCAGTCAAAGAACTTTCCGTACACCTCTTGGAGTAAGCAATGCCGAAAAACAAATGCAAATTTGTCAAACAGGATTTTTACCGAAAATTTGATACGATTGTATCACATCCATATACCCCTCATGTATGTAGGAATGTAGATTTTCAACGCAGATACTATATTGATGTTCGATTGATTGAGTGTGATTGATCGATGATGTACAACGGAGGAGAGAATGAAATAAGGAAAGGTATAATGATGATGCATGGAAAAGCCGCCTGATCAAAGGCTCGGCGGAGTATGGAATGAAATGAAAGAAAGCGAAAGTTGTATGAAAAGATTGAAGTCGAAAAGGGATGTAGAAATTGCAAGTGCTGAAAAAAATATGATGCAACTGTGCTACTTTCTTTTTTTTAAAAGCGCACGATAATCAAATCATCATCTTGTAAACCTTCTTGGTATAATGCACTTTCGTTTTGCATTTGACGAAGTGCTTGAGAAGAACGTAAAGATGGTGATAAGAGTTGATTTGAAGTTTGTTGTTGTTGTTGTTGTTGAACGGAAGAAGAAGATGGAATTCCTTCCATCGATACCCTTGCGCCTGCATTACTGCTCGAACGTAAACGAGAACGCAAAAAGCCACCTTTGCTTGAGCCCAAAGTGGATGAAGAAGGCAAGCAAGGTGAACGACTGAAAGGGCTTGTACTTCCATTGCTTCCTAAATGCAAAGGTGATTGATTTGGCGAAAGCGATAAATTTGATTCATTTTGTTGTTCAGGAACAAATAAACCTAATTGAGAAGGAGAAATAGAAAGACCATGACGAAGTTGTAAAGATCTACAAATCGTTTCTTTGAATTCCAACGTTGATGCTGTCGTTGGCATTAGCATCGTATGGGCTTGCGGTAAACCTTTTGCGACCGTACTAGGAGGTAAGCTTAGATGCAAACGTACCCTCGCAGGTGGAGAAGCAGGACAAATGGCAGGAATATCATCGTTCACGGTTGCAGCGGTCGTAATGTGCATCACGGGAATTGCCTTTCGAACATACTTCAAAGGACGTGATGGTAAGGAAGACGATCTTGGATCCGGAATAACAGAAACGGTATTGCTCCTACGTCTTATTGTTGCAGAAACGTTGGATGGATCTGGCGAAGGCCCAAACTGTGATTCAGGTCTGCTTGTAGGAGACTCCAAAGTGGTATCGAAAGAAAATGCAGAAGAAGACCATTCTGATCCAGGAGAGGCAACAAAGCTACTCATTTCATCTTCGTGTACTTCTGTCTCTTCATCGGTTTGCTGATTGCTGCTCAATCTGCTTACATTGCTGGTATCCTCGCTGCTCAGACTGAATCGAGAAGGAGGACTTACGACATCACTTTGACATTTATCTTCTTCGATCTTTGCTGGTTTGGCCGTTGGTGGTGGAGTCAAGCCAGTTGGCGAAGCAAGTGGCCGTGAAGTATGTCCGTGCGGTTGCAATTGCAATGAAAGCGCCCAAGGGCGTCTACGCCAACCCAATGGGGAGCCAGGATTAATATCTTTGTTTAAGCGTGCTTTGCTTCCTTCGCTTGTAGTCGTTGTTGCTGAAACACTTCTGATCATCGGTGGTGCCATTGCATTGGAGGGTAAAATCATCGCAGAGGGTTCAATCGTTTTGCCATTGCCTTGCTCCAGTCCACGACAATGGAAAGATTCTTGACTAGGACACAAAGACAACCGATGCATTGAGCTTGATGGTAAATGCAATTGTGCCATTGATGCATCCGGATAAGAGGATGCAAAAGGAGCTGAAAGTCCAAGACCGTTTTGTCGACTCAATGTATCTGTTGGTGTTCGAGCAGATGGACTTGCAAGCCATGGCGAAAGAGGTCTTGTAGTAATTCCGAGAGAGTTCATATCTTCATCCAAGACCAAAAGAGGAGCAGGTGTGACAGGCCTTCTAGGAGGCATTGGAGGAGAAGAAGATGTTGAACGTACCCGACTGTTACGTTTAGAAGCTCTGTTTCCTTTTGGTGTTTCGTCCACCGATAATTCCTCTTCGGTCGTACTACCTGGAATAGTAAAGGGTAGAATACGACCACCACCGCTGAGTAGGGATGCTCTACAAGAACCCGATCTTGGTCTTCCTCTTGGATTGCTAAACGTAGCGGCAAAAGTGGAACCAGATGAAGATGAGAGTGAGGCAGGCGTAGCACCACTTGCTGAAGATGCGATTGAAGATGGGGTGTCTGTACAATTTTGAGGAGATGAGATATAACTTCCTGCACCGATTGCATTGTTCGGGCTCATAGAAGGAGATTTACGGAAGCTTAGTCTTCTTCTCATTCGCTTCATGTGGGGCAGAGTAGATGATGTTGAAGATGGTAGCAGTGTTGAGGATACCGGAGGTGAAGCAGACGATTGAGTCGATTGTGCTGTGTATTTATTGTTTGCTTGCGATTGTGAGGCTGAACTTTGCTTGGCATCCAGGTTATGGCGGAATAAAGTGGATAAAGACATGGCTTTACGCAATGGTGACAAAGTGCCACTTGGTCCAGCACTGCTTTGTCTTGACGCCATCGTTTCCTGTTCGGCAGCCATGATGTAGGAAAAGGGATTTTGCTTGAATACGATGGTAAGCTCGTTCTCTCGTTTGTGGTTGAGTTCACGCCATCAAAAGTTGAACTTTGTCGAATCTGGGCTTTTTTAATATATTGTTATCCTTTGGCGTCAGAAATTCCTGGTCGAATAAGAGAAAGGTATCACGATGATGGTAGAGACGACTGAAACAATTCCAAGGAATGTCAATGTCCGAAGAATTGTGTGTTAGAAGTGGGCGTAGGGGTAAACAGTATTATTGTGTTGTGAATATCTTTTTCTCTCCGAGACACGATATGTTGCCTAGTGATCAATCCGAAAGGGTCTGCATAAGCGGGGGAAAATGATTGTTCGTAGAAAGATATGAAATGTGTCAAGACAATCGAAAGAAGAGTATAACAATGAGAGGATGTAAAATGTATCCGATGATCATTCAGCCAGACTTATTCTCACACATACAAAACAAGCGTCTTTGTAGTGATACAGATTATGCATTCAACATTCTCTGAGCTTGAGCTTATTTGCTGCTCATGTGGAACAAATTAAAAAAAAAAAGGATCAAACAACAAAAGAAACAACATAAAGGGGCTTTGTAGGAGTGAATATGCAAGAATTATAGTCTCAAAAGCAATATGCAATCGGAAGATAGACGCGGGGATAATCCTTTGTTCATGCTGGACGTTCAGGCTGATCTGCTGAGCTTCAAGAAGTTGAACAAGACAGGATGGATAGGAGAACGGAGCGGCAAGGTAAGAAGAGTACTGTAAATTGGCCACACGGGACCATTGAACGGAGTAGATTCGCATAAATGAGAGAGTAAAAACGGGCCGTCCGAAGATGCAGAGTGATGCAGTGCACGTTCTTCGCATAGATTCAGGATCTACATTGATGACTACTGGTCTTTTTTTTTTCTCCTCATGCTAAAGTCTCATGACAATCCGATCATGTATCGATCAAGATTGAGTGAGGTACTGAACACAGTGCGTGCGCTGCAACAGCACTTCACCAAAACACTGTCGTTCGTTCAACACACGAGCCCATGCGTGCGTGCGTAAGTGCATAAATTGGTTTTGCCTGCATTAGAGTAAAAAATAAAAAAGAAAGCTTATGCAGGGCAGGAAAGCACTCTGCACTCTTAGCAGCTACTTGTTCCTTTTTTATTTGCACAGCCTTTCCTTTTTGGTTGAGAGAGCGCGTGTTTGTTGTAAATGTTATTGCGCCCACACGCTTTTCTCAAAGGCAAAACACAGGCGGGAAGAGCGAGCCGAAATGGAAGGATAAGCTTTTTAATAAAATAAGATTTGAGTTTTAAAGCCTAAAGATTAACAGAATTCTACCTGAACCGGCCAATTGTCTTGCTTTCTTATTATGCATTCCCGTTATCGATCCAAGCTTGGCCGGCCTAATTAGTTGTATTTCTCATTGTTATAATCTCTGCTGAACACCGAATATTCCCAAGGAGTAAATGACAGTAAGCTGAATGAAATCGTCATTGTTACTCTTGGAATTACGCCGAGATGAAGCTAGAGGAGGTGTGTGCTGTATGATTGGCGTGCGAATCTATCATATTTTTTCTCACATGATCATCTTTTACATTCACACAAAAAGAGAGAGAGAATTATTTAGCGCGTACGCTAGATTAGCTTTATTCGATTTGTGTGTGTAAGATGATACTGTTCATTTGCAACAAAAAGTCTGGGCCTTTTGTTTGATGAGCCACAAACAAATGCTGAAGCAGTGTAATGTACATACGTGCATGTATCCGTACGCACCTCGGTGTAAGGCAAGGTAAGTGTCACTGCTCTCTTTACCCGCTTTCACCTTTACCATTCCCGATCCGTCACTCTCACTCTCACTCTCTCTCTTTCATTCTTGCTCGTTCGGATCTTGGCTCGCTATTGTTTAGCGTGAGGAACCGAAGAGAGTAAACTCGCTTATAGTCAAAGGAAGGACAGCAGAGCAAGGCATGGAATGGGATATGTACCCCGGATTCTTGTAATCTTTGCCCGGGATGACCGAAGTTTTAATTTCAATATCTTTTTAGGTGTAAAGAGTGTGATTTGTATCTAATTATGAGCTGATTTCTCAATTTTGATTTGTTTGTTTGTTATTTATTTGTCCGTATATACATAGATCTGTGCATGCATTATAGAACCTTTCTCATAAACCTCCTTGCTTGAGATGTTTGCAGATCTTTTTATTCTTTTAGTGATTTACCTGGATTAGATGTTGTCTTTTAGTAATTGGGGTTTAAAACTTAAAGCAATGGAAAATCCATGGAATTTGATAAGCATACAGGATTATTGAAAGAGTGGGATTTCGGATCACCTGTTCACATGCAAACGGCTTCTGTTTCGCTTAAAATAAACATGAGCTCATAAATAAGTGTGAATAAAATTATAATAGCTGAGGATCGATGATAGAAAGGACCGTATTACTATTCGTGGATCGTCTCACCCTAAGAGAGAGAGGGAAGGTTCCGTGGTGCTAAAAGGGTAATCCACTAATGCAAGGGCTTGTTTGTTAGTGTTTATAGTCACATACATACATTAATTGACTTGCCTTTTAGATTTGTGTTGTGCAATCAATGTATGTATGTAAGTAACTCGACGTGCGTGCCGATCAAGGCCACTAAAACAGCGCGACAGTGCCGGTAATGAGAGATGATACTATCCGGAATGAAAGAAGAAGCGGATAGATAAATTGTGAGATGGATCGTCATGAAGATCTTTGAATGATCAACATTTATAGAATCAGTTATTAAAACACATTCGGCCGAGTATAAGATAGAATAAGGTCTGAAAGACTATATAAGATTCTTACATCAGGGAAAGAGGAATAAGCTAGTGGGAAACTTTAATGGTAAGGTTAAAGCTAGAAGCATGACTTGCTTTAAGAATTCTGTCAGAGATTGCCGATCTTTAGAGAAGTTCGATATGTTGATCCTTGTAGAGACTGAACATAACAAGTATAATAAGATCTGACGGTTTACATAATTTCAGCTTGCTTACATCAGAAGGGTATATAGAAGATTTAACAATTAATATGACATATTAAGATATTCTGATAATATCGAGTTCACATTTACTTAACTTATCTATCTCTCATCTAAGCAGGTTACCATCGCTAATATGATAAGATCTCATCGTACTTTCATTCGATTGAATTTTAATAACATTCTGACTATCAAGGCAGGGCTGTTTATTGCTGCTAGATAGAAGATGAAAAGTGTCTGCAGATTTTCGTGAAATCCATCTTATCGTTGTACGGGTTGCTTTTATTGATTGATGGAAGATCTTCTCTCCATTGTCCCACGGAGGCACGATTTGTTTGGCTTGAGAGATGACCGTGCTTAATTGCGATTAAACACGTGTATTACTCTCGCGTTTTGCGACATGACACTCGCCTGCCGCACCGCTTTTGACTAAAAGACGCCCGCACCAAAAAATCGGACCGCTTCAAGAAAAGAAGAAAGTAGGTAAACTAAATTTAGATTCTCAATCATTCCCAACAACAACGATTCATTTTATCATATCCCACCACAAAGATGAAAAGAGGAGCAGAAAGACAGATACAAAGAGAAGATGGAGATGATCCACATGGAGTTGGAGCAGAGAATGATGGAAATGCAGGCAATGGTGGTGGCGGCGGCCAAGGAGGTGCGGATATTTCTGCTAGACCGATTCGTGGATTGCCAAAGAAGAAGCTAGCAGGGAATTCATTTGGCGGATCTCCTTCACCATCACCTTCTGCACCTTCTTTTGGTGGCTTCGGATCATTCAATAGTACCGCAACAACTCCAGCCAATAATGCCACAGCTCCAAAACCAACATTCTCATTCGGTCAACCTAGCAATGGATTTGGTGCAAGCAGCAATACAAGCTCTTTGAGCGCCAGTGCAAAGCCTTTCACATTTTCGGCACCAGCTACTACGACTACTTCGAATGGTGTATCAGCATCTGCTTCAACTTCTACAGCTTCTACATCAGCATCCAATAACGATCTAGAATACTACAGGACTCTAAGAGGAGTCAATGAATCACTCAAACAACAACTTGGAAGCAGTATAGAAGCAGCGTTGAAAAAGGATGCATTCGCAGATCTATCAGAACTGCTACAGAGTATAAGGGCAAAGTATGATGAATTCCGTACCAAAGCAGAATCGAAAAGAGGATCTGGAGAAAAGAGTGAAGCAAAAGCAATACCTGCACAAGAGCCACCGAAAGTGTCAGCTCCAGCATCAATAGCACAATCGACGTCTCAGAGTACTGCCAGCGCTACCGGCCTTTTTTCTCTACCCTCGAATCCATCACCTTCACAGCCAGCAACCGATCCGAAACCTACATCGTCAGCTCCTGCCCAGCCATCAGTATCACTACCGAAACCACCTGCATCTGGCGGGTTCTCATTTGCTGGGTCTTCATTCTCCGGACCAAGTGCAGCATCTGCCACCACTTCAGAAGCAAAACTTTTGCCTGGTCAGCCGACATTTTCATTGCCCAAGACTGGATTTTTCAAAGCATTTGGAAAGGACTCTGATGAAGACAAAGGAGATGAGGAGGAGAAAGATGAGGAAGAAGAAGACGACAATCAAGCAGGCGCTTCTACATCTACGGAAGCTCCTAAGCCAGCTTCGACTGCTTTTTCTTTTGGCGCTCCATCATCGAGCAGTTCAAAGCCAATCTCTTTTGGAGCACCTACAACATCAACGAATGGAACAGGATCGAATCCTTTCCAATTCTCATTCGGAGGCAATTCGTCCGCCAAACCAGCTACAGGAACGACGAGTACGTTTGGAGCACCATCGAGCTCATCAACAAATACTGCCGCTGCGCCTGCCGCTGCATCGACATCGCCAGCACCTACATTTTCGTTTGGACAGGCTGCCGGATCGAAAACACCTTCGATCGGATCAAATTTTGCCAATACGAGTGGAGTAACACAACCGGGAGCATTTTCTTTTGGATCGGGAAAGATTAGCTTTGGCGGCAGTCCTTCTCCAAGTACGGGCAATAGTGGATCGACGACAGGATTGTTCGGCAACGGAAGCGCTTCTGCAACGCCTTCTTTTGGTTCTACAGGTTTCACTTTTGGAGCTCGAGTTTCAGGATCAGAGAAGAACGATGGAAGCGAAAAGAAAGATGATGATAAATCTTCTTGATCGTTTTGCGTCTTAGTAATGTACGATATATCATGCTGTTTTATTTATGTTGCAATACGCATCGATGTTTATGAGCATGAATTTGATTCAACAAAAGGAAAACAGTGTGCAAGCAATTGCAATTGAAATCAGTGCTGTATGTAAGGGAAAGTTGGCATGGGTAGAATACAAATGAAGGAGAGAGAGCTATCCAACGATAATCTTTCAACGGGTTCCGCGTCCTCCACCACCCGAAGTAAGGACGAGCTTTTTCTTCTTTTGCTGCTTAGTCTGTTGTGGTGGTTGAGGCGGTGATGGTTTGACTGTTTCCTCTTGCACGACTTCTTGTTTGGCTGGACTTTGACTTTCACCTTCTTTCGTCTCTTTCACTTCATTGTTTGGAGGAGCAGTATTTGTAGCAGCTGAGGTCGAATTTGTTCTACCTGGGCTTCTGCGTGCTTGACGATTCAGACCACGTCCTTCACGAACAGAATTGCCATTTCGTGCACCGACAATAAAGTCCTCTTCCAATTCAAGCCAAGCATCCCAGTCTGGTCCATCTTCTTCTCCTTGACCGGCAGGTGCTCTTGATGAGTTATGTAGTGCGTGAGAAAAGCTATTGCCTTTCGCAGCTGGAGTTCCCCAAACCGTTCTAGTTGCTGCGACTGGTTTGTTATTACGAGAAGGTGTAGTATGGGAAGTTGTTGTATTGTGCTCTTCGCTCTCACCTGCTTCACTGCCTGCAATTCCTAATCCTTCTATACTACCTCTTCTCGCAGCAAAGGCTTGAGATGCAGCAGGGAAACCGTCATCTCCCTCAGTAGCGTTCAGAATTGCTTCTTGCACTGAAGGCGAAAGCATGGACTGACTCCCGAAACTACTTCCGAATGCGCCTGCATCAACAGCAGATAAAGCAGGCGATCGAGAAGCTGCTCCAAATCCACCAATGGGGATCGTATTGGTAGTCATCGGAGGTCTCGAAGCCCTTTCTTGTTCTTCAGATCGTAATTTCGCTCGATCTTCTCTTCGTTCACGATCCCTACGCCTATTCCGCCTTTGTCGTAATGCTTGATCGTACATGCGCAATACTGATCTTGAAACAGGTGACTGTTCGTTATTCGCTTCTGTATCACGTAACATCTTTTCCCAGTCTACCTCGATAAACACGATATCTGCTCCTTTAGACAAATGCGTCAAATATTTGCACCTCTTTCGCATCTCTTCGTTCATGCTACCTTCATCTGCACCTTGTACGCATACTTGCAATGTGGGTGGGAAAGCAGAATAAGATCCATGAGCAGAGAGGAGAACCTTGATATCTAAGGGATGCAAAAAGATGTTTTGTCCGGATGACACTTGATAAAAGAAGAAGCTTGAGGAAGATGGTGCAGGCGGGTTGAGATTCTTTCGCGTACGTTGCGTCGTCTGTCTGCCATCCTTTCTGTCTTCCTTTTCGTCATTCTCATCACTGCTAATCCGTATATCTTGGGTGGTGCCACCTTGCTTTTGAGACTGTATGGCAAGGAACTCTGCTGTACCTTCTGTTTGTTCTGGGACAGGATCCTGATTTGATGCCTCATCCTTCGTTACTGAAGCCTCGACATTCTCATCATTTTTCTTCTCCCGCTCTATTCGCTTACGTTGTCTCCTGCTGATCGCCTCTTCGTCCCGTGCTCTGTTACCCTTTTCGACTTCATAGTGTTCGGTCAACTCTTTCCGGGCATAGCCCATTCTACTTTTAACACTTTGCGTATCTAGTTCGTTAGTCACTTTCTCCATCTGTTCATGTACTTTGCGTTCTGCCAATCCGACAAACGCTAACCCAATCTCGTCCTTTGTTAAGAAAGATTGCAACAATTCTCTTTCGGATTCCAATTCTTGCAAATCACTATTGAGATTGCTCAATAATAGATCCGGTGATGCCAGCATAAATTTACTGAATGTCATCACATCAGGCTGGAAATGCCAAGGAGCACTATGTTGAGCGATAAGAGGTTGATCGGAAGTTGAAGTCGAAGCTGTTGGCCAAGTGGAGGATTGCGGTAATGCCAATGTTGTCAAATGAGGTCGCTCAATCAACCGCATACACAAGTAATCATCAGATGTTGGTCTGGTGGGTTTTGCCGAAGCAGCTGTCTGATCGACATCTTGTTCAAACTCTTGTGCGCGAGCTTTAGGATCCCACCATTGAACTGCTTTCAGATCGCGAGAGTAGACGGCGTCCCAACAGACAGGACAGCGTTTCCATTTCTGCGTCATCGTATTTGCAAGTCCGACCGACGCATTAGGAGTGATTGATGATGTTGGTGTGTGGCGAGGAGCTGCACCCGGAATGTGGGAGTGAGGTGTCGATGAACCTGAAGCTACTGGAGCATCGTGTACGCTAAGGTAGTGTAGGATACAAGGATAGCAGTACACATGTCCACACTTTGTCATTCGAGGAGCTGTTGGTCGAGATAAACAAATAGGACACGATGCACCTTCGTGCGTTTCCGAGGTATCGCCATGTGCATGAGATGATGATGATTCGAGGGCGGATAAATGAGAAGCGGTGAATAAAGCCGATGTAGTTGGAATCAAAACGGTGAGAATGTCTGACCAATTCAGATAGATATCCGAATCAGCAAAGTATGCTGTATAGTCACCAGTAGGTTTGACGAGGAATCGATATTGAGCATTAACATATCTCTCCTTGTTGAATGGAACAGCACTTGCACCTCTTCTGTTTCTTCTTGGAGCAGAATGAGAAGTGGGATTATGAATTCTGGGAGGAAGTGTAAAGGCCAAAAGATGATTTATATTTTGACCTCTTGCTGCATTTGCTTGATTGTTATTGTTCACATTATTGCTCGGATTTGCATTACGTCCATTTCTCGATCTACGCGGTTGAGAGCCATTGCTGGTGATAGTAGCATTTGGCTTCCCATTTCGATCGCGAGACATGGACGCCATCGTATGTCCCAATGCGCTCATGAAGGGTTATAATGTATATCGGGTGCGGTTTTGTGAGGTTGGTGATCAATGAAGATGACCAAAAGCGTGCAAGAGATGCCTAGATTTGAACTGCAGTGATTAGACCAAGAACCCAATCTTGACTCCTGTGACCAAAGCGATATTTATAAATGAAATCAATAGTCCCTTGTATGTCATTAAACGATAATGATTGACGCGTGAGAAAAAGGAGTGATAATGATCCCTATCCGTAGATCATCCGAGGAGGTGTTGAAGATGATGGCGCGTGGCGTTGGTGAAAAGCACGTGTCAAGGCGTTTGATGGTGTTGTTTGAAGATGTTCAAGTGATGTTGCAGTTTATATTTACGCTTCCAAGCCCGCCAAAATGGCGGGAGATGGCGATGGAAGGGTAATGTGAAAGAGATTGTTTGTTTGCAATCACGCATTCAATCTGGTCATTCGGGCCACCCTTTAAAACGCGATCAAAGGTGATTTGACTAATGCTTGCATATCAGCAGCTTGTTTCCAAGCAGGCAAGCAGGCCCTGTGTTTCATTTACAGCCCTATAAGGTGGAGCAGGGCCAGGCAGGCTGAGAGTGGACGGACGTGCGAAAGGCTCAAGCTTGCCCGCTTAAGCACTTTTTGTTGATCCAAACGCGTGCAATTATTGTTAGGGAAGCGTAAAGAACGTTTCTTTCAAGCCTTTGCAGTAAAATTAAGACGCAGTCTCTCTTGAGTGAGTATTTAGCGGCATTTTATGGGCGCGCGAGAAGAAAGCTCAAATCAAGATGTTGGTCTTGCCAATCAAATCACCATCATCATAAAAAACCCATATGAAGATGTCGACTGCCGGACCAGTCTCAGCAAATCATGCAGGCGGAGCTGCAAGACAGCAACAAGCTTTCAAAACACAAGATAAGCCAGATGAAGTTCGTAGATCAAATATGAATGCTGCCAAAGCGGTAAGCGACGCAATTCGAACCAGTCTTGGTCCAAAAGGTATGGATAAAATGATTCAAACTGCATCTGGAGAGGTTGTCATCACAAACGATGGTGCAACAATCCTAAAGCATATGGCAGTCATGCATCCTGCAGCAAGAATGTTGGTCGAATTATCACAAGCTCAAGATGTTGAAGCTGGTGATGGTACAACTTCTGTAGTCGTCATTGCAGGTTCTTTATTGAGCGCAGCCGAAAAGATGCTCAACAAGGGTATTCATCCAACCATCATTGCAGAGTCATTCCAAAGAGCAGCCTCAAAAGCCGTCGAATATCTTACCGAAATTGCAACACCTATTAAATTGACAGATCGGGAAAGTTTATTGCGCGCAGCCAGCACCAGTTTGAACTCAAAGATTGTCTCTCAATATTCATCTGTGTTGGCTCCTATCGCTGTTGATGCTGTCACACGTTTGATCGACCCTAGCAAGCCAGCCAACGATAAAACATCTGTTCCACTACTCGGACAGAAAGGTGATGGTGCCAATGTCGATTTGAGGGATGTTCGCATCGTTAAAAAGGTTGGAGGCACAATTGATGATACAGAATTGGTTGAAGGTTTAGTACTTGAACAAAATGTCACCGCAGGCTCTGGAGGTCCTATTCGTATGGAGAAGGCACGTATTGCAGTATGTCAATTCCAATTGAGTAGCCCTAAGCCTGATATGGACAACCAAATCGTTGTGAACGATTATAGACAAATGGACAAGATTCTCAAAGAAGAGCGTCAATATCTACTGAATATGTGCAAGAAGATCAAAAAGACAGGTTGCAACGTTTTACTAATCCAGAAATCCATCTTGCGTGATGCAGTGAACGATTTGGCTCTTCACTTCTTGGCAAAACTCAAAATTCTCGTCGTGACAAACATCGAACGGGACGAGATTGAATTCATCACAAAGACTTTGAACTGCAAACCGGTGGCTGATATTGAAAACTTCACAGAAGATAAATTGGCCAGCGCTGATTTGGTGGACGAGGTCAGCCAAAGCGGTGCTCGTATTGCCCGTATCTCTGGTATCAAGAATATGGGAAGAACAGTCAGCATCCTATGTACCGGTGCGAATGCTTTGGTATTGGGTGAAAGTGAGCGTAGTTTGCACGATGCCCTTTGTGTTGTACGTTGTTTGGTCAAGAAGCAAGCTTTGATCGCTGGTGGTGGAAGTCCAGAAGTTCACGTTTCTCGCTTGTTGGCCGAATATGCTCAAACGTTGAGTGGAATGGAAGCATACTGTTTCCAAGCCTATGCTGAAGCCTTGGAAATCATTCCTACCACATTGGCTGAGAATGCTGGTTTGAACCCGATCAGCATCGTGACAGAATTACGTAACAAGCATGCAATGGGTGAGAGAACAGCAGGAATCAATGTGCGCAAGGGACAGATTACCAACATCTTGGAAGAGAATGTTCTTCAACCGCTATTGGTGAACACTAGTGCGATCGAATTGGCAACTGAAACAGTATCTTTACTATTACGTATCGATGATTATCACTTGTCTCGTTAAAAGAAAAGGTTTTTGCAATGGCTTTCTGTACTATGCTCATTCACATGTTCAGACATCCCCTCCATCATATCTCATGTACGAAGTACCAAAATTCAAAAATGTTATGTACTAAAGGCATATTTACATGAAGAAAGATATGATTTCTTTCAACTACTTTCGCTTTGTTCGGTTATGTGGCTTACCGAGCAAGAGAACGTTTGTGGCTTCCTTGTGTAAATCGTCCAGCTTGGCATGTGACATTCTGGGACTTGGATTATGTCTTGTGCCTACCCAACCATCACGAAAATCATACGTAATTTTTTGAATAGGTTCAATTTTCAACGACATCTTCTTCGGATCAGGATCTCGGGTTTTCTGAATGATTTCATAGCCTTTCCTGAATAGCTTCGTGTCTTCTTGTTTGATATGTTCATTACTTTGAGCGATCAATTTTCGATGTTTACTCGCTTTCCATGGTTTATCTCGTGCTTCTTTGGCAAGCTTGATTTGATTATGATAAATATTTGCTACCTTTCCTTTCGCACCTTCATGATACGTTTCAAGCTCTGCTAAACCAGGTGTACGGATCATCCTTGGTGGACTTGGAGGTGGCGTACGCGATGGTGAAGAGTTTTTCGAGCTAAAAGCTTCGCCGGAAGCACTTTTGAACGAACCAGAAGAAGAAATACTAGATGCACTGGAAGAAGAGAGAGACCGTGATAATCTTCCGCTCGAAGGACTAAACGGAGGACTTGGAGGAATTGGCTTTGTACCAGATGTTGATGCTATATCTGAAGATAAAGCAAAATTCGTCAGGCAAAGCATCATTGCAATAAACACAAAGACGCTTTGAGAGGAAGATGTATAGAGGTCAGTTGACTCACTTATTTAATGGCAGGTAAAAACTCACCGATTAATAGAAAAGTCCATTTTAGTAAGGTTACCAAAAAAAAAGACCTATATTGGGTAGAGGGAGGAAGTACAAAAGCGTTGAAGCGCCTATATATTTAACTCATTCTGACACTATCAAGACAACTGCTTCAGTTGAACGCCCCTTCAATGCGTCATGAAGCCCTGACGTCCCGATAGTCTGTAGGAGGGATGCGAAATACAAACATGCTACAGCCACTTATGGTGGGGCTCATGAGGCTCAATATTAAAGAAAACATGAAATGAAATTGAGTATATATGCAATACAAATGCTTCAGTATCACTATTCTAGCTAATAGATGCTCTACGTTTCTTTTCTTTTACTTGTGATGTGTGCATTTGCGAAATTGCAATACTTGAAACTTCTTTTGCAGAAGCATGTTGATGAGCGATACGATCTTTACTCCATTTCGGTGAAGGCCAATTTGAGCTGTCAATCCAGTGTTTATGAAGTTGTCTTGCTTCTCGCATACTATGACTTGCGGTTAGATGTAACGGTCTTTCACCTTTATTGGGTACTGCAGCATTCTTACTCGGTCCTTCTGCTGTCCATTTATCAATATGTTTATCATATTTTTCTTTTATTTCTTTCATTTCTTCACCTAGTGCATTGATCTTTTTCAGTGCTACTTCAGCATTCTTTTCACTTGTCTTTCCAATATTTGCATGATTTGCTTGTCTTCTTCTACCTTCAGCTAAAACATGATTTAATTGACTTAATGAATCATTAATGATTTTATGTTGTTCTTCTGCTGGCTTCTCATCTCGTTCATCCGAAGAAGCGAGTACATGAAGATGTTTGAAAAAGATGGCTAAGATGATAAATAGTATAAGTCCTCTCATACCTCCAAGTCAAGCTGTAGTAATAGTGGGAGAGAAAGATGTTCTGTACATCTTTCTCCAGGGCCTTTAAATCAACTCGCTTTGATACGTTTATCAGCAGTAAATAGGGGCTGAGAGATACACATACTCTCTCATTCACAGGTCCATGTGTGGTATCGTGTGTTTTTTCCCATAAAGGGCGTTCTTGTGTACACATTTCATCTTGAGAACAGGATTTCATAATGAATGATATACTCCAGCTAACTCCGAGCGCAGCGTATGCATGCAAGCTTATTTTTTCGGACTTTAGAGTCATATCTTTATCCGCGTAGCTTTCATTAATTATTCAGTCTTAATTTTTAAGAAGAAGTGTGCTTATGGGGTGTAGACAGGTTTAATGCCGAGTTCTTTTGCATGATTGACATACCCTATCTATCCGGCTTTTCTCTGCTTTCCCCACCCGAGTAAAGCATTCAGGGTACTCTTCCTTGCCATCACGCTCCTTTCTCTTCTTCTTCTATCGCACCATCAGATCTTGAGCATACAAGATGGCTACGGCCACTCTGAACGAAATATTGAAGGAAGATGGAGGAATGAATCCGGCAGGCAAGCTTGATGTCGAAGACCCATATTCTCCTTCACTAGGAAGGGAAAGTATCAAAAGCAGCGAAACAGAGATCCCATTTGCTAATTTTAACTTCCCAGAAGGTGGTTTGGAAGCATGGGAAGTTTGTCTAGGCTCATTCCTGTTATACTTTACCTCCTTTGGTTTTCAAAATGCTTTTGGCGTTTTTCAAGCGTATTATTCCAACGAAATGGCCGGCGGTCCCCTTGCAAGTCCATGGGCTATCAGTTGGATTGGTAGCTTTCAAGTCTTCATGACGTTCTTTGCAGGTCTTTTATCAAGTTCACTTTTGGATCGAATGTCTGTCAAAGTTGTCGTCACAGCCGGCACTCTGATTCATGTTACTTCTTGTATGCTACTCAGCATCAGTACAACGTATTGGGCCGTCTTTTTGACACAAGGACTGATGCAAGGTGTTGGAATCGGGATCTTATTTGCACCCGCTTTGACTTGTACGTCCCACTACTTCAACGTCAGAAGAGGCTTGGCTCTCGGAATTGTCGCTTCTGGTAGCAGTCTTGGAGGATGCTGTTGGCCGATTGCATTAGACAGACTAATTCACCATGGACCTGGTTTCGGCTGGGCATTGCGTATTTGCGGTTTCATCATCTTGGCAATTTTGGCAGCCGTTGTTCCACTTATGAATCAAAGATTACCTAGAGCAGTCAAACGTGATTCGTTCTTTGATTGGTCAGCATTCAAGCATACAGGATATGACCTCTTGCTCGTCTCGCAATTCTTTGTCTACTTGGGCCTTTTCTTCATTTACTACTACTTGCCATACCTTGGCTCTATCAATGGAATGTCTGCCAATGCAGTATTCTACTTGGCCTCTGCCAGTAACGGAGCTTCATTCTTTGGACGTATTTTGGCAGGGTTGATTGGTGACCGTTTGGGAAGATTTAATGTTTTGACCATCGCACTCTTGCTCAGTGCAACGATCATTTATTCTACGATCGCAGTCGTTCCACAACGAGATGGTCAAGTAACTGCAAGCCTGTTTGTGATTGCAAGTTGTTATGGTTTAGTGACCGGTGCTTTCTTTGCATTACAAGCAGCAACGGTGGTATCTCTTGTAACAGATGTGAAACGGGTAGGAACATGGATCGGAATGCTGTACGGAGCAATATCTTTACCGGCTTTATTCGGTCCACCGATTGGAAGTCAAATATTTCAACATCATTCTTTCCCAGACGCTTTAGCATTTGCTGGATCATGTGTGGTTGTTGGAGCAATCTTTATGGTTGCAAGTCGATCAACCGTTAGCAAGAAGCTTTGGGTGGCAGTGTAAATCCCTTTCTTCAAGTAGAGTTGACGTCATTTGTATTATATCATCAGCATTCCATCAATAGATTCATTAGCATTATAAACCGGTGACTGATAGTGATAACCACAATGTTCGTAATGTTCTGTCCCGTTAACGCGTGTTAAGACTGTATAACGCGTAAAGTGTATTTGAAGTGTTGGTCTCTTCATTCTACATTCACACTACGAACAACCAACAAGCGATCCTCAAGTTTCGTCTTATGACGAGGACAGGCGGCAAGATGACGGTCGATCTTCTAGGTCCAATCAGTCGACATTTGGCACAAATTGCAGAAAATGCATTTGAAGAAGAACAGCCTGAATATGCGATTGAATCACTCAAGATTGCCTTTCAATTGGGCATGTATCCGACCAGAGATCTTTTCCTTGCTACACTAGCAGTAATTGTCTCTTCACCTGATCTTAAAGAGAGAACATCGATCGCCAAACAAAAGAAGAAGGAAGCAGAAAAGGCAAAGAGGTACAACAAATTTCTATTTCAGGATATAGAGAAGCAAACGATCATTTCTGCTATCGAATTGGTAAATGATCTCGTACAAAGTTGTCCAAACGCTATTGGGCGATATTTGCCACCTTTTCATCGTGGATATGACGATAAAGGTAGAGTTATCGATCGAGAAGGAAGTGATGCCGAAGCAATTGAATGGCCAAAAGAACAAAGGAATTGGTTACGCAGGAGCGCAAACAGTGAAGGTCCATCAAGTCCCGAAGATTCAAGAGCGAATTCGCGTAATCGATCACCAGCAGTAATTAGAAATTCAATCATTGCACTGGCATTACAAATGTTGGAGTGCAATGATGTTTTCACTTTGTTGGCTTTGAACCCGGCAGAGGTAGAAGATGCTACAAAGGGTATCCAACGAACTGGTCGGAACAGAAGAGGAGAAATGTCTCGCGACGGAGATGATGAAGAGGCTACGTATGCTCGAGAGATCTTTCTGCGAGAAAAGTACGATCGTCCAGGTACATGGATCTTGCTGAGCATTTTGTGTTCTTTTTGGGATCATGATTTAGATTTATGCAACACGGCAGGGAGACGGGACGGAATATTCATTCGAGCGCCTCACCTGGCCAAGCAAGTGACTGGCAGGGACTGGAGAGAGCCTACATTTTCTCGTTCTACACGAGGCAATGCTGGTTTTAATAATGACGTTCTTGGAGATGCAATGAATTTGATTAAAGTCGGATTGCTTCCAAGCGCCGAAAGTGTATCCTTCAAGAAAGGGAAAAGCGCTCGTGACAGCAAAAGTCTAGCAGCATGCAACCTTCTTCGCTTGTTCGAAAGCATGGCAAGACTTGGTATGGTTGACAGGCAAGCTTTAATTCGTGGAATGTCTGAAATTATGGAAAGGATTGATGCGTTTGCATTCGAGAAGTTGGGTGATGCCAACCTTCTAGTCAATAAGTCAACTTTCTTTGCCCGATCAGCGATCCAACATCTATCATATTGGCAAGAGGATAACGCATCTTCGCCTTGGGATGCTGAAGCGGAAGATCTTTTAAGTGATTGCATAGGGGACAAATCAGCGTGGGAGCCTCAACAAGATAGCTTCTTGAAAATGCTGGGAAAGGGACTTTGGCTATCGCACAGGATCGATTGGGCAGCCGAAGAAGAGATTCAATTTTGGCGTCTAATTAAAGGAACACCAGATTACCAGCCTGATACTATCAATGGCTTCTTGTTGCAGAATACATGGCAATTGCATCGCTGCAAAACGCAAATACATCCCAAGAAACGTAATTCAAGCAAGACAGATCCAGCGAAGGAGACTGAGAATCGTATGCAATCCTTTGCGATCGCTTCGGAGATAAGACGTAAGACCGTAGACCGAATGATCACGTATATACAATTGCAACGAGCAATCATTGAATGCTTTCAGCAATACTTTGTCAAGCTTTATCCCGACCGCGCATATCTGAGTCAAATTTTGGCCAAGGCTGTCGCTTTACTGGCTCAGAACATCGAGAGTGACTCAAAGGTGGTAGAAAAGTGTCTCAAAGGCATGCAAAAGACTTACAAACAGATCTTGGAAGGTGAAGTTCTGCAGGGCGACAATTCTGATCACGTAGAAAACAAGAAAAGACGTCGTCCGGACAATGATACCGAGGGAGAAGCTCGAGCTTCAACAGTCTCTTCCGAAAAATCTTTTCAATTCGTTGCCGGATGGACGCAAGTTGAAAAGAAGATCAAGAGATACCTTTTCATTTTAGAAGCGGTTGCCTTTTCGATAGAATCGCCTTTAAGAAAACGAGAAAGAGATTCTTTGTCCTCCGATCTAACGGATCTAACAGAAGACTGAACAAATTTGTACATTACACACCAACACTTTGTACTATAGACATGACATAATGAATAAATGAGATAGATGTATTACAATGTTCTTTCTCAGAGCCGATGAGATGATCCCAATAAGAAAGCGAATGGGAAGTATAATCGAGACAAAAGAAGAGATGAAGGATATCCACTGCCTGTTTGATCGAGACAAGCGTCTAGCATTTACATCCGCTCGACTCTTCCGATTGTTGATTTTGAGTAGAAACGTCGATGGTTTTGTTGGCAGCTGCAGCGCCATCTTGTTGTGCGTCTTTGTCCATTCCGGGTAAAGCTTGAGCGATCTTTTTGAACAAAGTTTTAACGTTATGTCCAGCTTTAGCAGAAGTTTCGATAAACATAACATTAAATTCTTGCGCTCTTTTTTCTGCTTCTTCAGTTGTAACCTGTCTTTTATCGTTTAAATCCGTTTTATTTCCAACCAAAACGATAATCACATCATTTCCTCTTTCTGCTCGAACATCATCCACCCATTTTGACGTATTTTGGAATGAAGCTCGATTTGTGATATCATAAACCACTACCGCCACCGAAGAATCACGAATGTAAGAAGGAATCAAAGATCGGAATCTTTCCTGTCCGGCCGTATCCCATAATTGCAATCGAACTGTACGGTCTTCTAGGTACATTGTCTTACTCAAGAAATCGATTCCGATCGTGGCTTGATATGTGTTATCGAATGTGTCGTACATGAATCGTGTGATCAAAGATGTTTTTCCGACTGATTGTTCACCCAAGAACACAAGCTAAAGATGTGGGGAAAAGATTGAGGAAGTAAGTATTACTGGCAATGAAGTTTGTGTCTCATGCCTTTTCCTCAACGCATACTCACTTTGAACTTGCGCAATGGATGACCGTACTCTGTCGTTGTAGGTGTCGCGGCAGCCATGTTTATACTTGATTACAATGAACTCGATTGGTATGGATGAAGGCGAGAGAATGATAGTTTTGGCTTTGATTGGTTTGCAATTGTGTTCGATCCAATCTCTCCTATCAAGACTAAAGTAGACTCCGTATACAACTCCTTTTTTTGAAAGTGAATCTTTGAATGTCTTGATCGTTCTCCTGAAGGTTGTTGTATCTTTAATATGATTGACGGTAAAGAGGGAAGAATAGTTATGAGTAGCTCCCCTCAAAATCTCTATGCAATAGCATTCAAACATTCGCTCTTTTAAGTTGTGTCTGCCCACCCTCTTTTTTGTTTTTAGCACCAAAAGTGCTGTCTGTCCCTGCCCACTCACTCACTCAATGGATTGGCGGTGATTTTGCCGCGTACATAAGCGGCGATCAAAGGTTGAATGCAAATTAGACTGATTTATTGCTCATGAGACATTTTTACGCCTTTATTGCTGCTGCTCTAGCTGCTGCTCTTTGTGCCTTGCTAGATTACACAGGGCGAAAGGCGTAATGAGGGTACGCCTTAACAGAAAGCGTCAGTCAGGCTTTACCCAGAAACACGCCCGATAAGGCAGTTCAGATTACCACATGAAGGGGGCAGTGAGGGTTACAAACATCATTTCTAATGATCGACTTCATACATAACCTCACTCTGGAATCATTGGTCATCTATGATTATCTATTGAAACTTCAGTCTATCTACATTTGAATCGCTGTCTATGGATATCTACTTTACTTCTTGGATTGCTCAATCTCTTGCTCAGCAGTTGATTTGAATTGGAATGGTCGTCCACCATCCAAAGCAGTTTCAAACTTCTTAAAGTTTTCCTCTGGAACACCCAGTTCGAGAAGTTTGGCGTATGCCTTGCTGAAATCTTCAAAGAATTTATCTTCACTTTCGGCGTATTGATTGGCATATTTACGGAAGCTTGAATCTTGTACCAATGCCATATCGGTTGTCAACATCATCAAACCACCTGTTGATTTGTCTTGGTATTGCTTTGGTCCGCCCCACTTACGGAAACTCCATTTCTCGTTGAATAAGAGGTTGTAGTATTCGTTTGTGAAACTGATAGGAGAATGTGTCCATGGACCTTCGAATCCGGATCGGTCAGTATGGCATCTTCCTAAAGCATGTGCTCCACTCAAAGCAACGATTTCTTGATCATTGAAGCCCATACGGTAGAAGATGAAACGGATGTGATCTGAGCCCTTGTCACCGTCTGGCAAACGTCCATCTGGAGTGCAGTGTTCCTGCTCCTTGTCACTACGGCCGGGACGCCATGAGATCTTTGGTCCGCCCATTTCTTGCACAGCAGCCACGCCACCCAATGTCCAAAGGTCGGAATAAGTGATCCATGGATGTTTTGCATGAATTGGTTCCAAAAAGTCTCGTGCGGCCAAAAGACCTGCATTTGCACCATGATTGGCTTCAGGTGCGAAACGCATTGTGGCACCGTTACTGCCACCGCTCTTGTCTTCTTTGTTGTATGTTCCACTTGCATGCCAAGCAAGACGAACCAAGACTGGTCCATAACTTCCATCGTCGTATTCAGGGTTGTGTTCTAAACGATCAGCGATGTCATTGTAAACTTGTTGGTAATCTTGGAAAGATCCGATTCCGTTTGCAGGATTTGCCTTTCCTTTTGATCCCGTCAATTTGTTCTCAGCACGTCCTGCTCCAACGCCCAAGATATCCTTCTTTCCTTCTTGGTTGTAGAAGTAGAATCCCAATCCTGCAGCTGCCAAAACACCAACACCGATGATCACATTGTTTCCACTTGCAGGTGAGCCACCCGAATTTCCACCTTGTGGTGATGTGCTATAAGCACGACATGGCTTTGGAGCTGACATGCGTACTTGACTGCCAGCTGTACGGCGGATTGCTGTTGTGCCTACGTTTGCACGCATACGCATTGGCATCGTTGCACGAATTGCAGAAGCCATTTTGTGTAAAAAGAGGTATAATCGATAATGATGGCGAGGAAAGTAGAGTTTTACTTCTCATTTTTGATTTCAAAGCAGTACATACATCTCACTCTAGGCAACCTTCTCGTACATCACGGCGATTGGCGGTCCCCGATACATTGTTGGCTGAATACAAGCATTATTGGCGAAACGCCGAACATTCGCGTATTGTTATGCATATGCGTCTGTTTTAACCAATAAGGTCATACATATCTGTTGCCATCCAATTCAAGCGAAGATTTGAGAAGCTTATCAAAACAATTTTCACACTTTCTTTGAACTCTTGCTGCTTCTACGCTAGTCGCTTTGCTTTGACAGCTTAGATTTGCACAAAGTAAGCAAGAAAGTTTGTAAAATCTATTCAAACCCGATAAGGCACACACACGCACAGGCTGACGCGCTTGTGACCCTAACGCCTTACCCGGATCCTGCCCGAATTACCGCCAAACGGATTATTCTCCGAATGTGCTAAGTCGATTAGGCGATTTACGCGCAGACAACTTATAGTCTGAAAGTGATTATCTAAGCATGCAAGATGGTAGTCGAAATCATGGCTGAAAAGGGACCTGGCAATAAGATCTGATGTTGATTCGATGCCTTTCCCTCTAATTGAAAGGTTCTCTGTGTGTCACCTTTTTCTTTTCATCTTCACTCAGTAATGACCAAGAGTGCGGCTCCGTTTTGGCTTCCGGCTGTGAAATGTCGAATTGTTTGAGCACACGTGCCTTAAAAGCACGCAATTTAGGCTGTTTTGTAGGCATAGTCAACAACACTGCTCATTTGCCAGGATGTTATTGCCGGTATACACGCTTAATGATCCAAAGTTTTCCTCTTTTGAAAGAAAAGAATAAATCTCTGGCTTTTGAGCAGTGTCCTTTGCTCCGCGCTATTCATCAACCAATCTTCTTATTGTTGGCTTCAATTTTTTTTTTCCTTCTTCTGGAAACGAACGTTGTCTGTGCGAGAGAGAGGGAGAGAGAGTATGAATGGGGCAAAAAAGCAGACAAAATAGAGTGCCGAAATGAACTGACCGAGAAAGAAGAAAACCATATCCCTTAGCACGTACGCTGCTTAAAATTGCACACGACGTTGCCAAAAAAACAATCCTTCTTAATTTGGGGGAATACATCTTCTCTTCTTTCTCCATCATACCCTTGTGAATTATCATCTTCACTTTTCATAGATCATATCACATCAAAAATGGTTTCAGCACAAAACCCTCAAACAAACGGATCCCGGGCTCCTTTGCCTGATGGACAATTCCTCTTCACCTCTGAATCCGTTGGTGAAGGTCACCCAGACAAGATTTGTGATCAAGTTTCTGATGCAATCTTGGATGCATGCTTGGAACAAGACCCAAACTCAAAAGTCGCTTGTGAAACTGCAACAAAGACTGGTATGATTATGGTCTTTGGTGAAATCACAACAAAGGCACAACTTGATTACCAAAAAGTCATCCGTAACAAGATTAAGGAAATCGGTTATGATTCCAGCGAAAAAGGTTTCGATTACAACACATGTAATGTCTTGGTAGCAATCGAACAACAATCTCCTGATATCGCTCAAGGTTTGGACCATGGTGATTTGGAAGCACACGGAGCAGGTGACCAAGGTATCATGTTCGGATATGCTACTGATGAAACCCCTGAAATGATGCCTGCAACAATCGTTTTGGCACATAAATTGAACACTGCCATGTCTGCCGCTCGTCGTTCAGGTGCTTTGGCTTGGTTGCGTCCTGACACAAAGACACAAGTTACCATTCAATACAAGAAGGATGGTGGTGCTATGATTCCCGTTCGTGTTGATACAGTTGTCGTTTCAGCTCAACACTCTGATGATATCTCTACAGAAGATTTGCGTAAAGAGATCTTGGAAAAGATTGTTAAGCAAGTCATCCCTGCCAACTTGTTGGACGATCACACTGTCTACCACATTCAACCTTCCGGAAGATTCGTTATCGGTGGACCTCAAGGTGATGCCGGTTTGACCGGAAGAAAGATCATCGTTGACTCTTACGGTGGTTGGGGTGCACACGGTGGTGGTGCTTTCTCCGGAAAGGATTTCTCAAAGGTCGACAGATCCGCCGCATACACTGCTCGTTGGGTTGCCAAGTCTCTCGTTGCCTCTGGTTTGGCCCGCCGTTGTTTGGTTCAATTGTCTTACGCAATCGGTGTTGCTGAGCCATTGTCCGTCTTTGTTGATTCTTACGGAACAAGCAAAAAGACTGATGCTGAATTGGTAAACATTGTCCGATCAAACTTCAACCTCAAGCCAGGTGTGATTGTGCGCGATTTGGGATTGCAAAAGCCAATTTACGCAAAGACTGCTTACGGTGGTCACTTTGGACGTAGCGAATTCAGCTGGGAACAACCCAAGCAACTTCAACATTAAGATGTTGATTGTGTAAAACCCCCATTTCGCCCTTGTCTTTCATTTGTTCTACAGTCGATTCAACACTCGACGCTTGAGCATGTCTGACGCCTCTCTTCCGTTTCTGCGGGTCAGATTGTTCACATCCTAGTGATGTGAACACTGATCCTTCTCCTACACCTCACATTTGCCTGCCTGAATGGACCATTTGGTACAGCTGGACTTGCAATACACCTCTATCATCCATCAGCCCTGGACAACATTGTCTCTGGGTTTGTCAAAATCCGCCTTATTCTTGAGGTAGGATATACGCCAATTACGCTTTTCAACGGGTTTTAAACTCTGTTGAAATTGATACATTATATCAATGCTCAGCATCTATAAATCAAGACGATTCACCCGTCTTTGTTTCTTCTCTTTTATTTCTCGTCTATTCTTGTCTCTTTATACTACTCATCTGTACTTGAACCGCACTCAAAACTTGCACGTCAACCGTGAAATGGGATAATCATATCAAAATGAACAAAAGAGTGAATGAGAATGAGTGAGTGGAGTATTAAGCAGCGTTTAGCGTATAAATTTTGAACAAAGGATCCAACGTACGCGTAACATTCTTGATGAGGGTTTGGATTGACATTAGACATCCATCATCTATCATATCAAAGGACACTCTTTTAGATTTGGACGTTATGTCCATCGTACGGGCCGGCTTCCGGATCAGTAAAGGAACAAAGTTGATCATAGAGCATAATTTGAGAAGGTCATCTACGGTTCAGCCAGTCAATTCACCATTCCTTGCAGGACAAAGAGTGGCGGGATGTGCACATTATTCTTCTCGTTTACCTGGCTCTAGACCTTCTAGATTGGCACCAAGAAGGGTGGCAAGAGTGAGGAGTGCTCCATCACAAGAACATGCCGAAGTAGACCATAGGCAGCCGCTACCTACTGCGCAGGAAGGAGGAGCAAATACACCAAGCAATTCTGCAGGTCATAACCAAGGACAGGCTCCCCAACCTTCTTCATCACTCGCTGATCTGAGTCAAGGCAAGAGTGATACACAGTTAAGGAACTTGCCTGCGCTCACTCATTCTACCGTCCCGGTCCCGCTTGCAAAAGATGGAGAAAGAGGAGTGATCGATCAAGATGCTGCCTTGCGTCAAAGTGTTGAATCAATTTTAGGGCAACCAACATTGGTGGTTACACGAGAGATTGAGATGTTGAATGTGTTTTTGGGTTATGAACAAGCGAACAAGTATTCAATCTTGACGCCAGAAGGCTATCAGGTTGGCTATCTTGCCGAATCAGAAAAAGGCTTGCTTGGTGGAACTTTGAAGAGACAATTCTTGCGAACTCATCGATCGTTTGAAGCGCACATCATGGACACTACTGGACGAGTGGTATTGACGATCAGAAGACCAACAACGCTGATCAATTCAAAAATCAAAGTGCTCGTCCCGCATCCATCTACTGGAGAAGAGAGACTCGTGGGAGAAGTACATCAGATCTGGCATCCGTACAAAAGAAAGTATGAATTATTTGTCAACCAAGGTGATCAGCTCAGTGAAGATGGATCAAACGAATCAATGGTTCAATTTGCCGGAATCGATGGTGGCTTCCTTGCATGGGATTTCATGTTGACTGATGAACACAATAGACCATTAGGCGCGATTACTAGAAATTTCAGAGGATTTGGACGTGAACTTTTCACCGATACAGGACAATACATTTTAACATTTGATCCTACACAAAATCAAGACATGAACAATGATGGTCCTTTAGACTCTCCAAGACTATCACAATCTCCTCAATCATCATTACCTCCACCATCATCATCTGAGAAAGAACAAAGTTCACTTACCGAGACTGCGACTGGAAAAGAATTGATAACAAGTGGTCCTTCACGCGCATTGACGATGGACGAAAGGGCAGTCGCACTTGCTACAGCTATTTCAGCAGATTTTGATTATTTCTCTAGACATTCTGATCATCAAACTTCAATGTTCCCGCCCTTCTTCATGATGGGCGGCGGCGGCGGCGGTGGTGGAGAAGCACCAAACCCTAACACCACTCAAGAGCCTACAACGCAAAATCAAGATTCTTCAGACGTTCAAGCTCCTCCGCCTGCGCCTGGCAGTGATGGTGATGTTGGACCTGCTGCTGGTACGGGAGCAGGCTATGACATCTTGACGGGAGAACGACAAAATCCTACACCAACACAGCAAGACGGAGGAGGTGGTACAACTCCTTGGTGGGAAGAGGATACCCCAGCATCAAATCAAAGCGATGGAGATTTTGGTACGGGTCAAGAGGAAGTTTGGAACGATTCAGATCCATGGCAGTCAGATGATGGCTTTGGCAGCGGTGGTGGAGATGGGTGGGGATGGACAGATTGGCTGCCAGGAGGTGACTAGAAAGGCAGCTATCATAAAGCAACATGTACCATATACCCTTATACCCTCACTGCTCATTAGGAATGCATTCAGATGGAAAAATATTGGCAATTGCATTTTGGTATTGTACATTGATTTGGCAATTTTAGCATTTAAGCGCCCGATCGACGTTCACGTCTTCGACGATCTCTATCACGACTGTTCGGTTGGCGATCACGTCTGAGATTACCACTGGAAGCAGAACGTGTTTGATCGGTGTTTGGCCTGTAGGCATCTTCACCTGCTCTATATCCGCCTTGTCCACCACCACCACGAGCATATGGTTGACTGGCAGAGCGAGATGCGTTTTGGTAGTTGTTGTTATTGTTCGGAGTAGCCCTTCCTTGACCATGAATGGAAATACCTTTATCGGCTTCTGAGCCTCTATCATTTGAGCTGGAAATATGACGACGATCATCATCGCCTGCTTTACTTGTCCGTGCTCGTTTGTTTGGTTGTTGATCCGTATCACGTCTCGTATCGGCATCACTGCGTGTGTTACCTGAATCATTCGTTTTTGGTGATGAACGATTGGCAGATCCTTCTCCATTTCCTCCTGGCGAGGCAGGAGCTGAGTTGGAAGCATTTTGTTCCATCGTTAGTCGATCGAACAAACTACGCTTCTTTGATCCTGAAGGACTTGCAGTAGATGATGGTTCGGCCATAGAGGAAGGAGTGGCCTTTGGCGTACTCTCGTTTCGGTCTGAAGATGCACTTTCTGGCTTACTTTGCTGTGAACTTCTAGCATCTTGATCTTTACCCCGAACATCCCTATCGCGATCGCGTCGATCATCACCTCTCTTGTCGTCCGATTGAGGAATGCTAGATGTGCGTGAGCTTGAGACAGGTTGACGAGAGGAGTCATTACGAGCGCTGTACCCACGATCACTATCCCGTGAAGACTGGGATTTGGTGCGGTCGTTGGCATTCGCTGCGCTATCACGACGATCGTATGCTCCATTTCGTCGATCTGTGTTTGCAGATGGCGTAGATGTTCGATCACGATCGGTATCACGTCGATCACGACGATCATCTCCACCTCGAACCTGATTGATAGAATCCTTTTTGGCACGTTCACGATCTCTTTCGCGATCTCGATCACTATCACGAGCATCACGAGGTGTACGTGAATCACGATCTCTGGTTCGATCTGCTTGTCGACTATCATATCTATCGTCCCATCCACGATCACGTCTGTTTGGTGCATCTTTAGGCGCTGAGTAATAATCAGACGAATTGCGATCACGTCTATTGCCGCCATTAACATCTTCACTTGGTGCTCTGCTTCGAGAATCAGCGTTTGTCCGATTGGCAGTTGCACCGCGATCACTTGCGCGAGGTGAAGTATCACGCGAACGAGCGGATTGCGACCGAGGTGTCTTGTCTCCGTCATTGCGTGAGCGAGCTGATGAATTCGCTGTCGTCGGGTTCGAAGTGGAAGAGCTATTATTGCCTCTTTGCACAGCTGAAGCCCTATCACGTTCACGATCCCTTGTTGGTGCTTTGGGTGGATTCATTGCGCCTTCTCGCATACTGGCAAGGGCAGCTTGTCTTGCTGCTTGTACACTTTTTGCGTCATCCGATCCAGCAGCTTTTGTCGTCGAAGTCGTTCGATCATCCCATGATGGTCTTGGTGAAGGAGCATTAGAAGATGCTTTTGGTTCCAAACCAGGCCTGGCTGGCAATTTGTGTGTGGACGTTGAGCGGGATTGTGGCGCTGGCCTTTGATCTTTATCTGCCTTCGCGGTCGTACCTGAGTCTTTTTGTTCAGCCAGACTTTCTCCATTGGCCTTTGTTGATGAATCGGCAGCAGGTTTGGTATCGACAGTCTTGTCTGTGCTTTTGGACTTTTCATCTGTTTTGCCAACTGACTGTTCAGCCGCTTTCTTTTTCGGCATGGGTATCCAACCTTTTTGCTCTTTTCTCAATGTGGCCAACAATCCTTGTCCCAACACCTTGAGATCACCACGTTCCTCTTCGTTTGATACCTTTGAGATTGTCTCTACCAAGACTGAACCATGAAGTTCCCAGATTGGGAAAAAGCTTGCAATTCGTGTCATTACAACGATGCAATTGCGAATGCGCATATACTCTCGCGATGTTAAGCATTCGATGAAAGTTGACTGTAGCATATTGTGCCATTTTCGAATGATGGATTTGAATTGATCGAACTGCATCATATCTTCATCTGGTACTTCTTCATCTCCATGACGCTCGCCCCATCGAATTTGGAATCCTGGAAGATTCTCGCCTTTAGCCTCAGAAACGAACTTCTTTTCATCTTTGAACCATGCTGTCAAATCAGTCATGATTACCTGCAAGAATCTTGCTAGGTTGCGCGCTTCATTTTCCGTTGTACTAAAGATCAGTGCTGGGATTTGTTCCATAAAGATCTTGTCATACATCTTCACAGTATCAAAATTGTACGTAGCATTCGTATGCATGATCCGGATAAAGCGGGCTGCAAATACTGCATCTGTTGGCGAAAGTAAAGCTCTGGGGATGAAACAGTATTGCAAAGCCGCATAAAGAATATCTGCTCGATTTGTATCCTTCTTGAACCAATGGCTCTTTTCCACCTTTAGTCTATTCTTTGTGAATTGATGTCCGGCAGTCTGCTCTTTCAGTTCTACCCGTAAAAGTCGAATAGAATCTTGTGCTTGAGCTCGTACTTTTGGATTTGAAGATCGGCTGCCTTCTGGATTCTCGTCAATGACTTTTTGCAGGGTACGAATCTCTTGCTGGTATCTCTCTGCAGGAACAGAGATATCTGATAAGGCTAATTGCCAGAAAGTGGAAAAGAAGTGTACTCCAATCACTTCCTTTGCATCGTCCGGCAGTACATTCTCTGCCGCTTCATACGCTTCAGACAAAGCTGGATTCCAGATAGGCTTGTCAGCTTCCTCACTCTCTTGCTCGGCTGAAACTTCAGGCTTGACTTCATCGTTCTCTTGCATCTCAGTATCTTCACTGTTCTCTTTATCTGATTTTGCTTCTGTGGGCTTCTTTTCTTCTTCCCCATTTGTCATGTTGGCATCATCCTCTTTCTTTTCCGTGTTGTCACCTTCTTCGGCCTTTTCGGTCTCTTCAGTGGGCGTACTTTTCTTATTCTGACTTGATAGAAGTTCCTTGCGAAGTCTTTCTTCATTCTCCTTCGCTTGCGCTTGGCGGATCTGCAAAGTCATTCGAGGGCGAACAAGGTGACTAGCAATCGCAGGCTCCAATTCAAATCTTCTGCAAAGGTCGTCCATAGTAGGTATTAGATCCGAGTAGGCTTGAGAGTCCAGCTGATTGTGCATAAATTCGATATATTGGAACAAGATCTCTTGACAGGTATCGAAAAGGTTGCCCAAATATTTCAAATGAGCTTCACTATCCGGCACAAGATGAATGCAAGCTTGTCTTTGTTGCGCGATGAGAATTAAAAGAGGCATGATCATCATACTCTGCTTCAAAGCATGCAGAAGTCTTGAGCTACTCTTGCGTAGAGCTAACCTAGTTTTCGTTGCGATACCGGCATTGGCAATCATCATAGCTTCCATACGTAGCATCCTTCCTCCTGTCAAGGCTGCTACTTGCGAATCTGATAAATTCTGCAAGGGCTCAATTCCAGCCATCTTCAAGATCAATTCTCGAATGATCACAAGATCTTTGATGTTGTTCTCCTTCAGTTGATTGGCGATGTATTGCAGTACGGGAGAGCAATCCATCATTGCGTATCGCCAGTACAGGGTTCCAGTAAATGCTGCTAAACTCTGCAACCACTGGCTCACGCTCGTTCCATCTTGCTTCGTTCGATCCTTTTCTGGATTGCTCAAAGCGTCGATCAAGTTGAAGCCGAAGACGTCATATTCGAAATGCGTCAAGTATTTGGCACATTCTACAATTGGGGCGATCAGATTTGAGTAAGATTGTACTTGATTGAGGGCAACGGTAAAGAAGATTGTTGGGTTCGCATGAGATGCTTTTGCAAGTGCACGACCGGACAACTTGACATTGTCGCTACTGATTCGCTTCAAGATGCCTTTTGCTTCTTTTTCCACTTCTGCTTGTCGAACTCGAAGCTCAGGTCGCTTGTATAGCGAGTATTTCCACTCGCCATAAACACTAAATCGTTCGGTGTAAGACAATTGTCTTAAGATCACCCATACCTCCGACACCAATCCTGAGTTTCCAGATGTCATCGAAAGAGCAGGGAGTAAAACGTTGCGAATGAGTTCCAACCAGGCAGTTTTCTCTTTTGAAGAATCTTCGATAGATCGCATAGCAACTTTCCCAATCCTGCAAATGCGTTGGAATAGAGTCAGATTTCTGCTGAGGTACGGTCCAAGCATCCGAAGATACGGTACGAATTCTGACAAGAATTGTTCGTCAGTGCATCTAGGCAGCTTCTCTTTCCATTCTGGGAAGAAGTAGACAAAGTCTGTCAGATGTGTACCAAGCGGCTCAGGCGCCAGTGATGTGACGTCAGCTCGAGGAAAGGGTAGCGGGATGAGTTCTTGCTTCTTATTGTCGAAGCGGTATCGTTGTGGTACAGTCAAATATCCAAGGCTGGCATCGATCTGCTTTGATAGTGCAACGGATGAGTAAATAGGCTCTATCATCACGTTCAACAATCGACATAGCAAATCAGAGACTTCTGGAAATGCTCCGCACAGCCATGGATATTTTCCCAATATCAAGAATGCATGCCGAATTTCGCCAATGGCAAGTAAAGCTTTCAATAAGCCAAGAACTTGATTTGGCATCACATGAGGAACGGCATTTGCATCCTTCTGACCGTTGGCATCTCGTGCATCAGACAGAGCACCACCTTCTCCTTCATCTGCTGTCAAGGGAGCAGCCATAGAAAGAGCGTTACCTTTTGCGCTCATCGCTCGATCGCTCAAAGCGGTTTTATACTCTTCGTGTAGCTTTGTCATTCCTTTCTCGTCGGGTGATAGATGGGGCATTAAGTCAACAAAGCGTATTTGACCAACCCGGATTAGGATAGCAGCCACTGTGTAAAGTTCTTCTAGTCCATTTTGTCGTGTCGTCTCCGGGTGTTGATAAAAGGAGAACTTGAATCCTAAAATCTGAGCGCATGTGTGATGACCAGATTCACCACTAATATTGGTATTGACAGAGCCAAAGCGCCATGCATTTTCACCTTCATCAGCGTCAAGATCCATTGCATTCGATTTCGTTCCATGTTGCACTGTACGCCAAGGTGAAAGGGACAGAAGTGCAAGAAAGAATGGCCAGTGATGATAGACATTGGCCGAGAATATGTCGAGAATGACGTCCAATACACGACTCGGATCCATGTCAAAGTACCCAATCAGAGCAGATATGTTATTCATTACCCTTTGAGCTCTCTCATTTCTCACTTCGACGCTTTCCTGTTCGATCACGCGTAGGAATGAAGAGCCATCATCCTTTGCTTGGCTGATTGCAATAGTCGGCGGGCCTATTCCCAGGAGAAGCTCATTGATAAGACCGGAGAACCCTTCATTCTCTTCGCGCAAGAGGTTGAACTTTTGCTGTTTGTATAGTCGAGCTGTGTTGATCCGGATCGCTTTACGGCTCATATCACGTTCATCGGGAACGAGACCGATTTGATGTAACAGAGGTAATTCTAAGCGTTCTGCCACATCTAGCCGCTTTAGCAGCTGTTGTTCCACCAATTCACAAACAATGTCAGCTAGTCGGGATCGTGATCTGGATGATTGTTCATCCAGTGTCTCCCCGTCGAGGGCGTCGTCTATTATCGCATTACTATCGTGGGTCGCTGCAATTTCTCGGCGAGCGTCAATTTGTAGATCCGCAGTCCAGATAGCATCTAGAAGTAGTTCGGATATCGGACTGCTCTTCTCGTTGGGGGCAGCATCGGATTCTGGCGAGTGTGATCTGCTTGGGCCTGCTTCTGCTGAATCTTCTGTATCTCCATTCTCTATCCCAATTGGCGGTGCAATCTGAAGTAGAACATCTGAGAACGACGAAGGCTGAATCTGGTCGTGTAGGATCTGCCTCGTTATCCATGCCAGCAATAGAAGCGAGAATGAGTCTTGTGATGAAATATCGTCACCATCTTGCTGAGATTGTGTGAAAGCAATTTGTAATATTTCGTAGCTGTGATGATTCGGAATCGGTAGGGATACTAATTGTCAATATTTCGTTTCGTCGAATATAAGAATCGCTCCATCATCGAATCAGAGAGACTTTGCGTGAAGCATCGAAAAGCAATCGTATTTCTCATTCGAGATCGAAGAAGTCTCCTCCTTTTTTCGTGTCGAAATTAATGATGCTGTCGCTGCTCCAAAACACAAAAGGCGTCTTCTTCTCCGGTGATGTTGCGTGTGTGTATATGGGTCACCCGAAACTCACAGTTGATCTTTGCCTCCTTGATCCCATATAGAAAGCCATTGTTTCAGCAACCCTTCTGCTTCGATCGAAGAAGTCGGCAATTTGGTAGCGCTCATATCCTATCGATCTTTCGAATCATGTGCGATGCTTGCCTATCCTCTGAATACTTTGGGAGCTTTTGTTTGAGCAGACTTCCTTCTTTGATGATCAAGGCTCGTTAGCTTTCGATTCTCCCGCCAACACAGATGGATGTAAGACTAATCGTCACTACGATCGAAAGAGGATGTTTCTGACACCATGTAAAAAGTGCACTCAAGAATAGCGCATTCATTTTTTCTGCGCCCAGCCACGCGTAAGTCTACAAGCATGTCGGAATTATGTAAGCTCGTCCTCAGACACTGATAAATATGAATGGGATGATACTGTTCGGCAACCTCTCTAGTTGCAGCATATGCTGAGATAGAAGAGCTCCAATAATGCTTCAAGAGCTTTCTCTGTCCATCTATCTCAAATCTGAAGCTGTTGGTATGGCATTTAGCAGGATGTGTGAACTTTGTTTTATAAATGAAGTATACTCATAAGAAAATTTCACATTCCCCTCTTATTCTAATTTCGCAAGTGCTGCAAAGTCTCTGAGAATTACTTGCGATCAATATCTATACTTTAGTGTACTACGAACAGAATTTTGAGATCTTAAAATAAGTTTCAAGCCACAATTTCAACATGCAAGCTACCGTGAATTACCAATCGGCGTAATATTTGTAACCAAAACGCAGATGGCTCCAGATTTTCCGTGGGATACACCCGGATCAAGTCAAGGATATAGAATCGATTATCAATCAACGGTTCCGTATCAGGTATTCGCGATCACAAGCTTGTCATCATAATTCTCAACAACGTGCGACGGAAGACCGCATACATCCGCTCCAATGATGATTGTTTCCACTAGCTTCTTCCAGGGTTGACGTGGAAGGGGGGGGCTGTTTGTTGCATTGGGCCGTGTGCTCTCCTTCGGCGGCGGGCGCACGCACGCACACAAACAAGCTAAAGTTAGACAAAGTGCGGACATGCCGTATTTATGCTTGTTATGCGTGCTATTCTTATTTTAGTAGATAGCGTGCGTGGCTCAGGCTTTGTTTCAGTCTAACAGTGCAACAACAGTGTTACTCTGCCGGCATTCTGATGTGCTGTCTAAGAAGAAAGAAAGAAAGGCGTGTGCGCATGTAATGAGTTCTTCCTGCTGCCAAAAGTTGGAAAGGAGACAAGTTTCCCCCCTCTTTAGATGTCCGCTTTCTTTTCTTAACATCATCATCATCATCTTTTGTTTTGTTCACTCATTCAAATCATCATGAAGCAACCTATCGTAGCAAGAGCAGCTATAGGAATGGCATTAGCCGCCACCTTGGTTAGCGCTGAATCGGAAAGACCATCATTTGAACCTACAAATATCAAAGCTCCCTTTTTGGAACAATTCACACCCGATTGGAATACACGTTGGTCACCTTCAGGTGCAACAAAGAAACAATCAGGCGGTGAAGTGTTCTCTTATGTTGGTCAATGGTCAGTTGAAGAACCTACCGTCTTCCCCGGTCTAAAGGATGACCTTGGTTTGGTTGCTAAATCAAAAGCAGCTCAACATGCAATCTCTGCCCCATTCAAAGAGGTTGTCGACCCAAAGAAAGCCGCAAAAGAAGGCAAACCATTGGTGGTGCAATACGAAACAAAATTGCAAAACGGCTTGGTTTGTGGTGGTGCATACTTGAAATTGTTGACCGAATCGCCCGAAGGAATTCAAGCAAAGGAATTCTCCGATCAAACACCATACACAATCATGTTTGGACCGGACAAGTGTGGACAAACAAACAAAGTTCATTTCATCTTCCGTCACAAGAACCCAAAGACGGGTGAAATCGAGGAGAAGCATCTAAATAACGCACCTTATGCTAAATTGTCCAAAGTTTCCGCTTTATACACACTCATCGTTCATCCTGACAACACTTTCCAAGTCTTGATCAACAATGATCAAAGGAGAAACGGAACATTGTTTGATGACTTTGAACCTTCAGTCAACCCAGATAAGGAGATCGATGATCCAAAAGATAGCAAGCCTTCTACCTGGGTCGACACACCCCGCATTCCCGACCCTAAAGCAGAGAAGCCTGCCGAATGGGATGAAGATGCAGCTCCTGAAATTCCTGACCCTGATGCCGAGAAGCCCGAAGGCTGGTTGGATGACGAACTTTTGACAATCCCTGATCCTGATGCTATCAAGCCAGAAGAATGGGATGACGAAGAAGATGGTGAATGGGTCGCACCAACTGTGCCTAACCCAAAGTGTGCCGATGCTCCAGGATGCGGTGAATGGGTCCGCCCTACGATCCCTAACCCTGCATTCAAGGGTAAATGGACTGCACCTTTGATCGATAACCCAGAATACAAGGGAGAATGGAAACCAAAGAAGATTGCCAACCCCAACTACTTTGAAGACAAGAACCCTAACTTCTTCTCTCCCATTAAAGGTATTGGATTTGAAATTTGGACCATGGACGAAGACATTTTGTTCGACAACATCTATGTTGGTCACAGTATCGAAGATGCCCGTGAACTTGCCCGACAAACCTTTGATGTCAAACTCCCAATCGAACAAAACATCGAAAAGGAAGATTTGGAAAAGAAGAAGGAAGAGGAAGAAAAACAAGTTAAAGATGAACCTCTTGGATTCGCAAGAATGCAAAACACTTTGTTGGACTTTTACAGCGATCTCAAAGTTGACCCAATCGCTGCTATCAAGGCACAACCTAATGTTGCTGGTTTGTTGGCTGCTATTATTGCTGCTGTGTTGGGTTTGGTTGGCTTTATCGGAGGTATTGCTGGAGGTGCATCAAAGACACCTGCCGGCAAAGCAGCTTCCAAGCCTGCCAAAAAGACTGATGCACCTTCTGGTAAATCGACTGCAGTTGCCGCAAAGGAAACCACTAAGAAGCGTACAGCAAAAGCTGCCTCTGCCGAAGATGATGAAGAGTAATTCCAGTCCATTTCTTCTACTCTGTTTTTTCCATGTCAAAGCTCGCATGTGAGCTATAAAAAGGTACATTGATTGTACATACATGTATTCCACATGCCAAAAACATAATCCCTCTCTAGATAGTTTCTGCTGAAATGAGAATCAATTTCGATCAACATCAATGAGTTCTACTACCGTTGTGGCTGCCATAGAAGAATGATCCGAATGCTAAAGAAGGTGTCGGGTGCTTTGGCCACTTTAGCTTATGAATATTGGGCCTGTGTGAGCGTGTGCAGTGTGCGTCTATACACACGTGAGTGAGCCGACCAAATTTTTTTCCGACTTTAGCTTCCCTTTGTTGTTAGATTACAATTACTTGGTGTCGGATATCGGTTTTGTAAGGTGCGCAAAATGAAACGAAGGATGCAAGTGGATCCGATTGTTTGCAAAATTGAATTGACATCCATTGCTCTTAACTTCAACTTGTTGAGGAGCACAAGGATTTAAATCAACCCCACACCACCACCACCACTGCAATAATGGCACACGCAGATAGAGCAAGAGATCCTTGTCCATACGTCATCTTAAACGATGCCGGAGGTGCTTTCAGTATGGGAGCGATTGGTGGTACGATTTGGTATGCGATCAAAGGAAGTAGGAATTCACCTAGAGTGAGTATTAGGTTGGAGAAAGGTGGCAATTGGCGAATAGGATGAGCAGGTGGCATGATGCGGTGCTGTCCTTTTCAACTTCTTGTCAGGCGTGACTCGCTATTCTACGATGGCGGGAAAGCAATTAGTAAAGCACAGGAGATCACTGACACATGCATACCCTCTTCTTCATTCTAGGGATCACGTTTACCAGGAGCAATAGCAGCAATCAAAGCACGAGCACCAGTTTTAGGAGGAAATTTTGGTATTTGGGGTACAATGTTTTCCACTTTTGATTGTACAGTAAAGGGAATTCGACAAAAAGAAGATTATTGGAATTCAATCATTGCAGGCTTTATGACCGGTGGAAGTTTGGCAATTCGTGCAGGTCCAAAAACTGCTGTTGGATCGGGAATAATGTGTGGTATCCTTCTCGGATGTTTTGAAGGTGTTGGTGCTTTGATTCAAAGACTAACGGCAGAAGGACATAAACCTGTCGCACCCATCATGTGAGTAAAAGTCCGTTTGTGTGGATTTGAAAGGATCAATGACTTACTCTCTCTTTCTTCTGTCAACCTTTTCAGCCCTGATACCACAACACAGAATGGAGCACTTGGATCTGGACCTGTTTCAAGTCAAATACCTGCTCCAGCATAAAATCTTTGTATATTTTCTCACATTCATCTTATAACTTTTGACAAGGTATTTTGCATACTTGTCAAATTGTCCGCTTTCTTTTTGTACTTTTCATACACATCATCGCCACTCGATTAATGCATTATTAGACCTGACAATGCGATCCTTGCGAGAACGTTTTCAGCACGAAATTACGGATCGACAAATGCCGAGAAGGATATGCGCACAGCTCAAACCATGAAGTCACATTCATTGGGCTGAGTGTGTACAGCATCCGTCATTATCTTCTCAGTTCCATTCGATCACGGATGATAATATTTTAGAATGCGAATTATTCCCTTTTAAACCCTCAAAAAGCATTGGAGCAGTTCGGTTTGCATTAAAGGACCCCTGTTTCATCCTTCTGCACGGCGCCGGATAAGTTGTTACAGATGAAAATCGATTGAGATAAAGGCATGAAATGCAATTGCTCATATCAAATTCATCATCCGCCAACACACACACACACAACACACACTTTCGGCAATGCGGCGCTGCGTACATACATACATTACCTTGGCCCAACACAACAAACGCCGGACGGAGGCGCGAATTGATCACGTCAAAGTAGGCGGGCAAATGTTGTGTGTTTGATACATACGCCTGCCTGCACTGTACACGACGCAAAACTCGTTTCAGCCTAAAAATTGGCTACCCCATTTTAGCAAGACACGTAGTAGAAGAGGTGCTTGAGTGTATTTAGCCTGTGTAAAAAGAAAAATAAAATAAAAATCACGGATTCCAGAAAACCGTGAAGCATTTCCACACATCAGAAAAAAAAAAAAAGCTCCCTGAATCCGACTCACTACGATCACCTCGTATACTCCTAATTGAATCGGAGAAAACCATAAGCTCTTTTCCTCCGTCAAATATACGACTATCTGACAATCATCAAAAGATAAAGCGCTTGGGCCGCTTTCGACATTCTCTCACAGACAGAATCACTCCACTTTTTCACTCGCCGTGGCATTCCTTCTTATAGCGTTCCTAATCTACAACTCATACGCAATCCGTCACAAAAAATACCAACCCACTCGACTGCATTCAAACGTTTTTCTCACTCAAATTAGGCACTTTTTTCCTTCCGCGATTTCGGCCAATTGCTGAGCCAACCAAATACGTGTGTCATCGCCTATCAATCTTTGATCAAAAGAGCAATCACTCAGCGCACACAAGCTCACCAATTCCTCTTCCCCCACAACCATCACAACCTTTTCACATCATGACATCCGTTTCTCGACCCGTTTCAACTTCATCACAACATCTCTTTCACAATCACGATTCAGACAGTCCATCTTCTCATCCACTCGACACTCCTTCTCCCGGTGCACCTGAATCAACATCAGCAAACCTTCACGGAGCAAGCGCAACGGATGGAAAGCGAATGCGTGAAAGACGTGTGATGCCTTCTCGTCTTCAACGTGTTTCCAGTCTTTTGGCAGGAAGTATTATTGAAGAAGAGATTGCAGGAGCAGCAGCAAAAGAAGAAGCAAATTCTGGTTTATCCGGTAACACAGTCGTGATCTTAACAACAGAAGAAGGCGTTCAAACAGATCCATTGCCCAGCATTCACTATGGAGAACGAGGAACAACCACCCTGCAAGATCGTGAAGTGATTGAAACGCCAGATTTTCGTACACGAGATGAAACGGAAGTGATGGGTAAGACACGTTCTATGCGTTCAGAAGAAGATACTTCTGATGCCGCTTTTGAACGTCGTCATCGTAAAGCTGATAATGCCGAAAAGCGCTTAAGACGTTGGGAGAAGGAAAACCTCCGAAAGGATAGACAAAAGATCGTTGATCGAATCGATCGTCTCAAAGCAGCAGATTCGCGAATTTTGGCACCCATCTTGTCTGCGCGTGAGGATAGACAACGTTTAGCATCCGGTACAAATGCAGAAAAGAGCAACGGGGATGCTGACTCGGTAGTTGACGCAGAATCAAGTGAATATCAAAACAAGCTAGAACATTTGCGAGAAGAATTGATTGAGGAACATCGTGTTTTACTTCAACGTTACGACGCCTTATTGACCGTTCCAACGGAAGAGGTCCCATCAGAAAAAGTGATTGGTAAGAGGAAAAAGATTCACGATGACGATGGACATTATTCCGCAGCTGAGGAAGCTGATGCCATGGACAAACCTTCAGCAAAGAGATCGATAAGCGTGTCTGGTGCATATGGCAGGAAAACAAATGCTCATGGTGATTCTCACTCTGGCGCGAGTAATGCATCTATCAAACCAAGCAATCTCAGAGCTTCATCTTCTACCAGCTCTTTACCAGATGCTACTGGCAAAAAGCCAAACACCAAATACCTTTCTCGTGATTCTAAGGCTAAAAAGGAAGAACGCATCCCAAAACCATTTACAGAATCAGATGGTAAAGTTCGTGCTGAGCACACATATGCAAACATTCATGCCCGTACTTCTGGTGGTCGTTTTGCACCAAAAAACGCTTTGGGTGCCGGTACAGGCGGTGGTCCTGTTGGCTCAACGTCCAAGATTAACAGTAAAATGGGACGTGTGAAAACTGGACAGCAAGCCAGAAAACCGAGTACATCAAGAAAAGCATCAACTGCTGCAAAGAAAGAGCCAAAAGAAGCCAACGCAGATACATCGATCGCCACTTCGGCAAATTCTACACCTTCTCGTTCTAGCAGACCTCGAGGTAGACCACCAAAATCACCAGTTTTGGTATCAGAAGGCATCACTGGTGCTGGTGCAAGTGAAACAAATTCTCCTGCTGATACCAGCCGTACACGCAAGGTCAAATTGATCCTTCGTAAAGGTGGCTCGAATGATGCAAACACGACTAGCAGTACTTCTTCTACGCCTCAACGTCGTGGTGCAGGCTCTAACATCAAACAAGAGAGCAGCACGATTGACGCAGACGGAGATGAAATCATGGAATCTGATGGCGAGATGGATTCAATCTTCCCAACTGCTAGCACGCCAGCACGGGCTGCATTGACGATTGAAGAAGCACAAGCTTTACTTGCAAAAGCCATGGCAGATGGTGACGAGGATGATGATCAAGACGAAAAGGATGCAGCTGATGCAGCAGCAAGCATTTCCAAGTAAAGAATCTGCATCAAAAAAGAGTATAAGTATGATTATATCTTTATTATATATATATTTATCTTATCTATTTCAGACTTTTGTTCATTTTTGTATGACATTGGAACCTTTCAAAAGTAGACATCTATTCAAAGAGTACAAAATTCGATTGATAATCGATACACACTGATCATTGTGTTTAACCTTGCGAATACTTGCTCTTTGCCCGAAGACGAGGTCCATACCTTGCAAAGACAAAAGGCAAAGGAACGACGAGGACATTCAATCCTGCCAAAAGCGCAGCAGCACCGGTAGTTGATAATCTGTTTGCCATTTGAACTGCGAACAATGGGAAAGCTCCAGCAAAGATTGAACGTAAGAATGAATGAGCTCCCATTCCAGAAGCAGCATATTGTTTCCAATTATCGGTAATAAACGTAAACACGGAACAATAAATGAGTAAGAAACCAGTTCCGAATGGAATTGAACCAATGATCGGACCTATCCAATGAACGTTTCGATAAGATGTAAATGCGAAGATGAACAAACTGATCGGACATAAAAATGCTCCTAATTTGGCTGGTGATAATCTTGTTTCCGGTGCTGGCTTTTCACCAAGTTTTTCAACCAATTTTTTGTATCGTGCTGCATACCAAAATTTCATCAAAATAACTCCCGAAACAACTCCAACACCCAAACCCAAAAAGCTTAAACCGTTTTCAAAATCGTTGAAGTTGTGCTTGGCAAATACGATTGGGAAAAGTTCAAAGAATAAATAAAGAATTCCCAACAAGATTGCACACCACAAGCACAACAAGAACAACATTGGTTCAAGTGCAAGTAAGAGGAAAACTCTTGAACTACTGATTGCCACTGTTTTTGTTAAACTCTTTTCTGCCAATTCACGTTCATGTTGTGTATAGTATGAATCATCGCCGGTCTCTTTGCGTATCTTGCGTGCTCTATCGATCAAGAGATGAGGTGCATAAGTTTCCGGTGCAAGAGCAATGACAAACATCAATTGAACGAAAGACCAAATGATAATCACACGAAAAGACCAACGCCAAGTGGTATATTGAACGATGAAACCCGAGAATACAGGCCCGATCACCGGTCCAAGAGGTGGACTTGAGGTAAAGATTGCCATTGGAAAGAAAGAATCTTGTGGTGCGTATAAATCCGAAATTGAACCTCCTGCAACGGTCAAGAATGCACTTCCTACGCAACCGGTCAAAAATCGAAAGATGAGAAAGACGGGTGCATTATTTGCAAATGCGACCGGGAAACCGAATAAGAAGTAAACCGTTAAACTGATTAGGTATACAGGCCTTCTACCGTAGAATTCCGAAAATGGTCCTAAGAAGATCGGACCAAATCCCAATCCGAGCACAAACAAAGATAAACCCAAAATTGCAACTTCATGACTGATGCCCAAATCTCTTTCGATACCTTGGTATGCTGTTGAAACGACAGAAGATGTACAAGTGACCATAGTACTCGTTGTAGAAATGACAATGATAATCATCCATTTTTTCCATGAAGGCCACAACAATGGATTTCCCGGATCATTTTCTTTGAATTCCACACGTTTTGGATCTTCTTTTGATGGAGATTCTTCGATAGGCTTTTCGTTCACTTTTCCAAAAGGATAAGCGGAACTATCACTACTATTTTGAAGAGTTGAAGCTGGTGTTCTAAAACCGCCATCCTCGCTTGAACGAGCTGTGCCGCTCTCCAATTCACCTTCTCGATTCATCACGATTTAGGGAAGTGTATGATGGTAGCAAAGTCCCATCAAATGAATCAAAGTGGTAATGCTTCATGTTTATATACTTCGGACTTGTTTTATCCATACTATTTTTGATATCCGAAATTCTTTTATCCCATCAGGGTCAGTAATTGTTCCAACTATATCTTCGATCAATTATTGCAGTAGAGGCAGGATGACGCATATAGAATCACAGTAGCTGTGGAGGGAAACTTGATCACTAGCGTCGGCATCACCGTGCTTGTATTATGCAATAAAATAAAGTGGACGCCGAAACTAGACCCTTACCATTAATACGGAAATTAGTTTCATTCTTCATTTGTCTTCCAATGATCCAATACGGTGCAAGCGGAGATTACAGTAAAACTTTGCTATACCGAACCCATGCATAACGAATACTTCGACCTAGCGAACAATTCGGGGAAAAAATACACTTTTCACGCCCTGGAGAGTGTGCGTAACGAACATTTCTCGCATAATAAAACTGTACTATAGCGAACAAATACCTGAAAAATTAATACACTTTTACCCGCCTATGCGTATATTGTACAACGTACGCGCACTAGACGAGTGTTCGCAGCGCAGCGTATATAACTCTCAGTGAGTATCAAAGAGGTGCGTCGGTACCAGAAAGGTTCTTAATTTTCTCCAGGGCGTGTTCGACAATCTGAACGCCCCGCCATAGCGAACATTTCTCGACAAAATCCTTGATTCGCTTTGGCGGAGTTTTACTGTACATACATGAATACAAACTTGGCCTTGGCTGAATTTGCCGTACTATCAAGCACGCCTGATGTATTCGGCGTATCTACAACAACTCCCAACAGAAACAACTGCAGAGGTAATGAATATTATTCATATTTTGCTTTGTGAGGAAGCGCGTGAGGCATTCTATGAATATTGGGAAGATCCCCGCTAAGTCCTGATGAAACTGTATCACGTGAATGTATGCACTGGGTGCCAGGGCAAGCGCTAATTTAGAGTGTGTGGTACCTTTAGTCTGTGTCGTGTATTTGAGTTTTCGGAGTTTGATTTAAATGAATGAATGCCATTCAATCATACCGGCGGATCTCAATTGCAGAGAAAACAATCATCACTTCAAGAGAAGCAATTACTAGTATGATACTATCGCCATAATCGAACATGTTCTCATCTTTACTCGCCGCTCCTTGCGAGGTAAAGTTGCATTTACTTCAACATGTTGTCTATCTTCGTCCTCCAACACGCAGACCAACAGAAGATGCACTTCCAACGGCAACAGATGAAGTGGCCAGAGGATTGGTCGAACTACACGTCCCACACGATAGACGAATTGGTGGCATTCGTGTAAAATTACGTGCCGTTCAAAGTGTTGCAATTCTTCCCGATCAACGTGATATGGTCTCTTTTGCTGGTGCAACCCCTATTGGATGGGAAGATACAATCTTGATGGAAAAAGTTGTTGAAATTGGCTTACCACCCGAAAAGAGCCATGCAACCGTTCCAGGAGATGATTCAATCTCTTCTTCGGCTGCAGATAGAAGGGGAAGGAGCAGACAAGCAAGAAGTAATCAAAATAGTAGAATGGTCACTCCCGTTCAAAGTCGTCCCACAAGTCCAAGAATCTCGCTAGAAGATGCTCCTCCAGAGTATCAGGAACATGATTCTGCCTCACCATCTCATACCCCCCACGAAGCAAACAATCATGATCAAATCAATCCCACTTCGATCGGCGCTATCATGCGTGCCTTTTCTCGTGGAAGGCCTTCAAGTCGACCATCAAGTCAAGCAGGCAGTCGATCCGTAAGTCGATCAGTCAGTCGAGCTGCGAGCAGAGATCCTTCTCCCACAAGAGCGACAGATTCTCCCAGACTGACGCCAAGCCATTCGAACACATCCCCTCTTGCATTAGAACAAGAAGCAGAAATTGATACTTTGAACGGACACATGAGCAGAACCGGTCTCTCACGCGGACGTGATCAAGCAAGCGGTGCCCATCCTCATGCAAATGATCATGAGGATTATTTTGGTATCATTGGAGCGAATAACCGAAGAGGCCGATCTCATCTTGCTCCCAGTCCCAGCCCAAACTCAATCCCATCTTCTTCAGCCGTTAATCACCGTTCAATCACCTTAAGCCCTTCTCGCGGAGGAGGTGCTTCTAGAAGGCGTGATGAGAGTCGTGTGCGCTTTCCAGGAATAGGCAAGAGAAACGTTCGTGCTCCTAGTGTAGACACTGGAGCTCGTTCATCTGCCAGCTCGTCAGATGAGTTGGATGGGTTGTTCCTTCAGAAAGGTGTGCATGGATTCGAATTTGCATTCATCATTCCCGCCGATTCTCCACCATACGAGAGAAGTCCATATGGAAGGGTGCGATATGTGGTCAAAGCGACTGCATTCGGTGCGGGAAGAGCAAAGAGCAATATAGAAGCTTGGCGTGATATGTTTCCTGTTGTCAATCCCTCTACGGACGGTGGACCGGTTCCATTGACTGTTCTTTACAATGATTTGCACCCGACTGTAGGGCTGCTTTCGATTGCATGCACGGCAAACAATATCTCCGTTGGAGGAATATTCAATGTCGACATTCATTCTCCCACACCTCCACCAGATCTGATGGTGTACCTGGTTCGAGTATCTGTGGAAACCACGACAGAATTACGAACACGAAAAAGAGGAAAGCAGACTGTACCCACGCAAAGGCATAAGCTTTTCGAGAAAGGTTGGGTACCCCCGAGACCCAACGATCCGCACGGTCAAGGAGATGGAAAACGATCTGAAGGTTTGATTCGTGATCCTACTAGACCTGGATCGCGTCCTGATGATGCATGGACTGTGCAAGGTATTGCAAGGATGCCGAATGACAACATCGTTCGAAGCACGACAATTTCTGGAACTAGAGCAGCAATTCGATTCTCTCATCAATTGTTAGTTGAAGTTGTTCATTCGCTCAAACCCGAAGTGGAAGGGCAAGATAGAAAACTCAAAGTGTTTGCGTTGCGTCAACCGATCACACTGCCGAGCTGTTGCGTTGCATATGATGCTGTCATTTTACCAGCCTACACTGCCAACGATGGTTCGTCAAGACCCGTTGAAATGCCGTACGATGTGAATGCAGGTGATGAATCGATTTCGCATGCCAGTCATCATCAAGGGGACGGAGCACATGGAGAAAGTAGCCGTAGAGGTGGTGCTGCACATGCATCAACATCTTCTCGTGTTCTTGGACCAAGTCATGAATTCTGCGTTTGTGGACAAACGTTGCGTGATCTTTCTGAACGTGAACAAGCTATGATACCTGCACGATCTTATGCAGATTTACCGTTAGACGGTCTAAGCCATCGAAAGATTGGCGAATTGCCTTCCAATCAGGGAGGATATTCGATTGGCAGTACATTGCGAAGAAGTACGAGTAGAAGCAGTTCAACAAGCAGAGAAAGTCGTGAAAGAAGTACTTCTCGTCATTCTTTGAGTTTACGAAGAGGATTGAGCAGAAATCGCAGCCCTTCTGTTGGCAGTACGATTTCCAGGAATGGAAGACGGTCTAGTGTGACGAGAACGAATATTGGAGCAGGACTTTCTGTAAGTGCCAATCGAGGTGAAAGTAGCTCCAATGGGATCTATGCAAACGGCATGGGCGAACGTGGTGAAGGAATTATACGAACATCGAGAAGTGTGGACGGTTCCAATACCACATCAGCTCCCGCCATGCCACCTTCTTATGAACATGTTGTGGAAGAGGATAGCGCGGAAGAAGATATTTCAGAGAATGAAACAAGGCCAAGTACGGCAAGAGCTGGTCAACAACCAACGATTACAGTTGATCAAAGTGGAATACGAAGTAGTGCGGCAAGTAGTAGTACACATAGCGCGACAGAAAGTAGTCTCAGTAGTGGAGCTGCCGCAGATGATGAGAGCAAAGTTGAAGTGGTTGAAATTTAAATTATTGTAGTTTTATAGTCATCATAATGTTTGCTCAGATTTATTCTCTCTCGAAGAGACAGAATATTATCAATATACCGATTTGACATTCCCCGGCCTACGCGGTTGATTAGGCGAAAGCCGGATAGTACGGATAATTTTGCGCTATTCACTACGGCTCGAATGACAGCCGGTCAAATGTCACACAATAAGGTGACTGTGCTGAACTTATTCATTTCGACCACCACCATCATCGTCATCGTCAAAAGTAGCTTCTATTGAAGTGCCAATTGATCACACCCACCTTTCCCCATTGCAACCTGGCTTGTTGATTTTGGTACAGCCCCAATCGATTAAATCCGGTACTTTTCCTGTGTTTAGCGCCGCGCAAAAGAACTTCTTTTTCCCCCCAAAACAGGCAACACAGCAGGCACACCCACCCACGCACTAACGCAGGCAGATCTGCAAGAATTAAAGAATTCGTTTAGAAATCATTCCGACCAACAATCTTCCATTTGCAAACTTGTCATCTTTCTTTCTTCATGCCAGCATTTGCAGTAACAGCAGTAAGAAGATTAGCACAAACGGCTACGATCATGTCTCCATCTGCAAACAGTTCAATCTCTGATGTGGTAATCCTTTCGGCCACACGTACTCCAATCGGTTCATTCAATGGAGTTTTAAAAAAAGTAACTGCGCCCGAATTGGGTATCACTGCTGCTAAAGCCGCGATCGAAAGAGCAGGTCTAAAACCTAATCAAATCGAAGATGCTTACTTTGGTAGTGTTTTGCAAGGCAATTTGGGTCAAGCTCCCGCTCGTCAAGTCGTTTTAGGTTCAGGATGTCCTTCAACCACTGAAGCAACAACAATCAACAAAGTATGCGCTTCCGGTATGAAAGCAATCACTCTTGCTGCTCAAAATATCATGTTGGGTCAACGTAAAGTCATGCTAGCAGGTGGAATGGAAAGTATGTCAAATGCACCATTTTATCAAGCACGTCAATTGCCCGTCTTAGGTCATGCTCAATTGGCAGACGGAATCATGCGTGATGGTTTGACAGACGTTCAAGGTGGTTACCCAATGGGAAACTGCGCTGAAAATACGGCAAAGAAACATGAACTAACCCGTGAAGCACAAGATGCCTATGCTATCGAATCATACAAGCGTGCTGCTGATGCATGGAAAGCAGGCGCATTCAAGAATGAAGTCGTCCCAGTCACAATCAAGGACAAAAAGGGAGACGTTGTCGTTTCTGAAGATGAAGAATTCAAAAATATCAAACTTGACAAAGTTCCTTCTTTACGTCCCGTCTTTGACAAGAACGGTACCGTTACTGCAGCAAACGCAAGTACGATCAATGATGGTGCAAGTGCAGTAATCTTGGCAAGCGAAGAAGAAGCAAAGAAGTTGGGTGTGAAGCCATTGGCAAAGATTATCTCATTCGCTGATGCTGCTTGTGACCCAATCGATTTCCCAATCGCACCTGCTCATGCAATCCCCATGGCATTGGAAAAAGCTGGATTAAAGACATCCGATATCGCTTTATGGGAAATCAATGAAGCTTTCAGCGCAGTTGCTTTGGCAAACGTCAAGTTGCTCGACTTAGACCCTTCCAAGGTGAACGTTTTGGGAGGTGGTGTCAGTTTAGGTCACCCAATCGGTTCTTCAGGTTGTCGTATTGTTGTTACACTCGCACATGCGCTCAAACCTGGCCAATACGGTTGTGCAGGTGTTTGCAACGGTGGTGGTGGTGCAACTGCTATTGTTATCAAGCGGGAAGAATAAAGAAATGGTTACATAACATAAATTCATACACCAAAAAGAAATGAGCAATGGAGTTCACATGCTATCTTTCACTTTACCCTTTACCCACTGGTTTCTTTCTCGGCGCCTTTTTCCATCAAATTCACACATTAATGAATGATGACCACATGCTACGATGCATTAAAAGGTTGTTTCATGTCTCATCCTAGCAAAGTACGGAACCGAAACAATCTTGCTTTGATAATGGTTTAGCTTAAGTCCCACATTTGATGTGAGCGTATCGCTTATATTCTTATCAGATTTGTTAGACAAAGAGACCAATGAGAACAAGATAGAGGTGGGTTAGTGTGATTTTATTCATTTATCTCTATGGCGTGATTTGATTTTAAGATTTTAGCGTTGAATCTGTTCTAGATTGAAAGCTATTGTGTGTGTGGAACAAAAAGAAGTGCTTATCGTATTCGTACGAGTGCGATTGCAGGAATATGATCGGTTCCAACTTTTATCGAACCCGATTCTAGAACACGTTTCATTCTTGGCATCTTGGAGTCATATGCAAGCTTCCTGCTTCGTTCTTCATCTTCTATACTTTAATTAATCGCCGGGATAACATCTGCACTTGCATAACCTTCAGATAAGATTCTACATATTACGCTAATCAATAAATGTGAGACTTGACTTTCTCTCATCTTCATCGGTACTTCCGCTTTGATTTGATAGTCATAGGATTTATTTCGGACATGATACAATCGCAGGTACGTACAAATTCACCATTTGCGTTATGAAATATTCGTACGAAAGGTGCATATATTCTCAACTCTCTTGAGTGATCAACTCGGATAGCCATCTTTTCGATAGGGTTCATTCGATCCGATTGCCAAGCACTTGACCGGTATGAAGCCGAAAAGAAAGAAGGCTTGGTATTGTTTGGCGTTTCATGCCAGATGACAATCAATTCAAGCCTTTGAAAAAGGTCATAAGATTTTACACAAATTTCAATCTGTTCGGTCTTTACTTATTACGTATGTTTTCGCTTTGTTTTCTTCCGAATTGTCTTGCTTCCTTCTACTGAAGTTGAGATAGAAGCATAGAAAGGTGCTAATTTGACATCTTTCTACGGGCGTTTAAGCTGTGTTGTTTTTCGGCGTTTCATTTGGGTCATGCGCGTTTTGTTGCCCTAATCTCACCTTTTACGTGCATGAGAACGGCGGATAAGGTTCATCATTTCCAAGAATACGCTAATAAAACACATATCCGCTTCGGCTGTTTTAATACTGTGATTATGCACGATTGTTCTGGGGTATGGATCCGAATCCCTGTCAAACAAAAAAGAGAGGATCGGTTATTTTATTTTCGCGGCCTGCTAGGATCCTCTTTTTGGAAAAACCAATTTAGCGTAAATGAAGATATGACGCAAAATAACAGTCACAAAAGGAATCATGCTTTCGCGCACGCAAGACTCGGAGAGAATTCTTTGTGGGATTTATGCCCTGAGTTGTCAGACCCACGCATGTGTGTGTGTTTTTTCTGTTCTTTTTATTTTACGCCGCCCTGATCAGGGCACAAAATGTGTACTTTGATTGTGTTCCATTTCTTTCATACAAGTTGATATACGCAGACTGACGGACAATTTTAAGGCACTTTTTGGCGAAGAGACTCTTTTGTGTGTTAAAAAAAGAAAAAAAGGGTGTGCCTGGCATAGCGCGCACGTACACCAAACCAAATCCACTCACACCCCCCCTCGCATTCGATCCACCAAAAGGGCGCAAAACAAGGAACGCTCTTTTTTAAACAACAACAATCACCATCACAAAGAGACAACAATTGTTGTGTTTTTCATTCATCATTCATGATGTCCTTACAGCCTATCTCATCTGTAGGGCAACGTCGAATTGACTATTCTCCACCTCGTCATTCATACAATCAACAACCACAAACATCTCCAAGATACTCCTATTCAGACCAAACACGATCTTCTTTGGAAATGCAACCAAATCGTCCTTACTCGGAATCACCTTCAGGGTCGTATTATTCTCATTATCCTGCCGCAAATACCACCGCAATTCGCGCAGCAGATTTGCCAAATGAAGCAAAACAGAGGCAAGCCGAGAGTGTACCTGCCAATCGAACAGCATCAACGTCTAACGAAACTTCCGGCGCTTCTTCCGCTGATTCGGGTGCAAATTCATCCGGCAACGTTACAATGTTTCAATGCAGAGGCTTTGGCGATTGCAAAATGGTATTCACCAGAAGTGAACATTTGGCAAGACATGTTCGAAAGCATACAGGAGAAAGACCCTTTAGATGTCATTGCGGCAAAGCCTTTTCGAGATTAGACAATTTACGCCAACATGCGCAAACCGTTCATGCTGATGAGCAAGACCGTAATGAAATCATGATGCAGGAATTGACAACTTTGCACTCCAATCTGGCCGCCTCTGCAGCTCTTTCCCAAGTAGCACAAGCACAGGTTCTGAGCAAGACCGGTCCACCGGCTGCGCCAACGGTAGCCAACGGTAATATGGTCAACAGACGAAAAAGTGCAGCTGCCTTGGCAGTAAATCAAGCTCCAGCTGGAAAAAGTGCAAATACGTTGGCAGCAGCAAAGAGAAGAGCTTCTGGTCCTGCTTTTGGAGATATGCAACCGTCTTCCTATCGTTATGATGTTCCTGGAAGCTATTCCCGACCTTCTTTCAGTTCTCCTTGGCAGCAAGGTCATGCTGCGCCACATATGCATAACGGGTACGCTCCACCTGATGAGCATGCTTATGGTGGACATTCATACCAAGATCGATATGCTGATGCGGTACCTAGAGGCGCACGCGGAGTAAGTCCCCCTCTTTATAGCTCACGACCGTCAACGAGCGTTGCCGATCGTCCGATCTTACCTCCCTTGAGCAGTTTAAGCAGACCCGGTACTGCTCATGGCGCTGCGGGAATGTCTGCTCATCCCTTGCCACCAACGCCTACAAGCAGAAGACCAAGCATGATGGAAACACACACATATCCTGCTGCTCTTCCTTCCTATACATCAAGCAGTGAAGATCGTCCATATACAAGTCCTCCTGGAGGAGCATATGCAGCGGGAGCAATGGGATCTCAAATGCGTCCCACTTTGCCAAACGTACGTACAAGCTCTGCAATCCGTCCAGGATCGCGTGGATCGTCTGTTTTGGAGCCTCCCAGTTTCATGGATTCACATCGTCGTCCTTCATCATCTTCGGGAACTGCTTATCCCGTTTTGGGCAACGGCGAACGAACATCTCCTCCATCAAATCAATCTCCTTTCCAATTTCAACCGCCTCCGCTCAGCGCTTCCGTTCAGCCTCGTCAAAGTTCGCTAAGCCGACCTCCTTCTTCGAGTGGTCCACCGCCTGCTTTGCCACCTTTGCTCAAACGTAGTCGCGAAGCAGAAGATGAATATAGTGGTAAACGGATAAGACCGTTTACGAGTGGCGATATGCCTGCTCCTTCTCGCTTTGGCGATAATCATGATGGATACAGAAGAAAGAGTGTTGTTTATGAGGATCGGGAAGCGGAAGCATCTCCTCCTTATGTGCCACCTTCATCTGTACCGGAACATCGGGTCAGCATCGCATCTTTGGTGGAAGGCAGACGAAGTCACGAAGAGGAGGAAGATTGAAAGATTTTTTGAACACATTTTAACTATCCTCTACACACAATCGCTTCATATAATGACATCCAGTATCGTTTAATTCAATTCTTTATTCCGATTTTTTTTGCGAGAGAGATTAATAATACAGATTGTGTTACAAATATCATGGATAATCTTCCATGCTCCAACGAGCACGAGGACTCATAGAGAGGTCATTGGTTGGGTCCCAACGAACCAAAGCAGCATGTGCAATCATGGCTGCATTATCTGTACAGAGAGAAAGAGGCGGAAAGTGCAATCGAACATTTGTTCTGTCCAATTTGTCCAAAGTGGATTGCAATACTTGACGAAGGTGTGCATTGCTCGCGACGCCTCCCGAAACGACGAGATCGGTGATGGAATTTGCATCAACGGTGGGCGGAAGAATGGATCCTTTTCCCGAGAAGACCATCTGCAGTTTATCTTGCAATTGTGCAAAAGCAGCATTTTGATAAGAAAAAGCAATAGTTTTACGATTTGATTCAAGCTCAAAAATTTCCGGCTTTTTCTGTTTAAGAAAGAATAAAGCTGCTCTTAATCCTGAATAGCTAAATTCTGCTTTCCCACGTACTGGAATGGGCATTGGAAATTGATCAGATCCAGTCACATCTGCAAATCGTTCCAAAGCTGCACCGGGAGCAGTTGTTGCCCAATCGAATGGAACGTTTAACTCTCTTGCACCTTTGTCCAATGCATCTCCGATCGAAGTATCAGTAGTAGCGGCCAAGATCTTGAATTCGGTATAAGAGCTACACAGAACCAACTGCGTATGACCTCCAGACAAGAGCAACACCAAAAAGGGTAATCGAATAGGTTCACATTCCACCGGATTGGTAAGTAGAGGTGTCAGGGTATGGGCAACCATATGATGACAATAAATCAAAGGCTTTTCCCATAATGTTGATAATAGCTTTGCATTGGTCAATCCTTGCATTAAACAACTTGCCATCCCTGGACCTTGCGTAACGGCAATCCCATCAATCTCTTCCGGTTTGCAGGGATCTCGAATGACGCCTTGTTCTTTGGCTTTTTGGAGAGCATCTCTGATTGCTATCGGAAGTTCTGCAGAATGGCTATGTGTGGCTTTCAAAGGTTCAATGCCTTTTGTGATCGTATGATCTTGTTTGCGTACGATTGAGGTGTGAATTGTTGCTCTTTCCTTGAAATTTCCATCGGGATAAGTGATGGGAGCAGATACCAATGCGGCACAGGAATCATCACAAGAACTTTCAATTCCTAGAACAAGTCGTCTTCCATCGCTTGTTAGATGTCGTATATTATTCCTGCATATTTGAATTGTTGACCTTGATCGTAACAGATACGTCATAGCCAAAGTGGCATGCTGTTCATGATGAAGATTGATGATCCAACACTTTTCTCTAGTTCACTCCCGATTTCCTTGATCAGCCTGTGTGCTATTTACACGTTTAAAGCGCGTAAATTGCATAGTATAAATTCAGGAAATGGGACACCAATGATGAATAGTCGCACGTGGTACAGCGCGTAATACGCGAGAAGTTAAGTAGAAAAAATAAAGCGTGAGATTCCGTAATTGATTGATCTGATGAACAAACAGGCTGAGGCTATTGAATATTTGTCTGGCATGCAATAAGACAGAGAGAGTCGCGTAAAAAGCGCGTTCACGCTTTTATTTGGGCAAATGAGCAGCTGCAAGGGAAGGCAAGCAGGCGTTTTGGGTTGAATAGCCAACACCTTTGAACACATACACAGATCAACTTTAATACACCTTTCTCACTCTCAAGATCTTGCAGAATACCTCATCCAACAGAGGGAATTGGTGGTGGTGAAGGTGCAAGTGATCGAGAAGCAATCAAAGGGAAAACGTCATTTACACGCAATCGAAAGCTTTGGCCATCACGCCTTCTTCCCCAAATTTATACCTTGCCACCTTTTTGACGATTCGGAAATGCAATAGCTCACTCAAGTCACAACACAACAAACAACATTCTCTCTCTTAATTTATTGTCATGTATCGACCTGAAACACACTATCAACCAGTCGACCCTTCGACACGAACATTGACGAGCTTGCCGCCTCTGTCAACGTTGTCAAACAATATTCCATCATGGACACGTCGTTCAAAATCATCTGCTCAATCGGATGAAAGCTTTTCTGCCTACTTACAACATCCATCTTCCAGCTCTCCGGCAATGGATAGAGTATTGGATGGTCGATTTGCAGCACAGACTGGAATGGCAAACATTAATTCAACTCCAACACCATTAACGAGACGTATACCAAGCTTGGATTCAATTGGCTATGCACAAGAGCGTAATACCCCCTTTCGTCATCAACGTACGCCTAGTCTTTTGGGTAAAACAGTCAGCTCTGCTACCCGAGGCGCTTTTCATCGCGTTCCTTCGTGGCATGAATCAAGTCCTCGTGATGGCATTCATCTTTCACGTATCGAACAAATGAAACCGTACGCGTCTGAAACGCGTTTTCGTATAGGAGAAAGCCTTCGATCATCTTCTACTTCAATGTCTGATGAGCTCGTGGGAGATCAATCGGTAGATCTGAGTGCGATCAATTTCGATCAAATGGGCGAAGATGAATCCGGTGAAGCGGACATCAGTCAAGGTAGCGCAAATTCAGCCGAAAACAGAAAGAAACGTAGAAGGACGGATAAAAGGGAAGCCAACATTCTTGCTTCCGTTTTCGAACAAAGCGCTTTTCCTGATGTTGTAACGAGAGAAGCGTTAGCAAATTCTTTGGGAATGAGCACTCGTGCTGTTTCAATCTGGTTTCAAAATCGCAGACAAGCAATGAAGAAACGTGCAACGCGATTTGGTGGAATTGATGGTGTTCGTGGAGCATCTGTCACGGTCAATGGTCCCAACCTTAGTCTAGATGATGTAAGCATGAACGAAGAATATGTAGAAGAAGAGTATTTGGACGATGAGGAAGATGCTGCAGAGGATGCCGTCCCATCAAAAGGCGGATTGAAGAGATGGTTCAGTTTGGATGAAATTGCTGCACATGCAAGCTTTGCTGGAAAGGGAGTCGCCGTCGATCAAAAGAAGAATTGCGATGAAGAAGAAGCAGACAAATCCATCGAGGCTCAAGTTCAAAAGCGCCTTTCCGGATCTCAGGAGCAAAAGATTTCCGCTCCAATCTTGGATCTAGTCCGCAAGAGAAGTGGTATTCCCCTGCAACGAATTGCATCTATGCCTACACTAGCCATGGCCTTGGACACATTCACGGTCGAAAAGCCACAAGAGCCCAAAATGAATACCATTAAAGATTTGCGTGATGTTCTCAATGATCTTGTGGCAAGCAGGATGGCCAACAAGGTGCGAAAGCCATCGCAACTGACACGAAGTGTGAGCATGAATGATGCCAGGAAGCCACCAGCAACACTGGCAGTAAACGTTGTCGATATGCCGAAACCGTTGGATGTGCTTTCAAGCGCCCCAATGGGTAAGCCATTCCAAAATACTGGTAAATTTGATCAGAGTACAATCTGGCAAAGGATGCAGAGCAGTTCAAGTGGCTTATCGAGTGAAACAACACCCGAAAGCGACAAGGAGAACCGCGATACCACCAAAAAGGATGGCGAAGATGAAGATGAAGAAAAGACGTTACGAAGAATTGCTCAAAAACGAGCTTTACGACAACAATTTAAACGACAACAAAGCTTATCAAAAGAAGGATTGGAATACCTTCAACAGGCTGATGCAAGAATAGCATTGCAACAAAAACAAGATGCCGTCAAAGCACGTCCACCCTTGGCACCATTACCAAGCGAAACTCCAAAGATTCGCAGTGCTTTGGCAAGAGTGGCAAGCTTAGACTTTGAAGCAGGTCGGGATCGATCGAAAGCTGTTGAGAGGATTGCAATGATGGATGTTGCAAATTCTCTCAAAGATCGAATCCGTCAACACAACAAATCAAGACTCGCCCTCCAAAAGCATCATCGCCGATCTACGGATAGCCACAACGTGCAAAGAACGCGCTCATCACTTTCAAGCAAAGCTCCCAGTCATTCTTCTCACCATGGATTGCAAACACGCCCATTCAGACCTGCTAACTCGTTGCCGACGTTGATGCGATCGGTGAGCGATGTAGATCAAGAGGTGTTGAAGGAAAGAAAAGGTACTTCTCGCGAAACGAGCGCATCTTTGGGTAGCAGTGAGGATTGGACGGATAGTTGGACTCGTGAAGCAAAGCGAAAAGCTGCGGAAGCCACGCAAGGTCATGATGATAGTGGGTTCTTTGGCAGCGATGAGGGAGATGATGAAAATGTTGATCCGAAACGAAGGAAAGTGGCGGAGAAAGCCGTTAACTCCAGTCGACTACCATTCAAATCCATTCAACCGTTGCGTCAAAGGGCTGTTTCGGCTAGCGATCACACACAATTATCCTCACCGGTAAAACGTGGAGGAGAAGATCGTGATAGATTGGCAGCCGAAACGTTATTAGCTTTTGGATCTCATTCGTAAGAAAGGGCGGAAATCGTGTATTTTATAGACTGCACAAAAAAAGTCGTTTATCCTGTAAAAAGCATGTGTTTATCTTGCTTTATCTTTATTCTTGTTATTAAATATTCCACAATTATCCGAACAAATTGAAAATAGCTCTTACTTGGGATGCAATGTCAAATGCCATATCTGTTTATTGTATGTTCAATATCGGTTGAGATAGTTTACCCGTTGGTTCTTTTAGAAGGCGCGGCGCTTGATGATTTGTACGCGTGAGTTAACGCGTCTTTTTCCATACATTATGCCTGCCACCTTTTAACATCACTTGAGTCAATCTCACGCTAGGAACACCAACTAAATCTTAAATTTGTGTCACAATGAAACGGGGATCGGGATGAATTTATACCCCGATGATCATCGTTGTAGCGATCAAGAGACGGATGGAGGTTTGTGCGGTTGCATGATGGCGGGAAGTGAAGAAGAAGAAGAGGAATTCCCTCAACGTCCCAGAGATGAAGACAACTCGTACACCAGACGTCTTTTCCTTGCTCGTAATCGAAAAATTCTACAACAATCCGTTCATACCCGAACATCTTCTTTGGATGATCATGCTTCAGTTTCAACAGCTCGTCCCGGACAGATGGACGACTTGCCAACACGATCTGTCGCTTCGGATCCCATTGATAAAACAATGGATGAAGATGAAATCTTGGATGCTTTCCCCTTATCATCACCACCTCAACGGCCGCGTTACAGTCCATCCAAATCTCTCAGAGCTTCAACAAGTACTGTTAACGGTGCCCAATCAGCAGCACGCAAATCAATAAGCAATGTTTATGAACGACTTTTGCGGGAAGAAGAAGAGAGGAGGGAATCGGAGAGGGTGAGGAAAGAACAGGCAAGACAGAGAAGAAGGGTGGAAAGGTTGCGGAAACAAGAAGATTCGGAAATGTTGGCAAGATTGATCAGTAGCAGCTCAAGCAACACAAACGGAAAGGAGGTTATGGAACACGGAGATGAGATGCAAATGCCGCCCTATACTTCACCAATCTTGGCCGTTTCTCCGCCTTCGACCCGAGATGTTTCGTTGGATCTGAGAACGAATCTTTTGCAAAACGAGGATCTAGAGATGGATGAACGGAATGCCAATGGTCATCTACATCCCGCTCATGCTTTCACTCGATCGACCAATGCTGCCAGACTAGCAGCTGTAAGAGCTGCAAATATGATCGAAGAAACACGCGAGAACGAGAGCTCAACACCCTCAATCACAATACCCAGTCTAGGTCTAGCACCGCCATTCGCACAGGATGGAAAGGTGAATGGAACGGCTATAAAAGCGGAAGAACATCATCCCTCCTCCCCTCTCAACGCCTCTCCTGCGTCTTCGGCAGATTCGGTACTCAGTTGCACGTTCCCAAACCGAACCAGCCCAACAGCCAGTCCGCAACTGCTTTCACCAAATTTGAACAATTTCTCACCACAGATTAGCAATCAAAGCTCATCATCTCCTAGACGGAATCGTCATAGACGTGGAACTTATGGCGAAGGAGGCGCTTCACAAGTTTTGAGTTTATCAGCTCGTGTTCCAAGTCTCAATCCAGCCAAGACGGCCGCCAAAGTGAAAAAGGAGCTCTATTCACCCGATCCAGATTTGCCAAATTCACCTGGTCACTTTTCCATCATGCAAGAAGAAGAGGAGGAAGCAAAGAGTCAGGATGAGATCCCGGTAAAACAGGGCAAACGAAGGGTATCTTTCAGCCCAAAACCTGAGTTCATTACGACTTTTACACCCGTTGCGGAGGAAAGTGAGGAAGAGGAAGGGTCGTATGACAACAACAACAACGAAGAGGACAGTATACCAACAATTCGAATACCGGATGAAATAGTGACAGAAGGTTCTGAGAGTTCCCGTGTAGCAGACGTCCCGCTGCAATCAACGCCTCCGCGGAAGAAGCGTAATTCAGACAACGATCGATCCAATAGTACGATGAATGCGCCGAATTTCTCACCGATCGGTGATGATCCACTCAGGCTCGCTTTGGAACAATTCAACAAATTTTTGAAGGATAGAGAGGAGAAGAAGGAGGTCCCAATTCCCGATGACACCATCAAAAGCGAACCTGAAAGAACCGTTGTCAATTTGACCGTTGCCGACCTAACGGATTCTAGTAAGGATGAGGAGTACGTTCGGCAATTGGATGAAGCCCGTGAACGGCTGAAAAGGATTGCAAGATCATATACAGGTGCAGGCAAGCCTGTCAGAACCATCCGGCCCACCTCTACTGTCACGATCGGCGTCTGTTTGATCGGGATCTGCATTGTTCAATTTGCTCTCGTATTCTTGATGAATGCCGCAGCTCAAGCTAAAGCCGAGGAGATGTATCTGACGATGCATTACAGTTATCGTATTGAAGACGTATTGTTATTTGAAGCTCAAGCGACGTCGTCTCTTTTCGCGCCTTTATTCAAACAGTGGGGCATTTTACCGGATCTTGGTCGATTGGCAATCGGTGATCGTGATCAATTGCTAAATGATTGGATCAGCACATTCCGTTGGATATGGAAAAGTGGTTGGCAATACGGAACGATTTGGCAACCTATTCGATTTATGTTTGCCAAATTAGCTTATTCTTTAGGATTGTATGGAGTGAATACAACTCCAATCGGAGGTACGATACCATCGTGATCGTATTTATTCATGCTATTCACCTGCAACTGCTCACACTTTTTATTGTACTTTTATGCTAATGCTATTGTATACCGTTATCGATTTTCAGCGATTATATCTTTGATTGATTCCTTAAAAGGTGTTGATCATACCACGATCGCTTGATTGGGCTTATTTTGTTCTTTCGTTCTATACTCACCCTTCTGGCTTTGGAACAGGTTCTTGATCAGACATTTTGTTGATTGAGCGGGGTTGTAGTAGAGGTTTTGTGATGATCG